AACGTGCTTCCCTTTCGTCGTGCTTCCTTCTCAACGTGCTTCCCTTTCGACGTGCTTCCTTCTCAACGTGCTTCCCTTTCGACGCGCTTCCTTCTTAACGTGCTTCCCTTTCGACGGGCTTCCCCTTCGACGTCCTTCTTTTTAACGTGCTTCCTTCTTAACGTAGTTCTATTAACCTATACCTCTCTTCGATATACCTCCTCTTAATGTGCTCCTAATGTACTTCTAATTAATGTGCTTCTAATCAATATACTTCGTTTCGATATACTTAGGGTTAAAGTACTCCTATTTTACTATACTTTCTATCGATATCCTTATAGAGATAAATACTCTTTACTTTTTATTTAATATTAGTCTTAGAAGCTACCTAGAATGCATTGGAAGGAACAAAAGCTCATTAGTTTTAAGAAGTTCTCGTAAAATCTTAGAGAGAAATAGAAACGGAATCTAGTTAAGGTCTTCAACTAAATGCTTAACTAAAGGCTTTAACTAAAATCTTAACTAAATTATCTCTAGGCTATCCTTCTAGATATATTTTAGTTAAAGAGTTATGCTAAGACTTTCCCGTAGTACTTTGACCGCGAGGGAGATATATCTTTAACCTTACGTAGTCTTGGCGGCCTATATTAGTATGCTAGGGTTTGAATAATATACGTATAGAAATTATTCGGTCCTAATCTTCTCGTCACCAGTGCTTTTGAAATAGTATTATTAAAGGATAGCTTTATCGTGGAATCTTAATTAGATCTCCTACACTACTTCTTACCTCGAGGGAAAGTAAACTTCTTTACGGGTTGGTTACCTAGGTACTAACGAGAGGTCGTAGGCTATTACTCTCTTGATCTTAATCACCGTCACAATGAAACTAGGATAAATTAAGGAAGAGATGGCTAAATGGTGTATTAGCTTACAAAGAAATGTGGTGGATACGGACCTTTAGCTGGCCTTTTTATCGACCTCGTAGAAGGAGGCTTAAATTCGTAAGTGGTAGATGGAAGGATTTAGGCACTTCGTGTTCGGTCTCGATACGCCCAAGTTTAACGAGGCTACCGATATCTTGACCGTCGAAGGAGTCGACTGGGTTACGCCCTAAATCTCGCGCTTCGGGATGGTGATTGTATTTCCGGACAAGATGGCGGACAAGTATAAAGGCCTAATCAATAAAGAGGGAATGAAAATTATCAACGAGTCGAATGCGGTTATTGATCTAGGCAAGAACGCTACCAAAACCACTCAGATTGGTGTCGTCTGGGACAAGGAGACCGGCCTCTACGGCGTTAAACTGAGCTACGAGACGAGCCGTCCACCGATCAACTCGATCCATCTCGACAATGTCCGTTTCGAGAAGCCTTGTGCCATTCCTCTATATGTTTAGGTCGTGTACTAACCTAAGTTGGGATTGACCGTTGGCGCTTCGATGTCTACCGACTATATAACTATGATAGAGAATAACGCAGCCGAGCCCGTCTTAAAGAAGGTTGGAGGCTTTATGTTCTAGAGGAAAGCACTCAAGGAGCGACGCATCGAGAGTAGAAAGCAGATTTCTACAATGATAACGTCGAGAGCCGTAGGCCTCGGTACACTTGCTTAGCCCTAAGCTTGTCGAGGGTAGAAGCTTGTCGATAAGTCTACTATATTAATATGATGGACTTAGGCCCGAAGATCGCTTCGTATTATGTGCTACGTATTGTATCCTATGTGCTACATCCTTAAAAGTATGCTATATACTGCGTGCTTAATGCTGTATACTCGCTGTATACTCGATGCTATATATATAATACTGTATGCGTCGTACTATATACTGTATGCTACGTGCCTAGTGCTATATATTCGATATATGCTTGGTTCTATATATATAATAGTGATGTATACTGCGTGCTTAGTGTTTAATGCTCGCTATGTACTTATGCTATATATATAGTGCTATATGCTACGTGCTGTGTACGGTATACTATATCCTTAGTAGCCTAGTATACTAATATACTAATGTAAAGCGATAAGACTTAATAACGACAAAAGTTCGTTCATGGCATTGAAAATTGTCCCTCGTATCCCTGCTCCCTATGGAATCGTTCCGTCTCTATATCGTTCCGAACTAAGCCCGGAGAAGAAGGCCTTTAGGTTATCCGTGCCTATATCCAAGGTCGTAGGGTAGTTCGGCGGGGACCCTCTTATTCTGTCTCGTCGGCCCCAACTCGTACCTGTATGTGTCCCGTCGGTTATGACCGACCACTACTGACGGGCTCTAGTCGTCTTTACGGTGGCGATGAAGGTACTATTCGTATCGGGGTAAGGAACGATCCAATAATATCGGAAAAACTTAAGCTTGAGAAGGTTGGTCTATTGCTCGAGGAGGCTAGGTTGTCCCGCTACCAAGGTATCGTGGACCTTGTCTTGTATGATCCTAAAGGGCTTTTGCTGGAAGTACTTGCGTTTGCGCCCTTCGTGGACCCCCTATATCCACTGGAACAGATCTTTAGGAGTCTTTATACCCGTCTTGTTGCTCTAGATTAGTTTAGGTTGATTAATTAGGGTATTGGATAGACCATCGTAATTGAATCGTATATTGTCGGTATTAAAGTCGTTATCTTTAGGTTATAGAAATTCCTTCTTAATCGCCTTTACAATGTCTCGGCGATACTTACGTAGGTAGAGATAGGCGACGAGGAGAAGCGCTTCGTATCGGGCGGCATATACAGAAGAGGGATCTTGTAGGGCGGCAAAGCATAGCTGTAGGGAGTTGTCCGTATCTTGGAGGAGCTGGCCACTACGTGTATACCACCGAGATAGATTACGGTCGCTACGGACGACCTCCGAGCTCATATCAACCTTGAACGTCAACGCCTCCTAGTCGATGATAGGTCGAAGCTATCCGTAGCTGTGTTCTGCGATTATATCTTGGATGCCGAGACCTTGGACCTGACCGTCCCTGGACTGTCGGACCGAGTAGGACAAGAGGGCATCGCGAGACGGGTCGCAGCTCGATAGTCGGGCGATACATTTTAAGAGGGCGGCCATACACTTCGATCGCTCGAAACTAATGCCGGTGTTGGGGCTAGTCATACTCGCCACTTCGACTGCGGTGATATACTTGTCGTAGTTGTTCAAGATGAATCGGCACCAGCTATCGGCTCGAATGGCCTAAGCGGCCGAGGGAGTCTCGTTAAGTATGATATCCAACCCACCTTCCTCTTCTCTAAGACGAGCCATCTCCCTAAGGCGGAGGAGGACGGCATGGGCGGTCCGACCTTCCCAGCGAGTGGCAAACGTCACCTTAGCGTAGTCCGAATAGGAGTCGTATGTGCGGCGCTTGCACTCGACGAAGCTCCGGAGCAAAAATTCGCGACGTCGTAAATCTCCATTACCCTGCCACTTGGCGTAAGCCGTCTATACGCGGGCGTCGATAGCTAGTTCAGTGAGACCCTCGTTGGTGAACGTATATAGCGACTCGGTATTAGATATCTCCTTCGAGGCCAAGTACTACTGACCGTAATACCACCCGCCACGATACGTAGGCGACCGCACGGGAGGCTTGACGGTTATATTGGCGGTGTCCCGTAAGAAGTATGGGTGATATAGGCACATCTGCCCCGATTGGCCATCGAAGTAGCCGTCACGGAGCCTCGCATGTTTAGATCGTAGGCAGCAAGTCTTCTAGAAGAGGACGGCCTTTTCATCGCTCTGGGTCGACACGAACGGATGTCGTATGGGGCTTAGCGGATACACCTCTCGAGCGATATCGTGCACCATATATTGTATGAGCTCGAAGTCGAAAATTCTCTCGAGATGGGTGAGATATTGGTCGATGGCCTGGTAGAGCGATCCAGTCACCTTGAAATCCGACTTGAACCCCTTGGCATTGATTAAGAGGAACGCATCTTGAAATTCGGTAAGCCGGAATCTCGGGTCGTCGAACATACGGTTTATCTCGGTCTACACTTGTTCTAGGCCGTCTGATGGTATATGGTGGGTGAATAAAACCTTAAGACCCCGTTCGCCGATACGCTGCTAGTGCTCGATGCCCTTGGCTTGAGCCTTTAACTCCCTAACCTACTGCGACGGGGGCACCCGCTGTAGGCAGTCCTCCTCGATATACTTCCGAACGTAAGGGAGCAAGGCCTGGTTGATAAACCTCTGTACCGTAGCAGCGGGGAGATAGGTAAAGCGCTTTCTCTTTTTCTTCCTAGGCTTCCCTCTGCCTCTATAGTCGATGGTTAATATCAATCGAGGGAAGAAGATATAGAGGGAGTAGTCAAATAGCCTATCAATAGATCCTAGGTATATATGTAGGATATCGCGGAAATAATGTATCCGCTGCGTTAGCTTCCCCTTCGGACCAGAATAAAGAACCCTACGTTTAATGTGTAGACTACTGCGGATGCCACGCGAGAGATTGTGGCTGGGACAAAAGCGGAATCCCTTACGCAACGCGCCTAACGAGGACGGAAATCCAAGGAAGCTATCGACGTCAAAGGAAATTTTGGCCCCAGCGCGAGGTGTCTCTTCCGAATGGAGATAGACCTGCGGCATCGGCGTCTCCTCGTCTAGACGTCCTTCGAAGAGAGACCGCAACGTGGAGGCTGCGAGGTATACGTGCTGGGCGTGTCCCTCGTTGGATGGAAATCCGTCATAACGAAGACTGACTCGAGGGTGCGATCCGAGTCATTGCCGTCCGCGTTCGTCGAGGTATATGGCCGAGAGATCGCAGTGGTTGTCTAACCTATCGGCCATATAGGATATAGAGTCGTCCTCGTATTGCTCGGGCCTATATCTACAATCGCCTATGAGAAGGCGGAAGATTTCTTCTGTTACAATATCGACGTCGTCTACGTCGGGAACGTCGAAATCGTCTATTGTAGACCTGTCTAGTGTGGACCCGATAGAGTTATTGTCGGTGGTGGCCTCGTCACCACTCTCGTCACTGCTCTCGTTACGGCTATCGTCACGGCCATCGTCACGACCATCGTCGTCGGTATAGAGACCCTAAAATTCGAGAGACGGCCGTGGACGAGAAGCCCCTGGAGTTGGGATACGAGACGCTGGCCGATAGGCTCTTTGTCGTAGGCTCGACCGTGCGGGCATAGACTCGATGAGCGAGGGGCCTACCTCGTCGTCGTAGTCTTGGTTTAGCCCTATCACAGTATCATCGCCAATAGGATATATAGCTAGACAGGGATAATCGGCCAGGGTTTCGGTCTCCCTTATATGCCCGTCTTTTTTCTCCTCCTTAAAATGTTCTCCATTTTTGGGCTGGATAAGGGGTAGAACTGCGCTGGGACCTAGGCGCCGGTGGGGATCCGTATACTGGGAGTAGGTGGGGGAGTCTAGGGGCGACTCGGGAATCTCGATAGGATAAGACGAGTCTCCAAGGATATGAAACTATAGATGGTTAGAGAAAGTGTGCTTGACCATATCTTACTAGCCAAGTAAGGTGGCAGACCGAGGAGGGGGTAGCTGTCGATGTGTATGGAGAGACTAGTGGTTGAAAGGCCCTAGTCCTATTCTCCAGCCGATATGGCCTCGCCGAATCTCGTGTGGTTAAGGGTGCAGTCTCTACCGAGCTTCGTATCGATCGAAAGGCGGTAGACTCCGAGTTACTGGAAGAACCGAAATAGGGGCTGAATATTTGTCGATACTGGCCACCTAGGCGTAGTGGTCGACGACGATGGGATATTGGTGATCTCGACGTCCTTCCTGAGGTGGACGAAGCCATTGAGGATAAAATGGAAACGATGACAATATCACTCAAAAAGGGCTCTCCAGCGGATAGTACTTTGGGGAAGGGAGTTAAAGGTTGGAAGTATAAGGATCCTAGGACGCGAGAAGAGGAGGACACGTCTTTTATAGGGTTGTGCCATACACGCCCTTGAAATAAGTTCAAACAATCGCCGCTTTAAAGGACTCTAGCATATTAATATGCCAGTGTTGACGAGCAACGGGCTAGTGTACCACAGTATAGGTTTCAGGCCGCTGGATGGCAAGATATCAAGTAGCTTAAGCTTCTGCCGCGAGAAACAAGAAGCACCAAGAATCCGGCCTCACGAACTTATATAACCACGATATTCGGTTACCATTCGGTTCACAACATGCCAAGTAACACAGAGTGCTCAATGCCGAGGATATATTGGCACCATCGTGGCACCTTGTGAGGATCGACCTCTTGGTATTTGCGGGGGATGTTGCAATTGTTGGAGAGTGTGCATGCAACCCCCGGTATGAGCAAAGCTGGTGTTTCTGTGGACGTCTAAAGCGACTGGCTGAAAGGCGTCCGTTGGTCAAAGGAGGTCTCATGGCTTGCGCTTGCATCTCGCTTAGCTCACAAGTGCCTCTTCTGACTCAAGTCCCTGTGGGAGGCCTTGACTCTGCGGAGGCGAGGTGATCGTTGTCCATGGTAAGCATCAATGGCGAGGCAGAATGATCATGCTCGACTTCCTTTTCAGCGTCCGTAGTTTTGTCTCAAACACGAACATCCCGACTTTAATAGTGCGTAAATAGAATGAGATTGTGATACGAGGGGCCATCAACAAGTGTTGCAGGGCCGAGTGAAGGATGCGTGAGGATGTGAAGAAGCGTACTCGGCAGAGTTGCCTATCCTAGCAACTGCCTCAAAACTCACATTCATCTTGAAGTCACGTAACATGCATGTACAAGCGTGGTAATAAGTGATTGTTGTTCGGAGCGCCGGCAAGTGAATCCATGGCCGGCAAGCAAATGAGATGTAGTGTTCCTACGAGTATCCGGCATCAGCTCAGGCCGAGCATCACAGTGTGCTGGAAATACCATCCATATGGATCACGTCCGATGATTGATCGATATCATTGGGAAGAAATTTTCTGATGATGGTGGTCGTCATTGATGTCTTCTAAGCTAAGAAAGAGGACACTCCAGTCCTATGCTCTCGTCGCATATATGGACAAATACTGACTCAGTCTGCAAGGTCCATAACGCCTTCAATGTCCATCAAGATCACAAACCACAGCAAACAGATCATTCGTGGGTCACCATTTCTCGTCATAACACGTCCACAGTCGTTCGAATCATTCCATTCCACCATGCGTGTTATCATGACTCGTCATCCAAGTGACACCGGGTCGGACTGCTCACCCATCCCACCAGCCGGTTTGCAATGTCACTGCAGTAGCAAAGTGTAGTCCCTGGGCTGCCACCCAGATCTCCATTTGCTGGCAGGCTATTTGGTCCAGAGTTGTAGAACCTCGCAGCGCGATAGAACGCTTGCGCAGGCTCACAATCATCCATATTCTGAGCCTGGTTCAATGCATTAACCAGCGTCGGTCCGCTTATCTGGGCCCCTGTACCATCCGCTATCATTTGACGAATGATGGAATCTGGACAGGGAGAAACCTGGAGGCCGCCCATGTCACAGGATCCTTTGCCCTCGTAACTTTGCATCAGTCCTGGATTGGTAACGTCGCCGGCGGTGGAGATGCTTCTCACACAGCCGTTTGATTCTTGCATAACAACGGCGAGGATGAACCGCGGGTCCATTTCAGTGTTATTGCCGACTTTGATGATGGAATCATGGAGCTGATCGGTCTCGTTGGGGGAGTTGCCAACGACATTTCCGACACATTTCTGGCCGATGTACGGCATTGCATTCTCGTACATGGCGTCGAACGAAAGCCAGTCGGACATCGATGGCCAGCCATTCTCAGCAGATCCATTGCCGGTGTAGAAAGTGTACTGCGTCTGTGCGTCTGTGCTGCCTGTTTCCAGGTCCAACTGCTTCACAGCCAATTCACCTGACACCTTCGAAAGGACTGTATCGATGTCTACAGGTCCAGCAGCCTGAAAGAGGGGAGGTTCGATGGGTGTAGAGTTTGCGATCTCAGAAGACTGCGTCGGAGTTGCCGAGACGGGTGGAAGAGTAATGATCTGATCAGCCGTGAGCAGCGTCCAGATCGCGGCGGGGTTGGCTGAGGAAAGCTCAGCGAACGGTATGCTCGCTCTCGAAGCAATACCATTACCTGTATCCCCTGGAGCTACAGTCCAGAAGGACGAGGCAGTGGCTGGAGATGGAGGTGGCTGCTCGTTGCTGGATGGGGATGCAGCTGAATCAGGCGATGGAGACACCTGGGTCGATCGTGTACTGGTTGTAAGTTCTGACATTGTTACAGATGTCGCAGCTGGCGCAGCTGGAAGTTGAAGTGTCTGGCCAATTGAAAGCATTGTCCAGACGACGGTAGGATTGGCCGTCGAGATTTCGCCGAACGGAATGCCTACTTTTGAAGCGATACCGTTGCCGCTGTCGACCGAAGCAACAGTCCAAACATGTGAAGCAGCAGGCGCTGGTGGTGGAGCACTGGATGTCGGTGCAGGAGGAGGCCCAGAGGGAGGCGCTGGACTAGTGGTTGTACTTCCAATGGAAGTTTTTGGCTTGGGTACAGCATCGTGTGCCACCCCCGGGATTCTCAAAATGACAGCAGGTTGTAGAAGATCCCAATTGGCGACCCCAGCATTGGTATTTGCAGCTTCCAAGGCCTGCACGGAGATGCCAAATCGACTCGCAATGCTGGAAGCAGTATCACCAACCTCGACCGTATACACTGTGCCTCCATCGGGTGGCGGACTTGATGATGCAATCCCAGCAGTCTGCGTTGTAGAAGTAGCATTGTTCGCGGAGGGAATTTTCAAGACAAGGCCAGGTTGCAGAACATCCCAACTGCCAACCTTGGCGCCAGTGTTTGCAGCTTCCAAAACCTGCAAGGGAATCCCAAAATGGGACGCGATGTTGTAGGCGGTATCTCCAGGCACGACGGTATATGATATTTCTCCATTTGTATCGTTGGTGCCTCGAGCGGCCAATTTTGAGATCGCAGTGACAAATGTAGCCGGAATCGTCTTGGTAGCGGTAGCAAAGTCAGAAGGGCCCCATGCCGAAGCATACTTCGACCACAAGGCGCTCTGATCTGGACAACTGGCGCCGGATGGCAATTGGAGGATTTGTGAGGGGTTTAAATTGTCCCATCCAGCACTGTCGATGGTAGGGTTGGCTTTCTGTAGGTCTTCGAAGGAAACACCACATCTGTACGCAATGCCAGTGCTCCATTCGTTGCCTGCCACAGTGTAGACGTTGTCTGAGGTTGCGGCGAGCGCGTGAAAGAATGTCAGAGCCAGAAATGGCAGAAAGAAGGAAGGGCGCGCCTATGACAATGTCAGTAGTGATTCGAAGGAAGGAATATGTCCGCGTCCTACCATCTCGTGCGACGATTTTGGAAGCTGTAGGGCCCGGTTTGATTTGGAAAGAGTGTGGAATTTGAAAAGAATGTGTGCATTCAGGAATATTGATATTGTGAAAGTGGTTGTTGTGTGAGGCAGAAAACCTGGAATCAGTGCTGTACACAAAACATGAAGTTCGAACTTATATAGAGCAGAAATTCCTTCCGTTTGACCTTTTGTCACTCATCACTCTTTCCAAGGCTTATGGGTAGACTCGCCTTTGTCACTCGGATCCCGCCTTCGCCCTCACCATCACTGCCCAGGATGCGGCTTACTGAAGTGATACATCCTCAAGGAGGAGAACAAGCTCCTTATGAGTCGCAGTCTGCCGATAGTGGCCGTTTACTGACCGACAAGTCTCTTCCTTCTGCCCGATTCGTTTGCATACGCACCACAATCGAAGCCTGTTCAGCTTGTGCATGTTGTCATTCCAAAACACCGTCTCTGAGCGTACTCAGCTCATGCACCCAGCTCTGATGTCTAGTTTGTGAGGTCGCTTCCGTCCTACACTCCCGCGCCTTTCATTCATGGTTCTTCGTAGCTGGTAGACGTTCCAATAAATCGCCCTACTGTGTATGTTACTTCGTATCCCAAAGTACTTAGGTAGACGTGGTACGAGGATCAGATCACGATGACGTCGGGGATTGGCGGCCAACGGAAGCCATATCCGAACAACATCCCCACACCAACAACTTCAAACGATCTCTGACTCTCAAAAGCACGAAGCTTTTGAAGCCTTTGTTCGACCTTGCCTCGAGACATTTCCAGGCAGCATCAAACCCTGACTCTAAACGAAAGAACCAAAGCATGGCGACAAACCCGGTCTCACCTCACGGCAAACAAGGACCGTGGGTACGTCGGTGCTCAGGTCACCCCACACTCGACTGAGCCCTGCTGACTCTCTGTATAGAGACAGAATGTAGGACTTCTAGCTGTTCTGACCGTTGGTGGGGGAGTCCTTTATTGGTTGCGCTGGAGACGAGAAGAAGGCGTTGAACGCCGAGTTCAGGAAGTCGAACCTCCTAACAAGTCATAATCCCTCGATAACTCAGCACAATCGGTTTCAAGAGTGTCATAGGATGGGTCTCAAAGATGCTGCAACCAAGAACCAATTTGCTGAACATGACCCACGGATGCTGCATATGTTGGCTTTTCATAGCGAACGTACCGTGACTGGCTGAGTGGATGGACTGGACTGTCCACCAGCAAAGAATAACGATCAGATGACCACACACATTGTGACACTTAATCTCATAAGAAGCCTGAACTCCAGTCGTGCTCGGGATCGAATCCAAGGCTATGGTCCGCCCACCCAAGCGGAAAAGACGTGTCCCAAATCCCCATGGGGTTTGGATCCCATTCAGCCCAGCCATGATTCCCTGGAAAATTGAGCGACATTTCCCGGTCGTAGGTCGGCACCTCTATGATGGGGCGAGCTGCACTCGCCGAGTTGTCAACTGCAGCGGTTGTGAACAATTGAGGAGCTGACGGAGTGGAGGCAGCTACAAAGATGTCACTCTGCTCCGGCTCTCCTGCCGATACGGCCGGAGTTAGAGAATCGTTTCCCTTTGTCAATGAGCTCTGAATGCTTCCGAAAGTGCCGTAGGTGCGCAGACTCGGCGATGCAGGCCGTGTATGGGGAATGCTTGATCGGCCAGCCAATTTGAGATCAGAGATGTCAAGATCGAAGCCACACTGTTGCGCGTGCTGACCTAGAGCGTGCAATAACTTTCGAATGGGTGCCGACCAGCGAGCCGTCTGCTTCGCACATTTCACGCTCGTCTGCAGGAGCTGGCGAATTCTCTGATCATCAAGCGATAAGCAAGATGCATTTCCAGATCCTCTTTCGACAGCAAGAATACGAATTGCCAAGCAAGCACTAATCGCCATGAAAGGGTCATGTTCCGAACGCAGATGTGGTAGCGATGTTTCTATCGTACTGGCGATGGCCATCGCATTCTGAAGGCGTCCAGTCTTACAGCGTCGGAGAAATGCGTCAGGCACACCAGCAAAGGGTGAGTTAGCACGCTGACATATGTCCGTCGTCAGGTACGATCCAATCCGGTATAGGTCACAATAGCAGCCATGAAACATACAGTGAAAAGTGACGAAGCCCAAAAGATCGGGCTGACGGCGGTACAAGTTGTCGGTACTGAGTCGAAGACTGTCAGGAAAATCTGCCGACCACCTTGTCAGCTCGGCTTCGAACTGGTAAAAAGGCCCCTCGGCCAGCCAAGGCAGTGTCTGCGGCATTCGATCCGCATTTCGAGGGTGATATGGAGCAGTGTACTGCAAAATCAACAGCCGCAAGATTGCTAGTCTCACGAGATAGGCGGGAATATCTGGACGTCCTTGAAACCAGGGAAGATTGAGGATCGTCGATGGTTCTGAAGCGCTGTCTGTCCAGGACCCCGGCAACTCGTTTCCTATCCCAAGCTGGAAAGAATGTTCGTCACCGGGGAGATTAGTTTCGATCGAAGATAAATCAAGTCCACTAAATGGATGGCGGCCACTCTCCATCAGACTTTCCATTACGAAGCAAGCCCACAGGGTTCGTCGCCGCATTTCCCGTACAGTGAGAGAAACCGGGTGGACATTGCCAGACTTTCGTGGCAGTTCCAGGTTCAGTTGCAGTGCATGAGTCAGACGTACCGCAATAGCAGAGGTGATCCAGGCGCTCATATGCGACCCACGATGCCATTCGTAACGCTGCAGAAGGATGAATGTTTGCAGGGTGGTCTGCGTCGGTGGTAAAAAGGCATCCAGCAGGACTTTCCGCCGACACTCGTCTGCCCATCGATGAGGCCGTGGATCATCTGGATCCAGGATTCTGAGGGTCGTCGCAGCGATAATGAGCAGTAGCGACTCGGGAACATGTCCATTGTCGAACATCTGCATTATGGTTGGAGCATGCAGAAATGAGTAGAAGCAGAAATGGTAGGGGCCTCTAAAATAGCCGTCAAGGAGTTTGCGGAGTTCCTCACGATCTGGGAGCATCCAGCCGTTACTCGGTCCGTCCTCTGAGGAGTGAGCAGTGCAATTCGAAGCCAACTCTGTCTCGACAATGCCCTCTCGGCAATACAATCCCCCTTGCAGGCAGAATTGGCATTTGTCGGATTCAGCTGAGGCGAGACATTTTATCTTTCTCCTTCGACATTGGAGACAAGCCCTGTTAGAACGAGACCTCTGCTTCCTATCTTGCCTTTGGTCCCATGTACATTCGAGGTCTGTACGGGTACAATTGCTACAGGGCCGAGTTCCTTCATCACATTTGACTTTTCGACGACTTGACCCATGTTATTCAAAAATGCCCAAACAATGGGAGTCAGCCATACCTACCGGCAGGTTAGACAACCCCGTCGACTCCTTTTACGATTAACGTCCATCATATAGCTGTCGGCCAGCACGTAGCGGAGGGTGCAGGCGTAGTGATGAAGAGCATACAAGAGAAGATAGAAGTAGTTAGGTGTCGTCAGGTAGCAGGATGTCCCTCAGTGAGGTCTAGGAGGTCACCTTCCCTATTGGTCAACGCATTCACTTTTATTTGACCTCCGTACCCCTGCCATCAACTACCTTACCTACCTTATGTACCTAGGTTCGGGTCGTGTTAGTTGAATACACAGTAGCCTGCCGCCCGTGTCGAAGGACTAACAGCCTATAACTTAAGCAGTCCTCCCGCGGACGATCCTAACGTTGCATCAACAATGTTTGGGTAAGATACTAGTAATAATCTACGAACGATCGTTGAAAATGCACAGGTTTGTTCATTTCGCATCTAGACATTGACCACCATCAGAAGATCACGTATAATGCGTCCGACTTTCTCAACTTCCACTATAGTAGCATTGGAAGCATTCCGATCGTGCTCTGCTGACCTTAGCAGTTAGCCGGCCTTTGCACTGAGCTGCTCGTCGTGCCATTCTTGCACCTTTCCCGGCTCCGTGACCACGTCCGAGAGTCCAGCATTTTCAAGTTCGGTAACACTTTTCACGTCAGCCAGCTGTCACCTCAACACTCGAGAGACTTGTACTTACCGATGTGCAGCTCCCACGGTTTCAGTGTGTTTGAATTTCCTTGCAGGTATTCTGGCCTTCAAGAAGTCAGCAAATCCCAGGTGACATGCAACGTGGTTCCCAACTCACGGAAAACAGTTCGTCCATTTCCTTAGGAAAGAGTAATCAGCGGTCGCACAAAAAATAAAACTCGGGTCGTGTCTTACCTCGAGAGACCGATTCTGCACAGAGAGTTAGTCTGATTGCTCGTGAATAGGGTAATGCCTGTCTTACCTTGGTCTCCGGGACAAAGAAAAACACCCATGTGGCTGTGAAGAGAGCAATGCCGCCAAAAAGCCACCCAATATTGGCAGATATAGCATTGATCAGGTAGGGAACACAGAAGGCGACAATGAAGGCGCCCACAACACTAGGATAGATGTTAGTGCCAGGATGTCATCGCATACTGAATGAGACTTGCTTGATAGCAATTCCTAGACCAACCGTCTTCTCTCTCAAGGCCGCAGTCGGAACTTCTGAAGCAATCTGAGTAGGTTGTTAGGAGCCCAGGCCATGCAATGACTGTAGTAATTGTACTTACAGCATACGAAATTGGAGCCAGAGTTCTGCACAGTTTTGTCAGCATGGGTAGCCCCGAATCGATAAGGCAAAGCCACCAACCCTGTGAATATGAAGATGTACAGCACAACACTCGCAACCAGTCCACGAGCCTCCGATGGCGATGGATGCGCATGCAGACCCAGGCCAGAGACCAGAAATAGGAACAGAGAAAAGGTAATACAGCCCCAGATCAGTAGGTCCCTTCGACCTACAATGTCACTGGCGATCATGCCCAGCAGACACCCCGCCCAGCCGGCGGTCGCAGAAGCAATGTTGTAGTCAAACGCATGGGCGCCTAAGCCAACCTTCTTGTAGAATCGTGGAGAATCTCGTCTCATGTTAGCACGGTTGGCGGGCAACGGGGTTTGAAGTCTCACATTGACTGACGAACCCCTGACCACAGAATTGCTGGAGCAGAAGAAGGGTGAGGACGATCGTCGTCCGTCGAAGATTCGTCCCTCGCTGGAAACCGAGTCAGAGCGACGAACCTGACAATGCATGACCTTGACGGAGACTCACCACAAGGTCGATCCACGGTCCCTTTTCAACCTTGTTATCTAGGGCTTCTCGAATGGCTTCGGCTTCCTTCCTGCATAGACCGGCACGAACATCCTCGCCAGGTCTTACACGCTCAAGGCTCTTGACTGCATCTTCGAACCTGCTCTTACTGAGAAGCCAGCGGGGGGCGTCGGCTATCTCAGTTGATCAGTCCCGAATCAACAATATTGTGAGGCACGGGTTGAGTTGTGCGACGGTACGTACGGACAATGAAGAGGCCGAAAACCACGACAAAGGGGCAAATGAGCTGCACGCACACCGGCACAAGCCATCTGCGAGTTGGATCAGTTCCGATTTCTTGGAAGCAGACCAGTTGCTTGTGTACGTACCCAGAGCGTTTGGTGGATTGATAGAATGCGCGGTTGACGCCAGCCGCGGTGATCTGACCGACTTGGTTGAATAACTGCATCGATCCGACAATCGTCCCTCTCATAGCTGCAGGGCACAGTTCCGCTTGATACATGCTGTCGCAAAGTCAGTATACCAAAGAGTAAGCTGGCATGAGCCCTTCGTACGGCACAGTAACTTCAACCATCCCAACGCTGCGTACAGTCAGAAAACCACCACGCCGCATTTGAGACGTTCTGACCTGAAGTATATGATATTTCGACCGACCACAAACTGAGCCACGGTGCTCGAGGTAGCCTCGATGATGATGCCGAGGAAGGCAATGCAGCACCCCAACCAAAGGATGTAGCGATGACCGAACCACTCGACGGGCAGAGGCGCCGACTGCAAAGTGTCAGCTGTGTCGTGCATCTCTTCACACGAAGGTCAAGAACCAACCAAAGCGCCCAGTAGTTTCCCAGCAAACGCGCACGAGCTCATGAACGACGCTCGTGATGGTGATAAGGCGTAAGTGCCACCCTTGGAGGGTGTTCCGAACTGCTTATCAAAGGAAGGGATGCTTTGCACCCCAGCGAAACTGGTCGTATCATAGCCAAACATTACGTTCAGCAGCGACGTGATCATCCAAGCCGTGAACAAGGTCCATGTCATCTTCTTGAACACCCCATGCAGGCGTGTGAGAGGGTTCCGACTGCTTGAAGCCATCTTGCCACTTGGACCTGATCTAATTCCGCACAGCTTGATAGAAGGCTTCACGAAGACGTTGAGGTGGACTGAAGGTGGGTTTGAGCGTCAACCTGCAACTTCGAGTAGAATAAGATCTTGATATCCATGAAAGTGGGAAAGGTAATGTAACTTGATATTTGTAGAACGGCATGGGACATGGACTCTCGTCCTCCGATCTTGCCAGCCATATGGCTACCCCATGGGACAGGCCGGTTCATGGGACACAAGCGGCTCCTCCAACCTCGGATCAGATCCTGCAACTTGTGTCCAGCATCGTAATCGAAGGCCTGAAAAGTGTAGAGGCGGCAACCGAATTGACGATGCGGTACTTCGCTTGGGGCAAAGAATTGGGCGGAACCAATCGATGCGCGCAATCTCCCCGACAATGGCACATCCTCGCGTACTTCGCGTACTTCAATCACCTCACCTTCTCCTTTCTCATCGCGGTCTTCACGATATCTTTGGACAGCACTCGGTTCTGCAGGTGTTAGCAATATCGCTAGACCTCAATTACACTGCGTACCTCGCGTAGCTCGCGGATCAACGTCGCCCACTGCATGATTGCCTCCCCCACAGGATGGAACTGGTTGGTCTTTCGGTATACCCAGGATGAACATCGTACCACTGCCCATGGCACTCAGCGACGATCGTGCGTACAATGTCCATCATAGCATGAAAGCGGCTCGAATGAAAACAACTCTTTACCTTGCACGCGGCGAGCATCTTGCACAGCGCGCGATTCCTATACTGAGCGCAGCAAGACTTTCTGCCTCCCTCACCATATGAGGTTTGCTTCATACTTGTCCTACTCGAGTCTCTGCGTTTGCCCCTCCTTGCCACGCTCAACATGTCCAGCAAGCGGCCGAATTTCCTCGTCATCGTCGCCGACGACCTGGGCTTCTCAGATGTGGGCTGCTTCGGTGGTGAGATCCGAACACCCAACATCGACAGACTCGCGAAGAATGGCGTCCGCCATACCGGCTTCCATGCAGCAGCAGCGTGCTCGCCCACCCGTGCAATGATAATGACAGGCACAGATCACCATATCGCCGGTCTCGGTAACCTTGTTGAATTCACAAACTATACCGGCTGGTCCGATTTCAACGATGATCCAACCCAGAAGAATTACGATGCGAAGCCACAGCGAGGTTTGCTTTGCCCAGGGTCCTTACAAATCCCTCCTCCGTCCACTAGTGTCTATACAGGATGATTCGTCTCTGACAAGCTGAAAACAACAGGCATGCCCGGATACGAAGGTTATCTAAATGAGCGCGTCGCGACTCTCCCCGAAATCCTCCGTTCGGAAGGCTACCACACTCTCATGGCAGGAAAATGGCACTTGGGTCTCATTCCAGAACGCTCCCCCCACGCACGCGGCTTTATACGATCATACGCCCTTCTACCTGGGAGTAGCAACCACTTCGCATACCAGCCTGAGGAAGAGTAAGGCTCCGCTCCACATTTTACTTTCGCCATCTTCCCATCTAACAAGACCCATGGACTAGAATTCGAGACGGCCTCCCACAATTCCTTTCCACGGGCGTTATAGCCCTGCATATGGAAGACAACGCCTACGTCAACACCCTGCCAGAGGACTTCTACTCATCCAACGCGTATGGCGATAAAATGCTACAATATCTTTCGGAATGGCACACCCAAAAGCAAACACGCGACGCCGAAACGGACGCCAACGCCCCGTTCTTCGCATACCTGGCATTTTCCGCGCCCCACTGGCCTCTTCAAGCGCCGAAAGAGTTCATCGACCACTACCGCGGCGCGTATGACGAAGGCCCAGATGTCCTTCGACGGAAACGGCTCGATAAGCTTGTTGAGCTGGGCTTGATTGAGCACGGCGTCGAACCGCACCCAGTAGTTGCGCCAGACGAGATCCAAGGCTGGGATGAGATGTCTGATTTCGAGCGCAAAATGTCCGCTAGGGCGATGGAGGCGTACGCCGGTATGGTCGAAGTGAGCATATCAACCAGCCCAGAAGTGATGCTATGCGCAGACTCCTAATGTGTTATACGAGTAGTGTCTCGACCACAACATCGGCAAAGTGATCGACTACCTTAGCTCGATCGACGAGCTACACAATACATTCGTCATGTTCATGAGTGACAATGGCGCCGAAGGAGCGGCGTACGAGGCATATCCGGTACTTACTCGCCCGTCCCCCCTGCGTTCCAGGTTGGTACCAAGGTTTATGATCCACTCACTGACCGACGTCTCGCATAGATGGTTCGAGGACCTCTACTCGACCACATCAGGAAGTGCTACGACAACAGTCTCGATAACATTGGGGCAGGCTCTTCGTTCGTCTGGTACGGCCCGCGCTGGGCACAAGCGGCCACCGCACCGTCACGCCTGTACAAGCTCTACACGACTGAAGGCGGCGTTCGGGTTCCATGTGTCTCGACGTTTCCAATATTCCCAGGCGGCGTGAAGCACGAATTCGCAACGGTGATGGACATTGCCCCGACGATCCTGGATATGGCTGGCGTGAAGCATCCTGCGCCGGAATTCCAAGGGCGCGAAATCACTCCGATGCGTGGAACGAGCATGGTACCCTGGCTCAAGGTGACTGCCACTCCACTCCATCTCGCGATTCCCTGGCGTCCCCAGTGCTGCCCCCTTTGGCTGACAAGAGGAACCTGCAGAACGAACAACCAAGCGTACATCCGCCGGACTTCGTGCAAGGCTGGGAACTCTGCGGGCGCGCAGCGATTCGGAAAGCGAACTGGAAGGCCGTCTTCATCCCCAAACCAAAAGGCCCCGGGACATGGCAGTTGTACAATCTGTCGAGAGACCCTGGTGAGATTCACGATCTTGCTGACCTAAACCCGTCCAAATTGGAGGAGCTGCTGGTCCATTGGGATGACTATGTGAGAGAGTGCGGCGTGATTCCCCTGCAGCCCGAGCTCGGAGCATATCTGGATGCCACGGAAGAGCAGATGCCGGTAAGTACCTCTACGCCGGAATCTGCTCAGTCATATGTGATTGAGCGACCCAGAAGCTGATGTTTATATCACAGGAAAGCGCCTGGTTGGAGTATGAGTTCTGGAAGCCCGGTGCGCTTGTCGACCGCGAAAAGTTCTTCCAGAAGCCAAAGCGATTCCCTTCGAGGCAGTACCCGAACGGAATCGCTGCAGCTTGAAATTAATCGTGAATCCGATGTCCCTGCACTTATTGCTCATTGATATGGCAGGTGATGTTCTATAGTAAGCTATCTTGTTACATGTCTATAGTCTTATTCTAGGCCCGAAGTCATTGAAATTCCTTGTCCACCTCTTCATAGTAATCAAAGAACCCCTTGTAGAGTTTCACACCCAGACCAGGATCAAGCGAGCCCGTCGTGGCTCGAATCGAGTGCATGCTCAACTGAGGTATACCACAATCGATGGCTCGGCAACCCAGCTTCGAGCTCGTCATGGGTCCAATCGTGCCACCACTCCGTGAATCGTTTCGTATCTGGAACACCTGTAGAGTGCTCCCACACTTCTCTGCTATCCGAGATAACAGGGCAGTCGATGCGCTGTCGGTGGTCATGTGTCCGTTCGAATCGGCACTCACTGATACACCAACATTCAATCGTGGAGAATGGTTCTCGAGGTATGCTCCGAGGAAGTTGGGGTTGACGGCATGGATAACGTCTGAGGAAACCAGGAATGAATTTGCCAAAGTCTGGCTGACCAGGTTAGGTCCGCAAGAGCTCGAAAAGTTCTCGGCGATCCTCTCAATCACACTTGACATGAAGTTGCTTCGAGCACCTTGTCGAAGGTATGAGCCAATCTCTTCGTCATCGAAACATCCGACCATTTTGACAATACCCGGGGATGCATCGTCGGACGACGCTAGTAGAGCTTCGATAGCTGCAAAGCAGCATAACTTGTCGTCGATCCTGCCTGCAAAAATGAATTCTTTATCAAGCCCGCCGAGTTGAGCCGGCTGGACGTCAAAAAGCTCCAGTTCCCAATTGACAATGGAAGTGTACTCCTCAACGCCCAGCTTCCCGGCAATTGCTCGCACCAGACGTTCAGGTTGACTGGCAACGAACGTTCCTGCTGGTAAATTCAGGCTCGACTCTTGCTTTCCCGAGAGATCGGAGTTGTCGATGCCCACAATAGGAACCATATTGGTCTCCAGGTTGAATGGCCCTGATGCAGCAGCTCCAAAATGTGGTGCGAGGGTAGGTATTCTGGCAATCGGCCAGTCTAGCTTCACAAGCTCTTCCTTGATCTTCCCATCCTTTCCTTTCACTAGAACTCTGCCACCAATGCCGAGGTCACGATCCCACCATGTCATATTCATGCCTCCAGCATAGGGAGCCACACCGAGTTGTACATAGCCAGCTTTAGTAGGTAGCTTAGGCACAGGCTTCACCTTTGCAGTAAGGGCGTCGATATGACCAGCCACTATTCCCATGCCATTGCCAGCTTTATATTCCTTGCCAACTGCAAAGGCAATGAAGGCGCTGCCATTCCGCTTCGTGTAGTATTTCCCGCCTGGCTTGATCTCCCACGTTGTTCTCTCGGACAGATAAACGTATCCTGCTTCTTCTAACTGGGTTGTGAAGGCATCAACAGCATGGAAAATGGTAGGGTTATTGGTCATGAAATCGAGATAAGGCTGAGTATATTTCTCTGGCGAGAACCGTTTCTGAGGAGAGGGAGGTCTGGATGCCAGAGTGGAGGCTGTATGCTGCACCATGCGGTCATATCCTCGAGACACATGGAGTGGGAGGTCTTCATGGATGGAGGTGAAGAAGCCAGATGATGTCTTGCGAACCATGGTGCGCTGTATTTCCCGAAATGCAAGTCTAGAAATCTATATGACTGAGTACAATGAATGGAATAGTCACCCGCTCGGATGGGAAAGTGATCACGAATGCAATGCATGATCAACAGGGGAGCTACCTCACGCTTCCTCCACAGCAACCCGGATCTTGCGGAGTATCGGAATTCCAAGTGTCAATAATGCCATTCCACGGCTGACCAACTCCTTCGCTGCCACCCAACACCCACCCTAGCCTCCCCGCCATCTTATCGCTAACACCCTGGTGCACCCTGTACTTGTCGACCGATCCTCTCCACGAACTTCGCAACCTCAGCCGTCTCAACTATCTCAGCGTCTGTCAAATGGCATCCAGCGTCGCAGCCAAGAGGCTCTTCCAGGAGTACAAATCACTATTGACCAACCCACCAGATGGCATCACAGCGGGACCTGTCAACGAGGACGACCTTTTCGTCTGGGAGGCGCTGATCCAAGGCCCTGAGGGTACTCCATTCGAAGGCGGCATCTTTCCTGCAGAGCTCAAGTTCCCTAAAGACTACCCTTTGAATCCTCCAAAGATGAAGTTCTTGGGCGAAATATGGCATCCCAATGGTACCGCTTGCAATTAATCCTTCATGGCGGCGATAACTGAGCTGACGACCCGTTCTAGTGTATACGAATGGCGAAGTCTGCATCTCAATCCTTCACCCTCCTGGCGACGATCCGAACCACTACGAAAGCGCTTCAGAAAGATGGTCTCCCATACAAAGCGTTGAGAAGATCCTGATATCCGTCATGTCTATGTTGGCTGAACCGAACGACGAGAGTCCTGCAAACGTCGAAGCTGCGAAGATGTGGAGGGAGCGACGGCCAGAATTTGAGAAGAGGGTACGAGAGGGCGTGAGACGATCATTAGGTCTATAAACAGGAATGGCGCGTGCAATCATCAACATATCTCATCACCACATCATCCTATCCTCCTGCAGCTCATCTGCAAGATGGACCGTCAACCACTCCTCGAGACTATCTCCGCTCTCATCAAGAATCTGAGTCTCAGCCTTTCGGTTCAGTATAAGCATTTGTTGGAGCTCGGTCGTACATTCTTCAAGACCTGGCAGCAGAGCACCCGACCCGTCTCGCCACTCTTCGCTGGTCAGCATCGAAAGTGCGATTGCCCGGTCTCGCATAGACAAAGGCATGGACGCATTGTCACCCTGGCCTATTCTGGTCACGTCCTCCGCCTTGAGGCCTATCCATTTCATTTCCGGGATATTGCAGCCGTGCTCTTGAGCCATCTTCTTCGAGCCATATCGATAGCACTTCAGGATTTGTATACCGTCCGGGTCCCAGTCCATCAAGCCAAACGCTTTTACGGATGGTTCGACATGATTGAGAAGGGCGCGCAGGAAACGCCGAGTCGCGAGGTCTGGGTACCCTTTTGCCTATTCTCTGAATTGGTGGAAGAACAACAGAATCTGGAGAAGACTTTACCGTGACGAGCAGCCCAGGACCAATGGTATGATTTCGTTGGTATTGCCTTTCCACAAGACTGTTGAAGGTTGCCTGAGTTGGGTTGGTTGGTCAGTCAGCCAGTTCCCGCTTGCACATTCGTCTCTCTTACCTCTTTCTCAACCACCAAGACCCATCGCTGATGAGAGAGGTCTGGAAACGTGAAACCAATATCGACAGCAGGAATGATTGCTGTTTGGTCTCTCCTGTCGTTGTTGAAAAGTCCAGCGAGGAGGCCTTTAGGACTTCCGGTCTGCACGCACATTCAGTCTGCAACGTTAGCAAGTCGGCTTATGGTCTTTGCTCACCACTTTTAGATCACTCCTTGCCACCTGGCAGGTATGGGCAATGTCGTCGATGTATCGGTCCACAGTCTCTTGCTGCTTGAACAGGGTAGGGTCACGGTAGTAGATATCCCTGCTTAGTCAAGAGAGATTCACTCATGGTTTCGATGACAGAGTACCTTTTGGTCACTGTAACTCCATCCTTGATTGCTGTGTATATCTCGCTCAGTATGCGTCCAACGCAGGCTAAAACGATTAGAAGATCCCTTCACCTCGCTTTCTGCCGCTCACTGAATCTCCATGCTTCATCTTCCGTTCTTCCTGGGAAACGGTATTGTACTTCACGATCTTCAATGTGCCATTTCAAGCGCATAAAGTCAGCCTCGTCATAGTAGGGTCTTACTGCGACAATTCTTTTCAAAATGATGACTGGTTTACCACACGGCCGGGCCTCGATCTCACGAAGAATATTGCTGAACGTGTTTTCGATATAGTCAACGACTTTCTGATTAGCAGCAGTGATTTGTGGCGCGGATGTCCCTAGTGTGGCATCATTATAAGGCCTGCAGAGGTCCATCTTGATCAACCGTTGACATACCCTGCATATGTCAGTCTCGCAGGCAGATCCAAGGCTGGCATTCGCCAGGGGAAGATCTCGAATCGTGATGGGGTCAACTGTCAGCAAGACCCTGGAAAACGGGCAGAACGGACCAATTGAGGTGGCACTGTCCCTGCGCGACCAGCGGCTTCGCTAAAGCACCACATCCGACTTCCACATGCTCCGAGTGGCCTCACCAATAATTCTCTGGGTTGGGGGTTTTTGGCGATGATTTACCTGGATGACAACGACGTCTGAAGGCCCTCTGCGATCATTCTCCGCTGCGTTATCGAGTCCTGGCAGACTGGCATCATGCTACATTAACAGCCACATCCTACTATGGCGCCGACGCGACTTTCTGCTCAAAAGGCGGTCAATGGTGCCCCCATCGACCAAGTGAATGGCCACGCGAAAGGTCACGCCAACGGTCAAATCGCTGACCGTCACAACGACAGACTCGACCGTTCAAGATGGAGACTGCTAGATGAGTCAGGCCGTCACACATGGCACTATCTGAAATCAGACCAAGAAATCCAAGAATGGCCGCAGACGATCGCAGACAAGTACCACTTGGGTCTAGCAACAGTATGATATCCAGTCCATCCACCACAAGTTGACTGACCCGTGTAGAACCTCCCTGACCTCCCACCTGCCTCGAAACCATCAGAGTCAATAGATAATTGTCTGACATTCTACTCGAAACTCCAACTCCCTCCCGGAAACTGGGCCTGTGAATATGGCGGCCCTCTTTTCCTGCTCCCTGGCATTGTCATGTGCTGGTACGCCACGGATACACCCATCCCACCGGAATACCAGATCGAAATGAGAAATTACCTGTTTGCGAGACAGAACAAAGACGGCGGATGGGGTCTACACGTCGAGGGACACAGTTCAGTTTTCGGGACAGCCATGAACTATACAGTCCTGCGCATCCTCGGTTCCAGCGAGGAAGATCCGCGCATGATTAAAGCAAGAGGCAAACTCCATCAACTTGGTGGTGCTATCAATGGTCCTCACTGGGCCAAGTTCTGGCTGAGTGTTCTGGGTGTTACACAATGGAGCATCGTCAATCCTGTCCCTCCAGAACTATGGCTTCTCCCAGACTGGGTGCCCATACATCCCTGGAGATGGTGGATACACATGCGACAAGTCTTCTTGCCAATGAGCTACATCTGGTCCAAGAAATACACCATGCCCGAGAACGCACTCATTCGCTCGCTACGTCAAGAACTCTTTGTCCAACCCTACGAGACAATCGACTTCGGTGCACACCGCAACTCCATCGCCCCAGAAGATAACTACCATCCCAAAACCTGGATCCTCAACCTCATCATGTTCATCCTAGTGTGGATCTGGATTCCTTGCCTCCGCACGCGATCTATCATCGAAAAGGCCGAAGCCTGGGCCTGGCGCCTTGTCCAGTACGAAGACCACAACACCGACTACGCTGACCTTGCACCCGTCAGCGCACCGATGAACACGCTCGTGTGCTATCTCCACGAAGGGCCCAAGAGCTACTCCTTCCAGCGGCACCTCTACCGACTCAAGGATTATCTCTGGGTCAACAAAGAAGGCATGCTTGCTAACGGCACCAATGGTGTCCAAGTCTGGGACACAGCCTTTACCATTCAAGCCTGCGTCGAAGCCGGTCTCGCAGACTCGCCGAAATGGAAATCCATGCTTACTCAGGCCCTGTCATACCTCGAATCAGAGCAGATCCGCGAAGAAGTGCCGGACCGCGAAATTTGCTACCGCCAATCGCGTAAGGGCGCGTGGCCTTTTTCCACGAAACTGCAGGGATACACTGTATCGGACTGTACCAGCGAAGCGCTACGCGCCGTGTTGCTCCTGCAAAATGCGCACAATTACAAACCACTGCTTGACGACAGCAGGATCAAAGACGCCGTCGACGTCCTGCTGACCATGCAGAACAAGCATACCGGGGGCTTCGCTAGCTACGAGCCCCAGCGCGGCAGCGAGTATCTCGAAATGCTCAACGCAGCAGAGGTCTTTGGCCGGATCATGGTTGAGTACGACTACCCAGAGTGCACGACCGCGGTTGTCACAGTTCTCTCTTTGTTTCAGAAATTCTACCCGGACTACCGCACTGGCGAGATTCGTCGCATCAAGGAGACCGCTTGCCAGTATATCCGCCGCGCCCAGCGCGACGATGGATCCTGGTACGGCAGTTGGGGGATATGTTTCACGTACGGCGCCATGTTCGCGCTCGAATCCTTGTCGTCTGTCGGCGAGACCTACACCAACTCAAGCCGCGTCAAGAAGGCATGCGACTTCTTGATAGGCCACCAAATGCCCGACGGCGGGTGGGGCGAGAGCTACCGTGCAAGCGAACTGAAGGTCTGGGTGGACCACCCGGAAAAGTCGCAGGTCGTGCAGACGTGCTGGGCGGCCATTGCGCTGATGTATGCTGGCTTTCCGGACAAAGCGCCCATTCGACGGGCGCTGCAAATGGTCATGGGTCGTCAGCAGGCTAATGGCGAGTGGTTGCAGGAAAGCATCGAGGGCGTGTTTAATTGCAGTTGCATGATCACGTATCCGAACTATAAGTTCTACTTCCCGGTCAAGGCGCTGGGCATGTACAAGGCTAGGTGGGGGGATGAAGTTCTTCTGTGATTTGAATAGAGTAAAAGAGTTGGAAATAAGCGCAAAACAATTGACAGGGTGTTTACATTATGTAGGCATTGAAGCTGATGTTGATGCTGAAGCTATGAACATCCGTTCGTTCGCATCCTTGTGTTCCCTTTCGTATTTAGTCTTACATGATATGTGCAGAGCTGACTTAAAGCCTGACCAGATGGTACAGGTGCATGCGCGAACAGGAGTCTCCTTCTCAGGTGACGACACGGTTGTATGCCACTATGATGGAGTCCAGCGCTCTTCACTAACCAATTTCAATCCAACCGTTGAACCTCGAACTTATAGCTCGGAGCCTTTCATGGGTCTATCCTTTGTGTTGAAAATTTGGTACTGACTGACTCACAGGCGGACGGTAAGACAGTCGATCTTGAACGGCTGGACCAGACAACTACGATGGCCTCGGATAGCAGTCTCATCCGGGCGACAGTCCTTGGGTACTACCGTCGGCGGCGGCGAGAATCAATCTTCGCGGCTCCATTGTCGATATAGGATTGCCGACTCGGACACCGTGTAAGGGACATCAGTCTACGCTGAGAGCGAGACCGTTGGTCCTCCTCCTAGTCTGTGATGGATTTGGAAGTCTGCAACCTGATTCTCGACCTTCAACATCTCGATATTGGTCTGACAGCGACCTGCCTCAAGATGACGCTTTTTCAAGCACCTCCCGCAGGTGGTCCCGCGTATCTCGAGGCTCTAGACGATTCGTCATGTTGTCGCTTAGTTGCTCCGGTCGCTTGAGACTGCAGCTCGGGGCGAGTCCGAGCTCGATGATGTGGCTAGCCTAATAGCAAATCTGGAAGTCGTGATTCTTGTGTGAAACTCTGGTTTCCGCTTGGCTTTCAGCCTGGGTCGTTGGTCGCGTCGTAATATGCTTTCGAGGGATCCTCGTAAATGAAAACCGTGGTCGTGCTCGACAAGCTCTGAGTTGACCTTGGTGATTGTGTGGAATCACTGGTGTCTGCACTGGACTCCCGCTTCAAGTGGAAGTTCGGCTCCTCTTTGTCTTTGATGTTTAACAACAACTCCGTAAAAATATTTTCTGCATGGACACCCCTGCGCTTTACGTTTTCGAAAGCCTTTTCAAGCCACCGAGTGGCTTCGGTCCGGCCAATTCTTTGATAATAGAAGTAGGCAAGATTCGCAGGAAAATTGATGATATTAGCACCCCAAGCTCCCATATCGGGTCGTAGACAGTATGGCACCGTGCGGCATATATTCGAAGCGTATCGTTCTGCGTTGAGGACATCACTTAGAGTAGTAGGCTTGATAGAGTCCGGCAACTTGTGGTTTCGCAGCTCAACAGCCTGCACAACATCATCGGCAAGTTCAGCCAGTGTTAGAGAGCAAGCATAATACACCACACGAGCATGGACGAATAGATGGTTTTCGAACCAAAGGTCGGTTTCGAAAGGATACCCGTCCGGATCATTGGGATCGTGTTTTTGCACGCGAGGCGTAGCTCCTTTCTTTGTGCCATCTCTCCATTGGTCCATTCGCGTTTGTACAGTCTTGCAATCGTTCAATAGCTCTATGAGCTCTTCTCCAATATCGGAGTCACTTTCTCGGAGAATGTCGAATTTCTCCAGGAGACCGGGGACGAGAGTTGTGGTATCGGTCAAACGGTCGAAATAAGTTCGATGTTTCACTTTAGCCCAAGGTATGGTAAGCCATTCCTCGGTGGCCAAGTAAGTCGACTTCCTCTGCAGGATGGCAGCATATACTGTAGGAATTCTGGAAGCGAGAAATGGATGATGAGCATCCCAATGCTGATGTCGTTCAGGACCCCGAAGCTCGACAAGTCGAGCTGCTCCTGAGGCATGTGCGACCCAACTTCGGGATTGAAATGCTGGACCTTCGAAGACCTCGTACAATCCAAGCAACATGCAGGCCATGAGAATGTGATCGGAATACATTCGCTTAGGGTCGAATAGAGCCTCTTGCAATTCTTTCAATGCCTTGCCATATATCTTACTGCTCTCGTAGACAAGACGGAGATCTTTATTTGCTTGGCCAACTCTTGATATAGTCAAAGCCGAAAATGCCTCCTCGAGAGAGTGATCCTGCTTCGTAACCTGTTGTATGATTTCCGCCCAGTTCATGGGATTTCCGCACGAAAGCAAGAAAGCGTCGCGACAGGCGCAGTCGCCCTGCGGCATGTAGAGATCCCAGAATAAATTCCGACATTGTGATTGGACTGCTGTCTGATTGAGGGAGCCTGGCAGAGAAGCAACAATGGATTTCGCATACGGGAGGAAGACGGCTTTTTCGACTTCTTTACTCGCAGGGTGGAGGATGAACGTTCTGTCGCGTTTGTAGCCTCCGCAAACGTATCCACTGGCCGCACATTGACCGCATATCGGGCGTTTTTGATCACACTGCAACAGAAAGTGAGCGATGGAGGGAACAGGGTGAATGTGAAGGGCTCAACATACACCTTTTTTGCGGCGCCGACAAGTACTACAGCCCTTGCTTTTTCCAGGAACGCCTACCATATCTGATGAGCATTTCCGCTTCTTGGGTTTGGCAGCCGTCCAGCCAATGTGAGGGAGATCTTAGTCAACCGAGTGTGGGCGCAAGAGGGGACTGGACCGATAAAGGGATAAGCTGCATATCATGTTGAAACAGCTGCGAAGGCAATAGAAGAGGAGACGATTGGGGACGAGGAGATGGCCAGGTCCGTGTTCCAAAGAGGTCGATAGAAAGCTGGGCTTGATGGGTTATGATGGCCTCGAAAGTAGCTGTTTCCGGACAAGGTCAGTATGTGGAGATGGTAAAGAGATGGAATCCTTGTGGATTCGGGTTGGATGGCGGTGCTGGGAGTGGCTTGAATTGAAAAGCAAGTCATGGATGTTACCGTGCAGACAACGAGATTAATTGGCTGGTGAAGAGCTTGGGCGCATGTTTTTGGGCATGGTAGGCATAAGCCTAAGCTCAATAATTGAGACTTGGGGGCCATCAGGGCTGACTACCTAGGGCCTCATGCAAGTCTAGGCGAGAGACAAGGGCTGGTGAGGCCTATGCAGGCCTGTAGCTTGCAGTCATCGAGACCTGCAGGTGATTGCAGGCCTGGTGCATTGCTTCTCCAATTCCGCTTAATGTCTAGGACTGCCGTGGACTGCCAACTGCTGCGCTACGTCACCGCTCTGCCCCACGCTTGATCTGAGCGCCTGTACACAATAAACAATCAATCTCGACTTCAACACCAGCGCTTATACCATTTATTTTCCCAGTTCCAATCCTCTTGGTTTCTTGTGTATCGTTCTGCCGGGAAAACAGACCCTGCATTTTCTTTGTTGCCGGTCATGCATTGCTTATGACACTCTATTTTAATGTTTATGGGTGACGGAGACCGGGATACTAACCGTCATGAACCACACACAGCTTGCAGATCTGCTTGCCAGAACAATGCCTCAAAACACCTCGACTGGCTCCTCCCACCGGACTGCTCATAGCTCAAACTTGTCACCTCGACAGAAGTTCCAGGCACACGTCCGCACGTTGAGCGACGACTCTCTCGCCTCTCGAAACACGCCATCCCCGCGTCGAGCGCCAGAATTGCAACACGTCTCTGGCCTGCGAGTGAAACCAGATGACAGTCCTCCACCACGAAATCCTGCTCGACCGAGCCCAGTCTACAGATATGACGAAGCAGATCTGCGCGTATCAAGGGATGGACAACCAGCATTCATTGCAGAAGAGCGCGAAGCTTGGGCGAGACCTTCGCCTCTGCGGATCCGGAAAAGACCCTCGACTGATGTTTATTTTCTACAGCCGCCAGAAGAAGACTCTCCAGTACGGCAGCCAAGCAAGGACACTCGAGGACTTCAGCCATTTGCCCCTTTCTCGGATGCTGTAGACGAGAATGAAAGACCAAAGACCAGTCGGGGACCAGACCCGAATCGACCCAGCTTTGATAATTATAATTCTAATGGAGATCAAGCATTGGTAACCCGCAATTCAAAGTTCGCGGAAGGGAGCATGAACAACCGTTCGGCTGGTATATCGTCGACCTGGCACAAACACGGTTCCATTTCTAGCCTTTCCGCTGCCGAGTCAGACAGAGAATCCACCCCACGAGCATCTCCACAACGTTCTTCGATTGATCTGGATGAGTTCAAACCACCCGCAGTCACTCCAGCTACCTTGAAACAACGTCTGCTCAAGATTGGGTCAACTTTCAAACACAATGAAAAGCCTACCAAGGTTGAAGCACAACCACAAGTCGAAAAGAAGAAGAAGGGCCTACGGAAGAGCATCTCAATGTGGAATATCCATAACATCGGCGACAAGAGGAAGACCCGTGCATCTGCTTCGACGCATGACCTTGATCCGAAACCATCAGCTCCCGATTCAACTGCTCATCATCCCACTTCGGATGTGCTTAACGATCGCAAAAGAAGAGCTGAGGAAGCCTACGCTGAGCAATTCGGTACAAAGAGGAGGAAGTCGGCGGGTGGCCAGGTCAATTTGCCGGCGGCGCCAGCAGAACCACGCCCGCTTCCCGTGCCCAAATCCCAGAGTAGAAACTCCGGAGGTAGCAGACGTGGTCGACGCGTCTCCTCCATCGCGATCAGCACCGATTCCGAAATGTCGGACGAGCACACTGACATTGATCACCACAAACGTCCGAGTCGTCGTGAGCTAGAGAAAGAGAATCATCAACTCCGAGAAATGCTTAAGCACCAACAGCCACGTCGAAAGTCTGATGGTAGTGCTCTTGTCCAGACGGTCTCAACGTCTGCATCCACGCAACATCTCGCAGAGTCTGACAACACGAATGATTCTCAGCCTCGCAAAGTATCCAGCAAGAAGCTAGATGTACCACCTCTACCGCCGATTCCAGATCGCGTCGCTCTACGAAACCTAAGTAATACGAGGAACCAGCCCAAGAACAAAGCCACTAATGCGAGCACGACGAATACAAGTGCTAATGCTAATCTTGATGGCGACTCGGAGGACCTGAAACGACCCCATCTCATAATCTCCGGTGCAGCGGGCCTACCTCGGCCAGTCTCGATGATTCTCGAGGAAGACGAGGAGGCAACTGAGAACAAGACGCCAACACCGAGTCCGAGTCCCAAGAGAAGAGTCCTCGAACCGAGTTCAGTGGAGAGGAGGAAGACGAGAGACCATATCGCCATGCAGATGAAGGGGTTCAAGAGGGAACAGTGGGAGTGGCCGGATGATGTTTTCTGACCGCCATGACGAGAGGACAATGAGTGGATTGATGGATTGACGGATGAAGGAAGAAAATCGAGTGATGAGCCAATAAATGGCTGGAAGTTATGCTGATGGTTGATAAGCATAGCTTCGTACGACGTGATGGAGCGAACGTTGACCTTTTTCTCATCCTACACAACCAAGAATGACATTTGGAATGAGTAGCGTTGGATCTGGATTTTGAGCGGAGTGTGCTTGGATGAGCTGAAGTGAGCTGGGTGGTCTGAGCGCTTTGTTGTTCGTTTTCTCTTCAGTTTGTAGCGTTCTTCGAACAGAAACCAATTTTGATACGCTTGAAGAACCCGCACTCGTGATTGACCTTGAGCAAAGGCTGGGTCTGACTGGTCTGCCTTGTGTCTGCCTTGCATATTTCCACCATGGCTATCGCAAGTCGACTTTTAGCAGTGTGCAGAGTATTCGCAGTTCGATGTCCTTGACAACATGTCAAGTTTGCATCCGGGTTCGTACTCTACTTATAGAACGGCAGGGCTGTGAAAGCCCGGACGTCGATAGAACTTGAACATGAATGTAAGGACATTTCAAGCCTGAGCGGAGTAAAAGATATCGTATTTCCCATCATATACACATCAATATCATATCACATCAACCCCAAAAATGGCCTATACCCATCCACCCCTTTCCCCAAAAGGCTAAGTAAGTGAAAACATTCATTCTCAGATCCCTTACGGAGTTACGCCCAAAGGATTTACAGTCATTCAGACGAGACACGCTCGCAGACCTACATACACTCAATTCGGCATGGTGACTGCACCAGCACAGCGTCCTCACAAAAGCGAACAGTGTGAGGTTTCGGAGTTGGAGTATGTCGGCGTAAGTAAACACAATGGAAGCGACGATATATTCGTGGCTCATGGAGGGGGGGATCATGGTGTTGGTAAAGGCTTTCAGTCGAAGAGGTAAGATTGGCAAGGTAGTTGGATGAGCGTGAGCGGGGCGAAAGTGAGTGGAGTCCAGTCTGGCAGAATAAAGTCAAAGCATTGTCGTTGAAACAAGGAGGTCATAATCGTGTTTGAAGTTCGGCCCTGGCTGGTCATGAGCTGTTCCCCCGTCGGTTCGAGTCCGCAGATGCAGGACGTCTTGCGACAATAGTGACAACTAATCATGTCCAGAACCAGCCACCTCGTCCGGGTCGGCGGGTACCATCTCCATCCTGCTTCTGCTGGTGCGCAGTCTCTCCTTCTGACTGTCTGTCTTGTTGGAGTGGAGCACTCGCTTTCGATGGTTGATGGGGATCGTCTTTCAGCGACTCGAGTACGAGTGTATCGTCTGAGTCTGGACGAGTTGCCAAGGACACAGCACGATCATGCCGATCGGGCGAAGAGGAGACAACAGTAGGCTCTTGTTTATGAGTCTGTTTGAGGATCGTAGAGTCCTCGAGAGGTGATGGGAATGCGCGTGGAATGTTCCTGACCTCCACACTTTCGTCGGATTCCTCAGTGCCGTCAGCGAAACGTTGCTTGTATGTACGCTTAGTCTCGACTGATCCATCCGGGAGAGTCCTTTCAGTGGTCGAAGTTGTTGTTGCGACAACGTGCTTTGCAGAATCGGTTGATTGGCCAGACGAGAAAAATGAGCTTTCGTAGGAATATGACGATGAGGAGGATGTTGACAGTACTGGAGTTGGGGCTTCTTCGATAGTTTGGGTTTGTTCTGGCTGGAACAGCTTCTCAGTGGCTGCCTGCGCCTTTTCGAAGTCCTCTTGCGCTGCTTCGACAGCAGACACGATCGAATCAGCAGCAGACAGAACGCTGCCAAAAATAGGGAAAGGTGCAAGAGGCTCGGTGGCCTTGTCAATCACGTCGTCAATAAAGTCTTCCTCTTTTTCTGTTAATTTGAGCGACGGTGTCGTTGATGGCTTCTCTTCGCTGTGCCTCCTGCAGCCCCATCTTCTTTCCCTTTCCCGCTTGCAATGGTCCTTGATATGCGGCGAACCCAGCGTAGTATTCGTGTCGTCGAGCCGTTTCATCAAGAGACCATCCTGATTGAAGCCCCAACGAGAGCCAAGACTTCCTCGGTGGACCATATCGTGGATCCACGTGCTAGGCGTGCGCCAGGTCGAGCAGTCTCTATCCACCATCTCGCCGGTCTGCTGTAAGCTAAGCAGATCCTCAAAGGCATCTGCCCAAGGCAGGCGTCTCGCCAACCTCTCATCAACTTCAGAATACCACCTTTGAAATAATCTTGGTCGGTAGATCTGGAATGGGACTCCTTCAGCATCCTGTATCCGCACCTTGAACAGCCTTGGTTGGGAAGGATTGCATAGATAGACCGGCGAATACTTGCTCAGCAGGAGCCAAGGAATCGTATCGTCAGTGTCAGTGAAAGGATCCATTCGGTGACTGCCGAACATCGTATAGGTTTTAGGACGAGCTGGTCGTGCCAATGCCTGGTCACGACCGTCTTTCGAGCCTTGATCATCACCTGAAGCCTCCGTCCTTTGTCTGCCATCCCAGCCAAAGGAGGAAAACCACGACTTTGACTGCTGATGTAAGGTATCCTGGACAGGAGCTTGGAACACTGGCACATCGTTGCCGTTACTGGTGTTTCGCAGTGTATCGTAGGCATCTAACTCAGTCTTCGCTTGTCCGTTGTCGTCATACAGTGCCGGGCATTTCGATGAGTTGCCTTGCGACCCAGTCCCGTTCAACGCGGGACATCTGGCCGCCGCTCCTCGAGTCCACCAAGGTGCGGTGTCTTGTGGAGAGGATGAGGCATTTTCCGCACGCGTCCACACATGCTCTGATATCCCTGGGGTTTCAAGCTGATGTCGTCTAATCTTGTCCGTACGCTCCTCGGTCGACTCAGGACCGTCCGGAGTTGTACTCTCGAGGTGTTGCCTAAGCCTTTCCATGCTCTCGCTGCGGCTTTTCGAACCCTGGAGCATTTGTCTCATTTCTTCCATCTCTTGTTCGACCTGTTTCCTCCATCCTTCCTGCCACTCTTGCCTTTGACGCATCATGTCATCCACGTCTTTCCTGGGTTGAAAGCCAAGCATACGGGGAACACCCTGGAAGAAGGATGAGAATTGGTCATCTGCAAAGCGACGGAACTGAATGAAGGGGTTCTCGTTCTCCTTGTCGGGTCGAGGGTAGGGAGTCTGATAGGTGGGGAAAGGGTCGAGCGGAGGTGGGATGGGAGGGTCTTTTTCTGGTGAGCCTTTCTCAGGCATGATGGCTAGGTGATAGAAATACACATAAGAGAAGCAGAAGAGATGAAACAATCGAGGCGTTTGATAAAGGGAGAGGAAGAAGAAGATGGATGGGGTGATGTTTGGTGCCTGGAGTCCACGAGGATGATGTGAGTCTCGCAGTGGATGAGTGTGGGGAGAATGGAAATCGCTGGCGTCAATTCAGTCTCAAGATACCAATAGACATTGTCAACGATTGGTTCAGCTGGTGGTGTCAAGGCATCAACATTCCTATTCATCTCAAAAAGCCTCTCAAAACATCCACTACTTTCATTACTCGGTAACAACACCAGCCATGACTACCACTTAGCCCACTAAGCTGATACAGCTGTATCACAACTTAGCCCTCTCCGGCACCTTTTCCCACGCCTCAGCAAACCCGGCATTACGCACCCAATGTGGATCTCCTGCTTCGACTGAGTCAATTGCCATGTGCGCCAATTTCAACCACATATCATCGCCCTTGATTGGGAATACATCCTCAGGCTCCTTCTCATAGGGCTTGCAAGCCTGGTGACCGTTTGCAAGAGCTCTCACTAGCTTACTCGCATGACCGTCGTCAGGAAATGCGTCAATTCGGCGTGCAATCTCTCCCCAACCGTCTTCTGGTTGCTGAGGCTTGTAGGTCTTGATTTCATCGATTAACAGCTCCGGGCTTCCACGCGAGACATACATGGCCAGATCGAGTCGACCCTTCCACTCCAAAAGCCTGCATTTGTTCTCGACACTCAACCATGGCTCGTCCACGAAAGCCGAAAAGAATATCGAGCAATTGACACAGTGCATGTAAAAGAAGTCAAACTTGACCTGCTTGTCCGGCCGCTGTGCTGCTGCCGCAAAATACACCGCAGCATTGATCATTTCTGCTGTCTTCTGCTTCAGCTGATCAGGTTTCACGGTCCATTGAGCGGCAATGTCAATCATTTCGTCAGGCGCTCTGACGAAGACACCATCTCGAAGTTTGTTCCCGTCATCTGAATGAGGAGAGTCGCGGAGCTTCTTATTCGCACGGCTTTCGTGGATCAGCTGTACCAGGCTTTTGGACTTAGTGCTGGCTTTGGCGGCATCTTCAGCGGCGTGCAGGAACTTCCCTGTCCAACCATCGTGTACTGCGGCTTGCGCAAGAGCCTCGACGATGATAGCCGGCTGCTTGAACTCCACACCAAAGCCAAGATGGATCAATGGATGTAGAAATCCTGCAAACATTCGGACAAGCATCTCCTCAGCATGCTCCGTCCGGGCAAAGACGTGTTCATTGATAACCGCCTCCCAACCTTTGTCCTCGATTTCCTTGCGGAAGAAGATTTCGAAATCATGAAAGTACTGCTCTTTGCCGAGGAAGTTCTTAAATTTGTCCGGGTCAGACATGTCTTGGACGTTGTGCTTCTCGACAGGATATTGCTGTCTCTGGTAGCCTTTGTTGATGTCAAAGGCATGTTGCATCTCGTCCGGTGTAGCGCCGAGAGCATATAATGTCAAGAGGTGGTGAGCAATGTGATTATGAAAGCCACTCCTGTTGAAAAACATATGATACCTGTCATGATTTTCCTGCAGTAGCTGACTCCCAATCTTGCCAGACTCGTGTGAGATATCTGGGACGTGGTAGACGCCTGCTTGAGCAGGATTTAGCTCGACGTGGGCTGCAGTGGCCATAGTTCGCCGACCAAGTGTTGGCGGAGGTTGAAAATGACGTATGCGGAACGCAGAGAAATGGGAGTGTATACTCTTCACTTGGGGAGACACTCTATCGAGTCGAGGTCTCAAGAACATTGATATACCTAAGCTCCTTCCTTCAGCAGGCTTCACACCTCTTTTGTTGAGGTAGGTAAGAAAATCAAGATCCTATGAGAGACAACGTTGCCTTTCGAAGACGTCAAATGAAGTCAGCGGATGCGATAGGTAGCCAATAGGAAATCTTCGATCACATTGTCTTTTCCCCTTGCGGCATTTTCGACACGTAAGAGATGCACGAGAAATTGATGACTGTGGCATGTTGCTCTCTGTGATTCAGGCAATGAAGAGATGTCATGGAGTGCGGCAAGGATAAGGCATGTTTTACTGCGGGATTTGAAGTTCCGCAATGCGGACCCCGTGGAGGATAGGTGGGTGTCGCTTGGCATGCGTGCCTTATCCGCCATCATCCGCTCTGTTCATGTGGAGGTGGCTCAAGCTTTGGCAGGTTCCTCTGGATATAGTAGTCCTAATGAGTCTTGCTAACGAGACCCTTCCCTAGTGTGGTGAGGAACATCTGTCCCACGCGTTGGGTGCGCGTAGCAAAACTGACACCAGCTTAAGGTATGTAATACCTCGGGCCGCCAGCACCCCCTTTAGCGCTTGTCCCGTAAGGCGAGGCAGCCGAGATTCTCTAAGTTGGATGGATTTCGTGCTTATATCCATTTCTCGCTGTCTCAATAATCGGAGCTAGAACGCGAGGGTCTGGGCAGAATATCAGAAACCATGGCACGCACTCGGACTTGGATATTATCAAATCATCGAGAGGGAAATCCGACGTATTCAGGCCCAAATCCAACTTTCACGCTCATCGAGAGAGACCTACCAGCCCTTAAGCCGGAACAGATTCTCGTTAAGGTCCTTTACTTCTCAAACGATCCTGCTCAGCGTACCTGGATTAAGCCGAGTAAAGATTTACCTAGCGAGCGTCATTATGTGAAACCAGTCGAACTCAATGCACCGATGCAAGCACGGGGTCTATGTGAAGTGCTAGAGTCGACGACCGACGCTTTGCCAAAGGGCACGATTGTCCTCGCCCGCGTCAATTGGAACGAGTACGCTGTTCTCGATGCCAAGGATGCCAGTCCTCGATCGCCTTTACCGGGCGGACTCAGTCTTTCACAATACCTTGGCGTCTTTGGCACTACAGGACTTACCGCTTATTATGGTCTGCTGGTGATAGGCGAGGCGAAACCAGAGCATCGTGTCGTCGTTAGTGGCGCTGCAGGTGCGACGGGCAGCATGGTAATACAGATAGCTAAGAAGGTAAGAAGACCTCGGACAAACGAGTGTGGTGCTCCTAACCTATGTTAGATTGTGGGTGCCAAAGAGGTCATTGGCATCGCTGGATCAGACGAAAAGTGCAGATTTGTGGTGGATACGCTAGGTGCTGACAAGTGTTTGAATTACAAAAGTCCTTCATTTCACGATGACCTCGTTGAAGCCACGGACGGTTACGTCGATATTTACTTTGACAACGTGGGTGTGAGTATCTTTCTAACCACAATCCTTATGATTATTCAAGAACTCATTATAATCTAATGGCTTTAGGGTGAAATATTGGACGCTATGCTAGCTCGACTCGTACAACACGGAGTCGTCGTCGCTTGTGGTTCAATCTCAGGGTATAACTCTGCGGCACCCACGGTCCTGAAAAGTGAGACTCGTTTCCAGACTGCTTTATCACACTCAACTGGTCGGGTTTCAAAGGCTAAACATATACCTTAGACTATTTCCAAGTCATCAGCATGAGGTTGCAGATCCGAGGGTTTATCGCCTCGGATTACATGCACAAGGCTCAAGAAGTGACTGATATATTTATCAAAGCCCTGGACGGAGGAAAACTGACCATTAACGATCAGCTTGAGCATGTTGTACCAACGCGTTTTGAGGATGTACCGAAGACGTGGTTGAAACTGTTTGACGGATCCAACACTGGAAAATTGGTGACAAAGCTAATATCTTAACCTGACATAACTGCGGGTCAAGGCATAAGCATTTAACTGCCGGGTTCGAAGGAATTAGTTCTTGGTCCGCCTTTGCAATAGTAAAACCATTCAAATATACTGTAAAACCGCTCCGGCGTAGGGAGCTGCTAGGTGACTAAAGATGGATGTGCAGTTGTTTGCTATTGAATGGCGCCCCTGCGCTCGTAGACATGTGAAATATGTGAATCTCCAATATCGACATATAGCCAGTCTGTTCCTCTACATAGCGGTGTGCCCTCGGTTGGCGCCTGCCGGAGGCCGAGGGAAATCTATCACCCAAAGCCCAGGACCTATTTGGGTCATAAGACAACTTAGAAAGCCGACAGTCATACCTTCCAGCCCTTCCCTTGGACTCGCAGAGAATCGATACAATCCGACATCTTCGGGTGACAGTCCGTCAGCGCAAAGTTGCCAACAGGCGCTGTTCCGGGATTTGGGCTGTGGGAATAGGCCTTCGGAAAGATTCAGCCTGACCGACTACGAAGATGTACACAGATAACCCTAAACTCCTGAATGGAGGCGTCGCATTCATCACCGGCGCTGGTCAGGGTACGTATAGGCACATGAGATCAGTTGACAACCAAGAATCTCTAAAAACCCATCGCAGGTATCGGCGAGGCTACGGCTTTGCAGTTCGCCAAATGTGGAGCATCAGCGTTAGCAATAAGCGACATCAATCTCTCATCTTTGGAGAAAGTCGCGCAAAAGCTCAGGTCCGAGTATTCAGAGGTGGAGGTTGAGGCAATCTACATCGATACAAGCCACGAGCAGAGTATCATCGATGCTCATAAAGTAGCCATTGAGCGTTTCGGCAGGATTGATTACGCAGTCAACAATGCAGGCGTAGCAGGTCCCTTCAAGTCGTCCATTGACATGTCTCGAGAACAGTTCTTGTTCGGTATCAATATCAATATGGTCGGCGTGTGGCTGTGCCAGAGAGAACAGCTCAAACAAATGCAGAAGCAGGAAGGGCTCACTCCAGGGTAAGTTGCCAACCAGCTGGCTTAAGGCCTAACCCGAGCTTTGATACTAAGCACATACAAAGGGCAAGCCGGGGAACGATCGTCAATCTGTCATCTATCTATGGCCATAAGTGCGGCGACTCGAACACCTCTTATGGTACCGCAAAGCATGCTGTGCTCGGAATCACACGAAATGTAAGCAGCGTGGATCGATTCGTCCTGGAGTGCAACTCAAACGTCATCTACAGGATGCAGTCAACCATGGTAAGCATGGGATACGTATCAACGCTGTCTGTCCAGGGTGTGACCCCCGGAGTTGGCCATGTCTAGAAATTTACCTTGCTGATCCTGACAGCTTCATCGAGACCCCGATGACAAGTAGGTCAGAAGGTCCATCCCCAGGTATGAAGAGATATCTGGCTACCGTTCCAATGGAACGACTAGGACAGCCCGAGGAGGTGAGAAATGATTTGATTCTGGTGTGGCTTGTCAGAAACCAATGGGGCTGACATTCCGCAGGTAGCAGACGTGATTTTGTTTCTATCCTCGCCGTTGAGTCGATACATGACTGGAACAGACATCATGGTAGATGGCGGTTTCCGGTGCGTGTAACTAGTGTCAAGACTAAATGGCGAACCTGCTAATCGGTATCTGCCTTGGTCATGCCGGACGTGGACTCGGTACATGCTCTACATACTAGAGTTAGGGACTAGCGTCTTGACTTGATGACCCCTCGGCTATCGGGCCAAACCCTTTCTTCGTATTGTTGGCCTGGGCTGAAGTTGCTGTGTGCTCGCCGTGAAGGCGATTCAGCCGAGGCCTTCCCTCCTCCCCTCCTTGCGGCTCGGTGATTTGGGTGTCCCTTTTTGCCAGATTGCGAGCTGCAGATGTGATTGTAGGGGCAAGCAAATTGCATTCTGTCCTTCCTCAACCAAAGGGAACTGTCGCCGCTACATTCCGTATGATGTAGCTTAGACAGTGTAGACGGAATATCCCAAGCAGAGGCTCATTCTGCCAACGCATGTTCGGATCGCGAGGTCCCATTCCGATCGTTGAAAGGCCTGATCGCAACTCCAAGCTTGAGCACCAGCCTCTGGGCTTCCATCGGCTCTGCACCCTCCCAGATCCTTTCATCAGGCACCATGGCAATCCCGTCTGAAAAACAACACGCTAGGAACAACAGAGCAAGGAAAGCGTGTCTCAGCTGTCGCAGTCGGAAAGTACGTTGCGATACCACTTCGAGGGCTCCTCAGCCATGCACGAACTGCGCATTAGATAATGTGCATTGTGTTGTCGTGCCGCGTCTGTAAGCGTTTCTGACTCTCCACGTGGTGAAGAAATACTGAGTCCAGTCAGACCGAGGGGGCAAAATCGACCAGTCGACCCGCAACAATCTCACAATAACAATGCGAACGTTGCAAGGTATTCTGCACCTCCGCAACGGCAATACGATGACATGGTTGAAGTTCAAAATCAGCCGGCCGATACAATGGCGCCCGATGTAGAGGCGGGATCTACTCCAGATTATGTACGCTCCCTCGTATAAGCATCTTCCTCCACCTCGTTTCTCATCTAATGCCGTGACAAGACAGTCCAGCCACCGCATCAACTTACCGTTGGCGGCAACCCAATATCGTCTGTAGGACTCTTCAGTGACCCTCATGCTACGACGCACGACATGGATTTGTACTTCGACAGCAGCTTCCCGGATGAGGATATTCTTGGCCAGTACATGGATCTAGCGGACATTGGTGACCCCTTCAACTTCCATGCAGGTGCCTCTAACCCTGTACAGGACTTCTCGCTCAATAACGGAAGCTGCGCAAGTGACATTACTTCGCTGTCGGCAGATGCTACATGCTACTTCCGGTCCCCACTCCCTTGGGTTCGAGACTGGTTGGTGTCCCGCGCCCACGACAACGGACAACACACAAAATTGCTGAAAGATAGAGCTTTCATCCTTCCCAGCTCCGAAGAAATTAGGATGGCCATCATGCTGTACTTCACACACCTACAGCCTAGACTCCCCGTCCTGAGCGAGCGCGAATTTCACGGGCTCTTGTCAGGGGCACAGTCCAAGCCGATAAGTCTGGCGCTGCTGTATGCTATTCTATTCGTTGCAACTCCTGTGAGTACTGCCAAAGCCAATTCGCATAACACCAGTACTCATAATGTTAGTATCTAGCTGCGGAAGGACGAAGACTGGCGGGATACAACTCATTCTTTGCTGCAACGTGCGACTTCTATTCGAGAGCAGCGGTAGGTGTACGGCTGTGTATTTCCTTGGCTGAGGCTGACCTCCTTCCAGTTGCTTCTCAGGCTAGGTTGCGAAGAGGATCCACTTCGCATGGTCCAAATATTTCTGCTTTTAAGCACCTATCGATCTTTCGAGAACCGCTATTATGAGAATGAACGCTACGTCGTCAAAGCGTACGAGCTTCTTGTGGAGAACAATGCTTTACAGCAAGATTCCAATCCTCCCAGACCGGATCTACTAGGATGGAAGCGAGCCACCATGTGTTTTATGTCCCGGGCTGCGTGTTTACTCATTGCACTCAAAAGGACCAGCAAGCCAGAAATGTTTGGGTCTTTTCCGTCATTTTGGCGCAACGTCTCTTTGGATGACTTCAAGGAAGACTACGAATTCTCGTGGTATTTGAGTGCCGAGGCCAAGAAAAACACTTACCAATTGTTCGTCGCCCTTTTCCAGCTTCAGATGGGCGTGGTTCCTCTTGGGAAGCTGCTGGTGAATCGGATGGCACTAGACGCCGGCAATCTGACGCACAGCCAGGCCTCGCCATACGCGGGCGAGCACTTGTCCATCGAAGATATTGAGCTCAAAATAGACGGATGGAAACAGGAAAATAACGGCTTACTGGATACAAAGCCGCTGGAATCGTTCTCGTCGGCAGATCTGAAAGCCTTCAAGATAGCCCAAGCTTTCACAAGGCTTTCGTACGAGTATGTGTATCGCCACGTTGGTGGTTTTATTGTTAGCCTCCTTGCCTGCTGACGAATTTCAAAGGTATTTTAGATCTGAGCTATACCATACGACCTTGATAGTGGATACGAGCGTCCTTACAAAGTGGGCCATCAGACTCCGCGAGTCGTCTCGAATATCGCTTCGTGAGTCGGTCGCAACAACTGTAGCTATCGTGGAAACCCTGGTGACTGAAGGTCTTTCTGCCTTTCTTCCCCCGGGAAGGTAAGTCCTCCAATCTCCATGCCTTCAGAAATATCTCCTGCCAGTTCATAGCTACCGTCTGGATGTCGTGAAATTGGCACAGCTAACATGAATGTAGTCTGTGCTGCATTATAATTCCACTGACAATCTTCCACGTGCATCTAAAAACAACATCAATATTTGACCCGCCCATGCTGGAGAAACTTTCTTTGTGCGCTAAAGTCGTGCAAGATCTGTGTCGACTGCACGATCCTGCCCGCTTCTTCCACGCTCTAATAAGTTCAACACTAGCATTGGTTGAGCGATGGCAACAGACAGAACTTCAAGCCCAAGCGGCTCACAGCAAGGATACTGATACGGGAACCAACAGTCTGACATGCACCGAGCATAACAACGTGCCATTGCCGGGACTAGTTCTGCACTCCTCAATCATTCGGTTTCAGAATCAGGCGTACGCCAACGGGACACCTCAATAAGCGTACCTGAATCCCAAGTGTTATTCCGAAGGTTAAGTTCCGATGCTTTATACAACCGAACATGAATGGCTCTCAAAGACTCCTTGAATCAAAGTTTGCCCATTGAAGGCTCATCGACGAACTTGCGACATATGCCAAAATCAATCTGGACCCGTGATCGAAGGAATACCGTGACATGGCATGATACCATCCTCACAGTCGAGCGGTTGCCTTCTGACCTCCTCCCGCCCGATCGCCCGCATTGGCCTGAGCCCTTGCAAGGCTACCCACCACGCCTACGGTCTCTTCGACGGTTTGCGATGCCAGAAGAGGTAAGCCCGCCTTTCTCATCAAGGCTTTTACCTCTAGCATGCTGAACGCATTGAGTTTTGTCGACAGACTAGTATCGACCACCGCAAGTACTTTCTCGAGAAATTTGTCGACGTTTTTTCCGGTGTCAAAGACCTCGTTGATGAAACCACATCGAACCAAATCGTCACACTGGATGCGTTTCGACATGATCAGTGCCTCGGCCGCTATTTTGAAGCCCATGCGTCGACTAAATAAGGCCGTTGAGCCACCTTCGGCGGTGATACCGAGATAGGTGAAAGGACATAACAGGTAGACGTGAGGCATGGCATAAATAAAGTCCGAGTATGCAACCAGGGCTGCTGAAAGGCCCACACACGGGCCATTTAGGGCAGTAATCAGCAGCTTAGGGTGCGTGTAGAAAGCTTCAGTGACTTCAATGATGTGTGCAAGGCCTCGCAATTGCGTTTCACGCACAGGAGCAGGCTCTGTTGAACTTGCTTGGTCCCGTGCAGCTGATGGGCGACGCTGAATTTCCGCGCCTCTGAGAATTTGCGTCAATAAATGGCACCGTTGGGGTATCGCGCAGTGCGGCAAAGGGATATGAGTCCACGGAAAGATGGGAAGTTCAGTTTGCTTCGGTACTCACGAGGAAAAGAAACGTCCTCTACCAGTTAGGACCGTGATTACGACCTCTGGATTGCTGGCCACGTCGCGCATGCACTTTGCTAGGAGAAAGTAACCTGATGATGAGAGCGCATTGAGCTTCTCTGGGATATTTAGCGTTATGATGGCGATTCGTCCTCGATATTCAACGGTGACAGGCATCTTGAGTCAACAGATGGTGGTGGAAGGGCCACCTAGGCAGTCTTGATGGTGCTACGGCGCAGGCTTGGAGAGCGCATGGCGAGTCTGGGAATACAGGTCTTCGGAGTTCCTATGTATCACATTCCACAATCATCGAACAGGGAGATAAGACAAGGAGTAAGGGCCTCGGTCGGCAAAGAGAAATGGCCCTTCGGCAAGGCAGTCTGCATTTGCCGGGGGTGTTTGCGCTACTGATCACGCAGAGCTCATGCATGGACTATGCGAACCGAGCCAGAACCCCCTGTCTCTACTACCTTATGGCAGGTGAGTCAACTTCCTTGGCCGGTAAATTCGTAATTACATGTACTCCGCTACGAGATCGACATCTGCAGCGTATCGACAGTAGTTCACAAGAATTTTTCAGCAACACAATCAATCATGTAAGCTCTTGTTTCCACATAAGATATTATCTCAAAGCCCATAGATACCCACTGATCTAATGACGCATCTGCGAGCAGCCTACAGCTTGCTTCTAGCAGGCTGTGTCTTGGTCTTGCGTGGATTATGTACGTACGATACCTTCTGGAGACTGTCAATGGCTTCCCGGACCAGATCTCCTCTAAGCAGTCCATATACATCGGCCTTGGCCTTAGTTTTGAACCTGTTTGCGTACACTAGAGCAACGTCCAGCATTTTGTCTGGCGGAGCAATGGCGTGCACTACACCATCCTCTAAAGCCTCCTTGCCCGTGTACTTGCGTCCTTCAAGCAGGACCTTTTGTGCAACCATTGGCCTCAATTTTGCCTTTGGAAGGGCACCGATACCTGGAAAATGCAAGCCAAAGTCGACCGCTACCATGCAGAAGAAGCCTCTCTCACTGTTCATGATTCTGTAGTCGAAAGCCAAGGAGAAAGGGCAACCTCCACCAAACGTATGGCCCGTAATCAACGCGATCGTTGGGAAGGGAAAATCAAGAACGGCGTGCAGCATCTAGGAGCAGACCTTCGATTAGCACATCTTTGGTTGTTGGGATCGGCTTGGCTCGACACCTGCTTTTGCACTGGTTTCGAGCTCACATACCGGATAGAATGCATCTGCTGAGACATTGGGATCTTCAGCAGCTTCTTCAAGGTCGATGCCCTTCGCATCGCGTAAGTTAGTCCAAAAAATTCCCCGGGCTTACCCTTTTGATCAGACGAACGGCTGATCAAGGGTTATAACTTACATTGGTGAAGAACTTTGCATTGTTACCCTGCACAATCACTGCACCCTCTGAACCAGTGCCTAGCGTTTCTCGGATGTGGTCCAGAGCCGCAATGATCTCTCGACAAATTAACCCGTTCAGGCGGTTGTCTTCGCCATTCCGCAGAGTAATAATGAAGATCGAACCTCGTTGCTCCAACGACAAGTACTTGAGATTCATGTTGTGGTTACAAGGGCATCTGGAAGGCTGCTCGAGGCACATGTTAATGACATGACACATATGGTGATTACGCCTAAAGGTGGACGTGTAAAAGCCGAGGGTCCGGCTCTCCGGTCCGGCATAGACGAGGACCGGGTCACCTTAATATCGAGAGAATAGGTGTGGGACGTTAATCAACTCGGTCCCAGAAGAAAGGTCCCGAGTCTGACTCTAGTAAGCCCCTGTTCTGTAGTTAGACTATCTCTGTGGATCCACATCATCTCCTATATTGCTCCGCAACTCATGACTAAGACTGGCCATAGGAGGCATTCCTTTATCCTCATCACGCTTTCCAGGAGGGTATGAAAAGCTAAGAGCAAAGCTCCAGTGAATGAGAGCTATAGTATCTAAAAAGTGTGGTTTGCATTTAAGCCAAGTAACGTTGTCACGACATTGCTTCTAATTGAGAGCAATGGCCTGCAGTTGAGCTCTTCGAGGTGCTTGTTACAGCGAAAGAAGGGTTAATGGCTCGGAAATTTTCTACTTTGGAACAAATATCACTTTGATATTGCAGAACCCTTTGAGTCCCTCAATGCCCAGCTCTGCACCGTACCCACTTTCCCTTATCCCAGCAAATGGTACACGAGGATCAAGTGCTGCGTGCTCGTTGATCCAAGTAGTCCCAGTTTGTAGCCTCCGGGCAATCCTTGTCGCTGTGGCGATATCCTTGGACCAGATAGAGCCCCCGAGCCCGGTTTTGGTATTGTTGGCCCGGGAGATGACCTCGTCTTCGGTTTTCCACGAAAGCAAAGGCACAATCGGTGCTTGCCAATGTTAGCTTTGGGAACACGATTGGTGGATCAAGTCTACGAGCCTACTTACCAAAAGGCTCTTCTGTCACCAGCTCAGATGTGTCCGGGGGTCGGTCCACGATTGTTGGCGACACGTACAGACCAGATCCAGCGGGCGTTGGGGTGTCTCCTAATACAACCTTCAGATTCTGAAGCTCGACATCCGAGAGGAATTTCTGTGCTATCTGAAATTGCTGTTTGTTTTGAAGAGGGCCGAGAAAAACGCCATCCTCAAAACCATCCCCTATCTTCAAAGACTTTGCGTATTCGGCGAAGGCAGCGAGGAATTTGTCGTAAATGCTTTCTTGAACATAGATTCTCTTCACACCAATGCAAACCTGGCCAGAGTTTACGAATGACATGGTAGCCACCTGAATGGACCTAGTTAGTCTTGCGACAAGGACAAGATTTCGCGAGCAAAAAGTAGCAGATGATCGTCCTTGCCTTTTTGGCAGTCTCCGCGATATCGACATCATCGCAGATAATGCAAGCATCATTTCCGCCACTTTGTCGGTCAGTGACTCTGAAGCATCATCATACTCCGAGACTCACAGTTCCAGGGTTACGCGTTTCAACGTCCGACTTGCGCTCTGCATAACCATCTTTCCTGTAGCAATCGACCCTGTGAAACTGATTTTGTCGATATCAGGATGGGCAGTCAGGCGAGGACCGACCTCGTCATCGCCATTGAGGACTTGAAACACTCCAGGCGGGAAGAACTGTTGAGCGAGTTCCCCTAGCTTCAAACAACAGTATGGGGTGAACGGTGACGGTTTAAGAATGACGGTGTTTCCTGTTACCAGGGCAGATGCCAGCTTCTGGGCACTGAGGGAGACTGGGAAATTCCATGGCACAATTAGAGCACAGACTCCGAGAGGTACATAGGACAAAAGAGCTTTGCGACGATCATCTTCGTTTGCAACCACCTCAGACAACTCCATGCTGGCCAATTCCCGTGCTCGGAACACGCCCGTCTTGATCTCTCCCTGAGCCTGTGAAAACTATACTGGTTAGCACAGTCCGCGATTGAGAATCACAACCCTTACTGGCTTTCCTTGCTCGAGGGTCAACAAACAAGCAAATTGATCAGCGTATGCCTCCAAGGCATCGATGAATTGATTTATCAGCCCTTTCCTTCTCTCGACCGCAAATTCAGACCATTCCTTGAAGGCAGCTCTGGCACCACTGACTGCATCCTCCACATCCTGGGAGGATGCTATTGGGACATCCGGGAGCAGTTCCAAGTTCGATGGATTGATGCCATTGTGTTTTCGTAAGCCGGACCGCCTTTCGCCGTTGATTATATTCAAGAAGCCCCCTTCAGTGTTAAATTGTGTCTTTTTGATGAAACCCATGGCTGTGGCGCGCGAGTGAGGTACTTTCACCCGTGACTCTTAAAGCTTGTGTCCTGGGTCTACAAGTCGTTGGAACAATCCGTACTCATATCATCTTGTAGTTATTATGTCGAGACTGACTGGAATTGACTACCAATCGCCTAAGGCGGTATTTAAATCTCCATTACTCCGTACCTATGAAGAATACCGAGGGTACACCAAGCTCGCTGACGAACAAGTTGCAAGATGATGCTCTGACGGCCCTCGGCACAACACCGCAATGCCATATTTGCCGATACTGGAGACGAGACGCACCTATGAAGTAGAAGTGGTGCAGCTTCTCATACGAGAGACTATTTGCACAGCCCTCTGTGTTGGCTATGACGGGGCAATATGGCACAATTACCTTCCTTGATTGTTAGCGTCAGGCTGTAGCAGGTTTTGCTACCCTTTCGAAGGCCATTATGTGCCGTCATCCTGTCATGCGTTGGGGGCGGAAATGCAAGGACAAGTGCGCACCGTAATGGCAACATAACAACACTGTCAGAATTGAATTGATTGAGAAGTCTGTCCCCTCTTACCCGTGGCAAGGCAAGAGAGATATGTAAATGCGCGCCTCAGTTGCAAACAAACGGTACATCGTGGGGAGACGGAGTAAGGAACGTAAAGAGAAAGGAGAGCTAGAGAGGCCCTCGGCGACGCCGTCGTCGAGGCCTAGAGTGTAGCCTCGAGGCATGGTTTCATACATCCTTACTCTGGAGCAGCCATTTTCCTTCGCAAATCATCGCTCTCCTTCTCGCCGCCTTCGAGTGAACCAAGGTACCATGTGAGATCACTACCATCCTTCTCACATACATGCATTCCCTGCCCAAGGAAAGAGAATGGGTTCTGAGGATTCTGGTATTCGATGTCATAATCTTCAGGCCTGGGGCTTTCGAGGAGCTTAATGAAGCTCAGTCGTGATCCCGGGTAGAGTGCAGGTTGACCATCCACAGTCCCACCTTTGAACCAAGACGAGCAAGGGCCATTCCAGGCAGTACGTTTGAGAAACGCATTTGCATATTGAAGAAATTGTTTCGTCTTGGTCTCATTGGGTCTGATGGACACAATGTTCTCCGTCTGGATTTTTTCAACGAGCTTCAGCGTATAGCTGCAGAAAGAGTCGATGAGAGGGAAAAAGGACCCATGTGCTACTGGGAAGTATGCACCCCCGGAGACAAAGTAGTTTGGCACACCGGCAAAGCCAACACTAAGATAAGACGGTGGATGCTGTTCTCGGCTCCATTTCTGGCGCATGTCCACGCCGTTTACCAGAAGAGGAACCCGGGGTTTGAAAGAGGTGTCAAACCCGGTGGCACAGATAATGACATCCACCTCTTGCTCATTGCCCTCAGGGTCGATAAACCCTCTTTCGGTGACATTCCTCAAGCTCTCCGTGAAAACTGTTGTTTTTGAGCCACATAGACTTTCGAGATACCCATAACCTGGAGTAGGCCTCCTGCACCCGACGAAAAAGTCAGTAGGAACGATCTTGTCGACAAGCTCAGGTTTCGTCTTGAGTTTGGATCTCATGTGCTCGTTGCAAAGGTCGAAGACATTTTGTTGGACTCCCGTGCCGTTGACAATAAATTCAAAGCGCTTGTTGAACGGTTCCTCAACCATCTTTCGGTAAGCCAGATATTCGTCGTGACTAGCATCCTCGAATATTTTCTGTTGATCTTCCGTGTACGAATAATTACCCCCATCTGTCCGGACGAAAGACTGGCTGAAATTTCCCGTTATCCAGACCTTGCTCCGGATCCACGTATATATTTTGTCAACGTCTTCGTAGATACTGGGTAATATCTGCACGGCACTACTGCCCGCGCCAACGATGGCAACACGCTTCCCTTTCAGATTAACCTCAGGGTCCCATGCAGCGGAATGGAGCAAGGGGCCTCGGAATGTCTGTAGGCCAGGGATAGCAGGCCACTTCCAATTGTTCAGGACTCCGGTGCAGTTAACAATCACATCAGCATGATCCTCGAATTCGAGATCGCGTTCAAGGTCTTTAACACTGACAGTCCAGCAGCCCCTGTTGTCACTCCAAGAGAGCGATTCGATCTGGTGTCGCAGCTTGACGTACTTGGCGACAAAGCTATTCTCCTGTTCAACCGTCTTCAGATAGTTCCAGATCTCCTCTGATTGAGACCAATAGTGAGACCAGCGTGCGGGTCTCCACGGGAACTGGTACACAACAGAGGGTATGTCGCCTTTACTGGCCGGTTAGTCACGTATTAGACGATGAAATGCTCGTTGACCTACAAGCACAACCAGGATAACGGTTCTCCAACCAAGTACCTCCAATATCGGCATTCTTTTCGTAGCATACAATATCCAAGTTTTCCCCCTGCTCCTCGGCTTTCTTAAAGAAGTTCAGTCCTGAGACGCCAGCTCCAATGACTATTACTTTTAGATTGCGTTTGGTGCCGAATAAATGGTTTGTGACAAGAACAACTTCAGTGAACGGGTCCCCCATCTGTTTCGTTTCATTCTTCTCTTGGAGCTCTTCCAAGGATAGGGACACCACCTGGACATTATCCGCGGCCTTTAGGGAAAAGGCCTGCGAAGTCACAGGTGGTGTGTCAACTAAAGCACTGGAGTATTGTTCGTCTGTCATTTGGTGCGAATTGTGATGTTGTCTCTGTCCTACTCCTCCAAATGCATACGATCGCAATTTCAATACGCATAGACCTTTACCAGAGCCGGGATTCCGATCAACTCGACTATGGGATTTTGATTAAGCCGAGGTCTGAATCCCGGGCGCATAGACTTGTAGTGCATCTCTATCACTTGTCCTGCATCTCTATCTTGCCTTCTTCTATGACCGTGTTAGATTGAGCCTCGGGCTTTCGCGTCAATAGCTGGTAGGCCGGCGGCAATAGGTTGGAGGCACTGCAATTTGGATTCTCACACAATCAAGCCGGAGATCATCCCTCGGCATGAATTACTCGAGTTGAGCACGAGGGAAGAAGGTGGAAATGTATCGTGTGATGACCAGCAACAGACGACAGAAGGTTGGCGCTGGGAGGCACTGCCGGATTGCCACAGATACTGTCGTCACGCACAAGCATCACGTAAGTTAGATCCCATCCGGCCTTCGTTCGATGAGTGTCGGCAGTGGACCAAATCTACATAGAAAACGCGAGCTTCTTGAATTGGCTCACTCCTCGGGGAGGACATCTTCGCATATCCTTGCACCATACCTTGACACGCTCTCATGTTCCTTGGAGGAAACAACACTACTTCTCCAATACACTCTAGACTCCAGCCATGGCAGAAAAGACGATGCGTGCCGTCGTTCTCAAAGGACCTAAAAAGGTGGGTTCGTGGCGCTATTTGTTGGTATCGGTTTCAGAGTCTCACAGAAGGTTCGATGTAGGTCGTGGTCGAGGACCGCCCAGCTCCCACGCTACAAGATGAAACCGATATTATTGTTAAAGTCACATCTTCGGGTCTTTGCGTACGTAAAGCCATCCAGACATGCGAGCCAAAGCAGCTTACAGTGACTTCAGGGTTCTGATCTCCATTGGTATCGAGGCAGCCTCGAAACGCCAGCCGAGTTCGTAATTGGCCATGAAGTTGTCGGTACAGTATTAGAGAAAGGTCCAGGGGTCAAGACCTTGCACCTCGGAGATAAAGTCGTGATTCCTTTTAGTACAGCATGCTCATCGTGCTACTATTGCAAATTGGGGAAATCCGGCCGCTGTACAGAAGGCTTGATGCTGGGACTGCCCGGTCAGCTTGAAGGTGGTCAAGCGGAATACGTGAGGGTTCCCCTGGCAGATACAACTGCAGTCCGGGCACCAGACAGTGGGTTCGCACACATACATATGAGAACTTCGTACTGACTCTCGCAGCAATTCCTGAACAGATGCTCGTCCTGATGGCCGATATAATGCCCACAGGCTATTTCGCCGCCTCAAGGTTCCTGAAAGACCTACCAGCAAATCGGCGGGACGAAATGACCGCCGTCGTTATTGGCTGTGGTCCAGTCGGGATATGTGCGATTGCGACGGCCTTAACTCTGGTTAAAAAGGTCTTTTCGATAGATTCGGTGCCGGATCGCCTTGCAGAAGCCGAGAAGATCGGTGCAATTCCACTCCATTTGGACGAGGAACCCGTAAAGAAGATCAAAGCTGCCACAGATGGACGAGGTGCTGATGCGGTCATGGAAGTCGTTGGTCAAACCGACGCTTTTATGCTTGCACTCGACTTGGTCAGGCCCTATGGTTCGATCAGTTCTGTTGGAGTGCACACCAAAACCATACCCATCAGCGGTTTGACCTTGTACGCGAAAGCGGCGACGATGGGTTTTGGCAGATGTCCTGTCCGGAGCGTTTTTGAGGATGCACTGAAGGTTCTCACCAAGCAACAAGATAAACTTGCATTCCTATGTTCAAAGACAGCGCCGCTCGAAGATGCTCCGCAAGCTTACGAGGACTTTGAAGCTCGGAAGGTCCATAAGATCGTGTTTGACCTGACTTAAGTGAAGGGCTCGACATCATTGTCCACATCACTTGAAGAAAGATAGAAGTACACGCTTGTGAAGGTGGTATCATGTAGCAACCTGGAGGTTCATCATATTTTGTTGAGTCAGCTGGGAGTTCACATCTAGATTTGCATATCTGGCTGCTACATTGAAATCCTTCATCAACAAATTCAGAGATTCGTATTGGACAGTTTCTGGACTCATTAGACACACATGAGTCTTCGCTTGGAGGTGGACTCAGATAACAGCTCAGGTCCTTTGTGTGCTTGCTCTCGGCATTTTCGGGTACAGTACGAGAAAAAAGACCCTCGGTCTCAGGAATTGGGTTTTGCCCGGCCGTGCATGTGGAAGACTGCATATACAACATTCAAAAATCATGAACACGAAAGTCCTCAAGCGGTTTCGCTGTGATAGGTGACTCGAGGTCCGTCAAAATGACGGGTGAAAAGCTGAATCCCGCGACCTTTGATCGTACTGATTTGACGGATCGGCATGAAGGCCCCCTGGTCCTGCCGCACGACGTCCTCTTCCACCGACTACATTTCCTTGCCTTGAATAGCAAGACGTCCGCCGTGAAAGACGCCTTCCGCGAGTTGGATATGGACTACCAACAACTGCTGACTGACGTGATCGCCGCTCGAAATCGGATCCGCTCCACGATTGCGCCAAAGACGCTTCAATCGATATACGACAAGCGGGAGACTTCTTTCATTGTGATCGCACATGGCTATGAGTTCGTCGTGGCATTCCTTGCCGTCCTAGCATTGGGTGGCATTGCAGTACCCACAAGTATATCTCAATGATTGATCTCTTGCGAGTCAGCCGCTAATAAATGTCCAGGTATTCATATCACAAAGGAAGAGCTCAATCATATGTTGCGGACGTCAAGAGCCTCGGCGACCATCTGTTCATCAAATTGTTTGGACCAGGCAAGGTCCGCTTTGCCTGCTAAGGCCATGGAAGAGGAATATGTTTTGGTATCTATGAATGGCTTGATTAGGCACACGTCGATCGATCCACGTAAAGTGACATTTTCATCAGGGAAAACGCCAGATGCGAACAAGCCTGGGCTGATTATCTTTACATCTGGTTCCACAGGTCCCCCAAAGGGAGCTGCACTGCGACGGTATAATTTATTTGTGCTTTCAATCCTGCACTGCTGGAGTAAGAACATCCAGCCAGGTTATGTGGCATTAAACATGCTTCCTACGCATCATGCCACCGGATTGCTTGTCAATACCCTTCCGGTCCTGGTTGGTGGAGGCTGTGTCGAGTTCACCCACCCCAAGTTCGACGCTGCCAGGATCTGGGACAGAATTCGGCTCGGAGGCATTAATATGCTTTCAGCAGTCCCAACAATCTACGTTCGTCTCCTGCAGCATTGGGAGACGGTGTTACAGAAACTCGAACCCGAGATGAGAGAGTCATATCAGGCTGCGATTTCGAGTATCGAGCAGTTCCACTGTGGTTCCGCGGCTCTACAAGTGCATATCTCTGAGAAGTGGACCAAACTGTGCAGAGGTCGGCAGATTGCTGAGAGATATGGCGGCACAGAGTTTGGAAATCCATTTGCACATGAATCTACAAGTTCAGTGATCACAGTAAGTCTTGCTTGTTCTCTCGAACCAAGGCTATTTTGGATACTGCACCTGTTAGAAAAGGCTGATCTCCGCTCCTTAGGGCTCCGTAGGAGCACAAAACCCGGGCATCGAATCCTTCCTCAAGCACGGAGACGAGGGAGAGGTTTTTGTGAGATCTCCGTTTTTGTTCTGCAAGTCGGTTGTTCCATGGAGCTTGGATGACAATAGCGATGCTAATCTACAAAGATATGTGTATGATATCGAAGCTACAGAAAATGCACTTACAAAGGATGGCTTCTTCAAAACTGGCGATGTTGCCGAGAAGCACGGTCAGAATTACTATATTAAAGGCAGAAAATCTATCGACAGTGAGTTGGATCGCCTCGGTCGGTGAGCTTGACTGATGTACAGTTCTCAAATCTGGAGGTTACAAGATATCAGCACTTGACGTCGAACGGCAGATTCTGGAGCATCCAAAGATTGCAGAGGCGATTGTCGTGGGAGTGAATGACGCCGAGTACGGCCAACGCATTGCTGCAGCGGTTGTGCTAAATGAGGTAGACACCTGGCCGAATCCCTGATCGAATGCATGAAGTGCTGGCTAACATACACGCAGGGAGTAGAACCTCTTACCTTGATTGAATTGCGTTCGGATTTGAGAGGCAAGCTTTCTACATATAAATTGCCAACACTACTGCGGGTAGTGCCACAGTTACAAAAAACGGCAAGTATGAAAGTTCCAAAGCTGCTAGTGAAGAAAGAGTTGTTTGGAAATATGGATTGTCCCGAGATCCAGAAGTGGACGCCGACCCGTTCGAAGCTTTGATGAGCATTTCATGAGAGCCCGTACGGCAATGGACCAGGAGGCCAAATCCACGCAGGGGACGAAAATGATTTGAGATAGCTCTTTGGCTCGCCCAGAAATACCTGACAGAGGCTATCGATGAACTTGAAATAGTCATTCCGGGAACCTGTGAAGACTTCTAGGACTCCTTTTTCTGCCAGGACTCACCACTACTTAGGTATCGGCCATACAAAATGGATATCTTTGGTGGAAATTAGTGCTGATTACTTCCGCAAACCCCACAGCGCCTGAGGGCCAGACTTCTGCGTTGAGACTATCTTGGAGCTTGTTTTTTTCTCTCCAGTCCCAAGAGGCTGGCCCTCTAGCCCGTGGCTTCATCAAGTGTTTACTATCAACAAGAGGTGCGCTCAGCTGCCAGACTGTCAGTCCAATGGGAAGGGGAGAGGGCTGGGAAAGCGGCAACCGATCCTGTTCACAGTCCACAGCGGAAGGTCGAGCAGTCTCGCATCACATCGGGCTTAGGTCTAGATAGGAAAGATGTAGTAGTTGAAAAGCGGCCGCATTTGGAAGACAATAGTACGAACCCATATTGCGAATGGTCTAGATAGTACCTCAGCCTTAAAACCCACCCTCATCCTGAGGGCTTGCTACCAATCCAGTTACTTTGTCCTCGAACTCAGTTGGCGAGTCCTTCTTCTCGACCAATTGCTCCCCTGACCGAACCGTGCCAATATAACCCCTCGGTCGTATGTGGATCCCGATCTCTCCTGTGCATAGGCCCGAGGCATTAGATGTGGGTCGACACAAGACCTGTCTGATGAACTTCACAATCCCCCACATACCCCGGGATTAAGCGTACTTGCTCCAGGTTTATATAGTGCTTGGACCCACGGCGTCTAGTATTCACTCTTGGGTGCAAGCAATCAACATCCTCTTCCCACGATTCTGTCTGATTCCTTCCCTCTCAGCTCGTTTTCCTGACTGTACACGCAAATTCTCACACCCCGGCAATGGCGGCACGAGTGAACGCAGGCGCTGTGTCCATGAAGAAAGATTTCGACGATGAAAAGCCAACAGCTGTTGTTGACGAGAGCGTTCAGGGAACTCTCGAACACCCCGCCGTCAATGAGAAGAAACTGCTTCGTCGCATTGATCTCCATATCGTTACCTGGCTCTCCGTTCTGTACGCTTTGTCCTTGCTCGACAGGACCAATATTGGTTCCGCCAAAGTCGCCGGCATGCAGACAGACCTCGAGCTGACCGGAAATCGATACTCGGTGGTGTCCTTGCTCATATTCCCGACTTACATTTTGCTCGAGGTGCCCTCCAACATGTTCATTAGGAGGGTGAGCGTGAAGAAATATACCGCGTTCCTGATCCTGTGCTGGGGTACCACCGCGATGTGTTCGGGCTTTGTCAATAACTGGAGACAACTAATTGCCGTCAGAGTGCTGCTTGGCGCTTTCGAGGGTGCTTTTCAGGTGAGTTCAGCAAGCAAATTCCCCCTGGTCCGCGAACGAATCTATGGTCTGACTCTATTCTAGCCAACCTGCTCGTACATCATTTCCTCTTGGTACAAGCGGTACGAAACACACCAGCGAATAGCCATTTGGTACATGAGTGGCGCATTCCTCAATGGGTTCCAAGGGATCCTTTCGTACGCTCTTAGTCTTATGGAAGGCGTCGGCGGCCTTCGCGGATGGCGTTGGATTTTTATCGTCCCAGGTTTCATCACTGCTGCGATGGCCGTGCCCATCTATTTTTTCATCAGTGAATTTCCGGAGAGAGCGAAATGGTTGGCACCACATGAGCTGCGCCAAATCCAAGAACGTCTCCACGCCGACCGTGGTGAGGTCGAAGAGAAGATGGACATGCATCGACTCCGCGCTGCCCTGGCCGACTGGAAATGCTGGGCTCTGGCGTTCTTGCTGTTTTGGTCGACTGCCGGCTCGTACTCTCTATCCTTTTTCCTGCCATCTATCCTCAAAGGGTTCGGATTCAGCACAGCTCTCAGCCAGATTTTGGTGACGCCTCCAATGATCCTCTCGGTATTTTGCTCCTTGGCGACTGCGCTCTGGGCAGATCACGTCCACCTCCGATCACCATTCATTTTAGGCCATATGCTTTTGGTCATTATCGGCATCGTACTCATTGGCTGGGCCCAAAACCTAGGCCCCAGACTTGTGGGAGTCTTCCTGATGACAATTGGGAACAACTGTACCATCCCTTCTGTTATCGCCTTCTTGGTGAATAACCTCCCATCCTCCAGCAAGCGCCAGATTGCTCTACCGCTGCAGGGCGGGTTCGCTGGGGTGGGAGGTATTGCGGGTGCACTCATTTTCCGAACTCAGGATGCCCCAAAATATCTCTTTGGGCTGTATATGTCCATTGGGTTTGCCTGCTGCTGTATCTTGATGATCTCCTCATTAGTCGCCTACTTTCACCGTGAGAATTTGAAGGCCGACAGAGGAGAGAAATTTCTCGAGGGCATCGAAGGCTTCCGCTACACACTATAGGGCAATATTTATATTGCGGGTAATGGACAGCTCGTGGTTCAGCGAGTCAACTCATAGGTGTAGCTGCTTTAAACAGGGCCCTGGGCGAGGATTGGCCAAAGAAACCGCTTGTAGGTGCTTGGTAAAATCGGGGTTCTCAGTGGGTGTGAAGAAGTCTGGACGACGAAGAAGATTTGGAGTCCCATTGACTCGTCCTGCACTCCGTATTGGAGACCTTCGATAACGTCATCAAAATAGTCAAGAGACAAAGCACGATGAGATGCGAGGTGACTTACCATTGTCCCCTTTCATAGGCTACAACAACAAATGCCTCGGATACCTTCTCGAACCACATTACGATCGATCTCGATTCTGTCTGGAGTATTCGCTGGCATTAGGAAGATGGATTCAGGGACTTTGCCAATACGAAGTTATGTACCAGCAAATCCAGACGGACCGTTTCCTTATTCAGCAGAAGATCTCACACCATTGGATGCAGGAGACGACTCTGGATTTTACGCTGCTCCTCGGTTTGTGACACATATTGACGACAATGCGATCAACACTCTTCGAAGATATTATGATCAGGTCTTGCCGCGAAAGGGACGAATTCTCGATTTCTGTAGCAGCTGGATTTCACACTACCCCAACGAAGTCGCCCAGGCGGCATCATCTGGACAAGTGGAGGTGGTCGGTACGGGCATGAATGAGAAAGAATTGAACAAGAACCCAATCCTGAAGCACTGGTCTGTACAGAATTTGAATGAAGATCCCGCAGTTCGGTTGCCATTTTCGGTGGAAGGCAAACTCGATGCCTCGACATGTGTAGTGTCCATCGACTATCTGACAAAGCCTGTGGACGTGCTTCAAAGCATTCGGAGGCAGACAAACGAAGGAGGCAAGGTCCATCTGATCATCTCAAATCGATGTTTTCCCACCAAAGTCGTCGGTCGGTGGCTGAAGGTGGATGAGGACGAGAGGCTGAATATGGTGGGCGACTATCTGTGGTGGAGCGGCTGGAGGAAGATTGAAATACAGACTTTGGTAGAGGGATCTCTCATGCGCGATCCTCTCTGGGTGGTCAGAGGAGAGAATGAAGAGGCTCACCAGGCCAACAATCACAAGGCTGAACCACAAGGCTGAAGGAGGAAAGAAGATGCGGGCGTTCATTGGCTGGAGGAGCCTCTTGCCGTCCGGGAGAACATCGGCTATGATCGGAAAGGCTGTGGGGGCCTCAACCAATTAAAGTTATTGCTGCCTAGTGCTTAATCATCATCACCCAATTAAGCGTCACGAAGTCGCGTCCTCGATTCACTGCATGACTGCCTCACTTCCTGCTCGCGCCTGAGTTTCCTCTCTAAGGTCCTCCAAACAAACCCGATCGATCTCGCCTTTTTTTATATATCTTCGTCTTTCAACAACTCTTCCCACTTCTCCGTCCCATCATGCTCTCCGCCCTCCTACTATTGTACTCATCTATTCCTTCGGCAAGAATGAAACTTTAGACCACCTCATATTATGGCGCAGCCGAGCCACGGGTCCGATTTTTTGTATAATATCATGTCCTCCGACCTTATCGTTACCATCCCCGTAATTTCCTCCTTCGTTGCCATCCTCATCATTGATCAGACAACTGGGAAACATACGTGGCGTCTCGAAGATATTGAGAACTCCCCCCGTCCCTTTTCGTCTCTTGCTCCCATCGTCTCCAAGCTCCACCTTCTCCCAACCTTCTACAAGGACATGGTCCCGCATGGTCCGTCGGCATCAGACACATTTCGTACTGCAAACCTCCTCTCCAAGGTCATCCCAGGCGACGTGGTACCACAAGTCATGGATTTGGCCGAGTTTTGGGTCGACATGCCACTGGCATCTACCACTCGTTGGTTGAAGGTCGATGAGAGCAAGGCAGGACAGATCTATCTTCTTGCTGAGCTTCCTTCAACACTTCCTCCCAAGGCCCTGCGCAGTCTGACTTTCAGAGTCACCTCGCGTGACCAGGGTTGGAGTGCTACCGCGTTCCACAACACCTACAAAGAGAGCTGGACATGGTTTGAGGTTGCCATCCTGCCCCCTGGAACGGACGAGAGTAAGGGCCCTTTTCCAGGCCGAAAGATCATCACGAACATCAACGCTGGTTTCGACTGGCACACTCATGACGTGACCTGGAAATACCATGATAAGAACAAGGAGATCAGAAAGATTGTCCGAAGTCTGGGACCAGGCTACAAGATTGCTATCTGTGCATGGGCCAGATTTCCTGCTTGGGTCAATAGAGTCCAATTCGCCAGAATCGACTGCCAGGTCAATGCTGTGCGAAAGGTGTGACCGTTGCATTGAGAATGAGAAGATCAGGCAACCCAGTGCTTTCAACAACCACAGAAGAAAGACCATGTCGGGAAGAGCAACGCAGACTCTGGGTCTGTATCAACTGTGGTGGAAGCTCTTCCTTGTTTGACAGACTCACTAACCTTGACCCAGGAGCCGCCTTCATAGGAGACCTGCAAACGAATATTCAAACCTTATCCGGCTGGGTCCTGTCTCTCTAAGAGCGACAGCAGAACCCGAACCACTGACGAACGAGACGAATGGAGGAAGATTGTGCTATCCGTGTTATCCAGCAGTATTCGTACCAAGGCGAATCCGTGAAGAAGGGCTGGAGCTTGTCGACATGTTCATGCGTTCGAAGATTAGGGAGCTGGAAGTCTCAATAACAGAGACTCGGAGTTAATGACGTTGTGGACAGTGGTAAGCAATGATGAGCAATGATGAGAGCTGAAATGGGTGTACTGTACATTCAAGGCTCATGGCACCCACATGGTGCGGTCCGTTGATAATTGAGTCAAAGGACAGAGCAATACAAAAGTTGGTCTCCTCTCAATCTTTTTCCATCAGCATCATCTCAATTCGTTTTCCCCTTCTAGACATCTGCTCTATGGCTTCCATCTGGCCATTTTGCTGTAGGTAATCTTGCTGTCCCAAGTTGTCACGCTGTCTGCCACTTTGCCGCGTCTACACGCGCGTTGCAGTTCGAACCGCCTTCTCGAGCATAGGTAGGTTCTCCCAATCCTTTCGTGCCTCCTCCAAAATGAGCCAAGTCCTTGCCTTGATCATGTTCAATCGCCCGTAATCTTTTGACCTGTCTCTCTGCATGAAGGCCGCGACTTGTCTTCAGTGTGTCAATCGAGCTGTTCAACCCCAGGACGGAACGGAAAACGCATCTGTTGAACATTGGTCATTTGCTGTGGCAAAGACAACATACGATGCCTATCACTTTCACCACGCTTACTAGTACAGGCTGTACTGGTGATCAGCTAGCACTAACTCTATCGGCTCATGACGGCCTCCCTGCGTCCTCTGAGCTCCCTCACCAGCGCTTTCGCCTCTTCGACCTCATACCCATCCATACACAGCTCTTCGGCCAATCTCTCTGCTCGATCCAGGTCACCGGTCTTTACGCTCCAGCGAGCGAGCCACAATCGCGCTTTTGACGTCGTCGCCGTCGTCCCGGTTCCAAAGCCGTCACCATCACCATCACCATCATCATCACCATCCCCGTCTCCAGCTTGAGTCTCATTTTCTTCGTGGTCATCCCCCTGCTCCTCCTCGGACGTCATGATATCTGTATCGTCATCTCCTTCGCCCGCACCGACATGCTCATCTTGCATTTCTCCCAGCTCAGCATCCGTCCTCATTGAAGCCACTCTCGCACGGCGGCGCTCCTCCGCGACCGCACTGGCTCTTGCATCCTTTCTTGCTCGCTTTCGCAGGGCCTTCTCCGCCTGCACGACAGCCTTCCCACTTCCGCCCGTCTCCTGTGCCACACATAGTTCCATGTACTTTGCCGCCTCAGCGTCACCGATTGCCTCGCCCCTCCGCTCATACAGCAGGGCAATCTGGTAAAGTGTCTCCGGATCAAGTAGCTTCCTCGGCTGTGCCTTTACTGCGCCTTTGCCTCCTTTCGCGTGCGCCGCAAAACTACTCTGCTGCGAACTCCCCTCGGAGTCGTCGATATACGTGCCCGCCACAAGAGCCCTCTTGAGCGCTTTGATCGCCTGTTCCAGCCGGTCCATCTTGGCGTAGCACGACCCCACAGCCTGCCACATCTTCGGATCATACGGCCTCAGCCCGGCTGCACGCTGGTAATAGAACAAAGCGTAGAATCCCATGTCCAGCATCTCGTACGCCTGACCAAGGCCGTACCATGCGCGGTAGTCCTTGCGGTTCACGTCCACGGCGCGCCGGTACGACTCAATCGCCGCGTGCGTGTTCTTGAGCTCGACGTACTCGTGGCCCATGAGCGTCCAGGCTGCGAGGAAGTTGCGGTCGAGCGTCAGCGCGCGCCGGAAGTACATGACGGCTTTCTCGTGCTGACTGCACAGGCTGTAGTAGTTGCCTACGACGCAACATGTTTCGGGCCGGAATTTGTCCACGGACGTGGCCAGATGGGCGAGGAATGCGAGCCGCGGCCGGTCCGTCATGACGTACAGGATGTTGGAGTAGTGGTCGAGACCGTCAAGCCGGTGTGGGTGGGTGACCAGCAGGTCCTGGAAGATGGAGGCCGCGGTCTCGTACTCTTTCGCGTGGTAGTGCAGGGTGGCGAGCTGGGTGAGGAGGAAGGTTGAGGTCGGGAAGTAGGACAGCAGGGTGCGCAGGGAGGAGAGTGTGGCAGACTGGTCCGTTGTCGAGAAGAGGTCGACGGATGCGACGGCTTGATACATTATGCTTATTATGTTCGGAGGGAGAGCGGATGGGGAGGAAAGTTGGGCAGAGAGGTCGTCGACGCTTGAGAGTAGGGAGATAAGCTCTTCCCAGGCGCCCCAGTGGTAGGGATTGAGGCGGACTGAACGCAGGAGCCATTGTTGTGCGAGGCTTTCCTGACGTGACTTGGACAGGACAGTGCCGTAGAGGTACTCGAGCCAGCCCTGAGAGCGTTTGAGCGTTGGGTCTGCGGCGTCGCGGGTGCGGAAGTAAGCTTCTAGTCCGCGGGCGAGGGATGGGAGCTCGCGGTTCACGGTCTGGCCTCCGTCTGCAGGGCCGAGTACCATTTCGGTTTCTTCGTCCTTGCGCTTTTCCCCGGCCAGATAGCGGGCATAGAGGGCGAGGAATAGGGATTTCTGGCTGAGGCGGGGGAAAGGGTCGACTGCAGTGGACTCTGCCTGTTTCGTCTTACCCTTGTGTCGAGAAGGTGTTGATGTAGGTGTACGCCCTTTGGGCTTGTCAAAGATGGCTAGACCGCCGGCCGGTATGGCTGGTGGGAGAAAGACGGCAGCGCATCTGTCGAACTCCTTTGTGTCAAAGAATGATTTCGCAAGGAGATATTTTGGTGCTTCTCTTGCTTCCAATGTCGCTTCTTCTGGGTCTTCGTGACTCGTGGAAAAGATGCGATATGAGGATTGGACATTATTCGTATCGTGCATTTGAGAATCGTCGTCATGGTCATGATCATGAGGGAGAGAGTTGAGGAGTTCGGCTGCCCTGTGCCAATCAGTCCAGCTCGCGTTTTCTGAAGGGATGGCGGATCTACCATTTCGCTGACTGGTACAAGCAGCGCTCTGAGCATTTTATAGAGATCTCAGTCAGGCGGTCTCGTAGTTCAGACACCACCTCAGTGTCGACCTCGCCTGCGGACCCGAAGCTGTTGTTACGTTGTTGCGACGCCATGTTGTAGAGCTGCCTTCGCGTTAGAGAGGCAACATGGTCTCTTGGGTGATTATCTGAGGATGAGCAAGACTTCGGGCTTTCTTCTATGGGCAGTCTGTTGTCACTGCGCCTGTTGCAACTTTTTGGGCTTGGAGAACGCGTCGTGGGGAAGAGAGCGCGAATCGCAGCCTTTCTCCGCAGAAGTAATCGCAAGGCTGAATGGAACACAAATATAGCATAGTGCAGCCTTACGCCTGCGACCACCGGGTCTGTGAAGGCTTCAGACTGATCATCCGGGGCTCTTCCGTGCTGTAAAGCGCCTCCGATATCAACAATGTATCTAACCTCCTCTCGAAATGCCTATACCCTATCTCCTTACATACCTTCACGACTAATGTGGCTATGGGCCCCTTTGTTGAGACAGCCGCGTGATGAATACAGCAGCCTTGTGCGGCAGAGCAGTAGACTACATGCGCAAGAATTTCGGTCACACTTAGCGGCGCCACAAGACAGGCCTCTGGCGGTTTGGGACCTGTATTTCATGAAACTCCTCTGTACACCATCTCAGACAGAGCCACAAGCACAGAACATCTGTTAATTTGGGACTCACTCCGGCGAACGACATCCATCTTGCTGTCATTGCTCCTTGAAAGTGACCGTTCTACCTGCATGACAACAAACCACAACCCCATGCCTTTCTGGCCGCGATAGGCCCACCATGTCAACGTACGTATTCAATATCCTCCGAACGGAGGCCTCCTTCTCGTTCATACGCTCGCTCACTGACACTTTCGCATGAAGAAACCGATACTCCTCCTTAAACCGCCGTGCCGCTCCCTCCTCCGCGCTCTTCCAAGACTACCCCGGCTCGCGCCCGTCTTCTTCATCATCCTCTCGTCCAGGCTATGCCTACTCTTCGCAACCTGACGCCGCAGGCCGACCTTCATCTTCACCGTATTTGAATCCGTACTCTTCTACGAACGGCACACCGCACGACTCTACATCGGGTTTCCGCCCTGCCACGCCCAATTCAAAAGGGCAATATTCGACCTCCGTCCTTGAGGAACTCGAATCGCAGAACGAAATCACAGCTACAACGCTTCTCTCGCAGAAAGTGTCCCAATTAAAAACACTCACCGTCGCGATTGGCGATGAGATCCGAGATTCCAGCGGTCTCGCAAGTCAGATCAATGACACGTTCGAGAACACGGGCGTACGGTTACGTGGCACGATGAGGAGGATGCTCAGGATGGCGGAGCGGACGGGTGTCGGGTGGAAGGCGTGGGTGCTGTTTTTCATTGCGGTGTGGGCCATTTTTGCGTATGTCTGGCTTTTCTAGCCCTGTCCGAGATTCTCGTCTTGTCAAATCGGACAATCTTGAAATCAACCATGAGCTCGACCTCCAGATGCTACCAAAGAGGAGACATTTCACACGAAACATCTGGGACGGACGTGAGGATGACTATTTGGCGAGGGACTGGTGATGAGTCCCTCACGGGTCCATCTAAATGTCAGCAGGGTCCAGGTCGATCTTCTGCCACCCGAACATTTTTAAAGACATGTGTACCAAGAGTTGTACAGTATTCTGAACTCACGTTCACTTGATGCATTGACAGCAGATTTAGACGCGCGGCGTGTGGCGTATTTCACTGGGACGTTCTGGCATGGGCTGAAAAGATTCTCGAAGCGTTCAGAGGTGACGGCATTATGAATTGGAGCGCAACCTGGAAAAGGATGAGGTTCTAGAAGAGTACGTGCTGCTCGATAATGACAAGCTTGGTAGGAAGGAATATGTACATTTAGCACTTGAGGTCTGGGTCTGATCCGGTACTGGCAGGAAGTCCTTGGAATGTCCTTGAGAGTACCAGGTTTGCCGTCGAATGCAAGCCGCTGTATTATGATACAGCGTAGTAATCATAATAACACTCTACGTGTCTGTCTCTTCCATTGTCCTTGCGTGCCTTTCTTTTGATCATTTACGGATCCGCTCTTCTTCTCGAACTCAAAAACCGACCACTCCGTCTCCGGCCTTGACTCGACTCCTGACTCCCGCTCTGATCGACGGGTGTCTCCCACTCTTCACCAGCACCGACAGTGATTCCTGGCGGGGGCGTAAACAGCCCGCCGCTAGATGTACCAAGCGTGCCTGATCCTGTGGCTGCAGCAGCGGCAGTTGCTCTTCTGGCCGCTGTTCGTCCAAACAGTGTCCGCCTGGCACTTCCACCCACCGCGGCCGCAGCACCGTCAAGCCAATTCCGCGCCGCAGCCGCACGAGAGGGGCTCTCACTTGCCGCCTCATGTCTTCTTTGTCCGGAGCCTGGGGTATCCATAGTATTGGCATGGGCCACGCCCCGAGCCGTAGGTCTAGCATGTACTCTGGCGTGCCTGGGTCCCGTCGACGCGAATGGATCGTAGTCTTCCTGTTCCGCATCTCCATCTCCAACCCCCTCGGCATCGGCATCGACATCTCCTTCAAGCGGACTGTCCAGCATCGCCGGCGTCTGGGTATACTGATGCTGGAGCTGAAGCTGATGAAGCTGACTTGGCCGGTGTCGGTTGCCTGACACGACCCTGGCTGCTCGTCCCGAGTATCCAGATCCACCACCACCACCACCAGCGGTAGTAGCGGGCGTCGGTCTGTGATATTGGTGCTGATACTGGTGCTGATGCTGTCCTGCACGCACTTGCGGCGACGATGCCGGACCCGCGATCCAAGACCCCGAACTCCGCGGTCCTGACGGTCGTCCTGAGCCTGAGCCTCCAGCGAGCTGCCTCGCCGCTTGCTGTCCCATACTCGTTCTACCCACGGTATGTAGGTGAGGTTGTTGTCGTTGTGCAGACTGGCCGGGCAGTATCGAGATATCCATCTCACTCTCCTCGATCTCGGTGTCGGTATGTTCCCACGCCTGCTCGTCATCTGCTGCATCGGGCACGTCGTCGTCGAGATCCCTTTCTTCACCTCCCGCCAGGTTCTGCTCGTCGTCGAAGATCTCATCCTCGTCAAGCATAGCATTCGCCAAGTCCTCGGCCGCGCGCTCGTCGTAGTCGTACTCACTCCCCGGCACAGGAACACGTCCGTCCGCGATGTGCGCATGTCTCGCTCTTGCGAGTTGTTCTCGCCGTTGGCCGCCATCTTCGTCTTCTTCTCCGTCTCGGTCCGAATCCGAGTCCGGCTCTCTGCGACTGTCATACATCCATCCCTCCTCTTGCGGGTATGGCTCCGGACTGCTCATCCCTTCCTCATCATCATCATCATCATCGTCGTCCTCAACGTCGTCCTCGTCCCCATCTGCGTCGGGGATATCATCGTCAAGATCCCCTCCCATGCCCATACCATCTTCTTCCACATCCACGTCCTCATCATCGAATCCGTCCTCATATCCCTCCTCGCCATCCGCGTCAGGGATTTCCTCATCCAGATCCCTCCCCTCAACCGGCTCCCCTACCTGATCCCTCTGCGCGAGTCGTTCCTGCTCTTCCGCCTCCATGGCCATTCGTTCCTGGAACTCGACTTCACGGAGCTGCTTCTCCACCTCCTCCCGTTCCAGCTCCTCCTCGCGCCGGCCGAGCATCGTCTTCGCGCACCCTGCCGGCTTGAGCCAGCTGTAGCCGTACATCGCTATGGCCATTTTCCGCTGCATGATCGTGCGTTCGTCACTGGACAAGACCGCGAGCGTGGTGTTGCGATTCTGCGCCGCGTGCGCCTTGTTCCGCCGCGAGGCATGGTGAGAATGTGTGGGTTGCGAGGTGGTTTCGGACGATGTCTGAGATGGAGGTGCAGGCAGGAGGGAGGATGCGGGCGGAGGGAATAGTGGGAGGAACGTTGTTAGCATCACGTCGACGCGGGCTTTGCAGTTCCTAGGAGATGTTGACCTAGATCTCCCGCGGAGGTGTGGCTGGTGTAGTAGAGTCTTTGGCTACCGGCATGAAGATGTGACAATGGCTGTCACTGTTTACTGTTCGCAGAAGAAGATTGAATGCGGGGAGAAATTGTGGTCACTTGTGAGAGACGCGCTGCGCGTTCGGGTGATTGTGCCCCGAAAGGCCATGATGGACAGGCCGCTGTGGTTATGATAGAGGCCATCATATCAGCATATGGCTTTTTGCGTCAAACAACAAAGTAGGAGAAGAGTATTGGCTACTCGGTGTCATGTCATTACGTAGACCACTGCACTTCGGATTCTAGTTATCTAGTTATATGCTTCTTGCAGAATCAAATCTAGTCCTGACACTGGCTATCAAACAGTCCAGTTTCTCACGCTGTCTGATGGGCCAACCGTTCCGCTAGAGCGCTGGCATGGTTTCTGATCTTGTTAAACTGCCACGGCCAGTCGATAACGTAGAGGAACGGTCTGAGATCATGACGATTGTCATCCGGATTCTGCAACATCGTAAGCCATTGATTCGTCCAAGAGCGCCGTGTCCCGAGTCATCGAGGATTGAAAACTTACATATGCACTCATGTGAATACTTGGTGTCAAGACAGTACTCTTGTGCCGATTCATTGCACTATAGGCAAAGTGGTCAGCATGAACTCGTATTGGGAGGAAATCGTCATCTTCCCAGAAAAGGGTAAATAAAGCATTGATGGAAGACTGTAATATGCGTTCACGTCGTCTTTGCGGGGACCAGAAAGCGTGCTGCCAACCACAGGAGTGACTTACTAGTAGCGGAAGAAGCGCTGGACCTTGGTTGCAACTTGCTGAGGGCCGAACCCAGGTCGATCTTGCCACTCAACCAAGAGTCGCAAGTAACATGACCACGGGCCAAGTTTTTCCACCTAATACCATGTCAGATCTTGAATCCTGGAGCGGCAGATCCAAAGCAGAGATACCTTGCGCAGTACTCCAAAGGTGCTCAGTTCGTCATATGTAAGTCCCATCTCAGCCTCGGATTCGTCGTCTTGCTCCCCAGCGGAAAGCGGTAAGAGCTCGGCCGTTGGACGAGCCTCGATGAATTCCTCGTTAAAATGAGCGTCTAGAATTTAAAAAGATGTAGAAGGATGCAAACCGTTATAATGGGCATATTCCACTTCTCCCTTGCCCATGCCAGAAAGGCTCTTGCATCGGATTTCGATATGCTCCCCTAGAAGATCCCAACTTTAGGCGCCTGATACGATGACAAAGATTGGATTGGTTTACCAATGGCGCGATGTCGCCAGATGAACAGTCGTATTTGGTTAAGTAGCTAAAACGAGACTCGTGAGCTTTGCTGAATTGACGGTGACATTTGGGGAAAGACTTACCCTCTTAGAGCTTCATCGACGTTGGCCGATGACATCTATCCAAATCTCAGTTGTTGCTCAAATCAGACAGAGACAACGAGTCCACGGGGACTGCGAGGTGCCAGGCATGCGTCTTTGCGCGATCATTTGTGGCGCTGGAGGGGGCAAAGGTTGCATGGACTGTACTCACAACTAGTAGACTTGCACCAGCCCGCGGCATCTTACGAGCTGTCGTGCTAAGCTGCGCCATCTGTTCCAAGTACACGAATTAATACTGTCCAAACAAGCAGGTCGACCGGATTGGAAGAGTCCTCCGTCTTTGGGGGTTGGAAAGAATTCACTCGCCTCGTATGCGATAACCATTCTGTTTCGTGCTTGGATGTTCTGTTTTGCAAGGTTCTCCTGTGTGGATGGCTTTGTCAGTATGTTATCTGTATGATGGGAAAGAGAGACAGCGACAAGCTGAAAACACCTACTGCAGCACTTCCTCCCTCAACCTTGAATCTTGGCTTGAAGTTCAAGGCCTGCTCCACGATGTTCTCATGTGCGGCAACGGTACCATCAATGTTGACATCGGAATGATACGCACCAATACTCTCGGCTAGTCGTTTGGCACGCGATCTCGTCCGATCTCCACTGTGTTGTGCCGCCATAAAGCATGTGTGAAGTAACCTCTTTACAATGTCTTGCGGTGTTTTGACGGTGAGATTTGGTTCACCTGTGATCCGACGTAAATCGGCCAACGTGTTGTCGTCTCCGGAATTGATAGATTCCAAAACCACCTTAGCCATACCTAAAACGAAGAGCGCCACGGTAGCGCTGTCGAGACCTCCAGAAAGAGCGAGGAAGTATCCGGCAGCGCTCGCCCGGGTTAGATACTGCCACAGATAAGCCGCTTCAGCCCTATAGATCTCTTCCATCGGGTCCAGGATCTTGAGCGAGATTTCCCGAGATAGTTGCAATGTGTCCGAGAATAGAACCTCGTCGGCGGGACAGGATAGACATAGATCACAATCGATACGGGGGTACTCCGGCTGCGCTGCGCCTTGTACGTTTCGCGATATGCTACTTCTGTAACTGCGGACCTCCTCGAGATCAATTGTTGCAGTGATGACCTCGACGGGTTTCTGCTATGGGGTCAGTCCTACATTCTGCATGTTTTAGTATAGACTGTAAGCGTTATGCATACCAGGGAGAATTGCGTGGATTGCCTTGATAAGTTAGCAAAGTGATGAGGAACGTGTCGATAAAGCGTTGACATACTTCATCACACTGCCGTTGCACAAGATCATTGATGAGCCGTCAAACATCATTCTGGCCTCGCCATCTAGCATGGATTCACGTTAGTTGCTGGCATAGAAGGTCCCTTGATGGCGGAAGGGTGCACTGAAAAGACTCACCAACTCCAGTCGCATTAGCGTAGATATAAATCCCTCCAAGCTTCCGAGTGCAATTCTGGATCAGAGACAGTCTAGTGTTGAGCTTCCTCAGCTCGGCGTGGGAGGCACTTGAATTAACAATGACCTCCACACCGTTGAGACCCATGTTGGTAGATGGGTTCAAAGGCTTTAGCAGAAGTCAGCCCATGTGTGACTTGGAATCATCCTAGCAGCTGAGCTGAATGAAGTCACGTACAGTAAATAGCTCCTCGCACGTCTCACAGCTAAATCGTCCATTGTAAGCATTAAAGCCAGAGATGCCCTTTTACCAAGAAGCACATGACTTACCCAACGGATGTGTCTAATGTGGAAAGCACAGCATCTCCGATCGGTACTGTTTTTTGTCCAGTGATTTCACGTATGATCTGCTCAAGATAGTATGTCTCTACCGTTCTCGGTTTAACCCAAGCTGTGAAATGACGGGCCTCGCGGTACAGGCCATCATTGGCAAGGCTCATCTTCGGTCGAATGAAGAAGATTTTTTGGTATGTAAGCAGAATGCGACAGTTGTATCGCACATTCTCACCCAATGTGTTAGCACATAACAGATCAGAGTGATCAAGGTATTACTCACCCGGTGCCTCACGCCCATACCTACGTCGACGAGCATATCTTTGGTCACAGGATCGTTGAGTATCTGGGCGACGACCTCCCAACTGTGAAAGAAGGTATCACTTTCGACTTTTGACGTCGAAGTCAGCAGCTTCTTCATTAGTGTCTGAAGGCGTGTGCCTGACTCACGGTGATGGTCAAGACATCCATATCCGGGAATTTCCAACTGACGGAGTCAGCTCCGTTTCCCAGTACCTGTACAGGGTATCCTACCTCAGGTCCCGTACGAAGCTTGGCTCCACGACTTTTCGCTAGCCTGATACTTTCCAGGATTCGATGAAGATTCCCCTGAAAGTCCAGCGGCACGCTAGGAAGTGTGGCACTAGCGACAGTAATGAAGGTCATGCTGGGCCGATATTTGGGTCTTTTTGATATATCTCGGCAATGTGTGAGCTACCGACCCTTCAGGAATATTATTGCTTCGGTGATCTGAGGACGGGAAGTGAGTGGACTTTGTCACCCACTAAGATTCTGGGGAAAGGCAAGACAAATACTGTAGACAACCTAAGTGTCCCTGAACCACCCAAGATACCTACACAGCTTTCCCAGAACGACGGCCGTTTAATCGTGACTCTTCCGGCCTTGGCAAACGGCGGCTGCCGTATAAATGGGTGTGCGCTCCGCCGTATAGTTTTGCGTCACATACCCTCGATACTTACCAAGCCGGTTTCCAGAAAAAATGGCATCGTCCGACAGGGGGAATAAACTCCAGCTTGAAGATAGGGAGTCTGCTAACGGTAAATCACTGGAGTTATGGCCATGGTACCAACGGCCTTCCGTGTGTCAACGACTTGCGCTATAACGTTATATACGAAGGGTTCCGGATAGACAACGAGTACCACGTCAAGCACGTCTATGTGAAGCCGACGAACTCCTGCCGTCAGAACAGTGCCACCCTTTTCCGAAACCGGCTCGCTACCTACAGTGCACTACAGTACGTGTGCTCCGTGTCTATTAAGCGTATTTGAAAACACATTACCAGCGAGGCCAGGTACCTGAGAGTCAGGCATATGGCATTGCCAATCGGGGAGCAAAGAACGTCAGTATTCAATAAATATATTTTGTGCAATCTACCGCTGTCCATAATGATACACTTCCCGTTGGCAGTCTGCAGTATCGTCTCTGATGTTTAATACTCATATCCATGGCTTCATTTTCCCCAATTTTCGACCAATCTGCAAATCCTTGAATGAAACGACTGAATTTGTGCGAAGACTGGAACTCCTTCGCTCAGGAACGATCGTAAGAAGTGAAATCATACCCCATCATCATCAAAACCTGAGAGCTGCAATGCCGTAATATCAAGTAAGAACCTCCTTCATCTCGCAATCCATGAAGCGCTTCGTCAGGGGGTATAGGAGAATCCACGGACCGAATGCGCTTGCCATACCGAACCGAATATTGAATGACGAAAGAGCCGCCCCTTAATATTTCATGTCGTAACCCGGCCACCCCAATGCTCAAGTTCCACTCATATATGCCGTCCCCGAGCCACTCAAGCTTGAGCCTTGATCTCGGGGGCACGCTTGAACTCCTCACTGGCGTGAGCCATATCAGCTTCCTTCTGGGCCTTGGGCACTCGTGGAGATGGCACAGAGTCATGCTGAGCACGGCGAACAATACCTCCAGTGACAGGCAGGATAGAGCCGGTGTGCATCAAGAAACTGTCCACCTGTCGTGCGCACTGTCGCCCTTCGTTGATGCCCCAGACAATGAGAGACTGGCCGCGACGGCAGTCGCCAGCAGCAAAGACTCCAGGAAGGTTGGTGTTGTACATGTTCTTCGGAGTCTTGATGTTCTTGCGCGCATCGAGCTCGATCTCGGAGTTGAACAACCGATCATCTGGACCAAGGAAACCCATGGACAGAAGGACAAGGTCGGCTGGGAAGTATTCCTCGCTACCTTCCTTGGGTTTCATCTCCCACGCACCCGTGGCTGACTTGCTCCATTCCACACGGTTGGTGTTGATACCGACGACCCGACCGTCTTCCACAGCGAAGTCCTTGGTCATGACACAGTACTCACGGGGATCCTTGCCATAGTGCTGTTTAACCTCGGTGTGGCCATAGTCAACACGGTAGATTCTAGGCCATTGTGGCCATGGATTGTCGCGGGCACGCTCTGGTGGGGGTTGAGGCAAGAGCTCGAAGTTGGTGATGGACTTGGCACCATGTCGAAGAGAAGTACCAATGCAGTCATTACCAGTATCGCCACCGCCAATGACGATGACATGCTTGTCCTTAGCTGTAATGTACTTGCCGTCACCTAGTTCGGAGTCGAGCAGAGACTTGGTGTTTGCGTGGAGGAACTCCATGGCGAAATGAATGCCTTCCGCTTCTCTGTTCTTGATTTTCAAGTCACGGGGAACTTGCGCACCAGTCGAGATGACGACTGCGTCGTTGCTCTGGCGGAGTGACTCCAAGCTGACCTCTTCGCCCGGGCCAACCATGACGCCAGTCACGAAGTTGACACCTTCAGCGGCCATGAGATCGACTCGTCGTTGGACAATGCGTTTGTCGAGCTTCATGTTGGGAATGCCGTACATCAACAAACCACCAACGCGATCGGATTTCTCGTAGACTGTGACGGTGTGTCCGGCACGGTTGAGCTGATCCGCAGCAGCAAGACCAGCAGGCCCAGATCCGATGACGGCAACCTTCTTGCCAGTGCGTTCAGTCGGCGGGTTTGGAACCATCCAGCCCTCCTCGAAGCCTTTGTCAATGATGGCACACTCAATGCTCTTGATGCCGACAGGGTCTTCGTTGATTCCCAAAACGCAAGCACCTTCGCAAGGAGCAGGGCAGACACGACCAGTAAACTCAGGGAAGTTGTTGGTCATCAGCAGACGGTTGAGAGCGTCTTTCCACTGGTTCTGGTTTTGTCAGTATGTTATCTGTATGAAGGGAAAGAGAGACACCTACTTGAAAGACAAGCTCATTCCACTTGGGAATGATGTTGGAAATCGGACATCCGGTATCCGATTGACAGAATGGAACACCGCAATCCATGCATCGAGCAGCTTGATATTTGAGCTCGTCTTCATTGAGGCGCGACGACAGCTCGCCCCAGTCCTTGACTCTGGTCTTGACGTTGCGATACTTCTCGCTACGGCGAGTATACTTCATGAAACCACGGGTCTTGTCCAGGACCAATGCCGCCTTCTGCTTAGCCTTGTCTGCATCTCCGTTGATTCCTTCCTCAATATCGAGCATGTCAGCCTTCTTCTGCTGGGCCTCCTTGTCTTGTGCGGCATTGCGCTGTTCTTGATGAAGGTTTCGAACTGGGTTGCCAGGGAGCAATGGGAGAGGATATTCTGCCTTTTTGGCTTCCTCAGCCTTCTTGGCTTGCTCGGCCAATACTCTCTTATAGTCGGTGGGAAGCACCTTGACAAATCGTGGGAGGGCGCGGTTGAATTCGAGAAGTATACGGGCAGCAAGCTCGGAACCAGTGTAGTGATGGTGATCCTCGATCATGCCTCGAAGGAAGGCGATCTCGGATGGATCCTCAACACCAGAAACTTCAACCATTTCCATGTTGATCTTGGAGTGGAAATCTTGGTTCATATCGAGCACATACGCGATACCTCCAGACATACCAGCAGCGAAGTTGCGGCCAGTGCTACCAAGGACAACGATGCGGCCACCAGTCATGTACTCGCAACCGTGGTCACCGACACCTTCGACAACAGCATTGGCACCAGAGTTTCGGACTGCGAAACGTTCAGCAGCGACACCACGGAAGTAACATGTGCCGCTGGTAGCACCGTAGAGGCAGACATTGCCGATCAAGATGTTCTCCTCGGCCTTGTAAACAGCGCTGCGAGGAGGATAGATGATCAGACGGCCGCCAGAAAGGCCTTTGCCGACGTAGTCGTTGGAATCACCCTCGAGCTCAAGAGTAACACCAGGAGCGAGATAAGCACCGAATGATTGACCAGCAGAGCCTCTGATATTGACGTGGATGGTATCTTGAGGAAGACCAGCCTCGCCATAGCGCTTGCTGATTTGGTAGGACAAGGTGGCACCCAGTGTCCGGTCAGTGTTGACAATGTCGGTTTCAATCCGACATGGCAGACCCTTCTCGAGAGCGAGTTCGGACTCTGAGATGAGCTTGTTGTCGAGACGGGTATGCAACTTATGATCCTGTTTGCGGACATTGTAGGTGGCAACACCTGGACGGATGGAGTGTGCGGGGGTCAAAATAAGAGACAGGTCGAGGTTTTCGGTTTTCCGTGAGCGAAGGTCGTCACGAACCTTCAAGAGCTCGGCTCGACCGACCATCTCATTGACAGATCTCAAACCAAGACGGGCCATGATTGCACGAAGCTCATTGGCAATGTAGTAAAAGAAGTTGATGACGTGCTCCGGAGTGCCCTGGAATTTCTTTCTGAGTAGAGGATCTTGAGTAGCAATGCCGACAGGGCAGGTGTTCAGATGGCACTAGACAGGTTAGCTTTTGAGTTCTTGTACATGGCTGGATTAATGCTTACCTTGCGCATCATGATACAACCCATGGCGATGAGAGGTGTGGTGGCAAAACCCCATTCCTCCGCGCCAAGCAGACAAGCAATAGCGACATCACGTCCAGTTCGGATCTGACCGTCAGTCTGCACAATGACACGGCCTCGCAGATCGTTGAGAACCAAGGTCTGATGGGTTTCGGCCAAACCCAATTCCCACGGAAGACCGGCATATTTGATACCGGTCCATCTCGAAGCACCCGTACCACCGTCATGGCCAGAGATCAGGATGTGGTCGGCCTTGGCCTTTGCAACACCAGCCGCGACGATACCGACGCCGACTTCTGACACAAGCTTGACAGAGACCCTGGCGCGGGGGTTCGAGCACTTCAGATCGTAAATCAACTGTTTCAAGTCCTCAATTGAATAGATGTCGTGATGAGGAGGAGGCGAAATGAGGCCGACACCCGGAGTAGAGTGTCTGGTGCGAGCAATTGGCTCAGAAACTTTATGACCAGGCAGTTCACCACCTTCACCAGGCTTGGCACCCTGAGCCATTTTGATCTGAAGCTCATCGGAGTCAGCAAGGTAGTTTGACGTGACACCAAACCGCCCAGAAGCAATCTGCTTGATGGCCGAGCGCATGGAGTCGCCATTTTCCATCTTCAGACTTCGTTCAGGATCCTCACCACCTTCACCGGTGTTGGACTTCCCACCAAGACGATTCATGGCGACGGCCAATGTGGAGTGAGCCTCCATAGAAATTGATCCGTAGGACATGGCACCTGTAACAAATCGTCGTACAATTTCCGTCCATGGCTCAACCTGGTCAATTGGCACGGGCTGGCGTTGTTCGAAATCGAAATCGAGCAGGCCGCGGAGTGTGCAGTTCTTGATCTGCTCATACTCGGAAAGAGAGTAGGCCTCGTACGACTTATCGTTGTGGGTTCGAACGGCATCCTGAATGTTTGCAATGCTGACAGGGTCGTTGATGTGGTTCTCACCACCATCGCGCCAATGGTACTCTCCGGTTTCAGGCAATCCTGGGACATCTCGGATATGTCTCGAAGGATAACCTTGTTCATGGATAGCGAATGAGTCTTCGGCAATCAACTCGAAGGTCATACCACGAACACGAGTGGCAGTACCAGCGAAGCATCGGTCAACCACAGTGTCGTCAATACCCAATGCTTCAAAGATCTGAGCTCCCTTGTATGACTGCAGAGTGGAAATACCCATCTTGCTCATGACTTTCAGAATACCTCCGTCGCAAGAAGCCTTGTAGTTAGCGATCAGTTGCTGATCAGTGAGCTTCTTCTTGATGATGCCCTCACGGTTGAGCTTCAGAATGCATTCGATAGCCAGGTAAGGGTTGATACCATCAGCACCGTAGCCGACGAGGACACACATGTGGTGGACTTCTCTGGCATCAGCAGTCTCGGCAATGAGCGCCACTCTAGATCGCCACTTGTTGCGCACCAAGTGATGATGAACCAAACCAGTGGCAAGTAAAGTAGGCACAGAAACCCGCTCTTCACTGGTAGCTCGATCAGACAGGATGATGATCTTATCACCTTGCTCGATTGCAGCTGTAGCTTCGTCGCAGATGTCGTCGAGAGCCTTCATGAAGCCGTCGACACCGTTTGATTTATCAAAAGTGATGTCAATAGTCCGAACAGTCCAGTCCTTGTTGTACTGGTTGATGTTCTTCAGCGCATTGAAAGTTTCCGTCTCCAAAATTGGAGATGGAAGCAACAGTCTGCCGCACTGTGACTCGTCCATCTCGAGCAAATTGCCCTGAGGACCAACGTAGCACTCCAGAGACATGACAATCGCTTCTCGAATAGGGTCGATAGGCGGGTTTGTCACCTGGGCGAATAGCTGTCTGAAATATTCATATAGAAGTCGTGGTTGCTGTGCAAGACATGCAAGAGGTGCATCGTTACCCATAGATCCAAGTGCTTCCTTTGAGTCGGCAGCCATTGGTGCAAGAAGCAGACTAACCTGCTCGAAGGAGTATCCGAATGCTTTTAGTCTAGGGTCTTCTTGAACGCTGGTGTCCGTAAGTTTATAATTCAGGTCGGATTCCTTGGACAATGCCTCATAGATTTGAGGCATTTTCATGAGGTTCTTGTCCAGCCACTGTTGGAAAGGTTGTCGGCTTGCGACAGTGGCTTTGAGTTCAGCGTCATCAATGATGCGCCCAGCTTCAGTATCAACCAGAAGCATCTTTCCGGGTTGCAGGCGCCCCTTGAGGATCACTCTCTCGGGTTCGATCGCAATAGTACCTACTTCCGAGGCGCAGATGATTCGATCATCATCCGTCACGTAGTAACGGCAAGGTCTCAGACCATTTCGGTCCAAGTTGGCGCCACAGTATCGACCGTCTGAAAATGTGAAGAGCGCAGGGCCGTCCCACGGCTCCATCAAGTTGGCTGCGTATTCGTAGAAAGCGGCTTTACCAGCGTCCATGGCATTGTTACCCTGCCATGCCTCAGGCACCATCATCATGACGGCTTCGGGCAAAGAAAGCACACGGTTCATGACCAAAAGCTCCAGGACGTTGTCAAAGGCGGCAGAGTCTGAGCCACCATCCTCAACGATGGGGAACAATTTCTCGAGTTCTTCGCCAAAAAGATCCGATCGCAGCACGCCCTCACGAGCTCTCATCCAGTTCTTGTTGCCTCGCAGAGTGTTGATCTCACCGTTGTGAGCAAGCCAGCGCAGGGGCTGTGACCGATCCCACGATGGGAAAGTGTTTGTGGAGAAACGCGAATGCACCAGGGCGAAGTGAGCCTCATAATCTACCGAGACAAGATCATGGTAATACTGGTACACCTGCACAGGCGCCAACTGTCCCTTGTAGACGATATTTCTGTTGCTTAGGGAGCACACGTAGAACCAGGGCTTCCAACGTGGATCGTGGGAGACTGTCTTTCTTAGGATGTACAGCTTTCGCTCGAACTCAACATCATCGAATTGTTCGGGGTCGGTGACATCTGGTTTATTGCCACTCCCGTAAGCGGAAGCAAGGACGACAAAGGGTTGGAGGATTATGGGTTCGCGTGAAAGGGCAGCTGGACCCAGAAGAGTCGAGTCTCGTGGAACCTCTCGCCAGCCGAGGGTACGCAGGCCCAATGATTGAGCGGCCTCCTCGAAACTGAGGGTGGCATGTTTCAGCATCTCAGTGTCTGGCTTGAAGAACAGGTTGCCGGCAGCATATTGACCAAGAGGTGGTAATTCCACGCCAACCTCGCGGGCGAAATTCTTGACAAAGAACTTGTGAGGGAGCGAGCTCATCACACCAGCACCGTCACCATCTCGTGCGTCTGACCCGACCGCACCACGATGGGTCATGTTACAGAGGAGGTTTCGCGCATCGCTGACGATTTTGTGGCTTGGCTTGCCCTTGATATGGCTGCGGGCATTGTCAGCAAGAAACCGCAAAACTTGGTTGATGGATCTCTTACGCAGCAAAGCCTACACCACATGCATCTTTCTCAAGGCTAGGATCGTAGAGACCTTGCTTCTCGGGCAAAGCCTCACCCCATCCATAACCCTTGTCGGGCTGGTATGGAGTGTACTCTTCCTTAACCTCTGGTGCTTCGATCTCTTGCTTGTTTGTTTCCACGGTTGAAAGGCCCATCCTATGGTCGACAGGCGACGACTTTTTCACAACGCAGACGAGGAAAGAAGGGTGGCGACAGAGGTCAGATCGGTTGGCGTGTAGGTATACAGGCGAGCCTGTGAAAAACCCTGCTCGCGGCAGATGAGGGGCTTACTCGACAGCAGGAAGGCTGTCTCTGTGCAAGGTTGAGCTCCAGCAACGGATTCTTGCGAGTCGTCTGGTGGTGATGAGCAGACAGACGGACTGGAGGCTGGGACAGTGGTAAACAGGAAGGGATGGAGGGAGGGTAGACGAGAGAAAGAAAAGAATAAATTGGGCCGATTTGGGTGTGGGGTTCTGCAAGAGTTTCTGCTGCCTCGTTGCTAGTGTCACGGACCATTCACAGCTTAGCTGTTACTACGGAGAAGTTTTTGCCTTGTCTTCCAGTGACATGCGGTACCGGCAAATGAAAGGATTGCGTCAAGACTGATCTCACAGCACGGCGGGAAGAAAAAGGCAGAGCGCAGACGGAAGCATTATTGATCTGTCACGGGCGCGCACAACGTACAGTACAGAGAGCCGCGTCGCCCGTCTACACAGTGCCATCATGGTGCTCTGACAAAGAAGCAGAAGCAGAAGCTAAGGTGGGGGAGCCAACCATCCTTGTCGAAAACACATCATGGGCAGCTTTATTCGTTTCTCCTCCAGCTCCATCGTGTCCATCCCAAGCATAAGCTCCATCATCTTGCATGTGCTGATAAGAGCCTCCTCGAGCCAATCACCGGCTGTTGTTTCTCTTCGATTACCTTTCCATTGCAACAACCGAAAAGATTTTGCCCGCTACCGGCGTCTTCTCAACTTCTCACAAGCTGCGCAAGAACTTTTTAGCCACCTAGCGAGTCTAGCGAGCCTTGCCTTACAGGCCCATTACCAGTTCAAGAGCCGTGAGTTCTGTGTGTCATACTGCTCTCCGGGCCTCCACCACCAGTCTAGATGCAGGGATCTTTTCTTCGCTTCGCTTACACCACTCCTCTCCAGTAGTAAGTACAGTACTCGTAGACGGGAGGGAACTGCGTTGCTCCCACCTCGGCATTGACCGCGGATGCCTCGTTTTGGTTTTTCGTATTCTTTCGCCCGGTGTGCTCTGGTCAGGACACTCTCCTCCTCCGGGCTCGCCCGGCTAGCAGGCTGACTCCTAGCCTTGGGCAAGAAAATTTTTTCTGGTCTAGCCTAGAGCATGGGCAAGTCAGCAAGAATCAGCTGTACACCTATTCTGGCCTGATATACAATATTATGATGAATTTGTCTGATGGCTGAAGTCGGAAATATATCACAAGCACACCTGAAATCACACGACAGGAAAGGTAGTAACTGTTGCAAGCCCATACCCAGCAGGAATGCTGCAAACGAGACGCACCCCACGCTCGGACAATTTGTTATTTGAACGAACACATGCACCAACACATCGCCCTATGGGTAACCTTGCTCAAGTTGCAGCTCGCCTCGATGGAGGGGCGAAGCACCGGATGGCCAACCATAGTACTCGTACTGTGTACTTGAGCAATCCAGCCAGTGGCTATACCAGAAGTTTAGCCGACCACCGACACCACCAAGGCTAGAATAAGCTCATCACAGCTCAAGCACCACAGAAAGGTACCTGGAGGGGACCCAATGGCCCATGAGCTGTCTTCTTGCGGCCACTAAATTCGGTCTGCCGACGTCGGAACTCCAGTCGTCAGATCTGCCCGTTCCCAAAACGAAAACCTTGTGGGTGCTGGCTCCTCACCTCCTCCACCAAGCCCTGCATGACATTAAGATATCCACACTGACTTCAAGCCGCATATTAATCCAAGCTCTCTGATTGAACAATCTGAACGAGAGCTGCAGACCCTGGCTGGTCTCCCCGGGAATTTGCACCCATGTGGAAGGTAAGGTTGGAAATCGTCCACGAATCCAGGTGTGCAATCGTCTGTGGCCGCGGGCTTGCAAATGGCATATAAAATAGGATATAAGTACAAGCAGCACATCCGTTTGTGGACATGTTCGCCGTTTCATCGGCCAGGTCCATCTCGGCCTTGTGCGAAATGAATTGTAGTTTCTGTCCCGTCTACGGGATTATTTGCCCGACAGGACAATTTCTCTCTGGGTAAGGCCCAAGGCTCCTAAGCCTTGTCTGTTGCATTTCATGGACACATAAAAACAAAATTGGCTCCACGGCCACATCTGCAGACCGCCATCTCAAGTGTTGGGTCTTGCTGGTCTTGCTTGTCTTGCTGGTCCTGCTGGTCCTGCTGGTGATGCTCACATTCATTCGGGAGGAATCGGCTCGAATATGTGTGAGACATGATCTTGACTGTGGCTCGTACGCCAGGTCGGAATTATGAGACTCTGACATTTTGTGGGCAAGTACACCGGTACCGGCTTTGGATTAGCTATATCCATCGTCCACTTGGCCCGTCCATCAGGCGGCTTGGCATAAACCAGTAACAACCGCCACATGAGTGCGGCCTGTCCGCTGTGAGGGTGTGGTAAGATATGTGTCGAGGTGTAAGAGATTTGTAAACGTCGAGGTGCAATAAGTAGGTCCACAGGCGGCAGGAGCCAACAGCGCACGACGAAGCAGTGGAAATGACGCGCAAGAACTCATATCATCCCCCATCTTCAGGTTTAGAACAGTCCTTTGGATTACGCTGTATAGCATCATGAGAGCCTAGATTGAACAGTAACTATCCCAGGCCAGCATGAAGACAGCTCAGAATCCACAGCATGCTTGCGCCGCGCGGCGCATGAGAGTGATTCAGGCATGCTTTGATACACTGTGCGCATACTGCATTCTGTAACTTTCTAACAAAGCACAGAAGTTGTTCTCCCCGGAGTCGGCAGCTACGGACATTCAGGTCCTTCTCTGACTTCCTGGCCCACTTCCTTAAGCCACTGGTCACTCAAGACCGTATGCGCCCAATGATTCTCAGTAGCTGGGGTGTCTGGATGGACAAGCCTTTGGCTATACGACGATCGAGTCCGGCATTCCATGTCAGAAGCATCGCCATGGCGTATCTTGGGCATGGTCCTTCCTCGTCTGGTAGATCTCGGACGCTGATCTTCAGCTGCCGGCCAATGGACTCCTGACAGGACTCCACTGTCCGTCGCCAACGACAATGTAAGGACGTTAAGAAGTAGCCGTGGTTGGACACTCAGTCGAGGCGGCGAAGTTTTCTCGGGCGATCTGTGTAGCCTTCAGAGAGTCGCTCATGAGGTGCCGGCGATGGGAATCTCCATGCAAGAATCGCCTTTTCACGAGACGTTGGCGATGATTGAGTCCCGCCTTATCTGCCTCGACCTCTTCCACCAAACATATTACCCATGCCCCCACCGAAATTCTTCATCATATCTTGCATATTCATGCCACCAGCACCTCCCATGGACCCCATCATCTACCCCAGAAAGTTAGCACATGATACCAGGAGCAATGGAACAGACATGAAGCCTAAGATAGGGAGTTCGTACCTCCATTAGCTTTCCCATGTCCCCACCAGGCATGCCACGTCCCATACCCATGGCCTGAGCCCTTTTCTGCATTGCAGCCATCTGCTGCTGCTTGTTCCCACCTTGCAGCATCGCTTGAGCCTTGGCCATGTTCTTTTTCTGCGCACCGAAGTTTTTGGCGAGCCCTGACATGACTTTGTGCTGCGTCAGAAGTTCCTCGACATCTCGGACACTGGTTCCGCTCCCGCAGGCAATACGAGTAATCCTGGTGGGCTGCGAGAGCAAGATCTTGCCGTCCGAGTCGAGCTCCTTCGCCGTCATGCTGTCGAAGATGTAGATCATTCGTTTGATTTTTTCTTGACCGTCCTCGTCGGACATCCCACCCATCATATTGCTGAGACCAGGAATCATACTCGCGACTTTCGACATCGGTCCCATTTTTAACTAAGGCAAGTATCAGTGGATATTCGAAGACGCCAGAAAACCTGGTACTGAAGACCAGGACGAGCTGCTTTTGACCCATGGGATTCTTCCACGGTGGCTCATTGGGGGACACAGCCAACTTACTATATTGGAAATCTGCTCCTTCATATCTCGAATCGTGAAGATACCCTCGGCCAGATGCTTCTGCGTCTCCTTCATGCCTGCCGACTCTCTGGTAATTGTCTGAAGATGTTCGATCAATCCCGACATGTCGCCATATCCGAGCAATTTGGAGATGAAAGGCTTCGGCGCAAATCGTTCCAAGTCAGTCATATGCTCTCCGGTACCCAGAAAGGCGACTGGTGTATGTGTAGCTGCAACAGCTGATATAGCACCACCTCCCACTGCACGTCGTCAGAAAGCTGTACCAATGAACAGGAAGAGACCATAGACCCGTGCACAAATGGCACAGTCATTCGCAAAAGAAATACTTACACGCTCCACCGTCTGTCTTTGTGATGATGATAGCGCCAAAATCAGCCGTCTGCTTGAACGCCGCTGACTGTGCTTCCGCCGCTTGGCCTATCGTCCCGTCCAGCACCATAATCGTCTGATCAGGCTTGATGGCATTCTGCACTTGTACCATCTCGGCGAACAGATCTGCCTCCTGCTTGTGACGACCCGACGTGTCCACAATGATGATCTCGAACTTCTCCTTCTTGAACCGCGCAACACCCTCGGCAGCAACGACAGCTGGATCTGTCTGCGTCAATGAGCCATAGTATGGTATCTTTGCTTTCGTTGCATTTTGCTTCAATTGGTCGTACGCTCCAGCACGGAATGTATCAGCGCACACTAGACAGGACTTGAACCCTCTTTGTGCGTAGTATCTTGCCAACTTCGTACACGTCGTCGTCTTGCCAGCACCCTGTAGACCAACAAACATTATAACATTGGACTTTCCTTTCTTCGCTTTGTATGGCTCGGCATGAGGGTCGACGAGTTGAACAAGGTGATCAAAGACAGCCTGTTGGATCAGTCGCTTTTTGCTGTTCGCGGTTGTGTGCGGCGGAAGGTCTTTGAAGTTGACGGTACTCTGTATCGATTTCCGTAGGTTCTTGACTAGTCGGACATTGACATCTGCTGATAATAGTGCTGAACATATCTCTTTGATCATGGAATCGAAGGCTTTCTCGTCTAGATTGGGTTCGCGGTTGAGGTTTGATACCGCGGCGTTGATGCGCCGGCCAAGATCTGAAAGGACCATCTTGTACGTTGTCTAATCACCTGGTAGGTGGTCCGATGTGTCTCTAGGTGTGAGACTACTCCGAATAATAGGATCCCTTCGCAATCAACGAGGTGGTTTTTGATCTGGAATGGAGTTTATGGTGGGGAGGACGGTGGGCGGAGTGCCATCATTCACTCCGCAGTAGGAATGTACCTTGACCGCAGTTTTACCGAAGCAAAGAAATTCTAACATTTTTTTGGTCAAGGTCAGAGACCAATCTGAAGCCACTACGAACGATCACCGGCTCTTGTCACATCCTCTACAATGGCTCCCCCTTCGCAGAAGAAACGCAGACTCGAAGATGGTATGCGCGGCAAGACCGAACGTCCTAAAAAGCGGTTCCGCAAACAGACGGAATACCACAGTTCTTCGGAGGATTCAAACGCAGAAGATGAGGGAGGTTTTGCAGCGGTCAACCTCGACGACAGTGATGAGGGCATAAAGGTACACCCGGCGCGAAAGGCGAAGCGAAAATCGGCAGAACAGCGCAAAAAGAAGGAAGATGTGCATGGTGAAGCGCATGCCCAAGATCAAGACCGCGAAGACAGCGCAGATGAAGGATCAGAGCAAGGAGAAGATTTATCAGACGACGACGACGATGATGATGCAAACACAGTCGGTACAGGTGCCAACCGAAAACGAGCAAGCAAACGCAACGACCCGGAAGCATTCTCTACCTCCATCTCCAAAATCCTATCCACCAAACTCTCTCAATCAGCCCGCAAAGACCCCGTCCTATCCCGAAGCAAACAGGCCACAGACACGAGTACCTCCCTCGCAGATGAGAAGCTCGAAAGGAAAGCCAAGGCCAAACTACGAGCAGAGCGCCGTGAAGACCTAGAGCGAGGAAGAATAAAGGACGTGCTGGGGTTGAATTCAGGCACAGCAGGAGAGATCGCTGAGGAGGAAAAGCGCCTGCGCAAGATCGCACAACGGGGTGTGGTCAAGCTGTTCAACGCCATTCGGGCCGCCCAGGTCAAAGGCGAGCAGGCAGCTCGGGAGGAACGAAAGAAGGGGACGATTGGAATGGCCAATCGTGAAGAGAAGGTGAATGAGATGAGTAAACAAGGGTTCCTGGATCTAATAGGAGGGAAGAAGAAGGCTACCGCAGTGCAATAACGTAGCCCTTTGTCAATGGAAAATGTGATGAGTTGCGCGTCCCGAGTTGAAGGCATATGCTCCGCTGGGTGCGAGAGCAACATTATGATAGTACATGTACAGCTTTATTTTGTGACATGTCAACAACAACCGCTTCTTCCTTGTCTTGCCGCATCACCGCTTCTCGAAATCTGAAGCCTGCATGTTCCTCGTCATCTGTGGTAGCTTGACCACGAGTCCGTCGAGCTCGGGCGTCATATGTACCTGGCATCCTAGCCGTGATGTTTCGGTCAATCCAAACGCCAGATCTAGCATGTCGTTCTCATCGTCACTGGCCTCGGGGATTTTATCGTACATTTCTTCGGATTCGACAATGACGTGACAGGTTGAGCAGGCGCAAGAGCCGCCGCATGCGCCTAGGTGATAAGCAGTCAGTTCTCTATCTCACGGATTCCTGCCTTCCCTCGCAAAGCCGGACACCTGTTTGTGCTGGAGCCGAATGTTGTACATACCTTCCATCTCGATATCGTTGGCCTGCGCTATATCTAGTAAATTGTCTCCCTTTGCGACTTCGAAGGTGTATTTCTCGCCATCTTTGTCGATGAATGTGACGTGTAGCCTGTCCTCAACATCAGCCTGTGAGCACTTCTATAAAACATCTGTAATCCTACTCTTCTCCCGGTTTCGGAGGGTCAAGGTGTCCGTGCCTGTTCGCCGGACTCGTCGAGAAGCGCCTCCTTCCATGCTCAAGGGTTCGAATATATTGCCTGATATGGTCTTTCTTGATTTCAAGCTCGGCCTGGTGTCGCCGGCACCGCGTCAGAGGTGATGCATGGATGTTGCTGGAGAAGAGCCGGGCTCCTGCGCTCCGAGGAAGAATGGCTTCCGATGGAAACCACCTGGGTCTCCCTGCTGCAATCAAACTTCGTGCTCCATGCCACGCAGACATTCTTTGATGCCCAACGTCGTGGTTGACGAGTGTTTGTGTCAGCTACCAACTGAGTTGCTCCTGTTCAACTAAATTGCGATACGAAAATCGAGCGAAATATCGGAGTTAATGATGCAATCTTGGCACTTGAACGGCCGATGGAACTCGGTCTGCGGCTTTATTCATTCATTCCTCCATACTAAATACTATACCCAGGTATACACTAACATGAAATTATACAATACACAAGGATACATTCTTTTACTTGGTGAATCCCAAGAACGACCCATATTTGGGGTAAAATTTCCAAGGAGCCAGCGCTATCTCGTTCAGCCCAACGGCTGTGTGAAGTCGAATATCCAGTTGAAGTCTCCCCATAGATCGTGCGGCACCTGGAATGGTGACATCGTGACAGAATCATCACTCCCGGCAGCAGCGAGGCCGGCGAAATGCAGCGGGTCGCTGTCTGCATGCAGCGTTTGCTGTAGATTTGGATGTATATTCTGCTGTGCCCTGGTCACGGCGTTGCGTTGACTAGCCATATAATCGTCAATACGCGCCACTTGCACACGGAGCCTCTCGCTCGCACTGGCACTCGATTGGATCCCCTCTAGGTTCGATAGCAACTGTGCCATAGCCAGCATGACTGATCGGACGCGGTTGTAGTCGGCGTCGCTAAGTGGTTCTTCGAAGACAGAACCCAAAATCTGTCCAATACCGCCAAGGTGGTGTGTCAACGGTGAGCTGATAGCTTTAAGATACGCCACCGGCACGGCATTGAAAGCTCCAATGACTTCGTTGGCGATCTGACACCGCTCCTCAATGCTCGCCCCACCAGCAGCAAACAACACCATCCGAAGTAGCTGTATTGTGGCTGTTATATTGGCTGCTTGAAAACCGAATCTGTCCTGCTTGATATCGTATGTGATAGGATGTGTCTCTTTGAAACACTGCGGAAGGTTGATGTACATCTGTATGACGCTGTCACGGACAGAGGATTGGGAGACACCCGGCTGGTCCTTGAAAATGTCGTGCAGGAATGACCGTTTATGCAGACGAGACCTTCTGTCCCTGAAATGGGTGATGACATGCTCAAGGACTCTGTAAAGGTCTGTTATGAAATTCCACCCACATAACCAACTGCTGGATTGCACCTGCACCCCGTTTCGACTTGGTGATGGTCCTATCACTGCTGGAGACATCGAGGCTCGAGATGAGAAGCCACTGTCACTAAAAAGTTCATCGTCGATTTCCGTGGGATATGAAACATTTGACTGCTGTTCTCGACAGCGGATCACACCACCCCAGACAACAGAAGTATAGATGTCGAGAGTGTAGATGCTCCAGAAAAGTCTTCTTCTCTCTTCCGTCTCGACGATGCCAATATTCCGTGGCCAATTTGCTTCATCGTGCAATCCATCCATAGCCACAAGAGTGTGATACCTGCCCAGATGCTTGTGCATGTCGCGTGGCTTTCCATATTGTATGGCACAGATGGCCAAAATAGCGTGTGCACGCATTAGGTTGTGGTCTGGCGTAAGGTCTTCGTCGGCGCTCTGCAAAGCTGCTTCGGCATAGAAAACCTCAGAATCGACTTCTTGCAAAGATTCAATATCCCAGCGCGGGTTATACACTGCGGCATCCCGAGCGCGAGCTGCCACTAGAGCGCAGACCGCCATCGTAGAGGCGAAGAGAGTTCTTCTCGCCGAATACTCTCCACGAGCCACACTCCGGACGAAGGTAGGCTGGTGAAACAATGGGAAAATGGGATATACGATTTCAAAGTAGAGTTCCACTAGATCCATGATTGTAGCTTGACTGGCGATATGCGGAGCGCGCCATCGACCTCCGGATGATCCTGATTGTTTATGACTGACAATCGCCATCGCGTTGGTCCTTCGCGCCTCGCGATCATGATGGAGGCTGGTGGCGATGGCTGAAGAATTGCGTATAGTCGGAGTCTCATGGCTGGCGGACAAGCTTCGACTCTCTGCGCAAGGCGGGAGAGACGGCCTGGAGGAAGTTGTTGATGTTGTCTCATACTCGTCTGTGACGACGTGCCCGGTTCTGGCGCGAGGAGGGACACCTCTTCGCTTTGCTTGACGCTCGAACGTGCATGGCTGCCCGAACTCAATGCAATTTTGGCAGTTGGGACCGTCGCCGCTCGGGCGACACCGTATACTGCGTCGATGGCAGTAGTCACAGGCTCTGGAAATCCTTCTGGACTTAGGCTTCTGACTAGAATTTGACGACATTGCTAATTTTCATCTGCCATGGAAGTGGATACGCGTGGAGTGCCGGCCTTCGACGACGAGTTGTCAGTTCCGGGGTTCATCCCCGATCATGCACAACTTTAGACCATGTCGCTGCTGTTCTCAAGTTGCGAATTATCACCAGCGAGGAAATACTGGTCAGTAGGAAAGCTGAGGATGGGAGGGGCGGCCTGGGGTGTAGCAAAAGTCGAGAACCGCGCCGCAATGAATCTCTTGGCGTCGGAAAAAGCAATTTTGGACTTCCTAACACTTCCGCTTCCACTTTCACGAGACCATCACCGCCACCCTCGCCATCCTCCCCATCCTTTACACGAGCAAGTTGCAGCACTTCCGGCACTAAATATCTATTGGTGACATCTATCGACAAGGACCAAACTCACAGTGATGGTCGCAATGACATGCGTACATCCTTGCCGTCCCTGATACTACGTCCTATCCTCTCTGCAAACATCATGGTAGTCGCCATCGTGTTGGCAGCTGGCACAGTGGGGATGACGCTAGCGTCGCCCACTCGAACACCTTCCACCCCGTATACGCGCCCGGACTGATCTACGACACCCCCGAGATTGCGGGCCGCCATCCGACAGCTGCTGCAGAAATGGTAGGTCGTCGAGAACTGCGACATCAGCCAAGCGTCCAAGAGCTCGTCTGACTCGATCACTCGCTTGTCAAGACCCATGGGTTGACCAAGGACCTTTTGCATCGCCTGGGATGTCAATACTTGGTACGCCTTCCGAACAATCTCCCGTGCAACCTGTCTGTCATGCTCAGTCGCCATATAGTTTGGGTTGACCTCAGGGGCTTCTTTGGCATCGGTCGAGCGTATCTGGACCGTGCCCAATGAGGTCGGTTTGTTGACATTGCACCCAATCCCGGCGACATGACCGGTCGCGGTTCCTGCCAGACTTCGTGACTGGACCCTCGGATCAGGAGCTTGAGCATACAGGTAGCTGAAACAGACCATCTGCAAGTCGATAGCCCCTGGTCGCATCGACGATGACCACCGAGCTTGCATTTGCAAGGAATAGTCACCCTCCCTGTATGCTCCTTCTTTCGGCTTCGCCACAATCGGGATGCATGGGTGATCTGACAAATTTTCTCCAACAGGAAGGTCTGCAACCACTGATATACCCCGGGCCTTCAAGAGATCTGACGGACCAACTCCAGATCTCTGTAGGATTGCAGGTGAGAAAATCGCTCCGGCGCAGAGGATGACTTCCGCACTTGCAGTTATATGCTGTCCGTCAACCAACATGACGCCGGTTGCTTTGTTTCCAGTGAACGTGATCTTGTCAACCTGGGTTTGTGTGAGGACGGTCAGGTTTGGTTGACTCCGAATAGGATCAATAAAGGTATTTGCTGCGCTGATACGACGGTCTCCGACACGGCATACTGGCGACGGTCCTACACCTTCGGACCCGGTTTCGTTAAGATCGAAAACTTCGTGGAATCCGGTTGACACAGCTCCTTCCACAAATGCGCGCTGAATCTTGCCCGTCTCTTCTTTCCTCGTTCGGAGGACGGGATGAGGACCCCGACTTCCTCGCACCGGATCGCCTTCCATCGACTCGTACACCTTACAGCAACTGTCGTGATCCCAGGCAGCATTGCCCAGATCGACCCATTCCTGTGAGTCTGCTGCAGTGTTCCTTAAAGCTGTGCCTCCGTTGATACTGCTTCCACCACCAACGATCTTGGCTTGTGGGACGACCATCGAACCACCTCCTGGCAATGCCACTACCACATTCCAGTCTATGCGGGCGTCAAAGACTTCTGACTGTCCTTTCATCGGAACTCGACGGGCATCCTGAATCCCCTTAGGCATGTCCTGATCATTTGGCCCACAGTCTGGGCCGGCTTCAATGAGAAGGACATTGTTCGTTGAAACCTCCGCGATTCTTGCTGTCACGACACAGCCAGCCGAGCCGGCACCAACGACGATATGTGTGTATTGCTGCTGCTTCATGGTGCTTGTCGGGTCCTGAGCTAGTATTGCCTTAACAGTCGATGTACTGTGTGCACAGTAATAGGCTAATAGCTTGCCGATCACGAGACATCCTCTCGCTAACTTCCAAGACCAAGAGCCTCAGTCTCGTATGTTCTCTGTGTTTCTTCGGCTAAACGGTTGCCTTTGCTGCAAGAGGCTCAGAAGTTCTCCAGTCACGCGGTGAATGCACGTTCCAAGCCAATCTGGGCATCGTGGGCAGTATGGGCAGCGTGGAGCCCCCTCCTTTCGCCTAAACGGCTAAACGGCAATTGCTCGTGGTCGGTAGCACTTCTATGGTCGGGTCTACAAGCGAGCTTTGGCGTTCAATATGCAAACCCTCGCGACCATGTGACGTTATCGGAATACTGCTCTCCACTGTTCCGTGATGCAGACGGTTTGTCATGCCAACCGATAGCAGCCTCGACCCAAGGTCTCCAGAGAATACGGGGCTCATGAAAAGAGTCCCAAGTGGGAGGACTACGTGGAGGACTCATCAGTCGACATATGATCTAGATTGCCCTTCGAGTGATCTTGCTTTCAGTGTATCTTCGAGAAAATAAAACAACAATTTGGCCATTCGAGAAATCAAAATCAGCACTTGAGCCCTAAATCATACACACAAATTCAAACAAACATGGATATGGTATATCAATTCTCGTCGCCTTGATCATTTTCAGCGGTCTAACCAACGTGGCAGTTCTCTCTAAAAGGTCAGACCGCAGTCATCACTGGTGCTGCTCGTGGCCTGGGTCTAGCATTCGCCGAAGTGCTAGGATCAGCACAGTGCAATATAGCTGTTCTCGACGTTTTGCCGGAGCCTTCTCCAGCCTTATTTGAGCTCAGAGACAAGCACAACATCAAAGTCGAATACTACCGCGTCGACATCACTTCGCGGTCAAACGTCGAAGATACTATTGCCAAAATCGAGAAGGAATTTCCATCAATTGACATTAACGTCAATGCCGCCGGCATCGTGAAGGATGAACCCTTCCTGACGACTTCGGAGAGCAACATCGAGCGCACATTCGCCGTCAACTTCACAGGCTCGTTCCTCGTGGCTCAAGCTTGTGCAAACAGCATGGTCAGACGCTTGACCAAGAACAGTTCAGATGGGAAAACTCCTCAGGTCGACCCATCTCAGGACGGTGGCAACATCGTCTTTATCGGCAGCATCTCGACCCACATTGCCAGCACGGCGCAAAACATCAGTGCGTACGTTGCTTCCAAGGCCGCCGTGCGAGGTCTTGTGGCGCCTCTGTCCATGGAACTCGCTCCCTACGGCATTCGTGTCAACAGTCTCAGCCCAGGCTATATGATGACGGATATGATGAGAGGATTGCAAAGTCAGCAACCGGACTTGGTCAAACAGTTCGAGAAGGAGACAATGTACGGCCGCATTGGAAATCCGGAAGAGGTTAAGGGCACGCTGTTGTATTTGTGTTCGAGAAAAGCTTCAGGCTGGGTCACGGGGCAAGACTTGCTGGTGGATGGTGGCGCCAGTTCGTGGAAGCATCCTGCTGTGCTGCAGTAGTGTGTCTTCGTTTCGACTTTCGTACTTGGCGGTAGATTTGGATTGAAAAAAATAATGTTGACAGCTGTTGCGTTGCAAGGGTTATCAATCTATGCGCCTTCCGAACAAGCCAGTACAAGTTATTATGCAGTCCACAGCCAGTGATACAACTGGGATGCAGTGTGTGCTCACTGGCCTACCTCGTAGAGTTAACAGAAGGTGGTCTATCGAGCACACCGCCGCATTTGGGTTATCTGTCTCAACCATGAAAGGAACGTGTCACGGTTATATACACCTCGTAGCTATTAGTAATTCCTGAGTGAATTAGCTCAGTATTTCGTCCTTTTGCGGTTCAAGTGTTATGGTGTAACGAGTGAGAACGTCACATAACGATCGGGTCTCCCTTTCTATCGATCGAACATGGATCGACGTGTTTGACAGCAAAGCACTTGCCCTCCAGCACGGAGGGTCGAGCAATGCAGTAGTGCTTGACTCGGCTATATGTATACCAGATCTGGTGCGCCGAGCCAACAAGAAGTTGCTTCGAGGCATTGATCAAGTTCACTTCGAGCTCGCGGGTCTTACTAACACGACGCGGCAAAGTCTTCGACACGAGCTCGAGACGAGCCCCAGCCCCATCCTTAATTTGGTTTTCAGGGTTGATTGGTGAATTGTATACATTGCCCGGCCGTATATATTACAGCCATCACGACTAAGGTACAAAGGTACCGTGGTACCTTCTACCTGGTGGTTTGCTCGACCCTCTTTGTAGCTTCAATTTGTAGCTGCAATTTTCTCCTGAACCGTGGTAGGTCTTGGTCTTTTCGCACAGTGACACACACAGACACAGACACACACACTTTTGGCATGGCCAGATTCAAGTTCCTTTTCCTTTACTTCTCAACATCCTGCACGTGGTAGCGCTCGGCATCCTTGTCGTTTGCCGACTCAACGACAGAGACACGTCTGGGATCCAAGTGGGTGGTTCCATCAACCTCGTCGAGCAAGCGACGCGCAGCCACGGCGACGTTTCCGCCAGCCTCGGCGACACGGCGGTTGTATTCCTGCATGTTCTTCTTGACCAGGAGGCTGTTGCTGGTGAACAGCAGGTCGATTTCCTCGAGGGTCTTGTTGGCGACTTCGGGGTAGAAGAGGTAGATGATGGGGCCGGAGACGGCGTTCATGGCGGCGAAGAAGATGAAGGTGGCCCAGCCGAGACGGTTCAACATGATGGGAATGACGAAGGTGGTCATGCCGCAGCCGATGGCCCAGCCGAAGATGGTGAAGCCGTAACCCTTGGATCGGATTTCTGTTGACAATTTCGTTAGTTATGTCTAGTTCCGAAGAGAAAGAGAAGGCTTGTCAGGGAATAAGGTAAGGCTCACCAGTTGGGAAGATCTCGGATCCGTAGATCCAGCAGGGGACAATGTTGAAGACGGTGAAGCAGACCAAGAAGATGAAGACGAAAGCTCCAGCACCGGTTCCGAGTTGCGTGGCCAATGCCGGGTTGGAGGCCGCTTTCTCTTCGGAGACCTTGATCAAGACGCCCACGATGATCAGACAGATACCCTGGGTGATGAACGAGACGATCAGAGACTTGACACGACCAAGTCGGTCAATGACAAGGGCGGCTCCGGCAGTACCGAAAATACCGAACGTGTTGACGAGACCACCGAGCCAGGCCGATTTGTACTCGTCGAAGCCGGCGAGACCGAAGAGGACACTGGCCCAAGTGGCAATGGCCAAGATACCGGTCCACTGCTGGATGGTTTGCAGGGCCAAACCCATAATGGCGCGTCGGCCGTAGTGGAGTTGGCCTGAGTACCGGCCGCCCAAGACAATGTTGATGAAGTTGTTGCGCTTGTGGTGAGAGGCCTCGACGACTGCGTCGAGTTGCTCGACTTCGGCGAGGATCTTGGGGTCGTCGTGTGCAAGGTCACCACGGAGTTTTCTCAAGATGTCAATTGCTTCTTGCCGGTCGCCATGCGAGATGAGCCATCTTGGAGACTCTGGAAGAAAGAACACGGTGAGGGCGACGATCAGCATGGGAATGGCCATGAATGCCAATGGGAACCTCCATCTGAACTCGACGCCCGAGTTGCGGACACCGAAGTTGAGCCAGTAGGCGATGACGATTCCAGCAAAGTTGGCAACGAAGACCAGGGAGAATGTCGAGCCACGGTCGTGGGCTTGAGACAGCTCATTGACCCATGGCGGGATGATGGCGTTGATGAAGCCGATACCGATACCCGCAATAATACGAGCACAGATGAACATGTCCGAGTTGTGGCTGCCGGCCATCAAGGCGGAGCCCAGGATACAGAAGACGGATCCAATCCAGACCCCCTTCTTTCGTCCAAGTTTGTCACCAAGCCAGCCTGCATTTTCTCCGTCAGCTCGTGGACGGAAACGGGTATAGAGAGAACACCTCCTTACCGCCGATGAAACATCCCCACATTGCGCCAAAGTAGTAGGCAGCAGCGAGGCCACCCTGCTTGGTTGTGTCTGTGACTACGCCATTGGCACCAATCCCAGCCATGTCGATGAAGCCAGGAGTTCCGGACACCGTTCCGAGTACACCTTGGTTGTAGCCTGGTGGAAGGAAACATGTTAGAAATGGCATTCCTCTTCAGCATGATCTGGTACAAGCTCACCTTCGAAGATCAGGGCAACGGCGGTGAACAGGTTGGTCAAGAACATGAGAGCCTTTCCAGGCACATATCTCCAAATTTGGGGCCCCATGGCGGCGACTGTATGGGATGTCGATACTAGATCCTCTGAAGTGATGAAGCTAGGTGATCTATCACCAATCGAAAAGATGAAGGAGGTGAAGGATGATTGTGGTAGACGAAGGACCAGGGTTAGCTCCTGGATCTTATAAACAACATGGATTTATCACCGACGGCAGTTCATCGACTGCTCATAACCCATGCGAATCTCCACGCAAGCTCAGGCGTGAGGCTAGTCCAGAAACCGGGACAAGCACGTCTGGGGGAGCGGTATCTCCGCCACTTTTGGATAGTTGTAGCAAACTATTCCACAGTACGTCCCCCGTTCTCTATGGCAGTGGCGTCTGGGAAAACAACGCCAGCACACGACCTGATTAATTCCGGCCACCTTGTTAACGAGGAGCCCCGCTTGAAAATCTGGAATATCACACCAGGATCGATGACGGGTGAAAGCTACGGTCCAAGCGATGGCGTGGCTAAACGGCTAAAAGGCTGTTGAATGGCGAAACTGGGGACAAGGCTCGAGCTTTGCTAGGCTGGGGCGGTTCGAATACGAAGATTATTGTCACGAGATCAACACTCGTGCGGATACCGGCAGAGATCCAGTCGTTTGGGAGAGCCTGACGCTTTTCAAGACTTCCAGAGACAAGGTCATATGTCGGGCCTTGTTAGGAGCTTTCCCCAGTGAGAGTTGTGAGAATTCCGAAAGACTGGACGAAAAAGCCTTACGACACCATGGCCCAAGAACAGTACACCTGCCGCTGGGCAGCACTCTCGCTTTCAAACATTGCTTCAGTCTTCTTGCCTGATTTGTTGCAGCCGAGGCCAGATTCGGAGCCGATTCAGCATGAATTGGTGTGTGTCAGCACGACCGGTGGCAATGAGCGTGCTGCCAAATGGATGAACGAGAACAAGATTCCCAACCAGGAATCTGTCAAGGTTTACAACTCGTGGGAAGAGATGTTGGAAAAGGGCGACTTCGACATCGTCTACATCTCAACACCGCATACGCTGCACTACGAACATGTCACCAAGGCGCTGAAATTCAAGCGCAACGTCCTTCTAGAAAAGCCGGCAACGATGAATCGGGCACAGTATCAGAAATGTGTCGACTTGGCTGTGCAACAAGGTGTGGTCTTGATGGAAGCAATGTGGACCAGGTATTTGCCTGCTACCAAGTACCTGACCGAGGAGCTGCTGCCCAAAATCGGCGAAGTCAAACGTGTTTACGCGGAGTTCTCCTTCCCCATTGTCTCGCCGGATCTGGCTCACTCGTCACGTTTCTTGGACAAGCAGGCGGGAGCCGGAAGTCTGTTGGACCAAGGTGTCTATGCCCTTACCTGGGCTGATATTGCTCTCAATGGGTTGGGCGCAGGATCGACCATCACCGACGTGGCGCATGCCAGCTCAATGAGCGTGCCTGGTGTCCCTGGTGAGGTGGACGATATCGACACTTTGGTTCTCTCAAAGCACGAAAAGGACTCCAAGCAGCAAAAGGCCGTTGGTATCGTCACGACAAGCATGACATTGACCGGGTCCAGCAAGCCAGCCTTTTACCAGCGACTAATAGCAAAGAAGGCTTCTCCAGCAGTCCGTATCGAGGCTACCAAGGCCTCCATCGCGATTCCATTCCCTCCCATTCGGCCACAAGAACTACACGTTCAGTGGTACGGAGAGGAGTTCTTGGGAGAAGACGGCATTGAGAAGGAAGAAATCATCAAGAAGCCCGTGGAGCGAGGCTGGGGTATCTGGTACCAGGCAGATGTAATTGCAGCAGCAGTGAGAGACCGAAAAGGCAGTGAGAAGCAAGGAGAAGTCATTGGTGCCGAAGAGTCTCTACGAGTGTTGGGCTGGATGGATCAAGCTCGGGAACAGGCTGGCATCGTGTATGATGAGAAATTGGAACAGCTCTGATTGCCTTGACCTCTCGACATCTTGACATCTATAGAGAAGACTGGAGTACATACCAAGACATCAAAATGCGAATCATCCCATGGGACTTTCAGATCATGACTTTGAGATGATGGCGTCTTCGTAGAAGACTCGGATTCCCATTCCTTGCAGCCTTTCCCCTTCCTCGCCATCGTCGGCCAAGGCTACGGCCCCCTTTTTTTACTATTTAGGAAGCCTTACCGGTTTCACACTTCTCTTCCGCAGCCTTCCAGACCGATGGTACTCCGTACTCCCTAAGGCTTTCACGGCAGATGCTGTCACACTGGTTTATTCTCCATGGAGCCTGGTGTCGCCCCGCCATCGGGGACCATGACAAGATCAGAGTGCTAGTGGCTTTTCCGGGGCGGAGTTGTGCGGATGATGGGAGAAGAAAGGAGAAAGTGGATAGATGCTCGTCTCGCCTCGACCACGTTGACGTTTAACCATTTAACCGAAGAGCCAAAATCCTTCCTTCCATGGTTCCAATGGTTCCGTTCCCATGGTTCCAGTGCCAGGGGAGATGCCTCGGTCGCAGAATTACTGTGGTACGATGCAACAATCTTCGGTCGTCTGGGCCGACGTTCCACTCCCCATTGAGTTCCATCGACACGGCATACGATTGATTCGTTGGCCTTCCAGAAAGCGGACATATACGCTCTTGACGCTCGTCTCGAGTAGGATACTGAACCACCAGGAAGGCTAACGAGCCCAGATTTCGGATTTTTGCCTCTTGCTTTCTGGAAATCACAAGGTCACGGTCGGTCCCTTTTTCTTTTGTGTTCGATTTAAGGAACCCTTATTCTTCAGGAGCTTAATACTTCTTCCATTGACTCTTGAAGATCAAGCCACCTCAAGACACAGCACTCGTTTGGCATTGAAGCAATCACCCACACTTTCTCTGCTTCAGTTAATTAAATCCTAGCCATGGCTCCTTCCGCGGTCAACGGCGACAGCCAAACCAATGGCTACAGCAATGGAGTTCCCTCAGGTTCCGGTCTCGACATCACAGTTCTGGGCATGAACTCTGGCACGTCCATGGATGGTATCGATTGTGCGTTGTGCCGATTCCGACAAGAAACTCCAGATTCGCCGATGCACTTTGAACTGCTCAAGTACGACGAAGTGCCTCTCGAGCAAACCATCAAGAAGCGAGTCATGAACATGATCAAGCACAACTCAACGACTCCCGAAGAACTCAGTATCGTCAACGTGCTTCTAGGCGAGACATTCGCCGCCGCTGCCAAAGAGTTCTCCGCAAAGCACAATGTCTCCCTCTCCAGCATAGACGCCATCGGCTCCCACGGACAGACGATCTGGCTGCTATCCATCCCGGAAGAAGGTCAGGTCAAATCCGCTTTGACCATGGCTGAGGGTTCAATCCTCGCGTCCCGGACAGGCATCACCAGTGTCACCGACTTCCGGATATCGGACCAAGCCGCTGGACGACAAGGTGCCCCCCTGATTGCCTTCTTCGACTCGCTCGTTCTCCATCACCCAACCAAACTCCGAGCCTGCCAGAACATCGGTGGCATTGCAAACGTCTGCTTCATCCCGCCGGATGTGGATGGAGCGCTGAACCCCAACTTTTTCGACTTCGACACCGGCCCGGGCAACGTCTTCATCGACGCTGCGGTGCGGCACTTTACCAACGGCGAGCGCGAGTACGACAAGGACGGCGCAATGGGAAAAGCCGGCACAGTCGACCAGGAAATGGTCGACGAATTCTTGAACACGCACCCGTACTTTGCCCGTGATCCCCCCAAGACCACAGGACGAGAGGTCTTCCGCGACACCATCGCGGACGAACTGATCGCTCGCGGAGAGAAGAAAGGGTTGAGTCCGAACGACATCGTCGCCACCATCACTCGCATCACGGCACAGGCGATTGTCAACCACTACCACAGGTACATGCCCACGGAGTACGGACCTCTCACCGAGATCTACATGTGCGGTGGCGGCGCGAAGAACCCCAACATCACCGACTATATGCAACAGGCGTTCCCAGACACCAAGATCGTCATGCTCGATGTCGCAGGTATCCCCGCCGACGCCAAAGAAGCCATCACCTTCGCCTGGCAGGGCATGGAAGCCATTGTGGGCAGAAGCATTCCAGTCCCCACTCGAGTAGAGACGCAAAGAGAATACGTGCTGGGCAAAGTCAGCCCCGGAGAGAACTACCGGAAAGTCATGAGAATGGGAATGCAGTTCGGCGCAGAGCGTGACCATCTGGCGCCCGTCAAGGAGTTGGTCAACTATGTTGATGGCAAGGTGTTCAACAACAAGAAGTAGAGAATCCTTTTTTTCTAGCATGCATTGAATTACTCCGTACAGTATTAGCACCTATGTTTAAGTCTTAGTTCGGACCGTCCTTTTTGCATGTACAAATTACGAGTAAGATGGCTACCTGATTGAGGAATTTCACGATATTAGGTGTTTTGTCTCTTCTACTTGTTACTAAACTACATCTTGAGGGTCTCCGTTCATACTGCAGGTATTCAAATCTCACGACATGGGCCCCGGTTTGGACAGACTGCGGAATATTGTACAAGACAATTTATTCATCCATCATCATCGCATTTGTGCGTCGTAGAGCCACATTTCCAATTTCCTGGTGTACCAGTATTCATTGCAATGGTCCAAAACGCCACGGACGCACTTGCTTATCGAGATGAGGAAAAGAAATACACAAAAAACCAAAAAACCAAAAACCAAAAAGCCAAAACGACATCCATGTCGACGTCGACACAAAAGCCCAAAACCAAAACCGACGTCCATCTCGACGCCCATCTCGACGCCCATCTCGACGCCTATCTCAAAACAATGTCCGCTGAAAGCACGTCGCATCCAGCGAGTCGTCAGGTACCGAATGCTAGTCCGTCAAGCAAGTCCGGGCCCTTGAGTTCGTTCCTCCTACCGAACAGCCCTCTTACTTTGTCAGCACTTTTCTTCAATAGTCCTTTAGCCTTCTCCATCAATGAGTCAAGGCCGGCCGTGCTAATGACGCTGACACTCTGCAAGGCGGCAGTCCCAGTCGGAAGGAGCGGCTGCATTGAATGTTCATATTCATTCCGATCTCCATCTCTATCTCCATTTCGACTTTCATCCTTTGTCGCACGTCCTTTTGTCAGGAGTTTCTTCTTCTTCTTCGTCTTCTTCTGCAGACCTGACAAACCTGATAGCCCCAGATCGTGCCGCGGTCGGAGGCTGGTGAACGTCGGCAGTTCAGGGACAGGCTGGATAGTCTCGTCATCGTGAGTAGTACAGTCTAGACGTGCGACCAGAGATTCCTGACGCTGTGACTGTGGGTCTCCGCGTGCTAGGACATCGCGCTCGGCGAGACAGCGGCGCAGAGTCTCCATCGAAGAGCTTGGAGACACCGTCGACGCCGTCATCGCCGCCACCGTGGGACTGGACGGTATTGTGAAACGCACGCGGCGGGAGATAGGTCGTTCAATATGGGGGTCTTTCGGATTCTGTATGGACGTGGCCGCAGCCAGGGCACTAGCGATGTCGACCGGAGGATGTCCATTAATGTGAGCCCCAGCAAACACGCGACGATTGCTCCGCAGACAAGATCGGGGTCCAGGTGCATGTGCAGTTGGGAGGCGGTCGGTGATGCTATGTTCCGTTGGGGCTGAATGTTGACGATTGACATGGGATCCAACAATAGCAACATTTGAAATATCACCATTACTGGGGACTCTTCGAGCCTGCTGAGCGAAGCGGACGCCCTGTGCAAGACGTGTCTGACAGTGTTGTTGGGGCGGAGGATTTTGAGAGGTCATGTATTCTTCCGCAGCCTCTTCGAAAGTCTGTCCATTCTGCGCCAATATATCAGGGCTTCGCACAAGTCCTCTAGGGTGAATGGGGTAGCCTGATTCATCCTCGCACAGCGTCAGTCTCGGAATTGGGACTGTCCGAGTCTCGGTATGCCCTGGTGCACGTGGTGGAAGCTCTGCAATACCTCCAACGGGGGAAGCTGCCGTCAGGTGCGGAGGGAGTGGAGCGAGGTTGAGGAGTGGAAACGGAAATGGCCCTGATGGTCTCGGAGCCCAAATTAGCGGCCGCTCCTGTGGATTTGCGCTGCGTCGCGAATCTCGCGGTGTTTGCAGGCCCTCTAGATCCAGTGGATGTACTCGAGGTGGTATCTGTGACGTCGGTCGAAGCACGGAACTCACTCGAGGTGGTATGATAGGCATAGCTTGTTCCGAAGGACGTGCTTGTCGATCGTGCACATGTCGAAGAGGTTCATCAACCAGTGTTGCCGGTGAGGGCGGTGGAAGCATGGTAGTTGCTATTGACAGATTTGTAGGGGCCGGTGAAGGAAGAGCAAGCTGTGGCTCGATGGCTTCGGCTACTCCAGGTTCCCCTGATGCAGTCCCGAGTTCAATCTCAATCCCTGAGTCGTACCCTTCAGCATCACGTTGAGAAATCGGATGTTCCGTGATTTCCGTAACTTCTGTGACAGGAGGATGTTCTTCAAGAGGTTCGGCTTCATCGGCGCCAGCGGCATCCTGGAATTCATCAAGCTCCTCCAGCGCAAGGGCTTGGGCGTTCTCTGTCGCTTGGTATACTGTTTCTTCTTCTATTCTTTCAAGTCCACCAATCACAACTGGTCCAGCCTTTGCATTGTTCTCGGTGTCTAATACTTCGGCTGGGCCTCGTACACCCTCCGATCCTGCGAGCTCGTCTTCCTCTCGAATGGCTTCCAGGCCTCGCGTGTCGGCAGTCAATGAAGAGGCAGCCTCAGCACCTGCTTCAAAGGCATCGAGTCTTAGACGTGCTTGTTGGATTTCATGCCGCATGCGTTGTTCAGACGTTGGAGATAGCTGTCTGTCTCTTGTGCGTGGAGGGCGTAAAGTAATATTTGCCGAAGGCAAGCCTAGGATATGAAGGTTATCTAGACGTTGCTCCAGAGCTTCATGAGTAATGGCATGTGAATCTTCGCTCCTTGAACCCTCTGATGGCGACGATGGTACATGATCTTCAGCTTGCTCTGCAGCGTCCGAACAAGGTGGACAGTCGGTATCCAGTGCTGCATCCTCGTGCTGACCAGACTCTTCATTAGGACCCTCCAAGTTATAGATGGAGGTCGCCGCTGTTGAATAGCTATTTACCGTGGCAGAGGTGCTCGTACTTGAGTCCGTTGAGGACGAGGTCCTGTCTCTCAAAGGTGGAAATGAAAGAGGTAGACGCCGGTTAATGTCATTGGCCTCCAGGTATCCGGTACCAGCAATAGATAGCCAGGCCAAGCGAGCTGAATCTATCGCTGGCCGCTCAGCAAATCCATCAGTTCCTCGGAGGTCCATTGCTGCCATAGTGGCAGCTGCATTGAATTGGATCTCGGCGTAAGATTCATCTTGTACAGTAAATACAAGAGACCTCACCGATGGAACCTGGACTATCCGAAGACCTTGGACAGTCTCGCAACTAGGCAGCGTTTGTACGTCCACTGATGATATGTTTTCGGGTGAGCGTGTTGCTGCATCAGCCTCGGGTGCTTGCGGTGGATGTCGGACCGAATGTGAGTCTGCCAGCCCAAAAGCCTCTGAGACTTTTATTGGTGCTGGGACAGGAGCAACTGGATATTCAGGTTGAGATGCACCTTGATCGCTATCTCGTGGCCATCGAAACACAACTTCCGAGACCAGCTGGAAATTTGAGCGGTTCACAGCATAGTAGTGTGCTTCAGCATCGAAGTCTTCTTGTGCCGTAAATATGAAGGGCCAAGGACGTCCTCGTCCGGGCATAGGTTTGTCCGAGCCAATTTCGTGAGCCACAGGCACATGAGCGGTTAGGGTGGCGAAAGAGGCAAAATTGCTGAAGGGTTGTGCATGCATACGATCGGCCTGCTCTGGTAACCACCGTCGGACAGCGCTGCTAGAGTTGAGAGCACTTGTTGTTGAGAATTGTTCGCGCTGGCTGGGAATGAAATCTGGAGCAAGAGGATTCAGTGTGTGCTGCCGGGTTCCAGACGGCAGCGGCCGCTGTGGATAGTGTACTTGGTATGCAGATGGAGATTGATGGGCTAGGTAGCCGTCTTGCAGAGATATAAATGGCTCGTGAGGACGATAGCTGGCCCAAGATGTTGCTTGGTCCGAGAAATGGTCTGACTGGGTGGGAAATGGGCGTCGTCGATTTGTGAAGCCCTGAAAGCATTGCCGTGGTTCTGATACACATTGAGTCCGGGTATGTATGTGACCACTTGAGTCCTCAGACCGCGCCTGGAATGAGGAAGGTCCACAAAGATAGGGAAATTGGACCTGGGAGCTGTCAGACATGCCCTTGACGAAGTCGAAGGTATCGGTTCTCACCATTGCAGATCATGGGACTTTTGTGTCTCAATGCCGATGTGGGAGATCCAAGGCAGGCCGTCTCGGCTAAGTCTTCGGAATGGAGATTTGCTTCCGCTTCGAATCTGTGACCCAAGCGTGATATGAACTTGCGAGAATGGTAGTGGTATGTTCGTAGTGTACGAACGGAGCGCAGCCAGTATTGCCGAGTTTGCTGTGTTGAAGATGGCATGAGGAAAACAACGGAAAGCAAAGCTCCAGGTCTAGCCATAGAAATGTTGTCAGAAGCAGGGAATAAGAAAGCAGACGTGTCGTTTGAGGCGGCTCTGTGAATATACGCGGTGTCAAAACAAAATGTAGGTGAAGTGGCTGCTGTTGTTACTGCTTCGCACGGTTGACGCGAGACTGCCTGCTCATGGTCCACCATTCTATGGCATGAGACTCACAAGAATCACTGTAGGCAGAAGCAACTTGCACATACTTCGCAGGAGAGGAAGAAGCGAAGTATTGTACAGAAACTCCATATAGCCTGCACTCTGCTGCACTTCACTCCACGAGGAGTCGCAAGAGCAGCCATTGCCGCCTTGTCTAGAAAGTAAGCAATAATCGTAGTAGTCCTTCGGGATTTTCTTCAGAGCAGGGGAGATTTCCACTAGACCATCTGGACACTGGGGGAAACGGGTCAGGATGCAGTATACTCGGTATTGCCATCAGATTTGACCTCGCAAATGTCCGCGAGATTGGTGCTCGAGCCCTGGACGGGCTGAGCTCTAGATCGCCTGCACTGAAGGAAGAAAGAAATACCTTTGTGTACAAACCGCGCCATCCAAAACCGAGACTGGAATGCTGCAACAACCTGTTGGCGCGAATCCAACAGAGTCGCTCGAAATCATGACTTGACAAGTTGAAGGACGAAATACGAGCCGCCGGTGAGCAGTTGCGCTCTACAATGGGCGCGCTGACGAAGGGAAGATGTCTTGAGGAGAAAACAAATGCAGAAATCTCGTAAGGTGTTGGTGCAGCACCGCCACATTCGGGCCACAGTGGCGCATTTCCAACCTTGACGTGGCTGTTAAGAAAAGCATCCCAACCACAACCTTTCGAGGGGATGATTCCAGCAAGCAAGAGGCGTCGTCAGGACCGATTGCAGCCATCCTAGGGGAAAGCACAAACCAAGCACCAGAAATATCAAGGGTGAGCATGGAGAGGCGTTCAACCCTGGCGGCTCGCAGAACAGCTACGGACTTAAGGCCATTTACCACTATGTAAGAGGTCCAGCGAAAATGATGAGACAATGAGAGAATCTACCTATGTCTGCGATACCTTACGTGCCCCAAGCATCACTCTCCACTTCAATGCACGGTACCGTTCATCCCGTTTACTGGTTGCAACGGAATAGAAAGATACCCACCAAACTCCTTAGCGAAATCCACTGATACCCTAGCATGTACCTTGCCCTGGCGATCAATCAAGCGACTGTGATCATCAAGAGGGACGATAGCACCGTGCCAGATGTTGGGGTGGATATAAAGGCCCTTGCCGCCATCAACACGAAAAGCGACGAACTTCTCAGGAGTGACATCGTCGCCGGGTAACGCCACAGGAACAATGAAACTTTGACCGTCCATTGGGTAGAACATCTGACCACCGTCAGGGTGGTAATTGGCGCGCCAGATCAGTACTTTGTCGCGAGGGTTGGCATTCCCCCTGGCTGCAGCCTCTTCGGGGAATTGGCTCCAAGCGAAGAGGTAGCTGTCGCCTACGGCATTGTTCCGCGCATATAACGTGTCGCCTTTCCACCAAAATTCGAAGAGTCCTTCGGTTGTCCCGCCCTGATCACCGGAGTTCTTGTCGACCGGTCTCCAGCCCTGCGCTGGCCATTGGGTGATCTCAATCGGACAGTTGTCAGGCGAGTCCACGATGTGGCCATAGCCCTTGACATTTTCGGCGGTTGCTTGTATTACGGGAAGTCTGAACTCCTTGCGCACACCAGTGGTGGGAACATAAGCAATGTCGCTGGGGTCGAAATCCATGTTTTGCACAGTCATAGTGGCTTAAGTGATCGTTAGAAGCAAGCAAGTCTCGGGGTCTGTGCCAGAAAATAGCGTTTGATATTGGCCTGTCAATTCAGAAGGCCCGTCAAATGCAGTATAAAGTAAGGAACTTATCTTATGCAACAGATTTGCATTTCGATGGTGGGTGGCATAGGATCCATGTTGATATATACTGGGTAGCTGCGTTATTTCCCTCGGCCGGCACGAAGACCGGCGTAGACACATGTGGGCGCCTGATGAGTTTGTAGGTCCCCGTCATGATGCCGTCAATCAGTATGAGTCAGATGAGTCACCAAGAGTCTTCGCTGTTCGTGCCGGTGGATTCTAAGCATCCAGCAATAGTACAGATTGATCGCAAAACAAACCTTCACAGGCACTGTTGAGGCTCTCCGAAGAGCGGACATCAATGTGATTCGAAGCGCAAATATGGCGCCATCTTCAGGCGTACTGTTAACTCAAGTCATTCAAGACAACGAGAATCTTCTTGCTTGCGAAGCTATATAGTCCTTGACAAGGATGAGAACAGCATAGGAATGAAGCAGATAGTCGTGAACGTGAAGGAAGGAGGATGAGGCTGAGAGGCAGACTCCCAGTATTAAGCGTAAAAGCGGCAAGTCAAACGCGCCTAATTAATCCGCGCCGCTGTATCAGATGCCATGAAACTGTCACCAGGCAAGACTCTCAAAGGAACATTACAATTCAACTATATGACATTTCTTAAGTTAACCAAACCACAATCCTGCGCACATCTGACCGACATTCATCTACGATCCAATGTCGACACCTCCGTCTCGATAAATCTGCGAAATCTCGCAAAACAACCCTTCTAAGCCACAGCCATGGCGACCTCACCTCCAGCACCCTTTCCCGCAAGCCTCCCCAACCCAAAAAAGCGAACGTCCATGAGTTCGCAAGCCTCTATGCCAGGAGGATCCAAACGGCCCAAACTCCACCCTCTCAGACAGACCTCGTTCCCGGCTCAAGATGCAGCACGGCACGGCTCCGCCGTCACAAGCGCACGCTCTGAAACAGGCAGCATGGCCAACAGCGCGGTCTCAGGCGTAAGCGGCAAGGTTCCCGGTCGAGGGAGAGGAAGACCCAGAAAATCAGCCCAGCTCAACGCCGACGACATACGTTCGTCGCAACAACAACAACCGGCGGCAGATGCCACCAGCCAACTGGAAGGTGGTGGTGGTGCTGGTGGTGCTCGAAGCGCCGGCCGTGGCACCAAGTCAGTCGTTAGTGGCGCTGGCGGTGCCGAGGCCGAAGAAGAGGAAGACGAAGTCGAGATCGACGGCATGTTGGAGAACATGGACGAGCAGGAACGGCGTCAAGCCGAAGAAGAAGAGATCAGACAAGAACAACGGCGCGAACGGCTCGCGGACACGCTCGACCCGGACCAGTACTCCCGGTATAACCAGTGGCGCGCCCTCTCCCTCAACAACACTACGGTGAAACGGCTCGTCAACTCGATCGTGTCACAGTCCGTCACGTCGGCGCCCCTGCAAGCGATCCGGATCTACGGCAAGTGGTTTGTCGGCGAGATTGTCGAGCGAGCGAGAGAAGTCCAAGAAGAATGGGCCAAGGCGTACGAAGAGACGAGAAAGGCCGAAAAGCAGCGCCGACAAAAAGAGCTCGAGACCCTGGAGGAGAAACACCAACAACAAAGCAACGGCAGCCTCAGCCTCACAGACATGCAATCACGATTGCTCACCAGAGATATCGAGAGGCTGAAGCGCGAGGTCAATGAATACATACCGAATCCGCATCGTGGAGGCCTGTTGCCGGACCATCTTCGAGAGGCTGTGCGACGATACAAAGCTGATGGTGAAGGTGGCGGCGTCGGTTTCCAAGGAATGAGCCACGGTTTACTGGGTGTGTCTGGCCCAGCGGCTTGGAGAGTGGGTGATGGTTCTTCGGGCAAACGACTATTCAGATGAGTGTCATCTTGTGCCAGCTTGGTGCTGGCTTCTGCAACTAGATGTCTGCTCTTGCGATGCTCCGGCGCCGGCGTCGGAATTCTTTAGGCTCGATGAACCTGCCACGGGACCGCGAAGATCAGCCATTGCGCTCCCGTGTGTTGGGAGAGATGGGATATCACGATGTAAGAGAACGCTTTTCAGAGCAGATCATCAGCCTGCTCGACTTGAGAGTCTCGGCAGAGCACATCATTACGAGTTAACGTGGTGCTTGATACTCTTCATCCTATGGCCATGCTGCTAGCAGAGAATCAAATATGACAGACTTGCAAGAGTCAAGAACAATATTGTTCATTGCGTCCAAGGTGCAATTCGGACCTTTGCCTGCCGTTTCATCCCATCCACGTACTGTTCCTTGAAGTGTCTCCCAGGCTCATCGCATCCTCTTGACGTCAACTCGAGAACCCCAGCTCCCGAAGAAAGCTCCTGTCACACTCTTCTAGCAATGAGCTTCCAGTCCTATCAAGGCCAGAGTATGGCCCTGCCGAGGGCTTTGGTCTTTCAATATGTCACCCACAACTTCTACATTACCCTTCAACAGTCTCGTACCCTCTGTTCCCACTCCCCAGCACATTGCCCGTGATACCTTTCACCTTCCCTCTCGTCCTCCGCATCCTGGCCTTCCACCGCTGCCTCCACTTCCTCGCAGCACGCCTGATCCGTCGAGTCGGGTAATTCACCGGGCTCTCTCCGCCGACAAAGATGGCCGTATCATAGAGCAATCCTCCAAGGATGGCACCGATCAGAGGACCCAACCATGCGACTTTGAACCAGTACCCGTCTGCGAACAGAATCTTGGGACTAAATCCGAGAACCCACATTGCGACGCGCGGGCCGAAGTCGCGCACAGGATTCATCGCAAGGCCTGTGTTGTATCCAAAAGCCATTCCCAGGACCGTGACCAGAAGACCAACGATGAAGGCGTTCATGCCAGCCCCTGGAGGCGCGTTGGTGTTGTCTCCCAGCGCGAGGACCGAGATGACTAGAATAGCTGTCCCCGTGAGCTCCGTCAGGAACGCAGTGCTGGTGTCAACCCATGGCGTGCGTGGGAAGGTGAGGAAGTTCGAAAGTACAACGGTCGGCGAAAGGGTCAGCAACAAGGACAGTGATGGGTCGGTCTGGGGATTTTGCATAAGCATCTCCTTTTGATGTTGTTCATGTAACAGTGCCACAAGCCCCGGTTTGAAGATGCCGAACGCAATCAGAGCAGCAAGAAAAGCCCCCAGCATCTGTGCGGCGATGTAGACGGGCACTTTTTGGAGTGGGAAGCCGCGGTAGATATACAGCATAAGCGATATAGCTGGGTTCAAGTGAGCTCCAGAGATGCCACCGGCAATGTAGATGGCAATCATGGTTGCGAGGCCCCACGCCCAATCCGCGGTATCGCCAACGCCTGCGGCGCCGCGAGAGACGGTGAGGGCGAGGTTTGCGCTGAATCCGAGTGTGTATTGGACCGTTATCTAGCCGAAGTATTGTTAGATCAATAACGTTGCAAGATCGAGACATGGAAGGGACATACCCCGAGGAGTTCCGCAAGCGGCTCACGAAACCTCAACCGTATGACGGACCAGTACGTATGCAAGTTATGGACTTCGTCGTCTTCGGCCTGATAAGCCGGCAGAGGGACTACATCCTGGTAAGGAGCTTTGGACTCCTCCTGCTCTTCCCGCTCTTCTCTTGCTTGCTTCACGCCGGCTATGGCTTCGCTTAATTGGGGGAACTCTTCCACATCTGGTGGCGGTTCTTCGGGAATGGTCTCTTGAGTGTGAATGCGCATTGCAGGCGTTTCGGTTGGTGCATCCGAAGGCCGGCGTCCCGCGCGATATGGCGAAAGAGATGGGGACTCTTGAAGGCGCGATTGGTAAGCTCGATACAAGGACAGTTCTCTCTCCCGTCGGATGGTGTCAAGTTGGGACGAGACATCAGGGTGAAGGGATGGTTCGATTCTGCCAGCTTCCACATCTGTAGGTGGTGGAGCCTCCCTCTCCGCTACCGTTTCCTTTTCGAACTCGTCCTTGGCTGGGACCATACCCGGCCTGAGTACATGTGGAAGAGGTCCAGCCAGACCCCATACTGGTCGAACATTTGCGGGTTGATCGTAGGCAGGATTCAGTTGTGCATAACCCGGGTCCACGTAGGGCTGGTTGGCTGTGATGGCATCCAAAGGCGTAGGCCCTGCCAAAGAGAAGGTGCGGGACGCCGCGTCAGGATCTCGCGTAGAGGGTGCTGCGATTGCGACGGATCGCCTGCCTTGATCATATTGAGCTAGGAAGGATCGTGCCGGCCCAGGGCTGTCATTTGTGCTGGCAACTCGGTGGCGCAGAGTCCCTGGGCCGAAGTTGAATTCTGCATATCTCGTCCGTGAGTGCGTTGGTGATGTGGAGGTCGGTATACTTTGCCCAGAGTGATCTCTTGAGGATATTCGTGGCCGTTCCTCAGGGCTAGTTGTTCGAGTGTTGTTGTCCATCATTCAAACATGGGTTGACTTGACATCAGCACAAGGCCGTTGAATTTTTGCGACTTTTTCAAAGGGTCCAATTGAAGCCAAACCGCTCTTTGGCAGCTCTGCGGAGCAGGAAAAGTCCTATACAGGTCTTTGCAAGTACACTGAGAACCTTGGACATAGTCGACCATGTATGGCTGCAATTTCAAGCTCGGCGAGCGACGACGAGACTATTTTGCGACAAGTTATGCTACAATAGCTTTGTCGATATTCGTCGATATCAGCCAGCTTCAACCGTGGTTGATGGTCGCTGTGTTCAAGGTCCGATACGAAGAATAGCGGGCTGCGCTTGGCTGCGAAGCATCGTCATCGTCGAGGTTCTGACTGCCATCAGCTGCCACTTATCTCGCACCTTTCCAATTTCAGTTAAATGCGGGCATTTGAGCCGATTGGAGGCCTGGTTGTCCTCGTATGACATTGGATACTGTTACCTACCTCACCTAGGTACAACATGTCACGTATGTGATACTCATCAGAGGACGGAGTACGCGGTAGTGGAAAAGGCATCATGTTGACGAGTGACCAATGTTTAAGACAAGTCACTCAAGACCAATTGTAAGCGACATCAGCCACCTCAAAAGAGGAAATGGTTTCTGGATTCTTTCGACCACATAACTCCGCAGAGCCAGTGGAAGCCTTACCGATCGATACGTTGCAATCAACATCATGCATAAGATGGTGCGCCGACTGGTCGGTCAGCATGTCTTACTCGAGCAGTCTAATCTGCTTTCTCTCTGAAGAGTCGCGACCAGCACAAGATCTTCGGTAAACGAGTCGACCAGCGCACAGTCACACCTGATTTGACCAGCTTCGCTAGCATCGGACGCCTAATAAGCCGCACGAAATGACATCTTCCTCCTCAGCCCAAAGTCGTCGTCTGGATCTCGAGAAGAACTGCGTGATGGCCTTTCGGCCAGCATTATTCCTCTGGTATCTTTGGATGCTTCACTTATCGTGCTTTGCTGAGCCGAAGCTCTGAGCTACCATGGACAGATGTCTCCAACTCGACGAGACACTTCTGCAGTCCGAAGAAGCTGGTATCAATCAGAGGCCGCTTCATTTCTCGACCACTACAGTCCAGAGATAGTGCAGCGTCGCTTCACGAACTTTGACCCTCATTTCTATCGACAAAAGACCACTCTCGACAAGATCGCCCAGAGGTCACGACGACAGCCACGACCATGGCAGCCTCTGTTCGATTATGTGGACAGCCACTGGAATACGATTGGACCACTCCTGCCAATAACCTCGTCATTCTTGGAAATCAGTCTATTGCTTTTCCTCTTCACGTTATATTATACTTTACCAGCGGACCCAAGGACCGGACAGCGGCCACCTCGAATAGCCGACCTGTACAGCATATTCCCCTTCATCAGCTGCGTCGGCTCACAGAGGTTGCCGGTGTATCAAGGTCTGACGATGTGTGTGGTGTTGATCAACCTTGCATCGACCTCGATTGGCTTCTATCGAGGCCGCGATGATCGTATCGGCTGGCAGAGCCGGAGGACAAACTGGCTGGTCAGTGTGGTCTCGGGAGGGTTAGCAATATGGGTGGTCTTTGCAGCTGCCAATCCTGACACGCACCTCCACCTGACTGTGACGGCTGCGAAAGCATTGTCCGTCTTCTGCATTAAGACGAGCAGCTGGATCACCGATCATCTTCAGCGACGTAGTTATCCTGGCCTTTGGCAGACCGGCGTGGTCAGGTTCCTGGTTTGGTGGAAAGCCATCACCTTAGTCGTTGCATTCCGTACGTACAAACCCTGTTTCTCTTTGGGCCGACTAATGTTGGACAGCAACCGCGACAATGATGGAAGTTGCCATTTTTGGCTGCTACAGTGCAAGTGTCGAAGAGATCCAAACACCAGGAGCAAGATGCTACTGGATCATGGCAATGGGAGCTCCAGCCGAATGGGTCTATGCACTGACTACGATCTCCTGGAATTTGACCATCGCATTCGACATCTACATTCTCCCGATTGTAGGTGAGGTCAAGTCGAAACAAGATGAAGCCGAGATGCAGCTGCTAGCGCCAGACTCCTATAGTCCCCCTCCACAACTGCCTTCTTCAAGCAAAAACGATGGAAGAGAATCGGGCGAGCATTCGAGGGAAATCGATGGATCAAGGCAGCAGAAGAAAGGATATGACAGTCTCGATTCACCTAGTTGGGTTACAAACAGCACTGATAGCGACGAAGACAGTGAAGTCGAGCAAGACCTGGGGATGGTCGCAAGGATAAGAGATGTTGTCTAACTGGCAAGTAGAGACACAACAGCATTGACAGATGTGGTTGATCGAATACCTGTACCGAGTATTGATGAGACGAGAAACGAGTGTGGACGAGGCTGTGGAAAATACGTCATCGTCAGCCGTGTCTTGGCATTTCTAGCCTCGTCTGAAGGACAATAAACAAACTTCATCAAAGTCTCAAGTTCCAAACACACTCTTCTCAGGAGAAGGAAACTGTTTCGCCCAGTCCACAGTCGATATCTTGTGAATCTTTCCAGGTCGATGATGAAGAAGTTCTTGTCGAGTTCGTCTTCATGCCGATTTCAGCCGCACAAGCAAAATTGACGTCATAATGATATGCCGAGTCCTTGTGTCCGAAGAAGAGGAGCAAAGCACGTATATCAATCGTCAGTACCCAGTATCAAACGGTCAATTGCCGAATCTCACAATTTCATGCCTCTGCTGTAACTGATTTACCTCTTTCGTTTTCTTTTTGTTTTTTAGACTGTTAGAACATCACAAAAGTTCGACAATACTTTGATTCTTCGTTGACTCCGCCGTGTCAGTTGCATTCGCTTTTGGGTTAACGAACATAGCAGTCGGAAAATGTCCTCTCAACCGCGCGATCAGGATGAATTTCTCAGTGGAGCGGAACGAGGTGGTAAGCGCTGGCAGAAAGCCTCCCATCAGACATATAACGCTCTGACATTGTCGTAGATCCAATGGAGATGCTTCCACCCGAGCTTCAAAGAGAGCGTCAGAGGCTAGAAAAGATCTTCACTGTAGACACAGCTATGTTGAAGAAGATCACCAAAAGGTTCGGCGAGGAGCTTGAGGACGGTACGTGTCAAAGCAATGTAGCCACGCCATTCTGCAGCTTGCTCATTCCCAGTGATGGTCTGAATCTCGCTTTTGATGCTGACCCCGCCGATTGCCAGGCCTCAAGAAAGAGCGACAGAATATAGTAAGACCATTGCACCATCCTCAGTCGATGCAGTCCGGCTGACATTCACGTTTGAGCCTATGAACATCACTTGGGTTACTTCTCTGCCTACAGGCAAAGAGAGTGGCACTTACCTTGCGTTAGACCTGGGAGGCACCAACCTTCGTGTCTGCCTTGTAACTCTGAATGGACAGGGCGATGCAGAGGTGACACAAGAGAAGTATCACTTACCGTCAGAGATCAAGACTGGCACTTCTGAACAGCTCTGGGATTTTGTCGCCGATTCCCTGCAGAAGTTTGTCGAACAGCACCAGCCAGAGTCCCAGAACCGTTCCGAACCCCTACCGCTTGGTTTTACATTCAGCTATCCAGCAACTCAAGATAGAATTGACCATGGCCGTTTACAAACGTGGACGAAAGGTTGGGATATTGATGGCGTGGAGGGCCAGAACGTGGCGGCAATGTTGGAGGATGCGATAGCGAGAAGGGTACGAACACCGCAGCTTCTCAGGACATGTCAATGCTAACTTCGGGTAGAAACTACCTATAAAACTGGTCACTTTAGTCAATGACACAACCGGTGCGCTGATCGCGAGCATGTACAAAGATAAAGATACTATTATCGGCGCTATTTTTGGAACTGGTTGTAACGCAGCCTACATGGAGAGCAGAAAGAACATATCGAAACTGAACATAAGTGACGAGGAAAAATCGAAATACGGCACAGGCGGTGAGGACGATCTGATGGCTATCAACTGCGAGTATGGGGCCTTTGACAACTCCCATACCGTCCTTCCTCGAACGATCTTTGACGAGAGGGTCGACGAAGAGTCACCCCGACCCGGTGAGCAGACATTCGAGAAGATGTCCGCTGGATTGTATCTGGGCGAGATCTTCCGACAGGCAATCCTGGACATGTGGAAACAAGGAGTCCTGTTCAAATCAGAGCAAAGGTCGGATCAGGGACAGACTGCCGATGACGCAGAGAAGAAGAGGAGGAGTATCGGCGAACCCTACACCATTGACACAGAGTTCCTTTCAGCGATTGAAAATGACGACTCGGAGGAGCTGATTGAATCGAGGAAGCTGTTTGCAGCACAACTGTGCCTTCCAGGCTCGGAGTCCAAAACTTTGTGCCCGACTTTTGAAGAGTTGCTGCTCCTGCGACACTTGGCTCAACTGATTGCCATTCGAGGTGCGAGGCTCTGCGCATGCGGTGTGTCAGCAATATGTCAAAGATTGGGTACGAAGAGCGGACATGTTGCTGCAGACGGCTCTGTTGCCATCAAGCATCCCCATTTCCGGAGACGATGGGAGATGGCCGTGGCCGAGGTCCTCGACTCGGAGCCAGGTCAAATAAAGCTGACTAGTGCAGAGGACGGGAGTGGTATCGGGGCAGCTGTAATCACGGCGCTGAGGATGGCGAAGTAGTAGGGATGAACCACACATGCCTGGGCCGCAGGAGCTTTATGGAAGGGATCATATGGACGTGAAGAGGTTGTTGAGCGAAGTACCTTATCTGCAATGGAGCGGCTGTACATATCAAAAAAGACATTCATGATTATCGTACGAACATAAGTACGGTGCACCTCTAACATTGTCCGACTCGATCCTAGAAACCGCCTCGAATTCGAAATGCTGCCGACACCGAGCGTGACTCTATTGAAAGCCGGACCTGACCATGGTTACCTGACCCCCGGTATACCCAGCCTCCTTTGGCCAATCATCATGTGCGGAGACCCCCATTCAGTTTAGTCCGACAGCCCAGGACAGAAACGGTCGTCGCGGGTAAGCAAGACTCAACTTCATCCAACTCTCAAGCTTCAATTCTCGTCAAGCTTCATCAAGACTGTGCGATTCTTTCGCGACGATCAATCTCCAGGTTCACACTCGCTCAACCAACGCTCAATCGAGTTTCTGCGACAACCAGAATCACCTTGCAAGGAACCCTCAAGATGTCCTCCTCAGCCATTCAGTCCTCGCTCACCACCCAGTACCACAATCTCTTGGGCAGCATCAAAGCACGCCCGGCCAACGCAGCACTCACATCGACCGCGATCTTTGCCACGCTCTTCACCGCGTGGGTGGTCAGCGACTTCCAGGCCTGGAAATCCTTCGGCACAGGCGGCACGCCGCCCACATGGTCCGGCTACTGGCGCATGACGAAGCTGAGGATGGGCCGGCTCCTTTCACGCGACGACCTGACCGACGCATCGCCGCTGTCGTCTTCGGGACCGTCGTATCTCGACGCCGCCAGCATCCCCACGCGCGAGGGTGCGCGGCCACAAACCGTCTCACGCACGATGCCTCAGCGCCAGGTGCCGTACAAGTCCGGGGTGGTGGCTCCCGGCGTGGCTGAGCGCACAGCGAACCTGGCTGCCAGTCTTGCCGCAAAGTATCCCGACATTTTGGAGTTGCGGAGAAGTCGGTCGGAAGGGTACAGCGCCGACGGCATCTACGCCAAGGAGTCTTTGCCGACGATCAATGCCGAGTGTGAGCAGCAGAAGTTCATTGGCACGGAAGTGGCGCATGCGCATCCTGCCGAGGGGAGTTTGCATGTCTGGTTGAGCGAGGCGGATGCAAGACTTGTGGTGGAGAAGGGCTGGGGACAGAGGTTCCCTCTCCCCGGGAGTCCGAAGGGGTGGATCATGGTTTATACGCCGCGCACGATGGAGGAGGTCGATGTCGTGGAGAGGATTGTCAAGGCTGGCATTGCTTGGGTTAGTGGAGTTACGACGGTGTTGGTTTGATCTTGGGACGGAAGGAGAGTATGGTAGGGACCAGGTGGGCTCGGGCATGGCGAGAGGGGTTACGATAGCCAGGCGGTTTCGGCTGTGGGTGGGACAGACGAATGGTATCGCGGAATTGATGCTGCGTGGTCATGGTGCAGCGTCGAAAGGGGTTCGAAGTAGGGCAATGTTTTACGTGGTCAAGGCACAGGCACAGCACGCCGGAAAACAAAGATCCCAATGGACGTCGCATTGGGAGAGATTGAGCCCAAGACTCAAGAAAGGATTTCGGCCTATTATGGATCTTTACGAGAACGGATTGCCACGACACAGTTTCTCGCTGGTAAAGGACTTTGCGCTGGATACTTTTGGGGAACGGAGGGAAGGCTGTATTGGTTTGCAAGATCAGATTGAACCAGGAGAATATACCATACGCACACATGACGTTTTTCGTTGCTCATTCCTCATTACTCATTGCTCATGTCCTTTGCAGCTCTCTAGCACTCAGCGTGGATATTGCGGATCAACCAAATCCTTCATTCCTCTGTATCTTCCTTCATGCAAAGTCATTACCCTCACTCAAGCTGTTGTCATACAAGGGATTCCTCTCGACCTCCCTCACCCAGAGCCTCCACGGCTTATCTTGATATTGCTCGCACATGACATAGCACCCTTCTCCCTGCAGTTGGGTCAGTCCGTCAAAGCCTCCCTTTTTTTCGGACTGCTCCCCGTAGACATTTCTTGCGATTGCCATTGCTTTCGTTTGCGACTCTGCATTGATCCGCGTATAGATGGCCCGATAGACCGTCGTGACGAGATTCTCCCCCACAGCGGTAAACCCATGCCTCCTCATCAACACGACCGTCTCATCTGGCTTGGCACTGCTGCTGCTGTGGCTGCTGCTGTTGTCGTTGTTGGCGAACACTTCAGCCAATGCCGTTCCGAAGCGTGCGTTCCTCACCAGCATGTCCTGCTGATCGCCATCCCGATAGTGCGGGGCTATGTCGAAGACCTTGGCTGGCTGGGACCCGAGGAACCCGGCCATATGGTAGACGGCGCGCATGGGCACACCCGTGCTGACGACGTAGGGCAGGACCTCTTCGGCGTGGCTGTGGACAACGCACTGGACGCTGGGGAAGCGCTTGAAGATTTCGCCGTGGATGAAGCGTTCCGAGTAGCCCTTTTTGGCTTTTGGGTTGACCGGGTCGGAGCTCGAGACGTGGTAATGGATCAGGTCGTCCGGGGATGATACCATCGCAGGAGCCATGTAGCCGCACATGATGTACACTGATGGATCGGTGGGGTGGCGGATCGAGACGTGGCCGTAGGCGTCGACTACGCCGTGGTGGTGTAGGATGTGGTTGGCGTAGATGAGGTCGCGGAGGGCGGGTCTGAGAAGGTCATGAGAGGTCGGCATGGTGGCTGGGTAGATGAGCAAATGTATCAGTGGCTGTTCTTCTTGGACGGTTGTGGTAGAAACGGTGTTACTGCTGAGCGAGTCGGCTTTGAGTGAATGGTAGGATGCGTCTCTTCGGGGGGGTGGGTTGGCACGTAGTGCTGTATGGTTTCTTCGGTCTCGCCTCTGATAGTCGCGGAGTGAAGCCGCGAAAGATTACGATGTCGCCTCCAGTAAATACCGACGAGCGGACGTGGCACAATGACAAGTCTAGTTGTACGAGTGAGTCTCTGCTCAGTTCAGATCCGATGGAGACCCGGCGAGCCGGTAAGCCTGATGGATCAACATGGAGATTAAATGGCGGGGAAAGTACTGGACTATTTGTACAAAGGATGAGGGGCATCGACAGGGATGCGATGTGAGATAGTGAAGTCTCCATTTCACGATATGTCTTCTGGGGACTTTCTACTTGGTCATCGCAGATTAATCATATGGCGCTGCTAATACTACCAACAGCACCTGGTAGTCGATTAATCCAGTCCCGTCCTCTCGGTGAAGAAAAAGCTGACCTCCAACGGCTGCTGTCTGGGCCTCTTCGTATGGGCGATAGCAGTGCTCACTGCCTCCATCGCTTCGTCGACGTTGTCCCATCCCGCAAAGTGCACCCGAACGACATGCTCTTTGTCGTCCTTTGGTATATTCCACGCCGAGACAGCGCCGTGCCTGGCTCCTCCCATGGTCGAGGTGCCTGCCGCAAACTCGTTGTCAAACGCCAGCTTGTGTACATCCCTGTTGTGGACCGTCTTCAGGATCACTAGTACGGGTGCATTCAGCGGAATCCGAGACGGTTCGACGTTCATGTAGTGCATCCAATCGATGCCCATTTGGTCCTTGATCAGGTCGAGAATCTCGTCTTGTTGAGGTGAGCCATTGAATCCGTGCTGATGTTGGTCCTTGCTTTCCCACGCGCCGATGACAAACATGTTGGTCGGGTCATCGATGCGGGTGTAGAATAGAGTCTGAAGCTTGCTGTACTCTTCAATTACTCTCTTGACTTCTTGGAGGTTCTTCTTCAGTGTAGGATCGGATGCGGTGAGGCCATTCTTTAGGCTGATGTGAGCCAATTCGATTATTGCCATTTCGGTACCGTCTTAAAGTTGCTCATTGCTCGTTGTTGTCAGTGGTTTCTAGTGTGCAATGTGTCATAATCCAGCTGTTGCCAGTCGAGGGGAACCTCAGCCTCAGCGGCGCTCGTATTTATCACCCTCAGCTCATTGGACGGCCAATGAAACAACAAATGTGGAAAGAAATGTTACAGTGTCCAATTAAAGATGGGACTGCACGCACTCCGCGCTGACTTTCTGCAACAACCATTCCTGCAGGAAGTCGGGCCTTCAGCCAGCCTTGGCCCTTTAATGCTTGAAAGTACGAGTACCACCGACCACCTACCCATCGACCACTCTTTTTCAGCTGTCAGTCTTGCCCACCCAGCCAAGTCTCAAACTCCAAAAGACCTACAAGACGTCTCAACTTGGATCCCAACACTTACACAAAGATACCCCTTCTCATCTGCTACAATTTCCCCGGATTCCGACCCCCCGCTTCTTCTCGTTTCTTATCTTATCGCATCTTGGCGGGGCCATCCTCCAGCACCACCCAGCTACCAAAAATAGTTGCTCAACATCACTACCCACCTAGGTCAAGGATGAGTCGACCCTTGAAAGTCATAGTCATTGGTGCTGGTTAGTGTTTTATGTCCCCAGTATCTCCATCACCGGCGTCCCTCCGCGCCCGCTGACTTCCAAACGCGAAGGTCTCTCTGGCCTTGCTATTGCTCAGGGTCTGAAAAAGGTAAGTCCAAGAGCCTCAACTATGGCATGACGGGCGGCCCCTGAACGATACAATAGAATGGAATCGAATACGTGGTCGTCGACAAGGAAAGCGAACCACGCGACCGCAATTGGGGCGTCACAATTGCCTGGAGTCATCCTTTTCTTCAAGAACTCCTACCAGAGGAACTGTTCAACCGATTGGCCGAATGTCAACCAGATGAGAAACTGAACACGAAAGGAGCAGGATGCGAAAGCATCATCATTCGAGACGGAGCTACAGGTGCTACGATAGCTGAGCCATCATTCCCAGGCATAAGGCGGTTGAACATTCAGAAGACTAGAAGTTTATGGTCGAAGGATGTCAATGTCAAGGTTAGCAAGCCTCCTCGGCAATTTCGCTGGCCAGGTGCTGACTTCTTCTACAGTTTGGCAAAACGGTCACCGACGTTGAACTCACCTCTGACGGTGTGACCGCTCACTTCCAAGACGGCACCTCTGAGTCCGGGACAGTCCTCGTCGGTGCCGATGGTGGAGGGTCCTGGGTTCGTCGTTGGCTTCTTGGAGATGAGGCCGACGCCACTGTCTTGCCATATGTGTTCCTGAATTTTCCCATGCGCTTCACCGCAGAGCAAGCTTTGAAAATGGACAAGATGATGAATCCATTCGTTGATGTCGGCGTGCATCCGAAAGGAATGTACATTGGTATCTTCCTGCTTGACAAGCCTGATCTCGACAAGCCGGAGTCCTGGATCTTTTATTTCCTCGTGACATGGCCGAAGCAAGAAGACACAGACACCAATGATGGCGAGAACACCACCACAGACGACGTGAACATGGCAGACGAATTTCGGAAGAGGGCTGACGGCTGGGCTGACCCCTTCAAATCTGCTGTAGATTGGATGCCGAAAGACATCAAGGCTAAGGCGGTACCGCTCAAGATCTGGGGACCGAAGTCTGGTTGGGATAACCGTCAAGGCAGAGTGACGTTGGCAGGAGATGCGGCGCATAGCATGACCTTTCGTAAGTGACTCTACTTTACGTTCCGTTCCGTTCCCCAGTTGACTTAAGTTGTTCGGGTTTTAGATCGTGGACAGGGAGCCAACAACGCGATTCGAGACAGCAAAATGTTTGTCGACGCCATGGTCAAGGTCAAGTCAGGGGAGATGACACTTGGTAAGGCAATCGCAGGATATGACCGGGATGTGGTCCCGCGAGGGGTCCAGGAGGTGGAAATCTCGAGGGCGCAGACCGATGCGTTTCACAACCACGCACGGTTCTTGGAAAGTCCGGTCATCAAGCATGGCATCAGACCGGTCACGGAATTTAGCAAGACCGAAGAGGCGTAGGGAGTTTGGGCAGAAATGTCGACATGGTTACAGTACTCCGTACGGAGGATTCGGTTGCGGTGCTTGTCCCTGAAATATGAGGCGTCGTCTCCTTCTAAAGCCGGTGAGGAAGTCAATTGAGATCCGAGTCTGGTACCTGAATCGGGCCTTCGTCTCGAATTGGGTTACGGTGCTTCAGCCAGCTTGATTCATGTATTGTACTAGACAATATGCTTTTCCCCGTGCTCGCAATCGTGTGGTTGTCCAGACTAGGACTGGGTGGGCCGTACGAGTTCCCGTTCATGACTTGCAACGGCTCAGAGTAGGAATGAGGCCTCCTGCACAACACAACTACTGAAAACACCCGGCGAGCCGGTAAGCAGAGTCTTGCCTAACGTAGGAGCTGGCCTCATCTTCCTTCTGAGTACTAGGATTCACTGGTATAAGAAGGGGGGAAGCTTGGTGGGCAAAATTTACTCTGTCCTACAACTTGCCTGTAGCCGTCGACAACTGGGGAATTGCAGCGAGCTCGTGCACAATCTGAACACCACAAGTCCATCGAACTCACTGCGGTCAAGGGTATTACTCACCAACAGACCACCTCAAAGGAATCTGTCGACAGCCAAAGTACCATGTCGTCACATAAACCAGCAGTGATCGTGGCCTATGGCGCGTGGCATGAACCAGCTCATTTCGAGCCCCTCGCCAAAGTCCTTCGCTCCAAGGGCTACAAAGTCATAACTGTCTGGTTACCGAGTGTGCATTACGAGAAGCTGAACCAACCGGTGCCTAAAGGTCTGGTAGAGGACGTCGAGGCTATCCGAGGACCCGCCCTGTCCGAGCTCAACAGCAATCCGGATACCGACGTCCTCATCTTGGGACATTCATCCGGCTCCCTGCCCGGCTCCGTGGCGTATCAGGGGCTCGACAAGGATGCGCGTCGTTCAGCGGGTTATAGCAACGGGATTGTAGGCTTGCTGGTGATATCAGGCCTGCTCGTTCCGGCGGGCAAATCGGCCATGGAGTGGGCCTCTAGCTGGACAGGACACCGAATCCCGCCGACCATGACGTTCCATGAAACAACGAGTCGTGACGGGTACAAGTTCACATACACTGTCCCTCGCGAACCGCCTGGTCCGGTGGAACTCTTCTAGCATGATGTGCCTGTCGACGAGGCGCAGAGATGGGCGTCGATGCTCAAACCTTTTGTCTTTGACGCAAATCTGGCCCCAGTGCCGTACGCGGGATATCTTGTCGTGCCGACCTATTTTCTCCTGTGCGAAGACGATCGTGCGCTGGGCCCGGATATTCAGAGGTACATTGTGAACGAGGCGAATAAGGAGATGCCGGAAGGGAAAGAGGTTATAGTCACGAGTATACAGAGCGGGCATAGTCCTTTCTTGAGCCGAGTCGACGAGATGGCGGACTGGGTGAGACGATGTGCAGGAGAGGAATTCTGAATGGTGAGGCTGGAGGACTGAGGAGGCATAGCCACCTACTTCGTCCAATGTATGGGAGTCGTTCATCTTGCCTGTGAAGAAAGGATTCTGCACATTTCGAGCTGGTGGAGACCCGTCCGCCAGAGTTTTCCTTCATGCGAGCCATTCGAGACGGGGGTTTGCGACAGTGCTTGAATCTTTTCTGGCGCACCAGCTCCCCATTTTTGAACGTTGTCGTCGCTCAGGTGCGTTTTCCTGGGAGGGGGAATGTCTGTGCAAGCCAGTGTATGTGCAGACTGACAACCCTTGGGTCAGCTGGTTTCTTCTGGTGTCGTAGCTACCTCCGTCCAACTAGATACCCTCCTGAGAAAGTGGCAGGTTGTGAGATGCCGGTACTGTGTTCCCGAAGGACTTTTTGAAGGAAAACGGTACCCGAAGGACTTCTGACGGGCACCCAACAGGCACCCAACAGGAGTGGGGGAAGAGGGAAGGAAGCCGGCGCCGGTTGCTGGCCGGCCTCGCCGACAATTGACAGCGGACGTGACCCGAAAGTGTCCGAACCAAGCTTCACTTCTGTGGCTTCTCCAATTCCGAGTCGGGCATCGCATCATTAATTCTTTCCTACTCTTGAGGTCTTTCTCTCTCGCCTTCTTGCTCTTGTAGCACTGTGTTTTCGTCGGCCAACGTCAAAATGTCTGGGTCTGCCTCCAAAGGCCTCGCTCGCGTTCTACGCCAGGCAAAGAGACCTTCAATTGCCCGAACACGACCGTCACAATGCATCCCCACCTCGTACGAGCCAATGCGCACTTTCTCCGTCACACCGCGCCGGCGAGAAGATACTGCAGAACCGCATCATAATGTGAGGTACACGACTGATATGTACAATATCAAACGGGATGCGAAGTTCTCGGAAATCACACCTGATCACATCCAATTCTTCAAATCGACCTTGGGCGACGACGCGGCTGTTGTGGACGGCGTGACGAAGGATGCTTCAGATGACCTTGAAGCCTTCAATACCGACTGGATGAAGAAATACAGAGGACATACCAAGCTGGTGCTGAAACCAAAGAGCACGGAAGAAGTGAGCAAAGTGTTGAAATACTGCAACGACAACAAATTGGCTGTTGTGCCGCAAGGAGGAAATTCCGGTCTGGTAGGAGGAAGTGTGCCGGTTTTCGATGAGATCGTTATATCATTATCGCGCATGAACAACATCCGCAGCTTCGATGATGTTAGTGGCATTCTAGTCGTGGATGGAGGTGTCATTCTTGAAGTGGCAGACAACTTCCTTGCCGGGCACAACCACCTATTCCCTCTAGATCTGGGCGCCAAAGGATCGTGCCAGATTGGCGGTAATGTAGCCACGAATGCTGGAGGTCTCAGACTATTACGCTACGGTTCCTTACACGGCAACGTGCTTGGGCTGGAAGCTGTTCTACCTGATGGCACTATTGTGGACGATTTGTCCAAGCTAAGGAAGAACAACACCGGCTATGACTTGAAACAGCTGTTCATCGGTGGAGAGGGCACAATTGGTATCATCACCGGCGTATCAGTACAATGTCCGCAACGGTCAAAGGCCGTCAACGTTGCATATTTTGGTCTTCCCTCATTCGAGCATGTCCAAAAGGCATTCAAGGAGGCTAAGATCCAGCTTGGTGAGATCCTCTCAGCATTTGAACTTATGGACTCTCAAAGTCAAGGATTCGTCCATCGAGTAACCGGCAACAAAAGGCCGCTCGAGGGAGACCATCCCTTTTATTGCTTGATTGAGACCAGCGGCTCGAATACAGAGCACGACAACGAAAAGCTGGAGAAGTTCTTGGAATATGTCATGGGCGAAGAAATCGTCTCTGACGGTGTTCTAGCTCAGGACGAAACCCAAGTCAAAGCCTTGTGGGCCTGGCGAGAAGGCATCACAGAGGCTATCGGACACTATGGCGGCACATACAAATACGATTTGTCAATACCACTTGCCGAACTTTACAAGCTCGTTGAGGAGACACGAGAAAGACTCACTTCTATGAATCTGATAGGTGACGACGACTCTCATCCAGCTATTGGCGTTGTTGGCTACGGCCATATGGGCGACTCAAACCTGCATCTGAACGTCCCTGTACGGAGATACACGAAAGAGGTCGAGGAAGCGATTGAACCATGGGTCTACGAATGGATCCAAAAGAGGAATGGAAGTATCAGTGCCGAGCACGGTCTTGGTATTGCGAAGAAAAAGTACATCGGGTACAGTCGCAGTGAGACCATGATCAAACTGATGAAACAGATCAAGAATCTTTACGACCCGAATGGCATCATGAATCCATACAAGTATATATAGCCGGGTAAGAGCGAGGGATGGTCGTCCGCTATCAACAAAAATGAAGATTCTGCACAAGGGATCAGCACGTTCACTGTCTTCGGTTCTTGCTACTGTTGGCCTGTCCCTTACATGAGCTCCATCAGTTTGAATGCCCATGCCGTCCACGGCAAAGATCAAACAGCTCTGCTTTCGTGCGGGGAAGCCGGTGCATGATATACCAAGTTGGGTCGTCGGCCACTTTGCAATTCGCCCGAGGCAGTATCGTTCTCCAACCAGGCCTACTAGCCGACCTCATTCCATACACTGTCCTGACCTGAAGTATTCATTCCATTTGCCTTTCTGTATCCGGAGTCGATTTCGAACTCATTTGTGACAGCCACCGCCTGGCAACCATAACCATGGTGTCTGCCGAGAGAACGGAAAAGATATGTGTCCCAATGCTCGATCAAGTGGCATACAAGCCACGGAAGTTACGGGTCGCCACTATTGGAGCCGGCTTTTCTGGATTGATATTCGCCCATAAGCTCCAACATGAATGTCCTGACATGCAGGAATATATCGAACATGTAATATTCGAAGCAAGCGATGACGTCGGTGGGACGTGGGCGAAGAATACTTATCCTGGCGTCCAATGCGATGTACCAGCACATATATATGTTGGCACTCCTCCTCGGGCTACTTCAGGACGTGATCCTAATGCTTCCATCTTCTAGGCTTTCCCTTTCGACCCTAACCCGGAATGGTCCAAGTTCTACGCAGATGGTCCAGAGATTTTGGAGTACGTGCAGAGGACGGCCGAGAAGTGGAACTTGAAGCGAGATATTCAGTTCAATACCGCTGTCATCGCTCTCGACTGGCTGGAAGACCAGGGGAAGTGGAAGGTCAGGGTACGAAAGGAAGGGCAAGAGGAGAGGGACGAGATTGTTGATATCCTAGTCTCAGCACAAGGCTTTCTGAGGTCAGTCGCTGTCGTCGTCCAGAGTGCCCGTTTTGGCTTCCCGAGTCTCAGGGGACTAATCGGTGTCTAGTCAATGGAAGTGGCCCGATATTCCTGGTCTACACGACTTTAAGGGACATCTCGTCCACTCTGCGGCATGGGATCATTCTTACGACTACTCCCACAAGAGAATTGGAATCATCGGAAACGGCTCTTCCGCAATCCAAATACTTCCTCAAATGGCCAAGTTGGCTGGTACCCGAATCGTCAGCTTTCAAAGAGGCACAACTTGGATCACACAAAGTCTCGGTGAGATCTTAGGCGCTAATCAAGGTGATCCAGATCCTGTTGATCAGCAGGAAATTGTCAACGGCGATGTGGGCATCGATATGGAGGACGTCGGTGAGTCCGATGAAGAAATCGGCAGTAACTTCAACCCTCGTTATACCAGGAACGATAAGCGGCGGTTCAGAAATCCCGAGAAACACAAGCAGTACCGGAAGATGCTTCAGCAGGGCATGAACAAGGGATTTCGTATTGTATGCCACGTCTCTTTCTCCTTCGCTTTCTCTCCGGGCTCGCGTGCCGCTGAAGCGTTCGATACTGACCAAGCTTGCACACGATATAGTTCCGCAAAGGATCTGCCCAAAATGCCAGATCAACCGAAACCACAATCGCGCGGATGCGCGCCGCGCTGAACAACAACGAAGACCTCTGTCGACAACTCATACCGGACTGGACGCTCGGGTGTCGCCGCTTAACTCCCGGCGAAGGATATCTGGAGTCCTTTCTCCTTCCGAGCGTGACGCTGGAGAAGTCGCCCATCGAGCGCATCACGCCGACGGGCATCCGGACTCTTGGAAGTGGCCAGGGCCAGGGTGGCCAGGAATATGAGTTCGACGTGATAATCTGCGCGACGGGCTTCGACGTCTCACATGTCCCGCACTACCCGGTCACAGGGCGTGATGGGACGACACTCGCACAGAAATGGAAGGATGAACCGGAGAGCTATTTGAGTCTGGCGGTGCCGGAGTTTCCGAACTATTTCATGTTTACGGGCCCCAACGCCACGGTCGGCCACGGCACGCTGATCACCAGCATGACCTGGACGGCCGAGTATATCGTGAGGTGGCTGCGCAAGATCGCCGGCGAGGATGTCAAGAGTGTCGCACCCCGGCAGGATGCTACGGACGAGTTTGTGCGGCACGGCGACCGGATTCATGATACGCTGACCTGGAGCGCCGGGTGTCGGAGTTGGTACAAGAAGAACCGTGTCGATGGGCGGGTTACGGCCTGTTGGCCGGGGAGTGCCCTGTTGTACAGGGAGGTCATCCTCCGTGAGATCAGGGGCGAGGATTGGGATATAAGCTATCACAGTGGGAATCGCTGGAGGGGCGTGCTGGGGAATGGCATGACGAGGCTGGAGGAGGAAGCGGAGAAGAGGGAAATCGAGGGGAAGGGGGAGACGGTGGATTTGGCTTTTTATATTGAGCGGTAGCCCACTTTTGACTAGATTCGAAGGATGCTGCATTGAACGAAGTCAAAGAGGCCCATTCAAGCAGCACCAGAAGCCTCAACGGAGGAATCCTTTTATTTTCGGATATGATACTACTATCATTTGACATTGGGACGTGCAATGCAGTGCAGTGCAGATGATTTCATGTCCTGGCTGGTTCACCACCGACCCTCCCTGGATTTTCCTTTATCTTTGTCGCGATTGTCACGATTTCTATCGCGATCTCGCCGTTTCTCGGATTTCAGCTCCTTCTCACGTTCGCGAGGGTCGATGACGACGAGTTCTTCTTCGTTCTTCCTCTTCCACGTCAAGTCCTTGCCAAGCCGGTCCTTCGCGAAGGATAGAGTATGGTTGAACCACTCCTTGTCGTCGTCGGATTCGGCAGCGGCGTCTGGATTCGCGCCGTCCTCGTCCCATTTCGAACAAGACTGGCAGTTCGCTATGAAATGGAGGTCGCATAGGGTGGCTTCTTCGTCGATGTCGGCTGCTGCCGCGGGTTGGGGTTGCGATTGCGTCGGCTTCGAATTTAGTGTGTCGTCATGGGATTTCTGGGTGTTGTGTGGTTTGTTTTGCGATGGTTTGTTGCTGGTGTCAGAAGATTCCAGACGGGCTTTGAAGGCGTTGAGCATTTTCAGTGCGCGCGCGTCGTCCTGCGCTGTGGACTCGCCGGGTCGGGGACGTTTGCGGCCTCGTGTGCTGGTCGTCGGGATGAGTGCCTCGAGCGCGGAGATCTTGTGGTTTGTATCGGTGGTGTTGGTTGTCACGTTGCGTCGCATGGATGCTTTGAGGGCGGCGATCTCGGCTTGTAGAGCAGAAGAGGACGTTTTGGATTTGTTGGTGGGTTGTTCCTCTTCGGCGGGTGTTGGGGACCGGGATGGTGATTCCGGGTCGCGGAGAGGTAGTTGGGCCGTCGGGTCGTGGAAGGATGGCTTACGACGCTGGACTGGGGATGGAGATTTGGCGGATGACTGTGGACTCGCCTTCCGCTTTTGTGGTATGGATTGTAATGCTGATGGTGATGGTGATCGCTTTGGCTTTGAAGAAGGCGCCGAGGGCTTATTAGGGATGGTGCCGTTCTTCTGCGGCGCAGAGTCCTGTGCATCGCCTGCATCGATCAACGCAGGATTGAATTTGGCTTTCTTTGGTCGGACGGCGACCTCGCCGGCGTCGTCCTCGCCTTCGTCACCACCAAAGCTGAGTAAGGTCTTCCCGCCCTTCTTTTTCGGGGCCTTCTTCTTCGGTACAGCATCGACGACACGTTCGGCGACTTTGACTCTTTTGCGCATCTTCTGCCAGGCGTCTCCCTTGGGCATTTCGAGGATTTCGACCCTGAGAATTTTCTCGGGATATATTGGTCTCTCCGTTCCTTCGGCCAGCTCGCCCTCGGCGATCTTGACAATGTTGTAGATACCGTCGCCTTCGACCCGTCCAAACATTGTGCATTTCCCGTCGAGCTCGGCTCTGCAATCTCCCAGCGTGATGAAGAACTGGCTGCCGTAGCCTCCTCCTGGGCCAGTGCCTTTGGCCATGCCGACCAGGCCTCTCCGGTTGAACTTTAACCTGCTGTGTATCTCGTCACCGAAACTGATCTTTTCGTCCTTCTCCCGGCCCATGACCCTCGCCCAGTCTTCGTCATAGCGTTCGAATTCCCGATCCTCGTAGATATTGTGTCCGCCCTCCCCGGTTCCGCTTGCGTCACCGGTCTGGATGACGAAGCCAGGTACGACGCGGTGGAAGATGTTGTTGTTGTAGCCTTCGTCGAGTACATGTTGTAGAAAGTTGCGACATGTTAGAGGAGTCTGATTTGCGAAAAGGGAGATTGTAAGAGGGCCTGCGGTGGTATGGAGGAGGACGGATGCTGTTGGCGGAGGTTCGGTCGTGTAGTGAGAGGACATCCTTGTGTCGGGCTGGCAAGTCTCGCCAGTCTATATCTGGGGCCGTGATGGCATCTATAGGTGAGCTGCAAACTTGAGGCGCCCAAATTTTGGCTGCTTCACTTCCAGATCTCTCCGTCGACGATTTCCGCCAAATCTAAAGTCAGCCTGACACGTGATATGGAATTCATGAGGCTTGGCGAATTTGCGATCGTTCAGCCTCGTCTCGAAGAAGAATCTTGTTTACTTCTTCATGCAGCGATGTCACGCTTTTCACGAGGAATGTCTTCCGACTTGGCCAGTTCCGGTGCACGTCGTTACAGTGGTCAAGCTGAAGACAGTTCAGGCTTTCCACGAATAATCATTGCTAACTAATACATTTCAACACTCAATCATCACTGATAGTGCTTGATCCTCCACCTTCAAGTTCGCTGAGTACTTTGGTCCCCACCACGTTACTCTGCGTATCGAGGAAAATTGCAGCTATGATACTCAGTCCGTTGTAAGGAGTGTACGAATATTCGAGTTCGCGAACATTTTCACCATTGAGGACCACACTCTTCTCGCTGCCGGTGAACGTCATGTCATGCCAGTACGACCCGACGACTTCTGACTGGTAAACCTGCCCGTCGTTATGTAACGACTGGTCGACAATATTTCCGGCTTGGTCCAGGATCCTGTTCTTATGGGTATTCCCCTGGTAGTTGTTGACAGAAAACAGAATCCCCTGTTCGAGGTCAAACCCGCGAGCAGATAAGTCGCTTGAACTCGAGGTCGAAGTACTACCTCCACCAAGGGTGTCATTGACTAATGTGCCAACATCCGAGCCCAATGTTGCAATGATGGGGTTCAGATCGATGGAGTTGAGCGTGTCGTTGATCATTATTACTAGATTCTCAAGCCTGGCCTCAAGCTCAACCCGGGCCGATACATTTTGGATTGTCAATTGAACCCGATTGATGCTCAGGTCAACGCCGGCATTGAATTGCAGGAGCGAAAGGACTTGCGCGTCGAGATTGATTTTGGCTGTGAGATTGGACACAGTGATGTCGATTTCTCCAACTGAAACGCTTGCATTGAGGAAGACATCAGGCGGAGTGGTCGCGGCTCCGTTGGATGTGTCGGTATTGTCCGTCTCGTATACGGCTGACTCCCCGTCGCCGCTTACAGAGAGTGAGTAACCGGTGTAGCCATCGCTAGACGACAACGTTTGCGAAGATGCGAATGCTATCAACGTCGACACTAGCAGTACAAGTCGTGAAGAGATCATTGCGAACCGACGATTTGGTAGACTGCTGAATGAAGTTGACGCGATGAGGCCTTCTCAATAAGAAACGCGAGACAAGAGGATGCTCAAGCGGCAGATCGTTGGTGAAAACCGCTGAAGAGTGTGCGCGCAAGGTCGGCAGAAAGGCTCAAGATGAGCCTGGTGTCCCGTCTTGAAGAAGTCCAATTTCGACTCATCTGCCGAATTTTTTACTTACCTTTTGCTCTCAAGGTAGGGTCTGCAGAGGAAAGTGGAAAGTTGCGGATGAGGCCTGGATTTTCAGTTGTGAGGCTAGGGGTGAGACGCGGCTAATTTCGCTAGACAGGGATCTCCCTCGAACCGATCGTTCAAGAAGCCGGGGGGGTTCCACCAAACCGGTTTTTCGAAGGACGCTTGGGGAGATCATTGCAGACCACGCTTACCAATTTCTACAACTTGAAACACATGCAGTCATGTCCTGCATGGAAGATGGAATTTGGCTTGGGCAGCGGCGTTTTCTGTGAAATTGGAATGCCGAGATTGAGAATACCCATGGTGAGCAAAAAGGGTAAATATCTTCAGCAGAAGAGCAAAGTGTCGGGTCCAACTCTTCTTCACGCTTTATCGGACGAAAATGTTGTCAAATTCAATATACCGGGTCTTTTTGACCTTGTTGTCTCTGTGTCTGCTCATCAAAGAGATCCATGCACAATCAACAACGCCCTTTTCAAACTCAAGCAGCACTGGAGCCTCCACGACATCGGCGCCAGCATCAACAGGCACTCAACCAGACGTCTATTTGAACGTGCCGACTCTTTCGGTTGGTCGGATTGAGCTCGATGTTGATGACCTTCGAGCCGACATCAACTTGAACGCACAAGTCGCATCACTGGTCACATTAAATGCCGGCGTCGCTCTGTCGATTCAACAAGTCAACCTCACAATTTCAGATGTCGATGCCGAGTTGGAATTGATAGTCCGACTAGGCCATTTGGTGGACATCGTCAGTCGAGTATTTGAGTCTCTTGACCTCAATCCATTGCTCATATCGACCATCAACAATGTCACTTCATTGCTCGAACCGATTGTGGGAGCGGTCGATGGTCTCCTAGGCTCGATCACACAAGGCGGCACCACTCTATCATTCCTCATCGACAATCTTGGGAACATTGTGCAAGAGGTCGGAGGAGTCTCAACCATTGTGGGCAACTATCTCACCAACATGACCGACACGGGTGTCAGCCAGACGCTATCGGGTGGTCTCACGGAGAAGACGTATTCCTATACCCCACTCAATGCTCTGGTTGATATTGTTTTCAATGCAGCAGGCCAGGTGGTTCAAGCATCGGTGCAGAAGTCAAGCGGAGGAAGTACAAGCACAACCACTTCGGTTGCTACAACGGCTGCTACAACGACGGCGACTCCAACCACAACGGCCGCTAGCCGTAGGCACTAGGCTTAGTATGGAGCGGAAGCTCTTTGAGTATTACTTACTCAGTTCGACCCTAGGTTGGTGACAGCTTGGAGTGCAGTAGCTTTCAACTATAATGCATTTTCCATTTTCCACTTCAAGACCTAGATTGATGAATCGACTGGTAGACTTGGTGCCTCTCCACAGACAAACACCTCGATAGCCAGGAATCGGTCCCTTTCCCTGTTATGCTGAAATTCAGTCGCAGATTTTCCTGGCGATGACTGACAACAACGATGACGGCCATCCAATAGCCCTGCTCGGTGAATGCCTGTCCGTGTACAGCGACCTGCACACAGCCTCACCATCCTCCAATGATGGCTTCGAACGTGTCACGAGAGGTTGGCGTTTGCCTGATGTTGTCTGCCTTCTCCTTCACCTACACCGGTTCAGCCTGATCAAGATTCTTTCTTAACTCTACAACTCACTCCTCATCCGTAAGCGGCAACCTTGAAGCCAGAATAACTTCAGAGAGTCTCTTACGATGAGCTTCGGATTTTCTATTGGTGACTTTCTCGAGGTGGCAAAATTGATCGAGGCGACGAGGAAGCGCTTCAAAGGAGCGCCAACCGAATGTAGCGCGTTGGCTGCTGAGTAAACACCCATCTCCGCCATCCTCCTGATAGATCTTTTTGATTGATTTAGAACGAAGCTTCTGCAGATTGTTGTGAATGATATCAACGTTCAAATCGAAGATGATGATGACATCGCCGACGCTGTCAGACGAGATATGCAAAGTGCCGTCGAGAACTGCAACTCTGTGTTGACAGACTTGAACGCGCTCCTTGATTCACGTACTGAGCTCACTTCAAAGCCTGGGCCAGCACGGAAAGTGCATCAGCGTGTTTGGAAACGCCTCAAGTGGGATTCTGGTGAGGTCAATAAGCTCAGATCACGCCTCAGCTTAGCAGTCCAACTGCTGGAATCCGTACGCCGACGTGTGGACAGGTAAGCTTGGTGTTGATCCCTGGAGACGGCTATACCATATAACTAATGGTGCTCGGTACTCTACATCATGACTCCGCTCAGGGTGTGAAAAGGCCGACGGCTGCACATGATAATGAGGAAGTTCTACGTGTCGCTAACTGGCTAGCGTCTGCAACATATCTCGAGCAGCAGAACGACTATTTCAGCAAGGTCCATCCTGGAACCGGACAATGGCTACTTACTCACTCATCGTATCTCGCCTGGCGCAATGGTAGCATTCCGACGTTAGTGCTTCCTGGTATTCCTGGAGCTGGGAAGACGTTCCTCGCATCAGTCCTGGTCAATGACTTGCAGAAACACGTCTCCGAAGGTGACAATGCCGCGCTTGCATTCTTCTACAGCAACTTCAGAAGGACCGATTCTCAGTCCGCAGTCCAGATTATCAGCAGCATAATACGACAGCTCTTTCTCCATCAGCCGCAGAGAATGGATGCTGTCAAGAGTATGTACAAGGCACATCACGACCGGCTGCCAGCGACAAAGCCTAGCCTTGAGGAGCTGGCGCTTACGAGTGAGAAGGCGTTGTCAACCTTCTCAAAGGTCTCCTTCGTGATTGATGCCCTGGATGAGTGCAACGGACCTGATGAAGCCTACAGGAAGCCATGGCAGTATCTTCTCACTCTACTATTCCGGCTGCAAGAAGAGTGGAGGCCAAGAGTCTCCCTTCAGATCCTGGTAACCTTTCGACCGATTCTCGAAATTGACAACTTTTTCCCAAGATGCGAACGCCTAGCTATCCATGCCAGCGAAGATGATCTAGCGGTGTACTGTGGCGCGATAATACCCAAGATCTCGTGTATCGCTCGAAAGGCTGAGATGCACTCACGAATAAGTCGGGCAATCTGCAAAAGTGCGCAGGGAATGTAAGTAGAATACTGCATGCCTAAACAGCTAGACTGAACATGTACTAGGTTTCTGCTTGCGAAATTACACTGTGATAATCTGGCAGCGAAGACCAAACCTAAGGACGTATTGCAAGCACTTGAAAAATTTGCCCAAGGCGGTGACGCTCTTATCAATGCCTATGAAGACACCATGCAGAGGATACGACGCCAGTCTGAAGACTACACAGAACTGGCTCGAAAAGTCCTAATATGTATTACTTTCAGTGCCAGGCCATTGTCACTTAACGAACTACGTCACGCCATAGCGGTCGACGAAGGTACAAAGGAGCTTGACCCAGAAGATGACCTGGACGACCCAGACGCATTGATTAGCTCTTGCGCTGGTCTGGTGACGATTGATCCCGAGAGCAAGACCGTACGTTTAGTCCACTACACGACCCAAAAGTTTCTGGAATCTTTACAAAACGGATTTCTTTCCGGCTCTCACTACTTTCTCGCATCTTGCTGCCTGAATTATCTACTTCTGAATACCTTTGCCGAAGGTCATACAAATTGGGCGCGGCCTATGCACGAAGAACAACCAAGGATGTACACACAACAACCAAGCCCGTACGTACAACGCATTGGACGATTCCCTTTCCTCGAGTATTCCGCCCAGTTTTGGGCTCGGCATATGGCACTGGCGCCTACCGACACGTATTTAAGGCTTCGGGCTTTCACATTCCTTGACCATTTTGGTCATGTCGCGAGCGCCCTCGAAGCCCTGCATGAAAGAGGCCCCCTTTTCGACCATAGCTATTCTCCAGTCCACTTGCTCGCAGCCATGGGTTCAGATCAGATGCTGGAAGACTATACTAATCGTGGCTACCCGTCTGATGGAATGCAAAATGACAGAATCGCATGCCAGAAGTGCAAACATCGGACATCGAAACATGTGGATGAACTGAAAGCAAGTCAGTTATCCTGGAAAGAAGCAATCACGAGTTTGAAAGACCATCATGGTCGGACCCCATTAGCAACCGCTGCAGGAGCCGGTCATCCATCAACCGTAGCGTTATTGCTCAACTTCAATAAAGCACTGATCAATGAGAGAGACGGCTATGGCAGGACTCCGCTGTATCATGCACTATATTGTCATTATGATGGTGCACTGTCTCATGATCATGAAGCAATCGCGCTGCGGTTACTTGGCGAGCCGGCCATCCTCGGGCCTTGGTATGGAGACTTATATCTTTGCGGTTGTCTACCTGTTGCTGCTGGGGGAGGCAGTGAAGCTGTTGTTGACAAAATGTTACAACTTGCCGTGGACACGGGCGCGGGCTGGGTCGACGCCACAGCGTTGCCATCTTCCCCTGTGCGAAGCAAGGCTGTACGTGATGCTCTAGAGTCTGCGGCAGGCGGGGGCCACCTGGGAATGGTGAAGAAACTGTGGAGATATAGCTGTGACGAGCAGCTCCACTTTCCTGCCGCGGCAGGCGAAAAAGCACTTCGTGCGGCGGTGAAAGAAGGCAGACTCGAAATTGTCCAATACCTGATGGATCAAAAATATATTCGGGTAGATGGCACGGACTGCGACGGGATGTCAGTCTTGCACCACGCCGCCAGCGAAGAAAACGTACACATTTTCGACTACAACTTGAAAAAAGTTCGGAACATAGATATTGATCTGGCGGGCAAGCGAACCGCACTTTCATATGCCGCTGAGATAGGGCACTTGCAGGTTGCACAGATCCTGGTGTCTGGGTATAACGCGAACGTCGATTTTGCACATCGGGAAGGCATGACATCCATCATGCACACTGCGCGGTATTCGCAGCTTGATATGCTGGCCTTCCTTGCGCCTTTGGTGTCTGACCTCAATAGCACGGATGCCATGGGTGGCACAGTCGTGCATCACCTAGTGGCGTGGGCCGACATATGGAGCCATAATGTTGAGGAGTTCAGGTCTTCGTTGGAATGCTTGGTCAAGCATGGCGCCGCGCTGGACGTAAAGGACAATACTGGCCGTACACCATATGAGCGAGTCTGTGATCGGGAAAAGCAAGCATCTAAATGCGGTGAAAATATTGACAATTTCCAGCCGCTCAAGGAAGTCATGGAACAGATGCTTTGCAACCCAACTGTTCCCTGAGCTATTTGCAGTCGTCTGGCTGGATGATGGATATATGGAGCCGTGTATTCAAAGACTGGTTATTCAGATTGGGTTGGGACTTGTTTTGTGGGCTCACTCGAGATAACGAACCCGTAGGTAGCGAAGATGGACGTCTCGGTTGGATACTTGGCCTGATGCCCCGGTTTCCGAGGTTATCGTTGAGCCTCCCGAATCTCGTTGCGGGGTAAATCCCTGAACCGGAGGGCGGCAGCGACATCCGATAGGCGGGCCCCTGATGATCTTGAACAATGACTTCACAGTTACGTGAGGCGATGTCTTCTAGCTCAACGATTTCCTAGTTTCCCCCTCTTACGGCATCTTCTCAGCACTTACGCTTGCCTGAACCATTGAATATCGACATCGTCAGACATAAATACTGTACCTGCTCATCTCACCATGCCTCCAACTACCAGCAGCCCTTGGATCAGGACTGTGGCAGCTCGGCGGATACTCATCCGGCCAAACTCACGTCACTTCCCTCGTCGATATGCCTCGGAAGCCGACAAAACGATCAAATCGACACAAGATAGCGTGGACAAGCGCCTAGCCCAACAAAACCGGCACAACATTGACCGCCAGTCCGATGAGGTTTCCAAGTCCGGCACAGACGACGCAGTCGCCGCACAATCACTGTCAGCCGACAAAGAGACAACCGACCCGGAAGAACTCCGAGCAGAGTCCGGAAAGAGGAATCTCTACAACAACCCTCTCGAAGCGAGTCCGGCCAATCGGTCCATAAGCGAGGGTACGGTGGAAGTGAAAGGAGGCGTTGCCACGAAGCCAGTTACCAAGGAGAAGGCCACGTACGGCAATGACGCGAGGACGAAGAGCGCCGACGCCGGATTCGAGAAGAAGGCTTTTGCGGGATCAACCAAGGAGGCGAAGGAGAGAAAATTGCCGCCTATGATAAACTCGGGATCGAGGTAGGCATCTCATTTCTCGTGTTCCAAGCGCATCTGCAGATATGCTGGCGCTCTATGGTCGTGTATGGGCTGCATGATGGAAATGAGGGACGGGGACGGAGGACGAGGGACTGTAGCATGCTTGACGAGGGCCCAGACCTCAGACTGCGTGCTAACTCATGCGCGAAGCAGCATTGTCCGCGGTTGCCATCAAGTAGGAGTTGTCATCCAATGCACTTCGACAGCCATTACTAAAATCCCAGTATCATCCATGAAGGATGAATATATTAGATCAGTGCTACATCGCATGACTCTCGTTTGCCGAACACTCAGCCTAGTGAGCCCTTGTGATCAGCTCCGATCATTTTGACTGCCTCTTTCTTATTCACCCACTTTACTGGCCGAGTAAGCCTTGCGGGCTCAGTGTCCTCATTTCGCGTCGGGCGCCTCTTCGTAGGGTTTTGAAATCCTAGAGCCGGCGTACCCGTTTCTTTTGTTCGTTAGCACTGCTTTTGATCGACGCTTATGAACACCGGAAGTTGAGCCACTAGTTGGAGTTCAGCAGTTTCCCGATGGACGCTGCATTCTCTGAGGGACGACGAACCGATAGAGCAGCCACTTCCCTCTGCAGTACGTGCCACCCAGACAGGCTTGAACCACTTTTCTTGTCATTCAGGCAAGTGAAAAGCAATGTTGGACCTAGGTGAAAGATAGATTCTCCGGGAACAGATTATTAAGTACCGTGGGGGGAGTATTAGGCCCATCGTGGCTCACCGGCTTTGTGTCGCGGTTCGCGCGCCTATTGAGCCTGAAGATTTCTGAAATCAGGCAAAGCTTATCGAGATCTGACCGCCAAAAGTCTCGAGCGATCTACTCCGTACAACATCTTCCTTTTACGCTTAACATGAGTGTCATGGGTGTGCGTTTTTCACAGATTCGATCTTGATCGCATGTTCCTATTGAGTGTATTACTGTAAAGAGTGCATGCATGGCTGGACGGGTACGCTCTTGATAAATTGCATCTTACTGCCTTGATGATCAGCCCCAGGGGAAGGAAATCAAGATGGCCACAACACAGACCATGACAATATCTCGAACGGCGACATCACCAGCAGAATCCTCAACTCCCGAGACTTTCGAACTAAGCCTCAAGTCTCCGGGGAAGTCTCTACGGGAGATATCACGACGAGTCGTCAATGGCGCGCCATCTCGGCCGCAAGAATCATCTTCCGACGAGGAAGATCATGTCCATGTCCATGACGATGTCGAACCTCCTGCCACAGCACAAGCTGTAGCTCAGCGCTGGAACCAACCGAGAGCCAACATCAGCAAGTTGGGATTTGCATTCTGGACGTTCGTCATTGCCGGCATGAACGATGGTGCTGTTGGCGTACGCTCTCCCTGCATCTCTTGCCGTTCTCCTCCTAGTAGGGAACATCATGCTAACAATATCCTGAACAGGCTTTGATCCCATACGTATGCTATACCTGCTTGACTCCTTACTCTTAACTTCCCAGACCGATCTTGACCACTAACAATCCCCCTACAGCTCGAATCATACTACTCCCTCAATTACACCATCATCTCACTCATCTTCTTGACCCCCTTCGCCGGCTACTCCCTGGCAGCCTTCACCAATGCCAGCATCCACAGCCGGCTCGGCCAGCGCGGTATCGCCGTCATGGCGCCTATATGCCATATCATCACATACGCCATTCTCGCCGCCCATCCGCCCTTCCCCGTCCTTGTCGTCGCCAACGCCCTCTCGGGCTTCGGCAACGGCTTGAACGATGCCTGCTTCTGCGCCTGGGTCGGTGTCATGGACAAGGCGAACGCCGTCCAAGGTGTCATGCATAGCTGCTATTCGATCGGTGCGCTCATGGCTCCCCTGGTCGCGACAAGCATGGTTGTCAGGGCGGACATGCCGTGGTGGAACTTTTACTATGTTATGGTAAACAGCCCGTACCCCCGATAACCTCCTTTCTCTCTTTACTGGTATTTCTCCCAGCTGTCTAGTTGACTGACCGCACATTCAAAAAATAAAGATCGGCGCTTCTGTTGTCGAATTCGTTGGTCTAAGCACCACATTCTGGCGCGAGACCGGCGAAAAGTATCGCATCGAACACCCTCGCGAAACGGACGCCACTGGCGGCCGGACCAGAGAAGCTCTCAAGTCCAAGATCACTTGGCTCTGCGCCGCCTTCTTCTTCGTCTACATGGGCATTGAAGGTACGTCCTTTTTCTTACAATCTTCTCTTTTCCCCGTTCTCCCTTTTCTTCCATCTCCCCTTCCCTCAAGCCGTGGTACTAACCAAATGTCTTGCTCAGTCGGTCTGGGCGGCTGGATCGTCACATTTATGCTACGTGTTCGCTCCGCCTCGCCCTCCGCATCGGGCTACTCAGGCTCGGGCTTCTGGGCCGGCCAAGCCCTGGGCCGCGCGACTTTGGGCTTCGTGACCGAACGCTTCGGCGAGCGCGTGTGCATCTTGATCTACCTCGCCTTCTGCCTCGCGCTGGAACTCATCTTCTGGCTCGTCCCGCAGTTCATCGTGTCCGCCGTGGCCGTCGCGTTTCTGGGCTTCTTTCTCGGCCCGATGTTCCCTGGCGGCGTCATGATGGCGGCGAAACTGCTCCCCAAGCATATCCACGTCAGCAGTATTGGATTCGGCATGGCCATGGGCGGCACGGGCGGCACCGTGTTTCCCTTTGCGATCGGCGCCATTGCTGCGAGTAAGGGCGTCAAGGTGTTGCAGCCGGTGATCCTGAGCTTGATCGTGCTGCTGGCTGGGGTGTGGATTAGTTTTCCGAGGGTCAAGAAACGGGAGTGATTTTACGAACAGGTGCCGTGAGAGATTGGCAGCGCCGTCAGGCACAGAACAAGCCAGCGGCATCGAACCGTCTCAAGGGTGGTCATAGACGACTTTCAAGGGCTTATGATAAGCATTATGTGGTCCTGTACTCTTCAGTATCGGGTTCCGTTATACCCACATGATATAGACATAGACGGGGAGCATGTCGAAAGGCGAAAAGGCGAAAAAGCTTCGGAATTAAGTCGATTATCCCATCTATATTTCTCACAATCACACTCTTGCTATGGCATAGCCGCTTTTGATTTTGAAGGATTAATTTTGTCCTAAGCTAGTAGGATGGCGTTCATTCACATTCATCATCTCTCATCAAGTACCTATCACAACACTTGGCAATCCAATCCAGTTAACACTGCGCCATAAGTAAGCTAAGCTGGACAGTGCATTTTTCTCATTCCACCTCGTCACCTTGACACATCTGATCCTCGATTTAAGAGCGTCGTCTCTTCGCCTGTAGACTGTTCCCATCGACTACGCTCGTTTTCAGACCCTTGCTTCGGGTCGTTGGCCCAGCATCATCACCAGCAGATTTGGGCGTGGTGACCGTACTGCTCGGCATACTCTCGACGTGTCCACCGCCATCGTGCTCGAAATCGCTATTCGGCTCGTGCTTCAGTTGTCCATACTGTTCAGCGGTTGTCTCGCCGCCCGCGGTGCCGTCGTAGCCAAAACTGTACTTCCCACCACTACCCGTGCCAGGTTGATCGCTCAGATTGCCAAAGAGCTCGTCGTCGTCTTTGTAGTCGAAGTTGAGATTGTCCGTAGGGCCCGTGGTATCGAGGCCTGTGTTGCCGAAATCGTAGTTACCATTGCTGTCGCTAGGGAAATCGGCGAAATATTCGGCTTGGTTGAGGAAGTCGTCGATATCCAAGGGCGGAGGAGGCAGATTTTGACCGTCGCCGATGCCAGGGATAGAACCGGTTGGACTGAGTGGCTGGAGGAGGTTGGTCAGGTTCTGCACGCTCTTGTCCTGCTCGGCTTGAAGCTTAGCTAGTTGGTCGAGGCCAGCTGTCGTGCTGGCCAGGCGTCGGTGGAAGTTTGCCGGACCGGGTGGCGGGGTCGAGTTGATCAGAGCGTTATCGCTACCTGAGGGCTGTTGCGTGGAGTCATTGATCATCTTCAGCACGTCGGCGCGCTGGGATGTGCTTAGGGGCCTGGCACCACTGGATGCTTCTAAGTTGTTGAGGACACTGGAAAAGTCTTGCGCTGGAGTGGTGGGGCTGGTGGCGTTGTTGCGGGCATTAGCATTGTGGATGACAGACATCATGTCGCTTTGAGGCAAGCTCTGCGAGCGAGTTGAAGGTGGAGGAGGCACGACGGTATTTGGACTCATCACACCGGGATCAAAGACCTCTTCCACATTGGGAGCAAGGTTGGTCTGTTGAGTGTTGCGCATCGGTTGAGGACGCTGCTGGTAGGGACTGGGAGCCGCGCTGCCGCGGGGCGATATGGTGCTTGCTCGACCTTGCTGGCCGCTGCCATTGGTCAAGAGGAGAGGCTGCCTCTTAAACGGTTTCCCTAGACCCGGACTACTGCCGTCAAAGTTGAGATCGTTGATGGGGAAATCTCCGACATCAACAACGTTAGCATGACCTTGACCATCTCCTGGTATGGCGCTGTTATTGAAAAGAGCCGCCATGCTTGGAAGACCGTCGTGGCCACCTTGAATGCTGCGGTTGTAGACCGTCGCGAGGAAGGTAAGGATCGCATTGATGGAGTTCTCATGTCGGTTGTGCTGATCTTGGAATGTGGCAGCCTGGCCATACAGCTGCTCATGCTCACGCTTGATTTGCTGCATCATGCGACCGATCTGAGCTTGCTGATGCCTGATCGCAGCCAGTTCGCGCTGGACGTTTTTAAATTGGTCTTGACTGAGAGCAGTCTGAGAGTTTCCGAGAGTGAGTTGACCGGGCGGTGCGCGAACACGAGTATCCGGAGTAGTTGTGCTTTCTTCACCATAATCTTCCGTCTCTTCTTCATTCGGCTCGTTTTCTGTCTTCTTGCGTTTCGATCCCGGGCCACTTACGTTCTTAGGTTTCTGGATCAACCATAACAAGTCGGGATGACCCCGGCGAAAGTATGGGTTCGAATATTCGCTGGGACTCTTATTCTTCCTCTCACTTGCTCTCATCGAGTTATCGGAAAGGCCGACTTTCTTGTGAAAGCCGTACATGTTGAGTTGACGGACGAAGGAGGCATAGTTGTTGTGTTTGAACAGCTCCGGGATAAGGGTTTTGGCGAATTCGTCTTCGTCAAGGACGATGAAAGAGTTGCCATCATCAGACCAACGGATGAGGTCGGTGTTTCTACCGTCTTCAAGAAAGCTGTATAGAGTTAGCGCAATGTTCTGTCTTCACTCATAGTATATCTCACCTATTGAGTTTCTGCACAAAGGGCGGAATTTGTTTTCTCTTCGCTTGAGCGTCTCTCTTCGCGATTTGTGCCCTCGCCTCTAGGACGGCTATGTCGTCTCCCCATTCAGCATCCGGAGCATGCGCGCCATTTGTGTTATCCATCCAAGCATTCCCATCTTGATCCATTCGAGGCCGAGTAGGCGCGGCAAGTTGGGTCATGGGTCTTCGGGTAAGTTGGTTTGAGGGTTGCGGCTGCGGATTGTTCTGAGGATAAGTGTCTGTGTTCATGGTATAACTGTTGTCATTGTAAGGTACAGCTGGTTGACCAGTTTGACCCCACTGGAAGAACTCGTCGTTCGAGAGATTTGTTCCAAGACCGTCATTGTATGAGACCGGATTCTGCATCTGAGGCGGATAAGGGACCGGGTCTGCGCCTGGCGCAGGGCGCTTCCTGGAGTAGCCCTGGGAGCCCATAGCCGTGCCTCTGTCGATGATTGAACGGACTCTTTTCGGAAGGGTGTGAGAAATGGTCTGGGAGATATATGTTTTCCAAAATGGCGTCCTTTTGTGCACCTCTTCGCCAAATGTTGCCAAGAGAAAGAGAGTGTTCAATGGCGCGGTGGACGACGACTAAGCGGCGACTGAGGGTAGGGCTTTGGCAGATATGGACAGATCGGTGATACCGGGCGCGCAAACAGAGGGAAGTGGTCTGAAAGATATCTGTCGGCTTCGCGATTGGGACTGGACGGTGAAGAGGTTTTGGCAAGAAGGGATTTCAGTGCACAGGCGTCACCGGAAGAATGATCCGCCACTATACAGAAGAGGTGAGCAGCACGTAGACAAGGGTGTGATATGGACAAAGGTAATGTTAGTCGGAGCAAAACTGTGAATCTCAGGCTGGTGTTGTTGTACTAAGTTGCCGGAGCCTATGACATCGCTGCCAGTCATTGCCAGTCAGACAAAATCCCGCCGCACTGAATAATCCCGGAATACCAAGGCCTGCTCATCCTGCTAAAGACTGCTCCACCTGCAGAATCAGCACCACACTCGGCCTTTACCGAGGACAGGGCCACGCAAGGCCTGCTCCAGCCGGATCAGTGACCCGGAGCCCCATGCCTGCTGCTAAAACAGCAGGAAGCTGTGTCGAGCCTAGGAAAGGGCACGGGATCTTCTCTATTTATGGCAGGAATGCTGGGGGATGTGATACGGTACGGTTGAAGACTCCCGATCTGTTGCAAATGACTACCTGGTACTGAATGCAGGGTTGACCTCATAATGAGTTCTACACCTTGATGGCCGCCTATGCAACATTCCTCCCGTTCTAAGGCCTTGGTTGACCGATAAGAGCTCGGAAACCCGCAACAGCATTTTCCCATTGCTGAGGATGGGACTCTGCAAACCTCTTGACCTTCTGTACCGCATCCCAGTCTTCCTGCATGTGCTTCAGACTCTTGGTGCCATTCAATATTGTGATGTCACCCAGACCAAGAACTAGACAATACAAAGCTGACTGAGGTGCGACGCCGATCTGGTTTGCAAGCGATCCAACCTCAGCCGACCACACTAGACTGGGATTTGCACTGAGTGTCCAGAAGCTCTCATAAATAATATTCTTCTCTTGACAGAATCTGCGCACGCCAATATCAAACTTGGTAGCTGCATGGAATCGATTCTGCACCACACTTGGTTTGATATTGGAACGCTCATAGAGGTCCATCAGAGTGAACAAGTTGCAGTTCGAAATGCCCAGGTTCCGAATCTCATTGGGCACATACTGTTCAAGAGTGCGCCACACTTCTAACGTCTCATCGATCGAGCGCATGGGAGAGTGTAGGATGAGGGTGTCAATGTATGGCTCTGCTAAATCATCCTGTTTGACAACATCTGCAAAATTGAAGTTGTGCAAAGAGCTCATGACAGAAGCATTGAGTTGGTTTGTGACAGGGCTGTTCTTGTCGTATGGCATGTTGTCTGGATCTTGACCTTGAACACTGGTGAATTTGGTTTGTAAGTAGATGTCTGATCGCTTGACCTTTCCATCCTTGATTGCCCGGGAGACTCCAGCAGCAACAAGATCTTCTCTGTAATGTTTTGGCTGGGCCGCCGTGTCTATGGCGGTGAAGCCATTGCAAAGAGCTTGGTAGACAAGATCACTTGTAGCCTCTTTTTTCCATGCAGTCCCGTAGATAAAGGCTGGAATTAATTGTTTGCTGGAGATGTGAGGAGCATGCAGGATCAACTTCTCGAATATGGCGGAAGTTGTCATTCTATCTCTCCGTGCTGCAGCCGCAAGGTCGCTCAAAGGATGCGCCGGCCAGTATGAGCAGACGCAATTACGGTTGTTGCCGGGTTCGAGAATGGTAGAAAGTAGACTTTTGAGAGCCACCGAGCCGGTTTCGAGAAAGAATGGCACCGTCTGACAGGGAGCATATAACTCCAGCTTGAAGATAGGGAGTCTGCTAACGGTAAATCACTGGAATTATGGTTATAGTACTATAGTACTCACGGCCTTCCGTGTATCAACGACTTACGCTATAACGTTATATACGAAGGGTTCCGGATAGACAACGAGTACCACGTCAAGGACTTCCATGTGAAGCCGACGAACTCCTGCCGTCAGACAGTGCCATCGAGTATGAGATCACGAATTGATGTCGGTCGAATGAGGTAGCTTACATCACATTCACGCATTCCATTGGCAGCTGCAGCCCATTATTGTGCCCATCGAAAGCTGACCCTGGTCCTGTTTGATATGTCCCTCGGGCTAGGATTCCAGGGGCGACTGAAAGCTAGTATACCTTACGTGGCTCTGGGCGACTGCAGATTGCCTCGAAAATCCCCCGACAACCTGCGTTGCCCCTACTTCTCTGCCACTCAAGGGTCATGATCCTAGATGCTTTGCAGATTAGGCTGCAGGCCACCATCAAATGTGGCGTGCAGCTGCACTGTTACACGTCAAATGCCCTTTCACCCATAATGCCACGAGGAAGACTAGCCTACGAATACCCTCGACTTCCCCAGGACAAATGAGGCCTGCTGACCTGGATATTGCACCACTATCCCAGGCTCCATAGACTTGTGATTCACAAGCTGGAACCTCTCCGCAGCCTAACTGCAGATCGCGTTTCCGGGCGCTCGGGTGAGGTCGAGAGGTCGTCAGCTAATAAGCTCGAACAATCTCGCAGAGCCCTCCGTGTGCCCTCCTCAAGCTGTGCTCGCCAGGCATTGTTCATGCATAAGAAGCTATTAAAGCAATCGCAAGCTGTCAGTGGCATCCCCTTTTTACCAGAATAATCTCGTTCCGTCACAGCCATGTCTTCAAGACCCGCCTGACCAGAGTATGGCCGCGTTAAGCGGGACTTGGTAAAATACAAGTACGAGTAGCTGGTTCGCAGGAGTTCGTTGCTTCAAAAGCAGATCGGTCCACACGGCTGGGCATCCAGGCATTGATTTACAGGGACAGCGGTCTCTTAGCGAGGGATGCAAAGGATGCTTGGGATTCTAGCGCTCTAGAAAAACGCCTGCATAGGTCCGTTGATTGCGACTGATGGTGATGAGAATGCTAGCAGCTTCTGGTACGGCTGACCACAAAATAAAGGGGTAATGCTGACGAGGTGTGGACACGAGGCTCCGACGGAATGGCTTTTGGCAGAAACGCTCGTCTGGAGTCGCCAGAACGTCTTATGGAGGAGACACATATGAAACCCGGCCACGAGATCTTCACACCTAGCACTTGGTAGCTTCTGTTAGTGGTAGCCGCCGTCATCTAGAGCCGTTTGTATTGTGGACGGCTGGCCCAGAAATTTGTGGGAGAAAAGCAGCGTTCTTCGACAGGGGAAAGGGAGGTAGTCAAAGCGATGGAGGAGTTTGATTGCGTTTGCGCTCGGCTCTTCAAAGGAGGGTGGACTCTGATGATGGTGCGATGGGGAAAATTGATAGCTTTTCTGCTAGAGAAGGGTCGGCCAGAGGTCTTTCAATTTCAGAGTTCAACGTCTCGTGGTCGAGTGCCCTCTTTCGAGTGTTTCTGTAAGTCTCGCGGCAATTGATAAAACCCGTCCACAGATCGTGTTTGTTTTGCACCGAGAGCATACTCCGTTGTGTCAAGCATGGACATGTAGTTGATAGGTGGTGGGCACAGGCAGATGAGAGGAGAGGAAGCAAGCAGGGATTGGTAGAAGCCGCTAATTGGGTAGTCGGACGAGGATTGAGGAGGGTCTTGTCGCTATCCGGCTGTCAACTTTGGCTCTGTTGCAGTTTAATCTTTCTCTCCATGCAGCCTGGAGAGTGTATGGTCCAAGTGTGCCTGCTAGAGGCTTAGAAGTGGGCAGCCCTGCTAGTTTTCTTCCTCCAAACTCGCTTCTCCTAATTTCTTTGTGCCCATCCAAAACACATCCATTCAACACTCATCTTTCGAATTCATCTTTCTCTTTCCATCTCGATACCCTAGCTGTTGCATGCCTTGTTCGCTTGCAACAACGGACGTCCCTTCCATCTACGTCGTCTTATCGACCCGTCTATCCTTGATCATGTTTCGCTGAACGACCACAATCGCATCTGTCCAAATTTCTCCCTCTTGTCCTGCTCGACTCGACTCGACTCATTGATCTTTCCAGATCACTCGTCTACCAGCGCCTCGCCGTCCCCAGACCGATACGAACACGATTAGATCGTCGAACTTCGTTCAGATCCAGCTTTTACGACCCAGTATCTCTGCTAAGTCCTTTTTGCGACGACTTACCTCTTAATCTCCACGAAACCTTTTACTCCTCTCGACCTCGAACCTCTCGATCGCCCTGAAATCCTTGAACCCAGAGCTCGATCAGCAAGTTACCTTGGTGTTTACTTTTTGTGAGCTCCAAAATAGCCTTTTGCGGGCTTGCAAGACAAGCCAGGCATTATCGCTGTGGATTTGGTTGAAAAGCAAAAATTTTCTCACGAGTCCAACACATCAAGATGGCAACGTTTTCGAATCCCTCCGAGGCATTCTATGACGATCTGTCAAGCACTTCTCCAAGAGCGTTTCGCAATCCACAGCTGAATCGACAGATGGGACGGAACGATGGTTATGGAGGTATCAATCCGCCCATGTTCGGGAACGAGGGTCCTGTGCCATCGATGCGCTTAGAGAACATGAGAGACAATTTCGGCGCACCCATGCAAAACCCAGGTGCTGGAAACGTGCACTTCCCCTATGATGCAGGGGCAGCGCAGACATGGAACTCGAGCGGTCCTTCGTTGCAAAACTTTGGCAACGGAATGGGTACTCTTCCCCCAAACCAAAACTACGGACCGTCGCGCAGTGTCAAACCCAGCCGAGGTCGTGCAGCCATATCAAACGTAAGTAATCGATCGCTTGAAAGTCAACGGAAGACTGACTTGCTGTCACAGTTGTGGTTTGACCAACCTGCTCAGCTTCAACAGTCCCAACAACATTCTCTTGTTGGCCCGCGAGCTGGACCTCAAGGCCGTAACGACCCTAACGAAGACGACGACGAATTGATACCGACAGCCATTGTAATCAAGAATATTCCCTTTGCCGTCAAGAAAGAGCAGCTTGTTCAATTAATGGTCGATATGAACTTGCCACTTCCGTACGCGTTCAACTACCACTTCGATAACGGCGTATTCCGTGGTCTTGCTTTTGCCAACTTCACCTCGCCTCAAGAGACTGAACAGGTCATCCAAGCCCTCAATCACATGGATCTCAGTGGGCGCAAGCTGAGAGTTGAGTACAAGAAGATGCTTCCTCTTGCTGAGCGAGAGCGGATCGAGAGAGAGAAACGAGAGCGCCGTGGTCAATTGGAAGAACAACATCGACCAGTGCCACAGACACAGCTTCACAATCAAATCTCTATGTCATCGATGCCCAGAAACACGCCGTCTCCAATGTCCCATCGCGGAGGCAAACCTGGTCAGTTTTCCTCGTCACAAGCAACAGGAGACGTCCTAACAAATGTCACAGACATTGACATGAACGACCCTAAGACTCTGGAATTCTATACCGACATGACACTTTTCAAAAGAGACGTCAGCCGCGAAGTTCTTATCTTTCCACCTACCTTGGAACCCCATCATCGTCGCATTGTCCACACTCTTGCTCACCATATGGGTCTCATGCATACCTCTCGTGGTAGCGGCGACCAGCGACAAGTCCACATCCATCGGGCTGCACCAGGCACCAACGTCAGTCCGCCCCTGCCAGGGCATTTTGGTGGCCCTGAAGGACTTCGTCAGACGCTTGGACGCTCTTCTACCGCCGATTTTGCCGAAGGCAGACAGTACGAAGGCCCAGTCTTCAACACTCTCCGCGGTCAGTCCTCCGTCGGGCTCTTGGATGTGGATTCGAACGCCTACAACAGGGTTGCCGACAACAACCTCCGAAATGCGAAGTCATTCGCAGATTTGCGATCCTGGAGCCCTTCCCCTGTTCCTTCATCCGCAAGCTTCCCAGCCGCTCTGCAGACCAACGGGGCACGCCTTCAGGGTTTGAATGATACAGCAGGTTCCAACACACCTGTCTTGCCACCAAGTGCCTCTAACCCCGGCCCCAACCGAGACGAGCCTTTCCTAATCTCCGCGTTTAACAATATGTCGGTTAGCAATGGTGGAAACCAAACAAGCCCTCGACGTCAACGAAGCTTCTTTGGCAATGGACCGGAATGGAATGACAACCAGACCTATCAAGCAACCGCCCCTATCGGGAGCAAGCGAACAGTCAGTATTGGTCCGGAGGCCACATCCCAGACAGCCAATCCAATGCGCCAATCAAGAGGACCAGGTGCCAATAACACCGTTGGATTTCGGCGCCAAAATGGACGTGGCAGTGACGAATTGAGAGCGGCCGCATCAGCGATCGCCGAATGAACGAGACATACCCCCATATACCCCCTATGATGATGCTCTTTACCGAGCGAATGAACGAGTCAATGATCCACGAATGACACGACCATCCTCCGACCTGGAAACAAAAAAGTTAGACGCATAGGGCAGCCGCACGACTGCATGATTGGACTACAGAAAAAGATTGTTGTAACGACTCGACAAGGTTCATGGTGCCGTACTACAGCATTTTTATTTCACGAAAAACGCCGAGAAGAATGATGGATCTGATTTGTACACTTTTTGACTTGCGCGTCTTCTGAGACGGCAGTGTGTATGCATGTTATGGGCGTTGATACTGGGGTTCTCTCCAAGCTAGAGATGATATGCCTTGGTTGCTTACTACTCGCTGTGTATTTGGTTTGATACGAAGGAGCTAGTCTCCCCGATCCTGCTTTGTGTCTGGGTATTGAGGTTGATGTATGAGAAACACTCGTTTTAATTACCTTGGCAGTGACCCTTCAGGATCCTGCCCATAATATTGAATGGTTGCACTGAATCTAATGGCTTGTGTATGTCTCAATGGGTGTACTTCCGTAAATGGCGTCTATACAACGAGACAGCATCTCCCTTGCTACATAAGCCACCTGGCGAGCTGGTTGCTGGTAGATGGTGTGATTACGTAAGGACAATGCCAAGGCTGGGAATATCTTGCCTGAGGCTGGTTCAACTCAGCTTGACCCCTATCCTTCCTCTCTCAAAGAGTCTGGGAATGCCATCCATGCCAAAGCAGATATTGGACCCTGCGCTGATGATGACTGATATGTCGTTGTGTCAAAATAGAGGTCTGTATCCTGTATCACCTTGGGAATGCACAGACACGCAATGCCCTCGCTGACTGGGTCGGCCCTGTTTTCATGTCAACAGTAAACTTTCACCACACATCAGTGTCCTTCCACGGAGAGGTAAGCACAGTGGCACTCTGCTAAACAGTTACAGGGGCACCACCCTCTACTGGATCTGGCACAGTGCCAGCCGTCCTCAACCTGAGGTTGCCCGCCGTTGATGTGGCCAGATGCCAAGCGAGCCGTAACCCATCACATGACCAACTCAGACTAGCGTGTTATTTGAATGTGTCGCTATTCATCAGTCATTTCCCTGCCACCCACCTTTCGTTCCTCACGAACCATTCTTTATCAACACCACTCCGACGCGTCCCGAATAATCCATCCATTTCATCACAACACAACTTTGGTCGTGTCTTCTGACAAACGTTCAACACTTACTCAATCACATCTCTTACAATGGCAGGAGGCAAGGGCAAGAGCGTTGGCGGAAAAGCCACAGGCGCAAAGGATTCCAGCAACAAGAGTCAGAAGTCGCATAGTGCAAAGGCTGGCTTGCAGGTGAGCACACCCTGCTTTAACACTGTCCATCACACATTTCGTGCGCGCGCATCATAGGGACGTGGTCACAGATGGTTTCGCACCGGCAAGGGGCGAAGCAATTAGCTACAACTCGACCGTGTGGTCGTCCAGGCAGCAACGGGCACTGCTGAGCTGCCTTGTTGTGGGATTGATTGCGAATCATGTTGCGCAATTGTTTTGGGTGCGAAAAAATGGAACTAACGCGTCATCTACCAGTTCCCATGCGGTCGAGTCAAGCGCTTTCTCAAGAACAATACACAAAATAAGATGCGAGTTGGTGCTAAAGGTAAGACCTGCGCACATTTTCTGACCCTGGTGGCAAACGCTGATATCTCCCGCAGCTGCCGTCTATGTCACTGCCGTCCTAGAATACCTTACTGCCGAAGTCCTCGAACTCGCAGGCAACGCCGCCAAGGATCTCAAGGTCAAGCGTATCACTCCTCGGCATCTTCAACTCGCCATCCGTGGTGATGAAGAATTGGACACCCTCATCCGTGCCACAATCGCGTTTGGTGGTGTCCTCCCGCACATCAACAGAGCTCTACTCTTGAAGGTCGAACAAAAGAAGAAGAGCAAGGCTGAGTAAAGTGGGCTGGAATAGACATCAAACGAGTCGAATCTTCGGCGTCTACTGGGCATTCTGTGGTCAGGCTGGACTTGTGGCGTTGCAGGCTTGGGGAAACATTGAGACGAGTGTATGATGACGGTGCTTTGCAAAGAATAAGAAGAACGGTATCCCAGGAGGTCATCATTGCATGTGTGTTTTTATTGCCTTTTTTTTCCCGGTTTCTGAGAGACTATCCGGCTTTTGCTTGAATTGAGGTTGGATCACACACAGACAGAATACCCTCTCTCCGTTAGCTTTCCATATGAACCTGTTCTGATTTCATCATAGGGCTTTCTTGCTCATTGTTTTGTTGTTCTAGGCAGCAGTGGCTCACTTTTCTGCTGTCGCCTACTGAGCGGCATTTCCATTCGGTCGCTTGCATGAACTCGTGTTACCACCATTGTGTCGATGGACCCAATGGCTATCTCCTTGTCCTAGATCACCACGCGCCAGCCATTTTGACTCAATCAGGGGGCATATGAAGTCTGCCTTCTGAGGTAACTGCCGTGCTCCGCGTCGCAAATTTTGTCAGGCACCTGATGTCCTCCCTGGAATGTGGGTGCATTGGAGCTCTTATTCCTGCCGTTCAGCCTCGAGCATTAGCTGGGCTCAGTCATGTTGGACGGTGCTACATGTCCAATGTCCAGTGGCACTTTTCTCCGGACGAGAGTGTCGGTTCTCCAGACGATGTCCTTCACCGCTGGTTGTGCGCCTCGAGTTCAAGTGGAAGGAGAATGAGCCTCGCGGGGGAGAAGGAGTGGCCTTGGTGTGACGGTTCGGGGGTATTATGTCCTCCCGGAAGTCGAGTTCACTGTGGTAGGGCATTGAGACGAGGCGAGGAGTTGCACGGCGAGTGGAATGAGTGCCGGAGATCGTCCGTACATCCGGGTGGAAGGCTTTCGTGGTCTCGCTGCTGGCCCTTTGTCAGAGGGTATCTGGGTATTACGGATGGCTTTCACCGGTCACCACCAGAAGGTGGCCTCCAAGGTGTTCGGCCTTCTCTACAGCAGGCGTTTCTAGGCCGGGAGTCAGACGGTAAAGGATTCAAAGCAGACCTTGTTGGTCACTGGTCCTTTAGGGGGCGGGCCGGACGATAGAGTAAGTATGTCGTATGTCCTGGCCGGATACGCGTGAGTAGAACAATGACCGAACAAACCTCCATGCTTACTATTTTAGGGATTGTTGATGTGTACGACCAAGGGCTGCTAGGATTGCAGGGGCAGCGGGCCCATATTGCTGTTGACAGATCAGGTCTTGTCCAAGGTGAGTCGGTGAGTCGGCACAAGAAAGTAATGGGCAGTGTCGGGCGCTGGACGCTGCAGAGGTTCGTGTCACAGTCGACGTTCTCTTTTGCGCGCTCCGTCGTCCTTCGCCATGCTGCCAGAGCCTCATTGCGGTTGCCCTGCCCACTGCAGGTCGAGTGTCTGGACCGTACGGAGTACCGCCCGTCGAATTGTGACATAATATAAATGCGACAGCCTGTCCCCTAGGAGTACGTATTGCGCTTGTTTACTCCGACTATCTGTGTTCGTATCGCTCCCTTTGTCCATCACCGCACAGCACATCATCGGGAGTCACTGAAGAGTGCCCAACGCTGCTCATCCTACGCGGGTCAAGTGGAACTTGGGGAGTCACTGAAGTCTGTGATGTGTCCAGCGCACAATCATTAATCCTGCATTTTAACACCCATCAAGACAAGTGTGGTGTCCAAAGGCGTTAGAGGCAAGCACAAACCAACATCGTCATCATCCGTTAAGCTAATCCGCAAGACAGAACGACAACGAACAACTTAACAGGCCCAGATTGGGAAGAATAATGTCGTCAAGCGACCAACACAGAGCTTGGATCGACCCCTCCGGCCACATCCACTGGTACACCACGACCGGCCACGGTCACCGCCACCGCCAAAACCACAGCAGTCGCAGAACTCGTGACGACAAGTACGAGTATGTGCGCGTGTATCCCGCCCGGAGACACTCGAACCCAAACTCCAAGGGCCATACGGTGCGCTTCCTCGGGAGCCCGAGAAGTGGTGGTTGGAGTTCGTCTTCATCATCGGGAAACGGTCGTGGTCGTGGTCGTGATCGTGACCGTGATCGCGGACGAAGTAGGGATCGAAGGTCAGCAACCACTACAACCCCGTCAAATCCAAACCCGTGTCATTCGTTTCCTACGTTGTCTCCTGCGGCCCTTGCCCTCTCACTGGGCGCTATGGCTTTTGTTGCCGGTATGTGTGGGAGGGCGAGCGGCAAGGCCAAAACCAAAGCCAAAGCCAACGCCAAGGGCAGGTCCGAGAGGTGTGTGTTGTGTTTCACTCGTTTTTCAGGACGTGAACTTATCGGCGAGCCGAGCCCCTTTGTGCTGACTTGTGTAGGGCGAGCAGGGACGAGCAGCGGCGAAAGGCCAAGTATCATCGCTATGCGGATCGAAATCCAAACCGAAAACGAACGCGCATAAACGTGCACGGCCGGGAAGGCGACTATGTGTACTTCGATCTCGGTGACTGGGGGGTCCAAAGGCGGGTGAAAGCTTGCGAGCATGGGAAAATGCCGGCGCTCTGTGAGACGTGTGAGCGGAGGAAGTACGGGTTGTACGAGCGAGACTACGGTCCTCCTCGCAACAGTACTCAAGATGGTCACAAAAGAGGGAGGACTAGGAGTCGGAGTCGGTGTCGGAGTCGGAGTCGACCCAGTGGACGAGATAGGCGAAGAAGAAGAAGAGCGACATCATCTTCATGCTCATGCTCGACGTGCGATGAGACGGGCAGCTGCAGTACATGCAGCAGCGCGAGATCGGAAGCTCGAGAACGGCTGCGTGAGGTGCGCCGAAGAATCAGAGACACTGGAAGACAAAGACAAAGGGAACGAGAAAGAGAAGCGGCAGTGACAGAGGCAGAGGCAGAGTTCCCGGAAAACACGCAGATCCACATACGCGAGCCAGATGGTGAGGTGACTTACGTCAGGTACATTCGTGAAGATGAGGTCGATCCTGATGGAGGGTACGATTGGTATGACTATGACTATGACTATGACTATGACTATGACTACTACGACACCGGATACGATGACGGGTATGGCTATGACTACGGCTATGACTACGACTATGATTATGATTATGAATACCCATTCGGCAGGGCGGGAAGAACGGACAGAGAAAGAGAAAGGGATAGGGAGCGGCAACAGGCAGAGCAAGAAGAGGCAGAGGTCGAAGAATACAGGAGAAAGATGAAGGAACTGGCAAGGGATCAGAGGCAGGCGGCGGCAAATAGGGAGTGGTTGATCAGAAACTATGGGAGTTGACAAACGGCTTTGCGCACTTCTACTGTTAACAGGATAGAGTCGGGAGTGTGGGAAAAACGAATTCATAGATAGATTGATAGATCGATGGGTTGATAGACAGGATCTGTGATAAGAATGCATGATATAGTCGGGTGTTTGAGGGCTGCGATCAAGCAAGTGCATGACTTGAGAATGATTCGTCGTCTAGCACGCGTACATAGGCCCTGTGGTCTGCACGGTACCTGATCTCTCCTTATGAGAAGCCACTTCATGGAGCCTCGGCCGGCAGAAGAGCCTTACCCGGCGTCTCACAGAGTAGTGTTCCTCGCAGGCTCCTCTTCCCACTCTGAAATGGGCAAGATGATGATGGACAGGCGACTGATATGTTCATTTCGTGTCAAAGGGAGAAGAATTTGCGTCCTAGGAAGGGACTCTCCAATGTGAGGAGCTGCGTTTGCGCGCAAGCCCAGTTTCTCCTGTCGCATGACCTTTGTCGACTATTCATCGCGAGCAATCCGTCTGAATCCGATTGGGAAACATCCAAAGGGCGCTTTGCCATTCCATAGCTTGGAAAGGAACGAACCCAGGCTCGAGGCGAGTCGTATCAAGCCGCTTTTCAGGGTGCAATTGCTCATGCACGTTCACACCTTTTACACATCCATAACAGTCGTTATTCATGACAAACTTCTGCCTCATCCCGTCAAATTGTCTTCCTTGATTTCTTTCGACTTTTGTAATCACCGTCTTCTCTGCGTCTTTTCTGCCCGGAACCAGCCTGATTTCCGGTATAAGGTTGATATGGACTCTTTCCACCTCCAGCAGGATTTGCTCTGGGTGCTGTCGACGTCATATTTCGATGCTTCGCCTCAATGGCTTTTCGCACCTGGCGCATCTCTTCGTCCGAATCAGCGCCTGTCGAATGGTTCTTCTTGCGTTTCCCTGACGGTGTTCGATGATTGGACAGATCAGGCCCATCTGAATCTGAGTGGTCTGACGGAGAATCTATGCTCTCATCGTTTGGCCGAGGTCTGGACTTGCGCTTCTGCTTGAACGAGCCATATGTCTGGCGTCCAGACGGTTGATTGTTCCAGATGTCTTCCTCCTCGGTATCTGTCCCTTCACCAGGTTCTTCGGCGAGCCCATTAAAACATGATCCTTGCGAGGTTTTGCCGTTGGCTTCCGACCGTGCTCTCGTCTTTAAGGAGTTCTCAAACGTTGTTTTCAGATCGAGTACCCATTCCGTGTCTGCGCCTGCACCACGATTAAATGTGCTCGTTCCACCTCTTGATAGTCCAAAGGTTGTGCTGGGAGAATGCTCCTCAACGGGCGTATAAGGCGTTCCCGGGGTTGATGTGGATGGAGGCGATGCTTGGATCTCAACTCGTCGGCGCTTCGCAAAGGGTTCAGTCGCTGGTGTAGCTGTTGTCGATGCTGCTGGTGTAGATGTGGTTGAGGCTGCTGCTCGTCGCATAAACTATGTAGATCGAGAGTGATTTTTAGTGTCCGTTTCCTGCGACATGACCGTCGCGGGTCTCGGCGAGACTTACTTTCATGTTCAGAAGGCGAGAAGACATTGACTTCGCAGCCTCCTGCGGCTGCGCGCTTGGAGTGCTGAAACCTGCCATGGTGATGTGTCGATTGCAAGTTCTACGAAAGAATGAAGGGGAAAATGCAGATGCTAGATAACTCGTCGTCAGTCTTGGAGATGAAGACGACTTCTACCAAGTCGTAGTATTGTCTGGCTTGGAGGTATGCCGGGTGTCCCGCAACAACATCAAGAGCAGGTCCGACGACCCATTGTGTCAGGTTCTCCCCGGATTTAGAACCGATCGTACGGATATTGAGGGAAGACACGCTATGCAAGGCTGATAAACATGGATCTGGGAAAATTGTCGATGCGCGGAGAAGGGTCAGGGTCCGGTAAAAATTTCCTTAGGTAAGTCAACAGTAAGGCAAGGCTCGTGAGGCTGACTGCACTGGATAATCCTTTTACCGCTGGGCAGACCACATTTAATTTCTCACTTGACCAAGCTGGAGCTCGCGATTGTCACTATCTTTTTTCTCGATCTTTTTTTCCGAGTCATAATGGAGACACGAGATAAGAAGCGGCGGCTGTTAGCCCGCGGAAGGGAGACATGATGGAGACTTCCACAAAGGCAGAAAAGATAAAATTTTAAGATCTGAATACCTATAATGTACTTATCAATGGATGGGTGTCTGAGGTAAGAGAGATAAATCTCCTATGCCTTATCTTTGACACTTTGTCATCGTCACACCGTCATACTACGACATCATCGCCCGCAACAACCCATAAGAGAGATGGACACTCCTCTATCAACCGATGAACATTACGCCATGGAGCCCGGGAAAGAGCTGTCACTTGGGAGTCTACCTTGGTCAACAAGGTTGCGATTGCGCTTGACTTCCGACATCGATACAAGATGGGCGGACACGATACTTCTGGCGTGCTTCTTCACGACCGGCATGGTGGACTCGATTGCATTCAATACGTGGAGTTGTTTCGTTGGCATGCAAACAGGTAATTGGCTCTGGTTTCAAATCTTTCATGCTCAACTAACCATTTCCTATAGGAAACACCATCTTCGCAGGCCTCGGAGTCAGTGATTTACCCGCCAACGTGCCTCAACATACATGGACGAAATCATTAATCGCCATATTGTCATTTTGTCTCGGCGCGTTTTGTTTCTCTCGGTATCATCGATATCTCGGCCCACTCAAGCGATGGGTGATAATGTCATCTTTTTTCATCCAAACGTCTTTGATGATCGTGACCGCGTCACTGATCTCTGGCGACTTGGTTGCCAAAACGGAGGAAACAACGACAGCTGATGGACGAGGGAACTTTCCCTGGCACGAGCTTTGTCCAATTGCTCTTCTGGCTTTTCAGAGCGCTGGGCAAATCGTTGCAAGCCGGATGCTCAAATATAATGCATTGCCGACCGTGGTATTAACAAGCTTGTTTTGTGACTTGATGAGTGACCCAGACCTGTTCACAGCTGGATTGCTTCAGGATCCCGATCGAAACAGGAGAGCACTCGGGGCAGTTTTCTTGTTTGCTGGAGCGACTGTATCTGGTGCTCTGATGAAGACCTCTGTTGGCTATTCTGGTGCCCTATGGATTGCGACGGGGGTAAAAGGTGGCATGGCATTAGCATGGTTGGTTTGGAGATCCAAAAAGCCACAAGCGCAATAACAACGCAGAATTATATGAGGACGTGATTGCAGTATTGAGAGCGGATATCCTACCGCTTCTCTCCCTGGATGGTTGCTACAACTTTCCTTGTATGCTTTGATGCCCGAAATTCCAAATACCAGATTCCTTGCCACGTCCCTGTGTTTAACGTGCCAGCGGTGATAGGTATCGTCACACTGGCGCCAACCAAGGCTGATTTGATGTGAGCCTGAACCTCGTCAGTGTCGGTTCTTCAGCTGTCCTATTAGAGTATGCGTACTGGCATGTCATCCAATCCTTCTGCGGAGTGTCTGTACAGATTGCCCTTTCTGTCTTCTGGAGCAATTCTGTCCAATGCATCGCTCATGTCCTCCCTTACATCGCTGTCCCAATTCTCGTTCAATGAAAGCGCGCATGATGTGTGCTGGATGAATAGATTGAGGATGCCGACTTTGTAGTCCTTGAGCTCGGGAAGAGAGGACACAACATGGTCGGTGACCAAGTAAGAGCCTCGTGATCTTTGGGGCAGTGTGAAAGTCTTCTGGAACCACGATGTAGTCATGTTGTTGAGAGAATTGTAAGGAACACAACCGGGCGGGCAATTGAGGATCGGGAGGGCTGATGGTTTAGTAGTCGATGTCGTCAGGCGTAGTGCGCAAAGTGGGAGGCCGAGGAGGAACTGTGGAAGACCTGGGAAGAAGGCGAGACAGAGTATGAAGACACAGGCTACAGTAAAGTAGTTTGATTGTGTTATGGTGGTGGAAGGCATATCAAAAGTTGATGGTATTTCCGCAGGCACCCAGGCAGGTAGAGCGGGATCCTCCATAGACTCACAAATACGTCATAACAGTCGGAGTGGTAGGGAGGACTGTATTTACCATTTGCGTATTTATCTTCCATCTCCTCCACACCACCCAACGCTACCCTTAGTCCTTCTTACGGATCTCTTCTCTCGGCTTCGAGAACGACCACTATTCTCGACGCGGTGTTCAGTGTTCACTGCTCCGCAACCACTTCAATCTCCACCAGAGCTCCTTCCTTTGCCAGAGATGTCACCTGTGCAACTGTGTTAGTATATGACTGAGCACTCGAGGAACTGCGCTCGTGTTGCAGCAGATGCGTACACCTGTCAGGGATACATACTCCGATCAGTGTGGAAACAGGATATGGCTCGTCGAAGTATCTGCACGATTGTCAGCTACTACCTCCGTGCATCACTCATCAGGACTGGACCTACTTATCCCACATAGCAATCACCTTCCTATAATCCTCCATGGGGATGATATAGATTCTTCTCGTGAGGATATTGTCAAAGGTCAATCCACAGGCTTCGAGGCAGGCTTTGATATTGAGGATGGCGCGCTCCTGTTTCCGGAAATCTAATAAGTATACATCCTACGAACGCCCAAGCTTCTGGATTTGAATGCCGTAGTCGTCTGAGCAAACGGACACCTACTGTTTGCGCTTCAATTCCTCCGGAAACGATTGCTCCCGTCTCAGGATCATCCCCCATCCAGCCTGCCAGGTATACCATGCCGCTTTTTGACTTGACAACATGACTGTATTTGCCATTCGGTTTGGGAGCATTAGGTGCCCAGACTGCTTCGCGAGTGTAAGGCATAGTAGCGCCGAATCTTTCCTGACTAGATAAGTATAAGAGCACTACTATTCTTGACCCTAGTAGCTTTTGTGAACCTAGGAAGCAAGGATCAAATTGTACCGCCTCAAGCTATATGTGGCTTCGTGTTTCTGGGCCGACGGAGGACGCCGATTCCAGCGGACTTAAGCGAATACCGTGTAAAGAAGAATTGGCCCTTTGTAGTCGGTAGGTACGGAGACTCGTATCGTCCAATTCACGTACTAAAATCCCCTCAAAACAGCCTTGGATTGCTCAATGTAGTGCAATGATGGAATTGAAGGATTGGACCATCTCAATAGTAGATAACGTCAGAACCAGTCAATCGGACCAAGTGATATCACCAGTATCATCTTGTTTTCCAGCTTCGATGTCACGAATTTGTCTGATCACTTGCGATGATATCCGGATGTTCTAAGTCATGGTCACGATTAAAAGGGCTCTGGGGCCTGAACCAATGACCTCGGCCACAAGGTCAGAAGATTCTGCTGTGTCCTCGGCGACGGTATGGCGTGTAATCGGATCGTTGGCATGGCAGTGCGGTCAAGGATTGAGTCTGCTACTTCAGACGTGCGTGGTCTTCAGATGCTGATGAGGCCGGGCCGGATTGTGTCCCTGTTTGTTGACCAGGGGAACTCAACTGGTTTGAGCGAAGATCAGTGACTTTTGATGAACATTAGTAGTGCCATGACCATAATACGCTGCGTGCGATTGGCCATTTCTTGTTGACGCACACCTCGTTGATCTTGCAATTGAAAATGCAGTGGATAGGGAAATGCTGTAGATATCGGCTTCTGAGCATTAGCCCGTTAGTTGGCCCCGTAGATGATTAATAGATCAAATACAACATGGTGAAAGCAGAAATTCATGACCAGATGCATGTCCGTTTGCATTTGACTTGATGAATTGACTCCGCAATATATACAATTCTCTTCACATCCTGATCATCTCTGTTCGAATGCCGTGTCGCCCACAGACTCGGCCAGATGCTCACCCCTCATTTGCGGATATTGACCCTGGATCTCGCCTTTTTGGCTAGGTGTTGCTGGCATTTCAACCTCCATCGGATCGCCAGTTGGTGCCAATGGGTAAGATGTTTGTGGTAGCGATTCAAGGTATTTCTTGTGTTCCGTCTTGGCCTGTACTTCATGAGTATTTTCTTCCCTAAAACATCTTGCAGAGGGCAATCTCACATAAGGCAGGCCGCAATACGTGCACCAACACACCTGCGGCTTGTCTACGTTGATGTAGATCTTCGGGTGTCCCAACGGACCGCCACCGCCGTCACAAGCGACTCGTTTATCGTTCACCCATCGCACAGGTTGTTTGTGGATAAGCTCGATCGCGGCTAACGGTGCGGGCTAGAACAATCTCTCAGCACAAACATTCCGCATAGGGTCCAATCTTGCTTACCTGAGCCTCTATAATCGTCTGTTCAAACCTCGGTCCTGTCATTGCGAGCTCTCTGGGCATTTGGTTTCGTGACCAGGGCTTTGCTCTGTTCGGTGCTTGTAGGGTCCTGCGTTTCTCGGCTTCGGGTACCATCTCTTGCAAGGGAGCATCTCGGTTGCCCATCGCGTCGGTGGGAGTTTCGTGGGTCTTGGAGACATTGGGTGTGAGTGATCGTGGGTTGGGGTCGTTGGCTTGTTGGAAGTTCTCGCCGGCGCCGGGCCCCTGGCGCAGGGAGCGGAGTGAGGTTGATAAAGGTCGTGAAGATGTGCGGGCGAGAAACTCTGGGAGTCGCCTCCGCATGGAGGGGACTAGGGAGGCCATGCTGAGCGACGTATTGGCCAGCAGTGAGATAGCAGGTGTTGGTGGTTGAAGCAAACGGAGGTGATTGAGCTCAGGAAAGCAGCCACGCAGCCAATCGGAGAAGCTGCAAGTCAAAGGCTTGGCACTGAACGTACGGTGGATACTTTGACGTCGTCACGCAAAAACGATGGCCACAAGGACCTTTCGACTTGCTAGCCAGCCAACTAGCCACCTTTACTGCCAATGTTTCATGGCAACGCCCTTGCTTCGTTACCAACTCTGGGATGATCGGCATCGGTTCGCGGGGTACGAACAAAGAAGACTTTCTGTGCGTGCTCTACGGCGCGGACCTCCCCTTCATCTTCAGGCCGAAGGATAAGGGATACAAGCTCATTGACGAAAGCTACGTCCCAGATGTTATGCAGGGAGAGATCATTGAAATGCTTGCTGACCGCAGCAACGAGCTCCACGAGACCTGGATTGAGTTGATATGAACAACAAACCAATGTCCCTATGACAACGCTTGATCCTCCACAGGCTTTTGCTCCGAACGTCTCTTACTCCGGTTCTTGCTGTGGGTACTAGCAATGGTGTTTGAGGACTTTCTACGGTCCAAATATGACATAGCGCATCATCCCGAAAGCGTTTCCAAGCAACGTGAATACAGTCCGAGGTGTTGGATTTTCAAGGATGATATCCGGGAACCTCTCTTCGACAAAGACAGCATGCAGCACCTCTTTTGTCAATATTCCGCCTGTCTGAGCTGTATTCATGACACCGACTGACTGGAGTACTCGCACAAACCATAAATTCAAGGGCAGTCTGGGCGCTCCAGCGGCGCGAGACTCTTTGTCCCGACGAATGAATGTCTTGGCCAAGGATCGCAAAGTAACCGGGTGGCCTTCCGCATCATCAATCATCGCCTGCAGCATGTCCTCTTGCAGTGTGTAGTTGTCACCCTGATGAAAGTCAAGACGAGTGAAAGAGGAGTCATCTGCAGGTTGTCAGAAAAGTGTTCCCCTGACGATGGAAGGAAAGTTTCGTGTTTGAATCAAACAGTCTTTTCCGGTGGGCAATATACATACGTTCAATTACATTGTGGTGGCGGGTGTCGACCAAGTCAAATGTGCCATCTTTGCGGCATAATGGCGGGAGGCTCGAAACGAGAGAAGCAGCAGCAAGCCAGTCCATGTGCAAAGCTGTCATCTGCGCAACGTTAGAAGCGTGTCCGGGGCAAAGCAATTACGGAGAGCTAAAGGCTCATGCAATATGGGTACAACATCTCGAGAACAAGCACTGACCAGGGCATGCTGCACTTGTGGCAAGGTTATATGCTTTCCGTCGCGTGGTCTACCCGCATGTCAGTATAGCCTTTCTAGTCGATACAAAGTCTTGATGGTCGTTACAAATAGCCTTGGTTGGCAAGCGCGTTCAGGCCTGGACAGGGTCCTCGATTCTCGATGTTGCCTTTGATGTATGTGTGGTCGTCATTGATATTGCTTGGTGGTTGAGAATTGTTCTCATAGCCTCCAGTGAATAGCGTTTTCAGGATATTAGAGAGTGTAAGATACATGATGCAACAGTCGAGCGTTGAGGAAGTCTACAACACTTTCCTCGGAGCACGCACAAATCTGGAGAGGATGATAAAGACTTGCTCTTCGGAAATGCATTGAGGGAAGCCTGTTGCATCCCCGAATACAGCAGCCAGCCACACCGGTCGAGCCTGATTGTCAGCACGAAGTGTTACACGAGCTGATCCTTCACCCCCTGAAATGCGGGCTACACGAAGGTCCGGCCAACGACGATCAACCTGAGGAATCGACGAGCTGAAGGAAGCCTGCATGACAGCTGAATGCCTTGCCACAAGCGAACCAGTCAGCCTTATAAGCCTTCCATGATAGGCAGAATGCGGCTTGGCATGTGACTTCTGAAGCAGTCATCAACATCGGCACCCTGGCAAGCATGCAGGCCGCAAGGCACCTTGTCCAACATGCTACTGTCCAGATCTTTTGGCGGCGTAGCTGAGAGGAGGCGGACATGTGCAATTCACCATTAGATGTTCTTAACTACTGGTCCCCCATTATCTTCTACCTTAGCACGTTCAGAAGAATACTTTTTGCAAGTCCCAGGCCTCTGCAATCATCATGGAAACAGAAATGAAACCCAGCTACAAGCCAGGACTCACTGAGCGGCTGTTGGTGAGTCTGTTCCACTTCATCAACAGACTCATTCCATGGCACAAACTGCCCAGCATCGTTGGTGCACTGAACCTAGACGCACTACGTGTCGAGCTCCGTCAGTACAACTTGCACGATGGCTACCCATCTGGTGCTGCTCAGGGAAATCATACCACGGACCCCATGACCGACCAGCGGTTCGAGTATGCACGGAACTCCGACGGCAAATTCAACTCGACTGAAATGCCACTCATGGGATGCACCGGCCAACGCTTCGGACGCAACTTTCCAAGGGGGCTAACCATCAAGCCGACCGAGGACGAGTTATGGAATCCAAACCCAAGAATGGTTAGTCTTGACGACAAGCGTTTGCTCAATGTAGCTGACTTTCAGTCCAGTTGAGTGAGCGATTCATGGCACGGAAATCTTTCGTTCCAGCCACGACATTGAACTTGCTTGCTGCAGCTTGGATTCAATTTCAGACGCACGATTGGTTCTTTCATGAAAGTGTATGTTGAACCTGATCAAGATAGGGTTGACATTCGACATGAGCTCATGCCTCACAGAGTGATGAGAATTACAATATTCCCTTACCCAAAGGAGACAAATGGCCACATGGCAAAATGGAGCTTCCTCGTACCAAACCGGATGAGGTCCTCAGCCAGACCGACGTACAATGTCCAGGCTACAAGAACATAAACACTGCATGGTGGGACAGCTCGCAGATTTACGGCTCTAATGAAGCGATGACAGAGTCCCTTCGCAACATGCACAGTGATGGTAAATTGACTCTTACCAAAGATGGTCGCGAGCAATTTCTTCCCCGTGACCCAGACGGGAACCCGCTCACAGGATTCAACAACAACTGGTGGATAGGAATGGAGATGCTGCATACTCTATTCGCATTAGAGCACAATGCGGTCTGCGACATGCTACGCCGCGCCTATCCCACTTGGACAGGTGATCAGATCTTCGATAAAGCAAGACTGGTCAATTGCGCTCTCATGGCCAAGATCCATACTGTCGAGTGGACACCAGCAATACTGGCTCATCCGACACTCAAGCTTGCCATGAATGCAAACTGGTGGGGACTGGTCGGCGAATCACTTACCAAGATGCTAGGCCGCATTTCAAAGACCAGCGAAATCATCAGTGGCATTCCCGGTTCGGGCGTGGACCAATCCGGTGTGCCGTACTCACTGACTGAAGAGTTTGAATCCGTATACAGGATGCATTCCCTGATCCCGGACGCAATCGCTTTCGTATGTTCCCCTGTCTCCCTTTGAAAAACTCGTTGAAGCACACGTCCTAAGCTTCATTCCTGTCCCCACGATACAGCGTTCTGACGTTTTGTAGTTCGATGCCAGAGATGGTGCACACATGTCCACTGTCCCAGTGGAAGAGATGCTGTTCAAGAATGCACAAGAACCTTTGGATAGAGGCCTTTCGTTCGCCGATGCTTTTTACTCGTTCGGGATCAATTACCCGGGTGCCATCACGAACTCGAACTACCCCAACTTCTTACGCAACTTGACCACGCCCGATGGCATACATCGAGATATGGGCACCGTCGACCTGCTGCGCGATCGTGAGCGTGGTGTGCCCCGATATAACCAGTTCCGTCGCCTCCTGCGCATGTCCGCGCCCAAGACATTCGAAGAACTGACGGGTGGTAACAAGGCTCTTGCCAGGGAATTATCGGATGCGTACAACGGCGATGTCGAGCTTGTTGACACCCTGGTCGGCTCTCATAGCGAGCCAATACCTGCGGGCTTTGGTTTCAGCGACACTGCCTTCCGCATTTTCATCCTCATGGCAAGTCGACGTTTGAAGAGTGACCGCTTCATCGCTGGCCAGTGGAATGCTGACACCTACACCAAAGAAGGCTTGGACTGGGTGCAGAACAATGGAATGAAAGATGTGCTGTCGAGACATTTTCCTGAGTTGAGGAGTGTCTTGAAGAGCAGCAAGAATCCTTTTGCGCCCTGGAATAAGATGCCAAAGTCGACGGTATATGATGGTATTGAGACGAATGCCCCGAAGTGACTGCAGTGAGTTACGTGGCAGATCCTTGGACAGAGGAGGTGCATTGTCTGACCAGGACGCCTGCGTCTTCGACGGATCTTGTCAGCGTTCGAACCCGTTGCACTCCTGGAGCGTTCAGAGGAGGCCTTCCGGGAAATACTGATTCAACTTTAGTTTCACGTGGTAACTCCATGCTTGCGTAAGTCTGTACCTCCACAAGCTACCATTTGGCATATAGTGTGTGTTGGAGGTGGCGTAGGCTTCGGGTTTCCATCGCTAGGCCTGAAGCTGAACGACACCCCAAATGAGTTACGGAGTCCCTTTTCCACCAAACAAGATGCTTACATCGACTGTGGGCCAGACAGCTGTGGATGTAATGATCTCGATCAAAATGTGCTAAGACTCAATGATCCCCTTTGTAGAAGCGAAGATCTCGTATTCGGATCAAGGTCCATTCATGCGCGGTAAAGACAACTATGGTTCACATGAACACCCCCTCGTCTCCAAGATGTTATCTGGTATATCTGCCAGTGGCGAGTCCAATGCCCCAGATAGACAGGATCGGAGACCTCGTTCTTCATTTTTGCAATGACAATGGCTCCTGATCAGCTCAGCCTTCAGGAACTCGCAGAGTCTATTACTCAGAATGCCAGACTGATCACGGATATGCTGAATGAGCGGCGACTTCCACAGCCCTCATTCGCCTCGGATTCTCCAGTGAAATTCCCAGAGGGAAATGGATCAGACAAAAGTAGGCTGCAAGAAGCGCGGATGAGTCTACTCACCTCCACTTTATCACTTGAACAGCTTGTCACAGGACCTCAAGACTTCATTATGTGGCAATCATTGACGGTAAGATGTGCCTCAAGTCCAGGATATCACAACGAGACTTCTCATCTTGCACAGGTAATGCATGATCTATTTGTTCTGCAAGCGCTGGAGCGATTCGGCGTCTTCAATGCTGTGCCAATTGACGGCGACATCTCGTACAACAATCTTGCGGCCGGAGTTCCTCTCAATGAGAGACAACTTCGACGAATAATCCGGCATGCCATGACGAAGAACATCTTCACCGAGCCTCGACCCGACCACGTCGCTCATAACGCCTTTTCGATTGCCCCCATCAAAAACCCGTTATTGCAAGCCTGGATCGGACATAACTTAGGGGAAATGCTGGTGGCATCAGCCCATCTAGGCGACGCCATTGCCAAATACGGTGACACTGAAGATATGACAGAAACAGGGATGTCCCTGGGGTTTCACCTAGAAGGAAAGAGCATATGGGAATGGTTCGTCGTGGATGATGACGAAGGTCGGCAAGAAAAAGGTTGGCGGACTCGCCGATTTGCCCAAGCAATGGAAGTCCGTGGAGGGCATGAATTGGTCCATATCCATAACGGATTCGACTGGGGGAGTCTTGGAGAGTCGAGAGTCGTTGATGTCAGTGTCACCCCAACTCAGTCCCTTGTCCGAGCAGTAAGAGAATGTTCATTAACCTGAAAGCAGCTGGGGGGATCATCGGGCCATGTGTCAATATCCCTGGCCCAGAAGTTTCCCTTATTAAAATTCGTTGTTCGAGACTTTGCGGAGTTACAAGAGCACTTCAATGAAGGTCTACCATCCGACCTCAGGTCACGAGTTAACTTTGAACCGGGGGACCTGTTTTTACCGCAGCGGGCACAAACAGCCGACGTGTTCTTCCTCCGACATATCCTGCATGACTGGCCCGACACGGCGGCCATCGAGATTCTGCGGAACATCATCAACACTCAGGATGAATTGCAGTCAAAGAGTTCTTGCACGATAGTAATGGTTCGGGTGAAGCACCAGAGCTCTAACGCAGTTCCAAGGCTTGGGCGTTGGGCCCTTCAAGCAATTTACAACTTAGTCCAAACGTCTAACGTGGCCATGCTTCATGACACAGGATGGGATGATCAGAAACCCTTATGGTCGAGGCCATGTTGTGGCTTGGACATCTACTTTGACGATCATGTTCAGCCGCATCAGCGTACTTGGGGCGGCCCCCTGCAAACGAGGCAAAACTCAACGAACACCATCCGATAGACTTTAGGCGTGCCATCTCTCTGCCTACTTGTACTACCTAGCAGGGGGTGAGGTGATGGTATTAACCAATACACCCTCAATCTCAGGGTGATGATAAGGTTCTCTCTGCTTTCACAATACAGAAGCAGCTATTAAGCTTTAGCGAGGTAAGAGATGAGGATTTGTGCCATGCATAACCTCTGAGTGCCCTCAGCCCAAACATATTGCCAGAAGGACTTACAAAGGGTCTTTGCTACCGCCATGGTCCGCAAGAACCTCTTCTCATCGACCTGGTCCGCCGTCCGGAAAGTACCGCAAAACCTGGGGCATGTTGCTCGACTTGCTTTGCGAAAAGTGAAGCTTCAGATTCTGCCCCAGTTGACGAAATGGAAGGCACAGAGTGAAGAGCCCAAAGTTGTGATTTACAAGAACCGCGGGATCGCAGTTTTCAGTGTTTTGGCTCATGCGGTGCCTTTTGCTGGTGTTTTGACGCTGCTGATTTTGAATATCAACACGTTCTTCATCGGCAACCTTTCAACCTCAGCGGTGACCGCCTTTCAGTTTGCAGCCAAACTGCTGGAGCTGCTCATGCAGGCTTCATTGGCAGATATTCTGCTATACGCGATCCGATGGCAAATTGTACGGAATCAAGATCTGCCACTGGGTGGATTATTAGTGGCACCTTTGCGGACTACTGACGTCTCATATCTCTGGTCTTTGGAGTTCTGGGGTTCTTTGACCTCGAAGAGCTGGCGCAGTTATCGCAAAGCATATTTGGGACTCTTGATATTTGCTACAGTCTTGCTCGCTGCTCTGGTGGGCCCCTCAGGGGCAGTCGCAATTGTCCCCCGTCAAATCACTCATTCCAACAGCCAATACCTAAATATCTTGAATCCTCACGACGACCTCTTTCCTGACACCGCCAGCTACCTGTAAGGGAGCCCTGAACCTCTCTCAAGATTTTGGTCGCTAACGCCGCTGATTGCAGAGACGATGGCGCCGCTTTCGAGCAAGGCATCACGCAAATGAGTGAATTCTATGGCCCAGGGCCACACCAGCTGCTTGACGCAAAGGGCATACGACTATTCGGAACGCCAGCTAACCTTGGCCTGCCCTGGTCTACAGCGACAATTCCTTCGCGCGACATGGCGTATGTTTTGCGTCAGCAAGCTGCAAACCTGGTAAAGGACTCAGGTTCGCCGTCCAATGTTCTGACAGTGCAGACCTATCAAGCTCTCGTTCAGGGCGCTTGTGACGGAAACTATCTGTACGACATGGAACATAACAAGACTTACCTATCTTTTCCTAGCTCTGATGCACAAGTGAACCAACTCGTCACATGGGGTGAAACTCTTGGGAATGTCACGGACAATGCCACGATCTTATTCTTCACTAATCTGGCTCCATCTGCTCCTTCGCGAAGTTCGACTCTCATGGTGCTTGGCACGACTGCACCTCTTGACCGAAGCTACGTTGCGACAGCTTCCGCTTGCATTATCGATGCAACCTGGACCAATGTCACGCTCAATGTGTCCGCGGCCGACAGCTACAATCAGGTCAAGTACGTCCTAGAGACGCACTACGACGGCGAAATTCCGCAAGCTCAGAAAATCAACTTCCCCAGGTCGTACACAGATCATGTTCGATCTACCATCTTAGCATCTCAGACTGCTCTCGACTTCCTGAACAACCAGGTTTCCCCAAAACAAATCTTCGCGTTGGCACTTTCGAACGCGGATTACGACTACGTCGAGTACTCTAGTCTTGTTCTCGAACGGGACAAGGTCGATCCCAACACCGAGGCTGTGCACACATACCTGGACCAAATCCATGCTTGGACTCGGTACTCGGCCATCTCGATAGACATTGACGACAACAATGCGTTATCAAACCCCGCTTCCCTCACCTATCAGGCCGTCTCCCAATTGAAGCAGGGGTACGGTTACAATGCTAAGGACATCACGGTACAGCTCTCGCTTGCAGTGCTCGGGATATTCTGCGTTTTCGTGGTGGCGCACGTGTTTGTACTTCTCCTCACAGGCTACTCGGGGAACAACTGGGACAGTATTAGCGAATTGCTGATGCTGGGCTTGATGAGTCGAAAGCCGGACCATCTAGGGCCTCATGCTGGTGTGGGACTGGAAACCTTGAAGACATTCCGTGAGCCTGTCAGTGTCAAGGTGAACGACGAGGGGCACGTTGAGTTGGTTTTCGAAAATGATACAGGCGGCAAATTGGGAAGGAGTGGCCTTGTACTGGTGAACAAGGCTTATTGATTGTAGAAGTAGACTGCCGGATCAGAGACGTTTTGCAGCTATACGAGCTCATGGCCGCAGATTAGCAAGCTGTTAAGATGATATTTCGTGCTCCGTAGTGCCCAGTGATACGAATAGCATGAGAGGAGGTGAGATGTGGGAGCAGACTGTTCCGGTCTGACATGTCTGACGAATATTTTATTGAGCTTGGCAGGTCCAAGGCAACGGCTGGGGACGCGGCAAGGCGGCTCACTCGCGTACTACCTTGGTAAGTAACTGGCAAGAGCATCTCCAATACTTTGGACCTTGCGCAAGAGTCCTGTATTCTACCTCAACTCTTTCGCAGCACATCACCTAAGCCTCTACCGTTTTGTCCATTTCAATCAGCTACTTGTGAGGCTACCTTGTGAAAGATGGCTTCAGGCTACGATCGCGCGCTTTCCGGTAAGTCAATCATCCAGCAGATGTCGGTCATCGCTAACTGTCGCAGTCTTCAGGTAACACACCCGCTCTATTGCACCAGCCCATGCTGACCCAGGTAGTCCGGATGGCCACGTCTTCCAGGTCGAATATGCCCTCGAAGCAGTCAAGAGAGGAACATGCGCAGTTGGTGTCAAGGGAAAGGACATCGTCGTACTAGGATGTGAAAAGAGATCTGCAATGAAGCTTCAAGACACCCGAATTACACCTTCGAAAATCGGACTTATCGACACACACGTCTGCCTGGCTTTCGCTGGCCTCAATGCCGATGCTCGGATACTGATCGACAAGGCAAGACTCGAAGCACAATCACACCGACTCACAGTGGAGGATCCTGTCACAATCGAGTACATCACGAAATATGTTGCTGGTGTGCAGCAAAGATACACTCAGAGTGGTGGTGTCAGACCCTTTGGCATTAGCACACTGATAATTGGTTTCGACAAGGGCGACAAAGAACCAAAGCTATACCAAACAGAGCCCTCGGGCATCTATTCCGCATGGTGGGCCACTCCCTGAAGCTCCGGCTGCGCAATGCTAATTGAGATGCAGGAAAGCCAATGCCATCGGGCGATCGAGCAAGACCGTGCGGGAGTTCCTCGAACGAAATCACAAAGACGATATGGATCGGGAAGCGACTATTTCATTGACTGTCAAATCCCTCCTTGAAGTCGTCCAAACCGGAGCGAAGAATATTGAGATTGCAATCATGGCTCCAGGAAAGACCATTGAAATGCTGCCCTCCGAACAGATCGAACAATACGTCAAGACAATTGAGGCCGAGAAGCAAGAAGAGCAGGCAAAGAAGAAGCCAGGCAGAGCAGCTGCTTCGGGCCCAGGTACATCAACTCTGCCCACAAGACCAGTCACGGAGGGTGAAGGATCAGGGGATACTTGATGAATAGACCTCCTTGATCCGTCCTTTGCATAAGCGCCAGGAGTTTAGGTGATAAAATGAATCAAAACAGGGTGACCATTGCCTGTCGTGTCTGGACATGCATTTCATCAAGCCGCCCCAAAATGCTTCTCAGGGGAAACCATCCAGCAGCAAGCCGTCGGTTTGCACTTCAGGCTCCTTTGCATTAATTCCTAAAATTGAAAAAGGTGTAGCATAGTCAGCCTCCCTCGTATCGTCTTTGGTTCAGACCAGGCGTGTCTCGGCATTTTTGACATCGAATATTGATTGTTGCTCGGGCTGTCGAACGCGCTCATCTTTGAGCATCCTACTGTTGCTTAATCACCCTGTCGCCTTTGAAAAAACGATCCCAACATACCTGGCGTCCATCCTCGTGTCCTCACTCTCGACTTTCAGTGCAGCCTTTGGCGTCAAAGCGTCTATGACGAAGTGGTTGTCGCAATTTGGGCAGTACTCGTCGCTACACAATGGACGGGTCAGTATAGCTGGACTGGGATGGGCTGAGTTGGGCCAACAGGGATCGTGGTCGTGATCATCTCCATCATGGATGATGGTCAATACGGAGTACATACCTCTCATCCCAATCCTGGGTGTTCTTTCGGAATGCTTTTCGGCATTTCTTGCATACGAACGTCTGTGGGGTACACAATAGTGAGTTATGATCAGCCGCGGATGCGTAGAGGAGAGAGACGAGGAAACAGTAGGGGAGGGTGCGATGCTTAAACGAGCAACAACGGAACAGAGCCTGGTGGATGTGGTGGTGATGGTGGCGGTCAGTTGCGGAAGGTAAAGCTTTTGTAGGGAATACAGTACCATATCGAAAGTCTGTAGTAAAGGGTGTGTTTCTTGCTCGGCGTGGCACTCTGCACAGTCGAACCATTTTTTGCCTGTATTCCGGTGGACGGGTCAGTCAGCGGGCGACGGCGATGGGCGACGACCCTGGCCACCCCCCGGTTTTTGGGTTTGGGCTGGGCTGGGCTGGGGGTCGTTTCGGGAAAGGTGAAGTGAAGAGAAGCGTACAGCATGGACTCCGTATAGATACTTGGGCGTTTAAGATGTGTTTGCTGTTCGAAATTTAGAAATTGATTTTTGCTGGCCCTATTCCAGTGTAGAAGGTTAAGAAGAGGTCAAGGCGAGCCTTGTCCAGGGGCGTTTTTAGGAGGAGGAGGGGTGGGAGGGAAAAAGGAGCGTACCACATATCTACTTCTTTGGAAGGATATATTCGGCGTTTCGATTTCAAAGGCGCGTCTTGGATTGGATAGAGGATGCTGGATACTGGTACGGGGTATGTTCAGGAATATGATACCCTACCGTAGCCTTTTGTCGCTGTCGAAGGTGCCAGGTAAGGATTGTGAGGCGATTACTCAACGGCATGAACAGCAAAACTCTGAGTCATGTCTCAAATCAGGTGATTGGTTCTTGAGTCGTGCAGTCAAGAGCTCCATCACTCGCATCCTTGAACTTTGAGCGGAGGTTTCTACATGACCCTTTCCTCTAAGCTTCTGACCATCCCAAACAAGTGTCGCAGATGTAGCCGCTCCTATCGATCCACGACGTCAAAGACACCAGGCTTCTAGCGAGCGGACGCGATGCGCAATGTACAGATGCGCGCTTTAAGGAGGGCGAATTGAAGATATGGAATTTACCTCCTTTCTTGAAGAACGTCTATGTGCATGCGCAGCTTGCGAGTGACGGGCCTTTGATGCTCCTCCTTTTCGACGGCCCAGCAGCGTCACCTTGGGCGTCGGTATCAGCAACTGCTCCTGACCAATGGTGCGCTATACGAGCATCAGGCTACCATAGTCCTTAGCCAATTCGCCCTCATCCCCCATCCGATGCACTGCTGAAACCATTTTGTCCCCACTCCACAGTCAACGAACGACCACTACTCCGGAGGAGGAACTTCTACCCCCAACCACGTGTAGAACGGATTCTTGCCGGTGTGGTATTTCCGCGTGAAGGGGACAATGTGAGAAATGCTGTCACTTGTGCAAGGCAACGGCGGGATGCTGGTCAAGAAGAGACGTGAAACTTCCTTGCCACGCTTGGCCAAGTCGTATTTGTCGTTGTTGAAGAAGATGTGCTTGACCGTGTCGTCGCGGAGAAGAATCTGAGGCTCATCAAACACTAGGTACTTGAGGTTGTCGAATGTCATCTGCTCGTTGTCGACCATGCTCTTCAGCATGCCCGGAGTCACGGAGACAACCGGGCATTCAGGGTGGACGGACCTAAACCGAGTCTTGACCTTGCAGCGACCACCCAGAATGAGCTCGGGCGCGATGCCTGTACCTTCGGTGTACTTGACGAGCAGGTCATGGTTCGCTTGGGCTATGTCTCGGGAGTGGCTGATGCGCAGCAGGCGTGGCTTCAGCTGAATCGTGCCTCCATTCAGATTCGGTGCCGGGCTTGCTGAAGCGTTTCCGGTCGAGGTCGATGCCGAGGTCGTTACAGACGGGCCACATGTCAGGATCCTGTCCACGAAGGCCAGAGTTGCCAGTGTCTTTCCTTGTTCTGAAATGCCTTGGAGCCACATGTCAACACCCTCGTCCGAGCTTCGTTGCTGCGCGAAGCGCCATGTTGCTAATGACAGACCGCTCAGTGTGAGCACACCTTGTGCGCTTATGGCTCTGGCCAGATCGCGGTTTCGAACAGCGGTGTGTACTCTAACGGTGAGCGGTCCTGTTGCTTTGTTGTTGCGAGCACTGCAATTGTGTCAGTGCGCTCTCAGCAGTGAGCGGGACTCCTGCTTACTTAGCGGCGATGATTCCCTTTTGACCTTTTGTGACCGCGCTCCGATAGGCAGTTATGGACTCCATGTCTAGTGACAATCCTTCAGGACAGGCATGGACTGCCTCACGATATTTTTATAGAGGTGGATTTTGTTCGAACTGCTCAGTGACAGAGAGGCGTCAAGAGGGAATGAAGGGAAGCCAGAAGACGATGTGACGAAAGGGAAGCAAGCTGATGTACTTTGATGAAGTGAAAAGCAAGTGAGCTTACATTGATCATGGCACGCTCAAGGATGTTCTACCATGGTCCTTAGAGACAGGTGCGTGGGCGACCATCAGCTTCAAACTATCACCACAGGTCACCAGTCCTCCTACCTCTCTCAGGATGCAACCACTCCATCGCACTTTTGAGATTTATCCATCCCAGGAACGGCCTCGAAAGACCATAGCCAATCTTCTCCTGCATCCACTCCGGCAGCTCCCGCACCTTCTCGACCGGGTTGATGAGATATTGATTCTCTTCCTGCCGGAGCCAACCCCTCGTCATGAACGTGCTGTACACCAGGCGTTCCTCCAGCTTAATCTCTCCATTCTCATCTGGTTGGTCTGTCTTGTTTGCACTGCCTCCATGGAAACAGCCGCTCAAGACCATGAACCCATCTCCAGGCTGGAGCTCAGCATAGAATGTTTGAGACTCTTGGGGCGGACCAGCGGCATAATCCCAGAGGTGTGAACCTGGGATGAACCGTGTCGCCCCATTGCGTTTGGTAGTCCTGCTGCCCGCCACGAAGAATCCGATTCCTGCATCACGGCCTAGTTCGTGCTTTGCCACTGCCGGGTGGTATACGTGGTGGATGGCGTCGTCTCGATGTAATGCCTGATCACGCGCGCCCGGGTTGATGCTGAAGACGATGGTATTATTCAGTTGAGGCGTCGAGACCGAGACTTCGTTCTTGTCTCCAATCTGTAATGGTAAGTGTCTCCTACAGCGGCCACAAGACTTCGCACACATACCCAGTTGTGCTTCAAAGTGCTCGATAACAAGGCGTCTGTCACTCCTGTCCAGAGCGGATGACCGAAGATACGGTCGGCAAATGTCCTCGACTTGGTGACCAGTCCAAAAGCTCTTCGCGTCTCTGCTGGGAAGAAGTCACCTAGAATCATGCTCATGTCAGCGACGTGCACTCCCCAGACGGCAGAGCACAGCGTAAGTCTTTTCGGACAGCATCATTGACGTTCTGCCCTTGATACCAAGGCACCGCTGGTGCGACTCCGCCGGTGCGACTCCGCCCGGAGCACACAGCCACTGGAAGTCACGGATAGACGTTGTCCCAATGGGATAACAATCAACGTCGAACGTACCGTCGCCCCACGCAGTATCCTTCTCCAACTCCGGCCGGATATCCTTCTCGAGACTTGCTAACTCGTCCTTGTTCAGCACATTCCGTATGACCAAGCCACCAGCGACTCTTAGAGCATCCACCAACTCATCCACCGTCGCAGTCGCCGCGTCAAAAGTCTTGACCTCGGGCAAAGGCGAGGCTGGAGATTTCAATTCCTCTCTTGTGCTCACGCTGTTTGTAGTGGCGATTGATTTGGCAACCGGGACTGGAACTTCAACAGCTGAAGGAGCCATTTTTCTCGATGTTAAATCACGAAAAGTCTAGGATGCAGAAGAATACAAAAACGAAAGATAGGCCGGAACTGATATGATAACGCAGCACAGATGTGAGGCGAGTTCAGGTGTATCATAGAAGAGGCATCGATTCAGCCAAGCTGTCGAGTGTTACAACGACTGAACCTGCCCTCTGGCACCACATCTCTCCTACCTAATTGGTGTCAAGCTTCTCCTTTCGCAAGGAACAGGCCAGGCCGTAGAACTTCGCCAACGGCGCACCACATCGGGCGGCAGAGGTACAGCTTCTTGACCTGACAAATGAGATAGGGAGATTCGAGCAAGGCGACGAAATCGACTGTATTGGGAAAGAGAGGCTTATCAGCGAGTAGGATGCGGGGAAGAGCAGTTGTCGGCTGAAGAGAGCTTGACGCGAAGGTCTTGGGCTGGCTTGGCTCAGTGAGGGCCGCAAAGGGAAAGAGAGATGCGCAAATTGAAGGTCTGACTGGTCGTTCCATCTAGTGAATTGCTGGAAATCCTCGACATCGCGGCCTGGTTGGCTGTCGACCCAAGGCCTACAAGCTGGCTGCCTGAGCAAGTTCGGGACACAGCGATACGGTTCAGCAGACAGATACTGTATCTTGGGGTCATCACGCCGAGAAACTTCTGCCAGTGCAGCAGTAGATCATCAAGTCTTTGTTCAAGTCGTATCTCACTCTGTGTCAATCACACCAGTGCGCCTGTCCGCCTTCATCCCCAGAGCCACTGCAACCTCTTCCCTTCATGTCCTGCCCAGTCACAGCGGACTCACACGGCGAGATCTCGCCACCTTCATTAAACACCTAATCGATTAAACCTTCCTTCAAGCTTTCGAAGCGCCTGAAGCACGGCGGCCGCTCTCCTTCACCTCCATCGAGCCCTTGCCGGCAACGGACACAGCTTTCTCGGCAATCATTTCCTTCTCGTGCTCCTTTTCAATCTGCTCTTCTCCAACGAGTCCCTCAATTCTGGCCTTGTCTTCCCACTTGTGAGGGACGATGACGTTCTCTTCCAAGAAGTAGTTTGTCGGCTTGACTTGTGTCCAGATGATGCTGAGCAAGAACCCAAGACCCACGGCATACAATGTGAATTGCACAATCAACTGGTCGAGGTAAGACACGTTCTTGGAGTCAAGTACAAACGAAATGCACATTCCAAGAGCCGTTGTGCCTTTGAAGAGCCTGTGTGATGTTGTCAGTCTCATCTCGGAGAGGAAAAACAAGAACTGAGTAAGCAGCGTTATATACTTACCCGCTGAGTCTTGAGCAAATTTGAGGGTCATTGGACATGGCTCCCAAAGTCCATTGAACGCAGATCTGATAGGTAGCGTAAATGATACCTGATCACGGTCATCAGCAAAATTCTAGGAGCCACTAGATCTCAGAATATCTCATCAGGCACATACCTTCAAGGAGATACAGGGCAAATCCGGCGCCAAAGGCACTATCACTCCAGTCAATGCCGGGAGGCGTGTTCTTTTGCCTGTTCACATCGTTCTTGACAATCCATGCGGCCAGGCCGGCATTTGTGGCAAGGCAGAGAGCGCCCATTATGCATGTTCCCACCATTCCACGCACACGTCGAGACTTGATACGATTTGTATCCATCACAAAGGCCAACATGAGCGGGCAAGGCATCATGATGAATTGGAAGAGAACGTTGTTCAGTGATCGAGTCCTCAAGTTGAAATAGTAGGCGTTGATGCTAGAAAGCAGCGCCTATAGGCAATCAGATCTGTCAATTGGAACTTTGAACTCGCAGCACTCACCAAGTTCATCTCGGCCACAAATATGCCCGGGATGAGCATTAGAATCCGCCAATCTGTAAAGAGTCTGATGATACCGCGGACTTCCTCCATGACGTTAGGATCTTGGAAGATGGCGATGTGCGTTCCATCGTCTCGAACGACCTTTTTGGGGTCGATGATGAAGAAGAAAGCAATGAGAATCGCCATGCACATGATGACGATACTATTTGGATGTTAGCTAAGATTCAAGCAACCACAGAGAGCACGAGCAACGTACAAGACAGCATAGACCGCGTTCGACACTCCTGTCGACTCGGTCTGGTGGAAGTTGACGCCAAAAGCGATCAGGCTGCCGATAGTGCCTCCGAAGGAAGTAAAGACCCATTGCCAGGTGATGAACTAGAGTACAGTACAGTCAGTTTCAGCACCACGAGGTACCTTCCATGCTAAGCTTACCAAAGCTTTCTCGTCCTCTTGGGCATACGCAAACTGAATGAAACCGCAAGCAGTCCACAGACAACCTGCTGTTACACCCAAGATTGCGCCACCAAGGTACGGGAACCAACTGTTGCCCTGACGATCAAAGTACCAAAGACCTCCCACGTAGAGTGGATATCCAATTGCACCGAACATCATGGTAACTTTGGGCTTGAAGATGTTCAGGATGGCTCCACCAATCCAACCGAAGAGGCAGAAGAGCCCATACAGCACCGCATTCGTGGTCGAGGCGACCGTCTGAGAGCTCGGGCGTCCTCCACCAGCACCAAGACCTGTCAAGGCAAGATAGATACCTGGCAGACAAAACAAAATGCTAGATACCTGCGTCAGTATTCTCAAGAGCACAATTCCAGGGCAAGACTGACGCTCCAACGACAAAATTCTGATTGATAGGTCGATTCAGGCGGAATCGACCTTTTCCCAAGGAAGGCTCCATGAACTTCATAACTGCAATTATTTGATGCTTGTCAACACTGAGTCCGGAACTTAAATGCTTCTATACCTCTGCGGGCAAGACGGACAGTAGCCAGCCTCCAAGACAAGAGCAATGATAGCCACCATTATATATGGCTTCCGTCTTGCCCTGCAACAGGCATAAGACGACCTGTAGTGTCGTAGCGATATTGACCGAGGCTGCGCTCATTGCCGCTGTAGTAGGCTAATCACCTTGACGAAGCCATCAAGGGTACAGTCCAAGCTGGACCAATCACGATAGGTGAAGGTCGCTGTTATCATCCCTTTTTGTGGGCCGGAGTCAATTGTTTGGACGCCCAGACAAGTTGTTGTGATAACGTGGTCGAGTTCCGAGTTCCGTCATGCGGAGAGAGACTTCAGTGCTTCTATCGCCGTGGCTTCCCTGCTGTCGATAGTGAGTACCGGGGTACAAGGTGTGAGGAGGATCAGCCGCCAATCATCGCAGGCTGCCAATCTGGTTGAGACGAAGGGCGCTAGGAGATCAACACCACACCATGCATCTCTCTTTCCTAATGAAGCTGCCAGGTTTTGATCGACGCTGGAGATGCATATGCCATGCTTGTAAGCCTGATGATCCTTATCTGAGTTCCTGGCATATGCGTTGCTGCGTTGTGATAAGATATCAAAAAGACCGAACAGGACATACGCCGGAACGCAATACTCCGCTTTCAAGGCTTCCTCCCACTCGCATGTTATGAGAGAGACGCCTATCAGGAAGTTGCCAACGCCGAGCCTTAAGACCGCGATAATAGTTCCGATGGCTCCTCGACTTGATGATCCGGCCGTTGACAGCGATAGTCTTCAGCCAAGTCACGACGAGCCTTTGAGTTCCTTAAAGTCTTCCACCATCCGCCGAAGAGGACGAGTCAGGCAAGATTGGATACAGGGCCGATTAGATACCCTAGCCTTTGACGTAATTGTATCCTGCTATTCAGAATGGTTCTTGCTCTCTGGGAAGAACGCGCAAAGAGTGCGCGGGATTTTCGCGACCACACTCTGAGCAAAGTTGATCCTCCCTTTGACCCTCTCCCCGATCCACTGCCGCTGTCGTCTCAAGAGCTGCCAAAGAAGTATCTCACGGCCAGAGAATATGAACTTACCCAGAAACATGATGCCATTGAGCTTCTTGAAATGCTGCGGACCAAGAAAGTCACCTCGGAGGAATTGACCCGGGCTTTCTTGCGCAGGGCAGCTCTGGCGCAATATGCTGTACGTTCGCAACTTTGGCTACCTCAAAGAGGCTTGGACTGAATAGTATTTCAGGTCAACTGCGTGACGGAATTGATGTGGGATGAGGCACTTGAGCGAGCGAAATATCTTGACTCTCTTTCCGAGCCCATCGGTCCCCTCCATGGACTTCCCATCTCGGTCAGTGCCTTTCACGTCGGTGGCCGAGGATCGCACTACGCTCGGCTTAGCCAGCTCCCAAGGGCTTGCGCTGATTTGCATAGGTGAAAGAGCACCACGGATTGAAAGGCAAAACGTGCCACGCGTCGTATGTTGCTTGGATTGGCACGGAGTCCTTGGCAAGTTCACTGAATGATTACCTGTACAATGCTGGATGTGTTTACTATGTTCGCACCACGGGTCCGCAAACACTCATGGCTCTGGAGTGCAACAACAACATATATGGTCGAACGGTCAACCCCTGGAATCGCAATTTGACCTGCGGTGGAAGCAGTGGCGGAGAAGGCTCTCTGGTAGGCTTCAGAGGAAGTGTCTGGGTATGTAACGACCGTCGCATCTGAGCAGCTGAAAGCTAACTGGATGCAAGGGACTTGGTGGCGATATCGGCGGCTCCGTGCGGGCTCCAGCAAGCGATAATGGAATATACGGCTTCAAACCGACCTCCAGACGCCTCTCGCTACAGGGTATGAAAGCTACCAACAAGGGTAGAGATTCTGTCATGGCGACATACGGTCCTCTCACTCAGTCTCGAGAAACGATCAACCTCTTCATGAAAATCATCCTGGACAACGAGCCGTGGCGGCACGATCCTTGGCTCACCGTCAAGCCTTGGACCCCCGTGACGTTTACAAAGCCCCTGAAGATAGCCATCGAATGGTCTGATGGTGTGGTCAAGCCGCACCCGCCCACCTTAAGGGGCTTGAAGATCGTCGCCGATGCTTGCAAAGCGGCTGGTATGGAGGTTGTTGACTGGGAACCGTATCAACACGACAGAGCTTGGGATATTGTATCGCGTCTGTACTTTCCTGACGGTGGAGAAGACACCTTAGCTCCAATCAAGGAAGCCGGGGAACCTATTCTTCCTCTCACCAAGTTCATCACCGAGGAGCAGCCCCAAGTCAAAAAGCTCGACATGCACGAGTATTGGGAGCTCTGCTGTGAGCGAGACGCGTACCGTGAAGAATATGCCGAACACTGGAACAAAACAGCTGACTCCGGCCAGGAAGTGGACGTTATCGTGGCACCAGTAACGCCTGGAGCAGCGCCTCTCCACGATACTGCTCGCTATTGGCCTTACACAAGCCAGTGGAACTTGCTGGATTATCCCGCTGTTGTTTTCCCAGTGACTTTTGTCGACGTCGAAGAGGACAAAAAGGAAGAAGGGTACACCCCGATGAATGACCAGGACAAATACAATCATGACCTATATGACGCGGAGAAGTGGGTTGGAGCGCCTGTCAGCCTTTGCATCGTCGGGAGAAGACAGATGGACGAAAAGGTTATGGCTGCGTTAGAAGCGGTGGAGAAGGCGATGGGGCGGCAGTAGTGATTCCTTCTTTGGGGACACAAATCTTTAGCCCGGCTGGAAGACAGACAATAACATGTGGAAGACTCACGCAGTATATCGCAGTATATCACACGTTGATCTGTAAGTTGGGTGATGAAGTCCAATGACGAAAGTGACTGCTCGAGCCCTCGAATTCGTTCCTTACCATCAATTGACCCGAGGTTGTGCATCACATCGAGAGCAAGTGAGCTCTTTCGTTCGCGTATCGTACGCATGTTCCGACCTTTCTTGGACATTTGCAGGCAAGAAGCGACGGAACGGCAAGTCGACGTGTTGTCAGTGAAGTTGAGGAGTGCCTTGAAAGTGTCAGCCAATCGGAGATCTTAAATTTCCGCAGAGCTGATTGGTTCGTGATAAGGCTCTGCCCACGTGATCTTGAAAGATAAGAGGAATGAGGGGTCTTCTTATCAAACAACGCCTTGAACAGTGTTGAACGATCCCTCATCTCACCATTCTCGTTCCATCGCCAGCCTTGAATTGTGGCAAAAGAATGCTCAAGTGTCAGCGTCAATGTCTGTAACAGTTTGCGCGTCACCACCCACATCCACTGCCCCGCGGCGGAAGAATTTGGCAGGCAAAAGAACCAATTCACTCGGCTGGGCCAAGGCTGACTGCCACACCTGTGCAGAAAAACAACGGTTCTGCGATCGCCGCCGCCCAAGATGTAGTGCCTGTCTTGACGAGGGCGGTATATGTGGCGGCTACATACAGGCACTGAATTGGGAACGAGGGACTGTTCGACTGGGGAAATCGCGATCCAAGTCAATATCCGGAGCACCCGAGAAATCGCTACCAGATGAGAATTCCATCGCCCAATTGCCCCAGCCACCCACATTCGTCTTCGTCGACGAGACTCGGCCAGCCGAGCGAACGAGGAAGAAGGCAAGGAAGAATTCAAAGTCGAGCGTTTCGAACCTCAGCCAGGGTGATCGCTCCGCGCGGTCGTCAATCTCCTCTAATTGGGACTCTATCTCTCCAACATCTCCCTATTCACCATGCTCTCAAGCAAAGAGTGCGACGCCTCCATCCGTATACGAGCCCCAAGAGGTCATTCTCTCTCTGTCACCTCGGATTGAAAGGCCTCCGATCGAGGACGCTTTGGCCTTCTACCACTCCCGCTTCTCAAAGACGACTCTGACCTGGGATGTCCCCGTCAATCCATGGCAAGCGGCCCTACCGCAAATTCACGATGATATTCCCTGTGTACGCTATGCGGCGATCGCACTTGCTCAGCGTCAACAAGCACACCTTGCCAACAAGGCCGAGGGACTAGCCGTTCTCAACCTCAAAGCAAAAGCGCTGTCCGTCTTCGCCGCTCATCTCAATGACCTTTCTATTGAATCAGGCATCTCAACTTCTCTTTTACTCATAGCACTTGACTATGCGGAGACTGGTCTTTCGAATTGGACCATCCATTTGCGTGGAGCTCTGCATATCCTCGAGTCCAGCGGCGGCATCCGACTTGCAGAATCGCGTCAGAATCTCCGAAGTCAGATCGCCATGTTACTCTGGTATGACGTGGCTAGGGCGATGCTGTCGCGGTGTCCACCCATCTTTCCAAGACGATACATCGAAACTCTCATGCTGTGGCAAAGCGAGAGTGAATGGAGCATGCTTGGTCTCAATGGTCTCCCTGATGGTATGTTTCTTGACATGTACGACCTTGCAATAGCAGCCTCGCATCCTGAAGAGTTGTCAGCCGAAATGATCTCAGCATTCGAGGCGAAGATTTTGGATGCGACGGTCAGCAATCATGACCACAGGCAGCTCGCCGCCATGGCACGCGTGTGGAAGCTGGGACTGCTGCTTTACTGCCGACGTGTGCTGGTTCCTCTCATCTCCGGCGAGGAGTCCGCGAGGTATGCCCTTGAGAACGACGTAAAGCCATCTCTGCCAGTCGTTGGCCTCGCAGCAAAATCCTTACACGACCCGCACGACCTTGCTCTCGAAATCCTCCGCATCGTAGCTGACCTACCTCCGGACAGCAATTTCCAGAAGCAATGCTTGATGCCAATAATACTTGCTTCAGTAGAAGTACCAGCTTCCAACTCGCAGTACCGCAAGATCGCTGTCGACTACTGCGAGCGCTGGAAGGATAGGACTGGCATTTGGATCTTCGATTCGGCGTTGGAGTTCATGAGTGGCGTTTGGTCAAGGAATGATCGTGAAGTGACTGCTAGCGAGCTACGAGATGGCACCTTGCACGAATCTGATGTTGAGGGTACGAAAGCAACTTGTATAACTGTGCCATGGACCGAGATATACCCACGGGGCATCGAGTACGGATTTCTGTTTGGCTGAATGACACATATAAGACGGTGAATTGCATATCCTGCCTCACGTACCTGGCCCCAGGGAGAACTACCGTAGTTAGTATCTAGATTGAGCAATGAACCATGTCAGCGCCTGAAATCCCATCACCATCATCATGAAGAAGCCTACTGAGCATGAATATATCTGCCCTGAACCTGGGCGGATCCAGCTCCTCCTCCTCCTCCTCTTCATCATCACCATCACCCACCGCCACGCGTAAATCCACGCAACTGTTTTCGTATCGCATCCACGTGTACAATGCTGTGAATCCTCAAAGCTCAAAGCCAAATACTCCTCGTAGCGTTCTCCGTTTGTATCCTAGCACCCCTGTGACAACCTCACCCGGGCGTACATATGCATAAGTTACTCGACGACACTATACTAACTACCCAGGTGGAATCCCAGGACCCGCGCGGCCTCGCCGTCGTCCCGGAATATTGAACCCACCGGATCTCACGTTCCATTACGGAGTACGATGGGTCCTATCACTACACGTCACAGTAGTCTCAGTCCCCCTCGTCATTCTCAGCGGCGCCACAGAGCGCCACAACGAAACTATCAGATCCGGACGAGTCTTGTATTTCTCGACCAGGTTACTAGCATTGACACCCCAATTTCTGGCAGCCCGTCAAGGCCTAATAACAAACAACCTTCTTCCCATCCCATCCCATCCCATCCCATCCCATCCCCCGAGGCTGGCCAACGTCCCCTAGCAACATCAAATAAAACAATGTTGTAGTCCCCACAAAAAAAAGGCACCATGATGGCACCAACGTCAACAGCCATCCCCACGTCAGTTTAAATTACCTTCCAGGATGGCAAGGAAAGGAACAACAACAAAATACGAGTACCGACCAGGCTTGTCACACCAATATTTTACCGCCAAGATGTCAGGTACGAGTACCAGCAAGCCCAGGGTGCCCAGGTAAAGTACCAGGCTGGGTGCCAGGTATCCGGGCCATGAAATTCCACTCGCACCCACACAGACACGAATGGATGGACATGGTATGTATGTTTCAGTCTCACAGTCCTCCGTACTCTGTACATACAGTAGTAGCCTTCCCAAAGGTGACGGAGGTGACGCACACCAAGCCAATATTGACCCCCGACTACCACACTCGTAGTAGTACAGTACGTAGCCAATTTTGTCAACCTCATGCAATGCGTTCGCATAGATGTTCTACACAGTACTAGTACTAGTACTTCATTGACGCTGCCAGGTCAGGTATGCAACCATTACGCTGCAAACCTCTCAGTGGGTGCCGAGCCTGCGAGGAGGAGTGAGACATGCATGTCCCAAGAATCCAATAATTCAAAGGATCCCTTTTTCCCGTGTTTTTGGCTTCCCGCAATCGGAAAAGGCGGGTTCGGACTTGGACTTGCTGGCGTCATACATACAGACACACAGATGCGCATGCCGAGGTACCCAAAATCGCCAGAAAGAAATCGATTGAGGTATCACAGCAGACGAGCCATACTGCGTAATAACTCGTAGCCTCAACTTGCTGGTCCGCGAAAAGTCAACAACGATCGGCCTACATAATACTAACTTACCTTAGGTACGTAGGTAGTCATTCAGCCAGCCACCTGTGCTACATTAAAGACCAAATAAGTGCAACATGCGAGAAGCCTCCCGTACTCTCCATATGTAGATCTCTTCTTGGTACTTCACTTCGTCGACGGGTGGCTTTTTGTGGTTGTGTGCCGGTTGTCCCGGAGAGCGACAGATGACGCCAATCGGTCAAGCACAGGGCCTCCATCCAGACGGTCGGTAACTGTGTACACTTCGCAAGATGGAAGTTCAGTGTTGGCGTTCAGCTTCGTCGTCTTAAACAGCAGAGGCCCAGCAGCGAAATGCAATCCATCAACTGACAACAGACGGAGGCAAGCTGGTAAAAGAGAACCGAACATTCATGATGCAATCCAGCCGGAAGCAGAACGAACAGAAGTTCTGTCAAAAGATGCGCATTAAGAATCTCAAACTTCGTAAAGATATGAATGACATTTGAAGGGGCTGTAAAAATAAGCCCCTTCGAAAAGATAAAGAGACAATTCCCCATGATCACTCCGCTTGCCCTTCTCTGAACCACTATGCAACGCCTGCCATGAAAAGCTTCACCGTCGACAATCTGGAGAAAAAGCACTTGTCCCAAAAGCCGCAAGCCAAAAACGCTTCTGAAAATGCCCATCAGAGAACCTGTGGCCAACAACGCTAGCAAAGCCCATTCAATATGTACGACCCTTTTTCTCAGGAAGCAAGCAAGTCGTGAAAAGCCAATGTCTATATCCATACACAATTCCCAATTCGCCTCTATCAGGTATCTCGTTGCGTGAAAAGGTCGAGCTCTTTTACACCAACAGAGACTCGCGAATAAATTGACCAACACCCTTAGCCTGGAATGCTAGTTAGCAAATGATCAAATACAAGTCGGTGGGGCTTCAACTTACCACTGGAGGCTTCATCATGGTGAAATGGTTGCCATTGACGGTAACCATCTTGCAGACTTCAGGGCTCAAGAGTTTGTCCCAGCCATTGGGACCGAAGTCGTTTCGGTTGTCCAAGAGCCACTTCATGCTCTTCGGGTCATCAGCTTGCGGCGGTGGTCGTGGATCACCTGGCTTGCCACAGACACCGTCGGTGGCCCAAATGAGGAGGGTCGGTGGTGCCTTGAAGTCATGTGTCGACTTCAATTCCGGACGGTAGGCAGTCAAAGCCTTGATGCTGTATTCGAAGTGAGGCAGCAACCAGTTGGGCGTCTTCCCGGTTCCAGTTCCCAAAAGACCAATCTCGTCGAAGAAGTGGTGAAGACGGGCAGGCAGAGGCTCCAATCGGATGGGGCACGGTGAGTCAATGAGGATCAGTTTCTCGACTTGATAGTTCCTGTCTGGACGGGATTTCTGGAGGTCGGCCAATTGTCTGGTAACCTCGTAGGCGACGACACCCCCAGCAGACCAACCACCAAGGATGTATGGACCGACAGGTTGTCGGCGCATGACTTCCTCAAGGTAGAGTTTGGAAACACCTTCGATACCGCAGGTGTAGCTGGTAGGGTCCTTCATGAAGGGGCAGTTGAGACCATAGACTGCCAAGTTCTTGCTGTCAATAGCGGGAATGGAGACGTAAGAGGTGGCGGATCCGGATCCATCGGGGAACAGGAAGAGGTTCTTGGTGGCAGTCTTTGGATTGCCCTGAAGTAAGACAGAGGTGGCAGGGGGCATCTGCACAACAACCTCAACCGGAGGAGCGGCAGGAGCCACAATGATGTTCTGCTTCACCTCTGGCTTTGGGGCTGGTGGTGGAGCAGCCTTCTGCTTCTCAAGGCCGAGCGCCTTGCGCAAGTGGCCAAGAGACGGGTTATCGGCCAGAATGGTAGGGTCGAGGTCGATTTCATGTTCTTCACGAAGCTTGCCGAGGACAGTGAGAGCCATCAGGGAATCCATTCCGAGGTTGCTGAGGTCAGTAGTCTCAGTGATTTCGGCCAGATCCATCTCCATCTCCTGAGCAATGACGACGCGGATGGTCTCAATCATGTCACCGCCATCCGCGGAAGCAGCCGGAGCCTGAGCAACAGCTTCGACGGCAGCAGACTTGCCTTGCTCGGTAGGCTTCGCTGGGAAGTCCTCGGTGTCGGGCGTGGTGATACCAGACTCGACAGTGTCGTCATCACTCTCGGAGCCAGAGTCGGTTGACTCAACAGAGCTTGCGTCACCAGCAGCAGCAGATGGTTCGGGGCCCGACATGCCGCTAAGATGCTTGCGAAGAGCACCGACCGAAGAGTAGTCGGTGAAGAGAGTGCTTTCCACCTCGAGGTCGAGATCTTCACGGAATTTGCCCGAGATGGTCAAGGACATCAAACTGTCGACACCCATATCAGCCCATTGGATGTCGTCGTTGAGCTCAGACTGGTCAACATCAATCTCTTTGGCAATGATGTCAAAGGCGCGGACCGCAAGACTGCCAGCAGAAGAGGCTTTCGGTGGGGCAGGAGCCTTGACTTTTGGCGCCTTGACCTTGGGAGTCTTGACCTTGGGAGCCTTCGGCGCTGGTGCCGCGACGGGTGCAGGAGCTGCGGCAACAGGTGTTCGTGCAGCGGAGACCTTGGGTGCAGAAACAGGAGTAGCAGCCTTACCGCCAGCGGCAGCCTTGGGCTTGGGCATCATGACATCCATCAACTTCCGAGGGATGCACTGGAAACGGACTGCACCCGCAACACCGATGACTTCCTTGTCCTCGTTGAAGACGTAGACGTCGCCAGCCCTCATCTTGCTGCCAGCAACAGGTTGCATCTTTACATAGGCAAAGTATTGCTTATCATGCTTGAGCGGCTCGATGAAACGAAGGCTGGACCAACCATGGGAGATGTAGCACTCTTCCATGCGGTTGACGGTGGCATTGACCGTAAATCCTGAAAGATGGCAGGCGCTGTCGATGTGGTAAGGGCTGAAGTAGAAGTCGCCATCATTGGGCCCAGCTCGGAGCTTGATGTTGCTGGTGGCTTCAAATTCTGGCCCGTCAAAGACCACACTCTGCATACCTTGGTAGATATCAGAGTAGTCGACCAAAGCACCGAAAAGCTTGTATGCCATTGCACGGCTGACCTTGTCGGCCTCACCATTCTCCATTTTGTGCTTCAGGAGATCAATTCGGGATTGGATGAGGTATGAAGTTTTACTCCATTCCTGCTTCCAGGCAGCAGCATCTTCGAATCGGATAATGCACTTGGCGTGGACAACATCCTTCCTTCCGTTGTTGGTAGTGACAGTGAAATCAGCCTTTCGTGCGTTCATGTCGATGGACATGGCCATTCGGACGATTTGACTTTCTGGCTGGTTGATGTTCTTGAGGAGAAGAGGTGCTGGGTTGTCCATCGTACCGATGTTGATATCCACCTTCTCGCCGGGTGAGAGCAAGTCAACACCATAGTTGATCAAGGTATAGGCCATGTCAGCATAGAGCGTGGATGGGCAGAGACCACTGCCATTGACCAAGTGGCCAGCAATGACTGGGAACAGCTTGGGGTGAGCGAAATCGGACTCTGCAATGATGTTAACAGTCTTGCCCTTGACCTCCTCAGACACGATTCCTTGGACTGCAGTGGACAGGTATTTACGGGCCTTTGCAGGGCCAGCAGAAGCGGTGGCGGCTGGAGCTGGTGCAATAGCCTTGGGGAAGTCGCCCTTGTATAGGAGCCAATCACCAGTGTACTGAAGCCAATAGTTCTTCTCGTCGTATCCGTAGAAAGGCAGATCATTCAGGACACGAAGAGACTCGTTCTCCTTGTGGAAGGCATCCCAGTTGAGGGCCTTGCCAGAGGTGTAGAGACCAGCCATTGAGGTGGAGATGATCTTCCAAGGGTCCTCATCACGGCGCATGGTTGCCAAAGTTGGGACAGACAGGCATGACTTGATCATGCTAGCGCACAAAGGATGGCCACCAACTTCAAGCCAGAGGGTGGTGTCACTGATGGTGGCAGACGACATGCCAGAAGAGAGGCCACCAACAAAGTCGACAGTCTTGCGACAGTGTCTGCTTAGGTAGAAAGCATCGAAAATACCACCGACGCTGACAACGTCACTGAGAAGGGGGGAGATGACCGGAACGCGTGGAGCGTGGTATTTGATAGGAGCTGCCAACTTCTCGAAGTCTGCGAGGATGGGATCAACCTGCGAAGAGTGGAAAGCAAATGGCAACTTCAGCTTGGTGCACTTCTGACCAGCGTCAGCCAACTTCTGTGCAACAGCATCAATGTCCGCCATTGTGCCCGAGAGAACAGTGTCCGAAACACCATTGATGCATGCAATCTCGATCTTGCCTTGGCTGTTGGCAACAACGTCCTGGAGCCCAGCGACAGGGGATCTGACTGCAAGCATCGCGTGCGTGCCAGCCGTGCACTTCTGCTCAAGGAGCTGTGCTCGCTTTCCAACCAGGTAGATGGTGTCGGCGACGGAAAGAACACCTGCAGCCTGAAGTGCAGCATACTCACCCAGAGAATGGCCAATAACCACGCTGGGGGTGACTCCCCAAGTAGCCCAGAGACGAGTAAGAGCCATCTGGACGCAGCACATTCCCAGTTGTACGACTGTTGGTGGCAGGTGCTGTACCTCTGTGGATCCGTCGATCAAAGGCATGATGGATGGCAGACCTTGTCGGAGGGCAATCTCGTTGAACTCTTCGATATCGGTTCGAAATTGCTTAGACGTCTCGAAAAGCTTCTGACCCATGCCAGAGTATTGCGAGCCTTGTCCAGTGAATGCCATGGCGATTTGTGGAGCGGCAAGAGGAATAGGGTTGTGAGTCTGGTCAGCGATAGCCTTAATTGATTGTTGCAGCTGGGCAATTGACTGGACCGGGAATGCAGCACGGTAGTTGTAGTGAGCCCTTCGAGCTGTCACGGTATATGCCAAATCAGTGAGCCCAACGTTGGGGTTGGCGGCCAGGTACGCTTCATACTTTGCGAGTGTCTTCTTGAAGGAGGCCAAGGATTTGGCAGAAACAGTGACAACATGGGTAGAGCGAGGGTCAGCTGTCGGCTCCTTTGCCACTTCAGGTCCATCCTGCAGAAGCATCGCCGTGTTACCACCAGCTGCACTAAAATTGTTGATGAACACGGTTCGCTTGCCACCGGCAGGGCGTGGGAATGGTGTTGGCTGGAAAGCAATGTTGACGTTGCGCTCCTTCAAATCAGGGGCAAAGTTCTTGTTCATCTGCTTTTTGATTCCCGTGTGAGGTGGGATCTTGCTCTTTTGAAGCATCATGAGGACCTTGATCAAGGCACTGACGCCCGAGACAGCCTCACCGTGGCCGATGTTGGACTTGACTGCACCGACGTACAATGGCTGATCTGGGCGTCTGCGGTTCTGTCGAGGAGCGAAGACAGATGTGACTGACTCCATTTCAATGCCGTCTCCAGCCTGAGTACCAGTTCCGTGCATTTCGACGTAGTTCACTTCGTTGCAAGGGACGTTGCACTCCTTCAAGACCTTGTCGAACAAGAAGGCCTGGTTCTCGGCGCAAGGATGGGTAATGGAAACTGCCTCAGCAGAGTGATTGGTACCAATACCACGTATAACACCCAAGATAGGGTCTCGGTCGGCCATAGCATCATCCAACCGTTTCATGATAACCGTGCAGACGCCGTCACCTCTGCAGTAACCATCGGCATCATTATCCCAGGTTTTGCAGGATCCTGTCCTGGAAAGGAAATGACCTCTGCTAAGACCGGAGAAAATATCGGAATTGGTCAGGACGTTGGCACCACCGGTAAAGGCGGTGTCACATTCATTTGCTCTCAATGAGGTGATGGCCACGTTGATGGCGGCGAAACTGGAGGAGCAGGCAGTATCAACTGAGAAACTGGGTCCGGAAAACTTAAAAAAGTAGTTGATGCGGCCAGGGCCAAAGGCACGCACACCCCCGGAAATGAAGTATGTATCAATGTCCTGGGCGGCGTTCACCTCACGCCAGTCGTCGGAGGTCTGACCATAGAAGGTACCAATTCTGTCCTTTTTGGTGGATGGAGTTCGGTCAGGGACGATACCTGCCATTTCCATAGCTTCGTAACCAGTTGCAAGCATCAGTCGCTGCATAGGGTCGGTCTGAGCGGCTTCTCGAGGAGACATGTTGAAGAATCGGGCATCGAATAGACCAGGCTTTTCGATGAAGTTAGCGAACGGTGTATGTGAGGTGTTCTTCTTCTTGGATGTGGGATCTGTGTGAGACTCGACAGGAAACCTGTCCGGAGGAACTGGTCGATGAACGTCGAGCCCCTTCTCCAGCAGTTGCCAGAAAAGCTCGTTGTCTGCAGCATCGGGAAATCGACCGGAGTAGCCAACAATGGCGATGTCAGCTTCTCGCTTCGAATGCTGAGTTCCTGCTGGAGCCACGGCACTCCAGTGAGATTGGTCTTCGAGAGTAACCTTTGACGTGCTGGCCTTGAGGGCCGAGACAACGCTGCTGGCAAGGTTTGTTGGGCCAACAGCAAAGACCTTCGCTTCTGAAGGCTTGCCAGAGGCACAGTACTTCAAGACCTTGTCCCATCGCAGTGGCTCAATTACAACCTCCTTCAGGGCATTTTGGAGGAGCTCGTATCCATTTTGAGCTTCGACTGGTTTGCCAGTAACGCTGGAGCAGACTGGGAATCTCACGGTGGTGTTTCCGAAGATGTTCTTCGTCTGTGGTCGCAGGATCTTGTCCAAATCTGATTGGGAGTGTAGGTGGGATGCGTGGTAGGGAGCAAATATTGATACAGGGGCATTTTTATGCGTTCGGAAGAATTCTGAATCCTCGAAAAGAGCGGCCTTCGTTGATGGAGGACCGCTGATTGTGACGGAAGTGGCTGAAGATGCACTGATCCATAGTCTGCTTGTTGGTGCTGTGCCCTTCTCTTTGTGGAAAGCATCCAAAGCTGCCTGCGCCGACTTCTCGTCCGCAGCAACGATGGTAGACCATGAGCCTGACTTGGAGTCGCCCTCAATCTGCTCTGCTACTCTCCCAACGTGGGCACCGGCTCGGAAGGCGATTCGGACGGACTCGACGGCCAAGGGAAGAAGAGCTGTCAATGAGTCTGCAGAGGCGACCGCTGAAGCCGCAATTAAACCAGTACATAGGCCGACCAATCGTGCATCTGCATTATGAGGAATATATGAAGGCGTTCTCTCTTCGAATGCGCTGGAGAGAGAGGTCAGTGCTGAGCCCGACGATTTTCAGGGGCAGGTCAAGGCACGTACCCAATGAAATGAGTGAACTGAGAAATACAAACGAGAGCGCTCTCAACGGCGGCATCCTTTGCCTCGCCTCTGTAATAACGATCGACCAACTCTTGAACGGTTGAGAAATTAGGGACTGCTTTTGAAGGATGGGATCGGTTTCTGTTCTCGATTCTGAGGGCGTCGCCGGCTCGCTCCAGGAAGGCTTGTAGAATAACATCGTCCTTCCGGGTGAAGACCTTGGCGAAGAAGGCCCTGCAGTCGGCGGTTTGGTCGCCGAAGACGTAGACCTCCTCCATGTTGACGATTGAAAGAGACGACGACTTCGAACGAACGTTGATTTACACGGGAGAGGAAAGGGGAGAATAGGGAATGGTCAGCTAGTTATCATATAGGAGTTGACGGGGCCCGGGTATGAAAATAGATCAATGAGCTCGACAGGTGAGTGGAGGAGACGAGACTGCAGGTGAATTGACAGCGCCCCCCCTGGTGGGATCCACCGGCCGCAGGACATGCAACGAGATCTGCGCGCTGGAAATCAAGCGCATGGCGAGGGCGACTTGAGGATACGACGAGTCCCAATCTGGAGAGGCGCTTCTTGTGCGAGTCTTGCGGTCATAACAAGTTAACGAGGGACTCCACCACGAGATGCCGCGATTGTTTCCCAAAAACCCTAGTCAGCACTGCTTCGGCGCCCGAATGCGGCAAAGACAGGGGTTGATCCAGATGAGACAGCGCAATGGCCTGTGTGGGTTTACCAAGCTCGGCTCGTAATCTTACAATGCTTTACCGCCTTACCTCCGCAGCATCGCCCGCTCCAGGCCACCCATTGACTTGCTCGACTGCTAACTAGGCTTGCGCTGTCAGCATGGCCGATAGAGGCGATGATCGCATGAACCTCAGCCGCACTTGGAGCTGCGGACGAGTGCCGTTGGCTGTCACGTTCACTAGAGCCTGGGGAAGGAAAGTTTTTTGTTGCATTACGAGCTGCAACTGCAGGTTTGGTAGGGTTGCTTGGCCTGCAGACCTGCCACCACCTTGGAGTGCCTTTTGCTTGAAAATCCCGTTGAGAGCCAGTTGGTATGTTTGCAGGGTCCGTGAGGGTCCCTCGGCTATGGCACTGCAGACACGATAATTTACTCATCAGACGAGATGCAAAACTTCCACTGCAACGCTCATAGTGTAGAGCAGCAATTGCTACATTGTGCCAGTCGAGCATCGAATAGTCCTGGAGTCCAAGTACCACAAACCCTTTCCGAAGGCCAGGCACCACGTCGCAGTACCTACCCAGGCAGGTATGTGGTAACGACCTGGAGGATGAACGCAGTCCCAATACGAAGCATTACAGAATTGTAAAGACGGTCAGTCGCAAGTTGACAATACGTCAAAAAACCCAATTCTTCACCCCTGTTGGTGCTGAGGCTGAGAGGTCCCTCACGTCCCTCCAGTGGCGGCAAGGAGATTGGAGGGGAGCCTTCAAGACAAAATCTGGGGGTCCGCATATTCCCAAATGATGACTGCATGACGTTGAGCATTATTATGTTCCGAATTGTTTATTTGCTTGACGCCTCGAGTCTCGATTGTTTACTCCGTACTGCTGTGAGAATGCTATTGTGGGCTCGGGCTGCCTTCGATGATGAATTGACTTTGGTGATTCCAGGCTGAATCAAGAGCACTATGTCATTGAGAGCAATCCCAGCACCTCCGCGCAAGAAATCCGTCAAACCAAGCATCTCCAGGACCCGTACCATCATTATCGCATCCCCGAACCAAAAGCTGACAGACAACGGCCATGCCGTGGCAAACGCGATAGGAGGTCTGAGGTTGGTCATCATGTATCTAACCAACTCCCTGGAAGCTTTGAAAAGCGAATCCTTTGCGAACCAACACAGCAATTTCACTGGCGGCTTGGATGCTAGGCGGACTTGGGGACAAATCAGCGGCAAGCCGAGTGCTCCTGGATGGGTGCTGAGGAGGGTGAAAGGGGAAAAGGGATCATATGCTCGGACCAGAATCGCAAGGACGGGTCAAACATGCTTCAGGTTTGTCCCATCTAACTTCCGTTTAGCGTCGTGCTACTCCCCAGCAGCGACCAGGGCTCCTGGTCTGATATCCTATATTTGGGGCTCAGGCCCTGGCGCCATGCCGCTTCCGTCACAGTGGCTGCTCCAAGCCTTTAGGCCAACTGCGTGCTGCTCTTCCACATCTCCTCCACCATCATCCACTAAACCCGCATCAAAGTCACACCAGGTGTCTGGTAAGAGTTCCATACCGCCTTCCATCCGCCTTCATCCATCCAATATTGGTCCACCTTGTCCGTGGCTCAGGCTTTTGACTCGAACTCACCGCGAGTATGATGTTTCCTATATTGGCGAGAGGCGTGGTCAGGGCTGATGTTGCCATGCGAAACGTGGTGAGCACCATGTATACACCAGTTAAGCTTGTGCAAACGAGACTTGAAGCTTTTCTCAGGCTGCAATCTCCAAGATAACTTAACGATGCTATCGGATAATTTCATACCAATGACAAGGGGCTGAATTTGGCCGTCCGATCCGCGCACAGGAAAGAATTTCTCATGCGCCAGCTCATTTCATTCTATCCACTATCGGCCACCTTGCATTATTGTTGATTGTTTACTATTCACATGTCGTTGTTGTTGTGTCTCTGCTTCTCCGGCTCGTCGTAGCCGGTTGAGGAAGTCCAAGGTGCTGACGATAGGGCTCGCATGCCAGTGATTTCAAGATCGGACCCTTTTGCCTTTCACGCGACACCCAATTTCTTCAGCCTTAACAGTTGACCGGACCCGTTCGCTGGGTGGAGTGACTCTAAAGTACAAGTCCTTGTACCACGAGCCATAGTCTCCGCCAGGCCGTGAACCAACAATGCGCCCTACCCGCTGATAATGCCTGACCCTGTTGCTCCCCAATCGATAAGGAGGGAGACTTGAGATGTCTACAGCCGAGCACCTCCTCCCTCTCCTTTTTGCCAGTTTGGCCTACTACAAGTACAAGTATGTAACAATTCGCAAAGGATTCGAACCGAGATGGGACATTACTTGGCAAAGGTGGATTTGCCGCCATACTGTGACATTTGATATGGCTATCTTACCCACCTATTCCTTTGTATGGAGTATCTTCATAGATAGGAGACCTCGAGCGGACAAGCACCTTCCTGTTTGCTAGGGCATCCACGGACTTTGACATCGCTTCTCACTCTGTGGTGTTGTCGAACTCCTTTGTCCGTCCACTTACTTTGCATCTTAGCCTTGCTATTGGTGATTCTTACAGACCTCGCTTAGATCTCTCTGTCAGCCGCGGATCCTGTCCGCCGCCATCTTTCCACCCATGCATTAGCTAAGAATTGTGGTTGCTGCTTGGCTCGCTTAAGTCTCGCACACCGGCCTACCTAACTCTGCCTGCCTCTGCCTGCCTCTGCCTTCCCAGACAAGGTCAGCACTAGCGCTGCAGCTGTGGAAGATCATGACTGGATCGCTCCGCATGACCCTTGCAAAAGCTATGATGTTTGTCACCAGTCGCATCCATTTACCTTAGTATTTTTCATACCAAAATGTCAGGCCATGGTTCGGCCACATCGTGGAGGGGTAACAAGGGATGGAAGTTGAGCGTTTCGGCCCTCATGGACAAGAATCCTCCAGCCCAGATCATTGACCCGGTCCGCTTGGTCAATGCCGCTCCCAAGAGCTGCGACTCACAGATAGTCAACCTGTCCGACTCATGCCATGGTGAACATCCCCGAACATCCCGCTCTGTGTCGATTCGAGGCTCGAGCAAACTTGACTGTGATATTGCAGCGTCCCGATGCTACCATGGCATTCTAGAAGTCACTTGTTCGCAAGAATAAACAGTGAGCGACCGAGTCATTCTACGAGGATGCATGTGTGACCTTGAATGAGCGGGTTCAACAACTCGTGCTGGTGTGGATGTTGCTCTTCAGGTGCCCTAACCCTTTCGCATCGACGCAGACTTTGAACGCAAGGATACCAGCGAACGCCGTGGACACAGCAGCCGCCTCACATCCCACGTTCGAGGCAAGCGTCGTCTGCAATACGCTGGTTGGCATGAAACCTTTGGTCATGCTACTGTCCGATACAGCCACTGATGCTGTCAATGCGACGGTGAGATCTTTGGGCCTTCCTGGTTACCAGGTATTACTACGAAGCCAGTGACGGAACTTGCATCATTCCAATATTGCGGTCATATGTTCCCAGGGGTTCTCATGTCCCGACTAATGCGACGGCTGCAAACCGTTGCACAAACCTGCACAATGAAGGCAGAAGTTCCAGCTCGTCCAGGATCCTAGACCTCGCTACCGTGCCGTGGGCGGAAAGCTTCATCCCTCGCATAATATTGCTCCCACGTAGGCTGGATGTACTCTCAAAAGCAGGCTTTTCTTGCAGGAACAAGCACCCAGCCGGTAGCCAAATTATCAACCGGACTGCAGCACAACGAGGCGCTATCTAATAGCCTGTCAATGCACGATAACCGCGACGACACTTACCGGCGATCTGGGGTCAGGATACACCAACCGCCGCTCCCTCGGATGTTATTTATGAGACCTGCAGCTACGAGGTAAGGCACGGAAAAGTCATGGAACGATCTTGAGCTCGGTCAAATTCTCTGATTGGTTCGGATTTCTGCATCTTTGTGACACCAAGGATATCTACAGGCGCAATGATATCACGAATCAAGTTCGTGATTGTAATATGCACCATATCGAAGTAGTGCTTGCGGATTGTCAACGACAAAGCCGGAATATATTGCATATGCCATCCTTGCAGGCGGTTGGGTAGGAGGGATGATTCCAGGTTCGACCAAGCTTTCAATGCCACCGTGCCGCAAGCTTGGAAATGTACAAACCACTCGCTTGCTTTTGTGCGTGGATCGTACAGCAGCACTCCGTACAGCACATGTTGTAGGCTGGACTCAAGCGTGGAATGCCTACTGCGCAAAGAAATCAGGGAATTCCATATCCTTGATCGCCTAGCTTGGCTGTTGTGTATTTCCGCCCTGAATGAATGGTGCATATTCTTGACGTAGAGAATGCTAGCTTGTGTTCATGGAGTTGCATACCGACCAATCAGCCCTGTGCCAGACAACCGGACTCCGACAACAACCAGATTTCTGCGCTTGTGCATATCGGCTCGCCAGTCAAGTGTCCAATGACGCTGATAAAGATCCAGATCGTCATTACCATAGTAAGTCCTGAACGCAGGGAAGAGCTGAGCGGCGGGTTCCACGTGGTGTGCACAAACTGAGGAATTCTCACCAGCAGACTGAGTCCGCAACATTGACAAAGAGTATCAGGCGTAACACTCACCAAAGTGATTTAGTCAGCTGAATGCTTGAAAACTGGATGGAACGGTTCTTAAGATAGAAGTCGGACAGCCACCGAGGCCATGTGGTGATAACTCGTAATAGAATGAAGGTGTCCGATTCGTGGGTTGCGCAGGGTGGAAGGAATTGGGCCTTATTAGGAACCTTGGCTGAGGCGCAGGCGTAAGAAATCGTGGGTTGGAGATAAAATAGGGGCCGCCCAAACGAGGCTTAGGCTCTGCTGCGGAAATGGGCACGAATGAGGTGCTGAGCACCTCCCGAGGTTGGTTCAGTAGGTACCAAACTTGCAGTGAAAGAGCACAGCCAAAAGCATGTACCTGTGGGACGAAGTATAGCCGGGCTCGTTTTAGGAATAGAGCTGTGCCTCACACGCACATGGTTCCCTTGTGTGAATTTGTGTTTCGCTTGCTGCTTCATACTCAGTCAAGCCGGTTTTAGTAGCCGGAGAGAGAAAGAAAAGGAACGTTCAAACAAGCCCTGGCCAGCCTAACGGGACAAGCAAGGCACCTGGAGTGGGATTCGTTTAGGTGACCATAGCTGCCGATACCACTTCCACCCTTCCTCCTCGTATTCTTCTCCTCATCGTCAAGTCCATCCGAACTTAACTTCGGCTCACAAACACTGTTTCTCTCCCATCACCAGCCTCCTCGATTTCCTACCCAAAGGTTCGATACTTGACGTGTCGACTACTTCGTCTTTCGTTTGGTGGTCGTCCTTCAACCAGTCTTTCCATACTTCTTATTGTCAAATCACACCACACAATGACCAAGCTGCAAAAGCAGCCTCCGCCGGCCTATCCAGGCCGACCAACCTCCACGTCCACCGCCTATCTGCAGCATGCTGTACCATATGAAAGTCTGCCGCAAGCGACGCAACAACCCGTGCCTGTAATGAGTGCTGTGACACCTGGTTCCTACTCCGATCTTCCATCCACCAACCCCTTCTCGTCCAATTTCGCTCCTCAACCAGCATCGACCGCTGACCAACCGTCCCCGTTTTCTCCCGTATCGCCTCTCGTCGAGACCGAGCCCATTCAACGGCGATCGCAGGCACCGGTCGTTGCGCCTATCCCTCACAGACCAGACGCGAACCAAAGAAGATCAAGAGATCTACGACGTCTTGATGGAAACCCATACCCAGGATCCCATCCCACGGAGAAGTCTGCAAAGTCGGTCAGGGTAGCCAAGGACATGCACAATGGAGCTCTACCACCCACGTACAAGCGGCAAGCGTCCGATCCCATCCAGTCCCCAGACATCTCGCAGGCATCGACAAACTCTCCGGAATGCGAAACGTGCGGAAAGAAACGCGCTGAAGGGCAAGACTGCGGTCAATGTGGGAAGCGCAAGGCCAGTGCACCAACAGCAGTCACTACGACACCACCTGCAAGCCATCACACGCGCACAGCATCAGAGGGGATGAGCTCTCACCGATCACGAATCTCAGAAAGCACGACTGCAGGACCATCAAGTTCGCCTGGCTCCTCTCCAGGCGGACGAGTAGTATGCTGCAACAAATGCGGCCGCCACAAGCGTCCACAATCCATTGACCAAGGCCGACCCAGTCACGTCCACACCGTCACCGAGCCCATGCCCATGGCAAGCCATCCCGCCATGCGAATCCACCAGGCCGGTCTCTCGATCCGCCCAGACGTAGCCGCCCAGCGAAATTCCGTCTACCCCCAAATCGACGTGATTCCACCGTCGACCACGACATACAAGCCCACACTCCAGTCTCCGTTCTCGAACTACGGCGATGAGTCTCCTCTTGTCGAGAGAGCCGTCAGGCAGGAGATCAAGCCAGTCCGCCATTCGTCCCTTATCCGCTCCTTATCCCGCAGATTGAGCAGAAAGGACAAGAACAAGGCCCCTCCAGCACAGGCGCCTTTGCCGAGCCAGCAACTCGCCAACGACGAGAACCAATCCGGCGAGCAGAGTGCAGGACGACTGATCAATATGATCAGCGCTGCGATGCAAGGGCCCCCAGCTGATCGCGACACGAACTATTCCCAGCTTAATGTAAGCAAACAGCCCGATCGTCCAACCACGCCATTTTCTTTCGTTGGCGGAAGAGACGAACAAGACGCGTTTGAGATGGTCGACATGCGTGAGCGCGGATCCATCTCTGACAACGATAGCTGGAAGGAGGGTGCGGAGGGAATTTCTATCACAAGATCTGAGGGTGATGCCATCCGGCAAGATACTATCGACGTTATTCCCCGGCCCAAGTCGGCGGGTCCGTCCAGCCAGCATCTGTCAATTCCAGATGCGGATAGACCTCAAATCACGAGATTCAAGAGCTTGAGGAGTGGTGTGTCGCGGATGAACAGTAACATCAGCAGATCGTCGAGCTTGAAGAGGTTGGGCAGTTTGAAGACAGCGCACCGTGCGTGGTATAGGGACGATATGGCGATTGAAGGCGCGATGGGAGAGCATGCGGTTCCTGCTTATTAAAAGTATAGGATTGTATTTAATGTTTAATCAAGGTGGTGAAGGGTTTATGACTGGCTTTAGATGATACCATTTCCATTTCGAATTTATGTCTTTTCCATGCCTCTACTCATCCTTCGATACCGGGCCTAAATGCATGTTTCCAAGACAATCACAAAAACCTAGATGCTTTTCCTTCCTGTCTGCTCCCCTTCGCCTTCCTGCTCCACAAGGACGGCCGCCAGACGGTCTGGTCCCCTCGCCAATAATGGTCGTGTCGTTACGAATTCGGGACGTTCTCATCCCGGTCGATCAATTTGATCCATGGCCACATCCATTCCTAGGACTGAGGTGATGTCCAGCATTATTGTCACGCTGTCTGGTTTTCTGTCACTTCGCCTCATGAAGATATTCGACTCCTCGACTCACTCTGCCTGCTCTTTTACGGATGAACTGCACAAAAAATCGATCACTTTTCCAACTAAGGCAAATGGGTTGCCTTCACACTCGCTTACTGACTAATCGCATAAGCCCCTCTCCCGGACTCCCATAGACCTCGATCGCACTACCCTGATGATGCCTGTTCATGTCCTATCTCTTCTTCCGCGGCTCCTTAAACTCGCTGGGAGTAGTCTGATCAATCTAAACTGGAATGCGTTGACAAATCTGACAGGATCCTGAGTTTCTTGCGCTACTACGACTCTCAGTGTTCGCGCCGGTTCATGTCATGAAAGGCCAACTTCTGCCCAATACCCCCGGTCTCCCTGATGTTGGTGCAAAAAAAGAGACCGAGCCAGGGAGTCGGATGGACCTGCTGTTCATTCCGCACTCCCGCAACCAAATCATCAAAGCAGGAACAATACATGATAAGCGAGAAATCAATCGTCGAGCGCAGAAGAATGCATTCATCAAACGAAAACAGGCACGACAAGATGAAGCTGTGCGAAAAGCCGAAGCAGCTCCTTTTCGTTTGTTTGGTGATCTTCGTCATCCTGAACCTCAACATGGCTCTCAAACACCCTCACAGGAACCAGAAGGAGTTGAAAGGCCGAGTGGGACCACCGCAGTCGGTTCGCTACATTACTATCACGCACCCAGCGTGACTACTTACCTGGACACCGGTCGAGTTGATCCCTTCGACACAGGCAAGATTCCGATGACTCCACAGATGCAAAGCGTCTTTATGTGGTACTTTAACGTGATCCTACCAGTGGTCGAACCAACGCAGGTAGAAAGGGACGATTATAGTCGATGGGCAGTACCACTATTTGGCCAGAAGCCTGCGTTACTTTACGCTCTCCTGACTTGCATGGCCCACGACATCGAACAATCTACTGTGGCCGGGTTCGGTCCTCCAACAAGGAGGAATATGACTTCAGAACGACTTCAATATAAGGTCAAAGCCATCGAGGCACTGAACGAATCTCTGGCGGATCCAACAGCTGCGGCCGAGCCATCAACGCTTCTCGCGGTCCATTTTCTTCTCTGGCAAGAGGTTGGTACATCCCCATCTATGGCTTTTGCATATTGCCCAATCGCAACGGCATCTGATACTCTCCTACAGATTTTTGCCGGTGACGAATGTGTACACCTGGATGGTGTACAGAGACTGCTGGAGTGGAGAGGCGGATTTCATGGGCTACAACGGAAAGCACTGGAAGGCGTCATGCTGTACGTATACCACTTCTTCTTCCGACTCGACTTGATATCGCTCTTCTAATCGAAAGACGACACAGAGGATGCTTCTGGAGGGCCATTAGGACCCGAACGAAACCCACTCTTCCAATGGTGCCGGGTGACTTTCAACTCACAGACGAGCAATTTTCGAATATTCTGTCAAAGTGCGACCCAGCGATCGCTCGAATAGGCGAAGCCTTCCAAGACCCCGAACTCAGTCCTCTCTTCGATGGCGAGATGTTCCAGTTGCTCCAAAACGCACGGAAAGCATGGGTGTAAGGAATCCTTTTTTCCCAGCTCCGGCCTCACAGCAGCCCGCTCTGTCCTTTTTTTTTAGCGAAGTGTTCGCTAACGCCCAATGGCAGATGCTTCGAATTAATCGGTGTTTACGATTTTCACCCGGAGATCAAAAGACAAGCCACCATCATGCGCGTCAATATTGACCATCGTTTGCTCTCATATCCCTTCGACCACTATGGGACGCATCGACCCATCCAAGAAGCGATTCGTCAAGCTTTTGTCACCTTCAGCAGCGCTCACTACTGTGTCGTCCAACCATCTAGCAAGATCGCCCGTTGCCATATCGAGGATTTACAGAATGCACTTATAATGACCGACTTGAAGTCCTGCTGGGGCACTGCTAGCAGGGCGCTCCTGTGGGTGTTATTTCACGGAGCGCACCTAACCTTTGGCCAACGTGAGCGACCATGGTTCGTGACTGCTCTCGCCAGAGTCTCGCAGAGCCTGCAACTACAGACCTGGATACAAACCCGGGCGATACTCGTACGGTTCTACTATGTCGATCGGGTATTTCAGGACTCCTTCCGGAAAATCTGGGAGGAGGTGGAACTTGTGCGTAATAGCTTGTCGAGCTGGTTTTGAGTTTCGCTGAGACCATGACGACTTCGGCGTCAAGGCCATCCCGGCTTGCGATTTATATGGCGCAAGAATAACAATATCTTGAAGATGGAGGTGAATATCCCACATGGGAGAAGACCTGCCCGGGGACTTATATATGCGCTTTCTACTATCATCTTCGCGCTAGCTTTCAAGTCAACATGCCGACGGCATCAAAGGTTGATGACACAATATGCGCTGTCGTCAGCAGAGTCTTGCTGACGAACGTAGCCGTTTCTTTTACATGACTGATGCAAATTCATTTATTCTCAAAGACCGAGTGGTGTGTTTCTATGAGGAAGAGTACAGCACGCCGTCTAGCCATTGGGCTGGGGCCAAACTCAATAATCGAAAGGTCACTCTCCCGGCTGGACTTGCTCGGTACCCAGCCTAGATATCTAGGTCAGCATGTGCCTGAGATGGCAAAGGCCTCTAAAGCCTCTGGTTGGCTGGTATAGCAGTCACGGCTTCTCTGTCCTCTGGGTGGGTAGAGCGGTTGGTCGAGATGTCGCCTCGAGAGAGCGCAAGATTGCTACTCATACCAGGGCTGGAAACCCACTTTCCGCACATGCAGATATCCGAAGACTGACTACGCGAAGTTGATCAGCTGCCGCAGCCATGTGTACCGACAGAGTGTCATAGAAGAAGCACACGGACAACGTCGATGACAGTTTGAGGGGACGATGGCTCTCTCGTCTGGACTGGAGGGATTCCCACCGCTGGGAGCGAGGAACTAAAGTCCGACCAACCCAATCCGGTTGTAAGCTGTCTGCATCAAGCCAACCCAGAACGCCAAACCTCATTCACAATCTGGTATAGCTTGATGGCATGCAAGATTAGCGCCTTTACTGGGTTTGAGGGTAGATCAACCCTAAATCAATGCGGCACTGGCGTTCCTGGACACAACAACCAATTACCAGCGCATTCTGCCCTTCTACTTTGGACAAAGTGCCCTTCAAAACGTCCAAGAGAGAACGTGGTTGTCGCCCACGCAACCTGATCAAGCCCCTGCCGGCGGTTCAGTCCACTGCATGGCTACGTGAATGGAGAAAAGTAACAAAATTACTCATGATGGCAATGCTAGACTATCTTGGCTTGCATCAAGCTAATCGTGCATACTCGCAAACAGACGGCTCAAAGCCGCATGGAAATGCTTCACGAGTCATTCAAGCTACAAGATGCCAATCAATCATTGCTTCTCAAGTCAACACCGATGACAGAGCCTGCATGAAGGTCTTTCTAAAACACAAGATGCCCCTGCCGGGTGACTACGGCTCAAGAGGCTAAGACAACACATGGGGGTTTCGGTGCGATCGAGACAAGTCTACTAACATCATCGCCGTTGTCGACCGCAATCAGCTGAATCTTGCACCAAGACGCAAGTCCGATGTTCCTATGCTACTGGCCATCAGCCTTGTTGGACTCTCGCAAAGCTATTATCGATCGTGACCCAAGAGCCATGTCTGCCTGATAGATACCTCATCGAGCTATGACCTTCTAGGTTCGGCTCTGTTTCCTTGCGACACGTCTTACCAAGAAGACTATGTGGGATTTGAACTATCTCTGACCCCTTTCGACAGTGTAAGTCTCTATTTCGGGTGCTTTGGTCCACAATGAGCCATTAACATGGATAGCAGAACATCGAGGGTCTGATGGATCATCCAGACCTTGAACACGGAAAACTCATGCCGCATCAAACGCAAGATAACATTGTAAGAACGAACGATTTTGAGTGTGCGGAGATGCTCGAGAGGACGTCCTCTCGCGAACCATCTTCGGAATCATCAATAAGAGAGGACAAGCCCTGAGATTATGCAAAGTTGGTAAGTTGTAAGACCCTACTGTCCTTTTCCGGAGCGAGAGGGAAAGAAACCCCTTGCTTGTCATACTATCCGAGGAAGAGACACTGAGCCAGTTCTGTTGTTGTAGAGCCGACGTGCTCAGAATCGCGCTTCTCAGCGAGCTTTTCACGAGCGCAAAGAAAAGCACATCAAAGGCCTGATGCGGCAGTTTGGGGCGTTGACGGCCGCACATAATACCTTTTAAAAATCTTACGCACAACAACGCGACGTCTTGGTACGGCTTCAGGCACATATAGCAGAGCTCAATGCCGAGATACGTACGATCCATTCGTCTCGAGATACGACCAACATGACAGTGGATGGCAAGGCCAGTAGCTGGGACAACTTTGGCGCATTCGATGCCTTCACATTTACTAGTACACCGATCTGTTCCTCCAGTCAAGAGATTCCACAGGTCACGGATAGACAGTTGGGCTTGATGGGTATGAATGATCGTTTTTATGACACAGATGGAAGACTGGCCGGGGTTTGAGGATCGTTTATCTCTGCAGTGAGGCTAATTTTGCGAGGAGATTCGTCGTTTTGCATGTATTTGAAAGTTTTCGCGTGCATTGTTTGGCCGTCAGTTTCAGTCAGTGATGAATGGATTGTTTGATTAAAGTCATGACGGGGACGAAAGACCGCCTTACTAGCATACTATATAAGCCAGTCTGAACGATCAAGATCAGCATTTCATGTCTAAATTCAAGGAAAGATCTCCCCTGTTCTCCTTACAATACGCTACTGGTGAAGTGAAAAAGGCGACGAGGTGATGAGGCACAGTCGAACCCACGTCGGTGTCGGCGCTCTCGAAGACAGACCTAGTCGTGGAAGCAGTGGCCTCTGATACCAAGCTGGCATAAACCACTCCGTCGAAATGACAATGATACAGCCCCGATAGAACCGTGTACCCGCTGTCAAGGACTTTACCTAGAGACAGACAGACGAGGCTACGGAAGATCTAGCCAGATGTCGTCGCTTGCTAGTAGCGTCCTGATCTTCAAGTACGACATCGTGGCGAGCCTGCAGGGGAAAGAAAATGCAGCAACAAAAATACTAGTAGTGACCCTGGCGCTTCCCGCGGCACGGCTTCGCTGCGGGTTTGGTTGAACTAACGTTAGTCGTCCGGTACCCAATCGCCAGATGTTGGCACGACACCCACACCAGGGTCAGTGTGGACGGCGAAAGGGTTCCAGCCAGGATAACGTGGAGCTGCGGTCCGTCGATCCGTCGTCTGCGGCAATACCCTGGAGCCGAGACGAAGCGTATGGCCAACAGCGCCGAATGGCGTGGGTGGACAGAACCACAGCGTACTAACTAGTACTTACGTGCATGTCCAGACTTGGTCGCGCCGATCACAGACGGGGGAGCCACCCATGTATGCCCAGAGGACAGAGCTGTCTGGTGAGCTTTGTCGATTGGCCTGCTTGGCCTGCTGTGCTGTCGAATCGGACAGCTGCTTGTCTCCGGGGTCGCGGGATAAGTGCCTCTCTCTCCCGGGTGAGTGACGGTCTCGGGTTCATACGGAGAGCGTGCAAGTGGCAGAATACTAGTAACTCTTGGTATGCCAGAGCGAAGCATTGCCTCCCTAGTTTTGCTTCGGCCGAGGTGGTCTGTCCAGGATCAACTGGCAGATTGCACTGCACCGCACCGCACCGTCTTGGGATGTCTTCGATTGCTGCTTGTGGTCAGGGCATGTGGTTAAATCGTAAGCAGGTGTAGAGCGTGTCTATCGCCGATAAAGCAGAAGTGCGTCCATGGACTTCAATGGCTTGTGAGGTTTCCGGATGTCTGAGAAGGTGTGGTAGATCGTTGAGACTGGATCGATGCCCTGGGCGCAGAGATGTGGCCTTGCTGCAGGTAAGTTTGGAGGATGAAGCATAGGTATGGCATATATACTCGAGTAGTTGTACTGGATCATCTCGTTACAGGGGGAAATTTATCAGCGACAGGCTGAGCACTAGTACCTACATAGTCTGGTGCAAGAAGATTGTATTCATCATACAGTGAGCAAATCACCTGGGAAGTCCGTTCAGCTTCAATGATCGGACAATAGCATCAGTGACATTAAGAAAATGCAGTCTTGGGCCTTCATGGAACATTTGAGTAGGACTGATGCTTTGAAAGACACCACGTTGCTCTGGTGTGCTCAGTACGGGTGTTCATTCGTGAGTTAAGATACGTTCATTCCTCCTATGTGAGATGCATCTGTAGAGCGTAAGTTAGGGCGGCGTCATCCTCGTTCCGGGGTAGCTGCCTCGCTGCGCCTAATAAAGTGATGTCAGTGCATGGTGCCCGTCTCAACTCCACCATCTTTCATGTTTCAGCATCCACACTGTCCAACTGTTGAACAACTCCGTATCCTGGAACAGACCCTGTCAAGCATACTGCCGCAACTACCGTCCTGACCAGAAGCTCCTGGTACCTCGAACCACTCATCTCTTCAACCAACGCATCCTGACTCGCTTCTCAATCTGGCAGCCTTCGCATTCCAGCACGCTCTGCAACGCCTCGAAGCCGAGCGACGAGCTCGCTCTTTAGCAGACATGGGCGACCTACAATTCGCCAAACAGTTCCTCACCTCTCTCGACAACAAGTCTACAAAGTACCAAGCAGACCATGTCTTCGACCCAAAAACATACCAGATGCGGATCCCTGTAAGTCGCCTCGCCCTCATTCACCAGCCCCGTACAAACCTTCCACCTTCCATTACGGACGCCACGATACTGATGAGGAGATGAACAGTATACGTTGCCCAAACTCTCCTGCCCACCACACCCTCTGCCACCCAAAACGAAGCCTGCACCCGCGCCCGCGCCAGGCTCCGAATCGGCGAAACCAACCGTCTCCCTCACCCTCAAATCCGCAAGGAACCCGAACATGACTCTCACCTTGCCCCAGATTGATCCAAGTAGTACCACAGTCCAAAGTCTGAAGGAGCAGATCCAATCACACCTGGGCGGTTCCGGCGTCGTACAGATCGAGAAGATAAAACTATTGCTGAACAAGAAACCCATTCCGCCTTCGAAGAAGACCGTCGCGGAAGCGCTAGACGACAAAGAGGCCAAAGGAAATATCGAGCTCGGCGTGATGATCATGGGTGGTGCGCCCGACCCGCCGCCTCAGCTTCAGGTGCCGCCTGCGGAAATGGCAGGCGCGCCAGGGAGCGAGAAGGCTGCTGTTGAAGCGGAGAGCAAACCGACACCCATGGAGGGAGTGGAGACGCAGCAGGCTGAGTCAGGAGCGCCAGTACAACCTGGCCAAGCGAGTGGCGAGAGTGTGCTACAGACGGATGAGTTTTGGAACGATTTGCAGGGTTTCTTGGAGCAGCGGATACGCGACCAGGGCGAGGCTGTGAGATTGAGGGGGGTATTCGAACGGGCGTGGAAGAGTGGGGTTTCAAGGCCTTGATACAAGGGCAAGGCAAAGATTTACCTGTTGGAATTTTTACAGGAACAAGCTATCATGGATGTGTCAGCTACGGGTTGGCTGACGGCATGGACTTCGTGGGTTCTGTGTCGCCCTGCTCAACATATTGTGGCGGTTCTCGAACCGTTCGCATCACCTAGAGGAAACATACAAGGGACGGTCCTGAAAGTGATCCACGTCAGTGTATTATACAGTGCAAAGTACCCACAACCGTCCTGTCACACATTGACCATGACCGAGCAAGTGCTCTCAGAGACTCGGGACATGTGGATATCGAGGATTTTCGTGTTGTGATAAAGACCCTACGAATATGACTCTGAGTTGCCCAAGAACCTTGAACTATCAAGCTGGGGTGGCTGGCAAGGCTGGGCGTAGTACGGTGGTCACCTCAAGGCCGGAAGCAAGTACTGAAGCTCAACTGTCTTGACAGATAGCACAACTGCGCTCCAAGATAGTTGCTGCGAGACCGACTTTCTCTTTGACTACACTCTCAGTCCCGAGCATCTCCAATAAGGCTGAAACTGTGAGGTTCAAGTACTATGCTTTCCTTCAATTGAGCCAAACTTTGCGTCTTCTTCGATACAGCACCTCGGCCTCTTCCACCTCTTCCACCTCTTCTCACCTCTACTCTTCTTCTTCCGACTCACACCCAATATCCAACTAGAATGTGGAAGGCGCCCACCCTACCATACTATTGCTCCTCTTCCGTCCTGCCTGCTCCCCTCCCTACCATAACTGATATCGAGAACGCGCGCTGTACTCTCGTGGCAGGATCATCCAAAGTCGTTCGGGTTGGGGACCATTTTGTGGCTAAATATGGCCCACAGACGAGAGCTCTTGTTCAAGAAGGACTCAATATGCTCTTCGTCAATCAGAATCTCACTACGCCGATACCATTAGTATACGCTCTATATGAAGACGAACAAAACGCGTACTTGCTGATGCAATATGTCCCTGGACACACTCTTGAATGTCTTTGGCCAAGCCTTCAACCGTACGAGCGAGGGGAGATTCTTAGCAAGCTGAGAGCGATTCTTGACGATATGAGATCTCTGCCGCCGCCCTCGCCTTCATTTTACGGGAGCGTCGACCATGGGCCACTCCCATATTTTCTTTTTTGGACCCCGGAACCTCAACAGGAGGTCAACGGTCCCTTCGCATCCGAAAAGGAGTTCTACCTAGGCTTGGTGGAGAAACTCCGTCAAATCCATGCTGACAATAATCGACATACGTCTCGAGTAGAATGGCTCAGGAAACATCTTCCTGAATCCCTTACAGGCCATCAACCTACTTTTACGCATGGAGACATACAGAAAAAGAACATTATAGTCGAAAGGACAAGCTCGAAGCTCCCAGGCAATCAAGACTTCAGTATAACCATCCTTGATTGGGAGAACGCAGGCTGGTACCCTAACTACTTCGAGTACTTCTTCTGCTACACCGGCTTTTTCTGGGACGATGACTGGCCACAAATGGTCGAGATATGCCTCGATCCTTTTCCTGTTGAGACTATGATGGTCATGCCAATATATCATGACATTTTCTATTAACTTTTGCTATAAGCTACGCCTTCTAGACACCCGACGTTAACCGGACCTTCTCTGTGATACTTTTGTAACAGCACGCTGACCTAGAACCTCCTGCCTGATCCTCCTAAAGTACTAATCTTTACCAGTCTGCTCCGATACCGTACATATTCCTACCCTACCAGAATTCCTTCTCTCTGCAGCGCTGGAATTACTCGTTCCACAGTCCACTCGGTACATTTGATCAGTCCCAGACGTGGCTCTCCGGGCTGATAAAAATCACCATTTGGCTTAATGGGCTCCGTCCTCATGGTGTTTGGATTGAACTTCTTCTGTCAACCTGGCGCAGGCTGTTGGGCACAAATTTGGTCAAACCGAGAGTAGTCACTCTCTCTGATCCTTCCCAGAAGCTGTTTGGAATGGAAGTTCTGTGATTGCTCCGGCTGGCGTCCTGGCTTTTTCTCGTATCTCATACCCATCACCAGGTCTCCAATGACGTGGTGGATGTAGCCGCTCTTGTCGCCCTTCATTTCCACAAAGATCTAGTTATCCGTCAGCCAAGAGCTTCTTAGACCGGGAGGTAGTGATTCAGTGGGACGGAGGAGATATAAAACCTGGCTCCAACTGAGCTTCATAAGCCAGGGCTGCAATATAAGAGTTTGTGGGAAATGAGATCGTGGCACTCACCACAGTGTGATATCTTGGCTGAGGCATATCGGGGTCCTGCACTGCAAGGCGATATTGGACTTTATACACGTTGAAATCCTTTCCGTTGCCTTCACTTCGAGACAATGTTTCTCAAGCTCCTCAGACTAGCCGTCTGCTGGCAGAGCGGCCAATATTATCAATGTTTGCGGTTTGCGGATTGAGGTGGCCCGTGGCAATGAGGCTTGTTGTTCAATGAGCAGTCTTCATCCAGAGCAAGCATCCTCTTCCTTTTTGTACCCCCTCAAGTCTCAGAACCCCTCATCGTTAGACACGTTGCAGCCCATGGTTGATGCAGTGCTAAAACGACCGATGTAGCGGCAGTGCTGATGTAGCAACCGAGAAAGCCATCACACCGCGCCTGACCTTGTCAGTCCCAATCGTTCCTTCCAAAGTTCTATGGTGGAGGTCGTCCTAGAGGTCGGAAAATTGCAGCATTGTTCTTGAGTCTATGCTGGCGCTTCAGTGGCCGCGGCCGTCACAGAGAGACACCATTCGAGAAGGCACCCACCCTTTTGGGACGTACGATCTTCCTCTTGGCCATTCTAGCCTGTATAGTTCCATATAAGATGATCGTAAAAGCGTGTGGTTCAGAAAGTGTCTCCAAATTGATCACCTAATGAGCAGGCGAATCGCTGCCCAGGCGGTTGCATTGAGGCCTGACCGGACCCATGCCTTCGGCCTTGCGCATACTTGGCCAGCACCCATTGAAATATACTGACCAAGTTTCATCATTCGGTAAAGCGTTACTGGGCTTAAGAAAATGTCACATAGTACTAACACCCTCCCTGGTGGTTGTAATATGTTTGAATTTGACAAGCCGCAATAGCGAGACCGGTCAGACAATTGCTGGACGCGGCCAACCAGCGGCTAAAGTCGTGTAAGCCCTCGAGCCCTGTAATTATTGGAGTCATTCGAAATGCAATTTCTCGGTGTAACTGCTACTGGACATCAACAAAGCCTTGCTTTCACTCGCCCTTCTGGACTGCGCAAAACGGGAACACCTCAACATTTACGCAATCATGAAGGACTAGCAGCGTTCTCGAACATTATCAGGTAAGTGCTGCTCTTTTTCTCGGCTCTGGTAAGTCCAAGCATACTCCCGTTGCTGCAGGATTCACACTGAATGATCGACTTAGTTTGTTTACCCCATCCTCTTCCACCATGTCGACGACGGCGACTTCTCTCGTACCTTCTTCTGTCAGGTCAGCAACCGACTCCGCCCTTCAAAGCGCCCAAAATGTCGGTTCGGCTCTCCAGAGCACTCAAAATGTCGTGACCAGCGAAGTGGCCAGCACTACAGGGTATCTCAAGGCAAAGGCGCAGGAGCTGCGATTGACACCCTCCAAGTCAGCAACCAGATCCACAGATTTTTCTACGCCCACTGCATCACCAGGAAATTTCAGACATCCCCAAATCACGGAAATTCTTGCTCGGAACTCTGCAGCCTCCCTCTCAGACAGACGCGTGAAAGGAGCAGTGACCAACGCTGCGGCTCTGCTGCTCTCATTCATGTTTAGCAATGCATTCTGCAGCACGTATGTGACAACCTCGCAGGTACCTTTCTATGACTGACAGCATGCAGCATGACTCCGATCCTTCGAGCCGCCGGCGTTGCAGACGCCCGTGACATTTCTTCTACCATACTCACGATTCTGCGGCTACTCTTATCGGCCAACATGATTCTCCTGCTACGCCCAGCCATACCTTACATCGCAAAGAAAGATCAGATAGCTGACATCCCCTTGACACCATCTCAACGCTCACTCTTGGGCCTTGATCCTTCGGTCGAACCATCACCCAGCCCAGCAGGCTCCTACATCACACCCCCACGCTATCGACGCTCGTCCGGCTCCTTTTCAGGTGGCTCGCGGAATGGCTATGGTTTGACATCCACCGGTCGGCGCAGCATATCCGCAAACTATTCCTCCTCGCCACTGTCCGCCCCACGTCACGCACTAGGCCTCTCCCCATCGCCCACAGCCAGCCCGTTGTTCCATAAAGCAGTCAATCAGTCCTCATATATTCCCGACCTCGACTTCGGCACCACCGGTCCCTCATCGTTCGGAACCAGCACTGGTTCGGGCCTAGGTCGTTCACAGAGCTTGCGGGATCGGGCAAGACGAGAAAGCATTGAGCCAACATCACCGACTCCAGGGACTAAGAGTCCACAGATCGTGCCGGGGCTGAATTACAAGTGGTTATACGATAAAGGCAGGAAATTACCGAAGAGCGAGTCTTATGGTTTCTGATCTTGCATTTGTACTTCTTGTTTCTTGCATATCCAGCATTCTAGCCTCGGAGTTCTTTTCTACGAGGACGGGGCTTCATGTGAGGTTTTCCGCCATTGGGATGATCCTAACAAGAATCCTCCCAGGCCGATGCCACAGGCAGGGCGAAATCTCTAGTCAACATCGAGAAATAGAGAACAATGGACTTCTCTATCAGAACGGCCAGAAACAGCAGGCAGGACCGTATACTAGATAGAGCCGCATTACTGTCCGACGGGCATAGTCCTTGCTAGACCTTCCAGAGAAGATTGTAACACACCGAATGTCGATTCAGAACAGACGTGAGAACCAGACTTATTTGTGTCGACTTTGACTTGATTTCGTCCACAAGCAACTCTTGACCGGGACGATATCCGTTTCATTTTCTGGCTATTCGCAAGAAATTGAACGATGCCATGCCCATCCATCTGGGCTCGCTCGACCGGGCAATTGAATCGGAACGTCTTCACGTTCGTGTTGTGAAGTATCAAGCGCTTCTGTCCCTGTCCCTGTCCCGTCCAGCCTGGAGAAAATCTGAATCTATTCTGAATGTCTTTCCAGGTCGATCTCACTATCGCTAGCAACGTGTTCGCTACCTATCTAGGTACGCGCTTCGACCTTGAGACGCAGTTACGCACGAGGTGAAAGTAACTGTCCGTACAGTAGTAGTAGTAGTAGTACTAGTCAACGCGGAATGACGATTCGATTTCTCATCACACCAGCCTGTCCAGCCTCCCTTTTGCCTTGCCTGCGAGTCCTGGAAAAGGCCATGGCGCAGAGAGACGAGAGCAGCGGAAAAAAAACCAAAACCCAAAGACAAAGACAAAAGACAAAGGCGCTCCTAAAAGGGCCAGTCGCGACCCGACTGGGGGGCGACGGATACAATACAAAAGAGAAAGCGAGAGTCGGAAAATAGATTATATACCAACCTTCGTGCGTTGTCGGCTGATCGAAAAAGAGCTGATTTTCCTGATTAGGCAATCTCGAATACCGAATTGGAGTATATGACATCACTTAATCTTGGCGGGCGAGGGTGCCAAGCTGAGGGATTCTTGAGCATCGGCAAGGGAATATCCGTACTTGTAAACAGCGCTCCAGTAGTGCGGGTCCAACTCCCTACATGTGCATTTCGTGTAGACAAAGACGCAGGACTCGTGTCAAATACTGCATTTAGTGGTAATTTTGAATCCATGGGCACCGTTGGCGCTACAAGAGAAGTCTATGCTCCCCAAAGTCCCTGAGTCCTATGCTTCGCTTGCTGCCATGAAAATTACGCCAATATCAATAGAACGCCCACGTCCAGTCATTAAGGCCGAGTAATATCGCATGCGTGCAGTCTCCTCCTCCCCACGCCCATACCAACCCGAGTACAGGGGTAGCAGACATCTGTGGTCCATCACACCTCTCTCGTCCTTACACCCTGGTGCCCATTCCCAGTCGACCCTTGATAACTCACACTCCTTCCTGCGGCACCCACGCGTCCGACCAATCCACCCAGATTCAACCCTTGCACGCCCTGCACAAGCCGCGATCCAACCGCGTCCACAGCTCCTCTAGGCTGCGAAAGACTCGGTCCTTCCCTTCGTCCTTCTGTCGCGACCTGGAAGAGCTTGACATTTGTCCCGTTCCATACACCCACGGGTGCCGCAACCGAGCCTGCACCAGTCAACGTCGCAGCCGTTGAGGAAGCAGGTGCAATTGTCATTTCCGCCGTGAAGATCAGACTCCACAGCACGCTCATGTACCAGCCTAGGGAGAGCGGGGACCATTCAAACAGATGCACTCTGATCGGGCTCGGGGATGCTAATATTGCGGAAATTGCAGGATGGTTCGCCGTTGCGGGAATTTGGGCGCGGAAGTCAGTGATGGTGGTCTCGTCGCTGCCGAGACTTGGTCGGCGCGATGGAGGGTTCGAATGTGAGTTTGAGGACCCGCTCGAACTATTCAGATTGGTAGAGGCCAACGGATGCGTCGAGAGGACTTTGATCACAGTCAACAACGTATGCAGTGGCAGGTCGGGAAGCCAGGTTTCGAGCCATTCGGTCGTCGGCGTGAACGACCCGCGATGGCCTGTATAGTTTGATGAGGCAGACAGGCTGGTGGTGCTGTTTTGTCGAGAAAACGTCGAAGCTCCGGCAGGCATTTTACCCCGTGCCTTCTCAGACATGCCAGATAATTGTATGGGGACATGGTCGTCAAACGCCGACGATGATGCTATGGACGGTGTTCTCGATGTGCGCATCGAGTGTGTGGACTGCGACGGAGTGGGCGCGTCTTCATGTTCCGAATCGTCTGAGTCGCCAATGGCAAATGTCCCGTCGACACCGGTGTCACGAGTTGGTGACATTGGACCATTGTGAGTGTGAGTAGCCATGTCAACCATGGTGGACGATCTGGAAGGATTGTTGCTCATATCTGATGGGGCATTCTCTTTGCGTCGTTGAGCCGCCCGTTCGATTTCCGCTTGGCCTCCTTCGAGGGTAAAGGCCCGCAGCGCTTCGATCCTTTTTCTCGACCGCCATACAGCGTATATTAGATTGGAATTGGACGCATATTGATGCTCGATCATCGTGGTGATCGCTTCCAGCAGAGCCTGAAGTAAAGTATGATTGCTCTCGTTAGCTAGAACAAAGCTCGGGCTGGACATTGAAGTCAGCAGCGACAGAAGTCGACTGCTAGCCGCCAGAGACAGATTCTGCACGTAGGCAGCCATGTTGTTGATGATGGCCAGCAAAGCGGGATATATGGCTTCAAGCTTCCCCTTACTGGTGGTAATAAGGGTGTGGATGGATATGATGAGGAAGTCAGCATAAGTGCCCCTGAAGTTGGATAGGCGAATGGATGGTGGCAACGTTTCTTGTCCTTCGAACTTCTTGTTGAGGTTGTTCCCAAAAGGCGATTCCACGCTCATGGTCTGAAGAACGAAAACACACATTCGCACGATCCCCTGCTTGGTAGGGTCCGTTTTGTGTTCAATGGCATAGAAGAGCATGAGAACAACAAAGTCGTGAGCCCTATTCGATTCGATGATAAAAGGCCGGAATCGCTTGTTGCATTGGAGCACTTCCCAGAACAACATTATCATCTCCGGAGCCCATTTGACTGACTTTTGGCTGCCAGGAAGGTATGAGGTTGTGGCTTGCATTGGCTGGCTCAGAACGCGTGTCATGCCATCAGCTAGGAACTGAAAGTCTTCTGGTCTATGCAAACGGCCGAGATAGTGACGGTAGAAATTCTTCGATGTTGGAGAATTTCCACCTTCGGGTACCGGGTAGAGGAGAAGAACAAGGAGGAATTGTAGGCTGTATATAACGAGCGTCTGTTTCGAATCTCTGCGGACCACATGGTCGTAAGGTAGTCGCCAGGAAGTGGTGTTTGATTTGATGGTTGTGTTGACCAGCGAACACAGGACTGACAGAACGATTTGCTTGTCAGGGCAAGTTGCAATGTACGTGATAGCTCTGACACCTTGAACAGGAAGAGAAGTGGAAGGCAAGTACATGGCCTTGCTGGTCAGAGTCAATAGCAGTCGCAAAACCTCACATCTGTTGCCCTCGAGCTCCTTATTGGTTGGTAAAGACGTTTTGCAACCGACGCCGCTCTGCCAGATAGCGTATGTGACCTTGCTCTTAGCATCGGGCAAGTGAGGTATCGTGAATCCAGCATAGAATAGGAGATCGATCAACGTATCAATCAATTCCTCGGCGAGAGGCTTAGCCTCCTCGAAGTCCTGCTCTTGACCGTCTATCTCCTCAGTCTCATCACGTCGGTTGTCGTCAAATAGCAGCTCACCCGCAACCTGGGCGGCTCGTGTCCGACGACGGCGCATGCCCCAGAAGAATCTCTCTTCCCATTCTGCCAATGGGTCCGCCTCGTATACGTAGGGTAACAATCTGGTGAGGACTCGTATGCAGTTCAACGCATCTCGCTCCGGGGCGAGGTCTGGATCCGGAAAGGAAGGATGATTCTTTAACACATTGAGGCGCGAGGTCACTGCTAGTATGAGGGTTTCGATGTTTTCGAGGGCCGAATCTCGGGTTCTGCGGATGTCGCTATGGGAGAAGAGACTGAAGACATCTTCGACCGACTCAGGTAATTCCCAGAACTGCCAATGTCAGTCCATTGGCCATCATACCGCCTGGAGAGCTTACACCTGTCCAGTATGGGTCATTGGCGGGAATATTTCTCTCCTCTGATAATCTGAAGATCCCCTGCTTGAACACTAGTTTGGACTCTGATGCACCCATGGCGCAGGCCAGGCATTGCAAAGTCGATCAAGGAATGGCGAGCAGCCGCGATATTGGGGATGGTACACGGTGACATGCAAAGTGGTCAACGAGAGTGTGTCTGTGTCGATGTTGATTGTGCTACGTTCAGTAAAAGGGTCTCCAGGGCAGAGCGCGAGAAGTGACGATGCTGCGCCCGCGTTTGCCAAGTGGAGATGGAGATGGAGATGGAACCCTCAGCCTTGTCATGACATTGACGTTGACTTGTTCAGCCTCCTTCATTGCATTTGACTTGGCTTCTGCAGAGGTTCACCTTTTATTATCTATGAGTTTCTATCCATCGCAGGCTAATGTGTGCAGAGGACTGCTATGATCAAGAACTGTTAAACCAGACGACTTCAAGTTATACGCCGTAATTTAAACCGAACTAGTGGGCTTCTCAACCGAGCTGCCACTGCCTTCCATTTCTGGTCTCATCTTCTTTCTTTCTCTATAGGTTGCAAGCGCCGGGAAGAAGATTCCGGGGTGGATGAGTGTTTGAAGTATCGTGGCAAGGCCGACCATACTGTCAACAAAGTTAGTCTGGCGGTATGTGTTAGGGGAATTGAGGAATAGCTCACCAACTCTCTGCGCCGATAAACAATGTCTGATCCTGCATGATAGGGTTGCGCCAACCGCCAGCCATCTCTCCGATCCGGTAGACGCACCGAACAAATATTGCAAGAAATGCGACGATGATAGAAGCTAGAAATATTCGAAATTTCGTGTCACGCAGAAGAGGTTGAGCGGAGGGAGATAGCGGCTCAGATGATCTGAAGCGTCGTATCGCGTAGTCGGCAGTAGCGCTGGCAAAGAGGAGAAGCGTCAGGACCTGCCATGAGATACCGGTGATCATAAGGCGGTCTCCGACGTTTCGGAGGCTTTCGTTGTCTCCTGATGTAGCTGCAATACCTCCACCTGCCGCTTGCAAGATGCTGGAGTACGTATCTGGTCAGCCTCATCGTTCAATACATGCTGCATGAGAAGCCTCAGGCCCAGGGTTTCGAGGCAGGGCCCGCGGACCAAGCGATCGGCTCGCTTTCTGGGAAGAAGACTTACAGAGCTGATATATCCGCCGAGATGAAAGCCCACGTGTAGTACTTGGGCCGGATTCTTGACCAGTCTCGACCAAACTGCAAGACTAGATGCTTCAGAATGAGGTACAGAGCCGCCGAATTCAGGGCAGGTGAAAAAGTGAGGCAACAGATTTGCATTTCGAATCCGACGTCGTCAAAAGGATTCTTGTGCATGATACATCGACCAATGTAACCGACAGTAGCCGCGACACAGGCAAGACCCATCGCAAACATGTAGCTCCAAGTGCGATAACGCCAGCCCATGCCGATGTTGATGATGAAGCAGATGCCAAACAATGCCGCAAAGAAGGCATTGCAGGCAAGAATAGGATAATAGCCATAGATGGAAGCCTTCACTGGGCATGCTTCGGAGACAGAATCGCAGTGGAGAGGGTTGACATGAGATGGGTCGACAGCCATATTTGATGCTGATATCAGTGGCTGAGAGTAAGAGGTAGTACGAAGATTGATTCAGTCTTTACTGATACTTCTGGGCGAATTGCTTCTTGGGTGGAACAACTGAGAAAGGACGGGGAGAAGGTGATAGATATAGACGAAGAGGCTGCGATGGCGGAGTTCTTCATCTGATCAGTGCAATGAGATGAAACATGGTAAAGGTTGGCATGGGCAATGTATAGCCACATGGCCAAGGAGTAGAAAAGGGATAGTATGAGCATGATAGGCTGAACAGCCTTCATACCAATACTTTGAGGTTGGCAGCTCGCGCAAAAGAACGCTTTGGGCCAAGTGGTTTTTCAACGGACAACATCATGACTACTTGACAACGCGAAGTAGAACAAAAGCCGTGTTGAGATCCTGGAAGAGCCTGGATCATACCAATCGACAAGCCTACCTGCCCGAGCTCAAAGAAATCAGAGGCCAATCAGCAATACTCTGGGTCTCCTAGAATACTGCATATCAAAGCTCGATGGCACCTAGATGGTCACGGATGGTGAACTGGAACATTGAAACGCTGTGTCACCCGAAAGGACAAAAGCCAAGCGATGACTCCAGAATGCGCTATCCCAATTCCGGCGTCTTCTGCGAGTAGCAAGTGCGTCTTACGGCCGCAGCCTCGCCGTAAGCTCGCGATGCCAATACCATAGTCTTTTCATCAATCGAGAGGCCTTGTCCCGTTACGAGCTTAAAGATAATGACAGTGGAGGAGCATTTCTCACCGGCATCGCGAACAACTCGTTCCAGAAATCGACGAAGTAGGACCATTGTGACCATTCGTGCCATTGCACATGAAAACCCCCGGATCGGAACAACCTTTTTTGCGGGCTTAAGGTTGTTGAAGTCAATAGCACTGGAGGCGGCCAGGATGGTGAGAGTACGGGTTGACACAAAATGTCTCGATTGAACTGTTCATCTTGACGGGATTCCTTGAGTTCTTTATACCTGGACATTCTAAAACATACTCCAAATAGCGGCCTCAACAAGATGAGTGATCAAGTAATTCAAAAGCGCAGCCGTGGGTGATGTGATTGTACCTCGGTACGCGGATCAAATGGGTCTCTCCACGATTGACCATCTCCATGTGTCTGTAAGCACCTCGGGTCAATAAAGGATCTGGGTGATCGTACGGATGTTGAGAATCTGCTATAGATGATCCTTGAGACTTTTTCTGCCTCCTGCATTCTCTGACTTCCCTCGAATCGTTGTCGGCGTCCTTCTGTTTATTAGACAATTACTTATCCGTATCTAGACATACAACTGCGCTCGCTTCGGCAAAGATGGTCTTTAATACAGAACTCACCCGCCGGCTGGGCATCAAAGGTACGCAGGACGTCGCCAGTGTGGTGAATGGCTTTCTGACGACTATTCAGTGCCGGTCGTGCAAGGAGGTATGCAATGGGTCGGGTATGCTGAAATGGCATCAGCTGTGTCGAATGCTGGTGGCTTAGGCATTGTAAGTACCTGGTCTCAACTCTTCGCAGGGCGTTACTGACCTCCTACAGCTCACCGCCCTCACGCAACCCACGCCCGAGGATCTGCGCAAGGAGATCAGAAGATGCAGAACCATGACCAAGAACCCATTCGCAGTCAACATCACCCTCCTCCCTACAATGAACGCTCCTCCCTATGGCGAATATGCCCAAGTATGCATTGACGAAGGGATAAAAATAGTGGAGACGGCCGGGAACTCTCCTGGTCCGGTCATCAAATTGTTGAAAAAGTCAGGCGTCATCATTCTACACAAATGCACTACAATCAGACACGCCCAGTCAGCGGTCAAGCTGGGTGTCGACTTTCTCTCAATCGATGGTTTCGAATGCGCAGGCCACGTGGGTGAATCAGACATCACAAACTTCATCCTACTCTCAAGGGCAAGGCAATCGCTCAACGTCCCCTTCATTGCTTCAGGCGGTTTCGCGGATGGCCAGGGGCTTGCAGCCGCCCTGGCTTTGGGTGCAGAAGGTATCAACATGGGAACCAGATTCATGTGCACGGTCGAAGCACCAATCCATGTCAACATTAAGCAAGCCATTGTTGACGCCTCAGAACACGATACTGAGCTTGTCCTGAGACGCTGGAGAAATACGTCGAGACTGTTCAAGAATAAAGTGGCCTCAGAGGCTGTCAAGATTGAAAAGACGAGCCCAACAGGAAAGTTCGAGGAGGTGGCCCCGTACGTGTCAGGAAAACGGGGCCGCGAAGTCTTCATCAATGGAGACAAAGACTTTGGAGTCTGGACGGCTGGTCAAGTCATCGGGTTGATCCACGATGTCCCTACATGTGAGCAGCTTCTGCGAAGGATCGAGAAGGAGGCGTTTGAAGCCATCGAGCGTACTCGAAAATGTATTCAACCTCAGAGCAAGCTGTAAAACCAGTCGTACCAGCATTTCCTTTGTTACGCAAGGCTAGATCACCCGAAAGATATACACCCGTTCATCAAGTTCATCGAGTACCAAAGTAATCGGTCACGCTAGGCCGTAAAGCGGGCATCCTCGAAGCCTCCGTTATAGTGCCGCGTCGATACTGACAAGAGAGCGGATCCATGATGATGATGTATCACAGTACTGTTTCCACAACCAGGGTAGAGCTCAGCACTTGCTGTGTAGTCGTCGCCAACCAAACGTCTGTGGAGCATTACTCCGGGGAAAGATCTGTCCGGATGCCGATTCGCGCTAACCTCGCTTCGTATTTTGCGAACAAGAGAGTGACGCTAAAACGGCAAAGGAGACGTCTATCTCCCATTATGCGTGATTTCATGCCCATTAGAGCACTGAATCCCTTATGAATGGATTCTACTTTACTTGAGACTGAAAGCCCATTTGCTATTCACAGACACTGGAGCCTTAGATCCGTGTGCGGACTTTACTTTAATGAACATGTTGGCTAATGTCCGGATCGTGCAGCAGCAGTTGTTTATAAAAGCTCGAGTCATGGAATCTCTGGACATTGCAACTATCATATACAGGTAGCAATCGAGACTGCGTATCTTCAAGTCTATTATTTGCAAACTTCCCATAACAAAATGCGCGTATTCGTCACAGGAGCAGCGGGCTTCATTGGCACAGCCACCGTCAAAGAACTTCTCAACCACGGTCATCAAGTCCTCGGTCTTGCTCGCAGTGATGCTTCGGCAGATGCAGTCGCCAAAGCCGGCGCTAAACCTCATCGCGGAGATCTCGAGGACATTGACAGTCTCAAGAGTGGTGCAAAGGATGCCGACGCCATTATCCACTTGGGCTTTATCCATGATTTCAGCAATATGGCTCACTCCACCGCTGTGGACCGCGCAGCTATACAGGCGATGGCAGAAGCCATTGCGGGAAGCGGCAAGCCACTGATCATCTCCAGTGGAACCCTTATGGTAGCAAAGGGCGCTTTAGCCACTGAGGACGCCGACATTGAGCGCAGCCCTGGTTTCGACCGCTGGAAGTCCGAGGATCTGATCAAATCTTTGTCAAAGGAGAAGAACATCCGTGGAATGAGTGTGCGCTTCTCACCCACGGTACATGGTGCTGGCGACAAAGGATTTGCGAAGATCTTCATTGACATGGCGCGTAAAAATGGCCGGGCGATCTACACTGGGGACGGTTCAGCTCGATGGCCAGCTGTTCACCGCACAGATGCCGCTGTTTTGCTCCGCCTTGCTATGGAGAAAGGCACGTCTGGCGGGATCTATCATGCTGTCGCTGAACAAGGGATTCCAGTCAAAGATACCATGACTTTGATTGGGAAGCGTCTGGGCCTTCCGGTCGAGGGCATGTCTCCAGGAGAAGCTGCCGCGGTTCTGGGGTTCTTCGCCCACGCAATGGCGTTTGATAACCCTACGTCGAGCGAGAAGACGCAGAGAGAACTTGGATGGCAGCCTAAACAGATTGGCCTGCATGCGGACATGGAGGCTAATTACTTCGAGTAGGATAGGATGGGGAGGCGGCTTTCAGGCAGTTGTAGGTAGTTCTCTTCTGACCTGGGTCGCGCTTGTCGGTGCTCAAACACATTGGCCAGAGAACCACTCAGACTCAAGCAGAATTACAAGGATATGCAGAGCATTTGATAATCAATGAAGACTGTCCACCTTGTTGTCAAGTACTCGGCAGATCAAGAGATGTACTCTTCGGCTAATCATCGGCTCTTCCGACGCCATCGTCGCCATCGCCAACGAGGCACCTCACTGAGTTTTGACCATGTCTTCCGTCTCGTGTACATGTACGCTCTTTTGAAAGGCACAACCTTGATGGAGCTATGCCACCGATACCTACAGCTCCAGTGACCGCGTGGAATCACCGAATAGTTTGCTACTTTCAGACATATCATCATAACGGCGAATATGTATCATTACTTCCGCTCATTACAAACCCTTCCGGTGTCACCCATGTCATCCTTGCCGCTATCCACGTGAATTGGGATCCCGAAAATCTGACACTGAACGATGATCCGCCAGATCACGAGAGATATACCCAGCTCTGGGATGAAGTGGTCGTTCTGCAGGACTCTGGCATTAAAGTCTTGGGCATGCTAGGTGGCGCCGCCCGTGGAAGTTTCGCGAGACTGGACTACAGCGAGGGCAGGACGGACGTACCTCTCGCACGTTTTGAGGCGTACTATATCCCTCTGCGAGATACGATACGGAAATATGGGCTGGACGGACTGGATCTGGACATTGAAGAGCCAATGTCACTGCCCGGAGTTATCCACCTGATTGATCGGCTGAAAAGCGACTTCGGACCAAATTTCATCATCACCCTCGCACCAGTCGCAACCGCTCTCATGGCAGGACGACCTCATTTGTCAGGATTTGACCACCGACTGCTGGAGGCGGCCAGGGGAAGGAGTATCTCGTGGTACAATGCACAATTCTACAACGGATGGGGCGGAATGAACACACCGGACGCTTATGATGAGATTATGCGCAATGGCTGGCCTGCCGAAAAGGTGGTCGCTGGCATGTTGACAAATCCCAAACACGGTGGGAGTGGCTATGTCCCGTTGGAGTTATCAGCCGCTGTGCTCAGCTTGTTGGTTGAGAGATATCCTAATTTTGGGGGTGTCATGGGCTGGGAATACTGGGATGCTTTGCCTCAGGAGGAAAACTGCTGGATGTGGGCGTACGCCATGGGGTTGTGTATGGGCATGAAGAGGGTGAGGGACGCTGCGATCATTGTACAGATGGGCAGGAACTTGGCGTCGACTCACGTCAATCAATGACAAGAGCTGGGCATTGATTGAGCATAGACTGTACCTGTACCGCGAAGCTAAACGTCTTCCTATGCATAGGATTACTCGATGATGAGCATTGCGGCCAACAAAGGTGATGGGTATGAAATGTAGTGTCTGACCCCAAGGCTGCCGTAGACTGTAGATGGAGTTGGGTACGGTCAGACCATTTATTTATCGACCAATCCTGATCTGGGCGGCCTGCGTCATTGTTGGGTAGTCTCGAGTTGCAGGAGCCTGCTTCACCATTCCCTCGCGTCTGCCCCCAACCAACTTCTGGCCACGATGTAATGTGAGAACTCATACTCGCTGCTAAGGCAGTGAGAAGCTCTTCTTGAATTTCAACAATGGCTCCTACGCCGGTGATCGTTGCTGCCACCGGCTCCGTAATAGCAAGGTTGTCGGCCTACATTTTCCTCCGATGGGTATGGGAGCCATCACCACGCTCAAGATTGACTACTAACTTTGGGTCAGATCCCAGGACATCATTTCCCACCTCTGATATTGGCAAGCATTGTCATATACCTCGTATGCGTGTTTGGCAAGGACGAAGCTTTCGGCATCAGCAGACCGAGGCTGCACGAAGCCTTCCCGAAGCTCTTTCCTCACCGTGAAGACCATGAAAAGCCGGAGGAGCATCATGAAGAACAGCAAGGTGCGGACCATGATGAGCCAATCTTGTACGAGGAGGAGAAAAGGTTCTTCAAGACTGCTGTGTTCGGCATACCCGACTGGCGAGAGCCCGAATGGAGCTATATGACCATCGGAGTGAACATATTGCTAGCCCTGTTCACGCTGGATCTTGTCTTTAGAGGACCACTTCTACACCCTGCTCAAGATCTGAGCTTCACAAGGGTTGGATATGTCGACTCGACTTCAGCCAAGGTCTTGGTCAGAGAGCCCGATCCTGCCCAGCTGCCAATGTATGCCTATCTGTCACCAGCCGACAAAACGAGTTGGACAACGACCGACACAATCTACTATCTTGGCCCGGATACTGACTACACATATGCTATCAACTTCGAAGGTCTCAAGCCATCCAAGAAGTACATATACTCCTTGTCCAACGACAAATCCGGCACGTTTACGACGGCAGCATCTCAGTACTCGGAGGCCGTGAACAGCCTGACTTTCTTAACCTCATCGTGCATCAAGGCCAACTTCCCCTATCGACCATCAGCGCCAGCACTGGCAATTCATGGTTTCGAGCACCTTTCCAAAGTTCTTCGCGGCCTGCCCTCACCAGCCTCATTCATGCTCTTCCTGGGCGACTTCATCTACGTCGATGTCCCTCTTCGCCTTTCTTCCTCCCTTGCGCACTACAGAGCCGAATACCGACGCGTCTATGCATCCCCTTCCTGGTCCTTACCAGGCCTTGACACGCTCCCCTGGATCCATACCCTAGACGACCACGAAATTGCGAATGACTGGTCAGGTGGAAATGACACCGACCCTTTCCCAGCTGCATCTGACCCCTTCATCCACTACCACGTCTCCGTCAATCCACCCGTGCCATCTGGCGCACCAACTGGCCCAGATACAAACACAACATATTTCCAATTCTCCAACGGGCCGGCATCCTTCTTTATGCTTGACACCCGCCGCTACCGCACCGATCCTGAGCCAGCCTCATTCTCCTCATCCTCTTCGAAACCGCTCTACGGCTCATCCTCAGAATCATCCAACCCTCCCACGTACTCGACGAACCACACTATGCTCGGGTATACACAGCTTTCATTCTTGCTCAAATTCCTCGCCACCCCCGAACCACCACACATCCACTGGAAGATCATCGCCTCCTCCGTTCCGTTCACCAAGAATTGGCGCTTCGGCACTTCCGATACATGGGGTGGCTTCCTGCGCGAGCGCTCGCAGATCCTCGCCGCCATGCACGATGCCGAACAACGTCTCGGCGTGCGCGTGATCATTCTTTCCGGCGACCGCCACGAGTTCGCCGCAATCCGATACCCGAGGGTGATCGCCAATGCGACCGTCACGTCCTCGAGCGCTGGCAAAAAGGAGACGACCAAGGATATGATCGTGCGCGAGGTGGGGCCCCAAGCAGGCCCGCATGAGTTCTCCGTCGGCCCTTTGAGCATGTTTTACCTGCCCTTCCGGACATTCAAGCAGGTGGACGACGAAGACGTCGCGATCAAGTACCTGCCCGACGGGAATAGTAAAGTGGGCGTAGTCGAGCTTCGAAATCTCGCGGGCGAGTCGCAGCGCAGCTTGCTCAAGTATTCGTTGTACGTTGATGGTCAGGTGGCGTGGGAATATGCGCTGACCAGTCCGGCGGCTGGCGTCGAATGCAAGTCAAGAGGGAAGTCAGGCCGGTGGCTGTGGGATTAGCTCCTCCAACGCCTAATGTGGCCCGGGGGGAATTGACGTTTCCTTCAAGTCGGAAGAAAGGTAGATACAAGTAGACTGCTCCAACGCGAACATGAGCTATCTTATGCTTTGCAAGACTGTTTCCATTCCTTTCATATCTACAATTCCGTGATTCGCCCTAGGGCCGCGACGTCCGCCTGTTCTACGATCATGATATCGTTTTATGTACGTTGGGAACGTATGTACACTACTAGTATTGTTTCGGGGTCACTCCATAAGAAATCTGACCCTTGCATGAGTGCGAGAATTGATTGCCCCTGATGCATCCTGGAGAGCATGGCTATGAACAGCGATCTGCAACAGCAACAGCAACAGCAACAACAGCCGAAGCCGGGACCCCATTGCTCAGCGTCCGCGGGGCTGTGCTGCTCTTCTCCATGAAATTCTGTCCTGAGCAGTGTCGCGACGTGGCGTGACGGACGAACGAGTTAGTGTCTGAGAGTGCTCGAAGTAGCTGCAACCGATAGCGGCTGAAGCTTGGAGTGTCTGGCTTTAGCCTTTTCCAATAAGGTTTAATCGTCGTAGGATCGATATCGTGCCAGCAGGAAGTCGACCTCTCTGTTCCGACGAGATTGGTGTGTAGAGAGCTGAGACCAGGCTTCAGTCAAGGAGATGTGCTGTCATGCCCACACTCTCTCACGGAGTACGGCTTGTAATGCCTGGTGGCAGATCCCTATAGTGATTATGGGCATCGAGTCGGCAACGACCATTTTCGGTGCATTCAACCCTGTAGACCTAAGCAAGACACCGCGAGGGACTCAATAACATCCAATAAAGATCTGCAAGATCTCGGCATGGCGTGGCCAGGGAAATCAGCGGTTCTGTCCAAATCTACGATCAAAGTCCTTCAACACAGCCATGACATTGGCGGCGTCAATTTCGAGAGCCGGTCTTCCAATCATAGCGGGCTGCGCATGGTTGGCATGTAGCTTCGGCAGCCATGTCGCTATGTCGCCACTGGCACGTTCATATGCCGGGTGCCGACTTAGCGTCGTGTATGCATCCGCGCAGGTCAGCGTTACGCCTGCCTTTTGTGGTGCGGGCTGAGTCTGAGTCTGAGTCAGTGATGAAGCAGCAGCTGCCCGAGAGCGCGTTGTCCGAGGTGGTAACGGGACAGTATCACTCCGACTCTGGCAGCACGAGCCACCGGGCGTCTGGCCACCACAGCAGCCCGATGGCGTGGCTGTAGACTGTGCTCGCGATGCAGCTAATGACTTGCAAAAGAGGGTACTGTTCGGATCAGCGCGGCACTGTGCGCATGTTCCTGGCCCGGAAGCACATCCCGCCGGCATAGAGAGCGCTGGAATCGCCATTGCTACGTCGCCTTCGGATGGTGGTGGAGTGAATTGGTCAAGTTGTCTTGGTGGATTGACCGCTCCTGGAGGTCGAGCAAGATTTACAGGCGCAATTAATTGATTCCGAGCTTGCTCTTGCTCTGCCGCCATTTCAGCACATATACATGGTGTGCCATCCGAGCAGAAGCCACAAGGGTCGGCTACAGCAGATGTTGGAGACCCGTCCTCTGGCCGGGTGATGCTTGGCAGATCTTTAGAGGCGTACATAGCCGTAAAATCAATTTCCATGTTGTCTTTCGGCTCCACCTTGATGCGTTTCTCGACATCCACTTGCACCGGTGAATGAGGTCGTTTCTCGTGCTGGTGAGTGTTCGCCGCGGCTTCCCCTCCCATAGCCTGGAAGGCATCGTCGATACATTGGCAGCGAGTCTCCAAAGTGCAATTGCCACAGCCAACACTGGTGTCATTGATAGCGGTATCTGTCGTTGAAGATTTGTCTTGTCCGCTCTCGCTGGTCTTGGTAGTGCTCGACGGAGCGGACCGGAGAGCGACCAGTTCATTCTCCAGTCTGCGACAACGGTCGATCCAATTCGCCAGATCGGTGCGATATTGGTCGACTTCCTTTTCGAGATCGTCGATGGTTGTCTTCAACACCTCCTGTTCATGCTCATTCTCCTCTTCGATTTGTTTTAACTGTTCTTCTAGTTCTCCCACTCGTGCCGCGCGTCGCTCTCTGAAGGCTCTTTGTGCAGCACGGTTCTGTGCCTTGCGTTTTGTCGGGGGTGTGTCAGTTGCGGGCTTCCGCCCAGGTTTTGGCCGGGGAGGAATAATCCATTCTTTGCTCGTAAGAGAAAGGGTTGTGGTGGGTGTTGTGGACGTGGGGGAGCTGGCGGGAGGGGTCTGTGCAGGTTTTGCGCATAGAGAAGGTTGCCTAGAGAGAATTGGCTTGACGTCGACAGGTGCCGAAGTAAGTGTAGTCGCTGGTGGTGATGCTGCGGTCGAAGCCATCGTTGCGAGACCGAGTTCTTACCATCCGAGATTGGCCGAGGTCTGTACTTGCTGTTGCTGGTCGGCGCTCTCCTATTATGGTGGAGGGACTGCCTAGTTGTCTCGCGACCACGTGCGGGAGACACTAAGGCTCTCACAGGCCTCGTTTTGTGCTCTTTGAGCCTGGGTTGAGTCGAGACGAAGGAAAGAGGCCAAGGTGGGATGAGGTAAAGAGAGAAGAATGATCGGGGCGAAGACTCTGATTATCAGATTAGATAGTGCGGCCGATTACGGCCTTGGCGGGGTGTGGACCTCTTCCCGGTATCAGAAGTCAGGCCACGGCTCTTGGAAGGAACAAGGGTGCAGTCTGAGGGGCCATGATGGGCCCTTCGTCGATATCATCTCCTGGCCAGGGCAATGGCTGGCACTGAGCAAGGACGATACAGGTCATGGTTGTTTATACATTATACAAGAGGCCTGTATTATTCATCACGACGGAGAAGAGTAGGGGTATCATCAACTAACACCCTGAACGCCATGCTTTTCCATCCACGCAACAACTGTACCCCAATAGAGACCGTGAGCAGTATGTTCGAGCTCTAAAATTTACCTCCGTGAACGCCAGTATCAGCCGTGGCTGCCTCAGTACCACTCTGTAGCCCTCCAACAAACGAGGTTCCCCAGACTCCAATAAGTCCCCAGAAACCAACTCTCCAGCCACGATACAAGCCTTCGATGCCTTGACCCTTGCGCTTCCTTCTGGGTGCTTTGCCCATCAACGCTGCTGTCTTGTCCTTTTGAGACTCGGAATACCCTTCTTCTCGTGTAATACTCCAGATTGTAGGCAGAATTCCCCGGTAAGATTGTGGCACAGGAACAATTGTTGTGATTGCCTTGCGCTTCGAAGACGTCGAAGGTGGCGAGTATGAAGGAGATGTCCATGTCGCAATCTGTGCACGTCGTAGGATGGTCTCCAGGGGAAACTTGACTGACAGATCCAACGCAGATCCAGCGAAGGTCGCAAGGCTCCAGGTCGCGGGATTCATCGCTGGGTCGAGACCCAGGTAAGACTTCAGCACTACCGGAGTACTGGTAGAAATCAACGTTGGTAATGTGGAGGTGAAGAAGGTGATAGGGATGAGGTGGACTGGAATCAGGTATGCCGTAGGTAACGTTTTCAGTGTTCCCAACAGTGTGCGTGGCTCTTGACTGGAAGGTGTGAGGATGAGTCTGGTCCTGGCAGCATCGATTGGAGCCAGAACGAGCGAGGATAATGCGGCCGCTGCAGTCGCAATAAGAACTGTAGCGGCTGGAGCGGTGGAATTGAGAATGGAGGTGTCGGGTATCGCCCCTGAAGATGCTGGGACTAGGATGTCATTTTCAGCTACTCCGAACACGGCTGCCAGAAAACTTCGGAAGAATGTCTCCAATGTCCGACTCAGTATGTTGTAGACAAATGTTGAATTTGTAGCCCGCCACATAGCCAACGCACCGCTGCTTGAAGACAGTGCTGAGAGCGCATCGAGAAGCGAATGGGGATTTTTCAGGTGTATCCGCCCGTCAGATTGCTGACCATGACTAGTGTATCGGGGTGATTTGTCCCCTGGCTGTGGCCTTCCACGCCGGCCACGAGGCGGCGAATGACTCGAGATAGGCCTTTCATAGGGTGCAGCTGAGGTAAAGTAATTGGGTTCGTTGTCGGAAGAGTTATCATCATAATCGCCAAGTAGTTCGTCTTCGCTTGCATGCCTTTTTTGCTTTGGCAGTTCTTCATCATCTTCCTGTGCAACGCGTACTTGGAGAACGAGTTTCGCGACTTCGAAGGGCTGTGCTAGGAGAACATTTGCGTATTTCCAAAATGCTCGATCAATCACTGACTTGACTGACCCGGTAATGGAAGGGCTTGCTTCAGGTATATAATCCGAGTAGTCGATGTCGGGGAAGGAGAAGGCTGGACCTGAGGAAGGCTTGGATGTGCCTGCGCTGGAGTTGGAAAGTGGCTCGGTTCCTATCGATGGAGGGACATAGTAAGGGCGTAGAGGGTTCGGAACATGCCTCGTGTCTTGCATGATGAGAAGCTACAGAGGCTTGAGATTTCCGTTGACAGTTTGACCCTCCTCTGCTTGTCTTCATCAAGTGAGGTAATTGATCATTGATTCAAGATGGGCGAATTTCGTACTGTGATGCCGATGTAGTTGCAAGTTGCTTCACCGTACATCAGCCACAAGCGCAGATCGTCACACGTGACCCGGCCTGGGGCATTGGTATCCTCCCACGCCGCTCCGTACGGGGTACTAAGGTCGTCACTTGCTTTCTTGCATAATAACACCCAGCCATGTCACGACAAGATTTTGATGACTAGAACCATTACAAGAGGATTTAACGACCGGACATGTATGGAAGCTCCGAATTAGGTGAAGGGAAGACATTCCAGGAGGGTCTCCGGGTTCCGTGGCAGATGTATCGACCATCAGACAAGGCTGGGAGTTCATTCCAGCCCCCGCGCTCGTCAACGAAAGATCGACTACAGCGAGCCCAATATCGTGAAGATATATCGTGGTCTTGCCACAATTTGCGGCAAGTATTGCGCTTCTCCGGCTCAGCTGCAGTCCTTTTTCTGTGTTTTCACTTTACTGGACATCATGCTGGGGAGAATTTCGCCGCTCTGTCGGATCCCTAATGGTTGACGTTCTAACTCTAGAACCGAGTTCTGCCAATACATCACCAGGGTTCGACCTGCCGTGGCCCCAAGAGCCAGCATATGCCGGATTACTAGTAGGAGTATTCGCTTGGCCTTCAATCAATGACGCATGTGGTTGACAGGGTTCTTCGGATCCGGTGGCGGGGACCCCACGACGAAGGCTCTCCTGTCCCCCCTCTGATAACAATACGAGCAATACTCCAGTTCCATCATATAAAACGGACCATCTTCAAGCCTTTCTCATGAACATACTCAGCGATATCTCCTCAGTCTCATTCCCCACTGCAGCTCCCACGTCTGAGAATCTGGTCGTCCAAGATGAACACGTCCCCTTCGCCTGTTCTTGCAGAAAAGATGCAGGTACAAGAACATGACGAGAAGTCGACCCTCAATAACAACGAGAAGCTGTTCGAGCACGCTGTACGTCAAGCATATTAGACGACCAAGTTGTACTACTCTGAGCTGACGTTGCCTGCTGTGACAGGCTTCCACCAAGCACCACGATCCTAACTGGACCGGCGATGGCATCGACACAACAAGCGTTGACCCACAAAAGACACTCCGGAAGATGGATTTACGCTTGATACCTATGCTAGCTTTACTCTACCTACTCTCCTTCCTTGACCGTGGAAACATTGGGAACGCGAAAATCGCAGGAATGGAAGACGACCTCAACCTATCTGGCCCTCAGTATTCGCTCTGCGCCACCGTGTTCTTCTTTACCTACTGCGCCTTCGAAGTCCCATCTAACTTGCTCCTCAAGCGCTTCCGGCCAAGCGTGTGGCTGCCAGCTATAATGGTAGCCTGGGGGTGAGTTCCGTTCCTGAGCTTTGAGACGCGAAAACGCTGACTTGATCTACAGCACTGTCATGACGCTCATGGGCGTCGTCCAGAACTACCACGGCCTCCTGATTGCTCGCATATTCCTTGGAGTCGCAGAAAGCGGATTATATCCGGGGGTGGCATACTATCTTACTATGTGGTATGTTACCGAAGAGCTCGCATTCCGACAGGGCCTTTTCTTCAGCGCTGCAAGTATGGCCGGCGCGTTCTCTGGTCTACTGGCCTATGCCATCTCGAAAATGGACGGTGTTGGTGGCTACGCTGGCTGGAGATGGATCTTCATCCTAGAGGGGCTACTGACTGTCGCTGTGGCGATTGTCGCCTTTTTCTTGCTCCACGACTTCCCAGATACCGCGACATTCTTGACTGTGGAGGAGAGGGCGTGGGTGGTGCACCGCCTGAAGTACCAAGGCAGCAAGAAGAGTGGAAGAGCGATCGCCGAAAGTGACCATTTTGAGTGGAAGTATGTTATCAGAGGTAAGCCTTCTGGGTCCGAATACCATTCTGACCATTACTGATCATGCGTACAGCATTGTCCGACTGGCAAATTTACGTCAGTCTATTCATGTACTGGGGTGAGTCTTCTCTGCCTGCACAGCTGTTGAGACTGTTCGACAGGGCTTTTTCGTGTTCATAGTCGACACGGCCGAGAAGCTGTTCTGACAAGTCAGCAGGTATCGTCTGTCCTCTGTACGGCATATCCTTCTTCCTGCCCACAATTATAGCGGATCTAGGCTATACGTCCACAACTGCGCAACTCCTTACGATCCCGATCTACGTCTCCGCCGCCATCTTGGCCATCCTGCTGTGCTGGATGTCCGACCGTGCTGTCAAGCGTGGCGCTTCCCGCTGGGTGTACATTTTCGTCCCCATGTGTGCTATCCTGGTCGGCTTCGTCATGGCAATCGCGGCCTCCGCGACAGGCGGCGCCCCCGGCGTGGTGTACGCCGGCATCTTCATTGCTGTCTGCGGTATCTACCCTGCTTTCCCGCAGAACGTAACCTGGATCGCGAATAACCTGGCTGGAAGTTATAAGCGCGCCGCTGGCATGGCTGTTCAGGTAAGCTGCTTCTCCTTGGCCGGCGGATCGCGCACCCGGACCGGTGTCTCCTATCTCGCAATGTCTTGTTGGACAGTCGTACAGATACTAACACGGTCTTCACTGCAGATTGGCCTCGGCAACCTCGGCGGTGCTTTTGCTAGCAACTTCTACCGCGCCAAGGACAAGCCGAAATTCTTACTCGGCCATGGACTCGAACTCGGCTTTGTTGTGCTGGGAATGTTCGCCGTTCTCGTGTTGAGATTTGCATACGGACGCATCAACGCACAGAGAGAGAAGAGTGGCAAGGCGCATGGTCTTACGGATGCCGAGTTGTCTGACCTGGGCGATAAGAGTCCGTCGTTCAGGTACACGATCTAGAGGAGTGATACATTTCTCGCGCACTATTGAGGACTAGAAGGACGGAGACAACGAAAGCGAGCATCGAGCTCCACGTGTTAGATTGCTGAAGCGAGGCAGGCTTGTACGAAGAACGTCGGATCGTAAGAGCACCAAGGAGAGCTATTCTGAGGCGTGGGGAGTTAATCCTGATGGAAATGAATGATACTAAGAAATCTTCAACAACACGTTTGTAACCATTCCGCCTCAAGGCCAAATCTGCAGTTCCTTCACACCGTCACCGCATCTCGCACACGACCGCCTTGTAAAGATCAATGTTCGACAGCATCTGCGATACCGCCAGGCAGGCGATTCTGCAGTATCCAACAGCGTCCACATCCGCACCACCCACACCACCCTGGGTCTTGATCTACGATTACTGATTCCGGAGATCTAAGCCCAGGTCGCCTCTGTGATTGTGTGCCGTCCTGTGTACTCATATCAAATCGGTACCGAACGGCTCCGAGCCAAGTCGATCGGCAATTGAGAGGGATCATGGATGATTGTGGCAAAGCTCCATTGGGCGGCGGAGCACGACCCCCGGCTTTTGAAAATGCTACCCAAGCTTTGTGGCAAAGCCACAGCCTCGCATAAGTGGTCGGTCCGCTCACGCTCGAAGCGAGAATACGAGCTGAGGGGCAGCACCACGCGGGTCGACGTCACATCATCACGACATTAATGTACTTCGTTCGAGATTGTGCGAATGTGCAAGTAGCCCGTCAGAGCGGAGGCTGATGACAGCGTACTCTACACTGCATCAGACTCGTACTTGACCCTGAGTCCGGAGCAATCAGTGGAGTGATGCTCGCAAGCCCCAGCCGACACCCTGGTAAGCCTAGAAGTTTCTGCCGTTGGCGCCCAGGAGAGAATTTTACCTGTTTGCGCCTGAGGACAAGGAAATTGCCCGGACAATGCATGCGGCTTTAGAAAGCGACCCGTTTTTCTGTCCAGCGGCTGGCGGACAGGGTAAAAATGCAGTCTTTCAGCCAGACCGATCGAAGGAAGAGCTCCGTTGCAATCCTTGTTAAGGTGTGGAAGGCGTACAGTAGTCTCGTTGGATGGCGAGCCGAAGGCTTGAGCTCGAATAGATTGCGTCGCTGGACTTTCCTGGTGCACTTTCCTCAGGTGATTCCGACCTTGACATATCATCCCAGGCGAGAATGTGTGGACCTGCCTAAGGAGATTCCGTGTTCCCGCAAGTGCCCGCCCCCCGACGACTGAGGCTCATTTCCCCAAAGTCCGGGGTTAGGTTGCATTGCCCTGGCCCCACAGACGTCTCCTGGTATGCTTGCCCATGTGGCCGGAGTATGATTTTCTCCTGGCGGATCCGACGTGTTTCACGTGGTAGATGCCCGATCCTGCATGTGCTGAAGAAAGGTACACTTCAGACTGCCAAAATGCGATGTTGCGGCCACCTGCATGTCAGCACGGAGCGGAAGCGGCGTAGGATCCTGCGATGCAGTGCTTTTGCCCATAACAGAGATTGGCCCGGTACGTGCCCTTGGTGGGATTGACGTCTCTGCGCGACTCGGCTCCGGAGGAGGAGGAGAGGGAGACGTTAACCAGACTGTACGCATCTTCACGGGCCACTCGTTGCGTACAACGGCTGGGAAGCGACTTCGATGTTGGCAAGGTCTGCCCTGACAATCTGTACTGACTTGGACCCCTGAGGTAATTGGTCTAGGGTCTGCGTTAAGGTAGAAAGTAGGTTCCGATATGCATCTGCGCTAATTTTTCCCGCAGCGAAGTCTCTGTCTATGGCTTTCTGCATCAATTTGACAGCAGCAACAGCGTGATGCGCATATGGGTCGACAGCAACCAGTGATGTAGTGAAACTCGGTAATTGTGCATTCGAAGCCATGGAATCAGCAGGGACGACATCCGATTGAAGTTGTAGGGTGTATCGGTTGGTGAGGCCGAACATCAGGCAATTCAAGACCCAGCTCTCGGCGTCGACCCTTTTCGCTGAGAAGCGTGAGAGAAGATCATGCCGATCGGTCGCTGCAATCATATCCACAAGCATGAGAATGGACAGATTGTAATGCAGCATGAGCTCATCTTGGAGAATAAGGTCAGCCAGAATCTGTAGAGGAGTGTTGTTGACCACTTACACCAACGAAGCTTCGTTTCCTGGCCAAAGAATTGAATGCGTTTCTGGCACACTTCGAGTAAGCCTCGATAGGTAATATTGAATTGGTCGATCGCTTCTGATACGAGACTGAAAGCCCTACTGACTTCTGCTTCATCATGGCCATCTCGTAGGGATTCCTTCATATTAGCTGTCAGTTTCCACACCAACAATTTCCAAGCGGCGCCTGCTGCTATGACTTGATTGGCTTTGTCGTCCGTCATGTCGAACTCGGGATCATGCCAGTCCTTTGTCATGTCGCGGAAGATCTCCATACACGCACGAACCAGGCGCCAGGAGGATTCCGACTCAAAACCGAAAAGGCCTGAAGAGAGCAATGGCTTGCAGCCGAGTGTCAACGAAGCAGAGGTGTCGAAAGTAAGAGCGACCCAGTAGGCAGTGCTCTCGGCATTGATGAAATTGGCAGTTGCAAGAGAATGAGGGCTGGCACCCGGGGGACGAACGGGGATGTCTAAGTTGACTCGGTTGCCGTTGAACCGAAGACTTCGCTGATGAGCGCGTAGTTCCTGGATCTGCTGAAGTGCCGCATGAACACAGACTTGACCGGAGACACGATCGAGCTCTTCCTCCTCAGAGATACCCGCCGGGATCGGAGTCAGTGCAAATAGAAGCAAGGTCAGCATCGATCGGTAGGATGGCCTGTTGATCACCTTTAGCATGTCCTTGTGTGCACATCGCCAGAGTGCCCTGACGACTTCGGCAGATGAGAACTCTGAATCAACTGATTGCATTGTCAACGGCAGCCAGCGGGCGGCGAATGCCTCGATGGCATGGTCGAGCCATTGGTCGATCTGGAGGTCCCTTTCTCGCCTTGCTGCGTCCGCAGGGCGCCCGTGGTCCAGCATAGCAGCTGGGCTTTCCCAATCCTCGTCCATCCACCGATCAAGCCGGCGACACAGCTGGTGTATGCTCACGCACAATTCCGACAGGCTGTGTTCACCGAATCTGGGATGGTCAGGTTGATGTTGAGAGTTACGGCCATCGTCGTACTCACGCAAAGGGATTACTATATTTTCCCAACCAGGACCCAAAGACTGTCTCAAACACATTCTCGTAGATATTGTGTAGCCATTGCTTGTCGACAATCGTGTCAAAATCGTCCGAGTTCAGGGCCGATTGAGAGTGGATCACCGGTGGGAGATCTCTGGTGGGCCAATTCCACTCGTTACTCAACTGGGATCAGCCGCCAGATACGCGAAGGAGGAATCAATAGATATACCCAGAATGTTCGCTCAATTCGGACATCGAGCGGCCGGAGACAAGGCCTCTCTGCTCAGAGGCTTGTGCCTCAGTGCCATCGTGCGGAGGTTGATCTTGCGCTTTCCTTCGCGATGGTGTCGCTCTGGGATTATTCTTGCGTTTGAGCCACTGTGCATCTCAGGTGGTCAGATCAGTGGTCATTCCCGTGGGCAAGAAACGCTATGGGATCATTTTGTGGGCATGCCTACCTCAAAGGTACATTGACGCTGTCGGTTCGTGCATCTTGTGCAGGGTCCAGCTGCTTGTGAAGCGTCGCTGTTGTGCCGAGTTCTTTGGGCGTCACAGGCCACGCGTGATCTCCTGCAGCTGTCGCAAGAAGAGAATTGGACGCGCCGTGGGGCGAGGTCATCCTGCGCCATGATCCATGGATGTCTAGTACCCGTCTACCATAGCGCAAGAACAAACTTGAACACTTCAATTGTTGAGTGCTTCTCGAGAGTGAGTCAGATGGATACTCCGTAAAGGCGGGGTAGAAGCTGGCGAAAGGAGAGAGGTTGTCACAAAATTCTCCCTCGGCGCCAAGGGGGCGGAGGATTGCGGAAACCAAACTGGGGGCGGGGATCCCCGTAAAGACCTCGACTTTTAGGCGGGAGGCTAAGCCTAGTTTGTGGCCTGGTGAGCCTGCACTAGCCTAGCTGGTGTTCTCTGAAAGGACGTCAACTCACAACCGTCGGCTACGGATTGGTCCCATCAGTCCCCCAACGTTCATCGACGCGGAGCCATTGTACTCGTTTACTAGTTACAAGAAACATTCCTTGAACAACGATGATTGTACTTCTTGATGGGCGCAATCCGCTTCCAGGGCTCGTATTCCCTGCTTCAGACCACAAGGAGTCTCTGAAGTTGATGTCGCCGGTAGTGGTACCTGAACTCTCCTGTCTTCCAATGCACTGCCACCCAGTCTTCATCACTGCGCACTGACGACTAGATTTCAAGACCACTGCGCACTGAAGACCAGATCTCAACAGGAGTCACGGCACACTGCCCACGGCCGACCAATTCTCATGACTGCTAAGGGACTCGCGGACTTACCACGGCCGACTGGATAGACGTGATATATGATCACAGTGACTTCTTGTACTCGTGCTTTAGGAGGCACGGTAGTCTTGCCAGTCCACAGGACGTAGATCAACCGTGGGCCAGGAATGGTGGTGTTCCATTGCCAGTACAGCATTGCATTTTGACTAAAGCATTCATCACGACCATACCAATATCTTGATTACTTCCCTGACCTCGTCCTTGCGCCTCGTACAGGCCAAAGGAAACAGCTTTGCCTGCGCCCGTAGGTGCTGACATCAGCGACGGATTCAGCTGCGAGACCATGTCGGACAACGTATTCTGATCTGCGACCACCAAGTTTCCATGAAACTTGAATCCGCATCGGTTGCTGACCAAGGCCTGTATGCCTGAAGCCTGTTGTGTGCTATACATCAGTCGCTGAAAGTCTGCGCTTCCAACGATCATGCCACCATCAAACTCGAGTACCGCCCCAGGCTTATCGCCGCGCTCATGACTGAGATCGCTTCGAATCGTGGGTAGGCTTGGCCATCTTAACGATGTCGACAAGAGTGCATAGACTGAGGTGCAATTCTAAATTCGTCCTGGGGAGTGGTGGAATCTCATCTCAGAAGGCAGCGAGCTCGAAGGAGATGATCTAGAGGTCAGTGATGCGGCTGGTAGTGATATCCAGAGCGGCAGTGAATACTTTTGAGATCTGGTCGTCAGTGCGCAGTGCGCAGTGAAGCTAAGTTAGCAGTGAACACTTTTGAGATCTGGTCGTCAGTGCGCAGTGAACCTAGATTTTCTGTGAATACTCTTAGGATCTTGTCGTCAGTGAGCAGTGGGCAGTGAACCTTAAGTGGCAGTGATAGCGGAGAGCATGGCTTCGCGATGTAACACCTTCCCATTGCTTGCTGGTGATAGTGTGACCCGGACATTATACTTAGGACGGCGGGAGCGATCGAGCGGTTTTAGCTACGACAGCAGGCCAGGGTAGCAGTACAACTGTTAAAAGCGTAGAGCCAGAATCGATGTTTGGAGTGGCTGTAACCAACTGATGGAATATATGAATGCGAACCAAGAAGAAACGAAAGACCTTGAAGCCGTCGCCGGCTTCAAGCACGAGCATGGTCCCAATTTGCAGTCTTGCGTTGTGGAAAGTGGTTAAGGGATTATCTGTAATCGTCGGCCGGCCATGCTCGCAGTTCCTGGACATCAACTGTTCTTTGAGGGACAGCCTTTAGTAAGGCATTGTCAAGGTCCGGCGTAGGTTGTCATGGTCACCTCGATTCTCGGCGGCGGAAATCAGCTCATATCCCGCACCTCGTCCAACTGCCAGGGAATCGGCTGGCAATGCGCAATTTTCACTCAGAAGAGCACGGCCATCCCAGAGAAGCTGATTTTCACATTGCTGCCAATAGCGTAGGTATCTGGTTTCAGGGATGCCCTTTGGAATGGAATTCGGCTTTGCAATAAGTATTTCCCATCAAAGTTGGTCGTGGTCCTGGAAAGACAATCACAGGCAAACTGACTCTTTGCCTGAGGTGCAATGGTACAATGTTGCCATCAACGTCGAAAAGTCCATGTTCCAAAGCCGAGCTCTCGCACAGGAGATGAGACTTCCTCCACAGTCGGTCATACAGCTGTCAAGTAAAAGATAGAATGGAAGACACCACAGTTTCATCAGCTGCTGCTTTGACGGCTCTCACCTGACATCAATAACAAGATTATGTCTGTCGGCATCTTCACCCTCTCAGGAATTTCGGCGGCAAGTTAGTTGCTGAAGTCATTCTGGAAGACGATTTATGCGGCATCGTGGAGATAAAACCTTGGTTTGATGGAGTCGCTCTTCGAGAGAGAGGAGGCTGAGGTACCTGAGCTTTACGCATGGGCCACAGCAGGGCCTGGCTATGGTCGCACAATGGCTTTGTCTGGGGCGGCAGTGATCTGTGCTCTACTTGCCTGCCATCGAAAAATTCAGCGACAGACGCGCATAGAACGGCAGAACCTCATTCAGGAAGTTTGGTGTCGATGGACGATCGACATGTAGCCAGTCCACTGGACAGGGAAACGGCGAAGAAGCCGTCAGTCAGTCTGTGCTGTAGGAGAACGACGTGTTGGCTCGTCGGTTCAGATGGCAGTGTATGACTAAGAATAGCTCGCTTATCCTTCCACTCTCGACTTAGCGCGATCGCGGGAAATTAGTTGATAATCAGCCAGTGTCCTCCTTTCATCGTCAACAACTCATCCAACAACAAGCCACCTCTCCGCTCTTCCTTTCCTCTACTGCGCCAAGCAGTGAGCGGTCGTGGCGTGGATGGTCCAGAGAGCTGATTCCGGGTCGTGATGAAGGCTCGGCAGATCCAACGGAGCAGCAGTCTTGCAGACATATCCTCTGCCTAGACATCTTCATGGCCAGTTTGGGCCTCGCAATTCTCAAAGGGTCCTCCTTGATCCACACGATCATACAGATGATCTGGACACCAAGCCAATACGACTGCTGCAGAAAGACTTTTCACAGTTCAACTACCCATGGTTGCAAAGCCCCATGGAAGCAGCCTGCCCTCATATGTCAATGAGCTGACGAAGCCCAAGAACCCTGAGTGCATCCTCTTGAGGCATTCGGATGGATTGGTTCGCCATGAGGCCCTAGCGTCGATCCCGACCTCTCCATCATCTGGACAATGCACCCTATCGTCGGTACCAGCCTCCATGGCTCAAGCTCCTGCGCTCTGGACACTTTCCAGTCCAAACATACCAACCGCATGCCTTACCTGAGAGCCATCACTCCACTTCTATATTGTCCCAGAGACATCGTTGGCTGTTCTACCAGTCCATGCTTCTGACCTGTGGCGGCTCAACCCGACCGAGAGTCTGAGCGTAAACAAAGCGTTACCTACCTCGCGCTTTATCAACGTCGCTGTGAGCTCTTTGTTCTCCAGCCTCGATTTAATGACAAGTCACAAAGGTGAGATACTCGCTATATATGGTGCGGTCTGGACCGTCTCAACAATGGCGTCCAGACTATTTCATCCAGACGCTTCGTGCTCTCAATATATTGCCATTAACATCCAGACTGCGCAACTCTTGTGACCTCGCAGTATGCTCTTCTCTACCGCTACTTTGACACTACTCACCACAGCCGTCACAGCTTCATACGTCCTTCAAGATGACTACAGCACAAATTCGTTTGCGGATATGTTCGACTTCTTCACAGACAACGATCCTACCAACGGCTACGTCAATTACATCGACTACAACACGGCCCAAAGCTCAGGGCTATACAAGCTTGAGAATGGTCAAGTATATATGGGAGTCGATTCTACAAACACTGCCTCTGGGCGTGGTCGAGACAGTATACGTATAGCCAGCAAAAACACATACCAGCACGGCCTCGTCATCCTCGATCTCGCACATATGCCTGCTGGTGCTTGTGGGACGTGGCCTGCCTTCTGGATGCTCGGCTCGGACTGGCCCTACAACGGAGAAATCGACATCATCGAAGGTGTCAGTGCCCAAACCTCGAACAACATGGCTATGCACACCGACGCCGGTTGCACAATCACCAACACAGGCGCCTTCTCCGGCTCTCTGGAAACCGCCAACTGCGACGTCAACGCTGCCGGTCAAGCCACAAACGCCGGCTGCTCCATCCGCAGTGCCGACGACAGCAGCTTTGGCAGTGGCTTCAACTCCAACGGCGGTGGCGTCTATGCCACAGAATGGACCAGTGAAGCCGTGAGCATCTGGTTCTTCTCTCGAGACGCCATCCCATCTGACATCACCAGCGGCAACCCCGATCCTTCCGGCTGGGGTCTGCCTCAGGGACAATTCACGGGTGGCTGCGACATCGACGACAAAGTGCGCAATCAACAACTCGTGTTCGACGTGACCTTTTGCGGCGACTGGGCCGGCGGCGTCTGGAGCACAGACTCCACATGCAGCGCCAAAGCCTCGACGTGCCAGGACTTTGTCCAGAACAACCCATCCGCGTTCCAGGACACATACTGGCTCATCAACAGCCTCAAAGTGTACAGCGAGAACGGCGCCGAACCATCGGCCACGCAGACCTCAGCCATCGTCACCACGGTGGCTACCTCCGCAGGGACAGACACCGGCGTTCCCGCGGCGACTTCCGTAACCACATTCGTCACGCTTACGTCGGGCTTGTCCACATACACTCCCGAACCGACTACAATCACATTGTCAACGGACACGCCCGCAGCCGAACCGACCGCCGCAGTGACAACAGCACCAGCAGCCGTGACGCAGTACACCACTGCCGTCGTCACGACAGCTGCAGCCGAAACATCCGCAGCAGCCGGCGGTGGCTGGAGCGGCGGCAGCAGCAACAACGGGGGATGGAGTGGTCGTGGCAGTGGAGGAGGATGGTCAGGCCGGGGAGGCGGAGGATGGGGACACTGAGACCCTGTACCCAAGGGTTGAAGGATCTTCATTTGGGCCTTTTTTCCCTTCTTCTTCTTCTTCTCTTCTTCCACAAAACTTTCTACTTTCGATTGGAAAAATTTAGGGAACATACCGAACTTTACAGCATAGAACGGCATGAATGCATGGAATCGGCGCTGGATTGGACAACGCACACACACACACGCACACACACATACTCACACTCACACTCACAAGGATACCCGGGATACAGTACAGAAAACTTTGAGGTTCTGGAGATGTACAGGAAAGGGAAGGAATGTAATATGTGGTTTACCAGAGATTGAGTTTTTACAGAGAGACTACGAAAGAATGAGTTAATGAAATATGGACAGGATAAGATAGGATATATCAGAGCAAGCAATGAACTAAAGAGATTAGTAGTAGCACTTGCAGCGAAATAGTCCAAGCATATCATGCAAGACGAAACCAGTCTAGAACTTCCTGTCTCTGTCTCTCGGGATTGATTTTTTGACAAGAATGCTCCGCTTCGTACCATGCTCGTCTTGGACGTTCGCGATTGTGCGTCACTTTTCTACCTTAGTCAGGGAAGATATTTCGCTCTGAGTGCAGGACAAGAGGTGACTGACTGGCGAGTGGGTCAATTGAATGATCGGTCTAGGCCGAATGCCCTCTATTTATGTGTCATGTCTCCAATCCCAATATCAATATCATGATATCGGGAGAAGCTGTATACATACGATGAGATCTGGGTATAGAGTATCTGAACCTATTTTCCACTGCTCAATGGTTCTGAAGCACTAGATAGTCGTCCTTTCTTGCGACAATCCCGAAGGAGACCAATTTTCCTGGCACGGGCCTTCATTGGGGTCTTTAGTCCAAAATGCAGACGAAATGGGTAAGCCAAACTCGGAGCTTGTTTGATCGTTTCGTCCGGGTGGAACTCTGGCCATGAGGGCGGCATGAAAACGACAGACTGAAGGGATGCCCGATGTCGGTTGGAAGCGACTCCGGGCTTGGGGCCTGCAAAGCCGACCCCCTTGATCCATCTCCAATGCTCGGACGCGATCTTATCGCCGCGGACTTGGAAGCCAGAAGCATTTGTCAGCCATTGCTTCCATCGAAGCGACCAACACTCCGCATGCTGTCACAGCACTCCTGTGTGTATCCAACCGTGCTGCGGGTTGAGCTAGGATGTTGCAAAGCCATTTGAAACGAGTGGGTACTGGCGAGCATTCCCTGAAGGAAGACATCGATGGTGCAGATACAATGAGATCAATCCAATCATCGCATGGTTCTGCCAGGTGAGTCCCGAAGTCAAGGATCATCGGCTTGACGAGTGACTGGTCTACCCATGGAAAACATGAAGGGTTTGACAGTATTCTTGTGTTCTGGGAATGAACTACATTGTCTCACTGCATGACAGGTGCATCAACACCAAACCAATTCCATCCTTGATCCAAATCGGCACCGCTCTGGCTGAACGGGAAGCTGCCAAATGGGAAGCCTTGTTGGGCAACAACACTAGCCATGCCCCCGGTTCCCATATTTGTATTGAAGTCGTTGACAGCGCTTGTATACGGGCTTTGCGACTGTTGCTGGGGAGTGAAGCCTGAGCTGCTGCTCGCAGTTCCGGCGGCCGACGGGAAATCGGTCGAGGTTTGTGGCGCAAAAGCCATGAAACTGTCAAACGTCACGAAAGGGTCGTCACCCTGATGCCATGTTTGGTCGAATCCAGGTGCAATATAGTCTGTGGACTCGTAGAGGGGTAATCGATGAGCTTGAGGAGGCTGTAAATGCGGGTTGTCGATAGATGTGGTTATTGGTGACGGCTGGGTGCTGCTAGAGGTGATTGACGGCGGAGTCGGTAGACCCGTATTGGCCACGCCTCCAACTGGGACCGTAATATTAGACCCAGCAGTGCGTTGGATGTACGTTCCCGGCTTGATAGGGATAAATTGCTTGCCCATACCAATGGTTATAGTGCCAAAATATGGTATAGATACTTGACACGTCTCACCACACTTTTGTTTCGCTTCGGCATCTGGACAGCCTTGTCGAGTGACCGCAATCATTTCGAGGGCTTGAGCGCTTTGTGCGGCAACAACGCCACCACCTTCTTTAGCGGCATCTTTGAGTAGGGCTATGGTCTTGTCAATAAGGTCGGAGTCTTTTTGATCTTGTTCTAGATCAGGTGGTTGAGAATTACTGCCGCGCTGTTGCTGTGAGTAACCACATAGGTTGAGCAGTAAAAGCATGGCTGCTGTGAAAGCCTGGAAATCGACCAATTTGCAAATGAACGGACCCACGGCTGGATTACTGCGCAGTGCCTCATATATTCTGATCATCTCTCGTGCTGCATCAAGGGCAGCGGCATGTGAATATTGGTATCTCTTGTCGGACGACGAGCGAAGCATGAAAGGCATATGGAGAAGCAATCTAGCTTGATGATGGTAGAACTGTGCTTGTAATCGTTCAAAGTGGTCATCGACAGCGGCTCCAGGAAATTTCTCAAGCGACCACCAAGAGGGATCTTGAGCACTGTGTAACTCTTCCAACTCTTGATCGAGTCGTAGGGTTGCTGAATATCCCATCTGGACAACGCTTTGATTGCGGTCATTGATCTTGGTGATGATTGGTATCATTTTCGAGACATACAGTTCGCCCTCGCTGGCATCCACAGGATAGGGACCATTGCCAGGAATGAAAGGCGCAACGAAATGGTCGGCAACAGAGTATGGTAACCCGAGGAAGAGTGACAGAAATCTGTCGCCCAGTACAAGATGAGCCCATATGGTGTACGATCGTTGATAGTCCCGAGATGTCTTATCTGCTCGGGCGGGCAACTTGTGCAGTCCGAGCAACTGCGCAAAGGCAATTGCTCGATGAAACAGCAGCCAGGCCCGTCTAGGACGACCCATGTTGATCTGATATTTGGCTTCGAGCATCATGCATTCAAGCCCATCAATTGTGGCTGCGATCTCATCGTCCGAGGTGATCAGTTTGTTGACGGTGGCGATATACCTTTCCATCAGATCAGCCGGTTCTTCCCTGATATGAAGTCTTGACCAGTCAAACGATCCAGGTAGTTGGTGGATGCCGATGGCGATGCACAGCATTATTTTGGCGAGTTCTGCTGGCTTTTCGGACCGCAGAGAATGCGAAACTGATTCTTTGATTGTCTCGCAACGACTGTCCGTAATCTCAGGGAACATTTTGCGCCATATTGTCCACCACTCATGAGATGATTCCAGGATGATCTCCAGATCATGTGGAGGAGGTAGTAATTTGTTCAAGGCGGCGAGCAGCGTTTTGTTCTTATTATACTGCTCCCTCGATACCACGGGTTGACTGTCCTTCCTTTCGATGACAGCATTGTCGAACAAAGTCAAAGCAGGCGCACCGTCTCGGAGACCACCCGGCAGCAGGATTGATTCCTCTGGGTCGGCATCGATCTGTCGTAACGAACTCTTCAAGCTTTTCAATACTTCGGCCGCCTGAGCATCAACATGGCTTTTGTCGGTTTCTGGACTGGTGTCGGTCGAACTTGTATTTCCTCCCCGTTCTGGTAACCGATGCAGCACTTGTTTTACCAGGCCCTCGAGCTGCGAAACTCTTTCCCGCAAGCTATAAGTGGATTGCTCCGCATTGGACTGAGTGTAGGTTTGGATATCCCCGTGCTCTTGATCAATACAAGTGGAGCCCCGGGCATAACATTCGTTGCATATAGCAGTCCTCTCGGGCTCAAAGGTACACTTGATCTTTCTCCGCCGACACTCTAGACAACTCTTTGTTCCCTTGCGCATCTTTTTTCGTGGGGGCCCCTGATTGTGATCGGAACCTAACGCGTGGGCATCATTGTATGGGGAAGTGGAATTACTCATTGCGGTTGGCGGGGTGCCGGATGTTCAAATGGCCGGGTTCTCGGTCGAGGTTGACGAGGAGAGGAGGAAACTGTCGGCGCCCGGCGCAGGTGTTGTTGAGAAGAGGTCCTCAATGAGACGAAGAGATGCTTGTTCAGAATACTGATGTGCAGCGATCGTGCGAACAGTGCTCCGCTACACTGGCTGCATTGCTGACAGATCTCAAGGCGGCGACAGATGGCCTGATTGGTCTTGTGAGGGTTTGTGGGATTGATCGACTTCGCGTAGCCTATGACGATGTTCTGGAACAATCAACTCTGGCTCATTCAGGCACTCGTTTCAGACAGCAGGGAGCCACTGCAACAGGCTCTGATCAGTTTACGCACATGATACTGATGGTAGGCAGCAGGCGCTCGGCGAGATTGGAGCCGCACGTTTGACGGCCGTCGGCTGACGGTCCGGAATTCTTTTGTCGTCCGTTTTTCGTCCGTCCAGCTGTCCGTGCTCTGCAAAAGTTGCCAGTGATTGCTAACAATATCATGCCAATAGTTGCTTGTTGGATTAGGCGAAAGTGCGCAGCCAACCAGTCAGGAGTATTCAGACTCCACTGGTGTCCTGTGTCGGGCTTTTGGCGAAATGGAGAGTTGTTTGATAAGCCAGAAGTCTCCGGAAGCAAATCAGGCGTCCATCCGAATCTCGCCTTGTCCGTAAATTCTTCCGTCAGACTCGTGGTCAGTCAGTCAGAGAACGTGTGTGGAATGTGGTGTCAGACGAGCTCTTTGATCTTTGCCCAGACTCGGGGTCCGGAAAAACTCGTTCCATGCTCTCCTGAGATAGCCACGATAGCCTTGATAGGAAAGGTCAGGCTTGTACTTTTGGTCCGTCGAAGAATTCTGGCTTCCGCATGGCATTTTGACTCTACAGCACGGCGTTAGTTGTCGTTCTTACGCTCTGGCTCATCGTCATAATATTGACTCATCAGTGTCCTCACTGGATTCCACCAACTTGGCTGCCTGATTTTTCCCTCCGCCAGTCACCAGTCTACCAATCCACCGCCCGGGCCTTGACTGCCTTGACTTGGGCTCTCGGATCGAACCACCAGTCGTTCATCCGGCATGACACCTTCACATGCCCCTTACACCGGACAGCGCTTCGTCTGGCGGATTTTAAGCTTAGCTGTAACGACACCAGTTCTTCGGATTTCGGAAGACAGCCTCAACCGATGGAGCTCAGCCATACGCAGCCCTGCATTGCTTCAGCCTTACATCCACTTCGCAACAACGACGTATCCCGTTTCGAACGCTAACCCATGATACGATGCCACTTTGATCCACGTCGTCCCCTATTTTGCGGATTTACCACGTTGAGCAGGTCGCAAAACTCGGACGAATCCGTCCTTGAGCCTACTGTGTACTGGAACTTTCTCAATCGTCTTTGTTATGGTGTCAATGCGTAATACCAACGTTATGTCCATTATCTCCACCACGTCACCGTGACAAAAGTCTCCGAGGTGTAAGGTGTATATATCTAGGTATGTAGCCCGTGTTCTTCATCGCTTGTCTGCCTTCGACCAGTTGCTATCTCCTATCCCCGTGTGATATACCTTCCTGCGCAACCACGTCAGTTCTCGCAATGGCGCCCATTCAATCCTCAGCAACGTCCGCTGCTACTTCGATTACAGATCTCTCCAAACCTCCTCAACCTGAAATCGAGGGGGAAAATGAGAAAAAGCAAGAGCAAGAGGTCAACCTCAGTCGAAAGAGCTCGGGATCCCACTCGGTGCCCATCGACAAAGATGGCGAGTTGGCACGCGAACTTTCTCGCATCGACACCTCTGACTACCCATCCGCCTTCCCCTTGGCTATGATCGTTGTGGCTCTGGCATGCAGTATCTTCCTGGTGGCTTTGGATATGACCATTGTCGCTACCGCCATTCCCCGGATTACGGACCAATTCCACAGTCTCGATCAGGTTGGTTGGTATGGATCGGCCTTTTTCCTTACCATCGGCTCGTTCCAAGCAACATGGGGCAAGCTCTACAAATACTTCCCTTTGAAGATCTCATACCTGGCCAGTATCTTTATCTTCGAAATCGGGTCCTTGATCTGTGCCGTCGCCAACAACTCAACCACCTTGATCGTCGGTAGGGCGATTGCTGGCATGGGCGGTGCCGGTATTGCTTCCGGCTCTTACACCATCATTGCATTCTCCGCTCCGCCTAAACACCGACCTGCCTTCACAGGAGTCATGGGAGCCACGTTTGGTGTGGCATCCGTCATTGGCCCACTCCTGGGTGGTGTTTTCACGGATAATTTAACCTGGCGATGGTGCTTCTACATCAACTTACCTATCGGCGGTGTAGCTGCAGCCATCATTTTCCTCTTCTTCCGCACCCCTAAAGCTGCTCGACCACAGGCCGCCACGTGGCAAGAAAAGCTCCTCCAGATGGATTTCCCCGGCACATTCGCGATCATGGCTGCCATCGTTTGCTACCTGCTCGCCATGCAGTGGGGAGGCACCACCAAGAAATGGTCCGACGGGTCTGTCATCGCCGTGCTTGTCCTATTCGGCATCCTGGTGATCGCATTCCTTGCCATTGAATATTTCCAAGGCGATCGCGCTCTTCTTCAAGGCCGTCTCCTTAAAGACCGAACCATCGCCTCCATGTGCGCATACATCTTCTTCACGGCAGGATGTTTCTTCATCCTCCTATACTACCTCCCCATCTACTTCCAGGCTACTCGCAACGTTTCCGCCGCCAAATCCGGTATTGACAATCTTCCTCTTGTTCTGGGCGCCTCACTCTTTACCATTGCCTCCGGCGGCCTCCTGACAGTCTGGGGACAGTACATCCCACTCATGGCTGTCGGTTCCATCCTGGCGGCAGTCGGGTCTGGTATGATTTACACTCTGGAGATCCACTCCGGTAGCGACAAATGGATCGGCTACCAAGCACTCGTTGGCATTGGCTTGGGTCTGATCTTCCAAATCCCCGTCATTGTCGGACAGGCTATTGTCAAACCGTCAGACCTCAGCTCGGTATCGGCAGTCATCCTGTTCTTCCAGACTATCGGCGGTGCTATCTTCATTTCTGCCGGCCAATCTGGCTTCACGAACAAGATGCTGCAAGAAATTCCCAGACGAGCTCCCGGTGTCGATCCAGCGCTTGTCATCGCTACTGGCGCTACAGAACTCAGAAAGGTCTTCAACGCCGAGGAACTCCCGGGCATCTTGTCCGCCTATATGGAAGGTCTACGCGTGCCGTTCGCCATTGCCATTGCCTGCGCGTGTGTCACGTTCTTGGTCGCCTTCACGCCCAAATATGAGAGTATCAAGGGTAAAGTCAAGCTGGATGCCGGTGGTGCTTGAGATATCCCTCTCTCAGTTGTACCGCAAATCGATACGAATTATTCAAACGATCTCGTGCAGTTAAATGGTGTTTCAGACGAGGATTTTCCGACGCTCCCCTCTTGGTTCCGTCTTCCGAGGCGCAGAGTTGTTTTTTAACATTCGGAACTTTGTGCAGAACTTTGTGAATGACACTGGGTATTGAGCATAGCTCTGATTTTCACGGGGTTCTCATTATCATTGGCATGGGCACGAAGAATGACCTGGATTGAGGACGATTCAACACATATTGTATACCACATTAATAGAGACGAATGCATTATCTGGAGTTAACTGGGAAAACATATAGACATTTTGTGTTGTATTTGCAGCTCCGATTACACAACCTCAGGTCTGTGCGAACATAGACACTCGGTGACGGTATGCAAGAAGCAGATGGTACCTTTATAACTTGGTCCACGCATACTTACTCAATCTCTACCGACTTCGACCTGGATTTCAAATCTCAAGGACGCCAAACATCGCAGTCTCGCGTTCTGCTTATTTGCATTTGCATTTGCACTCTCCTAAACTCCACTTCCATCTTCAAGAGAGGCTCAAAAAGGCATAAGTTCCAGCTCAGGGCGATGCTCACCTCTGTTTTTTCAAGGCCAGCACATCTTCTCCATCCTTTTGACTTTGCCCGCTTTCTCAACCTCGATCCGACGTGCGCTCATGTACTAGGACCCGAAAACTTCAGCTCCAGCTCAGCTCAGCTCAGCTCAGCTGCATCGGACTGTACCACAAACGCTCCCTTGCGTAGGAAGGCCCGGGCATCGCGTTATTACTTCATCTTTTTTTTGTGTTGTCTCGCTCGGCATGCGCATGAGATCACACACATACTGTATCCATACACACTGATCTACGGCTTACGGAGTTACTAACGAGTAGCAACTGCGACGAGCAACCTTTCACTCAGGAGGTCCCGGTCTTTTCAGGGTCAGTAAGGCCAACCCAATCGAACTCCACATCTTTTTTTTTTGCGTTCCCTAACCTCACTACGTAGTACTTGTGCACACAATGCGTACAGACCTTTCCACGCCCTTCTACCACTACGACGACAATGCCGATATTCTTGATGGGCGGCCTGAGATCTTCGCGATCTTCTACTGAGCAGGCACAAGGGCACAGGCGATGACAGGGCACGGGTATGGGGCGGAGGAAACGCCCATCCGATGCCGTCGTCCAATCGTCAACATTCGTCCGGTTACCTTTTGCCTGTACCTCCCACCCCCCCTTCTGACTTCTCATTGTACTACGTATCCGGACACAGTGCTGTGATACAACGACTCTGGCAATACGGATACGCTGATTTCCCGCTCCGAGGTCCTCCGTACCTTACCAAGAGTGACGACTGCCACGCATAAGGTTACCTACCTACGTAAAAAGACCTGCATGGTGAACACTCACGGCTAGTATCTTTCCTTTCGAGCTCGAAGTGCCTAGTGGTATGGATAGTCTCCTCGCTCGAAGGCCGCGAGTGCTCTGCACCTTGTGCTCTTATCATGCAAGTACTATTGTACTAGCAAGGATCCACTTCCATCATGACCAATGTTGAAGACTTGCGCTTCTTTTCGAACTCTTGTTACTCATGATACATAGGCACTTATTTACATATGACGCCTCGCATTGCCTTTGATCTTTCGGCTCTGGAGAAAAGGCAGACGATCCATCCCGACAATGACAACACAATCTTCCGTTTTATCAAACAAGCCACTGGCAGTATGTTTGCCGCCCTAGCAAGCTTTTCTGTACATCCCTTCTCGGCCGACACCATGCAGCCGTGGCAGCCACAAACACTCGGACCCAAGACTCAAGACTCAAGCTCGCACTGTCTAAGCATGAACATTCAACACATCCTCGCTGTCCGTAATGCACCCATGGCTCGCATCGCCCACCAACTTGGCATACTTGGCCAACACGCCCCTCGTATACCGTGGCTTGGGTTTGTTCTGGTTCCACTCGTCCCTTCGTCTCGACAGCTCGGCCTCGTCGACGCTGACATCGAGCGTTCTCGTCTCCGCATCGATGACAATCTCATCGCCATCACGCACAAGCGCAATCGGGCCTCCCTCCATCGCCTCGGGGACGATGTGCCCGATCAAGAAACCATGCGAGCCGCCACTGAACCGACCATCAGTGATGAGCGCGACGTCCTTGCCCAACCCCGCGCCCATGATCGCAGAACTAGGCTTCAACATCTCCGGCATACCCGGCCCGCCCTTGGGTCCTTCATACCGAATCACCACGACCGTCTTCTCGCCCTTCTTGATGTCTCCCTTCTCCAGGGCCTCAATAAACAAGTCCTCCGCATCGTAGACCTTAGCCTTGCCTGTGAACCGCAGCCCCTCTTTGCCCGTGATCTTGCCTACGCTCCCGCCGGGCGCCAGGCTGCCCCTGAGTATCTGAATATGTCCCGTCGGTTTGATCGGGTCGGAGAAGGGCTTGATGATGGTCTGATCGCTCGGGAAGTCCGGCGCATTCTCGACGTTTTTCTTGAGTGTCTGGCCTGTGATTGTCATACCCTCGCCCTTGACCACGCCCTCTTTAATCAAGAATTTCAATAGTGTAGGGATACCGCCAATCTTGTGGAGGTCGTTGAACACGTATTTCCCGCTCGGCTTGAGATCCGACAGGAACGGCGTCCGATCGCTTACGGCCTGGAAGTCGTCAATGGTCAGTTTGACACCCGCGGCGTCGGCCATGGCAATCAAATGCAGCACCGCATTCGTGCTGCCGCCCGTGATCATGATCACGACCATGGCGTCCTCGAAGGCCTGCCGTGTCATGATGTCTCGTGGACGCAGGTCGAGTTTGAGCGCGTTCTTGATCGCCCCGCCCGCCGCTAGACACTCGAGTTGCTTGGCCTTTGAGACGGCCGGGTTGGACGAGCTCCCCGGTAACGTCATGCCGAGCGTCTCGATGGCGCTGGCCATCGTGTTGGCGGTATACATGCCACCACAGGCTCCTGAGCCGGGGCACGCGTGGCGAATAATATCGAAGCGCTGGTCCTCATTGATCTCGCCTGTGATGAATTGTCCATAGGCCTGGAAGGCCGAGACGATGTCGATGGGTGCGTTGTTCTGCGTGGATGCGCAGCCGGCGGCTATGCTGCCTCCATAGACCATGATGGACGGCCTGTTGACGCGCCCCATGGCCATGACAACGCCCGGCATGTTCTTGTCGCAGCCTGGTATGGAGATGTTGGCGTCGTACCATTGTCCCTGCATGACGGTCTCGACCGAGTCGGCGATGATCTCGCGCGATTGCAGGCTGTATCGCATGCCCGTCGTGCCCATGGATATGCCGTCTGACACGCCAATGGTGTTGAATTGCATGGGCATCAGGCCTGCGTCGGCGACGCCCTTGCGCACGATGTTGGACAGGTCCATCAGGTGCATATTGCAGGGATTGCCGGTGTACCAGACTGAGGAGATGCCGACTTGGGCTTTGTTCATGTCGGATTCGCTCAGGCCGGTGGCGTAGAGCATGGCTTGCGACGCGCCTTGGGATTTGGGCTGTGTGATGTTTCTTGAGACCTTGTTGAGGCCATTTTGCTCGGAGGAGTCGGCGCGCCGGCCGTGGGAGGATGAGAACGGACGGCTGCGATTTCTATTAGACTTAGGAGCGTCATAGCTGGAGGAGTAGCCTACATGTCTCGAGCATAAACTTGAGTCCTGAGCCGCCTCAGTCGCAGGCTTCGAAGAGATGCCGAAGCTTTCATGATGGGCAAATCCTTTCCAGCAATCGGTCAGAGACAACGAAGCAACTTCTGCTGCAATTTCTCAAGGCGTGGGCTCTTAAGCGTCCTTGTATGTACCAAGCAGTGAGTCACGATCCACCCCTGGCCCAAGATCGATCACTTCAGCCAGCTTCGAAGCTCGACCGGCACTTGAATAGGTGTTTGTTGCAGGTTGAGTCAATCCTGAGCGCAGGCGATATTTCTATTTCTATTTCTCCAATTCCGAACAAAGTCTGGGATGGCGGGGACAAAACCTCATCGAGCAGGATGCAGCCAATCAGAATAGTTGCAATGAGAGCCTCCCCAGACCTTTCGGGGAGTCCAACATGACTCCGGAGTGTTGGTCGGTAAGACAACCGCAGCATCTTCTTGGGTCTACAGTACACAGTAAGGTAGGTAGCTTATGGGGACGGCTGAAAGGAATCACCCCGTGCTAATATTCTTCGGAGGTAATTGCTCAACTGTCTTTCTGAACATCAGGAATCCTCCCATTCGACATTTCTATAAAGTCACACTCTCGTTCAGACAGCATTCGGTGAGACCTTCTTCGTATTCTGACAGATGTAACCAAGCGACAAGCCTCTATAAGTACCTTAAACTTCAGTCTACTCGGTATTCCCGGGCGTAATGCATGCTCATCATATTTTTACAGCGTTTCCTCTTCGACCCATCGAAGACCACCATCCACCTGAATTCCATCCTTAACCCAAGCCATCTCGCGGATCTCAGCCAGTGGTTTCCGTCGAGTATTTCGTTTCAACAATGCGTCCACGCAAGCATTGGCACCTTCAAAATCTTTGCCTTTGTCAGGATCCCAATCGCCGTCTTCGTCACCAAATTTAACCCAGGCCCACTCGCATCGTGCGATTCGATGAGGCGTCCGCGCTCGTAGCGTGGCTGGATCTCCTCTCGCTCCAGGCAGAGGATCAAACGGCAAGCGGCCTTCCATCAGCGCATACAGAAGAACTCCCAGCGCCCAAGCATCCGTCTGACGCCCGTCGTATGGCTGTCCCATCAGGATCTCTGGAGCCGCATAATCCTCACTGCCACATCTGGTGCTAAGCAGGGGACTCTCTGGCGGTTCAGGTATTCGACGCGAGAGACCCATATCAGTCAGAGTGACAACAGCTCGATCTAGCGTCTGCCAATTGGCGACATCGGAATGAACTCGCACGGGTATGTTGAGCAAGACGTCTAAAACTGTCAGCATGGGACCATGACCAGCGGACTTTGCGACACCTACTTTCCAGCTTGATGTCACGGTGAACAACAAACTTTTGATGAAGGTAGCGTGTTGCCGAAACAAGCTCTGAGAATATCCTCCGCACAAGTGTAGGCACCAGGACTTCCCGATGTTTTGTTGCGACCTCGAACAGGTCTCCACCAGGACAGTAGTTCATAACCAAGAGTGCTCGAGCGTGCCCGTCGTTGCCAAAGGCCTTCAAGTGGACCAAGCAAGGATGTTGGATCGACTTCAAGATCTCAACCTCCCGCTTCAATCCAATCTCGATCCTTTCGGCATCTGCGCCGCCAGCTGGTCCATGCTCCACCACTTTGACTGCGACCAGTCTTCGAGACCGAGCCTTGACGCCAGCCATATTCATGCTCTCTTGGCGATAGTCAACGCTATCCTTTCGGTCTTTGTGAATCAACCTCACCGCTAGGTAGACCTTACTGAAAGTTCCTTGTCCAAGTACCCGAATTGCTTCGTAAGATCTTGGTTCCCCTGTGGTGATGCTTTTGGCATGGAAGACTTCCAGTCTGGGACGTTTAGCTGCTGGTTCAGCTTCGTGGACATTTGCGGCTTCATGCACCACCCGAGGTGGCGTTGATGGTCGAACATGGGGCTTAGACGTTCTTCTGTCAGGACCGAGGAACTCCTCACGATGCATGGAGGGTTCCCCTGTCAATCCAGATGGTGGTCCAGCGGTCGACACAGCCACATGCCGTGGTTTTGGCACCGCTAGAGCCTCGGGAACATAGTCACTCACACTTCTAGGGTGTGCATCTTCGTTATGGCTATCCTGTTCGTCAGACGGATGCGATCTCGGAGGAGATTTTAGACCGGGATAACCTTTACGGCGTGGAGACGTAGGTGATAAGTTGGAGGAAGTGGCAGAAGGAAAAGCTGGAGGAGGCATGTCCACCTTAAGAGATTTGAGAGAGGAAATAGAAGAGCCACGAGACCGGGTCCGCGAGAGTGCTCGGAGTGACTCAAATGCACCCATGGTCGGCGAAGGTAACGGCGTGATATCGAGCATGGCAGCGATTTGCGGCGACGAGATGGTCGTCCCAGGAGAAACAGAGCCAGCAGAGGAGTGGAGATGTGCTCGAATACTTGGGACTCGAAGTGGGATGCTGGAAGCAGAGGAACTCGATCGTAACCGCGGCTCGGATTCTATCGAATGAGTAGAATTCGATCGCTTGAGCGTAATGCCATCAGTCCTGATATGCAACCCGCTGAGAAGGTGGGCAGCATCACGATGTGCCCGGTGAGAATTCTCAGGGGAGTTTGACAGCTGTACATTCTGAGAGAAGGCCTGCTGGTTTGCTTGGAAGATTCGAGCATGGTTTTGATATATGACCTCCTCCATAGGATCGCCATTGTGTGTTTGTGCCGGGGGTGTCAACAGAAACCGATCTTCTGCCCATACTCCTGGCTCGTTTGGTTGATCTTGGTCTTGATTTTGATCTCGAGGAAAGCGATATTGACCCAGGTCATCCTGGACATTACGAGTGCGAGACTCGGGAGGAGGGTGGTTCGGAGATGTGAGTCGGGAGTCTGTCATGGTGTTTTACAGGGATGATCAGGTAAGACGAGGGGTGCTGCCCGAGGCGAGGTGTCTGCTTCATTAGCGGGCGCATGGGAGAAGCATTGTGGTGGTGTTGACGATCACGATTGAAACGGCAAGCGACAGGAAAGGAAAAGTGTTGTCTGGTCAGGAGGCATAATGTGGTTGAGACTGTCGTGGTGGCAGGACCGCAGGTTGTTCTGAAGTTGTGAGAGACAAAAGACACTTTCTTTTGGCCTCACAGCCTCCGGCGCAGGCGGCGGGGCACTCGGGGGTGGTTGTGCCTGAAACGGCGCATCAAATGGGAATGAGCAAGCTCCAAAATTACTTGGTTCGCCCCGAATTTAGCGCCCGTGGCTTCGTAGATCGTGTCCCGTCTACCGGTAAGCAATCAAGGCACCGTCAGCACCAATCAACGACCAGCAGCGAGGCTCGAGGCTGCCAGGGCTGATATGCTGATATGCTGTTGTGCCTGACCATGACCCTGCATATCCATCTCGAAGTCGACATCTATGATTCATCTTCATGCACAGGACTTGATATTGCAAGTCATGCAATCTTAGGGACTCGCGCAAGCCCACATACTTCACAAATCACCCCTGCTACACCTAGGTTTCGATGATCATATGGCCTCACAGGAACCCCACCTCATGCGTTGCTCGCCGAGCAGTACAGCAGCAAACCATTTTCAGATTGTCCTTTGGCCGGTTTTCCGCCAGCAACCTATAGGAATGTCTTACAATGAGAACGTCTGGAGGATCTCGCAATGGTCCGTCTTGACTTTCGTGCGCAGAACATTCACGAAGACCCGTTAGTCTGACCGCATCTTCTTCACGAACTCACTCTGCATAAGGTACGCAGACATTTGCCCTTTCCCTCACTGCGATGGTCTGAGTCGAGAGGACTGCAATACGCCTTGTATGTGTCACCATATTGACCTGCTTCAGCGATCTAGAAATTAACCCCAATCGATCTCAGCCGACTGAGAGTCTCTTGCACTTTCGTTTCTGCGTGACTTAGTAAAGGCCCAAGTGGTCCTTAGAACTCCTTACCACAGATAGCATGTTCAATACCTTCGGCTACGTCGAAAACTTCCGAATGCAGACAAGGCAACACGGTAGGTGCTCCTTCGGATTCCCCCAAGAAAGCGCTAAGGACATATCAGCGCGTATGCAGCCTACGTCAGTGAATCTTACCTATTCATGTCGATGATGTTGACTTTGAGACGATATTGACCAGGCTCGGTGATGACGATGTCTGAGAATGTAGCATATGCAAGCGTACGACGCTCCCCGTCCTGCTCTTCATTAATCGGATGGATCGAGTCCGCAGTCCTCCCTCGCAGCAAGTCGGTCCGTGGCGGGGCCAGGCTCTGTTCCATATCTGGCGTGGTAAGAGATACAATGGCCCAGACGCCGCTTAGGTCAGGTAGAACGACTGGTTCGTGGGCACCTTGGCTCTCCTGCTTCTCATCTCCGGGCGTGGTTGTAGTGCTGAAGGTTACAACGATGGGTATCTGGAGTGTTACTCCAGCTGCAATCTTCGGAGGTGGTGCAATGGCGAGCTCCATTTGAGAGGTGCCCAGGAACTGTAAGACACAAGAGCCGCCGCTGTTTGAAGGCTGTGAGCGATAACTTTCGCTACCAAAAGACTTGAGTGAGTGAGTTGCTTGATGTCACTACCTGGATCGTGAGATCAGTATTGGAGCGGCATGACTTCTTCGAGCTTACCTGCTTGTCTGAGGTTCGTCTTGAGATGTCGATGTGCAGTGGTAAAAGACAGCTTCTCTGGTGAGCTGGGAAGAAATTGATCTGTCTTTAGGTTATGTCGACGACTTTGGCACATCCGAGAATTAGAGTGAGGCGCGCGCATTGTACTTCTGCAAGGATGTTTGCAGACTGGATACTCCTGACTCGATATGTACGTGATGGCTCAAATGATGCTCAGGAGACTGATAGCATAGGCACGCGTACTCGATGGATTGCGTATGCTCCTTCTCGGGTTTCAACCTAGGGCAAAGGAACACCTCCACCAATTCAAGTTTGGAGGGTGGTGCCGTGGCGCCGGAGACGAATGAAGCGAAGGAGGCGCTGGCCAGAATCTGCTGTTGCAGTTGTAACCTGTATGAAGTTGCAAGTCAGGACGAATCGGACTGATCTGAGTCGACCTTGAACAGCATGAGCGGCAGCCATGGGAACAGATTTGAAGATATCCGCTGCCACTTGATGGATCCTAGCCAGGGTGGATGTCTTGACCACCAGGGTCTTCAACTAAGGAGGGAAGCAGGTGCCACTTTCTCGACTAGAAACACTGATAACGTGGGTCTGCGGGCAATATAAGTCCCTCCTCAGCCGAAGGCTGCGAAGCGGCATGCCTCGCCGGTATAGACCGATCGTCCAATTGATGGGTTGGAGCATCGAAGGAGATGGACACGGTCCATCACGAAGAATTGCAGCGGAAGCTGGAAGACCCTTAGATCGAGCTCCTCTGTGGGCCGTTTGATTGTAAACGAACAATGTCGATTTACCATGCTCCTTAGCGAGGCACGGCCCTGTGGTGCAGCAGATGTAGACTACAATGACTCGTGATCGGCCATTGCTCTGCTGCCTATGGTTTGTGGTCCTTTGAACTCCAAAAAGGAGGGCCGTCTGATGGCGTATGGTGTGAGGTGTTGGTCGTTTTCCTACCCTTTTCACCGCCTCGATATGCCATGTTGAGCACGCGTCGGACACAAGAATGGTCATTGCGAGCCATGGCGCTGTAACCTGACTCACGACATTGACAGATCCGATCTGACAGGCACAAAAGGGCATACAGAGAGTAGGATTAGTGTAACGTGTGCGAGGTCGCCAATTCCATGGAGTATCGCAAAATCCGGATAAGGCTTGGTATGAGGCAAGGGCATGGCACGCGAGAAAGGAAGGAATGACAACTCGACAAGGTCCCAAGCAAACCGAAAACAAACGACAGGAAGACGAGGGATTGACTGATCCCTGCAGCTATGAAAGAAGCAAAGGGAACGAGCTGTGACTAGGCGGACAGACCCCGGCAGCAGTCCGTTCAGCAAAGCGGAACCGCCATGGACACGATCTCTGCGTCAAGCCACATCTGAATCGTCAGGAGACTGTTACTCGAGGATGATTGTGAAGATGATAGAAGATGGATGTTGACAAGTTGCATCCGTCCGGCTGAAAGAGGTATAGCCAATTTCCAGGTATTTTCTTGATGTCAAACGGACAGCCTCTCAAAATGCTTTCAGTTACCAGGACATTGTTGATCTACTCAACTTCCCGTGAAGATATGTCCGTAGGGACGTCTATCGACTTCATGAGTGAATCATGCAGCCGATATGCATTTGTCGAAGTGTTGATTCGCCCTTGCTGGAAGACAGGCGTTGATGATGACTTCACCTTCTGCTCTCGTCAAACTCCTTCCCAGAAAGAGGTGCACCTTCTCTGATGATCATATTTCCGGCCGGGCAAGAGAGAACGATGGCCCATCGGTATCTTTCGGTCCCGAGCAAGTCTCCCTTCATTCATGGATGCCCGTTACTAACATTCGATCTAAACATATATTGTATGTCCTCATTCCACCTCCGTTGCCCCCATCATTCTATCCCCTTCGAGCATCATTTCCTGGGCTTGCGCCATGGCTGAGGATGCATTGTGCTCAATACGAGCGACGAGGGATGGCACGCTCCATCACATGCGACTATTCAGCTATGTAGGTCTATGATACTTTGCGTATACTGCGGGTTACACGAACTGCTCTTCAGCCTTCGGTAATCCCGACCGATCTCCCCGGAACGTTACACAACCTCTCGGATCGACCACTTTCGACTCCTTCAATTACGTGCCTGTCAACGCCGCACAACGAGTCTCCTGCTGAGAACATCTTGGCCGACTACCAGCGAATGGTAAATCGGACAGCTTGAGACGACACTTCCGGGGGCAGGGATCCTCATCTTGAGACAGCAACGTACAGCGGATCGCCCCATGAATGACAGCAACACATCTGTCCTTGGTTACTATAAATGTTCAGTTATTTCAATTCTTTAGCCGAACTCGTCGGACACCCCATCATATTGCATATTCCTGCAATTTTCAGCCTGGTCATCTGCGAAGCCTACCACATTTGCTGCCCGCCCTTACACGCCGAGAAGTTCTTAGACCGACGCCGTCATCGTCTTACAGCCAATGAGCAATGTTTTGGGTCATTCCCTGCATCTTGGATCAGCTTCCGGCGCCCCATGAACCAGCGAAACCACCCAGAGTGCATGATATGCACTCCTCATCTACAGCGTCTCCAAGGAGCATTCCTCATGTCCATCTGTGAGTCAAGGGTGCCGAGCTTTCGCACAGAGAAAACCCTACAGGGTCTCTGATGAAACATCTCGCCTTCGGGCGAACGGCAGAGTGCTGGACGCGGAAATGCACTCCACGTATGAGCTTCTCTTTCTCAAGTTGTCCGTACCCGGGTCAACATCATATGGCAGTATGACCCGGAAGTCACGCCATGAACCAGAGGATCAACGCTTGGGATCAAGGTGCAAGTCGGCTTCTTGCTTGGAGAAAGTGTTGCTTGTCGATTGGTGAGCGTTGCTGCGTTATGGTGATCAGGCGGATCCTGAGCACGGAATTGCAATCTCGATGACTATTGGTAAAGGCAGGAAGAGCTCCTCAGCGCCGAGTCCTCCGCGCCTCCACCACGCACTTTGCCTGAGCACCGTGGTAACACGACCCTGTGGAATATCGAACCAAGTGGATACTGCTTAGGCAAACGAATGCATCCAGGCCTGTCTGGACAGATCACGGATGGCAAATGGCCATCGTCAATGCACTCGGGACCTCTCTTGTCGCGAGGGGACTTTAATATGTTGCAAAATGCTAACTAAATCACCTAGCTTTTACGCGAGTGTTGCTTGTAGCACTAGAACAAGACTCAGAATCCTCTATGCTGCTGGTCAGACAGTATCACTCTGGCCCTTGACAAGATATTGGACTTTGCTCGGATAGACATTATATCATTTCCTTGTACAAGGAAGGTTCAGCACTTGCGGACCTTCTAATCATGATGCGTGATTACTGTAAACCCTTCAATAACGCCTGAAAGATATGATCCACCTCGCCTACCAGACAGGACTCCTTTCGTAACAGTGCATCAACCATATCTAGACAAAATCATACACCACTCCTATACACTTGACTTCCGCCACTCCTCAGTCGAAATGTCTCCCGCCGCTGTAGAACATGCAAAGCCCGCGCCAGCGCGGCTTCACTGTACCCTCTCCCCTGAACGAACTCCCTTCGCAGTGTGGCGAGGCTGGTGCTCCAACCGATGGGCAGGCGCCGTCTCAACTCTTCCTCGACCTTGCCCACTTCGTCCATGAGTTCTCTATTCGCGCTCATCCCACCTGCGCCTTCACCCTGCGACACGGCGTCCATGGTACTGGCGAGGAAGAGCCGGATGGCCTCGTCGACATGGTGTTCCTCGGCGATGGTAGACAATGTCATCTTGGCGAGGGACTCGGTGATACGGATGATGGCCTCCAATTGACGGACAGTGATGGGGATGGAAGAGCGCACGTTGCTGTTCCTCTCGGCGCGAGCGACGCGGTCGCGGATCGAGACGAAGTGGGAAGAAAGTTTCTCTGCCGCCGCGGCTGATAGGCGAGGTGCGCAGCGTCTGCAAATGCAGGTTTAGCTTTGGTCATGACTCCGTGGGGGACAATTGGAAAAACTTACGATTTGCAAAAACTGATGTATCTCTTCATCTTCTCCACGGGGATCTCGACGTCGGTTTGCTCCTCGACACCTTGATTGCCCATATGAATGCCCATCACGTGCTTGGCGATGGTCTCGTCACGATTTCTGTCGTGGTCGTCTCGTACGATGAAAATCATGTCAAACCGCGAGAGGATGGTCGTTTGGAAATCGATGTTCTCGCCAGGGGATTTGAGATCGTCGTAGCGGCCGAAGATGGGATTTGCAGCGGCCAGGACTGATGTGCGTGCATTGAGAATTGTTGTGATGCCTGCTTTCGCAATAGATATCGTCTGTTGTTCCATGGCTTCGTGAATAGCAACACGGTCTTCGTCTCGCATCTTGTCGAACTCGTCGATACAGACCACGCCGCCGTCCGCGAGGACCATGGCGCCGCCTTCGAGGTAGAATTCCCGGGTCTGCGTGTCTCGCTGTACGGAGGCAGTTAAACCGGCTGCTGAAGAGCCTTTGCCGGAGGTGTAGATTGCGATTGGAGAAACCTTCTCCACGAATTTCAGAAGTTGCGATTTCGCCGTACCTGGGTCACCGAGAAGGAGGACGTTGATGTCTCCTCGGAGTCTCATGCCGTCCGGCAGGATTTTCTTGGAACCGCCCATCAATAGACATGCAATGGCCTTCTTGATGTCGACGTTCCCGTAGATTGAGGGCGCGATGCAGCGGGCAAATCGATCATATAGGTCTGGTGATCGTGCCATTTCTTCGAATTCTTGGATCTCTTCGTCCGAAAATGACGCCCCACTCGCCGAGTGGTCCACATCTGTTGAGATACCAACGGCTCGGAGATAGGGGTTTCGAATCGCTATTGCTTCTTTCTTGGAACCTTTGTTCTGCTGGTAGATTGAGAAGACGCCTATGACCGTACACCTCGAGCCGGGGACGACTCGATTCGTCAGGTAACGATCAGCCGAGACGAGGATATGGCGTGGTAGTTCACCGACGGGAACTTGGTCAGGAGCTTCTTGCAGCTTTAGGATCTGCTGGTCCATGAACTGGGAGTTCTCGTGGACGACAAAATAGGGGTCTAGTGGACATGGGTCTCCGGACTCTTGGCCCGGGACTTTTATTCTTCCACATGTTCGAGGCAGTGTGATGCCTGTGAAGCCGCCTTCCACTCCAAGCGTCTGGACATGGTCGCAATTTCGGCACTGAATGTTCAGTAGTGTGGCTTTGGAGGAGAGTGTGGATGCGCCAATGACGATACCAGGGATGCGGACGAGGTGTGAGACGTTAGTGGCGTTGAGGTCACGAATGGATGTCTGGTCGACCGAAGAATGCAGGAGAAGCTGATGTTGAGGGAGATCAATGTTTGGGGTGTGTGGAAAGACGATTCTCTGCGAGCACTGTCTCAATGCGGCTTCGAATAAAGGAATGGTGCCGGAGGGATCGGTGGTTAAGCGGTGGGCGAGCTCTTCGTTGTAGGAGATCAGATGGCTCAAGTCGACATCGCAGAAGTATTGCTTGACCAGGACGTTCTCCCGGACCTGATCACGGTAGATGTATATTCCATCGATCTGGAAGGCGAGAATGAATTCCCTGAGCTTGGATTGGAGTTCGGTGCGCGGCTCGGAGGCTTCGTCAGGGTGCGCAGCGAGGACGCTCAAAGAATAAGCTGATCGAGAGTCTAAAGCCATATTGAGGCCGTTGTCGAGGCTGTTGTGGTGTTGAGAAGTGTACAGCCGCAAATAGGTTGTAAGGGGCGGGCGCACTTTGTCGAAAACCACGCGAGAAACGCGTCGCGCTGAATTTGGGCGGAACGCGTCCGATGAGGTTAAAGTGCTTGCTTCTGGGCTAACCGTGTGTGAACCGAGAGAGCGTGGAGAGCCTATCAAGGCCGGTCGGTAAAAAGATGCTCCGATCCCGCTTGGCGGCTCATTTGCGCCGCTGCGTGTCCTTCCAACAGACCAGCAGCATCATGCACCTGTGTTCTCCGGCGTGTAGGGCCATGGCAACAACTATCGACTCAGAATGAACATGGTTTGGGGACAACACGCAACCCTCCGGCGATAACTCTGCACTTTCCGAGACCTGTATGAGGTGGCCGCCTTAACTAATGCAGCCGAAACCTCTGTCCTCCACACGCACGAGATGGCCTCTCCGGTCAGGCCGCGACCAGAGGATACCTTTTCCTCCCCGGTAGCAACATCACCCTCGGCAGGCTATCCTTTCCCAGATGTGTCGCAGAGGCACTACGGGCCCAGGGGCCTGCTCCGACGCGGCTCTACAGCAAGTTCAATCACGAGTATAGGAGGAGCATTGGACACGGGGTCGATCAATCATCCTACAATCGCCGAGACGAGTCAAAATGCTATCTCGACACTACTCCAACATCCAATTGTACGGACAGGTCTATCAGCCAGCACCGCCGTTCCGACTACCGGCTACAAAGCACCGACTCACCGAGATATTCCTCCTGTGGCGTTGACGAACATCCCTCACATTGAAGCCAAAGCCTTTCATCCGTATCTCGCGCAGGTGGGGTCACTATATGAGGCTTTCCAAAGAGCTAGGAATGAGGGAGAGGGAGAGACATCGCTCCTTCAACGGGACAAAAAAGACACCAGAAATGAAGAGTGGGAGGCCATCTTGGCCAAACGCCTACAGAGACCAGGCCATTCGCGGGCCGGGTCTATGAGCTCTACAACCTCTACGCCTCTGGAGTTGCCACAACCTAAACGGCGACAGAGTGGTCAAAGACGTTATGCGGTAACACCTTTATCTACTATTCCAACGGTGTACTCGGAGGAGGACTTCCATCTGGAAAATCCAAGAACCTTCGATATCGTATCAGAACACTCGGAAATCGTGCGGGATCCTTCCGGGGCACCCAGTGGAAGGAGATCTCTGGCCACCAATGCTATTCTACAGGAGAAGTTATCCTGGTATATGGATACAGTCGAAGTCCATCTGATTAACTCGATATCGACAGCCTCAAAGTCATTCTTCTCCGCCCTGGGCTCTCTTAGGGAATTGCACAACGAGGCTGCTGACTCGGTGGACCGAATACAGAAACTGCGAAAGGAGTTGGCAAAACTCGATAAAGAAATGGCGATAGATGGCCTAAAAGTGGTCAACCTTAAGCACAGGCGTGACAATGTTCGTCAACTCGCGCAGGCCATGACGCAGCTCGAAGATATTGTTAAATCAGTGCAGAGTGTGGAAGCTATGGTCGAAAATGGCGAGATAGATCAGGCTTTGAACGACTTGGATGAAGTCGAGGCTCTGATGGCTGGCAGGCAAAGCAAGCTATCAAACTCGAACGAGCATGGTCGATACCAAAGGCGGGATCTGAGGCGGATCAAGGCCCTAGAGGGCGCCTTCGACGATTTAACCCAGTTGCGATATCGGGCTGGGCGGGGTTATGAGGCCCGATTTCATGACAGTTTATTGAACGACATCAGACGGCATGTTGAACATACCGAAATAAGCGCGACTCTTCAGAGATGGGGCGTGGCATATACAAGGCCAAAGCCAGGTCAGAGGAGAGCCCCTTCCGCATTCCCTGGCTATATGAGTATCGGTGCAGAACTACGGGCAGAACTTGAAGCCGAGATGAGGGGACTATCGCGAGCCAGATATACCACCCAAGCAGCTACCACTTTCAGGGCTATCGTCCTACGAGAGACGAAGAGCATGATTCGAAAGCAATTGCCGAGTTCCAGCGACGACGATAATGTATCAACAGTATCGGCATCCACCACGGGAGGCCGGAGCATGAGTCAGCAAGAAAAGTCATCTATTTTGGCCCGGAATCTTAGGGCACTGGATGCGGATGATTGGTATCAAATGTTGGCCACCATATACACGAATATCAGTGAGGGTTTGCGCCGGCTCAGTGTGCAGGTGAAGATCCTTCTCGATATCACGAGCAACTTGCCGGAGCATATGCTGAAGTCTCCGCCGACGAGCCCTGATCCATCGAACCTTGACAGGATAAGAAGTCCGCCGGCTGGTCGAGCAAGAGCTGCAAGCTCTGTGCAGGCGGAGATGCAGCAAGTACTTGATTTGTCGAGCTTGCTCGGTGAAGGAGTTGACCTCGCACAAGCTCAAATCACCAAAGTCGTCAGAGTACGGTCACAACAAAATGCTGAGCTGCCGCTTGCTGATTTCCTCAAATACTTCACACTCAACCGACTATTCGCAGACGAATGTGAAGCAATATCAGGTCGGAGCGGAACTGCCTTGAAGAGCGTGGTCGACTCTCAGATCAAAGACTTTGTGGCCCGTTTTGGCGACTCGCAAAAACACGACATAATCAAAGTCATGGACAGCGACAAATGGGATGCTAAAGACTTCGGCGACCATGAGAATCAGTTGCTTAGCCGTGTCATCCAGGGCAGCACTAGTGATGCTCAGCCGTGGGTGGAAAGTACCATGATCTGGCAGCTGTCCACGAACGGATTGAAGGACAGCAATGGTAGCGCCACAAACGGTACTGCTGGCACAACCGCGAAGGTACGAAGTGCAGTTGTTGACGAGCAGAAGTACATCCTGCCTGAGTCAGCACTTGCCATGCTGCGATCGATGGAAACATTCCAGCATTTAGCCGCAGCAATTCCCAGCATGAGCCAGGAGGTAGCGACATTATTACTGGAAAGTCTGAAGCTGTTCAATTCTCGAAGCTCACAACTGATCCTCGGAGCCGGTGCCACTAGGAGTGCAGGCTTAAAGAACATCACCACAAAACATCTCGCTTTGTCGTCGCAAGCTTTGAGTTTTATCGTTGCCCTGATACCGTATGTGAGGGAGTTTTTCCGACGACATCTACCCTCTTCGACTGCTTCACATATTATGACCGAGTTCGACAAAGTCAAGCGTCTTTTTCAGGAACATCAGAACGGTATCCACGAGAAGTTAGTTGACATCATGTCTGGGCGGGCATCGATGCACGTCAAATCCATGAAGAACATCGACTGGGAGGAAGCGGCGAAGAATAAAGCTGTGTCCGTTTCTCCATATATGGAGACTCTGACGAAAGAAACTGGCACCCTGCAGAAAGTGCTAGCCAAGCATTTACCTGAGCCGATTGTTGCAGGCATCATGATACCCGTCTTCTCAAGTTATAAAGAGCAATGGACCAGTGCGTATAACGACGTCACTGTCAAATCTGCTGCAGCGAAAGAGAGGTAAGCCGACATCCAATCCTGAGTAGGCTGGAGCTAACCAACTGTGCAGACTACTCGCCGACGCTGAGTTCTTCAAGTCCAGGATCAGCAAGATTGATGGCTCGGCTGATCTGGGTGAACAAGTCGTCAAGGTTGTGCAGGCGAAGACTGTAGCAAACACCGCTGCACCCGCTCCTGCTCCAGCCGCTGCTAGCAGGCCGAGTGATCAAGGTGACGAGGCTCATGAGGAGAAGTCTTCGACAGAGATCAAGGGTGATATCAAAGAGGAAGAGAACAATACATAGGTCGTATTGACGGCTTCAGATCTCGGGTTTACCCGTTGAATCCGGAGAAGGTTCAAATGCTTTCCACGAAGCCACGAAGCCGAGACAATAACACCGTGAGCGTATGCTGCATCATACTTGGTAAAATCAGGATTCGAGACCACCTTCATCTTGCTTCGCTATTGGGTCCTAATCACACTGTCATCCGCCCCCCACGCTATCCTGCCTCGAAAATAGAGCGCTCTTTTTGCGGCATACTACATTGATTCATACCTGTCGTAATGTTCGCGCCGTTCCTCCCGCCAAAATGACCGTGGCTTTGTTCATTCCGTGCCAGCAAAGCACGCTGACCTGTCTCCGTGGCTTTTCGGATGCCCGTTTCCGCCTCGATCTGGAGTCCACCTAGAAAATCGCAGTCCCATTGACGTGACTGCTCACGCCTCCCGGCATATTCGCCGGCGCGCTCGAAAAGAAGAAGGTCCAACGCTTGTTCTTCCTCGCCAGCTCGGCGACCTTCTCGAGATCAAGCATCTCGCCCAACGGCATCCCCCACAGTGCCAGGATATACTCGTGCAGATAATACGGCTCGGGCGTCGGCCAGCGCTCGAAACTGGGCGCATCACCGCCCACGGCGGCGAAATAGCAATCGTGCAACCAGTCCTTCATGGCCTCTTCTTGCTTCAGGCCGGCCCACTGCTGCTCGCCGCCGTGACTATCGTGGCCGCGCAACGCAAGCCGCTCGCGCTCTTCCGGGGTGCGTTTGTAATAGTCCTCCACCCAACCGCTGCGGATCAGCAGGATATCGCCGACCTTGACGTCCCCGCCCTGCGCGACGGGCCGGATGTCCAGACCTTGCCACTTCCCGCACGCCACGAGGTCGTCGTACGATATCGCGTGCGATGTCGCCGTGTCGTATTTGATCCCGTGGGCGTCCGCGTAGGCGCGATAGTCCAAGAGTACCGCGCGGCCGGAGAAGCCGTGCGTCGACCAGTGGTGGATGCTGCATTTATGGTTCGCCTCGGTGCCCACGATGTCGGCGCCGTGCGTGTTGTTGTAGAACGTCTTGGTCGGCATGTGCGCGAAATGGCGGAAGCCGTCCCACTGCGTGCCGGATTGCGTGTTGCAGTGGTACACGTCGTCGTACGCCACGCCGTCGGCGAGAGTGAGAATCTTGTGCTCGAACTTCTGCCGCCCGAATGCTGGTTGCTCGGGGACGTTCAGTGGCAGATCCAGACGGGCCATTTCACCGGTGCGGATCTCAGAGGCGGCGGCCTTGACACGCGAGGGCGTCAACAGGTTCAGACGGCCGATGTAGTCGTCTTTGCCCCATACCCAGGCTGCTTCATCGGGAGCGCCGACGATCTTGGGTAGATTCTTTCGCGTGGGGAACGAGGTCGAGTCCGGGTCGAATGGGATGGTCGTTGCTGTCTTGCCGAGGAGGGTGTCTCTGATCTGGTTCAGCCGCCGGCCTGCCTGGGACAATGTGTCGGCCATTGTTGGTCTTTAAGTGGTGGTTTGTCTGCGAATGTGGTAATGTAGGGTAGGTATGAAGGTTACTAACTACTGTACTCGTTCGGAGAAGGAAAAGAGCAGCAGCACGCTGAAGCTTGGTCGGTGCCCCGAGGCATTCGGCCCATGATGATATCCACCTACAATGAGGGGCTTCAGCCGGCAAGGGCACGAGTAAGACCACTGTCTGTATTCATGCCCCGCTTACACAACTGCATCAACGGCCATCGTAGCGTCAGGAAACCCCTTCTAGGCCTCCTGATCCTTGTGCATGACGATGTTCGTGCCGCTCGTGAAAGGTCTGGGGCCTGTGGAGGGGTCTCCAGTCCATCTAGCCATTGCTGACGAGGTGCAAACGTTGACCATGTCTCCCGGTAGGTGGAAAATGAGGGGACACGGGTGAGCTCAGCCTCGGCATTGCATAGTATCGTTGCTCGTTGCCGCCATCACCGCCGCATCTCGGACCTGATCAATATAGACGACCGTACTGTTAGAGGCAAACGTTCATGACAGCAGCCTTGTTTTGGGGTCGAAAGGTGAGCATCTAAAGTTCAGTGAAATGCTGGCGGGCGTCGCGGTTCCATCGCAATATCGAGCGATACAACCGCCTACGGCGAGGACGGGTACCAAAAGCGATTGTCGCCGGAATCCCCACTGATCTTGAAATATAGACCTCCACGACCTCTTATCTTCTTGAAGGAATTCCGGTACCTGTAAAATCTCAAAGAGTATTTGCATTGAGCCCGCAATTTGTAGTCGAGCCGCAAGAGACCAGCTCAACAAAGCTGTCCATCGGAAGAAATTGCAACTCTCCTGATCACAACAGACGAGCATTCGAGATGGCGGGAAGAACGGCGCCATCTCTGCAAAACCAAGACGCTCAAAGCAACGGCATCAACGGCACAAATCACGTCCCAAGCCGACTCTACTCACTGTCTAACCCGCCGTCACTGGCCTCTTTTGAGCTCCTTTGCGCCCAGTCAGCTAACCCGAGCCTCTATCCACAGGCAACAAGCATAATATCTAACATTCCAATCTACGACCTCTCCTCCCCAGCACACCATCCCAACACCGCTCAACTCCGAGACGAATGGCACCACATCCTGCTCTCCGGCCCAGGAGTGTTCGTGCTGCGCAAATTCTTCAGCGACACCGCTCTGCTCCAGCACGTCAACACCGTCTTCAACGCCATCATTGCCTCTGAATCCTCCAGGTCGAATGAGAAAGGCGATCACTTCGCTGCGTCTGGCCTGAACGCACGTATATGGAACTCGTTTCAAAAGCACGCCGAGCGCGACCCGGCCAGCTTCGTGCGCTACTACTCGAGTCCGTGGCTAGCCCAGGTGTGCGAGGCCTGGCTGGGCCCGGCATACCAGGTGACTGCACAAGTCAACATCGTCAAGCCGGGCGGCAAACCGCAGGTCAGCCATCGCGATTACCACCTCGGTTTTCAGTCAGCAGAAGCGTGCTCGAAATTTCCCACGGCAATGCAGATCGCGAGCCAACTACTCACCCTGCAGGGGGCCGTCGCCCACTCTGACATGCCCCTAGAAAGCGGACCGACTCGCTTCCTCCCTTTCTCGCAACAATTCGAAGAGGGCTTTATGGCGTATCGCCTCAAGGAGTTCCAAGAGTACTTCGACCGAAATTGGGTGAGCGTTGAGTTGAAGATGGGAGATGCGGTCTTCTTCAATCCCGCTTTGTTCCATGCTGCCGGCGAGAACAAGACGACAGACGTCAAACGAAGTGCAAATCTGTTACAAATCAGCAGCGCATTCGGCAGGACCATGGAGACTATTGACACTCTCAGCATCATCTCAAGGTGCTGGGACGAAGTGAGACGACTTCACGCCGAGGTTGGGATGACGAATGACGTGAGCGCCATCTTGTCGGCTATTGGCGAAGGATACCCATTCCCCACGAACCTCGACCGGCGCCCACCAGCACCAGGAGGGATGGCGCCTGAAAGCGAAGTTGAAATCTTGCAAAAAGCGCTGGAACAGGGCTGGGACACGGAGGAAGTCCTCTCTAGTATCACAACGATCAGGAAAGATGCAATGCCATAGAAAGCCAGGAAGCACGAAGCCTAAGAAATTGTTGTGGTCTTTCCCCCAGACTTTTATCTACCAAACAATGACTGGCTTGATTGCTGATCCATCATGCATCCCCTGCAACGCCTGCAAAGCGTCTTTGGCTGGGAAGAACTTGACAATCTGATCGATGGGAAACTTGCCCTCATGATACCACTGAATCATTTTCGGAATATGGGTTTGTCCAGTTGTATCACCCAGGTAGTGGCATTCGAACATCTTGTTGTCGGCGAAGAACTTGCTAAGGGGGAACGCAAATTCAGAGTTGAATTGTGGCACCCCGACTTGAATATGCTTGCCCCGTTTTCCGAGTGCTTCCATCGCCGCTGTGATCACGGGAATTGCCCCAGTGGTCTCAATCACGTATGAAATACGTTGGCCTTGGACGGCCTTGGAAGCAGTCTCGGCAAGGTCTGACCCTTCCTGGCTGGTGTTGATGACTTTGGTGGCACCCAGTTCTTTCGCGATTTCCAGACGCAAAGCCACTTTGTCAACGGCGATGATTTCTTTGCATCCCGCCAACTTAGCCGCCATGATAGCACCGAGTCCAACGCCTCCTACGCCTGTCACCATGACAATGTCGTGAGATTTGGGGTTTGCCGCATTCAACACAGCGCCAGATCCCGTGAGCAAGCCACATCCCAGTGGTGCCAGCAATTTGAGCTCCTCGTGATCCTTGACCATGTCTTTGACATTGACAACACTGCCCTCTTTCACGATACTTGCCCCAGCAAAGCTCGATTGGCCGAAGAAGTTGCCATTGACGGTCTGGCCTTGCGGGGTCTCAAAATGTCCCGGAACGCCCACGGCGTTGAGCATCATCCAATTCATACAGTATGGTTGTTGGTCGTTGTGGCATAGATCGCAATTTCTGCAAAAGTTGTAGGACAGAAGAATGGGATCCCCAACCTGAGCAACCGTGACACCAGATCCGACTTCTTCGACAATCCCGGCTCCTTCGTGACCTAGAATTCGAGGGTATCCCATGCCTGGAGCGCCATCTGGGATGGAGGACACGATGATATCGCTGTGGCATATGCCAGTCGCAAGCATCCGAACCTTTAGTTCATGCTCGTTGGGAGAACGAGCGACTTTCACATTTTCTACCTTCCAGTTCGGTCCGGGGTTAGGAGGATAACAAACGATTGCAAGATATTCGTCCGACATTGTGTGGTGGCCTGGGCCAACGACAGTCCCTCAGAGCGTGGATGTCTGCGTTGCAATACGTGTACGCCAATTGAGCGAGCCGGACTCGCGGTGGTCATAGTATGTTCCGACCTCGTCAGAGAGGGGTCATACTCGTTTGCCTTCTCAACCACATGTAGATCACGCGCTTGTTGTTCAAGGCGTACGGCCACCAACGCTAAGACCTTGCACTGCATGCTACAACGGAAGTGAGCAGTGAGCAGCGGAGTATCGTGCGTCGGCACTGTTGGGCCCCTCAATACTGGGCAGAAGTACAATTGGATCGTCCCTCAGCGTGCTGGGGTGCGGATAGTGTCCGAGCAAAACGGTGAGATCACTGCTTACTGACGAGGACAAAAGGACGTGCCTGTCATCAATGGAACCGAGCCGTGCGAGCAGGATGTAATACTCCTCGTCCGTAGGTGATTGTGGTAGTGTGGGCCTCTCTGGTCAGGTTTTAATTGTCAAGACGCCCAGTTCGGTAACCGAAATGCTCGTGTATGCAAGTTTGTACCACCCCTCTCTTGACTTGCAGCCGTTGATCTTTCTCTTGGAAGCTGACGGATGTCGTTTTCGCCATGGCTGAGCGCTGGTAAGCATTTCGGATGTGCCCACCTCTTGAGTTCAAGCCCACTTCCATCGTTGCTAATATCAAATCCATCTCTTGCCTGGTGTAGTGACGGGTCTATGGTTTCGGACTTTCAGATCTTCTGTCGGTTCAATTAGGTGAGAGCATTCGTGACTGTCGGGAAGGCAAGGTCAAAGGAGGCAACGAGTGCATAGGCTTCTCTGTGGCGAACTGCGACGGTCAGCTCCACGGCAAACTGGCGGACAAGAAGCCGTGGCAGCAATGCAATGCAAAACACCACGTAATGTTACCTGAAGGCACTTGAGAACAAGTCGACGCTGGCTTCCGAGCTCACTTTAAAGTCGTCAAAGCCTTCTGCAAGAAGTCAATGATATCGCAAGTCAAGTGTTCTCGCGATGACCACCACGAAGAAGCAGGGAAAGGACAACCGCCAGCAAGATGAAGAGAATCCAAAGACATCGCAACGACTAGGAAGCCACTCTTTGTGTTCACTTGTATTGACCTCTTCTCCAAACTTCGCCACAAGGACAAAGGACATGATGAAAAGGAAAAAGGATGGTCAGCAAGAGACAAAAATTGCAGAAGTGGAAGCCCCGAAGGATTTCCAACAAAGAGACCAGTCCGATGTGCAATGGACAGAGTCTCGATGTGACAATCTGAATTAATGAGCTCAGATTGTCCCTCCAAGGTAAGTATGAAGAAAGGGGAAAAGAAGAAAATCAAGTCCTGGGGGGAAGAAATGAGGCTTCCTTTTATGCTTGATTCTGCCGCACCCGAGAAGGCTGGATTGATCTGGAGCTAGACATTGTGATGATTGATTGGTCGGGTCTTCACTGCAAACTGATTGAACAGGTGGCGGGGATCACAATATTTCCTCTGGGCGCCATTGGGACTCGGTGGTGAGACGGAGGTGAAGTGAAGAGTGAGACATGAGCGGCAGGAACAGGATGGCTGTCTGTGAGAAGAACGCAGGCGGAAAATGAACGAGAGTGTTTGGTATTCTCATCATTGGAGTATTACATTGTGTGTGCGCGCATTTGCGGCAGGCAATCTCTTGCTAATACCTGGCAGGTAGCATAAGAAGCACACCGAGCTCCAGCAACGTCTTCAGCTCCATGCTGGGTATCTGGGGTATCAGGATCTCCGTCGTCGATAGCAATTTTGCGGACGCGTATCCCCAACGTTGTACAAAAAGCACCAACTCCATTCCGTTCCAATCTGACCAACAGCGGTCCAAGACTCTCCGTTCCGGAGTTCACAAGAATGCCCAACCAATTGCACAAGAAGTTCTCTCCAAGACTCCATAGTCAGCCGTGAGTCGTGAATAGTAACAAGAAGCCACCTGGCCTGGTGACAGTTGCAGCCCAATTCCAACAAGAAAGGCCAATGTAAGCGAGAAAAAGAGACCAACCCCAATGCTGACGGCATGGCATGTAGTCCAATGTGCATAGCTACCAGGTACTTTCAATCACAACGAAACTCAGCGTTGAACGTATCCAACATCTCTTGAATTTCGTCCATTTTCTCGCGGTCAATCCCCCCAATTGCAGTTTCGTACCGAGTGCGGGCATCCTCTAACTCGGTTAAACCGGCGCTCTCGCTCGTTAGTGTATTGCCATGCTTCAGAACGAGTCCAGCCAGCCTCTGCTGCTCGTGGATCAGGTTGTAGCAGTTATCAAAGACATCTGCGAGGTTTTGGAGACCAGAACTTCTGGTACGATCCTGATAGTCTTGAGTTTCGACTTCCTTCCGTCGTTTATACTCAGCAGGGGGCTCCAGAGTGATAGAGATGAAGGCTTTTCCTGTCGCATTCTGCTTTCGGGCACGGCCACCCCTCAAACCCCGTCTCCGGAGGTCAGGATTTTTTTTCCAGAGCGTAGTTTGCTCATTCTGGATACGAAACAGGTGGTTCTCCACTACAACATAAACGGCCTTTACACCGTCCTCGAGTATGTTGAGCTCTTGGAGGTATTGTCCAGCAGCCTCAAGACTGAGAGACACTTCTGGGTTAATGTAGACCGTGCCGCTTGTGGTAGGAGAAAGAGCGTCATCAGCTGAAGTCATGGTGTTTTCTGAATAGCTAGTCGCTTGAAAAAGCTCTTCATCACTGGCCGAAGGCATTGATGTTTCTGTGATGGGTGGATATCTGTATTCGTGGCAGATAGATTTACCAAGTCTTGCATTGGTGACTGAAGTCATTGCTTGTCGTGGGATCGGCTGGAATTGGTTGTAACTTGCGGGTTCAAGTCCTGCATTGAAGCCTGATAGTGTTAGCATGTATTGACCCAGCTGAGAAACAACTTACCTTGGTCCTCAAGCGATTGGAATGGGGGTATTTGTCGACAATAGTCAGCATGGCAGAGAGTGGCCCGTCCTTTGCCCTTCTCTGCGGCTGTGTGTGGAGTAGGCGCTCCCACGCCGTATGCGTCGTTTTGTTGTAGCTCAGAGAGTTGTGTCGGACTTTGATCATCGAAACAACCATGACCGGAAACATCATAGTCGTCCTGTCCGTTCCATAGGCCAAGAGAGGTACTTCCATCCACGTAGGAGTGGTCTGACGGGAGGGTTTGAAAGATTTCTTGGTGTAGTTCTAACACTGTTAGGATGGACACCAGTATAGCCGTTCAAACTCTTACCGTCGTTCCCCTGTGTAAACTCCTGTGCTTGTAGGAACTGGTTCTCCATCTCTTCGGGGGACATCAAGTACTCCATCTCGTTTGGACTTCAATACCGAGAATAGCGGTCGAGTGCGAGGAAGAAAATTCACTGGATCGTGTGGCAGTCTTTCCATGAACACCAGGGCGCAGGTGAAATTCATCGCGCGGTGTTTTGGCCTCGCGTTCATCACACCGCGCATCCGGTTCTGCCGGCACCTGTGGGAGCCCTCCTGCACAACGAGGCTGCCAATATTGGATCAACATGTTCACCAAGTTGCACGGCTGGCACCGTAGAATGGCATTCACGGCTGCTCTGAAGGAGCTCTTGGCCACCAAGCCTAACGTCTGAAGTAGAAGAATGGGACCGTGATCCCAGATACACCATCATTGTCGACAGTGGTAAGACAGATATACGGTAAAGTCTTCTTTGTCAGCGATTCCTCGCTTCACTCTTTAAGCCATCGCTGTCAAACAGCCTGGACGTCCAGCTCGATCCACATCAGCAGGCGACCTGGCCAATCTGAGATAGCTGACGGGTAGCGATGCTTTCCTCTCGCAGCAAGATGACAACCTCGAGCCATGAAGGCGAGACAGTCGACCTTTGATAGGTGATCATCGGCTTTACATGGCGCCGATTGATCGACGTGGAATCATCTTCCCAGACTGCGCGGACAGCGCAGATCGGGTCGCGGTGCGCTCCATGGCTGTAGATGCCGTCGAGGGCGATACCTTTGTCGATTGGTGTATGATAGTGTCGGAAGGTAAGTTGTCGTCTGGACATGCCACAGGAGTGCTTGACATGTGGCTGCAGGAGCTGCAAAACAGCCGCCGTCTTGGATCTGTTCTGCCATCATTTTTGGCTTCATGCCCATGAGATTGATGTGCGCAAGCTGTTGCGGTTGTCGCAATGAGTGATGAATAAGAAAGAAAGAGGGTTGTCATCAGGAACAAACGAGTAAGACCGCGAGTTAAGCGTGGATGGTTGACGATGGTTATTCGCGGGACAAGACAAGCGCAGACAAATCGGAGTTGAGTTCAGCAAACGGCCCCTCTACCCCTCGTTCTTTCTTTTGTTTACCTCGACTTCAATCGTTAGAAGTTGCTCGCAGGACCCTGTGACGAGATCGGACACTGGGCATTCAGACGCAGAGATGCTCATCCAGGAGTCCTACAAAGATGTGCCGACAAAGGCAGCCGGAGAAGGCACAATGCGTACGACACCTCCAAGAATTGTTGGGAGCTCAGGAGCGAACATTGGCTGAGCATCGACGAAGGCATCCATATCTTTCATCCTACCATAGCGGGATATCCGCACGCAAAATTTCCTGGTGTGGTGGTTTTTTCTGAGATCTATCAGGGTGAGCTCTTCATGCTTCCCGATCTTAAATTACGCGGACTGACTGAAGGCTGCAGTCACCGGCCCTGTTGCTCGGTTCGCCAGACAGATTGCTGGACAAGGCTACATCGTTGCTGCCCCTTCTTCCTACCATGAGTTCACTGGCCCTGAACCTCTAGCATACGACGGACCGGGTACAGATGCAGGCAACGAGTGGAAAATAAAGAAGAAGCTGGCCGCATACGACGAAGATGCGGAATTGTCGGTCTCCCTATTGCTGGGTCTGAAAACATGCAATGGAAAGGTGGGAGCTACCGGGATGTGTCTTGGAGGTCATCTTGCCTACCGCTGTGCATTGGATGCAAGAGTCAAGGCTGCAGTCTGCTACTTCGCTACAGACATCCACAGTCACAGCTTGGGCGAAGGAAAGAACGACGACAGCTTAAAGAGAGCGGGTGACATTAGGGGAGAACTGGTCATGATCTTCGGCAAGAGTGACAACCACGTCCCTCCAGAAGGAAGAGATCTCATTCGAAAGACATTACACGAAGTAGGGGCCGACTTCTCGTTCTACGAGGTCTTTGGAGCACAGCATGCCTTCATCCGAGACGAGTTGAGCAAAGGGCGGTATGACCCTGCAATCAGCAAAATCTGCTTCGAGATGCTGCTGGAAGTCTTCGAACGGAGATTGAAGTTGGATCTGGGAGAACCGAGTGGAGAGAAATTGGTGGTTGAAGACGTATGCTAAGATGCATACTACTAGGGAAGTGAAGCAACGCATTGAAGCATATATCTTATGTTACCCCAACTGTCCTATCTACGGGCTTGACATGTCACAGTTTGGACTCGCTCCTCTTCAACTCTTCTTCCGTGCTACTTTTCTCACCTTCTTCACCCGTCGTCTTATATCCAAACAAATAAGCAGCAACTTTTCGGATTTGAACCTCCTCGCTTCCTTCGGTGATCCGATACCTTCTGAAGTGTCTCCAAATATGCTCAAAGGGATGATGCCTGGAATAGCCAACTCCACCGTGTACTTGTATGGCTCGATCGGCCGCTTCTGTCGCCAGTCGGTTGGCATAGTAATTGCACATCCCAATTTTATGGCCCAGCTGTTTCTCAATGGCAACCCATGGCGCTTGGCCGTTGGCCTTGCATGCGGCTGTGACTTGGTCCATCTCGACAGCTGTGCGAAGGATCAGAAGCCTCAACATCTCAGCCTGTGTCGACAACTCCACCAGTGGCCACTGTATAGCCTGATTCGATGCCAGAGGCTTTCCAAACACTGTGCGCTTCTTAGCGTACTCAACGCTCCGATCAATGCAATACCGCGCTGCTCCGCAACTCGAACTGGCCTGGCGGATGCGATTTTCGTGCGTGAAAGTTTGCGCAATGGCCAGGCCGTTGTCTACAGGACCTAGTATGGCAGATGCAGGAACTCTGACGTCCTCAAGCAGAACCGTCGCATGATCCGTGGGCATATTGAGCGTCCATTGGTACGAATGTACCGTTAAGCCTTGCGTATCTCTAGGGACAACGAACGCAGTAATACCCTTCGGTGAGCCAGCCTTGCCGGAAGTCCGCGCGAATATCAAGCAGTGCGTTGCGCTGTGCATACCAGTTTGCCACTTCTTGTTGCCACTAATCGAGTATCCAGGTTCTCCAGACGGCATGGTGATCGGTTTCGCCGTGGTATCCATATGCGTGGCGTCCGAGCCGTGATGGATCTCCGTCAATCCGAAGGTTGCTCTGAACTCGCCTCGGATACTGGCTGGAATAAACGTCCGCTGCTGCTCTGGCGTGCCGTAGTGGTAGAGCATAATGACAATGGGGTTGTTGCCGACCACGCTGTGCTCGTTCTGCAGGTCGTTCGCAAGACTCACGCCGCCTCCGTACACAGAATGGGAGGCCAGATGGTACCTGATCGCACTCATGTACAGATTCTGTGAATCGCTACCTGTTCCCCCAAATTCCTTGGGGAAAGCGAACCGATAGAAGCCTGCTTCATCAGCGAGTTTGCGCGCCTGGCGGAGTATGTCTTCCCATTCCTCGGTGGGGAGGCCTTGATTGTCCCATTGCGTTCGAGAGGCTTCACGCCGGTGGTCGAAGAATCGATTGTTGTCGTCTTTGTGCTGTAATGGGAGGATCTTGTCCTTAATGAAGGCATCGAGACGAGACAGGTATGATTGAAGATCAGATGGAAGTTCGAAATTCATGCTTGTATCAAGATATACCAAAACCTACGACATCTGCAATGGGAGATCCAGAGAACAGAGAATGGTCTTACTCCCTGGGAATGATGGATCAAATCATGGTGATGCTCCTATCCAGAATGCCTCCTCAATATAGCCTTGTATCTCGGCTCGGGTTGGACAATGCGGAGAAGTGAGAAAGAATCTGGTACATCCCTCGGTTCTCATGGTGCTCATGGTGGCTCAAATGATCCGCTGCAGAGGCATACTGTGAACGTTATCAATCGTAAGATGCATTTTTGGAGAGTACGTACTCGTATCAACCAGGCTCCAGCCTTGCTGACCTTGTACTCTCAATGGCTTTAACACGACTCATATTCAAATTGGACGTTCGCAAACGATAATTTCAGTCGCACTTTACCTTCTCAATTGATATTTCAATTAGATTTGTAGCACCAACATGGCCACCCCAACCGAGCCCGAGATAGTTCTGTACGACTTGGCCTGCACTAAGCATGTCTGCTTCTCCCCTGCTGTCTGGCGTATCCGTCTCATGCTTAACTATAAGCGTGTCCCTTACAGGACCATCTTCCTCGAATTTCCGGATATCGAGCACACGCTGAAAGGGCTGTGAGTGATATCCTTCTTCTTTTGCTCATCGTTATCCACTCCAACCTCTATCCCTTCCTTCTTCTTCGGTTTCATGTCTCGATGCACCGCCTCAAAGCCATCCGGTCGCGCGTGAAGAAGTCTTTTGACCCAGAATTTGATAGCGGCCTCGTCCCCAGCGAATCCGCTTCGGGCAAATATACCGTGCCCGCAATCCAACATGTGCCGACCGACACTTACATGATGGACTCGGCTCCCATCGCGCAGTTCCTCGAATCGACCTACCCAGACCGGGCGGTACCGCTGAAGTCGGAGCTTGGCAGCGAGATCGAGGCTAAAGCACGCGCCGTGGGCGGCGCGGCCTTCCGCATGTCGGTGATGCCACGTGAGATAGGCATACTCTCGCCCCGCGTCCAGGAGTACTTCCGGCGCACACGCGAGGCCTCGCTCGGGCACCGGCTCGAGGACCTACTCGATCCGGACAAGGAGGAGCAGGTCTGGAACGCGGCGGCCGATGGCATGCGCGCCGTCAGCGAGTTGATGCGGACGAACAAGGCAGATGGGCCGTTTGTGCTGGGCGCCCGGCCGAGCTACACCGACTTCTTCATTACAGGGTCTCTCCAGTCCGCGAGGGTGATAGATGAAGGTGTGTTCCAGAGGAATATCAAGTACCCTGGTTATAAGGGGATTTATGAGGCATGTCTTCCTTACATGGAGAAGGAGGACTGAGCTGGTGGAACCGCAGGAAAAGCCACCAGTGAGGATTTGTTGATTGGGGTCAAGGACTCAGTTGCTAGAATAGGGAGATAGGACTGAAAAATGGTGTTGGACCAATAGACTATCATGAACGATACTTACGTATAGCTTGTGCTGAGCCTCGCATTTTGGACTGGTTGCTAAGCACGATTTTAGAGGCTTGAAAAGAGCTGATGTTGAACCAGTACTGAATGCGCTTTTGGCATGAATACTCAGGAGCACAAATAGCACGCCGACCACTAAAGCTTCGCCGGAGAGGACTTCCAGGACGACTGTGGACGACCGTGGACGACTCACTCAGCCTGAACCATGAACTTCCATTTTGACCTTCACCATGCCACTCGTTCTAAACTTGTGGATTCCAAAATCTGGGCAAAGGCTCCAGCGCGACCCCGCTCGTATCTTACTGTCTACAAAAGCACCTCGGGGCCAGCTTGTGGACTGATCTTGACTGGTGCATAATGCCCAAAATCCAGACAACGCCGAGGAACAACCTTGGATTGGAGAACATTGAACGGCCAAGAACAACCAAGAACTTGGAAGGTATCTACGTCTTGGGGGCCGGTGATGCCTGCATCAAGTTGCAGCTTGTAGCACAACTCGACCCCGATGGCGCCTGCGCTTTTACGAGACCTGACTTCAGCTCGGATACATCAGGCAATTACGAATCTGGCCGTACCGTCTGCCACGACAGCTTCAGTCGAGGTGCCCGCCTCGCTTCACTCTCAGTCACTGACTTGACTTCTAGAGCAAAAGTTTTGAGCGCCAGATTCCGAGGACGCCTTTTTTCATCCGAAGCTTCTACTCCCAAATCAGGGGCCATGCAGCCTCGTCGAGCAGAATCTCGCTCTCCCCGAGGGGATAGGCCTGGTTTCCCATGAAATTATCACCTCGTGTTTATGTCAACATTAGTGATCTTGGTAGGGGGCCGTTGATTCCTGCCCATACCAGCCTTACTGTCGAAAGTGCGCCGAATCTCAATCCGGAATGGCTGCATCAGCCATGTCGAGCTGCAGTGCGGATGTTCATAGGATCGCGAGTGCCCCCTCGGTTCGCTCCAGCCTTACTCCCATTGCTTTTGAAGGTGCCATACTCAAGTGGGCAGGCTGCTAGCTGACTTTCAGCTGCATATTCCCTCTCTTCAATTTTCAAGTTCAAGGGCGAGCCGCTGTCTCTTTCCTCTCATCTTATCTTTCCCACCCGCTATTGACGAGGGGAATTGCTACGGTTTACTTTCGACCAGATCTCAAACAAAATCTGATTGAGCCGTTGTGGCTGAATGTCCACATTCCTCTGCCTGCATGTGAGCCGCCAGGATGACGACAACTTGCAACAACGTCGCTGAACCTCTTTATCTGCCATTTGCGTACAACAATGTCAGTTCGAACGTGCTTGCTGCATCGTCACCGGGTGTGGAACTCTTCGTCGGCACTCCAGGGCGAAAGTATTCGCTATGGCCGTCAATGAGTGATTATATGTTGCTCGCGAACTCGGGCCACTGCTCATCCCCCGACCTCTCGTGTCTGGCCGTCACTGGCGGGACATATGATCCAGACCTGTCAAACACGGAGTCCCTTTCGGTGGCAGCCTCCTGGAATGGCACTATTGGCGACAATGACCCTTCGTTCTACTTATTTTACAATGATGTTCTCAGTTTCGAGGGCAGCGGCCGAGACAACGACACCGTTGTTTATGGTTTTCCTTTCGTGACTGATGATGGTACAGAGTGGGGTAAGTCGACATTCATTTACTGAATGTTCCCATGCTCATCTGTATCAGCTTATTCAGGCGAGCTCGGTCTTGGGCCGAACTCAACTTTCCTTCAGGCTGCTGTCGATAGTGGCTCCGCCCCGTCGCTGTCATGGGGTCTTTGGGTTGGACGCCACGCCATCCCAAACCCGCAAGATGGGCTTCTAGTAGTCGGTGGCTATGACAATGCTCGAGTTGCCAACGACTTCTCTACCTTTCCCAGCCGTACCGATTGCTCCACATGCCTACAGATACAGAATTTGGCCTGGGTCACTGAGGCTGGGACCATCCCATTGATGAACGATACTACGAATAACTTTCAAGTCTTTTTGAATCCGTTCTCTGAAGTGGTGCAAATTCCTACGGCCTCATGGGAAGCTTTCGGCACCGCCACCAATGGCGTCTACGACGAAGTCTTAGGCAGGTACACCTATCCTCCGGCTGGCGTCCCGGCGGGAAATCTCACTTTCACAATCAAGGATGGTTACACTACATCGATACCTGCAAGCGAGCTGTTTGGGTATCGGCTTGAGTACGATGATAATGGACAACTCCAGATCGAGAACGATACCTACCAGGTTGCCTGGGTCAATCCTTACACTAACTCAGATGCCAATGAAGCCAAGTACCTCTACACATGGGGTGGGCCTTTCCTCACAATGAACTACCTTGTGCTGGACATTGAAGGGCAGCAGTTCCGCCTCTCCGAAGCCATTCGTCAAGATTTCGGTAGTGAGGGAGGAGTTTTCCCGGTCAAGCTGTGCGAAGGTACACCCCCTCCGGTCCCCATCGATGATGGAGTCAATATCGGTGCCATTGTGGGAGGCGTTGTAGGAGGAGTTGCTGGCATTCTCATCATACTCTTGGCGGCTTTCTTCTTCTACAGGCGACGGAAGAGATCGCGCTGCACAAGCAATCAACGGGCCGCAACCGCGTCCGAACCGACATCCTATGACCCTCAAGGTGCGGCTATGGGCTATAACCCGGTTCCAATGACCCATCCCCACGGCATGGCAATGTATCCAGGACAACCTGGCACCGGATATCCAGGCATGGGTCAAGTGAACCACATCAATCCCTATACACAAGGGCATGCAAGCTACTATTCAGATACGACTACAACAGCTGTTCAGGAAATGCCCTCACCCGAGAACAATCCATCCGAGTGGAAAGGCTCCCAGGTCAGCAGCGATGTGAATGCATCGGTAAGTATTTGTCCACAGTCAAGCTCTCAGTCTCGGCCAAGTACTTCTACGGACACAATCGCTGACCAATCCCTTATCCAGAAATCTCTGTCAGCCACCCTCACGTCCCCGATCGAGGTGCCAGAGAGACGTGACTAGACAGTGGCTGGAATATCGCAAGCCCTTGTCTTTCGGCTTGCTTCAATGTGTTGGATTACATGGACGCCACCGCTTCGATCAAATTGTATCGGGGCCCCCACGACACATCCTGGCTAGAAAGTAGTCAGCTTGTTCCCTTTGAGACTGCAAAGTCGAAGGCGCAGGCGCAAGAAACGCTCATTGAATTTATGGCCTGCTTTCTTTTCGTTGTGATAATGATGATGGTGATTTCTTGTGTTGCGTTTGTATCTGGCGTCGAGGTACATATTTAACGAACAATGAAAGTATTTTATTCAGTCATGCTCCAAACTCGAAATTGCAGGTCTTACGTATGCTTTACCTTGTAAGACTCGTTGCTCTGCTGATGATCCTAGATGTGCTTCCCGATAGCAAGCTATATTAGTTAATATCACCATCCCAACAGTCTCTCAACTCGGAGATTCATTGCTTGAATGATCGGATCTGCGCGTCACATCCTCTGCTGCAGAACACAGACGTCCAGAATAATCCTGCATTATCATTACTTTAGAGGTCGTGATGTAGCGCATATCTAAATCTCTCTCCTCTCTTCTCTACTCTCCACTCTCCACGAAACCGGGGTACCATTATAACCAACATACTTTGCGTTCACTCTACTCTCTTCTTCTCTCCTTCTGTCCCAACAATTAACAATGCTGACTACTCTCTTTGCCTGTTCTCTCCCCAAAACTCAACAGTCCTGACTCCAATAGGCCTTCGCCATCCTGGGCAAGGTATCGAAACTACTAAAGTTCCCATCGGCATTGGTCCAATCACTCGTGTTGCCGGTGAGATACTTGCCCGCGGCGGCGGTGAAGAAACTCGTGGCATACACATCGACCAGTGTGTCGTCACTGATCCCGCCCACGGAGACGTTGGCCTGGACATAATGTGGCGCGTCCGCGTTGCCCTGGTCGATGTGCGGGATGTTGTCGCCGTCGGAGCCAAAGTCATCCTTGGTCACGTAGCCGACCGTCTTGAGCAAGTCGCGCTTGTACACTTTATCCGTCTGCATATTGAGAAGGAGGCTCTTCGCGACGGCCCAGGGCGCGGTCATGCGCTGCCAGTAGTTCTGATACGGATTGGTCTGGTACGCGTTGTCGTAGGTGAACGGGCCCTCGAGCAGGTCGTACCGGAACCCGCCTGTGTTGGTGAGGATGATGCGCGACATGTTGGTGCGTTTCGGGTCGACGACGACCTTGGGAAACACGGTGGTGGTGAGGTAGTTGAACAGGCTCTGGTTGGATGTGATCGGGTAGCGCGACAGGTAGAAGCTCGCGGGGACACAGCCGAGCTTTTCCGTCAGGATGGGCAGGCTGTCGATCTGGTTCGTGATGGTTTTGCTCATGTTCATCCCGGCCGTCGAGTTGAATGTTGCTTCCGTGGTGCCGGTGTGGTGTTCGAAGGTAAACCGGTTGAAGTCGAGATACTGTCTTGTGTAGGACAGGTCGGACTTGTTGTTTGGAGTGACACCGGGGATCGACGAGGGTTTGTGTGTGATCCTTGTGGCGTTGCCTTGGGGTGATTTTGCGCGAGTAACTGAGGGTGCGAGCCCGTCGATCGAGAGCCAGCCCACCGTTTCACAGTAGCGGCCTGAGGCGATGCCGACAGCGTTGGCGTCGAATATGACGGAGTCCCGAACGTGGCGGTGGCCGCCGAAGATAGAGATTGGCGTGGTTGGGTGATGTGCGCGGATCGCGGCGTAGATCAGGTTCCATTCCGTGGAGTTGCGCAGTGTGATGTGGCCGGCGACGAGAAACAAATCAACATCTGTGCGCTGGACTTGTTGTTGGAACCAGTCCTGCTTGACGGCGGTGCCGACGGGGGTCACCACTGATGCATTGCTGTTGCCCGTGAAATTGTAGAGGAAGGCGAATGACATGATGCGTACGCCGAATTTGGTTCTCCAGTAGGCATAGCGTTGCGAGAAAGGCTTGACAACTCCCGTGTCGTTGAACTCGACGTTTGATGTGATGTACCGCCCGCCCCAATGCGGAGCAAAGTTATGATAGGTATTATTCGCGATTTCCGTGGTGTAGAGTTCATGGTTGCCAATGGACAATAAGTCGTAAGGCAGCTTCTGAAATATAGGCAGAGTGAGCTTCCCGTTGGGTGTGGTAGCATCACCAAAACCCGTGCCGTCGTGGAGATCTCCTGAATCGACGAGAAGCAAGTCCACTCCAAGAGCATCGGCTTTTGCTTTCATCTTTTGCACAAAGTCGGCAAAGTCGCCATAATCGGCGCTGTAGTTTTCGTCCAGCAAATGTCCCGCCAGCCAGCCATGTGTATCCGTGGTGTGCAGAAAGTTGATTTGTCCCCAATGCAAGTCTTTGATCACTTGTGGTGGAGTCGGATCTGCTGCTGGTTGGATTCGCTTGTTCAGGTCATGCCTCCTCATAAGATCATGGTTGACGTAGCCTCCAAGCACGGGAGAAGTCCAGTCATGATCTTCGCAACCAGTTATCGGTTGCAGAAACGAGGCGAGCGCGAACAACGAGGTCAGCAACATATTGGGGGATTCTTGAAGGCAGTCAGGCTAAGCGTGATGGAAACCTGAAAGACAAAAAACCACCGGTCGCACGTACCTGAAGGCGAGGAGCTCAGATCCTAAGTTAGAGGTGGCATGGAAGCGTCCTTTATGAGGCCATCATTGGAGCTGAGCTATGGTAGGCGAAGCTTCAGCCGAAAGCTTTGACCGAACAGCTGGAAAGTCCAGGTTTATCGAGCTAGTGAAATCTCCCCAATGGAGGATGCAGAAAAGCGGACGGATTGCCCAGTGACCATCGAGCCTGGTCCAGCTTCCCTGGTCGGGTGCATCGTGTTGGATTCTGGATTGAAATGAGAGCAAGATGGCCACTGACGATGCAACACAAGTGGGATTTTGGTTCTACATGGTGGCTGGGCAATAAGCAAGCCAAGACGGGCGGCAATGGAATCGACAGGCACGAGGGATCATCAATTGGAGAGGGAGGAATAACGAGAACACCACCATCGTCACAGCCAAGCACATCCATCTATTCAACGACATACATGAGGATACTCTACAGCGATAGATCCCGACTCCATCATGCAAAACGTGTGTCGTGCCTCATCAAGCATAATGTACCCGTATCGTGTATGTCCAAATACGATCCACATGACGTCCACGGGTCTACTAACAAATGGCGGGATTGACAGCGTACAGTCCCTGCTTGGGTCAGCCTTGTCGGGTAGGTATCAGCGAGAATGTCAGACTTACCTGATTGCGCATGGCTAGGTCATTGATCCTTGCTTGAATATTCTCATCATCTTCAAGCAGCTTGTCAATTGTCTTGACGTTGTCAATGGCCCAGAAATCCGTAAATGCGTTTACCACCGCTTTGGTCTTCTTCTCAAGGACATCATCATCAATTGCTGCAAAGCAAAGTCGGAAATATTGCCATCCTTTCTTGTCCATGATCTCCGGAGTCGGGCAGAAGATCGACCCGGGGCTGAGCAAGACCAGGTAATCATCAGTCGTCATGAAGACCCACAGAGCTCGTGCGAGTCGTTGATTGTCGACTTTGTGGAACAGTGGGTGCGTCTCATAGTGCGCCCGCATCCAGAGGAACATGCCAGCCATGGGGTAGGCGAAGTCGTACAGTTGGGTCTTATGGAGCATCTGGTAGTCATCTTCCTCCTCAGACGCAGTCGAACGTCGCCTGGTGTCATGAATGAGGTATTTTCCGTCTTCCAGGATGGTGCTCATCAATTGCATACGCCGTTCGTAGTTGCCGCGCAGACCTTCGAGCCAGCGAACCCAACCATTAACCTTCCAGCCGCTGCCATCGCTGCTGCCACCTTTTCCGGGATCGCCTTTGGACGAAGGGCCCATGATGAGTTCAGCAACCAAACTCTGAACAAACCCACTGGGTTGTTGAGTGGTGGTCTCGGTAATTCTTTGGATTCGTTCACACACATCGGGCTGTGCGGTGATCCAACCCAAGCGACAGCCTGGAGCCACCGTCTTACTGAAAGTGTCTAATCGCACCACTCTTCCATCAACATCCATCGACAAATACGAGGGGACCAGGCTATCCAGGAAGGGGAAACCGCTTGACCTGCCTCCGGATGAAGTATTGTAATTGTGTGAGGAAATCGAAGGGAAGTTCTCGGACACAGCCTTGCCGCGAGTCTTGATCGAGAGCTCGTTGGCGGAAGGGTATTGTAGGTACCAGTAGGGGTCGTCTTCAATGATGATGATGTCGTACTTTTGACACAGGCCGTAAATTTCTTTGCGTCTCTTGACTGAAAGCAGCCCAGAGGTTGGATTTTGACCCATCGTCACCGTGTACATGAGATGAGGTCTCTTGCCCTGGTTCTTGTCCCAGCTTTCCAATACCTCCTCAAGTCCGCCTTTTCCATAAGCTAGCATACCCTCATCATCGATGGCCACAGGGACAACGTTCAGACCCCGGGGTCTTGCTGCTTGGATGGCATTCATATAAGCAAATTCCTCGCACAGAATGCCCTCTCTTTCTCTAATCCAATCTCTGTCTTCGTCCCAAATGTTACTGAAGCATTCAATGGTCTTAGCAAACCCGTCCGTCGATCCGCAGGTCAATATCACTTCCGCTCCGCCCTTGTAGGGGACATTAGGATGTAGGTTATTCTGTGCAAATGATCGGATGAATGAGTAAAGTGGAGGATATCCTTGCGCAGTCCCATACTGCAGAGCAGTGGTCAAATCGATCTTTCGCAGGATGTTAGGCTCAGCTGAATCGTGAGGTACAAGGACTCGAGAGACTGTCGGGTTCTGTGAAAGGCTGGCTTTGGCAAGTTCGGTGGTAGGAGGGTCGACAGGCCTGTTAGGAGTCGGCTTAAATCGATCCGGTGTAGCAGTGGCGGCCTCCAACGTGTCGTAAGGAAAGTATCCGGGGTTGGGCAGACCTAGTCGGGTATCAGCTGTCATTTGTACTGTTTGAGAGATCGAACATACCTCCTGCAAGGTTTCCAATGCCCGGAATGAAGAAGTATTGGTAGAACTGCTTCATCTTGCTCGCGGCCCGGTTTTTGGTGACTCGGGAATAGTGGTAGGACAAGTCCTTGGGCGCCGGCTTCTCCATTATTGCGGCCATGGCGTTGGCGTGAGATGAGCAGATGACAGATATGACCGTAGACAAGCAATGTCAGTCCAGTTTGGGAGGAGTCTGTCTGCTTGTTTGTAGAAAAGATGGAGTATGGAAGCTGAAGGGCGCAATGGGCATCAATGATGACTATTCCAAAGCAACGCAGCGGGCGCCGATAAGAGAAGCTGCTTATCGCCAATGGCCCACGATCGGAAGCTCGTTCCGCCGAGGAGAGAACACCCATGAGCTTGGCATGCTTGGGCAGCAGCGTAGGAGGCCCCATTGGCGATCAGGCCAAGATGCATTCGCCTTGCCTTGCCGACGAGGCCGAGTTGTGCCAACCAGGGTACCTAAGCTGTGCAGTGCGTCGGACATTCACCCTCTCTCACATCCACATCCATCATTCGCGCACCGTTAGGCGTTTGGTATCATACACCTCTGCTTCCTCTGCCATGATTTAGTTGGTTATTCGCATTCTTTTTTGGATCAAGTTGTCCGGTAGCAGCCTTGACCATTCAGCATGGTTGCCCGCGAGTACCGCGATGATGACGAGGAAAACCAAGCCGCTGACATCCCTACCCTCACCGACGACGAGCGCGAAGACGATGCTGTAAGTCGAGACCTCCATGTACGGTCTGCCTCCGAGTCCTCCGCATCTGCGCTGCCCCTACCCATCTGGCTCCGAGAGTCCGCGGCCACTTTCAAGTACAAATGGGTGCCGTTGCCTGTGCGCAAGGCCTCACGGGCAGTGGTGACATGGGTCAAAGGGCCGGTCCCTCCGCGAGTCTTGAAGATTGAGCCTATATTCCCTAAAATACAACAAGCGCCTCTTAGATTGTTGGATAGATATGCCCCAAACAGAAAACAGCGTCTGATCCTGCTGGTCGGGCTGTATGCATGCTGGTTTCTGACATGGTCTCTCATGCTCAAACAACACTCCACCTCTGGGTTCATCAAAGGATACGGGAAACCGCAGAATCTATGGTGTGGTGCCAGTTTCTGGAACGAAGGCAACGGCTGTGGGCTTAATGGGAACCAATGCCGACCCTTCTCCTCTGCGCATCTCACCTTCCGCTGTCCTGCCAATTGCAAAGGCACACACTTGCTGGAAGAACATATTGTTGGAAATCAGTCACTCCGATATCAAGGCCTGGTCGTTGGAGGCCCGGATCCCGAGAATCCCGAGTCGATGCCAATATATCGAGCCGACAGCTTCATTTGCCAGGCTGCCATACATGCGGGCATTACTACAGACGCGAACGGAGGCTGCGGTGTAGCGACGCTTGTTGGCTCCCACACGAACTTCCCATCGATCAAGGCCAATGGAATTGAAAGCACCGCTTTCCCGGGCACGTTTCCACGATCCTTCACCTTTCAGCGACTATCGCCTTCCCAGGCCAAATGTCCTACGGATTCACGCTGGCCTCTCTTCGTAGTCACCGCTGTCGCGCTCGTCTTGCTATCTATCTTCACGACTTCTCCAGCTGTATTCTTCTTCAGCACCTTCGTCATTATGTTCCTCCACGTCGGACTGGTGTCTGATCCACCCAACACAGCCAACTTTTACGAATCCGTCAGCAAACTCCTGGAACGATTCCTCCCCGCGACATTCATCTCGTTCATTCTTTACCGATACTGCGCCGTGCCCTTGTTGCGCGACCTTACCGCACAAGTCGAGAAAACCGTTCTGTACCTCGGCTTCTGCTTCATTGGCGCTCTGAACAACTACACCTTCGCACCTCTTATCCCAATAGAACGCCTGACACCACATGATCTCGCGCAACCCGGCGCACCATTTGCTCTTGCCATCATCATTACCCTCATCTTGGTTATCGTTATCTCCCAAATACACTTCATCCGCATTTCGGGCAACATGCCAAAATACCTTGCCATCTACGCAGGAATGGGCCTTGCACTGATCATCCTGCTCGTCCTACCAGGCCTGAGGCTCCGCATTCATCACTACATCCTCGCCCTGCTGTTCATGCCTGGCACCGGGTTTCAAACTCGACCTGGCCTAGTATATCAAGGTCTCCTACTAGGCTTGTTTATAAATGGTATCGCACGTTGGGGCTTTGCAAGTATCATTCAAACACCCGCTGCGCTGGGTGAGTCGGGCCCAGGATCTCACGGTGGCGGATCGTGGTGGGGTGCAACGTCACCGAATGTCACTGCTGTCGTGGGTCTCGAGGCCAGGAACATCACGTTCAACTGGGGACCGTTGCCGAAAGACATGGACGTTGATGGCGTGAGTATTCTGATCAACGATGTCGAGCGCTGGCGCGGGTACACGGACGAAGAATTATACTGGGATCAGGAGGAAGTTACCCTCAAACGGCGGAAGAGAGACGACGACGGCGAGCCCGAGTTCTTTCGGTTTGCGTGGATGAAGGGCAGTGCTACCGGGACGTATAGCCGTGTGGGCATATGGGATGCGGATGGGGTTTGGCATGATCCGCCAGTCAAGGGGGAGAAGTGAACGATGCTTGTGTCCGCCTTCGCATTGTTTTCGACATATGAATCACGAAACTCTTAGATGTGTGGCTAACCGATCGTTCTGGCTAGAAGCTTCCGAAGTCAAGGGTAGAACCGTTCTTTCCAGATCTCGTGGTGATTGCCAACACATTTTTTTGTACACTTCCCCAGCTGTTCTTACTACCAGCCGTTCAAACCCCACAACATGCGAGTAATGTGCCCGGGCAGCCTGTCCCATGCCATGTTACTCCCAGTGTGAAACGCTTTTGCCGCGTGCTTTTGTGATACGCTGGTCCAGCAAGTCACTGAGCCAATTGCCTCTACGTTGGTTCCTTACCTGGTGGAGACGGGTTTCCGGGTCGTGTGAAAGAAAGGAGAGGTTGAGGCTTTCCACTGGCCATTCGGACACGACTACACACTTGGACCACCTGATTGCGCATTTATATTCTTCTCATGGCATCTAGTCTAGCTTCTCTATCATCACCGGTGATGGAAACATGTCTCTATCCAAATGCAGCCCTTGGCCGTTCAGGCGCACAACCTATTCGCAATGCAGGAAAACATGAATCACAACTTCGCCTTCACCGCAGTCTGCTTCTCCTTCTCCAGAGCTTCAGCGTACAGTTGATCCAGCACACCCCTATACTTCTTCGCCGCCACAGGCCTCTTAAGCTTGAGCGTCGGCGTAAGCAACTCGTTGTCCACGGTGAACGGCTCGACATATAACTTGATATTCTTCACGCGCTCGTACCCGGCGAAATTCTTCCTCCGGCCTGCTTTGTCCAGATCCTTCAGCACCGCCTCTTTGACCTTGGGCTCCTCGCACGCAGCTTTGATCGATTCGATATCTGTGGGTCCGATCTGCTTGCCGAGCACTTTACTCGCGAACCCCGCGAATGTATCAGGCTGCACGCCAAACACAGCGACCAGGAACGTTTGAACGCTGTCGCCATGGACGAACGCCTGCGCCAGATACGTGCAGCTAGACAAGTAGACGCCCTCGATGCGCTCGGGAGAGATGTACTCGCCCTGCGCGAGTTTGAGGACGTTCTTGCGGCGATCGATGATGCGGAACCGGCCCAGCTCGTCGACGCTGCAGATGTCGCCCGTCTTGAACCAGCCGTCGTCGGTGAAGGCCTTGGCCGTCTCCTCGTCGTTCTTGTGGTATCCCTTGAACACGGAGGCGCCGCGGAGGAGCAATTCACCTCGCGGGTACGGCTTGTCGTCGACCGTGTACTCCATGTCCGGAACGGAGATGAGGCACGCTTCTTGGCAGGGCGCGACGGCGCCGCAATTGCCCACGCTGAAGTCGTCGATAGGCTGGGTCAGCGCCATGGCGTAGGTCTCGGTAAGGCCGTAGCCTTGGAAGACGCGGGACGAGAAGACGACGCGCAGGAATTGCTGGAGGGAGGGGTCTAGCGGCGCGGACCCGGAGACCATGGTGTGCGCGCGGTCGAGGCCCAGAGCTCCCGCGACCTTGCGGCCCCAGATCCGGTCGTATATGGGGTGGGTGTATGTCGGGGACGGGTTGGTGCTGGGATTGGCATTGGCCAGCTTCGTGCGCACAATGTACCGAGACAGTGAGCCTTTGACGCCGGGCTGCTCGACGGTCTGGGCTTTGATGGCGCCGCCAAAGCGGTTGAAGAGTCTTGGGACCGAGGCGAATGTCGTGGGCCGGATGAGTTTGAGGTCGTCGACTAGTTCAAGTACGTTGCCGTGGAAGTAGCCGATCCGGCTGCCAGCCCAGATGGAGCTGTGCTCGAGGAGACGGCCGTAGATGTGCGCGAGAGGGAGGTAGCTGAGCATCCTGGAGTTCTTGTCTGCAGAGGATGAGACCAGTGAAGATGACGTTGCTGCGACAGCCATGGCATGTGTGAGGAGGACGCCCTTGGGTGGGCCGGTCGTGCCCGACGTGTAGTTGATGGTAATGGCGTCGGAAGGTCTAGGTGGGTTGTATGGCCGGCCGAGCGATGCTCCCAGCTGTTCCACGGTTTCGAGGGAGTAGATTTTCAACCCTACATCTGCGGCCATTGTGTCCAGGAGGACCTGTTTCGACAGCTCGGGTTTCTCATTGGGCGCGGAATCGAGAGGATCAAGGACGACGACAATTTTCAGGTTGGAGAGGCGTGGCTTGAGCTTCAGCAGCGTCGGCACATGGGATAGAGAGCAAACAACACAGGCGAGGTTTGCGTGGCGGATGATGTACTCGGAGGTCTCTGGGCCGAGAGTGTCGTAGAGAGAAACTGAGAACAACGACTGCGACATGCAGGCCAGGTCGGTCAACTGCCATTCGGGTCTGTTCTGACACCATAATCCAACACCGTACTGTGCCCCGGTGACGCCTTCTCTTGCATGGATTTCAACAAGCCCGGCGCCAAAGTCTGCCCTTCTCTTTTGTACGGTCTCATAGTCCAGCCACTCGTAGGGGCCGTATGCCTTTTGAGATGAGACCCATGGTCGATAGCCTAGACAGGGAGCATGAGGGTATTTCTGGGCAGCGAACTCGAACATGTCATGGCCGGTGAGGACGGCAGGGTCGAGAGTTTGGAGAACCCCATCGCGACATTTTTGATGGCGGTATACAGGTGTCCTTCCTTGTTTCTGAGAGCCCGGGATGGCTATTGAGTATGGTTGGCCTTTGGGAGGTGGTTTGCGGTATTCTTCGGCCTTTTGCAGGTGGAGAGGCGTGGACGAGAGAAGGGATGCCATGATAGCAAGGCCGATAGAAGAGAAGGAAAAAAGAGATCAAGTCAGAGGAAGAGAAGGACAGCTGTCATTAGTACGGATATCGACTAAAGATATTGTAGACAAAGAGGAAGATGGAAGAGATGAAGTGTGAGATTTTAGTGATTGGCAAACAAGGCAAAACAACATCATCATGCGCACACAGTCTGCCCATTCCTGGGGATCATTGAGAGGTGCGCCACGCCATGACATGCCATGCCATGCCATGTTACGCGACGTTGCTGGAGCCTCGGCATAAACTGATGGGACTTGGAAGCACAAGCCCAAGCACAATCCGGAGCTGAGAACCTGCAATTTGACGGGGCGAAGGAAGATCAGGCTCGGAGTGACCGAATTAGAAGGGGGCACTGTTCCTGAAGAGGAGATATCTCCAGATACTCCATATTTGGCTGATTAAAGGACTGATGAAAGACAAGTTGGAGCGCCGATGAGATAGACTGTCAGTGACTGTTCATTGTTCAAGTTTGGGCAATTGGATCAGAGGTTCGTTTATTCTTATGTTCGTGTTCCATGTTCATGCAGGGTCGTGGTCCATCAGCTCGAAGCATGTGAAAATTGGATCAGCTCCCAAGACTGCTACCATCTAGCTACCTTAGGTAAGGGTAAGTACCTAGGGAGGTAAGCTCGTAAGATACGGAGTAGTTAAGATAGTTATAGTATAGCAGCCCCGGACCATGTTCCACCGATTGGCCGCAGAGATTCCTCCAAGGTCTCCCTCTGGCGGACACTTCTCCTTTGCAAATCCCAAATCCTGCGATATTTCAAAGGTTCGGCCCTATACAAAAGCCAGCCATTATCAGACGCGTTCTCTGTGAAGCATAAAGGTCAATGGAATCAGGTTGCCCCACTGAGTTTAGCATCAGTGCTTGGTTTTGAGTCGGTCGTAGCGTTGTCCGGTTTGGCCTCTGCATCCGGCTGTGCAGCACTACTCGCCGCGAAACTCTGCTCAAAATCGTGAATGATATCGTCAATGTGTTCGATTCCCACAGATATTCTGACCATGTCTTCGGTCACTCCAGAGTCCAGTCTCTCTTGCTCGCTAAGCTGCTCGTGGGTCGTTGACCAGGGGTGGATGGCAAGCGTCTTTGCATCACCAACACTGATATAGGGTTAGCTTGTGGTAGGCGGAAGCACTTTTGTACACTTACTTTGCGAGATTCGAAATCATCTTGAATCCATCCACGACCTGTGCACCTGCGTCGGCACCTCCCTTGATGCCGATCGACATGACACCCCCAAATCCCCGAGGAAGATATTTTTTCGCGAGCTGATGATGAGGGTGGCTTTCGAGGCCAGGATACGACACCCAGGCGACATTGGGATGCTTCTCGAGCCATTTTGCTAGCTTCAAGGCGTTCTCCGCGTGACGCTCACACCGCAAGCTCAACGTTTCCACGCCGAGGATAAACTGTTGAGCATTGAAAGGCGACATGCAGGAACCCAAGTCACGCAAGACTTCAACTCTGATACGAATTATAAACGCCAATGGTCCAAAAGTGTCCACAAACTTCAAACCGTGGTAGCCGGGGGCGGGATCGTTGAACTGGGGGAACCTCTTTGCATTGGCCTTCCAGTCGAACTTGCCCGAGTCGACAATCATGCCGCCAATGGACGTACCGTGGCCTCCGATCCACTTGGTGGTGCTGTGCACCACGATATCCGCGCCATGTTTCAATGGCTGGCAGAAGTAGCCACCAGCACCGAATGTATTGTCGACAACAAGAGGAACACCTTTGGCACGGCAGACCTTTGCTATGGCCTCAAAGTCGGGCACGTTGTACCTGGGGTTGCCGATGGTTTCCACGTACACCGCTTTTGTCTTGTCATCGATGGCCTTCTCAAAGTCCTCCGGCTTCTCCGAGGTCAAGAACTTAGTCTCAATGCCGAGACGGGGGAGCATGACCTTGAACTGGTTATAGGTACCACCGTACAGGTTGGAGGTGGAGACAATGTTGTCACCAGCATGCGCAAGGGCAACGATGGTCATGAACTGCGCTGATTGACCAGAAGAAGCTGCCACGGCAGCAATTCCCCCTTCCAGAGCAGCAATTCTCTTCTCCAACACATCGACGGTCGGATTCATGATCCTGCTGTAGATGTTTCCAAACTCTTTCAAGCCAAACAGTCTTGCGCCATGGGCCGAGTCGTTGAACGTGTAGGAGGTGGTCTGGTAGATGGGGACGGCGCGAGCCTTGGTCGCTGGGTCTGGCTCCTGACCCGCATGGATCTGGAGAGTTTCGAATCTTTGTACATGATCGTCGGAAGCCATGGCGAAGGATCTGGGTTGCTTCTGCAAGAAGGTAGGGGAGTCGTGTGTGCTCAAAAAGAGGTAGATGTATTGCAGGCAAGAAGGGTCCGGGGTGGAGGGTATACTCAGGACTTGTATATCGGAGAGTAGGAAAGAAGACGTCTATGTGTACCAGCGAAAAAGTTCCCAATGTAGAGACAGACGAAGCTCTCTTGAGAGTAGGGCGGTACCTGACCTTTGAGAGAAAGCATTGCGAATGGTGTCAGTCTCTTCCCCGCACACGAAGAAGAGTTGCCAGGATTGCGTGATCAGAGCCAACGCCGGTCGCCCATCAACAACTGGCCCCATGAGGCTAAGACGCAAGTGACAAGAACAGGCGCTGAAGCTCGTGTCCTGTATACATATTGATGTAACAAGGTAAGCAACACGAGCTCGAGAGAAGAAGAAAGACCTGGCAGCTGAAATTACACGAACGAGAATGGCTCTCAGCTTAACATGGTTGGGAAGTCCAGTAGGATTCTTTCGGGTCTCAATGAACACAGGGTAAGAGATGGCCTCTTGCTGCAGAAGCCTCGTATAAGTATTTCTGACAGGACAAGCTCCGGAGTCTGAGAACGTACTCAGGCAGTCTGACTGTATCACAGAAGTCGTAGAAAAAAGACCATCTACACCATCATATGGAGTCCTTTGCTTTATCTTATCAAAGATGGGCATTTCATGTTTGCGACCTCGGACTGGTGCTTGCCCACAATCGCCTGCCGGTTAGAGACCTCTGCCGGCAAGCACCAGACCGGATCGATAAGGGAGAATGAGGGAGAATGGCGGAGATGAGCGGACAACACCTCGGATCGCTGAATGATCGATGATGAATCATGCCTTCATCTTCTCGACTTCGAGTTTATCCCCCTTCTCAATGCTTCGATATTAACATACAATCGCAAAACAATGCCACATCCTATTTAATACACTTTCACGCGTGTTTTCTGGTTCTGACCCCCAACTGTACTCGGATGAAGCTGTCATCCAACATGGGGCTGGTGCAGAAGAAGGATGCTTTTCTTGACCGCTTGATACCCTTCCGAGGCAAGAGGCCAATCCTCCTCGAGTACCGGTCGTCAAAGGTCTTTATTGTCTTTGCAATGTGCTGGGCGGTCTTTACTGTCAGTGCTCTGGCAGATCCAGCGTGGCTCTTGCTTACTTGAATCTAGGACGTCTTTCTTTACGGAGTCATTGTCCCAGTCATACCATTTGCTCTCCAAGATCGTGTCCATGTATCTGCCGACGACACGCAGCATTGGGTTTCGGTGTTATTGGCTGTGTATGCTGCAGCGTTGCTCTTCTTTTCGCCCATATTTGGCTTTCTGGCCGATCGGGCCGGCTCCAGGAAAACCACCTTACTTGCTGGACTTGTCATTTTGGCTGGGTCAACTCTCATGTTGTGCGTGGGGAAGACCATTACAGTCCTGGTGGTCGGACGAACGCTGCAGGGCGCTTCGGCGTCGGTAGTGTGGGTCGTCGCCCTGGCCTTGATGGCTGATACCGTCAGCGAGGAAGAGTCAGGCAAGGCTATGGGATATGTTGGTCTGGCCACTTCCTTGGGGGTTCTTGTGTCCCCATTGATTGGAGGAGTGGTATACGAGAGAGCGGGATACTACGCCGTATTCGGCGTGACCTTTGCTGTCATCGGCGTCGACATCCTTTTCCGCTTCGCATTGATCGAGAAGAAACACGCCGCAAAATGGTTGGAGCCCGATAATTCCTCGCATTCTCCGGCTTCTCACAATGATGTCGAGCTTCGAGACCAAATTGAACCACAGACTGTGGCAGAAAAGAATGCTTCTAGCGCCGTCATCGGCGCTGCCAGCCCACCTGCGAAACGAAAACTGCCAACAATGCTGGTCCTCCTCAAATCTCGGCGTATTCTCGTTGCTTTCTGGGGCAGTATGGTCGTGGCCATCACAATGACGGCCATTGATTCCACTCTACCTCTCTTCGTGAATCAGATCTTTGGATGGGACTCGCTGGGGGCCGGCTTGGTGTTTCTGGCCCTGATCGCACCGAGCTTCGTGGGTCCTTTGGTAGGGCATTGGACTGACAAGTATGGCCCTCGCTGGTTTGCAGCATCCGGATTATTGTTGTGCGTGCCCTTCTGGGTGCTACTTCGGCTTGTTGACCACGACAACATCGGCCAGGCTGTTCTTCTCTGTGTTCTTCTTGTGCTTCTGGGAGCAGCCACGACGCTTGTCATGATTTCATTGCTGGCCGAGTTCAGTAAGGTGTGCGATGTAAAGGTGCGACAAGAGCCCAATCTGTTTGCAGGGAAGTCGGCATATGCTCAGAGCTATTCAATTTTCAACGTGGCTTGGGCTGCCGGCAGTCTGCTGGGACCTCTGATAGCGGGTGCTGTCAAGTCGTCTGCAGGCTGGAAGACCATGACGTGGACCATGTCCCTTTGGTGTGCTGTAGGAGTGTTGCCTACCTTGATGTACTCTGGTGGAATGATCACTAGAAGTAAAAGATCCACCGACAGTGGTGGAGTTTTGGGGGAAGCGAGTTCTTGACCTCCCTGATGGATATGAGCGTTCATCTCCGTACATACTAGCACATACTAGCAGCAAGTGTTGCATATGAGAAGATTTGTTGCGAGCAGTCCATGACATAAATTGTATCGCCTCGGGTATGTGCCTGATAATCAGCTTCGTTTGTTGTTGCATCCTTCAGAACAGAGATTGCTCCTTTGTTTCGTTTGGTGTGGTTGTCAGTGCCATTCTGGGATGTGACAATCTCTTCTACTGCAGGTGCTGTGATCCAATGAAAGAACATTCGTGCTTCATGCTTGAAACACAGGATCTCGGCTGTAGTTTCTGATTGGGTCCTCCACAAATGTTTCATCATTGTAGGTGATGCTATCTAGCATCATCTGCAGACAGCCATCATCAACCCAACTTCAAACATGTTACTCTTGTTCATCATGGCCGGCCAAAGGCCATCCATGCACATCGTGTTTACCGCGACTTTTTCAAACATTGATCTCCATATGTGAAATCCCTTCAACCCGCAATGAATCGTGTTTGAGGACTATCGAACGCGCCTGGCCGTGGTTGTGATTTATGAGTACCTGTCTTGCTCTTTCTTCGCCTTGATGTCCTTCAGTTGCACAAACCTGACAAAACCTGTGCGCTTTCCTGTCCTGAAAAGCCATTGCTGTTTGCTGCCTAAATTACCTTTTTATCCTGCCTTTCCTGCTGCCTGTCCTTCTCATCTTCTCCTTCTGGCAAGGAGCAACTTGAAAACTTGTTGCAGGAACCAGAAAACCCTGCCAAACTTCTAATCATCTGTCCTCCTCATCAAATCTTGTCTAACAACCCTTTGCAAACATCAAAATGATGAACATCGATCCAATGCTCATCGTCCGCGCCCTTCAAGGGATATTAGCCCTCGTCGCCATGGCCACGGGAGCAACCGGTAAGTCAAGCCCTCGCATCTTCCGCTTCCTGCTGACTTCGACGCCAGTTGCGAACATCCTGAATACTCACAATCCTTCAATCGCCGTCCCAAACAGTGTCATCTTCTACATCTTCACGGCGGTTTTCACCTTGCTCGTCACCGTGCCGTACACCATCGTGGCGCCTCGCTATTTCCAGGTCTTGGCTCATCCATTCGCAATGCTTGCCGCCGAAGCAACAACCTCAATATTCTGGCTGGTCAGCTTTGCCGCCTTTGCAGATTTCTTGAGACGGTCTCGTGTCTGTGAAGTGGGAGCTTGTGCATCCGCAAGAGGAAGTGTGGTGGTTGGCGTCCTTGAGTTGTAAGTCTCTTTCGGGCTTCCGGCCCAACCGGCCTAATGCTGATGGATATAACAGCATTCTATTCGGCGTTACAACCTTCTTTGCCTTTTCCCATGTTTTCCTCGGGGGCAGGTTCAGTGGAGGCAAGGCCGTGGATAAACAACAACAATCTCACAAGTCGTGGTCGGGCGCCGAATCAGTGTGAGGTCTGATAGCTGGATCAGGAGCATACCTCGGTGCTGGTGGTTTGAGACAACTGCTGTGTCAAGCGAAGGCATAGATACCATGACTGCAAGGTATTCGTTGTACATAAAGCAGCTGCGCCTGTCTCAACTGTGCTTTTTCTTCGCCCCAGAACGCAGCAGGACTAGCTGTCCTTACTTTGTATGCACTCAAACACCCGCACCGGTCAATTGAGGTATTCTCTTCATCGCCTGCACTGCCACCAAGCCCCGTGTTTTTCAAAGTCTCCAACGGGATTGCCGTTCATTTACTGCAGACCATCTGATGACTTTGAAGATTCTCGACTATTCTCGATCAACAGATGTGGAATGGATGCCATTTGTGACGCTCCCCTTCGATATCTATGACTCCTGAAAAGTGCTGCACGCCAACAGACCTCCCAGTGATCAGCAAGTCTGTCATGCCAGAAGAACTTACTCATCGTTCCTTGCATGCCCTCCCACGATCTCGCCTCCTGCAAACGAGCTATCAAGCCATCAAGAACAACATGGCGTTCCGGTGAGGCATCGATCTGCGCATCCCAAGAACTGGCGATGGCCAGAGAGCACCAGAGAAGACAAAGTCGGAGCCAAGGATGCCGTGGTATCTCTGTTTGTTCGTTGAAGCCCTCGATGATTGGCCGGAGTGGTCTAGCCAGAGGTATGTGAAAAGATACTTCATTGTACAGATGCAAACAGAATGCCAACAGAGCTTTGACCATTTGTGCCTCGATTTGATTCAACGGCAGAGCCGACAAACACTGCAGGTCGTAGATGGCTCGTTGCATAGTCATCTCTGGTCGCGGCCTGGGCATTTCTTGATCCGTGGCCAGGGCATACCAGTCAACCAGCTCTGTCAGCCTGACCAGAAAGCTGATGAATTCGATCGCGATATTCCTGCTTAAGGCCACTTCTGCGAAACCGTCGGGCAATTTCGCTATCAGCTCGCAGAGATCCGCAGGGAATGGGTGCCCAGGGTACGTCAGTATACTGATACGGTGACCAGGCTCATTGATACGAGTTGCATAACTGGGCTGATGAGCATGCATGAACGATGCAAGCACTCCGAAACTCCCCAGATTAGACACGGTCAGCCAACCAGGGATCAGGGGTCAACTCACGCTAGCACACGGCCACGGACAAAGTTCTGGAGCTCGTTGTCCTCGTCAGGATCGTACGACTGGAGCAGGTTCTCGAGAGCGCGCAGGTGGACCTCAAACGACTCCACGTCGTCGATCATGTACTAGACTTGTGTCAACCAGAGCCTCTACCACCTCTACTGGACACCTCACGTTAAAAGTCAGAAGCGTCGACATCGTGAGCAGTACTAGATCCGAACGAGCTTGACGGCCAGCCTCGAGCGCATTCCTCAAATGCAGCAGTGTCGCGCCTTTATGTCGAAGCAGCATCTTGTCCTCCATGGGCTCGCAACCTCTTCGCAATAGCCATGCGGCTCTGGTCATGCCGATGGTCGCTTCGAAAAGCATTGCATTCTGTAAAGCCAGTGGCAGGATCAATGTCAGGAGTGCGTTGCCTCCATTTTGCATTTTAAGGGACTGTGCTTGTTGTGGAGCCCATATCTGGATATCTGGGATTATTGAGCTGGGTGCCCGGGCGCACAATTTGAATGAACTCACAGTAGTCCGTCATGAACTGGACACCTCTGGACACTCGCGATATAGGGTATCGGAAGAAGGGATCGATGCGATAACCGCCATCAACCGTGAGCAATGGCGAAGGGCATCGACTGTTGTCCGAGTCATCATCCATGTTTGGGCCTTGACTGGAATTCCTTCGTGGTAGTTGAAGAGTCCGTCGATCCCGTCTCATCGAGCCTTCGCGCTGGTCGCTCATCACGCAAGGTCGAAAATCTGTTACAGATTTGACGACACCGCCTCTTCGGACGATCTATATTGTCGATTCCAGCCTCATCGCTAAGAAGAAAACGTCGTCATCATCATAATCAGAACTTACAACGTCACAAGCACTGATCAAGGAAACGGTTGAGAAAGTAGCCGCGTTCTGACTTTCCAAACGAAATTCCTCCAGCCATCTCGATCGTACCTCCAAGGGGACATCCTTGCAGCCACATGGCCATCGGCCAATCTGGTTGTAGAGAGCACCCGTGACGGGAAGGCGACACCGATCTTCATTTGGCAGAAGGAAGAATTTAAGCTTAGTGTTCCTGCAAGGTTTGTCAGCGCATTGGTCTTTGCCCAATGGCTTGGAGCGGAGGCCGAAGAAGAGTCGACTTCCAAGAGGATATTTCCTTCATTAGGTATTTTATTGTGTTTGAACTTGGAGGCGTGTTTTGGATGACGAATGGGCAGAATGACGGCCGGACCCTTTCGATCTTTGAGTGGCGGCTACGTTGAGCTGGTCCTGGGTGTGGTTGGTTTATGATATGAGGCACCTTTCGTCGTCCATCGTTGCAATGTATGGTCACTCTGGTGGATCGGCCAATCATGCAAATCTATGCGATCTACAAGTCGTTGAGGGTTTCATGACAATTCCCCCATTGGGATAATTCTGCTGGTCTTGTCTGATCTCGGGTAAAGGAGGAAAAAGCAGGGCATGTTCGGCGCCGCGATGGATTGACGATACTGTGTGCTCGGTAAGCGACTGTCGTCATTGCATTTTGACATACGGCACAAGGTCTATCAACTCTGTGAATGGTTGATTACTATGAGCATAATGTCTGGCGATGGTGTAATTGCGTGCGCTGACTTACATCCCGGATGTCCATGGCCTGAGGTTGTTCACGCCGATCTACCTCAGCACGCTATCTTGGGCAGGTATTGCAATGGCAAGCTTTGGTAACCTACTTCGTTCGTGCCTGTGAAAGAGTGGAAGTTTGAAAGGCTTAGATTGGACATAGGAGTACAACAGTTAATGTTCAGCAAGCCTCTTATAGTAGCTCATATACTTATGACTCAGTCGAAGGGCCAAGTAGGCTTGAAAGCTCACCTCTGCCAGAAACAATACACTTCACAATGTTGCGTGATCCATCAGACTCGTGGTCCATCAGACTCAAAATATGCATAGGCTGCGTTCCACTATTGTGGTCTTGCAGAAATGCCACAGCAGGCAGGCAGCAGTCGAAGTACACCATTTTGTTCCCGCAACCTGGTTCCCACAAACGCTGGAAATAGAATTCAACATATCGTACAACCCCCATCTGGAGTACATGTGCTGCTGTGTTGGGAACAAATCACCCCTGGTCCCCACGGCGTTGCCTTAGGGGTTTGTCTCTAAACAGACAAGTGACCGAGCTCAAACTGAAGAGCTATATGTATTCGACCAAGTCTCGCGGTTCCAGTGCTGAGGAAGCAGTCTCGCCAGACCCAGGGCTTCGGTGTTGATCGGTGATTCGCCAGTAAACAGGAAGACATCGTACAGAAAGCCGCCAAAGGTACAGCCACAGAATGGCGCGACCATCGGGACTAGAAGTCTTGTCAGCAAACTCCAGGATCCATGCCATGAGAATGCTGATGCTTCAAACTCACCCCAGAAGTAATAGTCGCCAGCGCGCCACACGTTCATTCCGTACCCAAGCATGTAAGACATGAGTCGTGGGCCGAAGTCTCGAGCAAGGTTAATGGCATAGCCGGTCTACAATTGTTGCAGTTGTATCATCAGCATGGTGGTCTTGGGAAAATAAAATCAGGGTGAATCGGTGTGCCTCGACTCACCTCCCAGCCGAAGCAGGCGCCGATGCCGAAGATGACGAAGAACAATCCCAGTGGTACCAAATTTCCCGCCCCAAGGTTCCCGTCGTCTTTGAGAGCATAGATCAAGAACATCAGGATCGTGCTGGCGATGAATTCGGAGAAGAACTGTCCGGTTTTGGTCATGAACTCGGCAGGGTATGTGCAGAAGATACCGGCTGACGCGGTCTCGGAGTACCCAGGCACCGTTCTTATGCCCGCACCACCTTCGAAGACGTCGATGGCCGATTTGTAGTTGGCATAGACGACACCAGATGCGCACATCGCCCCCAAGACTTGGGCGAGCGCGTAGATGGGGAACTTGCGCCAGGGGAACTTCCGGAACACGCAGTTGGCGAACGTGACGGCAGGGTTGATGTGTGCTCCTGATATGCCGCTGGTGTAAACGCCCAGCATGACGCCGAGTCTGTGGACATGGTTAGCGACAAGTCGTCGAGACAATGATGGAGTGTGGCAGGTTAGAGGCAATTTGCAAGGAATGACGAGGCAGGCTACCATTGTAGCTGCTGAAAAAGGCAGTGATATGATGAGGAATATGAGACGGACAGTGCCCGATGTTGCAAGTGGAGGCTTGTAGAAGCGTGTACGTGTACTTACCCCCAGCCCCATGAAATTGATTGATAATCACCCTTTGTGCCACCGCTCAAAACGACTTGGGCAACGACGCCGTCGCCAAACAGGATCAGGATAAAGACACCGAAGAACTCGGAGAAAGGCTCGCGGCAGTAATGGCGGACTCTGCTCCAGAGAAGATCGGGCTCGGATTGAATGACATCCTCTTGAGGGATCTTGTGGTCGACAAGAGGACCGTCTGTCATGAGGTCGACGGGTTAGTATGGCTTTCTGGAACGATATCTGCAGTTCTTGCTGTTTCGGACGACGACGACGACGAGTGTGACTTACGTTCTGCATAAGCCGGCTGTCCATCTACGGTGGTATGCCGGTAGTCGTGAGGTTGATGGTGGTGATGAGGTAGGAGCTCGTTATGTGACGTGGGAGGTGTCGAGGACATTGATTCCTTCTCGAGAGCCATGGGTTTGATCTCTTGGCCAGCGTTCTGGGATGGGGATACTGGACGGATCTGATCGCTTGCCATGCTGTCAGCTTCGGTCGAGGAGAAGACGGAAGGCCAGAGCCAGACTCTTATCACTTTTCTATGGTGGAGCCCTGGAAGGCGGCTTAGTTCACCATTGCGGAGGTCACACCTGATGGTCGGGGACGGGCGGATATGAGCCAGTCATCGTACGCTGGAGTGGGATGCTGGGGTATATGCAGGCAACCCAAAACCCTGTATGCAGTGGCACCGCGTAAATGGAAGCGGTTGCGAGCGGAGTGGGACTGCGTATACATAGGCTTCGGTGTATCAAGCCCGAACAGAACCAAGGGAACTGGAATACCTAACACCGAGACTCGAGAGCCTTGTGGTCTGGCGATCACTGGAACTGGATCGGCCGGATGTCTGTTCAACGAGAAACGTGTATCTCGCTGATACTGAATGAGTGATGAGCTGTTTTCATCCTGGCCCAGAGCCAATGAGCGTAGATCATCGAGGCTGACCAAGGCCGATGTATCATGCCAGCCTTCGAGATGTAAAGCTTACGCGTGCGGCAAAAAGACGCCATCATGGGACGCCTGTGATTAATCAACACTACGGATTTGTGGAGACCTGGATGGCTTCTCGACGGCATAATAATGAGGAACCTCCAAATGGGCGTTGTACAGCATGTCACCATACACTGGCTAACAACAGAAGACGCAACATTGTGCTGTAGCTCTTGCATTCAGTCCGGATATTGCAGCTCGTAATTGGTCTTGACGGGGTACAAGACCCGGGCCCTGTCGGCGGCCAGTTCGACCTCGGCCTCGATAGCAATTCGTCCGCTTTTGTTGAATTCGAGTGGCAAGATAGAAAGCATATCCAGTCCTCCAGATTTCGCCATCATCTTACCCCGCAGACAGGATGAATCCTTCATGCATGGCAACATGGAGGTGAAGTTGAATACGGCCTTCTCGTAACATGAGCCAAGACGTCTTACCTCGTGTTTGCATCTGACATTGCTCAGCTCAGCCTCCGCATCTGTATTGCCGGAGACAGCCGCTTGGATGGTTGGTTCGGCTGGAGTCATCGGCGCGCTAAGTGTACTGATGTTACAGTCATTTCCTGGGCTTCCCATCAACCCCTCATTGATATCCATCTCGCATCTTCCAAAAGGTCCGGCCGGCCTGACCACCAAGAAACGCACCCTGATGCTAGTCCTCGGAAGTGGCTGGGTGAGGTGCCGCTCCAGCTCCCATCTCCAGCTACTCCCGTCACCATTTGGCTAGCACGGTGCTACCCCAGCTGGCGTGCGTCTCGAAGATAGATCGGCAGTTGTTCCTTCGGGAATAGAAGGAATTGTCTCTCACTAATATTCATAGGACCAGGAGATATTTCTCGAACGAGTCCATCAAAGGAGAATCATCCGCCACTAATTCACGTGGCTTGAGGATCGTCGCCACGAACCCCGGACTCTGCCAGAGCCTGCTGCATCTCGGCGGTGAGATCCCGACCTCGCTTGGGGGAAAAGAAACCCCAAGACCCCTTCCATCGATCTTTGAGGTCTCAGCTTCTGGGAGCAAGCTCGAACACATTCACTGGGTACTTGCCTTTGACTATTCTATCATCTGAGAGCTCCATTCCGCAGGTCTAGCTCGGACTGACGTTGATTGGATGTTGACTGCCATCAGGAACAAGATGGGAGATACCACGAAGGGCTCGCATGAGGTATTTGTGGGTTCCATTGATCAGGGAACCACATCAACTCGCTTCTTGATATTCAACCGAGATGGCGAGCCGGTTGCTTCCCACCAGATTGAGTTCAAACAGTTCTATCCACAGCCTGGGTATGAGTAATATGCACTGATAGCGAGTTGCGATGGCACTAATCAAGCTCGCAGCTGGCATGAACACGATCCACTTGAAATCGTTTCCTCGGTCGAGCAATGTATCGAGGGTGCTGTGAAAGACCTTGAAACCCAGGGCCATTCCAGCTCAAATATCAAGGCAGTTGGGATCACGAATCAGCGTGAGACAACCGTAAGTCATATTCCCTCCACCCATAGAGATATCTCTGTCACAGCGAGCCAATCAGGTTCGACCTTGATGACTGACGGTGCTCGTGATTAGGTCGTTTGGGACTATGAGACTGGAGAACCGCTGTACAATGCGATCGTATGGACTGACACCCGCACGCAAGCTTTGATTCGCAAAATCAAACTCCGGCTTGGAGCCGATCGACTCCAAGAACTTTGTGGTCTGCCATTGTCGACATATCCATCTGTTGGCAAGTTATTGTGGCTCCTCGAGAATGTGCCCAAAGTCCAGGATGCCTACGAAAAGGGTAACCTGGCTTTCGGTACCGTTGACGCCTGGCTGGTCTATCGCTTGAATGGCGGCCCGAAAAAGAACGTTTTCGTATCAGATCCCACCAACGCATCTCGCACCTGCTTCATGAATCTGAAGACTTTGGATTATGATAATCAGCTCATTGACTTCTTCCGACTTGATCCCGGCAAACTCCGCTTACCAAAAATCGTCCAGTCATCCCACCCGGAAGTATATGGACGATTGGAATCTGGTGTCCTCAAGGGTGTACCCATTACCGGGTGTTTGGGTGATCAGTCGGCAGCATTAGTTGGCCAAAAAGGTTTCACGCCTGGCCTGGCCAAGAATACCTACGGCACTGGCTGCTTCCTCCTGTACAACGTTGGAGAGAAGCCCGTGTTCTCCAGTCACGGACTGCTCGGCACGGTGGCATATGATTTTGGCGAGGGTAAGCGGATGTATGCACTCGAAGGCAGTATTGCTGTCGCAGGCTCGAGCGTGAAATTCTTAGTCGACAACTTCGGCTTCGTGGAATCTTCGAGTAAGATTAGCCAGCTTGCATCTACGGTGGAAGATAATGGAGGTTGTGTCTTCGTGACAGCTTTCAGTGGGCTTTTTGCACCATATTGGATCGACGATGCAAGGGGTACCATTTGTGAGTGTGGGAGTATTTGCCCTATACTCCGTTGCTGATCAGTACTTGCTCAGACGGAATCACTGCATACACGCAGCGCGGCCACATCGCTCGTGCCACTCTCGAAGCGACATGCTTCCAGACTCAAGCCATTTTGAGTGCCATGGAAAAGGATTCTGGCCACAAACTTGCTGAACTCGCTGTGGACGGAGGCATGAGTAATTCGGATCTGTGCATGCAGGTAATGTTGGCCCTGAAATGATTGCGAAAATCTGCAATTGACGCTGTACCAGACACAATCAGACTTGATCCAGATCCCGGTGGTTCGCCCCAAGATGCGTGAGACTACCGCACTCGGAGCAGCAATCGCAGCTGGTCTGGCCGTCGGTGTGTGGGAAAGTATCGACGAATTGGCCAACATCAATCTTGAAGGTAGGACGGTGTTCAAACCAGAAATGGAAGAGGCAAAGAGTAAAGAAATGTTTGGAAGATGGGAGAAAGCCGTGCAAATGTCCAAAGGTTGGTCATCTTGAGGAGCTCGAGAGATTGAGGCAGTTGAAGGTTGCAATGAGGTTGTTCGAAGACAGGCTGAAGATGGCACCACGTAGCTGCAGCAAACATGAGGTGTGCTTGATATTGGACGAGCGCTTTACGTGTCTCGAGCAGCCTCGTTCAAGTCAACGCTATTCACCTCTTCCAGCCTGGATGCCAGGTAGCATGATTTGTGCCACAGGGTTCATCACCACTTTCGATGAGTTGTCAGCCTTCGAGCAATCACTCCACATGCACGTATTCGGCCATTTGGCATACGTTGTCATGCATACGCTTGCTGTTTGATGTTTGCTGCTGGTCTTCAAGATGCACAGTGATGCGGTGAGTGCCCAACTGTGCCAACTCCAGGCCATTTCGGACTTCTTTCAGACGGAAAAGTCTGCCAAGGCCGGCCTCTTGTGCGAGATCATTACTGACATTACAACGGCTTAACAGCGGCTTCCCCACGGGGTTTAAGCTGGTACAAGGTTAAATACAGTATATTACGACATTCTTTCCTCGACGATCTGCTGAAGGGCGTTCTGTCCCCCCTCTTTCCACCGGCATATCGGCTATACGGCATAGATAAGGTCGAGCTGCTCCAATACTCAGACATTGTCAATGGACGGGACGGCGGCTTGCTGCAGCTCATCGTTGGGGGAACCTGCTTGTCATCGATGTTATGGCTACTGACCCAATGATTCCTTCGTTACTCACCCAAGGAGCCCCTTTGTGTTCTTCTCGGTCGCCGTTGTTGCCCACTATATCTTTTTGCCCTCACCGGCCTTGGTCTGCCAGCAAGACAAATGACCCTGTCTCAGGATGTCCAGCATGTCAAGTCGAGAGACTTCGGAGAGCGAAAAAGATGCCATACAACGCTACAGACCAGAACAAGAAGGCACGCAATACAATGACCTCACCAAACAAGCCAGTCGAGGGTCCGAACTGAAGAAGGTTGCGAGCAATACTCTGGGCAAGGTCGCCTCCCGCTTGACGACGCGAGATATCGTTGATCCGGGCCCTCCTCCTGACGGAGGGACGAAAGCATGGATTCAAGTCGCAATGGGCTGGGTGGTCTGCGTGTGTACCTGGTATGTTCGTGAACCACAGTACAGAGGCGCGTCGAAGTCCGAAGTCGGCTTCTACAGCCCGAGTCCGTGCGTCATGATGATCGTCCGCTAACTACTCCCCATGTGCAGGGGATATATCAACTCTTTCGGCGTGTTCCAGACATATTACAGCGAAACGCTGGGCGAATCGCAGTCCACGATATCCTGGGTCGGCTCCCTACAGTTATGGACAGTGTTCTTTGTTTCGGCTTTCTCTGGACGGGCACTAGATGCAGGACTATTCATACCCACCCTGATAGTCGGAGTGACCGTCCAACTCATTGGCATATTCATGACCAGTCTCTGTACAGTGTTCTGGCAGCTGCTGCTGGCCCAGGGGCTGTGCACAGGCTTGGGAAGTGGAATATTCTTCTGCCCGACCATGGGTCTGGTTACGACTTACTTCAAGGACAAACGGGGCATCGCCGTCGCCATTGTAACGACTGGTAATTCCGTTGGCGGCGCGGTCTATCCGGTCATTGTCCGCCAATTGCTGCCAAAGATTGGCTTCGCCTGGACTGTGCGCGTGCTGGGCTTTGTGAACCTGGCCTTGCTAGCTACCGCGCTTGCTTTTATGCGGCCAAGGCTGCCGCCTCGAAAAGCCGGGCCGGTCATTGAATGGAAGGCCTTCTACGAGGTGTCGTATGATTGCGTCCTGATTGGAATGTCTCTCGTCTTCGGTGGCCTTTTCTTCTCTTATTATTATATCGCCTCCTACGGCCGCGATATTATCGGCATGAGCTATGCCGACTCGTTGACTTTGCTCATCATCTTCAACGCCGCCGGCATACCAGTGCGCTTGTTGACTGGTTGGATTGCAGATCGGTTCTCGGGACCTTTGAATGCGATGGTGATACTCCTATTCATCAATGGGCTTTTTGGCCTTGTGTGGATCGCCGTTGGTTCCGAACCCGGCCTGTACGTGTTTTCCATCTTCTACGGCTTTTCTGCTGGCGCCTTTCAGTGCCTCTTTCCGACGACAGTGACGAGTTTGAACAATGATGTGAGCAAGAATGGGACAAGGTTGGGCATGGCGTTCTCACTTTTTAGTTTTGCTGGTCTTGCTGGTCCGCCCATTGGAGGTGCATTACTCGGCACAAATGGAGGCGGACGAGGCGGTTATCTATCTGCGCAACTGGGGCTGGGTTTAGCGACGATGCTGGGAGCGCTATTTATGGTGGCTGCCAGAGTGTACAAGGATGGCTGGGGTTTGAGGGTAAAATGTTGACCAGATAAAAGCAGAAAATGAATTGGAAGTTGATGTCGAACTGCGACCAGCATCCACTTCTTGAATCACGACAACTTAGTAGGTCTTGCAATATATGGCTCGAGCAGCTAAGTCTCGAGTCTCATCTAAGCATATTTGACTCTTATCTTACCCGCGTTCCCTCTTTGCGTAAGTATCCCCTCGTCCATGGCCGGTGGGACACTCACCCCGGAGCGAGGGAATTAGATCTTGGACCAGATGACACAAATCCCCTGCTTGTACCACTGTTTTCTCAGGAGATACTAAGTACATATCTGTCAATGAACAAGTCCATCAACGGTCCCCCATTCTGGGTGTCTGTCAATCACTGATCGATGCGAACACTCAAATACTAGTATTAGTACGACCAAGTGAGTGTATCTATGAAAATACTTATTATCTGGAAACCTCAGTCCATGAAGAAAAGGCAACCTCCCTCCCACCCTCCACTCCTTCCAGCCCACAGTCGAGTGTCAGTGAATGTGCACAACAAATGGCATGTAAGAAATGGCATGTAAGAAATGGCATGTAAGAAATGGCATGTAAGAAATGGCATGTAAGAAATGGCAAGACTGTCCTTGGTCAAACAGGCGATATGGATTGCCCACCAGTAACCGCCGTCGTTTATGCCATCCTGACCTTCTTGTTCTTCTTGGACTTCATCTTGTAAGGATCTTCTTCTTCCTCCTGGGGCTCCCAGCAACCTTTTTTAAGCTTGCTGTTCCAGCACTCCCTCGCCGCCTCCTCGTCGATCCATGCCCAGGTCTTGCAGGTGTTGAGCCAGTTGTACATCAAGTCATAATCCTCTGTTTCTTCCTCATAGTCGCCACAGTTGTAGCACACGCTTGTAGCATTCCACCCACTCCAATCCGCCGCCTTACCTAATGCTTCCTTGCTGCACACACAGTCGATGGCATCCTCGGTTTTGTATTCCCATTCGAGGTCGTATACTTCGTACTTTTTGTCGCTGCAATACTCGAGGATGTCGATGTAGTCCTGGCACGGGGCTTTGGGACATTTTGTTGTCTCCTCGGCAAGTTGTGGAAGGGCGGTGGCAAGGGCGAGCAGTGAAGCCGCGGCGATGATGGAGTATTGTAGCTGCATACTGGAAAGGGCTTGATATGAGTGAAGTTCTAAGTGGTGGATGGAGAGTATCGTGGTATGTTGTGACGCTTCTGTGTCTGTAGGAAGGCTCCTGACTCTGGATGTTGTGAAGGAGGGATGCTGTATCAGAGTAGTTTTGCACGAGGTGTAGCCTCCTTAAATACTACCCTTTTGCAGTGATTGAATCTGCAGTCCAATGTCTCTTCTCTCGGTCCCCGAAATCGTGGGCTTGAATCACTTGTCCCAGAGAATACTCGTATCTTTAGATGCTTTTCAGCACCAAGCTCTCAGCCCTGCGACTGGAAGTATATCCATCGCAACCGGTTGGTTTGATTCGAAGGTCTCTTACTTCCAAGACAGACTCAGCCGTGCCAGAGTCTGCGAGCAGAATGTTAGTATAAAACGGCCGAACAATTTGCTGGTCAGCTGCACTAGTTCTTCAGCCTTTTTGAACGGAGTTCCGTCTTTTGCGGCGGCTGGTGAGAGCTTTGACTAATATCTCCGCTGCTAGGTGGCTCGAAGTATTGGCATCAGAGCCTAGTGCTTGTAGAATGGATGTACTTCTGCTCGGGGACCGTGTGACTGCTGAATAAAGTCGGTGAGCTCGATGACTGCTTGAAAGGTATGTAACATTTAATACGATCGACAAGGTCAGTGAACAACACAGTATAGCTGCGAGGCTGATCAGAGTTGTAATGATGTTGCAGTAGCAGTGGCACTTTCGATCGGACAAAGCTCCACCACAGGAAGTACATGCAGGAAGTCACCTAGGTAGTTGAAACGACTTCGACAGTCCCAATGCAGTGAGCCAAGGTCGCGGCAGTAAGACCCAATATAGATCGTTGCATATCTGACCTCGTAATTGTGAAGCCAGGAGTCAACGTCCCAAGTGAGACTATCCCCAGTCACCAGCGTGTATGCGATGTCCTGGGCAAAGCTGCGGTGTCCTCTCCAGGTATCCGTGGAGAGGTTTGATTGGGCGCCTTCGAAGTCTTGATCGATTCTTCCACATCTCGTCGAAGTCCCAAGGCAATGTCTCTTTGCCAAATCTCCAAGAGTGGCCAAGGCTCAGCTGAATATGCCGAGCTCCCGAACTCGAGGCGAGGTCACCTTTAATACGAGATACCTACACGAAGCATGCTCTGTTCACCAATACTCCAGGTTAGATGCTATTTTCGCCAGAGGTTCCTCTCTGAAATTCAGCCTCGGCTAAGCGATCGAGGCCCTGCAGAGATCGTCACGTTCAAGGGTGTTGGACAGATGTTCTAGTTCCGTCTCGATCGGGCTTCGAACGGAAGCCGTGTAGTTGAGGGCAATCGAGTCACCAACACGGTACGGTAAGCTTAAATAAGCCTATTGGCATCGCCGGCATCTTGGCACTGTCTACGCAGGAACGCCCATGCTACAACCTTGGGGCAGACTGAGAGTGTGACAGAATGGAAAGCGAGGTAAATATAGAGTGTGGAACAACGTTCGGGATTGCAAGACTGGACAGTTTCGAGATCGGCGTTCTGGATTAGGTGACGAGAGTGTGATTGAAACAGATTGAAATTCGTAGAGTGACCGGCTGGACTTGCTTGGCTCATCCCAGCTTGCCAGCATTGATTGACGCGGAACAAAGCACGATCAACCGCAACCTGGCTCCCTCCGGGACCCAGCCTTCACAAGTTCGCCCGGACAGGAGAATTCCAGCTCTGCTTGATGCGGTCGGCAGCTTTCTCCGCGACAGCATATACTGTAGCCTGGATATGTGCCGATATCTGAAGGGGGAATATGCTGGCATCCACCACTCTGACATTCGACGTACCATAGACCCTAAGACTGGAGTCCACAACACCGCCACTCTCGCGAGGCAGCATTGAGCAGGTGCCGACCGGATGCCAATCGGTTATTGTGTTATCAGCCATCCACGAACTCCAGTCGAAGTCGCCTGAAGGCTCTTCTGGGGGATAAACTCGTTTCAGGACAATGCTATTCATCGGCGCTGTTTTGCAAATGCGGTCACCGAATTTCTGCGCTTCTACCATGACTTCGAAATCGATCTCTCCCTCACCTTCGAAATATTTGGGGTCGATGATCAATTTGCCCTGCCTAGCTGCTGTCGGATCGATATGTATGCGGCCTCGGCTGTAGGGGTACTGAAGAATCTGCATCATCGTGGCGTATTTCTTGCCCGGCTCGCTCTTGTAGACAGGGCTGTAGTTGCTATGATCGAGAATGAATTCGACTTGGCCAAGATTGGACTTCGGCGAGAACTGACGTTGGAGTATTTGGTTCATCAAGTAATTCCGCGACGAATTTGGATGGCGGTCTGCATATAACTGTGCTCTCGTCGCGAGTTTTGAGGGATGTGGCACGAATGTCGACACAGGCACGTAAGCCATCGAAGATGGTGTCGATGTGTACATTCCAGTTCTCGTCTCCTGGTACTGTTGATATGTCTTTCGCTCAAAGGCTGGGTCCGCATAATCGTCAGGGGTAATGATGTCTGGTCGTATTTCATACACGGTCATGGTCACTGAAGCGTTTTGTCAGATCAACATCAATCGCACTCGATGTCGCAACTTACTGGGATGTTCCTGCAGATTTTCACCCACGTTCGAGTTCGGAACCTGGACTTCGATCCCAGCTTGATGAAGGATATCGGGATTTCCGATCCCAGAAAGCTCTAGGATTTGTGGTGAGCCCACAGAGCCGGCACTTAGGATGACTTCTCTTTTGCATGAGGCCCTCATGTCCCGGCCATTCACAGAGAACTCAATACCACAAGCGACCTTGTTCCCCTTGGATTTATTCTGACTCCATACGATCTGTTTGACATGAGCACCTGTCAAGACCTTCAAATTGGGTCGATTGCCGCAGGGAAGGAGGTACGCCGATGCTGAGTAACTCCTGGTTTGCGTTTTTGGATCAGCACAAACCACTGAAGTCCATGCTCCAACGTTTGACCCGCCGAAATGAGCTTCATTCGTCCTGATATTTAGGTTTTGCAACGTATCGTGCCAATATGTATGCGTTTCTGAAAGATAAGGTTGACATGAGGCTTGAACGGGACCGGTAGTGCCATGGTCGCGGTCTGTGACACGGAATCTGAACTTCTCTGCGTCAGCCTCAGGCGGGCGTCTCAAACTTTCGCTCTTCATGAAATAATGCCTGACGCCATGGTTAGCCTTGGGTTCTTTCGTCCTCGTGGGAGAACGCTTGCTTCAGCCCGGCCCAATCCCAACCTGGATTCCCTAAACTTGCCCAAGCATCATAATCTTCTCGAGCTGCTCGATTCCAGACCAGAAAATTCATGGCACTCGTACCTCCCAGCATTTTGCCTCGTGGCCATGGAAGACTTCTTCCATGCAGGCCTGGTTGAGGAATTGTTTCAAAAGCCCAGTCGTATTGAGTCCCTATTGTCTGTCCCATTCGCCCTGGCACGTCGACTGTAGGCTCCCCAAAGACTGGCGGACCGGCCTCGATAACACCCACTATCACATTGTTTTTCTCTGACAGCCTTGATGCAACAACCAGACCAGCTGTTCCGCCACCAACGATGAGATAGTCAAAAGGAGTCTCACAAAACTCTTGAGCAGTACAAAAGCAGTTCATGGCGTCTCGAGATTGTGATTGATGTCGATGAAAGACGCGATTCGGGGTGCCTTTACGGTTTTGTGGGAAGCGACGAGGCTCATGGGAGTAGCTGCCAGCCTCACACGACTAGTGCTCCGACCCCTCGCGCAGGCGTCGTATATCTAGCCGTGAAGGCGGCAATACTTCTTAGGTCCCTTTGTGAGTCGGGTATTGCAAGAGTGGGGGTGAACATGATGCAGACCCACGGCCACGCGGAGCTCGAAAGATGATTTGGTAATGCCATCGATACAGCTATCTCAGACGTGGGCGTCGGCGACGAGACCAAGAAAGAGACAAGCCAGAACTCCGTACCCCAGAAAATATTGTCAGTCACATCAAAAGTGCAGACCCATGGCTGGAGACGTTGCTGTTGTACGTTGGACCGCAATACTTTTTGCAAAGGAATGAAACATCCATCGCGCTGGCCATATTCTGAAGGAGTTCGGACACCATACCACGAACTACCAAATAATTGCTGTTGGGACCACGGGTCCTTATCAAGATTCAGCTCCAGTCATCTCTGCTTGTGTACACAGTCTTCGAGATCAAAAGCTTCCTTGCTTCGTGAACAGCAGGCGCAAGCGAACGCTTGGACCTTTACCATCTGCAAACGTCCGTGCATCTTGGCTATTGAGTGGCACGGATCACTTCACTTTCACGACCCTACTGCGTGGCAGGCTTGATTCTAAACTTAGCGATGCCTAAAACAAGCCTGACCGATGGTGTCGCCACGGTGCGCTGGGCCATGAACATCCCCAATGAATTAGGTGTTGCCCTTATAAGGCCAAGGAGGCGCCCAGACGCAGGAAACCTCCGGTCGAGACTTTGATGGCATCTCGGTCCCTCGATGAGTCTGAGTGCAAAGAGCATTGGTGAGCAGTCCTTGTACGCAGGGTCATGTCGACCTTTGGGCCACCACAGCTGTCACCGCCTTCGAGCCTCCCTACATTGAGCAGCGAGACAAAAGGCAACCATGCGCAGGCGGGTCACCTCACAGCCTCAAAGGCGCAGGCAGTCGTGACTGAGCCGGATGAAGCCGCCCATGCAAAACGAGTTTTTCATTATCAACGCGAATCCAGCGAGGTTGAACTGTTTTACGACTTATTCTTCGTCGGAACCATTGCTACTGTCTCCATACACAATGAGATTGTCAACGCGCAGAGTGAGTAGCGAGTGTGTCTCATCCTAAGTTAGAGAGTGGCTAAACCGAGACAGCTTTCAAAGCCTATCTGGGCTTCTTCACGCTGTTATGGACCACCTGGCTCCACACCGTTCTGTACGATGTTCGCTTCTCCAAGGACTCATTGTTCCATCAAGCGCACAAGATTGTTTCTTGTGGAACATTGCTCGCTCTCGGTGCCAGTGCTTCACTTTATGATACAGGGAACATTGAAAGGACGAAGGCCGGATTCAAGGCAATGTCTTTAGTTCTTATGACCTCCAGACTGGCGCTGGTCATCCCGCATAGCATCGTTCTTTGGACTTCCCGGGGCTACAGGAAAGTTCGGTCTCCGTTGATCCTCATGTTGGCCACCTACCTGCTTACCGCAGCCGGTTATTTGGTAATTGCCTTGAGAATCGAACATTACCCCGGATGCTATGTGTTTTGGTGAGACTCCTCAGCTCTGCATGGTACCTTGAATTGACAGCAATGTAGGTATGTGATTTGCGCTGTCGAGACCGCCTCCATTATCGCCGTATCATGTTACTGGACGCTTGTCAGCTTCAGACCAACACATCTTGTCGAGAGGCTTGGTGAACTGACCCTTGTAATCATCGGCGAGGGTATATTGGTCCTCTCAAGACGGACGTACCAGTTATTCGGGATGCTCAACTCGCCAAGTGCGGATGTGTATATCGCGACTATCTGCGCCGTTCTTCTCACGGTCAGTCGCGGAAAAGCCTGCCTTTCCTTGGACGCATTCACTGACCGAACATTCTAGTACCTGGTGTATGCGCTCTACTTCAACCACATCAACCATGACGAGTTCGGTAGTATCCGTCAACAAGTCTGGATCCTTTTGCATTATCCACTTCACTTGGCCATCCTTCTCACCCTGGACGGAGCGTCCTTTCTCATCATGTCCGGAACGCTTAGTAAGATGACGGTCGCATGGATGGACGACTATCCGCTCTATAGTTTTGCAACCTGGGATGAATTCTTCAGATCATTTTCAACTACATCCGCGGTTGTCTCAACACTGACAGCTCGTGTCGATCGTCTGTGGACCCGGATGTACAGGGATCCGTTGGTCGCGTTGAGACTATTCAATTACACCGAGACCGTCACGAGCCTCGAACATATTCCGGCCCCATTTAATTCGAGCAAATGGCAACACCAGGCCGTTGAAACCATTGGTGATCTCTGGACCGACGTCGAAGTCGCAATCTACCATGGGTTTGGTATTGAACCAAACTTGCCATTCGGACAATTGCCGTCAGAATACAATGAAGCCAGTGCGGTCGAGGATGTTGTCGGCACTGCTTTCCTGTACTTTTACTTCGCGGCTGGAAGTCTTTTGATGGTCCTTGCGATAATGTGTTTCTTTGCGAAAAAGCAATCGTTACAGGCAATGTGGCTGCGCATCAGCATCAAGGTTGCAATAGGGATCTGTGTAATTCTTCCCGTTATAACACTTTGGCTGTCGACTCCAGCGAGCTGGACGTTCTTCCAGAGTCCGTGGACCATAGCGACGACGATGTTGGGATACTTCTTGGGTAAGTCTGAAAACAGTGTGTGCCTCATGAAAATTCGACCGCTAACGGTGGCCTTGTCCCGTGCAGTTGTGGTAGTGGAGATGTTCATCGACTGGCTTGATCAACGCAAGCAGCGGCAGCCGCTGGGTTCGACTTCAGCCACGCTGCATGTCCCAGCTCCAGGCTCTCCAGCTCTCTTTACCAGGCAGACACAAACTGTGGACCTCGAAAATACGCGTTCTTCCCCTACGGAGACCAAATCTCCTACTTTACGCGTATCCATCGAACGTTCGGTGGGTGGACAAGTGGAAGAGACACAGCGGACATGAGATGAAAAGGGAGGAAAGTACTGAGATGGCACAACACATCTACCAACAAATAGCAGAAACGAAAGAAGCCGCTGGCGATTATCTTACAAAAGCTGCACATGCTGCTCAACTGAATTGTGGAACTCGGTGCTGGAAGTCCTCATACACTTCTTCCCTCGGGCAAATCTCATCTCAAGTGCACACTACGATTAACAGAATGTTCACCAGCATACTAGGATACATCAGCGTATGATGACTCCAACGTGCTGAAGGTTGTAGAGGTTGGCGGACGGCCACCGTCGCGATACTGACATTAATCTTACATCGCCATGTAGGTCGTGGCGCAACTGAGAGCGACTGCGCTGCATCCACAGACATAGTGAGTCGAACACATCTACAATCCACCACCCTCAAGAGCAAGGGCGTGGAAAGCTGTCAAAGTCCAGGAGGTGGGTAGCATGTCATGATTCTGTTGTTGCTTGGAATTGGAGATCGTGTACCTGCATACCTACGTGTATATATGTATCATACTATTCCATCGTAGAAACCTGCCTATTCCCCAATATCGCCATCAGGTCCCTTTCAAGCCGTGACTCCCTGCCATTTTGTCTAGAACATCACAAATCCCGAACGCCATCTAAACGCCACAATTTCTTTGCAACCTCTCTATGACACCTTCTAACTCGGTGGTCCGGTCTTCCAGCACTGCCACCTCTTTCTGCAAAGCCTCTTTCTCGGATCTTAGTTGTTGAACCTTGGAAGCCATCTTCTCCCGCTGCTTCAGGCCATCCTCGAACATGTTCTCCATGCGACTCATCATTTTGCTGGCATCACTTGAGCCGCCTGTTGCCACTTGTTCGCGGAGTTCCTTGTTGGCCGCTTCTAGCTCCAGAAGTCTGTGCTCCATCGCTGCAGTCTTGGCCGCCTGCCACAAATCATCGCCTTCTGTGCGAGACTGCCGAGCTGAGAGCAGAGTTGATGTCGGTCGTTGAGGTTGAGGCTTGGACCACAAGGCCTGGGCGAGCTTCTCGCGCACCGAGAGAAGGTTCTCCAGATCTTCTTCTCGGAGTTTCCTGACTGCAGTATGTTCTCTTCGCTCGTCGGCGAGCATGGTACGCAATTTCAGTATGTTGGTCAGGTCTTGATCGCGCACTTCAAAGTACGCCTGGTATCTGGACTCCCAAGCCTTCTTTTCGCCTTCCAGAGCATCGACTCGAGCTTGTAACTTAGCGTAGTCCTCTGCCATGATCGTTGGACGACTTCGTTCGGCCTCGGTGACTTTTCGAAGTAGGGATTGGAGAAGTTGTTCCATGGGACCAGCCACATGGTCCGACTGGGCATCAGATGACGCATCGGACAGTGATGGGCTCCGTCCGAGAGGGATCTCACGCACAGTCGGAGTCTTAGGATCCAGCTCATCGTGAGGTGCGTCCATTGCCAGGGTGGAGTTGGAGGCTTCTGTCGACATGGAGTCACGTCGGTGAAGCTCAGGCGTCAGATCAAGGCTTGTCATGGTAACGGGGGTTTTCTCGGGATGCCACATCCCACTGAGACTTTTCGATTGTCGCTCGTCGAAGCTCTCGGAGTAGCTCGAACCGCGACTGGACACCATAGACATGGCGAGTGAATGAGATGATGAAGTTCGTTGCAGTCGTCCGGGAGTCCACATGCCGCAAACAAAAGAAGACAGAGAAGATCGGACAATGATATGAAGGACGTAAGGACAACTTTCAGAGCAAAAACGTACTTACTGAGCGAAATTGTGAGGGAGACATGTTCGGCATTAAATGTTTTGTACCATGTTTGTGCCGGCATACTTGAAACGTTGAACTCCTTTTCAAGGCTCCTGCGACTTGAGGCTGCGACCAACCTGAGACATCACATGTGGTAGATGCGCGCGATGAAGCCAACCGAGCCAAGTGACAAGATCAGAACCCGCAGCCTGGCGCTTTGAAAGCTGGACTTCACTTCCCCTTTGTGTCGGACATTCTGTGAGGAATTGAGTCTGATCAACTTCCCTGCTCGGCCCTGACACTTAACGCAAAAGTGCCAAATATGCCAAGCAAAACTCCCTCCCTTTACTCCGTAACTTATAAGGGCACAAGGCTGCGACTCAGCCTTGTGATCCCCGCACAGGTTACCTCGGTTTCTTTCCGCCATCTCCGACTCGGCCATATCCGGCTCGGCAACCACCAGCCTCGTATACTTGCGTTCACTCTGTTCTCGACTATTGGAAGGCAAAGATACCTCTCCTGTGTGAATGATATACCAGAGGCTGACCCGTCTCACGAGTATGGCACAGACCAACCATGGCGAACCAGAGATCCTGTGGCGTCCTACTCATGGCGGCACAACGCCCATGGATACATACCGCCGGCTTGTCAATGACAGGTACAACCAGAAGCTGGTCGACACCAAAGAGCTGCAGCAATGGTCCGTCAGGCATCCACACAACTTCTGGCTCGATCTGTATAGATATCTGAAGCTCAAACCCCCCTTGCCACCGTCAATGAAGAAAGCATACGACGACAACGTTCCCATGAGCCAGAACCCTCCATTCTTTCCGGGCCACGAATTGAATTACGCCGAGAATGTGCTGTTCGCCAATCCCAACCCTGACGATATAGCCTTGATCGGCATCAGAGAGGATCAGGACATTTACAAGGACAGACCTGAGACCATCACGTGGCGACAATTCAGGGGAAAAGTCCGGGAAACCGCCAGCGCCCTGAAACGAAGTGGTGTCAAGCAAGGCGACCGCGTCGGCGCATTGGTCGCGACGTCGAACTGGGCCATCATTCTGTTCCATGCAGCGGCCTCCATAGGTGCAATCTTCACGTGTATCAGTCCGGAACTCGGAGTGGAAGGATGCGTTTCCAGACTGCAGCAAGTCAAGCCCAGCATTCTCTTCGTCGATAGTCACGTCGTGTACAAGGGCAAGGCGGTCTCCACGGCACAGAAGCTGAGTGAAATCCTGCAGAGACTGAATAGCCGCCCGAAGGTCTTCGTGGTACCTGTGGAAACGGTGCAGTCAAAATTTCCTACGATGGACGATTTCTTGCAGAGATCAAGTCCCTCCGACGCGCTCACTTTCACACGTGTACCATTCAACTACCCTCTGCTGATTTGCTACTCTTCCGGCACGACAGGAGCGCCAAAGTGCATCGTCCACCAGCACGGACTGATCATACAAGTCAAAAAGATCTCATCTCTTCACAACGGCTTGGCGCCCGGAGATGTGATCATGCAGTACTCGAGCACTTCTTGGGTAGTGTTCTATGTCATGTGCGGGCATTTATCTGCTGGTGCAACTTTAGTGGTGTACAACGGCAGTCCCTTGTTCCCCGATGCAAAACAATTACTCAGGATCTGTGACAAGCACCGCGTTAGTTTCCTCGGCGCTTCACCTCGCTTGCTGCTTGAAATTGAGATGTCGCGAACAATACCGAAGAAGGAGTTCGACCTCTCACCATTAAGAATGGTCTATACCACCGGTGCGCCTCTATCCATCGAGCAATATCGATGGTTCTACCGATCCTTTCCCTCCGCAGTGCATATCTGTAACACTGCTGGGGGTACCGACACAGCGACTTCTCTTCTTGCTTTGGATCCTTGTGCGCCTGTATATGCAGGTGAAATGCAAGTGCCAGCTCTTGGGATGGACGTCGATATCGTCGATCCTGTCACTGGGGAATCCATTGCACAAACAGGTGAAGCGGGCGAAATGGTGATCAGGAAACCTTTTCCTAGCATGCCGTGCTTCTTCTGGGGCGACAAAGATGGCAAGCTGTACCGTGCAGCATATTTCGAGAGGTTTGAACATATCGACGTCTGGGCTCAACATGACTGGCTGAGTCGGAATCCGAAGACAGGCGGATATACCATGCACGGTCGCAGCGACGGTGTTTTGAGTAAGTAATGACGATAGGCGAAGGGATGCTAGCTGACCACATAAAGATCCTTCAGGCATACGCTTCGGCAGTGGTGAAATCTACGCCATTGTTGAGACTCAGCCATTCACCGAGTACATCAGCAACAGTCTATGTGTCGGCCGCCGGAGACCAAAGGACCCAGATGAGCAAGTATTCTTGTTCCTGGTCATGAAACCTGGCATCTCCTTGACGACAGAGTTACGTTCACAGGTCAAAAATGCAGTCCGAAATGGACTGTCTCCGCGGCATGTGCCCAAGTTTGTGATAGCCGTCCCCGACATTCCGGTGACGATCAACGGAAAGAAGGTTGAGATTGCTGTTAAGAATGTCTTGAGCGGAAAAGATGTAAAACCAAGTGCGACTGTACAAAATCCTGAAACCATTGCGTGGTTCAAGCGATTTAGAGACCTGGAATCAGAACCAGGAGATACAAAGTTGTAGAAACGGTCGAAACTAGAATATAGAGGCATGGTGCTCGAAGTTACCTGAGTTGGCTGGTCCATACGGATAGTTGATTTTTCTCAGCTCGCGGCGTCGTACCCATGCAGGCGACCGTTACAGCTAAGTGGCGTCGCAAACATTCACTTTGGGACTGTCTCCAGCGTGATGTGTACTGTGTCACTCTGCGGCTTCATTCACATGATAATCGCCGCAGCGCATTTCCCTAGTGTCACTATAATCTTCAGATGGCCTGCAGTCCGGTCGGCGGTAAAACATCTGCATACCTCAAGGGTCAGGAAGATTAGCAAACAACTACTGAAATACTTGCCGTGGTAGGAGTCGACGAAATGGACAACCTCGCACGCCACTACAAGCGTCGGTATCAAGAGGTGAGCCGGTAACAAGAGTAGCAGGGTCCGAACTAAGTTATTCGCGGTAGGCCCTTGACCACGCAACAGCAGGGAGAAAGGACGTGGCTTTGACCATCTGCTGGGAACTCCGCCTCGAACCTCGTATTGGTGTCTACCGTCGAGCCATGGTCAACCTCCTTATCGCCCAGCTCCTCCAGTTTGGTCAACTGAAATACGCGGAAGAATGCCTCGATCTGCTTGACATCGTCCGGCAGGACAACAACGGTGAGGTCAGCGACAATATCAAGAACGTTATTGCCATCGCGGAGGGCCTCATTGAAGAACTCGAGGTCAAGCAACAGCAGACAGCTACGACTCCGAAGGCAAGAGCAGCTCTCCCAGATCCTTCCGCCGGCCTCCTGTCCGGTCCACCATCGAGTCCCCCTGTTACAGTCCAGCAGGGCACTGCCAACAAGGCCAAAGGAGACAAGGACGGACGGATCGTCTATGTTTACGAGACCGACAATAATGACAAGGATGACGTTGTTGCGGACCGCAATAACACTGTCCAAATCGAGGGTATGCTCGGAGACAGCAGGTACAAGCATAGGGTCAAGAAGGCTTCGGCCATGCCATCTCGTAAGGTTCCTCCGCAATGCCACAGGACCGACTAATAGGGTACAGAGCCAGATACCCAAGCCACTATTCCCTCCGCCAGATTCAAGCACGACGAGTAAGTATACATTACCCCAGAGCCTTCATCACCAGTTCCTCGTGAGTAAGGAAGGAGTCCGCGTCGAGAAACCGGTGCAGTTCCGGAATCGTGGTCACTTCTGTCAGGGAGCCATGGGAAACGGGGACAAGATTGATGAGGGAAGCAGGAGCTATCGTTGGTGACATGATGAATGACTTCAACGTGGGCTTCAACGCCGCTTGAGATGCAGTATGAGCGGTTTTTCGGTTTCATTCCTAGTATTGAACAGGTGTCGGTATTTTAGTCGTTAGGTTAGATCCAAAGTCTTGTGTCTTTTTTGGGAATTATTTCCTTGATTGCCTTATAGAATTTGCTCCAGGCTACTCCGTAATCTGCAGAGGTTGGTGATCGCAGAGATAACCCAAAGCTATCCACTGGTTCAGGCAGTGGTCAACAGGCAACAGAGGAGTTCAAAGATTGGGTGGCACCTAGGTGGGTGGAGGTAGCAAAATTTCGAAGGTTGCCTGCAGAAGACTGGCTCAAGGCTCAGGGGAGGTTTTGTGGAACTGGGCCAAATTAAGCTATAGTAAGGACCGATTACTTTTCGTCAGACACGTGGTCTATTGGTCTGCGCAATGGAATGCGTTGTGAATGACAAAGATTTTAGGGAATTATGTATGGTCGGACAGACAAATCACCTGGTCTTTAGAAATATTGCCATCCCATTTTGAGGTCCATATCAAAATCAGGGATGTCAGCCTCGTGCAATTTTCTCAACACCGTTCCACATCCCTGTCACTACAGTAGCAGATTTGCCACACCTACTCATGGGTCCTACCATTGCTCGAGATGTTTGCACTGTTTGCACTATCTGCCAAGATGCCAGGGAAGCGAGTGCTCTTATAGTTCTCGAGTTCCACGATTTCTGCATTCCTTCTCTTTATCCAAGGTAAGAAGAACATCACCCCCCATACGTTTTGGATGTTTTGCTAACCGTCTTCAGTGCAAGGGCATTAAGTATTACAGTGAGGATTCGTCCGAGTATACTTTTTTGCTAGTTGAAAACTACAACTACTTGACCACTCCATCTTGGTCTTGTATCGAGATGGGAATTTTTGAAGAATTACCTCCATTACCTTTTCATTATCATCGGCGCCTCGGGCGAAGGGATAGAGAAGGGGAAATTTCATGCCATCGGGCGTGCAGAAGAGCAAGAGATAAGGCACACCGCAGGCTACAATCTGGAACTGTGAAGGGGTGCAAGCAAAAGCAGGCTTATGAGCATAAATTCGAGGGTCGAGACGTACAATAAAATATATGGAAAGGGCTCATCTTCACAGCTTGAGCTCGCTACCTAGCATGAAGTTACAACTACGCCGTGTATGCTCGAGGCGAGGATACGCCGCTGCTAAAGTAGAGAACAATATACGTGAAGAGTCAAACAATGTACCTTCACCTGGAACTGAAACAGTCATGCAAGTGAGCTATCATGGTAGCAGACCAGAACGATGCTATAGAACTCCTCGCAATAGATTGCTTTGTTGAGCTTGCCTTTTGGTGTGGAAGAGCTTGCCGACCAGCATTTTTCAAAGCAATACCTGTCAACTTACGGAGCAACTGAGACTGCTAGATCCTGCCCCTTGAACAAGTCACATAGGTCAGAAGAATAGTTGTGCACAGTGCCATTACATTGGTACCACGTAGTCTATTCTCCCATTTCAAAGTACTATCCAAAGAGCAACGAGCAATGCCTTCGTCAAAGTCTTGCGGTGGTTTGATTCCCGTCTTATCATGGGATCGTCTACCAAAAGAAATGCAAATAACGCAATACTCGAAGGAAAGGCATAGCTATAATAATCTTATTCGCTCACCAAAGAAAGAGAAGAGGTTGAGCGGGAGCTTTCGAGGCCTTCATTTACACTCGTAGGTATCCATCCTCTGTGTTGAAAACACTGCTTAACGGGTTCTGTGATTCGACCTAATGTACGGCGGAGTATCCTCTCGTAACTCTCCATGCCAAGACTAAGCGCAGCTCTGCAGATAAGTACTGGCCCGACCTTCTGTCAACTATTCTCCCTCCTCTCCAATCCGAGTGCAAGGGCATTAAGTATTACAGTGAGGATTCGTCCGAGTATACTTTTTTGCTAGTTGAAAACTACAACTACTTGACCACTTCATCTGTGGCAACACGGATGGGAATCTTTGAGCACCTTCATTATCGCTTTTTCATCGTCGTTGACGCCTTGAGCGATGACACGGAGAAGAGGACCAGGAAGAAAAGAGGTGGAAGGATGCAGGATCAGGCAGACAAACAACGAAGATGGGAACACGGCGGAGATACTACAAGATGCACAGCCGTCCGAATGACGATGAGCTTCTGAGCTGGGGAAGAGCAATGACCATCGAAGAGCAGGCGATAGAGGAAACAGCCAGGGTTACGGTAGGACATGACATTCTGGAGACGAGCACAGTCCTAGCAGTACTACTGCTGTCATTAGGATAGATACCTAGACAAAACTACAAGAACCCGAGGTCAGACTGCCTGGTACTCAAAACCATAGACACATTACTGTCGCAGGCGACGCTCCTCCTTGTAACGCACCTCACCTGCAGACTACCTACCTTTAGGTATTTAGAGAAACAGATGCGACTTCTCCAACTCTCACCCCAATCCACTCCCTCAACACCATCATCATGCCGAGTGCCCTCATCACAGGCGCAACAGGCCTGCTGGGCCGACAGGTCTTCAAAGCCTTCAGCGACGCAGGCTGGCAAACCACAGGCGTAGGCTTCAGCCGTGCCTCCTCCCCAATCCGCAAAGTCGACATCACGCACGCCGACGCCGTATCCGCACTCTTCGACGAAATCAAGTACGGACCAGCCAAACCACCCACATTTTCAAAGGCTTCACTAACTTGACCACCCCTCAGACCCGACGTTGTCGTGCACTGTACCCGACCACGCTCACTCCCCCATCCGATCTAGTTAACACACCTCCCAGGCGCCGCGGACCGCCAGCCGGACTCCTGCACGAAGAACCCCTCGGCTGCCCGCGCCCTCAACGTCACCGCGACCGAGACGCTCGTCCGATCCTTCCACGGCTCGCTGTTCATCTACATCTCGACAGACTACGTGTTTCCCGGCGTGCCAGGCGAAGCACCATACAAGACCACCGACACTCCCTCTCCGACCAACGTCTACGGCCAGACGAAACTCGACGGCGAAAATGTCGTCCAGAAATATCCCAACACGGTCGTCCTGCGCGTGCCCGTGCTCTACGGGCCCGGCGAGAACGGCGAGTCCGCGGTGAACACGCTCATGGACGCCCTCTACAAAACCGAACAAGTAAAGATGGACGACTGGGCGCTCCGGTACCCTACGAACACCGAGGATGTGGCCCGAGTCTGTCTAGATATCGCGAAGATCGCGAACACGAAGAGAAAGCAAGACCTGCCTAAAATCCTCCAGTTCAGCAGTGAAGACCGCATGACAAAGTACGAAATCTGCCAGACCTTTGGCGAGATCATGGGACTCCCCGTTGATCACATCATCCCAGATAAAGACGGTGGGAAGCCAAAAGACGGGACGGCTAGGCCGTATGATTGTCATTTGGATACAAGTGAGCTGAAGAATTTGGGGATCGATGTTGCTGCAGTTGATTTTGTGGCGTGGTGGAGGAGGAGAACTGGTGCGTTTAGGCATTGAACACCAAATGACATTGGACACTTGGGAGTTTGCCATGGAGCATCACGATCATGCACTTGAGTGGTCTTGATAGGAGACTAGGATGTTCAAGATATCAGCTAAACGATAGTGGCATCCGCAGAAGGGCAAACCGCGAACCGCAAACGTGACGACGCAAGAAATGTGAAAATGGTAACAGACAACAGATTCTAACGTCAATGAAAAACTCGCTTAATAGCTCTATCCAGGTTACCCCGATCACTGTTCTGTCGTTCCATCTGCAGAGACTGCCATCTATGCCCACTCCATGCCAGTATCAAGTTGAACACTCGATCCCGATCCGCGGGATGAAGCAGGATCGCCAGCTCACCATGGAGCAAGATGATTTGCATTGTCGAAGAGGACCGAGAATGTAGCTTCTTCAAGTTTTTAAGAGTCGAGTCAGACTCCATGCCATCAAATTTCCGCATCTCATGAAGTTCAGCGAACGGCCAACTTCGTTTCGCAGTCTTGGTGTGAAGAGCCAGTCCTGTCCTGCCAACGAACAGATGACCTCGTCCATCGGCTTTGTCGAAGACATTGAAAGAATGCGATTCGCTCCACGGTGCCGATTCTTCCCGCTCTTCAGCGTCTGAGTGGCTTGCGCTTTCATCCTCAGCCTCATCGTCTTCATCCTTCTGCCATTCAAACTCACTCAAATCGGCATCCCTCACCACGGCTTTTTCTTGCAACCGCAATATTGCCAACTCCGCGTGTGTAGGAATATCCCAGAACATCCAGCGGAAATGAGACACAAGCAGGCGATACTTGGGGAAATTCGTCGCGATAGGGTATGTAACGAAGAAGCCGCCACCAATAATAAGCCACATCAATTTCACGCAAAATGCCATGTCCGCAAAGAGGCTGACGGCCAGACAACAAAAGAAGAAAAACACCGTGGCCATGGTCAGCCGCGGCTTCTCATGCCGGTGAAAATTGACCATGACTTCAAGAAGATCGGCAACATCACCCAACTGCATTTGGATGATAGGACCTATCTCGTCCAAGAACGGTTCGAGCCAGTCATGCTGGCCATGTCGTTGGATCAGGTCACCCCAGGCTTGAACTCGAGCTTTACGATCGATTGCCCGGGTGACATTGTCGCGAACAGTCTGGACAGAGCTTGGCCGAAACTTGTTCCGCAACGTCGAGTAGATGATGTAGAAGTAGAAGTACGCCATAATATGCTGGGTATACCACAACACGAGAAAGAGGGCAAGCCAGCGCCCGGTCCGTTTTGGATCTTTCCACATGTAGACTTCTCGAATGCCGAGCAGGAAAGCCTGCCAATCTGCGCTGGTGATGGCGATCCTCTCGATGATGCGAGCGAGATCTTCAAGGTCAAATGGAGGAGAGTCAAAGTCATCAATGTACGGCGCGGTGAACCCTCGCGTATAGTAAAGTGCCAGGTGGCCGACATATCTCTCCCACTGAAACCGGGACTCGGTAGTAAATTGTGATCTCTCAGGACGAGGGACCGGTCGAACTACTCTAACCCGAGAGACATGCCGACGTAGGATCCAAGCCGTTTGGAGACTCTCCCGCTGATATTCGACCTTTCGTATCCGATCATGAGCATCTTCGACTTCACCAATAGCTTCCTCACAATCCTCCTCTTCCCGGATTGAAGTTGTGCTCGAGATGGCTTGGTCAAGAGCATGATGAGCGTCGAGTAGTTCTTGATCTCGATCGGGCGTCAATATAGGATGTCGGGCGTTTCCAATCGTTGCCGCTGCCTGGCGCGTAGCCTTATTACGCATCACTCGTCGTGGATGGGTAGCGAGGTATTTGGCGTCCTTGATGCCATCTGTAATGGTGGCTCGGGCAGACTTTTTTGATTGGGGCGATGTTTTGTCGAGGACCCGGGCTGGATCGAAGGCCGCATCGGCGAAGATGTCGTTCTCATTGTCGGTAGAGTTATGGTCATCTACTGTAGGATTGTGTGTGTTGACAATATCTTTGACTTTCGACTTGGCTTTGTTCTTCAGATGCGCAGCACTCTCAAGTAAGTCGCCGGCATGTTGGTTGGTGCTTGCTAGACTATCTCGCTGGACCGAAGGCATGGTTGATCTGTACTGTGGGCACTGTCTGAAGGCATTTTCAAGATGAGATGATTAGTTTAACAAACCGAGAGTGATGTGTAGCATGACTATGAAAGAGGAAGAATATTCCTGTTGGGTGCCTGTCTCCTAACAGCATTGCAAACGGCAGGTGCGAGTCGCAGCATCATGGTGATGATGGCAACCCCTTGAGTGACGGCGCGACCTGAGAGTCCATGATGGTCCCAACACACTAGTACTCGTATGACAAGAGCTACAAACTGCCAGGATCTCGCAATGGTCCGGACAGGTCTCCGCCAGGTTTTGGCTTCCATAACGGTCATACCGAAATGGCATGATTGGCAGGGCATGGACCAACTGACCGTGAAAATCGAAAACCGAAGGCGAGATCTGGCACAAGCGAGCGAGGACGAAGCGAGAAAGAAAAAAGGAAGATCATTCCGTCGACAAGACACCATGATGACGATGCCGACAATGGGAATCTCGAAATTCAGGGTCAGCCTTGCCGAACAAAATCTCTGACTGGTTGATGTTGCGGATCGTCCCACAGACTTCGGGAAGGTCGACGCACGTCGACGCTGCACAGCTCGACAGCTCCCCCTGTGTCGCGGTTGTGGGTATCATCGTGGACCGGTTTCAGCTGAACATGGGCGCACCACGGGTTCTTCCTCCAATGACTTGGATCCACGATGATTCCCAGTTGGTTCACCACTTGCAGACACAAAAAGGCAGTGTCATATGTATGTCTCGACACCTAACTCTCTCCTGGAGGAGCTGGACGCTGTGGCAGTCTACTTGGTGCTGCGCGGCCAATTTTTCAAGAAATGGTAAGAGCTCATAGACGCTCCTCCAACAATCAAAAAACACTGCTCCCTACAAGCAATGGTAACGTTGGAATTCCCGCAAAACTTACTGTGACGAAGCGCTTGCTCCTCGTTCGGTGGACAATGGATGCAGATGACGTCTGCATCTCGCCCTCCTCATCCGCAGCTTTGTCAGGGCGGTTCGGGCTCCAGCAACACCACCACTGGACCAGCGTAACGAACAGGAAGACTATCCATTCGAACACCATGTCGAACGCCGCATCTCTTGTGCAGTGTTCGATTCAGGATTCTGATAACCAAATACTCGATCATTAATCACGCCCAAAATGAAGGCGAATAGGGCATCAGGAACGGTGAGGGCTACCTCAGAGACAGTGTAAGAGTGAATACAGGTAATTGGCGTGCTCCCGACTCAAAACTCAGCGGTGATGGAAGATACTTGCTTGATCTGCCGGACCTTCTCTTAGTAGTATTGTTTGTTTGATCGATTCACTAGACGTCTTGATATTGTTTGAGTTCACATTTTCACTGACCTTCGGCCCTCAAACCCAAATATTCACTATGAGCTTTACCAAGGTCAAAAACATGACTTCAGCCCTTCTCACGCAATTGCCGCCCAAGTCATACCCCTAGGTCTTCATCAACATGGACGACGACAATCCACCTCCGAGGAAGAGATCTCGCTTCTTCAGCAACGGTCGAAGCAAGATTGGCAGCATCATCCAACCTTTGAAACGACCATCCCGACGCCAATTGTCAACCGGACAAGCAAATGCCTCTTCGTCCAACACCTCGGTGACAGACGATGCTCCAATACTTGACAATCCTGCCTTCACTCGATCAGCGCAGCCATCCCTCCCAATATCGAATTTTGATGCGGCCTCATCCTCCCCAGTACCACAGCCAGAAGAACTACAGAAAGCATCCAAGTCCAGACAGTACACTCACTCGCAAGTAGATACCACGGGACCCCCGAAGTCACGTCTCGCTTATGGACACATTGAACAAGAGCACGCTCAAGCGGACCACGATTACGTGGCAACAGATCAAGACAGAAACACCAAAGATGATGCGTCTTTGGAAGCTTCTACAGTCGAGCAACATCCGCCACACAAGACCACCGTGAAAAGCGAAAGACGAAAAGCCATATATGGGATTGACTCACTTCAACCACAGAATGGACAAGCAGATCCGGAGGGTGAAAACAATCAAAATAACTCTGAAGAACCAGCCTCGACAACCACTGCGAATCCAGACCCGTTTGGTCCTATTGCAACGCAATATACCTTCACAGGCGTACCATCATCTGCCCAAATGCCGTATATGTCTAGACAGGCTCTTCTAGGCCACCCTCATCTTCAACCGGTCACTGGCCCATCCACGACGCCGACGCAACCCTCTCGGCCCGTACATTCCAGGTCCAGAGTTCAACGTCGGCCAAGCACACCACCACAGCCCATCGAGATGCCAACTCCAATGGCTCCTAATGCCATGGTTGGGAAATCTGGATACGGAGAGAATGGTCAGACCCCTCCTCCTCCTGACCTCCCACCGCCACCTGCACCTCAACCATACATTGACATGGACCGCGACGACCGAGGCCACCGAATTCATCACCCAATCTACCATCCCAGTGTTGGTCCTCTTCCCTCACACGTCCTCTATGCCAACACCTCAGGCCGTCCGGCTTACCGCGTCCCAGACCTCCAACCCATATCTCCCACACGGCGAGACTCCCTCGTGCCCGACACACACCTCACCTCGCCCAAGCGCATCGAACGAGCCAAACACCAAGCCCGCATCAACCTCAAACGCAAACGTGCAGACTCGGTCCTCCCACCACCGGCTTACGTCTACCAGCGCACCAACAACCCCCACTTCAACATCTTCCACGGTCTCCTACTGTACCCGGAACTCGTCTTCGCCCTAGCCTCCGCGCTTCCTGTTAAAGACCTAGTCAGCCTCTACGCCATAAGCAAAGACTTCCATACCATAATCGACACGCGCTTTACCACGGTGATCCTTTCGCAAGCGCTCTCCAAAGCCCCCGAGTCCGCGCGCTCCTTCGGCTTCCGCAGCTACGCCTCATTATGCCGGAACGATCCTGCTGCGCGCATCCCACACCCCAACGCCGCCCAAGCAGCCCTGAACATTCCTCGACGGATCCCCTCATTCCGCTGGCTCAAGATGATCCTGCACCGTGAAAAGGTCATCCATGAACTCGTCACCGTCTTTGCGGAGGACGGAATCCCATTGCCCTTCCGCTGCCGTCTCGCACTCAAGAGGTTGTGGTTTATGCTCGACCTGCCCGACAACGCGCGCCGCATCGGCTACGTGCACAACCACCGCCTTTTGACGAACCTGGACCTCTACTTCGCCGCGTGCTTCTTCACGAAGCTGGACATGCGCCTGAACGACCCCGTCGCGGGCGAGAAGAGAGATGGTCTGCGCCGACTGTTGATGCAGCAGAGGTCCTTCACGACCATTTTGAGGGTTCTCAAGCGCGACATCTGGACGACAAAGCTGGACGTGCTGCGCGAGTGGGTGCGGCAGCGGTACGAGCCTCGTGCCGACGAAATAGGGTTGTCCATCTTCGGCGTGCCCGCGGACAGGGCCGGCAAGGGTCGGCTGGAGTACTGGGGCGAACGGAACGCACACCAGATCGGTCGCGTGCCGAAGGAGTTGCTGCGTCCGGATCAGTTGGTTGTGAGGGAGGCGATAAGACGTGGTATGCCACTTGCGGAGCACTACGTCAGGTTCATGCTGTATGGGTATGTGAGGCCGGACACGCTTAAGGATTATGCGCCGAGGAAGTATGGACGGCGGATCGAGCAGATTAAGGACGACGAGTATGAGCTTGATGATGTCATCGGAGGCGTGGCGGCGCTGGGGGTGGAAGACGACGGGTTCGATGAACTTTTGGATCTGGGACCGCCGAGGCAGGGGAGTGTGTTAACCATTGTTAAAGAGGAGACGAGTCGGAAAGAAAAAGAGTTGAGGCAGGGTCAGAAGGAGTTCGCGAAGAAGTGTGTTGAATGGTGGAAGAGAGAGATGGAGATGGAGAATGTCGAGGGCGACAACGTCTGATGTCGGAAGAAAAGAGACCCAAGCATACGGAACAGCGACCCTATGTGAGGAGAGAGCACAGCTCGCCTGTTGCTTATTGCTTCGGAGACTCGAAGCATTTGCTGAACCCTGCACCTGTATGATAAGGGTCCAGGCATGAAAGCGAGTCCAGAGCTACCAGGTTGATAGTGAGCAGGAGTTTTCCATCCCAAGCAGTATCCCCAAGTCACCGTTCCCATCCGCATTCCATCCTATTTGCTCGACTCGAGATCTTTTTGTAATACTCCTCACGCTTTTCGCGGCGTCCCCTACGCGAAGCTTCCTTGTGCTAGGGCAGGCCTTGTCAATGTGCATGGCTCACTTGGACAACCCACACCGTTTTGATCGGTATGTTCACCTGCTTCCGTTGCAAGTTGCAGCTTGACCACTTCCCAATCTCTGCTGGCGGGCATGACCTGTGGTTTGCTGGCCAAGGACACCCCTTTCTCCAGCAACTCGGATTTTGGCCAAACGGCCTTGAGTGAAGTTTCACCAGCATCGAGTATCTCAGCATGAAATAGGCCATTGAAATCTTTGGGAAGGCCTTGCCCCCAGCTTTCGCATGAATGATCGTACCAGCGTGGTTTCGGCAATTGCTATCCTCCCGTATCCTCCCGTCGCCTCCGCTATGCGGCGAAGTTCCCAAAATTGAGCGCTCGAAATGATATACATCGGAACAGTCTTCGAGAGGTGCCTCCTTCTGAAGTTTCCAGGGCGAAGAAAATTCCTCCGCTTGATACTCTCTTCGATCCACAAGCGTGGTGCGGCCGGGACTCCGGCGTTTGGGGCCGTTGAACGGTGATATCTTCTGGCAGGCACGTGGTCTGGCTCCGTGAGGCTATGCTTTTCAAAGTAAACTCTGAGTATGGTGGTGGCGCCGTTCCTTGTGGAAAGGGCCCTGGATCGTTGCACCATCCCGTCGTGCTCACCAATTCCAGCCAAATCGAGATTTCGGCAGCCCGTCCCGTCGAGGTTTCTGGGAAGGTAGTTTAACTCCAAGTCGGCGTCCAAGTAATCCTGCTCCCTGGCTCAAAAGATGATAGGGAAGTCTTGCACTTAGTCGTGAAAGGTAGGTAGGCAGTCAGCATGGGTCGCCAGGATGATGGCCAAACCCTTCATGCCCTACCAGTATGGCAGGGAGACCAGCAAAGCTCGACCGATTGACACTATGAGCATTTTGTTGGAATCATTCGACATCGCTGTCTGACCGTAGGTCACGCCAAAGTATGGTCCACCACCGCGCCAGTATCCCTGGGACAGGCCCCCTCAGGAGTTGAAAGCTTGCCGGTGAAAAAGCAGCTGCTCACGTACGAGACAGAAGCCGAACATGGCAGACATAATCTCAAAATGCGCCCGAGTATCCTATCAAGGACTCCCCGCGGTTTTGAGGTTCAGCGACCATTGAGGCCGTTTCGCGACATATTCAAGGCTTCTCCTCCTTCACAAGCCTGCTATCGCTCTTGACATCGCTTTTGATATCCTGTTCCGAATTCCCTTTCGCTGTAGGCATCGACCCTTCCATTTCAGACTGCTTAGCCAAATCACCCTGTAGCTCTTGGGGGGCTGGCCAGTGCTCGTCACCAGGCGCTTCCACCGGTATAGACGCTTGTGGAGGCAACTCGACAGGCCCATTCTTCTCGCCCTGAGACAAACCGGACGAGTAAGGCGGCACGGCTGGCGTCGGATCGGCTTCGACCGTACTGGAATCCACCTCGCGGCGTCTCTTCCTGTTGTAGCGCACAGCGACGAAAACCAGCAGACCGACCAAGAAGAGTCCGCCGACAGCTGCTCCGATACCGATCCCCGCCTTAGCACCTGCGCTTAGACTTGAGTCGGTGGTGGAAGGTGACGAAGTTGCAGTAGGAGCGACTGATGGCGCGGAAGCTGTTGCAATAGCCTCGTCCTGACAATCGACCGAGAACTGATTGACCGTCGTGTTGGTCATACAGTCCGAGAGCGACGCGATGGATTTTGTGTCGGAGCTGCAATAGGGGATGTCTGACCCGTAGACGGTCACTGCGGACGCCGACTGATTCAGTTTCCGCATCATGAAGAGGACATCGATCAAGCGGACATACCTCCACATGTCTGATCCAGACTGGTGACCCTGAAACTCTGAAATGACAGGACATCTTCCGGGAATGGAGTACAAGTGCCATCGTCGGGCCCTGCTTCGATGCCGAGCATATCCGTACACGTCGTGTCGGAGTAGAAGGTAATATTCGATATTGCTGAGGCGAGATGGACAGTCGACAAAAAGGCCAAGAACACTCTCCTGGTGGACCTCATAGTTGCCAACGGTAGTATACACGCAAGCAGCATACAACGAAGCAAGAGGAGCCTAGATCCCAGAGAAGAATCAGGAGTATTTTCGTGAAATCACGGCAGAAGGACACAACAGCGATCGACGAGTGGAAGACAACATCAAAAAGAGAAATCCGTCCCCGTTAATAGCCTCCACCAACAGAAGAGCTGGATGCAAGTCCAGGGATGTTATACTCCGTACCGGCTTCCTACCGTGAAACGTTAGAAACGCGAATAAGCTGATGGTGCCCGCAGGAGAAATCAAAGAGCCATTAGTACGGAGGTTTGTTCGAATCCTCTGTGATCGACGACATCCGTTGTGTAACGGTCAAGGCCGGCGGCTTTTCGCTAATGGATTGTAGTGGGTGTAATACGCTCGCTCGCAGTCTGTGGAACATGGGGTGGCCTCCTTTGGAAAAAAGCAGACGTTTTGCGGACCCAGATCAGCAAATGCTCATCGATGGCGCGTTCAGCCTCGATGTGGATAAGTTGGCGGATAGGGCCCATCAGAGCTAGCAAGAGCACCAGGTGAAGAACGGTGCGATAAGAAGCCCTGTGCCCCGTTGGCAAGGCCACAGAGGGACCATTTCGGCGCTCAAACATGAGGCTGGCGTGAGTTTGATGCATAGGCTGGTGGGCGTGTTGCGTACTCCGTAACATCATAGGTGAACCAGCGAGGAGGATCCATGCAATCTCGTTACTCCTTGGGCGTGTTAGTAATCCACCCCTCTCAAGAAGGTTTTTGGGGCCAGAAAATGTCCAAAAGATCAGGAAACGCAGAACACATGTTGACCGAGAGGCAGGGCGACCTTCTGTCTTTCGTGATTGCTCTCTGTCGGGCGTGGCAGAGATTCCGTATCATCATTGCCTTTTCGAAACTAGCAACATGGAAGAAGGATCGACCGGGAGCCTGAGAAGCCACTTCCTTTCGCTTCCTATTCAGCCTCACCGGACAGTTCCGAGGATATTCGGTATCAGTGTATCGCCAGTGATGCGACTAACGGTTCCCAAGCTGTGTCAAGTCTCTTTGAGACACCGTCCAAGAACGCCGGATCATCCAAATGCTCGGGTATCGCTTGAATTCCGGTTTGAACCCAGCCCCTGACGCCATCGCAGATGCTTCATCAACCCCAGCAAAATACATCCTTCACAGTCCCACAAAATTGTCCTCGAGGACAGCCTTTGCCAACCTTGTATGGCCCGAGTCTCCGATTCGATGCCCGACCACTGTCCCGATCTTCTCAGCCAGCTTCGTCCGCATGTCGTTCATAGCCTCTTCAGAATGCCCGTTCATCATGGGGATATCATCGTCGACGAGTGCCCCAAGCGCATTGAGTATTGCGCTCATGACCTTTTCCGCTTCGGCCTTCTTCATACCGTCACTTGAAATATCTTCTTCCAATAGTTCTCCGTATGCTTTGAGATTCGGCACGATCAACTGCCGCACCACCTCCGCACCTCCAATGGCTTTTAATCCAAGAATTGCACCGTAATGACTTCCAAAAGGCTTTTTCGGATCGAGCATTGTCTTAAGGCAGGATCGCGCCAGTCTCGGCTTGAGATTATGTGAGTATTTCGAGTATTTCTTGCAGAGGTGTCCTAGCAGTGACGCAGCTAGGTCGCGCAGGTCGTAATGATCGAGGGTGCCGATACCGCTACCCAGCGTCCGTCCGATCAGACAAGTCAATACAGGAGGGACCATTGAGGCAACCTAGATCATTGGTTAGCCTGGATTCAAAATGTTCGTGTGCGACCGTCGTACATATGGAGTCAGATTGAGTTTCTCGTTCCTCGTCAATGCATCCGTAACCAGCATCATCTGCGTCAGGACAAACAGATCTTTCATGTTATGCGTGACCTTCTCGGCGACGAATTGCACAAAGTAAGGCACCAGCTGATGCAGACCGGGGTCATCTTTCAAACTCGCAAGGCCTGCCGTCCGATATTCTGGCTGTGTCTCGTCCAGGACCGACGCGCACACCTTCTCAAAGTATAGTTGTAGTTCTTTCGATAGAATGTGCTTGACTTGAGGCTTCGTCGTGGTATTTTCTGTACCTGTCATCGCAGCCAGGGCGGGATTCGCATTCGGTCCTTTCGGAAGAAGTTCGAGGTTTCTTGCTTCGTTGGAGGTAGGATTCTGAGGAATTGATGGCTGCACGCCTTCGACTGCTAGCCAGTGTGCTGAACAACAGTAAGCTCCTGTCCTGTCATATGGTTGAGAGTCAGCATACCTGTAAACGAAACTTCCCTCGGCACCTTCGGGAGAGGCGCGTTGATGAGCTTCTCAAAATCCATCTCCTCGTCCTCCACGTAGAACAGTGGTTGTCCTGGCCCTAGGGATGCCTCGCCGTACCGCAGTGGTCTCGTCGTCTCGTAGCCGTAGAGGGGTTCAATGTCTAGTACGCGCAACGCTTGCGCGATGTCTTGAGACCAGAGGATCGTTCTTCGGGCATGTTTCATGAATTTGAGGGCTTCTTGCAGAACTTGCGATATTCGGTATTCCACATCTCGGCAAAGTGCTTGGTTGACATCCTTGTTAAGGTTGATGATTCCCACAGATTCCGCGACGTCCTTGATCGTGTCTTGACCCCAGAGAGTCATGGCTGCGCATGTCAATTGGGTGAAGGTCGTGTCGCTCTGGGAGAAGGGTCAAGATCACGATGGGCGCAGGCTGGAGTTTGCGGAGAAGTGACGGAGGGCCAGTCCGCCAAGCATGAACTTCAATCAATCCGGAGTATGGAGTGTCTACAGTCTTGGTGGTATATTACTTTAGGTATCACAGTAGACATTGCAGCGCATCAAGATTCTTACAGTAACGACTGAATGTCAACAGCCTTCCATGATCATAATCATTCGGACATTCTCCTCCTCTATCTCTCCTATTCAACTCAACTGTCCGACACCTTCCAGACCAACCTTGCTCCACTGATCTTTTTATCTCTCAACATCGACAAGGCTTTTTCTGCTCTCTCCAGCATCGTCTTGCCTTCCACAATAACCTGTTCATTCGGCTCGATTATGCCGTTTCCTAACAGCGTCGGCATGATCTCTGGCTGCAGTTTGTCGGCAAGAAACTTGTTTTCGAGGTAGAAATGCGTTCTGACGCCCACAGCCTCGACGCCTGACTGCCAGTTTGCACATTTCTTCACATCCATCTCATACTCGGGCTTGACACCCTTTGCTGCATCTTTGACAATGACAGGTAGCAAGATAGCCACTTTCGCCCCTGAATTGGCAATCTTGGCCACAGGCTTGACACTTCCCTTGAGACTTCCAATGCAGTCATAAATATAGGATATGCGTCTCCCGACTGGAGAACTGGCAAAGTCCAATATGTTTTTGATGACGTCGGTGTCTCTGTAATCAAAGCATTTGACAGCACCATAACGTTGCAGCTTTTCATGATGGCGCTTGCTTGCTGTGGCAATCACGTTCCTGTATCCGTACCACTTCAGGACCTGCAATGCATATTGACCGACGCTACTACTTCCTCCCCAGACCAATATGCCTTGATCAGCCTTTTCTGGGACGTAACCTTCGGGCTTTGGCCAGGGCAATTCGAACCCAAAGTCTTTGGTAAACGTGTGCCATACGGTCACGAAATTGTTGGGGAGAGTGACAGCTTGTTGCATGGTCACGCCGTTTGGAAGCTTGCCGAAGAGGAACTCCGGAGCAACCACGAACTCTTGGTGGGCTTTCTCGGCTTGGCCTCGCCAGGTGAAACCGAACACTTTGTCGCCGACATTCAATCTAGTGACATCCGACCCAATCTCAACCACTGTCCCGGCAACTCCATCACCCAAAACTTGGGGGTGTTCGACAAGAAGCCCGCCGTCTGCCTCGTGTAAATCGAGTGGTGTTGACGCAGTCCATTCATTTCTGACTCGAACTTGGTTCTCGGTAGGTTTTGGCGTGGGGACTTGATGAATCTCCAGCGGCAGCCCTGGCCCAACAGTCACAATCGCTGCATGAGTAGTAGCCATGTCCATGAGTCTTTTCTCGAGTCCGACGAGTATCTTGATTGACGTCCTTGATTATGGTCTTCGTGAATGCTGCCTTGTCTGCCTGACGGGGACGATTTGAGGACATTCAGGGACATTCACGATGCCATATATCCCCTTCTCAAGCTGACAAAAGTAGACGGACGAAAAGTATCATGCCCGCCAGTCCACCATTCAGCATCTTGCGTCCGGACTACCCTGCGCTGCCCCCAGGGGTGTCATTAGTCAGAAAATACGGCGGAGTATTGCTGCACCAAATTTCGTCCGTTTGCTCCAAAACAGGTCCCACAGTCGCCATTCCTCTAGAGGTCAACCATGGTGAGAGAGAGAGGTGCGCAAGACCTATTGCTTGTTAGGACGGTCGAACACCGACTGCCAGCAACAATCATTCCACATCAACCCTCAAGGCTGTACTGTGCCAAATCGGTCTCAATGTCATCCCAGTTGATGTCGAACTGACTTGGGTCGACCGACATCACCTCTTCCACTTTTTTCTCAGGTTTCGCGTCTGGTATGTCCGCAGCCATTTTCATATGGGTGTTTCCAATCTGACGAAGCTTCTTAACGACCCAGTCCCTTTCCACCCCTGGTTCGAGCACCATTAAACACAGCCGCAAGGCAAAGATGATGAAAAACGGCCCAAGGAAAGACGATGTCAACATGAATGATGTAGTCCGGCAGACTTCCCGTGCTAGTTCCCGATTTTCCATGATATACATCGGGGCATGCTCAGTCTCCATTTCTTTCAATATCGAGTTCAAGATTATCATGATTGTGAAATAGCCAACATGGGTACAGCCAACGAAGAGATTGACATAGGAATATTGCATCGGAAAGACGGGATCTGATGTCTGCAGAACGGTGGTGTCCAGCCCTATCCTTTTCATGGCGTTTCGAAATCGTAGGTTGATAGATTTCAGGCTTGCCCTGTGCTGTCGACATCTCGCACGGATAGACTCTTCGTAGGCTCGATATTCGTCAGGGGTCAAGGCCTGTCGAACCTCCGAACTTCTCAAGGCATCTCGGCAGGTCGTGGGGATGAACACGTTTTGCATGTAAAACTCTTCAGCCAGATCAAAAATCTCCATGCGCTCTGGTGCCATAGTACCGCCGCGACGTAGATCTTCATGTACCTGTCTCGACAAGTCGAGCCACTCCGGCTCACATAAAAAGCAGGCCTCGTCTCTCTGAAAAGCTTCAATGTAGATGGTGTGGCGATAAGCCAGGTACAAATCGCGGTCGACACCCGACAGATGCCTCGACGGACCGCGAATGCGCATCAAAGTTGAAGCACCACCTGCATGCCGTACCCATGACTGATTGGAGTCAGATGCGAACATCTCATAGAAGGATAGAAGGATGGTGGCCGATAGTGTTTCGGTCGACATGCCTGTGACATTATCTGAAAGGGCATCGTTCAGCAGGCGCAAAGCTTTGCCGTAAAAACGCCTTGATTCCTGCTCAAATGCTTCTGACTGGTGAATTCGGCTCAAATGGACCAAGGAAACTGCTCGGACTGCAGCGTCGAGCAGCTTACTGCCAAACATGGCAGGGAGTTGAGATAGCCACCGCGTATGGTTGTGCATCTGACGAGGAATGATCGTTGATCCCGTGGCAGAAATTGCCGAGGAAAAGGTGTTGAGAAGCTGTTCCTGAGCTAGAGATGGCGAATAGATAGAGTGATTGAGCGTCATCTGGAAAGGCATGTCAAAGTTTATCGAGCCACGACTCAGAAGCTCTCGCGGGCTGGTTGCTGTACTTCCAAAACCAAACAGATTGGAATCAGGATAGATCTGGCTTTCGAGCAAGCTAATGAAAGCATTGCGTGAGGGAAGGAGAAGATCGCCGCGGTAGGCGCCCGAATCCGAATCAGGGGTGCCATATTTCGAGGTCAGTTCTAGGGAATCATCGGGAGACGATCCTGTCGACTGACTGTGGCCACTTGTGGCAGGTGAAGAACTCCCGGTGTCGCTCTTATGATCCGTGAGATCCTTCTGGCCAAAGCGTCTTCGGAGTTTGTTGCCTTCATCGTGGATTCTCAAGTCCGTGTCATAGCCTGGACATGGCCGATTGCCTTTGAGACAATTCTTACCTATAAGGAGGCACATTGTTAGAAGGGCTTGAAGCCAAAGCCGGCTGGTTCAGAGACTTACATTTGGGTTGTGTCTGGTCGCACTGTTGTAGAGTAAGTAAAGCCATCTACAAGACAAGAGACATGCTTATTACCTTGACGCGACGCTGGACGCAAATCCTACATCCTTTGCTCCTAGGAATGCCTACCATCCCTGGTCTCCTGCACTAGGCGTGGAACATAAGACCCGACGGTCGTCTGTGATCAGAGCGCTACAAGTGCGACTTTTCTCAAAGAGATATGAAACGTATTTGGATTCTGAGGGTCAGAAGGCTTTGCTGACTGCTTGACCTGAACTCTGCTCTCAACTAAGAGAGGAAGAAAAGCAATTATTGATGCCTGATAGGCAAAGCGGCTAGTCATGAAGATCAAAGCGAAGCGATCTTAGCTGAAGTGACTGAGCCCAATAGGGCTGCAGCATACCTACTGTATAAACCCACTAACTAAAGCCCCGCCTACCTCAGCCACTCCCAGCTGGATGCCAGCGTAGCACGCCTAGTCATAGCCACAATGGCCCCCTCTTATGTTTTGTAACTTTGTGGAATACGGAGTACGCGTCGTACTGAGGTGGGTAGTATGTAGCGCTTTTTCCAGGTGAGAATACACATCATATGTACTTGCCAGACAGTCTAGCAAGTCTCCTTAGTGCCTGAAGATACCCTGTATGCCCTTAAGAGACTCCCCGTAATCCGTGGCACTAGAACATGCCCCTGCCACGACCTTTCGAGAGGTCTTCATCGATAACCATTGCTGAAGTCGGAATCCAGGTTATGCATTCGCAACCAACAGCGATTACAGTAACAACCCGGAGTCTTAAAACAAAACGCCGCCAAATCAAAGGTTCGGACCATTCCTCTGGATTTCTAACCCTCAAGCTCATTCATAGGGACGTCCTCAGTATCCGGTCCAACGATTGCCTCTGCAACTTTCCAGACCTGAATAAGATTGTCATCTGCCGCGCTGCACACGACCCAAGGATTGTTCTTGTTCCACGAGAAGTCACTGATTCGGTTGGTATGTCCTCCGTGCATGAAAAGTAGCTCTGGCGGCCCGTCTTCGCTGTCTTCAGGCGTCTGCTCTTCTCCCACTCTGGCCAAATCCCAGAACATAATTCGTCGGTCATAGCTGCTGGAAGCGAGGACTGATTCTTCGAACGGATGCCACTCGAGGGTCGTTACGCTGTCATTATGACCCTCAAGCACATGCAGTTTATGATTAAGATTCCGTAGATCCCAGATTGCGATTGTTTTATCGGCACTGCCCGTTGCCACCAAGGTATCCACGGCCAAGTTGAACGCAATGGCGTTGATGGCGTCTCGGTGTTGGTTCTCGCCTTTCAGTGCCGATCTCGTGGTATCGGAATTTCTCAGATCGATGAGCTGCATCGTCAAGTCGTCTGACACGGAGCCCAAAAGGTTGGCCAGTATTGGATGATATTGCACATCATTGACGATGCCATTGTGATGGGTGTATTTCCTCGACTCTTTGAGCACGGTGTTGCTTTTCGACGCTTGCGTGATGTCCCATAATCTGACCGTACAGTCTTCACTGGCGGTCGCAAGCTGACCCGCCTGACGAGGGTCCCAACTCAATCCATAACCTTCCCGCTCGTGGCCATGAAGCTCGATTGTCGGCGTCGGTGTCCCCGATGGTCGACCTGATAGTTTGCTCTTGTCCCAAACCATGACCCGACCGTCCGTGCACATCGTAGCAATGAGGTTTGGATTTTGAGGCTGGTACCGAGCTTTGTTCACTTCGCCAGGGTGGTCGATTTTCTGAACGATGTTGAACTTGACCTCAATCTGATTCTTACCGGAAGGTCCTCCGCCATAGCCCCCAATTTCTCCCGTCTCTTCATTGTAATCTTTGACATCTGGCTTTCTGGGTTTCGGTAGTTGGACTTGTGCGATCTCTAGGTAATTCGGTTGACCTGGAGCAGTATGTGTTCCGATCAAGAGACGATGCTTCGAGTAATTGGTACCAGGCATACTGAAATCATCAGTCTACTTTCAATAAACGTCACTGGCGCTCCCTTACTCGATGACATCTGGCATCCATTGTGTGGTCAGCGTGGGCCAATCCAGAGCCGTACTGAGTATCATATCGTAGAGAAACGGAGCGTTCTTCTTCCATGTCTTGTATTCCTCGTTGATGACTTTCTGTTCGGTCTCGGCGTCTTCGTTGTTGAGCTCTTCGCTCACTGCGGCTATGTTAGCATGGCGCATGCAAGACCAAGCTTCAACCTACTATTCTCATCGTCGTCCGCCATGATTCAAGTTAAGAGGAGACAGTGGAGCGCAAGATAGTATTCGGCAGTGGTAGCGGATACGTGGTGATGCGGGCGTAGCAATGATCGTTAGTGGTAGATTTCTGAATGCAAGCCGCATTTTGGAATAATACCTACGCGCTTTCACTTCGCTACGCGTGAACGAAAGTGGTATAGTTCAAGTTGGGGTAAAGTGCAAGTGCCTGAGAAGGCAGGTCAGCCGAGTCTCTTGGCATCAGGAACCCCAGGCGTGCCAGGTCATCTTCGTCACCAGACCTTCGTGTTTGCCATCACCAACAACAACAACCATTCAATAGATCACGGCATCTTTTCCCTCACGGATCTGTGTCCTTTGTTCCTTGCGCCGGTATCCGCATGTATATCTACTGAGATCAGGATCTGATCATCTCTTCTTTTTCCGTTCATTAAGAGTCATCCTTTTGAGCTGCACCCACCGCCACCATGGGTGTTCCCAAATTCTTCAGATGGCTCAGCGAGCGCTACCCTGCGATTTCTCAATTGATCGCAGAGAACCGCATCCCTGAGTTTGATTGTCTTTATTTGGACATGAATGGCATCATTCACAATTGTACTCACAAGGACTCTGATTCGCCCTCCTTTCGGATGACCGAGGACAAGATGTTCATTGCGATTTTCAACTACATAGAGCACCTTTTTGGCAAGATCAAGCCCAAGAAACTGTTCTTCATGGCGATTGACGGGGTAGCACCTAGAGCCAAAATGAACCAGCAACGTGCTCGTCGCTTTCGTACCGCCCTGGATGCCGAGAAAGCCCGAAACAAAGCCCTCCAAGAAGGATTGGAATTGCCCAAGGAGGAGCCTTTCGACAGCAATTGTATAACGCCCGGCACCGACTTCATGGCAAAGCTCACAAAGCAGTTGAAATATTTCATCAGCAAGAAGGTGTCCGAAGATGTCGACTGGCAAGGTGTTGAGGTCGTCCTTTCCGGCCATGAGGTACCTGGCGAAGGTGAACACAAAATCATGGAATACATTCGACAAGCCAAGGCGCAGCCGACCTACGACCCCAATGTCCGTCATTGTCTGTACGGATTAGATGCGGACCTGATTATGTTGGGCCTTCTCAGCCATGACCCTCATTTTTGCTTGTTGAGAGAAGAAGTGACCTTCGGAAGACAAGCCTCGAAGAAATCCAAAGAGCTCGAGCATCAGAATTTCTATCTCATGCACCTGTGCATTGTGAGAGAATACCTAGAACTCGAATTCCAGGAGTTGGAGCAAGAGGGTGCTCTTGACTTTCCATACGATATGGAACGAATCATTGACGACTTCATCTTGATGGCTTTTTTTGTTGGAAACGACTTCCTACCGAATCTTCCGAATTTGCACATCAATGAAGGGGCGCTGGCGCTTATGTTTCAAAAGTACAAACAGATACTTCCGCGACTGGGTGGCTACATCAACGAGCAAGGGGTCATCAACTTGCAGAGACTGGGTGTGCTCCTTGACGAATTGTCTGAAGTTGAATATCGGTTCTTCGAGGCGGAATACGCTGATGCAAAATGGATCAACGCCAAACGAAACGGTTCGGAGGAGGAGGAGCCAGTCAAAGCAGCACGGGGTCCGATTAGACTCTCGCCTGAACAGAAACAGCTATTCAAACATGTCAAGAAGTGGTTCATCTCACCTGGCAATAAGGACATCGCCACTCGGCAGCCACTGAATCTATCCTCTACACTCCCAGCGAGGGATCGCAAATTCATACAGCAGCTCGCGGCGGACTTGAATTTGCAATGGTCGACCAAGGAAGACGAAGAAGGAAACCGATTCATACAACTAGAGATTCCGCAGACACAAGGTGATGACGACTCGGAAGATGAAGAATCACAGCTGGCTATCACGAGGATTCTCAAAAGATACGAAAACGCTAAAGTCGAGGAGGCCACGGACGAACAGGCTCAGCAAGATCTGAAGAAGAAATATGACGAGAAGTTTTACGAATGGAAGAACAAATATTACAAAGAAAAGTTCGACTGGGGCTTGGAAAATGAGGAAGGTATGCGGCAACTGACAGAGAACTATGTTCAGGGTCTTCAGTGGGTGCTTTACTACTATTACCGTGGAGTTGCATCTTGGCCATGGTTCTACCAGTATCACTATTCCCCCATGATCTCGGATGTCAAGAAAGGTCTTGGCGCAGACATGAACTTCCAGCTAGGTCAACCTTTCCGACCATTCCAGCAGCTGATGGGAGTTCTGCCGGATCGAAGCAAGAAGATTGTCCCTGCTGTATACCACGACCTGATGACTTCGAAAGACTCACCTATTATTGACTTTTACCCTCGTGACTTCGAGCTGGACATGAATGGTAAAAAGATGGAATGGGAAGCAGTTGTCAAAATCCCTTTCATCGATGAAAAGCGACTACTAGGTGCCATGGCCTCAAAAGACTCTCTTCTCACAGAAGAAGAACGCCTTCGCAACGATTTCGGAATCAGTCTCAAATTTACCTATTCACCAGAAGTCGACTACACCTATCCATCTTCACTGGTCGACATCTTTCCAGACCTACCTCATTGTCATTGTATCCAAAACGAATTCGAGCTCCCGACAATGGAAGGCTTGGAACCTTATGTCGGTTTAGTTGATGGAGTGAAGCTAGGTGCTGCCGCCTTAGCAGGGTTTCCCAGCCTCAAGACTTTGCCATTCACTGGCTCATTGGGTTTCCACGGTGTCAATGTTTTCCAGCAAGACAGCCGGAATGAGAGCATGGTCATCACTTTGTCAAACACTGAGGAACGCAGCAAGTCAGAATATGCCAAGCTTCTATTGAACCAGCGTGTACACGTTGGTTATCCCTTCCTGCAGGAAGCCAAGATTGTCAAAGTCTCCGACGAACTCTTCGACTACACCATGGTTGAGGAAGCCTCTCGCCAAGTCAAAGCGATCGAGCACACCGGAGAGGAAATTGACCAGTTCCATAAGAAAGCCGAGCGTATCGAGAAGTGGTACAGCAAGAGACTCGGTATGCTGACTGGTGATGTGGAGACGCTTGTCCACGTTGAAATGCTCAAGGGATTGAAGAAACTCGACGATGGATCTACTGTCAAGGAATTTGCGGAACTTCCTGGCATGGAGACGATTCATGCTACCCAACTCGTTGTAGAGAGTGTCATCAGCGAGGATGTGCGTTTCATCGAAAAGGCCGCGGTCCCCATCGAGGAAGAATTTCCCGATGGGACAAATGCGTTCTTCCTCGGTGAATATGCATACGGAAGCCCCGTCAGCGTGGTTGGGCATGAAGGTGGAAAAGCGACATGTCTTATTGCCCTTTTTAGCGGAAGGCAAGTTGAGTTTGGGCGTGACATTGCTCGTCAAGCGGAGAAATTGTCGCCTTACACCCCATCATATCAGATTGCTCGGAGTCTCAATCTGAATGCGCTGGCCTTGGCCAAGATCACATCCTCATTCTCTGTTGCTGTCGACGACCAGCGAGTCAACCTAGGCCTGAACCTCAAATTTGAGGCTAAGAAGCTCAAGGTATTGGGCTATTCACGAAAGGGCCAAACTGGATGGGAATTCAGCCAGAAGGCAGTCGAGTTAATTCAGCAGTACATGATCAAATTCCCGCAGTTCATTGCAGGAATTCACAACAACCCTCAGGGCGACATGTTGCCTGCTACTGCATACTTTCCCGGTGATGAAAAGGAGGCCAAGGCAAAGATCAAAGAGATCCAAGCCTGGTTGAAAGAGATAGAGTCCAAGAGCTTCGAGCGAGTACCTTTGGAAGCCGAACAGCTAGACTCCGAAATCGTCAAGCGCATTGAGCAAGCGGCCGAGGACGCGCTACGCACTGAGGCTCCTCCTCGCAACAAGACGATCGGTGGTGTCCCTCGGCATGGTCTTCTCAAACCTACTGACGCACAATGGCGATTGGGCGGTCAGAAGTATAATCTGGGTGACCGAGTGATCTACGTGGCTGATTCAGGAAAAGTGCCCATCGCTTCCAAAGGTACTGTTGTCGGCCTCACTCGAACTGCAAGAGAGACGTGGCTTGATGTGGTGTTCGATGTGTCCTTCATGAGTGGGACATCTTTGGGAGATCGATGCTCGCCATTCCGTGGTTCCACGGTGCCTACGTGGTCAGTTCTCAATCTCAGCAATCGTCAGATTTTGGCATCGTCGAAAGCCAGTGCAAGCCGGCAAACGACCGCGCCTAGCTCGCCTCTTACAGTCGACGGATATGGACAACCAGGTATCAACGGTCAAGGCCAACTACGCCCGGCTAGGACACCTGCGGCTCTGCGTGGATCATGGCGTGGAGCAGTCTCGGGACCATCACCAAATGGTCATGTTGGGGTGAATGGTACAGCTGGTAGAGGTCACTTGAACGGAACAAGCATGCCCATTCGAAACTTCTCAGGATCTCCTGCCAATGGCAATCGTGGAGCAGCAGCGAATGGAGGCCGAGGGGGTCGAGGTGGTTACGCGGCTCGAGGAGGATACACACCAGTTGATCGAGGTGATGTTCAAGCTGGCGTGATCCAGCACAATCCCTCGTTCCGGCCCAAATCACACAACAATGTTCCGCCACCAGCGAACCTGAATCATCCCAGCACTCCTCGCGGTCGCGGTAGAGGTCGAGGAGGCGCCCCTCGTGGAGCGCGAGGCACGACTTCTCGCGGCTGAGGCTTTTGAAGAGAGGTAATGGATTGCCGTGTGGCCCGAGAGTATGCACAACCTGTGAAGGTCTGGTCTTGGATAGTGCAAAAACGATCTTTTGAGCTGGTTGATGGTCAACGTACGTACGTTGCTAGGTGAAAGTCATGCAGCATGCGGCCTCAGCTTGCTCCACACGAACACGTGTGTGCGATGTCAACAGCTGCCAACAACTGTAGGAGAAAACCAATAAAGAATCAATCCTCAAGTCTGGTGTGCTCTGGTCGAGTGCTCACTTATGCCCCGTGCCAACTTCTACTACGAGCGGCCATGGTCGCCATAGGCTCTACATACCTAGGTAGGTACGCGTTCCCACCGATCTCCAGTTATCAGATCCAGCCATCGTGCACTATACTGCACCGGGTGACCAAAAGGACGTGCAGACTGCCACAGTACTGCGGTACCACTACTCGTACCTCTGTTACATCGGACATGCCGAGATGCGTACCTAGGTACTGTACTACTGTCAAGCTCGTGTGGGCGATCCAGACTTGGCAGTTCGTGCACGTCATCTACCAGCTAAACCCAGTTGACTCTAGCTCTCGAGTCTCCCACATTGTCTCCAGTGTCTCCTTCAAAATATTCGAAGCTCACCACATGTTTGGTCCACGACGTCCACTTACCACTGGCACCTAACTGGTATATCCAATCCACACCGTCCACCTCCATCCACCTCGTCCACTGCTCTGATGAGTCTCAACACCACGCCGACGCTTTCCCGCCTTCATTGCATGAACCCCTCTTGCCAATCTGTCTTTGATTCGACAGACCTGCTGCGTTCCTGTCTCTCTCCACGCACTTGTCCACCATCACGTCAGCGCTGCCTTCAAGCCCGGTGAGCCCACAGAGAACCCCCACGCTACTGCGACTGGCAACGAGAATGCGACACGTTCTGTGCTGAGAACCGTTGTCCACATAGGATACTCTGCGTCTTGCTGTGCTCTTTTCTTATGCTGCGAACCCTGGACTACTCCCAGTGTAAGCTTCGCATATGACATCAAGCTGCTTCCTCAGGACCTAGATGTGTTAACATTATGGCCCTCCCATAGGACGCTGAACGCCAAACCCCGCGGTCAATATACAATCCTTGTGACGCCAGGTCTCGTTTCTCTCCAGACACAGGAGAGCACACCCTCATGCATCATGCCTGTCTGTGAAGCCCGACAATTGACCCGTACGTGAGTTAAATGCCTTGTCAGCAGGGAGACCCTCGATATGATTTCAATTTCTCTCACCTCATATCTCTGCTTGCCTTATCTCACAGGCTAAGGGCGCTTTATCCGTCTTGAAGCTGCCAATCGCCTTACTTTCGGGCAGCGGTCCGATCCACATGAAAGTGATCACAGCTCCTCCGGAGAACAGGGGTTGCATTCTTCCACCTGACCTCTCTACGACTATCATTCTGAGGCTTTCCGCCACGACGCGACACAATCCACTTTCCATCTGTTGAACATCATCGCCATGAAGACATTCAGCCTGACCTTCTATCGCCCTCCGTCAAGTCTGAAATAGCACTTTAATCCCTACCTCAAGACGAGGCTGGGTTGCCTGTCCAAACGATCAATCACGGACATCCAGGACGGGAACGTTTTTGACGTTTCTATAGAGGAGTAGTACGATCAAACCGTCGAGCGTGTGAAGTCGACGCGATTCCTCGGTCTGGAGTATCTTCAGGTACGCCAGCAACCTCGACCTCGTCACATGGGCCTTCTACTCGAAAAACAAGTCATGGCAGATTCCATGAATCTCATCTCGGCGCAGATATCCTTTTTGGTACGTTACAGTATGCCTCGTTGCGCGGCTATGTTGAGCGCTTGGTTTTGGCCATGCCAGGAGCTGCACCATCCTCGAGGTCATTGTGTGATGGGTACTGAATCTTCCTGCCTTCCTAGGAACCTCGTCTTGCATTGGTTCACATACCCATCGAGTTGTACACCTTTTGCTTGCAGCCAATCCTCCAACTTCTCTTTGGCGAAGACCACGACGAGGATGCAGCCAAAATCTCGTGGACTAATCAACACGACTTTCTCAACGTCTCCATCACGCCCGTCGAGTGCTCCATCATTTGTTCGCGGCAGTTAGCGAACCGGTTTGTATGTCCTGTTGCACAGACTCTGAATCGGCTGTATGGCTCCAGCAGCAAAGGGGCCAAGCCAAGGACCGAAGTCCAGATTAGCTCCGAAGACTATATCGCCATTCAAGTTGATGGCCAAGGACTCGATGCAGGTCAACGAGTATTGGAGCTGACTTCCCCTCTGGCTATGGCTGGCATGTCAGTGTTCGTCCTTGCCGTACAGGGCTGAGCTGACCATCGACATAGAAGCATTTTCTTCATCACAACGTATTTCTCAGACTACATACTTGTTCCTTTTCGATCCCACAAGACGGTTACCAAAGCCCTACAACAGCGAGGATTCGTGTTCTCCCAGAGTGCTGACGCGTTTGTTTCTCAGCTGTCGCCATCTTCACCTACCATGCCTCAAGGCATCCGTCCGATCGGCTCGCCGCCATTCCATGAGAATTCTGCGCCCACGACTCCACCAGCAAAAGACCTACCAGAGCTACAGATCCGGACCTTCACGAAACTAACGCGCAATAATATCAGTCCGCTCGTCGACAGCGAGGTTCGCCTCGCCAACTGCGCGGGCAGCCGCGAGCCTGATGCAGCGCGAGATGAGCAGCTTAAGAATGACCTCCTGCAGGTCTTGATAGCCACTTCATATCTGCCTGAGGAGGCAGATCAGTGCAAAGATCTGAATACTTCAACAAGCCTTGAGCTTGGCCTTGCAGAGGCTGACGCCACTGATCTAGACTTTGGTGCCAACTTCCTCTCTTTGACCATTACAGCCAGAGAGCCGATATCGGTGCTGCTAGAACACCGACTCCTGGACCGGCTGGGAGGGTCACTTCTAGGTGCAAAGTCTGAGGAAGATGCACTAATTCCTATCACGCTCGATCTTCGAGATCTGCCTCTCGACGCCACGGGCATTGTTTGTGGTGTGGCCGGACGTTTGGCACAAGGAAGCACCGATGAGTTTGAGCAGCTGAATCTGAGTCCCGTATCTGAGGTGAGGCCGCACCAGCTCGAACCAGTCGAAATCTCTTTTTTGAGCACAGTCAGAGCAGGGACGGTGATCGTCAGGGCTAACCATCTGGCCAAGGCCCTTGATGCACTCAAATACGGCATGGATAGGGTAGCGGACATGAAAGCATGATTGCATAACCGGTCAACTAAAGAAATGGCCATAAAATTGCATGCATAAGGGCATGGTTGGTATTGCATTAAAGGGGGGGTGGGTACGGGAAAATTGTATCAGAACGTCAAAAGTCTACAGCATTTGAAGGGAGGATTGCACGAGTTTGCGCATCAAATATGGCGTTGAAGAAGCGTTTCGAGTTGATAGATAGGTACCACCATGTCTCTATGGTTGTCCCGCCCTGAACATGGCGCCATGAAGGGCACTTTGATGAACCGACATCAGCTCGTCCAATGTCTTCTGTCAACCGACACCGTAGACCTTGACGATCCCTTCCGCGCCTCCGCCAGCCCAGAGACCTTGTCTGCCTTGAGCCTGACTTCCCTCTCTCCATCTAACCACACTGACGACCTTGGCCGACGGATTGACGTCCACATTGCCTACGCTCTTCCCGGAGAGCACATCCCAACCTCGCACCCTCCCGTCGTCTTCACTCCCACTCAGCACCAAGCTTTCGTTGCCGGCGAAGCAACTCTTCAGCCGCAAACTGTCATTCTTGTACCCTTCGACATTCCCCTCCGGTGGGAACCCCCTCAAGCACGTCCCATCCGTGCGATCCATCATCCTGATCCTCCCGTCCAGACAGCCCACCAGCACCGTCCTCGCGTCCCTCGAGACGTCCAGACTCGTCACGGGCCCCGGCATCACATCCACCGTGACCTTGCCCATCCGGATATCGTAGCTCCTCAGCCGCCCATCGACGCTGCCGGACACGATTTCGTGGCCGTTCCCGGGCACGACGACGCTGGAAATCCCGTCTTTCGCCTCGTCAAGCACCATCAACGGCTTCGCGTCCCGACTCTTAACATCCCACAGCCGCACGGTTGTATCGTCGCCGCCACTGACGATCACACCATCCCCATCCCCCGCGAACGCCACGCAGTTGATCCGACTCGTGTGTCCTTGGCTCGTGTTGCTGCCGAACCGTCTCAGCGTGCCGTCTGCGCCGTTCGCCACGTCCCACAGGAACACGCTGCGGTCGCCGCCGACACTCGCGAACGTCTGATTGTCCTGCGCAACCGCGATGTCTAGCACGGGATACCCGTGCGCGGCGTATTTCTGGATGGCGCCTCCGCCAGACCCAGCATTAGCGGCGGAGATGGACTGCTGCTGAGCGCGACCGTGCGAGGAAGAAGGAGGCTCGGTTCGTGAGAGGTGGATTTGCCGGTCCGATGAGCCGGTGAGGACGTATGTGCCGCCCTGGGACGAGAAGGTGATTGCATTGATGGGTCCCGCGTGCGAGGTAAGAGTGTTGACGAGCGTCGACGGCAGTAGTGCTGCTGTGGACGGTTTGCTCATGCTGGGCGAGATGCGGGATCATGCAGCTGCGCGGCGTGCGAGCACAGGGAGAGTACCCATGTTCCTGGGGTCTATTCTGGCATGTCGTTAGAGCGCCGAATCCCTAGCGTCTGCCTTATTGGTTTTTTGCTGCGCGAGAAGAGTCTTGGGCGACGTTTTCGACAAACGCAGTGTTGACGGGTTGACGGCATCGTTTGGAAAAAGATAGATAGCAAAGCCGGAATTTAACCGGGCATCAGACGGCGAGTCTGTCAAGTCGCAAGTCTTTTTTCATTTTGGTTTTAATTCTATATTTGACCGACCGATGCCAACAAGTACAGGAGATCAGTTGCCACAGCTTGTCTACTCTAAGTCAGTCGTTCAAAGGAGAGCCACAGAACTGAGAGGCGTTGACACGGCGCGGGAATGGTTTCAAAGAACTTCTACTACTAGTGGCAAAGAACGAACGACCACCTATCTATCCAAGATGCCTAACACATGTCCGCCGGTGAAGATCTCACTCATGAGTCAACTCCCACTGGATGTGGCCTGTGCTGATGCCCTTGTGGGCATCATTAGTGTTGAGCGAGGTCCTATTCATTGCGTGCATACGTGCGTGCGTATTATCTGTCTCATCTGCAAATCAATCCACGTTCCAGAGGTAGCGCCATGCCCGTTCCACATACACAAGAAGGATCTCACGTTTTTGTCCTTTGTGACGGTACGGTCACGTAGAGAAAATGCAGACCGACCTCTCCCGTTGATGACCTGGGGCCGCTGGCCGAAAAAGAGAGCCCATCATCTCGAGACTGTTGAAGAAAGTCCACAGCTAGACTGAGTGCAAATACCTTTGTAAGAATCTGAAGTGCAGGCTTCAATCTAAACGCGACGGAAGAAAACAGCATTCGCAGTGCTCGTCCCTGAACCTACCGCCTGATATACCTGGGATAGGATATCACCTGAGAAGGCCGCCATGATCCTTTTTTATGAGCCCCTTTCAGCCCTACCTGCCTGCCTGGCCTCGAGCTTCCCTCAGCCCGACTCTGGCCCTGGTCTCCAGGTGTGGGCCATATGATTACCTTTCTTCACCCCACCTCTGACATCCGGCAAATGCTGGCTCCCTGGCCAGCAATTGGACATGTCTTCTCTGCGCTGGGGAGCCACCTTGGGCAAGCTGTTCAGCCATCAGCGACCGCTGTCTGCGAAGGCATGCAGAAAATGTAGACTGAAAGATATGCCAAGTATCGCCGTCGTCATCGAGATGAGACCGCTAGGCATTATTAAGAAAGCCTGGATCTCGGGCGGAAATACCGACTCATCATGCATTGAAGCACACTTCGTCACACTTCCAGCAACATAATGATAAAGGACCGAATCTACTGGGGTCATCACCCAGGGAGGGGTGTTTGACGATCGTACACTGGCACGTCGCTGGAGCCATTCTCTGCGTTGACCCAAAGAACCAGGGATTCAAGGGGAAATCGTCGGCCGGTATCAACAGCAGGACGAGCCGAGCAGATCTCGTGCCTACGTCGAGTGGAGACGCGAACAATTCCATCTGTTCACCCTTGTACTAAGGACGCGGACATGAGGTGAGCTTGTTTCACAGCTCCGAAGTGAGTTGCCTCGTTGCTTGACATTGCAGCAATGTAAGGATCATAGACATGGGAGGAAATGTGATCGTGGTTACTCTCCGATCCAAAATTCCCTGATCGATCGACGTGGGAAGTTACTACTGCATGGCTTCAACACGCGTGTGGGCCGCCAGCTGCGGCGATGTCGGGCACGTAGCGGGCGAACACAATCCCCAATTAAGTCATAGGTCGTTGCCAATAGGGTCAACTGGTTCGTCACAATTCCAAGGGGCACACGATGGCAAGTTTGCATGGTGGAGAGTCCAGGGAGGAGCCCGTGGCTCGGCAGAGGTGCACTCGGGCGACGTCCAAACGCTCGGTTTGGTTTCCCCAATGCCAGGCCTTTAGATGAACACAGTGCACAGTACGCAAGTTCGGTGGATGGTGCCTCGTCGGGTTCCAGCGATCGATGAGAGACTTCGGCGGCTTGACGTCCATAGGGTTCTCACGTTTCAATCCCGCCTAGGCGTCTGGATGTAAGTCGCCTAACCAATCCAATAGCAAGCGGAAACCTTTTCCTGAGGCTCCTCAAGAACCAGATTAGGTTCCGGGCTGGGATACCAGACCCGGGGACGATCATCTTGTGACGATCTCGGTCATAGCCAGTGTCTCAGCCAGGTACCGAGGAATCGTGTCTACCCCATAATGCTCTAGACCTTCCTTAGGAGAATGAGAGGTAGATGCACGGGCAAATGGCATTCGAAAATGCATCAAAGCCTTAGGGGCTGGCGGGGCAAAGCGTGCCGTGTGCGAAGATACTGTAATGCCGATGGTGGGAATCGCCCGATAGTTTGGATTCCGGCTCTGCTGTCCGCTCAAAAGAAGGAGAGCTAGCAGGGAAAGACCGCTCGTAGAAGACCAAGATTGAGTGTCGGGCAGTGCGGCTCGGGCACTTCGCGATCGTGAACTTCCAAATGCGGCCACGCCACCAAGTGATGACGCGCCATCTTTAGGACCAGGCGACATCTGGCGTGTCCAATTTGTCGCATACGAGCAACATAGGATGTAGCGCTGAGCAGTAACTTAGGATGCACTCCAAGAAGCGGGCGCATGGTCCGAAGATCATATGCCCTTTCAGACACGGAGTCCTAGTATGCTCGACCTGCGCATACGACAAAGGACATCCAAGCGAGGCGGCGTAGGATAGCAGGCCTGAACTTTTAGCACGAAATGACAAAGACGTATGTCAGTAACCGCCACACCAACGAGGGACCACCTGCCCGTTTCTAATATCCCTTCTCAGGTGCAAGATGCGCATGAAGGGATATCACATACACGGTCTGCTGAGGGACAGCGACTTCAGCTGAAGCTTCGACGCCGAAGCCCGGTTTCGTGTAACTGTAGTGGATACAACCACGAGGTCGGACAAGCCAAGGTCACCAATCAATGGCTCTGGGGAAATGCCTCTTCGTTCCTGCAGCGTTCGACATGCTGCAACGGTGACATATTTCTGTGGTCCTGTGATTCTGTCTCGCAGCATGCCACTAGGAACTGGTGAACGGCTGGTTAGCCAGTATAGAAGACCTGGGCGGGAGAGAGGCGGGAGAGAGAGATTGACATTAGATCTTCACTGTGGTCAAAGGGCAGGCTCGCCTATCAGAAGGACTGTAAGTGTGATGCATGGGACAGTTGCTGTCGCTCTCTCTCACCACTGCAACCTTGGCCATTGATTGGCAAGGACAAGCCGTATTCTTGAAATCGATGACGCGTATATCTACCTCTTCGAAGAGTCGAGACTTTCTCAAGCCTTTGACCAGGCTGTAACCGAGACAATGGCGCATTATGATTCCGCCGCCTTGCATGGGGACGCGGAGAAGGTAGTCGAGCATGCGGGTAAGCACGGCAAGGCTTCAAGTTAGACCTCAATCCGATGTCAAGCCTGCTTAGCGATAAGATGGTAGAGAAATGTTTGGCCTAGATTGGCGCTGGGTTGTGAAAGGCCGCGAAAGAATCTGTCCGATCCTCTAGGGTTAAGGGCTTTTTTCTTACAGTATGGCTACGCCGGGTGTAGGCCACGAGCGTTTCGACATTTGGAGCTGGTGGCAACAGAACGAGTCCTCGTGGCCGGAGCACGTCTGGACAGCTCTTGCAGCTTGAGAAAGTGAGGCTCACACCTTAGATTGCATACTGCAGCCGGATGAGAGTTTGTCAATGCTAGTTCATGTGCAATCGCGTGTGCCATGGACCGTAGGTCTCGATGCTGTAACACTTGGTAGCACAGACATAGTAGTCAAAATCGTGTGGATGGTTTGAATCACAGTGCCATGGCAGTACCACAAAACAACCTTGGGTTTCGTGAAACACCTTAAGCCAGTCGCACCTTTTCGACGAATTTTACTAGTGTATCTAGGTCTTATTTTGGCGAGAGGGATCCGCAGCGACGATTGACATTGGTGAAACAGCTACCTGCTGCTTTGGTCTGGCAGCTTCAGGCTAGCAGGGGGCCCTTGTGGCGAGTGACCAGGGCAAGTGAGGGACGGGTGCTGATTTTGTTGAGTTGCTGAATACCCACGGGCATGGAGGGAATTATTGATTGAGAAAATGATATCAGAGTCACAACACCACACGAGTAGTAGGTGCCAGTAGCGGAGCTACTTCCTGGCCGAGGCTTCCTGGCCCGTGCCGTCCTGTGCTCCGATATATCCTATTGGAGCAGACTCGGGGGTTCTGAGTTCGAGACACAGACGTCAACGTTCGTGGTGGGTTGCATGGTAGGATGTCAGGATGTCTATCTTCATGGTAAACCCATGAAGACCACATGGAAAGAGCCCAGGGTCCAAGTCCGGCGCTACCCAGACAAGAGTCATGGAACAGCTCCTCGTACTATGGTAGGCTGTTGAAGACTGGAGAGGGAGACGCCCGTGAGATAATGGGCATGCAAGCGCATGCTTCCAGCCGCAAAAAGCCAGGGCCAAACCCCTAGAAAAATCAACAGCGTATGATGGCGTCCTCGGTTTCGGGATTACCTTACCTTGTGCTCAGCAAGGGTGATCTCCTGTGATCTGTCCACCATTATTGGGCTGAATAGGACATTACTCATACTTGACGCTCAATTTCAGGTCAATCACTCCCGCGCATTATCGCCCAATCTGATGTCGCGGCTTGTCTGGAACGAAAATGATCGCCGGAGAGGACGCGGATGAGGCGGCAATTATCCTTGTTCGCTGGACGGGTTTATCAGTCAATTGTAAGAGCACTATGGTGCTGTGTGTGCTGTGTAGCTCCTTGTTACTCGTAGTGGATAGGCAGGTAGCTAGCTGAATTCAGGTTGCTCATGTCCTCGGATACTGCAGACTTTTTGCGCTCACGTCGAATGCTTGCAAATTTGACCTGAACGTTGAGAACCCCCGAGCATGCCAAAACCCACGTTGACCGTTGAATGTCAGGTTCTTTAGCGGCCTCAACGGCCCTCGAAGCTCCGCATCTACTGGGACTAGTGGCTGTCACAATTCGGGTTGGTGAGCCATGCGGCTTTCCTGAAAGGGTCGCAGGTGCAATGATTCGCGGTAGGTGAGCAAGAGGAGGTGCTGCGTGGTGCTGGTATTCTGGCGCGCCGTCGAGATGCTGGCTGCTGATGTTGATTCGCCTGCAATTCTCTGCCGCGATATGTGACACGGGCTTACGTCAAAAACGCTCGCGCCGAGGATGACTGTGAGCACTGCAGCAGGTGGATGGTAGGCTTGTCACACCGCACGTCTCCTGGCTCTCACAGGTGCGGGACACACCCTCAAAAATGGGTCCCCTTACCACCGTTGCCACCACATCATTCCATTCAGGCCGTGGTGGCGGCGGTAGACACTTAGTGGATAACTCGGTACAGCATTGATGGTGCACCTTGCATGTACGAGTAGCGAGAGCGAAAAAATTTCAATAGACGGCGCTGATCGTACACGAGATTCGTTGACAAGATCATGTCGGCGGACTAAGTTATTCGATTCTCCTGAAAGATGTTACAAGGTAGCATGGAGACTATGTCTGGACCTTTGGTAGTGTACCCGCACAGATCAAATCCGACGATCACGGCAAGGTTGAGATGAAGGCGCGGTTTCCATTTCTGCCTACCCTTTGTTGCCAGCAGAAGCGATGGCATCTCCGTACCTACGGACTCATAGCAGTAGTCCGTGAGTACAGTAGTCCGTAGTCGCTTAACAACAGGAAGCGAGAGACGCCAAATCAGATCCATCCGGATTCCTCACAGAAGAAAGCTTACTTACGAGCACCACCACCACATGCCGACCGGCTTTTCTCCCTCCTTGCATCCTGAATAACCATAACCGGTCAAGCGTGGACATTCGCGCCGAACCCTCCTGCCCGAGGGTTGTCTCGAAGGGCCCTCGAGCGCATCTCTTGTGTGAAAAATCGGTTCATAGTGGCAGTTCACGCAAGATTACCCCTTGCCCGTACGGGATACCACCATCATCCACGTATTGTACTAACTCTCGATGAGCCACGGTTCGAGCATGGCCACTCCTTGCTCGCACAAAACTGCCATCGAAATGGGCATCGATGAGCTTCCGACACTGCTCTCCAGCTGATCATCGGTGACCATAAGCGTCAGCTGTACTTGTAACGAAATGATATGGGCGGCGCTACACACTGGTTGCCAGGATTATTCACCCTGGCTCTGTCGATGAATGCTCAGCTGGCTCTGCTCAGCTGGCTGGCGGTGACTATCCCACCTTAGCCATGGTCTAGTCGCTCTTGACCTCTTTTTCGCAACATGGCCAGTGGGTACTGCGGGATGGTGTCGACCCAAAGCTCTTCCGTATTCGCCAACGCTGTGTGCTATGCACCCAGGAGGAAATGGTTTGCGACGCGAGGTGCATCTATGATGGCATGTGGCAGACTCGTCGACGAACGTGGTTTGCCTAGAGGGGACCAGGGAAGCCAGGCGCGCCTGGAGTCTCCGGGAAGTGGAGGCACTGGAGTGACTGTGGCTGGTCACTGTCTCGGCTTCTAGGGGGTTTTGGGCAGCCGGATAATCGTGCTTTTTCTGCATCAGATCGGCAGCGGCAGCAAGGATTCGAGAACGCGGCAAGTCGGTAGCGTGCCGCTAGACTCTGAGCAGCTGATGAGTTGTGAAATTGCAAACAAGGCTACATTTCCTGCCTCTCCTGTTCCGGCAAACTCGACTAGTCATGGACTGTCCTGTATGCTGCACTCTCGATGCCGAGACATGGTGAAGTTACTCGTGTCGAGTCAGGTCGGCCCTGTGGTTTGTGGAGCGCCACCCGTGTGCCCAGAAGTTGCATGTCAGAATAACATCATGCCGTCGGGTAATTATCCCATGCGGCATGGGAGATCTGAGTTGTCAACCGAGCGTACGGAGTAAAGACAGCAGCAACCTGATCAAGCAGTTCCTAAAGTACGAGGCTCAAAGGTCGTGCCAGGGCCAAGAGTCTCCCGTGCATTGGGATTGAAGGAGAATCTGGGGATAAACCTTGATCTTGCGGGAGGCAGTGATCCCTGTCCATATTCTTGGTGGATGATGGTGGTTTGCCATTTCGCGCCGGCCCTGCCCTCTAATCAGCCGGAGAGGATACCGGCCACTTGGCTGAGTACTAACAGCCAACCGGAGTATCACGAATATAGTGTGTGCGGGTTAGTGATGGGGAGTTCGGCAACAGAGCTGCTAAACAGATTATTTTGCGACTCTCCTCGGACTGGCAACAAGCGAAGAAGGTCAGGCTAATGCATGCCCCGTGTCGGTGTGGTTGGTGGAAGTTTTTGTTTCTGTCTTTTGGGCCCGCGACGTCAGTTTCGTGCGCTGCAACTTCTGAGTCCTGACCTCCTTTGCCTCGAATTGGCCAATTCAAGGTCGAGGTTCGGTGGCGTCTGGTTCGTTTCCCACCTGGGAGAGTCGCGTTACAGGAGGGGGGCAAGCCCGGCAAGGAGGTAATTGTAATCGTAAACCCACGGTTTTCTGGCTGTACAGTTCTGGCCATTCGCGTTTCTCTCGTAGCCGAGGGCTCCTTTTGCTTGGGCTGCGTAGCCATTCGGATCATGGTTGAATGTCATCCTTCTGCGTGGGAGCATGATGACTGCAGCCACCTGACGATCACTTAGGACGGGAAAGATGGGCCACGGATTGCCATGTGGTGTAAGTCTATTGTATGTTGACGATTCGTCTCAGCAGTGGCAAAACCACGGACGGTTGATGCCTGTCTCGCTGTCAAGATAGCATCATGCTAGTCTGGCACCTGGCAAGCCGTCAAAGGTCCATCATGGTCCAACACGGCAAGGTCTTTTAGGCTCTAGCCTCGGAGGCACGGAACGTGGGCCGTGGGATTTCAAGGGTGGGATTGGAGGGAGGGAGGCGAAGATACGCTGGTGGAATGGGTATGAGAGGGGTAGATTGGCACGAATCCCCAGCCGTGGCGGGAGAGATAGGGAAAATCCCTAGAGACTCGTAGTGTCAAGATGGAGATTGGTTGTTGCTGGCTGTTGTGTTTCTCCAGCATCTTGCAGGCGCAGACGTCTAGGTGGGCGTAGCTGAAAGGACGGGTTGGGGTTGCAGGGCACACGATGCAAGCTGCCTGCAGCTGCCTGCAGCTGCCGGCTAGATGGGCGCAGGTGCAGGTGCGCAGAGCAGCGGACGAGTCTTGTTCCTGTCATGATCTCGAGGAGAGAAACCCATTGAGGTGGCCGTCGCAGATACAGTACAGTACAGCAACAACCTGGAACCCAGGGCTCACCAGGCCTGTCTGCACCTGCATGCATCATGACCCTGTCCAGCAGCTGAACCATGCCATCATATGCTTCCATCCCAAATGGGGAGCTTACTCACGCCTGGGCGACGCCCTTCCTTCTTTCTGTCTTTCTTTCTTCCTTCGCCAGGACGCATTTGGGATGCTTGGGGCGGTCGAAGATCGTGAAGATCCAAGTCCAAGAATAAAGGATTGTGTGATGTGCACCTCCAATTGCTTGTCCACTATGCTCTTCTGAGGTTGCACTCCGACTTATCCGACCAAACCAAAAGACCAAGAAGACGCTTCGTCGGAATTTGCTTTCCACGAGCCTGGCATCATCTGGAAAATCATGATGGTGTCTCGCTCGACTGAGCTTCATTCAATCTCCTCCTCTCCCTCGTCGCCATCATCATTCATGTTAGTCGGCATCGAACTCCTTCATCGCCTGTCATCGACCAGTACGTGTGACACCGATCGAGACCGCCTCACATGCACTAGCACGCCATGGGTATAGCAACACCCCCCAAGACGGCAAGCAGCATGGCAATACCACAGTAGTTCGTTGCTCCGTTCCTTCGCTCGAGTCGTCTCCTGCCACCATCTCCTCCTCCACTTCTCCACAGCCAGTCCGTCCGTCGTCCATCGTCCATCACACTTCGCTCTGGTGGTGATTCATAATAAAAATACGAGCCAGCGTGTGGCCTCAGTCTCGTCTTCCGCCAACCCTGGGCCAAAAGCGTCGTGGCGTTTTCTTTTGGTCACACCTTGCCTGAACCCTGCCTCTGCCCGGCCGCTCTCCACATTTGTCCCCTCCCCTCGTCGCAACCCTGGCATCGCATCCCTGCAAGCGATCGACCAGGGTCAAAAATGGCATGCGTTATGGTTGTCCGCAATCATGCGACTCCACGAGGCCTGATGCCGCCATCCCCCTTCCAACACAGGTCACCTCTAGACCCATTTCAGATGTCATCACCTGGCTTTCCATGGAACTTGCCCACCCACTGAAAGAGGAGGCTCACACCAAGAACTTCCGTTACTGCATTCTTATTCGGTCGACCATGGGTCGTTTCTGAGACCAAACACTACCACGATTACCTATAGATGACCACCCTGACCTGCCAAACATCGGACCTCTGCTTATACGCACAGTACTGCCACAGTTCAAAGCGCCTTTTGGCCTATCTGTCTCGTCCTTTCCCGGTGCTAGCGCCATTTCACCGTCGCTGAAGAAGTGGCATCTGGCGGACAGGAAAACCGGAGTTTTTTTGGGTCCTCATAACGAACATTGACTCCCTCCCTGGACATACCTTGGACGACAGCTTTCTTTCATATGTGTCGTTTTGCATAACTCGAATGTGAGGGCCAGTACTCGCTGGCCGCCCTCCTAGCCCGACTCCAAACATCGACATCGCGACCTCCACACCTGCTGTACTTTGATACCAGTGAAACCTTTCATCTTCAGACTGGTCTTGCTCCCGCTCAACGTTGTGTGACAGTCTTGTTTTTCGAACTGGTTAATGCAATGCGGCAAGGCCTTTGGCATTCTGGGAGTCAGATATCAACGGCTCGGAGACAGTAATTGAACGTCAGTGTGGTGCAAGGGAGCAAGTGTCGGGCTGCGTCTTCGATTTTTTTCTCTTCTGGGTGGCCTTCTCCAGCTGGCTGATTAGCGAATGCTCCTGGGACTTCGACCCGACCGGAGCAGCTGACCAAGTACCGCTCTTTCTCGAACTCAGTAACGGTCAAACCTTAGAAATCAACAGGAATTGGGCCCTTACTCTTCACGAACATAGTGATTCCATGGCCACAAGTCTCGTGTTGCCTCATGAACTGCGACCGAGACTGTGGCACGACGACCAACGATTGTCCGGACCCTGTCCTACCGCACAACCTTCATCCAGCCCGTCGTCAAACTTGGCGTCAACTACTCCAATGGCGACCGGCAACGCTGAATCACAAAAACCCAGTCTACCATCTTTCGACTCCTTTGTGAACGGTGCTACTCCAGGCAGTTTGAACTTTGCGCAACAAAGCTCTGCGTCAAACCGTGGAGTTCGAAGCCTGGCCGCCCACGCTACGGCATCCCATCACGCTGCTGAGGCCAATTCCTACGTCGTGCCTCCAACTGTGAAGCCGGCACCGTATCCGGGCCCTGCTTCCCAGCCTTACGGACATCGTCCGGATCCAGACCGGACCCTCTACTGGCCTCACCCGAATTCACTGCTTCCAGAAAGCCGTGCAACCTTTCCTAGTGCTCCACCTTCGCTCCCAACACCCGCCTCCACGTACAACAGAAAAGTGGTGGGAGAAGAGGCTGTTCCCAGCAAAGGGACGTGTTATATCTACGATGACGGCGGCGTCTGTCAGAAGACAATCGATGGCGATACGGTCAACCCGAAATGGGGTACAACAAAAGCGGGCAAGCCTAGAAAGCGTCTAGGGCAGGCATGTAACACATGCAGAGAAAAGAAGATCAAATGCGATCCAAGCACCCCTAAATGCGCCCAGTGTCAGAAGTTTGGACGCGAGTGCAAGTTTGACTCAACGTAAGCTGTGATGCCCTGCCCCGTCCCCAGCGCATGCTAATCCCTTCTCAGGCCTCGACCTGGTTCGAGACAGGTAGAAACAGGATCCGGATCCTCGACATATTCACCTTCTCGCTACTCACCTTCCGAATTGCCGCAAGAGCCGACGCTCCAACGAAGAGGGTCCACCGCATCGACGGACTGGGTAGCTCCGGAACCGAACAGCTCAAGAGCTGCGCGTAGGACCTCGATGGCGCTGGAGAGCCTTTTGTCCCCTGCTTCGGAAGATGCGGTGGCTGAGGACGATACTTCAGAGCATCTGCCACCGGCGAAAAGAGCTCGCGTCGCAGCATCCCCGCGCACAGTTTCAGAGGCAGCAGGCCCAGCTACGGGATCTTTGCTGGGCTCGATAATCTCACCAACTATCATGTCCAATTTCTCCTGGCACGCCGACCCCGCTGCAGTTGAAAGTGGCCTGATCTTGTACTATGTGGGCAAGTACTTTTCTTATGTGGACGGCGCCACGTACTGTACGTTGCCTAGAAAGATCTTCACCCGCTGGGTCCAGGAGTGTGAGAACAAGTCTGTGGCCGATGCAATGTTGCTGTACGCTATGGTGGCTATGGGGACGGTTTTTTCGCGACGACCTGACTCCGATACACATCGTGTTCTTTTCACCCAGCTCGCTGAGGAGGCTGCCATAAAGACCGCCGATCGCTTTAGTTTGCAGTTACTGCAGACCCGGCGAATTCTGGCACTGCTTGCATTCTCGCAGGGTCAGTACGACCGTGCGTGGGATCTGTATGGCTCGGCTGTCCGGACTGCTTTTGGCCTGAAATACAACACCGAAGCTGGCGTCCGTGCCAGTCGTGGCAAGGGACCATTGGCCTTCGGACTCGACTATGACACGTTAGTCGAATGCAAGAGACGAACATTCTGGTCTGTTTACATCATGGATTGTTTCAATGGATGCTGTTCGACCACAGTTGCTGCAGTACCTCGATCTCATTGCCACATCCGTCTTCCATGTGGGCAATCTGCCTACGAAAGCGGCAGAATTCCCTTGACATCTTTTGAACTGGATGTGTCAGACGGTACAGGCGACGTTTCTCAGGTGGGACTGCTTGGCTATCTAGTGGAAATTGCCACCATCCTCCACGACACGGTGGACCAGACTAATCGCCTCAGCCCTGACAGCACCGAGAGATACAATGGGGAAGTCGACAAGCTCTACCACGCAAGCATGAGCCGACTGTATAGATGGGATAGCCAGCTCCGGAGACACCTGCACAAGCCTAGGAAGGGCGACGAAAAGTCGGAACCGGTTAGTGGCTTGCATATTCTGTACCACTATACTGCAATACTTCTTCATCGCTACGTCCACCACGCCGGGCTTGACCAGAAGGCGATCAACCTTCGTATCACCGGCGCCTTTCATCATGCTCAGCTGATGCTGGAAGCGGTGCAACGACTGAGTAACGGCGAAGAACAGGACGATCCCCTCTTTCGGTTCGCCAGTACAAGCCCTTTTGGTGGGTTTGCTATTACAACGGCTCTAGATGTCATCACTGCTTCCGGGACGTTGTCTGATCTGATGGACAACAAAAGTCAGATGATGTCGCTCATTTCGAGCGGGCTAGAAGCTGTGGAGAGTCTGGTGGACTTCTGGCACAGCGCAGCCCGACAGCGTGAAATGATCAAGCGACGATTATGTATCCTCTTGAACGCAACGAAGAGGGCATCAGATTTCAACGGGGCCTTCTACTTTGGAGAACCGATGGAAAGTGCATTTAGGCTGGAGCAAGACATTATTTACGGAATTGGGCGGCTGCGATATTTCCAGGCGTTAGGATGGGCCGAGAAGATTCACCATGAGGGCGAGTTTCATCGACTCGATCCGGAGGTGACTGCAAACAATGTGCATGTGTTGAAAGAGGCCGGGACGGATAACGAAGCATGACTTTTGAGATGATACAGACCCATGGGAGGACGTTAGTGCTGGGCATCAAACAGCCCCTCGGTACATATTATACCCCCAGTGTTTAGTGGTCCACAGCACCAAGATTTGCTTTTGAGAATACCAAGTGATATTGAAAATGACTATTCTGTAAGTCACTCAAAAAGTACAATCAGACTATTCAGTAAAGGCGAGGTACATGAGTGGTTGGATAGTATGGCCACGATGGCATGGAAATACAGCCTGATTGTATTTCAGGCCCCCCGTGAGGCCTAGTGGCCCGTGCTTAGGCATGTTGCGGGGTTGAATCTTGGTGGGCTTCCGGGCGTGGATGATCACCCGGAACTCTATCCAGATTGCCCCAGTGCGTCTCCCAGTGGCGCCTAGTCCCAACACTCGCAGGAAGTCAAAGTCATGGGTCCGTCACGTGCCGTAGCGGGCTTTCTGTTGCTGTTCGCAAAGCCAAGCAGACCACGTGATCAGTGTCTGGGCTGCGCTGGCTTCTTGAGGCGTACTAGTAGCAATCAAAGCATTCCTCCTCTTGGTTTTCTCTTCTCAGATGATTGCTTTCTTGCCATGTTGATCGGGCTTTGGACCCGTCCACAATCACACCGCCGTACCAATTGATCGACGCGCGTCCGACTCCCAGTACATTTGATGCCTCTGAGCTGGACCTCCCCTCCCTCGAGATACGGGAAGTGATGTGCAAGATAAAGACAAAAACAAATCGAGGTGCATCTACGAGTACGAGTACAAGAGCAGTGCAAATTCTCTCTCTCTCTCTCTCTCTCTCTCTCTCTCTCTCTCTCTCTCTCTCCCTCTCCCGGGGAGTCGATCATAAGCCCGAATGGTCTTTGCGGTAGGAACATCCGCGGCGTGGCCATACTCGTAATGGCATCGGGGGATAATGATGGATGGTAGGTGGAGGGTATACAGTATGAAGATCAATCATGCCTATTTGCAACTTCACATGCCTTATCTACAGGCCACGCACGGTCTCACTAAGCGGTGATTCAGGGCAAACTGACGTCAGAAAGTGGTCGGTCCGTCCAGTCTCTAGGCGGTATTTGCGTTTGTTGCTCTGCTGTGAGAATGCGAAATCCCGTGGGGGTCCAGCTTCCGCATGTTGTGATCTCTATCTTCTGGTGGGCTCCGTCATCATGCAGCTTCCACCACAATTTGCATGATTTCTCCCTCTTCTAGGATCTGCCTGCCACCGCTTCTTTGAACATTTATTTCTTTTCCATCCTGCTACTGTTCCCGAACCACAATTTTGTGTGGATCTGTGACTTCCTTTGAACATAACCTCCTGTCTTTTGTCCTTCTCGCAAGATGGACCTGCAAAAGGTTCGGATCTTCGAACCCGAGCAATGCAAGCACCTTGCCAAGCCGTCCATACCTCAATTCATCGTCTCTTGGTACGTTTTTTCCCTATCCGTCTGTATGCGACATCTTGACACGAACCATGGCTGACACCTCGCCTCAGTTCCTTGATGGGATGGCTGCTAATCTGCTACCTTCCACAATGGGCTCGCATAGTGTCGCGCAAGTCTGCCGAGGGCTTGTCGACGTACTACATCCTTCTCGGCTCGCTTTCCGGCGTTTGTGCAGTGGGCAACATCATGATGTTACCATCTAGCGCCGTGGAACTCGGTTGCTGCAGGATCAATACGCGGTTCGCCTGTATCAGCGGTCTACTAGGCATGCTTCAGGTTATCTTCGGCATTGCTTGCTTCTGGGTTGTGTGAGTTGCCTAAACAGTCGCACTGCCTCGCTGGTTCCCGGCCCCTTGCTAATGATGAACCATTCGGTAGCCTCTTCATGTATGTCTACTACTCGGAGGAAGAAGCCGACGCAGAGCTGCACGGTCGCAGGCCTTCAATTTCGGGAGCAGATCGCACATTTCGTCGTGCAAAACGAGCAATCAGAGTTCTTATTGCTGCATGCAGTTTCGCGATGGCGGTCCTCGTAGTCTCATCCATCATCTTGCACAGCTTCCCTTGGGTTGCACAGACGTGGGCCAACATTCTAGGCATCGCCGTGGCTTGCTTCGCGTGCGTCCAATGGATCCCACAGATCCGAACGACGTGGCACCTCGGACATCTCGGAAGTCTCAGCCCGGTATCTCTTTGCTTGATGGCTCCGGTACGTTGTTCAACATGCCACCATGTCAGGCTTCGGACATAGACTGACGCAGCCTTGACAGTACACCTGGATCTTTGGGATCAACATGATGATTCGAGTCGGACTCACAGGCTGGAGCGCTTGGATTGTCTACGTCCTTGTGGGGACCATGCAGATCATCCTCATCGTTATGGCTATTTGTTTCGCGATTAGAGATCGAAGACTGGCCAAAGAAGGGAAACAGCATTGCTCGGTCCCTCCAGAATTCGAAGGCTGGAATACCGTCACTACTTGGACGTCTCGGTCTCGTCGGCCATCGGTACTATCGCACGCGGCTTCCAACCTTGCTCCTGATGAGCATAGCCCGCTAATCCAAGACCAACGAAGTCCTCACAAACCAGCCAATGGTCATACTCACCACTAGGAGTGCTTTGAGGACGATCCGGTAAAGAATTGGAAACCAGACTCTGTTTGAATCTATACGTCATGGCCGTCACGGGGCCCTTGAGAAGAATGGCTGTCAATTGCACCATACACTGGTGTAGACCGCAACACAAGGAGCATTGAAGATACCTCTTGCATAGACTGAAGAATGGTGGTGTTGTTGGTTTCTATTGTCGCGGGCTCAAGACAGAGGACTGTTCGCGAAGAGAAATGAATATGGCGCTGATGTGGAGAAGAGTTGATATGGCAACCGAGCACTGTTACAACGTTGACCGTCCTGCCAACCACGGTCATTGTCTGCATGCAAGCATATCTTGTACGGAACTGGCTCCAGATTTCTTGAACTTATGCTGGCCAGTACCTCCGGACCAGCTCGATAGTCAAAATGGGGTCTCCGATCCGTTGTTCGATTCTGCCTTCTGAATTTCCCCAGCGAGGAATCTCGCAGAAAGACGTTGAGAATAGTCTGCTCTTATCAGCTTCTGTAGAGGACCGGGCAGCACGAATCGACATCTCCAGTCCCCATGCGATAACCCGACGTCAGGATCCCGATGGCCTTTATCAATAATATTTGTTGATCCTCAACCTGTCACACAGGGACATTTGTCGTTTAGGGCAGTGGTATGCTTTGTCCCCTGGCTAGTAACGAACATGATCCCCCCAAAAGAAGGTGCATCAGAAATGGGGAGATGGCAGGGTATCGATACCGTCGTTAGGCGCTGGTAAGAAGAAGCAGAGTAGAGGGAAACGGGGTAAAGAAGGTCAATATCTAGTGAGCTCGATAGGGAGTATACACGGCAGAGGTGTCACTCCGTACGACTCGTCCAGCCAACAGGCTGGGCTGTGGGCATTATACAGCCATTGTCAGCTTGCTTCGATCGTGACGGGAGACGGCAATCGCGATGGGCGCAGGATGTGCGAGAGGCTTCTGCGACAGGGACAAGGAAAATAAGAAATTCCGTGCATCAAATTCAGCCATTCGCATTCTTTCTCCTTTTGGAAATTTATGAAAACGCCCCAGAGTCCCCAAGTACAATCAATAACAATCCCCGGCCCGAAGGTACAATCAAAAACAGTAGACCATCCATTCCCCTTGAATTGAATATCAGAGTCAAAAATCCAGACCGAAAGCAAAGCACCGCAATCTCACAGGACGATGCAGAACAGCGAAGTCGAAGCTCCTACCCAAGGACAAGGTGATTGATCGACAGGCGCCTGACTGACCAGCTCGCGAGATTTGGAGGGAGGCTTGTGTGTTCCGGGCTGTGACGGCGTCGGAGCGGTTTCGCACGTAGGGAGAGCTTGTGTGAAAAAGGTTTGTGGCGGGCAGATTGATCTGCAATTGTTTGCCGATGGAGGCGAGGGCATCCAGCGAGTGAGTCACGTTGGAGGAGCACATTTGAGGGTGACAAGATTGTGTATTGAGGGAATATCCGCCCTTCGCCCTTCTTCCTAGATCAGCAGTCGTTTTCGACCGGCGTATGAGGTATGCGCTGCCTCTCGTCGACGTGGAGACGGGATGTGACGACTACCCTCCTCAGCAGAGTAGTCGTTCCAAGAGGCATAGATGGTCGAGTCTAATGCCCCTTTGAGGCAGACTGCGAGCCCGAACGTCTAGACGGTGCGCCCGTGCGAGGGCGAGGGCGAGGACGTGGGTCGTCCTACTCTTCTGGGTTCAATGAGGCGCGGAATGTGTTCACAGCTCCTGCAGTGCAAAGACATTCTCGTCACCAACACCCGAGGATCCCGGCGTGAAAGGAACATCAGCCTCGACTTTCTCATTCTCATCTTTGGCGCTCTCACTCTCCCAGATCTCAATTCCGATTTCGCTTCCATTGTTCTCGACAGCAGCGAAGTCAGATTGCTCAATAGGGACAGCGTCGGAAGCTTCAAGGTTGTAAGGTGTGGCAGAGCGGAGGATCTCGCCCAGCGAAGGTGTGTTTAGGTCTTCAATGACTTTTGCCGTCAGGGACGCAGGAGCTTGGAATGTAAAGTCTCGAGGTGCGGGCGCTGTCTCCTCCTCGATGTCAGTCTCCGCATCGTCGTCATGGACAAGCACCACACTTGTTGCGTCCAGGCCTTCGGCGTAGAACTTGGCCGGGTTAAGATCAGCCAGAGGGGTGCGTGGCTCATCATCCATCATAGCGATCACGTCCTTCTCCTGTCTTGCAACGGCTGCGGCAGCCATGGATCGTGTGACGGGCGCGGATTGCTCATTTGGATCAACGTTCTCTTTTCCTCGGTCGAGCTTTTCTGATTTGGACACGGCTTTGCTCTCGTCGTCGCTGATGTCCAGCCCTGTGGCGGTCTGGGTCATGGTCCACTCATTCATACGGTATTCCTGCGTCTCTTCACTTTCTTCGTATATGTCGAAGAACCATGACTGCGGCTTGCTGTCTTCAATTGTGGAGCCGCGGGATTGCGACTTGCCTGACTGATGTAGGCGTTGAGATTTCTTGGTGCCGCTTAGTGCTGCCGAAAGGCTCAGGGAGAGAGGTTGCGTGCCCACTGAGAAGGTGGGAAGGTTAAGACGCTTGCTGGATTTCAGGAGGCTTGAGCGTCTTCGTGTAGGCGAGCGGCCTGCAGCTGCGGCCGGAGCAGAGGCTAGTGTTGTGGCAGAGGGCTTGATGATTGTATCAAGTCGAGGTGTGTAGTTGGCAGGAGTTTCAAGACGTCGTTTCCCATAGGTGGAAGAGTTCGAGGTTACATTCAAGGAGTATCGACTCGCCTTGGAGGCGGACACGTCGTCCTCAAAGGCTGAGCGCTTGCGCTTCTGTAGAGAATCGAGCATATTCGGGTCAATGTTCTCACTATCTGAGCCCATCTCCGGGGAGGGGGCGCGTCGCTTGAGTGACGGCACAGAGCTGGGTGTAATAGCTGAAGCATATGTTAGCAAGTTGACCTTGTCTCAAACTAGGCTGTCAGCATACCATTCTGTCTGTTCTTCAAGCTCTGTAAGCTTCGAACCTTGGTGTCGCTAAGGACGCCGAAGGGCTGACGAGCAGGTGTGGTAAAAGGAACTAGGGTTGCCATTTTCGTTAAGTGTTGGATGAGCGTGTCCACATACTCGTGAGAAGATCTCGACTCTGCAAGTCGGGTGTCTCTGGTCAGTTCTGGTCTGATCGCTCTGGTGTTGTTTGTTGTTTATCTCGAGTCTAGACGGGGCAATTTGAAGGGATAAGATGGGAAAGTCTGGTACGGAGGCTCAAGGTAGAAGCAAACCTCTACAGCGAGGAGGGAAAGGGAGGGTATATGGTGGGATCGTGGGAGCTCAGACCAAGTAGGACGTACTTCAGGACGCGGAGCTGCTGAACGCGAGATCCTTGACTGGAGAGTGGACAGGGAAATGGACAGTTGACGTGGAGAGGATGACCGAGATAGTAGCGCGGTCGACTACTGCTGGTGGTGACCGAGGATTCAATGTGAGGAACGACTCCTGAGGGAGCGATTGGGTCGTGGAGAGGCCGAATTGCTGCAGTGAAGTGCAGGTTGTCCAGGAATCACGCAGGAAATCCAACAACGAGGGATGAGATTGTCATTGAAGGGGGATCGAGGGAAGAACGGCAGAACGCGTCAAGTGGAGATGAATTTGGACGCGACAGGATGGTCGAATTTCGTCAGTGCGCGCGTAGAGTGGTTCTTCTCTTGAAGATGACAGCCTGGAATGAAGATTGAAGATGTTGACATCTAGACAGTTGTGTCCGAATGTATAAATCGATCAAATGTAGATGATGTTCTCGATATACAGAATCCTCCAATGTTGTTGACATTGACAACTCTCAGTTTGTGAATGATTGTAAGTAACGCGCTCCCACCGACCAACCGGCTTGGCGGCCAGTTTTGTTTCACCACCATCTGACCGAGTGAACTCACCTCCAATGAACACGACAAGAGATCAACGTGATGATGTCGTCGCATGATTGTCGCCGCTGTCGGTCGTTGACCTTCGAAACGGCCTTCGAGTGGTATGCAGTTGGCTCGAAAGTGCTCGAAGCAGACACAGAGCATCAGTCTTGATCATGTCGCAAGCTTGCATAACCGCTGCCTCTTCGTCTCAAACACTGTGCAGTCGAGTGGCTTGAGGGCGCCGACGCAATCAGTATTGCAGGTAAGCCTGAGGCGAGACACGTTCGGAATCGAGATGGGACTGAATCGCCGGCAAGTGTCCTGAGTCTACATAGTATGTGACTCTTCATGTACGTCAGGTTCTGCAGCCAGGTTGACCGAGACGATTGAGCCTCAATTCTCCTGACGAGAGTGCAAGTTGCGAGCAGGTTCTTGCTTGTTACCCTCCTCACCAAAGTTGGATGCAATCGCACTTTCCATACGCCCTGGTCGGTGTCTACATCTACTGGGAACCCACCATCTATTTCGCTGCCTTCCTCGGAGTAAAGCATAACATGTTTACAGTTTCGCCTTTGGATCGGCCAAATCCACCAGGTTCTCGTCCTTCGCAAATCTGTAATAATAGTCCAAACTTTCGGGGTTTGCAAGCGTCCCAGATGCCTTGATCACCTTGCCGGACACAATTTGCTTCACCGGCAATTCAACCTTCTTAAGATTGACAGTGGTCTACACATTGTTAGCACGACAGAGAGTGGAATGTAAGGATAGGGCCACATACCGGAATATCTTTCGTTTCAAACACAAACTTGGGTACATGTCTGGGACTGGTTTCTTTTCGGATTGCCTCCTTGACCTCTCTGATCAATTTTGGCGTGAACTCATGACCAGGCTTCATCAACAAGAACAGCACCACCCGCTCATCGTCATCCGTGGGTCTCCTCTGCCCAACACAAATGCTGTCGCTGATCTTGTCTGCAAACTTAGACTCAAGGATGTTATATATCTCCGCAGACCCGAATCGCACACCACTCGGATTCAGCACGCCGTCGGACCGACCGAGGAACATGACCTGTTTCGTCACGGAATGTATCATGATGAAGTCGCCATGGGTCCAGACATTGTCGAAGCGAGCAAAATAGCTGTCGAAGTATCGCTTTGGTCCATTCGTTCCTAGGAAAGTGATTGGCATGGTAGGGAAGGCCGCATAAGAAATCAATTCGCCAGGCACGCCGTCCTCGACCTCGACGGCTTTACCACCCTCGATTGTCTGATCACAGACTTTGACAGGGATCCCGAGAGAGCGACTTTGGCAACCACCGGAGTAAACTGGAAGGATGGGATTGCCGCACCCAAAGCATCCCACCAAATCCGTGCCTCCCGAAATGTTGGCCAGTTGGGCTGAAGGAGGGAAGCCTTGATCATAGAACCACTCGAAGAGCTGTTCTGACAGCACCATCCCCGTACTCGTCACCAATTTCAAATTGCTCAAATCCGTCACTTCCTTTGGCGCAATCTTGTTTGCCTGTAAGGTCTGCATATATCTCGGGCTTATACCCAGGTGAGTCACCTTCTCCTGGCCAAGGAGTTTGACGAAGTTCGTGATATTAGGCACAAATGGACTTCCATCGTACATCAACATTCGACATCCCCTCAGCAACGCCTGGACGCTCGCCATATACATGATCCACCCGGTGGTTGTGTATTGGAGTTGCGTCGACTCAGGCCCGAGCTGGCAATGAAGCCCGGCTTCCTTGTGCCCATTGAGCACCACGCCACCAATCGCATGGACGATGCATTTCGGCTGACCTGTGGTCCCTGAAGAATACACGACCAAGAACGGGTCCGAGAAATTGGTCGGCTCAAACTCGAGAACTGAAGACTTGGCAGCAGAGAGAAAGTTCGACCACGTCTGCGCCCGAGGGACGGACGACACGTCGGCAGGCGAATGATCAAATCGAGCCTGTGTCACAATACCTTGAAACTCAGTGATGCCATCCATTCCAGCCATGATGTCTTTCATCTTTGGCTTCAAGTCCACCTTCTTTCCGTTGTACACCGCCCAGTCATCCATGAATAAGTATTTCGGCTTGATCTGGGTCAAGCGATCCAGAATTCCCTTTACACCCATGTCGGTGCTACTCGAACTAAACAGCGCACCGAGGGTCGTCGTAGCAAGAAACACGGTCAATGTATCGATACTCGTGCTAGCCACAATGGCAATCCGATCGCCCTTGCTGACCCCTTGAGCCTTCATTGCTTGCGATAGTCTGCCCACTCTCTGCCGCAGTTCCTTCCAGGTAAAATAACGGATCGGTTCGAGGAAACTGCCCTCTCGTACCTGGGTGCAGGCCACCTTGTCATCAGCCTTGGCTGCGTCGATGACGGGCTTGCCGTTGGCGTCACCAGAAAAGAGTATATTCTGGGCAAAATTCATCTTCACGCCGGGGAACCAGCGCGGAATAGAGTCCATCCGAGCAGACTCGTCGACAACCTTGTCTGGGACTGTACCAGAGTAGACCACCGGGAAGCACTCGAGGACAAACTTCCAGAAGTCGGAACGATTCGAGCACGACCAGTCGTACATGTCGTCGTAACTCTCGAACGTCCGACCGAGCTTCTTCTGCAGTCGCGTCTTGAACTTGTACATCTCTGTACTTTGGGGGTCCGGGTGCACCCATAGCTTTCGAGGGATAGGATGTTCTTCGACCATGGTGCCCGTTATCCGCCTGCTCGGTCTCGCTCGCACTACTCCTTGGCTGATGGTCGACGGTCAACCTGGAAATGAAGGCCAGCAACGCGGAGATCCAATTGTTACCCCCGAAGAATCGTGATCCAAGGCCAGGACAGATGTGAGCAATAGGACAGAAAGTTGGGGAAAACGACAAAGAGTCAAGAGCGGCCTCGCCCGAATACATACGATATCATATAGCCGCTCCGTAGGAGGGTCGTGGAGGGTGCAGAACAGCCTCGGTACCCTCGTACCCCAAGTCGGGATATCATTGGCTATTCAGCGCCCTGGGCATGTCCCACAACCGGCCGGAGAACATGAAGATTGAGCAAACTCCGGGCAAAGCGGGACAGCGAAACTAATGAAGCCTAGTTTACGTGAGCAAGAGACAATCTGGACCAACGAGAAGGAGATCGTAATCAAGCCGAGGATGGTGTTCCCACAGGATCACTTAGGTACCTTAGTAGGTCCGTGTAGGTCCTACGCGTACGAGTAGATGTCGTGCTCTGGACGACGGTCGGATTGCCGGGATCGGCCGTGGTAGACCTAGCCGTACTCGTAGGACCAGAATAATGAAGAGGGCGAAACCCCGGGGACGTTGCCGAAAGATATCGTTTCCGAGCGCAGACACAGTAGCCGAATATGTCTGAAAGAATACTCCGTCTCCGTACTCCGTACAGGACGCTGAATTTCTGCCTTCTCGGATCCGAAGTCCTGCTTTTTTGATCCAAGGAGCCAACAGAATGGAAGTCTAAGCGGCCGATCTCATGGATGCTGTGTGTATATACCATCGACATCGAGTGGACGTGTTTCGGACTGAATGCCGTCGAGCTCGAGCTCTCTCCCAAGCTTCATGCCGTCGAAAGATGGTTTAACCCGCTGGGGACGGAGGACCCGGCCGGACATTTAGGAAGAACCGAATGATTCAGGTTAAGTTGATCAGCAAGTAAGTGACGCGTGCCTACAGCATTGCAACTCCCTCCTTCAGGTGTAGGATCATACCATGCATTATGCATCTCCAGCCACCTTCTTGCGCCTTCGCATTGACTTCATCTCGTTGGACACAGCGTGCGGATAATAGCTAGTGGGTCTCCATGGCCTTCGAAGTTTTGAGAGTGTAAGGATTATTGCCGACCTGATGTGGTATGCACGGTAGGCTTGCTATAGCTCCTGAGATACATGAGATTCTACAATTACGCCCTGCTACGGCACTTCCGATGCCCAAAGCAAAACGAAACGGACGTGGCATCTCGGTGCGGTGTGCGTGCTGGGTGGAATTCCAGAGTCAAGACTAGGAGTGATGAATGTCTCATATTGAACTCAAGCACACTGGCCAGCATGACCTCCTAAGAAGATGGACATCAGCACGGGATTCCCAAAGCCTGAACTGCGATAGGTGGTGGGCACTCCCAGCCACGGTATAGTCCTCGACTCTAACTATGTGTTCAGAGTGGCATGCCTATCCAACAATCATGGACTCTCCCACATCTCGTCTCCAATCCCGAAACATTTCGCTTCTTTCATGAAACTTGCCTTGATGTGTGTGCGCATCCAGATGTGCAGTCGGAGGATGAAATGGAGGAGCAGGCAATCATTCGGGTGGTGGTAATTGTCCGTGAGCAGGGGATTGGTCGGTGGCAAGTGCAGGCTCTCCGTGTGTGGTCGACGCCTCCTTCTTACGCTGCAGAGCTTGTACGTCGACAGGAAGCATTATCGACGAACTGCGCATCTGTCTGTTCTTTTTCCGCTCCTGCTGGCTCGGGTACATGTCTGTCTCGCTGCCGAAGAAGACACGGCTGGCCAACAAAGCAACACTTTTTCTCTAGATGATGGGTTGTCGTTGTGCCTCATTGTCCCGTGCCAGGGTGGAGGCGCATAGGCTTGCAGATGATTGTGGTGCTAGTGTCGAGGCAGAAGAGGGAGGCGTCAAACCGCCACGCAAACCCGATTCCAGTTGTTTCTCCCGGATCTGCTTCTGCCGCCGGCTGCGAAAACATCTGGGCACACAGCAGCCAAGAGCAACTGCAACAAAGGCAAATAGGCAGATACCACCAACGACTATAAGAAGAATCTTGTAGTCTGGTCCTGTGGAGGGGACAAGTGTACTGGTGACCTGGAATACATCTCTGTCGTACGAAGGAGTAGAGGCCATGGTTGTGTATGATTCGGCAAGAAAGTTGAAGAGGAGTTACAGATAGGTGGTTGTGATGGCGGAGGATGATGATGATGCACCAGGCGAAGGGTCCTATTGTTGCTCGAGATAGACTCTCAGACGCTGGAAAGGAGCGGCAGGGATAATGATGAGTGGATAGTTGTAGGCTGGTGATATTTGAACAGCAATGCAAAAAACAACATTCCCCTGGGGGGTCTTGGAGGATGCATGTGAGGCCAACGCGGACGAGTGCGAACGGAGCAAGCGGCGACATTTTGAATGCACTTGCCAGGCTTCCGACTTTCTTCTATTGGTACCGTGGCTGACCTCCAAATGCGAAGGATAGTCCAGTTTCCTCGCTCTTTCTTCTTGGAAGTATATACATCACAAACTTGAGCATCGCTGGCGTTGCCCGTCAGATCGGCATCCTAGAATTTCAAATTTTGTCTTTGAGAAGTGTAAGCAGATATTTCTTATTCCAACGAAGCAGCATCAATGACATCCGGGTCAAATTTGCCCTTTCTCCTCCTTCGTCCAACAGGATCATCTCTCATCTCTACTCCAGGTCCAATTGGATGAGATCCTCGATGCCGCGGCCATACCTAGGCAGGTAACATGTCAGTCCTTGAACAAGGATAGGGTCGGCAATGTTCTTGTTTACACCTTTAAACTTACATTTGTTCCACTCCAACCCAGGCGGAAGGCAAATTCATGTGCCAAAAGTTCACCGAAACCCAGCATCATGCCATTAACAAACGGCAGTACAAGATTAATAGCAGCTCCTCTCAGTATGCCCCAAAACGTCGGAGGTTTGTATATTATGACGGGCTGCGAGCCATTGTTGTCTGAAGACTGAGGTGGTGATGAAGACGGAGGAGACAATGAGGAAAATGGTTCCGAGTCGGAGGGAATAGTCAATTGCGACCCAGAGAGGTCTTGCGGTGGTGAGGGAGACTGGTCGGAATGTGAGGCCATGGTGGGGATGATTGATGATGTTGAGAATGGAAGTCGATTGGATGAGGGTCGGTCAAGAAGTTGGTCTACAGTCGTACATCTTCAGAAGAGAGTCGAAGGGACGATGAGTGACCGAGCCGCGCTGGACCAAGATGCAAACGAAGAGTGGTGCAGCAGCGTAGAGGGTAGGTGTTGAGACTGCCGTGAATTGGGAGCTGCAATATTTCTACAATGACATTAATTGGGAGCTTCAATAATTCGGTTTAACTTAGCATCCCGGTCCAGTCCAGTCCAGGCACGACATCCGCCAGCAGCAAATCACAGGCAGATTCTACGGTGAACGCAGGCCTCGTCCAGTGACGTACCATTCATTTACTTCCCTCGCCGCAGTTTGTTAAGCCACCCCGATGCCACTCACATACTAGCCTTACTTCACTTACAATCATCACAGAAACTTTTAGAACTCGCAGTTGTCTTGAACTTCTCCTAGTATAGAAGATCCTCCGATTCTCTACTCCTCTCCTCCTCAGCCATCCCTCCTTAAACCGATTCCATCATGGCCGACACCTCAGACCACGACGCCCTCATTGCACGATTTACTGCATTTGCAAACACTTCAAATCGACAGGTACACATCTTGGCTTTCGAGAGAAGCATGAGTTGGTGCTAATACATGCCATAGGCCCGACAGTTCCTCGCCGCCAATGATTGGAACCTCGAAAGTGCAATTGCAAACTACTACGCTGCTCAAGAAGATCATACCGAAGATGCTGCAGATGATTCAGACTACCTGTACGAGGACGAGCCAGAATCCTCAAATGCCCCTCAATCTCAACTCGGTACTGGTCGCAGACTGGGCAGCGAAGAACCTACAGAACCCCTGAAGCCGATTCGTATGGGTACCACCCACCCTTTAGATCCAAAAAATAGTACATCTGCCCAGAAGAAGTTTGCCACATTAAGCGACTTCGGTGCCGCTGGTGCCGCTGGAGACGATTCAGACGACGATGATAAGCAAGATATGTTCGCTGGAGGCGAGAAGTCTGGCCTTGCCGTACAAAATCCAGACGACTTGAAGAAGAAAATCCTGGAAAAGGCGCAGCAACGTGGACCTCCACCAAAAGATGCCCCGACCAAGAAATCCTTCTTCACAGGCTCAGCACGCACCCTAGGCGGAGATGATTCCCCTTCACGCGAAATCCCAGCCGCTCCTCAGCCTAGGGCAAGAGCGGAGCGTGTCCAACGTGTCTTACACTTCTGGCGAGATGGCTTCAGCATTGACGATGGTGACCTGTACAGAATCGACGATCCAAGAAATGCCGAAATCTTGAACTTGATTCGGCAAGGAAGAGCACCGTTGAACATCATGAACGTCCAGCCAGGCCAGGAGGTGGATGTGGAAATCAAACAGCACAACGAGAAGTATGTCCAGCCCAAGAAGAAGTTCAAGCCCTTCGGAGGCTCTGGACATCGACTAGGAAGCCCGACACCTGGAGCATCTTCAATGCCAGGAGCCTTCGCCTCGGAACAAACTGCACCAGCTTCTGCTCCAGCAGCTGCAGCGCCTCCTACTGCTGACGTTGATGAGTCAAAGCCTACAGTAACTCTGAGAATCAGTTTGGGTTCCGGTACGAGGTTGACCAGCCGATTCAACACAACTCAGACCATTGGCGATGTGTATGATTTTGTCCGACGCGCAGAACCTGGAAGCAGAGAATTCGTGCTGCAAACGACCTTCCCGACTACTGAGCTCATCGATAAATCACAGGTTCTTGGAGAGATGGCAGAACTCAAGCGCGGAGGAGCTGTGGTGCAGAAGTACGTTTGAGGGGCGGCCGCTGGCTTCCATTACTACTGGCGGAGTTGCTGGTTGACGAGCTGCGGGCATTGATCACTGGCTCTGCGCCGTGAAGATTACGGCAGACAGATATGATACCATAGCATAGCATAGGCTTGATGAAGACATCATGCCAGATTAGAATACAACAGGTTGCTTCAAGAATTGCCAGCTCTACTGCTACTCAGGCCACTTTTTGATCGGCTCCGGCCTTGTGTTTCGGCGCACCTTCCTTAATCACGCGTTGCTCTGCATTTTCCTCGGACTCTTGGGATAGATTCTATGCCCGCATGTTTCCTTCTCTTCGGGTGCTCGCCATGTCAGTTTCTCAAGGATTGAGGTGGTCGGCTCGACAGATAAGCAATGGCCGCCCAAGGCTGACAGGTTTTCGTCCGCAAGAAGTGCGATATGTATGGCTCCCCATTCTACTTCTCTTTCAGACAAGACTAATGGTTACAGTTCTCAGTCAACGCTTCTCGGAGCTCGCTCTCTTCCCTGAGAACATTTCGCGGCGCGAATTCTGCCAGATCATGTCTGACGCAACAGTCTCGGTCAATATCGTTGTTCGGCTGGGGCGCCGATAAATCATCCAGCGACGCGGCAGCAGCAGCAACGTCCTCGGAAAGTACCTCAGAGACGACACAGAAACTATTTGAGCCGACACGAACGGTTAAAGCCACCCATGGCACTGCAGACGCCCCCGATCCTACCTTCAGACATCCGCACCCTGTGAGCGATGTTGAGCCAGAAGCACTACGCAATCTGGAAAATCAGATCCTTAAACCTCATGGCCCAACTCCCGCATCAGAACTGGCTGGGGAGACCCCAGACCTGGCTGCAATACCGGAAGATATTGGTTATTTAAAAGATGTGTGTGGGCTTGATTTTGGCTGGGGTCCGACGTCCATCCTCGAGTTCTGTCTGGAACATCTTCATATCACAGCGGGGCTATCATGGTCTGCATCCATTGTGGCTATGGCCGTTCTGATGCGTTCGGCGATCTTTCCCGCCGCAGCAGGTGCAGCAGAGCAGGGCACGAGAATGAAGTTGGTACAACCGGCAGTAACGGAGATCCGTGCGAGAATGCAAGAAGGTCTTCGGGACAACAACAAGCAGGCCGCTATGGAAGCGTCGCAGCAAATTCGAGAACTACACAAAGAATATGGTGTTTCCCTTCCGAAGGCGTTCATTCCCATACTGCTTCAAATTCCGCTGCAGTTTGGTGCATTCCGCCTCCTACGAGACGCAGCAGCGGTGCCCGTTCCGGCATTCGAGAGCCAACAGTGGCTGTGGGTGAATGACCTCTCAGTAGCTGACCCAACATACGTGCTACCCGTGGCCGTTGGCGCGCTGACTTATTTCAACATGGTGGCCACCTCCAAGCAACAAGCAAATCCGCCTCCGCTCCTCAAAGCACTCCAAAAGGTCTTGCCATTTATTTCGTTTGGCTTTCTATCCTTTCAATCAGCAGCGGTTCAGATATTCTTCTTAGTCAACGGCATTTTCACTCAGGCGCAAATCACCGCAATCAACAATCCCGGTTTCAGGCGGTGGCGAGGGATGACGCCTCTACCTCCTCGAGGTTCCCCGTCTGGGCCCTCCGCAAACTCTACACCATTTTCGAAGATGAATCTTGGTCAGGCAGCTCCCAAGGCGTCGGTGGCTGCCACAACAGAACCGTTGTCGTCTGGTGAACGGAGTTTCATCGACAAGGGTGTGGACACTGTCAAAGCACAAGGCAAACAGGTATGGAACAACGCCTTTGGCGATGTTGGTGCCGCCTGGAAAAAGAAGGCGCAGGAGAAACAAGAACAGGCAAAGTTGGAGAGCAAAAAGACCACGGCTGCCAAATATGAAGCTCAACGGCGACAAGACCTAGAGCAGGAGAGATCGTACAGGAATGCTGCCGCCGGCACTGTTCGCATTAAGAGGGGGTCCAGTGCGCCGCTGGCTTCGAGAGAACGGCAATCGGAGTAAAAGGAGGTCAATGTATCGAATATTGTGAAACGAAAGTGTCGTTTCCCGATCTCTCGCACATTCCTTCGGCCAGCAGTGTTATATTATCGCAACTTCCAGTTGGACGTACTGTATTGTGCATAGACAGCAGAGAAGGGCGGATTCTGGGCCTTCACCGAGGTTTGGGGACTATTATCGTGCGCGCACTTTGCGATTCCCAGGCGATGACCACCGAGGAAGGAATGATACCACGGGTCACCTGGCTGCTTCTGTATAACCAACACAACAAGACAAAGGGCCACGCTTCCGGCGTATACTAGTACAAGTAGTGTATAAATAGTGTACAGGCTCGATCGTGTTACTCCGTACGTTTGTACGGGATCCGAGTCATGTAAATATGTGTTTGTGTGTTGGATCATCAAAGCATCTCAACTTCTCTAGTCTAGATCAGAACACGCGACGGGCGAATGTGATGCCATCACGGTCAAATGGAGTCCCTTCGTACTGGCAAGCTGAGCATTGGGAGAGGATTGTGTTGAGATTATATCTTCCCCTTCGGCTGAATTTGAGGAAATATACAAGCCGTATGACATGGATGTCTCTGATCAGCAAGTGAACACGGAATGCAGTACTATACATGGCTATTCTCGATCGTTATCTGTTGGAACGGTACTATACTTGTCAGTAAACTAGTCAACAATTCCTTACTCGTCGTCGGTCCCGTTTTGCACGCTTCCAGAATGACGGAGAAGCTGATACACATTTTCCACCATGAGCCGGTCCTCCGCAGCGGTCCCATTCGAACATTCTCTTTTTCCCTGCCCTTCGGAACAGTGATATGTCCGCGGCAACAGCGATCCCAGATCGTTCCCTCGAACCAAATGTACCTAGGTAGGCCATGCTAGGTCGAATTGCAACTCTCAACTTCAGTGAAGCAATTTTTCTAAATCCTGGGATGCCTCGGCAAGCCGCAACCAGTCCAAGCAAGTCATGGAACGGTTTTCGCGGATGTGCACCGGCGGTCGACTAGGGTTAGATTCAATCGTGGGTCATTGCGTGAAAACTTTACCATGCTGTGTATCCTCCGTCGATAACGAGCTGAATGACAATCGAATTAGTCATGGGGTCCAGAGACACACGTGGAAACCGACGTACATTGGCACCAGTCATGAACGAGCTTGCATCGCTCAGACAAAGTAGAGCCGCTCCTCTATATTCGTGGGGCTCGGACAGACGGCCGAGCTTGACAATGGATTAGCATCATTGTAGACCTATTGGGAGGTCGTGCTTACCATATTCTGGCTCTCCCATTGTTCTTTCAATTCAGGTTGGTCCTCGAAGTTTTTCAGCACCATAGGTGTGATGATGTTGCCTACCGGGAATTTCAGTTTGCTGGTCTTGTGCTAGTCAGTCGAATAAACTGTACATACCTGGACAGAGCGCATTTACTCGGATTGGTTTCCCGTTGACAACCTTTCCCCACTCCATTGCAAGGCTGCGAGCCAATTGACATACTGCAGCCTTTGACGAATTGTACACAGAAGTTGTGAAGCCTCTGTTGGAGACTAGGCCACTCATCGAGGCAACCAACAGAATCGACCCGCTGCAATTGTACTTGATCATTTGCCGAGCAGTACTGACAGCAGAGCGATAGACACCCTTATAGTTGACATCCATCATCGCCATAATCTTTTCAGGAGTGTAATCGAGGGCGGGGGTCACATCCTGTATGGCAGCACAGGCGATCAAGCCATCCATCCGTTGATGACGGTCAGCAACCTCGGATATCACACGGTCCAGATTGCCTGCTTCGCGGACATCGACATGGTCGTAATTTAAGGCGCCTCCATACTTTGGCCCCAGACGTTCCTGAACGACCTTGAACTCTTTTTCGGGTTCCGGTAGTCTATCCAGGCAGTATACTGTTCCGAGTCGTCAGTGTCATATGAAGCAATCCAATACTTCGCGAAATACCTTGGCCACCAGCTTCTACCAGTGCTTCCGCCAAAGTCAACCCAAGGCCTCGGCCACCGCCTGTCACGACAAAGACCTTTCCATGGAGATCAAATTCCCGGAATCGAAAAGGCGACTGTTCGGGATCGGGTAGCTTTTCTTTGATCGAGGGTGCTTGTTGGTCCCTTTCGCGTGGCGGCGCTTTGTTACTGGGTGTGTTGTCGCTAGCGAAGGCCAAGGACCTGACTTGTTGAGGTCTCAGCAGTGGGATATCTAACCGCGGTTTGCTGTATGTTCTGGATATGGAGCGAATAGCTGGCACGCAACTCCGCACCAGGCTAGGGTTCAAACGTGAAGCATATAAAGACATGGTGGATGGTAATGTGTTACTCGTAGGCATAAAGTTAAGAGAGGACCGAGGTTGAAAAGGAACGAGAGCTTTGTAGCAAGAAAACAAGAAAATTCTCAATGGACTTGGTCAGGGATCGCCGGAAGTAGTATACACCTTGTAAGCTCTCGGTGTGGTTGGTTGGAATAGCAGCCATGTTGGCTCTTGCGCGTGACGTTGTGGTGGTAGACGGCACGATGGGCGGGGTACGCCATCCTGCTGGCTAGTACTGTATAGGGGTACGAGTACCATCAATAGGGGATGCCGAATTACTTGATAAGTTGTGAAGATCCCTCAATGCTTCGCGTACCTGAGGGACAGCAAGCATTGCCGCAAGGGTCGGAAAGAGCGTGGTTATGGATCATTGTGTGTGATGCAAGAACAAAAAGACGTCAGAGGGTTCCAATCGAGATCCACCCGAGATACCATTGATAGCCCTGATAAGTTCGGCGAAGAGAGCCGAGCCGCCTATGGGAGATTTTGTTGGCGGTCGCGAGGCTTGGATTCTCCATCATGCTGGTACTCATGCCAGTCTGGCATCTTCTCGTCTAAAAGGTGTGGTCCTGTTGACGTGTATGCTGCCCACCCTCTCGGATGTTACCATGGATGGGTGCAGCATATTTCATCATAGTCGTAGCGAGGCTGTGAGCACTGGGCAGGAGGCTTCACTAGCCGGCCGCGGATGCCGCAAGGTCCACCGGGTCTCAGGACGATCCTCTCGTCAGCTGTTTGGTTACACGGACACAATACCCGGCGCCCAACGCGGTAAGGACATGCCACCATCCGTGTAATTCCAGCACGAATCCCCAAGGCAGTCCAAGATACCCTCTGGCGTCGCGCAGCCAGCCACATGCGGCTCCATCGATGAGCCACACCACGAACCCTGCGAGAAAGCAGATGCCACCGACCCGGAATTTCTGAAGCCAGTATCTCTTTTCCGAGCCTTGAAATTTCTGATTAATAAGATACAATACTCTCGGCCAGATGGCCGTGACCAACAGAACAAACGTCCAATTGTGTAGCCAGAGTTGGTAGAGTGTACAGTGAATGGCGCTGATGATTCCGAGAACTGCGGTCAAGGTCAAGCCAAAAGCCACCTTGACACTGGTGGGCTGATCGACGGTATACAATTCGTATATGATAGCAGCGCAGACCCAAAACATGGAAAGGTCGTCACATAGTTGTGTTGCATATTTCAAGGTGAGATGAAAAGCAAAAGATGTGACACCGACGAAGAAGAGAGCCAAGTTGGGAAAAGCTGTGGTGGAAAGCAAGCTCTCCCCAGGCAAGAGCTCATGAAAGGCCCAGTAAACTGATGGTTGCCAGTTAGCTCTTGAATAATACCTAGGCAGGTTTCGTAGTTGCCCTTAAAACATGATGACACTTACCGTACGCGAGGTTTGTAAACGTGTTCACGAACTCGCCGATGTACACGGTGACAGCATAGTCTTCTTCACAAAAGCTAGTTTCATGATCAGCAACTGGGTTGAAAATGTTGACCATTGAGAACGGACTTGGCCACGGAGGTCGGAGGACCCCAATGCCCATGTAGAGCGTGAGGGTCACCAGCGAAGTTGCGTTCGACAACCATGGTCGGTGGCTAGGGTTGTGTTGGGAGTATTGGTTGGCGGGTTTGCAGGTTACTGAAGAGTCTTTGGTTGCTGTTCAGAAGAGGAGATGATTGGGATATATGAGCTTTCAGAAAGCCAGGCAGAAGAATAAGATTGAATGGGCATTCACAAACTCGTGCAGAGGCAATCGAAGGCTTTTACGAGATCTCAGTAGCAGTGCGTGCAGTGCTCATAGAAATCTGAAAGGTTTGCAGGCATCATCAGGTACAGAATAGCAGTACGAGAAGCGATGGCACTGGTGGCCGGTCATGCTGTCTACAGAAGTCGCTATTGGCTGCCAGACTCGGTGCCTGATGGGCGCTGCACACCTACGGGATGCCTACTGGGTGCCTACTGCATAAGCGGTCGTATCTCGTGTCTCGTTAAATACTAGGCTTAAATAGGCCTGCCACCCACCCGCCGCTCGATTACCCCCTTCTGCTGAGCAGCCGATAGAATGCCAGCCACGTTACTTAGGCTACTAGGCCGGCTTCGCATGTCGTCGTCTCGTCGTCTCGTCGTCTGGGTGAATTGTCTGAACCGCTGACCTGTCTCGCAAAATGCTTCTGCTTGCTACATGAAGCATGACCATCGTCTCACATGAGCACCACTCTGAGACCTTTGGAGTCCGCTGCTGGAAAGGGTGAAAAGAAATCATGCTCAATCTCCATGTCCTTTCTCTTCGTCTCAAACATCTCTGCGTCGAATCGATGAAAGAAACTTGCGATCGTCAAGTAGAGATTCATGAGTGCCAGCTCTTTTCCAATACAACTCCTTCCACCACGGCCGAACGGCACAAAGTATTTTTCCAGTCTTTTCACCTCGTCGCCTCCCGCCAACCACCGTTCGGGCTTGAAGGACAGAGCGTCCGGAAAAATGCCTTCGGAGGTGTGGTTGTCCTTGATCGACATACTAACGACAGTACCCGGCGGTAGATGATAGGATTTATATATATTCGCGCTTCGAGGATTTACCCTTGCGAGTCGACCGGAGACGGCGTTGGAAAGGCGCAGACCTTCGTTGATGACGGCTGTGAGATATGGCAGGCGTTGCACTACATTGTAAGTGGTCAAGCGACTTCCGGACCCTTTGGATCCATCTGCTGTGTTGGACAATTCTTCCTTCAGTCTTCGAAGCACATCAGGGTTGGAGAGAACATGGAATGTGATGGTCTCGAGAGATATTCCGGTGGTCTCAGTCCCAGCACCGACAAGAGTCCGCGCTTCCTGCGTAATGCGGTCGACAGTCTTGTCACTGTCAGGTATGGCGTCCGAGTTGACAATGCCAGCAAGCACTGAGTCGTCACTCCTCTTTTCCATATGCACGACTTCGGCAGCTTGACGGGCCAAGTCCTGCACATATCAGCGTCGCGATTCAGATACCTCCTACAACTCTGAGCTTACGGCTTGAAATTCGAAGGCCATCTTTCCACCCTCCGTGGATGCCTTTTCCATAACCCATTTCGGCATGCGCATGAACAACGGGATGATAATTGGGATATGGCGGTGCCATACGGCAATGTATGATATGGTGCGGGACTGCTTGTTGTAGTCGTCGGCGAAATCAATCGAGTCTAGTAGGTTGAAACCTTTGGGCAAACAGTAGTCGGTCACGGAATCGGCTGCCAGACAACGATATGCATTCGACAAGTTGACAGGTTTGCCGTCCTTGCGCATCTCTTCGAGCCGCTGGCATAGCTTCAACACCTTCTCTCTCGATGATGACTCCAGGTTGGAAATGGCCGAAGAAGCAAAGAACCGACTCATGGCCTTCCTTCGCGCCTTGTGGAGGTCGACATTTGCCGTTCCGAAGCCCGCATCTTGCGACGCGATGAAGGCGTAATACCACGGATCTTTATCAAGTCGGCTAGTCACGTTGTAGAATTCATCGAAGAAGTCGGGATCTCGTATATGCACCTCGTTGGGTCCGATCCGAACGATAGGTCCTGGCCTTCCGATCAGTCGAGAGAGAACGATCACGATGAATGCTTCAACAGTCCCGAGAAAGTACACTCACCATATATTTGGTGCAACTCCTCGATCTTAAAGCTGAATTTTCCTCGCAAAATGCAATCATAGTAGAAGTCATAGAGTCGTGAAAGAGCAGCTAGCTTGGGTCCAGGGATGTTGGACAGAGGATGGAAAAATAAGCGGTAGACCACCAGGGAGGACCAACCTCCAAGGATGGTTACGACTACCAAGACTGACAGATTCATATACGAGGAGGAAATCATTTTGAGCGGCAGAAGATGCTGTGTGACGCGGGTGGCGAGTCTTGTGTGAAGATGAAGAGATCTTGGAGATCCAATTGAAGGTGAAACTCGATGTTACACCCTCGGCGTTGATTGACACCACAGGTTATCTTGGACTGGAGCTGAGCGCAACCACAGGGGAGATGGATCAACTCCAATAAGTACCAGCTACTTACCTGTACTGAGCTGCCTATCTGAGATGGACTTTTCTACACTAACTTGGTTCGCAGGATGTGGAATCTGGCCAATCGAGTTGCCTAAGTTAGTAGCCTAGGGTTCGTGGTCTTGTAGGCGAGTGTCAGAACCCCATCCCCCTGTCGAGATCTTGGATTCGTGGCTGGAACAAGAATGAGGAGCTCGACTTCATCCTATGGATATAAATACCTATGTATCTACCCAGCAAGCTAGGTAACCTAAGTATACATATTTTGCACCTGTGCTCAATGTTAAGTTCAGCGGCGCTATCATTGATCTTGCCCTAACGAGCGTTGCTTGAGCGAAGAGCAGATCCTTCAACGGCTTTCACAATTCTCAAGCTGCGTGATTCGTTCTTGATGCTCGAACTCAAAGCACATCCTCTCTGCTCTAAAAGTCAAACAGGGATGCACGTACAGCAGTGCTTGTCATTGCAGGCTTGGAGCGAATGGAAGCACCCTCGAAGCACCACCCAGAGTTCGATAGCGGGATGTCTGCACGGCCTAGATCCTGCCCTTTGCGGCTGAAGCGGGACTACCGTGTATCACCTTGATCTCGCACCTTCCTTCACCTAAGGCTTATTTTCCACGCCATGCTTTCCATTCTTGCCTCTTATTGTTGCCTTCATTCCTTTGTCCCTCACTCAACGCCAGTGATCAAGTACCGGGGCTGTATGGCGACTCGTCTATGCGGTGACGAGGCGATTTGGAGCCTGCTCTGACCATGGCGAATGCAACTGACTCCGACTCGACGTATGGCGACAGCATTCTCACAGAAACAACCTCATTACATGGTAGCGTGCTCAACTATCAATATGAGAATGGCCGTCGCTATCATTCCTACAACGCCGGGAAATACTTCGCCCCCAATGACGAACGGGAACAAGAGCGACTAGACCTCCTTCATCATGTCATATCCATGATACTGAGAGGAGAGTTACATCGAACAAACTTCGAGCTACAGGAACCGGAGAGAATCCTCGATATAGGAACCGGCACTGGTATCTGGTGAGGTCCTCGCCCAACCCAGATGGGTCAATACTGAGTATGCTCCAGGGCCATCGCCATCGCGGACAAATTTCCTGGAGCAGAGGTTATCGCCACCGATTTGTCTCCCATACAGCCTACGTGGATTCCCCCCAATCTTCAATTTCTGGTATTTTGAGATGCAGAACTGTGTGATGCGCAAGCTGAGAGAGAATACAGGTCGATGATTGCGAGTCTGATTGGAACTTTGACCAGCAATTTGACTGGATTCGAATCGCAAACATGGGCGGCTCGATCGCGGACTGGCCACGACTATTCCAACAATGCATGGCTTTTCTCAAGCCTGGCGGCTGGCTGGAAGTCCTGGACTTTGAAGCATGGGGATCGACCGACGATGACACTCTTCCAGCGGACAGTTCATACAACAGATGGCAACACGAGCTCAACAATGCATCCTCCAGAACAGGCCGAATCATGAATGTGGCTCCGCTGATCAAAGAGATGGTTGTTAATGCGGGCTTTCAAGCGGTTGACGAGGAGATCTACAAGGTCTGTGCCTTTCCTTCTTACGACGTGACCGTGACTTACAAGCCTGCAGTGTCCCCTCTCACCCTGGCCCAAGGACAAGCGGCTGAAAGAGCTGGCCACGTACATGAACTTGAATCTGTCCGAGGCCGCTCCAGCTTACAGTTTGGCGCTGTTCACTCGCATCCTTGGCTGGGAAAAAGAAGAAGTCGAGGTGCTGATGGCTGGAGTTCGAAACGATCTCAACAACACAAAATATCATCTGTACACCCGCCTGTAAGTCATGAATACTTCTTGATTTCTTTTTCGGACAAGCTGGCTGACCTTCTGGCCCAAGGCATATCGTACTCGGAAGAAAAGCGTCATAATCCATGTTGTTATGTTTGTATGATGGAGGGAAAAAGGCGGGAGTACTAGTATCGATTGGCAATGTGCATTTTAGGGGTGAAAGAACCATTATGTTGTGTCAGATGGATCGGGATGACTTCAGCCCTGGTCTCCCTCCATGAGAGCACTGCACGGCGTACATTAAAAGTTTTGGGACCCGACAAGTTGACCATGTTTTGGTTTGCAGGTTTCTTCGCAACTTGCCTGTCTTCTCTAACGACAGTACGGTCCTCCTGGCATGACTGGCGGCGGGTGGAAATTAACTTGAGTAATGTAATGTGACGATCGAATCCTCTCTGTCGAGTCTTCGGAATGTTCCAGAGTACATTGGCTGGTTACTAACATGACACGACTGCATGCTCACCAAGGACAAACTAACCCAACAATGCCAGTTGTTCGCAGCTAACTCCGAGGCCAAGAGCTCACATCATCTCCCAAGAGCCATGATGGATCCCATTACAGTGACTGTCTCTGTTGTCTCGCCGGGGTTAAGCATGCTCAAAGCCCCGGGGTTCCGCAAGGCTGTGGACCTTTTGACCAATACTCCGTGTGAGTATCAATGAATGAGAATTAGTAAACAAACCAACAGGTATATATTAGGGACCTAACTAGTATCTGACATTATCATACGAATACCCACAACTATATCCACCACCCTCCTATACACTACCACAGTCAGACGTCCCCATCCAAAGTCATGTCTCCCGAACACCCTCCACGGACAAGATCTATCCTCGTCATCGGGGCTGGCGAACTTGGGTCAGCGATCCTGCACGCTCTCATATCTCATCCGCGTTATAACCCGCAATCGACAAGCATAACCCTTCTGGTTCGACCTGCCACGCTATCGAACCCCTCGCCGGAGAAAAGCAAACAGCAATCCGATCTCCGTGCTCTCGGCATCATTTTGGCACCAGGGGATGTCGAAAGCTCAGAAGAAGAATTGACCACGCTTTTCCGCCCCTATAGCTCTGTCATTCACGCTGGTGGCATGGCATTGCCGCCTGGATCGCTGCTCAAACTCACCCGCGCCATCCTTGCAGCTGACGTACAGTACTACGTTCCCTGGCAGCACGGGGTGGACTACGACGCCATCACACGCCGGGGCGGACAGGGCATGTTCGCTGAGAAAATTGACGTGCGGGATCTGCTCCGTTCGCAAAGCTCGACGCAATGGGTCGTGCTGAGTTGTGGGGTCTTCATGAGTTTCCTATTCCAGGAGTTTTGGGGCGTAGTGCTGCGGTTACCAGATGGCAAGGTCCAGACCACTGCACTGAATTCATGGGACGATGTGATCACGACGACGACCGCAGAGGATATCGCGCGATGTACGGCCGAGTTGATGTATAATGCCGACACGCCAGTGAACAGGCCGGTGTACATCGCTGGGGATACGTTGACATACGGGCAATTTGCGGAAGTGGTGGGGAGGGCAATGGGGAGGGAGGTTGTCAGGCAGGTCTGGCCGCTGGAGTATCTTCGGAAAGAGAGTCAGAAGGATCCGGTGGATAAGATCAAGAGGTATAGGGTGGTGTTCGCAGAGGGGAAAGGGTTGAGTTGGCCGAAGGAGGAGACATGGAGTGCGAAACACGGGATGGATTTGATGGGCGTAGAGGAATGGGTTAGGAGGAACTTTGCATGAGTGCTCTCTAGCAGTATTGAGGGTGGTGTGGTGGTGGACTCTTGTTGTCTGAGAAGGTGTTTTGATGGATGTGAGATGTGAGATCTAAGGAGAACCGAATGTTTTGACGGTGGACAAAAAGGATCGAAAAATTTGGTGATGTAATTTGTCGGCGGGAAGGATGCACCAAGGAAGAAACATTTCCGCATCGCGTGTTTATTATGTTCGTCGTAGCACATTTTACCTTGCACCATCTTTCCAGGCCTTCTCCTCGTCATCGACTGTGTCACTCACTCTCTTTACCTGTCCACATTCATTCCTCCATGTTGTCTTAAAGTCGCTCATTATTACCTATTATTTACCCTTCCTTTAACATTCTTACTGACCATGACCGTCACTCGCACGCAAGCCGGCAAGACGCCCAGGTACGTTCAGTCTGGACGCGTCTCTGTTCATGCTAACAAAGCCTAGGAAAACTGCCCACCCAGGATATGTCGAGACCCCTGGTACTTTTCGAAAACCCCGGACGCGCAAGTCCATGGCTGCACTTGGAGATTCCGATGCGCAGGATTCCTCCACCGGTCTAGAAGACGACGCCCCTGTTGTCAAACGCGCCCCAAGAAGCACACGGAAAACATCTCGCTCGCTCAGGACAACGGATGGCGCAGAAGACTCTACAGATGAAGAAAGGATGAATGGGCACACGAACGGCCACGCTAATGGCCATGCTAATGGGGTGGTCAAAGGAACAGCCAACGGTTCAGTCAAGGAGGAAACCACCGAACACGCTGTTTCAACCGACAAAGTTGTGGATGGCTGGCGCGTAGGCACAGATCCCAAGGTCGATACTACCGGCCATTTTGAATTTGGGGGACCGTGGGGCGTCACCGCCATGATGATAGGCTTTCCATTACTGATGTACTACATGTGGATTGGGGCAACATACTACGATGGAAAATTCCCAACACCCAGAGACGGTGAGAATATGACCGAATTTCTGCGTGGCCTGGTGCGAATGGCGTACTACGGAGCATGGCCGTCGGCGAAAGCTTGGGCTATGTACTGGACGTTCTTCATCTTCGAAGGTGCGTTGTACTGTCTGATGCCAGGCATATGGACTAAAGGAAAGCCACTGCCTCATGAGAATGGTCGGAGGCTGGACTACTATTGCTCTGGAATGTGGTCATGGTGGACCACCATCATTGTGGCACTCGCTCTACATTTCTCCGGCATATTCAAGCTCTACCAAATCATTGATGAGTTTGGTCCGCTTATGTCGGTCGCCATTCTTTCCGGTTTCCTGGTTTCGATTGTGGCCTACACTTCAGCTCTATACCGCGGCAAGCAACACCGAATGACGGGCTATACGATGTACGATTTCTTTATGGGCGCCGAGCTCAATCCACGCATGTTTGGCATTCTAGACTTCAAGATGTTCTTCGAGGTCCGCCTGCCGTGGTACATCTTGTTTCTCATAACATTGGGAACGGCTGCACGGCAGTATGAGCTGTACGGATACGTGTCTGGAGAAATAGGATTCCTCCTCATGGCCCACTTCCTCTACGCGAATGCGTGCAGCAAGGGCGAGGAATGCATTGTGCCTACCTGGGATATGTACTACGAAAAATGGGGGTTCATGCTCATCTTCTGGAACTTGGCTGGCGTCCCCTTGACCTACATTCATTGCACAGTCTACCTCGCCAATCATCACCCAAGTACATATTCCTGGAACAAATACGCCTTGGCTGTTTTATACTTGGCCTATCTGTTTGTCTATTGGGTCTGGGATACAACCAACAGTCAGAAGAATCGTTTCAGAGCAAAGGAGTCTGGTGGTGCCATTACCCGCAAAGCATTTCCTCAGCTGCCGTGGCAGAGTGTCGAAAATCCTAGGGTCATCAGATCTGAGGACGGTGGCACGATCCTTGCAGATGGATGGTGTAAGGATCATCCAGAATCCCGAAATCTACTGTGCTGACCTTGGACTAGATGCTTATGCACGAAAGATCCACTACACCTGTGATCTCTTTTTCGCTCTGTCGTGGGCAGCGGTGACTGGACTTCGGTCACCCTTCCCGTGGTTCTATCCGGTTTTCTTCACCTGCATGATCATACACCGAGCTATCCGGGATATCCAAAAGTGTCGGAGGAAGTACGGCAAGGCATGGGAGGAGTATGAAAGACAAGTTCCTTACCTGTTTATTCCTGTAAGTCTGGGCTTTGCATTGTCTTGATTGCGAGACTGACATTGCTGTAGTACGTCATCTAAACTCTGGCACTCGTCTCTTTGCGCAGCCTATCCCTCCGCCAGAAAATATGATAGAGCAAGACTGCAGGCAGTTTGTCAGTATTAATCCTAATAAATCTTTCAAAAATTGTCCAAACCTCTGAATCTTGGGCGGACGCCCGTTGTGAGTGTCAAACAGGTCTCCTTACAACTAGGGGGAAAGTCAAGTCTATTGTCGATCATGCAACAGACTATACGGACTTCAAACACAGTTGGTATAGCTAAATTCGAAGGCCTCTTTAGGACGAGGAGCATTATCCATCACAGCGGTAGAGCGTAGCGCTCTTCTTTCCAGGAGAACGATAGCTCTATGCTTGACTAGAGCATCAATTCTGGTACAGCGAAAATACAGGCTACAGTCTCGGCTGGATCTACGGTTTCCATGGGAGTGAGGAATGACACCTAGTCAAAGTGATCAGTCCAGTACCTTGGAAACTGGAGAGCCACCTTAACTAGGCTTAATTACAGCAGAACCTCTTTCTGCACACGAAATACAGGTCGCAATTCAGTCCAAATACATGATTTTTTGTGATCTGGGCGGACGCTGCATTCATTGTGGTATGAATAGGGGTCACGAGGCTGTGTGAGTCCTTGGCACAGCATCGCCCTATATCAACCCACGACAATCGCCTTTCATTTCTTTCTGCTATACAGCATCAACGCTTGACAGCGCTTCCGTTCAAGCATGAACGCTCTACAGCGATATCAGTTCCCCTTCTACTTGCGCCTCACCCGCCATGGCTTCCCAGATTCCTTTTTTCTCTTCAGGACACCTCTTTACTCACACAGAAGCTGTGAGACGATTCGAAACAGACAACCAAGCTCCATTGAAAGGAGTGTACCAACCTTCCATCAAGTTTGACACCAACAACCACCAATGTAAGTGCAAAACAGCTCTTCTGGTCTTCGTCCAGGGACTCGAAACCGAGCCGGACCTGAGATCTCGCTGAAAATCCAAGGCGACGGGCTATCCCAGGCTCTCAACTCGCCTCATTTTTCGAAGTCTCTGCTAACATTTCTCCTGCGATCGCAGTCTCAGACCTTCTCCAACCAACCACCAACCACCACCAGGAAGCGCTTGAAAACATCACGCTTCAACAGACACCATGGTCGGCCTTCTCCTCTTCGCTCTCGTTGCGTTTGCAACGCTTCCAGCAACTCTCGGTCTTGTCGCGCCTCCTCTCGATCTCGGTCTTGCTTCTGGTCTTGCTGTGGACGTCTTGAACAATGCCACCACGACAACCACCCTCTCGGTCTCCTTCTCGGTTCTCTCGGTCTCTTCTTTCGGCTCTCCTCCTCTTGCAACGACCAGCGCTGCTCAGACAAGCCTGCCATCGGTCACAATGCCTGTTCTTACCTCCACAACCACCCCACCATGGACAACAGCCACTGGTTCGTCTTCTCTCCCGGTCGAAACCTTGCAGATGGTCACACTCCTCGAAATCCCGGTCCCGATTGCTCCAATCGTCATCAACCTGACCGACAACGCCTCCAAGATCACTCTGACAGTCACATCCACGGCTCTGTCGACCGCTACACTTCCTCCTTCTCCTCCAACACCCTCTTCTGCTCCTGCTGCTTCTCAGAGCAAGGCTCTCTCGAAAGGGGCAATCATCTCCACCGTCTTTGCCTGCGTCCTGGCCTGCTGGTTCCTGTTCTGCGTCGCCGTGCTGCTGCGCCTGCGCCAAGAGCAACGCCAAAAGGACCGCCAACAACGTACTCAACGCGGCAGCCCAGAGGGGCTTGACAGTGTCATCCACCACTACCACCATCACCGCCACCATGACAACGACGACTTTGATGGGCACCTCGACCACAGCATGCAGACTCTCTCTGTCTCTGCTTCGCCTCCCTCTCCGGTCCTCCACAGCACGCCGGCAGACGCTCCAACACCGACGCCCTTGCCCGGTGTCCGGCTCCGTCCCCATGCAGAAGTAGACGTCCAGGCCGCTCCTATCACTCCGCCTCGCGACATGCCTGCGCCCGGCCTCTTTCACACTCCGACGCCTGCTCCTGCCTCTCCTGTCGCTGCTGCTTCGCCTACCGCTCCTGCTCCAGCAGAACTTCGTCGAATGATCTCTCGCGACGACTTCGAGCTCTGGGCACGAGGCGTGAACATTGCGCCCGTGCGGGACGACTACCGCAGCGAGCTGAGCTTTGTCTCCCGCGCCGTGAGCCGGAGACGCTCGGTCTGAGTCAGAAAAGGCCCCCGCTCAAGTGCGGCTTGTTTTCTTCTTCGTCTTCTTCTTGTTTTTTTTCTCTTGCTGTGTTGGGAGATAGGATAGTCCGGGGCGCGCCCGCAATGGGGCTAGTTTAATTAGAATAGTTGAATGAGAAAACCGCGTGTTTTTAGACACACACCCTTTTCGCTTCGATCACGTGACTCCGGTATCCTTCTTATCAATAGGGGTCGTTATCATTCGGGCGCCAGTCGTCAAGCAAGAAGCGGGCGAGAAACAGAGGGTTGTATACGCTCCCGGCGCTCGTCCATGTTGAAAGGCTTGACAGCGATTAGGCGCCCCTCGTATTCAACTAACATGATATGTGGTTATCACCCGCCGTGCATAACGGTCTTCGCTCTTTACAGTACCGTCGAGCTGCTGCGTACTCCCCAGATAGAAACCGTCTCTTTGACACGGAGCACGGGCTAAGTACAATTCGGTGTTATTGTGGCTGCTTCATCTCCAGGTACATACATCACGGATCTCCTCGCAGAAATCTCTCCAGCACCTTCATGCCTCCCATGATGGACCGTCACCAATCGTCCCACCTCACCTCTACCATTTTGACCAACATCCACATTGTCAGCTTCGGCTTTGACTTTTGGTAATACCCTCCGCTAAGATGGCACGTTTTCTTATCTACAATTAAGAAGTGAAATGCTTCTTGAAACACTCATAAACCCCTCCAAAAGGGGAAGTGACCCGTGTCCTGTTCGAGAAGATGCTGAGGTCGTAGCAATACACTTGTAAAGCACATGGTCTTCTGCGAAGCGTATTGAGATCAGTATGGTGGTCATGGCAGCTCTCAATTGCCAATTCGTTGGTAGAACAAGAGGTAGGCAACCTTGTTGTCCTTGACAGCGTACTTCGGATTAGGGGTCTGCTTCCCAGATGAATCTTTTGCTGGAGTGGCTGATCCATTGACAAGACTGCTCATTGTCGACTTGGACCTTGAATGGCCGTTGACTTGATTCCACACCTTGTCCGAGCCATCATCTTCGTCCTCATCTTGGTGAATCTGCCCGAATCTATTGCCACTGGCGTTGTGTCGCTCCAAGGCCGCAGCAAGGACTTTGGGATCTTCTTCGCTGCCACCCTCGGCGACATCCTCGGCTCGAATTCGTCGAAGCAACGTATCATCCATGCGGATCCATTCACGACCGTCCTGGCGACGAATATCCACGGTATAATGCCCTCCGTTGGCATTCTTTCCGTGGTGGTAGATGACTCCCGTCAGTTGATACTTGGGCAAGCCTCCATGAGCAATGTATTTGTTGCGAGCTTGCATAGGGAAAGCCTCTTTGGGAATTTCGAGCTCAAGTGGGTATCCCACCTTCTTCCAGATTTTCTCGGCACGCTTGGTGGTGCTGTCGTAGTGGAACCGTTTGAGATGCAATATCAGCACGGGCGGAAGAGTATCGACGAAAACCTGCTTGGTGGCAGTGGCCTTTTGTCCCCTCGGAGTGTAGAAGTCGCCCTGCATGCTTTCGGGGCGAGTCAGGCCCTTCAAAGCATCAATGATGTTGTGTACTTGAGGCGAGCCAATATCAAGTTGCAAAGGCGAGTAGGGTTCCAATGTTACAGACAACTTATTGCCTGAAACTTTGAGCTCGGAGCGGAGCTTGCCGCCGAATATGTTGTTGATTGGGGACTCGGAGGCAATTGCACCAGATGAGCGCGTGACAGAGGGCTTCTGCTTATGACCAACTTCCATCCACCCGCCTTCTGCGTCAGGCTGTTCCGAGAAATTTGAAACACTGCCAGCTGGTGTCGTCCGACCCGAGTTGGAAGAAGGGGCGGTCTTCATGGCACGCGCGCATTCTTCGTGTAGTTCCTCCAACAAGAACCCAAGAAATTCCTGCGCGTCTTGCTGATGACCTCGGCGCATTTCGCGAAAGCGTGGCAGGTCTTTGATAGCTGAGTACACATATTCTGGAATAAAAGAGTCGCCATAACTTTCGTAATCATCTGGTTTCAACTGAAGACGGAGCTGCTCAACATTTTTGGCAGCACAAATTACAGGATATTCTTGCACAAACATAATGATGGCATCGATTAGAGGAGTATCGCTTTTGAAGGCATGCCGGGCTCTTTGGGCGACCTTGGCCAGGAAGTCGTAGAAGGGAAGGCAGAAGACAAGGACTTGCAGCACCTAAGTGAATGAGATCAGCACCTGATAGTCAAAGTAGACATCAAGGGACTTACAGAATTCATGTAGCACATATTCCCGGTGTTGACGAGACCACGTGGTTTCAGGAAGGATATCTTGCCAGGTGCCTCAGGAATGGAGCTGATCTCGTTGAGAACGTCAGACAGAGTCTCACTTTTTCCAGTGCCGGAAGCGACTGACGCATGATCAGAGGCTGCGGACGCGACGGAAGAAGCCTGTGTATTGCTGGAACGGAAAAGGTTGGCCCACGACTTGGGCGGTGCTGGGGGCGAGACGACAGTAGCAGCATTCTCGGCAGGTCGTGGGTTCTCAGAGTTTTCTACAGAAGTAACTTCGGGTTGGGCTTTTTCGGCACCTGCTTCCGCTGAGTCGGAGAGCTTCGTCTGAGTAGAGACAGTCGAGTCTCTGTGCGGTCTCCGCGCAGCGCTAGGGCTGGGTGGGAGAACTGGTACTGCCGGCAGAACTGGCCCTACGAGTCGAGCCTTCGGTTGTGTGGGTGTTTGTTGAGCCTTTGTAGTAGGCACAAGAACAGCAGATGAAGGTGTGGTGGGTTGTGTAGAGGCCGCGTCTGAAGGTGCATCCGAAGGCAAGGGTGTAGAAGTCTCTGTGGTGGTTTGTTCCGCTGATGCGTCTCTTGCTTCTCCCTCATGGACTGCCTCTTCTGGTTCTACTTCTCCCTCAGCGGGTGCCTCGACTGCAGGCTCTGGGGCAGGATAGATTATTGGTTCGGTGGCGAGCCTCGATCGAGGGACTCGACGTCTCTGGCGAGGGGCACGAGGCGGGAATGCCTCGTCTTGTACTGACAACCACGGAACCTGGCAGATAATTAGTGTCTGTATGTGAATGAGCATTCCAGGCAAGTTCTTACTGGTGGTTCAAAGGGTTCCTGCGGCGCCTCAATCACTAGACTTTGCATTCCCTGTTGTGGAGCTGGAGACACTGAAGGTGACGCTGTGTCCTTCCTGGTATTCACAGTGCTCGAGGTGCTGAGAGGCGGAGATGGCGGTGTCTGGACCAAGGTAGTAGAGGTGGTCGAGGCCGAACTCAGAGCTTGTGGTGGAGGAATGGATGATGGCACCTGAGGAAGCCGCGGTGATGATTGTGCGTGAGGTTGTGAAGGTGCAATCATAGGCCCATGATGGGGAGGGTATTGGGACGGTGGCATAGGGTGTTGCGGATAGTATGGTGGGCGTTGACCATGCATGGGATGCATCTGATGTTGTTGATAGCCATACCAATTTGGCGCGTATTGTTGCGGATATTGGGGCATGATGGGGCCCATCTGTTGTGAATAGAAAGGCTGATAGCCAGGATGAGGCCTCATCGGAGGTGGAATGGATGTGTAGGAACCATCATGGCGCCTCTGGGGAGGCTGCATGGGCATGGGGTGTTGCCCATATGGATGATGATTTTGCTGCATGGTTGAAATCGCGTTATGACTTTCTTCGCCAGGGCATTGTGCCAGATGCAATGGATGCGCGTCAAGTCGGGCTTGCTCTCTGTCGTGTCCTAGTTCTCCTCATGCAGCTGTCTGTGCGCTATCCATGGTCAAGGCAGGCAAGGCAGGCAAGGCAGGATGCGCAGGAGCGTGAAAAGGACTTCACTAGGGGAAGCGGCAGAACCGTCGAAGCGGGTGGACGGGCGCAGAACAAGGGAATTAAAATTAACGAGCAGGTCCTGCGTGAAGAGCAGAACAAGAATGAGAATGAGAGATGAGGGGCGAGTCGGTGGAACTGCACAGGATAGATCCTCGCAACGAGATATAACAGATGCAGGTGTCAACGTCGCTTGAAGGTTGCCCAGTTGAGCTGGTGAGTGGTACAGAGCAATGTGAGCGCAGTCTGGGAGTCTTGCCGTCTCGCAGTCGACTCATTTTCCGAGGACGTCTCCAGCTGCATTATGTAAGCTGCGGCGGCAATAATGGCCATGACTCTGTTGCTACGAGTAGTACCGTAGTATTGCTGCAATTCCCCTCCATTCATCTCTTCCCGTGTCACTCCCTCCATTCATCTCTCCCAATCTCAAAACAACTCTTCATGCCCCTTCGCCTCGGCGATTGTGGTAACATCTCATTGCAATTTATCCTTGTTACTGTTCTCCTACGTTCTTTTTTCTGTCGAGGACTCTGGTCTGCTTCATTGCTGACCTGACGAGACATCCACTCCCAAACCAAAGTGCCCCAATTCACGCAGCGATGTCATCCAGCGCCACCTCGAGCCAGGTCTCAAGCAAACTACCTCCTCCTTCGAACTCGTTCAATTACGCGCAAGCCCCTACCGCCACCGCCACCGATTTCTCTTACAAACGAAGCAACAGTTCAGGAAGTTTTGGGCCGGGTGCTTCAACGCGTCACACTCCCCAGGCGCGTGGGAGCCAGTCCCTCCGGAAGCAGCACAGGGGCCAGAAGAAGCCAAGGTTGTTGTTGGATGAGGATGCTATTGCCGAGTCTGCCGCCATGAAATCAATCAACAGCCGTAAGGGTCAGACCTCCATCACCCACCTTATGAACTTTAGCCTTCCTCCGCGCCCTCACAGTCATTACCAACACCACTTCAACCACCGACATCAAAGACGCAATCCTACTTGGGGATTGGGATCGGGGTATCACGCTGTTGACAAGGCTCGTTATGTCCATGCTAATTACCGATTCATTGTACGTCCGGATCGAGAATATCTTGCTCAGACCACGGATGCAGATATATACGTGAGCTGGGACGCTGTGTTACAGGTCCTGGCTTCAGCAGAGACCCAAGCAGCAAGCTGTCCAATCTGCCTGTCGACACCTGTCGCTCCACGCATGGCGAAATGTGGGCATATCTTCTGCTTGCCCTGCATGATACGCTATATGCACTCTACCGACGATGCAAATCCCGTTCCCGAAAGGCGAGCAAGGTGGAAGAAATGTCCAATTTGCGAGGACAGCATCTACATTTCCGAGGGGAGGCCGGTTCGCTGGATGGTCGGTCAGGACGCTAGCATGTTAAGAGAAGGAGGCGATGTGCTGCTCAAACTACTCAAGAGAGAACCCGGAAAGACGCTTGCTCTCCCTCGTGACACAGCGGATGGCTACAGCCGTGCCGATGATATCCCTTGGTTTCATGTCGCCCAAATGGTGGAATATGCTCGATTCATGAAAGGTGGCGAAGAGTATATGACTGTCCAGTACGACCAGGAAATCGCCGATCTCGATGCTCAAGAGAAGGAAGACGAGTTGATGTTTGGTGATGACAACACCTGGACTCGAAAGGCTGTGCTGGCCATTGAGGATGCGAAACAGAAACTATCTGGTCTTGGTAATCCGCCGTCAACAGCATCGAGTTCTGCGAGACAAGATGAGGTCCCAGAATCGTGGGAGACGGCTGGCCAGCAAGGACAATCTACGTTGACCAGTGCCATGAAGTCCCTCTCGGTCGAACCATCCACTAGTACAGCCACTTCATTAGCTCATGCAACCCAGCCGATCCCTGGATCCAGTCGTGCTCAGGCACATGCATTCTACTTTTACCATGCATTACCGAATTTCTTTCTTTCACCCCTGGATATTCGCATTCTCAAGACAGCTTTTGGCGATTTTTCGGCTTTCCCATCTACCATCCTCCCGCGGGTAGAGCATATCTCTACGGGACACATCGTCGATGATGATTTGCGAAAACGAGCAAAGTACATGGCACATTTGCCCTACGGTTTTGAGGTTACTTTCCTGGAATGTGACTGGACCGATATCATCAGCCCGGTAATTTTAGAGCAATTCCAAGACGACATTGTGAAGAGACGAAAGAGACACTCGGAACGGGAGGCGCGTGAAGAGAGGGACAGAGTTCGTGCAGAGAAGGAGGAGGACGATAAGCGATGGGCTCCAGCACGGAGGCAGAGAAGGGGAAGCTCAGCGCCCAGGAGTTTCAGCGAGTCAGATTTTCGGCCACTGAATGACGCCAATACCCATCCAAGCTCGTCGCCTGGAGAATCTGGATTTGCTACGACACCACCCTGGAACACCAGGACGCACTCTTCATTTGCAGCGCTTACCACTCCCGGCACGAGCCCAGATGCACCGAGGACAGTTTGGGGCACAACAGCTGTGGTGCCGACCTCACCATTGTTGGTCGCAGCTGCTCCCGAACCCACACAAGACGATGGCTGGCTTCAAGGTTGGGAGAAAGACCTGCTGGACGAGCAGGATGCGGTGGCTATGGTTGAAGCGAGTCTCAACGACGGAGCCAGACCTGCCGCTGCATCGTCCAAGAAAGGCAAGAAAAAGAAGATCACGCTCATGTCGACGAACAACCGAAGAGGTGCTTGACGTATTTGTATGTTGTACGCGCATTATGATTCAATAAGACTTATGTATATAGCAAATTCCCACTTTATACTGTGCTTGAAGCAGCAATGAACGGCCTCACAGATGGCCATGTGATGGCCCTTAAAACAAGTTACAAAGTTGTTGGTGACGGTGGAATGATGGTGATGATTGTGAGTAGGACAAGCAGCAGCTGCTCTGATGGCCAAGCATCTTAATGATTACAGCGATTGAGGCAGCACATGCAGGTACTGTGGTACGGCTGCAACTGCCTTCAAGGTTGTTTCAACCGAGGCAATTACGACCCTTCTCGTTGATTGCACCAACAAGTCTCAATATTTTCTTCAAGTTGCTCTTGACTTCGAGCACTCCCATAGACCAATATTGCCAGCTTCGTTTTGCTTCTCGCTGCACCTTGGGATCCCCTGATACAATGCATGTATAGCACAACACAGCTCAGTTCATCTTTCCTTGCTTCTGTTTCCTTTGTCGGTGCTGCTAATCGAGTCGATTCAGTGCTTTGCCCTTTCCAGCAACGCCCATGGCCACCATGCCTTCACTTTCTTCGCTCGCCTCCTGGCGCACTCTTGCAATCATCTTTGCTTTGATCAACCTCAAATCTCTCCCTTTAGCATGGCATTTCCGCCTAGCCTATCGCTATGCCCGCAATAGGTTCACCGCAGCAAAGGTCCAAGGTGCCATCAGATCTGCCACCAACCTCAGCTCGACGCATCCTCTGTTTCAATCCGTGTCCATTTTCTCACGGTCACCCCTGCTAGAGACAGACTACAACCTACACAAGAGCAACTCTACCTACTTCTCCGACCTTGACGAGAGCAGAACAGTGCTCATGACCCGGCTTTTGACGCCCAACAGCAAGGAAGGTGTGAAGAACCTCGAAAAGCAAGGACACAAAGGACGAGCAGCCGTCATCCTTGGGAGTGTTCATACCTCGTTTCATCGAGAAATACAGCCATATGAACTCTACGAGGTCCGCTCTCGCGTGTTAGGCTGGGACAGGAAGTGGGTGGTCATTGCCAGCTGGTTCGTTCGACCTGCGAAAAAGGGAGAAGATGAAGTGCTATTGGCATCCGCTCTGAGCAAATACGTCGTCAAGAAAGGCAGGTTCACTGTGTCGCCAGAACGCTGTTTCATCACTGCTGGCTGGCTGCCTGAGAAGCCGGAGAACTATATGTCCGGTGCGGGCCAATCGACTGCGAGTTCTGGCGACTCGGAGACGCCATTGCTGGTGCCAGATTCTGAGCCATCTACCGAGGAAGCCTCTGGGGTCGCGACGCCTGAAGGACTGCCTGCGCCGGTTCCCGAACAAGCTGTCGAAACAACATGTGCAATTGTGGAAAAACTCGAAAGTGCAGCAGAAAAGGTTTCACGAGAGCCGCCACAATCAAGCGAGCCGCTGATGCCACTTACTGCGGCCGACAAGGCTGGCGAGTGGGACTGGTACCGCATGGACATGGAGCGAATCAGGGGCTTACGAATTGCAGCCAACTGGCTCGCCTTGGACCAAGGACTGCTCGAGGAGTTTAGGCGCGAATAGGGGACGCAGGCTGGTCGTCGTCGTGTTCGTAAGAGACGGGGATGATGCATTGGACATATGGATTGTACGATACAATGAGGGCAGAGCGCTCGGCGGGACTTCTGTGATTGATACCCATTCTGGAGATTCGAATTCAGGGCGCGGCTAGATTTGCATTGATTCAGGCTCACGCATGAGGCGTCGATGTGTATAACTTGTTTTCGCATCATGTTGTTCGTGTTCGGTCGTGACAAGACTGACTATACACGAGCTCAGCTACTCTAGCAAAATTACGAAACCCTCTTGTTCAGAGAGGTAATGGACATTCTTTTTCCACAGACACAAAACCAACCTCGAAAGCCTCGAAACGCCTTTCTTGAACCCAATAGGAGAATGATCCGGACAATGATATCGGGAGGCCGCTACCACCAGGGGTTCCTTGATCAGTGTTATACAACGCTTCGGGGCAGCAGAAGTAGTTCAATGTGCAGTGTGAGGGTCAACGATGCTTTCTCATTGTGTTCCTGTCGGTCGTCCTACATTTGGGCATTCGAAAGCAGGTGGTCTCTGGAGAAGAAGGTCAATAGGTAGCCAGCAGACCGAGCCATTGGCCATATAAACCCCGGGTGAATTATGAGCAGCCTTGGTCGAAGTCTCGAAAGGTGCCAGGTGAGGTGCCAGGTTTATTTTTTCTCCTTTTTCTCGTCTCCATCATCCTTCTTGTCGTCTTTCTTGTCGTCTCCCTCGTCTTTGGCAGGCTGCTTCTTCTTCTGCTTCTTCTGGTGCTCGCGGGCGTACTCCTTGTGCCTTTCCTCACGTTCCTTCATCCTCTGCTCCTCGGCGGCGACCATTTCCTTCCACATATCCTCGTCGCCTGAGCCGCTGCCGCCCTGGCTACCGGCCTCGCGCTCGACCGTCTTTTCCAGCATGCGCTTGTGCTCCGGGTCGTTGGGATCAATGTACCGCACCGTCTCGTAGCGTCCCTTTTGATTCCTGCTGTCGGAGATTTCAAACGCCGCGGTCGCCACGAGCACGCCCAAGGTCAAAAATTGCGCGTACACACGGGCCTGCACGATCTTCTGCTGGCCTGTGAGATACTTGTTTCGGTTGACCAGGGCGAAGGCGGCGGCCATACTGGCGATCCAGGACCCGCCCACGATCTTGTACCGCTCTTTCCGGCCAAAGTCCATGGCTCGTTCTGTGAAGGTCTTGTTCGCCTTCTCGGCCTGTTCCCGGTCGCTCTGGCGCTGCTGGTACTCAACATCGATCGGATTGGTCGAGCTTTCGTAGGCGCGCGAGTAGTGGTCGGCATTGACGATGCCGGCGAAGGTGCCCGCGGAGGTGATCAGGAAGGCTTTGAGTGGGAGGGTCAGGTTGCGGAAGAAATGGTAGCGACGTTGGGCCAGAAGGACGCCTGCAGTGCCGACGGCCAGACCTAATATGCCGCCAATGGTGCCGCCCTTGAGGGTCTGGTTGTAGTGTTCTTGTTCTTGGTCTTTGGTGAGGATCTTCATTTTGGCGGGGTTATTCTTTTTGTTCCTTTTCTAGTGGAGGTGGTGATAGGGGAGAACAGAGGAGGGACAAAATAGGTCTGATTAATGATAAACTCGTAGGCTTGCAGAGGTCGGTATGTATCTCGTGGAAGCTGCTTCACGGGGCCCTGTCTGTGTACACAGTAAAGTAGAGCTCGCTTCCAGCTTCTCCGCACCGCAGCACAGTAACCGTGTGAAAAGGGAAATTGTGGTGACTCAGCTGCGCTGCTTGTAATCAAGATGCAGCTACTCTGTACAGCAGTTGTGGTCGTCCTCAAATAGAAGTAGTGATGCTATCGCTGGAAAGCAAATCCGACAGATACTAGTGAGGCGATGGGAGACGTCAATAATAACATCACCCAGCATCCGTATGGAGGTTACTAGTAGTAGTTGCAGTGATTTTCTTGTGGCATCACCATGACATCAGTTGGGTTTTATACGACGAGACGACTAATAATAAAAAAAAAGTGCTAGAAAGTCGCTACAAAAACTGGCGGCCACGGAAGATCGGGAACTGCCTTTTGCCCTCAAGTGCCATGGCCACCGACAGCTCAATCCCCGCCGACGAAACGTCCACCCAGGTGCCAGGCCACCAGGCTCAGAGACCAGCGAGACCAGCTAAATTACTCCCTCCGTACGGAATACCAGCCTGAATAATCACGCAGCACAGTCCCAGCGACCCGGCGACCCAGTGACCCAGTCCCAGGCTTGGAATCGTCAGAGCGCCGCGAATTAAGCGCGTTGAAACGTTTTGCCGCCGTCTAGACTCACCAGGTACCTTACTCGATGAGATACTCCGTACCTCCTTCTCAGGTACGAGTACCTAAGCGGCAAACACTCGGCCTTCTCTTCGTCGCGCTTTTGGAGCCACAATTACCCTTGGGGGATCATCTTGATCAAGCTTGCTCTCTGTGCGCTCCCTACCACCCAGCCCAGAGCACTCATATCCATACACCACAGCTACAATAGCGCATGCGACACCACGACAGAACAGAATGTCGTAGTAGACACGTGAGGTCCTCTTCTCGATGGCGTGACCGTTTTAATAACAGTCGCCGAACACATCCCTTTTTTTCAAAGCCCGCACGGTGTCTGCTCTGCTCTGCTTCTTGGAACTGAGCCGCAACCTACACAGTATCCATGGCAAAATCGAATTGGCCACTCTGCTAGATAATTACTTCTGGTACTCCGTACAGGCGAGGGAAATTTTGCAGGAGCTCCATCAGACCACAGGTACCACCCCGACGCAGTGGTTTGTCTGGGGCATTGAAGGCGATGCGAGGCAAACCCCCCTTTGTAGACCCGGCAAATAACAAACTCTATGTCGCCATACCTACCTTTACGACGGAAGGGTATCAAAACGTCAACATCATGCATGGTTCTTCAGAAGTGCATGGTTCTTCCTCGTTCTCATCGGTGCTGTCGCGCATGGTGGACGATCCGCGCGCAAACAAGCACCCCAAAACACCTGTACCTGTGCGCAGATACAGCAAACATATCAACACCGTTTTCATCGTCAAGTGGCATGGACGGACGTCGGGATGTCAACGACGCTCCTGTTATTCCACTATCAGTTGTTTTGAACAGACACCACGACACCAGTTTGACTTGTTCTATTATGCCCATCGATTGCGATGGACGTGCACCGTGGTGCCAAACTAACCACTAACTGTCTACCCACACAGACACCCAATTCCCCATCTATCCAACACACTTCATGCATCCAGGCCCTGGCCACTGTAGATCTCCAAGAGGTCGTCCGTAACCAAGAATTTACTTTGACCCTGGCGCGTGATGTAGACATTGTAGCGGCGCAGGCGTTCCAACACCTCTACCGCCTCGACCACGGCCTCCCATCTCTCCCCATCCTCAAGATAGTACACATAATCGCCAGGTCGGAAGCGCACCGGCACCAACAACTCGCGACGCGCAACCACTCTCTCTGGCCCAATGCCATTCTTCGGAATGATCTTGTACGCCCACTTTCCTTCAGCTGCGGCTAGCGGACATCGGCCAAGCACAAGAAAGATGCATGGCGCCTGGAAGCGACCGGAATTCTCCAGGTTCCCGACGCTACTCGGGTCAGCCCTATTGACCGGCAAGGTATGTAAACCAAGCGGCTGGACTGTCTCCGAGCACGCGACGCTGTTTCCCTGCTCGTCGAGAAGGAATACCTCGGTTCCATTCGCCAGATCTGCACGTGGAGTGGGAGTATCGGGAGACACGGTACTGGTTTCGGACTTGGAAGCCTTGCCTGGAGCTGAGGGCGGCACCGTATCCTGCGATGGTATGATCCGGTCCTCCGGCGTCGAGGGTTGCTCCGAAAGCTTGGGCTTCTTCGTTGGTGGCTCTCCATCCGTAACGTCCGCCTCAGAGGACTCGTTTTGCGCAGCAGCCGGCTGGTGTGGCGGAGTTGAAGAAGCGACGTCTATTTCAAACCAATCTGCAACGTCGAAATCGGATGTAGACTCTCCAACAGGAGATGCCTGTTCGACGGAGCCGGCGCCAGAAGGTCCAGGTCGACCAGCAGAAGATTCAGGAGGAGGTGCCGCGCTTACGGGATCACCACTTGCCGCAGCAGAGGGGAAGAGCGCAGTACTCAAAGTCGGAGAGCTAAAAGGGCTGCCGAGTTGATGTGTGTTCTTGTTCATTTTGATGTTGTTTTGCAGGCGATGCCACGCGGAGCTGAGCTCCGTAGATGTAATGGCGGCGGAAAAGGTCTGCTGCACAGGAGGCAATGTTCTGCTGTTGGCACTGGTTAAGGAATACCAAACATAGAGATTGGTGCATCTTACAGTGCTGCTACGAGCTGTGCGGCCGCAATGTCCAGTTGCGCAGTGCTGATGCTGTGAATATCCAAGAGAAGCAAGATGTGAACGTGTCGGTATTTGGAGATGAACGACTTGAAAGAGTTATCAACAAGGACGGGACCTCATGAAAAGCCGGCCCTGATTGATTGCTATTGTACAACCATTCAGCGTGGAAGAGAACAGTCAAGGATCATCTCATAGCCATGCGGTGATATGAATGATTGTTGTGAAATGGGTGCAAGGAAAAAGCTGAATTGTTGTGACCTTGGTCAAGAGATCACCCCTCGACGCCATAAGAAGAAGCATCATCGCAGAGCGCCGAAAGTGGAAGTACCATCGCAAAGTGATCATAAATTCCTTGTCACCCGCTTGTCTGCCGCCCAGTGGTAAACTCAAGATTCCTCTCTACCGTCTCACGATTGTCGACACCTCTGGCACAATGGTATAGCTCGTGGCACCTGGTAGCAGTCTCGCTCTATTGCTCTGTTTCTGACCAGGCGCAACCTTGGCTGTTGCCTTCGGCACGATCGCTGGTTGACTAAGGTCATCTCTTCTCTTCGTTGGATCATAAGTTGCTCTCGCCCAAGTCTTCTTCGTGTAGTCATCGCTTCTCTGCAGAATTGGTCTCGACCATTCCTCCATCAACTTCGTGGCCTGTCGCTTGATTGCCGGTTCTGCTCTCTTCGATTTTCGATAAAACAACATGACTTTACCGATGCCGGAAGATATCAAGGTCTCCTTATTCATCGGAAGCTTTGCAAGTGCTGCAAACAATTCACGCTGGATGTTGTATGCCGGAAGGCTGCCATCACTGAGCGGTTCGAGGAAGAATCGTACGGCTTCCAAGAGGTTCGTCTCCGGGTCCAAAATAGACTGAACAAGCGTGTTGCGATTCAGTAAGCTGACAACCTCTGGAAGCATTTTCAGTTTCTGAGACGCCGGTAGCCCTTGTCGAACCAGCTCCCCATCAGCCTCTGCCGCTGCGATCATGCGGTTGCGCATCTCTTCGATTTCTTGGTCGGCCGCTTGCTCAAGATCCTACATGCGTGAGAAGGCAGACTCGCAACTGGAGGATGAGAACTTACAATATCACCCTTGCGAATTCTCTTAGCCGAAGATTTCTTCACAGCAGCATCCATGGCCCGGTCTAGCGCGCGTCGTCTTCGTTCTTCAGGACTCAAAGCCTCTTCGTCGATCTCGACCCTAGGTCTCTGTTTCTTTTCACCGTCTGGCTTTGATTTCGTTCCACGTCTCTTCCCCTCGATTTGTTCACCACCAGAAAAGCCATCGTCGCTGTCTTGTCTTCGACGGTTCGTTCTGGCCCGCTCTCTTGTTCTCTCTTTCTTCTTTTTGGGCGCCTCTTCTTCGCCATCGGCTCTCTTTCGCTTCTTCACTTTGATGGCTTTGTTGAGCGTATCAAAATCAGGTGCAACTTGAACAGCGGTCGGATCAAAGTCTGCGAACTGAGCTTCGTCAACTTCGGAGAGGAGGGATTCATCGTCAGAGTCTGGATCTGCCGGATCTGCAGCTTCTGCTCTTGACGGTTCATCGAACTCATCATGCAGATCGTCGAGTTGGTCTTCGTTCTCTGAAGGTCGATCTAGCCCTTCGGCATCGGATGGCGGTCGCTCGCCAGGAGAGTCGGCCATTGTGGTAGCAGGAAAGGTTTGGTTGAGTCTCGATATAGAGCCTAGAAGGTGGGAAGTACACAGTTCGCGATCAGATGGAATGAGATGAATGTCAGAGCCATCAACAATTGACAGGAAGTTGCTGCCAAGTTGTGACAGCACGATTCATTACACCACGTGATTTGTTGTCAACTGACTCGTTACTGCTGCAAGGCTCTATAGAACTTGGCACGCTAACGAGGTGTTGATAAGATAGCAGACGTCAGCTTGTGCCCTCCATCTCTTCTCTCTCTATGAAGACCGCAGTTCATCCAGAGATGCATGTCACGTTCTTAAATGAGACATGGCTTCCCTTTCAGAGATTACAATGATGCACAAAGGCAATAAGCAGCGCCTTACACTGCTAGCAGACACTGGCCCAAAATCTCCCAATATCAGCTCCAGGTCCTGACATGAGCGGGTTAAGTCCACCAATATCAGGTAATATCACTCGAATTGACCGCTCGGACGATTCCGTAACTTGCACCCGCAGCGACCGCCCCAACGCACAGTGTCTGTACCGCTCCTATGACGGACTGTGTTGGCCTGCACCCGGCATATGCACACTTCAAGTACCCAAAGACCATAAGGATGAGCGCCGTGATTCCGATCGACACGAACAGCGCCGTCGTTGCGTGCCGAATTGCAAAATACGGTATCATAGGCAACAGTCCACCTTTCAGAAACTGGTCAGCATCCAGCGTGGATTCATCAACGTTTCTTGGACACAAACCGACAAAATACGCGATCCCCATTGTCGCCGACGAGATATACGCCCCACCTCTGACAGGCCGTTGCAACTTCAATTCGAAATCCATCATGAACTGCCACAGATTCTTGATTAGCACCCACCACCAGCGTCCTCCGATGTACTGCGCCATACCTGGATCCACTGCTCAGGGTCCTTCTTCAATCCGTCCACGAATCTATCAAGCGTAGGTCAGCGCCAGGAGTTCTAGCTGTCCGACTCGAGGCCTCATATTCTGCGTTTGGGCAAGGTGACGACAGGGTTCCTGACAGGAAGGCAAACACTTACGGTGCAACAACGTCCCTCTCAGGTCCGTACGCGCACAGAATCTGGTAAATCTCCTCCGTCTCCTCGTCCGGGCATTCCTGCAACTCCTTCTTCTCCCGCACCCGCTCGGTGTCATAATGCTGCTTATCCGTGATCGTGGCCAGGTACGCTCCCAATCCCATCGAAATCGCTCCGCTAAACAATTCCGCCAATCCACCCGTGACCACGAGTTTGGACGATCCGAGACTACCATGATCCATCCACGTCAGCAGAGCACATTCTTTCCCGAAAATTTCGTAACAACATACGACGACAAGCCGGCGGTCAACGCAAACGGCACGGTCAATCCATCCGCAAAACCAATAATAAAGTCCCGAAGAAGACCCCCATTCATCTTATGCCGTTCCTTCAATTTGGTCGTCCTCATGCCCGTCTGCCCGGACGATCGTGCAGGCGCAGGTGTAGGCGATGGGACCAGCACCACCACTCCTCCTCTCCCAAGCCCGGCCTCGATGTCATTTCCATGTCTATTTGCATCCATATCGCCGTGTCAAGATGGCGGTCTGAAACCTCAAACTCTCGAAAAAGAAAGGGTATACGCGTCCGCCAGGGGTGGGAAGAGCGCCAGATGAAAGCACAGCATAGCAGTCACCCATGACATTCCGTTTCTTATACGTCTCGGAAAACCACAACCTTACCATGACCACTCCGACCGATTGGAAATTTCGTACGACACTGTCACTCCTCCCACCGCAGTGGCCATACGGTCACGTTACTTGCCCCTTCGCATCCTGGGCGGTCATCATCATCACTGCCACCAATCCCCGCCTGACCAATCACAACGACCCTATTTCCAACCACCACTGCATTTCGAAAAATGAAGGCCCAAAAGGGCACGGCGCATTCCAGCCAAACCCCCAAACACAAACACGATCCACGTCCAGGGTTCAGCGGACGACCGTCACACAAACGCGCGGACATCCCCCTTTTTCAGGCTTCCACCTACGAGTAGCGCGTGCCCGCCCGTAGCCTACAGGCGTCCTCGCAATATCGGTTTCGGGCAGGAGGCAGTGACTTTGCCCTGTCTGAAAAGACGCAATGCGGATCGGGTGACAATCCCCACGATGCTGAATGGCTGTCTTTGTACACCGTTATTTGAACTGTCGCAGAACTCGACTGAGAAAGCACTGTGGTACGCAATCCTGTTCCTGCGCCACATGGGAGGAGGCAACCAGGGCGATCATTCTTCTACATAGGTACGGACCGGTGCCCGTTGACTTGGCCATAAATGAGGCCTAGCCTAGGCCAGCTGCCCTCATCCGGCTTCTGTATATAAATTGTATTCGACGCCGCTTGCAGGAACGAGGGTGTTCGATGCTTTGCTTTCTGATTTCTCATGTCCCGTCGATTCTAGACTTCTTGCTCCTTTAGATCTCATCTCCCCCAAATTGCAAACTACCTACTGTTGATATTTCCACAGACCTCGAGCCTGGTTGCAACTACCATGATGTTCCCCCAAACCAAGATCCTGACTCTCTTCACCATCTGGAGTATGTGTTCTTACACTTCAGCAAGATTCTTGAATGTTTCCGCGAACACTTCGCAAATAATTGCTGACCATGCCATCGCATCACAGCGCTCTGGCAGCTCCAGCTGGCTGCCGGCAGTTTCGTGCAGTTCTACGATAAACCATCACACCTGGGATTTGCCCTGTCAACATACACCAACAGTACTAGTAATGGGTCTGGCACGGGCTCCGACCAAAATGAATTGCTGTTCCAATTATCTGTGCCCTCGAGTGCCGGGTGGGGTGCCATTGGCACGGGCGACAAGATGGATGGCTCATTGATGTTCATCCTCTATCCTTCCACCGATTCAGATGGTAAACAAGTCATGCTGTCCGCCGAAGGAGGAAAATTGTTGCTGATTGTCACAGAAGCTACAGTGAGCGTCCGAACTGGACGGTATGTCTGAACTGATCCATGCCCTGGCTCCTTTCTCTGCAGCAGCATTCTGACCATCAAATTAGTGGCCATGATACACCTGAAGCTTTCGATGGACTTCAGTACCGCGTTCTAAAGACCTCCGACGACGGTTCAAGTTTGACAGCCGACATCCAATGCTTCAACTGCACCCAATACTCGGGAAACTCGATTGACATAACCTCCACTGAACAACCATGGATCTGGGCCATTGGCCCTGGGGATCCTGTCAGGTCAAATTCTCAGAATGCTGACATCAAGCAACATTCTCACTATGGTGCCGTTCCTTCCCTCTGAATGTCAATCTTGTTGCCACTAACTCCTCTGTTCCAGGAGTTTTCTTCACCAACATGAACAAGGCCCGGGGCACAGCTGCCAGTGTGCCCTCAGTCACTGGCACCTCCAACATCAACACAACGGCACAACCCGGGTACATCAACGACCTTGTCGTCCTGCATGCTATCCTGCTCGGTGTGGCTTTTGTCATTGCATTTCCACTAGGTGCTGTCTCGTTGAGGGCGTTTCGTTCCTTCAAGATCCACTGGATTGTACAACTTTTCACTTCAGTCGCATGTCTCATTGGACTTTGCGTCGCGATCCCCCTCAGTGCTCTCGGTGTTGAATGGGCCGACTTTAACTTCGCGCACCAGATCATTGGCATCGTGATTGTTGTGCTAGCGTTTGTCCAAGGCATGCTGGGCTACCGACACCACATGAACTACAAAAAGTTCAAAGGAAGAACAGTGGTGTCGTACGTACACATCTTGTTCGGGAGAGGGATCATATGGTTCGGGATGCTGAACACCGTGTTGTAAGTTGGGTGGTTCCTTGCTTTAATCCATTTCCGCAAGCCTAACCATGGAACAGGGGCTTCCTTTTGGCTGGTTCCAACAGCAAGGCAGCCGGTGCAGGGGTTGTCTCGATAATTGTGATCCTCCTGATGGAGGGGGCGCTGTTCTGGACCCGTCGACGTGCTCTTTCAAAGTCTAACTCTTCCAGCACGACCAATGTGCCACTTACCACCATGCTGGATCCGAACAGGGTGTGGGAGTGACGCCTTCTTGATTCGTTGGCAGGATGGCTCGGATTTGGATCGAGCAGTGATTGTGCCTTTTGTGATCATGACATTGTAGACATAGCTCCGGTCTAGATATTGGTGGATCAAAATTGCAGAATCTTTCCTCGTGAGGCTGGTAATGTGATACCCTATTTGTGACATTGCGGGCCCTGATAGATAGACCGGACTCGGCTCCTCCATACGGTTCTGAGTGCGCTCCAAGCTGTCCAAAGACACTCACGAATTAAGAACCACGGAACGATCGACAGACTATAGAGGAAAGGCTTTTTGATGATTGAATCCAACAAAAGTTATCGTGCCATGATCTTCGAGGTGGATGAGACGTTGCGCTGCTGAGTTGATGCTTGCAGGCATGTCCTCTACCCCGAATAGCTTTATTGATTGTAGGTCAGTAGCAGAGGAGCATAGTGTATTGTTTCCTTCTCTTGACTGCCCAGAGGAGCACAATTGTCATGTTGCTGACCTAGAAAAGCTTTCATGTTCTGTCATGAAGTGTTCATTCGACTGTATAGCGAAGTTGTCCCACGAGGTGTCCGGGTCATCAAAAAGCCAATCTAGCGCAAGAGTTGCTGTGGATGTGGAGGGAGGCTGACCAGGGATTTCGCCAGTTGTTCCCATGGGCAAACCAGATTGGTCGACGAAGCTGGAAAGGTTTACTTGTGAAGGCAGTACTTCTGGCGGCGGAGAGATTCGCGGTACTTCAGCACAGCATGAAGAAGCTGCCGAGGACATTTGTGTTCTCGAATGGACAGACTGTGTAGCACTCATCGACATGGACCTCTGGTGTGCCTTCCAAGTGGCAGGGGGTGCGAGGTTCGTGGGTAGGGCAAGAGGATTTAATTTCGGTTTGAGTTGTCGTAAGTTTGTTGTGTTTGAGGCATTCTGGTCGGTGTTGGAGCTCTGTTGTGAGCGCTGACGCAGGGAAGATTCGACAAGATCGGGACTGACTCCAGCTGTGCTTAGAAGCCCTCGTAGGTGGGCGTTTTCGGCTTGAAGCTCGTGAAAGCTCTGCCGAAGTAGGTCGGCCTCACGACAGGTAACACGACACTGCTCCAGTCTCTGCTCTAGCTCGGCCAAGTATTCCTGTCGTCTAGCCCGACTGCGTCTCTGGTTGTCTCGAATGCGTTCTTGCTTGGCTTTGAGACCTGCCAAGGGAGTAAAATCTTGAGGAGAGGCCATGGCGGATGTGCAAAGTCTCGAGTCTGGCCGGCCATCAAGTAGTATATCCAATGACAGCGGTCGCAATGACTGAGAGTCGAATTAGTAAAGGCAGGACAATGATTGGATCCGGACCAGAAATTTGGCGAGCGTAATGGCGCAGTCCGCAGTGCCAGGCAGGCAGGCAGCTCACCGTCCCTGTTGCTTGAGAAAAGAGCCTTATGCAGGCCACCACGTATGCTCTGTCCTTGACGGTTATTGGGCAAGGACAACGGTCAAGCAACATACCGTTAACCGGTCCCTGTTACGAAACATTGACGACACGACTGCTGCGTAATGGGAGTGTGGCTCAGTCAGTTACTCGGTCAGTTCGAATCGTTGGGGAGGGTGACATGGCAAGATCTGAGAGACAGCTTTCGGAGGACGAGTTTCGGGGCGTATACATGAAGCCAATCATTTGGTGGCTGGATGTCATTGTGCTGGCCATAGCCGCATTCCCACTCCACGGATTGGTTGGGATTCCCCGTTGTTTTCAAGGACCCGCCTAAAGTGGTGGGATCGTCTCGTATCTTGACTTCGGTGCAGCAATTGCCAATCTGGAGGAAGCTTTGCACGCTTTGGTAAATGGTAAACGTCGCGATGCACAAGCTGCAGCAAGGGTATCGACCTTCCTAATCCGGGTTGCCGAGGCTGGAAGTGAGTCCCATACATATCATCTGTTGATCGTTCCTCGGGAAGTTTTTGGAGGCTGCCTTCGGAGCTGGCGTCTGAGAATCGTTGGCGATCAAGTCGAGATCTCGGGATTGCCACTACGTCGGCAAGTTCCGCGCACGGGTTGACATCCTGTCAGCCATCACGGTTGGACGGACCATACAGTATGTGGCCTGGTGCAATTCTTGCCACTACAAGCGCCGATGAAAAAGCTCGGTGAAAGAGAAGATGGAAAAAGACAGGGAGCGTGGTGAACCGGCAAGTTTTGCATCCAGCAACATGCAACACAACGTAAGGTTGCGCTATCACATGTGTCTGTGGCGCGTTTCCAATTGGATACCTACTTGTCCTGGCCTGTCCATTTCTGAACTCATCTGGGGAGCTTCCTTTCGATCCAAACCCAATGTGGGAGAAAGATGTGAGGCAGCTTCCAGCACGCGCAATCCTTTCCCCTTGCTGGTGCATAGCCTTGAGGGCCACTCACGTAACATATCTGAAGCCCTCCTTGGCCGTCCGCCTTTCCTGTTCGGACAAGCCTGCAATCTCTGCGTTTGACTCGCCGTGCATCACCGAAGCTACATCAGTACCCTCATTGAGCTTCCGGTTGGCACGACGGAGAACCATGCGCATGACAACTGCAAGCAGTATTGTTGCCAGAGCCGATGCTGAATTGACCGTCATGGCGATGGTGTATCGTGGCGCCCATCTGTCGCGATAGAGAAAGGAGCTTATGATCTATCACATCTGCGTTAGGACAAGGACTTTTGTGGACGAACGTACGTCTTCAGTCTTGGAAGGAGGACCACGCTTACATGGGAGAAACCGCCTATGCAATTGACAAAAGCAATAGTCACTGCTCGTTTTGTTCGAGGCCGAATCACACTCTTCTGGACCCAAGCAATGACCACCGCATTGGCACTATGTCCTGCGGCAATCATCAGGAACATGGCCAAATACCGAGCGCCCAGGTCGGAGCAGGTTGCTGTTACAATGAACCCAATGATGGCCGCCAGGAGTGGCCAAATAATGAAGAAGGAGCAGTTGCGGAAACGATCAGAACACCAGCTGTTGAGTATCGCGACGACTACAGCAACCAGATAAGGAGGAGCTGTGAGCAAGAGAGTGTTGGTGCGACGGAATCCGAGAGTCTTGACCACCGATGGAAAGAATCCGTTGGTCGAAGCAGCAAGCGATCCTAATAGACACATCAGGGCAAAAGCATACCCTCGCCAGTCCCGTAGCGCCGATCTTACGCCATAAGACCAGCTTGGGTCGCCATCTTCGTCCACTTGGCCAGCATCGAGAATCAGTCGCCACTCGGCCACTGAGCGTTCCTCGGGGGATAGCCAGCGAGTATTCGAAGGGAAATCCGGAAGGACCCAGAATGCGACAAAGGCGACCAGAACGGTGGAGGCACCTCCAAGAATAAACATCCATCTCCACGCCTGAATGCCCGCGACACCTTCCATGCCCCGGTAGATTGCAGCCGAGAGCAGACCAGAAAATGCGCTACCCACCATGGGTGCTGACAGAAGCAATGCGCTTCGCAAACCCAACTCCGACCTCGTGTACCAAGATGATACCACGAACAGGAGCCCGACCGTAAACGGCGCCTCTAAGAAGCCCAGGAAGAAGCGAACAACGTACAGCTCAGCTTTCGAGTGGACGAAAGCAGTCACCACTGATAAGGCACCCCATACAATCATGCATGCGGGAAGGTATAATGAGGGACGGAGCCTCGTGAGGAGAAAGTTCGAAGGGACTTGCATGGACATGTACCCGACGAAGAAAAGTGCAATCGCGACACCGAATTGTGTCGTGGTCATGTTCAGTGATTGTTGCATGCCAATCACTCTTGCCGCTCCAATTTCGTTCTAGGAAAGTGGATCAGTCGGGATCGTCCTGGGGAAGCGGCCACGACTTACTCTGTCAAAGTAGTTGAGGACATACATAATCCATGCCATACCGATCAAGCGCTTATCGGCCTTCCATTTGACCTTTTTGCTCAAGACCACCAATTCCTCCGGGCTTAGCGACTGGGCAATGGCAAGTCGGTTCGGTTCAGTTTCCTTGTTTCGACCCTCAGAGCTGGAACCCTCGTCACGACTTGAGCTCCGGGACTCTGTCACACTCGTGGTCGTGGTGATGGTAGCCTGCTGAATTGCCATTGTGACAAGGGGTCAAAGGCACGTCACGTCTGTGAAAAGCTGAGTCTAAGAAGGTAACAGATGGAAGAAGATAACAGATTGAAGAAGGTAGAAGATGAAGAAGGTAGCAGATTTGATCCTGTTAGCACGGAGACTAGACAATGCCAGCTCTGGCAAGAGCGAGTCGGCCATTCTTATAGCTTCTGAATATCTAGCACACGAAACCCACGACATCTGGATGTAAAAATGTCCAATATCCTTACGTCAAGTGGCCTTGCATATCGTGGGGTTCTGAGCTCTGGGGAAGTCAGGCACAAACCATGTACAATTGGTTATCCAAAGCTTGTTGGTGTGCTTTACTCGGGAAGCTTCCTTGGAACATTGTGATGCGTGGATCATTTGTCCACAGAAAGTGAGGTTGGGGATTAGTTTCTTTAATGAGCCGCCATACTTAGATCCCATGTGCTTCAATCATACGTTCTCAGGGTCTGTACCATCAAACGGCTCCTGTCGGGGGAATGATATACATGCGTGTGCAGCCTTGCAAAGCTTTAACGTTTAAGCAGCATCAACCTCAACCGGCCGAATCACCCGTAGGATTGTCGTAGGACCGCAACGTACTGTCAACTGATGGCGATATAGGTACCTGGCATGCACGTAGTTGCGATGCATCACATCATGATAATTGTGGTATCGAGAAGAGGAAGAAGCCCAAAGTTTTGGTGACCAACTCACGGACGCGTCAACGAAATGCAGCGACAGTGGATATTATGATCTACCGTACAGAATGCTGATTAAATGTCCGGTGCAGTTCAAGACCATGATATGTATTGTTCGCTGACAAATCTCCCCAGATTTGCAGCGCATTATGTTCTCCCACTAGTGCAGATACAGTATCGCCTCCTCGCACGCTCTTATCTAGATAAGCGAATAGGACGAGACGAGAGCAATCCAGATATATTGTACGGAGTACGGAGTCCTCGTAGTATAACACTGCTATCTCCACATAAAGTAGCTCCATCGATTCAGAATGGCTCCGAAAATACGTAGCGAGATCGAAATCAGTCGGCCGCCTGCGGAAGTTCGAAGCGTGGTAAGCACAGCCTTTCATGTCATGGTTGAACGGACGCTGGCTCATCCATCTAGTTTTTCGATTTCTCTAGGTACCCAGAATGGCACACAGGATTCAATATAGCCGGACACAAGGGGCCTGAGACGACCAAGGGCGACAAGTTGAGTGTCAATGCAGGAGGCTTCAAGTTCAGCCCGACTGTTCTCGTACGTGTGATCTCCATTCAAAAAAGTGTATTGTGTACGGGAGTAGTGCCTTTTGCTGATAGTCTGTCAAGGCCAACTCGACAGAAGAGTTCCGTTGGATAGGCTCCATACCCTATATTTTTGAGGGAGAACACTACTTCCGCTTTGAAGAGAGCAAGCAAACGCCCGGCGGAACAACATTTATCAATGGCGAAGACTTCGCAGGGTTGTTATCTTTTCTGTATGGACCTACCTGGTCCTCCGGCAAGCAGACCTTGAATATGTTCCAGGCATTCAACGAGAGTCTGAAGAAAAGGGTAGAAGGGGCTTGAAGACCAATTTTTAGTGGGTTGTGGGCAATTGGCTTGTCGTTCTTTATCGCTGCCACGTATTGAAATCTCTGTGTAAACGTCAAGAAGAAGATACTGAAGGAGTACTCCGTACTGTGGTATTTCATCAGGACCGTCTGGATGGCGACACGTGCTCGACGTCAAGGTGTGTAAAACACAGTTGAAGGAAGGTTTGCCGACTGCGCAGAATATCAGGCTTTCGGATTTTGCGCAGTCTTGAGTCAAGCCCGTAGCATAACACAGCAAACCCTTCCAGATCTAAGACCAACGTCGGTATACTCTGCTTGTCGAAAGATTGCTATAACAAGCCAGAATGTTTGCCGGTCGTGAGTATAGCTTCGACTCCTCATCATGGGGTCGACTTAAGCTAACGCGAGCATGTCTGCAGCCTCCGAACACCTCTCCGAGAAGGAGATCCGCCAAGGTGAAGCCAAAGCCGCGGTAGAAGTCCAGATCTTCACTGCCGCATGCATCGCCTTATGGTTCTGTATGTGGACACCCACCCTCCCCGTCCCTTCCTCGGTCGAGCGGACAGGCAGCTGCCGCCGCTGTACACATATGCTCGGAGCCAGAACCAGCGATTGGGACAGTTTGCTAATACTTGTGGCAGCACCTCATGTTGTCGAATGGGCTCGGAAGCTCTTCTAGACGTCCACACCGAAACAACCTCTTCTCCACGAAGCCCGGCATGGAAGCGACTACGCTTGCTCCGAAAAGAAGATGCTGCAGTCTGAGTTGACGAGACAAGAAACACCCATCTCTTGTACACTATGATTTTGTACAATAATAGCAGCATGTCGAGCGGAACACTGCTTTGCCACAATAGAGCATCAAATATTTCTCGATTCGTCGACGATTCCAAATCGCAATGCTGCTATGCAAGATTGTTTTCGTTTGTCTCCTAATGTGACAGACTTGGAACCCTTTCTCGCAGCAAGACGGCTTCCCTTCCAACCAGGCCCTCCAGCTTATCTGCGCCGAGGGACATCATTATCCCGGTCTTTGGATAGCTTCTCCCAATCTTCAAAGCCTTGTTGTACAAGGTCCAATTCCTTTTGCAAGTGTCGTAGTTGTATGTCGTGTGCTTCCAGCATCTAAACATGTTAGCTTACAACTCGTCGTAAAAGTTCAATATCGGGCTTACCCTCTTTGCAGCTCTGACCGTTTCCTCATCGAGAATCCCATCTTCGTCCTTGGCGGCCGGCGCGAGCTTCTCCATCTCCATCTTCAGTCTCTTCGCTCGTTCTCTGATACCCAACATTCGCGCCCAGACCTCCTGCTCTCGGGCGTTTAAGCTTGGGTCGAACACTTCCCGCTGCAGGCTCTCAAGCTTGGCCTTCAGTTCTTCCTCGGCATTGTCCATGACATAGCCGCGATTCCGCAAGATTTGTACCTTCACAGCCAATGCTAGCGTCCTTCGGGCCGTCGCCAACTGCCGCCTCTTGCTTTCTTCAAGTCTCGTGGCCACGTTTTGCCGGTGTTTGTCAAGCTGCACATCGAGGGAGGTGTTGATCTCCTGAAGCATCATATTGCATCTTTGTATAGCCTCCATCTGTATTTGGGCCTTTCGACCTAGCTGGAAGAATCCTTGTATGAGAAGAGGCACCCAATCCGACCCCGGACGTTTGGAAACAGCTTCTTCCCACTTATCCTCATCTTCTCCAGGCCCTGGTCTGTATTTCAAAGCTTCCGTTTCGTTCTCGACGTGCTGGTACAGGTATGCCCGCAGAGGAGACGAGAGACTTGTTGGGTCCCATTTGTTTTTGACAATGTTCATCTGTGCCGGTACCGACCTGAAGACGTTCAGACCCCGGCCTTCCTCCCATAGTGATTGTGATGGGGGTTGGCCTTGGTGCGACGAGCCAAACCGTAGGGTCTGATCAAGAGGACGCTGTGGAGGCTGTTGTGCCTGTTGCTGCGCCTGCGTCGAGGTCCCAAACAGTCCTCCCGTCTGCTGTTGTGGCTGGGTCGAAGTCCCAAATAAGCCTCCGCTCTGTATCTGCGGCTTTGATGCGCCGAAAAGACCTCCTCCTTGTTGTTGTTGTTGAGGCTGTGCCGTCCCGAAAAGGCTTCCGGTCTGTTGCGCCTGTGTGGAGGTCCCAAACAATCCGCCGCTCTGCGTGGGTTGCAATTGGGAGGTACCAAAACTGAAACCTGGAGCATTGCTTTGCTGCGGCTGTGTCTGTGTCTGCGATTGTCCAAATAGTGAAGACTGCGTAGTCGATTGACCGGAGGAAGGGTTATTGAAGCTGAACAGGGGAGGTTTCGCCTGCTGTGACTGATTCGCAGTCGAAGAACCAAAGAGGCTCATTTTCAGACTTAGCAAGAGGCGCTGGTCGGAAGGGGAATATGAGAGATACGGTGTCGGTGGTTCTTTTCAACGGTCCATGTCGCAATAACAGATGACAAGCAAGCGAGTGACAATACCTCAGCCGAAGACCTCGAGCATGTAGGCAGTTTATGACAGTGCAATTCACTGAGATAAACACGCGAAAGTAGCGACGCGAAATATGGAAAGCGGAGAAGCGTCCCGGGCTGCAAATCCGTCATCACGTGATAGAGGCTTGGCAGGATCGAGAATCAAGAAACCGTCAACACCTCTACAGCATCCATCTACGCACTGGAATGCTGAAATGCGAAACAGCAAAACATGTCCTTGGACTTCATGCTCCAGGCGCGAGGCATATCTATGTCGCCACAAGAAGCTTTCCGCAACAAGGGTGTTTGAATTGGCGAGGCGGGCAATGCCAAACAAGCGTGGAACATGCGGAGCGACGGCCCGCGTGGATGAGAAGGACCAGGAGGTTGAGCAGCTCACGCCTCGAGTACGCCGATGCTGGTGATGAGCCGAATTTGAGCCAGCTCCCCTGATACCTGACACCTGAGCAAAGCCGCAAGGCCATGGTCACAAACGAGTGCCAACGCAAGGTATTTTGTCGGCGCTGAATGCCACTGAACCTCTCATCAGGAAGGGTTATGCAGCAGACTGTGCAATTTCAATCACGCACGAATCAGTTTGTTCTTTCCCGTGAGTACAGTCGGACGAATGGAAGGAGAATTGATGAGGAGTCAGAATCCTCTGCCGCTACAAGAATATATTGCCCTTATATGCTATGCTCGGGGGAAAGCAGGCTTGCAGCAAGTCGTCGAGGCAGCAGCTGGATTCGATGAAGGAGGATTCTTTCATCTCTCTCCCATCCATATACAGAAAAGACCGGTACCCAAAGCGCGGGAGATTCTGTTTATAGCGGAAGCTCCCGAACGAGATCATGTCTGCTTTTGTTCCGACTAGCCTTCAGTGAACGGCTGTCAACATATGGCGACCTGCAAATCGATAAATATTCAACAGTCCGCTTGCTAGGTCAGCTTTGGAATACCACTGCTGGTACTCTCGCTCCTCCCGCCCAGTACAGCCTTACCACCCTCTTCCTCCACCTTGACACCTTCCTCCCGCAGCGCAGCCGCCTGCACATCAGTAAGTTGATCCAGGTCAATGGTGATCTGCGGTCCCCGGAACCACTTGCGCGCATCGATGGCATAGTACAACAACGCACCACCCCAGACCGCCGAGTTGATGACGCAGGTATAGTTCATGCTCTCCGAGTCCGGATTCGGGCCACCCACAGGAAACATGGCCAGCAGTGTGCCAAAGATCAGGAACAAGACAGCCAGCCATGCGATGGGCGTGGACATCTTGCCCGTATAGATTGGACCGGGACTGAATTTGCTCTGTCCCCAAACGACGCGACAGAAGATGGGCGTACCCCAGGCTAAATTGTTCCCGGCGACGGCAAGAGAGAATAGTGCCGCGGCGGCGGCGGGAGCGATCAGGCACAGCAAGCCGAGAATGGCGGCCAGCATCGCGCAACCGATAGTCGTGCGGACAGGAATGTAGCCGAACGTCTTGGAGATGGGCCGGAAGAATTTCGAAAAGGGCAGTGCTCCATCTCGAGAGAAGGCCCAGGATTGTCGGGATGCAGCGACCAAAATTGAGATACCCATCTACCAGGAAAGCCTTTTGTCAGCGAGGCCCGCGAATCAAACCATGACTTGAGACTTGGCGACTTACCAGAAACTGCACAATCATCAACAGAGACATAAATCCCAGCGCGCCGTTCTTGCCCAGCGCGTCAAAATATATCTGCGCCATAGGCTGGCCGAATGGGGATCCGAGGATGTGCTCGAGATCTTGAGACATGCATGCGGCAATCACGATGCAGCAGATCCAGCCGAAGATCCAACATGAGCCAATCGAGAACAGAATTCCGAGGGGTACAGCCTTGACGGCATTGGCGGCTTCCTCGCTGCAGGGCTGTCAGAATCTCTTCTGATTGAGGACTGGTCCTCTGGTCAAGCTTACCTGATATGTACCGCAGAATCAAATCCACCAATGGTCCAGATCGGACTGAGCCACGACAGAATGAACGCCCATCCCGATGGCCAGGTTGTGAGATTCTCGACATGTGTGAAGATATACGAGGCGCTGTTCCGCGAACTCCCGGCTCCGATAGGCAAGGCGATGATGGTCGCAAAGATCAGAACGAAATTCATCACCACGAATACCGACTGCAACTTGCCCATCCACTTGGCCATGGTCGATGCAATCGCGCCGTGAGAGACGACAGTTGCCAGGAACACGCCGTAGATCTGGCCGTTCGTAGGGGCCCAATTTCCATCTCGAGCGATCACGATGACTGAGAGAAATTGCAGGGCAAAACCGTCTGTGGCTGGTAAGTATCTCCAACTTGTGTGAGGATCATGAGGGGCGTACAATCAATGGAGCAAAGGCCGCCGACGAGTCCTAAGGTATTGCTGTACCCAACAAGGAAACTGAGCATGTTCCTCCATTTTGGTGAGGCGTAATAATGTGTCCAATAGTACAGGCCTGAGTCTTGTCAGCTTCGGTAAATGCCAATATACACCCGTCGCGGCCGCAGACAATAGTTGGCGCATTATCGTCAGAAGGAGAAACAGTACAAGCAGTCCAAAAGTTGAGTGACCGCCTCCACGCATGTCCGGCTTCAGTAGACCCACGTGTCACTCGAACAGAAGATGAAAGACAACACACTAACCTCCACTTGTGGGCATGCTAGATCCTAGGTCTGCCATAGCCAGGCCAACGACGAAGATGAACATGGACGCAAGGAACCATCCCCAAACTAGACCGACGGGGCCTGCTGGAATCGAGAAGGACAGAGTACTGGCAATCGAAGGCAGTAGACCCATGATCGCAAAAGCAATTCCGAACACCTCGACCATACTAAAGTTGCGGCGAAGCTCTTGCTTGTACCTGCAGCAAAATGTATTAGTCCCAACTATGAATCTGTCGTTTGTGCCATGTGTACACACCCCATCTTAGCTAGAACTGCAGCATCCTCCTCACTTGCAAGAGTCGGATCGACGAGCAAGGAACCCCGGCGCTCGGACGGAGGAGCTTCAGGGTCAGCGCCATTGAGCTTCGAATCCATCGCAACCATCTCTGATGTGTCACAGCTGGGTAGTTGACGCTGAGATAGCTTGGAAAGGGCGCCAAACAAGACTTATACTATATCGAATCGAATAGCAAAGAAGAGAGGTCAGGAAAACCTCGGCAGGGTAAGATGTGCTTCAAATAGAGGAGAAGACAATGACCCCATGGCCATGTTAGAAGCGGGCATCTTTCCACTAATTGAGTTTGGTAAAGTGCGATATCGACCACCAAGGGTGTGTACTCCGTGACGATTTCGTGATCGCAGGTGGTTGGGTGAAGGCCACGAAGATCCTACCAGTCAGTGGCGTGAACGATAACAAGAACGACGGTGCAATGATAAGCATTTACAAGCACAGATCCCTGATAGTTTAACGACGAGACTTGACCCAAAGGGTACGTCCCCGATGGTTGTGCTTACCATTCTGCGTTCAGTGGACAGTGGACACGGACATGGATGAAAGGAAAAACGACAGGCCGATCATCACCGCAGAGTGCGGAATGGAGGAGACGTGAGAGGAGAAGGAGGAAGGCTGGACGCCATCAACGCTAACAAGCACGCGATATGAGGCGTCCTCGTATTTGACTGGCCTTTGAAACCGAGGAAACCCTCGGTCCTGCTTGGACTTGCTGCATAGGGGAAAGAAATGCATGAATCTCAACGTCCATCAATGGACTTGTCCGTCAATCTTTCGAGTAATCTACCTGAACGATAACAAGAATACACGACCATGATTGACTCGAGCATCGAGTACGCTTCAATCGTATTGTGATTGAATTAGTCAACCGTGCCCATCAAGCGGTCTTCAGCAGCTGCCCCTTTGTAGGAAGCAGAGCGAACCGCGACGGTGTAACGAATGTGAATATATAAACAGCAACACGCCATGCACCAACCTCCGAGAGTAATGAATGATATCGAATGGAGCAGCTCACAACACGGCTGCCGAACCACACGATAGTATTGATATGATCGCAACAAACGGGTAAACGAGCTCATGACTTTTGAGCCGGCAGTCTTCCTGACATCTCCATGTCCCTGTCTTCCCTCCGAAAGACCCGACGACCCAGTGACAACAGCTCCTTGATCGACAAACCAAAATCCAACACAGCCATCATGCAGACCGCGCCTTAGCAAATTCGATTAGTTCCCTCAAGTGGTCCACTGGCCGAACTCAGGTCGCAGGTGGGATAGAAAAATGCAGCCACTGCAATGATCACATAAGCTGCGATCAACAATGCGCCTTCGAGATAGTTGCTGCGCCCGTCAATCATCAGGAAGCTGACGATGAAGGCACTGGCAAACAAGCTGACTGTCTCGAAAAGACTGAAATACAGACTCATATCTGTCTTGATGATCCAGCCGAGGATGACCATGAGTGGAGTGACGAACAAAGCAATCTGAATACTGCTACCCAGCGCAATATTGATGGCAAGATCCATCTTGTTCTTGGCCGCAACGGTCACGGCTGTGACATGTTCAGCGGCATTGCCGACGATGGGAAGAATAATAAGACCGACAAATGCCTGACTGACACCACTGTTCGAAACGAGGTAATCAATGCTTCCGACCAGGAACTCGGCGCAGAGGGCAACAAGGGCTGTGCTAGACAAGAGGAGGATGATGGCCGAAGTACGCGAGAGATGCTCTTTAGTTTCCACAACCTCTTCAGTCGCTGCCTCGGCTCCTGGTTCAGAAGTTGCAGTGATCACCGGAAGGGTTGGACTGTTCAAAGTTGATAACCGAGGATTATTTGAGATGGTGGGATGGATCATGTCTGGCATTGAGGAGGTCCGACGCAGGCCCCGGGAGCTGGATCTTGGCTGTGAAAGAGGTCGAATCGGAATTGCCAATGATCTTCCGAGCGCTTCATGATGAGGGAATACTGTTGAGCTGAATGCTGGCTTGACTGCCTCTCCAATATTGCGGATATTGAAAGGTTTGCGAGCTGTGCCGTCGGCCGGGACCTCTTGGACCTCGTTTGCGAAACCAACTTGGGGCAACAGCGTGTTCAATGTGGAGAGGGAACTTGCCGTCTGTGTTTCGATCGCAGGCGCCTTCTCCTGGTCTTGCATTTTCTCCTTTTTCCAGCGTTTGGACTTTTTGGACTTTTTGCTATGCTTTTTGGGTTTCTCAGACAAGTGGTCCGCGTGGGCCGCAATCTCAAAATCCCGTGTGTATACAGCCCGGGTTCGAGAACGTCGTCTACCGGTCCTGCCCTCGCCATCAACATCGGCCTCGTCGCCACTAAAGACAGGCTCCAGGTCTTGAGTTGCAAGGGAGGTGGTCTGATTCACCGAACCGCCAGGCCCAGTCAGGACAGACGGACTTCGGGTAAGTGCCGGGAGTGATGAGTTGTCCTTGGTGCTTGAGGTTGACTTGCGTCTCTTACGACGAAGAGCGCGTCGGAAGCGTTTCGCAGTGGTATGTGAACCAGAGCTAGAGTCTGTGTCGGAACTGCTCGAGCTGGAGCTATCACTCGAGCTCGACGAGTTCAAAATGTCGGCAAGAACACCAGGATGAGACTCTTCATCGATCAGATGTTGAGGTGTGCTTTGATACATGAAAGCATGCGACTTGAGCTGAAATAGCAGATAGATGAGGTAGACCAATAAAAGGACTACGCTAGTACCTCTCGACACTTTCAACACGACGTGGTCCGCTCGGTTGGTGTCTGAGAAGGATGCATGGAAGGCTGTCTATCACATTGTCAGCCATGGTTCGACGATCGATGGTGGTGGACTTACTGGTAGCAAAAGACTGATGACACTCAAGCAGAGAAGACAGGCGCTCATTTGAGACACGGTTGCATTATACAACTGTTCTCGAAAGCGAAGACCGCCGGCGACAAAGCACATGCCCAGGATCAACAGTAGATTGGACAAGATTGAACCGAGGGCAGCGGCTTGAACTACGCGGACTTCGTTTGCGGCGAGTGCGATGATGAAGATGATCAGCTCGACAGCGTTGCCAAAGGTCACATTCAACAAAGCACCGATTGTGTCTCCCAACTTGATCGCCACACTTTCCGTGGCATATGCGAGCAGCGATGCCAGGGGAATGATGGCAACCGCATTGATGGCAAACACGACGGTAGGGCTTACCAAGTCGGTATGAGCCCAATCAACGAGAATTCCCAAAATGATTCCCACAGGCACGAAGATAAGGAGCCAGTTGATCCAACTGGAGTAGAGGATGCGCTTGACATCTCGGAGGAAACGGTTGACCAAGGGCGCCTTGACCTTGGTAGCAGGAGTTCCTATGGGGGAAGATTGCGCTCCATCTCCTTTCTTGTCCACAGACGATGGCTGTTGTTGCTCTTTATCCGCTCCATCTCTACGTGACTGGGGGGTTGCAGGACGAGCTGCAGAGGGTCCGTGGCTAGCATGATTCGAGGTGGTATCGGTGTCGTCGGATCGGGGTCGAGATGATTCGACAAGATCTTCGTGGCGGGATCGGAGAGGGTTGAGGGACGACGCTGCTGGAAACGTGGTCTTAGCCCATGAGTGTAGACGATTTGACAGCGGAGGCTCGTCGGCTGAGTCGACCATCGGCGTATGAATGGGCGTAGAGGGGAATTGTGAATGAATGTGTTGTACAGACTTGCTTTCAAAGCAGGTCGCAGCAGGAGCGGAGATGTGAATGTACGAGAACAGAGGTAGAGCGGAGGAGTTCTAATAAGCCCTAGAAGAGAGTCGCTGGAAGCCGAGCACCCGCTAAGGGCGAGAGTCTTGGGGATCTCTTAGCCACAGGCCACCTGGGCTTTGGGGGACGGGGTGGAACGAATGGAGGCTGTGTGATTTGGTGAAGATAGCGGCATAGGCGCGTCAAGCCTGGTTGCGCCTGCGGATGAGGTGTGCCGAGTCCCTTGGCGGAATGTACGTTGACGATGAAGCGATAGCCGGATGGCGGATACTTGTTGAAAGAGGATTCTGTAGCACACCGATCAGTTTTTGAAGTGATTATTGTGCGGATTGATTGCTTGATTGTTTCCGATTGATTGCAATTGTTGAGAAAGAGTGAGACGTAGATTGATTTTGATGGTTCCAAGGACGCACATGATAAAGCAGCGCTTGAGGCAGGCGTGGCATGGCGTGGGGAGGCAAGAAGTTAGCGAGTCATGATGTGAGGGTCCAAGCACCCAATCTTGGAAACTGCGGCGGCACACTATGCCTAACTGAGCCGGCTTATCTGATATTGCACCCTGTGTGCGCATTACCCCGCTCATAAGCTTGTTGATCTGCCTCTTTCCCCAGCCTATCGCATCAAAGCCGTCCTGGTACTCGTAACAGGTTCAACTTCCACGAACTTCTCAGGCTAGCCTGATAATCTTCTTCCTTGCTGTAGAAGGCTGGGTGAAGGACGACAGGACATTGAGAGATGGGCAGGATGACGACTCCATCGCCCTCCTGGCAAGGTAGTTCAATTCACGACCATCAATACTAGGCAACTTGGGAGGGCAAGAATTTCCTATGACGAGATGTACAGGAAGGGGACATCATGTGGAGTACACTCATGCATCCAAAGTCTCTACATAACATCATGATCCATTTCTCTGTGAAACTCTCCTTCTAGAGCCAAGCCCAGCCGCAGGTATGCTCTATTGCAGAATGGCATGCTACTGATGACGAGAACCCTGCTGTCACCATTTACTTTGTTTGTCCATTCTCGCCATGGTTTCTCATATGGACGACGAAGCAGCATGTCAGCTTCAAGCCGATTTGCGGGCCTCGCTAAGGCGTGCACATCGTTCAAAGAGACCTATCTTGACCCATCTAAATGCCGACACTTCCTGGCTCATATCCCTCCCATGTCCCGAGCATGCTATTCCGCTGGCAGGACGATCACGGTATAACATCCTCATAGACCCTTGGTTGAAGGGCAGTCAGGAAGACGTGGCTGGGTGGTTTTCGAAGCAATGGCATTCGGTCGAGAGCAGCGTCCCAACCATTGCCGAACTCGAGGATGCCTTACGAGAAGCCGAACGTTTAGACCGAGATGAGAATGACGTGGTCTCCGACTTCGATACGGACTCTTCGGCGCCAAGGGAAGGGTCTTGCGTTGATGCTGTGGTCGTCTCTCACGAGTTCACCGACCATTGTCATCAAGCTACGCTGCTAGAGCTCGACGGCCAAGTTCCAGTGTTCGCGACCAAGAAAGCAGCCCAACTGATACAATCTTGGAAACATTTTGACCAGGTGATTGAGATTGGGACATTTTCCACCAGCACGGACTGGCGGACAACCAGTCTTGCTCCTATGCCTGGCTGGATCGGAATTAGTAGACTGGTCACCGGTTTCGACATGCTGTACTTCCATTCTGCGGTCGTGATATGCGTACAAATGTCAGAGACGTCTGACCACGCTGAAGCAGTCATATATACTCCCCATGGAGTGCAAGCATCAACAGTATCTGTTCTGACGGAAGCGACCCCTAGACTGGAAGCCCTGGCTTTCCTCCATGGTCTGCATGATATTTCTATCGGTTGGACAAGTCAACTTAATCTTGGCGTGGTCAACGCTCTCAAAGCCCAGAAAATACTGGGGGCAAAATACTGGGTTGGCACGCATGACGAAGAGAAGCCGAGTTCGGGGGTGATTGCGCCATTGTTGAAGAGGAAGATCCTGAGCGTATCAGAAGCTCTTGCAAGCCTTTCAGGGACACATACGAGCACTACACAATCGATGATGGAATCAGCTGAAGATCTGGGCTGCGTTGAGTTGAGGAATGGAGAAAGTCTTTTACTAGAGTAATTGTCGTGGATGGAAGAGATGGGAAAGGGAAAAAGTGCCATGTTTCTGAAGAAGTTTAGCGGCGTCCGGAAATCCATTCTCTAAGTTTGATCGAGCGTCTGTCGTAATCGACGTGAAATTTCAGGGTTGGCTCTTGTTTAGCCCCATCACGCCCGAATCTCGATGGGGGTGATGGGGGCATGATGGGGGCAGTCTACTGTGATATCAGTGCGGAAGCGAGGCGTGGCAGCATCACCGTTGATCTTATAGGCCACTCATGACCACTCGGGGCCACTCAGGACCACTGTAGGGCTCTAGAACTTGCCTGTGGACCGGCTTCAATTTAGGCGTCGTCCGGTGTGTTGCTCAAGCAGCCTGCGCTCAGTCCCCCTCGCATTATTGTAGCATCCTCGCATCGTACCCGAGCACTCGCACATCCCCCGCTTGACTTGATTCCTCGCCCGGTCGGTCTCCTGAGAACAACCACGAGGCCAACAAGGACGAGGATATCTCATCCGTACTTGGACATTGGTCTTTATCATGCTAGGAGGACCTCTTTCGTGCTGGGGAATTGAGCTTGGAATTCCTGCTTGACATCGACACTGATCACGCCCTGATCTTCCGTGCCAGCCATTGCTTTCACCACCATCAACGAATTCCTCTTGGTGTCCAATTACAGTACCACTCCTTAACACTTGGGTTTTTCAATTGTGGGCAGGACAGAACTTTACCCAGCTGCTCAGCGTCCCAGCTTTGCTGCGGCTCTGCCTTAGACCACTTCCAACGACTCCAGGCTCAAACCTTACCCTCCCACTCTCGAAAATCCCCTACCCACACTACCCACGCTCGTTGTTGCTCCTCTACCCCATAGCACAATACATCAACTAAGTATTTCGACTATCCGCCAAAGGAACATTTCCTAGGTGCTATTCCACCTCCGTCCCTGCGCGCCGCCGTTGCCTTCGGTCACTTTCTCCGAACTGCAACTTCCACCCTTGCCACTGAGCCGTTCAGTGAAGAATGCCAGGGCTGCATGCCGGCGGACAGAAACCCAGACCCAGCAGGTCCCTTCCCTCTAACGCCCTCAACCGCAGAAAGTGGACTTACGCATTCCCTCAAGCGACGCTCTCAAGAGTCCCGAACTACCTCGCCTTCCATTGACGTTCCTGCCCGGAAATTGATCAAAAGATCTTCCTCGCTTGCCGCCCCAGCTTCCAGACGTAATGACTTAACACATCGACGTCGTGGTGGGCAAGATGAGGAAGGCCAAGAGGAGGACTTGACAAAGACTTCATTCCCTGCTCCCAGGCGATCACTGACCGGCGGCCATTCGAACTCGCTACTTGAGGCGACTGCAACAATCCTAAGCCAAGAGGGCAACATGACGCCCACTAGGACGCCCGGCACTGGGCGAGATTACGCTGGAAGCGCAATACCTATCAGGTCATCGCCGCATACCGGTCCTGCAACGACCGAACAGAAGAGCGGAACAAGATCTCATGCCCCTCCAGACCCAAGGCCGCCAACCGGGCACCAGCTGCTACATTCGGTCGCTCTGGTCGAGTATTTACAGCTGGACGAGCGCCCTACAATCGTGGTGGACATAGGTGACGATGCCAATCTGTCCAACGGGCTTCAGATCCTGTTCGCCAATGCTGCTCTAAAGTCTCGGTCCTCGCTTTTCGACCACGTTCAGGGACGTTCCGAGGATCCCACTCTCTTGCTTGATCTAGGAACATCATTCAATGATTTCAGATCGTGGGTTCTGGCCCCAGCAACAGAAGTCCTTGTTGTAACAAAATTTCCCTTCGCGGGCTTGTTGTGGCAGAGCTCTCTGATTCGAAGACGGCTGAAGGTGGTACAAGGACAGCCACATCCCTTCTCGCCTCCTGCGCTCGGTGACAATCCTGGCCGGCCTCAGATGCAACAATACAAGGGGTTGGGTTCTACGTCTTCGTCCGCAACCGGCCGCGGAGATGCCACCTCGTCAAGCTATTTCGACATCTCTCCGCGGCCAAGCTCGCACATACCCAGAACAATGGAGAGCTTAGTGTCGAACATGTCGAACCCTTCACCACGCACACCAGATGATGCTTCTCCCCTTTTTACTGGAGATATGAAAGATGCTGACCCACTGTCTGAACCGCCCTCGACCGGTAGGGATGGAGTGACAATGTCTTCAATTGCTCCCACTGCAACAGGCACCGGGATTGCTCCCATTACAGCAGGTACCGGCTTGGTGGTCCCAGTGGAGGAAAGAAGCTGTTTTGACTGGACACGTTTGCCCATATCGCCATCGCTTCCTGCACATGTACAATTCGCTCGCGGAGTCGACTGGGCGAATACCAGCCTTGGTCCCATCGAAGCCTGGTCTGCAGATCTTCGGGCGATGTGTAATCTAATTATGGCAAGTCCTCACCCTTCGGCGATGTATTGGGGAAGGGACCACGTCGCCATCTACAATGAAGCATACGTTTTGCTCGCTGGGCAAAAGCATCCCAAGCTGATGGGTATGCGCTATCGAGATGCATGGGCCGAGATTTGGGACGCGCTCGAGGATGTCTTTGACAGTGCCTTCAGCAATGCCCAAGCTACCATGAAAGACGATGACTGTTTGTTCATGATGCGTAACGGCTTTTTGGAGGAAACGTACTTCTCCTGGTCAATTATTCCACTGATCGGCGACGACGGAAGCGTGGTTGGATTGTACAATCCTGCTTTTGAGAAGACTCGCCGCAAAATTGCAGAACGGCGTATGCTTACTCTCCGTGAAATAGGCGAGCGTACGGCCACGGCGAGGGAGGTCTCGCACTTCTGGGGTTTGCTGCTTGAGGGTCTGGAATACAACGAATACGATGCGCCCATGGTCATGATATATTCTCTCAACGAGGATTTATCAGACAACGAGGCATCATCGTCAGCTTCTAGTGGCGGCGCGTCAAACAAGGTGTGCTACTTGGAAGGCACTTTGGGAATCCCTTCAGGGCATAAAGCCGCACCTCCCGTCATTGATATGAAGACAGGAACAGGAGGATTCGCAGCGTCCTTTCGACAAGCGTTGACAAATGATAGACCTATCGTGCTTCGTGTGGATGATGGCACTCTCGAAGCGGATATGTTGGAAGGCATCGAATGGCGAGGATTTGGGGACCCTTCACGGATCGTTGTCATTGCGCCTATTCGGCCCACTACTGGTGAATCGACTTTAGGGTTTCTGGTCATGGCTACGAATCCGAGGAGACCATATGACGAAGATTACGATCTCTTTGTTCAACTCCTTGGTCGACAATTGGCGACTTCAATCGCATCGGTGGTCTTGTTCGAAGAAGAGATCAAAAAGCGTGAACGAGCGGCTCAACTGGCGGCCCAAGATCGAATAGAATTGAACAACCAATTGGTCGCGAGGACACAGCAAGCCGTGGAAGCTGAGAACAAATTCACCAGGATGGCAGAGCTGGCACCCGTGGGAATGTTTGTTGGTGATGCCGATGGCCAGATCAACTTTGTCAATGACGCGTGGTATAGCATCACTTCCCACCCGCGCGATGTCGTGGTCGATCGCGAGTGGATCAAGTATGTTGTTGATGAGGACCAGGTCAAGGTGCGCGAGATGTGGAAGACCATGGTGGACAAGAGATGCGCAGTCTCGATGGAATTCCGTTTCAAGACACCTTGGCGAGACAAGGTTGGTAACACCGGGTCCACCTGGGTTCTGACAAGTGCATCGCCAGAGCGAGATGGGGACGGACGAGTAGAACGAGTCTTCGGATCAATGACCGACATCAGTGCACAAAAATTTGCAGAGAACCTCCAGACTCGTAGGATGGAGGAGGCCGTGGAACTCAAACGTCAGCAAGAGCGATATATTGACACGACATCACATGAAATGCGCAACCCTCTGTCCGCAATCCTCCAGTGCGCCGACTCCATCGCCGCTTCCTTGACCGAACTGAGTGAAGCAAATCAGCTGACCGGACCTCAAAAGGAAATCCTCGAACTGACCATTGACTCCGCTCAAACGATCACTCTTTGCGCTCAGCATCAAAAGAGGATTGTGGATGATGTGCTGACGCTATCTAAGCTCGATTCTGCTATGATGGCGGTGTCGCCCGCAGACACACAGCCTATCAGTGTAATGCACAAGGTCCTCAAGATGTTCGACGCAGAATTGAAGACAAACGACATCAAGCTGGATATCCAGATCGATTCCTCCTACGCCGATCTGCGAGTGGATTGGGTACGGGTCGATCCTCATCGACTGTCCCAGGTTCTGATTAACCTCATGACCAATGCTATCAAGTTCACGGCTACACAGGAAAATCGCGTGGTACGCATGCACGTAGCAGCGTCCAAGGCAAGACCATCGCAAGAGGATAAGTGGAGGCTGACTTACATTCCATCCCGCACCTCACAAGACAAAGACGTTACAGCAGGCGGAGAATGGGGTCTGGGTGAGCCTATTTTCATCCACTTCGCCGTGCAGGACACCGGAAGAGGCCTGGATGACTTGGAGAAGAAGCAACTGTTCCAACGATTTTCGCAAGCCAGCCCTCGCACTCACGTCACATATGGCGGGTCTGGTCTGGGTCTCTTCATCTCAAGAGAACTGGTTGAGCTGCAGGGCGGCGAAATTGGTGTGGCTTCGGAGAGTGGGAAAGGAAGTATATTTGCTTTTTATGTCAAAGCACGCAGGTGTCAACGCCCTGACGGTACATCGGAGGATGATCAGGCTGGGTCTCGGAAAGGCTCGAAATCGACCCTGTTGACGAGCTTGAGCACCCAGAATTTCTCGCCCACACAGACTGCTCGATCTACTCCCAAGCCCGCCTCGCCAGCCAGACCTGTCCTCTCAAACGATTTGCACGTCCTTGTCGTCGAAGACAACCTCATCAACCAGAAGGTTTTGGCCACACAGCTGCGCAAGATTGGTTGTGTCGTCTATGTCGCCAATCATGGAGGCGAAGCCATCGACCAAATCAGGGCATCAAAGTTCGACCGAGACCACGTCGCAGATGGGGTTAACATTGATATCGTCCTGATGGATCTCGAAATGCCCGTCATGGACGGCCAAACATGCGCCAAGAGACTTCGAGAGATGCAGATGTCTGGCGAGCTCGTCGCACATATACCCGTGATAGCGGTGACGGCGAATGCGAGGGCAGAGCAGATCGAGATGACGCTCAGGAGCGGCATTGATGATGTAGTCAGTAAGCCGTTCCGCATCCCTGAGCTCGTGCCAAAGATAAAGGATGTCATTGCAAGGGTCGCGAGGGCTCGGGACGAAGAGTAGCGTCCAACGCTCAACGAGCTAAGCGTCCGCAATTATTCAGGAAGCCGCGCGGGTCAAGACGGCGACGGTCGTCCAAGGAGGACAGCGACCTCTGAGGCTGTTAGTCCGCTTCACGCGCCGCCAGAGGCCAAAAGGTCAATTTCCGATTAACTAGACTGCTGAAGATACCTGAAGCTCCGCACGACTCGCCCACTCGAGGCAGGCAGGTGTCAAAGCACTAGAGTGAAGCTCCGCACCTGGCACTTGGGACCAACGCACGAAAGATGAAGACCGTGGGACCACACCCACGTACATTTCTGGACATACAAACGCCGGATACGAGTCTGCCTTCAATGGGCCGGCGCATCCCAGCATGCAGGTCGAGAGTCTTAGTATCAATGATCTACCCTGGTCTTTTTGCCCGGGGCACAAGGGATCAAAAGGCATTGGAGCATCAGGGCTGGCACAGAAGCCAGTGTTGCACCCAACCCGGCTGCACAACTCATTTTACATCTTATCAAAGAACTTGGACAAGGCCGCATGGGAAGTGTTGACTGCCTTGATTGTGAGCACGAGCGATGAGAAGCGGGACTTGAGATCTTGATAGATAGATAGTAAACGAGAACATATCATTATTCACTATTCATGACTCCTGCTTGACATTATTATCTTGCAAGCCTCAGGCGAACTCCGAGCAGTGATGGCTTCGTGGTGACGGGGTGTTTGCGAAAGGAAGGGAAACCATGCGCGACACTGAATACCTCTGAATACCACCGGGATTTGGCAGAAGGGAAACCATGCATTCAAAGACTAATAGGGACTTCGACTTTTCTTTGAATCATTAATAGTTGTACATGGTAAATGCTTTATGCTAATGCCAGGTTGGACGATGCTTGTCCCTGTCGAAAAACAACCCATTCAATACTCCTCGCTGATATTAATCATACCCTTCCAGCCGGGAATAGTACAGCTCCGTCGCACGCAATTAGGAAGGTTTCGTCATGGTGTGTGCAGGCAGCACGTTCAAGCAGCAGTAGGAACGGCCTTACGCTCCATACTCTTTCGGTGGTTATGGTATCTACCATCTGCGGTGGGTGACGCAGAAGGGTTTGTCAAGCCGCCTCTCGAAGAAGGACCATTTGTAAGATCGTTCATCCGTCCGTTCTTGTGCTCGTCACCGAGGCCGGCGTTGTTCTCGATGTCGTCTTGTCTGTGTCCCAACCCGTTGTGCAGACCGCCGGCGCCCGTGTTGAAGCCAGTTGCTTGTCCACGTAGACTGTGCGCAGCGTCGAACGGAGCGCCGCCAAGAGCCTCTTCATAGCCCCATCCTGCTCGTCGGGTGAACACGGTTGATTCGAATCCTCCAGCTCCGGCAGCACCTGCGCCGTACGTGAAGGGAGTGTGTCGAGTCAGGGGAATGTGGTTGAAGCGGAAGTCCCAGACAGAAGCATACACCATGCGGTAGGCGGAAATGGCGAAGGTGGAACCGATGATGGCGCCAGCGAGACAGTCATACCAGTTGTGGAACTCGTCAATAGTCAGTGCACCAGTAATCAAAGTCGCGCCGAGGATGGGAGCGTAGAGCGCAATGAGTTTCCAGAACGCTGGGTGGTGGTTGCTGAAGATCTTCATCTTGGCATTGAGGTAGAAGTAGAGGTACAGAAAGCCGGCCCAGGCGGCCGTGCTGTGGCCAGATGGCATTGACTCGAGCGAGTCGTTGATCTGGTTGATGTCTCCTCGGCAGATGTCTCGCTGGAACATGATTCCACGGTAACCCTGACCGCCTTGGGCTGCGACCTTGGCTGGGTCTGGATCGCAGACAGTCAGGAAATGAGGTCGGAGACCACCAATCAACCACTTGACAAAGACTTGGAAGACGGCCGCTCCAATGAGAGAGTAGAGGAGGCCGAGGATAGCGTTATTGCAGTCCCAGAACGAGCGGATGCGGACTTGCATGCACAGGATGATGAAGATCGGGATTATGGAGGCCAGTAGGGCAGCGAGCCAGATAGGCACGATTTCATGGCGCAACGGGTAGGCGAATTCAGGGTAGACGATTTCTCCATCGGTGAAAGTCACTGGGAAAGAACGGCTAGGGGCAGGGTTTGCTTCGTAGACTCCGAGACCGACGGCGCCCATGGCGATCATGGTCAAGATATCGACCCATGTGAACTTGAGCCTGGAAGAGATTAGACGTCATGGTCTCGACAAAGTCAAGGTTGCTTACCATTGACCAAAGCTTGGTCTGCGATTGAAGTTGCCGGAGTCCATGTCGAACATTGGTCGACGCGTCCGGTCGGAGCCCCATCGTTGACCTCTCTTCTCATGGCCACCGTTGGTGGCTGTCGCCGTTGTGTCTTTGTTGCGTCTGCCGAAGAGACCCATGGTTGAAGACGTATGTCAAGGGTAGAGGAGAGAGGGGTCTGTATGGGCGGATGTTACTCTGCAAGAAGAATGGAGAGATGGGTCTCTTGACTGGCCCTGGCTACCGACCTGAGAAGACGAGAGTGAAGTGAAAGTGAAGGGGACACGACCTGAAATATGAAAGGCTCAGGCTTCTGTAAGAACTGCCTACTAGTCAATGGTCACATAACAAGAGGTTAATGGGATTCAGGAATGACGCATATTTGCTACAGGTTAGCGTGTTGGAAAGAAGGCGTTCTGCCTTGTTTTTGTGTTTGACAGCCTCGTTTGTTCTGCATTGGACTTGAAGTGATTGGCATCAAGTTGGAAGATCTACAAAAGAACCGAGCAGAATTGGGACACATGATTTCACGCTAGTTTTTAGGGTGGTCTTGGCAATCTTGGCTGACGTCGAACTGTGGCTTGATCGTTAGTGATCTTTCCGCAATCGGGATCAGTGGCTTTTCAGATCGAGATGAAAGCATCAAAATGGGACAAACGTGAATGCAGAGGCCACTTTTACTGGCAAGGGATTGACATGAACATGCATTAGCTACAGAACAGTGGTCATGATCTGTCTCATTTCTCCAGGAAAGAGAAAGAAAGAGGAACCAAACCCGGAGACAAATCACGACAAGCATCACGAAAGACTGCCATCACATCGAATCAAGCTTTACGTCCACCAGCTCTTCCTTGCGATAACTTGCGGCTTACGCCACAACGCCACACGCAACCCCGGTCCGCTTGTTTACTAGGACCGTTACTGACCGTCTGTATATCACGGGACTAAGATCGCACTTAACAGAACATCACAGCATGCATGAAATAAATAATCAGCAGAGCACGCGGCTGAGGAGTAGTGACATATTAAAATACAGCTATCGAGGAGGGGAATTCATCTCTTCCATCAAATGTCCTTGACTGGCAGCAACGAGCTCAAGCGCTATTTCGTGTCGAGGTTATGCGCGAGCACCAGTCACTGCGTGCCAATAGCTTCATCTTTACTCAGCAGTGCCGGGTCAAGCATAATAAAAGACCAATCAGTCCACTTTTGGTCGCCTTCATTGCTACAAGTCGAACTTGAGTTGTTCTGTTCCAGTGAGAGGGAAGTCGAGATGATCCCTTCGTCTGAGATGAGTTGCAAAAACCAGTCACAAACCCAATCAACGCCGAGTGATTCATGTCCATTCCTAGTCCAGGGTATCAATCCAATTCATTCTCTCAAATAGTTCCATCATCTTATAGCAGAGCCCGACATCGTCGCCTGGCTCGCCACCAAACAATTTAATTTGTTCAGCCTCGAGCTTGACAGCCTCCCGAATTTGTGCCATGTCTCGGTTCTGCCAGGCCACGTATCTGTTCTGCCAATGCTTCGCGGTCACAGTGGTACTCGGATTCCGCAGCATTGGAGGGAGTGAAGGTTGTTTTGGGCTTGTCTCTGGAATAGAAGCGGGATAAGGCGCAGACGGCTTGAGCGAGGTGATGGTGTTGTCCGATAGATCGTAGGTAAATTTCAGAAAATTGTTATTCCGGCTGCGAGTGCGAACCCTTCTGCGGTTGTGCTTGTGTGCCATTGTATATGGGTGTTTGAGGGTTTGTGCTGTCGTGAAGTCAAGTGAGTGCCAGCTGTAGTAGTGAGGCTGGGAAAAAGTGGAAGAGCAGAGCAGCAGGACGGCAACATGAGATATAAACTGAAGTACTTGCCATAGCTAATGAGCCTTGGTAAACAGAACGGGATAGGCAGAGTGAGTCACATGAGACAAGAGCCTGAGCAAAGTCTTTGAAGAGTGAGTTGTATGATGAGAGTTGGGTATGACTCGCTTCTCGAGCACGCAACAGGCAACACACGGCTTTGTGGCGTGAGAGCCAAGGGCGTGGCGTGAATCTGGCCGACGAGAAGGCCGAAGTCCCCTAATGAGTCATGTCACCTTTTCTTGCCGCCAGTATGAGCCAGACACGGCCAGACCACCTCGACTTCTTACTACGGCTCACGGCAGGATGCGATGAGAAGAGACTGCCAAAAATAATTCATAGTCTTGCTGCGCACTACATCATCCCCTTGTAGCAATGATTGTGTCCTTTCCGATCATTTGAACTTGCGCCCGATGTCTGCGAATGCAGCTGCAGGTAAGAGATAAGCGGAGATGCACCACACAGAAAACGATTCACCGTATAGAGTCTTGGCATTGATCCAGAAAGAGCACGGTGGAGCACTGACTTCAACAAGCAGTTGCATTACCAGCCTTTCTAGTCCACAGTAGCTCTACTAAGTCAAGTGTCCACCGACAAGAGATGGTACCTTCAAGACAGCAATAGTCATCAATCTCAACACCTGAAGATGACACAAGCTGTTCTTCCAGGCCCACCAGGTGTATCTCAAGGGGAAGCCATATCTTGCGGATAATGATAACCGAGCGAAAAGAGAAGGTGCGTTTGGGGACTTCCAGCGGATCACTCAACCATCACAACAGCCGAGGCTCAATGGGATCGACGACCGAGATCCCCAGTTCTCAAGGAGTACTTCCCCAGATATCTCAACCAGGACGTTATCCGCGGCAGGTTCTGGATTCTTTTTCTCTTTTTCAGTATATACATTACCGGTCGAAGAATCTCGAAGACACAGAACATCACCGATTGCAAGAGCGCAACATGACATCGTCAGCCGAGCTTCGCGTGTCATCGCTGTTCAACTTCAGTAACCATGTTGTACTCGTAACGGGGGGAGCCACGGGACTCGGCGAAATGGCAGCGCAAGGGTTTGTGCAGAATGGAGCCAAAGTCTTCATTGCAAGCCGGAAGGAGTCCGAACTGAAGAAGACGTCTGATCGACTCAACAAGCTCGGTCCTGGCACCTGCGAGTACATCATCGCCGATTTGAAGGATAAAGCTGGCTGCGATGGCCTGGTCAAGGAGGTCAAGAAGCGGACTGATCGCCTAACCGTCCTTGTCAACAATGTATGTGTCCACCTCTCCGCAAGACTGTGCCATTCAAGCAAATGCCTCATCTGTTCCCGCTTACCCCGGTACAACTTTCTGATTATCGCACGCAGACAGGGGCCACTTGGGGAGGACCATGGGATGATTTCCCAGAGAATGGTTGGGACAAGTTGATGGCCTTGAATGTCAAGTCGATATTCTACATGACTGTGGGGCTGCAAGATCTCTTGTTAAAGGGGACCAATGCCGATATGCCTTCCCGAGTCATCAATATTGCTTCCATGGCAGGCATCATGACATCGGATGTCACTTCTGGCGACGATGGAGGCCTTGCTGCTCCTGGTCATGGTACATTCAGCTGTAAGTCGCTTTGATGCTCTAAACCTAAGCACGAGAGCTAATCCTGGTACTGTAGACGGCCCATCCAAAGCCGCCGTCATTCACCTAACCAAGATGCAAGCTTCGAAGCTTGCTCCGTTGAACGTCATGGTCAATTGTGTCTGCCCGTAAGTTCTATGCTGCCTAGGCGGAGGCTTTCCTTGCTGATGGCAACAGTGGTGTCTTCCCATCTAGGATGACGAATTTTGGTATTGAGAAGTTCATGGACACGTTACTAGTGCGACAACCTACCGGCCGCATTGGCAAACCATCTGATTTTGCCGGAGTGATTTTGTTTTTGAGCAGTGTCGCGTCTGCACATATGACGGGCAACGTTATCGAACTTGATGGTGGTAGTGTTCTTAGTGGATGGAAGGCACAGAAGAAAGGGGGGAGCAAGATCTAGTCCACGGGGTTGTGGAGGATTTAGGCCATATCTCAGCCTTGCACAGAATAAGATGTGAAACCATGTCGATACAGTGGTTGCACGGACGATCACGCGAGCAACGTATCAGGCTCTGACACTGGCTGTCTACGGATCGGTTGCAGGAGCCATACAAATATGTATGAGCATTATCCTACGACCGACCACAAGGTGGACGTCCATGGAATACGATAAGCCTATTTAATACGTTTGAGGGAGGCATTTTCTTCACACTCGACGACAATGTATGGCATGCGGGTGTTCCTGATATGTAAGTATGACAGTCACGAAAAATACAGTGTCCCGAAGTATCCGTCTGAGCAAATCATGTCGTCAGTGGCCGAAGCTGCTCGGCAGGTGTAAGGCATTTTGCAAGTGGTTAGTTGCACGTCTAGGGGCCATCGGGGCCTTATTATGGGCTTACTTGGCTACTCGTTAGGGGTCTCGAGGGTCTGGGCTTCACTAGAGCAAAATGTCATGGGGTTTCATCGTCACCCGGCAGCAACTCCCTGCGTCCCTGCGCTTCTTCGGTCAGACACACTTCTGTCGCTTCCATGACAATCGACTCATCCGTCCATCCTAGAAACCTTCATCCACAGATTGTTATCCATCAACCACGCTTTTGGCAACCTTTTTGTATCATCAAAATGGTGGCTTCTTGTCTCTCGTCCTTTACTTGGAGGCTCTATGCTTGAATCGAGTTGACTGCCAGTCGAACCAGTTCATCCCTCCTACCTCGTCTAGCTCGGCCTGGACCCCGCCTGAGCCATTTGTCTCTTCTTCCACATCATCGCCTCGCCACAGCCCTCCTCTTTAACTCTCTGTCCTCCATCATACTCCCATCCGCTGAGCGATGCAGCCCGGTGCTGAGCAGATCCAACATGAGCGATTGGCGATGACATTCGATACCTCTTTACGATCCTCTCCTACATCCCTCTCTTCCGACCCGACCTCGACGTCCGTATTGTCTTTCGCCAACCACAAGGGCTGGCGGCCAGGCCGCTTTCAGCCTCACGGTGATGGCTCGCCTACCTCAATTGTCATTAACATTAATGATGGCGGTTCGACTGGCCGGGGAATCCTCATCGGTGTATTGTCAGCGTTTGGCTCCGCGGGTATCGCTGTGCTTGTTCTCGCTATCTTTTTCTTCTTCAAATACACATCTCGAGGGCGCATCCTGCTAGACCGTATAGGTCGACCCGGTGAATACGATGACGAGCAGGCGTTCGCACATGAGGAGGCGGAAGCGCTGGAGACCATGGATGAATTGCAGAGGACGGAATATCTCAGAGCCAAAGGTGGGAATATATTTATACTTGTCCATGCCCTGGTTCTAACAAGGTTGCAGCTTTTACTCAAGCGAATCCTCCAGAGTCCGCACAAACCGATATATCACTTTCACAGTTCTTAGCGATTCAAGAGAAGGGAGTTTCGGCTTGGGAATTTGAGCCTGAACTAGAGATTGCAAATTGTTTCGTGGAAGCGAGGACCGAGATTGAATTTTTCGACTCGGAATGCAGTGTTCAAAGCAATCTCCCTGTGCCGAAGCAGAATGAAGTATATTACTGGGAGGCTAAGATATATGATAAGCCCGAGAGCAGTCTGATCAGTATTGGAATGACCACCAAGCCATATCCTCTGTTTAGGCTACCTGGTATGTCACCACTCTCCAGGATCAACAGGCTTCTACTGACAGGCTAGGATTCCACAAAACATCAGTTGCCTACACTTCGACAGGACATCGAAGGTACAACCAACCGTTTAATGCGACGTCCTACGGCCCTCCATACGTGCAGGGAGACGTTATCGGTGTAGGCTATCGGCCACGCACTGGAAGTATATTCTTTACACGAAATGGGAAGAAGCTCGACGAGGTTGTGCATAACCTCAAAACTCAAAATTTCTTCCCGACTGTGGGAGCCAACGGACCTTGTACTGTCCATGTCAACTTTGGACAAATGGGATTTGTGTTTATCGAAGCGAATGTCAAGAAATGGGGGTTAGCACCAATGACTGGAAGTTTGGCTCCTCCCCCACCATATGGTAGTGAGCAAGGTAGCATCCTGCTGGAAACGGGAAGAGAGGGTACTCGACAGCCTGCATACGAGCCAGGTCACTCGAGAACCCGCAGTGGACTTGCGAGACTCGGACTCCCTGCTGGCAATTACGGACCTGTACGGACACATACTGATATATCACTGGCACAGTTGGCTCACGTCTCGAGCCAGGATCTCCCCAACCAGGGCAACAGTCTGCTTGACATTGGGGATATCCAGCACCAACCGGTGGAAAATACGCCAGCCGGTCAACAGATCATCCCTCCCCCAGAATATAGCAGTCCACCTGGAAGCCGGAGAAGCAGTGGTGAAGGTGATGATGAGGAGAGAAGAGGGCTGCTGCAGGATCAAGCAGGTCAGCCGCCTATACCGACTTATGATGCTGCCGTTAGTGAAGCGGCGGGACCGAGTCACACATCATGAAAGATAAGATACCCCCAACATGAAATGATATTCTTTACGATTTGTCAATACACATATTTCTCGCCTTGAGTGTCCATCGTTCATCCTATCCGCAGCATAACATTGAATGCGTTGTGAGCTTTGTCATTGGTGACCATGAACTTCTGCAAGCTTATGAAATCATCCGCCTGTTGACTCGCGTGGAGCGTTCTCGCGGCAAGTGGCCAATCGCCAACTTTTCCAGAGATATGGCACGAACTGCGGGTTGCTATGAGGACGTTAGACCCTCAAGAAAGTCCGAGCTCGGCGCCAATGGACGCTTCTTTCGTTCTTGTCTGGGGCAAGACGAAAGTATATACGGTCATGACATGGTCGTCAGCTCGACAGTGCGCAGCTAGATCCCACGACGCAGGGTCAACACCCGACAAACTACAGCCACACTGTCCTTTTGTTGAGCCCTACAACGGATATTTGACTGATCCTCTGGCCCGTATTGTCCGGGTCCTCACTGTTGTCCTTTCGCGTGACAGCTGCTGTGCCCCGACGTCGATCCTCCACATTCCAACGCTGGTGTCACCATGGCCCGTACGATGAGCTGCGTTTGAATGCTCTTGTGACTATTTGCCTGTTCTGTTGGGGGCTCCCACACCATCTCGGATACCGCCACACGAGCACTATCCCACCCCCACCCAGACTCGCTGCAGGCAACGGCCGAAAAGAGATCTATTGAAGACGCGACCGAACCGCGGGAGCGGGCCGCCGGCGGGAGAACAAAGGCATTGTGCAACGAGCCGGCGTTGGTGGACAAGCAAAGAACAAAACAAGGGTACCGAGGTACACACATCAATGCGAGAGCAGCATGCTCAACGCGAAGCTCTTGATCGGCTTCGCGAGCTTGGGAAGAAGCATGGAGCTTCTTTCCAGGTCATAGTGCTGGTATGTATGCTACAATGCAGGGAGCAACAGACATAGCCGTGGATGGGCGCAGTCTTCCCTTCCTAGACTGATCGGAGCGACAATACCTGTGTTGAGACACCTGCCTCCTTCGTCCAATGCTGACCTCCTTTCAGGGCTCATCCGGCGGCCCAAGAGAAGACAACGTCACAGGCCTCCTCGTCCGGGCACCACAGACCGAATGGCGCAAAAGCTCCATGATCGCCGTCGACGCAGGCTCCCATCTCGCCAACATCATCCGCATCCTCGAACGGCAGATGCCCTCGGCTTCAGAGACACTGCCACCAAAGGACTACTCGCACGTGCTCGACGAGGGACCCTTCGCAGGCATCCGCTTCCCCAACATATCCGCCAAAGCCAACGGTCTACACATCTTCCGCCAAATCCTACACGCGTTCTTGATTACCCACCCACACCTCGATCACCTGTCCGCCATGGCAATCAACACGCCTGCGCTCGAATATGGACGTGAAGCCAAAGCTATCGTCGCGCTACCCTCCACCATCGAGGCCATTAAGAACCACATCTTCAACGACTGGCTGTGGCCGAATCTTTCCGACGAGGGCAACGGCGTCGGCTTCGTCACCTACCGCCGTTTGATCGAGGGCGGCAATCCTCGGCTAGGGTCTGGCGAGTCCCGCGGATACGTCAACGTGTGTGACGGTCTGGCCACCAAATGCTGGAGCGTCAGCCACGGGAAGTGCCAGCGCAGACGGCAAAGCATCTCCGGGCATCAGCATAGCGATAGCTTTGGCTATTCAGGAGGCGATTACACTTTCCCGTCACGTCGGATGAGTCGTATCTCGGACGTGAGTCACGATTACTTCGCGGCCGTTGCTCAGCAGCAGCAACAGCAACAGCAACAGCAGGCTACACAACCATACCTGGGCGGAGCATCACAGCTCGGTATCTCCATGCCTTCTGGTTCCATCACGCCGGGAGTTGCGGGCGTTCCGCCTGCACTCTCCATGGATCCGAACCACATGTTCGAACCGGTAGGGAGTTCAGCGTTCTTCATCCGCAACGACGTCACTGGCAACGAGATTCTGATTTTCGGCGACGTCGAGCCCGACAGCGTGAGCATGTCGCCGAGAAATCATACCGTCTGGGAGGATGCCGCATTAAAGGTAGTCTCGGGTGCTCTGAAAGCCATTTTTATCGAGTGCTCGTACGACGATAGTGTACGCAACGAGGACTTGTATGGGCATCTATGTCCCAGGCACTTGATTGCAGAATTGAGTTTTCTGGCGAAAAGCGTCATGAATAGGCGCAAGCAGCAAGCGGACCCGAGTGTGACGAGTGTGGAAGCAGCAGGCGTGACTCAGGGGGCAAATGCATCGTTGAGTGTCCCGGATCTGAGCATGCGCCAGCCCCCAACGCCGGCGGAATTGAAGAGAAAGCGCAAGCGTGCGGCGATGAACGGTGATTCCAATCTCGCAACGACGCCGGAACTTCCGCCGACGGGTTTCGACGGTGCGTCTGGTCTACCTTCGCCCATGCAGCCGCTTGCTAGCAGCGCGTATGTAGGCACCAGGGCGGCGTCGCACGTACATGGTCATGCACACGCCCACGCACACGCACATACGAGAAGACGGACGTCGAGGGAAGCAACTGCGAATGCGAGTACTCCTGGAGCGCCGCTCATTCCCGGTGGACGGGGCAAAGCGGTGCAATTCCAGCCTGGCCCGGACTCGTCGGGGCAGATACAGGCGTCGACGGGTGGACATCATGATCATGGCCATGGCCATGGGCATCTGCACTCGTTGTCGTTGCCACGTGATAAGCTTGCGGAGCCGTTGTTGGGTATCACGGTGCATATCATTCATGTCAAGGATACGTTGATGGACGGGCCGAGTCCTGGCGATGTTATTGTTCAGCAACTACGTGCTCAGGGCGATGAGGCTGGATTGGGTGTTGAATTTAATGTCACGAAGGGTGGGGATAGTATCTGGATATGATTACCACCGATGTTTTCGGCTGATGGGGTTGTCTGTGGGAGTTTCCATGGTTGGCTGCTGGACTGGGAAGGTCTCTGGGTCTTGTCCTTCTGAATGTTGGAGTTGTGGTGGCTTGTTTATACGATGTCCCTGGGACGGTCATGGAATGGCATGGATGGAGATGATTTGTTTGTCTGTTCCGAGCCGAGTGTGCTCTTGTTTCAGAGATAGCGGCTGAACAGAGATGAGAAATTCTTCCCCCTAAGGATCATTCGAAAGTGAAGCTGAAAGGAGAAAGGAAAGGGCTTACAACAAACATTTTGCATTCGGGAATACGCTCAATGCAACCCTGCATTCCCAGATAAACACCACAGCCCTCCGGTCAGCCAAAATAGTGACCGTGTCGCATGCAGCAGAGCCGCCTTCGTACCTACACCGTCCCATCTTTCCTCCCGCCCTCGCCCTGCCCGCCATGCAACGACCGCATCTACGATGGGAGTCAATGCACCAACATCGATCACAATGCCCAGACACTTCTGCACCGCAGCTTGTTCTGCAAGGGTCGACTGACCAAATTGCCACTCCCACGTGAGAATTAGGATGGTGATGCCGATGACAAGATTGCGGATACCGAGAGAGTGAATGTACGCTAGATGACGCCGGCCATCATCTTGCAATACTGACTTGTCGTCGTCGTCCGTTTTCTCCTTGGAAGCAGCGGTAGAGTGGATACGTACTACGTCAACGCCGTATATTTGTGCTGCCGAGGCTGGCGCCACGAAGCTGTGTATCCCGACGATGAAGCCACCGAGCCCGATGAGGGCTGTGAGGGTTGGGAGGAGGACACCGGAAGCCATGCTGAACTCTACTACTAGTAGGTGAGTGATGTCGTGCTTGATGGCGCCATCAACATAGATCCATACCTTGATCCACGAGTAGCATTTCTTTCTCCAATTCCGGGAGAAACGACTTCGGCTTTCGGCAGAATACTGTACTTCTTCATCTGGTCGTCTCGAGCCCCTCTTCACGTTCTTGGCTTCCGTCTAGTAAAGACCTCATCTCTGGGAATTACGAGAGGCTAGCATACACGCCCTTGCTCGTCGGGAACGCGCGCAACAAGAAACAGCACAAGGACACAACCCACTGCACCAACCGAGCCACTATCAAGATGTCCGACTCCCGCGACCACGACCACGACCACGACCACGACCACGACCATGACCATGACCATGACCATGACCACAGCCATACACCCCCTGTCCCAGCACACCTCTTCCAAGCCCGCTCATCGCAAGACCAACCGCCCGACTCCTGGCGCGAAAGCGGCGTCCGGGTCATTCCAGGCGACAACCTCGACACCAACACGGCGCAAACGCCGGGCATGAACCGGGCGGCCGCGGTGAACATGGCTCGAGTCGGGGCGCAGAAACTCTGGGCCGGCACCGTCAAGATCCACGCCAACGCCAAAACGGGTGCCCACCACCACGGCCACCTCGAGAGCGTCATCTACGTGGTCAAGGGCAAGGCGCGCATGCGATGGGGCGAGCGACTCGAGTTCACGGCCGAAGCCGGGCCGGGCGACTTCATCTACGTCCCGCCGTACGTGCCGCACCAGGAGATCAATGCCATGGAGGACGAGGAGCTGGAGTGTGTGCTGATGAGGAGTGACGGCGAGGCGATTGCAGTGAATTTGCCCGATGTCGTGCCTGTCGAAGACCCGGAAGGCGTCAAGTGGATCGACCCAACCCATCCTACCGGTGGCGTTTGAAATCACATCTTTACACATTATTCCCGAGATCATCACAGCCCGACTTCACCCAAGTAGTAAGTGGGTAAATCAAAAGTTGGGGGACATCAACTACGAGTAGTAAAAAAGCTGAAAACATGCAGCGTGCGCTATGTTCCTGATGACTTCTCCTTATCCACCTCCCCTATCATCTCTTTGGGCCGTTGATCCGTCTTCCGTAGGTTCTTCAAACACGGTGCAGAGAACAAATGTCCCGACCACGCACCCTTTGCTGTGCCCGCGGCGACCACACACCACAGTATCATTACAGCCACACTTAGAATTGTGCCCAGCACTTTGAAGAACAAACTGGGCATCTCGACGCCAAAGGTCATTGTGCTGATAGCGTACACGCCCAACGGGAACGTGAAACCCCACCAGCCCATGTTGAAAGGAAACGGCCGTGTAGAGTAGATTGTCGCAAGGGCGAAGATCAGCCAGACCAAGCCGAACCCCCACATTATCAAAGCCACAAAGACACCGAGAACGTACAGCACGTCGCCGGCTAAAGTGAGAGGGAGGTCGCGGAAGAGTTGGACACGCGGGAACACCTCCCGCGACACCCGACCGAGATACATGATCGTGTAGCCGCCCATGCCTAGGGGCCCGAGAGGCAGGAATGAACTCACCACGACTTCGCGCGGTGGCAGCTTATACAGGGCGAGACGGTGGTAGTAGATTACTAGGATCGTCATAGCGAGTGGTGTGGCCATTCCCCACATCACGTAGGATGTGATGAGAGTACCGACGGCGTGGTTTGGATTGTGAAGGAGTTCGGCGACTTCGCTTCCTGCAATAACAGATGAGCCTCTGGTCCAGTGACCACGTTTGTAACCTAGGAGGGAGGTACGTAGTCGAGAGGGACTTTGCAAGGAGAGAGGGAAGTGGACTTATCAGTGGAGACCGAAGAGGAGAGGAGACGGGAAGATCATACCAGCTCCCGCAGCTACAATGGTGGCAGCAATGGGCAACAACTGTGCAGCCGTTATCCGGTCCAACTGATGCTGATGACTCTGGCTCATGAGCAGGAACGGCAGTGATACTGTCACAGCAGCCGCGACTACAGCGTCGATCATCCAACACACCCACGCGAAGGTGACGGACCAGTATCCCCAGTATGGACAGCACAGAAACATCCAGCTCTCAACCAGCGTGGCGAAGCCCATGGGGATGGTGCCGAGGAACAAGGAATTGGTAGGATCGGCGATCATGACAGTCCAAATCTCGGGATACAAGGTGTATCGGAGCGTAGAGATGACGAGAGCGAAGGTGAAGAGAATAGTGTTCAGGACGAAGAAAATGACCGAAAGCCAGTACAGCCAATCTGCTTTGAAAGGTATGGTGATGAGCAGGAGGGAAACGATGCCCGTTCCCATCGTTACAGAGAACCAGGACGGCGAGAAATTGCGGACTACGCGCCGCCAGCCGACATCGTACTTTGATGGTGTAGGTTCAGGGGTTGGCGCCTTGATGAATGTCTCTGAGCCGCCAGATGGGTCGGACGACGATAGGACTTTGGTTTGTGAGTGTGACCGTGAACGTAGACGATCCATCTCGCGGGAAGATAAGATCTGGCTGGCAGGCATAGTCATCGCCGGATTGTTGGAAGCTATGCGTTCCATCTCGCGCTCGTCGTCTGTGTCGATGCCAGGCATCTTGAGTGAATTCTTAAAGCAGTTGACGAGTGTGGCAGAGGTAGGATCGCTTTGGCGGACACGTCGATCTTTATTTAGGACATATGAGATATATAGTAGCTTACCATCACGGATGTTCAGCTACAGAATATCGTTAGGTCGGTTTTGAATGCATGAATATTTCTGTCGTCGAGTGCAGTGCTGGTGATGACGCAGGACAACAGCAATAAATGTGGCAATGACCGGCGAGAAGGTGGTCGGTAATGTGTCCGAGTGAAGGCGTCAAAAGAGCGACGAATTGTGGCTCAAAAATAATGCCTGACAGCTTGCTTAGAAGAGTTCTCAGCGGTCTTCTCACCGGTTGACCAGAGAGCCTGGCTGTCTGACAGAAGCCATATTTTCTGACCAATGGAGTCTGGATAAAGCGGCGTGTCTTTACATCTTTACATGTCTGGGATGGGTCATCAGTCCAGGCACTCAGTCGCTTCACCTTATCACTACGACAACTGAGCCGTAAAGTGATGCATATCAAGAGATTTGCAAAAGCGTCTCGAGGAATTGCAGATACTTGTCTGGAGCTCATATGTATGCCAAGTCTGCCTTTCTTTCAGGCCCAAACGTGCCATCGTATCTGTTCCAAGCTCAATCGAAATCGCCGTGTCAGCCCTTATTGCCACCAGCGCAGGGCAGAGCACAAATCCAAAGTACAGAGCTCTGCTCAAAGTGCAATCCATAGTCGAGCGCAGCCCCCAGCTCCCGCGATAAATGTGTAAATCCATGTCGTGTTTATGTTTTCTCGGAAATAGCCCGCAGCACCCTGTCGCAGGATTCCCATTTTCGAGATCCAGCCCCGTGGAAATGGGAACCAAACGAATCTGTTGCTGGAGGTAGCCAAAAGCACGAAGTAGCTCCCACAGCCTTCACTTGTGTCGTCGTACTGAATGCGATAGGTGTGATCTTGGTCGTCTCATATTCCCATTTACCCGCTTTCCTGTATGTTCGCCCAGCTCTTGAGATTGCCCCAAACTGCCCTCGCTTCAGAATGTCATGCTCTTATGTTTGATCGCAACTCATCCTTCGTCCGTTTCCAGCTTGATCTTCTTAGACATTACCGCATCAACACCGCTCTTGACCACTTCGGTAACCTCTTCAGTCGAATAGCCCTCGACCTTCATATTACCGTCGGAGTATCGCTTCTGGCCTGTGGACTAAGGTATGACACTCGCATCATGTGCAGTGGCCTCAGACGCCTCTGTCTTTGTGGTTGAAGATGCCGCAGTAGCGTGGACAGGGTGCTCCGCCGATTCCTCTCCTTTGGTAGACTTTGGCAACGGGATCTTCGTCTCCTCGCTGGTTTTGACTTTCGCGCATTTTCCACACACCGAAGCTTCGCCTGACCCTGATTCCATCTCTGCTTGCATGTAGAAGTCACCACATTTGGGACATTCGATCTTCTCAACGACATTGACCTGCGAAGAGTCTTTCTGGACGTTGTCACTGCGTGGCACTGCTTCCAATGGGATCGAAGCGGCGTGCAGGACGGTGATTGTACTCTCAGCAGAAGTGATACGGCTATGAGGGCTGACTGGCGACTTGTCGGTAATCTTAGGTCCAACCTGACTCCGCTTGGCTTCTCGTTCACGGCGCTTCTCTTCTCTCTTTCGTGCGTTGCGCTCAATGTCAAGGACGACCTCGAAATTTTGCTTGAGCCGTTTGTTGACGATGTCTTCAGGCACTTTGTCATCGAAATCTTTCCAGAAAGCATCTTTCGTTGAGACTTCCTCCCACCTTTTCCTAGAGAAGAGATTGACGCTCTCGCAAGGAGCATAGGCGGCCGGAATGGTGCCAAAGTAGCTGACCTTGCCCTTTTCCGGAGAGTCCATGGTGTTCGAAACAGTGGGGAGGAGTGGCTGTTGACTTAGTTTTGATCGAATTGGTCAGGGACACGGCAAAGGTTGACGAGAAGGAATTCTATGTCCGGAATTTCGTTGTGCCGGTAAGCTTGAGGATGGGCGCTGAAATCAAGTTGTAGGTTCGAATGCGCTGATTAGTCTGCGAGAGTGTGATCTCCAGTACGCGGTGACAGCTTTGTGAAAAGGCAATTCAAAGGCCCAGAGCAAGACGAAGTGTCAAAAGAGGTTGACAAAGTGGTAAAGTGCCAAGTTACCATTTGAGGAGTGTTCAAAGGTAATTAAGTGATCCGCAAGTAAAGAAACCTCAAAAAGATACCATAAAAACGTGACCGAAGAGTGAAATGAAAGGTAGAGTGATATGAAGGTGGCCAGAGTGTGAGAGAGTAAATGAAATGTCGAAGAGTTGCCCTGCGTGTCGGAGACTGGGTTCAAGAGGTTGATTCAGTCCGCCAGGAGTTGAAGTAGAAGATAACGTTCGTGGTTAGAGTCGATGCAGTACGGGTCCTGATGTCGAACTGGGAGAGCTGAGCAACCGGTGATAGTGCTGGAATATTCCTATTTGCAAGTTGAGGCTAGAAGTGCCAAATAAAATGACAGGGTCGCGGCAACAAATACATAGAGTGTATCAAAAGAAATGGGTGGAAGTGAACTGCTTAGATTCAAGCGACAAGGACTCAGGAAAGCTCTGGACAAGCTTCCTTGCAACTCATTCAGAAAAGGTGTTCTCCTCGCTCTCAGTACCAGGGTCGCTTTCGCCATCTCCGTCACCGCCGACTAATGGAACGAATCTGAAGTCAACAAATGCGACACTCCCAGGAGATGGAGGAGCATCGACAGAGCCATTGTTCTCATCTCGACGTGGACCTGAATTTGCACCACCCTCAAGATCGATCATGAATTGCAGACTGAGCACTCCTTGCTGATCTTGTCTAATGCTCACTTTGCTTCCTAAAGCCATGGCTCTTCCTGCCCTCTTGATCATGTCGAATTTGTATCTCTGTCTGAATCTGCTATGGCCAGACGGAGGGACCACAGAGAAGGTCTCTGTGACGAGTGGTTGCTTCTTTCCTCTGGTTCCACTCGGTGTCGGCTCGTTCTTAGACTCGGGCATGAAATCCACTTTGCTGTCGCCGAAGGGGCCTCCTTCGCCCTCTAATGCAAAATATGGCGCAGAACGGCTGGAGGCGTTCAGAACGAGCACAGTGGGGTTTGTCCCTGAGAGCTCGGTGATGGCATCATGCAACCAGGTGCTTCGCATGATGGCTTTCAAGCATAGAGCGTTTCGATTGAGCGGAATGCCACCATCGTCTTCGTATTCGCCATGTGCTTCGTACGTGTTCATCTCGCATGTTGTCGTGACCGAGCCCTCCTGAATTGTGATTGTGAGGGGAGCACCAGCTTCTTGGTAGGATATCCGGCATGTTCCGCCAGCCGCCAGAGCGGGGGCGGTGAAAGCATTACCATACGAGGAGGAAAAGCCACCATATGCGTTCCGAGCGGATGATGTTGCTTCGGCTATGCCAAAGATTTGGAGGGTCTCCAGCAAAGCAACAACTGATATGGAAAACGGGGGCAATGAATGCTCTTCATCAGTCAAGGTCAGGCTGTACGTGGAAAACAATGCCTTGTCGAGGAATGTGAGGCCTTGGACGACTCGAGCTTCCTCTACCGAGAACCTGATGCCAGATTGGGTGATCTGGACTTCTGCTCGTGGGGAGAACGAAATGCAGCGCAGGAGTAGATGTAGCTGCCTGGCAGAGGTGGTAACTGCCGTGAAAATAGGAGCGCTAGCCATCTGCTAGGATAGACCCAGGGGGCGTCTTTGCCAAATGTTCTGTATGGTGGAAGAAATATAACGATTCTAGACGTATACACCAAATCCGCAGATAGCGTAGACGGCACCCAAACTATACGCTCGTCAATGGGAATATCGAAGTGGACCCGTGGTCAACGTACCCAAACGCCAAAGAAGCTGGGATACCGAAGAGAGGTATGGAAAGGAGAGTTCGATCTTGGGCCAGTTAGCGGAGGTCACCTGTAAGAACAATAGGGTACATACTCAAGCCGAAAAGGCCAGTGAGAACAACCCCTGTTATAGATCAGCTACTGCTATTCATTAGAATTCTGTAGTGTGGCAGTACCAATGAGTAACAATAGCAGTCCCAATGTAAGTTGGCTGTCCTTACCAACCGTGGGTTGGAAGGGGCTGCTCGCAGCTGCTTGCCAGACTTCGTAGAGCGACATTGACAACAAGAAGAGCAAGATTGATAGAGAACGAGTAGAAGAACGATTTTCGCGCGTTGCTATGCTTTGACTTCTGCAGCTTAATCGTCTAATACTGAGTGTGGAGGCCAACGTACTACGCAGTCTAAGGTGGTGAAGGTGGTCTCAAAGAAGACGCGAAGCGCAGTTTATGCCAGGAAACTTTTCCGACTACTGATTTAGACTTAGTGAAGCTAGCGCGATGCTTAGACGAGCCTTCCTCTGTCGTGCTCTGGGTGATCCTGTATTAAACGGAATTGACATCATTTTCGGCCCTTCAGACCTCAAATATATGTATGTACACCCTCAAGCAAGTAGGATTAAGCACAAAAGTTGGATTTGTTGGCAGACAACCGGCCTGAACCCCCTGTTCTCCTGAGTACCCAAGAACGACCTGGCACATTGCCGCGGATTCAGAAGTTCAAAGCTGGGGTACTGATTGATCCGTTGCAGCTGAACTCTCGAAGAACCCTTGAAGTCGCCACAGTGGGTTGTTTTCCTCATATGCATCGAACCACAAAGTTCGCGGAGAGAACTCCAGCACTTGGTCGTTGTAGGCATCGAAATCGTTTAACAACAAGTCATTAGGTGCGCCAGTGAGACTGATACTCTGGCTTTGCTCTGAGACCCATGGCGATTCGCTAGTTCCCTGTTCAGACTGGAAATTGGGGTCGAATGCCGTGGTGCCGGATTGGTGTGGTTGAGGAGGGTTGGGCTGGTTGAAGCCTTCGGGTGGTTCTGCGACGCTGACATGCGGACTGGAAGTCGTTCCCACGTCTGGTATGGCAGCGCTCATGCCTCTCGATACATTCTCATGCTCGTGTATGACACCAAAAATACTTCCGATCGTCCGTCTATGGCCATCCATCTTTTGCCGGTCTCTTCTCTCCACATAAGTATCACATGCCATCTGGAGGTATTCGAGGATGACAAGATGCCTTTTAGCAAGGGTATCGTGTAGCGAGAATAGTCGTAGGATTGCTTGAGCATCTTGAAGCGCTTTCACAAGAGGGAATGATCTGTCAAGGTCGCCCAAGAATGCGATGCCTGCCACCATACCTGCAATGAAAATTGAGTTCACTATGAACGGAAGGCGCTTCGGAATGTTTCTGTAGCTGTGGAGAATGTTCAGAAGGTTGACTGTCCGTACTGCAGAATCGACACAGGCATCCACCAAGGTCTGATTCGATGGCCGGCCAACAGTTTGCTCCGACCTTGCTGTCAACATTCTCCTGTTTTCGATCTGGATCGAAACATACTCAATCAAGAATGGCCTCGTAAGCAATATAATTGACCAGTAGTAAGCCTCCTTCAAATGGATGAGGCCAATATTGGGATGCCCTCCCGGAAGGTAATCTTCTGGACTGATCCCATCCTCTTTCAAGCCCTCATGAAAACGAGCTGTCCAGTATCGGTGTTCTTTACTGATCTGTTGGACAACTTCTGTGGAGACCATCCTTTTGGCATACACTAACGTCTCAATGTGCTCGAAAATTGCGCAGAGGTTGGCTGCTGCCGAATAGTTATCTTTCGCAGTCGTGTCTCTTGTCTCCGAAGTAGAGTATGGTCTCCCTAGAGAAGAACTCATGAAGGAATCCAGAACGCGAAGTACCTTCCAGGTTCTTTCTCTTGTCCTACGTTCTGCTCCGGCAAAGAGGTCAGAAACCTCCCTTTTATGAAGGCCTAGAGCATGCGCTGCCCTTGCGGCAGTCCCAAGCTGGATAAAAGCGGCGTTTCGTCTCGCACCTCCCAGCATATACGTTGCAATCAAAATATGTGACTGCACCGAAGGTAAACTTGGTTCTTCCATGTAGAGCAAGGCTGTCAAGTAGCGTCCATAGTTGAAATAAAGCTCCGCAACGTCATCTTTGTCGTCCGAAGAGGTCTGGGCGCCAATTGCGAGTATGAGATAGTAGATGGGTGAGTAAGGCTCGGGACCCTCGGAGCCTCCCTCCAGCCATCGAGGGAGGTATGCCAGCAGCTCCGACTCATCGAAAAGATCTAACACGCAGTTCGTGGCCAGCATATACTGGCTGATAAGCCTGGTGGCTTCTGGGAGACTTGGTTTGTCGACTGGTCCGCTCGTGTGGAAGTCAAGCCAGTGTTTCTGCTCTGGTGGTGCATCCTCCACCATCATATAGCGCAGCGGATCCTCGGTGAAAGCGCAAGTCCCTATTGACGCTTCAACAAGCCTCCGGATGTTCTGCAAGAAAGAAAGGTTCGCGGAATCGCCGATGAACATGTACTTGCCCTTACTGTCTCGAATGAGGCGAGTGAACTGAGGAACCGGGGCTACCGAGCTCTGTACGCGTTCTCTATGATGCTCGATGTGGCCGTTTGGAACGTTCAGAACCTGATCGATGGCTTGCTCTGGTCCCATGGTATGTGGCGTGCTTTCGGCGAGCTCAAAATGTGTGGACTGCTCCTCTTGTGGCTGAGGCATTGGCCCATTTGTGAAACGACATTCATGCTCGACTCTTCTCGAGATGCATCGCCCACAAGGTAACACCCCATTGCAACGCTCTTTGCGTCTTTTACAATTCTCGCATGCTTTGAGGCATCGGCGACGGCTATCGTCTGCGCTGTATCTGTGTGGCATGTTGGTAGCGGAAGGGAAAGCGGCAGGTTGTGATAGCAGCGGCCACCCATGGCATTGTCGGCAACAGAGAGGCTTCTATACCGTGAGATATAGGTGGTTTTTCGACGTCTTGGAACCCCTGATAAGATCGGCCGGTCCTCCACTCACCCAGAAGCGCCACCTAGGCCTTTGTCGGTTAAGGCTCGCCCTACCTAATGCTGAAATCCGGGGTTTGAGAAGCGAGTCGTCCTGTCATCTAAAGTTCCCATTGACGGGTTTGTACAGGCAGCTTGCAGCAGAGACGAAAAAACACAGGGAGACCCAAAGTGTATGCTTACGGCATAAACCGCAGCGACAAGCTGCTTGATTCCGGTAATACAGGTGGTGATCACAGCTTAGACTTTCAAAGCTGAAATGCTGAAGTCGATGTTGGAGGTGGACAACGACAAATTCGTGGGGAAACAGAAGCGAGTGTTGCCGCTCTAAATACTAAGACAAGGTGTTAAAGTGGCAACGTATGACTTATATGTGGTGATGATCTGCAGCCTCCGCGTTCCTCCTAGCGAGCCCGAGGAGTCACTGGAGAGTGCGCGCGTTCGATGAACTCCTTCAAACTCTTCTGGACCTATGTGATCGTTGCAACAACGTAGGGCACGCACAACGGCCTTTCCTTACAATCCTTGACGACTCCCTGACGGCCAAAATGGCGCCTATAACTAGTGATAGTGAGTTTCTGCGCATACGGTACGAAGCGATCGTAGATTGGGCTGACGACGTCTGGCAGACATCAAGAGAAAGGCATCTGAGGATGCCTCCTCCTCCCGGTCCAAAAAAGCAAGGACCGAATCTCCGTCACTCGAAGACGGTGATACCGCAAAGCCAGGAAAGGTGAGACAGTCCATCTTCTACCCTCACCAGATGCCATCCTACCGAACCCCAATTCGGGCACTTTGTGCCTGATGACAGCATGTATCCCATCCTTGAACATATATATCAAGCCTACTCAGCAGTATCCGATACTTGGTTCGTTTCCGCCCGGTGAGGACTTGTAACGCGTTCCGACCAACGCGTCTACCCACTCGGATCTTACCTTGTGCTTTGCTTGTCCGGGGCATGAGCTTCTCGCGTGCCGCGGAATTTATGCTGCGATGATGTCCAATCTAGCAGAACCGCATGTTAACGAGTTCTATGCGCAGTCTGCATCCGACCCCCCGATCACACCTACGCCTGTCGATTTTCCCGAGAAGCCGGCCGTTGTTGAAGAAAACCAGGGTCTGATTGAGTTCAGAGTGGTGAACAATGACAATTCAAGAGAAAGTAATATCATCTTGACGGGCCTGAAATGTATTTTTCAGAAACAATTGCCCAAGATGCCGAAAGATTATATTGCTCGCCTGGTCTATGACAAGACACATCTGTCTATCGCGATCGTTAAGCAACCACTTGAAGTAGTGGGCGGGATTACATACAGACCATTCGCTTCCCGCAAATTCGCCGAGATTGTGTTCTGTGCGATCTCGTCAGATCAACAAGTCAAAGGCTACGGAGCACATCTCATGGCTCACCTGAAGGATTATGTTAAAGCCACTTCTCCTATTATGTACTTCCTTACATATGCCGACAATTACGCCATTGGCTATTTCAAGAAACAAGGCTTTACAAAAGAGATCACGTTGGACAGATCAATCTGGATGGGATATATCAAGGACTATGAGGGTGGCACAATCATGCAATGTAGCATGCTTCCAAAGATCCGCTATCTTCAAGTTCCTCGGATGCTTCAGAAGCAGAAAGAGGCGGTCATGGCCAAGATCAGAGCCGTCAGCAAGTCTCACATTGTGCATCCTCCTCCAGCCGCTTGGAAGAATGGGATTTGTGAGATTGACCCGATGTCCATTCCAGCAATTAAAGAATCAGGCTGGTCTCCTTCCATGGATGAGCTTTCGCGGCAACCTCGCCATGGTCCGAACTACAATCAACTTCTTCACTTGCTCAACGATATGCAAAATCACACATCTGCGTGGCCATTTGCTCAACCAGTCAACAAGGACGAAGTGCCAGACTACTACGAGGTGATCAAAGAGCCTATGGACCTGTCGACCATGGAGGAACGCCTGCAGAATGATCTATATCCGAGACCGGAAGATTTCATCAAGGATGCGAAACTCATCTTCGACAACTGTCGTCGCTACAATAATGAAACCACGCCATATGCAAAGAGTGCGAACAAATTGGAGAAGTTCATGTGGCAGCAAATCAAGAACATCCCCGAGTGGTCGGTAAGTGTATCCCATCACATCTTGACCGAAATGAGTTACATACTGACCGCATCCTAGCACCTGGCTGAATAGGAGGCGTGTCGGTGAACACGACTCTGAACATTACTCTTACATTGCATTTCTTTTGATGATCATTGGAAGGCGTTGGGTTGTATGAACTGGGGGTGGTTATCATTGGGAGGGGTTGGCAGGCTGGTTTTCTATCGTGATACCCCAAAGGCATGCATGACCGGGCGATGCGAGCATAGCGACGAAGATATGAAACGTATAACGAATCATTCACTGGCATACATGAAAAGCAGTTATGGGCAAGATTATCTGACAATGGTACTCTTGTATTTGCGCGAGCTGTTGATGGTCGTCGGCTTCCTGCAGATTGGAAGTAATTCCGAATGAACCAATTGCGCGTTGCCGTTGCCCCCTGTCAACCACTTCCAAGATTCAGTCGAGTCTTACACCAACATCACGGTTCCCTCTTCATGACCTCAACAGCTCAGCCTGCCACACTGTCCATCCAATCCTGATAGCCTCAATCCGCGCATTCGCTCGAAAACCACATTCGCTACGCCCTCATACAATTGTTGCAAGCTATTAGACGGAGCTTGTTTAGCTTCGCCACGCATTCATCGCCCGCGCGTCGGGTTTCATCCTGTTCTGTCGCAGCTGAACCTAATCGACTGTCAGTTACCTGCCGATTTCGCTTTCCTATAAGTCTGTCGATAACATATCACGGCAAACGAACCGAACTCGGCAAAGAGGTCGACGTTCGCGATCAATCAAAAGGACCATCAGCGCCGCTCGTCAACTGTCCGAGACAACAGTGATTGTTTGTATGACGGATCTTAAACACAACAATGGCGCACCACACGAACCCCGAACAGGAGCTCGAGCAGCGCAATCGACTGCCAACTCTAATGGAGGTGCTTGGACGGCGGACGCTCGCACCTGTTGACCTGTTCTCATTCTACATTTACATGCGCGATCAACAGCGCTCAGTCGACTATCTCGACTTCTGGTCAGTCCAGACTCTATCTGATGGCCCTCACAGTCACTAACATTGCCGCAGGCTCGATGTCTCTCAGCACATGTCCCTCTGCCGACACTACGTGCGAGAACTGCGACGTTCGATGCTCGTCGACACTCCTGAAATGGAAAAGGCTACAAGCAAAAGGTCCTCAGCACTCCTCGGTGACTTTGACATTGGCGAAGGGTTAGACACGAGAAAAAGCGGGCAAGAGTCAAGAGTGTCCGCGATCTTACGTGGGGACAATGGAGGCCGCAACAAGCCCACCAGCAGAGGAAGAGAAGCCGGCGTCGAGCATTCTCCTTCGCACAGCCTAGGATCGTCACATTCCAGGAATTTCAGCCGACCCTCAGCCGACAGGCCATCACCCTCTGAACAATTGCCTCAGCCGAGCTACTCTACTCCCGAAGTGCGGACAGATTCAAATTCTCCCGGCCACAGCGTCGCTAGAGCCGACATCAAGGCCAGTGCGGAGAAGATCCTTTACACCTTCGTTCTGCCTGGCTCGGAAAGAGAGATTGTCCTACCGGACACAATGCTGAACAAGATAATACGTGCCATTGAGGAAGAGGGCCGTGATGACCCTGAAGTCTTCGATGATGCCAAAGATTATGTCTTTCAAGCGATGGAAAGAGATGCCTTTCCAGGGTTTCTCCAGGCGAAAGCACTCGGCAACCTCGTTCCATTGAGCGTGTTGATCAGGCTGATCATCGGTCTTGCAAGTTTGATGGCGGGCTTCTGGGGTGGGTATTACATGATTCTCAGAAACATATCCAGAAGCACGAGATGTTGGGTAAGCACTTACTGCGAACAAGGCCGAAATCATAATCACTAACGTGCTTTCAGCTCATTCTGCCATTCGTCATTGGAGCATATTTCCTGGTCTCATACCAGTATAAACTCGATATTGCGACGGCATACGCAGGCTATTCGGAGTACACATGGATGAACTGGTCGCGGGTCAGGGAGCCCTTTGTCAGAAGGTTGCTTCTGACTCGAGCCACCATGGCTTTCTTCATGTTCGCGGCTGTAGCGGTCGGGCTGAGCGTACTTTTCATTTTTGTTCCCGGAACCAACTTCTGAGTAGGCTCTGTGTACAAATTTGACGAGATTATGTGACAAATGAGACGAGACGGAATTTTATGGTTACAAGTCAGAATTGCGGTACCCTGGGATCTGGACAGCAGTACGCTGTACATGTCCAGACAGCGGGCGAGGATGTCAGTACAACCGCTTGCCAGAGGGATATACGTCGGTCAATATTGCAAGCGTGGCGTTCGGGTCGATTGCGGCTTGCTCGGGATTAGGAGGCCCAAAGTAATGGTTCAAAAGATTAGACGGCGTGTCGAAGACACTGAAAATGAGGCTTGGGGTGGGAGCTTGGATACATACGTCCTATCTTTTCTTCTATTTTCTTTCCGCCCTTTCCACGAGATGAGCTGGCCTCTGCAATGGACAATTTTCGTTGTCATGAAGCTTAGAAAAGCGTGCCATCATGTGCCTTCGCCTACTCCCTGATTTTGGGGGAGTCTGAGGACGTTTTCCCACATTCAACAACAGCCCCGACGGAGAAAGGATAGAGGAGAGAGGTAGACTTCACACTGTTCTGGCCATGCCCTGTAACTTGGTTTCTGGAGCATGGCCACCATGTTGAGCTTGTATTGGTTTCGAATTACCCTTGTCGACCACTCTTCCTCAAACAAGCAACGAGAAAGGTGGGATCCTTCCCAACATCTGAGGGTATCGTCAAATCATATTCTTCATTGATTGGCGTCGACTGAGGTCCCTTTCCATCTGGATGTCTCATTGTGGACGCTCCATGAGTGCATAGTACACGGGGATTGAAGTATCTTCTCGATATGTGCTCAATAGACCATTGGCTTCATTTTGCGCCGCGCCCTCTATTCCTCTTTGCCCCTCTCGAGCTTCCACCAGCATGGCCACCTCGCAGAGCAGTTGCAGGGCCCATGTCTCCACCGATACCCTCATCTAGATCCATACGTTCCTCACTGTCACTGAAATCGTCGCCCTCACCTTCCATGTGCGCGTCGATATCACGCTTGCTCGGTAATCGCTGCGCGCCACGGAGTGTGCGACCTCCTGTTTTGCGATCCTCTGGGCTGTCGTTGGGTTTGGTGTTCAAGACTGCTGCGTCGATGGCTTCTTGTCTCTTGCGCTGCGTGGTACTTCGTTGACTGGCTGTATTCCTGATCGAGGCGATCTGGGCTTCCAGGTCGCTGACCATGGATGTGCACCTCGATTCCCAGGTTTGTAGGATCTGGAGGAGTGCGGGGAGAGACTGCGGGCGCAGGTCGCGGAGTGGTGCGACAGATGTGACGTTGACGACGGGCGGGCTGGATGTTGGGCTAAGTCGGGCAGTAAGCAAGCCGGAGTAGATGGACTGCGTGACCAGGGATTCGAGGCTTTCTGCGTCTGGAAGGAAAAGGGACTGGAGCAGGGACGGGTAGGTCAGAGTGTTGGTCGTAGTGGTACTGCTAGGGGCAAAGGGCGAGGAGAGGGTGAGCAGGCTGAGTTGTCGAAGTTTGAAGGTTTGAGGACCGTCCAGAGGAGGAAGATTCGGCGTTGCTATATGCATATGTTAGGATATATTGAGAGTAAGGTGGTTGACCGGAGAGATGGGCGTGGGTATTATACCTTTGTACTCTTCATACGTTCCCCAGCTGAAGATTTCGAGAAGAGTGAGCCATGATTGCGAATCTGTTTCTCGTAGACTCTGGCAGGCTAGTGTCTGGAGGAGCTCGGTGAAAATGTATGTGCCTGGTGCGGATATGGCGCTTTTGATGAGTTCAGCGACGAAGCGTGGAGATGGGTCTTTGGTGGTTGTGGCGAGGTGTACGAAGGGCTGGAGGGCAGCTAGGGCTTTTGTTTGCGATTGATCCATAGTTGAGAAGCTGCAGATGAGAAGGAGGTGCAGGTCAAGTCGATCTTCAACTGCGTTTGTCTTCTCATACGGAGTATGGCATTGTTGATGATGGATGATGTTCAGGCGCAGCCTCATTGAACGGAGGTGACGGAGTTAGGCTTGGCGGGTTCTTAACTCAAGGCTGGCGAGGCCTCACTCGCCGGGCGAACAGCCTAACTTCAGGTACTTGCCTCGCGTGCCGCAGGCCTGGAACACAACACGAACGGCTTACACAATACTCCGTACCACTCCGTAAGCTGGGTCTCTCATCTCTCCATCACCCCTACAGGAGCCATGATTCCCATGCTTTTCTCTGTTCAGGCAGGTTTGATGGTCCAATCTTAATAATTTACAACCATTGTTGATGTGGCCTGACTGTTTCCACGTATCTCGCCGGATGGAGGCTGTCAGTTGAGATTCCGGGGTACCTAGGCTCTGGGTTCCTGTCGGCGACTTTTCTGAGTGGTGCGATCAACTCTGAGGAAAGCTTGACGACTCCTTCTCCCAATGAGAAATGGGTCTGGTGGTCACGGTGGTTTCTCTGTTATTCTCGCCGCTGCGCCATTTGCAAGTCACGCAAGTGTAACCGAGTTTCTAAGCAACGCCAAAACTTGACCTTGTTTTATTCTTAGGTCAGGGACTCTCAGCGCAGCCTCCGTCTCACACCTCTTCCCTTGTCTCGTACCACTACAATTCTCAAACACTCCTGGCTCCCTCGGTTTCATCTTGCTTTCTTTCCTTCGCGCAACAATCACTCTCTTTAGATCTCTGCGGCGTTCCAGGTCAATTGTCTTGCCTGTAGTACAAAACCTACACAACGAGTCCTTCTTCAAAAGCCACGCGCCAAACAGAACCATGATATTCTGATCCTCTCGGTCATACTCTACCTACCTCCTTTTACCGGATATAATATAGAGATGGCCCTTTTGGAAAGCGGCGGCCAGGAGCCGCTTCTGAATTCGAAACCGGCTCACTATGCGACGACTACGTTGAAGGTGGATGGAATGACCTGTGGCGCCTGTACTTCCGCCGTGGAATCAGGCTTTCAGGGAGTCGAGGGCGCAGGGGCAGTTTCTGTTAGTCTAATGATGGGAAGAGCCGTGGTACACCATGACCCTACAGTTCTGCCGGCGGAAAAGGTTGCGGAAATCATTGAAGATCGTGGATTCGATGCCGAAGTCCTTACCACCGACATGCCTCAACCGATTGAGTCAACCGCCGACGACGACCTTTCTCCCGCCTCTGGGCCGCAGCTCACAAACACCACCATATCCGTACAAGGGATGACTTGTGGCGCATGCACTTCCGCTGTCGAGGCTGGCTTCAAAGACGTGCCGGGTGTCAAGAGCATGAGCATCTCGCTCCTCGCCGGACGCGCAATTGTGCAGCACGATGCGGCCATCATCGATGCCGATGCACTGGCTGAGATCGTCGAAGATTGTGGCTTTGATGCTTCAATTGTGGACTCAAAAGTACAAGAGGATAAGCCTGCACTTCGCGTGTCCACCAAAGAACAATCACAGAGTACGTGGACAACAACAGTTGCGATTGAAGGCATGACTTGCGGGGCATGCACTTCTTCGGTGGAAGGTGCTTTCAAGAACGTACCGGGCTTGGTCCGATTCAATATCAGTTTGCTCGCGGAACGGGCAGTCGTCTCGCATGATCCCACGGTGCTACCAGCAGAAAAGATTGTCGAACTCATCGAAGATGCAGGCTTTGACGCCAAGGTCGTCTCTTCTCAGGCCGAAAGCGCTCTGCAAGGGGTCCCCACACTCTCGCAGCAACTCAAAATATACGGTCTCCCTGACGGAAAGACTGCCACGGAACTCGAGGACGAGATCCGATCGAAACCGGGCGTCAAGAGTGCTGTCATCAGCTTGTCGACTTCTCGGGCCAACATAACGTATGACCCTTCAATGATCGGTCTCAGAGCGCTTGTTGGCATCGTTGAAGCAGCCGGCTTCAATGCGTTGGTCGCAGATTCAGAGGACAACAATGCTCAACTGGAATCTCTAGCCAAGACCAAAGAGATTCAGGAGTGGAGGCGGGCTTTTTTGACCTCCTTGGGATTTGCCATTCCGGTTTTCTTTATCAGCATGATCTTGCCTATGTGTTTTCCGTCCCTGAATTTCGGCGCCTTCCAATTGATACCCGGGCTATTCTTGGGAGATGTCATTTGCTGTGCTTTGACGGTTCCTGTACAGTTCGGCATTGGAAAGCGCTTTTATATCTCTGCGTACAAGAGCGTCAAACACAAATCTCCCACCATGGACGTGCTGGTGGTTCTCGGCACTTCGGCGGCGTTCTTCTTCAGCTGTTTCGCAGTCATCGTCGCGGTCTTGTTCCCCCCTCACAACAAGCCTGGCACGGTCTTCGATACAAGTACTATGCTGATCACTTTCATCACTTTGGGCAGATGGCTTGAGAATCGCGCGAAGGGTCAGACCTCGAAGGCCTTGTCAAATCTGATGTCTCTGGCTCCTAGTATGGCGACAATCTATGAGGATCCTCTGTACGCAGAAAAATTGGCAGGTACCTGGACGGCACCATCATCTCCAGTTTTGGAGAAGGTCCCGACAAATGACTGGAACAAGGCGCCGGCTGGACATATTGGTCCAGCTGCCATTGAGAAAGTCATCCCAACGGAATTGATCGAAGTTGGAGACGTCGTGATCCTGAGACCTGGTGATAAAATTCCAGCCGACGGAACTGTCACACGTGGCGAAAGTTTCGTCGACGAAAGCATGGTTACGGGAGAAGCAATGCCCATCTTCAAGAAGAAAGGCAGTGTGCTCATGGCTGGGACTGTCAATGGAGCTGGCAAACTTGATTTGAAAGTTACTCGTGCTGGTAAGGACACACAGCTCAGCCAAATTGTGAACTTGGTGCAGGAAGCACAAACGAGCCGCGCTCCGATTCAACGAATGGCAGATCTTGTCGCGGGCTACTTTGTCCCTGTCATCATCTTGCTCGGGCTCATTACTTTCGTTGGTTGGATGATACTCAGCCACACCCTTCCAAACCCACCAAGGATCTTCGTCGATAACCAAAGCGGCGGAAAGTTCATGGTCTGCCTGAAGCTTTGCATCTCTGTCATTGTCTTTGCTTGTCCTTGTGCTCTCGGCTTGGCCACTCCTACAGCGGTCATGGTTGGAACCGGCACAGCATCTCAGCAAGGTATTCTTGTCAAGGGAGGTGCTGCTCTTGAGACGGCCACTCGCATCACCCATATCATTCTCGACAAGACTGGTACTCTCACCTTCGGCAAGCTCAAAGTGGCCGAACAACGGATTGAACCTCTGTGGAGATCTAATGAATGGAGGACCAAGCTGTGGTGGACCCTTGTTGGACTCGCTGAGTCAGGATCTGAACATCCCATTGCGAAATCTGTCCTTGCAGAGGCGAGAAAGCGGCTTGCTCTTGAACCAGAGGATGCCTTCCCCGGACAAGTGGGCACTTTCGGTGTGACGGTTGGCCAGGGTGTCTCTGCTGTCATCGAAGTCGAAACTCCGGGCGAACAAAACCAGTACAAAATCTACGTGGGCAACGCAACCTTCCTGCACACCAAAAAGATTGACATTCCTTCCGACGTGGAAAGCGCAGTCACTGCGGCAATGTCCCCTACTACCCGAACCAAGTCTAAGACCGGTATCACAACCATCTACGTGGCTATCAACGGCCAATTCGCTGGTACTCTCGGACTTTCAGACACGCTCAAACCCACTGCTCCAGCAGCCATCGCAGCGTTGCACAAGATGGGCATCAGCACGTCCCTCGTGACTGGTGACACCTACAACACTGCTCTTTCCATCGCAGAACTTGTTGGCATTCCCAAGGACTCAATTCGGGCCTCGGTCTCCCCTGGTGAGAAGCAGTCCATAGTGGCCGAACTCCAATCTCAAGGAGAAATCGTCGCTATGGTTGGTGACGGCATCAACGATTCGCCTGCCCTTGCCACCGCCAATGTCGGTGTCGGTTTGGTTTCTGGAAGCGACATCGCCGTCGAGGCCGCTGATATTGTCATTATGCGATCGGATGATATGCTCAATATCCCCGCCTCCTTGCACCTCTGTCGAGTCATCTTCCGACGCATTAAAATGAACCTGATCTGGGCATGTGCATACAACGTCATCGGCCTTCCGTTCGCCATGGGCATTTTCCTGCCCCTGGGCTACCATATGCCGCCCTTGATGAGTGCCACCGCGATGATGTTCAGCAGTATTAGCGTCACCCTGTCAAGTCTGGCGCTCAGATGGGCTAGCCGACCTAGATGGTTGACCGTCGAGCACATGGAGGAGGAGAGCAGTAAGATCAGTGTGCCCATCATGGGACAGAAAGCGAAGCAGAATTTTGTGAGCAGACTGGTGGACGCGGTCAGTGGTGTCTTTGATGGGGCGTTAATAAAGAGGAGAGGGGAAGAAAGGGATAGAGGAAGTTATGTCCCGCTCAGGAACGTTGATGCTGAGGCTGTATAGGAGAGGTGGTTGTGCCTCGACCACGAAGCTGTGATTTCTTTGCATACAAAATATAGCGTGTATACCCATCATGTTATGTGGTTGCTTGTTGGAATGGTAAGCAACAAGCGGATCATACTGTTCGTCACATTGAGATATGTCATTTCCCTGAACACAATCACTGGATATACTCGAGCTTCAAGCACGATCTAAATACCCCTAGCTATACAATGTATGGCTCTCGAATGACCATGTGCTGTCATTCTGGTATTCACCACACCTCACATGACCGTCCTTTCCGGCTGAGGAAAGGAACAAATCATCCGCTGCACGGGGGAAGACTGCTTGCATCTCCGTACCATGCCGGAACATCATCAGCATAGAAAGTAAAGCACTCATTACAACAATACAATCCAACCCAGTCTTGGGGGGGGGGGAGTATTCCTCCGCAGGTGATGGACGCTCGTAGCAATGGCACGGGCAATGTAAGTCCATGACGGTCTTGATCGAAAGGGCACGTCTCTGAACCGTTCGTCTTCAAGCACTTTGATTTGCAACCTCCTGTTCCGCCACTGATCAAGGTCTTCACCAAGAAGCCCACGCACGTCAATTTGTGCTGGGACGTCAACGGCGTTGTCTTTTCCCGGCTTCAAGACCACGAAGTTCGACTCTTTGAGCTCTTCGTCGTTCACCGCAGCCAAGGCTTTCCTGGCTTCGAGGTCGTCGACGAACCAAATGTCAAGTGTTAAGGCGAATGCGGGTTTGCCTGTCTTCTTGTCAATAAAAGCGAACACAGGGCCGTTCGCAGTGTTCTCAATTCCATTAAGCACTCGAGCTTTGTTGATGTAGATGGGCTTGTACACATGAAGGGTAATCCGTATTTTGAATCTGAGATCGCGGTACGGGTCACCCCCGACCGTATGCTCATCACCACGGACGTATATGTCCAGCTTGACGCCTGTCGGTTTCGACTTGCGGGTGAAGAATCGAAGCAGACGCTCTCCATCGTCTCGAGACAGGTAGGATTGGGTCATCATCTTGTAAACGCTGGAGATGCAAGGTGTCTGATCAAATATTCGCAAGCTTCGAAAGCACGGGGATCTGTGGTTGATGTGGTCTAGGAGGTATGATTTCAGAGTGATGACTGCCGTCTTTGACAGATTTTATACGTCTGCGGCACGGTGTGCTCTTCACTGCAAGAACGTCAACCACATGTCTGACTGTTCTGCATGAGTCCAGGAGTGGTGACGAGGATACCGCCAAATCCGTAAGACGGCAAGGCTCGGGCGTGGTCATGACCCTCTATCACGAGTGTAATCTGTTTGATCTCTGGGCGGATACAGACTGTACACCCACCTGAGGTGAGCATTGTCACTCCGGATCATGATGTGGTGTTGCGAAATGCTCTGGGGACTGTTTACTCCTAGAGTCTGAGATCAGCTACGCTCCCTTCATCATGGAAAGCATTGCGAGCATCCTTGATGTCCTTGTCTGTCTCCAGAGTGAGGCCGCCGTTAGACTCGCAAGTGGAAGTCGTTCCCTTACCGGTCATAGGCTGTGAGACGGTACTCTGTAGGTCTTCTCGCTTCTGAAGTCTCGCTAACCACCACAACCTCGACCGCTGACCTGTGACGTCATGAGACTCGTGAGGTTCTCAGAAAGGACCTGTGAACAGTAAAGAGATGTTTAGAAAGGAAGAGTCCAGACCCAGAAAGTTATGTGAATTTGGAAGCCCGTTTAGCAGTATCACCCTACCGCCATCCAGATACGAAGAGGATTACAGAGTTACTTCCCAGTGACCAATTCACAATGATCGAGGAAGGCTTCTTCTGTCTGCCCGACATCCCAGACTCATGTCCCTTCACCATCTCTCGGCTCCTAACCCCTTCCGGCGAAGCTTCTGCGAGTTGGCTGATCCGTGAGCACGACCAATACGGTGAGTATCCGCATATTTACGCGAAGGTATGTACGAGTCCTCGACGGCAAGAAGACGACGACGGATGTCCCGAGAAACCGGCGGCACATAAAGTCATCGTCCTGAGCGACACGGGCTGTGCGACAGAAACGCTCAACACCAAGCTCCAGAGATGCGATGCCGACGGTCTCAATGAAATCTACTCCACGCCACCTGGCGAGCCTAGACGGTGGAACCTGCGCACATTTCTCGAGTATACCATCAACCCAGGTGGCCAGACTCCCTATGTGGTGATAACCACTCATTGCCACTACGATCATATTTTGGGGATTGGGAAGCTGATGAAGCCCACGCCTCCTGCGCGAGCGCGATGTTTCTCCCCGAAAACCCGCCATATGAGCCACGAGCAACTGAGCCGGGTAACGACTCCTACAGTGCTAACATCTTCGCACGACAAATCTTTCGTCACGCCCTATGCCAACCTACAAAGACACAGCCTGAGCAGCTCGGTCGGTCTCTATGCTCCGAGATATGCCATCACTTGGGCCGAAGACCTCTCAGAGGTTCAATGGCACTTCAGTGACACGTCCAAAGACTCGGACTCGGTTGCTCCTGTCTCTTCTATATCTACATCCATATCCATATCCAGTCGCATCACTGTGCTTCACACTCCAGGCCACACTCCGGACTCGATGTCATGGTACGATGCAGACCTCGCCCTCGTGTGCGTCGGCGATAGCTTCTACGTGAAAGAGACGGACGAGACGCGCAAGGCACCCTGGGGTCCCGAGCCCCCCATGCCCACCATGTTCGATGTCGAAAGTGATCTCGCAGACCTCTGGCGGAGCATGCAAAGACTGTTGCATTTTGCCCGGGCCCGGAACGAGGAGCTGGAGCGGGAGCGGGAGTGTGAGCCTGAGCCTGAGCGCAACGTAATCGAACGCCTCTCTGACCATGGTATGCTGCTCAGACAGCCGAATGCCAAACGTGAACAGGCATGGCCTTGGAGATCAGCGCCGTGTCAAAGTCAAACAGGATTTGATTATCCCCATCCGCCATCAGATGGACAGGGCCGTCTTCCAAAAGCATTGTTTCTGCATGCAAGAAACACAACGACCGAGCATGATGTAGACGACGACGACTGGATTCTTGTCGACCTCGTCGTGCAGGGTACTTCTTCTCGGTCTGCATCGTCACCACCGCCTCGAGTCCGCCTTGCCGCCGCACACACGACGGTAACTTTGGATGCAGAAGCTGCCATCCTATCATTCCGTGAATTCATCGCTCGTATCCTGCGCGACGAGGTCCCCAAGCAGCGTGCCAAGGAGGGTTACAGAGGCGAGGAGCGATGGTTCTTTGATTTCGCTTTGCAAGAAGGGGGCGAACCAGAGCACGACATCCAGAATGGTAACTTGAGATATGTCCACAGCTACAGCGTCCTTGCGCCGCTGCAGGTTATTGAGCTTGGCAGAAGGAAGATACCACGCGAAGCGTGGATGAAGTTGGAGGTATAGCTGAGCCCAGCGTACCGCCATCCGAAGGCTCATGTAACTCGGAACTCCATGGGACATAACCGTAGAAATTCGTCGACGAGGAATAACAAACTCAGTCGCTCTCATCATCACTCCTCATCTCCACATTGCCATCAGGCATGAGTGATATGCTGCCTCTGCCATCTCTGTCGGGCCTTTCGTCCGTTTCGTCGGCACCATCGGCCTCATTCTCGTCCTCTTCTTCATCTGGTTCCTCCTCGTCTTCATCCTCTTCTTCCTGATCATCATCGTGCTCGTCGTCCCCCTCATCTTCTCCGTCTCCTTCCTCTGCATCCTCTTTCCCATTGACAAACATCGCGTCTGTGTTCTTCCCCTTCCCTTTCTCCTCGTCCTCCTCAACCATCCCTGTTCCGTTGAGCTGCGCCTCCAACATCCTCTCCTCGTCCTCCTCTTCATCCTCTTGTACTCTTCCATCTTCACTCATCCGTCTAACCTTCTTGTTAGTTGGCTCACCTCTCTCCTCTTCCTCTTGTCCCTCTCCTAAACTCTCCCTGGCCTTGACTTTATCCCTATACCCCTTCCTCTTGCCTCTTACAATCTCCTCATACGCTTCAAGTTCTTTCTCTAACCTGGCCCCTAGCCGTCCATCCTTGCCCGCAGCACCCAACCCCATCACGCCGCTCATCTCAATCTCACTCAGCGCCTTAATCACATCCTGCGGACCTATCGTCTTTTTGCTCGTCTGCTCGTTCGCGTGGTGCGTTAGGTAGGATATAAACACGGTCGCAGACTTGGCGAGCGCGAGCGTGGCGTCTTTTTGAATCGAGGTATTGGCTGGTAATACACCACGGGCGAGTCGTGATACAAGGCTGCGAGGGAGGAGGAGATCCTGTGAAGATAATCAAATCAGTACCGCAGCCTCATTATGTCTTCTACACTACTCCATGTTTGCGTATCCATAGAAAAGCCAGGAGGGAGTGGATGGGTGGGGGACGCATAGCCGTACATCTATACTAACGCCATCATCTTGCTTTGCTCCGCCCGACGGTCGCGACTGTCTTGAGCTGGGGTTGGGATGTGCGTGTGATGTAGAAGAGGCTGTCGCATTTGAGATCATGGAGACATCGCCATTGACCTCGGTGGGTGCACTTGTGGACGATGTGGATTTTCGGGGGGGCATTGCTTCGTCTGCCGAGCCTGTTGAGGCTCGAGGAATGTCTGTATCAGGCCTGCGTTGGTCTGTTCGTCGTGAGGTACGTCTCGGATCAATCCTTTATTCGCCTTGTAGAGCCAGCCCAATGGTTTGTACTTGGCGTCTTCCCTGGGTCTCTGTCTCTGTCTCTGCAGAGGATACCTCGAGTAATACTGGATTTGACCACACGACAATTGTATTATTGAAAACGTCGGCTGCAAAAGGGACTTGTGATTGGATACTGGATTGAAGGACGTCCACCGAGGGAGTGCGGTCGTGCTTGGTAATCTCGATTTACAGAGTGCAGCGTTCCTCTGAAGGCCGCAGACTTTGCGACTTCGTATACTAAAAGAAGGAGGGCAACCTGCAGCCACGACTTCGTGCTATTGCTGGCCGGACGCGATGATTTCGGGACGCGACCGCCCACTTTACTGAACCTACGCACCACTCCATCCCGACTTGGAATGATGGTAACGCCGCCCTATGCTCATCTTGCACTCGCATAGGAGCATATGGCGAGATGGACACCAGGATTGTACCACACACCAAGGAGTTATGTACTCTGTCTTGTATGATGCACATGCATTGTATGACCACGTTTTGACCTTACTGTCACCCACCTAGCCATTTAACTTGCCTACGAGGCCAGCGGCGTATCGAACGTCTCCTACCGCATCTCGCTGCCATACTTTAAACTTCATTCGCCCTGGATCCCCTATCCACCTCCCCTGATGCTTGTTTTGAGTCTGTTCAACACTGACACTGATAGCCTTCTGGCATCGGCCTCTGGCCCACGCCATACCCGCCTCCATACACATTTTCTGCAACCATTCGCAGCGTCATCGGCATCATGTTATCTTTGTAGTGTTCCTGGATGTCCGATTTCTCCACCGCAAACTTGATGTTGAAGTGGTCATCCTCCATCGCCATCCGCTCACACTCCTTCTCCTTCTCCTCGTTCCACCACGGCGGCAACATCCCCGCCGCCTTGGCACGAGCCAGGAAATCACGGAACACGGGCACTGGAGGATCGTTGCCATAGATGCCGTGGTTGTGACAGCCATAAGCGTAGTCGTCGTCGCAACGTAGGCGGAAGGTGTCGATGAGCATCTCGTAGGTTTTGGACTCGTTGGTCTTGAATTGGCGGAAGTAGTGGAGGAGGCTAGGGTGAGGAGGCGGAAGAGGTGTGGTCGGTCGTCGACATCCGGCCTTATGTTGCGGCCAGTGACCTGTCTGACATTCTGTAGAGCGAATCAAGAGTGATTCATGGGGAGGGAGAGAGAGTAGCTGCCACTAACTGCCGACGAACCTTTGGAACAGTACGTTACCTTCTGGCAGCGGCCGCATCTTTTCAAGCCAGCGCCAGTGGGCAATTCGACTTCCAGCTTGTTGCAGGCTACGCATACTCGCGGTTCAGCTGCTGGGTTTGCAGAGTCTGCCATTGTGATGTTTTCTTTTTCCGGACCAAGGTTGGTAACTATCAGAAGGGTGACCAGGTACTGCTGGCGGTGTGGGTCGCTTCGTTACGGGTTGTTTGTCTGATTTCACTGACCACGAGCGAGTATTCGGTGCTAGTAAGGCAAGATCGAAGATCTCGTCAAGAGGTCCGTGCCGGTGCTGTGAACACGGGAGATTTAGATATCCGAGATCCCAAGAAAGAACCTGGTCGCATTGCGACTAGCTACCAGGGACTAGATGTGGGTGAAAGGCTCAGGTTTGAAGAGGAGAGCAGAGGTTGAGGTTGGTTGTACGGAGTAGATGCGGCACGGGCGGGGCAAGCCCTCTGGGTAGCAATACAACTTTCGGCTGGCCCCTTGAATGACAGCCTCGCACTCGAGGAAAAGCTCAATGACTACATACTTCTTTGCAACTTCTTTATGCCCTCTGCCACATTCGCCAGATCTAGGTATGTAGCGGTGCGAAACTGATTGTCCGACGACGCTCTCCTAAACAAAGTTTTGTCCCTGGCCTAGAAACCAAACGCCATGCACCCCTGACTTGATTCATGACTCTATCTGCATAGCATCATTCCCAGCTGGATCGGCTTTGTCATCACCCCAGAGCCCTTCAATCTTGAATTCTGCAGCCCATTCCTTGACGATCTCTTTCCTATCTACACCAGTAGGCAAAGCTTTGTCCTCTTCAGTGTCAACCATCTGCATATCGTCAGCGACCTTGAGTACCGGCGCCTCCACCCAGCCTTGTATCCTTCCATCTCTCCAGTCTGTAATGACGGTCATCGCGGCCGCATTCAGATTAGGCACACCACCTCGGCCAAGTCGACCTCTCTTCCGCGCCACTTGAACCAGGAAATCAGTCGTCCTATCTCCCTGGCCGAACGGACCTAGCGCGACAACGCCATAGTGTGACAATAACTTCTCAAACAGCGCCTCCGAAGTGGATAGTCTCTCAAGCAGAAGACTGACCGCTGGAATGGGATCGGTGATCTGGCTCGGCGGAAGAGCATTAAGCAGGACCAATCTGGCTTCATGCTCGGCTTTTCTCCGCTGTCTGCCCTCCTTGTCCTCGCCCTCCACTGTCGAGGGGAAGACTATACCTGGCGAATCCAAAATCTTCAGCTTGCTATCAATCTTGACCTCTCGAAGGCTGGTAGTCACGCCAGCTTCGGAGCCCACAGGACAGGCGAAACTTTGTGAGCCTTTGTTTAGCCGCGACGTCAGAGCATTGATGACCGAAGACTTGCCCACATTAGGGTATCCTATCACGCCGACCGAGATGGATCTCTTGAGTTGTTTCGAAGCTGCATACGTCTTCAACGAACGCAGCAAAGACTCGGAGGTGGCCTTGAGTGTAAGTTGCTTGTGATCAAAGGTTTGAGCGTTGGACGCAGGAGTCGATGCTCGGAGAGGAATCGTAGGGAAATATCGTCGGAGATGCGTTAACCAACCCTTCAGCACCACCGGAGGTACCAGGTCAATCTTGTTGAGCACGAGAATTAGGCGTTTCGATCCGCCTTCAGCCGACATTATTTGTCGCTCGACTTCCCGTGATCGCGTACTTTCCGGGTCTCGAGCGTCCAAAACGTAGAGTACCACATCTGCAGCGTCCAGGACTTGCTTGAAAATTTTATCAAACGCTCTCCGCGAAGAGTCGGGGTTTCTGTGATCTGCAGCCGTCGTCTCCGGCAATCGGACACCGCCAGTCTCGACATCTCCATCGTCGTCCGCAAGGTCCCCTGCGAGCGCTCCCCCATCATACTCGGCGGCTCGTGCTTGAGCAGATGCAACTAGGGCAGCCAAAGGGTTTGCATTGTCGTTGACTGCGTCGCCGTCGTCGTCCATGTCCTCGTCTTGCAGGTCGTCTTCCTCTTCCATGAGGTCGTCTTCGTCCATGTCGTCATCCTCTGCAGCCGTGTCTTCTTGGGTCCCCTTCTTCTTGTCTTTGGCAGCGTCTCGTAATCTCTGTGCGTTTTCTGCCTTTTGTCTCTTCTTTTCTTCAATTTCTTCGAGGAGTTTTTCTTTGAAAGGGAACAGGTTAGGGATGCCAGGATCTTTCTTCAGCCGTGACTTCCATTGAGGACTCTAGACGCGGTCAGCGGTGGTGACGCAGGGATATCGAAGTAGCCCACCTTTTTGGCTTCCTTGCGCTGTTTCCTCTGTTTCGCGGCACTCGCCTTTTCGATTTTGTGCCTGAGCCGCACAGGCGTACGCTTGGATTTGGAGACTGTAACCGGTCAGTCACAGGTAAAGGCTCGACAACAGTAGCGTACATACATGACTTCACCATCTTGGAACTGCGGCTGCAAATACTGCAGGTTCTCGTCCAAACCGCCCTGTCTGGCTACGTCGAATCTGTACAGGCAAAAAGTCCCAAAATTTCGGCGGGCAAATCATCAGTGGCGACGGATAAGATCTGGAAAATGCGGTGCGGCGGCTGACCGAATGAGGTAACGCAGCCGACTCTTCAAGCGCAATAAAAAGTCCACAATCTGCTGCTCACTGCAGGACTTCACGATGCTGGACAGAGCATAATAGACTATATATCCTCGCCTCTAAAGAATTTGGTGCATAGACCTGGAGTTTTCATCTAATCTACATAGACAAACAAGCCATGGGCTCGGTCGGAGAACACTCCTTTTCGGCACCACCTAAAGTCCTGTTGGCACATGGGTTGCTATTCGATTTTGACGGTAAGAAACACCACGATCTACCGGCCATGCCAGGCTCACTGGTCTGTACAGGCACCATAATAGACAGCACAGAAGCCGTTGTCAAGCATTGGCACAAGGAGGCTGCAGAGATGGGTGTTGACCCTGAAGTCATACTTGCGACATCTCATGGACGAAGAAGCATCGACACATTCAAGGAGTTTGATCCATCCAAGGCCAATTGGGAATGTAGGTTCTTCCTGCCGAACTGCAGTCAGGGACTAAACCTCGCTCGGCAGACATCAACCAACAAGAAGGGTTGATCCCGAAATTATTTGGGCAGGATGCGGTAGAGATACCAGGTGCTCGCAAACTGCTCGCCAGTCTTGAGGCAGTCAATGCGCCTTGGGCAGTTGTGACTTCTGGTACTAGAGCGCTTCTGAATGGATGGATAGACGTTCTCAAAATTGCGCGTCCGCGATGTCTGGTGGTGGCAGAAGACGTTGAGAACGGCAAGCCTGATCCGGCCTGTTATCTGCTCGGTCGTCAGAGGTTGGGCCTGCCCGAAGACTCTCAGATGATCGTTATCGAAGACGCTCCATCTGGTGTCCGTGCAGGCAAGGCAGCTGGTTTCAAGGTCATCGGGCTGGCCACGACACACCGGATTGAGCAGCTACAAGAAGCGGGTGCAGATTGGATTGTAGAGGACCTGAGGAGTGTGACACTGAAGGACTTTGGCAATGATGGAGTTCGAATCGAGATCCGCAACGCATTGGTCCAAGCTCCGTGAAAGAGTGGGTTGACTTGCACGAACCCACCGGTGAGTATTCTTGAGCATGGCGCATGGAGTTCGGATAGGGTATAGCAGCACATAGACAGCGTTACATGCAGATAAGGTGGATGGTGGCCAGAGCGGGTTGTGAGGCAGCAGCCGCATGATCAGAAATGCACGCCACAACCGACTGATCCTAGGGATCGTCAAGATCAGTATCACTTTCAGAGGATATCACGGAATGATGTAGGATCTGCAACGATTCTGCTAGAAGCCCTGGGGTAGTCGCATCCAGTGCATGTCATGTGAAAGGAAAATTTGAGAACTTCGGTGACGTCCAGTAGACGGTATCTGCATGACGACTGACCTCCTGGACTGTAGCCATATCCCAGTACCGAGGGTATCCGCCGCAGGAACAAGTCGGCGCATCACTTGCAACGTGGAAAGCACACCGACAGTTGTCAATCGCATGGTCAACTTTAATTCACCCAGTAACAAAAGTCTGCCACAAGTAATGGCGTTGTATGAAGGGCTCGAACGGCCTTCCACGTCAACGACAACACGCTGTCAACTCGGCGGTCGAACAGGTGACGCCCATTTGGAGCTGGACAAAGCGTACTGGGCATGGTCAATGCTGCGCTTAGGCCGCCATCGACCGTTGTGCTCGAGTGAACAGACCCTTCCCGAGTAAGTGTATGAATGGCGAATCATGGAGGCCTACCCTATACCGCAGTGGGTTCTTCGCGAATGAGTCTCGCAGATCGTTCGCTATACACAGTAGTATGCTATACTCGTCAGGGACAAGAAGACATCTTACATCAACTTTTGCCGAAGCGACGCATGGAGATTGGAACCTCAGATAAGGTCTGGAGACCAGTCACCACACGGGACATTTTCGAGATTAAAGTTTGTGATGTGCGCGGCGCTTTTCAAAGCATCAGATCCTACTCGTAAATAGCCGGCTTCGCCGACAGACAAAAAGTGCTGTGTGGTAAACTGTAGTGAACCAGAAAAGGTCAAGGTTACTCCGTGAAGAGCCCTTTCTTGCGCAAGTCATAGTCGGAAGGAAGGAAAGCGCAACGTGACACGTTGATTGGTGCATGGCTAAGATCACAGGAAACCAAAGGGTCCAGACAAGGCCCAGGATGCGAGCCGGGTTCGCCGTGTGCCCAAGCGGACTACGATACAAAGCCAGGAAGCGAGAATAATCATAGCGGAACATTTCTTACTTCCGAGAGCAAGTCGAAGCATGAGAGGCGAGAGAACGGCCTACGACGGGCGACACCGAGCGATTCGAGCTCTGGACTCGAGACGAAGCGGAAGGAGCGCCCGCGAATGCCAATCCGTGAGTAACTTAAGGGTACTTAGGACTCTCGTTTGGAAGTTCGGAAGGGCGCACCTGGGAATCTCCTGAAATGGGTGCGGCTTCGGATGCGCTAAGAAAATGCCCCGACGCAGCAGGGAGGAAATTGCTGTCTTTGATTTTGTACTCCTACTGCACTCCCTTGAGGACGTCAGCAGGTAAATTACCGCGAAGCTGGTGGAACAAACAACCACAAGGTGATGTTTGCCCTGCATGCAGAAGGCAGCGAATTGCAAAAAGTGTGATCTGGTTTCGAGACAGAGTTCGAGTGGAATTTCCAGACATGATCAAGGCTCGGCGAAATCAGCGTGTAACGGTCAGGTGTGAGTAGTGGTTTGGGACGCTTGGGTGAAGTGATGTGGTGAACTGGAAAGGCCAGCGATGAGTGGATGATGAGACCAGGGTAAGCGTCTTGTCCTGGCAGATGAGAGGAGATGGAGTTCAGCTGCATCCGAGTGTACGCTACAAAGCCACAGCTGCAGGTACCAAATTGTGTTGTGCATTTCTTGTGCAGGGGACCAAACAGCAGACAAGGATCACCCAAGTGACACAACCCAAGAAGTCGGAGATCATTCGAGGAACATTGAAAGGGATGGCGAAGATGATGATGAGGATGGCCCAGAGATGATCGTCATAGATTTGTGCCATTTATGATGAGCCCTGTATACACACTATTGAAGTCCCCAGCCATCTGTATCTGGGGAATTACAAATGACGACGATAGCGCGCGCCCGAAGAAGCCTGAGTGATCAGTGATGTGACCATGTTGGTTGCCCGTGAGGTCAGCGCAAAAAGGAACGGGATGGAGGGCCACAACAAGGCGCCTGGTGGCTCGAGGCGCAAGAAATGACCTGTGGTGACAGAGTTCCAGCTGTTCGGGAATTTGTTCAAGGAGATACGAGTATGGCGCCTGTACACCGTGCACAGGACTGTGGTGCTCGCCTCTTACTTTCCAAATCGGAAAACCTCCCACCCAGGCACGTCACTCCCGTGACAGCAACGGCAAACACGGAAGTCCATGTCCCAACGCACGTCTGACACTGGTTAACGGGGAAATCGTCGGTAGTGTATAGGCGAATGGCGGATGACAGATGGCAGAATCGCATCGTCTGTCAATCGACGGAGTATCTGTCTGTCTTTCGCGTGTGTTTTCTCATCTCGTCGCTTGACCTTGAATCGGGCTCGGGCTGCCTTAGGCTTCAACAGCCACTTGGAAGTATCCCCGTTGATCTTTCAAAGTTGGGAGGTTCAAGTGTGGCACAAAGAGGCTTCTAGGCTGAGACCGACGGCGGAATGGGTTAGATCGAGCCCAATGTTGGTGGCCTGAGGAAGGCAAGGATAGACCTTAGAGCGAGTGAGCTGCAGGTCCGAACCCTGGGCTGACGGTGGGCTGCGGTGGCCACTGGCTCAGCTCTGGGCTCCCCCACTGACATGTCTTGCTTGACTCCCTGTCTGGTGCCTGCATACTCTGAAGGACGGTTCCTGCATTGGCGCCCGAACCACTGCGCAGTCGTCGAGGACCATCCAATCCGCTGTATTGACGCCTAAGGGGGTGAAGATGAGGCGCGACAAAGCATTAAGCGATGCGAGAAGACTTCAACAAGCGATTCAATGAGTGAGCGCAAACGACGAAAAGACGGTCGGCATGGGCACAGATGGGCTGCGTAATTGGCCTGTCTGACAGCGACCAAGAAACTGCCGTACTGCCCAGATGCTTGCCTGCTAAGCAATCGTGTGATGGGGGTGAGAGCGAGGAGTCTAGGCTTGATGGGCTCCATGTTTCAATCACCGAGCGCCCATTTCGCCTTTCCTTGCATTGCTACTCGTACGCCTGCAGAGCCTGGGATTTTGGCGAGCGCCTCGTCCGCGGCTCAGGTCACTCGGGGAAAATCGTCGTTGTTGCTGAGCTTTTCTCCTTTCTCGCAAGCGCCCATGACATGACCTTGATCTTGATCAGAGTCACAGACCTTCGCTCTCAAAGAGCGCCAAGATGCGACAGTCCAGAGGCTTCACAGGCTTCTTAGGCTCCTCTCGAGCTCCACCGTCGCCATGAAGCCCTTTATGCTCAGTGGCTCGTTTGTCCATCCAAGCTCCCTGTAGCCTCTGCAAGCGGATATCCCTGTCGCTGTCGTCTATCTCCACCGTACCTGTTCCACTGTCAAGTCAAGTGGCGCCAATTGCCTGTCACCCATCGAGCCCATCTCTCTCGCCCGTCCCCCACAGGCCTCGTCTTCTTGTCCCTTCCATCGATGATCAAGAGAGGACTCAGGACTGGCGCAAGAAACACCTTCGCGCACTGATATCAAACTCGATGCGCATCAAGTCACCACCGAGGACGTGCGCTTCCGTTGCTCCAGCTGTTTCCCTGTCATCACCCGTTAACTTTCAAAAGGTCCATGTCTCTTTCAAACAAATCCGAGACTGGCCTACCTTGTTCACTTTCCCACATCTGCCTCGAGAGAGACATCATCATCCCTTGACCCTGGTCCCTTTATCTCGTTAGTTCTCGCCTGATCCTTCGCGAGTCCGCCTCTAAATCTAAAATTCCCGACCCTGCCCACTTTGCCCAGCAATACCACCACTCTTCTTCACCACTTTTCCTCCTTGGTACCTCACATCTATACCGACTACATCGCCGAGCATACCGCTACAGAGTGTCAACGCTGCAGCGTTGGCAAGCGCAGCCTGTGCTGCTTCGGAGCCTCAAGGTGTAAAGCTATCAGGTCCTCCATTCCGGCTCTCGTTGCGGCTATTCCCTCGATCGTTCCTTCCCGAGTCGCGACTACGCCGCGCCTTCCTGCGTCCGAACCTACGAATTGCATCGTCTTTGGGACAATCTATAGTCGAAACCCGCTCCGTTTTCTCCTACTCAGTGCATCAACTCCAAACCTCATGAGTTGAGATGCTCCGAATCTGAGCAACCACGGATCAACCTCGCAAGCCAACGATCACAGAGCCAGTTAATCCGCTGGCCCACTACCATGGACTATCTACAGGAACCTTTCTCCATTCCTCCTCAATATCAGCCGCAGATGTACTACCAGGCGATGCCATACCCGGCCTACACGGTCCATCCTCAACAGCAACTCGATGACTTCTACCCTCGATACGGTCCCAACGACTATGCTGATTTCATGGGCCCCGGGATGATGCATGATGAATTCGGTCCAGAGATGGAAGAAATCTCGACCCGTCCCAGACTCACCAAGGAACAAGTCGAGGTGTTGGAGAGTCAATTCCAGGCAAATCACAAGCCCAACTCACAGGTCAAGAGGCAGCTCGCAATACAGACAAACCTTAAGTTCCAGCGAGTAGGGGTAAGTGACCATCAAACGTTGAGAAGTGTGCTTTTGCTAATCAACCGTAGAACTGGTTCCAAAACAGACGAGCAAAGGCAAAACAGCAAAAGAGACAAGAGGAGTATGAAGCGCAGAAGGCCACTGAAAAGCCAGACTCGAGGGGCGCCGAAACCGTCAGAACACCCCGACCACAAATGGCCTCACCTACCCGCTCCACTACCCGCTCCATATCTCTATCGCCGAGGAAAGAGTCTCGTTCAGGCTATCAAAGCTCGCCGTCCCCCACCAAAGCCAGCGACAAGTCAAAAGAAGCCAGTTGGGTGTCTCTGCAACGGGCACTCGGGCAAGCCAAAGCTGCTCAGGCTGAACAAATGGCCCAGCAGAACCCCGCCATGGCTCCGCCTGAGTTTACTCAGACTGCAACGATGCAACTTCCACTGCGCATCAGCCCACACCGGTCAAGTGCGCAATCCTCCAACATGTCGGCCTGGCCTGCTGGAGCAGCTCCCTATCCTTCACCGATCACTCTTCAAGATAATACCTTCGATTTCGGCTTTGATGACGAAAAGATCGATACCGACATAAACGCCCACGCCACTCCTATTGCAGACCCTCTCGCCGATTTCATTCATGAATCATTCGTGGTGACTCCGGAAGACTTGGAAGAACCGTTGACAACTCCCAGGGGCATGGCTCAACATCAAAACGATCCAACAGCTGCTTTACCCTCACCAGGTCTGACGCTACCTTCATGTCCTGGTTCAAGGCGCCAGTCTGCTGCAGTGACAGATGAACTCTCTAACCATTTCGGAAGTTTTGCCCTTGCGGGAAGTTCCCCCAGTATGATGGCACAACGTCGTCCTTCTGAACCCATTCGTCATCCGCCAAGTGGACCACTTGATATCGCTGCGCGCAGAAAACGACCTCGACCTACTCCTCTTACCTCTGCCTCCTTACGAAGTCGATCGTATGGCGCCATGACCTCTGTGTCTCCCACGTTCCGTCCCGGTGCAACTGCTCCGCCGGTGCCGCATACCATCCGCCATGTTAAATCTGCAGGCCACAGTCTCAGCTCTCGGTATGCAGGAGTTCGAAAAGCTAGTTCAGCTCAGCGATCTCCCATGTGTCACGCCAGTTTTGCGGAGGCTCAGGCTTTCAGTCAATTGATGGCACAACAAGCGCTCAATGTACAGGGCTTGACCGACTTGCCTGCCCCATTGCTCTCACCCGATATCGTTTCGAATGCCCACATGACCGACCCGGAGAAGAATCCTTTCTTTGCTCAGAATTTAGACATGTCTGGTCAGTACGCTTTGCATGGACAGAACTTTTCGCTGAACACGGCATCACCACCCATCACACCACTCCCTTCAGATTTCATGATGGCTAGAGGCCCGTCACAACAGTCTCTGTGTCCACCTGCTTCAGCTCCCCCCCAATATGCGTCATTTCCAGACTATACACCACCCTATTCGGCTGGACCAATGACCAACAGCAGCTGGTCAGATGCGTTGACATCACCAGATGTTACTTCTTTTCCTCCAGTGACGTACGTTCCTTCACTCGGGTATTCACAACACGGGGACGGTCTCTCGAGCCAGTTTCAGCAGTTTGTCTTGCCCTCTGATAACACCACCGAACTGGACTTTGATGCTCAAATGGATCAAAAGAAGACGGAATTCTATATTCAAGAATTTCCCAATCAGAAAGAAGAGCATGCTCACGTTGCTCAACAACTTGCACAACAAAAGCCCAAGAACTACGTGTTTGCAAACACTGCCCCTCATGACTATACGGCAGATTAAGAGATGGCTGATGATGATTCTTGACCACTGTGCTTTGTATTTTTCAACCTGTATGTCTATGATTTTTGTCTTTCTTAATCTGAGCGTTATTAATACCAAGAGGACGGTCTTTTGTCCAGGGGCAATGGGTGACAAGTGGGCTGTAAATGAACAGGAACGAAAGCTTCACGAAGTCTAGAATTGGGTCTTTGGTCTCGGCATGGAATAAATACAGTGGCAGCATTCCTGAAAGACAGCATGGGTAATAAAGGGACGAGAGAGGAAGAGGCACCTACGGGGTATGTAAACGAATGACAGAGAACAGCCTTTGGAGTTTGCGATGAAGATCTCTGATATCATTTTCAAGCGCATTCCATCTTCTATCTCGCTGCTCTTTGAAAATGTCTATGATTCATACTCGTATCTACCTAGGTACCCAAAGGTACTCCATACTCCGTGAGGCCCTGATCGATTGAAGTCCCAGTGCCAAGATGCCCCTGAAAAGCGGCGACAAGGCTGGTTACCTCGGAAGGCAGGTACCTATAGGTACTGGGCCACCCACAAGCCTCATCCAACGATCAAGAAGAGTCTCAGGAAATCTCGTCATGACTTTCTCCGCTTCCTCCCTTTGCAATTCTTTTCCATCCACAGAATTGCATCGATTTACTGTCAAACTTCGGTACGGACTCTCAATTCCACCTCCCCCAGACTCGCCATTCTCGATCCGGACTAAACAGGTACGATCTTGAGCGGAACCACTTGGTGTACCTCGTTTGGATCCATGTGGGTTGTTCTGTTCCCCTTGATTCATGACCACATCAACTGGTCAATCCTCATTCTTGGTACCTCTTGTGCCCAAGCGAAGTACCAAATCCTACATACAGCATAGTATCAAGCTGTGAATCCTGGCCGCGAGCTCCAGAGGCTTGGGCTGAGTTTTTGGGGTCGCGTATCCAAGTATGGTGCAGTTCACCTCTACGAGTACTGCGAGTGGTAAAAGCTATGATGACTGTTTTGATCGAAGCTATGGACGAGTCTCTGGACTTCGGATGACACAATCCATTCCATCTCCCTTGTTGACGTGCGTTTCTTCCAATCACTTCCCCGGTGCTTTGGTACGAGTACCCCGGTTCTTGATTTTGTTAACCGGTCGTTGATCTCACCAACTCCTCCTCATACGAGGAGACGCAGCAACGCTCAATCAAAGAGATGCCCCCATATGTCTCCATTCATGACGTCCAGTAACTTTCTATTTCTTACCAACCGGATCTCAATCTTCCCATGCGAATGGATAGTGCTTGCATCTGGCCCCGGAGATCTCCATGTGGATCTGGTGTCGATATCTCAGATCTAGCCGCCAACTTCGGGATCGGTTCCAGCATGTCTTCTCGTCAGAAGTCTTCCCCCCGGCCTTGTGATCCATGTTTTTGACGTCAACCCAGCCCGCTACCGACGACTTCGTGCTTCGTGCCCTGGGGCTGGGGGCTGGGTATGCAGGAACACAGCAAACGTGCAAAGGTCGATGATTCATTAAGCACAACTTTCAGGAACAGATGATGTATCTCATCAAGGGGACGGTGTACTTTCGCCAACATCGACGACGTCAGAATATAGCGTCGTTAACGGCTTGGGGAGGGAGATTTTGTCTATATAAACCGGTGTCCCCTTCCGACGTTCAACCACATTCTCTTCATCCCAACAACGCACAACACAATAACAACTCAACCACTTCGACACTTAAAACAACCTTCGGTCACACGATCAACACAAAAACAGAACCAATCAACATGTCTGACTACAAGCCAACCGGTATGGTTCCCATGCCCACTCAAAACTTGCCCCCATCTCCTCCTTTTTCCAATCCATTTCCATGTCTTTTGTATAAGACGTTGCATCAATGTGGACGGAATTAGGCTGACAACTTATACATAGAACACGACGGACTCCGCAAGGATGGCCAGCCCGACCAGCGTGTCCAACAAGACAGCTTCGCCCACGGCAAGGTTGACCCTCATGAGGCTGGCAAGAAGGGCGGCCAGAGCTCCGGCAGCTCCGGCACCTCAAGCGGAGGTAGCGAGAACCCCCAGGGTGCTTCCAACCTCGGTGGTGATGGATTGCGAAAGGATGGTCAGCCAGACCAGCGCTTGAAGCAGAACCAGTAGATGGTTTCGTGTACAAGGATATCCAATACAACGTTGGTCGGAAGACGAAAGTGTGGGAAGGGAGACATGATCTTTGTACCCTGTCATATGTAAAAACATGTCTTCAACATGTGAATCGAATGAATGAAGTATTGGATCGGTGATTTCTGCGCCTCTACACTTCTGTGTCATGATCAGGATCTCTTTCTTAATTCTTCCTGCTACAAAGCCTACAAATACTATATGAATCTAGGAGAGATTTAAAGACCCAGGGTTGGATAGTGATGTTATGATATCACAGACCACAATTACATCTCTACAGTATTCATTGTTTCAACGAACAATGTGACCGGCTAAAAAGGCAGTACTAGTATCTATGGAATATCGACCATGCGCTGAAGTCGTCTTACCATGTATGGGTAGTGCTGTCGCCATATGATCGTTGCATACTGCCAGCATACTCAAGCGGTTTGGCCGTGGCAGTTTTCTCTACCTCATTCCATCGCATCTTCTCATGCCTGCCGCCACTAAACCTGTTCCTGTTCCTTTCCAGTCCACCCATCCCCATCCTCCAAGGCCCGCAGTCAAACAGCGAACGACGGAACCACCTTTCACTGACGGCCGTTGTCACGCCACCGGGAGGACCTCTATCCAACACGAAAGAAGCGGCGCCGCCATCCTTGCGCCTCCGTATTCTGTCGCGGAACTGCGTCCTCTCAAACTCACGCTCCTTGCGGTCCATTTCTCTCCTCCGGCGCAGATAACTCATCCAGCCGAGTCCCAGGCCCAACGTCAAGACGCCGCTTACGGTCCAATAGATCCAAAAAGGCTGCGCGACGATGATCTGCCTATTGGTGTTGTTGGCGTCCGTGGGGGGTTCGGGGTCGGGGAAATTGAAGATGGGCGTCTGGAAGAAGGAGGCGACAAAGGTGCCGGGCAAGAACAACAGCGAGATGAAGGCGATGGTCATCATGGCGGTGTTGTTGTTCCGGCCTTGCCAGGCCAGCTCGTTGTTGATGTCGGCGATGGCCAGGCTGGCGCGCGAGTCGCGTTGCGTGGTCAGTTGAAAGACCGAGTTCATGGCGTTCTGTAGTCTCTCGCCTAGTGAGTCGGCGTCCATGAGGTGCACGAACGTGTAGTCCCACATGACGTCCATGTACAATTGTAGCTCGTCGCATTCCCGGAGCAACGCTTCGAAGTGGGGTGATGATGAGGCCGAGCTGTCCAGGCTGAGTCGGTACCCGGCGTTGCACCTGGATATAAACTTGATCTGCTGCTGGAAGGTCCGCAGTCGGAAACGGATGTTTGTCAGTTTCCCCGAGAGGATGTTGAACCCCTCGACCGCTTGGTCTTGTGCGTCGCCGACGCCTCGGCCGGGCTCCACGCGATCCAGCAGCCAGTTCCAGGTCGGAAAGCCGATGGCCTGCTCAAGCTCGAGGGTCTCTCTGTTCATGTCGTCTAGCATGTCGAAGGTGAAGCTCAGGGAGATCTTCGTCTTGATGAACCCCAGCAGCATCGGGTGCGCCAAGTGGTGCTGGAGTCGGACCAGATCGGAGAGGACTTCTGCTTTTCGTTGGTCTCCGTCCCCTTCCCTGTGCCACATCACGGCGGCGGTGTGTTTGAACGCGGGACAGTACGACCAGGAAATGGTCCAGCTCGACGTGGAACAGTAGTATTTGGTACATGTGGAAGCCAGGTTGGTGGTGGTGGTGGCCGCCGACGTATGGGTCCTGGCCGAGTTTGATGCAGGAATGCATACGAATGTGATGTGACCGCGAAGGTAGCTCCCAAACGACGCCAACGGGAGATCCAGCTTCTCGAGAACATCCAGCACGAAGTCCGCATCGATCTGGCGCTGAGAGGTCTCGTTCTGAGGCGGAGGTGGTCTTGCCAGGTATACGGGTGGCGGTGAAGATAGACTTGGAGCCTTCTTTGCCGTAGACTGGTTGCGAGTCTGAAAGAGCAGAAGTCTCATGGTTCCCTGGTCGGATGGGGAGTTGGGTTGAGGGCGACTACTGAGCCAGTTGACGACATCTGTGGCCGAGGCACTGGGCCTGATTGGAGTAGTCGTTGCCATGCCACTGGGTGAGCAAGGTAGTTCGAAGGTATGCACTTGTCGATGGCCATTATAGAATTGGAAGTCGGCTGGCGAAACTATCAGGCTGTCGAGGCTCCCGGCTGGCATATGTGTTTCTGGATGTGTTCGTTCTGTTCTGCCTTTGGGACAATACTAGTAGTTGGGAGTATCAAGACAAAGAAGCGGGCCCCTACACAAGTGACTCTGGAGAAAGGACGTTCGGGCTTTAAATATAAGTCTGGATAGCCGCCAACAACGCTGCCCTCCCGAATTCAGGTCTGCTTCGCCTGGCATCATGACGGCGGACTCCGAAAAGGATTGGCGAATCATGAGCAAGTCAAAGAGCACGACAGCATTGTGAGTCAAAGATCCAAGGGCAGATGATCGAAGTGGGAGAGTCGCCTTGTTCGCAAATACTGTTTTTGCACTTGTGCCCTGCCCTCTTCCCTGCCCGGCGGCCCAAACCGATGATTCGAGATGTTGCGGATCTCGGCGGCCTCGCACGTGGGGGCACATTTACTGCAGCATGGACATGTACTTGCCAAAACGAATCCGAAGCCCTAAGAGTGGAAGACGGGTGTGGGATGAAGTGAAGCGAAGCGGCTGAGAAGAGCAGATGTCACGATAGGAGGATGGGACGATGCGGTTCTCGGCTGGCGTGGGGGATGGACACGATGGACTTGTGCGAACCACGCTGACTCTACCCAAGGTACCTTGGTGGGTAAGGGACCTTTGCTGAGCACAAGGCAAGGCAACCACCAAGTCTCGGCTATTGAAGGGACGTTTCATACATCTTCCAAGTTGGGATATGATATCCTGTTGCTCGTGTTGGCTTACAAATGGCATTGCGAGAAGATGATCATTGTGCAGGTCGTCGCTGAGGAGGAATACATATGTGAACACGTTCAATTTAATCACCATCTCGAATTATCGGACTATTTCTTTCACACACTACTCATAGACATCAATCATGAAGCCGTAAATTATCATGACAATACGCTAAAAAGGTTCCAGGTCGCTAGTAAATGCGACGAGGTCGGGTGTTGGTAGGATTGTCAACGTCGACCGTCTCTGCAAGCAAATATGTCAGATATTTGTGGTATTGTCAATATGATGTGGACACTCGAGGAATCAGGCTGACAGGCAAGGGGAGTGCTGGAATCACACACTTCAGTTCTTTCTTTCACCTCGTTCCCGTACCTTGTTCGCCGATGGACACTGGCTTTCTCTTAAATAACTTGCCCAAACCTTTCTTCTCTTTTTCGGGCGGCGAAACAGTTCGAGGTGGTTCAACCACAGGAGCCGTCGTCTCATGGTAAGCTGTTGGCTCCGGCTCATGGTACTGTTCATGGCCAGGCCAGCTTCCCGGGATGCCTTCCATCTCGGCTCGTCCTTTTTGCAGGATTTCCTCGTTCCGAGCATTGGTCACGGCTGCCTTTTCGGTATTCTTCACGGGGAAGCGCTTGTCAACAGCCGTGCTGAGGGTCCCGCGAAGGGTCTCTCCCACTCCCTATTGACCAAAATCAGTACCAGTATCACTATTGGGCTAGGTCGCTCAGAAGCACTTACGTGAATACCTCTGGCTGCTGCTCTCAGATCATTTATGGTGCTCTGGTTGTGTTTCATGGGCTGGTCAGCCGTCCTGATCGATGATCGACTGGGGTAGCTGTAATTCGGCCTCGATGGACTAGCAGGAGGCGTCGTGCCCGTCTGGCCTGCAAAATGCCCATCAACAGGGCTGATAGGAGCATCATCCATCGGCATGGCCCCGGGGACGCCTCGGCGCATCTCGCCTGACTTCCGCATGGCACTCTTGGCCGGTACAGGTGGCATGTCAGCAGAGAGTCGTCCATTTGACACTGGCACTGATGCTTGGGTTGGTGCTGATACTGGTGCCGGCGCTCGTCCACCCTGAGCTGTGCTTGTAGATGTTACCGCAGGCTGGGATGGCTCATATCCACTAGACCCTGCAGGCATTTCCTGCAGTAGTGGTGGTCGACTCGGACTGTGTTGAATTTCGCGCTTGACATCCTTTTGCACGTCTTGATGTTTGTTCCCTCCTTTTGTGGTGGTGGTAGTGGTGGTAGTGGTGGTGGTCGTCACAACTGTCACCACCTCGCCGGTATCTTCGTCAAAGACTTCGCCCGTTGAGGGCCTCAATGCCAGGTTTCGATCCTGGTCGATATTGGCTATTTCGCTGTTTTTCTCGGCAGACACCATGTCGGGAGTGCTTCGTCCTGCGACGGCGCCATCCGCACTATTGGCTTCACTGCTTCCATATGCAGAATCGGGGAGATGGTCAGGGCGTTCTGGGGTTTTGTCGCGTTTACCGAGCAAGCGACCGAGGCCGCGGTGCTTCTTCTTCTCTTCAGGCTGTCCACTTGACATGGCGGCAACTGTATGGGACATTGCGTTATCCAGCAGAGATTCATCAATGAGGGCAAACAATACTCGTAGCAGCTGGAAATCGAGGTGGGAGGGGCCCCCAGACCACTTCCAGGGTTCAAATCCACCCTTCGACGTATGCCAGGCCAACTTGATGCGCCAAATGATGTCACTCGGTAAGCCTGGATCGCAACTGATCGAGCGGGACGAGCGACGAAGCCACATTGCACAGCCACAGTGTGATAGACGAGAAAACAAGCGAGAGTCGTTCGTCAACTGAGAAACCAATCACAATCGTCATCACATTGACAGAAGATAACGGCGGGTATTCAAGCTGATACTGTTGGGACTATCGCGTGTCGACGGATACTTGCATATGCAGCGTCCAGCTCGAGCTCAATGTCGCACCTGCACTTGAGCTCGCAGATATAGGGCCAGGTACATCGCTCTCCTCGAGCAGTCCACTTCTGCAATTTCTCTGCCGTGGGGTTGTCAAACATGCGAAACAGGTCGAAGAGACCAATTCCTGGAGTGACGGAAATTTTCGACCAAGACGCGAAGCTCGGTACAACCTCATCCATCAAGACACGCTGGAGGAACGTCGGGAGAAGGCTGAAGCCGTTCAAGATTTCTAGCCAGTGCAGAAGCTCGTTCATGCCTAGACGCAATATCTTGCCTAGTGGCTGATGATAGTCGGCAGCCCTTTGCAGCTGAAGAAAAGGAGCGACATAGGGTCTTGTCTGTGACACGATGAAATGGTTGACGTTGAACAGTTCTCCGATCCGTGTCAGAGGTGCTTCTGGATGAGCCGAAGCCTGGTGAGCACATCCTTTCTCTGAAAAGTCGGCAGCGAAATGCAACTTGATGGCGCCCGTCTCACTTTTACAGAGTAGATGGACTGGCGCATACATGTCCTTGGACGTCGCGACTGATGCAGTGACGGCCGACCAGATCAGAACGTGAGGCGCAGTAATGTAGTTTAACAGTTGAGGAGTCCCTGCCACTTCCGACATGGCAATTGTGATATTCAAGATCCGGCCAGTCTTCGCATACGCCTCTTCGAAGGTGATGTCACCCAGATTGTCTCGAGCACAGTTCCGGAGAACATCGATGTCGAAGAAGTGCTTCGTGGTGCGGTATCTCTTGTATCGACGTCGCACCGTTGTCAAAAAGGATGAGCCGAACCAAGATGAAGTTTGGCCGTTGGTGCGTTGGAGCTGAACTCGGAGGAAGGCGTCAAGGTTGATGTGCGTGCCGTCCAGTACGGCGAGAAGGTTCCCATTTGTGGTGGAGCCGACGAGACCAGCAATCAAAGCCCCTGTGCCAGTGCCGGTGATGATTTGCGGGAGCAGTCGTTGCTGATATAGTGCCTTGACTACTCCCAGATGGCACATGCTGATCATCGCACCTCCTTGTAGAACAAGACTTGTCCGGCCGAGTGCTGTACGCATATCCTGAAGTACCTGCCGCTTCTCCTGGGCTGAAACAAGGGTAGTCATATTGCCGGTAGATGTCTGGTGGGCAATATGAGCAATGCATTGCCGGACCTCCTTAATATAGTCGTAGATGAGGCATTTTGTCTGGACATGCGATTTTCGATAGAGCGCGGGTGACAGAATCCGTCCCATGTTGCGGGAGCTCTGCGCCCTGAGCTGACTGCAAAGTCCGCGATCATCGCCTGACTTACGACAGCGCTCGAGATCTCTCTTCAGACTCCGGACGATCTGCCAGTCATAGCTCGGATCATGGTCCACGATAACCCAGTCATCAACTCCGTGTATAGCATCGTATTCGTATTGCCAGGCTCTATACTCATCATATGTGCTCGCGTCTTTTGCATCTCCTGTGGTAGATGGCTTACTCCACGGCTCGACCCAGATCATGAGCAGGAAGCATCTAAAAATGCCCCACAGAGTCCCCAGAAGCTGCGATAAGAGTTCCATGGCAGGTCAGCAAGAAAAGTAGCATTGTGCTACTTATTCGCTTCTAAACGCATATAGTGTTTCTGGTCTGATCACGCGGGAGGGTTGAGGACGGTCTACATGCAAGCCTGAAGCATGTGAAAGTGGCCATTGTTTACAGACAAGCCGCTTTAGCTTATAATGAAAAACCCGGCCACCGTGATTGGCAAGTACCGGAATAATATTAAAGCAGCGGCAGTATTAGTGGACGTCCTCCTCTCTTCTTTGGATTTCCAGTTCCAGCTATTCTTCCAAATCCCACACCTCGACTCATGCGCTCTTCATAAGAAAAGGCATTGGGACACAGCCACCGGTTGCCAGATGATGCACTGATTCACAAACCGAGGCCACCCCGCATTTTTCTGATCAAAGCCTGGCATGACAGGAGCGAACATCAACCAACGCCGATATCGGCCATGATGAACAACCATTCGTCCTGATATAATGGGAGGTACATATATACAGTTGATACCAATATACTCCAGTAATGCTTGAGAGATTACAAAATACTCTCCTTCCATCCAGTCTCCCACTGTCACGGCGTGGGCCATCAAGCGTCAACTAAATAGATCCTGGTCTCACGACTTTCTCACAACTCTCTTAACACATCTCTATTGGGGTCTGTCATCATGTCAGAACGGACACCTCGAAAAGAGCAAGCCGCCTACACCCATGGCCACCACACCTCCGTGGTAAGCGACCACGCGCGCCGCACCGCTCAGGACTCGGCCGCTTTCCTTCTCCCACACATCCAACCACACCACAAAATCCTCGACGTAGGCTGCGGTCCCGGCACCATCACCGCGGATCTGGCCGCGCTCGTACCTCAAGGGAGTATCATCGCCGGCGACGCTGTCGAATCCGTCCTGCAGCAAGCCAGCAACTACGCTGCCTCGAGGAACCTCACGAACATTTCTTTTCAAACCGTCGACGCCAATGACCTGCCCTTCCCCGACGACACCTTCGATATTGTTTACTGCCACCAACTCCTGCAACACGTAAAGGACCCAGGTAAGTCCAAGTCCACGTTTACCCTCGACCTTCCCACTTCTCCCCTCTTCTGCTCTAGACATGCTACTTGTATTGGTCCTTGATGTGTTCACCAAACCATCCTAATCCGTGTCCTTGGGCAGTGGCGATCCTCCGCGAAATGCGGCGCGTCTGCAAATCGCACACCGGCATCGTCGCCGCCCGCGAAGCCGACTATGCGAGTTTCGCGTTCTACCCATCTCCACCCGAGATAAAGCGCTGGGCGGAGCTGTACCAACTCGTGGCCCGCAAAAACGGCGGTGAACCCAATGCAGGGCGGCACCTGCACGTGTGGGCGCGGCAGGCGGGTTTCTCCCCGGACGAAATCCACGCAACATGGGACTCGTGGCGATACGCTGGCGAGCGGGCGAGGCAGTTCAGTATGTCCTGGCACGGGCGGATTTTGCAGCCCGGATTCATGGGAACAGCGGTGCGCGAGGGTTTTGCCAGTGAGGAAGAGATCAGGGCGCTCTCGGAAGCATGGAAAAAATGGGGAGAGACGGAGGATGCACTGTGTGCGATTCCACATGGCGAGATCCTGTGTAGGAAAACGTAGCACATTGACACGGTTGAATTCTGTGGCAGAATCCAGCGAGGATAAAGCCCACCCCGTTTCCAGAAAAGAACAACAGCCTAATTGGCGATGAGATACGGTGTATGAGAAGGAGCAATAACATAAGAAATAACAATATCACTCCTGCCGATGGTCAGGACTCGAAGGAATGATCAAAACAACGAGGGAGATGGTCAATTCGAGCAAATAAAGGCAGTAGGCAAAGTAACGATGCCGAAACTTGATATACATTAATATTTGGGTTCTCCGCTGTAAATGCTGACCAATGTATACAAGTACAATCCAATATCAAACCCTCGCTCCTCGACTCTGGCCGTCCGCTGCGTTCCATGACCATGTTCCACTTCCATGAAGCAGGTGCTAATATACAGGTCACACCGAAGTGGTGACTTCCTCCCACTGAATAGTCTATAACCATAGACTTACCAGCGAGTGTAGGAATTGATTGCAACGAAATATCCTCCTGACCAGCCCCTGATTTTCGTCTCCTGATGATCAGTCCAGCCAACCTGATTTCTCGACGAAAGGGATATATTGTACAATTGCTTGGTTCCTTCTTGCGCGCTGTTGTATCTTTTCACATCATTCATCCTCCACGATAACCATACATGGCCTAACGTAGAGTATTAACCTGTGAATCCCAAAACCCCTGCGGCAGTCTTGGAATATTAATCCTGGGAAAGTTGATCCCACTGCCGCTCGAGGATTCCCGCTTAAGATGTCCTCGGGCAGGCGATGGAGTCGAAGGGGGCGTGCTTGAACTCTCGTGGCTCAGGTTTATCCTCTTCTCTTTGAGATTGTCGAACGTTGTCAGGCTGCCATGGAGACCTTCTTGCAGTTGTTGAGCCGCCTTCTCGGAATCAGAATCAGAATGAGGCGCTATGTTTTCTGCATCTTCTGGCGAGGACAGTTGAAGGGTCTCTTTCTCGGCTGCGCTGATAATTTGTTGTGGCGGGGTGCTGGCGTCTGCCCTTTCAGCACTTTCCTCACTTGCTCTTTCAGTGTGCTCGCCGATCGCATCTGCCATCTTCCGCTCATCATCTGGCGTCTGCTTCGGCGATGGGAGAAACGCAGGGACGACGCCGCCAGCCATTCTTGCCCAGAACAACCGTTCCCTGAGTCTGACTAATTCCTCCCACGCGTCTTCTTCATCTTTCTTATCTCCAACCTTGACCACGCCCTCGCGCACCATGCGAATGTAGGCGACCAGATCACCCACCCCACGCACTTTTTCCAGACACAGTGTGCATATTGACCACTTCGTAGCTCCTTCGCCTTCACGTACCCTCATAGCGTGCGTTCGAGGATTCTCGCCCTCTTTCCTATTCTCCCCGCACAGCGCGCACGGCGTGTATTTTCCATATAGCCTGAGAGAGGAGTCCGGTATAGGTTCCACAATCAGCGTGGAGTCTCCCAGGGCGGAAAGGATGCTGCGCCGGTTTAGCCATGAAAGCGTCGGAGACAAATCGAGACGGAGTGTCGGTTCAATATCTTCAACAAGTATGCGCTTGTAGAAACGGGTGTCCTTCAGGGGCACCGGTCCCTTCGTGTCAGGATTTGGGCTGAACGAGCCTGGGATGGAAGGCGAGTTCGCCAATTTCGACGTAGCAGGCTGAGAAATCTGAGTGAGATTCGGATTTGAGTTATTTGTAAGGGAGCCAAGGCCCATCACGTTCAAACCACCGTAAGACCCAGAGCCTGCTCGAGACGGAGCGTGAGAAGGATTGTGAGATCGAAAATGAGATGTCTGTACAAGGTTCTTGAAATCCTCGTAAGCTGGGATATCTGTGCGGCACAAAGGTTTGATCAAATGCGTGAGCATCGTAGACGGACTGGGTAATATCTCGCCTTCCGGACTGAGTGGTGAAAGATTCATCGCTTCAAGAAGACGGGCTATGTTGCCCTCCTCTCTTGCGGCGCCAGGGCTCGAAGGTGCAAGTGAGACTCGAGGCGATTCGAGCTCTTTCCGATAATCGTAACTAGGGCCAATTTGCTGCATGAGCGTCTTGAGTTCAGTCAATTGCTCGGTCTGTGATGCAATGACAGCTTCTCCGTCCTTGATCTGATCGCGGAGCTGTTGGTTCTTCTTCTCGATTGCCTCACGGTCTCGGTTCGCCGAAGCTACCATCTTGTTTGCTTCATCGAACAGTGACGCGGTAAGAGTTTCCAATTCTGACTCAATGCCGCGCTTCTCTTGCTGCACGAGTGCCTTTTGTTTCCTCTCCTCCGCTAACTCAGCAGACAATCTGTTACTCTGCTGATCCGCCGTCTCTTTCGTGACCAAATCGCCACGCGCCAGTTTCTCTTCATGCGCTTTTGCCTCAGCTTCCAGCTTTGCGATCCTTGCCTTGGACTCTTCCAGTTCTTGCCTTGTCTGCGCAAGAGTATCATCGAGGGCAGTCTGGTGGTTGATTGCACTTATGAGTTTGTCGCTCAATGCAGTCACCTCGCTGTTCAGATCTGGGTGCTTCGGGGAGGTAGAACTGGAACCGGGCAGGTCGGTTGTGCTGGCGTTTCGTGGATCTGCGATTGTCCGAAAAGACGTCTCGGGAGAAGCACTCTGAGGATGTGCCGGGGACGATGCTTCGACGGTGGCCATTGTACGGAGGTTCGAGGTGGATTTGGCTTTCGAGACTTTATCGCGCGGCGATGAACTGAGCTGTGGGCCAAGGGATATGGAGCGCGAATGCGTAGGCATTCCAGGTGCTCCTAGCAGACGGCCATGATATACCCAGGCATTCATCTGGTGGGATGACGTCCAGAAGAAAGCGTTTCCAGGCGTCTAGTTTGAAGGACGCCGTCACGGATCTCATGCAGCTGTCATGTCATGCATGCTTGTATCCGTAACGCCTGTGCTTGTCACGCCGCAAGTTGGAGCGAGCTTCAGAGCACGTTGAAACGCGATCGGCTGTACAAGAGACGTCTCCTTGCATGCGAGTACACAGTTCGAAGACGCAGGACGGGTATAGGTAGGACAATAAGCCAAATAGTATGGAAGGATCATGGAATGATTGAGGACGGCAATGTGAAGGTAAGTCCGGAGAGCACTCTCGCTTAACTGGAATTTTGGGGAGACAACCGACTCGCCGACAACCAGCGTCATTCATCGTCGCTCCAGGTCGATCTGCTCCAGGCCACAACCAGGCACAACTGCGCCCTAAATTGATTGCCCCGCGAAGCATTTTCGTTTGCAGTGAAACACAATCACATTCTCCCAATAGAGGCCTTCAAAATTTGGAAATGGCAGACGACGAACTAGCACAGGTGCGATATTTTCTCCGGTGTTCCGGTCTCGAGCCTAACGAGCACAGATTCGAGCAGCGCGTCTAGCCCAGCTCAAACAGCAACAGGGCCGTGGAGGGTCAGGCGACACAGGCGGAGACGACGAGGAACAGAGGAGGCAAGCAGGGTCAATAACGTATCCTTTTAGCCAACGACTAATGATTGCAGAAAACAAGAAGCCGAAGCGCGATCCTCCATATTGACGCAAATCCTCGAACCTGAAGCCGCCGACCGCTTGGGCAGAATCCGCATGGTCAAAGAATCACGAGCGACCGACGTCGAGAACAGACTCATCATGCTGGCTAGGTCAGGCCAGTTGCGGGCAAAAGTCACCGAAGACCAGCTCAAGGAAATGCTGGCAAGTCTCTCGGAGCACGAAAAACAATCTGGCCAAACGCTGGAGAGTGTGAAAGTGGTGCGAAGAGGTGGATGGGATGAAGATGACCTTGACGATTTACTCAACGAGTCTTGACACGACACAGCACTGGCATGAGACGCTAGTCTATCTTGCGCAACATCTTGTTTGTCTCTGCATCATCATATCTGGGCATCTATCAGAGAGATGTGTCAAAACCCATGCACCCGTAGTGGTGAAAGGGCGTGGGGAGACATGAGTTTGGAGGCTTTATTCCATGATCGAGAGCGTGGTTTTCGAGAGTTTGTTCCTCATCTATGCTAGTCCATTTCTCGATATGGTCTGCTCGATTCTGCTGGGCCACAGACGATCTCGCAGAGTTACTCTTGGATTTGGAGGCTGCCATCGTGGTTTTGGCCGATATTTGGGAACATTGTGAGGAGCGGCGGAGCGGGAAAGGGAAGTGTAAGACCTCGCAGCACCAGTCAAAACTCTCCACATATCGGTACCTGCCTAAGGTGTACTTTGACGTACAGATGATCACCATATGTGCTAAGTCAGAGGACCTAGGGCTCTCAACAGCAGATCATAACCTCAAAATGTCTGTCCCCACGTTAAACTGCATGCCTCATCGTGTGTCAGCCAATAAAGATACGATGTATCTCGACTCTCATGCGGAGATGTCGAGGATACACTTGGATAGCGCTTGACAGCTGTTTCCGACCCAATCGCTAAAGGTTGAATTTGGAGATGATGCATTTGATCCCAAGCGATCGACATCGTCAGGCGAGGGGTGCTGAGTACAAGGAAGCGTACGTTGTGGACAGCATGGCCAGAATGGTTATACGATACAAAGGGTGATCTGCAGACCTGCCATCCGCAAGGGCCTCAGCAACATCGCAGTGACTGGGGGTTGAGCAGTCGTTGGGTGCGCTGACTTGACTTGGCATGATGAGGTGCTGAGGCCATGATAGCGACGGATTCGGAGGTTAGAACTCGGGTGGTACCATGTCTGAATATGCATACAGCAGGTGCCCTGTGAACTCGTCGCACCACCATTTATGGCTGCCCAGGCGCGGAGTTCCGGACGTGCATGTCTAGAGCATGTGCACGAAGACAACGAGGTAGTGTGACCTCTTGGACGAGAAGCGATCGAGTGACCCGGTCCCGCGGGCGAAGTGAACTTCTTGGGTGCTATCAAAGTAAATTGGTTGTCTCAGACATGTAGTGTCGGGCTAACATTTGGCCCCTTTGGTGGCTTCCAAGCCTCGTTCCATGGACACACATGCCAGGAGTTAGTGTCTCTTCAGGAGCACATTTCAAAGAGCATAACGATCTCCTCTGGCGGTGGAAGCGTGGGGCTGTGACCACGGTGTTCCTTATGATATGAATCGTGGAAGACTGCAGTCGACCAGAAGTCAAGATGAAGTGTTCAGTAGACAGTGCCGTTGCCAACCTCTCTGTATGCGGATGGCACGAGAAGATCCGGCGTCGAACAAAGCATTTGGTCCTATATCGCAGAATAGACGGGACGAAAAGCAGTTCCAGTACAAGCTCCATGTTGGGCGTATGTTCTGGCAAAGCCGTGCTTGAAGTCCTGGAAGTGCGTTGCAGCGCTTGCTTGGAACCTCGAAGTCATCTCCGCCCGTTGGGACTTCTGGCAAGTCGGCTTAATATCAAGTGGGTGCAATCGCAGCCTGAGAGGTGGATGTTGAGCAATTGAGTTCTGCTTCTCAATGTGGCTTTGACCGCGTCTGCACCGTTCTGTGCCAACATCTCTTCCATCGCTGTGCCAGGACATCGTTCCATAAGAACTTTCGAAGTATTTGTTCCATAGCCTCCCACGTGCTAGTCTCGGTAGGATATCTGTCAAGAGTCTGATGCAGTAACTTCGTTGTGGGCGACAGCAACTCCGACAGCTCGAGGGCACCTGCTGCGGCAATGGAAATCCAGATAAGACAATCCTGATGCTCTTTCATGAACTTCTCGTTTTCTTGCTGAGGTCTTGGCTTTCCACCACCAACGACTGTGTCTTCTAGCTCTTGCAAAGTCTCATTGAACTCCTCTGGTATCTTCTCCTCGCCAAAATGCAGGGTCAAGGAACAGCCGATAAGACCAAAGCATAGCAGGTGTTCAATGGGGACAGTGCCCAACATAGATAGACATCGAAGGTCGGCAATTATGTTCAGGAGGTTGCGACCGCCGGGAGAGCTCGGTGCAGAGCTGACAGGACTGCTCGTGCTCGGACTGTCCGTTGTGGGACTAGTTGTAGCGGGGCTACCACCGCCTTCACTTCTTGTGATCGTCGACAAAGAGGCGAGGATGTCGATCATTTGGATCGACAATTGTCCCGCTAAAGCCATGTCGTTGAAGGCGGGAGAGACTTTCGACAGTGCCTCGCACATTTTGGTGCTGAACGGTAAAGAAGGGTAGAGAGGCAAGTCGTTTCGCAAGGGTGATTCTATGGTCAGTTGAGACATGCTTGTAGTGGCTGCATTCCTCTCCTTCACGAACGTCCAGAGTGAAAAATAGCTATTATTGTCAGACATTCTCACGGACGAAGGCTGGGCAATACGTACGCATCCATCGAGGCGTTGACAAAATGCTGCCATGGTGTTTCACCTTTCAAGTCGGTCCTTATTGCTCGTATTCGTTGCATGGCGTCGATATGGTTTTCCGCACCCTCATGAATACCGAGCATGTACTTTCGCTGCGTCAGCAACCCTCCGGATAGGAACCCCTTGGCGACTCACATCTATCGTTGTCAATGCAGCAATGGTAACAATGGTGGCATCATCTGCGCATGTCTCCTGTGACATCAACCTGAGGCGTAGCTGAGCAAACGCATTTCCACGGTGATAGGCTAATGCGGAATCCTTGAACCAAGGAATCTTTTCTTGTAAGAGCCACGATGCGCGACTGAGAGCTATTATAGCTTCAAACACAACTGCACGCTCGAGGGCGAAGGGAAATACCAGGGACCGATATGGGGTTGGATGGCCTTCGAAGGCAAATGCCCGGCCATGCTGCGGCGCCCATACTTGTAGGTCTGTGAGCAGTATCAGAAGAGACTACACCATAACATCACGGAAGATGACTTACAATGCTTGACCATGCGTGATACACATCCCTCAGCCGGAATGGGAAAGTTGTTAATAGGTTCTGAATGGAAGATGTTGACTGAAAACCTGGGTAGTCGGGTCGCCGCCCTCGGTTCCACAGCCTGATCGTCGTCGACGGGGGATTTTCTTTTTCGAGAATGTCGAACTGAAGCCAATTCTTTCTTGTCGAACTCCCACGAGAAGCGCTCGACCGCAGAGAGTCTTCTTCGAACAGTGCTGTTTGATGTCTTGACCACAAGTTGCGGACGAGACGTCGGCTGAGCACTCGAGGTATCGTGTTTCCAGCCTGTCGCCGTGCTAGGAGCTCGGCTGGAATCGATGTGATAGGGACCTCGTATCATTTCCTCTATCATGATTGACTTTGCCATGCCTCTGCATTGGAGGAGGGAATCATCGTGTGAATGGGAGGTTCTTTGAGGCTCAACGAGATCTTCTGACCGTACATCTGAAACACTATGGCTCATGAGACGCCTGAACACCAGAACAGGTTAAAATGTCGAAGGACAAGATCACGGTGGGAGGCCAAGAGGCCGCTTACGCTTGGTCAGCTGGGTCGTCTAGCAACCGTCAAGATCCTTTGCTCAACTTCGTCCGTTTCGAGGCCGAAGGAGCTACACGGACAATGTGGTTCTGGTTAGATGGTGGCACAAAAATAATGCCCTTCCAAGGAAATAAAGCGCTGCCGATATTCATGGTATGATTGGTCCGTAAACCGATGGAAAACTCGTCACTCCCTGAGAGGTGAGATGGAGTGGAAATGGGATGTGATCCATCAGGCTCAATCTACTCTCTCATTTAGCTGCAATAACCATGCTGGAAGAAGAGATGATGAGTGGTTGAACAGCTGGTGGATAGTAGCCGAGCAAGGGACTCATCGGGGCCAACCCACAAATAGACCTATCTCCGTTCTATCCAGACAGTGCTGGCTTCGCGACTGTTCGGAAAGAATCAGACATCGCGGGGTCAAGTGACGACGAGAAGGGTAAAGGGTACAAGGGATTCTTCATTTTCCGGGCCAAGAGGGTCATCAAGGTACTGAACATAAGCACCCTTTTCCGCGCTGCATACCTAGGTATCGGGGATTATGGAGTAGCCACACTGGTCCACACTGGCAACACGAGATCAATCGACGCCAGCTTTTCCGCCATCATGTTCATCCACCAACCACCATCGCCTTTCCCCTGCTCGGCCGAAACACATGGCTAACGCTGACGACCGACCCACGACCGCTACACGAACCGCGTTTGCATGCTGACCTAGGGCGCAAAGCCATCCAAGCAGCTAGCGGTATCAGACTTCTGATGAGACAACTAGCATCAAATCGTCACTCAGTGTCGAGCTGATTGTCCACGCCTCGCTTCCAGTTGGTTCCTGCATATTGGGATCCTCCATTGATGGCAGCACCATTGAGAAGTCGCGCCGTATTGCCCGACATAACTTCTCTGAACGCACATTGACAGTGGCCGCGGCTGGCGGAATCGTCAGCTCGAGTATCCAGTGGGTGGTGGCGTGGAGCAACACTTACTCGACACAGTTCACGTTAACATCACCAGCAGTACAATCTGTAAATGCTTTTCAGCCATACGAAAATGTGCAGAGCCAAGGCACAGAGCTTACTGCCGTATGAGGTGCAAGACAAATCGCCGTTGTCCTCACATGAGCATATGCTGCGACAATTGGAAGTGTACAGGTTGTAGTAGTTCATGGAGTCTTCCTGCGTCTCGTTGCGAGGCTGCAATGGTTTGTCGACTCTGGCATTGTCTTCAGCCGCCGGACCAGTGCCCTGGTCTCTTTTCAGTGTTGGAGGTACCACTTGTACTGGTGGAGCAGCGTTGGAGCAGCGTTTGAGCAGCGTTTGAGCAGCGTTTTATGAAATTACGGTCATCGGTCAGGCACAGGACTACCCAAGCCCATTTAGTCGGAGACATAGAGGTCATTGAATCATTCTGGACTTCTGCGGTGAAGGCGGCATGAAAAGCGATGTTGTTGACTTCAGTGGAACCGTGGGCTGGGGCAGCACTGCTGGTGGTGGTGAGGTATATGACAGTGGGAGCCACGAGCAGGGCTGTGAGGAAGAACTTCATGCTTGTTGTTGTTGGATCGAGGGCACTACCGGCAAAGGTAAGCAACTAGAAGACGAGAATGAAAAGCAAGCACAGTTGATGCTGTCACTGATTGAGCTCTTGATGAAGTGCTGAGAAGGTGTTGGAGCTGGAAGGGAACGGCCTAGAGAAGAATACTTGATCAAGGAAGGAGTAACCAAGGTCTGGTCAAGCTCGAGGCAAGATCTCATTCTCGTGAACACGACAGGAAAGACCACCCCATCTTTACCTCCTCTCTACCTCATCCTCACTCCATTTCATCGCTTGACTTCAGAGGACGAGCCCGATCCTTGTGCCGTCTCTTGCTCCTTATCGTCCTTCTTGATCTCAATTATCTACGGTCATTCAGTCTAGTATCGAATCCTGGAAAGGTCAATCTTCCTACGTTGTTGCCTGGACTTTGAATCAGTACATTGTGAGATCCATTGTGAGACTGTAGTATCTCGTACAATCAGCACAATGACCCCAGTCTCCATCTTTGGTCAGATCGACCCGGCCGCCACAGTTCGGACATTTGGGCATGATAAGAAGTGGACACGGAGGAGCACTATGCAGCAGCCGGAATAAATTGATCGGAGTATGTTGCCTTGAGTGTGAGATTATATCGAACAGGTTGATAATGAGTTTGAGATGGAACAGTGGGAAAGGTCTTTGGAGAAGCTAAGCGTGGTGACGTAAGCACGGGATGTCTTCGATGGCCCAGGATTTCAAAGGAAATAACATGAAGACGTATCAATCAAAGGAACGAGAAAATCGAAAATCGAAATGAGCAAATGGTCATTTCCATTGTTTGCTTATTGCTCTCCCAGATGCTTCCATTGCGGAGGTCCGGTTTCGTGGGTTTCCAACAGCACGATTTGCCTGGGTTGCTTGCGTCTTACTCAAGCTTTTCCATACCTCAGATACCGTCGCTCGCTCTCGAGGTAGGACAGAATATTGTAGCCCATACATCTCGCTCCTACCAAGCGGCGGCACAAAGCGCCCGGTCAGAAGTCTGAAAACCACCTTAGGTGACAAATAATGTTGGCGAATTCGTGCCCATAGCTGGAAATACTGCTCAAAGATCTGTCGCAGCGACAGCGGCGTCGACGAGAGACGAATGTAGGCCACGCTGGTGGAGAGACTCTCCTGCTCTTCTTCGGCACCATCTTCTCCTGGTTTGTGCTCAAAGTTCTCCATCCCACCCTGGGAAGGCAGTTGAAACTGTACATTATCCAGAAGCTGAAAGTGGACACCGCCAGGCAGTCTCTTGCTGTCCTTGATCCTGAGCATCAAAGCAAACAATGGAAAGTGGTTAAGACAGGCCAAGCAAGTGTCCAAGGTCGCCTTCAACGATATGATTGTCATCCGTGCGAGAGCGAAGGTGAGATAGAATACCACAACAGTTGGTAGCAAGAAGAATAACAGCGTAAACAAGATTGTACCAAGTAAAAGCTGATCCAGGTCGTAGTCGCAATTATCAATGCGATTGCGAAGAACATTTCGTTTCTTGCCTCGGAACAGATGGAACAAGCTGACGATGATGGTGAGCTGCCAGTTGAAGATGCGTGCACTAGCAATGTAGAAAGAGTAAATGTGGATCGTTGTCAAGCTCAGCAGGTCCGAGAAAATGGCGATAGGCATACTGGCTCCAGCAAACGAGGAACAGCCGATCAAGTATACGATCATAGGTAATCGTGGGAGAATCAGCATCACCGTGGTCGAAGACCAATATTCAATGACCCACAAAAACAAATCACCCATAAACGCGGCGAGTTCGGTGTTCAGTTTCAGACCACCAGGATACGACATGAGCCATCTGATCATGCTCTTAAGCCCTTCGATCGTATAGTCATCAAGAATGGTGCCGAGAAATTGGGCCGTCGCTGCTGCATTGTCGCTCAGAAAACTCCCCAGCGCTATGCCTATGATAACGTCGTTGGCGACTAGCCAAAGAGAGTTATAGAAACGAATATAGTCGCTGTTCGTGGTGGGAAATGATGACCAGGGGGCATGGCGTCGCCTGAGGAAGGAATATTGGGTTGGATAGTATGAGAACTGTTGAAGCCGCAAATGGACTTGCTGGCAGCAAGCCGAGATGTCCTTGAGGGCAAATCTGCCGTTCACAGGCTGGCGACTTTCTGGCAACTGGAACCTCTTCAACGGCAAAGGCCATTCGAGTATTTGCAAGACCCCTTCGGCAAGCATTCGGTGGCCGATGATGGCAACCTTGAAAAGATACAACAATGTCGGAAACGCGTACGTCATGAACAAAGTCCAAATCGACACGGCCGCAAATGCGTAGAGCGATTGCGCAGATTCGACCACTCGCTCACTGACTGACAGGCTTCTTTTCCTACGCGGTCCAACGAGAGGCGTGTTCTTTTGAAGGAGATCCGCCACCTCCTGTGCACAATTCATCTGTCGGAGGATAGACGTGAGGGCCAGCTCCTTTTTGGTCGGCGCACGTTTCACCACGGTATGAAACCGAAGTTTAGCAACCAATTGGTCAACCCTACGTCGCTCTTCTTGCAGTTCCACCTCATCTGCAGCGTAGCTTGGTCCTTGAGCCCCACGGCCGAGCGCAAGGGAGATCGGCTCGAGAGACATGTATTGCATCTGAGTAGGGTTCGGAGGATCGAAGAGGACTATCTGCACAGACAGATCTGCACTTGGTGGACAATAAATGTATGGCCTTTTCGCTCCGGGAATGGTGAAGGCGCAAATTCTGGTGGGTTCAAAACTGTCCGGTAGATCTGGATGGTTCAGCGTACCCAAAACGTGCATATTCGATCGGTCGCATAATTGAAATATCCGCACAACAGGGTACGGGCTGTGTCGAAAAAGGGTACCCATGCGTAGAGCTGCCTCGACACTACGAACCTGCGCTCGTCAGATCTTTGTTTCAAAATTCTGCTCTTGCTGGCGTACCTCGACATCTTCCAGGACTGTTATAACAAACAAATCGAGATCTGAATTCCTCCAGCCCACTATCACACCGGGTGTGGTTGTCCGAGTGAGGTTGTTCGGCCAGAATATTCGTAGCATGCCATCGTTATTCGCGACCATAATAGCATTGTGTCAAGGCTCAGAAAGAACCTCGTCGGCGTAGCTGCTCCCGTGCCGAAATTCCATGCGCCGGTAAACGTGGGTGCTATTTTCTGTTCAGCCTTGCATCTCTTGACAAATGATCCAACTCACAACAGTTCCTTCGTGGGCGGCCAGGCGGTCTAGAGGAATGGCAATGACGATGAAAATCAGGGTGATGATTGCGAAGCCTCTCGTCGCTCGAGCCTGCGCACGCAAATCAGTGTGATTGCCCTACACTATGGGCGCAACCTACAACAACACCGTGATCCCAAGCAAATACAGCTAGTTCGTAGAGCCTTGTAACGAGGTCCCAACGGGCGGTGATGTAGCCAGCGACGAAGATGCCAATGGTCAAGGAGGAGAAAGGGTGCATACACGCGAATACCCTTGGGTTATCCTAGAAGAAGTTTCTTCCAGTCACAGCGCAAAGTGCTGTATCAGCTTTCGAGGGGCCCTCTGGAGCTTTCAAAGGGTTCCATTCATGTTTGTCTCTTGGCTTTGGGGACGACAGATGTAACGGCGGCAGCGAGATGAAATGCGCAATCTCCCCCAGACTTATTATCCGCTGTTTAGCCGAAGACGGTGCCTTGAAAAGCTGTCGACTGTCTAGGTTTAGCGGCTTCGGCTATACCCGCCGCTACGAATCTGCTCCCAAACTGAGTTCCTCCATGGTCCTCCTCGTAGAATCATCCGTGCTTGTGTTTCACAACGTTCACTGTAATTTGACAAAGACATCCAGAAGCCGTGTAAGTCTGTGCAAGAATGAGCGTAGAAGGCTGCCGAATAGTGTGACAGATCTGGCAAAGCCTGTTGAAAGTGTGAGTTGAGACTGCGCAGGTAGCCGAAACGCTGGGCTTCCAGCCTCCCAAATTTGGTCAGTTGAGAGAGAGAATCAACTATGCAGGAAAGACTTCTCTGCTTTAAGGTACAATAACAGAGGTAGGGATTGCTTCCCCCCGAGATCAACAGACAGAGCGATCAGTGAATCACTTTCACAGCCTCTGGTGCAAAGCTTCACTGTTTGCGGCCATCAATCACACCAGGGTCGGGTGCCTGCATTGTGGATGAAACTGATCAGCCAAAGGACTTGCGCGACCTTCAGATCAATCACCACACTCAACCTCAGCAAACAGCAGTCTGCCGGACCAGCGTTGCCAAGCTCTAGATCGCTCTTTCCCTTCGTTGCCTGGATCAATCAGAGCAATTCACCAGATCGAGACGCCCAAGGCGGTTTAGTGGGAGCCACGGAGCACTTCTTCCAGACTACAAAAACCTCCCTCCAAACTGTCTCACGCAAATTTGAACTCTTACCTCTTCTCTACCCATCAACTCACTCTCTCACTCTCGCTTTTGGATCCAGCTTCAACAGAACTTGGATACCCATCATCACCTCTTACTCAACACCTTCTAAACACACTCAGTCTCTTCCTCTCAACATCTCAAGATCTTCACAATGAAGTTCACCAATATCTTCGCACTTGCCACCATGGCTTTCGGTGCTGTTGGCTCTGGTGAGGCTGCGACAACTCATCTTTCGTCGTGTTTGGCTAATCCAAAGGTAGCCACTGCCATTTACAATGGTCCTAACGACATGGTCACTGGTGGCAATGAAAAAGTCGTCGCTGCCTTGAAGGGTGAACATCCAAATTGACATGTTTTTGAAATTCACACACTGACTGATTTCTGCAGCTCGCGGAATTCCAGCTGGTGAAATCAAGGCTATCGTCAATCTCGTCCCTCGCGGTATGTCAAGAACTCCTCTCACCAATTTTTGGTCGCTAACGTTGATCTTTTGTTTCCCAGACACCGTTACCGTCACCACTACTGCTGACTGCGGTTACACCGTCGAGTCCTATGCAGGCCCACCAACCACCACCGTCATCATGTCGACTGTCTTTTCAACCCCGACCCCCACCCCTGAGGTTCCGTCTACTCCCACCTTGGCCTCTACTCCTGTTGTTCCACCGGAGTCGTCCACCACCGACACCGTTGCTACTCCAGAAACTCTAACTGCGACTGCGACTCCAGAAGTTCCGGCCACCAACACTAAGACTTCCACTATGGCCACTACCACTCCAGAGGTTGGCACCAACACTGGCACCCCACCACCACCAGAGACTACCAACGCAGTCACTCCTCCTGGCAGTACTGGTGTCACTGAGACCACATCTTCAACCACAACCGAGACCAGTGCCTTGACTCTCAGTACTTCCAGTGCTGGAGTCACTCCAAGCACCTCAACAACTCCACCTGCCCCCAACGCTAATGTTGCTGGCACTGCAGGTGTGCATGTTGGTCTGGGTGTCATTGGTCTTGTGGCTGTCTTGGTCATGGCCTAAGTGCACATACCTCAACAGACACACTCCGACACTCTTTGCAGCTATGTCTGCCATGTAACTCAACATGCTACACATACGCATTTGCAAAAGAGACGGCACACACATTGACATCTCAAGAATCGAGATTTTCATAAAGAGGCAAGGTCAAACATTGAGCTTTTGAACATGGGACACAATCAAGGAAAGTCACCCACCTGCATTGGGGCAGCCACATTCTGTACTGTGTCTTTCAAGCTAGGCCATTTGGTTTGGTGGGATGATCGTGGTCATGGATGTAGGCACCTTCAAGTTGGATGAGGGATCGACCTAATTGCTATTGCACCTTAATCCGGTTCCTGTCACAATAGGTGACCACAACGAAAGGTTCCTTGACCCTCGATATTAACAAGAAATCAATTGCATTTCAAAACATTTCTCCTCTCCACTGCATAGCTTGTTGTCATTCCTTCTTGTGCGGTTCTGTGCTTTGGCGTAGAAGACATGTCTTTGTATACGATTGCACCATCTGCCCGGCCTTGTAGTATCACCCTGACAACAGAGCACACATCTCACGTTCACACCAGAGACCTCTTTCACTTCTGTGTCGACCATATTTCATTACTCTAGGATCTAGTCTTGTGTCAGCCGGAGACCATTGCAGACAACCACTGACCTGGCATTGCCCCTGAACCTTGCCGCCTTGTCTGTGCGCAAGGCTGTCGGTTAATGTTCGGGTGAGGTCCACCTGAAAGTTCCTTGTTGTCAGTCGTTGGCAGTGTGTGTCATGGTGCTGAAGGCGGTAATTGAGACATCTATGCTCCAATGTGAGATTCTCGGTTATTCCGGCTGTTGCTATGTTTACAACTGGTTATGACTATGTATTCTAGTTATTCTGCTTTAATGTGTCCACTATCGCCCCGGCTGTTTGAAGGTGCACGCCCCAGCCCACCTTGGAAGAAAGTAAGAAGTGAGTTGTGTGTGTCTATCTACCATATGTCACCTTATATCGTGTCATAGTTGAGGCCGAGATCAAATCGCTTGCTCTCGTCTCAGTCCTGCAGGAGGATACAGTCCTGCCATCAAGACTGCTAAGTTTGGGTCATGAAGTTTCTTCCTCTATTATCCTCTCGCTCTCGCCCCTTCTCACTTTCCTCCGGTCCTGCCATACCTCCTCCCAGAACCCTTCCTTCCATAACCGCAAGACTTCGAACCCTACCTCCACGGCGATGAGCACGATGATCATCCACTCAAGAAACAACCCGTGCTTCTCGCTCAGCCTTTCTCTCAGCACGGTCGCAATCTCCGCGGCGTAGTCCATCTTCTCATTCAGAACTTTGATCCGTATCCCCACGTCCAGCGCCCGGCCGACCTGGTCGTAGTAGTTCTCCAGATTGAGTTCGTGGCGCGAGTCCCAGAAAATATCGGGCAATGAGTCCGTGAGTTCGGAGTACAAGTTCAATTGCGCGCGAAGGAGGAGGAGTTGGCCTGTCTTGCGTAGGATGAAGCGACGGGACAGCTTGAAGGGCAGACGTGAACCCTTGGACAAGAGTGCGGGGATATCGGCGGTGGATGCGAGGTAGGTGGACAAATTCGTCTCAAGGACGGCGAGTTTGGTGCTCCGCGCGAAGCCCGATGAGAATGCGATTTTCGTAAGGACTGTGTCGACGGTTTGGTAGTGACTTTCGTGTCCTTGTTCGTCGTTGCTTGGCTCGGGATTGGTGTTTTTTGTGCCCAGGATGATGGTATCGCCGCGGATCAGGCTGTGCTCGCGGTTCGGATCTTCGATGTAATCGAGGTCTTCTGTCTCGATGGGTTCTTTGTGCGGATTCTCTGCGGCGGGGAGGAGCGTGCGTGTTGCGAAGTACGAAGTAAATCCTTCGGGGAGGGCCCAGGTTACAAGTGTGCCGGAGGGGAATATGAAGGCGTCACCGACCTCAGTCGACGAAAGGTCAATTGCTCTGGGATTCGTAGAGCGGTAGATGGAAGATATGGGGATTTGGACGTGGACGACTTGTGGGAACAAGCCGGTGCCGAGAGGGTCGGGCTCGTAGCCCTTAGCACGCAAGATCTCGACGACTTTACTCAAGTCGAATTGGTCGGCAACAGCGTATGCAGTGACGACCTTCGATGTACCTATCTCATCTTGCGGTTTTGCGCCCGAACGGATCAGGTTACCCGCCTTTGAACGTTGTGCTTCAAGGCCAACTCTTCGTAGCGATGTCTTGGTTCCTGCGGCGCGGGTTGTTTTCCTTCTTTGTGCCTGTTGTACCAGCGATGCTACGGCTGTCTCTTCTTTCGCCTCATCTTTGCGCTCATCTGTGAGCTGTGCAGATTGCCGCAGGAGGGAAGGGTTCGAAGAGAAGAATTCTCGTCTGCGCGGACGCTGGAAGATTGGAGAGGCATGGAGAGGTCGGAAGCCGGGTTGGCGAAGAGCATCGTAGCCGGTCTTTCGACAGGTCGAGCAGACAAAGTGGCTCCCAAAGCTGAGTGTCTGTCGCATCGAGGACGGCCGTAGGGCTTGCAAATTGCGCCGTGGGTCTGGAAAGCATATTGCTAGAAATCCGGACCTTAACTGGACTTTTGGTATCACTCTAATACTTGGCCGTAGTTGGAGATACGGCAGACTGTAGAGTCCATAGAGCAGGATGCCTTCCCTCGGCGCGCTCGTCATTGGCATTGGAGTCTCGTCTGCAAACAATGCTCCGCATAGGCGTGTCCTAGCACTTCTTGTCCAGATGACGAGATCTTAATTGAACCCCTACCTGGATGGCGGCTGGAGATGGCTCGCCTGAGTCAGGCGACGACGAGAAGCCACAAAGCGAGACCAGATCGCCCCAAAAGCCCTCGAAACCAGAGTCGACCGCGGATGAATCTGAGGACGACGAGGACGAAGATGAGGAGGAAGAAGAGCCAAGGTTAAAATATGCGACTCTGACGAAGAATGTCAGCCCGATATACCGCAATGGCGACGCTACGAGTACGTTCCTGGTGGCTGGGGACAAAATGGCAAGTAGAGCACATAGACTCAGACGACCAAGAGCATTTTCTGATACTCGTGCTCTCTAGATCGTTGGCACTCACAATGGAAACATTGCATGGCACTCTCTCCCCTGTTCGAACGCCAGCTGACATCGACAGCACGTTTTCTCATTGCCGTCCTTCAATCCACTACGAGTATACCATGCGCATACAGCAAGCATATCTGCGATCTCGATATCTCCTCTCATTCCTCCTATATCAATCTTGCGACCCGAGCCTCCTCCGAAACCAACGCTGGAGCCTGCACTGTCCAGGAGCAGGTCCCCCACGGGCTCTCCTGCTGGGAAAGGAAAGCAGCAATCACAACTACCACCTGTGCCGAATACACCTTCGAATCAGATCTACATAGCCACTTCCTCTATCGACGGCAACGTCTGTATCGCTTCGCTAGTCGACCCTCGAGATGTCCAGCTACGGAACTTTGGAAGACCTGTGCAGAGTGTGGCCCTTTCGCCCGAATATAAATCAGAGCGGAACTACTTGTCTGGAGGGCAAGCTGGAAGCTTGATCTTGACGACGGGTGGACAGGCTGGCAAGAGTGCGAATGCGACCACAACCGGTACAGCTGCGGCGGCCTCAGGTTGGCTTGGATCGCTAGGCTTGGGTGCCAATACCGGAACGGACAAAGTCTTGCATAGTGGAGAAGGCATCATCAGCACTATCAAGTGGTCACTGTCCGGGAAATATGTCCTCTGGGTAAACGAGCAAGGCATCAAGATTATGAGGTCTAACTTGAAGCTAGAAAGCGGTGAATCAGGCCTGGAATGGAAACGAATGAGCCACATTGATAGGCCGAGCCGGCCGGGTTGGGAAGACATGGCCGGAGTATGGAAAGCACGTGCTGAATGGATCGATCGAGACAATCTAGAAGCTGAAGAAGATAATCCTGCCAGCGGTGCTGTTCCCCCGGCCGCCAATGGAGCACCTTCGCAACCAGGCCATAAGAAGGCCAAAGTGGAAGAAGCCTTGATTGGGTGGGGTGATTCAGCTTGGCTGATCAAGGTCTATCCTGGATCTTCTGAGAGTGATGCTGAGCACAAGATTGGACGCGCAGAAGTCGCTACGATGTGAGTATCTCCCTTGTGGTGAAGATCTATCAGCCTGACTGTCTGCAGTATACGATTTGATGACTGTACTATATCTGGAATTTCGCTATATACCCCGAGTCTGCTTTTGGTACTAGCATATATGGAGAAAAAGGGCTCCGGCTCGTCTCAGGGGAACGGAGAAGGTAAAAAAGGCCGCCGTGCACGGCACAATGCATTGGAACCGGAGTTACGCCTAATCAATGTTAATACGAAAGAGGAAGTCGACACGGATACTCTCACAGTGAGCAGATACGAAACTCTTTCAGCTTCAGATTACCACTTGGGCGTTCTCCCGCCAGTACGTATACCGGCTGCCATGGCCCAGAAAGGATATCTTGGGACGCTCGGCTCGGGTATGACTACAGTCGGTTCCAGTCTCTACACTGGTGTTGAGACTGTTGGGCAAGGTATGTGGGATGCGACAATGTACGGACCACGGATGCTAGGTGCGAATCGGATCTTCAGTGGCGCAGAGAGTATCAGAAGTGGCACGACTGGTCCTGAACGTGGAAGCACGAGGGAGAGGAACTACCTTACCAGCTGGATTCCGGGATTCGGCTCAGCCGACGGCCATTACGACAGTGGGACGCAAATGGCGACTGCACATGGCATGAAGATATTTATTTTCAGCCCGTATGACTGCATTGCCGCAGTGAGACGCAATCTCAGTGACCGCGTGCAGTGGCTCATCAGTGTCAAACGCTATAAGGAAGCTTGGGAACTGATCGACCTACATCCCGAAGCCGCTGGATCATCCCCCGAGTCTCCTGAAGCTGGAACTCCACCAATTCCATCAAAAGCGAGCTCGATAGCAAGGTCCGCCACTGGGACTCTCTCGAGCCCTGACAAGATTCGCCAGCAAGCGACGTTGGCTGAGTTCTTCGCTGACTCCACCTCCATTACCAGCTCAGCTCAAGAAAAACCCAAAAACAAGTTTTCTGCTGCGGAAAAGGAGAAGCGCAGAATTGGCGAGCTCTGGCTGAAACAACTGGCGGATGCCAACCATTGGGCCGAGGCTGGCGAGGTCACTGCGAAGGTGCTCAACACGACGACTCGGTGGGAGCACTGGATTTGGCTGTTCATCAAGAAGCAGAAGTTTGACGAAATATCGCCGTATGTGCCGACCCTTGAGTTAACTCCTCCTTTGCCATCGTCAATCTATGAGATGATTCTGGGCTATTATGTGGAAACAGACCGAGCGCGATTCAAAGAACTGCTTGATTTGTGGCCCTCTGATTTATTCGAGATCAGCAGTATCACCACAGCGATTGAAGAACAATTTCGTGCCGGTACCATTCCAAAAGACTCGGAAGACTGGCGGCTGCTCCAAGAAGGCCTGGCCAAGCTGTTCCTTGCTGAAGGGCATTACAATGAGGCATTGAAGTGCTACGTCCGTCTCCAAGATGCCGACGCAGCTTTGTCACTTATCAAAGACCATCATCTTGTCGAAGCTATCGGCGACGACATCCCGAGTTTCGTCATGCTCCGGGTATCGCCCAGTCAATTGAAGTCTGCCTCGGTAAACGAACTGGACGACTTATCTTCTGATCCAATCCAGTTGCTCGTGGACGAAGCCACAGCTGGGGCTGTCGAGGCTGACGAAGTTGTATCGCAACTCGATACTACCACTTTCAAACCCTTTCTGTACTTCTACCTCCGAGCACTATGGCGGGGTGAAGGCACAGAGAGTACGGCTAAGGGCCCTCGTGTTGGTCACTCAGCTCTTGCCACTTCACTCGTGGCAGATGCAGGCAAACAGCTCGTGGAACAATTTGCAGACACTGCTGTCGAGCTTTTCGCCGAGTACGACCGTCCGCTGCTCGTGGAATTTCTGCAAGCATCTACAGCATATACATTCGAAATTGCGGTCAAGGTATGCGAGAAGAAGCACTTCATCGAAGAGCTAGTATACCTATTGAGCAAGACGGGCCAAATGAAAAAGGCGCTTTTCCTGATCATCGATGAACTGAAGGATGCGAGTAAAGCAATCGCCTTCGCGAAGGAGCAGGACGACAAAGGCCTCTGGAATGACTTGCTTGAGTACAGCATGTCACGCCCACGGTTCATCTCGGAGTTGTTGGCTGAGGTTGGGACGGCTATCGATCCGATCACGCTGGTCAAACGGATACCTTCCGGCCTTGAGGTGGAAGGTCTGAAGGACGGGCTGAGGAAGATGCTTCGCGAGTACGATCTGCAGGATAGCATCAGCTCCGGCGTGGCGAGGGTGTTGAGCAGTGAGGTTGCCGTCGGGATGGAGACTCTCAGGAGGGGCAGGCGGAGAGGGATCAAGTTCGCAGTTCGCCCGCCGCATCACAAGACGCATGTAGTGCGCGAGGCGGACAATGTTGGAGAGGAAGAGAAGACTGAGGCCGTGACCGAGACCGAGAGGGAAGTTGAGCCAGGCCACTGCGCATCGTGTCAAAAGTCATTCATCCAGGATGAGAAAGAGACGCTGATCGGGTTTGCATGTGGGCATGTGTATCATGTTTCGCACCTGCTTCATGGTCCGGACGCGGAAGGCGATGAGGCTCTATTGCCGGACAGTGCAGCGAGGAAGGATCGAGAAGATGAAGGCACGATAGATGAATTCAGATTCTCGAGGAGTGTAGGTCCAAAGGTCACGAATGCGCGGTTGCTGAAGGACAAGATCCAGGCCGTGGGCGGGTGTGGGATATGTCGGGAGTCAAGGCAGCGAGTGGAGGCTGTGAGTGGATGAGGGTGAGGGTATTGTAAAGTAAGTAGACAATGAATACATGCGGAATGACCACTGTTCATTCATGCTGGGCTTCTTATTGTGTCAGACGCTAGGTGTTTTGCGTAGTCCAGAGATCGACAAAAGACAATGTCCAGTCTATCTCCTCCACTAGTCGTCGAAATGCGTGGAGAGGTTGTCGTGAAAGCAGGCTGATGTAGTGATTAAGTCGACTGAGGGATAGATCTTTTACACAAGAGAAGTCTCAGGGCGTGGGCGCACTTGGGTGCTTTTGGAACGGCCTCTGACAGGACAATTGTAGGGAGTGAGTCTGAGTGGGAAAAGACGTTCAATCGAGCGAACAATGATATCAGGAAGTGTGCTCTGGCTTATTGCGTCTTGCTGGCCGTCGGTATTTGGTCCCTGGAAGAGGTGTACAGCAATACCAGTGTCTATTCAGAATAGTATTGTTGAGAGGTGCTGTCGATATGTCTCGGCACTGGTCGCAGAACAAACACGAGAGCCGCAGCTAAGCCGCATGGAATTGTCCTTTGTTTGTTTCCAGGTTGTTCTGTCTGACTCAGTCCGGTATTTGTCTGAGGAACACAAGATCGAAGACCATTGAGCCTAATGTGCTTTATGCGCGCTGTCTTCTCGATGGACCGAGGCTGGACTATTGGTTTGCTGGGATCATGTTCAGAGGATTCGATTGAGTAGCTGTTTGGAATGTGCCATTCGTCCTTGAGCAGATTGGACTACTGCAGGGATTCACAATAAGGACGTGAGCGAGCTGCTGTGATAGACATCAGTCATCCTTGAGCGTTGGCTTTCCTATCCGCCATGAATTGTCGTACACCTTCGATGCGATTCACGAAGAACATGCGCTTTTTATCATTCTTCCAGACCAAGACCCCAGTTTCGTCAGCATATCGGCATGGGGCTTCATAGTCAGCATTGTTCGAGAAATCTTTCAACAGAAAACCAGCTGTTGTGGTCATTCTATCACGTTCCAACTGCCAAAGATGAATCTGGTCTAGGATTGTGGCTGGCAAAACAGGGACCACGCGCCCCTGGTCGGTGCTGCGAGCTTGAAGTTGTGCTTGCTCGGCCTGTGCGTGTCGCCGCATCTGCGGGTGAGCATGAGCGGTGAGGTAGGAAATTATCTGCTCGGCGGTAATTCCAGCTTGTACCGCACGTTGAACGGAAGCCTTGCTCATTTTGCCAGCGACAAGGTTCGGGTGGCGCGAGCGGAGATTGACGAATAGTGACAGCAAGGCAATCTGGAGGGGCGAGGAGGTGTAGGCGTAAAGACGATAGTTTGTCTCGACGATGATGAAACCTTTCGCCGCACCAGAAGCAGACGACGACAGAGACGAGCCTATAGTGGTATTCGTCGCTGAGAGAGTTGTGCTCGAGTCAGATGTCAGGGTCGTGGCAAGGCGAGTTGGATAGAAGTAGTCCACTGGAGAGCCATCATTGCGAGTAGGCTGAAAGACAATTCCGAAGGAAACGAGATCAGAGAGGCACCGTTGTTGGGTTTCGTCGAGCGCCGAAGTTGAGTAAGCCAGTCCAAGCTCCAGCGATGACACCAAGAAAAGGAACGATAGGACGTCGACCTTGTCCATTTCAAAGACCTCTGCATTGTCGACATATAAGAAGAGCAGAGCCCAGATTTGCGTATTGATATCTTGGAGCACAAAAGCGAACCCCTCTTTGGTGATTTTGGCCGCTTGACCCCGGCTATACGTGCCCGAGACTTCGATGAGATGGCCAGCTTTGAGGAGTTCAATAACTCCTGAGGAGGGTTGGATAGCTGCCTGCTCTGTGTCGAGGGCATTGGCCGGTGAGCCCACCATGTAACCTAGTATACCTTCCCATCTTTGACGCGAGTATTCGTCAAGGTCTTGTATGGTGACCTTTTGACTTTCGGGCACATTGGCGACTTGCCCGAATGATTTGCTATCAGCTGCACCAGTCAACGCCCGCCGGAGCGACCTCGCAAAGTCTTGAGTCAAGCTATAGGCTTTTGTTGAGTTGAAAGTGACATCTCGAAAAATGTGATAGCGATGAAGCAGGTCAAGGGCGTGCTCTCGTTCACCACGGCTGGTGTCCTTGACAAACATTTCCAGCTGCTTGACTGGCATCGGCCGCGGTATGTAGAGAAGCATCATGACAAACGACTTTGCCAGGCTAGACAGGCGTTTTCTGAAGATGGCGAGGGCAGATGCTGGACTTCTGTACAGTCGGTAGAACTGGGTGCCTGGAAGCGTCTCCAGATATTCCCATGACTGTAACGTGCTGTCTGACATCTTGCCGTCTGGGAAGGGTGGATGACGGATCACAGTTAGACCCTGTCATCTCAATCTCCAAACCATTTCGTCTGAATGCCCTCCATGAGATGGCCTTCTCAGGGATTGATGTGGTTGGAACTGCTGCAAGTCGAAAGAGGCGCAACTGCCAAGACCTTGAAAGCCAAGGCACGCTAAGCCTTTCTGGTCATTCTTCCAACGGGAAACACCGAGACACCCGGGAACGTCACGGAAGTGCCTACACAAGGTACAGCAACAGAGCCTTGATATTCCTGGTGTGATTGATCTCTGTGGAAAAGATCTAAAAGGTGCGTTTTTAAAAGGTATAGAAATGCATTGATCACGTGAATTGCGTTGTTGCCACTCCAAGAGCAAACTACATAGTAGAGGTCAGTGCCCCTACTAAGTTAGGCACCCAGTGCTAGGTGCCCGGGGGGTAGGCCTCTCATCGCGAACGCAGGTTGGTCTCGCCTAATGTTATGGGTACAATCGGCCCTAAGTTAGTAGTTAACTCCGAGTCTTGCTTCAAGGCATCATCCATTCCCATTCCCCTCTGATGGTGTAATACAGTATTACTAACCTCAATCTCGGCTTGTATTCTCATCTTTTGTCGTCTCGAACTGCTACAAGTCTAATAAAAGCAAACCAAAGGTGTGTACTGACCAACTCTTCTGGGTATGAAGGACGTCGTGGAGTCATCCTCGCAATCCTCGCAATCTGCCACCAGCGACAAGACTGTCGCTCGAACGCGCAAAACACACAAAAAGTCCCGGTCTGGCTGCCGCAATTGCAAGCTTCGCCGAATCAAATGTGACGAGAAGAGACCCATGTGCGGCAAATGCACCGACTTTGGTGTGACATGCAACTACAACACCAGCATTCCTGATCTCCAGCCATGCTCTGGCGCTGCAGATGGCGTCAGCCCCGATTCGACGCTGGACAAGTTCTCTTTGTCAGCAAACGAGCACGTCCTGAATATGGTCAACATTTACCTGGATGCAGATGTGGGTAGTCCTTCCGAGAGCTTCAAGGCCTTGGGTTTCAAGGAAATGGACCGGCTGAACCGGTTTCAATCAAGGACGATTCTTAGTGTTGGGAACAAAGCGACAGCCCGGTATTTTCGAAAGGAAATGATGCACCTGGCCTGTAATCATCGCTTTCTCATGCATTTGGTCCAATCCATGACTGCTCAACACGACCGATACCTGGCGGGTAAGGCCATTTCCGGTCAGAGTGAGGACGAAAATTACCACATGAGCCAGGGCATAAATGGTGTCCAAACCAGACTTTCTCACCCCATCAGACCTGAAGATCGAGATGCTTTGTTCATCGCGGCATCATTACTGGGCGTAATGACATTCTTCGCCATCGAAGCCAAGTCTATTGAGCATGTCTGGCCACTTGCCGATGGTGACTTGTCATGGGTGAGTCTCAGCGACGGCAAAAAGGTCGTATGGAGAGCCACGAATCCCCTGCGGCGTGACAGTGTTTGGCGACCGGTTGCCGAAATGTACGAACGCGATTTCGGGTCACGGGAAAAAGGCCCGGCGTGTGTCCTGTCGGTCTTCGATCATCTCTGCAGCGAGAGAGAAGGATCAATAGCAGCACTGACCAATCCATATCACAAGACCGCACAATATCTCATTTCGCTGCTTGACCTGGAATTGACCGACTCGACCTGGATCCGATTCCTGGCCTTCATATGCCACGTGGATCCTCCCTGGAAAGAACTTCTCGGGGCAAGAGACCCGTGGGCATTGCTGATGCTCGCGTATTGGTTTATGAAGATTTGTCGTGGGGCTTGGTGGGCATCGACGCGAGCCATTGTTCAGGGTCTGGCTATCTGCGTATATCTGGAGCGATACTATGCGGATGATGCACTTTTGCAAATGGCTATACCGCTGCCCAAGCAGGAATTTGAGGCTGCCCAGAGAGAAGGATTTGGAGGGTTCGACCATATTTGTGATTCCGGCCATATATCTTGATCCACTGGCCGCGTCAGGGAAATTTCAAATCCTATTCAGATTTGCTGTCCAGATTGCTGTCCAGATCTACAAAAGACCTGATAGTACTCCAAGCTTCTCGGCGTGCCTTTGCGTAGTCGGCTATGAGGTCATCGGATGCGGCATAGTTTCCCTTCGCTCATGATGGCTCTGCGTAACGCGTAGTGTTTTCCGAATACATTATTTCCTTCCTCGATACATTCTATTCACAGCTACACTCCTTTTCTTCTCACCAAGTGTTTCGAGGCGTCGACACCTCACCACATTGACGCTGGTGTCCCTGAAGCTTGGAGAGGTCATCTGTGAGGGTTCACCGACCAACATCGGAGGCAAGCGACCATGTCGGCACTCAAGTTTGTGCGCTCTGTACGTCTCCACTCTCTCAATGAAGCTTCAATATGGATTCGAAGCTGAAGATTTAGGTATGGGAGTCCTTTCGGGCAACTTCTGGAGTTGAGCCACGGTAGGTCCCCTTGAGCCGCCAGAGAGGAGTCTCGCTAAGTTGACATAGACTGATCGATGCTGTAAGTTTCCTGTGCACTAGCTGTGCCGAACCATGCCATGATCTGCCAAGAAGCAGCACAGTCTTGTCATCAAGACTGGTATGGGATCTTCTGACGCCGGCCTGGTTAGATGCGGATAACGGCAGCCGAGCCTGGCAAAGTCAACTTCGAACTTCCCATTGAAAAGCATCACACGAACCGATTGGGTATACTACACGGTGCTACTCTAGCCACGATGGTAGATACGAGTGGCTCTCTAGCCCTTGCTTCTCGGGGCCTTTACTCGACTGGCGTCTCCACGGATCTGAGCGTTACCTACCTCAACGCTGGCGGGAAGATTGGCGATCTGGTCAAAGGCGAAGTCATTTGTGACAAGTGTAGGGAACCCCATCTGATATTGGTCGATGTGACGGCCGTTGCTGATCGACCATAGTTGGAAAAACAATGGCCTATACCACGGTCAAATTCATGAACAGTAAGAATCAAATCGTGGCCCGAGGCAGTCATACGAAGTTTGTCGCTCTTGCATGGAAAGACGAGAAGAACATCACGGACGAGCTGAAGCCAGCAGTCAATGAATCTCAAGCTAGCGAGGCTACGAGGTCGAGCTTTAGTGACCGAGGACATGTTGTACGCGAATAGACTGTACATTAGATGGGACTGTCTCGAGAACCACAATATATCTAGCCTGCAGTGGCCTCACTCCCAGTATTGGGTTAACAGACCGTTCTCATTTGCCCTATATCAGTCTCCTATGACCAAGAGCGTGGCCACCGTGACCAACAAAGGACGCAAGGCTGCACGAGGCTGTGGTGACGGAAAATATCGCTGCTATCGTCATTTGATTGGCGGATTTGCGTGAAGTTGCGCTCCAGAACTTTTTGTTTTCCTTCGTCCCTGCAACACGAACACGGACACGGACTGCTTGCTGTCCATGCCAGAGACACGTTGTACTACCCTCTCGTGTCGTGGACCTGCCAAATCATGATCAACGAGAACAATAATGCCACGCGCTTCTAAGGCTTCCGCCCGCAACGTTCCCGGCCTTCCCTCCACGACGTTTGTCCTCGACAATGGCGGCTACACGATCAAGGCAGGCTTTGCGCCCTCGCAGCCAACCCCGGACGACGAGGTGCTCTTGAATTGCCGGATAATCCCTAACGCCATCGTCCGCAGTCGCGACAGGAAAACTTATATCGGGGCGCAGTGCGAAGAAATCACCCAATGGAGCGAAGCCTTGTTCCGCAGGCCAGTCGAGAACGGCCAGGTCGTGAGCTGGGAAGCACAGAAAGAGATTTGGGATCAATCGTTCTTGGACGAAAAGACGACTGGGAGAGATTTGTCGATCAAGAGCCCGGAAGACACAACTTTGATTTTCACAGAGCCGCCAAATACCATGCCAGCACTACAGAAAAACGCAGATGAAATCATTATGGAGGAATGGGGATTCGGCGGCTACGCAAGGGTGCTCGGTAGGTATGGCTTAGCCAGGGACAATTTTACGATGCAGAAGAGATACTGACCGTGGGATAGGCCCGTCTTTGAACGCTTACAACGACCTGCATCGTCTCTTTGAAGAGTCCGCGGCCTCTCCCGACAATAATTCCTGGGGGCAATTGCCTATGGAATGCCTTCTCGTCATCGACAGTGGCCACAGCCACACCACAGTCACTCCCCTATTCAAGGGCCGACCTTTACACCGCGCTGTCCGACGTCTGGATTGTGGAGGGAAGCACTTGACTAACCTGCTGAAAGAGATCATATCTGTACGGCACTTCGACCTACACCAAGACACCAAAATAGTCAATGATATTAAAGAGGAAGTATGCTACGTCAGCAATGATTTCAAAGAAGATCTGGAAAAGACTTGGAACGGCAATAAGGGTCATCAGAAAGCGGTGTCAGCCAAGAGGCAAGAGGGGGACGCAGATCATGCCATGAATATCGACCAGAAATCCTCGACCGAGGAAATTCGAGTTGACTACGTCCTGCCAGATGGCATTCACATCCTGAAAGGCTTCAGCCGGCCTCACGATCCGACCCCTGCAGCACGGAAACGCAGACAAGCTGCCCTCGCCGGTACCGCCGCAGATTCCGAGATCACCATGACGCTTGGAAATGAACGGTTTGCCGTTCCCGAGGTCCTGTTTTCGCCGAGCGACATTGGATCCAAACAGCCTGGGATCCCAGATATCGTTTTGCAGTCACTCTCAGTGCTTCCGCCTCTCGTCCAAGCGACGATGCTGAGCAATGTGCTCGTGGTGGGCGGATGTGCGAAGATGCCAGGCTTTGTCGAGCGCATCGAAGCGGAGCTGCGGATGAGAGTCAAGACGGAATGGGCGGTTTGTGTGCGCAAGATGGAAGACCCGATTACATCGACGTGGCTAGGTGGTGCGAGAATGTCCAGCCGGTCTCCTGAAGTGGTGAGAGAGTACGGAGTGACGAGGGAGGAGTACCTTGAACATGGTATTGCGTGGGTCGCGAGACGGTTTGCTTATGGGGATAGGTAAACCATCCCGCATATGCCCCTTGGAGGTACGGCGTACTTTGACGCTCGTCGATGATGAAGGCACTCGGCACCAATGAATCCCCCGTCCTGGAGAGACATTTTGACCACGACCTGTGCACGGAGAACGCCTATTCGACAATCGTGTTTTCCGGCCCGAAGGCGTTCAATATCCTGGTCGTTGTAAAGGGTGTCTGCGCATGCATGGGCACAGATAACGGTCGTGCTGTTTTGACTGCTATCCTCCAACGGCCAAATCCTACTCCGCTTCGACTTGAGGGCTATACATGGAGGCTCATGGATGACAAAGGTTCTGCATAATGCACTAAGCACGGCTCTGCCGTGTCATTGGAGGTTAGACAAATCAACATTGCATGCGGTCCAGACGCATCGATGCGGGCCCAATACCAGTCACCTGGACCAGACAAGTGAGCAAGCATGATGGGTTTTCATGTCTTTGGCTTCAAGGACATGCTAGGCCTGGAGGCCTGAATCATTGCATCATGAACAGCGACAGAACTGCGCCAATGTTGACGAAGACAAGAAAGCGGGACATGAAGAGAGGAAGAAGAGGGCAGTCCAGATTGCCGAGGCGCCAGTCAGTCTTGCAGATCCGCTTCACGGGGCCGAAAGGCCAACAACGTCTCTGTTTCTCTTCTCCCTTCCTCTCGCTCAATTCACCCTACGTGTTCATTCCAGTTAGCTGAAGCAGAGACATGGAGCACGATGTAGGCATGGTCATCCTGGATTCGATGCAGACGTTGTACCCAGTGCATTGGCCTTCCTCCAAGGACGGCTCGATGAGACACTTTCGATGGCCCAGCTACCTCTTCGTACTTGCTGAGTGCTTTCATACGCGAGACGAAGAGCAGTAATGGCCGTATATTAAGAGCTTCACCCGCTCCGAATCCCTCGACCGTTTTCTCCTCCATTCCTCTGTGTACGAACAACATGTCTCATTTGAGTCAGTACTACAATGCCCACCTTGCCTCAAAGCTTCACCAAGTTCTTGTCCAGACTTCACCGATCCAATTCATCTCACAACAACGCCATCCCGTGTATCAGAAGAACAACAGCGACAAGATCCTGACTTGGTCGCCAAGCTTCGCATGGCCAATACCAATCTTGATCGCATGAACCTGCTCCCAGCCGATTCGGACTGGCTCTTCGACTTCACCAAGCAAGACAAGTACACAAGTCTCTCCAGGTGGCGTCATTAATGCCAATGCAGCGACTTTTCCCGCCACGGTCGGCCAGGGCATGACGCTGGTAAGCTTTTTGTTTATCTTCGCTTCAAGCAGACCGTCCCGCTGACCCCTTTGATGCAAAGGCGATGCTCAACCTGGGCCCGTGCTCCCTGCTCCCACCACACATTCACCCGCGCGCGACCAACTACGTCGTCGCCATCTCCGGAACGACCATGACATATACGATCGCCGAGAATGGCACGCGTACCGTGTCCGAGACTCTACGCTCGGGACAGATGACCATTTTCCCGCATCCGTCGGTCCACGCGATGATGAACATTGGCTGTGCGAACGCGCAGCTCATTTCCGCGTTGAAATCGGACGATACGGGAACGACCGATCTGGCAAACGCCTTCTTCGGTCTGCCGCAGAATATCTCGGGGACGGTCATTGGCGGTGGGTTGAGCGTTGCGGGTATCGATGGGCGGGTCGCGCCAGTGAGGACGGCGTCGACCTGGGGGCCTGAGGAGTGCATTTCTGCGTGCGTGAAGAAGGGGAAGATGATCAAGCGGGACTTTTAGAAGACATGGCATGACATGATATGATATGATATGATAGCACCTAAGGGTAAGGTCATCTAAAGTACGGGTTGATAAGGACGGGGTTCTGCCGAGCAGCTAGACAAGGGCAGTATGGAACATAGGCATCTATACATTTAAGACTGAAAGTACAGTATCAATGTGAATGAAATATCGCAGTGGAAATGGTATATCCTTCTCATCCGCTTTTCAGCCACAATACTCCCACTCCGGTCCCGTCTTGATGACACCTGATGAAGGCCATAGACAGATGTCTCGGGCACGTATTCGGCGCGATCGTACTTCCATTCCGGCAATTATACCATGGCCTAGGTGCGGCTGTGTGACAGGTCTCTTTGAACATTGACAGTTCGTTCGTTGTCTCTCGTCCATGGATCCTCCTTTGAATGTGAACTTTAAATTAGATTACGGGGTGGCGTTGATGCATCACTTGTTGAGCTGACGGACCCGGCAGACACGTGTGTGACGCCGCAGGGTTTTTTCGTCTCCCACTTTTCACTGGCTTTCGCCGCGGCGGTCTGCCGTCGTTTGGCATTGAAGCAGTCTGATAATTCGTGCAGTCGTGCAGTCGTGTAGCGTTATAGCATATATGCAATGTTCGCTTGCGAGGCGATCATCTGGACCAGGCCGGCATATTCTCACGTCGGCCAGGCGGGATTCTCGGCTCCGGAGGCTCGATGTTCTTGATTGCTGTAGACGGGGAAAATGTCAGCGACTAGAGACTATGACTTTCGAAGTAGAGGAAAGGAATATGCCAACCGTACCTGTGACGGCTCTCTTGAGTAGTGAAGGTTTCTTGTTGGCCTGCGCATGTGCCTCTGCCTGTGCTTTCTCTTTGTCGGTCATGATGGAAGAGGTGGAGGTGGAGATGGAGGCCGCGTCGAAGGACGCTCCGGGCTTAGAGTCTGGTGCCATTGTAATTGGTAGGTGTTGAGGAGCCTGGCACAGATTGGTTGAAGTCGTCGTCGTGACGGGCGTTAGAGCTTCTCGTGAGGATGCTGCTTTCAAGACGAAATGTCCCGTCTAGGATGGTTGTAGTTGGGCTTCTTCCTTTTTTGGGTAGTGCTTTGTTGTGAGATCAATGAAGAGGAGAACCTGATTTCTCAGGCCACGAGGACGTGAGCTTTATAGACCTCACTGGCCTTGTGCTGACTCGGAGTAAAGGCGTGCTAGTATATGCCTGAGGCGGCCAGGCAGCAAGCATTACAACTACCCATCAGGTTACCTACCTGCAAGCAGCCCTCCCTTACAGGCCGGCATCATTCCCGTAATCGATCAGGACAAGTGGATGGTTGAATCAGATGCCACAATTGGCCAGCAACAAGTCAGGCTCCTGCTCGTAAGAGTCACAAAGCAACTGTTTGTGTGGGTTCTTACATACCTAGTATTCCGGACCATTTCCCAATGCGATGGGTATGACAGTCCCGCAAAATGGAGTCCTCCGGGATATGGTGGAAAAGGGTCATCATGCAACACCGAGGCGCGCCTGGACACTGGACTCGATTTACGGAGTATCGGCGTGGGATTTGTGGTTGTGGGAGTCATAATCCGTGCACAGTAAGCCTTGCACAGCCTCTATCAAGCACGCCTCGACCTCCCAGTTGATTTGCCTGAGAAATGCCTATTTCCACAACTCTTTGGCTGGGAGAGAGCGAGAAAGTCACCCTCCTCAACCTCCTTCAGGTATCGGGTACGCAGGGACAAGCTTCGACACGTCAAAGCTTGTTGCCGGCTGGTATTAGCCACGGCTAGCCCAGAGGATGCAGCGCCCATCAAGTCATCTGAGTGGTGACTGGTCTGTTTGATTACCAAAGAACTCGAACCAATTGCAGCTGCAGGCGCGCATATTGCGGAGCTCGTCAGGCGCGACGTACTCGCATTTATCTTGTCTGCCTGAGTCACAACAAATGTTGACGTCGTTCTCGCTCCTGGATCTTCTTTGGGTAACCGAAGAGCCCATCGGGCGAAGAAGAGAAACTGAAGAGATGCTCCCTACTGTAACAGTGGAATGGAATGCAATCTTCGCTTCGAAAACGGCCGTCAACAATGGGACACCATTGCAGGCCTTGGTCTGTTGAAGACGATCCTTCTTCGGACTTTGACGCATTCCCTCCTTCATCATTTGCGAGAGTGACATCCAGGCAGTCGAGTTCCTCGCAATGCAATTCGCTATCATGGCTGCAACCCTTGTACCGCAACGACAGAGCTTGCATGCAGACACCCAATCGTTTACGTCAATGCACGAAGCTGGCGCAACGAGTCTCGAAATGTTGCTCGCATCTTTTGACCGCCAAAGACCAGACCCCTTCAACTGTTCGGCTTCGAGTCTCATGGAGACCTCGCTCGCGCAGCTTGGTGCTTGCTCCAACGCATCAACAAATGCGGTTTCTTTCTCTTGATGCAAACGTCGTGGACTTCGATATCAATAAGGAGCACTTCGAGCGTGTTGAAAGAACGCCATTATCTATCTTGCCAGGTCTGCGAGCTCCCGAGCACGACCTCATCGTTCTTGGCCCTTCTCACTATCGACATTGGAAGGTTTTTTTTCGTGAGACTGACAATAAAGGGATAAGACGCAGGAGATTTGCAAGACAAGTAAAGGATCTGGAGACTGGTGAATGTCCGAGCATCTAGCTACTTACCAGGCGTCGACACAAGCTCTCCTCCGTTGTTGGAGTCTTTGTCTGAATAGGTAGGATGGTGGCTGATGGATTCTTTCGTTGACTCTGCGGTCCTAGTGGAAAGAGCCTGATTGATTCTTCACAATATGCGTTAACGCTTTAACATACATCATCAACATCAATTGTCCTGCGCAGCGTTCAGCCTCGTGATGGCGTTTATCCTGTCTCTCGGCGTGTTTGTACCCACGAAGGACAATTTAACCCGCGCCCTTTCGATATTCTCTTCTTCCTTTCTTTCCTCTCTTTCGGCCGTCTGTCTCATAAACATCAATCATCAAACAAATTCTCTTTCGACAGACACCACACTCATCAGTATGGAATCCTGAAACCCCCTTGAGGAGCCGTCTGATGCTAACAAAGAGCCCAAATAGAACCCAATCCACCACTTTCGAGCCTCCTCCTCCTCCTCCGCCGCCGCCTCCTCCACCACCACCACCACGATGCCGGTGCCGTGGTTTGTGTCTCGGGTCGTCCTCCCCTGCTTGGCCGTCCTGGCGCTCCCCTGGGTGCTGTCTTGCGTCTGGGCTGTGGTGCTTTTTGTCTGGCCGGTTGTGGCCGTCATCACGGTCGTTTACGTGGTGTTGTGGGTGCGGTTCTCGTTTCCGGACGAAACCGACCCCTACGTTTTCGTCGTGTGGTTTCTTGTGTTGCTGGGGCTCGTCGTTTGGTGGTTGGTGCTTGTGGGTGGCGTCTTTCTCCGTCTCTTCGGCCTCTGAGGGTAAAACCTCAAGAACAACCACAAACAAGTAAGTAATTCGCCCTTTCAGAAAGAGCAATGGGACTGGCGGGCGTCGAAACAACACTTTACCGAGTAATATATGCTGATATCATGGAGTTAGCAGACAGAAAAGACCTCGGAAAGCTGCCGAAATGGCAGGAGAGAGCGTCCTCTCTTTGTCCTTTTGAAAAAGGACGGTAGATACCTGAATAGAGGTGTTTACCCAGCAATTTTTCCTGATCCTTCCTTTCCTTGTCGCGCACCCATCCTATCGATATCGAACAACGCCCATCTGATGTGGTGGCCATTGCATCCACATCGCCGTGACAAGACCGCTCTCCACATGGCGTCGAACTCATTCACATGAGGCGGGGTGTCTATGTCTGTTAAAGACGCACGCCGTGAGCCCAAGAGGTGGTTACACTGTCCCCTTTATGCGGCCTGTGTTTGCCTCCTTTTCAGGGCTCCGTTGGGATGCACCATGGATCGGACGTCGACTTCGATGGCAACTGGTCATGGTCCTGTCGATGCCGATGATGTAGGCCGTGACTTCAAGCGACAATGATTCTATCTTGCTGATGACACCGATCGTAGGGTTCAAAAATACTAGTTCTGTTCATTGTTTACGATGTGGGTTGTGGCTTCAAAGATGAAGGATTTGTTCATTATCTACGACGCTGACCATGGTTTCGAAGATAACGCGTTTATTCTCTACAACGTGTCCTGTGAGTCCATCATGCTTATTCAAAAGAGGTCAGTGACGGCGCCGTGGCTGGCATCACTGACCAGAGCAGCATATTTCGCCAGCACGCCCCTCGTGACCACCATCCTCGGTGGTGTCCAGGCTTTCCTCCGCTTCTCCATCTCCTCTTCGCTGACATCCATCGAAATAGTATTCGTCTCCGCATCGATGGTCACCTCGTCACCATCCGTGACCAGAGCAATGGGCCCTCCAACCGCGGCTTCAGGACACACATGGCCCACGATAAAGCCGTGAGAAGCGCCAGAATATCTCCCGTCCGTCACGAGGGCGATGTTGGTCAGCTTCGCACCCATGATGGCCGCGCTGGCCTTGAGCTGCTCCGGCATGCCGGGCCCTCCCTTTGGACCTTCGTACCTGACGATGAGAACCAAATTCTCTCCTCGGGGGATCTCGCCGCGGTTCAAGGCTTCGTTGAGTTGCACCTCCTTGTCGAAACATCTCGCCTTGCCGCGGAAGCGCAGTCCTTCTTTGCCCGTGATCTTGGCCACCGCGCCGGCCGGAGCGAAATTGCCCTTGAGGATCTGGATGTGGCCGCTCGTCTTGATCGGATTTTCCAGGCTGCGAATCATGACCTGGTCGCTCGGCAGACTGGGCCAGCTGGCGACGTTCTCGGCCAGTGTCTTGCCCGTCACCGTCGGGATGGAACCGTCCAGCAATCCTGCGGCGATGAGCAGCTTTTGGACACTCGGCACGCCGCCGATCTCGTACAGGTCGGCCATCAGGTACTTGCCGGATGGGGCGAGGTCGGCTATGAAGGGGATCTTGTTGCTCACACGCTGGAAGTCGTCGAGAGTGAGTTCCACGCCGGCCGTGACTGCCATGGCGAGGAAATGCAGGACGGCGTTCGTGCTGCCTCCCAAGGCCATGGTGATGACGAGGGCGTTTTCAAAGGCAGCTTTGGTCAAGAGTTTGTCCGGCGTGATGTCCTGTTCCAAGCACACTTTGATGGCGTCGGCAGCTTTGGCGCACTCTCGCATTTTGGCGGGTGACGTCGCCGGCGTCGAACTCGACCCGGGCAGCGACAGGCCCATGGTCTCAATGGCCGTGGCCATGGTGTTGGCCGTGTACATGCCCCCACAGGCGCCAGCGCCAGGACATGCATGTCGCTCCAGGTCGTCGAGGATCTCGTCTTTGGTCTTGGACGTGTCGCCTCCGTCGTCGGGCTGTTTGAGCGTGTTGTACTGGTACGCACCGAAGGCCTCGTAGCACGTCACCACGTTGACGGGTTTGCGCAGGGTCTCCGAGTAGCCCTTGTCGATGGTGCCGCCGTAGATCATCAGACTCGGCCGGTTGTGCCGTGCCATGCCCATGATGCAGCCGGGCATGTTCTTGTCGCAGCCGGGGATCGTGATGTTGGCGTCGTGCGCCTGCGCGCAGGTGACCGTCTCCACGGAGTCTGCGATGATTTCGCGCGTCTGTAGACTGAACCTCATCCCCTGGTTGCCCATGGTGATGGCATCGCTCACGCCGATGGTGTTGTACTGCCACGCCAACATGCCGCGCGCGGTCAGGGCTTTCTTGACCTCCTTGCCTAGGTCGAGAAGGTGCATGTTGCACGGGTTGCCCTCCCACCAGACGCTGGCCACGCCGACGTGTGGTGCCGTCTGCATTGTCCGTCGGTCGGGCACGCCGGCTCCGAAGAGCATCGCCTGGGCGCCGGGGAAGTCATGTTCGCGTGTGAGATGGGTTGAGTAGCGATTCAGCATGGGTTTGCCATTGACGCCCGTGGTTTCGGAAGAGCGTACAAACTCCAGGTATCGGGGTTCTTGGAAGCCTCCTTTCTTGTCCATCTTTGCCAAAGGTTACTAGTACGTACTTGCAGTGGATGGGATAATCCTGATCGAGGCAAAGGGAAATTTCAAGCTGGGGTGCCTTTTCCCTTCAACGCTTGGAGGTTAGAAGTTGTTCTTCTTCTGGCCGAGGGCAAGTCGAACAGAACTCAGAAATCAGTATTTAGTATGCTTTCAAGGTCAAGGCGATCATTACTCTTTATTACTCGTGGATTTGTAGACAGAATCTTCCATCTTCCCCCGCATTCAACAACGCCTTTGATCGGTGTCTTGAGCCGATGTGGACGAGGTGCGAGGTGCGAGGGGTATTGAGGGACCACTACAAGACATGGATCCTTGAACCAATCAGAGGAGCGATGAATCTAAGGCTCGATTGTTGAACGCGGCACGTGACATGACTGTCTCCGGACTGCGACTTTTCTCCCCGGACCGTCCCTTGACGCCAGACACCTATAGTGGCACTTACTACCTACTATGTAAGGTGCAGTGAGTCTTCGATCGATCAGTCTCTCTTCCCGCGCATGTTCCAGTTGCCATACTATGGTACAAAATGCTGATGACTTCGGCTTGTCTGATCCATGACCGGGCCCTTCGTAGGAACAAGCGAAATCTCCATGAAACCCCAGCGCGTCTCAATTTTACAATTCCTCACAACACCTGCTCCACTACTCCGTACCTTAGTACATATACTATTGCAAATCTCGAAACCGAGACCTCACAAGGGCCATCCAAAAAGGATTCGGTTGCTGAGGAGAATGTTGTCGGAGCGCCTTGTATCTCCGACTACGCGCCTCCTGGAACTTGGGCTCACGGTTCGGTTCGGCAGGAGAGGAGCGAACCATCAATTGTCCATGATCTTTCAATATTCACTTGCGGCGGTATCTCATGGTACGTTCTGTTCTATTGACAAGGCTTTTCCCACCTCCCGTTCTTGCCGGCGCATAGGCGGCCGGCATTCCTCTCTCTGTGCATTTCGGGTATCTGAGCCCACAGGCTTTCTCTTCTCCACAAATAGACAAAACACAAAAAGGTTAGACATGACTGGCGTGAAGGAGAGTCCTGAAAGTTAGAAACCCTGCCCCATAAACTTCGCACAGATGAATTCAAGTAGCAATGGGGTGTACAAGATTGTTCTTGCACCCTTCGTTCCCCTGCCCAACAGGGGATGACACGTTGCTCTACACGTGAAGTCCTTCAAGTCAGGCCACAAAACGCCGTGAAGCAAAAACGTAGTTCTGTCTGAATGCGTGGAGCTCCTAGAACCCGAGCGATGGTAGAGAAGGGGAAACTGTGAAGCCGGGTCAGCAAAGGTTAAACTCAAAAAGTTTGGTTAGTGGGGGCTTACCCTCCAGGATAGCGGGGCCAAAGAGGACATCAGAGTCGCTGAGCGACCGGCCGGAGATGTCGATGATGGTGATGAAGATGAAGACCTGTCCGCCAATGCCTGATGGGACCTGGACGCTCATTCCACCGCCACCAATGATGCCCTGGTTAATCTGGACGGCGATGGAAATGATGTTGAGTCCTTCCACAAAGGTGACGAAGATCTCAGTGACTCGGCTAAAGTCGTGACGAGATGAAGAGAAGTCTGGAGTCAGGTTGATCATGGAGCCGGCAGTAATGGGAGAGCAGCTAGAGGCAGAGCTGGATTCGGAGCTGGCTGCAGAGACAGCAGAATCGGTGGCGACGGCTGCGTCAGCGGTAGTGGTGGCATTGACGTCAACAGAGCTGGTAGCATCGGTGCTGTTGGCATCCTGGCGGACACGGAGTCTAGCAGGCGCTGTGGTCGCGGCGGCCACCTCGGTGGATTCAGTCGCTGAAGCAGCGGCATCGGTTGTGGTGGAAACGGCAGCGGCGGCGTCGGTCGCACTCTCTGTGGCGGTATCAACGGTGGTAGTGACGTCGGCAATGTCGGAGACGGCGGTGTCAGTGCTATCAGCCCAGGTTATGGTGGCATAGTCGGCGCTGGTGGTGTCAGTGGCTGAGACAGCCTCCTGGACTTGAGAGGCACCGAAACTGCCCGCTTCATTGAAGCATTGCTGGGCATCCACCGTAAGACTGGGGAAGGACGTGAATGGCAAGGCCGCGTTGGAAGACGGGCAGGAGACAATAAACTGTGCCGCGAGCGTGAAGACGGCGTTGGCATCGAGCGGAGTGAAGAAGGGGTCGGGAGCTCCAATGGCACCGAGTGAGCTTCTTTGGAGGGAGGTGTGCAATCCCTCGGTGGCCATAATACTTGCGGCGATGGTGAGAATGTCTTTCGAGCCGACGAAGCCAGCCGCACCAAGGTAGGCGCTGGTGCCGATGCTCTCGAGGACAGCAGACAAAGTCACAAAGCTGGCGACATCGGTGACTGGGAAGCTGTACTGGCAAGGTTGAACTGGGGCAACACCAGCAGATGAGATGGCAGATTGAAGAACCGAGACATGAGTGGATTCATCAGAGGCGATGAATTGAAGGTTGATGACGAACTCCTCACTGAAGCCGGCATCGATGAAGTCCTGCAGTTGGAAGGTCCTGAAAGCTTCTTGATAGAAGGTGTTCTCGAGGTGTTCGAGCTAAAAAGAAACTGTTAACGGGGGGGTACACATCAGTGAGGCTGGACTTCACACATACAGTCAACGCGAATTGCAGGATGGTGATGTCGACTTCCGAGAATCGCGAGCCTCGTTTGGCAATGTCGACAGGAGCAGCCAACGTCAAGCCGGCGAAAAGAGTGCTCAAAGCTGAGAGCGTAGAGACCTTCATTTTGATTGTGGGTTTGTTTGGGTTTGTTTTAGAAGAGAAAGTTGTAGAGAAGATTGATCCAGTCAAGTTGGTAAATGAGAGTGTCCGGCACAAGTCAGAGAACTGAAAGACAGACTTATCAAAAGCCTTGGAAAGATTGGAAGAGACTTGTCAAAAGTCTTGCAAAAGGAATGAAGCTGCTTGTGGTGTGGAGTGACAATTGAGAGATCGACTTCATGGTGATATATACTCACAAGGAGGAAGGCCAAGACCCATGGAAGTGCAAAGATCCGAAGTCTAGTAAATCTGGCCCATTCCCAGATGTTGACCTACTACAAATCTTGATACAGGAAGGTAGAGATCCATGTTTCAACGTCCCATATGCTAAGGTGTCAGAGACGAACACCAAGAACAGCAGGAGCTTGCAAAGCTGCGGGAGACGGGAGATCCGGACCAGATTGGCGTGTGCTAGGGCAAGAGGGAGAACAGCGTCGGTAGGCGAACAAGGCTTTGACGTGTGGCTGGTTAGATCTGGCGGGCCGAGTGAGGCTTTGGATCTGCGAGATGACAGAGAATGGAACCCGGGGTTGCTTCTTCCTGACGGGTGCAATCTACAAGCGACCAGCAAGGAGGTGAGGATGGGTTTCTGGGGGTAAAGAAGATGCCGTTTAAAGACAGCCCTTTGACGCCTAGCCGAAAGGACAGCGGCCTCATCCCCGATCCGGATATCCAGCATGGACGCAGTAGGGCATGAGACGACCCGTTGTCTCTTGATGACCTCGGGAAGGACATGTCTCAGTCGGAGAAGTAAGAGCCGGAAAATGGTGAAGCTGTTGGACTGTTTCAGGGAGTCAAAGGCGAGGCAATGCCAAGCCGGAAATCACGTGGAATTATGCTTGGCATGCTTGGCAAGAGCTTCGGCTTCTTGCCCATCCGAAAGTTGTTCTCCTCGTTCTGCAACTCCCGGCACCTTGTGTTTCGATCTTTTGTGGCTGTGGCTTGCATACACAGTAGTACTATGTACTTTGATAGTATCCATGCGAAAGAGCTGTCGTCGCACTTCCCCTCGTGACTGGCCGCTCGCCGCTTTACTCACCCTTCGCTCGCCTGCTGCCCCTGAGGGAACTCCCTCAGTGCTCCGCAGCCGCCGTTGAGCTTTGATCTTCCCCTTTATTCAAAACACCAAATTTGATCAACTTTAGAGGTCTGCACAGCGGTCGCCTCAATGGGTAGCATGATCCCGACTTAGAGCCCCCAGGATCTGTTGCATTGATTTGTTGATCCAAGGAGGCATCGTCGACTTGATGCCGCGCTTGCAGCACGAGAAAGTGGCAGCCAGATAGGTTCCCTATGGACAGTCTCGCGTGCAGGTGACCACCTGTTATCATTGTCGTTGCCTTCGTCGTCCTGGACTTTTTTCTCGGGCGGGGCATATCAACCTATGACGCCGTCTTTGTTGTGCTCCGTCGTTCACGGCCTTGCAGACCTGCCACCGAAGTGGCCTGCGGCCAATTCCCGGACCCGCGCTTCGTCCAGAATCGGCAACTTGAACTCGCCCGTCGAGGGCGGCGCAGGTTGGAAGTTCACGGCAACGAGGTACGCCAGGTACATGCCCAGAGTCTGCACACCTATCGAATTGGCTGCCAAGGGATCTTTTTGGCTCGCCGAGTCTCCTTGCTTGACATTGTACTGACTCAGTGCGGCTGCGGCATTTGCATCGTCCAGCTCAGGAGCAACCGTATCCGCAGGCAAGTCTCCCACCACGAAGTGGAACAGTGGGAGCAACGCAAACTCCTCCGTGTTGGAGTCGTCATTACTGACGTATTCCTTGACCCTCATGCACCAGTCCTGGTACGACACCATCGGCACGCGGTACCCGTATAACTCCAGAGCACCTATCCAGTCGTTCAACGTCAGGCGCGGATGGCTGGTCACCTGAGCAACGCCGAGGGACTGCCCGAGAGCAGCAGGAAGATGGAAGGCCGCGGCAACAACAATGCGACTGACCTGCGTGACGGGGACGGCGTTTAACGTGTTGGCAATGTCCGGCCGCGCGCCGACCTGCAAGCATCCTTTCCACAGTCGAACCAAAAAGTCGTCAGTCACCGAGGTGCCAGATTGCGGATCCCCCGTGATGTACCCCGGGCGAACGATCGCGCCTACTAGACCACGCCGTCCAGCCTCGCGCACGAGAAACTCGCTTGACCATTTGGACTGTCCATACCCAGTGCCCAGACCCTTGCGACCGCCTTCCAAATCGTCCGCCTCTAGCACAACAGCTCCAGCCTTACGGGTGAGCTGGATATAGTATTCGTTGTCCAGTGTTGAGGTGGAGCTGATGAATGTTAATCTCTTGGGCTTTTTGGTGGTGCAGAGGCTGATGCAAGCCATTGTGCTTAGCACGTTGGCCGCCCGCAAGCTTGAATACGGAAGCATCCAATTTACCTGGGCACCGTTGTGGATTACGACGTCGACTTCATCGGCAAGGCGATCCCAGATCTCCTGGGACAGACCCAAATGGGCTTTAGAGATATCCCCAACCACGACCTTAAGCCTAGAGGTCTGTGTCCAACTTGGGGACCAGAGCCCATAGGCCTTTGTTATGGTCTCGAGTCGAGCGAGGCCTGCTGCTGCGTCCTTAGCTCGCACATGTGCTATCACACGCGCCTTGGTACGGCCCTCAAGAAGTTCGTGTAGGATGTATGAGCCTAGGAAGCCGGTGGCGCCGGTAAGGAACACAGTGGGAGACGTGCTTGAATAGTCCAATTCTATTGGTGGCCCATCCACAGCCTGGGGAAGTTGGCGCACAAGATCCCTCGCATCTGCCGCATACGCCTCATCCTCGACGATCCCATCTGCAGGAAGAGGCATTGTGTCGAGGCGAAGACCGATGGGGTCTTGTGCGCGATCGATTTCTGCGGCAAGGGCCTGGAGCGTCTGGGACTGGAATATCACACTCACTGGTAAGTTGATGTCTTTCCATTCTCTCCTCAGGTGGAAAAACAGCTGTTGTGCAAGGATTGAGTGGCCGCCTTCCTCGAAGAAGTTGGAATTCGGTACGAACATTCGTGCAGTGTGGTTGGGCAGGATCGAAGCCCATATCTTAGCTAGTCGAGTCTGAGTTTCGGTCATATTTTCAACCGTGGCTGAACTTCTCCTCCTAGACATGAGAGCTAGATCCGACGGGTCGGGGAAGGGAAGTGCAGGCTTGTCAATCTTGCCATTCGGGTCTGGGGGTCGTCTGTCAGTCAAGAGTCTTCAATCTGCTTGTTAGGGTGGTGCCGAATACGTACTTAAGGGCATCCGAGCTAGAGGGATCAAGATGCTGGGGACGGCATATTTGGGGAGCTTGGTCGCGAGAAACTCCTTGCAATCATCCGACAGTGACTTGAACCGTCTCAACATGCTGGACATCGACTCGTCTCCCAAGTCTGGGTCGACCGCTTTCCCACCTTCTTGCTGCTGGATATATTGAAACCAGCGTTTTGTCTCGGGTACAAAATAGGTGACAAGGGTTTGCTCCTCGTTCTTGTCTCTTCGAACTGTGGTGACATTTTCGCGCACGAATGGATGCTGTGACAGGTTTACATCAATCTCGCCTAGCTCAATCCGAAAGCCACGAATCTTCACTTGCAAATCAACACGGCCTGTGCACTCAACACTTCCGTCAGGACGGATTCGACCAAGATCACCAGTTCGATATATGCGATCTCGCGGTCCCTTGTAAAGTTTTCTCCATGCCTCATGGGCTCCCGTAGCATTCTGTTGCTCGTACTGCTTCATCCATTTGGCGGGATCAACAAACCAGTTGGTCAGAAACTTAGACTTGTTGAGTTCCGCTGTCTTCTCGTCGTCCCCAAGGTATCCTTCTGCGAGTCCCCCTGCTCGAAGGAAGAGCTCCCCTTGCTCCCCTATCCCGCAGAGCTTTGTCTTGTCGTCGCGATCGACGACCAAGAGTTGGACATCCAGCATTCCTTGGCCCACCGGAATGATATCTGGCAAAGTTTCCAGAAAGGCAGGGTCGCGAGCTTTGCTTGGCACCTCGAAGAAAGACACAGCACGCTGCGACTCGGTCGACCCATAGAGGTTTATAACAGTGACGTTGGGTGCAAGGTCGCGCAGCTTTCTGCAATCTTTCTTAGTCAGGAGATCGCCGACGAAAAAGGCATTCCGGAGGGACGGGAATTGAGCTGTGGCGCCGCCAACCAGAATTTGGCCCATGGCGGGAGTCAGGTGCGTCACCGTCACGCTATGCTCTTTCATCCATTCCGCAAGCAGTTCGTAGGTGATAGCATCGGCAGGAGGGATAACCAATTTGGCGCCTAAGAAGAGCGGGGTGAAAATATCCCGCTTTTTATTGCCTGTCAGATTTTCCGCACGAATGACAATGGAGCTAGTCAGATAGATCAATGACTTACTTGAATGGGGTCATGAGCAATGCCGGACAGCATGGTGAATTTATCCGCTTCCGAAAGACCAAATCTCTGCGCCATCCAAGGGAAATAATATGTCAAAGAAAAATGGCGTCCCTGAACACCTTTCGGCCTGCCCTCAGATCCGCTGGTAAAACTCAGTGTGGGAATAGAATCAGGGCCGACCAAGACACCAGAGATGTCAGAGGTATTGGGCTGGAGACAATCTTCGCCGTTCACATTGCCACCCCTGAGCTCCCCATTGTCGAGAAGCTCTAGGGATGGAACAGTCGTCTTGATGCTCAGATTGCTCGCCACGAAGTCCATGACGATATCAGAAGGCTTGCCGAACTCCGCATTGGCCCTCTGAATGCAGACTAGGAATCTAGGGCGTGCAACGTCCAAGAGGATTTTCTGGCGCTCTGGAGGGTACTGGGGGTCCAGCACGCTGACAGTTGCACCTGCCTTAAGAGCACCCATATAGGCAACGACCAGGTCAACCCTACGTTGGCGTCAGCGATCGAAAATAGAGAGTGGAAAGCAACAGAAGCACTCGCCCTCTGTAAGCATATATCATGACCACATCTCCCACTTCGCACCCATGAGCCAGGAAGTGATGTGCCAATTGATTGGAGCTCTCATGAATCTGGCGATATGTGAAACTGCGCTGCACAGTCCGCGACCCTTTGGTCTCAACTACACACTCCCTGTCCGGAAAGCGCTTGGCATTGGAAGCGAATATCTCATGGATGGCTAAAGAAAACTGTAAGAACAAGCTGGATCCAAACGATAGGGATCACGCTTCGTCATATCCTACCTCCATGATAGTCGCTCCAGTGGAGGTCGATTGTCGGATCTGGAAGGGAAAACATCAACAACAGCGCCAAGCTGAGCGGGCTTGGGTCTGAATCTTTGCTTGGTGGCCGTGTTTTTGTTTCTCCGTTTGGCAATGACAACTCTGTCCAAGGGCAGGCAAGTACAATGCTCGATCTAGCTAGCTAGCTGGTAATTTGAGAGGTATCAGCGTCGTAGAAATGTAGAGGTGAAATTGAAGAGGCCGAAAAATGCGGCCAAAACCGATGAGTGCAGTCGAAGGCTCGGCGCCAAGACCTGGGGACCATCAGTACCTCCAGCCCAGCGATGCAGACACAATTTGTGAACATTTAGGACATAGGACTTGACTGAACTGAAACTTCCGTTCTTGCAAACAGAAGCTGTCGAGACAATCTTGAGAAGACCTATAATTTACTCCTGAACATGATCACCCATGGCAAGGACCTCCGCGTGGGGTAGTACGTGAGATATGGAGATTATGGTGTCACCATAGATCATGGAGATACTAACCTCCCTGGTTCTTGGACTCCTTAGCCGTCCCATTGCCCCAGGTCCAAAAATGCACCTGTTGAGAGGTTTTCAATACTCCAACTGATGCTTCTTCCCAGGCGATTCAAGCACGAGAACAGCTCAGACAATAGTAGATGGCACGAAAACCCCTTACTTGAGAACTTTAAAGCCAAGCGAAAGCCTCGGGCATCTTTGCGCCATTCCGATCACCCAAGATCCCCTGTACCTACGGTGCCGAAATCAGAGACCTAGATACGCATTAGTACCTTCGTGATAGTACTGTGATCACGTGTGATGTACTAGCTGAGTCTGGCCTTTTTGCCAAGGCTAAGTCACGTGATCATGAAGCTTGACTTGAGCTTCGGCCCCTGGATTTTCCGGGGACAACTGCCCCGACTCCCGAGACTTCAGGCGCTCGATTGTGAAAGATGACGTCGGAGGGGTTACGAATATCTAGCCTACAAACAAGATGTTACGAGTATGCACAGGCCGCGACAGGCCCCAGTACCATGATTTGGGCTCGAATCAGCATGCCGTGTCCCCTTGCTTAGCTGCACGGGCTCTCCAATGGAATGTCCTCACGCTTTTCACTATGATGTAGTTTGTAGTACGCCAATGAACCAACAAGCAACAGGGCGTGCAGAACCTGGCGATGATGGCATACGTGCCCTGTTCAAAGCACAACTCTATCGGACGCATGTGAGGGTTTCGTGGGTATATAGGTTGCTCCTTGACCCTTTCGCAGCCCGATATCTCTCGATATACCTCTATCCCACTACAGGATTACACATCACTTTTTCAACGACAGACTCATTCCGTTTATCAACATGAACAACCAGGGACAACCAGCCGGCCAGCAGGAGGACTACCTCGACAAGGGTACGGACTGACTCCAATATTCTACAATGCGTCACAGACCGGGACTCACACTGTATTCTGCTAGGCCTCGACGCTGCTGAGAAGAGATTCGGCCAAGGTACGTACGGTGGAGCCATTGACGCCTTCGAAACTCCTGACCCCCCCACGAGTCGTTTCCGATGGCGGATTACGTAGTGCCTCCGATACACCTGCGGCCGGGGGGTGGCAGGAAACCACATCAAGATCGCAGATCACCGACGGATGCTAACAACCTGGTGTGTAGGCAAGGTCGACCCAGCAAAGCAACGCAGCACGAACGAGAAGGTCACCGATAAGGCTCGAGACATGTTTGAGAAGGCCACTGGCAAGAATGTGCCTGACAAGGTACGTCAAGAGCGCGATCCCATACATTTCAGTCACGGGAAAGTCCTCTGGCAATACACCGACATTGCAACTGCGAGGCGGAACAACATTCGGAGTCACAAGATGTGCGCGGTGCCAGATTTCCTGCTTGTGAGGGTGCATGCTAGCAAAGAGGACTGGCAAACCCACAGCTCCGATGCTTCCTTCCATCCAACCCATTGCACGAGTATTCTCAAGGTCGACATCAGCAGTGAGAAACGCAACAACCGCCTAGTCCAACCCTCCGCACTTTGATGAACCTGTTCACTTTTCTCCGTGTATCTTGTTTGTCTGCCACGCAAAAGATAGACAACTTGCTAACAGCTCTTCTCCGAATATAGTTCAGCAACTAAGCCAAAGATACCAAGAGAGGACGATCGTTGATGCTATCCAAGCAATCCCTGTGACGCCATGAGCGTACTACATAAGATGAAGAAGACCTTAATGATACACCGAGTCAACCATCTTCACATACATTGTTCAGATCCTTCTTGTGTCCCTCCCTCACACCTGACTGCTCCATCTCCCGGCCTCGACCTTGCCGACTCTGGCTCATCGCCTTGTTAGTCTAAATGCAGTCTGCCCTCGATAGAAGAACATGGAAGGACCAGCATCAACCCGCGGAGCCACACCTCCTGTGAATGTTTTCCACCTGCATCCTACGCGCTCCTCTCTTCTCATCCTTTCTCGTACACATCTTACACACACATGACTTACACGACCCAGGACGAGCCCATTCTATGAACCCCTAAACCAATCATGACAGTGACAAAGACAGAAATGAACCATCAAGCAAGAACACGCCAGTACAAGATGTATAAGAATACAGTGGCATCACTATCACAATTACAAGACACCAGATAGTAACCATAGCCCTACCCGCAACCGCAACCATAAAAGCGTCATCATCAATATATAGTACACCCAATCCCGACCCCAACCTCGATCTTGATCTCGATCTCGATTCCCCGGCTGGTGAGTGTACGTAGTACTCTTAATACGACAATCAGATATGATATGGTATGGTACTCGTATGATATGATATGAACTGGATGTGTGCCTCTACGAGCAGTGAGCACGAGATCAGACCACTCAGTTTACTATCGTTCGTTCGTTCGTTCGTTCGTTCGCAACGAGCCTTTTTCGCCGACTCAAGACTGGAGAGACCCATTTCCGCAATTCTAGACCCAAGTCTTCTACATGGATATAAGTCTTTTCTGGCCCTCTCATTGACTGGGGATTATCCAAACGAGCTGCAGGCTTCCTCCCTCTCCCAGGCCCCCTCCACGACCCGATCAGGAAGGCGATGTCCTTCTATTACGACGGAAATATCAACCCGTAGTTCTCTAAATATCTGTCCTATATGCTTTAACTAGGTACGCTTTTCAATAAGATCGTCGCGACCAAGCTCAGTGGCATGTGTATTAAGTGGACTTTATCCTCGTACTAGTACTCGGAGTACTGCCCATAACCACTCTGACGAGTATTAGCGAATGAGACAGCAAGACTGGTCCATAAGATTTGCTCGTAGGAAAATTTGGGGAAAACTTCAACGGGGAACAAATCCCAGACCAAGTTTTTAGTGTAATGTAAAGTGTCCGCAAGATCGACGATCATGTTTCATATTTCCTTCTGCTGCCTTGGACCCCCGGCGTAGGCAGGAGTACCGGGCCCTGCAGAAGCCCAAATACTGTCATCGTTGATCCCGGAAAGGTCAGTCTATATGCCGCCTGCACGATCTGCACAGTCACTGGCACATGGTTGGATATTCAATCCCCGTCCAAGCGGTAGAAAATAATAATGCTGGTCCAAGGCCTTTTCCGTCTGTCGAGTCTCGACACCCTTTTCACCCGCCCGAACGATCGATCGTGAAATGCTCAGGTGCAAGGATGACGTGGAGTGCCAGTCAGTGCTAGGTTGAAGGCGGAATAAGAATCCGATTTCTCCGACGGGCAGTGCAAGAGTAATTCGAGCCGATCGAGCCAATCGCAGGGCCCAAAATGGCCGAGGCGGAGTAGCGGCGGCGCTGCTGTTCCGATGACAGACCACGGACAGTTGGTGTAAGCCTAGGCCCAAATGCCCACAAATGCAGCAAAACAACCACTGAACCTCTTGCATTTTTCTAGCCTCCGATTTCTGCCCGCTCTTTTGGGCGGTGCGCAGGAGAATCCCAGACAGTGTCTCGACTGTTGATCGAGATCATTACCGACAGGGGTACGGGCAAAATCCCATCCGTCGACAGAAGCAGAATCGGTGTTGTGATCATGGCATTGCTGCATCCCATTCTCCAGAAGACGCTGTGGACGCTGCCTCGGAGAAAATCAGCCGTGACAAATATCCGTATCTCGCTTGCAGTGCGATGATCATCTCCAATACGGTGCGATGTGGTGCAGTGAATCGGCAATGATCGAGGCCTTGTTCTCATGGCTCGACTCACACATCCGCAGTGGTCGAAGCCTGTCCTGAGGTGTGAAACATCGTCATCAATATTTCAATCATAATGTGCTTCTGATGCACAATTGAACGACGTCGTAGCGGAGTCAACGTCCGATCAAAGAGAGAAAGCCCTGGGGGTCAGTTGGGAACAGGTGTAGCTTCGTAGGTCTTCAACCAGGGGAGAACTGGTGCAGCATCGTGGTCTCTTCTCCGACTGTCAGCTGGAAAATGCTCCGTGTGTGGCTCGTTTGACCAACCTCCGTGGGACGATTGACTTGGAGAAGTAGGTAGAGGTGCTAGACGTTCTAACCCAGGCATCACGCCGACATCAATAGCGCCTAGTGCCTTTGGTGGTGAAAGGTCTGTTCGTTCCTCTTCAATCAAGATGCCATCAGCAGTAATGGATGGCAATCGAGTCAACTGAACCGCATCCGGCGACAGACGTTGAGAAGTCTGCGAACTTGCTGTGGAGAGCGTAGGCGGCGGTGGACCAACTGGTTCAAAGGTACTCGAGGAGGTCGATGACCGTGAGACACCAGGAACATGGGGGCTGGGCACGGGGAGAGGCAGAATGATGCGGCCTCCTGGACCTCCAGACATACTTGATTCGAGTCGTGGTGGACCGAGCGTGTACTCTGTCTCGTTCGTTTCTGATCCATTAGAAGTATCCTGATCCAAAACGTAAGTTAGTCGGCTACATCAGCACGTGAACCAAGAACTCACGTTGTCGCGTGCCTCTTCGATCAAAATTCGAACCTCGGGAGAAACCATGGGCATGATTTCACTTAGAAGGCTCTCGTACCGTGCCAAACGGCGGCTGGTAGCCGTGAGATCTTCTGCGGTTCTGCAGTGGCACGATGTCAGACGCGACCAGGTAACGTGAGATGGAGCAAGTCACTGACTTGCGCTTCCTCCAACCTTTCCCGTAGCCGTAATAACAGGTCGTGCCGGTGTGAAGACATCGGCGACAGGCTGGACGAGAACCATCGCATTTTGTCTTGCGCTCACGACACGGTTCACAGGCGTGGCTGGTGCGTGCTCTCTCTGGTTTGTCCCATGCTGGGTTATTGGCGCGTGATATGGGTATGGATGCAGCACCAGCACTGCTGGCAGGAATACCTGTAGACGAGGTGGGTGGCGGAGATAAACTGCTGGTGGTGTTGACAGGCCTCATGCCTAGAGCAAATGGCCGGCTGGAGCGTGTCTAGACGAACATAAAAATTACACGCGGATGGGTCGGCCTGGGGTGGGAGAGGTTTGGTATTTGAAGCAGCCTCGCAGCAGGTGGAAAAAGTCAAAGTCAAGAGAGGTGCCAGCACTTGGGAAAGGTAGACTTGGCAAATAAGATCTCGGGACCAGGCGAAGGGGGTGACAGACGGATACAAGTATCGAACCGCCGAGGTCGATGGAAGGAAAGTTTTTCAGCAGCCGGTTGGTTGATCTTGTGTCGTGTGGCAGAGTTTCGGATGGGCGGTGGAGACTGGGTGCAGGCAGTGGAATGATGGGGAACAATACCTACCTAGGGTCCTGTGGTACTCGTAGGCTGGGTTGGCTTGTTCAGTGCTGGTGTGGCCAGACGTGGTAGTTGTGGTAGTGTGGTAGTGCACGGTGGCCGTTGCCGTTCGGCAGGCGAACATGTCTGGGTGCATGTGTGGGGGAAGGATGGTTAAGAGAACCACTGAGAAAGTACTGTGTAAAGCGTCCGAGCGTCCTATTGGTGACCGACAGGCCAGGCACGGGTAGAACGTGTAGAGAATGCTGGTAGTGGCGAGCCAGCGTACCTAGAGGCCGACCCTAGGTAGTATACGGAGTATGCAGGCAAGCAATAGCTGGTTCAGTAGGATTCGTCTCAAAGGCGCCAGGTGTGCCGGCCAAATCTTACTGGCAATTGCTGCATGTCTGTTCGGAGACGGAAACCCAGGCACCCGGGGCGAGCTGTGAAGGGGAGACGGGTGGAAAGACAGACAGGAGACTTGAGTAGAGCGAAGCAACAAGTGGACCAAGTCGAGGTCGAGGGTCAAGGGTCTTGCCAGAAGTGCCCGCATCGAGATGGGCAAGAGGCAAGAGGCAAGAGAAGGACCAGACCATGACCAGACTCGCAGACTCTCGACGGATATCGGAGATGGCGGCGGGTGATCTTTTAGTGGCTCCTTTGCCGTCTGCCGAATGGAAGAACCGCACCGACAATCTGACTGCATGGCACGCGAGGAAAAAGAAAAGTTGCAAAGGGGAAGCAGCTGACCAGCAGAAACACACCGAAAAGAGAAGAGACGCCGGGGGGCCAAACTGCCAAGGACTACTGTACCTACCTTACCTGAGGTACCTACCTAGGTAACTTGCAGGCTGCAGCAGGAGGACCTAGAGGAGCCTAACTTAGTAGCCCGTCAGTGCCCGTACCCTTCTGTGGTAGGTACCTAGGTACCTAGGTGGTAGGTATAGGTACTTGTACCGTGAGTGACTTGTGGGTGCTGTGGTAATCCCATCTTTGGTTCACCTAGGTGTGGTTCGCGTCCCGAATACTACTGTGGGAGTGGGGAGTGTCGGATATCGATCTGTCAGTCCTTCATACCTAGGTGTGGATAATGTACCACTGGAGACCTAGGTTCTGGGGAGGTTACTGTGATGGTCAGTACGCTACGCAGCGACTACCTTCCAGGTAGGGTAGGTACTGTGGTAGAGACTCCCCGTCAAGCAGTATAACGCAGTACTAAAGTTAAACTACCTCCTAGGCATGGGAGCCTGTAGGTAAGCTCACGAGGGCTCACTAGGCTAGTAGGCTCACCGCATCTCTTTTCCAGACATGCAGTCACTCCTCTCCCGTGTCTCGCTGCCTCGCTGCCTCCTCCTGACTCCTGACTCGTCCACATGGATGCAAATGCAACCCTTGGTAAAGTCTATCCTTCGCCTCCCATACCCAATTATTACTCGTCACGATCTCACTCACGCCCTCAACCTCAACCCCGACTCGGGAGCAGAACCTCCTGTCGATCAGGGTGGCTCCTTGCGACCGACTGGAAGTGCTTTTCCGTGGTCGGCGGTTTTCGCCTGCAGGATCTTGGATCATGGATCCTTTATCCAGCAAGCCAGTGGTGCCAGTATATGATTTCCGCGCCACACCCGCCACAGGCCCTGGTCGTCTTTGTTAATGTGATAGCTGCTTGCCTGCTCTGATATGCTGGCCAACCTATTAACATCATCTACGATGACACTTATCACCGTAATCATCATGTTCCCACGTCTCTACGACATAGGCCTTTTCCTTTTCGAGGCCCTTCCCGCCCACTACCGTTTGCAAGCAGCTGCAACTGCCGCTGCTTGCATGACCACGCATGACTAGGCATCTAGGCAAAACTGGCTCGTGCCGGGTATAGGTTTCGTACGTAGTACTACCTCGGACTGTCTTGGCCAGCCACGACGACCTTCCTCCAATCCAAATTGATGTTGGGGATATGAGTGGTGGTGTTAATCTATCATGTCTTCTCAGTCTAGTAGTGACCAACTTACATATCGTCTTCCCTCATCTTACGTGACGTCGTCAATCCTGATCATCGTATGCTCGCTTGGAAAATCCTCGTGAACTTGTCGTTGTGACCTCCCTCAAATACTCATCCCCGTCGAAAGCCCATCACTCCTCAAATGCCCATTACTTGCATCTCTCCTTGATCCGGAAATACGCCTCCACGGCCTCCATTCTGGGTCGAGACCACGTGCCGCCGGCTCGAGCATTCGTAGCATCTAACTCCAACCTTGTGCTCTCAGAGTGGTTACATGCGTGTGTCAATCACTAGCAACCGTCGCTACCAACTCATCGTTTCATGCTGCTCTTTCTGACCGGCTCGACACCCTGCATACTACGCAGGCCAGCTGGATCCATCTTCACTCGAGGTCCTCGTCCCCGGACAGGTGACTCCCAACCTTGTATTTGCTTTCGCAAATCTGGGTCGCTCTCGTCGCCAATAAAAGTCCAGCTTTCTTCAATGTCGACTTCATCGAGGGCGACATCCGCACCGGCTGTATCACCTGCGAGGGCCGCTCTTGCTTTGACCAGCGATTTGGCATAATCGAGATCTCGGTAAATCGCTTGAATGGCCGTCTGCACCCCAGTCTCCTACCCCGAAAGTTAGTGCGACTGTGCACACCGTCATCAAGCATTGACTCGAACTTACCTGTCGGATCTGTTCTCCGAGTAGCCGCGCCTTCACGATCATCCGCTGTGAGTGGGTCGCTTCCCATAGAGCGCGTGAGAACAAGCTGACATTGACCTTCTTGAGACAAATGCCCACACCCAAGTCTTCCACCCGGGATCCGAAGAAGAATTGATCGCCAAAGAATGGCTTGATAACGGTCGGCACTCCAGCACGGAGGCTTGCTCCAGTCGTGCCCGCGCCTCCGTGATGAACGGCAGCGTCAATCTGCCGGAATAACCAGTCGTGCGGGGCAGATTTGATCTGAAAAATGTCCGCCGGCAAGGGGACTTCTGTCTTGACTGCCGCAGGATCCCCAAGCCGGTCACTCCATCCTTTCGACAAGATGCATCTCACGTCGGCCTTGAGCACCGACTCTACCACCGTCTTAGTCAGTGCCGCCGGGTCGGATACCACAATCGAGCCAAAGCCAATGTAGACGAGCTTTTTGCCGTCTTTTCGGGCCTTGTCGATAAATCCCTGAAGGTCAGCGGGCGGGGACCAGTCCTGCGCCTCATCGAGGAACCAGTATCCTGTAACCCGCACCCAATCACTGTAATCCAAGGGCGGTACAACCACATGAGGCGAGAAGTTGTACAGGAATGGCACCTTGTTGGGTTGCATCTTGTCCATGTTGGTACTGCGCAGTCCCAACTCCTTTTTGCGCCAACGGTTGACCTGTCCGGAAATGGCTTTCCAAAATACATTGTCAAACATGACATAGGAGTAGTAGTTGTAAGCCCCTCCAATCTTGTGCTCGGGCACGGCAAACGCATGTGGATACGCCCGAGTCCGGGTCCAGGGCATGGTGAAGGCTCGAAAATAAGGTATCTTCAGCGCCTCAGCAATGTGTATCCCAGCCATTGCACTGGGCGACTCGATCAAGAGATCCGTATCCTGACATGCCTGCCATGCCGAAGTGAGCAATTCGTCAATCCAACTGCGGAACTTTGCCGAGGCTTCTCGTAGAAAAGAGTAGGTGAACATGCCATTTTCCACACAGATCCTCATCAACTCTGCCGGGTCACCCTCGACAGGGGCAAAATCAATGCCGTGCTTCTGCACCCAGGGTCCGAATTCGGCGTGTGTGGCTATCCTGGGTTTGTGTCCCTCGGCCAATAGCCCTTTGCACAAGGCAATGTATGGTTGCACATCTCCTCTAGAGCCGATGGTGAGACATGTTATCCTCAATGATGAAGTGGGCTTGAAGTTGATGATGGACGCGCGCGGGTCGTCGAACAGCACCGGTCGGCTTTCTTCATGGCTGTAGATTGCTTCAGCTGTATCTGGTAGCACAAGTTGATGGTCACTCGTCGAACTGCGACGAGCTTCCTGCAACACACGATGCTCTTCTTTGGCAACCTCCGCATCATCTTCGTCCTGCTTGGCCAACACGCTCGACTCGGTCATGTATCGCACACTTTCGAGGCTGTGCAAGAGCGTCACAGTGCAATCATCCCGGTGCTCGCTAGAGCTGAACTCAAAAAACAGCTCTTCGTGACCTCGGATGACGAGTACCAATCCATGGTATCCAAATCGAAACCCCTTCTCCTTGTCGACGTTTTCAATGTCTTTCAATGGAAGGACTAGCTTTGTCCGCGTTCCCGGGAGCAAGCTTCGGAAGCAGAACTTGCGATTACTGACATATATCTTGCCGTAGAGGGGGAGCACCCGGTGCAGAAAGCCGAAGTATGTGGCTTGTAATCTTTCAGAAGGCGGCAGAGCAAAGTGGGCACGAAACCGGTCCCCATGACCAACATTGGCTTCTTCATCTTCGGGGTCGATACCTCTATCGTCAGGTACAATGCCTTCATTTTCTCCGTAGTGCTTTCGATCTCCTGCCCACATGCCTGAGACCTTTTCCAAATATGTCATTGACTCTGTTGCCAACAGCTTTTTCATAGACATTGACCGGTTCTTGAGGTAGTCAGCGAATGCCCCTGCACGTTGAAGCGGGTATGAGCCAGCTTTGACCAGGTCTTGCAACGTTGGTGAAGGCTCGACTTGCACGGGTATTTCTTGTGCTCTTGCTCCGGTGTCTTTCGAGTAGTGAGCGAGGAGGTCAGCTGCCCCTCGAATCGGGATGGGTGAGTATGTCTCCTTGCGTGGAGAAGTGGACAGGATGGTCCCGCCTTCGGAATGCGCTTCGGTTGACATGGAAGCCAGTGTTTCCATACGTTGGATAGCAGGCGGATGGAACACATCGCTTCGCGTGAGGATCTGACTAGCAGACATTTGTGCTTCCACTCGAGGTGACAATGGCGCTGTGGATGAGTCGGTCTCTTTGTCGATGGACTGTACATATGAATCTTCCGAATCATGATGCTGGGCGAGTGGCGATTGGCCCCGACCTCTCGATTGGTTTGCTTCAAGTCGACTGGTGCTTCCACTCCTTCGTCCTCGGTCGAAGCTAGCTCGACCGAAGTCGCCACTTGAACGTGATGGGCTATTTCCACGATAGAACTCGCCACTCATCTTGGGAGAAAACCTCCCACCCTCGTCGACAGGGAAAGGCAAGAGCGTTGCCCGCACACTTTCCTTGATGGGTGGGCTCGACTGTGCTCTTGGGCTTCCTGGTGTGACGGCAGGGGACTGGTTGCGAGCGGCTGGTCTCCGCTTCGGGCTGGACAGCGTGGTATCTTTTCGCGTCGGAGACAACAAGTCTTCAGATGCCCTCTCGCCCGCGCTTTCGGCGAGCAAACTTCGAAATATCTGAAGCGCGTCTTGGCCAAAACTGAAGAAGGAGAAGAAGTACTGCGGACGATTAGTAAAAACTTGACGGACAATGCCCTGCCACGCTACCTACCTCGTCGATGGCATATGAATCTCCGCTCTCTATCACTCTGAACTTGACCGTTTCAGCGAACTCAACAACCGGACTCTCCTCGAAGTCGATAACGTTCTGCACTGGCAGAGAAATTTTCACACTATCTCCATCATTGTGAGATCGAAAGATCGTCTTCTGTAGAATCTGAACCCATTCTTTGGCACTCGAAGCACTGTCTGCGCGAAGATGGTATGTGCGGTGATCGGTGGTCAAAGAGAAATCTTTGCACTCTTTCTGTTTGCTCTTGGCTGCCGAAAAGTTCGCGGAAATGCCGTATCTTAGATCGATGTTGCCGGAAGGAAAGTAGAGGTTAGACGGATCCGAGTAGTATGAAAGCACATCCCCCTTCAATGAAAACCAATATCTCTTGTACTTTGAGGTCGTCCGACCTTTCTTTGCTAGATACCCAGTTTTGGCAACCGTGTGCGATTTTCTCGGCAGGTAGGCATAGAAGCAGATGTGGTGTGTGGTGATATAGAGATAGCCCTGTAAAAGTACGCTTTGTAGCAGCCAACACGGGTACTCTGCCACAACCTTTTCAGGTTTTTCGAATCCGAAGATCTCCATCAGCCGCGTCGCGAGTACTGTCTGTGGTAAGGACTCCGCTCTACCTCTTGATTTTTGACCTTCAGGAGATGTCGGGATTAAGTGGGCAGCGTCGTCATTTTCCTGAAACTCGGCTTCTGCAGTTAAGAGTCTGCTCAGCACAGGCGCATCTCTTGGGTTGCTTCTTGAAGATTCCGATGTAGCATCACTCTCGGGACTAGGGTCCTGACGCGCAACTGACTCTTTGCCTTTGGGTTCCAATGCTCTTGCTGACGGACGCGGTAGTGGCTGGACCAGTCGATTCCCCGAAAGATGCTTACTCTTCTTTTCAATAGACGAAGGCTCATCTCGTGTCATCACCTGTTGTACTAGAGTTGCCTTATCCATGGATGTTGCAGGCTGCGCTTCACCCTCAACAAGCGTTGCCTTCTCTTCATCAATTTCTTCTTCACTGTCGCTGGATTCGTCGAATCTGGCATTGAAATCTGTCCGCGATCCGGCCGCCGCGATCATCGAGAAAATTGATTGATTCATGTATTGTGCGGGTGCGTTCCGTCCTCGCGAAGGAGCCGTCACATCGTCTTGGGCATCTGCACCGAGGCTTAGGCGAGAGGGAATATGAGAGGAGGGCATTCGATTGAGGTTCGGGTTTCTTTTCTGGAGCTTGCGGCCTCCACTCGGCTTGGAAGGGCTATCGAGGTTCGCCATGGCGATGTGAGGACCTGTGACTGGGGCTTTTATTGAAGAGTGTTTGTTTGCACGCAAGGGCGCGGCCAAACAAGACCGTCCTACTCTGCTGAGGCTCGGCGCGACATCAGGATAAAAACACAAGGCAAGGTCCGTCTGATGCGATAGTCACAGGTGTAGCGTCTTATGCCTCACCTGACAGACGACAGCCTTTGCCGAGAAAGTAGTGTCCGATATTCAACAAAATGAAGCGGTCGTGACCCAGACATTATGGCTTTCACAGAGCGATGAATCGATGATCAGAATAGACTTTCAAACGGGCATGTTGATGCCTGACATCGTCGCCTATAGGGAGATATAGAGTGGGTATAAGTAGGCGCCCTCGTGGCTCATCGTGACTAGACTCGAGATACGTGAAGCGAGTTGGCGAGTCTAAAGGTCGAAGGCATGTGGGATCATCAGATCTTAGGCATCACGGCATTCTTGGAAGCTTTAGCCGGATCTCGGCTGCACATTCCATTCCCTTCTCCCACCATGGTTCATTCTTCTCGAGCTCTTTGAATGATATTGATATTGATATTCATCATCCCTACCTACCTAGGTACCTTATCTATAGCATCCTGACTCATTTTACATTACTCTACGATGCTCTTGATGAATTCCTGCCTGGACCGCTCACGACCGGGCATTGTTTCTAGCACTAGCAGCTGCAGTCAACTTGAGGGCTGCTGGGCAATCTTCTCGCGGCATGTGCAGCTCAACCAGTCGCAGGTAGGGGGCACTGGAGAAGTCCTTGTCTTCAAACAAGGCAGACACGTCTTCCTTTGTCTTGACCTGGTATGTCTTGTATGTGCCTTCTCGAGCACCGAATGCTGCGGGTAGATCTTTATATCGCCAATTTTGAATGTCGTTGTATCCTGCATCCATGCCGTGTATGAAGCGTTCAATCGTGTAACCATCGTTGCACACGACGAAAATGATTGGATTGAGCCGATGCCGGAGCATTGTGCTGAGCTCTTGAGCAGTGAGCTGGAATGAACCATCTCCTGTGAAAAGAATTGTCCGACGCTTGCCCCCAAGCTCTTTTTCTGCAAGGGCCACGCCCTGACATGAACCAGTGGCGTAGCCGATACTGCCCCACAAGACTTGACTGATATTAATGACGTCCTTGGGGAATCGCGTGTCGAAGATACCGTAGCTGGATGTGCCGGTTTCAGTGAGGATGATGTCGCCTTGTTGCAGCCACTGGCCCATTTTCGGCCAGAACCAGCGGTGCGTGATTGTCGGGTCGGTGGTGTCCTCGTCCGCAGGTATCAGATTCTGTGAAGGTGTGGGACCCGGCACGATGTTGAGCTTAGGCAGTCTATCGATGAGTTTGCGCAGGACGCCTTTCATGCCGACACCCGGATACTCTGAGAAACGCACAGTCGTCCATGTGCTGTGCAAGTCAATGGTCTTGAGCTGCGAAGTTCTGTACGAGAATCCGGCGGTATTGAAGTCTGACCTGACACTGCCGATATGGAGAAGCAGATCGGAGTTTTCGACACGCTCCCGAACTCCAGGATTTGAACCGTCACCTGCATATACTCCTCCAAAGGTGGGCAACGTCTCATCGACGGCACCTTTGCCCATAGGAGCCACAAAGACTGGAAGGCCCGATTTCTCAATGAATTCGTGCGTCTCCTCCAGCACACGATGGCGAATGGCACAGCTGTCGACAAGGATGACTGGATTTTTGGCGGCAGTGAGATATTTCGAAATGACATCGACCACATAGTCCTCCCTCTCTGGGTCGTTCTTGTGAGGACTGAGGTCGATTTTCGTCTTCAACCTTTCACCTTCGACCCTCTTGCTCACGATGTCGGTTGGAAGGGTGATGTATACGGGTCTGCTCTTCAGGTAGCATTCGGCCAGGGCATGATCAATCTGAGCCGGAATGTCTCTAGGGTCTGTCAACTTGGCCACATCCACTGCCAGACTGGCGGCCATATCAGCGAAAACGTGGAAGTTGCCGTTGCCCAGCGTATGGTGCAGAAGCATCCCATTGGCCTGGGAGATTGTGCTTGGTGTCCCGACTATGTGGACGACGGGGACAAACTCTGCGTAGCTGGAATATGTCAGCCCAGTGATTGGTTTCCTTGAGGAAATGCCACGCACGCTCCAGCAATCGCATTAGGGAGCGACAGCTCACCAACGCCAAAGGTGGTGATAACTGCCGATATACCCTTGATACGGGCATAACCATCTGCGGCATATCCTGCGTTGAGCTCGTTACAGTTGCCAACCCAGTTGAGCCCACATCCTTCGAGGTAATCGAGAGCGACCAAGTTGAAGTCGCCGGGCAGTCCGTGGACCGAATCGATACCTACTTGCTTGAGTCTAGTGAAGAGATAAGTAGCAACATCTACGGGCTCCCTGAGCTCGGATGTTCGAATGTCAGGTTGGCTAGCCATATCAGATGAATGCGGTCGTTGACTACAATGACGATGAGAGATGGAGAGCAAGGGGATTGCAGTTGAAGTTATATAGACATGTGAAGAAACGTCATTGGCATGCGGCGGGCCTGATCAGATCTTGAGCATGTCTGTTATGAAGTGAGGCTTGGATATGACAAGCAATTGGCGCAAAGGATGCAGGTACAATCCCGTGTCTGCATGGTGAGGGTGCAGGTGGTCTGATGGTGGAGGCCGGATGCTACACAAGAGAGGCCCAGAGCTCTATGGCCGCAAACAACGGGCATCTTCATCGTGCTCAAGTAAGCCTACCTAGGTAGAGAATGGTGTGATCTGGCACATGAAAATCAACTCACTGCAGCGGCACGGTGCCTGAGAGTCGTGTTTTTTGCTCATCCATCATCATCGTAGGAAGGTACTTATTGACGCAACCTGGTCGCTAGGCCGGATATCACGGTGCCATCAGTGCCGTTTCCTCCACCACTCGCCGCACCCTGGCACCCTGGGTAGACAACCCGGGGCGCGCTGGATAACTCCGGACATGCCCATATTGCTTTGTAGGGGTTGATAGGCATGACTCGTTCGTATCTACGTTAGGTGCCTAGGCTTGCCCGACCAGATACAGTACTTATCTTGGGCCTAGTGGGCATCGTTCGAGTTTGTTGATGCTATTTCTCGCTTCGCGCTTATTCATGGCTTCCATTGGCTATTTTGGAACCATAGCCGAAGTCCAGCCACTGCTCAAGCACACAGGCCGCCAACACCCTCTCAGTCCGCATTGAACTGCTCACTATTGATCTTGCTTGCTTACAGCGAGCGCCTGAATTGTGTCGTCCAGCAGTCTATGCCGTTCAACGAATTATCATATTAATCTACAGAGAAGCGCTTTGCGTGCTTCCCGCTCCTCCCTTGCGTTATCACGCCCTTGCGATCTCTTCCGACGAAGCCCATCCTTAGTCCACGATACCGGCAGAAGCAGAACCGGCCGCAAGTCATCGGCGGTGTGGTTTCAGGCGTCATGCGCTGACGAGATAGTGCATTGGCTGTCGTTGACTGGTGGCCGTACTGTCGGTTGCATTGCTGCACGAGGTCGGACCCTCAATCCAACTGCGCCGGCCGCTTTGCGAGCACATCTGGTTCGAGTTCTCAAGATATTTGGCTACAGGACCCAAGAAGAAGGATGATTGATCCGGCTTTGCTGTAATAGCAACGATCACATTGGAAGATTCCGAGGCGCGGCCTGTCAGATCGAGTGGGATCGATGAATAGCGTCTCACCGGACAATGGTCTCGAACAACCAGATGATGGATAATCAGCGACAACAATATATACCCGGCCCGCCGCCGCCTCCAGTTCAAGGAATTCTGAGCCATCTGCCGCCCCCTCCGCCTCGACCACACCCAGGGTCAAACCTACCCCCTCCACCTCCTGGGCCACATCCAAACTCATTGCCATTGGGGACGGTGTATGGCCTACCCAGCGGAGGATGGCAGCAACAACCATGGGGAAGACCTGGCTTAGGTCAGAACATACCACCACCACCTCCTATGTCGCAAAACCAAAACTTACCATATGGCATGAGGCAGCCCTCTCATCTCAACATTCCCCCGCCACCTCCCCAAAATGATAAGCCCATACTTTCAGCGACGTTCATTCCGACAGGCGACTCTTTTGGCCCCGGCGTGGGAATACCGCCGCTTGACGACTTTTCATCTTTCTCCGGATATGACATGCAATTCACAAACGAGCCATCGCTCTCGCAGTCAGAGAAGCATGCCGAGGGTACGGCCAGTTCGCACAGTTATTCATATCCAAATCCTACCCACCCAAATCCGGACATTGCCAATAGAGAGGCCCGGGCTGCTTCGGCTTCTTCCGGCAGGCCATCATTTACACTTCCTCTTCGCGATGCCAACGAACCGATATCTCCAGGACCTCCCACGGCGACGCTACGCGATCCACAGATGGGTGGAGATCACAATCGCCAGCGGGCTTACAGTGCAGCTATTGTAAGTGGCGGTGCAAGCGAATTATCCCTGCAATGGCCCTTGGATAGGGTCCTTATCTGGCTTGCCGCCAACGGATTCTCCAAGGATTGGCAGGAGACCTTCCGGCTGCTCAAGTTACAAGGCTCGGACTTTCTGGATCTGGGTCGTGGCCCAAATGGTCGCGGCAATCTGGGGATGATGCACCAAACGATATATCCGCAATTAGCCAAGGTCTGTTCTAATAGTAGTACGGGCTGGGACCAAGGTCGAGAACGCGAAGAAGGCAAGAGGTTGCGAAAACTAATTTCGAGACTGGTCGAGCAGGGGGGTGAAGGACCAGCCAGTGCCGGCACTGGCCATCGCAGACGCGAGTCTGGACTCATCCCAAGCGCCTCCACGGAAGGTACGGTAGAGAACTCGCCTCATCTACCTCGAGCGGAGTTTAACAGCACACCTGGGACTGCAGGGCCTGAAGGCAGCCCAGGAAAGGCAATGCCAGCTCAATTTCCCCCAGGACTGGGCCCGCGAAACTCTCAGGGCCGAAGCAGTACAATGCCCGTCTTCAGCAAACACAATAGTAATTCTTCAACCCCAAGCGACGGAAAACCACCAGAGAGTCTTCATGGTGCCGGTCGTGCAGACTACACGAGGGGCGTTCTCACTGGTATCAATAGTCGCGGTCGCCACAGTCCCAACTTATCCGGGGACGGTTCCACTGGTCTGTTGCCTAAAGGTTTTGAGGCATCACCAAGCGCCAGCCCGGGTCTTGGAAATGCAGTGCCTGCTTCGGCGACCAGTGCGTCCTCTCAGACATATCGTCCTGAGCACAATAAGAGCAACAGCACCGACTCCATGCTCAAAGTATCCGGCCCTGGCAGGGGTGGACCAGGAAATCCCGAGGCCACGCATTCAGGGCGCTTTTACGCGGATCGACGCGACGCTCAAGAAATGGCAAGGCCGTCTCCCCTCGACACGCACCGAACGTGGAGCAATGACTACCCGCCGGGCGGAAAAGATCAAAACAAGGGGTTCTTGAGCAAGTTCATGAGAAAGAGACATGAGCATAGCCAGCCTCCTCCAGAAGATCATGCTCTAGAATCTCCAACGAGCCCCGGAGGGTTCCGTTTGTTTTCCAAACCTAGCGCGAATGGGAGTGACTCAGCATTGCAGCAGCGTCCAGCTTCCACTAGTCTGGCCAGCGCGGACGAGAAGGCAGCCTACCCGGTGCGACGCGGAAACAATCCACCCCGGAGATACATCTTTGTCACTCCTGATTCATGGAATTACCGCCTTGTTGATGTCACAGACGTGGAATCCGCAGTCGCCTTGAGAAGCCTGATCTGTATCGAGCTAGGAATTGCCGATGCTGAGTATGCACAGATCTTCCTGACCGAACCTGGGCAATCAGAACACGAGATCCCGCTTTCGGACAACGCCCTCGTATCTCTACGTGGTCGGACGGACAATTCAGGAAGCTTGAAGTTATTTGTGCGGAGTCCGACAGTCTCAGCTGTTTCGGGGCCCAGCTCCACTGGATTAGGAGTTTTATTTGCCCAGCGAGAACAGACTGAAGCATATGCACGTGGTGCACCCATGGTAAAGTCTAACTCAGCCGGAGGTGTGAATCGTAACGGCTACGCCTCTACTCCGAGCTCCGCGTTAGATCAACCTTCGGCAGATACGAGTCTGCTACAAAAGCAAGCAGACGAGTATCGTCGACAGACGGAGGCTAAACACAGGGCATATTTGGAGTCTCGCCGAGCCCAGAAGGAACAGGGTTCAACCTACAGTGGTGGTGGGATTCGTGGAAGCACGGTGATCGACTTTGACAGTCCGCGACTGTCGCCATTCGAGGACAAGAAAGTTGAACCGCTAGTGCCCGTTCGGCGACCACCTACAGCACCATCCGAGTCCACCACTTTAACCAAGGTCAACTCTCTGAGAGCACGAGGGTCCGGCACTCGGTCTTCGTTGGATGCCCTGAAACGCATATCCGATCCTATCGCGGAGGAAGATGCCAACCGAGTGAAGAAAAAGTCTAGCTCTTCCGCTATTGCATCGGCGGGTATCGGTGCTGCACTAGCAAACGTGGGCAGAATGGCAGGTGCGCCGGCTTCGGTTGGGAGTCAAGGAGTACCACAGGACAGAAACAGAGGGCCGCAAGGGGTCGATTTCAGCCAAAGGGGCTTCGGAAGTTTCCCAGAATCCCGGCAATCGACCTCTATTGTGGATAGTATGCACCAGGTTGCATCATCTCGTGAGATCAGCCCTTCAGATGCCACAGCCCGGCCAGTCCTGCAGACCAGAAAGTCCTATGGTCCAGATTTTGACTCCGAGGAGACCAACGTCTTGTTTGCTCCCTCTCCCAATCCGCTGAAACGGAATGACTCGGATGACGACTCTGATGATGGCCTGTTCGCCATTCCCCTAACCAACAAGTCACTTCCGAAAGTCGCCGGTCAGGCTTCTACCGGGAACAAAGATCAAAGGCCTGCATTGACTGTCGACACGGATCATCATGCAGGTAAAAATGTACGGTTCAAATCACCCGGCTCTTCTGGTGGTGTATCCCTGAACCAAAACGTTACAGAAGATAGCGCTACAGCCAGTGGTGAGGGCTACGAGCGCAGTCTGTCTGAGGGCAGTTTCAGTGGTTCTGCGCAATCTCCCGACGACACCAGGTCAGGTCGAAGAGACTCCTTCATCAGCGACATCTGGGCAAATCGTCCTGCGGTCGAGAATGTCGTCCATCATCTCGACGAATTCTTCCCCGGGGTCGATCTTGACAGGCCATATCTTGAGGAAAAGGGTGATAACAATTCGCCAATGAGGCCTGTCGATCAGGATCCGATGGAGAGCGCCCAGACTGCTTCAGCAGCGCCGACGACCTACGGTACCTCTGGCTTGGATCTGGAGTTCAAACGCAAGAGCGACTCAGATACCCTGGGATCTGATGAATCCACACTCAAGGCACGAGACCGGAATAAGGTGGCCAGCGTCGCACAGAGACAGGTCGGGAAGGCCACTGGGGGCATTACACGCATGAAATCAATCCGTGAAGTCGCTCAGAAGCGCAACGATATCAGGAGAGGACCATCGGTGGCGCAACGGGTTGAGCAAGCTAATGCAAGCAGCATTGTTCGCCGCAAGAGTACGAAGATGTTCGGTGCCAACATTGTTCAAATCAAACCTAGACCAGGCAATCGACTATCGACATTGGACCCCATACCACAGGAAGAGGTACCTTCAGAGGATATGCCTAAGCGACAAGCCACTTTCAAGATCATCCGTGGTCAGCTGATCGGTAAAGGCACATATGGCCGCGTCTACCTTGGTATGAACGCGACGACTGGTGAATTCTTGGCTGTAAAGCAGGTTGAAGTCAACCACAAAGCTGCAGGGCATGATAAAGAACGGATCAAGGAGATGGTGGCTGCCTTGGATCAGGAGATTGACACCATGAAAGACCTCGAGCACCCAAACATTGTCCAATATCTGGGCTTTGAGCGCAAGGAGTTTTCGGTCAGCATATACCTCGAATATATTCCAGGTGGTTCTATCGGCAGCTGTCTTCGCAAACACGGAAAGTTCGAAGAGTCAGTGGTTCGGTCCCTTACACGACAAACACTTGAAGGCTTGGCTTACCTCCATCATGAAGGAATCCTTCACCGAGACTTGAAAGCTGATAACATCCTGCTGGATCTTGATGGAAGCTGCAAAATTTCCGATTTTGGCATCTCGAAGAAATCAGACAACATATACGGCAACGACGCGACCAATAGTATGCAAGGATCTGTTTTCTGGATGGCTCCCGAGGTGGTTCGATCGCAGGGCCAAGGTTACAGCGCCAAAGTCGACATATGGTCCTTAGGCTGTGTAGTCCTGGAAATGTTTGCCGGAAAGAGGCCTTGGAGTAGAGAAGAAGCAATTGGCGCGATCTTCAAGTTGGGAAGTCTCAGTCAAGCGCCTCCTATACCCGAAGACGTGCAATCAACTGCTACAGTGGATGGCTTGAACTTCATGTATGACTGTTTCCAAGTGTGAGTTTGACCTGTAATCCCCTGGACCATTGTTTGCTTGCTAATTTTTATGCAGGAACCCAAGTGACAGGCCTACTGCAGAGACACTCCTACGACACTCATCCTTCTGTGTTCCCAATCCCTATTACAATTTCTATGATACTACTTTGGCCGCGAAGCTCAGAAATGCGGATGGCGCCGGACTCGGCGCATGAAAGGTGTTTGCATTGTATACTCCGCCGTGTTTCAGCGGGCGTAGGTGCGTGGGCCTACATGAACATCGAGGTTGATTTACGAGGAATTTGGCGTGGCCCTCATACACAGCAGACAAACTGCGTTCTACGATTTGATGATTCAACGAGAAACTCCAGTGTATGAGTATACTATTTGACACTAGGTGAGGGCGTATAGCGGAAGCTGCAGTTGGATTTCTTGGATACGAGAAGAGTCTGGTCGCTGGGAGACAGGAAATTAGGTAACCCATTTGGAATGTTGAAAAGTTGCCGGCCACATTCCTTCCCTTTGTTTTCATGTCTCGCGCTTACACGTCGTCCGCCGTTGACTTGTTTGCCATCATCATAAGCCATGGCATTTGCTCCGCCTGGCCTGTCCAGCACCAGTCTTGGGTACCCATGAAGCTCGACTGCTGAGCGACTGATCTGATACGCCTTTGTCTATCTAACCGATCGCGGCGGCATTGCTACTCTTTGTGCCAAATCCTTCTCTTGTCAAACCCTTCCCCCTGTTCGCACCTTCGCTTGTCATTACATCGATATCTCAGCAGAAGGCTCAAGAGAGAGAGATTGAATAGTAAATTCGTCAGAATGGTCAACTCGTCCGGGGTAAGTTGCCCAACTCCCAGGTTGCTGTTTCTTCGTGGGACCAGTTGCTAATTTGTGCGTGTCAACGGATCGCAGACCCCGCGGTATGGCACCGATGACCAGGCAGGAGGTGCACGACGAGAGCGAAGCAAGACCCCATCAGCAGATCCGGGCATGAAGTCCCGTATAGGAGGAACAGCTGACTCCGCAGGCTCCAATCGCAGCAACTCCGGCCGGCCCCTCAAAAGAGAGACCAAGACGGCCAGCGCAGAGGGACCATCGGAGTCGTCGCGCAGCGGTCATCCAGAGGGTGGTGGGAGTGGCAGTGGGAGCCGCGGCAGCCGCGACCACAAAGACAACGTCGGGGGCGCGCTGCAGGGTCCGGGTCCGCAACCGACCCCCAAGGCGACGAAGCCGACGCCGAAGAAACCGGCAACGAGCGCGAAAAAGGCAAGAAGACCAGCACCGATCCCCATCACTAACGACCGGCCCAAGAGGGAGCGAAAGGCACCCGAGCGCTATTCGCCAGGCCTGATGCCCAGCCAGAAGAAGGCCTTGGAGAAGAAGCAAAGCCAGAGGAAGAAAAAGACAACGACCACAAAGGCCAAGGCCAAGGCCGGCGGCGTCACGAAGTCGACCAGCACCAAGAAGGCGGCCGCAGCGAAGAAGGACGTCGCGAAGAAGGCTGCCAAAGCCGCGACGGCAACGACGACCGCGAGCACGACAACAAAGACCAAAGCCAAGACAGCATCCCAGACCACGGCCACAACCACAACCACGGCGACCAAGCCCAAGCCCAAGAAGAAGACTACTCCCAAGGGGGCGACTAGCAAGGCTGCGACGACGACGAAGTCGAAGTCCAAAGTTGCTAAAGGAACGCCGAAGAAAGCTGTTACACCCAAGAAGAACCTCAAGGTAAAGGCTGACGCAAAGAAAACAACAGCCACAGCCAAGCCCAAGCCCAAGCCCAAGCCCAAGAAGGCTGCACCAAAGAAGACGCAAACGCAGACACCAAAACCGAAGCCTGCAGCGCCGGCCGCGACGAAAGTCCCGGAAAAACCGCAGAGAGCCTGGTCTCCGTTTTTCGGCTAACTGCTCTCAGCGGCATTCCCATCTCCATTCCATAGTTTGCGGTGGGCGGCACATTAATGAGTAGCCCTTGATGGAATTGAAACACAACAAGGCAGAGACAGAACATGCCAATTGTCGGAAAAGGATGGGCGATGATGTGGGTTAGCGGCATCATGCGGTAACTTGGAGCAAGGGGAGTTGGCCAGGAACAAACAGCACGAGGCACGACGAGGCTGAGCCTGGAAGGGGTGTCTCGATGAATATCGGACGCAAATGGCTATCGCCGTCGAGCTGGAAATGTGTCAAGGGGTGGCAGGTGCAATGGGAGGGGAGGGGGAATGCTGTCTTTCTTTTCTATATCTTTCAAGTTCTTTCTTTTACCCCTCGAGTCGTCGTCGTTGTCGTGGTCGTGGTCATATTTTCTCCTTTATAGTCCTCTTCATCCGTGTCAAGTCTGGCAGACCTCTACCAAGTACTCCGTACTCATTTCGATCTTCATCCATTTTTACTCATCGTAAGCGAGATATTTTGGGCTTCGGCTCAGAACATGATCCGTACCGCTAGCCATGCTTGGGTGCAGAGAGACCGGTAGGGCGTTGTTCAGATGACATATGATTGAGAGTTGAGACACGTACAGCGAATGAAAGTACACTGTAGTCGCCGTCACAGTATTTCAGCAAGTGAGTGCATTGGTCAGTCAAAAGCAGTAGCATAGTTAGTCCCAAGTGTTGTGCTCAATGCACTTGCGCCTTTTCAAGTCCCCCGGTTGTCCTTTTCTCTGAAAGGCCAATGAAGTGCCATGCAGGCAAGATATAAAACTCCATCTATAGCCTTGCCAGTGTCTCTCAGAATCCAAATTTGGAAGTTACAAACCCCAACGCCGCCTGTCTCTTCTGCTTCGCAACAAATTTACTGACATCGTCACTCCACGAACTGCTCGTCTCGGCGGCACGATCCATGCTGTCACCAGCCAGACCGAGGTTCTCAGTTCTCTCGGCTAGCTGTCGTTGCATATAAGCCCAGTACGACTCCTGATTTGGGTCCGGTTTCGGCGCTCGCCCAGTCCGTGCCGCTTCTCTCTGTCGCTGGAACTCGGACTCCTGCGCCGCTCTCATCTCTGCAATCATACGCTTCGAGGGTGGTCTGTCCGCTCCTCCAATCAGTATATCCATATCCGATGGCGTGATATACTGTGTGCCCGCTATCCATTGCAGACTGCTAATCGTAGGTCGGGGGGGCACCATCTTCATAGGATCATATAATCGATCGGGACTCGGAGGGAGAGGCAAACCAGCGCCAAAGACATTAACCATGGCGACTTCACTCGGTCCTGCCCAACCTAGAATATCACCGGTCGGAGTGACAACCGCCTCGCCGAACCGTTTAGTATGCAGGATATGGTTGACTCGTGTACTTGCAATCTCCTTCAGGGCGGGAATGGAGAATGCTCGAGCCGCACCATCTCCAAAGAGTCCAACGAGAGCATAACCACGATCTTCAAAGCGCACCACATTAGCTGAGTCGCAGAGATATTGGTCGAAGGTCTTGGAAGCACCCTTGGCTGAGGCGGGACGGAAAATGTGAGCAGACGATATTGTGGCCACGACCAGGACGCCATCCACTTTTCGCCCGGATTGGAGGCCCGCCATTGCGTGACCTGTAGCTGCCGCTGGAGATCCTGTCTGTGTGTCGATTGGTGATGTAGAGATGACTTTGTCGTCTGCTATCTGAGTTACGCCAGCAAATTTCGCAGAATATCGCCCAGTTTGAGATGGAAGGATCTTGAATGTCGCGACTCGGCCATGTGATGTGCCTACGAATAAGGCGAGAGAAGAGTAGTCTGTCATTCATTAGCCCACGTCTTCAAAAAGATGAAGACCGCTCACCATCACCGTCCAGAGTCATGATACCGAAGTCCATCGCGGTCGCAACCTCAACAGACTGAGAAGTGGGACCTGATCGGCGAACACTTTTGCTCCGATGTTTGCTGCCCACCACCTCACTCAGCAGAGCAGTATGAATGATAGCTGGGCCACGAAGGTCGACTATCGTAACGCCGCCTCCGCCGTAGCCCGCCGCCACGAATCCCACATCAGAGTGCCGTAGCGCGGTAACAGGTCCTTGCTGGTCATTCGTCATCGTCAATGGCAAAAGGCCTTCTTTGAGGTTGGGATCTGCTCTCCTACAGATATCCGTCATCTGTCCAGGGCCTCCATTGGAACCTGGATCGGATGGAGGCTGCCCAGCGAATTGATTCCTATTCAGTCTGAAGACCACCAACTCGCCCGACCTCAGTCCAACCGATAACTCGCCGGTTGCACCAGACATGCTCATCTGTGTGACATCCAGCTGATCCCATCGGCCAACTGCCCTGCCAAGATCAACCTGAAGCATACCGGGATTCTCGATCATGTCGCCGTGTCCAGCATCCCAGACTCGAATAGTGCCGTCGGCATGGGCTGCCTGGACAATATTTCGATTCTCATGCCGTTTGAGAGGCTTCGTACCTGCAGCTCCTCCCAGCAGAATATTTGGACCATGTTGGCGAACTTCCCGCATACCAAGCCATCTCGTTCTGTCGACGTACGCCAGTGCAGTCTTCGTGATGAATGGATGTACAAAAGTTAACGAGACATGAAGCTGATTGGTTGGAGTGATGGGATGTCCTGAAGGAAAACTCATCGTAATGAGCTCACCTGATGACAATGCAGCCAACACTGCTATAGGATCGTGGGCGCCAGCAAAGTGTGGAGACACTCGAGGAATGGTGAGGAAAGTGGTGACTTGAGCATTAGGTGGTGCTGGAAGTACATGTGTTCGTTTCGGATTTTTGAAATAACCGGCTAAGTAGTCCCAAGACGACGTCTGGTAGTTTGGTGTGAGTCCAAGGTCAATGAAGGTCAACCCGTGAGCGGGATTCGTCGTAGGTGACCCTCCGGCAACAAGGATGCCAGTGTCATCTGCATTCTCCTTGGAACACCAAGAAATATTGAAGTAAGGCTCTTTGACCGCGATACCGCCTGGGCCAGACCTCGACGAACCACGACCGGGTTGATTGACGTCTGTCTCATTAATTGTTCTTGCGTGAACAGCTCTTCCGTCCCGTGGATCCCAAAAGACCAAGCTTGAATCTTCATGGGCCGTCATTATGAATGTGCCCGTAGGATGCCAAATGGCATGTGTGAGGCGCGGATGCCGCACTTGGTCAACAGCTGCAGGGTCTGCGTCTCCTCCGGGTGCGCCTCTGGGAACCTCATATTGGAAGAACTTGATTGCCTTGTTTTGTTTAAACGAGTAGATGGCGGCACCCTCGGAATAGCCAACAAGTAGTGTGCCAATGTCCTTGGGGTGAAACTGCAGAGACACGACTGGTATGAGTCGTGCTCTTGGATTGCGCTCTCGCCAGAGATTCGGAATCTTGAAGGGCGTAATGCTTTCTCTGTCCAGATCATACGCCACGATTTCTCCTGTCAGTCCGTGTCAGCCAGTCTTCTGTCTCTCCCTCTCTTGATGCACCCACCATTTTGTAACCCTGACAAACAATAGTCGAGACTGGGGTCTGTAAGAATAGCCGTAACGTGACCAGGAGGGGCATAGTTGGCAAGCATGTGCTTGCTGTCGAGGCTGAAGACGCTGATATCGTTCTTACTGTCCAGAACCACAAGCTTATCGGCGCAGAATTGGATGGCTCTGATGGAGGATGGTCTGGGAGGGTGGAATGTCACATTGACTCGTTTCTGTCCGTAGACGTTGACAACGCCTGCGCCGAACTGGGATTCATTTGTACCGACAGCGAGGAGCGATTGGACGGGATCATAGGCAAGGACCGATATTTGCGAATTGACACCATAGCGGGCGAACTTTCAGCGGTCATTGACAAGCTCAGTACAAGGCGCAGAGAGCAGACATACCTCATCCAGCATGAATACATCTGAAGAGATACCTACTGAAAGATCACTGGCGATGCCGGCCTGCTTGCCACGGAACAGGTGCGCCATGATCGCTGGTGGCGCGGCGGCCTTCGCATCACACTGTTTCTCGAGCGATGTTGGGGTCTATTTACACAGCGGGAAGAGCGCAGAGTCTCAGTGTGAGCGTTGTCGAAAGGTGAAAGGTTCATGCGCGGGGATGGTGCAGGCTGCGGTCGGAGTTTACTTTATGTGAGCACTCAGTGAGTGTAAGTCACCTAAACGCGTGGCGGCCTCCAAGCCACGTCGACTGCAGTCGCTTCACAACAGACTGACACAGCAATGGCCAGGTTTACTCCGTACGGAGGGAAACAAAAGTGAGATATGCATGCAGATTCCAGTCAACCCTAGAGAGTCGATAAGTCAAAGCCCTTTACTGCTTAATCACCCCTCTCTGCATCAAGATCTGAACAGCTGGCAGCGAATCGCTCATGATCTCACACCTGCCCAGCTCAATCCCTCCATGAGCCGCTCCATCCTTCTTCAGATATTTGAAAAGAAAAGCTGAGGGGATCTTGACGTCCCACTCCCGGCCCTGGAGGTCCTTGACCTTCTTTTCACCCGCCGCAGACTCCCCGACACAGTTGGCGTAGAAGTATGCCTGACCCAGCATCTCCCATCCCGTTCCAGTCTCCCAGCAAACTAGGAAATAGGGCTCGTGAAACTCGCTGGTGAAGAGACCGTACATGGACTTGGATTGCTCGAATGCGTTTTCATGTCCAGTGTGAACCGAGCCATCTGGCTTGACGAGCGTGAAGTCCTCACTATGCCAGTCGTTCCTCTTTTGATCCCAGCCTCCGCGTTTGTTGAAGTTCAGCGTGTAGTCTTCCATCCATTTCATGGCCGGATGTTTTCTGGTCTCGTCGTCCCAGGTTCCGGTGTGGACGAATGCCGGTTGGGTCGGGAAAGACATGGTGTTCAAGTGTAGAGGTCTGAGATCTCCTGGAAGGTAAGAGTTCGATTTTGAAGCAAACCTTGTGTCTATCACAACGCTCCTTGATGGGAATGAAGAAGCAACAAAGAGCAGACGTTTGACAAGCTTTATATAGGCATTCACAAGCATCCACAGAGAACCGAACAATGGTCCGCAAACGCCAGCCCGACCTACCGGAGTGTGATAAACGTTTTCAGCTCAGCCCAGCCATTGCAGCTTCAGCTCCTCATACGAGGAGACGCCAGAAACAGCGGCTACAGCACACACGAGGCACTGATTTGACATGTGGTTGGAAACTTCGATACTTTCGGATTGTGGCGCACGGCTGAAGAGATGTGAGAGATCTGACAACACGAGGGAGCGGTAACGAAGCTGGCTCCCCGCATTTCGAGCTGGCTCTTCTAACCCCTTTGCGCAGGCGTTCTGAAAAAGGGAATTTCGAAAGGTCAGGCACCCAGTCAGGTGCCGATGCAGGTCTACCTGACACCTACCTGAGTCGGAGCTCAGACGGGAGACACAGTTTTTGCTGGTGCAGGGCTCCCGGCCGCGTGTAAGTACCTTACCTACGTTGCTGACGAACCGGGCTCCCAGCTGTTGACTCTTGTTGCATCGACTGCTTTCTCGCTCTCCCGATCCGCCGTGATGTTGCGGACACAGCATCATCATAGCTGCATTAATTGAGCTTCCATGTATGTCTCGAGTGTGCCGGAGCAGCATCATAAGCAGCCCAATACTCACCACCACCACCACCACCACCACCACTACCACCACGTGAGGGATCTGTCGAAGATGTGTGCGACAGCATACCGTTGCCTGTCAAACAATAGATTCGTCATGGTGTTCAGTGTACTTGGCTCGGTTCCCCAGGCTCAACAAGGACCTCAGACTCCCCCAGACTGGAATGAAGAGCCCATTTCTTTATAGGGCCATTGATGTACCACCGATCCGAGGTGGACCCCCCTACGCGGGACAAGCTGTATGAAGCGAATAGTGTGCCGACGAGAACGACTATGAGCCAAATGAGAGACTGGATTCTCGATTTAATGCCAGTGCTTGGAAGCATGAAGGGAGCTCCCTTTGCACTGTCCGCGTTTGGAATTTGAGAAGGCGATGAGAGTGCTTGAAGCCGGGCATTTCTTTTGCAACCTCTCCTCTCCCCTCGTCCGGTCTCATGCCCTTCAAGAAGCGAAGAACTCGTCTCACTGCTCGCTTATTCTTCACTCTCAATGGCTGAAAGCACCATTTCTCGCCTCCTGTTCGCTTGCTGACGGCGTGGATGTAACGTCTTAGCGAAAGAAAGGGAAATGTTACAAGGGGAACCTTGGCATGCGCGAGAGTCACCAAGTAGCAGGCGTCTGCCTCCGGTGAATACAAAACCTTCTGCAAAGAATGTAGATTAGATGAATAGAAGAACGCAGACGCAGCCTGCGAAATGCTTCCTAGTAATCCAATGTCTGATCAATACACATTAAATGCTCTCTAATCCTTTGCTCACCAACTCCATGCTTTGAGAAGCCGTCGTTTCGGATGCATCCTTCTATGCTATTACAAAGTTCCTAAGTTTTGGCCTATCAAAGACCTAGTGTACCCGTTGAACCGCGAAAATGCCTGGTCACCGCTTCCTGGTCAGGATTTTCGTGATAGCATGCCGAATCGTAATGCCCGCCTTTTCGATCTCCTTCTTCGTCAGGCCTATCGTGACACAAACCTTCAAAGCCGGGACTGCCGTATAGATATCCGTCTTTGCGCCTGATGGGCCGGCAGGGAGACTCTTGACGCGCGTGATCAGAACGTTCTGTGCGAGACACTACAACCGACGTCAGCAAATGCACCGTAAACCTCATCATGGAACTCACCTCATCGACAGTGTCCTGCAGTATCTGCTGCTGATCCTCAACATTCAGCCTGCGCGATGAGACAACTTCCGGCTTCAAAACCAACAGCATGATCGGATTCTCCGGTGCGCTGGTACAATGTATCCAGTCACTCCTAGGGTCAAGCTGAGCCCACATTGCCTTGATATTCTCCTTCAATTGACTAAACAAATCCGGCTGCGTCTGAAGCATCATTAGTGTCTCACTGGCCGTCACTGCTGACATGGCCGGCAGTGCTGCCGAGAAAGTGTACGAAGCAGCTGATAGTCGCTGATGCTCGACGACCTCGTCTGATCCAGCACAGAAGCCACCAGCAGCCGACAGTGACCCTGCCATAGATCCAACGATCATATCAACTTCGGCGGCGTCCACATGCTGATGCTCCGTCACGCCTCGTCCAGTCCGTCCCAGAACTCCAAACGACCACGTCTCGTCCAGAATCAGGCGGAACTTGTACTTGAGCTTGAGTTCAATCTGGGCCTTTGTCAGCCACCGTGATCATCATCTCGGCAATTCTCGGAACTCACGATCTTTGGCAAATCAACCATATCACCCACATTCTCAAACAACCCCTCAGTGATAATGAACCGTCTCGTCAGTGGCTTCTTCGCCTGTTCTTTTGTCACCCTCGCCAGCACCCTCTGTAGGTCCTCCATGTCATTGTGTTCATACCATCTCACTGCACTCCTAGAGATCTGGATGCCCTTTCGGATAGCATAATTGACCGCCTTGTCCGCAACAATAATGTCGCCTCGCTTCGAGAACGCTGGAATGACACTTGATATCGTCGAGAACGCCTGCGCGTAGATGATGCACGCCGTCGTGCCCAAGAAAGCGGCAATGTCGGCCTCAATCTTCATGTGTACATCTTGCGTGCCATAGAACCCCGGCGGCCCACACGGCCCCACCCCGTAAGTTCTCAGGGTCTGTATAGCCCGCTCTTTCAAGTTTTCATTCGAGACAAAGTTGTAGAAATTGTAAGAAGCGAGGTTCGTCACGGTGCGGCCATTCGCGAGTTTGGCACGAGGGCCGCTCGGGCTGTTCGCGCAAGGTCAGCACCCCTAGCACATGCTTGCAGGACCTGGGTTGAACAAACCCAACAATAACTGGCCGCTTCTCAAGTTCTGCTTCCTCGAAGGGCGTCGACTTTGAGACCAAAGGTTCTGGCGTCCATTCATCGACGAGGTCATCTATTTCCTGTGTCGTGGTCAGCCTCCGAATGGCTATAGCATCCAGTCTTTGGCTCAACCCACCTCCTCAGATAATTTGACATAGTTCGGCTTCGTAGAGTATTTCGGCGCAAGCAGATATCGAATTGCAAACAGGACTAGGAAGAGTTCGACCGCGGAGCGGACGGGGTCGTTCTGGTAGCTTGACTGTACATAGCGCAGGAAAATCGCGGACCCTGGGATTTTGTGGAATTGCTCAGATGTGGCATTTGCCAGGTTCGCAAGATATACGTGGGCATCTTGGGCGTCCATTTTGCGCCTGCATAAAGCGCGGACTTGATGTGGTGAATGGTAAGAAAGGTGGTCCACGAAGGCGTTGGCGACGTAAACCTGACATCTCGAGGCTCGACGCGGCGAAGCGGGCTGGTTTTATTACAAGCTACTAACGTTAGGCACCCATAGGCTACTGCTAAGCGTCAGGGGCAGCCAGTCACGCCAGTCTAATGAAAAGGGGATTTGTCTGACGCAGCAAGGATTTGACTCAAGCACCAGCACCAGAACGATCGCCCGCGAAAACTTCGTGGAGTCCAGCAGCTATCCTGGTCTGACGGGACTCACATCATCCACCAGCAACCCAATTCCCGATTGACCCGCACCCGCTCGATAAAAATATACAGCAGGATTTATTGTGAAACTCTGCATTTGGCAGGCCGCGAAACACAGATTGAGATGAACGAATACTCCATACTATGGTCTCATTTCAGCGTATGCAAATATCCATTGAATCTCATGTACAGTACGAGTATGTCTAATGAACAAGATATACCTCAATTGCCACAACTCCATTCCCCAGTATTTGCCGCGAGTCAGCAAGCCAGCCAAAAGCTCCTTTTTGCTTTGAACGGCTGCTTGTCTATGCCATTTCATTCATTAGTTTGTTGGAACAAGGAGCGATAGAAAAGGCTCAGACCACCGGACCATTTCTATGGCCCGAAGCAAGCTTCTTTTTGCAATCCGCCGAACAGTTGCTCATGCAATCAGATTTACCATCTGATAAATCGTCCACCACCACCAAACGTGAAAGGATTACTGCCACTCGAGCTCGCAGCCGCAGCAGCGGTTGTAGCAGCTTGTCCACTGTCACCACCAGTCGCAGCAGCACCCTGGCCGAAGTTGTGGAGAGCCGATCCTGTAATCTGGCTGGTGGTATCGTTGTTGTCTTGTCCGGTAGGTTGGAGCAGGTCGAGCGGGATGCTCGGAAGATTGGTGACATATTTGCGAACAAAGACGGGGCCGATGATCAGTACGAGGAAGAGTATGAGCAAGGCAAAGTACAGGATAGCGTAACGAATGACACGTCGCTTTCGAAGGCGAGACTGCTTGATCGAGTAGATAGGCGGTCTGATTTGACGGCTGTACAATTGTTAGCATGTGGTACGATGCAAGGGTCATTGAAGATGACATACCTAGGTCGCAGCCAGAACAGCATGACCGAGTGGAACTTGTCAATGTAGGGAACGCAAAGCGCCGGCAACATGATGAACATGAGGCAATGGCCCAAGATGAAGTCAGCAGCGAAGAATCCGAGCTCAGTGATCTTGCAAAGATATTCACGCGCTGGTTGCGACATCGAGTGCCAGCCCATTGAATACCATTTACCCGTCCACCAGGCAATGTTCGAGGAATCTTGCTTGAATTCTCGAGTCAAGCAGAGAGCAATGATGAGCTTGAACACGAATCGCTGCAGTGCCACGACCGCGATCATGCCCAGCAATGCCTTGGCGAAAATCCATCCTTCAAGGAAGAACATGACCTCCCAGAATGCAAAAAGGGAGATGACGGCAACGGCATGAGCGATAGCAGCAAGGACGGAGCCGAACTTCTTGCAGCACATGCTCAGCACAGGACCCATACAGCACGCCATGCCAAAGAGACCAGCCAAGACACCAGCATTGATAGCAATGGGAGCAAAGGCCACAATTGCCACACGGACGAGTGAGTTGGTCGCTGCCTCCGGTTTCTCCACACCAGTTTGTGCATTAATAAACAGGTATGGGATCAAGGTCAAGGCGACAAGAACCAACGGTCCAATGACCTCGCTGAAGAAGATGCTGGTAAAATGCGCACGGGGAACGTCGCCGGACAGTTTCTCGGATGGAGAGCCCAGAACCTTGCGCTTGAATCCAGTGAGACGGGTACGAGACAGTCTGCAGAACGCAATCCAGGAAGAGGCGTGTGAGCGGGAGTTGCCGCGAGACAGCCATCTGAGATAGTCTCTGTAGTCGATGAAGAAGTCCGTCCATGCGAACTGATGAGGATTGAAGATGAATGGCGAGATGACCAGACCGAGCAGGGAGATCCAGAACCATAAGAGCCAGGCACCCCAGACGGTAATTGTTCCAAACAGCAACATCATGAGCGAGCGCGCACCAAGATAAATCGATGGACCAGCAAATCGCGAGTATAGGACGCCGAACGGAATACGGGCGGTGGCAAAGCCACGTCCAGTACCAATATAGCGAGCGCCTCCGAATGACAAGTCTTGCTGAATAGAGCTCGCATAGATTTGACACACGAACACTTCGAACACTGGTGAAGCAGAGGCGAAGTGCTTGGCCAAACGAGTAGCGGCGCGCCAGAATCCACGTTCGGTCAACTCTTGTACAACCAAGGGTACAAAAGAGATGAAGAAGACGATGAAGATCGAGACAACGCAACGCTCCACCCATCCCTGAATGGGAATCAGGTTTGCGCATCCGGTCGGTTTGAGAGGATCCGTGGGTGGGGTGTTACGGTTGAAGTGGCAGACAATTGTCTCGTGCCTCAAGGCGCCAAGGTTGATGAGGACAATCATGAAGAGCTGCACCGACAACATGATGAACATGTTGTTGATGTGGAAACCGGGATGTGCGTAGTAGAAGGAGAGGAAGCGATCCAGAGGCAGCTGAGTACCGAGGTAGTAGTACTCTCGGGACAACATCTGTTCACCCATACCGGTTCCGATCTTGGTCGTGAAGTTCAGAATAGAGCCGAAACCAAGATCACGACCTTTGCCACATTGGTAATACTCGCAGTGCTTGATGCGGCCTCCTCGAATGAGAGCATTCATACCAGCGTAGATATCCTCGTTGAGATGGAGACCCTTCTGGGCCTTGGAGACACCACCACGAGTTGTCATGAAGATACCGTTCAGGAAATCCGGGTGACCATAGTGCAGCTTGCCACCGATTTGAGCAAGAGTACGAGCGAAGAGAGTACCGAAGGTCTGTTCCTTTCCAGCGGCGACATCACCCAAGACACCAATGTTCTCGGAGAAGATGTACTCGCGAGCGCCAAGAATAGCGACAGGATTGGACTTCGTGGGAGGAATTCCAGGAGTGTACGGTGAGACGTTATCTGTAGTCATCTCCTCGAATTCGGCCAAGACGCTTCGAATCTTCAAGCATTCTTCGAGATAGTTGTCCTGGTTGGCATCGATAAGCTGAATGTATTCACCGCGGTAAAAGATGATTGCATGGTTCTGATTGTCAGACTTGCCATCTCCCAGGATAGGGTTGCCAGAGAGCTGGACCCTGAACTTAGGTCGACGCATGCCGTTGTCGAGAAGTTCGGAGTGGCCATCGATGAGAGCAGAGTACAAGCGAGGTTCCTCGCCTTCGTTTTGCGGTGGCTCCTCGTCCAGGTAGGCGATTTGCAAATCGGGGTACGCACGGAGCAAGAATTCGGTGTTTTCGCGCTCTTCCTTCTTGAACTTGGCATATCGCTGCATAGATACCACAATCTTGAACTTCCTTCTCGCCATACGTTCGAGTTCGCGCTCAAGCTTGTCAGAATTACCACCAAACATTTGAACGACCTCCGGGTTTTCGACACGATACAGCAGCTTGATGGCACGGCTGTAGTTCATGAAACCGGAGACTGTTCGGTAAAGGGTTTGCGAGCGAAGAGAGGCCCAGATACGAGTTCTGAGAGTATATTCAGGAGCAGCAGACTTGAAACCGATGCAATAGAAAGGCAAATCATCGATCTTGCTCTTGGCGGTGTCTTTCTCGGATTTCTCATAGTCGCCGTTGAACTGCGATGTCTCATCAGCAAGAATCTTGGTGTCCTTGACGAAGCAGTCCCATTCGTGTGGGTGAAGCTGCTTGAGGTATTCCAGAAGGGTGACACGAGAGTATGGCTCGTCTTCGCGAATGATCTCACGAAGAGACAGAAGGATCTTCTCGCTGTAGTGGGGAATGAGCACAGTGAAAGTTGGCATATTGTCGACCGGGAGAGGCTCTGGAATAGGAGTAGACAGCGACTGGGCGAAGAAGGAGATGCGACGCTCGGCTTCGCTCTGCGATGGGAAGAACTCAGTCTTGAAGGAGTGATCTTCCTGCGAGACAAAGAAGGTCGGTGCTCGTAGAGTGCGCTTGCCTTCTTGCTCAGAAGGAACCTGGTGGTACAGCAGCTTCTGCACATGGTCGATGGCCAACAGGTGCTCTCTGTACATCGAGATGACAATGGCGTTCCACACTTGTGAAATTAGAACCTTCGGCTTGTACTTGATCTCCATGTCGGTAGTTGCGAGGATCTTTGAGTAAATACGCTTAGGTAGTCGCGAGAAGATGTTTCTCCAAGGCGTCCAGATGGACACACCGAGATAGAAAGAGCGCGCAACGGAGAAGACGCAATTCCAGATAATGTACCACAGGTATGTATCCAAGAAGAAGAGGATCAGGTCAGTGAAGAACATGATGCCGAGCAAGATCTGTGGCTGATACTTGCAGAGGTACGTCTTCAGGATCGCATCACCTTGGCAACGGTGGATCTTGGTGTAGGACAAAATCTTGATCGGGTCTCGGAAAGACAGTGTCAAGAAGAAGTACGATTCGGCCAACTTGGCGGCAAAAACCATGATCCAGAGCCCGTAGGACATCCACATGTCATTACCCTTAAGGCGGGGGTATGAAGCAGTGAAGGTTTGACTTGCAACGTACTGGCGGGAGTTGCGTGTCAGATAGCTGCCAAACAAACCACCGAGGGGCATGATCGAGAAGAAGAAGAATGTTGCCAACGCCACAAGAAATTGGACCACACCCAGGATCAACGAGATCTTTGAGGTTTGCGAAAAGCCGAAGATGTAGACACTGGGAGCGATGTTGAGAGTGAAGACACCAATCAAGAAAAGCAGCCGCTTCGTGAGATGCTGAGCACCAGCCCATCTCCGTGGCACGTATGACCATTCGATGAGTGTTGCCATGATCTGGATGAGTGATGCAACCGTTCCACCCAAGCCGACAGCGGACCACTGCGCAGCCGCATGAGGTTGGTTGTTCAGCTGTTGCTGGTAGTTCTTTGTGTACAGCGAGGGGGAGTTGAAAGCAGTGTAGAACCAGAAGGTGGTAAGATGGATGACCCAGATACGGTTAAAGTTGACGACCAGGTGGAACCAAGATCTCGTCTCCTTGTATGTCTTGAAGAACACCTTCTTCCAGTTGACCTCCTGAAACTTCAGGTAGCGTTCAGCTGGAGGCAGATCGACGATACGGGACTTGTCATTCATGACAATTCTCTCGATACCTTCCGGGTACCAAAAGAGCTGATTGATATCATCGTAGCCAATGACCTTGTTATGGTCCCGCTCTCGCCGGACGTACTTGCCATCGATGATTTCGTAGCACTGATCTCTGATGTAGGTGTACAAGGGCGTGATAACATTGTTGAGATAAGTGAATTCTTCCACTGGCTCAACACGGTTTTGGCAGGCAGGCGAATGAAGGTAGTCGTCCGCACACTTGAAGATGAAGCACAAAGTCTCCGGCATGAAACGGACCTGGTTGGCTTCACCCCAGCAGAGCAGGTAAAGAGCGATCTGGCGTGCACGGTCATGTTGCGACATCTTGTTCATCCGCGTCTTCCAGCGGTATTCAGCAGCCTCGAGGGAATTGTCACCCTCCAAAGCTTCCAAGGTCTGCTCTTCATTGGTTGGGTTCTCCTTGGCCTTCTTCGCCGCCGCTTTGCGTGCTTTACGTGTCCGGCGGTTGGCTTTGCCGAGTTTCATGTTGGCAAAACCGACTGCATCATCCAGATCAAGATGAGCAGCAAAATACCATCTGCGGTAATTGGCATTGTCGCCTCCAATGTAGTCTGCGTGCAGCGACAACAGGGCTTGATTGGGTGTCATACGCGAAGCTCTGGAATCCAAGAGGGTCATCATATGATCATACATGTTGCGCATGCTGTCCCGTTGGAAACCGAATTTCGCAGTCAAGTCCAAGAAGATGTCCTCAACTTCCTCTTTGGAAAGAGGGATCTGAGCATCCGAGGTCCAAGCAGGGTACGGCTCTCGAGATCTTTGACCAGCTGGCAGGGCGTTGTTGTAGTCCATGCCATATATTGGGGTGGAAGCTCCAGAAGATCGATTTCCACCGTAAGAGACTTGTGAAGACGGTGGTCTGTAGCCACGGCCACCTTGGTTATCGTAGCCACTGTGGTATCTCTCGTCTCCTCGACCGTAGTAGTCCATTTCGGCAGCACGAGCCATGTCCGACCTCATGGTGAAGTCGCTGAATGTTTCGGAGTCTTCCTCAGAATCATGGCCACGGCGTCTTGGGCGTTGACCTTGGTACTGGGGCTGGCCTGCAGCGCCCTGGTCATAGTATTGACCATCGTAGTAGTCATCTTGATATCCTTGGTGGCCTTCGTAGTAGCCGCCATCATTATGATAGGGGTTCGAGGCATCGGCATTGTAGTAGCCACTGTTGTCCAAGTCAGTCTGCGTAATCAGATGTGCGAATTGGGAGGTGCTTACGATTCATCGTAGTATCCTTCGCCCCCATGTTGCTGCTGATGACCGTAGTCATATTGATCATTGTACCCGTGATCGTCTTGATAGTAGGCGTCGTTGCCATGAGGCTGGCCGTAGCCATCGTCATAGCCGCCCTGATGAGGATGACCAGACATGTTGTAGGAGGTGCCTGGATACGAATTGCAATCAGCACAGGGCGTCTGGAAGGGCCGGGCCTCCTCTGCAGGAAACGCGTACCACTCTAGAATTATACACACCTTAAAACAGTCCCATCAACCAATTTCCTGTTTGAAAATGCAAGATATGCTGAGCGATTGTGACTTTTCAAGTGTGGTTGAATTATTATGTGATGGTCAAGAATAGCAGCAAACGTGCGTAAGGAGTAAGAGACGCAGGCTGATGTTGAGAGCCGTGTACAGTCGTCGTAGGAAATTGTGCCTGTCTGTATGAAGGAATTCGTACGAGACAGGAGCAGGTGACGAGACAGCTCAGGCGTCGAGGTCGGTGGTGAAGAAAACGAAGAAGTGGTCGTAGGTGATGATTGTTGTGAAACGAGTGGAAGGGAGGAGCAGTGGTTGCTCAGCCAATGCAGCTGCGCGTCGGCGGCAGGCGTGGCTAGCAAACGGAATCCGATCTGACCACTTCCCTCGCCTCTTTTTTGATTTCGAGGAACAGGCCCCTGTGCACCTGCCTTTCTCGCAGCGATAGAAGCGAGTAAAGGTAGATACGACGAGTAGGCAACAAAGCGATGGTATACAAGAGGCAGGACTGGTCAAGAAAAAAGGCGACGACAAAGGGGACCAGGGAAAAAAGCAGGCTTTGGGACGATGAGGGAAGCAAGGTCAGAGCTTGGGGTGGTTTGCTGGTGCTTGTTTCGGGATTAGGGGCCGTAGAGGGGCGTGCGCAGGCCAGAAATTTGGCTGGCCAAGGAGTGCTGGTTGAGTGGGCTTTTGATTTCGGGTGGGCAGGGGGCACAGACAGCCAGAGCGGACAAATCAAGGCTTGACCTGTTCCGGCCAGGTTTGACAGAGGGAGAGGGCAATCCAAACAAGGGGCAGGATTGCTCACGACAAGGTCCAAGGTACCAAACAACCAACGAGCCGCGCCACACTCTTGTTACTCCACGCTGCCAGCTGCTGCTCTGCACAAATCCACACGCAATCCTCCCTGAGGGGAAAGCCCACACAGCCCACCTCTTTTTTGACCCGGTCAAATTTCACTGGAGGTCTTCAATCACTTAGGACCACGCCGCCCGTTCGCCAGTCCTCTTAATTCGCCCCAGCATCCTTGATTGCGACACTCTACGGCGTCATCCATCGAACTTGTCTTGCATCGCTTATGGCACTACGGACAGGCTTTCCGCCTGATTGCAGCTCACTGCTATCTCGGGTGGTCTGCATATCAAATGCCCAATTCGTGGCTGGGGAGCATCGGGATACTGTGGCTATGCATAGTAACCGGAGTATCGACTCTTCCAGCCGTTGTCGTTCGTGATATACAGCATGCTTAAAAGTCAGTCACGGAGGATATACATGGACAAGTGCTCCGCTCGTCTACAGAGAAGAGGCCTTGATGATCATACGGCACGGTGGTCACACAAGCCGTGTTTCAAAGCGTGGATGTGCTGTGTTGCAGATTTTCAAAGCGTCTCGGACATCTAATGGGCTCGACGAGATGCAGCTTCCCATCCACTATGCATCTACGTTGGACGTCCACTTTTGCTACATTTAATCGGCGTCGAAGCATTGCGCTTTCGCAGATATTGAGCTTGTTGATAATTGCGCCGTATAAAGAGGATGTTGACACCATGAAAGGGCTACATACCATTGACCAATCCCTGCCAAACGAGAGGTCACAGAAACCCGCACCTCTTCATGCACAACGGCACTCGCATTGTCCGTAGGCCGACTACCTTGGAGGAATGAATTCTGCGGTTGGCCTGCCAGTATCTGTAAGCCGGCCAATCCAGGAATCTGGCAATGAAGGATCTCGTGGTGTCTGTTTGCACAGTCCGGCGCTTTACTACGCAGTACATTCTTACTGAGAGTACGGATATGCCACGCGATTTTTTCTGGAGCGATGGGGTGAGACTTCTTCCTGCTCGTCCGGAGCGATCCGGTACGATTGTTCGCAAATGCTGTTTAGCATCCTGCGTAGCATCATTCATTCTCAGACCGGATATGCTCAAGACCGTTGTTGAAAAATCGATAGTGTCCTTTACCGAGTTCTTCTTTTCTTCCATGATCCCACTGTGGCTAACGATCCGGAAAGCTCGCATCATCCATTTTATGGGCCTCTAATAACGGGTCGGACGCCATTGACGACGGTGGAGCGTGGGCTTTTATTCCACCTGCACAAAAGTCGTCACTGCCAATGACTTGATGACTAGCATCACAGCACGGAATCTACTTTTAGACTCATTTGCCATCGACTCGCACCTCGAATGCTCGATCACCACCACTAGCCAGGCAACGCGACTATACCTGCGATCTTGTCCCGGGACAGATGTGCTCTCCGTCAAAAACGTTTATGATCTGGCAATTGGCACATCAAAGCAGCAGAACAAGCTTTTCGTGGGAATCACATAGCTAGAAAAACGGCTCCGTGTGGCGAATGCTATTTTAAAGTTGACAACGCCGTCCTCTCGGTGTTCCAGTGGCCAGGGGCCGGGTACCAGCACATATTTGTTTGGTGGAATGCATTGGATGGACTGCCCCTAATAAGTCTCGGGGTGCATGGTAGCCCGGCCTGACGATTGCTGAATATCTGGAAAAAGGGGCCGCTTCCAATCGGTCCCAAACGTCAGCATCCACTAGAAAGTCCAATTTCGCTGACAAGCAAATGAGAAGGGAGCTGGTCCGCGCATCAGGATCGCCTCGTTCGCAAAGCTTTTCATGGTCCAGCAGGCCGAGACACCGAGACACATCTGGAGACAGCAAGACAGCTGTTCGGGAGATCATGCAACCATAATCTGGCATGGTGAGACATGCATAGATTTTCTCTCGACCATTTTCAATTTACTGTATTGAGGCTTGACAACCTCGTGGCAAAATGTGATATTGAAGCGCACGAGATTAAGAACCAACCCTACGTGGTACATGGAGGGTTGTCAAGCATGATTGTGGCATTTTGCAGATAGTTGGCAATTTCTAATCCTTACCCATGTGAAGCCAACAATGGTGGCTTGAACAGCAAACTGCGGTTGATGGCTTTGCTATAAGAACACGGAGTAGAGTAGGAATCGCTTTTCTTGTCCTGCCCCGTTCCACCTCACAGGTCCAAAGATTCTCTGGTTGCAGTATTGTGCTGCCCTCCCTTCTCGGAAGTACCTTGAAAGCTATAGTATGGAGATATGCAGACACATAAATGTGTGCGGTGCACATTGACCTATGAGCAGATTTCATGATACAATGGAGAAACCCATCTTATTGAAGAGGAGGATGAGGACGCGTGTCGCAGCTGCTTGGAACATCGGCAAAAACGGAGCATAACCAGAAACAAATCTGCGGCAAAGGGGACGACCAATGGTGAACCATGGGTAGGAGGCAGGAGGCTCTGTGGCACGAGCCATCTGTTATTAGGAAACAAGAAGGTAGGGTTACGTGGCGGGCAGAATAATGCGAGAGGAACGCAGGACTCGACGGCTGGGCCGGGCAACTTTGGTGGTTGAGGGGCAGGCGTGTCTGGACTGGCGATACTGGGGAGCGAGCCGCCTGCGCCCGCTCAATGCTGCCATTGTACGTAGTAAACTCAAGTTTGTATTGATCTTCACTCCAAATCTGGCAACCCTTCATCCCTGGATTAGTTTCACTTCTCCCATTCCTCGATAATTCACCACAACTTGTAGACTCGACAGAGGTTTTGTTTGCTGTGTATCAGCACCTCTTGTCTTAATCGCTCTTTCCCAGCTTCTATCTTATCGTCCTTCGTTGCTGCCCTTGTCTGGCAAGGGCAAAGTCCATTCAACCACCTTTCAAGTCAACAGACCCATCTCCCATATTCAACCACGTCTACGCGATTTTGGATCAAGACATCCTTCTTTTCGATATCTCGCCATCCTCATCACAATGAAAGGCTTCACCGCAACCGCTCTGGCAGGAGCTGCTCTATTTCTCACAGCAAACGCAGATGTAGACCCGTAAGTGGCTCCTCACCTGAAACAATGTTGCTGGTTCAGTGCTGACAATGTGAATAGTATTGTCATCAAAGTATGTGGCTCACGCCAATCTCCAGGTCCGAGAAGGTCTCCAATGCTGATTCACTTTGCTTACAGGGCTCTAAATTCTTCTATCAAACCAATGGAACTCAATTGTAAGTACAATGTTTGATGTAGACCATCGGACCTATCTGACATGGCGCAGTTTCATCAAAGGCATTGCATACCAACGTGCGTTCACCCGTACTCCCTTCTCCGGCGCCCTTACTGACAACTCCGCAAAGAGGACTACCTAGGCAACGGCACAACCACAGGCTCTTCAGGCGGTGACAGCAGCTACGTCGACCCACTTGCTGACGGCTCATCATGCTCGAGAGACGTTCCCTATCTTCAACAATTGCAGACCAACACCATTCGTGTCTATGCGATCGATCCGACTAAGAATCATGATCAATGCATGTCGCTGCTGGCCGATGCTGGCATCTACGTTATCGCCGACTTGTCTGCGCCAGGCGATTCCATCGTCCGGGACAGTCCTACGTGGAACGATGATCTCTACGCCCGCTATACTTCGGTGATTGATGCCATGGCAAACTATACAAACACAATGGGTTTCTTTGCAGGAAATGAGGTCTCGAACAATAACACCAACACCGATGCGAGTGCATTCGTCAAGGCCGCTGTCCGGGACATGAAAGCATACATCAAGACTAAAAACTACCGGACTATCGGTGTCGGCTACGCGACCAACGACGATGCGGACATCCGCGAAAACCTCGCCAACTATTTCGATTGTGGCGAGTCGACAGATGCGATCGATTTTTGGGGCTACAACATCTACTCCTGGTGTGGAGATTCTAGTTACACTGAGTCTGGCTACGACGTTCGCACAAAGGAGTTCTCAGACTACAACGTCCCAGTCTTCTTCGCCGAGTACGGATGCAACGAAGTGCAGCCGCGCAAGTTCACTGAAGTTCAAGCTCTCTATGGCCCAAAAATGTCCCCTGTGTGGTCGGGTGGTATTGTTTACATGTATTTCCAAGAAGCGAATGACTACGGTAAGGAAAGCACCATTTTATGCAAAAACCTCAGCTGATTGTCCATCAGGTCTAGTGAGCGTATCTGGTGACTCTGTGAGCACCTTGGATGACTTCAACTACTTGTCTTCGCAACTCGCTTCGATCAACCCAACCGGAGTGAATTCCAACAGCTACACCCCCACCAATACTGCCGCCCAAGCTTGCCCGACTGTAGGCAGTGATTGGCAAGCATCGTCGAACCTTCCTCCCACTCCGAACCAGGAACTTTGCGAGTGCATGTTCAATGCTCTCACTTGCGTTCCCGACAACGTCTCTACAGACAAGGTTGGTGACCTATTCGGCGTAGTCTGCGGTCTGGGTCAGGACACTTGTGCAGGCATCGAGGCCAACGGGACCACTGGAGACTATGGCGCATATGGCATGTGCAATCCCACCCAACAGCTTGGCTGGGCTCTCAACAGCTACTACGAACAACAAGTCGCCGCTGGCAACGGCGCATCCGCTTGTGATTTCTCTGGCTCGGCCAAGACACAGGCTCCAAGCAGCCCGACTGGTACTTGCGCGACTTTGATCAGCCAAGCCGGTAGTGCCGGTACGGGCACCGTCACCTCGCAGCCAAGCGGCACTGGCAGTTCCGGATCCGGTTCCGGTAGCAGTGGCGGTAGCAGTTCAAGCAGCTCCAGTGCAGGTGTTCCGGGCTTTTCTGCTCCAGCGCATATCGGCGTGTTGCAAGTTGCATTCTACCTCGCCATCGCATTTGTTTCAGGTGCGGGAATGATCTTGTTGTGAGCAAAGTCAGTTTATTGTGCATCATCACTGGATCGTCTGGATCGGATCATGTCCATATGGGTTTTGCACAGTCTCTTCAGTTTAGAGCTTCGGAGCAGCTCCGTTATTCGAGCATTTAATCTCGAGCATTGGGAGCAAGGTATGAATCGGAATTGATTGGCTTAGTCCGTAGTCAAAAACAATCAAAAACAAGTTCTTCATTAGTAAAGACACTTCGAGCATGGCTACTTACAGGTAGGTATGTTCGTGATCCGGCTCACCTATTCGTTATTAGGTGGATCTGATATGTGGCAGCCTCGCAGCCTCGCAGCCTTGTGACTTCGGATGATCCCCGGCAGATATATTCCTCCTGTGAAGGAGATCTGGTGGTGTGTTACAAATAAGACAACCATCATCATCACGCAGACCTGTGATCTGTTGCAATATGTCAAGTCTTGCTGCCTCTAGGTCCGAGTAACCAGTCAGTGGGGACACGTCCTGCGCAGCCTACTTCACTAGGCATCAGTCTCTGCTGTGCTGCCTGCTTGGTGAAGGTCGATAAAATATCTGCCTCTTCTGTGGACCATCCAGGTGCCATCGACCCCCAGGGGGCCTACAACAACCATCGTACCAGACATTCAGGCACGATTTGTCCATTGCTGCTCAACCTGGCCTTTGCCGAGAAGGCTATTCATCCATCATTCCGCACGACTCAACTGTGGAAGAAGACATGGCATCGACATACAGCGTTCGGGAACTCTACGGAGGTGCAATAGCAGTTGAACTGCCTACGGAATTAATTGATTCAAGGTATGTCCTTTTCCAGACCTTTGATTGTTGTGATGAAGTCGTGAGGCACACATCGAAGACATGGCCAGACTTCGTCCAGTGGCATGATATCTTCCAACTGTTGCAACTGAGAGATGTAATGCCCATGGGGGTCGAGAGGACCGACTGCATTCAGGTTGGAGAGCACGCTACTTCCAGTATATCAGCGAGCGTGTCTCCTCTCGAACAGTCATGCGGCCTGACTTCTTCCGTTGCCCATCTGCATGTACTGACGCCAATTCAAATCATGTAGTGACATCCGCCAGATCCCTGACCACCAAGAAGTCTTCCTATCCCCCACGACACTCACATCCATCATTTTCGAGTTGAACGACTACGTCCAACCTCTGCCATCGACTCAACAACCACAACCACAACCGAACGGCGCTTCCTCTCAAGCCGACGTCGACGCCGAAGCTGCCAAGTACCACTTCACGGACGTGATATCTCCACCGGACAGTCTCGCGTCACCCCTGCCGCCGTCGGAGCGAACCGCCATGCATCATGCAAGTCTTTCCGGATTCCCCACACTCATCCTTGCTGGAACAATCCACAGCGTCGATACCCGATCGCGACCGTCGGCGCGTGGGTCTGCTCAGAGCCCAAGCCTGGGCCAGGGGCTGGCGACGTCATCATCGTCGAGTTCGAGATCCTTGCAGAACATAGTGTACCAACTCCAGCTCTTGATCCGGATGAAGAACTATGCGACGGACCTGTGCGTGCGGGTGAACGTGCCGATGAAGGAGATTGCGCAGGATGAAGGGGAAGTGGCGGCAGAAGTGACCCATGCAAAGGAATTGCTTGGACGGGTGGTTGCAAGTCTGGACGTAAGAGACTTTGGACTGTTTGGGGCGGCGGCATGAAGGAACAGGTCGAATAAAGGGAGGGGACAAGGGCGCGAAAGGGTCGGAAAGCTTGTGTAGGGGGGTGCAAAAGAGGAGGCGGTCTGTTGTGGATTGGCTTGAGGTGGGGCCAACATATAGATGGGAAGAGAAGGTGTACTGCAATAGCTTCGAGGTCAGAATAGGATGATGGGCTACCGTCGGGAGGAGAAGACGTGGTCTTCGCATTGGGCACATTCGCCGAGGGGATGGGGACGTGGAAAAGCTGGGATCCATGACTGCACTGGAAGTCAATCAGGTCAGGCATGAGCGATACTGCGAGACAACCGGGAAATCCGAAGAACTCAGGATGATTCAGCCGACGATGACCGGCAGCGGACGTCCAGTTCACAGTCTCACGTTGTTACATAGGTACATAGACGCAATGAACAATCCAGCCGGCATAGGGCGCATGGATCAGAGAACGGGGAGACACTAGAAGTCGGCTCCTGTTTGCAGACTCGGACACCCACAGTCGTGGTACTGTAATCAACTAAGCGCCGAAGATCAGCAAAGACGGAGGTTGTGAAAGGTCGAACAATGCGAGCATGATCATTTGTTCTCGATATCCAACCCAACCTGTAATAAGCAGCAGTCATCCTGATTGTGACATAGAATGCACTCTTTTCCCAACGCCAATTTTCCTGACCTAGTATACAATGCATGGTCTGTTCCCAATTCTCGATTACATGCAAGTTGCTCTCTCTCCGTTTTCATATGTTGTACACGGTGGCTGTGAATCACCTTCAATCGCTTAACTCAACAACCTCAATCAATTTTCCCAACGTGCTAGTACTGTCACTCCCAGCACTCGAACTCGAGCCAACACTCTCAGCACTGTCTTCTCTCTTCACGGGGCTCCGCGAGGGTTTCTTTGGACTGCTTCGAGGCTTTGGCCTGACCTGGACCAGTCGCCCTTTGCATTTCCCACAGCGATGTTTCTCCGGGTCAATACTTTTGCTATGCCGTCCGTACTCTGCACCGCAGCCTTCGTCTTCTTCGATGTTCAGGAAAGCCATAGCTGATGTCTTTTCCCGGCCAACACAGACCCACAAGTATTTGTGATTGATCACGTAGCTGTGCTTCGTCGTGACCTCGACTCGGCGCCACATGTCGACGTTGCTCTTGCGCAGGTGAGAAGTCACTCTCCCCGCCCACTGTTTGAACGATGCACCATGAGGTTGGTCCCGCACGTTGCTGATCATGAAATTCGTCAAGTGACAGAACTCATGGGCAACTGTGTTGACGAGCCGATCCTCACAGTCCACGATCTTCTCGGCAAGTTCGATGCTGGCAGAGTGTTCAACCTTGACTCCTGGACCGCTCACTTCTCCTCCCTTGACGGGTGACCCGGACAATTTCGTCACTGTTCTCTTCCAATTTGCTCGACCGGCTGTTGATCGAAGAGTTTTCGACCATATGATTCGCACACCTCCCGTACTGCACGCCAGTCTTTCAAGTTGTGAGTCAGCCACATTGACATCGAGCTCTCGCATTAAGTCGATGGCAAATTGCTTTTTGCGACTGTCAAAGTCCTTCTTCCGTGCTAGAGCGAGACGCTTTTCCTCGGCCAGACGCCTCTTTTCTTCCTTCTCCGGACTCTTCATTGGAGATTGGCTTTGCGCTCGTGACTTGCGAGGAGAAATGGAGGGACTGGGAAGTGAGTCTGAGCTTTCCATGTCCTGATCTTCATCTTGTTCGGAGTCCGACCAGATTTGGAACCTAGCGAGACCTTTCTTTCTCGGAGACGTCGCCGGTGCTTTTTTGGGTGAGTATTCGTCGTTCCACTCATTGATCACGTTATGATCCCAGAACGCGTCCATGCTTTGCCGGTGAGGTGAGCGGGGAACGTAATGTGGCTTTGATGGCGACAGTAGCTTTGACGGGGACTTCAGTTTAGATGGTGATTGAGGTGGAGGAGTTGCAGGCGGCGTTTTGAACCCATCTTCAGCCGCCCCAGTGGACGTGTACTGACCTTCATCATTGCCTGGCATGCTGGATTCTGAAGCAGGCACCATGCTTTTTGAAGGGACGATGAGGCCAGGTTTGGTCGTCGGAAGAGCCAGTTTAACCGGGGCTTCGAAGGCATCGAGTGGTTTGACGAGGTCCGAGGATGTCTTGACGTGTGGAATTCGACCTGAATTAACAGTGTGCCCCATGTTTAGGTCAGGTCTGGGTAAAGCGACAGGTGAGGCAGTCAAGTCGATCACTTCGATTTCGCCATCTTTCGCTTCATCTGCGCCTTCGTCCAGCCGCATACTCTGTAGAGAATCAATAAGCCCACGTGCCGGTTTGTTTTCCTCGTCCCCGGAGTCGACGCGCTTTTGCTTTCGTGAGCCTTGTTGAAGCCTTCTGCGAGGTGCTGTTTGAGGCATGCGTCTTGCTGGTATCCTCCGGTCATCCACGTCTGACTCTGAGGCTGAACTGTCATGATAACTCAGTTCTGCATCATCATCGACAATAAATCCGCTCAGATCAGTGTCTTCATCTTCGTTTTCCTCATCCATGGAGCTCTCATCGTCGTCATTGCATCGTGCTTCGCCCAACACGAATCTGCTGGCATAATTGGACTCTTGTTTCTTCTTTTGAGGATACTGATAATTCGCCTGCCTGGCTGCCTCTGTCATGAGAGACATAATTGATTTTGAGCCCTTGTGCTGATTATGAGAAATGCCCATATTGGCCCCTAGTCTTGAGACCGTCGTCTTGGGATCATGTTCCTCCATTGCCATGACCTTTAACGGCAAAAGTAATGAATTTTCAACATGCGTCAACTTGAGGCTACGCTGAGGGCTGGCAGTGGATCGGCGGTTGCTTGACGTGGTGAGTGTCTCGGTCGTGGACGAGCCTCGAGGTAGGGAAGGGATGGCATTTGTAATGGAATGAGCTTTGGAGGGTCTAATTCCATTCCTTGGTGATTGACTTTTGACTGATGGTCTGGCCGGTATGGGCTTTACGGGACTGGGAACTCCTCTTTGTTTCTTCTGCGGTGAGCATGGCCCAACCTTTGCAGGCGCAGTCTTCTTTCGTGGTGATCTTCGAACCGAGCCATTCGTGCTTGTGGCCATTAAGGGTCTGGGTGCGATAATAGACCCGAGACTGGGAAGATCGTCTTCAGAAGAATAGGGTGACATCCTTGAGTGCCTTCTGTCGGAGTTGGTTCGTCGTTCATGTATTGGAATGCGATTGTCTTCGGCGTCCGCAGCACTCGACCAAAATATCCGACGTCAGGTTGGAGGCATTTGTTTACATTTCCCTTTGCTACAGCAACCACTTGAGCAACCAAGAGAGGTCACGTGTGCGCTATCCTCCGAGCCTCCAGTTTCGTTGAATATCGACATTCCGAAATGGTATATATGTGATTACACCTGTACTTTCGGATAAAATTGATACCCTCGTCTGTCATTTAGCCGCTTCAATGGCACATACCACATACTCTCCTCCAAAAGCATTCACAGTATCGCCTACTTTGGAGCTTTTCTCCCAGGCGGAATCCAGGCAATCCGCGATTTTTGAAAGACTGCCAATATTCTTCTGATCTCCTGCCTCGTACAGGGTCCGCCAGCTGGCTGTCCCCTGGTCCCAAGTTTCCCTTCGTGCACAAAAGCCTTTCATGCCAACGGGCCCTTCCTGACCGCCTTTCAAAGCTAAGAAATCTCCTCCGACTCGTCCTAGAAAGGTCTTTCCATCCACACTACGAAGGATCCAGGCATAACCAAAGGTCTCTGGAGAAGACACCGGCAATATCCGCCAAACCTCTTCGTACGGTGTCACAGTGTTGGTTTCAGGGTTGAGCATGCTTCCCGTCTCGACGCTGTCTGTCGGCACTGACGTAGGTGTGAAGCTGCCTACATCGGGCTCCGTGTAACCATTAGAATCGATCCAATGTGTCCATTTGTAGGTCACTGGTGTGATGTCAGCTCGATGCCCAACGCCCCTCCGCACTGATGGCAGCACATGACTTACATGGTTCTTGAGACAAGACCAATCTTTCCCCGGCCATTCCCCAGTCGATAGACCCATCCGCCTTAGTGATTCTCAGGTCAACATACCAGCCACCCACGCTTATCACAAGAGTATCCGTGGGCTCGGATGGTTCCCCTGGCACCCAGCGTATGCTCAGACGAGTAGACAGTCTCCCGGACATAGCGCGGATGGTGAATGCTTCAATTCTGGCCGAGGTCAAAATGTCTAGATGATTGTCCGCAAGTCCAGTCGGGAATAATCTTGAGTATCGACCAGCCAAGCATACAAAATTCGGAAGCTCTTTCTGTGTGTTGACGTCTCTGCTCTCGAGGCAGTTCGTAGCTTTTTGTCTTGCAGAACTGTACGGCCATAAAGACACAAGGGTCGGCCGATGGTGGGTCGCCAGCGTCGCCTTCACGAATAAACATCAGCAAATTTGGCTACTGTCTCGCTGACAACAGCCATACGAGCCATACTACGCCCATGTCCGACGTTGAACGCGTCGCTTGATCATTCCCTTTATGGTTTGGCCTCAGATGTCAAGTTCTAGCCAAGAGACGTTTTACAATCACCTGTTTCGCTCAAGCAATATACTTTTCATCAGCAAGTCCGTGATGCCCTTCCAGAAACTCCTCTGTCATCCTATGCCTTTCCAGCGTAAGCAGTGGCGAGCTTCATGATGGCGGCGAGGCGCACAGCAGCCTCCTTGCACGCGCCCTTTCCGTCACGAGTATGACATGCCTGAATGATGGCCGTCGCATCGCGATCATGGGGTGGCTGCGTTCGTTGTAGGAAGCGACGACAAAAGTGTAGTGAGCAGAAGCCCCAGTGTGCTCGGTGTGCGAAGGTTGGAGAGACATGCAGTTATGTGGTGCCGTTGAGATTCGGAGGTCGTCCTTTTTCTCAGTCTCGATTTGGCTCTTGTCTGTCGAAGACAGGCTCAGCGAGAGGAGCTCAGAAAATAGGTATGTTAACAAGAACTCCGTCAGAGGTCTATCACAGGGGAATTGGCATTGTCTGAAATGGAGAATTCCTCGTTCAAACCCAACTAGCCGGACAAAATCTGGAATCGATTTCTACCCAGAACCCATGTTGGAGCTCTTCTACTTGTACGAATACCTTCTCTAATCATCAGGTCGGTATCAAACGTGGATTTGCAGGATTGATGTTGATAAGTCGCCGTCAGACAATGCCACCTGACCTGTTACTTGGCTGTCCATCCCACCCAATACTGACTATGGTGGTAGCTACCTCCGATGGAGGTTTCGTCTACTCTTCGGCGCCCTCCAAAGTGATCGCACAAGAGCCTTCGCCAATCCCACAACACGAGCCGGCACTCGAAGTATCACTCTTTCAGCAGAATACTCCGTTGATGGTCCCGGCCCCAACTCAGAACCGGCCCCTGTACGAAATTTCGATTCCAGGCCACGTCGATGTCTTGTCCTTCATTCCCTCGAGCAACCGAATCCTCCTCCAATACTTCACGTGCAATGCCTCCAAGGCGCTAGCCTCTCACTCCTTGGTACATCAAGAGGTATGCGAATTGATACTGCCCATGGCTCTTGAAAACCAGGCACTCCTGTATGCAACTCTGGCGTTGGCGGCTATCCATCGGACTTCCTTAACGTCGACTATCGACAATGCTTTTGATGACAATGCAAGGGAGCTAGTCACTAGACTCACTGCCACGAGTATCTCATCCTTGCGCAAGGAACTCCAAGAACTTGATTCGAGCTCGTTGGGACCGAAGCTGGCCACTATCCGGACGCTGTTCCTGTGTGAAGCTATATCAGGCTCGCCAACTCTCAGGGCTTGGAGATCACACTTTCTCGGAGCAAAAGCCCTCCTCTCATCCTTTGACCGGCAAACCGGATCACCCAGCTTCCATGAAGACTCTTCACTTCGATTCTTGCGACGATGGTATAACATCACCGAGGCGCTTGTTGCACTCACGCCCGAAGGATTACCAGGAGGTCAGATCGAGTTCTTTGGGCCCCCGTCCCTTTCACCGAATCTCAGGAGCGACGAAATATGTATTGATGCATACACTGGTTGCGCAGAGGACCTCTCCATCGCCTTCCGAGAGATTGGAGCCGTGGCCTGGGAAAGGCGCCGTGCAAGTGAAGATCCTAATCGATTTCCGAGGCTCTCTGAGGAAGATTTCCACCGTGAAGCTGATCACCTTGAGCTGTCAGTCAGAAAGATGATTGAGCGAGATAGGACACGCACAAATACCATCAACATAGCCGGAGCCCCCACCATGTCGGTCCAAGAATTCAGGGAATTTCTTCTTTGTAACGAAGCCTACCAGCAAACTGCACTTATTCATGTCCATCGACGAATCCGGCGGCTGCCTTCCAACTCTACAACCGTCCAGGAATGCGTTGGCAGGATTATTGAATGTGTCAGCAGTATTCGGCCTGCTGCTACTTTGTCGCCGCTCACGTTACTTACTACACCTCTATTCATTGCTGGGTGTGAAGCGCAAGGCCCCGAACGTTCTAAAATTTCGTGGCTGTTGAGAGGCATGTACAGCCATCTACGCCTCCCGAACATGAAGCGCGCTCTGGAAGTGCTTGGAACCTTCTGGCATGAATCGGAAGATAGCGAAATCGATTGGGAGAGCTTTTCACGTACGGAATCTCCCCAGTCTACATGGGTATTTCCAGACACTGATGATGACATAGGTCAACGTGGCTGGGACTTTCTGCCATATTAGTCGCACCACGTCATGCGTACAGGCAACGGAGGGTTAAGGTAAAGACAGCTTCCAGATGGCCCGACCTGCCGTGGCATTCATGATTCGAGTCGCTTCCCCCGGGCTCTACATTTTCCGCAGAGTAACGTCTTTGGCCCTGGAGTCGCTGGGCAGCTCATCTGAAGCCAGCACTATTGGCTTCACCCAACTGGGTCCCAATATTGCAACCCAGTGGCACGCCCAGACCGATCACCGGCTCCAACCCCTGAGTTGTCCTCCTTTCACCTGTCAAGCCTTGCGTCAATAGATGTAGCGGAAAGCCCTTTTCTCTCTATCGGTGATATCCAGTGTGTCGTCATCGTCCACACGATGATCAATGTGTCCATACTTCTTGTCCTTTTTATGGTTCTCCAAACGACACACGATCTCATAAGCGATCAGACTTGCCATTGCTATCGCGGAGCCGGCAACGATGGCATTGTAGCCGGTTGGATAGCTGGGCGCCTCCGACGAACGGAAGAACTGTGGTGCAAGTATATCACCAACGCAGTAGGCCACCATCAAGATGCCGTTGAGCGTCACCGTCTTGGTATGGCCAGATGTGTTCGCCATGGCGAGGGAAAAGACTAAATGCCAGAATGCACAAACCTTGTTCTCGACGCCGGTCTTGTTGTCTCTCATCCTGTGCAAGAAGATATACCTTTCTTTGTCCGATAGAAACTTGGCTGAGACCGGGTTGTCGGGCATGGTGAAGAAGACCAGTATACCCCACAGGAAAGTGAAGCCACCAAGCGCGATGAAGAGGAGCTTCCATGAAGCAATGGCCGTGTTTGCGTTCCCAATACCGTATGAGATGAGCCCTGTAAACAACTAGAACAGACGACAGCCAGGACTCTTTGTTTCATAATGTCGAAGGGGATAACATCAACGACATACCGAAGCTGTCTGGGAATACCAGATAGCCATACGCATCGGCTGTTCCTTCTTTTTCCACCACATGGAACTGATGACGAGCATCGAGGGGACGATAAAAGCCTCCATCATGCCCATAAGAAAGCGGACCGCCAGGAGGGAGGATGCATTGTTGCACACAGCCAGTAAGGTACAAAGTGTAGCAAATAGGCAGGTAACGACGCGTAGCAGTTTGCCAACCGGTAGCTTGAGGATCATATACTCAGCAGGGAACTCTCCGACGAGGAACCCGACGTAGACCCGGCTGCAAATGGGTCAGCTAAGACATAGAACATGACGAGCTGTCCACCTACCCCAGCTATACTCCTGGCCCTTCAGACCGAGGTCCTTGGTCATTCCGTACAGGGCAGCGTTACTCAAAAGATTTTTCTGGAGTCTCGATCAGCAAAGGAGGATCGGACTTGGAATCCAGAAGTCCACTCACATCCAATGCAGCGACAGTCTGCGTGACCAACATGAGTGGAAGAAGCCTCCAGTCTATGTAGCGGAGGACACGCTTTTCCTCTTCTCTTGTATACACACCATGTTCCTCGCCATGAATAGCCAGGAACTCGCCGGCCACGTCGAGCTCCTTCTTGTCGACGGAAATGGCCAAGGTGTGACTTTCGAGGATAGAAGGCTCCTGCACCTTCTGCGATGTCTCTTTGGCATCGTGGACCTTGTTTTCTTCAACAGAATCCATATCAAAGGGGTTGATGGAAGTAGAGAGCGCTAGAGCTGTCTTGAAGACTTTTTTTCTCTCTGTGTACGTCAAATCCACAACTGCACAGTGGTTGAGCCGTGAAGGAGGCCATCGATCGTGGACATCGAACCCTAACCCTGATCAGTGGGACGTCTCGCCATTCACCTTGCCTTGGCTATTCAACTTCAACTTCTCCAGATCCTTTGCCTGGCGCCTTTCTAACCTTTCTCGTCGATATTTGGCAGCGGGATGATCTTCCATCACTTGACGCTGTCCAGGTTTTGCATGGACGTTCTCTCTAAGAGTGCCACCGGGCACAGGATAATCTTTCCAGTACAATCCTCGTCCTTGTAGAACAGGGATGAGAAGCTCGACAACGTCTTGGATCGTGCCGGGGGAAGAGGACGCTGTTCATGTTAGTGGACTACGCAGGACTACCACCCGGTCCACATACCGTATAAGTTAAATCCTGTCCCCAGTCAGCACGGAGCAAGTACAGCAGGGATGGTAGACTTACCGTCGATGCCGCTTTCAGCAGCCCACTTCTCCATGAAGTCGGCCACCATTTCCGGCGTTCCCACCACCTGGGGATACATACCGCCACAAGACATCAATTCGCCCAACTTCCTCGGCGTCCATTTCGCGTTTGTGCCATCCCCCACCCGGAAACTTTTGAGGATGCCTCCTACGGCGTTTGCCGCAGGTTTTGAGACGTCATGTTCAAACGGCTCATCAAGAGGAAACTGACTCAAATCAATGCTGGTGTATCCTCCGAATCTGGAAAGTCCAGCACGCGCACCCGCATGTTTCCATGCCCTGTCGTATTTGGCCTGAGCCTCCTCCATCGTCCGCCCAATGAATGGCGAGATGCCGGCAAAAGCTTTGATGTCCTTCGGGCTCCTGCCTGATGCAGCCGCTGAAGCACAGATAGACTGCACGTACTTGTTGGTGGTTTCGGGTGCAATACTACCACAGTAAAGACCTTCCGCATGAGCACCAGCTAATGCGATTCCCGCCTTGGAAGCACCGGCTTGGAATATGAGCGGCACACGCTGAGGTGAGGGATGGGTCTGCTGGATGGCATGGAGTCTATGGAATTTACCCTCAAAATCAATCTTGTGGATCCTTTCCGGATCGTAAGCTGTATCCCTCTCAACGTCCCATACTTGGGCATCGTCATCCCAGCTGCCTTCCCAGAGGCTACAGACTGATCAGCCTGATTGAATTCCTCTGACTCTATTGGAACCACACCTACCGGTAGACGAGATCCGCGAATTCTTCGGCTTTTTCATATCGTTGGTCATGGGGCATGATGCTGTCAAAGCCCATGGCTCGAGCTGACGAGTTCGTATAGCCCGTCACTATGTTCCAACCGACGCGGCCATTGGTAATGTGATCCAAGATGGAGAATGTTCGTGCCATTATAAACGGAGTAAGGGCAACGACATTTGCAGTAATTGCGAAGCCCAAACTCTTGGTCACGGCGGCCATCGCAGAGATCAGAACAACAGGATCCAGCTGTGCAACTTGGCTACCACCTTGGCAAGGGGCATCTGTGTTTCCGGCGTACACATCGTTGGCCCCGTAAGAGTCGGCGAAAAATATCGAGGTCATCTTTCTCTTCTCTGCCAACTTGGCCAACTCGATGTAGTAATCAAGTCGGTCCTTGGCCCGGCAGCCATCATCAGGGCCGTTCCTACAACAGAGCGGTCAAGTCAGCCGGTCCGTCGCGGGAGAGGCAGTGTGTATAGCCATACTTTCCATTGTCCCATAAAATGGTTGCCACCCGTGGCAGCGGTTTCCAGGATGTTCAATTGAAAGGGTTTCTTGGTTGCCATTGTTGACTTAACACCGGTGTGTCCTGCGCAAAGCATATGAATGCAGTTTGTTGAGCATCTGGCGCCCCGACCAGATTCTTATATGGGGCTCCATGGTAGCGTAGTCTGTTTGAGTGTTCTGTCATTGAGATCCAACGGACCCCAGCCAGCACTGAGCGCCCGGTAGAGCCTTTGCGGTGCATGACAGAGTGTTTGACGGGAAAGATGATCCGACAAAGTCGGGAGAGGCCATCCACAGGAGCCAAGCCGGATAGGAGCTGGATGGGAGGATGTCGTTGCTGGCCGATACTATGTTAGTTACGCATCACTTCGGGCCTGGCGTTCCAGGCTCTTATCAGCAAGCAATTTGTCAGTCCATCCACATCCCGCCTCTTCTCGACATTCTCCCTCGAGGCCGAAGCGGAGGGGGCCCAACGCAAAATCATTACGTTGTCCATTGAAACAATGCTTGACGAGTCTCCTGAGTCGCCACAACAAAAGCGGCCGAGGGTCGCGGTCGCGTGCCAAAGATGCAAGATTCGCAAACAAAGGGTGATGGACCCATCTGATGATGAAAAGTAACTTCAAGTTCCTGACAAGCTTTCTAGTGCGATGGCCGCCGCCCAGCCTGCTCTGCATGTCAACAGACGGCCGGCCAGTGCCTGTACATACAGTCCGTTGCACCTAGGGCGGCTGAAATGAGATCGTATGTCAAAGCTCTCGAAGAACGAGTCGCAGAGTTAGAGACCAGCCTGTACTCCGGGGGCCAGGTGGAAGCCTCGAACGACCACTGGAAGGCCGGGGAACCACAGCCAGCGGTCGATTACTGGGATCGTGAATCAGAAGACATAGCCGTCGACTCTCTGTCGGCTGCAGTACGGGATTTGTCCCTGAATGCATGCGGGTTCTATGTAGGCGGCAGATCCAACTTCACACTCGGACGCCTGCTTGCATCCGTCCTTCACGACTATCCACGCAAAGTCGGCAGCTTTCCGCCAGACTTGAGAGAGAACTTCGTAACTGACGATTCCATCCACCATTCCGGCAACCCCAGCGACAGTGGCGACGGTCGCAATAAGTCCGACGCGCTCTTCGGCAGGTCTGGTGCAGATGAGGTGTTCGGAGCGTACATGAAATACATCGCAGTCCGATATCCCATTTTACCTTCTATCCTCCTGAGCCGTCTGCATCAGAATCGACAGAAGCTCGAAAACCCTTTTGACATCTCTGTGCTTCACCTGGTTTACGCCATTGGCGAGAGATCACTCGAGCTGGCTGGGCAATCCCACTGTGCTTCCCTCCCTGAAGAGCACTACGAAGCGGCCATGAGTCGGAGAGAAGTTATTATGCAATACGCCGATCGCAGGTCAATAGCCTACCTAGCACTGGCTTCAATATACTGCCTGCGTGCGCCACGAACCCCGGGACCATGGTGAGTATTGGCCCTGCTAGGTTCGGTCAAGACTGACTTATGTTGAAGGATCATAATAGGGCATGCGATGAAGATGTGCATCTCCTTGGGACTCCATAAGAAATCCAACAAGGGCATTATAAGCTACCACCACGAGTTGGATCAGCGCCTGTTCTGGAGCTGCTATTGTCTGGATGTGGATGCAACCATTGCATCGGGGAGCCCACCTTCCATTACCAATCGAGACATTGATGCCGCCGTAGGTCCTTTAACAATTTTCCAAGGCGTGACTTTGGTACTGACCGTGACATATCAGCTTCCGTTGGATGTGGACGAAGCCAACACTTCTTTTCAAGCGCTTCACGCTGCAGCAGTGTGCCAGCAATCTAATGCCCCGACACGAACACCGACAACGTTGACATGGTCCATCCTCGAGATCAAGATGAAGAGAATCATTGCATCTATCCAACACGAGATCTATCGCGTCGACACTGACGTGAGCCCGTCTCGCGAACTGATCAATGACTTATTGGAAGCTCTTGAAAAATGGAAAGCCGAAGCAACTTCGCAGTCAAGCGCGGCTACGCAAAACCAATCCTTGGGCGGGTGGCTGATCGGTCCCAACGCCCGCTTAGTACTAAATCATTTACATGTCAGAGATTGCGTCCTGCCGCTTACGCACGGTGTACTAATCCGAGGGACCTCTTTTAGAACATCCAGTATTGTGCGGGCGTCCGCCTCCTTCTCTTCCCTCAACTGGCCGAAGCGACCGTCTACCGACCCTATATAGAGCGCTGCGCCACCGCCTGCATCTCAATAATTTCATCTTGTAAGGCCATCCATGCGACTTCCGTGCCGTGCTGCTACTCTCCAGCAGACATCCAGTGCTTGTTTCTCTCCGGGCTGACTCTGATATACTGTCTGAGTCTCGCGCCGGGGATCAAACCCAGAAGCATCGTTCAAAATGCCCTCATGGACTGCACCATCATCTTATACGTCATGTCAGAGCGCTGGCACGAGGGAAAGAGATATTGGGATGCTTTTGAGCACATCAAGACCGTCACAGATGACATGATGTCCCACAACGAACCGACCAGCCGAGGCGATGGTCCAGTCGTGCGAACAGAAAGGCATTCGAACGCCGACACCTCGGTGCAGAAGCCGGAAACTGCTGCTCAGAGCTTCAGCGGCATGCTGAATGACATTATAGCATGTCCAGATGGGACAGGGAACGAGCATGCTTTTGGAAGGGTGCTCAACTACGAGCCATCGACCAACGCCTGTCAGGCTGACGACATTTACGATTTTGACATGATCCAGCGAGTTGACGCGCCCGTTTTCGCTCCCGATTCCATGGCCGAAACAGGCACGTCCCGTCCGAATCGGCCGCTATTCGCCTTCCAACAGGAGCTGTCGGCATTCCAATCTGATCCATTTGGTACTGCTGAAGGTTTTGATCCGGAATTGCCCGTTGAAGCAGATTCCGAATGGTTCTATTCATCATCACACTGACCTTACTAGAGCAAATGCAGCCTTCTACTGGCAGGGCAGTATTGGAAGCAAAAACCAGATCGTCTTGACGGAGTGGGAAATTCTGCACCTGTCCACCAGTCACGATAAACGCCCTCATCCTATTATCTGTCACCAACAAAATGATTCAGGTAGCGTGTGTCGAATGGCATCAATCATAACAGCACGGAGGGAGGCGGTGGTTGCTGTCTGTTTAAGCTCATACGTCTTGAGACGCCGAGGAGCGACAGTATACTCATTCCGCGACATCCTGCATGAGCAGGAAATAAGCGCTTCCTCCTTGCTCACATAACGAGATCGTCAAACAGGTGTTGCCCATTGACAGGTCTATGCCTAAGGAGGAAAGTCAGGGAGATGCGATCTTAAACCAGCAACGCCTGTACGTTGATTTGCAGGAGTGGCATCCACCTAATCCCAAGCCAGATGCCGAGTGGGACTTTGGTTGGACCATCACAGACCCCTTTGGATAGCGGTCCTAGGCCCAACGGAGAAGGGCGAGGAGATGACTGAGATAACGACCGACAACTGTATCCACTTTCGAACATTTCCTCTACAGATCATCCAGACGCATTTCGGGGGGCTTCTGCTTGTCAGAGAGATAGTCGCTTGGTATCGCCTCATCTTCCTTCATCCAGACCTTTTTTGTACGTCGACAGCCGGATATGTCACAGTCTGACCGAGTAGACCGAGTAGACCGAGTCACCAACGTTCTGTCGCCTTGACCTTTCTCCCCCAACGTCCCGCATAGGAGACGGAACAGGACGGTCTTTTCGCTGGCCATATATAGACCCCAGTCTAAATCACTGAGCTTGCATGGACAGCAGGGCAAAGGCGTCTTACTGCTACTCGAAGACTATCACCGGTTCATGCTTTACGATTCGGACTGATCGTCCCTAACAACCAACCATGCTTATCGCTACTTCAGTATGGATATTGCCATACCTCATCCTAGTCGTCGTCCTAGTCAAAGCGGTTTCGCGACTGCGTTCAACAGTGGCCAAATTACCCGGACCAAAATATACGGCCCTGACTTCTCTCGTCCTCAAGTATAAAGAGTTCACGCATGAACGACGGATATACATCCACAAGTTACACCAGAGATATGGGCCTGTGGTACGCCTTGCTCCGAACGAAATCTCCTTCGCCACCGTCGACGCCATCAAGGAGATTTACATGTCTGGAGGGAGCGGGTATGACAAGACGCCATTCTACTCTCTTTTCACCCAGTTCAAGACGCGGACTTTGTTCTCAACGCTTCCAAGAGGTGATGTATGTTTCATTTGGCACGGTCTGCATGGATTGGACCACTGATAATCGTACTAGCACAGCTACATGAAGCGGTACCTGGCAGATCGATATGCGAACACCAACATCATGAAGCCCGAAATCTTGGATGGCATTTCTGACCATGCCAGAGACTTTTTGAATCAGTGCATGCAAGGATGCTCTTCCGCCCAGGGGTATGCTGATATCTACGTGGGTACTCTTGCACAAGAAAAGCGCGGCTCAGCTTCGATTGACACTGACCTAGGTGCATCTTCACTGTTTTGCCCTTGACGGTGTAACACTCCAGCTCTTCCATCCGTACGGCACACACGCCAACAGAACCGAGAAGGATTATCGCTTGATGAAGGAGCTGTCCTATCACGATAGCCTCAAAAGTACAATTCTCTCTACCACTATTCGGACTTTCTCCTAATTGGAATCCTAGGCAACTTGGCTCTCTACTACATGCCGTGGGCGGCAGATATCATCCACTACTTTAGCCCACCTAAACCAGCACCACTGTCCAACGAATATGTCCTGAGAACAAGCGAAGCCCCAAGCCCTTCGCCTTTCAGCCTTCTCTCGAAACTCCAGGCTCAAGCCAAAGCCACCAATATGCCACAGTACTCAGTGCCTGCGGAATGCAAAGACCACCTGGCTGCCGGAGTGGATACCACAGGCGACGCCCTCTGCTTCCTGATGCATCAACTGTCCTTGCCAAATCCTGAATCTCGGCGGATTCAAGCACTTTTGCACAAAGAGCTGGCCGACAATGCCGCAACTCCCTTCGATCAATTACCATACTTAGACGCCGTCGTCAAAGAAGGCCTTCGCTGCTTCCCGCCCATTCCCATGTCGATGCCTCGATTTGTTCCGCAAGGGGGCAGCACCATCGACGGTTACTTCATCCCAGGCGGCACTGTTGTAAGCTGTCAACCTTACACGATTCACAAGGATCCCAATGTGTTCCCTCAGCCGCTGGAATTCCAGCCTGAACGCTGGCTGGATAGAGATGCTCAAGCTCTCGCAGAGAGGAACAGGTGGTTCTTCGCGTTCGGAGTGGGCGGGAGAGGGTGCTTAGGAAGGCAGTAAGTCAATTCTGCTTTTGTTTTTGCTAGCTCTGCAGCCAAGTTAGTTGTAGCTGACATCTGATCTAGCCTTGCGATCGCAGAGATGAAGATCCTCCTTCGGGAGGTCTACTCGCAGTGCCGCACCACGATATCAAGTCAGATGGACAGCGATATGGAGATGGAGGACCAAATCATCGCGAGTCGGCCTAAGGGACAGTGTTGCAAGCTGGTGTTTGAGAAGCTGTCGTGAGGAGGTCCGGAGGGTTGGAGGGGTTATTCCGACTGGAGGAAGGCAGGGAGGCAGGGTAGTTGCCCGCGCTAGAGCTTGCGGGGCACATCGAACGTCGAATCAATACAGATCGAGGTTCTCCCCAAGGTTCTTCTTTGGGAGTGTTGGGTATATGCACGGTCATGCCCTCAATGAGGCGAAGGCGCTTCGGCAGACGGCCTTCCACTCTTGCTCGGATATTTTCTTCGATGTAGGCCGCAATTCTGGCCTTCTGCTGTGTCTCGGTCAAAGTCGTCCGTCCTGAAGTATGTCGAAGGGCCCGTGAGCCACCACCGTCAGGTGCATACATCCAGGCCCCGATCTTTTTCCATGCCTGGATAGCTTCTTCATTTGAGGAAGCCTTGCCGATGGCATCCGAATATTTGGTCCCAATGGCGTCTTCGAGGAAATCACCTCGCCGAAGCTGCGGATTCCCCTCAAATATTTCACGATACCGCTCAGCAGTTGCAATATGAGGTCGGTCGTAAAAATGAAGGCATGCGACTAGGTCTGAATCGAGTTGTCGTCCATGTCTAATGGTCCGGGCAGCGTCGAGCACGGCACGGAAGCGTTGATTCGTATTTCCCCTGACGTGCTCGTATCGTTTTGAATGCCTGGCCACGAAAGTGATGTACGCAACATCCGACTGCTCGTCGTGTAATATCCGCAGCAGATGCTGAAAGGGGGGTACAATCTCGAATACCCAGTCATGCTGAAGAACCATGAGAAAGGGCGTGGTGCAGTACTTGAGCGCTGTCTTGACACTGAGCGCAAATCCTTGACACCGTTGATGCTGGACGAATGTTACTGAACGTCCGGCATGTTGGACGTGGGTGACAAGAGCGTCTGTTTTGGCGTCCTGTAGTGATGACGGCCTCTCTGCGGGCGGAAAGAGTTGTTTGACATTATCGACATATTCTGGATATAGCTCTGCCATGCGCAAGGGAATTTGACCTCGTTTCAGTCGCCCATCGAGATAGTTGTCGTTTTGGCATATTGTGAAGCCGTCGAAAGTGATGACCAACGCCGCGGAGGAGAGAGCAGGAGGTAGAGATCCGAGAACGCCGCATATTAACTCGGTCGATGGTATTGAAGGCGTTGGAGAGGTTGTCAGGATAATCGTGAGGTTGTTCTCGATCGAATCGGACATGCTAAAGCTGCATTGCTGCCCGACTGATGCGAGATGTTTCGAGTCGGTTTTCCGCAAGATATAAAAAAAGAAAACATTTAGAAAGATGTCGTCAGACAAAAGTCATGTTCATAATTTTCGCCAGCGACCATACATCTTTACTCGTCAGACGAAACAGTAGGCTTGGCGGGCGGTATCTTCTACGAGTGGAAGCGTGTGGGCTTCGTGGGTACCTTCACATACAACGACACAGCACAATCGGCAAAGGCAGACTTGACCAAGTGGCAACCGATTGGGATTCTGCTTCAAGACTATGCAGGGCAAGCATCATTGGCTCGAAGGGTTATCAAAAGAAAGCTGGAAATGGAGGAGACTGGATTGGACCGATGATGGACCATTTCCCGACTTATTCCCGACTTATGGAATAAGTGAGTAGCAACGCCCATGATATCTCGAAGTTATCGTGAACATATACCAGCTCGTGCCAACCCGCCCCTCCTCAAGCCCCCTCCCGACCTGACCATTATTCTGCGTATCCTCAAATTCTTCCGCCCAAAGGCTGGCATCGCTTGCAACTCTTTGGAAAAGTCCCGGTGTTTGACGTCAACCCCGACAACATGGCGGCTTCGACGCCGAGATATTGCGGTACATTTCGTTAAGCTCCTTCAATCCTTCATATACCATATAGAAGGTCATACGTTGGAAGCAGCAGTTGACATGATGGTCCTTTTTGCATGACGCAGCGCATGCACATCCGGGGCCGTTACACACACAAGGACAACCATCCATGATGGACACCTCCTGGCCCGACTGCATGAAGTAGGCTTGGCAATCTCCTTTCATGTACCAGGAGAGTTGTTCCAACTGGAAGACAAAGTCGGGTTTCAGGGGGCAGATGGTGTCGTTGCTGCCCTGGAGCGGCAACGGATATGGAAAGTTGGGGATCAAAGGTCCTTGGTCGCCGGTTGAGGCTTGTGGGCAGGCACTCGAGGACACTGGGATGACCGTTGCAGCCAATGCGAGGAGGAGTGGTAAGAAGAGAAAGGGTCGGTATGAACGGAAGGACATTGTGCTTTGCCTGCTTAATGCGATCAAATTGATTCCGCGAGATAGAAGAAGTGGTCTTGCTCGAGTTGGTGGGGACAACAGTGTGTGGGCATCGCGAGGTTCTTGTTCTCAACTGTGGGCGGGGGTCTAGCGAGCTCCCTTCCTCCGAGAACCTCGTAACAGACCATGGCGTCGGACCCTCGTGCTGGAATTTGCATCCTCAACGGTTCCTTCGTGGAGGAGATAGCAGAGTCCGAGGTAGTGGACGTCAGGATGCCTGAGCGATGACGGCTTCTCGTGAAATCCGAAGTGGCAAAGGTGAAAGCATGAGCCTTGCATAAGGAGGCAGAATATTGTCATGGTTCGAGACCTTTCAGAAGTCAAATCCTACCTGTCGTGCCCTCAAAATGAGCTCGATAGGGTAACAAGTGAACCGGTGAGGACGTAAGCGAAGTTCGCATGAGTACCCTGCTCTTCTCCTGCATGGAACCCACCTGGACTTGCCAGAGCTAAACTGTAACAATCGTGCACTACTGCCGGACGTGATGCAAAGATTCTCAACTTTCGAAAGCTTTGGACCACCCGCTGCAGACTCGGTAGCGCTAATAGCTGCTCTCTGGAGGTGGAGATTTGAACGAGAGATAGCACGCCCCCTCGGCAGGGCAGTTGATCCACAAGGTTGGGTCGTTCGTACCCCAGGAACTGGGCGGCAACAACAAAGAAGGCGGCACTTAGCGGCGCCTCGGCCCATTTCCACAAAACATGAACAAAGATAAAGATATAACATGCAGTGCTTCAGAAGACTTGTGTTCGCGTGTGGTTGGCAAGGGTTCGAAAGCCTGAATGACGCATTCTTGTCAGCCGGCTCGTGTCACAAGCATTGGCAGAAGCTGGGCACAAGCATCCTGTTGGCTGGTCTGCGGCCATCTGTACACTGCGAAGCTAGATGGGCAGACCTGGGATCTTCATGATGTCCCCGTTGGCTTCTGATATTCCTTTGGCGGAAGGCACCCAGCAGGAACTTTTGTAGCGGGCTTGGTACTCCAGGCCACAACTCGACCGTGACTCAAGACAAAAAGCCAAGTTTGTGAGAAGGAAAGAGGTTGACTTTCGGTATAGGTAGCCGGACCGAGTGCCAGAACCGGGAAGTAATCGACAAATGGTCAGTTTGTACCCCTACAGCCCGGTCCGAGCTGCAGCTGGTAACTGTGTGATACGCGCAAACGAATGTACAGTGCCGTTGTTAGTGAAAGCAACTAGTGAGTGCTCGACCCTCACATCCTTCTCCTCTGGAAGCCTGTCGCCTTCTTCGTCCGATGATGCAGCCCAATGCACAAGTCCCCATATGCTCAGCCTGTTGACGGCATCCCTGAGGTCGATCTCAGAGGACGTTCGTACTGCGATCATGGCAAGGGCAACACCGAGACAAATATAGACCGTGGAAAAGAGAAGCATGAACACCAATGCTGGAATCCAGACTTTGACAACCAACACAGGGGTCCGGACCTGTTGAAGCATGTTCGCTCTCTCAGAGGTGTACCCTCCAATGGCCGCCATAACTGCATACGAGTAAAGGTGCGCCCAGGTACTAGCGAAGCGTTTACTGGACGGCTCCATGGCAGCTTGGTCGAGGATGGATTGTAGAGCTGGACTTTCGCTGGACACCGCATTCGGTATATGAAGGCCGTGCCACATCTCAGATATGTTTCCATTTTGGAAAGGGGTCGCTGTGTAGTCCTTCACCGTGCCCATGAACCAGGTGTATTCGACCTCAACGACTTGGTAGCTGCAGCCCAGGACGACGTCAAACACTTCGGAGGCCGGGTCGTAGAAGCCGGGGTCATTCGAGAGATTGGTCCCCGCAAGAGTCGCCGTGGATGCAGACCTGGCCGCGACGGCCACATGCACCTGGTTGATCAATTCGTTATCGGGCCAAGCAGGTATGTCTGGGTCTGATTGTCCACTTTGGGGGTTATAGCCGACGGGATTATATGGTGTAGTCCAGCTATCATCTGTGAAGAAAGAGATGCTATCAAGTGGTCAGCTGCAAGATCGTTGTTCGTGGTAAGAGTGTGAGCTCACATCATATTCGACGCAAACTTGAAAGCCAACGGTGGTACGTCGGGATCAAAACTGTCATTGGCAGGCTTTCCCAATACACCCCATAAATTCTCAGAGCAGTAGAAGCCAGAGTACATATCATCGGGGCCCCCAGGACCCGAAGTTGCATCGGGGAGTGATGGGTTCACAACTTGTCGTAACACCAATTGTCGATGCGCGGTAATCAGTGTCTGACGGAAGATTCTGGGGCTTCGGAGTCAGCACAACAACGTCGCTCTGCTCTGCTCCTTTGCCTGGCAGCGAAAGGAGGTTTGAAGTATCGGATTTATTGTGATATAGCCTAAGAGCATCGTTGCGCGGTCCAGAGATATCTTCAAGAGAAGCTGTGATGTTGACAGTGCACGGTAGACCATAATTCTCCCGTCGATCGAAATCCTGGCATTCTGGGGAGAGTCCGCGTCCAAAACTCGCCATGCGATCAGCGAGCTTCGTGCGGCAATATTCTATAGTCTCCGTCGTATAATGCAACGTAGCATCAGCAACGAGCATAGCTAGGGCAAGGGCAAATAGCAGGTAGCTGAACATGGCTGCTTGGAGGAGAGCTGGGGGGCCTTGCGCCGGACCCGGTCCTTGTCTGCGAAAGAGATGGTACGAGGTCCACCTTCGCAGGCGATCGAATGAAGCCGTGCAAACTCCAATGAGGAGTCCCAGTTGATAGGGGGTGGGTAGATCAACGGTCGACGTTTTCGAGGATGCTTCAATGAGAGAGCGAGCAGTTCTCCATCGCCATAACTCCATAAGTGGCCCGGAGAGGAGAGCTGCACACTGCGATGCCCGAGACGCAACGAACGCCAACCAAGCTGTGGTGCATCAGCGACCTAGAAGGAGGCAATGACTGATTGAGGAGACTCACTTGTCTGGATGGCGAGCAGAATGTGCCCTGGCTGGGAGGCGCTGTTCCATCCTGGCGGCTCGGAGAAGAGCCCCTTCTCTGGCCTGACTTTGAATATTGCGACGAATCCGGTAAGAACAATAGCGATCAGCAACAATGGCACCAGGATAAGGAGCAAAGCGAGCCAAATCTCTTTCAAAATGTCAAGTCTGCGACATGTTCGTCCAGCCAGCGTTTCTTGAGAGCCATTGTGGTCTTCCGAAGGCACATAGGGATTCTCAATCACCGGGCTTCGCCCTGGTTCCATCTGCGGAGACGATGTGCCAGAGCTGCTGGTAATGGCATGTGCGGATGTGGCCACTCTTTCAGGGAGTTGAGCCAGGTTGGATTGAGCACTTGCAATGCCGTAGTCAGCCAAATCAATGTCGTCCAGCATACTACCCGTGGGTGAGCGCGGCACATCAGGTACGAGCAGATTACTGTCAGTCTCCTCACCGCGCAGGTTGCTCACAGAATTGACCCGCCTCAGTGTGCGCAGGGCATTATTTGAAGCGTACATTCTCCCCTGGAAATCTTTCTCGCCTGGCAATATCGACTCAGACGTGGTATATCGTAGAACGTGATTGAAGGTTGAAGAATAAATCAATGCATTGACTCATGCTTGCCTCCTCTTATGCTAAGATGTGTCGACCCCAGGAAACTGCTTGGGACGTGTAAGGCAGTGGAGACGTAGGCAGCGTAAAGGCCACTGTCACAGGTCTCCATTTCCCTCCGGTTCCTTCTCATGCTAGACGACCAGATATCGTGTTCGTAAAGCTTCAGCGATCCGAAAAGGCCAGCTTAGACCCCTGTTCCAATCCATGAAGTTGAAGCACGGTCCCGCCAGTCCGATTCGTCAACCAAAAAATGAACTTTCCACAGGCTGAAGTTCGTCAGAAGCCATTACAGTAGTAGATATTCTGCATCCAATTAGTTCCAGAAATGGTATGCGCGGGAGACCAGAGCCAAGAAGAGGCGCATCTCATGCCACTGCGCCGTTCTGGCGAATACGATCATGGGGCACAAGCGTCTTCGCCGGCGCAAAAGTACCCTGCGGCCACCTGCGCAGCTTCCAAATGTCTCTAGTAAGCCTACGCCGAGGCGACAAAGGTTGAGTAGCGACGCCTGTTGCCTGATCTCGTAGTGAACAGTTGTTGCTAGCTGTGGAGGTGCTCTTCGCTGCTATCAGCCATGATGTCACCTGTGCGAGGACGACATTTTGACTCGCATTGAGAGCGAGGAGGCTTCTGTCAGAAGATACTAGAGAAACAGAGAGAGGAACAGCGAGGTGTCAAGGTCTTGGACTGGATGGCCATGCTCTCGGTTGAACCCAGGTTTCGAGGATTTTCTGACTATGACGTTGAGGTATGCTGGTGGCCTGGCGTGCCTGGGTATTTTTGGTAGCCCATGTGCCCATGCTTCATGTGCTTGGCGCAGCAGCGTAGAACTGACAGTTGGTAACATCTGAACTGTTGCTCCTTAATTCAAGTCGACAGCCTCCGCAGCTCGGAATCCGAGGGGCCTATTGACGAGCAGGATTGAGGCATTGAACCTCTCAATACCAGGAAGATGTGACTTAACCTTCTGAGCAAGAGAGATGGTAGTGCCAGCATGGATGGATTCGGCGAGAAAAGCTAGATACTGTGTTACAGCAACAAATATCCAGGATGAAAAGGTCCGACTTTTCGGACAAGAAAACGATACCCACAACAACCTCGCCATCCGCACCGGACGACACTTGACCTGGGAGCCCAAAGAGGCGCTCATCAGAGTTCCGTTTTGCCCTGAATCTTCTCCTCAGCATCTGCCTCCGGACTCTGGCTTTGCAGGACTGTCTCTAGATCCGCCTCGAACTTCGCCAACATTTCCTTCCAAACATCCGACTTGTCCAGCGCCCTCTCCAACTTCTTCCACGACTCATCAGTCTGCCCGCTTGTGTCAACAGTCACAATTTGCTTCCCAGCCCTCATGAAATGCTCCAACACCGCTGAATTCTCCTTCTCGAACTCTGCATGCCTCCTCTCAAAGATTGTCTGTGTATCATTCGCTCGACCGACACGAGAGAGAACCCTCCGGCATGCCTCGTCCTTGGGACAGTTGAGGAAAAGGACAATCGCTGGATCGGCTTGTTCGAAGTTGGGAATCTGTGACTTTCGTCCTGGAAATCCGTCAATAAGCACAGCTGCTGACTTGTTCCAGCTGGCATATGGTTGGATCTTTTCTTCGAAGATATTCTTCATGATCTCATCTGGTACAAGCTCGCCTGCTTCGACATATCTCCTGACAATGTTGCCGAGCCCTGAATTCGCTTGTACTTCTTCTCGGAGCCAGTCGCCAATAGAGATGTGTCTGAAGTGGTACTTGCTTGCCAGTCTGCTGCATTGCGTCCCTTTTCCGGAACCCGGTGCTCCTGAAGACTGTCAGCGCCTGCTCAAGCTGTTTAGTGACGAGCCTACCTAGGACATAGATGATAAAGGGGGATCTTCGATCCGCTGGAAGCAACGGAAGGCTCTCGACAATCTGGTCAGTCATCTCGCCAGCTGTGAGGATGCTATGGGTGGGACAGTTCTGAGGATGCACATCTAGATGGTGATTGAGCTAAACCATGCTTTTTATGAACAAGAAGCTTGCTTCCAATCAACGGAATAATGAGAACGATATGGAAAATCCAAACAGGGGAAGCAACACAACGGTGAGTTCAATTCCTTCGATTTGCCTTGTTTGACTGTTTGCTGGTGCTCGCCAGGTTAGGGAGCCGCCACCAGACAAAGCGTTTTATCATCTAGTGCCTCCAGAACTCAAAGGATACCAGAGAAGCCAGAGTTTGCAGATGTTCAATATGACCCTACGCAGCAAACAGCATGTTTGTGCCTGCTTGCTCGTCACAAACGTTCTCTCAAGTTCAGAATCCCTCCAAATGCCGCTGCTGGAGTGCTGAAAAAAGGTGTCCTTCCTCCTGATCTTATCCGTTCTCATGCCACCTGAGATTTGCACACTTACAGGATAATACGTACGGACTCGTCTGCTCATCGCCAACCATGTTGCTCGACAATCTCTACATTCTCTTCTTCCTCTTTTCTTTTGCCTTCATCAAATGGCTCCAGCACCTCCTCCACCGTAAGATGCACCCGAAGATCATTCCGCTCTCTGTCAACTACCATTTCACTCGCAAATGCAACTGTAAGTCACATACTGCTAACAACACAACCTCCTTCCTGACCAACTCCATCAACACCAAGACGGACTGCTGACCATGTATAGATGAATGCGGCTTCTGCTTTCACACCGACACAAACAGCTACATTGCTCCCCTGCCAGATACCAAAGCTGCCCTTTCCCTCCTCGCCCTGGCTGGCATGAAGAAAACCAACTTCGCCGGCGGTGAGCCATTCCTGTACGCCCACCATCTTGGCGAATTGGTCGACTACTGCAAAGACATTTTGCACCTGGACTCCGTGTCCATCGTGTCCAACGGTTCGCACATCCGCGAAGACTGGCTCAAGCAGCACGCTCATAACCTCGACATACTAGCTGTATCGTGCGACAGCTTCGACGAGCGCACCAACATCGCCATCGGGCGCGGGAAGGGCACGCACATCGCTCAGCTATACCGGATCGCCAACTGGTGTAGGACATACGGTGCGCTGTTCAAGCTCAACTCTGTGATCAATCGATACAACTGGCAGGAAGACATGAACAGCCACATCGCCAAGTTGGACCCATATCGGTGGAAGTGCTTCCAGGTCCTGCTTGTCGAAGGGGAGAATGATTCGGAACAGACGAAGCGTGACGCGCGGAAATTCACCATCCTCGATGAAGAATTTGAGCATTTCTGCAGCAAGCACAGAGACAACCCGTGCTTCGTCCCAGAGAGCAACAAGCTCATGGCGAAGAGCTATCTGATTCTTGATGAGCATTTGAGGTTCCTTGATCGCTCGGGCAAGGCGCCAAGTGGGAGCATCATGGAAGTGGGTGTGGAAAAGGCATTGAGTAGTGTGTTCTGGGACATGGATGGGTTCAAGGAGCGAGGTGGGATTTATGCTTGGAACCAAGATCAGATTGAGAAGAGCAAGGAAGAAGCTGAGGGGCAGAATTTGGCTGCCACGAAGCGATTTGGTCTTGCTGTTGGCGATACCTGTGGAGGCTCTCAGAGTGGTGAAGCTGTCGACATGGAGGATATCGGATCCAAGAAGACATTGTGAAAAGTGATCTCGCTGAGCCTCAGGCGCACAAAGCTGGTGATGTACCAGGGGTATATGGAAAAACAATGGCGATGTGCTTGATGTACCTTTCTGATGCGTGCGTGGACTGTCATACCAAACGGTTACTGGCTATCGATGGCACTCGTCTGCAATGATGGAGACTTTTTCCTTCCTGTAGCAACCAAATCAGTTCTCGAAGAACGGAATGCTCGCCCTGTGCTCTCGATTTGGCTGGAAAATGATCGCCTTCTTATATGGCTTCAACCCGCAGCACAAGCATCTGGACAATCCAGATCCCAACACTGACGCGCTTCGTCTTGAATCACGATTTTAAGAGTCATAATGGCAAAGGACCGAAAGTGGAAAGCCAGATCAATGTGATAGATCTCGCTAGAGCATACATTGCCCTCCTCCATCATATGGAGTCATCGCAGCCGCAGACATTCCGGACAACCCACAACACTTTTGCGAGAACGGACACGACAGCTCGTCGAAGTCTGTGCCCGGAATGATCGGAAGGCGCTTGAACAAGGCGGACAAGATGGCTGAGCCGAATACCAAGACAAATGCGGAATCTGTATGGGATCTATTTGGGTCGAACACGGCTGCAGTGGTCGGGTTGAACTCGCGGAACTGAGCGGTCAGGCAGAGGGGCCAGGCTGAGAAGCTCGCGAGCGTAGCATGGCCGACGGCTATGAAACATTCGAGGAGTTCGGCCGTCCGTGGACAATGGTAGTCAGTCGAGCAACGGGATCTCCATGACAGTAATGCAGGTGCAATTTGACCACTCAGGAGGTGTCTTGAATCAGTCATTGAATTCCGCCCTGAAACAGCAGGGCCTACACGGTCTCGTCTCATACGTTTTGATCTCCTCTCACCACATTGACCATCTCATAGCTGGGCCCAGAGTCGACATTCTTGCCTCTTCCAGCAGCACCGCGCAGGTTGTCGTCAGTGTCGGCCACCCCATTCACTGGCGTCTTCCTTGGCACAGTTCCGAATGAGATAGGCTGGAGTTCCCGATATCGACATGCCCATACACCTAAACTGATTGTGAGTGCGGCACTGGCTGCTTCCAAACCCCACCAGAGCAGATTTGTCGGTATAGATTTTGTGTAGAAAGACGTAATTAGAAGGTGGATGAAGTGGATTGTCAGCGCGAAGTCGGGGACAAGTTTCGATCGCGCGATCAAGAGGAGGATCGGTATGACTCTTATCGAAGGTCAGCGAGGGTAGAATCGGCTTCTCAGGAGGCTTACATTATGAATCCATCAATGACCCAGAGAAACCCGACGGTCCAGCCGACCGTGTTATCGCCTCTAACGCTGTGCCAATCGAAAAGTAGACTCAGAGAGAACTTTTGCCCGAGTACAATTGTTGTAAAGAGTATCAGCACAAAGGCAGCCGTGTAGTAGAAGAACTGAAGCAGGAGGATGGAGCGGACAATCTTCAGTGGAGGGAGTTCGGTGAGGGCGCCTGCGCGAGGTGGCTTTCTTCGTCGAGGTGGCATTCGCCTATCAATATGACCGGTTTGGGACGGTTTCTTTCAAATATATCGGTTTCAGCATTGCCATGTAGGTCAGGTACATGGGGAGGCCTCGGCGCTGCAGTTTGGGGACGGGCGTGGCTCAGGTAAACAAAGGAATGCGGTGTCATGAAGATGTATGGAGTTGCGGAAGACTCAAGGTGAACTTTTGTTAGTGGAGATCCCCGGTTCTCGAAACCACTCCAATTCTTAGAGAATTGACCACGACTCAACTTGGAAAAAGCAACTGCGGATTGTACTTTCAACACCGGTCTCACCTCTTCGTCTCGTCGTACCAAATGGGTTGGGGACTTCCTACCTGGCTCGGTGGCAGTGCTGGACCTGCGCAGCCAGAATCAGCACGACCGAAATCCACGGACGGCGGATTTGTGGCTCCCGACCGGAATGCAAGAGAAATATGTTACGAGTCGAGAGATATCTTCTTCGAGTGTTTGGATAAGAACAACATCCTTGACGCGATCAAGGAAGATGAGAAGGCAAGAAAAGTATGTTCGAAGGAGGTGGCGGACTATGAGAGAGATTGCGCAAGAAGTTGGGTGGGTATACACGACATTTCTCTTCTCAAGGTTGACTATGCTGACGGGGCGGTTGTTCAGATCAAATACTTCAAGGAGAAGAGAGTAATGGAGTACAATCGAGACCGCACGTTACAGCGGATACAACAGGACGATGCAAAGATGGCTGCGAAGGCCAAAGCAGACAGAAAAGGCGGATCGTGGTTTGGATGAAGAGCTATCGAGATGATTTCTTGCACGAGATCAGCGACGTCCAGCGGTGTCGGGACAAGCTATCTAAGGAAGCAATGTCCCAGGCCCGAGATCTTCAGCGCAATACCCTAGCTGCTGGAATCATTGTGGCCAAGCAGGATATACAGCCGAAGCTTCCGGAGGCAAATCTGGAAGCATGTATAATACTGATTGTACAAAAGACATGGATACGACCTACAAGTGTACGCCTGAAGGTAGAGATGCGACAGGGTTGCATCAGGAAAGGCCACGACAACATCTGCTCCCCTACCAGAGTGATCCTAATAGATATTCTTCGCTCCTTTCTCTTGCTGCCATCACTGACGGTCGAGCAAAGCATCAGCTAGCTGGCGCAAATTTCATCAATGGTCCGAATATGCACTGGCATGCTTCTATCTTCAACGACCTAGTAGGCCTACAACACTTTGCACCATGACCGCAGCCTCCCTTTCCCAATTATCAACTGGCTCTTCTCCTTTCGGAGCCGCTTGCGCATCTCCTAGAACAACGGTCTTTGGCATCCTCGATCCACGTAAGACACATTCGCGTATCTCAGCCCGGACGGTCTCGCGTTGGCTCTTAAGCGCGCGAGCAGAAACCCCTCCACGATTCAGAATCTCGGACACACGAGAAGATAGTGACGATGCTAGGGATCTCCAGAAGTACGACGGCAGTGATGCCGTGTCCAGTGCGTTGAGAAGCAAGTAGAGGAAACTCTCTGAAGAGGGCACCGTTGTTGCTCCCGTAATCTCGGCATCGTCGTCATCACTATCATCTTTGGTGTTGCTATTAGACATCGACGTCTCCTGGTCCCGCAGTAGTGGATGTTCAGGAGCAAATATCCCTCGCAGTAGGACTTCGAGAGCCACCACATTTTGACACCTTGCACTCGCCTCCAGCAAAGCGCGGTCTAGCATAGGAAGCTGGCCCAACGCCCTACCGATAGACGCTGAACTCGATGTGATAGCCGTTTGTAGATAACTTTGCAACGCGCGCAGTAGATATTCAGGCTCAAAGTCTGTCTTGGACATTTTCTCGCCGTCAATGTGAGGTGCAGGAGACAACAAGTAGAGAATGTGCGTTGCGCTTGTGAATCGCGCACGACTGTCCTCTGCCTCACGGAATGTAGGACCAGATGCAGCTGCTCCGCCCGAAGGTGCTGAAGATAGCGTACTCATCGAGAATTCGCGTACAGCTCGTCGAGCGAAGTCGAGGATTTTTGCTTCTCCGTCCTCAAAAACCCTGCCACGTAATGTTTTGACAACGCTGACTCGGCTCAGGTCAGCGCTATCCGCGCCACTCATTGCGTCGCGAAATGCTAAGATTGAAAACGATGCTTCGACAAGAGCACTGTGGTCCTCCTTCCCAAGTCGGCCGGCAGCTCCGAGACCGGACTCAGGCATGATCATCTCAAACTGTCTGGCTAGGCCAAGGATTCGTTGCACGCTGCGTCCAAGGTGAATGACTTGAAGGCTTCGTTGGGCCGTGGTCTTCGCAGCGACAGCTCGCTGATGCCGGACGAGGACTTCTTGTTCAAGTCGCTCGTAGCTCTCGACAAGTCGGACGCGCTCTTCTTCAACTCGTGAGAGGATGGTCTGGGCCGCCGCATTTTGAGTCGATGTGTAGGTTAAGATGTCAAGCGCGGACCGGGAAGTCAAGGTGTGAATATGAGAGTCTATCTCCTGCAGATCGAACAGGACTCGTGACAAGGGGGTTGTGAGGTCAATTGTGGGATCAGAGGGATTGTTGGTTGCAAGTACGAGATTGTTAGCGTGGCTGTATGGTGAAAAGGCGTCAGAGGCGATGTAGTCAAGGTCAATGTAGGTTGATGTTGTGGTAGGTGGCTTTTGTGTGGCCATCTTGGATAATCGAGCACGCCTGATCTCAGCTGTGCGATGTCTGACTCTGAGGTCCCATCATTCGGCCATTAGGTGTTGGCTCGAATGGAGTGCTAGAAACCGACCGTGACCCTGAGGTTCTTCGAGCTCAGACCATTGCAAATGCAGCGTCGACCCACTCCTCAACGACGAAACGACCGTTGGCTAGCTTCAGGCTGTCTGAGCGATAGAGTCAAGACTTTGAAGATTCTGAAGTTAGAAGGGTTAGTCTTTTGGTACATACGGAGTATGAATTTTAGATTTAAATGCCCCGCTAATTTTTCGTTACTTACAGTAGCCTAACGCCGGGCAAGGCTGAAACCTGATGAGCCTTAAAACGAGGCCCTAGGCGGCGAGGGGGTCAAAGAGCAGGCTGATAGGCTTCAGCTTGGCGCTGGCCATTTTACTGGATCCTCTCATCATGCTGTCTTTATGACCTACAGTAGTGAGGGGCAGACCCTGCCTTATCCTGCCTAAGCGAGCATAAAAACAATGCGCAACAGATGCCAACACAAACATGCAGAGACGCAAGGGCGAGCTTCGATATCTCACAGACTCACACATGTCAACAAGGTCATCTGATAGTGGTATGGCACAAGTATCCGCACATGGCCGTATTTATGGAACATTTCCGAGTGCTTGGAGGTCCGTGCCTGACTACAGATGTGCCTGAGTCGAGCGGCTATCCCCTCCACATTTCGAGGGTTCCTGGCCTATTTCTCATGGAAAGCCAAGTGCTCCTTACATGCGGCAATAAGGTCCTACTTCCGAACGCTCCGCAATGGTCAGCAACACAGCGATTCCCGATTGTCAGAGGCCACGAGCGTGCGAATACGATAGGCGGGCCCGCCTCGAGGTTTAGGCCCTTGTACGCGCAATCCACGGGTAGGTGAGTCAGTGTCGACGCATGGCGAGGATGAGACGGCAATGTCAGGCTGCATGACATATTCGTACCCATTGACTCGGCATTGTGAATGGCACCGTTCGCTCAAAGGAGGTAAAGACAGACGCGGGCTGAACAAACGTATGCAGGTCGAAGGCTTGGGGGTGGTGAAAATCATGCGCTGGCTGCAGTGGCGTCAGTCACGAGTTTGCCGGCGACAGCAGTGAGAGCCAACAATTGATTCCTTGGAGGTGCTAAAGATTCGAGCGATGTCGAGTTTTGGCCCTGACTGGCTGCAATGGTGATCGTACAGGGGGGTGGCTATGGATGTCCTTATGGTGGCTAGAATTAGGCTAGGTAAAGCTAAGAACGAGGCTCGTGCAGAGTGGCCCGCTGTGCCCGCTGTGCCCGCTGCATATCAGACTTGAGAGAGACAGACTGCATTCGCCTCCGCCCATCATGGCCCCATATGCCTGCGCATCCCCTCGTCCAGACCTGGGAAAATTAGGTATGCCTTTCGAAAGCAAAAGCAGAAAATCAAAATTCCAGCCATGTAATGGATGATATGGCCCGAGTCTGCCTGGGAACTATACCTGTACCTTACCTAGACTTCGAGCGTCCCCCAGCGACAAGCAGGAACCGCCGAGCCACCGACGTCCTGCCCCTCTATTTGAGGCTGGGCTTAAAGGCCCACCCACCATCCATCCACCCCTCGCGAATCCTTCTTTCATGGTGACGGCAGTGGACGGCTTGCGTTCCTTGCTAAACCGTCTTTTGCCTATCGCCTGGACTCCTGCAAACTGCGCACTCTACTTGCTGCACATGCACCTCTTGTCTGCTTCTCTCTAGACTCGAGATCTGTCTATCTCGTCTTCATTTCTCATCCTCTATATCATCATCAATCTTGCGTTGTCAAGCCACCATCATCGCTCTACCATCCTCACCAAACCGGGTCCGCTGACCGAGTCAACGACATCCGGACTCTGCCTTCGACATACACCGCTTTGTCCCACGCTCCTCGTCATCTGGCCTCTTCCGTTCTCCACAAGTCCAAGATCTGCCTTGCCGCCAATAACATCGAATATCCTTGGGAATTCGAGATCCAACACATTAGCATCTTGACCGGATTCGCCGTCGCCGTAATTCGCGGCTAGGCTTGAGCCAGAATCGAAGACTGTAATATACAACGCCCACGGTTCTTATCTTCTCTTCCACTGCACCAGTACCTGAAAAGGTTGACCGTATGGATTGTTGGCGTGCGCAGCCTTTTCGTTAGAACTTCCTTCGTCCGGATCCTCGTCCTTATCACCGCTCACCAAATCATCCGAAGGCCTCCGTCGCCACACTTTCCCCTTCATCGATCCAAGTCAACACAAGAAGGAGTGCTGGGACCGTCACGCAACCTTTCCCCTGGTCGAAGCCACTCCGAATGTGTATCAGGATCGTGGCGTAAGCCGCAACTTCTCGAGTCCGCGACAGTCGCATAACTTCAGCAGCGCTCCACCATGGCGGCCATTTCGAGTCTTGTGTTGAGCGAGACAATGCCATCAAAAGATCGCATAGAAGAGATGGACACACCTACAACGCCTCGCGCGGCTCGATATCCATCACCTCTTATGGCCGAACATAACTTTGGGCTCGGAAATGATCCTCCTCGGCGGCCTAAGGCTTCATTAGATCAAGGCCATAGCAGCAATGCCCTCGAGCACAGAGACAGTGGGACGAGCAGAAGAGACAGCGTGGGCGCTGCACCCAGCGAAATGGACGTGGACGATGACGACGACGACGACGATGATCTCCGTGGCTCGGACAATGAAGCCGAACTGGGCGAGGCAGACTCTGCCTCGAGAAAGAAAAAAGGCCAGAGATTCTTCTGTACCGGGTACCCGCCTTGCAACCTGAGCTTTACCAGGAGCGAGCATTTGGCTCGCCATATCAGAAAACACACAGGCGAAAGACCTTTCCAATGTCATTGCAACCGGAGATTCTCCAGGTTGGACAATCTGCGCCAACATGCCCAGACTGTGCATGTCAATGAGGAAATTCCAACCGATTCACTGGCTGCTACTGGGACCCGGTTCCAACGTCAAATCCGCACTGATCGTGTCCGGCCCGCGGGGCGACCGCGCACTGGAACCGCAGGCAGTGCGGGAGGTCACAGTCGCGGGCATAGTCGAAACCTGTCGGCTTCTAGTGTGGGCTCGACCTCGTCTAACTACAGTATTGTGACGGAAGCGAAGAGGCGGCCACCGCCCCTTCTCATGGCCAGCGACGGCTCTGGTAGGCCGAGCCTGGGCATCGAACCACCTCAGACTCCCCCTGCCCAGTATCGCGGATACAATCCAAACTCTCCCAGCGGCATGAGCACACCAACATCTGCCAACTTCTCCGCCACCCCTGGCAGCCCTGGTTTTCTGTCATCCATGGGATCGCCAATGTCGACTAACTCTCGCCCGGGGGGTTTCTTTGGTTCAGCACCTCATGCCCGGCGACTATCAGTCCCATCCGGAACCAATCTCTATCAACCTCAGTATCCACCGGGATATCCTATGGCCTATGTGAACCAGATGGGACCAGCCAGTTCACATGGATCGTCGAATTCCAGCGTGTTTGCGAGCCCTGTTTCGACTACATTTCCTATTGCTTCAGGACAGCATGGCCCGCCTGGGGAGGATTGGCGACGACGAACGTGGCATCCTTCCACGATCCCAGCGGCCAATCTCAACTATGGCCGTCCTGCCACAAGTGGGTTGACGTACTCGCAAACCCCAGACGCACCTCAACCCGCTCATGCTCAGCATGCTACTGCAGCTGCTGGCCATGCACCTCGACTGCCAGGAATAGAAAGTTTCGACCATGTTCAGCATCGGTCGTACACCCCTCCTCGTCGCCAGCCTAGCCCCATGCAAGTCGATCCCAACCTTACCGACCCCAACATGTCTTCCTCGAACATGCATGTGGAGCAGCGTGCGCGCCAGGGACACGTCTCTTGGGACGGCCCTCGTCCCAGCCAATATCCAGAGCTTGATGATCCTGCTAACAGGAGCCACGGCGCGACCTCATGGGGCCAGCAAACAATCAGTGAGATCCAAAACGTGAGTGTGCGACCGAATGAAACTCTACGGCAGATTCACATGGGTCCTCCCCATTCCTCTATGACAATCCAACAGCAGCAAAAAATGGCACGAGAAGCCCTCGACGTTCAGTCTCCGGCTCAGCAGAGCAAGAGGCATGGCTGGTATAACGGACCCCTAGCGCACGCGCGGACGTCTCCCGAAGACTCAAGTAGTAGTGACGGCGTCCCTACACCTGGCATGACCGCTGTCGAAGTGCATCCTATGATTATGCATAGCAGCGGCTACATCGACCCACAGCATTCAGCGTTACCCTCAGAGGGGCACCAGAATGTAGGTCGTATGCCTGCGAGCACTTTCCATATCCCCACTAACTCGCCTCAGGTTTGTCTCGCTCCCGCCCCGTACATCGAGCCGACGCGTCACGAAACCAGCTCGTCCTTTGCTGATCACGCGGGCCGCGGAGGCGAATTGAATCGACTTGAGGCTCTTGTCGCCGTCGCAACAAGCGGCGAGATTGGCCCGCGCTGAGCGGCATCTGCGGCAACAGTAACTAGATTAGTGCCGACTTTACGCCTCGATCACGAAACCTGTTCTTGGGTGAAACCATAATTTTGGCCTGTTGGCTGGTCAAGAGGAGGCCTCCCTCGAACCGCAATCCCTCTGATGGTTGCATATTACAGATCTTGACGGCTTGGATGAAGAGATACCCATTACGACTTTTTGTCTTTCCGTCGTCGTTTGCTTGATGTCTTATGAGTCTCATCACTGAATGTACGGGTCATTGCTTTTGCTTTTGCAAGCGGGCGTTTGAGATTTGGTGAATGCGCATGAATACCCCTTCTGGTTCATAAGCACCGTGTTTTATATGAGATGACTTTTTTGGTTTTGTGTTGGAGGGTCTCAGCCGCCTCACGTTGCGCTTTGGTTTCAACTGGTTCATGCAACCTTCCTCTACTCCTGACGATGATGATGATGGCATGCCTGGGATGAGACTTGGTGACGGAGGATTATGGGTTTGTTGGTTGATGTTCGCGCATATACTTTGATCAAGCAATTAGCCAGCATAATGAAGATGCCTTCTACCTGCTTGTGCCTGCTGAACGAGTCACCAACCTTGTTTGTGTATTTGCCCCGTTTAAAGCAGCGTCTGACATGGCGCGCCAAGCACAGGTAACGACACCTCCTTTTTGCATTTCTCAACTTTCAATTATCAGCCGATTCCGGGCGCGACGTTGTTGTGGAAGGATGGAATCGCCGCTCGACGGGTTGAAGCTTGTAGAGGCCACGGTTGACAGGGCTACTGTCTCGCTTGCTCGTTGGCAGTGCAAGACCCTCCTCATGGCCATAGCTAGGTGCCAGGTGGCAGCGTCGGCATCCGTCAGCCTGGCTGAAAACGATGGCAGCTTCATGAGCTTCTCCACGCCATATCCAGTGACAAGAAGCCCTCAGCCAGACGCAATGCTTGACGGTAGTACAAGTAAGAGCTGTGGAGCGATACCCTTTAACATCACCGACCCACTAAAAATGCATCATGTTCGTGAACATGACCTCCTATAGGGCCAGTGCATAAAAGGTAACGCCTTCAGCCGACCTGTGTAACCCAAATCTCCGCTGTCGAAGTTTCTAACGTAGGTACCCGATGGATTTGGAAGTGAGTTAGCTGAAGATAGAAGCTGATAGCATTGCGTCGAGGCAACTGTGGAGATACTGACAGATACAGGAGAGCAAACACTCGCAGCCTCAACCTTGGATCAGGCGGCCTTTAATGGGAGATCTTGCCATGGAACCATCGCGATTGGATGGCTTCTGAGATATGATCGAGGATGTTGCGACGGCTGCCGGTAAAATTGTTCAGGATAACTGCTTCGAGTTACACCATGTATGCTGTACTGCAGAATATCCATGTTCGTTCTCGGACACCTGCCTCCACGTGCATCTTTGCATATATGTGGCGCCCATCTGACCAGAGCTAAAAGGGAGCCGCGGGCTTGTACATGGGGAAAGCAACGATTGTAACGTACAAGGTTCGACAGAGGTGTACGCCTGTTCCAATGCGGAAAGCTTTCGACGCTGTAAACGAATGCTCGTTGAGGCAGAAGGAAGGCACTTGTCGAGGTCCAGGATGTCATCATTGTCCATCAAAGATCAGCGCCCTTCCTGATGACGAGGAGGGCACTGGCAGCAAGAAAGTCTACTATCCTGTCTGCAGACTGGAGTCCTGCCGGCTTCAATGCACGAAAGAGATGGATTTGTGTAATGAGGGAACCCGTGTCAGGACGCGGTCTCGGAGGCAGACTGCGGAAGGTGCCCTGAAGTATGTGGCTCCTTCAAAATTGACCTCTTGCCACTCATTTCTCCCTCACTTGCACCTCTCACACCCTCTTTCTTTTCCATCTCTCGACGCTTCACCTTCTCTTGATTTTCGTTTGTTCAATACTCAATCGTGTCGGCCGTTCGTCATCACCATGAGGTTCGGAAACGGTCTCCTGCTGGGAAGCATCTCAGCCCTCGCCATCGCCGGCCTCTTACCAGCCAGACACGCAGCAGAGTAAGTGATGAGTCGTAGTCGTTGATGTCGATCTCACTGACATGAACGCAGTACACTCCCTCCATGCTCTACCGTCACTGTTTACGGCACTGTCTACGCTACAGTTTTCATCCATGATACTGTCACTGTAACCCAGACCACAACCCAGACCGTTACGGGCACGCCTGGAACTGTTACAATCGTTGGGCAAGATCCGGCTTCAGTTGCCCGTTCGATGGCCTCGGTGGATACTCAGCAAGTTATCGAACAGAGCCAACTCCTCCCTATCTCTGACAAGCCCGATCCCAACCCTACCAAATTCACTCATTCGGTCACGGTCTCAGGTTTCGAGGCCACGGAGATCTCAAACAATGGCAATGGCGGCACCGTTTTCTACATGTCCAAGGGTACATCTTCGACCGATTGGAGCTTCACACCCTCGAAGTCGATCGTTGCTGAAGTTACCACTGTCACCGTTCTCCCGGTTCCTCAATCTGCGTCAAATCACGGCAAGGGCGTTAATGATTCGAACACAACTGTCCATGCACAATTCACTAGCCCTACTGGTGGCTGGAATGGCACTTACTCAAACACCTCCTCATGGTCGGCAGCTACAGCCTCTGCAGGAACAGCTTCACGTTATGCTGCTGCTTCCACAATCACTGTGACCAATATCGTTGCTACCGTCACTCAGACTGCTGCCAGCAGCGTATCTACTGCCCCGACATACGCATACGTGCCACCACAATACAGTTATGCACCACCAAAGGCATCCAACGATGATGGCATCGAGAAGAGACAGACTTGCGTCTGGATAAGTGCTACTATCGGTGGTCAAGAGGTGGGGTGGTGTAACAATTGGGATGGCAGCACGACGCTGACATACACCTCTTGGGAGACAACGGGTGAGTGAGAACTAAACAAACTTCTGTGTAATCTACTAATACAGTCCTAGTCTTTCCTACCCGGGTCCCTGGTACTGGTCCTGTTGGGACCCCAAGCACAACACCGAGGTCCTCTGCTCCATCCATGACCGCCACTGAACAGTCCACCACGCAGTCAGCTTCTTCAGTGGCGCCGTCTGCAACCATTTGTGGACAAACTGGACCATTCGAGATTTCTGTGAGTGATGTTCACTTGCCCCGTGCTGTCGGATGACTGACCACCCGTAGTTCGATGACCTCCCCGTTTTTTCCGTGGCCAACAACGATACTGCGGATTTCCCACCTGTCTTCAACCCGTATGAACATTTCTACTGGGGCTACGGCTGGAGTTACGTGCCTCCACCCAATGAACCATTTCCCCCACAAGATGGCTTGCGACTTGCTCAATTCATTCCATCGCTGGCCAACAACGACACAGGTTCTCCCAACGCTGGCCAGATTCCTCCCAGCTCGTTTGGTGCGGGACCCCGCGCCAGCGACTCGGTGTACTGGTTCAGTGCCTCGTCAGCCTGGGTCGCCTGTGACAATGGAGCAACTGACTGGAGTCAAACATGCGACTTCGTTGCTACAGCATATCAGTGGAACAACGCTACTCAGACTGAAGTTGTGGTTGCTACTCAGCACTTCAGCATTCCGCCCTGTCCCAACTTCCAAGGTTGTCACCTTACAGAGATCAACTTCAACTATCTCTTCTACAAGATGACGACCCTGAGCTTCTACGCTAATGTCCAGGGGAAAATCAGCATATTCTGGCTTGACAGCCTGGCGCTCAACTGGTATGACAATACGTGCCAGGCGGGCCTTAAGCGCATTTCATCCCGGAAGATCTGAGGACGGAATCCATGGGTGAAGTGGTCATAAGTCACAAGAGCTTTGTTGAGACAGAAGTTTCATTTCACAGATGGGGACCGTTTCCGTCACGAGAGACTCCTCGGGGTGAGACACCACTTAATCGAGGTGCTGCGACCACGTGCATGCGGACCCAATGGGCTACTCGATGTTGCTGACGTCGCCTCTATGATGAAGGAGCTTATGGGCTGTGTCCTCTGCCAGAAGAAAAGTAGCTTGGCAACATGATACAATTGTAATCAATCTGCATACAAAAGAAGACCTTTGGTGGTGCTCTGAAACACCCTGTGCATGATGAAGTGATGATGTCGTCCCGAGGCGAGGCGGGTCCATCCGTAGCATTAAGCCGTCGGCTGGCGTATGGGGTACTTGGGGTTAGGACCACACTAATTATTCTCTGCCCGTTTTGCAGCCACACTCGCTCGTCGTTGACAAGCACCCATTCGGAGAATGCGATTTTGACAGATGCAGTAGCCTGGCGAACCGACTTGATCTGTTTTGGGACGTGGGTGACCGTCGAAGACCAATGTCACACCACCGTCTATGCTCGTACACACTCGTACACGGTCGATCCTGCAGTGTCCTCTGAGACACCTTAGTTTGAGACAGAGGAAGTTCCAGACAGGACAAGGGGTGTATGTGCCGAATTCATAATAAGCCCAACATGCCCAGCCCAGCACAGCACCGCCCAGAGACCGTCGCAAGACGAAGAGACACTAGGTACAACTGTCACAGCTGTTCATCACGACGCCTCCACATGAGGGACCTGCATGTGCATATCGACGGTGCCAAATTCCGAAGGAACATACTTGCTTAGACGAGGATGGAAAAAGGCGCCGGCGACGGAACAGCTAAGCTAGCTGCCGAAACGGGCAAGAAGGAGCAGAGCAAATGCGAACGCAAATGCAAATGCAGAGCCTAGGCTTAGCTTAGTCTCTGTGATCGAACAAAAATCCCGAACCAGTGAACCAACCCGCAGGACCAAGAATGTGACCAGGTGATAGAGGGGTATCAATTCGTTTGTTCATTTCAAGACATCAAGAAAGCAATATTCTGCGCGCTGAGACAGGGCGAGGCCGTAGATCCGAGCCAAACTACCCTTCTCCCTAGCCAAAACCAGGAAACCCTCCAAAAGGGAATCCTCCTCCGCCAGCGCCACCACCGCCTCCAGGCATTCCTCCGGTTGAGAATTTGAATTGTCTCTGCCCACCACCAGGAGATCCCCCCTGCTGGAAGAAGAACTGTTGCCCTCCTCCTCCGGCGCCAAAGGGACTGCCTTGGAACGGGTTGCCTCCCTGGTTGGAGAGCGGATCATTCGGATCGTCGCCTCTGTCGAAGCGGGCCTTGAGCTCTGGGTCGCTGAGGACTTCATATGCCTCATTGATGGCGGCCATTTTCTTCTCGGCTTCTTCCTTGGGCACGCCCTTGGCCGCAGCCTTGTCGGGGTGAAAATTCTTCGTTGCGGTACGGTATGCCTTTTTGATCGTACGGTCGTCAGCGTCCCGCGATACGCCGAGGACTTTGTAATAGTCTTTTGTCTTGCTGCGTTTGAGAGCGAGCTGGGCATCTTGGAGTTTTTGGTTGATCATGTTTTGAGACTCGGGGTGGTTGTCGCGCGCCGTGTTGAGCGAAGATATGGCGGCGTCGTAATTCTCGTTCTCCATGTGCTTCGCTGCTTGGTACAGTAGGCCTTGGAGCGAGTTCGGGTTGGAGGTGAGTACTTCGGTGCAGTATTTGGCGGCTCTGGCCATGTTGTTGAGTGACAAATACGCTTCGCAGGTCATTTCGAGGTGTGCCGTGTAAAGGTCGGATGGGGCTTTGGGATGGATCGTGCCGCTCTTGCGGTGGGTGCCAAGGTTGGCGCTTATGTCGGACAATAGGCCAGGTTCATCCTCGGTGCCTTTGCCTACGAGCAGCTTAGCTGCAGAGTTGAATTGGCGTTTCCCCATGAACGTTTTGACATGGTCGATTTGCTTCAATATGCTCTTCTCCTCCCTGAACAAAGACTTGCACGGCTTTGAGTCTGGGTCCGAGTGTAAACATTTCTTGATCTGTGCCAGACCACGTTCCGTGTCTCCTAAGCTGTAAAACATCATGGCTGAGATTTGAAGATGAGGCTCGACCAGGCTGGGATGGATCTGCAGCACATGTGCGAGATCGCTCAGACCTTCTTGGACTTCGCCCCGTTCAAAGCGACATCTCGCCCGCAGTTGTCGTAGAGACAGGGATGTTCCGGCCGTCATGATGGTGATTCCTGCTTGGTTGATACAGGCCTCCCAGTCCTGCTTCTTCTCCGCCTCGACTGCAAGATATGCCGCGCCCTCTGCTTCCTCGAGTTGTGCTAGCTCTTCTGCTCCTTTGCTTCCCATCGCCAAATAATCCTCTCTCGCTAAAACCCAGTCTGCATTTCTCGCCCTGATCTTCGCTCTCTGCAACAATGCTCCCTCAAAACCCGGTCTTAGCTTCAGTACGGCATCGAAATCTGCGCTCGCTTGTGCATTTCGTCCTAGGGAAAGATATGTTGCTCCTCGCTGGAAGAGTGTAATGTAGTCGGAAGGGTCTTTTGAGACAGCCGCATCGAAATATGCGAGTGCTTCGCTGTTCGCGCCTCGAGCGCGAGCGGCTTTGCCAGAGGCTATGAGGGACGATATTGGGGCATCTGGGGGTATATTGATTGACTCAGCAGCACAAAGAGACGCTAAAGCGAGCCCCAGAAGGGCCGCAAGAAGTGCGAAACGCTGAAGGTGGAGGATCATTATGGCATAGTCGGTCGATGGGGATAGAAAATAGGATAGAAGTCTAATAACGGAAACTAGAAGATCTAGAAGAAGCAGGACATGTATTCGGGATGAAAAGAATGTGAAGGGTTAGAGGTCGCTGTCATTAAATGACCCAATCTGTCCTTTTGTTTCGGCGACGGCGACTTTCGAGGCTGTCGAGGCCTACATGCCGCTTTAACGTAACATTGTATATCAGCCACGTGATCAGCCTGATGCTGGCGACAGCTAAGAGCGGCGTGACATACAAACGACCACTCCTCGCACTCTAGACTTCACGATGCTGGAGTGGATATTGGCTACTGACGTCCTAGCCAAACGGATTATCATATTGGGCGAAATCGTGGTGACATACTGAGATGCGTATTTGAACAAGCGATGAAAGCGCATTTTCGCGCCCTTCACTGGTTCCTCAATTATGCCCTCGGCAGTCCCAGTCACTGAACCCACCTCACTCCTGCAGGAGGGTTCACCGCACCGTTCTCGCCGCGTTTCTCTGCGTGTCCTGAACCGGAACATAGGCCAAGTCGTCCTGGGCAACCTACTCTTCGAAACGTGGTACTACAGTCCCTATCCCGACACTGTCATTCTAGGTCGCGAGCACCTTTCCACGATCAAACACGCTTACACGCCTGGCTCAGCCGCCGATCTTCGCCAGGCCAATGCACATGGCTTAGAACAGCCACAATGTGACCGCTTGTACGTCTGCCCATGCTGCTTCCGCTACACGCCGGATGCGAACGACTTCGCTCAGCACCTGCAAGTGCACCGGACACGACGCGAACAGGGCCTAGAAACGCAACCAGTCCCCGAGTCCGCTTTCAAAGTGTACGAATGGGAAGGCCACGCTATCTGGGAAATCGACGGCGAGCGCGAGAAATCCTACTGTCAGAACCTCTCACTGTTCGGGAAATTATTCCTAGAGCAGAAGAGCGTGTTCTTCGACACGGGGGGCTTCAAGTACTATGCGCTCACGTATACGAAGCCTCAAGCGGTTGCGCCAGTCACAAAGGGGCGTGGCCGCAAGCGGAGTTCGTCGGTGTTCGAGGACGATATACTCTATCAGACACAGGTGCTGGGATTCTTCTCCAAGGAGAATTTATCCTGGGATGCGAATAATTTGGCATGCATCCTTGTGTTCCCACCGTTTCAGCACCGGCAGCTGGGCCAGTTGTTGATGGCTGTGTCATACAAGCTGAGCGGATGGGAATGGGAAGGAGGTGTGATTGGGGGCCCAGAGAAGCCGCTGAGTGCCATGGGCAGGAAAAGCTATTTGAGATTTTGGTCTGAGCGCATTGCGAGGTTTTTTATGGGTCAGAGTGCTGACGCGGACGCAAAGAGAGTGTTTCACAGGAAAAAGCAGACGATCCATCCACGCAAAGAGGAAATGACTGTTAGGGAAATAGGAGAACGGACTGGAATGCTAGGCGAAGATGTTGTTGCTGCGTTGAACGAGATGGGTATCTGCAAAGTGGTGGTGCCGAAACGAAAGAAGACATCGTCCGAAACAAATGGAATCACAAGCCACGATGGTGAGCCTGAGCCTGAAGAGTTGGCTAGCATGATCATACAGAGATCTAGAGTCGTTGAATGGGCGGAAAAGCATCGGGTTGACTTGGTTAGCCCTGTCCGGGAAGAAGGGTTTCTGGGCGAGTGGGCATTGAGTGATCTTGATGAGTCTGGTGATAGCGACGAGGAAGGGTCCGACAGCAACGCCAGCAGTTCTTGATCAGGAAGATAATTGCGAGAACTACGGAGTACGGACTGGCAATAGTGATGGGGACGGGTCCAACAACAATGCTAGCACTCCGTCACCTCTGGGTGCCTCCAAAATGAACACTATGCTTGATTGCTTTGAAACCTGGAGTCTTGGTAGAGTTAACGACAGTTTCACACCACGATAGCCACTCCCGTAGTCAGGATAGATGGCTTTTCTCTCCCCTGCTGGATGCTGTGTACAATAGTTATGGTAGCTACCGAGGCTGCCGTTCCAGCCATCCGAAAGCATCGATATTTCTCTTCCCCTCCTCAAAGTGATCAGCGACCTGAACAAGACTAGCTGGGGTCCAAGGAAACCATTTAGGCAAGCAGTTGTGGACCATGAGGCCGTTGATGAAGGCTTGGTCCACCGCGACTGTTAGAGGATCGGCAAGGGGGCACACCTTTTGAGCGAGTCTATCAGCCCTGAATTCCTTCACAGAGCATAGTGTGACGGAATGGACGCCGCATCCGCTGATGGTCTAGAGGGCCCAACCATGGTTTTGGGCAAGCATGTTGTTGGACGAAATAATCCGTCGGCTTGGGGAACACGGGACAACCGAGAAGATCCTGATGATCTTCAGCAAGAGTTGCATGGCAATTCTTGCAGACTTGCTTGGTCCGACAACGGCACACATCTTGCCGGAAGATGGGCCTCGAACAGGGCGAAGCAATCCTTCGAGTCCACCATGAGGATAATTTCTATGTGGGCGTTGCATGGAACAGTTTTCAGTTGATTGTGCAACATTGGAGTTGGAGGCAACAAAATAAGTGATATCACCCCGCCAATCACGGGCGGAAAGTCCATCCTTTGTTCCCGTCATCACGGTCAGAATACTCGTCCTAGTATCCGTACGAGTACGGGTATGATGAGTGTCTTTCGGGTATGTCTGCGTGCCGACTTGACGGTGGAGGCATCATTATTGTCAATGGAACCGCTCCATCTTCAGGCGTTGCAAAAACTCAAATTCATAACGGGAAAGGATTGGTGGTAGTAAGGATGTAGTGTTCCTTGTTCTGACTGTACGATGTACGTACGAGGAGCAGTGTCGAAATCCGCAAGACCTTGACGTAGATACAAGTCGTTCGCACCCGCTTCAGCCAGGTTCTTTCCGTTTGAGCATCGCTCACGTCGGTCTAGTTCCTGAAGGTGCGACTCGCCTCGAGAGTTAGGTTAGATTCCAACCCGGCTAGTGCAGGCTCGCAGAGAAGTTCACAGACGTGACTGACCAGACCAACTGAAGAACAACCACATCGGCGACGGGTCGGCTAACGGCGAAAATGTTACGCGTGGGCTCGCGATTCGCGCGTTCCCCTGCATACTGCTTGAGCTCTTCCGAATGAGTTTAGACCTGTCAGGGATCTATACTGGGGCGTCGAAGTGAACGAAGCCTTGTTGGGTATCGCGTGGTGCAGGACGGCATCAAATTCTGACCCCCTGCAAGCGTTCGAAAACTTTCGGCAGAAGTTTGCAGAGTTTTATTCCACCCCGAGACTTGGCCTCTCTCATTGTTGCTCCTCCAGTGTCCTCCCCACCCTGGACATTGGGTGCTGAGGTCGCGTTAGAGTTCCAATAATCAATAATAAACACCACAACAGGCTGGCTCAGGGGGATGAGAGTGAAGACACTGAGGACGTAGCGGATCAGCCACAATTCTCGACGCGTCCCTTTCGGCCCACGGATCCGGTTTCGCGCGTGTACCGTGAAGAGCAGCCGACTGAAGTTTGCACGGCAAAGGACCTGCCCGCCGACACTTGCCCATCATGTTCAAGGGCAACTAGGTCAGTGACGTTGATGATTGAGATGTTCCAGAGATGTTTTAGCTTCGCAGCCGTTGGAAGCAGCAGATGTGACAGAAGTGAAGGCCGTTTTTTGAAGTGCTTCACATGTCGAACTCGGCTGGGATACCGTGACAGGCTCACCAGGCCCAACGACACTTGTGGAGACGGGTCCAAGGCTCTTCAGGCTAATGTGGGCTGTTGAGGCTAAGGCCGCTGGGGTAAACAATGCCAGGGGGATTTTGAACGAGCCGAATGGACAGACGGCAGTACTGCAGCCATCCCAGCCACGGGGCACACCGGATACTGCGCCTTAGGGTTCAGGGCTGGCGGCCAAGGAACCAGGGTAAGTGAACCCCTAGTGCTAGTTCTGTCCAGGCAATCTTGTGCACATCAGGTAACTCGTAGTGGCCCAGGGTTTCGAGCACTTCAAGACGGATTTATGTGCTAGGTGCCATAGCCGTAGTATACGTGATGACTTCGGAAAGGGTCCGTCGGCATGACAGGTGGAAGTCAACTCGTCGACAGAGACAAGAGAGAGAGCTCAGCACGAGCACACCAACATTGATTGAGGCGCAGGACAAGCAAGCAATTCACATGCCTCGCGCTGTGGTTGTGGAAGAAAAGCGGGATGAAGCAAACAACAGGAGTCGTGACGAACGGACTCTGAGACTCGGAAACTCCAACTTCCAGAGTTACCGGGTGATTGTTGACTAGTAGAATGATAGAGCTGACGGTGATGCTGGTAGTGTGAACTCGTAGCTACTACACGTACTAGGCTTGCTGGAAGGAGTACAGAGTATATCCTTGTCTTGCATCTTCTGCCATCTCCACTGTATCTCAGGTACTAGGCCTTAGTGCTTTGCTTCCTGCATGCACTTGTACTTCTCGAGAATATTTGACCTACTCCCAAACTTCCATCTCCCGAGACAATGTCACCTCCCCTCCATACTTCATGCTGTTCATGCTACGTCCTCTCCTTGCCTCTCGCAGTCACCCACATCTCAGAACTTGTCGTCCCTCCTTCACGTTGACACTCGCTCATACAGCAACGCCTCCATTGAACTCAACCCTGCCTCACCTTTGACGGCGCCCGTCGATCCTCAGCTCTCCCTCTACACTCACGACACTGGAACCCAAAGACCACGACCACGACTCCATTTCCCGACCCTCGGTGCACCAACCGTCCGGTATACGTGACTCCCCAGTTTTCCTCTCCAGACGCACGGATCGCAGCTTGTCCTTCTACTCAGACGTCACAAGGTCATACAAGTCTGTGTGTTGTTGACAAATTCTCGCGTTGTTGATAAACAATTGGGCGCTGGTCAGGTGCTACTGATACCCAGTGGTGGCAACTGAAGTCAAGAGTCGGACCTGAAAGGAATTGATTTTTTACACCTTCACCTGTACCACGTCTCTGAAAGTATCAAAGAACCCGACAGCTGAACCTTTGTCTAAAGGAGTTATTTCACGTGCCTCGACCCGGCCTTCTGGTCTCTCGCGCCTCTTATAGCTTCTGCCAGTCCTCTCCTTGACAAGAAGCTATGACGACGGCAATGTCTCCTACCGTGGAAGAAGCCAGCTCACATGGAGCCGCCTACCCATGGGTTCTGGAGCACCTGTTGGCATATCCAGGCACCTATGAAATTCCCCTGCGAACCATGTACACTCTCAATGCTACGACTCAGAACCAACCACAATCTCCGACTCTAGCGCCTTCTCCTCCGATTCCCGGCAATGCATTCCCACGAAAGACATCAGATGCTGCCGAGGAGCAACAAAACATGGCCACCATGACTGCCGCTGCTCAACTGCGAGTTCACCTCATGGCTGAAATTTCTCAGTTACCCTCTCAACCTACCTCTTTACCTCCCAGCTTCATCACCAGCTTTGTTCGACGATCTTTCCCGCCAGAGCTCGACCTTGTGGACTTCCCCCAAGCTCTCACGGCCATGGACTACCTCAGGGATCTGGAGATTCGACGAAGACGAGAAGTGGTCGCAGCGTTCGACAAGCTGGGCATTGACCAAGAAGATATCAGCCATCGGGACAAGCTGGCACGCAAGTATCCTGGAGTTCTACGCTGGGTAATGGAGATCGAGGAAAAGGAACGCAAAGTCGAAGCCCTCTACACCCAGGTATACATTGGACTGAGGCGCTGGACTCTCATCAACGAACTCTCACTAACTCCCTTCAACAAAGCAAACTGCATCGCCATGCTTAATACTCTCTATCCTCCAGTCAGCCTCCAATCCAACCACTTTGTCCAGCCAACAGCTCAATTGACTCGCCAGGTGCTGTCAACGCAACGCACCATGTTCTTCAAATATATCATTGCAGTCGAGCAGAAGGGGACGTCCGTTCTTGGCACGCTTATGGACCAGAATAAACAGCCTGGGGATGCAACAGGATGGACTCATCTCCGAGGCACAGTGGACAACTACCTTCGCATGGCAAACAGTGTGATTGACGAATGTTTTGAGATAACCGGACGTGCATGTCAGTCTCCAACAGCGGCATCCTTCAGCTCTCGTGATCCTGAGGACGAAGGCCGCCGCAAGGTGGATTCTGCCATCTCATTTGGTTCTGGTACCTCGTCAAACCGCGATTCTGGCCAGAGCCACGCCACAAGACCCAGCACAAGCAGCAGTTTCAGCACCGGAAGCCACAATCATAGTCGACAAGTGTCACGGGACAAGCAACTACCAGAGAAGCCATTGCCCCCACCCAAGGACGATGATGTGACAATAACCCAGAAAGCGTCCGGATCGACATTGGAGCGTATTGCTCGAGAACTTCGAAAGATGAAGAGTCGCAACAATATTAAGGAGGATACTCGGCCTCGGACTGCCTCGGCACAATCGATGGAGACGACGTCGCCTATCATGGAGCAACCACCGTCGACACCTTCCAGGGATCGTGGCTTGAACTTTAAGCGCAGCTTGAGAAGAATGCGATCGAACACCGTTCTTACTGACAACAGCACTCCTCATGCAGTAAGTTTCAACCATGAAACGATCACTCAGGAAGTACCAGCGTTTGATGCGGAGGTGATGAAGAGACAGAGACAGGAATGGGAGAGCCAACAGAAGTTGAGGAACCAGAACTCATATGCGAACATGAATGCATGAGCATGAGCATGAACACCAAACACTGTAACACACGGTGGTTGTTGTCATGGACACGGTTTTGGATTGCACAGGCGTAAGGGTCGCGGCTACTGCTACCGCACTCATCAAGGCGTTATTGGAAGAGAAGACATGGTTTCTCGGAGAAATGTTTAATGACACTGCATGAAGAATGACGACGCAAGAGCACGTGGACTGGATGCACCATGTGTTTGTTTTGAGCCTCGCGGCACCTGTTGAAATTATTTGATCTCGAGAAACAAGCGAGCTCCCACGAGCAGAAAAAAAGGAGTACGGTACACAGTCAAGCAAATGAGGCTGCTGGTGGAATACCATGGCAGTTGTGACAACAGGTAGAGGGGTGCTTGAATCTGAATATGAACATTACTTGACGATGCATGTCACGTACTTGCAATGCACCCTGTTGTTCGCATTCCTTTACTTCTTTCCCATTTCCATAACCGACTGCTTTTCACTGCTGGTTGGATTGGCTCTTTCAATTCTGAGATCATGCCAAATGGTCCTCAGTGAACATGACTTTATTTCTGTTAGTAAAATTCGTTAGCACTGCCTTTATATGTATACGGGGCTGTTCTCCTAACCCTTTCCTGTTTTCCTTGTAGAGCAAGTTCTCCTCGGTAGACGGTCAAGCGGGTTCACAGTGTCTATTTCTTTGAGTTTCTTTTCTAGTCTTTCTGCTGCAGAAAAAGCACTGGTGCAAGAGGTTGCATTTGGCTAGGTCTATTGAATTTCCAATGACCGGGATCTTAACTGCGGAACGGCATGAATGGGCTACCATCAGGCCATACGCCCGAAGGTGACAAACCATTCTAGTTCCGTGATCATTTCAATTCCCCTTTATGCAATACTCCCTTCTCTGGATACGGGCCAGAGTTATCCGGAAAGAGATGCCAACCCTGCCCGGTTGGTTGATTCAGATGAATCGGACTTTGCAAGTGCTCTGACCCTTGCCATCGGAGAATTTGCGACTTTTCAACCTCAACTAGTCGCACGGAGCTTTTCTATATTCATGAGATTAAAAGTCAGACCACAGAATTTGGAGGTCGAGAGATTTTGGATCTCCTTCAATCAATTCAGTTTTCTACAACACGTTCCTCGATGCTGTCTTTGTTGTTGACTACGAGTCTCGACGACTTGCAGAGATTTCGCGCGTTTTGGGGTTTATGGAACAGATCCATGTGTCACGGTATACAACGCGTGGCGACGGAGATGCACAATGGTTGCAGCTGCACGTACTATATGTACCACCACCCCTCTTCAGAGGACAAATGATTGAAAATCCTGGATGAGTTCAACGGGCGACGAATACGATTTTTGGGCCCAATTGATTCCATTTATGATACAGAGTTGGCCCATCTATAACTTCCAATAAATATCACAACTGCATCTGAAAGCTTTCTTGACCACCTTTTGCACGGTCAACTATGAGGTGGGAAGATGATGGCTATGCGCGCAGAGACGATGATGGTTCACGGGTGACGTTTGTGGGCTTGTTCGCCTCCTTTGAACGACTTTTGCACTCACTGATTCGTATAGGAAGAGTATCAAAAAAAGTCCTCTGAGACTGCCAATGGTAAGAAGAATAGGTGGAACTTGACCAACGGAGATCTAAAACTATTTGCTATCACCGGGTATGGAACTTGATTGCTTCTGCAAACCAAGGCTAATATGTTGGCAGGGTCGGCTTCTTCCTTGATTCTTACGACCTGTTCATCATTAACCTAGTGACGCCAGTATGGCTCTATGAGTAAGTTTTGCACCCTCTAGGGCCCTTCTCTCAATGTTTGGGGTGACCATGTTCGGTGATTTGTTCGTTGGCATCGAGCTAGCCGTCACTGACATGCAATTATATAGATACTGGGGAGGGCTGGACGGCCGTAAGCCTCATTATCCGCCCCTCCTACGAGGTCTTGTCAATGCAGGCTCCAACATTGGCAACATCATCGGACAGCTCTCATTCGGCTTCCTCGGAGACGTCTTTGGTCGAAAGTTTGTCTATGGTAAAGAACTAATCGTGGTGATAATTGGCACGATACTTACCATCAGTCTCCCCAACGATATTCCAACCCCAACCTTGAAGATGATCTATCTCTTCTGTTTCCGAATCCTGATGGGAGTTGGTATCGGAGGGGATTACCCCATGTCCGCAGCGATCGTGTCAGAGAGGTCTCTGCTTCTCAAGCGTGGCCAGTTGTTGGCATGGATCTTTTCAAATCAAGGTTGGGTGAGTCTTGACATTGTGGAGTCACCAAGCCGCCGATCCTTGTGTCTAGGAACTTGAGTGGAGATTTTCAATGGCTCTTCAGCTGATTCTATTCTGTCTCTCAGGGCACTCTCGCAGGTTCTGTTGCGACGGTCATCATTCTTGCATCCTTCAGTCACGCCTTGAGCGCAGAAGGACATTACGGTCAACTGGACGCTGTATGGCGAATCCAGATGGGCCTAGGGCTCGTCCCAGCCCTTGCTACGATCTACTTCCGCCTTACCATGCCCGAGGGTAGGAAATACTTACAATCTCGAGAATTGAATGGCTCGGGCTCGCCGAAGTCTGGTGTGAGCAAGGACGGAGCCTCCTCGGAATCTGGTCAGGAACCGCAATCAGAGTCACTGCGCAGTACTGTTCGTTCAACCGGGACCGCTTCTTCTGTCGATCCAACCACTTCGGCGCTTGAGAAGAAGCTCGCTGCCAGTGCTTCAAGCTTCGACAAGTATAAGCCGTTCTTCGTTTACTTCAGCAAATGGAAGCATCTCAGTGTACTCTTGGGAACGACCACGACTTGGTTCCTGCTCGACGTTGCCTTCTATGGCACGAATCTGAACCAGTCAGTCCTCCTCAGTGAGATCGGTTTCTCTACCGGCAAAACCGAGTACGATGTTCTAATGAAGAATGCGTGCGGAAATCTCATTATTGCTGTCGCCGGGTACGTTCCGGGATACTTCTTCACAGTATACTTTGTCGAGAGACTCGGTAGACGTTGGATACAGATACAAGGATTCCTAATCGTTGCCTTGATGTTTGCCGTCATAGCGGGCGACTATGATCATCTTGGAACTGGAGGGAAATTTGTCTGCTTTGCTATTGCCCAGGTACGTTGACATCAAATGTTCACACGCTTAACTGATTGCAATGTAGTTCTTCTTCAATTTCGGTCCCAACGCCACTACATTCATTATCCCTGCTGAAGTCTTCCCTTCACGAGTACGAGGGCTGGCGCATGGTACCAGTGCTGCCGTGGGTAAATTGGGTGCCATCCTGTCCGCACTACTATTCAATTACCTCAGTGGCGACAACATCATCGGTCTTGCGAATGTAATGTGGATTTTCTTTGCTTGCAATATCTTGGGCGCCATCATTACTTTCTTTCTGATACCCGAGACCAAAGGCAAGGATGCGGATGTGGTGGACTTTGAAGAGTGGCAGGAGAACCAAGCCAGACTGAACCCTGAGAAAGTCTAAAAGTCTGTCCAGATGCCCCGATCTATTGATATTGATGACCCATACTGACGAAGCATAGAGTAACGCGACCAATTTGTACCCCTTAACCATTTGGTTCATTACGGAACAAGGTGACTATCTCGACCCTTGGTGAGTGATGTATTGCTGGAACGTGAGCTACTAGTACTTGAAGGGGCTATTGTAACCGAGTCGGGAGGCCGACGACGGGCGTAAAGGCGCAATAGCTGTGTTATCTGAGGTTTCTGATCAGGAGATTGTGTGAAGAAATGCATTGTCCTTCCAGTGGAACAAGGAAGAGGTCCAAAAGTGAAATCGAACATCTAGCTTCTGTCTTGTTGGGTCAGAACATTCATGGATATAATCTTTCAGACTGGATGTTAAGTTTGAGATAGAATAAAGAATCTTAATGGAAGAGGATATGTATATGAACATTTTGGATCAGAAGGCAAGCACTGGGGTTGATGAGAATTCAGAATGAGGCTCCGAGTGTGCATTCAGATAAGATGGATACACCGATTAGCAAAATACCTGTCTTGGCAAGGGGATCGATAGATAGTACGTAGAAGCGGAATGCTGATTATAACAATGTATGCAGCAGTGATACATGGCACCGATAACCGGTAGCGTGAGAAATAAGAGGGAAGCAAGATCCTCCCAGGCGAGAAGAGGTTTATAACCTTGGCAGAAGTACTCCGTAAGCCTACACACAATTCTAGACACGCCTAAAAGCACGATAAGATAGTCGATATATAGCATCTACAGTACCCCTCATCAGTAGTAACATTTTTGACTGTCGCTCCGGAGACATTCGCGGGAACAGGTACAGTATTCCGGGATACGGATCCATTCGTAGCCCTTGACGAGCGCTATCGACGCATACTAATATTGTTGTCAATATCGTCGTTGTGAAAATAATCGAAGTTGATTCTGAAGACAAAAGTAGAAAGTCCGTGACTGGGGTAAAATCCTTGACCGATAAAATACGTTACGACCTTTGATCTCGGGTTAAATCGTAAAAAATAATAAAGGCTAAACCTAAGGATTTATAATAAGTATCTAGATCTTTATAAATCTTTAGGCGATACGTTTATATTTTTTTATGTAAGCTATCCTATTACAGGTATAAATTACAGTCTATTTTACGCCGTTGACGAACTAAATAGGGCGAGAGGGGTCCTGGCGTAGAAACCACTATGTCCCTCGTAGATGTCCCCGATGGCTATCGCCCGAGAGAAAAACCCCAAATCTCTGGGCGCGTTAAGCGCCCAAATTCGCTCGCCGAGAAGGCCCTTAAGCCTCCTTGCCAGCCACGACAGCCTCTGCGGGGTTGGTACCAAAATTTTGTTGATCGGTATTGGAGCTACCGAGAGCCTCGTCCATAGACCATTCCTGGGCAGTCAGAAACAGATCATTTCTGCCTGTCCACAGGTCTAGCGATCAGTCAGTCCATTATCTCAGTTTCTTGTCTTCTACCGACGCTTCGGCTGCTCTTTCTCCCAGGCATCCGCCTAGCAAAACTCTCTTACCGATTTGGACCGCACCCCCTGCTAAGCTACCTGGCCGGCGTTTCCTCCCAAGAACAGGCAAACAACAATTGCTCCGGAAACCAGACCAATCTCTTCCGCAGAAAGACAAAGGACTTCGTTCTTCCTCTACGGGAAAGCGACACCGAAACCCATTCACAATGGACACAAACACCACCACCAACCCCCGCGGCATCCCCTCGTTCCCGTTCCTCTCCAATGTCAACGAATATGTCAAATCGCTCGCGGATGTCGAAGCCACACTCACGCGGTTCCAAGAGATGGTTTCCAAGTACACGTTCATGCAGCAAAACGTCGAACGAAGGGCTGTGGGCCTGAGGGAGAAGTTACCCGAGATGAAGCGCACACTGGAGGTTGTCAGGTTTCTTAAGAAGAAGCGCGGTGATACCTCAACAGCATCACAGGCAGCCAAGACCGGCGCGGACGGGCTTGATGATGAGGACCTAGACGAGTTGGATTTGGAGAGGCCAAAAAAGCATGGGATCGAAACGACTTTCAGCCTGCAAGATACGCTCTACGCCAAAGCCACGATCAAACCGGCCGAGATCGATGAAGTGTACCTATGGCTCGGCGCGAATGTGATGGTCGCATACCCTCTTGATGAGGCGGAGGAGCTGTTGCAGGGAAAGCTGGATAAAGCGAAGGAGAGCCTTGTCGCGGCTGAGGAGGACTTGGAATTTCTCAGAGTGCAGATCACGACGCTGGAAGTCGCGATTGCCAGGGTGCATAATTGGGATGTTGGGGAGAAGAGGAAATTGAGAAGTCAGGGCAAGCTGCCTGATAAAGATGGAGAGGATGACAAGGGGAAGGACAAGGATTGAGCTGGGCTGGGCTGAGCCGAACCGAGCTGGACAGACACAGAAGCCTTGCCTGTTGATATGATGGACCATGCTGGAGCTCTTCATGCTGCCACGTCAGAACGCCCATGGCTGGAAGGCAGCAAAGCACGACGATGGTCATGTTGAGGGAGGCAGACTCGTGCGTACCAATTTGGCCGCAGGGATGATTTTTTTTGACTAGGGCCACCGTGGGTGCGAAAGCACATCGTCCGCGAAGTCTCAGGTCTCGACAGATATGGTTCTCGGAATAGGCATGAATGTGTGCGCAACGACTTGGCCGCCTGCGCCGTGTTGGACCAACGCACACTGTGAACTTGTTATGAAGATCTCTATGCTCTCCAGGGGGTGCCAACTTGGTCGCTTTTCGACACAGCAGCAGACATTCTCGTGTCTGCGAACCCGGGCAGCGGTCCAGCCTCGAACGACCCTCGACCCCCGATCAATGGAATCATGTATCTACCCACCAAAAAGAGCATGTCTAAGCCTCCCGGTACGACAGCTAGGCTTGAATGGAGGCGCCCAAGTGATGCCGACTGTCTACAGGCGGCTGCCACAAGGGCACGCCGACCTCTCGCGAAGCCTGATGGCAGAAGCTAGTTGCCGTAGGCTCATGCGTTGTAACGGTGCGAAGCGACGAGTCAAACTGTATTGCTATCTATATCTGCTTGGACAGATTCGGACAGATACCATAGCAAGGCGACGTTACAATCAACAAACATTTCTAGAGGGCTAAACCGAGTAAAGAGGCCTTTCTCATTCATTTAGAGGTTGTGTCTCTCTAGATTGGGTTTTCCATTATCATCATGGCCTTATGGTTCCAGCCGTGAAGCTAACGTCAACTACTGGCACCATGAATAGAAGTCCAAGGTTTCCGTGCAAATCATATTGTCTGCGTGGCATGTGTTGTAGGCACAGTCGCGCATGCTATCAATCGTAGGCATGTTCTTCGTTCACACATATTATTGTCCACCATTCGCTCCCCTCGTCTTATCATACAAAATGCATCATGATGCAACATTATCATCTCGTTATGCCATGCAATGCAATGCAAAGCTCATAAACTCATTAGTCGTGCAAGTGCACCTGCTCCTTCCATTCTCCTCCGAATAGCGCCACCTCCTCGTACAAATGACCGACGGCCAGCACGTAGGATTAGGGAATATGATAAAGTTGGCTTTGTGGGCTCAACCATTTTCTGCTAATTGGCGATGGGATTGGTTGGTGTTCTCCAGGACCGAACTGCTAGAGGTAGCAGTGGAATGTGCAAGGATGTGAGGCCCAGGAATCTCGTCACCTTGTGGCGCGAATATAGGGTCGAGTCCCTTACGCCCGCTTCTCATCGGCTTCAATGTCTCACCAGCAAAGCCATGCCCGTGATCAGGTGTCAGGGGTATTTCGGCTGCATCTGGGGAATCAGCTGCGACTTGAACGCCTGTAGTGGAAGCATTGTGTTCCGCTACAGTAGTGTCAAAGCGGTAGCCTCGTGGTGAAGGTGTTGGAGAGCTATGGCTTCGGCGTAAGCGGACCGGCTCTCTTGCTTGAAATGCGTCGTGGCCAGTAATGTGTCCTTGAGACTGTCCTTGGCTTTTCTGGTCCAATTCCTGACTGTGCTCAGCTGTGCCAGGAGAAATGCTGGACTGATTACGCTCGTGTGCTCCTTGACTGTCAGCAATACTGTTCTGTCGTGACCGTCTTCGCTCTTCAGTCTCTCGCAACATTTCTGCCGGTCCTTTAATTATCGCTCCACCCACAGCAAGCATGATCGCAACACTGAACTTGCCCCAGAGATATAAGGATTTGCCCCAACCGGCTTTCATGTCCTTTCGCATAGATGCAGACGCTTCGTCAGGAGGATTCTTCGTGCGTGTGTCGGCAGTCCGTTCATGGGATGCTTCCTGGATGGGACGTTCATCCCCCTGCACTCCAGTCTCTGCCGGTGTGCCATCGCAGCATCGATTGGCAATGCTCTCGCCGTCATATTGTTCCCAGTCCCACTCTGATTGTTCGTGTTTGACGGTGCGGTGCCCGAGGAATAAGCCCAGCACCCACCAACTCAGCTTTCCAAAAGCCCCCCAATTAGCTCTCCATGCATTTGCTATGACTCGTCGAGCAAGAGCAAGAGGGTCACGTTTGAAGCTCTGTATGTAGGACGTATATCTCGTCAAGGTAGCATACACAGTGCGAATGGTTATGGCGGCCAAAGTCCTTGAGCCCATGTTCCGTTGTTGAAGAAGTTCAATCGGGTTGCGTGGTCTTGCAGCATTCTGGCTTCCCTTTGCAGAATGGTTGGGGCGGTTCCCAGCTTGTCCAGCTGCTCGTTGCACAACAGAGCTTGGAGTCAGCACTTGCCTCGTGGTCTCTGATTCAAAGGGCTTTTTCAAAGCGTTCTCGTCGGTGTTGTCGTCCTCCAAGCGCCTATCCTTGCGGACCGAGTCTGCTTTGCGACGTTTTCGAGGATTTAATGGTGACTGGTCATAGTATGAGGGTGATTGACAGGGTCCTCCTGGCTGCCCGCGCTCTTTGGAGAACAAAGGTCGGGGTATATCAATACCGTCCCCCACGTGTCCGACGGTTGATACCCGAAGATCGCCAAAATCTCGTGCAATGGCACCTGAAATTATATCTGGGGAATCATCGGTCACAAGAACATTTCTGGCGCCTAGCCTGTCACTTGCAGTATCAAGCGGGGAGTCCTCAGCATCACAACCGGTTGTGGAAGTTCTCAGCAGCCAAGAATTGACCCGTGGGCGGGATCCTGGCGTCTCGAAGCTCGAGGCTTTGATTGTTTGCTTCGGATTTATCTGCTGCACAGGGGTGTGATATTGTGCATCATGAGCCCCCTGAGTGAGCTTAGCAAGTGCTTCGTTTATAGCATCACCTTGAAAAGTCTCCTCATGCTGAGCAAGTACCTGGTCTAAGTTCTGAAGAGACGGACCGGGTTGGTCACTGAGCTCACGGGTCGGGCTGGAAGGTGCGCTGCTATTAGAAATATCTGTGGTCGTACTTCGTGAAATGGAAAGAGTGTCTTCTCTAGGTCTGTAGGACGGTCCAGCAATATGAGTTGAGAACGGTCGTTTGGGCGAGGTGATAGGCGAGGTCGAAGGCAAATTGCCGTTGTCAGCTGTGAATGTCGGCAACAACAGAGGCTTTAATTGAGTTGAGCCTGGCATAAATTTTCGAGGTCTTCTCTTTGAAGCTTGTCGTGCTAGTAGTGGCGGTCTCATGTCTGAAGAATTGGTAGGAATGATTTCTGGACTACTCAGCGCATGAGAAGCCATGGTTAAGCGTCTCGAGTCTGTCACGTCTGTTGCTTGCGAGTAGGATATGCTGGTCCCAGAACGGACTGATTCCACATCGTCGGAACCTCCTAGAGAAGGTCCACTAATGCCATATTGATTTGCTGCGATGGGTGAGGATGCGACATTGATTGGAAAGTAATCGGCAATTGGAAGCGCCGGTGAGACGAGGACTGACTGGGGCCTGCTGGCTGGGGTTCGGGTCGAAGGAGAAGACGGCATCCGGGGAATAATCATGGACATTGGACGTGCAGACTTTCGTCGTGGTGTTGGAAGTTGGAAGCTTTGCTGCATCTTCGTAGGCGAGAGTGCGAGTAGCTGGGTCAAAACCTCGTTCCGCTTCTCCATGTCCATATTCGTAACCTCAAGGCTGACCTTTTCTTCTTCCAATCTGTCAATTCTCGCCCTCAAGGCTTCCATTGTGCTCTGGTCGATTCTCTTTTCTTCTCGGTCAACCTCCAAATCTTGTATGACGGTCCGTTTAAGATCGACTTCATCTTCAAGATCCTTAATCTTCCGCTTCAGTTTCATTTCAGTCTCTGCTGACCGCTCCACCGTCGCACGCAATTCCAATTCAAAAGAAACTCTCGTCATCTCGATTTCCTTGAGGAGCCGCTCATTCTCATCTTTCGCCTTCTTAAGCTTTTCTTTCCATGAGATATTGGTGGTGGGCGAATACATGGCATCTTTGACCATCTGCAACTCGTTTTCAATGTGTTCAATGTATTCTTCCGAATTGAATCGAGGTTTGGCTAGAGAAGTCTTGCGGCGAGGGCTGCTTCGTATGGAACGATAAGACGGCGACTCCTTGTGAGGTGATGGTCGCGGAAGGTTGACTGAGACCTCTCGGAGTCCCATGCTGGGCGACTCTGGCGTAGAGCCGGTGACTGAAGGGGTCTGAAATTCGCTTGAGGCGTCCTGATAGATAGAGGGCGTGTGCTGCCTCACGTCTTCTGTGCAAGATCCCCCTGGAGACCCTTGAAAGACTGGAATCGGAGGTCTCTTTTGCAGGTCGCGCACACGGTAAACGACCGAGTTGGTGATTTCGTTGAGAATAGAAGACTTTGGAGACGTGCTCTTCACATCTGCTGATCTCCCAGTATTGTCTCCGTCCTCTTCGCGCTTAATGAATCTGGGGCTGGAGTAGTGAGGGTTCTCGTTTTCGGACGATCGAACTGGGCGAGCAAAGGGGATGGTGAGGCCGTTCACAGACAACCTCTGAGCGGAAAACCTTGCATGGCGGGTACTTAGTAGACGCTGCTGGCGAGTGTGGGGGACGGATCTAGGGGTTGACTGAGCAGGATGTTGTTCGCGTAGGCTTAGAGTAGTGGTCGACCGAGGACGCGCGAGGGTAGCGGCAGGTGAATGAGGATGGGCATGTGCAGCATCATCCATCGTCTAATTGTGCCGGGGAGTTATGTTGTCATTGACCACTATCGCCGACAGGGTGGTTCGGTAGCAGGAATGCATACCATTGGTGTTGAGCAGAGCGTGGCGGCCAACAGGTCGGGTGTAGCAGGTGAATGATTCGTGGGAATTGAAATTAACTAACATTCCACACTCGCACTGCGAGGATGAGGCGATTGATGCAAGCTCTAGAAGCAAAGGAATGTGAGAAGTAGTAGAAGAGGAAAAAGAAGAAGAAGCAGAAGAAGCAACGTAGGTGAAGGAAAGACGTTGAAGAAAAGAATTGGTTCTATCCCAAGGGTAGCACAAGAAGAGCAGGCGCATACAACATCAATTTCGGAGCACGACGAAGGAAGAAGTCGAGAGTCTGACAGGATTCGGCGTGTTTACGTTTTGCTTAATGGGGCACTCGGGAGGGGAGGAAGCTTGGAAGCTCGATTTTTGACAGCCGAGTGACGATTCTTCCCGACCATTTCCGGGGGCAAGGATGGGCACTCGATGGAGCCATCGGAGGCTTGACGCAAGGATCACCAGTTAAACCGAGGCCTGGTGACCCTAGACTCGCTCTTCCAACGCGCTACCATACGCTATCACGTGTTCTCATTTAAGATGTCCAGCATCACCCCTTTTCACTTTCTTCACCACGGACGGCACTTACATAGGTAGGTAGTACTAGTTACTTCATCCAGCGACATCTTCATCCTTGCAGCCGGAAGATCCGCACAAGATAGAAGCGGTTCTCTCAAAAGACGCCTCCACAAACACGTACACGACTCGACGAGTACACAGTAAAATGCAAGGCTCAGCTGACCCATCCATTCCCTGTCAACAATCAGCTAGTGCCCACTCACTGACATCTGGCAAGGTCAATGCACTTTTGTCTACAGAGGCACTGAGAGGTCCCACAACAATGACATATCTACCCCAGGCCTCCTTCTTCTTTGTCGGGTTCCTTGTGTTGCGCTGCTGTTTTTGACTCTCGATCAAAGACTCGATTGCCACTCTCGCAATGGACGGCTCTACAAACAAAGACACCGTCGGACAAACGCCAGCTTTGAGGCTCTCATTCACTCAAAGGCGAGTATTACGGCTTGAGTTTGAAGATGGACTTCCTCATTCCCTCCATCATACTCACTTTGATCTTGCAATTGTTTTCGAGCCTACAGAAACCCCTTCCATCATTTCCATTGTGTTTAAGTAAACCCCAATATGTGCAAGATCATCCGCTACCGCTTCACCCAATGTCATACCGTGCCTGAAGGTTGCATCGGTTGCATCAAGGGTGACGGACTTACTGACCCCATAGTTTACGAGCTTTGCGACATTGCTAAGGGCAATATCCAGAGTGATCTGCCTCATCTTCCAGGATATCCGCCCCGTCACGACAAATACGACAATTTCAAAATCCACCGGTGCGATCAGGTATGCGATGACTGGCGCGAAGTCCGTCAGATGTGTGCCCATTGCCAAAGAAATTTGTTCCTTGGTGGGAATAAAGCTCCACGGCCGGATCCCTGGGGAGAAGCTTACAATGTCTTCTCGCCCGACAAGCCACAGAATGACTTCACATGGCATGTCGAACACTGCCCCTGGCAAAACCCTTTCTTTCGAGAAGTCAACTGGAATCCAGACCCTAGGCCTGTGCCTCTTGATGAACCTCCATTCAGTCCCACAGACACTGCCGGCCTTATGTATCATCACCCACTGGTCGGGATTGTGAACTCGTACGAGAATCCGACAAGCTGGGAATCAGCTGACGGTCGTATCGTTGACCTACTAGATACTACCCATGACAGGGAATTCAAGACAGCCCTATGGCCAACTCTTCTGGGTGGAAAATCACGCCTACTCCGAGAGCTTGAGCGGGAACAGAGGAAGCAGAAAATGAAGGAGCTCGAGCAAACCCAACAGATAGAACTCCAGCAACAGCAACAGCAGCAGCCACCAGTAGCGACACAACAACATCCCCATAATGTGGTGGACAGCCACATCAATGACCATAGCAAACAGACCCGCCCGGGCGGACTACAATGGCGTGGCAGAGACAAATCTCTCCCCGGAGCAACAGGTATTCACTCGGAATCTTCTCATCCTACAGATTCCTCATCGTCCCCCTCATCAGGCTCACTACCTAGTCTGCCTTCAATACCAACCCAAACTGCTGGACAGCAGCGAGATCAAGCTCAAACACTCGCTCAACCGACTCTGTTCTCTGCCGAGATTGCCGGACAACAAGCTCAAGCACATACTCACCCGCAAGCCCAGCTCGACCCTTTCTTGGACCAATTGTGTGAGCTTCTGACCGGCCCGGCTGGAGCTGCTACCGCCCAAGAACAAGTCCAGCCAGCAGCAGGCACTTTTGCTGACCGCCCTAGATCTCCTTCGTGGGCTCCTTCAACACCAACAAGACCTCGCCTGCCCACGGTGCCTGGCTGGCAGCCTGGTTCTCCAACAAAGAGACAGCGGGAGACTGGTAGCGAGATTGACGTCGAAAGATCTCCGAAGAGACGCGGACTCGATGGTGAGCGTACACGCAGTGCAGGCGATGCAGATTCCACACGCACGTCAAGTCCAGAACGTCGAATCCACTCCCTTCCTAATCGACCCTTTGCTGCCGTTGCCGCTCGGCCCAGGATCATACTGAGGTTACCTAATCCTAAAACTCTAGCCTCCACCGCAAGACCAGGTCGACCACGTTTGATTCTACGCATTCCCAGCGGCCCATGTCCAACCATTCAAGAGGTGACCCAGGGACGATCCCTTGGGAGACGTCCAATTGATGTCAACACCAAGCGTGGCCCTGCGAGCACTACCCAGAACAGCACGAGTAGCAACACCTCAACCTCCACCAACCTACATAGTACTCCGTCTGAAACCAACGATACGCAGCACTCGAAGAAGAACGCCGGTAGTGGTAGTGGCAGTGACAATGGCAGGTCCGCGCCTATCCGCAACTCCTCACCCAGGAGCGGATCCTTAGGAGACGACGAGTCTACACTGAACCCTGCATCCACTCCATCGAGGACCAGCACCTCCAGCGTGTCCGACCCCAGCAGCATCGACACGCCCTGCCCCAGCCCCAAGCCAAGATCCGGCGCCAACCTCAAAGGCGCAGGCAAAATCAAGACCAGAATCACGCTCAAACTCACCTTGAAGCCAACAGGCGTCACAAAGCCTACCACTGGCAATCGACCCTGCACACGCACTCGCGCTCAAAACGGACCGCGACGCCGTGCTCCAGCTCCAGCAAGCCATGCATACACAGGACCCACGACTCGCGCCCGAGCACGAGCGCAGGAGTCTGAGAGGGGCCCAATGACAAGGGCAAGAGTCAGAGCATTGAGACAAGAGATGGTAAACTATCGAGTCTGATTCCACCCCCTGTCCAAGCATAGAGACGGTGAGAAAGCGCCTCTGATATGGTGTTCAAATGTGAAAGTGTGTGGGCGTCATGTCTTCACGCACGGAGAAAATGCGCCGGCGTGAATCTTATCAAGAGTTAGGAAGTCGAGCTGGCCTCGGCTTGCACTGCATGAATGAAGTGGAGAGATCAGGCAGGGAGGATGCTTCCAATATTGGGGGTTCGACACGGTTCTGTGAGCTGGTCTCGGCTCGCTTTCTATCGAGAGAGAAGAACAGTGGAAGGAAGGAACGAAGGCTTGCTGTTTGCTTGCGAGTTTCCATTCTACTGTTACCAATATTTATCTCTTAGTAGGGACTTCGTTTCTCACGCTTTGCATGTTGCATGGTCGACAATTGTACCAGCTACTTACTTTTGCCAGTTCTCCGGAAATACTGCACATCGATAATCAGGTAAGCAGATGGCGTATGAATGGGACGCAGTCGAAACCCTGATAGATCGAAGCACCTGTATTCACGGTCGATTCGTGATCGGCCCACTGGGCCTTATTGATGGGAAGAGATCACTAGATTAAACGAGGCATTTTGAAAATCGTGTATTCATTCCAAGGAGCTTCCTATGTCCGTGGTCTGTGCATCAAGAAGCAATGCGACGATTATGTGTGTCTCAATTACGCATACCGATCAAATAAGTCCAGGTTCATTATCCTCCAAAGTTTTCAGCGCAAGTCAACCAGATGGCCACCGTGCAGAAATTGCCCCTTTTCCAACACGGTCAGCTTTCTTCCCCTCCTGGTCCACCAGCAAACGCCGTTCTCCTTTTTTTTTTAGCTAGCCCACTCATAGGTCACCGGAAGAATTTCACTCAATACATCCAATCGTCATCATGTTCAAACCCGCATGCAAGATGGGGCATGCAAGTTCAATCAGCCTCGTCAAGCACTCAAGGAGAAAAGAGGAAATGCATAGCCCTCGCCGTCATCGAAGCATTCAGCTTCTGCTGCAGCTTCCAGGTGAACACCCGATGTTGATATCTCAAATCAAATAGATCGTCAACGACAGTCGCCTGGCTTGCCGCCGATTAGAACGAAGCAAGGCAATGCAATGTCAATCGTCGTCAAGGACAATAACTGTGTCCGACGGCGGCGCGACCGCCGAAGTCTCTGCATGAGGTACCGTTGACACTTCTTTAACCGGTTTTGGCGTGTTTGCACGAGGCTTTCTCTTTGCCGTCGTGTACTTTGTGCTTCTATCCGACTTGCCCGGCGGCTCTCGCTTTACTTCCCAAGTGCCATCCCTATTGACGAGTATCGCCTTGGCGTCCAGTTTGTTCAGTCCTTCCAGCCTCGTGCGGACGTTGGCAAGAAAGCGGTCGAGTACCAACATTTGCGGCCGGGCATCACTCCTGCAAATCGGACAATTCCACTGATCGGGACTTGTCACACCATCATGATCGGTGCGACTGTCAAGGAACGCGTCGAGATCGAAGCATTCACGATGCTGACACATTTTACCGCGTACAGGCGTATTCCACATGGTTGACGTGAAGGGGTCGACAAGGTCAATGCTGATATGTGGCTGCGAAATGACTAACTCTTCGTCGGCGCTGATGTCGTTATTGCCGTTCAGCACGGCAATGATTGAAGCTGAGACTTCTTCAGCGGAGATGTGCCCCGTCATCGAGCGAACCTTCTCCTCGTCTGCCACGCGGGTTACTTCGATGGCCATCATGTAAGCAGTTGGAGCCTCTGATTGCGTAAAACTAACGCAAGCAATCACCTCATTGACACCGTCTATCAATAAGTCAGTTACATCCGTGGGTAGATCTGCGCCGTGGTGGACTTTGCGGCAGAAATCAACCCCCATATCACCATTGATCGAGACAGACAAATGACGTGGCCATCGTCCAGGTTGCACGACAAGATCCGACAAGGGAATACTCTCCAATGCCTGTCTGTCGTCTGAAGCTATGCATTTCAATCTGAATTGTGTGCTTCCATTGGTGATCTTTCGACGATTGACAAAAGAGTCCTTCATGAATTTTTGGCTTTGGGCCTTTGTTGCCCAGTAACATTCCGGAATTTCCAACTTCCACTGACACATAGGCGATTCAGCATCAAGCAAGGGTCTCAGTCTGATTACATTTTCGACATAGTGATACCATTTGCTGTTGGCTTGTGTTTTGGCATTGAGATTTTCGAGGACAGGACTGCACAGATGGACCTGGTGTAGCGCATGACGGTGGGGTTCTGGTATAGCAAGCGTCGGCAATGTTTGCGGAGCATTTCGTGGAATCAGCAGATCATTCTCTACCTGGCGCTGGACAATAGCCGAAGGCATTGACTGCGGCACTGGTGGACTGGTCTGCATCATCCTGGAATTGGCGATGGGCTGCGAGAGGCTTCCTGAGGGCATTTGCCCAGTATGATTATTGACGGCAAGTTGGGGAGAAGCTTGTAACATGGAAAGATGTGGCACTGACATAGTCACGACAGGAGCTCGGCTTGTCATGGATGACTCAGGAGGAACGATGGGCGGAAACCGCACTGAAGGAGCGCTGTAATAGACGGCAGGGGTATTGGACCGACTGGCATAGTGCGACCAGTTTGTAGGAGTTTGTTGATTGATAGGGTTCCCCCGAGGTACAGGAGCAGCGGGCGAGGGTTGCTGAGCAGGATATGGATATGCTGGAGCTGGGCCTCGAATATCCTCTGGCCATGGTTGGGCGGACGGGTCTAGAGGCTGCGTGTGATGCTGGCCAAAGTGCTGTAACCAGAGCTGCTTGTATTGCTCGCAGAAATGGTCGGCAGGCGTTCTCACTTGAGCTGGATAGAGCTCGCCTGCCGGAAGCGAATTTTGAGAGGGGTCTTCCCGTGCACATTCGAAGAGCTGTAAAGCCTTCCGGTCCCAATCCTGATCAGTCCCAAGCCATTTCAGAAATGTCTGGAAAAATTGTCTCTGAAGGACAATTGAAGAAAGGCCCAGTGTGACCTTGAGCTCGATCGGCCATGGAGGACATTGTCGATTGATAAAGTACTCAATGGTATAGGGTAACTTCTGGGCCACGCACAACAAGAACTGCTTGACAGGCTCCACAAGGCTGACAAGGCGCGAGCTTGCGGCCAGAAGTTGTTCGACTGGACATGGGAAGGTGGAAAGTACACGACCCAATTCAACGCTTAATTGACGTTGTAACCCCAAATATTGCTGCTGCAGAGTCAAAAGGCCTTGTTCATGGATTGGGGTCAAACCAAGCTGCGATAATAGAGCATCCCGACGATGAGACCAGGCACACAAGATAAGGTGCACTACGAGGAAGAAGGTATCGTTCAATCGGCAGGCCTCGCGCAGCATGTCGATCCTAAATTGATCGAAGTCCGGTCTCTGGTCCACGGTAGAAGGGCGATACCTAACCATTCCAAGCGCTGTTTCCAGCTGGGTACTAAGTAAATCGACGTCGGATTCTTCTGCGGGAGAACCAACCGGCGTGGGTAGTTGTGGAGAGATACGTGTCGACCCAGAAATTGGTGTCATCCTCTTGCTAGAATGTGGAACCTGATCATTGAGGAGGTCAGAGATCTTTGATCGCTTCCTCCTCCTCTCGCCGCTCACACCAGGCATGGAGGTAACGTTAGAAGGCGGCATCGCAGCGTCTGAAAGCGGAACGCTTGGGGGAATCGGAGCGGCAACTGTTGCGACACTGGTAGTTTGTCGTTCTGTAGGTTGAATCTCAACCATCGAAGGCCCGAATTCTGTCAAGCGCATGGTTCCATTCTGCTGAACAATGCTTGTGGCAGATCGGGCTGCTGTAGGACTTTGGATACCTGGATGTGGGAGGTGTGCTGCCTGGCTTCGAACCGGCTGCGCAGGAGGCGTGTGTGTAACTGGAACGTTTGTAAAGGCTTGCGCTCCATGCACAGAAGGGATTCCACCTGTTCGTTGGGAGCCATCCTGTGAATGCTGTGGTGTGTGTCTTCTTGCAATTGGGACTCGAGGTGTTTGGGGGGTTGTCATCCATGGTCTTGTGCTTCCACCGAGGAATAACTGAGTTGTGGCGTTTGAGGTTTGGAAATCGGCTAAGGCGTTGGCGGAGACGAGGCGGCTGCAGGCGTTGGAGCTAGTGTCTTGCATGTTTACCTGTGGTATTGTGGTGTTCTGTCATCAGAAGTAGGACAGGAACAAGCAAGAGATTTATGTGAGCGCAGTTGCTTGTACATGTCAGTCAAGCAACCAAAGACGGATTGCAGTGGAACAAAGAAGTACCGTTCAGGCGGTGTGGTCGCATTGTACCATGATTTGTTCACATGCGGACATGCAATTGCTGTACGGGAGCGTCACCTAGGTAAGGCTGGTCATTGGTCCGTATCGAACTTTACCAAGCGCCAGGTTGTAGTTCTTACACGGTCATTGCATGGCAGGCTGCAGGGATCTATCAGCCGTCTTGTAACTACCTACCAAAGATCTAGAGTGCGGTGCCAGAGTAACATAGAGGGGTAGCAGTCCGGGGTTCGAAGTCATGAAGGGATCATCATTGATTCTGTGGAGAAGGAGGAGATGCAGAGCGAGACCAGACACCCAAGGAAAATAAGGGCGACGGGCCAAGATGCGCCCGTTGAGTCGCCATCCCATTGGTTTGGTGTGGGCGGCGACGGGCGGCAGATCGGTTACTGTACTCGTACCATAATGGCTTCAACAATTCTCAACATCAACCTGCGCCAGCCTTGAAGCAAACATTCATTTCTAACGTCCTCCCCGGCTGCACGGACATTTTATCTTCTCGACGACTACCCTCCTCACGCCTCCTGGAGGCTTGCTCTCTAGCTGCATGTTGGACGTGTGTCACCTTCAACCTTAGTCTCCAGGACCACCGCAGCCACAAGATCGACTACGCGCGACCTCAACACCTCGGTGTCCTCTTCATCTATTTCCGTGTATCACACCTCCAATCGAACAGACGTTACCTCTTGTCCTCCCTCGACGCCCTTATATCGCCCTGCTCGTCATCCCCGACCATGCAAATCCCTACCGCTGCTTTCTCGCTCCGTCTGTCAAAGAAAAACACCGGCTGAAAGATCCATGAATTCAACGAGCGCACTGTTCGGGTTTTGTTGCACTTGAGTGCCTTCCCAACCACGGACCAACATCGATAATGTCGCTCTCTGTTCAGCAGCGCCACATGGGGACCTTGCAACCTGGCGATCTCGTCGTCGTTATCCGTGCGTTGGCTCTCTCGTACTTTTGGGCACCAGCTAATGTTGAGCGACCAGACGACTTCGACGCGCGGAGTTCCGACGAGTTGACCCTCCGGAAATCCGACCAGATCGAGCTCCTGGAACTTGATGAGGGTTTTGGCGATGGCTGGTATCTTGGAAGACTTCTCGACCATGGGGCTACAGGCCTGTTTCCTGGTGGTAGGTGCTTTTACCTCAACAAGAGATATCTATGAATGACACATCTACAGTCTACACCGCGAAGCTCCCTCGAAACTTTGCCCCTGTTGGTGGCTCACCCATGAAAACCCAGGAGCTCGGAGAAGATCCCCGCGGAATGAAACAACCAGGATCTCAAGGCTCCGACAACGGCGGCACAGCACACCATATGGTTACAACCTCTCAATCACCAAACCTGCTCTCGAGAACTTCTGCCGCCCCTCCTCCCGCCTCCTACATCCCCGGCATACAGCGCAGTATCGGCCAAGCGCTTTCAGGCACAAATAGTGGAGAGGACAGCCCGGTCATGAATGAGACTTTGAGTGTGATAGACGAGCACATCACCGATTTAAGCACCCCTCGTCAAAGCCTCGCTCCACCTCAGCCCATCTTGGAGGATTCGGAAAGCGATTATGGCAGTCATATGGATCGGGCGTCCTATATCGCCGGTCCTGAGACGGACAGTGAAGACACTTCTCGCTTGACCGAGACCGAAGTCAAACAGTGGGACGCAAAAGAGACGGCTGAATACCTGAGAAGCATTGGGGTTGATCCAAAGCACTGTGACATTTTCGAAGAGCAAGAAATATCAGGCGACGTGCTGCTGGAAATGGACCAGTCTTTCATTCACATGAAAGACTACGACTTTGGGTTGATGGGCCGTCGCTTAAAGACGTGGCACAAGATTCGGGACTTTCAAAATCAAGTTCGTGGCGCCAGAGATTCACGCAAGAGCAGTCTCAGGCAGACCAGCTCGACCGAAGAAGTTCCAAGATTGCATTCACGAGCGTTGTCGGGCAACACTATCCTACCACGAATCCCAAGTCTTATGGAGGAGCGAGGACTTTCTATTCGTCAGTCGCAGCAACCTCAGCCATACATCCACATAGCGGGTGCTTCGCCAGAGCAGCCACTGTCTCCGACCTCATTCGCGCGTTCACAATTAGGATCTCATACGCCACCATCTCCGTGGAGGTCTTCAATGGTTAGCGACAGTCCTACTCGACCTTCTGCTGCCTCAATCCGCGAGATGAATCATTCTCGTCGTCATTCGTCCATCGATTTCGCCAAAACCGGTCTGACAGATCCAGCACCAGGCTCTCCGAGACCCGCCATATCACACCCGCACAAGAAGATGGCCTCGCTGGACCGAGACTGGTCCATGAGTAATGCGACCACTGCCAATGCCGGCGAAAGTACGCCATCACTCAAAATCAGCACAGCTCCAGACGGTGTGGATTTGACAACAACCCCACCTTTCTTCGGCGCAGGTTCTGCTATCGATCTCGACCGTGGCTATTTCAGTGGAAACGAGGTTGAAAATAGAAAGACACGAAATTTGTTGAGGAAGAGAGAGGGCACGGAGAGTGCAGGCCATTCTCGCCAACCCAGTGCACTTGATGGCAAAACAAACCAGAACATGAAGCGACACTCCCGGCTTAGTAGTGTCGATTCGACCCGAAACCCTCCCATGGCCTCGGAAGCGGCCAAAGCTTACCACAGCAGTTCGTACAGAGGACGGTTCCGTTCTGCGAGTGCACGAAATCTCACAGTGCAACGATCGCCCGTTGTCCAGTCTCCCACAGTAACAAATCTTGAGGACGAATCCCTCTCCAACTTGTCCTCTCCTAAAGGTCTGGGCACTATAACGTCACCAGCTGTGGCTGCTTCTACGCATTTCACGACAAGCCAGAAAGCTCGGAAACTGCTAGGTCTCCGTGCTGCTTCTGAAGCCGTCACGGGGAGCGAGAAAGAAGCTGCAAGCTCGACAAACATATCCTCCGAGCCTCTGAAAGACAGTCCTCTGGCATCTCCATCAGGCTCTCAGACACCTTCAGCGACATCACGGAGCTTCGATATGGACAATACAGATGCGTCTTCAAAAGGCACGACCGAACAACTTGGACCGCTTCTACACACCAAGACACCTATGCGGACAAACCCGAAGACGAAACGACAGACCAGCGCATATACAAAAGGCTTACTGCAGATTTCACCGACCGAAGCTCGCCAACACTGCGACTATTCGGGGTGGATGAAGAAAAGATCAACTGGTCTCATCGCGCAATGGAAGCCTCGACTTTTCATTCTTCGAGGGCGAAGGCTGTCATACTATTACTCTGAAGATGACACTGGGGAGAAGGGTATCATCGATATATCAGGGCACAAGGTGCTTGTCGTCAATTCTGATCCCCTATCAACGCTTCAAGCCACCATAAGCGGCGCGACACCTTCCATGGGGAATGCAGCCTCTCCGACTGAGAAGTCACCGGATGTTTCCCGTGGATCTGGTGGTGGGACGCCGTTCTTCTTCAAGCTGGTTCCGCCAAAAGCAGGTCTTTCCAGAGCAGTCCAATTCACGAAACCTACCGTTCACGTTTTTCAAGCCGACAATATCAGTGAAGGCCGAAAATGGATGGGCGAAATCTTGAAAGCTACTATTGAGCATGATCTCTCGAGCTTCGAAACGACGAACCGCCAGAAGACGATTAGCCTGGCGAAAGCAAGAGCAAGGAAAGAGAGACCTCCAGCTCTTAAAGGCACCGATGAGGAGGAGGTGGCTGAACTTGCAGAGAAACCCACGCCTCTAACAGAGAAAGATTTCAACGAGGCTGGGTTGAACATACAGGGACTCAATTTTAGTGAGTCCCGAATTAATCTGTCGCTGACAAGTGGTCCCTTGAGCGCCACCAAATCCAGCCATGAGGGCGATGGAGGGACGCCAAACACATGACGACGTACGTGAGATTGGGTAGAATCTTGCAGAGGTGTATATAACCTATCTTTGAGGAATATATAATAGACTCGAACATTAAACATACCTAATCTAGGAATCATAAAGATCTTACTCCGTACTCTGTATGGGGTGCACGTATGAAGTCCTGACGCCAAGTGAATCCCTGCAGGAGACGGCAGGGCAGTCGTAGCCTGAAATCGACCCCTGAATGGTAGACGCGTCTCGTCAGACCAACTGCGTTTATTCCTGGGATCTCAATCACGTCTTGTCGTCGCTGTTCGGCAGCGAGCTTTCCTCCATGATTCGATGTACATATTTGGATTCGCAGACAAGCTGCTGCGCGTTCTCTTTCCAGTGGCTGTTTGCTTGACGGCATATCTATACCTGTACCCAGTGTGCCATGGTTGCGTCTTCCCTGCCAAAGATGCTTCGACAGTAACAGCCTTCACACAGACTCTTCAGCAACACTGGCCGTTTCCCCACCGTTCAAATGCGCGTCAATTTCCTTCGATCCCCTTTCGCTTGCTTGTCCTCGCTGATCCTCAACTGGAAGGGGACAGCTCTCTTCCCAAGCCTGAAGATGGATTTCTACCAAAGTTGGCACGCCGTTGGGCGAAACTCCGCGGCGATGACGTTCATAACATGATACCGCAGCTTCTCGGTAATGCAAAGGAGGTCTTGATCGACGATGTTCCAGCAGCGCTGCAGGCTTTGCGTAAACGGCTGGATTTATTGGGCAACGACTACTACCTGGGCCACATCTATCGAATTCTGCATTGGTGGACGGTCCCAAGCCATGTCACCGTGCTTGGAGACCTAATTGGAAGCCAATGGGTTACAGATGAAGAATTCGAATGGAGGGGTTGGCGATACTGGAACAGAGTATTCGTCAACGGGCAGAGGATAGGGGACGAGATTACGAGCTTGAGCCAGGAAGAGGAGGAGATTGATTTCAACATGACCGATGCGAGCTGGGCCAGGTACACTATCAATATTGCAGGGAACCATGATATCGGCTATGCTGGAGAGATATCTCACGGCAGAGTGGAGCGATTTGAACGAGTGTTCGGTAAAGCCAACTGGGATGTCAGATTTCAATATCCTGGGGGTGATGTTCCCAAGGACGAGACGTCCCCAATACCATCAATACACCTGATCGTACTGAACAGTCTGATCCTGGATTCGCCAGCTTTTTCTGATGAACTACAACGCGAGACATTCGACTACCTCAATAGCCTTATATCCCGTCGTCTGCGGCCTGTCGAGGATCAATCTTCGTTCACCCTACTTTTGACCCACCTGCCGTTGCATAAGAAGGAGGGCACCTGCGTAGATGCTCCTTTCTTCGACTACTGGGGTGATGACGACGGTGGTGGTGTGTATAAACCTCGCGGAATCCGGGAACAGAATCATCTGAGTGCACACGTAAGCCAGCAAGGTACTTTGGAGGCTCTTTTCGGTATGGGTGGTAATCTAGACGCGCCAGCACAAGGCAAGGGCAGATATGGGCTAATTCTGACTGGGCATGATCACGAAGGTTGCGATGTCTGGCATTACATTCCTTCCAACACGACATGGTCTGACTCGACAGAGCATTCTGAAAAGGATGGGAAAACGCACTGGGAAGCTGTTCCGTGGAGGGAATTGAACCAGGCTGATCATCATACGGGAGTCCGGGAAGTCACTCTTCGAAGCATGATGGGAGACTACGGCGGCAATGCAGGGCTGTTGAGTATGTGGTTCAACTTCTCGACTGGAGAATGGGAGTACGCCATTTCCATGTGTGGATTGGATGTCAGATTGTGGTGGGCAGTCCATGTCATGGACTTGCTTGTGCTTGCCTTGTTTTTGTCGTCACTGGTCAGCTTCATAATTCACACGCACTCTGATGCCAAGCTGCAAAGAGTGAGCAATAAGCATGACGAACGATCCTCGGACGCGTCCCAAACGTCTACAGAAAGCTCGGCATCGAGGTCCTCAAAAGGCACGGCAAGGAATGCTCCTGCAAAATGAAGTTCTTCCTAATGTTCGGTGCGTTTCTTGCGGATGCAGATCCTCCCTCCGTCGATAGACGCCACCTGCACAGGATGAAGCTCAGAGACACCTGCTCTCCATGTTGGGCGAGGGTAAAATCTATACAGTCTCAAACTCACCAAGGTCCGTTACAAGATCTTTCACAACCTGACTCCATCCTTAACCGACTTTCACGTGGCCATCAGCCGCAACAGGCTGAACCCCCCCTGCAGCAGACGTGAAATCATACTCAGTAAGAGAGATATCATTTTCAGCACTCCGTCATACTTCAGTCAATGACCTTGAAGCCATCGGTGAAAGATGATCACGGTGACTCAATCCTTCTTAGAATGGAGTGCAGGCAAGGAGGAGGAATGACAGAAATTCCTTGATGAGCTTGGAAGGTTAACAAAGCAGAAGTTGAACGCAGTTGCAAGCAATCGCGCCATCAGAGAGACCAAGGCGACATTGGCATGATCTGAGTCGGACATGGCGATGCCTCGCCCATATCCTCTGCTGAATTGCTGCGAGCGAACCGACGATATCCATGCTGTTGGAACAGGCAGTGAGAACGAGCGACGACAGCGACCGGAGTATTTCAGAGTGACAATCCCAAGGGAATCTTTGAGACCTTCACAACTTCGATTTGAATAAGACCATCCGATCTTCTCAATCATCCACTTTCCTCTCTCTTCACATGCCTTCTACAACTATTGTCGTCTCTTTGACTACTACATCCTAGCATCAACGACCTAGGCGCTGTGATCATTCAATATGGTCTTCTTTATCTTGTTCAATCCTTTCCTCGACACCCCATTGTCGTACCATTGGGGACAGGATATCTACGAAGCATGTCCATTGTGCACCCGTGCTCACGAGTGTCGCACTTGCGACGGCGAGACTGATGTCACATTCAAGCTGTGTGATCACCATTGTAGTGTGTAGGTCTTCCGTTCTACTTTGTGTCGTTGTCGTTCGCATCATCTCGAAGCCGTCATTCACTTCCTCGTCACAATCCCAACGGACCCAGCTTGAGCCGTCTTCTGCCGATCACATTAGTTGTCAATGGCAGTAAGCGTGTGCGACATGAAGAGTATCATGTTGTCAAGCTATCTAACCAATGGGCAGTGATGAAGCCCTTGTCGTTGTCATCCCTTGATCCATTTCCTAGCCGATCTGGGAATATAGATCGACAAGACAAGACGAGGAGTACTGAAACTGACATAAGCGCAACTCCAGTGACGATCTGACATACGACCCGACCATGCTGAACGAGATCCGCGACATCGTGCACCCGCTGTTCTCATCTGTCCCTCCCCCAGAGCTGGATAGAAAGCAACTCCTCAAAAAGATCAAGATCACTACCGCAGACCTTCCTCGCCCTCACCTCCGTACGCGTGGTCAGCCTACCATCAATGTCACCACCTCTACCACGGGCAGGAACGATAATACCAACGACGGCGGCGACATCCTCCCCCATCCAGTGGTCCGCTATGCGCATGGGAAGGGGTGTGTTTACTCCGACAAGCCAGACATCGTGGTCAAGTCTGCCGAGTTCGTCAAGACAGTCGACGCTTTCGCGAGGACGAGGCTTGACAACCTGACCAGACTACTCGACGCGGGAATTACCTATGTCGATAATGACCTGGAGCTCACTTGTACCCGGAACGAGACGTCTACTCCCACTTCAAGTGCAGCCTCAACGTCTCCTTCGTCTGCTTCGCCTTCAGAGACAGAGTCCGATTCGGACTTCGACACAAATACGACCACGACTAGCTTTACATCGTCTTCGGCCAGAAGAGGCGTGGAGGACGATGGCCACGCGGACCTGGACATCAGCTTAACCCGCCTTTTCGCCCGTCTCGCGGCCAACGAAGTTACCGACAAGATGCGTTCCGAGCAGATCCGTCTGCAAGCATGTCTCGCAACAAGCAGTCTGGCCAAGGGGCTGTATTGGAAGAGATGTAATGGAGTGTTCAGGAACGCGCTGGACGATGAGCTCCTGCCTGCTTCTATCTCTATCACGGCTTCGACGACCACCGGTGATTCGGCTGGCGAGGCCATGGGTGATGACAAGGAGGCGAATGCCACTGTCGATGTCACTTTAAAGACCACTCATGTAGACGCAAGCGAGACGAACGAGGCAACTAAGAATCCATTCGCGCTCACAAGCACCACCACCGACGAGGCCAACAATGCTATGAAGGCAACCTCGATTTCTCTCGTCACTCCAGGCGATGGTCATCACCACAGAGCGCAGACAGTATCGGGATATGGATATGCTGTCCTTGCCCCGACGCGAGCACTAGCACAATCCCGACTGAAGACTAGCGGCACAAAGTCACAAGCCAGCGTCAATGCTCTCTCGCCAGGCTCATTCAGCATCGACACTCCTCCCTTTTCTGCGCCAACATCAATATCAACATCGGCACAATTCTCGAGCATCAGCTCTCGCTTCCCACCTCTCGGCTCAGACACGTCTGGAGAAGAAAAGCAAGGAGACTGTGACGTGCCTAGTGCTCGGGCAGAAAACGAACAGGGCCACGACTCCGAGTACGCAAGAATCCACCTGGTCCGCACCAACCCGGAAACATTCACATTCACGTCCTCCATCCTCATGAACCGCGAGGCCATGGTCCGGTCTGGCGCAGTGGACGATGACGATCTGTGTCTCACCGGCTGGGGGTATAATCGTCTTGAGAAGAGAGTGAAGGGGAATGTGGATTGAGACATCTCGCGCATGAGAAAACGGACGGGAGAAGGTGGGATAGTAGAGCAAGAGCGAGGGTGCTAAAAATGCTGCTTTTTATGCCATCGAGATACTAGTAGTTTCCGAGAGGTGAAAGGGGTTGGACATCAAGTAGTGGATATCATCGGCATCTTACACGGAATCAACGAGGTGATCTTGGAAGCACAAAAAATAGCTGCAGAACGATAATCCGATTGCTGATATTGCTATTTCTCCTGTCTTTTTGTCTAAAAGTAGTAGCTGACCTAATCGGGTTCGCACCGCACACAGATGTCTGCTTTATCATCTGTTATTGAGCTATGGTCTGGGGGTGAATATCAGTGGGGGATATGTGGGAAGGAAAGATTGGTCCGAATGCCAGAGCCTTGCGCATTGTCTCCCAATTGTCGCAGAGACCACTTCGTCCAGTTTGCGTCCCAAATCGGGACATCACCATGACGCTTTTACATTCAAGCATCAGTCTTCTCCGCCTCTGGTGCAGCAGCACCCTCAGCCTCCTTTGGTGCCTCACTTGACTGACCAGCTTGCTCTTGTGGTTCAGCTTCAGAAGAAGTCCAGAGAGTCTAGAAAAACCAACATCAGAGAAAGTGTAGTCAGTCGGTGGAAGAATACATACCAGGTTATCCCGCAACAGTTGCATGATCAATGTGGAATCCTTGTAGCTTTCCTCGCTCAGAGTGTCGAGCTCAGCAATCGCATCGTCGAAAGCCTGCTTGGCAAGGTGGCAAGCCTGGTCGGGAGAGTTGAGGATCTCGTAGTAGAAGACAGAGAAGTTGAGGGCAAGGCCAAGTCGGATTGGATGAGTAGGAGCAAGGTCGGTCTGAGCGACCTCAGTGGCGGCCTTGTATGCTTCAAGAGACTTGTCGGCGGACTCCTTTCGCTTCTCGGAAGTGGCGAATTCGGCAAGGTAACGGTGATAATCACCCTTCCTGTCAAAAGCATGAGCACACGCTCGGGCACACGGAAGCGGCCAACTTACATCTTGTGATAGAAGACCTTGGACTCGCCAGTTTGAGCAGAGGGGATCAAGTGCTTGTCGAGAACGTCGAGGATATCTTCGCAGATCTTGCCGAGCTCCTTCTCGATTGTTTGACGGTATTCTTTGATGAGCTTGACCTGCGCCTCATTGCCTTTGGACTCCTCCTTTTGTTCAATGGATGTGACGATTCTCCAGGAGGCACGTCGAGCACCGATGACGTTCTTGTAGGCAACGGAGAGGAGGTTTCGCTCTTCAACAGAGAGCTCTTGGTCTGCAGAAGCCACAACCTTCATGTTCTCGACCATTTCTGCAAAAGGTTAGCATGAAAACGGACCAGATTGCGCGTATCTTCACCTTCATAGCGCTCGGCTTGCTCAGCAAGCTTTGCGAGGTAAACTGACTCCTCTACACCCATTTTGATGAGGATTTCGGGGCTGCTTTACACTAAGAAAACACCTGGTGAGACGACTGATTAGCGAACGATCTTCCACAAATGATGCCAACAATGCGTGCAATAGCGTTATGAATGGATCAACGAATGTCGTCTAGTGTCGACGAAGGCCAGACTGTTCTGCAAGCAGCTTCCTCGGGACCCGTAACGATTGTGGCCACGCGGGTTCGAGATTCGAAGTTGCGGAAACCAATGGATCGGATTGACGTCAATCAGGCGCGTGTGATGGGATTTGTGACCGCCGCTGGTGAAGGGTGAAGACAGAAGTTCTCAGATGTATTGGATCCCACGGGCGATGAAGGTATGGGTTTTTGATTCTGGATGGAAGCTCGAATGACCGAGGGCGCAATTGAGGGTTGTGTCGTCGCGGCTGAAGACGTGGGGCATACAGGTACCCCCTGGACAAAGAGGCAGAGATCTTGGAGGGTAGCTTACCGTCGAAAAGGAATGAAGATGCGAGCGAGAGTCGTCGACGTAAGGACTCGTGAGATTGGAAGGTAGCGCAGGGGATAGTGGTGGTGATTGCAAGATGTGTTGTGGTAGAAAGGGCAAGATGGGAATCTCAATTCAGACGAGACTACTAAGACTTGTGTGCCAGGACGCAGGCAGTGACAGTGGGCGGGCAGCTTTGGGCAGTGGGAAGAGCGAGTGAGGGAAAGCGAAAGGGCACCCAACCACAACCACACCAAGGGGGGCCAAAAAGAGGGAATCACGGGAGACAGACATAAGAGGCTTGGCCCGATTAGGGAAGGTCCCATCTGTCCACATACTCGTATCAAATTGCAGTGATGAGGCCTTTCTTCAAGCTCCTTTGAGAGCAGGCGTCAATTGTTTCAGATTCGTAGAATTTGTTTCATACATCGTCTTGTCATGCTACAGTCATCCTGTCTTTTCTCCCCGACTTGAGGTCATACTGTGTATTGTTCCCCACGGGCTGACTTGAACTACGAGAAGGGACCAGCATGTCCTCATAGAGATTGAGATGCTTATAGATTAGAGTCTTAGTACTCGCCATTAACACCTGAAACCTGTCTCGTGCGATGCTTAAACGTACGTTTCATACCTTCAATTATCATGTCCTGCTCGTACCTCCGTACTGTGTACTCCGTAGACCAATATCTGAAGCAAGTCACGTGCTATGGGCGTGATTGGAGTTTCCAGCTCACTCGTCATTGCAGCTGCAACACCAAGCGAGCTTCACCCGCAGCCGAACTTCAACTGCTCCATTCATTGCCTTTGCATCCCACTCACATTTCATCCAACTCAAATCTAATCAATCACCATGCTACGAACTCAAGTTGTCAAGCTCGCAAGGGCAACTCCCTCAGCCCGTCGGTCCTTCTCCGTGGCAGCTATTCGTCCTAGTGAAGGCGATGTCGGTTCCCCAAGATCGAGCATGCAGCAAGGGTACTACTCCTCCATCATTTCAAGACAATCGAAGAGCAGAAACTGACGAGATATTTCCACGTCCTAGTGACTCATGGCAGAAACGCGAACAAGCCAGCGAGACAAAGTACATCCGAGACAAGGAAATGGAGGCGTAAGCTACCCAATAGCGATTCCTCGCCCTCTGCCATTCTCATGTCTACGATATTTCCAGTCAAATCATGTTCCCGAGACTAATCCTTCGTCCTATTAGTTTGAGGAACCTGAAAAAGCGCCTCGCCGATCAAAGAGCCCACCTCGAGGAGTTGGAAAAGCACATCAACACCTTGGAGAGTGAACGTACGCTATCAACACCTAATCATTAAACAAAGAGCGATGGACTGATAAGAGTTGTAACAGGCGTTGATTTAGACGAGAGATCGAAATAAGTGCTTGAGACTTAACTCTCCACAACCACTAGGGAGTTGTTCTGGATTGTACCGCTATAACACCGACACAAATTGACTGCAACCAACAATGGATTGTATTGCACTCTGCGCTACTGAGTGGTGTTCTCAGCTGGGACTCAGTCTCTAAGTCTCTCAAATCCTTTACAAATGCAGAGTCTGCAGACTTCCAATCGTGATCGTCGACTCCTTTTGCCATTTCCAGTCAATATCCATGCCCAACTCCGAGTGCTCATGCTCGAGCCTGGCTTGAAGCTATTACGCACAGATATCAGGCCTGTTTCCTGGATCAAGAAACCAATGCTGATATCCCTGCAATTCGCAATCTACCTCCTGCCCATGTAGCTCCGATAAAAGTCTTGCACAGCAGCACCACTACCCTGGCTCATAGACCCATGGAGATAACCCAGATTACTTGCCGCCTTCTGTGCCGCAGCTACTTTGTCCTGGAGAGCGACCGTCCCCTGATCAATAGCCTGAAGCTGCGTGAGGTGCGAGTTCAGAATCTTCACGATTTGAGTGATCTGTGGCTTATCAGTACCCAACGTACAAGCAGTCCACGGGTAAATGCTTACTGGTTCATCCGCCTTGCCATTCTTGCTCAAGTTTGCGTTGGCAGCAGTAACTTCCTCGACCATACTTCCCAGATCGCGCTCCATCTCGTCCAGTCTCTCGCCCAGTCTCTCGGCAAGTTTGTACGTTCTCTCTCTCTCTTGATCTGGCCCACCCAATTCGCTAGGGTTCGCATTGTCCTTGGCAAGCATCTCATCGACGTCATTCTCGTACTTGGTCAACCAGCTTTCCAGCTCGGTCTGCTGGTTCTCGACAGCTGCAAGTTGCATGTCGACGCTCATCGTCTGTCTCTCGCATGTCCGTGTCCGCACATAGAGCTTGTCGATCTTGGAAGAGTTGTCGACGATGATCTGGTCCCAACGCGCGATCGTCTCGGCTTGTTCCTTGAACTCCTTGGAATAGCGCGACATATCCGTCGCCCAGTGCGTGAGAACTTCATCCATAGTCTTATTCCGCAGCCGGGATTGTGCTGGAGGCAATGGACCCGTCGCCGAAGTCTGGGCTCCTACGGCACTCTGACCAGCCGCTGATGCGGTAGCAGTTCGCGCTGCTGCACTGGGCGTGCTAGCAGGCTGCGCAGCTGAACTTGTAGTGGCTGGACCAAGAGAAAATGGGCTCGCAGCAGGGGCTGACGTTGTTGCTGGCTGAGAAGTTGCTGTCGTGGTCGATGGACCAAAGGAAAATGGCTTCGCGGCTGGTGTAGATGTCGCTGGTGCAGTCGTAGTAGCAGCACTGGTGGCGGCCGGAGCAGTCGTTGCTCCACCTTGGTTAAAGCCTCCAAAGAGTGGTTTCGATGCCGAAGCCGAACTCGTTTGTGTCTGTGTCGGCGCTGCTGACGCCTGGGTAGCAGGTGGCTCAAAGGAAAAGGCTGGTTTGGGTGCAGCGGCTGTTTCAGATGCAGCAGGCTTCGAAAACAGGTTTGAACCTGCGCTTTCTTTAGAAGGAGCTGCGCCGAACAATGATGGTGTGGTCCCGGACGACGTTTGCTGCGATGTTGCAGGCGTTGATGCAGTCGGAACGGCTGATGTCGTGGCAGGAGGCCCGAAGGAGAAGGGAGAATTCGGCGCTTCAGTTGTCGCTGGAGCAGCAGGCGTAGACGCTGAAGTTGACTCTGCGGGCTTTGGAGCTCCGAAACTGAATTCACCTGTGGCCGGCTTAGATCCAAACAGTCCACCTGATGGTGCTGAAGATCCTGTCGCCGGTGCCTCAGGTTTTGGAAAGCTGAATGTCGGCTTCGACTGATTATCCGCAGGCTTGGCTCCGAAAAGGCCAGCACCACCTGTGCTTGCGCCGAATGTTGAGCCAGACGGAGGAGGTCCAGCAGGCGTAGTCGAGGCGTTCCCAAAGTTAAAAGCATTGCTGGTACCACTCGCGGCTGGTGTAGTCGAGCCGAATAATGAAGGCGCTGACGTTGAAGGTGTGGAGGACTTATCTGGCGTACCAAATGAGAAAGTCGGTGTCGAACCACCGCCTACCTGACCGTCTTGAGGCTTTTGGGCACCAAATAGACCCCCAGATGATCCTGCGCCATTGCCGAACAAACTGGGTAGATTAGGCCTGTTCTCCGTCGTGCCAGCGGCTCCAAATAAGCCCTGCGAGCTTGTGCCAGTAGAGGCAGGCTGCCCACCAAAGCTGAATCCTGTGGTATTCGCGCCTGAGGTACCAGTTTTTCCAAAGAGGCCGTCCCCTGTTGCCGGTTTGTTCGTTGTGCCAAAGAGTGACTGGCCACTTGCTCCGGCAGAGGACGACGGAGGATTGAAGCTGAACGACATCCTGGAGAACCGTGACCCGGATGGGTGTTTTAGTGAAAGAGAGGAGAGGTGTCGCAGGTGAGCATCTCCGGCTGGAGAGCTCTGAAAGATGGGAGGTTGATCTGTGGTTGTCAAGCGATTTGCAGGAAGGCAGTAAGCGTGCTTTCTAGGTCACCGAAGTGAGATAATGTACAACTGGCGAAGTTTGTGGTGATGGTGTTGCGACAGACGCGTTCAGGCGCGGAAACAAAAAGTTGAAGTGCTGCAGGTGAAGCGCAGTTTGCCTGAAGTGGAATGCCAATGCGGTGCAAGCAAGCATCCTCGCTTCCAACCCTCCGCTCACTCAGCTTCTTACTTTTGTTGGCTCGTCTCTCTCAGCTTCCCTCCGAGAGACAGGAGCATTCGCATATATTTTATCCATAATGTCAGGGTCGCATTCCAGATCACAGTCGAGACAAAGTCTTGAAGTGCCCCGAAAAAGTATTGAATTGGTCGACCCTGGTGCACACGAGCGTAAGACAAGGCCACCTCCAGTCAACCTGAACTCCTGGGCTGAACTATGACCTTAGTATCCTCCGAGGGCGAAGAAGACCACTTTTCAGACGCCTCCGAAGGGCAGAAAAGATCCAGACCAGTTACTCCTGTCTCTCCCATCCCGAAAACACGAATTGAGAAAGTCGATGACGAGCCAAGTTACGGCGAGGTTCCTGGAACCCCTGCTTATGATAAACGAGCACAAGATGCGGTACCCGACGAAGTAGCAATCCTCTCGCCGAATAACATTCAACGTGCGTCCCTTGAAGCGCCGACAACCCCTGGAGGCACCCTGATACCTCGAATGGTGATCGAGAAAGTCGACCCTGAGTCTCCCAGCTATGGCGAGGTCCCAGGGACTCCTGCATACCAACAGAGACAAATGGATGCGGCGCCCGATGTCATTCTGAAGACACCTGATCCTACGAAGAGAAGGCAATACGCAGAAGACACAGATCAGGAAGGTTCTCCTCCCCAAGTTTCAGTGCCTGAAACTGTCATCACGCGGGTTGATTCAGAGCCTGCACATGGAGAGGTACCAGGGACAGCGGCCTACGAGAAACGAACTCTGGACGCTGCGCCGGACATTGTGGAAAAGAAAAGTGACGAAGCAGGTAATTCTAGCTTTTGAACACAGCTTGGGAGGACCATTGACCTGATTCAGGGTCGCCGACATTCGACAGCCCCATGAAACAGTCCGGGCGCAGATCAACCCTCGGAAACGACGACGACGACAGGAATGACTTTGGTGACGACTTTGATGACTTTGAAGAAGGCGCACAGGCTGGCGCTGATGATGACTTTGGGGACTTCGATGATGAGTTTCAGGTACCTGAAGTTGAAGCTGAAGATGCCACCGCATCGCCTGTAACTACCTCACAAATCAATCAAATACCTGCTCAACCTTTTGTGAGTCCTCATCATCGGGTCTCGCCTCTCATTATGTCGCCTCGCTGACATCACACCCATCTGCAGCCCCTTTTAGACTTCGACAAGCACTCTTCCGTCCCCGAACTTCTCGCCGCCACAAAAGCACATTTAGACGCCATGTTCCCCTCGTCTACAGATGAGAGACTATCATCTATGCCCTCGCAAGAACCTGTTCCAGATTCCTCCCCGATCTTCCCTTCCGACAGGTCACGCTCACTCTGGAAACAGTTGATAACACCTCCGCCTCTCCAACCCCCCAATTGGACCCAGTCACGGATACGGCGCCTGTTTCTTGTCAGCCTTGGTGTCCCAGTCGACCTAGACGAGATACTTCCTCCGTCGAAGCAGAAGAAGCTCGTTCTTCCTGATATCAATCTGGAGCCTTCGTCTCGAAACTCAGAATCTGACAAAACACTGGGCTCGGTAGCACGATTAAAAGCACAACTTGCGAATGACTCAACGGGTTCGGTCGACAGCACGCAGTCGGGCACTACTAAAGAGCGTCGATCCAAACGACCGAAAGGGCCACCACCTGCCCCGGAATTGGACTTGATGGCCGTGAAGCGTCTCTGTGCGACGACGGATGAAAAGTTAGACGGATTTACGGAAGAAGAGCTTAGGAAACACGTTAAGGAGCTGCAAGACTTCACTGAGAAGACCTCAGAGCTGTTGGAGTACTGGCTCAAACAGCGGGATGGGCTGCGGAAAGAGAAGGAGGCTTTCGAGGGTGTTATAGAAAATCTCGTCAGGCATGCGAGGAGGGTAAGGAAATAAGTCTTTTGGGGACTGAAAAGCAAACGCCCACGAAATCCTTCCACTTTCACTCTTTGGACCTGAGGTCCGCCATGCTGAAAGCCCCTTTCCATTCTCCTCCCCATGAGTGCTTCGTCAAGCCGTACTCCCGAAACTCGTACTCCCAAAACTGTATGGGTCATCAGTGTGCCTTTGGTGCCGAGGGCAATGTGACAGCTATTGGACAGGAACTTTATTCCAAGCACATCCAACTTTCTTCATCTGATATGAAGGCGCAGTACCCGTAATGTAACATCAAACGTGATGCTTCATGGAAGTATTGTTGCCCCCATCAACACGATTGGGTGACGCTGTTCACTCACCTTGCGGAGCTCTTGGCTGGTAGAGACGAGAATTGTACGGGACAGCAACTCCCTGCATGATGGATGGGTGCGGAATTTTAGTTCCTGCGATGCAGCCGGTCTTTCCTGTACATGAGCAACGTCCACGACAGTCCCATTATTTTCTGCTTCCACGCGCTGTGGTTTGCTATGCCGCACGGAAATGTACCTCCTAGAAATCCGGTGTTGGGTGGTGAAATTGAAGTTGAATGTCTCTGTTGAGAAAAGCAATACTACCAAGAAGGAAATGTTTAGACTTTGAGAAAGGAGATATATACCAGGCTCTAGTCTAGTGCGACGTGAGGCACTTGATGGGCGGAGTAGTGGTCATGAAGAAGCAAATCGGATAAGTTGGTAGTAGGTTCAGGAAGTATTTTTCCGGTTGAGTGGGATGTGGGTAAGGTATGTTGAATATCAAAGGGAACGATGTGGGACGGCGGATCTGGGTAGCTAACTGAAAGGTGAGCCGTTATGCACATTTACTAATTTGCAGACAACTTTCTCATGAGTCCCCAGAGCTCTTCGCAACAACCTGATTGCGGGCCAAATGGGTGGATTTCAGACACTGACAGCCGGAAGATTCATACACTGGCTCACAAACTGGAGCGCCCTGTTCCATGGTATGTCTGTAAACCACGGCGCCGGTGGGGGAATAATCACAAGTTGGAAAGCGAACAGCAGAAACAAAGCGTCGAAGAGAGCGATGTCTGAAGACACCTGGCACAGGTAGGCAGGTATTCGATGCCAGTCGACCACGGTGAATCATAGAGGCATGCACGAGCTTATGAGGTACGAATTTCTCCCATGTGCGTCCTTTCAAACTTTTACAGTCCTCTTTTCACATCTGTGCCACTTTGATTCTGGATACCGAATGCAAACTTTCACTTTCACGCCAAATGGACCCAAGTGGACCCAACCGGGCGTGGGAACAAGATTCCAGGGTTTGAGGCATTGAACATGCGGTCGGTGTAGCACTGGCATTATCACGAACACCAGTATTCAAGCCTTGACCCTGAGGTTGTTAAATGTCAAAGTCTTCGGACAAGAAGCGTTTGTTTACAAGCTGAATGAATGTAAGGAATAAGTTTGAAAAAGAGGCAGCCAAGTCAGAAGATGAGGTGCAAGTGCTTGATTTGTGAAAGAAGCAGGTGATGAGAAGAGTGCAGCGGTCATCTGTACGGATTCTACCATGACTATTCTGCATCTTGTTTGAGAGGAGAATCAGTGCAATCTACATTGGGCAAGGCTCAAGCAGGAAGTCAGGAGTCAGGAGTTCATGGTGTCTACCGAGTATTCACGTCCAAATTGTGAATGTCGTGCTTCCTTCAACAGGAGCGTGTCCTTGAAGAGACGCGGACTCTGTGATTGTGCCTTCCCTCAATGCTGCCTAAGTTTAGTTGGCCTCCCCTCTGACTCTCGCTCTTCTCTTTTTCACTTCATTCTTTCCCTTCAGTCCAAGACACTTGATTTTCCCCATCCACCGAAAACTTCGAAAAGTCAGCCATCTCCCAGACCTCATCGTCTAACCCTACACTTGCAGCTCCCAATCTGTACATATGTGCGTCTGGGAAATCTTTGAGGGCAGTAAGGGCATTGCAACACGCACTACTCAACTCTGACCATATTGACAATCTCAGGTGGCCCACAAGACTGGATGGACGAGATCTCCGAACAAGTCGGTTGCGACGTCCTGCATGCAGGAGATCAATACGGCGATGAGGGAGAGGAATATGATATCATGATCAAATCGATTGAAGAGACTAGAAACATCCTCGATAGCGGCAAATTCGATGAAGTTTTCGAGGAAAACCGCAAACAGAGACAAACCCGATCCAGTGACGGTGGCAAAACCGGCTGCTTCTTGCTCACCATCGCGTCCATGGGGGTCGGTGCAACTATCAGCGACAACCATAAGAAATATCTTCGTCGTCATGCGAAAACCATCTTTGGGGACGGGAATGCACTGGAAGAGTTCAGAGATGCGTTGAGGAAGTATGAGAGTGGCGTCCCATGGCATTTCAAGTCTCCAAGGTATGGCTCTTCTGGCGCCACCGATCCCTCTCTCACATTCAGCAGCTACCCTGGACTAGATCCATCTGCCACGGCCGACTACAGAAAGGATGCCAAGGTCTCGAAGCTCGAGTGCGGCTTTCGCAGAGTCCAATCGTCACGTCCCATACTGACACATTTTCCAGGTCAGCAGATGAGAGTGGTGCTGCTACGAAAGATGAAAAGAAAAAAAGCTGCAAGAGCAAGAAGAACACAAAGACATCCAAGGCTGCAGCATCTGAGCACGGCACCAGATCCGAAGATGAATTGGAGGCTCCTGTGGCTAAGAAACGCAAAATCAACAAGTGTAAGTGCGCCTAGGAGTGACTGCCGCTTGACTAGGCGCTAAATTCGAGTGTAGAAAAAACATGCACGGAACCGGCCCTTTCATGCAAGCTGGGAAGCATGAAAGCAACGAACTGAAGGTGGCCTTGGTGTCTGCAGTGACTGCTCAGTCAGATGTTCGACACAATGCTCAGCTTGCTGCAAGTACGGAAACCAACGGTGACTGTTGCACTGTGAAAAGATGAAGGTTATCGACTGTCGTTCAGAGCTGTGAGAGGTATCAACGTGAAGTGCTACGAACTATGAAAGAATGTGCTTGACAGGCTTCAGCCTTACTACCAATTGAAGTCTCAGAGTCAATACTCAGAAACATGACCGAATGTCTGCTCCAGGTTCCATCTCTGTACGTTGTGTGTCGCTTCAATTTTGCGATATCGGCGTTCCAGGCTATCATGTACGCATGGTGATGGAAATCTAATGGTAGCCTAGGCCTCCCACGGCCTCACTAGCCTCATATACCACTATGTCTTGGCAAGTTCGTTCGCTAAAACGGAGCGGACGCAATTCTCTCATTTAAATCCGCTGCTGACAACTAACATAGGACTCCGTCCCAGTTCATGTGGCAGAGCAGCGATGAGCATAGCACCGGAACTGATGCAAAGCAATAACAAATGCCATTACACGGTTGTGACCTAGCCCTCCATCCGCCGAATTGTACACATGCCATCGCAAGGGTCGATGCGTCCTGCAAATCCCTTGAAACGACCTAGGCAAGACCCCGTATCGTGCCAGTTCTGCCGGTCAAAGAAGCTCAAATGCGACCGTCAACAACCATGTTCAAATTGTGCAACGAGGGGCCTGCTCTGTCACGGGCCGCCTCTGTCACAGTCTCGAGCTACCCCTCTTCCAGAGGATGCTAACAATGCCTCGATCCTGGCCAGATTAAAACGGCTGGAGGACATTGTCATCGGTTCCTCCGGGCAGGCTGCACCAGATGTGCCGAGCGCGCTGCCAACGAGGGCGAACTCGACCTTGGCCTGTCTATCTCCGGCTTCCGAGTACGAGGAGGCGCTTCACAACCTGGAAGAAACTGCTACTGGGGAGGAGAATTGGATTCCATCTGGAACTCGAGACCTTGAGTTTCAAATATTATCGGCACAGCAAATGTCGCATGCGCCTGGCGTGTATCAAAGCCTCTCTGCAAAGCTTCCGCATTTCCAATCACCCCTGAAGTCAGTCTTCCTCCCACCGAAAGACGAGGCTTCCAGGTTACTGGACTACTATGTCAAATACGTTGATGAACTTCAACATGTTGTCTTTATGCCCCAAGTACGCAAGCTCATGGATACGCTATATGCGAACGTGGACCAAGGGCTTCCGGTTGGCCCCAGCCATGTTGCTCTCGTCCTGACTATTTTGGCGAGCTCTGCCTCCCTATCTTATCACCATTCTGGCGATGGCGTTATTCTCTTTCCACCATCGGTGGCCGTCCATGCGTCTTTGGTATGGGCTAACTCTGCCCTTGAGGTTCTGGAATATTCTCGGCGCACCACGGCTGGTGGGCTGGAAGACGTTCAAGCTAGTATTCTCATGGCTTTTCTGCTGTTTCACGTCGAAGGCTTCTCCTCAAGATCACGCCGTTTGTTTGCTGGAGCCATCTCAACGGCCCGCGACATAGGCATGCACAGACTTGACGCAACTCCTGGCCAGTCAGCAGACTCGAAAAAATCAGTCGACCCCGTGGACGTTGAGATCCAGCGACGTGTTTGGTGGCATGTTGTTGCCACTGACTGGTAAGTGCCTTCTATTGTATTGTTTTGCCTGTATTTAATGATTATGGCGTGCTCACAGGTTGCTTGGTCTGTGTGGAGGGCCTCAAGAAGGCACGTATTTTGTGCAGCCTAACCATTTTCGGGTCAACCTGCCGCGGAACATCGACGACAAAGGCCTCATCTACGGGCGTTCTCTGGTGGAGGAACCACTGTCGAAACCAACAACCATGTCCTACTATATACAACGGATTAAACTCGCTGATATTTGTCGCCGCGTTGTCGATTTAATGCCCCTGTCAGGCGTTTCTACGAGTGTGGATTATCAGCAGATCATTGCCCTGGACGCAAAGTTCCAGGCATTCTTTGATGAACTACCCACCTTCCTGAAGGTGGATGAGAAGAGTCGCCATGAGACAGAGGAGATCATGTGCCATTCCCCCCAACTTAAAATCCAACGCTACGCTCTAGGGATGATAGCTCGAACAAGGCGATGCAAATTGCACCAGCCGTTCCTCATTCGCCGCTCTGTTGAGAGCCATTATACTTATTCACGAGACATATCAATCAACTCGGCGCGCTGCGTCATCCGTCTCAAGAGGCAGGTCGAAAAGGAGCTTGATTCTGTTTATGTCGTCAATGTCAAACTACATGGAGTCGTGTACCATGTCTTTATGGCAACGATTGTGCTGGTAATGGACCTTTGTTTCAACAAGAACGAAGGTAACGACGATGTTCGGAAATCTGAAGTCGCAGAGGCTTGTACCATTCTGGAAGAAGCAGCAAGTCAGTCTTGCCTGGCCAGGGAGTTCCTCCAGTCACTCATGGATATCATGCGAAAGCATAAAGTCCACCTGCATCACCAATCAGGAGAGGCTGCGGAAGATCCGCACCCGGGGCAGGGCCTTCCAGGGTCTGAAATTCCAGACATTGCGAAAGTAACAGAACCTGAGGAGACTCGATTATTGCACAGCTTTTTCCCGCCACAGGACAATTCTCAAAACTACCTATCAGATTTCGATGCCATCTGGAAGGACTATGTTGAACTAGGACCTAACATGGACGTGCCGGAATGGGACAATCTTTTCTCTGAATTGACTCAAGGCTCCCAGATCCCATGAGGCAAGCCCCTGATCCGTCGCAAGATCGGTCTGGCCGAGTATTATGACGTCGGAAACAGAGGGTCCTGATGGAATGGGATCATGACAATGACTTGCAGCTTCAGGGGCGAGAGAACAGGCAGACAGGAGCACCACAGGTGTCCAGTCTTGTAGCCAAAAGAATGTCGAGGCAAGGCTTAGGGATAAATAAAGCGGCGGGATTTCAGCTTGGCGAATCAGGCTGGACTTCGATTCGCAATCAACGCGAGGCTCTGGGCAAATGCATACTCTGTACTCCGTAGACCATTCACTGCGATACTCTTCGGTCTACACATAGACAATCTCTTTAACTACCGGCCCTTTCGACGAGTAGGCCACTCTTCAATACAGGGTTTGTACTTGATAAGATCCCCTCGCAAAGCCTTTGGCCAGCGACTTTCGCCAATCCGCCAGTTCATCACCATTTACCCTCCGCCGCCCTTTTCGTGACTTTCAAGATGCCTGCACCCACGGGCTCGCAATCTACTTCCCTCGACGCGATCCTCCATTCGCTTCAACAGTCTTTCGACCACGGCGACGCGGCCCAAGCACACTCACAACTACAGAAAGCGAAGCTAGCTCTTCTACAACAGAATGCCCTCATACCCTCACAGCAAACACATCCTTCCACGCTGGCGACGGCACGATCGATACTAGAGGCCGGTGCTCTTCTGTCAATACGCTCGAGAGATCCTGAATCTTTTGTGCGGTACTACTCCCAACTTCAGCCCTTCTACGACTTCCCCGGTCTGCAGCAGACTCCCTCCCAGAACCGATCAAAGCTTACCGGACTTTACTTGCTTCTACTGTTGAGTCAGGGCGACTATGCTGGCTTTCACACACTGCTGGAATCTTTGATCGTGGCAGAAGGCTCGAATGGCGCTTCAACAGTGGAGGATGACCAATACATCAAATACCCAATCGAACTGGAGCGAAGTTTAATGGAGGGAAGCTATGATCAGGTGTGGAGAAAGACGAACGGCCGAGACGTTCCTGGGGAGGAGTTTGCCTTGTTTTCGGATGTAAGTCCAGTCCAAGAAAAGAGATGCCAGTGCTAAGACCTTAGATTCTGATCAACACGATTCGACTGGAGATCGCCTCCTGCGCTGCCCGCTCATATCCCTCTCTTCCAATTGCTTCGGCTAAGAACCTCCTTTTCCTTGATTCCGAAGGCGCTGTGATGGACTTTGCAAATGAACAGGGTTGGAGTCTTGAAGAAGGTCGGATATACTTCCCTGGATTGGAGGATGCGAAGAAGACGGAAGAGGGTGACCAGAAAGAGGTGATCAATCATATGGTCGGATATGCCAGGGAGCTGGAGATGATTGTTTGATGCATCTATGTGCTGGCAAAGGGGGCCTCACTCAGTACTCATAGCAAGATCAGTGGTAGAAAGATCACAGCAGGCGCATTGAGAAACCATTGACAGGACGGCTAAACAGCAGTTCTTCCCTGTCTATTCGGGACAGGTCTATTTCATCACAAGGCCGCTAGCAATACAACACGGGCTAATACTACAAATGCCAGGCCCTTCCAGCACCAGCTCATTCCATTCTGATACATTTCCAACTTTATTTTGTCCTTTTCGGCCAGTCTTCATCATCATTTAGCCTGGGACCAGGCTCTGAGCGCGATGTTGGGCCTTGAAGTCATCCAGAAATCTCCACGTACAGATCTTCATATCATAGAAGCTAGTGCTAACGATCGTATATGATGGTGCCTCTTGCTGTCCGACCTGCCCGGGCTCCTTCTCTGCACCTTCGAGCGTGGCGTCGCAGCAATACACCATGCTTTCATGTCCTGCTCGAAACCTAGATAGAAGATTGATTGTCCATGTTTCCGCATTGGAGCTCGGAGTATGCGTAAGCCGAATGATTGCCGCACCGGCATGCATTAAGGAGGCGAGGATGAGCGTGTGATGTTGGCGTTGTTCCCCAGTTGTGGTGTATTGATCCAGAACTTTCAGCCGCCATACGCCGCCACCAAGCCTCATTTCCGTCTTGAATGTGGCGCGATATGTCCTTGGGTCAATCTCGAAGACCCGCAAATGCTCATCGTAACTTCCTGTGAGCAGGGGGATGATTCCTCGGTTAGGCTCAAGACCATCGTCACTCCAAATCGTGAGTTGTGGCAGAGGGAGAATGGCCACAACACCAGCTGTATGATTTCGCCGGTCCTTCCAAAGTGGCATTGCAGTCGAAGACGTCGTATCATATGCTAATACCGACGGCGTCCCGGGCTCAGATCTCGGGTTGGGAAGTTCAATAGCTGATGCAATGAGCGCACTATCGTCCCCTCCGCTGAAAATCATCCGACAAATTGTGCCATTCTCACTTTCTTCCGGCAAACGCAGCGCCGCGGTTGCAACAGTCCATGCTTCCAGGTCGTGCTTGTGCACATCAACAATCGTCACGGGGAGCGGCGGCAGGTCCGGACCGGCTCGCTGGTCGTATAGATCCTTGATTCGCGCAACGGAAGTGCGGACGATCTTCGTCTCGCCAAAGGATGTTACTGCCGCGAATGAAATATCCTGAACATCGCTGATGCCAAGTATACCCCGGCTGCGCAGGTTAGGGAACCAAGTAAACTGCGTTACGAGCGGTGTGAGGCCGTGCTCGTCACTGGCGCTGACGGTCACACTCCCGAGAGGCAAAAGAGTGGTGATGACCCGCCGGCCGAGCACGTCGCCATGTTTGATGAAGCGGAAGATGTGTACCTGCGCGCTGCTGGTTGCGATGCCGAGCAGCGTGGCGTCAGTTGGGTGGAAATGGATGTCCACTACGGCACTTGGAAAGGCAACACGGTCGAGTTGCGGTGGGAGCATGCCGGCGTATTTGGGCCGGAACTCGGGCCAGAGTGTGAGTACTTGTAATGTCCCTTGGCGGGTTTGGCCGGCATAGGAGCGTGGTGAGTCTGGTTTGAGCAGGGAGTAGGTCCCGATGACCATGTACTCGGGGTACTCGGGGCAGATGGCGACTGCATCGATCTCTTGATCGGTTGTACGGCCTGTAAACGCGATTTCGGGTGACATTATGAGGATTGGTGGATACAATCTGGGTGTCCTGAGGGACGATTGGCGTTGTGAGCGATTCCGATCGATGTTGGCGCGGGCCGCCTGCATGAGGTCGTTTAGAGAGCGTAGAGGAGTGGGCATGGTGTAGATAGAGAGAAAAAGAAGGAACGGTGATGGTGATACGGATGGTTGCAGACTCATCGCAAGGTAAAACTTACTCTGGTAGATTCGAGCTTGTAGCATAGGTTAGTCGTTCAGGGAAGAGAGAAGGTTAACATGAGTAACAGGTGTTGCTCGGTGTGGCAGGAAGACATGCTGTGAATGGCTCGATAGCAACCAAGTGACTGCTAATACCTAGTGTCCGAGAAAGAGGCCATCAGAGCTCACATGAGGCTTCTGTGTAGTGAATACCGTAAAGTGAGGGCAGAATTTTCAGCAGTTGGCAAGGCTGAGTTTTTGGCTGGATTCTCTTGCACATTTTTTGTTTATAACATGGCATCTCTCGGTCCCCCCATTACAAGCATAAATCCTTATAGTTAGAACTGATCGGCAATGTACTCACCAACTCTGCAATCGAATCTCGAGCACGAAGTACGACCGCAGAGCCTCAGATATGTCGGACGACGTTGCCATGGATCCGAAGACTCAGCCTGATCACGTGATGTGATGAGGCGTTCTGGCCGGGCGACGGGGAGGACGTCAATCTGTCAGTTTCTGTCAGCCTCTCCTTTATCTATCGCGTCACCCGACGGACGCGGAGCCTTCCACTGACTCTCTGGCCTTTCGAGGGTCTACTCGCGTCTCTTTAGTGCTGTCAAAGATGCGTGCAATTTCCCTCGACCACTGTCCTCTAAGGGGGACGCGCAGCGGTCCCAGGCCACGAGCACCCAGGTGTCTACTCAAGACCAATCAATGGCGAGGTAGGGTCTGAAACACTAAGTCTCGAGGTTGGCGACTGCCACCGCTCCGGTGCGAGTGCATAGCAGAAGTACTTTACTCGCTCGTTCCCTTATGAAGATACCACTACTTTCACCGTTATCGAACTGCTTCAACTTCCAAGATGTATCATTCACTCATTTTCAGCTTCATTGCGCTGTTGAGCCTCGGTCGGGCGCAGGTCGCTTGGTGAGTATGCGACCTTCCTCGAATAGAAGGTTTGACTAATTCTGAACCAGTGACCTCCGACTGCTATATACTCGCCTTGTAGCGGATGTAGAACTTGCAGATGCGTTTTGCACCGAGTTTCTGGAAGGCAGCATGATTTCGCGAGATTTCACGCATCAATTTGGGCCGGATTGCGAGACATATCAAGCAGAGTTGAGCATAGGATGTTCAATATTTACTGCTGCGAAGCAGATCTTCCAGCCGACCACATCTGCGATTGCAGTGGCCATGTCTGAGACGGCCACTACTGCCGACCTTTGCGCCCACTCAGTAGCGACCGTGACTGTCACTCAATTTCAAAGCCAAGCGCGCTCAGTCGAGACCACCTCCGTTTCACCACATGCCCTGACTCCTCATGTGCATCAAATTCCTCTCGGTATGGACATGGCAGACTCCGAAGACCACGCAGCTAGGGACTCTAGCACCTTAACATCTATCACGACAAGCACCTTTTCCAGTATGACCACTCCATCACTCTACAGACCTCTCTCTTCGAGCCTGTCGACGACAATGAGCACTGTCTACCGGACCCCGATATCTACATTGGCAACGCCGTTGTCGACCTCGACGGGCAGATACATCCCAGCAGCTTTGCCTTCAGCCATTGACCGCCACGTCTTCAGCCCGTTGGGCGATTTGTCCATCCAGGAGTCTTCTTCTTCGATTACGGGCGCGGTGACTGTCAACGAATTCCATGACTCAGACTCAGAGGTTGTCACTCCTTTCACTATGGTCTCCTTTCCTGGGGAAGCCGCAAATACGTGCGTTCACTTAACAGGTTCATGGACACCGGTTCATACCAATGTGGTCTACGAGTGTGTTTCCAGAACCCGGGCTCCGGGGCTCAACCCTCAGAACCATCCCAGCGCATTCACTGGGCTTAGTTTCACCACTGAGGATGGCTCTTCCTCGATCGCCAATAGTCGTCCTTTTGGCCCAGGGCCTGAAGGTGATTACGAGGAGTTGAGCTTAGATTTGTTTGTTTCAGAGGATCATACTTACACCGTGGACTTCTGGGCATGTGGTCCAGGAGCGTCTCTGGCGATTGGAGAACTGAGTTGTACGTACTATGGCTAAGCCAATCCGATTCTATCGGTTGATGAACTGGCTTCAAGGCGGAGAAGTGTCCCTTGTCGTCACAAGACAAAGGGAGAGAATGCCTCAAAGAGGTCTTGGTGGACCAGTACCGAAGAACGATTGGTCTCCAGGGAGGATTCAGGCTCCAGCTTGTATATGGTGAATCTTTGGCACATATCATGATTAATGACGAGAGACCATGTTAATGAAGAGTTGCAGGGCTGGTGCTCGTCGACCCAAGGAGGACCTTGCCAGAGGGACGCCCCAGACTACAGACTTACCTATGAATATTTGCGACAATGCCAATGAGAGGATGTCAAGACCTTGAGGATTGGCGATTCTCCTTCTTCCGGCTCGCCTGGTTGGAGTTTATGACCCTAGTCTGCCTGGCTGGTCTAGTGTTTCAGCCCGATCACGATCCTGATCTTTCAACAACATTCTCTTTTTCTACCTTGTTTGCCGCGCACCTTCCAGGATCGTTTTCTGGATCTCACGTCTCGGCGTGTTTGTACATCATCTGTCAATAATTCAATTCTTTCATCACTTTGATTTCCTGCCCTTTATCATGTAGATCGCTTTCCATTGCGCGAATGCTGTAAAGATGCCTGTTCAAGGCACTTTATCTGATTTCTTGACTACACCACATCAGGAGTGGGTAGCGGTACCTGACGACCTGATCAGCGAAGAATCAGACTTTCATGGTGAGTGAGTTTGCATTCGAGAGCCAAAATCACTGTATTCACTGTGGCTATAACTGTGATTGATGCTTGTTTGTACAGGCAATGCCGACACCAAATCGTTCTACAACAAGCTTGCGGCTTCCTACAATCCTCGGAACTACTGGACCATCCACGAGTGGAACCTTCAAGTCATTGCAGAACAGGGCAAGCAAGCGCAGAGAAAAGCAGCCGAAGATCGCGCGAAAATAGATGCTAAGCAACATGTGAAAACCGAGTCGACGCCAAATCCCAGCTCTGCCGGGGAGCATCATAATGTGCCACAGGACCGGCAGGTCAAGCATGAAGATGGCAGACCTTCTGATGAGAGCGATAAACTGGTTGTCGACACAGTTGCGCCAGCTGCCGATGACGCCGGTTACACTACTAAGGACAGTGAGCAGGAGGAGGTGAAGCCACAGAATTACTACGAAGGGAAAGAACTGGCAAAACAACTCTCGGAGTCCTTTCCAGACTTTCTCAAGAGACTTCCACCCTCCACAACAACGACCGCCAGGGGACCGTGGATCTGGATCGCCAATCCTTATCCATCTCTCAAAAGAAACTCAGCAGGCAAACGCGTCACAGACCCCGAGTCCTCGGATATAGCGACTTTCCGTCAACTCGGGTCTCGGTTACTGGAAGCCTTCAGCTCACGCAAGGAGGAGGTCGAAGCTCAGAATCCGGGCAAGGCGCCAGGCACTATCACACGCATCCTCCGACCGGACCGTATGCGTCTGGAATCTGCGATCCGTGATCTGGCACGCGAGAAAAACGTCACATGCGGCAAATGGATGCTCTTTCCCAACGCTAGCGACGTTGATTGGGCATGGTCGGTCGTCGCGAGAGGCGTGTGGGAGGGTAAACTCGGCATCTCTGCAAAAGTGGCCACGGCCCCGGTTGGTGCTGCTGCGGCGGTGGATGAGGCAGTGGAAGGAGCCAGAGACCGGGAGCAGAGATTGATCTGTGTTTACACGTATGACTTCTCGGACAAGAACGATGTCAAGCGCGTACTGCTGGGCCTGAAACAACTCGGATTGCTGAACAGCGACAATTACAGTGATGGAACCCGCGCTAGCAGTGGTAATGCGAGGGTGATCTACTACAAGTGCGATGCGTACACTCATCTCGACATTTCGAGCAACAATGAGTACAAATTGAAGGCGAGCATGTACAACAGTCGGGATATGCTTGCCGAGCGTTAAGACAGTTGACGGAGGAGTCTATGATGTCGTGAAGAGAATGGAGGGATGCTATCAGGCATTACTCGTGGGCCGCAGCTGCTGTCAATGTACAGTGTCACAGAAGAGGAAGCACAAGAATCGTTGTGTTCTGTCCGAGTCGACATCGATGTCAAATTTAGTGATACCCAGAACGCGATTATGAAGGGAGAAAACGAGGATGAGTTCGTCGAAAATTGCAGATTGTTGACATGGATGAAAGCAAGGCAGAGCTAGCGATGGCGTACGGTGTACATGAAGACCTGAGATCCACCCTCCTGATGAGCTATGCCAATGATGATATGATTGATTGAAAGCCGGACTCAAAGGTGTCTAAAAACCCTGCCCGGGTGGTTGATGCTTCTGGCCATTCCTGTCTCGAAGAACTTGTGCGTACGCGTCGCTCAAGCATGGAAGAGGCCTTTTCGCCGCAGGCCTCGTGGCGATGGCTCAAGGTATGTACAGATTGCGAAACTCCTCTGTCGAAGTACGAACTCACTTCTTGCCTTTCGCGCCCTTCTTTGCAGCACCGGTACCTCCCATCGCAGCCTCACGCTTCTTGGCTTCTCGATCGTCTTTATCTTTCTCACGCGCCTCACGCTCCTCCTTCTCGGCCTGTTTACGTGCAGCGGCGGCCTCACGCTGTTCTCGGATCAATCTCAGCCGAGCGAGATCCGCCTTGGCTTCGTCCGTCTTGCCCTCGGCATGGAGTTTCTGGTACCGCTCCTTGGCCTGCTGCGCCGCAATGGCCTCACGCTCCCGTCTACTCAGGTTCTCTGTATCAGTCTTCTTGGGCTGTTCACCGCTCGCGCCAGTGGCTGCTCGAGCCATGGACCGTGCTTTCTGTGTGTGGTTTGGGTTCGCAGGCATGTCCTCGTCATCGCTCTCTTCCTCTTCTTCAGAGTCGCTGGGCATGTCACCGACAGCGGCGACTTTCTTGTTCTTCTTCGCGATGGCGGCTTGCTTCTTTAGTTTGGCGGCCTCTCTGCGTTGTTCGCGGGTCAGTTCCGTGGACCCTGCCTGCGCTACGGACGAGGACGGTCCTTCTTCGTCGTCTGAGGATTCTTCTTCGGATGACTCTTCCTCCTCGTCCTCTTCAGACGAGTCTTTTGCCTCTGCAGGGTCTCGCCACATGCCCATTTGGTGGCCCTCTCGGTCGAGGGGTTGTAGGTCTCGTGAAAAGTGCTTGCCACCTGGACCGCGATTAGCATGGCGCATGCGGGCCAAAGGTATGAGAACAGGACGTACCTCCTCTGGTGGGCTTAGAGAATTTTCCTCCTCTGCCTCGCGGTGCCATCTTGCCAGAAACCAGCGTTGAGTTGTACTCTTAGGTGTACGCGATCAAGTAGGTGGAATTTCGCAGGGTTGAGAAAATTTGATCAATACTTGACTGGAATTCGGTGGCGGTAGGATCTCACTTCGTTGTGAATCGAAATCTGAGTGATGTCCTGGTCAGTGCTGGTCTTTCTTTCACCGTTGTCAAGCAGGATCTTTACAGGCAAGTGATAGTCACAAAGAGCGGTGGCTTTTGGTCGTAGCCAAAGAATCTTTGTGTCTAAGCGCGGATCGTATGACGTAGATTGTCGCAGGGACTCACACTGCCTAGACCCGAGATATTCCAGTCGAAGTTTCACAGTAACGACGGTAATGGTGGATATCCTGAGGCGACGTCCAAAGGAGAAGACACTGCAACAGTCCAACATCACTGGACCCTCTCTTGTCGGACAAATCTGTGACTGTGAGTTGTCACTGGGCCGGACAAGCCAATCAGAACGAGGACAAATGGAGGACTGCAGCACAAGGCTACGAGGCTGAATCCCTGAATGTTTCCCGGCCAAGATCAATATCATTCATGCAGTAATCGGAACGACAAACAACACAATTTACGTTCATCCTAAAGGCACTTGGCTTGGAGCAGTGAGTGATTGTCGAATCAATGTTCACCAGACTCCAAATCCCACTTTCGCAAAACTTGCAGAAAACCTTTGATGCTCACCCACACACACTCCCAGGCCTTGAATATTGATTTTCAAGTCCTTAATCTGCGTTAAAATTGCCTGAGTGGTTTCAATGTGAACCTCGCTGTGTCGAGCGTTAGCTCTTCTTGTTGGTGGTATTTTTTCTGAGAACAATCCTTCGTCCTCAGCGGTTAAATGTAGAGTCACTATTTGCTGAGGATTAGGACCACCCCGTCATTCCGCAGCTTTCGGCCTTACTTCTTAACCGTTCGACAGGACTACAACCGATTCCTGTTTCCGTTCCACCGGAGACAATGTCACTGCACCTTTCGCCGAATCTTTGCCATCCCTGTTGGGGTTCCCATGGTGCTCGGAAGTCTATGGGGTTCGGCGACCGGAACCCCCATTGGCCTCAAAATGGAAAGATTCTTTACCCAGTAGGTGGCCATCGGTAACCTAGGTTGTGCCTACGCATCCGCCGGAAGAGATCTCTTACCGCGATTGGCACCGAACGATAACAGATTTCTCAAGTGGTTTATTCTGTCCGGCCCAATTCGACTGGTCAGGACCTATGGCCGTTGCCACTATCCCTTCCGGCGCCAGCAAGGCCGTGGCCCCCAGGCTGACCTATACCATTGAGATTCTCTGCCAGATAAATGGCACTCGGTCGTCCGAAGTCACAGCTTACTCTCTCCTCCCAGACACATACGCCAGACGCAATGAGAGATCCCAGCCTCCGATACCGCCAACCGACCGTCTTTGGCCCTGCACCCGGCCCACGACAAGATGCACACGGACACGCCTTCACATCCACATTGAAACAGTCAACGATATCCAAGACGACCATCAAATTCAAAACCAGCGCCTCTGTCCTGCGCAATCTCTTCCCAAACAGCAATTACAGCTTCGACAACCACAGTGAAATCGCACAGGCCAGCTTCTCGATCGAGTCTCTGCGTAACTTGGCCTGGCTAGGCTGGCAAGGCTACGACCTTCTGGCATTGTACTTGCACGATGTAATATACACAGACTCTCACGGCCGGCAGAGACGTGGCACATATGTTCCTGTGATGATCGAGAACCTTGCCGACCCCATCATCACGGGCCGTGAGGAGTTGGGTGTGCCGAAGCTCTTCTCGGACATCGACATTTCCAGGACGGATACGTCGGTCAAGGTCAGTGTGTCGTGGAGGGGCGCGCAGTGGGCGACGTTGGAGGTCGAAGGATTGAAAGCAGAGCAACCGGCTACACCGGCCGAGCGGGATTCGAACGGAAGTGAGTCGGAAGGGCTCTTGGTGCACAAGTACATCCCATCGACTGGCGGCGATGGAGCGCAGCCGGATGCAGACTACGACGTGCTCATTCTGAACGTTCCAAATGCGTCGGCGGTCAAATCGATATCTGTCGCCGAGCCGGCCGGCGTCAGTGTGCAGATTCACAATTTGGGAAGTCAGAAGTTGCCGACACTGCATACCGTGGTGGACGGGTTGGCGAGAATACCTGTCTTGGAGATCGTCGAGGCCAGCGTCACCGAATTGCAAGGCGTGTCGGATTTGTCGAACGTCGAAAGGCTGAGTTAGAACAGGGGTAGTCTGCAACCTTTATAAATGTGTAGGCTCACTGAAGGCGAAATCTACGGGGATCGTCCCGTCTATTACTCTCTCAACAAGGTGCCTGTGAAGCAAAGAAGCACCTCAGCATTCGAGTTTGTCCGCTTAAACAGGTCGGCATTACCTCCGAGGCACGAATAACGGACGTCAAGTATAGTTGAGAGTAAGCCGTGAGCTTCGATGGATCAGCTTTTTCATGCCTTGGTTCGAAGTGGCCAACAACCCTCAATTGCTAAGAAGGTGGCTTCCCAAAACCAGGCCAGGTCATTCCAAGTCCTGCATGCCAGGGGAATTGCATTGAAGTGGTTAACTGGCAAACCCTGGCACGCCCTGGGATATCATTGGATGAGTATCATTAAGATATTCTATCTCGCTCTATTCTAACCTACCCTGTATGCATGAATAGCTGTCCTAAGAGCAGTTTACTCCTTCAAATCTGCGCCTGGCCCAACGTAGGTATCCAGTCAAGGGTCAATCACCTGGCCACTCCCAAAACGGAACGGACACGAATTTTGGTCAGGTTCGGTGACCATAATTGATGCTCGCCATCTATCTTCAACAAGCTCTGTTCCAGTCCAGACATGTATCAATAAAAGATCTTTTCAAAGGACACGTTTCCTCGCATTAACGTTTCACACAGGTCTGGTGACTAAAACCCGTGCTTTACAGATTGTCCTGCTTATTCAAGGCAGAGATACTGGCAATCACATCACTAGGCTCCAACAGATGCCATGAAGCAAGGGTCCGCTTGCTACTGGCGCCCACCGTACAGGCAAAGATGTGCTCTTTAGGGAGGTCGGTCTTGAGGAGAGCACGGAACATATCTGTTTCCAGAAAGTCAGCCTATCGCATAATACACTGGAGTGGAAAATAGACGGTTCTAAGAGGCAGCACTCACCTTCGTCGGTCTGATCATCTCCCAAGCAGAGGACAAACTCTGGCGGATCACCGCTTGCATAACCATATTCATGGATGAGGCGAGAGGCGATAAAACCCTTGTTGACGAATTGGGGACGCACTTCAAGATTCGCCTTGCCAGACATGACTTCAACATCCCAGTTCTTCATGACGTTATCTTCCAAGGCTTTGCGACATTCTCGAGCTTGAAAAGCTCCAAAATCAGGATCAGCTTGCCTATAGTGCCACGTCAATGCGACACGTTTCTTCTCGATCCACGATCCTTGCGTGCGCTCCGTGTAGTAGCTGAAAATATCCATGACATCTTTCTGCCAACCCATGTCCATAGAGGCAGCCAGATTCTCCCAGGTCTCAGAGCCAGGACGTCGCATGAAGCACCCGTGTTCAGCACTCAGACCGAGTTCGCTGATATGGCCCATCCATTCCTCGAGAAATGAAGCATCACGACCACTAATGATCCAAACATTGTTGCGTTCATCAGCAGCCAAAGCTTTCAAAGTCCGCAGCACTTTGTCGGCGGGAATGGCAGCATTGGGATCTTTGACAATGGGTGTCAGCGTGCCGTCATAATCAAACATGAACAATCGCTTTTTGGCTGCGTGGTACTGTTGGATCATGCGATTGCGATCCAATGCAGGAGTAAGGTCGTTTTGGGTGAAGGAGGTAAGATTTGTGAGCAGCCGCTTCAGGAAATTATTCGCCCACGAAGCCACGGTGTGCGTGGTGACATAGTTGTACAATTTCTCGTGATCATGTCTTTTTTGTGATTCAGGCACTTCGAGCGCCTCCTTGAGGGCATCCGCAACGCCACCTAGATCCCAGGGGTTGATGTGCATAGCATTACCCAAGCTGGCCGCGGTTCCGGAAAATTCTGACAGGATCAGAGGACCAAAGTGATTCTTTTGACAGATGATGTATTCAAGGCTCGTTGTGTTCATCCCGTCTCTGACACTAGTGATGAGTCCGACATCGGCTATTCGGAGGAGAGCGAAGTACTCTTGAGAGGAGAGATATTGTGGATAATGCTGGACTGGCGAATGGCTCAGTGAACCGAACTGACCGTTTATTCTAGAAACCAGATTCGAGATTTTGAGCTCAACCTTATGAGCACCATCCACCTTATCCTCCATTACGCTCGTAGGACTCGTGACCTGAATGAGGACTACCTTGTCGCGCCATTCGGGATATCGGTCTAGAAAGATCTCAAAAGCCATCAACTTCTGCGAAACTCCTCTGACGGTATCGAGTCTATCGCGACCGACAATGATTTTTTTGCCCGCATACAGTTTTTTCAGGGCCCTCATGTTCTGTTCGATGACAGGATCCCTAAATGCGGCATTTTGGACAGCGGCCACGTCAATGCCAATTGGAAAGACGTCCACGGCGACGTGGGCGCCATAAGCGTCCACACCAGCAGAGCTCGATTCGAAGCCTAGAATGCGTTTGCAACAGGAGTTGAAGTGTCGAGAAAAGCTGTACGATTGAAAGCCAATCATGGTCGCACCCAATGCTCCCGTCAGAACTTCTTTTCTCCTTGGCAGACAACGCATGTATTCACTGCTGGGGAAAGGAATGTGAAGGAAGAAGCCGATGTAGATGTGTGGTATTCGTTGCCGCAACATGCTAGGTAGCATCATCAAGTGGTAGTCATGGATCCAGACGATATCGCCAGGCTGGTAAACTTGCAGGATTCTGTCCGCGAAGGCCTGGTTCATTTGCATGTAGTCATTCCACGAAGCTTTCTCCGCCCGGCCATCGTCGGGACCATGCTGGCGATAGTGAAAAAGCGTGTAGAGCTCGTGCTCGGCATACCTCCGCCACCGACTCTGGTCTTTGAACACAAACTCGTCATCTGTGTCACCTTTGGCATCGGGTAACCAGACAGGCAGAGTTTTCCCATTGGGATGGTGAGCGAGGACCTTTTCCAGACGACTCCTATCAGCGCGTGATAGGGAGAGGTGCTCAGGGTGGGAGTCGTGAGACTGTGGGTGAGCACCATTCACTGGATAGGGCGCGGAAGATCTGTTTATCGGCCCCGGCCCTTGTGCAGTCGGGTTTGTGGTTGTTGAAGCACCATCGGTCTGCAATATGCTCATCGAGCGCTGCTGTGGCTTGTTGTGAATCTCGCCCGTCCAGCCAACCAAAGTGTGGTTCCACGGCGACTTTTCAGAAGAGAGGTAAGAGAATGAATCAAACAAAGCCGAGGTGCCGTGGCGCGTAGAAAGTCCCCATTCACCTTGGCCCCCGTGAGTAAGCTCAAAAGGTATGCAAAAGGTTGCACTGATGATGTTTCCGCTCAACCGCAGAGCCGGATGAGCAGTGCGAGGGTCGACATCGAGGGTATCGGCACCTTCTGGATTGACGAGGCTGAGTCGGCGGAGTAGTTCCTTCCCTGAGGCGCCTCTCTCAGCTTCGATGGGCGATTTCTGTTCGGACGTGGGCTCCGCCGAACTCTGACTCGTGGGAAGAGAGAAATAGGAAGTGGTCGGCCTTGATGGCTCGGGTGGTTCTGCAATTCCGGGTTCGTCCGAGGACACCGTTTCTGCGTTTGTAGAATCGCGTTGTGGAGGCAAAGCTCGATCACCTCCCTCGGAGTGAGCTGGCATGATGCTGTGTAGGAATAGGAATCAGGCCGAGAGATGCAGTATTCGATGCTTGTGCAGGGCCAAGTATGCTTCGCGGTTTGTTGATTGAGCGAGAGGCTGCAGCGGCTGCGTGTTGAAGATGGTGGGGTAGGTAGAGATATGAATAATGATAGAAACGGTACAACGAGGATGGAGTGCTGAGGTATCCCAAGTCTAATCAAGAACGCTGAGTGGCCTTGGAAGCTCTTAGAAAGTTGTAAAATCCTGGACTAAGCTCTCATGCCACTAAATCATCAGAAGGAACGATGGGTGATGTTGGCCTTTTCGTCGGAACTTGGTCCCGAACAATGCAAGCTTAACGTAGTTGATGGGTGAACAAATATTGTCAACACAACGACAGATCAAGAGAGATAAAATGTCCTGACAGTGACTGGAGACAAAGGCAGCTCAGTGACATGTTCACGGATGTCGCATCTTATTCCCACGTGGCCGTAAAGGAAGAAAAGAACGCGGGAAAAAATCGAATGATGTTGAATGAATTGGAAGTCATGGAAGGCCAGGAAACAGAAACATGGGTTGTAGATCCGAAGCTGGATTGGCTGGGATCGTGGACCTCGCCTATTCCATGACAGGTGGTGGATTTTGTTGGAAGGCAACCTTTGCCCTGGGAAGATAGTTGACCATCATGGGACTTCGTCCATCCATTTGCACAAGCATTTTCCGCTTATTGACTACCACATCAACTTAGGGATCATTGGGTGCATGCAGTCCATAAATGCAGCTGACAGACATCATTCCAGTTAAACAGAGGCCCCGATTCCACAGCGAAAGTCAGCTCAACCAGCTTGTTTGAGCATTGCGTATGCCAAGAGGAACCAACTGTAGTAATTCGTACCGGTTGGGTGCCGGAAGCAGAAACTCACGCTCGACAGTCCAAACTCCTCATTGCCCGATTCTATCTATCAAATTGTTCGTTCCATCTCCATTCGGATATCCTGCTGAGCAACGCAATTCCCGCTCACACACATCGCACTAATCGATTCCTCCATCGTTCGAGCCCGGCTTCCCAGACTTGTCTCTGGACCTCGCTTTCTCCCGAGTTTCACCATCCTGCGGCGGCCTCTATGCTGCATGCCGGCAGCCCTTTCTTTCTCACGCGCCCACGCTTCCACCCTCCGTCATGATGCCCTTACGCAATTGATCGCACCATCTGCTCGAAGCAGGACTGCCTGTTTCCATCATGGCTGGCGCTTGGCCTCCAACATAGCCAAGGCAGACGACGGCCGTCCGGAGACGCCTAACCCCGACTTGGCCGTTTGTAATGAGCCAAATGTCGACATCCACAGCTTGCGAAATACCCTCAGAGCCCACCGCGAGGCGAATCGAGCCTCTGTTATACGGAAAGTCGTTGGAGAGCGCCACACTACTCGCCTGCACATTGGAAGCTTCCTCGATGAACCACCATCCAGACCGCATAGAGACGCTTCGAAAGCTCGAAAAAAAGGAGCTAGATTCTTCTTAGGGAACATCAGTGGAAAGACTGCGTTTCTCTCTGACATTCAGTCTCCTCCGACAAAGGGTCAGTTCGGGAAGCACTACAAAGGCAGCTATCGTGACCTGAGTGGTCTCTGGCGTTTCAAGGAGAATGAGGGCGTACTTCCTACGAAGGTTCGTCTGCCATGGTTGGCACATGTTCCCAGTCATGGGGCAAAGACTGGGTCATCTGCGCTCGACCGACTGTCGTATGAGATTCGAGCCTTTGAAAATTACATTGCCCCTACGCAGGAGGAGAAACGTGCCGCCGAAAATGCTCTCTCGGGAATCGTTCGAGCTATCCAGATAGCTGACGAAAATCTCGATGTTGATATTATCGGATCGCGCGCCACGGGCCTGGACGACCCTCTCTCAGATCTCGACCTCAACGTCACAAGTACCTTGTCGCCGGCGTCCTTGAATCGTCTCAGAACACCCGTTGAAATTTTGGACCTGCTGGAGCAGGCTTTTCGTGGCCGCCATCGCTCGCTCCGCTTAGAGTTGCGTCCGCTTGACGTGGTGATCAATCTCAGAAATGCCAGGGTTCCCATCTTAGTGTGTCAACACAAAAATTCTGGGTTGCCAGTGCAGATACAGAGTACGCCACGCACCCTTGACAACACTGACTACGTGAAGGCCGTTTTGCAGGAATACCCTACCTTGCGAAGCCTGTACAAAGTCTTGAAACAGACACTCGCCATGCGCGGTCTCCATATTGGCAATCATGGAGGACTCACCTCCTACCCCCTCATCATCATGATTGTGGCGGCTCTCAAATTTTCTGAGGGCAAATTTGAGCGTATGGATGTGGCCAGACAGTTCCTATATTTCCTCGACATGTATGCGGAAGTCGACTTCTCCACTCAAGGGATCTCCACGCGGCCTCTTGGATACTTCCCCAAAGAGATCAAGGCGACTAAGTTCACGCAGAGGTCGCTTGTCAACGATCAAGAATCTGCAACATTGTACAAGGAGGAACTTAGGGGCCAACGGCGAATGTCAGTACGTCAGAAGGGCGACGTACACTATATGACCTTACAGGACCCTGCAGATCCATTTAACGAACTTGGAAGGAATGCATACCAGGTCAAAGATATCCAAGAGACACTGATCAGCCTACGTACGCAATTGAAGGAAGCAATGGTGGAATGGGATCGGGTCGTATCTGGGCGGGAACTCTCAGACGAGCATTTTCGATCGCACTCGCTCTTAGAGCCGTGCATAAGCGGTGATTATCGAGTATATGAGAGTGAGCGAGGCGACTTACGACTTGTCGGTCAGAGAACGGCAAAAATCATGAAAGCCCCCACACAAAATTAGAACATATAAATGAAAATCCTAACTCTGCGTACCTAGCCTTGATGAAAAGCCGTGCTGCGGTGCAACTTACTAACTTAGTAACCTGCCATGGCAAGGCTGGCCGATGATGAGTTGTCTGCCAAGCCAGATTCCAGTCAGGGTATGCCGAGTTCCAGGCTTAGGTAACCGTTTTAAGGCCTGTCCGTCTGCGACCAGCTAACAGACTGTCCTTCAACTTACTTGTGCTCGTCGCGTTTGTTGCTTAGATTGCCCACTATCTTTGCGTGATTTCTGTATCATACTGAAATAGGACCACCAGCATACCCTCATTGTCCGAATGAGCAGTCCTCACATTGCGACTCCCCGCCAGTATGGAGGTGGTCACTTTGGGGCTACGACGGCCGACAGACGACGTTCTGACATCCGGATGCCACGTTTCTTCAAGAGGTCAGAGATGCGAAGTCAGCACGCAGGAAGATAAAGACTAAGATGGTGGACTTACAGGCTCTTCAAATTCCCGCAGATGGACTTCGAGATGGCAGTTTGGGAGATGACCCATCTTCTCATCGCACCCAAGAAGGTTTTCAAGTCGATATACTACCACAAGCGTGAGTTGGACAAGTTCCTCTCAGTTCTGAGCTGACCTTTGCCTCCAGAGACGAGGAACACCTGGCACCGACCTGACCCGTCATTCACCTACCTCTTGTCCTTTTTCCTGCTCCTCACATCTTTCGCATGGTCACTTGCGTACACGCCATCCTTCGCTTCCGTTGTCAAGCTGGCCTTGATGTTTGTTGTCGTGCATTTTCTGGCTGGATCCCTACTGATATCAACACTGGCATATTACATGGTTGGCCGCTTGCTAGGGCCAGGGATTGCTGGCTTGCCAGGTCGAAGGCGTCAACAAGGCCTGTTTGGAACACCTGGCGGAACAAGGGGAGCCGAAGTGTTGGAGTTCGGGTATTGCTTCGATGTCTCCATCCGCGCATTCTTCCCGCCATATGTTCTACTGTACATCCTTCAATACATCCTCATGCCGGTGATCAACCACCAGAACCGCGCATCGACATTCTTCGCCAATCTGCTTTACCTAGCGGCCGGGATATACTGGAGCTTGATCACCTTTTTGGGATATAACGCGCTACACTTCCTTCATCATACTCAGCTCCTTCTTTCGCCCATGCTGGCCTGGATCATCATATGGCTTGTGTGCACCATTCTGGGCATCAATCTGACAACAGTGGGGACGAGATGGCTATTTCTGGGGGTGAGAGGCTGAATGAATAGAGTCCAGCCAATGCATCTGGCTCATTGCGACTATTGTTTTCCAATCATTTTCGAGAGCGTGCGTCCTATTGATATCAACGTCGGTCCTACCGTGGACTCATCCTTGACAAGTCACAAAAGTTCTGTCGTTGAGCTGCCCTCATCATGCATGAAGAGCGTCAAGCAGGGTAGGTGTTTCTAATTCAGGGCTCCAAGACAAACATTGAATAGTACTGACATGCAGTCATATTGCAGGCACCTTGGGCATTGTTAGTTGCACATTTGCCTTACATCTGAGTTACGGAAACGATGCCCTCGGCCATCGCCACATACGGAACGATCGCCAATTGTGGCTCGTTTCGAAGGCCCAAGGCGCGATTTGACCTTAGCTTGGTCGTGTGGCGCTCGTTGAGCGGTGCTAATGCAGGTCCCCCTTTGATCCTCGGCTCAGGTACTTCAGCTTCTACGCCCACGTTAGGTATACAGCATCCACCGCCTAGACCTCTGTGCAAGGACTTTTCTCTGGCTCAAGGTGCGCATCTATCGAAGAAGTGAGGCATTATGACATAGCACATGGAATGATGGGAATTCCTTGCTCGGGCTCATTCAAGCTGTGCCCTGATGTCTGACCTGTCAAGTCTCTGGTCGCTAGGTGGTCAAGGTGCCCCGGACACTAACTCCGCATTGCCATAAATCCAGAGACAGATCCTTAAAGTGACATGCCGTTTCGATCAAGGGAAGTGAAGCCGAGTGATCACTCTGATAGCAGAGGACATTACTATTCAAGAGTCGCTCTCCGTAAATGCTTCGTCGTGCTCAGTGAGGAATGCCTTTGTACTTTCCTCGATTCCCTAGGGCTTGGTGCAAGGGAAGAAATTGACCCCTGCATTTCGAGACCCCTATCCTTGTTGCTCGACCCACCATCCGCATTGAGTTATACGGCAACTCAGCCATCTGCAACTTTTCCATCTCCCTCCCCTCTGCAATCGCAGGAGCTGAGGTCCTGCACCCCAGAATCCAACGTCTCTGCATCCACCCGCTGCCTTTATATCCTTGAACCTGCAACTCTATCGAAGAAGCGTCTTCTACATGGCTTCCATTACTGTAGACATCTGCTCGTGTTACACTTCTTGAAGCCGCGACATGTGCTGCAACGTTGTCCGACCGACCCCAAGTCGTGCGACATCGACACGCACTTTATGCTACTAGCTGTCTCAGACTATATCAGCGATACCCATCCTCCATCTCCAGACTTTATTTGCGCGTCACAACCTGAGGGTTTCCCTTCAGAATGACACCGGCACAACCTCTCCCATCTCCGACGAAACCCAAGAGTCCTCGCACTCGTTCGTCCAAACATTCGGCACATCAAGTGGCTCACAGACATTCCTCGAACTCCATACCCTCCTCTCCTACTCTGCAGTCTCAATCATTGCAGCGAGCGGCTGTGACGCCGATACGTACACCAATGGCGAACACGGGGACATTTCTGGCGGACTCAACCTCCCCCAACCCCAGCAGTGAGCATGACGATTTCGAGGACCCTCATGATCTCTCCTTCTCCTCAAACCACATCCTTCGTGCCTCAATGGTAGACAATCTGGTCATGTCGCTCGATCAGTTTTCTGCTGGAGGCTTCGCCGACATTCCTTACACCCCGCGCAACAACAGCTACGACATCGAGACAAGAAGTCGAAAGAGAGGGCATACATTCTCTTCCTCCGTGTCCTCCGAGCCCGACCTGCCTGATTTAAGATCAATGCCACCACTCCCAGACACAATACCACGCATACCTCCTCGAAACAATGCAAGGTTTCAGAAGAACCTGCAAAAGCTGCCCAGCATATTCGGCGAGGATGAAGATTCTGTTCGGGCGAAAGTATACGATGCCCAGCGGGCAGCCCAACCTGGACCTGTCCGAAGGAAGAAGAACGTCTCTACTAGCGGAAGAAGCACGGCCAGCAGTGCATCCTCCAGCATCGATCTTGGTCATCTCGCTAGTCTTTCAGGTCGATTGGGAGGGGCTGGAAGCAGACGCTCACGAAGTTTTGACTTTGGTTCGAGAAATCGTGGCCCGCGAACCTCGAAACCTCTGCACAGCACTTCAGAGGGCGTTGCTCCTACACCTGTCATCTTTTCAGGACCGGAGGCTCAGAAGGGCGTGCCACCAAATACTTCTAGCTCACCTCTCGTCCGGAAAAACAGTGCAAAATCTTCCAAAAGCGCGTACGTCAGAAAAGGACGGTCAACGGGATTGGCTACGAACGGTGCTAGGTCCACCAACGACTCTGTGCCACAGCTACCCGCCGCGAAGAGTGTACCGAGTCTCAGCAATACGGCACAGGAGCAGAAAGTCAATGTAGGCATCGTACCTGAGCCTAGCCTGAACCCGCGACCTGGATTTTTCAGACGCGTTTTCGGTTCCTCTAAGAATCCGCCTGCACACTCGGACAATAACAATCACGCCCCAAATATTCTCACAAAGCAGCACACGGGACGCTCGACACCAGTGCAGGATGAGACGCCGTATCCATCAACCCCGCCTAATAGGTTGGTGCAAAGGCCCATTCGAAGAACGTCCGCAGATATGTCTGCCAACAAAGAAAATCAGCCAGTGGTCACCAAGAAATCGTCGACATTCTTCCGTCGAAGGAAGAAATCTAATTCAAGTACCGTGCCACCGCCCCTGCCATTGACGCTGGATTCAGAACTCAAGGCTGAACCCGAGCAGGCTGATGGAACCAGCCCTGTTAGTAGCTTGCGGGCGTTCATGGGCCCATACCTGATGGAAAAGCCGCCGCAAACCCTGGGCCACGGTCGGACTAATTCTATGCAAGGCTTCTACACTCCAGACCTAGCACCCCCTGCTTTTGGGTTACCACCAGAGTCCACAAACCATGCGAAACCTGCAGGTCACAATCGAACCGAATCACATGGCAGCAACAAGACACTGAAGTCTCACGGCAAACCTTCGACTTTACGCATTCCCCATCAAGACTCTTTTCTCGCCGATAGTAGCAGTACAGAAGAGGCATGCAGGCGATCACTTTTTGACGGCAGCCAGATTTCCGACCACGATCGGTCCACTTTCCGAGTCCAACGAAATGTGAATGGTTCGGGTTCTGGTGTCGAGCCCGCGACATCGTCGAATTCATTAGCGAGCCCTCTCGCTGATCCCGTACGGGGCACATCGAGGAAAGGTTCTTGGACATCCGAAGGAGTCTCCCCAACATCATCCGTGGTTGTCCACCCTCTAGGTGGCGCTACAGCGCCTGATGAGAAGTCGCTGGCCGACAACAAAGGGCTCGAGACATCAAATGTCTCTCGAAAAGGCTCTAAGAGCTCACCCTTTGCATCGACTTCCGATATTAGCGAATACAAATCAGCTCCGACAACCCCACTTATCATTGAAATTCCCAATGATGAAAAGCCAGCTATGCCAACATCCTTTGTACTGCAGCCGATCCAGTCTGTTGGGGATGAAGCCAAGATCAAGGCTAGGCAGATCTTCGACAATACAGATGACGATATAGATTCCTCGAGCGCCGCAGCCTGGATGGGTGAGGATGGTCCAGAACGCGAACGTGTGAGAAATGCATACATGAAACTCTTCGACTGGTCCAACCAAGACATCATTGATTCTCTGAGAGGACTTTGCGACCGCATAGTTCTAAAGGGAGAGACTCAACAAATGGACCGAATGATGGTTGCTTTTGCGCAACGATGGTGTGAATGCAACCCGACGCATTTATATAGGTCGAGCGGTACACTATTTCCTGTTGTTCACTGATTACTCCAAGCTGACTTTGACTAGACGTCGTGCACACCCTCTGCTATTCGATTCTATTATTGAACACCGACCTTCATTTGGCCGACATTGGACAGAAGATGACAAAGGCTCAATTCGTTCGAAATGCACTTCCCCCGATCAGACGCATGGTTCAAGTGTCGGACGAAAACCGAACCATACGCGGCACGCCCTCCAGACCACGTATGAATACCGGTTCTTCGGATGATCCAAACTTGACCATCAGAGGTTTAAGAAGTGTTGCGGACAAGACCATTCAAGAGGACGGGGACGATCTCGATTCGATCAATGTCCGGCGCGCGTCATTCTTGTACACAGGATCAGAGAGAGCATGGGAGATGCAGATTGAATCTGTCTTGAGAGGGCTTTATAACTCAATCTCACAGGAACCATTACCGCTATATGGTGCTCAACCCGATGCGAATGTCCAGTTTAATCAATCCAACAACTTCTTGACAATTGGTTCCAACGTGCTGCGTCGGACACCAAGTGTGCTCAGCAAAGCACATTCAGATACAAATCGTGGCCGGTTCGGAGAAAGCAAATCTCTTGGAGCTCGGTGGATGACCAAGACCCGATCTCGACCCCGACTGCCCTCTGCTGCAGGCTTTGGTTCTAGCAGGACCAGTATAGATGAGCAGTCGTCGACTTGGAGCCCTTCCATGTCCAGCACTTGGAGCAAAGCAAGCCTTGGGAAGACACTGACATCGATGTCCGTCGACTCCTTCGGCACTGAGGCGACACACGGTGATTACCAGTCCTCGATCGGGTTTGCAAACGCGCTGAGCCAGGCAATCATCCGTGAGGACCAGCTCGACCTACCCACCGAGGACGGGTTGAAGGCTGGATCGCTCTTGGAAGATGACTCCCTTGAGCTTTGCGGTGCACCTTGGGCGAAAGAAGGGATTGTCAAGCACAAATGTCATCTTGAGGGTGTCGACAAGAGGTCCAAAGATAGGAACTGGAACGACTGTTTTGCGGTGATAGAGAAAGGATGGATGAGACTCTTCTCATTTTCATCCAGCGCAAAATCTTTGCGAAACAGATCTCGGGCGCCTAAACCCGGGGCTGTGGTGGGCGGCGGGAACTGGCAAGACAATGCAGAAGAAGTGTGGAAGTTCATGCTTCGGCATACGATCGCCAGCTCGCTCCCACCTCCTGGATACTCCAAAGCACGACCATACGTCTGGGCTCTGAGTCTTCCGACTGGCGCCGTACATCTCTTCTCTGTGGGAACTCCAGACATCGTCAAGGAGTTTGTTTCCACGGCCAACTACTGGAGTGCTAGGCTTTCCAAAGAACCTATGATGGGCGGTATTAGTAACATGGAATATGGTTGGAGCGACGCGGTCGTTAATCGCTCACTGATTGCATCCGAGGGTCAGGCTGGGTTGAACTCGGCCATCAGCCCACGACCTAGCACTCAGATGTCGATGAGAAGCTCGATGGACCATGTGGGTGGTGTCCGTGCCAAGTTGCCTGGTGATAAGGTCCATATCAACGACTGGTCTCCACCCCAGCAATCTATGTTTGCTTCACAGCTGCTCGAGATAGATCAGTTGAAAGCGTTGCAGACTTACGTGGGCAATGTTGAGGATGAGCTACAAAAGCACAATGAGCTGCGGCCATTAATGCTGATGGCTTTCACGGCTAAGCATCCCAATTCGACCAAAGCGATGAACAACTGGGAGAGGAAGAGCAGCTATCTCTTGAGGGAGATTGTGAAATTCCGGACTTATATCGATACACTACAAAATGCTCAAGCGACCAAAGACCGGGTGTACAGAATGAGGAAGGAAGAAGAGGATGCGCAGCTTGCAGAAATTGATTCGAGAGGATGAATGCCCACAGCGTGATGGCATAGGGTCTCCTGGGTCCTGTGCATTGTTGTGGCTGCACAGATGTTGATGAGCTGGAACGAACTCTATATGGCTCTGCGTTGGTTGCATGTACCCCGACTGTTTTACCGGATGATTGATGAGTTACGAATAGCGAGTGAATAGCGAACAGCGTGGTACACGACGAGGCTGCGACTTGTGTAGGAGCTAGTGATCTGTGGGATACCCTTAAGTCGTTGTCCACCATACGAGAATGTGAGATCTCGTAAACCTATGTGCAACATGTCGAAGTGAATCAGGTAGAGAATTGTACAGCCTGATGACTTCGGTTCGTTAAGCCCAAGCAGCGACTCGAATATCCGTACTGGCGCCTCGTGATTCGGTTGTTGATGGAGAAAACCAATTAGGAAAGGTGCTTGGCACGATTCGAGTGAAGTTTCAGGAGAGCAACAGGCCTCACTAGCCATTACCCCCGGCCACTACACTCCCAGTAACCCCCTGTTGTCCTTCGAAAAAGATCCCTACCTCAGCGCACATCTCAAAGTGACAATCTCTACAGACTGCGCGTGTCGACAGAGCACCCCATCTCTCTGTGAATGCCGCATAAGACTCACGACGCGCCCCTTCCCACCCATCGTCATCCCGCGCGTCAGTCTCTCATCCGATTCCCCACACCCATGTTGTCCGCAACAATCCCAGTTCAAGGCTCGAATACCAGCGGCCCACGACGCCGCAACTCGAGTATTCAATAGCAGCCCTCGGTCTAGTTCCTCACCCGTCCTCTACCATGTCATCCTCGATCATGATGAGCCGACCGCAGACTACGCGCCGGTCCTCCAGGGTACCAGGTGGATTCGATGAGGAAGAGGACGACATGTCACAGGCTGGAAGTGCCGATTGGGATGTGCATCTCGACTCACAACTTGCCGACTCCTTTCTTCCCGGCCCCAAAGACCCGAGCAGCCTCCTGCAAGGGGTCGACGAGAACACTCACCTCGACCTACCTGCGAACCGAACACTGGACGAAACCGAAATGAATAAAAAATTGCTCGATGTTGAGTCCAGCTTCCTACCAGAGCCGTCGCAGATAATTAGTCGGAGCTCTGCAAACAGTGGCGCAGACGACACTTATCAATTCGGAGTTCCAAACGATAATATCGCAGTGCGCAAGAAGCCGCATCCCATAAAAATCTCCCACCCATACGGGGACAGCGAAAGTCATACCGGACCGGACGCAGTTCCCGCACAATCTCCTCGAACGCCTCCCGGCGGGTACAAGACTCCCGCGCCAGGAGACCAAGAGTTTTCAAACATGGGCGACAGCATCGGCCTCACCCCAGAGGCACCAAGTACCTCTGCGCTCGAAAACATGTCTTCCTCTCCGACGGCTGCTGCTGCTGCGCGGACTCTATCTAGAGTGCAATCTCTCGCGACGATGGGTGGCTACGAAACAGCACAAGAACATGAAGATGAGCCCAGGACTAGTACGAGACTGGGACAGCATCGGAATGATGAGGACGAGACGCCACGAAAGAACGGCACACAAAATGACCAGGACAATCAGTACCTTGGAGTGCCTAACCGACATGACGGGTCACAAGAGAGCGGTGCAAGTACTTCCCGGACAACCTCGAGGCGCCCACAATACCTTCACAAAAGATCATCGCACGCACGCCTATCCTTTGACTCGATAGCCAGTTCGGCCACTGAGGCCAGCGATGCAACTCTCGCCGCGGACTTTGCTCTCCAGACTGGGGGCGCCTTACCAGATTCTAGTGCACAGCGTAAGGCTAGGACGCCCCTTTCACGACAGGCTAGCTTGGGAAGCATGATGTCCGGGATATCAGGAATCAGCGATGACGAACCCCGAACACAGCGTCATGCTAGCGCGACAGATTTGGACACTCTAGAGGAAGAGAGTCCGAAATCAAATAATGCTGGCGGCTTGACGACCCCTCGTGCTTCCACGTTTAACTTCAACATGCCTACAGACACTGTCATTGCAAACAATGTCCGAGATTTGGAGGTCCCAGGTACTTTTGCTCGTCAATATCGTCAAGAACGAAGCATGTCACCAGATAAGAACACTGGCGTATTTGGACTAACGCCAGGCCCTAAGAGGGGGTTGACACTGAAGGAGCACAGGAGTACTGTTGAAAAGTTAGGTAAAGAGAACTTTGATTTGAAGATGAAGATCCATTTCCTGGACCAGGCACTACAAAAAAGGTCAGAAGATGGTATAAAAGAGATGATTACAGAGAATGTACAATTAAAGTCGGACCGGCTACGTTTGGAAAAGGATAATCATAATCTGCGGAAACAGGTTCGAGAGCTACAAAAGAAACTCGAGGAGACCGGTAACAGGGAGTCGCCGAATGCTGACCAGGGCTACGGCACGGACGAGGAGAGAAGCCCTACTGCTGAAGAAGAGGTGATCTATCTTCGTGAGAGAGTGGAAATCAGCGAAATCGAGATTGAAAAACTACGGTCAGACAATCTTGCGAAGGAGACCGAGAAACGACGACTTGCCGAAATGGTCAAATCACTGGGCGACACTCGAGCTGGTACTTCTGACGTTGGCTCGAGAGAGGAGCGCGACATGTGGAAAGATATGCTCGAGGCTGAGACAATCGCCCGTGAACAATCCGAAGAAGACAACAAGAAACTGCGCGAAGAGGTTGCAAAGTTGAGGAGCGATAATTCGGTTTCTGCCTGGGCAAATCCACGCAAGACCCGTATCGGAGGCTCAGTTGTTTCGCGTTCTAGCAGTGTAGAAGCTGCAAATGCTCAAAATGCGGAGATTGAGCGACTGAGACATGAGGTTTCCGAGCTTCAGAAGATGATAGGTGCACAGGCATCAACACTGACGTCCCGAAACAAGGAGAAGGAGCGTCTGTATCAGGAAATCGAAGACCTGAAATTGGGGCGGATGGGCGGTCTCCGCAGCGTGGCTGGCGACAGCATATTGGACCGTTCAGCTTCAAGGGCAAGATCTCACTCCAGGGCAAGTAACGGTACGAGGATGTCTCGGCTAAGTGACCAAGAGAGAGAGACGTTGGAGACGAGGATTAACGAGCTTCGAGATGAAGTTTCTCAGATGAAACTCGAAAACCAGAACCTCCAGAGCCAATTCGACGAGGCACTGGCCGAACTCGATGCTGTGGATGCCCAGGCTCAAGCTGACGCCGATCAGTTCAACGAGGAGCTCCAATTGCTGACACAAGAGCGTGATAATGCTCTTCGCGATGCTGACGAGCAAGATCAAGCTTTTCAACAACTGAAAAACGAAGCTCAGGAGGAGATTGATGGGCTGGGAGACGAACTCGACGCCAAGGTTGAGGAATGTGCACGATTGGAGCAGGAGCTCAAAGCCCAAGTCGAAAATGTCAAAGCGCTACAAGCAGAGATGAGATCTGCTGCTGAAGGCCTTATCCGTCTCGAAGAAGATGCGCAACAGAACCTCGCTCAATACAAGTCGGTCAAGGCGGAGCTGGACGATGCGAACCGCGAGCTCGAGAACCTTGAGAAGACCCTTGCCGAGGCCGAGAGCAAGAACCAGCGACTTACAGTACAGCAGGAGAGCAGTCATAATGAGATCGCCTTCTTACGCGAAGAGCAAGATGCTGACAAGATCAAGATTGGAGATCTGGAATCCTTGCTCAAGAAAGTTCACCTCAACTTGGAATCTGAGAGAGACAAGAGCAGAGACTTGGAACGCCGCATCAATGAAGAGAGGGCTCAGAGAGACGCAGTGGCCAATCAAGAAAAGCAAGAGGTGCAGAGAGTCATCAATGACCTCAATCGTGAAGCATCTGGGGCCAAAGATGAGCTTCGAAAAGTCCGCAAGGCTCTATCGGCTCGTGACATCGAGGCAAATACCTACAAGGACCGCCTGTCAGAGCTTGAGGAGAGCTTGCGGAATATCGTTGGTGATCCGAGTATTTCTCGGTCAGGCATCATTAGTACTGTCACCAAGATGAGACGGGAGCTTGATCAGACGACTGTCGATCTTGAAACTGTACGCAGACGACTTGATGAGAGCGAGAACCTGCTCGCTGACCGCGACGCTCTGCTTGAGTCGACCAGTCTTGAATGCAAGAAACTGGCCGACGCATATGAGCGTGAAAAGTCGGGTAGGCGTCAAGACAAGCTGGACTTTGAACGTACCAACAAGGGTCACAATTCGACTACCCGTGCACTCTCATCGGCATCGGCAAGAATCGCAGAGCTCGAAGGACTGCGGCAAGCTGATCGAAAGCGAGCGTTGCAGACAGAGAACCAATTCAAAGAACAACTCACCGAGCGCAATCAGATTCTGCTCAACCTGTGGAAGCGACTGTCTGCTATGTGTGGACCTGACTGGGCACATAATAACAGCCTCATCAACGGCAACTTGCCGTCGCAGGAAGTCATCGGCAATATGCTGTTCTGGCCTGGTTTCAGCAGGAATTTGCTTCTTGCTGCTAAGCAAGTCGAAGGCATACTGACCACGTTCAAGGATAAGATTAAACGCGTGGAGCGGGAGTTGGACAAGGAATACCAGGCTCTCGAACAGACTCTAGAGGTGCGCACTCGAAAACTCGAGCGCATCGAGGAGAGCTGGGAGAAGATGAAGCTGAAAATGTCCGAAATGGAAGCGCGCATGCACACAGATCCTCGCTCGCGGATACCCACGTCGAGCAGAACTCCGGAGATTAGTAAACTCAAAGGCGAGAATCGGTTGCTGAAGGCCGAATTGGCACTCCTCCAGCAGCAGCAAGCTCATCATAACTTGAACCATCGACGGGAGCGGAACGAGAGTCGCGCATCGGGGTACTCGGGCGGGATGACGCATGAAGGACCGGGCTCAACGCTAGACGGGGCGTTGAGTGGTGCAGTTGGTGTACCCGCACGCAGCTCGAGTATGCGAAGACATCGCAATATGGAACTACAGCGACACCATTCGACGGGCACCGTGGAGCAGGTCCTGGGAATGAATGGAGATGTGCTGAGTCTGCGAAGCAATTCGATCTCGAGCCGGGTGTCGGGCTATGCGCACAGCGAGAGGGAGAGGGAGCGGGAGCGCGGATTGATGATACCAGCTGGTCCGTTTAATGCACCGGCCAACGGGAACTTTTCGCTACCGCCACCCCGAGAGGCGCCACCTGCTCCACCAAGTACAGGGACGGCGTCGGCGAGCGGGACGAGCGATATTGCGAGCATTACCGGCGGGCAGGGCCAGGGGCAGGAGAAATGGATACACAGACTCAGGGAGCTGGAGAGGCGGTTAAAAGCGGAACGTGAGGCGAGATTATTGGACCGGAGTGGGGCCCGCAAGAGGCTTGAGGAGCGCGATGCGGTCAATGAGGAACTTAGGCGGGAGTTGGAGAGGGAGAGGGTCAAGAGAAGTGTTGGCCTCGGCGGTGAGGAGGGTGGACAGCATGCTCTGTTGCAGCCTTTTGTGGCGGGCGAAGCGCAGCCTGCAGAACTCGAGGATCAGAGTGGTGGGAGGAAGCGTTAGGGTCGTTTTAGGGGGTGGAAGTTGAAGATTGGATGATCTTGACGTTGACTTCAATGGTTGTCTTGTGTTTTGTCTCGCTCGGTGTTGGTGAATGGTGGGAAAGGGTTACGGTATAGGGTTTTGGAATTTGGTAATCTGGAAGCGCGTGGTCGATTAGGCGTGCAATACGCAGTGTATCATTATACTCGACTTGGGTCAGAACCCTTGTATCAATATATGGGATCGGCGACGGACCAGTCGAAGACTATTCAGCGATGCTTATTGCGACAATGCAAACTAACTCCGGAATTGAACGTAGTCAGAGGTAACAGGATTTCAATGCCGGAGCGCGCAGTAGAGCTTACATGACCCTTTGACCAAAGACCCTTAAAAGTACAGTACTACTCGACCACAGTAAATAACCTCCCAGCAACTAGTTCGTGCGTGCGAAGTTGGGCAGGTGAGGTATTGTTGGTAATGGATCTAAAAACAGGTCGGCACCCAGTTGGTCGGTATTATCAAGTTATAGACCCTATGGGTTTTGTAAGCTCTATTTTCAATGCTTGTTTGATGCAGTGAAACGAGGCTGTCAGCACAGGGGCCTCGGTCAAGTTCAGGACCCGACCCACCAGACTCGAGCAGACCAAGAAGTACGGAGTACTGAACTCAAATTGGCTATGCCCAATGGTTCAGCTAGGCTAGGAAGTTAGTAGCTGACCGGTCTGTCCCCCGAGGCTGAATCTGAACGGTGAGATCAGATGTATGCAGGTGTTCATAGACCTGCATGACGTGCTGAACGAAGGCTGGTATTCAATGCACCGCGGATGCAAGAATTGCTGAGAGCCAATGATTGGCCAGCCAGCAATGTTGTAAGGTTCTGGGAGTAAGCTGCGGTGAGAGATCCATCCTCGAGCTGAGCCGAACCGAAGCGAATGAGCAACTCTCACACTGCAACGAGGTGTAAGTGGACGAGACGTCGACTTACTCGACCCACAACTTCGCAGCAGCCTATTCTAGGGTCGTCGATTGGCATTCACACGAGAACGGAAGATAAGAGGACCAAAATGATTACACTTAGTTATGCGGAATGGGTGTATATAAGGGAGCCAGATACATTCTCTCCTGCTTTAGACCACGAACAAATAAGAGCATTCCTCCGTAACATGGCTCAGCAAAAAGCACAACAGACACAATGACACCAGACCAACAGCAAGCTCTCGATATCCAGAACAAAGGCCGTGCCAACAAGGGCATCAAGCCGTTGCAGTGGGATGGGGATCCGCACAACAAAGCTCAGGTGTGGTATGTGCCTCTCCCCTTGGCTATCTGTCTGTCTTTGTGGTTGAGGCTTTAGACATGGCACTCGTCCTGACGACCTCCTCACAGGGCAATACACCTAGCCAACAACGTCGGACATATGCAGCATTCGACCTCGGCCGAACGTCCTGACCAGGGCGAGAATTTGTTCTGGGGATGGGCCAGTCCAGGGCCGTACAAAGACCCTTATACGCACGCAGCGCAGAGCTGGATGAATGAGGGGGCAAAGTATCATGGGGAGGCGATCGGGCAGGGGAACTTGAGTGACTGGGGCCATTATACACAGTGCATGTGGCATTCCACGACCAAGATGGGCATGGCCATGGCAACAGATAGTAAAGGGGGTGTGTATGTTGTGGGACGCTATGAGCCGGCGGGGAATTGGGCAGGGCAGAAGCCTTACTAGACTCGAGATGAACCAGATGAACCCAGGGGGACTTTTGAGTATCTAAGCCGCGGTGCTTACTATGTAGACACGATTCTTACAGTGTGCACAAGTGTTAGCAATATGAGTATTCCGTGAGCGGCGGAATAAAAGTATAGTACGGAGGAGCAGCGAGAGTGGGAGTGAATTTGTGCCGCGGAGAATAATTAGTGGGGCGTGAGCCAAGCCTGCATGATGCCTGTCTCGCCTGATGACTCAATCGGAGCATCGGCGCAGGCGATGGATGGATGGCAACTTCTAGATCTTGAGGCTGAAATCACTCTTTCCTTCCTCCAAAACACCCTCAGTGCCACAGCAGTTACCTTCCTTGTCTCTGCATCCTGAGCATTTCACATCTGTGACTTACGACTATCAGTCATCCATCACCTCTTTACTCTCCACCGTCCCTGCAATTCTCTCACCCGACCGCCTCTTCGTTCCGACATCTACTCTTCCGCCACACCACCCTCTTCATCTCCATCACGATGGCTGACGCCGACTGGGATAGCGTCACCCGCATCGGCAGTAAGGCGCGAGGACCAGGCAGTGGGGGTGTTGACCGTGAACGTGTCGTCAAGGGCAAGTCCGCCATCAACGCAGCCAGCCGATCTGGAGCCATCATCGGCACTGAGAAGAAGTACTCATCTGCCAACGCCGTAAGCCCACACCAGCAAATCCATCTATGTACAGCATGCTGACCTATACATCAGAAAGTGAGTGCTGACGGACAGCGTCTGGCGGCCATCGACCGCACCGACGAAATCGTGAAACCCAAGACAGTTGGCAAAGAAGTCGGTCAAATCATCAGCAGGAGGCGGCAGGAAGTGACACCAAAATTGACGCAGGCCGATCTTGCCAAAAAGATCCAGGTCGCGTTGCCAATCGTGCAAGGCTTCGAAAGCGGTACAGCTGCTCCCGACCAGGATGTGTTCAACAAGCTCGAGAGGGCCTTGAATGTCAAATTAAGAGGGAGCGACATTGGGGCTCCAAAATTGGGACCCAAAAAGAAGTGAAGAGAATACATGTTGATCTCGATAACCCCGAGATTTGGTAACTACCAGCAAGACGACATAGCATTTCACTCTGCAAATTCTTGTGAGGCGTCAAGATCATGGCACTGATCAGATCGGGAGCATCCATTAGCGAAAAGGTCCGATAGACAAGAAGGCGGTTGCAATTGCTGCATTACCCGCCCTGATGATGTTAGTTGAAAATTGCGGCCTGTGGATTTGTTGGTCGCAACGCAGATTTGTGACCGTCGCAACATTGAAAGCAAAATACGAACAACATCATTCCTGCTCAGGTTTCTTCCATTCTGGGTGATCGTTCCAACTTTGAATGCAGCCAAGGTCCGTACAGCAACAGCACCAGAAGTACGACTGGGTGCCTGGCAGTAAGACACAAAACTCCAGGACAAAGAGGTCGGATCATCACAAGGCTCAATCTCCCATACTCCCTCTGTCCTTCCATCGATCTCTCAACATCCTCCAAGCGGAACTTGTAGCTGTATTGCTGTGCACATTCATGGAATACACTGGGAAGACCTGTCTCTCTAGTAGCACGACTTGTATCGAGCAGAATACTGCAGGGGAAGTCCGATATGATGGTATAACAAGGTACAGAATCGGTATCCCAACGCAGAAGAACCGGGTTGTGAACGCTGTATGATATTTATCGCGTGCTGTCTCTATGCACTACCTCTATATATCTTCAACGGCTGTCAACTTGTAGATATGGAGATAAGCAATGCTCCTGCATGCTTTGCCCGATATGTACCAGCGATGATGTTCGAGATCCGATGATTTCCTGATTCTTGGTTCTATCTTCATCCCCAACTCCCAATATGCAAGACACCCAGCACCCGCATCTGCATTTCACGCACCCGGTCGAAATTTGCTGCTTATTTCTTCGCAACCTTCTCGAGTCCCTCGCTGGCCAAATTCTTTTGGAAGCGCTTCTCGATTGCCTCCATGAACTGGGACGTGGTAACCCACGCCTCGCGCTCTTTCTTTCCACACGCCAGTGCCAGATCCTTAGTCATAATACCGTCGTCATTCACGGTGTCGACGACGGCCTTCTCCAGGCTCTCCGCCCAAGTAACCAGCTCCGGGGTCTCATCGAGATGTCCACGCTTGACCAAGCCCCTCGTCCACGCGAAAATACTCGCGATCGGATTCGTGCTCGTCTCCCGTCCCTTTTGGTGCTCGCGGTAATGTCGCGTGACTGTCCCGTGTGCCGCTTCGGACTCGTATGTCAAACCGTCCGGCGTGATGAGCTGAGACGTCATCAAACCTAGAGACCCGAACCCTTGAGCCACGATGTCGCTCTGGACATCGCCGTCGTAGTTCTTCATGGCGATGACGAACCCACCGGTACTCTTGATCATCTGCGCAACCATATCGTCGATGAGCCTGTGCTCATACCAGATCTTCTTAGCCTCGAATTCCTTGACGTATTCATTGTCGTATATCTCTTGGAAAATATCCTTGAAACGGCCGTCATATGCCTTGAGAATCGTGTTCTTCGTGCTCATATAAAGAGGATACCCGCGGTCCAGAGCGAACTTGAAGCTGGCGTGCGCGAACCCGCGGATGCTATCATCGGTGTTGTACTGCGTCTGTGCGACACCACCGCTGGCAGGGAAGTCGAAGACCTTAACACGCTGGGGCTCGGCGCCAGATTTAGGGGTAAAGACCATTTCGAGCGTGCCAGCTTCGCGGATGACTTCGTCTTTGGCGCGGTATTGGTCACCGAAGGCGTGACGTCCGATGATGATCGGTGCTTCCCAGCCCGGTACGAGACGGGGGATTCGCGGGATCACGATGGGCTCGCGGAAGACGGTGCCACCGAGGATGTTACGGATTGTGCCGTTGGGGGAAAGCCACACTGATAGCAAAGTGTTAGTCAGTATTCTCTGGACTTCATGGGTCCCACATTCGAGTGGAAGCAGAGGGGGAGTAATAGAGCTAAGGACAAGGAGGAAAGATCGGGGGTTAGACAAGGGGTGCGCTGCTCACTCTTCTTGAGGTTAAACTCCTTGACTCTGGCCTCGTCAGGCGTGATGGTAGCACACTTGACGCCGACTGAGTACTTCTTGATCGCTTCAGCAGCGTCGACGGTGACTTTGTCATCTGTCTCATCTCGATATGGCAAACCCAGGTCGTAGTACTTCAAGTCGATGTCGAGGTATGGGTGGATGAACTTGTCCTTGATGTCTTGCCAAATTATGCGGGTCATCTCGTCGCCATCAAGCTCGACGACGGGATTCTTGACCTTGATCTTGGCCTGGCCTGTCGAGGCATTTCGGCTCTGCGTGAGGTTGTTTCCTGCACTCATCCTCCTACTCTCTGCTGATAATCTGTTCGAGGCGACGGAAGCCATTCGGAAGGAAAGGGAGGGAGAGGAGGGATATCTGGGGAGAGGCCTTCTAGATGCGGCGCCCACCAGCGCAGACCTGAGCGGGTTCATTGGAGACAATTAGGAAGGCAGCTGGCAAGTGGACTGGAAGCACTGGACGGGTTGAGGTGACGGGCCGCCACAGGGTCAGAGTACTAGTATCTGATACGATTCGTCCCGAGGATGTGAACGTAGGTTCGTGTTCAATCGCATAGTTTTGCAGCTTTGAGTGACTGCCTTGGCCGGTTTTTGCGCCGTTAATTCGGCTATGGTCGAGCGATGACGGACTGTGAGCCGAGGGGAAAATGATGTGGGTGTTGGGTGGGTGTGTTTGGTGGATGGATTTTTGTTTTCGCTGCGACTTCGCGACGTGGGGTTTCCGGCCATAAATTCTGCGATCTCGGCATCTCCTGGGACTCACCAGGCCACGCTAGGGGCTGCCCTTCGGAGCGGAATCAGAGCGCGACAGCATTACGACTTTGGCCCGCGCAGCCTGATTAGTTGGACCTCCAACGCCGTTTTTCTCGCCGCCCCCGAATTCTAGTCAATTTCTCGAAAAGACGTAGAACTGCCGGAGGGCTGGTTTCGATCCGGATACTCTCGTTACTCGAATTGCCTGACCATCGGAACGTCCACTCGCCCTTCTCGCAAATCAATCATTCAACATGGCCGACAAGCTCCGGACTCTCCAACAGCTCGAATCCCTCCAGGCCAAATACGTTGGCACTGGCCACGCTGATACCAGCACATACGAATGGAAGAATAACATCGTTCGAGACTCTTACGCCTCGTATATTGGCCACCCTCCTCTTCTTGCGTACATGGCGTTGGGTATGGGCGAGAGCAAAGAAATTGTTCGTGGACAATTCATAGAGAAGATGGTCCGAGCAAGTGGTCCTCCACCAGCCAGAGACGAGGATTGAAAGAAGATCGAGCCCACGATTTGACACCATACACTAAGACGATGCCACAACGTTGCCAACGGATAGCAACACGGCCAGCAGAAGTCAACATAAAGACTGCGACAGCCATCCTCAGCTCTTATGCCCGGGGCATTTTTGGAAGACGAAGCGGTGTGACCGGTAAATCGTTTGCGCGGCACGCCTGAGCAGGTCTTCTGGAGAAGCTGATGGAGAACATACACCTGAAAATGCGACAGGGACCATGGTGCGATGACAAGCCTGGGATTAACATGGAGATGTCAAAAAAACATGCAGATGTTGGGGACATTCCTATCAAATACCAATATGTGCAGCAAAAATTTCTGCATATCTAATCAGGACTGCTTTCAATGCCTGCAAGTAGTCATCCTCCTCCGAGGCCTTGCAGGTCCAGTCTGTCACTCTCCCAGAAGAAAAGTAATCCGTCTCTCTGGTTGAAGAAAAAGTCCGGTTGATTGCTCCGACTCCAGATACATCACAAAGGAAATATAGGTCTCTTGTTAGGGTCTTCCTGATCAGCCCAATCCGTTCATCACTTTCCGAAATAGTTCGCGCCGTTTGCCCATGTACTCCGTTTTGACATAAGAATCTCCCCGGTTTTTGGTGTGAGTTCATTATCACTCCCCTCGCGGTGGTGCCTTTCTCAGTGGAAAGGTGTTCTACCCAAATCCATGATCGTAGCCTTGTGCGGCTGAAATAGTGAACATAAAAGAGACGATCCCATCATTAGAATATGCCGTTGACAATGTTGCTGCCAATCGTGGCGCCAGCCCCAAAAATAGCAGCATTACCCATTTTCTTGCCAAACTTCTTGCCATGCTCCTCGAGTTTGCTGTATTTCCGGCCGTCGGCGCCAGGCGTCATGCCGCCTTGAGCAACCTGAAGTGGCATGTTCCCATAGTCTGATGGCTGAGGTTGCAGGGGCGGCCGTCCTTTCTCGTCGATTACATTGACATAACTTCGAGGAAAGATGCCTTCCATGTTGGTTCGTTCATTTCGGCCTCGCCACCCTGAGAGCAGAATTAGCATAAATCAACAGAAATCATTATTCGCGACACCTACAGTCATTGTTCATGTGTTCGGTAACTTGTATCCTATCACCTTGCTGAAGCGCCAAGTCGCCGGCGTCTGTAGGGCTATATGCATAAAGGGCAGTTGCGACCGACAATATCTGAGGTGTTTGGACGTATGCTGGAGGTGGGAGGGGCGCAGGTGTCGGAACTGGAGTGTAGTGTTCTTTCAAACTCATGTTTGAAAATTGTTCGACAGGCGTGTTAGTTGAGCCATTGACAGGAGCGTGTAAGGGAGCATGTAGAGGTGTCTGAGCAGGAAGTTGAGATAGAATGGAGGAAAGCTGTTCAGGCGAGATGATCGAGGAGTCTGCGAGGAATTCGAGTTCCTATGCATGGTTAACGTGGATTCCCAGGTGTTGACAGTTGATGTTACGCACAGTGCGAATGGTACGGAGGGAGCGGTTTGTGAGGGCGATTGAGGCCTCGGTGGCCATGATACCGCAGGAGAAGCTAGTCGGACGCGTATGAGGGAGGCTGGAACAAGATGAATACCAGGAAAAGTCGATAGAAAGGAGTGGAAATCTCAACCTTCCGAAGGTGAGTTGTCGTTGATGAAGAAGGAGGTGGTTGTGTTGGTACGGAGGTCGGAGGTGAGGCGCAGTTTCAGATGGCTTGGGTGACTGGTCGACAGAATATGACTAGCGGGTAGCAGTGAAAGCGTACCGGTAATGCAGGGTCATAATTATTAGGCTTGACCAGCACAGCCATAAAAGTCACGAAAGTGTAGGAATGTCTCAGAAAGCCGCCAGCTGTACAGCAACCATCCCGTGCATCCTAGAGGAATTTGTCGTGGTCTGACGCGCGCATATAATCACATTTGGCAGCGTGTTGCTGTCAGCTGGACGGCGAGACAACAAGCGACAGACACCTAACAGACACTCCCCGGCAGCTTACGGATGCTACGGGATGGCCCACCGATCTCATTTCTGGTTTAGCGTAGGATCTTTAGTGCATGATGGTGCCATCTATCAGCAGGTGCCTGTATCTGGCAGATAAACATCTATCAGGATTCAGGAACCATCTCACTGGTTTGCCGACTGTAATTGTTCCATGCTATACAAAACATCAACAAAAGATTCAACGCAGGGCCTTCATTCTCCATTACCTTGCCTGGAAGTGTTTTTAATCATATGCAACAGGGCTACGTACCTTACGATGCATCTTGCAGCACCTGACAATGATATCTTCCCAGTCTGGCCCATGTCGAAAAAGAACAGCTGCACACCTCCCGACCTTCCTTTCCTTCAACGAGGCCCATGCAGACTGCCGCCTGTGTTTGATGTTTCTGCAGGAGGATACTGAAAATCAATAGCTGGAAGCACGATGCAGATATCTCACTCCGTCAGACCTAGCTGCCATCAAGTCTTTGTTCAGTCAGGTTTGTGTTTGCGCAATAGACCGCTGTTTGCCTCTCTTTCATTGTCTGTTTTGCTATGATTTCACTCTGTTCAGACTTGCGTTCATTGCCTTGGACCGTTTGACCGTGCCAAACTCTCAAACGGCGGACGTTCTTCACTATAACTTCTGGTAATGGTCACTGTTCTCCTCCCAACGTTTCATCCTCATTTCTGGCATCATCTCCATCATTTGCATTGAGCTTCTAAAATCAATATACCTCACTTCAGCTCCGGAGGGACATTCAGCCTCGTCACTTCCTCACGTGTAGACAGTGGCACAGTATTCACCTGCAATGAGCAACCATCATATTGTAAGTATCGCGCAAGCCATCTACCCTATTCAAGCCATATGCCCTATTCACAACATTTGTCCTATTGAGCATTGTGAATGATATTCTCACTGTCTTCACTTCATGCCGCAGAAGAGCAGTGGACATGAGCATATATATCGACCCAACCAACCAGTTCATGATCCCTCCCCAGCACACTATCCTCAACCAAATCCATTGCACTCATAGCTGCGCTCAATCTTCATAAATATATGACTGACTTTATTGACCTCTCCTGCCAGACCAAGACCGACATCACAATGTCTGACCAGGTCAATCTCAGCCCACAATTCTTCATCACCCGCCAGAATGGTGCATTGGTCCCACTGATCGCAATGGACGAACTGCCAATTCATGTCCAGATCCGTGGCGTTCCTCGCAGTATGACGGCATTCGACATCACCGGCATGACACCTCTTGGACTCGTGGAAGCTCGTCACCAATACTACGTGGTCGAATCACTCAACAACACGAACACAACTCCGCGCAAGGCCACTGCCACTGCACATGCCATGTCAGAAGCTCCTCTCGAACCATCAACAGAGATACCATCTTTCATCACGCCATTCACCAAACCTGCATCTACCATCATACCGATTGTCAAGTTCCCCAACTCAATCGAACAATCAGGCGACTCAACCAGCATCTCCTCTTTCTCTGAAGAGAGCAAAACCAACACTCCCGCCCAAACCTCCACCAACTCGGGCCCTCACATTGGCACCATCCCAGTACCAGCATGGAGACAACATGCCACCACCGACAACACCATCAATACGAATACAACGACCCCCACAAAGATCGACGACATCAAGCCAGCAACCACCACCGGTCAGCAATCTGGCGCAGGCATCCCACTCACCGGGAAAAAGGTCTACTGCTCCTACTGGCTCCGCAAAGGTGAATGCGACTTCGCCCAGCAAGGCTGCATCTACAAGCACGAAATGCCCACCGACCTCGAGACTTTGCTGACCGTCGGCTTCACCGACATCCCACTCTGGTACCGCCAGCGCTACGGGCTGGGCAGTCTCCTTGTCGAAGGTGGTCGCAACAACCCCAGCTACGGGCTCGGTGATCGCAACCTTCCTGGTGCTCCAGTCTCTGCTCCTTCCCCTGCACGAAAATTCCAAGTCGGCGACAACGCCAAGCGCATGATCCACAACCAGATTGGTGGCACCGACTCTCGACACTTCCGCTCTTACTCTCCACGTGGTGGCCGCTACGGCGGCGGCGTGGGTCGTCCGTGCGAAATGGACCGCCGCGCACAAATCGAGGCCGAAGAGCAAAAGCGCAAGGAGACCGAAGAAGCCATTCTCGCCGTGATCAGATTGGACGAAGAAGAGGAGAAGCAGCGCCAAGCCCTAGCGAGGAAGTACAAGTGTCTCGCGCCGGAGCGCCGGAGCGTCTTCGTGGGGCATGAAGACCTGGCGACCGAGACTTTCAGCAATGGCGAGGAACCCAACGATCTGATGGCCAAGATCAAGAAGATCGAGCAGAGGGGGTGGGAGGAGGAGCAGGCGGAGCGGAAGAGGTTGGCGGAGATGGCTGAGAAGGAGAGAAGTGTCGTCGCAAGTGGAGTTGGCAAGGGCGACAGCAAGAAGGATGGAGCAAGTGGAGGTGGAAGTAAGAAGGGCGGAGACGGGAAGGGGAAGAAGAGTGGTGGCGGCAAGAGAAAGGGTGGTCAGGGGAAGGGTGGGAAGAAGTAGGGGCATGGACTGGTTGGTAGCGACGGGTGGGAGTGACTGGCAGAGGGAGCATCTCGTGACGGAGTGCGGAACAGCGACACGTATGGTCATGACCAGGCTACAGCGACGAGAACGCATTTGCCCAAAGGTGTTGTGGTGAGCTAGGTTTTCAATGAATGAGAATCTTGAATTTTCCCTCACAGGATCATGTTTTTACAATCGAATCTTTACAGTGTCCTCTGCTTCTGCGCAGCTGGACCCCAACGACTTTGACTCAATGTTCGTACATAGCTCTCCACCGTCTCCCGGCCGTCAGGAGTTGATGCGTCGGCAGACTCCAGGAATTTTTGATTTTCCCTTGCACTCAGTAACTCCTGCACTCGAGCCGGCTTGATCTTCCACTCCTCCGGAAATTCCACATGCTTCTTGGACTTGTGATGCCGCAGGTCTAGGGGTACGTCTTCAAATGTGTCTTTGCCATCTCTTGCCTCCTCGAGCAACTTGTTCACCAAATCGCCTAGATACCGCTTGTTCTGGGCAGGGGCTTCAAACTTCTCACACGACATCTTGACGACATCTGTATCAGGGTTGTACCGCGGTCCAACGAGTTTGACCAGTTTTATTCGCTGCGCTTCTGAGAGATTCGGCAAGTCTTTCGTGCAGAATTGCACGACCACTTTCTTCGCAGCTGGGTGAACTTCGCCCATGTACGTCGTATACCGGAATCGTAAGGGGGTGGCTTCCGTTGGAGGTTGAAATGGTTTAGTGTATTCTGGATAAGCATCAGCAAGGGACGATTGAATGGAAAACCACGGAGCTAGTACGATTGAGTAGTGGCATGTCCCACGCGATCACCCGAGTATACTCTCGAAGCTCGCGATGTACCTCCAACTCGCTGTGGGCGACAGAGCTGATCGCAGAGTCATCCCATGGAGCATCTTCTTCTACCTGACCAAATTCGTCTTCTTCGCTGTGCGCCCAATAGCCCACTTCCTTGTAGGGGATCTGGTATTCTGGAAAATCGAGCGGTTCCATCTCTTTTTCGATTTGTCTGTCAATCTTGTCTATGGTGTCACTGTATTCTCGTTCGGCCTCGGCTGACTCCAACACTGCGGCGTAGTGATTCTGTAGGGCGAGGTATGATTCCTGCTTGTCCTTGGAGAGCATGTCGTAGTCTGCACGTTCTTCTGGGCCAAAGTCTGCGACCGTGATCATGTTTCTGGGCGTGAGGTATTCACTCGGATCGATTTCGTCGGACTCATCTTCGACAGAGTCGTCAGTTTGCCGGTTACGAGGAGTGTCCGCTTGCCGTGAGATGGTCGTTGACAGGGGTCTAAAGGAAGTGGCTTGTCGATGCCGTACGAGAAGTTGCGGCTGGCATTTTCTTTTCACAGGTATCTGTCGGCTGACCTGGAACAGTGTGCGACATACATGCCGCGCTGTAGTGGCCATGATGGTCCAGCTTGGTTGGTTTCTTGAGCGTGCATATTGGAGAGCTTCGAAGCATTAATTTTCCCCAAGATGTATTGGTGGAAATGGTCTGAATGGCCCAACGTACATCTCGGCTGTGTACAGTGGAGTACAGCCATCAATACGTTTCCCTGTTCGTTTGTAAATGGCAAGGACGGCCTTGATGGACCCTCATCTGCTTCGCTCACCGAGGTCCAACACTGTCCATCGCATTTTGGATATGATATGATGGCGAATGCTATACATGGCAGGCCATTCGCAAAGAGATGTTTCGTGACCATAGGCGCAACGGCCCCCTTCAATGGCCTGATCAAAGGGGTTCTAGCGGCCGATTTCATCAGAGAATTACAACGAGCTGGGTATACTGAATTGCGGATACAGTATGGTGATCACGAGGGCGAAGCTATCTTCAACGCCAGAAAAGACGAAATGGAAACGACCCTGGAAGCTGATAAAGTCGATGTCACTGGTTTCGGGTTTGACAGAACAGGTCTCAGCAAGGAGATAGCAGCTGTCAAAGGACGTTCGGCGGAAACCGAAGGGATGGTCATCAGTCATGCGGGTGAGCCTCCATGTCTGATCCTTGAAGAGTCTTGGAGTAACAATTCTTTTGTAGGGTCAGGATCCGTACTCGATGTCCTCCGAGTGGGCATTCCTCTCGTGGTCGTGCCAAACGCAGATCTCTTGCACAATCACCAGGTCGAGCTGGCTGAAGCCCTGGCACAGCAGGACTATGTCGTCTATGGAAAGCTCGAGTGAGTTGTTCCATCCCCTCAGACACATTGCTTGTCTATTGCATGCCTTGTTGGGCGGTTGTGAGTCACATGTCTGACCATATCGTAGCGATCTGAAGTCCTCAATATCAGAGATCGAAACTCTCCGAAAGAAAATGAGGAAATGGCCACCCCTTCGTTCCGGTGAGGAGAAGTACGAGAATGGCATTGCAGACGTCCTTGCCGAAGAAATGGGATGGCAATTGGACTGAGTGAGTACGCGAGCTGATGGTATAAGCGCCTTTACCTCTCTCCGAGCTACGCAATCCTTCAAAACCGGCACCTCTCAGACCTCAGACCAAAGAATACATCCACGAAGCAAACTTTCGGCGAATGTCGAACGACGAGCAGCCACTGACAGAATCTTCTCTATCTGGCAAAGCATCATTGGCCGGTCACAGAAATATGTGTCTTTCCAGCAGCTGCTTCAGGATTCCAGCTTGATTGATTGTTGATGAAAACTATACGAGTACTGGTGAGACATGCAGCTGGTAATGACGAAAGGAGAGTCCATGCCTGTCAGACACTCTGGGCGAGCACGCAGATCGCCTCGGTGTGGGCATCTTGAATCCCGTCACTCCCGGGACACCGGAGCTGGGTACCTTGGTCGAGTACTCCACGGTCCGCCAGCTACCCCTACCTTCGCTCTTGGGCCTGAATTACTGGGATCCGAGCCGTTGATGGGCTCTGAAAGCGAGAGGCGGCCTTGGGCCAATACACTAACTATGAGTTTTGGTGTGCAACAATATTGAAAGGGTATCCGTCCAACTAGCTGTTATTTTGCTGGAAGTATTTGGGGCACTAGGGCAAATCCAGCTGCGACCAAAGATCAAGCGTCTAGACGTAGGAGATGTGTGTATATGTGCCTAGTGAAATACTGGACTAGTTCAATGAGACACAGTTTCCAGAATCCACACCGTCTAGCAGAAAAAAGCGTACGAGCTATATAGACTAGGACTCCTATCACTTGTGTTTATGATCTACCTTCGCCATGGCTACGTTGCCTAACGATAGTCAGTAGTTTGACCCGACAAAGCCTGTGCGTACCCAGGGGTTTAGGTGGTTGAAAGGCGTGATATGTGCTTCTCAGCCGACGTGGACACTAGCTCTAGGAGTAGAAAACAGAAATACATCGAGCCAAATAGTCACCGTCTGTACCTCCAAATGTCTAACCATGTAGCTGACCAAGCTCGATCCACCTGTATATCTCTTCAGGGCTCTTGTTCACCGTTGCAAAACAAATAAACCTCAAACATCAGATCGAAAGGCTCACGAATAAGGGGGCAGCATGATGTCAGGCTGTGCCCGGAAGGAACGTCGTCCCAGCGCTCGCTTGCTGGCGTATTTGATATTGACGCCCGAGGTACTGAAGGGGATAGGTCTCAACATCGGAGGACCCTGGTTGGACCGGGTTGATCGAGGGTAGGAGCAAATCCCGTACATCTCGGGGTACTCAGGCTCGCGTGCCGAGCGTGCGACGCAGCAGCATTGCGTTCTCTTGCCGGGGTGAACCAAGTGAGAGGCGAGTCGTGGCTGTTGCGGTATGATCGTGGAAGACACGGCAAGAATGTTAAAAGAGTGTGGCAGACTTGAGTCTAGAGTGTCTGGCTTTTTCAGTCGGAAATCCGCCGACGACGCGTTCATTGGGAAAAGCGTCATTTTTGGCACTGAACGAACGAGCCCGTAGGTCAGTTTGCATGCCAAAGTCGAAAAGATGTGTACGTCTTGAGGTGTAGGTCTTCGAGTAAAATCACAGTGGAGCCTGGCCAGGGACAGTCCGGTCGTGCCAGAGGGCCCCAGAGTCATGTCACATCGGCAGGGCCTTTCTCAAGACCAAAGCCGTTTGCCACCAAATTCGCGTGCGCAGCGCCGGGAAGACGTTGATTGGCGGACGTGAGCCGCCTCTGAACACTCTCATTGAAGAAAGATACTCCTTTAAGTATAGGCCGCCTCCAACTTCGTCCGCTTATTCCGTCTGCTGCTCCTGTTGCTCCTGTTGCTCCTGTTGTCGACGCTGTTGTTCTCGGCGTCGGCCCAATTTCTCAAACCAAGGCTGCTGATGAGATTGTACAACTCGCAATAACGCTGCGGCCATTGCTTGTTCGTCCTCGTCTTGTGCCAGTACCGCTTCGACGAAAGCATCATCTTCGATAAGGTCTTGCAACACGAGTTCATGCTCCTCGACCGAGTCATCCGTTGTGATCCTCCCAAGTTCAGGGCTATCAATAATCACGCGGTGACAAGAATAGTTGAAGTTCAAGGTGACTTTGGTGTCGCGTTTGTCTCGGCCCAAACGCACGATAGGCGCGGCAAGGGCTATTGCGTCGGACAATAACTGGTAGTTCTCTGGAGGGCGCATATGTGCGTGTATCACCAGTTCCTCGAGGTTCGGGAATGCTCTTCCGATAAGGGAGATACCAGACCCCCATTGGTTTTTGTTGTCCTGGTGGATGTGCGCCCACAGGATTAGGCACCGAACTTTGTGATTGATGGGCTGGATAGGCCATGTCAGCCAGGAAAAGTCTAGTATCCCCTTTCGCAATTCAACTGTCATTGAGGATTGTAGAATGTGTACTGCCTCCTGGAACATTTGCCTGCAAGTCAGCAGCGGCTCGAAGGTCTGTTTCATTGTTAGAGGCAACGGGTGTCCATCGGCAGCACAGGTTTCGCACCCCAATTCCTGGACTCCGAAGGTGTTTTGAGTAGGCACCACATGTTGATCAGAGAAGACGAAAGCCCATATGTGATTGCGAATTTCGTTGGGAAGAGTGAGTAGATGTCGTGTTGACATTGTACTTGTAAGTTCATGGGTGACTGTAACCCATCTCGCCAGTATTGCAGACTCCTTGCAAACCCTGTGGAAATTGTGTCCGATATGGTAGGTAAGCTCTCTAGATGTTTGGCGGTTACTAGGAAATGGTGGCTGCTCTCAAGTTGCGGCATCTACATATTGTGAGGAGAGGTTGAAGTCGACGTCGAAACAAGCAGTCGCGGCTCGGAGAAATATGGATTCCGAGAGCTCGGTTCGGAAGCCTACTGCTCTCAGTTTATGTACTGGCGAGACTCGATCTGAGCTCTTACATTGCAAAGCTGATGATGGCATTGCCCCTGTTGTATGGAGGAGTTGGAAGTTGGCATGTTGCAGCTGACCATCGACGTAAGTTGACAGCTTCCAGATGAGAATATAATGATATCGTCCTTTGGCGCAGCATAATGCATACACAGACGAAAGGACACTTCGATGACTCTGCAGCCGATAGTCCCATCGTGCACAACCCTACTGACTACACGGAGAGCTCATCACTTCTCGGCATTCAATGGTGCATTCTGTCTGCATAAATGTAGTGGAGCCTGTGACTGCGGTGGTTGTCTTAAGGAAGTCGTAGGGAGGGAATAAAGGTGCGGCCAACATGTCCATCAACAACATCCCCAGCCTCTTTCACCAAAGCTGCCACCATCATTTCATCAGCAAGAGCTCCCAATACCGGCCTCGTCCTCCAGATGGATGGCAACTCCAAAACGGTCGTGCTTATCAGGTTTGCCATGATGCACGCCCCATGTCTCTCCACGAACAGGCCTTGGGTTCAAGATTTCCGAAGGCTGTAGCAATGACTTATCCAAGCCAGCCCCAACCTTCCCGGTGGTTGAGTTTCTGCTCTCTGAGCGAAGCCTACCTGCATTTGGATCGAAGCCCCAGAATACGCCACTATCATATTGTTGCTTTGTTTTCTTTTCCTCTGCCTTCTTCGACTTCTTATCGTCGCTGTATTGTTGTGCATTGTCTTTGCTAGCTCTGTGTTTCTTCTCACTAGCCTTGTCCTCCGCAGCTCCTTGAGCTTTGCGTGCGTGCTCTTCGGCTTGTTTCCTAGTCTTATTGTCCGATTCTGTCCGAATTTTTATGTCTCGAAGAACTAGATCTTTCACTCCCTTGCTCTTGGATGTGAAAATCCTGTCCAGTATGCTGGGTGGCTTGTCCTGCCGACCTGGAGATGATGCTGGAGATGAAGTGTTCGAAGAAGCTGACGTGCTAGTCGCTTCCTTAATGGGCGAGGTAGAAGCTGAACCTGGCATAGGCTTGCCATGCTGATCTTGCGCTTTGTCAGACATGGCATTCAAACTAGCGATTCCTCTTCAGGCCTGCGCGGAGGTCGAAATATCTGAGGCGAAAAAAGGATTGAATCGAATCGGAGGGCTCGTTGTTCGCGGGTTTGGCGGTAAGAAAGTACGCAATGAACGAACAGGGCGAGTGCGACGACGGTAATGATGGGTAAGAGAAATGAGCCGATGAAAGTGAACAATATCTCGGGAAGAGCCATAGGTGACACCGTCAAACATTTGAAACGAGTGACACAACTGAGTAAACGCGTGCGGTGAGACCTCCCTTCCTCTCATTGTGCCTTCCCAGCAAACCACGCCTGCCGAATACCGTCTCGATAGACCTCATCTTCTTCAGTGGCTACACTGTGTTAAGCTTTATTCTCAACAATTCTAGTCCCTTACTCGTAAGCTAAAAGAAGCAATGGTCAATTTGAGCTTCTTGCCAAACATTCTTGCCTAATGAACGTTGCAGAGCCTCAGCTATCACTTTTTAGATCACCGCGAAAGCTGTGTTGCGGCTGCTATCCATCAGCATTTAAGCCCCAAAGCGACCACAGCTGATGTTGCCGGAGATAGCGTTGTGGTCTGATCGATGATGATGTCGGTCTCTTTGAGACAAACGCGGCCGCTCGATTTCGTTTGGATTCGTGTCAAGTGGTCATGACCCGACACGGGTTGAGCTTGAAGCCTGTTTGATGCCGAAAATCTTGGCTGAGCGTGTCCAGACATATCTTCAGCGTCTGTAATCATTCGTTCCTGGTGGAGCACCTATGCCATATCCTGGCGGCGGACCTTGGCCTGGAACTGGAACGGAGCCAGGTCCGGGACTTGGCCCTCCCGGAGGACCTTGTTGCGCTTGTTGACCAGGTGGTGGAAAACTGCCAGGAGCCCCGGAAGGAGGAATCTGAAAGTTTGGAGGAAATCCACCAGGGGGAGGAAACGGCAACCCAGCTGGGAGATTCGGAGGAGGAGCGCCGTTTGGTGGAAATGGAGGGAAAGGCATACCACGACCTCCCGGAGGGGCAACTATACCGCCAGGCCCAGGCGTAGGAGCACCAGGCATACCGAACGGTGGAGGTGGCATTCCTGCTGGAAATCCTGGAGGTGGAGGGCCAAATCCAGGACCAGCTTGCTGAAGCATAGGATTTACCTGGCCTTCAGCTGTGTATGAGGCGGTAATCGAGTCGATGACTGATTGTGCCTTTTCGTGACCAATTTCTGCACCCCATCAGAGACTGTATTTATCTTTCGCACCACCGTACCTACGCTGATAGTAGTCGATCACATTCCTGAGATGATTTCGGCCGGCATTATGAGCCTTTCGTACCGACATAGAGTCGTGGGTGAGGTAGACATCGCAATAATCACAGAAGAGTGCTGCGAGAGTTAGTCACGTTCATAAACAGGAGTAGAAAGCACTTATATTTCGGCATTTTGAGAGCGAAACAATCTTGGAACAGTCAAGAAAGTTTGGGAACAAGTGAGCAAACAATGTAGCTGTGATGATAAGTTGAGCTGGTCGAGTGCGTAGATTGTTTCGACGCCGCAAGACAAGTTTCAAAAGAGGGTCGAATTTAGGCGGTGGCAGAATCTCTCTATAAATCTCCGAAGTCGCGTCTAAGTGGCCTACGCGGGTGCGCTCCTGCTCCTGCTCCTGGAAATTGTTTATCCACGGTCGGCGTCTTCAAGATCACTATCAATGCCGTTCAATGGCTACTAATTTGTACAGACTCCCACACTTGTCGTCATGACGGCTGTATGACCAGTTTGATCATCACCATCAAAACTTGATGCCACAATGGCCGACGGTGGCATCCTGCACAATGTGCCAATCGTTCTAGACAACGGCAGTGGTACAATTCGTGCTGGCTTCGCTGGAAACGATCTCCCTGCAGCATATTTTCCGTCCTACGTTGGCCGACCGAAGCATGTCCGCGCACTTGCTGGAGCTCTAGAAGGAGATATCTTCATTGGGCCGCGGGCGCAGGAGCTGAGAGGGCTACTAAAGATCACATACCCACTTGAACATGGAATTGTTACGGACTGGGATGATATGGAAAAGATATGGACTTATGTCTATGAACAAGAATTGAAAACTCTAAGCGAAGAACACCCTGTACTCCTGACCGAACCGCCTTTGAATCCCAGACAAAATCGAGACACCGCTGCACAGATACTGTTTGAACAATTCAATGTGCCCGCCATATACATGTCCATACAGGCTGTTTTGAGCCTGTATGCCAGTGGTCGAACGACGGGCATAGTCCTCGACATCGGAGACGGGGTCAGCCATGCCGTTCCCGTATATGAAGGCTTCGCAATCCCAAGCAGTATCCGCAGGATTGATGTGGCAGGGAGAGACGTGACCGAGTACATGCAGCTTCTCCTCAGAAAGAATGGACACGTATTTCATACCAGTGCAGAAAAGGAAATTGTCAGAATTATGAAAGAAAAAACCGCATACGTGGCTCTGGATCCACGAAAAGAAGAGAAAGACTGGGCACAAGGGATATGGAAAACAGAGAAAAGAGATGTCGAATATGTGCTCCCTGATGGCCAGAAGATCAAGATTGGAGCAGAGAGGTTTCGAGCCCCCGAAATTTTGTTTGAACCGGAGTTGATTGGATTGGAATACCCTGGTGTTCATCAAATGGTGGTCGATGCTATCAACAGAACCGACATGGACCTTCGAAAGAACCTGTTTGGAAACGTTGTCCTCAGCGGCGGTACGACATTGTGCAAAGGTTTTCCTGACCGCCTCTTGTACGAGATGCAACGGCTGGCAGTCAAGGACATGCGAATCAAGATATTTGCGCCTCCTGAGCGGAAGTACAGTACTTGGATTGGAGGAAGTATCTTGGCAGGACTGAGTACATTCAGAAAGGTAAGTCGTGGCTTGTTGATGGCGGCATTTCAGATGTGACTGACGCCAGAACAGATGTGGGTCAGCATCGACGACTGGCATGAAAACCCCGACATCATTCATTCCAAGTTCTCTTAGATCTAGACGTTGACCGCGAGACTGGGGGTCACGAGTCCTAGACATGCGGTCATGACCGCGAAACCACAAGCCCGTGAGCCCCCAACTGAACCATGTTGCCGGTCGATAGTTCAGCGGTGGAGGATAAACCACCACAGAGGCGGTCGACGGCCTCGTCTGGAACGACCGCGCTGCCCCCTCGCCCTCACTCGCCCAATAACACGCCGATCCGGAAGGACGGAGAGTGTCGGTGCAGGATCTGCTGATCAATAATATTGGGCACTGTCACTGAGAAGCATGCGGGGACGGGACAACACCCGAAACCTGGGGATCATTGACCAAGTGTCGGCTCGGAATGGGACCGGCTGCATGCTAACAAGCCTCTGCCGGTTCAGGACATCAAAGGTGCATTGTGCCTGAACAGTTTCAAGTCTACTGTCTACACACCATGGGCCTATGCTGACGAGGACGACTACATTTGGATACTTCTTCTGTTGTCTCAGGGGGCCCGACACGTGTCGGCAGGTCCTAGCACGAAAGGACAATGAAGCTGAAAATTTTTTCAGGGCATGGAGCAACGTGAAGGAAGGACTGGAGGATGATGAGGACGCGGTGAGGTTTCTATTACCCCCAGGAAACCACTCTCCCCGCCTGCAGGCTTCATCGATTACCCCATAGCATCTGCAAGTCTCTCGCATGTGGCGCTGACGAGGCTCGGCATGACTAAAACATTGCCCCAAGCACCTGTAAGGTGAATCTCATGACTGATCGAGGTCGCCTTTCTACCAATCACGTGCACGAGTTTGAAGTTTTTCGCACGGCACAGACCGAAGGAAAACATGGAACTTTTTGCCTCATGCAATTTCCTGGCATCATGCGAGTATCATCGAATCTGGGGGAGACGGACACCTGTCAGGGACAATGACGCCAATTTTAACCCTCCTTGCGTGCCCTTGTCCTCTTTTCCCGGCCACATCGTGACCTGAAAATTTGCAGCGCACTTTGCAGTTAACGGCATCTGGAGCACATACTCGACGTTTCCATCGTGTAATCAGACACAACGCTGCCTTGGGTTTCCCCTTGCTTCGTCGGTGCGCGGCGCGTTGGCCCCCTCTCCTCCTTCGGCTGTGTCACATTACTCTGAGCCGCTGATGATGAACAGCTGGGCATGCCTGAAAATTTGCATAACCCCATATTCTGCCTGTCTGTATATAACACAGTCGCCCCAGTACTTTCCTCGTGATGGGCCTTTTGCATTCACCAAGAAGAATTCCAGAATACCTTGAACTACGCTTACTTACCACTGACTAATAATAACCTTCACACACGTGCCTTCACTTGCCACCATTTTGATCGACCTCACCCCCGACAGTCTTGTTTTGGGAAACCCGGAGTGACCAATCACAAATACTTACCGCGGTCGACCATCTACTGTACACATCTTCCACACTCCCTCGTACGGAGTGACACATCAACACAACCACAAACGCACACAATGTCGGTATCAACATCCTCATCATCGGCGAGATATTCCATCGTCGAACCACACCCCTCCGTCCCGTCGTCGCACTACTTCTCCACCGGCAGGGGCGGCGCCGGAAACGTCACCCGCGCACCACCCAGCACCACACCAGGCACCGACGCAACGGGTCCCGCTGCCCGGGTCAACCTCACCACGCCCACACACCCGCGGAAGAACTTCGTCGCCGGTCGCGGGGGCGCAGGAAACGTCCACCCGAGCTCCGAGCGCGCCATCTTCAGCTTCGACGAGGAACTCGAGCGGCAGCTGTCCCAAGACAGACACGCCGCGCCCGTGTACCACGTCGGTCGTGGCGGGGCGGGCAACCTCGCCGGTGCCGGCAGCCGCAGCAGCACCTCGTCGTCGTCAGCAAGCCAGAAAGTATGGCTTGACGGCAGTGTGGGTGGTGGTGGCCAGAGTTCAAGGAGAAGGTCCAGCGACCAAAGCTTCGCCAGCCACAGTTCAACGGGCAGCGAGAGCGGCGCCGACGCTTTCAACCGTGGAGTCAAGAAGCGCTGGAACAAGTTGATCGGCGTCGGCTACTACATGACTGGCTGACGATGGGCATCGCTCTCGACCCTTGTTGAGCTTGATTCTTTTATTGGCGCGGCGTTTGGAACTTCTGACGATTGGAAAATCGAATTATGGCGTCTTTGCGGAACATCTATGGGCAGTTTGGGCACAATGGCCCGATGCTCACAAAGCATGGGACTAAATGTATCATGACGGTATGGGTGCATCAAGCGGGAAATAGGGTTAGCAAACTCAGCATTTGGTGCCCTATGGTTATCAAGGCATCACAGGAGCATGAAGGATTGCTTTACCGTCTCAACAGAATGGCAGGGGTACTCCCACCTAACGACTTCATGACTACAAAAGTACGATTCATGCTCTAGCATAGCACGTTAATCAATCAGTTTTGTCTGTTCAGAATTTTTTCGTCGATTCCGTGATCATGAAACTCGTCGTTCCACACCCTCTCTGCTCACTGTGAGATATTTGACACCCTTGTATGGCCGGACTCCATCACCGAGGCCTTTCGATTTCTTGACATCGACCATCAGACTATCGACCTTGATGCCGCTTGGCAGCCACCCTTTGACATTGAAGGACACCGATATGGACCGAGGCATTAACGCCTTGCTTGCTTGTGCTTTTCTGCTGGCGGCGTTGTTGCCATTGCTCGTGGTGTCGTACTGCTCAGTCTGATTCGTAACTGTGTCGTCATCATAGTATCCCGCCATTGTGTTCGACTTGCCCGCCTCGACAGCCTGAAGCTCGTCATCGACATTGTTGGCATTCAACGGTCCAATGACAGACCCAGTCAAGGTTGCCACACCGTTTACCGTGGCGCCGTCCTTCGTCGGTACCCTCCATTCCACCACCTTGTCCAGTGCGTTGAACGTTGCTTCGCCGCGAGATGGTTTCAGCTCGGTGACGTTGCGCACTTCTCGGGGAAATGTGATAGTCACCATGACAGCTTCCAGTGACGGAGCACTGGAACTACCGCTGCTTGCACCGAAGGACAACCCGCCAATGGGACCTGAACTGGTTCGAGAAGCGCCAGGTTTGGTATTCGACGCCACGCCAGGGAAGTTGTTATTCAAGGTCAATCGAGCTTCGAAGTCTGAACCCGAGTTTCCTGTTCCGGGCCGTAGATCTACGACCGCTGGCAGGAAGAGTCGATCATTCTTACTTGGGGGCTGGTCGGTATTAAGATCAGATGGCAACAGATCGGTTTCATAACCTGCCAGCATAAAACGGCCATCTGGGGGCACGAATGATAGCTCTCCCGGATGGTCTTTCCATCTGGCTAAACGTACACAGGGGTGAAAGACCGGTATCTGCATGGTGCGACAGATGCCTGTAGACTTTGCGCTACTGGTACCTCCGGGAGCAGAAAGTGTCAATAACAGATCCGGCACTCCGGAGATCTTTGCTGTGAATGCTATAGAGCCGTGGGCGCGAGCGGATATCGGCCGACCTGATGGTGCGAAGATGACCGCCAACGTTTCAATTATATCGACATAGAGCTCGTTCGAAGTATGGCGAACATTAGCTCTGCGCCAGGGGATCGCTGGTCGACTGGCTTGTGCAGGACCGGGACGTAGACTAGAAGCGAAATTGCTTGAAGGACCAAGAGACGGAGAGGACCTATACAGTCAGCGTGCGCTATCCCTTCACTTGGCCAGACGCACCCTGGCAGCCCGACATGAGTGAACAACTTCCCAAGAGCCGACGATACTTCCACGTTTTCCCGCAAAGCATTTGGTTCAGTATTGCACACTATTCCGCCATCGCACATTTCACCAAGCAGTTGTGCCACAATTTCATAGTTGTCCTCAATCTTACTGGCTATCAGGGGGCTCCCCAGGAAGTCCTCGAAGATATCCACCAGTCGGTGGAGGAAGTCGATGAACGCAAGTGATTGTGCATCTCTGCTCGAAACTGCAACTAGCAGCAGATTGGAGTGAGATATGGAATACGCAGTGACTGGTGGAGCAAGATCGGAGAGCTGAAGTATTGACGGTCGAGGAGAGGGTCGGGTTGTGAAGCTGGCTGTGAGTGCCTGCGCGGTCGGTGGTCGTCCGGTGTAGACATGCTCTAACACGCAGTTGCTGTTTTCGTCAGCACAAAAGGGAGCATGTCGCGTGTACAGATGGACTCACTTGTGATCGTCAAAAATGTATAGAGCGTCGATGGTGACGCTCATGGTGAGGATGGTCAATTCATCTCGCCAGCCCTGGAAAGCCCAAATGTCATAGGAAGCCCCACGAGCCCACTATCTAATCTTCATCTGCACGTGCTCTTCTCGCCGCTTTTCCAACGACATCGATGAGCCGTCGTGACCGTCCTTGCATATTTTGCTTTCAGTCAAGGTTCTCCTATGTTCTTACACACGTACAACTACAGCTGTCACCTGCGTAGAATTGATCGTACAGTCTCATCAATAGTCCAATCATACGACGTTACAATGTCCCGGACCCAAAATATCCGATATCGCGGTATACTATGTACAAGTGCACAAGCGCCTTTTTCCAACCGTCTTCGATTTACGCCTATCGTCTCCGTTTAGGCGCTCGTGTAGAGTAATAAGGCGCCCCAGTATACGAAGCTACCGCGGCCCGTCCTGAATGGCGACCGGGGATATAATTGCTGCCTGTCGACTGGTTTTGTTGAGCACACTTACTCAACCATTCCTGATCAGACCATATCTTAGTCGGCACAAGGGCACCTCCTGGGTAAGTTGCTTGGTCTCTTCCAATAGTATATCTTATATATATGAGACTACGGTTCTCTCTGTCTCTGGAGGTAGCACTGAGCAACCCATGCTCCTGCACTGTGACATACATCCAAAATCTTTGGTGTAGGATCTTGTTTCCCATCTCGTAATCGTCATGGCCATCAAGACTATGTTTCCGGCTTCGAGCGAAAGACCGCAATCCCAGTTTGCGATTGCAGCGAATATAGTAAGAAGAAAGGGTGGGTTTGGGAAGATCTCCGGATCTACTATCGCAGTAAGCGTCGAGTCCGTCTTATGTTCGAGATCACTTAGGTAATTGTACCAGACTCTCAAGGACAACTTCCACCTCAAGACATGGATCTTACTGGGCTGTGTTTTGCAGAGCATCCTCTATTTCATCTTCCCACGATCATACGCCGCTTTTCCAGCAATCGCCCTTCTCGCATGGAGCTTCACCGATGCTATGTTGATGCACTTCGGCCTCAAGAAGGACAAGTGGTACGAAGGGGTCGTTGACTCTAAATTCAGTGTAGCATATCCAGGCGCTGGCGAGTCGGAAGTCGTCAGGACGAAGCCTGGAGAGAATGGGCCGGGGGCTGTGATGATCTTGGGTGCCCGTGGCAACTCTCCCCTAGGCATGTTTGCAGATGGTGAGTTTATTTGTCCACGGTACACGATATACCCGCGCTCTCTAACTCGAGTGCGTACTTTAGGCATGGAAGACATCGGTCGCTTCTTCAACGCCATGATCAAGGATCTTGAAAAGAACCGAGAAGAGAGTGGCTGTTAGTTGAACCCCTATCTCAGACGAGATCCAAAGCTAACCGTGCCTCAGTCATGGGCGTGTCATCCTGGATCTCAACTGAGCGATCCGCGGCCAATGAATTTGTATGTACTTGCGCGTCTCTACTCAATATACAGTACTTCGACAATGTCTTCCCCGAAACTAACCCATCTGTCGTGGCGTAGTCCACGTTCTCATACTGGCGCTCCGTCGACGACATCCACCGATTCGCTCTCGGCGAAGTGCACCGGAAGGCCTGGAACTGGTGGAACGACACGGCCCACAAGCACAAGAACGTCGGCATCATGCATGAGATATTCGTTATTCCCGAACATCAAGGCTGGGAGGGAATCTATATCAATTATCATCCCACAGGCCTAGCTGCCACCACCAAAGTGGTCTTGGGCAGCGAGAAGAATGGACAAAAGTTGTGGGTCAATCCGATCGTCGACGCTCGCAGGGGTCAGTACAGGACAAGCACGGGGCGATTGAACCGTGGCGATCCGCAGGGAAAGATGAACGATAGTGTCGCATTGGATCCGTACTTGTGAAGGAAATGGTTTCGCAGGATTCTGAACTGTAGCCTGGGGCGGTGAACCCTGCAATCTCAGCATTGGGGGAAAAGTATCACTCGACCCGACCGGGATCCAAGTAGTGGCAGGGAAACTGACCATACAATTCTTCTTTCTACAACTCCATCACAGCGCCAAAACAAAATATATCGAGGTGAAGCTGCCAGGACAAAATCTTTGCGTACCTGATCTTGCCTCTACAAAAGACTTCTAGTATGCAAGCAGCTAACAGAGGGCTGAAATGCTGAGATTGACGCCGCTGTGCCCAAAAGCATATGTCGACGACCCTTGTTTGTCTGCAGGTTGACCCCAGCAACTGATCATTGTGTCTTTCACACTAGTTCTACATTTCTAAGCTCATGTCCTCAATGCCAATGCATAGACCTCGTTCATAGCACGGACAGCCTCCCGAAGGCTTGTACCATGAACAATCTCATGTCTCTTGCCCAATATCTGCAGGCTTCCTTGATAGAACAACGGCTTTTTCTGAACCAGACAAACTCCTCGCAAGCCTCCGACATGCTATCATAAAACTCCCAACCAAAGACGTCATGAAGTAGTGTGACATGATCATGATCACTTCTTTCTGCCCTTCGATCGATTCGCTGGCGCCGTTGATGAAACGCTCTGTGCTCGAGATGTTGCAGGCGATGTGTTCTTGCTGCCTCGACCTGACTTGACTGCTTTGACTTGTTTATTCTGGAAGAGTTAGTAAACTTGCATCTCCAAGCTTATTGAGGATGAGGACTCACCACGATGCCGTTCTTTGCCTTCTTCTTGACCGGCGGTGCTTCGCTGTCGTTGTCTTCGTCATCATCTTCGTCTCGATCACGGCCACGTCCTTTTCCAGGACCATGACCATTTGTGAGCTTCTCCTCGGGGTCTCCAAACTCTCGCAAGACCGTATTCAGCAAAGTGGTGCATCTTCTACCAATTTCGACTGGCGTTCTGCTGAGGAAAAACCAGTCGAAGCGGAACAAGGGTGATTCCCGGATTTCATCACGGATTTTCTCGTACAGGCCTTCTCCATCAACGCCATGTTTATCAAGCATGACCAACAAGAATCGATCCTCTTCCTCTGTATAGACCTTCTTGTTCGTCGTCGAGACAGTGTAGTTGATCTTCAGCTGCTGTAGAGGAACTCGGTACATCTCCATCTTCTTCCGAAGTAGCTTTCGCTGAAGATTCGTCTTGCGGAGTTTCTCTTCACCTGCCTCGATGGTCTTTATGTACTTGTCGTAGTCTGCAATTTCGGTGTAGCGCTTCCAGAAGACCTTGGCATACTCTTCGATCTCGTCCGGTTCCTTGCTGTCAACTTCAGTGGCAATGCCTTCATAATTCGTCCGGCCAAATCTAGCAGACCCATTGACAAATTGCTGAAAATCTCGTCGATTCCAGTTGCCGAAACCATGCTCCTGCATTTCAGCTTTACGCTGCTTCTCCTCTTCAGTCAGAGGTTCGGCATTGTCAATCTCGTCTTGATTTAGTCGTTGATCGGCTTCACGATCACTCAAATCTTCTTCCGTCCCTTCAGCAAGAGGCACCTTGTACCCTATTTCTTTATGGTAGTATGCCGTCTCCTTTTCTTGTAACTCTTGGAGGCCGGGAGGGAAGAATTGCCAGTCATGAACATTGACCTGTTTCGGAGCGCGGGGCACTTTGGGCTTCGTTTCAGCGGGTTTTGCCCCGGTCGACAGTGCCTGTCTGTAGTATTTGTCCATCGAGTATGATTGTTCCTTGCGCTCACGCTTAGCTGGATTGATCCAACTGATGCCGATGTCTTTTCGACGTTGCGTAAAGTCTTCACCATTCCACTCGTAGGCATTTTCCGACGAAAACTTCTGCAGGTCATCGATACCAAGTTTCTCGTACCTGGCGCTCAATTCAGCTGTGCGAGCTTCGCCACGCTGCAAGATTTCGTCAATGTCGTCAAGCGCGCCAGTCGCACCTTTTGTCTCGAAGACCTTTTCAGCGCCATGCTGGATCATGTTCAACAAGTCGTCCTTCGAAGCAGCCTGCTTCACTTGTTGCTGAGCTCTGCCTTGCTGGATGACGAGCTGATCCAACCGCAACTTCTGAGCGGCCCGTTCCAGCACTTTCTCTTCGATAGCATTTTCTGTAACAAAGCGGAATACTTTGACCTGCTTGGTCTGACCAATACGATGTGCTCGATCCATAGCTTGTAGATCTGCTTGCGGATTCCAGTCGCTGTCGTAGAGAACAACAATATTTGCTGATGTCAAATTGATACCCAAACCACCCGCACGGGTAGTCAGCAGGAAGACGAATTTCTCAGAATCCGGCTTGTTGTAGTCATCAATAGCGGCAATACGATCTTCATGTGCCGTACCACCGTCAATCCGACAATATTTGTGACCTCTGAAGACGCAATAGTCTTCAAGGATGTCCAGCACTCTGCTCATCTGCGAGAAAATGAGTACTCGGCTTCCTTCTTCCTTCATTCGGTTCAAGATCTTGTCCAGAATGATCATCTTGCCGGAATTGTAGACCAAATGCTCATCTGTGGTGTACGGAGGACCGGGTTCAGCACCTTCAAATAGATAGGGATGGTTGCAGCATTTTCGGAGTTGCATGACAATATTCAGCAGTCTCGTCTTCGACTCTCGCTTGCCACCAGCACCATTGACCGCATCAATATCCTTTTCGAGGATTTTCTGGTACCACTTGACCTGCATTTCGGACATACCAACGTACAAATTGACTTCTTTCTTGGGAAGCAAGCTCTTCTCGACATCGCTCTTTACTCTTCGAAGCAAGAAAGGTCTCAAGACCCGATGCAGCTGCGAGACAACAGTGTCTTGATCCTCGCTCTGACTCGAGAACCAGGAGTCGAATGCTTCCGAATCTCCGAATACGTCAGGAAGAAGGAAGTTGAGCAGTGCCCACAGCTCATGAAGGTTGTTCTGCAGAGGCGTCCCGGTTATGAGGAGACGGTTGCGAGAAGTAAACATACGGATAATCTGTGCGAGGGATGACTCTTCATTCTTGATTCGGTGGGCTTCGTCGACGATGATGTACTCCCAAGCAAATTTCTTCAGGTGAGTTTTCTCTCTGAGGATCATTTCGTAGCTCGTGATACAGACATCGAACTTTTCGTCAATGAGTCGTTCATTGATCAAGGCATGCCGGTCTTCTTTGGCACCTTGCAGGACCAAAACATCGACTTCGGGGGTCCATTTCTTGAATTCTCTCGCCCAGTTGTCCAGAGTTGATTTCGGAACAGCAATGAGATGTGGTCCCTTGATGTCACAGATATGCCGAAGGTACCCGAGGAAGGAGATCGTCTGAAGAGTCTTGCCGAGACCCATCTCATCAGCAAGGATACCTGAAATGCCGTTCTCGTGCAGGGAAATAAGCCAGTTGAGACCAGCGACCTGGTAGTCTCGCATCTCGCCACCCTGGATGTATGCCGGTGATTCCCGGAATATGGTCTGTGATGCTGCACCACGCTTCTCATCACGTAGCAGCTCTGCATCCTCTTCTTGCTCGGTCTTTCTCTTGTTTCCGGCGGCTGCGCCACCCTTGCGAGAGACACCTTTCTTTGTGTTGGCAGCCTCTTCGGCATTTTGACGGTCTATTTCATCCATGACTTCTCGTATTTTGGGATTGGGGTTCGTCTCGATGAAGTGGCGGAATAGGTCTGTCAATCCGAGGAGATATTTGAATCGGCGGATCGTGTCATCCTCTTTAGACTCGTCCAGCTGCCCATGCTTCTTTCCTAGTATGCTCTTCCGTAGTTGGAACGCTTCAATACGTTTCTTCCTACCGTCGATGGCCGGCATGTCGCCAGCTACACTGCTGGCTGTCGTGTTGGGATTTGTGTCTGAATCAGTGTAGTCAGGCGTATCGTCCATGTACCTATTGAGGTGGCCGAAAGACGGTCTACGCGGTCGAATGATGTTGCTTGCATCTGCCATGGAGGTATCGGCTATTGAGGAGGCTTCGGAATCAGTTTGTTGCGTCTTTGAGAGAGCCATGGCGGGCGTTGGCCGACACGGCCTCGCGAAATACTTCGCTGAATGGAAGAGAACGCGACTTATGCGGGCAGAGGCAGAAGAGCCGTGGACGTTTGGGAAAAGTTGGATCTACGCGATGCAAAACGCGCCCCTAGACCGCAAGATGGTGAAGGTAATAAAGAACATGAAGAGGGCAAGAGAGAAGATATGGTGAGGAGGACAGGGCAAGAGGAGGATAATAGATCGCGCAGCCAGAATGACGTGCCGTAATTGGCCAGGCATTCACGCTAAACCAAAAGATTGCTTGCAAACTGCACCAGGCAGTCACAGTCTTGGCGGGCAGCGGCCACCATCCATCACGTGACTGCGTTGTCGGACATTCCAGAGAATGATGAAAGCCGCCGCAGTTGTATCCTCGTGATCCTCCACCTTCACCAGGGTTTGCTGTTGACAGCCCTCATTTCTGCTGCCACAACCACAACATCAGTGGTGTCTGTCGCTAGGCAATTACTCCAGACAAGGAATTAATTCTTCAACAATTCATCAAGTCTCCCTCTTTTTCTGTTACAAACTTTCCTTATCTGCCTGCGAATCCCGGCCAATTCCCTGCAGCATCCCGCCAGCTGCCTAGGCGGAACAAAGACCCCTCCATCAACCAACCCACCTTGCAACAAACTGCATCAGAAGAAGGACAAAGAAGCACAATCGTTTTCGTTCGTACTGGCTCAGGAAGACGCCAATATGGACTCGATGAGGTCTCTCAACACCTCACTACCATCTACCCGCCCGGCACCTCCCGAACAGCTTCTTCAAGCCTTCCGCAATGCCGCTCTCTCTGTGACGAACCTTTACAAGAGTGCTGTGACAGATCAGAACTCTGCTCGACAAGCCGGATATCAAGAAGCTTTGGAGGATCTTTTGAGTTTCCTAGACCGGGAGAATTTGGGTTTGCAAGATGGTGAAGGTTGGAGGGTGAGACAATGGGCTACAGAACGATATGACGGGAGTGCCCATCAGCAAACCTCCGAGGATGATGAAGACCGAAGCGAGGCTGGACCCAGACCTCGAAGCGTCTCGCCTGTGAAAGAAGAAGCACCCGCCTCCTCGAACACGACTTCGTCCGAACCACCCAAAGTCGAGTCGTCGGTACAGACCGAAGAACCTGATACTGCCACAAACCGTGACCAAACACCCGCACCCATGTTCCATTTCACCGCCAATACGCCAGTGACCAGCTCCGACGACATGCAGACCGATGACAACAACCACCCCTCGGAAGGAGCTGATGCAAATTCCTCAAGCTCATCCGGGGTGCCTATCCGTTTAGAGGTCCTCAACAACCGGGGAAGTCGGACACCTCATCGGCACGGAAACCAACGTAACGGCAATCGACCATTAAACCGCGACTTTGCTTTCACCTCCGGCACCAAGCGTAAATTGCAGTTTCCGGATTTCTTTGATATTTCCAACATTGGTCCAAGGGACGGAGTGGGCGGCAGCAAGCGAGGACGTCTTTCATGAATTGGGAATGATAGACAACATGTTCTGGATTGAAGAGAAGCTTTAGATTTCCGCATGATGGGGACATTCATACGAAGACATGATCAACAGCATAGCGCGTCTGTTCATTACCATGCATATACGTATCTGCTCATGTTGAGCCTTTTTTATGGGACGATGTTCATACCAGACTTGAGGGATAGCCTCGTCTAATACAGATTTCACATAATCAACCCGAGCATGTGGATGGAGTGGGTGTTCCTGCAGGTACCTAGGTATGGCTTCTGTCAGTGAGGTTCTCTCTCGTCCAGAAAGCCTTACTAGTACTCCGTAGGATTTAGTTTATTCGCATTAGACCAAAATTTCATACCATAAGAGTTCCCCAAGGCTCCGCCTCCCTTGATTAATCCACATCGATATCGGCCACACACGCCTATCACCAAAGATTGGCCCCATCAATTGAACATGCGATATATCCCCAACCCGACCAGCGTTGCCGACAGCGAGATGATCCCCAGCTGTCTTGACCCGTACTTGTATTTCGATTTGCCGAGTTCGATGACCGTCCGTTGCGCTCTTAATTGTTGCATGCCGGAGTAATACGTATATCCGCCCAGAGAGGTGAGCGCCGTGGAACCTTTATTTTCAAGAAAACAGGCCTGTCAGTTATTTTTCTTTCTTCTTCTTCTTCTTCTTCTTCTTCTTTCTCCTCATCACATTTATGGTTTTTTCTCCCACCAGCCCGTCCCAGGACCCAGGCCCAGGGCTTGGGGGGGGGGGGAGCAGCGAGCAAGCGCAGCAAGAGCAAGAGCAAGAGTAAGAGCAAGAGAGCGGACCTAGAATTCTGCAAGAAAGACAATCCTCCTGCCCCTTCTCCAGGGCTTTCGGGTCCTCGAAGTCGTCGAATCTCTGGCCCCCTTTGGCGGAGAAGAGTTCCTTGAGCACCATCCTCGTCGTCCGCTTGGGTTGGACGTCTCACAACTCCCAACTAGTCCTATGCGATTACCACCCGATGGAGATATTCCCAAGATTGATCATGTTTGAAGATCGTCAATTCCGGTCACGTCCAAAAAAGAAATAAGATGTCGTTAAGGAAAAGAAATGATACGCATCACCAGCCGGCCAGCCTAGCATGAAGTGTCATGGCCTTGCCGCTTTGTTCTGAAGCGGATTTTCCGGAGTTTAGCCGACTCATGGCAATGGTTGTGGTGGCTGCTTTCCTTTCAGGTTTGCATACGGAGTACGGAGTATTGACAATCTATATATACAGTGTAGGTGCAAAGATGGGGATGGCGATGGGGAAAGGAGCATCAATCAATAAAGCTGAGGGGATTGGTCTAGAGTACAGTACGCTTGATCTTATATAATTCATCGCATCTTTTCGGACACAGTCAAGTCGATCCACCAAGGAGCATTTCTTGTCAAGCCTGGATATCCTATGCTTCTTGTTCCCGTGGAGCCTGCTTCTGCCTAAGATCCTTCCATCCCATTCCCCAACTGAAGCAAAATGCTCCGAGCGACGCTCCACACACGAGGTAGAAGACATGATCAATGCTGACGCTGTAGGCCTTGACGACGCCGGCTACCTTGTCCTGTGAGATGACGTGCCTGAATGCTGTGGCGCCGCTTGCGAGAACGGCATCGACATTGGCACCGGGGGCGTATTGCGGAATCTTGTCTCTGAGGCTGTTGGTGAAGACTGTCTGGGCGATCGTCAGGAACGTGGCTGCCCCGAAATTTTGGCAGAAGATGAGAATTGCCATGGCGACTGGGGCTTCGGCCTGTGAAACGAGAGCCTGGAGAGTTATGTAAAGCTAGATGGGGAGATGATGTTAGTCGGACGATTTGATTGTGCAATGCAACGGTATGAATGACAGGGCAGGAATCTCACCATTGGGGCTGCACATCCGCAACCAGCGCCCGCTATGATTTGGTATCCGACCCGTGCGCCCGTCAGATACGTGGGAGTGAGCATCGAGAGGAGGCCGTAACCGATTGCGCTGAGTGAAGTGCCAGCTAACATCCAAGGTAGATAGTAACCGACCTTTGGAACTGCCCATCGAGTTATAAGCAAGACGGTAGTTCCAGGAGGATGCTCTCGGACGTACCTAGAATTCCAGCTACCATGGACATCATAATTTGGGAACAAATATTTGGCAAGACGTACACGCCGCTCATGACAGGGGAAGTATTTTTGATCGCCTGGAAATAGATGGGAAGATAGTAAGCACCACAAATCAAGATGCCTGTGACAAACAGCATGGTCGCGGACGTAGACCATACAATGCGACGGCGCAGCATTGGAAGTGGAATCATAGCATCTTCCCCTTTATGATACTCCCAGAGGAGGAAGATAACAAAGGTCACGCCACTTCCGCAGAAAAGGCCGATGACGGTGGCACTGTCCCAAGCATATTGTGCGCCTCCGTATTGAAGGGCTAGGAAGAATTGAATCGAGGCTGGCGCGAAGATGGCGAATCCAACAAGGTCCAATGATACAATTATCGTCCTCGACCGTGTTCGTCGTTTTGATTTCGTAATGGGCATGAAAATCAGAATGCCAGCAACCATGGCGCCGATTGGAAGATTAATGTAGAAGCCTGTGAGTCAGCTCAAGTCGGCTGTTGATTAAGAGTTGCGCAAACCTACATAACCGCCATGTGACATATTGAGTCAATGCACCTCCGATCAGGGGGCCGCAAGCCTGGCCAAGTTGTCCGACTAAGAGACACATCAGCTGGAGGGCACGACGAAAGGGGTTGCCTGGTTATTTACCTGCCAACAGCATACCAAACATTGCTATGCAAAAGTGTGAGTAATCACTCGTCTTGGGTCAACAAGCGCCTACCTGGCTGTCGTTCTTTTGGCAGACATGCCCCGAAGATGGTCAACCCGCCATTCAGCAAACCCGAGGCTCCCAAGCCTGAAACGGCTCGTGCTATTATCAACATCTTGGAGGATATCGCCACTGCGCACAGGAGAGATCCAAGCTCGAAGGTAAAGAGGAATATAAGGAAAGCCCACTGTGAGAAACAGACCGTCTTGTTAGCTCAGTATACCAGGCAGGAATCAGGAAATGCTCGAATACTCACCTTGATATTGAAATATGTATAGATCTTTCCTGTCAAGGGCTGCAAAGATGCGCTATATTGTCCATCAGACCTCAACAGATTTTGTGTGGGTCAGTAGCGGACCACTCGACTTACCATGCAAGTTGATACGCACTTCCATACCATCCGACATCAAGAAGAGAATTGAAGTGATTCGTGATTTGAGGAATAGCCTGTACTCATGTTGCTCAACCTAGTGCGACGAGGAAGTAAAGTCTGGTGTCCTGTACATACCGTAGCGATTACAGACATATCGAGCATCATCACAAATTGAGTAAGTGTCATGGAAGCTAATATGAGGATGAGCTGGATTCCAGTGACATGCTCGGTTGTTTCAGGGACATCGTTGGCTCGGGAGGTCTTCTCTGACTCTCTACATGGCTCAAGCGGCCTGTCAATCGCCTCATGCGGTTCAGTCGTTCCGGAGCCGCTACCATTGGTGATTGGCATGGTCTTCGTTTGGATGCTCATATTTTCTAGGCTGCCGTGGGGTGCGCAAAAGATCCGAGGGACGAGAATGTACAGATGGGATCTGCCGATAACAAGAAACACGGAGCACACCCAAGTGCTTTATAGCCTTCTGAATCGGAGGGGTTTGCGGTCGGATGGGAATGATTTGATCGTAGCTGGGCCATCGGTCGGGATGCCTCTGAACTCCGGTTCAGCCTTGTCGAATTTCCCGGCCCGCACACTTAATCAGTCCACGAAGCTAGTATGTCTCCTAACCATGCATCGTCTAGACTCTCCAGAGCGAAGGGGTCCTGGGACATCCCAGCTTCGCTAGTAAGCCGGAGACTCGTGTCATTAGCTGCATTCCCACTCGATCCAAGTTTTGCACTGCACCATGCTCGGACAGACGTAAAGACCTTGATGGTCCTGGCGGCGATGCTATCCTCCGCGCCGTCAAAACTTAGCTGGTTCGCCAACTCCAGATTGTTTAGAAGTCGGTCCAGGATCTGGAGGATATCAACGGTCGACCGGACAAGACCGATGTCCCAACTCGGATCGTCGAGGATGGAGAGTTTGTACAGAACAGCAATACTTCGCGCAAACTGGGCGAAGACTGGAAATGACATGCCGAAATATGCAGAGATTGGCACGTCGAAGAAATTGTCAAATGCAAGCTTGGCTGTATTGAGGGATGCATACAGACATTCGAGTCGATGAGAACCAGGGCTGCTTGACGTAGTAGTCTGAGACAAAGCCATGTCGCAGATACTCAACTCTGCGTGATACATGGCAGAAACAAGAATCGCTACATTGCGTTAAGCAAACGGACAGAACATTCGGCCAATAGCTCGGTGACTCACCATCTGCCTGGAGCGTAGGGGAGACAGCGCCCCGGATCTGCTGCAGATTCGACTGAAGCGCCTTCAAGTAAAAGGCTGCGGGCACTCTGCTTTCAGGCTGTCCAACTTCCTCAGGCAGCTGTGGAGCCTGTATCATACGCTGTGAAAGTAGTTGACATCGGACCTGACACAGGAATAGCTCATCCGATGGACATTCCTTCTTTTCGCTCAGGACTCGAAGACACTCTTCCATATATGCCGTCCATTGCATGGCGTCAATATGCGCTAGGCCGGAAGCCACACTAACACTATAAGCAGTTGTGCTCTGGGAAGGGGTGGTGCTCACATTGAGCTCATAACAAAGCACCCTAGGACCGCCCGGCGGTCCTCCAGGGTTGGGCCAGTGACGGTCTGCCTTGCCGAAGAGTCGCCCGGGTTGCCTTTCGGAAGCATGTTCACTTCTCTTTGGGATGGTTTGTTGAGGCGAAGTTCAAATACTATCGTCGTTGCCATTTGAGTGAAGCGAGACAAGCTCTTTGGGTTGTCGCTGAGCAACTGCTCATTGCCCCTGATACCAATGAGCTTGCAAACAGATGGAGAAACAGTTAAAATTGTTCGGAAAGTCCCATACCAAACTAGATATGTCAGAAGACCGAGAAGAAGGTCGATGTTCACGTTACGTCCATCTTCAAGGAGCATTGCCTGTGCTAGCACATGCCTGATTTCTTTGAAAAGAGCCATCTTTTTAGAAGTCGTTTTGGTGGCGACTGCAACAATACACAGATGAAGAAAGGGGCGCTTTTGCTGAAGCGATTGAGCATTATCATCTGCAGGCAGGTGGATAAAAGCAAAGGACCTCAGCATTTGAGTCCTGAAAACATCAAGGCATCTTTGAGCCTCTCCAAGCGATGTGTTGAAGGAATCAGGAGTGGTTGTTGACAAAGAACGTGATGCAGAAGTTCCCTGTGTACCTGCGGCGCTGGACGCCACCGCACGCCCAGACAAGGTGTCACTTGGAGTAGACACGGTCTCGAGTGAATGAGCTCGTAGCAACCGGTCAACCGAATCTGGCATCGAACCGCTGGTGGAGGTAGACCGAGCAACGGACCTGAGCGCCGATGCAAGGTCGTCAAGCCTTCCCTCCAAATGCGCGATCCTGGTTGCAGAAGTTCTGTCCCCATTGCGTCTCCGTACCGAGTCAGCTGGGTGACATGGTTTGTTGAGACGATAGCATCTATCACAACTATCGCGCCCCGGACGTCGAACACACTTGCATTTGGATTTGGAACAATTCGAACAAGATCGTCCGTACGCCCCTGAAACGCTTGTATCTTGCTGCATAGCGACAAGCTATCGCTCATCCAGCTTGGCGCTGTTTGCTAAGCTACGAGCAGGAAGTAGAAAGATGATAGCAAGAGAAGGACAAGGCTGAACGAACACCGAAAACCGAGCCCCAAGGGTGAATTATGGTCAGAGATCGTCGAAGTCGCTTAGACGGTCTCATACATTGGCCGCTCAACTACCGATGTGGCGTGAGCAGAGATCGAAGTCGTCAATTTTGCGTACTGACTGGTGGCGGTCCTGGAAGGAGGGAACAGGACGCACACGGGACGTGAAGTCGTCCGGAGTTCGGACAGCATGTTACTGGCGGCATCGCCATTCTTCGACTTGACATTGGTGGTGGTTGCATAATCGATTCTGCAAAAGGCCAAGTTGGATGGGACAGTGGTCCACTTCGGCCACCGTATTCGACCGACGAGGCCGAATCCCGACATTCTCGAGTTTATGTACACCAGTCTTGCAGTCCACCATTCTCTGACATCTCTACGAACAAGTACTTCGAGTACGGTCTCATGGGTAAATCGTGTAACGAAAATCGCTTAATTGGGTTGCGGCAAAACAGCTGCAGTAGTTGGACCTCGCATTCAACACGACGCCCTCCTGCCACACAAATAGTCATTGACCTCGCCTTGGGGAGGCGGCCCGCCTATCCCATAAACTGTCCTCGCTGCTGTTGTCGTCGAATGGCATTCTAGCGCCAAATTACACGACTTACCCATGAGACCCTAGTACACCCTGTCGCCGCACACGCATCAGTACGATGGTCGGCTCGGCTGCTACTCTTGCCTGTGTTAGAACGCCAGACGGGTAGGGTCAATCAACCATGCCTCATTCCGCAGTGCAGCCTGCTGCTGCGCGTGTCACACAATGTCTCCAGGGTCCCCAAAATCCCGACTTCATCGTGCTCTGGTCCTTGACGTGTTTGGCTATGGTCTGTCGATCCTGGAATCGATACCATCTTGTTCCCACCCACAGCTAGAGTCCATCCACCACCTCATTCACTGGCGCCACCGGTCGTCCGGTCCTCCACAAACTCCTGATATTCTCAAAACACTCCCTCTCGGACTTTTCGAATGCCACGTCCGTCAGCCCACCCATATGAGGCTGAGCAATGATCTTATTGCTCGTCTTGAAGTACGGATTGATGTTTGGCTCGTTACAGAACACATCGAGCCCTGCGCGAGTGATCTTGCCTGACTCCAATGCGTCAATCAGCGCTTCCTCGTCTACCACAGCGCCGCGGGATGTGTTGACCAGGAAAGACCCGTGTTTCATGGCGGCGAATTCAGCCTTGGATATAAGGTTTGTAGTCTCGCGATTGAGAGGGCACGACAGGGAAACCACGTCGGACTGCGCCAGGAGGGAGTGCAGTGTAGGGCGGTATGTCGCGTGGTACTCCGCTTCCACCTCGGGCGAGAGGCGGTGCCGGTTGTAGTAGTGTATCCTCATATTGAAGGCGAGCGCTTTGCGAGCTGTGTACTGCACATTTCGGTCAATCATCATCGTGAAGTGAAAGCTTACCGAAGGTTTTGAAAGGTTTGGAAAGGGCGTAGGACAGAAGGCCGGTTTGGGACCAAACGACGAGTGAAGTACGGGAGGTAAGATAGCAAATAATACGTACCTTCCCAATAGCCCCCATTCCTACTATTCCCAAGGTCATGCCAGTCGGATCTCGACATGGTACGAGACCTGCTTTCCAAGAATCGCTTCTGGCGCCCTTCTCGGCCCGAGTGGTATCACGAAGGACAGCTAGGATGAGGAACAGTGCCATATCGGCTGTGGCTTCGGCGACGGCGTTGCGAGTGTTGCAGAACCAAATCTTGTTCCGAGTCATCCAGTCGACGTCGAACTCGTTGAAGCCTGCACTGGCGGAAGTGATGATCTTGCAGTGTGGGAGGAGAGAGCCAAGAAGATCCTCGTTGAAGGGCTCATATGGCGGCGTTCCCATACGGATGATGAATGCATCGACGGGGCCTCGTCTGGCGATGAGTTGGGGTAGGAGATCCTGGGTCTCCTTACGGTTTGTGGCGGGCAGTATCTGTAGCATGTGAACTTGCAGCCAACACGAAGAAGGGGCCAAGTAGTACCTCGAAGTCGAAGTCTTTCTTGAATTCATCGAGGAACTCTTGACCGGCATATTTAGGGTCACCAAGGGCGACAACGAGTGGTTTCCTTGTTGCCATACTGAGCGATACTGGCTTAGCGTTCGATAGCAACGGTAAGAAGGGCAAGCACTGTCAGGTCTTCCTCCCCGTAGTACATCTGGCTGTTGAGATGACTTCTGACGATCATGAAGGCCACTTCATGTTATGCCATGGGGTGTGAGAAGAGAGAACTGAGGTTGACGATCTCCGCTCGATTGACCCTTGCCTGGCGGACTTGCCCGAAAGCTGCATCATGCTGCAGCTGCCACCCAGGCTGCAGCGAGGTACATTCGGTTTCGCCTGCAGTCTAATGACGTTTGTACCCGTACAGTCAGTCTATCTATCTCCTTGTCTTTAAATGAGCGCTTCATCCTTTTATCATAACTCATCCCTCTTCCTTTCATCGGCCACAACCTCCTCTGCGACGTGCTCCACTTCAGGCTGCTGGTTGTCCTTGCTACTAGCCTCCTTGAGCACTGTGGCGATCTCCTCATCATATTCAGTCCACTCAGGGACCTGCCTTCTCGCCCTGTCCAATTTCGGCTCCTTCGTCAACGGATTGTTGCACAAGTCGATGGTCTTCGCGACGCTCAAGCTTTCATCACTACACCACGTCTCGCACCACAGCCACTCCTGGCTCAAGCTGTGGATGGGTAGTACATGCTGCATGTGATTCGGCAGATCTTGGTCCAGATTGCTGAGACTGTTCGGATCAGATGAAAGCGCTTGATATTGCTGCCTCAGACGATCACCAGCCGCCAGTTGACGGAATTGTTTCAGATCGACCACGTAAAGCGCCGAGATATGATAAGGCTTGCCACGAAGGTACGTCTCCCAGTAACCTTGTTTCCAGAAGCGGAACCCTTCCATTTCTGTCCGCGAGTCACACATGGGCGTGAAGCCGTACGGAGCTCCTTTCAGGTCGACCTTGTTTAGTTCCATCATGTCGACACGAACGATCTGGTCAGCATCCACGAAGATGACCTTGTCGAGGTCGAGAGGAAACAGCACGTCTAGGAACAGGATCTTGTAGCCCCAGATCTCACGCTGTTTCTCCTTCTGACCCCGAAGCCAGTGTGGCCACTTGTATGTAACCATCTCGTATTCAAAACCATAGTGCTTTGCAAGATTTGGCAGAGTAGATTTGAATGAGGGTGACAAGAACTGCTCAATGAACCAGAATTTGACCGAATGCTTTGTATGCTTCATGACCGAAACCATCATGATGTTGAGCATGCGTTCGTAAAGGTGGCCAGAAGCAACAGAAAAGATATTAATATCAGCGTTTGTTGAAGTCGTCTTCTTGAAACCAAGAGAAGAGAGTGCCGATGACGCGTATGATGCCCCTTTGTTGAGGTAGTCCAGTGCTCCCCCTGACGACTCCAGCACGTCCTCTTCCTCCATTCCAGGTCTCCGAGACAATCGGGGAAACAGGGTTGCCCCTTGGAATGAAAGAAGGGCGACACTTGTGGTCTCATCACCTGGTTGTGCGGCATACCCTTTTGGGCCTACGCTGTCGATATGAAAAATCTTCGAAGATCTACCGGGCTTCAACGAGATGTGCCAGAAGCCAGGATTCGCCTTGAATTGAAAATAACCGAGATTCGCCATGATGATGGTGTCCGTGAAATGCGGCTCCTGTTCCGTACCCAGGAGCAGCTGCACTCCACGTGGCGGAGGTCCGGCGGTGACGTCGCGTGCATGACCTTCGATCAAGATATGTTCCAGCTCATACAAGGCTTCGATGTTCTCCTCTTCACCCAGACTGCTCAGTTTGATGTTGTCAAGGTCGTAGATACACTCCTTGGGGGCGACTAGCCAGGAAGGAGGAACTATCATGCCGAGGTTGAAAAGGGTATCCCTGGGGATCCGCTGGAAAGATGCTGTTGGCTTCTGTAATGAACCGTCAGGGCCAAATGTGGGTTCGGCACTGATGACCTGGCGAAAGAACCGCTTCACGGGTAATTCAGTCATTCTGTCTTTAGGGTTGAGGAAGACCTTGACGCTGACGCCGCTGAGCTGCGACAACGTCTTCAGTATGGGAACCCATTGCTGCACGGTTTCGGACGCTGGGTCGACAACAGCAACGACTTGTATCGTGGGATTCTCGGAGTTGGAGACCTGGAAAGACGTGTAGGCTTCGTTCCAAATCTTGAATCGATCCATTCTGATGAGCGGTGCTGACTCTCTGAGACCTTCGGGTAGATCAGATTTGAGTGACCTTGCGACCAGGGAGGTGACTTTCGCAACATCTAATGCGTCGCCAAATTGGTCTTCAAGCCCCAGTACAGTGATCGCGGTCGTCACAGGAGCAATCCGCTCTCTGCGCTCGTAATCGAGCAGGGACTCAAGGTCAGCTACAGTGAGGAACCCGTCTACTGGCGCAATGACGCGTCCATTCAACCACAAGCCGGTTTCGCCTAGAGCCATTCCTAGGTCCTTGATCAGTGGTTCGTATGAAGCCCAGAATTCACTAGCAGCTTCGTCTTGATCTAAAGAAGTGGTCTCAGCTTCAAGCAGCTGCTGTACTTGCTCGAGCGTGAAATCATTATTGTCCTGCGTCAAGACGGACAATGCAGCAGCCAGTCCATGGGATCCTGCCTTGGAAGGTGGATTATGTAGAATCAGCAGATCGGATTCTGGGTGTCTTTTCTGGAACTGGAGTGCCTGAGTGAGAAATGATCGGCCGCTTTCGGTATCCACGTCTGTGACCACAAGTACATGAGCCCGATCGCTCAGAAGAGTTGCATCGGCCCCACGGATTCGCGGTATCGAGGCAAATTCGTTCGCGTATTCCCTAGTCAAGCGACTCAAATCGACGATCTGGACATTCTTGGGATCACTTGGGAAGACCAGTTCGTTTCGCCGGATAGCAGCTTGAAAGAGGAAGACTCTTGGTATCCAGTCATCTTCTGCAACTGCTCCCTCATATACAGCTTGTTGCAACAATTGATGATCCGAGAACACCCGTGAGCTTAGGACCTCGAACCAATTGTCACTGCGTGGCAAGACGACTCCGTTGACAATGAAAGGGTGATTCGAACTCCCCAGAGCCAAGCGTTCAACATAGTTGTCTCGTGCTTTGAGTCGTTGATGCAGATGAACAGCTTTCAGAACATCTTCGTACGACAACTCTTCTTTGCCTTCGCGGGGAACGAGGCCTTTAATAACTGTCATAAAAGCTTTCTCCGGGTTTGCTTGCAGCTTCTTGCTGGAAACGACTTGGGTGAAGAAGCTCATCAGTGTGCTCAAACCGTAAGTATCCAAGATATGGTACGACAACCGGGAGTAGAGATTAGCTATCTCGCCAGAGCCAGTTGGGACTAACCCGATCCTGATCGGCACAGCTCTTCTGACGAGATTCTGCAGAGCTGTTGTAACAAGTTCGATATCTTTGATATCCGCCATGTCAATTGGGACGATCAAGTTGTGGATGTCACGGGCGACTTGAGGCAATTGCCCAGGGTAGACTCGTTGAAACAATGTCCGCAGATCTGAAGGCCAAGAAGCGTAGCGTTTATCATGCTCAAGATCATTCAACCACATCAATACATTGTCGGCCTCATCGTCATCGCGCCAGTCGAACCGCTGAGGTGACTCGTTGGCCTGTGTTTCGGCGATGACCTCGCTGGAGATGAGACTGATAGCCTCGGAAGATGTTAGTCCAATCTTTTGGAGATCGCCGATGATATGCCTTTCTCGTCGTAAATGTTCAAGCAGGGAGTATGCATTGATATGCCGAGGCTCGATCTGAACTCCATTAATCCAGAACACATTGTATCCCGATGGTAAAAACTGTTCTCGATTTCTTCGGTGTTCCGCCAAAAAGTCGTTGCTAGCATTGGCGGAAGCAAGAACTGACGAATATCGAGGAAAATCGGATGATAATTGCAGAAGACTCTCAAAGGGATCCGAGCTTGATGCAATGAAGCTGGCGGCGTTTAGGCCCAGATTGACTACCTCGGAGCTGGTCAACGGCTTTAGATCTGTGATGTCGTCGTTCTCGACTTGTTGCAAGGAGATTTGCTCAACACCGGCTGCCTCCGTCTTCAGGGCGTCTCGATCATCAATCACAATGTAGTCTGTCCTCTTGAGAACCAGCTCAACACCGTAACCACTGACGTAAAGAGGCTTGCTGGCGGAGAGGCTCGAAGGGCGGTACCGCAATCTATAGTTTGATCGTCCGTCGCTGGCTGTCTGGCTCACAATATTGTGAAACTGGCCGAAGAATGGATGTGTGATATCGGCATAAAGGATGGATGACGGTCCTTCACCGGATGACCCCAGGACCCGGTCGAAAGGCAGTACTTCATCTGCACCAGGCAAGGAGATTGCCTGCTGGGCACGATCCAGAGCAGGCGAACAGTATTGTTGGCCGTCCAAATAGACCCAGACGGGACAAGCAGCGTCCTGCGCCGCCATCAGATGTGGTCGAACAGAAGCATTGTAATATTGGAAATGAGCTTCGACCCGCGGAGCAGCAGCATGAAGAGCCAGGGCGAACTTGAAAGAGGACAGGGCCTCGGAATTGGAAAGGTGGCCATCATGTTGTAACACGTCTATGAACTTATTGTACAGCTCTTGTTCCGTTTGCAAATCGACAAAGGTGCCATCGGCCACGCGATCGAGGAGAGGGAAGTACGAGGAGGAATTCTCGAGGGCGGCAGTCTCCCTGCCTGAGTGTAAGTTTGTAGTCTTCCAACGGTGAGATGCACTTACAGCAGCTCGACCAAGTATGGTGCAGCGGAAAATGAGGTCTCAAGAGCAACATTGATTGAAGAAGAGGCATTCACAAGCCTAGACAATACAGCCACAGACACGAGTCCGCAGGTAGCGAGTCTCCAGGGCAGAGTCGAGGTGCGCATGGTGGACAAGGCTGGCTCGTAAAGGAGAGGATCGCAGGAAGCTCAGGGCTCTCGAAGCATCGTCTCGCGGAGATATACCGAGAAACTGAGAACGTGATTTGATTGTAGGCCTATGACATCAAGAGCACTTCACTACTTGCATAAAGACGAAGACAGAGGAAGGAATGGAGGGTCAAAGGTGTCGTAGAAAGGCCAGGGTGTGCAGAGCGTGGCAGGGGAAGATGTCTCGACGTGCATCTGTCTGGTATCTCCAACGTCTCAACTCCGCAAGACTAAGAATTATTTCCTTCGACTGCACTACGAGCTCGTACCACAATCCACTCCTCCAGAGACGTGATTAACCCGACGCCAACGACCATCGCTCCCTCATATGGTCCATGTCAACGATTCTCCTGAACCCTCGCCATGCACTACCTTCCACTCGGTCCTTCCTTTACCGCAGCAATGTCCGCTTCGCCTTCCTCAATCACGTATCCAACTCGCTGTCCACTTCGAGTCCTCGAAACTCTCCCTCGAGACCACCTGCAAGATGCCACCTAGAAATCATGTGTCCTGGCATATTCTCAGACAAGCCACAGTATCCCAACATCAATCTACGGCCACACCGAATAGACGCTGCACAAGGGCCTGGCCTGGCAAGCCTACGACCTCCGCACTTTGAATACGTCGAGAAGCCGGAATCCTATCTTCCTCTCCAGTTACTCACATATTGGTATCGCTTAGCAGGAGCGTACGCCAGATTCTATACTGCTAGCTTTGGCAAAATCACGGGAAATCTCAAGGAGAGAATAGCGATTGAGAAGCGTCTTGGTACATGGTCAAGGAGCAAAATCAGCATCTGTACAGTGGCCATGATTGGCGGGACTCAGGATATGCCAGAACTTACAAGACGTGAATTCCAATTGTGCATGCGTCTGGACCATGGCTTTTTCCGTCGCCGGACAAGTACCCAACTGAGACGCCTCAAGTCCAGGCTTAAGAGCTTCGAAACCTTCCACGCCCAATATTTCCGGAATATCGAGATTGTCGACGAAGATTCCGGCGGTCGTGGGTGGCGTGGCGTCCTGGATCGACGTAGCATCCATTGGAGCGATGTTTTGAGAAGTTGTAAACCAACCCTTCGTCATTATTTGATGCTGGATCTTTGGAGGGTTACTGCTTATTTGTCGGCCAGAGCTGCTAAATGGATCCCTGATAGCTGGACCGGATCAGTCTACAATGACATTATGTTTTCTGGAGGCCATGGGGAGCGTCAATTTGAAATTTTGGCAGACACAATATTAATCTTGCGCGAAGGCGGTTTCAGCAAGTTGTCTGCAGAAGATATTGCTGATTACTGCTTGCGATCCGGCTCATTCATCTTCTTCGGTTTCGTCAGAGAGGCCGTGACACAGAAGAACAACCCGGTCACAGAGGCCATGAGAAGGGTCGTGGTCCCGCGTTTGGAGCAGCATGCAAGGCGGATGGTGGAATGCGACTGGCAGAGACTGCCTCTTCACTTGCGTTTCATGCAAGAACAACTCGTTCGCTCTTCAGATCCCAAGGCTGCAGAAAGCTGGGTCTACCAGGGCTAAGTGAGACGCCATCAGAAGGTGCGAAATGAGTCATTTCGTATCATCTGGCTCGAAGATATGGGCGCTCCATTGTGGAATTTTATACGCCATTCAGACCCCCATGCCGCCAGACCATGGACGATCGCAGCGTGTATTACGCTGACAGCAACACAATTGCGATCGGTCATATTTAAGGCGGACCCGGACCACCCTTAAATTGTCTGCCCGGATCATGAAATGCAAGTCTACTCATGGAGTCCTCTTTCACCCCACCGACAATAGAAAGTGCGCACTTGCACCAACGGGATTTTCTGGGCCGCCTCGGGTCTGCACACCATCTAGATCAGCATGTGCCTAGCTGGGCAGTGTGACCATCTAGGCTCAAATGGTGTAAGAGCTATGCATACGCGGGTACGAGACAGTGTACCTTGGACATCTTGGACCACTGCATGGCATTCGACATATACCCGCACGAGCAGGGCGCCAGGCATCAGCGATGCCGCTTCCAGCCGATTAAAATCAGACACGCTTAAATTGGTCTTTGGTGTTACTATTCAAGGTCATTCTCGGTTAACCATGACTGGCACGCACCCGATCTCAGGTGTCCGAAAGTGGATGCAAGTGGTTGGAGGAAGCCACTCTTCGCATGGCCTTGCCTTATCCTAAGTGGCACGATTACGAACCGAAGGAACATTGACGCCTGGATTTGATACCCTTCAGACCAGGTATCACCCAACGTCGTGTACTAGGTCTTGGACTCCTACGGCTTCCTGTCCCCTCATAAATCGTAGGCAGCTACGTTTCTATATGGTCGTTTCGGACGAAGTGGGATAAGAAAGCTGTCAACTCAGCGTAAATTCGGATCCGTGATATGGTATATTCATCATGCATGCCTCAAGCATCTCTAAACATTATGTACCTGGTGTCTTTAGTTGATCATACGCTCGTTGACCCCAACGATCTGAACCATGATAAAGAGTTTTCGGCTGTCCCGCCCCCCTTCACTCTCCGCCGCTCTCACTGTCACTCGGACTCAAACTCCATTTCTTGCGCCTACTCGACAGCGCGACCGCCTGCAACCCATTGCGCTTCGCGGGCTGAAGCTTCATTCCTCGCTGGGCAGACTCCTGGATGCTGCTCAGAAAATCATTGCTTGCTTCGTCGGCATTGCCATCTGACTCTTCATCGTTGGCTTCTCCTTCATCAGCATCATATTCTGCCGCTTCTTCGTCCCCAGCTGCCTCGTATTCCTCATCTGCCTCGTCGTCAGATTCCTCCTTGGCTCCAGTTTCATAGACTTGTTCATCAACATCTTCTGCGCTTTCGTTCTCCTCGTCTTCGAGATCAAGGTCTCCGTTTGCTTTGACCTTGATCTCCGATAGAGGTGATCGGCCAGACAGCTGCTGCCGCTGAATGGGCATATTCGGGGAAGGTCGGTCCTGACTTAGGAGCTTCAGTCTGCTCTCCGGAAAGGATCGAATCGCGGAGGTATTCGCTTGAGTCTGGCCAAACATCTGACTTGCCTGGAGAGTTTTGCTGGGTGTTTTCGCCTGTAGCGGGTTGCGACTTTGACGGGATGATGATTCCTCGGCCGACTCCTCGTCCTCAGCTTGCTCGGAGGCTCCTCCACCCTTGACAGGCGTTGACCGTATCTCGCCATCCTCATCAATCTCCTCATCTTCTTCATCCTCATCTCGGACAATTTCTTGTGACAGCGGCATACGCTTACTCGAGCCTACCACCTTCTCACCTTTCAAGCGACGTTCCATCTTCGACGGGGTCAGTATCCTGCTCGAACCAGGCGTTTTCTCGAGACCTTCAACCTTGACCCATCTACCTTGTTGCTTTTTACCGTGAGCAGCTCGGTAGTGGTTAGAACATTGTATTGCGCTCCTGGTCCCGACTTTCTCACTGACTCTGTTCCACGGGATGTGCCAGCCTTCAGAATCTGCTGCAGGCCCAGACTGTCTTCGGACCTCTTCGATTGCCTTGCTGAATTTGGCTTTCTCCTCGGAGGTCCATTCTCCTTTTTCAATGTGGCCATGCCGTAACTTGTGCCGCCATCGCTGAGCAACAGCGTCAAATGTTCTCGTCATGCGCTGACCAATTTCGGTCCATTTCGGGCCCAGTTGCTTGTAGAGCCGAAGAAGTTCCTCATCATCTTGTGCAGTCCAATTCTTAGATCCTTCCAGATTCTGAAAGTTGCGCTCACGGTATCGCATCATCGACCGCCTATTGCGATTCGGGAGTACATCATAGTATTCATTTAAGAAGTCTTTCATGCTGATGAAGCGCCAGTTCCAGCGTTCTCCCTTTTGTCGCTTCAAGGTGTCTGTCATCATGTCGTTGAACTGCTCGGTAGTGATGCTGTGGTCCTCACAAAATGTGTCTCGCCAGTTTTGGAGTTTCTGCACTTCACTTTCACTAAATGGTCCTGTCACCCCCTGTAGGCCATTGCCTTTGCCGTGTCCAGTGTCTTTCTCGTGGTTTGCCAAGAGCTTCATGGTGTAGAACTGCTCCGAGCACTCTTCGCAACCATGGAGACGTGCATGAACGTTGGGCTGCTTCAAATGCGATCTCAGTGATGCTTCCGACTTGAATGCCATGTGGCATCTGCCACACTCGACAGTACTGTTGGCTCTGGGCCTGCGTTGGCTGGCCGAGATCTTCTTCACCGGATCATCTTCAGACTTCTCCGCCTGCTCCTCCTCGTACTCAGACATCGATTCTTCGTCTCGTGACCGGGAACGCTTTCTGGACTGACTGCTTGAAAATGTCCTTTTAGCGACAGAGGTGGCCATGTTATCAGGCTGCGAGTCAGATCCGTCGCCTTCAGCTCGCTGTCTTGTGCCAGCCGCCGGAGATATATAGTTAACGCCAGCCTCTGCTCGCTTCTTGCCTTTGGGAGTGGTGTACGTGGAGTTGCGGGCTCTCTTAGCACCGAAAGTCTCTAGGCCTTTCGACTGCAAATTTCCATTCAACTTACGATTTCCGTTTGCAAATTTGCTTTGGGCCCTGACATTGTCACTGCCAGATGGAGCAGCTCGGTTGGTGCGTGGAACAAGGACCTCAACACGTTGTGAGGTAGATGGCGGCGGGGTTCTTGAAGCAGACATAGAAGGCCTCGACCCAGACGCGGAGGTAGATCTCTGAGTCCAGCCATCGATTGTACTCTGTCGTTTCTGGAGTGTTGGCACGATCTTATCCGTGACTTGCCCACGACGAGTTGACTCGGTGATAGAATTTACAGCTGCCCAACCAGAGTTTGCCCCTTCGTCTTTCTCTTTCGACTGACCAGATGGTGGTGGGGTGTTGTGTGCCAGTTTTCTTCGTTTAGAAGACTCTTGTGTCGACCGGTCTGGGGTCTTCGACAACTCTTCGGAAGCACGTTTTCGCTTCAGTCTCGCTCTCTGTACGGGCTCTCCACCCAGAACCCCGTCTTGCGCCTGGTCATTCATGACACCCCGCGAGCCAGATGACTGACGGTCAGAATCGGGGTCGGTGGCATCTGCGAAAGCCTGATCTTCCTTACTTAGCTCATCCTGCCTAGTCGACTCGGATCGCGCATCAAGCTGATCTTGAACAGCATTTTCCACAGCTCGAACCATGTCGTCGGCCGACTCTTCATCAGGCGCATGATCTTCTCTGGCACTCTCCGATCCGTCATCATCTACACTGTCCATTGTATACGGCCGCGCCTGAGACGTTTCTTGGGGCGTGGTATATTCCGGGGATTTCTCGTCCTGCTCCTCCTGCAGCTGATCATCGACGATTGGGGTCTGGAAAGCCGTCGCTACGACGACTGGCTCTGATCTTGTCCTCAGGTGAGCTTCTGCTGACGCGATCTCCTCCGTACTATGCTTCGCGGAATGTCTGTCAAGAGTATCCTTCCGGCTTAACTTCTTGCCGCAAACAGAGCAGACAAAGGTCGAGGTATGAATCGCAGCATGTCGTTTCGCAGCCTTTCTGTTAGCAAAAGTCTGCTCGCAATCGTAGACCTCTGCATAAGGACATAACCATCGACCTTCCTCACGCTCTGGCTCTGGCACGGATTGCGTCGAACCTGCCAGGAATACCTCGTCCTGAGTAGCTTGGATGTTACTAGTGAGGTGTGGTGGTGAGACTTCGTCTACACCAGGTATGTCCTCTCCCGAGAGATGGCCATTGACTTCAGCGTGGCGCTCTTCTACAGCCACCTCGCCCTCGTCGTCCACGTCCACAGAATTCGTAACTCGAGTATCGTCTAGCGCAGCTCTTCCAACATCATCCACGTCGCCGACTTGAGAAGAAGCATACACTGAAAAGGCCTCGGGCTCTCGTTCTCGCAATGACTGTATCTCTTCGTCGTTCGGTACATGCTGGCTTACTCTGCTCCATTCACCAGCACTATCCGCTTGTGTATCTTCCCCGGCTGATCTTCGCCCTTTTCTTTTCTTCTTCTTCTTCTTCTTCTTTTTCTTCTTAGTCTTGCCGTTCGAGGCGGGGTTCACGGCCTCTGGCGACTCGGGCATGATGGTCGATTCATCTGGATCCCGGTCGTCCGGAATATCCGAGAGATCGGTCTCTACATCCATCATCAGTTCATTCCTTCCGGCACATTTTGCAGTAACTCACGTTCAGGTTCCTCCTCCTTCGTCTGAGCGCTCGACTCTTGACTCTGCTCGTTGCCCATAATTGCAGTGAGAAATCGTGCTAGTCATATCATGTTGACAGATTGTTCTCGCGGAAGGAGCGAGTGAGACGCTGGAGCAAGAAATGCGACCTTGAGGTGATCGGCAGGAGCAAATAATACTGTACATTTACTCGTGTAGCAACAAATGCGCAGGCGCAAAACTCCAGAAAGTGAAGGTCTCTCGGGGAACTTTAGCGCGAAGTTCATGTGGAGAATTTGCGATCGGAGCCATCAATTTCACACAGCCTTGTCGACCCGCATACTCCAGTAACTCCGTACAAGGCTGACCCATTATTCTGCCATCATTTGCGCCGTCTCTGGCCGCAGAAAATCGACCATCACAAGCACCTTCCCAGACAGCCTTGTCAAGGGCGACGCCAGCAAGATGGTACTCCTTACAACAACTCCCCGTATCCTTTCAGCCCTATCTTCCCTCCCACCTTCCACCCTCTCCTCTCTCAGCATCAGCCAGCTACCTACCACGCCCGGCTCGCCAATCGAGCACACCACGCTCATCGCTCTCTCTAGGCTGAGTTACCCACAAACTACCCTCAATTGCCTCCTTCGCGGAACAAAGGTCTATACTGCTCCACCTCCTCCCAAACCAGAACCGTCGGCTGGATACATTGCCCTGATGGCACGCCTGCGCAAGGAACAAGAACGACGTGAGTACGCAAGCCTCATCTCAAAGCGGACACCTCTCGATACCAACGAGGAAGATGCATCAGAGAAGGACGACATAACACCCTCTCTTGTCTTCAATATTCTACTCAGCATAGTCATGTGCGCGGGTGCGATGTTCTACCTCACACGCTGGTGGCGCAATGACGGCCTGCGGGTCCTTGTGTCGCTCTCCACAGGCATCCTAGTCGGAGTTGCAGAAGTCACTGTGTACGCTGGGTATCTCCGGAAAGTCAAGTTGAGCAGGGAAAAGGAGCGGACGAAGCGAGAAACGAAGGAGTACATCGGCGAGTACACTGGTGAACCTGTTCGGCCGATTGACCATATGGCTTCGGTAGAGAAGGAGGAGATCTGGGGTCGAGGCGTGAACGGTGGGATGAGAAGACGAGTTCGAGAGAAATGGGAGAAAGAACAACAGTCTCCATCATGAAAAGTGGTAGTAAACTGCCGATTTCAATACCCAGATCAACTGTGCTTGTTGAACTACTGTCTCATCAGATCCGAAAATCCCACGCTCCCAATCTATGCCCGCTCTATGCAACCAAAATCAGACCATAATATCCCAGGCGTATCCGGATCACCCATCAAAGTCATAAATCCACCTCTTAAACCAACTCTTAACTTTTTTCAACTCCTTCATCCTAGGCTCCAGCAACAACTGACCCGTACATCCCTTTCCGACGAATCCGCCGTTCTTCCCATCCCTTACAAAAACCGTCTGGCCTCTCAGCAACGTCTCCTTAACCATTCCCTTCATTGTACGTCCCTGGTACGGCGAGCACTTATTCCTGAACAACATCGTACTCGGCTCGACAACCCACTCGGCCTTGTCATCAAACACGCAAATATCCGCATCAAACCCAACCGCCAGCTCACCCTTGACCTTTTCCAGCCCAACTTGCATAGCGGTATTGACACAGCACCACCTCACTACATCCGTGATTGCACTCTCACTCTCTGTCAACCCCCGACGACTCATCTCCGTCCACAAGATCGGCAGGCCCAACCCGACACTGCTAATCCCGCCCCACGCGCTGAAAAAGTCCCCCGTCGCCTCATCCAAAGGCAACGTACTCGCCGCCCCCTTCTTCGGTACAATGTGCCCAGGCACATGAGTCGGGAGCAACTTCAAGTCCGGCGTGCACGGTGAATGGTCGCTCACGACGGTCTTAATCACGCCTTCGTCCATATGCTGCCGTAGCTCGTCCCACAATTGATCCTGATTGCTCTGCGATCGGATGGGGGGACAGCATTTATGCCGCGTATCTCCCAATGCCACTTGCTCCGCCGCCAGTGACAAATAGTGCGGACACGTCTCGGCAGTGATATTTATCCCCTGACTCCGCGCCTTGCGAAGTAAAGGAATGGCCTCCATCGCACTCAAATGCACGATGTGCAGGGGCAGATTCGGCGCGAGGTGCGCCAGGGACAAAATCTCCTCGATCGCATAAGTCTCGAAACTCGGCGGCCGCGACTCGAGGAACGTGCTGTACGCGTTCAGAGGTCCATGGGGCGCGAGCGGAGGCAAGGACGTTTGCACGTCGTCACCCACGCTGTCTGCGATCGGTGGGATCATTTCAGCGTGGAACATGACTGTGGTAGGCTCGTCGGCTAGTTCGGCGAAGACTTTCTGGATATCGCTTGAGGACACGGCGGGGAATTCTTCGACGCCGCTATCGATCAGAAATCCTTTAAATCCGCGCACGCCTTCGCGCACAAGAGCCTTCAGTTCGCTTTCGTTCCCCGGGATGATGCCCCCGTAGAACCCGACGTCGACCCAGCATTGGCCCTGGGCGGCTTTGATCTTCTCCTGCAGTCCAGCGACCGTCGTTGTTGGGGGGATGGCGTTCAGCGGCATGTCCACTACTGTAGTCACGCCGCCGAAGGCCGCAGCCTGTGTGCCGGTGTAGAAGCCCTCCCATTCCGTCCTGCCGGGCTCGTTGAGATGCACATGCGCATCTACCAGGCCTGGTAATAGAATATGTGGGGAGTAGTCTGTGTAGGGTGTGTTGGGAGGGAAGTCGGAGGGAGGTACCACCGAGTCAAATGTCGCTGTTATCTTTCCTGTAGCATTAGATATAACAATCGTGGCTGCGGAGAGCTGTCCCGAGCGTATGGCGCGAGACGAAGCGACCACACTGATAGGTGAGCCGTCGAAGGTATCGAAATAGGCGTTCGGAGGAGAGCGCGGAGGCGTCGGATAAGGATGGAATGTGTCCGAAGCTGATCTAGACATGATAAAGGCGATACAGGCTTGCCGCTTAGGGCCTGGGGTAGAGACAGAGGCTTAATAGGGACAAAGAGAAGGATAGAGGTTCAGAACATGTGAAGAGCAAGTCAATGGTGCCTTATCTATAGCTGATAAGCAATATCAACGACGGGCGAGATAGGAATCTGGAGGATTGGGGGAGATCTTGTGGGGATGCGAACAAGGGAAATTCGAGTCCTTTGTCCTGATATACCACCATCGAGAAGCCGGGTTCGACCGTGGCTTCGCTTGATGTCAAATCAGTCAAGCTCATCTTCGCGGACATCCAAGGGGTCCGGGTCTTCAGAGGTATCCTCATGGAAGTGTGGAGCGATAGAGGCGGGCGAGTCCGATGCCCTTCAAGGGAGTCTCGAAACTCGTGACTGAGTTGACCTTCTCATTGGACAGCAGTATGCTGAAGCCAAACCGAGAGAGCCGCAAAGAGTATCTGTTACTCGATGATATCGAGCAGAGATAAGGAGACCACAGACGAGGTGAGCGCGGGAATGCTAATTTGGGTGGATGGGGGACGAATTGGTGGGCTGCGAGTCGTGCCAGGCGTTATCGTTGGGAAATAATCCAGCGCTTTGACCGATTGAGCATCATCCAGATTCCTCCTCGGCGAGGTCGGCATCTTGTTTGATCGCCCTAAACCGTATTGAGCCTGGTGGACTTCATCAAGTCTCTCGCTATTACTCGATCACATATCCCTTTTTACTCGATCAAAACTCCTGACTGGCACTTGAAAGCAGAATATGTCCTCAAATGCTTTTCAGCTGGCGTGGTTCGACATGAATCCCACTGTAACACTTTTCCTTCCGTGGCGATGGGCCACCTTTTCCGCGGTTCTCTCGGACAAGGAAGGGCCGGAACCAGATATTGGACGTGTGTCTTTTCGGCACTGGCATTCGTCGATCGAAAAGGCTCGAGGAAACACCGATCGAACACCTCGCCGTGACGGGGTCCATTTTCAAGACAATGCTATGGCACCGCGCCGGTGATTTGTAACAGCGCTCGCGGTTTGCCGCTTCGGCTATTGCAAGAATAAAGGACTTAACCCTCGCTTACCTTTTGCTGGAAACACCATAGCGCACAGCATGTTGACGGCTGTCGAGCTTGGACAAGCAGTCTCACACCACTTGCTTGATGAACAGAGATGATGTTTTGGAGGGAAGAGTGAGGAGAATAGCGAAGGAGGACAAATGGTCCACGGATGGCCCCAGATGAACGAGACAATCACGTGAAAGCCGTCATGTGCCACTTGGACATTTGGTCTGAAAGCATTACGCAACACTTTGTCCCGATCACGACTGGTACACAACTGGCTTGGTTCGATACTTGGTAGGTCGCAATGTCCGCCTGGACCATAAAGATTCTTTGTTTGTCGTGACGCACTCGAACGCTTCACGGTTCGTACAGTGGTGGGCAGGCATCGCTGGCAAGGACGAAGACTTCTGGTGCACTATGTATATTCGAAGGATCCAAGGCAGTGTCATGCCGTGGAAGGCTGCTACCTAGTCTAACTGCGGGCGAGGGTTCGCTTCTACTGCTGACCTCACCGTCCCCCCAAGCGCAAAGTGCCTTTTGTTCGCCCTTGTAGCTGCAATGGACCAGAATTGCTGATTCACCTCCCAGTGCACTTCGCTTTCAGCCCTGTAGATCTGCACGTCCATCTCCTTCACCTTGTTAGCACTGATCAGGATCATCGACCACATAAACAAGCTAACTTTGGCGAGTTCAGCGTCTGACGAAGTCCCAAGCAGTCCCAAGCAGCCAGGCCTTGTAAAGACACAAGCGGTACTCCGTACTTTCGCCAGGCAATATGTAAGTATGTAAAAGCACCCGAGTATGCGAGAAGGAGCTCTCGAAACAGCCCAGAAATTGGTGAGAGATACACACTCAAGCAGATGCCATAAGATGTCTTTCTTGTTCTCCGTAGAGGAACAGGATAGCAACCCGGAGGTGCCAAAATCAGAAGTGCCGGGCCACAGATCGCCTGGAAGAAAACTCGTGCCAAGATTTCACCTGCGCCCCCTCCCAAAAAAGTCCCCACATGTCGGCTGGTCGGTCTGCGGTCATGTTCGACATTTCGTTGCTGGAACTTTTTTTCTGGGTCACTAATCTCGAGGCGGCGGTGAACATCAGTCGACGAAGAAGTCGAAGAAGGCCAGACATCAAAGGTAGACTGACCATTAAAGATGTCTGACGATCTAGAGGTATTTCGCATGCTTTACATATTCATCAATCTCTGCTCACATTCGACAGGAACGGCTCAAGAGCCATGCACGTGCCTTCGACAGCCTCTTGTCTCTTATTCCAGCGAAATTGTATTACGGTGAAGACGTCAGTGTATGTTGATGAGTGCTGAAATACATTGTCCGAGCTGTCTTGCTGATGGACGATCCAGGATCAATGGCAACGGAAAAAGCAAACCCCAGAACAGAAGAAAGCGGCAAAAATGGCAAAACTCGATCCGGATAACTGGAAAAGTGCCAAAGACGTCATGGATGAGCGCGCTGCCGCCGCGAAGAAGAGAAAGCGTGGTGAGGAAGCAGAAGAAGACGAAGAAGAAACAGCAGCAGCAGATGCAAGCCTGCTAGAACAACCGGGCATGGAACGACCGAAAGCAAGTCAAGATGCCCAAACCCCAAAAGCCAAAAAACAGAGGACAGATGAGAAAACCCCAAGGTCCGCACAAGATTCTACGGAAGAGACCGAAGAAGACAAAAAGCGTCGGAGGGCAGAGCAAAGAGCAGAGAAAAGAGCACGAAAGAATGAGTTGAAAGCCAAAGCGAAGGAGAAAAAGGAGAGGCAAAAGGCTCGAAAGACGGAGACGGTGCCGTCAAAGTCTGATTCTTCCAACTCAAGCGAGATCAACCTCAAAGAGCCCATCGAGCTGAAGCACCAGCCATCAGTGCCCGACAGAGAAGGCGATGACCAAGTATGGACCGCTTCTTCAGACGAAGAACAACCCGAGGTTTTTTCTCCACAACATGAGTCCGGCACATCCTCGACCTCATCCATCCAGCCACCAAACATCGAAGAAACTACAACTATACAAACACGGACGTCGACCGTGACGAAACCTCCTATAGCCGCAAGCCAAAACACGTCCCAAACACCGCGCGAACGACTACAAGCAGCGATACAGCAACTACGAGCCGAACGCAAAGCTGATGGTGCCGACGGTCAACCACCAAAGAACCGACAAGAGCTCCTCGAACAGAGGCGTCGGAAAGAAGAGGAGAGAAAGGCGGCCAAGAAGGAACAAAAACGCCGAGAGAAGGAAGAAGAGGCTCGTCGGCAGGACGAAGAAATCGCACGACGCTTCTCACCCGGAGGCTCAGGCTCCCTTCTAGCCTCCCCTCGGTCTCCAATCAATCGCGACAACGGTTCGAGCAATAATTTCAGTTTCGGTCGGATCGCCTTCGAAGATGGAACGCAGTTCGACCCCACCACCGTCGATGCCGTCGAAGAGCACAAGAAAAAGGGCCCGCGAGATACAGCCTCTCAGCTCCAAATCGCCATGGCCAAGAAGAACAGATTATCCGGCCTTGACGAAGAGAAGCGGAAAACCATCGAGCAGAAGGACATGTGGCTAAACGCCAAGAAACGAGCTCATGGCGAACATGTCAAGGACGACACAAGTCTGCTGAAGAAGGCCTTGAAGAGACAGCAGGGGCAGAAGAAGAAGAGTGAGCGCGAGTGGAATGACAGACTCGAGGGTGTGCAGAAAGCACAGGAAGCCAAGCAGAAGAAGCGGACCGAGAATCTGGCCAAGAGGAAGGACGAGAAACACGCAAAGGGCGGCAAAAAGGTTAGGAGACCGGGCTTTGAGGGGAGTTTCAAGGGCAGAACGGGTGGGAAGAAGAAGTAACTAACTACTATCACTTCCAAACCCCGAAAATGAGCATTCATTGTTGGGCCTTTTGCTAGCTCGATCTACCCGAGTCGCAGCTGATCGACACAGACAGCTGGCGACCAGGCCTTCAAGAACACAGGCAGCTCATGATGGAAGAACTGCGAGCTTGAGACTGTGTACCTGACGTTGCTGAACCGAACAGAAACCAGGCGAAAATGAACCATTGAACATTATGACTTGTCTGCTACATTGCTTATCCTCGAAAAGGAGGCCCCACGATGCGATGTCCCCTCTCCTTCCCTTCTAAAAGATTTGTTTCCTCGTCTCGATGTTTACTCTGCTTGATATTATACGACAAACAACCTTCTCCCACGTTTAATCAAGTATACAGAACACTTCGGCCGCATAAACCGCCATACATGCAGGCGTCCCTGGGACGCCGTCTTTATCTCCTGCCCATCCACCTATTGATACGTATACGAACTTCTTCTCCGGATCCTCGGTCCGAATTTATATAGCACCCACGGAATCGGGAGAAGGCCAACGGTGACAAATCCCAAAAGACTCGTTGCCCAGGGCACGCCCATTGCGCGATACCTGTATTGGAATACTTTGTCAGTTCTTGTCCTTTCTCCATGTCGCCCCACCCGCCTCAAGCTTCGAGTGTGTCTGAAGGTCAAGTGGGCAGGGGCAGGGAAGGTAGGAGGCTTACATCTGCACAGTGAACAAAGGAAATACTGCTCCGATGGCGTAGCGTAACAATCCGTTCGCCGCCGCGGCGCTTGCACCGGTCAACTACTCGCAGCAGTGTTAGCATCCGTCCATCAAGACCGACAATTGAATTGAGTGATGAAAAGGAGAGGAGGAGGGCTAGAAAGAGAGCGACTTACCGGCCCGTAAGTATCAATCAAATACAAAATACACGAACAAAACACCAACAAATTGCCAATTCCAAAAGGAATTGTCGCCAGGACCGGGCTGATCCAATGCACGTCTGCTCTGGCACTCCATCTGTAAAGCAAATAATCAGCATCCCGTCCGTAGTCCGACACTCACAAAGCACGCCAATTCATTTCACACGCAGGACTTCCTTCAGATTCCCGTTTTGTATGGGAGACAAAAAATAAGAGGAGGACGTCGACTCACCCGAACCAAAACAGGCTGATCGGCAAGAGCACACTTCCCAGCATCGCAGGCCAAAGTCTCTCTTCCGGCGGCAGCGGCGTAAAATCGCCCTCAGCCCTCCTCCGCAATGTCTTCCTGCGGTAGATCATCCTGTCCATCACAATGAAGATCAAAGTGGCCAGCACCACACCAATATCTATCCCGAGAAACACCAGCCCGCCCTCCCCTGTGTTGAAATGATAGATCTGAATCTCCGGCGCCATGCTCTCGAACACAAGCGGGAACGCCGCGAAAAACCCAAACAACACAGAGAAGTTGAACGCCGTGTATGCACTGAAGAACGCCACAATGCTCTCTGTCACGAGCATGTGCAACGGGCGCAAGATCGTGACAACCACAATAAAGTGCATGCGTGACATCCCAGGAGGCATTGGGTTCGGCGGACCTTGTACTCCAAGCTTCTTCGCGCGCCGCTGAAGGATGATACGTTTGTATGTTTCCTTTTGCGGAATAGTCACCGCATACGCGATCACCCCAGCGAAGAGAATAACCCACTGGGTCCAGCGCCAGGATTTCTTCATCGCCACGTACCCGCCGATTGCAGGGCCGAGCGCCGGACCCAAGAAAGGGGCCATCAGGAAGACAGCGCTTGCGACCGCGCGGTGGAAGTGTGCGAACAGATCAGAATTGGTCCCTGCGCCGACAGCGAGGCAGCCGCTGCCCAAGATGCCCGCGAACAGGCGACATACCACGAGAGAGCCGAAGGAGTGCGAGAAGCCGGCGCCTAACGTGAATAGGAGAGATGGCGGGAAGAAGACAAGATAGACGGCTCGGCGACCGTACGTTTCGCTCAGAGGGGCGGAGAGGACGGGGCCTAGTCCGAGTCCAAGGACGTAGACGGTCAATGGGAGGATGGCGGCGGTGCGGCTAACACTGAAGTGGGCAGAAACTTCAGGCATACCTTTTCACTCATTAGCGTCGGTTTCGCAAGTCTGAAAAACGGCAGTAGACGGCTTACTGGGCGTGTAGACTGAGGATCCGAATGTGCTGAGCTGTATTAGCATGTCTGTCAGAGCAAAGAGCAGGGCTGGGGTGGCTTGCGTACATCGTAAAGCATTGTAATGCCGGGATGAGAGTATGATAGATCTTCTTTGCAGTTGGCCAATTGAGCGGATTGTCTGGGTCGTCCACGCCATCCCAGTCCTGCACTATTGTGGGTGTTCGTGGATCAGCCCGTTCACTGCGCTGCGTCCGCTGACTTGCTTTGCTAGCTGTCTTCTCGAGATCGAGTTCTGTGGTCGCGATCGGTACGGAGACAGCCTGGGAAGAGGAAGACGAAGCGTCTGATTCGGACGGAGGTGACACCTTTTCGGCGTCCTCTCCAGATGTGTATTGGTCTGCCATGGTGGAATATGAGCTCCCAAGTGAAGTAGCCAGAAACCTGAAGGTAAGTCCGATTTCGCCCAAAGCCAAGCAAGCAGATTTTCAAGTCAAACCAAGTCGAGGGCAGCCACAGCGAAGCATCACCGGGCGAGTTTTATAAACCTGGCGGCAACTCAGTTGGTCGGAATCACGCCTTCGGTGGCTATCAAGCGGTACCACTTCCCGAACGCCAACCTTGCAGATTGCGTGAGGTTTGTCACAGCCTTCCCAAGACGAATAGTGATCTTGTGGAAAGACGCTTGGGGAGAGACATTGCGCACGCAGACAAGGACAAGCTAAGGGGGTAACTTGGTTAGTGAACACTCACGTCGTTGCCAAAGGGACTAACTCGGGCCACTGCGCAGTCATGGAAATGCACTTATCTCCAACAACTCCCTACCTCGAGTCCCCAAGCCGAGGGCGCTGATCAACACTTCTTCAAACAGCAAGGAAGATGCAAAGAAAGAAGTTACTTGACCTTGCCCGCCTGCTCATCATTGGACCACGGCATATTGCTGCTTTTTGACGACGCAGAAGGCGCCCCAAGACATTACCACATCGATCAGTAATCATACCAGGTAGCCATGAAAGGGGTGAGTTTCGCCGGGCATACGGCCGCTACATGGGCCGGGTGCCACTGCCGATCACTAAACCGGGCGACAGTGAAAAAGAGCAAGAGAATACAAGATCAAGAAAGAAGCAGAGTATGCGGGCGTGAAGAGACACTTAAGAACGTTGGCCACGGTCAGCGTCGTCCCTTTCTGGATGGCTTTTAATGGAAAAGCGGTCTTCCTGGTCAGATTTCTATTGCCCGTGAAGCCAAAAGAGACAAGTGTGCCGAGTGCTGACATAAGCCAACCGGACGTGATCCGTATCTGATTGGCTAAAGCCGCAAGCATCGCTGATGGCCCCTCGATACTCGTACAGGGGGCGTCATCAACCCCTCCCGCACCCTCCCAAGCATCTGCAAGGGGCATGTGAATTCGCGAAAACCCCAGGGCTTCGGAGAATGGAACTCGACCTAGATTGAGTGCCACAGCTTTGATACTTGCTACCTGATGCTGAAGATTGCAGTGATTCTTCTCATGCCAGCCTTCATTCCCTGGTCCAGCCATTCGATCAATCAACATGAATTCTCCGAGGCATTCATCCCTCCGAAAACTAATTCATTCCTTAACGATATTGCTCTGCTTTGGTATACTGTTTCGTTTCAGTTTCATCATTGCTCCTTCCGATCCGATCGTAAAGCATTCAACCCCGTCAAAATTCCTTTGCTCGGATGGCCATCTCCTATGTGACCGTCTTCTGCTGGCTCAGAGGGTCTCCTGCATCATACTCTTCGCGTCTCATGATACTCTCCACTGGTCCAAGAAGACGCTTGAATCCATCTCTTCCAAGCTTAGCGACTTTGACAGGAGTCTTTGCCACCACAGTCGCAGCGCGAGGCTTGTCATCCAGTAGTGCCAATTCACCAAAGAAATCACCTCTGTGGTATTCCTTGACTGGATTGTCAATACCTTGTTTGAAAGCAGCAGCCTCACCAGACTCCAAAAGATAGAAGGCATCACCAGGTTCTCCTTCCGTAATGATCTTGTCACCGGCACCGTACTTGACTGTCTCCAAGGCGTCGGCGATCTTCGATCTTTCATAGGGTTTGAGTGATGCAAGCAGTGGTACTTCTTCTAGGAAGCCTTCGTACATCTTTCGCTTCTGGAAGGCATTGTCCATGAGAATGCGGCGGAATGTGAGACGATCGAGTGCCCACAGCAATCCTCCTTTGGAAGCACTGACAATAGTGGCGGCACGAGGAGCGTTGTACATCAGCGCCAATTCACCAAAGCTGCCTCCAGGTCCAATCGTGCCAACCTTGTTTCCCATGCCTTCAGCACCGGCCTCGACTGAGCCACTGGGATTGATGTAGATGTCAAAATCGCCTGATTCAATAACATAGAAGAAATCACCCTCGTCGCCTTGAGTGATGACTTTGATGTTGGCTGCAGGGATTGACTTCTCCACCAAAGCATCCAAGACCAAGTGGAATGATTCCTCATCAAGACTCGAGAACAAGAAATTGCCAGCCACTGCATGCTTGAGTCGCTCAAATTGGTCGGGAGTTTTTGAGTGCTTAGGTGGCTTCCAATTGCCCGAATCAGCGTCGGGTTGCATTGATTCGGCAGACACTGAGGTCCTACGACCTGCAGCGTACTTGCCAGTGGCTGGTTCAGTTGGTTGCTCTCCTGTCTCTCCTGCCCCTTGTGTACCTAACCAGTTGCCAAACAATGTTCCCCCGGCAGCAGCACCGCCACCACCACCACCACCACCGGCAGCTCCGAAGCCAGAGCCGCCGAAGGGTGAACGGCCTGAGTCCCGAGATTTGAATGTAGCATCGGTTGGTGAGCCAAAATTATCGCGTTCTTCATCCTCCTCTTGTATGCTGTTAACATTCTTCGCTGCGAAAGGGTTGCGGTCAAAGGGACCAGCAGTGTCTGTCATCTTGCCGTTCGCACTGGTGGTCGACTGGGAGGATCGAGAGGTTGCTCGCTCGGATTCGAGCTGGCGGGTGAAATAATTCGCGCAGTATTGAAGAGGATCCTCAGGCTTGTCACTGAGCAAGTCTTTGGTTAAAGCATCAATGACAGCTTGGTAAGAAGTAGGAAGTGACATTGGAGGCGAGGGTTTGAGATGTGGGGAGGTTCGGCTGGAGATGGTTTAGGTAGGATAAGAAAAGGACCCCTTCGGTAGGGGCAAATCAATAAGCCTAGTGGCCTGTGTGTAGTCCGTTGTCTGGGACGTGAACAGGCAAGGAAGAATGCCTATCCCAGAAATGCAGGCTTGTCCGATGTCCACAGCAGAGCGATTGAGTGCTTGGTGTGGAGCGGACCAGGGCTGCCAGGCGGGGCAAAAATAGGCTGTCCGTAAGGTGTTTAGATGACGCACTGGAGGGGTTGTTTCTGGAAGCTTTCTGTAACAGGTGATGGTTCGAAAAGTGAGTGGATGAGGGAATTGGAAAGAGGAAGACAACTTGAAGGCGAAGGCGAGAAGAGAAGCAGTTGCATCACAGTTAGCCTCCAGCTCTCTGGTTGATCCTTGAGCTCACCAAGGCAAGGAGCAGCCACCATGCAAAGGGCGCAAGTGTCACGAGTGGCAGCAACGAGCGTGTACTGTGGCTTTTCGATCGATATTGATGGCAGCAATTTCACTTGAAGGAGGAACAGTCAGCCAGTCGACTGCTACAGCTTTTGCTCTGTTTGCTCATCTCAAATCCCACCAGCTACGTATGACTCTTTTGTATCTCGATGTGCTCCAAGCAATTGCTCTTTCAAAGATCCAGTTCTCCTGATCTTGTGAGCAACGCTTTGCTGCTGTACCCCTCAGCAAGCCTACGGTTTGCGTCCAGTCAGAGCACACCTCAAACGCACAGGCGATGTCATTTACATATTGGAGCAGTCAAAGCGAGAAGTCTAAGGGCGATGATTGGCCTTGCAGCTGATGTTCATGCCGCCACCGAATCGCCTAGGTTTGCAGTCTCGACGCTAGGCTTCACACTAATAACAGCGGCTTGCTCGAGAAAGTGTCAAGCCGGAGCACAAAGCCTGCATGAAGCGAGCCGGAAACCACGAAAAGATAGCGTGATCAACCTGGCATGAAGAAGCTTCGCCAGAAGGATTTAGATCTGCTGGACTGTTCAGATGATGCGACCGGGCATGGAAACGATTGACGTGGCCGGTCCTCCAGATCAAGTGGTAACTGTGTCCGAGTAGCCTGTTATGCCATGATGGGCCCTGGTGGCATTGTCAACCGTGCCTGTCGTACCTGGATTCGGCCGCCGGCTTCCACACCTTCGTCCACACCTTCGAGAACCCTTCTAGAAAAGCACCAGAAACATTTCGTCGAGACCAATGATTAGCATTACCGAAACGAAAAGTTCATCTCTCCCAATACGAACACAACTGAAGGGGATATCTACAAGACAAACAAACCCAAATCAAAGGATCCGCTGTCCAAACCCAGCAATGCGCCGTGCCTCGCAATGCACTCCAACCCCTTCCCCTTATCCTTCTGTCTGCACAATTACATACAAGCCATTCCCCTGCTGCCCATCTGTTGCTCGCGGAACCAGATACGGATTGATCCGGCCCACTAGTCGAAAATCTTCTTGAACAACGAACTGATTCGGTTCTTCTTCTTCTTCTCCTTTGAGGCTGATGCAGGACTGCTAGTGGGTGTGGTGGTAGCTGCTTTCTTAGGAGTGCTAGTGGCACTAGATGGAGTTGCTGCTGTATCTTGCTTGGACTCTGTAGCCGCGGTTTTTGGGGCTTCTGCTGTGGTAGTCTCATCGTGTGCAGCTGCTGCCGGGGCTGTTCCAGTCGAAGTTGCTGCTGGTGCAGCTTCTGTTTTCGGAGCCTCTTTGGATCCAGTTGCCACCGCATCATTCTGGTTCATCATACGAACGGCAGGTTCGTCGGCAAGGGTGGGATCCTCTGTACCATCTGAGACTGCAGCGGCTGCCGAGCCAGAAACACCTGGAGCACCCGCCGTGCGATGGGGTGGAGCATATTCGGTTGTGTCGCCTTCCGACTTCTCCACGGGGTGGGTGGTCTTAGGAGCTTCACTTTGTGTGTCACCACCCTCGGCACCATCTGCGACTGCGGCAGCCGCGACAGATGATGTTCCTGGGATTGCACCACTCGACGGTCCGGTAGTCGGCGATGGAGCAGTCTCAGAAGTGGCTGCTGCGACTGTTGGCGCAGGTTCGCCCGCCTCCTCGGTCTCGGGCACCTTTTTCAAGAGTTCTTGTTCCACCTCCGCCTTTTCTTTGACAGCCTCGTTAGAAGTGGTGGCTTCGGGAGAGGTGTGGGCCTCTGCGATTGAATCTTTGACAACCTCTGGCACAGTTTCCGTAGTGGCCTGTTCAACGACTGTGGCGGGCTTCCTCTCTTCTAGGGGAACCTGTCCAGCCAGGGCGGCGGTGGTCGAGGTAGGCCCGGCCGAGGAGATTGTTGGCCCGGCTCCCTCGAGTGCCGTTACAGCGCCTTCGCCCATGGGCAGGGAGGATTCGGGAATCAAATTTTCTTTCTTGTCCGACGAGGCCGCAGCTGCACCTCCGGCCAAACCAAGGCTTGCAAGGGCTCCTCCAATGAAAGGCACTGAGGTGCCTGCTTTCTCGTAATCACCCTCCGAGGTAGTGACGGAGGAGTAGATGCTATTAGAAGTTATCTGATTCGGAGGAGGGACCTTTTCGCCTGCCGGAACGTTCACCGGATTTCCAGCTCCCTCGGTTGGTGGGAGTGGGTTGACGCCGTACGAGTCAGATTCATGCTGAGGTGTTTCGGGGAATGCACCTGGGGGACTACTTTTAGTGGTTTCCTTGTTGAGGGAGGAATCGCTGGCGGGTGTGACTAGGAACGAAACAAGGTCAGGCTTCGCTGCATGGTAATTACAAGACGAGCCTCGTTTGACTCACCTTCGGTAGCCTCTCTTCTTGGTTCTAGTGGGACTTGACCAGCCATTGCTGCGGTGGTGCTCTGGGGAGCTGCGCTCGAGGTGGTGACATCCGTGGACTTGGTTTTGATTTGGTCCGGATACAGAACATTGTTCAGGTTTCCATGACCATCGTCCTCTTGAGGTGCTTCAGGATCGATCACCCAGTTGTCGTTAACCACGAATTTGTACAAGATCTTCTTGTCGGCTTGTGGCAATTTCACCTCTTTCTCCCAGATGTCACCAACTTTGTTTAGCTTTTCGGTCTTTCCCCAGTCATCAAAGGTGCCGGTGACATGGACGTCGTTCGCATCGGGATGCGGCCTGGTAAACAGGGTTAGCGTTGATGCAATATGACAGACCGATCCGAGCGAGGGGGTCGCGCTGCCAATTGGGGGGATCAGGCGGTGTGCGTACTTACCATTTGAACAAGAAGCTGCCCATGATTGATGGCTGTGAATCACGCGACAGAGAGACAGGTGAGAGTGAGGAGGGGGAGGTGCGTGAGAGTTATGGCGTAGTGTGGCACGTCTCTTCCAGGCGACAGCTTTCAGAAAGCTTGGACGCGCTCGAACTTTTCGAGGGGGCGCAGGCAATTGAATAACAGCCGATAAATGGCTATCCGATGGTGAGTAAAGGAGCGTAGACGCGCGGAAACAACAATACAAGATGCAGTAGATAGACAATTCAATTGATGGATTGAAAAGCGGCAGGGGATGGTTCGAGAAGGTGTCTGATTTTTACCAAGACGTTAAAGCAAGAGGCGGGCAGCAGCAAACTGCGGGCGGGTGGCCTTGGTCTACAGTGAATGGTTGGATTGACGAGCTGGAGCGGCTAATGGGGCTCGAGAACGAGCCTACTAGGCACTCTAGGCTATGCCCCCTCCTAATAGCTCGCTATTAGCAGCACTTAGACAAGAGGCTGGGCAGGGTCGTGGGAGGGCCAGTGTCGCGAGTCCCACCAAATCCTACCTGCATAGTTTGCATTGGGTTGGCACTTGGGTACGATAGACACAAGAGAGTACTCCATACGGAGTAGCTTGTCATTAATCGAGCATCCTTGGACGGAATCACTGAAGCACTTTCTGTCCTCGTTTTACTACATGTCAGCTCAAGCCAACAAGTGGATCTGAGGCTCGTTTTATCGGGGCCTACTCCGTGGCGAGCCTCGAATCAGCCGAGTACCATCTCTCTTGATCTTGGAAGTTAGTATTTCTGCACATTTGGGACACAAAAAGAAAGCATTCAAGTATCAATCATCGCTCCCAAGCCATCATCAACCTCCGGTTCAGGGCTGGCTCCTGGTCTTGGTGTTATCATCAGCTAAATTCCCCGTACTCCGGCCCATCTTCATCTCTTCGTTCCAGGTTGTCCGTTCACCTTCAACCACTCCCGGTCCCTTGTATACGCTCCCATACAGCCCACTTGCCCATGACGCGCCCTCTTTGGCCTTTTGGCTTTCTGCCCGTCCCTTCTTTGAGTACTTACGTCTGTACCATTTGCCGTACACAAGCAGATAATACAGTCTAAAAGACAAGAACGCAAACTTATCATTCTCCAGATCCTCAGGATACTCGGCTCCCAAGTCCACAGCAGCAGCAATGCCCGACATGATCGCCACTTCATGGGCGTTGACCATAGTCCAGCTCGAAGCATATCGGACTCTCCTCCTTCCCTGGAGGAACATCATCCATGGCACGACGAAGAGGTAGTGAGTATAGCTGTGACACAACTGATGCCACCAATCTTTGCGGATTATCTTCGACTCGTCAATCTCGTTGTCGGTCCACAGGTGTCCATCACGCCCTTTGTTCAGGTAAATCGTCTGAAACACGTGGTCTTCAAACGGCACGTTCTGGGGAAACTGGCACTGATAGTTCGTTGTGTCGAAGCACATCTCCAGCTTGGAGAGGTCCTTCTCATACATCTTGATATAGTACATGGGTCGGAAATTCTGTCTGGCGGCATCGCAGCGTGCAGTCTGGTCACTGCCAGAAAGAGACTTGACGGCCAAAGAGTCGTCGTAGAAGTTCTGATAGTGTTTCTTCATGTAGTCGGAATCAGTGTGAGTGATGGTGATGTCGTCTGAGAACTTCGCAGAACCCAGGACCTTGCGTTCGCGCCAGGACGAAGTGCGACTGAGCACGCGCTTGGCCGTATCGGCGAGACAGCAGAGAACCAGTTCGTCGTAGTGCTCTTCGAACGTTGGCGCATCCCGATCGCCGTCGAGAGGGTTGTGGTGGTCAGGAACAGGGGTACGCTTCTTCATCGACACTATGACACCAGACTTGTCTCGCTTCAACACGGCCACGAGTTCGGTGGAGAGGCGGACGTTGACCTCACGTGCGACGAGGTCCTTGCGCCATGTTTCGTAGAACTCGGAAAAGTTAGGGAATACGACCATCGGTGGCTTATTGCTCGCAATGGTCTTCGAGTCAAAGGGGTACCACATGCCGTATGTAGGACTCGTACAGAGTCGTTCAAGCATCATGGTGGGCACCTCGGGAGCGTAGTTACCAGTGCCGAGGAACAATGCAACCATTGGTAAAGCAACAGTATTGGTGAACTCATCCGAGAACATCCACAACTTGAAGAAGACCTTCATTGGAATCAAGGCAAAGAAGATCTCAAACCAACGCATAAATTTGAGGGCGAATGCAAGTCGTTTGACTTCTTTTTGATGTCGCGCGATCAAGTCGGTAGGGAATACGTTCGTCCAAAAAGTGTTGTCCTTGCCGAAGGAGACTTGCAGATTGACTGGATCAGCATGGTAGCCTTGCTGGGCGAACATGGTGAGTGTATGATGGAAGATGTAGCTGCCTCCTTGGACACCCTGGTTGAACCAGCTGGCGCCATGACGCTCCTTGTTCAACGGGATGGAGAATGCCTGGCCACCGCAGTAGTCGACTGCATCAATCAGGGTGATGTCGTACTTGTCTGGAGACTGGCTGAGATGATGGGCGCAAGACATTCCTGCTGCTCCGGCGCCCACAATGAGAATCTTCTTCTTGCGGCCATCTTGGGGATTCAATGGTTTTTGAGACGACATGGTGTCTCTTTCAACGTCGCGGCGAAACGATGTGCTTTCCATCAACCACTACCAGAACAGTTACTGTGTGTGGAAGCTCATGTGATAATTCCATCAAGAGCTGTGGCCTTGAAAGTCGTTTTATATAACCAGACATTGTGCCGGATGTGTTGGTGAGTTCATGACGGTTGCATTTGCGTATCGACGTCATGATGTTGGCAGCGTGAAGCACGGATCGTGAACCGATTTTAGGCTCAACAGCCTCGTCAAGTCAGATCTACAGATCTCACAAATGATGCTTTTTGATTGGCAAGGTATTGAGCCATGAGATCCACCAATAAGAAGCTGCAAGAATCTGTACAGTACAAATGCTGTCACGCTGTGTATGAGCAGTCTGCAGGTCGTGATATCACTCGTTTCATTGACTGCATTTCTCCTCTTGTCCGGTCATTCAACGGCAGCCTCACAAACCAATATTCACATTTTCTCGCTTTTGGAGTTGGAACAGATTGATGTCTGCGCTCCAGATCGACCCTGATCATGTAGTGCATAGGTAGGCGCTCTCATACGCTGGCTCTCCTCGGCGCCATTGCCCTGAGGAGCTGTCTACCTTTCTCATCATCCCCAGCAGCCCAGGCGTCAATGACGCCGTCCAACTCGCCTTCATTCTTCAGGCGATTCAAGTACTCCTTCGCGTAGGAATACCCAATCTCAACGATCTCCGAGAAGCTACCGAACTGCAACGTCCCGTACGCATCAATAGGCGGCCTCATATACAAACACCCCGGTGTGTTCTTTGCCCTCTCCAATGCATCCACAGAACTAACATATGCCAGCCGCGCCTGGATGTCACTCAGCGTCGGCGGGTTGGGGATTGACGAGAACGGATTCCAACGGTTCAACAGCGCCCAGAATCCCGACAAAGTATCGCCGTATTGCTGAGGAGCATCGTCATCCTGGCTACCCACATCAACAGCAAAGACCAGGTCCGCGCCGAGACTCTTCATGTGCGCCACAGTCAGGTTGTCCATGTATCCACCGTCGAGGAGCATGCTTCCATCATCGCATATGGGTGGGATCAGGCCGGCGAGCGACATACTTGCGCGGACGTATCGCCAGGCATACCCAGACGTATGTATCTCGGCGCGTGATTTGCTGATGTTAGTGGTGTTGCAGTAGAACGATAACCAGAAATCTTCGATCTGCGAGTCGCCGAAGATCTTGAAAAGACCACGATTGAACTCGTGGCCCGTCGTGTAGGATGCCGACGGATATGTAAGGTCCAGCGCAAACCTCCACATGCTTCCCATTCTGCCAGCAAACTGCTTCGCACGACCGAACATGGGGACAACATCCGCGTCGCGTGCATAGAGTGCCCCCATGAATGCTCCGATCGAAGTTCCGCCAATGATGTCGATGGGTATCCCTGCCTCTTCTAGCGCACGAATGACCCCTACGTGAGCAATACCCCGAGCTCCACCACCACCGAGGACCAAGCCGACGGACTTCCCGCATAGGCGCCTTGCCAGTCGATGGAAGTCGCCCTTGAAAGGAGTATCTGCTGAGTATAGCGGAGCTTGTCGCACTCTTCGTGATGTATACTTTTGTATCTCTGCTTGGATGACTTGAACTCTCTGCTTGATGGCCGTCCCTAGTCGCCGAGGCTGAGCATGAGGAGTCGCCTCTGGGCTGACACGGAACGCCATCTGAACATGATGATGACCTCCGTTGATCCACATTCTGTTCCTCAACCATCTCCTCGTGAGGCCAGGTTGACTGTAGCGCTCGACATGAAGGAGGACAAGCTCCTTCCGTGCTGTTGTTTTCATTCCCAGAAGGAATCGCTCGTATTCACCAATGCTGGGTGAGCTCTCAGCCAAGCCAACCAGTAAGATGCAGTCGGCCTGTGATATACAAGTCTGGGTCCACGGCGCGTTCACGCTTGTGTCGGCAATGTACAGCAGCATGCCGTACTTCTCTTCAAGGTCCGCAAGATATTGTGACAGCTTTAACCGACCCATTCGACTGAATGCATGACGACCAAGGTGATTCAAGATGATGGCTTGATTCAGTAGCGATACGCCATTTGGTACTCCGACTTGACTCAGGGCTGCCAGCAGTCGGTTACCGAACTCAACCACAGGCACACCAGTGGTGACTGGCAGGACCGCTATTGTTCGCAGGTTGAAGTTCGATGTCGTTGACTCGCCCAATGCTGCTTTGCTCCGCTCCTGACCCTTTTCCGTCAATGGTGCTTCTACCAGCGCCCGCATCCGCTGTGCTATTAATTTCGATATCTGTATTGTGATGGTCGGGTGTTCCTGGGCGAGACTGTTGAACAAAGTTCTAGGGAATTTGGCAAGTTCGGTCTCCCGTATAGCATGTAAAGTTGCAGGTCTGGATGCATCTGTCATGACCTCCAGTTCACCGATGCTTTCACCCTGGCCGTATTCTCCTGCTACGCGCATGTTGCCACCTTCAGATTCGCGGACTGCCCTTAATCGGCCATTCAGAACAATATAGATGGCGTCACTGTCATCTCCTTGGTGATGTATGACCTGGCCAGCGTCGACCTGAACCCATTCGAGAGCAAAATCGATGTGCAGTATCAGACGTGGAAGCAGGCTAGTAAGTCGTTTGGCCATCGTTAGTAGAACGATGGGGTATTTCTCCGCAACTCTTTCCAGAGAAGCACGAGGTAGAAACCCAACGTAGACATCGGTCTTTGCCGTTACATCAGTGAAGGACCGGTAAGACGACAATGTTCCGATATAACCGGCGATACCCCCAGGCTTGACCAGAAACAGCGACTTCTGTACCGTTCTTCTGCCCTCTTTCGACTGACCCGGACCACCTGGCAACGACGAAGCTCGAGAAGCAGATGTCTTGGTCCTGCGCAGTCGAGGGAACGGCTCGTCACGGGCGTTCTTGTTAACCCTCGAAGCGTATGGCACATTCTTCTCCTCCTTCTCCTCGACTGGAATACTCACGTCTAAAAACCCATCAATTACGTAGTAAAGACCGGGGTTTCGTTCCCCTTGCTCAACGAGCACGGATCCCTTAGGGAAGAAAACGATCTCCACATCGTCTATCAGTTCATCGTGCAGTGACCGACCATGCAGGCCGTTGACACTGCTGGCTATGGAAGTAGATACAGAGTCGGAATCACCGTCTGCCAGCTCGTCGTAAGGATCGATGAATCCAAAAGCGTTGTTGAAAATGGCTGTTTGCCGCCGTGCATCATATGAAACGAGACGTGGAGATTGTTCCACCGATGCTGGCCCTCTCTTCAGCGACTGACTGATAGGGTCGTTGAGCCCGAGTGCTTTCGCCATGCATTCCAATACGGACTCTCTGAACAAGCCGTCTTCAAGAACAGAATCCTGTCGATGAGGCTTATCGTTGGCAAATGGTGAAAAATATGGCTGTTCCCGATTTCCCATGGGGCTAGTCATATCAGCCCTTGGCGTCTCTGGTGCTCCCATTCCTGTCCAATTGGATGTCGATCGAAGGTGCATGCTCATCGGTCTCTGGCTGGGTCTTGAAGCCCCATGTAAATCGCCTGAACTGACGTTTCTATCTCCTATAGAAGGACGCATAGCAGAGGGGGTCATTGCCAAAGGTGATCCACGTCCCGCAGCAGCTCCGGCCGCCATGGCAGCTTCTCTTCGAAGTCCGCTTGAAGATCGTCTCCGGTTTGCAGAAGGGTTGTGCAGAGCGATGCCTTTGGTTAGCTCTTCCGGTCCGATCCTGTCTCTTTCCTTGTTGAACTTGTCCCTCAACCGGTCTAGAGGCGCACCTCTCAGATGGTTCGGTAGATCAAAACTAGTGAATTTGTTCATGGACTTCTCGACTTGCAAGACTTCCGAAGTCAGACCCAAATATTGATGAGCTGTCGACAACGTTACTCGGTGCAGTCGCGTCAAGATTACCTGGACAATATGAGCGGTAGCTTTGGGATACACCCTAGTCAGTCGGCGAAATGCGCTTGCCGGAATGATGGCGATCGTAGTGTCGACCGTGGCTCTGGCAACAATATCTGGATGGGCTGATGCTGCCTTTCTGGATTTTGCTTCCGTAGTCTGGTACTCCCGCTCATTAAAGGCGGGGTCAAGCGTCAAGGGCGGTACGGTGGGTAGCCTTTGTCTACGCGTCTCTTCTAGGGGCCCGGATCCCACAGCTGGTGTTGACGGTTGGGTTGTCGGGCTCCCAATGCTCGAACCAGGTGTTTGAGACGTGTGATGAGGAAATCCGGGAGCAACAGGACCGTGATCGCCATGGCGTAACTTTACATCTTCGGTAAAGAGTGACAAGATGGAAAAGAGTGAGGACATCGAGGCCCCATTCTTGACTTCTGTGAGCAATTGGTATCCTTGATTGCCTTCGTGGTATCCTTCATCGTCGCTGAACAGGTCTACTTGCCCAGGGCTGTCATCTGAGGCATCTCTTAGAGACTTGACGAAGATTTGGACCAGGCCGTCGACAACCAGACAGAACCCCTTCTCTTCCTCGAGTAGTAGCGTCTCCCCCGCAATGAGTTTCCTAGTCTGCATTGTCCGGGTCAACTCGTGGAAAACTGGTCGTTCCAGATATCCAAAAACCTTGATGGCACTGAGGAACTCATCGAGATAGTTTGAAAGCCCTGGTTTCGAGTCTCCTTCTTGCGTGTCCGGAAACAAATCTATCTGCGTCTCTTTTCTCTGGGGCTCCTGCGGAAGACGGGTATAGACATTGAGGAAACGGTAACGAATGAACCAGCTGATGGTTGAGACTATCGCGAGGACTATCAAGAGCCTAGACATGCCTGTCAGTTGAGCATTCCTCCCGAGTCTGGGGGACTTACAAAGTGGTGAAATTCATGGTAAAGGTCAGGCTCATAGAAAACAGCGTAAACAACCATGTTGGTAACGTGATTGTCGTGAACGTTATGATCCAGAATAGAGCCCCGGGAATGAAGCTCGCGACTGCCAGGAGAGCATGGCCAAAGCCAGACGACGTCGACTGTCCTCTTGCAACTTGTTGTCCCACCGAACTCATCGAGGGGGATAGCGCGGGGAGGGAGGAAGATGCATGTGCGGCCATCGACGATGTCGCACTGATTGCCGATGAAGACATTGTGGACGAATGTAAAGGTCACAAGGACCGAACATTGCTTTAGCTGCTTACCGGGCGATTGGAGGTAGGATCATAGTGTTAGTTAGTTAAGACTAGGGACCAAGTCGGTGCAGCCATTGTTGATGGTTCAATACTGCACGTGAAAAATGCTGCGCGTCTCGCGGTGGAAATCATATCCGTGATTCGTGGTCGGGAGCTTATGTAATACGCAGCCTTGCCAAAGTCTGCTCTCTTCGGTGGTTGATATGGCATACTCATATCGCCGCCTATAAGCAATGCTGAATGTCCTCAGGTCCTCCAAGTTACGGGTAGACCCAGGATGGAGACCAGTGAAAGCGGTCACCGTCTCTCATGGACCAATTTTCCGCCAATCCATACTCTCCTGACGTTCCTCTCATCCCCATTCCACACCCATTTAGCGACCCTCTCCTCCCAGTTCTCCCATCCGAAGATGTCGACATCAGTATCCCCGCCTTGACCTCGTACGTCAACATCACCCAAGTTGATCTCCTGTACATCCCACAGCATGCCCTCTGCGAACCCGCCGAGACGTCCTTCCATGCCCACAACTTTCGCTCCACCCATCGTCCCTAACCACAATGCTTCTGCCACACCAAGGTTATACCGGCTGTCTCCTTCGTTGAGGAACCCAACATGCCGGCTCACCATACACGCGTTTCTCACGGCATCAAGTATGCTCGTACTGTACCCACCACTAACATCAGTGCCCAGACCAACCTCGATACCTTCATCCAGCAATTCCCGCACCGGACAGAACCCACTTCCCAATGCACTATTGCTCGCGGGACAGTGACTGACTTTCACTTTCCTCTCTTTCACCAGGCGCATCTCTTCCTTGCTCAGATGAACAGCGTGAGCCAATATCGTCTTTGGTGTTAGCAGTCCATGGTGGTCGTACACATCAGCATAGCTCTTTTGCTCAGGGAACAGCTCCTTGACCAGCTTGACTTCATTAAGGTTCTCCGAGATATGCGTCTGCACTCTGAGGTCCTCTTCCTTCGCCAATGCGCCGAGCTGAGTCAACGTCTCCGGTAAACAGCTAGGCGCGAATCGGGGGGTGATGATGTGTGCCAAAAGTTCCCCCGAAGGATCTAGACTTCTGCAGTAGTCGATGCTGGCTTTGGTATTCGCCATCGTCTGTTCCGTGCTTTCGTCACGGTAATAATCCGGGCATGTCTCCGGCCGATCCATGCAGACCCGTCCAATGTATGCTCGCTGTCCCTTCTTAAAGGCTATCTCAGCCAGCAAATTTGTCGCTTCCACGTGGATAGTTGCATAATACGAAGCGGTTGTCGTACCATGCGCCAGAGTCCGGTTGATGAGTCTGTTGTATACCTTCTTCGCCCGAGCAAGTGGATCGGGAGGCTCAATTGAGTCTTTGTACATGGGAGAATTGACATTCCCGAATGAAGATTCTAGAGGGAACGTATAGGTCGTGAGCCAGTCCAGCAGTGTCGACTTGCCGAATATACCAACGTTAGGGTATTGCGAAGCATGAATGTGTGTGTCTAACGATGAGCGTCAGTCCTTCTGCCGGTCATCCAGGCGCGCTCCACCTAAGTCTGCCCTGGAAAAGACGTACCTATGAACCCAGGAAAGAAGAAGCCATTGTCCTTAGGCATCACCACAGGCGCCTCAACTCCGAACTTGCTAACAGCACCATTGGGACCATCGATCGTCCAATCTGCCTTCGTGATCACGCCTTTACCATTCTTGCTATCCACGAGAACAGCGCCAGTTCGAATGAGTAGCTCGTCAGGCGTAGGCGCCGAAACAAACCGCCCGAAATAGATTGTTTCTTGTCCCATTCTACCCGCACAATCTAATCCCAACGTCAACACAGAGGAGCAAGAGAAAGTAAGCCAAGAAGAACAGGAAAGGAAACACGAGAGCAAAACACAAACAGGTCTAATGGCGACACACAGTACTTATCACAACACGAGGAAGAGTGAATCAAAAGCTTGAGAGCCAATCGGAGATGCCAGAAATGGTCATCGGCGGGCGCCGATGGCTCCAAATTTTGTAAGTAAAGGATGGTGTTTGTGGAGGCAGAAGCTGCAGACTTCAATAAAAAACAGCAATATTGATAAACAAAGATCCCACCGCTCATTGACTCTGGAGACAGAAGGAACAACAGTCGTAATCTTCGTATGATCGTGAAAAAATAACAATATGTTGTTAACGACCTGCCAACACAGCCTCCAAGTTAGGATCGACCCAACCTCTACTCGTCGTCATCGTCACTATCTACAATAAACCCGCCTCTGATCTGCCGCCGCCGTGTAGTAGGGACAATATCTTCATCGCCGTCACTCTCATTTGTCGTGACGCCTACAACTGCTTTGGCCGAAACGATACTCGATGCCGTCCTTGGTGGCGCGATTTCTCTGAGGGCCAGCTTATCGCGCCCACCATCCTTGACGGTTGCTGAACCAGGGGATGACAGCGGCGTATCTTCATCTGCGGACTCATCCTCTGTGTCTGACTTCCTCTGCGGTTGTGATGAGGCAGTCTCGTTGAGTTCATCGTTGACACCTCCCATCAAGACGTCGTCATCGCTATCGTGTTGAGGGTCTTGAATCTTAGACACCGCGGCCTTCTTGCCTTTTCCTCTGGTCTTTCCAGACTGTTCACTCATAAATGCTCTCTGCTTGCGGATGTGATCCTCTGCAGTCTTCTTGCGAAGCTTCTCTTCTTGCTCAAAGAAGAGCCGATCTCTCTCCGTATCGCTCTCGTCATCGCTGTCTCTGATATAAGCTTCGCTCTTGATCTTGAGCCTCCTGTCCCTGGCGGCGGCTTCACGAGCGGCTCTTCTCCTCGCTGCAGCTTCTTCATCAACCTCATCAACTTCATCATCAGAGCCTCGTTTCCTCTTGCGTCGGGCTTTCAGTTCTCTCAAGATGTCCTTGGACTTCCTACGGGGATTGTCTGGGAACAAGAACTCTTCTTCGCCTTCAGAATCATCGATGAATGCGTCACGAGGAGCATCCTCGTCGTCATGGTAGGACGTCTTGGCCTTGTTCCTTCGTCGTATCATGTCCTCGGCATCTTCATTTGCATCTGCTGCCTGCCATGGCGTCTGCTCATAATGTTCGATAGCTGCCTTGGACTTAGCTAGGTCATCAGCAGGTATGCTTGCGGGCACAGTCCAGTTCGCACCCAGCACATCCTCGTCCCCTGGGCGCTCGAAGCCGACAAGGCTCATCAACAGCCGCAAGCGACCGTTCTTGAACATGGCTATCTTGATGTTCTCAGATGTCGGTCGCACAGTCATAGATGGTGGTTCACCAATGATCAAAGACTCATTGCCGGCCTCAGGGGACTCGAGCGCCGCCGCTTTTCGAGCTTCGGCTTCGGCCTCCCAGGCATGTCTTTCATCGCGTGCCTTTGCTAACATATTCTTGACCCACTGGACAAGATCATTCTTTCCATCCTTCAGAAGCACAGTCACGACGATGCCAATCTGTTCCATGTCATCTCTTCCTGGTGCGGGTTTGATTTCCAATTCTGCAGGAGCGCGAGTTGCCGCAATCGTCTGCTTCTCTTGGCCGAATTCGAGGTAATGGACCGTTGAACTTATCTTGCTGAATAGCAACTCAACAATGAGTTCCGGTCGTTGATCGATCTTTTTGAACATTTTCCGGAAAAGTTGTCTGGAGAACTCAGACCATTCCTTGTACATGGGATGTCTCGATTCCAGAGCGTCTGGCCCATTCATCATCCTATAGAACAAGGCGATGATGTCGACACGATACAACAACAACCCCAAGTCCTGCTTGAAAGCTAACCGGTAGAAGAATCGATGTACCCGCTTGAGCTGTTCGGCGCTGAGATCTCTGTAGAAGGCGGTCAAAGCAACAAAGGTGTCCACTGTTGCTTGGGTTGAGAACTTTGCTGCGAAGCGGTGGAAGTCGAATTTGCGTTCTCTGGCGACTTGGGCAGCATTTGCAATATCCTCATTTTCCGAATCTTCATCCTCTTCCTCGGCAGCAGGATCATCGCCAGTCTGAGCAGCCTGTTTCTTAGCCTCTTTACGCTTTTTCCTGGCTTTCCTCTTGGATCGTATTTGGAGGTCTGCATTCTCCTTTGAGTATCTCTCAAGCATGCGCAGGAACACGTGAGACAGCTCAGTACAAGCATCAAGGTAGCCAAATCCTTGTTCCTTATAGTCCCTCAGAATCTTAACGATCCTGTCGTGTGTCGCTTCTTCGTAAAAAATGCGGTTCTGGATGTTGTCGGCAATTTCCTGGTCTTCTTCGATTGGACTTTGAGCCATTTCTTGTACTGTCAGAAGGATCTGAGTGAAACAGCGCGTGCTGGCATTGAGGTCCTGCCATTCTTTGTTGTCCAGAGACACTTGCATAAAGCGATTGAGCATGATGAACGTTTCCTGATTGAGAACAGCTGCCACGAGTGAGTAGCTCTCGTCTTCGAAATCTGTGCGGACCTTGTCCGGCTTGTTTTCCTTTTTCTGTGTTTCTCGACGGATACGCTCAGCTTCAAGAAACCAGGCCACGGCATAGAAGAATTGGCGATAGTTGACTTCCATCAAACGCTCTGCTTCTCGCTCGATAGCTTTTCGCAGATGGGTGAAGAACGGGTTGAAACCAGAATCAAGGAATTCTTCAACGAAATTGCGCATCTTTTCCGCGGCTGAGTCAGTGAGTCGAGTAGTACGGTCGAAATCGTGGATGGTGTGGTCCATATCTCGGCGCTTTTGCTGCGGCTTATTCCATTTTTTTGACTTGTCCATGTTAAAGAATGCTTGCTGATCATCTTTCAGATTATCCTGACCAGATACAGCGGACACTTTTTGATCTTCACGCTTGACCCAGAGCATCGTGCCAAAGCGGCAATGCCGGCTCCACTGGTGGCGCTTTGCGTCTCTTGCTTTGCTGCCTTCCAGTGCTAAGGCTTCTCCAAGCTCAGTGATGCCGTGACCTTTGCGTTCCTTTTCCGTCATCCACAGTCGCTTTGGGTCCACACCCTTGATGAGGTTGAAGATGATGTCCAGCACAATGACATCCTGCAGGTCGAAATCTTCGCCCATGTTGGAGCATATAGTCAACAATAAAGCAAATACATCCTGATCTCGAAAAGATTCTATGGTGGCTGATCGTGAGACTTCCGAGTCTAGGCCTTGACTCGGCAGATTGGGAACCTGTTGTATGACGGCGATATTTCTGAAGAGATATAGCATAAGTTTGAGGATGCCTTCATCTCGACTTGTTCTGCCGTCTCTTGCTAGAGCAATTGATGGAAGACCAATGCGCACAACCTGGCGGAGAATGCTACTAGTATCACACCCCAGTATGGCTGCCTTGTAGAGGACCTGCGCTTGTTGGAGGTATGGAGTATGTCGATGATGGTTCGCAGTCATTTCTCCTCCTGTTTCCAAGGGCCATGTCAGGGGCACCAGCAGTTCCAGACATGCTAGTGCAACTCTCGCCTTGAGTTTGTTGTCTTTTTCGTCTTCCGACCACGACGCGAGAATGGGTATGAGATCTCCTCCCACAAGTTTCGCTTCTGCAAGGCACCTCGCGACATCTAGGCGATTGTTCTTTTCGTCGTATAATTTAAGCCATCGTTTCAAATCACGCAGACAGGCAAGGGCATCGTCACCGAGTACGTAGCGACCATCGTCGTCGGTGCTGCTACCTCCAAGCTACATGAAAGTCAGTCACTGGGGCATTGGATCTTGGTGATAGTGTACGTACGGCGTTGACGAGACTATAGACATAAGCTCGAACTTCGGGGTGGACAGTCTGGGCTTTGCTGAAAGGGTTGTCCTCTTCCATGTTGTCGTTGATTGTTGATCAGAACATCCTGGAGTGGACTTCAACAATCCTTGGTGGGAGAGTACTGTAAGTGCACATGTATTCTGCCTATTGAATGCTCTCGCGTTGAAAGGTCGCGACGCGTTTGTCCCAAGCACGCGTCAAGCAGTAAAAGAAAGTGGGAGAGATTAGATAAGCATTGTCTCCAATCAGAAGCATCGATTTATTCGGAACCGATTGAAGAAAAAAGCACCTCGGCCCTTTCGCTTAGTGACGGCAAGATGCGATTCATTGCGTGTTGCTGCATTGCTACGAGACATCTCCGAGTCACGGCGAGCTTCAGTCCACGGGCATCGTAGAAAAGCAAGCTAGACTGCCCTGTACATCTTCAACGCTCCGGGTACAAACTACATCGCCATCCTAGTAACCTCACCCTCATGGCCTCTCTATCGAGGTTGTCGTCTCGCATGATGGCCTCCTCCAAGTCTTCCGGCGCCTCACAAAGGCTAGCTGCGCTCAGCCGTCAATTCTCGTCTTCACCTGCAACGCAATTCGAGGTCAAAAAACTTGGTGTTATTGGTGCCGGACAAATGGTAAATGAGACCCAAATGTCTTGACACGGTGTTACACTGCTGATGATGTCCAGGGTCTCGGGATTGCCCTTGTCGCCGCCCAAAGAGCCGAAGTCCCTGTCACTCTCGTCGACAACTCGCAAGCCTCCCTCGACAAGGGGCTCGCATTCGCCGACAAGCTCCTCGCCAAAGATGTCTCGAAACAGAAAATAACCGAGGAGATCGCAAAAGCCACAAGAGACAGACTGAAAGCGACCACACAACTGTCCGACCTCTCAGACGTCGACATGGTCATTGAAGCCGTGCCCGAAATCCCGTCCCTCAAGGAGAAGATCTTTGCCGAGCTAGCGCAAGTATGTCCCAAACACGCCATTCTCGCTACGAACACATCGAGTATAAGCATCACAAGAATCGCGAGAGCTACCTCGAAAGACGTCACCGATACAGCAGCCTCATCACGTGTAGTGTCGACGCATTTCATGAACCCAGTCCCCGTGCAGAAGGGTGTGGAAATCATCTCGGGTCTGCAGACATCGCCCGACACTGTAGCCGCGGCGATCGCGTTCTGCGAGAAGATGGGCAAGGTGTGCTCTGTTTCGGCGGATAGCCCGGGCTTTCTCGCCAATCGGATATTGATGCCGTATATCAATGAAGCTATCATCTGTCTCGAGACGGGTGTCGGGACGAAAGAGGATATCGACAATATCATGAAGAATGGGACAAATGTGCCCATGGGTCCGTTGACATTGGCTGATTTCATTGGTCTGGATACTTGCCTGTCGATCATGGAGACCTTACATGCTGGCCTGGGTGATAGTAAGTACAGACCGAGTGTGCTGCTGAGGCAGTACGTCGATGCGGGCTGGTTCGGCAAGAAAAGCGGAAAGGGTTTTTATGAATATAGATAAATCGAAAGCCCGTAACAATATAGTCTTGTTCCGGCGAAGTAGTCTCACACTTTTCTGGCGTTGAAGCTCATTCTCGCGTCTTGCCCTTTATATTGGCTCGACATCAACTTAAAATTGAACGCACCCTCTCGGGCGCCATACACATACACCTGTGCTATCTCAAAATGCTGAGAGTCATGTTAGTCAAGTGAACTTCCGCCTGGGGGCCTCCGGCAACGCCGCCTTCCCAATGTTTTCAGCTCCAGTCATCCTCTCATTGAATTCATCCAACTTGTCGAAGGGCAGGTTGAGAAACTGGTGCTTGTTCTTCCAACGAACCTCGCTTTCGATAAACTCTGCCTCCTTTTCTCCCGGGGGTGGTGGCGGTTCGGTGATCTTAGTGATCAAATATGCCGTGCTCGCCTCAGCGATGCCGTAAATCAACACACCGAACAGCGGCACCTTGACCATGACAGCAAATGCCGCGCTGAAGCCAAACAGCACCCCGCTGCGATCGATGAACCAGATCTTCTTCTGCTGCTTCGTAAAGTGGATCCGGTGAAAGTACGGCTCGAGCAGACGAGACATTAGACTTCTGCTGGAGAAATACGTTTGCAGGAAGGAGACCATGTAATGTTTTGGTAGGACAAGGCCGCATGCAAATACGATGCCTGCTGGAACGGGGCCGACAGCTCTGTTGAAAGTGTAGAAAGATGCTAGGGGAAGGACGAATGGGCCGATGACAGGTAGAAATGTCAACGCGTAAACAGTGAGAGAGATTCCTGCTCGTCGGGCGTATTTCGCGCCTGTGAGAATAATGCCGTCGAACAGGCTACGCTTTTCCTTCTTCTCGCGCTCGCCGTGCGTGGAGTACATTTTGAGTGTTGGGTAGTACATGGCGCGTAAAGTCGACGGATCTTCAGCCTTATGTTTCTGTACGTAGGTTTGGTCGACCCATCGTAGTGAATCCATGAAGAGGTTATCAAGAGTTGGTGTGACTGAACTCATGACCATCATCAGGAAGAAAGGTACTTGGAGTACGGACTTCGAGATAAAGTCCAAACCTCCAACGAGTTTGTCGTCCCATGTCTCCTGGTCAAGATTGACGACGAGTGAGGCAAGCAGGAGCAGAAACTTGACAGCATAGATCGGGATGTTGATTATGATGCGGATTGCTAGGCCTGCGCACACGGCGATGGCAGCCTGGCGGTAATGGCTGGTGGTGAAGAGCTCTGGGTTTTGCAGGGCCCTGTGAGCACCGACAAATGTCAATTGCGCCCCACGGAGGATCGCGTTGGGGTCGAAGTTGGACATGGTCCAAGTCGAGAAGGAGACAAGAACTGAAGGAAGCAGTGCGAGGGTTGTTGGTTCCTCTTTAGCTGATTGGAGGTAGCGAGGACGAGAAGGGCAAGGGAAGGCGTTGAAGGGCAACTGGCACACGACATTTCTACTGAGAGGTGCATATTATGTCATATTTCGATGCCTGACCCCCCGAGGCTGAGCTAACCCAATCGGGCTCGGTAAACTACGTAGTACTGGGCTGGCACTGCTGGCTTCACATCACGTGGACCTCGATAAAACCTGACCAGGCACCTAGGTGCCAGGCTGATTTCACCTACAGACAGAGGTTAGTATTCACGGTACTCCCACAAAGCGGTGTCGGCTATGCGACATCCTTTGGAGGGCAAGATGAAGGAAGATCAGTGCCATCGCTCGCCCAATGTTTTGAACGGTTCCTTCCAGACACAAGCGAGCAGTAGCCCACTAACCGAGGGCTACTAGTTAAGCTCACTAACACCAACTTAGGCATGCCAGAAGCTCAACCACCCCGCAACGCACGGGCTGCAGCCCTCAGGCTCACTAACGTAGGCGCTTGTGGCGTCCGCTGTTTACCAAAAGTCAACTGCGCGCTTTCTCTCGCCCAAAACATCCATGGAATACCGATCTAACAGTATTGACTGCTCAGCTGAGACGGTTTACGACACTGTCTTGGAGTCCATGTTTCTCCTCTAGGCTACGACTCCCTCCGAAGATGCAGCATGGCCAGTCCCTCCTACGGCGAACGACCTCCGCTGCAAGGATATCGAAGATCATTCACCCTGCCTGCGCGTCAATTAACCGTGCATGAACGAGCAGGTCTCGAGAAATCCGATGCCGACGCCAATGTCCTCTTCTCGCATCCTTCTGCGCGTATCATAGCATTCTCGCCACCGACCGATTCCATTTCTTCGCAGAGCAAAGAACCCCTACCTGATACCGACTATCCTGTTGACGCAATAGAGACGCTGCCATGGAGGTCGCGGACAGAGACGTTGGCTGCCACTGGGCAGATCATGATCGAGAAAGTCCGCGGGTCAAGTAATTTTCTGAAGTCAGCAGATCAGAAGGTCATACACACGATCATGCGCAACTCGCAATGCTGGTGTGTCGATGGTGAATCAAAGTTCGTCCTGCGGACTGGGAAATTTCGGTACTACAGGATAGAGTTACCTTGTGAAACAGATGCCGATAAAGAAAAGGTGGAAGAGCTGAAGACTGTGCTTTCTAAAGTGCTTAGATTCGAGAGAACACCGTGCCCTTTCAAAAGAGCCTTCCATGTCGATCTACCTGACGACGCTATCACTCCTCGGCGGAAAGGCGTGTGGACGAGAAAGCAGCCTTCGCAGCCGACCAGTCCGTCCACAGACCCCTTGCCTCTTCGAAGAACGAAAACTTCTCGCGCATGGAGTCTACAGGGCCCAGCGACTTCTACTCCGCTGCAACATTATGGACGCCGCGGATCCGATTATGGGTACGGTCAATCTCGTGAATCATCTCCAATACCTCCACATGAGAGTGACAGGTGGCGGCCCAGTACGCCGTCTAGTCTAGCGTCTAGCGAGACTGTCAGCGAGAGGGAGCATGAAGAGCAATCGAATCAAGAAGACGAGAGACACATTGGCAGCCATTCGCCTATGCCTGATGACCATGGTTCACCCGCTGATGCTGAAGTGGAAGAGGCTCTCCATCTGCCTCAACTACCATCAAGCGATGCGCCACTGGAATGTCTCTCCCAGGAAGGACCCGTGGAGCTGGAAAAGCAGGACCCTATCGATCCAGGGAGGAATGTAGAAGTGCAACTAGCTGCGGCCTCGAACGACGATGCCGAGTCTGACGAATCAAAAGCTCCGTCAGAGCTGAGCGAAGCGGATCCTTTGATTCCGGCTCAGAGTCTCGATGGAGATTTCAACCACCCATTGCGAGAGTCTGACAAGGCCATGGATTTAACTGAAGCTGCGGCAGAATTGACTCCAGATGTCGACGCTTCCGAATCTATCCAGACCGCAGGAATTGAAGTGAAACAACTAGAGCCGTCTGATGAGGACCCAACGACAGCTGAAGGTCTTCCTGGCCTATCCAGCGAGACCGAAGCTCCCTACATGGTAGAACTTGATGAAGATGCTGCAGAGCGTCCTTCGATGACTGCGACAAATGACTCCGGATCGGAATCTTCTCCCAATGACTTTGTCGAAGAAGACGGATTTGCGAAATCGACTCCGTCGAATCCAGAACATTCAGAAAATATCGCGGATGATGCTCCCGACGAGGTGCAAGACGGTGAAGCGCTGAGCAGAATTTCCAGCGTCGACTCTTTTCACACGACGAATTCTTTGGCTGAGGAAAACCCAGGGGAGCATGAGAATACATTGGATTTGGAAAGTACGCCCCAGGATGAGAGGTTCGACCCTTTTCTCGACCAAAAGCCTCAACACCGGAGGGGAGTGTCTGAGATGACTATAACGGCTTTTACTGCTGATATGCGGCCGTCGACAGGCGACTCATATGAGAAGCCTGCTACACCAGCACTAGGGAGGTCCCCAACATCAGATTTGTCTTGGCCTGAGGTATACACACCAGAATCGCCAGTCACTGCAGGATTAAGGCGGCGCCTGGACAAGAAAAGATCACTCTCCCCGCTACCGCCTTCCACTACAATATTCTCACCAGCCCCACCGTCTCAAGGCAATCATTTCACCGCAGAAATCCTCCAGAAAGCTTGCAACATAGCGCTGGTCAAGCCAATCGAAGCTGTCGTTCTGCTTGTTCATATCCTAGCACGTATCGCTAGCGGCGCAACCGTCAACGACCTCCTCAGTGGGGAGCTCTTCCGGCGACCAGAGCATCGTCGTCGGCGGTCAAGTTTTCCGGATCAAGTGAGCTCTCCGCACGACGATAGTGACGACGAAGATGACTTCGGCGTGCCGATTCGCCGTGGAAGAACTCGAGCCGATGCTGCAAAGTCTCCGTCCTCCACCAAGAAGAGTAGTGATGCTGACTCCATATTCGACTTGGATTGAGACTTTCCGTGAAGCGCGGTGTGGGGGAAACTGGGACAACTCGAGACTTACTATTCTCGGGAGTCCAGACATGTTATTCTATACTAGCACGGTGTTCAAGGCTGCTGCCAAGTCTCAACCAGATTACAGGATGTCTGGGTAATGGAATTGATGGATTACCAGCTATTATGATATAATCGGACCAGTGAGGACAGAGTATCATGGAATATGATGATTGCATCTGCCACATTTCGTTGATTTCTCCTCACCTCTGTGTTGGTTGAATCCGTCAACAGATACCTCCATTTTCACCGTATATTGCCAGTGTGAGGCGTCAGTACGCGCCATCTCCGCGAGACCTGCTAGATAGACCATATCGCTTCTGTAACTTCTCTGTCCCTTGTGGGCTTTCCTCAGCTGTTAGCACGCGTCAATCTGAGTCTGGGTCGTTGAGCCGGCATCAAGTGAACTGCGAGCCGGACTGTCGCCTTGTAGAGCCTCCATTGACCTCAACCAATTCTTGCCTCCCTTCGGCTGCTGTTTGCTGCATCTCGGAAGGTCGTCGTACATAGCTCCATTTGCTGCATCGCTCAGGCGCTGCCGCGGGTGAGCCGTCAGAACTCTCTCTCAACTCGCAGTCTTCCCCTTCTTCTTCGCCTTGGCTTTCACCTTTGCCTTCTTCTTGTCGCGCTTCCTCAAGCCCTCCATGCCCTTCTTACAGATCTCCGCATATCGTATGTAAAATCCGTCTATTTCTGCAGTGTCAACGACTGTTGCAAGCCTGATTTTCGTGTTTTTGGTTTTAGGCGTGCGGTGAGCCTTGGATAGACCGTTCGTTGCCCGGATCAGGATTTGCGGCTGTGCATCGGCGAGAGGCTTTTGCGTGAGATACACGGATCCATGACTCGCGGTATGTGTCGAGGTGAAGAGTTGTGAGAGACGGGTTAGGAACTGCCAGACCTCAAATCAGCACGAGCACGAGACAATGCGAGGAAACGAAATGATAGGCCAGGAAAGGATAGGATAGCATACGTCGTCATTGCTTAGGCGTTCTTGGGACATATTTGCCCAGTGGACCGCGTTGGCGACTTGACTACTGACGATCTGGGGAACTCAAGGGTTGCTTGTCGCATGGTCTTGTAGAGTCGAATTGACGGGTGGGTGGCCGGTGGTGGGGAATCTGTTAAGAAACCCAAATGACGCTAAGATTAAGATTTCGTCTTATCGCCGGCTTAAGGCCGTGACGAGGAAATAATTTCTGAGGGAAGGCTCGCCGCAGTCTGGAGACTTTCTACGACTGTGTGACCGTTCAAGACAAGGACGCATAGATGTCACAATCGCATGGGCAGCATCCTCGCCGGCAAGGGGTGAAGTTACCATTCGCCTTGCAAAAAGAGCTCGGACTCGAGGCGAAACAGTCAAATGGCGGGCGACGACAACATGGCGCAGTAAGGAACAGGAAAGAGCAGCGCAAGACTGAGAGACAAGAGAAGAGGCAGAATCGAGGAGGATCAAGATCGTACGGGCCGACGAGGGCCGCGATCGTATATCGCGATTCTGATAATGAAGACCTGGACGAGAGCGAGGATGAACCTGTGTCTGCGCCCGCTGCTGCGAAGAGCACAGCGAGTGCAGTTGCTAGAAAGGTGGAAAAGAAGCCGAAGAGTATTTTGAAGAGATCAAGACAATTCTCGCCGGCTTCCTCAGTGTCTTCGAGCGATTCGCGATCACGGTCTTCGTCACCTGGTCTGGTTCTCGATGCTTCGTCGAAAGCATTTAGGGAGCGTGCGGCGCAGGATGATGCAGAAATTGGATCGCTTGAGAAGAAGCTTGGACTAAAGAAGAAAACTTTGCCGAAATCCTTCGAGGATGATGGTCTGGATGATCTGCTTGAGGGTCTGGAGGAGGAGGAAGATCGAGGTGTGAAAAGAAAGAGCGACGGTGATGAGTGGCTTGAGCGTAAGAGACGGAAAGCACTACAGCAGCAGGAGAGCGACGAAGAAGAGTACCTAGACATCGAGGGTAGTGATGAGGAGTTAGATGGACTCGAAGACTCTGAAGAGGAAGAGGATGTTTTGTCCGGTGAGGACGACCTTGGACTCGACCTCGATGAGGAGGGACTGTCTGACGAACAGCTTAGCGAGAACGACGAAGATGATGAGGGCGATTTCGGAGGATTCAGCGCTGAGGAGGAAGAAACACCTGAGGTCCAACCCAAGAAAGTACGCGAGAATCCCTACGTGGCGCCAACAACTTCCAGTACACCCTCTGCGAAATATGTCCCACCATCTCTGAGAAAAGCACAAATTTCGGAAGGAGCATCGCTTGAGAGGCTGAAGCGGCAACTCCAAGGACACCTTAACAAGCTCACTGAAGCCAATCTCGTCTCAATACTAGGTGAAATTGAGAAGGTTTATCAGTCGAACCCCAGACAAGATGTTACCTCTGTTCTGATTGAGCTGCTTCTGGCGCGGTTGTGCAACAAGTCAGCGCTTCAGAACACCTTCGTCATCCTCCATGCTGCTTTTGCTTCAGCAGTCTACAAGGTCGTTGGAGTGGATTTTGGTGCGGATCTGCTCTCACAATTGGTGGATCAATTCGATCAGTACCACAAGGATCTTGAGACGGGGAAAGAATCTCTGAATCTGATCAGCATGCTCTCCAACCTGTTCACTTTCAATGTCGTCAGCAGTGCGATTATCTTCGACCACATCAGACTATTGTTGGAAAGACTGACTGAAACCAATACTGAAGTACTTCTACGGCTGGTTCGTGATTGCGGACCTCAGCTGAGACAAGACGACCCGTCTTCGCTGAAAGCCATTGTGCAACTCATGCAGAAGGAGGCTGCGCGAATGAATTCGAACGGAGAACACATGAGCGTGAGGACGAAGTTCATGATCGAAACGATGACAGACCTGAAGAACAACAAAATGAAGGCTGCGACGAACAACGCAGGTCTCTCGAGTGAGCATATCACGCAAATGCGGAAGGCACTTGGAAGTCTCAACAACCGCGCTCTCAGAGCCTCTGAGCCGCTGCGGATTACCCGGGACGATATCAAGAATAGTGACAAGAAGGGCAAATGGTGGCTTGTCGGCGCGAGCTGGAAAGGGAATGGGCTAACGTCAACAGCAGATCAGGTTGTTGAGGCTGACGTGGGTGTGGACGACGAGCCCCTAGAAGCCGGAGATGATTCAGTTGATCTAGTTGCTCTGGCTCGACAGTATGGCATGAACACGGATGTCCGGCGTTCAATCTTCGTTGCACTATTGTCGGCCGTAGATTTCAAGGATGCGCACGTCAGACTCATGAAGCTTCGTCTCAAGCAGAACCAGCAGCAGGAAATCCCTAAGGTTTTGCTTCGGTGTGCAGCGGGGGAGAATCCTTACAACCACTACTACACTCTCGTAGCGAAGAGACTATGCCTGGACAAACGGATGCGCAAAGCATTCCAATTTGCACTTTGGAGCTTCTTCAGAAGGCTGGGCGAGAATCCAGACGAGGAAGATGACGATCACGAAGAAGAGCAGAATGTCGAGATGAGCGAGATCGCCAACCTGGCGAAGCTTTATGCCCATCTCATACTTGATGGAGCCACAACAATCGGCGTGCTAAAGGTGCTTGATCTGGCCTATATCAAGGAGCGAACGAGCATGTTTGTCGAACTTTTGCTGGTCATGATCATCACAGAAGCCAAGTCGCCTCACGACGACTCGTTGGTCAGAGTGTTTGACCGAGCCGTTGAGACACCGCAGGTCATTAAGAGGTTGCAGTACTTCATCAAGAAATACGTGCGTAATTCCGACTTGGTTTCGAGCCGGGACAAAGACACTGTCAAACGAGGATGCAAGATCGCAGTGAACACTCTTGATCGACTTGAGAACATGGCAGGTGTCGACGAATGAACCTGTTCCTTTACAGGCATCCCTTCACCGCGTGTGTGACATGCAAGAAGCAGCCTGGTCGCCATATACATCTTCAACCCATCGGAATGTCGAGTAGGTAGGCAATCCTCGCCAGCACTGTGCTCCTGAAGGGGCAACCTGCTCCTGCTGACAGTGGTGGCCTCTCGGTTTCTCGTTATTTCGCTATACAGAGCTCTGAAAGAGGCTGCACGTTTGCAGGCAAGCACCATCAAAAACCGCCAGGGCTCTGTTCGACTGGGTGTTTGGGCACTCCTCGTTGCCGTTTGGCTCGCGGAGTATTTAACACGCGAGCCCGAAGCACTCGGCTGTCGAAGAACTACGGAAGCAACAAGCATTCGGAAAGTCACCTCGGCCAGACCAATCATCGTATCTCCGCTATGCCAGACACGGTCTTTATCTCACGACCGGCTCTCAGGGCCTTGCTTGCGGAACTCGACATATGCCACTATCTATTTGGGCAAAATCCGCAAAATGGCACCTTACCCTCTGATTGGTTTCGTCCCTTAGTACTCACTTCCGCCGACGACACACGCGATGTTGGATTCTACAGCGACGATGTCAGAAAGTTGATCATCAGATGTACTTCCGCACTTAGAAGCTTACTGATGCAACATCGAGAGAAACTGGAAGAACATCTCTTTCTATTGCGACAATTACGGGCCGAGAAGAATAAGATTGAAGACTTACTGGCAGGCCGTGAGGAAACGGTCAACACGGACCTGCTGCGGCTCGATACTGAGACCGGTCGCTGGGGTGGTATCAGGGAACCACTGAACATGAATTCGATGCTTCTCGGCCCTGAGACCGGTTGGAGGGCGATGGGGATTGAGGAACTCGCATCGACGAGAACTGAGCAGGAGCTTGAAGAGTATGCAGCCATTCACAGGGACAATGACGAGCTTAGATACTCGGATTGAGTGAATTGAGCAGGGGACGAAAGGGTGATGAGATGGTGTGTGTTTTCAGAACCCTTTTGGTTTCTATATCGCAATACCACAGTCCATAACGATGTTCTGTCCTGTAATGGACTTGCTCAATACCAGGGTCCTGATTTGATCTGCAACGTCCTCTGGCGACGCTGTTGACTTGAGTGCTGATTTTTCCGTCGTCGCTTTGACCTTGGCCTCTGGGAATTTGTTGCCCCTGTGTAGAACAACACACGCGGCGAGTTAGCAAATAATCCCAATCTCGCACATGATCGAAACAGAAGGAACACAAACTTACCACTCGGTCATCATCAAGCCCGGGCTCACACTGTTACACCTGATCTTCCTCCCGCAGATCACGGCCAGTCCTTTGGTCAAGTGGATCTCGGCCGCTTTGGTCACGCTGTAGGGCAACGAACTTCCACTTGGCCTGACGCCGGCCAGACTGGCCACGGTCACAAAGGCGCCGCCAATGCCGCCCTCTTCGTCGGCGGCCTTCTCGAGATGGTCTTTGGCCGCGTACAACAACCACAGGTGCGCCTTGACGTTGAGGTTGAAGCACTTGTCCCAGTCGTCCTCGTTGACCTGCTGCTCAATGTCGAAGAAGTTGGTCAGCCGCGTCCAGCCGGCGTTGCTGATCACGACGTCCAACCGGCCCATGACGTCGACGGTCTCGGACACCAGGCGCTGGATCTCGGCGCGCTGCGAGATGTCGGCCTTGATGGCGTGGAAGCGCGGCTGCTGTTTGCCATCGGTGGATGACAACGTGTATGTCGGGGTGATGGCGGACGCCTGGCTGATCACTTCCTGTGCCTTTTCCGAGCGTGAGTTGTAGTTGACCACGACGCGGAAGTAGGGGGCTAGGGCTTTGACGGTGGCTGCACCGAGCCCGGCGCTCGAGGCCGTCACGAGCGCGACTTTGGCTGTCATGGCTTTGATAAAGACTTGAGAGGGGTTTAGTGATGGTTGTTGTTGGTGTGCTAAAAGTTCGAAGAGCGACGGGAGTGAGGACAGTCAGTCTGGAGTGCGAGCGATATTCTATTTGACTCTTATTGTGCCCATGCAGTTGGAGACGGCATACACGATCATTGTGTGAATTACCCGATTGTGGATGTTTGGGGGGGTTCATGCGGGCCTACACCGAGCGGAACGTTTCCGGCTACAATTTCATGCCATTCCGTTCGATGATGAAAACCCGGTGCATGATGTACAAGCGATGAGATATCAACAACATACGGAGTACTGTTCTTAAGTTATCTCCAAGACGTAGATTAGAGTGATAGATGGCTCCACGCCTTGTCAAGCCAACCACAATTGTTCAATCATGGCCTTGAAGAAGCTAGCTCGCACGACAAGGGCTCCTGGGACACCCTAGGTGTGTTAGGCGTGACGTTCCAGTATTGCCGACGACAAACGAGGGCTTCCCTGAGTCATCTCCGAAGAGCAGGTAACATCTTGCGGATGAAAGTGTGACGACCCAGTACAATGCTGGGCCACCACGTAGGGTCTGTAGCAGTGTAGCATCGTTTCAGCGATAACGGTAAGCGGAGAAGAAAAGGATGCGCAGCGAAGTTGTCTGAAGGTTTAAATGGTGCTTCCGGACAAGGATTCATGCTGCTAGAAGTACTGTCCCGGCTTCTCCAGAGCTGAGGCGGTATACCGAGATCTGGAGAGAACTCATACATAGAGACCTCCGATCCAGAATGTGACAGATGAGTAAGAGACGACGAGTAAACAGTGTGTGGAGAATCTGCGTTATGAACATAGGTGGTAGTAGTACCACCGACTTGGAATCCCAAGCTCGGCCTCAAAGGCTGACCAGAGCTATTGCAGCGAAGATGGACGTTTCCAGTCGATAACGTGCAGAGAAGCTTTTGACCGCCATCTCAAAGCGCGTGGAACCCGTCCAAAGCCTGACAGATGTCGGTATCTGAATGCTGATGGCACCACCATTCTGATGAGAATCTTCTGGTAAGCTTGACAGACTGCATAATCATCCTGATGGCTGCAAGGAGGCGGGATAACCTGTGTCACAGTTGACTGAAGCACATTGTTAGAAGCAAGACGCTGACTCCGATCGACCATCTGGGTCAGTGTGAAGTTGGGATCGCAGAGAAGGAAACGTTCTCGTCATTCCTGTCCTTTCTGATTCCACTACAGCAGCACTAAAATTCAGCTCTCGGCCACGGTAGCTTACGGCTCGACGGCGACGACGGCTTCGAAAAATCTTCGAGTTGATGGCCTGAGGGGGGCTCGCCGACATCGGAGCACTGACACTACCGCGCACTCGAGCCGACAGTTGATCCGCTGCTGTCTGGTAATGGAGGAGCTGGAAGTGCGAATAAGAGACTACGAGGTACTGATATAAACAGGACGTTGAGCCATGCGGTCCCAATGCACTGTAGCACAGTGTCCTCGATCAAGATTGATAAGATTCGATCATGAAGCCGATCAGGCAGCTGAAGATCCTTCTGGAGCAGGTCCTACAGTACAGGTGCTTGCTTAGTGTGTCGAAGATAAGTCGCGAAGTGACCTTCAAAAGAAATGCCTCATTTTGCCTAGTTGGCGTGGGTGAGATGCCCTGAACAGCCTGAACAACATCAACTATTGGGCACTTCAAGTCAGTGTTTCCCCCACCGAATCCCTTCATCAATGATCACATTGCAACGGCCAAGCCGACGATAGTGCGAAGCTCAGTGGAAGCTCCAGCAAGCGTGAGCAAGCTCTTTTAAGCTCTGGTGTTTGCATCCACACTTTCAACTGACAGATGCTGTCGTCGTGTCCTGCCGATTGACCCGTTGAGTTACGCCAATAGGCAAAGGGTGTTCTGCGCCTGAACTCACCATGACGAGGCACTTTGAGGATTGCCATCCAGTGTCCATCCCACCGCGACACCCACACGACAGACTTTTCCTAGACTTGGTGGAGCTTACGGCGAGAAATTATCTTATCAGATGTGACTGCGGATACCCAGTGGACCTCGCCAGGGCCGCAACTCGAACGAACCACATCTGATAGCAGCTATACACTGTCGGTGGTGCTCTGGCGATAAATATGGATGTTGATCCTCCCAGGGTAGGCCACGTTTTTGTCTCTCGGTCATCTCTTTTGGCCAAATCTTTTCCCTGCACAGGCTGGCCTAGCCTTGATTATCAAAAGACACCGTCAAGATGGGATTCCTTTCCAAGTTCAAAGGTCACGAAACCCATCCTAATGTTCGAGAAGCCTCGAGTGTCACCGAGGGCCAGAAGTCCGATGGTCCCGCCGATGGTCCCAAGGACGTCCCTACTGACACTGATTCCGAGACCTTGAGTTTGGAGGAACGGAACGAAAAAGAAGTCCAACTCAATCCCGACCATATCACCCAAGATGCCCAGCTTGGTGTGAAAAAGGCCGAGGCCACTGCACTTGTCTGGCCGAAATGGGCTGTCTACGCGACGTATGGATGGATCTGGGTCTGTTTCTTCATGCTTGCCCTACAACAAGGCACGACCACACTCTTCAACGCGGCAGCGTACGCCGACTTTGTCGCTGCGCCCCAGCTTACCACCGCCAACATTCTCTCCACCATCATCGGTGGTGTCCTGAAACTACCAATTGCCAAGATCCTCAACATCTGGGGCCGTGCTGAAGGCTTCTTTACCTTTGTTTGCGTCTATCTACTCGGCATGATCATTCTGGCATCTTGCAATGGTCCCAGCGGCTATGCAGCCGGTTACGTCCTCTACTGGATCGGCTACGATGCCATCTACCTTATCCTCGATGTATTTGTTGCCGATACTTCGGGCCTGCGCAATCGAGCGTTCGCCTTCGCCTTTGTCGGGACGCCCTTTATCTGCACAGCCTTCACCGCACCACTTCTTGGGCAAGCCTTCCTCAACACGACCACCTGGCGATGGGGCTACGGAGCATTCTGCATCATCATGTTCTTCGTCTTCATGCCCTTGGTTGTCGTCTTCAAGTTCTACCAGCGCAAAGCCGAGAAGATGGGTCTATTCAAGAACGAAGCGAGCGGACGCAGTCCATTCCAATCGTTTGTCCATTACTTTCACGAATTCGACATTGTGGGAGCTGCCTTGCTCATGGCGGCCTTCGTCCTCTTCCTGCTGCCGTTCTCCTTGAGCTCATACGGCAAAGCAGGGTATTCCTCGGCGACTTTCATCGCCATGGTCGTCATCGGCATTCTTCTGTTCCCTGTCTTCGCAATCTGGGAGAAGTATTTCGCCCGAGTGCACTTTGTCCGATGGGAATTGTTCCGGCAGCGCACGGTTCTGGGCGCATGCTGTCTGGCGGCCATCCTTTACTTCTCCTTCTACTGCTGGGACGTGTACTACTACCAATTCGTCCTGGTTGTCTACAACTTGTCCTTCTCCAACGCCGGGTACATGACGCAAATCTACAATGTCGGCTCGACGTTCTGGGGAGTCGTTTTCGGCGCCTGGATCCGCGCCACCAAGCATTTCAAGTACACATGCTTGTGCTTCGGCCTTCCTCTGATGTTTCTTGGGGCTGGCCTGATGATTCATTTCCGCGGCAACGACCACGGCATCGGCTATCTTGTCATGTGCCAGATTTTCATCGCCTTCGCCGGCGGCACCCTTGTCATTGGAGAGGACATGGCCGTCATGGCCGCTGCCGATCGTGACGGTGTCCCCATGATGCTCTCGCTGATCAGTCTATTCGCCAGCCTCGGAGGCGCTATCGGATACGCCGTTGCAGCCGCCATCTACGACAACACCTTCCCACAGGCACTATTGAGGAGACTGCCAGCCAGCGCCAAAGGCGACTACGAAACCATCTTCCTCGGAGGCTACGTGACACAGATGACATATGCGGTGGATTCGCCCATCAGGAATGCCATCAATTACGCCTGGGGCGAGAGCCAGAAATACGGTTCCGTTGCTGCTACTGCCGTACTGGTCTTGGCCATCCCATCGATCGCCGTCTGGAAGAATTACAACGTCAACAAGAAGCAGAACAAGGGTACCGTTATTTAAAGCTACAATGTCAGACGTGGTCGTTTGGAGAAACAGTGTCCATATTCGATGAGTGCGAGACGTCTTGTCATCAAGGGGCAGGAGAAATTGTCCGAGCGGGTGTGTTTGTCACGCAGCATGGATTTGCACAAAGTAACGTAATATCAATGTACACTAGAGTGAGATGTATGCTGCAAGGCTCTCAAAAGAGGGCAAGTGTCGTTTAATCCGAGGAGACGCCTCTCATGCGATTGTTGGTGACCTCCCGTATCGTGTTCAATTGTGTGCCCAAAGGGTCATCGTGGTCGGGGATTTCATCTGCCTAGAGAAGATCACTGGGGGTGGATGGAAGGGTGTGCGACGCAATGATGGATGCTCTTAACCTCCATGAACGAACCTGACCCAACCTTGGCCTAAGAAGAGCAATACGTAGCATGCGACACATAAACAGGACCTCTGCAGACCCCGTATCGGAAACCCTCCTCACCACGAGGCAACAAGATGCCCGTTCACGTCTGGCTTGATCTCAATTTGGGTGAGATGAGGATCTTGATCTGGTTGTCTCGGTTGTTGACCAATTCCTCGAACCCTTTTTCAACAACGTCTTCCAGGGCCACTCGACTCGTCACCATCTTCTCGTATCCTTGAAATTGGCCTGCATGACACAAGGTCAACAAATGACCGGGGGGCCAGGTGCGGAGGGATTTTCTTGCCTTTGCCAATCAACTCCATCACCTCCTTGAAATCAGCCATGTTGTAACAAGCGGAGGACACGATCTTGAGTTCCTTGAGGAAGAAGCGCCAGAATGGAATCGCAGGCTAGCAATGAAGGGTCAGCTAAAGCAAGACCAAGAGCACTGGACCTAGGTAGGTAACTGAGTGCACCGTACTGATTGTTCCCAAATTGCAACATTGACCAGTGTCCCACCATTCCTCAACGCGTCGATACCGGCTTCCAGGCCTGGCTGGACACCCGCACAATCAAAGACGACATCCACACCTTTACCGCCCGTCAGACCGCGACAGACATCTCCCACATTTTCCGTCTTGGGGTCAATGACACGATCAACCACGTCCTTTGCATGTCGCCATCTCGCAGCCGTAGGCTCACTGAGCAACAACCTCCCGACGCCATGCGCACGAAGCACAGAGATCATGCCAACACCGACTGGTCCACCACCGACGATCAACACATCCAGCCCCTTTAAGTCTGTATTTGCCATTTTCGCTGCATGGTGGCCGACGGCCAAGGGCTCAATGACCGCCGCGTATTCCAGGCTGACACTCTCGGGAAGGGGATGGATATGATCCTCCTCAACCACAACGTACTCGGACAACCCGCCACCACGCCTGGAGTCACTGATGCCCACAAAAGCGAGAGTGCTGCACATCTGGTCGTTGCCCGACGCGCAGGACAAACACTGCCGGCAAACCACGTGAGGATCGACCATTACGGCTTGCCCGACTTTCCACCTGGAGCCATCACCTTCGGGAACCGCCTTGATGCGGCCGCAGAACTCATGGCCAAGTGTCAGAGGTGCTTGGCCTCCCGTGAGCGGGTGTGGACGTTCGGGAGTAGGTATTCCCACAGGCCCTAACTCCGTTACAAAAACTTGCATCAGACAAAACCACGCGCGCGCAATGGTAAACGCATTACAAAAGAACCAAGGGAGGCCTAGGGAGGGCGGCTCTATTGACGACACATACCAGCAACATATTCGTGCAAGTCGCTGCCACAGATACCGCACCATTCAACCTCGACGAGACATTCTGCCGGTCCGGGCTCGGGGATTGGAACGTCTTCGACCCGAACGTCGCGTCTGCCGTAGTATCGTGCTGCTCGCATCTTCGACATTGGCTGTAGAGAAACCTGACTACTAGTAATCTAGTACCTTCACACGGCCAACGCTGCTGATAGCAATGATGAATCGTGGACGCAGGAAGGTGTGCTCTTTTGGAGTCATACTCACCGAACCCTAGGTTACTGCGCGATCGTTTATCAAGAGCGACAAGCACTTTGAGCCTCGGATGGTGGATGCCGGCAGTGAGGCCTGGTGGCCTGGAGTGCGGGGGTCACAAGCCAAGGGGCGGGTGATTTCCGAGCGTCTTCTGCGCGTGAAACCCATCTGCAAAGTACTTCCCCTTTTCCGCTATATCTGCTTATGAATCAATCAGAGTGCTGTTGCAGACAACTCGTAGGTGGCTGTGGAATGTCCTTCTGGGTTGTCCTCTCGGATCCATGCGCTGAAAAGATCAACCAAAAAGCAAGGCTGACCTGTTTCAGGGGCTACTACGGGCACTGTGTGGAGTGTACTTGATGTCGTGAGATCTCGGGTCAGAGTATCGTAGAAACTATCCAAAAAAAAATACGTGCATGTCTCGGACGCATAGGGATTCTGTCATGATTCATCTTCAACCGACAATGGCGCAAAGTTCCATGCTGGGGCAGGATGATCGAGTGCTCGATCTGAGAGGAATGAGGGTGTGGGCAATGTGATCGATAACGTTTTCGCGGAAAGTGCTGCGACTAGTATCAGTGTTGGCCCACGGCGACCGTACTATTGAGACGGAAGTGCCATGCTCTTGCTGTTGACGACATCTGGCGAGAAATCTGCCTCACAGTTGGTGCAGGAGATGGAAGCAATAATTGGATGGAGTTTCCGTCGTGGCACGTCTCCAAGACACACCTGAGATTCCATCGAGTCGTCTCTTCTGGATGCAGCGGAAGGAAAGTTCGAAAGCTGATGATAATGATGATGTGATAGTGCACGCTGGATGCAAAAGGCATTGAGCTGCCGGGAGGCGTATTAGATTGGTCAAGAAGGAGAAAGAGAGCTTGATTTCAACGACGAGTATGCAACCCAAACCCCCTTTGAAGCTGCGCCCCTCATCCACCGAGATTGACATGATTAGATATGTAATGGGATGAAAATACATGAGCCCATCGATTTTGTGCATCAGCCACGCATATCCACACGCTCAACACTTTCCAACCATAAAAAGAAATCGTGGTATAGCAATCCGGAAGAGGGATATCAGGACAGTTCGATAGGACTATAACATGGCGACAACACCAGCTGCCACCACCGCGAAGCTCAAAACTTGGCTGAGGACGAGAGGCTGAGCACCGCTAGTTGATGAAGTCGTCTTGGTCGCGGCGGCAGCGGTACCGGTGGAGGTTGAAGAGGAATCGAGGTATTCGGCGCCGCCGTCGCCAGAGCAGGTCTCACCGGTGGCACAGCAGCCGTAGACATCGTTGTCACCCATTTGGCAGGTTGTATCTGCTGAGCAGCCACCCTCGAGGTCGGGACAGCAGGTGTAGTCACTGGGGATACAGTACGCGCCGCAGACTTTGTCGCCGGAGTCGCATGATGTTGCGTTGCCAGTTGCGCGTGTGAGGAGAGTATGCTCTGACCAGGCCGAGGCCAGGAGAGGAAGTGCCGCAAGCAAGAAGTAGGTACGCATCTTGAGTGTTGTGGTGGAAGTCGTTCGAGTCCGGGAGATATGCTGTACAGAAGATCGGGTTTTGGGAAGGCAGAGATTCGCCTGGAAACGCTGCTGTGTGTGAGAGAGAGAAAGAGAGAGAGGACACCCAGTTATTGTTGAGTGGGCTTCTCAGTGTGCAGGGGGGCCGCTGGATACGCGAAGAGAATGCTGGAAGACGAGTACTCGCAGAAGATGGCTGGGATATACTTGGGAACAGAACCAGCGGTCCGGGGGAAACAGGAACTCCCTGGGATATGTACTTGTATGCGGAAATGCCCAGCATCTTGACACCACCTTGTAATCTAGACTGGCGGCTGGGCGCCATAGTGAGATGATTGGTCTGGTGCTGGTACAAAACATGGGAGAGAAACAATGCAAGGCTGGCTCCGGTCCAATCAAGGCTGAATCCATGAGGGAAGGCTTGGTCAAGCTCACGACAAGACCTGTCCGAGGTCAGACCATGGATATGGAGATTGCAAAATCGCGAAGCACTGTCGAGACATTCACGCCGCGGCAAATGCTGTGTTCAGACATTTCTGAGAGGTCGCACAAGTAGCATGCTGGACGACTCGAGATGCGTGCAGCGATTGATCGTGACCAGGCAAAGACCAGTCTTCCGCATATGTACGGATTATGGCTTGCTGATGACTTCGAAAGCACGCAGTCTGGGCGGCAGAGAGTCTGAACTCTGAAGGAAATTGAATTGATTTGTGCCAGAAAGAGCTGCCCAGACAGCCAAGACTGGCCGTTGGATCGAGGGAAATTTGGCCAAGCGGAAATAGGGGATGATGGGTGCTTTCGAGGTGCTCGGATCTCAGCCTGATTCCTACCCTTGAGGCTTGACTTGGCGTGTGGCTTAACTTGTTGGGTTCTTCATGAGCGCAGTACTGTGCACAGTACTGTAGAGGTCTGTGTCATTCGATGAGATGTGCCGTCGCCGTAGAGCAGTTCGTCTGCCAGGAGTTCAGGTCGGGACGGAGAAACTCGTTCCGAATCTGGGTGCCCAGGGTGCGAGGGTGCGAGGGTGCTACTGTCGGCACTTGTTAGGGGGGTCCCGGGGCAATGGGGAACGGTCCATGTACGCAGTGGTTTGTGTGCTCATGACTAGGAAAGTAATTGGTACATTGATGAGTACGTAAAGCCTGGTGCTGTCTGACTTTGAAGAGTCTCAACAACACATTCTACATGGCAGTACTGTTTGTCCACCTCAAATCATAGCCTCTTGATCATCACCGACAATTGCAGTCAACCACATGATAATACAGTCAATCAACAGAAGTAAACATACCCATTTAGCAAGAAGCGCAGATCAGGAGCCTTCGTAACCACTGTCAGCACCGTCGTCGAGCGCATGATTCACGAGTGCATCTGCCTCGCTGTTCCATTCACGACCCACTCTCCAGAACCGGACTGCCATCTCTTCTTCCATACTGTTGATTGTCGCATGGATCTCACGGATCAGGTCGCCATGCTCCACGGGTGTCCCCTTCCTGGTAACATAGCCGTTCTTCTCCCAGCTCCAAATCCACTCGCTCAGACTCCTTGCGACATAGTCGGAGTCCACCTTCAGGATAACCTCCCGCCATCCGTCGAGCTCGCCCGCCTTCTTCATGCCTTGGACGATACCAAGAGCGTTGCGGACGGCTTCCAGTTCGGCACGGGAACTGGTCTGCGGGACGGCTCGATCAAGCAGCCCCCAGGCGTTGCGTGGGCAGTCTGGTCCAAAATACACTCCCCATGCAGCTCGAGACTTTGGGTCCAAGCGATTGTTGCCGCGAGAGCCACCATCGACCGAGATGACAAGTGTGCGCATGCGTGGTTGCCAGTGAGCGCCCGGGAAGGGGAAGTTGTACAGCCGTGCGTACTTCCACTTGGGACTGTATCTGACCAAGTAGTCAGGATCGAAGGTGATTCGACCATAGCGTCGGGTCTTCCTGGGGTTGAAGTTGCGGCGTGGGCGTGACTGTGCCAGAATTAGCTTGTACTTCTCGTGGACCATGATACCTACGAGATCCATGTCTTAAAGACTGTTGCCGCAGCAGCAAACGAGTGACGATGAGGCTCAGGTACCTGGAGGTAAAAGGAAGAGGCTTTACCTGCGCACGAGAACACCCTTATATCAGGATATCGTCACAGCGTGGGTCGTTTCGCGGGTCGGAAGCAAGCAAACATCAACTCCGAAAGATCAAACATGGTCCAAACATACCGCACAGTAGAGATGCTGCGATGGAAGAGATCAAGCTTCAGAGCCAAAGACAAATATCGCAGAGACCAATTTGGGTCCTTCTTCTTTGTGTTTCGTTGTGGTTGGCTCTTGCAGCGGAAGGGGCTTCCTCCGGATCTACGCACGCAGGGGGCCCTTTCAGGTTCGACCCTGAGGCACTGGAGAGGGCTATTTGACAGCAGTAAACATCCATTGTGGTATCACCAGCGTGCGCCGCTGTTGGGGCATTGCTCTTTGGGGACAATAGTCTCCCATGGCTGTTTGACCACTATCCATCTAGAGAATGAACGTGGTGATTGAAGCAGTTCAAAACGAGATCCATAAGACACCAAAGACATCCCACTGTGACATAGTGATCCTTCTACGCTACACTGCATGACTAAGCAATCCTCCCATTTGCCAGTACATAGTACTAACGTAGCTAAGTTAGCATCCATCTAGTGCTACTACTCTCATTGACGCCAAGCAACCGTTGCAGACTCGCAGACCATCTTCAAATCGACCTCTGGATGCAGTCCGTTTGTTTCGATCCTGCTGCAAGTCGTTGCTCGACAACAAGTCATGATCATCAGACAGTTTTGCGCCCGCCATGGTCGGTCCCCTCTAACCCAGATAACTATCATCATGACTAACCAAGCTCAGGGCGCACAGCATTGTCACAGTCAACTAGGACAGTGACCCGATCCTACGTGAACAGCAGAAACGTGGACGATCCGACGCTACGACAGTCAGAACGAGACCCCAGGCCCCCTCGCACGATCCCAGGTCATCCAGATGAACCCTCCAGCGTCCTCGACACCATCGATCGCCCTCCAACGGCTGCCACGCGCTCCGTCGAAGAAAAACTCGAAGTCCAGAAAAAGTCGATGCAATCTCTCCATGCCGATGTCAATTCGCATATCATGGCTCGCATACAAGCCTTCAACGAACCCGCACCGCTATCGACAACAGAAATCAAGAACAAACCAGCTCCACTCCAAGCACCCGAATCCACAGATACCCTCCCTTTCAAGAACCTCAAAGAACTCAACCGCTACCGCCGGCACACTCAAAAGGAAGCCCGCAAGGGCACGAATCTTACCCAGACCTACGACCCAGCCACCATCCTCCGCAAACCACCCATGCCATCAGATCTCACGCTCCCCATGCTCCTCACGAACCAGACACACCTCGGCCACGCCACACCGCTCTGGAATCCCGCCAACAGCAGCTACATCTTCGGCATAAGAGACGGCATTCACATCATCTCGCTGGACGTTACATACGCGTACCTCCTGCGCGCTGCCAAGGTCGTCCAGGAAGTCGCCCGCCGCGGTGGCATCATCTTGTTTGTCGGCACGCGCAAGGGCATGGAAGAAATCACCGTGAACTCGGCGAAACTAGCGGGCGGCTACCACATTTTCCACCGGTGGGTTCCTGGCTCGCTCACAAACGGCCAGCAGATTCTCGGCGCGTGCGGCGTCAAGGTGGTCGACATCCACGACAGGGACCTCGATGAGTACACCCAGAAATTCTCGCAGGGCAATCACACCGTCATGAGGCCCGATCTGGTGGTCTGCTTAAACCCGATTGAGAATCAGGTCTGTCTGCACGAGTGCGGCCTGTTCAATGTGCCCACAATCGGCGTGATCGATACAGACGCCGACCCGACCTGGGTGACGTATCCTATTCCCGCGAACGACGACTCGTTCCGCTCGATTGCACTGGTCGGCGGGCTGTTGGGCCAGGCCGGTAAAGAAGGGCAGAGACTCAGGAGACTACAGGCCATGCGTGGCGAGACGACATACAGCACCGGTCACCTGGACGACATCTTCGCGTCTCTCGAAGAGATTGCTTCTCTGGACGTGCAGGAGCCGGAGCAGGCCGGTGGTCGAGCATAGGTGTGCAGGCATTACATGTTGTACAAATGTATAATATAGATCTCCAAAATCACTTTGAGCAAGAGGGCATATGCCTAAGAGATGCATAAATGAAGGGTATGGCTCGAAATCAAATCGGCAGTTATGCTCTGATTCACTTCTACGTGCCTTTTCCTAAGCACCATCCTGCCTCCTTTGATATTGAAGGCCATTCCCGAGACTCCTCGGGAAGGGCCAACCATTCATAACTTTGCTTGATTCTTGTTGACCATTTGACAAGGGCCATGGTCATTGCTTCGTTAAACAAATGTACCCGAAGTTCTTCTTCACTCAGCATATGCCCGGTACGCAGCCAAATCTCCCTTCGCACTGATCTCGATCGACACACCTTGTCCGATGAAAAAGATACTTCCCTCGTCCAAGGCAAACTCCTGTCCGTCGACTTTCATTGTCCCGGTCCCACTCGTGACGAACATGGTACTCGGACCCATGACGGGCTTGACCGTCTCGGTCTCTCCACCCTTGAGCTCGGTGACTAGCATGTTGAATTCACTCATCGGCGGCTTGAACTCGGTGGTCTTGCCGGTCTCGCTCTTGTCGCTAGCCTGTCTCTTCAGAATCGGCTCCTGCGGGTCGTGTTGTTTGAACGTCAGGGCCTTGGCGAACAGGTCGACCGAGTCCCGATCGGCCGGTGGACAGAAGCCCGTGTTGAGCACGTTGTTCGAGCGAGCCATGCATTCGACAATGTCACCGGACAAGTATGCATGAATGCCGTCGGCCGGGATGTACAGTGCCTCCCCGGCTTCGAGGACGATGTAGTTCATACAGATCAGCGCGACTAGGTTGCCGTTGTCGGACTTGCCGTACTGGTCCGCCAATCGAGGGATCAAATCGAGAATATATGTCTGTTTCCCAAGGGCGTCTTTTGGTGAATTTTGAAGACCCGACAGCGCAGAACTGACGGCATCTTCGGGTGCTTTGAGCATATTGACACATACTTCGCGCAGTGCGTCGTCGTCGAATTGCCCACCCCGGCTAGGCAGGAATTGCGATAGGGGTTCCAGTCTCAGCAGCTGGTGCACGTCACTGAGCGGCTTGAACCCGACGAAGGCTTCGAATTTGCCCAGCGCGACGGCAATCTCAGGCTTGTGGTTTGGGTCGGTGAATTGGTCCGGGTTTTCTTTGTGCAATTTTTCTGATAATCCTTTATCCGGATGGATCTGGAGAGGGAGGGCTTTGGCAATGGACAGGATCTTGGGCAAAAAGGGCAAGTTGTCGTCGAACTTGTCGAGGACGTTCTTGCCGATCAGCTTCTCCTTGTTGGCATTCAAGATGTCTTGGAGGTTCTCGCCCGTCTTGAGCGAGTAGGACGGTAGTTCGGGGTATGTTCCCATCCACATTTCAGCATAGTTCTTGCCATCATCCAGTTTGAATTCCGGGTTTGTCTTGGAACACAGCCGAGCTGCCAACGATTCTTTCCCAACTTTTCCCCAGGGGTAGTTGTTGCAGTCGCATTTGAGCTGAATCACAGATTCCGACATGGTGGTCGCGGGCAGCGTGTTAGTTAGGGATCGTCGAAGGGCCAGGAAATGGGTGAGATGAGGATGTCTAGACGAGAAACAATGTCAACCAAAAAAACCCAATTTCTCCCTGCGCCATGCAATGTATCCGGAGGAAAGCGCGGCCATCATGATGCATGATGTGATGATGCCTATGACATCAGGCTGTTGAAGATATCGCTGGATCACACGGAAACCAAGCCCGCAGCAATGTGACGAGAGAGACAGTGACTCCATTGATCATGGTGGACACGACATGTCGAATACCCGCAGCCAAGTCACCTTTTGGCTTGACCTGTTCAAAATGCTGGATTCGGTTCAAGTGTGAATCTCGACAACGACTACAAGAAATTAATGTCTGTTGGGAGTTGACGCGGCGAGGCGGTGACTAACTAACTTAACTTGGATCCGGCGACGAAGAGCCGAAAGGTGGAGAGTGGAATCATGAAGATCATGCATGCGCCTTTCCTTCTCATACACAACGACATCCATGTTTTCAATCATTTCCATTCCGTGTCGTGATACATGATCAGCTACCTTAGATGGAGCGTTCGTTCTAAAAAGCAGGATATCTCAACTGATATTCCGAAAGATTGTTGTGTTCAACATTGCCGAATTCATCCATTCCTGGTTCCAGCGCACCTCCAAGGAACTCCTCAAACGATACATCCAGTGCATCAAAATTGATCGCTGACTCCGGGACAGGGCTAGAGTCTCGGGCATCTCGTATGATGTTCTTACCTTTCATCTTCCCCCTTACTGGCCGATTGGTCGGCCTTGCCCCAGTAGAAGCAGAAGCAGAAGCAGCGCGGGCAGACGAAGTCGACGATGATTTGTGAAAACTCCCATAACCAGAGTCTACGGAGGAAGCATTGGAGTGGTTGGCTTTCAACCGTGAAACGCTCTGGACAGAGGTATGCTCCAGGCTATCAAGCCTCACTGGATGGAAGCTGTAAACAGGCGGTTCGGATGGCGCCGCTGTTCCTTGGTTCAAATCTTGCGCCGCCGATCCGAGCCCGGAGTTGAAGTCGAAATTGAAATCACCCGAGATAGCCAGGCCGCGTTCGTCTCCTTGAGTCCAGCTGTGACATTCCTCGTCATACTGGTCATTTTCCGGGTCACCGACTGGAGATATGGGAAAGGTGATATTTGTCGACGGGCGCTCCCGAGCGTGCTGATCAGTCGGAGGCTGCATCGGCTGTGCCGACATGACACGCTCTAGTGTTCTAGCAGGGAACGGCCTGCTGAAGCTTTGGCGATGTCTCGGAAGCAAAAATTGAGCGTCTGAGTCGGGCTGGCTCACAATACCATTTCCATTGACAGGAGAGGGCGGCACGGAGGTCACCGGAGTGAGGGAGATTGAAGCTCGGCGAGTTGCTTCTGATGGCACAGCCGAGTAGGGCGACACTTCGACTGAGGGATTGCCTACGGAAGGGCTAGTGGCAGGTTTCATTCTTTCAAGAACATCTGTCATAGACGATCGCAGTTGCTGCCGTATAAACTCGCGTGCTGCTGGCGATTGAAGCCATGCTTGGTCGGAAGCGCCCACGCATTGGTCAAGACGTGACTCGAATACCTCACCCAGCGCATCCATTGCGTCCTGCTCTGGAACACATGGGCTATGCAGAGATCCTGCTGGTGCGTTGAGGTTATCGGCATATGGGCTGCTTGGTTGAGGTTGATTAGGAAATAGTATGCCATAGATGATATACCAGACTTGTTCTGGCGTATTTGCCGGTCGCTTGCGGCGGATGTCGTTGTATTGTCCGTCGTCGAACTTTTCCGGGTAAGGGCATTCGACCAACGCACAAGGCTGTGACCCTCTAACGTGCTGATCCAGGAGCTCTTTTCGGTCAAATTTGGCATAGCAGCGAACACAATGTGTCCGACGCCAGTGGACACGATACAGATGTTGCTTGAGACGAGATATGTCGGGCCAATAGCCGCTGGCACAGCCGCGGTAGTGTTTTTCTTGGACGTTTCGCTCAGAGTACCTGGCTTTGTCATATTTACAGAATGGGCAAGCGAACAATTTCTCCGGGGATTCAATAGCATCAGGCTCATGCTTCATCTTCTTTGGCGTTCCAGATCCGTTGTCTTCCTTGTCGTCATCAGAGGCGTCCTGACCCTCTCGGTCACTGGGAGAACGTTTTAAGGGTGACCGGTGACCCGAGGTGGTAGAGTTGGTTGGTGACAGTCCAGTTTGGCTGCCGCCTGCTTTGCGCTTGTTGCCGTGCGTCCTGATGTGGCTCCCTACCTGAGATAGATCCTGGAATTGTGCACCAACGCCGATAGACGTTTCGTGCGCTTGCTTTGCCAGAGCCGACTGCAATTCGAGAGCGAAGAGATGTGTCCTCACATTGAGCGCGGCTTCTTGTTCTCTGAGAGAAGCTTGCCGTTCCCGCATCGTGGCTTCCCTCTCTCGGAGGACAATCTCCTTCTCACGGATTGCCACATCTTGCTCACGCCTCCAGACCTCCGTGTTTCTTTCGTGGTTGGGTCTTGAGGGAGAGCTGGCAGACTGATGATGCTTCGGCGCTGAGCGTGTAGAAGCATCATTGGATGCCCAGGGACTTCCAGCAGACATAGTGGCTTGGTGATGGGTATCTGCCAAGCGGCATGTTCCAGCAGGAGATGTCGGCACATTCAGCTCCCCAACGGCTGCCGCGTGTTGCCGTTGCTCAGAGCAATTCGGCTCTCGTTCGATAGAGACAGTTTCTGCTTTTCGCGGTTGAGTTGTACGAGAAACACTTCGTACCTTCTCGGTGATATCATGCCGGCAGCTCCATCCAGCCTGATCGCAAGAAGAACACAACATGCGATCGCCATCCTCGCAAATAGAGCAATGATAGTAAAGCTGATTGAGACGAATTGGGCTCTGGCAATGGTCGCACCTCATCGACCTCGAGTTACTCCTTGATGGTCTTGGGTCCGGCTCGTTGTCCTTGGAGATCAGGCCGCCCTCCTTTTCTCTAGGTGCGGGATTATCCTCCAGCAACACGACGGGCTCATTGTGCTGGGTTCGAGTCGAATCCTGAAAGGGTGTATACTGAGGAAGTTCTGCAGGAAGCTCAGCAATCTCCTTGTCCGACACAGGTTGCATTGGGTTGATATAGTCTCGGAGCTCATCTTTGCTGTCAAAATCAGCAAGCCTCGGAGGATCCGCCTTATCGTTCTTCCTCTGTCGGCTGAGCTTGCCGAGACTGAAGGTCTTGGCTAACTGGGACGCAATACTCTTGGTGCTTTTTGAGCGCACAGGAAGGCTCTGTGCAAGAGTGTGCTCGTTCCTTTTCCGAGCTGCGGCGACCTCAGCAGCTAGAAATGCTCGCCGCATTTGTTCATCTTGCTTCTGTGCTTTTGCCTGCTCTTTCTCTGTCTTTCTGTCCCTTTTCCTCGATTTCTTCAAGATCTTCTGTAGTTTGCGGTGATCACTGAGGGTTTCTACCCTCGCTGGTGGTCTTGGAGGACATGGGTCTTGCGGCTCGTAGTCGAGGCTGGGTTTCCACATAGGGCCGACGCATGGAGGGCTAATTGCAGAGATTGGGGAGCCTCGATACAAGCTCAACGCAGCAGCATCCGCTTCGCGATGTAACGTTGACAGCGAGTTCAAGCTGTTGGATCTCCTCAGCGGACATGGTAGGGCATCGGAAATAGGTTCATCGCTAAGATGGCCCGGTCGACCAGGCACGGTTCGCGTCTTGCGCAACACAGCTCGTTGCAGCGGACCATTCGTATCCGAAGAATGCCATGACTGTTGCGACCGGAGTAGAGCTCTTTGTCTTTGGTCGGCCAATTGAAGTTGTTCTTTGATGTCGTCCGTAGATTCGTCGTGGATGCTGATCCTCGCCCTGATATCAGGCTGGTCCCGGATGCGGGGAGCCAAGGTAGCCATTCTCCTTCAAGCGCGTACACGCGATTCCACAATCAATGGAGGTGGCAAGACAGCGTCTCAAACGTGGCAATTCGAAGGCGAAACCATACGAGAGGAATCGAAACAGCAGGACCGGCCGGCATGAAGGGAGGCAGCCATCTTTTGATCAGCTCGCATGAACTCACACATGTGTTCAATGCAGTTTTCCCGAGACCAAGTGCAACCAGGGTCAGGATGACTGGCGGGGGTCACCGGGGGCTTTCCAGGCTGCCGCTGCAATTGGATGCAGCCAGCCGGTGAGTCTGACTCTGGCCTCGGGTGGCCTTAAGGATTCACCACGCGGGGACCGTGGTAGAAGCCACATACATAGCCACCACCAGTAGCCACAATTCTTCAGCCACAGTTGGGAGGATTCTGCCTTGCCAACCTGCTAGTTAGACCCGGATCATGGTTAGCACCATCATCCTGGCACCATCAGCACTATCTGACAAAGCAACATCCAGCCGTGGTTGACGTGCTTGCTTCGATCGATGAGACAAGACAATTTGCTCATCCCCGGTGCGTCCTTAAAGCGTGCCCACCATTCAATCGACCTCAGTGTCAGTTGGTTAAGGACTCTTCAGCCATGGAGACTGCTGCAAAGCGCTTCTTCTCATCCCCGTATTTCGCGGTTGTTGGCGCAAGTCAAGACAAGAGCAAGTTCGGGTATCGGAGTGAGTACATTTCCGTTCCTCAGGCCGGCAAGGAGTGGATTTTGAACCCCAAAATCGTGTAGTACTGGCATGGTATCATGTCCATTCGCTTCCCGTCACGCCCATCAACCCTGGTCGACCATCAATAGCTTTGCCGTCAAAGGAGTACGACACTGTACCCTCAGTTTTGGCCTTGCCGAATCCGACTCAAACAGCCCTGTCATTCTTGACTCCTCCATCGGTCACCAGGAGAGTTTTGGAAGAAGCCAAATCCGCCGGAGTCCGAGCTGTTTGGCTTCAACCAGGGAGCTTCGACGACCGGGATCTGAAATATGCGAAGGAGAATTTTGAGTCAGCGGTGGGAGGCTTTGAGCCAGGAACAGTGGGTGGAGAAGGTTGGTGTGTGCTTGTCGATGGGGAGAACGCGATGGCCGCAGCAGGCAGGAAATTTGTGAGGCAGAAATTATGAAGATTGGGACCGAGTCTATGGACTATTGACTTACCCTCCTCCTGTTTGAAACAGACACTCTGATGACTCCAGGTTGGTGAAGTAACTGCCGCCGGCCCTGGACCTCTGGAGCCCACCAGTGTCTTCATCATTCCGAAACGCTCTTACGGTGTCCAAACCTCATGTTATCTAGAGCATCGCCTTCCTCCACTGTCGCCACTCCTCCTTCGACTCTCGCATTGCTCAACTCGGCCTCCGTGATGGTCTTGATCGGCCCTTCGAACCAATGCCTCCCACCCCATCGAGGGAAGAACCATCCGCCCAAGCTGACGATAGAAATGATCCCAATACAAATCGGTGCATAGTTCAACGTCTCGGAATTGACCGGATATAGCTGCGGCAAGAGCAGAACCACAAAGAGGAACGAAATATATAAGGTGGCGATCGTGGCCAAGGGTGCCGAAAACTTGCCCAGATTCCACTTTGCAGGGACAAAGCTCTTGCGACCTACAGTCTGCCGGGCGACGATTGGGAAGAGGTAAGAGAAGTTGGTGGAAATGGTGGCGGTGGCAGTAATTGCAGAAAAAGCCACGGTTGAGCCGATGACGGCCGTCGTTACCACAATCGAGATCCCACACACCAGCAGCGCAGCATTGACGGCCATCTTTCGCTTCGATAGTTTTCTAAAGAAACTGCTGAAGGGAAGTACATGGTCCCGGGAGATCGCATAAGTGACTCGCTGTGCTGACATGAAGCATGATGCAGTCGCACACGTCGAGTCAACCCAGAGGAGTGAAAGAATGGCCACTGCACCATTTTCTCCCACGGTTTGAATCAGATACTCGGCCCAGTTGTTTGCGTAGGTAGCACCTATGATGCCATCAAAGTCCTGCATGCAGAACAAGACCAGAATGAGTGTCGGTACTGACAGGATCCATGCTGAAAAGGTGGACATCCAGATGCCCTTGGCGACCACAGTGGATGCTTGTTTCGTTTCTTCGGCCAAATGAGCAGAAGCATCTACATATCGTCAGAATTGTTTCCATTTAGCAAGAATCAGTCAGAAGGCTGTTCGATACACGCACAAGCTCGTTGGGACGGGATTTCTTACCATAGCCGTAGAAGACCCATGCGCCGAAGAGAACTGAGATTACCCAGCAGTATGCGTCGGAAGCTTCCTTCTCCGCTCCCAGGTTGATACCATTGTAAAATAGGTCAAACACCCCATGACTGCTGTTGAAATGCTTTTTAGAAGCTTCGATTGGGAACCAGATCCAGTACATGAAGAAGAGGGAGAAGAAGATGGCCATGGCGAATCGGAAATACCATTGCAGTAGCCTAGGACTGTAGATGTTTGGGATCATGGCGAAGATCATGCCGATACTGGTAAGAAGCCATAGGAACCTGTTGGTTGTGTAAGCTGGTAACGACCTCAGAAACTCCTTAATGCAGGCACCGCGGGGGTGCTTACCAGCCTTTGGACAGGACTTCTGCATTCGGATATTTGATCATCAGAGCCGAGACCAGGAACTGTCGATGGTCAGAAAGCTTTAAGGGCGCTGGCAGTAACAAAGCACAAGACTTGTTCTTGACTGCAAGAATCTTTAAAACAGCAGACTGAGTACTTACGTTTGTCGAGCCTTGTTGCACCCCAGGCACCACAGTGACCCAGCCTGCCCACTACAAGTCGTCAGCAACATTGTCTTAGTAGTACAGAAGTACAGAAGCAGTAGGGCAAGAGAGCAAGTCCTTGCGGAAAGGGCCCAGCATGACTTACATTCCACCAGGCAGTCATCCAGCTCAAGAACGGTCCGTACTTTTCTCCTCCCAGGCGATAACTCCAGAAATAAATGCCACCAGTGGTAGGTAGAGCGGCGCCCAATTCAGCCATAACCAAGCTGACGATGCATGAGAAGCCGCCGACCATCGTCCAGTTGGCAAAGGCAGCCTTTGGACCTCCCGTGTACATCACCCAGCCAAAGAGAACTGGAATGCCCGAAATAAAATTCATCGAGGTAAACGTCGCCGCGATAGACTCGAACAAGCCCAAGCATCGAACGAACTCTTGCTTGTAGCCTAGGGTAGCCAGGTGGTACTCATCATGGGTGAGGACAAGTCCTGTGTCGGTGGTTGTACCATCTTTGACCGAGATAGTATCAGCTGGGGAAGCATTCGTGTTCTTGACATCCGCCTGCGAAGGATCTTTCTCGACGACTGAAGCCATGTTCACAAATCGACGCAGGCACCCAGCAGATGAATGATGAGAAAGAGAAATGTCCCAGCTGTTTGGAATGCGGCCACTCCAACGTGTCTGCCATCTCGGACTTCTGCACTAGCCAAAGCGTACCTTGCTGCAATGTTGCGGCTGAGTGGGAGGGCCGTTATCTTGGGAGAGTGAAGGATGGTCACTCGTGGCAAGCTTGCGGGCGTGCACTATACCGCTTCAGGTGCGACAACGCGGAGGAAGGCCTCGAAGGGGAGCTTAGCAGAGGAGCGGGCTGGGTCTTATCAAGCTTGATCATCGAGACTTCAAAGCAAGCCGAGGACTGGACAAAGGTTGAACCCAGCTTTCGAGATTCGATGACTTTTATTGGATATTGCAGAGCCTCGATGGTCGGGGCCGTGTCCACGTCTCTAAATGCTAGTCCTGCAGCATCCTGCAGAGAACCCCTCGACTGGTCCGAGAAGCTTGATCGCCACGTGAAGACTGGTCTCCTTGCTTGCATCCCTGCAAGGGTCACCGACCTTCAAGGCCAGCATATAGCGTATATGTGGGAGGACAAGGGCACGTATAGACCTGCGAGCAATATGGCTATGATAAGAGTGTGCAGGCAGCAGAACTTGTTGGGGATATGAGCAACAGGAGAGGTACTGAATTATCGAGAACTTTTCGATACAAGGCCTACATTTCAACATCATCAAACAAGTACCAGTTTTCCGATGTACATATCAAGCACGGACACTCCACGGCGACCCGGCAGTCACATTTATCTGCCCGTCTTCTTCCTCTCATACCATCTGCATATCGGGTAGACAATCAGGGTAATGACGCCAGACAAGTAAATACCCACGTCGCCGCCGTATGGTCCAAAATAACGAGCGATGGGACCGACATACTAGAAAATGCGTTAGCCTATAGTCAGAAACTGAGGATTCTGGAGAGTTAAACTTACCCAGACTTGAGACATCCCAGTGACACCACCAGCCAGATAACCGGAAAGCAGGGCAAGGACGGCAGCGATACCCAGCGGCAATTTAGACGGCTGATCCCAGGCCTCCAGGTTGTAACCTTCACCAGAACGCTTGCGGAACCATTGATCTTCGATCAGGAGAATGAAGGTAAAAGAGATCGTCCAATAGCCTAGCAGGGATACGAAATCAGAGACAATGGCTGAGAGATGGTCCTTTCCGGCGATGGCGAGGACAGCAACCACTAGAGCGACCAAGAAAGACCAGATGAATCTCGGGACGGCATGGAAATAATGGCCAAGTAGTTGCAGAGAAAGGCCTGAGGAGTAGTTGATAGCGATGTTGTTACCCAGGACGCTGAATGTGAGGATAACCAGACAGAACTTGCTCCAACCAATGGGGTGGTAAATTACGAGCAAAAGACCACCAAGGCTGTGGTTCTCGTATGCGTCAGCGTATGGAGGATAGGCGTTCAGCAGAGCAGCATTCCCGATGCAGGCACCTATAACGGTTACAAAAACCGTGGGAATGGTCACACCCCATAGTGTGAGGGCGTAGATCTTCCAGCTCTTTGTGGTAGCAGGGTAATTGCAGTAGTAATCGGCGGCCATCGAACACCACCCGGAGGAGCTGGAGAAGCAGATTGCCATGAAGCTGAGCCACGAGCCGGCGACTTCAAGATTTGTGCCAAAGCCTGGGGCTGAGGGTCCGACGTGCGGTGCCGCTTGACCGATCAAGACGCACAGCAGAATGAAGCACACAATCCAGCTGTATTTCTCAAAGGTGTGGATGATCGCAAAGCCGAAGACGGAAACCACATAAGACACAACAGCAACAATCACACAACCGACTGCAATGGTCATGGTATAATCGCTGACTGCTGACAACATTTGTCCAGTGATGACCACGTTGACGACGGCAAAGCCACCTCCAATGATCACGTTCAGAACACTGCAGAGCTTCGCGCCCCAGAAACCGAAAGAGTATCTTGAGATGGCGATTTGCCGCAAGCCAGTCTTGGGTCCCAAAGTACCAGTGTATGCAGTACAAAGTGCACCGAGGAACGTGCCAACGACGATTGCCGCGACGGACTGTCCCAATGTCAGACCGAACTCGGGTCCCAACACACCCAATGGAAGAGTGCCGACGTGGCAAGTCATTGACCACCACATGAAGAAAGTGTTGATGAGATGAGGAGGTCGTTTCATGTCTTCAGGAATTCGGTCGATACCTTGGGTTTCGATGCCCATCTTTTCATCCATCCACAGCTCGCCTTTGCTCAGCCAACGCAGTGGTGCGATCGAATTCTGGATTTCGCGAGCTCGTGCGATCTCGTAGGCAGGAGTGACACTGCCGCGGCGGATTTCACCGTCATTCGAGGTGCTAATGCCGGGCTGCTTCTCAACGTCGACGACATCTTTGGAGGTAAGGGAGGAACTTGCAGGCTGCGCGGATGCCATGACTGTCGATATGGCTGCTCGTGTGCCTGGGGACGGATTGTTTAAGCTATGAGGAGCGAAGGGTCACACAGACTGGCAGAGAGGGAGGAAAGGTTACCTCGCAGCGATCGCGTCCATTGATATACATTGGCGCAAGATAACCAGGACATCGATACACGAGCCTACCGGAGCCTCGAATCTCGAGCATATCCGTCCCAGGTCAAGGGTGCAAAGGACCGGGCGGGCGCGCCCCAAGATCGATGTGACGCTGCAGGTGCCCACATGGATGATCTCAAGCATGTTAGCGAGTGAAGAACGCGGAGGCAGCCGATGGTTGTGCTTCCAGACGGCCAGCGTAGGAATCTGTAGCGAGGTTTGATAAGGACGGACCATTCAAAAGCCAGGCATTAATCGAGACGCGCCACATCTTTGAGGCCCTAGTTCGCGGGTGTCATCCTGCGTTGGGAAGGTCACCGATGGCAGACTGAGATATGGCCAGGTATGGATGGGATAGGTCAATGTTGATTTCAGCTGTGAAGAGCTGGGACGATCGTGGATGGCTTCTGGAAGCCTGACGATGCCTGTTTGGTGGACATCCCGATCAAGACCGGCCATATCGTAGGTATAAGACAGGAAGCAAGATTCAGGATGCTCACAAATTCATCGCCATTCGAGTCTGTTCAGGCGCCTTGGCGTGACCATCAAGCACCGTCAAGCACATCAAGCACATCAAGCAGTCTCGGCGATTGCTTGACAGCCTCCTCAAGACGACGCCAAAAAGCGCATCTTGACCTCTAGTTGGGCTTTGATCGATGATGGCGCTGTTTTTTCCTTTTGCTAAGCTGTGTTTCTGCTTTCGATGTTGAACCTGGAAGATGAGGAATTCGGCCAACACCGAATCCGCCACCATTAACAGTAGTAAGAAGGAACTACCGTACTATGGTACTTAGTCCCGGTGGCGAGTGCCCTTAGGGAGCAATGCTTCAGCTAGCCTTATCTTTGGCTTTGCATCACTCCATATCTTTAGCAACAAGATTCCATGTCGCTGTTCGTTATCAGCAGGCGGCTTGCCCGAAGCATTAGTATTCATGTCAGCACCCAATCTGATTGCTTCGAACCCTTTGAGATCTCAAAGGTCATTTCTATTGTTGCTGTCTGTTCCCTGTCTTTAATACAGATAGGCAATTCTATTCGTCACTCCAAGCAAATACCATGAGCGATAATATCCCAATCATCGACTTCGAGCAGGTGACTGTCTCTCCCAAAGCGGTGGCATACGAGCTGCTCCATGCATGCGCCGACTGGGGTATGTTGCGCCGCCCTACGGCGGCCCACGTGGACCACTGTCTCATGCAACTTGGTTTTTGAGAAAATCGATCATTGCACCACCAGCACATCCATGGAACATCGACTTAACCTTTTACATATTGATTTGTATGTCAGATTGAAGGGCTGCATCTCAGGAATCTAGTTACTATGGGGTATTTCTAGATCTGACGCTATCCTGTTGTACGTCGACAGTCTAAAATCTACCTCTTTGAGTGAGAGTTCTTTTATCTTTTTGATATTTCGAGTGCCAAGACCATCGCCTATAAGCTCTTAACTAAAGACGCCTAAAATTTAGGCTATCTCACTACCTAAGATACCTATAAGTTTAGACGTCTTTAGTTAAGAGCTTATAGGCGATAGTCTTGGCACTCGAAATATCAAAAAAAAAGAACTCTCACTTAAAGAGGTAGATTTTAGACTGTCAGCGCACATTAAGACAGCGTTAAATCTAGAAATGCCCCATAGTAACTAGATTCCTGAGATGCAGCCCTTCAATCTGATATACAGATCAATATATAAAAGGTCGAGTCGATATTACGCATTGTGGCAGTGTTGGTGCAATGATCGATTTTCTCAAAAACCAAGTTGCATGAGACAGTGGTCCACGTGGGCCGCCGTACGCCCCCACAAAGAGGTCCCAGCATATCCCATGTGCTGACAGGTCGGCCTTAGGCTTCTTCTACGTCAAGAACCATCCTATACCTCAAGAGGCTGTCGATGGTATATTCGATCTTGTAAGTTTGTTGTATGCATAGTGTCCTGCATTCCACGTCGTCAGTGACATACCATAATTCTCTAAGGCTACCAATGAGCTTTGGTCTTCGTGATGGAACTGTCTGGCGTGCTAGCCGTGCCTTGGTAGTAGGAGCGAATGCTGGAAAGTAGTATCAAGGTTGCGGCGTCATTGTTTCCACAAGGCTATGAGCACATATGAAGCCCACAGTCGTCGAGGATGATTGACCTCTTATTGGGCTTTCCGTGATCCAAGCCTTGTCATCTTCACTTTACCTCCATCTTGCTAACTTAGTCCAGGAGGGGCAATTCTTTGCACAACCACTCTCAACCAAGCTTCAGGCACCATATATACCTGCCAAAAATGCCGGCTTCAAACCCGCCAGCTCCAATGGGTAAGCACCGATCATTTCTTTCTTCACGAACCTTTTCCTGAGCGCAGCATCACAGCGCCAACGGCGTCTTCAAGGACCCCCGGGAAGCATTCAGTATCAACAAGTGGCCAACCCCAACCCACGCCTCGTCCGCCGCACTCTCACCCATTCTCGATGAAGCTCGCCCCCAGATCCAGTCATTTCAAAAGCGGGTGCAAGGATTCACCAATCGCCTCCTCGAGATGATCGCACTCGCTCTCGACCTGCCCTTGAACCAATTTACATCTCAGCACGACCCTCTTGTCGAGAACTTTGACAATTTCGAACTGATGCACTACCCGCCTATCACGCCCTCGTCCGAGGACACCACGAAATTTCGCATCTCTCCACATACCGATTGGGGCACCTTAACTCTGCTCTTCCAACAGTCGATAGGCGGCCTACAGGTCCGGCCCCCACACTATACGTCGCCGGAGCTCGACCTGGACGATGAGATATGGACGTCCGCGCCCGTCTTCAATGACATGGTCTTGGTCAACATTGGAGATATGCTTGAATTCTGGACCGCGGGCGCGCTGAAGTCCACCTGGCACCGCGTCGTGCCCACGGCTCTGCACGGCTGCGTGGACAGATACACATTTGCATACTTTTTACACCCGAACAAAAATGCGGTGCTGGTGCCCATTGAGGCGATGAAAAGGGATGGGTGGGTACCACGATTTGCGGGTATAGGGAGGACGGCGGAAGAGCATATCCATGCGAGGATCACCGGTGTGCATGGGCGGAGAGAGGAGGCAGATAAAGGCGAGGTTGGGAAAGGGGTACAGAGTGTGGTTGTAAAGGAAGTGGTGGTACAGCCGGTTTGCAAGGAATGGGCCGATTCTGGTAGATGCGAGATTTAGATACGAAGACGGCGAACTTTGAAACATCGGAACTCGTGACTCACACAACACGATCTTACTGGTTGCTCAAACGGTGAAACATAGTCCTTCGTTACTAACCTGGTGGTGGCATGGCCATGAGATGGAACGATCGTGGGGGTAGATGTGAGAGCCAGAGTAGAAGCAAAGCCGACTATCGAATTAGCAACATTACTACGTAGTAACACTCGCAGTGTGTGTTCAGATGAAACACAAACGAACCTAACATTTAATCACGGGCAGTAAACATAACATGATTGTAAAGCGCTAAAATAGCAAGGGTATCATTCATACCAATAACGCCCGCCCGGCCGGAAGTCTTCAGCTTCCCAATTTGCACAGCGAATATGGAGTATCGAAGTATGTTGACGAGATAGGATATAAATGTCGGCAAATGATCCTCGCGTCATGGCCGGGAAACGGGGCCAGTTATCATATGACAAGCGAAGTGCAAGGGTATAGCGCAACGTCAATGTGGCGAGTGCCTTCGCCGTATACCCAAAACAAATTGCCGAACCGTCTTGGGGCACATTCAGTGCATGCACGCGGTCGTTCTGGTGGTGAGAGCCAGCAAAGCGTGATGGGTTGGAGGCTTCGTATCAACGAATTGAACGATTTCCTTTGGGAATGTGAACGGCGTTGGACCTTTCCGGCAATTCTGTCTCCTGCCAGCAACGGCGAGCCCTTTGGGTGCCACAGCTGTAAAATTAACCTCGCAGTTTTCGCAGAGTTGAGGAGACTTTATCGAGGTAAAGATGCGGTCGCTTTGATGTTATACGTTTGCGGAAGGAGCCTTCGGATTCTGGCGCCGATGCGGCCTCTTGGAACAAGACGATCTGTTTGGCTTGCCATGTCGACCACCGATCTTGTTGTATGCGCATTTGCTTTGTGATTTTGTCGTGCATCTCCGAAGTCGAAGAGCTTGTGATCGAGTCTGAGGTCGAGCGAGCGAGGCCATAGGTAGGTCTTTCGGCTGCGTTATTGGAAGACATTGGGCTTGGTATAGCAACGGAAAGCTTGTCAGTGTTCTGGAAGCCTTGCAGAAGGTAGAGATTGTCTTGGAGGTGACTTCCAGACCCGGAGCGGCAATGCCATCTATATCTCTTTTCACATGAGACTGGGGTCGATACCAATTTGTGTGCGCAGGCCTTTGTATCGGTTGCCGAGCAAATTCCCGTCACGCTGATTGCAACACTGGAGAGGGGTTATCTATACATGAGTATTGCCAATCACAATCGAGTCTCCTGGCGATAGGCGACGTAGGCTAAATGTTTGGGTGTTCATTGCACGCAATGTCAAGACACCACGAAGAAAAGGAGACGGAAAGTTCGGACCTGCATACTGGTCAGGGCTTGCATGATCGATCCCGGCCTTACCTCCGGCATGGCCCTATGTAGGGGGTGTAGCGAGACCATACTCCGTAGTACTTGTAGCCCACACACGCCGACCCGTGCTCTGGCAGCGAAAGATTCCGAGAAAATTCCTGGGTGTTACTGACATGTCTCCGCCATGCAATCATAGCTCGTGACTTCGCTGGTAGGACTCTGTAGAATGCGCGAATAATGGACATTTTCGGTCTACGCAGATAGCCTGAAGATGCATAGATATCATTTATTAATGTCGGGAGATAGAGGGTGCTCCGTCAGGAGACAAATGCTCCCAACCTTGACATTTCGTGTGGTATCCGGGATCTGGCACAACGTTGTACCCTGGAATGAAACGAATTCTGACCAGTCATCGAGATGGACGTCTTCTTCCGAATCATGCCCAAGAGAGAGCAGAAGGTCCTCCGGGTATGCATTGCGATAGCCAATGCTATTTTCATGTTGGGAGCTAGGAAAGGAGGTCGTTCGTCTCCATGATGACCATGGACAATCACAGACAATGAAGGACTCAACATCGGGGCTCTGATCCTCCGTACCCCATGGCCTACAGTACTCCGTAGTGGCCTTGTTATTCTGTCCTGCGTTGGCTGGGTGACGGAGGCCGCCTAATCGACGGGGATGCAGAGACGTGGATCAAGCCCCGAGGTGTCAACAAGTGCACACACCATCTGCTTCAGGAGAGCCTTATCTTTCTCCCACCGCACTCGAATATCTCAAAACCAAGCCTCCGCCTTTGCACAAGAACAGCGCCTGACTCACGGACATTGTATTTTGGATTGGAAGTAAAAGGCGGTCACTCTTATTCACTATGGTGAGTTCCATGCGTTCATTCGTCCAATGGTATTTCGGCTTCGGGTCGTGGAGGGCAAGAAGAAAGGATGCTCCCGACGCCAATGGAAACCGTCTCACAGACACAAACATCTTTCACCCCTCAAGAGAAAATCGCGCCGGCATCGACCTCTACGCTTCTTAAATCGTCCCTTTACAACCTCATGATCCATAATGGCTAACTCACAAACCGCCTCGCAGACTTCTACCAACTACAAAGAAGCCTTTTCCCTGTACGACAAGCGTGGCAATGGCCGTGTCTCTCTCGAATCGCTTGGCGATCTTCTCCGAGCCTGCGGGCAGAACCCGACTCTTGCAGAAATCAGAGAATTAGAGAAACAAGTAGGAGGTGACTGTAAGTAACTTTCAGCCCCCACGGAAAAGGACAGAACTGACAGGCCTACAGTCGACTTCGACTCATTCAGCAAAGTCCTCAACCGACCGGGCGGCTTCAGAGATCCTGGCGAGCCAGAAGAATATTGCCGCGGCTTCCAGGTGTTCGATAAAGACATGACGGGCTTCATTGGTGTGGGTCAACTCAGATATATTCTTACAAACCTGGGCGAGAAGATGAGCGATGAAGAGGTTGATGAATTGTTGAAGGCTGTCGACACGAGCAGCGGGGAGATCAACTACATGGAATTGGTCCGCACCATTCTTGCTAATTGAGGTTCTGTCTACGCGCATATGGAAAGTTGGAGCGTCTCTTGATCACGAGTGTATGGTGTTATGGCATGCAAAGCAATTCATTGCTTGGTGGCTGCGTTGGCTCTGGCGCAAATTGTCTAGGGTTGGTTCTTCACAAACGGCACCACGGTGTTGACACAGGCATATACCTGTGATTCAGTCCCACGGATACCGGGGAAGCAGATACAATTCCTTCAACGTGTCTTGTGTGTCTGAATACTTCTGCTCATGCACTCTGTGCCCAGGATGGTGTGTCCGGTTTGACTCCCTTGCTCATGTCTCCGGTCGTTACGAGTCCTCCAGGGAGCAGATACACAGGCTCTGCCGGTTTCTCTGCATTTGTCGAGTGTGCCCCTTCAAGACTGAAACCAAGCGGGAGCTTGCATCTTCCACACCTCAGTAACCTTCTCTTCTCGAACCCATCCTCGCGCCGAATGACGACAGCTTTGCGTTCGAGCACAGTGTTTAGCAAAACAGATTCAGCAGGTCGGTCGCTCGTTATCGACAGCTCATTGGAATTGTTGATATCGATGGGAGGAGGAAGGATCAAAGCATCGTCCCGGACTGGTTCAGTGCGGTGAGGAAGATATTGGAGGTCATGCACCGTAGCAAGAATGAGTGTACTGCATAGACAATGGTATGAATTGACCCGCGGGCTCGATGAAGTTGCCGCCTCGGCCATGTGAAGCACAAATAAATATCTCTGTGCGAGGATCTTGTGATTCGTGAAGCCACCAGATTTTCAGGCACCGCAGTCCCGAGAGATGAACCCCTGCATCCCCCACAGAGCCAAATCTTTGGGCGCCGCGTAGCGGGATAAATGCCTGCGCTGACTCACAGTTAAGCGACGTCACCACTTGCGACTGGACATCCTTGCGTAGATTGGAAAGACCACAGTGAGGATCGCGGCGAAAGCGACGACTTCTTTCTGCCACTCGAAGCTTCTGTTCCGTCTCGACTACTAGATGTCAGGCTTGCGACCGCTCATGCCTCGCAGAACCATCCGTAATGCCACCCTTCCTTCCTCGAAAGCGTTCAACGCCACCTGCCTCTCCTCGTCCTACTCCGGTGAAGAAGGCCAGACTCGCAGATGTTCTGGACGCTGAGTCAAGAAACATTCCCGGTCTTCAAAAATCACAAACTTTTTCTCTCGGGAGCGATGACTCCGACTCGAGCCTGAGCGATGTCGATAGTGACGAGTTCGAAGACGTCTCTGCTACAGTCAACCTGCCCCAGTCTACATTCCAAGAGGAGGACGATGATGATGAGGATATAGAGTGGGAGGATGCGGGCGCAGATAGTAAGCCTGCTGTAAGCCCAGCACATGCTCCTCTGGCCGATGGCCCTATCGAATTGGTTTTTCGGAAGGACGATAACGAGATCGACTATGGCACAGGAGCCGCGGCTACCTCCGGCAAGAAAGGGCCTACTAAACGCGAAAAAGAGGTCAGGGTGAGGACACATCAAATGCATGTCCAACTGCTATTGTGGCACAACTCCATACGGAACAGATGGATCTCGGACCGGACGGTGCAGCAGACCCTAGTCAATCAATTGCCACCGCAGATAAAGAAGGAAGTTGAGAAATGGAGGCGAGCCAGTGGACTAGTCGTCCCGGCGTCAGAATCTAAGGCGCAGCGTGAGACAAGCAAAGGACGTAGGAAAGGCAAGAGAGCAGCGGATCCTCGTCAAGAAAGAGATTGGGGAAGGCCGAGTCAACGTCTCGAGAAGGGCAAACCTGATATGAGCAACGGCGACCCCTTGATTTCTCTGTTGAAAGTCCTAGCTGCGTACTGGAAAAAGCGCTTTGCAATCACGGCTCCCGGCCTGAGGAAGCGTGGCTATGGAACCAAACAAGCATTAAAACAGATCATCTACTCCTTTAGGAATGACGAGCACGACCCTGAACTACACGGTGAGCGCATTCGCGATATCCAGGAATTTCGTCAAGTCGCTAGGACATGCGAGGGTTCGAGGGACGTGGGAGCTCAACTTTTCGCGGCGCTATTGAGAGGGCTAGGAATCGAGTCGCGGCTAGTAGCGAGTCTACAACCAACTGGATTCGGCTGGACTAAGGCAGAGCAGCAGCTACCACGAAAACCTACGACCGCTGCGGAAGTTGCTTCATCGTCTGAAGAGTCAGATCTGGATGACTCCAAATCTATATCCGAGATCACAAAGGCCAAAAGTCAGCCGAAACGTGTAGCTGCCACTGCATCATGGAGGAGGAAAGGTACAACAAGTAACCCTATCGATCTTGACTCCGATGTGAAGGAAGCAGTGGCGGATGTGGACTTGGAAGAGGACGACTCTGTGGTGGACGTCACTCCCTCAGTGCCAAAAAAGCGCCCAGCAAAGTACGATCGCGACAACCCCTTTCCCATCTACTGGACGGAGGCAATATCGCCGATCACCAACAGAGTACTGCCAGTCTCTCCGCTTGTTCTAGCTAATCCAGTTGCCTCGACGCCAGAAATATTGGCCACATTCGAGCCTCGTGGTGCCAAAGCCGATAAGACAAAGACTGTCATGGCGTACGTTATGGCTTACTCTTCGGATGGCACGGCGAAAGATGTCACAGTCAGATATCTCAAGAAGAGAATATGGCCGGGTAAGACAAAGGGCTTCCGCTTTCCGGTCGAAAAGATTGCTGTATACAACAAGCATGGCAAGGTCAAGCGATATGAAGACTATGATTGGTTCAGACGCGTTATGAGTGGCTACGACAGACCAGATCTATTGAGAACAGCAGTTGATGATATCGAAGACTCGTCTGATCTTGTCCCACAGCATCCCGAGAAGAAGGAAGTCAAGGATGACGTGGACACTCTACAGAGTCTCAAGGCATCCGCTGACTTTGTTCTTGAACGGTTCTTGAGACGCGAAGAAGCACTCAGACCCGGCGCCGAACCTGACAGGACGTTCATCTCTGGGAAAGGCGACAACCTCAAAGAAGAACCAGTCTATCGTCGTGCCGACGTTGTGAGATGCTTGACCGCCGAATCATGGCACAAAGAAGGGCGCAGACCCAAGGCAGGCGAGACGCCATTGAAGCTCGTGCCGGTACGAGCAGTGACTCTTACCAGGAAGCGTGAAGCCGAGGATCATCAAAGACGTACTGGAGAGAAGCAGATGCAAGGCCTTTACTCGTGGGAACAAACCGAGTATATCATCCCTCCTCCCATCGAGAACGGTATCATACCTAAAAATGCTTACGGCAATATTGACTGCTTCGTGCCGAGTATGGTGCCACAAGGAGCTGTCCATGTACCACTAAGAGGCACCGTTAGAATTTGCAAGAAGCTCGAGATTGACTTCGCGGAAGCCGTTACTGGGTTTGAGTTCGGCAACAAAATGGCAGTCCCTGTCATCACTGGTGTGGTGGTAGCCAAGGAGCATGAGAAGGCTCTCGTTGAGGCTTGGACAGAGTACAATGAGCAGCAGAGAAAGAAGGAAGAGTCGAAGATGGAAAAGCTGGTCCTGGACCTATGGCGAAAGTTTGTCATGGGCCTTAGAATTAGAGAGCGCGTCAATGATACCTACGGAGACGCGGTAGATGATTCCAAAACCGCTGCTGGAGAAAGTTGGGATCAGCCTGTCAATCTCGACGATGACGAGGATATGCCAGGAGCATCTCTGCCACTCGCTGCTGACGATGATTTTGGGGGTGGATTCATTCTTGATGATGAAGAGCTGGCAGTACCTGAAGATCTGGAGATGGTGCACCAGGATGATCCACCTGAGGCGAGCGAGTTCAAGGGCAAAGCGCGAGAGGAAGCAGAATATCCGACCCCTGCCTCGATTTCTCCTTCAAAAGCGATTGGAGGAAGGCAGCGAAAGCCGTCGTTGCGAGAGCTTGAGGACAACGCCAGCTCAGATCTCTCATCCGCCCCAGTTGATGACGAATTTGGGTGGTACGGCAATGAGAATCACGAGGCTAGTAAGTACGAACAGGAAGTGCTTTCAATGCCGAATGGGAATGGCGAGATCTCTGTGCTAGTCCCTCAACGAAGCCGCGCTCACCCTTCTGGGTTTACTGTACGGAACTCGCCTCAGATAAGTCGACATGCTAAATCCGAAGATTCAGCATCATCGTCGGACAACAATGAAGACGAGGAGGATGATTACAAACCAGCAAAAGCGGCGAGGCGCAAAGCTGGCATTGGAAGTGCCTCAGGGCCGAAGCCACAGCGAAGAACAAGTACAAGAGCGACGAAATTGAAGTCCCGAGCCAAAGCTCGTGCAGAACTGGACACCAGCGAGGATGAGGAAGACGAGGTTGTGACACCTCCGACCAAGCGATCGAGTCGTCGGTTAAGGAGGGACAGCACTCTGGTCACCAGCCCGTACTTTGAAGGATGAGATAGCTGTTGATGCTTATTGATACCCATTGTGCGACTGCTAGGCACAATTGTTTCAAAATTATTCCCTTAATCTGTAACGTCGTCACCGTCTTCGTCCAAGTCTTCGCCGTCGGTGTCTTCGCCAGCATCGAGAATCTCCTGCCCAGCAAACACCAGCCACTGCCCACCAAGCACGCTCCTACGCCATAGCTTTGTGACTCCATCCGAACCACTGCTCATCAATACTTGGCCCTGTCCATCAAATGATACGGACCACGCATCTGTGTGCGCACTTGGTAGACTCATTGTCGAGTGGATGCTCGTGGCGAAAGGGAAGACATGGCCGGTCCGCGCAGCCCGCGAAGGTGTCGGTGCTGGCGCAGACAGTGTCGGCGTGCTCGTACTTGACCCTCGCCCTGTCAGCCCCGACGTGAGGCTTGACTGCTGCTGTTGCTGCTGTCTTTGCGCCGATATAGTCTGCACACTTTTCGCTGCTGCTGCGGCATCTGTCCTGGCTCCACCAGATGCCTCGGCGACATTTAGTTCGAAAATCCGTATCGTCCCGTCCTTGCACGCCGTCGCGATCCGGTCTGTCCCTTGCACGCTGAACGGCGCCCACGCCACGTCGCGCACGAGTGCTGGGTGCCGCGGCAGTCTCGCGGCCTCGAAAAACATTACCCGGTGAGTTGCGCGGTCGGTCGCAGAGAAGTCTCCACCGGGCACGACGGACCTATAGATTTTGACCTCGTTGAGCACGCTGACCACCAGACTCAGCTGCGCGCGGTCGTCGGAGAGACTGTTGATGTACGCGAGTGGAGTCGGGTTTTGGTCCCAGCGGACTTTGAAGCTGGTCTCGTCGCCACGGCCGGGCGGCGTCGAGCCGCATACGTTGAACGTATCGATGAGCGACCACTCCTTGAGCTCGTCTGGGTTGGTGGGCTCGTAGATACTCAACAGGCCTTGCCGATCGATCAATGCGAGCGTGGTGTAGACGTTGTCGGTGGTCTTGAGGTCGAGGGACACGAAGGGCACCCTTGGGGTGGATTGGATGGTGCAGATGCGTCGGAATCGTCGGCCTGAGTTTGGTGCCTGCGAGACGTCCTCGGTCCAGAGGTGGAATTTGAGGTCGTTGCCTATGCTGGCGATGTATGAACCCAGCGTTGGATGGAGGAATTTGGCCTACATCGTGGGGTGTCAAATGCAGGGACTTGGACGTGGAAGATTAGGACGGGAAGAAGAGAGGGCAGAGAACGTACATCTCTTATATCAGCATCGTGCGCAGTGAATGTGTCGATTAATGTTCGTTCCCCGGTTTTCGAGTCGCGGTGCCATACTTTGATGCGGTGGTCGATTGAGGCGGTGAGGATCCGTGTGCCGTTGAAATTCGTGTGGAGGACTGTGACGCGGTCTTGGTGACCGGTCTCGAATTCCTCTGCTTTCCCCATTGTAGTGTAATTGAAGGGTCTTCGTTAGCAATAGCTAGGATAGGTAGATCGAGAGTTTGCTCTCATTGTTGAGAGTGGGTGGGACCTGCTTCAAGCCATGGTGTAGTCATAGTATTGCTCTGTTCAACTTTACTCTTCTTTTCTTCTTATTCTTCTTCTGTATGTGACCCAACAGAAACGAATGCCAGACGCGTATTCGAAGTGCGAGAAGAGTAATGAGAGTTTTGGGTGTCTGTACAGAGGTCAGAAGGAGGCTGAAATAGGCCATCACTGATTGGTAGTTCGCAACCGGCCATGAGCCGGAAGATAGTTCTTCCGTGACCGACGTCTATCAAAAAGGACAGCTGTCGTCGAGGAACTATCGCCATAGTCACCCACTACAGTCCTCCGTATTGTTGCGCCTCTACCGCACGTGGCATCATTCCTTTCTACCCTATCCACTGCTGTCGTTCTTTTTCTGTTGCACATTGTTTTGGTTTCAGATGATCATGCTGCCGTCAGTTCTCACCTCAGCGTACATAGAAGGTTCGGGTTGAAGACGTCGAGAGGACTTGACCAAATCAGCCGCCACGTCGACATGTCCTCCAGCCTGGGCCATGCGGAGCGCTGGTCGCTATTGTTGGTGGCAGGGGCCTCGCTTGCTGTCCTTGCCAACACGTTCAATGGAGACGGTGCTCCTCTTGTCGCTTCTTTTGCATTTTCCACCTTAGCTTTCTCCATGACGTACGCTTTCGTCCGATGGTCTGGCCCGTCCTTTGTGAAGGCAGGGCTCAAAGGTAGAGACATGAGTAAGCTGGCGCCAAAAGAAATGTAAGTACTGGTTCACGATGGAGTCCGATCCCCAACTCACATTCCACAGTCCCGAAGCGATGGGAGCAGTTGCTGCATCAGTCTACATCCTGGCGCTTATGGCGTTCATACCCTTTGCTTTCTACAAGGACATCGTTGCTGCTACGTCCGGTGGTGGAAACAGAGACGTCGTTCTAACAGTCACCGAAATCGAGACTGGCCGCTTTTTGCATCGATTTCCTCACTCGAAGCTATCTTCGTTTCAATCTGCCCTCAACACTCTCCAAGCAACCACCATTCTCGGCATGGCCGATGATATCCTCGATCTTCGATGGCGACATAAATTCTTCATTCCGGCAATTGCATCTCTTCCTCTTCTCATCGTTTACTATGTCGACTTCGGAGTCACCTCTGTCGTGGTACCAAATTTCCTTGTTCCATACATGCCCGGTCAAGCTAGGCTGCTTGACCTGTCGTTCTTCTACTACCTGTACATGTCAGCTCTTTCGATCTTTGCACCAAACTCTATCAATATCCTTGCCGGCATCAACGGTATTGAGGTCGGACAATCACTCGTCATTGGAGGACTTTTGATCCTCAACTCATCACTCTACCTCGTCCCATTTCCCGGAAATCCTGTCCTGACCAATGGGTATGCGAATCATCCGCATCCGGCAACCGATTCACATCTTCTGACGTTGTACGTCCTTCTACCGTTTTTGGCCGTATCCACGGCCTTGTACATCCATAACAAATATCCGGCAAGAGTGTTTGTCGGCGACACATATTGTTATGTGGCAGGCATGACATTCGCGGTGGTGGCCATTATGGCGCATTTCAGCAAGACTTTGTTGCTACTACTTATTCCACAGATTGTCAACTTCGTTTACAGTACTCCGCAGCTGTTCAAGTTGATTCCATGTCCACGGCATCGACTTCCCAAATTCAATGCAAGGACTGGTCTCCTCGAACCCAGTGTGACGCCATGGCCAGCGGAGCGACCTCCAAGCAAGATCCAAACGACCATTTTCCTGACACTGGAAAAGTTGCGGTTACTCCAGGTGACAATCGATCCAAAGACAAACCGAATATCGTCCACATCTAACCTGACAATCATAAATTTGTGGCTGGTTTGGAGAGGCCCTATGCGAGAGGATCAGTTGATGAGAGAGTTGTTGTTTATGCAAACATGCTGTGGGCTCTTCGGACTTTTTGTGCGCCATACTTTTGCACTCTTGATCTTCAGCGTGGATAACAGGGGAAAATATAGGAGCCGATTTCCAGTATAGATTGCTGGCTAAAAATTGATATGAATAAAGGTTCGCCCAGGTATCAACCATTAGCCTGCAAGATCTGGGTTCTTGTGGTGGGATATGACTACCGTCGTGTTACAACAAGATCCCACCGAGAAGAATGTAGCAACATCCCACATTAGGCCGATCGCGTATACGCGCCCTGCCCATTATCGGTGTATTCATTAGCCTCGTATGGTGAATTTTATCGTGCTTGTGTGAATGAGTATTGAGAAGAAGTTGTAGATCGGAATTCGCCAAGCATTATATTGTCCAGCACGGGTCAGTCATCTTTGTTCATCAGATACTAACACCATCCGATGTTGTCCGGATCTCTCCTGGACCGAATCTCGAAACACCTTTTCCCACATCGAAGGGAGCATAATGCATGAAGTCGTTACGGTTCAACTTGGCCAGAAGAGCAATTACCTTGCAACTCACTTCTGGAACGTCCAGGTACGGCCCGAAACCAGAACCATCATCCGGCGAGGCTGATGGTGTGATCCAGGAATCCTATTTTACATATTCAGAAAATGAACAATCCGTGGTCGACCATGATGTACATTTCCGGCCGGGCATTGGTGCCGATGGACATGAGACTTACACGCCTCGAACCGTTATATACGACTTGAAAGGAGGATTCGGTACGCTGCGCAAATTCAACGCACTCTACGAGATTGAAGATGAGCCGCTCCATGGCCTCTGGTGCGCACTTCTATATGCCAGCGACATTTGCGAAGACTGCTAAACTTCCTGCAGGGATGGGACGACCGCAACACATCGAGAGGAAGCCATCCAACCATCTGATTACCAAAGAAGGCTGGACATGGGTCTTCCCACGTCCCAATTGCGGGATTCGGACGTAAGATACTGGTCGGACTTCAACAGAGTCTATTACAATCCCAAATCCATCGTCCAGCTCCAAGAATACGAACTGAACTCTCAGATCATGCCGTTCGAGAACTGGGAAGCTGGTGAAGATCTCTTTCAGAGCCTAGACAAGGAGTTTGACCTTCTTGATCGGGATATCCGGCCGTTCGTAGAAGAATGTGACCAGATGCAAGGCTTTCAAGTACTGACAGGTGCCGATGATGCATGGGGAGGCTTTGCTGCAAAGTATCTCGATACCCTGCGTGATGAATACGGCAAAACTAGTATGTGGGTGTGGGGGATCGAGGACTGTACCAGAGTAGTGAGAGTAAGTTGCTGCAAGCTTGGAGGCAAATGGTCAACTGATGATTGCACAGCAAAAACAATTACAACGAGCGTGCAATACTGCCAAATCTCTCAAATCGATTGGCCAGCTGGCTTCCGTCTACGTGCGCATCGCAGCACCACCTTCCACCTTACCTGGATATGTCAAACTTCGCTCGGGGTCTGATTGGGAGACAACGGCGTTGCTCTGCGCCGGCTTTGAGTCGGCCACATTACCAACCAGGTTTCGTGCCGATGGGCAAAAGCGAGGTTCTTTGAGTCTGCTGGAAGACACCTTGAACACCAGCGACAACCAAAATCTCTTTGAACTGCAGGCCAAGGTCGGTCACGCGACAAGAGAAGCCAATGGCGTTTCCAATGGCGAAATCCATGGTTCAAATGGTAGAATGCAACCCGAGGAGAATGGAGCTGCGGATTGGCAGCCCCAGCCCGCACAGTTCGACTTGGAATATCTTCCAAGAATGCGCGATTCGTCTGTGGTTGGTCCAGGTCACATCTTCGCTCAAATCGAATGCGAACGTGGAAGATCCGAACATGATCCATTCTCGCTGAGCTTGAGTCCCGAGGACCGGCTCCGGAGGAGACTGAATGAAGAGAGTGTGGTTGAAATGTAAGTGGGTTAGTCAGGTTATTGTTGTGTTGCCTCATTTGTCGGATGGCAATTGAAGTTTTCTCTTTCTTCCTTGGGGCGAAAACCCATTGGAAAAGCTAAACGGGGACCCCATTGTGCTTTAGCTAACCCGCGCGCAGATATCAGACTGGGCTCCAGTTTCCTCTACTGGAGACCTTTCCCAACAGACTCATCGAGACGAACCGACAGCACGAGAACGGGCTGGACATATCCACTGCCCTGGCTTGCAACTCGAGGATGAAAGACCACATCCTCGAGTTGAGAAATGCGACTTGCCGGATGATGCCGCTAGGCGAACGAGAGAGCCTGTATTCTGACCTGTCACAGATGGCGCAAAACTACAGCTTCGGCTTCGAGTCCGGTACGGACACGGGGGAAGATGATTGAACAGAAAGGCCATCAGATGACCTTCCGCAATGATGCTAAAGAGACCAGCGAGCAAGGTGTGGCCAGGGCAGATCTTGGAGTAGAAGGCGGGGTGCAGCAGACGTGCGCAACAGGCGTCGACAGGGCACACGGCAGCCTGACTTCACCATGTGCCGGCAGAAACATCCGAAATATTTACTATGGTAGACGGGTGTGTTTCCAAAACTGTTCGAATCTGGCGAGAGGAAGAGCTGCCTCGTCAACATGCCGAGCAAAAGAAGTCGTTCCTTGGTGGCGCATGATCCCGGCCATCTTACGATCCAGCAGCCTTTCGGGAGGGCCTCAGGCGACGATGCGACCACCCTTCCGGAATAGCCGTGGTTGGAAAGTTTCTGTGCAGTACAAAGTAGTCTGAGAGCTCGTTACTACTCGTACAAGTTTATGGCATGGAGCTGTGGTTGCCGGGCCATGAAAATCCTGGCGACCCATCACTGCGGTAAAACTCACAAACTCTCACGTCTACAAGGATCAGCCAAGTCATGAGTGGACTGATCAATGACTGATGCGGACTGAATGCAGGTTCTCTATGATCAGAAATTCGCCGAAGCTGCAGCCCGGGTGTGAAAGCTTAGCGAGCAGGATCCAGTCCAATGCTGTGCCTTTGAGAACATCCACCACTAAAGTGAGACATCTCCAGCCGGCTGCAACATGCCCAGTTTTTTCGCAGCTTCCGTCATCCACTGGGAGGTTTTTCCTGCTCAGGTACGAGGTGGAAGTCGTATGCAAGCTGCAGGTGGTTTCTTCCGCAGGCAACTGCGGGCGTGCCTTCCGCCCTGCATCATCTCGTTCCGATGATATTTTTTTTGCGAACGCTACTATCACTCAGGAGGTCGCAGCACTATCGAAATGTTGAAGCGATTAACACTCCTTGTCCCGGAGGGGCTGCATTACTGGTCTTGCAAGCGAGAGGCGCCGGCGACAGACTCGACTAGCAGTACACGTGCTCGTGTCCAATTGCTGTTTCTTTTTTTTTCCAGCAGATCTTTTTGAGTTCGCCGTTGAGGTCGCTTTCATTAGCTTCTATTGCTTTCTTCTCACTGGTTGATGCCGGTTCACCGCACTATTGACGGTATAGCGTCAACAAAGAACGACTCCGAGGGTGGAGCCGTCGCCATCGGCACCGTCCTTTCGTCAATTGATAGGCTGACGCACAGTTCGATTGGCTTCAATGATATCGATAAGTAAGGGAGTCCACGGGGCCTCGAAAGCCACAACAGCTCCACCCCTGGCAGGCCTTCGGTCGGTATCCTTGACCTTCTCTTGAGTCTTGACCGGGCTGGGTCGATGGCGATAGATCGGGAGCACCACCGCAAGCCAAAGATGCCTTCTGCCTTCTACGAGTAGGAGTATGCGGCGGTTAAGGAAGTTCGGCACTATTGACTAAACCAGTAGCCAACTTTCCCCATCAATGCAGCCGCAAGACTGCGGGTGGCGCTTCGCCTTGACAAGTTCTTTGCACTGACTTGTGGCGTGCCCGGTTTTTCCGATACTTTATTGCTGCTATTTCTGGGGCATTGACGAGCTTTGACCTCCAATATAGCGACGTCTCCAACTGATCTATCTGATATCGATACGCTTGGACCATCGAGACATCATCGAATCCAAGGTCGGTCGATACTAGGTGGACGTGGTGGAAGCGCAGGAGTTGCGCACACGTTCAGGAGGCTCGCCCTTGTCCTTACCTTGCGCCTTCTACCACTTGGTGAATGTGATTGGGGGCGAAGCTGATGGTGGTAAGCTAAAGACTGACTAGCAGTTAGCAGAGTGTTCCACTCATCCAGCTCGGCTTAACCGCTCGTGGCAGCTTGCCCTTGCAGGTCCCGCTCACAACATCGTATAGTTCCAAGGCTTGCTCTCCACCATGACGCATAAGCATCAGTATTCTCAGGAACATGGGCTTGCTCCAAGCACCCAGCAACAGAAATGGATCTTGTGTGGCATGCAGTAAACACGCAAGCGAAGCCGGTCTGCGAGTACAAAATACTGCACAACCCGTCCCTTTCCTTCAGTTTCCTTTCCATCACGCCCGTTAGGATTTACCTTCGCTTTACTGTACAAGAGCTCCCTCGCTAAGGCTCGCGTTCATTCGTTTCCTCACGCACACGAAGTACCCATCGCCGCTGTACTATATTTCCCATCAAAAGTCCATATAATCAAAAATGGTCAAATCAGCTATCGTGTTGGCCTTGGCCAGCACTGCCGTCGCCGGTGTTGTGAAGAGGGAAACGTCCGCTGCCAGCCCATGGCTCGACTGGACCTCGACAACCACCACCACGACAACTAGCACTACCACCACTACCACCACCACTACCACTACCACTCCCAGCTCTACATGGGCCGACTGGACCACCACCACTGTTCCCACCACCACCACTACCACCACCACCCCAGCGTCTACGTGGGCCGACTGGACCACCACCAAGGCAACCACTACCACCACCACTACCCCAGCTTCTACCTGGGCCGACTGGACCACCACCAAGGCAACCACCACCACCACCCCCGCCTCTACCTGGGCCGACTGGACCACCACCAAGGCGACCACCACCACCACCCCAGCTTCTTCCTGGGCAGACTGGACTTCTACCACGACTAAGAAGACCACCACCTCCGCTGTGACTTGGGGCGACTGGACCTCGACCACGACTAAGCCCGTTGTCAAGACCACCACCACCGTCCCAGCTTGGGGCGACTGGACCACCACCACCACCAAGCCTGTGACCGTCAAGACCACCACCACCGTCCCAGCTTGGGGCGACTGGACCACCACCACCACCAAGCCTGTGACCGTCAAGACTACCACCACCTCCGCTGTGACTTGGGGCGACTGGACCTCGACCACGACTAAGCCCGTTGTCAAGACCACCACCACCGTCCCAGCTTGGGGCGACTGGACCACCACCACCACCAAGCCTGTGACCGTCAAGACCACCACCACCGTCCCAGCTTGGGGCGACTGGACCACCACCACCACCAAGCCTGTGACCGTCAAGACTACCACCACCTCCGCTGTGACTTGGGGCGACTGGACCTCGACCACGACTAAGCCCGTCGTCAAGACCACCACCACCACCAAGGCCACAACTGTCAAGACCACAACCACCCCTGTGGCTCCCGTACCAGTTGTCAGCTCCTCGGTCTGGAACGACTGGACCAGCTCTGCTGCTCCCGCACCAGTTGTCTCGACCTCTGTCGCTCCCGCGCCTGTTGTCAGCTCCTCGGTCTGGAACGACTGGACCAGCTCTGCTGCTCCCGCACCAGTTGTCTCGACCTCTGTCGCTCCCGCGCCTGTTGTCAGCTCCTCGGTCTGGAACGACTGGACCAGCTCTGCTGCTCCCGCTCCTGTCGCCTCCACCACCGCTGCCCTCGTCAGCAGCTACTCTCCTACCTCTGCTGCTCCAGTTGCCACATACACTGGCGCTGCCAGCAACAACAAGCCCGCTGTTGCCCTGCTCGGTGGTCTTGTTGCTCTCGTCGCTCTGGCTTAAATGATGGCCCTAGAGCATTTAATATTTCCTTCGATTCTCACATATCTCGATTGCGTCTGACCCCAAGGGATAGGGGAAGAGTGACGAGCAATCACATGACTTTATGAATTAAGTCTCGGCCAGAACCAGATGGCGCGAGCGGACGATCTCTACGATACATGGTGGCAAAAGAAGAGGCATTAATGGGTGCATATATGGTACTTCACTGAAATATGTGATGGATACAATAATACATAAAAATTCGAAAAGCATAATTTCTAAATTGTTTCCACTTTCATTCTCACTTTCCGTTATCCTCAACTCTTTGATTGTGGTGTAGTCATATCTCGCGACGCCCCTCAAACTTCGTATTGACCATCGTTGGGTAAGTGCTGCTGGGGATTTCACAGCCCCGCAGAAGAGATGATGGCTGTCTCACTTGGTAGTACTATTAGGCGTTGGTAGACCTGTAGTGGCAACGGAAATAACAATTGCAGGGGCATACTGTGGTAAGTGAATTGATGAAGGTGGTTGTCTTCTGAAGACGCCCACAGATATCACGTGATAGAAAACAGGGTCTGCACGAGTCAGCCATAATGTATGAGAGAATTAGACTGACTCACAACAAGACAAGTTGTCAAGAAATGTGAGCCAGCACAGAAATAGTATTCGTGTCCATTTCAACCTGCTCACCTCGTTCCAAAACCCTTCGTGTGGCGTCTGTATCAGTATTATCCTCAGAAATGTTCTTGCTGGTCAAGTAAACACATTGTTGTGCCGAATAGTCAAGCCCGATTCTCTAGACTTCTCACTATGGCACCACCAGGGCGCAGGAAGTTCTCCTTCCTAACTCTACTACCTTTCCTCATCCTTTTCCTACTGTCTAGCAGTGCACATGCTGCGTCGGCGGTGCTAGGAATTGATTTGGGCACTGAATATTTCAAAGCAGCCATCGCGAAACCTGGCAGTCCGATCGAGATTGTTTTGTCCAAAGACTCGAAGAGGAGGGAAGCAGCTACACTAGCCTTCAAGCCAGTCAGAGCGCAGGGGAGTGATAATGAGGTCTTTCCCGAGAGACTTTACGGCGGAGATGCCGTGGCACTGTCTGCTAGATTCCCCACGGATGTCTACCCTAACCTGAAAACTCTTCTGGGCGTCGAGGTATCTGCGGACACGATCAAGAAGTACTCGGCAAGATATCCTGGGTTGGACATTGAACCGGTACCTAGGACCGAGGATGCCGGTACCGTGGGTTTTAAGAGTCACAGCTTCGGCAAGCGGAACGAGGTGTTCATGGTCGAAGAGTTGCTTGCGATGCAGTTGAAGAACATCCGGAGCAACGCAGAAGCCATGGTGGCCAAAGGGACGTATATCACCGACGTGGTCATTACATACCCTGCTTTCTACACAGCTGAGGAGAAGCGAGCTATTGAGTTGGCAGCGGATCTGGCAGGAATGAGGGTACTAGGGTTGATCAGTGATGGACTTGCCGTTGGACTCAACTATGCCACTCATCGCACTTTCGACAGCGTCTCGGAAGGCGGGAAGCCGGAACACCACCTTGTTTATGATATGGGAGCTGGTTCGACTACGGCAACCGTGCTCAAATTCCAGGGTAGGACGGTCAAGGGATACAATAAGCGCAATCAAACCATTCAAGAGGTGATCGTACTGGGTACGGGATTCGATACAACACTTGGTGGAGATTCACTGAACGATTTCATTGTCGAGGATATTGTCACACAATTCTTGGACTTTCCTAAAGCACAGAAGCTGGGCCTCGAAAGTGCCCAAGTACGGAGTCATGGGAAAACCATGGCGAGGATCTGGAAAGAGGCCGAACGAATGCGGCAGCTTCTCAGCGCAAATGCAGTATCCTCGGCTACGTTTGAAGGGCTCTACGATGATGAGATCACTTTTAAGTACAGCATTACGAGGGAGAAGTTTGAAGACCTCACTGCGGATCATGCCGCCCGAGTTGGCTCACCACTCGCAGCTGCTCTGGCGTCCGCGGGTCTCACACTTGACGAGGTTGATTCGATCATTATCCATGGCGGTGCTGTCAGGACCCCCTTCGTTCAAAAGCAACTTGAGAAGGCAGCAGGCGGATCTGGGAAGCTGAAAGCCAACGTCAACGCCGACGAGGCTGCGGTGATGGGTGCTGGGTTCAAAGCGGCGTCTCTGAGCCCCAGCTTCCGAGTCAAGGACATTCGCGACACTGACATCGCTGGATCTGCTGTCATCTTGAAGTGGACCCACGACCAGAAGGAGAAATCTCAGAAGCTATTTAATCCTTCGTCCCAAGTCGGTGCTGAGAAGCAGGTTCCTGTCAAGGCTCTTGAGGACATCAAACTGAGCTTCATTCAAACAGTCGGCGACAAGGATTTGCCGGTTCTCGACGTTGAAGCGACCAACTTGACCAAATCCGCAGTGTTACTGAAAGACAAGCATGGATGTAGCGCTGCTAATATCAGCACAATTTTCGCCGTTCGTCTGAGTCCCTCCAACGGGCTGCCGGAAGTCGTGTCAGGATCGGTGAGCTGCGAGGCCAACAGTACCAAGTCGGGAACTGTCATGGATAATGTCAAAGGTTTGTTCGGCTTCGGCTCGAAGAAGGACGAGGAACAACTAATCCTCAAAGACGAGGCTGGAATCGATGAAGACTCGACGACAATGACCCCGTTACCGGTGTCTGATCCAACCAGTTCAGGATCAACTGTGTCTGAGGCGTCGGCAACAACTACGGGCTCTTCGTCTGCCAGCCCTCCAACCAAACCTGGAAAGGCCACAGCTTCGATCGTTTCGATTCCTCTAGCGTTGAAGCCAATCGTCGTGGGTCTCAATGCACCACCTACAAAGGCTCTGCCGAAAGTACGACAGAGGTTGACTCAATTTGACACCTCGGATCGGAATGCGGTGCTTCGTGCCGAAGCGTTGAATACTCTCGAAGCTTTCACATATCGAGCCCGAGACTACCTTGAGGATCAATCATTCATTGGGGCATCAAGCGAATCAACGCGAAAGGCCTTGGAGAAACAGCTCGCCAATATATCCGACTGGTTATATGGCGATGGTGCGGATGCGAAAGCTGAAGACTTCAAAGACAAATTGAAGGATCTTAAAAGCCTGGTTGACCCTGTTTTGAAGCGTAAAGATGAGACAGTCAAGCGACCTGATGCCATCAAGGCGTTGAATGAAGGTCTAGAAAACATGAGTGGCATGATCAAGATGGTGGAAGGAAACATCCAGAAAGCGGCCGAACAAGCAGCATCAAGCGCTAGCTCGGCAGCATCCTCTGTGGCGTCTAGTGTCACTGCTACGCCTTCTTCGTCAGTAGCAGAAGGCGATGACCTAGAAAACGATCCTTACAGCACATCGTCAGCGGCTGAAGCAGCTGAAACAGAGGAACCACCGGCGATGAAACCTTATGAATACACAAAAGAGGATCTGGCGTCGTTGACGACAAAGTACGAAGCCGTCAAGGCATGGCTTGAAGAGAAGATGGCACTTCAGGACAAGCTGGGACCGCACGATGACCCAGCTTTTCTGGTGTCGGAGCTGGAGACACGAGGTCAAGAACTGCAGAAAGCGGTTTCGGAGGTGATTATGAAAACCATCAAATTCAAGGACGTGCCCCGGAAGCCCAAGGGCAGTAAGAAGGCTAAGGGAAAGGCGAAGAAGAGCAAGTCTTCTAGTGAGACAGTGAGCAAGTCCGCTGGGAGCTCCTCGACCACATCCTCGACCACATCCTCGACCACATCCTCGTCGACGTCAACGAAGAGCGTCAAGGACGAATTGTAGATGATGATTTGCTGCAATACAAATATATGACTTGACATGACTTGACATGACTTGACAGAAATTGATACGAGTCTCCGCACTCCGTAATGCCGGGACGAATGCTGTGGTTGACTTTCAGCCGCCCGCAACTTTTAGAACCAAACACGATCAAGATAGAACGGCGGCAAACTCCATTAAGGCCCTTGCTCGAGATTTGCTCTCCCTAGTACGGAGTAGTGTGGTACAAAGACCAGGTGGTATGTTCTAGAACAGAAGGCTTGAAACCTAGGAAATCAAACAGTGGCGGACAGAGAATCCTGAGACTGCACAAGTGTTCAAAAGGCAGAAGAGGTGACCAGGGTTTGCGCGATGTCTCGATGTCTATTGGCCCCGGAGACGACAAGAACAGAAGTGCGGGACAAGCCTAGCCACAGTCAGCCCTATTCTTCGTATGCATGAGGCGAGGACCAGCTGGCTGAAAGCAGTGATGGATGCGGTTGAAGGGTATGAATGCTGGTGTCGATGATCGTCCTATAGCGAGTACTGTAGTTAGGTATGCAACAGAACAGTTGGATGACCGATAGTCTCCTGGTGCAGAAGAGACGGACAGGATAGAGCGGCATTCACCGCTGTTTTGATGATGGCCTGAACACTCCGTAATCAAGGCGAGGAATGTGGTTTTCTGCATGGCTCTTCTATCTTTCAGCCCCCAACGAGCCCATTTCCGCCTCTTAGCAGTAAGACACGACAAGACGTAATAAAACCGATTCAATACCTGGTAACCGGCCCAAAGAATTGCTCACCTAGGTGTTGCCCAACTCTTGGCTGCCACTCGACAAGTAAGGTAGCGTCTCAAGGGCACCTTTGTTCAATCATGCATTCAACTCCTCTTCTTTATCCTTGGACGCTGCATTTGTAAAGAAAGACTTCAGCAACATCGCAAACAGAAAGAAGAACAGCTCGAATTGTTCCCGACTGAGTTTCAGCCCCCGGGCACTGAGCAAAAGGTTCTCTAGCGGTCTCCATCAAGCTGACGGTCAGCTATTCCAACTTCCCTAGTGTCGGTATCGTTACTGTACCGTCGTCCGGGTGCCTCAGGCTGCAGCTTCTCTCCTCCGCCCGCAACTCAACCACCACCACCACCATCCACCATCCACCATCCACCTGCGCTCACGACTCAATCTCGTACTTCTCCTTCTCTCAGGCCCCGGCTAAAACTTGCCTATTCTCACTTGCCACCACCGACGGCCACACCCTTACATCGTTCTTTCCCACCGATTTCCTCTTCATCGTTGTCGATGTCATGACCTCTCGCTTCAAGAGTTTAGGCTTCGGTTCCAAACGAAAGAGTAGTGCCAACATCCAAACCACCTCTGTCGCTTCGCCAAACGGCTCCATCTCCACCACTGCCACCACTCCTCCTCCTCCTCCTCCCAATTCCTCTCAGACCAGCCTGCCGCCGATGAACCAGCCAGGCGCTCCTGGTCGCCCTCCCAGCTATTCATACCAGACTGCTCAAGGTCGCCCTCAGTCCCCCCTCCCTCCTCCTCCGAACCAAATGGCGCACCACCCTCCTCCCATCGACACCAGACAGGGCTACATGGGCGGAAATCCTCAGCTGGGGCCTCCACAACCCCCCGGATATGGCGGTGCATATGGCCAAATTGGTCCCCAGCCGGGCATTCAACACACAACCAACCAATTTCCGCCTGGTCGTCCCGCTGAAGTGGAAGGTGGAGGTCGGAGTAAGGCTCAGCTTATCGTTGGCATTGACTTTGTAAGATGACGCTGCAAGACACTCCCCCTTGGTGGTCATGTCGCTGATCGTTGTTGCAGGGCACAACCTTTTCCGGTGTGGCTTTCGCTTTCGCGACGAACACAGAAGCGAAGGAGGACATAATCACGGAATGGCCTGGCGCAGGCAACCAAACGAAACAAAAGGTTCGTTGACAAACACACCCTCGCCTGATTCAAACCCCTGTACTGACGGCCAGCACAGATTCCCACAGTTCTGTACTACGACCAGTATCAGAAAGTTGTCGGCTGGGGCCCAGACATTGCTGATGCTCTCGCCCCTACCGGCTACCCCAAGCCGGGTGTCCAAAAGGTGGAATGGTTCAAGCTGCAACTAATGCTCTCGGGCAATACATACATAGACCCTATCAACCTGCCCCCTCTCCCGCCCGGAAAATCCGAGATCGACGTTGCTGCCGACTACCTCTTCAAACTCCGACAAGCCATGCGAGTCCAATTACAAAAGACCCTGGGTGAGGTGTTCAATCGAGAAGAGCGTAACATCCGATACTTCCTGACGGTGCCGGCCATCTGGAACGATGCAGGAAAGGCAGCGACTAGAGCGGCTGCCATTCAAGCTGGTTTCATTCGAGACGAGAACGACAACAGACTGACCCTCATCACCGAACCCGAAGCCGCAGCCATGTTTTGCTCCAAGACTGGCCTCCTCAACCTTAAGATCCACGATGCTGTTCTAATTGTCGACTGTGGTGGTGGCACGGTCGACTTGATTGCCTACGAAGTGGAAGAAGAGACCCCCTTCTCCGTCGCCGAATGCACAGCTGGTAGCGGTGATTCTTGTGGTTCGACGGCTCTCAACCGCAATTTCTCAAATATCTTGCGGGCCAAAATCCGGAAAATGAAACTGCCCGATGGATCAAAGACTGCCGGAAGAGTCTACGCTAAATGTATTATGGATTTCGAGAATCGAATCAAGGCCGACTTCCGTAACAACGGCCAGAAATGGGCTGTGGACGTGGGTATCGAGGCCGAATTCCCAGAGGCCGGCATCGAAGAAGGTTACATGACTTTCACCAACGAGGAAATCCTTCAATGCTTCGAGCCCGTCGTCAACCGCATCCTCGAGCTCGTACGCAATCAGATCATTGCCATCCAAGCGCAAAACAGAGCACTTCAGAATGTCCTCGTGGTCGGTGGTTTTGGTGCTTCCGAATACCTCTTCCAGCAGATCAAATTACATGTGCCTCCGCAGTTTCAGTCGAAGGTGGTCAGACCTATGGACTCGGTCGCTGCCATTGTCAAAGGTGCTGTCACGGCAGGTATTACGGAAAGAGTGGTCACTTCACGTGTGGCTCGACGACATTATCTCATGGCCACTTTGCAACCTTTCAAGGAAGGTTACCATCCCGAACAATACCGTGTACCCAGTCTCGACGGTAAAGATCGATGTAAATATACCCGACAGATCTTTGTCCAGAAAGGTGAGAGAGTCAAGATTGGTGAACCTGTAAAGGTTTCGTTCTTTAGACAAGTCGCGCCAGGAGCTACATTGATGTACGAAGACATTCTGTACGCGTGCGACGAGGATGTTTGGTAAGTTGATCTCTAATTCCTCGTCCGTGGCGTGTGAGCTGACTGAATCACAGCCCTGAATACACCAAAGACCCTCGCATCAAGGAAGTTGTAACGCTCACTTCAGACCTGTCAAGAAAGAACCTAGAAAAGGATTTCGAACGCATGGACACCCCGCAAGGCACATTTTACCGGGTCTACTTCGACATCTACCTGACCCTGGATGGCTCAGAATTCAATGCCGAACTGGTCTGCCAGGGAGAGGTCATGGGACGGTGTACTGCACGATTCAGATAATCAACCGTTACTTTTTCTGATGTCGTTATGAGGTCGATGGGCAAAAGCGAGCAGAATAAAGAGCTCCCTGGTGTTGCGGTTCACTCTGATTGGCATGGACGATTTGGCATATTTGTCCCTGCAACAACGTTGGAGTGGAGGATCAATTGGTCTTTACATGCATGCAGCTCTGTTTTGACGCTAAACATGTTGAGAGGAAGGGTGTACCGCGGGAAAAGACATACACTTCCTTTCAGACATTTGCCGAATATCCACGAGTCGAAGACGGATGATAATATGTGGATCTAGTGAAAAAGATAATTTCAGGACAGGAGAGTCAAGAGGGTGGCAGTCTGAGGGAAGCTCCAGAGGGGAGCGAGGGTATGAGCAGTCGATGATCATGCGGACAACATCGAGTTTGGGGGAGACGACCGTGACGGCTGAAGAAAAGGAGAAGGACGCCGGGGAAGAAGGGAAACTGTCCAGCTATCAAGTACCTTAGTTAAGATGGCTGAATCAGACAATGAGCGTAGGATATCCATACAATACGAATCTTTGACCGATATTTATACCTAGGTATGTGTGCCGTGCATAGTGAACATCACAGGGGCGGACAAACAGTAAGAGGTAAGAGGTAAGGAAGAAGAGCACACTGGGATGACATAGAGAAGTTGTTCTCTTCAAGTCGGCGACTTTTGTTGGATGGATTCAGCTGCTTTTATTGTGATGATCTCGGCATTGACTCGTTGTAGACCATTATGAGGTCTATGTTTACTGAGAAACACCTGACTCCTGGGGTTGCCAAAACTGAGACTCCGGGTTGTACAGACTCGATGAGGTGAAGAACGTTCTGGAGCGGAGGAGTCTACGCAGGGCGGGTGTAGCGGGCCCCTGTGTCTGAGGATGGAGGACTCGATTAAGACTTGCCAGCTGAACGGGGAGAGACGAGGGCAGACGGGGTATTCTGGTCCTCCATCCAGAATGCCAATCTCATTGTCTCTCGTCATTGTCCTTGTCATTGGGTTGAATGTGACTGGGCCACGAAGGCATACCGGCCTGGACGATCAGACTTTGACTTTCCGCGCAGCCCAGTGGCTACAGCGATACCGATTCTGCAGGAGACTAGATGGGTCTTGCATGTACCCGAGGCCGGACCGGAATGCTGGATAGTCAGCTGGATGGTCGTGGCCCAGGATTTCGTGGCGGACGACTTCGAAGCCTAGCCGCGCGACAAGCTGGACGACTTCATCGTTGGATAGTTCGAAGGCTCCGGGCTCGGCGATGCCTTTGTCTTCGTCGTTTAGGTCACCTGGGTCTCCGTCAGCGTCAGCCTTGTCACCGCCGTGGACGCGGTCGTCAAAGTGCCACAGCAGTGGGCCGATGTTGATCCAGATACCACCGGGCTTGAGACAGTTCCAGACGGTTTCGACGTAGCGGATCAGATTGGGGGCTGTGTCGATGAAGAAGACGCTGACGACGCCGTCGAAAGTCTCTTTGCATTCGGGCGTCGAGTAGGATAGAATGAAGTCTCCGGCTGTCATGTTCATTTCGCCAACGGGCTGGCCGGCGTCGAGCCGTGATGAGATGGCGGTGGCTGGGTGGACGTCGGGAATCGTGTGGCGTTTCAATTGGTTTTGGCGGGATGTGATGTTGGTAAAGGTGTTGGCGAAGGGGTAGATGGGGTATTGGTCTGCGTGTTGCGCGCAGTTGAGGATGAAGTTGCTGGCGAGCAGTTGGTGGTAAGAGATTTCGTTCCCTGTGGCATTGTAGCCGAGTCGGGACAGTTCGAAGACCAGTCGGCCTAGCCCGGCGCCGGGAAGGAGCAGGTCTGGTGCATTGCAAAGACTTGGTGGCCCTCCAATAATCGGAAGATGGGCTGAAAGGTCCGACCATATCGTGTCGAGGAGTGGCTTGACTTCGAGGGTGAAGCCTTCATGTGACCAGTCACGGTAGAATTGGCGGATGGTGGAATGAGCCTTGGATAGATCGTTGGGCTTGGCCTTGCCCTGCCAGTTCAGGTCTACGTTACTCGCAGTAGTAGGAGGTGGCTTCTCTTCCAGACCAAATGAGGCCAGTCCCACGCGGAGGATTTCGTCGGCCAGGTCGGCATTGTGGTCGATGGCGTCGTCAATGGCAGTCAGTGTGTCGAGAAGTGAGAATGGAGGATTGGCTAGCATCTGCCATTGTGCTGAGGGGAGCGCGTAGAGGTTTTGACGCCGTCGATGGGTGGTGTTGTAGTGCGTGTTCTTGCGGTACTGGCTTCATTCAGCTGGGTTAGCCATCGCCAGGTTAGCCAGCCATCATTTTTGAGTGGGCTCGCCGGGTTCAGTTCGTGGAACTGAATGAGAAGAGCGTGCATTCCCATTTTTGCTGGTACTGACACACCGCACAATTCTCCGTTGTTTTTGTTTTGACTTACTAGAACGAGTCCAGGGCAGCGAAGATGGTGCGCCGCTCTTGAGGGTCCTTCAAAGGTCCTTCATCCTGAAACAATGGGTTCGAAAAGGGACCTTCGCCATTGGTATCGTCCTCCGAAGCCATTCTGGTGCTGAGGAATGGCGATATCGACTAAAGTCGAAGCTGTCACCGTCTCTGTCACCGTCACAGGTGGTGTTTGCTGCTCGAAGGAGGAAACTTGGACGTCGGAAATGCCAAGAATTTCATACACCAAGATACATGTACCTGGTACAGTACCACGGTACCTACCTTCACTTCTGGCCATCACACCTCAAGCCTTTATGTGTATTCCCATGTAATGTCTTCACTGTCACCATCTGTTGGCTCTCCGCGCAAATGATGCTGTCGATATTCACGATTTGAGCATACCCAGCGAAGTGAACAAAGCGCACACAGACATATCAAGCACCAGAAGGATGGAGCCTTCATTTCGCCCCGTCGAAGTCTCCTTTCCTCTACCAAAACACCCACATGTCAACCTCCATGTCCACTTGAGTTCCTTGGGAAATTGTACTATGGTCCATTTGACTACGACAAACCTCGATCAGTCTGACAGAGGTCTGCCACCCCTCGGAAGCTTCGTCTATGCAATGCCCGATGTACGTGAGATCTGGGAACAGTGGCACCCTCGGCATCTACTTTGCTAATGAGCCACAGGTAATGAACGACCGCAACGTGATCAGTACACCCTTGACAACTTCTGGCTCGAGCATAGATTATGCGACGAGGATGGCCAAGATCCTTGCGAGACGAATGAAAAAACCAGTCTACGTGGGTTGCAGCATGAATTTCGCGGGCATGACGGCCGAGGAGGAAATGGAAGGCTTGACCGTCGCCGTCGAAAAGATAATGCAAAATTGGAACGAGAGAATGGCATAATGTACATCTACTCCGTATGGAGGCTTTTCTATCTCATTCGACCTTCCTTTCTCGGCTTGTTACCAAGGTCACCAATAGTCACCACGGGTCACCAAGGTACACGACCGAGGGACGCTGTTGGTGGCTGGTATGAAGTCAGCTGCAAACAAATCGGTATCATTCCATCCTGCATCTTCGGCAAATGGAGCCTCGTCCTTTTCCATTTTTAGACCTCGGCTGGCATTTCCAAGTCATTGTCTTCGAGGTGAATTGACAGTGATTGACGTACAAAGAGGACTGGTCTGGCTCGAGACGAGACTGATGCGTCGTCACTCTTGCCGAAAAGGCCGCCAAATGTGGCAAAGACAAACAAACGTCTGGTCAAAGATCGTCGACCAGCCGTCCATTTGGTCTCCGAAGATCGCACCTTCTCCATCAAAAGAAGCGAAGGTTCGTGGGTTCCCGGAGGCCAGCAGGGAAACATGGCTGACACTGTGGAATTTTCACCTTTTTGCCTCGATGAAATATTGTTGAGGTTGAAAATCCTCTGACGTCGGATTAGAGGCCGAGACCGTCTGTCGCGGGCGCCAATTTACAGTGAGTGGAACATTACTAAGTAAAGAGCACCGAATCTTTGTCCCGCGTCGACGTGAGCTACTGCAGCAGAGTCTGTCAGGGTCTTGATGATCTTTCCGAGTGCAGTCAAGCCCACATATTTTTGTCTTCCGGAGAGTGGCCTAGTGTGATCTCGAGACTCTGGATTATTTAACAGGTTCACCGAATTCGATTTCACGTCTACGAGCTCGTAGCATCGAGAAGCATTCCGAGAAAAACAGAGCTGCCGGATGTCATGCTGTTCTGTCCATTTCTGTTCACGAGTAGGGCGCACTAACAAGCCGATGGTTTGACGCTCGTTTTGAAGAGTCCAGTCAGCAATCTTGCTAAACGGACTTGTTGTCATGGGATGTACAGGCAACCTGGCGTTCAGGTAATTATCTGCTTCCTGCTCGCAGGGCTTGGGACCTCTGCTACTCGTACGAGTGAAAGATATCCCCAGCCCAGCGCCATTTCTGGCTTGCCGATCCCACCAGCCTGCATTCGCAGTACATCTATTGAAGCTAGTGCGAACTATGGCAGACCGACCAATTTGCCTTGTGCCAAATCTGCCAACTAATTTTTCGGAGGACTATCCTGACCAGGAATGCGTTCTGGAACTATTGATCCCGACTGGTGGTGAGAATACTTGCGGAGTGCGTCGTCCAATCTTGCTGGCTGAGCGAGGTTGCGGCCAATTTACTGCCCCTCCAAAAAGCCTTGTCGAGTCGTCAGCGGCTTGTAAGCGACTGGGCTTCGAGAACCTGCTTCTAGCGAAATTCGAGAAGGACACGCTGTCACCCATGAGGGAACCAAATCTTTCACCGGGTGCTCGGGCGCATCATGGCGCTCCACCCGGCAGCGTCCGGGGGCCAATTTCAACAGGGCTGAGGAGCACCACAATAATTTACGAGTACGTAAGGAGGGTGAGTATAATCAACCATGACCCTGATGTTTTAGATCATGATACGCAAGCCTGCTGAGCCTCAGCCCCTGGCTTGGTGTGCAAGAGTTCTCGGATAAACTCAAAAAAAGAAAGAGCAGAATCGAAGATCCTTTAGCTTGAGCTTTCGCGCAGGAGTGGCAGGCAGGCCTTCCCGGCTGCCAATCTTCGGAGAACGAACTGGGTACATTGGCGTGGATGGCTGCACATCCCGACCACTGGCGTGACCTGCAAAGTCGATCATCTTCGCTTCATGTTCGAGCTAGCTCCGAGGTCCAACGATGACAATGGCTTTTCGGTCTGAAGCCGATCTCGTACAAAGACAGACTGCCACAGTGTTGACGATACTTCTGCGCATATTTCCTCGGAGACTCTTTCGAAGGGGCCGTTCTACTCGTAATGTGCAATAATCAAGTCGATCCACCAAATGACAGACGTCAAGCCGTGGCTTCAGGACCCGGTTTTCTGGCTTCACTTGCCCTTGGAGCCCTTGTACTCCGTACTGCAGTGGAAATTCAGAAGCCTGTTCCGGGATCCCGAAACTGTTCCAAGCACCGCTCTGCCCTGGAGCTGGGGCAGTGAAAGCAAAAATAGGCTTTCATCCTGGATAAAGTGTTGCCGTTCAGCCCCCGGCATGGTCTACCGAGAAACCCTAGCGAAGGTCTCCTTGGTGGGTGCTGGACATGAACTCGACTAACGTCCATCGAGTAGCCTCCCGTCGGAAGCGCCTGCTCGTGCCTATCAATCTCTGACATGCAATCCTACGCAACCAACACTCCCTACCAAGATTTTCATTAGTCCTACCACGGTCATTTGGCCATGAAGAGCAAACCGGCGCCATCTTTGACTATCGAAGCATTCACATTCCCCCTTGCTTGATGACGAGCCAGGGGATATTCGGCACAGTTGGTCAATGCACCGTTACACAGCCCCCTACTCGTCCCAAGCTGGAGAGCGCACGGCAGAGATAAGGAGAGACGGACACGGATTGTGTTCGGCGGATCACCTTCTATGCCCCACGACTCGCCGAAGCTTTGAACGTGAGAGGTTCCTTACGATCAGGGATGGAAGGGTTGTGCACTTGGCTGGAGCTGCCCTTTGCGAATTCTAGACCGGACCATGGTTTACGCGACCATCTAGACCATCACGCGAGTTCAACAGAGCTGAGGGCTCCCTTGATGCAGAGGAAAGTAAGATCTTGTTGAGCTCACCGTCTCTCTATTTTTTTTTTCAGATTCTCGACCTCAGCCACCCTGGGCCGCCAATCTGCATGGAAGAGTTGCCTAAGCGCCATGATCGACGCCACACTAAAAGAGCTGGGGGCCAGGTTCTTGTAGATTCTTTTCCCGTGTTTCCATCGGTACAAATGATGGCCAACCTTAAAATTGTCGATGTGGCATCCATCCAGCACCAGACTGTCGCCTACGATGACGCTAGAATCATCCGATAGCCCGCGGGGACTTGAGTTTTATCATAGTGTTGCTCTTGGGGCCGTTGGGGACCAGTAAACCATGGAACGCTCTCCGATACTTACTATGAGAAACGAGATACTTCCACTGCTGTGTACTATGCGGATACTATTGTGCGAGCGAGCTCTACAGTGGAGACGGTCAAAACACTCCCCAGTCCATGCCCCCCATCCTAAGTAGTATCCTGCCTCCCGAATGCGCTTTCCTGCAAGTTCGATGAAGCGTACAATGGCAGGACTATGCCCACTTTGGCGTCGAACATTAAAGCCAACATTAACAAGAGACGATCCCTGCCAGGGGGTTTCCAGACGGCATGTTCCTACGAGTACTGTGTGTTACAGTATTCCCTGAGGACCCTGGCTGGATCGACCTCTCAATCATGGAAGATCAATTCCCATAGTTTGTGGCAAGCTGTTGAAGATGGAACACGACTTTCCTTTCAACCCGGATATAAATGGTTCGCGGACCTAGTACTACAGCATGTATGTGCTAAGATGAACGAAGACGATCTCAAGCAGATCATTCCTTCGGCCAAAGCAGCTCGAACCGGCTCAAGCCCTGGAAATTCGGGAGCTCATTCTCCTTAACGGCCCACCGATTCCGCTTCCAGTTGCCCACATGCCCTAGCCAAGGTCATGATCACCCTCGGTCCGTCTCCAGAGTCCACAGAGCCGCCAGGAAAGGCGACGGAGCCAGCAATAGTGGACTACGACCACCTAGAATATGTCTTCCAAGACATCAAAGCCCCATGGTGGTTTGCCAGGGCCGTTGAACCAGTGACCTCAGTCTCTGCACGACATGCTCGTTTCACTGATACATAGTTGATCTGACGTCGATCCAGAGTTTGTCTGATCGCCACCTATGAGACCTCCTTTGGGATACCGGGCCAGCCCGAGCCTCTTCGATGATGGGATTTGCAGTACGGTATGCACCCAACGCTGCTGAAGTCTACAGGCTGGGGACGAGCTTAAAATGTTTGGGGCTATCCTGGGCCCATCATGGGGGTTGCCTGAACGGTGGTAGAGGAAGCTTCCAGGCACCCACCTCGCCCACCCGGGGAGCCCTGGCTTCCAGTCTGGACAGGGGAGCTATTTTTGAAAGGACCTAGTGGATGTTGGCGCACACCGCTCGGTGGCTGGACCCATGCTTTGGCTCCCTGGTATGCCCCATTCGGTTGTTCAGAGGGTTGTGGCTTCTTGAGCTTCTGTCACCTCGGCTGCCAGAACCGGGGGCTTACTGTGTAAGGCTGGTGCAGGCTGGTGCTACGGTCTACCGCTGCAGGCTCTACCGCTCTAGCCTTCCCAGGCCCGCGATCCATTCCGAACGGCTCGAACGGGGCCCTGGAACGGTGGACGTCCTTCCACACTTGGGATTTGGCTTCGGTCGGATCATCCAGACTGGCAGTGGCACTACCTACCAGGTCGGTTGGCTTGAAGTTTGCACACCAGACTCCAGACGTTCTATTCCAACTAGTCACTGTGGTTATCCACCTCCCTACTCAGAGTCTCACAGTATTCGCTCCATGGTCCTCTACTCGTAGCAGACTGGCAGGATCAGGGCCTGTCTAGCACAGTAGCCACAGGCTCCTCCATTCTTTTCAGCGGATCCCTTTGGCGTGTCTCCAACGCCACGCGCGATACCGGCAGTTCACCTCGTGAGTTGTCACTCGACCATGTTGGTTTGTTTCTTTCGATGTGTGTTCATGGAGGTGATCTATCTCTCAGTTCGCTCCTTCTCCTCTTAACCCCATGCATGTCTTTGTCCTCTAGCCCTGACGATCTGGCCCCAGCATTGGTCGGCTTGGGATCGACGTATCAGTTGACTCGGTTGCATGGCGCTCGCCGCTTCTTTCCTTGGCTGAGGTCGCCAAATATTCTCTCATTCAACGGTGAACGCTCCTTCTGCCCGTACACAGGTCTTCGATGCGACATTTGAGCGTCAATTTCGGCTGTCCAGTTTGTGGGAGTGGCGACCAGTCGTAGTGGGCCACTCTCGCTTTCCCCCCCGTGGACCAGAACGGCCAAGGTCGGACATTTACCAGTTTCCATCAAATCACTGCATCTCGCTTCGATTGCTACGGTGATTCCAAGAGATCTCGCAACTGACCTGACCTTACCTTTCTTCTACGTCAAAATTCTTCGCCCTCTCATCACTTTGGATCCTTGGACCTGGACTGTCCAGTCCACGCCCTGTCCCAGGCACGCAGAAGGGGACAGTGGGATGCCTCGACATTACAACACGACCCTCTTTCGATTTTCGATAACGAAGTACGACCGGTGTTGGGGCCTGCTTCGTGGAGCCGCGACTCTCCGTCGTCAAAGATGCAGAATCATCTCTTCTCTCTCAAAGAGTCGCCGAGCATCGCCTCCTCGGCGTCGCCACTGAGTGCCCACGATCCAAGCCAGCAGTCTCACTCGGCCACTTCGTTCCCTCCACATACTCGACCTGGGTTGACAATACAAGATCCAGCAACCATGTCTTCTTACTATCCTTCTCACGAGCTTGGATCGGCCTCCCCGCACGATGGCTATTCGCATCTCGGCGAAGCCTTACGAGCAGGAGGTGGGGGAAGTGGCACTCCCTCTCCTGCTCAAATTTCGGCCATGATGATGCATAACCCAAAAAGGGCCTATCGACAGAGACGGAAAGATCCGAGCTGCGACGCTTGTCGCGAGCGCAAAGTGAAGGTCGGTCTTTCAGGGATGCATGAGCGTCGACAGGTCACTAACGTGCTTCAAAAGTGTGACGCAACAGAGACCTCTAGTTGTACCGAATGCTCGAGTCGCAATGTCCGTTGCCAGTTCACCAAGGACACAAACCGTCGCATGTCGTCGATCAAGTGAGTCCGCCCGACCACTTCGCAAGCCAATTTTCTGACTCCCCACAGACAAGTACAGGATCTGGAAAGACAGTTGATTGAAGCACGTCAACAGCTTGAGCGGTTGCGTGCCGTTGAGCAAAGGAACGACCTGTCCACCGAGTTCCGTCCTGACACCGCCTCTCTAGCCTTCGCAGACTTCCCAACGGTCGGAAAATCGCCACGAAGGATGTTGAAAGCAAGGTCTCCTCAAGATCTCACAAACGCAAGGATGCAGTTGAATGACATTGGCCGCGGCTTGTTGAAACCCCCTGTCACGGGGGCGCACCCACGATCACATAGTGCGCACTCGAACGTTTCAGATCTGCAAGGTTTGCCATCACGAGCGGCGGCAGAGCGACTCCTGCACTATTACCACGAATGTGTACATCGCCATTTCCCTGTCTTGTATTGGCCGAGATTCCAGCGCACTTTCGCGATAGCCGTGGAGAAACCAAGTACACATACCCTACCAATCGACTGGGTGGCGACTTTGTATGGAGTGTTAGCATGCGGTGCGCTAGCTACCCACGAGTCCAGCAGACTTCCGGAAGCACAGGATTACCTTACGAGGGCAATATCAACCATCAACTTTTGGGAAGATGATGTCACTATAAACCAGGCAATCGTGGCGTTTCTGGCCAGCATCGCGCTGGTCGAGATGAACAGAAAGTCTGCCAGCTGGATCTGGCTGGGCTCTGCCATTCGTATCGTTCAGGATCTGGGCTTGCATGTCCAGGGTGGCCAATGGTCGCCTATAGAGGGAGAAATGCGCAAACGGATATGGTATTCCTTCTATGTTTGGGATCGGTACGTCTTCCAGGGGTGAACCCACGGGGTTTTTCGTGCTAACGGTTCCAGACTCCTAGCATTAGAACTGGGCAAGCCTATGCTTATCAATGACGACGAATGCGACACCGAGTATCCTCAGGTCCTCGATGAGGAAAGACTGGTGACCGACGACATCCAGACTCCTCTCCCACCCACCCTGCTGCTGGCGAGCGTTCACGTCGCCCGGCTTTTGGCACCATTGGCGAAGATGTTCCGTTCCCTCTGTATCACGAATGAAGGGTTGACGAAGTTCGAGACCCATCTGGGCGACTGCCTACAACTCTTTCCCCGGCCGTTGCACCTGTCAGCCACAACACCCTTAGATCCGTGTATCATGGCCCCATTACTTTATTTTCAAAACACCAGAATACTACTCCATCGCCATAATCTATCGCCTTCATCCTCTCCCGAGCAGCGAGCGCAGGCGATCGAACAGTGCGTCCACGCGGCTCGAGATACTGCGACTGTCATATCAAGATGCTTAGCACCTCATTTGCAGTCGCATGATTTGGAGCAGCGATTTATTCTCTCTTCCACAACTCTGATCTGCACCCATTTGTGGCGCTGCATGCTTCTGCTTCTATTTCGACAATTTTTCGACCCTTTTTTTGTGGTTCTGCGGGCTGCTTCTGTCATTAACGATGCGCGGTCCATCAACATCTGTTGTGGGAGGCACCTTTCCTTCTTCCTACGTCGGCTGGTTGAGCACTATGAACGGCCGGGCTCCCTCGACCCTGAGCACGACGAAGAAATCCTGGTTTATCTCTCTGCGGACCTGCAAGCGAGTACAAATAGCTGGGTGTGGGGCAATGCTGAGACTGGAACACATCTCAGCCGGCGTCAAAAGCATGGCAGACCCAAGCATCTGAATCCGGAGACCGAGCAGCACTCAATACCAAGTGCTCAGTCACCGTCCTGGGATAATTTTCTTTCCGAAGAGGAACAGCATGACTGGGGCGGGTGGCAGCATATCGAGCAATCAGCGAGATACTTGCAACGACTATGCGACTCAAAGCAACAGCGTGCACATGATCAACACCAAACTCCTTACCCAAGTCAACAAGCATCAAACGAGCATACGCCGGGACCGACACTTCCGCCATTGAACGCATCGAATCAACCTACAGGCGACCATCGATCACGAATGACGATTGCGAATATCATATAATAGAGTACGAATGCAAGTTTTAATCAGACAGTCACGAAAATTGTATGACTGGTTATATATGTTTGACGAGCAGTCAACCGCATCGAAGCATTGATGGAGATACCCTATACCTAGAAACGAAGCAAGCAATGACAACCCGCCGAAAACTTCCGTCTCGCATTCTGCATTCGAACAAAGGTACGACATGTGCCCCTGGAGACACCCAGCTGGAGCACAGGGCTTTGTGACTTGGCCTCTGATCGAACACGTTGTCGCCGCCTCCCGTATGACCATGTGCTTATCGCCTCCTGGACAAGTCGATACATTGATTTGGTATTCTGACAATATTGTGGCAGGAGAAGAAAAAAACCGGACATCGCGCCATTGTTTCGCGAGTGAATCATCGTGACTAAACCGCCTCTCCCTTGCAAGTTCTTGCCAACATCTATCGGTACTCGTGCATTTGTCATAGTACCAACCTCTGCTTGAGCTTTTACGTGTCTGATATCTCCTCCACGCCGCAGCACTTCCTGAAGGTCCTGCAAACTGTTAGAAAATGGTTCCAAGGAAGATATGAAAGAAGCAAAAGAGTCGTGTGCGATTGAGGCAGCCCTTTTGCCATGTACAGCCGAGACACCTGCCAGCCAGCCACTCCCTCCGAGTTTGAGTCAGGAAGGCAATGGTATCTTCCGTCAACTCTGGTTTATCCCTCAACCCGCGAGAAGGTAAGACATGTGCTTGGATCTGACACTCACATGCGTGAGTCTCTTGAGGCATGGCCTTGGGCTAATCGAGTCAATATACCACCTTGGGTGGACTGAATATGCCTAAAATCTTTATTTTCTGGGTGAATCTGTTCGCTTGCCGGGCCTCAGCTCGACTCATGTAAAGAACGGACGCACTCACCGTTTTAAGCGACTTTGGTTGGAACTTGGGTATGAGGACAAGTTTGGTGGTGAGCAATTGAATTGCCAGCGTTTTGCCCGGACGAGCTGTTTCAAGAGTTTGCCCCGACTCATTGTTCAAGGTGTTCGACTCACTGTTCAAGGTGTTCGACTCACTGTTCAAGGTGAAGAGGGCGAATAGGGGATTGTTTTCTGTGAGAGCTACTAGTATATTTAGGTTCTCAATTGTAAATGCCACGGCCGATAAAAGGCTTCTTGCGTCTTGCTACATCTGGTGCATACTTCATATACAGTGGTTAGGCCGGGAAACGCCACCTAAACATAGTCTTGAGGCCATTTTCTCATTGACGGTGATGACGCTCATCAATAGCAAAGCTCCTCACGAAGGCCGGCCGCATTGTAAATCAAAGTTCGGCGGATGATATCGACCGAGGAGCTCCGCTCAGGGACCCTCAAGACAAAGCTTGCTGAGGAAGTTCATCAAGAAATGTCGACCTAGCGTGTCATTGATGGATGATACATACAAACCCACTTAATCCTTCGGCACCTCAACAACCGTGCCCCGTGCCTCAACCTCCTTAGCAGTCGAGAGGTCCAATGCTTCCACAATTCCCACTCTCTCCGCTTGCGGCACTCCCATAAGAGTCTCCAACTTCGGGACATCACTGTGCACCACGCCATCCAGATTCTCATCGATCTCTTCGAGCGTTCGTCCGCGGGTCTCAACCCAGGTTACCAGTACAACAACGAGCTCAAGGACGTCCCAAGCGCCGTTGATCATGTAGGTCTTCCAGCCGATGGCCTCGAGTGCGAATGGGAAAGAGAAAGTGACCATCAAGCCAACGCCGTTGACGAGGAATGTGTACCAACTCATGCCGATGGATCGGATGCTATAGTTTAGGACTTCGGGCGGGTACAGGACAGTCAGGGGCGTCCAGCCGAAGCTGTAGGCGCCCTGGAACAGGAAGATGGCGGCGACGGTGCCGTAAATACCGGACTGGTTGGTCGAGTTGCCGTATACTTTGGTCAGGGCGCCGACGATGAAGATGAAGATGGTCAAGAGGCCGGTGGAGATGGCCGCTAGAGACTTGCGGCCTAGTCTGTCGGACATCATGGTACCGATGATGGAGACCACGAGGCACCAGGCGTTCAGGATGATGTTGATTTCCAGCTGCGTTGTCGAGTCCGTGACTCCGGCCTGGGTGAGCATGGTGCCGAAATAGTACGAGATCTGCAACTCGTCAGAAAGCCGTCTCAAATGAAGACAGGGACTTTTGAAGGCAAAAGAATCGTGCTTAGCTGGCACGGCCTTTTGGCGAAGAGAGTACATACGATGTTGTTGCCGCTCAGCATGCAGAAGACGGCGACCGTGCTGACCAGGAAAATCCGCTTGCGCGTGGTTGCGCTGCTGAGGAATTGGCTCATAAACGAGCGCTTCTCGTACGTCTGCTCAAAGGACAAGGTGTCGGTGACTTCGCGGTACTGAATGAGCACGGCGGCGTCGTCGATGTTGCCGTTGGCACAGGTGTTGGCCAGCGCAACGAGGGCTTCTTGATTTCGTCCTTGGGATACGAGCCACCGAGGACTCTCGGGCGTGAAAGGCAAGAGTGAGAGACACATGATGCTGAAGAGACATTGGAGCAAGGACGGGAGGCGCCATGCCCATGTTGAGTCGAACTTGGCAGTGCCATATGTGACGCCTGCGGCAATCAGGCCGCCGACGTACCAGAAATCGTAGAATATGCCCAATCCCCAGGCACGGTATTTGACAGGCAGGGTCTCGGCCAAGTAGATAGGACCAGCAATAGAGGAAGCACCTGTGCCGAATCCAATGATGATTCTGGCGATGACGAACATGGCAATGTTCTGGGCGGCGGTTTGGATGATGACTCCGATGATTGTGAGGATGGCGCCAAAGAACAAGGCCCATTTGCGTCCGATCCAGTCAGGGACTTTTGCGTACACGATGCCGCAGATGACACTGCCCATCCAGACGGAGGCCGTGTTGAGCGCCAGCGTGGCCGTGGTGAGGGTGAAATAGTCGGTGTAGGAAGGGAGGATGTTCAGACCGTTCATCATCGAGCCGTCGAAGCCTAGGGTCTTTTGGACACATGGGTCAGGGTCAGCATTGCTCTGTGCCTTGCCGATGAATGCATGGGGGTGCGATGTAGGAACAAGGGGTGCGGAGGATATTTACCGTCGAGGTCACACATGATGTGAGAACCAGCAGGGCACTGGCGACGCGTGAGTCTTTGGGCACCCATGAGGGCAGACTCCAGGGAATGGGGGACATTTTGTTGCTTGATGCTGTTTCACAGGACTGTGCTTCCCTCCGAAAAGCCTGACGGAGTACTGATACGGCGACTCTTGAATTTGGTTGGGTTTTGGGTTCGTGGAAGCTCGAATGGACCGAGGGATTATCGCTGCCCTATATAGACATAATGCACAGTAGCGACATCTCGCTCGCCTGGCTAGAAACAACGACTTGATGCTCGTGTTCGTACTCTTATGAACGAATGGTGTTGTCCATGAGATAGCGTACGTCAAGAGATCTCCTGTTCGGCCAATAACGATTCAGGGATTATGTGACCTGGACCAAGACGCCGGCTGGTGTTGAGATTTGGCTTTCGTCTGTTATCTCTGAGACTGGAAGATGAAGCTGGGTCGACAGTGGCCCTGTTGGTTTAGCACGGTCTAGATAACCGGCTAGTCGTCGATTGGCCGGTGTTGTCCGGACCGTTCTATAGTATCTCCTCCACAGCGCTCCTTTCCCCGTATTTCGCAGGGGTGTGGAAGTCCGTCGAGGTTGTGCATTGACAAACTCGGCCGAGCTCAGCCGAAAGAGGCGCCCAGGTAGGTTAGAAGCATTCGTAGATGTCCGTAAACCTTGAGCGTGCAGGCTATTTAACTCGAGTCTTTCATTTCTGATATCTGATATCTCGAGTTGCACACAAGGACATCGGCGTCATTGGTGATAAGGAAGAGAAAGGGAAAGCGACGGACACAAGATGCCTGGAAAACTCTTGTCTTGGCCGGATTGGCCCGAGTTCACGGCCTCCAAGGCAGAACGTGGTGACGACCTTGTCGGGTACAAGAAGGCTATCGTGGACAAGTATGGGAAAGACGCGCTTGTGCAGAGCTGGCTAAGAGTCTGCAAGGAGCTGGAGTCGGTGACAGACTCTATCGCTGAGCTAGGGTCTTCTGCTATACCAGAAATTCAGTTCCAAGACATTTTCGCCCTGACACCTGAACAAAAGACCAAGCTCAAGGATACGGGATGTTTTGTCGTCCGCAATGTCTTCAGCGAGGCACAAGCCGACGAATGGTTCCAGAACCTCAAGGAGTATGTTGCTGCAAACCGGTCATCGATAGGAGGTACGTCTTTCTTGAAGCTCAGTACCTAACTCAAAAAGGTCGAGACTTTTGTTTCTTCGTTAACAATGATGCACTCCAGGCTGGCCTGCTGAAACGCCGTTCATTCTCAACCTGTATTACTCGCCGACCCAGATAGCAGCCCGGTCGCATCCGAATCAGTTGAGACTGTCGGAGGAGCTCAACTCTTGGTGGCACGACGACACTGGCACCACCTCGCCCGAACCCCTCTCCTATGCGGACGGGGTGCGTATTCGACCTCCCGGAATCCCGTTTCGAGGTCTCGGTCCGCACATTGATGCTGGAAGCCTGTGTCGATGGGCCGATCCTGTTTACCAGTCATTCTACTCCGCCGTTTTCTCGGGCCACCCAGAACTGCTGGACATCTACGATTTGACCATGCGCAAGGACGCCAATCAGGCCATGTTTCCGGGGTCTGCCCACTCGAGAGTCTTCCGAAGCTTCCAGGGCTGGACCGCGTTGACCTCGGCAGGACCGGGTGAGGGTAGCTTGATGCTGTATCCCAATGTCAAATGGACCATTGCCTATTTGCTGCTGCGGCCATTTTTCCGAGCACCGGACTCTGACTCGGAAGAAGATGTCAGGGATGCGGGCAAGTGGACATTCGACCCGGAAACTCCTTGGTTTCCTGGAACGTTCAGAGCCGATAGCCAGCTGCTGAGCCCTTCTTCGCACCCCCACCTTCGGTTGCGCGAGTGCATGGTCGGCATCCCGAAGATGAACCCCGGCGATACGGTTTGGTGGCACGCCGATATGTGTCATGCGGTCGAGGTTGACCACAATGGTGACCACGAGGCGAGCGTCACCTACATTGCGGCCACGCCCAGGACGGAGCAGAATAAGAGCTATATCAAGGGCCAGTTGGAGGATTTCTTGAAAGGCAATCCGCCCGAAGACTTTCGGAGAGGTCCCGGCGAAAAACATTTCAAATTGTTTACTGGCGAGAAGAGTATCCTGAGTGGTGAAGCAGGGAGGCGGGCTATGGGATTCGATCTGCTTGCTTGATTGATAGAGTGATGTGATTGTCGGCGCAGCTCCCCCCGTGTTAGTAGTTGTGTAGCACCACAGAGAGAGAGAGAGAGAGAGGCGCCAATAACGCCATCAGTTGCTCACAACGATCAAGCCAGTACTCGTGTCTGATGAGATGTTCTTTCCATGCCTGATCGAGGAACAGCACGAAGTTTCAAAGAGATATGGAAGCACGAAACTCCATATAATCTATCCAGGGGATATTAGTGTCAGTCCAAGGTTGATCATCCTGGATCCAAGGCATTTCCAGCTCCCTGTGTCGTACATCTATTATATATCATTTTTTGGTCAGAGGGTTGCTTAACAATGGCATGCGATGGTCAACAACTGTAGATCACGCTGTTTGAAGGTACCGGAGCCGGGGCCAATAGAATTGCGCCTTTGTCGGCTGCGATGATAAAGCGGCGTGACGCCTTTCGCTAGGACACAAGTGCCAGATATCGCAGTCCATCAAACAGCCTCTTCGCAGCCTATTCAATGTGATTGTTCAGGGCGTGTCCACCGGCCCTATTAGTCCTGAATGTGCCATGCGCATGAGTCTTCGGGATGTGAAGCTTCCAAATGTATCACCACCACCTGCCCTATCTTCCACCGGACGGATTGCACAATGGCTGAGGGGCGTCTGTCTACTTTTGCTAGTCTTTGGCCTCGCTTCAATAGTGAGCGTAGAGGCACAGACGTCGGGACAAATCACGGCACTGAAAAAGGAGGTTGAGGATCTCTTTTATCATGGCTACGAAAATTACATGGCGCATGCCTTTCCTGAAGACGAACTGCGACCCATCTCCTGTAGACCCCTGACACGCGACCGTGAGAATCCGGCTCACATCGAGGTCAACGACCCTCTCGGAAACTATTCCTTGACCCTCATCGACAGCCTATCTACCCTGGCGATCCTAGCCTCGAGTCCCACAAGTCCAAAGCACAATAAGGCCCTCAGATTGTTCCAGAATGGCGTCCGAGACCTCGTCAGCCAATATGGCGATGGCACTGACGGAGACTCCGGTCAAGGGCTGAGAGCTCGAGGGTTCGATTTGGATAGCAAGGTACAAGTCTTTGAGACTGCAATACGCGGTCTTGGAGGCCTTTTGAGTGGTCACTTATTCGCTGTGGGTGAACTGCCGATACGGGGTTACAGTCCTTCGAAGGAGCAGATTGCCTCTGCAAAGTTATGGCACAAGAGAGAGGTAGATGGATACAGTCGTGGTATACTCTGGCCGAATGGGTTCGAGTATGATGGACAACTGCTGAGACTGGCACTTGACCTGGGAAACCGTCTGATGCCCGCCTTCTGGTCCGCCACCGGCATACCTTATCCTCGGGTCAATCTTCGCTCTGGGATTCCCTTCTATACCAATTCGCCCCTTAACCTCGGCACAGAAGACGGACAGTGTGATGCCCGATCCGGTATGCCTGAAATCACTGAAACATGCAGCGCTGGCGCTGGAAGCCTCGTCCTCGAGTTTACTGTCCTGAGCCGGTTGACCGGAGACAGTCGTTTCGAAGAACTTGCCAAGAGGGCTTTTTGGGCTATCTGGCAGAGACGGAGCACTCTGGACTTGGTTGGGAGTGGCATTGATGCAGAGACTGGTAATTGGATTGGCACATGGACTGGAATCGGTGCTGGCATCGACAGCTTCTTCGAGTATGCTTTCAAATCGCATGTCCTTCTTTCGAGAGAAGCGCATCCGCGTTACGAGGACTCTACGAATGCTGAAGACCCGAGGGTGCTGTTTGAGTCTCTTCCACTCGAGGAGGACACTTCACAGGCTTTTCTCACTGCGTGGGATGCTGCCCATGCTGCGATCAAGAGACATCTGTACCGTGGGCCGAATTTTCAGCACCCGCACTACATCCAGGCTGATCTGATCACTGGGGCTGCTAGAGGTTTCTGGATCGATGCTTTGAGTGCTTTCTATCCTGGATTACTGGCATTGGCTGGCCATGTTGAAGAGGCCGTGGAGACACATCTTCTTCAAACCGCTCTTTGGACTAGATTTTCTGCTCTGCCAGAGCGCTGGAACCTGGTCACGGGTGGCATTGAAGGTGGCTTGGGTTGGTGGGTAGGCAGACCAGAGTTCATTGAGTCGACCTACTACCTCTATCGCGCCACTGAGGACCCATGGTATTTCCACGTTGGGGAAATGGTCCTTCGCGACATCAAGCGGCGTTGCTGGACCAAATGCGGCTGGGCCAGCATTCAGAATGTCTTGACCGGCGAACAGACTGATAGAATGGAGAGCTTTTTCTTGGGTGAAACGGCCAAGTATCTCTTCCTCCTCTTCGATCCATCACATCCTCTCAATCATCTCGACGAGCCCTTTGTCTTTACAACCGAAGGTCATCCGCTCCTCATTCCTCGAAGTGTGGACGATGGCCACCATCAAGGCAAGCTCTGGAATCCCGCACCTCGGGAAGCACATGTCTGTCCTGTCAAGCCACAGCCACTCCCCTTTAGTATCTCGAATGTTGCAGCAAGAGGGGACGTGTACCACGCCGCCAATCTTGCACGACTACACCTGACGCCGACTAGAGATACCGTCGAGTCGGTGCTCGGTGAATATGCAGCTGATCATCCTAGCATTACCTTGTCGGACATCAGCTCTCCCTCCAATTACACTTATTACCCTTGGACACTACCACCGGAATTGGTCTCGGTCAATGCTACCAGTTCACTCATGCCAACGAGACCTACACTTGACATATCATTCCCAGCTGTCTCGCATTCAGGCCAACCTTCCCCACCTCTCCAGCGTGTCAAAGAAGGTATCCTGATCAGCGCCATTGGGGGCCTGCGACTGGGTATGGTCCAGGACATTCCGATACTGCTTGACAACGGCATATTCGATGCTTTCCGTATTCAGACGATCAACAACATCCCACTAGGCAAAGATGAGAAAGTGTTTCTTGCACACGAAACAGGCAAAGAGAGCTTGAGCCTCAACGACCCCAACTTCACGCGCATTCGAGATCCGATCATGCTTGATGTTGTAATTGACCTAAGCGGACCTGTCGAGCAGCAAAGTAGCCAAACAAATTCCACCGAAGATACCTTTGTTATTGACATGCCAGAACTCTCAAGTTCGTCGGATAGTGCCATGAAAGCAGCATGGAATGCCATCGTATCGCAACTGTCCAGTCTCCTCAAGGACCATCCGCACACTTCCTGGCCTTTTACAACGCCGTTGTCACTTCAGTCAAGTCCGTCAAAGCACACTCCTGGTTCTGCTTCAAACAGCATGCCGCGCTATCACCTTACAGCCGTGACACCCACCGGCCCTGGCGCTGCACCTTTGCCAGACTGGTCCGAAGTCATGACCCCGACGTCCGCTGGAGCACAAGTCCCACCACTGCTGTGGGAAACAATATATGCCGCAGACGAGCTTTGCGACTACAAACTACCCCTAAATATTGTCAAGACACATCAGATCCTTGTGATCAAACGCGGCGGATGCAGCTTCAGCCGCAAGTTAAGCAACATTCCTGCTTTTTCGCCCTCGTCTCAGTCTCTTCAACTCGTCATCCTCGTTTCATATGGCGCTGACCAGATATCCGACGACGGCGATCAGGCATCAGCTGGTGATGATGAAGAAAATCTCGTCAGACCATATCTAGACGAGGCACAGAAGACTCCGGGAGGACTTCCCAGGCACAACGCCATTCCTATGGTAATGGTCGCTGGTGGCAAACGGGTCTACGACACTCTAGCGACAAAGACCGTTGGCGTCGGCATCAAGAGACGTTATCATGTTGAGACCGAAGGAGTCAGGATTGCAAATTTGATCATTCTGTAAAACACAAACACGAAGTGTGCAGCTATGTCTGGAGTTGACGCAAAACTATCGCGGTTCTGGAATACAGACACACGTTTCAATGATGCGATGCAACCCATGCTAGATCACCTAGATGCGGTTGACAGAATCCAGTTACCATCTCCCCCTCCAACTCTTCTCCCAAGCTCTCTCGTCCTCGTCTGCCCTTTCTATCGCGCGCCTCCACTCCCTTTCCATCCTCCTCGCCAGCTCGTCTGGACTCTCGCCCTCTGGGCCTGTCGAGGCGGGGCTCTCGCACCCTCTCAACCCGATGAACCGGCCAAAGCGCCGCCGTTTCGTTTCGAGATCTACATCGCCGTCATGAGCACTGTGGTGGCCCGGCGCTTCTTCGTCGAGAACGGCGTTCCGGGGCGCTCCGCTCGGGTGCATGGACGTCCACGCAGGGATCCAGGCTGGGTACATGAAGGTCTCGTCGACGGGCGGCTCCACCTGGTGGTACCATCGCGCCATGCTGTCGAGCTGGTTGTGCGTCAGGAGGTGGTATTGCAGCAGGCTCGTGGGGAACGAGGGGTGAGGGAGGCCGTTTGTCACCGAGATCAACGGCACGAGAGGGGCCCGCAGGTGTTCTACACTGTGCATGTACTGGACCCGTGTGCGCAGGCTGGTGGGCGAGAGGGACTTGTCCGATACGACCACGTGGTAGCGCGGTGGAGGCGGAAGGTGAATGCGCACGCGCGGTCGCTTGCGAATGGGCGAGCGTGTCAGGATCGGCGTGGGCACGTGGGGCCTGGCAATGCGCTTGGGGTAAGCGGACGGGGAAGACGAGGAAGACGAGGAGGGAGAGCAGGAGGATGGAGATGTAGGTGACCAGTCCATCAAGGTGGTGGCGTCGGAGGAAGGAGTCGACGGCTGGTGGTTCTGGTCCTGGTCCTGGTCCTGGTGTTCGCTGATCGAGGCCATGGGCTCGGAGATAAGTGCGTCGCCGTTGTACAGACTCGTGTTGACGCGCAGGGGAAGGTTGAGGACTCGGTCCACGTTCGGACTGCGCATGGCCATGCGGCTTTGGCGGCCGTCTTGTTCCAGGCTCTTGAGCGCCGTGGTGGATGAGGCTTGGAAGTATGCTCTTTCTGGTGTGCGGATGAAAAGAGGCGACGTCGGCATGAATGATGCTTGCTGCGGTGATGTGACGGGTGTGGTCAGGCTGTTGCGCCGGCATACTGAGTGGTTGGCTGGGGCCCAGCTCGGGCTGCTTGCCATGGCTTGCGGAAAGACGAAGTGGCCCGGCACAGTACTAGTATCGGCTTGCTGAGAGGAGAAGAATGTCACCCGCGACGGTGACAGTGTTGCGGAGCCAGGCTCGACGGTCGTTGAACGAGGAGATTGCGGCGAGGGTAGAGGGAGCGTGGGAGAGGTCGGGGTCGGTGGAATCATGGTCTCAAGAAGTCTTACCCACGACTCGCGCACGAAAAGATCTGTAGGGGGCAAGAGAATGGCACGTCAAGCTGAATCCAACCTTCAGGTGGTTGCTTGCAAATGCGCTACAGGGTGAAGTATGGTACTGATGGGTAAGGATAGATGTTTGGCGGGATCAATGAAGGAGACAGACGGCGCTGCTGGATTATCAGATCAGACTTTTTGAACGTGCTCAAAGAACCGGCCCAGATTTGAGAGGCCTGCATAGAACACAAAGCCGTTTAACGTTAAGAATAGAATCTTCCCTAGATACTCCTCGAACATGATAGGGAATGACTGGTTGGCGCCCTTTGTTGCCAAACAGAGGTCGCTGTATGTTTCTTTGTCCCAGATCCCAGACAATCAGCAAACATCCGCATCCCCACCGCTCTTTTACCACCATTCGGGCCCATATCAGACATGGCGGCAGTCAGAGGTACATGGCAGCCAAAAGGTATGAATGAACCCGGTAGTCGAGGCAATAGGCCGTGCCTTGCCTTGCCACGAGTAGCTGGAGAAAAGTGCAGTTGATGCTCGTAAGGTTATATATGGCTCTCACAGTTGGCACCAGTCAAAGTCTTTGTTTGTGGCTGCTGCATCTGGAATGTTGAAGATCAATCCGTGCGTCTTTATCACCTCAGACCATTGTTCCAGAGCCATATGGAGAGCTATACTCCGTACATCTCGGAAAAAGAAGAACCTACCCAGGCTTGCGACGACGAGACCTTGCCGGCGAGCCTGGTAGCCTTGTAAGGCCATGCTTAAAGTGGCTGGCGAGGCTGGCGAGGCTGGCGAGGCTAGGCTAGCACGGCTAGTTACAAGTAACATAGGCGTGCATAGGCATACTTACCTAGGGCTTCTCTGGGCGTACTAGGCTACTAGTTTAGGCCACTAGGCTTATTGATTCCTAGCTAAAGCTTTCGCTTTCCGGCTTGCCTAGGTTAGCTTAGCCTCGCCTGACAGCAGGACGCCTGACGTAGTACTGTACGGAGTATGCGCATCATCTGTGTGGGCGATCTCTCTAGAATCCCCAACTGAGATGCCTAAACGATTCAACATCTCGCCCCATTACTTACTGACCTCTGATCGCAGTATAACTTTGTGCCGATGAGTCTCGAATTTCGCTCAATCCTCCCATGGAGGATCACGAAGCGTCAATCATCGAAGAACCTGAACACAATACTACTACTTGATCGCCAAGCCACGGTGGCACGATCTCGTACGAGTAGTAAACAGTACCTAGGTAGATGGACAGTGACCTCCGCAAAACAGAGTGGGAGTGGCGTCTCGTAAGCGCCCTACTGTACTTAGCACTTAGCAGGGTCGTTCTGAGCACACGACCGATTGCCAGCACTCGATATGTCAAAGAAGATGGCACAGTTCCCTTCTTGGTCGACTCTGGCGCTCTTGATGACTACCCGCGCTCTTGTGATTCCTCTCGATGGGTTGAGCTGAATGCCAGTACGGATACGTCATGTATTGATCTGACTATGAACAACAAGGACGCCAATCCGGTTCGCGGCAACGCAGGCGAACCGACTCGAAAGCCAAAGTGCTGATATTATCTCAAACGGGAGACTTTTCGCCAATCATTGAGAATTTCCGTGCCGTGTGCCTAGTCCCGTACGAGGAGCCAACGAAGTACGGAGTACAGTAGAAGGTGTAGTATGGGTCAAGTTATGAGTCTGTCGGGTATGCGGACAGCCCTGGACTCGCCCCTGTACCGAACATGTCAAGCAGCACAAATGATAACACCAACAGAATGCACGACTTCAACAGCACAGCAATAAAGCATCCTTCGAAGCTGTCGCATAGTAATAGGTCATCGAGCGAAAGCGCCATGTTGATGTGCATCAAGGAGTTCAGCTCACTTGGGTACCCCGGAGAATGAAACCTGGGGTCATACGAGGAGTACCGTTGATAGTCATCCTTTGTCACGCTACTACTTGTAAGATCGTTGTCTTGCGATATCGGGCCGGTCATGTTGAACCGCTGAAGGTGAAATGAAGCGAGAAGCAACATTCGATGACAGCTCTTGAGGAGTAACGCGAGCATCATTATACTTGATCCGGTAGCTGTCTCGTGTGGGCGCTATCAAACGACCCGCCTAGGCAACACGAGGCCAGGGTTTGATGACCGTCATTACCTCCGAAATGCTTGCTTTGAAGCTTCCGCGAAGATTCCGTTGGAACGGCGTTTGTGATTATTGAGCATCTGTTCGTTGCGTCGTTATACTGTCCATCGATGCGCCCAGCTGCAGGTCAGATTGCGCTGCAGCTTGCTTGAAGCTAGCCAGACGGTACAATCCCAGCCTTGGGTCACATCGCTGTTCTCGGCTTCCGAAGAACGATCAGATGAGAGATCATGCCAGTGCGTGCCAGCGATACAGAGTGAGAGGGGGTCCACACACTGTCGGGGTTGCCGTGGTACCCGTGCAGGAGTTGTAGGGGTGATGGCGAGCGAGCTTCGCTCAATCACAGACCGAAGAGCTTGACAGCTAAGCACTCAAATTGAGATGCTTGGTGGTGATTGGCAAGAGGCCAAGATCTGTCAAGCCTAGACAGGGATCCACGACCAGAGGATACAGTGGCCTTGGTATTGCGGCAGGGCGCCTCCTCGTCATCCTCTGCAGCTGCCAAACTCCAGCGTTGCAACGCTGATCCGGAGGGGACCCCGTGGATCATCTCGCCGCTTGCTCTTTTGGTCTAGTCGGAGGCAAGGCTCTCTGCCAACGACATGACCTTGATTCTCGAAGAGATCCAGTATTTCCCCCTTTGGCGTAACTTGGACGCGGTCACATGGGAGATTCCCTCCACAAGGCCGACCGCGGGCTGTCTGCTACGAGCTCGTACACGCGAATCCAGTATCAGCAAATGGAGATACACTCCCCTGCTCGGTGGAGACCAAATGTCCCTCTTGCTATGGTGAGTCGTTGATTTCAAAATCTTCACCTGCTAAATTGTTGATCCATCGTATGGAGGGACCCCATGGAGCTGCCAGGGAGTCTGCATTTCACCGCACAGCTGATCCTCCCCGCTTCGCAGGGGACCGTGGACGTGGGTTGTCCTTGTCCTCCCCAACCGATAAAGTCATCGAGTCCGCACATTCTGATCTCTCTTCTTCCCACACTCAACCGAAGCTCGTGTGAAATCGATTGCTACCCGCACCATGGCGTCCAACGAGATATCGCAAGAGCAGAAGCACGTGTAGGTTTACAATCTGAAGAGTTCTCACATTAACCAGATGGCTAACCTCCCCTCGCGTAGTAGTGACGACGAGAAATATGTGGGTGAGAAGCAGGAAACCGCGCATGTCGACTTGACGAACAGCGCTACAGCCAAGTATGTCCCCCTTCAGCCTTGATGCGCCCCTCTGTTCTGACCGCCGCAGGATCAAGAACCCTCTTGCGCACCTGTCCAATGAAGAAGTCATGAAGGATGTCCAAGATTTCGCCAACACCAACGGCTTCCCGGAAATGACTGATATACTCGTGAAAGGCGCGCTCGTTGCCAAAGATCCTCCGGCCTTTGAAAGTGTCCCCGGTCTCTCGGAGGGCGAAAAGGACGCTATCAGAAACGAGGTCTTGCACAAATGGCGCCAACCAAGGTCGCTTTACTTCACCATCATTCTCTGCTCAATCGGCGCAGCCGTCCAGGGTTGGGATCAAACGGGTTCCAATGGTGCCAATTTGTCCTTCCCAGATGCCCTCGGTATCCCTATCTCCGACACCCTGGCCGATGGCTCTCCCAACCCGAACGCCGCTCGCAACCAGTGGTATCAAGGATTGATCAATGCCGGACCTTACATCGCTTCTGCCTTCCTGTAAGTTGGATTCCTCTATGCAGCTGCGCAGAAACCTGACCTGTCTCCCAGTGGGTGCTGGTGCTCTGATCCCCTGAACAAATACTTTGGCCGTCGTGGCACAATCTTCGTGTCGGCTGTCTTCTGCTTCTTGTCTCCTATCGGTAGTGCCGTGGCTCAAAGTGAGTGTTCCCCAGCTCCTCCGAGGCTCTTTACTAACGTGTCAAGCTTGGGAACAACTTCTGGTCACGCGACTGCTCCTTGGTATTGGTATGGGTTGCAAGGGCTCGACCGTTCCAATCTTCAGCGCCGAAAATGCCCCAGCCTCCATCCGTGGAGCTTTGGTCATGAGTTGGCAGATGTGGACTGCTTTTGGTATCTTTCTGGGAACATGTGCCAACCTTGCCGTCAAGGACACTGGTTCCATCTCCTGGCGCCTACAATTCGGCTCTGCCTTTATCCCTGCTGTGCCATTGCTTGTCGGCATCTACTTCTGCCCAGGTGAGTGACCACTGTAGTGATCTGCCCCCACCACCGTCTCGGACCACTAATACTGGTACAGAGTCACCTCGTTGGTACATCAAGAAAGGCAAATATATCAACGCCTACCGTTCTCTGAAGAGACTCAGAAACACCGAACTCCAAGCTGCTCGTGACCTTTACTACATCTATGCCCAGCTACGCATGGAGGCTTCCCTTGTTGACCGACAGACGAACTACGTCACACGCTTCATCGAGCTGTTTACGATCCCTCGTGTCCGTCGTGCCACCCTCGCCTCGTTCACAGTCATGATTGCTCAGCAGATGTGCGGAAGTGAGTCACTGTCCAGCATCAAAACTTTTCAGTGGGCCAAGTCGTGCTAACAATGGACATGCAGTCAACATTATTGCTTTCTACAGCTCTACCGTCTTCGAACAGGCGAATGCCTCGGTCACAGAATCATTGCTCGCCTCCTGGGGTTTCGGCTTGGTCAACTTCGTCTTCGCGTGGCCCGCCATTTGGACCATCGACACCTTTGGCCGTCGATCACTCCTCTTGTTCACTTTCCCCCAGATGGCCTGGACTTTGCTTGCCGCTGGTCTGTGCTACCTGATTCCCTCGGACAGCAAGGCTCACTTGGGCCTCGTGGCCCTTTTTATCTATCTGGTATGTGACCTTTTTTTGCTAGTTCCTTTGGGTGTGATGATCGAAAGTGTTTATTAACGACGCCCCGTCTATCTAGTTTGCGGCATTCTATTCTCCCGGTGAAGGTCCCGTGCCATTCACATACTCGGCCGAGGTGTTCCCCCTGTCTCATCGTGAGGTCGGTATGGCTTGGGCCGTGGCAACTTGTCTCTTCTGGGCTGCCGTGCTCTCCATCACTTTCCCCAGAATGCTTAGCGCTATGACACCTACCGGTGCTTTCGGATTCTATGCCGGCTTGAACCTCGTTGCGTTCTGCATGATCTTCTTGTGGCTGCCCGAGACCAAGCAGCGCACTCTGGTACGTACTAGTATTTTTTCACACACTCACAACCCAGCCCAACCCATTCGGGATATCCCTTCTTCTCTCTGGGGCCGCAGATGCAGATTTACTGACCTTTTTTCTTGGGGGATAACAGGAGGAACTCGACTACATCTTCGCCATCCCGACTCGCACGTTTATGAAGCATCAATGCGGCACCGTCTTGCCATGGTGGATCAAGACGTACATCTTCCGCCGCAAGATCGGTCCTTGCCCGTCGTTGTGGTCGTTCGATGGACATGTGGACAACGACAAGGAATTTGTCGAGACCATTCGTCGCCAGAGCGCCGCCGTCCAAGGAGGCCGTCGCCGAAGTAGCATCGCAGACAAGATTGTCAATAGATTCTAGACGCCATTGGCAATGGCAATGGCCGTGGCCACCAAGCAGCTATTGCGACCGCCACTTTTGACGAGGAGGTACTAGTCCCTCCAGCTTGGCAAGGTCTGCAGCAGGTCCGTCATGGCACAGCTTAAGCACGACATAGGAGTTGAATGCGAAGGGGAAAGAAAATTCGGTCCATGCCGACCATGAAACAGAATGTCAAACACGTTAACGAAAAAGATACCCAAGAATCACAAATGACAATTTTTAATAGTATCTCTCAAGTGAAGTCTACTTCACAGAGATTGTTCTATGGTTCGGAATCCTTCTAGGAATCACATCTCGACGAAATAAAGCGCCGTGAAAGGCCGCAGCTGGCTTCAAGAAATTTCACAGCCACCAAAATGCGACCAAAGCAAGACTGCACCCTGACGAGACCACGAGAGCCATGCTTCCTAGCTTTGTTGCATCACTCGTCTTGAACCTATCCATGGTTGGCACCTGGGTCGGGACGGCTACTGGCTTCACGCTCTCCAAATTGGTGAAAACCTCGCTAGTATTCCTCGAAAAGCCCAGCGAATAATTGGCCGCTTTGAAGAGCACCTCATTGGTCGCATGGAATGTTTCCGTGCCGAATTGCAGTGTGCCGAGATAGACGTCCTTGGGCATGAATCCCAATTGCCACAGATAGTGAATCAGAGACGAGTAGTCGGCGTCCACGGCCGTCAGATTCGTCTCGGGCAACCACGAAAAGACAGTTTGATTCTGCGTGTTGTTGCCATGGAAGAGGAAACTGGAAAGCACGCCACGAGTTAGCGAAGACAACCAAACAGATAAGCTGCCATGCGCAGCATCATGATAGGTTGTGAGGGACTGACAATCTTGTGTCGCCGACGATGAACTGGTGCTTGTCGGGACTCGAGGTTGATATGCCCACAGGGTACACGTCAAAGGAGTACGAGAGCCAAATCATGATTTCATAGTGCGGTAGAGGGCCCGTTGCGTCGGTAGAGTTGGAGTCTAAGAACATGTCCAGGGCAATGTTGTACTGCACGTCACTGTCGTCGAGGGATTGGACGCGTTGTCCCTGGCTCTCGTTGTATGCCGATGTCACGTTGACGCTGAACATGCCGGAGAAGTCGATCGAGGACAGCTCCCCGAGCGGCAGGGGGTACAAGGGCGAGTCGAGTTTGAAGTGCGGGTAAGCATGGACGTCTTTGGAGTTGTTCATCCATTTCCATGTCGCATCGAATGCTGAACCGTTATTTTTCACCTGTGAACAAGTCGAGTCGTTAATGCGGCCCGGGTTGCGCGCACCCCAGCTGGAGTTTCAAAAACTCACCGTTATGCACGAGTAGCCAGACCCGTCATTTCCCCATGGATTGTTGTAGACTGAATCAATGGTCAAATGTAGTCCAATTGGCGGACCGCCCCATGTCGCATGCCAACTCACAAACATATGGTAAGGTCGTCGAGTTGTAGTAGCTCGAATCACCGTAGTTCCCGCATTTTGTCACCGACTCGGCTATGGCATGGCCGGTGATGGTTGCAAACAAGAACAACGCCACCTTTGATATTGACATTCCGAGTCAGGGTGCGCGGCCTCTTCCCTGGAAGCAAAGATTGAGAAAAAGAAAACTTCGAAGGACTGCATGTTGTCAGATGAAGTCATCGAAGAAGGCCGTGCGATGTTGCCATGGGACATGATGTCGGTCTAGATCGATCGCAGGGACGTTCAGAGTATAAGATGTGGTATCAGCGACATCAGAGGATGTCAAAGGTGACTCGAAGGGCAATCCGATGCATGGATCCAGCTGCTATTGGTTGCGCCGACGACGCGCTCTTGGTCAGTGCTCCTTTGACAGCACATCTCATGCACGAGCCAACATTGCCCGCAGCCGGGGAGGATTAATCCGTCTCTGCCAACGACCACCAGACTTCACAGTCCGATACCTTTGAGATGTTTGAGATGTCTGAGATACCGTAACCGTGCTCATGGGAAACTCCTTCACGTCTGACCAGGCTGAACCGTTGGCTAACAGCCACGAGATTGCGGAAGTTTCCGGCTATCATGTCATGCTCACCTGACCGCAGCTTGGGTCAGACTGTCGACAATATAGCAAGCAGGGACTGCTGCTGGCTGGGGTGAATGGAGCATTCAGACGATCACTGACCAAAAGTGTATAATACAATCAACGAACATCATCTTTCTTCCAACACTCATCATTATCGACCACAAGCAATGGCCAACAAGGTACACCAAGCGACAGATGAAGTCGTGGAAGGCGTCGAATCGGGTTTGCACTGTCTCCACGGCGCCGGTGAAGCCATCCGTGGGACCGCGATGGAAGCGATTGACAAGATATTCCACAGCCACGAGGGCGAATTGAAGAACAGAGAAATAGCCGACAAGGGCATCGCAGAGATGCAAGTTGCTAGAGAGGAACTTGGAGACCTGCCTCGCCATCACCGCCGGGTGGGAAGTGGTGCAGGAAGCCATTTCGCCGAGTCTCACGCCAGAGAGCTGCCTCTAGAGACGAGTAATCGTATTGGATCGGAGGGGGAGGAAGACTTGAGAGCGGCGATGCAGGAGAGGAGGTCCTAATGGCTATCAGAGACGAATGGGAGATTTGTTGCGAGGAGTGTATACAGGCTTGCTATTCCTCGGATACTATTCCAGTTGGTTCGCTCTCTGTGGCGACCGGTGAGAGAAGGTCGGTCGGTCGATGAGAAAGTGTGTGGTGATCCTGAAAGCGTCGAAATCGAGGTTGGTTGTAGGTTGTTGCAATGCTGTACTTTCCGAAGCGCCCAGGGTCTATTGAAACCCCCGTGGACATCGGTGAGTCCTCTGCGATCGGTTGTTACCAATTTCCCTGTCATGGTGAGACCGCCGTCGTCAATGAAGGAGGACTTGGGGAGGAAGGACAAGCGTGAATTCTGGGTGAGAAGTGGCTAGAGGTGTAGATTCTGCCTTTGTTACTGTAGCCTTGCATCGACATACAGGCGCATCTGATCTGCATCCTCTCTTCACCTACGCCTGTGGTTGGCTTTCATCCCGTGAACTCGTCCTGGACTGGGGACAATGACATAAGTAGTAGTAGCCCTCACTACAGGATAGCACTGATGATTGTCTAGAGTCTCCTATGCCACTTGTCTGCGCCGTTCTACCTGCGCCGTCCCACATGCCCCTGCATCGTCTTCCTGCGCCATTTACCGACACCGTCTTCCTCCTTGTCTTCAGCTGTCTTCCTCCGAGTTGTCGTCCTCTTTACTCACGCCTCTCATCTAACTTAGGCAGCTTACTAGGCCAACGCGCCCGTCTTCCTTCCTGGGCTCCTGTGCCGTCGTCCTCCCCCACGAGCTTCCTCCAATACTACTTTACAAGTACGCCGTCTCTCTACATTCTTCTCTCTACGCGGCGCTTCGTTGTCGTCTCTCTCCCTCGACGCCGGTCCGTCCTACTAGTACTACAGCCCTTTCTAACGGCCCTTCATCTCACAACCCTTTCGTCGACGTCCTCCCACCGGTCGACCACCGGATCGTTACCGTAAGCGAATGATACCACGCTTACCACAATCAGAAATTTGCCTGTCACGATTCCTCGATGCTAGGCACAGTATCTAACCAGCCTGCCTCTTGCTGCGATTTCAGGGACCTTCAAAAATCACAAATCCGTTTTTGCTAGCCAGGATCAGGGAATCCGCCCAAAGCAATCCATCATAACCCTTGACGAAAGACATGACGGGGGCTTCCTAGTCCTGTTCGGTCGAAAAAGCCAGGCAGGAGTGGATGTGCCTGCTTATCTGGTGATAGGGTCGCCAATGATTTCTCATCCTCACCAATACACCAGTATTTATCTTTGAGCCTTCTTGATATACACCAGGTCGCAGCTTTGAGTAGTGATAAGATTGGTGGAGATAAAGGTTTCCCGCGCGGGAAGTAGTACAAAAACAGTTGCTCTGGACATGAAAACTGAGAGTTGATCTGAGAAATCAAGATGGTCGCCTTCTGGTCCCGAGCGGACAAATTTCTGATGAATACTGGTGCGCCTTTTACGCCAACAATCATCAGCCAAGGGTACACTGATCTATGATCATCGACTTCAAATCTGGCCAAATGAGCGCGAGCCCGGGCCATTCTTATCCCGAAATCGTCGAAAGTATGTCGGGCAGCTCGATCACTTGAATAGCACAATAGTTTCTCCGCCGGTCTTTGACCTCGCTGAAAAGTTTGGTTAAATACTTCCGGGCGCCTCTCGAAAAGTCTTCGAAGTCAGTGGAAGCGGCTATCAACATAGCCACCGGAAAGTTTGAAATCGTGGCTTTCTCGGTAAGCTACCACGGCGTAACCCAAGGGACATACTGCATGGGTCGCAAACATGGCAGTCCTGTTATGCCCCGGCTTTTCCAGCCCCCCTTTGGCTCGCGATCGCCTTTCAGGCTGGGCTATGATTGAATCTCGCTGCATTTGTTTTTGAGCCAAATCAAAGTGGTACATCAAGCGGAGTGCAAAAAGCGTGGCATGAGCACGTCGCGGAGACGAAATCGTTCCTTACATTCTCACACTGTCCAAGTCCCTTGGATGCGGTCTGGCGTTGTCTTCCGTGAGCACGACTGCTGAAATAGCGAAACGAGCTGTGGAAAGGGGATTTCTCTGGGTTACGACACACCAGAACGACCCTTTGGCAGTTCCTAAGCACATCGTCGAACTATTCATTCTGGTCACATTCATTTCTCAAGTACTACTAGTACGAACAACTCTACCTGTAACCCAGTTTTTCACGGAAGCGACATTGCCACAGACAGCCAGAATATACCTGAAGATGTTTCGACCGGCCAGATCGTGGAACAAACGGCTCCCACGACGGCACGTGGAGATGCACTTGATATTTATGGAAGCTAAGAGCTTCACAATAGTCTCAAGTCCCGCGATCTTCAGTTCATGGCCCTTGGAGGAACCATGGGTAATGGTTTATTCCTCGGTATAGGTGGGTGCTCTCTTGAAATCGGGCCCTCTCTCGGAGTGCCGTCTATACAATGATGATGTGCTTAGGTGAAATGACAACGTGGCTACCTCTTCCTGGAGCCATTCCTCAGTACTGTTCTCGCTATATCGACCCTATAATAGGCTTTACAGTAGGCTGGAACAACTGGTATATCGCCATTTACACCGAAAATATCCGCTGCTGCCGTACTAGTCCCAGTTCCAGAACGACGAGATCAACCCGGCTACTTAGATTAGTATCATCATTATTATCCTCGTCGGAGAGAAGCCGAGTTCATCTTCGCAGCTATAAAGATCGTGACGATCCTTGGCCTGCTGATCATGGGTGGACCTTGGTGGCTGATATTGGTACAATCCTGCCGAGATGCTTCAGTACGCGAGTATGCGATGGTATATCTTCCTTTGGGAGACGTTTTTGAATGACCTAGTGCTCTTCGCGGCGGCTCAGTTGCCCGCGGGAAAACACAATCGGTGCCGTTTATTTGACACATGAAGTGTACGGCCGCCCCTCGGGTCCGTGGTGTTCTTCATTACGAAGCTCCGCGCCCATAACGAAATGCGATGAATTTGGTTGTGTCGTGAAGGTCAATAGTACTAGTACGGGACTGATAACCAGATCGATACGGAGTAGTTGACCTTGCTATCTGCACAGACACGGAGTACTGTGCCTTGAAAACGGGTAACTTTGCCGAGTAGCCGCACCACATAACGCCACTAAGTTAGATCTAACTTAGGCAGTCCAGGCCACCCAACTTAGTTAAAGGCCAAGCTCGATCAGGGGCAGCAGCCTCGCCTTCCCGTCGCTGCTTCTTAGGCCTCTGTTGGCACACGTGCTGATACTCCTTTTTCGGCTCATCAGGTTAAAAGAGCCTTCGAATGTTCGGCCTTCTGGCATTACTGCTCGCCCGGTCTCCCTCTATCTCTTGCGTTTCTCGTCGGCAATTGCGCCGAGGTCGTGAATCACGGTGAAAGCCCCGCATGGCCGGCATTACCGTGACGATGGTGAGTTGGAGAATTGCCGAGTTTCGTAGACTTCACAGGATTCAGAGCGAGCCGGATGTGGTCCTGGACAGACTATATTCATACCTCAATGGTCCGGCTATGATGCCCATGCAGTGCCATGCCTATACCCCTCACTTCGGACGGGGCATAGCCTGTCGATCATCTTTCAATGACCAATGTCCCGTACTCGGCGCGGTCTGGCTTGGGAAGAGGTGGTATTTTTGTCGACTTGGCTCAGACACAACATCTGCTGATGCGAGCGATTGTCCTTCCTTATGAGCACAAGCTCTGGACGGGCATGTCGGCACAAAGCCGATCGGATGTTGCCCGCAAGACGATGGTAATGAATCCTCCATAAGAATGACTTCACTTCCTTCCTGCTGTCCATCTTCTCCCAATCCATTCCCAGCCTTCAACCAGGTCGGACCTTCCCTGCTCTCTTGCAAGATGGAGAAATTCGAGCCTGCCGACGAGCATCGGGAGAATAAAACTCTGGAGGTAAAAATCTCCCTCGATACGTGGTCAGGATCCCTGTTCACAAGCAATTGCAGCTCCCACCAGAAACTTCTCCAGACGCCAGCCTCACCCAAGAAGAAGACCTCAAAAGGCGTAACAGAAAGCTCAACCGGCGTCTGGACTACCGCATTCTGCCTCTGTGCTGCTGGGTGTATCTTCTCAACTTCCTCGATCGAGGCAACATTGGCAATTCCAAAGTCCTCAATGCCGAGACTGGCGACGACCTGCTTCAACAGACGGGAATGAGTGCCAGTAACTATGCCATTACCGTGACACTGTTCTCGCTAGCATACGCCATTTTCGAAGTACCCTCGAACTGGGTCATGAAACATTATGTCCGCCCATCGCTGTGGCTTGGTATCCTACTGTTGGCCTGGGGTGCACTGACAATTGGCTTTGCGGGCGTGCATAACTATGCCACAGTTGTTGCCTTGCGGTTCTTGATCGGAGTGTTCGAGGCGGGCTTCTTTCCTGGTGCGCTCGTGTCTTCTTTCCCATGCCTTATACTTTCTTCACCTGTCAGTCTCCATCCTAATTCTGCTTTATTACAGGTATCGTATACTTCATCACGATCTGGTACCAGTACAACGAACGAGCCGTCCGGATTGCTCTTGTTGTGGCATTCTGCAACCTCGCGGGAGCTTTTGGTGGAGCCATTGCTTATGGCGTCGGACATATCAACGGTGCAGCAGGCTTGGAAGGGTTCAGATGGTTGTTCATCATCGAAGGCATTATCACCATCGCAAGCGCTTTTTTGCTCTTCTTCTTTCTGCCCGACTACCCTGCTCGCGCACGCTGGCTGAGCGAAGACGATAAACGTTTTGCTGAGGACCGTCTGGTCGAGCGAGGCGGCGGTTATAATCGGGACCATGCCTCGAGAAGAGAAGTCCGCGAGACGTTCCTCAGTCCGCGAATGCTGGCGCATTACATTGCATATGTATGTCAATTCCGCGGCGGGATGAAGAGCAAACAGAGCTAATCATAATTCACAGATTGCGGACGTCGTCCCTCAAGGCAGTTTTACCTTCTTCACGCCAACGATTGTCAAGGGTCTCGGATACACCTCGATCAAGGCTCAACTCCTGACGGTTCCCCCATGGTGCGTTGGCTTCGTCGTGGCCATCACACTCTCATACTCGGCGGACCGCTTCAACGCACGTGGGATGCACGTCACCGTCGCCTCAGTGGTCGGCGGCGTCGGCTGGCTTGCTGCTGGCCTGCTCCCGCACGACGCCTACGTCAAGCGTTATGGGTGTTTGTGTCTCGCTGCGTGTGGTGCTTTTCCCTCTGCCCCTTCGATGACAAACTGGGTTACGTGCAACACGCCCAGCCTGTTGACGATTCCTTTCGCGATTGCCCTGCACAATTCTTGCGCCGGCATCGGGCAGATTATTGCGCAGTGGATTTGGAAGGCAGGTGAAGAGAAGCAGGGCTATCCAACCGGCAATTTCACCTGTGCGGCGTGTAGTTTCTTCGTGGCTGCAATGATGACGGGTCTGAGGTTGTGGTATGGCAGGATGAATAAGAAGGGGACGTTGGATGCGAGTGGGCAGCCCAGGGTTTGGGCTTATTAGACCTAAAGGGGGTGGGAAGTGAAGATCCCCATGGCCCCCTTCGGAGTACCAAGGCCAGTACAAGGCCCTACCTATGCGAGTTGGGACTTGGTAGACCCAACCTGGCCCTAGATGATACTGTACGTTCAGCATGGAGCTCGACGCCCAGGAATGATAGGACCTGTTCAAAATGGAGATTTCCCCAACCTGACACGATACTCGCCAGTTACACTCAGAAGGCTTGTCATTGTTGCTACGGGTTCGGGAGCAATTTTAGCTCTTCATCCCAATGGGCATTGCAGTGTGCTTCACAGTTCTGGTAAAGACTCCTGCATTCTACTCTACGTCTAGCATTTTCCAAGGACACGCGAGAGCCGAGTCTGCCGAGTGCAACGGACCGAGGGCCGGAGCAGCATCCTTACTTAAGTGGTCCCCATGATATCCCTAAGGCTACCTAGGTACTTAAGTTAGTGCTGGCTCTCACCAGCTAAGGTACATTGTAGCCACTTGGATTGGCTTGGGCGCAGTAGGCTTGCTCGTGGTAAACTCTTAGGCTGGTGCAGGCGGTGACGGGCCTTAAACCATCACCCCATGATGCCTTTCACCATTAGCAAGCCTCCCCAGAATTTTCTCCGACATGGCATGGCGACGACGATCGCTGCCGCTTGTCGCATCTCCACAGACTTGAGGTTACAATCATCATGCAATATACATTGGACCTCGTGGACAGGTACCTCCCAAGGCCCACTCCGTTATACCGAGTCGACGATCCCTCGGTGGTGACTTTCTTATGCACAACAAGCGCACTCACAGCACAAAAATGTTCCTCCTCTTCCTAGTTTCAGCATTGCCCTCCAGTCTTCCTAGATCACCTGTCGTTCATGACTTGTCATGGCCTACACGCTGGCTTGCCGTTGGATCGTATGGTTTGCACTCCTAGTAGTACTCATCTCACCAGCGTCCACCGAGCTGCTGGACGACGAGCAACTCACGCAGGTCAACAACACACACTTCGACTACATCATCTTGGGTGGAGGAACAGCAGGCCTTGTCGTGGCCTCGAGACTGTCCGAAGACCCCAACATCACTGTCGCAGTCATTGAAGCCGGAAACTTCGAAAACAACAACCCAAACGTAACGAACGCCACTGGCCTAGGCCTAGCCAAGAACACGCGCGTCGACTGGCAGTACGAAAGCGTGCCTCAGGTTTTCGGAGGAAACCAGAGTCTGATATGGAGTGCTGGCAAAGGACTGGGCGGCTCTAGTCTGATCAATGGTACGAAGACTTCCACCCTTGAACAAGTGATCCGGTGTTACAGTATCAAGAAACCCCACAACTAATGGTCAAGTATGACTACATAGGCATGACCTACATCCGCCCTTCCAAGTCTCAGATGGATCTCTGGGCTTCCCTTGGCCTGGAATTAGATTGGAACAGGTATTTCACCGCCTCGAAGAAAGGAGAGCACTTCCGACCTCCAACGTCCAATCTCACCGTGGTGGGCGCCGCATATCAAAACTCGTCTCACGGATATGCTGGTCCACTCGACACATGCATCAACCCTCACATCATCGGCGGCGACATCCACGACATTTTCAACAGCACGTTCAAGAAACTGGGGATCCCACCTAGGAGCGATTTCTGCGGTGGCGAGCTCAGGGGCTTCGGCATCCAAGATGTCACGGTGGACCAGCTTGCCGACGTTCGAGAGGATGCTGCTCGGGCCTACTACTACCCCTTCATGAACCGCAAGAACTTGGTCGTCATGGTCAACACGACGGCCACTCGTATTCGGTGGTCACCACAAGACAGTCCGAACGGAAACGCCATGGCCTCCGCTGCCGAAGTCAGCCATCAGAACGGACAGATCTCGACCATCTATGCCGACCGAGAAATCATCCTCTCAGCAGGTGCGATCAGAAGCCCGGCGATATTGGAGCACTCTGGCGTCGGTAACCCAGGCATCCTGTCCCGGCAGTCGATCGATGTCAGGGTCCGCCTTCCATCGGTGGGCGAGAATTTCCAAGATCAAACCGTCATCACCGTCTTGGCCAGCACTGTGCAAGAGAGTCCTCCCGGGTTTCCGCCCTTCGTCGCACATGCATCGCTACAGGATCTCTTTGGCACAAACACCGCCTCCGTCTACAATGCAACTCTCGCCAAGCTGCCAGAGTATGCAGAAGCAATCTCTGCGCACAACGGGGGCGCAAGTAACCCCAGCGTCCAGCAGCACCTTCTCAAAAGTCAACTGGACCTGCTCTTCGACTCGAAAATGCCTGCCTCGGAAATCGCGCCCATAGCACTCGGTAAGGCCATTGGATGCGTGTTCTGGCCTCTCCAGCCGTTCAGCAGAGGAAGTGTGCACATCAACAGCACAGATCGGACCGCGCAGCCGGCCATCGATGCCAAATTCTTCCAAGTCGACTTCGACGGCCAGCTCTCCGTCGCCACGGCGAGATTTGTCCGCAAGTTCCTCACGACCGCGCCGTTGTCGGACATGGTCAACGCGTCGTCCCTGGTTCCCGGGTTCGCACTTGTACCAGAAGACGCGACCGACGCTCAGTGGCTGGATTGGATCAAGACCACGTCGCAATACCAGCCCAATTACCACCACCTGGGCACATGCGCGATGTTGCCACAGAGCATGGGTGGCGTGGTCGACAATGACTTTAGAGTGTACGGAACGGAGAATGTGCGTGTTGTGGATTTGAGTGTCGTGCCGCTGCAGGTTGCAGGACATTCGACGGCTCTTCTTTATGGCATTGCGGAGTGGGCCTCGCGGAAGATAAGACCGCAGACGTGAAGGCGATGGACTGTTCCGGTGGTGGCCTCGGATAGGATTCAGGTGTTTTCGATCGTAAGGTATTACTAGTACGTACAGGTGTGGTTCCGATCTAAAAATACTCCTTGTCGGGACCTAGATAATGTCGATGTCGCTATTCACTAGTACCTACCACAGTACAGAGGCTTTCGCTTGCCCAAGTAGGTAAGTAGTATTATGTATGTAGACGGAATGGACGCAGTTCCACCAAAGGTCGAGAACAAAGCACACACACGACAAGGCACGACTCCCGCCAGTCGTCTGGCGGACCCGTCCTTTGGAGAAAGGAGCCATCGTGAGCATTGATCGATTCGACCCCACATGGGCCTAAAGGGGAAATCTTGGGGGGTATTGTACACAGTATGCCGTTACCATACCCATGCCAACCGTGCATAGCTTACCTAACTACCTGAGAGTGCTCAGAGCAGGCGATGCACGCCGATGGTAGCCATCTGAACAATTACAGGACATCAAGATACCACAGGCGACCTTGCAAGCGACAGGGGCTACGCAATTGGTATGATAACGCACTTGATCAATGTACATACAGACAACATCAGTGGAGCCATCAATTTGCGAATTCGCAGATTCGCCGTGTGATCAATCTCCACGCCCTCCCCACGCACACACACAACAGCCACCTTAGGTACCATCATGTACCTCGCTGTTACTCGCCAAGCTCCGTCTTCTTCTCCAGCCAAATCCGGTCGATCAAGGCCTTCTTCTTGTCCGACCTCGGCGTGATGGAGCACTCAAAGGGCTGAGGAATGGTCATCCAGCCCGGGACCATGGCGGCATTCGGCTCAATCACCTTCCCATCACTCGCAACCTTTTTGGAAATGTCAAACGCCCACAGCACGCGCGCAATGTTCAGATACAGCGACTTCTCGGCGACATGCACACCGGGGCAGACTCGTCGACCGGCCCCGTAGGACCAATGATCGCGCTGGTTCGGGTCCGCGATGTTCAAGTAGGCCGCCGCCGGGAGGTCGTAGGTCAGGAATCGTTCGGGCATGAATTCCTCGGGTTTGTCCCACAGTTCCGGGTCGTAGTTGATTGCCCTAATTCCCGCGCATCGTCAATCAGTATATGTTATACGGAGTATCCCCTTTTGAGAATAACGCGTGCGCACCCAGTTCGTTTGCCGCCCCCCCCAAAAAACCAAAAAACCCAAAAGAGAAGAGAAGAGAACAGAAAAAAAATTCGACTCAAGAGTGACTTACCACCAGTTCAAAACGACCACGGTATCCTTGGGGATGAAGAAGCCATTGTACCAATCATCCGCAGTCGTGTAGTGCTGGATGCCAAACTTGTTCGGCGGCCGCATCCTCAGCAACTCCTTGATGATGGCCCTGAGGTATGGCAAATTCGGCTCGTCCGCCCAATCCGGCAGCCTGTCCTCGCCGACGACCCGGTCAATCTCCTCCTGCGCCTTCTTCATGACGTGAGGGTTGCCCGTCATGTTCAGGATGAACGAGTTCAGATACGCCGACGTCGTCTCCGATCCGGCCTCGACCAGGCCGCCGGTCTGATACGCGGCCTGCAGCTCGTCCAAGCCCACCTTCTGCGGGTCGCTCAGGTAGAAATCCTTTGCGAAGCAAGGCGCCGCTTTGCCCTCGTCGACCTCCTTCTTCAGATCACCCCACAGGCCTAGATAAATGGCCGAATCGTGCTTGAAGCACTTTTCGCCGAACTTCCTCCAATTGCCAAACATCCACTGCGGGAAGTGGCGGAGCGAGGGGAACGTGTCGACGAGAAACGCCCCGGGGGTGGAAAACTGCTGCAAGTTGTTGACGACGGTGTAAATCTTCTTCGTGAGCGGGCTGTCCCAGTCCTTCTGGCGATGACCGTACGCCACGGTCATGATGACGCTGTTCGAGTACCGGCGGTTGTGGTCGTAGAAGTGCTCCGGGTCGTGGACCAAGTCGTACATGAGCTGTTTGGACTCCAAGTCCTGCACGGGCTGGTAGCTCGTCGACACGTTGATGTTGAGCAAGGCGTGGGCAATCTTGCGCACGACTCGATACCGGGGTCCATATGCCATGAACAGCTGACGACGCCCGGCTGATGCGACATCGCTGGCGAGAGGCGCCGGTGGGCGGGAAGAGTAGATGCCGGATTTCTTGTCCATGAGTTCCTTGACCGCCGTGGGCGAGGAGAGGTAAATGTAGTCTGACCCGCCCATCCTCGTGTAGAAGACGTCGCCGTATTGCTTGGCCCATTTTACGGCCTGGAATCGAAATGTTTCCGCATTGGACAGTTCGAAGTAGTTGCCCAGAAATGGCAGTCCAGGAGGACCCGGTGGAAGATGCTTCCGACGTGAGTCCTTGAGCGTGTTAGGCGTGACCCATAGATAGAATCCGAGAGCGAAGAGGAGAGGGAGTACGATGAAGCCGGCAATGGCCAGTCGCCACGGCGCGATGCTGTCTAATCGCAGCGTGGAAAGGACATGGTTGGAAGCCATCTCGTCGTCGGTCAAAGAGACTGAAGACTGATGGTGGGATCGAATCAGGTCAGCATCAAGACATGGAGAGTGGTGGAAGAAATATTGGAATCAATCCCCTCCACTCCATGCCCAAAACAGTAATGTCCATCAGACAACATCCTTGATCGCATCGCCTTGACTCTCGGGGTCGTTAGAAGTCCCCTTCCCTTGTTGGAGTCGAGGTTCGCCCAGCTTTCCCCACGATGAAGGTGGGACTACCTCCACATGGAAGAGGGACCTTGCACACAGGGCAAGACAGGGGCATTTCTGGGCTGTGCTCCTGTGGGCTTCATAGGCTTACTAACTAGACCATCTATTGGCGGCGTGATGAACACCGAATGTTGGAGAAACGATCTGTTGGTGGCCAAAGCAGGGGAAAACGTTTGAGACCCGTCTCAAAGAGTCGTCGTATCAGTCGGAGCATCAACACAAGTACTCGTAACACATAATCGGGCACCTAGTCATGTCACGAAGACTGCAGAGATATATGCTCAAAATTAGACGGCAATGAGATTGCACTCATCACCTTATGTTCAAAACGGGTGCCTCCAGTTCTACATCGAACGAAAAATTGGACATGAACTGATGAAAAGTAAGGTAGACTAGCGTACAAGCGTCCATTAATATGCTCCTTCCATTATGACCCCTTTCGCTGTTGCATGCAAGTTATCCTGGTCTTGGACTGGTCCCTTAGTAGGCGTGATGGCGGCCGGCATACCTCTTGTGGCTGTGGCTGCTGTGTCTCTTCAGGCCAGCATACAGGTTGGGGGAGACCCCAAGCGCCTCAAGGGTGGTACGCTTCTTCATGCCTGACTCGCCTTCGGTCCTGACGGACTGTGGGTTGGCAGCGGTGTAGGTGTTGAGGGCAGCGCATTCATCCTTGAAGGATTGCTTGGAAGTGTAGCCAGCCTTGACGATATCATCAGGACGCTCAATGAATTGCAGGGCAAGACCATCATCGACGTGCCACAAGATATGGCAATGCATGACCCACGCACCAGGGTTGTCGGTCTGGAATCCAATGACGGTATACCCGGCCGGGTTTCCAGGGCCAGCAGAACCCTGCAGCATGACAGTGTCACGACGCATGGGATTCTTGAAGTTCAAGGTGGAGGTGAGGCTACTGCTCCAAGCGCCAGTACCCATGCCCAGAACAGAGACGTCGTGGCCGTGAATGTGCATTGGGTGCGAGGCGAAGAACTGGTTTTGAATGACAAAGTAAACCCATACGTTCGCCTGGCTCAGAACAACCGGGTTGCTGAAAGTGCTGCTGTTGACACCAGAGTCCAGCATCTCGAGAGTGGATCGGCTGTAGTTGACGTTCATGACACCATTGTTGATGAACCATTGGTAAACAAGGCCATCGGTGCTGGTCTGCACTTGGGTGACCGCACCGGCTGGCAGGGTCTCGACAGATGACGAGAATTGGTTAGAATCACCAGCTGTCAGAGGAACAAAGGGAACCAAGGATGCGAGTGGCTCATCAATACAGCTTGCCGCAGTGACATTGGTGATGGGTGTGTTGGTGATCGGGGTAGAGTTCGAGCCCTGGTAATTCATGATGGCGTTGGCAGTTCCCAGACCAGTGTTGGCACCGCCAGAAGGACATCCAGTCTGGAGGACAGCGCGGACGTAGTAACTGCCGACCGGTTGGTTCATTTCAACAATGACGTCGTATCGCTGGCCGATGCCGATGTTGAGCGTTGAAGTTGTGTAAGGAACAATTGGCACAAAGTCGGCAGCAATAACGGTCATGTTGTGGGCATCGAAGCCAACAACATACATGTTCTGAGAAGAGCTGCGAGGGCAATTAGTTGGGGGAGAACAATGCAAACAAACAGACTGACCTGTTAATGATGCGGAACAAGTGCTTCCTGCAAGGAGTGACAGTCCATTGGAATGCCTCGCCGCCAGGACCGACAGGGTTGATGTTCTTGCCGTTGAAGAGAGTGTTGAAAGAACCGCCTGGTCCATAGTGGGTGATGAGGTCGGCTTGAGTACCAACGGCGTTGGCGAAGCTAAAATTGTCAGAATTGAATCTACCAACCTTCAACAGGTTCGTTAACTTACGTGTCGTCAATCATGACAGTTCCCATGTCGATATCGTAGTTGGAAGTGGCAGGACCGTGGATGACAATGGGACCACGAACACCATCTCCGTACTGCGCGAGAGCGTGGCTGTGGTACCAGGAGGTACCATATGACGACGCAAGCCAAGTGTATTTGCGCGAACCACCGTTTCCAGCAATAGCACATTCAGTTACACCAGGAACACCATCTTGGTCATTTGTGCCTTCTTGACGGACACCGTGCCAATGAATGGAGGTGGCGTTGTCCTTCAGGTTGTTGATGACGGTGACTTCGACCATGTCGCCCCAGTTGGCCTCGATGACAGGTCCTGGGACTTGTCCATTGACAGTCAAGGCGACCTTTGGAGCGGTACCATCGTAGGACATGGTGGTGTTGTCAATTGTCAAGGTGTACCTGACGGTACGACCGGTCTTGAATCCATTGGTGTAAACGTTGGAGGTGATATCTTGACCACCGCACCACTTGGATCGATCGGCGGCGTTGTTGCAGAAGTCGGAGCCGTTTCTTGCTGGAGTATAGGTTGGGCATCCGGAGAAGGAAGTCGAGCTGCTCGTGGTTATAGATGCGGCTTTGGTTGTCGAAGAGCCAGTGGTGCTAGTTGTGTTGTAGCCATATGGTGGGGAAGACCAGGAGCCGGTGGTACTTGATCCGGTTGTACTACCAGTTGGCTTGCTATAGCTAGCGGAAGTTGTTGGGCTCGAACTCGAATCAGTCCAGGTAGGTACGCCGGCGCCGGAAGCAGAGACACTCCAGTCGTTCCATGGACCGATATAGTTTGTCTTCTGAGCATCCCATTGAGAGGCCCAGTTGTTCTCAGCCTCAGAAGCCGCAGCACTGTTCAGAGTTGTTGACTTGGGAGATCCGGTCTGGATGGTAGAGGGCGCTGCGCACGTCGTGATTGTCGTTACTGGGCAGACACTGTGGGTTCGGGTTGCCGTAACGGTGACGGTGACATCGGCATCCGTCCACGACGCTCTCGCGAGGCCGAAAGCGGCAGAGGCAAGGAAAAGAGACACAGAACGCATTATGAACGAATGGACGCAAGCTAATGAGCTCGCAGATAAAAAGAGTGACTTGGTAAGCAGGACGACGGCGTGAAAGGGAAAAACAGACAAGAAAAACGGAGAGAGCGAGTATATCAATCACCTCAAGATTCTGGAGTATCTCCTTCTGGTGCAGTGGTGGTGGTCTTGTGGTCAGCCTGATGGAGCTGATGCAAGCCACGAATGTTTGGGTCCGGACACCGACCGATACGATATGATGGCATTCTGGTGGGTTTGTGTCTCAGTTTAGCTCCCAGTGGAGAGAAAGCAGAGAGCGCGTTTGGGGAGAAGACTCCTGAGGTAGGGTGGATGGAGCGTGAAGCAATCTTTGGATACAGCCGTGGGTGTCAGCCACATCACGTTGCAGCGGCATAACAGAGGTCGGCCGTAGGGGAAGCATTAGGCGAACCGCGATCTTAGCCAAGGCTACTCCATACCTAGGGTAGGTATGGAAGTCAAGGCGAGTCAAGAGACGCGAAGCAACCACGAAGCTTCAGCCTCTCAGGGGCAAATGGCGACGGGGAGGAAACCAAGCACCCCGAGTCGGTTTGGTGGACTCTTGTTTGTCGCTATGTGTTGCGCCGGTGGAAATTAGATGAGAGCCTAAGCACGCCTAAGGATGATGAGCTGCTGGATCGGGGAAAACAGAGCCACCAGACCCAATTGTGGACAAGTCGAGACTCCATGCGGAGCGGGAAACCGAAGTCGAAGCGAGAGACGAAACAGGGGAAAGCCTTGAAGGGTAGGCAAACATCCAGGAGGATCGTGATGCTTTTCATGGATGATACGAATCGATGAAATGAAGATGAAAGAAATTGATGGTTGATGGTTGTCGAGAATATGGAGAATGTGATGGTGTAGTTTGAAGGACAGATGAAGGGAGCAGGCAGACCATCGGCAGAGTTACCGGGAGCGGAACACTCCAGGACTACCTGGCGAGCTGGTATGTCACTGTGTCGCTCACTGTCATACTGGCCGACCCTTCATGATGCTTCCTTCTTCTACCGGCACCTAAAACGGAGTACTATGATACTGCATCTCCAGATCTCGACAGCTGCCACCATCTCACAAGAATCGATCCATGCGACAAATACATCGTCATCCCCTTCATGTTCCAAATACACAAAGAGAACGTCTTTCTCGCCGCGGCAATATCGCACAGTAGTCAAATGCTCTGCTCTGCTCGCATCGTTCGACACCCTCCTCGACGCGTCTAGGCGTCCTACCTCTCTCCATCACCTCCTTAGAACACCGCCGTCCTCGTATCCGAGTCTTGACATGATTGCTTGACGATGCTTAGCTTTCAAACCTACAGTACCTATGAATAACAGTTCATCTCCACAGCGCGGCTCCCGGGCGCTATCACCATCCACCCCTGGGCCTGAGGGTCTGCAGGGGTCAACAACCCGCAGATGTTGCTACGAGTACCACCTCCGTGCACCTCGACCTCCGTCCATTCCCCCCTGGACGTCGATCTTACACAGTAAGGGTTCATGACTCCCCATGAGATGTGTACGGTAGGAGAACCCATACCTAGGTACTTAGGATTGGGATGATATCTGTATGCAGAAGAACGGGGTACAAGGTCGTTCGATAACACGAGAGGCACGAGACGGTCGAAGACTCGAAGCTGCCAGTACACCCTGCGTCTCTCCAGCCAGCCCCTCTTCCGTACTCTACTGTGCTGTGGCCGAAGCCCAAGAATCCCACTGCTTTTTGCTTTCTCTAGCTATGGATCCAACTCTTCTCGACCCATGATCTGTGATGAACCGCTAAAATTTGCATACCATGGTACACTCCTCCAGCTCGCGACCGAGTGGCGTGAACAAGCCAATTAAACCCTTCTCACCGTTCATCATTCCCCCTATTCATCTCCACAGCCAATCTCGCTTTTCTTATTCTTTACGGACCGGTGATGCTTCGTTTGCTTGATCACGGGCAAGCCTTGACTTTTCTGAGATCCTTGGAGGTGCTAAGATCTGACTCGATCCATCAAACACGCTGAAATTGGTTTGATCACTTCACGCTTCCGGGCCGGGGAAAAACGTGGTTGCAAGTATGTTAAGCGAAGCCCGAAGGTCCAGCTCCATCTAATTTATCCCTAGTACCTACCAACTCCCTGTCATGTCACCACAGAAAAGACCTCTGAGCTGTCGTCCAAATTTTACTGTGTCACCTGTGCACATCCCAGAACGAACGAGGAAGATATCTTGGACCTTTGACAGCAATTTACCCCAGTCCATACCAAGCCAAAGACTTCCGAAGTCTCGTATAACTGCATGGACAAACTTTCTCCCAGAAGTACGAAGGTTGGGTTCCTGGTTAGTGGAGATTTGGAAGTGAGTTTGTCAGGGAACACGAGAGACGACCACGGCTCACGATGTATTGTGCTCCTCTGATGCAAACAGGCCGCCAGTCGCCCCTCCTTGCCGTGCTGTTCTCTCTGAGATGCAGGACTTCAGGTATGAACCATCCTGGTCCGTCTTGTCAACACGCATCGCAAGCCCTCCTGCTTCACAAACCAGTAGTCATGCAAAGTCCATTCGGCCTGCTGATCTGCCAGCTCGACATGATACCGTCGAAGAAGTTGAGGCACGAGCTTCGACATCTCCATCAGTGAAATGTTCTTGCCCAAACACGTCCTCGCACCGGCACCAAACTGGACATTTCGTCAGCGATGGCTCTGAACATGAAACAAGATGATGCTTACCGCCAACCAATTCCGATCCATGAGCTTGATCGTCCTCTCATCAGCCTCGAGCCACCGTTCCGGACGAAAGACATCGGCGTCCGCGCCATAGACCTTCTTGTCTCTGGCCGCAACCCACGGGTTCATTCCCACGATCGTCCCGCCAGGCAAGCAATGTCCAGAGATGGTGGCCCCTTCAGCGGGCACGATCCTCTCCAGAAGCTGGCCGACAGCCGGATGCATGCGCAGAGCTTCTCTGACACAAGCCTGGAAATATGGCATTTGCTGAGCTTCGCCGTATGTGATATACTCCGATAGCTCGCCTCGTGCGTCGCACTCGAGAATCTCGTCAACGAGCTTCTTGTACGTCCGTGGGTTCTTGCATAGGTAGTAGAACATGGCTCGCAATGAGATCGCAGTTGTATCACTACCAGCAAACCTAGTCATACATCAGCCTCGCTCGATAACCCTAGGAGAGAGACTTACACATTTGAAGCGGCATGGCCCAGCAGTTCCTTGTCGGTAATGACCTGCTCGCCTTCCTTGATCCGCTTGAACCGCGCGACGATATCCTTCTTCCCATGCTCCGCAGCCGCAGTCTGTCGTCGTGACAGTTGCTGTCCGGCGAAGTTAACGATATACTGCGACGAGTTCAACCGTGCAAGAGTGGGTATCATGTCGGCCAACCTTGAGATGAAGCGGTTTCCGAGCAGAAACTTGTGCACTGACGGGACTTGCCCAATGATTGAGTTGTAGAACAGTCGGCCCTCAATGGCGGATATGATGCCTTGGACATCCTGTTCTCGCTCCATGAAGCCGATGGAATTCGAGAAGGTAATGTACGTGATGACATCGAAAGCGTACCAGTGCAGCCAGGTGCCGAAGTCGATGTTCTGGCCTTCGAAGCCATCGAGTTTGCGCTGGAGGATGGCCGTGCATTCATCGGCCAGCGACTCGAGGTCGAGAAGGGCACTCAGTGCGAAGGCGGCCCCCACGGGGCGTTTGAGGTCCCTGTGGCCTTGCGGGTCGGTAATCGAGAAGACGGTTGGGATGTTGCCATTGGGAGATTTGGCGTGGAAGAGGGTGTAGAAGTTGCTCTAATGCAGAGGCTGCCGTTAGTATTGCTGGGCAAGGGGGATCGTGGGTTGCCATTACCTTGTTGAATTTCGAAGTTATATTGTATATAACTGATATCTGATCAGAGTCGGAAATCGAAACATGTTTGGGTCCAATGCGGACGACTGGACCGTATTTCTCGTGGTAGGCAAGGTGTTTTGCGAATTGGTGGCCGGAGTATGTCGTCAGCATCCGGTCGAAGGGGAAGATGCTGGCGAAGAAAGGGCCTGGAATATCTCTGAGACCTTTCCTGAGGCGAATGCTGAACAACACAAAGCATGATATGGCCGTGAGAAACAGTGCCGTCGGCACGATTGGGTGGTCTAGGTATGGCTGGAGCGACATCTTCCCGTTTGAGGCCCTGGAAGGAATGAATTCTGAGGTGCGTATCACATGAGATCTGCAGAAGGTGCGACGGCATACACAGTACGTTCGCTTGGGGGTTTGCGGTACTGCGATGACTTTGAAAGGCCAGGAGTCTTCGTACGGGTAGCGAGTGTCTGATATCGAGATGCTTCCTAAACCCGGGGTAGATGTTACTCCGCAGAACGTGCCGATGATGCCGCAATACCCCCGCCACTTCAGTCGGCAGATGGACGCAGTCGAGCCGCCTTTGGAGGCACTGCTTCTATTGATTAGTAGTACGAAGCTCGGTGTTGATCGCATTGGCCCCCGAAGGAGGGTTCACGGTTGACAGCCATGGAATTGGTGGTGGCTCATGACAGCCATCACTGTGGCTCCTAGAAAGGTCCAGCGACACGCCATAAGAATGAAGACCTTGCAGCGAGCAAGACAGCCGTCGTTGAGAAAGTTAATCACCGTTGACCAGATAGCGAAGACTTTGATGCCAGGTAGTGGGAAAGTGAATGATTCGCTGTATCGCGTTCAGGTGGTTGATCGTCTCCCAGCCCCATTGACTCGCCTGGCGCTCTTTCTCGGGAACTGTTACCTACGTTGCGCCTGATTTGCCTCGCATAAGGGCGAGTCTCAATGAGCTGGACAATCGTGCTCTTGTTGGTCTTCCAGACAGTCGTCTAACACAGCATGTTCAAAAGGTACCTAGGTAGGTAGCATCAGTAGCCCTCGCCATCACCAACCACTCAGTCGCCGATACGGAGTAAGACGCCCGGACTTGTCCTCACTAGCCGACCATCCGACGCCACTGACTGGTTGTACATAACACGCCTTCTGTATTGCTAGTAAATCGAAAACCTCCATCGTCCTCCCACCCAAACGCTTGTTTGGTTAGTTGAGTCAAGTGTGATAGTATTGTCTGCCCTCATTCATCGTGGAAGGCGGGTACGATGTCGTGAGACCGACAATAACAACACTTTTGCCATGCCAAAAGGAAGATAGACGATGAGCGCCCACCATACCCACGCCGACAACCGGCGGACCTCCTCCGGGAGACACCATCAACAAGATGAGGACGCTCATCGCGAGGACTTCGACGAGAGACCGTCACTCATGCTCACGCGGACGAGATCCCAAGAATTCAGCATGACGGAAAGCATAGCCATCCAGGAATCTCTTCCACCCGAGCGACCCAAACACCTGTCTGGAGTCGGCCACGAGGCTGACGAACTTGAACCTAGGTGGCCTCACTCAATCCGATATCTCGTTCTACTTTGCGCGTTTCTGACAAGTCTGAGCTTCGGCGTCACTCAAGTTCCTCTGCTCTACGTCTTCAGATTGATGACCTGCGACGCTTACTACAAGCACCACCCATCGTCATCGCCACCCTCAGCCTCAGCCTGGCCTTCGTCCCAGAGTCCAAGTCTACACACGGTCAATATCCTCGCATACGCCTACGACTTCAGCAGCAACAGCAACAGCGAGAACACGCCAGACCGATGCTCCATCCACCCCATTGAAAGCTCCACCGCACTTTCCGTCTCCTTACTGGGCGCCAGCACCACCGTCTTTGGACTACTCAACCTCTTTCTGACCGGCAGCCTGATCAAACGGATCGGCGTTAAGCCCACCCTGGTCATTCAAGTCTTCTTCCCGGCCTTGCGACTGCTGGTCCAGAACATCGGCGTCGAAGTCTGGGGTAGCACCGGGATAATCATCATCCAGTGCTCTCAGATCGTCAGCATCATCGGCGGTCCTTCCGGGTACCTTTTGGTGCTGAACACCTTCATCACCGAAGTCGTCGAGTACGAAGGGCGGACTGCCGCGCTAGGCCGGCTCACGGGCGCAATGATGTTTGGTTCCGCCATCGGCTTCCTTCTAGGCGGTGTCGTTGCAGAAGTGTTCGGGATCAAGGCGCCATTCCGACTGACGTTCATCCTTTTTATGAGTGCATGCGCCTACGTCGTTCTTTTCTTGCCACATATTCCACCCGCTCCACAGACAGTGGAAGAATCCGAGTCCGGAAAAGGCAGGAAGAGCAAGAAGAAAGGACTGAGACGCTTCCTGGGCCCACTTGCGGTATTCGCACCCAGAAAGTTTATAGGCAGAGACGGCGTTGTGCGCACGGAATATGGTGCCTTCCTGCTTGCTTGGGGAGTCTTTCTGGGTATATTGGCTACCGGTACGTTTGCATGCACTTCCCTCCTCTCTCTGTCCCCTTTTTGTCTTAGGTACTTAATCCTTTTGAATCGAGTCCAAGTGATGGCATGGCATCGTGCATGCGCCAGTATGCTAATTAAGTTCCCCTCCAGGCTACCTTCCAACCCTCTTACAACTCTACGCAACCGACGTCTTTGCCTTTGGCACCAAGCAAAACGGCTGGCTGATCTTTATGTATTCGATGCTGCGTGGTGTTTTCTTGACGTTCGCATTTCCCAAGCTCATTTCCGTCGGTCGGACATTCAACACCAAACGCGAGCGAACGACTCTTGCTCGGCCGAAACACGAGAATCCCTCCGAAGGTACTGCTGACGGCGAAGCAACGGAGAGAGAACCGTTGCTCGGAAGTCGACCTCGAGCAGATTCCACCGACGCCGGTACCGACGAGGAAGACGTCAAGGATGATAGTCAGAAGGTTAAGAAGCAGCAGACGTTCACGTTCGACCTGACCTACACCCGTGGGTATGTCATGTCCCATGCCCCTCCCTTGTCCTTGTCTATTCTCTCTCTGTCTCTCCTCTCTCTTCCACTCTGGCCCACACTCCCTTCCTCTTGCTTCTCATCCTCCTACCCACCTCCTTACGCTATGGCTTTCTCAATACAGCCAAGAACAGGTTTTGGCCTACCTCCTCACGCTCTAGCTTTCTCAATACCGTCAAGAACATCTTTTTGCCCACCTCCTTACGCACTGGCTATCTCAATACTGTCAACAACGGAGCTTTTTTTTTGGTTTTCTCTAACGCGTTGTACGTTCTAACATTGGTGATGCTGTAGTTCCCTCATCGCCGACGGCCTCCTCACACTCCTGTGCTCCTTCGTCCACACGAGCTGGCAGATGTACCTAGTCGCCGCGGTCCTGCCCTTCGCCGCCGGTACGGGGTCCGCTTCCAAGGGCACAATCCTCCAGATGGTCGGGAGCAGCGCGACCAGCGCTGAGCGCACGGATGCGCTTGCGGGCGTGAGTCTGGTGGAAAACATGGCGAGACTATCCACGACATTTGTATTTGGCGTCATATTCGCCGCCTTCGCGAGTATAGGCCGCACAGAGTTGGTGTTTACCGTGAACGCGGCAGTCGCCATCATCGGATTCGGCGTGTTACTATTCGCACGGTTCCCGTTGGAAGGAAGCAGACCCGTTGATGTCGATGTCGATCAGGAGGAAGACGACGACGACGACGACGACGACGACGATTAGAAGACCACATCATCAAAACCTACAAGCCGACGGAGCAGGTTTCCGCACATCACTAATGCTGAATGGGATTGGATGATGCCCGTTAAACTCTATAGGGTGGGTGGGTGTGAGTGTGTGAGAAAGCATGATAGACCCCACAATTCCGGATATCATATTCCACATCTCATCCTTGCGACCAGAATGATATTCCCCTGCTCGTCGACTGTGCGCTCAAGCCATCGGAATCCCCGTTCGGAGTGACTCGAGTTGTCGAGGGCTGAGCATCTGCTCTAATCCAAACACATACATGGAATTCTTGTCCACCTCATTCTCCTTCTCCTTCTGAAGAGCCTTTCCATCCTCGATGGCAAGAGCAAGATATTTCTTATTCCTGGAAAACGTCCGCAGTTCCCTGCCCACCTCATCGCCATGTTTGGCGAGATACGCGCTCATGACGTCGGCGCAGCTCATAACCATGCGGCTCACCACCTGGGTATCCCTGTTTAACTTTGTGAGGCCCAATTGCTGGCCGCTGATTGCGGACCCACGAGCGACGTGATGAATTAGGAGGACGAGGTTGGAGATGGAGCTGTCGTCGGGCATATACCGTTCGGTAAAGTACTGGACAAACTTGTGGTGCTCCTTCTTCTGAATTAGGCGGAGTATCTCGACCGAGCGCCTATGCATGGCAAAGTAGTTGAACAGAAGGACAGGTTCTTCCTCTCTAAGCTTCCCCCTGATCAGAGCTAGCAGCTGCAGCGGTCCGACGTTATGTGTGTTTTGCCATCTACGCCCCAGAAACTCATCAGGCGAGGACAGAGCGCTCAGCGCGAGCTCTTTACCCTTGTCCAAACCAGTGGACTTCTTCGACTTGTTCTTCTTTGCAGTTTTCTCTGAGAGTTCATCCAGGAATGTGCTTACTTTGGCACTGCAAATACTTGGGAAATTTGTGTTCTCGGGGTTGTCATCCTGGTAGCGCTCTCGGAAGATGTTGACCACTTTCGTCGCACTAGGCTCCAGATGTCTGGCCTTCTTCCCATCAGGTCGGTGCCAGTCGCTGCGCTGTCGAGAGTCGTTAGCGAATCGCGCTGCCGCTGATACTCCCGTGACGATCTCAAGCCTGTTGAGCGATTGGGCGGCATCTTTAGGTCTGTTACCGACAAAGATGCGGTCTTCGCCATGGATCCTGATGAAAAGTTCCATGTCAGGCCAGGAAAGAGTCGGATCAGCCGTTTGTTGGACTAGGTTGTAAAGGAAAGCCAACTGCGGAACCTCGTACCATTGGGTAACAAGGCCCTGGCCAATGGTTTGCATGCGAAGGTTGAGCTGAAATGTCATCAGACCACAAAGCATTGGATTTCTCGAGAGCATTAGGTGATCTGGGGACGGATAGGAGGGACGACCGAGGGTTCGTGCCGATTCCTCCTTCATCTCCTGCAGAGGGTCTTTCTCGACAAACACTTCAATGCTCTTGCGGATACGTCTGATCTCCTCGTCGCCTTCAGAAGGCCAGAAAGTTGGTTTTGGGTGCGTCTTGGACAGTTTCCAAAAGTCGTCGATGGTTTTTGAGATGCGTAAGCCAGTCATTCGAAGGTCTGCCCAGGCACTCAAACGGCTGTGCCTCGTGGCGTGAATCGCGTCCATCATGACCTGTGTCGCAAAAGACAGCCACAAGGTAGGATTTTTACTTTTGACAAATCGATGAATCCTGTAGTGATCTCGTCTCGACCAGGGAATTGCCACTTGAACCGGTCCATGAGGCAGAATTCAGGAAGGGGCTCCATCAGGATGAGTTTGTCCTCATTAAACTTCTCGGGGACTGACATTTGGCTTCTGTCTGCCTTGAGATTATACACCCCAAAATAGCCTGGCTTGTAGAGTGGTATGCTGTCGCTTTGGATGACCGGGACAAAGCTATGTAGCAAGGAAGCCACGCCCGGATAGCACCATTCGGCAACGTCGGCCATTTCCAGGGTCCTGATACGGCCCTCCCTCATTCTTCTTGTTGTCTTCCCGCAATAGACAAGCCGAGACTTTCAGGTTCCAATTTGACCAGGGACAACGGACCAGGTCTCTGCTGTGAAGATTAGGGTGCCGGTCCTCTTCATCGCCTCAGGATCAACATAAATCCGCAAGCCAGGTGTGCCCATGCCGACATCGAAGACGCGAAAAATGAGATAAATTGAATTGACAGAATGGGGGTCTTGTGCTGCTTCAGAGAGATCTTGCATCCTCTTATATTGACGCTTGCTCATGAAGAAGCGCATGCCGCAGTGACCGGTCGTCGTCTTGACTTCGATGTAGTACATCGGCCTTCGACCTTGCCAACGGTTGGGAGCCAAATAGCCTTGTCCGATCAGTAGGTCAGTGAGCACGCCTGATTTATCGTCGTAGGTGATGTCTGCAGTCTCCTGACCCTCCCAGTCATCCATGAAGGCGTATTGCGGGTGCACTTTGACGTATTTCCTGATCGTACTCTGCCAATTACGCAAGTCAAATCCCGGCAGGTCAGGATCTAGATGGGACAAGAGTTCGAATACCTGCATTCACCAGAATAGATTAGTTTGCCAGACCGGTGCTTCAGGATTAGCATTCAACACTCACGAAAAGCTCGCCGGCCGCGCCAACCTTGAAATCTCGCTCTCGCTGTGTTGCGGACCGAAACGCGTGTATGTCAAGACAGTACTGATCTGGCGAAATTTCCGATTCGGTCAAAGTCACAAGCAATCGCGACATATTGAAAGATCCAAGGGAAGGAAACGACGTGTGCCTGGCTTTCTTGATAATGTTGTCCAGAAGAGCTAAATATCGGGCTGCTTCATCCACTAAAGTGTCGATCATCTCTGGGTCTAGGTCAGGAGCAGACGGCGGTTCAGCGTGCGTTGGAGCCATCCTCTCTGCCTCGACCGTTTGTACGAAAAGGGGTGATGAGCCTGCAACGGCTGATCTGTGCCGCGAATGACCATGAACAACTTCGGAGACAGCGTGCGGGTGTGATGAGGGAGTGGGTGTAACCGAAGTTGTAGGAACTGCAGTAGTCGGTGGTGTCAACACAGTTCTGGCAGTTTCAGATATCGTAGTCGTGAGAAGTGCTTCTCGCCCACTGCAGCCATCACTTAGAGAGTCTGCACTGGGACTGTCCGCTCTCAGGACTTCCTCTTCGGCATCTTCGCTATCATCCTGGTCAGACTGTTCAGCTGCACCTCGCTCGTCGGTAACATCTGTGCCAGCAACTTCTATAATTCCAGCTTCTTCCAGTAACCAGTCGACTGATGACAATTTGGCGTTCAAGATCTTGGTAACTACTAGGACAGCTTCTGGCTCGATCTTTTCTCGGATTTGCGTGTCCGGGTGAGTCATCATCCAGTCAAAAAGTCGCGGCGGAAGCTTGGAAAGGAAGCAAAATTCCTGGCTTCTCGGATCTCTTGGAACATATATCTGAAGTGGTGATTCGTTAGGACCTATGTGAAGTTCGCTCTTTTCAATTTCGACCGCCACTTCGCGACCACCTTGAGATAGAACTAGCAAGGACGAGATCCCGTTTGTTTCGTAGACAAGAGCGCTCTTGAGTAGATCTTGTAAGGAAAAGTCATTCTCCGACACACGGGGACTGTTGTAGTGTGCGGCTATCCTGTTTCACCGTTAGGAATATCATGTCCATGGCCATTCCACAACTTACCGAAATAGCCCACGAGCTTTCCGTCCAATGTCGCGATTTCGACTCGCTATGGGCAGGGGATCGCCGCCTTCAACTCGAGATATCTCTTTAACCATTTTAGAGAGATAGCGATTTTCAAGACCAGCCCAGGCGAAGAATGGCTTCAGCATCCTGACATCTTCCAAGCTGAAGTCGAGCAAGCTCGCTTTGCCGGCAAAAGAATCCCCCAATTGCTGTCGGTCCACTATTCCGAACTCTGCCTTTGACGTCCGCAAGAGCACTTGCCCGTTTGGGTACTTGACTGGAAAGACACGGCTCTCAAGAATTCTTCTTGAGGAAGAGGTAGGAGTGTTGGAGGATAGGAAGGAGGCCAGTGCCCACAAAGTCTCCTTGATCTCCGCCACAGGTGCATGTCTGGCACCTTTCTCAATCAGTTCGTCCAGCACCATATCAAGGCTTAATTCTGGAACCCCAAGGAGAGTAACGAAGAAACCCTTCAAGTCTTCATAATGGTCGTTAAGCGTCGTTCGACCTCTTATTGCCGTAACGCTTGCCCACAAACACTGAGAAACCTTACACCAATCATGCCGTCCGTTAACATTGACATAGATCAATGCACCCTCGTTAACGGCTTTCCTGAAAAGCATTTAGCCAAAATTCGATGTTTTCAGCATGTGGGAATGAACAATCTAACCTCAGCTTCTCGATGTCATCGACATTGGCTCTGTCGAACGATTTATCAATGAGAGTGTACAAACCATTGATTCTATCAAAATCCATGCAAGACGCAGCCTTGAGATACTTAACTTCGTCCACAAGATGGCTCCAGGAACAATCGGAAAGTCCCAGAGTGGTTCTGAAAAATTGTTCCAGGGAACCCGGCCCCGACTCGGACGCCATGAAGTAGGAGTGACACAGCGATTTCACTGGGTACTTAGTCTGCATATCCTGCGGGCCATCCCAGACGCATTGACTAGGTCGAACCCGTGCCGCATGTCGTTCTCCGGATTCTGGTATCAAAATGGCGGAACTTGCCTCAAACAGTTCTCTGAAAAACTTTAGCATCTGAAAAAGCATCTCAATTTGCCTCGGGTACATCACATACCTAACCTTGCCCTGTTGTCTGCCTTGATCCTCGGATAGGAGAAGTTTGGTCTGGATGCGGTCATATACTCCATACACTCTCGGCATGTTCAGAATTGTTTCGACAGACTTATTTCCATTCAAAATGGAGTTCAGGATTGCTAGGTAAAAATCCAGGTCATCATGTCGGCCAACGCCAAATTCTTTGTTCAGAAAATTCCAACCATCGGAATCCGCGTCATCCTTTGGCGGAGACAGCAGCGCCAAAAACGGGAAAAACTCCGAATCAACCATGTACCTTGCTTGCAGGCGCTCGAGGAAGGGAGTCGGCAAGTATGTCTTGAAAAGAGGTATCGTGCGACCCCCTCTGCAAAGGACTTCCATTGTGCGCATTTCGGTGGTGGTTGACTTTGCAATTATAATTTTTCGACCCTCGCCCTGCCAGTAATAGTGAATGACGTTTAGGAAAAGCTCTGGGCGGTAGCGTTGAAGGTAGCGAGTAATATTGGATAAGGATGCTGATTCACTGCCTGGATTGCAGACTAGCCTCGGTCGTAGTCGAATGTTGAGATACTTCCCAAGAAAAGCCGACCAGCTGAAAGGGTGTCCTACTGGATTGTCTGGGACGTCTTCAAAATAAACTTGATGCAGGAACGACACTGAAAGTCCCGGTGCACTGCTCCCGGGATTTTGACCTTGCGGCGTGGGCATTAACAGTTCCCTTACGCCGTACTGATTTTCATCGGGTTTATATACATCTGTAAATTTTGGCCAGAGACGCACTTCTGACGCTGTGTAAATGTACACGTTGCTGAAGGCGAATGGGACGACAAAATCCGCCCGCATCTGGGTCAGATAGAGATACTGCAAATGAATCCGGGACGTCTGGAGGCTGACACTTGCGCCGTTTGGGTAGGAATTGTAGCGTTCAAGTATTTTGTTTCGAACAAGATCGGTGGATGCCTCCGTAGCACCAAGATGATCAAATAATGTCTTTCTGTCAGGGTTTCCGGCGGCAGTTGGATTGATCAAGTTCAAACCTAGGTCTGTCGGAATTTGCATACCGGAACTGCTTGCATAGTAAATCGGACCACTCTTGGAAGATATCCATAGACCATTTTGCAACGGGATCAAATACATTGCTTGCAAGGTTATCTTTTCGGAATACCAATCCTTGACGAAGGGAATTGCAAGAATCTGGGCGGCACGAGTATGCCAATCCTCATCTCTCGAGGCTTTCATTCTTGAATGTGGCGATTCGAGGTCTCTGTTAGCATGTGCCAAAACCTCCGTTATGTTGGCGTATCGAAGGCCATAAGACTCCAAAGTCTTAAGATCATGCCGATCATATGAACGAGACACATACCAGGGTGGATCAATGTCGTCCCACAGCGGATTACCGTCCTTGTCCACAGAATCGAACGCGGAAAGTCGAAGCGACTTGATGAGTCTTAGAGCCCCTCCATTGCGAGAATGTAGTACTGGTGTTGATTCCAGAAGGCCCTGAATCTTGTCAACAAGTCGCTTCCAAAGAGGCTGAAAACTAGTGTTCGAGGGGTCGGGAAGATATCTCATCCATTGGTATGTGAGATTAGGATGTTCGCAAAACTCTTGAACTGCTTTGATGAATGCACGTGCAATACCATCCAGAAGTCCCAGATTCCGAGGGGATGCTGTGATCACATCTTGTCGATTTGCCTCCGTGACGAAATCGGCTTGTATTAGAAACCAACTTTTGTTAGTCTAGGCTCACAGTAACGGCGGCGGAAGGACGTACGTAGAACCCAGCTGAGCGAAGCGGCAGAAATGCGAATACATCCTGGACCTCCAGAAGAGGAGATGAATCAGAAGTCAATGGGAACGCAAGCACAACCTCGGATGTAGAATATTTCTTTTGCGCCTCTTCTGCTTCTGAGTATTCTCGATTGTCATTTTTCTCAAGGTCTGTGGCGACATATCTCGTAATATGATAGGCCCTAGAACTTTTTTCCGTGTTGTCGGCTGTGATGGTTTCCTTTGTAAGACGCGCTTTGGCACCCCCGGAGGCGTTTTCAAGGGCATGAATTACTTCCTTGGTCATTTTGTGGTCTTCGTTGTAGAACTTGAGATTGATCTGTTTGATCTTCTTGAGAAAAAGAAGAAATGTGTCTTGAAGTTCGTGGAACTGGGAGGATATTGATTGGCGCTGAGTTGTAACAAAGGCAGCATCGCCAGAGTCGTGTAAAAACAAGGTAACTCGGGTCAATGATTCTGGCAGAGTTTGTTCGGGTTCTTGCCAGACGGGCGAAATCATGCCCATTCCAGAGTCTCCTCTTCGATGTTGGAAATAGAAAGAAAAGTCTCCAGACTGGATGAGGACCTTCCAGGCCACCATGAATACTGATTTGAAGCCTATTCCCTTTTCTCCAATATAACCTTGAGCACCTTTCTTTGTACTTTGACCCACATTGCAGATAGCCCTGAGGTTTCCGGGTGTGAAACCGTCTTCATTATATTCGACCACGATTTGCCGGGGGTGGACATGAAAAGATATGAAAGGGCTGTCATTGGTCTTGTTGTATTCGTTATCATCCGCGTTCTGGAGCAACTCGAACACAAAACGAGCATTGCTTGTGTAAAGGTTTTTGGCCAGCCTAATCAACAAAAGTCAGGGAATTGTAGCCAAAGAGCGTGAGGTTTGATACGTGATCACGGTTGAGCCGATCATGCCATCTTTTGCTTTCAGAGCATTGGTAAGTTTTGCGCGAATGGTCGGGTCGTCAATCTGTCTGAGGGTCTCTTCGCCGACATGGCCGTGCTCATTTTCTATCTCCTCGACCAATTCCCGAGCCTTTCTTCTTGCCGCATTCTCGCTGTTAGGCATGGCAACGAACGTGCTTCGAAGAATAGACGTTTGTTCAACAAATTTTCGGTCGGGGAGATACGTTATGGGATCAAGAACTGGGGAAATAAAGGGCACAAATCGCTAGAACCCATTCGCAGACATGCATGCTGTTGCACGGTGCAAACAGTGGTATCAGGCAGATTCAAGGGGGAATGCCAACACATACTCCGTAATTGAGCCCCTTTTAAGCGCCGGAGGGCCTGCAGAAAGGGCTGCACAGCATGTGACGTGGTAGCTTATCACCTACATTAGCGTCTGGCACGCAAGTTGTTAGCGCTAACTCCAACGCAAAGATCCTGGTCTACGCCGGTGCACAATTTTGCAGAATTCACAGCCTTCTCAGGGGATTTGAAAAGGTTTGCAGCAGATAAAGGACTAGTGTTGGTGTGGATGGGATGATTGATTGATTGGTTGGAAGGAGCTAAGCTGCGAGTGGCGATCAGATGATAAGGCTTCGTTCCGAATCACGTGACCTTGCGCTTCACGTACCATTGAACCACGCACCGTCTCGCGCAGCCAGGCCCAAGGCGACAAGGAAATTTAGGCAACAGCGCAGGGGCAGGGAATCTACCAGGTTCCCGGACGCCCGTCTGAGACCCATGCCTAGGCGAGAGGCAGGTTTAGCCGATTACTAGGGGGGCAGATTAGGCTCTCGGTGATGCTTGGTTGAAGGCTCAGTTAAAACTCAGTATAAAGCGGCTTTCGCTCACCCTCTACCATCAAACCATATATGGCAATTAGGTTTCTCGTCCTCGAGTAATAAGGGTAGGCGGCATCATGCGGTGAAGCAGTAGCGAGTTCAATTCCAGATTAGACTTGGCGTAATTACACCTTAAGCGGAAGCTGGCCTTGCTGGCTCGCGTACGGAATACGGAAGGAGTTACTAGCAATACGAAATGGAAATCAAATCTTTGGAAGACGGGGCGGATTTCTCAATAAGAGCCAAGCCAGCATTGCTCTCTAGGCGACATTATACACAAGAAATCCCAATCGTCGTGTCGGTCTGTTGAAGACCCATTTAGTCCTCATATACTCCAACTGACTCCAAGCACTAGGTTATGAATCAACGTCCATCATATCTAAAATGGCCTTCACTTGACTCCCTCTCCCTGAGCCACTGTCCATTTCAGCAATCAGATCCCCAGCTTTGGCTTTCAGCTCCTTAACCACTTTGCGGCTATATTCAAAACTGCCCGTGGTCTCCATGTAAGCGACAGCGTACCTCTTGACGCCGTCGTCAGTGGTCTTTTGTTTGAGGATGTTGATGAGCTGTAAATTCGCAGGATTACTTCGGATCGAGTGAATGACTGGGAAGGAGAATTTCCCTTCTGTCAAGTCTTCACAGAGACCTTTGTTCTTGGTATACGTGCCCGAGGACAGGTTCAGGTAGTCGTCGCATATTTGGAAGACCAAGCCCATCAAATTGACGAGTGGCACGCAGTCTATTCGACCCTTTTCTGGAGATTCAGCTTGCATCAGCTTGACGGCCAGACGGAACAAGCCGCCGGTTTTGTTCTGGACCATTTCCAGATAATCATCCTCGGTGGGACAGGTCAAGGTATCTCTCCAGTACAAGTCCATGCCTTGACCACGATGGAGGTTGAGTAGTTCTGTTGTGAAGATCTCCATGGCCTCATCTCTATTCTCCAATCGCTGTAGTTCTTGTAGAGCCAGGAAATAGACATAGTTGGCGCTGTTGATAGTCTGGGCAACTCCGAAGATATTATGTGCAACCGGAACACCTCTCCGTAACTGACTTCCATCTTGGACATCGTCGATCAGCAGTGAAGAGGTATGTAGCATGCCCACGACTTTCGTGATGATCTCCAGAGACTGCGGTGGGACATCCAGAAATGAGTTGAACGCTTTGATCAAGGCTGATCTTATGTCTTTGCCTGGGTGCGCAAAGAGGTAGTCGTACGGACCCATAATGATCTTCTCTTTCTGCGGCGTCCATTCACCTAGCCGTCGTGGTGCCAGATTCTCGGGTGCAGACTGCTTCTTGGAGTGTCTCATCTTGTTCGTGTTGTCGGCCAGAGCTAGCGGAGGACTTAGTGGAGGCATTGACTGGTGTCTGTTGGATATCCACGTATCTTCGGGAAGAGGTCTGAGGACGGATTTCGAGGGTTGATGTTGGACACCATCGTGGATGCCCGCCGAACTATATCGGACTGGTATAGCGTTTGGGGAGGCCGGGTTCTCTGCGATGGTCGACATGGTGCCCGGACACGTATTCAGGTGAGAAGGAGCATGTGAAAGTGGCTGAGTGGGCGCAGTCGCAGTGGTCGAGGGTGCGTTAGACTTTCAGGCGGAAGGAGATGTCATGCAGGAGGGTGGATGGGAAGTGTTGGCAGGTGTGGTGTACAGGAGTATAAGTCATGAACGAGGAAGACGCAGGTAGGCATCAATATTGTGGGATACTCGGAACAGCATCACGATTTTCGACGACATGCATGACGAACACATGTCGAGGCTTGACTGGGGTCGCCTGCGCATCGATCATCATGATGCAGCTTTTAGCATCCGTTAGGCACTTACGGGCACTCTAGGCGCCCAGTCTACGCCAAGTAAAGAACCCGTTGTGCCCGTTCAAGGCCTAACACGGCCTAGGCAGCCCATCTAGGTACCTAGAAGGCGGTGGCAGAATGAACTTCCCCGCTTGTTTGGTTCTAACGCTATCGGGCCTTGACAACGAGATTCGACTCTCCCATACGGAGTATTCATGGTCATATTCGTACTCGCCAGAGTGCGCTCAACCATCATTACTCCGAGAACATTGTCATCCGCCTTTCTATTCACCACTACCTGGTCAACATGGAAACCCTCCTCTCCCACTCCTTCGACTACCTCTCCTCTTCATCCCCCCAGAAAATCCGCAAAGGCCTCCGCCAGGTAGAAGGCCTCCTCGCCCAGCTATGCCTCTCCAAGACCTCCATGGCCAACAAGCGGCAATCAATGCTGCTTTTGGGCTCGACATCTCCTCCAGGCAAGAAATTGAATGATCTCTCCGAAGACCCAGCCTTCCGCGAATTCTTCAAGCTCCAACAATCCTTCCAATGGAATATCTCCATGAGACTTGTCGCCTGTCTAGAGAGACTCCTCGGCAAAGAAAGCAACGGCACGAATGACATGTTGATCATACAGACACTAGACCTGATCCAAGGTGTTCTCCTGCTGCATCCCCCTTCGCGGGCCCTCTTCTCCCAGGAGATATACATGAACGTACGTCCTATCGCCCATTCCCACACACGCTCCCTTCGCTGACAGTTCAAGCTCTTCCTCGACCTCCTCGACCCATCCAATTGTCCTGCCATCCAATCTTCCACCATAATGGCACTCGTCACCTCCCTCCTTGACCAGCCTCAAAACGCACGTACATTCGAAGGCATCGACGGCTTATTAGTGGTCACATCCCTCTTCAAGTCGCGGAGCACATCGCGAGAAGTGAAGCTCAAACTCGTCGAATTCTTGTACTTTTACCTCATGCCCGAGACACAAAGTCCCAAGATCTCAGCTTCCACCTCCGCCACGAACACCGCCATTCTGGGCGGCCGAGGGAAAGAGCTCATGGCAGCCTTTGACCGGCGGAGAGAAACTGTCAATGGTCCCGAAGCGGCCAAGGATCCGAATGCGACTGTGAATACAAGGACGACCGAGGAGAAACAGAATCTGCTGGGCAAGCACTTAAGCAATGTGCAGGATTTGGTTGAGGATTTGAAAGAAGGCGGCGGTGTGTTTGGCGTTGGTGCAATGTAACAACAACAAGACTCTAGTAAGGCGCAGGCAGATATACCCAATGCTTTGGTGATGAACATGAATATGTATGCAATGCGAGTATCTTTCCTCCAAACGACCCAGGCTTTCTCCTCGTACAATTCTTGATTATCGGCAAAAAGCATTGCGGGAGATGAACAGGGCCAGTAAAACGTGTGGAGCGGTGATACGACATTAAACCAATGGGCAACAGATCTATTGCCTGACTGTTCCTAGATCGGGCACTGTACGGATATGCTGTCTGACAGGCATCATGGCTACTATGGTACGTTATGGCTTTCGTTGTGACTCACGAACCGACCGACGTGGATGTGGAGCGGACAAAACAGAAACGTCGATTGGACAGGACGGCCTCGTATTGTATCACAGTATATTTTCTACCTGTCCCCTTTGACCCGCCTCCTTTTTCAACATCCAGCCCTTTTATACACATACGAGCCTGGCCTACAACTCTTCCGGTCTAGTATCTACACTTTCCATAACACGAATTCGAACATGGCCAAAGTAATCCCGCAATCAACAGATTCAATGGTCCGGTATCTGTCCACGTCTCAAGCCTACGATCTCTGGGCGGCCGTGTACGACAGTGATGGCAACTTTCTGCAAGCCTTGGACACCATCGAGATGAAGAAGCTTATGCCACGTATGTTCAGCTTGCTGGGGACGTCACAACTACCCCGGCCATGGAAATTGGTCGACCTTGGCTGCGGGACGGGCAGAAATACGGCTGCATTGTTGGAAGTCGAAGACGCCCGTGTCGTCGGGCTAGATGTGAGTCCTGGCATGCTCGACGTGGCCGGGCGACGGTTGGATAAACACAGAAAGGAAGGCCAATTGAAATTGGAAGTCTTCGACATGATAGAGCAACCTTCTCCGCCTGATTCGGCCATTGGTGCTGACGCTGTGGTATCAACACTGGTCCTTGAACATATTCCGACAGACACCTTCTTCAGCCATGTCGCAAAGATTCTCAAACCTGGCGGAATCCTGCTGTTGACGAACATGCACGCCGAGATGGGTGCGATGAGTCAAGCTGGATTCGTGGATCCTAAAACCGGCGAGAAGATCCGCCCAACAAGTTATGCTCACACGGTCGCCGAAGTCGAGGACGAAGCAGCCAGAAATGGTCTGAGTGTTATTGACAAAGTCGAGGAGAGAGTCGTGGACAAATCCATGGTGCCACTGCTTGGTGGTCGATCTGAGAAATGGGTTGGTGTGACGGTTTGGTTTGGAGGTATATTTCGAAAAACGTCCTGATTCATGAGCGTATGGGTCACTCAATTGTCCGGGGAATACTAGGTGTTTCGAGTCCGGCTGGAAAAGAAGCCACGCGCCAAACGTGCTCTATGCTGTACAAGATTTTCGTGACGTTGCAGAGCCGTCTTCAACGACGGTGTTTTCCATTCAATGCCATCATCGAGGATGATCTGGGTATATGCGAAAAGACTTGCGTCGAAAAGGCCGGGTGTGGTTTGTCCAAAGAAGAATCTGTTCTCGCCTAGGAGAATGGATAGTGCTCGGAATGCTTCTTCTGCTTGGCTGTACAGTTCTTGTGGATCAATGATGGTATTGGTCTTCAACAATTCCTCTCTGGCAGCGTTGCGAAGTTGATATGCAAGGCTCAACTGGACAGGCCAGGATGTTGAAGCGCTGGCAACATACATTGGCCATGCTACAGCGTTGAAGTTATCTTTGTCCAGGTACAAATAGTACAACCATGCGCTCCGGATATTATGATCAATTAGTGCCGTATAGGCTTCTTGCCGCGGATGTACAGCTTCCTCCTTTCCTCCTTGTGATATCACCCATTTCGCGATTCGGCTGGCGGGAACGGGAGAGGCTGGTCGTTGAGGGTCTTGAGACGCAGGCAGAAGAAACGGTAGAGAACCACTTGGTGAAGCATGATTGTTGGATGGTCGAGTTCGTAGAGGGATGCCGTGAAACTTCAGGTAGGCTTGCCATTTCAAACAAGATGGGTTGAAGGAAGGAGCATCTCGACTTGGTTGGTCTTCTGACTGAAAAATGTAGAGGATGTTTTCGTTCCGACGTCCGGGAGCTCTTTGGGGGAGGTCGTTCGCAGGATAGGTGACGAGAGGAAACCTATCGAATACGCGTTTTATGGGTTGTGGTAATGAAAACCACGAGGACTGAGAGTTTTCTTGTGCTCTGGACCTGGCAGAAGTCTTTGCTTGACGCGTCGTGTTCTCAGCTGTGGTATTCCCTTTGTCGGTCATATCCAACCCCATACTCCAACCACCTCCTCAAAGATCAAAGAGCAAGTATCAGGGACTTGATCGAGTCCGATACAAAGAACGTGCGGAAGAGGCTAAGAAGAGGCCGTGTAGCCGTGGCGCAGGTAAGTAAGAGTGACGGCGTGGGATGACCTGCGACTGGTGAGGCCAATGTCGGAGCTTGACTCGAATCGTGGTGGATTTCCTCTCGGTGGTTACTCCCTCGCTCCGTATTAACTGCAGGTGCGCTGGAAGTTCCTCCGGTATTGATCAGACCAGATTCCTTTGGGCTATTATCTCACAGTATTACTCTGTACTCGACACCTTTCCTTCTGCGAAACTTCTCCTTGAGTAACGATTACTTCTCGCTCGGCAGTACGGAGTACTTACAGTATAAATCCAGGAGCCTTCAACTGCCTGTGAGACAGGTGCTAAATTTATCTGACAAGCAACTTTCCTCCCCACTAAACTTACCAGGCCGAGCGTATCGCTTTCCGACTGCTGAAGATCTGCCATCCCCTCATTGTCGCCGTTACTCCTGAACGCGGTCCTCGTTCCTTTGTTCCAAACGCCCTAGGACTACCATCGGAGACCTGCATACTACAACACATCGGCCCATTCTGTACTCCGTCAGCCACGATTTTCTCTGGATGAACTTCTCAGCCCAAGACAATGCAGGACCCGTTAGGCGAGAAAGCGTCCAGCCCTCCAAAGACCGGCAGGGTTGAGGACGGGAAAATTCGCAAACTAAAGCCCAACAGCAAGACCGAATTCACTCCGATCCAGCAATTCAACGGGAAAACTTATGCCTGCGAGTCGTGTAAGAGAGGGCATCGAGTGAACAAGTGCGATCATGGAAGGACAAGACCAATATCCGAAACCAATCAACCCGGTCGACCGTCGGCTGGTCAGAAAAGAGGTTGTCACTGTCCTAGAAACTGCGCTTGCACGACAAAGACTTGCAAATGTCAAAGAGACTGCTCTTGTACTCAAGAGGCATTCCTGATTGTCCGAGTCGACGGTCCACAAATCATCAGCCGCGAAGCCACGTCTAGCCCGAAGCCTGTATGGGAAGATGCCAATGAAAACAGGTGGACTCTGAAAAAGGTCTGGGCAGATGCAAATGGCAAAGAGATCGATGACCAAGAATATCAAGAGCGCAAGCGACGCTTAAAGGAGAGAGAGGATGGCGTTGTGTCCACTCCTGACATTCCCAAATCGAGTTGTTGCGGTTCGAAAAAGCCAAAGGAAGAGACCCAATCGCCTTTGCCACCAGCTGTCGGAGGCTGTCGACATCGTCAGAATCTCGAGAAGCAGCCCGAACAGGACAGCCTGGCTCCTACGGCTGTGGACATGGGTACAGCGACGAAGGAGTCGTGGAAAGCCGCCTGTTCTTGCGGTTCAGGCTGTTCGTGTCTGTATTGTCCCGATCATCCTAACAACGCCACGTCGATCAACCATGCGCAACAGCAAGTCAAAAATCTTGCTGAACAAGCATTGCCGGAATTCGATGGGCTGATGCCAGTGTCGTTCATGCCAGAGACAAATTCAACATCTTGTATGGGAGGTCGACCAACGTTTTTCCTTTCACGGACACCCAACGTCTCTCAACAAGCAATGCAACAATTCTTCCCAGACCTCGCCGATCCGAATGCCATCTATCTCCGATATCCCATCTCACAGCATTCTTGGACTAATCAACCAGCCAGTTCACACTGCTCTCATGTTGCTTCTCCGACCGCCGTCATTTCCACCATGACTCAGGATGCGAATGAGCAATATGTGGATCCGATGAACGAGATGTCTGAACAAACCCTAGACTTTGATTTCTTACCCAACGACCCGAACGGTACATGGGATTTCTCAGGCAATCAATTCGGCGACGCATCGTTCAGCTGGACGGACCTCGATGCTTCCAGAGGCACAGACTACAATATCGGTCAAGCAACAGTTGCTTCTGCCATGGACGGCAGCATCTTTCCCATGTCGCAATCTTCGATAGGTCCGCAAATACCTGCGATCAATGTGAGCATGGACAATCCAATGATGAGCCCAACCCATCTGAGCGGCCTGTCCATTGTCGACGGCACTACGTTCTCTGGGTCGACTCCACAATTCGATCCACAAAATTCATTCACACCTTACAATAACCCCCCGAACCAGGGCACTTTTGTTCATGATCCGCGGTTAGAGCAAGGGGTACCACATCAAGGGCACTTTAGCCGCCAAGTAATGAACGTCATTGGCGATACGCCCACACAATCTTTCGGAGTGCCACAGCCTCATACTAGAGTCGTGAGGACGCATTTTCACAACAATATGGCCCATTGGGATCAGCACAACACCTTGACGGATGATCAAATTGATTCACAGCTCAAGTGGCCGTCTATAGCGAATTCACCACCGGTTGCAAATCATGTTTGAGAGGAACATGAGCTCGACCAGAGGGCTGGAGATGATACGACATAGACTCAGAGGTTTGACGAGGACGCGAACGAGAACGAGAACATGATTCAACGGCTTCCCTATGTGTGACATAGACCATGGCATTGATTAGCATGCAGGCGCACGATACATCGAACTCGGCAAAAGGAGAAAATTTTATGTAGCGATCGATAGCGATACTAGATTGTGGAAGGAAGTATCCTGTGCATTGCACTCGCCTATTCATTCATCCATTCACTCACTCGACCTGCGAGTATCAGAGTCTTACTAGTACTGGAATGGCATGATATGACATGATACCACTCTCCTAAGCTGCTCTCACCCTTGAATTTAGGAGATCGGCTTTTTATCTCTTTTGTTTCACCCCTGCACAGCTGCCGTTGGCAAGGATATCGGCATTGGTATGGGTAGGGATATGGGTGGTGTGCCTCGTTGGCCAGCATCAGCATCAGCATGAGCATCAACATGCACGCCCGACGCCGTCGTCGTCTCGGAAAAGCCACTGTCAACCCTATCAACCCTGGCCTTCAGACTGATGACATTGACGAACTCGACGCCATCGACGAGCATGATTCCGTTATCATCCATTTCGATCGTGTTCCTTTGCCTGGTCTTGGTCTTGGTCCTGAGTTTTGTCGTCGTCCTCGTCGTCGTTGTAGTTGTCTTGTTGGCTTTGGGTTTGGGTTTTCGCGAAAGGGAAAGCGATGGTCGGAGGGAGGATATTGGGTTCGCTCTTTTTGTTTCCTTTGTGGACTCGGGCATGGGCGCGGGTACTCCATTTTCATCGGCGGGTGATGTCTTTGACAAAGATACAGATACCGCTGAGTCCGATCGTTCGTGTTGGCTCGAGGCGGAAGTGGGAACGGGGACGGGTCCAGGTCCAGGTACGGGCGTAGGCGTGGCGGTTTGCGGACGACGCACGGCTTTCGTCTTGTTCTTGTTCTTGTCCTTCTTCGACGCGGATCGTATGAGGCTCGAAATCGAACGTTTCGTACCACTGCCACTGCTTTCGACTACTAGTAGGTCCTCCGCTGGCTCGGGCTCGGGCTCGCCATCCGCCGCGACAATATCATCCTCGCCCAGTAGTGCAGTTCGCGGTCCACGAGGATAATGGTGTGAGTGTGACTTGGCCGACGACAACGACTTCGACCTGATGACCATGCCCACCCTCGACGCCAGGGTCGTTGTGAAACTTTTCCGAGGCTGTACCCCGTCGCGCTCCTCCTCCTCTTCTTGTTCTTCTTCTCCTTCGGCAAGAGTATACTGCGTGGCCTTGGACTCAGGTCTTGTCGTTGACGCCACACTTTTCGACCTTTGAGGATGATGCTGGGTTCGACTCGAGCTCCTCGGCCGATTGACGACGGTGGTGCGCTGGCTTGTTTTCGAACTCGGCCGTGCATGTGCACGTGCAGAATACAGCGCCTGATTCAGGAGTGCCTCCTCGTGCGACTTGGGTACGTCCGGGCCTGGACATGAGCCCAGACAGTCGGATGAGTAGCTCCGAGTGAGTGAGCGCGTTTTCGAATGGTGTTTGGTGCTGTGACGAGGTTGATGGGGCTTCGTGTCGGTGTTGGTGTTGGTGTTGGTGTTGCCATTGACCAGGATCGAGCGTAGTGGCGAAGGAGAGTTTGCGCGGGAGCCCGGGCGCGACGACGATGGGAGGGACGCAAAAACGGAGGCGGAGGCGTGGTATTCCAAGTCGGCGAGTTCAGTGTGGTCGCGGGAATTCAGCATGCGGTGGCACCATCGTGTCTCCCACTTGCCAGTGCTGTTGATGGTGCTTGAACATGATCCAGCCACGCTTGAACGACTAGTGGCCGCAATAAGTCCCGTGGCAGAGGAGGGAACCCGTTCACTTGCTGATGGCTGCGATCGTGTCGCAGGAGCAGGAGGACTGTTGGATTTCGATCGTGAACGCGATCGCGATCTGTGGCGAGCATGAGCATGCACAAGCTGAGTGGTCGATAATGGGTCCGTCCAGACAAACAGGAATTCACCACCATTGACCTGCCAATCTCCCCCGTCCATGGCGTCGCCGTTGCCCACGCGCTTGACGATCTGCCACGCCGATTTCACCGCGCCGCTGAAGAGCGAGTGCTGGATGTACTCGGGACTCTTGGCGCCCATGGACAATGTCCGATGCATGCCGAGGATGTCGTATAATTGCGTGCTCGGGTCCGCGTAGACGGGAAAAGCACATTGTGTTCGACTTGAATATGAAGCCAGCAGGCTGGGTGAGCCCGGACCGATGATGACCACGGACGGAGGTGGAGTTGTGGTTGGTTTTGAGAAGTTGAGGTACGCGTGCTGCTGACGCGATGGATGAAAGGGGGAGTCTGGAGACGACAGGCGACGGATGTATTCCTGGCAGTTGCCGCAGAAGAAGTGACGGATGAAGATGACCAGAATACTAGTAGAGGGTTGACGCTCGTCACCTTGGTGACCCGTGTTGAAGAGGGAGCCGAATGACAGAGGTGTGCCGTCGGAGGAGTAGATCTCGTGCTCGAATGCCTGTCTGAGCGTGCTTGGGTTCGGCATGGCTTCTATCGCCATATTGGCTCTGGCTCTCTGGCTCTCTGGCTCTCTGCTTCTCTGCTTCTCTGCTGCCTTCTTCTAGATGGTTGTTTCGACCTCTCTTTTCCGCTGGACCTGAGCTGAGGTAGACGGAAGAGTGTCTTTCCAAAGACTACTGTTGAGGTTGTTTGCTGCACCCTGGTAACCAAGACTGGATGCTAGTCGACACTGCGTAGTAGGCAATAGGCAATAGGCAATACACTCCCAACACTTGCTCGAAAAGGACAGAGAAAACTGCAAACCTACCACTCAGACAAATTCTGGCTTACCACGTACTTACCACTGCCGGCGCGGCAAGGGTCACATTCATACTACGTAGTAGTAATGACAAACCCCTCCGCTGTTAATGTTCGAGTCCATGCTGGCACGAGGAGATGGAACTGATGTTGTCGGAACCCCCCTGAGCCGAAACATTAAGTTAGTCTCAGCGTGCCTGACTCTGGCCGAGGTAACAAAGATCGCAACGGAGCCAGTAAGGGGGCGAGAAGCCCACTACGTACAAGGACGAAAACCCAGTAGCACCATGATGGCGCTGTCGAGGGGAAGTTTTGAAAGTGTCAGACAAAGTGTGCGTCGAAAGGACCCAGGGAGCCGCGATGAACCTGATGACTGGCCTACTTAGTATGTTGGTTATCGTGGTGTGGGACACGGGTTTGGGATGTGCCACTCCTGGCGTTTCAGGTAAAGACTTGGGATGACTGACTCCTGAAACGGTTGCACCACGTAGTACGTACTCTGTAAGTACTTACATAGTACTACGGTATGTAGAACGGAATGGGTGTCTACCATGGTATACCCGAGTATCTTACAGAATCACGGCCTGCTCGAGACGAGTATATAGTAAAGGGAGAAGTCACCCATTCTTGCCCCTATAAGCGACGGACGACAACTCCAGTTATACCATACTACTTAACTAGTAGTATTCAGCTGCTACAGAGCGACTGGCGTTGCTTGAAGGAATGGTAAGTCTGCTCGGGGCCGACGAACGCTTGCCCAGGCGGCGCTGCTTTCAAGACTACTGTACGGAGTATATACTCGTGATTTCTCTCTTCTTATCCTTGCTTGCCCGACTCAGAATGGTTCCAGAGGTGCACGATTCAGGCTGCTCTCAGGACGACAATCAAAGGAAAGCGACCGAGTGCGAGCCGATTCAGGGTCTTCTCTGAAGACAAGCCATCATCATCGTCCCGTTTGATCGTACTGAAGAGAACAGCTTTTGACAAGCCTTCTGCTACACGTGGAGAAGAAAAGAGGGAGAAGGGAAATTTTATGTTTGAAGTCCAGATCGAGCTGCGCCAAGACTAGTCAGAGTTGTACGATACGGAGAACAGGTCAAGGTGAATCACTGCTGCCCAGGTAGAGATCACTTACGACTTACGTAGTACCAGGTACTTATTAGGTACTGCTCCCGGGGTGCTGGTGAGGCTACTAGGCTGTGTTCCCGCTACTCAGGGCATCCTCAGGCATCCCCCAGGGCCCGCCAAGCCGAGCTCAGGATTGCAGAGCCACAGATACTAGTATATTAGGATGGGAAATCAATCAGAAACAGTGCCAACTATGGCATACCAAGTACCTGGTAGGCTAACGAGTGACTTTGTTGAATTCAAAAAAGAGTGTATCTAGGTCAGTCCGAGTAACGAGTAACGAGTAACGATAACAATCTCACAATATTCAGTATCAATCTGGTCTGGTCCACGCTCCCACTCCCGACAGCTTCAGCTTCCCCTATACCTGAAATACCTACCTTAGGTGACGTAGGTATTCACTCTCCCCCTGCAACTCATCTCCCCATCTCAATGGTACACGGTTCATACCACCCAATTCAACCCCAACCACCTGTATTGATAAAATGATTGTCGAATTTTGGCCTTTCGCTGCACCGCCACTACTGGCGGAATGGGCGTCTGGTCGTGCGAGCCCGCGTCGATGCCGCACTGGGGCCGGGCAATTCGTCGTACTGGCAGTTCAAGCCTCTTCTGAAGGGTGCAAGACTCGCAAGCTAGGCCAGAGCCGGGGGCATCGTTGCCGTCCGGTATTGACGAACTAGCTCTGTCTTGCCTGCATCGTCGCAGCAGACGACCGAAATCCGGGACTGATGACGGGGTTTTCTCGAACATGAAGAACCCCATGTAATAAAGACTGCATCAAAAACAGTTATGCTCTGTTGAGCTCTGGGAGTTTGTAACACATTGTCGTCATCTCGTCGTCCAATCAATCGTAGCCACCTCCAACTTGACTTGCAAATGCCGTCGAAACGCTCTGAGCGTCCTCGTCCTGGTGGATGCCCTTGCCGAGCCTAGAATTGCCCGTGTAACCAGTATTCGGGATACCGCCCTCGACATATCGCTTCAGACGATCGGCCTGGTTGTAACTGGTATGCTTGTTGATATCGTGAATGGACAACTGCTCCAGGCTAACTCCGCCCTGGCCAATGGTACTACCAGTGACGTCGGATTCAGTCGCAACCGTCGATTCACCCGCAACACTACCAGGGACTCCTCTTGGTTTGTGTCCGTTCTGTCGACGCCCACTTGCATTCTGAAGAGCCGGCCAGGTGTCTGGAGTAAATCCTTGGAACATTGGCGGGTAGCCAGCGGAAACACCCACTCCACCCATGGCGGACGAGTGAATCGAAGACACATCGTCTGGGATGTAGCCAACAACAGAGCCACCATCACGATAGTCATTACGAGGACCACCCCGTCCATTCATCATGCCACTAGCCATATGGCTGGCGTGGTTGTATGCCATCTGATAACGCTGAGGTCCGCGGTACGACTGCTTAGGTCGACTGAACTGATGCAGCGAGATTTGAAGGTTGGTAAGAGGCCCCTCAACGAGGCAATTGCGTTCCTTGAAGTGGAGCAACAAGTAGTGCCACAGAGGATGCTTGGACAGGACTTTGGGGTTCCCAAGGATGACCAAACCGTACTTGGCTCGAGTCATAGCCACATTGAGACGACGAGGATCGCTCAAGAAACCAATGCCTTGATGATCGTTTGATCTGACACATGACAGTATGATGTAGTCCTTTTCTCGTCCTTGGAAGGCATCGACCGAAGCCACTTCGATTTCCTTGTACAATTCCTTCTTGAAGGTACCGTTGACTTGCATGGAGCTCACGATGTAGCTGCGTTGACCCTCATACGGAGTAATGACGCCGATGCCGCCTGGTTTGACGCCAGCTTTGAAGAATCGCGTTACGATTTTCTCGACATTAGCGGCTTCGGTCCGGTTGAGGTAGGATGTACCGGAAGCCGAGATTTCTTCATTGCCAAGGTTCGACCAGAACATCATGGGGGAGTTGACAACAGGCCACGGGAAGTCCACTTCCTTTCGAATACGATATTCTGCTGTCACACCATTCTGCAGAGAGCCTTCGTAGAACATGTTGGACGGAAATTCCGACAGGCAAGGATGCATACGATACTGGATATTCAGCCGGATTGGCGCGCAACCGAGAATGACCAACCGTTCGAACAAGGACTGGTTGAGACCAGCTTTGGCCGCTTTCTTGTTCATAATCACCGGGCCGAGCTGTTGGTGGTCGCCGACAAGGACAATCTGCTTGCATCCAAGTACCAAGGGGATCATGCATTCGGGTTCGGCGGATTGAGTCGACTCGTCGATCAAGACTGTCCGGAACTTGGACTTGGCCAGTCGCGGATCGCCAGCACCAACACAGGTACAGCAGACAACATCAGCATTCTGCAAGATTTCTCGTTCCGCTGCCCGGGTCAAAGACTTGTACTTTTTCTCATCCTGGCTTGACAGTTCACCCAACTCGGACTTGAGCTGGTTGAGCTTGCCGAGTTCGACGTTGCTGTCGTTCATTCGGACTTGTTGGTGCAAGGAGAGGAAGCCGACAGGCGACTCCACATCTTCTCGAGATTTGGCAGTCACTCGCACAACCTTGAGTCCGGTGAGGTGAATACGTTCGCAGAGTTGATCCACAGCGACGTTGGACGGAGCACAAACCAAGACCTGGCCACCGTTGATCTTCGACAGGTGGTAAATGATGGTCGCTGATGTGACAGTCTTGCCGGTACCGGGAGGACCTTGAATCAGACTCAGAGGCTTCTGGAGGACTGACTTGACAGCATTGATTTGACTGCTATTGAGTTCTGGCAGCCCAGGCACACTGAATTTCTTGGGCATCTGAGTCTTCATCGGTGCTGCCGCCACTTCATGGCCAAGAAGACGGTGGAAAATGTACCCGGACACGCTCATCTCGTCAATAGCAAAAGTCTTCATGGCCAACTGCATCCGGTCGAAAGATGTGGCTTTCCAGACATAGTCGACGGTGAAGTTGTGAGTACATTCGGTCGGGACCGTCTTGTGGTCGCCCTTTGATCGCAATTCAATGGTGACTTCGTCAGATTGGTTGTTTGGAATCTTGATAACGTAGCCCACTCCTTCCCAGGCCGGGCGCAAATCACCAGTGTACTTGATGCGCATCTCGTCACCAACTGCTAACTTGACATCACCCAATTCCAGTTTGGGCAGGATGAAATTGGCCAGATGCTTGTTGTTCAAACCCAGATCCCATCGGACGATCAGGTTATCTTGGGACTGACTCTCCTTCAGCTTGCGGTCATAGTCGGCTTCGATCTTGACGAGCGGTCCGAAAACATTCTGATATTGGTAGGCGTCGTCATAGCGGAGAAGCACTGGGGCAGGCTCATCGTCGATGTTTGACGCCTTTTCCAAGTCTGTAATGGTCGCTGCGGAATTCTCCTTCCACAGTTCTTCCAGCTTCGCAATCATCTGCGGGCTCAGGTGTCGGGCGCGGAGTTGTTCCTGATCGGTTGGCTGCGCGACGAGCCAGGACAAGAAAGAGCGGTCTTCAATCAATGGCTGCCATCTCGAAGTATCCCAATTCATGTCTTTGGACGAAGGCATGGCTGCGCAAGGCTGTCGGCAGAGCAGGACGACCACGGTGTCCGACTTTGCCGGAATGAAACCCAGAAGAAAGACATTCTTCGTTCCGCAGTTGTAGCACTCCAGCACAGTATCGCCCAAGGAGCTGCTTGGGTGTAGTTGCACCTCTTTATGTCGTGCTCGGACAAGATGATTGACAATGTGTGAAGAAGAGGTGTTTCCACGGGCGCTGCAAAACCACTTGCTGCAGGACAGGCACCGAACGACACTGCTAGGATTGTGAATGCCACAGTAGCTGAATACATGTTAGCAGCGATCCGAGCGACAAAAGGGCTCCTCTTGACATACGCGCAAGCATGGGCTGGTAGTTCTCTCTCCTCTTCTGCCTTTGTCACTTGTTTCTTACCATCCACCGCCGCGCTGGCCAGACTTTCTAGGTCGTCTTCTTCGATACTCTCGGACTCGTCATCATCATGTTGCCGTCTTCTTGGACCTTTGGCTAGACTGAGGATGCTCTCGTCAGGGTCGACCGTAGAGATGTCATCGCTAGCGTTGATTGCGGCTGCGGAGTTGGAAACCAGATGGTTTCCCATGTTGCTGAAAGCCTCCATGTTGAATCTTTACCGAAATTGTAGTCGGATATTTGTCAAGATCGGTTCGACTTTGGTAAGAGGTCAGGAATAAGAGAGATTGGTGTATGAATTGGTTTGGGCGCAGGTTTGAGAGTGAGCGAAGGAGTCTTTCTGTGATGCTGTCTACTCCTGATTCACACCCACATCACGATTCCACACCCCTCCGTAAATCTCCAGATCCCACAGAGCGTCGTTCGCGCAATGTAGGACATGCGCAAGGGCCGAAAGGGTGCCTTTGGTGGACTTGAAGAAGGGTGGAGGGGAATCAAAGGGCAAGATGGTTCGGAGTTATTGATGATGTGAATCTGGTGCGGCGAATTCTCAAAACTCCACCAAAATTTATCTTTGTCTTGCGACTCTGCGCCGCATCACAATTTCTTTTCTCACTCTTCACCACCCTCAATAATCATGCTGCGGAGACAAGCCAGAGAGCGGCGGGACTACATATACCGTCGGGCTCTTCAACTACGAGATGCTAGTATTGCTGAAAAGCGTGCTTTGCTGAAAAAGTCGCTTGCAACAGGCAAACCACTTGACCCATCGGTCGCAAACGACAAATCTCTGCGGAAAGACTTCAAGTACGATGAATCACTCGATCCAGAGACTGCAGCGGCTCAAGAGTCCATCGACGATGAATACTCGATGCTTTCAGGTCTCTCCGACCCACGGCCATTAGTCACAACCTCCCGCAGTCCCTCTACTCGACTGAGTGCATTTTCCAAAGAAATCCGACTACTCCTGCCCACCTCAATACGGCTGAATCGAGGCAATTTGATCCTTCCGAATCTGCTGTCGAGTGCAAAAGCCGCTGCTTTGAGCGACATCATCCTCCTTCACGAGCATCGAGGCACTCCTACTGCCATGACAATCTCCCACCTCCCTCACGGTCCCACGGCCTCCTTCTCCCTCCACAACGTCGTCCTGAGAGCAGACATACCTGACGCATCGAGAGGGACTGTCTCCGAGTCATATCCACACCTGATCTTTGAAGGATTCACAACTCGCCTGGGAAAGAGAGTGGTCCAGATCTTAAAACATATCTTTCCTCCACGGGATGGCCCTCACAAGGTCGGCAACCGGGTAGTCACCTTCAAGAACGTGGAAGATAGTATTGAAGTTCGCCATCATGTGTTTGTCCAGACCGGCTATCGAGATATGGAGTTGGCAGAGGTTGGGCCCAGAATGACCATGAGGTGCTTCGAGATCCGAGGAGGGACACTGGAAAAAGACTCTGGAGGGGAGGTCGAATGGGCTTTGACTCAATATACCCGGACAGGACGAAAGAAGGACTATCTTTGAAAGCTCTTGCTCGCGGATTGACAGCTCCGGCTCTTGTCCAAAATTGCGCATGGTAAATCCAAACATGCCAGCAAAAATTTGCTGTTGACGGGTATCCAGCATCAAAAGTGCAACGCAGTCGCCATAGCGTCGACTGTCTGCTGCTTCGCAAGGTAACCCATCTTATCGCAGAAACTCCAGTTTCATTCAGCCCGAGCGAACTGATTCTCGGCCATCGAACCCGTCCAAACGCCGCCAGCAGATTTCCAAGCCACAGACACGTTAGTATCGCGTACGTCCCGGAAATGTTTGTCACCATCCTCCTTCTGGCGTCTTCGCAATCAAATCCACTTCATTGGTTGCCGGATCCTTCCTCGGGTTCAACAGTATCGTTACAGTCGGCTTCTGCTGTTTCCCCTCGACCGAGTCAACCTCCGGACCCATATCATTGCCTGGCTGTTTGACGATCTTTGGTCCAAAGAACTTGAACAGCCGATCATCCCCGGCGCCATCGCCGCGTAGATTCCATTCATCTTGAGCCGACTCATCCATCTTATTGACCTTCTCGCGATCATCCCAGCTCACCCCGACTCTCTTGTGGAAGAACTTGGTGAACATGGTGAAGGCAAAGTCGAATGTGCTTCCCGGAGGCGCTAGTTGCGTCACATAGCGGTGTCCCGGACGGATGTAGATGCTGTAACATGCGTACGACTTGGCCTTCGGCTCTGGCTCGTTCGCATTCGCGGCACTGGCATTGGTGGTAGGATCGTATTCGAAAAGCTGCAAACTCTGAGCCCATGGATTCGGAATATGAACCCGCAAAGCAGGATTCGACAGAGAGAGGGAACGCGGGAGAGAGCTCGCTATGACAGGGTATCTGGAGTAAGGGTACGGTTTGGGGAAACGATACAATGTAACTGGACAATGAGGGAGAGATGGTCTTGAAGTAGACATAGACCAGGTCGGTGCATAAGCACGAGGAAATCGAAAGGAACAGGAATATCTTTGTTCTGAGGACTGCGAAGCCAGAACCATATCGTGTATCGACTCGTCGGAGACTGTTCGTCGGTGGTCCGGCTCCTGGTTCGTGATGGGATAGGATGTTGAAGACGACAATGAAGAGAAACAAGATGCGTAACGCACCTTGAGTCTATGCTTTTCGAGACGGTTCTGGAGAATGTCCTCCCTTACCAACGTGACGAGGAACGTGAAACCGTTGGCATCGGTGAAAGGGCGGTAGCCGTCTATCAAGCAATTGGATCAGTACCCTGTGCTTTTCACTCGAGAGTCGAGACGAATGGTAAAACTCACGTTGGCCAAGCTCCCTCTCAAATTCTGCGCATTCGGCGTCGTACTCTTTCCCTGTGGACGGTCAGCGTCGGCCCTGCCAATCACTCTTGCAGACAGTCGACATGTGAACCAAAGAAGAACCGAGCAGGGCAGGATTCGTGGACGTCTGGGGGTATTAAAATAACCTACCAGAAATCTCAATTTGTTCGTCCTTGCTGCAATGCAATTCTTGCTCCGCCCATCCCAGTCGCTGCTGTTGCTGCTGCTTTTTCTTGACCGCGGTAGCGACGTGCTTCTGTTCTTGCTCCTTCTTGTTCGGCGTCTCTGTATCCCGTCTGGGCATACTGTGGACATCAACTTCGCCATGCTTGTCCGCTACCGTGTTTGCTTGAGTTCCTCCTCCTTCTCCTTTTTGGGTGTCCTCGTCGTCGGCATCATCCACTCCTTGTTGGTCGTGGTTCGAGTGGCTTTTGTCGCGCCCATTGCGTTTCCGCTTCCTCGAAGCTTTCTTCGTCTTGATATCACGCTGCTCGTACGCATACTTTGCCTCGTCGAGCGGTTTGCGCGACTTGCTCATGGTCAGGGTGTCTTCCAGCCAGTCGATCTTGATGATGTGGATGGTTTTGAGACGGCGGGCGGCTTGGACTGGAATACTTCTGGTCAGTTGTCTCTGCAAGTGAACGACAGCACCGTTGACGGATCGTACATGAGGATGATCTCTTAGCGGCAGGGAACGAGAGGAAGAGAGAACGAGAGAGCGAACAAAAGGATGCACGGTGTATCAAACGGGCAGAGGGTGCAGAAGCCAGACTAGGGGAAGGTAAACAAAATGGAAGAAAGAAGGAGCCAGGCACTGGGAGACGCCAAGGCAACAGCAGACAGGAGCGCCTGGCAAACGCGATATATGCTCGAATCTCACGGAGGTCCCAAACAAGTGAGGTGCAACAGTCTCGTGAGGTGCGCGTAACCGCCAAAACAAGTGCAAGCAGCTCAAAGAGTGCGCCGAAGCGAGCGATGTAGGGACTTCAAGTTACAGACTTACCCATAGGATGATACCTCTTCCAAGCCTTCTTGCTCGCCACGAGATGGGTGACGTTCGGGTTGATGTCCTTGGAGAACGTCCCGCCTGCATGCTCGACCCAGTTCTTGATCTTGTCAGTCTTGTCGCCGAAGTCGCCTGTCGAGGCGAGAGTGACGGAACGGAATGTTTTGCCCATGATGACTCTGATCCCACTGTCCGTTTCGTGGTGTCGTAGGAGGCTGTGCAAGACTGAACGGCAGGGAGAAGATGTGTGACTTAAGTATTGTGCTTTTGGTCGTCGATCTAAGTCAGAAGAAGATGCAGATCGACAGGTTACGAGAAGAGGACGTAGAAAGATCGTGTGGACGTTGGATTTTTGGTGATAAGGTCGTTTTTTGAGGAGGGGAAACACGCAAGATCAAAGCTGGTTGAAAAATGAAAGATGACTGGGATTTTGATGTCAGTGCTAGGACATAGACAAGAGATGTCGTGTCGAAAGACAGCCTTGGTAGATGAAATGCTAGGAAAGCAGGAGGGTTGGTGACGAAAAGTGTGTGAGATATATGTAGGCAAGAGAGATGTTCTGGTGGGAATAGTCAGAGACGAGGGACAACTATTTCAAAGAAGAGATAAGCATCAGGCTTACCTGTAAAAGAGACATTCAGGATTAAAAGAAGAGGAAGTAAAGATGGTATAGGGTGACAGCCTTGCACATGTGAGGTCCAAAGTGAGGTTATGGGCGACGACTGTGAGAGAAGCGTGCCAGGGGTAAAGTAAGGCTGCGATGATACAGTAATCGCTGATAATGGGAACCATTGTGCAGGGCGGGTTCTCAATAGACGGCCTTGCCGTGGCTTCAACCCTCAGCGAATCGACTTGACAATAGGTACATGAGCTCGGGCGCATCAAAATTGGGTATATTCTGTGAGGCCACCTCTAGTCTATTCTTTGACAGCCTTGACGAACGCGGCAATTTTGGAAGGATCCTGCTTTCCCTCCGACTCGACTCCACTGCTAACATCAACGCCAGCAATATTTGCTCGGTAAGGGCCCAGGGAATCCAATATCCTGTTTACGTTCTCAGGATTGAGTCCGCCGGCGAAAATAACCTTGACGCCCGGGTCTCTGTCGAAGAAGGCCTTGACTTCATCCAGATTCAGCTGTTGACCAGTGCCTCCAGCCCCAACGTCCAATAAGGGGAGAGCATGATAACCTCGAGCGGAAATACCGGGCTCTGAAGGAGAGAACTTGCGGACGACAGGAACAGGGATATTCCGTGCATATTCGATAGGTTCGGAGCCATGCAGCTGAACGACATCAAGGCCGAGCTTATAGACTTGTTCAATAACATGCTCAAGCGGTGCATCCAGAAAGACACCCACTAGTTGAGCGCGATCTGGTCTCACAAGCATTTTTGAGGAATGATCGAAGTATTCAGTAGCGCCAACCTCTGAAGAATCAGCAGGTCTTGTGGATGGGTTTGGTGTAGACTTGACGACTTTTGCTATCTGTAGAGCAACCTCATCTGAGACGTAGCGCGTCCGACCGGGTACCAAGATTATGCCGATGGAATCTGCACCTGCTTCAATGGCTGCTTTGGCGCCTTCTGGGGTCCTCGTGCCGCAGATTTTGACAGACAGAGGGGACTGGGTCTTCTTCCTGGGTTCAACATTAGGATCTCCTACGAGTTTCGTGATGAACTCGACTGTGTTCGAAGCTCTCATCAAGGCTTCTCCAACAAGGACTCCCTTGACACCGTCTTTCCTGTACGCTTGAACATCTTCAGGTCCGGAGATCCCGCTCAAAGCACACACGATGGTGGTCTTGGGTACAATGTCCATTAGCCGACTGGTTGTGCCAAGGTCAACTTCAAAATTGGTGAGGTCACGGTTGTTGACACCAATGACCTCGGATCCGAGATCGACAGCAATTTTCATCTCGTCCGCTGTGTTCACTTCCACTAGAGGCTCCATTCCAAGAGACCGAGAGTATTTGTATAACCTGGTTAAAGTCTCGACATCCAGCATCTTGACAATGAGCAGCACTGTATCAGCGCCGGCTAGACGAGCTTCCAGAATCTGGTACTCCTCGAAGATGAATTCTTTCCTTAGCACTGCTGGTCGATTTGGCATGCTATCAAGACTCTGTCGGACTGCTCGCATGTCTTCCAGACTGCCTTTGAACCATTCAGGCTCGGTGAGCACCGATATGACACTCGCCCCAGCCGTGGCATATTTTCGTGCTTGAGCAGGAGCACATGTCCCAAGCGAAATGATGCCTTTCGAAGGAGATGCTCTCTTGATCTCAGCCAGCAGCGCCAACGGATACGCCGACTGCCGTAGTCGCTTGGGGAAAGAGATTTGAGGAGGGGAAAGACCAAGATCGTAGGCGGCTTGAAGATCTTCTGGTCTCTGGGAAGGGATTTGTTTCTGTGCGGCAACGGCTTTCCGCCTGTGAGCATAGATCTTGTCCAAGATAGACCCTTTTTTCGTGGGGGATGTAGTGTTGGCTACTCCATTCGTTTGCTGTTCTGGAGCAGCAACATGAGGATTCTCGGACCACTTCCCTCCGGTCATTTTCAGGAAGTTCTTGAACATGAGACTGCCATTTTGGGTCAGGATACTCTCGGGATGAAACTGGACGCCTTCAACAACGTATTCCTTGTGGCGGGCTCCCATGATGACGCCCTTACCGCCATCAGCGCCCTTTGCAATCCAAGAGGATACTTCTAGCGACTGTGGCAGCGTGGGGTGTGTTCCAGCCAAGGAATGATATCTTGTTACCGGCAAGTCTTGTGCCAGTGTAGCATAGCATCCTTTGCCATCGTGTCTCAGGGGCGAAGTCTTGCCATGTAAAATCTCTCCAGTAACATCCACCTTGCCGCCGAACACCGATATAATGCACTGCAGTCCCATGCATACGCCAAGTATAGGTATTTTCCCCGCAAAGTGTCTGATGGCATCTTTACTGACTCCTGAATCGGTGTCTGGGTGGCCAGGTCCAGGACTGATGACCAACTGTGTAGGATTCTTCGCGATCAGTTCGTCCAGAGTGACCTTGTCGTTTCGATAAACCGTGACAGTAGCGCCCTCGAGGACGAGGTATTGATAGACGTTCCACGTGAAGGAGTCATAATTGTCAATGAGGACGAGATTGCTCGCGGAGGCCAATTTTTCAGCGGCAGTGGGCTGGTGGGGAGAGTGATCGACTAGGAAAGAGGCCGTCATCTTCGGGAGGAATGTGTGTGTGTGAGAGAGAGGGAGGAGAAGGACACCGCCGTTCGTGCTGCTGGAGTCCTCTTATGGCTTGTATCGTGTAAGATTCGCGGGCAAAAAGTTCCAAGTGACTCGAATGGCTGCAATACGACCATCGACCGCAGTCTCCCCGGATTACATAAACATTGGCCTTGGCTCCCCAAAGCCTTATGGGAGGACATGCAATCCTTTCCGGTCCTATTTCCTTCTACACCACCAGAATACCTAGCTTGTTCTCTACTTGTGGGAGCCGGTGACTTTCTCATGGAGAGGCCACTGCTTGTCAGCGACGCAGCATCCAGTAGCGTCAATCAAACAGTCAACTTCGAATCATGTACAGTCTTCTTCGAGTCTGCCTTGCCAGAGCTCCTACACTGCAATGCAAAACGATGAAGTCCTCACAATGCAACCTCAGGCCTTCGAAGATGGTGGGTCTTGCAGAACTACACTGACACATGAAACTGTCACCGCGGTCATGGGAGATACAAGCACCGCGTCGAGGAGGGAACGGACTGTCCAAGGCTGGAAGCTGCCTCGACCAGACTTCGACAAAGACGATTTGTCCAATGTGCAGATTACGCACGACTGCCCGTGCGTCAGGGGTCAAGCCAGCAGCCTGTGAGGTCTTAAAATAGAACCACGATCCAGATATTCCGTACCAGAGGTCGGATACAGTACTTGATGCGGTAGATTGTCATGCCTGTCATGTCTATTCTGTAGTATTTCTCATCTCTTTAGCTTTCGGAGCCAGGCGCGAACGCGTGGCCCCGAACAGAGGTGCTTCTTCGTGTCATCTATCACAACGTCGAGAAATGCACCGATCCCCACGAAGCTGGGGGCTAGCTCCAGGTTGATGGCTTGCCCTTGAAAGAAACGGCTGTGTCGTAGTATGTCTTCAGGAACCTGTGGTTGGGCAGCGGATCAGTTTCACCTCCTGAGTGACTCAACGTAGTCACTCAATTGGCTAGATGGCAAGAAGTGCTTTCACTGAGACACGCAAACCTTCTGCACAGCCTCACCAGGCATCAGAATTGAATTGAACACCAGTACGAAATCCCTCGGCGTCCTCGGACACGCACACACCATCTATCATGCAGTCTGCTGAACCAGAGAATGTACGAAATTTGTAGTAGAGATGATTTGTCTTACTTCTATGGCCCCCTTGATGCCCCTATTCGAGAGTATATAGATCCCAGAGTGGTAACTCGACGGCTATCAAAATACTAGTAGCTGCCGCTTGCGCCCACAACACAAGCCCAAGGCCACATACCGTACCAGCAAAATCGACCCGAACCACAGCGTCAGGCACTGAACCACGTGAAAGAACACCAGAGATTCCCGATATGACCCAAACAAGCACTCGACCACTCCAATCCAGGCCGAGGACCTGGTATCGCGATGGATACATCATTACACAAGACGTATCGCGAACGGACTTCGAGGCATTAACAGCGGATCTTTCTCCGTCGACCAAGAAGAAAAGTACCGTTGGTCCAAAGACGCAATATCTGGTCCTCTTCACCCCAACACCTCTTGAAGACGAAAGCAACTCCTGCATCGGGTATATTTGTTTCGAACCGGATACATCCACGAGAAAGGCCGCTGTCACCGACCTGGTATTGAGGCGTAGCTGGAGGAATCAAGGACTCGAGGACTGGATGGTCCAATGCGCAAAAGAATGCTCGAAAGGTTGGACGATGACCGAGCTAGTCAAGCCTGGAGGTGCTCCGAGATCGAACCTGGAAGAAAAGTTCTGCAGAAGTTGACCGTTCAACCAGAAATTCTGCAAGCCTGTCCCTGGGATATCCGTGGCTTTGCCTAACCTTGCCAAAGTCATGCCCTGCTCGTGTACCACCCGAATATAGTGGCAATGCCGCGACGGTATGAAAAATCAATCAGCTTCCACAACCTTGCCACCTCCATATTTTTTCAAGTATTCGTCCCTCAGCCCCGATATGTCTTGAGGCAGGAAAGCCATGAACGTATCCTGCAGCCAACTCTTTCGGTGACTGGTCAACCCCAGCTCGCCTAGCAGTCGATCCATCAGAGGATGGTATTCGAAGGCGTAAAAGTTGCCCGCTCGACCATAAGCGGGGAACCGCAGCCGCAAGCAGGTGGTCACGTATGCAACATCCCTTTTCATGTCTTCCTCGCTTGGCAGCTTTAACTGCCCATCGAGATAGGCTGTGGCCCAGATTGCACATATTTCGCTCGCAAGGCTCATGTTTGGGTAGGTTCCGAAGCCGACAAACGCGATACTTCGATCAGAGCCAATGGGCGCAATGCAGTGGTACAATCTGAAAGGCGTATCGGACGGCGAGATATCTCCTAAATTCTCAGGCACGGACGGAGGAGAGCGGAGTGAGAAATATCGTTTCCTGACGATCTTCTCAGCTTCGGCGTTCAGTTGCCGCCATTCCTGGGCCATTTCTGCGTCCTCCCACCCTTCAGGATGAGGAAGACCGAGCTCGACTCGCTGCTCTTGTGTGAAGAACAAGCCACACTCTTTGAAGCCAGTGCCGCAGATGATGGCGTCGGCTTTCACACGTTCACCATCTTTCAAGATAATAAAGGACCCGTCGAGTCTGTCAATGTCTTCATTGTGCACGTCGACGTTATGTGCGATAGTGTCCCAGAAGTCTTCATAAGAGATTGCACCCAGAGGAACATCCAGAGTAAGGCCCTTCACTTTGGTCTTGAGCTTCGAAAACGAGGGTCGCGCGCCTGGACGGTCATCGTACCGTGCAGCATCAATGGCCCGCTGGGTGACCGACTTTCCCAGCTTACCATAAAGCCATTGACCTAGCCTGGTATGGAAGATGAAGCGTTCCCACCACGAAGAGATAGCTAACCCCGGAAAGAAGACCATGTTGGGAAGGAACCGTGTCGACCCTATTTCGGAGATGTTGTGCCAAATGCTCCTGAGAGGTCGCCCGACTTCTACTGGCGTAAAGGCACCAGGACCTTTGCCTGACTTGCGGATGATCCAATGCACTTCTTTGCCAGCCTTGACGGCTTGGTAAGCATGATCAGCCGCGGATTTCCCTCCTCCAACAATTGCGACGCACTTAATGTCAGCCTGGTCGAGTACTTTGGACCGTCCAAGGTTGACCGTGTGGATGATGGGGCCTTTGAACGTTTCCTGCCCCTGGAGATCGGGCAGGTTGGCCTCTGAGGTCGAGCCCGTAGCTACAATGACCTTGCGAGTGTCGAAGCTCTGGAGCCCCGAAGGAGCGGTGCAATGGATACGCCAGCCAATTGTTATCCTCTCGAGGCTAGCGACTTCCGCCCGAAACCTGAATCGGTCGCGCAGCGTTTGGCCAGAGTAGACGTGCTTGTCAACGTATTCGTCCATGTAGGTCGCCATCGCTTCGGCTTTATAGAACTCCCAATCGTCAATTTGGTCCGGACGAGGGCTGAACAGCATGTCTGAAAATCCGCCCATCCGGGCGCTCTGCTGTGATTTGAAGCCTGGATATACTCGTTCTGAAGATGTTCAGTGCGTCTCCGCGCCGGAAGTATGAGTGAGAGTGACTGACCTGAGCTCCATACTCCTCCGACGGAATGGTCCCTTTCGAGTATGGCGACCTTAGCCTCGGGATGCACATCGAGATAGAATCTCGCCGACACGACGCCTGAAGACCCTCCACCGATGACTATGAGGTCGTAGGAATTTGACGACGTCATGCTGATAGGGCGAATTGATGTGAAGGCGGCTCTCTTGACAAGGTTTTGGGACTCAAGACGTCTTTTTGGACAGTCAGGTAGAGGTCTGCGTAGAAACAGGCCGAAAAGAGCTCGACAGGTCAAGGAGACGTTTCATGTGGAGGCATGGATAAATACTGTTTTCAACAGACTGTCGGATTGCCGTCTGAGGGAACATCGACCCAGCTGGTCAAGAACTTAAAGGGAACGGAGCAGCAGACGTGGGTTGCCTAAATACAGGGTCTTATATGCCACAAGAGGACAATTGCTGACATGATACGCCTCAACGACTCGGCAAAGGCCGGTTAATGGATTCTTCATTGGCTCATCTGTCCAAAGTGTAAGCTCATTCATCAGTGCTACGTAGTCGAGAGTCAGCTGTAGCATCACGAGTACGAAGGGCGATCTGGAACGGTGAAATGGTGTCTCAAGCGCCCACTAAAGTCGAGCGTGCTTATATCAAGTCCTTGCACACAGGGGCCAAGATAAGTAGGCAGGTTTCAAGCTTGGCAATGTTCTGGTGAGCGAGGTTTGCTTCTTTGGAGATTACGTCGCCATGAGCTGACCGAAGACGGCCGGTCAAATGCTGGGCTGGGATATGGGGTCCCAAGTGGTCAACGGTAAGCTCTGAGGCAACGATTCAATCATGTCTCAAGAGCTCGAACTCTTGCTACGCCCTCCTGGAACAACAACATCGCGTAAAATTTGTGCAGGCTGTGGAGCAGACTGCCGCCAAAGAGGTTGTTCTTGCTGGGATCGCAAGCAAGGCATGAGTTTGTTATGGTTACCGTCGTCGAGGTGGCGGGACCTGCAGGGGGATCCAAGTCTTTGGGTGAATCCCGGTGTATGGAGAACCGATGGAAACCTGAAAAGTGAGAGGTATCGGAACCAAAACCAAAGTCGATATAGCTTTCCGCCGGTTCGGGTGAGTTCTGATGATTCGTGAGGCGACAGTCAACGACCTGGAAGGCCCCAAAGAGTACTGTATGAAGTGGAGGTAGGCGGTCGCTTGAGAGTTGTTTGTAAGACCATATATTGGTGGCGGTGTCGCGGCTTTGAATTATTTTGAGAGCTGTGATTGCTTAGATCACACGCGATATAGAACGGATTACTGTTGGCTTACCAGTGAAATTGACGAGTCTGCGGCGCAATAGCTGCAAGGCTCTCCGCTCCGGTGCAAATACCCAGCCGCCGAAGTAGCCTTGAATGTATGCTGCTAGAATCTGTTCATCGGAGTAAGCTCTTTTTGTTGGGGGGAGCTCGACCACTATTGAGCGAGTGTCATGCAAGCCGGTGCAGTTTCTAGGGTTGACTGTACAATGACTCTTGGACTCGAGGTAGCTTGCTGAAGTTGTGTTGGTGACAGTGACAGTCGATGGATACACATCGGAGATTTGCCGTGAGACCTGGTAGATATAGTAGGGCGTTGTGATACTGACAGCCGCGGCGAGTATACGTGAAGCTGTGTTCATGTCGTTATCGGTATCGGATTCTGGATCGTATGGGAAAGTCCGGCTGGGAAGCGGACTCGATGATTGTCCTGAACGAGGACCAAGTATTATGGCATCTGAACCTCTTTGACACCATGCTGTCTGAGCTGTCTTAAGGCCGTAAGCACGAAAACACGAATACGGCTCAACCCGGAGACTCTGAAGCATGACCTTACAACTCCACCCTGGCGGAGGACGCTCACGCGGCATTTACCTTGAAGCAATAGTTGATGCACTGCCTCTATCCCGAGGCAGGGAGCACTGCGATGGAGCATTGATCTCGAATGTGAGTCTTCATCCTTGCTCTTCTGTGAATCGTCAGGAGTCACCCGGTTGGCAGTAGAAGATGCTGAACGAGGTGGCCGCCTCGCCGCCGAGCGCCGCCAAGAAAACCCGTACGGCGGAGCATACGGCGAAGCATTCGGTGGGCCTATGACGCGCTTTGAGATAATTCATCGCGACCAGCAGACAAACATGCATTGATTCCATTCTGCTAAACTTCTGCAGCATGGCGCCGGGATCGCTGAGCCCTGTATATCTTCCCGATCTGGGTAGATGTCTCGCGGGTGAACTGCTGCTTCCGTAAGTTGGACTCACAGAATGAAGTAACCCTTGCTAACCCATCCACAGATCTTGGGATGATCTCCTGCATGCGTTGCTCTCTCACAAACACACCAGAGCAAGTCTAGCAGTCGAGATCCTATCCGGCGACCGACCAAAGAAGATCCTGTCCCAACCATACCCATCTTTCCCCAAACCCTCCTCTTCTTCTAAAACCTCCTTCGACACGTCTAGCGCAGGAATCAGACCTTCCGCAGATTCCCTTTACGATGTTGATGAAATAAAAAGCGATGCAATCTGGCTCAGCAAGCAAGTCAATGTCGATGAACTGGAGGCTTTGAGACTGGCAATCCTAGAATGGCAATATAGGCCGGAGTCCAGGTTAAAAGAGGGTTTCTCCGAGGCTGAAATTGCAAGTCTGAAAGCTGCTCTGGGTTCGGACTATATCGACAAGCACCTTCAAGGCTTACGATCCCCGACGACAGATGATGGTGCATTCGATAGTCCAGATTCACGCCGGTCCAGACTGGTGCGCCGCTTCCTGCAAGAGAAAGTCACAATTCTTCGCATAGAAAAGGAGCTTCTGGATGCCAGTCTGCTGCCCGAATTTACAGACACCCGATTGTCTCAATTCCGCAGCCTAGCCAGCGAACTATTATCACAGGTTGACAACTCTATCGATGACGATGTTGAAGCTGGCCTTGCCGTGATACGCGATGAATTAAAAGACTTGGAAGCAGGGCGGATATGGGACATTGATGAATCGCAAATGCCTTTGTTGAATGACACGGCCGACACTTCGTCCCTGGAAACCATTGGAACGGCGTTGGAGATTCTGCTGTTACGCGTCAGACAATCCAAAACCACTGTTTCTTCGGACACACTTCTCCACTGGCTGGAGCTGATGTCCTCGGTCGGATTCTTCTCTACATTCACCTCGCAGATCACTGTACAACTGGTGACAATACAGAAGATTCAGTCTCTGGCAGCTTTTGTCTCTGCAGCCTTACTGAGCCTTGCCTCAACCGTTGCCAGCCTGAATGAAACTGCATTGTCTCAAACGAAGCTGCCAAATCGGATCGGTGAATACTTTTATGATATCGACTCTGTTCACGAGATCAACGAAGTATTGGTGAATCAAGCCACGATTGGAAATGTCCAGGCTGGTCTTGCGGTCCTGGCCTGGGCAATCATTGTCCATGAGATATGGGTTATGGCCAATACCATCAAGGAGGCTAGAGAGAGCCAGCACGCCCAAAAGGCCATCGAAGGGGTGTCTACGTTTGACGCTGCGGCGGGCCGACGTAGCTCTGGGAGCGGTGGTGCCATCCAACAAAGCATCTTTGAGGATCTGCTAGACCGGATACCTATGGGCAATTCGCATGAGGATCCTTCCAATCCTTTGCTCGATGCGGTCATCGATCAGTGCCATGTGTTCGATTACATTGCAATCCTGAGCATGGGAAAGTCTGATCCGATGAGCATCCTCTGTGCCTTCAAGCTTCAGACTCTGCAAGAACTCATCACTGTCTCCCAGTCGTTCCTCGGATACACACCGGAGTTGGTCTCAGCACAATTGGGGCTCCTTTCGAACACTTCCATCGACGACTCGAGTAAAAGACCTTATGATCCAGCAATCGACTTCGTTGCAGACGAGTCCCTCGTTCAAGGTTTCTATGATGTCTCTGCGGCACGATTTCCGTACGAATGTCTACCTTTCCTACAGTTCTCAAAGGCTCTTGCGAAGGCAGACATTTTCAGTGCACAAGGTATTCATTACGTGGAGGACCGACTCCGGAACCTCAAAAGTTTTACTCAGCCAGCCATCAAGGGTATTCAGTACAAAATCATCCGTGAAGATGAGAGCGATAGTTATGTCGCTCTGGAAAATCCCGTCAACATGCTCGACCTCATGCAAAGCAGGTTATTGACCTATTCCAGTCGGGACACGAAAGCTCTATCCATATTGCCTGCAGATGTCCAAGGTCAAGTCATCTCCGATCCTGATGCGCAAACAAAGATCATCAAATGGGATTTCGAATACTCCGGACTTGGTTACATAGGTCAGTTGTTGGAACTTCGCTACATGAAAATGCTGCAGTCTTGCCTCTCCCCACTCGATGACCCCGAAGCGGTGGTATCTGAAAGTATTGGCCTCCTGGCGACTTTGCTATCTACTATCCACCAAAAGATGTATGAGCAAAAAGGGGCAGAAGTGACACAACAGCACTGTATCAGCATCTTGGAAGAGTCGAGCAGCCAGCTGCATTCAGGCGGTACTATTGTGTCTCTGATTTTCGAGATCCTGGAGCAAGAGCTACAGTCCTTCCGCCAACGTTTCGTGCCGAGTTTTGACTGCCGAATTTTGCTCTCTTGCCTGGACTTCATCATTGTGCTGAGCAAGATTCAGCCCCACCTGGTATGGGCTGGAATCAATCGTACAAGCCTTCTTGGACGACAATCAACCTCAACATACATTCTTGGGATCGTGTCTGCCGTAGAGGTGCCCCTCAGGACCTTTGATTTCCTGGAAAAATGTGCCGAGCTCTACCAAGCGTTGATTCAGCTCGCATTGCGGAATCAAGATTTCGACTCTAACAGCAACAGATCCTCCAGCAGAGGACGCTCGATGCTATCCATGACGTCGCGTATGCAAACCTCAATGTTGCTGGCATCGACAGAGATCATGTTCAACGCACTTCAAGAGAGTTCTGACTGGTCATTTCAATCTCCAGAGCAACAAAGCCGTATCAATGCTCTCATCATGGAATCCTTCTCGAACGTCATCCGCTATGCCTTCGATGTCGGTGATGCCCTAGCTTCGACTGTATCTCCCACCAATCGCTTCGTCGAACCGGCCAAACTCATTGTCTCATCATTCCGAGACCCAAGCTTCGATAATGTGGCAGTGGCTCCCATGGTGCGCTGTTTCTTCAGGAGGTCCGCTCCAGAAGCTTCTGCCCCGGTTTCTGAAGATCCGGCGGATTCAGAGTTGGTCTCAGCATTGTCTCTAGCAACACTACTCACCCGTTATGGTGATCTACAGGGTCTCCAATTGACTTCGGCCGAGGCGCATATTTTCAATTCCGTCCCTTCCTTGATAAGGATTCTTTTCAAGGGGGGTGTCTGCCGTACGCGATGTTTGCGGTTGCTTCGAACTTTGCTGGCTTTTTCTGATCAACATCAGCCTTCCTCCTTACTTGGTCACTTGGGTTCCAGTTCGTGCATTGACCTCCTGCATCTTATGAGGCATATCGATCAGGAATCCCAGTCTCCTGAGGAGTGCGCCGAACTTTGGAAATTTCTGACGTTGCTGGTGAAAGACTCTCAACAATGGCTCGCAACGGTCATCATCACCGGTGCTGCACCGGATAGCTCGAGGAGAGCCAAATCCGAGCAGGCGCCAACGAAGTGTTTTCGCGGCAGGACCTTTTTGCAAATGGCCATCGATGAGCTCAAGAACATTCACAGTTTGTCACAACTCATCGCTATTCCGATGCTAGAATTTGTCCTGGAGGCAGAACAAAATTGGGCCTGGGTTACAAACGACCTTGACTCTTCAACAGGCCTAGTCTCAAAGCTTACCTCGTTCATTGCGAATAGTTCGCCGTCTCAGTCCAGCGAGACGGAGATAGCCCGGTTCAATTCGGTTGCCGCCCTTGTTACAGATCTCTTGAATCACCGGCTGCATTATGCCAAAGTATCAAGCGATCTTAACAACGTCAAAGCCTTCATTCCTCTGCTTGAATGGTTGGCATCAAATGCGGTCGAAGTCTCGGCATACAATTCCTCTCTTCACGCGAATCTGAAGAAGAACTTCTCTTCAAAATACACTAGCCTCTCTGCTTCGGACATCAAGAGGACCGGCCTTACCGAGAGACTGTACGGAGCGAATTTCTTCTATGACCTCGACTATGCTGATGAGTTGCTTTCTACTGATCCACATTGGCGAGGAAGAAGTGAGAAACCTACTGACCAGTCATTTACCGCGGAGTTTCGCAAAGCAAATACGAACCTCTCCGTTGTAGATTCGGAAATGAAACTACTGTTGGGTCTCCAACGTCTTTGCGTGGATCATTGCAGATTCTTCGCTCAGGACCGAGAAGCTCAGAAGATTATGGCGCACATGATTCAAAATTGTTTCCAGTCCAATCCCCAGGTGTATCCCACAGAAGTCCTCTTTGACACGCTCTTCCAGACCAGGGCGGAGATGTCATTGGCCGTGCTTGGTGAACTGCTTTCCGCTGGTGCGAAAGGTGAAGACTTCTATCAACTGTTGCAGCCTGCCTGGGACGCCGTACGATTCAGGAATGGATCATATGAACAAGCAATCATCAATGGGGACTTGGTGTATTGGCGTTCTACACTCTACATATTATTCATGACCATTCAGTTCCACGTGAGGAAGAAGTTGAAGCCGACGACTATTCCAGGGACGAGCAATGCTGTCGTCCTGATCGAGTCAACGAACACAACGTTACTTGAGATCACGACTGAAGTTATCGCGAAAGGCTTCGAATCTGTTGTCGCAACACTTCAAGACCAGAAGCTGAACAAGCTGAAAACCAGCATTGATGGCGAGAACAATTTGGTGGGACCGCGGGATGTGACTCTCCTGGTGATGCTTATGCAGGCCATCCTCAGACTACCAAGCCTTCCGCAGTTTGCGGCAGAGTTGTCTGCCAGAATAGTCAATTCGGGGCTTTTGTCGTCATGTCTGCTGCTCTATTCCTGGTCGCACCTGCTCACTAGGCCGGAGCTTGACAATCAACAACGCTATGCCGACTTCTGCGTTCAACTTCTGGCATCGCTATCTTCTCTTCCTAGCGTCGCAGAACATCTTGCTGTTGAAGGCGTGCTGAGTCGGATCATGACATCTAAAACGACCGAGTCGTTACAACGAGTACCTGGCGGCGTATCTCACGTCGATCCAAGACCCGGTTGTGGCTTCCTCTACCGAGTGTGGGCGGCTGGTATATTGCCACTGTGTCTTAACCTCCTCCATGGCGTTGGAGGTGCAATTGCCGCAGAGATTTCCGCCTTCCTCGATCAATTTCCGAACCAGCTTGCTCGTGCCAGCACCAGCTTTATGCTCACGCCACAAACGAGAGCTGACGGAACAGACGTGCTAACATTGACCGTGGCAAGTGAGGCTGCGACATTGGCTCTCATATCACATATCCTTTCATCATATCGTGAAGCTGGTGCTTCAGCAGCTGTAGATCCAATAATGGTGCTGCCCTTGAAAGGGTTTGATGAGCACCGAAAAGCGATCGCAGAGGACATACGAGATGTGCTCGCCCTCAAGGACGATGCCAGACGAAAAATGACGGCGCCTTCAGACGAGAGGGAATTGGCCTGGCAGAATGCCAAGGACGGAGACAAGTTGGACACCAAGATCGTGATGGAGCTGAAAATGGCATTGACGGCTTTAGGAAGAGATGATGACGACGACGACGCAAAGTAAATACCATGCGCTCCAAGCCAGCATTGGTCTCTTACGGGCAAGGCTACAGGATGCTTCTAGGTCTGCGAGAAGATTTGTATCAGATATGGTTTCTCCGACCACTGTCCTTTCTATGTTATGGTGTCACCTCCTCATCTCTCTACCCTTTTCGGCTCAGTCTTTGATGACCTGCAAAATCCCTGTGACTGACTGGATCAATCCAAACAACAGAGTCAGGAAGATGGCGAACACCGCAAACCAAAAGGTGTAAAACTGATTCCCGTCTCTGGTGTCATGGATCCACTGCCTAAGCGTTCCCGGTTTGGATGTATCGAATGTCTTTTGAATGCTGATCAGATGTCCGCCCCAGTATTGGTAGTCTTGTGGATCTCGAGACGGGTTGGTTGCAAGACCGACCTCGACGTCTGGTTCTGCTTTCCGACGAATGCGTCTGTTCCAGCGCTTGTGTGGTGAATCGCCATATGGGAAGAGGAGCGCCATTGTCGAGGCAGTTTCTTGCAGGAAGCCTTGAGGATAGCCACTGTTGCTCCGCTCTTTCAGGAAAGAGCCATGTCGGAAGAGACTCAGTATGCGCTGTCGAGGATTATACTTCAGGTGTTCTCTCAGGTCGCTGGTCCAGAGGATGTCAATACCTGCGATCTGACTGAGACCTCTTGCTGTGACTTGAATCTCTGATGCATTTGTCGCGCTTGTTGAGAAAGTGCATGAAGGACGGTTCCGCTGGATAAATTCCGACAATATCTCGTCTTCGGACCAGCCTGATGTCGAAGACATCAACCATATCGACGCAGCGAACTTCATGGCAGCCAGTACAGCCTCGTTCGATCTTCCTGCCAACCACGCATGCTTGTGCTGGTTGGCTAAGACCTCAGATGGAAGGTCCTTGAGTGACGTACCGCTCCTCGTTTTGAGCAAGGAAACCAGATTCACAAGGTCATTATGACTTGTTGGACAGAATCTTGCCGGATCCAGTATCGCTGTTTTAGCATTGTAAAACTCAATGAGCAAGATTGCCTCCTTGGAACTCTTTCGCACAGACAGACCCCACAGTCTTTCGGCCAGGGGCACGATGAGGTCGCCATCGTTCTGACCGACTCGATTGATGACAGCCTTTTTTAAGAGTGCCGACATAGTTCGGTGCCACGCCACGGAGGTCGCTTCGCTGAAAATGCTGGAGTCTGCTGAAAATGATATGTTGACAAGGCTAGCAGGCAGAAGTAGCTGCAGACCTGTTTTCAGCTGTACTTGCGCTCTCTTGCATAGCCGCCTCAGTGCCACCGCCATCAAGCCTCATCGCTTCTGTAGGCCAATGGCATCCCTGTCACTTTTGAAACCCTGCCCGATCTCGAGGCTAGGCTGTCGCACTGCCACAGCCCGGATTCCATGAAAATCGCTTCTTTCCAGCCTCATCATATTCAACTTCGCTTTTGCAGTCCACCAAACCGTCCTTTGCCTAAAAACTTGGAGCTGAATGGCGACAATGACATTGGACGTCCTCATAGCGCTGCCCTCGCAATCGCTGTGGAAGGGTTGGTTGTCAAAGGCCGACATGTCCACTTTCTGGGCGTCTTTGTGTGCAGGCTGTCGGGCGGATTCGGTCAATGTGAACATATCTCGGAAATTCCAAGATGAGAGAGCTTGGGACATTGCAGGATCGGTGCTAGAGCACTGGAATGAACGATTGATCCACGCTGTCGATGCGATCTTCAGACTTCACCGCAAAGAAATTCTAAAAGGCAGAGCTTGGGATGGATCAATCGACTGTTGGATGGTAGGGCGATTTAAGGAATGCACTACGCCGACAATAGTTTTATCCTGCATGGATCGTGGAGCCGTCAAACGACTCATGAAAAAGGTGTCGAAAGACAAAACCTTCCAAGAGTCTGGCTTTGGAGTTTTGGGAAGACCAGGCTGCCTCAAATTTGTGGGAGGCGATAGCGATGGCCTTCGAAATTCTCCAGGAGAAATGCCCACTGTCGACGCTTGCGGCTTGCCTGTGACAGTAGACTTTGGGGCTGCTTCCCACAGAGTCCAGAGAACGGCCACTATAGGGGGTGTGGTCATCGTCGAAGACAACTTCTACTACCTCACTGCGGCTCATCCATTCGCAACGACAGAAGAAGACCTTCTTGTGGGACGGGGCTGGCTCTGTAAAGAAGAGCCTTGGGATCATCCTTGGTCGCCAGTGATGATCGAAGATTTGGACAGTGAAGGAGAAGAATACGACAGTGATGATACAGAAAACACGAGCAGGTCTGGGCAGACAACGTCAATGTCCGAAGGTTCCGGTCCTGACGGGCTCAAGATCTTTCCGGCTTATGCATGGGTTTCTACGTTTCCACCGTCAAACAGCCTTGGACAGCCATCTGAAGCGACGAAGCTTGTGGCATCGATTCATCCGGAAAGGCTGGCCCGGTTTAGATTTGACCCGGTGGTGTCCTTGAACCAAGATTGGGCGTTGTTGTGGCCCGAAATCGTTCCAGTTTCATTGATCAACAGATTCGAATTCGAAGGAAAGATCCTCGATATCACAGACACCAGAAAAATTAACGGGGACTGTCGACCACTTTTGCTTAGCCAAAAATATTCTGAGCCTTTCACCATCAATTGCTCAGAGGCTGCATCTCTGATCCCTTTGCCTGGCGGAGATAGGATGACTATAGCTCATAAGGTATACCATTTAGCCGGTGAGTACATCTTCACCTTGCTTTGACGGACCTATTTATTGACGAAGATCTAGAGTCTGGCGATAGCGGCTCCTGGATAGTGGATGGAAAATCGGGTAATCTCCTAGGTATCCTGGTGTCGTCCTCAGTGGAAGATGAAATTTCGTACATGCTGCCAGTTGAGGCTGTCTTTAACTCCATTCTGAAGTCTTCGAAGTCCAGCTCCGAGAATTCTGGACCTCCGACGGTCGCCCTACCTCCAAGCAACCTCCTTTCGAGCACCCACACCGTCACGAGGCTGCTAAAGCAAGCTCTGGGAAGCTATCAGCGGGTTATTGTCAGACGTCTTTTGCGAGACATGGACCTCACAGTTATCAAAGGGGAAGACGATATTCCTCTAGACAAACTCGTTGAGATTGCCTCTGAGGATGGAAATGACTCAGCAATACAAGCATTGATTGATGCAGGCGCTGCTGCTTCCCAATCTGCCCTCCAAACAGCATGTCGTAGAGGCCATGACGAAGTAGTAAAAATTCTACTAAAAGCTAGAGCCAATGCCACCACGGGCGAAGCTCTGCTTCTTGCATCAGAAGCCGGCCATGAAAGAGTCGTTCAGCTCTTGGTGCAGGCAGGCGCCGATGCTAACTCGGCTGTTCTCGAAAAAGCATGCGCAAAAGGCCATGATAAAGTCGTGAAAATTCTACTGGAAGCTGGAGCCGACCTCACCGATTTCAGTCTGAGTGATGCATCAAGAGCCGGCCACGAAAGAGTCGTTCAGCTCTTGCTACCGAAGGCAAGCGCTATTGCAAGCCGGTACGTCAAATATGCATTCAATCAAGCCGTCGAGAATGGCCACGAAGGCACCGTGGCTGTGTTTCTCCAGGCCGATGTCGATGTTGATGCATGGGGAGTTGAGGCGCTGTGCATAGCTGTACGAAAGGAATACCTGAATATTGTGAAGCTTCTCATCGATGCTGGTGTTGATGTTCAGGGGACGCGCCGCCAGTTGATAGAGGATGGATTTGCAGGAGGTGAGAAGCGTATCGAACGCCTTCTCCTTGCTGCTGAACATCAGGGCTCTGAAAAGGCCGATAAAGCACTGGAAACGGACGAAATCGCAGATGACGAACGACAGCTTGCAGCGTTCTCGGATCCCGAACTCTAGGCCGACAAAGTGAGAAAGCCGCTGACACCGCTGTCCTGCCCAAGGGTCCCAGCATGAAACCTTACATTCCTGTCGGTGGCACGATGGAGGAGAATGAAAACCGGGATGATGACTTGGCCATCGATTCTAGGAATTATGAAGCTACACCTAAATAAAGGCAAAGAAGCAGGGTGGCTGGGGTGCTAGGACAGGGTGGGCCGACAACACATAAGGACTTTGACATGATGGTGTAATCATGCTATAACGATGGGCAGATGGCGCATTGCAGATAAGGTGATGGCAGCGCCTTTCTGATTGGATTTCTATCACAACAACGTTCGCGAAGGGTTTTCTCTATTGTGTCGGAGTTTGTCGTAAGTCCCTGTGAGCAGAAGCCAATTCGAGAGGTGTACACAGAATATCAATGCTGAGGTCCTTCGAGTGAGCATGACTGGGCCTACAGCGCACATCGAGTCAGCTGTGTCTCCTGCACCGTCGAAGGTACTTCTACTTGGCCCAAGAGCCATCCCCCCATTCCAAGTGTAGTCTCCGAAGTCAAGACTTGAGCTGTCCGAGAAGAAGGAGGAAATTCGATACCGGCGTGCCTTCAGGAGCAACTTCTGCAACAAACGTGATCGAAAATCGAAACCGAAGCCGGAAAGAGGCGGCCGAGAAAAAGCGCCACGCTATGGTGGTCGCAAGGTGATGAAGCTCACTCAAGTCCCCTTGAAACTATGCGTACAAACTATGACTGCAGCAAGAAGCCGCTACACCATCAGTCCTCCATCGACCTGCTTCAATACGTCAAGCATCTCCTTCCAAATCTGCTGCCTGGCCCTGACGGCATCTTGGCCAGTTACGATATTACCCGGGCTAGATACGATACGTCAGCTAAGATTCCAAGTCTGCTAGAGACATGGCGGATGAGCACTTACTCTGCGACGACTTGATTCTCGAGCCATTTGCCATGCGAGCTCACCCCTTGCACAGCAGCATCGACATACGTTTTGGCGCCCTCGGTGACATCTCGCGCCACCAACCACTGCATGACTCTCAATGGCAGGGGTGCCTTCTCTCCCCGAGACGGCGACATGAGATCAGACTTGCAGAATCCCGGCGTCAAGCTGTTGACAATGACAGAAGGCATCGCACCCTTGCTGGAAGCCGTGACCATGTCCGCCAGCTCGATGGCGATGAAGTGGTCGAGTAGCTTGGTGAGGGCATATCTTTCAGCCGGGTTCCGAGCCTGGCCTTTTTCCCACTGCTTCTGATCGTTCAAAGCCTGCAGGATATTCGGCGCCGTGCGCTCCGAGAAGGAGGCTATCTCGTGTATATCACTAGCCACAATGACCAAATGAGGCACCGACGTCGAATTCGACTTGTTGGAGTTGTTGGGCGGCTTTGGATGCTGGAGCAGTGGCAGCAATCGCAGGCTCAACAGCGTGGTGGACAAGCAATTGACTTGCAGCGATCGTTCCCAGCCGTCGGGCGTCTGAACAAATTTCCCCGTGGCCACGCCGGCGTTCATGATGGCCACGTCGAGTCTTCCTCCGGCGTTGACGAATCTTTCCGCCCTCGAAGCAAAGCTCTTGACACTTTCAAAGGACTCCATATCCAACTGCCACACCTCGATGGCTTCGGGCCGGACGCCGGTCGATTCGCGGATGTCTTCTTTGGCTGCTTCGCCTTTGGACAGCGTGCGGACACCCATGATGACGGTCGAAGCGCCGAGTTGGAGTGCCTGCCGGGCTGCTTCGCGACCGAGGCCGGTATTCGCGCCGGTGATCAGAACCGTTTGGCCATCGAAGGAGTTTGGAGGTGGCAGGCGGAGCCGGCGCAGCGGCAGTGTGAGAATTTTGTACAGGGACATGCTGTGCGGAGGTCTTGTGGGAAAGACGTTACTTGTGGAGGAAATGCAGGAAGAAGTTCAGTTCTGGGGAGACGTCCAGTGATGAGAAAGCAGGGAAATTGATACTTGTACTTTCATTTCTTGCTATGTTAGAACATTCTCACAATAAAAATCAAAATATATGGCCCTGGGGCGAGCACTGGTGAGGCACATGTGTTTGGCCGATTCAACAGGTATTACCTAGTCGGGACAGACGATCGGGGAGGGTTTCTTCCGAGCCTCGCGCAGCCTCGCGCAGCCTTGCCTCTTGATTGGTCGAGTGGGGTCGTTTTGACATCCCAATCCGGCAGCACAGAGCGAGTCGGAGCAATAATTGACTGACGACGATGGACGCGAGCCGTTCGGCGGACGACCTGCCCTGGATGCTGTGCCATTATGTCTGCATGCCCGACAGACATTTGTGCTGGCCTCGTTTGACCGGGATGACCTGCTGACATGCTGAGATGCGACATACCTCTCGCAACGTATCGTGCGTATCGTGCGGATCGTAGTATTCTACTCGAACTCCCAGCCGCAGTATGACATCATCTTGATCTATCCTTTTGTTTCCTCCTTCTTGCGGACAGCTTTGTTTCTGGGGCCTTGACCGGGATGTTGTACCTCGGAAGGCGATGTTTTGTCAAGGCGCTCTCCATATTCCATGGACACCATGGTTGGATCGCTGCGTACTTGCTGATGCTCAATATCTGGGGGCGGCCGACGAACCCCTCAGGGTCCTAGTCGTCAATATCTCCAGCCTGGTGGTCGCAGCCGGCACGACATCACTGTTCAACCACACCGGTGTCATGAGGATCCCAACTTTTCGTCGGACGGTAGAATTGGCGTCGAACGGAACGGTCAAGCGCATTGCATTGCTGTCAAATGTCAGATTCGCTGAGTGCATGGCAGATATCGTCCTTTCGGAGACGGGGCACCGTCAGTAAGGGACGTGCGGAAGGATCAGGGGACGGACAAGGAGCGAGAACCTCTCTTTTGCCCTGTTTCGCATCACCCACTGCTGCCAGGAAGGATGATGTACACCTTGGGCAAGGCACCAAGCAATACCTTCTCAAGCTCATCGAGTCACGGGCCATGGAAATGGGATCCTGCAAAAGGATTGCTTCGAGCTGTGTAAAGCCGACTGCCACCTCGTTTGGGACTGCTACGGACAAAAACCTCGCCTCAAAAGTCTGCGCAGAATGCGACCAAAAAAGACGGCAAACTCTGCGGCCCAGGAGCTACGAAACCAATCTTCGAGCCCACATGAGGGAAATGCCGGAAGTGCTAGGCAGTAGACGTCGATTGCGCCAGCCACCCAAAGAGCGACCGGCACCATCTGCCCAAATCTTTGTGAACTTTGAATGAAGCCCTCGAGACGCACGGATCTTTCAGGGCGACACCATTCCGAAGGTGGAGGAGAGAAAACCACGTGGGGCACGGTCCATGCTCAGAGCGTCGTTTCACCATCATACGAGGCTTTTGCGCTGGACAGGGACCTTACGTTGCCCTTCATCTGGACAAGCCGGCAAGGTCTGACCGAATGGGGAAGGTTTCTAGAAATTTAATGGAACCGGCTTCCTCCTTGGGATCTGTGTGCTCAGTGCGGGCTTGAGATTGAGTTTCGCGGCAGAGGACCGAGAGACTCCGCAGTTGATGTGGTGCGAAACTGCTCTATTGCAGCTGCGGCTGGATCGGAAGTGGCATGATCCCTTGAGCTCCTCCAAGCTCCTGAAAACTCGCATGGAGCTGTAAGAATAGCACAGGGCACCGAAACTGGCTGCTGACCATCTCGACTCATTACTGCAAGCAAGCATAGGGTTGTCTGACAAAACATCCCAGGTAGGTACAGAAGCTCCTTCAGCGCCGAAGCTGATCGATGCCAAAGAGCCCGGCGAGATGTCCAGGTCTTGGACGTGCCGGCTGAAGAAACAATCCCTGCTAGCCTGGGCTACCGCGAACATGGAGGATTTCTATGGTGTTGCTGACGAGAATTCCCACTGTTTCGGTGCTTCGGCCGTGCAGGGAGTTACATGCAAAACTGCAGGTCCGGGCTGCATAGACCACCCTGTGATCCGACCACCAGAACCGGAGGTGTGGAATCCAATGAGAATCTCGAGCATTCCTCATTTTGACTCTGCGATCAAGGACGGTGTCGTGTGTGCAAAACTTTTCCCCCTAGCGAGGAAGTGGACAAAACCCCTTGTCTCCGAGCTTGACCAGAGAGGTCAATGCGGATTTTGCTTCCTTTCAGGTGCAGGTACCGGAGACAGACGGCAGACTTTTGCACCGACGGCGTCCCGAGCTTGGGCCATGCCACGTGGTGGACGGACCAGCTTTGGCCACACCAACGTGTCATTCGAGCTTGGACCAGGGAGAGTCGAACGTCGGGCTTTTCCATCAGCAACCACGGCCCGTTGAGCCACTGACCATGAGGTCTGATGTGATCGATGTCGGTCTGGCAGCCGCCAAGTCATGGCAGTATTGATGCGGACAAACACTCGGAAAGGCGATACTGCGGTGGTGATGCGTGTAGAACCATTTCAGGGGGTGGCAGGAATTATCTTATCCGCTCCACTCATGACATTATGGTCTTCACACAAATGAGAACTGCTAATCACTCCTGGCCAGCTCGTACCGTGTCTTGTCCATCTAGACCGGTAGCTTACAGAGTGTTCTCCTCCCATCAGAAAAGCCCCAAGGCGAACGGCAATAATGCGTGGCATCCGACCTGGTTGGCAAGAGGCACAATGGCCGAGAAATCCGTGATCGTCCAGCCGTATGGAGCGAAGCAGGCCAGGTAGATCATTCCGCCGGTCATCAACACGATGACTAGGTACATCCATTTGAAGTCGCGTACAATTCGATCGAGGCCCACTCGAAAGCCTCCGTTGTACTCCTTGGCGGTCGTCGTCCATTCCATCTTGATGCTGAAGAAGTGGCATAGTATAGCCTTGAGCAGATGAAAGGAGATGCCACCAAAGAAAAGGAGAAACATCGGCGTCCATTTGACGGTATCCAGTAGCGAGGCAAAGAAGGTCACTTTCCCAAGTCGATGCCGAAGCATTGCATAGCCGACGGGCGATAGGACGTTGAACACCACGGCCATGCCAACAAAAACTTTCCAGGACGTCAGGTAGAATTGATCGATGTCATTGGCAAACCATCCAACGATGAGGTAGTTTGCCAACGACAATGGTATGGCTGAGGCGACAGCGTAGTACGTCCCAATATATGCGAAAATGGTGATCTTGCTCTATTAAACCCGAAACAGTCAGCATGATGGTAGCAATGCAAATCCCGCAGCATCGTCCCCTGCGCAAAGACTAATGCTGCCAGACTCAATATGGAGAATTACTCACCGTGATCTTAATCTTGCTAAACAAGAAGCGCAAGAATAGTCGTGTGAAGGGACCTCGGTATGGCCACTTGTACAATGGGTTGAAGACCAGCTCGTTGCAGCCATAGGCGTACTTTTCCCATCGAGCGAGCTCATCGTATACTGTCAGACTGACACCTTCCTTGAATCCACCTTCGTGATAGGTAGCAAGGCGGATGACGAAATCGTTCATTTGCAACCGTAGACTGACATCGAAATCTTCCGAGACGTGGCTGTCCGACCAGAATTTGGTACATTTGTCCTCCTCGTCGTGCCATGCGATCGACTGCAAAGCTTCCCATCGGATGAAAGTATTGTGGCCGACGAACGGCGCGCAATCGCCGTTCCCGACCGCAAACTGGATTGAAGTGTAGATCAGGTTGGTGAAGTACGTGATACCATTCTCGAACGCGTTGTTCACCACCTGCATGATGTCCGAAGCATGCTGGATTAAGGCCACCTCTGGGCTCTCGTGCAGCTCGAGGGCACCATACAGCAAGCAATCCTCGGGGACTCGCGTGTCTGAATCGATGATGAGCACGATCGCTCCTACTCGGACATCCCCGGAGGCCCAAGTTCGACCTTCGTCTTTCGTCACGGTTCGCTCTCGTGCCTGTTCGTAAATTCGAGTCTCTTCATCAACGTGTAGCTGTTCTGGTGTGCACCCACGCTCTTGACAGATTTGGTTCACCATCTCAAGGTACTCGTCCTCGACACGAAGAGAGAAGTCCAGGCAATAGTTCATGTTGCTGGCTTTCTTGAACTGGCCCTTGCGCACGAAGTATGTCCCGTTGGACCCGTTTGTCTCAGGGTCGACGTTAGCGTCTTCTTCAACCTTTTTGCCCCATAGCTTCTTCTTGGTCTTCTCTGAGTGTGGGGGCCGGGCACACCAGCCAATGTTATTGAGCTCATAGTAGGCTTTGCGTGCATCCGCAAGGTCTTTGCTGATAAGTTGCATTCCGTCGTCGTTGACAAAGATCGAGGCAGTTCCGCCTTGTTCTTCGTAGTACTTGACCGCCGCCATGACGCTGGTGATTGTTGGAATAATAACACCTTGCAAACCTTCCTTGTACACGGGCATTTGAATGGTGACATGCGGTAACTCGAGGTTTGGATATCGGCCAGGTTTGGGGGCTACAGCAGAATAGTACTTGCTGTTCTGCTTGAGTGATGAGAGCGGACCAAATATTTGCCATAGGGAGCCACAGATGACGATCATGAAGAAGAGCGAGAAGGTTGCGAAGAGAGGGACCGTTGCAGCAAGCGCAAACCTCGTGTAATTGCCATCCAGCTGTACTTCAGTCACCATCTTCGCGATACATGCCATCTCGACGACAACGACCAGGACCATAGCGAATCCAACCATGATAGCATGATTGAGCAGCATCTTCCTTTTCGGGGCCTCCTGGCCCTCCTTTTCCGGATCGAACACCTTGTCGCCTTGTTCCTCTTTCTCCAGGGCGTTGTGAATTACATTGATCTTTTCCTGTACAACAGCGTCTTGGAGGGCTGATTGTGGCAAGTAAGGGAGGATCTGAGTGTTGGTCCGTCGACTGTCCCCTGATCGGTTGCTGGAAGAGTGCCCGGTGCTTCTGGAGATGGTGCTGGGAGGAGGAGGAGAATAGCCACCTAGCCCCTGATTACCGTAGAGATGACCAATGAGAAGGTCTTCTACGTACCACCCTCGTCTCAGCAAGGCTTGACCATGCCCTGCAAGGACGAAGAGAAATCGTTCTTCGCTGCAGAGAAACAGGTCCGTATCAGGTCGGGTGTCGGAGGAAAAACCCAATATGTCAGCGACACTGTCCACAACGTGGAGGGTAACTCCAGACGTGCCGAGCATCATCTGCGACTGGCCGCCAGGGCACTGCTCGAGGATGGCTAAGACCGCCCCGGATCTCATAGTCATTGCAGAAGATGTGTGGAAGTGGCAGGCTACATGGAGGCACATGCGGTCCAGGGCAGCAGGTTCACTGTGATACGATCCATCTTCAGCTCTGAGGATGATTCCAAGACATTCTGACTCAAAACCATTAGTTGATTGTTCGTCGTCCGTTTCGAACCACCTTTGTTGTTCACACTTTTTGAACAGATAGTTTCCAAGCTTCCACGTCAGCATTACCTCAAATCAGAGATGCGACCACTTACGATTTCTGTCTTTCTGGTAGAGGTCCTTGGCGATACATTTGATGAGGAACGTGAAATTCCTCGACTGTGTGCGGCACTGGTTGTAGGTAGCGTGGACATTGTAGTAGATGGTTCAGAGGGAGGTGGGAATCCGAAGGAGAAAGCGTCCAGGCCTTCCTGGAAAGGAGTCTGCATTGCTAGATGTCTGAGGCCGCAAAGCTTTTGCAGCAGTTGATGCAGAAATGAGTGTCTGTGGAAAGTATGTGTCGAGAAGATGTCAAAAACAATTCAACTTCGGGGAAGTTGGAGCAGTAGAGTCGTTTATATTTGCGTTCCGATGACCTCTGAGCCTTTGAGACAGTGGCTTACCCTTAACAGGCAAGCTTTGCCGATCTCACACTTCCGACGGTGATAGCGGTTGCTTAACGACACTGGCATATCGTCTTGAGCAGAAATACCTCGCAGCGCGCTAGACTCGCTCCCGTATCTCGGCCATTGCAGATGAGTCCAGATACTAAAATTGACGCCGCCCGGACCATCTGAAGTCGAGGAAAGCTCGAAGAGATTGAACCTTGGCGGGATTACCTTGAGGAAGCGTACAAACAGTGGCCCACCTCGTGTTCACTGTCTTCTAGAAGCAGACCTTCGGGGGTTCCATGGAAGATCACGGTGGGTTAGCAAGCGATCGTCCATTGCCGGATAAGGCTTAGAAGCCCAAGAGATCGGAAGCCAGTTGGCCGGCCACAGTATCATGTGGTCAAGGAGCTCAATCATGAGGCGGTACAAGTCCGAAGGTGATGAAGTCTGATGTAGGGAGGATGGAGCCTTGTTCGTCTAGGCCGAAGCGTCCCAACCAATAGATCCCCGACTGATTGCATGGTAGGAGCCGTGATCTTCCATCTTGCAGGTCCGGAAAACATCCCGTGTCGCGGATTGCGGATCGTGAGGTATGCGTGGGTATGGCATGGATGATGTGGAAGTGGAAGTGGAAGGCTCTATGCCAAGCTCTCATTTTAAGCTTCATCTTGGCGGATGGATTAAATCTAACTAGCACCGGTTTAGGCAGTGCTAGGTAATTTAGTGGGACGACGAAAGTTGTCTATTGCCGTGAAAGGAAGGAGACCCGAGCAATCGACCCTCGCTTATCTCCTCGAACCCTATCTAACACCCACAACTGTGCCGTGTCCACTTCCTCTCCGGAGATAGACCCAAACGTCCGGAATGCTCGTCAATTGGTCGTGGAACGGGTGATGGAACGATAGACGAGGCTGACCACTCGAGACGCCATCTACAGACACCACTTCGGCGTTCTCAGACGCGGAACCATGGGAATCTCTTTGCCGTTCAAGGCCGTTGCCTTTCCTTTCTCAAGCTAGTGTCGTCAGTGCTTTCCCGCTCCTCAGTCACATCCCGCCGTTTCTTTCCTAGGAGAATGGCTGATTATCCCCGAGTGAAGAACCTGATCGCCTGGTGCTGCAACCCTCAATGGGCTTCCTCGCTTCTTGACTTTTGAACGGGCCTCCTGCCCTCTTGCCCCGAGCTTCTGAGTGAGGAGTCTCGCCACGTCTACTCTCAAGATAACCCTTCTGTGGCGCCATGTGGATGTGATAGTGACCAAACCTGTGGCTTCCGCAAGCAGTTGCCAACTTTGTGTGGTCGTTCGAACACTGCATAAACGTCACTTTTCAACTTTGGTTGACACGTTTGACAGGTAGATCATCTTCTTCAGTTTCAGCCTCCCAGTACGAACATCATGAGTCAGATCCATACCATTTCTCGTTCCACCTCGCGTTCTTCTCACTCCAATCCTTTTACAAGCGCTCGCAATGAAATCGGTACTCCAAGCGCCGGGTCAAGCACCAGGGGTTTCGTTCTACAGAAGCACAACACGACGAGGAGAAAGTTCAAATCATCGCGCTTCACAGGGACAGAGTATCCTAAGCCTTGGTTGGAACAGAAAGAACCGCGCCGGAAGTGGGAGAGAGTCATCTTCTGGACATCAGTCGCGGTCGGCGTACTAATTGGGGCGGTCATTTGCTTCTTCAGCTACAAATCCGTTTCCAACTTCGAATACTGCCTGGTCCTCGAAGACGACTTCGAGACACTAGACAAGAATGTCTGGAACTTCGAGGTCCAGCGTGGAGGCTTTGGCAGCGGATCATTTGAATGGACAACCGAAGACGCAAAGAATGCGTATGTTGATGCCGAAGGTCTCCACATAGTCCCGACTTTAACGACAGAAAGTACGGGAATCACTCCTGCTGAACTGAACGACAACTACGTGCTCAACCTCACCACGGCCGGCACCTGCACGGCGGTGTCGGGAAACCCAAATGACTGCTCGGTCCGCAGCAATGAGACCTCGGGAACGCTCATCAACCCCGTCAGGAGTGCCCGCTTGAACACTTCCAAGCGCAAGAACATCACCTACGGCCGCGTCGAAGTTGTCGCCAAGGCTCCCGTGGGCGACTGGCTCTGGCCTGCCATCTGGATGATGCCCGAGCCGCAGGGAAAGCATGGGGCCGGTGCATACGGGGCCTGGCCCGCCAGTGGTGAGATCGATATCGCAGAGTTCAGAGGGAACGCCGGATCCGAATACCCTGATGGTCGTGACAGCGTCGGCAGTACTCTGCACTGGGGTCCCATCTCGGATGCTGACGCCTTCTGGAAGACGTCGGGAAAACACAACCTCCGGCGTACAGATTATTCGAAAGCCTTCCACACTTTCGGTCTCGAGTGGTCCGAGAAGTATCTGTTCATGTATGTGGATACTCGGCTGGTGGTAAGTGCGACCCTGCGACCTCGTCGCGACTGGTTACGAGCTTTTCACTGACAAGTGCCCTTTTAGCAAGTCATGTTTACCAAGTTCGATGCTCACAAAAACATGTGGGATTTCGGCAACTTTGGCGCGTCACTGGTCAACAATTCGGCCATGTATGATCCGTGGAGCAGCACCGGTCGCAAGAGTACTCCATTCGATCAGCCATTCTATCTCATTCTCAATGTGGCAGTGGGCGCCACGAATGGCTTCTTCGAGGATGGCGTCGCGAACAAGCCTTGGGGTGACAAGAGTCTGACTGCACCGAGAGAATTCTGGGATGCAAAGGACAGCTGGTTGCCGACTTGGGGAGAGGGTGCTGAGCGAGGCATGACTGTGCGATCCGTCAAGATGTGGAGTCAAGGCAGCTGTAAGAGTAAAGCTTGAGGAGCATGATGGGAGTTTGAGGGTTTTCGTACCAGGGCAAGGGTCAGGTTTCCGGCGCTTATGTCATCACTGGTGTTACGGAGCAGTTTGCATGGTCAATTTTTCGGAGCTTGTCATACTCGGGTTGAATCCCGTATTTATTTTGATATTTATATCGAACACCAGACTGCTTACTGGCGTCCAACTGGCAACCTGTTCAACTGGGAGAACTTCGGATATGTGACTTGCTTGCGAAGAGAACACATTCACAGCCGCACGGGACGGAGAGCCAGAGATATTTATGGTCGCCATTGTCTGAACCGCTAATCGTAGTAGTTCTGGACCTTCAATCCTTTGAATTCAAAAGCCGTCCCCTCACGCTTGTCGATCACAGTCTTATGATGGACATCCCTGACACGCGCCCGCACATACTCGGTCCCTGTTGGCACTTTGCGAGTCTGATCCTTGTCTTCCTCACTCAAGAGGCCGAGCCGGTCCAAGAGTGGTGACGGGACTGTCTTCATAGGCGTGTTTGCTCCTGGTCGGCTAAAGTAAAGTAGTCCAAGACGAGGAATGTTGATCTGGTCTTTAGGTGGCGTTACAACGCGGTGAATTGTCGATTTAATGAAGCCTAAGCGGGCAGATGTGAGCCAGGAGCCATGTTTTCCAACAATTCAGGCCACGTACCATTGGTTAGGAAAGTCAAAGTGTCGGCGGCATTGCAAGTGATGCCGCCCTCGACGGGTTTGACCCATTTCCACTCTCCCTCCGGCGTACGAATCTGCAAGCCCGCCACATGTTGCGAGAAGAGCAGAGTCAAACTGCCAAAATCGGTGTGGCCGCCTTTGGAGTACGCCTGGGCCCGGTCCCATTCATCCTGAGTCCGGACATTGTAGATCATATATCTGAGATGATCGTCGGACTCCTGGTCATAGTCATGAGCGTTCACCAGATAGTCCTCGGGCAATTCGAGGATGATGGCAATGAGCACAAAGAGTTTGCGGATGACTTTTTCCCAGAGCTCACGGTGGAACGATGCGATCTCATCATAATGTTCGCGGACAATCTCGTGCTTTCCAACATCGGCATACGCTGGGATAGCCTTCGGAATATTGAGCTGCAAAGACATCAGTGCCCCGGTACTAGTATCACATGAGGACGCTCGATGCGAACCATTTCAATGTTCTCCTTGACGCCGGTGTCGCCAACCCATCTGCTGTTTTCACGGTATCCGAAGTATTCTCCTTCGGCAAAATTGCAGGGGTATCTGCGCTTCTCCTCCAGTGGCTCTTTGAAGAAAGTGTTTCCAATACTAAACTGTCGAAGGACTCGCTCATCATCAATGCCGGAATTGACGACTGTCCAGAAGCCGACCCTGGTCACGGCATCGTACAGATCTTTGGCAAGTTGCTGCTTGCCTCCTGGCTCGTCGAAGCGTGACAGGTCGATCGTGGTCAGGGGAGCCCAGTCAAGCTTCTCCCTGGTCTGAACTGGACGGTTCCACGGCTTTACCAGGATTTGGCTGGGCGATACCTGGGAGACAGGGTCCTGAATTGCTGATGGCGCCATGATGTGCTGTTTTTCAGGCGTCAGAGGTCTTCGGCGAGCAGTAAGTACCCGGCTTGTTCACCTCTAAGTCTGAAGAACTGAACGACAGAGGCAGTCAGCAGTTGGTCGTATCTTTATAAGTGCGGGGTCAGGCATGACTACCTGTCGTTGGTGAGTGATCAATGGGACGACCTCGGTTGAGGACGAGCAGTATGTCACCACCCCTGTTGATGGCGTGCTTTTGTTCTAAAGAGTCGTGCTCGCTGTAAGTGGTACCTAGCACTGCCCAAGTCTATCTTGTCGGAGACGTTTCTGCCTTTGCGCCCCACCAAGAGACGAACATGCATTACCAAGCTCATGCAAGACTTGGTTTCCATGGCTTCCATACACGTTCTTTTAACGAACGGTCCCGAACTCGCCTGGTCCACGCCCAGGTTGCGCCTTATCTGGCCTCGAGTCAAGACCAATACAGATATGATGTTCGCCATGTGCGTTGTCTGGACCCGTCTGTCTTTACTGCATAGGGAGGAAAGTTGACCTGACGCCTTTCTCGCATCGATGTCGTGATGAACGGGCCGGATACCCGTCTCCTGTTTATATACTGGGCCGGTCGTGGAAGACAATGTCCTCCTTGTGCGCAGATGAGTCGGCAGCCTCCACTTTTCCTTATCTCTTGATCTTTGTGGCTCATTATCACGCTCTCGGTCCCTCGCCGACATGGCTACCGAGAAGACAGTTGGCGACACGTTCACGTCCCCAATCTCACCATCCCCGTCCGACGACGACATCCAGTCTGCTACGGAGACTGCGTTTGACGAGAAGCTCGAGAAACGAGTCCGACGCAAGATCGACTTCTGGCTGGTTGGCTTCTACTCGGCAGTTTACATCTTCCGAGTCATCGACTCCTCCAACTATTCCAATGCAGCAATCATCAACCTCGAACATGGCACGGGAATCAAGAAAGAACTACATCTCTCACCGGGCATGTGGTCATGGACACTTTCCATCTTCTCATACAGCTATCTGATCTTCGAGCCGACCAACACTCTTCTTCTCAAGACGTTCCGACCTTCAAGATGGATGTTCGTCCTGATCCTCGCCTGGGGTATCTGCGCCTGTTCAGCCGCTGCAGCCCAAAGCTTCCAAGGCATGATGTGTGTCCGGTTTGCCATTGGCATGGCCGAAGCCGGATTCTACCCGGCGGTTCTTTACCACATGGACTTCTTCTATTTACCTCAGGAGCTCCCCTGGCGCATTGCACTATTCTACTCGGTCGGGCAGCTTTCAAGTGCCCTGAGCGGACTGCTAGCCTTCGGGATCAGTTTCATGGACGGCCTAGGCAATCTCGCCGGATGGAGATGGTTGTTCCTACTCGAGGGTCTGCCCGCCATTATCCTCGCTTTCGTCGCTCTCTTCTGGCTCCCAGACTATCCCGAGACAGCCCGTATGCTTGACGAAGACGAACGAGCTTTCATGGCAAAGAGGCTAGCGGACACCGCTCCAACCGGGAAGAAGGGACACTGGGACTGGGCCTCCCTGAAGACCTTGCTCGTCGACCCCAGCGTCTATACATTCACAATCTACTGGCTCGCCCACGGGATCGGCGGCTTTGGCATCTCATACGCTTTGCCGACAGTTATATACCAACTAGGCTTTACGACCACGGCAAAGTCGCAGCTCATGAACATCGTACGGTTCCTCCGTCTCCTTCACAGGGCATCATAGGTGGCTTCAAACTGACACTGAATACAGCCTCCTTACGTTACCTGCTTCATCCTGCTCAACACCCTCGGCCACATGCTGCACAAGAAATGGATCAGACCATGGACAACAGCCGTCTCGAGTCAGTAACTACTTCCTCCTCCTCCTCGCCTCCTAACTCAGATCCTTCCCCCCCCTTCAGATCGTTTCCATTCTACATTCCAAAACTATTTAGATGCTGATGCTGACCCATGACCCTTGACAACAGTCGAAGCAACCACGATAATATGCTACATCATCCTGATCACCGTCCACAGCCCCGTTGTCAAATACCTGGCGCTGATCGTGGCGGTCTCTTGCGCCGGCTCCGCATACCCGGTCATATGGCCGGAACGCATCCGCGCTCTCGAAGGCACCACGGTCGCCGCGGGCGTTGGCATCGGCTGGACGAACGCCATGGCTCAATTCGGCGGCATCGTCGGGCCCCATGTCTACAGCACCGTGTTCGGGCCGACATATCGTGTATCGTATGTGATTTGTCTGTGCTTTCTCATCGTGTCCATCACGTCGATCCTGTTGTCGTGGCTTTTCGTTCGGCGCAAAGATAGAGATCGGAAGCGAAGAGGGGGTGCAAGTCGAGCAACGCTGCCCATCCAATGAGCCCTGGTAGGCCCTGGCAGCCGAGGCTGACGTGTTGTGTTGTGTTGTGTTGTGTAGTTAGACTATCCTGGAGGGTGTCTAGACATGACCTAGAAGACGGTGTCGTATAGAAGATAAGTAGATCATTGTGCAGAGAGTACTAGTACTGTCTAGAAGCAATCGGATAAGCCTAAGCCTGTCTGTGTCTGTGACCATGACAGGCACAAGGCTGAGGCTGCAGGCCGAGACTCCCCCTTTATCATTTCGAAGGTCCCCCCCCCGCCTTCCCACCGAAAAGCTCCGTCATTGAAACAGCACAGAACTATGCATGAGGAGGTGGAAGGGCATAAATATGCTGGTTCAAACTTTGGATCAATGCATATCTCAGACAGGCTCTCCAGGATGTCTGTCGACTTGACTTTAGGCGTCCGATGCCAGAAATACCACGGTCTTATAGGTAACTCGTGCAAGTTAGCGCCAGGGTGCCATTCGACGTCAAAGACGAGGGAGGACAATTTTTATGGCAGGAGGGCCTCCTGTTGAATGCGAGGTCCAAGTGCTGCTTCAACGATTTGAGTGATAGCTGTTTTCTACCGCGGTTAAGCGGGTTTTATTATACGTCTATCCGTACTTGTAATAATATTCTACAACCTCGCCCCGTCCCTTCTCAACCTCTCCCTCGTCGTATCTCTCAACTGCCTCCTCAAAATCTTACCCGACGGATTCTTCGGAATCGCCTCGACAAACTCCACACCGCCCGCCAGCCTCTTATACCTCACGACCTTGCCCTCCACGAACCTCTTGACCTCGTCCTCGGTCAGCTGCTGGTGGCGGCTACCGGGCTGCCTGACGATGAAAGCGCGCGGCTTCTCGTCGCCGTCGTCCGTCGGCATGCCTATGACGGCGGCGTCGGCGATGGCTTCGTGCTCGAGCAGCAAGGCCTCCAACTCCGCGGGCGCGACTTGGTTGCCTTTGACCTTGATGAGCTCCTTCTTGCGATCGACGATGAAGAACATGCCCTGCTCGTCCACGTACGCTATATCGCCCGTCTTCAACCAGCCGTCGGGCGTGAGCGTCTCGGCCGTGGCTTTCGGGTTGCGCCAGTAGCCCTTCATGACGTTGGGTCCGCGACACCAGAGTTCGCCGACGTGTTCGGGTCCGCGCGCCGTGATCTCGTGCGTGCCATCTTCAGACATGATCTTCGCTTCGCAGTTCGCATTGGGTTCGCCGACGGCCGCGCTGAAGGATTGCTTGTTGATGTCCCAGCCTAGGAGCGAGCATGTACACCTGGCATTGCTCATGTTAGCATTACGAAAACCTTCGCCACTTTGGAGGTCAAGTCATCTGCATTCATAGCCGGGCGCACAGCGTGCGACACGAAACCGTCTCGCACACTCAGGTCGCCGCCAATCGGCGCCAAAAAAAATCCACAACGCAATAAAAACAAAAGAAACGAAGGATGATTGTACATACTCAGTCATACCCCAGCCCTGCTTCAGATTCAACCCATTCCCAAGTCGTCTCTCGACCTGTAGACACACATCGCGTCCCAGCGGCGCCGCCCCGCACCCGATGTTCTCGACGCTGCTCAAATCATACTTCTCCACGGCCGGGTGCTTCGCCAACAGCACCGCGATCGGCGGCACGAGTGTGAAATCCGTGATCCGAAACCGCTGCGTATACTCGAGCATTTTTTCAAAGTCGAACTTCGGCATGACATACACGGGCACTGCTCTATTGAACGCCCCGGCGACATAATACGTCTGGCCGTAGGCATGGTACAACGGCAAGAAACACAGCCAGCGTGCCCTCGCGTTTCTCGCCTCGTACTCTGGATGCTGTCGCGCAATGTGCGCCACCTGCACCGTGTTGCTGATGTAGTTTCTGTGCGTGATCTCGACGCCCTTGGGCACGCCCGTCGTGCCGGAACTGTAATTCAATGCGAGTGTCCTGTCACACTCGCCCGTGCCTGTGAGATTGTCCCACTGGAATCCTTTGGCGTCTTCGGCAGGAGCAACCAATTCGCTCCAATACTTACAGCCCTTGATCCCCGGCCGCGATTTCGTTGTTCCCTGGTCATCATCGTAAATGCTGGCATTATACATGAAGACGCGCTCCGAGGGATCCAACCCAGCGAGCCTCGCAGCTTCGATGCCCGTGTCAATGCTCCCGTCCGCGCAGAGGAGGTACGTCGCGCCCGAGTCGCGGAGTTGATGGGCCAGTTCGCGCGCGACAAACGTTGGATTGGCCCCCGTGAAGATCCCGCCGGCACACAATATCCCCATGAACACGACAGGCACGAACAGGTCATTTCCGCTGAACAGGAGGATGCGGTCGCCCTTTTTGAAGTGTTTGGAGCGCTGGAGGCCCAGAGCAAACCGCTGTGCCCAGAGCCGGAATGTGTCCCGTGTGAAGTAGTGCGTATCCGGCCGGGCGGCTTCAGAAAAACATCGTTGAGACCCGAGTGCATGGGTGGGCGATTTGAAGAGAAATGTCGGTAACGAGCATTCGGGCACGGCGACGGTCCAGCGTGATTTGTACGGCATGATGACAGGACGGTGGGTGGCAAAGGAGGGAGATAAGCGTTCGGAATGCGGGTTTTTGACTGCCAGCTACCAGACAGATCTAGCTCCCAGCGGTACAGCCAGGCGCGATCAAGACAAGGCAAGCAGATTTCAAGAACCAAGAAAGGACACAGTCAGAAAGACGAGTAGCAAATGGCCCTTTAGAATTGCTAAAAGGTGGGCATCGAGGGCAAGACCTGGGCTTTTGTACCCCGGACAGCAGTGAAGCCTCGTCAGCGAACATTGTGGGCAGACGTTGCGCGCGGGACTTAGCCAGGCTATCATCAGCCAATCAAGAAGCATTTACTTGGATGGAAGCCAGCATGAATCGATATGCCGGAGGCGATATTATGGGGATAGACTGTGCAAGGTGTGGAGGATGAGCGAATGTCTGGAAAATTACCGAGGCTGAATAACCGAGTGAGAGGAAGGTCTGGCGAGGGCCACTATTATACTAGTGACCCCGCTACTTATGTTAGCACGCTTAAGTAGAATATTAGTGGCACTAGAGGGTATTCTACCTACCGAGACTAGGTAGCCTTGGTAGGTAGGCCGAGCAGCGAGTGTTGTACAGGCACGTAGCACCTAGGTGTCTATCTCGTCTCATCGCGATGTTAACATGCTGTGTACAGCCATCAGTCCATATTTACCATGCCCACCTGAATGCCGCTACGCACAACCATAAATTTCTACGCTTCAGTTCATCCTTGACTCCTTTCACCACGAGCCCATTCGCTCACGGATACATGACCTGCTCCTCCTTGACCTCAAACTGCTCATACAATTCCCTAGGGTCCCGTCCCAGTCTTCCCGCACTGCTCCTTAACTTTCCCCTGCGTGCATCAACCAGTGGCGAGATCCATTGATCCTCGACCGTGCCACCGATCAGCTTGTCCCCTTTTCTCAGATACGTCGTGGCGCCAAGCAATGTGGGCTGGAAATTCACATAGATCGCCTCCCAATGCTTCTTCTCGACCTCGAAGATCTCATGGTTGATCCCGATATGGTCGACCTCTTTGATGTGCTTGTTCCACCAGTCCCAGGTCTCCCGGTGCAGGGGACTGTATGCGTACCGGTGCACATCCTCCGTCGACCGCCAGTATGAGAGGATCAAGTTCTCCGTGGCACCGTTCTTGTCCTGGCTTGTCCATGCCGAGCCGCCATAGTATCCTGAGTCCGGCCCGGCCTTTTCCAACTCGCTGATCATGTGGGTGAAGGAGTCGCCGACCTCTTTGACGTGCGGGGCGAAGATGCCCAGGGGGTGGTTGGACTTGAAGCCCAGCATGAAGACCACGACCTTTTCGGACGACGGTTCGGCATGGAAGTTGCCGTCCTCATCGGGGATTTGCGGTGATGTTCTGTGTAAAAAGGCTCCCTCGAGATAGGGGTTCTTCTTCCAACCCCATGTGATCGCCAGTGTGTCGGCGAGGCGTGCGCCAAGGATCAGGATGGATGGGAGCATGGCATAGAAGCGCGGAATGATGAAGACCACGAGGGATTGCAGAAGGGCTCCAAGTAGAAGCCATGTCGAGATGGAACACGACTGTCGAACCGCCTGTGAGGGTTAGCTTGGGTCTCTGGGCCGTCGTGTAAAGAAGACTCACGTGGAATAATTGTTTGGATGGACCAGGCCAACGCATTTGTGACTTGGGTCGTTTGGCTGTTGGTGGAAGGAGACTTTGGAAAGCCATTTCTGATCTGTCTGGTTACTTTTGTATAGAATTGAGTTGGTTGATTTGGTTGTCAAAGGAAGATTAGGCTTGTTCTATTGCACGGACAATCAATTCGGCAGAAGATAGAATTCAGGATGGCTTAAATACAAAGGGGTGACTGGCCATCGCTGGAAACAGGCATCATGATAAATCCCAGGCTTACGGTCGTTGGTCTGTGGCGGAGATGAAGCAACCAATAAGTTGACCCTCGTACGTACGAACGCTTGCCCCGGGAGTCAACAAGACTGCTACGGGCTTACCGCAACATGACTCAAAAGCGGCAAAGAGCAGTACGAGCGACACAGCATAGGCGCTGACTTAGGGACGTCTTCGGCTCGAGTCAAAGCCGTGGAAGACAAGGAAAGCGATATCTTTAAGGCCGTAAACCAGGTTGACGGGAGACGCGGGGAAAGCTCAGGGCATATTATCCGTATAGGTACGGAGTACAGTAAATCGTGCAGTGAAACTCGCTTAACCGGAGTGACTAACAGCTGCCGCTTGAATCGTCAAAGCAGCAGTTCGACCTCGCAATCAACAGGAGGCCCTCCTGCCACGAATAACAACTCGGAAGGATCTTCCATATGCTCCCAAAGGACTTCAAGCATTAGTAGAAAGAGTCTGTTTGCATGAGGCCTCCTACAATACCCTTGCCATCGTGATGCAATGGCAGGTAGGCAGATGGACGCTCGGATGATTGTATCCGAGCGGGCACGAACGGATAAATGGTACGCCTACTCGAGCAGATAAATCCCTTTTTGATCCTTTCCTGTGTCGTGTCATACTCTTCAATTTTGTCTATCCACTGCAAGGGTGGGTATCTTGTCTATTTGTGCTCTTGGATGTCTAGCGTCTCGCTGCAATCGCACGAATGCTCCTTTTCTAAAACTTGCAGCACCAGTCTAATGCAAACGTAACAACTCCGGCTGGCCCTGACCAAAAAACGTACTTGCGCGGAAGCAATCACGCCCGGTTCATTCACGAATCGATACACTCATGACGATGCAGGCTTCTCCATCTTCGCAGGTGGCAGCCCCAAACCGTTTCGGTTGCGGAAGAACAAGACCCCAGCCTCCTCGCCGGTGGCTCCCTCTATGGGTTCAACCCATTGGCACCATCTCATCGACTTCCACATGCTCTTGATGAACCCGATGGGTCCATCCGTGGTGTCACTACGATAATGACGACCCATGACCTTCTTGATGGCCTCACTGGCTTCGTCGGCGTGGTAGAAAGGAATGGTGCTGACATAATGGTGAAGGACGTGGGTTTCGACAATGCCATGGAGGAGTTGTCGTCCGATGAAGCCGAACTCGCGATCAATGGTTGCCGCCGCACCTCGAGTGTAAGTCCAGCTCGTGGGGGTGTAATGAGGAAGAGAGGGATCGGTGTGCTGCAAGAAAGTAATGGCCACTAAGGGATTGTTAGCAAAAAGTCTCGGGCGGAGGACAATATGATCGCTTACCCAGCCAGTGATTCACCCAGAGATACGGTGCAAGGTACCAGACGAACAGATTGGCAAAGCCATAAGTTCTTCCAACCCAGAAAAGAATGCTAGCCGTGATCAAGAGACCGAGATCACTCAAGAGGATCAACTTGGCATCCTTTGCCTCGTACAATGGACTGTTGGGATCGAAATGGTTCACACCACCCCCGAACCCATTGTGCTTACCAACACCACGGCCCTCGCGTTGAATCTGGTGCTTGTTGTGGCCGGTCACATTGGTCAACAGATACATTGGCCAACCTCCAAGTTGCTGAGTGATCAGGGTATAGGCAGTGTTGATTGGAGTCTCTTCGGTGAGTTCATCGAGCTGGTGGAGCAGGTACCCTCTTCTCGTGGCCCATTCTTGCCTGGTCGATGGGACAAAGACCATGTCTCGCTCCAGATGACCAGTGGCTTTGTGGTGCTTGCCGTGCGAAATCTTCCACGAGAAATATGGCACCAACAGAGCTGAGTGGCAGAACCAGCCGACAGTATCGTTCAACACCTTGCTCGGCGAGAACGACTGGTGTCCACATTCATGAGCCAACACCCACAAGCCAGTACCGAAAAGCCCCTGCACCACGGTGTACAGAAACCAGAGTCCAGCTCTTAGGGGTGTGGAGGGAATGTTTTCGGGCGTGACGAATCGGTTAAAGAGGTAGAAAGTGGTAGCGAGGGAGGCAACGTCTCGAGCAACATAATATAGACCGGTGGCAGCAGATCGTTCGAAGCAGTGCTTGGGAATGGCCTTGTGGATGTCACTGATGGTGTAGTCAGGAATCTCGAAGGTGTTGCCGTAGGTGTCGACCAGCTGTGTCTTTTCAGGAACTGACTTCTGCAGAACGGCGTCTTCCGAGGCGAGAGAGGACAACGAGGTAGAGGAAGGCGAGGACCTCGGACTATCGAGAGGAGAAATGTTGGCGGAGGAGACAGGAGTAGATTCGGTGGTCACCATTCGACGCAGGACTGCCTCTGAGGGCAGAGCAGTTGTGGTCATGGTTGCTTCTGTTGCAAAGACGACTGGAGAGGAGAAGCTGTGCAAAGGTCGCTCAAACAGACGGTTCCCAAGATTTGTTGGGACGCAGGCGCAGTTGTCGGGATTGAGGAGGTGCTGACTGCGTTTCTTCTGGATTGCGACCTGGCAGGAGGTTTATGAAAAGAAAGTGAAGGTCGGACAGGACGATAGACCCAAAGACACAGGAATGCCAGAGTGGAAAGACAAGACTCAAGAACTGTAGAAGATAAAAATGCGGGAAAGCAACAAGTTAATGTCGGACGGGCAGAGGGCAGTTCTCCGATGTTAGGAAGCCGTTACTAGTATTTGGTGGAGGGGCTACAGGGGCCACTGAGAGACTGAGAGCAGCAACCAGGGGGGCAGAAAAATTGCCAGAAAAATTGTGGACAGTGAGCCGAAGCAAACAAAGCGCTCCAGAAGCTGAAGCTGCGGCCAAATCTCAACGGATTCTCAAAAGGGAGCCGCACTAAATTCAGGGCACCTCTGTGATCGGACCATTGATGTCGCAGCTGAGTCTAGGCGGTCAGAGAGCCGAGGGAGCCACTTTTGGCTGGTGCAGGCTTAACGAAGTCCCCAGTGGTCCCCATCAGTCCCCTAACAGATCGCTGGCCAGGGGGTCAAACGCCGAGAAGGCGTGGGCATCTGGGCATGAGCCTTGGGCCAGTCCGCGGCCAGCATTCTAACTCGGATGTGGGTAGAACTACTGTGGCTGCAGGAGCTACGAGTAGAATAGTTGGTCCGTACTGATCATCCAAAAAATCTGTCCCGGCGCAGTCCAAGACTGCATCCCTTCCACACAAGTGTGAGGGTTTCGTTCAATCAGCCGTGTATCGTGATCATACTACCTAGACGGTGTATCACATGAGAGATCCTTGTGCAATGAATGATTTCTCAGACACAGTCAGACAACGAGTTGCCCGATGTCTACTACCCAGGCCACTTCTTTTCTTTGACCGGTATTTTGCCTCCCAGGAATCGGCCAAGTATCGGCATCGAAACCCTAGGTACCTAGGTAGGGACGACTGCTTTTTTGACCAATAGACCTCCAGCGTCATGTCAACTACAATTATAATATGGATTCAGCTTTGCTTGACTGGGCATCGTACTTGTCACATCATTGACTCCAGAATGGTCTCGTCAGCGTTGCGTCCTTCTGTGGTCAATGGCGCTGAAAATCGCCGACTCGTCGTCTGGACTCCCAGCTGATCTTGCGGCTGACCGCTTACAGAGATCATCTCGAGCACATGCTGCTCTCCTTCGTCGAGGATCGAGGTTGGGCGAATAACGATGTGTGATCGCCCATCGGCGGACTCTTGATCTTGAAATGACATGTGCAACATTCCTTGTGTGAAGCGGCCGTTCACATGTTGATACCGCAGATCTCAAGTCGTGAAGCCGTACCAGAACCTCAGTCAGATGGAGGAATCCCAGCCCTGTCCGCCTCTTCAGGAGGCAAAAAGGCCGCGAGACCGTCACACCGTCATGACTTGTCCAAGGCGGTCTGCTTCAGCCTACGGAGTACCGTGCAAGTAGAGCTGTCAGGTGGTCTCGGAGCTCCACGAAAACGATTTTGTTGGGGATTCGAAATTTGGAGCTAACTGGCCCTTTGCCGCCCCATTTCGTCACACTTGAACCCTTGTCCAGGCCTAGTGACCATTTCCTTTTCGGCGTTATCACAGAAGACGCTCGGTTCGTGCCGGCGGGGCCCCTGTAGACTTCTAGAAGCGATCCGCTGCAGCACGCGATGGTGCCTGCAGATCTAGTTCGCTGGCCGCTCTAGACGAGGACATATCCAGATCTTAGAAGACTGACGCTCATCCTATGCCGCCACGCCTGCGAACCGACACCAATCTTCCTGTGCTGTCGTTTGGTAAGTCCCCGTTAACCTCGACCGTCGTGCTTTGTAGATCTGGGGCGATCAGGATGCTGCGGCCCTGCAATGGGTTATGGACATCGCATGTTAGGTCTGCCCACGCATCTTCATCACCATTGGCTTTGGCCTTTTTTCGACATCTGACCGTAATTGTGGGCAAAAGGGCGTGTCCCGCGTGCAAAGGAAACAGAACCACCGCGATCCGAGTCGGGTTACTGGTCAACCGCACAGTTCCCTTGCGTCTTCCACCAACCAGCCACGACTCAGAGGCAGTTATTTCGAACAATGCCTCGACCTCTGCTTCCTTTGAGTTTGCCAGATAGATCACAAGATCTGCCAACATCGGCTGTCCCATTGTTGCAGTCTGAGTCTTCGACTCAATGTTATTGATGTCCAAACACGCCGTAACAAGTACAGGATGCGGCGCGATGTCGACGTGAAGCCTGACTTGCCGTGGGGTTGCTTTTGCGCTGGAGAATTTGACTGGACTCGTTTGGGCATGCCAGCCCTGCAGCCAGCGTTCAAGTTCGGACCTGGTATCGTGACTAAATGCACATAGAACTGACGGCCAGTCCATGTCATCCATATTCCAAATCTCAACCTCTTGTGTCAGAGCGGCCATCTCCAGGTCTTGTTCTGTCCACGAGGTTCGAACACGGTCCAGTAGATGTCCCACCAGAAGCCTTGCAGCAGATTCGTGAGAGGTCTTCAGAAGTTCTGACATGAAATTCTCCTCAAGACTGGACAAAATGAGGTCGTCTATCGATTGAAAGTCGACACAGAGAGTAAGCCTGTGAGTGGCAGCCGGAATGGCTTTGTGCATCGGAACAAGTCGAATAGTCCAGTTAGCTGGCTGTTTGGGAAAGATGACTTCGGGCTGTTCTAACCCGCGGCTCTTAGCAGTGCTATACGCCTCATTGTCTCCTAACTGGCAGTTGAGAACGCGCAAAGGCACTAGGGTTGAAGGACTGATGCTAAATCGAGAGTACATGTAAGTGTTTCTAAACACATCCTGGACATTGACTGTGACTGGAAGAATCACATTGACGGAGGCTGTGTCGTAAAGAGTGAAAGAGCCTTGGTCTGTCTGGTAGTTGGCATCAATCCGGATGGTGACTGATGGCTCGGACTGGACCTCCATCGTGTACGGAATTTCAATTGATCTGAGTGAATCAGCTTTCAGATCATCAACAATCATCATCAGAGCATCTCCCTCCCTGGCTGTGCGTAATGTCGAAGGGAGCTCTTCACAATCAAATAATTTCGAATCATGGATATTCAGCCTCAGACCGGCTGTTGCTGTTTTCAAACGCAACCTGCACTGAGCGACGTTATTGTAACCGGGCTGTATGTGCATCAAAAGTTTGCGAGTTTCTGCAAGGTGTATAGTGGGAGCATGAATGAGTTTGACTTGCAAGGCTCGGTGGCGAGGATAGACCAGGATCGGCCCTACTAGTGATCGGTCGACTGATGGTTCATCCAGTTGTGAGGTGTCATCATGAGGCGCCGAGCGGAAGTGATGAAAAAGTCTCAAATTGCCGATGCTGACATCGACTTCGTCAGGCATATACCAGCCTTGAGAGGTGATCGAGGTCTCTAGTAACAGCTTCGTCCCAGTTGCATCTACTGTGACTTCGCCTGGTGATTTGAGAATGATGAAGCGTGGTTCAACGTCCTGGCACGATAGCCGCAATTTGACTTCACCGATTGGCGGCGTAGTCATAGTAAACAGAGGCCGGATATCGATGGTCAACGCGAAGCCATCTTTACCTTCAGGATGAGTAATAGTCTTGGCGACAGAGGGAACCATGAACAACGTAGATAAAGGAAGAGTCGTTGCGGTCATGGCCGGTACTGTCTTGAAAAGTTGATCGAGATAGACTCGATCTGCAGCATCGATCGAGAGCGACTTTCCACCAACCCGGCGTTGAGAGCCACAATGCAGACAGGCGATGAGACAGCGGGCATAGTCACTTGGTTTGTCAAGCTGCTTGAGGCAGTCCGCATATATCCGAAGCAGATGACCATCTGAAGGTCGATACGTCGATTGAGGCAATTGTCCGAGAATGCTGTGGAGGTAACGCGCAGCACGAGCATAGTTGTTCTGTGCGTATTCCAATGCAACCAGGTCGATCAAGACTTGCTGCGCAGTCGAGTGGCTCTTGGTATCCGCAACAATGCGATAAGCGAGGACTGACAACATCGCGAAAAGGTCGAAGAACACGGATTTTGAAGATGCCGCGGCTTGCAATGTACTTGACTTTATACCAGCCATCGACCCAGGGTGATTATCCGCCGAATTATGGTCACTCATGCCGGCAGCTTGGCCAACCTGTGCTGCTCCATTCGTCATGCTGCCGTTCCTATCAGCGTCGAGTCGAAAGGCAGCATGTTTCATTTCTGCCACCCAAGGCCGCACTGCTTCAAGGTTCGACATGGCACGCCTGGCCGTAATTGCAAGCCTCGAAATCCAGACAGCCAATCTTTCTGCTCCGGGGCGCGAGAAAACAATCTGGCGTACAGTGGCTTCCTCGGGAATGACAGAGATCCTCTTGTGGTGCGGCCCCTGAGAACGTTCGCGTGAAGGAGAACGGGCCTCAACAGCCAGCGACATCCTGTTTGCACGATTGCGCGTTTCGAGAGCCTGGTTCGACTTCTTTTCTACTATGCGCGAAAGCTCCACAGAGTCAAGCGAAAGCCAGCCGGTACCATACTCGACATCGAGGCCTAAGGCTGGTAGCACTTTACTCAAGATCTGCATGACCGCCAGCCACTCGAAGTTAGAGACAATGTTGCCGGTAACTGCACGCTGCGTGTTCAGTTCTCCCTCGCTCAACCCTTCTTGTCCTCCCCAAGCACTGTAGAGTTCGAGCCGCAAGCTGCGAGCAGCCAAATTGATAAAGTCAATGGCGCGCTCTGTCAGATCCGCAAGAAGATTAAGGTCGGCGCCGGATTTTGCTTCCCCTAAGGTCTTAGATGATTCCGCATGTCCTTGCCTGAGCAATATCTCCATCTCACGAATAAACAGGTAGGTGCGTAGATCCAGGGCTGACACGTCATTCGTCAGGGTCAGGTTCTGGTAATTTTTCCTCTCGAGATCGAAAGGAAACCCATCGCGGTCGGCGAACAGAATCCGTGCGAGGTCGAAGTCCGTCTCGAGATTGTCACCGGCGACTGGAAGACTTTCAGACTCAAGTGCTGCGCGCAGAAGAGCTTTCGACTCTTTGGAGAATCTGAGAAGCGCACCGCTATCGTCATGATCGCCTCTTTGCGCCTCTTCTTTCACCAGACTATCCAAGCGCAGAGAAAGCTCGTCATAAACGGCCAAGGCATCTTCCAACAACCCGACACTTTCGAACCCTTTAGCCAAACCTTCTTTCAGGACAAAGAATGTGCAAAAGTTCCAGCCTGGCAAATTCCTTTGGCTGTCCCTTTCCCGGATGTCTGATTCGTATTGCGCAACACGAGCATCGAACGACCGAAGTATACAGGCCTTGATGCTTTCAACGAGGTCTTGCCATTGTTCCTCAAGCTCTGAAGAACTGAGTGGCGTGGATTTGTCGCTCGCATCCAGCATTCTGACTTGCGCAACGCGATTGATGGCAGATTTGGAGCTGCTGCTGAAGTCGGCCCGCAGTTTGTCGAAAATGGTAGAAGAAGCCTTTCCGGACCATTTTGACTTGCTGTTGATGCTGTCGGTGCTATCAGCTGTTTCCAGCGAGATATGCTTGGATGATTTGGGCTGACTGGCCGCAGGAGTATTTGCCAGCACGACATGGACGATCAACCATTCAAAAGCATCATAGCCTTCCTGGCTCTTGCTCGAAGACTTCCCATCTCCGACAGACTGCTGTGACTTCACCCACGATCGCACTTCTTTTCTTGCCTTTTCCTTGTACGACTCCTTGTCATCACATCGTAGCAGATATAACTTCACATAGGGTGTTTCGCGAAGCCCCGGAATTTGATGTCTGCGTACATTGGATTGGGAGCCCGAGGACTTGTCCTCCCTCAACAGAGATATGTTGAGACTCGGAATGGATCGTAGCGGGCGGTTTGGGGACTTCCAGTGCAGGTTGCGAAGGGGACTTCGTGCCGATAGGCGAGGCTCGAGGCTATCATATAGGTTATCTGGATCAGTACATTGTATGATCACCTTTGAACTCGATGGTAGATCGGTTCCATCCATGTTAGAGAGAGGTAATGCGCGATCTCGAGATGCTTGGGAGAAATCATGGTGCTCGCGAGTCTCGGTGAGCAATGCACTGCATGAATACCATAGTCAAAAAAAAGAATGGTGCCTCGAGGGCGACACGCGCAACAACTCTTCATGTCGTTGAGTTCGACCAGTCAAAGGGAGACGGAGCACGTGACAGAATTGCAGCTTACGGGATACATACTCCGCTGTAATTTGATGCAAAGGGCTTTACGGTGGACCGGAAATGCCTCTCCACGTATGTACCACTTCCACTGACTTCGCTTCCAGCCTCAAACCCTGGCTCTCGATCATTGTGGCCTACAACAGTCAAGAGTCACAAGGAGTAAGGCCCCCCTCAATCAGCAGCATCAGTCTGTTCTACGGTGAGTCATTCTTGACTCCTGCATGATTCCGTCGTGGTCTTTGGATATAAAGAGCCTCCAACTATCCCTTCAAGGTAATCTTGTCCCTCCCATTATGCTTTCTTCTCCGGTGCGATCGTGACCTCAACTTTTTCAAGCCACCGTTCCCAGCCTTCCAGGTCCGCTCTCATACAAGTATTTTCGCTTCACCTTTCTTGCTCTTAAACATGGCATCCTCCGTCATCACAGAAACCCTTCGCTCTGTCACTTCTACCAAGATCGACGAACTCAAAAAGCAACGAGAAAAGTATAGAATCTCAAAGGGCAAAATACTTCGCGACGCCAAAGCAACCGCCACCGACCTCGAACGTACCAAGCTGCTGCTCCGTGAGGCCAGCCGAGAAGCTGGAATACGATTTCTCGATGAGAATCTCCTTGACCCTGACACGCAAGCCTCCGCTACTGCTACGTGTAAGCGTCGAGATCAGGAACTGTTCTTGTGTCAAGCAGAAAAAGATCTCGCTCTTTCCCCTAGCTTGGTACAGGACATCGAGCGGGAACTCTTGGAGCACTTCGAGCTCAAAGGTGTACGACACGAACATGCAGAGTTTTTCTCGGAGCTCGTTACGGAATGGCTCTCCTGCTCCGAAGAGTCGAAGTCAAGCCCATTAACCACGGGTACCATGGATGATTCGTCCTTCGAGGCTGTCGGTCGCAAAGAGATGCATGAGCAAAGAGCTCAATGGGAATCCGTTGTCTTCGGCAAATCCAATGTCAAAATGTCAAGCATCAAGAATTACCTTCAAGAGCTCCTCAAGTCGAATAAAGTGGTCTCAGATGCCTTCAGGACCATCGAGAATGCCACTCGTTCCGAAGCTCTTTCTATCTGGCGCGATACTGAACTCTTCGACTTGGACAATCTGAGAACAACCATTCAAGGTCTCCTTAGATCGGACCTATTGTCCGAAGAGAAAGCTGCCATTCTCAAGTCCTTCAAGAGCAACAATGAAGTGCTTCAAGAAGTTGCTGATGTGCTGACCATGAGAATGGCCTCACTGGAAACGTGGCAATGGTCCACGGTCCACGGTGCGATTACCGTCTCCCAACGTCGGCAATTGAATGGCAAATACCGTGTTTTCATGGACGAGGACATCCTAGACGCGCTTCTCCTGCATGCCATTGGGATGAAATGGGCTGTTCATTTCAGGCGGCAATTTCTTACCTTCTTCCATTCTGATGCCTGGATGACCCCAGGAACCCGTGTACCCAAACATGACCAGGACCGGCGCACTTACTACCTTGGTCAGGACACCGTCTCTTGTGGCACCGTGGAGACGATCAGGCGCAGCCAGTACGAGAGAGACTACTTCATGACACAGCTTCCAGACAGCGAGCCGGAGGGCGTAAGGGGCTATGGAGACGAAGATGATCAAGCTACCTCTCCGTCACGGAAGAGCCCTCTAGACACGAAACAGAGTCTTCTTCATCTACTTATCACTGAGGTCCTCACCGCACGACATCTTCGTCCCACGGTTCCTCACGCCGTCATTCGCTCCGACTTCCACTGGTTTGGTCCGTCGCTTCCTCATGAAACTATCTTCGCTGTATTGGAATTCCTTGGCGTACCTGAAGGATGGCTGCACTTCTTCCGCAAGTTCCTTCAAGCACCTATACGCCTCGGGCAGGACGGTCCAGAGGGCCAATCACAAGTCCGGCAGACAGGAGTCCCCATGTCACACGCTCTCAGCGACGTCTTCGGCGAAGTCATCCTGTTCATAATGGATTTTGCAGTCAACCGGGCTACCGCAGGAAGCTATCTTTACCGTCTTCACGATGACTTCTGGTTCTGGGGCACGCAGGGTCTATGCGAACGTGGATGGGAAGCGATGACTGAATTCGCATCCACGATGGGCATCAGATTCAATAAGGAGAAGACTGGCTCGATCGTCTTTGCCGAAAGGAACACGGCTCTCAACATCGCCGGCTCGGATCTCGACTTGAATGGCGAACAACCTATAACTAAGGTGGCTGAATTGCCGGAGGGTGAAGTCCGCTGGGGCTTCTTACGTCTGGATCCCGCCGCCACACGCTTTGTGATTGATCAAAGCATGGTGGACGAACACATTGCAGAACTTCGACTGCAGTTGTCCCACCGTTCATCAATCTTCTCATATGTTCAGGCGTACAACGCGTACCTGGCTCGATTTTTCAGCAACAACTTTGGAAAGCCTTGCTGTGCCTTCGGACCACAGCACATCGATAACATGATTGCCACCTTTGCAAAGATCCAGAGGGCGATCTTTCCAAGTGGTACTGTGACTGGGTATCTCGCACAACTTGCTCGAGAACGATTCGGAGTCGAGGACATCCCAGACGGAGTTTGGTATTGGCCGGTGCGAATGGGCGGTCTAGAACTACGCAACCCTATGGTACCGCTGTTTTGCATGAGAGAGACTCTTCGCCAGACCCCGGAACAAATCCTAACCGAGCAGCTCGAAGCGGAAGAGTCCGCATACGAGTCAGCAAAGGTGCGGTTCGGACGTAGCAACAGTAAGGAGCTTCGGGATGCGCGCCTTTCAGCCGGCCTGAGCACAACGGCAGTCGGCGAAGACTTTATGTCCAAGGAGGAATTTATGAGATATCGAGAAGAATGGTCAATATATCTGGGGAACGCGTATCAAACACTTCTCTCCATTCCGCTAGAACACGAGGTCCAGGAGACCAGCAATGTTGCTTCTTGGTTGGATGACCTGCCTGTTTCTTCTCGGGAATGCAAGCCATCTTCTGGAATTGGGCGGTCTTTCAAGTCGATGCAGCCTTACTGGAAATGGGTTCTGGCGGTGTACGGTGCGCAAATCGTCAAGAAATATGGCAGCTTGCAGATGGTGGACGCAATTCAAGTCCCTCTTGGTGTTGTTAGTGTCATGCAATCAGGCAGGATCCGTTGGCAAGGATAGAAGGATAGAACCATAGGCACAAATCAAATGCTGAAGTGGTTGCATATTCCAGCCTTGTTCCTCGCAAGGCTGCATTTAGACAGGAGTAATTGGCTAGAACATCTACACGCTATTATCTACCTCCCTTTCTCAACAACCACATGTTCCCATCTGCACTCACCCAAAACATTCTGAGACGACCAAGTTATATAAAAGTCGCTCATTCGACCGTCAGTCTCGACGACTGCTGGGGGAACACTCTTCGGACGGCCGTGTGTGAACGAAACAAGAAAAACATGACCACTCAGACACCGAAATCATCACTGCTGACTTCTATCTTCGACTCCCTTTCATCACTGTCTCCCCCAGCATCCACCATCCAACAACCTGCACGAACACCAATCCATGAGCTTATTCTCCCCTCGCAACCACCAAGCACAACCAGCCCCTTACACAGTCTGTCAACAGAGGACACTGAGCGCGCCCGCTCGCTCTTTCTCACCCTGCACGTCCTTTTCCCTCACGAACTTCTACCGGCATTGGACTTACTCGACCGCGGCCTCATCACCAGGTTGACAAGTCTTCCTGCATCTCAGGGCGATGGCGCCGACAACAGTAACAGTGACACTAAGACCCCTGCAAGGGAATCCCACCTTCCCAGCCCTAATCCCGGTCCCACAGCTATAAGACCACACACCACAACCAGCAAGCGCGAGCACGAGGTCGAGGTCGAGGTCTTCTACGTTCAATCCGCATCCTCGACCACCACCACGGGCAAGACGACGACAGGCAAATACTCATCACGCAGAGCAGCAGCACCCGCCAGCGCTGCATTCTACGAAGTCCGCCTCGACAGCTGGAACTGCAGTTGTCCGGCGTTCAGCGTGAGTGCCTTTCAAGGCCTGGGCTTCGACGACACCGCAACCACAACCGCAATCGCAAGCTTCGAGTCCGAAATACGAGAACAACCACCTTTCAAATCTGACCAGTCTGACCGAAAGGGCCCCGGGGCACACGAGCCGTGGCGCTTCGGCGGCGTCGCGACAAATCCATCCTCGGCGGCCCGCTCAGTGCCATCGTGCAAGCATATTCTCGCTGCGGTGCTGGCCAACGTGGCGCCGGGCTTGTTTGCCGATAGAGTCATCGAGAGAGCCGTTGGCCGCGAAGAACTTGTCGGTTGGGGCGCCGGATGGGGCGAGTTTGGTGGTGGATGATACTGTAAGACCAGAGTACCTGTCCTGCTCCAGTGGGACATGGTATCTAGACAACCAATCTACTGACATGTATGATTCTGTGCGAGAGGACTCGCGATTACAGATGCGCAGTCCTCCGCCAGACCGTCCTTCCTCAGCTGGACGGATTCGGTTCACGCGAGGCACGGCAGCGGACTGAGCGCGACTTAAATCGCAACATCCAGCCATGGTCGTGGGCGAGAGCGGGAATATCAAGCCACGAAAAACGACCAGCGAATCGAGCCGGCCAATGAGCCAGATGGTTACAAAGTTTGAAGCCATACGAAGCTCTTGTTTCAGGGGAATACTCTCAGCAAAACCACCTTGGACAACGCGCAATTGCCACCGCGAATTGTTGAAACAAGACTGGCCCGCAAACACTTTTGTCACGGCAATGCATTTTGTTTTTTGCTGTATTGTACAAAGGCATTCGTCCTGTGCCATGCATATGCAGCTCTAGATAGGACTTCCATCCAAACGCCATGCTAAATGCCCGACAGCGATTGTTCAAGTCGCTGGGTCCATCTAGCTCTTCTTCTTGCCCTTGCCCTTTTCCTCGGTCTCCTTCTTGTCGCCATTGACCACCGCCTTCTTCTCATCCTTGTCCTTCTCCTTCTCACCTTCCTTCTTGTCTACGTCGTCCTTGTTCGCCTCTTTCTCCTCTTGTTGCTGTCTATTCTTGTTCTTGTTATCGATAAGATCATGGAATGCGGTGATAGCTCGAACGAGAGAGCTCAGATAGATTGTCATCAGCTGATCGTTCGTCTTAACGCTCATGGAGCGGGCCAGTTCACTGTTCTCCACCTGGTTCTTGCCGTTGGGTCGCGACGCGGGGGGGGTCGTCAGGTTAGGAAGTAGATTGAAAACATCTTGGAGGTTGCCCAGAATAGCATGGTTGATGGGCAGTTCCCCGTCGAGGACTTTTTGCAGGTATGTACCGATGTCTCTTAGTCGCAGATGTAGACCTTGTAGCGACTGTAGCTGTTGAGTAATTCGTGCTGATAGTGTGCCCACCGCGACATCTCGGATGTCCCTAAGAAGGTGCTCGACTCCAATCTCTTCTGCTTCTTCGGCCTCGATGGTGGACGGTGTATGAACAAATGTCTTGGTGGTTGTGGTTCCATCATCTTTGATTTCCTCAATGGCGAAGTATGCGTCTGTTGGTACTCCAACCTCTTTCGGCTGGACATCGACGATAACAAGCAGTGGATTCGGGGTGTACTTTTTGAACAATTCGTTGATTTCCAAGTCTGACGCTCGCAGCTTTGGTCCGGAGTGATACCAGCCTATTAGTTTTTCTCGAGCATTGACTTTCTTGAACATTTCTCGCATGGATTCGACATAGTTGTGATCTAGGAACCAAACAGAGGGGTCCTTTTCATCTTCTTCGAAGGGAACTGTTCACTGTCAGAATCATCATCGGTGTCTTTCAAGCTCCGCGACATACCTGCGAAACAGTTTGAAACCCGGACATTCTTGCCATCATTCTGTCCCAGCAGCACGCCAACTACTCTTTTCCGCGTGCCTTTTGCTGATCGACCATAATGATCGGCTGCCGAAAGAAGGACTAGAGGCGCAACCGATACTTGTCGGCTCACCAGAGAGAGTGTTTCTGCTGTTGTCGCAGGCATGATGGTTTTGATGCGGAATAGAAGATGGATGAGGTTCAGGTGCTGGTGAATGGAGAGCTGACACCAGCTCCTGAGGTCCTGAAGAGGGTTACCGGGTTCTTCAATGCAAAAAGAGGTTCGGGAAGGGTACTCGAAGATCAGAGATGGGACAAAGTAGGGCTGGCGAAAGATACAAACTGTCCTGGTGCTGGAGGCAATTGGAACTCCGATCGCAGGCAGTCGGAGAACGCGAACCGTCATTGACACCTTTGCGTTTAAGCTCCACCGTTGCTCTCCGGCGAAACACAAGTGTCTCACATGTGCTTGATGCTGATGTCTTTACGATTCTTCAAGGTGACCACTAAACAATTGTGACTATTCATTCTATGTAATCATTGCGATTTGTACCTCTAATAGTACTTTCCCATTCTTTCAACATTTGCAGAGTTTCTTCACATTTGGCCTTAATGTCATCATAACAGTCAACCCCAAGGGGCAGTCGGAATGGGATTTCTCGACCTGCAGCAACACCTTCCTGCCGCACAAGATCCAATGTAATTTCTACGAGCTTGACCGGATCGCCTGGCTGATTCCGATCCTCTCCGCTGAGTCCTTTGAGCAGGCTCTTTGAAAATTCTGCGTACTCTGGGATGGCCGATGCCACGGTTCTGATGTTCCCGCTTGAAAGAAGTTTGGTCTGGAATCTCCCGGGTTCGATCATAAGCGTCTTGATTCCTAGGTGGGCTGTCTCCCGCCACAAGCCCTCCACCATGCCTGTTGCACATTCACATTAATCATGGGCTCAAACATCGGTACCATGGGTTATCGTACCTTCGAGAGCGAACTTGGATCCAGCATAGGCGCTGCACCCGGGGTGTCCAATCCAACCTGAAAGCGAACTAATGAAGACCAGCGTTCCCGTGCATCGCTGTCGAAAATGCGGCAGAAGTGCGCGAGTTACTTTGATTGTGCCGAAAACATTGGTGTCGAATTGCGCAAAAAAGTCCCTGTATCTATCATGAAATGGTGAGCACTCCGAATTCTAGCGATGTTCCTCAGCTCACATACTCGAGGTCTTCCCATGTGCCAATCGAGATGTAGGCTGCGTTATTCACCAGCACATCAATTCGGCCGTAAATGCTGATCGCAGCCGCTATCGTGTCTCGTATACTCTGTTCGCTGTCGGTGATGTCGAGCGGCAGAATGGCAGCTCCTGCTTGTTTCAGATGCTGGATCTTGTCAAGTTTCCGGGCGGTAGCAATGACCTTGTCGCCTCGCGCTATAATGCTGTGGACGAACTGTTCACCAAAGCCTGAGGAACACCCTGTGACAATCCAGACGAGAGAAGGCATTGTTTTGGAACTTGGACACTCGAATGAAAGGTGACGGCTCATGCAGCTCTCCTACGACAATGAATACCCACCACCAGTCTTTTATAGCCGCATCTCGACGGACAATGCCTCCTCCCATATTTCGGAACATTCCGAGTGACTCACAGGAGTCAATGTGATGAATGAGCCTGAACACACCACAGTTTAACGAAACCCAGCTCGAGGTCCCCAAGCACGGACGACGATTGATCTACTTGTACACAACTTGCGGAGTCTACGCACCGAAACCCTATCCCCGCTGAGCGAGGACGATTCGCTTCGTATTTCGGCAAGCCATTGACGCAAGGTTGTGAATTTTACGTGCACCATCAAAGATGCGATGTTCTTTTCTTGTACTCCGTATGTCCAGGAAAACGACACTAATGGTATGACTCACACTGCCCCGGGACCATTGCTCTACCAGCGACAATTGCGTAGACCGAGCGCAACTCACGAGAGAGAACAATGCCTGCGCCTCGGCATGGAACTGTTCTTCGACGTATTGCGTATCAAGAAGCTGCAGTGATGAGACTTGGTGTATCCACGCGGTGCTTGAAGGAGTCTGTCGCCAGTCTTCAAATTTAGAGCAAGTGTATGATAGCGAGAGATTGTCCAGGTCCTACGGCCCATCATGACCCCAACAATAACCACAAGAAATCCATATCTGTAGCGAAAGCGTAGATGGAATAATCCTCCATGAACTCAAGTTCGACCTGGATATCTCGAGAGTAATATGAGAATGGTTAGCTGACGGGACAAATTCGGGTTCACCGAGGATGAGGAGGATGAGGGTGAATGAGGAAGAGAAACCGGACCGAGGGAGACTACCTTGGGATAGCTCGGTAGGTACCTACGTGGTAGTCGTCGAGGATGGTGGGTGGATGGAGTTTTCAACAGGGCTTTCTTGGCTGACAGAATTAGCTCCGAGTTGCAGCTCGGTACAGCGGAGAACACGACCAACTACTGAAAGAAAGCTTCCATACTCGTAGCAATTAATTCGACTTAGCACTTGTTCCTGCGCACCATCGTCTCTACCGCCATTTCGGTTGAGGTTCTCGTTCCTGGTCTCGTCGGTCCTGTTCGATCCCTAATACCTTCCTCCTGACATACGACTAATTCGACCTTGGTCAGGTCCCTTTTCCTCAACCACCTCCCACCATGGCACCCATCACGGACGAAATGGTCGCCGACTTAAAAGACAAATATCACAAGCTAGAAGCTCGAGTATGGGAGCTCGAGGGCCGGTTGGCAGCTGATGGTGGCAAGCAATCTAAAGCCGAGTCGATGCGCATGATTCTCATGGGCCCTCCCGGCGCAGGTATGTCGCAGACCGAATACTTTCTACGCGTTCATTGACAGACCGGGTCCAGGAAAGGGAACACAAGCTCCCCGAATCAAAGAGAAGTACTGCATCTGTCATCTCGTACGTGTTTTCGGCCCTCTACCCCCCGAAGCGACCATTAACCTCACCGCAGGCCACGGGCGACATGCTTCGAGCACAAGTCGCGAAGAAGACGCCTCTGGGAAGAGAAGCCAAGAAGATCATGGATCAGGGAGGCCTAGTCAGCGACGATATCATGATCAACATGATCAAGAACGAGCTGGAAACGAACAGAGAATGTGCTAATGGGTAAGCATGCATGGTCCGCGGTCGCGTTGCTTGCTGACGTTCCCAGCTTCATTCTCGATGGCTTCCCTCGGACGGTCGCACAGGCTGAAGGACTTGACAAAATGCTCGTAGCCGAGAGCAAACCTCTGAAACATGCGATCGAACTACAAATTGACGACGGCCTACTGGTCTCGCGCATCACTGGCCGCCTGGTTCACCCTGCCTCTGGCCGAACGTACCACAAAGTCTTCAACCCACCCAAGGAAAACATGAAGGACGATGTTACCGGCGAGCCGTTGATCCAGAGAACAGATGACAACGCGGACACTCTTAAGAAGAGATTGGGAACATATCATCAACAGACCGCCCCAGTCGTGGGCTACTACAAGACCAAGGGTATTTGGTCTGGCATCGATGCCAGTCAGGATCCTGAGCATGTCTGGAAGAGCATTCTTGGTGTCTTCGGAGATTCAAAGGCTGCTTCACCATCTAGCAAAATCCTGAGCAAGATTGGATTGGCACGATAGTGGAGAAGTTCCAGGGGCTCAAGAGCAGCACAAAAGTGGATGATACTGCGTACTGCATCTGGTTCCGTCCTGTCGAACTCCGGCTGGAATGCAACAGGAAAGAGTCTCAACACTTGGGCCTTGTTTGCAGACGTGTACAAGATATGGGAATCTTTTTGGAGCCACAAAAGAAATTCTGGGTCTGGTGAGTGGAAATGCGCACAATGTCCTAACTGGAGTACATAGCTTGCGCCTATCGCGAGACGAATCAACGCAGCCTTATTCAGACATCGATAACTCCTATTCCTTGGTATTCAAGGGGAAAGCCATCCGTTTGAACAACCGTGAAATGGGTCACTGTCGTCTCGATACTGTTGGACGTGTTCTGTCTTACGTAAGCTCTTCGGCAGACCGGCATCAAGGCCGACAACAATGATATGGGAGCGGCTATTGGATTGAAACCTTCCGAGCTGGATTCGACTTCCCCTCAGGAGAACAAAGAAGAGATGTTTGTGTATGGCTGAATTGATATCAGGCTGAATATGTCGTGCAGCGGATCAAGTGCCAAAGCTGTCACTCTACCTTAACTACAGGTACTGGGTAAGCATGGTAAGGTATTCGATGACGTGAATCAGCTGGGTTTAGGCGATTGACACTAAACGGCTTTCCCCGCGATGTTTCTCCAACCACCAATTTCTATATCTTCCGTCTTCATGTATTCGTGGACGATTGATATTTACAGACATTCGAAAGGAGCCTGGAGTGTTGAAAGTCGCTGTCAACCCTACCGACAATGGCGACACCAAAGACTGTCCGCTGGGGCATGATGGGTAGGTACACGCTCTCTTGACTCTTAACCGGAATCCTAACCTGTATCTTTCTTGCAGCCACCGGTGGCATTGTTCGTACTTTCGCCAAAGATATCCTGATCGATCCCGCTACACGCAAAGTGTCGGACCTCAGGCATGTCATTACCGCCGTGGCATCCTCCTCGTCGGTTTCCTCCGCCGAGAAATTCATCTCCGAAGTTGTGTCCCCAACGCAATCTCCACAATGTACGCCCTACGGCTCCTATGAAGAACTTGTGAAAGACCCGAATGTGGACATCGTCTATATTGGGACCCCTCATTCCCACCACTACCAGAATGCAATGTTGGCGCTAGAACATAATAAGCCCGTTTTGTGTGAGAAAGCCCTTGCCGTCAACTCCAGGCAGGCGAAGAAGCTGTACCAGACCGCCAAAGAGAAGAATCTGTTTTTCATGGAAGCCGTGTGGACGCGATACTTTCCTCTGAGCAAGACCGTCAGGAAACACATCATGGATAATGACATCGGAGAGGTGGTTAGGGTCACTTCAGATCTGAGTATAGGCGCAATTCCCGAGGACAGTTTTGACGTGGGCCACCGTATGGTCAATCTGGACCTTGCAGGCGGCTGTCTCCTCGACTTGGGTATCTACTCTCTGACCTGGGTGTTTCAGACGCTATACCATACTTTGTCGCCCTCATTACGAGAACAAGGCCGACCAAGAGTCGTAGGTACAGCTGTCACTTTTGAGCCACGTACCCATGCCGACGAGTCGACGCTTATACTACTGGAATTTCCCAAATCCACACCAAGCGGCAAGACAAAAGCCCATGCCGTTGCGACGACGGCGATGCGTGTGAGTGACGATCCAGCCCGGGGTCATGGGAAGCCCGAGACAGAAGTCCCCGCGGTCCGGATACAGGGAGAGAAAGGCGAGATCCAAGTTTGGGGCCCTATATATAGACCGGTGAGGTATAGACTCGTGCCGAAGGACAAGAATCAACAGATCATCGACAGGAATTTTGAGTTCGAGGCTGGCGCGCACGGGATGATGGTATGTAACCCCAGAACTCGAGAGACTCCTGGCACTTACCTAGGTAATAGTGGATGTGAAACGAATAAAGTGCTAATGATCGGGTGTTTGTAGTACGAAGCCGATGCCGCTGCTCGAGCTTGGCTAGCTGGCAAACTCGAGTCCGAGTCAATACCGTGGGCGGAGAGTATCCTGATTATGGAGGTCATGGATGACGCTAGGAGACAAGCTGGTCTACAGTATCCTGATGAAATTGAGACGACCGAGTATCCTATCAAGTTGAAGGCTAGGGCCTCTTGATTCAGTACCTTTAGGAAGCTTCGATCCGAATTCCCAAGGGAAGGGAGCCACTGAACCTGGCACCTCGGTCGCCGATGAGATGAACATACATACACCTACACGATGAAAGTTATTTCCGATTGCATGCTGTGGGTTCTGGGAGCCTAATGCCACCCTCGTATTTAATCATGCACATGCTTTTGCGGTCCGTTGGCAGCTCTCCCAAGGCTGGAGAGAACATGAGTAAGCCCATTTCTGTGTCTCGTGGTGCCAAGATCTCGGTGAACATGTACAAGATGGTTCTTCTGGGCTAGAATGTCCCAAGACAAAGGCCAAGAAACAAGAACAAGAACCCGACTCTTCCGTGCATAGTAGGGTAGAGAACCTGGTTGACCGTGGCGAGTTTACTCCTGCTCAGCCTCCTGCGTCTGCGTCGTTCTTCTCCACGTGCCCAGGCCGGCGGTCCTTCTTTCTGTCGGTCTCTCCCCATCCTGATGAGCTCTGCCGCCAATCCCCTGCTCCCTCGTAACCTTCCGATCCGCACCCCTCGCGCGATCCACACGCACCGCACCGCCCCAGCTTCCCTCCTTGCCGGACAGTCGGTCAATAACGACGTCGACGTCCTCGGCCCTCGCCAGGTCGACGAAGCAGTAGCAATGGTTTCCCGGTTCACTCGCCTTGCTGGAATGAGGCGGGATGAGTTTCGACACGGCTGTCGGTACGATCTTCTCGTCGCCGCCGCTGCCGCCCAGGTAGGTCGCGAAGAGAGTCTGGATTTCCTCGTCCAGTGCGGATTGAGGCTCGATGCGCGGGAGGCCACCGACGTACAGTCGTCGCCCTTCGTTCTGAGGTGCTTGCCAGTGTGACGAGGCGTCGGTGCGGCTCCAGCGGTCGAAGGTGGGTTTGTAGTCCGTGCCTGTTTAAGTCGCACAAGACACGCCATCAGGTCAGTAACGCAGCATGCAAGACACTTGGGCACTTTGCAAGCATGGAACGATGAGTGTGGCGGAAAGGGAAGATGGTGGTCGAAGGGATGGAGAACTTACTTCTTTCCTCCCTACTCTCGCGCGCATATCCACGTTCGTAATTCCTCATTCGGACTTCTCGCCCACCGCTAGCACCACCCGTGCTGCTCTGGCCTTGACCTTGACCCTGACCCTGCGCTGATCCACGCTTGGCCACGCCTGGACTGACCTTCAACGCGCGCCCGAGCACATCGACGCCGTTCAATTCTGCAATGGCGCGCTGTGCTTCATCCGGCGTGTCGAGGTCCACGAAACAATAACTCGGATTGCGCCCGGTGAAGGGGTCTATCGAGATATTCACGCCGACGACGTTGAAGCCGCGCTCGGTGAAGAGAGCCTCGATATCGGCTTGTTGCGCCGTGTACAACAAGTTGCCGACGTACAGCCTCGTGCCGCCCGCCGAGGCATCCTCTGCGCCATTGCCAGCAGCGGACTGGGAGCCGGAGCCGTTCTGCGCGCGGTTGCTGTTGTATCGATTGTTCCGTGACTGAGACAACTGTTGCGGCTGCTCTGCGCGCGGAGACTCGTCTTTGACGCGCCAGTTCGTCGAGGCTGTGGAGCGGAAGTTGACGGGCTGGCGGGCTGGCGGGCCTGGGGACGGGGACGTGGTTTCGTCCATGGTTGATGTGATTGACTACCCCAGGTAATAATTCTCCGGACACAAGATGAGAGCAGCGCCGGCGGCGACCTTGCGTGGACAATAACTAGGGTACCTTACAAAGGTAAGTAAACAGAGGCCGACCACAGAAAGGTGGAGGTGGAGGTGAGGGCGAGGGTGAGGTTGGAACACCTGGAACCCGTCACGAGGCTCGGTGAATTGGATTCTGCAAATTTTGTGGAATTTGGGGGCGGTGCCATGCCAAGGAAACTACCTAGGTACGCAGATGATTAGGTGGGTTTTGTCATCTGGTAGTTTCTTGCTTTATGGGGCTAGCGTGGGTTCAAATGAAAACTAGTAGTACTCCTCTACTCATATCACAGTACCTTTAGGTACCGAGGTAGTCATTAGGAGGCTAGTACCTTAAGGTAGGTACTCTGTAAGCGTTCAGCACATGTATTGTCTGTTAGTACCTAGGCTTGCTAGGTACTAAGGTATATATGGCCTCTTACTTCCTCGTCCTCCTCGTTCTCATCTGATAGGTGGTATCTTGCTCTCTACATCATTGATCTGGCCCCAAGATCATCGGATATCAAGTCCCGAAGATCATTCTCCCTCCACGTCCACCCCCTCATCTTGCACGCTTGAACTCTCATGATCATCATTCCACGGTAGGAATGTCTTCTTCTCCGCCTTTATTTTTGAGGGCAGACTGTTCTCGTCTAGCAGTCTCATAAATATCTTCATGCTATGAAGACGTTCTAATCGACCATGATCAACGCGACTTGATGGGCGGCCTTCTACGGTTAATCTCTCGCCGGCCCAGCCTCGCTCCATGCTCATTAAGAAATGCTTCCTGCCATCTTTGGCCTTCACGCTGCAATAACCTCTTCCTTCACAGATCCTTGCAGCATCGTTCGAAAATGAGCACCAGCACTTCCGCTGCGTCGAGCGGAAACTCGACGACCTTCACTATTCTCTTACTGGGCGACCTGATGATCGGTCGTCTGATCGACGCGCTTCTGCCCACCAGCATCGCGCGGGAGCATCCCGAATCCTGTCCTGAAGATGCAGCACATACAGTGGACACATATATCCTTCCTAACAATCCTCAACTCAAGTCATACAACTACCGCTCACCATGGGGTAACGCGGTCGACTTGATCCGAAGCTCAGACGGGGTTCTTGTCAACCTCGAGACCGCACTGACTACAGGAACGACCCCGTGGCCAGGAAAGGTGTTCAACTATCGAAGCCATCCGGGCAACGTGAAATGCTTGACTGAAGTTGGCCTCGGTGGTGGTTCGCATAAAGCCAGTGTAAGTCTTGCGAACAATCATACGCTCGATTGGAGTAAAGACGGACTGGTTCAGACAGTACAGACCCTCTCAGACGCCGGCATCGAGTTCGCGGGAGCCGGGAGGACGAAAGAAGAAGCTGCTCAACCTGGTATTATTGAGCTTTCCGGAACCGATGGCAAAAAATGGGATGTCAAGTGTTGGAGTTTCTCCGACCACCCCACGGACTGGAAGAGCGAGGAATGTTTGAACTTGATTGATTATACAAGTAAGAGTCGTGACTTGATGAAGAGGCAGATCATGGCTGCCGACCAGACCAAAGATTCGAAGAAGACTAGTGGCTGTCTTGGATTAAAAGTGGTCTCCATGCACTGGGGCCCGAATTATCGCTGGCATCCGGCACATGAGATTGTGGCGACAGCACATTGGCTGATCGACGAATGTGACGTGGATCTCATTCACGGACATAGCAGTCACCATGTGCAAGGCGTTGAGGTGTACAAGGGAAAGTTGATCGTATATGGTTGCGGAGATTTTGTGGATGACTATGCAGTCGACGCGCAATGGCGGAATGATTTGAGTGCGGCTTGGAGGGTTACTGTTGGCGAGAAGGAAGATAGACCTGATGACAGGCTGGAAGTGAAGAAATTGGAAGTGTTTCCAAACAGGATCCGGAAATTCCAGGCCAACTTGCTGAAGCCCGAGGATCAAGATCATAAGTGGGTTGAAATGAAATTTCGTGAACTGTGCGGGCGGTTTGGGACCAACGTCGAGCATGACCTAGGTCAGGATTGGCAGTTGGTGGTTGACATGAAGAAGCAGCATCGTCAGGAGGTCGAGAACTGACATGATACAGCCCATTGACATGAGAAGGATCACAAGCTTGTGTGTACTATAGTACAGTTCCGAAAAATCTGCCATGTGAGCAGTCCCGCCATCTGGAATGTCATAGACTTCAAGTTGGTGCTGAAGTTCTAGTTGACAATGTTTTGTTTTGTTCTGTTCTGTTCTGTTATAGAGAGCTCAATCGTGTTTGATTTTCCCGACTCACAAGGTGTCCTTCACCACCTGTGATATGGCGGAAGCAGAGCCTGAGAAAGCCATATTGTAAACCGAGGAGACTGTCTTTGAGGATTGCTACTTCCGCAGGCTTTCATCGTTGAATGTTGCGAGGCAACCCCTGCAGCTTTTTACCTACCTTCATCAAATCGGAAGTCTGCCATGACTCACTCACCTTCACAAACATTGACCCCTGCATCGTTTTCTCGACAAGAACTGGACTTCCAAATACTTAACTATCACATATTCCTGGAGGTATCTTCCTTGATCTTCATCACGGGGCACACTCACGCCCCATGCTGCGGTGGCCAACCTTCATCATCACGACCGGTATTCAATCTCCCACCATTCTATTACCTCATCAGAGACATGGGTCACGTCGAGGCACAGCCCCCTTGTCCACGTATATGAGGGTCTGATGGCACAGCTCGGTCCAAAAGGCCGGGAAAGACTCACAACGGCTGTCAGACAATATTTCGGACCCTCAGTGGCCCAGCGCGACCCGATCGAAACCCTCATACGTGTTCTCATAGTCTCGGCCCCGCCAGCAGTCTAGGACACTTGATGAAAGGAAGTTGGGATTGTGGGCTTACAGAATGGGTAGAAAGAAGGATGATCTTGTCGTTAAAGGTGCTTATGTCAAACAATCGCTTTCAATAATGAATGGCAGCACATGATTTTGGTGACTATTAGCGTTGACAGAAGACTCGCTTCTGAGAACAGGGGTTAGGATGAGGTCTTTGGTGGGTATGCCTGGGATGCCCATGAGCTTCCACGATGGATTTGAAAACACATTGCCAGACAAAAGTTCCATCATTCTCCAGTGCAAAGGCGTTCCAACTGCGAGTGTCTAAGCGACATAGAAAGCAGATGTTGCCCTCTGTCGACATAGGACCGGCACGGACCGGGCAACAAAATACAACACAGGATACACTCGTCCAGTGTAAGTTTTGCCATCGCCTGGTCGACCACCTACTGTGTTACTGTGGTAGCATTTCGATATTGAGGGCTGAAGAAATTGTCTGATTTCAGAGTCGCCTTTGTGGAGTTGAGTTTGACGCGGCTGCAATTTCTGACACGCCCTCCGTTTGGGTTGAGGCCATCCGCGGAACAACAGGGGTGTGGCTCTCGAATTGCCCTGGCTGGCAGAGTGGACATGTGCACACAGTAGTCCATGGTACTCGATGGTACTCGAAGTAAATGAGCAATGACTCCGGACAAGAGGGCACAGCACTGACAGTCGATAGAGATGATCTGTGGATATTCTCAATTGTGTAATTGAGAGAGCCCACATCCACGGACAGTGCATCCGTCGTTAGGCTCTCTTCAGTAAATAATATTTTCCTGCTGCTACCCACCACCGAGTGTCTAGCCTCCGGATCAGGGAAGAGAGGTGACACACCCAAAGTCTGTGATAGAGTATTTGACAAACACTCTCCTATAGTAGCTTAGATCGAGATGAATTCTCGATATCCGAGCTCGGGATGAAAGCTGTGGGGGAGGTCAAGGACCATCAACTCGGCGTTCAGGATCGTTATAGCTCTAGCCTATGATGATTGTCGTTGGGGATCGCAATCTTCGAGAGGATCCGTGGCCGTTTTTCGGTCAACGATCGTAAGTGTCTGCTTGGACCTCCGCTCGTCCCAGAACCTCCACAGACCACTGACAGACCGCTTGCAAGGACATGATGCACTGCCACCATGAAGTAGGGGTGTGTAGGGGCCACACCGGGCCAGCAGGGCCAAGACGAACATCTCGACCATGGCAATGGACGTAGGTTTCCGGGGGCAGACAGAACACTGGCCAATTGGCGGTTGGGGGTGTCAGTTTGACATGTTGCTCTATGGCGCGGCAAGTCGGGTATGGAATTCGGTACAGCTTCTCTCGGCCTGCGTCATGAGACTAGTAGTAGTAGTAGTCCGAGTAGTCCGTACCCAGGTAGTTGGAAATATCGGCAGTCAGAGAGTGAACACTGAACAGCAACAGTAACAGTAACATCAAGCAATAAGAGTGGATCAATCCAGGAGATCAGATGTATCACCACCAGTCTGCTAGTAGCCGGCATGGTCTCCGAATTCGTAGGTACTTTTGCGATGGGCGAGGCAAAAGATCAAGACTGATCACCGTAGGATTCATCAGGGAGACGACCATGGCCTGTGAGACCCTCTTCGGCATGTGTTGGCGTGCCTGGGGAGCCTAAAAGATGACCCAAGTGGGAACGTGCAAAGGGACCTGCGGCGTTGTGGGCGTTGACTCGTTCAGCCCGAAGTCATGGTTCCTCTCAATTGCCCCTCCTTTTCAAAAGAACCCAACCCCCCTGCCAGTCTGCTAGATGCGTGCTGCCATCATCCGTTCTCTTGCTGGGCGTTTGCGTGGCGACAGGGAAGTTCGCAGGGAAGACACCAAGAGGACCGCGACTACGACCTCATCGACTGCCCGTCTCATTGGACCACTGCCACCTAACTGGGTTTCATTATTATTCACATTATTCACCTGTCCTCGTACTACGAGTATGTTAATGCGACCACTAGACAGCATCCTTGACACTTGCAACAGCTCCCTCGGCGACCCATTCCATCCCTCGTACAGACTGACGGACCGGTGACCCATAATATCTGGGCTTCCAGAACTTCCATTTCGCCCAACTGTGCCCACTGACTCGATCGGCCAGTTCAGCACCATCAATCTCGGCTTCCCAACTTACTCTGCACCAACTCCAAAGGATCTCATCCCTCTCAGTCACTGGCCTAGCTGTTGAATCTGGGTTGGGTGGCCTCGCACACCCTCCAGCTGCTCAAGGCGAGATCTAGTCAAACCGGGAAGTCCGCTCAGCTGCCCTCACAACGCGCATCTCATCGCCGTCTTTCATTGGAAACACGCCCCGGCACGCCCTGGAGGTGTCGTCTTTCCCATCTCCAGTCCTTTGTGAATCTTCGATACGATGCTATAACCTGTCTCGCAATCCCCGCCGTTCGTTGACCGGGTTCGAATGGAATTGGCCGCCATGGCCTCGGCAGAAGCGTCGCCCGTCGACCGCAAAGGCAAGGCCACCAAACGTTCTTCCAATTCTTACACGAGCGAAGAGTGGCGACGACACCGACCCTTGATCACCCAGCTGTATTTCGAAGAAGGCCGCACGCTCAAGGATGTGGCTGAATACTTGAAGAAAGAATTCGATTTTGCTCCCACGTAGGTACTTTTGTTGTCTGTCCCGCTGATCCCTCCACTAACCCACTCGGAAGCGAGCGTATGTACAAAAGTCGCCTTCACACATGGGGGCTGGACAAAAAGAAAAAGGAGCATGAAATGCTGGATCTAGTCCGTCAAGGGTTACAACAAAAGGGCGAGGACAAGGATAAAGTCTTTCTCGTGCGAGGGAGACAGGTGACCCTCGCCGACGCCTTGCACTACTTCAACCGTAAAGGCATCAAAGATCCTTCCAGCTTGCTAGAACCTCAGGCCGATGGCTCCGGAGAACTATCATCTCCTGAAGATCCGGATGCCAAAACACCCCTCTCTTTCGACGACGATATGCTGGACATGCCTCAAGACGCCTCTGACTACGAACTCACCCGGAGTCCTCTAGAGATGGACGGCCACGACAAATCAACCCTATCTTTAGCACTCAAGCCATCCGATGTAGCTGAGAGACGCCTGGCCTCGTTACAGCAAGCATTGAATATACCTCATCTGCCACCCATGCCACCGTTCAGAACGTTGGCGGTTGAGTCGACCGTGGTGCAGCCGCCCAATCTGTCGCAAGCAGACCAACGTTATCTGGACCTCATCTTCCAGAACATGCAGAAACATTACATGAACCTATTCACCGCCCGAAACTTGTCGATCCGCAATACCACGGGGACATGGACCGCCACTTCCGACGACGCTCTTGCCGATCGCTTTTATTATTCAATGTACCATGGCTATTCATTTCTGTGGAACGGCCAAAGGGACCGAGCCTTTGACAACTTCTACAAAGCCTTCGCTTTGGTCGAAGGCTTACTGAAAGATGATCATGTCGGCTTCATAATCTACATCTTCGACTTGATCATCCGGCATGATGGTACCGGCTACGAAGAGCCACTACTGATGCTGCTACAACATCTCGCCGACATGGCCAAAGCCGTCTTCGAATCAGAAGAACATCCAATCTTTTTAATCGCAAATTATATGAGTCACGCCACGACGTCGCGAGCATGGTTGGCGGAATCCACCTTACGGAGGTTGCTCGACTTTTTCCAGGACAGTATAGGGTATTTTCACCCTGAAACCATTGCGCTGTTACAAACATTCGCGACCGGCTTGATGAATCGCCAGAGGTATGCGGAAGCTGCGGTGAGGTTCCAGCAACTGGTGGATGCATTTGAGACGACCTTGAACAAACAGTGCTACGAAGTGTGCTACGCATTACGTTCCACGTCCGAAGCATATTTCCACATGGAGCAATATCAGCAGTCGCTGCAGGCCTTGAAAGCCGCACTCGAAAGGGCAGAGACACTGCCTCGACCGGAAGAACGGGAAATATACGTCCGATGTCTAAGAGGAATGGCCGAGATATGCAATAAACTGGGACGGCGAGAGGAGGCTGTTGAGACAATGCAGCAGGTCGTTGATATTTGTCGAGATGCATTCGGTCCTGAACATCCATTCACCAACCGTGCCAGGATGCACCTCAAATCCATATCAAAAGGCGACGTTATGAGCGATGCAGCCATTCCACCCATGGTCTACCGTTTAGGTCGTGGAGGAAGTGCTGCCAAGTACATCTGGATTTCAAGGTCAAGCCCAACAAGACTGCAAGCTTGAGACCAAAGAAATGTGAACAGCATCACGACCGGCACGAGTTCATGACCAAAATTTGATTCCACTGTCACCGCATTATATATCTGATGGCTCCTTCGATCGACCATCTTGTCACCCAAGGGGGAATGTGGGAGGCGGATGTTCTGGCCCTGAGGCCAGAAATTCAGGACGCCAACTTCGGGCTCTTTGACCATCCGGCGGTCGAGTCCAGTATGGTGACTATTTCCAGCCTCTGGCACCCGGGCACTATTCTAACCGGCCAACAGTTTCGTGGCGGCCCTCTTGTACGAGACACGATTCTGAGGGGTCAGCAAGGCCGGACATCTTACATGTGAGGCTGCAAGGAGGTTCTTGAAGCAAGACAAGTTGGTGGGATGGAGCACGAGATGGGTTATTTTGGTAAACGTCGCGGGCGAGATTGGCTGGTGGTTTGCCATGGTGAGCGCTAGCCTCCAGACCAAGCCCGGGCGCCCGGAGCCAAACACCGCTCTGGGCAACCTCGACCGCCTGCAGCTCACCCCCTAGGCTTCCGCAGCTAGCCACAATTAGCGCCCACGGCCCATCATGGCCACTGGTTAGTGCCCGAGAGACGACCTCAATTCCAGCCAAGTTTCACCCCGCCATTCATCCCTTTCGTTCTCGTTGGCTAGGTTGCTGCCGCTGCATTCCTGGCGTGGCACGCACACGACTTGTCTCGTCCATCATTTTGGACAATGATCCTCATACGCTACACCGAACCCGTCCGCACATCGATGCATCATGAAGGGTAAGACTTGGTACCATCATGTACGAAGATCTCCTTTGGAGACACCAGCATGGGAAAATATCAAGGCCGCGCACAACAAATTCTTCTATCCATCAGTGACCACACAGCCACGAGCTGAACCATTGCTCTCCACATTGCCTTGACGCAGCCTCTTTATTGCCCCACCAGCGCCCTCTTTCATTTCGTACAACAAGAACAGAGCCGCGCAGTCTTCGGCTCCGGCTCAATCTGAACCGTCTTTGGGCGGTGTTGATTGTTGACCGTGGTTATTGACCTATTAATCTTCTCCTTCATTACCTATAGCCGCTCGACACCGCTTGTTGCCTCCAGTCCATTGACCTGCGTACGAACCTGAATCGCCCACCATGGCCACAGAGAAATACTACATCAAGGACGCAATCAAGAAACCTGCGGTCCACCACGAGTCATACCAGAAATTGTGGGAGACGAAATGGAAGGCGCCTGTATGTGCATGAGAGCACTGAGAACGAAACGAGGTATTGACAAAACGTCAGTGCGAAATGGGTGTCTACCCGTTCATGTTTGGCACCATCAAGGACTTTGAGCCCGTTGCGCAAGAAATTATCAAGGTATGTCACCTTGTACTGGAGCAGACACTGGACAAATGCTAACTTTGAAGTAGAAAGGCCTGAAGGAGCCCTACGACTGGGACGAATATGCGCAGATGTACTTCCCTAAAGCCGAAGAACTAGCCAAGATTGCCGAAGAGGCAGAAAAAGCTGGTGAGAAAGAGAAGGCTTCAGAATACTACCTGTGAGTTGGCCAGGCTGGGTCCGGTTAGGTGAAGATTGTTGACACCCTCTCAGGCGAAGTTCGGCCGTCTACCGCATCTCACGATTCCCTGCTCCTCGGTCGGAGCAGCAAAAATATGCCTGGGCGAAGGGAAAAGAAGTATTCTACAAAGGCGCAGGGTTGGTTCTCTGCAACGTTGCCTGAAGATCTGGACACTGACAGAGCGCAGCCTGATGGAGCATCCCATCACCGAAGTCCGAGTTCCTCATAAGCATGCCATTGAAGGCGAAGGCGACGTCGTGCCGATCAACTTCCTCCTTCCATCCGAAGCCTCCCCCGAGAAACCTGTTCCCTGCGTCTTTATTATTACCGGCCTCGATGGCTATCGGACGGAACTCGCTGTGTGGCAGCAAGGTTGGCGGTCGAAGGGTGTGGCCACTATCATCGCCGAGATCCCCGGCACTGGCGATTCACCTGCTCTTCCATCAGATCCCACAAGTCCTGATCGTCAATGGTCCAGTGTTCTGGATTGGCTGGAGACACAAAAAGCCATTGACAACAAGAAGATCGTGGTTTGGGGGTTTTCGACAGGCGGTTACTACACCCTTCGTATGGCGCATACTCACAAGGACCGATTACTGGCTTGCATCAGCTTGGGAGGCGGCGCGCACCATATGTTTGACCGCGAGTGGTTGGAACATGTGAACAAGTTGGAATACCCTTTCGATCTGGCCAACACACTGACGTACAAATTTGGTTATCCTGACTTGGAATCATTCATCAAGGATGCCGGCAAGTTCTCGTTACTGAACGATGGGACCCTGGAGAAGCCATGCACGAAAGTGCTGCTCGTCAACGGTAACAATGACGAAATCTTCCCGATCGACGACATGTTCGTCGCCCTGGAGCATGGCCAGCCCAAGTTGGCCAGAATGGTCAAAGGCAAGAAGCACATGGGTGAGCCGGACAGTTTCTTCATCATCCTCAAATGGATCCACCAGCTGTTGGGATTGGATGGCAATTTCATGGACCAGATGAAGATGCTGCCTTCACGGACGAAGTACTAGTAGCATTTCCCTTGTCTTCCCTTGGTTAGCGAAGCGGTCTTCATGCATAGCTGGCGAGGCGACAGATATTATATCGATGCTAGACGATTTGGCAGAATATGCCCAAGGCGGTTGCATTACCCTTTGCAGACCTGGCTGGCCCCTTGCTGTCACCTTGTTATCTTCTTGCAGAGACTTTACAGACCCTCACAGCCACTGGCATTGACTCGACCGGAGCAACGTGGCACGGCGCTGTACTATCCACGTCCACGCACGTCCTAAGCCTCTTCCATTCGCATCCGCTCCAATCACTCGGTGCGCTCTCTTGATGCGGAATGCTCTCGATAACGCCATTCCTGTTGGATGCTAGAGTCCAGATAAGCATTACCACTTGCAGTAGTCAGTCCGACTCGCCGACTCTCGTGGTGGCCTCGGTGGTCCAAGCACTTCCGTGACGTGCACGCGGTCTCGAGATCTTGATGTTTCAGTCCCAACGAAACCTTGCTTTGAGATACCTCATAAAAGGAGGGGTGGACGGCCTCTTCATGAGACACGAATCGTCTCGTCGCTGTTTGTATTTTGCGTGAATTGCTGGCCTCTGCATTCCTACAATCCGATTGGGATTGGTTCTGCGCGTCATCCCCAGTCTCTCACCTCGGCCCAGAGGAGCCCGATCGTTTGTCCTGCTCACACTCCGATCTCGTGTTGCCATCTTGAACGTTCGAAGTCGTCACAGTGTCCCGACGCTTCGTCTTATACCTGCCTACGACGACCAGTCTGGAGACTCCATTTTTTCTCGCCTTCATCCACCTCTCCCACGCTTCACTTGGAGGCTCATCCTTCGACAAGACTCGAATGAACAAAGTCCGCATCCCCAAACAACCATGGTCACTGTAACAAGTGTTCTTCGGCGTTCCAGTACCGTCAACTTCTTCGAAAATGGCGGATCGAGCGGAGAATCCTCGAGACGACCCTCACTTGCGGATGCACCTTCCTCGCGACGACCTAGTCTAGCAGGCTTGTCCCTTCGTCTGGCCCCTCGATCTAAAAGAGCCAATTCTTCGAAGGACGTTGATACCCTTTCAGACAAGGCTGCGTTAGTTCTGCTTGCTCATGAAGAGACGCGATAAGCCAATGCTGACTTTCAGCAGGCAAAGGTTAGGCCAGGCCTTCTTTTCACTACCCGACGAGATCAACGTCCATATTCTATGCTACCTCTCCCACGCCGATATATTCGCCCTACGCCTCACCTCACGTTCTCTCTATTCCTTCCTTCAGTCCCACGCCTGCCCGATAACTCGCGCAGTCCTCGCCCAATGCGCCTACGACCGTACCGCAGATGAAAGCGAAGAAGACAATCTGGTTGAGCGAAGAGCGGAATACAGTTATAATTTCATTCGAACTCTCTACCCGCAGCCGACGCCATGCACATCAATGGACTATCTCCTACAGATGCTGAGAAGGCAACACCAAATCGATAAGATGCTGTCCGTCACCCTGAGCTTTGTCCAGATGAGGATCTACATGATGCCGAGTTGTCCTCGCTTCGAGGACTTCCGACCATACAAGAGAAAGCTTACTCGGCGAATGCATTTGGCTGCGTGGACGATATACCATTTTCTGGAAAACTACAGAGATATCCTGATTTACGCACATCCAGAACATCACCCTGTAGGAGAGGATCATTTCGCAGAGGGGTCACCTCCTGACGAACCAGCCTTGCCGAGCTTATCGTCATGTCGGCAGTGCAACGAGTCTCTCAAATCTGTGCTTCGCTCATATCCTGGTACCGAGATCATACCAGCCTACCACTTCTACGACCTGTGCCGCCAACATCTGCGTGCTCTAAGCCGAGCACCAAGTTATGCTGGCACAATCGAGCGGCGGCTACGGGGGTGGAGTCGAAAATGCCCCACAGAAGCAGATCTGGCTCTTTATGTCATATTTGGTGGCATCCCTGAGCTGTCCAAGCTGAGTATGCTCAAGGGGAGCTACAGTCAGCGGATTGACGCAATTGCCGCATTTACCGACAAGGTCACAAGCGCTGCAATTTCGAACACCCTTGGTCCCCATGCTCGTGCGCCGCAATACGCCCCCTTTACTGAGGAGAATACACTGCTGCCGTCTGCTTCGTTCGATCGCTTGACAAATTCTCTCAATGTACCATTCACTGCCATCTCTCATGACAGTGTCTCATCAATCCCGATCTTTGACCGGTTCATCAGTGCATCAGATGAGTGGATTACCAGAATGTTTGAACTGGTAAAGCAAGAAAATCAGATAGTGACTACTTTTGGCTTCGTCCAGAACGTTCTGGCAGGGAAGCAGGAACCGCCTCCGCCGAGCAGAGGAAAGCTTGATGGGGAAGTTGAGCGGCTGACCGAGGGTGGCGACTTCGACTTTCTGGCGCCAGTCAAAGGGTTTGATTGAATTCGTGGGAAAAGAATCGAGAGTGCTCTGCGGTGAGTGCTAGTCTCTGCACAGGCATTACGTGAATGGAGCTCAGGACTTGATGGAATGTATCAATAGCTACGAAATAAATAGACTTTGAAGAGTGTATGTGCTGACGCCTGCGACAGGGTGAAACACGGATGACTCTGTTTCTTGACTACCTAGGTACGGTGTCCGAATTGAATCATGAGTATGACTGTGCTGAATTTGATCCTGGCGAATTCGGCTCCCTCGATACTTATGTGGGAAAGGTACAAATACCCCTGACCTCTCACACTCACAGTCTGCTATTCTTTGATCCGGACGAATATGATATATTTCCCTTCCGTTGTTGGTCTTCCCTTCTGGTCTGGCATCACTCCCTTCAGATATGTCGCAGTACTTTTGTGCTTTGCACTCGACGATACTCGACATTATGCAAGTCAGCGAAACTTCGGTGCAATCATACCTGGCCATCTATATGCCTGATCCTTTCCTGCCCGAAACTTCGCCGGGTTTCGCACCGGAGACGGTCCTAGTCCGGCTCGGGAGCCGGCGAAGACCTACGATATCGACAAAGGTAATAAATATGATGGCCGCTGGCCGAGCTCGGGAGAGCATGGCATCTTCTTCTCCCAGTCGACTTGCCGCCGGCCCTTTTGGTTTGGGGCTTTCGTTTCGGAACAGTATTCCCAAGGGATAGGATGTTCCCATCCAGACACACTCCCATGGTCCTGCGGGCTATGCTATGACTGCAAAATTCTCGCCTAGAGGATCAAGCAAAGTGACGACAGGTACCGGAAGCTCAGTCACGGCGAGAGTCGAGGAGTTTCGGACAGCACAAGCAATGCCAATCGTCTTACGAGATGGGTGTTTTGTGAGATTACCCATTGCAAAACGAATACATCTCTATCAACCATCAAAAGTTCGTCACCAATATCATGGAAGTGGAACCTCTCCCTCCGGCTGGGCCCTTTTTGGGGCATTCGGCTTTGCTTTTGGTGCCAGGCGGAATAACAGTATCGCAGCTACATCACATTATACAACACAGACATCAAGATGGCATCCTTATTCGAAAGGTTGCCTCTGAATACTACGTGCTGGAAGACATATTCGTCGGCCCTGTGCCGTGGTGCTGCAGCATGAAGCGTAGCGAGGTGATAGCTACGAAACCAGAATTGATGCCGGGCTCTGTTGCGGTGTCAAGTTATGGCTTTCCCGGCTGTCTGCGTATATGGCCGTTTTTGTGTCCGCGCCATATTGCACGGATCCAGCGTGCTCGGTTACGTTCCCAACCAAATGGTAGCAACGATTTGATCCAATTGCCCGGCTTGTACAGTGACTCTGCACCGGTTATGGAATGGCGTGGTGCAGTCCATCGCAGATAGTACATTCAAGCAACGCCCCTCAGTGCCTGTTCCTTGAGCAGATGGCCAACGCCCCGAACGCACGGTCGAAACAGGGGCTCTCCGGCCCACTGTTTCTGACATGTTCCTTTTCTATCAATATGGCAGAATCGGTCCTTGTGCTTTCTTGCAAGCCCTGCAGTCTTGCGACTCGCGACTGCTACAGTTCAAGCAACCCAGGCACTGTTACAGCCGAGTTTTCTGGTGGTAGTTGGGATCGTTTGGTGTTAGGCGCAAGATCGTCCCTAACGTTCCCGTGTTGGGAGGAGCAATGGCAATGACAGCGATCGATCACCAAGTCGTCACTCGTTAACATCCCTAAACCTGCTGATATGGCACGCAAAACAAGAACACCTTGGCCGCCTGCAAGACGAAAGATCGAAACCCCGTGGAGAAGATCGACAACGGTATGACCATCCAAGGCAAGCCGGGGACGATACGTTATAGTAGATATATATACATTCATGGACTGAAAGTGTCCAGGAGCTTGGACAGACGACTATCCGGTCGGATACCGTATAGTCCTGTCAGGCAAATGATTTCGTGACCAACGATCGCAACGGGAGTGGTGAAGAGTCGAGTCCTTCCAGGAGTAAACGCTCCAGATGTGGTCCTGGAAGTTGAGCCTCTGCCGGGATATCAATCCAGCCAGAACCGTCGTGGCGGTCATTGACAGTTCTCGTTTCAACTTTGATCGCCCAGCCCAGAGGATTTCGACGAAGAACTGATGCCCTCTAGGGGTCAATGAAGAAGAAAACGTCGGTGCCCTATAGGGGTCAGGGGAGTCAGGGGAGTCAGGACTCTTTTCCGAGTACAACAACCCTGGGTGTCTAGTGTCTGAAGCCATGCAGATGGAGCATTTGGACGAGCCCGTGGACCACGAAGAAGATGGACATTGCAATTTGCGAACACGAACACCGAAGTCCGCGAAAAGTCAAAGGACACCGGGTGTCTCGAGCACCTATATCCGAGGAAGACGTGGAGTCGTTCCTATTGGACGAAGCAGCTCTCGTGAAGGTCAAGTTCGAGGAGTTTCTGAACACGGGTGACAACAGCATCGGCCAAACCAGCAACATCGCCTTCGCCGAGCCACAACTCCGCGAACACGATGACGACTATCTGAACCCGTCCAAACACAACCAAGGCCCCCTTCCATCAGAGAAGTTCTGGAAACTCAGAGCTAACGTCAGTAACATCAGTGCTGCGACGCCCATCTACGAAGAGGGATGCGCGTAGCTTGGGTATCCCACCGAGTACACCGCGAGAGGACAGATTGAGATTAAACATCCTGACCTTAGAGTGCCCTCTCTATATCGACCCGAGTGCTAATAGACAATGTTAACGACGTGGATGCTCAATATAGAGGACGATCGCTGTTAGGCGGCATTCTTGGTAGCGACTGCGGCCTTGGGAAAACCTCCACGGTATTCTAAGTTATCTACCACTATGCTCTGCACGGGGTCGAGTAGGCCAAGGCTGGCAAGCTCTGCGACACCCGCCCAAATTTCATCATGGTTCCCTCTTCTCTGGTCGACAACTGGTCCGCAGAGTCAGCAATCCGGTTGAGAAAATCAGCGTCGCAACCCCAGCCCTACCACACGATGTTGAGACCGGAACCAGCCGGCTTGCGCCTTCGAAGTTTCTACACGTCTGTCGCAAAAAGGGCTGCCAAAGCTCTTTCACTCGATGCTGCGGTGTGCCTCAGTCAGAGAATCCGGCGTCCAGATGGAAAGAGAAGAGCTTTTTCCCCCATCAGAACACTGAGTCGCTAGCCCAAAGGGCTTGGGATATTCACAATGCTGAACAGAAATGACAGAATCACGCACAATCAAGAATTAGAGAAGACTCAATATGTGGGTGTCGGATAGGTTGATGGAAATCCCTCGTTTCTGGGAGAGTCCTGGTAAGGATGAAACCATGGCTGATCAAGGTTCATCCGTTCTCGTTATTAGCAGATTGTTCACGAGCAGTTGTGGACCTACAATTTCGTGCACTGACCCGATGCCCAGTCGCCCGCTGAAGTGGTAGGAGGTAAGTCTTGAATTGATATCTGCCAGCAGGGCAGGGGCTGACGTTGCTTTTACAGTGAAACTTATGCGGATTACAGACACAGGATGGCGAGAAGCGGGCACTGATTCTTGTCCTGAGGCATTAAACGGAGATTAACTGCATCCCGACTGTGGTCGCGTCCCTTCGGAGGACCTGAGACACTTTGGAACCATACCTGCCGTGTCCTTCCACACCATTTCCAGAGTGCAGAGCTGCGACCAACCTGGTGAGAGACGTCACCGGAGCTTACAGTACCTCATCACAACTGTGGTCGCTTTCCTCCGTTTCCTTCGGAGACAGGAGCCAACATTCAAACAGCTACTAGAGAATCAGAAGCTCGTCTTTGGCCACGACAAAGTATGCACGCGAATCCGGCAAGCCATGACTGGGGCTAGGAGCTTCTTATCAAAGTCAAGATGATTATACCCTCAAGGGGTGATCGAGCAGCACGGCAGAACGCAACGGCTGCCTCTCTCCACCCAGCGCAGCAAAATGGAGCAGAAGACATGAGGACTGGCCTCTTCTCCTGTGTGCTCTGTCACTGAGATCTATCTGATCGGTGTGATATATATACTGTTGCGTGACGAGAGAGGCTGCCTGGCCAGTGCTTCCATACCCGAAAGGATTCAAGAATGGCGTGGTAGGTTAGTGTCCCAGTTGGTCATGACAATTTGATGCCCCAAAGGTCATGGAGCAGATGGATTTCATACAGTCTGGGTAGGATCGCTACCTATGGCCGGGTTCTTCTTGCCTTGGTAAAGACGGTATCTGCGGAGAAACCAGCACATTTGGGCGAGTGACAGCTCGCTCATACGGACGTGTGGTCTCCAGCTGACCATTGTGACCGATACGATTACGCCACAACAGGGCGTGCATCATGACTGGATTCACCGAAACTGTTGGACTTAATCGGCAACTTAGAGCATGTCTCCCATCAATAAACCAAACCGAAATCCGAAACAATTGTCGTGTGGTCCTGATTCAGAACAACCACGACGGTCTTGGTAGCCGAGGAAACACACGCAAGCAAGGGATAACTCACAAGAAAGAAAGAAGACACCATTCCAAAACCTGCGGTCCCATCGCCTGTGGGCAGGACTCCCAACTGGAGGCAGCGGAGCAGTCTTCACCAGCCGCAGAAAACGGCCTTCGACCGGCGCGGACGATTGACTTCGTCAGACATACAAACGTGTTTCGAAGACTTTCTGAAGCTATAGGGTACGGCCTCCGAAGGATGACATGGATTCGAGCCGAGAAATACCAAAGGGTCGCAACGTGGTCCATCTCTGCAAAATTTTGCGGTCAGGATTTGAAGTGGACGAAGAAATCCTCAGTAGCTGCCAGCCCAGGGAAAGGCGCGCTGAACAGTCCCGGGACCAGGGCAACGGAGACGTATACCTGGTACACACAGCATTCTTTTGATGCTGACTGAGTTACATGCCAAAGTGTGACTCTACAAGGCCATCAAAATGAGAGACATTTGGTACCCCAAAAGCCTGAAGCTGAACAAAGAACGTGTCCAATCGCATTGGAGTCAGAGCACATTCTGAGGACCAACAAGGGCGAAGGTGTACAAGCCGCAAACTTCAAGGCAAGTAGAGAGAAGAACTTGGAAGCGCAGAAACACCAGTGCACTGTCTGCAATCTCACCTTCCCCTCGAAAGCGAGGCTTTCGCAACACCAAGGCACTCAACGCCACATCCACGCCCTCGCGCCGTTTGGTTCGAAATGCACGGCGTGCCGGGGCACAGATTCACCCAAACAAGGCTGGCACCAGGCTTTGCTGGCTCACTATACAATAATCTTACCCAACGAATATTCCGACCGTCCGGCGCCGTTGTCGTCTCATTAAAGACTACTTTCGCTTGCGTGTTTTGGGCCATGCGGAACCGCAATAACTGATGTCATATGATTTCGGTCACCGTGGGCCCTGCTATCAAATGATTCGAATGGAATGGCCCATGCCATTGACGGAGACTCGGAGAGGACCGAGGGAAGCGCCAATTTTCGAGATCTTTAATCATACCCCAGCTGGTCCTTATTCAGGATGCTATTTGATGCACCCAGTTTCGTCGTCAATAACATGCCGGTCGCAGGACGCGGAGGGGTTTTCAAGTCCCTGGATTGCAACAACGTTGCTAACACCGACAATCGTGCAATAACATCTGCGCATCTCTAGACAAGCGATTGAACTGCAAATGGCGCCCACCTGGCAGCATCATCACTATCACCCGCCTGCTAATCCCCCAGCTTACCTGCGGCCGCAAGAACGATATATCTGCCCAACCTGGAACAAATTTTTCCCACCGAGCTCCCTCAAAATCCACATGAATTCCCGCACAGGATTACCTTGAGAATGGAATCGAGACCACCAACTACTTCAATGAGGGCACGGTTGATTTCGAGTCTCAAGAAGTCAATCTTCCAGATGTCGCTGATGCCATTCATCAAAGGGGAGGAGCGAATGAGTGGATTGTGCACCGGGCCTGGGCTAAGCGCATAGCTGCATATCTGCACCACGTGCCACATCTAGGTGCGTTCCTGCGCCAGCAGGCTCGACCGAAAGGTCAAGCACGCAACTCAATAGTATTTAGGCTCCTCCCTCCTTGAGTGCGGAATAGCGAGGAACGTTCAAGGGCTGGGGGTTGGGGACCGGCGTTTCAAGTGTACGGCGATTCTAGGATACTACTCCCGTCACGAGTCACGACACGCACGACTGTTTCGAAGGCATACTCGTGATCAGGGTATGTTGTCCTCGACCCCTCCGTCGACTCTGCTGACATTATCGCAGACCGGAGGTTACCCCAGGTATGGCCGTCCGTGAGTTCCTGTACCTCCTCTCGGTCCACGCGGCACTCGCGAACAAGGCGTTCCTGGACGTCTCGGACTGCGATTCCTCAGCAATAGAAATGTATGGCGTGATCAAGTACGGCTCCCAAGACCACGCCTTTACCTCGCCAACAATGACCTGCAGCCGACTCAAATGGGCAGGTATCAGCCATCAGCAGTAGAAGCAGTTCGTCAAGAGCTACCCAGCTCGCCGGAGCAAATCCTTTCACCCGCCTGGTACATGAACCCGGATTTCACGGTCCTCTTTGCAGATGAAGACCGCAACAACCTCGAGAGTACCGAATCGAGGATTGCAGGTCTAGGCGGCGATAACCGAAGAAATCTGCCTTCGATTCAGGCTGACAATGACAGGCAACACTGAACAAATCCTTTTGACTTTCACATACAACTTCACATGTGACCATCACCCATAGGCAACAGCCCTACCTACGAGATCTCCTATTCTCCTCCTTTTTTCTCTTTTTTTTAACTCTTCCTTCTCTTCCTTCTTCTCCATCTCGTCCCTTCATCGATCCTTGGAAATAGCCCTCAGATACCTCTCGGCAGGGAAGAGCGAGGAGAACTGGCCAGAGATGTTGCACGCGATTCAAGACAGAGTATCTCGAAGAGCTCAATGGTTGGAACAAGAAGTGGACGGACATCAATGGTGCACTCAGCCACGAGCACCACGCTTATCGCCGCTTCCAGAACCGTGACCTAGCTGTCACAGACGAAGAAATTAAGACAAACGTCCCTCGCTATCGAGCGCGCATGTGCCGCATCGGGAGAGAAGGTGGAGTCGAGACTGCAATCCATCTCCATATACGCTGACAGGAACTCCCTGGTTCATACGTCAACACTGCATATGACTGGGAACGGCATGTGGCACAAGCTCCGGGAATTTCTCACAGGAGTGGAAATGGCAACTCAATACTGCGACACGTTGTTGCAGGCTTGATGGAAGCGAACAACGCGATCGTCCAACCACGAAGCTCTCTTTTGTTAGCGGAAACGACGAACAAGACGCGAAGAACCCTATCTACAGCGTGCTTGCCATTTGACCTGGTCTACCACTTCCACAGCACTTGCATTTGGACACAAATTTGCATATATATTTATCTCCATTTTCCAGATGAGACGCTTTGAAAGTCCGTGGAGCAACATGGACGACTCTGTAAGTATGTGAACTAGATATGTGGGCTGATGCAAACCAGTCAGCATTTTGGACCCATTCGGAGGCTGGACAGCTCTGCTCATGGACTCCAGCACCATATTTGTTCCTGGGCTCCTGGAAGTCCTTCGAGCTGCGACTCCGCCTACCGTTGCCTACTTCAAGACTCTACCACTACCTCTCGGCAATGAGGATGAGTTTTGAGGTTGGGGAGGAGGACGAAGGAGCCGGGTTATTTCTATCGAAGGACCTCAAAACTGCTCCGAAGCCGAACGACTTTGTCGTTGATCTCGAAAACGAGAAGGTGGAGGAGCAAAGAGGAAGAAGTCTAAAGAAGACTATATCCCTATTATCACCACCTGTCCGCTTGAACTTTTTCCTGGATAGATGCCGTATACCTAGGGATTTGTCAACTTTCTCATGGGAGGAGAAGTACCGAAGACTCATGCGGTATGAGCTGCGCGTTAATTCGATCCTCGAGAGCCTTCAGCATTAGGTCAGGCAATCTCTTGTGAGAATCTCCATGTGCTTAGGAAGCTAGGATGCCAGCCAAACGTCCTGTCGATAATTTCTTTCACCATGGCTACGACGGACTTGATTGCTACCTTTGGCTTGCCGCTGCGTGGTCATGAGTCATACCCACACATCGCTATTGCAGAATTAGCAGCCGGGCATATATTCAACAGATGTCACTCTAGACCAGATCCTAACCGAAATCCCGAGATTCTATTAGACTATGTCTATGGCCATATTGGCTTGCTAAAGACACAGGCCTATCAGAGCATGCTATTAGCACAGGCTTTGGAGAGGCTCTTCCCGCCGGTCCAGGCTCTGCTACATCCTCTCGAGAGACTTGAACACCATAAACGTTATTTCTTTTGGCCAGCAAGAAGAGACTGTTCGCGGTCGTCCACGGACACTTTTGGACTCTTCGTCTCGTTATTCCCTGCAATGTGGTGGGCACGTTGACAACTCACGTAACGTTAGAGACAAAGGGGGCCTCAGCCTTACAGTACTACTGCAGCCTCGTGGCTGAAAGAGAAGGAGGAACACGAAAACGCGAAGTATATGAAGAGCACGAAGCTCTATCCCCTAGCGTACGTATCATACAGCAAACCATATTCCCTGACAGAAAGAGCAATGGATGTCGGAGTATGGTCCACCGGCGCCGTTGAAGGCGGCTGATTCTTCTGACGCTTTCACTGGTCATCGGATCTCGGCTTGACTACCGCATCAGAAGAACCCGGTCAACCACATTCCGTCATTGATTGAAGCAGATGATGAACTGTTCGAGTATTTCTCTGAGAAGTGGAACGCCGAGAACTTCGCCTATGTCTTCAAGTACGGCTGTACCCAAAATCAAGACGGTATTCTCGGCTCGCACTGGAATGTGCAAATCATCTGCAACGTTAGGGTAAGTTCAAGTTCTTTCAGCTTGCAACTTACTTCGACTGACATGGCTATAGTGGTCTTTCACCGAACAAGAAGTTGAGGCCAATGCATTCCTCCACAGACTCAGGCCCATTGAACATGTTTATCGGAGACTTTTTCAACGGTGCTAGCATGTCAGAGAAGAAAACGTCACTGCCGAAACCTAGCCGCCGACACTGCCGCCGCCGTAGCCGCGCCACCAGAGTATACATCTAGAGTTGACCGCACAAGTGAGAAGTCAACAAGATGACGGCCGCACGAGGAGTGAACAGGCCAGTCATTGAGACCCTGGTGGACCCGTTGTTGGGCATCGCAGGATAAATTTGGCAGACGTTGACCCGTACATTGAGTTGCTGAAGAGTATGCATGCAGACTTGACAGCACAAATCAACAAGATCACGGCTGAACTAGGTTCAGATGCAGACGCGGGTCTCGAGAACCCATTCATACCACCACCACCAACCAAAAGATCACGATCGGAGACAGAAAGCGACCACGAGGATGAGCGTGGGTCGGCGAGCGATAAGGTCTCTCGCTACGCCAAAGTCCCGAAGCCAGGCCCTTCTTCGACGCATAGTGTCACCCCCGCGGTCGCCACGGAAGTGCAAACCGTCTCAGAAGCCCTAACTCAGTTAGAACTTCGTTGGCCGGAGGCAAAGGCTGTTGAGGCTGGCATCGCTGAGCATGTGCGATAGCTGAATGAATTGCTATCCAGCAGCCGATCAAACCGTAAGCCTAAGAAGAAAGCAAGACCCAACCCGGAGTCCGGCCAAAAACATGATCAGGAAAGTCACATCTCGGAAGAAGATCCGGAATCTCACATCTCCGAGAGAAAGGAAACCGAGCACCCCCTATTAGATCACCAATACGTGGTGGGATGGGTGATGAACTTCTCCGCTGCTGCTCCCCAGCAGATATAGGACCATTGTCACCATGTGCCGGTGGTCGTGCTGGATATATCCCTCCCACGATCCCTCTCACAAAAGCCATGGAGCTCCCCGCATTATTGCTCAAGCTCGGTTGCTGTGTGATCGACATGACGCAAATATACTCCGGGACTTTCGGACCGCACGGAGGGAATACATCATGGATCAATCGTCATGGCGGGTGTCTGATGCCGTAGAAGGTATTTCAAGCTGCAGTTTATCTGCTCGATGTAGTCACCTCTTTTAAGGTCCTCAAAAATTGAAACACATACTGTACTATTCAACTCGAGTCACTGTATACACACTATAAGTTAGTTCAAATCTCATTCAACACCACTACCAATCACAATGGGCTGCGAGTGCGGATCTGGTGGAGAGAAATGCGGCTGCAATGGCCCTCAGACTTGCTCCTGTGGCCAGAGCTGCCAATGCAAGAGTTGCGGAGTGCGTACAAACCCCTGTCCCCATGTGGGAGAAGCCTAATATGCTGGTGCATGGTAGCTAACGATTTCATACCGATCACAGAAGTAGTCAAATCTCCCTGACGCACCTTCCGCGTTGATGGAACCGAAGTGAGGAGACACAGCTGTGGAATAGTCACAGAGCAGATCTGAAGTGAATCTATATGTACTTGAGCAGGAGCGGAGGCTCGGTCCCTCTTTTCCTCAATGATCAGAATTGACACAGAAATATCACTCTCATTCATTTGATACCCTCAATGCTGTTCTTGCTATTGCGCAGTCAAGTCTCTTGTAGATTCACCGCGTGCTTGGTATCATTGATAGACGCTTTGTTACCGTTCCAACAGCTGTACCAGGCAATGTGCGATTTCCTTCGGCTTCTGCTCCATAGGGTAGTGCCCGGCACCCGGAAGCCATCCAGCCTCGCCGCCTTGGAGCACTCGACTAACTCGGATTGATCTTTCCAAGACATTCTTGAACTCGGGCAGCAATGGGTCATCACGTCCGAACAAGATCATGACCGACTCAGGTGCTCTGGCCGCGGCCTTGTCATCGCCTGAAGAAGACCACCATTCTCGCACCTCCTGGTCACGGTTCGCCAGCCAGGCTTGCGCATTCAAATTGATAAAATGTTCTGGCCCCAGCAGTCCCTCGATTGTTCGCCATATATGTGTTTGACGGAGACCGTAGATGCAGTCAGGCAAGCCCGGTACGATATGGGAGAATCGGTTGATACTTGTCTTTGTGTTGAACGGGCTTTGTGCGTAAGGCTGCGAATAGACTTGTAACGCTTTATCACTCATGTTGGGCGCCATGAATCTCAGGACGAAGCTGTCCGGCAGCAAAGGCCCGCAGATGCCGGTGCTGAAGAACCAAGTCCAATACAAAAGATAGTAGTGAAGGGTAATGTCGTGAGGTCGAGGCGGCAAGAACGTGTTGAGTAGGAAAAGGCCCTTGCAATGTCGCTCGGCAGGTAGGGTTGGGATGGTACAAAGCGCTATGCACCCACCCCAGTCATGCGCCGCGATGTAGAATTCGTTCAGGTCCAGCTGTTCGATAACTCGTCGAAGGGTATGCATGTGCAACTCGAATGAGATTTCCGACACATTCAGCGGCTTGTCGGAGGTGCCATGGCCGAGCCAGTCGATAGCAAACACCTCATAGCCCGCAGCTGTCAGGTCCGGAATAATGTCTCTCCAGATATAGCTCCAGCTAGGGTTGCCATGAAGCAAGATCAGTGGCTTCAGCTTGGTGGGTGTTGTGGGTTTGGACTCCGCGTGCACCACTCGCGCGTTGATACCGCATACCTCGATCACAAGTCGATTCATGTTCCAGCTTGTCCTGCCGTTCCACCACAGTACGCTGGCTGGAGAGAATCTGTAGGTGCCGTCATGTTGTTTGGCGGCTATGTCTTGTTCGTGCCTCCTGTAGACATCGGCTCTTGTGAGCAGCTTTTCGCGTCCTCGTCTAGTGAGCAACAGCGGGAACTGGCTGATGAGGCTCGGCAGGACTGAGATGGCCTTGGTGAAGCAGTAGATCGGCAGGAGATAAAGAGCGAGGAGTAACCTTAGTATGGTTGACTTGGCAAGTATGTTTATAGCAACGAAGAGCTGCTCGAGCACAAGCCCCTGCAATGTAGTGGTTTTGGTCATGCTTTGCCCGCCCAGCTCTCGATGGTATGTTATATCGAGCTGGATTTTGATGACCCCTAGCTACCTTAGATATTGAACAAGTTTTCCAAGGAGACGGGAGAAATGGAAGTACCAGGTACCAGCATCCAGCAGTGCTCCGTAAATTCGGGAAGTATGAAGTAGGTATTATGTCATCCCTGGATGGCGGAAGCCTCGCTGAGTCAGTTCAAGCTTCCAGCGCCGAAGAGGTACCTATAGCTTAATTGAAGATAAGCATCGTCATGCCTACAACTAGTGACTCGAGAAGGCCGGAAGGTGCCCGTAGCTTTGGGCAAGGCTCCCGGAATACACGGCATCAGCAGTCTATCAGGTCCACACAAGCTCCATCATCTCCTTTAGTTGGATTGCATGTGAAAACTACACCGTACTGTCACAGTAATAAGTTAGTTATCACTTCTCTCTACCGTGGTAGACACAGCCAACCAACCACGCCGAAGCCGATATTCCGAACTGTCTATCAGTTAAGCCTGGCGCACTTACAACGCGTACTGTACTTCAACATTTCCTTCCTTTTGCAGCTTTGATGACCATTGCGTGCCGGGTCGTTGGTCCACCGAACTCATTTTCACATGCCATCTCTGCAAAATGATGAAACGCCGCGGGCTACCTCAACACAGCCATGTTGCTCGACGTGAGAGAGCCTGAGTACTAGTATTTAATCCGCTGTCCTTTCAGTCATGTTCACACGCAATGTCCTTATCTCTTCCCTGGAACAGCAAGACTTAGTTGACAAACCATGTCCCCAATCATGGCCAAGAAATCCGAGAACCTGACAAACAACGTCGAATTCGCATTGTCGGTCAAACACTGCCCTCCTTCACAGGTCCGCATTCCTGCGGCAGACCTAGATAAATTCATCGACAAACCTGGGCTTGCCCGGGCGAATCTCGCGGTATCGACCGATGTCCCTCAGGGCTCGACATCAACAGGCCACGCCTCCAAATTCAAAGATTATGTATACCACCCCGAACCCGTCCTGATCCCCTCCAACATGGCCGTCCCGAACAAACTGACAATCCCCATTATCCAGACGGTCCTGCAGCAGCATGTGCTTTTCTGGGATCGAGACGGAGACGGCGTCATCTATCCATACGACACGTATGTCGGATTCCGTGAGCTCGGCTTCAATATCTTGTTCTGCCTCCTGGCGGTCATGATCATCAACATCAACTTTTCATACCCGACTCGACTCGCCCATTCCTACCTTCCAGATCCCTTCTTCAGGGTCTACGTCGACAGCATACACAAGGCAAAGGTACGCATGAACCATTTTTAAACCTAGGAACGGAGGAAAATGGAAATCGAAGCCCCCTCGAGTACTAGTACTGACCCTTTTTTTCTCTTCCGCTCAATATAGCACGGGTCTGACAGTGGCGTCTACGACTCGGAGGGTCGATTCATCCCACAGCTCTTCGAGAACCTCTTCTCGAAATGGGACAAGGACAATGACGGGGCCTTGAGGCTCAGTGAACTGTTCAGCATGATAAAGGGCCATAGATGTGCAGCCGACCCATACGGAGTATGTATCCGAGCCCATTCTCCCGCGCTGCATAACAGAATAGACGTGACGTACGGAGCGCACCTGGCTAATGCAAGACCGTTATGACTAGTGGGGCGCGAATTTTTTCGAATGGGGCACTACATGGCTTCTTCTGCAGAAAGACGGCAAGATTTACAAAGAAGATCTCCGGCAATTGTACGATGTGAGTGAGCGATGCTGAGCTTTGCCGTGTTTGTCTGCAGAAGAAACAACCGCAACTGACAGCCCTGTCTAACTAGGGTTCTCTCTTCTGGCGCATCCGGGACGCGAGAAAGAGTACCAAGGGATGGAACCAGGGCTTCGGACTCGGTGGGGACTGGTTCGTTGGAGGGACCAGGATGTAATTGTTGATTGAGGGCCTGTCGGGAGACAGGACAAGATGGGTCTTTCTGTGCGTGTGGTGTCGTCTGGGAGGGGGTACGCAAGAAAAAATCAACGCGCAGAAGGGTTGTGCATGCCGATGGTCCTGCAGGCGTTCGCTCCAAGCTTTGATCTGCAGAATTGTGTTGCAAGTATGGAGTAGTGTATTGGTTGGCCCCGTTGGACGTGGCGTGCTGAAGAGTTCCAGCGCCTACTCATGAAGACTTCGGCGCCCGTAACTTAGGGATGGCTGGAAATTCAAGGGTAGGTGGAATGTATATAGTGCTCGAATGGAAAGTGGTGGAGCTCCACATGACAGCACAGTCTCTACGTTCATTGCAATCCTTCTGGAATCGCCCTGCTTGCTGACGAGTTGGGTATTTCTGTGCCATCCCACTGTTGTGGTTCCTCCCCAGCTCTCCGGGTCTCGTGCTCGTCAGCCTCCCAATGATCTTCCAGGCAATGTTCCAACCGCTTGAACAGCCTTTCTAATATCCATTGACTCTCGGTCTGTGGCCCTATCAAGGGCGAACGTTCGCCAAGCCAACTCCATCTTTTTGGCTCGTCGTCTTGATCCTCGGCCGCCCTTCCAGAGGTATCTGGTTTGTGGCTGACTCCATTGCACTCCGGCGTTCTCGTTTTGCGTGTCGAGGTCTGCTGCAGACTTTGTTGGTGGCCTCTGGTTCCCCTTTTCGGAGCTTGACGATGGCAGGCGCTACTGTTCTCATCCTCACCCATAAGCTTCAGGAAGAAAGCCCATTCTGTGTAGCTGTACCGCTTCGCACCTTCGGGTGCTGCGATATGGTCAGCGTACACTTTTCGGACCCGCGCCAAAAGGAGGCGTATATAACACTGTTCTGCGAGAATGTCAGGAAAGCTACTCCGAGCCTCAACGGGACAAGCGTTGTCCTTACCTCTTTCACGATCGTCTCCTTCGCTGTGCACTCCGTGCTCCTTAGGATCCGCAAGAGTGCCATTACACTTCTTTTCCCTCTGCTTTGGGGCCAGATCGGCGACAGGCTTCACCAGTTCCGGATGTACATCCTTCAGGTTTTCATACTGGTCCCGTAAGGTGCCCTTTTCAGGATCCCCCAGCTTGCGGGGGCCAGTCATGCGCCGTGTCGACTTGCGCATCTTACGGCTGGCACTTTTCAAGGTCGATTTCCCCTGGCCAGGATGCAATGTCACTTCGCCCACCCAGATGGTGAGGTCTCTCAGCCACTTCACAGCTGTGTCGCCCATATTTGAAATCAGAATGGTCAAGCTCGGGACAGCAAGTAACGACCAAAACACAAAAAATGGTTTGCCACTGTTACTTTCGGGTCGAAAGTCACCGTAGCCAATGGTCATAAGGGTAGTATAGGAGAAATACAAGGACTCAAAATAGCTCCATTCCTGCCGTCTTTCCGAGCTCCAAAAGACAACAGCGCCGATGGTCCAAAGTATGCCAACGACAGTCGTCGAAGTAAATAGTGCAACATACTTGCGCCTGCGCTGCGCTGATCTCAGTACCGTTCTCATTGCATTGAACTCTGCCATTCTCCGTCGAAGCTCGTCTTCCTCGTTCTTGGGATTCAGGGCCGGGTCTGTCGGTCTGCTCATGCTCAAGCCACCGAGAAGTGGCGACTTCTTGGATTCATTACGGGCTGCATGAGCAATCTGCTTCACCACCTTCAGACGCATTCTTTCTGTGAACCGTTTGCTCATCTTGGCCCTCCCTTTGTCCAGTATGAGTGAGCGTATACTACCGACCACGAGACCCACCGAGATGATGCCTCCCAGTGCAAAGGGGAACAGAAGAGCCCGACCAAGCGTCGTTGCTGGGACATACAGGTCTCCAATGCCGATGGTCAATATGGTCAAATTGGACCAGTAGATGGCGTCCAAAAATTTCCAGCCCTCGATGTTGGAGTAGACCAACGCCCCAAGCCAGCTGTACACTAGGAAACCTACGGTCTGGACCATCAAGGTTCGTTGTGCACCTGTCAGGCGGAATCGCTTTCGATAATGGTTTTTGTAAGCTCCCCAGACGGTGATGCAGAGCAGATACGAGATAATCTGATAGAGTGCGGCGCCAAATATTGCGTAGTAATAAGCTTGCGAAAGTGCTTGGTCGTTGACATTGGGGACTTTGAGGCCATGCGAGGCAATACTGATGGGCACGATATGCATAATGCTTGCTATCCAGAACCCAAGAATTGTGACAGGTTGGGCGATGGTGAAGCGTACCCTTCGAGCCATGCTGAGAAGAAGGAACAAGTTGGCTATCAACGCCGAAGCAAGCGCACAGGAATTAAGAGCGAGCAGCCACTTCGGGTCCGGTATGTCGACTCCGTGTTCTTCGGTACGGCCTGGTGGTATGGCGACACGCCAGTGTTCAACCAACGCACATATGGTAAATGCATTGGCCATGGGCCCAAATGTGCCAGCGAGGAGCGGGAAAGCCGTGCCAGCGTACCACCATATCAACGGCTGGGTGAACATTCGTTCCTTCTTTGCTTGAAAGGACTCCCCATGGCTACCAATATTGGTGCTTCGGGGCGTAGATCCCGACTGGTGAGCCCTTCGGTAGGCGTCTTTGGCTTGACTGGCGGCATTTGAGATGGGTTTCTTCAGGCCTGGGTTGTTCATGTTGGGCCTTGAGTGGTGTTAATTCCGATGTGCTCGGCCACAGAAGCCATGTTAGCTGACATAAGCCATAGTACTTGCTTCGAATATTCGTCCCAATGTAGTGGCAGACAAGGCAAGCAATTGAAGGGTAAGGTGGGCGCACGCCTAAAAGAGTGCATGTGATGTGATACCTACCTGGGTGGTGATGGTACCTACTGGTAGCATGGCATGGTAAGATCCTTCTCCGGATGACGTGCACGGCAACCTCCGTCTTCTTGATGGACACGTTCGACGGTTTCCCCTGGCGATATCTTCTCGCGGTCCGAATGAAATATCGGCCTCATGGCAGACAGTCAAAGAAGACAGGATTTGGGCCAATTGGGGGACGGCGTGGAGGGCGAACTCGTCTTGAATGGCGTCAAGTTTGCGCTGCCCACGGAAGCTACGGGAAGTCGGTTGTAACAAGCTCTCTAGCTCGTCGGGAGATTTGCCCAACTACCAACTTGGTAAAGACTGATGCAGGATCGTCGCTGTTGTAAGTATCCTGAGCGGGACCGAGACATACCGGAAGATCAAATCCTGCGTCGGTATCTGATTTTCGAATCGGGGCCTGATTCATTCATGCGTAAACCCTGATGACCCCTTCGACAGACACCTACGAGGTGTGCCCGGCCCGACGAGTGGCACCGGGGTGACGAGGCCCGGGGGATTGCCGTATCAAGGAGTCAAGCTCAACTAAGCCTTGTTCCACGCACAGGCTATATCAACAGGGCCCTATGAGACGCAATGTCTACGTCTCTGACATGTGGGAAAGCGGTCAGCAATTGCCGGCATCAGGACGTTGTGGTTATCCCTGTCTACTATTTCACTGTTCTGCCCATGTCCTTGATATGAGCGCGCAAGACTGTGCTTCCACACCTGGAGATACATTCCTCGTCGACCTTGAAGTCCTGGTCGCTGCTACTTGCATATGTGGAGCAGGGTATGCTGCTGCAAAAGCCAACCTACTAAGCGCCGAACTCGAACAACTACTTGTCTACCTCAATCGGCGAGTATTCACTCCTTGCCTAGGTTTGTCGCTTCAGTTGCATAAGAGCTCTGGGTATTGGTACCTTACTGATAGTGTGACGACCCCAGTCTTCGTCAAACTAGGACCTGAGGTGCATTGGCATCTTCTCCCCGAGGTCGCTGTCATTCCAGCCTTCTATGCGCTTCAGACCCTTGCCTCTTGGGTGTCTTGCCTGTTTCTCAGCTCGATAGCCGGCCTACGCGGAGGACTTCAAAATGTGGCGGTTGCCAATTCTGTATGTGCTGCCCTCATCCCGTAGCGGTAGTCCTATCATCCGCTGACCGAAGTGACACCAGGTTTGCGGCAGCACCGATGCGATCATCCTTCCGCTGATCCTGTTACTTGTTGAGGCTTCGAATCCTTCGGTTCAGTGTCTGAAATCCAACAATGTCCCTCGGTACAGCACTACACGAGGATTGACATATATGGTTCTGTTTCAACAGCTATGCCACCTTAACTTATGGATCATCATCAAGGCAGTTCTTCCCAGAGTCGCGCCTCATGCCCTCGAAGACGCCCCGATCGTTGCTGCTCGAGATATCGAAGCACCTCCCGCCGAAGAAGGGATTGGCTACCCCAGAAACACTGATCAACCGTGTGAAGAGACACGGGGCGCTTATCAAGCAAACCAACTCTTCATCAAGCGAAGGATCGTCTCCAAGCCCATCCTCGAAAACGTCTTCTTCTTCGTCCTGTCGAAATTATGGGTCGTGCACCCCACCACCACGCCATCGAGCTCGAGCCTCTACAACGGCAGTACCAGACACCCTCAGAGCAGTCGGAGCAATTCCAGCCCGAGTATATCTACCTCGACCTCGCCGGACAGGCGGCGAGACGCTGCTTCCGGCAAATCTGGCTCACAACGGCTACACGCGAAATCCAATGAAGGTGGAAGTGTAGTGTTGCCAATATCCGAACAAGGCATCACGATGAATTATCGAGCCACGTGCGAGCCATTGATAACCCCAGGTCTGGCCAGAGAAGGCGACCTGCGAATATTCCCTCAACTCGGGCCTACTCCATGTCTTCCGCGCTATGGAAGCCGTGTGAAGAACTGGGCAGAAGAAAGCTACCGCAAAGTCCAACAGGCGTCTCGAAAGCCGGCCGACCATCTACCACACTCTATCTGGGCCGTCTCGGCAGCCGCATCTTCCATCATGGTAGCACCGGGTCGGTTTATGCGCACATTCGTGGCGCCCTCATTTGCAGCCCTCGTTGCCGCCGTAGTGGTCGGATCCAACCCTGCCTTGAAGCATTCCTTCTTCACCAAGGAGGCGTTCATCAATAGCTCCTTCGTCAGCGCGGCGTCTCAGCTCGCAGATGTCGCTGTCCCGGCTTGGTTGTTCGTGACGGGCGGCCGAGCTGCACGAAGCACCATGGCACCTACTACTAGTAGTACTTCTCACCCTTCCACGCAGGCCGGGTCGAGTGAAGACGTGGACGCGTCAACGCTGATCATCGTCTCGCTGCTCTCGAGAATGTTGCTGCCCGTCATCTTTGTGAGCGCGTTGTTTGCTCTCCTGACCAAGAACGAACGGGCTCTTGTATTCAACGACCCTTCGTTTCTGCTCGTCGGCGTCTTGGTGGCCGGGTCTCCGGCGGCGTATGAGTTGGTGGACCTGGCGCGTCAGAAGAAAATTTGCCCGAACTTGATGCCGCGAATTGTGCAGCAGATGTGGAGTGTTTGGTAAGTTCTATACTACTAGTAGTACTAGTACGAGTACCAGTATCCCCTATCTCCCGGCCTCATGGTGCAGCAGACGACATAACGACTGACCACACGGTACCAGGACCTTTTTCTACGTGTTTGTTCTTCTTGGGTTCGCCACAGCAATTGTCCAGGTGGCCCAAGGCCAACGACCAGGATTTTAAAGAACTCGTTTACAATGTAAATAGCATCATGAAAAAGGTAATCGGACAATCCAGGCCAGTGAGCCCTCTACCAAGTGTATATACCTTCAGCACGCTCATCCACTGCCGCTACTAGTATCTTCCCGGTCCACCATCGGAACTTCCCACCAGGAAAAAGACCCCTAACATAGTAATTAGTAGTATCTGTCAGGCCCCTCGATGAGAGCACTTCCTTGCCAGCCATCACAAGTTTTATCCGGTGCTCACCACTCCTCCTCTACGTCAGGATTCGAAGGTCGTGGAGTCGGGATTGGGTCTTCGGGTCGGTCGGTTATCGAGATGTCTGATGCTTTTTGGGTGAGAAGGCCCATGGTCGGGAGGTGTATCTGGGCGTAAGACCGGGTCGGTAGGCTCTGGAGGCGGTGTCGAGGGACGTGGCTCGCTTGAGCTGGTCTTGGAAGACATGGTGCAAGTGGTGATGATGAGGGCGGTGGTGGTAGTGGTGGTCGTTGGACTTTGTTTGGTCTCCAAAAAGTCGAACTGTTTTGGACGAGGTACCAGGATTGTTGTCTGAAGTCAGGGGTGGAATTTGTGTATATTTCCCAAACTTCCAAAAGACTGTTACGAAAAGACCTGAGGAAAGGCGACATATTTATACCTTTTTGCCCTCGAGTTCAAACGGAGAGTGTTCACAGTGTCTTGCATGCTATGACAAGGATAGTGGTGGGTGAGAGGACATGTCGCTCACCTACAGCGGTAGTGCATGGTGAGGCGAAAGGGGATTCTTCCACACGTAGGGTGTTGACACTGCGGCGTTGCGAACACGTGGTGAGGTCGTCACGGAACAGTGCTGTGTGCCCGGACATCATCACAATATTTATATCGTGGGGCTGTTTGATGATGGCGTCAAACATGCCTCGAAAGAAACGTATAGACCTTCAAACAGATTCCAATCGGACCGGTCGAACAAGACATTGGTGGGGGGCAGGGGAAGGAGCTTGGGTGAGCAAGAGCAGGTCGCCCTTGTGTACATTGCTAGTGATTGCTATACGGCCGGAATGGGAGTTGCTTCTTGTAAATTATGATATCGTAACGTCAGCCTCCATTCGACCATTCCCTTCTGCCCAATTCTTGCACTATGGGAAATATTCCAGAACTAGACCATGCAGTTCTGAATATGTCCACGCAGGTGATGGCCCTGTGAAAGTCGGGGCTCGTGGTCTTTGAACCTTGACATCAAGCAGGCGCCTTGATCTCGGTCGAGTCTGTCATATACCCGATTCCCGCCCTGATGATCTCGGTCAAGACTTGAATCTCGTCATCGTTCCTGGGGCTGTAAAGCAGGACATAAGTTGCTGGCACAACCTTTCGCCCAAAGAGGGACACGCCCGCGAGACCGTGAAGCTGGCCCCAGCCAGACCGAATCACTTTCGCAGCATCCCTGGGAGACAGAACGACATGGGCAGAGTAATCGGTGTTGGTGTGGATGTGAGAAATCTCTCGAGTGAAGTGGTCCTTGCCCAGTGCGTAGCAGGGGCACTCGTCGACCACCCACATCGCATCGGTGTGACGCTCGTACTGCGACAAGCCGAATTTGACCAAGTCCGGATTCTGCTCGCCAATCGACTTGAAAGTTGACAGGAATTTCTGGGGTGAAGATTAGGGGTCAGTCAGGTCAGGCAAAATGAAAACTCCTACGAGCAGGGGTGCAGGGTCGGTGGAGTACTAGTAGAGCAAGGAAGGGGAGGGGGAAGAGAGACTGAACTTGTTGAATCTCCTTGGAAGGATGTTGATCGAGCTGTCTCTGTGGGACAGGATGGGGCCCCGTGTGTGGCCGGGAGCCAGGTCGGTGATCGCCATTTGCTAGCCAATTCTCGCCCAACCAGGACCGTTGGTCGGGATCTGTTTCGAACTTGCGAGCATCAATCATGTTGATGCGGAGGGGGCGTAGGATGTTGGCGACGAGCCATCCAAAAGGATTGTACGGAGGCCCGCCAGGTCCATAGCTCAAGAACAACTGGTAGTCCTTCCATGCCACGCGGCCGATGATAAACGAGGTCAAAGTCCCGACGGCCAACACGGAGTAGTATTGACTCGTATATTTGTTGCCTCGAATGGAGTTGATGTAGGCGGAGACAGTCTCGCGCAAGTTGCTCGACATTTTTAAACGGGTTGTGGTTTGAATGGATCGCTGGGGTCACACTCGGACTGCAACGCCTGATGGGCGAGGATATGATGGTTTTATATCAGAGCGCAGGTATTCCGTACTCCGTCGCCGATTTATTAATCAACCCGAACACCGTATGGTGGGCGATGGCGATGGCCTGATCAACAATCGGCCCACCAGAGTTGGTAAGTATCGCTCGTTGATGCCCCAGTGTGCCCGGTGCTCCCGGAGAGTTCGGCTTCCGAGGCTTGAGATTGGCAGGCTGCTGACCAGGCGATGCCTATTTCATAGGGTGCAGCCCATATGGCGACTAACTTACTGTGTGCCAGAGAAGTCTTGCGAGGCCTAAGTTATAGTGCCTGAACTTGGCTACCTACTTGAGGTACACATCAACTCAGGAGGCCGGAGGAAAGCACATAAGTACAGTACTAGTAGTTCTCAACCAATCTGTAGCCGCACGCAGCAAGTTGCGTTACTGATGTCAACCTACTGTATAAGGTTGCTGTTGGCATTCAAGGCGAGGCAGCGGTATTTGCACACATCAGCAAACACTCCACCTCCTCCGTCATGGGGCCTCGAGCCTTGTCCTTAAGCTGTTGCTCGTAGAGCAGTGGGAAGTACCGAACCTGCTAAATCCTAGTACTACAGGCGTAGGCACTCTGGCAGAAAAGGGATGAGCGAATGCAGCTAGGTAGGTAGTAGTAAGTCGAATCCTCTAATGTCACTCTATCTTGCCTACGGGTAATGTATGCACTGCGTTTGCGACCCCGGTTGAAAAGAGGTACTAGAAGATCCTCCGTGGGCCACGACAAACGCCTGGGTAGCCAACGACAACAATAGCGCCAGCAACGGCCAGCTCGTGAAATGCAGAAACCATCAATTTAAAAGGGTCAGAAGACGCGAAACCCTGCTCACCAGCTCCTCTGGCCGTCTTCTGCCCGCCATCGCCCAACCACATCCACTTTCACATCGCCTAGCTTCTCGAGTTCCGGTACGTCCAAGATACCTCGGCCGTCAAACACCCACTTCGGCTCCTTCATGTTATACACGATGCGCGCCCACTCAACAGGTTCCTTGGAGACTGGACCTCTGGACTTCAACTTGCAATCTGGACATTCCAGTGCACACGACGGAGCCGGTCCAAGCTTGAAAAGGAGGCTCGTCAAATAATCATCTTCTGGTTGAGATGTTGGCCCCGCTCCACTGGCCAGTGAGAGCATATCAGCTTCCAAAACGCTGCCTTCTTCAAAAGTCTTTTCGAGTGGTGTCATCTGAGCCGTCGCACTCCCCGTTCGTCGTCTTGGTATTTGATTCCGAAACTGATCGCAATCGTTGATCACTAGAATCGCGTTTGCTTCCGAGCAAGCTTGATAAGGATCGGAATAGACCTTGACACGACTGGTGTTAATCACAAGATCATCCGTCGCCACAAGGGTACGAATCTCTCTCAAAATGTCTTCTTCAATGCAGTAGGGGTCAAAAATGGCGACCTCTGCAGGCTGTTCGTCGAGTAGAGTCCTGATGACATCCACAGCAGGCGACTCTCTGGCGTCCCCGGTGTTCTTTTTGAAGGCAAATCCCAGCAAAGCAATCTTTTTGCCGACCAAGTTCTCGTTGAAGCGCCTGAGAACCCTTCTCGCAAAGCGGCGCCGTTGCGATACGTTGAGTGCATTGACCTGACTCCAGTATTCGGCCACTTCCTCAAGCCCCAACGACTCCGCGAGATAAGTCAGGCTTGCAATGTCTTTTCTGAAACAGGAGCCCCCAAATCCGATGCCGGCCTTCAGAAATTGGGGTCCTATTCGGGCATCCAAGCCAACAGACCTCGCAACCTCATCGACATTGGCTCCTGTAACTTCGCAAATGGCACTGATGGAATTGATACTACTGATTCGTTGGGCTAGCATTGCATTTGCAACAAGCTTCGACAGTTCGGACGACCAGGCATTGATCTGGACTATTTGGGATTGGGGGATCCATGCAGCGTAAAGACTTGCCAGTGCGTCCGCTGCAAGGTGGCCGGACGGCGTGTCTGCGGAGCCAATGATAACGCGATCAGGTTTCATGAGGTTTTTGATGGCTGTGCCTTCGGAGAGGAACTCCGGGTTTGACAAGATCTCGAACGGTACGCCAGGTCGGAGCGAGTCAAGCTGCACAAAATCAGTAAGTATGGACGAAGAGCTCTCATGAGGATCTTGCGACCGCATCATGTTCCAATGAGAAGTCTTACTGTTCGCCTGATGCGCTGAGCCGTTCCACAAGGTACAGTACTCTTTTCCACGATGACGGTTCCCGCTTTGGCATACACCGCGATATCCTTGACGGCGCCGTCCAGAGCAGTCATGTTCGTCGCTCTTCCTGCGCCCACTCCGGACGTCTTGGTGGGGGTGTTGACCGCAAGAAAGATCATATCGGCCTCAGCGATGCTCCTTGGGGTGTCGGAGGTAAAGAAGAGGTTAGGGTCGCGTCTCGTCACCAGGCCGTTGTTTTCTTGCGAGTCGCTTCGGAGCCCGCCATCTCTTGCCAGTCGAACAATGTTGCTCAACCCTGGCTCATGAATGGGAAGGTGACCTGACTTCCATCTCCTGATTCGGCCTTGGTCTCTATCCAAAACCTCCACGTGGATTGATGGGTTGTGCATGGCTAAGATTGCGGCAGTAGGTCCGCCTGTTGTCCGGAAATCGGATTAGCCAACCGCCTCGCTGCACCACAATGATGTTCCAACATACCGACGTAGCCAGCGCCAATCACACATATTCTATTGACATGGCTGGTGGTTGGCACAGTCGCATCGCCCGACGCCACCAGGTCATCGGCGTGTTTTGTGGGCGTTTCCTGTCGACGGGGTTCCGAGTCATCGAGAATCTGGGCAATGCGCGTCGCAAAGGTATCCTTGGGATGTGAAGGACGAAACAATGGACTGCTATCGGGGGTGAGGAGACCGGTAGACTCATTGGAAGAGCTGTCGTCGGAAGTTCCAACGAGCGAAGGGACGAAGTCCATGGTTTCTGGGGGGAACACGCAACGAGGGCTCAGAGGTTGGAAAGAAAGCACGTCGACGGGCTGATGTTCAAGATAAGGGCAGTCAAGAGCAGGTCGCGAGCCCAAGCTCAGTCAGGGCCGCTCGAGGGCAAATTCGGTTTGGAATGCTCACATGGTCTTTTGCTGAGTTTACATCAGATGGAAGTGCGCACGCGCAGTCAAGGACGCAGCGTGAGTGGACAGGCTGCGAAATGATGGGAAATGTAGGAGAAGATGAACAGCCTTGGGATATTGATGCATCCACCCACGTGGTGGCAGCGAGCACATATAACGCGTTGGAATCGAAAACGCGAAAATTGCCACTACCTGCCCTAAATTCTTGAAGCCACCTCATGATCCCGAACCTCGGAGGGGAGGGGGAAATCAGAACCATAAGAAGAGGCGCTCTGACAGGCTTATTGACGCAATCTGCAAACTTGAACAGAAAAATCCTGGTCGAGTTGGTGGTACTTGTTATTGAGAAAGAAAAGAAAAAGAATCAATCATCTTTCTCCCTTTCAAAGTACAGAGTACCTACCTGAGGTCTACGTACGGCAACAGCGGACCAATGTGAACGAGCCGATAGCCATTTTACCCCTCCCTTTATCGATAACGATAAGACCCTCGATCTCGCTGCCCTTGCCGCCTGCGCTGCGCTGTTGTACAGCCCGGAGGCTGTACCTGCTAGGTAGCATGGACAAATCCCAACCACACCCTCAATCGTTGCACCTCGAACTGGCCGTGCCAGAAAGAATTGACAGCAGCACACAATCCCAGTCATCCCTATCATCCCTATCATCCCTATCCCAGAAGTCATCCTCCATCTCCCAAGATGGATTTCCGGCAGTTCTCAAGGGCAAGAGGCTCTTGCTCGTCACCGAATCCCTAGGCCCGGTCAATGGTGTTAGTCGCACCACCCTCAGTCTGATCGAGTTCCTTCGCCGCAATGGGGTTCAGCTTGCCATTGTCGCGCCTCATTCGAAAGAGACGAGGCTGCGGCCGAAGGCGGACACCATCTCGGAACTGCGGTTACCTGGCTACCCGTTGCCTTACAACCCAGATTTGACCGTGGTCTATCCTTTCCAGCTCGAAGACGTCTACAAGCGCACATTCAAACCTGATATCGTGTACTTGGCTAGTCCTGCTTCGACGGGCTTTCAGTTCTTGCTACAAATTCGCCAACTCCAGGAGCCTCCTGTGGTGCTGCTGAATTTCCAGACCGACTTATCTGCCTACAGCGAGATCCTCTTTCCGGGCCCTGTGGCTCGCTTCTCCGTCTGGCTGCTAGGAGTGGTACAAGGGTTTCTATTCAGTCATCGAAGCGTCCACACAATATTCTATCCCTCGTCCGGGATTCGTCGCTATCTGCTCAAAGCGGGTGCGCCCAGCAGCAGGCTCGTTCAACTGGGTCGTGGTGTCGATACGACACTGTTCAAAGCTTCCCAGCGTGATGAAGCATATCGCAAGGAGCTTGCACCTAATGGGGAGCTCATTCTTGTTTGTGTGTGCCGGCTGGCCCCTGAAAAAGGCTTCGACTTTCTAGCGCAGGTGGCCGCTGAATTGGTGCAACAGGGCTTCCCTTTCAAACTGCTGATCGTGGGTGGCAACCTCAACCCCGCAGTCGAGGAGGATGTTCGCCGGCTTTTTGACCCTCTCAAAGACCATGTCGTCTTCACAGGCCTCTTGACGGGCGCCAGTCTCGCTCGCGCCTATGCTTCGAGCGACCTGTTTCTTCATTGCTCGGTGACTGAGACTTTTGGTTTGGTCGTTCTTGAAGCCATGGCAAGTGGGGTGCCGGTTGTTGCTCGAGACGAGGGAGGTCCATCAGATGTTGTCAAACACGCAGAGACCGGCTACTTGGTGCCACCCCACGACCTGGATACCTTTGTCGATTTTGTCAAGCGCTTCTCGAACAAGCATCTATCCTCTACCATGGCTGCAAATGCGAGGCAGTTTGCTTGCGAAACTACCTGGGAGAAAATTAACAAGCGAGTGGCCTGGCAGCTTGCCGATGGTTGGCAGGAACACCTTCGATTAAGGCAAAAGAAGCGGCCCATACGTAATTGGTTGGCCAATCGATACTATGGCTTTAAGTCAGCCATCGTCGTGCCATGGGTTGTCAGATTCCGCTTACACTTCGCTATTGTCCTGGTCTACATTGTCTGGATGATGGCAGCGGTTGTCCTGCTGCTGTACGGGAACAAGATCATTCCGAGGAGTTGGCGTCTGGTGCGAAATATACCACTGATTTTTCAGGAAGGTCACTATCGTTCTTTCAAGCAGGGCTTCCGAGAAGCCTTGAAGCAACTATCAACTCCACAATGATGATGCGGGCTCAGTCACGACGTCTAGGGTGGATTTGCCCCAGGCAGGCAGGAGACCCCATACATCCCTGTCCAAGCTACACCGGCTTGATGTTCCACGAAATAATAGTCTGATCGCCCCGGATGGGCCCGACTGGGGGGAATTTAGACTTCTCTCTAGGGTGTCTGGTAGCGTTGTTGAGGCAGACTCTTATAAATATTGTCAACCTGCTCCCTTTCGAATGTGTCACTCCCTCGCACTGCCGCATCCCAAGCCATGCCGGTAAGTCTGGTACGAGTGCGAGCACAGATCTACTCGGATCATTCAACTGAAGGGGTCAGGCCACTGCGAAGGCTCGGAACCTGCTACAGAAGATCTTTCCGATCCTGAAGAATCTCTGGGTCCCCGCAAATCCTGGCCGGATCTTATGTAAGTGGCTTCGGATCCTTATCGACTGGCCTGCGATGGCCTATCAGCCTTCCAAAAACGTCCTAGCCTCACCAGACTGGGCCTTGTTCTCGCAAGATGGTTGGTGAAGCCCATCAGCCGTGCTCTAGCCGAGACTGGTACTACTCTTTCCAAGCCCCTTCATTTGAATGCTTCATCGAACTTTTTCTTCTGGGCCAGTCCTACAATAATTGCACAACTATACTGTGTAGTTGTCAGATTCCGGTTAGGAGCAACCAAGTCACCATAGACGAAGAGCAATATGTCGTCAATGATTCTGGAAGTTGGGCGGGCAAAGGAGATGAACCACGTATTTCTGATTGTCCTTGCTGGTGCCCTAGTCTCATGGCTTGTCGCTTTGTTTGCGCGGCGAACACCCAAAGCCGGTAATGCAGCACAGCGTTCACGGCATATTGCTCAACTAACCTGGTGATAGAAGTGCAAGTCGAATCGGCCGCGGGACCCGAAGCTTTGTTCAAGACCCCGGCACCAAAGCCACTCAATCTTAGCGATGCCGACCTGAGAGCACCGATACTCTACAGGCCTTGTAGGCATGGACCGAACTTTATCACCATGGGGATAAGGAGGGTCGACTGGGACGACTTGATCGAAATGGATTCCAACTTTATGACATATCACGACCTCAAGGCGCAAGAGCTGAAGAAGGACTTCAAGGCTCATATCCAATACGTCGACAATGCCAATGTTCGGGATGCTTGCTGCGAGACATACGAAGAACTGACCATGTACCTCACTCGCCGCTATCCGAATATCTTCAAACTCAAGGGCGGATTTGTGCATAACTTAGCGACTGGAGAACAATTCGCTTTTCCTGAAGGTATTCATGTTTATCCTTCAATCCGTCTCGCTCTGCAGAAATGGGATACTAACATGAATCGCCCAGCTGATCCCGCCAAAGCCCTGGCGAATGCTGCATTGATGGTCCAAGATGATCTGGTGCTGATGGTCGAGGAAGAAGGTATGTTCCTGGGGCAAAGTAACAAGCTGCATCCGCTAAGTGATCTGAATAGATGGGCAATACCATTTGGATGCCGGCGCTGTTTGTCTACCAGGATTCTGGCGCCTGAGAGAAAAGTTCCGCATGTCCTTGGACACTCTGCATATCGAAGCTGGTGTCCCTCATTACCAAGCGAAGTTGATGAAATCCATGAACCGATTCTTCAAGACGATGACACCAGACAAACCAGTCACACGCAACAATGTATGAGATATCCTGCGTTTCTTGCCTCCTACTGGAACCCCTGCTGATGCATTTATTCTTTAGTTCTTTATCCAATTGGACGACGGTCTTCACTGGTCGCATCGCATGGGAGACCAAAACGGCACCGAAGTCGCTTGTAAGTCCCTATATCCTTGCCCTGACTTGTTTGATGTTGATGTTGATGTCGTGCAGCCTGGGAAAAGTCTGACGGCACCGGCCTTCGTGTGGAGGAGATCCATTTCCGTTCCGAAAGGCAGACTCTCCGCCGCCTACCTCGATCGAAAGCGCTTTTGTTCACAGTCCGCACATATTTCGAGCCCGTCACTGCCATTGCTCAGGAACCCCATATTCCAGGCCGTTTGGCAGAGGCGATCCGCAACTGGGATGATACGGTGTCGAACTACAAGGGCAAAAAGCACTGGGAGAACATATTGCTACCGTACCTCGACGAGCAGCACCGGTTGCAGGTGGAAAGTGGAGTACTGGAGACTAAGGAGGAAGGCGAATTTCCTTTTTAAAGTGTTCACAACAAATGCATAGCGCTGGAAAGGCGGGATCACTACGTCTAATGGATGGTTCCAAACGGAACTGAGATACTTCCAGAAGCTCTCAAACCACAAGTCTTGACTTTCACCGGCGTCTGGTATCCCGTTGGTTCACGTTGTCCATTATCCCACCTGCCTTTGGACCTCATAACCATGCGCTTGCATGGTCGTTTCCAGCCATCCCGAGGAGCTCGTCAGTTGAAGAGAACGAAAGTCTGCGCTCTTCAAAGAAGCCACTGGCTCCTATACACTGATGCCTGCGAGCTTTGGACCCTTCGCAGCATTTGATGCACCCCCCCTGGGCAGAATTCTCGCAGACAAGCCGCACATCCGCAACTGGAGGTGACGGACTCAAATGGAGCGCGGTGTGGCCAATTTCCAGCGCTGTAACAGGTCAATGCGTCGAGCACCTAACACTTGGAAGTCGTGTTCCTCGTACCTTGTCGTTGGAAGTACCTCAGGACTTTCTGCAGGCTCCGGTAGGGATAGCGCTCGTGAAGAGATTGCCCTAGTGGCTCCGGAAGCATTCTGCAGCAGAGTAGTATAGATCACGACGGTGCTTAGTACGTGCCTACATTGGGCGAGAAGCGTGTACTATATATGTCGATGAACCGGTATAGGTGACGGGCAAACACGTAGAAGGCTTTGCTCTTATCGCCCGTCGATACCTCCCCAGCTTTCGATCGGCGGAGAATTAGTAGTACTATGGGTACCACGGGGCTCTCATGAGCCCACCATCCTGTTTGGGTATTTTCTGCGTCCACGATAGCTGCTACACAAACGCGTGACCGTCAATTGGCCTATCGGTGCTGGGCAGCGTGCCCATTCCATCCTATCATAGATATCCATTAGCTCATCCACACTCGTTCTTACATTATTGTGGGCTACTTGTCAATAACAAAATCAACACTGAGCGAGAGCACGATGCGCCTTCCTCCGTCTTCGATAGGACATTGCCATGTTCTATGTACCTCCGCATCCTTTTCTGAGAAGATCCCACTATCTTGTACCAGATTGCTCAGCTCAGCCACCAAGCTCATGTCCCCCGACGTGCTTGGACACGACAGCGCTGGCCCTTGGCTCCAATAAAAGTGGGCAGGCTTTGGGCTGGTCGCTTGGACCCTCTGTTGGTGACGGCTGGACAAGACCCTAGTAGGCTTCCAAGGCGGAGCTAGGGTTTGGATGCTGGGTGAGCGCTTTAGGCGCTCCCGCAGACCAGGAAAAGGCAGCAATGGAATCTCTCGCCGATCTTGTCGCCCCGCGCGCATATGGCTAGACGACTCCAGAAAGAGAATCGAGGCTTCACACCCTTTTGGTCCTAACTATCACCTTGGAAAAGGGTTTCTGCTTGTGAGAAGGACGACACCTCCCTGTGAGAAATATATCCTGAGACACCGATCTCCATATCTCGAAGATCAATAATGCGTGGTGGCATCAGAAGATCTCGTACTGGCTGTGCTCGCTGCAAAGAGCGGAAGGTACTACATTGGGTTGCTTTATGATCGTGCCATGTGCTCAGTGCTCACAAGTTCATAGTTGAAGTGTGATGAGACGAAGCCTCGGTGCATTCGCTGCCAGAAAAGAAACACCATCTGCCCTGGATTCGGCCAGTCAATTGACGATGCTGAGTCTGGCGCCTTTTGTCGACCGGGATCAACAACACCGGAAGGACAGGTCTCAATGGCCACTCCGTATTCTACGGATTTAATCGGCAGCTCTGGCAAATTAAAGCTTGATTTACCAACGATGTCCTCAGGTGTGATGTCTCCTGTCGACGACATCATCTGTGTCGGTGACCTCGATATCTTCAATTTTGATCTTCCATCAACAGAGTCTGCCTTCGAAGAACCATGGCCCGGCGTCGTGGACCCTGACTTGAACGACAACCGGGCCAAATCTTTGGATGAGACTACTTTCGGTCTGCCAGGTGATGTCCCTCCTACGACAGCCTCCAAAGCTGCATCCATCTCCGACCATCATGGCGACTCTTCGCGATCACTCGTTCGCCGCGGTCAGTCGCGATCTTTGCCCACCACGAAATCCATGAGGTCAGCCGAGTCATCATCCGGCAATCAAGAGCAAACAGATCTACCTGCAAATCCCTTTCGAGTCATGAATGATTATTCTTCTCTGTTGGTCGAGTACTATTTCAAAGAAGTAGCCGGCATCTTCTCCTGCTACGATAGCCATCTCAATCCATTCCGGTCTACTGTTTCGAAGCTATGGCAGACCTCGCACTCTGTCTTCTACGTCCTGCAGAGCATGTCAGCCGCATGCCTTTCCGACGTGGTCCCCAGTATGCATGCCGTTGGCTTCAAAATGCGACATGCAGCTATGGCCTGTATCGACACCGACATCCGTGACTCCAAAGTCGAGACAGGATCATTGCTGACACTGATCATGCTGGGTCTCTCGGCCAGTTGGCATAACCCTGCCGACCTTGGCCGCGAACAATTCAAGCACGCACGCACGATCATGGGTGCGTTGTCCACCGGACATACCCCAGCATTTCTCGAAGTTAACAACAAGCGCAACCTCCAGTTCTTTCAAGAAGCAATGATATATTGGGAGATGCTCTTATCCTATGTCAGCGATGTTTCGATTGCAATCCCACTGACTCAGGGGACCGACATGCCCAATTATGAGTACAACAACATGCTCGAGCCAAGTTTCCCACACCCATGGACAGGAGTTGCGAGAGAAGCTCAGGTTCTCGTCTTTGAGGTTGGCCGCCTGGTAAGAAAAGAGCGGCAACGCCTCAAAAACCGGCCTCTTTTTACATCCTTGGCCCACATTGACGAGAGCTACAAGGTCATCAATTCCGCCGAGGAGCTCGCGCTACGACTTCAAAAGCTACAGCTGCCTCCAGAGCAAGCAATCGTCAGCCCGGGAGACGCTCAAACGCCGGTCCAACATCTCCTCACAGTTGCGGAACTCTATCGGCTGACTGGTCTACTTCAACTATACCGTGTCTTTCCAGACTTACTGGCCGACTACGGAGGCGGCGCGACGTTGCAGCTGGATTTCTACGAGCCACACAAGGTCTCTACGGATGGCATCAACCAAAGACTTACGAGTTTTGCCGTGGAAATTGTCAATCTACTCAGAACACTTCCTATCGAGTCGGCCACGAAATGCGTCCAGCCGTTTTTCTTTGTTGCAGTGGCTAGCGAGCTGCGAATGCCTCCCATGCCGGAATCCTTCGACAAGCTCATGGACGATGCCGACCTGACAACGGACACGGGTCCGAGCGCCGTTGCAGTGCTCGACGCCAGAAAGTTCGTTATCTCAAGACTATCGACCTTTGAGCATGTGCTGCCAGCCAAGCCTATAAGGCAGATGATACAAATCGTGACCCTGACATGGGAGCAAATCGATAAGGGAACGGCGGACGTATATTGGATGGATGTCATGACTGAGAAGGGCTGGGAGACAACCTTGGGCTAAGCACGACTGACTGAGGTTTGACTCTAAGCGACAGAGGGTCCATCTTGCGAGGCTTTGTCAGCGACAGACTTCGAGGTGCTACGGTTATCAAGGTCTTAGGAACGCCATCTAAGCGCCTTTCTCGAATGAGGAGGGTGGCATTCTGGGTCAGCGCCAGGTTTGATACTGTGCCGCTGCGGGAACTGGACTGTATCGTTCGGCGCCCAGGTCTATCTCGTACTCTCGTGAGGCTAGCGCTTGATCCGCTGCTAAAAGGGAGCGACAAGGGGTCTAGGGGCAAAGCCATTCTCGAACGAAAGGCTCATGGATGACGAGTATTGCTGTTCAGTGTCAACCTCTTACGGAGTACTGGTAGTAACCCTGACGCGTCTCGTTTCCCTGGATGCCCTATTGAGCCTTACGGATGGGGGAAAGCCTGGTGCAGCCAATGTTGGACGAAGGGTTATCAGTGATAACCAGGGCGAGGCCGTCCACTGCTCTAACGGGATCCGGAAACCAGATTGTCCACTATTGGCCCACCTCTAATCTATGCACGGCCGATACGAAGCTACTATCCATGGATGGCTCGCCAATGAAACCGCGGCATGGCGGCTTGTGCCCATGGCCCCGGGCTACGTACTAGTGAGTAACTCGTAGAGAGAGAGAGGGCGGGAATCGATCTGAATGGATACAATAAATCATCATCAACGGACTTGTGCAGAGTCAGGCCTGCAGATCAGTTCATAAGGCGACCTGCGCTGTGAAGACGGAGTACGTTGTAAGGAGTAGAATATCGTCAATATATGGGCCGGACTTGCGTTTGCGATTGCGATGTGAGGACGAGTAGTTTCCGAGGTTTCCTAGCAGGAGGTATTCCCGAGTATGGCAACCATAATGCACGTTCTGTTCCCGGCCAGGAATCAGGTTTACACGTACTAGGACCTCTCAATGACCTCTCAATGACCTCCTAGTAGTACTACGAGGAAGTTGAAGTAGTCGTGTCTTCTCCGTCGTACAGTGACAACCCCGACTGGTCTCTACAGAGGTGTACGCCGTAGAACTTTCCATCTCGAATCCGATTCCGAGGTCAAGTCCGGAGAGGTACTTGTACCAGTATCTGCAGTGTGGCACAACCTCAAGCCTCCATGGAACCTCGGATCGCGGATTTTGAAAAAAAAAAAAATCCAAATTCGACATCCGAACCGACTGGAACGCCAGTCATGACGCTTTGGTGCGAATACGAGAAAGCCTTCAGCCAGAGTACCTGGATGGGCGATATGCCCTGCCCTGATCCGATCCTAGACAGACAGTGCCTACCCAGTGCCTTACTCTTCTACTCGTAGTGGTTAGTCTTGCCTCTACGCATATCGGAGTGAAGCTTTTTTAGGTCCTCCTTGGTACCAACGTCCATCGTGGCTCCATCCGTACCTGCGAGTCAAGTCCCACTGTCCCACGCTTGTGGCCTCGGAAAGATAAGGCGCTTTATCTACATGGGAGTTACCGTCCTTGTACGAGGTTACTTGTACTCGGGATCGTGCCACTACTACTCCGTACTAGGTAGGTTAGCTAGTTCTCCTGATCTGCGACACATACGTGACATACCCAGATAGTTGGTACTGGTAGGTGACTAATAGCTCGTTGGTGTACTCCGTACTCCGTACTACTCGTAATGTAAGTATCAGCCTTATCAGGCCTTGGTTTCGGTACTAACCAGTCCGAAAGAAATCCATACTACTAGTAGTACTCTTACGAGCAGTACCTGCAGCACTCCAGAGGACTCCCTCTACTATCTCGCACCGAATATGTCAAGTCGGTAGCGCAATGTCTCGGCCACAGGGCTCCGGATTGTTGGGGACGAGTGTGATTCGATACGGGCGCCCTATCTTGGAGCTTAGTACTGTTTACAATGGTCACTGCTCGACGTCGATTGCCATTTTGGGGTTCTATCCAACTACGTAGCTAGTCAATAGATAAGACTATCTGAGGACTGGGAGACTGGCTTCTGGCAGCTCCCTACCTAACCCGGCCGACCCTGGAAGTGCTTCAAGTCATCACTTTCGTAATCGTACACTTCCTTACCCTCGAAGAAGGTCTTCAGGACAATCGTAGTGCCGATCTCCTTTGCCTCGCTCAAATCTCGGTCCAGGATGATGAAATTCGCCAACTTGCCCGGCGTGATGGTGCCCTCGGTCTTGTCTCTGCCGACGGCTTTGGCTCCGTCAATGGTGATGATCCGCAAGAGGTCGTCCCTTTCCAACTCCCAGCCCTTGCGGCCTTCCTGAAGTGCCTGCAGACCCGGGAAAATGTTTGGCGTCTCGGGCGCAAACACCCAGTCGCTACCGATCGTGATATGCGCGCCCGCCTTGCGGAGGCCCGAGAATGGGTAGACCGACAAAGGATTCTGCTCCGGCTGCATTTCCGGTTCGTGCCAGATGGCGGGCGACATTTCAGCCGTGATGGTGAGCTTCTTGTACTTGTCGAAATCCGAAGGGTGGACGTCCATGTTGTGCGCCAGCTCGTGCCTGGGTCCGTTTGGTCGGCGTTTGCGCAGCTCTTCGAATGTGTCCAGTGCGTAGCGGGCAGAACCCTGTCCACACACGTGGACCTTGCACGTTCTTCCCTCTTTGTCGAAGCGCTCAATGGCTTCCTCGAAGATCTTGGGCGGGACCAGAATTTTCTTGTAGTCTGGCTTGCCATCTTCGGCGAGGGGGCAGTGAGTGAAATGAGGTGCCCACGGGACCCCATCAAGCCAGAATTTGACGAAGTTCGGGTTGAAATGCTTCGTCTGGTATTTGTATGCCCCGTTGATACTGTGGATGAGTGTCTCGGGGAGTTCTTGACTGAAAGCCGCCCCCCAAAACACGACGTGCGCGTCAAGGTTGATGGTCATCTTGCCCATTTCGTCAAGTTTCTTGGCTGCTTCAAGATAGACGGCATTTGCCGACGCTTCTTGCGCAGCTGTGAAGCCGAATCTGTTGAGCATCTTGATACCATAGTCCATCGCTTCCAGATGCATATCTGTAGATCCCTTGGGAATCGCGGCGAAGAGTTTTGCGCCCGCACCTTCGACCAGCTCTCCTGTGATGGTGCCATCTTCCCGCCTGACAAACCAACCGTCCCAAGGGTCTTCAGGGTTGTCCTCATAGCCAGCGGCTTTGAGAGCCGCCGTGTTGGCAAAGATGTCGTGCGTGGTGTACTCTCGAATGACGATGGGCTGGTCCCCAAATGCGTCGTCCAAGAACTGGCGATCGGGCTTCTTGTCCTTGAAGTTGGCGTAGTGGTAGAAGTTGCCAATGAGCCAGTTGCCAACGGATTCAAGGTGCTGACACGAGGACTTGTAGTCCTTGAGTTTGCTGACTATCTCATCGGGTCCGGCATTCAGACCGAGTTTGGCGTTGAAGAGATGTTTTTCTGCTGCTGCAAGGATATGGATATGCGCATCGTGCATACCTGGCATCACGAACTGGCCTTTGAGATCGACCACTTTGGCACCAGTGTTATGTGCCAGTTGAGTCAGTTCGGCGGTCGAGCCAACTTTGCCAAACGTGCCATCTTCCTTTACATGGAAAGCCTCAGCCTTGGCAATGCTGGGGTCGACTGTGTAGACATTGCCGTTGACATAAACAGCGGCCATTTTGGAGGTGATGCTTCAAGGCTGGAAGGATGAGACTGTAAATCTTGAGCCGCAGAGAGGCGCAAGCGTGCACGATCAAAGCGGTTCATCTTATAACTTGCCCTGCTGTGCCCGCAGTTCCATCCAGCTTCCCCATCTCCAACGTTGATAATTGTCCTGTTCGCGTTCCAACGCCGGACGTGCGGGTCGGATAGATATGGATTGACCATGATAATGGTTCTCGGATGCACCATATCAGCACTAAGTTAGTGACCTGAGCGGAGCCAGACTCGGAAAGGTGGTCGTGGGTAGTTTGATAGGCAACATACTCCGTACTCCGCCCAGCCTTATTGGCCAGTCCGAACCAAAACAACACATGTTGCGAAGACCACGCTATGATAGTGTTGGCTCCAGTCTGGATAGTTATCCGAAACTTGACCGGCTCACTTCGACCCTCACGTTTGCTGTCCCATCTCGAAAGACAGCAAGGGTCATAGCGCGATAAAAGTGGCTGAGCATTTCGAGGGGAATCTTTCCGAGCGATGATAACGCAGGCGCGCTATCAGGATATGGGACGATTTCCCTTTGTGCTGAAGTCTGTATCAAATCAAAAGTGGCCGCGGACGTATATAGGACGGTTGACTCCTCCAGATCAGAGGTGGTAGGCAAGTCCTCCGTGATTCTCCAAAAGGATACTCATACAGCTGTCGTCACAATGGCACCCACACCACATACCCTTCACACCGACGTGATTCCAGGAACAGTGCACCTGGTGAGTCGCTCTTGCCCCATTACACTATCCGTTCGAGCATTGTCATGCACATGGACGTTTGCCAGAAAGACCCGAAAGCCTCGATCCGTGTCATTCTGTTGAGCTCTTGGGACTCTGTGCTGATGCCAACTCCAACCAACAATAGGTCGATTTGGCAGGAACGCTGCAGGTTAAACATAATGAGGCTGGTCAAAAAGACATCATCCTTCTGCCTCAGCCAACCAACGAGTACGATGACCCGCTCAACTGGTCTAGAAGGCGCAAGCTCCTCTCCGTTATGCTGCTGCTACTTGCCGTCTTCTCCGCCGATATCATGACCACTTTGCTCTCAGCCGCGCTTTTAGACATAGAAGCGGAGACCGGCATCCCTTTGGCGACCCTTAATCAGGGCATTAGTGTCCAGTACCTTTTCTTCGGCTGGAGCACCTACCTGGTGTGGCAACCATTTGGCTTGACATTTGGACGACGGCCGGCTTTCCTCATCGGCGGACTCGGCATGCTCGCCTGCTCTGTCTGGACTTCGTATGTCAAGTCAGGAGCCGAGTGGTACGCCAATCGAGTGCTGATCGGGTTCTTCTATGGACCTATCGAAACACTCATCGAGGTCTGCATCTCCGATATCTTCTTTGCCCATGATCGAGGCTTTTGGATCGGCATGTACTGCTGGATCCTCTTCGGCATACCGTTCCTCGGAGCTGTGAGTACCAGTCCAGAACATCATCAAGTTTGACATGCTGACCCACTATGCCACAAGGTACCTGCAGGTTTCATCGCACAAAATATTGGCTGGAAATGGATTCAATTCATCGCTTCAATCATTGCCGCTGCCTGTCTGGTGGCCATGATCTTCTTCCAGGAGGAGACCATGTTTTATCGGCCCCCCGTCCAGGAGGAAGCGTTGGATGTCGACGAAGAAAGCGCTTCGGACAAGGAGTCCACTGAAAAGACAGCTTCCCCGGATGAGAAGAACCCAATTGGCTCGCAGTCTCAGCCTCCGACACGGCTCGGCGAGACAAGCACCAAGAAGAGTTATGCTCAAAAGCTCAAGTTCTGGGGTGCTCGTCGTCCCGGTCAACCCAACAATTACTGGCTCTCGATGTGGCTGCCCATCGCCTTGCTACAATTTCCTGTTGTTGTCTTTTCTGGTGTTCTTGTGGGGTCAGTTTTATCTTGGTTCAATGTCGTCAACGGCACGGCTGCTTTGGTCCTCGCCGCACCCCCCTACAACTTCTCCACGGAAATGATAGGGGTCATGTTCATTGCTCCTGTGAGTTTCCTAACGTCTCCCAGTCGCCTCCCAGACGGACTCTTGCGCTGACCCAGCTGTGATAGTTCATTGGTTGCACGGTGGGATGCGCGTTCGCGGGTGTGTCTGCTAACAGATTCGCGGTGTGGATGTCCCGGCGCAAGGGGGGCATTTTCGAGCCAGAATACCGTCTCTGGATGGCCGTGGTTCCCTTGCTGCTGCATCCTGCTGGATGCATCCTGTTCGGCGTTGGAGCCAACCACGGCGTGCACTGGATGGGACTCGCTTTCGGCCTGGCGTTTGTGGTTGGCACATTCCCGATCGGAAGCGCAATCGCGATCAACTATATCATCGACTCATACCGAGAAATCTCCGGTGATGGTCTCGTTACCATGATCTGCATCCGCAATTCGATGGGTTTTGGCTTCGGGTACGCCGTCACACCCTGGATCGTCGCCTCCGGCGTGCAGAATACGTATATCGCCATCGCGTTCATCGGCATGTTCTTCTGGGCTTTGTCGTTCTTGTTCATTGTGATTGGCAAGAAGACCCGCAAGACAACCGCCAGAAGCTACTGGCATATGGTCGAGAAGCACGGCCTCAAGTCGCATTGAGCAGGATGAGGCCAGAACTCTGGATAGCGAAGAGGCACATCGCGACAATTCCAGGGAATGTTTGAGACAAGGTGTCATGTAACACGCTGCCGATCGGCAAGCATTATCCTGCGATTCACAAGAGCGTCGTCCTTGTGAAGAGGATTGGCGGGTTCTCAACGTCATTTATGAGGTAGCCTGATGCACAGCAATACACTGATAACCCCAGCTGAGGTTCGGCGTAACAGCTAGACAAAGTCCGTAGGGCTTACCCAGAGCTGATATCTTGTTCTTTGGCCACATCAAAGCCCCTCGCTGAGAAGGTCTCCGAATCCAGTGGGTTGCCACCGGAGCCGTGTTCCAGGAGGTTGGACGCGATCGAGAGATGACTTAAGCTAGGCGAGCATGCCGCGACAATAATTTGGAAGCTGTCTTGTCGTCAGATTTAGATCATCCCTAGATCATTCAATTATCTCCTCGTCTTTGGCGGGTCGCGGGCGAAACGGACATATCCCCATTGTTTGACTCATTTCGATCATGGCTCTTGGAGCCCCCTGGATGTGTTTGCATATTGTCGCTGGATCAGGATCTAGACTTGCTGGGAAAGCCATCTCATGCTGTGCTTGGACGCTGAAATTCCGGCGCAGGAGAAACTCCCTCCTATGTATAGCCGCCTCCCAGACTGTCTTCCAGTGGCTGCCGATATCCTCCGTCCAAAAAAAACCACGTAGGATCTTCTCAACCTTGCCCCAGCTTCGCATATCTGGGTAGATTTCCAGCGCATGGTCCATAACGGTATGTGAACCAGGCATCGGCACTACTCTCAAGGCCAATGCGCCTGCAGCCGCCATACTTGACCATATGAGGCAATTCTGTTCTTCAACAGTAGACGGTTTGGAGTGGCAAGGGAAACTCATTATGAAGTTGCGAAGAAGAGGGTCGTAGAAAAGGTTGAGTGGTGATAGAGATCGGAGCTGAAAAACGTATGAAAGCAGACCCAATGTCAAGCTGTGTTCGACCGGAACCATTGAACTTAGTGACATGCGTTGCAAGGAAGACAACAGTGTCTGAATCATGGTTTGATGGCGTTCCTCATCGCAGAGGCCCTGTTCGGGGGGCGAGAGCATGAACACGCCGTCAAGAAGACTCTTCGAAGCCAACAGCGTAGTTGCAGCGGAAATTGACGCAGCCACATTGATCATCTGCACTGAAATGCGGGACTTCAGGCAGAGTTCCGAAAACCCCGAAGGAAGTCGAGATAGGACTATGCATAAATCAGGTGAATAAGGCGGTTCAGGGTAAGAAAGCGGTTTGTCGAGAGCGAGTTCTTCGAACGTCTCCTTAAGATAGCCAGGGGAGTCGGCTGGAATGTCGGGTGGTTGACCGGTCACAAATGATCCCAACGCCTTGTAGGCAGTCAAACCTTGCCGGACAAATTTTGCCCAGTCTGATTGCTCTTTGTCATTCGAGACAGGCCCACGAAGTTGCAGCATTTTCTCAAGGCCTGTGCAGTGCATACGTACGCCGTACTGGTTCCCCATCAGATATTCGAGGGTCATGAGCATTGTGGCCGTCAAAAGGGCGTCATCGTCGGTGCACTCCCTGGATTGAAGCTTCCTGTTGAGCCCAGCGATAGCATTTCCTCGGTGCTGAATGAAGGCCGAGTCCTCGAATGTAGAACGACCCAAGGACAGAAGAATGGACGCACGGCAAACTGCAATGATAGATTCGAACAGAATAGAGTGATGCAGCGCATATGGAAGCAGTAGGGAAAGATGAGGGTTCACTGGTCCAGGTACAATCGAGCCGTCCGAGTTGAGACCCTTGCAAATAGTTACAAAGTAGTCCATAGTGTCCCTAACACAATGCGTGGCTTTGATAGGTAAGTTCAGGAAAGGATCGACTCTTGTCCCGTTCAAAGGAAGCGGAAGAAGTGGAGATGTTATAGTCGCCTTGGAAGAAGGAGGTGTTTTATCGTTTCGCTTAGGCGTAGGGACATGCGAATGTTGCTTTTCTTCTTCCCTCGAGTCGATCCGTGTAGGGTTGGGAGGGAGCCATTGGACGAATTGATCGCCGTTGGCTTCTGCTGGCCTTTTCTTGGGATCGTACTTTCTCCATCGGATCCTTTTGTAGCCTGAGCCCTTCGCACAAAGGATATTGGACTTGGTCTTGATTGTGGAAGAGCTGCCATCTGGCGGTAGCGGCGACACTGGAGAATTCATCCTGTGACACTGATCTCACATGGTGAGGCCCGTCGCAAGATGCGCGCGGAATCCTTAAGAGTCAACTTGCGGGTTGCTTCTCTCTCGAATACAGATTCCTCGAGAGTCATTAATGTGAGATGCGCGGATGCCTAGCCACTGGGACGAAGAGATGGGAGCGAGCCAAGTCTCTCAATTTGTCAGACAGCTCCGATCGTGCTAATGCCCCCTAATGACGAGCGATGAGCACTAAATGAGTATTGTCAGACGATCACTCGGCTTTTCCCCATGACACGAGCGCAATCATCAAAGGTCGCCAATATTGGCTTATGGCTCGAGATGGAGAAATTTCTTTTTACCGATGTGTATGAAGCAACCGATCGAGGAGGAATAACAGTCCAACAAGTCATGCCTCGGTCTCAGGCGGAGACTATGTTCCTAGGTACTACAGATTTGCCTCAATCTGACCACTAGCGTTCGGATGACACTATTTGGTAACCGCAGGCAGAGCCCCCATGATCCTACAATACCGCCGCAGAGTCGTCTTCGTTGATGGAAGACCTTCTTTCCGAGGGGTAATCTACTTCCTCTTGTCCTTCGAGCGATCGGTCATCACCTTCGTCAGGCTCATCGTAATCCTCAGGAATCCCAGATGCTTCCGATACGGGTTTCCCTCCAGAATCGATGTAGCTCAATCTTGTGGACGGCCTCGACTTGCTCAGTCGCCCTTTTCCGCTTCCGCCAGCAGTTGGCAATGAGCCGCCCACTGTCCGGCAAAGAGCTCGGTAAGCGGCCGCCCATTCCAGCTCCTTTTTTGAGGCGTTTTTGGGAAGAAAACCCATGGAACTTTTGATCTGGTCACTGGAGTCAGTCATGCCCATTCCTTCCCAAGAATCCGGTAAAGTCAAGAAGTTCTTGATGGCTGCCTGATCCAACGTCTCGTTGGCGATGAGTGCATCCGATTTCGCTTTCAGAGCGATGCGGATCTTCGCCATAGTTCCATTACTGTACCAGCCGAAATACCTCGTGTCGCACTCATGCCGTATGTTGATCTCGGGGGTATCAACCAAGGGCTTCAGATCAGGGTCCTCCAGGTCACAGAGCTGCCACAGTTTACCATCTCGAGGAAAAGGCTGTTTGCCTGTAAATATGTGGGACCTCTTATCCTTGCTTCTCGTCCAACGGCGGTCAAACCCTTCCCCTTTTAGGAGAAGCTGCATCATCACACTCTGGTATTTGCGAAACGATCGGTCTTTCCGGGGATCGACGCCAAACTTGCAGAAGGTATCCTTCCAAGGCCCTGAACGAATGGCAAATGCGAGATACGAGATCATATGGCTGGCAGCGAAGCAGGGAGCGTCATCGGGAAACTGATTGATGAGAGCTCGACGGGTCCATAATGGCCGTTCTTCGAAAAGCCGCTGTATCAGTTCATGCAACTGTTTGTGACTGTCCGGATAGTCCGACAGTGGAGGACATTCGGGATGTGGTCGATCTGGCCACTTCTCATCGTCATATTGGCATTGGTATGTATGAAGCCTTACAGGCGCCTGGGTATTGAGTTGCGATTTCTTGCCAGTCAGAGGGTCTGACACAGTCTTTACTGCGGGATTTTGACGATAAGTGTAGTTGAGTGGCAGCCCTTGCGTGGAAAGAGCGGGCGGAGGGAAGACTTCGGTATCTGTGAGTCCATAAGTCTCGGGCAAGGACCATTCCTTGAGAAGCGAGTATTCCTGAGGGAGAATTTTGGCCTGAACATCTTGTAGAAATTCAGATCCACGGGTCGTATACATCAAGTCAGGCATAGTTCGCCATATGTGCGTAGATGTTATTGAGCCCAGAACATCGATCTGATGCCTATCCACATTGTCTTCCAACGACCGGAGGAGATATGCCACGTCTTTCTGTGGAGGAGGACCCGCCACGTCTTTAACGAAAGGGTCGTCTGAACCACGTTTCCTCTTTCTCCCCGTCCTCTTGGGCACTGTGAATTTGAGGAGAACATTATCGGTCTTTTTGTTTTGAGAGACCACCGTTCGAGGGGCAGTAACATCTGGCTGGAAATTTAGTCCCAAGGGTTTGTCGTTGTCCGGGTCGAGAGACCGAGCAATTTCTTTAGAGCCTCCCACCATTTGGATAGCCTTGTCCGGGTTTAGGACCAAGCATGGATGCTCGAGAGACACGACGGAAGTGGTTGGTACCGGGTACCTGGGGGCTGACGATCTGCCTATTCCGGGCAGCGACATCTTGGAAACGGAGAACACGATTGAAGAGGAGGTAATCAAATCATGGAGATGATGATAGAAAATTGCATCTCACTGATTGCCTGGTCAGGCCGTTTTCATCGATGGCCAAGGGATTGCCGGTTGACTTGCTAGGCGGGTGTACATCCGAGGCGCACGCTCTTTGATAAAGGTCCTTGATGATCCAGCTGCCCTGCCGAGTATAATCAGTGGAGTGATTCGGTTGATAGCCAGGGTGGGATGAAAAGCCGCGTCAAGTGCCATTCCATCAACTTGACTTTCGAGTCACTTCCAACTTGATAGGTACCTCAGGCTGGGTGTCAGGTTGGTATTGATATCGAGATTGAGATTGAGATTGACATAATGTCTTGGCGACACGGTTTAGTCATTAGTGACTTTTCACAGCGCCATCCGACCTCTAAGAAGCCCACGAAGTCCAGTAGGTGCTCACTATGCTCCGTAGCTGAGTAGATTAGAAGCCTGCGACGAAAGCCACCCCACCGATCAAGCCAGCCTGCGCACCCCGAACTGGCACTCAATGGATCATTCATCTTGAACTCGCCAAACAGCCATTTCCTGCCGCAACAAAGTCGGATCTTCAATGGACGTTTGAGTATCTGCATTCATCAGCCCTGCCTAAATCTGCCTCACCCGGTTCTGAAACATAAGCTTGATCGTCATCGACTCGGACACACCTTACCTCGACAACAGACTCTTGTTGTACGTTCGCCCAAACACATCTGCACCTAGCTAATCCCACTCCACCTACACAGTCCGCCAGTGTTGTCATTCGACCTTGTTGGCTTGTTACATCGCTTCTCGACAACGATGATTTGACAAAACCGCTCTACGACGCATTCCCACGCTACCGAGCTGTTCTCCTCTCGATCCCCCGTGCCTATTGTACCAGGTATCCTTCAGTCTGCTAGCCTCATACGGATGAAACAGTAACAACGAGCTCCTTTCGTGTCAAAGAGGTGGCGCAACCCTTGCGACATTTGTCTTGACGACCGTCGAGTGACTAGTGCTGGGACACTACAGGCAAGATGAAAGGCTTCAGGCAAAGAGTGGTATGTGTGACCTGTGCTTGTTCTTTGCAGACTGCCTCCAGACCCTACGGACTACCCTCCTCCCCACTCGAGTGCTCCAGCTCACTGATATCCAGCACGAGCAGTTGTCAAGAGCAAAAGACTCGAACAAATCCTCCAAGAAGAAGGATTCGGCTTCAGGCACAGCCTCTCCCCTCTCATCCTCCACGACCCTTAGCGGCGCTGACTCCCGGTCTCCTAACGCGTCCAACGCGGCTACACCCAACTCGTCCTCTACCAATGTCAACGACATCCGAGCTAAAGGATCCAATAATGAGAGCGGTCCGACCACTCACGGCAATGCAGTTCATCACGGTGGGCAAACCCCAGGTTCAGGAGCTGGAGGTCAGCACTTCATTCCACAAGGCTCAGGCCACGGACCTGGCGGTGCAGGGACGCCTGGCCGTCCAGCGGGTCACATGGCGCCGAGTGTAATAATAAGCCCCAGCGCTCCTCATATTCCAGGACCTGGTGCTACCGAGACAATGCCTCATGACCTCGCGCCGCCCAAGGCAGGCCAGAAATCATTGCTGTTCGACCGGCTGCAAACCACTCCCAAAGATGTTCCCGAAGGCGTGCGAACTCCGAAAAGACAGCATTCATCCCGCTTCGACGTGTCGGATCAGAGAGCACGCGACCTTGAAAAACTTCCCGGCTTCCACGAGGTGCCCCCGAATCGAAGACAAGAGCTCTTCATGCAAAAGATTGATCAGTGCAATATTATATTTGATTTCAATGATCAAACGGCAGACATGAAATCAAAGGAAATCAAACGACTGGCCCTCCACGAGTTGCTGGATTATGTCGCGAACAACAGATCGGTAATTACAGAGCCAATGTATCCTAAAGTCGTCGAAATGTTCAGTAAGAACCTTTTCCGACCGGTTCCACCACCAGTCAACCCACAAGGAGAGGCATTCGACCCAGAAGAGGACGAGCCTGTCCTTGAGGTGGCATGGCCGCATATCCAGGTCGTCTACGAGTTCTTCCTGCGCTTCATTGAAAGCCAAGATTTCAACACGAATATCGCCAAAGCGTATATTGACCATCATTTCGTCCTCCAATTACTCGAACTTTTTGACTCAGAGGATCCTCGGGAAAGAGATTTCCTCAAGACCACGTTACATCGCATTTACGGCAAATTTCTGAACCTCCGGTCATACATCAGGAGGTCCATTAACAATGTCTTCTTCCAGTTCACATATGAGACAGAGAGGTTCAATGGCATCGCGGAACTACTTGAGATCCTGGGGTCCATCATCAACGGATTTGCGCTACCCCTCAAAGAAGAGCACAAGCTCTTCCTGACCAGGGTGCTGATCCCCCTGCACAAGGTGAAGAGCCTAAGCATGTATCATCCGCAGTTGGCCTACTGCATCGTCCAATTTTTGGAAAAGGACGCAGGGTTAACTGAAGAGGTATGAACCGCTGCCCGATTTCACGCCCGCCTTACTGATCATTTCGCAGGTTGTTCTCGGTCTGCTTCGATACTGGCCCAAGACCAATAGCACCAAAGAGGTCATGTTCTTAAACGAAGTCGAGGATATCTTTGAGGTCATGGATCCGCAGGAGTTCGCCAAAGTACAAGAGCCACTATTCAACCAATTAGCCAAATCAGTGGCCAGTCCCCACTTTCAAGTATGACCACAAGGGGCCAGGTGAACGATCGCTGACAGCCTCCAGGTGGCGGAACGTGCACTTTACTTCTGGAACAATGAGTACTTTTGCAATCTTGTCAGCGACAATGTCGAGACTATCCTGCCCATCATGTTCGCGCCTCTTTACGAGAATTCCAAAGGGCACTGGAATCGGTAGGTCCTAATGAGTGTGCGCCCTACCGGCTCTTCTGACGGGGCATAGGACAATTCACGGCATGGTCTACAACGCCATGAAGTTATTCATGGAGATCAATCCACAATTGTTTGATGAGTGCTCCCACGACTACAATGAGATGCAGAACACCGCAGGCGACCGCGAGAAAGCCCGTCAAGCCAAGTGGGAGAAACTCACCGAACAAGCGAACAAGATGAAAGCTGGATTGGGACAACCGCTTTCAGCCGCCACTAATGTAGAAGAGGTCGAGACAGACGCGGCACAAGACAATCAAGAGAGGCTTGATGCTCTCAAGTTGCACGATGAAACGTCAGCAACAAAACCAACATCGGTACGTGGGACATGTTTGTGACGAGTGGAAAGCATGGCGGCCTGTTTCTTCCTAGCCTCTTCGACTATCCTTCCATTTGCTAAGACATTACCATATTATTATAGTGACCTTGGATGGCTGTTTCTGACAAGCATTCGAAATAACCAGAGACGCCGAGCCGACTCACAGGGACAAACAAGGTCTCGAAGGTCTAATAGTGGTTCTGACGGCAAGTCAAAGAGGCATCGTCCCCATTCTGGCGGGTCAATAGATCTGCACTACCGGAAGGTACATCAAGTACCGCGCCATGGGAGCACCATGTCACATTGATACCCAAACGCCTGGGCTGGTTGAGGAGGCTGTGAAGGATCTCATCTGGGGCTTCCAAGATCACCATAAGCAAGCGTTGACCTCACGAATTTTGTGTACGCCGAGCGCATCGACGCCTCGAGGCCTGTCACACTGTCCAATGATGCGGGACTTCCATGTTGGCTTTTGAGGATATTGGTTGAAAAATAATTAGAGTACGAGGCTTGCAGATGTCTGCCTCTGGAATGAAGATACGAGCAACGCAGTCAAAGGCGTTTGAGGACACTACATCCTGGACGATGTGAGTGGTGTTTGAGGGAATGGAGAGTCTTCTTCAACTACCAGTCGCCATTGTTCATAAACTTGAATCCCCGTGCTTCAGCATCATCACAACAAAGGTGCTTCGACATTCTGTTTTCTCAGGAAGCCACCGGTCTTCCCAAGGGGATTGCAGCTTCGATATCTCATGTCTGACAAACATAATTTGGTGTTGCTCGTGGTAACCTCCGCAATCCTAGTGGCTGTTCCCCAGAACTGAACTGTCAGACCGCTCAGTTTTGAGTGGAGCAACAGACTAGGTGAGTGGCTGTGAGTGGCCCAAACTGACTGACTAATCAACGAGCTATTCCCATCAGGCTATAGCGTCATTTGGATTTGGCTCGCGACTCTCCCGCATTCGCGATGCGTCTCTTCTTCGTCTCCAACTCTGCAAAAGTCCAGATATCATCCCAAGGGCTCTTTGCAGGCCACCAGGGCAGGTCAACGACTTCACCCATTTTTCTATTGTATTGAATGAGGACTAGGCGGGGGCTGGTTCATCTAATACTAATCTGCAACTTTAACCTCTTCTAAACCCTCACTACACGACCATCCGCACTCTTTCTACTTACGCACCTTCAAATGGGTCTTTTGAGCCTTGAGCCCTTATGAAGACGCCCCGGGGCTCTGGCGCAGTCCGTCATCTATCGCTCAACTACCTGGTGTAGTCAGGGCAATAATCGAGGATGTCGTCCACCATGGACTCCTCCCAAAAGATTGATGCCTATGCCGCTAGGCTCACAGATCCAAAGACTGGCAAGTCCTTTCATGGCACGCAGCCTCGCATAGACCTTTACTGACTGATACTCACCCAATAGACACGCGGACGAAGGCAAATGTAGCCACCGATCTACGTGACTCGATCGAGAACCTATGTTCACCGTCAGCGACATACTCCAAGTTCCTGGCAAAACTATGGCCGGTCTTCAAGAAGATCTTGGAAGGCAAACCAGATTTTAGTCCCGCTTCCTTCGAGCATGTACTCCGAAATCAGATACTTGAGATCCTCCACAGATTACAGCATGCACCGCCCGAGCTCGAACCTTATGCGCTAGACATGGTAGAGACATTGATGGAGCTGGTGCGGGTGGAAAATGAGGACAATGCGGTGCTCTGTTTGAAGACCATCATGGATCTGGAGCGACATCAGCCAACGGCTACAGCGTCTAAGGTTCAGCCCTTCCTGGATCTCATTCAAGAGATGTTCGAGATGATGGAGCAGGTAGTCCGCGACACTTTTGACTCGCCTACGCCTCATTCCCAAGGGTCTTCATCAACGCCCAATCCACCCGGTCAGAATCTGCAGTCCCCTAGGCCTGGATCACCAGCGACGACCGTGTCGGACCCTGGAAACGAGAAAAAGGATCACCACCCTCTGGCCAAGGGCATGCAGTCATTCAAAGTCTTGTCGGAATGTCCCATAATCGTGGTGTCAATCTTCCAAGCGCATCGAAGTTCGGTCGCGGCCAATGTTAAGAAGTTTGTGCCGTCCATAAAAGGGATACTCTTATTGCAGGCGAAGGCACAAGAAAAGGCACACGCTGACGCGGCCGCGAACAAAACAATCTTCACTGGGGTCAGCAAAGAGATCAAGAACCGCGCGGCTTTTGGAGACTTCATTACTGCGCAGGTCAAAACCATGAGTTTTCTGGCATATCTACTCAGAGTGTATGCAAACCAGCTGACGGATTTTCTGCCCACTCTTCCGAGCGTAGTGGTCCGGCTGCTCAAGGACTGTCCGCGCGAGAAATCGGGTGCACGGAAGGAATTACTGGTCGCTATCCGTCACATCATCAACTTCAACTATCGGAAAATCTTCCTGAACAAGATCGATGAGTTGCTGGATGAACGTATCCTGATTGGGGATGGCCTCACTGTGTACGAGACGATGCGGCCTCTGGCATATAGCATGCTTGCAGATCTGATCCATCATGTTCGGGATTCATTGGATCGGAATCAGATTCGACGCACCATCGAAGTCTACACGAAGAATCTTCATGACAATTTCCCCGGTACGAGTTTCCAGACGATGAGCGCCAAGTTGCTCCTCAATATGGCGGAGAGCATCACCAAGTTAGAGGACAAGGAAGATGCGAGGTACTTTTTGATCATGATCCTCGACGCGATCGGGGACAAGTTTGCCGCGATGAACTATCAGTACAGCAACGCCGTCAAATTGAGCAAGCAATACGGCGACAAGTCCACGGAATCCCAGGCGGAGGCTTACATGGACGACAAGGACGAAATTCCCGATTGGGACGAAGTCGACATCTTCTACGCGACACCTATCAAGACCTCGAATCCGCGCGAGCGGGGGGCAGATCCTGTCAACGACAACAAGTTCTTGTTCAAAAACCTTGTCAACGGTCTTAAGAACATGTTTTATCAGCTCAAAACTTGTAATCCATCTGGTCTCAACGTCGACCAGGCGAGCATACCCATGAACTGGGCCGAAGTCTCCTTCGGCTATAACGCGGAAGAAACACGCGTGGTCACCAAGCTTTTCCACGAAGGCGCTCGAGTCTTTCGCTACTACAGTGCCGAAACTCCAACGCCTGACCCACCCTATTCTTCTCCTGTCGATTTCATGGCAAGTCATTCTATGGCACAGATGACTCGTGAGGAGAAAGAGTTGCTGGAGAGCTTTGGGACTGTGTTCCACTGCATTGACCCTGCCACGTTCCATGAAGTGTTTCAAGCCGAGATCCCCTATCTGCACGAATTGATGTTCGAACATACGGCGCTACTCCATCTACCCCAGTTTTTCCTCGCCAGCGAAGCAACGTCGCCTGCATTTGCCGGTATGGTTCTCCACTACTTGATGAACAAGCTACCAGAAGTTGGATCCTCCGACATTGTACGTTCGTCCATATTACTGAGGATGTTCAAGCTGTCGTTCATGGCAGTCACGCTCTTCTCTGCACATAACGAGCAAGTCTTGCTGCCTCACATCACCAAAATCATAACGCAGTGTGTACAACTGTCTGTGACCGCCGAAAAGCCGATACATTACTTTATTCTGCTCCGCTCGCTCTTCAGGAGTATCGGTGGTGGTCGCTTTGAATTGCTCTACAAGGAGATTCTTCCCCTACTGGAAATGCTGCTGGAAACGTTCAACCATCTCCTGCAGGGTGCAAGAGACCCTCATGACAGAGACCTCTACGTGGAGCTGACGTTGACCGTCCCAGCTCGGCTAAGTCACTTGCTTCCGCACCTGAGCCACTTGATGAGGCCCCTAGTGGTAGCTCTTCGCGCAGGACCCGATCTTGTCGGCCAGGGACTGCGAACTCTCGAGCTCTGCGTTGATAATCTTACTGCAGACTACCTCGACCCCATAATGGCGCCTATCATGGATGAATTGATGAGCGCGTTGTTCGAGCATCTCAAGCCGCAACCCTATCAGCACTTCCATTCTCATACCACAATGAGAATACTTGGAAAACTCGGTGGGCGGAACCGAAAGTTCTTGAATCATCCTCATGAGCTGGCGTTCCGGCGATACACTGACGACGAGCCCAGTTTTGATATCAGACTTGTCGAAACCAGCCGCGATCGAGCTTTCCCCCTGGATACTGGTGTTGAGCTGGCAATCCGAAGACTGACGGAGGCCGCCAAGAACCCGTCTACAAAATCTCAGGACTTGTATTACAAACAGCAATCGTTCAAGTTGATCAGCAATCAAGTGAAGCTGCTCATTGGTCATAGCCACCTTCCTGATGACTTCGCAGTGCTCCTTCGGCTCCAGGCGAACGACCTGCTCGCACGACGCTTTGCTACCTATGCCAACATGTTAGAGGACAATGAACTGGGCAAGTCAGTGCACAAGCGTCGAGATCAGGAAGAGACTCTGAAGAAGCTGCTCAAGGCCTGTTTTACCGCCACCACGATACCAGATCTAAAATCTCAAGCTGATGCCTTTATTATCAATGTGTCCTGCCACTTTACAATAGTGGAGCTGGGTCAATCTTTGTGTGATGCCGGCCGAAAGACGAAAGAGTTTGAAGTCAACCAAGGCGAAGGTACTGTGAATCTGAGCACTAGGATACTGGCCGATGTCATCTCCCATTGTCTCTCCTCGGATAATATTGTCATTCGGGAAGCTGCAGAGGCCTCTCTTGTTGCCGTTGTCGACACTGCTCGCACTATCTTCGGTAATGATGAGAAAGCTGCCCGGCTGCCATTCTTCTCTCACCTGATCTCCGTATTTTGTCACCGCTGCCGTGAAGTGGAATGGTTCACCAAAGCGGGTGCCACTTTCGGTATTCAACTCATGATCACAAAATTGGTGTCGGGCAATACCTTTCTGCACAGCAAGCAGCTCGAGATCATCAAGGCACTGTTGTTTGTCATCAAAGACACGCCACAGGAATTTCCGGCAAGTACACGAATCACGGCGCAAGAAACTCTCGAGTTCATTCTGCGTAAGGTCTGCGCTGGGCAGACTCGAGAAATGCTTGTGAACGAGAAAAGCACCATTCATGCTCTGTCTGTGACGTTTAGTGCCGAGCTCTCACACATGAATAAACATGCTCGCGAAACTGCGCAACGAGCATTTGCGACCATGGCAGAAGTGGTGGGCGTGGAGGTGCACGAACTGATTGCTCCTGTCAAGGAGAGACTTCTGCAACCTATCTTCAACAAGCCCTTGAGAGCGCTGCCCTTCTTGTCACAAACCGGATTCATCGATGCCATAACCTATTGTTTGGGGCTTGGGCACGATTTTGTCCCTTTGAATGACCAACTGAATCGCTTAATGATGGAATCTCTGGCGCTTGCGGATGCTGATGCTGAGATTTTGCATCCTAAGCCGGATGAGTACAACAATGCTCAACTCATAGTTAATTTGCGTGTCTCCTGCCTCAGACTCTTGTCGCTGGCTATGAGCCTGCCTGACTTTGCGACTGGGCCGCAGAACACGAGCCGGGCTCGGATCATCACCGTCTTCTTCAAGCTTCTGTACTCCAAGTCTCCTGAAATTATCGAGGCCGCCAACGCAGGTTTGGAGAAAGTCCTCGTGCAGACTGCGAAGCTGCCCAAAGATCTCCTACAGAATGGCCTGAGACCGATCTTGATGAATCTGCAGGACTCGAAGCGACTGACCGTCGCTGGTCTAGAAGGCCTTGCTCGATTGTTGACATTGTTGACCAACTATTTTAAAGTCGAGATAGGGGCCCGGCTCCTTGAGCATATGAAGGTCATCGCAGACGAGCAGCTTCTTCAGAAGGTATCGTTTGGGCTTATTGAACAGAACCCACAGATGAAGATTGTGACCGCGATATTCAATATTTTCCATCTCCTTCCCTCGGCAGCGACAAGCTTCATGGCGGATCTCGTGGACAGTGTCCTTGACCTCGAGTCGAAGTTGCGCCGGACAGTTGCCAGTCCGTTCCGCCACCCGTTGATCCTTTACCTGGACAAATATCCGCAAGACTCATGGACCTTTTTCCAGTCACGCCTGCAAGAGGAGAAGTATGGAAGGTTCTTTGGACAGATCTTGGCTTCTGATTCCAGTTCAAATCTACGCAAGGTTGTCATGAATGACGCCGAAACGCTGAGCAAGGCCGCTTTCGAGGTTGACGAGGATCAGGACAAGAACACGGCAGCCATCAATGGCATTTTCATTGTCCATTCAATATGCTTGTTCGACACCGCTAAAGACTGGCTACGCGGGCAGACTCAGCTGCGAGCCAAGGTCCTGTCAGCTGGCCAAGAGCTTGAGGGGCAGTTGCGAAGAGATACTTTACAACCTTCGCAGCGACTACGGGTCGAACAAACAGGTGATCAGGTGATGGATATTGTGACCCTGTATCTGGAGTCGGCGCCAGAAGATCTCGACTTCATGATGGAAGTCTTCTCGGCTTCGGCCCAAGGAAACATCAAGACACCGCTGACATTGACCAAATATCTCTTCAATTGTATCATCACAGACAATTCGACACAGCAACGGTTCAACATCATTGAGAGGTGTCTAGACGTCTACGCCCAGAGAGCCGGATCTCAGAAAGTCAAGACTTTCCTTCTCCACAATGTGGTCAATCCGATCATGGCGAGAGATGTGCAGAATTCGCGACGCGAGGACAACAAGGCCGGCCCCTTGGGGGACCAGAAATTGTTCAACATGTTTCTGGAGCGCTTGTGGAAACCTGCTGCATCTGAAGCGCCCGACGACTCGTCGCAACCAGGCATCGATCACTCTCGGATGGAGGCACTGCAGCTTTCGGCGTTCATATTGAAGTATCACAAGGACGAAGTTTCTGAAGATCGTAAGGACATCATTAAGTACTCGTGGGGACACATCAAGCTGGAAGATGTTATCAACAAGTATGCGGCTTATGTTCTCATCTGCTACTTCATTCGGTCGTACGACACTCCACCAAAGATCGCTGTGCAGATCTACAATCAACTACTGAAAGCTCACCAGAATGAAGGTAAAGCTCTGGTCACTCAAGCATTGGAAGTTTTAGCCCCGGTGTTGCCTGTCAGAATGGGAGCCAACCTCCCTGGTGACAAGCGATCTCCACATTGGGCTCGCTTACCACGCAAGATCCTTAATGAGGAGACCGGCAACTTGCAACAAGTTCAGAGCATTTTCAACTTCATTGTTCGCCAACCTGACCTCTTCTATGAGTCCCGGGAATACTTCATTCCAACCATCATACAGATGCTCCACAAAATCGCTCCGCCACCGAATCCGTCAAACGAGAACAAGAAACTCGCATTGGCTTTGGTTGCCTTGATCCAACAGTGGGAGACGCGTCGGGTTTCTGCAGTGTCTCCTTCGCAGTCTGCCGCCGAGCTTACCCCTTTGCTCAAACGAGACTCGTCTGGCACTCCTACTCTGGCACCACCATCGACCAAGGAAAAGTCCGAGTACTTGATCCCAGTGGAACTACGTACTCTTGTGGTCAAATACATGATCACTCTCATCACCTCTTTGCCGGAGCGGTACCCGGTGCCCGCGGCAGAGCTGAAAGCCAAGACGATGCAGAAAGCTCAACAGCAGTCCCTATCAAATGATATGTGCAAGAAGGCTGTGCAGCTTCTCCGTGAGCTGCTGGCTCCAAATCTTTGGGCTGACGTCGATGTCGGCCTCTACGAGAAGTTACTCGATCCAATCCTTAGCGGTGACAAGGCGGACAAGGCAGATGAGAAACAATTGACGTGTATGATCAATGCCTTGCAGGTTATGCGCATCTTACTGGGCACCAAATCGGATGAGTGGATAATCAACCACATGGAAAATATCCAAAAGTTGCTCGAGAAGCCCCTGAAGATGGACGACCCAGAGATCCAGGATTGTTTGCACTTTGTCACTGACGACAGCAAGACCTTACCGCTTGTGCGTCGTGTGCTTGAGGCTATCCCTAAGCAAAGAAACGAAGACGAGGACGCGATGGAATTGGATTCGATTCCGTCAGACTTCCCGACTCGTTACTCAAAGGTTCTTATTGGCGAAGGCCTATCGTCAGGCAACTATACATCCGCGATCAACAACTTGTGGACATTATCTATCGTGCGACCTACTGAGGTTGACGATCATATCAACGGAGCGATGAAGGCCTTGCAACAGAAGCTGGCGAAAGACCACATCAATGCCTACGTCATTCCACCAGGACCTCCTCCACAGGGCTGGCGTTTGGGCGAGCCACTTATGGACTCCTACGAGTTTGCCCTTGGCGTGGATCTTATCAAGAAAACAATTGATATCCTCTCTTCACGCATGGGCGAGCTCAATGAACAGCGCCGACCATTCTTGAGCGTGCTTGCTTCACTCGTTGAGAAGTCCTTCAACGTTGAAATGTGCAGCAAGGTTCTAGATATGGTTGAGAAATGGGTTTTCAACTCGACTGAGCCCTGGCCGACTCTTAAAGAGAAGACGGCCGTGCTCCACAAGATGCTCATCTTTGAGAAGTGGCCGAATCAAGCGCTTCTCGAGAGGTTCCTGGAATTGGTAATCAAAATCTACGAGGACCCGACGGTGACAAGAACAGAGTTGACAGTCCGATTGGAGCATGCTTTCCTCATCGGTACGCGTGCCAAAGATGTGGACACACGCAATCGGTTCATGAGTATATTCAACCGCGCCTTGTCTAAAACTGCCAGTTATCGATTGAACTACGTCTTGACTTTGCAGAATTGGGATACTTTGGCCGATTCATTCTGGCTGAAGCAAGCGTCGCACCTCATCATGGGTTCCGTCGAGATGTCCATGCCTGCACGGCTTCACGCTGAGGATGTTCGAGTCTGCCCACTGTCTCAGTTGTTCAGTCCGAACCTCGTCAATCCGGAGCAGGGCCAAGATGACCTGCTCATTGAGGACGGTCTAGAGGCCCTTGTGCTCGCGGAGCGTCGTTTCAACCAAGAGATTCATGATGTCAAAGTACGTGATCTTCTAGATCCTATCACTCAATTGCAACACACAGACGACAGCCTGGCCTACGATGTCTGGGTCAAACTCTTTCCGCTATGTTGGTCAGCTCTGAACAGAGACGAGCGTCTTGATCTCGAAAAGGGAATGGTCACGCTTCTCACGAGGGAGTACCACCAACGACAGCTCAACCTGCGTCCCAATGTTGTGCAAGCCTTACTTGAAGGTGCCGTTCGAGCAAGACCGAGATTCAAGGTCCCACCACACGTTATCAAATTTCTAAGTAGGACGTACGACGCTTGGTACACAGCACTCATTGCGTTGGAAGAGTCAACTGTGGATCCTCTCATCGATACGCCTCAGGTCCGGGAAAGCAACCTTGACGCTTTGGTTGAAGTCTACGCTGGCCTTCAGGAGGACGACCTATTCTATGGCACCTGGAGACGACGATGCAAGTTTATGGAAACAAATGCAGCTTTGTCATATGAACAGCATGGAATGTGGGATAAAGCTCAACAACTTTGGGAAGCAGCGCAAGTCAAAGCGAGGACCGGTGTCGTCCCCTTCTCACAGGGGGAATATTACCTGTGGGAAGATCATTGGATGATCTGCGCTCAGAAGCTTCAGCAATGGGACATACTGGGGGAGTTTGCCAAACACGAAAACTTCAGTGACCTCCTCTTGGAATCAGCGTGGAGAAACTACGAGGCTTGGTCTGGTGACGAGAATCGTAACCAATTGGATTCTATGATCAAGTCTGTCTCAGACGCTCCGACTCCGAGACGAACGTTCTTCCAAGCCTTCATGTCACTTCTGCGATACAACTCCAAGCAGGTGTCCCGCGCCGAGTTCCAGCACGTTTGCGACGAAGCCATTCAATTGTCCCTTCGCAAATGGCACCAGCTCCCAAAAAGGCTAACCAATGCTCATGTGCCTATTCTTCAAAGCTTCCAACAATTGGTAGAATTACATGATGCAAGCGTCATCTGCGACAGCTTGATGTCCACAAATGAGCGAAATCTTGACACCAAGTCTCAGGAAGTTAAGCTCCTTCTGCAAGCCTGGCGAGACCGCCTGCCGAACATCTGGGACGATATCAATGCATGGCAAGACCTCGTGACCTGGCGCCAGCATGTATTCCAGCTGGTCAACTCGACATATCTTCCACTTTTGCCTCAGGGTGGCAACAACGTCGGTAACAATTCTTATGCATTCCGCGGCTACCATGAAACCGCCTGGATCATCAACAAATTCGCACACGTTGCACGAAAGCACCAGATGCCGGATGTCTGCATTAACCAGCTCGGGAAGATCTATACTCTTCCCAACATAGAGATTCAGGAAGCTTTCCTCAAACTCAGAGAGCAGGCAAAGTGCCACTACCAGAACAAGAGCGAGTTGAACAATGGTCTGGACGTCATCAATAACACCAATCTTAACTATTTTGGTGCTCAACAAAAGGCCGAGTTCTATACGCTCAAAGGCATGTTCTTGGCTAAACTACAACACGCGGAGGAGGCGAATGAGGCTTTTGGCGTCGCCTTGTACTACGATCTGCGCTTGCCAAAGGCATGGGCGGAATGGGGTCAATACTCCGATCGAAAATTCAAGGAGAACCCTGCCCTCATTGAGGCTGCCAGCAACGCCGTCAGTTGCTATCTAGAAGCTGCCGGGCTCTACAAGAGTGCCAAATCACGCAAGATGCTCAGCCGAGTCCTGTGGTTGCTCAGCCTTGACGACGAGGAAGGGCATGTCGCCAAAGCGTTCGAGGACTTCAAGGGCGAAACCCCTGTGTGGTACTGGACTACCTTCGTACCGCAACTACTCGGCAGTCTGGAGCACAGAGAAGCGCGTCTCGCGAAGTCGGTGTTGGTGAAGATAGCCAAGGCTTTCCCCCAAGCACTTTTCTATCACTTACGTGCTACCCGAGAAGAGTTCCTGACGAAAAAGAAGCAATTTGAAGCCCAGAAACGTCAACAGAAAGCGGGACAAGACAAAGCTGAGAAGTCAGATGGTGGTTCGCGGCCGGGTACAGCCAACGGCGAGAGTGCAGCTAATGGATCAACATCCCCTAAATTGAAGCAAGAGCCCAATGGGGATGGGCAGGCGAACGCCACGACAAATGGGACCGCCGAAGCCGAGACGAAAGAAGAACCCAAGAAGCCATGGGATCATACAGATGAGATCATGGCAGGCTTGAAGACTGCTTTCCCATTGCTTGCTCTGTCCATGGAAACAATGACCGACCAACTTTCGAAGCACTTCAAATGTCCCCCAGATGAGGATGCGCACCGACTTATCGTTGCGTTGCTGAACGACGGCCTAGCCTACATCAGCAGAGCTCCAATCACCTATACGGAGGGCGCCAAGTTGCCGCCTTCGACTGAGGCGAACATTGCCAGATTCGTGACCTCTGTTCTTCCTGCTCACATTCGGAAGTCTTTCGAAGCCGACTTCGTCCAGACCAAGCCGACGATGTTTGAGTACATTCACAAACTGCGACGATGGAGAGACAAATTTGAACAGAAGCTTGATCATCGTCAACAGTGGGCAGCCCTGGAGTCATACAGCCATCATTTGAGCGAGTTCAAGTTCCTCAAGTTCGATGACTCGGTTGAGGTTCCAGGTCAATACCAGCAACATAAGGACAAGAATACCGACTTCGTCCGTATCGAACGATTTATGCCAACTGTGGAGCTTGTCCGAGGAAACAGCATCTGCCATCGCCGACTTACCATTCGTGGTCATGACGGGTCATTGCATCCATTCGCTGTTCAACACCCCACTGGTGGCAAGGTTCGCCGAGAAGAACGCATCGTGCAGCTGTTCCGCATCTTCAATCAAACCCTAGCCAAGCGCAAGGAGTCTCGTCGTCGCAATCTGTACTTCCACCTACCGATATTTGTGCCTATTGCGCCATATATCCGGCTTGTCCAGGACGACTCTTCTTACGTGACCCTACAGTCAGTCTATGAAGACTATGTTCGTAAAGCCCCTGGCATGTCACGCGATGATCCTATGCTATTCCTTCTCGAAAAATCGCGGACCATCGCAGAGCAGCAGAAGTCTCAGCCACGCACGCCCGATCAATTGGCCGTCATGAAGACTGAGATTTTCAACACCATCCAGGAACGTTGGGTGCCGAACAACCTTGTGCTGCGATACTTCCAGGACATTTACCCCAGCTTCGCGGACTTCTGGCTGTTCCGTCGACAGTTCGCCTACCAGTTTGCGGCGACCACGTTCATGACCTACATCATGCACATGTCTGCGCGGTATCCGATGAAATTCTCCATCTCCCGCTCTACGGGTGACATCTGGGCCAGCGATTTGCTACCTAACCTGAACTCTGCACGTGCATACTTCTTCAACCCCGAAGCCGTGCCGTTCCGTCTGAGCCCCAACATACAAACGCTCATGGGCCCCTTAGCCGTCGAGGGTATATTCACGGCTTCGTTGATGGCGATCGCGAGGTGTCTAGCCGAGCAAGATCAAGGATACGAGATGGAGCAGCAACTCAGCATCTTTGTACGGGACGAGATGTACAATTGGGCGGCTGGCCGGTCTTCGGCGAACAATCCCAACGAAGCGAAGATGGAAGGTCAGCACCTGAGAGAATCGGTCGCGCAGAACGCCGACTTCATTGTTCGTCGGGCTCTTACCTTGGCCAAGACCCAAGGCAGTGTGGGCAGTGCAGGCAGTGAAGGAAGTGGTGTCACGGGCGTTTTGCCTGCTTGTCAGAATGTGGTGGACCTGGTGAGTCGGGCTACGGACCCGATGAAATTGAGTGCCATGGATGGATTGTGGATGCCCTGGCTCTGAGAGAGAGAGCACATCTTGCAAGATGTTGGCTTGATGAGACTGAGGTTCGAAGGCGTTAAACGTGCCTGGCTGGGCAGAGATGATGACTGTGAATGTGCTATGACCGGCGTCGAGGCCAACGGAGTCTTGGGCCATTGGGCAGGGCAATTGGATTTACTCGAATGGCAGCAGGCACAGGAGGTGCTGTTGCCTTTCTTTTCACCTTTTTTCCCTTATTTTTCTTGTGCTATGAGATGTCGAGGTCGTTGACGAATTTTGCTGCCATCAGGGCAATGGCATCTGTACGAAAAAAGTTCTGCCGGTCTATTATTGCACGGGAGGCATGTCCTCGATCGGCGTGGATATGGCCAGCGTTTGTTTGCCTGCCCGTCTGGGCCGTCTCGGTATTCTTAATAGGGAATTGAATTGCACTTGACGTTCTGTACGATTTGCGAGGTCGGAGGTTTCTAAGTTGGTTCTCGCTTCAATACTAGTATTTGTGCTGTTGAAGAGTGCTAGTACCTCTACCTCAAAATGCATAATTACAAAGCTCGTAAGTCGCCAACATACGCCTAGAGGAAGTTGAACACGCTCAACACGAATGAACTATGCATTATCACTACAATCGTACTGCATTGTCGGCGCCCTGGCTTGACGGGAGCCATCCTTTGCCAATCCAGCACCTCAGAGAGATGGTGACCATCCCGACTCACCATCATCAGCATCGTCAAATCGGCTCGCCTGCAGCTAAGCCGGCTCGTCAGCTTCATTATTTCCAACACAGTGTGGCGTCAAACAACGCTATTCAATGAGTTATAGGCCTTTGACCTCATATAGGCTATCCAAGATTGTCGTCCCCAGAAGACGAAATCCAGGTCCGCCAACAATCAGTGAGCATCAACTTATGACAACCTTCATTTGCGAGAATCACTCTTGGCCCGCGTGCTGCCTCGGGTTGATCACAGCCAACACAACTGCTAGGTTCTTCTTGGACCAAGAATGACCCATCCGCCATGGTGCAACACATTTGTATGAAGACCGCTCGTCGGCGCGCCGTGGGGGTGGCATCATCTCATAGCTCCTAGAGCTGCATCAAGGATATCATCAGCATCACCATCCAGACGTCGCTCGAGCAAGCGCTCGTTGCTAGGCTGATTCATGGTGGTGTTGGACCTGCCAGAGACAGCTTCCTTGCCTTTGCGCTTCGATCTGACACCGCCGGTGATCGCCATCATAGCTTCTCGCGGCATGGCAGGCTCTTGCCCGTCGAGGTCCATATCTTCTTCAAGAGCCCAATACTCCATTGCACGAGTAAGAAGCGTCCCTGCCACGCCCCCACCTCCAGCATCTCCACCAAGGACTCGGACAGCTTCGTGCAGAGCCATGACAGCATCCCTGGTCCGGCCACCCATGCTGAGGAGAACCAAACCCCGACTGGTATGGATGCTCCCAATCAAATTCCGCTCGTCGTAACCGCTGGCAGCACCACTGGGGCTGACACCCGCGCTTGTGCTGTTCAGACTGAGGTTAGCGAAAGCTGCCATACCACGACCTGGCTCGAAGGCGGAAGCCGGCGCAGATCCTCCTGTCGCAGTGCGCAAGCACTCGTCAAACTCGGCAAGTGATTCTTCAAACCGGCCTAATCGTCGCAGAGAATGTGCCAAGTTTGCTCTCGTAGCAACCCAAGCAGTCATATTGCATCCCAACTCCGCAGCTAGCTCCAAAGCTTTGTGAAACAGTTTCGCCGCCGCTGGCAGATTGGATTGATGATACAATATGACGCCTATCTCGTTGAGCACCAAAGGATCACCACCGAGGTTGCTGTTGTTGAAGATTTTGTTCCCAAAATCCTCCTCTGTACCGCTTTTGATCGCACCACTGCTCTTTTCGAATGCTGCCAGGCAGTACTCCCAAGCAAGCTGCATGTTGTTCAGAGCCAGATGCTGCATACCGAGAAAAAGCTGGGGAAGGTGGCTGCCCTGAAATAGTCTTGCAGCAGTAGAATAAGCGGCTATAGCCTGATCATGTTCTCCTTCTGCAGCAAAGGTATGTGCAAACCCGATCCAGGCAGGGGCGGAATGAGGATCCATCAAAGATGCTTTCGAAAAGAATCGTCGAGCCTCCGCTATACGGAAAGTAGACAGATAATAGGTGCCGATGGCGAGATAGGTGTAGGATTCGTGAGGCGCGTGAGTCGACAAGGTGTGGGAGAGATGAAACAATGTGTTGTGGGATCCGGTCTCAAACAGAAGGGCAAGATGCAGTGGATACAGTCGTGGACTATGACCGAGGGAGGCATTGGTACTGGAAGATGAGCCGTCGAGTGAGCTGTTGGGGTTGGCTTGAGAATTGAGAATGCTTGTCGTAATTGCAAGTGCTTCATAGAATCGGCATTGCGTGTAAAGCGTCTCGGCTCGAGTAAGCAGTAGGTCTGGATTGGAAGCCAAGTTGTAATGGGTAGACAGCGTCTCGGTGGCGTTTGCCAGCGTTGCAGGTGACGAGTATTTCGACAGTCGAGTCGTGTACAGCAGCTTGATGAAGTGTGCGGCTTCCTGGGCCAAGGAGGCATCGTCGATACGGATCGAGTCGAAATCCAACTCTTCCAAGAATGCTAACTCTTCCGCTGGAGACATCATCGAGTTCTTCATAAGCTGGTCAAAGGCCTCGAAGCACTGGACATCGATTCGTACCGCATCCTTGTAACACTCTCTTGCCCTGTCAAAGGCGTTCCTCTTTGCGAAACACAGGCCCCGAAGGTGGCACATGCCTGCCTGGAACTTGAGTTCTTTCTCGGAATCTCTGTCCCGTTCGCGTTCTTCACTGAGTTCTATCCGATCTCTTGGAGCCCTGCCACCTCTGTGCGTGACATTTCTCTGAACATGGCCATTGATGTGTGCCAATTTTCTGCGAGCATTGTGAGACGTTGTGATCAGGTGTGTAGGATTGTCCTCTCCCAGAATGGCAAGGGCTTGATCATATCGGCCTTGTTTGATGTAGCAGTGGGCTGCCAAGTAGCGGCATGACAGGCTTCGACTGACCAGATCTTTTCTTGAGAGCAGGGCAAGGGCACGAGTGAAGTTGTTGTTTCCAAAGTGAACCTGGGCCAGCCAGAATGCGTCCGAATCGTTATCTTGCAGGCAATTAGATTCGAGCCCAAGAACCGATCTTGAACACTCACATACTCGTCAAGGCAAGAACTTTGTCTCCGATATAGATGGCGGCATCGTTTTGGCCCTTGTTCAGGGCGTCTTGTCTCCATGTGCGCAGGTATTTATCCATGGCTGTTGCGCGGTGTTGGAAGGTGACCCATGGGCGAGAGGAAAAGTGTCCAGTCACCTGAGAGGATGTGATGAAGGCATACCAGGACGAGAAGGTGTGAGAAGCACGCTGTAGAGCAAAGGTAAACTCCTCGTGGCCATTATTGACATGGACAAAACATGGACATGGACACGGACATTGAATGCCGGCGCGACTGTGAATGAAAATGTGGGGGAAACTGCGACGCGCTTTCTTCCATCAAAAGTTCGCCGCCTTCTTTCTCTTGACATTCCACTTGACTCAGCACCAGCCGCATGACCATAAGGCTGCAGGCTTCATTCTTGTTATTCTCGTCGCACTCTTCTATCTTCTACATACTCACCCCGCCAATATGTCCGAACGCAAAGTCCTCACAAAGTACTACCCTCCCGAATTCGACCCCTCCCAGATCGCTCGCACTCCCAAACACCTGCGCCCGACAGGTCCCAAGACTATCGCAGTCCGCTTGATGGCCCCCTTCAGTATGAAATGTACCTCTTGTGGCGAATACATCTACAAAGGCCGAAAGTTCAACGCCCGGAAGGAAACCACGGACGAAAAGTATCTCAACATTACCATCTACCGTTTTTACATTCGTTGCACGAGATGCAGTTCCGAAATTACGTTCAAGACCGACCCAAAGAATATGGACTACACCTGCGAAAGAGGAGCAAAGCGGAATTTTGAGTCCTGGCGTGATCCTGAGAGCACCGAGTTGAAGGAAACAGACGAAGAGCGACTGGACAGGCTTGAGAGAGAGGAGGCCGAGGAAGCAGAAAATGCAGAAAGAAATGCCATGGAGGAACTCGAGCAGAAAATGGAGGAGAGCAAGAGAGAAATGCAGGTCGCCGATGCCTTGGACGAGATCATGCAGCGGAATGCACGCATCGAGAGAGGCGAGAAAGGTGGCAAAGAAGAGGAGGCTCTCGCTCAAGTCAGAGACCTTGCAAGGGAAAAAAGAGAAGCCGAGGAGCGGGAAGATGCTGAAGCTGCACGGAGAGCTTTCGAGAGCGCCAGTGTTGCGCAAGCCAGACTTGAGGAGATAAAGCTTCGAAAGCAGGCCTCGAAGCACGACGAAACAGAAAGAGCACCACAACCTCCTCCCTCATTCGAAAGAGTCAAGAAAGTGAAGAATCCTCTTGTTCCTGGCCTGGTGCGGAAGACTGAACCGGCACCGGCACCAGCACCCGCTGTACCTACGAAGCCAGCAGGCCTTGGCCTGGGTGATTACGACTCGGATGAGGACTGAAAGTCAATGACTACGATCGGCAAGCTTGCAGCATTCTGCAAGAGTCTCGTGACGCACGATAATTCAGACGTCGCCCATAGGTCAAGGCATATTCCACCTCGATGGCTTCGCCGACACATAAGGCGGGTTTGGCCAACACCACCTTTGGCTCCTCAACTGAAGGCCTCGGCGCCAAATTTTCGGTTACGGCAGCGATGTGATGGATATGACTTCTTACGACCATGTTGGCCTGACGAAACCTCGATGCAGGCTCCCTTGCTTGCTCTAGCGAACAGAAGCACATCGAGCATGTTTGCTCCCCAACCTCATGCAACCAATGTGAAGGTGATGCTCACAGGCCCACCATGGTCCTAGCGGGGTGCTTTTCGAGTGCGCACAGCGAATTCTGACAAGGAAGTACGGAACCCACTGCCGTGCTTGTCTCCTCGAGAAGGAGAGGTCAACGGCTGCCTTGCCATGTTCCGCTCCATCCAGCAGATGAGCGGGCCGATCGGTGCACATCTTCGAATACGAGTTGAGTTGTCTTCCAGGCCGAAGTGAGGAACTTGGTCCTTGAGACTCATTGATCATTTTAGCTCGTTGGGCTGACGACGATGAAATTTCGCATGTACAACAGCAGTCCATGTTTGTGATTGGTCGGTTTCGGATCTTGCGGAGGTGGTAAGCAGATCTTGGGCAAACAGATGTCCTCTCAGATCAGTCTCTCGGTAAGCGCCCGTCCTTGGTCGTGGGGTCCGCCGTTGTCCGGATCTGTTCACGCCCTACGAGGCTATTGCAAGCCATACCACACCGTTGACTGTCTACTGTTTGCTCGGAATCCGGAAAAGGGACCTTGATGAGGCCACGAGAAAATGATCACCTTGGACACGACCTCCCTAGAAACCAAGGACGGCGCGGCTCCAACATGGACCAAAGTCCTAGTAATAGGCGGTGTGACCAGGCTCCCTCAGCGCGTGGGTATGGCGTTAGATAGTAGCATCTCTTGCGCGTGTGTGTAGACTGTCTTCTAGTCTCGAAAGACCTTTACACAGTCAGGCACAGTACATACGAGATAGTGAGAAGAATCGACTAGCACAGGCTGGGGACAGCAAATGAATGTGGTTGGTCAGATAGGGTCTATAAGCGCCACGCTAGAACATTTCTGGTTGGCGCGTGGTGATAGGCCCCTCTTGGCTGCAGACCTCTTTCACCTCTTCCCATCTTTCCAACAATTGCATCCCTCCACTTTCATTCGCTATCTGCATACCTCCAAGCGCCCGACAGCTTCTCCCTAGACCTTTTTAATGCTCAAGAGTGCAGTCAAATCCCTTTTCACTTTGAGTCTATTCCCCTCTGGCGCTTCTGAGACACGCCTGGTGCCGTGCTGCAGCATTAGTCGGTTGCTCGACCATCAAACCCGAGTTCCTGGGTCAAGGGTTCCTGCAGTAGCAAGTCTCCCTCCGTGCGTCTTGGCCTAGGAAGCCCTTTTCTAAGCGCACAACAAATGCATTGACAGGAGGCTGCTCCAATGAAGCCGAAGCTTGACTGTTTCGATGTGCATCCAGATTCCGTGACCCCAATGAGACATTCACATCTCGTACGACCACCAGGTGGACAACCCGTGTCCAGAAAACTCGCATACGTGCTATCTTGATCTAAAGTGAAGTCGAATCCATCCAAAAGTTCTTCTCTTTGCTCCCCTCGAGACTCCAAGGTTGACATTATTAGGTCTGTGGCTTTGCGACCGGAGCCCTTTTCCTTCCAGTCCTGCAATTTGGTGTCTGTTGCCCGTTGAAGACCCCGACGTGTGGACTCAGGCTCTCAGCTTCAGCATGTCTGTAGCAAGCGGTTCTCCACCTTCTCCGTCAACAGATGGGCTTCCACCTTCATCCTATGACGGGAGCCATTTGCCCTGGCGGACGTTTCGACAAGAAGTACTATCACCTCACAGTATCCGCGTGCTTGAAACCCCGCCAAAAGAGCGCATTCCAGCATCATTTCTCAAAATCATCGAAACGGCAAGTCAGGACACAGCACGATTTGACAACCAAAAGACCTCCTTCTGGAACCAGGTCTTGACGGGACGAGGCTTTGGTCCTTCGCCGTTGTTTCCTCCAAATCTCCTTCCGCCTATCGAGAAAGAGTCATGTCTCGCACGATGCATGGTCCCCTCCTTCAGTCGAGAGGCACTCCCGGACAGAGCGATGAACCGACTTGGACCTCTTTACGAATTGTCGGTACCACATCCAGGACTCGGATGCGGCTTTTCAGCACAAGGTTTCACGACGCAAGAACTGGCATGCCTTCCGCACTGGCTCCAAGTAACGGGAACGATGGTGCATTTTAACACAGGTTATGTCTCTCCTGGCGCAACTATGTACTGCCCATTTCTCACCTTCGAACGAGCCTACGGCAACAATCAGCACCGTGTGGAATCCGCGAACAATCAGTGCGCCATTGGTGGAGCATACTCCGCCCGAGCCCTGCAAATGCTGTATGCCAGAGCGTGGAAAGGCGAAATGATGCCTGAACTTCCGGTAACCTTCTCCTGCACCATCGACAACAGCTTCGCCTTACTCAATCTTCACTGGATAGACCATGGCCAGGCTTACTGTATGGCACCACTCTGTCAATTTGACCTAAGCAAGGATGTTCACTTCAGCAAATTCCTGGTGTGGATCCAAGCAATCGGCGACTGGGCGCTGACCCATGTTCTGCCGCTCGCCAAAGAAGCTGTCCATCGCCTCCAAACAGCTACCAGTGTTCCTCCTACACCTGGAGTGCACCCCGCCAAACTTAGACTAGACACTCGAATGAACAACAATGAGCTCATCATGTCGTCGTTGAAGACTGCGTTTGATGATATTCCCTGGCGCTTCGACGGTGATGATTATACACCAAGCTGCAGCAGTACCGCTAGCTGGGGCAGTCCCATGGTGACTGAGGTCACATTTCAGAATGTCAATTACCCAGCCGTCCGGCCTCCGCGTAGCAATACGATGGATCCTTCCACACTCGCCAGGAAGCGCAGCGCAAAAGCCAACCCCGGCCCGGCCACACCACCGCCCGCATATTTACAGAACCAGGATATGGTCTGGCAGAAACGATTCAATCATGCTATGGACGAAATTCGCGAGCTGCAGCAGCAAATGCAAACTCTAAAGAGAGATTTAGGCACTACCCAGACAGCGCTGCGTGATGAGATGATCTCAACCAAGTCTGGTAGCGAATCGAGTACGCTATCAACGCCGATAGTGGCATCATCAAGTCAGATTGCAGCTACCGTGAAGTCCTCCCCACGCTTGATCACGATCAAAGTGTGGCGGTGCGCGAGTTTTGCACTGACAGGATACATTCTGTCGTCTTTCATTCCCAACATGATGGTACGAACCGCAGCATGGGGCTGTATCGCGAACGCCTGCGCGTTTGCTTTCGCTGGTCCAAGCCTTTTCAACCCCATAGCCATTGGAAAGGTTGGGCTACCTTTTTGGCCCAGAAAGAAGTGATATACAGATCAGATTTGGGAGCGCGATTTTGTGACGGTATTTTGCACAAGCCCATTTATCTCAAAGTTATTGTCAGTCCTTTCGGCGAGGCGTTGGTGCTCAACAATACTAATGTCTCTGGGTGTGGTCTTATGAGATGTTGGGGGAAATTGGCCGTCTACTTTTGGCAACCCGTTCATGACGAAGGCCGAGTGTGCATATGACAACCCATTGAACCCTCTACGACGTCACTCACTTTACCACAGCAATGAGCGAACCGTCATGGTTCTTTCCTCCAACCGTCTGCATTACAGTGGCATCGACTCTCTCGTCCTTACCCACCATCTCGACCAAATTCGTGACACTGGCGTCGTTCTCCGCCGGTCCAACTGCGCCAATTTCCAACAACTGCTTCACGACGTTATCTACGTACACGACGCTCCCTTTACCCTTGGACAGCTTGACACCCCAATCAAAGTAGGCCCATTGATTATCCCAATCTGCGTCGATGAAGATGAAATCGAACTTCTCGCGCTTGCCATGGTCGATCTCCTTAGCCAGACGGGGCAGGATATCCAGCCCCGCCCCAAGCAGGATGTCGACTTGGTCGGGGATCTTGACGCCGGCATACTTGAGGTTCTCGATCGCCACATCACGCCTGTCCGGGTTGATTTCGACGCTGGTCAGTTTTCCACCAGCACCGGAAGTGTTGAGCGCCTGCGCAAGCCATAGCGCCGAGTAGCCGCCTAGAGTGCCGATTTCAAGGATGTTCTTGGCCCGGGACATGCGGGCTAGCAGAGAGATGAATTTGCCTTGAGATGGGGACAGGGCGATCTCCGGGATGCCATGAGCGCTGGTGTTGCTGTAGGCGTGTGTGAAGGCTGGAGTGGGTGGGATGAGAAGCGATTCGGTATACTCTGTGATCTCGTTGGCGTGGGTGACGGTTTCGACGGACATTATGGAAGAGAGACTTCGAGTGACTCTACAGTGTCAATCCAAAGAGTTGATGGATGTCTGAAGAATGTCTCGACAGGATCTGAAGTTGAGCGAGCTTATATAGGCTGATTCGAGGCCCAGCTCCGAGAGCAAGCAAGCAGGTTTCACGACATGTGCTCAAAGACAAGCATGCCTCCAGGCAGCAACGTTATTGTCTGGACGAATGTGTATCGTACGAATGAATCGTGACGGAGCGGATGCTGGCTGGGAGGTTGTATGAGTGATATTTCTGCGCTCTGGTGACGGAGTCACTGCTGTTACTTGTATACGCAGGTTCGAATGTGAGTGGTTGGTTACGTGTGTACTCTGCTAGTAGCTAGTACTAACTCTATTTGCTTTTAGCAAGTCTAGGCCTAGGAAGGTTAGGTAAACACTGCCTATAGACCTGACCGTGTGATTAAACGTAAGGGTCTTGTGGGATTAGGGACATCTCGAGGGGAGATGTCAGACTATATACCTGCGTACTAGCGTCAGAGGCATTACCACCGTCGTCGCCCGAGGCCCTGTCTTTACAAGACTTGGCGCTTTGGTAATCACAACCGTTAAATCGTCAAGGCACGTGAGCATCGTCGCTGCCCGCCATGCTACCTACAGTACGGAGTATTCCCCTGGGAGTCATTGGTCATTCGGTCTGGGCCCCACGAGGTTTGCTGGCGCCTCAGCCTAACGGCATCTAAAGTGCTAGGTCGAACTCTCAAACCCATTCCCATCAATTATGGCACACGTCAACAGGATGACATTGTGCAAATATTTCCAGCAAGGTTCCTGCAGGAATGGGGAGGCTTGCACCTGGAGACATGAACGGGACACCAACACCCTGAGGTATGCCGAGCCCGTGGCTTCCTGCCTTCCGGCCATCGGAGGACTCTGTATCAATCGGCAAGCCAGGTCAAATACGATAGTATGCAAATACTTTGTGCAGGGCAAGTGCACTAAGGGGAACGAGTGCGACTACCTTCATCCTTCCACCAGACCCCCATCGCAGCAAGCCCAGGAAGACGCGCTCTCACGGAATGGATCTGTCAGCCGACAGCATACGAATTCTTTCCAGGGACCACAGGATTCTCGGGCAGGTATTCCGTGCAGGTATCTCTCACTCCCAGGAGGCTGTCAAAAAAGCCTTTGTCCATTTCTGCACGCCGAGAAGAACTACGAAGCGGAGAGAGGCGACGCCCGCGATGTCGAGGCAGACGAAGACGATGTAAGCAGTGGCTCCTCTGCCTCCTCTGGAAGTCGTTGTTGATATCGTGCATAGGATCAAGAGCATGAAGATGATTTTACGCGTAGCCTGGCGGGAGCTTCAATTCATTTCAATGGCTCTGGCGAGGTGGACAAACTCACCCTCCCAGCAGACTATTCTCGCGCGTGCGTTACAGGCATTGCTGCCGGAACAACAAACGAACAAATTGTCGACATTCTTCGTGGCCTAGGCTTCGAATTCGACGTCCATTCCACCCATATCCTTCTTCACACGACTTTATCAGAGACGAAAGCCACTGTGAAAGTCAAGGATCCGCATTTCGCCAAAGAACTAGCCACGAGGCTTAAAAATCAGCATTCAACACTCAGTGCAATGCCCATACCGATTGACACCCGACAGGCAAGTTGCAGAAAAGTCTACATCTCTTGGCACAAAGCCACGAAAAGTGTCTGGTTGAATTTCGGCAACGGCAACATAGCATACAGAGTAGCAGAGAAATTCAACAAGAGTGAATATAAGTGCCTAGGACAGTCAGTCAAATCCAGCATAGCGAATCAAAGTAAAGGTCGGGGGCGTGGAGCTCTGGGTTACAACCCCGTAGCTTGGACTATCACGCTGAGTGATGTACCTGGTTGTGCAACCCAAGAAGATGTCAAGGCAGCCATCGCCTCCTCTCATGATACACCACGTCACATTGAGATGGGACCAGCCAGCTACTCAGTCTCCGACGCCGAGGTCAGTGTTGAAGTGCGCAAGCTTCTAGAAAAGCATGGCCAACTCGAGAGTTTCCGTCTCGCACCTGCGTCTGGAGGGAAGCGGGTGAAAGTGTCGGCTTGGTTTGGTGAGGAAGCAGACGCAAGATCGGCGTGCTCGCTGAACAACCAGTCACTGGATATCCTAGGAAAGGGGAAACTCACCGTGGCGCTAGTTCAATCTGCCAAGGTCAAGGTTCGAACGACAATTTACCTGGCCTGGAAGAAGAGGATCGATGAGGAAGCCAAGACCTGGAGACAAGAGCATCTCACCTTCCATGTTTATCCAAATGGCTCGCACAGCACATTGAAAGTTGAGGGAAGCAGCACGAAAGATGTGGTTCGCGCTCTCAAAATACTGAATGAAATTTCGGAGGGCGTTGTCCTTACCGACGGCGGAACCTCAGTCTGGAGCTCTATTCTCGGCAGCAATGGAGTGGCGTACGGGAGACTCAAGGTGATCGAGAAGGAACTCCAGGTGGTCATCGACAGGTCCAGATCGAAGCGTCAGCTCCGCTTTTATGGGCCTCCAGAGAAATACCAACAAGCCCTTCATCTGATCTCCACCATGCTTGAGGAAGAGTGCAGACCAACCTACGAAATCAAGCTTGACCCTGATCATTTTGCTTGGATGATGAAAGGCGGGTCCAAGAGCATCGAACGGGCTTTGGGAACTGACGTCGCCGTTCTTGATGTGGTCTCGAAGAAAATGGCCATTCGCGGCACACAGCAGCAATATGATGCCGCACTGGCAGTCATGGAGGGCAGGACTGAAAATGAGATCCGGAAGATCTTGGACGGTCCCTTTGTACTTGAAGGGGATTGCCCGATTTGCTTTTGCGAAGCCGACGCTCATATACAGGCCTCGTGCAAGCACACATACTGCCTGGAATGCTTCGAAGGAGCTTGCCAGGCCGCTGCATCGACGAGCAAAGGCGAATTTCAAGTCAAGTGCCAAGGTGCTGATGGGACTTGCCCGACCATACTTTCGCTAAAGGAACTCAAAACCCATCTTTCGTCGTCCGTCTTCGAAACCGTCCTCAAGTCGTCCTTCGAAGAATACATCCGACGTCGCCCCGAGACCTTTCGCTGCTGCCCGACGCCGGATTGTGGCTACATCTATCGTTGTACTATAGCCTCTGACGGGAAATCTCCACCTTACACCTGTCGAAACTGTTTTGAACCGATCTGCACCTCTTGTCATGAACGACATGGCGACTACTCTTGCGCCGAGTACAAAGACATTAAATCCGGCGGCTACGAGGCACTCAGGAGGCTCAAAAGCGAGCTTAACATCAAGGACTGCCCGAAATGTACGACACCGATGGAGAAGACCGAAGGGTGCAATCATATGACTTGCGTGGCTTGCAAGGCGGATATCTGCTGGGTGTGCATGTCAGTGTTCGAGGAGAGAGAGCCTTGCTACGCCCATATGAGGGAGGTTCACGGCGGCATTGGCCTTGACCATCTCAGGCGATTTGTAGACTAGACTTCACTTGCCAGGGCCATTCCGGAAACCGCCATACAGTTGCTTCTCCGTTCATCTCCCATTTTCCTAGATCTGCTCGAAGGCATCTGCACCGGGCCGGCGGACGAATCCTCCCACGTGACTGCCCGTATCACGTGCTGTATCCCTCCATTGCAGCGACACTTACTACGTAGTACCTACCTCACGTGCGACCTGTAGGTATCAAGCGTGCTCACAACTTCGCCTTCAGACTGACAAGTTTACAACCACAGCCTTGTGCGATATCAAACCTCCATACCGAGTACACCACCCCCTTTCGCAACCAAATACACCTACAACATGATCACCATCACAGCACGAGATGTGCAGGCCACAATCCAAGCAGCCCAGTGTTGCATGTGCAATGGCGCTTTACGGTCGAACTTGGTCCGCGGCACTAGGAAGAAGACGCAGCTGTTACGAGACTAGCCGATGGTAGGCAGCGAGTACATAAACAGTTGCTTGCCCCTCTTCTTTCTTTCCTTCTCTCTTCTTCTCTCTTTTCTCTTCTCCTCTGGGGCTACTAGGTGGGTTCGCCAGATTTGTACTGCGGACCTGATATCCATTGTCTTTTCTGAAGCTACATAGACGCATTTTTGGATCAACCCAACCCAATTTAACTCAACTTCATCGGCCATCATGTCTTCCACCATGACCAAACAAGACGACGACGACCGCCAATACCCCAAGATCAAGATGTACACCAACCACGGCTGCGGATGGTGCCATCGTGTGCACATCACCCTGAAGGAGCTTGGCCTGGACTATGAAGAAGTCTTTGTCGACCTCGACAATCCGAGACCGGACTGGTTCTTGAAGCTCAATCCGGTATGCAGCCTCGTCGCCCGTCACCAGCAGCACTGAGCCTTCTTTGATGATGATGATGATGATGATGATGATGATGATGATGATGATGATGATGATCATGCCCTGCTGTTGGGCGGCGGCATATTACTACTCCCACTGTCCTCTTCTATCATCCTTTCCCGCTGCGGCTACAAATTTCTGGGCACACCCAGCCATCTCCCGCACGGCCTCCCCAAGTCTGCATCGTTGTCCCCATATCTATTATTCCGGTCCTCCCTCCTTCCTCCCCTGACAACCAAACCAGCACTGACACTCTCCTCCTCAGCGTGGCCTCGTCCCCGTCTTCCAATACACAGGCACACCTTCATCCACAACCCTCACCCTGACCGAGTCCAGCCACATCGTCTCCTTCCTAACAGACCTCTACCCATCGCACCTCACCCCAGCCATCTCGCTCTCAACCTCAACCTCAACCTCATCCTCACCATCGCCCTCATCCTCACCTGACGACATCGCAATCGCCAAAGCCCACCTGCGCTATCGCATGTCCTTCTTCATAGACACCTTCTTCTCCAAAGTCAACCCATACATGTTCAAGCTCGTCGGCGCCGACAACGACGAAGCCCAGGCCAAACTCGTCGACGAATGCATTGCCCTGCTCGAAAAGGAAATCGAGCCTCTCCTCGCCGATGCCAGTCCCTACTTTGGAGGAAGTGACAGGATCACCATTGTCGAGGTAAGATCTGACCTCGACCCTTCAACCTCCGCTTGGCTCCCTAAATTCTCCTCTCTCTCCCCCTTCCTCTTCCTCGCCCAATTTACCCCATCCACATCCACATACATGCCACAGACACCATCGAATCCTCCAAACTGTCACCCATCTCACTCACTCACTCACTCACACCCCTTGTTCGTGTTCAACAGGCCATGACAACCCCCTTCACCCTCCGCCTGCACGACTTCGCCAACGGCCAAATATTCCCAACCTCGCTGGCCGAGCGCATGACGGCTAGTCCCACACTGCCTAACTTCGGGCGCTGGGTGAAACGCTGCATGGCCCATCCCAGCGTCACCTACGTCTGGGACAAGGAGTACTACCTGCCCCGGATCGTGGAGCGACTGCCGCAGGCCAAAGCGAAATATGCTTCAAAGTAAATAGTACCCAAGGGTTCAAGCAATCATCGAGCACTCGGAGTCGCTGACTTCGTCCCGGGGGGGGGCAATGGATCCGGTAGAATAGCACCGTCAGCAACTTAAGAACTCTCGAAGAAGAGGAAAAAGGGGGCGGGAAGCATCCAGATTGACAGCCAAGTTGTTTCGCGTTTCGGGATCACGCATATTTTGGTAGACTGAAATGAGAAGTAAAGTGAAATCAAGAGGCACAACAAGGCTTTGAAATAAAAAGTCCTCTCTGATTTTTCGGGTGCTCATGCGTGATCACGCCTATCAAGCCCTGTAACGTACCTAGGTAGGTAAGTAAGGTGGGTAGGGTGTACCGATGTACGGTGGCTGTGTATGAGCCTACTTCACACCTCGCAGCCAAAACGCCTTCCCCTCCCCTTTTCGGGTTCAGCATGTGTTCTGCCATTGCCATCGACTCATCGACTCATCCTCTCATCAGCCCATATATACATGCCGCTGCATATTCATATTCATATTCATAACCGTGACTCATTCCACCACTCTCATAGAAGCCGCGAGGCAAATATAAGTATATCGAACAAAATGTGATGCAGTGTAACTTTCCATCTGTATTTGGTTTTTGGGCTGTTTGAAAAATGTTTTTGTTTTGATCCTCTGATGGTGATGGTGAGGTACAGTCTCGACGAAGCTGTTCGTCAGACATATTGAACTGGCACAGGCCCACCATTTCTGCTCCACCAAGTCATTCATCCATCTCAACAGGTCCGTACGGCGGCATACAGGAGCAGGCGTGCCGTAACGAGTCAGGCCGCTTCACACTTCTGCATGCAATGCTACCCATAAGAGTGTCAAACCAATTGATCACTTATCCCAGCCTGCCCTGCCGGAACATATCGATCTTCACCTTCTGCTCAGACTCTAAACTCTGATAGTACCGCTCGGCTAGCGTCTCAGGATCATTTTGCTGACTCATTGCCATAAATGGCGACTTGTACACAGTTGCCGCAGCTTCGTGCTTCTGAATATAATACGTTGACACACGTCCCCAAAATCCACCCCGATCACGCCAATTGATCAACTGCTTGGGAACCGCGCGGTCATTGAGCTGCAAACCATTCATTCCGACCGGCCGTTTCTCCAGGCTCTCGGTCAATTGCACAGAGGGCTGAGCCATTGGCATTTCCGAGATTTGAGGTTTCGACTGTGCAAAGGCGTTCATGTTACCTAGAGGATCGTACATTGATCGCTTGGGAACATAACCACTTATGGGGAAGGACGCGGCCGGAAACGGAGCCATGTCTGGTAGTGTCATATCCATTGAGAAGGATCTTTTCACCCCAGCGGGCAATGATGGAGTAAGGGATTGTGTCCCATAGCCGGAGAAGCTCGCACGGGCGGAACGATGTCCGGCACTTGAACCTGGAGGACTGATTTGTGTCGCATTGGGGTTGATGAATTGAGGCGGGTTCTGAGGATCGAGAGGCTGAATTGGACTTCCAGATGAGCTGGGATGCAGATAGTTGTCGTGTTGTAATCTCGGACTCGGTAGCATATAGGAGCTTGTCGGTCTGCTCCCCGGGGGAGACTTCTTCTCGGCTTCTTTCTGTGCCTTGATCTGATCTGGACTCTTGAAGGGATAGGCAGGGTTAGAGATGCGTCTTCGACGTTCCACCTCAGCAGAAGGAGGCGGCGGCGGTGGTTGATTTGCAGCCGCTCGGATAGTCTCCATAGTCGCAGGTTGATATGGGCTGTTTGCCGCCCCGGTGTTTGTGGCCTGACTTGAATAGGGGAAATGTAGGTGGGACTGCTGCACATATCCAGGAAAGGGCATGGTCGAGGCTGACGATGACTGATACTGATTCGTTTGGGGTGATAGCATAGAGTTCATGCCCATCGTTTGAGGAGTACCAAAATTTGACCTTTCGTTGGCAGCATTAGGATTCATCCAGTCGTTGCTATACTGAAATTGCTGCGATCGAAAATTCGTATTCATCATGGCTGGCCCACCATAGGTTCCTGCTGTGCCCATGGGATTGAAACTGGGAAACTGCTCATATTGTTTCAGTGGAGGCAGCGAAGGATCATTGGACGACTCCTTCATGTGCTTAGCATGTTGAGATGCTTGCTGTTGGAACTGTCTCTGGCGCTGGACGGCCTCTTGATCGATTCCGATGCTGAAGTGGCCCGTCGTGTCTGACCTCTCGGCCGCATCCAATTGACGAGCTTTAGCCTGCTGTCGCTGAAGAATGCGTGCTTGTTCGTTAAGGCGAGCCTCTTGGCCAGTCATCATGTCCCGGTAGTGTGACGGCTTCACCAGTCCAGGCTTCTGCTGGACCGGTTTCTGAGCATTGCTAGGCTTTTCTTGACCATTGTTCATTGTAAGATTCTGCGTTGTCCCACTAAAGGTCCCTGGAATTGTAGGCGACAATTTCTGTGTGCTGGTCAGGCTCTGCCTCATGTTCGCCATTGCTGCATTCCTGGCAGCCACATTCAGCACGGGATAGCTAGCAGCAAGAGAATGGCGTTTAGGTTGAGGAGGTGGAGCCATGACAGATTTGCGGGGTGTGACAAGGTCAAGAAAGTTTGATGCGGAATCATGGACGCGCTTATCCGGATCAGCTGTATAATGAGCCTTTGCGTCGGAAGAAGAGGCGCCAAGGTAGAGCCAGACTTGCTTGTCCTTTGAGAGATCGACAGGCTTCTGACCCATGTTGACAGGCGGCTCTGCCGACACAAATTCTGCCCATTCAGTCCTAGGCTCTTCGGTGAAGACATCACCTGCACTCGGTTTTTTCTCAGTGGATTCCGGAAAAGAAGCAGCCTTGCCCTGAAGATTCTCAGGGAGCTCAAGGGCATTGGCCGAGGGTCTCTGCAGACAGGAAGTCGCACTGTCAACAAAGAGTATGGAGCTTGGGTCGACTTCCTTGACGATCTTCACATCTGACAGGACCTTGACCAAAATTGAATCTTGGCCTTCATCGTAGCCAGCAATCACGAGGCCAGCTTCGATGTCGTCGGCGTTGGTCGCTTGGAACTGGATCAGATCTCCAGCTTTGAGGTTAAACAAGAACTCTCGGAACTCCGCGTTTTGCCAGCAGCTGTTGGCGTGGTTGCAGGCTGAGAGCTCACTCGTGATTCTCGTCCGCTTCACAGTGCGGTGGAGACGGCATCTCCAATCGAAGCCGATGTCACGGTACTCCACGCCTTCGTGCCAGACCGCAATCTCTCCTTTGTCGACTTGCACACCAGCTTGCATGGCACAAGTAGCATGATAAGATTTGGTGCATTTGGCCGACGAACACTGGAAGCATGAACCTTTCTTCTGTCGGCATTCGTAGCACTTGAGATCCAGACGAGCCTTGCGAATGTTTTCGACATTGTACACCATCTCTTTGCCGTCCTTGTTAGCGATATACGTCTCGGGGGTATACATTGCGCAGGTTCTGTGGGCTCTCTGGCCGTGGGTGGTCTGCAAAAGTTCTTCCCAGGCAAAATCGTTCGGACACAAGCAGCAGGGCTGGTTTTTGCTGACTTTTCGGATCCTGATGACCTTTTTGGCTTTCTTGTTCGGCCCGAGATCCTTGGTTCCACGTTTCCTCTTCTGTGGCAGCTTGATCTTGCCTCGATCGCTACTTGGCGGCGTTGGAAGATCTGATGGCTCATCTAGCTCGTCTTCGTCGTCGGTCACCTCGACTTCCTCATATTCTGGAGTGGGTTCGCCGTTCATCTTCCGAACGAACCAGTCCACGTCAATGAAGACGCTGTCGGCCTCACACTGGCACTTGCGAGCAGTCTTGCCGTATTGCAGCCAATTCTCGATCGCAAAATTGACTGACTCTGCACAGTTGTAGCCCAAGTTGTAGCCGGAATGATATCCTATTGGGAATGTGATGACAAATTGACCTTCGCGATGAACAACCTTGTTGACGGTGACTCCAAACTTCGACTTCAGGATGGACGGAGAGACCAAATAGGTTTTGTGGCGCAAAAACTGATCGCAGTTCTTTGCGTCCGAACTCCAAAGAGTCTTCATCGCTGCTTCGAATTTTGGAGCGTCTTTCTGTGAAATGCTGTACCATTGCTTCGGTGCACCGAAATGAATGTAGTTGATGCTGTAAAGATCCACATCCTCCAGATGCCATGCAAAGGTTGCCCGCCACATTCCCAGGTACAAGTATGCAGTGTTGACACCGGGAATGGGTTGTCCAAGAAGGTCCAGTAAGTTGGGTAACTTGGCGACGTTCCATTCTTTGGTGTCGTCGTCAAAAAGTGATCCAGGCATATCTGCGGCATACATTGGGTTGCTGAAGTTGAGACTCTTCCAGTACTTGTCCTCGAGCTCATCACAGCGTTCAGCTGTCCACTGATCATTGTCATAAACTCGGTAGTCAAAATCCTTGAACGCCTCTTCGTCAATGTCGTCATTGGCTTCGCGAGCATTTCTCAATCTTCGCGCGGCAACGGTTGTCTCAGCACCCTTGTTCCCATTTTCTCTCTTGGCGGTTGTGCTCTTGGGGGGCCTTCCTCTAGGCCTGCCGGGCTTCCTTCCTGGCTTGCCTTTGGTTGGTGTAGACTCTGCCGCTTCGTTGCTCTTATCTTCGGTCTCTTCGCTTTCCAGTGCGATCGGCTTGACTTCAGGACTTGTTGGAGTCGGAGGGGCGCGCAGTGTCGAATCTTGTTCGATCGGCTCTTGTTTGATATGCTTCGGTGGCCTACCCCTTCTCTTGCCAGTTTCTGGAGTTGTTGAGGCTTCAGATTTCCGATTCTTGATGCTGCCTCGCCCGAGCAATTTGTCCGCATTCAGACGCTTCTCTCCACGTCTGGCTGGCGGCTGGTTCTCTGTCTGCTCGCACGTCGATTTCCATTGTGGTAGGTTGTAGGATCTCATTTTCTCAATGTTGCGCTGGGTGTAAATACCTTGCGCACCATGAAATTCTTGCATGATGGGGTTTTTGATTCTGATGGCCTTGATCTGATCATCCAGAGCTTTGCGCGCCCGTTTCCTGTACGGCTGTCAGTCTCATGCACCCCGGCAAGCACGTCTTGGTGTGTCAGTCGGAATTGAAGACGTACCATTCCTCTGGGGGATCGATCAACACAATGCCTGACTGCATTCCATAGGGATCAACTCCTTTGACGTATCTCTGGAAGTCTTTAAATTGTTCCATTGTCTGTGCAGGCTTGTCAGCTCCTCTTGTACCTTGGATCAAAGGAGTTCGCGACGGGGGTTGTTTCGCATACCGGAGTAAAGATAGGGACACCATTTTCGTAACGATCAGGCTTTACTTCTGAGAATTGTTCTGCCTCCGCACCTGCTCGGGCGGCTTCTTCGAACCTCATTCTGTTTTCTTCATCTTCTATATCGTCGCCGAGATCGGAGAGGGAGGAACTCGAGGCTGCGTCATCGTCCTTATGGCTCGCCTCGTCAGTTGTGGGAGGGGTATGGACCTGAGGGGGTGGGAGAGATGCGGCGTCATGCTTGTCCAGAGGAGCGTCGATGAGTCCTTCGTGGACGGGGAGGGACGGCATGGGGGCAGCCGCCATGGTCAGGGAAGGAGGTATCGGATAGGCTGAATTCGGGAGTGATGATAGGGTCGGGCGAAGAATCGGATCAGGGCGTGGCAAACATAGAGAGAGTCGCAACCAGGAAGCTGCCACCTCTAGCCACGTCCTCTGATCACACAAAGATACACGATCGTGTACTAGGGTTAGTAGTAGAAAGATGACTTGGTTCTTGACGACTGGATTCGCGCGGTGACTGCGACGGGGTGGACGGGGTTGCCGCTGGGAGGTTGAAATGGCTTGACTCGAGCAACAAGCTAAACCCTTTTGGTCAAATCTCTTGGCATCGCGGGCGTGGCGTGAGCAGACCAGCATTTCGGTACCAGGCACCAGGTAAGAAAGGGCATCATGAGAGCGACGGTATTAACAGATCCAGACTTGTTATATGTCGACTATGTACAAATATAGCATACAGACGCAAGCTCGTAACTTCCGAACCAGTGCACTATGGTATCTACCTGGTACTTACGTAGGTACATGAGACATCCAAACCATCGGCCGTATCTTGTGTCATCCTGCAGCTCCCTCCCCAGCCTAGTGAGCCATTGGTTCGGCAGTCGATCCAGGCACGAACGGCGGCCGGTTGGCTTGGAGGGGGATCATGCGAATCATCGCACAGACGCTGAGAGACCTCAGATGCATATTTCATCTTCCCCATGCCACATTTCCATCCTCGTCCGGGGTAGACCGTCCTCTCGTTGCACATGGTCAACCTCGCCATCACACACAGACCCGCCACACCCACGCGTGGCATGCTCGCCTCCAGAGACCAATCAGTATTCCGTCAAGGCGAGCTTCTTGCCCACAGTCCTTTTCTTCTGAGCGAGTTGAGCTGCGGGTTTCGGCTGTTCCTTTTTCAATGCTTGCAGTAACATGCCGGCATCGAAGAAGCCATCTATTGGAAACGGTCAGTCTTGTTCGCAGATATCTCAAAGGATGACGAAAGGACAACTTACATCCACCCAAGCCATCATCGTCCGCTTCAGCCGTGTCCATGCTGGCGGGCGTCTGGGTCCCATCAATCTTCGTGGCCTCAGTTTTGATGACACGGCCCCTAGACTTCAGTCTACCATCTCTGCCAGCCTTCTCTTCTGCTTCCCTGGCTCGGGTAAGTTTGCCCGCAGAAACCGCTCTTGGTCTCGTAGCTTTCAGTAGCCGGCGAATTTCGTTCAAATAAGATTCGAGGCTGTCTACAAAACGTTTGGTTTGGCGATGTTTGCTGCTTGCACACACCGAAATGCAGTCGTCCTTGATAATATATCCTATACCAAAACCATCCCCCGAAACAGGACCAAAGCCAAAGTGGCGCAGGGAGGGATTGCCGCAGTTGGAGGTGCTGAGGATTGTGTTGTTGATCTTCTCCCACCCAGCATCGCTGAAGAGCGCGGGCATTTGATGAAGTTGGGGAGCCGGGGAACGGCTAGAGTCGGTATCTGCGCGTGAACGAGTGTGGCTGATGGGCGACTCGTCCAGTCTCCTTGGGCTACCTGCATCGCTAAAATCGGTGGGACTTGAGTAACCATTGGAACTGAAGCCGGCGTTGCTCGCAGCTTCTGCTCCCTCGTCATTGACTTTGCGCTGCCATACACAGTAGAGGGCATAGAGATGTCGATCCTGACCCTGAGCTTTGCTCGACTCTTTTGTGATGGCTGTATGCTTTTGGCAGGCAGTCTTCAAGGCGTCGATCTTCTTTTGAGGCGTGTTGTCCGCCCAGAACGTCTGAACAAATTCCACACTCTCAGGGGTCACAGATCGAATGGCTTCCGTTCGACCGTGGAAGAACATCTTGGTCATGGCGGGCTCGTACGTATTTTCCACCCTTCCGTAAAGACCGTAGTATGCAGCTTGGAAGGCCATCTGGACAAAGGCGTCGGGTGAGAAGCCCATGGAGGTGATGAAGTTCTTGCCATACCCGGAAAAGTCCAAAGTCTGGAACTCATTCTGATTGATGAGATCAGCCAACCGGGTCTCCGCGAAGCGAAGAGCGATTGACAGTTCCGGAATCATGTCCCATTCCAACTTGTGAGGCGTGGTCCTAACATCCCCGAAGCTTTCGGGGTCGCGCTTCGAAGGGTCAGGACTTTGGCTGGTCCACAAGGTTGGTGCCTGGCCATTGATGGACTTTGCGTATCTGAGAATTGTATCAGTGTAGACATCACTGGCGAAGCGAAGGACGGTGTGACCGTCCACACCTGTATGCTCAAAGTTGATGCCGGCGCTACCATTCTTGCAAACGATGATTTGCAGTTTGTCGTACCACCGGTTGGTGCATGTGCCGACTTGAACACCGCGAACCACTTCGTTCGTCCCGCACAGCATGTTGCCGCACAGTTGCGAGACGTCGGCCGGCTCGGTGTAGTCTAGACAAATCACGAACAAGGCCGAGTCCACGATCGCAAGACAGTCTGCATTATTCGATCCTTCATCCCGCGTTAAGAGATCTCTCAAGCCGGACCAGATCTTTCTGTTCTCGGTACTCAGGACTCCAAGAGCACCTTTGGCAGCTTCATGGATAGGCGTCTCTTCTGCATCGTTGACAATGACTTGTAGATTGATCGCAAGATCTTTCTCAGTCATGATCAGGTCGTTGTTGTCGTCGAGCACATCAAACCAATAGAGCTGGCCTCGACACATGACCACCACGTGCTTGGAGTCTGAGTCCTGCCCGATGACACACCCATTGTCCGTTGGGACTCGAGCAGTGCCAAACAGCCGTGAATACTGGTACATGTCCAAAGGAGTGCCTCTCAAGGTGTCGGGGGGCAGTTCTTCTTTCCGCACGGCTCTGACAAAGCAAAGGGCCGAGATGACCAGGGAGGCTGCTCTGGTCACTTGGTTGTTGCGTGCCGGAGTCGGATCGTCTTCCAGAAGGAAGAAAGGGTTCAAGTTCAACACGACCGGGTTGTCAAAATTCAAATACGAGTCATACCAAAATTGCTCGATATAACTGGTTCTGCCCGTGGCATACTTTTTCAGCTTCTCTTGCAATTCTTTGCCGTCGTTTTCAAGAAAATCCCGGACCGCCGCCTTTGTCTCGTTGTGTTCAGCAGGTGACTGCAGAGGAGCCAAGGCTTCGAGATACCTCTTCATCGTAGACTCGAGATCTGGAATCGGCAACTTTGGAAGTTTGTCCTGAGCCGCGAAGGTGATGCCTTGTTTGTGATGCTCATTTGTCGACATCTTCAGGGGTTCCTTCTCTTCTTTTGTATACGAGTCCTTGACATCCTTTGCAGCCTCGAGGGCGCGTTCAATATGTTCGGCGCCCATTCCGTTGGGTTCAGTCTTAGGCGAAGGTTTGCTCAAGGCGTCGCCGATAGAGGTGGGTTGGGTGAAATGCCTGGTTCCTGCGATGGAAATAGGCATGGTTAACAAATTGATCATGAGTATAACGCGGCCACCAATGTAGCAACGCTCAGCAAACGAAGAGCAGTGCGGTAGAAGTAGTGGCAGTCGTGCAAACAGTAAGGTGGCATGGGTGTCGGACTGTCCCAGAGTCTGTTCAACTCCAATGCCTGGAGAAGAAAATCAAGAAACAGCAGAGGAGATTCATGAGCAGGAACAACAGGGTGGATAAATTGTCCTGGCAGATATGACACGATCAGGAGGGGTCAGGGAAGCGCATGATCACGATCGTTGATAACACCGGCATCCCACACAGACATGTGAAGAAGCCGGTGCAGGATGGAGAAATGCGGACAACACCCGCTCGTTTCCACGGTTCGACTCGTACAAGGAGTGGTCTCCATGACCTTGTGGGCAGCGAGCGCATGGCTCGGAAGGTATCGCAACCGCGCTCAAATGATTGCGGACGACGTAATTGAGGAATGTGGTGGTAGCGTCTCGGAGGAAAGGAAACATGTGGACGTACAGGAAAGCGCGAAGCGCGACCGGCTTTCTCTCAGAGACTAATCAGGCCAGTCGCCGTAGATGGCCGAGATTGTGGATTGTGGGAACACTGTCCACCTCCAAGCCGAGGGCAGAAGAGGCCACGAGCGCGGTGTACACGCTCTATGGGTGTATGGGTATCGCCGACTGTATGACTGGAAGGTCGTGGAAAGTTTGAAAAGAGTCAAGAAGGCGTATGTGTCTGGTCTTTCGTGGTCATCCGCGCAAAAACACTTGACTGGAATGGACACAAATGGATTCGATTCTCCTCTTTTGGCACAAGACACCAAAAAGCTCAGCGTGTGACGTAGCAGCGGGTTAGCGAGAAGCTCCAAGCACATGACATTCCGGCGCTTTTTATCCTTTGCAGACTTAGTTATTAGAACATCTCATGATGGCAATTTTACGGCCTTCTCGTTTTGCCGTTTGCCGGTGAGATGATCGTGGTTCTTGCCAGCTCGAGGATGGCATCTGTGGACGATCGGAAGGCAAAAGGGAGGCTGGAAGGTCAGCGTGGTCAGCTGAATGGCATGATCGAAGATTGGAGACTGCCACCCACTGCCAGTGCCAACCAGGATTTCGGATCAAAGACTTCCATTTCTCCGCAGCCTCGTGCAAAACTGGGGAAAGATGACCATGGGTGAACGGGAGACACAGCACTGCGGTAGGCCTAGCGAGCCCGAGAAGGCTAGGCTCCTAGACACCGGATGCCTACGGCCCAGGCTGTTGTGGGCATCGTCCATTGGCGATAATAGGGTGGAAGAGGGAGCCGGCCAAGCGAGCTGAAAGACCTGGTTATGTGCAAGGCCGACGGAGATTGGTTGGTGGACGGATTACTGTGAATTCTGGATGCTGTTGTACATTTTTCTTCCAGCCTAGTCTAATATACAGACTTGATCTGATTCTTGATTCTCTTCTGGTCCCTATCTGCCTGTATCGCAGTCCAAGAAAGGAAAAGCTCTCCAAAATGTAGCCCAAGAGGTAAAAAGAAGCGAAATTCGGAAGGTTCGATCCATTCCGAAGCAAAAAGAAGAGGGTGAAGGACACGCTCGTAGAAAGAAAAACTCCAACAATGGCCGTTCTTTGCAACGCTGGTCGCAGACTTCAACTCATAACAATTCCCAGAAGCAAAAGATGTGGCTTTACCAGGCTTTTCACGGATTGCGCCCGCTGTAGCTTTTCGAGGAGGTAATGCAATGCATCGTCAGTCATCAAACAACAACATCGACTTTGACGTTTACAGCGTCACCGTCGGCGCGCCGCCCGGCTGTAGTACGTTGGCTGCATACTGTCCACCGAAATTGCCTGAAGTCAAGTTAGCGGAGATCGGCTGGCAAAATAGTCTCGTCAAACCACTTACCAGGTGGGCTGTAGTTGCAGACAGTGAAGTACGGGCTAACACCACTGCCAACGTTGGCCAAACCATTGGAGCAGTATTGGGTAGCACATCCGACCGAGGTGGTTGACTTCCATACAATCTGAGAGTAATGACCCCATTTCTCAAAGTTGCTCATGTCCGGCTCAACCCCGTACGGCAAGGGGTAGAAGTTGATTTCGGCATTGTACATCAGGTTGGTGATCATGGCTGGGATATCCGCAGGCGGAGATCCAGCACCAATGTTCTGTCCATAGCCACCCCCGCCAGTGCTGGTATCGTGGGCATAGACGCAGCTGGCAGCAATCTGAGCAGCGATGGATGCCATATCATCACTCCAGACCAGGTCCGAGACTGAGGCATTTTGGCGATGGATGTTGTGAGAATCGAGAATCCCTTGTTGATAGTCGGAAGAGACGCTGGTGGAGACTGACTGAGCAGCAGAAGTGGTGGATACAGCTTCGGTGGTGGATGTAGCTTCGGTGGTGGACGTGGCTTCAGTGGTGAAGGTCTCAACGGCCGATGCGGAAGCACTTGAGATCTCCAATGTCGAGGTGGCAGCAGGAGTATCGGATTGGACTTGAGTGTAAGTGGCCTGAGGGACCGAAGAATCACTTCCACTGCTCCATCCACCTCGCCATCCACCCGTGCCAGCCCAGCCTGGCCAGCTAGAGCCGGAAGACCAGTCGGAGTTGGAGGACCAGTCGGTGTTTGAAGACCAGGCGGAGTTGGAAGACCAAGAGATGACGTCGGTAGTGGCGGCAGGCTCGACAGAAGAGGCAGCGGATGTTTCGGTGGGAGGGGTGCCAGTCACGGTGACGGTGACAGTTGCCCATTCAATGGTGGTGACCAATGCACGCTTGTCCAATGGTTTGGCACAAGCCAGTGTGGCGCAAGTGGCTGCGAGGGCGACGGTTGACAACTTCATGTTTTCGGTCGAGGAATTGATCTAGTAAGTGATGGTTCGGTTGGATGATCGATAGTCTGCTTGAGACCAGAATCAATGGTTTCTCGAGAGCTATTTGATAGCAGATTGTGGCAGGAAATCGCAGTGCACCGGGCAGCGCAGTCGAGCAGCTTACGACAGAATTCGTGGGTTGGTGACAGCTGGCTGGGTGAGCTGTGTCTGGTTGTTGGCCCAAGTGTTTGTTGACGCTTCACGCCAGGTGAGGCAGAAGTCTGGAAGCTGGAACTGGGCTCTGGTCAAAGAGCCGAAGGCACGGACGGGTGGTCCCAGATGGGCACGGTCACGGACTGTGCTTCTCAAAGTTTATGGTAAAGAGCGACTGTTCTTGTGCAGCTCAAAGGAGTGATGAGCGTTGACAAGAAAGGAAAATGAAGGTAAGGTGGCTCAAAAGGCCGAATGAAGGACAAGGTAAAGAGAGGTAGAGAAGTGAAGGGTAACACCAGGAGTGAATCGATATTTTTGTATCGTCGTCTCGCTCGCCTGTGATTCTCTGTCTGGGGATTCGAGTGGTGAGTGGCAGGGATTTGCTGCGATAGGGTGGAGTTCGTCTAGCGAGTCTATCGCAGTAGCTGCTCGATTTCGGGGCGTCGGGTCCCCAGGCACAAAGAAATCCTTGCCAAACAGGCTGGTGAGTGGTCCGGTCTTTAACCAGTCTTTAACCAATCTTTAACCAAGGACTCTGCCGGTACCTGGAGCTAGACCAAACACGGTTCAGTCTGCGGAGGGCTGGAGATTTGTTCAACGATGACGAACCGACGGCAACAACGGAGGCAATCTTGACTGAAACGTCCAAGCAACCTGGATGAGGAGTACAGGTGATAAAGAGACAAAGAAAGGGAGATGAGTTTCGTCGAGCGCGAGCAGAAGGGCTTAATTAAAGACCGCTATCTTGGTAGACTACGTAGGCACGGATTACACAGAATGGTGGTTTGGACTGCGTCAAAGGAATGCCATCTGGCTGGCAACCGGTTGTCCCATCAGTCCCCTTTTTCACGCCTCCGTAGAGGTGGTGTTGCCGTCGAGAGTTCAGATCCAGAGTATGGCCCATGGAATATTTGCATGGGAGCCGACTCCTTTGTCGCAGTCTCACTGGGAGGTACTACGGTAGTGGACGGTCTACAAGCATCCTTGGGGTCCGCTGGAAGTGGGATGTGGATGATGGTGCTGTTGCACTCGTCTGCGAAATCTCAGGCAGACCTGGGCGTCAAGCGTGTCCCTGTGTCATCTTGGACAAAGAAAAGGCCAGTCATACATGAAACGGCCAGTGACGCCCAGATGATGACGAGAAAGACGGCGACATCGCGAGTCCCCAAAAGCCACGAGCTTTCGGAAAATTACTTGAGCCGGTTTCTTTCGCTAGTGCAAGTCATTTGGCCTGCACCGGCTAGTGAGGCCCAAGTGGGTGCCAGGACCTGCAGCACCCGCCCGCCCAAGCCAACCCTTGCTCGCAGCTACAGGTACGTAGTACCATGGTAGGTGGACCCGGTGGCAGCCAGTCTCCCTGTTCCATACGCCTATAGTTGACGACTCGCTTATCGACCGAGGCACTTGACCCATGCTCCCATAATGACCCCACCTCCATCTTGTCCCATGGCTTGTTTCATATCGTATCGCGGCATCTTGCCCTCACTTTGCCTCTTCCTCGTCTACCATAGTATCCCTGACTCATAGTTCTATGGTATATTTCAATCCCCCCTAGGATCAGGGCCTCATAGGATGTCAACAGAGTTTGACACTCGTCATTGCCGAACCTGCTCCTCGAGGAGGACCTCACCACAATTGATGAGCTGTCTTCGTTTCCTATCTCCTCCCGAGCTTGTCCCCAACCACAGATCCATCATGGAGGGCAGGGACAGACTACGTACAACTTGCAACCAGCCACCGAGTCAGGTTGGACTGGTCTAGTCCAGAAGCTTACGTTGCTTGTAAGGTCAGAGCTCGAACCCGAAAAAGAGTCCTCGTCCTCTTACCACTCCTGTCGCGTGGCTTACCCGCCTGACGTACTCCGTACCCCACGAACGATTGCTGTCCAGACTACGCCGACATCGACCTCGACCATTTTTCGGGCGTCGAGGATGGCAAGTGGCATGTTCAGTGGCCCGACTTTGCTGGTCCCCAAACCTTTGCGAGAGCGAACTCGGTTGGGATACCTCGCTGTACAACATCCCTATCCTGGTTGAAACACCCGGTCTTTTCCTCATCGGAAATTGTCCTACTTTACGTAGTAGCAAGTTCCCCCTGGCATACAGTACTTCTCTCACTAGTATGTTGGCGAGAAGCTTACTGCTTGCGACGGGAGAAGCCCATACCTACATCTCCGGATCACTACCCAGCTACAATAGGATGGCATCGAGTCTAGGCGACGAGTGCCGGCTTTCCTCATATCTTTCGTGATGAAAGGCAACTCCACCTTCCGGACAACAAATCCACCAAAGCACACGCAACGCGTGTTTGTGCATTTCTACTTTACAGCCTCGTACCAGCCACTCGTATCGTTGTTCTGCTGATCGCTGCCGTGATTGAATCTTTGACGAATTTCGAACCGAGACTCACGACGCATCCCACGGATTCTCCCCATTGCAACCCATTTCGGTCCTGCTCCAAAGAGGAAGCCGACCTGTTCAACCCGACCACAGCATGAGAAAACATGGGAGTATCAAGCCCAGATGGATGTGCCTACCGACGTCGAGACCTCCGGTACTTGCCTGCGCTTGACAGTCCCGCCTGGTAAGTCCTATTCGGACCCAAACATGAGAGGATCAAGGTTCTGTTGACCTTTCCTGGCCTTCTTGCGTCCGAAAGCCCCAACGACAGTGCGGATCTTTCCCCCTATGACGTGACTTGTCGAGACTGTGGAGAGAATAGGTCGCTCCATGCAACGTACCTGATTCACGACAAAACGCCATGCCGAGCCAAGTATGCTCATGAGCATGACAAGTATCAAACCCGACCAACCATTGATGTACGATGAGCTATCTGCAGGATTTGGTGGATTGGTTCCATAAGTCCTCACTTGTGTGACATGCACTTCGGCTTGCTCCTGTCCTACACGGAAGTCGGGAAAGGCACTCTTCATCCAGCCACTGTCGACCATTTTCGGCGTTATTGGGGTCGGTGTTACTGACTCAGCTCAGTAGATGTCGACTTCTTCGCCCAGGCCGGACCGACGTTTGCCATACATCGCTCTGTGTCCGTGACCTTCATCTTGGCCACGTGGTCTCAGTCTGATACGTCACCTGCATACAGAATATGCACATTCACGAAGGCGTCCGACGCTGCACTTCTTCAGCTCTAGAGGCAAGCCCTGTTCCCTCCATTCTTGCCTGCTTGACCCAGTCACGCGGGCTATTGGTTTGCACCCAATACTGATGAGCGCCGTCCACCTCGACACAAGCTCGCACTCTGGATTCCAGGCTACCCCAGCATGCCATCCTACCAAAACACTACCACGGGGGCGCACTGTCCAGGTTCATGCTTACACTGCAGCTGGTCGGACCTGGTTGCGAACGGGACGTCATAGTGTTGGATCCTCTTCACGCACGTCGCCTGTCTACACAGGGCAGTCTGTCATGCGCTCTATCTCAGGTAATAATGGTGCAAATATTCTTCAAGCCATGCCTCTATCCATGCACGAGGGCGTACCTGTCCGGCTGCCCCGGCGACTACAGGTCGACTTAACACACCTGAAACTCCCTCGCCATCCTCAGCATTATATTCACCTATCTTCCTCAGTACTGGCCCCGAGTCAGACTTAGCGGATCCAACCTTGACCTGCAAACAGCTACAACCGCTTAACCAGTATAGTGCGACTCGACAGCTCAAAATGCCGTTTGACATCAACGCTATTGCTCGTGGTGATCTATCCAGTCTTGTTGAAAATCTGGTGGTACTGGTGCTTCGGGAGGTGAGAGGGCTTGGGTGAGTAGTAGTTCTTGCAGGCTGGGCATCGGTTCCATCGGGACCAGGTGCTCGTCAGTGGGATTTGCATAGAAAATTCCGCCACACATCTCAATGGCTCGGCACCGATCCTGCATCGTCCTCGCCAGCCTGATCCTCCCCGTCATCCGAGGCCGGACGGGGCTTCTCAACTCGCTCCACTTCAGCTTCAACACCCACACACCACCTTTATGCTTTTCATCCTCAGGCCAGCCTAACCAAGTATGAATTTCAGCACCGCGAAGTTCCTCATGTCTTGAGCCGTATTGGTACTCGTAAAATGTTCCACCAAGCCTCCGAAGCCTAAGAAAAAACGCATCTTCTTCGACAGCGTCGTTAGACTTATTGCTCTCGTTGAAGTGATCCTCGATTCCGAGTATATCCAGCTCGAGTGCACTAGGGTTTTGCAACTCGAGTCTGCCGCCAGTGCTAGGCCAGGCATAGACTGTTGCGGCATCACTCAAGTGCAGTCGTCGGTCCTTGAACGAGTAACGGTCAGAGATTGACCAGCCCGGTGGAGGAATTCTGCGCATAGCCACAGCGAGCAAGCAGTTGAGAGAGAGAATCTAGTAATGATGGAGGAAATCAACACTACTATGTACCTCGACCGGGGAAGTTCAGCTGGGTCTTGGTCAGTAGTAGTCGTAGACGTGGTTCACTGGTGACACTGTTCCGCCAATCAGACTGTTTTCAACCTGGAAAATCCCATTGGACCAAAGATCTTCAGATGTTCTCCTACCAAGGTACCCAAGGTGACATCCCACAACCTCACTTTATCATTCTTGTTACTAGGTCACTTACGGCGGTTAATTGTAGACCATCGTATTATTCTAAAGTGAAATTTTGCAACCGTATCGCCTGGCCAGAGGCCAACCACTACTATCTCCTTACACAATGGCCACGAAACCGGTCATCCGAGTGATCGGCTCACTGAACATCGACTTTGTCACTCTGACACCAAGAGTACCCGGCCCTGGCGAGACCTTACAGGCAAAGTCCATGACCGTCCACGCCGGCGGTAAGGGCAGCAACCAAGCGGTGGCCTGCGGAAAAGCCGCCTTCACCTCCGCAACCGAACAAGACGTCACCGTCGACATGATAGGGGCCGTAGGTGCCGGAGACCCATACTACGCCTCACTGCTCCAACCGACGCTGACGAAAAGCGGCGTCAGCACACGCTACGTCGAGGAGATCGAAGGTGTGCAAACCGGCACCGCGACAATCATCGTAGACGAGGGGTCCAACGGTGAAAACAGAATCCTCTTCGTTCCCGGCGCCAACCATCAAGTCAACGATCTAGACAAAGTAATAGCGACAGCGACGCAAGACGGAGACCCGGATGTCGTGGTCATGCAAGGAGAAATCCCCCAATCGACAGTCACCGGATTACTATCCGCTTTCAATTCCAGCACCACCAGCAGACACAAGACCTGCGTGGTATTCAACCCTGCACCGATGTTCGACACCATCCCGCTTCACGTACTCAGCAACCTAGCCGTCCTCGTCGTCAACGAGACCGAATGTCTCCTTCTATTCAAGGCCGTCCAAGAGCTCAAGAGTATCGAGACGCCAAGCGAGCAAGATCTGAACGAATCGCACCTCGGTCAACTGACCCAGCACTTACACAACGTCGCAACGATATCCATCATCGTGGTGACTCTGGGCGCCAGGGGTGTATATTATTCGGTGGCGCAGTCACAATCACCTTCATGTACACGTACGCATACCCGCGGTCTACTACCGGCAGCCAAAGTCGCAAACGTCGTTGATACGACAGGCGCCGGAGACACGTTTGTAGGCTTCTTCGCCACAGCTCTGGCTCGCCATGTCGCGACTCACAAAGCCCTAGACGGATTTGATGTCCAAAGCGCCGTGATTCGAGCAAATGCCGCTGCGGGCAAGTGCGTCCAGCGCAGCGGAGCAATGGAGAGCATACCGTTTGGATACGAAATCTAAATACTACCTGACAGTACTACCTGCAGACACCAAATCGGTCGTCCACTTCAGCAAACCTGCTTAGCACAAATGAGACTGTACGATACTAGTATGTATCTGGCGAAAGTCGTTCATTGGACGATAAATTTTTCTTCATCTTCGCCCAATAATACTACTAGTAACCGTTGACAACGACTGCCTGATCCGAAAAAACGTGTCCTGCATACAAACTAAGGTAATGCGTTCAGAGAAGCACTCCCACTCAAGCAAGGCACGGTTGGAGTCGGACCACACCGTTCTGACTTCAAGCGTTGTACATTCAGATCGTAGCAAGAAGAACCTGAACAGGTCAAAGATCGGAAAACTACACACAAACTCGATTCATTGATTCGCAATCAACGAAAAAAACGTGGTATTGAATTGACCTCTTTTCAAGCCTGTTGTTTTGACAGAAGAAGGAAGAAGGCCTTCACCCATCTTCACCTCCCGGCCCCCCTATTTTCGTCACCAGCGCCAAAGCTACCTAGGTAGGGCTACAATTTACTAGCCTTCCAAACAGGTTTCCTCTTCTCCCTGAACGCGGCGAGTCCCTCCTTCGCATTCTCACCCTCCATCAGCCCACGCTTCATGCGCTCGTCGATGAGCTGGTACCCGCGCTCGACGCTGGCGGTCTCCCAGGTCTCGCGGATGGCGGCGCGCGTGATGATGATCGCGTCGGGCGAGATATTGGCGACTTTGGCCGCCAGGGCGACGGCCTCGTCCACGACACTCGACGGCGTCGACGAAATGTGGTTGATCAACTGGAATTGCAGGGCTTCCTGGGCGGACAGCGTGCGGCCGGCCATGCTGATCTCGCTGGCCAGCGGGAGGCCGACGTTGCGCACGAGTCGAGGGAGGCCGCCGGCGCCGGCGTAGATGCCGCGCAGGGACTCCGGGAGGCCGAAGGTCGCCGTTGGGGAGGCCACGGTCATGTCACTTTGTCCGATCAGTATTTGCATTTTTTTGGAATGTGGTAACTTGGCAGCATGGGCAATGGCAATGGCTAGGGCATTTGGGCAAAAAGCAAGCCCTGAAATGCTCCGTCTGCGCCGCCCAAAAGGCAGCGGCGAGCACCAAATGGTTAATACGCCTGCTGGCGTGTCATGTGTCATCCTCTGCTGTCTGCCCTTCATAGCACAGCAACTTTGGCCAGAACTAGAGCGCGGAGGCGAAACCATCCCCTTGAAGATGGCCCAACGTTGTGCTTGCCATAAAAACCCCCCCAAAAAGAAAAAGGCGAGACCATATAAAAAGACATTAAGCACAACATACCAATTAAGAACAATCTCAAACCCACCACCCAACGCGAACCCGTTCACCGCCGCAATGACGGGCTTCTTGCCCAGTCTTCTCGAAATCCCCGCAAACCCGGTGGGAGGGTGCATGGCCATGTAAGGCTTCTCCTCGAGCTCCTTGGGATCGCGCTTGCCGAGTTCGATCAGGTCCTGGCCCGCGCAGAACGCCTTGCTCCCGGCGCCCGTGACGACGGCAACGCGCAAGCTCGGTTCGCGGTCGAACCATTCAAACACCCGGTGCAGGTGCCAGTGGACAGTGAAGGGGATGCTGTTCATCTGCCGTTCGCGGTTGATGGTGACCAGAAGGACATGTGGGCCAGGGTTGGAGAGCAGCACGGATGCGTTGGATGGGGGAGGCGCCAGGGTGGTCGTGGTCGTGGTCGTGGTCTTGTTGGACATTTTTCGCCTGTTTACTAAGAATGCGAAATATACCTAGGTATGAAACCGATGTTGTTGACTTGGTGGTTTGGGATGACTAGTAGTAGGCAGGAGTCGTACGACCAGTTGTATTCGTCGAATCCTAACTGGGGGATCGACTTGAGATGGTGTAGGAGTACGGAGTCGTAGGAGTACCGAGTAAGAGTTTCTCAAAGAGACGTTGCTGTACTTTTGCTACTTCTTTCAGTGCGTATGGTTACGATCATATAGATGACGGATGTTAGGTAGAAGACGAATAGAATAGATCTCAGCATTCCTCGTTGTCAGCATCACAGATGGAAGAGGTGAAGACCGTCGAGTACTTTACAGTCCCAAGCTTGTACCTCGGTTTATGATTCAAACCGGCTTAGGCCGGTTGGCTTACGGCTATACAGTACTCCCACACTCCCTACGGAGTACTCCGCAAGGCTTTTCCTGCATTGGTCCAACTAAACGATGCATCGGATTCGGATGCCTGCAGGACCTCTATTGCTGTCTATTTCGCACTCTTGCCTTTCATGACCAGTCAGAGCCCCATGAGACTAACATAAATACCCCAGGCCAATCCAGCCAAGCCACCAACAAGCATTCTTTGTTCAACGGGGACGACGGAAAGATTGAGAATCGAGACAAGAGGCCAGAACTTGTATCCTGCGATCATCATGGTCCAGAAATCCTGCGAATGTCAGCTTTGATTTCTTGTTTTCTGTCTCCCACTGGTCAAACCACTCACTCTTCGTACAGCTGTCATGATCTTATCATAGCCAGCGCCTCTAAATAGATTGATCATGGTGATGAAGAGCAGAGTATTGAAGGCTGCGCCAATGGACTGATCCAGCACGAATTTGGCAATTGTGTTGGTCACCGAGAGCGTCTGTTTCTCCTCGCCTTTTGCATCATCGCTCTTCTTTTCCGGAGCGGCCACATCTTTCTTGGGATTGCTAGGGAAGTTGTCTTCCAACCACAACTGCCACTTGTAGTTGGGCGGAGTGCTTATGACAGAGTAGAGCACGAAATGAAGGAGGGTGACCGGGTCGAATGCAGAGAGGGTTTGGTCCCGGTAGATGGTGAAACCTTGAGCAAGGGTATTCGAGGCGGCAGCCAGAGCAGCCCCTTGGGCTGTGACTGTGAGAAGTCGTGCGGACATTTCTCGAGGAAGACACCTAGGTAGTGATAAAGAAAAGGAAATACTCTAGGAAGAGGAGTAGGATTGATCCTGTTATAGGACTCTGGATTTTCTGTTCGTCAAAAGGTTTATCTGCAACCCATCTTCAAGAAGAATCAAAGTGACACCGAAAGTTCAAACACAGGCACTGCAGGCACCGCAGGCACCTGTTTCGTTGCTTGTAGAACTCGCGACACGTGGCATGGTTTTGTGGTTGTGACAGACCAAAATTGAATCACCAGTCATGACCACGAAGAGAACGGCGCCCACAGCAGATTAGCGAAATGTTGAGCATCTTCAGGTGCACCGCAGGTGTTTGTCTTGCCCTGCGAAAAGTGGGATGTCACGTGGATGGGCACCATCATGCATTGATGAAACACACAATTTACCCGACCATCTACCGGACATGACTTCGATCACGGCCACTCAACTTGTCCTCAGCCTCTCAGTTCTCTAGTTAGGTGAAGACAGGAACCTGCATGTGTCATCTATCGTGTACAATGTACACTGTATCTCGCGTTCAAGGCGGTCGCGTGCTCGTTGTTGCTACCAGCTGGAAATAGGTGAGGATGGTGGAGATGTCGATCGAAGTACATTGTCGGTCGTGACTTCATTTTGACGTTACATCCTTCTGTCAGCCATTAACGATTCGACTGCAAGGTCCACGGATTCTTCCAGACTATGACGTGAAGAACACAAAGACTGCTTACCCTTGGCATAAGTTAGCTACTGGTATTTGCCTTGGACCTGGAAATACTCTCCTTTCAATCGCTCGAAACCTCCAGATCAAAATCCTCTTTCAGCAAGCACTCACAGAATACATACAGACGATCAATAATGCCTCGAGGAGCAGATTATGACAACGGAGTTCCCCAGTCCGACAACGCCATTGGCGGGGAAAAGGAAATCATCCACGGGGGTGACGGAAAGGTACGAGACATCCACAACGTCCACGAGCCATAATACAGGACTGACGGCTCTACTCAATATAGCCCACATCCGAAAGCGACGTTGCAGGAGCCAAGAAGACTGCTCCTTTACCAGAAGGCCTGAGCGAGGTCAACGACGAAGTTCACAGTGGTGGAGGGAGCAGAGGCAATCAGGAAGGAAGTGGAAAAGGTGGTCACGAACCCAAGACACTCGGGGAGTTGAAGGGCACGAAAACAGCGGGCAAAAATACCGGCGGCGATCCCACTCTAGCAGCCAAACAGCCGCCGACCGTGTTTGATGGGAAATAAACTTGATCACGACGAGGCATGCACATACATACGGTAACTTGAATGACATATTTGTAAGGATATTGGCGTCGAGGACTTTGCCAGGAAGCTGCGGCAACTCCATTGCATGAGAGATCTGGATCGGGTCGAAGGTCAAAGCAGACCTCAATGATGTGGATCTTGACCAAAAATGATATGCTTTAAACATCTCGCTCTATGTCTGCCGTTATGTTCCCAATGCTAGGTTGTACAAGTAGCGCCATCTTGAAATGCCGTTGCCTCGCCAATTCAGTGCAGATACTCAACAGCACATCCCATCTGCCGTCATTGATACTAGCTAGCCACCGGCTCTCTTGATACAACTGGCGAAAGCACATCTCTCGAGATCCTTTCGTCTGTGCCCTCCGCATCGGCATCCTCCTCGCCCTTGACCACCTCTGGAGCTGTCCACCCAACACCTGCTTGAACCACTAACATGCCTAGGGCGAAGAATCCGCCAACAAGATACATGGTCTTCAGCGCCGTCTCATACCCAATCACAGCGACCTCTCTATCCACGCCCGTCAGCCTCTGCACCAGTATCGGCGTCCCAACCAACTGTCTAATCAGTGGCGACTTCCCCGTGATGCCTCTTCTTGCAAACTCCTCGCTCAGTGTCCTCGACAGCGTCCTCAGAAACAACCCGCCGGACACCGACGATCCGAATGACCCCGAGAGACTGCGGAACATCGCATTCAATGGTATGACAATGATATGCGTCGCCGGAGTCGTCAAGTGCAACACATGAGCCAGCGAGTAGTTCAGCAACGAGCCAACAATGAATCCGTTCAGAAACAGCACAGCGATATATATGTAAATGTTGGAGTGGGGGGTCGAGATCCACGACACCGCTAACATGGACAGCGCAAAGAGACCAAATGTGACGATACAAGACACATAAAATGATCCCGTCCGTCGGATATGCAGCCACCCGGCCAGCAGCCCCCCCACTCCGAAGCCCAGATTCGTTGGGATCAGGGTCAACCCGGCGCTGGCCTGGGACCAGCCGCGCAACGTGAGCACGTAAGTTGGCGTGTAGAACAAGACGCCCCAGCGGGCAGTCATGACCCCGACGGTCGCGACCCCGGTAAGGATGTTCCCACGTGATTTGAGCACGGAGACCGGCACGATGGGTTGTTTTGCCCAGTGTGCTTCGACCAGCACGAAGAGGACGAGTGACGCGAGGGACAGGATGATCGGTGTGACTTGGACTTGTGGCGAGGAGAGGCTGTACAGTAGTAGCACGACGGCTCCTATAATGGTGATGACGCCGAAGTAGTCGATTTGCGAAAGTTTCTTGGCCAACGATTGCTGTCCATATCCAGTGGCAGTGTGTCCAGACACCACGGCTTCGCGCGGCGGCGGCGGGATCGAAAAGAACGCGAGCAGCGCCGCACAGAGGGTAAATGGGATCTGCAGCCAGAAGACGGCGCGCCAGCCGACGAGTGGTTCGAGGGCGCCGGCGATGATGGCCCCACAGGCCACGCCAGATGTGTAACCCGTGTTGATGCACCCGAAGAACAGGCCCCGTCTGCGCGGGCTGGTCAATTCCGTGACCAGAATAAATGCCACGGGCGTCACGGCGGCGCTCCCTATGCCCGTGACAACGCGGCCGACGAGGAACGTGCCCAGCGATCTGGCTTGCGAAGTGAGCAATAGACCGCATGCTTGCACGACGATCGAAGCCAGGAGGTAGACACGCGGTGTGAATATGGCGCACAAACGGCCGGCGACGGGCGTGATGCTCGTGATGGCGATAAGGTATGCCGATGTAAACCAGCTCACTTCAGACGATGCGCCCAGTGCAATTGCGATGGGTGATTGAATGGTGGTGATGAGCGAGACATTGTTTGTCAGAACGAAGATGAGAATCCATACGGACAGGCCGATGAGGGAGCCTCGTAGAGTCGATAGTCCTACATCTACTCTCTTGGAGTCTGATAATGGCCTTCCTGATGGGTGTCCTCTGGAGTCGGCCAACAGCGGTCTCCTTTCCGTGTCTGGTTCAGTGTTGGTCATTTTGGAGCTCGAGACTCCTTCGCAACTTTTAGTACTACCGAGGATTGGTGCAGGGACTAGATAGTATCTTCATGATCCAAGTCCTGCAAACAAGGGCAAGCTGGGTTGTAGGAAATGTTAATTTACAAGTGTTGAGCTCATACCGATAAATGCTGACAAAAGCAGAATCGAATTGCCACCCAAAGAGGCAGTTCAGGCGAGTCGAAGCACAAAAATGGAGAACCCGACGGATGATGGACTTGCCGACAAATGCAGACAGCACGAACTGTTCCTCGTAGTGCATGTTCAAATAGCATAATAAGTATTCAAAGACCGGTCTGATAGTATTGAGCTACGGTATATCAATGAGTGGCAGGTATGGGCTCTTTATGTTCCAACCCATACAGAGAGACTGGTTCTTCGGGGCTTGCGCGCGGGTTTTCCTCCACAAAGGATTCCAAGACGGCATCACTTGACCTCTACTCAGCGCATTCGGCCATTCTGGCGTCGAGCACCTTCAATGCCTCTTCAGCAGCCTTGACACCACTGAGGACCATTGCGCCAAAGGTAGGGCCCATGCGATTGGCTCCGTCGAGCTCACTGAGCTCCATACCTCCCATGATCAAGCCAGGGGAGACCTCGCGGGTGCCCTTCACAATCGCATCTTCGGCACTGTTCATATCAAGAGCTCGCATGCCGCCCAATTTCTCGATGGCGTTCATGCTGACGAGACGCTTGGCACAGAAAGCGCCGAATGGGCCATCGTGACCGGTCGTGCTGATGACGAGAGGAGCGTTGATGGTACTAAAAGGCTCAGTCACTGATGGCCAGGCAAAAGTAGAGGGCATTCTTACTTTGGATCCATGCAGCTGTGGTTGTCATGGTGCAGAGTAACCAGGGTCCAGTTGGTAACGACACCAACGACACGGACACCACCGTCGGCGGATGGACGAGTGATGAGATCCTCAACGCAGGTGGCATTGAAGAGCTTGACGTTTGGCATGGCCAAAACCTTGCTCATCAGGGTGCTCATGAACAGCGCAGCGTGCTTGACAACAATATAGTTGCCTTCGTCCTCAAAAGGAACGCCAATATCCTTGAGGAAGGCGTCGGCTGGCTTGCGCAGGACCATGGCGCTGAAGAGCTGGCCGCCCAACCAGCAACCACCACCAGGAGAGACGGATGCCTCGATGATGGCAATCTTCAGGTCTGGACGAGCATTGGCAAGGGTGTAGGCAGTCGATAGACCGCAAGACCCAGCGCCGACGATGACCACGTCAGACTCGGCGTAGCGGTCGAGGTCTGCAAAGTAGCGTCTGGTCATGGCACGAGAGACCTGTGACTCGCGGATGGGAGCGAAGTTGAAGTTGTCCCATTTTCCAGCAAAGTCGTCAAGGACTCTGGTGTGGTTTTCAGCGCCATTGAGGGTGATGTTCTTGGTCTTGAGAACGGCGCCGTTCACCTCTTTGGTGGCAGTAAAACCGCCGAAATCGTTGTAGGTGGCAATTGGTGGAGACATCCTGCACTTGTTAGGCTAACTATTCCCACGAGGTTAGGGGAAAGAGGGAGAATGCATGATTCTTTCGCTGGTATTATCCAGAGTCAAGTTCAACCGTATGATCTCAGAACGCACTTCCACATTCCAGCATTGCCATCTCCAGAATCAAGAGAGACTGGGTGGATGACAATATGTGCTGGCAGGAAAATTGCGAACACCGGTCCATGCTCAGACATTTTGCGTGTCTGATTGTTTCGATCAAATACTAGTAATACCTTGACCATGATGTCTCACAACCAAGCGAGAGGATGACATGGCGTCCTCCATCTTTTGCGGAGTGAGCTTTACTTGTTGTGTTGGCTTGTCAGGAACTCTGAGAGTGGTTAGCTTGAGGACATCAAGAGCGCCGTTTGTGGGAGTACTTGATGCCAAATTTCAGCACTGATATGATGGTAAGGTAGACTTTGCTAGGAAGATCGAAGGTAGCGGACAGAATGGATTGCGAAGGACTGTTGGTGGGAAAACATCAGTTTTATACCTGTTGGACCGGGACTGCCAAGTGGAAGAAGGCGGAAGCTTTGGAGGGGTTCGGAGGGGTAATTATGGGCCACTAGGCCTCACTGCGTTAGCCTGGCATTCTGGGCATATCACACAATCATCATCAGGGATATTCGACTCCGAGGACGAGATAGATGTTCCTCGGGGCTGGTGCAGGCCAATGGTAGCGCATGAGGCAGTGGTAAGCTACAGTCGGGCTCTGACCCGGCCGAAGGAGAGTGCTTGCTCTTATCAGCAGCACTCGCGTGACTCCAGAAAAGAAAGCACGGTGGCCGAATAGATGAAGACAGAGAATGGCTATGACTTAATCATCCTGTCACAGCCGAACGCATAGACGTATTGGATATTGAGACGAAAGGATTTGTCGTACCACAGTGCCACGGTACTCGTATGCATCACGATCGGTCTGTCAACTTCGCTGTCGTCACCTTCGCATTGTCCTCGAAAGTCTGCCTTCCCCAAGCCGCCTCGGGTAGAGGTGGCGGATGTCGGAAGGCCTCTTGAATTCTTTGAGAGGTTTGCTTGAATCTTTCCGAGACATCTTCCCAATTACCCGACTTCAACACTAGTTGCCCGTTCTTCTTTCTGAACTGTCCACCTATCATGACATGCTTGATGTCGCCAATATTGGAATGCAGGACGACCGCAGCAACCGGATCAGTCCAGCCCAGCATGTTCACTGAGCTCCCGTCGAAGCAGACAATATCTGCTTTGGCCCCAACCTTCAAGACACCAATATCATCCCGGCGAAGCGAGCGGCCGCCGTTTCGGGTGGCCAACAAGAACGCGTCCACTACAGCCATGGGGTTCTGCTTTGGGATCTTGCCCCTTTTCAGAATCTCCGTGGAGCAATGACCGCGCATATTCTGCAACCACAATCGAGCTTGCAGAAGTATGTCGTGGGAGAAGGTCCAGTTGGTGTCGATCCCAAGCGCTGCTTGATCATGAATCAAGCGGCTTGTATCCTGGCCGTGACCGTAGTGCATCTCAGATTCAGGTGTGATCGAGACGTACTGATCATGCTGACGCAGCGAGTCCATCTCTGTCGATGTCAAGAATCCTGCGTGGGACCAGATATAAGGAACCTCAAGCTTGTGCAGTTCGTGCTTTTCAGCGATGTTGACCAGGTCTTTGGCAACTGTAGTGTGTAAGTCTCAAGCAGCTGAGCGTACTTGATTGAGTGATCACTTACATGGCCAGGGCCCACCGAGATAATGAGACGTAAGAGCCTCTGCTTTGATGTCAATTGCAGCTTGCTTCGTCTGCTGGATTTCCTCCGCTGACATCCCATCGAGACCGTCCACGGCAAGTCCCAGTCTGATAAGATCGTCCTTTTGGGATGTTTTACTCCGGAGCTCCTGTAGTATCCCAATCTGCTTCTCTGCATCGAATCCGGCCCGAGACACAGGATGATAGCACCACCAGATCCTGGCTCCACTGTCAATGGCTCCATCAAAAGCGGCCTTCATGACATGCTCTCCCCAATTGCAGTGAGCATGCTCCACATAGGAAGTGATTCCCGCATTGATGCCTTCGAGGTAGCCCTCGAGACTGCTAATATAGATGTCTTGCGCACCCCATTCGTCAATATTGGCTGCTCGTTGTGACACCCATCCGAAGTATTGCGCTAGCGTGATGTCCGGGCCGAGCGTGCGATATGCTGTTTGCCACGTATGGCAATGGGTGTTGACGAACCCGGGAGAGACGATGTGGCCGGTAACGTCGAGAACTTCAGCAGCCGAAAATGTGTTTTCCTCGGCTTCATGTGGCTCCAAGATAGCAGTAATGTGGTCATCTTCGATGATGACATGTGCCTGAGGCAAAACTTTGACTGTCGCCAACTTGTCGTCAAAGGCAAGCACTGTGCCATTCTTAAGTATTTTAGTGCCCATGTTGGAGCACGGTGGGGTGATCGAAGTACCGATCTTGCAGAGATGAATTAAACGTAGTTTAACTCAAGGGTCGCTCATGCTTTATACATACTGGAGATGGTAACGATCCCTTCTCAATTTCAGCCGAGGTGCCGTCAGGTTCAACGGCTGAAGACGTAGTACGAGTACGACCGTTGAATCCGACGAGGGATTGGAAAAGTGATGTCGGTGTTAATATTAGTTGAGCTCTGCCGTTTCCACTCGGATTGGTTAGAGACCGCAAGCCGGCATTCCGCTATGCAAGCCGTACAGTAAGGGCAGATCATAGAGGCAATCCTGGGTCGATCGTTTCGCTATTCGCGCTTCGAGTGATGTCGGTCTCGGCACGACTCGTATTGGCATCTTCAAGTTCGTACGCGCTATTCGGCACTTCTCAGAAACGAGGAATGTGTCAAGTCGGTCAAGATTGGGGCTTTCAGCCCGGGCCAAGGTTGCGGTATGTGGGGAGACAGACAAACCAGATACGTCTGTCACAACCTCAGCAGATGTACTCCGTATGGGGTAGGTGATGGCGATACGAACGAGGTCAGCAACATGGATTCCAAGCGGCGCTTGTGTTTGGCTTGGCGCTTCCTCGCCATTTCTGGCGCCTGGAAGGCGATATTGATGGGATATCAACGGTGATATTGATGGCCTCAGGCAGGTCAATCACGCTCACACCACCATCTGCTTCGGCTTTTCTGTTTCTGCAAGCGGTATACCAGCTCTGCTGGTCGAAACTTGGTCGAAACTACTTTCATCGTTCTTAAGGCGTGAGATTAGCTGTTGCACATGCTGATTTCTGGTGAACCGTGGGTTAAATAACTGCCTACTTAGATGTCAGCAGTCGTCCCTTTCTTCGTCTGAAATATTCCACGAACCTACTGAGAACCTCTTTCTATCACTATCATCACTATCGATCATGGCGCCACTCGCACCTTTCAATCCCCCTCTGGGACCGAACCAGATGTTCTGTCAGCCCAATGAGCAGACCTTGCAGATGAAAGAGAAAGTCTTCTCACTCACTGGTGATGATTTCACTGTCACCACCGTTGCCGGAGTTCAAGTCTGCAAATGCAAGGGCAAAGTTCTGTCCATCAGCGGTGCTAAGAGTATGCTTCCCACCCCCACCGATTGTGCAGTCAAGTCATTACCAGAGGCCAAAGCTAACTGACTTCTGATGTCACAAGAGTTCACGGACATGCAAGGCAACGAGATCTTCACTCTCAAGAACAAGTATTTCTCGCTGCACAAAAGCTTCCACGCAGAAAGGCCGGATGGCAGTGATATTTTTCAGGTGAAAGGTCATTTCTCAGGTAATTCAAGCGCTTGTTCTCGTCCTTCTCCCGTGCCATGTCAAATTTCTCGACCTCGGCAGAGCTCGCACATTTTGTCATGATTTCTCCCTGGATTCTCTGTGGAAAGGCTCTGATGCCCCGACAACCTAGTGCTCTCATCACGATCGACTGTCCACTTCAAAAACCAGTCAGACGGCAATGAAATCGAATTGGAAGTCACAGGAGACTGGTTTGACCGATCTGCGAGTATCACCTTCGGCGGACGTCCCGTCGCACACATCTCGAGAAGCTTCTTCAATGTTCGCCAGATTTTTGGCGACAAGCAGACTGTACGTTGCGTCAAGAGTCGATTGGCCGCATCAATTTGGGCGTCTTGAGTGCTGACATATGTCTCTTCGCACAGTATTTTGTCACAGTAGCCCCAGGCGTCGATCTGACCTTGATTGCCGCAATCTGCGTTTGTTTGGATGAGCGCGAGAACGAGTCCTAAGCTCCTTGAGCCTTAGTGTACCGGTACAATATTGTGGAAGGAAATAGACCTTGCTCTCGGATAGGCTCCGCTCCAGCCCTCACCGGGCTGGTGTTTCTTTATGTCAGCTTGACGTTGTTGCTGTGAAACGCGTCGAGTCCCCCAATGTACTCAAACTACAACCTAGCATGCCAGACTTGATCGTTTCCGTTGTGCTGACTCGGGCTCGCTTCAAGCTGATCGCAGACTTCTCCAATCCGAAACGTTGATCCATTCAAGCAGCCAAGGGTGCAGATGAGCTGACAGAGCCAAAAGGGAAGTTTCTGTGGCTAGGAGGCTCCATAAATTGTGATTCTTGTGGCCCAAGGTCCTGCCAACCAACCGCGGAATGGCCCATTATAGCCCAAAAAATTCGCAATGGAGCACCCCAGTCTAAGGCGTCCCGAGTCATAACACCCCCCGTTCTGCGGCAGACTGGCAGGCCCTTCGCGGACCAAGACCCCAGACATGCACCATCGACGTTGTCAGAATGTGCATGGAAAGGCCTAACATCAGGGCGAAGCAATGAACAATCCTTGCACGAGGCTAAACCTGTTGAGCAAATGGTCGATATAAGCGTCCCAGCCGTAGGGAACTTTTCTCATTGTTGCAGATAGCCATGGTACCTCAAGAGTTGGCGACGGATACTGGGAGTCCAGGACGGGGAGCCCGGCGCGTCGGGCACACTGGCTCTGCAAATCAGGCTGTGGCGGATAGTGCTGTCTCTGATCTGAGCGGTGCTTCCCCTGCTCGAGCGGTCGGCGATCACACCCACATCCCGCCAACAAGCCATACAGGAACTGCCGGGGTGGTACATGAGATTCGAGTTTGTGCAGGTGTGCGAACGAGCCGCGCGCCTTGCACAGAACAGCGCGCAGCGCCGCGCGAGAGAGACCACAAAGGCAGGAAGAATGATATCGGCTGGTTTCTGCGGAGCCGCTCCTTGCCATTCAATTTTGCTTTTCTGACGATTAATACACCGCTCTTACTGGGCGATATTCGGTAGCCTCCCACCGTGGCGATACCCTGTACTTACGGAAGAGGGGTGTTACTCGTTGGCATGAAACGACAGACAGCTATATACCAAGGATTGCTGTCTATGTTTGTCGCAGAACTGTCAGCGCCCAAGCATCTATACCTTCCCGTGAACAGCTATAGCTTCTCTGTGTGATGTCCGTGACCGGCATCCCGAAAGTCCTTCAATACCTCCCAGGCTGGTGCTGGAGACCTGTCCATGAGATGGTAATTGTCTCGGTAATGAATGGTCGGGAAGGCTCCTCCTACTTGATTTGCGATTGTTCTTCAGAGGCAAGTTCACCTGTGGAGGCTTGCAAAATGAAGGCGGAATCACGACAACCTGGTACAAAGCTCTTGTAGATAACAACGGTTGGTTTGATTTGAAGATTCGACTACGGTGACCTCGGCATTGCTACTATGGTACTATGGTTGTGGGTATGGCATGGTATGGATATAAGAGTCGGTGCAGTCGGCAGCCGTCCTCCTTTTCCTTTTCAGCCCCGCCACCAACCACCAACGTCAAAGGTCAAAGCTCTGTTGATGGGTCACGTCAAAACACGTCTTTCCATCAACACCCCTTGAAGCTGCCTTCATCTAGAACTCGTCACCAAGGAGCCCGACAAGAAGCACCCTTTCGAGCTGGTAGTGGTTTATCGATTCAAGGATCGTTGCAAAGTCCTCCACTCCTAATGGAAGAGTCCTGACATTGACTGGACTGTGCTCGGGATTGAAGGCATCGAAATTTCCTTCAAGCTCTCCATTTGAACGCCTGTCTACACGCATGTCTCCGTTTCACGCCGCCGCCCAACCACTTTTCGTCGCGCTTTTCGACACCAAACGCATGGATAGTGAACTGCGGCCGTGCTTCACAACTCATGGACTCCTTGGCAAGGACAGCACTTCAAGATAGGAGACCACTGTTGACAGTCCTCCACCTGCAGCGAATTGACAGAAGCTTGTCCCGTGGTCTCGTTGGTCAACCTGAGGTTTTGAGCCAGCCTTGTGTCCCACACAAGTGCCTGAAAATGAGACGGGACTCTTCGCGAGCCCGGCGATCTTTTGACGCTTTGATAACATTCAGACATTTAGGGAGTGGTCATTTGTTGTCACTCGGCACGAAGCAATGTCCACCTTCGGTCGGCGGATGTCTCCTGCCTCCAGGTATGGCGCTGAACTGACACCCGTCGGATCGTATAAGAAAAGAAAAGGTGCCGCTCAGGACACCAGGTTCTCTCTGCTCATCGCCGCATTAACGAGCGTTTACCCTTCGTGTTGTTTGATCGTCAACTTTGAACGCCGTATCTCGACATCACCATGTCTTCGACCAGCTCCTCCCCAACATTGCTGGGCAGCAGTCCGCCAATGGCTCTGGGTCGCAAGGACGAAGAATCTGGCCTGTTGCCCATTGAAGAACTCGAAATGCTGGATAAAAGGGCGAACGTCAATGAGAAACCAGTCTGGCTCGACGAGTCCGAGGACACGATACCCCGGCCATCACTGAGACAAGTCTTCATCGATTATTCATGCGTATTATTAAACGTCACGTCGACGATTGCCATTGTTTTTATCAACAAGATGTAAGCGTTCTGGAAGGAACCGCGGGATATCACTGACTCAAGTTTGGCAGCGTCCTGAGCGACGAACAGCTTCGGCATTGTCAGATATCGATTGCGGCATACCACTTCTTTATATCATTTGTGGTTCTGTATATTGCGGGCCGTTTACTGAAGATGTTCCCCGTGGTTTTCTTACCCGTCAAGGAAGTCTTCTCCGTTGCAGCATTCTTCGCCGGTTTCTTGATCTTGGGCAATCTGTCCCTCACCTTCAACAGCGTCAGCTTCTATCAGCTGGCCAAGATATTGACGACCCCGACTGTTGTCTTCCTCAATTTCATCATTCTGGGAAAGACGGTGACGGTACCAGTTCTGGTGTCGATTGCGGCATTGTGCGTCGGGGTCGGACTCATCACCTCAGCATCTATCTTCTCCAACGTCTTGGGGACGTGCGTCGCCGTTGCCGCATTCACCATCACCGCCCTCTATCAGATCTGGATCGGGAAGAAGTTGACGGACCTCAAGGTCTCACCCCCTCAGCTCTTGCTCAACCAAGCTCCCGTGGCGTGCGGGCTATTGCTGCTACTCTGTGGCTTTGTCGACAAAGTCCCTGTCGTGGAGAATCTGGACATGCGCAGTGTCCATGCACTGGTAGTCTCTGGGTTCGTGGCGGCACTCTTGAATGTTTCACAATTCCTGGTGATCGGACGAACATCAGCATTGACATTCAATGTCATCAGCCAATTGAAGACTCTGGCAATTGTGGGGTTGAGTTGGTATCATGAAAGTCGGGCATTATCGATCATGGATGTGATAGGAGTGGTCATGACTCTCGGAAGTGCATATGCATATGCTACTGTTTCGAAAAAGTGACGACAGCGACATGACTATGAGCCTTTTTTGCTTTCTACTTCTTACCTACTATATCTACTTAAATATTTGGATTAGCATAGCGCATAATGATACCATGCTTGGGGCCGTCGGGGAGAACAATTCATTACATTGCAAACGAAACATGGATTCAACGTATGCACTCAAGACCCATTTGTTGAACACGAAACAGAAGATTGCCATCGCGAAGTTCCGGTCTCCTCCGCTGCGAGGCAACCCTTCTGTTCGTTCGTCCAAGGTAGAGCATCAACAGGAGGCCTGCCTCGCAATTTCAAGTGACGTGAACGCAGCCGCAGCTCTAGACGTGTAGAGGCAAGTTGGACCGTGACTGACAGGAGTGATGGTCGCATTAAGGATTGTGCGACGCTTTTAAAGTGGACTCGACAGCAGCGCCTGGAAGCCGATGAGCTCCAATCACCGTCCGGCCAGTGGCTGACGTTCTTGGGACTTGGCGCCTGGCCACGACGCACTTGAGGGGCCCCGATGGGGGCTCAACACCTAGTTACTTAGGCTACTAGGCTACACTCGACACCCCGAGCGCCCCAAGCAGTCCCTAAGTTAGGCGTAGTGAGCCGGCGTCGGTACGCGGCACCTCGTCCTCAGACAGAGCTAGCCTTGCTGGCTCCCGCTCCCAGCCCACGCACGCCTACGCCTCACGCCCATCCTCCGTCGTCGTGGAAAATTTTTTGCACTGACCGCCATCAGCCGCCATCAAAACACACTCTTCCGTACGAGATTGACACGGCGCGGACTCTCTCAGCCGCTTTGTCTGTGCAGGCACTCTGGTGTCTCCTGATTCGCACCAGCCGCCAGAACCTGGTACCTTTTCGATCGGCCAATCTTGTAAAACACGTCAGCTGAAGGGTAAAGTGAAAGGTGGGTGATGTGGTTCTGTCTCCACGTAGCCAGAGCTGCCAGCCTGCTGGTAGCATGGTACGTACCCAAATGGCAGGTAGGTCTGTTGTCAACAGGGGGTGGTGGAAAATAGGTGGTATAAACCCTTCCACCCTGGGATCGTTCGCTCGTCATCTACTTTAACGCAGGGTGTTTCAAACTCGTATTCTCCAAAGAGACGACCCTTGTCTCGGAATCCAAACCGCTCGAACGAACGATCATGGACAAAGCCGACTTTTCGACGCAGTCGTCGCAAGGCTTGCGGCTACGCAGGAAAGCGTATGTGGTTCTGCTGCTGGTGGTGCTAGCCTTGCTCCTCTTCAACACGCGAAGTCATTTTCCCGATATCTCGCAACACGCCGACATTATACCTTCATCACCGATCTCGGTCGGTCTCAACAACGAAATCCCCAATATTGTGCATTACGTCCAGTTATCCAAAGCGCCCGACGCCGAGTTCCACTTCGAGTTCAAGCATTTCCTGTCGGTATACTCATCAGTGGTCTATCTCCGACCCAAGACCATCTACCTGCACACAGATTTCAGCGAAGAAGCCATCAAGAAGGTGCTGGTCAGCGAAGACCCAAAGCACAAATGGACCCGTAGGATCCTGAGCTTGAAGGCCGTCAAGGTCCGACGTGTGCGCGCACCCACCGTGGCTGCGGGCAATGGCAAGAGGATCGAAAAGATCCAGCACAAGTCGGACTTCGTCCGAATGGACGCCATCTACGAATTCGGCGGACTGTACATGGACTTCGACGTCCTCCCTCTGCGGGACATCACGTCGCTGCGGCGGTCCGGCTTCAAGAACATTGTAGGCCGAGAACACGGAGGACAGATCAACAACGGCTGCTGGCTGTCGGCGCCCAAGACGGCCATGGTCGACATCTTCCGATCCGAGGCCAGCGAGATCTTCGACGGACGCTGGACGACGCACAGCTGCAAGCTCCTCACCAAGGTCTCGGAGCGACTCGTCCGGACGCCCGGGGAGGTTCTGATCATGGACATGCTTGCCTTTGCCCCCTCGAGCTGGGTCGACGAAGACGTCATGAAGCTGTGGACCATCCACAACGAGACGACCATCTTCCCGGAGGACGACATCGATTTTACGATCCAAGACCCTTATCAGCGCTGGAACCGCCGGAACAAGGTCGCCGAGTGGGAAAACGACTGGTCCGCCTCGTACTTCCTCCACTCCTTCGACCGCCACGGCAAGATCCCTCAAGAATTCAAGGGCGGCGTCAACGTCAAGGAAGTCATGTACCCGAGAAGCAACTTCGGCCTGCTCACGCACCCGGTCCTCAAGGATGCCATGAGGAATGGCTTGGTCTTCGAGGAGGATGCCGAGGAAGACCTCGACATCATCTAAAGTGAGTGAGGAAGTGAAAGATCGTGCCTGGAGGTTCCGCAGGAAATCGCGGGGGTCCCCATTGGACTCTCCGTTTTCTGGTTGTTGTTTGTCTAACTTAAGTTGCAACGGCCTTTCTTTGTCTACTACCAGGAGCATCGGTGTTTGTTGGCCTGGGTCATTAATGGGATGATTCAATGAGCATCTACCCGGCGTTGGAGAGCGTGAGCAGCCAAAACGGCTTCTTTTTTTTTTTCATTTTGCTTTTTACATACAGTCAAAAGTGGACACTCAGTGGGCCAGCGCCCTAAGTTAGAGCGTCTACATGAACAGTCACACACCAAAATCCAAAACCAACTTCAGAAAAACTCTTGGTAAAACAAAAAAAGGACTACCGATGAGACGTTTTCCTGCTTCGCGAGTAGAGTACCATTTCGGTCGGTCGATGGCCGAGTGATGCAGGGACGTAAAGCAGACGACCACCTCAGGGGGACTGGGCAGCAACTCGTACCCACCTACTGTAGTGAGTACTGTACTCGTACCAGCCGACAAATTTCCAGGGGGTGCTTGACACATGGCATTGACAGCCTTGTGGACAGTGCTGGGCCCGCCTGACGTAAGCTAGATTCAGAAGGCCAGACGAGGCACGCGAGGGCGCCACTCTTCTCAACTGTATCTAGCACGGCTCAGCGTTTTAAGCATGCATGCGAAGGGAGTTCTCTTTAACATCTTCAAGACCCAGATCATCCTGGACCTGGATCTTGCCTAAAGGTACTCGGAGTTCGACGGGCGGTGGTGAGCTTTTTGAATGTGTACTGTGATGTTCCGTCCGCCACCCATCCGCTCCACCAAAGGAGACACAGCCTGATTGACGCCCCTCCACTCCCCAGATGCCTATAACTTGCGAATGCAAGACGCCATACCACCATATCAGCCAGCAATTGGCGAGGAATAAATGGACTGAAATCTACCATCGAGCAGACTTCCACAATTCCAACGACCTTCCTCACCACCCTGATCATCCTGCTGTCTACCAGCATAGAGTCTCGGACCACTGGTTGTGCACCAGTCATTGGCCAATGCTGCTATATTTCTCGTTGTGCCTGCAAACCAAAGTCCAGCATCGATCCTCTAGCCCGCCAGCATTTGAATTCCGAGTTGTCAAGGCTCAGTCCTGAGGGCGAATTTGATGATCTCCCTACCATCCTCAGAGTTTGACACAAATGCTCGGAGCGACATTAGACTTTGCACCGAGGCCCACCGCAGGGCAAGAACTTCATTGAATGAATCCCCTCAACTGTCTCTGGTGACTATAGCCGCCCGATTCCCCCATTTTGCTTCATTAGGAGTCGCGAAGCACAATGGAATCAGCCTTCGAGCGACCCTTTCGTCCCAGTGATCTTATTCAAACCATCAGGCGGATAGTCTTCATGCGGACACCATCTTCGCATGAAGAAATGTGCCCATTCGCCTGGCCGAACAGTTAACGCTGATCAATAGGACACAGCAAGTCTGTCCTCTGAAAGGCAGGATAGAGGACTCGACCATTTCAAAAAGAAGCTTGCACGAGCGCAATCCGTCAGGCTCGGCATTGAGACACTCGCTGAGAGGCAAGTTACCCCCAAAAAGACCAGGCGTTTCGTTTTCAGGCTCAGATAAAAGATGGAGCCATATCGTCCATGTTGACGATTGCTCTCCAGTTCGTGCTCGCCTTTGCGGCGTCATCTGGCGCGAGATCATGCTGCTTCCAAAGAGCTTCGACAATGACCCTTGTCACTCCTATGTTTCCTATCCGCCGGTGGACTTCCATCTTCTTCAGAGTCTGGAGGATTTGTAGTCGTTGTTCATCAGTGCGTACTTCGCACGCTACGACGAACATAGGCCATGGGCTCGTGCATATCTCCATCTTGGCGATAAGGCCAAGAGCAGATTCGACCAGTGACTGTATCGATCGAGACTGCGGTGGAATGCGCAGAATTTGCCGACGAAAGTAGATGAGTGCTGCCAGATGGTAAAATTCTGCAGTGTCTTGAATGTGCACTTCGTCAATTCTGGCAGATGACGAAGGGGCGTCCTGTTCGGGCTGGATAACAATGGTCTGGGACAAGTTCTCAAGACGATGCTGTACTTCATCGACAATATTCTGATCACGAACCATCTGGTCACGTAGCTGGTTGGTACAAGCAACCAATTCCATCAGTTCTTCAGAGCAGCCTAAAGAGCCTACAATCTGCAGGACGAGTTAGCATCAACCCGGCTTCTTCCAATGATGTGTACGACGTACAATTGTCTTCTCCTCCGAAGATGCCGGCAGTGTGACCGGTGCTTCACTTTCAGAGCCTGGCAACGTCTGCGAGAATTGCGCCAGGACGTCATGATACAAAATCCAGCTTCGAAGGAACGACGATATTCCTTGCCTATTGTCAATGTCATGGACAGCCTCCGAATGACTCTGCATGAGGGTCTTCGCGCCTTTGAGGTGAACCATCCAGTTGCCATCAGTGTTATCAAAGACTCCATATACGCAGAGTAGCATGCAAGTAGCGAGTTTCGCGCTCAGATCGTCAGGACTATCCGTTTGTAGCGACCCATTTAGGAGTCGCAATGCCCGAGCTTTGTGTTGCAATGCTTGACTCGGCCCGCTGACATGGAAAGCGCAAAGTGCCAATATGCTTTCCATAAGACTTTGTGAAGCCTTGCTCTGGTGGGAGAGAGCGATAGGCAAGAGCTCGTTTCGAAATCCATTTTGAGCATCGTCAACCGTGGTGATGATACGTGCAAGTTTAGCTTCGTCTGGTGTCACATCGTCAAACCTGCCACCATTCAGACCAAACGGGAGAAATCTTACAGTAGGAGAGAAGATTGCCATGGTCGTGGGTGAAACCTGGCAGTAAATAACATGGCAAAGTCCTGGTGTTGAGGCGAAGCAGACGCATGTGTGCCGAAGACTCCGGCAAGACGTGGTGATTTGACCATTCGATATCTTCAAATGTCGTATTCAGGAAGTCCAGGGCAATGCTAGGGCAAACTTCATCATTGCGCTGAGCACTTCGTCCACCAACTGTTGCGAGCAAAGGCTTTCGACGACCGTCGTATTTCTCTGGCCAGCTTAATTTTATACCAAAGCCACCGCATATACGATGCGTCCGCACACAATTATTGCATGCAGGCAGGGTCTTGTCGCACCCTATCTTGCGGTCTAGACGAATCAGTTGGCCCCGCCGGTCAGCAAGAGAGGTCGGACTTACTCTTGCAGGTCCAGCACGACTTTCGCGCCTTCATCATCTCTCCTAGGCTTATAGTCTCGGTTATGTAGGGGCATCTTCCGTATGATCAGGTGGTACTAGTGTCCAGTCCATATCCGCCGGCTCCGCTCTTGTGCGTGAAGGAAATGTTGACTCTTGGTGGTTAAAGTCGATACATGTAGAGATAAGTGCTGAGTCACTAACTTATGCCGCTAGTCCCCTTAAAGAACTCTCAATCTACAAAACGGGCAGGTAGCGCGGCTTGTCCATCAAGCCAACACTATGGTGTATCTGATCCTCCTCAATATTTTCCGCTTGAACCTGCTACATATTGCCACGAGTGTGACAGAGGCTAGCAGGTCGTTACTTCTTCATCGTTGTGACGCACGAATCGGCGGTGGGATTGACCAATAGGCTCAACAAATCCGGTCTGGCATAGTGTCCAACAGTGTCGATGAAAGCCTTCGCTCGGTCGATGTCTCTCAGATCAACATCGGCCACCAGAATTCCTTCCTCGCCATCTTCCAAAGGTTCTACTAAGGGCTTGCCATCCGGACCAAATATCATCGAAAACCCGCCGCCAGGCTTGAAATATCTCGTTAGTTGTCTGACATATTCACCAAGCGATCGGACTTACTGTCTTGATTGGTGGTTTGCCCACCAGATGATTTTTCTCGAGATTCTTCTCAGTCAGGATTTGCGATGCGACGGCAACAAATGTCTGTCCTTCAATTGCCATGAATTGACTTGCCCGGTAGCTGGCCTCTCCTGTCTCGTGATATTGCCAGGCCATCACTTTCGGATCTGGCATGCAGAATTCTGCTGGCCAGCTTGCGATATGGATTTGCACGCCTTGTGCGTACTCATAGTACCGCAGTAGTGGCTGGAGATGTTCCCAGCAATTCAAGCCGCCAATCTTGCCAAACGGACTGTCAATAACAGTGGTCAAGGATTCGGCTTGGCCTTCACCCCACAGTGTTCGTTCCACATGAGTAGGCTTGATCTTCCGGCGATGGTGGACGATCTCGCCTGTCGTCGCGATGAAAGATTGTCCCATATACAAGCTTGCCCCATCCCGCTCACTGTAGCCTAGGACGACAACCATTCCTGCGTCCTTGACTGCTTGCTGTATCCTTCGCATTTGAGGCGAGTCACGAACGAGAGAGTTGGCCATGTACTTGTGAACCATCTCAGTGTTGTCGATGACACTGTTCGTCCATAATGACCTGAAGCAGCATATTAGTGCATTTCGGAATGTGAGAGAATGAAAACCAACCACGGATACCCGGGGATCCAGACTTCTGGAAAGCCAAGTACATTGACTCCTTTCTCTGATGCTTGTTGTATCAGAGACAGTGTCTTTTCCACACTCTCCTCCAAGTCGAGCCATCCCGGCTCAGCTTGCACAGCACCAACGCGGACTTTCTGCATTGTGCTCGACGTCTGGCCGAGGAGGACGAAGCTCTCTTCACTCGGAGTATCGGTTTTCTTTGGGTTGAGGGTCAAGTCAGTCATTCCGTGGTTGCTCCTGTCCACGAATTTGAGGGCGACAGTGCACACTTAAGTCATACATCACCGCTAGTTGACATGGCACCTCGCGGTTGACTGCCTTGAATCAAGACTGTCAAGGCTGATTGCACAGTCCTGCCGCAAGTATGTAGTGTGGACCGGACACGGAAAAGGTGTCCCGTAAGCTTGACGCCGGGACTTAACGGGACAAGTCCAAAAGATCGCAAAGTCTTACCTTTGCATTCTATGTAGTTCAAACCTTAGCCAATCAACCAACAATAGTCATTCCAGAGGATAGGCTGGCCGTGGCTGGCGTCTTGTGCTCGTTTGTACTCCGCAGTTTCTCTCGAGATTCCACGACTTTTAGACGAACAGCCGAGACTTTCTAGCGTAGAGCTTAGACTTACCTTTAGTGGATTAGTGCCTGGTTAGCTTCGGCACACCTTCCCTTAAGACTGAGACTACCCTCGCAAAGTCCTGCCTCTTGGATGCACAGGAGGATCGCCCATCAACCCAGCAAACCATCGACATCTTCTCCACGATACTACAAAGTTTCAGCCTTCTGCGGATGGTGGGCTCTTGCTATCCTGGACCATGCAGAGCCTCGTGAAGATGCAATACTTTGCGATCTCCGCGTTCGTCTACACTGGATGCACCTGAATGGATGGCATTCCACCGCGATGCGATGCCTGGCCATAAGCCAGCTCTGCGGCAAGACATATATATTGGATCCTCGCCGCCGCGACGATGGTTGAATCATCAGTTTATGAAGAAGCGTCGCTCTTCTCAAGATCACCTTGTCTGGTTCTATTAGCTTCTACGAGGCGGGCTCATCATGGGACGAAATTCCGTTGACAACAATGCCGACGCTACGCTGGCAAAGCTCGGCTACAAGGCTGAGCTTCCACGGAACCTTAGCATGCTGAGTGTGATGGGACTGTATGTATTCCCATCCGCCCGAGCTAGTGACTACGACTAACAAATATGATGATTTAGGTCGATGGCTATCATTGCGACGCCATTCGGTCTCTCTGCGACATTATCCCTTGCCCTGATCGACGGGCAATGCGTCACTGTTCTTTGGGGCTGGGTCATCGTGACGCTCATATCGATTGCGATTGCGGCATCCCTCGCAGAAGTGTGTGCTGTGTATCCAACGTCAGGCGGCGTGTACTACTGGTCAGCCATTCTGTCAACTGAAGAATGGGCCCCCATGGTCTCCTTCGTCGATGGCTGGCTCACACTGGTCGGCAATTGGACGGTCACACTGTCCATCAATTTCTCGGGTGCACAAATGATTCTCAGCGCCATCACGCTCTGGAACGAAGACTATATTCCAACGGCCTGGCAGACCATCCTCATATTCTGGGCAGTCATGCTGATACACGCCCTCATCAACATCTTCATGTCCAAGTATCTCGACTTCATCAACAAGCTGGCCATGTATTGGATTGCCGGCGCTGTCATTATCATCTTGATCGTGACCCTGTCCATGGCCGACCACAAGAACAGCGGCGCATACGTGTTCGGGCACTATGATGCTTCGGCCAGTGGATGGTGAGTACCGCCCGTACAGGGCATATGGGAATTTGTCTCATACTAACAAACCTCCTTAGGTCAACTGGCTGGGCGTTCTTCGTCGGTCTTCTACAAGCAGCATACACACTGACCGGATACGGAATGGTCGCCGCCATGTGCGAAGAAGTCCAGAACCCGCACCTCGAAGTTCCGAGGGCGATCGTGCTCTCGGTCGTCGGTGCAGGCATCACCGGTGTTGTGTACTTGTTGCCAATCCTTTTCGTCCTGCCACCGGTCGAAGTGCTCTTGGGCGTCATGAACGGTCAACCGATCGGACTCCTGTTCAAAATCGTCACAGGTTCCGCGAGCGGAGGTTTCGGCTTGCTGTTTCTCCTGTTAGGCGTGTGGATGTTCGCCGGCACAGGTGCATTGACGGCTTCCAGTCGATGCACCTATGCCTTCGCACGCGACGGTGCCATCCCCGGCCACATGATATGGCGCAAGGTCAACAAACGCCTCGATGTGCCCCTCTACGCCATCGTCCTGTCCACCGTCATCGACTGCCTTCTGGCTCTAATCTACCTCGGCTCGTCCGCGGCATTCAACTCGTTCACGGGCGTCGCGACGATCTGCCTGGGAGCCTCGTATGGGATACCTATCGCGGTGTCAGTGGTTCGCCGACGCTGTATGGTCAAAAATTCACCATACTCCCTCGGACGATTCGGCTACGCCATCAACATTGTGGCTGTGCTGTGGATAATATTGGCTACTGTCCTGTTTTGCATGCCCACGGCACTTCCGGTGACACCGTCGACAATGAACTATGCCAGCGTCGTGTTCACGTTCTTCGCCATGGTCAGCGTCGTGTGGTACCTGGTTTACGCCAGGAAGCACTTCAAGGGCCCGCCGATCGCAGATGTTGATGGAGTCAGGGGCGCAGTGAGCATGGGTGTTGCTCCAGATGTAGAGGATTCTTCGGGTGTGCTAGGTGAAATTGAGGAGCCGAAGAAAGGAGACTGAGCGTTGCAAAAGCCACTTATATCGCCTTCACAGTAGTTGCTCAGGCAATGTATACACAATTGGCGGCAAAGCACTAGATGCAATTGTTGGATAAACCACATCCAAATTCTGGTCCTCTTGGCTTCCTTTTGAGCCCTCTCATGCATTCTCATCCTTAAACCCTTCCAATCTCGCATACCTCTTCAGCCCTTAACTTTGCTTGACCAACGTGCGGCTCCAGCCTCCACTTACAGGAGCGAGGCAGTGGCCAGTCACGATTCCGATATCAAATGTCTTTTCATGCCAAAGCTCTCTCACAACATCTCAGGGCAGTCAGCGTTGATCCTAACTGAGAAGACTCCTTGTCCCGGACTGAGCACGAGGACCCCCAGCTTCATCGCGTCTTCTCCCGTGATCATACGAATACTCTTTTCTCTTTCAACCCCCTTAGTACGCAAAGAAGTAATCAGGATGTTTGTTCCCGATCTCATCGATCGTCAACTTCCTAAGCTCTTGCACTTGATCACTGAATTGCTCTTTCCTCTTCCTGTTGTTTTCATACCTCAGCAAGAGCAGCAGGAGTGTACAAAACACTAGTTCGGCACCAATCATACCCAGCGCCGATCCGTGACCACGACGGTAGAAAGGAGGGTCATTGTACGCCTCATTCGACCCGATAGCCACGGCTTGACCGATGGAATTGATGAGGGCTGCCGCACTCGCTCGGAATGTGTAACCGACGTTGATTGTCGCAGTCCAGGTCAGGACAATAACCACGTTAGGGTACACCCCTAACGCAACGACGCAAGCTCCCGCAAAACGACCGGAAGGATTGGTCAATGTGAGAAGAAGAATATACCCCACAGCGCCGATTGTCGAGTTGACCAGCACGACAAGCCCACGCTGTCGGATCTTGTCGGAGAGTCTGGCTGAGAAGATGATGTTGACGAACGCACACGCGTAGATGATGACGGTCATAAGCTGCGACTTGACGGTCGACCATCCGAATCCGTGGAGGATGGCGGGAAGGAAATTCGACAGAGACGTAAGGCAGAACAGGTTGGCGCTTTGAACGACCACGAGCAGCCAGAATTTTGGGTCGAGGAGGAGCTTCACAATCAACTTCGGCACGATCTTGGACTCGCCGGTGTTGAAGGCACGTCGACTTCTCTTGACAATCAAGGCCTTCTCGTCCTCGTTGAAGTAAAGCTTGGTCTTCTCGGGTGTGGAAGGGAGCAATATCCAAACAACAAAAGCCCATCCGATCGGAACGACGCCTTCGATCAAAAAGATCCACCGCCAGGGTTGCCAGCTATTGACGTGTGCAAGGTTCTGCTGTACTGCATATGCGATGAGGCCATTGAAGGCCCCTGCCAGAGCAGACATGGACCAGAATATTGCTCCTCGGGTGGCAAGTTCGTTGTAGGGGTACCAAAAGGAGAGGTAGAACACCGCGCCCTGAACGAAGGCTTCGCAGCAGCCGACAAAGACTCGGGTGATCATGAGTGATGCATATCCGTGAACTAAGACTGTGCAGGCAGTCACCGTGCCCCAGCCGAGCATGGCACCGCCAAACTAGTAACCCATTAGGCCAATTTCTGCGTCGTAGACAAAGGAACACATACCTGCAATGGGGGCCCGATCTTACGAACCAGCAATGTACCAGGCAGCTGAAACAACAAGTAGCCGACCAAGAAGATGCTGGCCACATGGGAGTATTGAGACGCAGAGAGCTTCAATTCGGCGTCCATGCCTGCGATTTTCGCATTGCCCAGGTCTGCTCGACCCTAACAGCCATCAGCAAGTGCTGGAAGGGCGATATCCCTATCCAACCAGGGCTCACCATCGACGCGAGGAAGTACACTGTCGCGAGAAGCGGGAGGATAATAAAGTCCAGCTTGAACTTGAGCTTGCGTTCTTTCTTGCGGTCCTCGTCCGCTAGCTCTGGTGTAAGAGCATTACTATGCTGGTCAGATCGTTCGACCGACTCCAGGACAACTTTGTTCTCCATATTGTTGCGATGAGGTTGGCGCTGATTCTCTACGATGCCCGCCACAGTCGCGAAGGGTATCGATTACCTGGATTTGTATGTTAGTCGTCAACCCCTCACCATTCGTACGAATTGATATATAGCCATTCCACCTTCATGCCATATGCGTAACAGTCATGGCTGAGCCTAGGTACAGGGCCCCCAAGCGAGGAGCAGCAACGGCCAGCCCCCGCTTGGCCTATCCCCGTATCGTCAATCCCTAGCCCTGTGGACTATTACCCCAGACTTTCATTGGGCATGGGGAAGGTAGATCCTTGCTCGTGCGAAGTTCGCAAGGCCCCCGAAAGGCGCGTATTGCTATCTTAGGGCAGATCGCCAAGGAGCGACATTCGCATCAAGGCCGAGTCACGCATAACTCCTGCACCTAGGGAATGGTGCCTCACAACTGCCGAGCGGTCTTCAAGTTGGTCGAGGTGCTGCCTAAGGAAGCATGAGTAGTATTTCTGTGCAGCACCGGCCGCGAGGTCTTACAAATACTCCTGCGGTCGCGGTATCGGTGCGATGTCGGCCATCTCGTACATTTTCACTCAATCCTGATCAAGAAGACAAATAAATCCTGCGACATCCTGCTTCTCTGAGGTGGACTCCCGCAAACAACACCCCCCCGGGTACCGTTGAAGCATGGGATCGATAGACATCAAATCTGTCGGGGCCTCGTCGCCACTATGCCATATTGTCACCCCGACAGGAATGCTCGGATATGGCTTGAACCAAGACCAGGTTGATCAGGCGCTCGAAGAATGCGTCTGCACTGGTGCTCCCACTGCAATCATACTCGACTCAGGTTCGACAGATGGTGGACCCAGCGTCCTTGCACTAGGCACCATGACATGCCCAAGATCCAACTACAAACGAGATCTGCGCAAACTTCTGTCTTCTGGTCATCGTTTCAAGGCGCCTGTCTTGATTAGTTCTGCCGGCGGAAGTGGCAGCGATGAGAACGTAGAGGAAATTGTTCAAATGTGCGAAGAGATTGCAGAAGAGCCTGGAAATAGGTATGTGATAAGTAGCCAGGGAGCGTCGAGCTGACTATTGGTAGTGCGTACAATTTCACCACAATTGCAATCTTTGCGGGGATATCCAAAGCACTTGTGACCCAACGGCTGGCAAAAGGTGTCATCACAGGTTGCGGACCAGCCGTGCCTCCCATGACACAAGCTGATATCGATGATTGTCCACGAATTGTGGCACAAATGGGTCCGGAACCGTTTGTGGAAGCCATGGAGGCACAGCCGGATTTCAATCTGCTCATCGGTGGCAGGGCCTACGACCCTTCACCGTTTGTAGCGTTTGCCACATTTTGCTTCCGACAGTTGCTTCCCAAGAACGACAAAGCCTTTTCCAGTAACATCCTTGGAAGCTTCATGCACATGGGCAAGATACTGGAATGCGGAGGCAGTTGTGCCAAACCGAAGTCGTCAGGTGCGATGGCGACCATATATCAGGACGGCACGTATGACATCCGTCCTCTTGCTCCCAACAGCAGATGCACGCCGCTGTCAGTCGCTGCGCACACCTTGTATGAAAAGTCGAGACCGGATATATTGAGTGGCCCCGGTGGTTACTTCGATGTGACACAGACACAGTACGAGCAGCTGGGAGATAATCGCACCGTCAGAGTCCGGGATGATCGTTTCCAAACATCGGCCGCACAAGGAGTACCCTATCAGGTCAAGTTGGAAGCGGCCAAGATGGTTGGGTTTCGAAGCATGTACATCGGTAGTATGAGAGATCGTAAGTGGCCACCTGGTTCTTGAGCGCTCCTGAAGTGATTGTTGACGGGACCCAGCGATCCTTATCCGACAGATTGATGAATTCCTGATGATGGTCAAAGAGTATGTTCGCCAACAGCAATCGGATGCTCAGGGCGCGTGGAAGCTGGAATTCCACAAATACGGCGGTAAAGACGCAGAGGAGCTGGTTTTGATTGGTGAGGCATTGGCGGATACTCAGGCCCTTGCAACTGCCGTCGCAGACACAGCAAGAGTTGCCACTATTGTAAGTTGGATCCAATCTGACAGTTCTTAGCTGCTAATGGTCCTCGCTCAGCATGGGGCCTATGCTGGGCAGAAAGCAACAAGTGGCAATTTTGCGTTCGGGATTTGCGGAACGAAGAATGTTGAGCTAGGTCCCTGTACAGAGTTCTGCATTTACCACTTGATGAGCCTTGAACCTGGTGAAGAGTCAGCATTTGAGAGGCCTGGCCAAGCCGACGGGCATGAGCGTAATGCGGTATCCGATTCGCGGAAAGGCATCTTCCAATGGCGAACACATAAGATCGGCCAAGGTGTTCCAGAAGCAACAGACAGAGTCGCTGTGCGTAACGATAACAAGCATGACCAACACGCCAACAGCGCGAAGGCGGTCTCGACGAGCCGGATGCCAATGCCACAACCGCTCTTGCCGCTGTCCGGTCCGCTACGCGTGGTTGATGCGGCGAGTGTGCTATGTTCGAAAAATTCAGGACCATACGAGATCACATTTGATGTGATGTTTGATGATCCTGAGATCTACCGCGTGGTCAAAGAATCTGGTGTTTTGAATTGCACGGTGATTGAAGGACTGTGCAACCTGAAACCTGGGGAGATGATTTGGTGCGGATGGTTCGATCAAGCACTTGCATTCAAAGCGACCATTCCACGGAAGCGGGCGGGTCAACTTGTTGCTGCTGGCGGTTTCCTTGAGAACGATGTTCATGGATCGCAGCAATATATTCCTCTAATAGGGCTGACGTTTTCAGAGAAAGTAGCTGCAAGCTTGCGCGAGATTGAGGCGACCAGGGGATAGTAAGACTGATGGGCACTGCATGAGACCAGGAGGACCCTGCCACAAGCTGCTCGCAGAATTGAATCATGTATCTGTATGAAAAACATCCTCTCCGAATTCAGAACTGGGGTCGGAGGTATGGAAGTCTAGCATCTCCATGAAAGATTGGCCCCAGACATCCTCAGGTAGTGAGGCGGTCTCCTCGAGCAATTCGTAGATACTGTCGGGCGGCTCTTGACGATTAAGATCATCCTTTGTCGGCTGTGGATCGCGCGAAGCTGATGGAGCCGGGATAGGATTGAGCTTTTGTAGCAAGCGTGATTTTAAATTACGCTTTCCTCGAATGTTTGCTGCGGCTATGAGTGCATCCAAGGCGATAGAGGCTCCCCCTCCAACCTCGATCTCCGAACCCATCTCAACTGACTCCGGGTTTCCACGACAAAGTATCTCTATGACAGAGGCAGCTCGACCGGGCTCGGTGAACTGGTGAGAAGAGTATTCTTGGAGCTTGGTATGAACCATTTGTACTTTGCGTCGGGATTGGACCTTGCACTCGGCTGGACAGGTCTTGTTGAGTACGAAATACTTGAGGAGGAAAAAAGTCGCAACCATCACCCCGAAGAAGTAGCTTTTGGGTAAAGCGATGTGCCCGTTGACCAGTTCCTCGTCGGAAGGATCGTCCGATGCGCTTACGATTTCGTTGCAATACATATCGATGATTCGGTATGCTGTAGTCATGGCCATCTGTTGCAATTTGGCGCACAAGCTATCGGGTTCAAACTGTCGCCGGTCTTTCAATGGCTGGGTCTCTTTCACCAATGCCAGCGTATAGAGATGTAATTTTGCCATCCAGAATGAGAAGCTGAGATGGGAATCGAACGAGCATTGCAGCCTGGTCGTGATGCTGTCAAGTTCTTGATCACACATTTGAACGATGTTGTCTCGGATGAGATTGTTTATCTCTCCCACGATGATATCATGGTGCTTCGCCAGGCATCTCTGAATCTCCGCCTCAATGACTAACTTGTTGGGCATGTTGTCAAGTCTGATCATACTTTCGATGGTATGGAGGTCGTTTGGGCTCCTCAAGGGTGGAGGTAATCCGAGCATCAGTGAAAGACTGAGGCCTAGATTTAGTACATAGTTTGCTAAGAGAAGTATCTTACTTACGAGGTGCTAGTAATGAAGCAACCCAGCCATGTTTTTGCCATTGTATGGCGATGATTGGATTCAAGCCCAGCCAGAGTGCGCGAAGTCGGGTTAGCAGCAAGCGGCAAACCCAAATAAGATGCTGAGTGCACTGCGATCGCCGAGTACATGGAACTAGGATCTTGAGGCTGGCGCATGACCGGTAGTGGCCACGTACATAGATATAGGATGCCCTGGATTGTATGAAACGAATGTGGTGGCTTCAGTATGGTCCGATTCACGAGATCCGAATACGATTCGACCAGAAGGTTCGACTTGGCCACATACTTGGTATGGAATCGGCTCGCAATGAAGACAATGGTCCAGAACAAGAAAGGGCTGGATTGTTTGATTGTCTGCACGGGTATTGTGGTGTCGATAATTGGCATGTGGGGGTGGAAGGATGCGTAGAAGCTGTCTGCATCAGCACAATATATCGGACTCGGCAACACGATGCCTTACAGCTTGAACAAGTCGCGTATCTCCTTTCTGCTAAAGCGGCTATTACCAAGCTCGGCTTCGATCAGTGTTGGAGGAGAGGCATCCTCATTGGGTAAGCCGAAGGGAGCCTCAGAGACGAGTTCGTCAGTTGGCAGCGACGATTGACCATTTGGCAATATGGTATCTTTTGATAACGGCGCACTGGTCGACGGACTGCAGATGTGGTCGACTCGCTCATCCTTGGGCTGCGATTTGAGTGTTTGCTTCAGACGCCGGAGTTCCTCTGTCACGGACTCAAGACGCCTTGCACGATAAGTCTATGATACCGCCATGGAAATGGATACTCACTGCCGTGTAGGTGTTCGTTTGAAATCTGCATCAATTGCGCATGACAGACCTCGCTTGTCGCACCGAGAACAAGGACGGGGGAAAGTTTCATTAGCATCGCACCGAAGCTGTATTGAACAGTGTCAGCCTCACTTTCAATGACCGGACGGACTTCCTATGCTGGATATGGCCCACCTTCACTTGCTTGCATTCCGTGCAAGCCTTGACGGGCCGTCTTCGCGCAGTTGAGGTATGCATAAATGCATGGTGCCTCGACTTCTCGAAGCACGATGAAGGATTGAAGCAATGATGAAACTGAAGTCCTGGCGGCATCAGATGTCAAGCCAGGGCACAGCCGAGGTACTGCAAAGCTAAGGCTGGTGAGCCTAGTTAGTGGCCAGAGCTGTGTCTTATTTTAGGTGCGTGATGGTGCCTGGTGCGCCTAGAGCAAAGACATTTAGTTAGTGGTGATGGTGCCCTCGGCGGCTGTGGGAGGCCTGATTTTTAGAGCACGACTGACCTTCAAGTCATCAGCTTCGATACAAACGGCCACCATCACATTTAAATCTTCGAATCAACTTCGTCACGGTCAAGCATCTTCATCCTTCCCTTCTGCCAGAATTTGTCCTTTCCACACTGCTCGTACATGACAAAATCCCACTGAAAGCCACGCCGCCGATAAGACGGCAGTCATGACGCTTGACACCCATTCAATCGCAGGGCTGTCAAGCACTTTAGCTATTTGCATCGTCGCAAGAGTAAGTCCTGCATTTGGGAAGACAAAGCCCCACCAAGTAAGGGTAAATGACATCCGCCTCGCGCCATTCAGGACCGAGATGGTGGTTATGGCAAAGTACCAAAAAGCCAGCAGCCAAAGGAAGATACCCGATATGCTACCAATCACTTGCAAAACTTCTGGCGCAGATATCGTGGAAACACCCAGAAAATGTCGGGGCAGCACTTTCGTTGCCCTCAGAGAAAGAGATATCAGCCCCTGTGAGGTGTATGCCGTGGGTCCAACAGCGACGTACATTCCAGGTCTTTGGGATGGCGGAGGCAGATTCTGCGAGAAGAGTCGGATAACCCAGATGGCGTAAAGGAAAATGGTAACCATCCAACCAAGCCCTTGAAGAGCAATACCCGCCACGAGCATCCTTTCACCTGCGCCGGGGTTTGGATGCTGAAGGAGGACACCTGCTAGCGGCCCGGTCACAAGCAAAGGGTACATGGGGAGAATCCAAGCTGGCGTCATGGATCCGATTTCGACGTTCTCGACGACGAAGAGTATGTCGTATTGCAGTATGGCGAAAAGCAGGCTGAAACCGCAATATATCCAGAAGCAGATTTCCATGGCTTTCGACAACCACGGTCCACAGCCTGAGTAATGTCCATATGAGCTCGCAGCCTGCAGGATAAGGCTCACTGATACCCAGAATGTCCCAACGTAGAAGGCTTCCTGGGGAGAGGTGAAAGACCTCCACAATGAACCGCGGGCAAGACGGAATCTTATGGCGATCGCTATAATGAAGACGATAAAGAGCACTAAGTCGATGATGAAGACGACTTTACCAATGGTGATTAAGCCGCTGAACTTATTTGGTGTTTGATATAGCACATTCGCCAGTGACCCTGTGCCCATCGTCGTGGAAAACCATGCCCAGGTAAAGTGCTTCAACCCGTTCGAACCAGAACCTCGCGACCTGGAGGCAGGCAGTCCATCTCTATCCTTGTTACCACCTCTAGAACCCATGATCTGGGACGAGGAAGAGAAAGTCTGAAGAACTTCTGACATCTGCAGGGTAAACGAACCCGCAGCCGGGCCCTGCTGGGATTATCTTAGGTCCTCCCTGCTTTTTTGCTGACCTGTTATGCTGCGCTCTAGCGGCTGTGTCTTGTGTCCGGTCAGCAACGCTTTCCTGAGGCCAAAGGTTCTCCCAGAAAATAGTTGCTACATACCTAGGTAACGAGCATCTTTAAGTAGAAGGCGACTGAGTGCCACGCACGGGCCGACGGGCCGAAGATGGGCTTGCATGGCGACGAACATCTTGGTCACAGATGACGGCGAGGAATACCACGGTCTCATGCGCAAATCGTGTTATTTGGCGCTAGGGTGCCATTCCACGATAAACAATAGCGACGACATTTTATGTGGTAAGAGGGCCTCCTGTTCAAGGTAAGCCCAACTGCGGCTTCGACGCATGAGACCGTGGTACGCATATGGGGTCAGCCAAGGCCGTTGGATGGCGTGGATGCCCAAGTACCAATCCCACTCTCGAGGAGACCGGCGCAAGACTTCAGGAAACAGGAAATGAAGTCATCAATGATAGCAGTGCACAGTACAAACTAGCAAATAGACAGCACACAAAAGGGAACAATTTAATATTTTGAATGATGTTCATTGAAACTGCTAACTAAGCCTCAATCATCTTCTCTCTGTTCATCTTCTGCAGAGAAACATCCCATGATCATTATCAAGTCATGCTGAAATTCTATGTCCATGCAGGAGGTATCATCCCAATTTTTCCATGTGAAAACGCCAACGCCGGTATGATTGACATGAAAGAACAACCGCTCAGTGCTTTTGTCGATAGTTTCTCGAGACATTTAGTCAACCTCCTCGACAGTTGGGCCATCATCGCCACCATGACCACCAGCACCACCAGCACCACCGGCGCCAGGGAAGCCACCAGGTCCGCCTGGCATGCCGCCACCAGGCATACCACCCGGCATCGAATCCGAATTTCCATAAAATTTCAACATTATCGGATTCGCGACGCCCTCGAGCTCCTTCTGTTGAGCCTCATACTCTTCCTTGGTGGCAGTCTGGTTCTCGTCCAACCAAGAGATGGTCTTGTCGATTTCAGCCTTGAGCTTCTCCTTGTCGGAAGCATCAAGCTTCTCGTCAACCTTGGAGTCTGAGAGAGTGTTCTTGAGCGAGTAGGCGTAGGATTCGAGACCATTCTTGGCGGAGATACGGCCAGCCTCAGCCTCATCCTCGGCCTTGTACTTCTCGGCTTCAGCAAGCATACGCTCAATCTCCTCCTTGGACAGACGACCCTTGTCGTTGGTGATGACGATCTTGTTTGACTTGCCGGTACCCTTCTCTACAGCAGAGACGTTGATGATACCGTTGGCATCGACATCGAAGGTAACCTCGATTTGAGGCACACCACGAGGAGCAGGAGGAATGCCAGACAATTCAAACTTGCCGAGCAGGTTGTTGTCCTTGGTGCGAGCACGCTCACCCTCGTAGACTTGAATGAGCACACCAGGTTGGTTGTCGGAGAAAGTCGAGAATGTTTCGGACTTCTTGGTTGGAATGGTGGTGTTTCTCTTGATCAAAGGAGTCATGACACCACCAGCAGTCTCGATACCGATGGACAGCGGAGCAACGTCGAGGAGCAAGATTTCGCTGGTCGACTTGGATGAGGTATCACCAGACAGGATAGCGGCCTGGACGGCAGCACCGTAGGCGACAGCCTCGTCAGGGTTGATCGACTTGTTGGGCTCCTTGCCGTTGAAGAAGTCGGAGACGAGCTTCTGGATTCTGGGGATACGGGTAGAACCACCCACCAAAACGATCTCGTGAACGGAGGACTTGTCGATCTTGGCGTCGCGCAGGACACGCTCGACTGGCTCCATGGTGGAGCGGAAGAGGTCCTGGCAGAGTTCCTCGAAACGAGCACGAGTGATGGAGGTGTAGAAATCGATGCCCTCATACAGCGAGTCGATCTCAATGGAGGTCTGAGCTGAGGAGGAAAGGGTGCGCTTGGCACGCTCGCAAGCGGTTCGGAGACGTCGAAGAGCACGGGAGTTGGAGCTCAAGTCTTTTTTATGTTTCCCTGGGTCAAGTCAGCAATTGCTATAGTAGATCAAGGTAGGAGGTAACTTACGCTTGAATTCATTCACGAAGTGGTTGACCAGACGATTGTCGAAGTCCTCACCACCCAAGTGAGTATCACCAGCGGTCGACTTGACTTCAAAGATACCCTCTTCGATGGTCAAGAGGGAGACATCGAAGGTACCACCACCAAGATCGAAGATGAGGACATTGCGCTCGCCAGTGGTCTTCTTATCAAGACCATAGGCAATGGCAGCTGCGGTGGGTTCGTTGATGATACGGAGGACGTTGAGACCGGCAATGAGGCCGGCGTCTTTTGTCGCCTGTCTTTGACTGTCGTTGAAGTAGGCAGGGACTGTGACGACGGCGTTGTTGACAGTGCCGCCGAGATATGATTCAGCGGTCTCTCTCATCTTTGTCAAGACCATCGAGGAGATCTCTTCTGGTGTGAATTGTTTTGTTTCGCCCTTGAATTCGACTTCAATGACTGGTTTGCCGCCCTTGTCGATGACCTTGAAGGGGAAATGCTTCATGTCAGCCTGAACCTCAGGATCACTGAATTTCCGGCCAATCAATCGCTTGGCGTCGAAAACAGTGTTGGCAGGGTTCATAGCGACTTGGTTCTTTGCAGCATCACCAATGAGACGCTCGGTGTCTGTGAAGGCCACGAAGGAGGGAGTTGTTCGGTTGCCTTGGTCATTGGCAATGATTTCGATGCGGTCATCTCGGAAGATGCCTACACACGAGTAGGTTGTACCCAGATCGATACCTATGGACGGTCCGTTAGCACGCTGAGGCTGAGACTGTGCCTGTGGTGTCGACTTACCAATGGCTGGTGCCATTTTGACTGGAGGTTATGGAATTGAAGGAAATGTGAGGTTGTTCTTGGAGAAAGATAATGGGATTATCACAAAAGCAAAGTCTTATGATTAGTCTCTATCAAGAGGAGGATTGTAGAATGTCTGAATGGTAATGGGAAAAGTGGTCAGAGTCGAAGCGAGTTTGCAGCATAGAAATATGATTTTGAGATCAGTGGCAGAACATTTTGGAACGCAGTGGAAAGATCGGCTCCACCGCCCGAAAGATCCAGCATGCACAAGAATGAGGAAGCTCTCACTGGAATGACGGCGTGCATTCTAGAGCTGCAGGCTGCTCGGAAGCAAACGCCGGGCTGTGTTTGATGCCCTACAGTTCTTCTCTGTCTTGTTAACGCATTGTTCAAGGTCTACACAGTTCAGTGATGCTGAAGGGACATCTACATGATCATCTCTCTACGCACCATGGGAGCGATTCCATTGTCTACGTCATGGGCCCCTCGTCATTTCAACAGCTCATAGCCTCATGCTGAGCTTGCCCCGCACTAGTTAATGGCTGCCGAGCAACAGGAACTTTTGAGATTTCAATTCACTGTCATAGATTGTCATTCGATGCCATTCTTCAAGCTTCAAGACGAGCATCGAATGTCACGGTTCGCAGCCTCACTGTTCCATGAGGACTCTGCCTTCTTACTGTTACATCTCCAGATGCTGTCCTGAACACGGTGCTAGATGAGGAGCGTCTTGACAGGCTTTGCTCTAACCTCTGCGGATGCTGGCGGCTTCCACTTCTCACACTGCTCTGGTCCCCTGTAACGTGATGCCTGCTCACTCGCTGCTGCAGCCATGGCCTGAGGTTGACTGCGGGATTGAATCATTAGCATGTACAGCTCTTTGATCACGAGACATGGTGCTTCCTTACAGTATCCCCCACAAGCAAATACACCTAACCACAGTACCAACTCGGAGCCATAAATGACCATGCCCAGAATGTCCAATTTCGGCTGAAAGAAGACAGAAATCAACGATGTCAAGTCGCCCATCGCATCAATTGCCACAAAGATGAACGAGATGCCCCGAACCGTCCTCTCCTTGTAGATGTCCCAGTAGTGCCTCAACACACCGGCAGAGAGAAAGCAAGCTGACAACACCGCCATCAAGGTGATTGGCCACTCAGTATGGTTGTGTTTTGCTCTTCTCAGTGCGAAAACTAGCCCGCATTCAATGCCGCCCATGACAGCCGCAACTGGAGCAACAATGGATGCCGATTTGCTCAACGGCCACTTGTTGCCATAGTATTTGCATTGGATCCACGTTAACAGGCTTAACGATGTCAAAATCTGGGGCTGGACTTTGAGAGCCACGTTGAAATTTCCCACAATATTGTATACTCCCAATGGAATACCTGCACATGCCCACAAGAGCATCATGGTCGGTTGTAGACCCGTTGTGTCATGCCGACGATAGTTAATGATGATTTGTGGAATCAGCTGAAGGCCAGGAGTCAGAAATTGACCTACACTCGTGCAGAAGATTGCCCCTACCTGAACAGACCAGCATACTGCGCCCAAAACACCAAGCACGTTCGCAGCGATAGGGACGTCCATTGTTTTCCCAGCCTCATTGAGCAGCACGGACTTTGCAGGTCAGTCGAGAACCTTGTATGGAGAGCTCGGAGCCTGGCCAGTCACGTGCCAAGCGAATTTCATTTCTCTGTCTTGGCATATTTGTCAAGTATGCACCCTGTGTTTGTCAATTGTTTCCCCCGGCTTCAGGGCTGGTGTTAGTTCCAGTTCAGTCACCTTTCACCAGTCCACTGCTCATCCACGCACTCTTCGCATCGCTGCTTTCATAACCTCCTCCTGTAACCACCTTCTTCTCACTAAAATGTCCTCCAACGGTGAGACCGTGCCCGAAGGCACTAAAGAGGTCACCAGCCAGGCGGGCAAGGGCAAGGGCAAGGCCATCGAACAGCCCCAGGCGATGGAAGAAGACGAAGAGTCTGAAGAAGAGAGCGGCCCCGAAGAGGTATACTCTCCTTGCGCCTGCTATCTGCCTACGTTACTAACAGCTTGCTACAGCAACCAGAGCCTGAAGAAGAAGGTACGCTATCCTCTTGAGTTCAAATATTCTCCACTACGATCGCTTCAGTGCAAGACCATGAAAGCCATCTTCACATCACCAAACTATCCTTGCGCTTTGAAAGATTCCATTCTGACTTGAAGTAGAAGATGAGGACATGGAAGAGATCGACCCGGACAACATCATTCAAGGCCGCACCCGCCGCAAGCAAATCGACTGGGCCGAGGCCGAACAAAAGTCAAAGGACGCTGGTGACGAAATTGACGATGATGAAGACGAAGACGATGAAGACTTCGAGGCCGAGGACGACGACGAGGAAATGAAGGGTTGAAAAGAACGTCGTGCACGACAGCTTGTCGCATAGCCACTTTCACATTGGCTAGTTCTTGGACTGCGTCTACTATGCCAGCTGGATACTTGGGATCAGAAGGGCACCACAAATGTCGCGTCAGCAATTCTTCCATTACCGAGAGACGTGACATTGTATCACACTGCAGCATTTGCACCTTCACATCAGGAGTATTCGACAGGGGGAAAAGCAATGGTATCTAGCGCGCGCTTCAACCGATTGGAAGACAAAGCTCTCCATGCACAGAGAGTGGCATTCGGGTGTCTGTTCTCTAGCAGCAACAGGAGAAATTGAAAGCATCACGCGAAAAAGTGCTGGCGGATTGCTAGACACTTCAGGCCCTCAATAGGCCATGTATTTTAGCGAGACCGAAACCTCATGCAGACAGGAAGATAATAAATCAAAAAAGAGCATCAAAAGCGTTCAAGAATCAATTGCTACCCTTCCATCATTCTCTGTTCAATCCCGTCTCGTGCAACTTCGAACACCTCTTCTCGCCCACACGTGCTTACCTGGCTTGGACTTTGAACAGGCAAGGAATCCACGCCAATGCAATCACAGAGGACGTTTTTAAAAGATACTCCACAGGCACCCAAAAGGCGCTGCTTGTGCAGACAAAGGGGCTCTCAACTTGAATAACACACCTCTCCAATCAATATATCTCATGTTTGAAGGCTCAATAGAACCTTTTTCCTTCGAGCTATGGTTACAGAGACGTTGTCCGATTGTCCGTGCGGTTGGATCATGCTATGTGCAGCTACGCCTCAAGAACAGCCACATCAGCGAAGCACTTGCACCTCTTTTGACACTCTCTTCGTGTCGATAGCCACGTAGATCCATAAGTAGCTGACAAGCTCCTCGGATAGCACCAATCATCAAGACATTGCTATCTCCCTCACGGCGGCGGCAGCTGCAGCTGAAACAGCTAGCTCCTGTTCCCTTATCCTCTCATTCTGCCTCCTTGTGCAACTTTGACAGGACCAGTTTGTCAAGTCAGGTTCATGCTTAGCTGCTGCACCTCCAAAAGCTGGCCTGCGTGTAGTGTCTACCGCAGACGCTTGCCCAATTTCCGCCATGTCCTTTCGTCCTTTTTGAGAGCCTAAACCTTGTTGTTCTTTCGCGCATCGGCGATGGTACATTACCCTTGGCGACTTGCATTCCGGATCGGCACACCACACTGCCTCCTTGGTTGCTCTGGTCACAGGTTTTGAGCAGTGGCCGCAAGTAAAAGGTCGAGCCAGAGTTGACCGAGCTTGAACATGATCTGGCGAATCCATCACAGGGGTAATCCGAGGACGAGAGGGTTCTCCTCTAGGCGTGCCCAGAACACTGCCGCCTCGCCGGGTGCGTCTAGCCCTGGGCGATTCTCGCTCAGCAACGCTATTCTGAACGCTCTGCTTCCCCTTCGCCGCCGGCTCAGGTGGTGGAGAGTCTTGGAAAATTAATGTGTTCACATCACTGACCACATCGTCGTCAATGACAGAGCTTTCCTTCAGCCGTTCTAAGAGTCCGAAGAAAGCTTGCAGAAGCTCGTCATTGCCATTTTTCAGCCACCTGTGGTGCTTGCGAACGAAACGCACCATAGAGTTCGGCAAGTACCTCGAATGTTCGAGCCGCTCTTCCATACGATGTCTATTCCATCGCTTGGAAAGTTCACGCTCATGGTCAGTCCAGCCCTGGCGCTTGCTCACTAGATCTAGGCGTTCCATGTGTAGCTCGATCTGCCATTCGTTGTCGATGTCTTCGTCTGTTTCAGACCGAGGGTCTTCGCTTGGAGACACAGGTCGGTGACTGACAGATGTGTAGACGGGCTCTGCATCTGCATATTGGGACTGGAGCTGAATAGCTCTGAATCTCTTCCGCTTGGGCTGGCGGAAACCGGGCACGTCCCTGGCGGATGGGAATTGTGATGATAGTTGCTGACGAGAGGAGACAAGGGTACTCGTTGTAGTGTCTTCTGACGCATGCTTTTTGAGACTCGGTGAACCAACCCAGTCGCGAACGCCCTCCGAATAGGCTGGCAAGTTGAAGGGTTCTGGTGGCGCTTGCCAATCAATCTGCAGAAGGTGTTCCTCCTTCTTCACTTGGGGAGCTCTATCGACCTTGATCTGGATATGTGTCAAGTCTTTGCTCACAGGGTCCCGCTGTGGTTTCTGCACTTGAAAGATATACTTTGAATGCATTGTCGACAAATGGAAGATCAGCCGGTCAAGTTTTGAAGTCTTCCAGACTGCACATAGCGGACATCTGTAGCCTTTTACTGTCGCATAGCGAAATTTTTGGTCCACATTCGAACAAAGGTTATAGCACACTTCAGGTGGATTGCTTGGAGATGGTGCTTGCACTCCATTTGTATCGTTCTTTGTCCCATTAGTAGAACCAATCCCGTTCGTGTCCCGCTTCGGCCTAATTGCAGTGTTGGCTTCGTTTACGCCTGGGCTAGCAAGCGCTTTCTGCTCAGGCGATCGGAATGAGTCCAAGTCAATACCATTCCGCGGCCGCCTCGCTGCAATTGACCCCGAACCTGACTTCTGCCATATCGAGCTTACTTGAAGGCCATACTTTGTCCTGTACGTGCGCCCTTCGTGTAAGAAAAACACGCTGAGAGGTGTATCGGACTCTGGAGCTTGTGGCAGGTGTGTGTACCTGGCAGCCACAGAGCCTTGTAGCAATTCAGCGCCATTCCTCTTGATATCTGGCGCAAAGTGGTCACCATCACTTTTGCCCAGTAAAGGTATGGGAGGCCAACGGCTGTCAGTCCTGCAAGGAATGATTTTGAGTTCCAGAAAGTATTTGTCGATCAGAGCAAAAACGTGCTCGTTCTTCTCTTGGACAGAAACCTTCAGCTCGCTTGCTCTGACTGTAAAGGCCTTGTCGAGCTCCAAATCGACAAAGGAGCCACTGTATTCGGTTTCTCTGGTAGTCACATAGCAATATTCAGACTTTGAGACAAGAGGCGCCGTCGCATAACCGTCGCGATTATCCCATATAGTCAGATAGCATTGACATTTGACAGTCTCACACTTCTGGCGCTTTGATGGTCTTTGGCCCTCGTCCACCGTATTTGTTTTGAAATTGAGCTTTTTTCTGATATTGTTCAGATCTAGTGTCAGCTCGGCATCAGCCTCTTCGTACACTCTGCCGGAAAGTCCTCGAATACTTCGACGTGTCTTTCTCTGAGCTTGCAGCGTCTCCCCATTTTGTAGGGAAGAGTGTGAAGGTCTCGGCATCGTTGATGGGACCGCAGGCGCTTTTGAAGGCCCTTCCGTAGCAGAAAGGCGTTCCCACAGAGCGTCACCTGCCGCCACAGAACCGGTAGATGCTTCTTTCGCTGAAGACCTCCCTGAGCGTTGCGTGGCCGCTGTCGAAGGCCTAGCAGGATTTCCAGAAGTAGGTTTGACCTCCCGGAGCTTCTGATGATGGTCTAAAATGCGCGTAATGTTCCTGTCGAGGAAGGTTTTCTGCCGGGTTTGGCTCTGATGGAATGCAAACGTTAGATCTCCAATCAAATGCCGCGAAAATCTCCTTTCCGGACGTGACAAATTTGAGCCGTAGACAGAATTCAGCATCTTGGGTAGATTAACCCAACGTGTTCTTGAACACAGGCTCTAAACCCCATGGTCCACCAGCACGTCAAATGATTAGACGCGTCTCGAGATCATCTGGTTACGGTGGTGACCTAGTGCAGACCGAGAGAAGCCATGAGTTTTGGGGTTGAATAATCTGACAGCCAGAGATGAGTTAGGGAACAAGCTGGACGCTGACTTTCAATAAAAAGCCGTCTTGAATCCACTCAGTGTTGTGTTGACATGACGCGTTGTTCGTCTTCAACCTGGGGCAGTTGCAATGTAGACTGATGTTTGAGGAGTGATGCAGACGCGTTGTGCACTGGTGAATATAATAACAACCCGCTTTTCGGTGGCTGGCAGAGAAGTGCAGGCGTGAATAGCTGAATAAGGCAAGATCGATCGAGGAGAGAGTTGGTGTTTGGTTTGGCTGCAGGAAGTTTGCAAGACTAGATAATTCATTCTGTCTGACACTACAGTCACCCTCGCAACCTTATATACAAGCCTAAAGTTGCTTCAGCACGTGACTGTCCGCTGAAACTTGGCGACGCTGATTTAGTCTGACAAATTCAATTTTATTCTTTCGGCCAGTCGCGCCGGGCAGGTTCAAGCTCCGCCGGAATCAGCTTGGAAGCGCGTTTTTCCTCTATCCCCTTCTTCTCAGGGTGGGTCACGATTGCGAAGCCCGCATACACAGTACACAGTACGGAGTACGCGGGCTCAATGGCAATCGATCCCCAGCTTCATGTTCCTTCCTCCTTGCCTGTGACAAAGCATTTCACCGCAAGGCGCGTTGCACAGTGTTGCACAGTGGTTTGCTCCACCTTTGATGACAATAGCTTGTGCGGGATCACCCAGCCGTTGCAATTTGCGGATAGTTGCAGCAGGCATAGTCTACCGCATCTCAGTCACCTATTTGAAGCAATATGCTCTGGACTGGCGTTGAAGGACCAATGATGCCTTGCGCGGAGATCTTGAGTCCCTGGGTACCGTGCTGAATCCATGGAAGGGCATCTTCTACTCTGGTGCGCTTATGAGAGTCTTGCAACAACGACACCTGTAGCGAATTTGTGATGGGCCTTCCATGGCACTCTACCTGACAAACCTGCGTCGGTCCTGCAACACATCCACGTGAATCGCAACACTTCTCTCCAAAGCCTTAAACGACGTTCATACGAGGCAGGCTGGGTTTTGATGAGATCCTTGCAATGGAGGATGTATCCAGGCAACAGCCACACCAACAATGCACCGAGGCAAGCCGGTATAGAAGACGCGTCCAGTGAGAGGGAAAATGTCGTCCATACCGAAATGCTAGATTTGCGAGCACGATACTCTCTTTTCCGATGTGTTGGGACCCATCACTTGTGCCGTTCTCGCTCCAATTAAAGCTGACGTTCAAGGACAGCTAACAGTAGGTCCCGCCGGTCTCGCGCCTTCATGTAAGTACCAGCATTATTGAGGTTTCCGTATTGCTCTGCTCAAAGGCGTTCGGTGACCTTCTCATGCCTAGTCAAGGCCTGAGAACACATCAGCAAGACCTTGACAAAGTGTCAGCCTTGCACCAAATGCCTGTCTGCTTTTGGCAGTATGCTTCATGTGTATTCGGCAGCAAATAGATGTTACGTGATCGGAAAGACCATGCAGACAGTCTCCCTGACCCGTGGCCAGCCCAGCTGGCCGATGTTCGAGTCTCTATTGGCGCGATGCATTAGGTGCGTAAATGGAGTCAATGCTCAGGGCTTGAGTGAACCAAATAAAATGGTGTATTTCTACGCCACAGGGAGCTCATGTTTTCTTGCACGTATATGGGGCAGTATTTTCTCGAATGAGGAATACTTCAGTAGTCCAAAACGCTGCCCAGGATGTAGAGGAGGCAAGAATTTGCTTTATCGTCTTCTTTGTTATTCTGGATCGTTCCATTTTCCTTTGCCTCAGTCTATGTTCATCGGATCTCCATTTGAGACGTCGATGCCATTGTGGGTCGGTGCCTCGTTGCGGTTGATGTTATCGACTTCCACCTCTGTCTCACCCATCAGACTTGTTTGCATCCTTGCACTCTGGCAGCCTGGACAATTATGCACCACTTCATGAGCAAAGAGGTCACAATCGATACAAAAGTGCCGGCGGCAAACAGGGCATTCGTATCTACTGCTTGTCGCGGAGATTGAGGTTGATTCCCGTGACTCTGTAGGCGGTGCAGATGGGAAAGACTTCAGGCAGGCGAAACATGCTGTACTTCGGTGGCTCTCTGACCAAGGCACCTCAAGCCAGTTGACAAGCGGAAACAAGTGATGGTAGCTCCGCGCAAGATGGGTTGACAGAATCAGCGTCAGCCCGCAGACGGGACATTCACTGGGCAAGCTGCAAACCTTTGCACTGCATCGAGAACATAAGTATCCGTCCCGGGAGGGCCTTGTATGACAGGCACAGAGTGACGGATGATCTTCGACTGTTCGCGAAGGAAAGCCCATCATCAACAGGGAATTGGCCGATTTGGTCGCCTGGCTGGTGACTGGTGGTGTCGTGACGGCCATGAACAGCTCGCGATAGTGCTGTTCGTGGAGGACCACGCCATAATTGGCCAGATTGCCATTATTGGTCTTTGAGACCAGTTCGGCACAAATAGCCACTTGAGCCGCCAGCCCGATGACAGTGGCTCGGATTTTGTCCGCCACCAGACTATCTATCGTGCGATGGATATCGCCGGGATCGGACGTGTGAAGAGCGCCAAATACTAGCAGTATCTCGCGTGTACCATGGCTAGGAGCGTGAAAAAGGGCCGCACGCGCCATTTCGAGGGCATTTTCCAAAGATGGGTTCCCTTTCGGTTCTTCCTTGCGGATCTTTTGTATGGCGGCTAGATGAGAGGTGGGGTTACCAGACATATCACTGATACGAACTGCAATCCCATCGCGCATGCCCACAATGCCTAGCTGAGAGATGGGATTTTGCTCAAAGAATTCCCGGATAAACGTCTCGGTATAGAGGAGGGTGAGGAGGTAACGAGTTGGTCGTAGATCTTTCTCATTCATCGATAATGACATGTCCAGTATGAGGATCAGGTGTCGAATAATCCCGCGCTGAAGAGGAGTGGTATCCTTGAGGAGCCTGTGGCCGGAGTGGCATTAGCAACTGCATATGCCCTTTTGACGTTGTCGTGGCTGTCTGCTCCTGAAGAGGCGGTTTGGGAATACAGGGTGTATATCCTACCTCTTCCTCTTTCCTGCTTCGAGCAGACCTTCGACAGCGCCAGTAATGGTGCCGTCGGCATCTTCAGTCAGTAAATCCCATGTCCGCGTTACCTCAAAATTTTGAGCGTCTTCTCGCGCATTTGCCCTTCGTGCCCGAGAGCGGCCGGGGGCTCCTAGGATTTCATCCTCGTCGTCCACGACAAAGTCATCCCCTGACGGGACCATCACATGGGCGGGAGCTGCGAATGTCGTGGAAAATCGAGGCAAATTGTCTCGTAGATCGTGAGGCGCTGTTGGAGAACGCAGTTTCGGCCTACGGATGATATCTGAGTCCTTCACCGTTGATAACCGCCTTTTGGTGGAGTAGCGCTAATAAGTGGTAGGCACTCAGAACTCCGCACTCGTATCAATCAAGCCCGCAAGGGAGCATCTGTAGAACAAGTTATCCCTACAGTAGTGTTGGTCAATCCGCTCTTGCACGACACTTCAGATTATCTGCAATTCTCTGCTTTGAGCATCTTGTCGCCGGTCGAATCTAGTCCGTGTGCAGTGAGGTTCAGTGGGTCTGCAATTGCCAGATTGGGCGAACCTGCAAGGCAATCGGTATTTGAATGCTGGAGCTTAGACTCACAGCTACCCTATTGTTCTCTTCTATTACAAGGGCTGGACCTGCTTTTCCTCGTACGAAACGGACCCTTTACATATTCTCCCTCCTCTCTCGAATACCAGATCCGAACCTTGCTAGATTAGCTCCCAATTCCAGACCATTTCAAGTGCGCTTCTGTTCAGCAGAAGTCCGACAGACTATGGCACCACCCGGGGATCGAGACATCCTGCCCGACATCATCAAGCCGGTGAACTACGAGTTGTCCCTCTTCAACCTCGAGTTCGGCGGCAAATGGTCATACGATGGGCTTGTCAAGATCGCTTCGAAGGTCAAGCAGGCCACCAATGAACTTGTGATCAATACCAATGAGCTGGATATCAAGGGTGCAGAAGTGCTAGGCCAGGATGGTGGAGGTATGTGGCACTGAATCATGGAACGGGTGGTATACTGAACATGCGCAGCCGCAGTCACGTCTATGGCAGACGTGTCTTACGACAAGCCCAACGAAAGAGCCACCATCAAGTTCTCTGGCGACATCCCTGCTGGAGACGCCGTGATTGCTATCAAATATCAAGGTAGCATGAATAATTCCATGGCTGGATTCTATCGCTCCAAGTACAAACCCGCAGCCACACCGAGCTCAGGTACACCCACAGATGGCGAGTTCCACTACATGTTCAGCACACAATTTGAGGCTTGTGATGCAAGAAGAGCATTTCCTTGCTTTGATGAGCCAAATCTAAAAGCGTCCTTCGAATTCGCGATTGAGATCCCTGAAGACTTAACAGCAATCAGCAACATGCCGGAGAAGGCTGTGTCAAAGGGCAGCAAAGACGGGCTGAAGAAGGTGTCATTCGAGAAGACTCCCGCCATGAGCACATATCTTGCTGCTTGGGCGGTTGGGGACTTTGAGTACGTGGAAGACTTCACGGCACGCAAATATAATGGCAAGAACATCCCCGTCCGTGTTTACACCACTCGGGGTCTCAAGGAGCAGGGCCGCTTCGCTTTAGAGCATGCTCATAAGACTCTGGACTATTTCTCTGATGTCTTTGGCATTGAATATCCTCTTCCAAAATCCGATCTGTTAGCTGTACATGAATTTGCCATGGGAGCTATGGAGAATTGGGGATTGGTGACTTACCGAACTACTGCAGTTCTTTTCGACGAGGAAAAGTCAGACGCTCGGTTCAAAAATCGTGTCGCATATGTGGTGGCGCACGAGTTGGCTCACCAATGGTTCGGCAATCTCGTGACTATGGATTGGTGGAACGAGCTCTGGCTGAATGAAGGCTTTGCTACATGGGTTGGATGGCTTGCAGTCGACCATTTGCACCCTGAATGGGATGTGTGGAGCCAGTTTGTGGTGCGTAGAATGTCCAAAGGTATTCCGCCGCGGATTTGTTGACTTGAATCCAGGCTGAAGCTGTACAAACAGCTCTTGAGCTCGACTCGCTCCGTGCCTCCCACCCCATCGAAGTGCCTGTTCGCAACGCTCTGGAGGTTGACCAGATTTTCGATCATATCTCCTACCTGAAGGGAAGCTCCGTGATCAGAATGCTGAGCAATCATTTAGGGCAGGAGGTATTCTTGAAGGGTGTAGGCGACTATCTCAAAATCCATGCCTATGGCAATGCCAGGACCAACGACCTCTGGGCAGCGCTCAGCGCAGCCTCGGGGCAGGACGTCCAGGCTTTTATGGACCCCTGGATCCGCAAGATTGGCTTCCCAGTTGTTACTGTTGCCGAAGAACCTGGCCAGATTGGCATTCGCCAGTCGAGGTTTTTGACGACAGGAGATGTCAAAGCTGAAGAAGATGACACGACGTGGTGGGTTCCCGTCGGCCTGAAGACAGGAACGCCAGCCAAAGTCGTACACAGTGCTCTGACCCAGAAAGAGGATACTGTCCGTGATGTCGACGACGACTTTTACAAGATCAATGCTGACCAGAGCGGCTTCTACCGGACAAATTATCCACCGCAACGCCTGATGAAGCTTGGTAACTCCCAAGACCGCCTGTCGGTAGAGGATAAGATTGGTTTGATGGGAGACGCAACTGCCCTCGCTATGGCCGGAAATGGTACGACGTCGGCTCTTCTTTCTTTGTTGGAAGGCTTCAAAGATGAGAAAAACTTCATTGTGTGGCAACAAATTGCAACTTCGCTGTCCAAAGTTCGCTCTGTCTTTTCCACCAACAAGGAAATCTCTGCTGGCCTGAAAAAGTTCTCTCTGAAATTGGTCTCTCCAGCAGCGGAAGCCATCGGCTGGGAATACCCTAAAGACGAGGACTGGCTGACGGGCCAATCTAGAAAGCTTCTGCTCGGCTATGCTGCAGGAGCAGGCCACCAAGGCATTATCGAAGAAGGCCAAAAGAGATTCGCAGCATGGAAGGCTGGTGATGAAAAGGCAGTTCACCAGAACTTGCGAAGCGTTATTTTCAATCTGGCAATTGCCAATGGTGGGCAGGAAGAATACGATGCCATGAAGGCCGAGTTCAAGAAGACAACAACGGTGGACGGTAAGGAGATCTGCATCCAAGCCCTCGGCCGGTCGAAGAACCCGGATCTCGCATGGGATTTGCTTGAATTTGTGATTTCGGAAGAAGTCCCGGCTCAAGATTCTCACGGAGGCATCGTGGCTGTGTCGAACAACAACGAGACACGAACAGTGGCGTGGGAATTCACCAAGAAGAATTGGGAACGAGTCGAGAAGAGACTTGGCGGGACGGGCATAGTGATTGATCGATGGATCAAGATGGGACTGCCCAAGTTCTCAGACATCGCCATTAGAGATGATATCGCTGAGTTCTTCAAGGACAAGAACACGGCGGCGTTCAACCGAAGCTTGGTAATAGTGTCTGATGCCATCACTGGAAATGCCAACTACAAGCAACGAGACGAGGAGCAATTGTTGGAGTGGTTGAAGGCTCATGGATATGCTTGAGAAGTAGTGGCTTCATAGACAGACAAGCCCTTCACATTGCAGTGGAAGTCGTAGTGGCGAAGGCTTCAGCAGGAGGCAATGCTGGACAACAGAGCCATGGATATCATCACCTGCCCGTTTGTAAAGTACTAGTGAAGTGTCGCCTGCTGATGGTAAATGCAGCCTGATGAGTGACCGCCTAGGGTCATGCCGTCAAACGAGGCACCCTGCGACCTTGCACGTGACACCAGCTGACGGCCAATCTACAGTGCCTGTGTCCAACTTGGCCCTGCTGCAAACGCCAGCCCAGGACTCCTTGCCCATCGATTAATTAACTCGACCTTTCACCTCGTGTCCTGATCATTTCTCTTCTTCTACTTCGCCGCAAGTTGATCACTCCGACCTCAATCCGCTCTTGTTTCTTGTTCCTCCGTGTCAAACTCAACTTCGGCTATCCATCCAACACACGTCACAATGAATCCAGAGTAGTAAGTCGTCGAACACCGCCAGCCATGACCGGATGAGCGCTCGTACAGCGTTTCGTAGCATGCTAATGATGAATAGAGTCTTTCCCTACCGCAGACAACATATAATCTGCCAGAGATCATCCGTTCGCCTAGAGTCCGAATATTGACAGCCTACTTAGATACGACTACCTCTTCAAGCTCCTGCTTATTGGAGACTCCGGTGTTGGAAAGTCTTGCCTTCTGTTGCGATTCGCCGATGACACATACACCGAGTCCTACATCTCCACCATTGGTGTTGATTTCGTATGTTGACACCGACCGCTTTGAGGTTCAAGAGGAGGGCTGACGACGAGTTAGAAAATCCGGACCATCGAACTCGACGGCAAGACTGTCAAACTACAGATCGTACGTGAATATGGATCAAACTCTGTTAGCGGGTTCTGACATAGACTCAGTGGGATACCGCCGGCCAAGAACGATTCCGAACAATCACCTCCTCGTACTATCGCGGCGCACACGGCATCTGCGTGGTCTACGATGTGACAGATATGGACTCTTTCAACAACGTCAAGCAATGGCTGCAAGAGATCGATCGCTACGCCACTGAGGGCGTCAACAAGTTGCTCGTGGGTAACAAGAGTGATATGGCAGACAAGAAGGTCGTTGACTACACTATGGCAAAGGTGGGCTCAAGATTCTGGTTGATGAAATATCCAAGACTTACGGGACAACAGGAATTCGCCGACAGCTTGGGCATCCCCTTCCTCGAGACATCCGCCAAGAACGCCTCCAACGTTGAACAGGCCTTCTTGACCATGGCTCGCCAAATCAAGGAACGCATGGGAACAACCACTGTGAACAACAAACCCACTGTCCAGGTCGGCCAGGGCCAAGGCGTTCAGTCAGGATCCGCCGGTGGCTGCTGCTAGGTTTCCTGCCAGCCCCGACTGAGCAGCTGTACACGGTGACTATGACGCAGATTTTTAGCGGTTGATGTAGGGAACTGGTTGGCCATGGAGAGCAAAGGCATCGAGCAGGAGTTCCTATTGCTGCACCTTTGCCTCACATGATTTCGCAGGCGTTGAGGCGAATGGGTGAGATTCATACATGTCTAGACTTCTGCTTGCAATAGCCCAACCCATTCCCAGGATGAGATCTTTGTTGGATTTGGCGGCTTCCTGCTCCGACAGGTTAATGATGGAATGCACAAGCTGAACGCGAGGATACAGATCGACCCAGACTGAGGGAAATGAACACTTAATTATGCTCACGGAAGACATCCCATGGGTCTGTATTCCTGTCAATTCAGGCTGTTGCGACATTTTTTGATGTTTCCTGTTCACTTTTGCACCCAAGCTGCATCCACTGCTTCTGCCAACCATCGACGAGCGTGGTCGTTGGCGCTGGAGGTGAGCACCGATATCATCGTACCCAGCAGCAAGGCTGGACATGGGGTCGCCGCTGCTCACAATGAGGCAAGGTTTTGATACTTTCCCCCCGGTCGCCGCTCCAGCTACACCGCCCATTTTATTGTTTGAACACCAGTCGCCGATCGTAGCAAGACCTGACTTTGGTGCTAGCGTCGACAGCGACATTTTCTTGGCGATCATGGTGAACCACATTGTTTCTAATTGAATGGCAGGATGATCCAATGTACCAAATATCTCATTGTAATGGGACAGTCATGGCCATGGAATCAAAGCCGGTGGTAGCCGTCTCGCCACTCTCACGAAGCAATGCTTCGTTTGCAAGTCGACAGCCCTCCTCCTCCCTCTCCTCCTCTGTCATCAGATTGACGTCCTTCCGTCCAGAGACTTGTTCGATATCCGGTGTCGCAGGTACTGCTCTTTGTTCGGGAACCATCAAGAACTCTTCGATGAGCACCACCAAGATGACAACTTCAATCTACAATCCAGCAGGGACGACGTTACCACCGATATCCATTACAGGCTTTGCTACGGCGCCGGACCTGCCAGATGACTCGACTCTCAGGGTTTTCAGCATCCCAGCATCCAGTGGAAGCAGCAGCAGCAGCAGCGCAACTACAATCAGTCCTCCCTCAAGCAGCTTGACCTTGACAGTAACATTGTCAGTATCGCCGAGCATTGGCCCAAGTACGACGGCGTGGTCGATAGAAATCATCAGCAGCTCTTCGGCCGCTGTCGCACTGCCAACCAGTACCTCAACTTCGACATTGCCGCTACCTGCATCTAGTGCTGATCCTACCACATTTTCAAGTTCGTTCACCTCTCCGACGACTCCTTTCGCTTCCTCCATCTCCACGGCGCAATCCATTTCCTTCAATCCTCTCACGGAGTCGATCCTTACGACTGTCCCAATGCAGACGACTACCTCTGTACCACTGCCACAGAATTCTTCAGGTCCACCACCCTCAATCCTCCGCCATCATGGCCACGGATCGCACGTGGCAACTGTGATCGCAATACCAATGGCTCTCGGCTTCACAGCTCTCATCATAGGCCTGATTTTCATTTGGCGCCGGTTCTATCCTCTTTCCTACTCTGAGTCGCGGGCACGGCTCCCCGGGTACGCAGCCTTGCGACGCTGGAAGGACACACGCGATCGGAATCGTCGCACTCGCGAGTTACGCACGTCTGAAGGACTGACTGCAACAAACAGCAGCAACAATGGTTTCACGGGTGGAGACACATTCACACGTCGTCTGCGACAGTACGAGCAAGAGTCCATGCGGGCGCGAGAGAAATTCAGCTTCGAGGCACCAACTACACCACTTTCGGACAAAAAGAGCGGCGCAGCTGGCGGAAGTGGAAATGGCAGTCCCAGTCCGTGGTACAAGTCCAAGATTGCGAGTCCGAAGATTAGTTACGAAAGACCAAGGGTGGACGCGGATATGGGTACGGGCATTGGTGGTGGTCGGCGCAAGTACGGACCTTTCAAGAGAGATTTCAACGAGGAGACTGGCAGTTTGGAGAGTTGGGAGGAAAAGTGGTTTAACTTGGGCAATGAGGGTGAGGGTGAAAGTGAGTCTAGCACGACAAATCTCAAGCAGGGCGTTTTTGAGGGACGCGCTGAACGTGTTTCCGGGCCGGGAATGTCCTGGCGCAAATTGATCTGAGCGAAGAAAGGAAGAGTGATGATCTGGCTGGATACAGATTGATGCAATCAAGGGCTGGATATGCAGACCGCAGGCTTGAAATGAACTCTAGGTGAGCGCTGTATACAAGGAGCAGGTGAATGGAAAGTGAATTGAGAACGACATAGTGAGCTGAACATGAACGACCATTGGAACGCTATGGTGCCGTCCGGGGGCATAGGTCTCTAGTGGTCTCTCTCTGGCTGGTCTGGGTACAATGGAGTGGACGATCACAGATGGACGGAGTCATTTGTCCTTTTGATGTGACAGCCTGGATCGTGAACACGGGAAGGTATCTCTGCGGCCATGGCAATTAATGTACTACTCCTATCGCGTATTGTCTCTCTGTCTACCGCAGTGGGCAATGAATTAGATTGCGGAGACTGGTTGATGAAGGGAAGAAAAACACCCTGACAAAGGCGTGGGAGGTGTAGGTGGCAGTCGTGGCATACGTGGTGCCAAGGGGCACTGACGCTGTCACAATTGTCATGCCCCTTTGAAGACCTCACCGAGAACAAGAGTCCTAGTCCAGCCATTGTACGTTGAAAACCAAGATTCTCTGATTTCTATCTGCTTTACGCGCGCTGATGAGATTCTCTGCCCTCAGCGTTCCCATGAGTTGCACTGAATCGTGCACAGCCCTGTGAACCTGCAATTCATTTTTCTCGACAATCTTCCTGAAATGTCATCGCCACGCCAGTAGGTAGGAAGGGTGTCTTCGAAATGACACCGCCGTTGTGTCGTTTGACAGCTTGTCTGTGCAGCCCCTGAGCTTGGTCTGAAGAGTCAAAATCAGCATAATATCACTGTGAAGAAGTCGCGTGCTCACCAGCGGTAAGAGAATGTAGTGGTCGTCGTCCATTCTGTCCTTTCATTAACAATGTTTTATCCAACTACTCTGTCGCTCATTACTTCACTTTGTATACTGTTCGTAGGAGCTATCGACACCACTAGCGTTGGTGATCTCTCCCATGGCTCCGATCTACTTTCGTTCATTACAGTGAGTGGGCCAGGGCCTGGTCAAGAACAACAGCTCACCAGCACTAGCGACCAGATATCCGGGCTCCTCGATGGAATGTCACGAAGCATCACCCAGAGCTGATTACTCCTGGTTACTGGTTTGTGGGCCCATACACCAACTGGGCAACGGTCCCAGAGCGATTAGAGTATCTGCCTTTCCAAGTTGGACCGCACATCTACGACGATAATGGCGTAAGTTGGAAACTATATCCTACAGAAATTCTCGGGCTGACCATTCAGGATCTCGTCTGGAGCGGCGCAGCTCTGGCTCACAATCGCAATGCGTTCGACTTTCGAACCTTTGATGCCAACGGATCAACTCACTTGTCCTACGTTTTGCATTACAGCACCAGAAAAGGCGACGAAGAGCAGCACGGACTTGGCGTCTACCTCGATTCATCCTTTCGCCGGAAAGGCCGAGTCACTCATGATATTGGGATCGAATTCAATTTTCACGAGTTCGATCTTCGCAATGACGGGAAGACGGCATTGTATATCTTTACGGATCGACCCGTGAAAAAAGACCCGATCAGCGGCAAATCTGGATATGTCTCGCACGATTGCCTCAGTGAGCTTGATATAGTCACGAATCAGAAAAAATTCTGGTGGTGTCCGCTGGACCACGGTGTTACACTGAACGAAACCTACCACCAAACTCCAGACATGTCAGCCATAACTGAAAGAGGACCATGGGACTTCTTGTAAGACCCTTCATCTCTGCATGAACCCTCTACTAATGATGCTGTAGCCATGCAAATTCGATTGACAAATTCGCGGACGGCGACTATCTGTACTCTGGTCGACACGCAAACACGGTTTACCGCGTCAACCATACGGACTCATCCATTGTATGGCGCCTCGGTGGAAAGATATCGGACTTCTCGATGGACTTCAATTTCTCTTCTCAACATCATGCAAAAATACACTCTGAAAGTGGCTCAACAGTGATCCTGACGCTCCTGGACAACGCAGCCGATGATAAAGGAAGGCAGCCCAACACTGCGAAGATTTCTTCTGCCATGATGGTGGAATTGGATACGAGCACAATGACTGCAAAGGTAAGCCCCACTGCCGCACACAACGCGTCTCGTCGAGGCCCCAGCTTACCCGTCATCAGCTTCTGAACGAATGGTACCGTCCTGATGGCATGATCAGCGACAAACGCGGCAATGTGAACATGATGCCGAACGGGAACGTCTTCGTGGCCTGGAGCGACAGCGGATACATGACTGAGCACACAAGTACAGCCGACAAGAAGCTCGTCTTGGAGGCAAGCTTTGCGTCTTCTCGGTTCTCGACGTATCGAGCATACAAGTCGAATTTCACGGGCAATCCCATCGAGCCACCGACGATAAAAGCGTTCGGCATACAAGCCGACAGTGACTCAAACTATGCTATGACCTCGTTTTACGTTAGCTGGAACGGGGCCACGGAAGTCAAGACCTGGAAGTTCTACGTATCGCAAAACCGGACGCAGGAATCATTCGAGTGCGTCGGGACGGCCAACAAGACGGGATTCGAGACGACCTTCTCGGAAAAGGGGACCTGGAAGTACGTATATGCGCAGGCTCTTGCGGCAAATGGCTCGATGCTTGCCAAGAGCAATGTTGAAAGGACATCAGCATGGCCAGGATCACCTCCAAAGGCCAAGACCGAACCCGCAACCGGGACTCAAGGTTCGAGGATTGCTTCGACTATGAAATCGCAACTCGAGCACATGAGTTCGGCTGCTGTTGCCGGATGGGTGTTTTTGATCATGCTGATGCTGCAAGTCGTGCTAATGGTGTTCCTGTACCGTTATCGGCGGCGTCCTCGTTACAGCCGGGAGGACGATCAAGTTGAACTGCTGTCGAAGACTGAATTTACGGATTGATTGTTCTGCCTTTGCAATGCTGGGGTTATGTGTTACGAGAAACGAATATATTCTTATTTTTATATATAGGCCGGTTCGCCGAGAGTACGAGTATTGTGTTCATGCATATGAATGTCGGTTGGGCATTGAGTTCCCTGTACTGCGTATGAGCATGAGCATGAGCATGAGCACGAGCCTGAAAGGCAGATGACCTCGACCGTTTAGCCGTGCATGGAGGCACGTTTACAAGTCGAGCCGGTAAGCACTATTGACTCGTTGATCAGGGCTGCTCGTGGGAAGTGGGAATGTCGTGGCTCGTCTCAACAAGCCTGCCCAAGAAACGTGGCGCCGAACGCCCGGAAGCTTGGAGACAGGCAATGATGCAGCCAAGGCACCAAGCCAACGACGGAATGTCTCCGTGGGGGATGATGGGGGCTTATGGGGGACATCAAGGGGCTATTCGTTTCTCCGGCTACTACATCGTTACTAGTGACTCGTATCCCCATACTCGTCCCCGTCGTAGCTCGTTCGTACATCATTATTCCCCCAACTTCATTCCCAGCTTCAACCAATACCAGCTACTGATCTACAGGCTATGAACGCCACTTCCAAGGGCTGATCATGGCTTGACATCCACTTGCAACGGCATCTCCAACGACTCGGTTTCTGTGATGACCGCTCAAAGGCCGCCGGCAATGTATCCGACTATACCTTCACCCATGTCTTGCACCTAGCGTCGACGATTGCCATCGTTTCGCTGCACGTCCCACCGAGGCACACACCACGCGCCCTCGGCAAGTGAAGTATGGTACTTACGAGTAGGTAGCACTCGCTGCCTTTCCTGGCTGTATGGATCAAATTTGCGGGGAAGATGCAATGCCCAGACACCGCCATCACACGCTCTGGCAAGAGTCGCACCTCGACGGGTATGGGTAGATCCTCCAGGCCATTGTAGCTCGAGCAGGCACATGATGGCACTCACACTATCTACCAGACGGGAAGCTGGCGAGATAAAAAAGGGCCCAGTCGTCCCAGAGTCCCAGACCATGTTGCATTCGCCGACCTCTCCCTCTCGCTTGTGGTCCTCCTCCCTCTTTTCCTCTTTCACTCACGCATTATCATCTCCCTCCTCCTGGCTTCGCCTTCGACTCGTCTGATTCACTTTGCCTATTGAGTCGACAAGATGGACATCAAGCACGTCGACGAGGAGAAAACCACACCCAACCCACCATCTGGCGTCCTCGCCACGCCCGATGCCATCCACCCTTCATCTCTCAGCACTTCATCCGACGAGAAAGCGACCGTCTCGACGGCCGAGAACATTCAATCCCACAAAGAAGGACACAATGACATCACCAAGCCTTACGACCCTGCCCTCGCGCCGCGTTATACCAAGAAAGAAGAAGACGCGGTCATTCGCAAACTCGACTGGCATTTGATGCCGCTCATCTTCGTGCTGTACAGTTTATCCGTGCTCGATCGCTCCAATCTGGGCAATGCTCGTATCTCAGGAATGGAAGACGACATCGACCTAACTGGTAAGCGGTACGATTGGTTGGGAACGGCCTTCTATATCTCCTGTCAGTATAACTCGACCTGTTCCTTCCGTTCTCTCGTTACCACCCTGGCTTTCTTTTCATTGTCTGCCACGCGGCCGTGCGTTGCTGCACGCCCGGTTCTGGACCAGGGAGGAGAACACTTTTCCTTCTCAAGAAGATTTGTGGCTGACAATTCGTCTCTCGCTAGACATTCTCTCCCAATGGACGCAAATGGGCTGGAAAGCCTTCCCGCCCCACCGCTGGGTCGCCTTTGTCGTCTTTGGCTGGGGCATCGTCTCGACGTTGCAAGCAGCGTGCACATCCTGGGCCGGCGTGATGGTGTGTCGAGTGTTTCTCGCCATCTTCGAAGCCGCATATGGCCCCGGCGTCCCTCTTTATCTGTCGTTCTTTTACCCTCGAGAGAAGCTCGGCCTGCGCACGGGCATCTTCCTGTCTGGATCAGCAGCGGCCAATGCATACGGATCCGCGCTGGCGTACGGTATCTCGCAGGCCAAAGCGAGTATCGGCCCCTGGCGGATCTTGTTTATCGTCGAGGGCGCGCCAACGTGCATTCTCGCCCTGGTGGCGTGGTTCTGGTTGCCTGACAGTCCACACCAGGCAAAATTCTTGAACGAGCGCGACAAGGAGATCGCGATCGATTTGAGTCTGAGGCAGCCGGGCGATCGGACGGGGAAGAAGGGACTGCAATGGAAGCAGGTCCTTGGTGGACTGATGGATTATCGATGTGAGCACGCACCGACACCTTCCCTCCCTGCTTTTGAATATCTGTTCAGTCTTTCTCTTGGTTTCCCACTTCGTGGATGCTGAAGAGTCCCTTCGACACTCGGGTCTATCCCGTGCTTTTCGCTTGAAAGCCGTTCCAGTAATATACCTCGAAGACCACGTTGACTGACGAGTCCTGTGTGTTTTGCGAACAGCATACCTCCCACCACTAATGTACTTCGGCTGCAACGTATGCTTCGCCTCTCTCCCACTCTTCGTGCCCACGATCATCTCCGAGATGGGCGCATTCACCACGATCCAATCCAACGGTCTCTCCGCACCGCCGTACGTGCTCTGCTTCCTGGCCATCTGCGGCTGCGCGTGGCTGTCCGACCGTGTGGGATGGAGGGGACCTTTCGTCGCGGTGCCCGCGCTCGTCGCCGCGATCGGGTACATCATCCTGGGCACCACGACGGGGGTTGGGCCGCGCTACTTCGGGCTGTTTCTGGCGGTGCAGATCTTCGTGAGCGTCGCCATGGTGCTCACGTGGGTCGGCAACACGCACGCCACGGATTCCAAGAGGGCCGTGGCGCTGGCTATACTCGCGACGGGCGGGCAGTGCGGGCCTGTGCTCGGCACGAATATATTTCCCAAGACCGACAAGCCGTATTACCGCAAGGGCATGTGGGTGAGTTGCGGGGCGTGTCTGCTCGTCGTGGTGACGAGTTGTATGCAGATGGCCTTGTTGATGAGGGCGAATAAGAAGCGCGACGAGAAGTATGGCAAGAACAGGGAAACCGTCCACCTCGAAAGGCCGACTGAGTTTGGCGAGGACAAGCAGTTTCGATACATGGTCTGAAAACCTGGGCTTAAGATCCGGGAAAAGGGGCAAACAGTCATGGAGGATGTAGATGGGGGCATGATGGAGACGAGGATGTCAACACGGTAGGATGCCATATTGAGATGGAGGACAATTGTCTAGTGCAGTGCAGTCGCATTGTATGTAGCACGCAGAAGGCATGATTCGGACATCAAGCATACCTAGGCATATATTCAAAGGTATCACTGTTCGGGTGAGATAGCGCAGATTGAGGCTCGATGAAGCGATAGGAGGCTCAGAAGCAAGTCATTATATAATCATTCTGCATGTCAGTCACCTTCAGCGCAGCACAGTCATTTGCTGATAATCCCGCTGGTATGAGCTACGACAGCTTCTGCAGGATTGTCGCCTTTGTCGTTTTAATTCCCTTGGGGTCCCACTCTGACCTAAGTGCGCTTCTCCCAGCCCATTAATCTTCGACCCTGGTGAGCTCCTGGTCTGCACTGGCTCTCTGACAACGTACATAATACGTGTAGAGCACTCCAGCCGATCCAGGTATATACGTCCACCGTCCGCCGTCCACATATACAATACAGCTCTACAAGCACACCATGAACGCCTGCTCGAATGCTGCCACCATCTCCCAAGGACACGCTCAATGCACGTATAGTACAGCTCGGTCGAGCTCGATCATCCAGTCCCGACATATTTGAACCAGAGTGGTCTGCAGTCTTCTCGCTGCAACCATGACTCCCCACCATAAAACTGCCCTGGCGTGCATCCGCGACACTTGGGTGAGTTTGGGCAGTTGTAGAATGGGATATGGTTGTATCCGATATCCTTGAACCTGCACGACATCAGCATGATCGTTTCCCATGCCGTGGGGCGGAACTTACCAGTGAATCTTGCTCGAATCCTCAAACAAACCCAAAGCAATACTGTGCACAGGCGCATCGCCCCATCGTTCGTAGAAGAACCCACCGGTCCGGTCGAGGTGAGTGAAATAGTCCTCGTAGATCTGACCTCGCCAGAAGGACAAATCGGCAATCTCAAAATTCGACCAGAAGTGACAGGTGCTGTAGCCGTGTGCCTTGACGTTGTTGTCTGGTCTTCTCTGATTGTCTGTCAACCACTGCATAGCGTTGTTCTTGTTCAGGTATTCCGGGTGGGACGCCAGGAACTTGATGGTTTCCGGCCATAGGGAGGGTATCGACTCCGGTGAGTCGAAAAGATTGATGTTGAAGCCATAGGTCTTGTTATGGTCTTGCATGTACCGAAAGACGTCGTAGTCCACGTCGCAGAAGAACTTGACCTTTGGTTCCACTCGCCAGTAATACTGCATATGTTCGAGTGCTGGGTGTCGATAGAACATGCCGCTATTCCACCTGCACATCTGATGGTAAGATACCTTGCCGGCGTACTGTACGTTGTTCTCTTTCAAGATCTTTGCAGACTCGTCAAACAGTTCTTGACTGACCCAGGGGGGCATTTCCCAGTGCTCTTTTGGAATGAGGTGATAGGAACATTGCGCTTTTGTGGCTTCTTGCGTCTTTAGTTTGAATTCATCGGTGAACGGGACATCATTGAAGAATGTCCAGGGGTAGTTGAATTTATGATTCCATGTTTCTTCGAGTTGTCTCATGGTAGGAAGGAGTTCGGAGAGTTCTTCATTTCGGACGAGTGAGAGGAGGGTGGCATTAATTCGTGCAGAGTTGAGACTGTTAGGAGAGTAATCGTGGTCGGTATGTCGCCAGAGAGGTTCATCTGGTTCGCCAATTGGATCTAAGAGCGGATCACGCTCCATGTTATCGATTTTCGCGCCATTGCCTTCGACAGGGCCTGCGTTCGGCGGCGTGAGGTTGGGTGTTGGCCGCAGGTACTGGTAGATGAGGAAGAAGAGCAAGACGACGGACAGCGCCCCGAGGAATCTTACGGGTCGAGCGACTGCCATGGCGCCAGTGACAGCCTCCTAGCCATCAGCCATTAACAACAGAAAGTCAGGTTCTGTGAAGAAAGAGGGATGCGAGGGCGAAAAGAAACAAATTTGGTCAGGGCGATATCATTTCATGTGAATGAGAACGAGAACGAGAATGAGGCCGACTCCCAGTCAACGAAACTCGCATTGCGCGGCCTAAAGAAAACCAGTGAACCAGTGGAACTACTCGTACTGTAACCACGACTAACGCACTTTAACCCCGGCTATTCCCATGCTAGCATCACTAGCAATTGTGATGCAATTCATTGGCTTGGAACCTGAAGATCCCCGCAAATGTCGATTCGACGTGGTGCAAAAAGGTGAATTATTTCTTCCTGCGACAGCGTGGACAGCCTCTTTTGCAGCCCACGACGACGAGTTACAAATTCCTCACCTTCTTCAAACAATCCGACCCTCAGCTAGTATATTGCTGAAACAGCAAATCCTGATTAAACATGGAAGTCCTGCACGAACCGCCGAAAGCAAGCAGCTTCACCCCTCTCGCCGAACACCAGTCCACCACACCCGCCTCATTTTACTCTGGCCCTCCAGTCCTGCACTATTACAGCGACCGCAGCAAATTGATCGTGCTCGAGGACGAAGTTGAATCAATATCTGCCTTTACTCCTCTTCTGCAACATGCGACATCTGCCTCACAGCCACACTCCAACGCCGGCGAGTCCAATGGCCACGCTGCAGACACACCACCACAAGCGCCCTCCACCCAAAAAGTCCTCGACGACGTCGATGTCTGGGTGACTTCCGACAAACTCTTCCTCTTCTCGCCTACCGCCAATGCAGGTCTCTCGATACCCTACCCATCAATCTCTCTCCACGCAATCCAATCGCTCCCCGTTCCTCAACCCTCAGGCTCATCCACCAACGCACCAGTCCAGGGTCAAGGAGTCTACATGCAACTCGTTTCCTCCTCAGAAGAAGAAGCAGACGACGAGCCCGACTCCATCTCCCTAACAATCATCCCCACCGCATCCGGGCCTCCTGACACGCAAACGCAAACACAATCCGCAGATGATGTCGAGCCGGACACAGACGCAATTGCAGCCGAAGACAAACCCCTCCAAACGCCCATAATGGCCATGTTTACAGCCTTATCGAATTGCTCGAACCTTCACCCTGACCCCGTTGACCCCGGAGACGAAGACCAGGACCCCAGCCAAAGCCGTCTGTTCCAAGCAGGCCTCGCCTTTCCTGGTGCAAGCGATGGGGCCCTACCGCCCGCCATGCCCGGCAGCGGCGGTTGGATCACGGCGGAAAATATGCATGAATTTCTAGACGAAGAAGGGAATTGGATCCAAAACGAAGGAGACGAAGAGGAGGCTGAAGAAGGGGCTCAAGACGATGGTCTAGGCCCAGGTGCGGGCACAGTACGACCCAGGGAAGAGGGGAATGGCCACGGAGACGGTGAAGCAGGCGATGGTGCAGAGGATACCAAGTGGCAGAGAACTTCGTAATTGCGCCTCGCTGATCTTGATTTCCATTGTCAAGAGAAGAATACTTGATACCCCAGAATTAGGCTAGATATCAGACCGTCTTACGTCAAAGCGTAGTAGGCGTCTGTGACAATGAAAGGTCAATAGAACGCATTCTTTTTCCTGGGGAAGACCCCCTCCAGACTATCAGCAAGCAATTCCAACCCATCACCAACATCGCCCGAGTTCCTCGCGACGCCTCTCAGCCCAGCGAGCAGAAATATGACGTGCTTGCCGAACGCCTCACGGAGTTTATTAATCTCCTGCATGACGGACGTATCACCATCAAGCAGAAATGTAGAATACCCCTCGCGCATACCGTCTTCCCCTTGATCTTCGTCGGAAGACGACTCATCCTGTTGTGGATGTGCACGTCTCCTCCGGCGCTGAGTCCGCGCCGAAGTGAAAGAGCTAGCTTCAAAGCCCATTGAGCCCACACGACCTGCTGAGGCAGGTGAGGACACAAGATCCGCGAAACGAATGCATAGGTCTAGAATAGTTATTAGTGCATCCCGTAAAGGTTTGATCCGTGTGCTGCTCAGACAAGCGTGCTCGAGGTTGTGAATGTAACGAGCGTGTATGCCAATCATGTCGTCGACACTTCCTGTCGTGGGAGCAGTGAGGTGTACGCGCATATTCCGCGTCAGAGGCCCGATGGTACAGTACGTCAAATGTGCATACAGCACGTTGACAAAGTGTGCCAGCGTCATATAGACCGCTCGCGCGATTTTCTGATCATTCGGTTCAGTGCCCAGCGGACTATTCTGAACGTGAAAATACGCTCGGCGCTCGAGCACATGTCTTGCTCGACGGATCTGGCTGAGCGTCAGAGCGATGCGTTGGTACGAGACGATACAAGCCGGCGAGATAATGTTCGCCATAGGCCAGGGTAGGTGATACGAGATTGTCAACGCCGCAAGGATCCTGACTGAGCGGCGCCGACTTTCCATGCTTCTGGACGACCTGTACGCGGATTCGATAGTGATGGAGTCCGGGTCAATGCACTCGACGTCTTGATAGGCCTCTGCAACCAGATCTGCGACGAGGAAGCGATCATTCCACATTTCAATACAGCGATCGATCTGGTCGAACAAGCGGTTGTCCATGTTATCAAGGATTAGGCCGACTTTGCCCAGGTACAGATAGTCAAAGGTGTCGAGTAATTTGTTGAGACCACAGTTTGTTTCGAGGATTTCTTTTAGAGCTTCTGTAGAGGTGACCAGGACGCTGGTCAGATGCTGGCTCAAGACACCTTCCAGAGTCGCCGACAATGGTAGAGGCGATACTTCAAGCAGCTGAGCTGTCTCAGTCAACGCTCCACAAATTCCGAGGGTCTCGCTGCCGTTCTCCATCGGAAGTTGCCGTAGGTGCTGTAAAAACGCAGCAGTTTTACCACCCGCAAAGATGTGCTTGACGAAATTTCGTATGAACATCGGTATCGCTTTGTCATCTTCTGACAAGACAAACCAGTCGTGCCATAATGTAGTCGCATTGCGTGGCTTGCTAGTCTCATTGACGAAGAATGAGCCTGCGGGTTTGACTTCACCTGTCAGGAGCCACGTATCGATTGGCCTCGCATAGAGTCTCGATGCTGAAATAAAGATAGGTGTGAGAGTCTCCAGGGCCACAGTATTACCGCAAGCGTAGGCCTGATCGATGCGGTGGTAAAGGGTGTTTAGAGCCGAGACTGGGTCATCCTGTGCCAGCCATGGAATCACGGCTACTATGGCCTTCAAAGGCATGATTTTCTGCTCAACAGCTTGCAGTGCTCGTAAGAGACTAACGACACCGTCTGGCGAGACTTCGTGTAAAATATCGTCCTGCATACGGGTTATGACGTGCTCGAACCTTTCCCAGACTTGTTCTATGCCGTTGTGAACAAGCTGCATCACGCTGCCGTGTTGTCGTATTGACAGCCACCGACGGACACATGCGACATCTGTACCGACAAGTGCCGCCTCATGCAGGATTGACTCCGAAGTCTGTCTTTCGAGGTGGCCTACACAATATCGAGATTCGGGATGGATTCCACGATCAGATATGGTGAAAATCGAAGTTGGTAAACCGCTAAGCATGAATAGTACTTCTTTTATAGCCTGTCGCTCTGTGATCGCGACAGCTTCATCCGATTGGCGCCAGTATTGTGCCGACTCGAGCCGGGAAGGTACAGAGAGCTCATCTTGAGCATCTCCACGGTCGAAAATCCTTTCAAAACCAACCTGATCCTCCTGGCTCAGTTTAACACTTGCTGGGGTTGTTGTAGTACTTCCAATCACAATCTCATCCTCGTCAGAACTGAAATCACTGAATTCGGGGACACTCCATATCTGGCTCTGCCGATCGATCGGGTCTTCGGCCTCGATATCAGCCCATTTCTGGGCCGGAGGAGTTTCTGATCGAGCCTGGAACCCAGGGAGATTCTGAATCCGGCTGTTCCTCACAGGATCATGGGATAGATGCAGCAAAAGATCCAAGAAATCTGGAATCCAACGTTGGTCGTGCTTTCCTAATTCCTGACGCCTTGTGTAGATTGCTTCAGCAAGGTCGTCAAGATTCAAGACCTGAAATTTCTCCTCAAGACCAGTAAGCTTTTCAGCGACAGCGAACTGGTTTGTCCGTCCATAAGGATGATGTTTGACTCTGCGAGCAAAAGCCTCCTTGTGCTTGCGTATATCTGTAGGTTTTGTGGATGTTGGCACAAGGGAGAGGGCAAGCTGATCAAGCCAGTTGTTCAAGGTGGTCGTAGAAGCCATATGAGCTCCTTTTCATAGTCAGGACTTGTTTGCATCATACAACGATATCCTCTACGCATTCAAAGTGGACAGCGATGTTTTCTGCTAGATCGTTGTATGGGTACGGAGTACCAATAGAGGTAAAAGGAAAGCGCGTCGCGTGTGGGTGAGTCAAGCGAACTCCGCATTGGAATTTCCTTCGCCATCGACGCCGTCATTTTGAGGACTTGGAGAACTACAACTCTTCACCGCAAAACAACTCCTTAAATGTCCTTGTAGGACCCTGTCAAGAGCTATGAAGCCGCCTTCGAGAGCTCGCCCCTACCAGCAAATTGATGTCTTTATCGACAGCTTTTTCTTCTGCCCTTCCTGCACCACATGGCGCACGACCAGACCTCTGCGGCCCACCTCACGAAGAGCGCTCTCAACGAGCCGGCAAAGCGCCTCCACTGTTAGCTCACATACCGCTGTGAACGCTACGAAGAATGTGCCTGCCCGCTATAAACAGTTGTATGAGGCTTTGGGGGATGTAAGGAAAAAGGCGTCTGCGCAGGTGAACTTGTCTCGGCTACAGCTTGCGCTACAAGGTCTCGAATCGGAAACACCTATAACTAGAGTTGCGGTCCTGGGGCTAAATGTCCAAGAAACTGCGCGCAGACTGGTGCGTTTGCTGCTTGCAGATCCATTGGAGGATGAAGGGCCGTGGGAGAAACAGATGGTGGACCAAAGGGCAGATTCCAGTCAGGGTCTAATAGTTCGTTACGGGCAGCCGCCAAACCCGAGTCTACCACAACCAAGGGCATCAATACCAGTTCTTCAGGTCCCATCGAGCGTTTTGGAACGGACAAACATGGAAATATTGGTTTCAACGATACCAGCACTAGGAGATGGAGAGCTGTTGCAAGGTGCCCACACCGTTACTCCGGATGCTTTCCTGTCACCTTCCGTGGGAACACCTACAGCTGCCACTGGAAGACAGGTGTCCATTAGCCAACCTGTACATAGCACAATGCTAGTCACAAAAGGGCTGGACGAACTCATGTCTGCTGCTGAATTGTTGGCTTCTACGAACTTCATCGCTCTCGAGGATCGAAAGTCTGTCCAGGTAGTGGTGAACTTGGAAGACACCATGACGAAAGCACCCAGGCAGGTATTGATCGTGGATGCATCAAAGGCAGAAGAAGGCCTGGCAGCAATCCGTAGGTCTGTGACCGAAGCCAGGACCTACGAACACAAATGGGTCGACTCTGGAATGCCATCATTATCAAGCTGGCTTACCTCCGCATCAGCCGCTCGGTCCGAGGGAGCAATACCAGCACCCGTGAAGACACTGATATCTTCGCTTCTTACAAACGCTACAAGAAACATGCAAGCTCAGGCCGCGTTGGAAGCCCGGTCAAGTGCAGCTAGGACCCTGAGCTTCTCGACAAGGACTAACCTAGAAGCATCCATCGAAGAATTCTCGCGGAACGCACATCAGGAGCTCCAATCCGGACTGGCATCTGCTTGGAGCTCACGTAACTGGCGAAAATTGGCATGGTACAAGCTCTTCTGGCGCGTGGATGATGTTGGCCTGATCATCGCTGATCTTGTAACAAATGCTTGGCTGCCACGAACTGAGCGAGCCGTCTACGAGCTGTCCGGCCGGCTATCTCAAGCAGGCATATCTCCGATGGACGTTCCACAGGTGGACAGAGTCTCATCACCCATGGCCGGGGCAGAAGTCATAACAGAGCCCACCCAGGTACTGCGGGCTCACGCAGACGTTGCAACCGACCCACCCGTCGAACCGGTCGTGGTCAATAGAACTGGCCGCGCGGAAATCGAGATGGTGCCCATATCTCAGCCTGTGCCTTTCTCTTCAACTATATCGAACACGCGGGCAGCATATATGAACCGCGCCATTACGAGCCTGACCAGCACAGCTCAACAGATTGTGTTGAAAACCCTCTCACTTACAGGTCTCTCAGCTGGTCTCTCCGGACTTACATATGTCTCCGTGGCAGGCAGTGTATATGAGGCCGGTACAATCGTGGCATTAGGTACAGCTTTCGCCCTCTGGCGTATGCAGGGCGACTGGTTGAAGGCCACAAGATCCCTAGAGCAGGGGCTGCATGAAGAAGGCAAATCTGTAATCCGGAGGATTGTGGGGCGGATGAGAGACTTGGTTGAGCATGGAAGTAAAGTCGTCGAAGATAAAGTCGAGGTCCAGAGTCGGCGCGAAGCTGAAGATGCTGTGCTCAGGGCGAGGGAGGAACTAGATCGACTGAAGTAGTGATGGCAATCGTGCATAGGATGGCCATGATAGTGGAAGAGCCTCCAGAACCAGTACATTACAAGCTGATCAGATATTTGTGTCCTCCAAGCTCTAGCTGATCTCAACAGCATCATCAGGCACGCCACGTCTGCTCTTCAGTCTCAGTGCCCAGAATTGCATCATGGGCAGTACCTCGTCTCGGTTCTTGGGCATGGAGTCATCAGACTTCTTCCACTGATGGAACGTGACGAACTCGTAGGCTGATTTGACACGTTTCAAGGGACTCGAGTTCGGCGAGGCCAGTGCCGATCTCGAGCCGGACAGAAGCAGGATAGGCGCCCTGTTCTTGTTCTTGGTGTTTGGCGTAGAGGTGGACAGAGGTAGAGAGCCGCCGATAGCCATGGCACTACCAAGTGATTGGGAGTGAAGCGACGAATGCAAAGGCACAGACAGGGCGACGGAGGCGCCCTGACCGAAGCCGAACAGGTGGATGTGGTCGGGGCGGTAAGTGAATCTGGTGATCAAGATGTCGTGGATGACGTCGTGTGCGACCATTTGGACGGCGCGGGATATGGATGAGGAGTCAGGGTCAGTGTCAAGAGTGCCTGTTGCCGTGTCGATGTGGAGATCTTCGGACCACGAGCGGGAGTCGCCATCGCCAGGGCCATGACCGAGCGGGAAGGGTAGTGGAAAGGGTGGGTTGAGCGTGATCGTCAGTGCGTCGGGCAGATTCATGGCGCGAGGGAAGGATGAGAAGTTGATGGCGTTGTCGCCGAGGCCTGGAAGAAAGAGGATGATGTTGGTTGGCATGTTATTGGGTGGGAGGTGGATAATGGGTTTGAGGGACGATGGAAAATCGCTACTCGTAGGCAAGAGTTTGCAGGCCATGGCTGTGGCGCAGTCTGCTGACGGAACACAAGGCTGTGAAGGATGATAACATGCGAGCATGCGAGCATGCAAGCTTAAGCTCGATCGAAACGTCGTTTGTGTTTTGATATCAATGCTAGTGGCTGAGGTTGTGGTTTGTGGTTGATCAGGCACATCTAGCCGAGCAGCTTTTCGAGGAGAATGCAGAGATGACGTCGAGATCAAGCTTTTACTGGTGAACTTGGCACTAAAGACAAGCAAAACACAAGCCAAAACAAGCATCTGCCCCTGTCAGACCCTGCAGGTTGAAAGACGAGTGCACCAGCACGAAACACTTCCTCGTACGGATTGATAATGGTGGCCTATCTTCAGTTCTATTCGTCTAGTTCAGCGTATGGTGCTCGAATAACAGAGTAGAATCGTGTAACAGCTCGATTGGGATTTATTTAGCCAATGTTCCTGTTCTCAGAAGCATTGAGTCTCTCTCACGTGGTTTTGGCTAAGGGTCCCAAGGTTCGCCACGATCAGATTCGGGACATGCCTAAGCGAGCTAAGGACCCTCACGGACCCTGCCCCTTTGACCTCAAGATGCACAGCCACTGTTGACAAGCTGAGGGTGAAACATTCCACGTTTGTCGTGGTGCCTGACAGTGATCTGAGTTCGACTGGTGCTTCTGTCTGTTGACGCAATGAGCCATGACGACGTGCTGAAACAGCATCATCAATGGTTAGCAAAGCTGAATGGCCAGTGGAATGCACGAAGCTCTCCTCGTAACAGGCTGCAGTGGAGCCCACCTCCACGCGTCCAATTGTGAAGTCCCATTGAAGCAGGAGGATATGAGGGGCAATGACTGCGTAGCCCTTTCACTCTTGGAGGCGGTGGGTAAGTCACTTGCATCCTTGATGCATATATAAGCCTGGCTCAACCTGCTCCCTTCTTGAATCATCTCATATCATATCACCAACACCAGGAATAAGCTCTTCATACTTGCACCAGACCAAACCAATCAATCAATCCATCCATTCAACTCCAATACAGTCAAAATGTTCGGCTGGGGTAGGTCATCTCGCCATTCCTCACCTCAAAGTCCTGCAGAAGCTGACTGAAACCAGACGACGCTCAAAATGCCCACCAAGAAGTGTATGGCAGCGGTGGCTATGACAACCAGGCTAAATTCTCTCACGAAGTCATTGCTGGTGGTGCCGCTTTCGAGGGCATGAAGCTCTTCGAAGACCGTCAACGCAAAGAGGGTAAGCCGCAGGCTCCTCGACGAAAGTGCTCAATACTGACAGATGACGTAGGCAAGCCTGTCTCCCATGCCTTTGCCAAAGAACTCCTCGCCGGATTCGTCGGTGGTGAAGTCGACAAGCTCGCCGAGACCAAGGGAATGGACGAGTATGACGCCTACGAGGCCAAGAAGAGAGCCAAAGATCATGCTGAGAGGATGTACGACCAACACTACGATGGCATGGATCAATACGATCCAAACCAGCGCGATGCGCCAAACTTCAACTACTAAGGTGGTTGGAATCAAAGGACAAACTATCAGTCGGAGAAGCCTCAACTGACTGATGGAATGCTGCAAATCAATGACTTGCCAGCAGTACATGGGGTGCTCACTGTTCCTGCGTGTCGATCACGACAGTAGTTAGCATAGAGTACAGACAGCCCAAAGAAATGACATGAGCTTCGATCCACATTTGCGGCACATTACTGTATTCCGAGACTGATTGGTACCTGCTTCATAATTCATCATCTTCGCTAGCCGTTTCTTCATCACCATCAGCTGCCGTTGGGGGAGGTGTATGTGCTTTCTTTGGCTCTTCAGTTGCTCCATCCTTTTTCCCGCCAGATTTTTTCTGGAAAGGAAGCTCTCGCCGGGGCGGTAGTGGAGCAGGGGATTTCTTCCTAGCATCTGTGCCTCTTGTCCTTGGTCGAGATTCCGATGTGTTAGGCGCGTCAAGATCTTCGTCTTCATCATCTGTGTCCTCGGGCTCCGGTGTCGACCGCCCAGACTCGGACGAGACGGGCTCCTCTGGATTGTTGACCACAGCGTCAACATCCATGTTGTCAAAGCCCTCACTTTCATCCGATTCTTCATCTTGTCCTTGTGCCTGTCTCTTTGTTCCGCGTCGACCATTTGAACGTGCTCCATGTCTACCTCCACCGGCTGACTGCAGCTCCTTCAGCTTTTTTGGATCTGCCTGCGCTGTCGACAGGACTCTTTGTAGATTTCTGATTTTGAGCTTCTTCTCATTCAACACAGCAGTGAACTTCGTGAGCATCTGCTGTTCGTGCTCGGCCTTGGCTTTTACTAGTTCATCGATCTGTTTGTGTAGATTCGTGACAATTTCATTCTTTGCTTTTGCCGTCTCTTGTAAATCTTTGGCTTCCTCTTCCAACTCATCGCGTCTGTCGATGGCTTGGATGGCCCATCCGAACAGATCAATATCGTCAGTCTCTTCCGTCTGAGGCAACTGGATGGATCCCAGTTGCTGGGTAATATCCTCGACCTTGTTTCGAAGGGAAATTGTGAGAGTACCGCGGGGGTCTTTGCCTGACAGGGAACATGTTACGTCGAGGTTCTCCTTCTGTGCTGAGTTGATCTTTCGTCCTGTCTTGCACCCGAAAACGTGGCAGAGGATCGCATTCCAGTCATCATCGCTGCCATCGTAATTCTGGGCTCGCTGTTTCTTCAGACTCCGCTGTCGGACTGGAACATCATCAGCTCGGATTGGACAAAATCATAATATATCTGTGTTACTTTTCCCTGTGTACGCAGCATCTCCATCTGTAGCAAGTAGATCAAGGTCCAAGTCGTGCCCACCTTCTTTCTGTGAAACTTTTACTAGAATGGGACTTTTGGCTTTATCGGCTTTTGTTAGCCGAACGACCCAAGTTGCCATGGCTTTGACTTTCGCAGACTTGACTGTGTCATACTTTGAGTTGTAAATCCTCGAAGTTACCAGAGTCTCGGGCAGCAGATCTCGGTGGGGTTTATCATTGTGACGGCTGTCAAAGATTGAAGCTGTGAGCGTGAGTGAGTTACCCCAATCGCCCGCCTTTCGTGCACAGACCACTTTGTTCTTCTACGGCCACGCGTAGCGCGTTTTGCTGCGACTAATCACAGGTCAAGGAGCCTTTTCCTGCCACTGGTTTTCCTTTCTTCCTTCTCCGTGCACGGCCAACTCTCTGAACCGCATCCTGCGTCTGTGTCGGATCTCCACCACAGAAAGCCCGACCAGCCTCCTACCAGACCGCAAAGGTGACTTCAAAGAAATAGATCTCAATTCACAGTATTCTCATTTCTCATCATACAGACGGCCGTTCAAGTCCGCTTGACTGCCCCCTACCGGTGGTACATCCCCTCCAAGGGGAGCAGTAAACAACTCACGTCGATCAGTCACACTACTGTCCAACTTTTCTTTCACGCCGTTACGAACCCTAACGACTCTACGGTTCTCTCTCTTATGTTTTCGCTATTGCCAATGTCGCATTGTGCCTTCTCGAGACCCTAATAATCCGACTCTCGTTGACGTTACCACGAGAAAAACACCCGAACCATGGAACCACTCACGCTAAGACCGCGAACGCCAGTCGAGATGCCAGACGTGGAAAATTGGGACGACGATGACTTTGAAAACCTACAAGATGTACATTTTCGCACCGCTTCAACCGCAACTTCAATCGTTTCACATCCTCAAACAAATCACCGAGATTCGGTGTCCTCCCGCATGTCGATGCGCTCAGAGTCAAATCAAGGGGATGAAAACTGGGACGTGGTAGTGGATGAACAAGCTTCCATCAAGGATGCATTAGCTCTAGCAAAAAGCAAAGGGATACCACTACCCTCAAACGTGCCGCGTTCAGCTCTCGAAGGTGGAACTATCAGACGGCTCAAGGGGAAAGAAATTAAGAAGGCAATTGCCGATGACTGGTCGGAAGATCTGGATTTGCCAGGAACTGACATTCCTCTGAAGCTCGCAAAACACGATGATCGTGATCTATCAGAGAGTTTGCGTCAAATTAGTGCAGCTTTCAGGACCTCACCCAAAACTCCCGAGTTGAAGGATCTACTCGATAAGACGGTACGATCACCAAAGTCTCGAACAGCACCCACTCCCATCACTTTGGAAGCCTTCCGCGACACAGAGGAGGATGCAGGTTTTGGAGATGTGCCAACTATAAAAGTTGCGAAGCACAGATCTCCTCAAAAGCCACTATTATTTCAGCAGCCCCCTACCCCTGTCAAAACAGAAATGGAAAACATTGAAGAAGATCTTGAATTGCCTACTGACGGTCAACTGAGACTGTCTACGAGGAAGGCACCTCAGACTCCGCAACAAAGCGATGACTTTGACCTCGAATGGGCTGAAGGCAGCTTAGGTACCAGACACGCTGGAACAAAGAGAGGAGGTCGATCTGCTCGCAGTTCTTCTGCTTCAGCGCTGAGTCCTAGTGTCTCCAGCGCCTTCACCGCAGAAAGTGAAGATGAAGGACTTGACGGCCTTGTTCTCCCTACTGGGCCTATCAAGTTCGAAGACAAACTCAAAAAGCGACAACAAGAACACGAACCTGAATCCCCTGGTCACTCTGCAGTCAGACATGACATTAGACGGCCCTCTGGTAAAGATGACTTCTTCACTGGTCTTGAGCTCGGCGATGGAGAAGTCTTCGATCCTGCCAAGTTGACCCTCAACCGAAACGTCAAGCATAAATCGACAAGGCCCGCCAGCCCATCGAAAAGAACGACCACAACTCTGAACTTCACGACGAGCAACAAAATCCCAGGTCCCACGATATCGAGGTTGCCTAGATTTCAACCTGAACGACATGAACGTGTTCGATCCAATCTCGAACCTGTCTCGGAAACCGGCGCAGCAATCTCGTCATATCAACGTCCCAGTTCTCGACTTGGAAACCACACATCTGTCTCAGCAATCCCCGCTCCTTCGACTCCTTCGACTCCTTCGACTCCTTCTACGCCCAGCAGACGACTTCTCCGGGGCGCTGAGTCACGACCCGATCTGCGCTACCAGCAATCCACAACCACTAATGCTGATTTATTGCGTGCGAAAAGGTCCATGCCCGTCATGCGCGGTATGCAGTCACCCACCAAGACCCCTTCGTCATATGCTAGACCTCCTTCCAGGCAAGAAGCAGGTAGCCGTCTCAATATCCCATCGCGGCCGAAGACTCCAACAGATCGTGCCGAGTCACGCATCGGAGACACCAGGAAGCCCGCAGTGCCATTTCTGCCGGCAGGTGCATCAGCCGGCCAGTCTCAGCACATCAGCATCAAACCCACGTCCACACGTCACTATCGTGGGCAAGGGTCAGACGGATCAGGAGACAGTATGTCTGCTGCGCAGAGGTCCTTGTCCCGTCTTGCTGGTCTAGGCAGACCTGAGACACCTGGGCGTGGTGGACGCAGTAATCTTGCTCCTGCCGAACTGGCCGCACAAGCTAAAAAGACAATCACCAAGCCGGCCAGGCGACGAAACTACGGTGACGGGAGTGAACTTGAAATTTTCGACGACCTTCCCACGTCTGCCACTCTCGAGTCCAAGTTCACCAAGACACCAATTGGTCGCGGTGCGCCACGAAGTCTACGAAGTAAACTTGGTCTTTCACACTTGAATCCGTCTACTTCATCACTCGGCAGCACAAGACGTGGAAGCGACACACCCACCCCAGCCACACCACTCTCACCACCCAAGAGCGACTTTCCCACAACAGCTCTCAATACAACCAACATCCCCCGCTTTGCCCGCGATACCGCCGCGTCTCGTAACGCCCGCGAGCAGCGCCAAATCTCGATGACTTTCCAGAACATGCGCGGCGAGCCACTGCAGCCGATCTCAACAAACTGGAAATCGGCCACGGCAGCCTCCCGCCAGAACCAAGGAGGCAGTCTGAGGAAGAAGAAGAGTGAAAAGATGCAGCAGAAGCCGCATCTCATCAAGCCTCTGGGCAACGACGTCAATAGACCTAAGACGGAGAAGGGCATGCACTACAACCCCTTGCTCTTTAGGTGGGAAGGGAACGAGAATGCGTTGGCACCGTTTGATGTGCCAGATTTTCATCCCAGAGGGGGCAGTCCTCAAGGAAATGGCGGCCAAGGCCAGGCAAGTCCCGGGACTAAGGCAAATCTAGCATTGATATCCAATGTCGGATCGAGCGTGACGGGCGTTCAGGTCGTGGGCGGCATGGTGTTCGATCCGAGTCAGATGCGCTGGCTGAAGTTGGCAGAGAACTCGGACGGTACGACGGCCGGGCTACGGGGTGGTAGTGTACAAATCGAGGAAGAAGAGGATGTTTTTGCAGGGTTGGAGGATCTGAAGGAAGAGGATGAGACCAGGAGTCGCAGTGGGACCTTGCAGATGCAGGGTATGGGTATGCAGATAGGTGAAGGGGAACGAGGCTCTTTTGGCGACGCGGATGGAGGCCACAGCAGTGGTGACGAGTGGGGGTTGAGTGAGGAGTTTGATGTCGGGCCTGAGTTTGTCAGGCGGCAGAGGAACGAAGAAGAACGTTGGCGTCGGAAGGTGGAGAAGTGGTTGAGACGGGATGGAGAGGAGGAAGAGTATGAAGGCCCGGATCGGTCGGGTGGGTGGAGGTGGGCTCTTCGAGAGCTCGTCATGGCGCAGGCTGAATGAGGAGAGGAGAGCGTGCGTTATATGATACAAAGCACAGGAGATGGTGAGGTGAAGTGGTCAGAGACTCTGTGCCGACCACTTATCACTAGCGCGCGAAGAGAGATTGGTGAACTTTCGAAAGTAAAAAAGCCCGGGGAAAAGTCCTTTCTCTGCTTTATTCTCATGACGATGAGTATCTCTCTTTTCTATGAGAGGTACACTTATGACGAAAACATGGTTATGATTGATTATACTTCTTTTTGTTCTTCCTTGCTTTTCAGCTCCTACCACCATCCTTCTCCAGACGTATCAATTACGATATACCTTGAAAACTACTTGGAAGGCTTGCAAAATCCCTCGATATGATGCCAGGTTCGGGGAGCATACGGCGATTGAGGGAGAGCATGCCGCAAGTGATGTTTAAAGCTATTCATGCGGTATGGACCAAGCTGTCCATACATTCCGAGGTGATCACGGGATTAATGATGGAAGGAGGCAGGGCAGGGCACAACGGCAGGCATGTCGAACTGAGCACTCAGTTGAGGTGTATTGCGCTGTACTCATCCTTCGGTTTTGTTCTGGTGATGCGGCGCCGGTTATTCGAGATCAAGGCTGCACGGAGCGACATGGCGCCTGGGTGAAGCTCCAATGTTCCTCAAGCACGGCGTATGAAGACGAAATCCCAGGTAAGTCCGATATGTATGTCACGATCCGGTCAGGAAGTGCACAGAGGTAAGGAACAAAAAGTGGCGCAATCCTTTCAAAACTGTACATTTTAACTACAGCGTAGGTAGTTGGAGTTTGCGAGCAAAGGCCAGCCGCAAGCTTATCTGTCACTTGCTGCCAGCCTTCCTCTCTTGCATGCTGTCAAGAAATATCGACGATCGACCGCTCCCTCTGCTGCGAACCGTGGTGATACCTATTTCCATGTACAGCTCCGTTTCCCAAACCGTGTCGGCATTTACGGGTTGAAATGAGGGCTGTCGCTGTTGCCAGGATACAGGTCCTCTTTCAGGTTAACGCCGAGCTCTTCACGTAAGGGTTTCAGCTCTTCCAGATATTCCTCGTATTGTTGGGTGTTCTCGACCTTCGCTTTGATGCCTGTAAAACGAGGTTGTGAGCTTTCTTTACCTTTGTCTGTTTCGGCAGGGTGGTGACGTACCTTCGAATATCCTGACGGCTGTGGGATAGTCATTGACACGTCTGGCGGCTTTCAGTGCAGCAGTGCAAACGCCGGGCGAAGGGACGAGATCGTAAGCGAACGCGTTGTTGAGATTTCGCTGTGATTGTGTTAGAATTGCTCCTTCTCTTTATGAAAGCTTTCCCGCCCCATACCTGCAGCTCAAAGACGTCTTGCACAGAGTCGAACTCCTTCTCGTATCTGCATTGCGCTGTGTCAGCCGAGCTCAGATGTATCTGTTCACATAGGTCTGCGCGGCCGGCAGAAGTCCCGTTGTGGCCTCTCAAGCTCAATATAGGTCGTACCTTGCTGAAAACTCTTCGAATGTCTCGTCCTCGTGGCCAGAGCTTCTGTGAACGGCTGTCGAGCTGAAAGGAGATTTCGCGGAAATGGATTGAGCTACGAGAGGAGCTCTCCTGATCGTTCGTGTGCAGGGTCTAAACAGGGTGGAAGCACTAGGGCGAGCAGCGAGACGGAGGATTGAAAGGGAAGCCATGGCGCAGGGTGAGTCGAGAAAGCTCAATAGGCTAGAGAGGAGAGTCTGTTGAGGTTCACTTCCTGGTAGGTGGTGTTTAGTCCTGGAATTCAAGTTCAATCTTGAAGTCACCTGAGAATTACAAGCTAAAAGGCTGTCTTCTGACTGGCTGCAAAGCATCATTCAGGCGTACGGGCGCAGGTGAAGGCCATACAGAAAAAAGAACTTGTCTGACGAGATCGTGACAGAGCTCATCAAGAGTCCATCGCGGTTCATGCACGCTTATGGGGCCCAGCCTCACCTCCGTCAGACGCAGCCTTTTGCTCAATTGCAGTCTCGCTTGTACGGTGCCTGGTATTGGTGTATTGTAAAGCAGAATTTTGTGATTGGACCAAGGTTGAACACTCTTTTCAATGCTTCAGAAGCGACAAGCGGGTGCGAGCACGAAAGATAACTAAATAATGTGATTCTTCCAGTGCCACAATGGTTGACCACAATCTTTGTCTTCCCCCTGCGCCTATCGTATCTACACGAAATACGCGCGGTAATCGCCATGGATTGCGGCTGGTTGCTTGATCGGAGATTGAGGGAAACCACTTTCAAGCAACAAATTGCCAATGGGAAGCCGCGGCTATACTGGGGACTTGGCAAATGTCGCGCGTCATTGTACGTTTCCCCCTGATTACGCTCGTACTTCGAAGAAAAGAAATACTCCGTAGACTTGAGAAATTCAACAATAATCTTCCACCGTGCACCCGCTTCCTCAATCTTGCTTCCGCTCCCCATCCTACGGCCCGGCCTCTTATTAAACCACTTCGATTCCTTTCCCGGCCTTCCGCAACACCTCTTCACTTCTTGTTGTCTTTCGGCTCTATTTCATTCTTTCCTTCCAGAGCCTGCTAATCACTTTCTGTCGCTCCTTCTCTCGCCCGCCTGGTTGGGCGCATTCAAGACTCTGTTTTCCCGCCTGCAATCGCGTGCTCTCACAATGGACGCGCTCAAGTCTCTTCCTCTACCGACTCTCGATCGACCTTTCGGCATCGAACTATGGCCTATCTTCGCTAAAGGCTACCAGGCCATCTTTGGCTACTCTCCTGACGACTTCAAGTTTGAACAAGGCGAGACGCCCATGTCGACTTTCAAAGAGACGGTTATTGCATTGGTCTCCTACTATATCATAATCTTTGGCGGACGGGAACTGATGAAACACCGCCAACCCTTCGTCCTCAACGGCCCTTTCATGATTCACAATCTCTATTTGACCCTCATCAGCGGTGGTCTTCTGGCGCTCTTCATCGAACAACTTTTGCCTGAAGTGGTCCGAAACGGCATTTTCCACGCCGTCTGTAGCTACAACGGTGGTTGGACCGATCGATTGGTTATGCTCTACTACGTGAGTCTGGCCACTGCGCTTTCTCCGGAGCTTTTCTGACTTGCGTAGATGAACTACCTAACCAAATACCTCGAACTCATCGATACTATCTTTCTCGTCCTCAAGAAGAAGCCACTCACTTTCCTCCACACTTATCACCATGGCGCGACCGCTCTCCTCTGCTACACGCAACTCGTTGGCCACACTGCTGTTTCTTGGGTGCCTATCACGTTGAACTTGACGGTCCACGTCGTCATGTATTGGTGAGTGCCAAAATGCTACAATTGGCTGAACAGCACTGACGTAGCTTAGGTATTACTTCCAAGCTGCCCGTGGTGTCCGCATCTGGTGGAAGAAATACATCACCATGCTCCAAATCATCCAGTTCGTCATCGACCTGTTCTTCGTCTACTTCGCTTCCTACACCTACTTCGCCAACAGCTATTTCCCCTGGGCGCCAAACTACGGTACCTGTGCAGGAGAAGAGTTTGCCGCCTTCGCTGGCATGGGAATCCTTAGTTCTTATCTGTTGCTCTTCATTTCCTTTTACTTCGCGACCTACAGAAAGCAGAGCGCTACAGGAAGACCTAGGAGGAATACTGGAAAGGAAGCTCTGATTGCCATGAAGGATCTTCCTCTCCCAGACCCGCACACGATTCCTTCAGACGAGAAGAGGAGTAACGGTGCTATCGCCACCGGCCGAGCGAATGGCCCAACTACAAGATCCCGAAAGGCTTAGGAAGCTGATGTGGATGACCGTTTCAGTGATGAGATGTTTCCATCATTTACGAAGGTCGAAAAAGACAACAATCCAGAGATTCGAAGCAGTGAAGATTACGTCCGGCAACAGTTGGACTCTGTTTCATCAGATCTCTCAAAGTACGTTTGCATGGATCCTGATTGTGGGTAGACATGATCTATGCAGCACGAATAGACAGCTTGGATCACCTCTGGTCACGTTAAAGAGGTTGGGCCATCAAAAGGGCCAAGGTCCTTAGACGAAGAAAGGGAATCGAGGTGCGAAGTCTGTTGGTTGAGGTTGCGACGTGTACAAACATTGGCGTCAAAGATGTCGAGAGCATTGCTGGACTTTAGGACCGGGTTCAGCGGTGCGTCCTCCATCTCGGGTTACATTTTTGCATCTGTGTAACTACATGCATACTCACTATTAATACATGAAAAGTAATGTGGAGGCAATGCCGTTATAGCAGGAGAAACAAAAAGATCGAAAAAGTCAAACATCACATCTTGTTCTATGTCGGTATCGAAACCTGTGCCCGTACCGCCTACATTTGCCGGAAAGTCAGCCTTGCGGCCCTCCTACTCTACCTGCATCATAACATCGATTCTTCGTCGGTCGTCCTCTATCCAACCCATCTTCTCGCACTTTGGAACAGTCTCTCCCAGGGTCCATATTCACCCCATTCCGCAGTCTTGCCCTCAGGAATGTAGCTGCCAATACCTTGCAAGATTGTCCGTTCAGGATGAGGCATCAGCGCCAGCACGCGGCCGTCTTGACTTCTTACAGCAGCAATACCCGAGGGGCTACCATTCGGATTGGCCGGATATGTCGTCGTAGGATTCAACGAATTGTTGTCTACGTACCTGATTGGCGCGAGATGGTCTCTGGCAAAACCACTTGCCAACGACGCATCGAGCGCCTTGTTATTCGTATCCGTGAAGCACGCACGCCCTTCCCCATGCGCAACGGCGATCGGCAGACTCGATCCGTCCATACCATGGAAGAAGACACTGGCCGGCACGCCGCTGTCGACTGGCGGATCGGACACGCGCACCATGCACACACGCGCCTCGTACTGCTCGGACTCGTTGCGCTCGAAGCTGGGCCACTTGTCCGCACCGGGAATGAGTTCCTTGAGTTTACTCAAGACCTGGCACCCGTTGCACACGCCTAGGGTGAACGTGTCCTTGCGCTCGAAGAAGGCTTGGAACTTGCGCCGCGTGCCCGGGTGGAAGAGGATGCTTTTGGCCCAGCCCTGTCCGGCACCGAGACAGTCGCCGAAGCTGAAGCCACCGCAGAGCGCGAGGCCCGTGAAGCTGGACAGGTCATGGTCGATGCCCAGATGCGTCTGGTGGGATTTCGGGTCGAGAATATCGCTCATGTGCACGTCCACGGCCGTAAAGCCGGCGGCGTCGAATGCGAAAGCCATCTCCGCGTGGCCATTTGTGCCCTGGTCACGCAGGATAGCCACACGGGGACGAGCGGTGGGCCGGACGATGCTGAGCAGGCTGGTCTTGTAGCTGTTGATGTTCTCCTTGGGAGTGTAGGTGAGGTTGTAGCTCAGGCCCGGGTCGGCATCGTTGGAAATGTTGGCGTACTCGGCATCGGCGCACGAGGGATTGTCCCGCAGGCGTTGCATCCAGTATGAGGTGTCGGACCATTTTTGTTGTAGGTCCGAGCGGGTCGCGCGGTAGATCAGCTTGCCGCCGTGATAGATTGCCATGTTCTGGGTGCTGGATTTCGTGGATACGCGGCCGATCTTGTGGATGAGACCTGGAGGCGGGCCGCAGGTGGCGAAGCAGGCTTTGAAGCGGTTCTCGTCGGACTTGCGGACCTGGAAGACCGCGCCGAGTTCTTCGTTGAACAGGCACGATATGATGTCTGGTGTGTTGGGTGTCGGACAGATGTCGTTGATCATGATCTCGATGCCGCAACGGCCGGCGAAGGACATTTCCGCAAGCGTGGTGAAGAGGCCACCATCGCTGCGGTCGTGGTAGGCTAGGACAAGGTCTTGCTCGTGTAGTTGCTGGGTGGCGTCAAAAAAGTCTTTGAACAGGTCGACGGAGCGAACATCGGGCGATTCGTCGCCGATTTGTTTGAACGACTGGGCGAGGATGGAGCCGCCCATGGCGCGGTGGGCGAGGCCAAGGTCGACAAAGAACAGTGTCGACTCGCCGACTTCGTTGTACCGTTTGAGCTGTGGAGTCCATGTCTTTTTGATGTCGAGTACAGGAGCGAAAGCGGAGATCACGACGGTTAGAGGGGCGGTGACTTCTTTGGCTTGATTGCTTGTTTTGTCTTGCCATTTCATTTTCATGGACATGGAGTCTTTGCCGACAGGGATGGCGACGCCCAGTTTGGGACAGAGGTCCATGCCGAGAGCTTCGACGGCTTCGTAGATGGCTGCGCCTTCGCCCGGGTGCGAAGCGGCGGACATCCAGTTTGCGGAGAGTTTGACTTGGTGGAGGCGGTCGGGGAGGTCTGCAGCTGTCAGGTTCATTAGCGACTCGGCGACGGCCATGCGAGCGGATGCAGTAGGTGACATGAGAGCAAGTGTCGGTCTTTCGCCCATAGCCATGGCTTCGCCCGTCTTGATGCCAGTCGTGAGGGATGTAGCTGTGACAGAGACATCGGCTAGCGGAACCTGCCATGGCCCGACCATCTGGTCTCTGGCCGTCAAGCCGCCGACAGTGCGGTCGCCGATGGTGATTAAGAAGGACTTCGAACCGACTGCAGGCATATGGAGGACTCGATCGATGGCTTCTTCCAACAGACCGTGGGTAGAAGCTTGCGGTACGTACATGCTCAGGCTAGTGTCAAAGGCTGGCAAGTCGACTTTTCTTGACGTGACTGTTCGTGTCATCTTGGGTGGCTTGCCAAAGAGAACATCCATTGGCAAATCAATGGGATCTTGGTGCCCATGACTTGAAGGATTGTTGCGGTCGGTCAATTTGAGTATTTGTTTGTCGGTAGCGTGCCCTACGACGGAGATCGTAGAACGCTCTCGGTTGGCGATTGATCTGAACTTGTTCATGTCGTCTGGGTGGACAGCCAGAACGTACCGTTCCTGCGCCTCACAGCACCATATCTGGAGCGGGCTCATGCTCTTATCTGCACAATCGACTTCTCGAAGTTCAAATTGTGCACCGAGTCCTGAATCCTTTGCCAACTCTGGTAAGGCGTTCGAAAGTCCGCCGGCACCGACGTCGTGGATAAAAAGGATGGGGTTTCGGTCAGGACCTAAAGCGGCACAAGCATTGATGACTTCCTGTGCCCGACGCTGCATCTCTGGATTGCCACGTTGTACGCTGGCAAAATCCAAGTCTGCAGATCCTTCGCCAGAACCCATACTGGAAGCAGCACCACCGCCTAAGCCAACAAGCATGGCTGGTCCACCCATTGCGATCAATTTTGCGCCATCTTTGACAAGATCAGGATCTTTGAGCGCGAGCTCAGGTCGGACGGTGCCAACGCCACCAGCAATCATGATCGGCTTGTGATAACCTCTGATTTCAGAAGTGTCTTTCCCAGTCATCATCTCGGTAAGGAGAGTTCGGAAATATCCAGTGGTTGCAGGTCGACCAAACTCATTGTTGAACGCTGCGGCTCCAATGGGGCCTTCAAGCATGATGTCCAAACTTGTTGCTATGTGGTGAGGTTTACCGTAATCAAGTTCCCATGGTTGGCGATGGCCTGGAATGAGCAGATCAGAGACGGAAAACCCTGTGAGGCCTGCCTTGGGCTTCGAGCCTCTTCCAGTGGCTCCTTCATCTCTAATCTCGCCACCGGACCCAGTGGCAGCACCTGGAAAAGGGGAGACAGCGGTTGGATGATTGTGCGTTTCGACCTTGGCAAGGATATCGACTCTTTCCTTGATGGACTTCCACTGCCCGTTGAAATCATCTGGTGCCCATTGGCTTCCGTTACTACCTCGCAGAACCGCTGCATTGTCGCTGTAGGCGCTGATGGTCCCCTCACTCGTCACCTTATGTGTGTTCCGTATCATCCCAAATAGGGTGTTTAGCTTGGTCTGCCCATCGATAATCCAGGTTGCATTGAAGATCTTATGTCGACAGTGTTCCGAGTTGACTTGAGCGAACATGAATAGTTCGACATCCGTCGGATTCCTTGGAACAGATCCATCTTTGGCATATGCTTCAGCAAGATACTGAATTTCCGAGGCGTCTAGTGCCAGACCAAGGTCTTTGTTCAGTTCTTCCAGAACCTCGGTGGGTGACCTGCCACCGTTGTAAAGATCGAACGTGCCTAACGTGCCCGCCTCATGGTGAACAAAGAGTAAGTCGAGGTCAGGCTCTTGTGCTGATATTGTCTCCGTCATTCGATCATGAAGAAAATCCAAAGTAGACACATCCAAGGACTTGTCAGTATCCGAACAGACAGTGATTTTGATTCCACGCTCAATTCTCCGGACGATCTTTCGAAGTCCACAAACATGAGCAATGCTGGTTGCCTTGGTACTCCAGGGGGAAATGGTTCCTGGTCGGGGTAGTACATAGAATGTTTGGGATGGTCCATCCTGTTTTTCGAGGCTTTGATCATCAGAGTCGTGGGTCAACAACTTTTCCAGAAGAGTCCGGTGTTCTGTGTCGAGGTCGTCGATAAGTTCAACGTAATGAATGTATTGTCCTTGAACATCCTTTACGCCAACTTGAGACGCAAGTGCCTGACGACGGAAGCCGGAAAAGGCTGAGCCGCCGGGTATCACGCAAATCTCTGACTGTGAGACGGCCATCCTGCAATCGTTGAGTAGTATTAAAGACTGTGGTCAGGCTCAGTAACCTGGTTGTTTGGCGTCTAGAACATGACCACAATCAAAAGCGCTAGTGATCAGGCTGAGGCTTCCACTCGATAGTTTGGTCGGCTGATTCTGGGCAGTTGCGCGCGAGTTCAGATGGTCATTCTGAACAAGATGTTTGACCGCAATCTGACTAGACCTTCTCATACAAAGGCACCTGCTTTGCGGTCATATGGCCTGCAAAACTACAAGTCATCAAAAAAGTTCTCCAAAGGCGGAAGAAAAGTGTTTCCGGAGGAGTGGCTTGGCATATGATAAGATTTCGGGTCTGCACGGCACTGGTCTGGTTGGCTGTGTGTTGTGGCTGTTCTAGGTGGCTTACGCACCGAGATCTGGCCCTTAGGCGTTGAATCCCCAAGAAATTGCACACTGATACCACCAACGTACCCGGTAGGTGCCCGAGAGTCCCAGCCGCCTTGTCCCGGTGCCCCTGTACTCGGTACGTCAATCTGCGTTATTCTCTTATCCTGGCGGCCCGTCATCAGGCGTACTCTTACTCTCCCCCTACCAGTGACTCGAGGTAGCCAGCTGTCCACGTTATTAACACCTCAGACATTCCCCCCTGCTACATTCAGAACAGGGTACTCCATCACTTGACATTTGTCTGCTATATCTTTCGATGTGACCACTCTTTCTGAACTTTTTATCGGTACTCGGCTTTGCTACGCGACTGACTGGCTGTCCTCATGCACTCGCCATTGACCGAGCCTCACATCGTTGACCTCCGACTCTTCACGATTCGAATCCTCCTTTCCCACTGGCGAACTTTTCCTGCATAACCGATCCACACTAAGAACACCTCAAAACCTTCAGCTGGAGCACGAGGTCCCAGAAAAACCCTCAACAGTCTGTACAATCTCGGATTGCAGGGGTAGTCGTCGTCCGACTGCCCTTCCCACGCCGTCAACATTCCTTCTCCTCCCCGCTACCCCGAATCGTCCCTCCACCACCGATCGCACTCAACTCGTTCCAAGATTGAGCTCGGAAATCACACTGCTGCATTGCCGTCCCAAGCGGAGAACGAGAAACACGAGAGCTATCGGCGACCGTCTTACTCCTCGGCTACGGAATCTGACGACTTCTCCCTTTGGAGTGATACTGGAGATCTCGCAGAACAGCTTGCCAACGACGAGGATCCATATCGGATTGAGCTTGACCCGCTTACCAGGGAAGGTCAAAGACTCAAGGCCTCCGGTCACGGTGGAGGACGGAAGAAGAAAGTCGGTTTCAAAGAACACGATCATCTCGAGCGGAGTTCTCTCATAGGAATAAATAAAGAGGCTATCTTCATTCCGGAGCCTCCACCGAGGCACATATCTAAGGCAGAAAGACTCCTGGCTCTTATCATGTCTCCAAATGACCCTCAAGCCGCTCGGGCCAAAGGCCTCGTTGGCAAACCTCTCTTGTATGCCAAATATCATGGATATTGTATAAAAAGGGCTCTGGCTAACACACCCAATTCAGATATTTCACGAGTGTTTTTGTGTCTTTGGGGGTTTTTCTCTTCGGTTACGACCAAGGCGTCATGTCTGGCATTATTACGTATGTTGTTTGCCCGGTTCACTCTCCCTGCCGCTGACAAAGTGAAGCGGCCCCTTCTTCAGGGATTATTTCAATCAGCCTGGCCCTGCCGAGGTCGGAACTATGGTTGCAATTCTCGAGATTGGAGCCCTTATCGCGTCAATAGGTGTTGGCAGAATCGGAGATATCATCGGTCGTCGACGGACCATCCTTTACGGATCCATGGTCTTCTTCGTCGGCGGCATGTTGCAGACCTTTGCAAATGGCATGCCCATGATGATGGTCGGGAGATTCATTGCAGGTCTGGGCGTCGGTGCACTTTCCACCATTGTCCCTGTCTATCAATCCGAGATCAGTCCACCGCATAATCGTGGCAAGTTGGCATGCATAGAATTTACGGGCAACATCACCGGCTATGCTGCAAGTGTCTGGGTGGATTACTTCTGCAGTTATATCCAGAGCGATTATTCTTGGCGGACACCTCTCCTCATGCAGTGCCTCATGGGAGCTTTTCTTGGGTTTGGCAGTTTGATTATCTGTGAATCCCCAAGGTAAGTGTTTGGGCATGCACGTGATGAGATGAGACTGACATGCTGATTATAGATGGCTTTTGGACAACGATCATGACGAAGAGGGCATTATTGTCATTGCTAATCTTTACGGAAAGGGAGACATCCACAATCCCAAAGCTCGACAAGAGTACCGAGAAATCAAGATGAATGTCCTGTTGCAGCGGCAAGAAGGAGAACGGTCATACACGGACATGTTCAAAAGATACCGCAAGCGCGTCTTTATTGCCATGTCAGCTCAGGCTTTCGCGCAATTGAACGGCATCAATGTCATCTCATACTATGCGCCGCTCGTCTTTGAGTCGGCAGGGTGGATGGGACGAGATGCAATCCTCATGACTGGTATCAACGCCATCTCGTACTTGGCTTCGACCATTCCACCCTGGTACTTGGTTGATAAGTGGGGAAGACGACCTATTCTTCTGTCGGGCGCGGTGGCTATGATCATTTCGTTGTCGCTAATATCCTACTTCATCTTCATTGATGTGAAGTACACTCCGCCACTGGTGGTCCTCTTTGTCATGGTATATAATGCTGCGTTTGGTGCAAGCTGGGGTCCAATTCCGTGGCTCTACCCCCCAGAAATCTTGCCTCTGAGCATTCGGGCCAAAGGTGCTAGTCTGAGCACGGCCAGCAACTGGGCTTTCAACTTTTTGGTGGGAGAGCTCACACCAGTTCTGCAAGGCGCCATCAAATGGCGATTATACCTCGTCCACGCCTTCTTCTGCGCCGTGAGTTTTGTTCTTGGTAAGCGTCAATTTCCCTGGACTTGTCGGACCTCGGAGCTAACAGCGCCTAGTATATTTTGTCTATCCAGAGACTGCCAACGTCCGCCTCGAAGATATGAATGCGCTCTTTGGTGATGCTACGACCGCAATGCCCACACCAGCAACCCAAGCAGAACGAGGTTCTCTCATGGGCGTTGGCTCACCTTCCTCGATCGACATCAGACAAGGAGCAGATGGATCCGGGCCCTTCTCAGCTAGCGACGCTATTCCGGGCCTCGATATCGACCCACCCGATGTTGACCTAGACGCAAATGGTAGGCCACGGGGGAGAAGCGATAGCACCCAAGGTCTCGGCAACTGGATTGGACGAATGGTGTCAAGATCACGCCAAGAAAGTGGTTCCCGTGGACAGTATAACAAAGTCAGACAGGACGGAGACTGAGTTACACGAGCGGGTGTATCTATTTCATGTCATGACGGCGGTTTCTTTGGAAGATAGATTTGAATCGCAGCGGTGCAGGAGTCCTGGCTATATAACAGAGGGAAGAGATTCCCGGAGAGTGTCTGTGTCTATGACACTATGACAATGTCTTGTTGGTTGATTCTCTTGGAAATTCATGTCGAGTGGCTCAGTCGAACCAATTTGGGCCGGTGGTCAAGTTAATGTATAGCTACCTAGAATACGGAGTATGCCTGGAGGGAACCACAAGAGGATATGAATTCCTGATGGACAGCTCGATTATGAATATGACCTGGTGTACTTAAGATAATGAGGGGGCACAGGCACATCCGCAGGGCTGGCTTCTCTGATGCTCTGAGCTCCCTGTTCCTTGTTAAAACGGAACCAGCTTGGATTGTATTGCCTGGTCTTGTTGCGAGCGGGCATCAGTTCTTCGATCTGCGCTGTTCCTGCAAAGAACTATTCAAATTCACTTCAGCACAAAGCACTCTCTTCGATCGTTTTGCCATTCCATCTATTCACTGTTTCGAAAACCCTCCGCGCAACCAATCGGCGATCCATTGGGCCTAGTGAGCCTTCTCGCCTCGCCTCAGCCTTTCCGCCCCGGTCTTGTCCCGTGACAACCAGCTGCTGCAACCCATTGATCTCAGTCCAGTCTCTCGAGCACCTATCGAGTGTAAACCAGAACGAGCCGACTCACTGCTTCCTTGTCGGAGAAGAACTACCCTGTGACTTCAACAAGACCTTGCGCCGCGAACCTCCCGTCCCCCCAAGCCCCGCGGAACCGCCTTCGCGTCCGATCAGTTCGAAGCGGCTCTCGAACGAGGGTACTCAACGTTGTTAAGAGCAGAAAGAACTTAGGACACGTACAAACACATGGTTGTATGTTTCCTGCAGCATCAATGTGTCCAGCTTTGTCTGTCGAAGCTGGTCACTCTGGCAGACCTGCGTCACCTACAGTGATGGAAAGATCGTGACCTGTTGCGACAAGATGTCCCAAGGAATGCACAAAAGGCCTCAAGAGATACATCAAATATCCAAGGCCAAGCAGCATACAGGAAAGATCATTGCGCAATTAGACGAGCGAATACACCACCTCCAGGAATATATCGTTCCCAGACAACCATACCTTCTTTCGGTTCCTTCGGACGTTCCATATCGACATAGTTCGCGATTCACAAACACCTGGTATGAGGGCACACCTTTTAATCGACACGAAGAGCAACTTCAATACCTGAGTTTTCTTACTCATCAGGGTGATCACGAGACACTCTTGAAAGTGGAGGGTGGATGGGCAGACGAGCAGGGAAATCCCATTGAAGAAGAACTCTCCCCCCGGACAGTACCCGCCAGTGGTCACAATACTCCTGCAGGATCGGGACATCGAAAAAAAATCAGTCTGAAGGACTATAAGACTAAGAGCAAGAGTCCTCCTACCACGCATCTTCGACCGCAATTGTTGGCGGTAGAGAACAGAGTGAAACACGCAGGAATAAGTTCAGTGGTTCGGACACAAGAAGAGACAGCGAAGACACCTCACTTGAACAAGGATAAGGAAGAAACTCCGCCGACGGTAGACGTCCGGGTGTCAGACTTCGAGTCTGAAGCGCCTCTTTCGAACGGTCCTGTGTCCCCCACGAAGCCACGCCCAGATCAAGCAGAAGAGGGCCCCAGTCCCGCGAAGAAGCGGAAGCTGTCACCGCCTTTTGAAGATAGCAGACCTGTTGAAAAGTCGCCAAAGGTCGAATCCCAACAGCCCAGCATGGAGATGCCGACATTATTGTCGCCGACACTACCCTCCCCTGAAGATGAGAACCGGCTGCCCCAGTTATTGTCGCCAGTCCTCCCTCCTTCGCTTGCGAAAGCGATGTCGAGCTCTCCAAATCCTACATCCCTCGGCAGTCCTGTAATCGGTCTACATCAGCGCACAGAGTCTGTCCGCTCAATCCTTGCAGGTGCCGACCTTGATAATGACCCTTCTAATGACAGGACTAAACTGGCACCTGGTGGCAGTCGTGTCCGCTCAGATAGTGTGCATTCTGCTAGAAGTTCTGCGCCGGGTACTCCTAATGCAGTCAGAACGGTATTGGGTTCGAAAGTGCTCTCCAAGAACGGCATCAAAGTTAGCACACCATTGCAGAATGGAGCACGAGCAAGCCCCGGACCGAGACAGCGACATACTATCATCTTGAAGTATGGCAAGAAAAATCGAAAGCGGGTTGAAGCGTTGCTCAAGTTTGCACCACGCCCTAAGAAGGAAGTGGTCAAACAAGAAGCGAGCAACACGCCAGAGATCAAACCAAAGAAAGAACCGATCAAACAAGAGGACAGAGATGGACAACGTACTCCCGATGTCAAAGTGAAATTATCTGCTCTGGACGATGTCAAGCTCGAAAAGAAGCGCAAGGCCGAGGACAGTCCTGGACTGGCGGTCAAGAAGATGAAATCTTCGAATTTGACTGCGGAAGACGTCAAGCGACCTTCCACGCCTGCTCCTCCAGCTAGCAGAACACCGCTCGTGTCACAATCCAGATCGACCTTTAGTACCCCTAAGAAGGAGCTGAAATCAACGGCGATGAGAAGAGTCGAATCCTCGGATGGCATCGATGTGCCCACTCCCACTGGAGATAAGGGTCGTGTGTCAACTCCTGTGTCAGCCCCCAAACCATCACCACAGCCTACATCCTTAAGCAGCCGAGAGGAAGAGCGACAGCAGTGGTCGACTATGAACACCAAATTCTTCACGTTAGGTCGCAGCCTGAAGCACGAGGGCACTTCTATGCTTCCATCCTCTGATGACGATTCCAAACCTGCGCAGTCTGCCAAAGGAGTGATTTTAATCATAGAGGCGTTGCTCTGCTTCATGATCAACATCGCCGCGCAGGGTCACGCCAGACCGGGCGTCGATCCTGGTTGGCGCTCAATCATACTGTACCACATTTTTGTGTGGCGGGCTTCGAGGAAATATCCCCATCTGCACGGTCTGGTCGTCCAGCTTGGGGCGGTCTGTCGACAGTACGTCCAGAAGTACGATTTGGATAGATTGGCACGGGATCCTCTGCCTGAGGACTACTGCAATTCAGCTCCAACGCCCAGTAGCGACGGGAATACCAAGCCCAGCGAGGATGTTGAGAAATACAAGAAGCGCTACACCCAATTCAGAGACGACATGATACATAATATCCACGAACTGCAGACTGCCTGGCTGGATGGATTCCGGCAACTGTCTCCAGAGTTGTTGCGGCGGGAGTATCCGAAGACCTGGGGGAAGCGGGCTAAGGATGCGAATGCGAGGATGCAGGAAAAACCATCACCATCAAAAATAGTCAAGGATTTCTACTTGCCGATGGATGTAAATACGACTCCATTCGAAGCTGCGAGATTTGGACTTGCCTTTCTCGAAGAATGGGCGGAGAAGGAGAAGATTGACTGGAAGACGAAGGTCGATTTCTGAAGCAACTACCAGTGTAGTTGACCGTGCTGCTTGTAATGTTGTGGGAAGCATTACATATTTATGGGAAGACACGAACGCCTTATGATATTAGCGACTTGAGAGCTTGAGATACCACTATGGAGCAAAAGATGAGCTTTGCTCCCTGTTACTGCGTGCTGGGATAGAACAATCAGAATTTTACATATTCCTGACCCGTGCATGTTTTTATGACGGGACGAGTTTGAGCTATGATGCCTCCACATTGGCTAAAGTCAAAGACTATACATCTGTGAATGGCCAATATGATACTCTTACAACAGCAGTACGATGCTGATAGAGTATCCGTAGGTCCTCCACTGATCCTCCGGCGTACTGTGGTAGACGAGCTGCCGAGCTGTTCCGCCGAACCTCGCACGTGCCCAGCCTTGCAGGAAATGCGGAGACGAGGCTGTCGCCTGCAACTTCTCCGACTTGGAGGCCGACATCGTTTTTCCAGGAACTTAATCATCTTTCCTCTACCTTCGTTGAAATGCTCTTGCAATCCTGAAGAGGATGGAATATTGACGATGGATGTGATACGAAGAGAATGTCCCTCGATGACGATCCTTCCGACTTCGACGGCGTCCTGCCCGTAATTCCCATCGACTCTCCGCCCGTTTACAAAGACAGAACCAGCAATGCTGCGACCGGTGCCTCTGCAGCCGGTGCTCGCGCATTCGCCGCGCAAACCGTAGCCTTCTATTTTCGGGCACCTGTCAAGGCCTTTTTCAGGACGAGGGTGGATTATTTGGTACGTCGTCCTCCCCGGGGCGGAGCTGAAGAATTTGTATCTGATCGATATGCTTCGATCCTAGGCATACGCCAAATCAATATCGCCGGACATACAAACCGGCCGCTTCTCCTGGCGGAGCACGACGCCGGGCCTGCTGGCCCATGCAATCCGCAATTATGGCTGGCGCTTCATACCGGAACAACTCCTCCCTCCGCTTGCTGCAAATGTCATTGTTGGCGCGGCCCTGTACACTAGTTACCTACAGGTCCTCGGCCGAATCTACGAACCCCCCTCTCATGCTTCGAAGACCGTCTTCCCGCCTGCACCGCCAACTCATACATTTGCTGCTGGCTTTGCCGCCGGAAGCATTCAGAGCCTAATCGCGGCACCACTGGATGCGCTTCAGGTCCGATTTGAGCAGCGTGGCGAAGCATATCGGCACAAGACCATGTGGCAGTACGGCAAGGGCAAACTACAAGAGATCGGACTACGTGGTATATTTGCAGGCTGGGGGCTCTCGTTTCTGAAAGACAGCTTTGGCTCGGGAATATTCTTCTCCACTTTCGAATACGTCAAAGCGCAGGGGTATTACAGATTTGTACGGTGGTACTACGGATCACTGGGCGGCGTGGCCGTGGACAAGCTCGCGCATAAGAGAGGGACTGTTGCTACGGAGAGCCAGCCCACCGCCATGATTCGGCCCCATTATGCTTTGGAGCCGGGATTCCTTATGCTCGCGGGTATCACGGCGTCAGTGGCTCAGCAGGTGGTTTTGTACCCTCTGTCGACGTTCCAGACGTTGCATTACGAACGGCTAGAGGACTTGGATAAGAAAGCCGCCGGGTTTTCTCAGTCGCAAGGGTCGAAGAAAGGGAGGATGCTCCGCGCGTATTACCACGCTTATCAGGAGACTTGGAGACAAGCTAGGACCCAAGCGAGGCAGGTTGGAGGGATGACAAGGTGGTTGTTCAGAGGGTTCTGGTGGTTCACAATACGGCAGGTTCTGTTGAACAAAGCCTCTTCCACCTCACCGAAAACGGTTGACTGCAACCGGCAGGCAAAAGGGAGTCTTGAACAAAGCCTCCCTAAAACGGTTGACTGCAACCGGCAGGCAAGAGGCCTATATAGAAGGGACTCTTGCCTGAGATAGATTGTAGATCTTTAAGCAATCAGATCATCCTTTTCGAACAGGTTCCGAGTACGAGTGCAGGTCTGGTTATCTTTGAGCTGGTGCGCAGGAAGTATGGCCTGGCTGGAGACGAGGTCAGGATCACCCAAGATGGGTATGATATTTTGTTGACATGAGCGGCATGACGAGATAGCGGCACCAAAGTATAAATCGCGATCCCCTCAGTCTACAGAATTTTAAAACTTCTCCCTCACCCAGCCGACGATCTTGTTTCCGAATTCTTCTGGCTTTCCGAGCATAGACCAGTGCCCGACATTGTCGAACACGACTTTTGTTGCGTCGAGTATCAGGCCGGCCTTGACCTGATTATCAAAGTGCTCCTCACGCGAACCGACGTCTTGGCCACCACAGACGAACAGGAAGGGACTGACCACGGCATGCTCCGCGGCCGCGGCGTTGCCTCATCCTGCAACCCGAACGTCAGAGCACGGTATCAGCGCTGTGGAGCGTCGAACCCGTCGCGGCGCATGCGTTGGAAGAATTCTCGTCTCCGGGTCTCGGTCGCATACGGCATGACGGGCTACAGTCTGTCGGCCAGCAGGAAATTGCGCATGCCGTCCCTGACGGACCAGAGTTCCCGCCAGGTTTGGGGCTCGCCGTACAGGACGGTCCACAGACTTTCGAGGTGCGCGAGGAAGATCTGCGGTGCGTCGTCCGGGGTGAAGAGCCGCCAGTACTCGGATGTGATGGATGGCTTGTCTGGAGTTTGATGCTGGAGCTGGTACTGGATCAGGGCGTCTAGGTCGAATGGGGCAGGCATAGGTGGGAAGTATGATACGGCTGCGAGGATCTAAGCGGAGAGGCGGTCCGGGTGGAAATTGTACAGACGGCTTGCGAGGCCGACGCCCTGGATGCAAAAAAAGGGGGTTCAGCATGGGGTCGGGGTCGGACGAGATTGCCAGACACATTAAGAGAGAGATTGGAGGCAGGGCAAGTGCGGAAGAAGTCAAAGTGAGTGATGAGGATGATTCGTTACCCAGTCATGCGCCAGACAGGCCACCGTCGTTAACTTCTCTGTGTCGACGATGTCTGCACTCATGGCGCGGAAGTCGTACTCTTTCTCGTTTAGAGGTTTCGAGGTGCCGCCATAACCCAGACAGTCCAGAGCTACGACCCCGTAGCCGCTGGGGATGAGATGCTCTGTGATGAAGCCGGACCAGGTCTCTGCGCTGTCGGGCCAGCCGTGGATGAGAAGAACAGTTGGCCGGCCTTCGTTGGCTGGGTGAGTGTAGTAAGTGTAAGTGTAGGAACGGGAAACGGTGATGGTCTTCTGGTTGAGACGCTCCATGGTCGATGTCACTGTGTTGACTCAGGTCAGGAATCTTTGTCGTGCCTTCAAATGCGAAGACCACGCTTACATAGTGAGCGAGAAGTCTTGAGGAGAAGGGAATTCATTGTACATATCCTCGAAGTCAGCTGGTATGGTATAGACGAGGACTTTACGAAGAAGTGCTCCCGAACGAACACATCGCACGAAGAACGGACGAATTTTGCGTTACCTGAGGTCGAAGGTCTTGCATCGCTTCAGCCTCGTATCTCGACGAGTCAGTCGTTCCTCACACGCAAGAGCAGAGTCCGTATGAAGTGTAGTGGGATGTTCCGATCGACAAAGCTGCAATAGGAATGTCACTGCTGATGCTGCGTAGTGTTGAAGAGCGATCCGCAGCTTGTCCACGGATCATCAGCTTGGCCTAGATTCCGCCTCGCCGGCTAACGTATCAGGCGAGGCTGGTTTCGGAAAGGGTAAGGGAGAGGGAAAATAACAAGGAGGGTTGAGTCTTCTAGAGCCGAATGAAGAATCCGCGGCCCCCCGAGGCTGACCCCATACTCCGTACTCGGGCCATATACTCCGTACTATGTACAGTATTTGTGTACAGGCTCCACTCTCCCACGCTCCCACGCCTTCTCTTGGAAAATCTAAGCCTTGTTGTGGATTCCTATACGCGATTTCAAGGAGCAATTCATCTTCTATACGTTCCCCGAAATTCCCGTGCGTATTCGCTCGCACAAGGCTTGAGCTCAAATGTGCACGGGTACGGACTTTCCTAGGCTCCTCGTTGGGGAACTTCCATACTGTCGAAGTCGAAGCCTCCATCCCTGACAAATGTTCGTGCTGAGTGTTACAGAAATAGCTGTCTAGGTCCACAACAGATCTGTGTCTGGGTTGAAGACATGGACTATAAAGCAGGCGATTCAAGAAGCCCTCTCGAGCCCAGGAGTGAGTCGCTCTCTACATACCAGGTAGATCAACGCCAAATCATTTCTCCCAATAGCCTCGACGGACAACATGCCGGAACTCAACGTGCTCAGAGGTTTGCTTACGGGTCTGCTTTTGACGGCAAGCACCCTCGCCGTTCCCGTCAAGCCTGCCTCCAGCCACGATAATACTCCCACTCATCCAGGGGCAACATGCGCCACGTTCACTGTGCCCGTGAGCGTCAGCCTCAACAACTCGATCTTCTCCGGTCCGCGTGTTGATAACAACATCGATGCGGTCAACTTTGTCTGGGACGCAGATGCATGGGACCACCCTGCTGGTCCGGCTCGGATCGTAGGTAGCGTGTTGGTCCAAGAAATCTACAATGTCGAGGCCCAACTGTGCGTTCCGTTGGCCAGTGCAGGAAACAAAAGAGAGATTTTGCAGGTTGCCACCCATGGAGGTGTTTTTGATAAGAGGTCAGTCCCCCCAAAACTCAACCCGGCCGGCCACTGGCGTCTCCAGCAAAGACTAGCTGGGGTTTTCTGCTATTGGTCTGGACTAACGAAGCTATCACAATTCTCAGATACTGGGATTCGACGTTCGAGCCAGACAACTACTCTTTTGTGCGCGGTCAGCTAAGCGCAGGCTATTCGATCTTGACCTACGATCGCCTCGGTGTCGGCGGATCTGACAAACCAGACGGCTATACTCATGTCACCATTCCAACCCATATCGAAGTCCTGAAGGATCTGTCATCCCAGATCCGTAGTGGAAAGTTCGCGGAATTGGCGAAGCTGTATATGAAACCTGAGGAGGTGCCGATGTTCTCGAAGATCGTGCACATAGGCCACTCGCTCGGCTCTGCCACGACCATTGGATTCCTCGGTCGTTACGGAGACCTCGGTCTCAGCGACGGCACCATCCTTACCGGTTGGATCATTGCCAACACTACGCCGTTTGGTCAGGCTGGCTTCGGCTGGGAGTACGGACCGGAGCATGACCCGGTCAAGTACGCTGGTGCAAGCAGCGGATATCTGATCCCCGGAACTGTAGGCAACATCCAACAAGGCTTCTTCAGCGACCAAGGACTGCTGGACCCGAATGCGCTCCAGTTTGCCAACGAGATCAAGGCCACTAGCACGGTTGGAGAGTTCCAATCAGCCTACGTTGCTGCCTCTTCCTCGGTCCTAGGCTACTCAGGACCTCTGTTGGTACGTTATGTCTTCGCCGAATTCGGCTTTCTTCCTCCGGCACTCACAAGCCCAACCGCTGACACTTCTTGACCGCAGTATTTCCTCGCCGAGTATGACATGCTCATCTGCCATGGAGACTGCAATAATGCGTGGGATCCGCAGACGGTGCAGCAATTCGTCCCACACGCCTCTCCTATGGACATTCACATCCAGCCCAAAACGGGACATGGAATCCCTCTTCACAAGAATGCCACGGCAGGGTTCTCAGTCGTGGCCGACTGGTTGGGCCAGAATGGTCTTTGAGGTGAATGGCTCCGTGCAGGGCATGACGGGCCAACACTGCATGCATAGCCAATGAGTAGTTGGGCCAATACGGCGAGGTTGTCCACCTCTGCGCATATAAGTAATATTAATAGAGTATAACAAATCCAGCTTTGTTCGAGGTGTTCTAAGCCCGGCATACTAGGCGTTCACCGGTTGCGGTTGTGAAACCAAGATCAGCATGATGAGGTTACAGATACTAGATCGCCTAAGCCCGTGGCATCCCAGGAGGCTGTGGCACATGTCCTAGCAGCTCAACCAGAGTGTGATGAGACCCGCTGGCAAACATCAAGCATGCTCACTGTTCAGGACATGCCTCCGCGAGAGGTAATGACAGTCAACGTGAAGGACTGATGTTCCAGCCCAGTTTTCCAAAGCTGTGGTTCCAACCACAACTACCAAAACGAATCTGCGTATGGATTCATGCCCATGATCTCGGCAACTTCACGATCTCGTGGATCGCCCATGAACAGCTCTGGCATGTCAAAGTCGTCCGAAATATCATCGTCAGAGCCATAGGCATACCCTCCAGCCAATATTTCCTGATATACACGGTCGTCCGCATCCATAAGGCCACCATACTCGTCAATGAGTCTTCGTCTCTGTGACTTCGTCAACCCGCCCTTCTTCGTCTCCTTCTTGACTTTCTTGGGTCTGTTTATTTTCGGCTTGCTTCGCGTCTCGCCCTCATCGACGGTCTGCCATGCTTCTTCGTTCTCCTTTTCTTTCGTGGCTACCAATTCGTCCTTAGTTAGGTGGGATGTAGACTTGACAGTTGCACTCGAGGACGCCTTGTCGATGGCTGTTTTGCCCTCCGCACCTGATAGTTGGGAAGCTGTCTTGATTTTGGGGATGGACTCGGGCATTTTGCCACGGCTACTGTCGCCGTGGCCGTCGCTGTCGCTGCTGCTGGGGGAAGAAGTGTTGCTGGCGTCCGTTGCTGACGACATCGTGCTGACGTTCGCGGATGTCGTCAGACGCTCTTTGTGGGAGACTCGATCGGCTTTCTCTAGAGCGTCTTGAGCTTTTTTCAGTGCTTTCTTCGCATTTCGACGAGCCTTCTTGGCCGCCTTCCAAGTCTTGTTCGCCGTGGCTAGCTCCGCTTTGGCTTCCTCGTATGTTTGTGCTAATTCGGCGAGTGCTTGTGTTGAAGCACCTTGGGCTGCAGAAGAGGTGGTACCTGCCTCCGAGCTCATTGGTCGCCTATTGAACGGACCAGCTTTGTGGTTGTCCTTCGCTTTTCGCTTGTGGCCGCGTCGTGCAGTCTTGGTGGGGCTGGTCATGATTGCTCAGGCATTGCAGGCTGTTAGAAGACTTGAGACAGCCTGGCAACGAGTATGAACATGCTTATGGGGTTGTGAAGACTTTTCCAAGTTGCCATGACTGTCACCGACTAGAGTGAACGATGGACGCGTCTCGGTGAACAAGCGTCTGCAGAGTGGTAGCTAATCCGAAGCGGGTGAGACGACAATGATAGCACAGTAGGACAATTGTTTCCATATCTCTTGCACTTCATATTATCCAGTGCGCCGTATGCTGTGCGTGTTGTCTACATCTGCGCGTCTCCTGGTGTATCTATTTTGCGAACGCTTGCCGAGGCGCTGAGGGATACTTCAATAGAAGACGAGTAGTTAGACTCTATGGCGTCATCTGTACCAGAGCACAGTGCCGCACGCAGTCCTTATCTGGACGTCTACACGGTCTTATCATGGCAGCCTCGACTTATGTCCCTTATGTTAATATAAATGATCATCATCCGATGAAGCTTTGACCCTACCCACTGGGTTATTCAAGGTTCACCGATCAGTTCTCGGGGAAGGCGGAGTTCGAAGCCACGATCCAGCATGTCTCTTCCATCTATGCAGAAAGCAAACCTGGATGTCATTCCGCTCGACACGCACGGAAAAATCTCCAAGCAGACGGCTGAATTACATGGGGTGGCCGTTACGAAAGTCACTTTCAATCCCGGCGCCAGATGGTCCACTGACTTGCGAGATTACGCTGGCACTTCGAGTTGTGAACTCCCGCATGTAGCGCTGGTCCTCAGTGGGACGCTAGCTGTACGGATGGACGATGGGAGTGAGGAACGGTTCAGCAAAAATGACATTATGATGTTGCCGCCGGGACATGATGCGTGGTGCGAGGGTGATCAGCCCGCGGTTTTCGTGGAGTTTAGTCGAGGCGGGGAGTACTACGATGATCAGAAAAGGTAACGAACAGGACGAGGTAGTAAGCGAGGCGTGGAAATCTCGAAGGAAATGGATTGGTAGAGGAGATTGATATTCAGGAATTGCTCTGGTCCACTTGCCTCATTACCTGCCTTCTCCCTGCCGAAGCTGCGGTCGCAGAAGTCCAAGCAAAGACTCTTTAATCTGGTTGATTTGAGCCCCGGAAATGGCCTGGTCGCATCCAAATAATGCTGTGACTGCCGGGGCGACTTCGCTTCCTCGTCCTGCCCCGACTGAGATCTGAGGTTCTCGTTTGTCGCTGCAGCAACCTCCAATTTATGCAAATAGTCGACAATCTGTTAATGAGTGGACAGAAGTAGAGTCCAACTGCAACTTGGAGATCGCCGCCATCATGCCGCCAAGGATCAGCCGGAGAAGTCCATTCACCCAATCCCATCAACATGGGATATGTGTACAGCCATGCATTAACGATTACTTACATTGTTGAACAGGATGAGGTCGTTGCGCACAGTGTCTGTAGTCGGCTGTCATGCTGAAGGGGAGGTGGGAGATGTGATTGTGGGTGGAGTGCTCGATGCTCCTGGGTGCAAAACAATGTACGAAAAGATGATGTATTTCTGGACCAAGAAAGACAGTCTCCGACAAATGCTGCTAAATGAGCCACGAGGGCGTTCATCGATGTGTTGCAATCTGGTCCTACCACCTTGTGATCCGCGTGCAGACGCTGGATTTATCATCATGGAAAGCGATGAATATGCCCCCATGTCCGGAAGCAACACAATATGTACCGCGACCGTCCTCTTGGAAACAGGCATGATAACCATGCAAGAACCAATCACGAAGTTCAACCTTGACACTGCTGCTGGACTGGTCGGCATAACGGCCGAATGCGAGGCAGGAAAGTGCAAGTCTGTGGAATTCGATAATGTGGCTTGCTTCGTCTTTGCCCTCAACGAAGCTATAGATGTACCAGGACTGGGAGAGATATCTGTGGATATTGCTTGGGGCGGCATGATGTACGCACTGGTTGACCCAGCCTCGTGCGGGCTGAAGATTGCCAATAGCGACGCAGCCAAACTGGTGGAAATTGGAGAGAGGATCAAACGAGCGGTACAAAGGCAATTCGTGCCTGTGCACCCAGAAAATCCGGAGATCCATGGTGTGACCAATTTCGTATGGAGCGGTCCCCTCGAGGTCGGGGCTGATGGAGTCAAGTCGGCCATCAATACCGTTGTCGTATCTCCTGGTCGATTTGATCGATGTCCTTGCGGTACGGGCACCTGCGCACGAATGGCTGTGCTTCATGCCAGAGGTCAGCTCAAGGTTGGCGAGACGTTCAAGCACAAGAGCATCATCGGGTCAGAATTCATCAATCACATTAGAGGTACCACCAAGGTCGGCGAGTATGACGCTATCCTTCCAACAATCAAAGGACGGGGTTGGATCACAAGTTTCAAACAAGTTGTGCTGGATCCGACCGATCCATTTCCGGAAGGCTTCAGGGTTGGTGATCAGTGGCATATGCCGGTTGATCCATGAAGACCCAGGTGCGTGCGTGCAGCAGCAACACTGTGGAGTATTTTGCACCAGTCTAGCGATGTAGAGACAGAAAATACACAAGCCTGATAAGTTATGAACCTTGGGTCAAGCTCGTTACACTGCGCCCCTTCCTCGAAATCTCACATTGATAGACTGTGGCAGCAGGCAAGACTGCACTGGCCACAGCTTCGAGGTTCTTCTGGTTGGCCTTTGGAAATTGCAATAAAGGGCAATAAAGAGCAGACCAGAGAGGAGATACATCATGATGCTGCTATTGACGCTGCTACTGATGCAGCTATCGAAGGATGTGTCAGCTAGAGCCTGAGGTAGAAAGGGATGCGATTCATAGAAGGAGCTTGAAGGAGTCAACGAACGCGCTGATAACTTTAGCGCCTCGACGCGCCAAGCCTCAAGATGAAAGAAAGTCGCGCCTGAGAGTTGAGGGCTTCTGCAATGGCAACGCAGCCAAAGGATCTCCGGATAACTTGAACCTGATTTCACCTATGCTTCACCTTTTCACCTCTTCAACCCTTGTCCTATTGTCGCCTTCTCTTTCTCTTCCCTAAGTCCATACTCTAATTTCTCCTCTCTCCGTATCAAGACCGGCTCGGATTTGTTGTTGCGATAGCATCCGATTAACACGGGCGTTCTCACTCATCTACGATCCCCCTCAGTCGAGGTAGGCAGCCAACATGGGTGACATTGTCATCAACGCCGACACCTTTTTCGAGCGCCTCTCAACTCTCTACAACTCCTGGAAGGCAGATAAAAGAGCTGGGGATGGATCCTTTGGTGGCGCAGACAGCATCGTCATCTTGACCGGAAAGGCCGACCAGGATACTCAGTATACCAAGAGCAATGCCTTACATGTAAAGTTCATTCCTGTGGCGACAGCCGCGACATCAGCTGTGGCATCGACTGACCAGTTCTGTAGTTCTGGCTTTTGGGCTATGAATTTCCTGCGACCTTGATGGTCTTCACCACCGCGGTCTTGTATATCGTAACTACGGAGAAGAAGGGTGAGACCCGCAAGCACAGTTATTGGATCTGACTTAACTAACTCTGAACAGCCAGACATCTGCAGAACCTGAAAAATGGCAAAATCCCCCTCGAGATCCTCACGGTCAACACCAAAGAGCCAGAGACCCGCACGAAAGGCTTCGAGAAGTGCATTGATGTCATCAAGAGCGCAGGGAAGAAAGTCGGTGTCATCCAAAAGGCCGAGGCTCATGGCCCTTTCGTCGATGAATGGATGAAAATGTATGGTGACATCTCGAAAGAGGTCGAAGAGATCGATGTTTCTGGTGCACTTGCGATGGCGTTCGCTGTCAAGGACGAGAACGAATTACGGGCGATGCGCACCGCAGCACAGGCAGCGAGCGCCATGATTTCCAAATACTGGGTCGATGAAATGTCAGAGGTGCTTGATCAAGAGAAGAGAATAAGCCATCGGGCTCTCGTCGATAAGATGACGAGGAAGATCGACGACAACAAATTTTTCAAAGGCATCTCGAAAATCCCTAGCGACTTTGATAATCAGCAACTGGATTGGGCGTACGGGCCGATCGTACAGAGTGGTGGACAGTATGATCTGAAACTGACGGCGCAACCTACTGATGACAATCTACATTCTGGATGCATTGTCGCCGGTTTGGGTTTCAGATACAAGACGTACTGCTCTATCCTGGCGAGGACGTACTTGATTGATCCGAGCAAATCGCAGACTGCCAACTACAAGATTCTTCTTGCCGCGCACGACGCAGCAATCAAAGAGATCAAGGATGGCATCGCCATGAAAGATGTTTACAACAAGGCACTGGGCGCTATCAAAGCGCGGAAACCAGACCTCGAAAAGCATTTCGGTAAAGATGTCGGAGCTGCTATCGGAATCGAAGTGCGTGACCCCAAATTCGTCCTTAACGGCAAGAATTCCAAGCTTCTGAAGGATGGAATGACCGTCAGCCTCACCACAAGTCTCTCTGATCTTACCAACGACAAACCTCAAGACAAGAGAAGCGTCAGCTATACACTAGTCCTGACCGATACCGTCAGAGTGACTCGCGGTGAGCCTGTGGTGTTCACCAAGGAGGCATCTACAGATCTCGACTCCATTGAATTCTACTTCAAGGACGATGAGGAGGAAACGAAACCCAAGCAGGAAAAAAGCAAGAAGCCCGGTGCTAGTGCTATCGCAGCTTCAAATATCAAGTCAACTCGACTTCGAGGTGCAAACCGAGGGGAGAATGCCAAAGAAGAAGAGGAGGCCCGCCGACGAGAGCATCAAAGAGAACTTGCTCAGAAGAAACAGCGCGAGGGACTTGAAAAGTATGCCGAAGCTACAGGCGACATGAATGGCGAAAACGAGAAGAAATTCAAAAAGTTCGAGTCCTATAAGCGAGACGGCCAACTACCTCCACGAGTCAAGGATATGATCGTGTGGGTCGATCACAAAGCCTCTACTGTCATCCTCCCCGTTATGGGTCGACCCGTGCCATTCCACATCAACACAATCAAAAACGTCAGCAAGTCTGATGAGGGCGAGTACACGCACCTGAGATTCAACTTTCTATCTCCAGGCCAGGGTGTCGGACGAAAGGATGATCAGCCTTTTGAGGACCCTCAAGCACATTTCATACGATCACTGACGGTCAGATCCAAGGACCAAGACCGACTGTCGGAGGTCTCAGCACAGATCACCGAACTGCGCAAGGCCGCTGTCCGTCGCGAGCAAGAGAAGAAGGAAATGGAAGACGTTGTTGAACAAGACAAACTAATTGAGATCCGCAATCGTCGACCTATTAAGCTTACAGATGTCTATCTCCGTCCTGCACAAGATGGCAAGCGTGTCCCTGGGGAGGTTGAGATTCATCAAAACGGTCTTCGATATCTGTCGCCATTGCGTAACGATCATGTCGACGTTGTCTTCTCGAACGTCAAGCACTTGTTCTTCCAGCCTTGTGTTGGCGAATTGATCGTCCTTATCCATGTTCACCTCAAGAACCCCATCATAATTGGAAAGCGCAAGACCAGAGATGTGCAATTCTACCGAGAGGCTACCGACATGGCCTTTGATGAAACCGGAAATCGCAAGCGCAAGCACCGATATGGTGACGAGGAAGAGTTCGAACAAGAACAAGAGGAACGAAGACGGCGAGCAGAACTTGATCGACTCTTCAAAGGCTTTGCCGAGAAGATCTCGGACGCGGCAAGAGAGTACAACATTGCGGTCGACATTCCGTTCAGAGAACTCAGCTTCAATGGTGTGCCCTTCCGTAGCAATGTGCTTATGGCGCCTACTACGGATGCACTGGTTCAATTGACTGAACCACCCTTCACAGTGATCACTCTCGACGAGATCGAAATTGCTCATCTGGAGAGAATTCAGGTACGTCACGTCAGTGTTTGTGAGCGATGCCCAGATACTAACCCTTTTCGTAGTTCGGTCTCAAGAATTTCGATATGGTCTTTGTCTACAAGGACTATCATCGAGCGCCAACACATGTAAACACTATTCCGGTTGAGTCCCTAGATCGGGTCAGAGAGTGGCTGGACAGTGTCGATATAGCCTTTACCGAAGGGCCACTGAACTTGAATTGGGGCACCATCATGAAGACTGTCACCACTGATCCTCATCAGTTCTTCAAAGATGGTGGTTGGAGCTTTTTGAATACAGACACCGATTCAGAAGACAATGAAGAGTCTGAAGAGGAGAGCGCATTCGAGATGAGTGATTCAGATCTTGCTGCCAGCGAATCTGAAAGCGATGAGGATAGCGAGTTTGACGAGGATGCCAGTGACGATGAGGGCGACGCTGAGAGTGATTTGAGTGACGAGGGTGAAGATTGGGATGAAATGGAGAGCAAGGCCAAGAAGGAAGATCGGAGAGGTGGTGTGGAGGAAGAAGACAAGGGCAGAAAGCGGAAGAGATAAGCAGCCTGCAATGGAGTGCGCCATTTTCAAGCTGCTTGCTGTTGATTGAGTTTGCAAGAGGCTCTGCAAGACGGAGCGGAAAAGTGCTGTAAGGGACGACTCTTGATGCAGGGCGAAAGGTTCCTTAGCTCTTGATACCTGCTATATGCGTTTTTTGTATTGGTACATCACGTTGATCAACCTACCAGTGATCACTGTTCCTGTGCTATTGGAATAGTGCCTCGCACGCCCACGCACGCTGTACCAGGCCTTGCAGGCAATGCCCACTAGCCGTTCGGAAGCCTCAGCCTCGTAACGTGATGCTAGACCCACAAGGCTGCAGTTCTCCAATTCCCGCGGCTCAAGTGACTTTATGAACTTATTAGTGGAACTCCAATTGCTCAGCATGCGCCGCCTTCAATTTTGTATTTCTCATCAACCTCACCACGTCTCTAGCTTGCTTTGCGTCTCGATCTAGCTTCCCCATTCAATCTCAGTCTCGGTCGCACCGGTACACCCTCTTCCCAGGTGCGCATCTCTGCCGAAGTGATCCGATTTACTTCGCCGCGTCAAAGCAAGGATGGGCTGGTTCAGTTCGTCGCCAACCCCGGCGCAACCTGCTTCTGGTACGTGTTTGGCCTGTCCTGCGTCTTATACCTCCCCGACTAGATGGAGCGCCGGATGACATGACGGCCTGTGCTGAAATTGAGTGTGGCATTCTGAGATGGGTGCTAATTGTCGTCGAAATAGTAACCCAACCTTCCACACCCAGTAATCTGGCGTCGAACTTGAAACCTGCGGAAGGGGAGAAAGTCAAGGTACGCACCCCTTACAGTACATATACACATCCACCTTACATGCCCATGGCCCCGGGGGGAAGAGTCTCCGTCCATGCTTGAGGTGTAGATTGGAAAGAGACGGGATAGATGTCGACAACGTAAAGGCGGGCGCGGACGCGGACGGGGACGGGACGGAGACGGAGCAGGCGGAACAAAAGACTCGCTGACACTTTCTCTCTCTATTCTTCTAGCCGTGCTGCGTCTGCAAGGACGAGAAATCCGCCCGCGACGAGTGTATGCTGTTTAGCAGGGCCGACGATCCGCAGGAAGATTGTAAAAGTCTGGTCGGGAAATACAAGGATTGCATGGCCGGGTATGGGTTTAAAATATAGAACACGCGAACCGCATATTCCGGTTACGCTGCACTGGACTGCCAGCCCCTGGACTGGACTGGTCTGATCTGGCGCGAGAGTGCGGATGGGCAACGAACAGGTTTCGGCCGTCGCGTCGCAGATGACAGGCACGAAGACCTTCATCGGTCCACCCGGGCAAGCGAAAAGGAGATGCGAAAGGTTGCCTAGAGATGGACACGCGGCGTCTGGACTGAAGAACGGCCGATTCCAGCACGGTTGTGATTAGGGAAAGCGCAGGTGCGGTCCAGCAGCAAGCGAGGTGAAGGGGTGCCATCGGGTGGCGACTGGCATGCAATGGGGGCCGCGGACCAGAGAAAACACTGAATACCATTGTTATCGCAGTTCTGGACAGATGATCGACGAGGTCGACTTTCGGAGACGCCCAGGCACGTGGTGTCATTTGCAGCCTTTGAGGGGAATACGCTGCTGTAGATACATACTGTATAACATCACCACTCTTGCATAGCAATCACTCATGGATACGGCTCAATTGCACAAACACAAACAGAAACAGGCTTTATCACCCCGTCTACACCCTCGCTTTACACAGCATGCTCACAGCGAGTGCAGCAAGGCCTGCATCCCGACTTCCATGTAATCGTCCCTCTTGAGCAAGTACGGCCTGAGATGTTCCTTGCCCAAATTACCAAGGACCTGGCCTCGGAGTCTCTCCTTCAGCGCATCGGGAAGAAGGACGAAGATACTCGCCAACTCGGTCAGCACTTCAAGGCTCGCTTTGAACGTGTCGTCGAGGTCCCACGACCGGAGGAGCTGGACATATCGACTCATATCGCGAGCCAGCATGACCCCACCGATCCGGTTGACTTGGTACTTGGTGAAGTGCTGCAGGAGCTGTGCGCGGAATCCCACGGCGACTTCGGTAAGGAAGACATCCAGATTGGCCCCGTCAAAGGACTGCGACGCTGTGTCGTGGAAGAGGTCGAGAAATTTGCAGACGCTGTCGCAGGTGGACGTTTGCGCCTGCTCGAGAGACACGACCTCTGTATCTGTGCGCGGCCGGAAGTCCGTTCGATTTTGGTTCGTGAGGAGTCTCGCCGACCAATTGAGGACTCCGTCAATGGTCTGCTGTTCGATGGTGTTGATCTGGTCTTCGACGCGGGAGACGGCGGTCCGTGTGCTCTTCTCCATTTCTCGGCGGGTCGTGAGACTGGTGCTGGCCAGAGGGATGAGAAGGGTGTTGATGCAGCTCTGCACTAGATGTGTGATATGCACTGCTGTACGCAGACTGCCAAGGTACGAGAGGTCAGGCTCCCTTTTGGTATTCTCTGCGGACGAAGCTGCGTCGGCGGCGGCTTCTAGAGCGACTTCGACATATGAATCGAGCAGGTTCTTAAGAATCAGGTTCAGCAGTGCCGCGACGTCTTTGGGGGTCTCTGCTCCACCACCAAGTTCGAGGCCTCGTCTGACGCCCTCGGCGAGCCATTTGAGCATTCTTTTCGCGGCTGCGACGTCAAGCCGTCCGTCTTCTTCGGCGAGTTCAACGTCGGGTTGAGCCTTGTCGGTGTCCTTAAGACCGGCAACAGAGAGGAGTATTCGTTTTTGAGTAGGAGACATTTTCTCCAGGTCGAGGCTTTTCACATAGGCGTCTGTAGCCTCCCGGGCGGATGCTAACAGCTCTTGACCGCGATTGCGAAGTGATGCGAGGTATGTTTTAGGTTCTTTTTGTCGTCGAGAGTGGAAGAGCTCGAACTTGAACAGGAGTGACTTGTAGAGTTCTTGTAAGTTATGTTTCTCCTTGTCAATGTACGCGGAGCCGCCAAAGTATGGGGTGAATAGTTCATCGAGCTGCTGATCGAGCAGTTGACTCGTCTGAGAGGTGACGGATTCCGGATGTTCTGTCAATCCGTGCGCTTTCAGGTCCTCGACCAGGACGCTGATATGACTTCTCGCAGCCTGTAGAGATCTCAGGTACGCCAAAGTCGATTCCGATTCGGCTTTCTCCAGAACAAGCTCCAGTCTTTGTTGGATGGATTGTTGGAAGACTCTTTGCACGAATTTGCCCAGCACTTGTTCCGGGTAGGGAAATGCTTTCTTGATGATCGCCGACTCGTCTTGGACGACAATCTTAACATCATCTATCAAAGATTGTAGTCCTGGCTCGACGCCTGGTAATTCAGCATCGGGGTCAGACAAGCGCATCCATGTTTCTTGATCACCGCCGACTTCTTCTGTCACCAGGTTGCTTCTGTCAATGAAAAACTGGTGCTGGTTGACAAACGCTGCTTGGACCGAAGCACCGCCATTGAAATCTTGTAGGACGATAGCACAATTCTTCATCTCCTCGTAGTTTTGCCGGCGGTAGAAGTCATCGAATAGCTTGAGCATGTCGTTCTCCAGCGTTTCAATGAATTTCTCGATGACCTCTCTTGTGTTGAAATTGCGGCTCCCTGTCACGCCGTTCGTGATGCCGCCTCCCTTAGAGACGCCATTGGCTTGCGCATGGCTCTTTGGATCGAGTCTCTGACTAATCCTCAGGAGTTGACGGGCTATGTTGGCCGACCTGATCTTTCCCTCTCCTGTGCCTGACCTCCTCAGGTTCTCGAGCAATGTAACTTCTCCTCGGTTGCTGACTTCGTCCCAGCACTCGATCAGAAAATGCGCATCGAGTGCTTTTGTTCTCTGCCTGTCCAGCTCTTCTAGTCGACGACCGGTCTCGACAGCGACATTACCGCCCCATTTCTCACCCCGGTCGGACCTCAAAGAGATGTCTATCTTCTGGAAGCTTTCAATGGTCTGATGGAGCTTTCTGCCCAGTGTTTCTGTATTGCTCGCATGTCGTGCTTCGGCTCTTCTCACCGCAGCTGACAATTCATTCTCACGTTGTTCTAGCTCGCCGGACAGTTCGTCAAGTCGTCGTGCGGCCTGTTCGAAGGTACGAATAAGAGGTTTTGGATCGAAGGCTGTGACGCCGGTACCGCCTTGCGACCGTCGACTGGAAGCTTGGGTATTTTCCGTAAGAGACTCGATGAAGTCTTTTGCTATGAAATCGCGGTTTGAGAAGTCTTCGAGGTCAAATACGGGGCCTTTGGGAAATATGGAGCGGGTGGTCTGGTCTGTAGGCTGGGCTTGACCATGATGATGCTGAAGGTCCATGGTGTCGTTACCCGTGGATCATCTTGTATTATTGTCCCCAATGCACGGTACGATTGCCATTCCGGTGACAGTATTTAATTACAGACTTCTTCGTTGTGCATAGCTGAAGAGTTGGTTGTCAGCGTTGAAACGCGCGTTTCAAATGATCATGAACTGCAGGGCACAAAGCATTTCATGTCATTTCTCCGCAGTCGCCGAGAGAGGCAACTAGGTTAGTTCCTACGGTTCTCCCATCCAGATCCCGTCCAGATCGCGTTCTCTCTCATCGACAACAACGTAGGTACGGATCTGATTTTACTGTAGGGTAGGAAGTCTGATGTGCCTACGGTCTATCCCGTGTACTCCATTACGATCTTGTAATGGAACACATGCTGGTGGCCTGCCGTGAATCATGCTGCAACCACGCTCAGTATTACCAGCGGCGTTCTGTCTTGAATCTGCGACTAAAGCTACAACATTTCACCGGGTTGAAATTCACCCTGCACTTCATATGCCGACATTTCCAGATCGCACCCGTCACGCTGTGAGTGAAGCAGTATTTCTTCGGTCATCAGGTAAGGGAGAGAATCGTGGACACTACTCCCGCTGCTCCGTACCCGGGGAGAAATTATTATGTCCGAACAGGAATGACTAATCCAGTGTTCCCTTGAAGAGCAATGAGCACATGCTCTGGTGGGCAAATGAGATGACATAAAGCAATACGAGAATTGGCTCGAGTGTGTCGGAAGAAGAGCACATGCAGATATGATATGGAGCCAGCTCGAGTGGAAGATCCAAGTACATATACTGTGTACACAGTACTTGTGCTACAGCATCGAGATATGCATTGAGTAACCGGAATGTCATAAGTCGCTGTCTTGCTGTAAGGGACTTTCTTGGGGGTCTTCACCAGAGTGACTGGGTCTGTTCTTTGCGCTCGACGCTGTGCCTTGTGTCTCCATCCATCTGGGAGCCATCCACTCTCTAGGGTCTCTAGGGTCTCTTCCCCAAGACTCAAGACTCTTCTGTTACCGAAGTCGCAATGACCCAATGGGACGAATCCACCAATCGGAATGGCTGATTTGATCAAAATGAAGCATGTGATCACTTCCGTTCTGCTTTCTGCTTTCTGCTGCTCTTCCTCTTCGCTCGATTCTCCTCCTGCGAAGCCCTCATCGTCACGCTCAAATCTGCGCCTTTTCTCACCAACTTCAGCCAGCTCAGACGACATCTTTGTGCCGTTTTGTCCACTCCATCATATACCAGCGCGTTTGTCGGTCTCTTTTGTCTTCTACTTCAATTATTATGCGACATGTAGACTCTACCTCGGTCTCTAGAACAATTCGCTCCCTCAGCGGTCATTGACTGCGCTCAGTCACTCCTTCACCGACTTCGAGAAGAGCTCGTCTTCGATCCTCTGTCCTGAAAGAATTCACTCTCGGCATGGACTCACAGTCCCCAAACGCTCCTTACGCTGTTCCTCCTCCTTTCTCTCCTCCTCTGACCGCTAAGCGCTCCTCTACCGACACCCACAAACCCGCTTCAATCGACATGGACTTAATGAGGTCGGAAGAGCGCTCAACAAGGGCTGCCAGTGTGCTGTCTGGTATGTCCGCCGAAGATATGGAGGCTGCTGAAACACTCAATAGCCTACACCAAAGTACGTTCACCCCACTGATAGCCCATTGTAGCCGCCAACGTGACTGATATGTGACATCAGAATATCATTCTCCCCGACCGTCTCAGCCTGCTCCTACTCTTGTCCAGACCCAAACAACCTTCGGCGCCGATCAGTCCGAACCTCTCCTCCGCCTGTTCACCAGTCAATACCCGCTGGCCGGAAGTCTGATCAATGGTTCACTCTCGGCTTACAAGACCACGCAATCATACATTCCGGGCGCAGAATGGACGGAGAGAAATGTGGGGCTGCCAATTGCTGGCACGGTAGCCAGAATCTCAGGAGTCGAGGGAGGACTGCGATGGGCACTACAACCGAAGCGCGACAGCCGATCTTCGACGGGCGCACCGCAAACTCCAGATGTCGAGAAAGGCTATGCAGATATCGCCCCCGTTGGCACGCGACGGTCCGGCTCGGAAATGGCATACACCGAGACTCTTCCTGCCTACAACCCTGGCGACCGCTCCCCCCCATATAGCGAGACTCAAGTCGTGCTACAGTCTCGCGAACGCCAGGCACCTCCAAATTGGCGACAGCAACTTGTCATATCTACCAGCGGCCTTGGCATTGCTATGAGCGATGAATCCATCCGGAGCCTGCGGTACTGTCTCAGCTGGCTACGTTGGGCTAATGGTAGACTCGGCGAGGCCATACAGAACATCAAGGACCTACTGGAGCGATGGGACGAAGGGGTCACGCCTGGTGAGCAAGCCTCACCCATGTCAGTCGCCAGCATGACCCAGTCGCAACAAGAACAGCGGCAAGCTGCCTTGTCGGCGCGTATTGGTGCCTTGAAGGTCGATGTCCTCCAAACACTTAAGCACGTGGTGGGAATCGTGTCCAACTACGCTGGTGGCGCCCTGCCTCAGAATGCGCGGGATCTCGTCCACCGACATCTGATCAGTTTACCCCAGCGATTCACCATGGCCAATATGTCGAGCAATGATGAACCATCCAGCGCGGACGGAAACACATCCGAAGCAGCCAAGAGCGGGAAGCGAGTCATGGTTCTTGCGCAAGAGGGCCTCGATATGATGACGCAGGTCAGTCGCGTTGTAAATGACACGCTCGTTAGTGCGGAGGGGTGGTGCGAACGGCTTGGAAGGAGACCGGACAGCCAGGGTCAACAACAGCAATTGGGGCAGCCTGCTGGTGGTGATGAGAAGATGGACCACGACCATGACCACGACAGGGGACGCGAAAGGAGTGAAACAATTGCGCCGAGCGAGGGTGGCGCAGATAGAGCGCAGGAGAAAGACGATGTGCATATGCAGATGTGACTGTAACAACACCAATAATGGGGAGGCCGATGACGAACTGGTAGATATTACTTCGATCTAGATATGCGCGTCGCGCGGCTGGGCTGAACTGGGAGGGGAGCGGGCTTAACGACATCACGTTGGGACAGGAGACCACCACAGGGACGGATTTCTTTCGTCTATGGCTGTCTGGCTGCTTGACGGTGGAGATGCGTTGAAGGTCTCAAAAAGCTGTCGTTTTCGAAAAGAGGCCACTATGATTTATGCGCTTGAGCGTTCTTTTCTTTTCGCAGAATAGGATGCAAGATGGAGGAGATCCGGGCTGTAAAGAATGAAAAACAAGAACGACTTCTTGAAAGCTGAACTTGGTCGCCTTTCAAAACAAATATATTTTTCTAGCCTTTGCCAGCCTGGCAATGTGAAGCCACCCAGAAACTAGAATGAAGGTGTACTGCCCTTCCTACTCATCCCAGCACATTTACATCCTTACAGTACGGAGGCAGATCCCTGTCATCAGGTGTCTGCTCAAAAAAAAAATTGAATTTACAATACAGTGCAGTGCAGTGCAGTACAGTACCAATTGGTCCTCCACCACCACCACCACCATCGTCATCACAGATACGAGTCGTACAAGTCCTCCAACAACTCTCTCGGATAACTATCAGGCCACCACACCAGATCCACGATCCGTCCATGCTCGGGCACCAGACGTACGATTTCATCGTGCGGGCCTTCCCACAGCAGTATCCTCCTCACACGACGTCGTCCTTCTGCTTCCGTGCATGGCACAGGAGGAGATACAGGTCTTGGTGGTGCCTCCTGTGCTTCAGCTCCCTCTTCTGATGCAGTTTCCGAAGCATACCCCGATTCTGAACCGGACTCAGAGTCATTGGCGCCGGAGTCCGTCTCCCACTCCTCATCTTCATCTTCATCGTCATCTCCATTGCCCAGGGTGGATGATGATCGGACATCATCCGAATCCGAATCCGAATCCGATGACGACGCCGAACCCCATACCGACGACACCGACGAGGACCATCGCAAAGGTGATGCCCTTCCTACCGCCGTCGTTGCTGTCGACATGCCCTCCTCACTGTCATCCACCTCCCTGTTCTCGGTGTACGCCCTCCTGACGCCCCCACAGCAGCGGCCCCGCCAATGCCGGACTTCCCGCCACTGCGCGAGTCGCTCGTTCGCTTGAATCATGCGCGCGCGGTTACGGGCAGCTGCTTCGGCAGAGATGGTGTACCACGGCGCCTCATTGCGGGGAAGGGGGACGCCGTCGATATCAATATTAGCACGTCTGAGCCTGATTGCACCCGCACGCATGAGAGGACGTACGGGGCGAACACCGTCGCCGGCTCGAAGCATGGTCTGGCGGACGTTTCTCGCAATGGCGTCCGAGGCGTGGAAGTCCAGATGCTCGTCGTTGCCCTGGTGAGCGTAGGAGAAGGTCGACGACCAAGAGGAAGCGGAAGCGAAGGACGACAGGGAGGGACTACGGGATGGTGGCAGGGGGACGTTGGGGATATCGTTGGCCTGCACGCGCGTTAGGGGTGCGAGGTCTGGGTAGGCGGAGGAGGAGAAGGTGCGGGTTCTGGTCAGGGAGGCCATCTTGTCGAATTGTCGGTGGGTGGTTAATGGATACCTAGGTAAATAGGGAGGGTGTCGTAGGTAAAAGAAGGGAGCAAGTCCTGGTGTTGGAACTTAGTGGAGTGCCGTGAGCAAGTAGCTTGAACAAATTTGTGAAGGTCGTGAGTAGCAAGGTAGGGGCAAGTCTTGATGTGGTGGGCGAGGAGCGAGAACGAGGATGGGATATATACTCGGAGCAGGTCCTCATGGTCCTCGAGGTCCTCACAACGGTGGCGGTCCCAAAATTTGGGTTTTCGTTTAGCGCTTTGAGTCATCAGAATCAGACGAGTAGACGGTGGCTTCAGATATCGTGTGAGGACCTCGATGTCGTCTGTACCTTGGTACGCTCCAGCAAGGACTTGTTAAGTGACTGGTTGACTCTGAAAAAGCAGTATGGTTGGGCGTCGTGACGAACCTTTGTTCATCCGACGAAGCGCAACAGAGTGCCTCGAGATTGACTTGATTTTTTCCTCTCATTCTTCATCTCTGGGGGAAGCCAGGCCATTCGGTAGAGCACAGGCATCATTCAGACTGGACCGTACTCGTTGCACACAGAAGACGGCTTCGCAACCGGCTTCCGTGGATAGCTAAAAGGAAGGGCTAAAGGGGACAACGCGACACAGTTCTGCTTTCCAGTCCTTTGTGGCATAGTATTGGCGGTATTCTCTTTGATACCTTGTTACCAGATTCATGGACAGGATTTCCCTTCGGTGGATGAACCATGGCATATGTGCGCTCAACGCAACGGGAACGTGCGAGCCTTCCCCTGCATATGTAAGGCTAGGTAGTCACGGTGCCTGGCAGGGAAGTACAGTGTATCCTAGGAGATGACTCAAGTCACCCACTGCAGCCACGTGTCACTGTTGTCCAAGGTTTCTCGAGCTCCCAGGGGTGGAGGAAGGGGGAGTGCTGTGTACAACATTGTTTCTGTCAATTCTGGTGGTATTGATGAAGTTCTCTTCAGGCTCTTGACCGAGATGGGCAAGAAAGCCTTCAAAGCCAGCATAAGCGAATGATCTGCCGGAGCCGGATCTTCTGGACTTCGAAAAACTCCTTCGAGGGTCCGAGATCTGAGACAAAGATTGGGGGTTCCGTGATGGAAGCTTCCCCCTGGCAGTGCCCTGGCTTGCTGGGAACTCGGAGCCACCCAAAGTTTGCAAACCGAGCGTCATGTGATCTTGAGACGAGTAGTATGATTGGTCGCTCGACGCGCGAAGGCACGTCCTTTCTCTTCGTGCTGCGGGCGCAAGCAGGAACCATTCAGTTCTTACTAGTACGGATCGGCCGCAAACTGCCCCTCGTTGGACATGCTTCAAAAGTTTACGGGAATGTGCTCCAAAAGAACATATGAGGTTGGCCGTCGCCATCTGGCCGTCTGACAATTTTAACTCACTGAGAGCAGAGCGCGCTGAAACTCCTCGAGACCAGGAGGAGAGCTGCAAGGCCCAGACATGTCGCCAACGCCATTCCCAACCTGCACTCTGCCGATAAGACGCCCACTGAAGCTCGCTCGTCTTTACGAGGGACACCAAGCATAACAGGCATGGGAGACTGGCTTAAAAAGATTGGCTATACGGCATGTCGTTAAGGCTCCTGTTCGGCGCGATAATATTGATATTAACAAGTATTCAAGGACGCCGACGTAGCAGCCTTGAACATTGTACACGTTGCTGGCACAAAAGGCAAAGGCAGCACTTGTGCTTTTGCTCGATCACTTCTACAGGAATGGAGCAAGAGAAATCGATTCCCCAACAAAATCGGTCTCTACACTTCACCTGATCTTACTTGCATTCGAGAGCGGATCCAAATTGACGGGCAACCTATCTCAGAGGAGTTGTTCACGAAGTACTTTTTCGAGATCTGGGACCAGTTGTTCTCACACCAGGATAGAATCTCTGCGGAGGACGAGAAACAGCCTCGGTATCTACAATTCCTGGCATTGCTAGCCATTCACACCTTCTGTCGAGAGGGAACCCAAGCAGCTATCTTCGAGACTCACCATGGTGGCGAATATGACGCTACGAATGTTGTTTCTGCACCGGTTGTGACCGGAATAACCACCATTGGCCTAGATCATCTGGCACAACTAGGTCCCGATATTGAGGATGTCGCTTGGCACAAGGCAGGTATCTTCAAGAAGGGATCTCCTGCTTTCTCTGCTCCACAAATGCCCGCGGTCGAAGCTGTGTTGCGATCTCGGGCAATTGAAAAAGGCGTTCAGTTTGAGGTCGTCCCGGTCGATCCTTCTCTACCTCGCAATGCGAATGCCTTGCGTCCGCAGGTGCAGCGAACCAACTGTTCTTTGGCTATTGCGCTCGTCAATGCTTTTCTCTCCAAAAAGAGCCCCGTTGACGAAAAAAAGCTTAGCAAGCAAGATATCGAAAAAGGTATTGAGAACTTCTCATGGCCCGGGAGATTCGAGGTTATCAAAACCCCCAGATGTACATGGTTTCTCGATGGAGCTCACAACGAATTGAGCATAGGGCAGGCGGTTGAGTGGTTCGCCGAGATGAAAACGAGTTCTTCTGTCCGTGATGCTTGCCAACAAGGCTCTCCGTGTATGGTGATTTTCTCCCATGTGTCGGAAGAGCGAGACGGACCGTCATTGTTGAGAGCCTTAGCGAGGGCGCTTGAGCGAAACGGCATACGATCTCCTGAGATGGTGTTTACGACGTACCAGGAACGGCGTGACGGAAAAATTCGACGTGGTAAGCAAATTTTAGCTCCTCGCTATTTCGCACTGACAGGGATTAGACAAGACCCTGAAGGCTCCGGACAACTCACTGACAGAGCTTCCCAAGCAGTACTGCGGCCTATGGGAGTCGATTCAACCAGGTGCAAGCACCAGGTTTTTACCTTCAATTGAAGAAGCACTGGAATTTGCAGACAGAGCCGGCTCTCAGCGGCGCGGTTTGCAAGTCTTGGTGACTGGTAGCTTGCACCTGGTCGGTGGCGCACTTTACTTGCTGCAACGGAGGAAGGCAGAAGGGAATTGATCGGTACTGCCACAAATGTCCAAATCGCCGAAAAGGTCGGACATTCTCCGTCCCGATACTTCTACGATCTAATCAATGCGAGGCCATCACCATGGGCTGTCTACCTGAAGAAGGTCGTGTCAACAAGCAGTATACATCCTAGTGTTTCTAGGTTGGAAGCCTTCTCCGCGCGTTTATGCTGACTAGTCTTGAGGCCCTCCTCACAGAGGAAGCGGCGTTGCGAAGCTTGGGCAGTTTTATTGTCACCATTTGCCGCTGCATGTACTCCAGTGAATCCCGCGAGACATCTCCTTGCTAGTTTGCACGCAGCTTCTGAGATTCTGTTTGAGCTCACAGAAGACCTTTCTCAAGAGATGCAACTCTTTGAAAGATGTCTCTTTGTTTGGGACGGACCTGACATATATCCGTCCCTTCTGGAAAACATTTGTATGTCTTCAGATTTTGGACCGCCATTCATCACTAATAGCAGCGCCAGATCGTTGAGGAGGCCTCGGGAACCTTAGCTGGTCCACGCCAATCAATCGCATGACGCGATGAGACACTGGAGACTATCACGGTCGTTAAGACCCGGCTCGAGAAACGGGAACTGCTACTCCTTGGTGTGAAACTCAGTACCAAGCGAGCAAAGTAGTATCCAGCGCCGACAGGACGCTCTGCTGTGGGTGCCCGTTTCCGGACGGGGCCTTGTGGCTTTACCCAGGCTCAAGAATCTCACGGGGTATGGTGCTCGGTCAGAGCCTCGCCAGAATTCCTTTCTTACTTTCGAGCACTCCGACCCACAGCATTCGAATTGATATAAGCAGGAGGTTCGATCCAATAGACTTTATTGTGACGATCTGGTTCCTTGGACCCAGCCTAGTCTTTTTCTAGTGAGACCGTTGCAGTGTTCAGCGGAAATTGCCTTGAGGCTTACAGACATCCCTTTTTTCTCGTCGTTCTCTCAATTCGGGATAACACAAACATCTTGATCTCAATACTAGTACTCTGCCTAGGTCTCCAGAGCCATCCTGTTCACGATCCACGACTGCAGAGTGGGCGAGAGTGCGGCCACCCTGCTCGTCCATGGTACTGTCAAACTGTTCAAAGAGCAACAATTCTTTTGGTTCCTGGTGATTGAGATAGCACCATCGGTGCTCGTGATTATACACATATCTTCCCAGTTCGGTTCGGCCGCCAGTTGGGAGGTCCATTCGTAAACGGACCTGATCTCTCGCTGGGATGGTACTGGTCCCATGCACACCGCAAGAGGATCCCTGCGGACTTCTTTCAGTAGCCGCCAGCTGCTGACAATGAGAACCTTGCCAACGCGAGAGACGCTCGACCTCTGCGGCATGTTTGATCGTCGATTGCAGCCAATTGAACGGCCCTTCTCGTGTGAAGTCGGAATGGACCGCATATGCCGGTGCGCGATTGTTTGCATGGTGGTTCACGTCGCTTGATAGGCAACGGATCCGGTGGATGAAGGTCATGACTTTGTCGACACCTAGACTGGTTTTTCTTAATAAAATTCACCGAGTCAGAATGTGCCAGGCGAATTGCCCATTGTTCCAATCGAAACTATTGCCGTACTTGCAGATCGCCGACAAACTCCTCTGTTTTGGGCCTGAAATGAGAGCGCTGTACTTTCAATGGATGTGGCCTGCGGATTCTCGTATCTCGAGTTATAGCCGAGCGAGGCCAGACTTCTGGCGCATCTGACCTCTTATGCACCGATTTCTCTCACCAGATTGTTCGTCGACGCCCGAAAGAGCCAGCACGGGGTGCTTGAATGAACGAAGCATTGGTTGTTACTCCAGTAGCCAGCTTGAAGGCGATCATATGCTCATGACCATAACATCCAGCAATATGGTTGTGAAAGACTCGCTTGGCTCAGAATTCAGTTGACAGTCAAGTACGCCCACTCTTCCTCTCGTCTGGCCACAAGTCTTGCTTTCACGGGTCGGTCCAACCAACTCTGCATGCACAAGTTCAGACAATACGAGAGAGCACAAAGATCGCCTGTGACTGGACTAGCCGAGCAACACACCGCCATACGTCGGATAAAGGGTCGTCGCTCAGCCTGTTCACCTGTCCGGATATGGTGGTCTTCCATAATCTGCCAGGTACCCATTTCCTGATATGAATTTGAAGGAGTGTTTTGTTGATGCTCGACCTGTGGGTAGCTGACGATTTCCGGCGGTCATCCGCTATTGCGCGCCGGATTTATTTGTTGCCTTCGGATGCAATTACAATAGCAGATTTGCTGGCTTGAGTTGCTTGAGACTGTCTCGAAGATGGTGCCTTCCGGCGTTGTGGTTATTATGCTTGCTCCTTGAGCAGGAGCGATCTGCCAACTCTCCAGGACCTTCGGTGGCAATGCTTTCAATAATCTTACTTCAGGCTTTTGCATTCTCAAATCGCTTTTGCATTCTCAAATCGTTTGCCTTCTGGTGAGGCGATCTTGGGTTTTTGGCTAGCCGTCCACTCCTTTTGTGAGGTCCTTCTCTGATTGCACTTATACCCCGGTTTTCACTCGCTGTACGATTGCCGTTGGACGAACTGCTGCCCCAGCCTTATTCGAGTATTGTCGGATGAATTTCCTAGCATTACGTTGTACGGACGTCTTCTGAAAACAATGGCTTTCAGACTTGATCCACGTGGTGACCTGCCACTTTCCAACATCCATCCAAGCTCTTACTACACCGACCGACGCGGAATTGCCTACAGCATGCCAGTCAAAAAGCCGAAGCAGAAGCAGTGTTATGACTGGATCTTCTCGACAGCCTCGAACGTCCATATTGCCATCGATCGTTCTGCCTTCAACACATATGTCTCCTTCAAGTCGTACATCCTCACGATTGCCGATCAAAGTCAGGTTACCGTCCGAGGCATTGGCACGGTCGAAATAAAGATACGTCGTGCCCCAGGAAATAAGGAAAGCCACACAATCCGCTTGGAAAATGTGCTCCATGTGCCAGACTGGATGTGCAATATCATGTCGGATATCTGCTTTCTCCCTGAGATGAACTACGAGCACACGTGGACCGAGTTTGGCGTCAACTTCTTCGTCCGAGAGAACGGCAAATTCAGACCTTGGGGTTACACCGAAAATTTCTGCGGTCTCGACCGATTGATTCTGTCCCGGCGTAAGCAAGGCCGAAGTCCCATGCTGGAGGATCCTGATCGAGAGGTGTTCTCTGTCAGTGTGACTTGGCCACAAAGTCAACAGGACAAATGGACCAACTATCTCGCTGAAGAGATGAGGTTCGAAGCTGGACGCATTGGGCATACCTCCAGAAAGCAAAAGGCAGACGAGGAAGCGAGAGTTGGTAAGAGAGAGGCCAAAAGCGTCATGGTCGAGCCGTCCAAATGGAAGCTAATGCCAGACCTGAACAAGAGCATCAAGCAGTCTATGAGTGGGATTGTTGAGAGCAGTGGTAGACCCAGTTTGCTACCCAGAGGGTCCAGTCTGATGTTTGAGACCCGAAAGGCGTGATAGATCGCAACAACTTTGCAGGAGATATTGGCGTATGGTGATGGGAAACGTCTGGCTGACCGACTGCTGTTTTGACACCGAAGTATTGGTTACGATATGGCGATGACTGGGCAAAGGCTGTTGGAGCCATGATCATTTGTCGTCGTCGATATTATGCCTAACAATGGGTATCTTGGTGCTTCAATGATAGATCAGGCAGTATGCTTTTAATGGATTAATCTGACTTCCTTCCCGGGCTCCCAGTCATGCAGGCCTTGTTGTAGGCTCCGCCAATAGTTCAGGCGAATGCATTCCTTTTTTGCTGCCTCGACGTCCTCATGTTCGAACGCTTGGCCCAGTAGTTTGACAGTCTCATCGATCCTAGCCTGATTCTCTATTTTCAGGGCATCAACCTGCTCTTGAGTCTCAGCGTCTTCAACGGCCTCTTGCGCCTCCATAACCTCCATCAACGTCTCTTGGTCGGTCAACCCACTGTGCGTGCTATTGTCCTCGGACGTGATATCAATGCCATAGTTGTGATGTAACAGGTATCTTGCGCGGAGAAGCGGGTCTGAAATCGTCTTGTACGCGGTGTTTAGCAATGAGGATAAGGCTAGCGATTTTTGATGCGCAGTTGGCTGCGACGTGTATTTATCTGGATGATGCTGTGACTGCAGCTGCAAAAACTCCCGTTTCAGCGGACCCAGGGGAACGCTGAACGTGCCAGAGGGAGGTGGGCCTTGTGGAAGGGTCTTGGGAAACAGGGTGTAGTAATTTTTTATGTCGGGCAGAGAGGCGGCGCGTTCGTTGGCGCTAGCGGTCGAGGAGGACGAGGGATGGGATTCCTGGCGCTTAGCAGGGGTCGTGCTGACGGTTCTGTGCTGCTGGAATCTCACGACTTGCTGTATAGATCGTGTCGACTGACTTCGGACACGCGGTTGTGCTCGTGTGGCGACGGGCTCGAGAGAGCAGAGATATCGGAGATGGCGGAGAGCTTGTCGCGTCGGTGCGGTGATGGACATTTTCTCAAGTAGTACTTTGAAGTGCTTCTCAGAGGTGACGGTATATGCAACGATTGATGCCAGATTCTTCGTGGGCGCTTTAGACAATTGTTGTGAGGATAGTTGGATTTTATGAGTGACTCTTCTAGTACGTTTCAGTATGTTGTTTTCTATTTTCACTAACTTCAGGGGCGACGTCATCATGAATACAGGCCGCCGGGATCGGAGCATCATATTTCATTTTCCCTTCGAGGCTTGACTTTTCTTCCTTAACCTCTGCTATCTGATACCTACCAGGTAACAACCAGGATTTTCCAGATGGCTCACCATCGAGGTTCAGAAGCCCCAAGACCATGACCATCCAATCCACAGCGCGTTTCACTCATCGACCAGCGCCCAAATCTCTACCTCATCGATCCACTCATATCGAGGGCGCTGCTGTGTATGGAACCACTTTCACTCATCACTTGAAGCTGCAGCATCGCAGACCCGTCCTGACCACCTGGCCCGCGCCCGTAGACAGACTCGACAAACATTCTCATCTGCATAGGTATAGTCGCATTGCCATAGTGCTCCATAATGTCGCTTTTCCCGGTGGCGGAGTTCAGATCACTCCAACCCGAAGCCCGTCCCAGTCTTTCACATGCGACTTGTTTTTCCCGAGACCACCATCGTGGTAGCAGACCGTCCTTCTTCTCAACTCTTCGCAGAAACCGCCGAAACCCGGCATACCCATTTGGAGCTCCTCCGTAAATGCTATCGTCGTCAACATCCCCGCTGAATTTGTAGTCATCTTCTAGCCGCAAGCGATAGGCATCAATGAGCAGCTTGTACACGTCTTGTTCTGGTCGGTTCTGGAGCCACTTCTTCTCGCTGAGGGCGGTAAACGGCTTTGAAAGGTCTGCAGACAGTGCCTTGGAAGGTGCTGGTGTGCTGCTGTTTGGCATAGTGTTTCTACCGGCACTCGTGGACGTAGCAGAGCCAGTAGCAGGTCTAGCTGCGGCGTTCCTGCTGCATGCTTGCTTGTGATTTTTCCAATCGCCCTTCTGGCACTCTCGGGAGCAGTACTGAGTTGTTTGACATTTTGCACAGCGTTTGAGATTGCCAGTTGTTCCGCATTTCGCGCATTGTGCAGAGCTGGTGCTCGTATTGGTGTCAATGTCAGCTTTGATGCTTGAGTCCGCCATGTCGATGTGATTCGTCGATGCACAGGAGTATGGGTACCACAAGTGCTGGGGAGTCTGTGTGTGGAGGACTTAAGCATTTCCGGGAAGCACCGAGGGGCCTTACGTGTCCTTAGCGGGGAGACTGCCAAGTTCTATGATAGTGACGTCGACTGGCCTCATTCAATGCAATTAAATACGTGTCCAGCTTCACTTGTTCTCTGGTTTCACCTCGGGGCATCATCAGTGATAGATCAAGTGGAATCCGAGATACTGCAATTACTTCTCACTCGATTTCTCGCCTTTGTTTCAATCTCATTCTACCTGCAAACCCAAAGTTGACGGAATCCAGCATGTCTTACGGAGACGATCGTCGCGAGTACGGAGGTGGAGGTCGAGGTGGAGGAAACTACTACGATCAAAGCCAACGCTTTGATGATGATGCACAAGGCCGTGGTGGTGGTGGTGGTGGCTACGGCAGGGAAGACGGAAGTCGTGGGGATGGGTACGAAGGACAGCGACGAGGTTATGGTGGGGGTGCCTACGATGATGGTCAAGGCAGAGGAGGTGATTATGGTGGTGATCAACCTCGTCATAATCGCCGTGGGGAAGGTGGCTATGGCCGCCAGGAGGGGTATGGTGATGAGCCACCCCGTCGTCATGGCCGTGAGGATGAGGGTGGATACGGTGGTGACTCTGGAGGCTATGGTGGCGGTGGTGGTAGTGGCGGTCGATTCAATCAAGGACATGGCGACTCTGGTGGTGGCTATGGAGGAGCTGGTTCTGCTGACATCGATCAAGACGAGGTCATGCGGCATAGTCAGGGACAGGGCAACTCGGATGAAGGCGGTCTATTCTCTCAAGCCATGAACTTCCTCAACAACAACAAGCACAGTGCTCAGTCGGAGGACCTCGATGAAGATAGACTTCAGCAAAGCCACCAACAACTCTATCAGCAGGGAGGCGGCGGCCAGCAGCATGATGCCACCAGTCTCGGTGCTGGAGCTGCTATGCAAGCACTGAAGATGTTTTCTGGCGGAGGCTCCGGAGGCTCCGGTTCACAATCCCAAATGATAGGCATGGCCATGCAGGAGGCTTCGAAGTTGTTCGACCAGCAGAACAGTCAAGGGAATGTCTCAGGTGGTACAGACAAGCAATCAGTCGTCAACCAGGCAGCCAAGAGTAAGTTTTGCCCAACACTTGCGGCATGATGTAGCCCCGTTGGGTATCTGTCCTCCAGATCGTCGTTGCTAACTTTATTCCAGTGGCGCTCCAGATGTACATGAAGAGCCAGGGTGGTGGTGGCGGTGGTGCCTCAGGCTTGATGAGTCTAGCCAGCAAATTTTTCTAAAAGCTTGACGCGACCGAGCAGTACCAAAACCTCCGGATGCGACCGAGTGGCCCACGCAAATCCGTCGAGAGAGGGCGACCGAAACCATCACGAAGAGCTCATCATGTGTAGCCTACGCAGCAGCGAGAGGGAAATGTAAGCAGCTGCTTGTGACCGCGAAGAGGAGCTTTTGTCCTGAACAGCAAAGAACACATCGGATTAGATACCTCCAAGTAGTATTTAAAGCTCGAGCTTGACATGCACAATCCCGGATGTTCGCGTGGAGATGGATCCTGAAAGGGCAACTATACCGATTCTCCAAAACTCCTGATCGTCATTTTCTAGAGAAGCACTGTCCCTGACGGTTGACTCGCTTCATTCTTCATTCCAGGTCACCGTTTATGACATAGTTGTCTGCAAGGTGTCTACAACTCTCTTCTTGAGTAATTTGCCTCCTTGTTTGCTTCTTGGTTTGTTGCTGAGGACCAAGTCTTTCCCACTTTCGACATTCACGGGGTTTTGTGCTATCAGTGCGAATTAACGCCAACCACGAGATGTGTTGAGGTCAGACTTCAGTAGCAACGACATCACCAATCTACTCCTTCGCGTCCCGACTCTTTCAAAATGAATCAGAATCCTGGTGATCACTGGCGTGGTCCAGGGGGCCCTGCGCCAAATGAGCCACAGCCGCAAGGCAGACCCTTTCCAAGCTATGGGTACGTATTCTCTGGTCACCTCAACAGTCTGGGCGCATCACTCTCTTCTTTGACGCACCTGCCGTTTTCACACTCGACTGACTTGAACATGTCTACCGGTCCTAGTGGTTCTGCTCAACCGCCTCCGCACGTGTTGCCTCCTCCTTCGTCATACCATCAGCATCACCCTCAGCCCTCAGGAAGTCACAGCCTTTCCATTGCGGACTTGACTCAAGGTCCCCCTAACCATCCACAACAACATCAGTATAACACCCAACCTCCTCCGCCGCAACCTCAAGGTCACCCAATAGGTCCTTTGGGACACCCGATGTCTCAGCACTCACCTCAATATCTTGGTCGTGAAAGGGAGCTGAGGGAAATGCGCGAACGGGAGATGAGAGAGCACGAAATGAGAGAAAGAGACATGAGAGAAAGAGAACTGCAAAGACAACGTGATGAGATGATGATGCGCGAGCGTGAACGCGATGCTCGAGAGCGAGAACAGATGGAGCGCATGCACCAGGAACAGCACCAGCAACAACGCCCCGTACAGAGCCATGCTGGGTCCATCCCCATTCACCAGCCCGTGGCTTCAAAGGTTCAAAACTCGATCCATGGTCCAAACGGCTTGCTGGCAAATGGTGGTGCTGGTGCAGTCCAGCACGGTGGCCCACCCGCTGCTGCAGGAGGCAGTCTCTTCGGCGGCCCTGCGCAACATGATTCACAAAGACCTTCACAATTTATGCATCAGCAGGTCAGTGCACCACCTCAACAGCAAGCGCAAACCTTCATGCCCGGTCCCTCTCCAATGCCGGCTTCTGCGCAGCTTGCGCATGGTCAACAACCCATCCTCAACGATGCCCTCAGCTACCTCGATCAAGTCAAAGTGCGCTTCAGTGATCAGCCTGATGTCTACAACCGCTTTTTGGACATCATGAAGGACTTCAAGAGCCAGGCCATTGATACCCCAGGAGTCATCGAGCGAGTATCTAACCTCTTCAATGGCCATCCCGCATTGATCCAAGGATTCAACACTTTTCTTCCCCCTGGATATCGTATTGAATGTGGTACAGAGGAAAATCCGGATGCCATCAGAGTAACCACCCCTAGTGGCACTATGACACAGTCCCTTCAGACCAGAGGTCGCACGCAATTCGAACCTGCAGGAATGGCCCCAGTTGCAGCTCCTCCGCCAGGCCGACAGGACACTTTCGAAAGTCGACATGGCTGGGGACAACCGTTGGGCGGATCGCCTGGCTCAAGATCGGTCGAGCTATCGGGATACAAATCTGCGCAAAACGAAAGACCGATCGACGAAGCAGTCAACGCCATGAGCCAACAAGATCAGCGCGGCGTCTCGACTCTTCAGAGTGCAGTCACTGCGGTGACTAACGGCTCTGCAAGACCGGCTTTGGCTGTCAGTCCGGGACCGGGGCAAAATGGCCCCTACAATCAACAGGCTGGTCCATTCGGTACTAATTCTTCTCTTGGCGATTTGAAGCAGCGAGGTGGCCCCGTTGAATTCAATCATGCAATTAGCTATGTGAATAAGATCAAGGTACAATTGCCATCACCGCCTATTAAGCCCCGCTAACCTTGTCTTTAGAACCGCTTTGCACAGCAGCCTGAAATCTACAAGCAGTTTCTCGAGATTCTGCAGACTTATCAACGAGAATCGAAGCCCATTCAGGACGTCTACGCACAAGTCACCCAGTTGTTCATCTCAGCGCCAGACCTGCTGGAGGATTTCAAACAATTCCTGCCCGAGTCTGCAGCCCACGGCAAAGCGCAGGCTGCAAGAGCCATGGCTCAAGAGGAACAGACCAGCAACGTTCGAGGCGATGTGGGCTATGCCGCCGGTGCGCTCCCTCAAGCCCAAACACCGAGACCTACTTCGAAGATGCCGCCCATGGGACAATTTGACCCTCCAAGTACCAGCAAAGACAACAAGAAGCGTCGTGGCGGCCCGGGCGCTACCCTTGTGAACCAGGTCGCCGCGCAATCAGCCGCCGATACAAGTCTGCAGCAAGGAGGACGAGCTGGCCTAGTTCAAGTCGGCAATGCTAGCAAGGTATGTTATGTCATTGTTTCGTGGTTTCCCCCAAATAGCGCCAACATCTTCACTGCAAATTGACCCTGGACCATGTCACTAATGCGTATGCAGCGTCCCAAACTCGCGACTCAACGTCAACCTCCTACTGATACTGTGGTCACTTCTCCAACCCTCGTGCCTCAGCTGCCAGAACCATTACCGCCTTTCCCTAGCGCATCCACCAGTCAAGAGGAGCTACAATTTTTCGATCGGGCGAAGAAACAAATTGGCAACCGTTCCAGCTATGCCGAATTCCTAAAACTCATCAATCTCTACAGTCAAGATCTGATCGACAAGTACACCCTCACCGACAGAGTCGGATCTTTCATTGGTGGCAATCCCGACCTCATGAGTTGGTTCAAGAATTTCCTGAGTGTGGAGGAGCAAGAGGAAGTGATCGAGGCGCGTGTCCGATCCGATCCTGGGCGAGTCAACCTTTCACATTGTCGTGCACTTGGACCCAGTTATCGTCATTTGCCAAAGCGTGACCAAAACAAGCCCTGCAAAGGTCGTGACGGCATGTGTTATGAGGTTCTGAACGATGTATGGGCATCTCACCCAACTTGGGCTTCTGAAGACTCCGGTTTTGTTGCGCACCGCAAGAACCAGTACGAGGAAGCTTTGCACCGCATCGAAGAGGAGCGTCATGACTATGATTTCCACATCGAGTCATGCCAGCGAACCATCCAGCTCATGGAGCCCATTGTCCAACAAATTGGCGTAATGAGTGAGGCAGACCGTGCGGCCTTCGTCTTGTCGGAAGGACTTGGTGGTGCCAGTGCAGCCATTCCCAAACGAATCATCATGAAGGTGTATGGCCGCGAAATTGGAGCCCGTGTTATGGAAGAAATGTTTGCACGTCCCACTGCAGTCCTCCCCATTGTTCTCAATAGGCTCAAGCAGAAACTCGAAGAATGGAAGCAAGTTCAACGAGAATGGGAGAAGGTTTGGCGTGACCAGATACACAAACAGTTCTGGAAGAGTCTCGATCACCAAGGCATCAACGCAAAGAACCTCGATAAGAAGAACTTCCAGCAGAAGACGTTGACCAGTGACATCCAGGCCAAGTACGAAGAAGCCAAGAAGAACCGCGAGAATGGCATTACCACCAAAAAACATCAACTGGAGTACGCCTTCAACGATCTCGACGTGGTTCTTGATGTCTCACGGCTGATACTTGTATCGTTGGAGGCCAACAATGGACAATACAATGGTGGAGAACAGGAGCGAATCCGTGGTTGGTTTACCGATTTCCTCATCCGCTTCTTCGGGTTGGATCCAGACAAATTCCAGGAACAGCTGGATACTGAGTCCCTCAGACACCGAGACCAAGACGACGTAATTGACGGCCATGAGAGCGACGCCCACGCTCCCGCCAAAGGCAAGTCACAGCGCAAGTCCGACTGGCTTAGGAGGCTGGCACTTGAGCGGAGACATGGCAAAGAAGATAGCGTTGCGTCAGGGAGCAAAGAATCAACGCCTATGCCAGGAGCCTCGAGTGAGATGGAACTTGACGACGACGCTGCGATTTCGGAAGTCGCAGAGGCACCTCAACATCCATGGATCAATGTCGCTAACAGTGATTTGTCCGCACGACACCTGGCCATGGACGAGCCATATCCGCACACCACCTTCAACCTTTACGCCAATGCGAACATCTACTGCTTCTTCCGACTCTTCGAGACCATGTACAGCAGACTGCTAGCCATCAAACTCTATGAGCCGAATGTGCAAGATGCCATTGCAAGACACAAAGGTGTAGGCGGAAGAGTGAAGCCAGCAATTGACCTTCGCATGATCGACCGAGGACCGGACTACTTCTTCCCCAGTATTCAAGACAATCAAAACTACTACAGCCAGATCCTGCAAATGTGCGAAGAGATTCTAGTGGGCCAGGGTGATCTCAATCATCTTGAAGAGACACTGCGACGTTATTACAACAAGAGCGGCTGGCAACTCTACACCATCGATCGACTGGTTGCAGCTATTTTGCGTTTCGTCATGAACATCCTCGGCGGCGATGCCAAGGACAAGAGCGTCGAGATTACCAATCTGTTCATGAAGGATCGGGAACGTCCCGACACGACCCGAAAGCAGGAAATCCAATATCGTAAACAGGTTGAGAGATTGTCCAAGGATGCTGAAGTCTACCGCATCAGCTACGTATGTGTTTTGACTCTTTCCTTACATGGATACCTTACTGACATATACGTTACAGACACCAGAAGATAGGCTTTGCACCATTCGCCTATTCCCTTCCGAGGAAGCTACTTTCGACAGCGACACGTTGTCGGACGATGCTCGTTGGCAGTACTATGTTGCATCCTACACCATGACGGATGCGACGGAGGGGGTCGATCAGTCACGAATGCGCCCCGCTTTCCTGCGTCGCAACATTGCTCCTCAGAATGCCAACATTGAAGCCGCATATCAAGAGGTCTACGGAGACCTTGACCATATTGATGAGCAAACGGCGTTCATCAGTCCGGAGTCGTACAAGCTTCTACTCCAAAACGACTTCGGTTACGTCCGACGCAGTTCTGTTGAGAAACCCAGCAGAACGTCGTATGAAGTTGGACGGATATCCGAGAGCGAGAAGTTTCGAGAGAAATTTGTGCGCAATACTACCTGGATGAAAGACCAGAGAGCAGAAGACGTGGAGCGTAGGAAGGCTGCTTGGGAGAAAGGTGTCAAGGAAGGCTTTCCCACCTACGAGGACTAATGGGATGGCGAGCAGTACGAGAGATGGGACTTTTACGCAATATGACGACTGAGGCGGGCTTCGTACATGGACAGATTGCCGATGAGACGGATCTGGATGTGCTGTGTATGGTTAATTAATTGGCCCGAGAGGCATGCTTGAGCTTCACAAGAACATGGTCCAGGCGGTCCTGGCAGTGCAATTCTATCCCCTGGGATTTATTAATGCCTTTTTGCTTCATGATCCCGGTACTTTGTAGTACAGTATGATTTTGGGAGCGGCGAACCATTTAGTGTGTTCTAGCAGCCTTGGTGCCCGTTGTGCAGTCGACGAAGTTGAAATGAGGTGCCGCCTGTCAACCGATTGGCGGCTTTGACGGGTGACATTTTATTGATATGGTCGCGAGGACGTTTTCTTCGACCGCGGATGACGTCGACAGCTTCCATTGGAGACAACGAACCATAGTCGGTGCTTTTTGTCTGCCATGGTGTGTTCGTGTATGTTCTGCAGGGCTGGATTCCAGAAGATATTCGGATTTGACAGGTCGCACGAGCCAGCCTCGGTCCAGCTGTGACCACTGTATTTATTTAGTGTTGAGGTCTCCTTTCATAGGAGCTCACGATTTGAAAAGTTCATGCCATACTCGGTACTTCTACACACCTCCATGCTAGCAGGTACCAAAAGTTGCCAGTTTCTGAGGCCACGATGTCAATTTCGGTATCTGGGGCTTGGTTGTCCTTACAGAGAGCGACCAATTGTCATGGTTACGGGGGGTCTGGAGAGGGGCAGGAAACCAAGAAGATTTCACCCATTGCAGCCCAGTAGTACGTGTGTTGCTCGGCAGGATGCATTTTTCACTGAGAAAGAGGGACCGACAAGACACAGGAGTCTAGGACTGCAGGATGAGTTAAAACGAAGATGGACACTGATGGAGTGTGGGAGTCACAGGGTGACAAGACAATCCACGGCAATCTTAATGGTGTCAAACCAAGCTTTCCTCTTGACCCGATGAGGTTGGTTTCCGCCGTATTAAATCTCCGCGTGTGGAACCCCGCCCCCTATTTTTCTTGGTCCTGCACCACTCACCTTCCTCCTTCACCCTCTTTGTTCAAGTTTGTTGTATTGCTCGCATGCGACCATCCGCCTACAACCCACCGTTGGCCACAATTTCCGTGCGTGGGGATCCTGCAGTCTGGCCTCATCTTGCATGATTCTTGGTCCTGCACTGCGAGAGCCGCCCTTCTCGTCAGTGGCTGTGGCCGAGAGTTTCAGGAACGCAATCTTTTTGGCCCCCCTGGCCAAGTAACCCTCGTCCATGGTGCTCCCAAATCCGAAATGCCGCTCATGTCATATCCCGCCAGTCAACATACGAGGTCTGTGTGCACTGTGCTGACCATGACAGTGAACCGACCGTTCTACTGGTACGAGGACCACCGTCCGGAAAATTAACAAATCCATGACCCAATGCGGTCGAGGACGAGGAGACCACTGGACGATCAAGACCAGCTGGCCATTGTCGCTTGTTGTGATCAGCACCCTTGTCGATATCACCCCTCGGCAAAGATGATGTTGTCTCGAAGGGAAGCTATCGACCACTGGCTATGGGTCGCCATTCCTTAAGCTCATCTCTCGATTTCGCAACCATACCAAAAGCTGCCAGGCTAACCAAGAAACGCCTTGAAGTGCCTGGATAAGTCGAACCGCTGCTTGAAGGTTAATTCCCCATCTCCTTTTAGCGCCAGCATTCTGGATCCATCCACCCATCGTATAGCGGATCCCCAGTCTACTGCGTTGCTCCCGTCGCTCCGTGCTGGCAGCTATATGCCCTCGATCACGTCGTTTGCACACATCCTCTCCCTCCTTCGTAAGGCTCGCCCATGGTCAATTGAGGTCCCTCAGAGCTTCGCCTGCCGACTTTCGCTTCACATTCTCCCACTACCGCGCCACTCTTTTCGCGGGCATTCGTTTTGACAAACCCACCATCGACGCTTCAGAAATACGTGGCGCACGCAACACAATAATACCTAAAAAGCATTGGAAAGAAAGGAACTCGTCAAAATGAGAGCTGTTACAATTGCCGCTGCTGGTGCAGCCGTTATCGGATCCGTTTCCGCTTCAAGCCATGTCAAGCACATGCATGCGAAACTTCACGCAAACGTCGCCCGCGACACCTGGGCCGACTGGAATACGACCTCTACTACTTCGACTACTACCTCCGAGAAGCCTGTAGACCCAAAGACCACCGCGGCCACTACAACCACTACCGTGGCTTGGGAGGATTGGGACACCACTACGAGCACCACCACCACTACCACTACCAGCAAACATGTTAAGCCTGCCACTACGTCGAGCAGTGCAGTAGATCCCTGGGCGGATTGGACTTCAACTACAACCACCACCACTACGACTCCTGCCGATCCCTGGGTTGATTGGACCACAACCTCGTCCAAACCTGTCGATCCCACCACTACCAGCAGCACTGAGGTATGGGGTGACTGGACGACTTCGTCACCTGTTGATGGTGCGTCCACCAGCACTGTAACCGAAACTTGGGGCGACTGGACGTCGTCTTCTCCGGTTGATCCTGCCACAACCAGCAGCACCGAAACTTGGGGCGACTGGTCAGCGACGGAGGAGACCACTACCACCATCACTTTGGCATCGACCAAGACTACTACCAAGTATGTCAAGGGTCTTACCTCGAGCTCCGGTGCCTGGGCTGCCTCCACCCCGGCTGCTGTGACCAGCGTCATCACGTCGACCATCACGCCTGGTTGGACCTCTGGTGATTGGTTCGGTCCGGCCTGGACCGTTGCCGCGGACAGCTGTGCTATCGAGATTGTCACCTCCTATGGAGCTGCAACTTGTAAGTTTTGCCATTCTTGGGACTAATGCTATCTTCAGTAAACTAATACATCCTAGGGGTCCCAACGCCTGCCGCTCCTGCGGCGACCTCGACCACTAGTGCAACGTGGGCTGACTGGGCTTCGTCAACTCCTGCTGCTGTAACCACGACTTCGAGCAGTAGCACCTCTAACGCGACATGGGCTGACTGGACCACCACCAGCGCCAGCGTCACCACCACTTCTGCTTCCCCGAGCGTTGCTACTACCACCACGAGCAGCGCAGCTGGTCAGTGGGGTTGGTCTGCGTCTGCGTCTGCGTCCACTTCCACCACCGCAACCGGCGCTGGTGGTTCGTGGGGATGGTCCGGCTCTGCGTCTTCCTCGGCTTCCGCCAGCAGCACAAGCTCTTCGGCCAAGCCATCTGGCGGTAGCCACGGCGGCTCCCCCGGCATCACCCCCAACGGTAACTCCTGGGCCATGACCTACTCTCCGTACACTTCTTCGGGCGGCTGCAAAGACGCTGGCACTGTCGCCACTGACCTTGCTGTCATCGCGAAGAAGGGATTCTCCTCGGTCCGTATCTACAGCACAGACTGCAGCGCCCTTGAAAATATCGGTACCGCTGCCCGCAACAACGGCCTCAAGATCATTCTCGGTGTTTGGATCTCGTCCACCGGCATTTCCGGTGCTCAAGGACAGATCAGTGATATTGTCTCCTGGGGCGGATTCGACCTTGTGGAGCTGATCGTCATCGGCAACGAAGCCGTCTTCAACGGTTACTGCTCAGCATCTGAACTCGCCACTTTCATCTCGAGCAGTGCAAGCACCTTCAAGGCTGCCGGTTACACTGGCCTGATCACCCTCACCGAGCCTCTGTCTGTCTGGGAAGACTCTAGCTCCGCCGCGGCGTTCCTCTCGGTGATTGATGTTTGTGGTGCTAACCTCTATGCATTCTTCAACTCCGACGTCACTGCGGACAAGGCCGGTTCGTTCATCCAGTCCGAAATTGACATCATGAACGGTATTTGCTCCGGCAAGTCCGTTTATGTTTTGGAGTCTGGATGGCCCCATGCTGGTAGCTGCAACGGTGCTGCTTGCCCCAGCCCCGAAAACCAGGCAATTGCGCTCAAGGGCATCCACTCCACCGTGGGCGCTCAAGTTGTCTTCTTGAGCTACGAAGATGAGCCATGGAAGGCCCCTGGCCAGTTTGATGTGGAGCAATTCTGGGGATGCGCCGACGTCTTTTGAGTTGATGGCACAGCACTCCGGGGAGCATTTTCATAAGGAGCATTATGCGATTGGGAAACATGATCGGTGACAGCAAGCAAGCGATACATGTTGATCTACAAAGCTAATGCCGTGCATGTACAGGGGTACGCATTTGGCATTCATGATGTTGATTTGACCCATCTTTTCTTGACAGTTCCTTTTCTTCGTGTACAATGTCTGAACAAGTCTACCTATATATACCACACTGAAAGCGAGCCAGAAGACAGTGGCAGTCTGCATATATTGCATTATTGCCCTTAAAGTACTACGTAGTAGGTCATTTCCTTGCGCAATGTACTCCGTATGTAGTAATCCTTCTCCCAGTCTCGTGGTTCGACTCACTGAGTGCCGCTTCAGCATAGTTGACTGGCAAGAGCCAATGAAAACTCTTTGAACATGGCAGGAAGGCTGTACCCGCTTCTTTCAAAACCTCCTTCATCTCTATTCCAACTCCCTTCTTCTTGAGTCACTCTTCCTCCTCACCGCTTGTTCAGCCTTCATTCCTTGGACTCGCTACCAAACTTCATCGATTGACCAGAAAAGTCTTCATTGACCCTGCTCTGGGCCTAGACACGGGCATTTACGCCTCAGTCTAGCATGGCGTGTACATCTCGATCTCGCTCCTCCAATATCTCTCAACCCAGACGTGTCAGGGCTACATGGAACAAGTGCATTTTCGTATTTACTATCAACAGGTATCCTCTAGCGATATGTCATCTCCATGATCACGCTCATGCATTTTCCTTGACTTACTGGTGCTGCCAGGCGGACTTTGACTCGCGGGCCCAGCTGATTCTCTGCCGGCTCGGCTCATCTTGGTCTGCAAACCACTGCAGACGCTTCTTCATCGGGTTTTCTCTTGCTAGAGACCTCGAAGGAGAGGACTGTGACGGATCATCTTCTCGCACATCCTTCAAACCTTCCTCTACCAGTCATATTTCGAACAGGAGTACCATGCAGCGTGCTTGGCATTATTCGACGAACTGTCCCTGCTTGCAGAAAAAGGCAACCAGGCAGCCACTAAACGGGCACCAATGCATCTCGCTCAAAGTGCAAAGCCACTTCATACAGGACGACCCTTGGTTTATAAATGCAGCATGCCTGTGCTTGACACTTGCTGTCTTCTCTTCATTCTCTAAACTGTCATGAAATGGTCGAGGTATTGCCTATCGCATCTCACCACACCTCACCACACCTCACCGTGACCAGGACAGATACCAGTCCTTATTGGCTCGCTAAATGACGGGATCACCAACTCCACAGCTCAGGCAAGAATACTAGGACCGATCACCGCCCATTCGACGACAAATGCCGCGTTCACACGCGTTATACCTTTTTGAAAAGGCCGACTCTTGCCGCAGAGCCGCATCTTCGGAAGAATACGTATTCCCGACTGACGGGTGCGGGCCTCTGTGCTGTCCAGTTCCTTTTCCCAACCAGGCCAGTCACCCGGCCCGCCCATGCTCCTTTCTACCGCACTGAAGACACGGAGGCGCCCTTTCCCTTTGCCGTCTCGGCTGGTCGAAACGGCTACCAATGCAGTGTTCAATGTAGCTTCGGAGGGCAGAGGAGCTGACCATTTCCCGTTATTGCAGATCGGGAACTGAGTGGCCATGGAAATATTTGGAGGAATCGCAGTCTGGACCGACTCCCCGTGCTGTTTCACTGGGACACCCCAACAACCAGGAAGATCTTGCCCATTGGAAGAATTGTGCGTTGACAAGGACGCGGACATAGATTGTGCAGCATGTGACGAATCCCTCAGCGTCAACGAGTGCGATCACAAGGGTTTGTATCTCGACCCACTCAGTGACCATCCGAGGATGCGTTCTCGGATGCTGTGCAGACTTCACTCCAGGAAGACCCTGGCTCATTAGCAGCAACTTCTTGGTTAGGTGCTGGATGCCGCCGACCTCTGGGAGAGCTTGATCGACGGTCAGAAATGCTGGTCGGAGGATGGCACTGGCTACAGTTGACCAAATGCTGTTCCACCATTCTGGCGCCACAATCCAGGCGCTAAACTTGCGTGGCGACTGCAATTTGTTACTTGTCCCGATGTCTCATGGGTGGTGGCCATCAAACATGCATATGCCAAGGGCTATCTGATTTGATGTAGCTTGCACTTGTGCATTCGCGCAGACGGAAGGTGGTCCAGCACTTTCGAAAGTCCCTTCTCTTTAGAGGCCTTAACATAAGCAGCCGTCGTTTGAGTATGTCTCTCTGCTGCTTGTGAACTCTCGGGTTACCATCGCATTACATTGCATCACGACTGTCTCGACTTTACCCGTCCTCACGATGACCCAAGCTCCTTTCAGTCAGCGATTCCTGCTCCGCATCTCTCCGCTTCAACATACCAACGGTCCACAACACGCAGCAAGATCCACAGACGGCTACTGGCTGCCCTCGGAGCGCAGACAAGACTTCACGAAGAGCACTTCGCACTGGTGGGTCTGGGATCCTGGCGCGACAGGAAGTCCACATTATGAGCATCTGCGCCACGCCACCGCGCAGGAGGTGCAGGATGCTCATCCTCATAAATCCTGCAGCATGTTTTGGGATCCGGAGCGTGGTGGCTACGTACTAGTCCCATTCGATTGCAGCGCAATGAGCGTCGCACAAGCAATGCATGACTGGCGACGACTTTCCTTCGGCCGTGTCCAAAGACCCGGCGCAGAGCATATTGCGATAGCCGGGTACTTCATGGAAGGCTACACTCTGCCCCTGGCCGGACCATCGTCATGGTTCGAGCAATTGCTGCCTCGAGTGTGCCAATCACCCAATATGGCACAAGGACGCCCATGCGCCCTTGCCGGAGATCTGGCTATCCTCATCGGTCTACTTGCATTTTCCGCAAAGCCCGAGCACGTTATGCACGCCATTGACCGTTCGTTCAGGCCGGATCGCATGTCCACGAATTTTCGACCACACCAGCTCCCTCCACCGGATAGTAAGTAGTTGCTGACCCACCTTCTAACTAGAGCCGACGTCAACCGTCCCATTTGCTAACTCACCCGCCTCTCTCTCAGGAACCCGAAAGCGCGGACTGGTGATCGAGATCCGTACGACGAGCCCCGATCATTTACGAGCCTGGGAAAACGGTGTATATGGAGGAATATTCACCTGAGAAACAAGATACGTTAGCTCGGGGCTGATTGGGAGTCGCTCGCGGGAAAGACGGTGGGAAGCAGTATAATCTTTAGCCAGAGCATGCTGCCTTCAGGAAAGATGTTATGTCCCTCGATCGACTCACAGACTCCTGCTGCCGAGTATGGAACTGGTGGTTGGACGTACAAACATCAATACACGTTCGACTCCTCACTCCCCGACGTTACGATATTACGATATTACGATGTTTTCATATACGTTCGCTCGGCTGCAACATGGCATGCATTACGACCAGCATTCGATGGTCTTTTCAGTTTGTGACCATGATGACGACGACACGACCCGACACGAAACTGATTCATGAGTATTCATCACTGTGATGTTTTATGCTGGCTGGCTACTGACTCTGATAATGGCGTGCATGATTTGGTTCGCGAGGCTCAGTACTCGAGAGAGCTTCTTAGTGCGTTTTGGGATTGATAGTGTCCATATCCGATTCTGCGAGATACGTTCTTGTCTAGAATTGACTGAACTTAGTCTAAGCTGAAGCCCGACAAGTCGCTGATCAAATGTATACGTTGAGCCTCCCTCTAAAGCAACGTATACCTGATACCTTGCAGTCATCTCTTCAAGGGTCATCCTTCTGGTCTGTCTCTGCCATTGGCACGGTCTGGCCATGCCCATACCAGCGATGCCGTCTGATGAGGCCTCAGAAGCCAGACCCTAGTCTTCGTTCACTGGCTCTTCAAATGCTTTGGTAAGATCAAGTTCAGTGACCTCTTCGACTATTGAATCCGCATCGCTCCCATGACCATCAGAGTACGTGGTCGGGGAACGAGCGTCGGCAGGCAATTGTGATGATGGTAAGTTAGAAGTGCTTTGCATAGTGCTTCTGATAGTCCGCGGGTCGCGTTCCAAAATCTCGACAATGTCATTGTGTCCATGGCGAACAGCCAGATCCATAGGGGTCTGTCCTTGCTTGTCCCTCGTGTTCACGTCAATGCCGTCGCAACTCAAGAGCAACTTCAATACATGTGTTCTACCTAACAATGCTGCATACGCGAGCGCTGTTAGCTCGTGCTTGTACTTCCAGTTCAGAATGGAAGGACATCGTTCTAGTAAGACGTGAGTGAGACTTATTAAACCATTCCGTGCCGCGGCCATCAACACCGAGTCACCGCTTACAGAATTCCGAAGCATAGACAGATCGTTGTTTGGGTGGTCCAAAAGTTTTCGCACTCCTTCCACATCGCTAAACAATATGGCTTTATAGATTGGGGTGTCGCCAGATGAGTCGGCTGCTCGTTGATCGATATCTGTCCGTGCCAGCAACAACTTCAAAAAGTGATCATCGGACATGTTGGCCGCTAGAGACAATGGTGAGCCCAAGTCGCAAGGTGGTATATTGACATCGACGTCGTCCCGTGCAAGTAATAACTTCACAATCGCTTCTTGCCGTCCATTGACAGCCCTGAACAACGCCGTCCGACCGTTGGAGTCTCTCGCATTCACGTCCGCCCCCTGCGTCAAGAGCATGTCAAAGACCTTCTCATTGCCAACAGCTGCGGCAGTTGACAGCATCTGGTTACCGAACACATCCAGAGCCTCGATGTCGGTGACTTTGCGGAGGAGGGAGAGTGTTTCGTGGAGATGCCGGTTCAACGCCAAGTTGAAAATCGATGCAAAGAACATGCCGTCGGAAAAGGAGGGTTTTCCTCTGAATTTGATGAACATAGACTCTAGTCTCTCCAGTCTCTCCATTCTCTTATGGGGCAAAGCGAGTTCGGATATCATTATCGGGACTAGGCACCGGCAGATGGCCATCTGATCGTTGAGAACGGCCCATTCCCATAAATCCTTCTCAATTCCACTTTGACCTCCAGCTTGTCGCCATGGTGGAGATACCGTTGATCTTTGCCCTTGTACAAGTCTACGCCAGAGGTCGTAAACGCCGGTGACGGCTGAGAAATTTCGAGAGTGGAGGAGCCAATACTCTTGAGCGTAAGTTAGAAATGCATGACCCAAGTGTCCATCATTTCTCTTTTCTGCCGAAAGGTCCATGACTGTCTTTAGCTGAGCAGGCAGATCAAAATCAACCTGCGCTTCATCTGTCAACAATTTCAGAGCTATTCTGCCGATGACCGACGGTGGTAACGCTCGGCGGACAATCGCCAAGGGCAAAGTCTTTGCTTGCAAAGATGACGAGGTATTGACTTGAGTTAGCTGTGCCTCGAGGTGATCAAAATGCAGGTATGTCACACATATCTCGCCCAGCCGCTCATCAGCAACAGGTGCACACACGTGATATACATAGTCAATGTCTTCGCTGCAGTCGGCAAGGAGATACTGCTTGACGCTATGGCGCGCGAAATGGACGGTCAAGTGCTCTTCGTCCACCAGCAGCAGGCCGCCACAGGAGTTCACGGTTTTCTGAATATCATTGACCAGCCTTTTTGGGTCCCAGACTGTTTCGCCGGGGACGACACTGATAGCTTCTCGAAGCTCTTGCAATGCCAACGGTCTTTGAGCGGCGGCTACAATCTGGAAAACCCTTCTGTGGAGGCCTTGTGATGTGAAGCCCGCACAACTCATCTTCTGCAATATTCTCCGAAAGGTCTCTGGCAAGTCCCGAGGGAGGTGCTTGAGGGCCCCCAGAATGGCCTCATCCGTCGCTCCGGTGCATACTGAGCTGAGCTGAAATACAACCCAAAGGAACCTATTAATGGTCAGACATGATCAGCGTACAGCAAAGTGAAAGTAGTACTATTCCCGCTTTGTGGGGAAAATGATGCTGTCTGGTAAAGCAGGCAGCTATCAAGGCTTGGGGATAATAAGCCGCGAGATCATCGCGCCCCGAAAGCTGGACGCGATCCATCGGCAACCACGCGCAAGTTCAACTGGCACCCACGCTGGGAATACCATTCCAGACACCCTTCACCTGACCACTGGGATGGGACTCGGTGATGGTAAACTCACATTCCTTGGCTTCCATTAACTAGTGCATCTCGGATCGTCAATATGAGCTTGGGGTCACCCAAAGAGAGCTCTCCTGATTCGAGGAGTCCTCTGAGCGCGTTCTCGATGTACTGCGTGATTTCGGGGTTCGATTCGGTGCATGAGACGTGATACTGGGGCTTTAGGATCCCAGCTATATCTTGATACAGGCCCTGTCGACTTGAACAGAACAGGTGAATTTCATGTTGCCCTTCCATAAGGTCGTTCAAGAACCGTACCGTATTCTTCAATTCTGTGAGTGTGCATTCATCGAGACCGTCCAGGACTATGAAATATCGTTGTTGGTGAACTGGAAGCAGTCGTTGTAGTTGGTTGAGCATTTGGCATTCGTCCAATTCTGGGCCAGTCCCAGATGCGAGGCCCTCAAAAGCATCGATCTCGAGGGGTCCAAGCAGTTGTCGGATCACGCTGCCGATAATAGTTCTGGATTATAGAGATTCTGCCTCATCGAATCGGCAGAAGAAGTACCCGATGCCAGCAGTTGATGTCTGAATGGACAGGTTTTCGACCACATTCGCAGAGAGGACGGTTTTACCAACGCCTAGGATACCAGTGCACCAGAGCAGACTTGACTTCCCGCCCTGAAACCAGTGCTTATACTGCTGGTTCTCGAATATCCAGTTGGTCGTACCGGATTTTCGGGCTTGCTTCCAAGCTGTGTCGTATTTGTAGGAAGAACAGGCATCGAGGAAATGCATTTTCTTCTTGCGCCTTCGCAAATTGCTGGCTTCTTGAAGTTCACGAGCAACCTTATCTGAGAACCGGCCAACGAAGGAGCGAAAAGTCGCATTGTCTTTGATCTCGAGCTGTTGCTCCTTAGCAGAGGCTATGTTGACCTCCATGCGTACGGCATCCGCCAAGCTGTCAGGGAGCCTCTGAAGTGGCTGAATTCTGCTTCGAAAGGCTTCAAGATGGAGGCTTGAGCATAAAAAGGACGCTGGAGGAATAGAACGGTCTTTTTACACAGATCAATGACCAGAACCATGTACTCGCAAAGGACCTTTCGAAGCGCTGTCGAAGCGCTGTAGAGAACGCCCAATTCCTGGTATCTTGGAGAAGATCGGCCGACATCCATCAAAAGAGTCGACAACTTCTCGAAGTACGACGCCCATTCCAGAGCCAAATACAGAGTGAGCTTGAAAACTGCCCAGATGCCACTAGCGATCAAGCACTGGGAGCCTCCCACGACGGTATCGACCACTGCGGAGAATTGCTGCAAACAATGCAAGATGTTAGTCAAGCGAGTGCCGACACATCGGCTCTTCCGCCTGCTGTGGCTCCTGTCGATCTCTGCTGTGAGCCTCATCACATCCGAAGGGCGTGGAGGTTGCCCGCTTCTGTAGATCCTCATGGTTGCTTTCTGGTCGTCGTTGAGGAGGCTCTCATATTCAGACATGGCCTGAGCTAGCCTAATTTCTGGCTTCAACGGTGCTGCACGCCGCAGAGCGACGGCCATGATGACACAATGGAAGAATCACAGGCGAAGCCAAATTTGTTTCAGCCTTATCTTCGATCCGGGTGAATCGCTCAGACTGCGGCAACTTGGTGTCGACTGGGTATTGCACGAGGCCGTGTGGTTCCAGTGCCGGAATGTTGCTGGGAGGCAGAGGTGTAGTCTGAAGTGCGAAATGAGAGAGGAGAATTTCCATTGGGAAAGATCGTTGTGATGTGCCGTTAAGGTCGAGATGGGATGAGGCTGAAGTGCTAAGCCTTCGACCTACCTGGCAACTGAGTAAGTCACATGCTTGCAACCCTTGCTCTTCCTCTCAGCCTTCTTCGTCAAGGATTGGCGTTGGTGCTTTTCAAGGGTCATCGTGGCTGGGGAGTGGCTAGATATCCGTAACAGCTTAGTGAGCCTCAGGCTGAGCGTGTACTGATACCCGGGGAATTCCATCGTAGGCGATAGAGGCAGCATGAGCAGGCACCCCCAGGGAGGCCACCAGGCTCACTGTGCTTGGCGTATGCAATCGGTACATGAGTGTAGCGCGCTCGTCTTTTGGTCTTTTCTAGTGCTTCAACAAGGACTGGGTTCCGCATGGCGCTCCTGGAATCGTCACTGGTGGGCGCAATACCGTCAATGCTGTTGGTCCGACTTTTATCGTACAGTTATTGTGGAAAAGTAAGATGTAACAACGTCGGGAAGAAAGACCACACAAGCCTCTTTCGACTCCGCCTACCTCCTGTACCCAGTAAGTATCGCTATGCAAAATCAAAATCAGCCACGCTGAAAATCAGGCTGCTACAACATCACAAAACAACTTATTTGACGACGCCCCCACGCATGATTTTCATTGCTAATCCTGGACGCGGCCTTTGATGCTAACAAGGGCAGATGATCAAGACCCAGACGGCGGAAACACCTTCCTGAGCATACTCTCCTTCTTTCCACCATTTCCTACAGTCTTGCGAGCGATCCGATCCGGTTTTGACCCCGATGCGTTCGGCTTTGGTGGTGGCGCAAACTCGGTCTGCACATTCAGCCCAAACTCCTGCCGCCGTGTCGATTCGCTGCTCGTTCGCCGCGACGAGGTGTCCGCCGCTGATGGATACAGGTAAGACCGTGACTCTGGCTGGTGCGGAAGCGACGGGGAGATGATTGGCGTGCGCGACTGTACATGCGAAAGGGCGAAGGACTCAGCGGGCGGTTGTTGATCACGCAGAAGCGGAACACCGGTTGCAGGCGTGATGGGTGTGGCACCCAGGTACGCGTCGTCGCAAGAGCGTAGATATGCTTGCGCGCGGGCTTCCGAGGCATTCGTTGATGCTGGCGCTGACTGTTCTGGGTGATACTGCGACCGTCGTTCGCTTTGACTCTGCTGACTTGCCAGGTAATTCTGGTACGCCAGGTGCGGTTGCGAGTTGAAGTCGAATGCGAAGGTTGTCATCTCGCTGCTATTGCGTCCCTCATCGGACACGTTAGACGGGCTACCTTTGCCTTTGACCAAGATGACGCCGTCAAGAGATCTACCTTTGCGTTCGGAAAGGGCGCGCCGACGGACCCGGCGCTGCATGCATCTTCGGAAGAGCCACCAGCAAGCAAAGGTCAGGCCGATGCCACCGACGACGCCGCCGATGATTGCCCCAGTCAGACCAGCACGACTGAAGGAGGATATGTTCGTCGTTGGAGCGGGAGTGGGTGCGCTGTCGGGACAGAGGGTTTTAGTCTGGACATAAAGGCCATGGGGAAGAGCGGAGGCTAGTTGGAAGGCTGGTGAATGGGAATCGTAGTTTGCCATGAAGTAAATGTTTGATAGGAATGCGGAGCCGAGGAGGTTGACTTTAGAACTTGTCGTGCTATTACCTGAAGATGAAAGTGGAGCGGCGGAGATAGGTGAGTTGTTAGAAACGTTGCGGAGCCACTGTGCATCGTAGGTAATGTTCAGTCCGCCCTCGAGCATGATGGTGAGGGTGGCGTCGAAGTCGGCCGGGAGGCGAAGAACATTCTCTGCATCGTCTGAGGGAGTTGCACCTGTTAGGTCGGCTATCTTCTGCGTCACGCCAGCCGGCAAGTTGAGTTGATATTGTGAGGTAGTAATGTACGCATCAAAAGCGTCGAGCATTTCTGTCTTTTCCGCATCACCAGTGTCGAGGGTCATTTGCTGTACCCGGACTTTGAAAGGGCTGTGACCGGCGTCAGGATTGGCGGATGTGATGGTGTAATTGTACACCTCGCCTTCGAAGCGGCCGGAGTCGTAGCCGCCCAACGTTAATGATCCGTTGATGGCTCCATTGGACTGGTCGTAGGCAGTGCCCATGTACAAGCCGAATGACCGTGAGGAAATGAGGTTCGAGTCGTACAATCGGCGAAGCAGAGTGCTTGAAGGTCCAAGCCCGACGAGACCAGCTGGGCCAAACCATGACGTGGTATTCGCAGAATAGTTCGAGAGCACCGTGACTGGGAAGTTCGAAATCGTGGTGAGATTCGCGGGAGAAGGATCGAAGTAATGGGTGAAGAGGTTGTAAGTGTCGAAGACGCTCTCGACGATCGTGGCTGGGATCGAGCCCAGATCGTCGAGTCGCTGATATGATGCTGCCGAGGAGTAGCTTGATACTCTTTAGTTCGAGCCCATCCAACGGGAAACGAGTAACTTACGCATCGGACAGATCAGGTGAATAAAAGCCATGACTCTGGTTGATACAGTTCTTGAAGGGACTGCTGGTACAATAGTCCAGACTTCCCACCGTGGTCTCGTTGTAGGATAGTGATGGCCATTGAGACAGGTTCTGCGAAATCGTGCTCCCTATCCCTGTGAAAAGCCCATATTGGAATGTGATTCCTCCATCAACTGCCCTATCATGAAAATCGACGAAGATGGGATTGATGTTGCAATTATTGGCGGCCACAGCAGAGACCAAGAGTAAGGCTCCGAAGAGAGACGCCATCATGCATTAAGGGAATAATTGCTGCCCGCAACTAGCACAGATCAACTATGCTACCGCCTCGCAAAGGCTGCACGACGAAGAAACTCTCAGAAAAGGAAGACGATGTACTTAAACAGAAGACCAGGAAGAACAGAGGAACAGAGGAAGGCAGGAAGGCGGTGCATCAGCAAGAGATATGGTCATTGAGTCTGCGGCCAAGCCCGGTATATGCGGCGGTCAGTAATATCTTCCGCGCAAAGAGAGGCAAATCCTGAAACTGGTGGGTAACGACAGACGCCGTGTGCGGAGGAAGCATGTACCAAGGCAGGTCGCAAAAAGGTCCAATTTTGTCGTCCTGCCAGGTCTTTCCAAGGCCTTTGAGGCATAGAATATGGAGCAGAAGGTCGGATCTTTGGCCGTTGGTTTGGCAAGGCCTCACAGAGGTTCGTCTTCGTCCAAAATTAGAAGTCCATGATATAGCTGGCGGCTGTCGAGACCCAATCATACACGAGCTTGGCGCTGACCATACATATCGGGCCAGAATGTGAACCAATCATTGTAGACAGCCGACTCTTTGTATAGCCACAGCCTTTGACTTCCATTGGCCCCTCAGTTGGCAGGGCTCGAAATAGCCATTGAAATGGCTCCATAAAATCCTAGGTCCTGCGCAATGCCGCAACTGTCGCTAAGTGAAATTCGGGTAACTAGAGCAAGATGATCCTGTCCAACCTTCCAATGCATCGTCATATCCAATACGATGACAACGGAGATTGAGTGGAATGATCGCTGGCGACTTGGAGGGGTGTGTTGCCGTTTGTTGCCGCCTTGAAAATCATCCTTTCGGTTTCTTGCGGACAAGTCCAGCAGCAAGAATATTGACCGTGGCATTGGAGGTTGTTTCAGTGCTTTGAGAACTTGCAGGCCTCTCGTCAATGTTCTCGGCCTTCCTCTTTTTTCGCACAGCTGTCAGCACATTGACCTGCTGCAAGTCTGCCTTTTCAGCTCCTACGGACCCAGAAAAGACGTGTTCACCTTGTATCGGTAAGCCAAATCCGGGTTTGCCTGTTAGTCCCAAGGCTTTTTGGATCCAGGACTTGGTGCTCTCCGCCGCTTTCTCCTCGCCAGCAAAATCTGTTTGTAGAAGATGGTCCATTAGAGTCTGGTATTGAGTGGTGCTCAGAACAAGCTCCCCCCATGTCTCGTTAAATCGCCGAGCATGAACTTGCAGAACGTCTTCATCAGTCAGACCAGGCACTGAGGCAGAAGCGCAGCCATCATTCACATTAGCGTCGGCGCTTTCGGTGGATGGACCTTCATCATGGGGCACTTCAAGCGGAGAAGAGGGAGGTGGTGAGTTCACTTCCCGAATCATACTTAGATCGGACGAAGTTTGTTGCCAGATCCCGGCATCACCGTTCTCCTGCGCCTGAGAGTTGCCCGGTGTAGGCAGACTGGCCTGCTCACGTAGCCTTTCTAAAGACTCTACATGAGCGAATTGGTCAAGCTCACTTAGTTTGGTGTGAGTGGTCTGACCCTGTGAGAATACCAGCCACAAAAACCCCACGAGTCGGCCAGCAGAACATTCTTGTCTGTAAGACATCATCTCCCAGAACTGGTCGAGACTCTTTATACTCCGCCAACGTCCCTGGTTGTCTATAAAGTCACCATCCAAATCATCCAAGAATCGAGACTTGGGATCATCCGGAAAGCGAGGCACCAGATGCCGGGGAGGCTTTGCGACATCGGTCACGAGAAGCTCGACAGGATAGGAATTGATCCATTTGGGGTCAGAGGGAGGATCTTGGCGACTCGACGGTGGAAAAAATGCTTTGGTCTCTCCTTTGTCGCATCCCGGGACCAGAAGATGGGCGCTGGAGCTGGAGGGTGGATCTGAAGTGTCGCTGTGCAGCCGCAGGACTCTATCAAGAACTCGACACCACCATTTGATCAGTTGTCGGTCATCCAGAACATGTTTCCCCGGGTTTTCGATGCTCCCGGGAAACAGATACTGGTTCTGTGATCGCGCAAAGAGTGACAGAATGACTCTTGATTGATTCAGTCTTGGCTGAAGTAGAAAATCCAGAAATCCAGAGGTGACCGCAGCGACAACAGAGGGGGAACCTCTTGATGCACTAAGCCGTGAGGAGAAGCCGGATGAGTCGGCCTTAGACACAAATACTGTGGTGAGATTCGGTGTTGAGAAAATCAAAATCTCGATGGCGAAGACCAGGACCTCCTTAAGCCCGGCCTTCTCGGGTGATGAAATGGCGAGGAAATGTGATTCGCAGATTGTGGGCTCTTCATCTTGACCGGGTAAGGGCGCGAAAAGCGCAGTGGTTGAAGCAGGAGAAGAGGACAAATGATACGCAATGATGTCTAGACCCTGAGGTAGGATTGATGCAAGCCGGGATTGCAGAGTTGATGCAGGGACCATCTCTGCATGACTGATATTGATGTTGTGGTAAAGTAAAGGCTAGTGGCTAGTCCATGACAATGACTGTTGAAGACCAGAACCGCGACGAGGACTGAACTCCGAAGATGCGTTGGAAACTTGAGAAGACTGGACAGGGGTCGGCGCGCGTTCTGGCAGAGCTAAGTCAACCTGTGGTTAGCGCGTGCAAGTTTCATCCAATCAATCGAAAGCGGAGTCCAGACCCACCAGGGTGCGAACCAGGATCCTGGGATCCTTGAAGTACTATGATATGTAGTAACTATGTAAGGATGTGATGGTGGAAGCCTTTCCGCCTTGACACCACTCAATGGACGTACTTAAGAGGCCTACCCTCCCATATTGCGGGAAGTCATCAGCAGAAGCCTTTCCTACAGGTACGCATCTTACAACGTCTGTTCTGGCCTGTTGTTCTCGGACTCCTACCTGGATAGACCACGCTTAGCTTTCGACCATGGCTAAACAAGGCTGTGATAATGACATTACTTTGGACTCGAACTCGAATCTCAATGTAACTTTACGCTTCAAGCATTCTATTGCTTCTCCAACACACAATGCATCGACACACACCGCACCATCGCCGCAGCAACCAAGTGGTACCGGCTTTGCTACATCAGGGCAATATCATAGTCTGGACCGCGTCGGTCTTCCTCAGGTGGTTACATGGCTGGCCCCAGAGACTCCCGCATCCATCATGGCTTCATTTCCGGCGGGCTGTCAACATCCTCCCATGCCATCGCCCACGCCATTTTTGTTGTCGGAGTCTGCCCAGAGAGATTACCAGTATCAGCTTTTCCTGCTGGAACAAGCCAAGAAGCGACAGTTGGCACAGCGAGAAGCAAGGCGAGTTGCTCAGTCCGAGGCTCATCAGTCACCTCCAGCATCAACAGTGGGACAGGGAGGAACGTCAACAGCATACGAGCACCAGCTAGGGCTGCTTGAAAACCAAAGACAAGCCCAACTGGCAGTCACTAAGGAGTGCAAACCCGCTCAGAGAGACTATCAACAAGAAATGCTCGAGTTGATAGAGCAGAACAAGATCCGGAACATGAAACGAGCGGCACTTTACCACCAGCAGTCAGGATAGCAAACGCAGCTGACCATTGGATCTCCACCAGATTGAAGGAGTCCTCGAATTCGATGAAAGTGGCATGATAGAAACCTTGATGTAGTACCGAAGGTCTGGCATGATGCTGGTGAATAAATCCTCGAGACAAACGAAAGGAATGAAAGAATAGTTCTTCTGTTCACAGTCGACGGGAGATTTAGCCGCAGTCGGTAAACCTTCCCTCAAACTATCGCGTATTTTCGATTTTCTGCAACGGCGACTCGAGATGCTCCTTTAACACTCCGTACAAAGCCCGGAAACATTGTATCGAATCTTCTTAGCATGCCATTACTGAGCTAGTCATCGGGCTTCAGGCGTTGTCACAACCCGATATACATGATTCTTCACACCCTCGATTCCGAGGCTGTGAAGAGACTCATTCGTTGCTGAGTACACCTCCGTCGTGTTCTCGCCGTCATGCTGTAGCTGACCACCAGGCCATTTTTTTATCCTACTTGCATTGCTAATGTATCATGTATATGTCCAGTCCCGAGACCAAACATCCTTCACACTCGCCTCCGCGCGATAGTGGCGACTCTTCCAACGCGGAAGATGGTGAAGTCAGTGAGCATGCCACATCCCCGTCAAAATCAGTAAGCCCGAATACGGACGACACACAAGCAGCCGATCCTCCTTTGCCCACAAACGAAGCACCTCCACCGTTGCCTAGTGAGCCTCCTCCGGGCGGACCTCAGGACGACGGCTGGGACGCGATCTGGGACGACGCAGCTGGGGCGTTTTACTTCTTCAACCGATTTACCAATATTTCGCAGTGGGAGAATCCAAGAGTACCAGAGGCACAAGAGGCAAGGCCCCCAGGAGTAGCAAACCACGACAGAATACCGGGCACAGCAGAGCCCGCGAAGGCGACCTTTGTCGGCGGCTACAACCCGGCCATACATGGTGACTATGATCCAAACGCCGATTACGCCAAACCACAGGAGGCACCGCCAGAGCTGAACATCGCCGCTGGTGCGCCGGGTACAGATCTAGCTGATCCATATGCCGCCACCGGATACTTCAATCGGTTCACGGGCAAGTGGCAGAAAGCCGACCTAAACCCAGACAGACATAGCGACGAACAAAAGAGTCGACGGCAGATGAATGCTTTCTTTGATGTCGATGCGGCTGCAAATAGTCATGACGGTAGAAGTCTACGTGCTGAAAGAGCGAGCAAGAAGCTCAGCAAGGCCGAGTTGAAGGCTTTCAAGGAGAAGCGCAGAGAAAAGAAGGAAGAGAAACGACGTGCCTGGCTAAGGGATTAAAAGATGTGTACGGAGTAAGAAGTGAGCGACCTGGGCAGATACCTGGTCGTAAAACACATTTTAGCAGCGACGCAGCCTACAATGAGAAGTCCATCTAATGCAACCAACACGCTGTCATGATAAAATCGTCGATGTATCCACCCGCCCAAGCATGATGTGCGAGAATCGTAAAACATCTGTTTTGACACCAGAACGTTTCTTTCGACCACGTCGACACAATAGACATAGACCTAACGCTCCTTCATCCCACACCTCAATCCCTGTATTTTCCTTCGTCATGCTCTACTCATGTTCACCGAGGTCGTTGCATTGGTCTGCATCGCGTGGTATATTTTCATAGCCTGCGTCTGCACAATCGGGTACATTTGCCTGTAATATCTACTACGTTCCAAGTTCAGCATATCTATCACTAACTGCCTATCAGTTTCCGCTACTACAGTCGAGTCCCTGCTTCTGCAGCGGTCTTGTCCAAAAACGAGAAAGACATCCCCCTTGTCACAGCCATCCGGCCTTGCAAAGGCCTCGAGCCGTACCTCTACGAATGTCTCGCGTCCACATTCCTACAAAAATACCCTGCAGACAAGTTAACAGTGTACTTCTGCGTCTCCTCACGTTCGGACGCAGCATATGAAACCATTGAGAAAGTGGTCAGAGACTACCACAACTACGATGCAAGAATCTTCATCGAAGAGGAGGACGATGATGCTGCCAGACATGACGCTCACCGAACCTTCCTGGGGCCGAATCCCAAGATCAGAAACATGAGCAGAGCATATCGCGAAGCCAAAGGCGACCTTATATGGATCATTGACTGCAATGTGTGGGTGGGCGGAGGAATTTGCGGTCGCATGGTCGACCAACTGTGCGGCTTCTCTGTGCCAGGAGAACCGGCCGGAACACCGCATAAATTGGTTCACCACCTTCCCATCTCCGTCGACGTGGACAACTACTCGAAGGGCAGACCAAGAACCGACTCTTCGTCCTACGATGAGACACCCACGACAGCTCTAATCTCAGACACGGGCCGTTCCAGCACCCTGAAGAAGATCAACCGCTATGGTGGCCGCCTGGAAGAGCTGTTCCTCGCTTCCTCCCACGCGAAGATGTACATCGCCATCAACACGGTCGCTGTTGCCCCTTGCATCGTCGGCAAATCCAACATGTTCCGCCGCTCGCACCTGGACCATCTCACTTCTGAGCGCGCCAGAATCGAAGATCACACGACTCCAACCCTCGCAAGGACAGGCATCGACTATTTCTCCAGCAACATCTGCGAAGACCACCTCATCGGTGACATGCTATGGAAATCCAAAGTCCCACAAATTGCTGGCTATCCAAAGAGAATGCGCAATCACGGTCTTGTGCTGGGCGATGTGGCCATCCAACCTATCGCTGGCATGAGCGTGGCCAATTACGTTGCTCGCCGCGTGCGGTGGCTCAGAGTCCGCAAGTTCACCGTCCCCGTAGCGACGCTCGTCGAACCTGGCACCGAGAGTTTCTTGTGTTCAGCGTACGGCGCGTTTGGGATTACCACCCTACCGTCAACACGCGCGATATTCGGGGACACATGGGCCTGGTTCTGCTTCTGGTGGCTGATCAGTGTCACTGTCTGGGCTGCAGTAGACTGGACCGTCTACTTGCTGCTGCATTCTGGTTGCACGGTAGAAAACGCAGGATCAGATGTCGATATACCCGACTTCGCAAAGCCGGTCATCCATTCCCAATACCAGGCTCGACGGCCGTTCAAAGAATGGCTATCCGCATGGCTCGGTCGAGAAGCGCTAGCACTTCCCATATGGTCGTGGGCAATCTGGGGCGGTGCGAGCGTGACGTGGCGCGACCGCCGGTTTTGGGTTGGCATGGATATGAAGGTTCATGAGATACACGAGACGAGTGATGATGGGAACGCCACCCTGAGGCACGTAAATGCTAACAACCATACCAACGGGAACGTTAATGTCGACGGGAAAAAGAGGTTGGATTGATGCAGTAAGCCATGGCCCTTTTTCGATTGAAGACATACCTGAGAATGGAACGTGTGCCACCATGAATATCAGACCATGACCAATCCTAGATTGTCCCATTGAAGCCCCACGGCAGCTATGTTTATATACAACTTTCATGCCAAACGTCTATCGGCATCTGGAGTGCCTTTTCTCTTTGCTATATGAATCAGGAGCCGGAGCGACCGTGAGCCAGACCACCTTTAAATGAAGACGCTCTTGCGGCGACTTCACTTTCTCCCAGCTAACGCACAATCTTCAAAGAGCCCCTTACTTATCAGAGTTAGGCATTCCCAACCACCTAGAGCCTTCGGTATAGGCGATATAGTTAGTGCTCCCCCTGGGACCCTTAGGAAGTGAACAGAGATCTCTTCAATCTTCGTTGATAGTACTCTCGTCGACACCGTAAGCAAAGTCAAAGGCGTCATACCGGGTTGATGTTGCCAGTATGTTGAACCTTTGCGGTGGTCAAAACAAATCACATTCGCCTCGAGGTAATGGTAGCCAGCATCACGTCCCGGTGTACGGAGTAGTGCGCCCCCTGTTGCGCTGCCCGCTGCTGCTCTTATGCCAAGACCTAGTGCCGAGCATGCCTTTGCTTTCGCGGATCCATGGGATGAAGTCACGCCCGAGCAAGTCTTGCGAAGCGATCCGTCTGAGATCACACCTTCGATGTAACCGACGGAGTGTGAGGACCGCTGACAAGCCCTCGTTGAGCGACCCCACGCTGAGAGCCCAAGCGATGGGACAGGCTGTTGCTATCCTGGCAAGTAACTTAAGCAGTCACAAGAAGAAGTGGGAACTCATGGACTTTTCCAGAAATCCCAGCCCACACTCGCAGTTGCATTGATCTTGAGCTAACTTAAAAGGATGAGCAGAGATTGAGACTCTGACTATCGAGCCAGTTCTGCCATGGTCTTGCAGATTTTTGCCTATGATCGGCTCGCATGAATTGGCGGCCCGCGCCAGCCGAGGGAGTTCTCTGTTTCACTTTCCCGTTTTCGCTGGACGACATGAACAGTGCAGCTTTCGTGGCTTCACCGATGCTTGAAAGCCATGGAGCTGTACAACACGCACTGCAGGCTAGAAATACCATCAGCCGAAGAGCAAGGTTGATCAACAAGCACGCATACCCATTGCATGTTTACCTCGTGATGGCACGCAGGTTCAGTGATTGTCTTAAATTCAGCATCTCCAGCCAAAAGGTGCCCAAACACTTTGTAATACTTCAAGGTCATCGTACCATCCTTCCATCGATCCACGCTATCAAGTTTGATTCGAATCGTCTTTCCTGGATTTGTCGCGTTGACCTTTTCGTCAATCTCCACTGCGGTCGCAGCGATGGCGTACGCCACACAACTGTTCCAGTGACCTTCCACGATTCTCAGGTCCTTGAGTGCTTCCAGTGCATTGAGGCGAAGGCCTCGTACTCGACATTCAGTGGCGATGAAGAATAGTGGTGCAATAAATCCCAGATGCACCTTCAGAACCAGATCGCCGCTGTGTTTGGGGTCCAGTTTCGTGTATTCGCCACGAAGGAAAGTCCGCAGCTGTGCGAACATGATCCGAAAATCTGCAGCTGCACGGCTGTATCCCTTGTCGTTTTCAGGAGGAAGGGTCTTCAAGATCAGCAAAGCCATTCGATGATGAGCTAGGAGCAGTAATTGCCAGTCTTTTAGCAAATTGTCATCGAGCTCATAAACCACTTTCCACTGACCGAAGGCAGTCGCCCAGTCAGCGACGTACTTTCGAACGCCCGGTGCCATTGTCGAGTGGTTCGGCTGGCCCAATTCAAGAAGGAGCACCCAATAGAGAGCTTGTTGCAAATATTTGTTGGCCTGGTGGAGGTCCCGGAACACCTTGGGCATCTCAGGCAACGAATAAGTGGTGCTCTCAGTTGTTTCGCCTTTTGGTATTGTAGTCTCGGTCAACCTGTAATTCGCAGACTTCGCAATGAACCCCTCGATGATTGGTACTATCAACTGGCTCACTTCTGGCGACACTTGCAACTGCTTTTTGCGGCTTTCAGAGATGATTCGATGGCCGGACTTGAGATGTGTCAGACCAGCAGCTGAAGCACCCATCAGAAAGTCGCAGTGGGCAAATAGGACGCAGGCAATCAGAATGATCTCAAGGGGAAGTTTGCCGTGGCTCTGATTAATGTCCGTAATAGCTTTGGTGTAATGTAGTGTGAATGAGTAGTTTTGCCAAGGTGTCCGTTTCGTGAACTCCAGCCATTCGTGAAGACTGCTTAAAGCTGCTAGGCTGTGACGAATGGAGCTGTTGGTCTCGCTGGCCTGTACAACCAGCCTGTTCCAGAATGTCCAAGCTTGTGTATTGCTGTAGCATACCTCGGCTTTGTCATCTACAAATGAATCCATCATTTCGGCAAAGTAAGACGCGATTCGGGGGGCAGTACATTCGAGGAAGTATTGAGTGGGCCTGTTGAAGTCCGCGTCCTCGAAGAAGTGTATTGCGTTTGCTCTGTCGATAGCAGGCACAAGCTCTTCGCTAGGAGGGGAGTCGCTGGCTGGAGGCTCGAATAGCCATGTTCTAGGCTGGGCATAGCCTTCGCAGAACCGGCCGGCTTTGGCGCATCGTCCGCAGTGAGGATGAGTTTCATCGCCTGGGCATTGTAAGCCAGCGATCACCAGGAGTAGCGCAGCCTGGAAACAGGGAGCGGAGTCAAGGAAGGAAACAATTATACACTGCGGCAGTATCTTGCTAGGAGATGCAGCCATTGCGGGAAAAAGGAGTGCCGAAAGCACAACTTAGAGGGACATTAACCTACACTTGACTCTTCGACGCCTGTTATATTTGATTTAGCAGAAATTCTGGATGACGAGGGAGCAATGTTGGTGGAGGAATTGCAGATTCAATGGAGAAGTCGCACCTGCAGGTGATACAGCCCGTTCTGACCTTGTTGTGACTACGTTTCAGTCTTGTTGGCGATCTTTCCCTCGTTTTACCAGGTGTGCTGGTTTGCGAGACAGTGACCAGATGAGTCGCGCTCTCGGTGCGTCCTCTCATCTGCGCTGAGGTCGGTAGATTTGGTGGGCGCCTGTCAGCCACCACAAGGGCTCGAGGAACCATAGTTCAGACCCTCGCCGGTACATTTGAGCAATGCCAACGCTCTTCGAGCTTTGACCGGATTTCGAGAAGGTGCTAATGGGTACGGACCAAGGAGCGAGGAGCGAGGGAGATGCGAAGGGACTGGGCAAAAGCAGATGGCTCGCTAAGCCGGGATCAGGTACATTACTCGTAGGGCACATGGAGGCACCAGCAGAACCAGGATCCGATCGAAACCCAAGATGATAATCCTAGCAGCCGACTCGAGAGTTGGGTCAGACCGACCGTGGTGGAGACCTTTTCAGCCCTGGGCTTGCAGCTCTTCTTCGTGCGATGACGATAAACCCCTCAACCGTCAATCATAATCATCAAACATGTGTGACCACGGAGTTCAAGGCGAGACAGTCGCGGTTCTGCTGCCTACTTCGACAAAACAAGCCGTTGATACTGGGCCGATTGGACTTGGCGGGCTTTATGCTCGCAACGCAAAGATTTCGAGAATGGTGCGGTAAAGATTCTGGGGCGCTCAGCTGGAGCGAATGAAGAATGCATGCATGCCGAGGCTCGTTTAGTGGACCATCTGTGAAGCTCAAGACAGCTCTGGTGATACGTATGTACGAGGATCGGGGCCGTCATGGGCACCCAATTGGGCACGCATGGAGTATTGTTTCCGCAAGCTGTTCCAACGACGTGATCTCAGCCCTAAATCCGAGCCTTACCATCCTGCACACTCAGGGTATCATTGGGGGAAAATCAAGGGAACCTCGACCAAATTAGCCTCACCAGCCGTAAGCAGCCCCTATGATGCACCCCATCATTGCTAATCAGCCGTTCACTTAGACAGCTACACCGCAGCTTGAGGGTCGTAACTACAACCTGGACGTTCCAGTATCAAATACATGCATCGACTCATGGGGTTGATTTGTTTTTATGAAGTTGCACTGAGGCCTGCGTATTGGGCTCGTATCTACCTACCTGCCTCAGTGCTCAGTAAACCCGGCGGCGTACTTACTCATTGCAGCTTGTTCCGAGTTTCCCATACTCCAATGGGGCGGAAGCATCCACGCGTACAACGATCCTCTGCAGCAGAAGGACAGACAAACAAACAAACAAACAAAGCCAGTGGTAATTTTGCAAGCACCCAGGCAGGGTCTTTGTGAGGCGCAGATACTGCCTCTTCCTCTCAATTTGAATGCTTACTGGCCGGCTCACTGCAATAGAAGCTTGAGCTCCAGTGGCATGCACACCTGAATACGAGTCTGACTGAGTATGACACAGTTTAGCTGCCCAATCAGGCCACTCGATCATGGACAATGCGGTGATAATCGAAATTGATGAAAACATCATGCAAGGGCAGGACTCTTCAGACCGCCTGACTTGAGTACACACCTATGAAGAAGCATGCAAGAACAGTCACTCCATGCTTAGAAATCCATATAGTCCTTTGACCTTCCGCAACCCGGCAAGACAGCTGAAAACGACTGTTAGCTGAATGCCAGGAGAGGTTCCCCCAGGTCTTATATCAGGCCAATCCCTAGAACATCAGCGATTGGTAGGCGCCAAAGCTTTGGGAAGAGGCGATATTTTTGCGGTTGCCAATACCTCCACTGCTCTTGGATACCTAGGTATGGTTCTGCGCAGGACCGAGTCATGGCTGTTTGTAAGTTGGTCTTTCCGGTAGGTCAGGACCAGATCCTTCGAAGAGCCTCGTGATCAGAAATCAGTCCTTGACGCTGGTCGAACCCCAATACCAACATTGCAGACGAGCCAGAGATGGGTCCAGGCTATCCTGCATCACAAGAGGGCACCTGAAGCATTCTCAATGTTTTTATCAAGACGTTGCAATCGACTTGGAGAATCTCGACAACAATGTGGCTGCATTTCAGACCGAACGATGGCAATGCCTAATTCCTACCAAACCAACAACGCCAGGTGTGCTCTAAGTTAGATCCGTCTGAAGCTCTTCGTTGTCTAGACAGACCACCACAACCACAGTAAGCCCTTAAGGTATTCTACGATTTCTTCTCCACCCAGCTTGCTTTCGCCGTACACCCTGTCCACAAAAGTGATCGGACACTCCTCGACTTTGAGTCCCATAGCCTTCGCTCGAACCATCATTTCCATCTGGAATGTGTATCCTTTCGATTGTGTCTTCTCAATTACCGTCACAAGCGCCTCCTTCTTGTAGAGTCTGAACGAGCCCGTCAGGTCACTCACGCCGGGATTAAGCAGGAAATCTGCAAGAATGTTTGCGCCGCAACTTGTCAACTTCCTCTTCGCATCCCACCCGTACACGCCTCCAATCAAGCCTGGTCTCGACCTGTACCTCGTGCCAGTCACAATGTCTGCGCCTGTCTGTTTCTGGATCTTGATAAACTCGGGAATGAACTTGGGGTGATGCGAAAAGTCGGCGTCCATGATAATCACGAAGTTCCCTGTCACGAATTGTAAACCGTGAACATATGCTGTGCCTAACCCCAGTTTGCCCGCTCGTGGTTTTAGGACGATGTGATCGGACCCAAAGGACTTTTGAAGCTGTTTTGCTCGTTCGAGGGTGCCGTCTGGAGAAGCGTCGTCGACGATGATAACCTCCCAGTTCAACTGTCTGCGTAACGGGAATGACTTGTTAGACAGTCTCTTTTCCCCTAATGCGGCCCTTCTGGCCTACGAGCACTCACTCTTTGGTAAAGACGTCAGAGAGCATCTGCACCAGCACCGGCAGATTTTGTCGCTCATTGTAGGTAGGTAGGATGACGGAGTACTTGTTTTTGGATGCCATGGTGATGCCTCTGGAGTTGTCAGAATGTACCTAGGTATGAGGGGACTGATGAGACCGAAGGTGCAGGTCAACCAAAAGTCCAATCTGGCTGGTTTGTGAGATACGCGACAGACTGTCAAAGCGCGACAAAATATCAGGGGCCTCCGAGGTTTAGCCATGCCCTCGTCATCAAGCACTATTGGGGCACCAGGATGTTCGGCCGCATGTTGACTGGCTTCAGATTCATCCTGGACACAAAAATATTAAAGAAAGCTGTCGCTCTCAATGGAACCTTGATAATGAGAAATCTTTGTCGTAAGTATGGCGACCCCACAACACAGTCGCAAGACTTCAAGTCGAGCCGCGCTTCCACGGCGGACGACCAAAGGACCGCTCGATGCTCCTGATGACCCTCTCTCAAGCTCTGAACTAGCCGCAGCATTGACCGCTTCTCAGCGAGTATCAGATTCACACGATGATATAGCCGAGTCATTGGCCCCAAGTCAGTCTCAGCTACCGTCAAAAGACCAGCAGCCGCGAGATTCAGCGTCCGAAGAAGACCTAGCGGCAGACGAAAGAGATGTCTCTTTCCTTCTAGACGCATCTATATATCACCCGCTGTCTCAATTGGAGGTTCCGGGACCATTTAGGAAGCCATTCCTTCCTCCTCCTACGGCAGATACTATCGACCGATCTTTCGAACAGCTCGACGCACTGCTCTCTCAGTGTGACTTCCTTCGAGCGGCACAGCTTGCAGGGACCATACTGACATCGGGACTACTACGACCGACAGACACCAAAACAGTGTTTCGACTACTGGCAGTACGCTATTCTTGCCTGGAATTATCGGGGAATCTGCCGCTCGCCGCACAAGAAGCCAAGGCTCTCGAAGACTTAAGCTCGACGTTCTACTATGAAGATCCCGATCCTAAGAATGATGACGAAGAGGTCGAGGGGCAACACAAGGTACCGCGCCATATTATGCCGTTCCCCTTACGACTGCAGGCCCTGCGTCTACAGAGTATTGGCTTCTCCGATCCTCGCAGGGGAGTAACCACACTGTACGATATTGCATTCGAATGCAGGGAGCATTTATCTGCATCAACCACCCCTTTGGGCGACCGAAAGCTGTGGACACAGAGATTACAGGAAGTGTCGATGCGAGTGGTGAATGCCTTGATCGAAATGGGGGAGCTGGACTGCGCTGCCCGCACGGTCGAGAGCATGGAGCCATCTGACTCCGAGAGCAAAGCTCTTTGGCTGCCGCGAATGGTCCTGCTTCGCATCAAGATGGGTGACCTTGCACAAGCGCACGAGCTGATCGAGTCCTCGGGCTCTGGGGCTGATGACAAGCTCGCGCTCGAGTCGCTACTTGCTATCGCTGAAGGTCGATATGACGATGCTTCAAGGATGCTCTCTGCATGCGGAGCGGGAGCTGACCCGACTTTGAAAGGTCTCTTGAAACAAAGTCTCGCGGTAGCCCATCTATACAGGGGTGAAGTGACGATATCGAAGCGGATCCTGGAGGAATTGGTCGATGAAGGATACTCCTTCCAATCCCTAACCATCAACCTTGCTACCATCTACGACCTGACTTCCGACAAAGCCCGTGATCTAAAAATGTCGATGATCTCGCAGATCGCTAAGCAACATAAGGATGCAAGTCAACTGCGATATTTCACGAACGCCGACTTCAAATTATGATTGCATCCTTCTCATATACACATTGATCCCATAACGCCATGTCGATAGTCGAAAGCCTTTAGCAGTCCCTTCAAATGTGACATTGCTGCTAGCACAATCAGAACGTGGAAGATCTGATGAGAGCTTCCTAATGTGTCGAATTTGCCGGGGTACCAAGCTTCTGGAATGCGAGCCTGCCTAGTTCAGCAATAGCACGGAAGTCAAGAGTGTAACTCACAGCGTATAGGCCAGCACCGAAAATGTAGAGGGCGCCTTGCAATACCAACCACGACAGGCCCATCTGTTTTTCCATGGCTTGCAGGCCGAAGGTCTTGAGGCCGTCCAAGACTGGAAATACCGCAGATATGCCCATGCCAACGAACATCATCGCCCTATACGGTCGCCATGCCGGCGTTCGGAACTTCGGAAGGACAGATACTGCGGTACAGGCGATACCCAGGGAGCCGATCTCGTCTTCATCAGCAACAGCCATATGAGCGAGACAGAGTTGCCTTACCATAGACCAATAAATCCACTGTCTGTCTGGATGGCACCAGAATCCGTAGTACACACTTGGGACGAACGAGCCCGCGATCAGCAAGGATATGCCGGCATAGTCGAATTGATTCCACATTCGAGCGACTGGCGGCGAATGGTTGGAGACAGCATGATAGGTGGCGCTGATTCCCAGGCAAAAAGCGGCTCCCACGAAGAAGCAGCTCATGGCGAACACGTCACCCGCAGATGCCCGTTCATAACGTGGTTCGAGGATTTTGTACAAAATAGCACCCAGCGGCAAAGCCAGGGTCCCAGGGACGAGATGAGACCAAATATTAACACTCTCGTTATGCCAGTGAAATATACTTTGCAGAGATCTGGAGTAGCTGTAAGATGCTTGTCTATAGCTGGAATATATGTGCTGGTTATCCTGCTGCCAATGTGGTAGATCGTTCCAGTGAACCAAGGTGTACCACAGATCCGAACCGTCGCCGGACGAACGGGTATCATCGGCTGTTCTGAGAGTAGAAGCGTGCTTTTGTTTGGCTTCAGACATATCTGATTAGATGAGACTGATGCAGTTCAAGAATTTAGAAAACGACAACAAACATGACAACAATGTTGAAAGAAATCATTTGCAGAAACGATTTGAAGAAAACGTTGGGGGAAACGAAGGATGGTCACTGATGGTGCTCGATGAAGTCGGACATCCACAAAGCGGCCCGTTCCGCGCGCCTGCATATCATTGAACCTCGTGAACCTCTTCGTTCCTGCCCTTCGAAACCTCACTAGAGTCATTGCATCAAGTTGCAGTCTATTTGCAATGGCGGACAAATCTCAAAGGAGATACCCAAAAGGCAGCGTCGCTGAGATCATTGCGAAGAATGGCTCAACCTCCGCCGCCCTTGAGCCGAAAGACATCAGCACCATGGGACAGACTACGACCAGTGAAGCAAGATCCTTTGGAGAGCATGGGGTTCGTCTCTAAAGGCGACACTCGGTTAGCCCCCTGTATACCTTGACCCCCTGACCTTTGTCTGATCTGCCTAGTCTTCTCGACCCCAAAGCCCAGGAGGGCTTTTATAACAAGATTGTTGCTCGTTACATGCAATTTTGTACCCGACATTCGAAAGACCTGGACAGTGCCTTCGCCTCATTATCGCTTGAAGATGATCCGTCGACTCTTTCGCGCGCTGCCACGCTCCGTCCAGTCACACCTTCAGTCACCCCGGATCCACGCTCTCTTGCTGCAGTGCAGCCGGACTTGAATGCGCCTCCAGGTATTCGGCCAGTCAATGCGCCAGCACCTTCACCTTCAGCAGAGCTCTCTACGATCCTCTTGGCACTACGCAAGTTGCGAGAAGGACTGCTTGCCAGCTCCGCATCAGCACCCTCCCCGGTCTTTTCGCAGCGAGTTCACGTCTTCAATATCAGAACAGCAATACTTGCGTTCCACCCGCAAGGATATCACCCTTCGCTTCTACATTTGCTTTTTACCCTGCACACACCTGCCCATCCATTGCCAAAGTCCGAGCTGGTGGAAATGACAACCTATCTCATCCTCGATACCGCGATTCGACAAAATGACCTTTGTCAGGCATATGCCATGAGATACCACGGCCGAGTCAGGTATGGATTCAAGAGCAGAATGGTTGATAACATATTAAGGGCTGTTGTCATGGGAGATTGGGTCACATTCTGGCGTGTGCGTCAAAAGGTAGACGGTTACGTCCGCGCTATCTTGCACTGGCACATTGAGACACAACGCAAGTTGGCTCTGAAAGCCATTGGACGATCATATCTTGCCTGCGACGTCGAATATATCTTACAAAGTACTAGTGGAGGCGAACTCACCTGGGAAGACCTTGTAAGGATGGAGGATGTGGGATGGATGCGGGACGGTGACAAGGTAGTCATCCGCAAGCCGAGGGCCAAGCCCACTAGTTGATGACGCAAGCACGAACCGAGGATCTCGTCTGCTCTGAAGCGATGCTAAAGATGGCGAGGACCATGAGCGAAAAGTTCTGGAACATGCATGGTGGCTGCAAAAGGCCAATGCACGTTTCGAAGATGGGCGTGGCACGGCGTGGTTGAGGGTTGCCAGCCACTCTGTGGCGTTCCCAGCCTCACACATGTCTGGCCAATCAATGGCCGCAACTGGTTTCGGCTAGCGCGCGACATTGTTTTGAGTTTAACTGCGCTCTCCAGCCTCGCCGTTTCTGTATGAAAACACCATCCAGACTGCTGCAAACCGTCAGCAATATGGCGCACATGCTCGATGCGCTCGTATATACGTACATTGACATGGCCAGCCTTTGCATTTCTCTTCTGATGGACAGGTACATGTGAGAGGTCTTTTCCCCTAGAATCCTCCCCTTCTTTCATTCACGTAGTTCACTTGCACGAAGAAACACCATCTACCATTGCCAAACACAGATCACTCAGAACAGTTCTGCACTGAGAGACCCTAGTGAATCCCTTCGATATGGCCTCAAGATCCATCCTCGCTTCCATATCGCTCTCTTCATTACTGCTCCTAGCCAATGCCCGTCCTTTGATCCCACACTCGATTGACCGAAGAAGTCCTGCCTCCTACTCAGTTGTCGCGGTAGACGGAGGTAGCACCGGAGGCAGTGATGCACCAGCAACCACCGTCACCGATGCCGTAACAATGACACAGACAGTGATGGCAACACAACTGTCAACCGTCGTGATCACAGAATCAGAGACACCCTCGACGATAATCTTGACCGTCACATCTGCATCGCCAACAACCATTACCGAGTACCCGCCAGCATCGACGGAGGTCGTGACAGCAACGCCAGAAATTCCTGCGCCCACGTCAAGTGCCGCCTTCTCCAGCACATCAGTGGAAACATCGACACACTCCACAATACCTTATCCCTCGAGCAGTACAGCCGAGTCCGCCGTCCCTGTTACAGTCACCGTGACACAGTCACAACAGTCACAACCATCAGTACAGCCTTATGATGATGGAATGTGGCATACTTGGTATTTTTATACAGTCACATCTAGCACATCGGAAACCCAGTGGGCCCCGACCTCGACATCGCAAGAGAGCGCGTTGCCGTATTGGACATCAGAGAGCAATAGTTGGACTTCATCCACCACTCAGAACACGTGGAGTCCGACCACAACTTCCGAGAGCTCGTGGACTACCTCCACCACGTCTGAAGCCTCTTGGTCTCCTACCACAACCTCCAGGAGCACATGGACTACCTCCACCACGTCTGAAACCCCACGGGCTCCTATTACAACCTCTGAGAGCACGTCGACGACCTCCTCCACGTCCGAAGCCACTTGGGCACCTTACACAACCTCTGAGAGCACGTCGACGACCTCCACCACGTCCGAGACCACCTGGGCACCTTCCACGACCTCTGAGAGGACGTCGACGACCTCCACCACGTCCGAGACCACCTGGGCTCCTAGCACGAGCACGACCTTTACCTCTGAGACCATGTCGACTACCTCCACCACTGCAAGACCATCGGCTGCCTCGACTACGCAAAATCCGTGGACTATTTCCTCATCGAGTGAAAGCACCTCTATCCCAACCACGGCTTCGGAGTCAAGCACGACAGCCGCACCTACATCAAGCTCTTCAACCACACCCGAATCTGCGACCGCTTCGGAGACCTACAATGCTCTGTCGGCTGCCGTGTCATCATTCAGCAGCTTGACTCCTACCGGCACAATGGGCTTCTTCGGCACTCCAACGGGAACTTGATTCCGTATGCAAGAATTCCGGCTACTTGAAAGTTCAGCAGATTGTATGATACAGACCTTTTTTATTCATCCACTACTTCGCATATCGAGACAACAACTTGTCGAGGGGTACAGACTCAAACAACATCGGAAGCACGAAACATTGGGAATTTTACGGAATGGTCCGTCAAGCGCGACTGGGCTATAATTTATGATAACAGGATTTAGCGATGGCGTTGGTGGGTTATTTTGTAACACATGCTATATAGTATAGTTACGTGCAAATGTACAGATGGGCGGGGAATTCGTCCAAGCACGCTGATGGATAATGTGGTAACGACATGGCAGAGTTATGAGAAGTATTCCGACAGGAAAATGAACTGTATTCTTCTGCCCTTTTCATCCAGTCTCAAATCTCATGACAGTCCCATTGAATTGCCCACACTGCCATATTCGATACAGCACTCTAGAGAAGCATTCACATAACTTTACAATCAGTCCTGGTCATTCCATGAGGCGCGTCAAGACGAGCGGAGATGAGAACTGGTTCAAAGTGATGACCGTATCCATGATCTTTCGAATCTTGACCATAATCCTAAGTGTCGTATCCCAAATACGTCGGCAAATGCATAGATGAGGAAACTTGTACGAATACGTAAATGGTTCACAGGGCGAAGACAACAAATATATTAGGTTGATTCACTGTATGCATCATGGGATGGTCAACAGGGACACTTGCAGTCACCTCTTCCTTTTCCTTAGGGAACAACAAGCCAGTACACGTGTGCTGTAAATCTGTATTCCTAATCATGACTTCCGATTTCCTCAACAGCCTCATCGGCACTTGGAATCTCATCTCGTACACAGCGGCTTCCGTCACCGATCCATCCGACATACTCCTGCCGCTCGGCGCCTGTCGCGGCCGCGCCATCTTCTCTTTAGACGGATACGTCTCGGCGTACATCCAAGCCACCAACATCCAGCCATATTCGGAAGGCCGTTTCCACGCGAGCACAGAGGAGCTGGCTAATGCAGCGAAGCGCACAATAGCGTATACAGCTCCGTATCGCCTTGAGGAAGACAAGGCGCAATCCAGTAAAGCGACTATTTATTACGATGTCGAGATGAGCATGCCGCCGAACTGGATCGGGACAACTGAGATAAGGGTGCTAGAAATCGAGAAGGGCGACGATGGAGACATGTACATGTATTTGAGACCGCCTGGGACGGTGGAGTTGGGTGGAGTAATTCGAAAGGTAGAGGTCAAGACCAAGCGTGCCGGGGACAATTCACATGGTGGGAAGGTTGACAGTGGCAAGCAAAAAGAACGACTTTGAGTCATGGACTCAAATTTGTAGCGAATATCGCAATATACACCCTTGTAGTGCTATAGCGACACATGGCGAATTGTGTGAGCATGGGCTCAACTCGAGATATCCTCCATATTCTAGGTTTGAGGTGGTTGAGGTTAAGGAGGTGAGCGACGTTTAAAAGCGGCAGCCGGTCGAGTGAGTGTCGAGGTGTGCTCGGGACCTTCGAGCCTTCTCTTTAGGTGCCAAGAAAAGCTACAGTACCCACGTGAGTACCCAGAGTACCCTCGATGCGGGTGCAGTTGCAGCAGCGTGAGCAGCCACGGCCTACTACCGTATACGACGGCAGCTTCCCTCTCCGCACGGAGCTTCAATATGCACGCGTCCTGAATTCAATAGGCAGAAACTCAGTCCTTGATCATCTTGAAAGTCTTGACCGATTCTTTTTTGTTTGCTCTCGACTGTCGCTGGTAGCAGGGCAGACCAACCGTCGTAATGGCGGCGGCAGGTCCATCGATCGCTGAGGACCAAGGCAGGCTTCTCGAGGAAGCCTTGGGAGTGGTGCGCCAACAATCCCAGCAGATGCGTCGATGTCTGGAGACGCCCGGGAAGCTCATGGATGCTCTTAAATGCGGGTGTGTTGGAATCTACCTCTGCTGCCTATCTTGCTGACTGAATGCGATGTGGAAGTTCTACATTAGTATCTGAACTGCGAACGCCTACCCTCGGACCGAAACAATACTACGAGCTATACATGGCAGTCTTCGATGCGCTCAGATATCTCTCCGAATATCTTCGCGACTCGCACCCCGTCAATCACCTTGCCGACCTCTACGAACTCGTCCAATATGCAGGCAACATAATACCAAGATTATACCTAATGATAACCGTCGGGACGGTGTATATGGGTGTCGAGGATGCGCCAGTCAAGGAGATCATGAAGGACATGATGGAAATGAGCCGCGGTGTGCAACACCCTATCCGTGGACTCTTCCTCCGGTACTATCTGATGGGACAAGCCCGAGATCACCTGCCAACCGGCAAAGAGGAAGGACCTCAGGGCAACCTTCAAGACTCGATCAACTTCATTCTGACAAATTTCGTGGAAATGAACAAGTTATGGGTCCGCTGGCAACACCAGGGCCATTCCAGAGAGAGAGAACAGAGAACTCAAGAGCGGAGGGAATTGGAGCTGTTGGTGGGAAGCAATCTTGTCAGATTGAGCCAAATGGTGGACCTGGAGACCTACAAGTCTACAATCATCTCTCCTTTACTGGAACAGGTTGTGCAGTGTCGGGATGTGCTTGCCCAAGAGTATTTGCTTGAAGGTATGCGAAAAGCTTTGCGGGAGTCGGAACCGCTGCTAACGGACATACAGTCATCACCAAAGTCTTCCCTGACGAATTCCACCTTCATACTCTCGATCAAATGCTTTCGGCCATTGCGCGACTTAATCCCCATGTCGACATGAAGAAGATTGTTATCGGCCTAATGGATCGGCTATCAACCTATGCCCAGAGAGAATCTGAAGAAGCATCTGCGGAGGATAAACGACAAGCCGAGGAAGAAGCCGCGATCCGGATGTTGGAGAAGGTTGATCTGAATGAGGACTCCAAGCCAGCTCCTGCAGCCGACACGGAAACGCCCAAGACCAATGGCACCGAATCTAAGTCACCAACCGAATCGCAACCAGCAGAGTCTGAACCTGCTACGCCTGCGACTCCGGTAACCAATGGTGACAAGGCGACTGCTGGTCTTGGGGAGGTCAAATTGTTCGAGATTTTCTACGAACAAGTGGTAAGTCTCGTCAAGACACGAGGCCTGCCAATTCAGGATACGATGGCTTTGTTGACGTCCCTTGCCAATCTTGCCCTGTAAGTTTTACGACATCTTCCCGTGAACGTTACTGACAACAGCAAAGCAACATCTATCCAGATCGACTGGAATATGTCGATCAGATTCTGGCATACGCCAGGGAGAAGACGGCCGAGTATGTAGACTCTGCTGATCTTCACTCCGCTGCCACACAAGCAAACATGCTCAATCTCCTCCTCTCGCCGATACGGACATATTTCTCCCTTTTCACCGCTTTGGCTTTACCCAACTATCTTCCCCTGTACCAATCACAGACTTATGCCACACGCCGTGCCGTGGCTGGTGAGGTCGCCAAAAATATATTGCGGAACAGAGTGAAAATTACCACGACCCAACATCTCGAAGGGGTCATGTCTCTATTGAAAGTGATCATCAAGGAAGGGATCCAGCAGCCAGGGGGCTACCCTGGTCTGAACAGACAAAGGGGTGGCGAGTCTGATGAGACTGTGGAAGAGCAAGGATGGCTTGCAAGGATGGTCCATTTCATCGAAGGCGCTGATAACGACACCCAATTGAAGCTTTTACAGCAAACGAGAAAGGCTTACGAGGCAGGGAACGAGCGGATAAAATACACGATCCCAGCAATTATTACTGCTTCGATGAAGCTCGCACGAAAATTCAAATCACGCGAGCATTTCGACGACAACTGGCAAACTCAATCATCCGCCCTGTATCGCTTTATGCATCAGACTCTGTCGCAGCTCTACACGCGCGTCAATCCAGGCGCGGCGGAATTATGTCTCCGTCTTTTCGTCGCGTGTGGTCAAATTGCCGACCAATGTGGCTTCGAGGAGTTCGCGTACGAATTTTTTGCCCAAGCGTTTACTGTCTATGAAGACAGTATCAGCGACTCGAGGGCGCAATTCCAGGCTGTCTGTATCATTGCTGGGGCATTACAGATATCCAGAGGGTTTGGAAAGGAGAATTATGACACGCTGATTACGAAAGCTGCCTTGCATGGCAGCAAGTTGTTGAAGAAACCGGATCAATGTCGTGCCGTGTATCTGGCGAGTCACCTCTGGTGGTGCGTGGAAATTCCTGGCAAGGAAGAGGACCCCAAAAATGTGAGTCAGCCACAGCCCGATATTGCGCTGGTTCCGCGAGCTGACTGGAGAAATAGCTCTACCGAGATGGTAAGCGCGTGTTAGAGTGCTTACAGAGAGCACTACGTGTGGCCGACGCTTGCATGGACACTGCAGTGTCTGTGGAGCTTTTTGTTGAGATCTTGAACAGATATGTCTACTACTTTGATCAACAAAACGAAACAGTAAGTCAGCCCCTTGTGCTCTGTCTGAGATGGAGAACTTATGGTTGATAGGTGACCACCAAATACCTGAATGGGTTGATTGAGCTTATTCACTCCAACTTATCAACAACCAATGCGGAGGGCAATGCCCAGGCCTTGGAGAATCCTAAACGCCATTTTTACAGAACTTTGGATTACATCAAGACGAGAGACTATGAGGGAGTCGTAACTGAAGCGAGACAGTAAACTGGAAAGAAAGTCTGGCTGTTGGCTTGGTGCTCCGCAGATGCTTCGCTGAAAGGCCCTCATCGTCATTCTGTACAGTGACCTGTTAACCTCCTTGTGTTAGGAGTCTTTGGCGGCTCTTCTGCAGACTGAGGGACTATCATATGCGCGGAGACATTGAGCGATTGTTTTTGGGCCAAAACCCGGGATTCCGATGGGCCCTTCCTATACTAGCCCATGCCAATACAGACCATTTCAACTGACCGGGACTCTTGGGCCTGCCAATGCTGTGACTGTTCTGTTCTTGTCCTTTGGTCTTTGTGGATTTCCAGAATTTTGTGTAATGGACGGCAGGGCTTGGGGCGACAGCCTTGTCAAGAATTAAGGCTAGTGGTGCTCGACAAGGCTGAGCGCCGCTGGCAGCAAGATCTCGGCTGTCAGAGACTACTTGTGCTCCCTGCAACAGCGTGGACGATCATTTCAAGAAGCCCAACGGTCTTCGCTCTTCCTCCTAAGACTCAGTGGCTTCAGTCCGCACGCTTTGAAATGTCCCTAGGATTTTGGATTTCGATCGCCACTGATTCTTCCAAGGATCCACCAAAGATCAACTTCGGGAAGTCATTATGTCACCACTATTATACCTTGCCTGAACGACCGTCCGTGAGGAGGTCCCTGGTCTTCCGGTTCAGGTGGGCTGTGACCTGTCCATTTTGAATCTACCTTGAGAATCGTTTGATCTAGACGAACTCGACGTTTGTGATAGACAGGCAACAACCCCCATAGCACTATCAATACGCGTCGTCAGACATGGTATCTCTACGCGCAATCACTCCTTGGGCCCGTCAAGCTGGCCGCTTGTCGATTCGACCGAAAGTGGGCGTTGTGATAAGAAGGACGTTGAACACCGACACGGCGCCGATATTGTACTCTGCTCATGCGAAGGTTGTCGGCGCGAGGACTGGGTGAGTATTCTGGTTCTGTGCACTGCAGTACATGTCAAAGCTTGTGCTCTTGCTATCTGTTGGGATTCATGTTGGAAGTATATCTTGGAATTCGTGCTGGGCTGATATGAGAACTTGTACTTCTAGACACGTCGATGGTGATGACTTGAAAGTCGGTATGTCTACACGCCGTCATGGTGTCGTTGCCTCGAGGCAGGGAAACAGCTCTCCTTCCATTTCCTTTCTTCCCAGACCCCAGGTCGTCTTTGCACGGCCAGGACAAGTACAACCTAACGCCGTTTCGCATGCTAGATCTCACGATGGCCAAAGCCCTCGGCGGGCCAGGCGATGCGGGCAAGACAAACCCCGAGGAGCTGTTTGCAGCCGGGTACGGCGCGTGCTTTCAATCAGCGGTGCGTCTACGTCTCTTTCCTTCTTCAGCGCTCTCAATGCAGAATCCGAGTGAGTCAACCCGCGCTGATACTAGTAATTGAACCAGATGAACGCCGCGGCCATGTCCATGAAGATCCAGATGCCGGAGAACAAACAAGACTCGATCGTCGAGACTACGGTCCACTTGGTCGGCGACATGAAGAAGCTCGATATGGGGATCCGAGTCGACATGAAAGTCGACGTCAAGGGCCTTTCCAAGGAGAGCCTCGAGAAGGTCGTGAACAAGGCAAAGGAAGTGTGTCCGTATAGTCGCGCGACAAAGGGCAATGTCACGACGAATATCGAGGTGGTCCAGCTATGAGAAAGGACTTAGGTCTTCAATGGGCTCCAAGGAATGGATCGGGCGCGGCAGACCATGTTGGAATGGAATGCGAAATGAGACTCGACGAGAGCTGCTTAACTTGGGTACCTTGAAACGTCCTGACTGGTCTTTAGCTGGGCGATATCAGCCAAGCAAGCTTGAATGCCAGTCCTCACCCGAAGCTCGATCTGATGTCCATTCTGTGCTATTACTACTTGGGAGACCGTATCCTCCATTGGTATTCCTTAATTAACTGGTCTGTCTTCCACCACACCGCCAAGTTGATTTTTTCGACGGTTTGTCATGAACCAGACTTTTCATCGCCGACTTGTGATTGCTCCTTTAGAGATCCTGCACATACAAGCCATTGCTGACACCACCCACGGGCAATTGCTTGACCGTAGGCATCAGCATCGTACCATTACTCATATCTGGCTGATTCGTAACCGCAGCCTTGTACTTGAAAGCAAAGTTCAGAATCAACGCACAAGCAAGACCAATCGCAACCACAAAAGGTCCAATAGCATTGTCAAAGTCTTTGCCACTCCTCTCGGTGATCAATTTGCTGCGCCACATGTACACGGCCCATCCCCAGACACCAGCAAAAACCGCAAAGAGAGTATATACCACTGACAAAGCGCGTGCCACGTTGTTATGGACGCCCGCAGCATTGTAGAGACCTAGAGAAAGTGTGGCCAGCAGGACAGCGATGTGTTGCCATTTGATGAAAGTGCGCTGGTTGGCCAGCCATACTTTGGCCTCGACTTTTAGGTCGCCTTGATCTTTGATCCAGAAACCAGGCTCCTTGACACCAGGCGGAAGAGGAGCGTTCTCCCATGGATTCCGCTGACGGTGTCGCCGAGCATAGCGAGAGTTGGAAAAGGCCGGTAGAACAGAACGAAGACCACCTTTGGAAGAGTCCCGGACTTCAACTTGGACACCGTCGTTGTCTGAATCGTGCTCTTCAGCCGTGGGCTCGAATTGAGTGGATTGTCTCAATCTGGATTGTGATTGAACAGACTGAGAGAATTGTCCTGAGATTCTTCTCTCGGGAAATTTCCCAGGTGACTTCCCAGGTGAACCAGCCTTTCCTCTGGGAGAGCCTAGCTTCGAGCCGGCAAGGAAGCTACCCACTGCCATCTCATCCTCTGCCTTCTTCTGTTCCCGTTCTTGCTCTTCTTGATAGGCTGTGACTGGATCCCTCCGAATATCCGTTTCAAGATCACTCAGCCAAAAGGGGAAGCTGTTGACATAGTCCTCAAAGAGCTCTGCAACACCATGCACGAACTTTGAGAATCTCTTTTCCTCTTTGACAAGATGCGAATTCATCAAATCGTGTAGCCAAGCATTGTTCCTAGTAAATTTGGAATCTTTGACCTTGATTTCAAGAACAGCATGAGGGAAACGACTAATCTCTCCTTTCTTAATGGCGGAGTATGGGTACTCCATGCCATTCTTGTCGATGTCGGACCTATGCCAATCATCTGAGTCCCGGCACGGGCGATCAGGGTCCAAGGCATCCTCACGAATGAACGCCAGGTCGGTGTCGATGGAGATTCTGATCCTATCATCACCTGGGATCTGGAAAGCTGTGCGGGTATAGCTTGCTCGCAGGACTGGCTCGAGGTCTTTGTCTTTGATGAACGATTGGATCTCTTCCACGTTGGCTTTGAAATCTTGGACTGCTTGGTGGTCAGGGCCAAGCCTGTCTTCGAGCTTCTTGATCTGCTTCTCCATCTTATATTCGCCCTTCAAGAATGGAGTGATGTACTTCTCCTTGATTTGAATTCTGATGTCGTTGCTTTCGGTATCCTCGCCAACCGTCTTTTTCTCGAGGACAATCTCCGGTTTGTCGCTGAGTTGACCAGTCCATCGCAGCCTGACAGAATCACCAGCATTCGTCTTTTCGATCTTGCTATTGTAGAGATCAAAGTTCTGGTTGTCGAAGTAGATTGAAGTAAGGACGGGGTCACTTTGCGACAAGTCCACCACCTTCACAGACTGCGGATTATAGACCAGGACAGGAAGACGGCGTAGGATATACGTCTTGACCTCGAGCAAGTTGTCGACATGAACCCAGTACTTATGTGCAGTATAGACGTCCTTCGGTCTCACATCGGTGTCTGTTTCTTTGCCTGATGCTTCCTCTCCCAGCGTTTGCCGTGCCCAAGAGTACATTGCAGATAGACGATACAGCAGGGGTGAGTAGTCTTCTTGGTTGAAAGGCGTTTGAGTTAAGCGGACCTGGAGCATTGGTCGAACATGGTATTTGAGCCCTCTTTTCCTGTCGTGCTTTTTTGCAGCCTTTAAGAAGCCGGTGTAGTTGATTCTGCTGAACTTTCTAAGTTCATTCAACTCTTTCGAGATGCTATCCAACTCTTTGAGTGTATCCTTTGCGACGGCTTTCCGGTCATCCTCGGACATTCCGGCATCTTCTTTTTCGGGATCAGGAAGTTTCGACTCGCACGCGGCTGCTCGATCTCGAATGGAGTTGAAGGTGTTGACCTGGTGTTGATTGACCTTCTCCAATTGCACCACCGTGAGCTCGTGGACAAAATTCTCCTCATCTTGCTCTGTCCAGCTTCCGGCATCACCTCGACCCTGAGGAGAGGTTTCATCCTCGCGCAACAGCTTCTTTATCTTGTCATATTCAAGGTATTTGTCCTTCCAGGGTGGGTAGATGGAATCGGAGAGGGTCTTTCCAAAGCGCATGCTGACGGCGGAGGGGAACTCGATCGCCAAAGCCGGGGATCGTTGCTATAGACCTTATTAATGCTAGCCTGATATATTGGAAAAGCAAGATCAAAAGGAAAAATGCGAGCAAGCTCTTTCTCTAAGCCATTGAGCTCGCAGCATCCCACCTTCGAGATACTTAGCGAAGCAACAGCCAATTGAAGGATATCTTGACCAACACGTGCCGCACGTGCCCACCTGCTCTTCACACTTGTCTTCGACGGGTTAGTGGACGTCATTCCGGGGTTTATCCGTTCCTTGGCAAGGCTGTGCGAGGCTGTGGCATCAACCAGCTCAGCCTCGGCTCTTCAGATACTTGCGTGACGGAAAGACAATCCAGGACATCCCCACCTAATCGAAAGCAAATATGTCATCAGAAGACTCTAAAGCTATCGTCAAAGCTCTAGAGAGTGTTCTGACTCAATTGAGCGAGCACCCTTACCCTCATGTCCCCAGTCCTGAAGGCACCAGGAAACGAGCCAGCGTCGCTGCCATAATACGAGTCCGTCCGCCCTTTACCCCTGTTCCACCGTCACATGGCTCAGTCATTGCAGTAGATCAGCCTGCCTCCCCTCCGTCGACGATAAAAGACTTCTTCTCGCAAGAGTGGGTTCAGGAAGGTGACCCGGAACTCCTCTTCATCAAACGCGCAGGACGCGCAGGAGATAGATGGTCAGGACACACGGCCCTCCCTGGCGGGAAGCGAGACCCGGAAGATGCAGACGACCTAGCCGCGGCTATCCGCGAGACAAGAGAAGAGATAGGTCTAGACCTTGAAACGGCACAATGCCTTCACACAGGAAATCTACCGGAGAGGTTGGTGTCGACCTCTTGGGGGAAGGAGGTCCTGATGGTCCTATGCCCCTACATCTTTCTCCTGACCGGTAAAACGGTCCCTGCGATCCAACCGCAGCCGACCGAAGTAGCCTCAGTACACTGGGTGTCACTCCGGGCATTACTATCGCCTACATTACGCACTAGAGAATCTGTGGATATCTCGAGCAGAATGGCTAAACATGTTGGGCCTGTCATCCACAAATTGATCCGCTGGACCATGGGAAAGATGATGTTCAGCGCTGTCAGGCTTCTGCCCACAGAGTCAATATATGCCAGTTCCATCCCTGGCTTCATACCGGCAGAGGGCGGTGATCATCTGTCAACTATATCCGGCTGGGCACAGGCACCATTTGGAGTTCCTTCATCCTCGCAGTCCTTAAGCTACCAACAACCCATTTTGCTCTGGGGCTTGACTCTCGGTGTCTTGGCTGACTTCCTCGACATGCTCCCGCCATACAATGCTGTCAAGCTGTGGAAATACCCTACCTTTACCGTTCCGGACCTTCGCCTCCTAGTCTGGATCATGACTCGCTCCTTCAGAGAGAACTCGGCGGAGACGTTCTCTTCAGGATCTTGGCCAAGTCAAAGGCGGCCGAGTCAGACAGCCATGGATGCAACAACGCAGGCGACAGCTATACTTACTTCAGAACCTCCCAATGTCACCGAGGCGGAACCCTTGGAGCTAGGAAAGCACAAGTCTTTCGACAAGAATCGTGTCGGCATTGGCGGCCTTGGGGTGGGGAAGGATCCACACCATGCGGTTGGCAAGCTACTACATGGTTACTATGAGCGTGTCAATGTGGCGATCGCTGTTTTCCTAACATATCGCGCGCTGGCTACAACAGGTTTTGCAATTTGGGCGTACAAGCTCTGGAAGCGGCGGACTGGTGCAAATTTGTGACCCGATACCTATGTTTGGCGCAGAGTACCACATCTTGCTCAATGTGTAAACGTCGCCACTTGCATAATGCACATAGCGCTCGCCATCGGCATCGGAATGGGGTTATGGGTCGTTCAGGGCCTCTCGCTTTTAGACAGGGTCATGTTGTCCAGCCATTTCAGTGCACGGCCCTTTGGTGGCACGACTGAAGTGATGTGGGGTTGTACTTGAAAGTGATAGTGTACACAGGAGAGATCTTCTCCATTGTTCCGTTGATGTCGTGTTTGAGTTCGAGTAAACTGGTGTGTGGGGCCCTGCCGCCGTATGTCTTGGACGATCGATAAAGTACATTCGTTACATATAGGGTGGACCTTGGTAGGATCCATGGCAAGATGGACAGATTTGACAGAAGCTTATGAAGAAGAGTATGACAGACGACCATGTTATAGTCAAGTCTCCGCCGGCAATATACATAGCCTTGCCAGCTATGGCAGCCGGCCATGCTCGTGAAATACATTCTCAGACCAAGACGAGCCCAGCAGCGACCCGTTATACAGGGTATTCGAATAAACTCCGGCTTAGGCAGTTGCTGTGACAGGGTCTTGATGTTTGGACTTCTGGGCAACATGTATCAGCTTGTAGCAACGGGTAGCTCTCTGTTGCACTCCATTGGGATGGTATTCTCTCTATGAGACATTTAGCGATTCCGAAGGCGAATTAAGGTTGCACAATGCGAATCGCAGAGATCAACTGAGAAGTGGGCATTGTAGCTGGCAGATACACTATGATATTTTTCTCCATTGCGCCCGACCATTCCTCTAAATCATAGCATTCTCGCGCCGTTGATCCATAATTTTGACATACTGTTTCCTTGTGTTTCACAAGCACATTCGTATCTCTCTAATCAATTCCTAGCCAGCCACTATAAATGGTATTGATCCTGCTGAAAATGGTCTTGAGCACAAGGCTGTTGCGGACAAGCCTCCATTGGCAAGTCGAAAGCCGGTGCGTCGACGGGTTGTGCCTCCAGCTTGACACATCTGATCGCTTTGTGAGCGCCGACAGATTGCCTCTTCTTCGGGCTACTTGGTCGATTTCTCTGGAGAGCGCCAGAGTTGACGACCTTGATGTCGATGTTGTACCGTTTGCGGATCGCAGTAAACTTGGGAGGAATACTGGACAGGCTCATGCCCAGTTGTTTGGCGACCTTCTCGGCGTCGACCTATGATTCATCAAGAAATGGAACCTCATCAGGATCATTGAGGCTCTTTACCTGGATGGGACCGACCGAGCTCTGTATGGCGGCGATCAAGACCGAGATGTCTGACTCCTTGACATGACTGTGGGCCATAGCTGTGCAATATCGAACGGTTTTGGTCAAGGGTGATTTTACGGAGGGGCAATGGACTGTGAAGAGGTGTAAATGCGATTTATGAAGGAAAAAGAATTCTCGAAGTATCAAAATGCGAAGCATTTTATACTTCCCAAGCCTCAATCGACAGGTCGAAATTAGAGGTAGTGTCCCCCAGGAAGAACAATCGATGGACAGTCTTGGACGAGTCAGCAGACCAATACCAACGGCCTTCTGGATTGCCATTGTCATTTACGAGATTTTACAGCTGCAGTATCTATGCCGGTGAAACGCTGTCTAGACAGTTGATTGGTCCTGAGAGCTGCTTTCTCGAGCAGGGCACCTCGAAAAGGCCATTTTCCGACACTAGCAGCCGCCAAAGCCATCCGAATTGTCTGGTTGCCTGGTTGCCGTTGAAGTTGCAGGAAACATAGCGATCTACTTGCCCTCGTCTACAAATATCGGTTCATCCGGCACTCAGCCCCTTCGACAAATGCAAGTTCAGCCATATTGTTCCAGACTACCCTCCGAGAGCCACTACTCTACCTTATCTGCGGCCTTCCTCGTCATGCCTAGCCCCTGGACTGCCTCCACCGAGCGCAAGCTGCTTCTGTGCATTATTGATCACAAAGCTACGTTCAAGTGGCAGCAGGTAGCTCAGAGCATGGGTCCACACTTCTCTGCGGAAGCGTGTCGGTACGTCCCCCTCGTTCTTTCTACCTAGTTTCTGCCTATAATTGCAGTTGGTTCTTCGATTCTCTTGCCGTATTCCTTCTCGGCCATTCTTCTTGTTCTCCATCTCTCACACTCCAACTGGAACCTTGTCATTGCTTTGTATCTTGTAGAATTGACAAGATTGTAAACATGCCATACCAATGGACGGCTGCAAGGGAACGTCAAATGCTCCTGCTTGCCATCTCCTCCGCCAACTTGAGGCCGTCGGCCGACACATGGACAAAAGTTGCCTCCCTGCTGGGAGAAGGCTTGACCGCATCAGCTGTGAGGTCTGGCTCCCAAAGACATTGCATTTAGTCCGCTAGCTGCCACCCGAACCAAACTGACTTCTTCGCAGCCAGAAATACTACAAGCTGCGGAATGAATTCACCAAGCAGCTGGATGGTCAGCCAGCGTCAACACCTTCAACCCCGACAAAGCGGAGGGCTTCTGACGAGGACGAGGACAAGAAGACGCCTCCGTCAAAGCGCGCTAGAAAGCCCAAGCGGGAGCCTTTGGACGGTGTGCCCTTCTCGGACACAAGTGACAGCTCGTGCGAAATCAAAGCACAAGATATGGCGATGACTGCCATGGACCCCTTTGCCAGCTTCAACCAACAATTCATACCCACAGGATATTTCATGCCAGACAACATGCCAATCAAGGGCGAAAGCAGTGTCAGCAACAGCTTCCTGGGCTGAGGGTCAAGAATTGAAGGGAGGGCAAGTTACCCTGCAAATGCCCAGGAAAGCGGTGGGAAACGCCCGAGGAAGCGGACAAAGGCAGTTGGTTGCTGAACACAAATTGGGGGGAGAAGGACTTGACCAGGCAGGGTTTTCGGAGGAGGCGTCATCAATTGGGTGTGATTGCTGCAGATCCTACATCGACGGATGACCTTAAAGCGTCCCGCTGCAGCTCACGAAGTGAATTCGAGACGGTGTGCCTTTGTGATTTCCCAGCCTCCCGAATTTCCAAACGTCGTATAAACATTTCTGCCTGGCAAAGTGTATGTAGACTTGTCGTCCGTTTTATGTGTATTTTAGCGGGATTGCCTTGCATTAGCGTTGTTTTAGTCGGTGGACCTGGACTTGGACCTATTGTTACTCGTACTGGTATGTGCACATCCCGGTCCCACGTTGGGTTGGTCTCGCATCGCTCTGCCGGTGGAGGATCCTGCATCCAGACACGGGTTGCTCATGTAGGCCTAGAGACTTTAATTCGTTGTTGTTGTCTCGCTAATAACAATGACAGCTACGGGGCAGTTGTACGGATACCTACCCAGCAACTTCCATTCTTGGACAAGACCAGTATGTGTCCTTTGTGATCGCCACAGCTCTTGGTCGGTAGGGTAGGGTGTCCAGCAGATAGTTGAGCATCGGACCACTGCTTCACCATGTTGGCTAGACGATTCACACTTCAAGCTAACCCTGCGATTCAGTTGAGCCCCTGGCCGAATTTGCGTACCAGACTCACTCGCACTAGACCAATATTCGCAGTAGAGACAAGTGAGGCAGAATCGTATCACTGATGAAGGTGTAGCTTCGCCAGGATATAAGCCACAGGAATATAGTAAGTATGGAGTACTATAGCAGGGGTTTGGAATCCTCGAGAACTGCACCATACCATTCTCTAGACGGTGCAGGTCCAAAGTGCTTACAGGATAATGACTCACCTAGACACCCTTGCAAGCGGGAATTGCCCTTTCAGAACTTCCCAACCTCCTGAATTTTCAAATGTTGAACCCTGAGCCCTGAAAATTGGCGCTGAAAAAGGTACGTTGCCTGGTAACTGGGTTGAACCTGAAGGGTGACGTGAGAGTGAAATGCTCGGTGCCGCCAGTATTTTCCTGCTCACTTGTCTTTCACCAGGCTCGCACAATAATTGGCCCTGATCTCTAACGACTTTCTAGATCCCTTTCAAAGCATCTATACATTGATATTTCTTCATCCAAACCTTCTTCCATCCCAGAGTTCCTCGAATTCTATCTTCCAGCCTCGACCCGCAGTTAGAACCCAGTACTCATCGCCTTCAACCATGGCGCCATCTTCAGATGCTACCGAAGCGAAGAACGTGGTCAAAGATGCCATGTATCTCTTCGACCTGTTTCGCGAATCCCCACAGCCTGTCTTGGTATGTCGAGGTCCTTTCCGCCATCTGTCCCCTCTTCGGCCAACTCAACCGTTGGTGCCAACCATCACCCTTCGAATACAAATTAATTGTCAATCTGTATACTAACGCGAACTGATAGATCAATATCGCACCATATGCAGCAAAGACCGGCGCCAAACCCAACACCATCATCAAGCGACTCGGGGAAATCAAGAAGCGCAATCACCTCAACATCATCACCACAACTCAAGGCTCGAGCGATGCGGCTGGTGGCACCACTATCAAAGCCAGAAAACCAAGGGCTCCTGCTGCAAAGCCAGTCAATACCGAAGATGAAGACGCTAGTGCACCCACTGGTCTGCCCTCTCCAGCAGAGTCCGTCACTGGAATGCCGGCGTACATGACGCAAAAGAAGAAGAAGCGAAGTGCGGACGAAGGCATCGAGATGTCGGCGCCAAGCAAGAAGATGAAGACCGAGGAGGCTTGAGTTCTCCCAATGCAAGTAATTTCTTCTCCGGGCGTCCGTCAAGCAGTCACACATATGGAGCGTGGGAATTACATTGGAGACCACTCTCGACTGGATTGTTCAACATTGGCTGGAGCTTTCCTATTGAAAATATCCAATTCGAGCTGTGAATGTACTATTAGCTGGACTTCAAATGGGACGCAATCAGCCGAATGGCAGCTTTGCAGAAAAGAACTGGACATAGAGCGACAATCAATCAAGAACAATGAAAACCCCCTGTTCCCCTGTGTCTTTTATCCTCTTTTCGGGCTTGCTGCGCCTTGCAATCCCGCCACCACTCCCACTGCTGCTCCCGCTTTCACTTGTACTGCCTACAGTGGGCGGTTGTGACGGCGCCACAGCTGGACTAGCATCCAAACGTATCGGTTCAACATCAACTCCGTTGATCATGCTTGACTTCGTGCTGGTCGAGTTCCTGCCGATTCCGTTGGCACTGGCAACTGAGACCGCCTCGCGCTGCACACAACTCATTAGCTGGATCATCATTTCCGTCGAGCGCATGATATCTGCGAGGTCCGTGGGCGAAAACATCGATGTTCCCACCGGCTTTGAGACTGAACGGCTGAGCGCCTTGGCTTGGTGAGGTGTGACAGACCCGATCTCTGTTCGCGCCGAAGTTGCTCGCGTGCTGATGCTTGCTCCTTGTGAGAATGGGGCTGCTGGAGCACCAATTTGAGGTTCTACGCTCGCCGGACAGGAGCCTCCACGGGGCGGGGTATTGAGGCTCCCGGGCAGCGATGGATGAGGCGGTGATCGAGACATGGTATGTGATTCGACATACGCTTTAGGTCCGGAAGATAGTACGATGGACGCTGCTCGTGCCTTGCCATTGTCCTTGACCTTCTCGGCTGTTTGGCTGCTTTGTATCGGAGGGATAGGTACAGCCCTTTCAATGTGACTCACTGTCTGCAAAGAGAAGCTTGGAGAGCGTCTGCGGACTTCGATCGTGTCCAGTGGTATGTCATGTTGGCGTTGTGTTGGGCCGGTGGCATCCTTCCATGGCTGTCCTTGTGGCGCTTGGTTACCGCCTTGGCCGTGAGATTCAAGGTGGCCGTCGGGTTCGATAGGTTCACCATCACGTAAACCATTGATTCTCAGTGGCTCAGGTGGTGCAGGTGTCGCCTGATGTGGTCCAGCCGAGACGGCTCGGACTTGAGCGAGCTTCTCTCGCCCCTTGGAGAGCTTGAACTCGTTCTTCAGATTACGCAAATGCTCATTACTTAGCGACTCATGGCGATTGAGGTCCTCCTGGCTGGGCAGTTGACTGAGACATAGTGCGCATCTGTAGTTTCCTTGCTTCGTGACGTATCCAAAGGTTTCTGGATTCGGTGTGGAAGGGACACTACGGGCAGGAGACAATGTGGGCTGAGCTTCGATGTCGTTCTCGATGGCGGAGAACGGCCTCTTATTGTTTGTGCTCTGATTTTCCGAGGCTGGCTGATGACTTCGCGCCGTGACATACGAAGCGGACTCGATGTTCGATGACGGACCTGCGATGACAGGCTCTTTCTGTCTGCTCTGGAGGCTCGCTTGTCGGACAGCTCCATTGGATCGGAACTCGAACGTAGGACTGGTTGGTGCGGTAGTGCAGAAAGGGATGTCTTCGGGATTCGGAGACACTTCTGAGACTTTAATCACCCGAGGACGCTTGGCCGGTGCTCGATGAGTGTGGCCAAAGTGAGCTTCGGCTTCCCGTTGAGTAAGAATGCTCAGATCTTCGTCGTCAAAGAAGAGATGTGGTGGCCGTGATGATCTTGATGGAGGTCTCGGTGGTGCCCTTTTCCCAGAGCCCTGGTGGTCAGGGTTTTTGGCTTTGAGCTGGTCTGCTGTTCTTGAGACCTCCTTCGCGAAAAATGATTTGATGGAGTCGTAGGTCGCATCAGGACCGAAATACTTTGCAATTGATAAATATCGACCTCTAAACTGAGACAGATTTCAGCACTGATGATCGTGCAAGGGAACGGATCACCTACTGCTTCTTCTCCCAGCTCTGCGTAGACCGCGGCTAGTAACTGGAAAACTGTAGCTCTTTGCCGCCAATTGATAGCCATTACCAAGTATCGTCCGGCTGATGTTGGTGCTTCCAGACTCTCGTCGTTATTTATACGGTCAATATTCACGAAGGGGACAAAACCAAAAGAATATGATGAAGGAAGTAGTGGAGTTAGTCAGTTTGACACTACGAAAGAGTGTTTCAATCTTGATCAGCGGAGAGACTGTGGGAATGCGGCAGAGAATGGACCTCCTACATCTCGGCTTGTCCGTATTCCGACGAGAACCAATCGCTCGCAAGTGCATTGAGCGGGCAAGGCGATTGTCCGACATTGGCAGTGCTTGCATCTTCGAAGGAGTAACCTCGCCACGCCATGGCGTGCCACGCTCGCGTAGCGTGAAAGAGTCAACTGCTAGGATCTGCAGCCGATTGGTAAAAGCTGTCAAACCGGAAGTGCATGCAGGAGGAAGAAAGAGGAAGAAGGAAACAGGAAATGGTGTGGTGGGCCTCGGACTTGTGATGACGAGGCTGCAGCAGCATCTCCACTGCACTTGCCTTCGTTGACTTGGCGTCCTTACTGTTTCTGTCATTACAAGGCGGAATAATTTTCTTTCTCAAGATCACCACCATGCCGGGCCGCTCATGTGGAAATTGGGCCAGAAACAGCAGACGGTACCCTGTGAAGGTGATAATGGTGCAGATAATGCTCGCTGACTTGTCGCGGTGTCGGCGTTGATGGAGGTCATCTCGGCTTTATATCTGGTCGTTGAAAGCCAAGTTTTGTCGTATTCTCACCGGCTCGTGGACGGCATATAGGAGTATATGCTTGTCGATAGAAATCACATTTAGAGTCCAGACAGTGCATAATAACTCGACGAGGCTGCACGCTGTATGCAGACGTGTTGGAAGGACCAGCAGTATCATCATTGGAAGTCATCGTCTTACATTAGATCACTGTGTTGGTGTGACTATCGTCACTGCATCTGACCGCTGATCTCAAAGTAATCACAGTGCTTGGCCTATATATGGCTGCTTTTTTTAGATGCGTATTGGTCTGCACAGATTATCGTCGGGACAATGACTCGACTTCTCATGGTTTGAACGGAGTCTGTGTAACGAACAAAAACGCACTACAAGACAGGTGCCGAAACACAAGAACGTAGAATATGAGTCTCATTTCAGTAAGAGCAGAGGACGGCGGCAACCTACTATCGAGTCAGAATGCCGAACCGCACCTGCGAAGAGCTGCCTGAGCCAACATCTCGAGTACAGGGGGTTTTAATGGTGGCAGTGTGTGGGAGACATGCGGTCATGCTGATTTCATCCTCGAAGAAGGTCGGCAATGACGAAGCTAATGTCAGGGTACGAGACGTGCTACTAATGTACTGGCTCTACGGAGCGTCAATATATGTGGCGCTTGGGCAAAGCACGTCAAGTTGATTCATGGCAGAGAGGACACTTGTTTTCAGATGTGGATGAGAGCACAATGAGACGCTCGGAGCCACATGATTGTATGGTCTCTGATGAGCTATTGTATCGTGGAATCTCGATCGATTGAGCTCATCTCTCTTCTCCCAAGGTTGAGAATTCTGATCCTTCCGTGATCCAACGTCCTCGGATATGCCTTTCTGAAGCACAGCTCTTCTTGTGAGTGACACCCAATTGTTTCCAGCACGCTTTGAACCTCACAACAAGTAGTGAGTGATGAGCACGATTGTAGCCACGGTGAGAAAGTGTATCAAGAATGTGGTTGCACTGTTCAAGGTCAGTCACACGCCCGTAAGCCGTAGCAAGGACACATAGAAGTTACCTGATGAGTGGAATGGCTGATGTTTAAAGGCCACTTTCGTTTTCTTCAACGTCCTCGACCTTGGGTTGCTTGGTATCGTTCGCATCCGGCTCGTTCTTGACTTCCACCTTGACAGTCGCCTTCTTCTTCTTTGTCGGAGTCTCTTCAACTTCGTCACCACTATCAGCCTTCTTGCGCTTGCTTCCGCCGGTGCTCTTTTGCGGGGTGGTCTTCTCGCCTTTGTTGGCAGGAGTCTTGAGGGCTGCGGCAGTTGCTCCACCACCATCACCACTCAGGAGCTTCTCGGCATCTCTCTTCAACTTGTAGAACTTCTGACTGTACGAAAATGATGTTAGCGACTGACTGCTACCAGAACTCAAGGCAGTCAAGAAGATGAAAGTAATTCAAAAAAGAGCGCGATCACGGCGTAATACCTGCAGGCATTGCCACTAAGATCACGACCAAGTCTCTCAGCGACGTTAGGCCAGATCGCTCCCGCTGGAGGAGACATTTCCGTAATCACCAGGAGGAGAAGAGCTCTTTCGGACTCGGCGTCCCATTTGAAAGGCATTTTAGGGTTGGCAACGTAACGTGAAAGCTGGAAGTGATAAGGGATCTGTAGATGGGAGGTCTTTTGTTGTGTTGAGGGAAGAGTAGGAATGGAAGCACGGAGGACAAGTCTGTCGGAAGAAGAGCGAAGAGCTTGGGGGCAACAAAAGGAAAGTTGAGTATGTGAGAAAGGGAAGAGAAGAAGTGAATCAAAGAGAAGTGCATATGTTTGGGGTGAGGATTTGGGTGAGATCAAGTGAGGTACAATTGAGAGAATAGCCACAGCTGGAGTATACGGACCGACAGGATCCACCTGTGAACTCAGGTCCCCTGGCCATTGAAATGGGGCCACAATCGTGTCTCTCAGCTGGAGCAATCATTACAAAGAGAAGGTTCTGCTCTGTCTCCTTATTCCAAAGGCTGGGAGCCATGTTGAGCGATAGAAGTGTCTTGCATGACGAGGTTTGAGTTCTGTGTGCTGGGAGTGTGTGATTTCTGAATTTGTGAGAACAAGATAGGGAGATGGAAAGGAGACGAGAACAGAGACGCAGATATTTGTGGACAAGAAACAACACAAGCCACGCCGGAAGGACACTAATAGAGGGTATCGCAGAAACACCTACCGACATTGGTCGGTTCGACAGCCCATCTTCACAGCTGCGGCATCAAAGACGTCGCGGCTGACTGATATATCGAGGTCCAGAACCAGCAAGAGGAGGGTAAGGTCGTCACGTTCAGTCCAAGGCATCGCGGCCGGTTCAGGTATCTTGCGCGAGTGATGGAGAGACTGGAGGCGAAAGGAGTAAAGAATAAAGAATAGAGATGACCTGAGAAAGACAAAGCACAACCGAGGTGAAGGCTTCAAAACAGCAGGTACCTACCGACAGCCGTTCCAATTCAATCCATTACCAAGTTTGTCTGCGGCCTCTTCGAATTTGGTCTTTGGGACATTGTCTGGGAAGGGGATTATGGTGAAAAGAAGGAGCTTTTCAAGCTGATCTGTCCAGGGGTTCGACATTGTTGCCTTGCGGTGGGAATGATATGTTTCGTAGAAGATTAAAAACGGACAGTTTTGGATAATGAAATAAGAGATGAGGATAATGAAAAGGGTGGTTATGAATGAAGCTCGGCGTCGGTTTCGTCTCCTTTTCTGTTCCTAGTCCTGATGTTGGTTGAACGTGCATCTACCATTTCGGCAATCCTTCCACGAAGACGCGTTACCAGTTGCAGAATTGCGTGCAATGTTCCGTCGAGCCTGTGAACAGAATGGCAACAAATGCCACCCGTACTGCCAATAAAGGGTTAAAGGGTGTGCGAAGTCCGGCGCTTGAATTCGAATGTATTCAGGCCCCTTGAGTTCCATGTTAAGATACAAACCGGCAGATAAGAGGCCACCATAGATCGGGTCCAGGGCAATGGTCAGTTGTTACGTGCAGATCTTGACGTTCGTTCAAACCGACTGTGGTGGTCTTCTGGACTAGGAGGATCGAGGGGCGGATGGCAAGATAGCAACAGCTCAGGCAGCGTTTTTGTCCCGGTTGCACACAATAGCGGTGCTCTGACTCAGCTTTCGCCTCGCCTTCGGGCCATGGGCCATGTGCCCAGAATTATTCCAGGACGTGGTGCAGCAGCATGACGACGACGACCAGCAGACCAAAGTGGGAAGAAGCAACAGGAGAGCGATTTGTGGTGGATTTGGCGCTTGCAATGAATTCGTGGCTTTGCCCGGCCAACGTTGGCGAGAGCAGGCGGCGGTCCTGGGCCACCAACACTGGACCATGATGGACCCCACCATTCCCTCATGCTTCGTTGACCGAACTGCGCATTCAATTCTCCTACCATCTTGACATTATTTCGTTGCCTGCCACCATCCTCACTCTGTCACTTACCATTCTACTCGGACTCGTGCTCATCCAGGGTATAGGTACGTAACCATCGCCCAAGATCCATCGCAAAATCATCGGTGCCTAGCCGGCCAGACCCTTTCTTGTTTTCCATCATCCCTCCTTCAGACCACATTTGAACGATAAGTCGTCCTCGTCAAACTGACCGTTGAATCAGATTCAACTTCAATCACACTGCTTCAAAAATTGTCACTCCGCAGCCATGGTGTGTAACCTAATCGTCAGTGGAATTTCGCGCCTGCTAACCAGTTTCTAGCCTGTGTCCGGGTATGTCTTGCGACCTACCGCGATCGTATCGAGTCATTCGTGCCCGAGAACACTCTCTAACGCTTGCGATCTCCCAGACTCTCCGTCAACCCAGACTGTGTGTCTGCTTTCAACGAGTTGAAGCTCGGCCGTGGCGGACCTAAATACATCATCTACAAGATCTCCGATGACCAGAAGGAAATCGTGGTAGACGAGATCGGCAAAGAGTCGGACTACGACACTTTCAGAGAGAAGCTCATCTCCAAGAAGGAGAAGTCAGGCAAGGATAGACCTTCATATGCCATCTATGATGTCGAATTTGAGCTCGAAGGTGGTGAGGGCAAAAGGTGTGTTCATGCATAGGCCGCACCCGGAGACGTCCCTTTTGCTGAGTCTCGACTGTACAGATCCAAAATCGCCTTCATTACCTACATCAACCAAGACAACACCAATGTCAAAGTATGTCAGCTATCCCTGGACTGCATTTCCTCGCTAATCCCTGCAGTCTCGCATGGTCTACGCCAGCTCCCGTGAAACCTTGAAGAACGCTCTCAACGGCATCGCAATGAACTGGCAAGCGAACGACCCTGGCGAGTTGGAGTGGGCCGACCTGCTCAAGGAGGCAAGCAAAGGCAGGGGAACAATCTAAGCATGACATTGACATATGAATGGTTGGACAACGGATGCGCGCCCCAGGCACTTGCTACAGTGGTAGCAGCGCTTGATCCAGTGAAACAGTACGAAGCGGAGGTTTTTCTGTCGAGCAGGCATGCTCTGTCAGGGTTGACTATGCGCCGTTGAAGGAGCCGACATCTCATGCCGTGACGATTACACAACCCCTCGCACTGAAGAATCCGAGATAGATGGTCTTAAGCAAAATCACAGCACTTTTTGCCTATGAACCCAGACCTTTCGCTTACTATTGGTGAACACCATTGACAAACTATGGTTGCTGTATTCCTTTGCGTCGACGTACATGCTGCTTATGGATTCCACATTTGGTCAGCCGTCCCTTGTAATTTTGGTATCTGCGGATACCAAGGTCAATGGACCAGATCCTTCTGGCAACAGCTTGAGTAGGTAGGATTGCGTCGGGCATAAAACCTCGTAGTTGACGTCCGAAGAGGTATGGGAGACGCCGCTGATCCCCGTGACCAAATGGAAGTTCAGCACCGTCACGAAAGTAAAAGGCAGTGAAGCAACGAGTGGTGTGAGAAGCTTTGTTAATTTTGCCGCGCCAAGACCTTGAGCTTCCCTCTGATCATTGAAGGTCGCTTTTGACGACTTCACCACTGCACCACTCACGACAAGCTTAATTCCATTGTTCAACACCTCACGATAGTGGCCGCGAAGCTTCAGGCTTCGGCAGGTTCTTGAATACTCCCTTCTCATATGTTTTAGGCCGACTTCCAACCAATCCCTGCAAGATGTTTCTCCACTCCCTCCCTCGTGCTGCTCGCACCTCTACGAGTAGCTTGAAGACAAGCACGCGGATGGCCTCTGCCAGTCTCCGAAACTTCCAATCCTCGGCGCGAACAATGGCTCCTACCTTCTCTGCTACGCAGCAACCTCCCATGACCAGCCAATCTCAAATCCGATCTGCTCATGCCATTTCCAACCCGACCCTCGCTGGGATTGAGAAACGATGGGAAGCAATGCCCCCTCAAGAGCAGGCCGAGCTTTGGATGCAACTGAGGGATCGTATGAAGGTTGATTGGCATGAAATGACTTTGCAAGAGAAGAAGGCCGGTATGACTACATCCAGTCCCTAGGAAGGCGCGTCACCAGAGACTACGGTTCTGCTGGAACTCGTGTGGCGTGCAGGACAAGGACGCAGGTCATGGTTGAAATGATAACTGACTGGTTTCTAGCATGGTGGATCGCTTTTGGACCTCACGGACCTCGCGCAGAGACACCGCCGGGCGAATGGACAAAAGTGTGGGTTTACACAGCAGCCGGCGTTGCGATATCAGCAGTCTTGTTCTTGATCATCCATTCCTTCGCCAGACCACCGCCACGAACTATGACTAAGGAATGGCAAGAGGCTACTAATGAATATCTCAAGGTAAGCAATGCTCAATGGATGAGTCTGAGCAGCGCATACCATCCAGCCGGTCCATTCCTCGGCGTAGAAAATTACTAACGCGACTGTCCAGTCTGAGAAGAGCAACCCTATTTATGGTATCAGCAGTGAAGGATATAGCGGCAAAGGTCATGTCCAGAGCAAGTCGGCCAAGGCTCAGGGAATAAAGATCGAAGCCGACGAATAGAGAAGGAGTGGGAGCTGAGAGACTGCTCGAACTTTGAGCTGGCAGTCGCCTCTGTACTGTGACTAGTATCAGGAGAATGCAGGATTCTCTTATTTTACCAATACAAAACCAACATTCAGTCCAGCTTTGATTCCAGGCGTCGGTTTCGACACAATGTACATAGAACCCACCAGATAGTGGCTTATCCGCATGGCACCAAACTGTTGCTGCTCTCTACGAACAGTCACCGTGATCGCAAGCTTCTGCAACTGTTCATATGCCATGCGAGTGTGCAGCCCGTGTTTTATGAGAGAGACACCCCGTTTCCGGGCGGGATTTTTCATGACCCTTTTAGGACTAGCGCAGGTCTGGGAGCTCCTGCTTCGACTTGAATTGACCTCGTAATTATTCTCCCTCAACCACACAACTCTCCTCTCTTCCCCGTAAATCACCTTCTCATCATCCGCAAACATGCTCAAGAGGTCAGTGAGACTGTCGTACTGTTTGAGCACAGCTCTTCCGAGCTTGTCGAATCGTTGCTGACCGAATTGAACAGCGGCGTCGCCCGTAGCTTGGGCAAGTCTGCCTTTGCCCGACCTTCCTTCACCCGACGCGCAGTCGAGCCTCTCCGAAGACATGGTGTGCCTGCAATCGCTCAGAGATGGGCCTCGACGGACACCGCTGGTAACGGCAAGATCCATCAGGTCATTGGTGCCGTTGTCGATGGTATGAAAAAATCCTTCCAGTCGCGCATTGGAGCTCCTCGTCAGCTCGGCATCAACAAGCTCCCACGAAAATCATGCACAGTTAGATCTGACGGATGCTGTTTAGTTAAATTTGACGGCGACAGACTGCCTGCGATTCTGAATGCCCTCGAAACAGATAACAACGGAACCAAGTTGACTCTGGAAGTTGCGGTACGAATACGAACAAGAGCTTCGGGGACAATTGATACTGACTGCATTAGCAACATTTGGGTGAAAACGTCGTGCGATGCATTGCTATGGATGGTATGAGCTACCAAGGGTCTACTATTTTTGACAGCTCTGACTGTTTGTTTCAGGTACCGAAGGTCTCGTCCGAGGACACAAAGCTAGCGATACTGGCGCACCCATCAAGATTCCTGTCGGCCCAGGTACCTTGGGTCGTATCATGAACGTCACTGGTGACCCTATTGATGAGCGAGGTCCTATCAAGGCCACCAAGCTGGCTCCTATCCACGTCGATCCCCCGGAGTTCGTCGAACAATCCACAACTGCCGAAGTGCTTGTCACTGGTATTAAGGTCGTCGATCTTTTGGCTCCTTATGCTCGTGGTGGAAAGATTGGTCTTTTCGGTGGTGCCGGTGTCGGCAAGACTGTGTTCATTCAGGAACTGATTGTGGGTTTGCTTCACACTCCTGGATCTAAGCAATGGCTGACGAGACCAGAACAACATCGCCAAGGCTCACGGTGGTTACTCCGTGTTCACTGGCGTGGGTGAGCGTACCCGTGAGGGCAACGATTTGTACCATGAAATGCAGGAAACTTCCGTCATTCAGCTCGAAGGCGAATCCAAGGTCGCTCTGGTGTTCGGTCAGATGAACGAACCTCCTGGAGCTCGTGCTCGTGTTGCTCTGACTGGGTAAGTTACTCCTTCCCTTCTTGAGCCCATCCACTGGACTCGGGTTCTTCTGGACAATTCCAACTTTTGGACCTCACCTTTTACTACTAGCTCTGTTACTGATCTATGTCTTCCGACAGTTTGACTGTTGCTGAATATTTTCGCGACGAAGAAGGGCAGGATGGTGAGTAGCAACGCCTTCTATACGATCAAAGCTAACCTCGACAGTGTTGCTCTTCATCGACAACATTTTCCGCTTCACTCAAGCCGGTTCGGAAGTGTCTGCCTTGCTTGGTCGTATTCCTTCTGCGGTCGGTTACCAACCCACTTTGGCCGTCGACATGGGTGCCATGCAGGAACGTATCACAACCACACAAAAGGGATCTATCACCTCAGTCCAGGCCGTCTACGTGCCCGCTGACGATTTGACTGATCCTGCTCCTGCCACCACTTTCGCCCATTTGGACGCCACCACTGTGTTGTCTCGTGGTATCTCAGAGTTGGGTATCTATCCCGCTGTCGATCCTCTGGACTCCAAGTCTCGTATGTTGGATCCCCGAGTTGTCGGTCAAGAACACTACGATACCGCTTCGCGAGTCCAACAGATGTTGCAAGAGTACAAGTCGCTCCAGGATATCATCGCCATTTTAGGTATGGATGAATTGTCTGAAGCCGACAAGTTGACCGTCGAACGTGCCCGAAAACTCCAGAGATTCTTGAGCCAGCCTTTCACTGTCGCCCAGGTCTTCACTGGTATTGAGGGCAAGCTTGTGGACCTCAAGGACACCATCTCCTCCTTCCAGAAGATTATGAACGGCGAAGGTGACGACCTGCCAGAAGGTGCTTTCTACATGGTCGGCGATTTTGAGAGTGCCCGTGCGAAGGGTGAGAAGATCTTGGCCGAACTCGAGAAGTCATAGGTGGTCGAGAGATGAGATAGAAAGCCAAGCAGCATAGCCATGGTCGCTACAAGTTCTCCTATGCTGCGTTCAAGACAACAGCTCTTCGTGGAAAAGTATGGGAAGGAGAAAGACTCGAGTAGCAGATCTGTACATTGAATCACTTGAAAACTCGTTCACTCAAGACCGGTCGTTTCTCAGCAGCCTTATTTCTGTTTTAATATACGTTACGACTCGGATTTGTACGTGCCCTTCTGCGGTTCTGTTCCATGTGGTACGCCGGACTCATATGCTCCTATGGTGTCTACGATGGAGAGGGTAGTGGCGAGGCGCATGCAATTGCGCAAGGCGGTGTCCGGAGCGGTATCGGGAGGCAGAGGTGGTGTCGAGTCGGGGAGGACGGCAATTCGAACGTTTTGCAGTGTTCGATCGTGCATGGTGTGAAACGAGTGGACAAACATGTTGTCACGAAAGGCGCGTGCGGTGTCCTCAAATGGACTGCACAACCTCACTTTGGTGGGCTTTCGAGGATATCTGTACAGAAGGACTATCCTGCCTATCCAACGCAGTCGTCTTCACGGCCATGGGCCTTTGCTCGTCATCCAAACCTCCCAATGGGACCTAATTTGTGTAACCGGATCACCTCCGCACCGCATCACCTCCAGCATCTTCCAATGTCCCACGCCACCAGGCCCACGTTCTGTTTTCAGGTAACAATCCCCAAGAATATACTGGTCTAAGCGTCTTGATAGTTCTTGGGTCAGATCCGATCCATCATTCACCAGGCTGACACATTGATGATTTCGTATGCACTCTGTACGAAGAGGTGTCAATCCAACCTCCCGAAAGGCCGCATGGGTAGTTTGCAGGATTCTTGCTAGCGGTAGCCTCTCAAAGGATGCATGTCCTACTGAGGTCCATGTGTGCCCCGATATTCGTTGACTCGACTTTTCCTCAAAATGTCAATGTTCAACCGGCAGCATCGAACCCGGTTTCTTATGATCCAACGCTGCTCGTCTCGGTCTTGTCCTTCCCCCGACTCAGACTACTCCGAGGAAGAATCCAATGGCTGAACTGTCTTGCTGGGATCGACTATTCATCTGCATCATCCAGAATTCCATGTCGCTGCATGCAAGGGCTATAAGATACCGATGTACCTACATTGCTAGGTACATCTGCCGGTATCGCGTGTTACTGAGCGATGTTGCTGGGCAGCGTGCAATTAACATCACGAAGATCGTCTGACTCCGCCTGAATGGATATGCCTGCAAAATTGCTCTTGCCCGCTTCCCTGATAGTGACGAGCCCCGTCAGTGCAAGCGTACTGAACACGGCACTTTCGTTTTGTTCGCTGGGGAGTCTTCTGTCACGGGTCAGAGACCGGTAAGGTCACAGTAGCTAGGAGCACTCTATATCGCATCTGACACCGCAGGAACATGGCACTCACATGTGGTGTACAAACTGGGTGAGAAGGGATATTGGAAACCTCACTATCAGCTTGCGTTGGTCCGTCCAGATCATATTGCCCTGTCTGCTGAGGAGGGAGACTCGGAAAACATAGAGTGCATGCCCGAGAGCCTTTCTGGAACTGTGCCATTGCTAATGAGTCGAGATCGAGCATCAAAGCGTGGAAGAATGGTGTACACGTTGGCTGCGTTCGTGCTCAGGACGCGTAGCCGGTTTCTGCTCCGCCGTAAATGATATTACGCTTCGTGGCTGTATGATTCGTCCTCCAGCACTTTAAGGAAGTGCCGACTTAGTATGCGTCGTCCTTGAGAAGTTCGTCAGACTGCTCAATCGTTTGAGCGCCATTCGTGATATCAAGGATGGCTCACTGATCTTGAAAACGAGGCTGCTCATGGCCTCGAGAAGGGTAGATTTTGCCCCAGGACTAGGTAGTCAAACAGCTCGATGGGATGACCGCATATCAAGGTTATAAAAATGTGATATTGAAGAGGGTCAAGAATCCTCTGCAGAGACACCTTGATGGCTTTCTCACAGGCAGATGAAGAACGTCGGGCATTGGGTGACTTCACAAAGGCAGTATTGTCATCTCGTGTCTTGGTCCCCCTCTACGGCCTCGAAGTTCTCCCAAGCTAAACTGATGTGGATTGAGCAAGCACTTTGGTCCTCGTCTTCCACCATCACAGCTCTCGATTGCTACAAAGACTCGGGCACTTGCGTGAGCGTGGCCATCTCAGATATCACGTCACAAGTCAGCTCCTTCCTCACTTGACTTTCAGCATCTCAACAGTCTCAATTTCAGTATTCTTTTTTCATTTTCTCTTTTCCGGTACTTTCTTTGCGTCGACGTCCTCGCTTCCCTATTGACGAGTATCGTGGCCGATCGTCTGTCCTCTGCCTTTTTACTCCTCGTTCGTTCCTCCATCAAATACCACACACCCTCGACAAAGTTGACATCTTCAACCTCAAAAATGTCAAGAACCAAGAAATATGGCCACTAATCAGACGGCAGAAGCTGCTACGTCATGTTAAGCAGTTTGCTGATTATAGAAACCAGTGGAAATACGTCGCCAAGCAAATGAAAGTAGATGCAAATGAGTGTCGGTGAGTCCTTCTCTAGTCTTCTCCAAGCTCGCTGCAGCCTTCAATTGGCATCTTTAGGGAGAAATACCAGGAGACCCTCTCGAATCCCGAGACACTAGCAAGGCCCAGACGGATGTCCGAAAAGAACCAAAAACGATCCCAGCAAGTTCGAGGGTATAAGGTATAACAGGTGGACGAAGCTACACACGGTTTAGTACAAAGCAACCAAGGAGGCAATGACATACATTCTCAACTAGCACGAATGTCCGTCGAGGATGTCAAAACTAGTGGTGAGCAGATGTATCAATTTCAATGTCCGTCAAGCTGATTATGAACCAAGAGAATCTACTGGACATCCTTGAGTCCTTCGTGGATCAGATGCTCCTTGAAGCTTGAAGTCCAAAAGTTCGTCTCAGTCTTCATTGGCTTGGCTAGCGACCTGGTGCCAGCGGCTGCAAGCCTATCAGTGAATTAAACAAAGCAAGCTGAACGGATATCCCGAGCCACCAGTTCGTGTATGCACAGAGCTACCTTCTCCTTACTTAGCCGCAAAGCCGTTGCCTGTTGACTGATCAAATTGTTGTTCTATTGTGCTGGATCAGAGACAACCCACTGCGCCAGGTTGCTGGCCCAGAAATTGAACAGACCTGCGATTGTCGGCATCTTCCGCCGTACACTTTGAGCGTCTGCACCCCCTTCGGAGCCGGCATTGAAGGCCGGGATGTTGAGCTTCTCCACGCCCATTTTGATGAACTCATCCTGATTGCGGGAAAAGGGCAGCGCTATGTTGTGATGGTCTCCTTCAAGCACTAACGACGTCTGGACTATCTATCTCAAGTTGTCAAAACTGTCGTGCCCCTTACATGGATCCTGCACATGGCATCGCTGATGAGAAAGCGTGGCAACGCATCGCGCTGCTACTAGCGACAATGGCCCTAGCTGCCATGTGCCTCGAGGCTGCCTTGCAGTTCCGGTTACTCCGTACCCATCAAGAGCAATCCTGCAGGAATATTTCGTGCCGAGATCAATTCGTGGTTAAGCTTGGACGTCTTGATAGCAGAGCAGGACACCATATGGAGACTCGGAGGTGAGTTATCGTGACATTAGGTACATGCACCAAAGCGGACGGGGGACCTCAACTGTTGTACGAGGAAATGTTCAATACTTCCAGTGGCAGGTCATACCACGCTCAAGGAAGTTCTGTAACCTGTTCCAGATTTCGGCTGATCCTTCGTGGCAGCCATGTGAGCTAGATGTCGTGAGACTAGGACAATCAGTAACGCCGTCCCGCTAACTTCGAAGAGAGAGGCACTAACTACTATGTAGTTAAGCTATGGGCTGCTCGATGCCGTTGCGAACTTGCGACTGTGTTAGGTGACAGCGGCCCCTAAATTGCGCTCATTAGAGTTTGGAACCGCCTGTGGTGAAGAGTTCCACCATCATCCACCACGCGAACTGGAGCCCCCTTAGCTTGAAGTACCGTACCCACGGGAGAGGCGATTTGACACCCTGCATTGCAGGGTGCAGAATGAAGACGTGGACACCTTGGCGACAAGAATCCAGCGAGCTTGACATCTGCGTGGCTGGTAGCGAAGCACATTGGCGAAATGGCCCATCAGGTCCAATGAGCCGGATGAGTTCTCTTGAGGACTGCGTATGAGTACCTCGAGCATATCGCGAAAGGCCTGAGCTTGCCTGGAGCAGAGAACGTCGGGGGGATATTTTCGCCCTTAGCGGCGGTCGGACCGCCTATTTTTGAGCGGCCACCGGGGGCATCAGGTTTGAACGATTGGGGGATGGAGTTGCGTGAGACTATCGTGACGGTCGTCTTTTTCTTTGGGAGGGGAAAGGGTCCCACGACCATTACGGAGTCCAGAGGTCCGGTCGATCATCCTGTCGCGTTACGAAAGTGTATTGCGGGTGAAGCGAACTCTATGGGCACTACGAAAAAGAGACGATTGTGTGTGTGCCGTCAATGAATGGCACAAGTCTCCGTATGACCAAACTGAGAAGTCCAAAGAAAACTCGCGTTCGAGCAGTGACATATAATTGGCATTGAAAATGTGTGCGAGGGCGCTCCAAAAAGCCGCTTTTTCCTGGCATGCAGTGGGCAGATGCGCTCCAAGACCTTAGCTTAAGCGAATCGAGGCGGTTCTTAGCATGCTTCGTTATTCCTCTCACATGGAAAAGTTGAACCGCGCGCAAGACGTGAACTCCAGGAGCTGAGCAGGAGCACAAGGCAGAAGTATATCGTCACATAATTCCGCTCAGCAGATGTATATACGTTAGGATCCCTATATCCCGTCTAGATAAGCTCCTTTTAGGCGCCGGCTCGCTTCCCCGGTCATGATGGTAATGTACAGTTGTAGATGTCATCCATCTCAGCAGCAAATCCAGAGCCTAGAGAGCTGCAGTTGCACGTCGCGTGCCTTCCTGACAACATCGATCCTTCTCTTGTCGACACAATGGTCACCTTGTATTTACTGTCCCAGTCGAGGTATTTTACAAACGTTCTCTTCTTGGACTACCGCTCGAACCGTCGTTGACGGCATCTGGATCACTGTGCTGATCTTCGTACTCGACCTTGTAGTCGATGGTGTGCAGAATGATGTCGTCTGTCAGTCCTTTGACGCTCTCGCTGCGGTCGTTTTCCACCTTGCTGCTTGCTTTGGTGGCATTGGGCCGGTTGTATCCTCGTTCCATAGTGTTTACTGCTTCTCTTTGTTTTTCTCCCCATAAGCCAGAGTTGCCACTGCTTGTGTTCATATTGCTCATTCCGCGGCTTGTGATGCCCAGCCTGCTGGCCAGCTTTGAAAGACCCTGCGACTTGAGAGTCCTTCCTTTGCTCTCGCTCCTGCTCCTTGAGTGGCGCACGAATGATGCCGTCAATTCATGCTCGGGTATGTTGACCACGATAAGACCGGGTTTGATATCGGCGAGGAAAGGCTTGAGCGAAGGAATGCACGCCGCGATGATAGAGACGTTCATCATGATTTGTGCAAAAACTTGGGGTACAAGTGCGTTCCAGGTCGGGTCGTCGCGGCGGGATATGATTTCGCGTTTCTTGAAGACCAGCATAGCGATGGTGAAGGCTGGGACACTGGGTATGGTGTTAGCGCAAAAAAGATGCTAGAGGGATATTTCTCATACCTGAGTCTCGACGCGAAAAGCGCAGTAACCACGAAGCGCTTGCTCGAGGAGACCTGAACCTTCTGCATCATGGCGAAAGGAACAATCACGATAAGAACGTCGCCCAGTATGTTGAAGCTGTAGATGCCGACATTGAGCGCAAACCGGTCGACGCATTTATTGCTGCCGTAATTCCAAGGACGGGGCAAGTTGCACTGAAAAGCAAGGGCAGGAATACTGGCTAGTGTCCATGCCCCCAGAAACCCGAGAATGGAGTAGCAAGAGATAAGTAGTTTCCTTGTCGGGTTGATTGCGATGACCAGGAAAGTGAGGGATGCCTGGGAAGCAGCGAGTGCTCCTACTAGCAGGATATTTGCGGCGTACATGGCCTAATCAATGTATGAGCATGAGGGCCAAGCGCAAGGGGGTCTGTAGAGATAACCTTCTCAAAGATCTCGAAGTCCGAATCCGAGACTTTCTGTCGCTTCTTACCGAGGCCATAATTCTCAGCGATGGTGATTGTAATGGTCTCACCCAGAGCAAAGAACTATGCTTGTGTCAATTGCCACATAATTGTCCAAGGAGTGTCAGAACTTACTGCTGCTGTGATGATGAAGCAGTCGTTGAGCGTTAGATGATTTGTGGCTTTGAACCTCGTGAACAGTTTTATGAAGATTGTTATAAGACTGAGCACTAGAAAGATATAGGCGCCGACAATGACCCATGGCCCGTTGTCGTCCGAAGAGAGACGTGATAGAGGAGCGCTGAGGGAATCGTCATCAAAGGCCGACGTAGACATGTTCGACGCTCCCCAATGTCATCGGCGAGGTTGAGATTAGAGAAAGTGAACCAGACGGGAAAAGGGCTAATGGATGCTTCTTGTACAGAGGTCGGATCTTTTCACAGGACCAACATGCTCCAATCAACGCCGAGACGCTTGGTGTGAGTTGAGCGCAGGCAGCCTGGTCAATGCAGGAACAGACGTCGGGTTGTGTTGCTTCCCTTGGACACTCGAATCTCGCGCCTTTGAAACCACATGTAGGTTCGCGGACAAGTCGAATACCAAGAACCCGTGTTCGGCCAGCCCTGGAGGAATTTGACAAGGTCCACGAATCAGGACGATCGACGCTGGCGTCTGGACAACGTTTCTACTGGTGGTAGTGTCTGAATAGTCGGCAAGGATCAGAAAGGCCAGGGAGGATCCCCGGGACCACTGCATGCAAACGAATGTGACGAATATCAAGACTAGACCTCATATAGAAGAACCTGCAGCGTTTGAGGGTTAGCTATGAAATTGATCAGGGGACGGGAAACAAAACAAGCATGAGAAGGTGCAAGGAACGGGCGGAGACTTGAAGACCTCACCTTGTCCAGAATGAGGCGTGAGGTCCTCGACTGTGCCCGAGGATGGCGAAGTCGTCAAAGGGACAAGCCCATTGGTGATCTGCCGAGCAAGTGCGGGTATAGAAAGGCGTGCACAAATCCAGATAAGGCGAGGACTGGGTCGCCATTCAACGATGAGACTCAATTCTGCCGGAGCCTCGTAATAATGGGACGATAGCCTGGCACTTGGGTATCCAGGATGTTGTGAGCAGCTTGGCTATGGTATCGGCCGGCAAAGGGGCACGCTATCTTGCTGGCCGCATTATTACTGTTGCAGGCAATTCTGATGAATAAAGTACGAATACCTCTCAGGGTGTTTGGCTTCGCTTGTTTGTTCTTGCATCTGGTCTTTCATCAATAACAACCGATCCTCAGTCTTCGCCTTTGCCAGGTATCTGATATTGTTGAGGGTCTTTGGCTTCTGGACCTGCCGCCGCGAAAAGACCACTTGGGGAGATGGTCCGCACATTTGCACAGCTTGTGCATACGGATAAGAAATGATTCGCAGCTTCAAGCTAGCTGAAGGAGAAAAGCCACCGTCGTCGGGGAAGAAGAGTTTGACGTCGGTCTAGCTGACTAGTGAGACTCGAGGACGGCACTGATTCACCCTGGCATCCCTGTTCGGCCTGGTAAGTGCCCAGACCACCAGTCCAACCCCTCTTTTTCTCCCTCCCACCGCGCAGTCTACCTACCAATCGAGCAATGTCGTGCACTGTGACATTAACAGTGGGTGCAGTACGACAACCTTAGCACCCGGGATTTCCTCTAGAGCTTCCACTATCTCTCTCGCCGTCTGATCCTCAGCTCCCTCCCATCCCGCTCCTGTCAGGCGGCACGAACCTTCCTTTCCTCGACCTCGAAAGACAAAAAAGATGGATCGCTCCAACTCAAAAGCGACGTTGTACGTCAATAGAACTTCGAGGCAATAACAGAGATACGAGGCATCACAAGCATATCTGTCTTATCAAGAGGAAGGATTAGCATGGCTTCGCGTGCAGGCTTGCAGCCACCCACAAACTGATGTTGATCATCGCCGTCTTGGTTCATCAAGTGTTATCTTTGAGGACGCCGGCTGCAGCCAATCGATCCCTGGCCAAGCTCTGGTATCTCCTCACTTCTCAAGCGCCGTTACGACATCGGGATTGGTGGGCTCAGTGGGCTGAGCAGCTCACGAGACACCATTCGATGGTGGTAGTGCACCGGAAATGGGATCACCAAATGAATGGAGCTCTGTCCTAGAGCTTCACCACGAGGGGCAGAGCCAGAACCCAAGACACCCTGGGTTGACCGGCCCTCGAGCCCACCAGCCTTAACTTCACCCCTCTGCCTTGGCACATCCTTCCATCTTCGCTCAACAATCGGCAGCTCAGGCCCTGTCAAGGGCTTGGGAGCTAGCGAGCCTGTATATTCAGGACCATAGGGATGCACAAGCTGTCTGCAGTCGGTGCGAAATCTTGCGGGCCGAAACACTTGCTGTCGTCAGTATCATCTTCATGTATCAGTGCATTTACACGCACGCACTTCCCTATTCTGAGGCTTTCCCGAGCCTAGCAAACGTCTTGCGCGACTCTGCGTTAGGGTCAAGACACCGTGCAGCTCGTCTCTACTTCCGAACAACATGTCCCAGCACTATACCCTGTTTAACGTCGCAGTGCTCCGTCATATCCACTTTACGGCATTAGCCGCACTTAAGAACGCCCTCGGATCGGCCTTGGTCTTGCTGGACCACTTGTGTATGGCAGGGAACTAACGGGACCCCTGGGTCGGGCAAGCCACCTAGATCCGTCGTCTTCTCCACATCCTCTGCATCGATCCTGCTGCTTGTCAAGGTCCGGCCCCAAGGTTGAAGGCAGGGTCGGCTACTACACTAGCGATCCCACGTACCGATGATTTCTTTCGATACTCCTCTAGTATCGCTTCTCGACACATTTTCCCTGGGCGACGCCTCTCAGCAGTCTCCATATCCACGTTTCTCGAATTGTGCTTCTTTCCGTTGCCACATGGTGGCCGTCTAGGCGTCCTCGCAGCGAGTCCAGTCACTTCGGTTCGCGCTTGCTACTCTCACGATCGGTATTTCGCCGAAGACTCGCTTTTCCTTTTAACCGTTCCTCTTCTCTTTCATCCCACTGCTTTGTTCTTCTCTACCCTACCAACATCAGCCAAGATGGGCAACCTCAACGAAACCAACAGCATGGAGATGCGTGAAGCCAGCAAAGACTCCATCTCTTCTCTCGATCGTACCTCCGATGAGCCAAAATCAGCAGGCTTTCAAGAAAAGCATGTCGCAAAAGCCTATCCCACAGCCGCTGAAGGGCCCAAACTGAGGGTAAGTCTCCTCATCTTGATTCGTGACTGTGTATTGACATGTGTTAGCGGCTGTTCAGTTTCGCCCAGCTCCTGGCCTTTTCATTGACGTTTATGGAATCATGGGAAGTGATGGCAATGTACGTGTCTGTCGAACAATGGAGATCGATTGCGCTGACAATGGTACGTCAGCAACATCTCAGCAACATTCTGGAACGGCGGTCCCAGATCTTTGATATGGGGTTGCATCGCTGTGGTTGGAGGATCTCTCGCACAAGCATATTCAATGGCCGAGTTGGGATCCATTCTTCCCATTGCCGGCGCCCAATACCATTGGACTCATATTATGGCCCCGGAGAGCACGCGCAGATTCATCACATGGATGCAAGGTATGCCTACATATCGTACTTTCCAAGAACTCCCTCACTAATCCATGCATAGGCTGGGTCACCTGGTTCGCCTGGGTGTCTGCCCTTGCTGGGAGTACTTCTGGTGAAGCCGCCCTCCTGCAAGCCTTGATCGCCGAGAACGTCCCAGGATACACACCAGAAAGATGGCATCTCACCCTCATTATGTGGGCACTGCTCATCAGCGTTGGCCTGATGAACATGTATACCTTCTGGCTGATCCCTTGGCTTGAGTTGACCGCTGGGATCATGCACGTCGTTCTCTTTATCATCTTCACGGTTGTTCTTGTCACCCTGGCTCCGCGACACGATTCTCACTTTGTCTTCTTTACGGACTCGACACAATCTGGATGGGACAGTAAATTCGTCGCCTTTAACCTTGGAATGCTGGCTCCTGCTTGGGGATTCATTGGTATGTCTCGCGTACTGGTTCCGGTCTTTGTACTCTGCTGATATTCGTCCAGGCTTCGATGGTGTCGTCCACATGTCCGAAGAAGTCCGCAGAGCCAAGCATGCCGTCCCTCGTTCAATGATTTTGACCATTGTTATCAATGGCGTTATGGCATTTGCAATCATTTTGGTGCTGCTTTACTGTCTGGGTGACCCGAACACGACTCTGGATGCATCTTACCCCATTGTCAACATCTGCTATAACGCCACAGGATCATGGGCAGCAACAAACGCTATGGTGTCTATGCTGATCATAATCACCTATTGTGTGGTAGCAGCTAGTGTTGCTTCCGTCTCCCGAATTACCTGGGCTTGGGCTCGTGATGGTGCTCTCCCGAAGTGGCTTGCCATTGTGAGTATGCTCCTTTCATCTCGATTACCATCGAAATACTGACATCTCGTCAGATCGATGCGAAACATCACGTCCCCACAAACGCACTATGGGTGCCGATCGTCATCGTCATGCTCCTTTCCCTTTTGAACATCGGTTCGACTGCGGCCACCGCTTTCAGCGCCTTCACTGCGCTCTCCTCCCTTGGCCTGTACACTTCCTACATTATCGCCATCAGCTGCATCCTGCATGCACGTCTGACGGGCCGACTCGGCGACAAGCCGGAATCGCCCGTACAATATGGAGGCTGGCGCATTTGGAAGGGTTTTGCCATCCCAATCAATATCCTCGCGCTGGTCTGGACCATCTACCTTACGATCTGGCTTCCCTTCCCGACCACGATTCCTGTCACCGGGACGAACATGAACTATGCTCTTCCCATTTACGTCTTCGTCATTCTCTGCTCGCTGGGATACTGGTTCACCTGGGGTCGCAAGTCATGGCCCGGTCTGAACCTTGCGGCCATCGGCATGGTTGAGGCGCACGACTAATTGCGACCGAGATCGAGGAACTGCGAAAAGAGGCGGACGATACATCATACATGCACGGGAAACTACCATTTGGCTATTGCGATGACGGCGGGCTGGACACTTTTCAGATCACGTTGTCTCGCGAACCTGGACGGATTTCCTGCATCCAAATGGCGTTCAAATTGGCAAGAGGCTGTTGGCAAAGCTCTTTGGGATTCCGGAGTACTGTGGATTGGATGGAAATTTATCAACGTGCTCCTTGGCTGATTTCTACAGCTTCGAAGACCAAAAGACAAATACCGGCAATTCTTCCGCCAAACAAATCAATGTAGTACATACTTTCTAGCCAAAACAATATACTCTGTATAGACGTTCACATTGTACAGCCATACTGGCTCGAGCTGAATCCTGTCTGATCGAGAAGCGGAACATTGCAATATCGAATTCGAGAGGAATCACTCTTCAAGAGTAACTCAAGCCCCAGACCATTCGATGCTCCGTAGTTATAGCAAGCCATGAAAGAGGAAAGTATGGTCTAGCCTTGCCGATACGTCGAGATGGAGGAGCGCAACCAACTATGGCGGGAAAGGCAAGACTTCGCTGGCCAACGAGAAACATCCCTTTACAATTTCTTACTTTTTTTTTAATTACACAACTAGCTATGATACAGTCACCACCTGCCAGCTTCATCTACACACGGAGCCCTTCGTCCTCTTCACGTCTCCCAAACCGGTGGACCTAACGCACGCTGTGAGCGGCTGGTCACCACAACGCCGAACCAAGATCTTAGCCACCTTTTGATTCTGCTCCCGAACCGCATGTGAAAGCTTTTTTGTAGAAAGGACACAATCTTGAAAAGTTGAGTGGAGTAGTTTGACAAATGCAATGTACAAGTTAGGAGGGAGTAGTAGATCAACAGATTGCATACCGACAACACGGGACATGGCAGATCAATGACTGGATGTTGTTGTTGTTGTTGCTGTTGTTGGCGCACAGATTTGTCGATAGTACTGTTTTCGCCGGAGTCCAGCTATGCCAAATGGAATATAGTCGCTAAAACGCAGGAAATTGCACAAGGTCTTCGGGACGAGATCAAGCATGATATCCTCACACAGCGTTACGCCGCGCTTAGAAGCCACCCATACCTCCCATACCACCCATGCCGCCCATTGGTGGCATAGGAGGCTTCTCTTCTGGTGCCTCGACAATAGCAACTTCAGTGGTACCGAGTAGCGACGCAACACCGGAAGCATCAACAAGAGCGGTGCGGACGACCTTCAGAGGATCCACAATGCCCTTGGACAGCATGTCGACATACTGACCTGTAGCAGAGTCGAAACCCTTGTTGAAGTCACCACCAAACTCGTCCATGAGCTTGCCAACAACAACGCTGCCTTCCAGACCGGCGTTCTCAACAATGCGACGTGCTGGTCGGGTGATGGCGTTTTTTATGATGCTGACACCGAGCTGCTGATCGAAGTTGGTGGGTTGGACATCCTTGAGAGCATTGGCAGCGGCCTTGATCAAAGCGGTACCACCACCGGGCAGGATACCTTCCTCAACAGCAGCACGAGTGGCGTTCAGAGCATCGACGACACGGTCCTTCTTCTCGCCGACTTCGACCTCAGAAGCGCCACCAACCTTGATGACAGCGACACCTCCAGAGAGTTTAGCAAGGCGTTCTTGCAGTTTCTCCTTCTCATATTCTGAGGTGGTGGGATCCGCCATGACACCTCGAATTTGTTCGCATCGTTGAGCAATAGAATCCTTGCTTCCCTCGCCATTCAGGATAATAGTGTCTTCTTTGGTGATGGTGATGCTGCCAGTAGATCCGAGCATGTCAGGTGTAGCCTTCTCCAGTTTGATGTCCAGCTCGTCCGTAAAGACGGTAGCGTTGGTCAAGATACCAATATCGCCGAGAATGCTCTTGCGGTTGTCACCGAAGCCTGGTGCCTTGACAGCAGCCACCTGCAATTGACCTCGCAGCTTGTTCAGGATGCAGACAGCCAGCGCTTCTCCGTCAATGTCTTCAGCAATGATGACCAGAGGACGGCGCATTTGTGTAGAAGCTTCGAGAGCAGGGATGATGTCTTGGACGGCAGAGATCTTTTTCTCAGACAGGAGGATCAGAGGCTTCTCGAATTCGATCTTCTGGGACTTGGTATCGGTGATGAAGTAGGGAGATGTAAAGCCACGGTCAAATCGCATGCCCTCTGTGACCTCGAGCTCGTCATCGATCGTCTTGCCTTCCTTGACAGTGATAACGCCCTCTTTTCCAACCTTCTCCATGGCATTGGAGATGAGGTTGCCGACGTGCGTGTCACCGTTGGCAGAGATAGTAGCAACCTGAGCAATTTCCGCGCTTGTGGTAATGTCCTTCTTGTTCTTCTGCAGGAAGTTGACGACAGCTTCAACAGCTGCTTGTGTGCCTCTCCTTAAGTCCATGGGGTTGCATCCGGCGGCAACGTTCTTGACGGTTTCGGAGAAGATGGCGCTGGCGAGGACTGTGGCGGTTGTGGTACCATCACCGGCGACTTCGTTGGTCTTGGAGGCAACGTCTTGTATCAGGCGGGCACCGAGGTTTTCGAACTTGTCTTGGAGGGTGACAGCTTTGGCGACCGTGACACCATCTGAGCATCTCGTTAGCAAGACATTCGTCGCCGAATCATGAGCTTTCTCGTTGCTTGCCTTTTGTGATCTTGGGTGATCCGTAGCTCGATTCAATCAAGACATTGCGACCTTTTGGACCGAGTGTGGTGGCAACAGCTTTTGACAAAGTCTCGACACCTTTCAACAGCTGAGCTCGACCCTCAACACCGAACCTCAATTCCTTGTGAGCGAATCGGAGTTGCTGTAAACTCTTGCCGGCGGATCTGGAGTATGGAGAGGAGGATGAGAGCGAGGATCGCGCGGCTGATGACAAAGCGCGCTGCATGGCTGGCACACTGAAGAGATCCGGCTTGAGTAATGAACGGGAAAGACGAGATTAGGGAAGACAGATGGCAGCACCGAGTCAAAAAGTAGAGAAACGCAAGAAGAGACAAGTTCAACTTCAATTGGTATCGAGTATCGAGCAGCCCATAAAAAATTTGGAGATTCTTCGAAAGCCTTAGAAACGGAGCTGTTTTGGGTTTAGTGTCTTGGCTTGGATCCTGTGCCGAAGCCCTGGGCAACGACCGACCTCAAATTCTCTTCATCAGTTCTCAAGAGCAGTACGGAGTGCCTATGTAAAGCAAATTTACAGAGAGGAGAAGAAGAGCGAAGAGGAAGAGAGGAGAAGAAGAAGACAGGAGAGGACCGCCGTGAAACAATCCCTTTGATCATTGAAACTCATGTTGTGAGTCTGTGCTTTCTTCTTTGCTTTTGTAGCAGTCCAATGACTTTTGCCCTTGATACCCATTCTGTATGATCTTTTGATTCCGAGCTCTGTTCTGTTGATTCCCACATGCGACATCTGCAGCCATCGAGATCTCCAGCCTCAAGCATCTAGCAGAAGGTGACTCGAGCTTGGAAATAGCAGATACTCGTCGAGATGGCCACCCTGTGACACATTGAAATAAGGAAAGTGAAAAGCAATGTCCATGACAATTCCTTCCTTCACGTATGAAACTCTGCCCGGACTACACCACGCATGCTTCAACGCCATGAGAAAACAAACTGCCATCTTCCTCGATATGACCCCATCAAACGCCATTCCATGCATTTCTTTGTCCTATGCGGTTTGCGGATGTCAGTATCGAAGGACTGCTCCAGAGGTTAGCCAAGCTTGAGCCCCTTGACGGGAATTTTCTTACTTAGATGCCACTGCTGACGAAGTCCTTGATGTCCTCGTTGAAGACGTCGCTCCAGATGGCATCTCCCGACGGCATAGCGGTGTCGACGCCCTGGGGGTCAAAGGCAAAGTCGTGCTGGTTACTGACGTCTTGGGCTGTAATCTCTGGCAAGTAGCGCAGGTTACCGGTAGTCCGATCACTCTCCGACATTGAAGTGAAGGACGTCATACCAGTCGCGACCGAGTCGTTGCGGCTAGGTTGATAAGACGAGTCGAACGAGTATGAGCGAAGATCTGGTGGACCCATGCTCATGGGAGCGCCGGGGAAAGGAAATTGCATATCGCCGTACAAAGCATTGCTTCCCATGTGGCCATTGTAGGCTAGGCCGTGCTGACCATGGAGGACATTACCGTTGAGAATGGCAGGATTCAGAGCACCGGTTGGAGGACCAAACATCTGTGCAGCAGTCGGCCACGCATATGCTGAGGCCTATTCTAAGGTTAGTAGCAGATTCACAACCGCAGATGCAGACTTACACCTATGTTAGCGTCACCAATGCCGTTGTTGCCGTTTGCCTGGTCGAAAGCTTCAGCGTATGAATGTTGTTGCATTTTGTTGATGCCAGATCCCATCATATCGACATCGGAAGCGGCGAGACTGCTTGTGTTGACTTCTTGATCGGCCATCTCAGTGTTCTCGTCAGGCGACAATTCCTCGCGCTCATCTTCAGCCTCCGCGGCGACATCGTCCTCTTCGGCCTCGGCGTCAGCATCGTCGAACGTTGGATCCATCAAGGCATAGTTATGCTTGATACCTCGAGTGCGTCTGGCGGGACCAGCAGAGCCCTCTATGGTGCCACTGGACTCTGCTTTGACGTTTATCCCCCGTTGGGGTGGCGTTGATGGCGGATTATTGGTATGAGCAGCCGATCTCTTAGACTTGGTTGTACGACGGCGCTTTTTTGGAGTGCCGTCCTCTGAGTCGTACAAATCTTCTGTCAAGATGTCATTGTCTTCTTCGTCTTCGCTCATGGTTTGACGACGACCACTATTGCGAACTCGAGCCTTTGACTTGGGAATTGGAGATCCAGTATCTTCAGCTTTGATGACAGGGACTCTGTCGTAGACAGATCGGTACTCGGTGGAGACATTTGGACTGGCTGTATAAAGAGGCGGGATCGGCTCAAAGGTACGCTTGTTGTTGGCGTTCGCATACACTTTGGAGGGAGTTCTGGTCACCATGCCACGCTTAAGTGGGGGCGGGACGGGAATGCCATGATGATCCATGAGATTGCGCAGCTTCGCGAGGTGCTGGACGATGGCCCCCTCTGTGAAATGCGGACCCATGACTTCAGCAACTCTCGCCCCTGTGGGAAGACTGATCAGTAGGGACGAGCGAACCATGGAGTTGCTACTTACATGGAATCTTGATGCCAGCTTCGACACAAACATATTGAACGCAAAGCAATACGTCCTTGTCAAGGTCGTCTGTCGAAATGTCAGAGATCGAGGTGGGCCACGAGTCTTCAGAGCTTACCTGTCCACCGGACGAGATTGCGCTTGACTGGACGGTTACGACGAGGAGGCATCTTGTCAAGTCCACCTAGTTCGAGTAACTTTTGCTGTCTTATCTTCAAGATCAGTCCGTTGCCTTTGTTTTCATCGAGAGGGTAATTGTGAATCCTTTGTTTTGAAGAACAGGGAGGTGAAGGGGAAGATTGAAGAAAAAACACTAGACAGAACGCAATGTCAGTTATATGGCTGAATCAAGAAGTCAACAGAACGCGTGACGCGCTCAAGCACATGGTGATTCACAGACCTGGTCCTGAAAAGGATTAGGTTCTCATGGGGGCATGGAAATTGCAGTGAAGAGAGATGGATGGCGGTGAATGAAGAGTCTGGTTGTTTGTTTTGAGCAGATTTGGGACCATGTGATGAGGGTGCTGTTGGGACTGGAGAAGCCAGGCACTTACCTCACAAGGAGTTGGAGACAATGTGGCTCTCGACGACCTTGTTAAGGCCGTGAGAGCGCTTTGAGGGGCCTTCAAGAATGTGTTGAGATGGATGAGGGACAATCAAGAGATGAAAGATGGACCAAAAGAAGGAGGTTGGAAGGCGGGAGGTGGGTGAGAGGGCAAAATTGTGAGATTTTATATGAGGTCAAAAGTGTGAGCACGGCGCCGCGATCACATTGCACCAACCTGTGCCCATTTTGCCGTGCCTATGATCTCCTCGATGGACTTCCAGATTGTGCCTCCAAGCGTCCACTGGGGCAATGTGACTGCCCTCTACCTTGCTGTCACCATGATTTCCGAGTCCTGGTTGGAAGCTCTTGGGTAAACACTCCAACATTTGCAACTGCATTTGCTAGCATTCGAGATGGTGGTATCAACTCTCGGGGTTTGTTTTGTTGCTGATCTTGATCTGGCCTTTGGATATGCATGTAGGCTGTACTTCCTCTCTCATCTCCCTCTCCTCGACGCGATGACTTCGAGCGGACAACCTAAACCCAATGCCGGGTTTCGAACTGGGGCATGGTACTGCACGGCAATTCGTGTCGCTCGCGTGGATGGCTCGAGGCTACTCCACAACGACAACATCTGACGACATCTCCTCTTCTTTTGCGGTTGATGCGACTGGAGCCTGCTCCCCCTGCAACAGAGGCTGGACCTCTTGCGGTTGAGGTGGAAGCCGCTGCTGTTGTCGAAGAGTCTCCTCCTCGAGAGCGCGGATTGGGCCTTGTGGCATTGACAGTCGAAGGGGGTAACCTGGACCAGCATACTGGTTGAACGTGACGTTCTGATCAACCTCATTTCGGACCGGCAAAGCAACAGAATCGTCAACGGAGACTGGCGCTTGACAGAGCATCCGCATACCATCAGGCATGTGAGGGCCGGCAACGTTGGCAAAAGACAAATATCCAGGAAATGGCGCCCGTACGTGCATAACTGAACTTGGGAGGGCGTAGCCCTGCATTGGCGGAGGGAAAGGAGTAGGGAACGGCAGACGCGGCTGCATTCCAACGGAGCCGGGAAGAGGAGGCGGCATGGCTGGGCCAGTTTGCTGAAGCCACGGAGACGGTGCAGATCCGGGAGCAACATGTCGTTGCGTCGATACTTCTTGTGGGGGCCGGGCTTGCTCAAGCTGGAGCACAAGGTCTCTAGCAGAAGCTCTCTCATTGTCAAATGCTTCGGTCTTCGATGCGCTGCAAGTTGGCGCCGGCCGTGAGTGCGTGGTACCAAAGCTCTTTTTGGCTGGGTTCACGGCATCTGCAACCTCTACGGTCTTTCTCTTGCGAGCAGAAGAAGCCATAGGGATGTCATCGTCGTGGTCCTCGTCCTCGTCCTCGTCTGGACCTACATATGCTTGGGTGCTGTATGCTTTGCAGACTCTCTCATAACGTTTGGCCCTGTCACCTAGTCAGCCTTCGTCACATCCAAAACGACATCAACTGCTCTCACGATGCTCCCTTGCTGGTTATGCCACATTCTCTTGCTACAGCCACATGGTCAACCTGGTGCTGTCAGTCTAACACCCACCAACTGAGCTTGTACTCCGGGTCTGAGCTCACTCTGCCAAAGTTTGAATGCTTGCAGCAGCTGATCAAGAAGCGAATTTGGTCCTCTGGTGTGGCTTTGCGTGTGTTCTTGAGATTCTTCGACATGGTTGCTGGTGTTACTGAAGGGTGATAAGATGCACGGTGAGTGGATGGATGGCGGAAGGTCTTTGGACTCGTGCGACAAAAAGATGGGTGTCCGTGCCAGAAGACGAGCGTGCGTGAGGAGGGGAGGTTGGATGATATCTGGGAGAGATGTCAGATATTATACCTCTCCTGCAAGAATTCGGGCACTTGTTGTCTTCCTTGTCTTGTCATGTCTTTGACAAAGTAGGTTTGTGCGAACTTAAATGGTTTGATGAGCTGCTCTTTAGCAAACTCACACACAGTGTCAAGGTCTTTGATCTCCTAAGCCTTGACTGGACTCTGTGACAAAGGACACTCTGTGTTCAACGGACAAGGAAAGTTCCAATGGGATCTGATGCATCAAGAGTTGGCGGGAGAGATTGTAAATGAATACAGTTATGGGTTGTGGAGATGAAAGAAGAGTGTCAGGGCATGTCGCAGATGCCAGAGGATTTTCAGTTTCCCTCGACACAGGTCTGTCTTGCGCAGAGAACCTCTCGGCGCTCACTCCTCGCCACCTGCCACGCCATCAACGCAATGATGTCGTCTACGACTACCTTCAACATACTGCAATATTACCCGCCGGACAATACCTAGGTATCCCACGCTCGGACAGTGCCAGCCAACGTCTCCCGCTCGACATTGAGGATTCCTACCACCAGACGACTATACAACTGGCCCCGACCAGACACAGAGTCAGTCCGACAGGAAACTAAGGGCTCTTTTCAAAATGAGTCTCTTTGCTCCGACGTGTTTCCTCGCACGAAGTTCAATGGAAGCCAAGCGGAAGTCTTCAGCAAGGCTGTGAGGCCCAGGGATGGGGTCACGTGAAATCAATATTTCGGAGGATTTTCCAACCAACCCTGGCGAGCAGAGGCCGGCATCAGACTAGACCAACTTGTTACGGATGCTTTGAACTACAAAAGACATACTATAGAGCACGGTCCAAGTGGATGCGGAGAAGATGCAGCCTGCATTGCATCAGCGAAAGTCCCAGCTGTGACCTCTTATTATGCTTGACTTTCGTGCCCGTCGAACACTCTCGACCAGTATGGGAATACTCTACGATAGCACGGAGTACAACATGACCTACGAGCTAGCAAGTCTCAAGAATTTACGGCGTGTATTTCTAAGCCACAAGCCCGCGTGTCCTTTGTAGTGACGGTCCTTAAGTAGCTGTCGACCACCTGTCACATAGCCACGAACACCGTTTGAAGGTGTGGAGGGCATCACACCATATGGGTTAGTCATATCTAAGAGGTACACAGCACGTATCTTACGACTGTGGTCTCATTCGATGTCTCTTCAAGACTCATTAGTTGGGCTGTAACCAACTAGCCCCATTGTGATCAAGATCCGAGAACTTGTGCTGAAGTCCATGGTTGCCACTACGGAATTAGGGCGGACAACGCAATGTGGGATGTCCCTAGATCAATTTGCGCCGGCAGAAAGTGCTCGAGAAGCTATCATCTGTATCCAGTATCACAATGCCTAGGTCGCCGTCTCGTACTTTGTCTTCGCTCGTAGTAGATCTCCAAATCGCCAGAAGAGCCAGGGTATAGGCGCCATAGCTAGAGTACAAAAGCCTAGCAATGTGCTCGCCCACCCCACGCCCAGCGCTTTGTAAAGTTGCAGCGCGAAAAGTGGAAACGCTGCCGACAAACCGTACCTCGACAACATGGCCGCACCAGCTGCGGATGCGCCATAGAGCGGTCCGTAAGCGTCGACCATGAACAAGTTTGCTGAGGAGTATATCAAGACGGTTGACATTATCGTGAGCCCCTGAAACACAATCGGGGCCATCCAATGTATTTCTGGGCGCGGTGTCCAGGCAAAGAGGAATAGGAACGCTGGTAAAGCGAAAGATGCGATCATACTAGGATACAGCCGGTACTCCGGAGGGAAACGTTCATCATCGGAATGAGTAGCTCGAAAGTGCTTGAGACGCGGCTGATAGAGTTTGAGGTCGATAAGGATGAGAGGAGCAGGTGCAAATGCGGTTCCAGCCATTAAGCCCAGGAAAGATAAAGATTGTGCAGTAAGATCGAAACCATAGTAATGCTGGTAGACCCAAGGCGACGCCACCACGAAAGTGTACATGAGACCGAAAAGGAAGCCGTTGTATAGACATACCAGCGTCACTATTGGCTCTGTGATGACCATGTGAATTGGGCGTATGAGCAAAGTCGTCGAAAAATGCTTGATTGAGGCGAGAATCGATCTCTTGTCTTGTGGCGGTCCTGCAACACTCAGTTTGCGGGCTCGTCGTTGCAGAATGGTCTTCTTGTATGTCTCTCTGGTGAACAAGATGGGAATGTAAAAGGCAGTGATGAAGAATAGCGTAACCCATTGAGTCCAGCGCCAGCCTTTGTTCTCGATAATGACTCCACCTAGAAGAGGCCTTCCCATGTCAGCTGGGACGCAACAACCGGATGGTATACTCACCCAAACACAGCACCAAAGAAGGGTATGGAATAGTAGAATGCTAACGATACAGCTCGGTATCGCCCAGCAGTGTAGTCAATGATGGTGGCGGAGGCACAGCTGATGGCTGGCGAGGCAAAAACACCTGCGAAGAATCTGCAGACTATTAAGGATGCAACGCTTTGAGATAGCCCAGCGCCTAGGATGAAGAGTGCGAAAAGAGGTGTAGTGGTCAAGAAAACGGCCTTACGCCCAAAAGTCTCGCTCAGTGGACTTCCAGCTAGCGGTCCAAAGGCTAAGCCGAAGTTGTAGAGTGACAGTGGTAGAATCGCGACTTCATTAGAAACTCGGAAATCCCTGGACACTTGGTCGTGGCCGGGGCTATATATTGATGCTGCCAAAGTGCTGACAAAAGCTAAAAAGGTCACTGCAATTGTCGAGCATATTCGCCGGGACAGAGAAAAATTGCGAGGGTTGTCTGGATCGTCGGGACCGTTCCAGTCGGTCAGGTTTCCTGAAGGAGTCTGAAGGACGCTGGCTGGGCCTTGCTGTTCCTCCTTGACCATGTCTTAATCAGAGGTGCGCAGGGTGGGCTTCGAGCCATGGCACAGAATCAAGCTGGGGATACACCCGGTTTTAAAGCCTGAAGTGCCAGAAGAACGATGATCACCTCCCCCACAAATCGGTTATCGGCACCGTCTAAGACCTAGAATCGGCAGCGACATCCCGGTCAGTTGGGGGGAAGGCTTGAATGAGGACTTTGTGCATGAGAACGGCGCTCAACGGCGTTGGAATCGCCAGAACGACTTTAGAAGCAGCAACATGGTAGGGTAATATGGTAGCTACAACATGCATTTGCTTGTGAGGAGTCAACAAGTCCGTGATTGTTCTGGAGAGCGTGAGAGGAAGCACCGGAATAAAGTTGTTGCGGCAGGCAACTGCACTGCGGCCCCAACGTCATCCTCAGCCGATGCAAGTACCAAGGACATGCTCGTATATTTCTTTAAACAATTCTCTCATCCACCGACTGAGAACCCGTCCATGGTCAACGTCCTGTCTCAGTTATGCTTCCTCCATTCAGATGACCTCCAAGCTAATGCGCAAGCTCCAATCCTCCGCGCACTGTCCAGCTGCCTCATGGACTAGCAGACATGACTTGAGAGTCCGGGTCTTTTGCCGGCATAAATCTTCCGCAGCTGGCAGCCATCCTTTGCGACAGGTACCGCCTAGGAGATACCTGGCTCAAGTCAGACCTGAACCTATCTCGGAAGTATGGTTTACTGCCGCTTCGCCCCGATTCGGCCCTGCGGACGAGTTGCTCGACTCTCCACCAGGGAATAATGCAGACCATCAACCGCCAAATGAACGACTACTGAAACTAGGAAAGAGTAAGTGCAGGACTTCCACAAGCCAAAGGGTCCACAAAGAATGACGGGCTATAGCATTAAGAACACTATCTCCCCTCCTGCCTGACATCCTCACGAAACCGCTCCCGCAAGAACTGTTGTCTCCAGACGTCTCACTCCATCTCTTCCCCTCCACCCACCCCCATCTACCCGCCGTTAAGGGAAGGGTTGCATACCGAGCTGCTCTGTGGACATCTCCAGTTGCATGGGGATGTGTGCCCATTGTCGGCAATGTCAAACTGAAAATTGTATCTGAGAAGATAGTCCGGACAGGGTATGCATTCTCGGGCCCTTCCGAAGATCAGTCCACAGACCTAAGTGCAGAGAAGCTGGTGGTCCGGTGGAAGACCGAGCCTAAGCAAAATGGTAACGGCAGCGGGTCGTCAAATCTGTCGGCTTCAACTGCCACACAAACCAACGAGATGTCTCACGGCGGCATAAATCGGGGTCTATCAAAGCTCCTTGGAGGTGACAAACGGATCTTCAACCTCAACAAGGGCGATGATTTCGCCGGCCTGTTCATCTTCACATTCGATTCCGAGGGTCGGATCGCCAGCCACACCATCGAACATGCAGACGAGGATAGCGGATTCGACAAGACCAGCAAGGTGGTGACACTGACGGACTGGCTCCTAGGCAAAGCTCGTTGGGGTCGAACCAAAGAGAAAGAGGAAGAGCTAGTGCCCGGTCTCGCAATGAGAGTGTGCAGGGAAGAGTGGGATTTAAGCAGACGGCTTGGACACGGCCACAGATGAACAGTAAGACCTCTCCTCAAACCCTGTCATGCTGCACATACAAAGCGCAAGTCTTGGGATTTCGAAGGCGAGTTGTACGAAAACACCAAAGGAGCAGCCCTTTTGTCTATGGTTGCTTGTATTGATACCCTCCTCCACTCCGTGGAATGACTTGAATGAATAATACAGATATCGTATCCTGAAATCTCCAAGCCAATAAGCTCATCCTGTTCATGTGACACGGTCTTTGGTGTCCATTTCGTGTTGAAACAAGTGATCTCAAGCACATAGTTCTAACCATGGACTTGCTTGTTGCATGCATAGACAGAGATTGTCCTATCAAGACATACTGTTGATGAAACTTGTACTTGTTCGTTAGCGACCAGTCTATATCGATGGCGAAGGCAATGAGCTAGCAAATTCACAAGAGCAATGTGAATGGATGTTTTGATCCCAGCTTTTCTCGTTCGATATGTTGATTATTTGTTGAGCGAGCAACGCCTCGTAGCTACTACGCCATCTGTCTACCTAGCTTACTGATCATCATCATCATATATGCCAACTGATCGAACCCCAAGGGGAGGCGTCGATTTGCTCATAAAGTGCTCTCGAGCGCCAGGACCTGTACATTACATTGTTAGCATGGTTTACAGAGACCAGAAATTGTGCAAGACTTACCAGAGCCGTCCTCGTAGGAATATAAACCTGTGTGAAGTTCTTTCGATTGTTCCATGGCATATCCGTCGTAAAGAACCTCGTTTCCTTTGCGTTCCGTCCCAACCCGCCATACTGCGGGTCATCGGTATCAATCACAATTCTGTACACTCCGGGAATCTCGACGCCAACACGATAATCGGTGAACGACTTCGTGGGGTTGAAATTGAAAATCCACAACAACCCGGCGCGCTCAAACACCAAGACCTTGTCGCTTTCGTTCTTCAACGAGATATACGCCTGCGCCGAGTGTAGCCATCCGTACTTCTCCTCGGTCCACTGCATAGCCCGGTCGAACTCGTTCAGAAACTTGTACCGCAATAAGTGGTCCTCAGTCAAGTTGAATTGACGACGTGCATACCAGAATGAATTATCATTCCCGGCGCGCGGGAAGTCCAGCCACTCGGGATGTCCGAACTCGTTACCCTCGAAGTTGAGGTATCCTTCGCCGCCCAGGCCGTGAGTGACCAGGCGGATCATTTTGTGCAAGGCCATGGCGCGTTCGATGGTCGGCGTGAATTCAGTCAGTGTCGACATGTGCGTGTACAGCTGCGCGTCGGCAAGCCACATCATGAGACTCTTGTCGCCGACAAGGGCCTGATCGTGCGACTCACAGTACGCGATGGTTTTCTCACCGTGGCGCCGATTGGTCAAGGTGAATGCGAGGTTGCCGATGTCCCATTGGTCGTCGGACTTTTCTTTCAGCAACTTGATGTACATGTCCGGTATCGCCATGGCGAGACGGTAGTCGAAGCCAACGCCGCCGAGGGAGAGTTTCAGGCATAGCGCCGGCATTCCCGAGACGTCCTCCGCAACGGTTATGCAATTGGGGTAGATGTTGTGTAGCATCTCGTTGGCGAGCATGAGGTACACCACGCCATCTTCATCGACGGCTGGGCCGAAGTATTCGTGGTAACCGCCGGAGAAGCCCGTGCCGATGCCGTGGTGAGTATAGAGCATGGAGGTGACGCCGTCAAAGCGGAAGCCATCGAATTGATACTCTTCCATCCAGAAGCGGAGGTTAGAGAGGAGGAAGCGCAGGACTTCGTGATGGCTGTAGTTGAACAGACGAGAGTCCCAGAGCTCGTGGCGGCCTTTGGCGCCTTCGTGGAAATAGAGGTGGTCGCTGCCGTCGAACATGTTGAGACCATCCAAAGTGTTCTTGCTTGCATGGGAGTGGACGACGTCCAGAAGGACTGTGATGCCCATACCGTGTGCTGTGTCGATGAGCTCTTTCAGATCGTCCGGGGTGCCGTACCTGGAGCTTGCGGCAAAGAATGAGTTGACTTGATAGCCGAAACTAGCGTAGTAGGCATGCTCCATGATGGCCATCAGTTGGATGACATTGTAGCCTAGCCATTTGATCCTGGGGAGCATATTCTTGGTGAACTCTTTATAAGTTGCGACTTTGAGCTCAGGTGAGGATATGCCAACGTGCGCCTCGTAAATGCGGACACTCTTGGGATAAGGAGGGCGAGGGTTCTTGAAGACATATCTTTCCGACTCGGGTGGGTTCCACAGCACGGCGTCGTAGACCGGGGATACTGACAGATCTTGAGTGACTCTTGTGATCCATGCTGGTATTCTGTCTATTCTCTCTCCTCCCGGTATCACCATGGAAATCTTCAATTTTGTATTGTGGGCAATGGCAGGTACTCCGTCTCTTGCAGGGAGGTGCAGCTCCCATACACCGAAGTTGTTCTTTTTCATCGGGTGAGACTCTCTGTTCCAGTTGTTGAACTCTCCGATGAGGTAGGCTTGCTCTGCATTAGGCGCCCATTCTCTGCCATTCTGTCAACATATTTGCTTGAAAGTGTGGAGCAGAACTGCTCACCGATATGTTATGTCTCCATTTGGGCCAAAAGTGAAGCCCATCTTCTCGTAACCTCGACTGAACTTGTCCAACCCTCCTTCTGTCTCGTCGATCGTCTTGATCCATTTTTGGGTTTTCGCAAACCGGTGCTTGAGGGCGTCCTTGAACGGTTCGAGCCAGGGGTCCAATTGGACCACACCTAAGTGGTATGAGAGGAGACTTGAAGAGGGATTGTGAAGTCCATACCTGTGCCATCAGGAGCAGCTTCTTTCGAGGCGGGCTGCGCCATAATTGAGTTCTCCGAAGCTTGGTTCAACGCCATGGTGGACTGAACGAGCACTGAGCTGTACAAGGAATATGTAACTAGAGGGCAGGATATGAAATGGCACAGCTTGACAAAATGCGTGAAAGTACGAAATCCGTGGTCAAGGGATATTTATTGCAGAATCTGAACAGAACGAAGCCCTTGAAGTGATTTTGAACCTCGACTGGGAAAAATGTTGAATTGAGCTGTTTATTCGCATTTCATCTTGGTGGTATGAGATCGTTGCAGCGATTTTGTCTACGGGCGATATGACATCAACTGTGGGGGAGCATTAGGTGGCTTCGAGCAAATCATGGGCACTTCTCACGCCTGGTGCAGCCTCAACCCCGCCAAAACACCACATGCCTGCAAGCGCCTCCGAAAGTTTTTCCGCTCCGACGCATTTCGAAGGTACGTCCCAACGATATACATTTGCGATGCAAGCTTGAGACTTTGGGGGGTTTCTGATATTTTTACGAGGGTTTTACACTCTCAACCCTGTGGTTGGGTTGATGGCCATGGCGAAGCAAGCCGGATGGCACGTTTGACTGCAAAACTTCCATAGTAGATAGCGGTCGAAAGTGCTCATGGGTCAGGCACGGGATCACACCGTTCAGTGAGCGCTTGCATCCAGTGTGCCTGCGACCTAAGAAAAAGTCCGAGCTCAATTCCGGTGTCTCTGCACTATGCAAAAAAGAAGTCCTCGAGTACATATTGTGATACTGCGGTAGACGTGATCCGTGCAAATACGAGGCATGATAGAGTGGAGAGTGGCGAGAGGAGTGTTTGGCGATCTATCGCTATCGAACGTGGAGCTCCGCATGTAGCAACTCTTCTTCAACACCATCATTATTCTCATTGCACAACCCATACAGAGGGAAGCAGAAGCTTCTCTCAAGCTGCTCGTGTGCCTGTAGCAGTGATGCAGCCCTTCAGCGCTTTGCCGGCCTACCTTTGCCCTTCGCTTGAGGGCACCATGGCGACTGCTCGCCTCGCGATCCCGCGTCGACTGCGAACCTCCTACATTGCCCTGAGTCGACGGTCGTTCTCCAGCCGCCGTCATGAGATGTCCTCCTCTCAGTTCCATCGCTCTGACTTCGCCAATCAGCCGTTCACAGGCACGTACGAGCCTGGAACGCCCACCGGAGGTCCTCTCGGCGGCGCATCCTATGGCACACCTAGACTCACACCTAAGATGCTGAAGCAGCATCTCGATCAATTCGTGGTCGGACAAGAAAGAGCAAAGAAAGTCCTTAGCGTTGCTGTCTTCAATCACTACCAGAGGATCCAGGAGCTGCAAAGGAGAGAAGAGGAGGAGGAAGAGTTGGTAGCCCAGAGAGAACGAAGGGAGCGTCATCCAGTCGAGGATGAATTTCCCGGTCAACAGCCCACCATCCGACTAGGTAGTGGGCGGACATCTACATTCGATCCTCGCACCGGTGGCACACCACTAGTCGACACGAGTCCCCTCACACTGGAGAAGTCAAATATACTACTGCTGGGCCCCAGCGGCGTTGGGAAGACGTTAATGGCCAAGACGCTCGCACGAGTACTCTCGGTACCATTTTCCATGTCGGACTGCACACCATTTACTCAAGCCGGCTACATTGGTGAAGATGCAGAGGTTTGCGTCCATCGGTTACTGGCTGCTGCAAATTATGATGTCGAAAGAGCTGAGCGAGGCATCATATGTCTAGACGAAGTTGACAAAATTGCAACAGCCAAGGTCAGCCATGGCAAAGATGTCTCAGGGGAAGGCGTACAGCAAGCCTTGTTGAAACTCATTGAAGGCACCACTATCCAAATACAGGCCAAACCCGAACGCAATGCACCTCGAGCAGGTGGGCAATCCCAGGCTTATCCGACTAACAGTCCTCTAGGTGCTGGCTTCTCATCTGGCTCGACAGGCGCTGCAGCTACACCCGTGAAGGGCGAGGTCTACAATGTCAGAACCGATAACATCCTCTTTATATTCAGCGGCGCTTTCATCGGGCTTCAAAAGCACATCCTCGACCGACTGACCAAAGGAAGCATCGGATTCGGAGCTAGTGTACGATCCAGCTCTAACTTGATCTCATACGGCCGAGATCAGAAGTCGACGAGCAATGCTCCAATACCCATCTTACCCGGATCCCAAGAAGAGGAATTATATAAGAAACACTTGCCGTTCTTCACTCCAACCCTGGCGCCCGAAGAAACCACAGTTGACGGAACGCCTGTCGAACCAAACTATTTCAACCCATTGGACTTGGTCACTCCAGCTGATCTTCAGTCGTATGGCTTCATTCCTGAGCTTGTTGGCCGCATACCTACAGCGACGGCCTTGTCTGCGCTCACACACTCAATGCTACTGCGAATTCTGACAGAACCTCGCAACAGTCTCGTGGCTCAGTATGTCACACTATTTTCTCTTTCCGGTATCGAGCTCCGCTTTACAACACCAGCTCTGCATGTGATTGCTTCGAATGCACTTCATATGGGTACCGGGGCTCGTGCCCTTCGTACAGAGATGGAGACCATTCTAGGTGATGCTATGTTTGAAGCACCGGGCAGCAGTGTAAAGTACGTTCTCGTCACAGAACACGTAGCGAAACGGGAGGAAGGAGCCGTCTATTTCGGGAGAGGTCAAGGTGGGAAGTTCCATGCCATGATTGCTCAGGAGGAAGGTGACTGGGAGGATCAACAGAAACGCAAGAGTCCGAAGAAGAACGAGAGTATGACTGCCAGCTTCGAGGATTGGAGGACGAAGTCGACCACCGCGGCCGGTAGTGGAGGTTGAGCTCGTTTCTGTATCCGTCTGGGGAAGATACGATGACGATTGACGAATGATGAAGTATTACAACAGCAACATCCATCTGGCTTGTTCGCTGGCAACTACAAGTCCGCTACCAGTTCCAACAGCACTCGCGCAAGACCAGCTCCTGCCGTAGTGTGGCAGCGTCCATCTGCCCTTCGGCCTTGCTGGATCGGGAGGCTTCCGTCGCCATCAATGACCGCCCTAATCTTGCCCTGGCCAACTCCCTCCCCATATTGACCAACTTCCTCGCCAAGTCCCAACTCTACTGCCTCACCTGCACATTTGGGAAAGATGAAGGGTCATATATTGAAGAGCTCAATTCTCCTCTCAAATTCGGGTCGTCACCACAATCCCCCAGCCGAAGACTGCGGACCCTTGAAATGACCTTGCGACCGATTTACCTGTGGTACGTTTCGCGTTATGGTATGATGCATAGGCTGAAAAACTCGAAATCTCCCTAGTTGGACAGTCTGCTAACGCCCGCTACCTTGGAAGGGCCCTCCTTGGTAGGCAGGGTGGCACGGGTTTTCTCTTTTTGTCGATTTGGTTGAGGGTTCGATCCTTGCCCGTGAGGCTTGCATCAGCTGCCTTTTTTGAGCGACTCTGCCTGGTTATTGCTGCTAGTGGGAAGGCGGGCTGGTTGGTGCGAGGTGTGGCAGAAACGGGGAGTGCGAACACTTGGCGAGGAAGAAGTGTAATACCGACATTAAACCTGGGCTGGACGCAAGACGAGTCCTGAGAATCATACTCGATGCTGAGAGGAAACTGGTGCAATCGATGAACACGCTCGCAGCCGCAGAACCTACCGCCCTCCATCGCTGAGCATGCGGTTACATTCCACTGGTTCAGCTCTTCGGTAGCGTTACAATGTCTATGATGCGGAGGGGGAAGCAGCCAACGTAAGTTAGTCTAGTTCGATTCATCATACTTGTCAAAAGCAAAAGATGTTCAAAAAAGGATGAAAGGCTGGGGATAGAGCTGGCTGAACGAAGTGACTCCTGATGGGACCAGGAGTCAGATAACATTATAGATAAGCCTGCAAAACACAATACGATGCCGAATCTGAAATCCTAGCTCACCAGCTACAGTCGTTTATGCTTGTATGTTTGGGACGACAAGTAGCAAAAGGGCGAGATTGATCATTGAGTCTCGACAGCCATGTTTTTATTCCGCTCACGAGTGGTCAGGGCAAGTCAAGGTTCAGCAGGTGTACCGCATTTCTGAACGACTCTGGAAAAGTGGAACATTATACCAATATCAGATCCACAGGATCAGTCGAGGCAAACCATGAAGGGCCATCGATATAACCTGCACTAATTCTACTGTACCCACAATGCACCTCTTCGATGGCAATGAACACACACTGATAGTCACCTTGCGCAGTTCCGGGCCGATCCAGTAGAAGACACAGTATTCCTCTGGAAGCGGCACGTCTGGCACCGTCTCGTCGTTGAAGATCACTTGGGGCGGTGGTGCAGAGCATAGCCTAACACAATTCTTCCCGACCGGCGTGCTCGCCGTCTGACAAGAGCACGACGTAGTCGCCGCGTTTTTGCGCGGACACGCAAAACTGCACTTGTAACCTCACCAAACGGGTTCGCCGCCTCTCTGAGCGCGATTTCGCACCGCAGAACTTCCAGCTGCTCCAGAGGACTTTCAGCAGAGGAGAAGGTCACGAGGTCACGTACCCGTCATACTGGAGTGCTCCAGTGAGGGAAGCCCATGACCAGGGCCATCCTGGACAGCGTCGTTGGACCCTCTTGGCTATGTCGGTCGCCCTTGTCGTTCACCAGAGAGCGAGAGGCAGTTCCTCCAGCTACAGTCCCGCCAGGTAGGTAGCACTCGTGCGTTTCTGAAATTGACCTGCTAGGCCGGCCAATGCCGATAAATATATGGCTTGCGGCGAAAAGATTCCGTGGAGCATAATTGTCGACAACCCTTCGCCAACGGTTGAGCAGCCAGGACCAAGTCTGGACCGGCGAACCTTCTGCGGAAAGAAAACCAGCTGGTCCCAGTTGCGGATACGTCAGACCGTCATCGGCAGGAAAGTGCTCTAGATCATTCCAATACAACTGATCCCGACTAACATAGACGGCCAGTCTAGAGGGTATATCTTCTTGCAAGGTCCATGCTCTCCTTGCAAGTGGAGATCTGTCCACGATGTGCGAAGAAGTCCAGCCCGTTGTGAGAAGTACATGGTGCCCACTGTGAGGAAGGGTAGAGGACGGAATACTCTTTTGTTCTTGCCTGGGACAAAACAAGCCTTCCCATTTGTCTTCGCTGGAGGATGCAGTAATCGTAAGGCTGGCAAAGCCGTAAACTTGGTCCATTCAAGTACTGTGCACAGCCTGGTCCTTCGGATCATCTTGAATTATGCGAATGGCATCAACCGAAAGATATCGTATTCCTAGAGTCCGGGGATGCAAATCTCCGTGCTATGGCCCGATCGTGGCATTTCTGGGCCCGAATGCGACAACGGAATTGACGAAAATCTGGCTGCAACACTCGCGAAGATGACGATTGTCTGCGGAGGCGGACGTTGGCATCCTTCAGGTCAAATGTGGATGGAAGGTATCAGCAAGTCGAATACTCGGTCTATGTCTCCGCAATTCGGTAAGCGTATGATTGTCTTAAATATTGAAGGGTCAAGAAGCAGCACAATCAATGGCACCCATCGTGCTTAGCTGGACGCGGCATGAGGTGGACTGTGATACCCGATCAGGCTCCAAGGCCTTGAAGCCCAGGAGACCAATCGGAAGGGCATGTTAAGTCAGTTCGGCCAGACTGTCTCACCCAGAGGGCTTCAGCCTCGTTCACCGCATTCTATGCCATTCCTGAGACGCGGATGTAGATTCGCTCACCATGAATGTGTAGGCTTCAACCTTCATCAAAACCTCCGTTCCCGGTATGTTATTAACTGGCAATATACGGGCGAGTGCCGAAGATTCAGAGTGTCGATTTTAGCGTGAGCAAGTAAGAGGTGAGCAAGTAAATAACGAATACGCAGACGTGGCGTGTTCTTGTTACGCGCCTCGAGGAATGTATCCTTTTTCGTGACTCCATCTCGCATTTTGTTCCTGCATTTCAAGCCCTTGTCTACGCAAGTTATACACTTAATCCTGTTTTAATCTCATTGACGAACGCGCTGGTCGCTCCGTCACAAATATTTCTTCACGACACCTTTCCTCGCATTGTACAGCATTTCTTGGGTACGCCGTCTCCTGTTAAGGACGAACAAAACATCTGTCCAACATGGACCCTTTACCTCCTCAACAACGAAAGAAGATTCTCCGAGTCCTCTTCATCTCTTTGCTTCTGGACCTTGTCAGTAATATCAGTGCGATCTACAAGTATACAAAAGTGTCTGACAGTTCTCTGGGCAGATCTCATTCACATTCATCCTCCCGCTCTTTCCCTCGCTGCTCACATTTTATCGCAGCCTCGAGACTCACCCGTCCTCGACCCTCAACCGCATCCTGCATTACCTGAACGCATATAAGCAATCCTTCGCAGTCCCCATCAACGAAAAATATGACATAATTTTGCTCGGCGGGGCACTGGGCAGCCTGTTCTCCCTCCTGCAAGCCATCGCGTCTCCCATCATCGGTCGTGCCTCAGACAAGTATGGCCGCCGAACCGCCCTGCTCGCCAGCATGGCCGGTAACATCGCCAGCGTTGCATTGTGGTGTGTGGCGGTGGACTTCCGCACATTTCTACTTTCCAGGATAGTCGGCGGTCTGAGCGAGGGCAATGTGCAGCTCGCTACGGCCATAGCCACCGATATTAGCACAGAGGAACAGCGAGGTTCGACCATGGCGCTGGTCGGCGCGTGCTTTAGCGTCGCCTTCACCTTCGGACCGGCACTCGGCGCGGGCCTGGCGAGCGTCACGACAGTGGCCGCCAACCCGTTCGCGACGGCCGCGGGGGTCAGCCTGCTTCTGATCGTCCTGGAGACGGTGTATTTGTACTACGCGCTTCCGGAAACGAGACCTCCCACGAAGGAGCCAGCTTCGGACTCGAATTCCAAATCGAGACCCGCAGGGAAAATGCTGAAGCACACGAATAAGCCCGCCTTGCTGAACGCTATACATTTCCTGTTCCTTCTGCCGTTTTCGGGACTCGAGTTCTCGCTACCGTTCCTGATAACTTCTGTCCTGTATCCGGATCATGCGTCGCCGTCGAAACTCAATGGACGCCTGTTGGGCTTCGTCGGGCTGATTGCCTCCCTGCTTCAGGGGTCGATTGTTCGACGGTTGCCGCCATTGACCGTGGTCCGGGTGGGCGTGGTATCGTGTACCCTTGCTTTCTTCCTGCTGGCCAGGGTGCAGAGTACAACAGGCTTGTACGGTGCTGGCGCTTTACTTGCTGTTACCTCGGCCACGGTTGTCACGGGGTTGAACAGTCTGGGTAGTTTCGAAGCGAAGGAGAGTAATCGAGGAGAAGTCCTCGGGTCTTTGAGAAGTTGGGGACAGTTTGGAAGAGCGCTTGGGCCGATCGTGTTTTGTAGTTTGTTCTGGTTGGCAGGGCGGCAGACTGCGTACACTGTGGGCGGATGTTGTATGCTCGGTGTGACGACAACACTGTTTACGTTGTTGAAGTCGCCGAGTATCAAGCGGGAAAAGACATGATCATTTTGGCTGTTTAGATACGTGGACAGAACAGACTACTGGCAGATGTACAATGCCAACTACCTTAGGTCTAGAGGTTTCGTTGATGGGCTAGTTCGACCCTTTTTATGTCCTTTCTATACTACGCGCTCTAGAGTATTGCGCCGTACGCTCCCGTGTTGTTGACTTCTCCCTGGGTACATTGACCTCAGTATGCATTATGTCCACCAGGAGCCACGGGCACCAAGCTGCGAGTTGTCGGCAGGTCCGGAGGTTGTAGCCAGGCCACCTTGCGCAAGAATGGGCAGTGCAAATATTCAAGTCTCCGCCCCGTCTGCCCATGGCCATGTCTCCCCACACCTGCAGACCACAAATCGACATCCTATATACGTTACGTGCTTCAGCCAAGACGGCTTTCATCTTGCTCAGTGGGTCAGTCCAGCACCAGGTATTTCCTTCGCAAACCTGAGATACCTCTCTGTCGACTTTACGCGAAAGCCCTTTCCATACTTGACGAAGAACATGAACGTCAACACCTGCGCGAGCCCCGCAAAAGCGGCGGTGATGAACGCATTCTGATAGCCCATATTCGTGACCCAAGGCGTCAAACCGTACCCGATGGCGAAGGACATGGTATTCCGGATCAGGATGACGGTGATGATTGTCTCGCCTGCCAGGTCGCGGTAGCTGTCGATGCAGTAGCTCACGCTGAGTTGCAGGCCTATCGTGTTGGTCAAAGCGATGATACACATGACAAATACAAGCCCAAACCAGTGCACGTGGTGATATGCGCCGATACCCCAAAGAAGCAGGCCAAAGGGGATCAAAACAAGAGACGCGCTGAAAAGCCAAAGCCGATGTTCGGACACCATGATACCGCCTTTGCGACGAGCGAAGTTTACGATGAACCAGTCACCGAACTTGCCGGTATACGCTGCGCCCAGGAATACCCCGATCAGCGGGCTGACGTAGCTTAATCCGACCATACTGCTGGAGAAATTGCATGGCGCGCCGGACAGGATGAGGGAGGCAGTGCCGTTGAGCACGTTGAACCATACCTGGTCATTCTGTGTCAGGCCCAGAACAAAGAGGGAAAGGTCTGTTTTGCACTTACAAGGTTACTTCCATAGGAAAAGCCGGAGTAGGCCACCACAGCCAGTTGGACGGCGTACAGGAGAGGCCGCAACATCATGCCTGGGATCTCGTTCTTTTTGCTAAAAGCTCCAGGCTGGAAGAGCTTCAGCTTTTGCATATATGTCTTCTTTGGTAGCGATACGATGCCCAATCCTTCTTCAGTCGTAGGCCCGGGGGCCTGGGAGACTGTCTTCTCATCGGGGCTTTGGCTCGTGTTCTTCTCGTTCATTTCTGCAATGGGAGTTTGCGTTCCGCTTTGCTTCATTGATTCTTCACCTGCCAGCGACTTCCGAGAGTAGTTGGTCTCCTCCATCAGAAAGAAGCAGTAAACAAAGCCGACGCCATTGAAAATAGCAGCCCAGTACAAGGCCCATTGCCATCCTTGAGAATTGGCAATAAAACCAGCAATGATAGGCGCAAAGAAATTGGAGCCTGCAAGAAAGAGACCATATATTGCCATGTAAAATCATCGCTCATGAGTGAAATAGATATCGGTGACCGAGATCTCGCATAGTGACTCGATAGGGGCGCCGAAGAAGCCCTGAAGAATCTTGTTCGCAATCCATTGGCCGTTTGTCGTTGTGTATGGCGCCCAGACCTGGATCGCCAGGGTGGCCAGGAGAGAAATAAGATAGATGGGACGTTTCCCATACTGCAGAGCCAGGGGCTGAAATATCAAGCAACCCCAACCGAACGCGAGAACTAATTTTGGTAGTTATAACACATCAAATGATGGCATAATGGAGACATGTACACATGTAACCAGTTCCTGAGTTTAGATCACCGAGCGTGAGACCAGTGGCTTCGCTGATAGGAACGAGAACCGAGTAGATCGCAGCACTGGCGATGCCAACCTAGCAGCAATCAGCACAGAGCTATGCACCACTGCAAAGCGACGGGCACTCACCATCAAAGTGTACATGCACATGCAAGAGGTTGACAGGAGCTTCCGGCGCGGACTCCAGTTGAGCGGATCGTCTGGGTCATTACTCGGTGCAGGAACGAGAACGATATCTTTGTGACCTTTAGAGGCGTGTTTGGCGCGCATCGTTCCTTCCAGATCGACCAGATGCACGGTCCCCGGCACAAAAGGCCTGCTCTCCGTGACCTGTTCCATGGCTATCTCCTTCGTGATATTGACGACCGCCTGAAAGACACTCAGAATTCTGCCGAAGGGCGTGCAAAGAAGAACGAGATGGAAGTGGCCACAGAGGGAGACCGGGGACTGGAACGACGACTTCATATGTCGCACCAGTTCGAGATCGTGGCGGAATCACGCCGGGTCTCTATCAATGTAGTGCTGTACCGGTGCAACCACGAATCCATTGGAAGTGGAGGTCATGTGTATTTCTCCCAAAGGGCGCTAGAGATCGTCAACAATTCGTGGCTGCGTCGGAGTACCTTTTCAAGTTAAGGAGAGCATGCCTGATTATCTATCCCCAAGGATGGTGCTGAACTGGGTCTTCCCCTTGGCGAGAATCCTGATAATACTAGCTACCTCGTAGTACTCCGTAGTGGTGGTCAAATTTGTAACAGTTGTCGGCCATATCCGCGGACTATGGAGTTTCGCGATTGACCAATGCGCCGCAGGTGGCCGCACCAATATGAAATGGGTCAAAGACGCGATGAGTGCCTCCTCTGAAGGGGAGACAGAGGCATGCAGATGAATCACAAGTGCGATGCCTCTCAAGTCTCATGAGCCTCAGGCGCGACTTGCCGAAATGGGGATTGTTTCTCAAAAGTTGGCGAGGTTGACGATGCTGACAGAGATGGATTGGCTCTGTCAGCAAACCACAGTGACGTAGTCGGTCTCGCCATTCAAAATCTGAAGGCTTCGATGGTCCCTTCAGGTCATTATTCGGATCTCTCGGGCTGGTATTTCTTGCCATAGTGAATTCCATTGAGATCAGTGCAAGTGAACAAGACACATCATGGCTACATCCGCCCCCCGTGTTTTGATTCTGGGAGGCCATGGCAAAGTCTCACTGTTCCTACAGCCACTGCTGCTAGCCAAACGCTGGAATGTCACCAGTGTTGTTCGCAATCCTGAGCATGAGGCCGAAATATTGGCCCAGGGCAAAGGCAAGCCCGGCAAAATTGACGTCTTGGTGGACAGTCTAGACGACGTCAAGGAAGCATCACAAGCACAGCGAGTGCTTGATAAGGTGAAGCCGGATTATGTGGTCTGGTCGGCTGGTAAGTGGTTTCCTTGGGGTCGGTGTCATTATCTCTTCCCTGACGCAAGTCTAGGCGCTGGGGGTAAAGGCGGACCTTCACGAACAAAAGCTGTAGATGAAATTGCGGCAAAGGCATATATCTCAGCCTCACTCGCAACGCCTAGTGTCACCAAGTTCCTGATGGTCTCCTACATTGCTTCGCGAAAGGGATATCCTCCCTGGTGGTCAGAAGAGGACAAGAAAGCTGCTGATCATGTCAACAATGAGGTGCTACACAATTACTATCTTGCAAAGGTGGAAGCCGATGAGCATCTTGAAGCTTTGGCAAAGAAACGGTGGGATAGTGGCGACGAGACATTCCAAGCTATCAATCTAAGGCCGGGGACTTTGACTGATACACCGGGAACGGGGAAGGTGAAGCTCGGCAAGACGTCTTCCCGTGGTAGCGTGCCGCGCGAAGATGTCGCAGCTGTTGCAGCAGCGCTTCTGTCACGCAATGACACACGAGGCTGGTTTGACTTGCTGGAAGGCGACCAGAATATCGATGATGCTGTTGATGAGGTTGTGAGGAGTGGACATAATGGCCTGGAAGGCGAGGATCTGGCGCGCATACATGCAAGGCCCACGTGAACAGATTGAACTGGTGATGAGGAAGATATGTCCATCTTTTAACAATTACCAAAGCAAATGTCTTTGTAAACTACTATGTATACGCCTGGACCACTATCTCTGTCGCCCTGGCCTGAAAGCGGAGAAGGGTCTTGTAGATCGAGGAGTGTCCCCATTCCAACTCTGCCCCCACGTTGACGAGGGCATTGCACCGGCACTGCTGAGTCTCGGTCGATCCCCATTTCTTACTAATTAGCACGTCATATATGAAGATCCAAATCCTGTCACCTACCCGTGAGCTTTTAAAGAAGGACCTTCAGCAGCGTTTGTGTATCTAGCCTCTATACCATTGCACGACTACGAGCAGACAATTTTCAATCGTCCACATCCTCGACATGGGTTCCTCTCATCCAGACGCTGACATCTATCCAAAGGCCACTGGTCCTGCTGCTCGCATTGTTGCCGAGCACCAAAAGGATCAACCTATCACCCTTTATTCTGGCTGGTTTTGCCCTTTCGTACAACGAAGCTGGATAACCTTGGAAGAAAAGAAGATACCATATAAATACGTCGAGATCAACCCGTATCATAAAGACCCAAGGTATCAAACCCTCTGCGCACTAGCCGGGCGCGCACGCTGATTGGCACAGTTTCCTCAAATTGAACCCGCGAGGACTTGTGCCGACTTTAGGCGCTCCAGCAAAGGATGGCTCGACTAAGCCTCTCATCGAATCCAACATCATCTCGGAATATTTAGACTGGGCATATCCAAAGTCAGGGCCCAAATTGTTCCCAGAAGACCCTTTCGAGAATGCTCACATGAAAATATGGGTCGACCACGTCACCACAAGAATTCTTCCTGCTTACCATAGATTCTTGCAATGGACGGAGAAAAGCCCGTACAGCCTAGAAAAGGCCAAAACCGAATTTCTGGGTGCGCTCAAAACTTGGATCCAACAGGCGGATATTGAAGGGCCTTACTTCCTCGGCAAGGACATTAGCTACGCAGATGTGTGTCTGGCACCCTGGGCCCTGCGGATGTGGGTATTGGACCATTTTAAAGGAGGGTCTGGAATTCCAGCTCCAGGCCAGGGAGGTGAAGACCAGCAAGTCTGGGACCGATGGCACAAGTGGGTTGAGGCGGTTCAGTCCAGAAAGTCGATGACGGATACGCTCAGCGAGCGTGAGCACTACATGCCTATCTACCAGCGATATGCAGAAGACCGAGCTCAATCTGAGATGGCGAAGGCTACCAGAGAAGGAAGGGGTGTACCGTAGATCGAAAGAGGGGCCGCCCAGAAGGAACATGGCAGCCATTTGGACTTTTCGGACTTGTGACTGATAGCAAACTCCTTGCCAAATACACCACTGTGTTGCGGCTTCACCGGATTTTGTGCAGCGTAAGTTTGAGAAGTAAGAAATGCACGCAATATCCTCGACGAAAGGAGGTTTCAGCCTTGTCCAGCATTCCAAGGCAAGGCTGGCTGCTTTGCAAAGCAAAACGCGGGGCAGCTTTCGGCGGCCCCTTAGCGCGTCCTTTTATTAAAATAAACACCATTATAGACCGTCAAAGAAATCTCGCAAAGCCACTGGGTCGTCAGTCTTCAATGCTGTCCCTGGCGCGTCTGAAGCATGGCGCGGTGTCATTGTCACTCCGATCAAGATCGACTTAACTTTCCTTGATTTACCTCTACCCACTATGCCTCGAGCACCTCGACGAGCCGCGCATCATGCCCGTGAAGCAGCAACGACTACTCCAACTCGGCCAACTGCCACGAATGCTATTACAGCAGCTATCCCTCCTTTCATGCTCGAGACTCCTCCACACGCTCCTTTCCTGACTACCCCGTTGCCTCCTTCCAACAATCCGGGTAACTCCATCGTGCCGGAAGCGAATGCTCCCCGTCGTCAACAAGCTCGACACCAACAGACCCCGACGGATCATGCAAACGCACACAGTGAAGGACTTGAGCACTCACAGGTCTCAAATAATGGCTTGGGCTCAACCGTCTCGGAAACCGGCCATGCTGAGGAACAGTCGTTTCTAGAGTCGGTACATCACGATGTCGAAGATGCAAAACAGCTTAGAGGCTTGAGGGATATATCATCGCTTGCAACCTGGACGTTGTCTTCGGCAAAGCCCGGCTGTGCTCTTGCACAGCTGCGTAACCCCAGCCCCAGTCTGTTCTGGCAAAGTGATGGACCGCAGCCACATACATTGACGCTGCATTTCTTCAAGTTAGTTGCTATTGTCAAGATGAGGATCTATCTGGATTTTGAGCTGGATGAATCTTACACACCAACAAAAATGAAGTTCTTTGCAGGCATGTCTGAAGGCGGACTGGTCGAGTTCGGCTCATGGGAGGTCGTTGAGACTCCAGATTCAGAGACGGGCGAGACGCATAGCAGCATCGAAGGGGTTCGAGGGTGGATTGACGTGCCGCTGAAAGGTGTGGGAGGAAGAGAAACACTATATCATGAGGACGATGACATCCTGGGCAATGGAGAGTCTAGCTCGTACCCATCTCAGCCTACTTCGAACGATGCTTTTGGGGGAGATGTACTCAAGGCCATGGTCGTTCAAGTCCGGATTTGCGAGAACCATCAGAATGGCAAGGATACTCATGTCCGTGGCTTTCAGGTTTTTGCAAGGGACCATACTACTCCAGGTAAAGTCAAGACACGAGCGAGGAAGACCAGGCACGAGAACCAAGCACCTGAGGACGATGGAGAACTGGACAAGGTTGTCGGGCTTCAGCCGGCTGACTGGATGTGCGATCCAGAGATACGCTAGGATGCGATATTCGATGACGAGTATGACAGTCTATGAATTAATGGATGCACCGTGTCCTTCACGAACCCACCTAGATGTAACGCTGAAACAGAAAGGAATGGCCTCCACAGAGGGACTCAAGTGTCTACGCCTTCTAGGTAAGTTAGCCTTCTGTACTTTCTTAGCCACGTTGACAACGAAGTCAGAAGGCGGAAGCCCTACAAGGAGTTGGCCTAGAAACCTGGGTGCCGTAGTGAAGTTCAAGACTGCCAATGTCTAAAATGTTCACACTCTTTCCTGGGCTTACCAGATTCCATTCATCACTAGCTGGCTGTAGAGCAGCACATACAACCCCAATGCCTGGCTTGCGACTATCTCTGTTCCTACTCCTTGGAGTGCTCATCTGTCTGCCAGTCTGGCATTTCCGCTGGACCCTCGATCAACGTCAGTCAAAAGCTCTTTGATGCCTCATGCCGCAAGTGAATTTTGCTAATCTCTTCCAGATGTACTTGCTGACAGTCGCTGCTCCGACCTCCTCCAAACCGGCCGTTGGGCAAAACCTCTTTGGAAAAGCAATGACTCTCGGTTCTGGGTGCCTTCGGGCTGCATGTCGCACTCATACAACCCCTCCGATGCTCGGATATGCCTCTCAAACAGAACTTTAACACTTCGCGGCGATTCAACGGCCAGACAGCTATTCCGAGCCATCGGCAGCACTCTGGAGGACCAGGTAGCCATGCACACGAGCACCGACATTGAACATTACAAGAACAGCACTTGGGCCACTTACAGCCCGAATCTAATGCTGATTTGGGACCCCTTGCTTGCCGGCCTAATGCAGCCGCGGAGGGAATTCGTGGACTGTGACAGTCAGGCCCGCTGCGACATAGAGATTTCTATGACCGCTGCAAGGCTGCTGCATGTTGAACAGGCGACGCCCCCTGTCTTGCTGCACAACTTACTAAATAAGCCTTATCCAGAATCCTTTGGTGGGACACACGTCCGCAGCTTTCCCAGAATGTTGGACAAATGGCCAACAACTTCGAACCCCAGTGATTTTAAAATGCAGCGGCCAGTCATCTCTACCCAAGCACAGGTGCTTCTCAACTACATATGCAACGACATCATCACTGTTCGATCAAAGCAATCTCAAGCATACTGTTGCGTCCCTTACACCCATCCGCACTCCTTGCAGAAGGCTTTCCTCATCACAGGCGCTTGCATTATTGTCTCCCATCTTCTGGTCTCGATGATCCAGGTCCGGCTGAACAGCTCTCATAGTCTGAGCTCGCGGTATGTGGTTCGACCTACAAGATTGATCTTGGCTGGAGCCACCATCTCATTCGCAGCGATTTACTGTTTTGCAGCGGACAGAACTGCTTACTTCGAGAAGAGCCCAAAAGGCGTTGACCAGAATATGTTCCTGTGCCTGTCAGCAACTTCCCTGTTAGCAGGTCTCGCCACGTTCAAAAAATCATCTTCTGGGCCAGCTAACTCTGAAACCAAGCCATACTCAACCCCTGACCACCAGCAGCCACTGTCAAGAGGACAGACGGAGGAGTGGAAAGGCTGGATGCAGGTTGCAATCCTTCTGTACCACTACTTTGACATGTCTAAAGTCTTGTGGGTTTACCAGTTTATCCGCGTTTGTGTGGCTGGCTATCTTTTCATGACCGGCTACGGTCACACGATGTACTTTCTCAAGACCAACGACTTCTCGCTCCGAAGAGCGGTCAATGTGTTGCTGAGAACCAACTTACTGAATGTCATTCTGGCCTTTGTTATGGGCACGCACTACGACCTGTACTATTTCCCAGCTTTGTCAACGGTGTGGTTCCTCATTATCTGGTTCACAATTCCGAAGAAGGCTGCGAGCCATGCCAATACGTGGCGGCTTATGTCTCGAATCGTGCTATCAGCAGCAATTGTCAGCCTTGCCATCCGATATGGCGAAATCATGGAAACCTGGTTGACGATTCTCAATGATGTGGGTCTTGGGATGCCGGTGATCGATGGACGCGAATTCCTTTTTCGATTCTCGCTGGACGCATATGTTGTCTATTTTGGTATGGTTGCAGCGGCCCTCTATTCACATCACCAAGTTCGTGATCCTAGAATTTGCAATGTCTGCCGGCCGAAGTTGGCAATGCCAATCGCCGTACTAGTGGCTACATGCATTCTTGTTGGCTATTCGGTCTTTTGCACTCGGTTTCTCAACAAATACCAGTACAATAGGTGGCATCCCATTGTCTCGCCGTGGGCGGTCGTCGCTTTTGCTGTCGTCAGGAACTCTGCAAGCCTCCTACGCTCATCACACAGCCGGCTGTTTGCTTGGTTCGGACGCTGTTCCCTCGAAACCTTTGTTCTGCAATACCATATCTGGCTGGCGGCAGATGCACATGGTTTATTGCGACTTGGACTGGCCAATGGACTATTGTATAGATACCAGATCGGAGGCAGCTACACCCTTGACATGCTGGATACCGCGATCATCTCCGCTACATTTCTTTGCATTAGCAACGCGGTTTCGTGGGCAATAACTGTCATCACTGCAAGCTTTATTGGTCACACAAACCAACACAGTGCTTTGATGCCATGGAGTGGGCGGACCGGGGACGTATCTCAGACATCCAGGGTTTTGTTGATGTCGGGAACATTCAGGTTGCGAGCCAGAGTCATCATCGCTATTGCCGTACTATGGATCCTCAACCTCATGTGGACATGCTTTCGTTGAGAAACACGAGGTTAGACACGGAGACCAATCACACCTTCGCCTCATGGCGAAGGTACAATTGAACATGAGTTTGAGATCTCAATAGGGGCGTTCATGAATCCCCATTCCGGCTGATCGGCATCTTCATCGTCGCAAACTTCCGCACACAACGATCTCCCGAACCGGATCGGGATCGCTCTCCAATTTTCCACATCTCCATCTTTCGGGTCCAGAAAAGTTCGAAATGACCCTCAGCACGGAGATGTACGCTTTCGAATAATCGAGTGTCGACTTCAGTTCTGAGATACGAATGCAGCGCAAACTAAACGGCAATACCAATGCTTACCGACAACTCATCTGAGCATTGTTGTCTTCATGTTCCATCGCTTGCCTACCTTAGATCTCACCTACATCAATTGGCAATGAAACCTTGAACTGGGAACAAGCACCGATCTTCGGAGACCATGATGTGGACTCTTGATCATCTCCACATACACCCCGTTTCTTAAATGTTGCCCTTATTCGCTGTCACCCGGCTCTCTGAATCAGATTTTCTCACCTTTTGACTGTCATGTTTTGAATACTGTTGATATCTTCGCTCGTTCCCGGATGCGCTTTCCCCAGCTTTTGGTGTGGATGTTTGTACTGAGTCGATGGTGAAGTCTGTGTTGTTATGCCAGAAGAGAACAGTAAGGAAAATGGCGAGGTCGCTGTCCCCATCGCATCAGGAGACACAGTCACGACCTACGATCCCAATAACGAACCGCGATACGGCTGGGTGGTGTGCGGCGCTCTCTCGACCATCAATGGATTCACCTGGGGCATCTTGGCGGTACGATATTTCGTTTGGTGTCAGAAGACGCACTGACGCGCCTGCAGAGTTATGGAGTGTATCTGTCGTACTACATCAACCATGCAACATTTCCTGGGACCTCGGACCTGGACTACACGTTCATTGGAGGAGTCAATTTCGCAGCAGCCTTGATCAGTGCACCTCTTGTCAACTTGTGCACACAGAAGTTCGGCACAAATGTTCCCATGTACTGGGGCTCGATCATGTTTTCAGGAGGCTTTATTGCTGCATCCTTTGCTACCGAGTTCTGGCACCTTGTGCTGAGTCAGGGCTTGCTCGTTGGTCTGGGGACTGGCTTCGTATGGCAGCCAGCAACACCAGTCTTGCCGCAATGGTTCAACAAAAACAGAAGTCTGGCCCAGGGTATTGCTGCTGCTGGCTCTGGGTTGGTAGGAGTAATTTTCTCTGCGGCTACGACTCCCATGATTGACCATCTATCACTAGCTTGGTCACTCCGTATCACTGGAATTATCTCCCTCGGTGCACTAGTGGTCGCGTCAATTTTGATCCGCGATCGAAATACCACTGTCCGCCCACGGATCAAGGTTTTCGATGCCAACTTGCTCACACAGTACAGAGTGTGGCTGCTGATGGGGTACTCCTTATTCAATATCCTGGGCTATATTGTGACGATATATTCTTTGTCGGCATTCGCAATTTCAATCGGACTTAGTCAAAGTCAAGGAGGAATCGTGACTACGATATTGAACCTTGGAACAGCAGTTGGGAGGCCTTTCGTTGGTATTCTCAGCGACAGATTCGGCAGGATGACGGTCGTTGCGGCGCTGACGATGGTCAATGTCGTGTTCATATACGCCGTCTGGATACCGACTGATTCGTTCGGGCTTTTGATCTTTTTCGCTCTTGTCCTCGGAGTGACGAGTGGCTTGTACTGGAGTGTACGGCCACTTCTTCCTTTATTCTGAAAATCCTGCTAATGACCGGTACAGACAATTGCACCGCTTTGTGCAGAAGTCGTCGACTTGAGAGAACTACCCTCGACACTCAGTTTGATGTGGTTGACCACTTCATTGCCTACTTTGTGTGAGTAAACATCGAAATCAAGATCGGTTTACACAGTGGCTTACAACAGGCTAGTTTCGGAAGCTATTGCACTCGAGATTCGGCAACCACATTCAAGCCGTCCGTACCTGTGGCCACAGATCTACACTGGCTTGACGTATCTGATATCTGTCCTTTTCATACTTGAGTTGCGCAGGCAGAAATGGGGCTGGAAAAGAGAAAAGCACCAATAATGATGATATCGTCGCGGTGCAATACGACCAGCACCTCGACATCTTCTTCTAACAGTCTGTGGAGGAATCGGCCAAGTTAAAAGCCGCAGAAACCCAAGGTCAACAGTGAGCTGCACGATAACGGCTCGAGGAGCTTCGATACAAGGCTCTGAGAGCATGGTGCCGTCCCAGTAGTTCTGCTCGACCCAGATCCCCAGAATCCGATTGGCGGACTACTATATCGAAGGTGCCAGGCCGAGCGCAAAGGCTGATTACTCAACATGCTCGGCCACTCACTTCACTCGGCGCAGGATACCTATTTTCCTTGCGACTACATTCATGATATCAAGCCTTGTTGTGGAGTACAGATCCAGTATCATTCCCGCCAATGACGCTCCTCATGTTCCTCTCAAGAATCAACGCAAAGTATGATACGAGATACGACGAATGGGTACGGCCGTACTTCCGCCACACAAGGATGGGCCAGCCTACGCAGGCTCCGCTCGCAAGGCTAGTGAGGCTAAGAGTGAATTCATCTATACCACCGTTGAACGGCTACCATGTCCCAACAATAATGCTCGACACGGAATTATAAGCCAAAATTCGCCGGCCGTTCATGTACCTTGGTTACAAGTCGTTCTGACCAGCATCTTTCCTTCCTGTACCTTCTCGCTTCATTACCATCATCGCAGAGATGCTGTCCTGCCTGAACCCCCTACCATCTCTCCCAGCATATACTGGTCCTTACGCCGTCGGCTCCACCGAGTACGAAATCCCGCTATCCTCTCTCTCCTTACCAGCTCTCCCCGAGCACATCTCACTCTCGACTATCAAATTCCGGCTCTTCTATCCCACCACCGGCCCTGACTCTAACTCTTATGGTATCCCCTGGCTCCAACAACCCCAGACAGCCTATCTAAACTCGTACCTCCGCCTCGCCGGCATAAAACCCTTTTTATCTACAATTCTGCTCTCAGTCCCATTCTATCTCCGCACGACGCAGATCCCAGCATACGCGAATGCCCCGATGTCGTACGATGGCGCAAAATTGCCGGTCCTCATCTTCTCTCACGGGCTCGTGGGCAATATGAACACGCACAGCGCGATCCTCGGCGATCTCGCGAGCCACGGCGTGTTCTGCCTAGCGATAGAGCACCGTGACGGCAGCGGGCCGCTAAGCATGGTCCGAAGCGCTAAAGCCAGCGGCGCTGGAGCCGATGAGGCAGCCCCAACGGAAGTGACGAGTGTTTCTTTCAAGCAAATCTCGCTGAAGATCAAGCCGGGTGTGTACGAGCAAAGGGATGAGCAATTACGCACCCGGCTGTTTGAAATGATGGCAGCGTATCGCGCGGTGGAGATGCTCAATGAAGGAGGACCTTTTGGCAATCTGGCGAGTGAGGCAGGCAGGGATGGGTCTGCTTTTGCAATGCCGAAAGGTGTGTTGGATATGACGCCGGGCAGTGTAATATGGGCGGGTCACTCCTTTGGCGGGACGACGATTGTGCAGTTCGTCAAGGCAGTGTATTACTGTGGTGAGAGACAAGATGCGACTTGCTTGCTCTGGCACGACCCGTCGCCGGGTCTAAAAGCGCAGATCACGCCGAGTTCGCCTGTCGTGCTGCTGGATCCGTGGTTCTTGCCACTTAAGTCGCCGAAGACGGAGGCGTTGTTAGGCATGCCAATGCCTTGCCATCACTCAAGCACCGGCGAAAAGTCGAGAACAGTAGCGGTGTGTTGTTCAGAATTCGCCTACCACTGGCCGCAGTGTCATTCGTACATGCCTGCTATCGTGGCGGAAGACCCGACGAGCGTCAGAATTCAGACGGACGAGGAGTATCGCGAAGAGTTTGCCAAGTACAGGAGTCCGAGGGAGTTCATGAATAAGAGTAAAGAGGCAAGAGCGATGTCGAAGGCGGAGATCGAGGTCTCTCAGAAGGTGACTGCAAGACAGGAAGGATCTAAAGTATCGATGTACGTGCTGCATGACACTACGCATATCACGCACTGTGATTTTGGGGTCATGTTCCCGTGGTTGACGTACTGGTTTACCGAGCAGAAACGGCCGGTTTTGGCCACCAGGAACGTTGTGCGTTGTATAATGGCGGCAGCTGGACTGGTGGAAGTGGATGATGCTGCGGAGGTAGCTGGTAGTGGTGGTAATGGACAAGTGCAACTGGAGAGGGTTCAGTGAGGTGTATCTGGTGATATGGTACGGAGTATCATAGACGAGACGGTAGAACCAACGTGCATCTCGGGCCCTGATGAGCAAGTTAAGGATACTTGCAGATGTTCAGGCAGAGGTCTATTGTGTAGTTGTTGGGTGAGGCGACGTTAAAAATGTCCAATCCCACGAGTGAGTACCCAAGTACCTTAGGCAGCATTGGCACAACCTCGGCATCTCCAATTACGTCTTTTGCAATTGACCGCGACTGATTCTCAACTCTCTCTCCGAATGCGATACTTGCGATACAGACTTGAAGCTTTGGTCTGCTGCCTCTGTGCATTATCTGGCAACATGTTACGATAGCAAGAAATGCCTGTCACCGAGATCCTCCTGCTACGGCATGGCAACCGCCTCCAGTGGACATTGAATCCAGTCACTGGCGAATACTCTTCCAACCACCCTTTCCCCACAGGTCTGCCCGCAGACCCTCCTTTGGCCTCGTTCGGAGTAAGACAGTCGCAAGAGACTGGAGCCTATCTTGGCAAGGTTTTGGGTGACCTGGCGAAGCAAGACCGCTTACGCATCTATTCCAGCCTATTCTACCGATGTCTCGAGACGTTGCGGCCAACCGTGGAAACGCTCAATGAGATCACGTCCTCAGCGACGACAAGAAAGAATATACGCGTTCGAGGAGAGAGAGGCATAGGCGAATGGTTTGGCCGAGCATGGTTTATTCAGCCAAAGCCTGCAGAACCGTCACGACTGCGCCGAGATTTCTTCCCCTGGCTTGACGACACATATACATCACTGGTGGTCCCGCCGGAGCACGGAGAAAGGATAGATCCGCTGCATGATCGTGTTGCGAGGGCGCTGGCGATGGTTGTTCAAGACGTAGACAGGGAGTTTATAGAAGCCGGTCGTGGCGAGGAGGAAGTCACGCTGTTGTTGTGCGGGCATGCTGCTCAAATCATCGCCAGTGGGAGGGCATTGACAGGACAGATACCAGATGATCACGACGAAGACGACTTTAAATGTTTTACTTGTGGTCTCAGCAAGTTTATGCGGCGGCGGGTCCCTGCAGATGGCGAGGTGTATTATGATGACGACTGGAGGAACACTGGCGGCGTCGCTGGTGGGTGGGATTGCCTTTTGAACAGTGATTGCAGTCATTTGTCTCAGGGCCAGGAGAGAGGATGGCATTTTCATGGTGATGAGAGTTTCGATTCATATGAGGTCGCTGCTGCATTGGGTGTGAAGACCTCTCATGGAAGTGTGCCGCCTTCGAAGTTGTGACCAAGATAGACCTCTCTGATAGATGTAGACGCAAGCTGAGCACACATAAACTCGGTTGATGGACTCCTAGTATCTGGGAAGCTAGTTCTGACGGACTCCTGGAAACACACGCATCGCATTGTGACAGCACGAAAGCTCTGTGCAGTACCTTATGGTCCTTCGTGTATAGAACTCTATGACTCCGCTCGTCGTCCGTGTCCGGCTCCCTTGATCAGTGATGGGTATCGAGGGAGTTTACTATGGTCTCATGGGTAAATCGTGTAATTTGGCGCTAGGGTGCCATTCGACGACAAACAGCAGCGAGGACAATTTGTGTGGCAGGAGGGCCTCCTGTTCAATGCGATGCCAACTGCTGCTTCGCCGCGACAAGCGGCAGATGTTTGGCACCCCGATTAAGCGATTTTCATTACACGATTTACCCATGAGACCGTCCGTGCCGTCACCGTTCGTAGTACAGGTGGGGTCTCCATTTTTCAGGAGGCGGCGAATCAGGTAATACCATGAAAAGACCGGGGAGACGGTACTGAGCGTTCTTGGGGGAGGTTTGCCGACTCCGCAGAGCTGGAGGCCGTCACCATTTTGACGAGCGTTCAACCGCTCTTGAGCAGCTTCGTCCTCACCCGGGTCCTCATTCGCTTCCCGCTGTTTGACTTTGTGGAGTGAGTCTTTCTCCTCATATCCTTATGCTCCTGAGGATGGTGCCTTCCTTCTCACAATTCTCAACATCCTCGACCTAGACTATGGCGAGCTTGAACAGCTCCCTGTCCAGCAATGTCCTACGGCAGCAAAGCCCTGCTGCATCCTTCAACCGAACGCTATTATGGTATTTTCAGCTATAGCTAGTTAACCGGTGTTCTCTGACGCGCAGCAGACCTCCTATCGACTTTCATACGGCACACACGCCCCCAGACGCAGACTCGATTACGACATCTGTCACGGCGAAGACAATTTCACGACTATTTCGTCACCCATCTGCCTTCCTCGTCTATGCATCCCGATTCTCGCCCCTTGACTGGCCTAGGGCACAAGTTGTCTAGGAAAGACTCGACGCCGCATACACTGCATGGAGGAGAGTCGGCACCCGCAACTCATCCGTCCATTTCAAGAAACACTACTGTTGTCCGCATACCTCTCAGAAGCGCCAAACATCACTACGGCGCGTCGGTCTCTCGAGGCAGTCGACCATATAATGAGGATGCACATCAAGCGGGTGTGATTGAACTCCCCGCGTTTGCAAAGAGGCCACCCCGATCGATCACCGCCAAATCTGGGCCCGGCGAGGGAATATCGGCAGAAGGAGCGTCTGGCGATCCTCAGGTTTTCTATTTCGGCGTGTTCGACGGCCATGGTGGAGCAGAATGCAGCGACTTCCTCAGAGAAAGACTGCACGACTATATTGAAAAAACGGCTGAGTCGTTTGAGCTACAGTCCAGCTTGCAAAAACCTGGCGAGAGAAAGAAAAAGAGCATACCTGCTCCAGCAGGCTTCGATGCTGCCGCTGAGCAGGAGAAACGAAGTAGGGGAAGCCGAGACATAGCTGAGCCAAGCGGTCATGAGCCTCCTAAGAAAGGTGGAAGACGACCGGGTGAGGGTGCCGCTGAAGACTCCAAAACGGGCCAACAACCTCCATACCCAGGTGATCCGCCTCTCATACAGAGTGCCAACAAGCAGCATATCAAAACCCTTGAGAAGGAATTGACAAAAAACTGGAAAGATCTCGTCGGAGGCTACTTCAGACGGTTCAAGCCGGCCTATTTTTCCATCTACAGTGGCTATCAGAATTTAGGGGAAGAATCTGATTCACTGCGCCAGGCTGGACAAAATGTCGACAGCGGCGCCGCCCTCGAGGAAGTTATCAGCTATGCTTTTCTCAAGGCCGATTATGATTTTGTCTCGGCACAAGCGGCGAAAAATTCCGAAAGCTGGGACAATACCAGAGCGGATCGACCCCTTAATGAGGGAGACATCCTGGGCGAGCCTACCAAGCTAGCCGCTCACATAGGAGGTCCGAACAGGTTCAAGGGTGGCAGTACGTGCAGCATTGCGCTGGTGTCTACACCGTCGGCAACGCCATTCTGGAATCCTTCGACAACGTCTTCAATGTTAGTTGCGCATGTTGGAGATACGAGGATTCTGTTGTGCTCGACCGATACTGGCGCCGCCGTGCCTTTGACGACGAATCATCATCCTTCGTCACCTATTGAAACCAACCGCTTGCGAAGATATGCTACAACGTTTGTGACTGATTCTTTTGGAGAGGAAAGGATATCAGGATTGGCCAATACCCGGGCTTTTGGAGACATAGCCTCGAAACGTGTCGGAGTGAGTGCAGAGCCGGAAATTAAACGCGTCGACCTGGGTCCAGCAGAATACTCATTTCTGGTCTTGATGTCCGATGGTGTCTCGGGGACTCTGGATGACCAGGAAGTGGTGGACATCATCAAAGAGGCCAGGGATCCTGAACAAGCCGCCAGAGATGTGGTCAACTTTGCAACTGAAGTCTCTACAGAAGGCGACAATGCCACTTGCCTGGTAGTGCGGATGGGAGGGTGGGAACGGCGGCAGGAAGGTGGCTATGGAAGCCTACGTACGAAAGAGAGTCGTGACTGGAAGCGACAGAGTGCGTCTGACCCCAGGAGTCGGCGACAATAAGTTGGTGTAGCTGTGCTGTAGCTGTAGCTGTAAATCGATCATGGTTCTTGCATCTTGCATATACTACCTCGTATCCGCCGAGCCGGTTTCCAGAAGAAATGGCATCGTCTGACAGGGAGCATTTAACTCCCGCTTGAAGATAGGGAGTCTGCCAACGGTAAATTACAGGAGTTATGATCATGGCACTATGGTACTACCGGCCTTCCGTCTGTCAACGACTTACGCTATAACGTTGTATACGAAGGATTCCGGATAGACAACGAGTATCACGTCAAGGACGTCCAGGTGAAGCCGACGAACTCCTGCCGTCAGACAGTGGCACCCTTTTTCGAAACCGACTCGCCGCAACACAGAATCTGGTTCCATTGACTAATGCTGACAGAGATCATCACGGGAAGAAACGTCGGGGAGGCAGTGTGATTCGTTAATGCAGGTCGGAAGCATAGCCAAAGTGGAGGGAGACCCTGAATATGCATCACCTGCAGCACAATTTATCAAAGCCAAAGAAACATCCTCGTCCCGTCCGGATGGCATTCCGTTCAAGATCTCACCACGTCTCCGCAAGTGTTCGGCCTTGAACATCTACTTCGTAGAATATAATCTTCCCAAATCTGTCCGCGCAGGCAAGCCAGAGTAAATATTCTCCTGACAAGAACAAACGAACCCGTCTACCAACCGACTCCTTATCAGTCCTGCCTGCGCGATCCCGGCCAGATCCTATCGTCAAATTTGGCTTCCCACCTGTTCGTTCCTCTCAGCTTCTGGTGCCTGATCGAGAAATCCCTCACGAGACCTCCTCTCCCATTTCGGCTTCTACTACGCACTTCCTCCTTGCCCACCTCAAAGAAGATCGTCAACGCGGCTTTGCCGGAAGAGTTGGACCATGGCGAAGAAGGCAGAGAAAGACAAATCTTCAAGCCCAAACGGGCACGTCCTAACCAACGGACACACCAAGATGAATGGCACGCTCGAGAAATCCGAGTCAGACATCTACGAGGACGAAAATATCTTCCTATTCATTCCTAACATAATCGGTACAGTCCCAACTTCTTCAATAGCATGCGCGATCTATCCTGTTCCCTTCATGTCGGCTGACCAGGTGACCATGTATAGGCTACGTCCGTATCATCCTAGCCGTTGCATCCTTGTACTACATGCCCCTCCATCCACGTACATGCTCTGGCCTGTACAGCTTCTCCTGTATCCTCGATGCCGCAGACGGCATGGCTGCACGGCGGTACAATCAGGGCACCACCTTCGGTGCGGTGCTCGACATGGTGACGGATAGGTGCACGACGAGTTGCCTGCTCGTCTTCCTGGCCTCGGCCTTCCCCAGATGGTCGATTGTGTTCCAGGGCTTGATCAGCTTAGACCTGGCAAGCCATTATATCCACATGTACGCGACGTTGACGATGGCCGGGAGCGGCCAGAGTCATAAGAAGGTGGATAGTAATCGCAGTTACATTCTGCATCTTTATTATACCAACCGGGTAAGAAAACACTACGGAGCTGTGATGATGTCCATCATGTAGGCTGAAGCTGACGATGTGATCTATACAGGTCGTCCTGTTCGCGTTCTGCGCTCTGAATGAACTGTTTTTCATTGCGCTGTATCTCCTTTCCTTCTCATCACCGCTGCTGTCCCCCAGCTTGCTGGTCACCGGCGATAATGGGACGGGAATATCCTCGGCGCAGCCTGGTTCGCCCGCACATCCGAAGCACAGTACACTGTTTGCAAATCCATGGAGTGCGGCAGCGCTGGAGATGGCACGAGCAAATAAAATGGACAGCACGGTGCCCTGGATCTTGGCTGGCGTGAGCTTTCCGGTTATGTTTGGCAAACAGGTGATCAATGTGATTCAGCTAGTCAAGGCAAGTAAGTGGTTGGGCGAGGGCGATATTGCCGCCAGGAAGAAGGCCGGCATTGCAAAGAGAAAGACGAAGGCGGCTTGAGTGGCTGGTCTGAAGACTGGTGTTGCGCCAACTTATGGAAGGGCCGCGAGTTGCTATAATCAGGTATTGAAGGAGCCGCTGTATCCAAAGGTGATTGGTGTTGCTTGTTTTGACTTGGTGAGGACAATCATTGCACTGGCTCTATGGGCTTTGGAGTTTGACACGGCGTCCATGGAGTGACTGATGTGGAATCCCAGGAGCTGGTGACTGTCTATTGAGAGGCCTTGATATTGGTTCGCATTTGAATTCGGCTGGGCGGCACTCGCTATGGAGTCTGGGAGATGAATGGGAGTAGAACGGGCAACGGCGTCGTCTGTACGGTGGCCAGTGGACAAGTGTATACTCGGGAGAACCCGATGTTTGACATATTACAGACTAATTACCTACCTTACTAATTAATGATGTATCATGAACTGCTACGGAGGTGTGCACCAAATGTAGTTGCCGCGCTAAAGTTGAATGACGAGGACGTCAAAAGACCATTAATTTTCTTTTCCGTTGCTCCGGACAACAGTGCCCGGAGATATCGGAGCTCACTCTCTTCCCCTAAAGCTCGCCTATCCTCTAGCGCTAAGCCGCCTAAAGTAGATGATCTTTAGTTAAGAGCTTAGTTAAGGCTGCCTAGAACAAGAGAAAATCAATTGTCAGTTATGATCCTTCGTAATTTCATTTTAGCGCGGCAACTACATTTGATGCACACCTCCGTACGCTGCCGAATTTATTGATCTTTACAGCCCAGAGGTCAGGTCCCGACGTTCATGCCTCCATTCTGCAAGGTACATAGTCGTATACTATCGTTACCGACCTTGGTGCAGCCTGTATGCCTGTCGACCATGTTCAAGCGCGAGGCTGAACTTTGGTCATCCTCTCCGCATTTCCAGTTCCCTTTTTTCGGTGCCCTCCACTTCAGGAAGATTGTTGACGCGAACTGACGCGTTATCCAGTGAAACCGCGATCTGGACTAATCTGTATTGGTGCAGCACGGGCGCAGGCAGTTCGTTTGAACTCGGCCATGACGCTCTATGCTCAATGAAAGCCTCAGTCGATATTACGAATGGTTACGTGAACATCTACGAGCCTTTGCCACGCGTGCTAGACGTGGTATCAGCGAAGGAGAACTTTCCGCAGTTCTATCAAGCCTGCGAGATACTCCATGCCCCCACGCTGGCATCGACTCCCGCTTGCGAAGGCAGAGAGAGACAGCTGGCGAGCGAGAGACCCAGATGGTTACAGGGAGTGGAAATCCGGTCAAAATAGGAAATTCAGAGCGCTCGAGAAGGGGAGGAGGGCGGAAGCAAAACGAACGCAGGAAGGGCCCGAACGTCAAGGAGCCATTGCTGCGTCGCTTGAGATGAATACTGTGGAAGGAGCTGCCGTGTTCCAGAAGGATCAAGAAACCGACGAGTGGTACAAGTACCAACCCCCGCCTCTCGTTGACACTGTAGAGGCTGCGATAAAGAGAAAGATAAGGCGGCGGATGAGGAGGATGGACATATGTGTCAACCTGAGCCTAGTCAGGGCATTGGACTTCAAAGTTCAAGAGAACATCTCAAAGAAATAGCGGACCACTTCTGGGGACGCAACTCAGCGGCCAATGATGGCATCCACGAGAAGATAGGTGTGCCCAAGAACGACCTTGTGGACGGGCAACCAACTGAGGCTGAACTCGATGACGACGATGACGAAAACGAGAATGAAAACGAGAGCGACAACGAAGACACTCTTATGGCTCTCCAGACAATGATCCCTGCTCCCACTCAGCATACAGACCGGGTGGACCTTGAGAATCCATTCAATGCAAAGAGTCCTCCGAAGCGAACTAGGGACGCATGCGACATTGCCGAAGAGCGACACACAGAGCCAAGTAAGCGTCAAAGGCTTGCAGAAAGTGCGAAAAGATCAGACGGTACCGACGTGAATGGGAAGGTAACCGCTAATGGCAACATTGCTGCTGAGCTCGGCGGGAACAAAGTCGTTTCTGCTGAATTTGCAAGGGGTTCTGAAATCAGAGCACGGCGTAATGCCAATGGCGACTGGCCATACCTGCGCAAGCTGTCGACTTTCACCAAGCTTTCTCTTTCGGAGCGATCTCAGACCCTTAGGACTTGGACGTCGGATACGGAAGATTATATCGGAAATATCCAGGCTGGTACGGTACCTGTAGCGAAAGTCCTGGATTTCTTCGATCTTGTCGATGTTCATTTGGATGCCGAATCTCAGAGGATGCTTGAGATAACTCTGACTATCGCGCAAAGTCTAGAGCATCATGTCAAAACAGGCGAGACATTTGAGAAACTGCAGCTCGAGAAAGAAGAGTTGCTAACAAGGTTTCTTCCCAGCATGATGAAGTGAGAAAGGATTTGCATGCAGACTTTTTTGGGGTTCTGGTGCAAAAGAAGACAAAGCAGGATCGCGGCTTCTCTTGGGAAATCCATGACGGTTGCAGAATTGTGGCGGAATGGCTTTCGGCAATGGGGTTATTTGAATGGAAGAATGGTACTCGGTTTGTGTGTATTCTGTTGGACCTACTTGGAAACCAAGTCCATGTGAGATGAGGGAATGCGGCATTCAACTGAAGTGAACGACAATTTCCAGCAGCTGTGAAGATGAGTTCCCTAGTTTTGACTCTCATCCACATTGATCTTGATCCCGCTCGACTGCTCGCTCACTATATTCTTTTAAGACGAATGTCTGGTGTCAGACGGTATTTCGTTCGCATCGTCCTAGGCGGTTGTTTGCTTGTCGTCGACCTCGTCTTCCTAACGGCATGCCAACTATCGTGTCCTCCCTCCCCTTGAACGTTCCGGAGGGCATCCCAAATTCATGGTCGCGACACCCGACTGTTTCCCACCTCCACATATCCGAATCCCTGACCCGTTTCATGTCCGTCGAATCCGGAGCTCGCTAGGTCTTCAACATGCGGTGGTCCCGAGGGAGGTCCCTAGTTTTAAGGCATGCGACAAGTCCCTCTCACGGAAGAATGGAAAAAGCAAGATGGACTGGACGTGAAACTACAAATCAGCTTGGTCTCAAACCCCAATGGTTTTCTAAGAACGCAATCGTTGAAGTCGAGGAAGATGAAGGCTTAATATTTCGGACAGATAAAGAGGCAATGGCCCATGATCTGGACACGCGAGGGCAGAAAGAGGACATTCGCAAGCTGCAAGCTTACCCTCCATACGTCGAACTCACTAAACCCTCAGGACTTATGATCAAAGGCAGCACCTGCAAGCTCGTCATGCAATTGCACGAGGAGGATCTTTCAGCCTCCAAGATATCGCGCAAAGTTGCTCGAAAAACCAAGACGGATTATCATTCCGCAAACGAGGTTGGAGAGCTGATCCAAACTTGTACCTCCTTGGGGCTCGACGGCTCTTCGCCGCTAGCCACAGAATACTGGGAGAACGAACCAATCGAAGGCTGGTGGCTCAAGGAAGAGAGTTACTGTGAAGACTTGAGGCGGCAGCTGCCAGTGTCAGAGGATATTTGTGGATATGATTGCAACAATGGATGGTGGAAGAACAAACAAAAGCAGGAATACCGGGATTGGGACCGCTTTGGCGACAGGTCAATTGGTCCAGAGAGTCAGAGGCGAAGTTCCACAAGTCCTGGAAGTGTCCGGAAGTCTCATAAATGACAATGAAGGAGGTGAACGGAGTTGGGACAAGACAGACAAATGGTGAATCAGTAATGGTAATGAACGTGAGATGGACCAACCCTGGGGAGTCACCATGATCATGGGGGACCATTCATGAGCCAGTTGTCCGCTGCTCGCTCTGAAGCGCACGAGGCCGATGAACTTGTGGCCATGAAAATGACGAGTACCTCCTGTAGGCTGCGTGCTTACTGTCCCAAATGTGGTTGACAGGAAATATTGGGTGAGAGCGGGTCAGGCGTCAGCGCTCTCCGAACTGAAAACAATCAACCCACAATCATCCTCGGATGACGGCAGACAATATGATTCGCAAGAGGTGGACGTCAATATCTCACTGCTGACCCTTCCACTGCTCGTATCGAGGGACTTTTCGAAGGATGGAGCACCGAATCAGGCATGCCCCATTCAACACCAGATACCCTGGAAGATGCAAGCAACATCGTCCGGCTCAAAGCATGGCTGCTACAGTCTTCCAGGGCACGACAGAAACGTGTTGTGGCATAGCAGATCTGGTTGCTTCGATATATGGACGTAGGGACTCGTGCAGAGTAGAAGGACCAAGACGAGTCGTTGTTGAAGAAGGAAAGAATAGAGTTGCGGACTTGGATGAAAGTGACTTGGCGCAGAAACTCCGCAGAAAGATCACCCACCAAATCATGCGGAAGACAGCGAGATAGCCCCATCATCCCATCATCGAGTTCCATCCTCCGCGAGATCCATCTCATCGGACTTTGGACCCAATCATTGTCGTTGCGGGCCTGTCGCTTCTATCCTCGCCACCAATCAGTCCGAGCCCACTGAAGCACACGAGGTGTCCCTCATCCGGCTGCAGCGGGCTGCGCAAAGCCTGGACTTTTCCCTTTTACATACTCAGCTCCTTTCTTTGCAATGCGCTCACTATGGCCCGCCTTCCTTTACCTCTCTGACATGGACTGATCAACATCCTGGTCGCTCTTCGCATCTCGTGAGGACGGGCGCTCGGGTCCTGCAACTGGAGCCATCAAGATGAATCCTCACGATGTCCAGATGCATGACATCGCCCACGATCGCCCCCAAACCTCCATATCCCCGCCTTCGCGAAACCCTCTCCATCCCTCGGTCGTAGAACAACTCGATCCTGCCTTTGTCAAATTATACAATACATATATCGCCAATGGCCCCCCCATGTCCACAGACCTAAATGTCGTCCGTCAGAACTTCTCGGCGTTATATTCCTACGCGAGTGCCCCAGCGACCGGCGTCGGTGGTATTGGAGAGACTCAAGTACCAGGATGGGACAAATACCCAGGAGATGTCAACGTGCGAGTCTATGTACCGCCTGGGGAAGAGCCCGGACAGCGCAAGGTATGGCCTGTGCACTTTAATTTTCATGGTGGAGGTAAGGCATTCCCTCTTGCAGCATGACGGGCTCGCTGACAAGAACAGGCTGGGCTGTTGGTGATCTGGAAACCGATGCCCATATTTGCCATCATATATGCGCTTCTGTCCCATGCTGTGTTATCGATATCGAGTATCGCTTGATCCCCGAGTATCCTTTCCCGGTCGGCATAATGGACGGTATGTCCGCCGTTGCGCATATCCTTGGGAACCACAAGACATTCTCAATCGACCCTGACAACATAACCCTTGGTGGACAGTCGTCTGGAGCTACGATAGCTCTGATACTCAACCACCTCTACCGAGATGCCGGATTTGGTGACAAAGTCAAGGGCGTTATCGTTGGAACGCCGACCATCAGTGATGTGAGGAAATACGCCACGCCAGAGATGAGCCCCTGGCCTAGTATGCGAGAGGCTGAATTCGCGCCCCTACTCAATTGGGAGAAACTGAAGTGGTTCGACACTTTCAAATGGATATCCTTGTCAAGTCAGCACCAGACAAAGCCGAAGGAACAGAAGCGAGATATTTCGTGGTTCGCCGATGCTATGAACGCGCCGAACTTCAGGAATCTGGCTCCTTTGACTTATCTTGCTACGGCAGAAGTCGATCCCCTACGCGACGAAGCTGAAGCATATGCGAAAAAGATCGAAGAGGGAGGCAATCAAGTCACTGTGAGGAGATTCAAAGGTGTACCGCATCACTTCATGCATATGGATCGACTGCTTTTCCAAGGGCGAGAATATGTCCAGGATGTCATTGCGCATATTCGACAGTGCTTGTATCCTCCTCCTCCGCCACCGACTACCACTCCACCTTCGACCTGAGGCATGAAAGACGCATTGAGAAAGCTTGAGTGCATGCTGAATGCATGATACGACTCCGCGACTTTTGAGGGCAATGGACAACATCAAAGTCTTATTGAGATGGTTTCTTCCTGAGACGGCCCCAAGCAATCCGACCGAAGGATTTCTGGGTGCGTCAGAGGCATGCATATGTACCCTTGCGCAACCTCGCTGAGGCCTAGGAACGCCGAGGCCACTACAGTAATAAATTCGGAGTCAGCGATCGTGCGGCTCCCCGCCACGATGCGGGATTGAGGTTTAACCCTGGATGCTAACGATACCTGCTTGTGGCGATCACGACGTGTTTGCTGCACGGTACAGTCTTCTCGCAAGCTCAAGGTGGCACGTTCGGGAAGAGCGCACTAAGCCGAAGCAAGGAGCAACCTAGGAAGGTCTGGTGTACCGTGAAGAAGGTGCTCTACGACATACCGCATACTCCATCACGGGAGTCAGACTATACTTCTGCGATCTTCTCGTTTCCAAGTGTAAATATGTTGACGCGGTACGCCATTTCAAAATTGGTCATGGTACAGGTATGGGTTTGCCATCTGAGTCGATCATATATCTTCGAGAAGAACCAGGCATTGCTAGAGTCCTTGCAGGTTCTGGAATGCCGTAAAGTGAGAAACCAAGCAAGTGGTGGATGGCGACGGTTTTGTTAGGTTGGATTCCGATTCGACTTATTTTGTTGAGTACTGTACGTTTGAGCTTGGGGGCTTCGAATTCATTCTGGACGTATGCTTAGAGATATGACTCGTCCTCCTGTCTTCAAGATTGAGCGGATGTAATCTACCTATTGGGTAGTTGTGCTAGTAGCATCCATCATTCGGCCAGCCTCGTGCGGGGAGACCAATCAATTTCTCCACAGCGCGACGCGTCTCGACGCGTACAGGGCGAGCACGACAAACGTTAATTGATTCGTTCCATCTTTATCCCTACACATCTGCGTCGCTATTTGCACCTCTCCAAAGCAGACCAGACAAGCACAAGTCGAGATGCCGGATCGCCCTCCTTTTCCTGGGCGTCCTGCTCAACCTCCCGGTCCTACCTACCTACAGTATTCGCCGGACGGCCAAAGACTTATTGTTGCGGGTGTGGGAAACTTCGCTCGATCCTTCAGAACCGGCGATAATGGCGAGCCCGATCTGCTGCCCGAGACCCATGAGGAGACCTATGCTGTGGCTTCAGGAGTATGAGCGGTTCGGAGTGAGAGTATAGCAAACTGGATGGCTGACTGCCTGCTAGAACGACTACGTAATACTCGGGTGCGAAGACGGAACTGTATGCGAATACGCTGTACCCTCGGGAGACCTGAAGCAGATTCTTGTCAGAACCACATTGCCTATCAGAGATGTCGCTCTGTCTCCTGATGAGCAATGGATTGCAGTGTCCAGCGAGTAAGTCGACCACGTCCTGCCACGAGACATATCTGACTCTCGCAGTGAAGTCGAGATCAAACTGGTCAATCGCCGCAATATTGAGGATATCTTCGTCCTCCGCGAACACCCCAAACCCATCAAACACTTGACGTACGATCCTTCCGGCGCGTACCTTGCTGCGTCATGTACGAATGGCGTTATCTACATCTACTCAACGACGACCCCGGAACCCTCCCTATTCAGAACAGTAGACGGAGTCATAAATCGACTGGAGACAGCAGAAACCACCACTTCAAGATGTGTATGGCACCCAGATGGAAGAGCTTTCGCTTGTGCGACACCGACAAGAGACATCCAAATCGTCTCGGTTGAAGACGGAGCCCACCAGCGAGTCTTCTCCGGAGCACACAACGGAGACATAACCTCCCTGGCCTGGTCACCTAATGGAGCATTGTTGGCTAGTGCCGGCGCAGATGACCAACTCGTTATATGGGAGACCAAGACTCAAGCCATGTTGAAACGATTCAATTACGAAAGAATCATCAACCTTGCCTGGCAGAGCACTGGCGAGAACATTTTCAACTGGACAACCTCTCAGGGCGAGCTGTTCATAATCCCGGAATTCCTGAAAGATGAAGCACATGTCCGACTACTTAAAAGCCCGAAAGTCAGAGCACCCTTCTTCCATGACCCCTTAGACGACAAGGCCGCAGTCGCTAACGGTCGTAAACCGCTCGTCAACGGCCAGGGCAAGCGAGCTGGTACCCCAGATAGTCTAGACGAGCTCCTCGGGCCAGAGGACGAGTACGACTGGATTGAGGATGACGATGGCGCCGGCTACATCAACGAAAACGGGAAACGAACGAACGGCCACCTCGGACAGGCCAACGGCCATGCCATGAAACGCAACAAGCAGGAACTGTGGCAACCACACATCCACAAGCCATTCCAGCCGGGTGCCACCCCTTGGCGAGGAAACCGGAAATACTTGTGCCTCAATTTGATTGGATTCGTCTGGACGGTCGACCAGGACACCCATAACACAGTTAGTGTCGAGTTCTACGACCGAGAGGTGTACCGTGACTTCCACTTCACCGACCCCTTCCTCTATGATAAGGCCTGCTTGAACGAGAACGGCACGCTCTTCTCATGTGCCTCGAAGGATGGCCAGCCTGCAATGATCTTCTACCGACCGCATGAGACTTGGACGACTCGCTCAGATTCGCGCATCAGCCTACCGGACGGAGAAGAGGCAACGTGCATTGCGCTTAGTAGTCGTTACATCGTGGCTGTCACGAACAAGCATTATGTGCGTGTGTGGACGCTGTTTGGCACGCCTGTCCGGCTGTGGCGCATGAAAAGTTCTCCCTCTGTGACTTGTGCTGCATGGGGAGACTTCGTCATGACAGTCGGGAATGGGCCTGTCGGTGCGGATGGATGTACGCGATTGATGTACAGTATTGATGACGTGCGGCGGGACGAGAATTGCCAGAATGAAGATTTTGTCGCGCTGGGTACGTTGCCGGCAGATTCGACTGAAGAGGAAGTCAGTTTGAAGACTCTGTTCTGGAGCGATGTGGGCGACCCGTGCGTCTACGATAGTAATGGTGTCTTGTTGACGTTGCTGCATTGGCGAACGCCGGGGCAGGCGAAGTGGGTGCCATTACTAGATACCAGATTGCTGGACAGACTGAAGAACGGGAAGAAGGAGGAGACATACTGGCCTGTCGCTGTGGCGGCGGAGAAGTTCCATTGTATCATTCTCAAGGGTGGGGATAAAAGTCCGTATTTCCCACGGCCGTTGCTAACGGAGTTTGACTTTCAAATTCCTGTGTCAAGGCCCGTGGAGAAGGGTGACGAGGATGAAGAAGAGACCAGCGCTGAGGCCGTGGTGAGGTTAGAGGAGGCTTTCGTGCGGTCCTCGACGCTGTTGGGATTGGTGGATGATTTGGTCCAAGGGCTGGGTGACCGGGCAGGTCACGCCCAGAAGACCGAGGTCATAAAGAGGGAGATTGATGTGGATAAGATTCTGCTGCAGTTGCTGGCAGTGGAGTGTCGCGAGGGTGAGGACAGGGGGATGAAAGCACTGGAGATTGTAGGCTTGTTGAGGGACAGGAGTGGGAAGATGCTCGAGGCTGCGGCCAAGGTAGCTGGTCGATGGAATAGGACGGTACTGGAGGATAAGATTAGAGATTATGCTGAGAGGAGGTTGATGGGTATGGAGGAGGATTGCTGAATCTGCCTCGGAGATGCTGGCTCTGATGGAGTTGCTGTACTTGGACAGGATGCTGCTACACGGTCACGGAAGCGACGAGTCTCAGGTAATAGTGGGTTGGGTAAAGGCCAAGATTAACGATTGCACGCTTGAAGGAATGTTCGTTCATGCTTGTATACAAAGTTCATGCAATGCTCCACATACCTTCCAGTTCCAAGGCTTCATGATATTACATTATGATCTCATCTGATCGTAGCTGCGACGCTGCTCAAAACGCCTTCCAATTCTTCAAATCCCCCATCAAAAAGATATCTGACCCGATATATCGTACAACGGCGGTCTTAACCGTCAGGTCAAGCGTCCCGGACGTCATAACCAGATGCCATGCAAACTGTTAATACGAAACACATGCTTCAACACTGCTCCTGAAGAACCATGTACCCTCCCAATCCAGCGAACACCAGACTAGCGACAAGATGAGACATGGCTGACCCCTTGCTCCCTTGACGATGACATATGACGGTATCACCTGCCATGCTGACGAGGTTACACAGTAACAGAACGCCTGTCGTGCGGGTGTCATTGAGTAGGTCGCATGCCAGTATGGAAAGGCCGAGAGCGATGTTGCGCACACCGACAAAGGCTACGAAGGGGTTGACTTCAGTCTCGAGCCGGTAATGGTGAGATTCTGAAGGTGATAGAGGATCAGGTACGTGCTTTGATTCAGATCGTGTCTGCTTTTCTAGTGACGGCTTCCGGTCGTGTTGATGGGATTGCCATGCTGGGGACTGTAAGGGGGACGACGGGAGGCCGAAGGATGTTGCAAAGTCGGCAGGTTTCAACAGCGAGCGGACACTGGCGGCAGTAGAGATCAGACCAACGAAGACGGTTGCCAGATGGGCGATGTAGGGAAGGACAGTCAGGGGATTCATCGTGGTGGTAGACCTGGCGGCTGTGCTGTTAAGATGGGGATGTGCGGTGCTGATTTTGTGTATTTCCGTCTTCTTCAGGCTGGTGATGAAGAAGATGACATGGCAGAGGTATTGGAGGGCGAGAAGTGTATATGAAGAGATTACCTGCCATCCGGGTACAGACCGGAGTCATAGGAGATATCTGATACTGTGGATATGTCGGCACGTTTGATGATCGTCTTCCGGCATATGGATCATATCGTCATACATACCATACCGTTGAATGGACGGGGTTCAGACCAGGCTCCATTGTGAGATGCAAAGTCCGAGTCCCCAAGTACAAGCGTGGCCAGATGGCCACGTAGTTGTGCTCGGGACGGCGGAAATATTGAGGGCTGTGCTTACAAGCGAGTTCGAGCGTAGTTCGACATCGTAATCGTCCTCAGTTGTTAATAGGCTCCCATGATATGGAATCTTTGATGAGACAGGGAAAAGTGTATAAGGTACTGCCTCAATGTGAGTTGCAGTGTGGATCAAATACACGACTGCGGAGCGTTGATGATGTTGATGATGGGGATAAGCGGTGGTCTGACAGGGATTATAAAGAGTGCAGCTCCTTGTATAAGGCCTGAGGTGCGTGGATGGTTGAACAATGCCAGCTGTCAGACAAGGGCTGGTGAGGCTGCTTTAATTAGAAAGGGAAAGTGCACCGCGGATCATTTGGGCTTGTTTTTCCTTGGATTTTCCTTATGTCAACGACATCCATCATCATCATCCATCATCATCATCCACCATCCCAATACATTCCTTGGTCCTTTTCATGTGTGTACAACAGCCATAGGGCTTGTTACGCGTGTGCTATTGACTTTTTCATCTCACAAGATGGTCGTCTTTGTTGCCTTGCAAGGTGTCTGGTGTCTGGTGTCTGGGGGTGAAAAACAAGGTGTGAAGCACACGGACCAAAGATAGAGGACCGACAAAATCCAACCGGGGCGACCGCTCTCTGTCAACCCCAATGGCGACAACGATGGCTGTGACTGTCGCCATTGACTCTTTGTCAACTTATGTCAGGACAAGCAGCTTAAGGTGTCCGAGATCTGCTTCACTGTGACGACCACAACTCTTGGTGGTCCCGTGATGTTCGAATCGCGCCAGAAACTCAGATATCACAACGTTCTTGTCACACAATGCAGTGTCTGCGTAATGCTAGTCAGATCTCGGATAGTATATGAAGCCAAACGACTGCCTATGAGCATACTGAGTCTCATATCACCTTGGCCGCATCCATATATCACAAAGGATGACTCCTTTATTCCTCCAGACTGGCCGTGCTGCTTCTTGCTGTGCCACAGCGGTTCGAACCGCGCCCACAGCGACTTTTTCATCCCCATCACTCACTGTGCGCTTCTGCTCACAGTTCACGCTATTCATACTATGCACATCTTCACTTCGCCAAGCGGCGTCATTTGCCCAATGGGCGTTGGCAGATTCTCTTCATTTCACTCTCTAGCGCCTCTATCTCTTCAAACGTTGACGCTGATATATCAAAGTTGCAGGATTCTGATTTAAATTGCCTGTGTTGAGGAGCCCGTGGCCACTGAAAGTTGTTCCCGACTCTAACCTGTGGCCCTCTGATGAGGACCGCAGGGGATGAGTACGTAAGCCCGAAGGATGAAGTCGAGGTAGTACCTGCCATTTGCCAGATGGCAGCTCGTGATGGAAGACGTTTCTTATCCCATGCGCTAGGGATACGGCGGCAGGTGGCTGTGGGATACTTGACCGTTGCAGGACCTTACCCAGAGGTTATGAGCCCGGTCCGGGGCGAGAGATGTTTGGGCCAATTCCCAGATAGAGCTCGTCCTTCTGGCCGGACTACCATAGGAGCAGCGCTCCTCACTTTTTTCCTTTCTTTTTGGCTCGTTTCCTTACCTTGTGTCATGGTAGACTGGATTTCGCAAGATATAACTCGATTCGGCCAACAGCGAGTCTGCTCTTCACAGCTTCTCGGAGTGCTCGACTATCTAAGCCATCCCGACCTCGAGCCATGAGCGCGACATCACCAACTGGTTCCCTGCTCGTCCAAGGTAGGTCGGGAAATTTTTGACGGTTGACACTGCTGCTTCCTCGCGGGCGTCTTATTACTGGCCTCTTTTTGCATTTCTGCCTTGACTCTCTTTCCGACAGCCTTGATCAGATCTACACCCAGCAGCTCTTGTCCTGCTAGGACTTCTCCTCGTAGGCTAGATCCAGGTCTCACATAACTAATAGCCTCATTTATCCCCGTACTTCCGGACCAACCCTTTCAACAAGCCCATGGCGCCGCTCTTATATCCACCACCAAAGATTGCCCAATGATTCAGATGATGATAACTCTCATACAATTTCACACGATCCTCATACTCGCCCTCAGGCTCTGTCTTCGGCACGATAGCGTGATACTCCTTCCAAAAGCCCGCTCCAAACCCACCGAACATATGCATGATCCCAAAGTCGTACTCATTGTGCGCGTAGCAAGCCGCGGGATCGTACACTACGTCCTCCATGCTTCCCGCCTCATTCCCCGACATGCCCTCCTCATCCCTCCCAACAAAGCATCCTCGGCTCTTGTTCCCGGACCACAAGTCCCCGTGCACAACGACTGGCGTGATCCCGTCTTTGCCGCCGAGATGGCCCTCGCCCAGGAGCTTCGGCACAACTTCAGCGACCGTACGTTCCACCGTCCGTCGCAGGTCCGGGTCCCGTCCGTTATTGGCTTCGCCGCGCTCGAGGATGGCGAGGAGGCGCTTGTTCGCGAAGAAGTCGGCCCATGAAGCGCTAAATTCGTTGTTCTGTGGCGTATCGCCGCAGCACGTAGGCACCGGGAATCCAAACTGCGGAGCGTCGTACCCAGACGGTATTGGCGCGGGCGTCGAGTGCAATTTCGCGAGTTTCTGGGCCAGGCTCATCCCGCTTCCTTTGGAATTGGAACTGCCTCGTGTTCGCGACAGACCGCCGCCGCCGCCGAGTTCCATAAATTCTGTGGCGAGGAAGTAGCCACCTTTGTCCAGCTGTCCCCAGGCGAAGGACTTGGGACACAAGCTAGGCACCGCGTCGTGGATGGCGTTGAGCGAGGCGTGTTCACCTTCGAACATGGTGGCGGCACCGGGCGAGGAGGACATCTTGACGAAGACCGACGTCGTGGGAGTGGTGATGCGGAATGTCGACGAGAAGCCCGAGCCGCCATGTGTTGAAATTTTCGAGGCCGAGTCGAGGGTCAAGGCTCGGAGGATAGCTGGATCTATTGATGAAGGCATTTCGGACTTTTTCAGGTACAGAACAGAAAAAATGGCCCAATGGACGGCAGTAGTAAGGCTGGACACTATCAATATAGGAGGAGTTCACATCTTGTTGACCGATATGTAGAAGATCCAACCGTGGCATGATGCATATTAAAAGCTTTAGAAGCCCTTGAGATGCTATGATCTGATGTTGCGCTTGAATGACGTAATGCAAGGCTCGGTACATTGTTTGGCCATCATTTGCAAGTCACAGTCTCGCCGTGCTACAGATCCCAGGTATTACTTCGATCTGTCGGAGACTCTGACTTCGATACACCGAGCGACAAGTGGAAGAAGGTCTCTCCTTGTCGCTTGAGGGAACATAATCTTCCCTGCGAGCTGTCGAACCCACGGTGATAAAAGGCCCCTAACGTAAAACGCCTCCGCTAGCAGTTCAAGAACACATCAATACCGGGCTCCTCCAAGCCTACCGTCGTCCTTTGCCAGTATCCTTGGGTTTCGCTTCAACATCACTGTTTACAGCACTACCGGTACCACTGTCCGTTCCTGCCAGTCTCTTCTTCGCCCGCAATGTTTGACCTTGCCCTTGGAATCGCGGCTTGACCTCATCGCCCGTCACAGGCTCGCCACTCTCATCTTTCTTGCGCAATGGCTTCAATTCATAGCCAAAGAACAGTTTTCCAGGCGGCAGTCTCAATGGTTGCGGGCCGTTCGTGCGGCGGGACGCAAGCTGCTTCGGCTCATTTGTAGACATGCCCCCGACTGGCGTCGATGAACTGGGCGTTGGCGCTTTCGAGCTCTTTTTGGAGCTTAGCTTGTGTCCAGTTGAAAGAAAATGCGATGAGACAGCCTTAGCACCGGCTGCAGCGCTGGTCGATGTCGGTGCTATGCTCTCGTAATTGATCGATTGTGCCATGGTGCCTTGGAAATGGAGTGGGCCCCCACGAGGTTTGCCAACACCGCTTCTCGGCGTGCTGGTGCCACTGGTTCGCTCGGGCGGTACGTAGCCAACAGGTGTGGCAAAGTCGACCTCCAAATCCGTTTCCATGGTCACGATAGCATGAGCGTCTGTGTCCGGCTTGATTTCCAGCACAGCAATATCGTATGTTTGATCATTATATTCAAAGGTAAAGACGTCGCCTTTGCTCAGGCAAGCGAAGTTTCGAAACGCATTCTCAAGGACAGCCCGAGGATCGGAGATATCGAGGAAGGCAGGTGATTGAGGCTGGAGTTTGATGAATTTTCCAGGAGGCAGGTCGGTAGATCGGATCTGAAGCAGGTCACCAGGATCGAGTTCGAGAGTTTTCATCAACTGCGCCCAGCATTAGCATCTTGTATCTTCTGGTGGAAGGATTCTGCCAGTACCCATTGTGGCAGATATATTCTTCCTTCCTCAGCAACAAATTCCAGAACACCTGCATGTGTAGTCCTGCCAGCATTGCCGTTGATCAGCTCGAAAAGCATAGGATATGAAATGTGAAGTCTTGTGAGCTTGTCAAGTGCTGAAGGTGGTAGGAACACCTTGCCGCCATAGTTGACGTTCTTCCTGTCGGGACCACTCATCATGACAACGGGGTAGCATCTGTAGTATTCGTCAAAGCGCCTCATGGACATGCCGACCGGAGGGGCGCCGCGCATGAAGGATGGGAAGCCCATCATGTCGCCTTGATAATATGACTGGAATTGTCAGCGAGTCCCTTTGCGAAGTCAGCGGAAGAGTCACCATTTTGGCTATACTAGCCCGTAGACGCGGTGCAAAGGAGTATCTAAGAGGCCCGCGAGACGTCGAGTCGATGTGATGGTTCCGTGGTGATGACTGCGGAAGATGACTGCCTAGGTATGGAGGACTCGGTGTTGAAGAGTATTATTGAACAGACAAAGGCTAAAGTGAGTCACATTTGGTTCAGGAGATGAAGCGTAGACTTGAACAGATTGTCAGGCAGATTGAGAAGCCTTGTTAGTGAACATGTTCCATGGACGAATCCCAATCGTTGAGCGAGGCTGCAATTGTGCAGGTGACAAGAGTGACGTGATTTGGAGGAGAAACTCCACACTTCACCCAGTTGGTTATACACATTATATTTTGTCTCTATCAACTTGTGACGTCCCCCAAACACTCCATTCGCAGCACTTCTGCATCCTACAGCTCCCTATCTACGAGAACTTCCACCCAGTCAGCCCTCGAATGGGCAACCCTTTCCGCCATGTCCTATAACACCACGCGCTCCAAGCGCGCCGCCGAAGACTTTGTCCGTACCCACGACCCCGACTCTTACGGCCAACCGACTAAAAAGCCACGCTTCGACGTGCGCAACCCGTCCGCCCTTGCGCCTGACGCCCCTGAAGATGATGCCATCCTCGACGCCGACGTCATCGGCACAAGAGGCCAACAAGTCCGCCGCGGCGCCGTCAACATTGACGGATACGACTCCGACAGTGACAACGACAATTTCAATGCTCGGGCTGACGCCAAATCGCGCTCCGAAAAGGCTGCTCAAAAATCCAAGCAAGAAGATGATAATGACATGTTCGCCGACCTGGAGGAGGACTTCCGCGATGGCGACGACTCGGAAGGAGATGCTGGACGACGTGGCGGGAAGAAGAAAGCCGTGCGGTTCCTCGATGAGGATGAGATTCAGGGGCAAGTACAAAACTCAAAAAGCGGTGGACATGTCTCGGCGGATTTCGGTCTGAACGCCAATGGCCACGGTAAGGGAAAAGGCCGACAAGTCGATGAGGAAGTGGAGAGCAGTAGCGAGAGCGAGGTGGATGACGAAACGCGGGCAAGTGCGGCTGAGCTGGATCCTGAGTTGGGTGCTGGAAGCAAGAAATCACATGCCCCGAAATTGGATGCTTTCAACATGCGCACAGAGCTAGAGGAGGGTCGATTCGATGAGCAAGAGAACTATGTTCGCAAAGCAGCAGACCCTGACGCCATACACGATGTCTGGCTAGAAGGAGTGTCAAAAAAACAGATGCGAAAAGCCAGAGAGGCTGCAGAGAAGCGGGAAGAGGAGCGTAGAAGGCGAGACATTGAGGACGACGCCAAATCCACGGGAGAAGTCCTAGCTCAGCTGATACCTTTCCTCGAACGAGGCGAGACAACCCTGGAAGCTCTAGCTCGACTTGGAAAGGCAAAAGAGAAAAAGCCAAAATGGCAAAACAAAAACAAGAAGAAGTCGGATGCAACGTCAAGTGAGCACGCTGACAACGATGCGGCCGAGAAAGTTCGAAAGGAAAAAGTCGAAGCCATCACTGGTGCTGCAGATATACTGCTCACTCGTGGTCAACCCGAGGTCTACGACGTCGAAAGAGAAATGCTTGTGCGCCAGTACAAGAAAGAAACAGGTGATGAATGGATTGATGCTCGTCAGCCAAATGATGATGAGGCTGATGGTGCCACCTCTAGCTCTATGGAACCAATGTGGGAATACCGCTGGACTGATACAAGAGACGGCGGCGCCGTCAACGGACCGTATGCTGCTGATACCATGAAGCAATGGAATGATGCTGGATATTTTGGTGAGGGTGTTGAATTCCGTAGAGTGGACGGTGGCGACTGGACCAGAATAGCCGAGTTCGCCTGATAATACTGTCGTCCGATATTCCGAATAATCGACTTCCTAAGCATGGAATATTCCCGTTTCAATTCGACCTTCACCATCCAACGCAGCCGCACCAGTGTGTTGAAAGGTCATGACTCGCCAATTCAGCTCTCGACGCCAGAAGAGACCGTAGCCGAGTCGGTTACTACCTTTCTCCGCAGATAGACCACCACTGCCAGGCATCTCTCGACCAAGGACGCACGATCGGAATCTAGAGTGAATCATACCCATGCCACAGCAGACGCAAGGCTCATGGGTCACGTAGATGTCCAGTCCACTGCAGAGGTAGCCTTCTTTTTGGGGACCTGACTGCTTCTCTGGCAAGGCATCATGGGGCTCAGAAATGGCAATGTTGCCCACCTGAGTGGTGAGGTCCTGAAGGGCTTTGGCGTCATCCTCATAGCGGGCTTCAATACCTGTGAGAGCTTGACCAGACGGCGTCTCACAGTATGTCGTAAGGAACTTTTTGTGGCCGCCAGCAGCGATTCGCCTGCGGAGTTCTTTGTTGGCCACCATCGCTATTGCGCGCATGACAGCGTGATATTCGGGTCTGCCTTCGGCGCGATTGGCCTTGCGAGCTCTTTGGACTGTCGGGTTGTCAGAATACCAACGGGCATCTCCAGCCACTGCAAGTACTGCGCCAGTCTCGGGATCAACGATCACAGCACCGACCGCACGTCCATGGCCCATCTCTCTAGCTTCCATGGCTGCCATCCTGGCCAGGCCCATGTACTTGTCTGCGGCCGGGACCTCAAGTTGAGATCTGACACGCTTAAGATGATGCAATGGTGGAGCATCCTGAATGACCTGTGCAGCAGGGTTGTAGATTGTTGGCCAGTATCGTTCCGTCCACAGTGCGGCTTGTTCAGCATTGAGTGGACCAAATCGAGGCACCACAGCATCGAAGCAGCGTGGGAGACCTTCGACATCGATGTGAGGCAGGAAGGTATCCCGAATCTCTTCCCATGGTACGACTGTGTTTGGAACAAGGACAAAGCTGGTCTGAAGTCCTCTTGAGTCGTAGTCGCGACGCCAGGTCAGATCTTCCGGTAGGTGAGACAAAGTGCAGACTCGTCGGAAGTGACTGAAAGATGGGTGCTTGCCGCCGTTTGGGATGATGGGCTTGACGATGCTGATGAGAAGTGTTAGCAACACATGAGACAACACGACACGAAACTTGCCTCAGTGCCTTGCTGGTCAATTTGGCCGGAATTTCAATCACGAACGCTCGTACTACGTAAGTGGTCAGTTTGCTTCTCATATGTCTGACCAAGAAAGACGACAAACATACCAAACACTTCCTCTGAACGCGTCTCATGGAGAGTCTTAAGGGGCTCAAGGAATGCCACAGGTTCCGCCATGACTGGAGAGGCTGATGAGCACTGGCTGCATGATCCTGTAGGAAACCCTTCCCGACTGACGAACAGCGATGAAGAGGATGTCTGTAAAGGAGGAAGAGATGGTGATGTTGTCCGATTGTCGTTGGGTAAATAATGTTCAATCGTGCCTGCTGAGGCAGCGCTCAATAGTAGTAAACGACGGCAAGTGCTTTGCGCCTTGAAGCGGCGAGAAAGTGCAGGTGAAGAGATTGGTGTGACCGCCTAGCAATCACACGACAAGGAACAAAAGAGGAATACTGAGTGAAAGTAAGTGAAGTCTATGTACAATGAAAAGAAGAGAGGTTCTGGGTGATGATTTGGGTCACTTCATGACTTGGTCAATGGTTGCCATCTTTTTCATATCATATTAATTCAGATCGAGTCATTGTTGGCGGGCAGTGAGAATCTTTCGGTCAAACGTTGTTCCGATCCGAACGGGACACTATGGGGAGGACTGGAAGGAACATCACAGATATCATTTTTGTCAGAATCACCGACGACCCAGAATGAGTGCAGGGAATAGCAATGGCTTTTGAAAGGAATTGCCTACCTAGTAGGTAGGTAATCGTTTGCAACCACTGTCAAGCCTGGATTCTGCAGAACCAAACTTTTCACATGACCGTGAGTCTTCAGTTCTCTCATCCTGAATGACTAGTAGGCGGGAACTGGGAGATAATTCCTATGCTCTGGAAAACGGATTGTTCACTAAATCTAACCAAGATCGATTATATATGACGATTGCATTTCTTTCTCGTGCTTGCATCGAGCCCCGTCAGGCTGAGCCGGAGTTGATTGTGGCGGCTACTTCCAGTTGTCCTCCCATTCAACGAGTGCCGTTTCCCACATCAGATGCTACCCGTGGGAGTCTAATATCTTGCTTCAACCGATATCTCCTGCCAAGTTCGTGTCGAGGTTCTTCTGTACATCATCGAAGAGATCTCCTTTCTCCTACTTCCGCGTATTCGCGTCGCCATCCATTACGAGCTGCTATCACCACTGGACGTAGGCTTTTCTTGCACCGCCGTCTGATGATTATGATGTCCCTCGGCGTGTTGCGGATTCTTTGAATAGTCCTTGGTCATATGAATGGCCGTATGATTTGTCAAATACTGACTGGGATCCTTGATCATCAATGCTGCGCCAATAGCGAGTATGCCGAACGGAATACTGGCCCAAAACACCCTCTTGAATGCGAATGCATATGCGTCCTTGAAAGCCTGGGCAGCCGCAGCTTCGATTGCGGGCGTGATCCCGGGTACAGTGGCAAATGCACCCGGCACGCCGACCGCGTTCTGGATCGTCGCGGGAATCAGAGCCGCAAGAGCGTCCGCGTTCATGTTATGCGCGATCGCAACCTCCGCAATGCGTTTTGGAATCTGCTCGTTCTTGACGCCGTTCAGGATCGTATTGAACACCGCATTTCCCACACTCCCTCCGCCGCTGCGGAATGTGCCAATCAGTCCTGAAGCGAGGCCCAGATGTCGCAACGGCACGTTCAACCCGGCGATCACATAGCACAACAGTGTGATCTGCGCGAACGGACCCTGGCCGAAGAACTGGAATGCCGTCCATCCCATGCGGTTGCCGGGCACGACGCCAGAGTAAGCGGCCACAAAGACGGTCTGGATAGTCAACATGACGATAACTTGCAATTTCAAGTGGCCCACATGGCCCATAGCGAGGGTCGCCAAGCCGCCGAAAATAACTTGCGCGATACCGTTCGGCAGTGCGATCACGCCGATTTGGATGGGATCGTTGGTGAACATGTACAACGAGCCCTGGGGCAAGAGGCCGGCGAAGGAGTAGAACACAGCACCTAAACCGCATCATCGTCAGTCTCACTTCTAGAGCGCGCAATGTGAGGTAGGAGAGAGTTAGGATAAGCTTACCAGCAACAAAAACAACAACAAGCAGCACCGTAAATTCCCTAACCTGCCTGAACAAATGTAACGGGAAAAACGGCTGCTTTGCGAGCGTGAAGTCGTATACGAAGCAGGCAATCAGCGTCATGATGCCGACAATCATTGGCGCGATCGTGCTGGCGCTCTTCCATGGATGATTCTCAGTTCCGGCCCAAGTCAGTCCAATCAGAAAGATTGTCAGTCCGCCCGTGTACAGCAGGAAGCCGATATAGTCAATTTCCTTGATTTCCTGCCATCTGGATTTTTCAAAGTCATATTGTGGGCGCGGTGGAGGCCAGTAGAATGCCAACGTTCCGATCATGCTGAGCACTCCGAATATTATTCCGATGTAGTAGCACCAACGCCAACCGGCTTTCGTGTTTGCATTCAGTGTAGTAGCGATGAGCGTGCCTGCTGCAGCCCAGGGGATAGTCATGGCGCATTCGGTTAAACCAAGTAGGCCACGCCATTTGTTGGGAACGAGCTCTTGAATGCCGGCGTAGGAGACAAAGATGATGCCGCAGCCGAAGCCAATGACTGTGGAGCCGGCGACGAGGGTGAGTGTCGTGTGCGCGGTGCATGCTACGATCTGAGATGCGTTAGCGGTTTGGATTTTGGGGAGATCATGAAGCAGTCAAGCATGAAAGAAGGCATTCTCAGAGGCAAGCCTGCTTGAATCGTGCCACGGTCTCTTATTGCAAGTTCGCCAAGGAACACTCACTGAACCAACGATGGCGAGGACCTCGCCAGAAACAATAGTATAACGTCTTCCGAAGATGTCTGACAGTGATCCGGCGATGGAAAAGCTGACGGAAGAAGCGATCGACCAGCCACCAACAATCCAAGAGATGTTGTCCACGTCGCCGAGATCGGTGCCCACAGGAACCAGAATACCAGTGATGAGGACGAAGCCACACGAGATCGGGCAGACGTATGAGAAGGAGAGAGACTGGATTGCTAATCAGTAACCTGTCTTGTGAAGCGTAGAGCAAAGATCGAGCTTACAATGACAGCCAATAAAGTAGTCCATGTTAGCTTCTCAGCTCTTTCGGGGTTGTCTTCGAGCGCAGCACGATGGGGATCGTCCAGATCCAGTGGAATCTCGACCGTAGGCACATGGCGAGCTTCCAAGTGTGAAGGCTCAGTGACCTTGACATCGGCGCCACGTGTAGGCTTCTCTCCGATGTGATCAGCCATGATGGTAGTGTACAATGCAGGAACACAACCCGAGGCAAAGGACTGTTTGTTTCAGGAAACTAGGAGATGTCCTTCTAGGTGTTGAGGGAGGGAGATGGGGAGGAGAAAATCTTGGACCAGGGGGAGCTTTGGCGGCTCATATTGTCCACGGCAATGTGCGGGTTCGACTTCCTCCCCATCCTGCAGGCTAGTGAGGCCGAGAACGGCCAGGAGTCTGGGGCCCCGACTAGTCCTGAAGAAGAGGTCCACTTCGCCGCGTGCGGGACCAGGCACGACAGGCGACCGGCATGGAAGTGGTATGGCGACCTGGGGCTTTTCCTCTTCGCCAACCATACCAGCCATGATCTTCCCTTTGGCCGGTAAATACCCAACAGGTGTTGGCATGGAGGTCCTTGGCGCGGTGAAAAACAAATATCCGTGCAGCAAATCGACATGGCCGTACATAAGAGCATCCGAGATAGCGGTTCGCGATAGGCGGCGATCCAGAGACCCGGGGCCAAAAAGAGTCGAGTTAGACATGCCCCATACACAAACTACATAGTAGTACTGTAGTTGAGGTGGATTCATTCCTCAGGTGGAGAGTCATCATGAGTTAATCGAACTCGACACAAGATGGGCTTTTGCCCATTAACCAAGCAAATAGTTTGGGTGTCAGGTGCACGGTGCCCGACCGGAAAGCTGCGACTTACACGTTCTCTATCATTATTCAGAACACTCCAGCCAGAGGACTGGATTCCCAAGCAACAGTGAAGCTCGACCTCGTCCATTCGCAATTTTGGCGAGTATATCACCTGATCCACAGGGTTCTGGACTCGCTTACAGGCAGCTTCACTCGGCCTGAGCCGAATGTAAGGTACCTTGCGGCTGCATGGATGGCAACTTCCAAGCCTGTATTTGGGGTCGCTGTGCGAGTAACAGGTGACAGAAGTATTGCCGATCATTAAGCTTCGGGAAAGAATCGAAATGTGCACGTCCACGTCCTTTGAAAAGAAATGCCGATGGAGAAGAGCTGACTCGGACGACGCTTGTACTTACTACAACGCAGCCCCACGAAAGTGGACTTGACGACCACTTTGGCCTGATGCCAGCCTTTCCTGGGGTACCCCGCAGAGTCCGTTGCGCTATCACCTCTGTAACTGGGATCTCATGAGGCTCCCAACGCGTCCATAGACTAGCAGAACTCGGCGAAAATGTAAAGGGGCAAGTTGAAGGATACCAGGCATGGTGGGGAACCTGAGAACAAAGAGCTGGTAACCGCTGAAAACAGTCTTCATCGAACAAGTCTCAAGGAGTTCTGGTCACTAGTCCCCCTTGTACTTGAGTACTACCGGCATTGTGACCACAGCCTCCATTCCCCGTATTGTACATTGTCTGCAACCATGATACATGAGAAACTCGCAGTTTCTGACCATTCAATGGCGAAGCACGTTCGCAAAGCCTCCCAGCTACGATCTAACTCTTGCCGGCCTCGCATCTAGGAGGATGCCTTTTCCGAAGACGTGTGGCTTCAGGATGGACAACAATGCAAATACGGGCGTACCACCCACCACCGTAGCTCAGCGCCTTTGCTCCGGGGGTCTTTCTGGGCCCCAGGGTCCGTTTGACTATTAAAGTCGACCCACCACGAATGACTTTCATCATGTCAAGGACGTTGAGCCGTTGGTGATATCCTTCTTGCGGGCTCGATGCCCTCACCTTGTGTCTCAAGCAGTGTCCATGGCATCGACATTCGTCCCGTTGGTGCCATTGACACCAAAGCTGACCTGTCCATCCTCGCTGATGAACTGTTTCTCAAAATCACTCACGAGCTTGATAGACCTCGTAGGATCGTAGAACAATTTGTAGCTCCGTTGGACATCTTCGATGCCTACCTCTTTTGCTTTTCGCTTCTGACTGAGCAATGTCGACGTGGTAATGATATTGCTGGCGTACCTCAACCCCGACTCCTGCCCGATCTTCGTGAGGAGGGCCAGCGCATTTGCTGACAGATCAACTTCTTCCTCCTGTGCCCGAATCGCCAGGATTTGGGAGATCTCTTCGGGCGAATAAGGCTGAGTGCTGATGATGACAACGCGATCCAAAAAGTCCAGCGGTAGCCCGTGAGGCGAGTTATAGGTCGTTCCTCGTATCCGGGTATTCCCTCTGTTACTTGCCATAATGACAATAGGCGCCAAATCTTCCTCCAAGGCACGGTTGATGTATGAGTAGCACTCAATGTCCAACATGTGTACTTCATCGATGAACAGTACACCGGGAATGATGTCAGCTTTGCCTTCCTCCTTCCACTCTCCCACTTTCGTGTTGATCTGGTCTCGGACTTCACTTCGAATCTCGCCAGTATCGCCAGAGAAAAGTGCAAGGAATCCCTGCGTCCTGGAATTGATGACATCGATCTCATGTAGACTGACTGTGTGCACAACCTCTTTTCGGACTTGAAGTTCGCCTTCTGGGCATTGAACGAATTTTGTGTCTGCGCCCATGGCATCATAGTCTCTCGATCTCGTATATGATCTCCCCAGCTTTGTAATCTTGCCAGAAGACTTGTCAATAGAAATGACATCCCCTGCCATCACTCTCTCCTTCGTCATTGAATCGATCATTTTCGTTCCCATGTCGTAGACTGTCTCCATGTCCGTAGTCTTTATGGTGAGTTTGCCTTGTTTGTTACCCTTGTGGACGGTCAGTCACAGTAATCCTCTTGCCAGCACTCTTTGCTTACCCCTGAAACACTCCTGTCAATCTGTATCTCAACAACTTCTCCCTCAATGATCTCGCTCTCTTCTTTTATTCTCACGCCTATGGATTTTCGGAATGCTTGTGTCAAGGCTTCTGTTTTCGACATCTCCAGGGAAAAGATTTCTGAGGAGGCGAGCATCGTAAAGGGAACATCGGGGCCGAGAGATTGAGCCATGGCCATGGCAATGGCAGTCTTGCCTGTACTTGGTGGTCCAGCTACCAGGACAGCCCTTCCTGCGATCTTTCCCTCTTTGACCATCTGGAGTATAACAGCAGCTGCTTTTCGTGCCTTCTCCTGTCCAATCAGGCCCTGCGAGGTTCCACGGGGTTCAAGTGTCGCCAAGTCGACTCCGAGACCGCGAATATGGGAGTGCGCGGCGATGAGGTTGAGGCCTCGAACCTCGCGGCTCTCGGATACGGTCGTTATGGGCTGTGACGCGTTAGCAGATGCGCGGAAGAAGGCTTGAACAACTCACAGCCGCCATTTCCTGTGAGAAAAGGGTCGATAAGGAAAGACGAATGAGATGAATTACTGGCTACAAGGGCAGGTAGTAACCAGCCGTGATTCAGGTGCTAGTCATTTACTCGTACTGGAAGGTGTAAATTTCGCGCCGCTCGCCTCTCGCCTCCCGCCTCGCCTAGGTTTCCTAATTCAAACAGATTGAACGTCGGCTCAGGGCCATGGAGAGTGACACCGCCACGCATCGCATAGCATTGAGAGTCTAAACTGCGAGCACTGCTCTGATCTTCTATTTGACAACTTGATCTTCCTCTCTGTAGGCGGTTTGCGCCTTGCCCACTGCCTGTCCCTTCCGTCTCTTCTCGCAATTACGATCGCTCTTCAATACTCTGCTCGCACGCCTCTTGTCCGTTCTGCATTGAGATCTGCCCGTTTTCTGTCTGGACGTAGAGTCGAATGCGTGGCTCAAGTCTCTGATGGACTGGAGTCGCTGCTCATCGTCATGCTGTCGGTCCAACTATGTCCGAACCACGTCGTCCTTCGGACGCGCCTGTCAACCTGAAAGATCCTAGACTCCGGCGGGCAGCGCCCCATAATACGAGCGACACAGCGTCCAGTCCCGCAATTGAGAAAAGAGACCCCCTCGTCGTAAGAGAAGGAACATCTTCTGGAGCCAATACGCCACAGAGGAGCGATGCCAGTCTCGAAACCACACTCCGGCCGAATATTGATCCTGCTGATCGGGAGAAGTCCCTGATCACCCTGTTTTCCAATGCCACTGACAGTAGGCTACTGTCGCGAGACCGGGATTATTTGGAGAAGAAAGTGAAGAAGGCCCGTGCCGAGTATGAGCGTGTACAGCGTACCCATGCGCAATTCCCACTTATGGTCCATCAGTCCGCTCAGAATCTGAAGAAGGTAGAGGAGTGTTACAAGGTGGCCCAGCAAGAGGCGGATCAGCATGGCACCGCGGAGAGGGCGGCGGTTCGAGATTTTCTACGCCTTTTCGTCGATCAGCCCGTTAAAGACTCGTCAAGATATGAAGCCTTGCTTACCGAGAACAACGATCTACGACATCAATTCCAGTCCCTCCAGTCTCAATATTCTTCACAGCGCGAAATTACAGAGAAGTCTACACACGAGCTAGCTAAAGTCATTGCCGAAAATGATGACCTAAAAAAGCGTGTATTCGACCAAGAAGGCTCACTCAAGGCACTAAGTCAAGACATAATAAGCTGGCAAGATTCTCAGCGACAAGTGGAAAAGAGTGTCGAGACGTTACGAGATGATATGCGAGACACCTCTAAAACAGCAGAAAGATTTCTAGAGTTCGAGAGCTTCCGCAAGAGTGCCCAGCTGAAAGCGAAGGCTACCCAAGGCGGTCTTGAACTTGTGGAGGAAAAAGTACTGTCGATCGAGAAAACATTGTCATTGCAACAGAAAGATGAGTCGCGTGATAAGGGTGAAATCGCCCTTTTACACCAGGAGGTTTTACGACTCCAAGACGGCATAAAAGCAAACGAGTCAGGAGTAGATGCCGTCAAGAAAGAAGTCGACACCTTACGGAAATCCGATGAAGCCCAGTCTGAGAGAATCAAGGTCCTAGGCAATAACGTGGATCAACTCTCCGAATCTCTAGTCGATACCTTACGGAAATCCGATGAATCCCAGTCTGAGAGAATCAAGGTCCTAGGCAATAACGTGGATCAACTCTCCGAATCTCTAGTCGACCATAAAACCACGACGCTAAATGCACTTGCCCAGCAGATGGATGACAGGCTAGCTCAAGTAGCAGTCGAGTGGGATCTCGTGAAATCCCGGCTCTGCAACCAAGACAAGGAGACCGAGCGCATCGAACACGAATTATGCGCCAAAGTTACAAGTCTTCAGCAGGAATTGACGAAACTCGAACAGACTTCAAGCGCAATTGAAAAGGTGCCAGCGGTCGCAGCACTTACACCTAGAGTCGAAGAGCTGGAACAGCTGCAGAAGAAGCTACAAAATGGCTTTGAATCTGTACGCCATAACTTCCAATGGCTGGACCAGCGCTTTAACAGTCTAAAAACCACAGAGTTGCACCGTTCGATATTAGCATCCATAGGGCCGGTGCTCCCGAAGTACGATCAGGGTCTGATAGACCTTGCAAAAGTTGCGGAGGAAATTAAGCAGTTACGAAACAAGAATGACCAAACTGCCCGGATAGCCGACGACAACAGCCCAGTAAAAGATGAGGGTGTTGGGCAACTACGATTAGACTATGATGCTCTAACGAAGCAATTCCGAGAGAGCAGGGACAAGGTAATGCTCAACATCAATGAGCTTCAGCATACTCAGCTGCGTTCGGGGAACGAAGCATCATTGTTCCGCGAAAATATCGAAAACAAACTGGAGGAGCTTGAGAATCAGATCCACGAGCTACGTCGCTCCATGAAAAGGTCCGGAAGTTCGAAGCGGCCGACGCCGGATTGTGATGACCTCGGTTTCAGTATTAAGGCTAGAAGCCAAGCGCGTCCATTGGAACGACGAACCACTGCAATGTCAGAACGTCGCTATACGGAACAATCGGCTCGCTCCCAGATGAGCCGGCGAACTGAAGATGTTGAAAGTGCAGATGAATCAAACCCTGAGGCATCACAACAGGAACAAGAGCGACTGGGAATGCTCGCCAAGTTCAAGGGTCCTGCAACGAGTTCCCTCCACACCTCTGTAGACGATGAGTCGTTGATGAAGTCACCCGCCAGAGTTCGCGACCGACAACTAGGGAAAAGAAAACGATCTGAGAGGGAGGATCCTAAAGACACGGCGATTGCTGAGTCTGAGGCTGAGGATGTTGGACGGCCGAGGCGCAGAACCAGAAAATGGGATGAACGTGCTTCATTGTGATAGTGTTCTTTCTGTGTTGATCATGAAGCATGGTGCCATGCTAAAAGGTTGAAAGCTAGAACGACCCTCGGTCCTGGATTGGCGCATGACTAAGACGAATTTCAGGCTTAGGCACCGGAATCTGTCAGATTGAAAAATTTTGGGAGGCCAATACGAGTCTTATGATCCAAGGCCTGATCTGTATATTAGGTACTCCGTAGATTCGCGGAATGCGGCCCATCCAGCAATTGAACATGTACTGTAACATGACCGTACAGTGGAGATGGCCCTGATTACGCCCAGCCTTGCCAGAAAAATTCTGGAAATGTGATTGGTGCATTCAATCACTCCCATCTTGCTGACAAAGTCTCGGCAGATCCCGCTGTATTCTGTTTCGGGAGTAGTATGCTCCGTTTCTAGTCTAGTCTGGTATCTCAAACCAATGTCCAGTCAGCCAACACGATCCATGATATCGCCAAACTGGCCGCCTGAAAAAGAGGGAGATCATCCAATGTTTCTTTCAAAAATCGCTTGCTGAGAATGTTTGCGCGCCGTGGCTCGATATAAGTGAGCTTGAGGGTTCGCGAACACCTAATTGTTAGGTTCGACGCAAACTGCATGTTCAGCCTCGTGCATTGAAACTCCCTCAACAAGGATGGAGACACCCGACTCCGATCTCAATAGCGGACAGGCTAGTCCCAACGGACATGATAACGAAAAGATCGAGGAGAAGCACCACCACCATCCCCATTTGCATCTAACGCATGGCCAGAAGAGACGGTTCCTTGAATTTGTCCATCCCCATACCGGCAAGATTGTCCACGTCTGCCATAGTCCTGAGCATCTAGGTGAGCCAATACAAGCCACGAGAACGGGGGCGAAACTAACAACATTGCAGAACGGAAAAGAACAGAACTCCTCCGCGAGAGGAAAGACGACGAGTTCCATGTTATTCTGCAAGGCTCAGCCGAGCATCTCGAGGCAATCAGAGAGCTGCACACCCACCACGAGTCGAAGAGGGACGAACTGAAGCAGCGCCATGGCGACCTGTACTCCGATATCGAAAACGTCAAATCCGAGTTAGACGCCCTTGCTGCAGAGCTCCACCATGTCACTGCCCATGCAGTTTCTCTTGACGCTTCATTCGATCGCTACGGATACTCGGCGCATCTCAGGACGAAAGACGAGGACTCCGAAGTCACGTCAATTCACAGTGACCACCCCTCCGCGTTTGACAAGCACAAAGACCGCTCCACCGTGGCTATTCGATTCCTCAAGCGACCTACGATCCGACAGTATTTCCACAAAGGCCTCCTCTGGCGCTCCGCCAAAGCCGGGGAAGTTGCATCGTTCGAACTGTTTGTCGACCTAGTGTAAGTATCCTCCTTTCCGCGATGCTGTGACGCCCAAGCACGAACTCCATTCTCTCTCCCTGTCTTAGACCTCTACGGCTTCTTAACGTTTCGCAGATACGTTGGTGTCATCGATATCGTCGGCGAAAAGGCAGTCGAACACGCCGATGGTCTCTCACTGCTGCACTTCGCCATAGTCTTCTCCATTGCTTGGAAAATCTGGGCCGACCTAACCATGATCATCAACCACTTTGAAATTGACGACATCTTCCAACGTCTCAACGTCATATTCTACCTCGTCTGCCTGTTCGGATTCACCACCAACATTACCTACGCTTTCGAGTCGACATACACATCCGCCATCGCCTTCTACATTGCGCAACGCCTATTTACGGCGGTATGGTACGTCTATGTAGCTTGGGTATTGCCGAACATCCGCGGATCGATGATGTCGCTAGCACTCACGGTCACCGTATCTGCTGTTTTCTGGATTGGCAGCATCCACGTCGCTTGGCCCGGCCAACTCTCGTTGATCTGGATCGCGATAATTGTCGACACATTTGGCTACGTCGCAATGATAGGGATCATGCGCCACGCCGAAAAGTCTCGGGTCCTCAAGCCGATTGCGAAATATTTTGAGTTCTTTCCTGCTGTGAACATCGAGCATCGCGTCGAACGAAACAATGCTTTCGTCTCGCTTGTAAGTACTACTAGCCCCGTTCGCACACGCTTCCCAAGCAACGTACTTACCGACCCGTGCAGGTCTTCGGCTACTCGATCCTAACCATTCTCTTCCAATCGCGCGCGTCTTTCGGCATCAACGCATTTTTCGGCAAAGGCGTCCTCGGGCTAGTTCAGGCTTTCACATTCAATTGGTACGACCTACCGCTTATGAACCTGACCTCCTTTCCCCTCCACCAACCTCAAGTTTGTCTCTTTTGACCGTGTGATGCCTCTATACTGTTGGCAAGATGAAAGACTGTATGACATTTATACTGACCGTCTGTAGGATCTACTTTGAAATCGATGCCTACCATCTCCACGTCCACGCGATCCGCCGCCACTTGGTATCCGCCTGCGTATGGGTCTCCTCTCACCTCCCCTTCATAATGGGCTACGTCCTGGCGGCTTCTACGCTCTCGCAACTCGTGCTCGCCCACGACTCCTCCAATGCCGACCCGCACGACCTCGGCGAAGAATATGAGGCCCGCAGCGAACCCGAAGTTTCTAAAGCCCTGCGATGGTTCTACTGCGGCGGCTTGGGCGTCGCACTGATCTCTATGGCTTTGATATCCTTCTGCCACATTCATAAACGTGTCGCGAAGGCCAGACTACGCAAGCGGCCGCGACTGATCTTCCGGGTCTGTATAGCGATCATCATCATCTGCCTCCCCCTTGCCGATTCATTGTCGAGTCTGGGTCTGATCAGCATTACGACGGCGCTGGTCTTCCTCGTCCTTGCGCTGGACTTGTTCGGCATGTCCTGCGAGGGCGATAAGTTCTGGACTGGAGGCTTCTGTCCGGAGGAAAAGAAGCGATGCACGTACACGGCGAACTGTAGGCTAGGGAAGCGGCGCAGACGAGAGATTGAGAAGGCCCTTCAAAGAGGGGATAAGGTGTGTCTGGCCGATCTGTTGAAGAGGAATTCGAGCAGGAGTAGCGTGGACAGCGAGGAGACGCTGAGAGATGAGGAGTGGCAAGGAGGGCATTATTGATATGCTGCCAAATCGAGCAAGTCATTTTGAGATCCTTCTGCGACTATCACTGGTATTTCCAGGTCTCATCTCAGCTCTACCGGGCGCTTAGGAAAACTTGCAGTGCATTCTGGACTGATCATGCATCGCCTTTCGTGATAGAAGTGACTGAATTAAGCTATTCATGCAGAGCCCTTCTTGAAAATGCTGATGGGCAATAGCACCTCCTCAGCTCCAACGATATCTACTCCAGCACCATGATGTAACTCAACCTTGGGTTAATACCAACCGATTCGGTAAAAGCACCTGCGTGACGTATTCTTACAGCTTGTCGTCTCACAGTCCCCAGCATAGAGCACAATACTTTGCTTTTCCAGCGGAGAACGCACTTGCCCTTCTCCTGCCAATCGTGCCGTGGTCAATACCCACTCAACGTCTAGACGACATCTCTTGGGAATCCTGTCTTTCGACTGAGCACTATTTCATAGTCTCATCGTGCCCAACTCAATAGATGCTGAATTTCACGTGAAACATTCTGTTTGGCACCACTTGGGACCCTCGTTCGCTGCCTGAATCGGGCCATCGTTAGACCCAGCTTTCGTATTTATCCTTTGATGCGTTCCTTCATCTCTGCCCTCTTGCTCAATGAGTGCCTCGTCATGGTGCTTATAGGCCTAGATTCGCCAAACGCACCCTCTGCGCCTCTCATTTTGACGTGTGGGTGGTCGACCTGATTTATCAATGAGTGGATGCTCGATACTGAGCCTTCGTAATTGTACTGACTAGCATGCTTCATCAGAGCGGCAAACAGTGGGAAATGCGGCTTCTGACCTTCCGCCAAGTTGGGTACGTAAACCACATTGTCGTCTGTGACAAATTTCGCCACGCTGCTTGTTATTGCCTCGTGCCTGTCATCCATGGCCTTAACAACTTGTCCGCGCTTCTTCTTTGGCCTAACATCACTAAAGTCCATGCTTTCAGAAGTCGGACCTTCGAATGCAGCTTCATGCGGCCGTTTTTCTTGCTTCGACTTTTGGGTCATCACCGGGTCGTGCAACGGTTCAGAACTAATGGTTGGTGGAAGTACGACTTCAGAGAACCCCGGAGGATAATCCCCAGCTCTTGTAGTTGGTTCTGATGTTCCCCTCGACCTGGCCTGAGCTGCCAGCGACATCGGTGCTTCGCTAATAGTATAACTGGTCTCGCCTACCGTGTAGGCCGATGACCATGATGTCTTGACCGCTTTGGTCGCCGGTGGGGAGACGCTGGAGGACGGATTGTTGTCACGATACGCGGTCCAGGCGCTGGCAGCAGCCTGGTTCGGTTCCGGCATTACATTCTGATCTGCAGACAATTCGGCAATGATCTGGGAGTCGGCCTGATGTTGCATACTGCGCTCTTCAGATGCTTGTCTTAAGACCGCAGCATATAAGTCTTCGACTTCTGGGGTTGTAAGAGTGGTTGATCCGCTCCATGTAGGTGATCTCTTTGTAGTCGTTGGGAATGCTTCTTCATTGTCGGCAATGCTGTGGTCGCCCTCATTGGCCGGTACTGCAGCAGCGAGCTGGTCCACGGCTTGCTTCTCGTTCTTCGTGTGTTTGCCCTTCTTCTTCTCCTTCTTTGTCTTGGCTTTGCGCACTGATTCCTTCTTGTTCGAAGGCTTAGAGCTAAGGGTTGTCTTGACATTGGGCAGTTCTGTAACATGGCCTTTCTTGTTCTTGGTTGAATCTTGTTTGGACGTTGTATTTGGGGCAGACACTGGTATTCCCTTCTGATCTTTGGCTGCGGCGTGAGTAGGCGCCGCCACTTTGGCTTCGACGGTCGTGCCATCCCCCTTCTTTACCTTCTTCTTTTTCTTTTCCTGTCGCGTTGTACCTGCCGCCTCCCTAGCATCTGGTGCCTCACGCTCTCTGGCGGTCTTTGATTGCAAATGGCTTGTGCCATTGTCACCGCCCTTGTTATCTCCTTTTGTTGTTTTCATGGACTGCTTCTTGACCTTCTTCTTCATCCCTGAGGGTACAGTCTCACCAGGTTCCCTGGGCCCAGGTAGGAGGTCGGCATTCGCGTCCTGTTTCTTCGACTTCTTTTTGCTTGCTGACTTCCGGTTGTCCATGGTCTGAAGCTTCGATGGCCTGGCACACTGGTTACCGGTTTGATCGGAGCCTTCATTCACCACTATGTTGGGTTCTCGGTGGTTACTTGGGCTTGGGCTTGGGCCCGGACTTCGAAGTTTTCGCTCCCTAGATTTCATCTTCACTTGAGAAACCAATCCTGGTTCCAATGTACCCAACGCCTGGTATAGAGGAGGTTTCTTGTTTGTCGTGAATTGCAGCTCAGATGGATTTTCTTTGCGGTTGTTGTCGTCCGCTAAGGATACTTTTTCTGCGATTCCAGTGTTGTCTAGTTCCTGCTTTTCTCTCAGTCTTTTTCTGATAGACTTCAGTTCTTTTGGCCTCTTGAGGCTGCTCGCAAGTAACGCTTGGCGAAGTATGGCTTTCGCGTCGATGGCCGTAGTTGGGAACGGAAGGCCGTGCAGCAGGCATTGAGCTACCCACCATATGTACTCCTTCTCCTCAGACTTGGCATATGAAATTTCTAGTTTCGTCTTTGGAAGAACAAGACGACTCACTTCATCTGCTTCCGGAGCGAACCAGCGTACGCCATCATCCTGTGGTATGCCGATCTCAAGATCAGCCGCCTGATAACCACCCGGATTATATCGGAATCTGGACTCGGCTGTAAGCCGGGCTACCAGGACGTGAAGGAGTGGTTGGAAGTCGAAATCGTCGGATAGAGAAGCATCCAGAAGTTGGACGAACTGAGATCTCATAGAGACCACTGATCTTTCGTACTGTTCCATCTGGGACCGATCATCGTTCAGGGTCCTAGAAGTTTAGCTGAGTGCAATTCGGCGCTTGAGGATGCGGAAGATCTGAGGTAGAGATGAAGAGCAGCGCAACGTAAGTCAGCCCATCTGCGCGTGTGTCAGTAGGTTTGTTGTGAGGTGAGGCAGACCTCGACAATACCACATTCAGGTCGAACCTGCGCAGAGAATTGGCTCAAAGAGTGGTGCTTGCGTCTCGTCGAGGAATGCCGCGAAATTTAACAAGATGGATGGTGATGACAGGTGAGTCGTTGCTAGTCTCCCTCCAGGAATTCAGTGCTCGTGAAACTCGAAATCACAGTCAAGTCACTTAACCGAGACAGACACAGGGGGAAGCAGGGTTCATGCGTGTTGATCAATAAAAAGAAGAATGATGTTTCAAGGTGAAGGCAAACTGAAAGTAGATGAAAGAGATGAAGTGCCACACCAAGGTTCGACTACCAACTCCCCATTGCTCCTTCACCTTCCAAGTTTCTCGATTCTTCAAGTGCTCAGCCTGCCGACCCTATATCTCGAGTAAGTCGGCTGACCGGGAACTGAGCTCCTTACGAAAAAGTACAATGATAATCCTTCAACCCTAGACAAGCACGTCGGCAGATTGTCAAGAGACTACAGCCTTGCCTATTCCGCAGTTCATCAACCGCCACCAATGCGCTCAGGTTACATCGAACAACTCCAATTTGGGCATGGTTTGCTTTCTCCTTGCCTCGTGTTCATGTGAAAGTAAGCCAGTGTCTGAGTACATGCAGAATCACATAGTCTGACTTGCGCGACCATACCCTACCGCACCCAGCAGTGACGCTTTCATATCCTTTGCCTTCCTCGAGACCAGCGGCATAAGCTGCAGCGCAGGATCTCTAGGATCACGTTCCGCAATGGTCATATACAGCCCTTCGAGTTTCTGAATAAGCGAGCTCAAAAGTGCAGGAGCATGCTGTGCTAGATCCGCAATTTCAGGGTCCTTATTCATCAGTCAGCAACTATGTAGCCATCTTTGGTGGCTAGGAAGCTTACAGTAAGATCAACCGCATTGAAAGCTGCCAATACCCACTCGAGTCTTCGAGCAGTATTGGTTGTAAGGGAGTTGCCAATCGTGACAGCAATCGAGAACGCAATAAGGGGCGAGACATCCGTAGCCAGGTACTCCGGCGTGTAGTGAATGAAGAGCTTGTCGAACAATTCAACAGGCTGGCTTGATTGCAACCACTTAATCGAGCCCTCTTCATAATGGCCGTCGTTCATTAGGTCTGTGATTTCATCCAACTCCACTTCCTCCTTGGTTTTCTGTCTCGGAACGACCTGGCGACCAAAGCCTTGCGGTGAGGGAGTCATACGTGCAGTCGAAACCTGACGTGATGCGCTCGGTGTGCTGCCTTCTCCAAGAAGAGCCAATTGGCGGCGGTCCTTGAGTATCTGACCCTGAAAAGCCACCTGGGCATTCGACATCTGCTGGAGAGTCTCGGTCGTGGCTTGAAGGACTTGACCAAGCTTCTCAAGCCTGCCCATGTCATGCCGTCTGTCGGCCTCGAGCTGATGGATATCTTTGCGAAGTCGAACCTCGACTTCAGAAGCTGCTTTCTCAGCGGTCGCAACAGCGAGGGTTCTGAACGCCGGCACAACCTGTTTCTGCAGCACGTCTGCCAATTGTGTCTCCACTTGTTTCGAGATCTTCTGTGATATTGTATCAGCGATAGTGCGGCTCATCTGGGGACTCTGGAGCGCTGTATTAATGGCAGTGGGAAGCTGGGCGCCCAATTCTTGTGGCACAAGAGCGTGGAGAGACTTCTGAACAGCGGACCCCACCTCGCTGCTGACGGCTTGCACTGTGGCGCTAGTCACTGCTGGAACCATCGACTGATGCATCTGAGCAGCCACGATACGTGATAGAGCCTTTTCAACGTTGTTGGTCAATGTGGTCGAGACAACCCCGAGGAGGGCTTGTTGACGTGCGACAGCAGATTCATCCTGGACAATCCGATCGTTGTGGATGCTCTGATACAAGCCACTGAGCTCTTTTCGAAACTCCCCCGCCACTCCTCGCTCGAGCTTTATGAGCTTGTCGAGCCAATCACCATGAATGCCAGCGGAGACAGCCTCAGATTGCGAAGAAGCTAATTCGGCTGGAACGCTAGCAGGCTGCTTGGATATGTTCTCTTCAATGGCAGCAGTGGTTGGCCCTGGAAAGACTTCTGCAGGGGTGGACGATTTCTTAGTTGGTGAGGACGCGCGTGAAGGGGGCTTGCCTGGCGCAGGGGATTCAGCTGCTAGGGTGGCTTTCTTCTTGTTTTTCTTGCTCTGCTTCGTTGTGGGCCCTTCGCTGGCCGCTGGCTCGGCCTGAGGCTCGGGGACAGCAGAGATTTCGGGCGCGGCTTTGGGAATGCCTTGCACTTCATTCGAAGAGGGCTCGGTACGTTCCGTGGCAGCTTCAGCTTTCTTCGCCGACTTCTTCTTGGACGATTTGGTGGACTGTTGTACTTCTTCCGCAGGGCTCTTGATTGGCTCGGTCTCCTCAATAACGCTTCCAAGCCGCAATTCCTTCAAATCGACAAGACCTTCTTTGGCAGCATCTACAGGATGAAGCACTTTGCTGTCAGCGTTCCAGCCCAAATCTTCTTTGGTAATGCTCAAGCAAGTGACACCCTTCGAGTGCACAACATACAGCTCAAACAGGGGAACCTTGTCATCGATCGTCTTTTTCTCGTCTGCGGCCCTGTAGACCGGTAGGAGCTCGACACTTCTAAGCTGACCTCTTCCTGTGAAGGATATCTCGCGAATGCCGCTCATGCAGGCTGTAGATTCAGGTTTGGGAAGCTCTGGATCTTTCATAGCAGTACCTTGAACATATGTCGCCTGAGAGTACGACGAGCTCAGCGTGTAGCGTGGTGCTGACAGGTGGATGAAGAAGAGCGAATTTCTAGTGGGATGACCAACGATAATGATGCCACTGCTAGGATGGTAGTTGACGCTGCAAATCCCGTCGGTCTCGTTCTCGTGCGGAAAGTTGATCTCCTGGACAGCCTTTCCAAGAGCAATATCCCAAAGCTGAAGAGTATGGTTTTGTCTCAACCCAACGAGAACATACCGGAGAGCGCCTCCCTTGACGTACGGGCGAGCTTTGTCAACAAACAGAACCGACGTTGGCCAGGACTTCTCTGCCGGAGACGCAGTAGACAATGATAGCAATGGTGTATCTACTGTCATGCCTGCAACGTGCGATGCTGTAGTATTGGCTTCCTCGATAAGCTTGCGGATATCCCAGAATCGCAATCTCCCGGTCTTATCCAGAGACACAATCAAGCTGTCGTCCTCACTAAAAGTGAAGTCCTTTCCAGCCTTTCCTGTCGAGATCTGAAAAGCTCGTTCCTGAAAGAACTTGTCGACGTCAACCCGACGACTAGTCTCATCAATTCCGTAGCGCGAGGAGAGTGCGGTTGCAGGCCAGACGAGATGAATCGCTTTTCCCCTACCGATGGCGAAAAACTCTGGATGTCGAGAGCTTCGCTTGGCACGAGTCTTCAGCACGCCTCCAGCTGTATTTTCATCTGCTGGGGGGTATGGAGGGAAAATGAGGCTTTCTGACTCGAGTTCGTTCTTCTCGAACAAATCATTGCCGTTTTTGTGAATGGTGGCGTAGTAAACGGCACCACTGACTCCAGTCCCAAGAATTGCTTGATCGTCAGATGGCGGGCCATTAGGGGAGGTAGTACAGAATGCAACATTGAACACGCGATCGTGCGAATTCTTGAACACTTGGCGATCACTGCCATCATCTTGTCGTATGATTCGCATACCTCCGTTTTTCACCAGGGCATATGTGATGTATTTGGCAGTGGCGGCGGCCAGCGAACGGTCAAGCTGATCGAAATCTTTCTTCAACCGCGAGATCTCCATAACACCATCATCACGAATTGACACATCGGAACCTTCGCCTAGTTGCAGTGTGATTGAGACGAAGGGCTTGATGGGAAAATTGTAAACAGGGACAACGCGCTCTCCAGACTCTTTAGTAGGCGATTCGTCAGCGTCTTCCCACTCGTCGCCACCATTTGGCGCCTGCTCCGCGGAATGTTCTGCGCCCAGGGCGTCTCCAGGTTGGACATCGTTGCTCGGCTCCGGTGCGGCTTTGTCTACCGTTGCGGCGTCAAAGGTTTCTGGAACAAGCTTTGCGGATTCAAAGAATGACTTCTCCGCCGCTGTCGCTCCGTTCTCAGACTTTCTCTCCTTCTCCGGCGCAGAGACGGAAGCTTCGCGCGAGATCGTGCCCTGTCTGCCTCCTGATGGCAATCGAGGTGTAAGAATCTTTCTCCTGGCGACCTGTTCTGGAGTAGCCACGGGCGAGGTGCCCTCCCAGAGTCGATCATTGGAACTCTCTATGCTTTGCACAGGTACGTCACGAGGATTGGCAGCTGGAACAGGTGACGATGCTCTCGGTGTTTGGGAGCGAGAAGCGTTGAGAGCTTCGAATGGGTTGACATAAGTGAAGAGTGGCTTGTTCTCAGACTTCGAGCCATTTTGCTCTGGAGGTGCCTTCACAGCTGGGCTCGCTCCAGAGGCACGTATGGGAAGATCAGCGTTGATGGCAGGCGGATGCTCTGCCTTTTGAGTCTCTGTTTCAGAAGGCTGTGATCGAGCTTGTTCAGAAGACCCCTGCCTCCCAAGCGCAGCATTGCCCGAGTGTGCTTTTTTGAGGAGCTTTAGCAGCGCATCTTGAGAGGCATCCCGGCTTACATTAGATGACGGCTGGTCACCACCTCCACCTTGGTCTTCCAAATTGAACGGGGATTTCGATGCTGTCCGAGATCCGGCTGGTGGAGGGCTCATGAACTTTGCTACAAGATCAGAAGCCGACAATGACGGCGCTTCCGTGGTAGTTCCTCCTTTTTCTGCGGCCTTGACTCCGTTCTCACGATCATCATTCGGAGTAGGGAAGGTAGTGGCGTCAGTGTTGGCAGATTGTTGGGTTGAAGGTCCGAAGTTAAGCAAGTTCAAAAGTGACTGGCCGGTGACAGACGGCGCTGGACCACCCTGAGAAACCATCGTGGCTTGAGCACGTCCGTTGCCGATTGAGGGGAATGGTGGCGGAGGAGTCGAAGGAAGTGGTTGGGCGCTGGCAGACTGCGAGGCAAGTCCGCTAGAGCCGGGACGATTGGAAGCTTGAGAAGGCGCAGGTGAATCGCGAGCCTTGGGCCTCAGATTTGCAAAAAGAGCTTGAAGATCGTTGGTCGACATTTTTCCAGTCGAACCACAAATCACAAGCTAGATGAGCTCGCAAGCTGGTGATGCAAAAGGCGAAATTAGCGAAGACGTCGTAGCGCGGGTGTTCTTCTCCGGGATGTCACACCCAGAAAGAGAACTAAAGGACGAATGAGTGGCAGCACAGAGGAGTGCTGAAGCGAGACTGTCAACACAGCTCAAATCTGATGAATGTATTAGGGCAAAGGTGAAATAACTTCACTGTTGGTAAGTGAAGAGGCTGCGGAGAAATGAAGCCGCATCTCAAAAAATCATGGTGACATCTTTCCTCGGAATCGGCGCTAATGATTAACTATGGCAGCCTTGCGATTTGTGGAAATACCATACACTTCCATTCCTATCTTCATGCAAATCAACAACCTTACCATTATCCCTAGGCAATTCTACGTTTAATAGGTGCTAGAGTGCTTCTCTAGTTTTCAGCATCGTTCAATACTCGACTTGGTTTGCGCAGGCCCATTGAGCGCTAGGAGGGCAAGAGACGCGCCGGTCACCGGTTGCTGCGTCCCTTCAATCGCTCTCCCCACGATCAGCGACTCTGAAAATCTACACATGATGTACTGCTTGCGAAGGTTCGCTTCCATCAAGGCTATGCGTTAATGACTGTTGACATACTTACTGACATATGACCAGCTACCTCCCCCTCCTTCTCCTGCCGCTCCCTCTGTCCCTGTCGCCAGTCCACCTCGTTCTCTTCATCGCATTAACCTATTTTCTTAACCGACCGTGCATATACTGCTCATTACTCCTGGTAATTCTGTTCGCAAGTTCCTGCCAGTGGTCCAACCGTTGCTTCATCGACCTTCGCCAGCATGGCGAAGATACATCCTCGGTCGCATCATGGTTCATTCCGCGACTGTACACAACCCCGGCCACAGCCCTGGCTGAACAGACGAACAATAGCTCCGACATGGGCGCATTCCTCGTTGATATCGCCAACAGCACGGTAGCCGGCCTATCGCAGGCTCTGAAAGAATCGGCCTCGGGTTTGTTAGAGGGGGAACATCAAAAGTTGACCACGACGTCTTTGCCGTCATCGCTGCCGACAGATGTTGGTATTGGCACGCATTGGCTTCGGCATGCGATCGGACGCTCAGAATGGACTCTTCCCTGTGTTGGAGTGAAGGTTGTATTATGAAAAATTATTGAAAGCGACCACGGAGACGGATGGCTTGCTGTACCTTTTGTGATTGCGCAGCCATGAATTATATCGGAACACCAACCTTGCACAAGTTTTCTTGAAATGGATATGATCAATATTTTCACTATCGTTCTACTCTAGGTAAGATGAGCCTGCATTCGATGCCAAATTGCAGCCCATTCGCAGGTCAAATTTGCCGGCAGTCCCAGGTCCTTTGCCGAAAATTGAATTAAGATGATGGCTCAACCTCCAGACCAAATGCCTTCCATACACATGTCAAACGCCAAACGCTGCGTAAAAGTCGTCAAGCTCTTAGCCGAGTTTTCGTTTTCGAAGCCGTTGATTATTGTCTCATCAGACGGGCGCCCTTCAGCCATTCTACAGACAGTATGCGCCAATCGCGATGCCAACTTCCCGTAATCAGCGCCTGGTCCAAGATATTGTGGTACAGCGTCATATTGTTGGTGATTATCCGCGGCCTATTTTCAAGCCGCAGTGTGATTCCCGTTATTATTGGACTGGCCAGTCATCTTCCGTAATAGACGACCAGAAGACAAAGATTGCCACCACACTCAGTAACGTGAACAGCGTCTCGAAAAGAGCGCCATTGATTTTTCCGTCCGTCGGATTACATATGTGAACAGATATCACATACATGAATACCTGGCCAACGGCGAAAAGAACCGCAGCTGAGACAAGGTAGAGCATTGGTTTCGTTTCGCCCAGGACCCTCAGGACAAGGATTGTTTCCAGGAGGAAGAAAAGGAACATGAAAACCAACGGCACGAGCTGATACAGCACATACAATGCGATGTGGCGGTGCGGTGCAGTTAGAGAATCGTCCCAGTAGCCAGTCCACGAAAATGCCGTATCGAGCGCAATGTAGCCAGTTCCGATGAAGATCGCTAAAGAGCTCCCGCCGATCAAGCCAATGGACATAGGAGTGCCATCGTCCAGGAGCTGGTATCCCACAAAGGCGTTCATAAGCAAGATCCACAAGGTCGCAGTGACGGCCGCTATGTGGACAGCTGTGAATCCTTTCCGTACATCGTTGTTCAGCGGAATTCCACCCATTGTGAATATCTCGCATATTTCAATCACCAGGTATCCTAGCAGGAACATCTGTATCTCTCGCCGGCCGACGGCGGCTGCTTTCCGTTCGGCTCGCCATAACAAGAAGAATGTGACGAGGATTGCGAAGCCGGCGAGCAATATGGAACCAAGATTGGCTAAAAATCTTCCATTGCTGAGGGTGATTCCACGCAAAACGCAGCCGCCGCTCCCATTGACATTGACGTATTGGACCCCGGGTGGTTGGTTGGTAGCTGTGAGGATCTATGAGAGGTTAGCCAGAGCATCAGTCGAGCTTTCGGTCAGGGACTGCTCACGTTGCATATGGGGAGGAATGAATCGGCACAGAAGTCCTGTAGGCACGTGTTAATGGGCGGATCTGCAAGCCTCGTAGGACGGGCTTACTTGGAACTTCCCAAACTGTGTATTCCCCATCTCTAGAGCTTTTCAGATGCCTCCAATCCGCTGCGCCGGAGGTCAAGATTGCCTTGGGTGAGGGTGTGCTATCACCGTCGCGCCACCATGCGCTCGGGTCTGAGGCGTTGGAAGTCGGAAAAAAGTGTACGTCGAATCTAGGTCAGGGTAGGAAGAAAGACGTAGGCGACCGTTCGGTCGGAGGATCTGAAAGCCACCGGTGATATTTTTGGAGAACAATCTTTTTTAGAAGAGCAAGACGAGTGGCAGTTGAAATGGTCGCGATGTCAGGATCATTGGCTGCAGGAGCTGCAGGACAGGAAAAGTTGGCAGGGAGACTAGAAGTGGACTCGAATGGCAGGATTCCAGGAACCTTGTTTCTTGGTGGAGATGGGGATCAAGGATCGCTTATCCGTCGACAAAAAGTCAGCAACGGTGGATGTCGAAAAATATTGTTGTTCGTGAACTGACTGACGAGCCCATGGTTTGCAGAAGGAAGCAGAAAGCAAAGAATTGTAAGAAGGGAGTGCAACTGACCATGGAGAGCTCTGTGTGCTCTGTGCGAGGTTAGATTGGCTTGGAGCGCCAGCGGGAGCAGGAGTCGGAGATTGAGGTGCCTTTGGCAGTTTGGACAACGCCCCTCAGATGGCTTCGTTTCAATTAAGATATGACGACGCCACGTGAGATCGATCCTGGTATGAGCTAAAGAAGGTGATTCTCGAGTTGTGCTCAATTGTTTGAAGTGCTCATGCTCGACGGCGCAGAGGTCCACTGTTTCGTAGTTACCCGACAAAGATTCTAAATAGAGAGCGGGCGATCTTTTGCGACGGCATCTGCGGCATTCAACAAGGTGCCACTAGGCCTCGAGGTGCTATGAATGAGCGGCAGGCCTGCAGTGCCACGCATGATGATCGACTGCTTTTACATCTGGTGGACCCAATTGCGACAGGACTCGTGGTGACTGGACAGGGGTACTCACAACACACCTGGAATGATTGTGAGAGTGGCGCAGTTGCGCAGCATCATCCAACTTTTCCACCTCGCATCTCGAATTCCTTCTGTATGCCTTATCTCACGGGTTCTTAGTATTGAACTTATCAGGCGAGCTTCAACGTCATTTGATGCAGAATGTACGGGTAGTCCGTAGATTCCGTAGAGTCATAGCTTACGCGGTACTGGTATGACTTGATCATAAACGCGGCTATTATTGAGTTCCCTTACAAGGACGGAACTGACTGACAGCTACTGTGTTGCCGAGTGCCTGGCGATTGGACGTTGCTCTGGTAATTGATATCTTGACGAGGCTATGCTGTTGCATACTACGTTCTTTAAGGAAATATGACCGGGCGATGGACCTCTTGGAAACTGTACAGGCTACTCGTCGGTCGCGTATGCCCCTGACATGGTCGATTATCGTAAGCACATCCCGTCTGCCAGATTCTCGGATCACGATGAGTTGCAGGTACAGGTACGGATCTCTGCTGACACAGCCAAAGATCGCAGGGCTATACCGCTTACAGCTTGAATTGAGGATCATGGTCGATATCTCTCGTGGGGTTATGGTTTCTCGTCGGCAATGCTCCGTCTTCATCTGTACTTCTTCGTGCATTCATCCTTACCCAAAGTACCCGGTAAATTCTCTGCTGTCTGCTCTAGGTCGCGTCCCGTGGTCCAGACTACTTCAGGGTAATGAGGTATCATCCAGCCCATTCCGCTTGCTGGAAGCAGTGTGACACACCCCAATGTTCCTGTTGGCTCGACGGGTGATGACGGCTAGTTGAGATTCCCATACACTGTACGGAGTATCGGAAAGATGGACTCTCGGAAAACCTGCCACGGAAAGATTTAAGGTTAAGCTTAAACGAAACGTCCAAATCAGATTTTGTCGCCGCATGATGACGATACTTTGCAATTGTTTCACTGCACAGTTGTGACTCGTGCATGCTCGTGCCTACGGATTCAGGGCTTCGGCAGTCTGCAGCAAGCCCAAGACAATGTGCATACATTGACCTGGAGTATGCATTTTCCCTCTATACTGATATGCTAACTACGAGAGAACACCTGCTCGGCTTTTCGACCCTCCCTCGCTGACTTTTCTCCGGTGTTGTGGTGGCGCTGCCTTCCACCGCGCACATGGCCCCTTCGACCCAGTCGCGCCCACGTCGCGCGCCCCGAGTTCACTATGCAGAGAGTGACAGCGACTCGCTCAGCCTTTCTGAGTTCGAATCGCGGCCCCAACCACTCCGAGCTGCCCGCCGCAGAGTCCAGACGTACCGGGAGTCGAGCAGTGTTGATGACAACACGGTAGAGTCATCGTCAGCTGAGTCCGATTCCCTATCTGAAGAGATCCTGCCACAAGAAGGAACAAGATCGCGTCCAAGAGTCCCGGACCAAGTTTCTTCACGTCCGCAGAAGCGGTGGCAGCGGAAAGCGCCGCCCGCAACAAAATCTGCCGCCAATCCATTCAGTGCCTTCAAGCGACAAAAGACTCGATCGTCCGATGTCCTCCACAAGCCCGAACTACAGGTGTCCGTAATAATACCACCGCCTCTCAGCGGGCCGATTCCTCCCTGGCAACAACTTCCATACCATATACTCGTGAACATCATGAGATACGCAGCCTACCCGCTCTACGCCTCGAATTCTCGCCCGAATTCGTCCATCAATTGGCTTTGCTCGGTATCAACTCTGTGTCGGTCATTCCACGAAGCTTGCATGGCGGCTTTGCTCTACAACCCTCCCCTATACCCTGCTTGGCGGGCCCACGGGCTCATTCAACTCCTCAAGCAAGAGCTTGGAAGCCTGATGATCGACTACCGCAGAAAGATCCACTACCTCGATATCGAAGTCAAGCAATTGCTCACCAAAAGAAGTGGCATCTCGATAGAGGGTCTCGTACGGAACACACCTTTGCTCCAGGGCCTGCGGTTATATTCTAATTTTGATGACATGCGGACAATGGTATGGGCTCAACCAACAGCTCGTAAAATACATTGGTCGTACCCCGCAGAGCTCTTCGACCTTCTCGACGTCAATAATTTGGTTCTGACAAGCTTTGAATGGAACGGAAGATTCCCTGGTCCCATCGAAGTTTTACAGGCAGCACTTCATGCCCATTCGAGGCCGGCGTTTAACAGACTGCGGGAGGTATCATTTCTCAATTTGATCATCCCGGAAAAATCAGGCGATGTCGATGTTGCCAAGGCACGAACTATGTTCGGCGGTGCTCTGAACCAACTTTCGGAATTAACACATCTATCACTTAATAATTGCAGTATTCTGGATGAAGCCACCGCGCCGATGCTGCCTGTCGGTCTGGAACACTTGGAGATTGATAATTGTTCGGAGCTAACTTCAGCCGCACTTGAGCATTATCTTCGTACGGGTGGCAGCTCCTTGACAACATTGAAGTTGTTCGACAACCAATCCATGTCCTTGGGTTTTATGGCTGACCTGAAGACTCTTTGTCCACGCCTTCGGACAATTGACGTCGACATGCTCTACATTGATCCTACCTCCTACCGAGATCGAGATCCGCTGTACGATGAGCTTTTGCCCAACGGCCCGCCTACTTGGCCATCCACTCTTATCAACGTCTCTTTTGAAAACATGCGTCAGCTGTCAGCTGACGATGCCGAAGATTTTTTCGATTCGCTCGTTGAATCCTCACGGCATCTACCCCATTTGAAAAGACTGAACATCAAAGCTATTCTCAAGGGCGCCAGTTGGCGGGATCGTGCACACCTGAGAAAGATCTGGCTGCCAAAACTCCAGAACGTTTTTCTTAACACGAGCAGACCTTCTGATCATGTTGTGAAGGCAGAAAATCAATCGGCAAGGTTGTCTCAACGACAAAGCAGCCGCATAGCCGAGAGTCTCAAGCGACACAGCACTGGTGAAGATACTGGCGATAGCGACGCGGGTTTTGCAACAGCTGTGCAGGGCCGATGCGACGTCGTCAATTTGCAGATTTCTGACCAAAGACCGGCTCAGGATCAATTCCACGAAGATGACTTTTTGGATGATGAACCGAGTGACGATGAAGAATGGAATGGCCGTGATATGGAGCTAATGTCGACTGGTTATGCTTGGTAAATTTCATGGATCTTGGATCCACTGTAAGGGTTATCGTGGGCAAGGTTTGTACAGTAATGCAGGTCCAAAGCACTTGCTCGGATGGCGCGTGGTCAACAGTCTGAGTGCTTACGCTGATGGAAATCTGTTAATGAGGCATTCAATGTACACACAGGTTCAAACAGAGTTGCTTCACTGTAATAAGACATAATCTTCCTCAAGACATAAACTAGGCCGAGAAGACTTGACCCACCCAGTACGTCGTATGATTACCACATAAAGGTACCTAGCTACATGGCCAGCACCATGACATCTATCGTCAGCGATATCGATCAACTTGGTGAGGACATAGATGTCGGCGGTTGTAGACGACTATACTTAATAATCATCTCCACTATGGCAATGATAAGGGATAGTGTGTCTGGAGGAGTATTTGTGTTGAGCTGAAGTGGCACGAGGTAGGTGCATAGTTGAACTGAAGGGGCTAAGAACGAAAACGGAAACCATGTTTGTTAACTTCTTAGTGCAACTGTTCTGATATTTACAAGTTTTACGCCTCCAGCCATGCCAGCCCGAGACTGACGACGTCTCTCTTAGACTGTCAAACCGATGTCTGAGGCAAATGGAAGAGCAAACAAATCTCCTACCGTTGACACCGAAGCCTTGGATTCTAGTAAGCCCTTCGCAGCCTAGGGGAAACGTTAGCTTGATTGCGACATTGCCCGTTCGACAGCGGACACTTACAGCTTTGACCTTCTCTGAGGTTACCTTGTCAATTGCCGCGCCGACCTCGTCAATTTGGAAAGGCTTGCCGCCAGCGAGCAGTCCAGTGCCTGTGGCTTCAAGACCGGCTTGAGTCTGTTGTCCGGCTTCGAGAGCTCTGAATTTCGCCAAGGCCGTAGCCTTCTTGATGTCCTCCTCGGCCACATCGCCTGAAGCGACCTTCTTGAGCGTATCGACAACCTCCTTGCTGGCCTTTGCAACATGTTGGGCATTGCCGGCAATCGTGACGTAAAGTAGCCCAGCGTCAGAGTAGGCGGCGTGTTGAGTCGAGACCTGTGCAAAGGGGAAGTCTTTTGCGGCCTTGGACAATAAAGAGAAACCTGGTGACCACTTGATAGATGACTCTCCTCCCAGGAGGGCTGCAAGAACCGCAATTTCTGGCTTGTATGACGATCCAGACGTGAACGAGCTGGAACCAGGGAATCCCAGGATCATGACATTTCCAGAGTCGTGTGCAATTCTTTCCTCGCCTCCGAAATATTTTGTCGCCTGGCTCTCAATCTTGAACTTCTGGGATCCGGTTCCAACATCGGCAAAGAATTCATTCACCCATTTGGACAATTCCGAGTGACTGGCGCCGTTGGCCACCACAGCGAAATTGTTTTTGGCGTACGCGGCCCCACTGAATTCCCAGATGGTTTCGGCATCGAGGTACTTCGTGAAGGGCGTTGAGGACGTAGCGTAAAGTGGTTCTCCCAGACCACGGTGGAAAGCGACCCCGTGAACCGAATTGAGCGCAAGCGAAGCCGGACTGGCAAGGAGGCCCTTCTGCGCCAGCTTCATGACATACGTGACCTCCTCATCGAGCTCGTGAGCTGTATAAATTGTCAGACACCGTACCATTAACAATCCAGATCTACCCACTTGTGTACCGGGTTTTCGTCATAACCTCTCCTAACAGCTCGGTAAAATACGGTAGGTCATCACGAAGGAATTTGGCTCGTAGGACGAGGTTTTCGCGAGAGTGGTATGCCGACGTCTCACCCCCCAGCAGCTCTGTTTCTCGAGTAATCCGCAGGGTCGATCGTTTTGAGGTAGACTGCGGCCGATGTTAGTTTGTAGTCTTGCAGCCCCGTAACTCCGACCGCCCACCTTGAAGGCAAATTTCTCGAGAGCATCGGACAGGCCCGGGAGCGGCTGATATCGTGTGCCAGCTTTCGCGACGACCGTCAAGGTTGTTGTCGGTCCTGGCAAATCTCTGCTTGCGAATTTGACACCATTGGCTTCACCAGTCTCGTATCCAAAGCTTCCGGAAGCTGCTGCGGCCAGACTTCTTCGTTGTAAGTTGGGAACAGGAAACTGACGACGGCTAGCTCGCAAGGCTCGGGAGCCTAGCGAAGCTGGAGAAGCCATTGCGTAGCAGTCTGAATTGAGGTGGTTGTGGTGGTCGAAGATGCGGTTCGGCAGGAGCTCAATGAGCGAGCTACAGTAGAATCTCAGCCAATTGCTTTGCAGATGATTGGTCGAAGTTGCCAAGACCAGGAGGTCCGCTTGGTCTCCATCATCAAACTTCTTTAATGTGCACTTTTTCTACACATACTCTTGATCCTTACCTACAACGTCAACCACTAACCCTCCAGGAGGTCGGAAAATAGTCTCTCACTGAGACGCAAACCTCTTGGGCGTTGGGTTCATGCGATGAACAAATCTTTGCGCCCGGCTTTGCGCATCCCGCACGATCCCTTTCGCATTCCCTCCACATACACGTGACACCGGCAGCGGAACAGACATGGAGGTAGTGATCGACTTTCGGTGCCTTCGTGCTCTACATACTGAACAGTCTACAGGAATTTTCAAAGCTGTGCTGCCTGATCGTTAAAGATGTCTATGGCGACTTTCTAGCTGTCAGAATCCGACTTCGACATCTGGAGCCAGGCTAACTCCTTCAATAGCAAGTTTTCCAACAGCTCACTCAGCTTGGTCGACTTTCGGCTACCCAAGTGGCGCAAAAATGTCGTCTGCCGCTGCGTCAGGTCAAGACTGGTCTGGCTACTTTGATTCAACTTCGACTTGTCTATCATCATACTACACCAGAAGGGCTGTCGACATATCAAGCCAACACTCACAACGCCTACAATCTTATGCGGACGGGCAAATTGGCGGCACTTGCGCACCGTAATCATGGTAAGCCGGCTGCATTTGTCATAGAGCACCTCGCCACTCTCGGCTTTTCAACGGCAGAGGAGCTTGAAAATACCGTTTGCGCCGAGAAAAGCTTCACCGCACAGGGAGACGCTACGCCACACCACAATGGGCATCCGGGTGGTCACAGACTGCCGATTGTTGAGTCCAGCCGCAATCGTTTCAGAAACGTCCTGAGAGTTCTCATCGATCGGAAATACATCGTTGCTGTACGCGACGCTCATTTTCAGTCAGTGTTCGACGCTCGTCGTGATCTAGAACGTCATTTGGAGAGTCTGGGGCTGTTGCCGTCGACCAAACTTGGGAAGAAATCTCAAGCAGATATTGACGAGAAGGTCGATATCGAGTTGGAACAGCGGCTCGACCCAACACTTGCAGCAGCTACTGCGCTTAAGGAGCTCGAATCCAGCCACTCAAAGACCGATACAGTACGCGCATTCCTGCTTAGCAATGCTTGAAAACTGATGACAACAGGTCAAGACTCTTCTTTGCGTCGACTACTCCAATGTCGTTGCCTCAGTACGCAACGAGAGGATAGCATCGATAGCGGAAAAAACGTTTGGCAAGTCCTTTGGCCATATCACCAAAGCAGCCTGCTCACAGATCGAGCTTGGGTCAAGCCCATTCAGAGTCCGAGATCCAGACCCCAATACATCGATGCAACGATTAGACGTCTCCTTGATCGATGCCCGTCCATCCGATCTACCCAATGGCACCCATCCCAATGATCCAGAAGATGGGTTTCTCTCGAATGGTGGTCATCCGAACGGTTACCATCGTCCTCGTCTGAACGGCACGAAACATGACCCTGCGGTCGACCACCAGTTGGCAATACTAGCAGATGGGCCGTTTCGATTTCTGAGAGGAGACACGAACGGCTCGTGGTTGGTAGATAAGAAACAACTAGGTGACTATGTCCTCGAGAAGGAGTTGATGCGCCTGATAAGCGAGCGAGTAGACGGGCCTGCTCTGAGAATCATTCGCATGCTCGTTGACAAAGGCAAGCTTGATGAGAAGACCCTTCAGGAGCTCGGGTTATTGGGAGCGAAAGACCTTCGGCAGTGTCTGTCGCAGCTTCAACTCATGGGCTATCTGGAGCTTCAGGAAGTTCCGAGAGATCCCCAACGTCAGCCAAACCGAACGATCTTTCTATGGTTCTATGACGCTGAACGTGTGCGAAAGGTTTTCTTGAGCAAGATTTACAAAACAATGTCAAGACACTATCAGCGTATGCATCTGGAACGAGAAAGACTTGCGTCCACATTAAGCAAGGTCGAACGGACAGATGTGGAAGGAAATGTGCAGGATCTACTCCCAGAAGCAGAGCTTGATCTGTTGTATGTGTGGCAACAGAAGGAGGGGTGGTTTCTAACAGAACTCGATCGAATGGACGATTCGGTTGCCATTCTTCGAGACCTGTGATCCTGGTTCGGACGCTTCATGATGCTCCCTCTCGAGCGATTCTCCCAATATTAGCGGCATAGAAGCAAGCGTGGCGTCACTCGATTTGGTGGTCGGGCAGGATACTACGATTGGTAAGCGGAAAACAGCTGATTTACCATATCTAAAGTCGGTAATCCAGTGTTATCCGTTGCACAATCTCAATACTTTGACATGCTTGAAGGGTTCTGATACTCGTTCCTAGAGAGCAGCAATCAAGCTCTCCGTTCTCCTGTACCGTCCTTTACATTCGTGTTAATCGCTGCTCGGTCACCGAAGGACCCAGAGTCACCACCATGTTTCTCGCTTCTCCATACTCTCATACAGAAGATACTTCAGCCATTCACGATGCAGAAAGGCTCCAAAGCGTGCTGATAGCGTGCTCAGCCTTGCTGAGGCCGATGAGGCTGAAGAATATACTCGCGCCGCTTTAGGTCTTCCACTGGTAAATCTTCGGAACAGGAGCTTGGCGCTCTGACCTTTCGGAGAGTTGCAGCTTGAAGCTTGCGCAGTTTCTCTGGCTGGCATTCAGACGATTGATCCTGTCACTCTCATCCGTTCATACCTCTCAACTTTCAAGATGGCGTTCGCTTGGAAAGCCGCGGGCCTTACGTGCGTCCAAATCACCATACTCTGGCTGCCCGCAATGCTGACATGCCCAGCTACAACCGATACCTAGCCATTGCCGCAAGAGTCGTCCGAAGATCCCTGAAGGAGGGACCCAGACTACAAGCCGAAAGAAGAGGAGAGATGGATCTAAGATTTGCAAAGTGGCAGGTCAGTTGAAATGAGTGATTCTCGCAAGGATGCAACTGACGGGAAGTCGTAGGGCGGCAAACAAGGAGAGAACAAGAGCTTGGGTGCTGCCAATGCTGATGCTATGGCCGAACACGCAACTGGCGAGGCCAAATAAAAGGACATGATACACCCAAAGGCTGCAGGAAAAGGCACTTGAGAATGGTTGGGAGCTACAAGCATTGTACATATCACGTCAAAGGAAGGACTTCACGTCGAAACTGAGTTGCTTGCCGAAATGCGCATATGAGTTTTCGTGGAGCACCCTGAACTTCTGACTTCTCGTCTACCATCTGTTCTACTATAGTCACCCATATTGACATTACACGACATGACCGTCTACGTCGGGTATTTGCATTAAGAGTAATCTGGCGAGTTGTATACCAGGCACGGCCGAGGACGGTCAATTTCATGTTAACATCCCTCCGTGCATGGGCTTTACACACATGAAATTTCCCTTCGCATCCAAACACGAACTTAGCAAGCAGGTTCGGGGAGGGCCATGTTCCCAGCTCGGATCATCCACCCCAATGTCCAGATCAATGATATAAGCGGACAATTTCGCAACGCTGCTTCAAGTGGGAATTCCCTGGCCCTTTCCCGGCTGGTACTAACCACAGGTTATAGCGCTGCAGCCAGGCAAATTGGTCAAGGATGAGCACTTCACGCTCTTCGAGGCCGTCAGTGCCTTGGAGGTAAGACCCTGGCCTCATCCTGCTGGTACCGTCGAGTTCATTCGTATTGCAGATTGGAGACCCTAAGATGGACAGTGGCTCGGTCGCGTTTGATCCAGACAATGAAATCGAATTCGACTTTTCAACCACCATCTCTCCTGAAGAGACCATATGGCTGATGGATGAGCTGTTATGTCGGGAGGTATGGACACTTATGCTGTCTCTACGAACAAGATGGTGACACGCGCTATAGGTCGCGTGGCATAAGGGCTATCCGCTCTCCCAGACCCTCTTCACATCCGTACATATTGATCGTCTGCTGTGGCCGGAGCCGAAGCGACTATCTGACGCACGATTCCTTCGAGAAACGCCTGTTACTACCGGTCCACCTTCGCTACTTGAGGATGTCTTTCGACCCTATTGCCTCGCACTCGTGAAAGCTTGTGATCTTGTGCTTGGAATGGTCATGAGTCAGCATTACTATGAAGTAGGAGTCCTCTTCAACGAAAGATGGTCGTCTGCTAACGAGGATTAGGAGGAAGACTTTGCATCGCAGATCTTCAACAGACCACTGTTGCACACTTTCTCCCCCGACGAAATTCTAAGCGAGCTACAAATTGCTCAAGCCCGGCTGAGCCAGAGTGACCTACCTACCGAACCCAAAGAAGCCCTCGTGGATAGGTTGAGCGTGCGAAGCTCCTTTCTCAAACTCCTCAACACTTGTTCAGCAGGTGATAGGCCTGAAGAATCACTGCACGATGAGTGCATCGCTTTCCTCGACCGAATTGAAGCCACCACGAACCTAGGTCACGCAGTCCCCACGGAGGCTTTCACTCTTAAAATCCAGCGCAAACTTGCAAGCAGCGTCCCTCCTCGGCCAATGATCGCGATTGAACGGCCCAAAGCATTCCCCTTCTTCCGTCAACTCATTACCGACACCATTACAGCATTCCAACTCCTCGACGTCTCGTTCAGTGCTGACCTGCTCGTCGCATATCAACAATTCACAGCCCAAGAACGTCAACCAGCCGTCTACGTACGTGCCCTTCTCCAAGCCTTCTTGTACCTGAACAACCATGTCCTAGGCCGCTACAGCCCGAAGGACTTCATCCTGCAGGACATGCGCATCCTTGTTCTACCCACCCACCGCCTCCTCTGCAGCAGCGGGCAGGACGATGAGATCTTCACTGATGCCCAATTCAACGTTGTCTCGCACTTCGACATGTTCATTGACCGTACCGCCGAGTCCTTCCTCAACCTCTTCCGCACAGTCTGCCTCAATCGACCCCGTGTCCGACGCACAATATGCCATGCCGCACAGGAATGGGACCAGATCCAAGCCGAAGCCGAAGATCTCGACACCCTCATTCAGTCCGCCTTCGGCGAGCAGCCGATCCCCTATCCCGATCCGGCAGACGGAGCTATGACCTTTTCCTATAGTCTGAGCAGCTGGTTCTATCACTACAAACTCATACAACTCCGAACAATCGTGCAAATGGGTTTTGAGCTGTCCATATACGCGCCGCACGAATGTCGCAGTATGTACTGGTACCTCTCCTTCCTATGCGGCACGCACATGTCACATCTCGAACGGATCAGCTACTTCGTGTCCTCCGCGGCGGCCTCGTCCCAAAGCAGACCAGATCCTGCACAACAAGCAGTCCAGCGAACCCTCCATCATCTCTATCGACAATTCACATTCCTCAAAGCAACCGAATCCCTAGCCAAGTCTTTGCACAGAATTTTCGTCATCCTTGAACGGCACAGCTTATTGGTCAAGCCAAATTTCCCATATTCTTCCGACAAGATGCGCTATGAATTACGCATGCGGCCCTTTTTGCCCTTGGCTATCCCCGAACCCATAGGCGAGGACGTCGCCAGCCATGTGTCGTCGTTGGCGGGACTATCAGATGAGGAAGTCCTAGAGCAGGCAGCGGCGATGAATCAAGTGGCTAGACGGGCGTGGGAGGAAGTCCTGCGAGAACCCTGGCACACGGAACCCCTCGAGCCAGAGCAATCGGGAACGCCCGGTAGTCTCGGGCAGAACGAGAAAGCCAAAGGAGACGAGGGAAGGACGAAGGTGGTGGAAAGAGAATGGACGAAAGACGTGCGCAATAGTATGAAGTCGTGTATTGGGACGGGGATTGCGATTAGTACGCTCAACAAGGCACTGAAAGAGCGGAAGATGGGACGCTTGCAGGTCGAGATGCCGATTGGTGGTGAGCGTGATAGATGGCATGTAGCATGGGTGGTGCCGAAGATTAAGAACTGATAATTCTGTTGGGTGCAGGTATACAAATATCACGCAGTACACTGTAGTGGTGACTTGCTGCCATACCGGTAACAATGCTCACAACACTACCTGGTATTATGGCCACTTCAACTTCTGTAATCCGCTGCGGTGTTCCTTACGCGTACTTTGATATTGTAGGAGACGAAGCTCGTGAATGCCGTATGCGGTCCGTAGTGGCACAGTCTCGCAACAACGTGCGTCGCGTCACCACACCAAGGTGGCCTTATAAACCTCGGCCACTTCAACATTCGGCCTCGATAGGTATCCTCTGCTGTTCCACTATGGACCTGGCGAGGGGGTATCCTTAGCTAGCTAGCAACTTGCTCATCAAATGCATTGCGCTCTTCGCCCTCTCGCGGACATTCAGATCCGAGTCGCTTTCCAACCGTCTAAGATGGCTCACGAAACCGACCTTCTGCAGCTCGGCCGCGCGCTGGCGACACGCTACCCGATCACTGGCATCATCCTCATATGTCAGATTGATTGCGATCCAGCAAACTTGCGCGCGGATCTCACGGTCCACGTGGCCAGCGTAAGTGAGCACCTGCTTCATCAGCGGGTGCTGGCTGGCAATCACATTGCGCCACTTGGGCTCGCATGCGCCAATGTGCACGAGGACGTACAGCACCTTGACCACAGTGCTAGCAGGCGCGGGCGTCGTGTAGTTTTCCTTGCGCGTTGGGCCGGCGAGCGTTCGTGGACGTAGGCGGTCCAGCATGATCCGGAAGAAATCATCCTGGCCCATCTCGTCAAAGACGTACTTGACTAGGTCGGAGGCGTTTTCACCGCAGAAGAGGTTGCGGAGGAGATCTAGTAGTTGAGCCTGGATGTCCGTGTCGTCCTCCCTTGTATGTCGCGTGTCCAAGCGCGTCTGATCGAGAGCTGCGTCTCCCACGGCACCGCCGGAGAGAGGACGGGTGTCCCTTTCACCTTCAAATTCTTCGCCCATTATTACGTCGTCGGACCTATCGATGTTGGCGGATGAACGTCCAAAGCCCGTGAGTGGTGGGTAGTCTCGCTCAACTAGGCCAATCACTTCGCCTTCAGGAATATCGACTGGATCGGTTTTGATCAGTAGCTTGATCCAACTCGGCCCAAGCTCGTCGACCACATCCTGTTTCAGCTTCTTGCTGGCGTTCAGGACCAGTTGTTTAAGTGCCCACAGTGACTCTAGTCGGAGCCTAGCATTCGCAGAATGCGCCTGCTCGCACAATTTCTTGACTACGCTGGGCTCTCCAACGCTCTCTTTGACCGGGCTGAAGTCGATTGCTAGATTGGCAAGGACCCTAGTCGCAGCAATTCGGACTTCTGGGCTCCTCGAGTTCATCAGCCTGATGATCGGTTTGGCAACCTCGGCTTCAATCAGTTTCGTCCTTAGTGCTTTCACAGACCTCGTCAGTACTCTCACAGCACCACAAGCAGCAAGAATGACTGGCGCAGAGTTGCCGGTAATTTCAATCTGCTGCCCTGGACCATATTGGATCTGGTAGGGCTCGAGGGCTTGCATTATATGCTGTAGAACACCTTGGTCGCATATTTCCTTGCGATAATCGTCCTCGAAGGGTGCAATTGCTGCCAACGCTTGCAGGCAACCCTCACGGTATTCCATCTCTCGTCTGATGGCGGATGTTGGACCGCCAGGTCCAATTGTAGTGCCAGGAACTGATGAATCAGGTGGAGCAGTTTGGCTTTTACGTGGCTGCCACGGTGCTGATTTCCGTCCAGCGTGGCTGTCAAAGGTCGCCTTGAGACCTGTTGATAAATTCGCAATAGCACGGCCTTCCACAGCCACTCGTTGCATTACTGGGTCGTCCATGATCAATGTTGCTAGAACGCCAGGCACCGCTTTGGCATAGTGCAAACCGTTGCTGAGGTAGACTCCGTTATTCTGCTGGACTGGATCTGGTTTCAGGGTATCCGCCTCCAGCATGCGTGTAAGCAGTGGTACTAGCAGAGAGGCAAAAGAAGCTCCTCGCTCCTTCTTGACAAAATCCAAGCTGTAAAGGCTGACCAACAGCCTCGCTGCCAAAAGACGCCTCTTGCCACGCGACGCTCTCACAATGTATAGTAACCACGAACCGACAGAGCTTTCTTCCACATCCTCGGCATCTGGACCCATGTTCAGCTGAGGTGTCTCAGTTGTCGTTGGAAGAAAGGATGCCCGACGCTTGGGCATGGCGGTGATGGCACCTAACGGTGGAAAGCTCAATTGAGCAGGCGAGTTTGCTTTCTCGGCAACGGGCGTTAAAGGGAGAAGAGAATCGAAGGGGCCTTGAAGGCGTGAACGTGGGACTGCACCGCCGGAGAAATAGCTTGCGCCCCATGGTGCTCGCCGGATGTCGCCTGGGGAGAAATCGTCCTTGATTTCGGGCAGGATTGTTTGAATAGCCGGATCTGCGAGAAACATCGCCGTGCGAGATTTCGATCCCTCGGTCAACAAGCAAATCGTCTCGAGTACTGGCGACAGATGAGCGAAAGACGGTGCGGGATCCGGCAGACTGCAAAAGACGCTGTTGTCGCTGTCCATGGCCTCGGAACCGGGAGGGACGAGACCTTCTGCGACAACAAAAGATGCTAATCGAGCAGCCAGTAAGGACAACATGCCGCTATCAACAAGTGCCCGTTTCTGGTGTTCCTGTGACACCGTTTTACATAGCAAAGCCAACATGGCATCGCTAGCCTGCTGAGACGGCACTGTATCGCCCGCAATTTTGATGAATTTTGTAGTGCATTGTATATACCTTTTTGAGTACAACAAGTCGGCAAGTCGGCCATCTTGCGACCACTGATTGGGACTCGAGGGTGGGAGGTTATCGGCAATGGCATTGAGGCATCTCAATACCGCCAGCGCGGTCTTTGAGGAGAGGGGCTGCAGGAGGCACGAGATGAGGCTTTGCGAGACATCGGTTGCGAGGATGGGCTGTACATAGGCCGGCCCTTCTGATGGACGGTGTCAGTAATCGTACCGTCAGTTCCACGGAGAGCCTACCATGAGCAATGAGGTACAGCAGTTGCGCAACGTGGGTACATATCAGCCCGTCGTCATTAGTTGGTTGTGCATTTCCCAATGTTGCAACAAGACTGGCAAGGGAGTTTGCGAGCAGATGAATGAGGCCATTGTGGATGTATTCGATCTTGCGTGAAAGATGGCCGCTGAGCTCGTTCTTTATTTTCCTCAGGGCCTGTAAGTGGGCAGATGTATCGGCAGCAGCGCGCAAGTCATGTAGCGGCTGCAACGCGGTAGTTGTAGGGCGTGTAGAGAACGCCATGCGGTGTCAATAAAAGGCACCCATTAAGCGGTGATACTATCCATGCACTTTGTCGATGTCGACTCGTGTATTCTTTGGGCCTGCGGTTTCGGGATGGTGCGTATGTAAGCTGATTCGAATTGCTCGGTTAAACCGCATGGAGAAGATTTCCGGGCAGCCTCGATCCAGTCGAGCCAGTCGATGGAATCCCAGGCCAAATCTGGGGGTGTGATGGGCGTGGATGGGTCCATTGGATCAGTGGATGATAGTGGGAAATTTCTGGCCCTGTGATGCCTGTCTGGCTTTCTGGGCTGCGGCACTGAGCCGAATTCCCGCAAGTACAGGGCGAATCTAAGCAGCGCATTCAAGCACGAGGCTCGGTCTGTGTGCCGATCAAGTCTTCATCGTCCCTTTCCACCTCTCTTTCCACTTTCTGGACCTCTGTCGTTACTTCTCTTTCCTGTCCTTGTAACAGCTTTCCCGACTATTCTGTTCATTTATGAGTTTATCATGTTCCGTATGCTTTCTGTTTGAACCGCAAGTCTCTGTCCGGGTGTCCGTTCCGATCCCCGCAGCCTCGACATATGAGGGCCGCTCCATTTTTCGCCATATTTTGATATGCCCATTGACCGTCTCTTCCAATTCTCCTGGCTCGGTGCCTCAGCCTTGACATAAACCATGCTAGCGACCTCTCCTTCTCCCTCCATACCTGCGCGCCGTTTCGACTCGGCAGCCTACTCTCCACGGCCCCCAGCACACTATGATCAGCCCTCCTCCACCTCCACAAAGTCTGCCTCTCGACCTTCGCTGAACGAGCCAGCGGTCTCTGCTCCTTCGAGAAAATACCATTTCTCCTCGCCGGAGCTTCCATCCAAAGCCCACCGACTCCCGAGCACGAGATCCTTGGACAGATACAGCCCTCCAGCGCGTCCACGTGTGAAAATGGTTGACGCTGCTACCCAATACTCTCCTCCAGAACAACAAGCGTCCTCCTCACCCACCACGAACATACCTACATCCACAATTGCAGGCTTGCAATTATCGGAGAAAGAGGAACTAAAGTCCCGCGCGTCAGGCCGAGAAAGGACGGCACCGCAGCGGACCACCGCTGCCCGCCCAACAGACGCTGCCGCCCTGGCCAAAACCGAAGACACTCCCATACAGCCAGCACCTTCACAAGCTAAGCGTTCCGCTGACGAGCCCGCCGCTCAAACCCCTCCTGCGACGACCTCGAACGGCGACGTTCCCACCACCAATACCGTGCTTCAGTCGCCGGTGAAGAAAGCCCGTCCTGACGCCCCTCCTGTGCGCATTATGCCCCTCCTCTACGAGACCTGCAATACCCGCGACTTAGTCGTCCTCATATCCTCCATGCTTATGGAATTAATCCGGTACAATGATGCGATTCCTCTTCAAGAAGGCCAGCTCACACGCTTCCACTCCCGCGCTCCTCCGGGCATTTCGGTCCTCGACTACCTCCAACGTCTCACCACGCACGCCACTCTCTCCCCGCCCATCTTACTCAGCGTCGTTTACTACATTGACCGGCTTTGCACTTTATACCCAGCTTTTACGATCAGCAGTCTGACAGTGCACCGTTTCTTAATCACCAGCGCAACGGTAGCGAGTAAAGGACTGAGTGACTCATTTTGGACCAACAAGACATACGCCAGGGTCGGTGGTGTGAGCATGAAGGAATTGGCCCTCTTAGAACTCGAATTCTTGACGAAAATGGAGTGGCGGATAGTCCCTCAGCCCGAGACACTAGTTGAATATTACAAAAATCTCATCGAAAGAAGCGACCAGTATCAGCTGCAAGAAGAATGAGAATGAAATTGATATTGAAACTGAACACCGTTCTAGCATGAGCACAGCATTGCACATGTGACGTTTGCATACGTGCATGATGCGAGTAACATCATGCCAATGGTACATTGATCGGAGGCGGCGGCCGGGCAGATCGGATCGTGTCCAATCGCTTCTGTTCTTGCATGCGTCTCGTCTCGTCTATCCGGCCACCTACCGGCAAGCTCGACTCGACCAGCGCAAATCTGGGGGATGTACTCCGTAAAGCGATCGATCTCGATCTTGATTTGGCGCAAGTCAACCCCCGAAGGCCGACCACCTCTCAACCTCCGCGCTGGAAGAAGGCGGACAGAGTGGCCTCGCAAATCAATTGCAGTTGGATACTTATACATGTCTGCAGTTGAGTGTCCCTCGAAAAACAAGGCACCGCTGATGAATTCTCATGAGGGTTCCACGTCTAAGAAAGCCATACGTGACGCGAGAGGGTACTTGGAACTGGAGACGAACAGTCTCATCAATGTCAATCCGGTTTTCGTGAAAGAAGAAGCGAGTCTTCTCCCAATGACTTCACACCCTTGGCCACGATTTGGCAGCCGAAAATGACAAGTAACCTGCTCTCAGAAGTGCGTAATGACAATGGATCAAGCCTGCGAAACTGAAAGCCATCCTTCCTCCCCATACTATGTGTACTCCGACGCTTGATGTTGTACAAACCCGCTTCAAATACGTTCATGATCCGAGATCCCCAAAACCCATCTGCATGTCCGTAGAAAGGTATCACAGGCGAGTGCCGCATCTTTTGTAAGCCCTCAACTACATCGCTTGATGTGACGCTCGCTGGACGGCATTTGCTGAGCGAATAATGACGAGGGCCGCCGTGAGGCCGTCGAAGAACCCGTCTTCGGGCGCTCTTTCTGGCTCTTTACGGTTCCTGACACATCGACGCTCGATTGTAGCAGAGGCCTAACGGTGCCTTCTTGCAATCACCCCTTCTTTGCCGCGTGCCGCTCAAGCCGCTCGATCATCTCCACAAACTTCGCCGGCTTCCTGAAATACACATGGCATGAATGCTTTATCGTGTCACATGTCTGCTCCTCATCCAGGAGGTAAAAATTTTTGTAAGTCTCAACGTGCAACGCTGCCCATCCGACAAAATACTGGACTAGAATCTTATCACGCGCCTCGACACGACTGGGTTCCATGCGCGACGCTGAAGTCAGACCTTCATAGCCCGGCAGATCAGAGGGTACCGGCAGGATGAACAGGTAGTCTTCACCAGGCCCATCGTCCACAAGCCACCGAGCACGGTCGCCTTTCGTCGCGGAATTCCAGTCGATCCATCCTTGTGACTCGAGCTGGGAGACGATCTCGAGGATTCCAATGTACCTACACAATGTCAGTACGCCACTCAGCGGAAACCCTAGGGTAGAAACTAACTTGTCTCGAACGGCCTCGTCACACTCGAGGACTCGCTTGTGCAGCCACTCGCTAACATCCGGCACAAGACCTAGCTTGTACGTCTTGGCTTTGCCTCTGGATTGCTGCTGGAACCACTTTATCGCACGCAGCACTTCATCAGGATAGTCGATCAACGTATTCTCCGTAATGAACAGACCGGTGCCCCTGGTAAAGACTCTGGTGATTGCGTGGCCGGTCCAACCTTCGTCCTCCGGAAAGGAGACATCGAAACATATGATGCCCTGGTAGAGACACAAGGCCAGAGACTTCATGTCATAATACCTTGAGGCTCCCCTCCGGAATAACAGTATTCCTTGCTTGAGCCCGATTTCACTCCGCCACTCCGACCAGGCGTCTTTCTCTTCGTCCGACCAAATGGCCCGCTTACTGACGTTGTGCATGAGAAGCCAATTTTGGACGGCGGCTGCCTCTAAAGGATGCGACTGTCCGAAAGCAATGTAGAATACTGGCCTCTTTCTCTCGCGGTCACCAAAATTCATCATGTCTTTGAAGGATGCTGAAAAGGTCAATGCCGCTGGTGCACCTTCTTGCAGAAACCCCTCATCATCAACGTCGCGAGGTGACAGCGGGCTACTAATTAGTCGTGAGGCATTTGGGGACCTCGGTGACTGTATCGAGGCAAACGGCGACTTGGTTATAACCTTTGGTGTCTCGGAGGGGCTGTCGACGAATAAGCCCATTTGTCCTGCTGCTAAAGGGGCAGCATCCGTAGCAATAGGCGGCAAAATCTGTTGTAGTGATACAGATTTTTCAGCTTCCGGAGCGCCGGATATCAAGGTGGTCTGCCGCGATGTAAGAGTCGCACTTTCCGATGCACCGGGCGTTAGCGTGCCTTGACGGGGCCCTGAGAAGGAACTTTCCAACCCAATGTGCGGCGAAGAAGCCTCATACTGAGAAACCCGCTGTCCCAGACGCATATTCCGAGCTACCAAGTGAAGTCGTTCTTCTGATTCCGGATTTCGTTTGATGCCAAAGTGGCGCCATGAGGGTGCGTAGGATGAGTATAAGATCATCACAAACCCAGGTGTAGTCGGTTGGGGAAACTCCCACACAGCAGCAATATCATTTGACTCTAGGTGTGCTGCTAGACTCGCAGCAGCCGAAGCTGTATCTTGATAGGGTTGAATAGTCCCAAGACCAATCTCACCTGCGAGCTTGACTTGTCAGTGGTGGATTGCTGGATACCATGTTGGACTTACTTGTGAAGCGAATGCAGGGAACTGAATCTTGTCCATAACATTTCGCTCTTCGAAATGGATTGTCAGTTCAGGGCTCCCTTGTTTGGTCGATATGAGTCTTGCGATAAGCCAACCGGGGAGACCGAGAATCTTGACGTGGCCAACCTGGTGTTCGCCATACCGGAGAAGGACAACTATTTCTCCCCAGTACCAACTTCGCCCATTCTTGGCTGTAAGCAACTGCCCCAACTGTCCGGGAGGTGGGGGATTCGGGTGATGTCGAGGCCGAAAATCGCTGTCCGTGACTTCTGAAAAGCGTCGCAAAGAAGAAGAGGTATCTCGTCTTACTATGCTTGCTAAATTCGAGTTTGATGGTTGTGTGACGCTTCTGGAAGTTACAGATGTTTCCTTAAGCGACTCACGGGTAGGACTCTGTCGGCTAGAAGCCGATGAAGGGATTGGGACGCGACTTGCTCCGATATTGCCTTCTGATAGCTCAGCAAGTTTGCCGGAGGAGGTGAGATCATCTCGCCGTGCTATAGCCGCCAGACTGGAGTTGGCTGCCTGCGGCCTCGTGGCAATCACATGTCTCTCCTTTGGCGGCTCCCGCGTCCGGCTTCGTGGACGGGAAGCCTGCGTCGAGTGTACCAATCCTCTCCTGACTGGCTGACGAACCGGACTTGATGGTCTAGATATACCTTGCCCAGAGTGAGCAGATCCTTTTTGTCTACCGCGAGGAGGGCTTTTTGGACTGGACTCCGACGTGGGTGGCAAGGCTTTGCTTTGCTCTCCTGCCTGAGGTACATCTGCTGGGCTTGCTGACCGGGCAGCAAGAAAGTGGGTCTCTGTACTAACTTCGGGCGTGGATGCGGGGATTGTCTCTGGCACAAATAAAGGAGACTCTTCGCGATGTCTAGATGAGGCGTCTTGTTCCTGAACCTCTTGAATACTTTTCGGTACGGCGAAGTCGCCTGGCGCTCTCAGATCAAGTTTCCTTATGTCTGGAGTGCGTTCTCGACGCGCAAATTTCATAGCATTATTCATATGCCTGAGATTCTTATATCTTTCTCCAGTCCGATCTTGTAGACTTTTGGCAGCATGTGTTAACGTTGAAGTGGACTGAATAGGTAATTTGGTTGCGACCCCTTTCTTAGGGCCAAAACTTGGTATGCGGGACAAGGAGTTACTAGCGTTCGACATATGGGTTTTGTTTTGGACATCTGATCGCGTCGGCTCTTGCACCTTAGGATGCTTCGCAGGCGGCTCTCCCGAGCCAACCGGTGAGTTCCGCCGCTTTTCGGATGTGCTTTGAGCTTTTGGCGGAGGGGGAGGTGCTCTTGATGATTGTATCTCCGGTGTACGGGGACTGTAAGACGGCGACTCGGGCAAACTCTCAGGGCTGCCGCTATCAGATGGCAGACTGAGTTCTGGAGATTCCGGTAGTATATCTTCGTCTTGTGCCCGCTGGCGGTCGGACCATTGCTTCATCTTTACCTCCAACGCGGCGATTTCAGTCTCACTGAGGTAGTCGCCCTCCGCGTATTGACTTTGCCATTCCACCAGGGTGGCATGATCCATAAAATGTTCGCGAGGTTCCCACGAGCATTCTTCATCCGGATATCCCGCCCATTTGACGAGATAATAAGTCTTCCCGTGCTTGGTCCGTTGAGCCAGGATTCTTTCCACTTCATACTCTGGTTCGTCATCTCCGGAGAAAGAAGAATCACCGTCCTCTGACATCTTGACAATCAAAACAAGGAAGAGATGATGTTCAAGCGAGTAGAGAAGCTTTTACATGGAGACAAGCGCAACTAGGTAGGTAGGTCGGGCAAGAATGGGGCGGGATGTACACAAATGGATTGAAGACATGGATGGCAGGCACAAGTTGCGGTTGAGATTGCCGCTAGGTCAAACATTGCGTTTCACCTGTAGAGTACTGCGATAGCAGATACATATGGAGCAGCCATGGAGTGGCTTCAGAACTGGAACCCTTTAACTGAGTAATTTGATCGGTTCTGCATGAGCAAGTGGCAGCAGTGGTTTCAAACAGCTTTCATCCAACGGCCAAGCACTAGCACGTGATCCGATCCGATTGAGGCCCATCGCAGTTCCAGACAGAGTCTCCCCATACACCTCCCGCAAACACCGAGCCACTCTGGACGACGTGGCCCAACATCAATTGAGTCAACTTGCCATATCATCCTCCTAGCAACCCTCGAGGGCCCAATTCAGATTCTAGCACCCATCTGTCGCCTCCGTCGCTACAGTTCATCCCCGCTTCACTTTGGCTGCCTAACACCCCTTCCGACTTGATCAGACATGGCGAACGACGAATACGATTTCCTATTCAAAGTCGTTCTCATAGGAGACTCCGGCGTCGGTAAATCCAACCTACTCAGCCGATTCACCAGAAACGAATTCAATCTCGACTCCAAATCCACAATCGGTGTTGAATTTGCAACTAGATCAATCCAGGTGGACACAAAGACAATCAAGGCGCAGATCTGGGATACTGCGGGACAAGAAAGATATAGAGCCATCACATCTGCATACTACCGTGGAGCCGTGGGTGCCCTCCTTGTCTACGATATCAGCAAGCACCAAACATACGACAATGTCACGAGGTGGCTGAAAGAGCTTCGGGATCATGCGGACGCCAATATTGTGATCATGTTGGTCGGAAACAAGAGTGATTTGCGCCACTTGCGAGCAGTTCCTACTGAAGAGGCCAAGCAATTTGCCAGTGCGTACACACGGAGACAGTTTATGAGATCGGAATATTGACATCTTTCCAGGCGAGAACAACCTGTCATTTATCGAGACGTCCGCACTCGATGCTAGCAACGTCGAACTCGCCTTCCAGAACATCCTCACAGGTACGCGTTCCAGAAAACATCCACGACATGCCACTGACCTTTTGTACTAGAAATCTACCGAATTGTCTCAAGCAAGGCACTCGACCAGGGTGATGGGGCGCAGGCGCCAACTGGCGGTGTGAAGATTGACATGACGCCTTCAGGGGCACCGGATGCCAAAGGAAACAAGTGTTGCTAGAACTGCCATTCCTTTCACGAAGTCTCGGAGAGCATGGCGTCGTCCAACCGGCGCAAGCCTGAGTTTGGTACATGTATTGATGTGAACATGAATCCATCGTATGGTTCATTTGCCGATGGAATGGCTATGGGAGTAGATTAATTGGGCAGTGAAGGGCTTTTTACTTCGCACGCAATTGAAATGATACAGAAAAGAGCCATGCAGCATCTATCATTTCTACATTGCCTCTACGTTATTATCCAACTATTGCAGATTGCTTGCCCCGCGCTCTTACGACGAACAGCTTGCGAACTGCATTTAGGGTCAAAGGCTACGTTATGTAGGCGCATTCGCGAATCTCATGCTGCCTGGAGCAAGGGATGATGCGTTGTTGGGACTGAGGATCACCTGTGAACATCAACAGCATAGTCATTGAGTACGAGGGCAGGAGAGCAGAAGTAGAAGGGCTCTTGAACTGTATCCATTATCAGGCTTCCTATCTATGGTCTCGCATGTCCTTGTCCACACCATCCAACACGATTCCTGCCCTTCCAGCCCAGATGGCCTCGCGTGCCTGCTGCACATCCACGCCTCGGTCATGCAACACCGCCACCCAGTCATGGAACAGCATGGACCCGCGCTCAAAGAAACATGGATCATGAGTTTGCGCCTCAATGAACTTCTCCACATCTGCTTTCGACACTGCATTGTCGTATAGCCACAAAAGCTGAGCCGGCGAAAACTTCAAGAACGACTGCACCAGATAGAAAGTCTGCAAATCACTGCCCCATCCCGACATGTGTTTGTGCCGCAATTCTTGCACAGACGGCTTCGTCTTTTCCAGAGCCATAACTTCGTGCGAGCTGTGGAACATGTCATTGAACGACGCAGTGTGACCCGCGAAGCCACTATTAAAGGGATGCAGGAAGGACAGCGGCATGTGCGAATGCCTGGCCTGCTCAGTCATCCTGGACCAGACCTCGCCATCGGTCGGACAAATCTCCGTCGCGAGAATCTGCTCCAACGTGCAACGCAGATCTTCAAGCTCGTACAGCTCCTCAGTTGACCACGTTCTGAGCAATTGGAGCCGTTCCGTGGCAATTGTCGTATCGAAACGTAGCATCCGGCCGCTGGATCGAACATGAAAGGCTTGTGTATAGCTCCAGAGCCTGTAAGCCGCACGGCGTAGACGTCTGGCCTCCACGTCGTCCAGAAATCGACGGGACGTGCTCTCTGCGTCGGTCCATCGAAAGGTCGGGAACAGCCCAACGAAGCGCTCCGCCACGCGACCAACTATCGCGGCTTGCGTGAGTAGAGCAAAAGACAGCGGCGGTGTGCGCCGAACATGAAGTATTTGATTATCGTTCTGAGTCTGGAGTTGCAATATATCGTCCAATGGGCCCATCTCTTTATCTAGAGCGCTGAAGAACAGGACTAGTTTCTGCGATTTAGGAAGGAGTTCGTGAAAATAGCGACATGTGAGGGATAGATTGATGATGTCGGAGACAGAAGATAAGGATTCGTAGATGTGTACCATGATCTCGGGGGCAAGGTCTTGCATGGCCATGGTCTGGAGTCTGTTAGATGGATGATCTGTAGCCCTTCAGGGGGAATAACTTACGGATGAATGAGTTCAGCTAATAGTTTTTGTTTTCAAGTAAGATCAACACGGTCGGCAGCTATCTCGCTGCCACAACTCCAATGGTCTCAAAGAGTTGAGACCCCGGCATTGGGGCTATCGTGGAGGTAAGTGTATTGAAGGCATGTGTTGCTGGCATCTGAAACGACGCATAGGGCCAAGTTGCTCTCCCGGCGAGAGCAACCAGACTTTGACGCCTCCATCACGAAAGATTGATGGACGATGAGAGTGGCATACAGACGGGAAAGGAGAAGATTCGCTTAGACGAGATGTCCTACACCGCTCGACAGGCGAAGGTCAGTCCGCCAATCAGGATCTTGCCGTCGAGGTGTCACGTGCCTATCAGGCTCGCGAGAGGAATTAAGGCTGAACATTCGATCACAACGCGTGCGTTTCCATTGTGAAATGCCATCTCTGGGCGATAATCCTCCTGTGCATTTTGCCGTCTACCGACTTCTCTCACACATTTTCATCTTCATTCAGTCGCAGCTAGTTCGAGCTCGGCACTGCCAGACAATTGGGCAGATGCCTCCAGGACGCCTGCGCTCCCCAGTTACGCTTGGCCAAAGGCTTGCGCAGTGTTTTAAGCATCAATTAGCCTGTGTGACTAGTGACCAATTCAATCATCACGTCTGTTCTCTGTCTGAAACGTATGCACCGCATCATGAGCGACTGTGACTGCTGTTTGGCTGACTTGTGGCGACGGACTGCTTGTTGAAATCACTTTGGGCTGGAGAGTGATGCGACCAGACTTGGCTGATCAATGCGGGAGCCTTACAAGGTATCGCCAATATCACCAGAACTTCGCCTGGTGTTAGCCACGTCGCCGCACGAGAGGCTAGGGACGGGCAATCAAACTGGTACCGTAACGCTCGGCAAGGCTCGGAGGAAGATGGATGGAAACGGAGTGAGCGCCGAATGATCACACCCCTCTGAGGCATGTCTTGAGTTGTAGCATAGTCCTTTTAGGGGTTGTCGATTTGGAAATTGGTACCAGATTCATCGTAGTTCCTTTTCAACGAACAGCGATTTCACCCGAAGAGCTGCGCATTGTCCAAAGCCGAAGGCCTCCTCTTTACTCCCGTCTTCAGTCCCAGGCTCTTTCTCTTCACAGCCAATTCCTCTGCGCCTCCCCTCCTGCTGGCATATCTTCCAGCCCTCTTCAACCTCGTCTCGGCTCGCAGCTGGTTCGGACTGACAAACTGCTTGTTCTCATAGATCACAGGACCTCCAAAACTGCCCTCCAGAATGACCACTGGAGTGAGCACAAACCGCGGACCAATCTCGACCAGCGAAACATCTGCCCCTTTGACAGCTTCTTTGTTAGTCTTATCCGGTTCGGATTCGCGAATCTCGTAGACTCGAATCCAGATCTTGCCGTCCAGGCCGTATATGCCAATGATGCGATCAACAAACGGCTTCATACCCCGAACACCTTTGGGTGGCACGCAGAACACTCCCCGAAGCATTTCTCGAATCAGCGACCGATGTTCCTGGCCTGCAATCTCTTCGTCGAAGCTCTTGTCAAAGACCACCACACCTCGTCCGCCTTTGAGACAGTTCCCGCCGAAGCCTAGTTCTGCCATGGTATGCACATTCGTCACGCTGAATTTGATTGTAGGTCCGTTCGGGGCACGTGCTAGCCACAAGTAGAGATCTTGGCCATGTTTTCGCGCTTCAAGAAAGAAGACATAATTGCAAGAATGGAGGTCGGCAAGACCATTAAGAGCAGAGTTGTAATTGTTCGACGACTTCGTGTCCAGCTTGGTGTCTTTGTATGTATGAGGGAGAAGAGAGTGCAAATCGCTGAGAAGGTGGCGATGTCTGCAAATGTGAGCTAGTTGTCGAGACCTTTGGCAAAATGACATACCTGTACGAGACTCCTCGAGAGGTGAGCATTAGTATGCGGTTCCTGATCTCGGCCGGTATCTGAGAGGCATCGCTGCGCTTTTCTTTTTGCGAAGGGAGTTCATTCTCGTCTGACGATTCAGCTTGAACGGTGTTGCTGCTTTGAGCTGATGAAATCGAGTCTGTGTCTGAATCTGAATCTGAATCTGAAGGATCGCCGGAACGCATAGCAGACTTGTATGCAGACGCCATGTTGCTCAAAGATGAAAGGCCGAGGGTGCGCAGAACGGAGAGTGAAAGTTCACAAACCTCCAGGAAATTTTGAAAGTTGCGGCGCCCGCGATAAGAAAGATTTCCCCGAAGAACAGCCGGCTATCAATGGCTTCACCTCCGTGACCTCCCACCCATCATGCCATATACCTCGTATGTGCTCGTGGTGCTGGCAGTCTTTGTGGTGCTATGTTTATTCCACAGTGTCTCGAATATAGACATCTTTGCTTGAAAGCACAGCTGCATGACACTTACCATGATGAGGCTGAGACCTGTCTTTATTTCACAACGAGTCCACTTTGGACGGTGGCTGCCTTTCAGCTTGCCAAAATAAGTTTAGTGTAGGCGACGAGAGCGAGTAGACGGGCTGTGGATCGAAGCAAGTAAGGCTGTGCACAGTGATCAAGAACAACATAACACCCTCGCGAGGAACCTTCGAGCGTCCTTTTCCGCCTTCCATAAAGTTGTCTAGACTATGCGGCTGGGACAAAAGCCACATTGCCAACTTCCACAATGGGGGCAACGGGTCAACAGCCGTCAAGCCGATATGCCCTGGTGTCTTCACTTTATGGGCCGGGCACGATCGCCTGCTGGTATCTTACAATCTTATCTGTTCTAGTCTGTTGGACGCTTCATCCTAGGAAACGAAAGTCAGGATCTATTGATGTCGACTTGATCGCGATATTGACGCTTCCAACTGTCGCTGTGGGCCACCTAATATCGCAAGTGTTGAGGCTGATGCACAGCCATGCCAACGCTCTCGGCTTTGACACGGACGACAATCAATTTGTCCAGGACATCGCCGCTATCGAGGCGCCTTTCAGCATCATCGAGTCATTCATGGCGATTAGCGTCATTTTGTTCCTTATCGCTGTTCGGAGTCAATGTCTCCGTCGTGCGATATCTGTGGCACTGGCTGGCCTCGTTTGCCTTGCCGCAGAGTGTTACATCCACTTCTCAAGCTTCGAAGAGCTCGGTATTCGATACGAGCCATCGAAGGCAAAGAGTGACGATGAACCGGCCTTCAGCCGATCGTTCGTTGCCGACTTCACCGGCCTTATCATCGCTATCATGATAATACTGGCAGTTTGCTCTGTCACTGCCTCTGCGGTTGTCATCCTCATGCTGCGCTCTCCAAGAGCTCCTGAAGCAAATGGGGGAGAGGCTGAACAAGGAACGTTGTCGGAGAATCGTGAAGCTCCGCAAGAAGCCGTTGAGGCTTACCCATCAGTCACCGAGGAAACATTACCAAGTGCGCTTGCAGAAGGCTCCAGGCGTACACCGTTAGCAGAAATGGAAAGACTGCGAGAACAACAGGACAGGACATACGAGAAATGGACTCGAGAGAAACGAGCAAGCGCATGGATTAGCATGGCCTTTTTACCTGCCACATTCCTACTCAGCGTGCTGCCTAGCGCAGATTCCTTTCATTTTGCCTATCAAGCTCTTGGGGTTACTGGCAGTACAACCACAATCTGGCTGCGTCTGAAAATATTTGCTGGTCACTTCTATCCACACTCAGCTAACTCCTTCGCGGATCTGGACCAAGCACTGGCGACTGCGGCAGGAGCAACTGTCCTCGGATTCAGCATTTACAGTGTCGCCAAGGCACGCTATGAGCTGCAGAGCGGTAAACATGCGACGCGAGTGGAACAAAGGAGAACTGAGCTGGCTCGGCTGGGTCGAGATCTGACGGTGTCGAGTTTGGATGATAGAAATGGGCCGCCCGCACAAGATGAGCGCAACGAGGCGCCCCAATAGCATGGAGGTTTGATCTTCGTAGCTCTGTACGTCAGCTTGAACGCCAACTCAAGCGGCCCACTTAATGTCTGCGAACTAAGATAAGCAGATTGGTAAACCGAATCCATATTCTTCTGCTCTGCAGCTTCTCCTCTCCTCGTTCAAGGGACTCTTCCGTAGTATTCGCTGACCTGTCCCTACATCTGCTGAAATGTCTTGCAGCCGAAGCAAACAGGGCGAGAGGATGCAAGCGTTTCAGTTTGGGGTGAGTACTTTGACATCATGGTCCAAAGGCGAGGCAGAGGCATGCACTAAACGATTGAGCTCTGTTGGTGCGAGATGATTGACGACAATGCAGTACCAGAGTCAGTCCCGGGAAATGGTAGGGGGAGATGCAGTAGGATAGTGGGCAAGGCTGGCAGCACGAGGCTGAAGCTATTGGCAGCTTTTCATTGGTTCGGGCCGGGTCCTGATAACCGATCTTAACCGAGTCTTTGTTTACATTTTGGGGCCCGCGTCGAAAACGCTCGTCAATCCGCATATTCTGCTTTCGGCCACGATCACTCGGACACCACCACTCTCTTCGCGATGGCTCCGGGTAAGAAGAGTTACCCAAGGGCCACTCTGCGCAAGATACTGAGGGCGCATTCAAGAAAGAAAGTGGGCAAGGGCGTGGACTCTCTTGTTTATCTCGACTATGTTCTGTTCATTGAAGAGTACGTATAGAATACTGTCCGACTGGGTCCGAGGTACTCATTACGACGTCTAGGCTGATGCAAAACGCGACTCGAAAAGCCCGGGTTGATGGGGAGAAAACAATCGCAGCCAAAGATATCAGGAAGGCCACAATGGTATGACTATGCTTTCACGGACTGGACGGGGGGCGCTGTGCTGATGATTAGGCAGACCAGCCTACGACGATTCAAAGGTTGATAGCACACCTACGCCTTGTTGAGTCTATTGCAACATTCCATGGACCGTGCGTGCCTCGACATACAATCGCAATGGCTCACAAATTTCGAGTGAAGACAGCGACAGCATTAGCTAATGTCATCCTGGACGCACAACTCTGAGGGCATTCTGGGGGGTACCAGCACGAGGACAGAATCAGACATGTCGAAACGCATGCGGTCAGATACGAGAGTCCAGAGTTCAAGGTTGATCAGCGATACCTAGCGACGCCCGTCGAAGGCTTTGGAGAACCACGCCTGCCTTGAATTCGGCACAGCACAGCGGCTTTACTTTCCTGCCGCGACAGACACAGTGAGCGATCAGACGACTATCTATGTGGCAAAGAGTCACGGACTCCAAGAAATCTTCCTGTCCTTACTTTCTCTCACAGCCAGCACAACCTGGATGAGCCATGCCCAAACCCCGCTCCAGCATATCGATTAATACACGCGTCATACCGCCCATATCAGGGGGGTATGGCTTAACACGTCGAAGCACGCCGTCAAAGGTATCGCGAGCATGGCACGAAAATGAAAGGCTAGTCATCCAAGAACGACTTCGAACAGTTACATTATCCTTCCTCGGGATTGATCACACTATAATTATCTAACCATCGTGGATCTCTTGCACATTTCGAAGGCCTGCAGGTGCAAGATGGAAATCTCCCAACCTTCCCTGAGAAAGGCTTCCCACACGGAGGAGGGCAATCGCTAATGGGCAGGCCTTCATACAGGAGACGCTGCATCATTGACGACTTTCAGCCCTTAAAGTTCCAACCTCGAGCGCTGTAAACTCATATGTGCCCAAGTCTGAAAGACATCCACTAGCCGTCCAAAACGTTCACGCACCATGCTTGCTCGTCATGATATCAGGGGGATGAAATAGATGGACAGCCCTATGTATCTGACTTTGCCTTCGCGAACAAATTCAAGCAGCTCGTCTACCGCCCCAATTGTCTCTTCATCAATCGCAAATTTGCTAGAAGATGACATCCAGATACATTGTTCCCAGTCCCTCGAGAGATCTATTGACCGGCCGTCGCACCCAAGTTGCTGAATAATAGCTTTTGTCTTCTGCTATACGACCAATCTTGGTCATAAGTACATATTCGGATCTCGGACGGTTACTCGTGATATCTGCTGCGAGAGTGCTGTTCCACCCCAATGCTCGTTGGGTCCGTAATATGGCGAAGTATCATTTGGGTGAAGAAACAAAGGGTCTCAGCCTTGTCGATTTGGACAAATTCGGAGTCGACGAGGCTGAACCTTGGCGAAACTTCTCCAGATTGCTACTCCCAAAGGTAGTACAACTATTTTCTCTACAAGACTCACGCGAGCAACTTCTACAACACAAACACTCAGTCTGGTCTCAGTTTGACAAATCCGAACTCTCAAGTTCATACTTCCTTCTCATCGACCTTGGACTCTGCAAGCCATCTTGCCCAATCAACTGGAACCACTTCGTGCAAACTGTTACTCCAATTTGTGTCCGACCTTCAACCCCGGATTTTGACTCCAAACAAAACCGTCTTCGATCCATACTGTCAAAATGTCTACCGTTGGTACAGTTCCCGTCGAGTCGAAGTCGGCGAAGAAGCGTAAGGCGAGAGCCGAGAAATCGACCTCTGAGAGCGACGCAGCCGCACCATCAGTTGACGCAACCACGACCGAAGCGCAACCTACCACCAACGGTGTAGAATCTCATACCGACAGCTCTATCGTCAAAGACCTTCAAAAGTAAGAGTTCTCGGACATATAGCACCATAATCCAAGCACAAATGAAGCTGACCTTGCGCTTAGAAACATTCGCAACATCCACAAGAAACTGTCTGCTTCCCACAAAGCCGATGCTGTCATTGCCGAGAACCCTGATGTGTCCCTTGATGACTTGGTGGCACGGAAGAAGCTTAACGCAGATCAGAAAGCTCAGGTCATGAAGAAACCTGCCCTCCAAGCTCAACTCGCACAACTCGAAGAACAGCTGCAAGCCTTCCGAAGCTTCGCTCAGGAAATTGAGGACAAGTTCGCGAAAGAGAAGTCCGGTTTGGTTGAGTCACACGAAGCAGAGATCGCCAGCATCAAGGAGAAGATACTTCAAGAGGCGGAAGACATCAAGTCCAAAGCAATCGAGGACGGTCTACGGGTCATCACACATTTCTTGCACACCGCAGCATCCAAACGCCAGTCGGAGGAAGCTGACACTGAAGAAGGTCGTGCTTTTGAAGGCGCTTTGCTGCTGGTGTATCAAGGAAATGAGACGTCTCTTGTGACTCTGAAGAACTTGATCGACGGCACTGAAGATAAAGTCTCAGATGTGCAGGGGGAAGCCCTTGACTTCACCTTCGCGCAAATCAAAGAATCCTCTCTTCGAGAGGCTCAAGACTTGGTGCAGCCAACGGGCCACGAAGTCGAGGAAGCTCCGGTTGTTGACACCGCAGCTACTACCGATGAGGTTAAGACTGACAGCACTGTGGCCAATGCCGGTCTCACTGAGCTTGAGGATGCTACCGCCACTGCCATTCCAACCACTGGCGACGAGAATGCCGAACCTCAAGTCGTACAAGTTCCAGACCAAGCTGCCACGGGTGACGAGGCTGCTAACGCGGTTGCGGAAACTAGCTGGGATCCTCAAGCTTCACAGGTCACCGATACAAGCGCAACCAATGAAGAATGGGTTCAGGTGCCTCGCGACCCTGCTGAAACCGACACCGGTGTAGCCGCGACCCCAGCTGCCATGCATGGATCAAGCAGTTGGGCCGAAGAGGTTGGGGCCGCTGCTGCAGTCGAAGAAAAGATCGCCGCCGAGAATGATGGCTTCGAGCAAGTTCGTCGTGAGAGAGGTCGGGGTGGCCGGGGCGGTCGTGGCGGCGGTCGTGGCGATTTCAGAGGACGTGGAAGAGGTGGCGGTCGGGGCGACGGTTTTCGTGGCGGACGTGGAGGAGGATCAAAAGGCCGTGGTGGACCGCGAGGTGGCCAGAGCTAGATCTGATGATCGAGTTTGGCTGGATTGAGTGATCACCTATGCAGGCATCCATGCTGCATACCTGAGTCTCGAGCAAGTTCCCGCGTCGGTGGTTTTCGCCAGAACTTTACCAGCAACGTTTGCTATCTGTCTCGTGGTTCTTTAGCATTGCGTCGGGTCCACGGATTTCAAAAGCGAGCAGGCCAGCGAAAGGCAAATTTCGGAAAAGTCAGTATCGTGGAATTATTCTGAGGATGTACAACCACATGGGCGTTGGCAAGCATGTCTCATTGCATCCGAACAATGTACTCTAAGGATTCAGGATGGGCAGCAAAAATGTCCTGGACAAGCGGTGATATGATAGCAGAAAGAGTACGAGGTAATATCGAATGATGATATCGTTGCTGTCCAAAGGCCAGATGCATGCAGGCTCAATTCTCCTCGGTGGTATCGTGAACCAACAGATGCGCCCCTGTTTCCTTGGTAGACAAATGATACCACCTTGATAGGAGCACCAAATCCCGTACGATGGTTACAATTCTAGGCGATCGCCCTAAGGATGCTTCGTTAAAAATCAGTTTCGCAGTGTGCCTTTACTTTAGCGTTCACTCCATATCATGAGCTAGGTCCTGGACCCGGACGATCCCACTGCCCCAACCCATAGCCGCAATGCCTGCGCAAGAAGGATTTGGATTCCACTCCAGCGCCGTGACTGCATGCTCTTCCTCAAAGATGGGCTCCCCAGCACCTGCATCTTTCTTCTGCGCCTTCTTCTTCGTCTCCGGCATGTTCCCGACCTGTATCTTTTCGGGCTTGAACCCTTCATGGAAGCGCGAAACGCCCGGTCGACTGTCGTGGCCGTGGAATAAATCTATCTTCTCTGACTCAGGCTCTGGGAGGCCCTGCTCTGCTCTTTCCTGCACGCTGAAAGGCCGCCAATCATACTCACAGATCTTCTGGAGGTAGGCGCCGAGGGCTTTGCTATGATCAGCGCGCCGGTACGGCAGGACCTTGCGCAGGTAATTCGTCGAGTGGACTTGCCCTTTTGCATTGCCCACCAGTATGCACGGGTGGTGATGTGAGCCGGCCAACGCGGTAGCCGCGCCCGTGTGGTCGGGTAGCTTTGCCACGCGAAGACCCATGTGGAACTGGCGCAGGTGGTGGCATACGAGGTATGTGGCTGATTGGGCGTCGAGGTGTGTGCTTCCCACGCGGTCGAGGCCGATGATGAAGCTGCGCGTAAATGGCGCGTAGTAGATGTCCCGGGTGGGCAAGCAGGCGTGATTGATGGAGATTTTGTCCTGCGTGGGGCTCCGGAGGTCGGTGAGTGCTAGGTCCCCGTTCGCTGACATGCTGGCAATCAAAGGGGTTATGGAGACAGGGTCGGCCGTGCAAAGAGAGGTTACGTAGGTGTTGTGCAGTTGGTGTGTCATGTAGCTGTGCGGTTGGGTGTAATTGGAGGCATCGGTCAAGTCAAAGAGGTGGATGGAGCCGTCGGCCGCCCCAAGAATGAGGTCGCTGGAGGTTGCGAATGTGAGGCTAGTAAAGACTGTATCGTTCGGTGGCCGCATGCACAAGCCTGCACGCTCGGCTTTGAAGGCGGTAGGGGATGAGCTGGACTGGTTGGGTGGGCAAGGGATGCCGAGGATGTGAGCACAACCATCGGCCGAGAGAATACCTAGCAAGCCTAAGGGTGTTGATTTTGAATCGGAGGTGGAATTTTGAGTTGGCGGATGGTCGAGAGGGCACCACTTCACGGCGCGAATGTTGCCCCATTCCGTACATACCACCATAACCAGCTTAGGCTTGAGGTTCATCGCAAAGGTCCGTACACCTGGAATGTCGGTTTCTTTGGTTGAAAAAGCCCATATCTGGATGGCGGATGGGAATAGTGGTGATGGATGAAACGCTGGCCGGAGGTCCTCCTTTCCAGCGGCAAGATGTCGCTGGGCTGAGGTGCATCTCGTTGCCACGGCTAAGTACTGGACTCCTTCGTGTTGAGGAGCCCATGTGAGACAATTAACTCTCTCGCCGACGTTGATCAGCCAACCTTGATGATACCGTTCGCCCGAGTAAGAGGCTTGGTCATCAGCAGAGCCTCCAGACTTGGGCCACGCCCAACCGAAGTCCAACGGGGAACAGTAGTCCAGAGTGTACTGTTGTTGTCTGTCAAAAGGTCCCAGGACGACTGAATGAGACGGCTTATGGCGAAGAAAGTACTTTTCATAGAGTTCCAGGTCTTGGGGCTGCGTGAGGATCTGATGGCTGAGGACCGAATCAATCCATGAGTCAGAGACATTCGACGCACAGTGTTTGCTGCGCCCGGCTGTTGCTGTCTGACTGCCGTGCTGTCCAGATGTGTCCGACTGGTTCAGGGCGACAGATAGGGTCAGACGACTCGGCAGCGTCGCATCACGTCCCTTGAGCCAGGTGTCGCGAGCGCGCAAAACGTCCTGCAAATCCTCCACATCAGGGCCGAACGTGTAGGAGTATATTGAGTGCTTTGCGCCTCGGTCGCGAATCGGCGCAAGACCTCGCGAACGTGTCGTAGCATTGACTACGTCGGTACCAGGCATGCGACGTTGAGCTTGAGGTGTAGGTCGAGGTCGAGGTCTGCCATTTTCGGGTTCATCCTCGTCGGAGGCCATGCCCATGTCTTCATCGTCCTCATCCGGCGTTTCCACATCTGAAGATTGTGACAGTACGGGAGTATCAACGGAGACGTTGTCGACCTCGTTTGAGGAAACTTCGCCATCACGAGCGATTCTTGTGATCTTCTCTTGTGACTCTTCGGGTCTAGAAGCCTCATCTGGACTCGAGCCTGATGACTCGGATGAAGCCCGGAGGACGCGAAGAGTCTCCTTATCCCATCCATCATTGGCGTACTTTGGATTCGCTTTACGTTGGCGGCCTGACCGGCGAGTACGGTATTCAGACATGGTGAAATCGTATTATAAGCGTCCTCGTCGATCCGAAAGACTCCTGAACTTATGAGGTGACCAGTTTACTCTCCTGATGACTGGACGGCCGTGGAGCAACATGAAAACAGTTTCGACGCACGGCATGGGATTTACCTGGTGCCATTGACAGATGAAAATGTGAATCGAACCGGGTTTTCTCTCGAGACTCGACCATCTAAGTCTAGAGATCTCTGTGATCGGCAGAAGTCGACAGCTCCGGTGAAGCCTTGACGACGTACAGTCTACCGACACACCATAGCAATTTGAGAATAGAGCTTCACCTTCAGCCTTCTCGATGCGACAGGCACGATAAAAAAGAATTTACCCAAGTGTGAAGGAGAGAAAGCCACGACCTGGAAGAAGATGCGACTTCGACTGGAAAACTAATCATGCCTGACAGACAGCTTGGCAGAAAACGCCCGCGAAAAACACAGGGATAGTCGCGGATTTGATTTGTCAGACGTCAGAATTTCATCCCAGGGCATGGATAACAATTCGACTGGTATGGACTTTGCACTTTTACTCGCCAATTCATCATAGTTTCCTGCTTCATCTTGTTGACGAATCCGCCACGAACATCTCGGTGTGGCTATACATTTAGTAGTCCAAGGACGGTGACTAATATGGTCTCATGGCGTTGAACACGAGGCCCTTCTGCCACCTAGATTGTCCCCGCTGCTGTTTGTCGTCGAAGAACACGCCAACGCCAAATTACACGATTTACCCAGCGGTTTCTTACCACATTTACTTTTTGATGTTAAATGAGAGAACTTACTGCCCGTCAATGTCGAAGCGTTACTGACCTGCTTGAACATCTGAATGGTCACATCCAGCATCCATCCTCTATCTTCAGGCCTGTCTCACCATCAGGACGCGTCATCCCTTAAGTACATGTGCCTCTCGAAATGCGCCGACAAGACGATGATTCGAACAGCGCATCTTCGTCGAGCACAGGACGCGCAAGAGGCTATGCAAGGACAAAGCCATCAATAAATACGGTAGTTGAGAGTGGTATGAAGCTATCGGTGCGCCGGAGGCCGGTCACCGTCAAGCCCTTTTAATTGGCACAAAACCTCCAGCTTGGAGCACCTTGAAGCACCTTGCCAATAGCATCGCCACTACGACTGATCCTCGTCCGATGCCTACGTGTTGCCCAAGACCTGTTTATGCAAGGCCTTCCAATCATGTTGTTGTACATTGCGGCATTGCCACCTCATTGATTCGTCAGGTCAAGCATCTTCGGGCTATTCTTGGTAAACAATGCCCCGTTTTGATCCCGCACAACCTCGTTCTTGACTCCAGCCCCTTTGACGATCATCGGACATTGGCACACGCCCTGGTGAAAGCCAAATGTTCAAGAATGATGGTCTGCCCATCTCGTCAGCTCTTGCCTGCCTCCTCTTGTCTCCAGACAGGTCCCTGGAAACGTATTCAGTCGGAAAATGGCATTGTCAGCAACTCGAGGTATGGCGCTTCCTCTATTCTCGACAATCTTGCTTTTGACTACGGCAAACGCTCAATTTGGTGGTTTCGGCGGCGGCAACGGCAACGGAAGCCCACCGTGGGCCAACGGGAATGATGGTGGCGACGACAACGACAATGGCGGCTCCTCGTCCACTGCAGGCTCCGGTTACATCCAAGGTGGCGTCTTCGACTCACAGGCTGAGTACAACAAAGCCAATCGCATACTCATCACTCACGCCGTCCTAGCCTCACTGGTGTGGGTCATCTTCATCCCATCACTTGCAATTCTTCTTCGACTAAACATCAAGAACCCTATCGTCTTGCGAATCCACGCATTCGGCCAGGTCCTCAGCTACTTAATTCTCATTGTCGCAGCTGGAATGGGAGTTTGGCTTGCGCAGCAGTTCGAGGACTACGGTGTTTGGAACAACCCTCATCCTCGTCTGGGCCTGGCAATCCTTGCTCTTGCCTTCTTCCAACCCATTTTCGGCTTCGTTCATCATCGCCTCTACAAAAAGCGCGCGCGGAATGTAGAAGCTGGCAGACCAACCAAGCCGCCAGGCCGGACACCAATTGGCCGAGCTCACCTCTGGCTCGGCCGCATACTCATCGTTTTGGCCATAATCAATGGCGGCCTGGGCATTAGGTTGGCGTCGAATAGCCCGTTCCAAACCGAATCACAGACCCGAACCGCTGGCATTGCATACGGTGTGGTCGCTGCAATCATGACCCTGTTGTATATCGTATTCGTGATTGCATTTGAGATCCGACGAGCACGTCACCTTACTCAGGAGCAGAAGAACAGAGACGAGGCCACGGCCACGAAAAGCACTTTGCCAACCTACGACGAGAGTGAAGAGTCGGTGGGGAGGAGTAGTCGATATCGCTGAGGAGAGAACATGCAGTGGTAACGGTCCGGCTTGTTACGGATACCGATGCAGAGGCGTATATTATCTGCAGGCTTTTTGTATGTAAATGACGATTATGATCGAGATGAAAACTACCATTATGAACCCTACCTTTTCTGCTTCTTGAGGTTGACTGTACTTACCTACCTACCTGGTACTGTATGTCAGAATGCTCGTTGGTCTCTAGGTACGAAGCACAACTGACAGGAGTGTCTGTGACAGCAACCTCGCCCTCTTTTGGGAGCGTTCTCTCGAGCTCGTTGTGTGCGGTAACTTAGAAGATCGTCAGACAAAAGCTTCCCTTTCAGCACCGAGCGAGTAAGCGAGTTAAGGTACGAGTAAGGTAGTAGTAGGTACGAGTACGGAGTAGTCCACGTAGTCCCCCAGGGATTCCCTCTTGCCGTTTAGCTGTAGCGATCTCTGGCTACCTACAGTAGGTAGTGTGTCTTCACCCCGCATTCATGCCTAGTGGCCCATGACGGCCCCGTACTTCGACATCCATGGTTACTACCCCGTACGTGCCCGTACTACCTACTCTTCAGGTCAGCTTACTAGACATCCATAAATTCCTACTTTCACCTGTAGGTGCTCTTTGTCATCTGGCACGAGAAATATGGCAGATATCATCGACCGCGGCTCAAGAGGGACCAACTTGCTAGGCTCCGCCATCTTCATCGGCCTCCGCGCCATCGATCCTTACCTGCAGCGCCATCTGCTCCTGAACTCCCCGCTACCCGGATGGGCCAGAAAACTCGGTCTTCCCGCGCCACGGCCTCCCCCAACAGGCGGGCTGCCTCTCGTCGGCACGGGGATGACGCCCTTCCAAAGCCTGATCTGGGCACTCTCCATCGGCTCAGCGGCCAAACACATATTCTGGGCGGCGGCCATTGCCAACGAGCCGATGAAACCCGGCGCAGCCATGATTGTGGGTATCTTCAATCTGGCGTGCAATACGCTGAACACGCTGGCGTTTAACCTGTCCGGCGAGAATCCGACGTACTTTGCACCGTGGAGCGTCTACGTGGGCACGGGGATGTACGTCGCGGGCATACTGGCCGAGACGATCGGCGAGATCCAGCGCAAGTGGTTCAAGGACGAACCCCGGAACAATGGGAAAGTCTACAGTGGTGGGCTGTTCTCGGTCGTGCGCCACGCGCCGTATACGGGGTACACGCTCTGGCGGACGGGGTACGCAATTGCTGCGGGAGGACCGCTATGGGGCGCCCTGACGGCGACGTGGTTTATCTATCAATTTGTGAATCGCTCGGTGCCGATGCTCGATAAGTATATGAGTGAGAGGTATGGTGAGCAGTGGGCGCAGGTCAAGCGGAAGGTGCCGTATGCTTTGATTCCGGGCGTTTGGTAGGACTGATATGACTGATATTGTGAGGTATCTTGCAACATTATTTCGCAACATTATTTCAGCCGTTTATGTACCGAGTGGGTTGATTTCATATGGCACTTCAAGGCCTGCAAGCGAACGAAGAATGGCCCTCTCTGTTCCTCACGGTGGCTCGCTGTCTCCTGTCCTTCTGAGCAAGGCTGAAGTCTCGATGGCGGGCTTCTCCGCTCATGGACTAATGAAATAGTCGAGCTCGAGGAATTTCTTCTTCAACAGCTTCCATCTCATCAATAGATTCTTTGCCTGATCATCGAGCACAATGGTTATCGAACAGTTTGATACCAGTCTCGGGCTTGAGGGCTCGCATGTTCTCGTGACTGGCTCAAGTGGAGCTATCGGGTCTCTAGTCGTCCAGGCTTTTCTGTCGGCCGGAGCATTTGTTTCAGCATTCGATATTACTGAGCCGAAGAATCAAACTTCACATGAACGGCTGTATTCACAGACGGTCGACATCACGGACGAGACGGGTCTGGAGCAAGCTATGGAGGATGCCAGGGCAAAGTTCGGAGTGGTATCGACGTGCATTGCAGTTGCTGGTTTGGACTTATCATACCTGCCACATCATTCCCTCGCAGACATGCCTCTGGCGGACTGGCGAAGAATTATGAACGTCAATGTCGACGGGACATTCTTGACTTGTCGAGCCTGGCTCCGAGGCATCCGCCAGCATGCAACGACCAAGACGAGAAACATCTCCACGGTGGTATTCGGCTCTGAAGCTGGTAGATTCGGAATCTCGACTTGCGCACCATATGCGACCTCAAAGGCTGCAATCCAGTATGGTCTTGTCAAGTCACTCGCACGAGATGCTGTAGACATCAACCCAAATTGTCGAGTCAACGCTATTGCGCCAGGAGCAGTAGATACGGCGCAGTTCAGGATTGAATGCGCAGCAGATGGTCAGGCGATGTGGCGCGAGGCTGAGGCGACAGTTGCCTTGAGGAAACCTGTTGCGATAGCAGCTGTTGCCAGGGCATGTCTCTTTCTTGCAAGCGATAATTATGCGGGCAACATCACTGGTCAGTTACTGCCGGTGGATTGTGGGAAAAGTGGCAGTCTGCTCTGGCCGCAGTAGACTTGATCGAGATCAGACGTCTCCATTACCGCGCTCGGAGCCGGGGTTGACGGTCCACTTGGGGGCATACCTGCATTGGAGTACATAACGCACACATATACGATGATCCATCGCGAGGGGGGCGATCGAGCATTCACGGCCAAGGACAGCGGCTGCTTCATTTGTTCAAGACCGATGACAGCTCATCCAATGAAGCCATCATCCTCGTCGATCAGAAGGTAGACATAGTCCTTCAATGGTCAATGTAGTGATTTGCCGCTTGGCTACTAGCTGTCATAGAGTGTCCTCTGACGGCCACTCGGAGGGTGCGTTCAACTTCTCGGGACAAGACTTGGTACTCTGTTCATGGACTACTGGGGGACTGAATGATGCGTCGTGGAGTAGAATCTGGGAAGGACCGGGCGAGGTGCCGACGGAGGAACAGACTGAACTCCGTATGCTTTTCAGAGTGAGCATTCTTGCATGGTGAACGTACCCCTACTTCCAGGATAGCGTAGGTGGTGTGAGGCCATGTTCAAAACTTTTTATGTTGGATTTTGGATAGATGAAAGAGTGGAAACATCCAAGATATGATGAATGCGCCACAGTGCAGTAGCGTAAGGGCCTAGGGCGACAGGCGGCCTATCGTGCCTGGAGAGTGGTTCTGGTTTGTGATAGATTGCTGCAGACGGCAAGAAAAGCCGTCAATGGCAGATTAAGATGGCATGAAGGCTGATAACGGCGTGGCGCTTAGGGCAGGCTCTTCAGAAAGGCGGCAACTTGAGCCACAAGTACTCCAGGCCACAGCAGACTGCACTGTTCACGAACGGGGTGGATTGCAAACAAGGTACAAGCTGGACTTCGTTGCTTGGGCCTTCTGTCAGTGCGATCTAGAGGAATTGCTTTGTACCATGGTGCAACTTAAATTCTGTTGATGGATATGCAACCAGAGAGGACTTGGTGCCGAAGTACTTCTCCGCATCCAGCAGCGGTATTGCTTTCTTTCATGCATGAACAGGGTTGAAGGGTTGTGAAATGTCCACAGTCTCAAATTGACGAATTGTTCCGAGACGAGCGTGGCATGGCAGGCTCGGGGCAATCGGCGTTTCTGTCAGAAGAGAAGGTGAGTCCACGCGTGCGATATGATGGCATCGCTGGGCAGGGAACGGGATGAACGGGTTAAAACTGGGTTTTCGTAGAGACAAAAGCATACTCCGTATGGTATTAATGGTGAAAGGAGAAGATAGAGCCCGATAACACTCTGTTCAGATGAGAGCGCTGATTACTGCATTAGTTAGTCGAGCCACTCCGTAATACTGTAGCTTGTACTGTGGTGACTGTGTTACTGTACTCCCGTGACTCTGTAGATCCAGGGATGATGAGTTGAGTGATGAGGGTGATGAGGGATGATGAGGGAAATTTAGAAGCGAAAGACTTGGTTGGTCCTCCAAGGACCATCAGGACCAAAGTCGAAGTCTGGGGATGCAACTTGGCTAATCCCAGGTGAATCCTAGGCTTCTAGGCTCCATCTCCACCTTTTCTCACTCCCACTGCCATTGTTTGCCGCCTTGAACTGCGCCCATGACTCTCGAGCTTCATCGTTCGCGCTGCACCACTATCTCGAAGGACTCCAAGTGATCATCTCTGACACCTCTCACGTATTCTCGACGAGCGCCTTTGCGCATAGTAATCCGCGCCGCCTCGAATAAGTCGACCTAGGCTTCGGTGAGAATCTCACCAGCCCCGAACCGCACGAAAAAGAGCCAACCAGGCCCCTCCGCGAACAAAAGTCACTCGCTCACCTCCTTCACCTCGTTCCTGCTGCATCAGCTCGATCTCCTGAGTTTCCAAGCTATCCAAGACTCATACTCTCCGTCCTTAGATCCTTGACGGCTGCGGCAGTAAACTGTGGTAAAGAGATGGCGTGAGGTTGGCGCAGGTGCTGGAACATTTCGCACAGCGCAGCTGGAGTTTACAAGAATGGCGTCGACCCAGGATGAAGATATGTATCTGTTTGGAGGAAGTACGAGTCCAACGTCAGCTTTCGCAGGGCAAGAATTCGACGCATTCTTGACACCTACAGCACCTGAGATCGATGACTCGACCGGCGCCGCTGACGGATACCTCAACCCTAACGACCTGTCTATCAAGCGTGAGTTCAGCGACTACAGTCCGTTACCGGGAGGTAACTCCTTCTCGCGCTCGCCTCGAGGATCTGGCTCGGCCTCCAGCAGTTCGTCCTCGGAGTACCGTAACGCTCAGAAACGTAATGTTTCTGCTGCTTCAACCGCTTCTCCTCCGCCGCATAATCCAGGACAAGGATCTTGGGGCAGTGGGATCAACGGTTTCTCGATCTCGAATGAGCAGGTTTTCGAAGACGCGACTATGGCGGGCCTGGATCAAGATTTCGAGGCCAGCAACCAACAGATGGCCTCTGCTTTTGACTTCGAAACAGCTGCAAGCACACCGAGCGGTTTTGACACCATGAGCGCCGGTACCGTCAAGGGCGCAACAATGCGCGCAATGAATAGACAGGGAAATTTCATGCCCTTCACCAAACAGAACCCGACCGCTCCATTTCCAACTAACGGACAGGCCCAGTTCTTCTTTGCTGGTTCGAGAGAAGCCTCGCCATTAAATGCCATGCTTCCCTCCGCACAGGGTCAGTCCCCATGGAGTAAACACTCGCCATCATCGGGCCTCGAGGAGACGTTCAACCACATCACGATGAATGGAGACTCGCCTGGAAACGCGGTTTTTTCTCCAAACATGCAGTTCTCGGGCACTGGGTTTACCTTCGACCCCGAGTCCAGTGCGACACCTTCGACCTTTACGAAAGATGTCTCTTCCCCTCCATCGACGGCCACCTCTGCGGATGGTGTCCCTCTACTGACTGTGCACCCTACTTCCCTGAAGTCCAGAGTCGAGACACAGATACCCATCAAATTGACCCTGTCCGCACTTCCCCCTGGGGCCAAGAAGGTGAGGCTACCGAGGCACACTGTTTCAAAGCCCAAATTTCTGGCCAAACCGGAAGTTGAGCGGTCCGCCGAGGTTTTGGAACTCCACACGTCCTTGGTTTGTACGAGCGCCATGCAAGATCCCGTCAAGTTGCAAAGGGCTTGGGCGCGCGCCAGAGGTGAAGACTTGGCAGCTTACACTCGGCCTAGCCCTGCTTCGTCAAATGAATCGTCCACGTCAAAGGACGATGACGATAGACCGCTGAATGGCGGAGAAGTCAACATCTGTCCGGGATGTATACAACGTGAGAGGAAGAGAGCTTCGAGAAAGAAGCAAAAGAAGCCTGAAGAGGAGGAGATGTTTCAAAAGGACGAAGAGAGAAGAGTGGTCGTCTTCAACACGAATGAAGTGAAGGAGTGGGTTGAAGTCCCTCGTGATGGTCAAGCTGAACTTCTACGCAACGCCACGCCGCCCAGTGCTGTGCAAGTCGAGCTGCCTATGCGGATTGCCTGTTATTGTCGCCATCAAAACGAGAAGATGGGTTTCCAGGTCATTTTCACCCTCAAGGATTACAAAGAGAAGGTTATTGCTCAGGCCATGACAAACCCCATCATGATCACAGATGACCACAAAACGCACAATGCGCCTGCTGCTGCATCGCATCCTCCTGCGCCGATGCCAGCCACTGCGCCTCAAGTCCCAGGTGCTGGGGTCTTCGCAACCTCAAGCACCGATCAAGCTCAAACTTCGGCGGCCAACTCTAAGTCTTTCAAGCAGTCCTTTTCCACTACTGATCTGCACGGCCTGCAAAACAATTTCAATCCCAGTTTCCCCATGGTGCCAGCATCGAATCCCTTTGCCATCCCGTCGGCCATATCGCACCAAACCTCCAGTACTCTGACTCCGAGAAACCTCTCCAGACCCGCTTCTCCTAGTGGCCCAGCGGGCCCGACTACCAAGAGGAGGAAGCAGAGTGGCTCTGGCAAACTTCCATCGGCCCTGACGATGACGCGCCTGGACACCGGTCAGCAAATGCAGGCCGGACCCTCAACAATGCCCAATACTGCTGCTTCTTCGCCGTATCCCCAGAATATGGCATCCTATATGGGCCCTAATGACCGACAATTTGTCGTGCCTCCCTCGCGTTCGGGCCCTTTTGGTACGAGCCCTCCTACGCCCAGTGGCCACGATCCTTCCTTTGCCTCGAACATAAATCGCTCTTTCAGTCTAGAAAATCTCCCTCGCAACCTAATTTCTGCTCCACCATCCCGCCAACCGAGTCGGCCTGGGAGTCCGGGCTCAGCAAGGAATAGCTTTGGCGCGTCTGATGCTGCTTTCGGCCAAGCTGTTAGCAATCAGCTCATGGGGCAGCCTAGTCGGCGGCCCCCTCCTTTGATACACAAGCTGGTCCCTGCAGAAGGCTCTGTGACAGGTGGCACAGAAGTGACCCTACTTGGAAACGGTTTCTATCAGGGCCTTGAAGTCATGTTCGGTGATACTGAGGCTACGACCACCACTTTCTGGGGTGAGAAATGTCTGAACTGTATCGCGCCTCCAGCTTTACAGCCAGGAGTTGTTGCTGTTGCTTTCAAACACGATCATCCGCAATATTCCGCACTGCAACAGCAGTCGCAGACACGACCGTCTCTTTTCACCTATGTCGATGACCGTGAGTTGGAGATGTTCCGCCTGGCGTTGAGGACTCTTGGCAAACAATTGCAACACCCCACAGACGACCCATACTCAGCTGCGCAGCAGCTTCTTCAGAGCCAGTCACATTCCATGTGGCCTTCTCATGCAGGTTATGGTATGGGTGGAGGACATCAACGCAATGCCGGCTTCGCTGGCGGTGTACCCATGGACACGCTTGAACTCGAGGTCCTGATGCTACAGATGCTTGAACACATGGACGAACAAAGGCACATTAAAGCTCCGAAATTCAATCTCCGCCGGCCCTCTGGGCTCACGTTACTGCATCTCGCCTCTTCATTGGGTCTGACTCGCTTTGTTGCGAGTCTCCTGGCGAGGGGCGCGGATCCGAACGTAGTCGACAACAATGGCCACACCCCTATGCACCACGCTTCGATGAACGGGCACACGCACGTAATACACCGACTGCGCTTGGCTGGTGCCAATCACAAGGCACGCAGCATCCGCCTATTTACTCCTGCAGACCTGGCAACATCATTGCTCGCTTATCAGGCCACTATGAATCGGATTGACCACTATCGCTCACGCAGCGCCGGAGGCACTCCAATGCGCCTACACAGCAGAAGCTCCTCCTCTCTACGGTCATTCTGGGATAACGATTCCAGCCAATACCCTACTACCGACTCTGACGATGACTCTAATCTCGAAGGCGACGCCTCAATAGAGGGGCTCCCCAAAGAGCTCGGCGCAACTCGGCCGCTCAGTCAAGCCAACCTCAGTAAAGCCGTGGCTAGTGTTCCCGGCTCCCGGAGAAACAGTGCACACCATATTCCAGCTCAAAAGCCAATGATATCGCAAAGCGGAGTGGCGGACGCAGCGCCAAATGCAGCACCGTCAGCTTATATGTTGGCATGGCGCGACCATCTGGTAGCTCAGTTGCACCAATTTAATGAGAGTGCTCAGTCGTTCATGCCCACTCTGGGAATCAATGGGCCCCTCGCAGCTTTGCAAGACTACCAGGCGTATCCTATGGTTCGCCGAGTGAGCTCACTTTTCCCACAGCGTCCAAGCTCAAGACAGCAGACCAGCTCACGAGAGGGCTGGTGGGAGACCTTAACAGGATCATCGTCGCCCACGCCGTCATCACCTCCCGCGTATGGCGATCTTTATCCGGACGACGCCGGCAGCCACGGGGATTGGAGCCTCAAAAAGTCCTCTGCTCTTGAAGCTGCCGCAGACGCAGCGGCAGATCTTCACTTTGGGAGCCATGCAGATGGCCAGCGTTCAGAAGCGTCATCATCCGCTGCTACTCCTGCGTTACCGGTGAGAAAGGCTGTCGAAAGAGTCGAATTGAGCCGAGATAGGAAGTTGTTCTTCTTTTGGGTATGTTTTTCTTCACCCTCGGCCCCGTCCATACTGTCTAACAAGCTGTTGCAGATTCCACTGCTTGCAATTGTACTAGCTTTAATGATCAGGAGCTCTGGTATCTTGAGCATTTTTGGGTCTTCGAGCAACCAAACCCCGTTGGGTGGACAAGCTGTCGAGGTTGGATAAGCAGCATTGAGTCTTATGTGTTTTCAAGACCCAGCGAGGTGCTGGGTAGGATCTACGACTTGAAACGAACTGCCTAAGGCGGGACGATAATTTGCGATTCTCGTGTATGGGATTATATAATATCTGCCTATCAAAGGCATCTTTAAAATAGGTGGCATCACCCGCTTTAGCCTCATGAAGCTGATACAATTCCTTGGTTTCTGTCGTATTGACAGAATCAGCCTCGCACGCTACTCATTGTGACACACGAGACTGTCACTGACTGGTCACGACTGGCAAAGCCCTTGCCCCAGTCACCCCCAGTGCGAACGAGGCTGATCGGCGAACCGGAGATTCTGTTCCGGGATCTGCTTTTGTACAATAGCGAGGATTAAGTAACCTGGGAGTTAGTACTATGGCAATCTGCCGATGATTAGCCTCGAGCATTTTTCTTTTTGGACATTTTCTGACTGCTGGTTCAGCTTCAGATATTGAAGCTCATCTCATCTACTATCAGGGTCGCACCGGCAGAGACCGATATTCGCCAGATGTCTCACACTTGTCCCGTACTTGGAATGCCTTAATGCGCTATCGCAGGCTCATCACTGCGAGGCTCACTTCACCATGGCAATCCAGGCTATGGACCAATTAGAGTACGAGAGCAAACATGTCCACCAGGTGTACGAAGAGATAGCAACTCACTTCTCTGCCACGCGGTACAAGGTGTGTCGACATTGCATGCAGTTAGAATAACCTCCACTGACAAACGACGTTCAGCCGTGGCCCGTGGTCGACGAGTTTCTGCGCCGTCTGCCAACCGGGGCTGTGGGTCTCGATGTTGGTTGCGGCAATGGAAAATACTTGCCCGTGAATAGAGATGTCTTCATCGTGGCGTCGGACAGGTATATTTGGCATCGACTATGCGTGATGGATGGCTAAACCTCTGAGCAGGTCTAAGACCCTGGTCGATATTGCCAGTCAACACCAACCTCACAGTGCAGTCGTCGCAGATACCTTGTACCTCCCTCACCCCAACTCCAAATTTGATTTCGCCATATCAATTGCAGTCATACACCACCTCTCCACGAGGGACCGCAGAATTGAAGCCTTAAAGGTCATTTTACAGACACTGACACCAGCCTCCCAGAACGATGATGGAGGTCAAGCGTTGATCTTTGTATGGGCTCTGGAGCAGAAAAACAGTCGACGAGGCTGGGACACAGGTCACGATCAAGATGTCCTGGTTCCATGGGTACTCAAGCCCGACCATAACGCACGACCGAACTCAGCGACGACCTACCATCGCTACTACCATCTGTACCACGAAGGGGAACTCGAGGAGGACGCAAAGACCGCCGGTGCTCGAATAGTTCAATCGGGGTTTGACCGTGACAACTGGTGGATCATCATGGCACGGCAGCGTTGACAAGCTCTCTGATCTCATTATCCCCTGAGCCTATTCACCACGTTCTCCAGCGGCGCTTGTCCGCCTGTCACTATATTACAGCCTCTTCCTCGATCGGCTCGTGGTAACGGCATGCCCAATTCGATCACAAAACACTCATGAACCCGGAACTCTATCGTTACGCCCGCCTGCTATTTGTTTGACGATGCTCGCTCAAATCCGAAACTGCCAGGATATATCACCGAAAAGGAGAGTTGCGGTCTTTTGAGTTGTTGTACACATGGTGGAAAGGGTCGTTGGTGTGGTAGGGAGGAGCAGAGAATGCTGGCAGTCCTGCGGTGAGTTCCGCTAAGGATGGCAGCTGCTGAGGGCCCGCATACGACTCCTCCAGAGGCATTGACTCACGCCTCGCCCGAAGAGGAGGCCCGATGGGGCGAAGGTGTCCTCGCGGAGGTAGAGGCATCGGCTCGTATGTGCTGGTAGGATTGCTGAGGGAGAACGGAGTCACTCCGGCACGCTTCGCCATCTCGTGTTCTCCCATCTGCCAGTGCATTGCCTCGACAGCTCTCCAAGGCATGGCCATCTCTTCCGCCACTTTTGACCACATCTCTGCACGGAATCTGGTGATGGCAGCGTCAGTTCATGGCCTTGTAACGTTCGAGGGCGACTGCAAGACGAGACTGCAAGTTGGGTTCCACGATCTGGTGCGACGTTTCTCAACATACCTCTCGTACAACCTTGCGAGCTTATTCTTGCGATCCTCGTCCCATTCACTTCTCCTCTCCAGGTAATTCTGATAGTGCAATCTGCAGCTGATGGCACTACGACCCGGCAGGTGCTTGCTGATATCCTCCCACTTCATCCCATCCTGGCGAAGGTGAATGATTTTGGTGTCTTCTTCTGGGGACCATTTGGACTGCTTCTTCGCAGGAGATTGAACTGGATGGTCTTGACTGGAAGACAACCTTTTCGCAGGTACCGCCGAGCGCGGCTGCGGTGGCAAAGGCGCCACGCTGGTGGCCACGCTCGATGGCACTGAATCTGATCGAGACACTGAAGCGAGCGAACTGACGGACTGGCTTTCGTCTTCGTCGTTTGCCTTGAGTAAGGCCGAGATATCCACGATGGGTGGTATGGCGATATGTTGGTGGGACGAATATGAGGGTAAGGTCGTTGCACAAGATCAGTGGTTGGTGCCATACACATGGGACCAGAAGAGGAGTAAAAGATTTGGGTTGGCAGTGTGTCAGGCTGAACAAGGCCACTAGACGAGTACTAATACCACTGGCTCCGGGTTTCCTTTGCACGACGCCGATCGTCGTAGCGAGACCCAAGCAAGACGCCGGCGTTTCCACTGAACGTTGCAGGCACAGTGAACTCAGACACAGGAGCGGGCACAAATATTGTTATTGAGATATCTGCAGGAAGACAGCAGGTGGGATGAAGGTGAAAGTTACAACAAGCCAGCTTGTTTAAGAAGGCCTCTGAGCACTGGAAGTCGTCGAAAGTGCGGTCTGAAATGCGGGTCAGTCCGACCAAAGAGTGCAATGGATCGCTCATCAATCTGCATCAGGGATCGTGGCAGATGGCAGAAGATGGACAGTCCTGAGCCCACAGCCTGGCTCTTGCGCTGGCTACTGGCATCTGACACAGCATTGCGGCGCAAATAAGCTCGAGGGAGCAGGAAGAATGTACTTCGCCTCGAGCTCCATTCTAATGCAGCCGCGGCGGTGCGGTTGCTGGCGTTCTGCACTATTCCCAACCAGCGTTCGTCGTCTAGTTGTATACTCCGGAAGAACACCTGATATCATCTATGGGGGTTTCCTTCAAGGACTTGGCTTGGGCTGGAGAACAACGCGGCGAGGATCCATATTTTTTGCGGCTGTTCCCAGTCGACGAGACACACCGACAGGAGAGCTGCATTGGCCCAGAAGGAGAGTCTACACCTCCACCACAGGAGGTAGCAGGGGTTTACCATTTCAAGGAGGGCATGCAGGAGAGTCTGCATCTAGCAATAGGCGGAGCACAGTGGCGCCACAAAGCATCTCCAGCAGGCGAATTAGTCTTGGACAGCCTTGACAGGATGATGAGATAAAGTTCGCAAGATCTTCTGATGATGTTCGTTACCGCCGTGGTTGGCGGCCGTTGGCCTTTGAATGCAGACAAGGCAGGCGTGACTTGATCTTCCTCTAACCTGTGCTTGTTCATCCATAGGTTGTATTTTGACTGCCACCTCCAATCGAACCTTTCTGTCGAGTTTACAAGTATCTTCCTTCGAGGCGCCTGTTTCATCCCACCCTTTCCAGCCTGGACCCACAGGTGACTACTTTGCACGGACCCTGAAGGACGCGATGATGGGTGAAGCCACTTCAGGTGACGGCTTTCCTTGACAAACGAGCACGTCAAACCCCATCAAACGATCTCCCTATCCCACTGCTCCTTCCATCACCGCATTATTGTTCTGTCTCGAGAAAACCGGAAAAGGCACGACCCAGCGCTGAGTCCACTTGCCAGCCACCTGAAGCATAGAACGGTCGTAAAAGCCATGCCGCCCCTCTAGTCTAGCCGGGGAATGCGGGTGAAAGTTTGTTAGGTTTCTGCCAAACGGAGGCATGGTATCTTCAGGCGAGGTTGGAAAGACATAGTCGAAAGAGAACAATGGTAAAGTTTGTCGCCTCGCTTCCCGGATCCGCGCTCAGTCGATTCATGCACATTGTTCCTACGTGTTCACCTCACAAACGGTCCCATTGGGAGGGGCCGCAGACTCCAGAAAAGTGAAGCGGATAGATCCCTGTGCTAACTAGTAAGTAAGCACCAAGATCCACCGTTCAGCCCAGTGATCCACCGGTCATGCGGTGTCAAGCATATACGATGGCCTAATACCTGACTCTTGACAGGCCCAACACCCGCAGGAACGAAAGGCGGAAACTGAATTGTCTCCGGCCATAGGGACGCAGGTGCACACGATTGTGGTCGACCCAAGGGTATCATCGCTGAGAGACACGGCCATCGGATGTCTAGGCGTTGTTTCGAGGTGGCCAGCCGAAGTCCGATGGCAGGAAAGCGGATCCGCCTGAGGGCATACTTATCTCAGAAGCAGCTCGCCGCCCATATATCTGATACGATCGATGGTCCAAGGTGCATACATCACAGGTCGGTCTGGCTGTGACGACAATCATAGCTTAGGGGATAGTACGGGACGGGCTTGCCAACCAAGCCCCAACAAGAGGGCGGTGAGCAGCGGTGAACTCACCGACAGTTCTACGCATGCTGGCAAGCATCGACTACAAACACGTTTCCCGGGGATCAGGGAACAAGAACTCGTTTGGAGTATATCGGATAGGAGAGAAAGGCTGGCGCCCTAATATGCAATGCGCCCGATCCGGGCTCGAAGAACCATGACCCTGCAAGAATGATCAAACAATGATGTCGGTATCAAAGTTTGCGGCGGGATCGGATGAGTTGACAGCTCAACTCCGGAACATCCACTCGCCACGAGACTAGGCGTGCCCAGCATGCCAGGTCTCTGACTGTGCAGAATGCATTGCTTGCTTCAAAAACAGATCGTGTGCTTGGATTCTGCGCGACGTATGCATTTGACCGCAAGCCGGGGCAGACCTGGTTGGCAAAGTGGGTTTTAGCGGGATACCAAATGCCTTTGTTTCACACCAGATTGAAACAAGAGCCACGCTGATATCTCCTCGCCGATAGGTGAACCGAGCCGTTGAGACAATGATCGGTGAAATCCACGAACCGGCCTATGAAACTTCTCAGCAAGGACGGCAAAATTGATACCTCAAGGAGGGCTGGCTTTGACGGAATGTGGTTGGCCCATTACTGGCATATTTATTGAATTACCCTGGTCTGGTCGAAGCAATCAGCACCGGACCCTCCATCGATTTTCTCAGTAAGTCGAAGCGACTACTCTCAGCAACAGACTGGCCATCCACGCTGGCCGCGGCTCCTCTTTCGGTCAACCGCCTTTCTGCTACATCCCAATTACTCAGGGGTTGGACCTATCCATCCTGGGCTGCATCTGGCGGATTTCTAGAAACACACCGTTTCGTGCCACTCCATCAAAGCAGCCGACGACCTGATTCCGCGGGTCGTTAGCGGTGCAACTCAACCCCAGAACAAGTGGTGTCCTGAACTGGCTGAAGGTCGGCAGCATCCTCCGATCAAGACAGTAACAAGGGTCAAAAATTCGGAAATATTCTCACAGGCTAAACTGATATAACCTTTGACATGGTGATGGCGCTCTCGCCTATTCCTTAGTTGCTCGCCTGGCTGAGGTCGAGGTTCGAGACTGGAACAACAGCCTTGACCTCACAAATTCTCAGCTTCTCAGATCAAGGCTAGCCGACCTATACCGCTTTTTGACTCGGTATGTGATAGCCACTGGGCTCCAATCTGAACTTGCAGGATTTGCTTCCTGTTTCTGCCCCTTTCCGTTAGCCACAAGTCGTCTGGGGACCTTCATCTCAATCTCAGGCTGAGTGCAGCGGTTGCTATACCAGACAGCGTGGCTCCTTCGTCGCAATGCATCCAAGGGCATCGTATGTTCCCAATTCACCGCTTGACTAGAACCTGTTATCTTTAGCACCAGACCTAGGTTGCCTCCTGTCCCGCGATAGTTGCTCCCTGTTGACAGTGACTACACGAGGTGCAAAATTCACGAGTCAGGTTTGATGGGATATCTTTTCGGGCTTTGAGGGGCGAGGTACGTTGGGCTGGCCGGGTTATCCTTGTGGCTTGACCTGTCGACTTTGCTTGAGACACGTCACACCGCACCAAGCACATACCCGAGCAGATGGTGCCGATTCCTGTCCGAACACGAGGCGAAGGAAGAAGCACGACTGTTTTGTTGTGAGTCGTTCCGAATTTTGTTCATGCCTGCGGTTACACCGCTGACGATTTCTTGCATTTCCTTGACGGATTCAACGTCGTGCGGATCCATCCTAGGTTTACGGATGATAGCGGGAAGCCGCAGCCTTCAAGGCCCCTTGTGCTGTACAATCAGAACCCGTTTTCATAATACCCATATCACGACTGAAGGTTCTGTTAGCCCTCTATGTCGGCTGTGAACGATCCTTTCCTCAATCAAATCCAGCATTCTGATGTAGCGGACCGAACCCTTGTTCGCTACTGCAGGGTTTGGGGCCTTACTGGACCAGTTCACCAGCCCAGGTTGTTTGACGTGTTCCATCAGGAACCTTCTGTAGCAGCGACAAGTGCGCAAAACATCCGTTTCCATTGGATGTTGTCATGCGTTGGGCATCATCAGTCAGCTGGCTACGCTCACTTTCCTCCTCACCTGGCCTGAAGGAGTCTCAGTGTGGATGCCCGATCGGCGGTCACCTTGCGTCAACCAGGGGATGAACAACGCCTAGTTGAGGAGGAAATACAGACGGTCAGTCTGGCCACCAATTTAGTAACTTGTGAGCTGAGGAAGACGCCTTCCCCATCATTGACGGGACGCAAGTTTCAATTGTCGAAGACGCCGAGAGTAAGATGAAGAGGAAGGCTGGATTCACACCTTGGGTGGTCCAGTCTCAAGAGTTGAGATATCATCTTCATGGCGAGGAGCACACATCACAAAACATGGCATCATGCACGTTTGCCATAGCGTACACGCCGAAGCAAAGCTTAGCAAAGAGCGAAACCAGACGGAGAGGGGAATACAGCCAAGACGGAGGGTCTTTTCATGGATCGTTTGGCGTCATAAGGCTTTCATTGACATGACTAGGTGCCTATCCTATTGTGTTCAGCGCCGTCCTTTGCCCTTACCGGCGCGCCACTCGCCGTCGCTGCTGAGGCCACCTTCCTGGACGTTAGGATCGTTGTCACCGACGTCCTCTCCATCACCAAACGCAGCCTCTATCTCCTCCTGCAGATACGCGTCGAACTTGCCCTCGCGTCTCTCCTGCATAGCCTTCCTGGCCTTGTTTTGCCAGCCCTGCTCGTAGTATCCTTCATTGACGTGCTGCTTGAATCTAGGGACGGCGGCTTTGAGGTATGGGTCTTCCAGGACGAAGTCTGCAGAGATGGGACAAAGTAGGGAGCCAGCCTCGTCGACGTCGTGGGTGTGGAATCGTGGTGGAAGTCTGTCGATGATGGCCCGCTTTTCCTCCTCGGTGTAGTTTTCATTCCAGCCAGAGATGCACTGGACCAAGAATGCGTGGATGTCTTTGTTGGCGACCGGGGACGTTGAATTCAAGATTCTGGCTGTCGACCAAGGACCGGTTTTGTTGCTTGGTGCGCGTTTTGAAGACTTGGATTTTGTGGGAGGCATGGTGAATGTTGTGGTGTGGATAGAAGTGGGCAAAAAAGGGTCGTCGAAGGGTCGTGCGAAGACTGTGAAAGATGACTAGCTTTGATATCTCTGCCAGTTCGTGATATTTGAGGATGATGTCCTTGACAATGCGATAATCTGTCGTTTGAAGGTGTTGTTTGGTGTATGCGATCAGATCTCTAACAGGAAGTCGCAAAGGCAGATCGGTTGGCTTTTTTCAGGACACCGCACTTATGGTGTATAACAGTCATACCACATCAGTTATTCTCACAAATGACCAAGGCGGTATTGTTGCAAGACAGGCACAAAGGGAGAAGGGTACGGCGGTATTAGTAGAACGGCTGCATTCTGCTGTAGAGGAGACAAGACGGGCAGCAGGAGCACCCCGCCTCCTGGAGCCGAGTTTGTCAGGCCAAGCGCCTAATGTTCATGGCTTATGCTCAGGTTCTGGTCCAACCCTCTCTGCTGGTGATAATTGCTGCTCCGCAAGGCTGTATATATCTCTATATATTTTTTGGAGGAGGAACTGTAGACCACGGCAGGGTGGTGGTGAAGGGCCAACAACATACCTCGGCCCGCGTCCAGCCAATCACGCCACCCGTTCAATCTGGCTGACTTCACCCAACCCCGTCTGCTGCCCTTCTGACAATCTGGTCTCGTCGTGTCTTTCCATCATCCACTCGATATCGGCCTCATCGAGAGCGTCTGGCAGATCGCCATCGGCAGTGTGGAAAGAGCATCAGTCGCCAAAATGGCGTCTTCCACCCTGCGCCGATCGGTGCACGCGACCATGACAACGATATCGAGCGCATCCGCGGAAGTCACCAGAGCCGCCATTAACCTCCCATCCACTTATCACAACTATGTCGCGCACAATGCTGCAGCAGTATCCAACATCGAAAGCAGTCTCCGCTCACTGACATATCTCCTCCCGGGCGCCAGATTTCACGACTCCGAACTCGCCTCCGAATCAGTCCACACCTTCGTCCAACTCCTGTCAATCTATCATGACCACCTTCTCAAGAAGCGCGCCGCTCTTTTGGCGCTCTCACCTACAGTTCTCAAAGCTAGAAACCACACGGTTCAAAGACCGAAACCTTCACTCCACGCTCGCTACACGACGTTCTGGACGACCTCGTCCTCGCTCTACACAAAGATTGGAACATTGCTAAAAGTTGCACAATACACAGAATTACTATGGGAGATGCTCGCGCGGCGAAGAGGTGGTGAGAAAACACGATGGCGTGTGGTCGTTCTGCTCGAGTCCTTCAAGGCGATTTGCCGCTTACTACTCCTGCGCTTGACAAATTCGCGACCACTCGTCAGCCCGCCAATGCCGCTGCGCGAAGACTTTGCGCCTGTCGAGCCCGAGGAGGACGACGAATTTGCAGAGGAAGAGCTAAAGGGGGATTCATTCGATGTGAAAACCGCATTGGGTGATGCTGGCGTGCCGACACCTCCGCTTTCAGATTCCGGCAATGGGAAACCGACCTCAAGTCTGTCGATCTCCGAACCGTACAGCATGCCGCGCACAGGATTCACTCTGCCTACCCTACCTACGCCGGACAGTGTGTCGGCCTATTTGTTGAATCACGTCCTCACGGCCGACGACGTCAAACCCGCGAAGCAGTTGCTGCACCAATTGACTACTTTGCGTGGGCAGGCTGCGGAGGCGATGTACATCCTCCGACCGGTGGTGTATGCGCTCATGATGCAGCGCGTGGCCGCAATGTATGGATATGAAGGGACGAAGTGGAAGCGTCATTGGACACCGTGGGTCGTGGGCGTGGCTATGGAGTACTTTGCCAGACATCTTGCGAAGAAGGACTTGACGAGTCGGGTGCCGGGAGGAGCCAAGAGTGGGCTGTCCGCACTGGAGAGGGAGGAGTTGAAGAAGCGTGGATGGAGTCTGGCGTGGTGGGGTATGCGAGGGGCGTTCTATGAGAATGTCACGAAGCGCTGGGTCCACGGTGTTGCGGAGAGATTGAAGGGACGGCCGATCTTGGATCTCGTAGGAGGGGTGGTCGAGGAGTACGAGTGGCTTTGGAGCGAGTATCATTTCAGTACGGCGACAATGTAATACAAATCTGGCCACGTCGGGTGGGACGATCAAGGACTATGCTCGTTCAGAAGGAAGATGGAGCAAGGAGGGAACATATGGATACAGGGCATTGTCGGTCTCGAGCTGGCATGAGACGAGCTGATAGGCAAGAATCAGTCCAGAGAATTTAAGGCACGGAGCTGTCCCAGCTTGGTGGGGAAATATTATGATATATACTTACGACCTGGAGACGGCTTGGAATGGAACGGAGCCTCTTTGGACGGCGCGGAGGAGTTTTATTCTGCGACGAGATTTGGGATGGGGATTGGGGTGGAGCAATGCAATGTCTCTTTCAACACAATCTCAAATTTGCCCACACTCTGTGACTCATGGTTGAGTCTGCCCGTCCCAGACAAGTTTGGAATGAATAGTCAGACTCGACATTGATCGTTGAACGCATTTCTTACCACAATGCTCGTGGAGTTCGAGGGTGTCGACTTCGAGAGGCTGACACAGATTTCTGCTGACATGGGGAGAAGGAAGTACTGCTACCTAGTAGGTACCCACGAGAAGAATACCAAGGAGAACCACTCAAGCTGACCTCTCGTAATACCAGTGCTGTTCTTTGCCTCGTTTGCCCAGAAGATACATACTATGGTAGTACTCCATAAAGTGTAACCACTCGATCTTTCGCGAGATCTGAAGGCTGGTGCCAGATCTGAAGGACGGACCGGAGATTTTGTGTGACGAGCTAGAACTAGAACCGTACTTTTGAGATAGCGCCCGCGGGGAGATGGAGATGGAGATGGCCTGCTCTAACTTAGAAGGGGAAGAAAGTGTTTCATCCCAGCGACAAAGCCTCACCAGCCAGGCGGACGAGTGAATTCAAGTCCAGAGAAGGCGTACAAACGGAGTACTGTAGTGGTAATGAGCCCGGCATATGGCAAACGCTTTCTGACTTTGCTGCAGGCCACCAACCAACGATATTGGGCTCACTAGTTAGGCTTAGATAATACTCGTACTGTAACTGAGCACTGGGCTTGGGCATGCCTAGGTAGTGAGCCCCATCCACGGTTCGTGTGTGAGATTTGCCATCTACTTGTACGGAGTACCTTACCTAGGTAGCCACCCACTTGCCTTGTCCACGCTTGTCCTTGGTATCCCTGTCGGTGCCATCAGTGCCTATGATTTCCATCTCGCCTCGCTTGCTTCTTCCCGCGCTAAAAGCTGGACTGGCCGTCGGTGCCCGCCATTCTCAATTTCTGGCAATTTCCAGTGCCAATCATTGCTCAACCCATCACACCAATTTTCACACTTCTGGACCAAGTCACCCGAAGTCCAGCGTCGCTTAGCCATTGCCATGGTCCTGAAATGCTCGAATGGGCTTGAGATAGGTCGAATGTGGGCTTGTCCATCTCGTTGGTCAGACAAGCCACCGTGCTCTCCTTGCTGAGGTGCTCACTTACGACCCACTGCCACTTGCAGATACGGTCTTCACGAGGTCAGCTTGTTCGAGTTGAAACGTTGCGCTGACTACCACCTACGGCTTTCTCGCGCGGTCGCCATGTTCGTGGCCTGGAAGTACACCCGGATACCTTTTGTCATGGTCGCTTGTTCTCACCCTGCTATGTCTCTCCTTCCTCCCCAATGTGCTGTTATATGACCCCGGTGTGACCGACCAGCCTCCCACCTGCCATCCGCCAAACAATACAAATTCCCAGTGGGATTGCACAGCTCCGGGCTGTGGAAGCACGAACCTTTGCGAGGACGTAGATCTGAGATTTCCGTTGAATCAACGTCCCTGGTGCACCTACTTCAGTTCACCTTTCGTTCCGGCGTCGATAGAGATACAATGGCCACCATCAGCACACCGCTCGGCCTGCGAACGGACCCTTTGGTCTGTCAATGCTCCTGTTGAAGATTCCAATCTAACCTGTGTCTAGTCTCTCATCCCAAAGAAATATCGTGGAGAAGCCGATGATCCTCACTTTATCCCAGACTCACCATTGATCCAGCGGCAGATGTTGACGGAGCAAGAGGAGAGCGAGTTGAAATGCATCTGCGCTTTGGTCCTGGCAAATGTGCAACACTCGGACGATATGTCGGACGACCCTCTCAAATACCTTGCAGCCCAGATTCAGGAAGGGAAAGCACATCGAGAAAAAGATGTGAGACAAGACCAAAGGCCTGAGGCAGTCCAAAGCACAGACACCAATGTGACACATGAGATCTTGGATCTACATAATGACACCGCACCCTCATCCGAGGCTTCTCACCGCGACACTTTTTCGAGCACCGATTACTCAACGCCTCGGACTAGTGCTGGCTTCACACCAAGAGAAACTGCTCGACGACTCTCAGAAACCACCCGCAAATCCATAACGAGTACGAAACGAACTGGAAGCAGTCTACGAAACGAAACAGTATCGATAACAAAAAGCCGCAAGACTTCAACCGCCGGGCTGCACGGACCCCTCGAGGCGGGCGAGCCATCCGTTGAAACGGAGCCCGTCAAAAGTACTCTTCGCATTGTCCCCGTCGAGGCTGCACCTCTGGGCAGCAGAGGAATCAGATCTATGGACATACCTCGCGAGTCGAGATTCTCCGTTCCCGACCTGAACAAAGACCTCCCCCTTCCTCCACCACATGAAATCCCTGTTGTTGATGACGAGAAACAACCTCACATCAGTAGACTAATCAAGACAATCCGCAAGAAAAAGAGCATGATAAACGAGGGCAGAAATCTATCCACCGTTCCAGCGCCGCCTGTACCCATCGCAGCAGATGGTTCGCAACACCCAACACCGACAGCCCTACGTCCACACCCAGCACAAGTTGAAACCATACCGAAGAAGAGGTTCCGCCTCAGACTCTTCACAAGGAGGCAAAGACCGGCCGATATACTGGTCACCTGAACTCCTACTCCCGCCGAATTCGTTTTGGGATTTACCACAAGTTTAATGATAACAGAAATTACTAGCAGCGATGGCGTTCCGGTTTCTCAAGCATTAGTTGTACATACATACGGCCTTTTTATTCAGGTCCACTCCTCGATTCTGCGGGTAACAACACGCAACATGATGTGCAATGCGAAAAATTGTCGGCACTTTACGCCAGGGGAGACGTGTTTTAGCTATCATCAGAGCTTCATGACCTCGAGAGATATGACCAAACAAAATCTATCAGACTCTTACTTTCATTCCAGATATGTTGTTCATATTCCTGCACAAGGAGGATGTTGGCCACTTCCTTTGCTATGTGGTTTTCGTTGTGAGCAGCAATGGATGCAGAGATTGTCTGGTGGACGATTTGTGAGACAGAAGCACTGGCTATATGTATGTCTGTTGTCATAATAACAAAGTACTATGATACAAGTACAGACAGAATACGATTGATGCGGGTGGGAAGAGTGGGCGTGGTCGTTTCAGGTCGATCCTTGCCGAGAGTCGGTCAAATTTCTACAATCGGCGAGATACACCTCAAGCAGAGTTCGTCCACAGTCCACTCGAAGTTTACTACGTAGTAGTCACAATGCAGATGCGATGGTAATGCCCTGTTGCCACCGTTGCCAGTCGCTGGATTTTTTCCCCCGAAAACATACGTACGGTACCTATCTTAGCCGTCCTTTCCATTGAGTTGCGTTCTTACCCGATCGCCAGCATCAAAACCTGGTCATTCCTTGTCTCGGCTGACCCGAGATTTTCATATCATTCATTACCTGAAATGAAGTCGCAAGGCCATTCATCTCTATGAGGGAAACCACGGGCCATGTCATCCTCCCTTCGGCTTTGTCAGGTCTATGGGTCGACCGCTGGCCCCACTGTTTCGGCGAACGCCTTGGTCGTGAGACTGAGCCCATCTCGATTCATCCAGCAGTGGCTTGTTTACTGGGGCTTTTCGTGACTCGCATTCCCTAGACACGGCCCATAGCTTCGATCGGTGGCTCGAGAAGACCTCAATCCGAAATCGGTCGGCCAGCGTAGCGTGATAGCCACGTTCTCATGGCTTGGGAAAGAGTCGGCATGGTCACGACAATTCACACCATCATTCCACCGACATTACTCATAGCAAGCCCACCAAATCGACCATCACCTTCCACCAAGCCTTCATATGCACCACCTCCGAGGCCCCCACCTTTCGGTACTGCTCCAGCATGCTTGCTTTTCGCCGAGCTCCGGGTGCTTTCGACCGTCGCAAATTTCCCGCCAAGTTCGCTGAGAGCCTGGATGTCCTGGCCCAGCAATGAGAGCATATTGACCAGCGCAACATCATTGGATTGAGACTGCGAGGCTGCAGCTAGGGGCTGGGAGGATGATGCGCTGTCAACGGGCGTGAGGAGGGAAAGTCGTGTGATGAGAGCTTGTATGTTGCGGAGATGCGGGAGGTCGGTGGGGTCCGGAGACGTGGGTGTAATTGCGACCGAGTCTTGGTCGGTGATGTATGACGGTGGCAGAGTCTGGATGAAGCTGCGTAGCAGGGAGATCCGGGATTGGAGCATCTTCACGCTGTTCAAGCGGGTCGTCATGTTGGCAACTTGGTCTTCTTCTTCGGGTGTCAATGCGCTAAGGGTGTCATCGAGGTCGTTTGCTTCGTGTTTATCTGTGGGCTCCGGTAGATCGGCTCGCCTCTTGCCTTTCTTGTCTGTTGATGTTGGTTCGGCTGGTTTGGTGGAGGATTCTGTCGACTGTGCCCGGGACTCGCCCACCGCGGCCGCACTGCCTGCTCCTTTGGCCACGTAGTCGATTGCGATCATCTCTGTTTCGTCGGTATCGATTGTGTATGGCAGGTGGATGAACTTGATGTCTGTCGATTCTTGTCCGTCAACTTGCATGGAGGCCTCATCTTTCGCGCGCTCGGCCTCGAAGACGCCTTCGTAGATGGATATGGGTAGTTTTCCTCCCGTCGAGCTCCCTGCTTTTATGGCTTCTGGGTGTAACGCAAGCAGGATCGCGCTGTCGTTGTAGAATGTTATTGCCTGTTTTTGCAGAGAAACGAATTCCGCTAAGGGACCGGATTCAGGACAGAGAGTGAACCATCCGACGAATTCGAGAGCTGGTGCTTTATGGACATCCTTGTCTAGCCCTAATTAGCTTTTCCGGTAGCATAGACAGCAGCTTGATAACCATACATTGCTGAATTCTTGTTTCCATCCATTCTTCGTCGAATTGCCAGTGTCCCTCCTTGTTTGGTACTAGCTCGACAGGAAATGCATATTCTGCTGTTATTTCACGTCCCTTCTGTTGCCCTAGCAGTGCACCAGCGACTGGACCCCGCTGGTTTCGGACGGAGTGTCTTGCAACTTGATCGGAGACTGTGAGGAGGACAAGCGGATGGAGTGACACACTGAGGCTGGAATCAGAGGGTTTCGAGGATATCAAGGGATTCTCCATTTCTCCCGCCATGATGTCGCGAGTATCAAACCAATGCAAGAATCAGTGGGAATGGTCAACTGAAGACCAACATTGGCGAGGGCAATGCTGCGGACGGAGCCTTGTTGAAGTAGTTCAATCAAGTTGGAGAAGGTCATAGCCTAACGCAGCCTGGGGATTATTTGGCCAATTAGTGCCGCTCTTGGCATGCGGGACAAGGCTGCCGTGGCGGCGTCACTTCAACTTCACAAGGCTGGAGGGACACGTAAAGAATATTTGCCTTAATCATCAAAGAATCTCCATGACTCTGCCATGATGCGAAAACACTCTACGGAACTGATCTCTGCCAGTATAATATCATCATGGACGTCTTGATCGAGGACAAGGATCTCCTTTTCCCCCAAGTCTTCTCTCATCTCGATGCCGTCCAGGCGCAACCGGGGACAGTCTTACTGGACGAAGAATTGCTGAGGCGAGCGGAACGATCTCTGGATGCCTCGACGCCAAACAGCCTCTTATGGCAGCTTCTCGCCAGAGGAGAAAAACTTCTCCAAGATCTGCAGCAGGAACCCAGGCCTCTCACGCGACTGCTTGAACGCAATGTCTCGCTGTTGCCGTTTGATGAATTGAAAACCACCATTTCTACCGCAAAGCTTGAGGAAGGCTTGACATCTCCGTCCATATCTATTCAACTCCTCTGTTTAGCATATCTGCGAAGGGCTGCAGACTCACCTAGTGGCGCCTCATTTGTCGCAGCAAGCTCAAGCTTGGTACAATGCTTGTTTACGGTCTGGCTGTCGTCAGAAAGCACTGAGGTGGCGGAGCGCTCCTTGGAAGGGATTGAGGCTCTACTCGCTGTTGACAGTCAAACCAGCGTGACTGTTTTAGCATCGGAAGATCGTCTACACGAAGCGCAAGGGCAAGGTCTGCTGTGGCGGAGAGTGTTGACCGATCCGGACGTTTACTCCATTCTTTTTGAATGGACTTCCCTCCAGGTATCCAAACGCGACCTCAAAACCAAGAAAGGGCTGCAGTCAGTCACAATATCTCAAGCCAGACTCTTCGATTTCATCGCGAGGATGGCGAAGTACAACTGGGCCGCGATATCGACTTCCAGTCTACCCGTCATTGAGGCCAAATTCATAGTGGGAAATAGCGATAGTCAGCCTTTTGGTGGATTGCTGCGCTATGCGGCATCACATATGGTCGACCAAAACGACATACTGATGGAGGTGTTGCGACGAAATTTCTTCATGGAACTGCTTGGAACGATTGAAGCGAGCGATGCCCAGAGTGTGCCATCTCGGCTACTGGAAGCCATTCAACAAGAAGTTGGGGCCAATTCCGAGAAAGAAGGGGACGATGCTGGCATGCGGCTCTAGTTACGTATTTTCTCCCATTGGGCGCTGTATTGTCAAGAGCCACCACACTACTTCCACGTTCATACGGATCACGGCAGATCACCCGAGGTGGTCTTCCGACTTGTGTCCCCTGCAATGTGCTCCGTCCCCTCCGACATCATGTCTGTCTCACGCAGGATAGTGATGTTCTAGAGCGAGAGGACTAGCCTTCAATCAATGATATATCTGGAGGGGGTCTGCAATGGCCAATGACGATCTTCGAATGTCTTGCCGTCCACTGTTCTGCGCCGTTTGTCGTGCGGCAACCGACACAAACCCCGTTTTGACAACGATGTACATGCACTATGTCCGCAGGCCCAAAGGCCGACTCTTGGGTGCCTGCCCGTACCAACATATGCCGCCTCTGATCTACATAGCCCGCTTGCCGTATGGCTCGAAGGGGAAAGTGGCAGCCACAATAGCCTTAAGGATCCAGGTCAGCCTCGGCCTAGTGTGCTAGGAGGCTTTCGCAGGGTATCTTACCATAACTATGTAGAGGGCAGCGCACACATATATCGGTACGGACGTCGCAGTGTTGCCGTACGCAGCCACGAATGAGGAGACCAAACCCATGATTCGGTTGAACGCGACAGCGATTCCATTACCTGTCGCACGATGGGCTGATGGCAAAGACTGTTGCATCGTCAGTTCGAATCCCAATGCCAAAGGTGGCCAACTAAAACATACCTCTGGAGTATACGCGTAGACTACAGATTGCTGTAAGCTTGAGCTCATAATGCTATGCTGGGTTCCAGCGACAGCTACTCTTCCATGGATCGCCCGAGGGCCACTTACGAGTACCATAGTAGATGTTTAGGGAGAAAGAAATAGCACAGCTAAGGCCCACATTCTGAGCCGCGGTCCGTACGGCAGTGTAGGCGAAAAAGAGTGCCATAGTGATGAGGGCGCCAATAGCCATGGTGCACTTGCGGCCCAGCCACTTACCATTGCACATGAGGCCAGCGGCTACGGGTCCAAAGATGCCGGCGACGCTGCTGAGCATATAGTTTCTCCACTGGTAGTAGGGACCTGACTGTCCGGTCTGAGCGCCGCGCGTGGCAAGATAGTCCGGAAGGAAGACGTAGAAAAGCGGATACGCCATCCCTAGAGAGGTCAGTAGAGAGACTCCGGGGTTTCCTATCAAAGAGAAAGGGCGGCTGTCATACCAATCAAAAGCCATGAAAACCAAATCATGACGGTCGATATCGCCAGCTGTCTGGTTACAAAGAGTCCACGAATATGGGCCCAGAACTCGCTCATGCTGTACCTAGACTTTCCATAGGTAGACTGAATACTTCCACAGGACTCGAGCTCCCCGAGGCTCAGGCTGCATGGCCGGTTATATTTCTGAGCAATATAATGAAAGGTTTTCACAACTGCGGCATCTTGACCTTTTGTGAGGAGATACTTGGGAGTCTCCCTCAGACGGATTATGGTAACTCGTAAAATACTGCAGACGAACACGAGCCCTCCGTTTCCGTACCAGATATATCGCCAGCTTTTATCTCACTTTTAGAAAATTGTCTAGGGTGGTGTGGAGAGTACATGTGTTACCATATTGTTCTCTTTGGTGCAGCTGGCAGCGTCGCTACAGGCATATCGTGGATTTGAGAATATTGGCCAGCAAAATGCTGCAACAATCACATAAGCAAGACCCCACCAACACGCCAGGAGTGTGATCAGCCATTGCTTGTTGCTTGGGAGGAATTCGAGGAAGACAGTGGTGTCGAGGACAAGATTTCCGCCGGCACCGAAGCTGTGACCTAGGGAGTTAGTGTTGTTGGGCCAGGTCTTATGTGCAAGAAATGTAGCAAGGTGTCATAGTTGCTCTAAAAGAGGCATATCGAAACCATCAAGAGGAGTTTTAGGGGAGCAGCGGACTTACGCTGCTAAAGCAACGAATGTTGCAAGCACGGTCCAGCTGGGGGATGGCCCGGCGACGATCGCAAAGACGGACGAAGAGAAGAGCGAGACATTGAAAGCGAAACGGCGGCCGATCACGTCCGCGCCTGGTAAGAGAATTTAGCAAATATCGATACGGTATAGAGGCAGGTCCACATTACCTAGTCCCCAGAACAGCACTCCGACCAGCATGCCCGTGTACACGGCCACATTAAGACCATATGGGAATGACGGCTGGAACTCGAGAGCAGCTTGACTTGAAGTTACAGCCTGCAGCGCAAGAATGAGAGAATCAGCGGCGTATCCGAAGCCGGTCAGGAAGAAGAGCTTGAGGTGCATGTTCGTCCACCCTATCTCATTCAAGGTCTGAAGCGAACATCAGTCTGCGTTTTCCCATTAGGCTTGAACGCCATACTCTGTTCACGAGTCGCATCTTCGCATCAAGGACTGGATCAACTTCACTCATGGAGAATACCTCATTGTCCGTTGTTCCAATCTCAATGCTAAGAGCGTCACTAATGAGGCCGCCATTATCATGTCCAGCATGTTGTTCTCTGTCAAGATGCTTCTCGTATGGTGTATTCATGCTATCGGGATGCTGAGAGATCTCTTTCTCGGCCATGTTGACTGAAGTTTCGCAGGCAGTGAAGCCAAATCAAGTTGACTCGTCCACAGGAGAAGATTGAGCGTCAAGCCAGACGGGCACGGACAGAGGGACTTGCCTACTTTATCAAGGTTCTGACCTTCCACCTTCAAAGAGTTCCGGTCCTCCTATGCTCAAGCCAAGCGGCCTGACTATGGCCACTCCACGTTCCCAGAGAACGGAGGCTAAGCCCAAATTCCCCGTGGGCATGGCATGTACGCGGCCATAGGGCCCATAGTGTTAGACTTCATCTCCAACCATCGATCGAGTCTGTCTCGCATCCGGACTGGATGCACAGGGAGGAGGCCTCCAAGGTAGTATCACACTAAGTCTTGGAGCTGTGAATCAGCGGACTTTGAGTATCGAAAGACCTCTGTGATTTTCAACGAGTGAGCGCCATGTTGGAGGTAGATCCGGAGACGTTGCTACAATTCCCGGTGCGTGACCGGCGACCTCGGACAAACCCGAGAAGTGCAACACTCATGCAACGCTGTGCAGACGGACGATCGGTGGCAGAAATGGCGGTAGGACAGCACTTCTGGTGGACTACACCTGTTACCACAAATAAACCAAGCCGAAGAGTAGCGCATCGGCGAAAGTGACAGGATCGGTACATTCCAGGAGCGTCTTGCATTGCAAAACCGCAGTACTCAACAAGCATGAATCCCAGGCCAAACAAAGCCGATCCCGTCCTGATAGTTGGCGCCGGAGTCTTTGGGCTCGGGTGTGCCCTAGAACTTGCAAAAAGGGGCTACAGCAACGTTACTGTCTTCGACCGCCTGGCACCCCCAGTACCTGATGGAAGCAGCTGCGACATCTCCCGAATTGTCCGCAGCGACTATTCGGATCCTTTCTACGCAGCTCTAGCAAAAGAGGCATTGCAAGCATGGCGAACAGGCCCATTCAGAAGCTTTTATCACAATTCCGGATTCGTTTTGACCTCGGAGTCTCTGCCTGACGCGTTTTTGGAAAAGTTGAAAGGAGTTCTCCGAGGCCAGAATATCCCATTCGAGGATTTCGACAGCACGGCTGAGTTGAAAGCAAAGTTCCCTTGTTTACACGAGATTAACGCAGATTTTGGAGGCTATCTGAATCCAAATGCAGGCTGGGCAGACGCTGCTGGCGCTGTGGGCCTCCTCGCGGCCCTGTGCACTGAGAAGGGTGTTTCCATTGTCACTGGGCCAAGAGGAACTGTAAAGTCGTTGAGAATCACAAAATCAGGCATTGAGGGTGTAAATGTCGCCAGTGGTCCTCCGATAATGGGATCAAAAGTCATTTTGGCTACCGGCGCTTGGACAAATGCCTTGCTGGACTTGACATATGCGATGTCCTCATCTGGCCAACCCGTGGGTTTCATCCAATTGACGCCAGAAGAAGCACAGACCATCTCTCAGATGCCGACTCTCATCAACATGACCACGGGCTTCTTTGTTTTTCCTCCCACCCCAGGGACAAACATACTCAAAGTGGCCTGTCATGGCCACGGATTCGAAACCACAATTCGCGCCGAGAGTACAGATCAGTCTATATCTGCCCCGAAACGAGATTCGAATAATGCAGCGTCTTCTTTCATACCCGACTCTGCGGATGCTGCTTTACGACATGGACTCAGACAGGTGCTTCCAAGTTTTGCGGAGAAGCCTTGGATGAGAAGAAGGCTCTGCTGGTACACCGACACCCCAGAGGGCAATTTTGTTATTGATCATCACCCATCCATCCAAGGCCTTTTCATTGCTGCAGGAGGTGCCGGACAGTAAGCAGATCTCAATTCTCGTAATGCTGCGTTGTTTGGGCATTGCTGACCCCCTGGTCCAACACAGCGGATTCAAGTTTCTTCCAGTCTTGGGACGATATATTGCTGACTGCTTTGAAGAGAAGGCACCGCAGACGGTCAGAGAGAAATGGAGGCTGCTGAGAGACCCAGGAACGCGAATGCCTTTTGTTTGCAACGATGGGAGCCGCAGAGGTCCGGCAAGGAGGATATTATCGAGGGCAGAGCAAGCTCGACTGTGAGCAAGTCTAGGCTGTGTGTTGAACGAAGGTTCTACAACGATACCGCTCGGAGACTGGAACTGTCTGCCAGCGAATCCACATATTATCCTCTGATCCTATACCAACAGGAAAGGGTGCCTGACCAGGACTTCGTTGTAGGCAAATGTGTCGGTCCCGTGAATTGAGCCAAAAAGATTCCGTGGTCCACAATGTGTATCACCAGTGATAGCCAGCTTATTGATGAAGAATTCCTGAATACTCATCAAGCCTATACGCTAAATGCCGTGGCCTCGGATAGACCGGCCAACTGGGATGCTTTTGTATCGCTGGTCTCAGAGTCCAAATCATTCCATTCACCAGAGCATCGTACGTTGCCCGGATTCGTTGTCAGCATGCTCCACGCCTGGCCAGGTCTTGGTCGTCATAAACACGCTGAAGAGCGTCCAAAGGCATGTTGGGATACGTTTTGATCCAATAACTCAGATCCGCATTCTCCTCCCTTTCGGCTTGCGAAAAGCCAAGGCCCCAAGAATCGAAGTGGTTGCCGTTATATTTCCACTCAAAGTCCTCCCATCGATCTGACTGCAGGAATTCGCGATAGTGAAGGCCACTGCCGGGCCATACGCCCGTAATCCTTCCACGGCTGTTTTTAAACCAGGACCTACAGCTGCCCGTCCAAACCAAATTCTGCATGACCGTCTGCGTATGGGTATTGAAATCGTCTTGCACACGCTGTTTCACATCGAAAGATAACGCTTGCTGTATCGAGAACTTTCGAATTAGACGGACAAAGTAGTCGGCGGTGCCTTCTAGCGCACCCATAAGGCTTCCATTGGATATTGGGGTGTTGGGACCAAGGAAAACAAGACAATTTGGAAACCCTGACACAGCAAGACCACAATAAGCGGATGGTTCTTCCTTCTACAGCTCTCTCAGGTCCACTCCGTCAGTTCCAATGATCGGAAAGCGAGGTCGAAACGACGTATCAAAGCCGGTGGCAAAAATGATCACCTCGACAGGCCTTGAGGTTCCCGAGTTGTCTTGTATTCCGTCAGGCGTCGCCGCTTCCACGGGCTCAAATATAAGCTCTACATTGTCTTGTTGTAGAGCCTCTAGGTACCTCTCTCCCGGATTAAGTCTTCGGCAGCCGGCTTCAAAGTGAGGGATCAACCTTTTCCGCAGATCTTCACTGCGAATGAGCTGCCTCATTCGGCCTTCGAGCTTGGTTCGTAGCTCGTGTTGCTGCAGACTGCCTTTCAGGAACGCCCTGTACATACCGTTGAAGGACGCTTCCATCTCTTTGCGCACAAGGAGTGAGTATTCGGGGTTTTGCGTAAATCTCTCTATCTCCTCTGCTGAGTAGGTGTGGTTGTGGTCGTTGATGAATTGTGCTCCAGCCGGTGGCGTGATCCAGGACGGAGTACGAATATACATGTCGATGTGGGATGCTTGCTTTTGCAGAGCTGGCAACACTTGGATTGCGCTTGCACCAGCACCAATGATAGCAACTCGTTTTCCAGAGACGTCGATTCGAGAATCCCAGGCTGCAGTATGAGCTACGACCCCCCTGAAGGTATCGAGACCTCTCACGACTGGCCAGTTTGGGTTGTTCAGAATTCCGCATGCATTCACGAGGATATCGCACTCGTGTCGCTGACTTCCTTGAGTTTTCACACTCCATCTGGAACAATCATCGTCCCATACCGCCTCTTCTACTTTGCTGTTGAATTTCATGAACCGCTCCAGTCGGTAATGGAGAGTGACAGCTTTGAGATATGACTGTATTTCCTGCGAGGACGCATAGCTTGCGTTCGCGTTATCAGCACCGTTCCGCCAGCTGATTTGCACCACATCTCGAGGACAGGGATCATTCAAGCATACAATTTTGACCAGTAAGGATTCGGACAGAAACTGAACTGGTAGATGTGGCTAGGCACGTCACAAGCGCAACCTTTGTCCACACTGTCAGCACCCCGATGTCTTGACACTGTATGCCCTCCAAATACAAGTCTCGATACACATACCTGGGTATCGGTTTTCTAGCCATGTACCTCCAACATCATCATTCTTCTCAAAAACTTGGATTGTAACAGATTCTCCAAAAGCTTCCTGGAGCTTATAAGCTGTACAGCGGCTGTGGTGAGGACATCTCCCCACTGGGGTTCAGGGGGCGGAAAATCATACCCATCAAGATGCCAGACACACTGAAGTTGAGCAATGATTAGCTTCGAGGCAATCGTCAAGGACGCCATGCTGGACTCACCCAGCGCCGATGATGATACATCGCAATGCCTTCCTAGGCAGCCTTCTTTCCTCGATTGCAGCCATTCTTCGACCCGAATGAAGACTTTAGTCTCCCGGACTAGGACAAAAAAGCCCTACATTAGCATCACCTTGTGTCAGGATGAAACATTGCCTGTAAGGCATTGATGGTGAACCCTCGACCCCTTTCTCTCCTGTGCCAAACATTATATTGGGTATAGACGCCCTTTCGGACAGGAACGTAGCCTTGCCTCGTCAGATGATCGGAGATGTTCCGATCCATCGATAATGGCGGTGATCTATTCCCGAATGGCGCCGTTCCTATTTGGACGCGAACCGGGGGACTTACAGACGCCCTCCGTGGTATGGCCCGGTCACATGAGAAGCAAGTCGCAGATCATGCGAAGTCGCCTGTAAATTTTTGCTATTTGTGGTATGGAGGTTTTGAGGACAGCGGCCATTTGATGCTAGGTTGGTTGACCCTTGCACGGAGGCGAGATGCCGACAGTAGATGATGGGCTACGGTTGTGGATGTACCGGATGGCGAGGCTGGAGCGTGTAAATCCCTGGAATACTAACATGGTCGAGAACAGTGCTTTCGAGCAGATGGCGTGAGGTGAATGATTAAATTGCAAAACACACGCATGGCCTACTTCCTGGCATCTCACATTCTCTGTGTCCTCAAGTTCTATTGCCAGTCAGCAGACTGTTGCCGAGGAGACACCTCTTCATCCTCGGACGCCTCACTGAAGGAGAATACTGGGTTCGAGGATCTCCTACTCTCAGCCATCCGAGCATCATGTTGTCGACACTGAGTTCGTTCATCGGGATGTCAAATCCACATGAGAAAACAAATCTACACATGAAGTTGACCACAGAACCACGAGCCCTTCCAGCCTCATGGTATCGGAGAGATGAGATGTATCAGTTGGAGCGTCGAGCCATATTCGCCAGGAAGTGGCTGCTTGTTACGCACAAGCTGCGGTTCACCAAGCCGGGAGATTTCATACGCTTCGAAGAGGCTGGATATGCTTTCATACTGTGCATGGATAAGGATGGCACGTTGAATGGTTTCCACAACATCTGTCGGCATCGGGCTTTTCCCGTAGCCACGGAAGACGCAGGAAACGCCAAACTCTTCTCGTGCAAATACCACGGCTGGTCCTACGGACTGAGTGGAGAGCTTGCTAAGGCACCTCGATTCGACACTGTACCCAGCTTCCAGAAAGCGGAGCACAGCCTCTTCCCGGTCCACGTACATATCGATGAGCTGGGTTTCGTTTGGATCAACCTGGACGCATCATCTGCGCCCGAAGTGAAATGGGAGGATGATTTCGAAGGAGCTGACACCCAGGAACGATTCCAGGCTTTCGACTTTTCCCAATACCGCTTCGACCACGTCTGGGGGATGCAAGGCAAGTACAATTGGAAGACTCTTGCCGACAACTACAACGAGTGTTACCATTGTCAAGTGGCCCACCCCGATGTCAATAAGCTGGCCGACCTGTCGTACTATTATACAGTCTCGAAACCCGGCTACATTCAACACTTTTCTCGGCCCAAAAAGGGAAAGGAAGATGAAGATATCAAGAATGCCAGTACCTACTATTTCCCGAACGCTTGCATGACCGTTTCGTAAGTCAATGCATCCTTCATGCCAGCTGAATGCAACGTCCCCTGACCATAATTCTGATCGCAGGCCTCACTTCTTCTATATGATGCGATGCGTACCGACATCAGCCACTACATGTTCTATGGAGTATGAAGTCTATCGGCACAAAGATGCCACAGATGAGGACTTTGAATACATCGACTCCTTCTTCAAACGTGTCCTTGGAGAAGACAAGTATCTGTGTGATGCAGCCCAGAAAAACCTGAATGCCGGTGTTTTCGTCAATGGAGAGCTACACCCAGATCTGGAGAGCGCACCAATTTACTTCCAAAACACCGTGAGACAACTCGTGACGGCACACCGTAGGAAAGAGGACGTCAAAGGAGAAGAGATATGGCCGGCTCGTCGTCACATGCCTCATTCAGGGGCCACGGAGGAGGACGCAGCTTTCTGCGATGGATTAGCTTGCAAGCATTCGCAACTGGCAGAGACAGATTGGTGATGTCTTGAGAGCGTTGAAAGCAATAATGGTGGTCGACCTTTGGGATATCAAATTTCCGCAAGACCCGAGTGATGATTTTCTTAAGCATTACTTTGTCACTTGACGTTGAGGTCGGCGTCCATATGCGTCCATGTTATACCGTTAGCCTAGTTATTATATCTTAGAGGCATCGCCTCCAAATGTTAAGAACACGACAAGATGGGACAAGAGTCCTCTTGGTCAGCCAATGCCACATTTTTAGTCTTGGTGTCCAGCTAATTGTCACCCCCACAATTGATAAGCCACCAGGGAATTGGTGACCCTTGTCGGGCTTCCCCCTCGTATCTCTCTGCAAGGAATCTCATCTCCTTTGTCTACGTCTCGACCACGAAGACAACGGCCTCTGATATGGCTCCCTCAAGTTGAAGAACATCTGGTGAGAAGTTGTCGCCAGACATGCAGAGTCGCGGACACAAACGCTTGCACCAGGCGTGCGAGAACTGTCGGTATGGTCTGACTCTATTACTGCGCTAGGTGCAATTGTCGCCCGTGCGCTGCTGATAACAGGTGATATAGGAGGAAAAAGACACGATGTCCGGGAGAAAGACCGGCATGTTCAAGCTGTACTCGCCTTTCGCAGGCATGCAGATACTCAGACCTTCATGGAGGCAACATATTTTCATCAGAAATGTCGCATGGGAACCCGAGGGACACCGTAGGCTTGTTTCGTTCCGAGGCTACAACCTCGGTGCTCACGGCGTGGTGTAGGAGCGACGATTGGCTCAACTCGAAGCAAGAATGGAGATGATGATAGAAAGGCAAAAGTACGAATGCATCCCTGCAGTGGTTGTTTCGCCTCCAGCCTCCTCAAACTTTCAACAATGACTGATACAGGTGACCGCAGCACGAATGGTAGCGACGTGGAATCACCGATGGCGAGCTTGTACAGTCCTCGGGCCCAGCGTGTTCAGCAAGCACCTCGTGTCGAGACCTCTCTCAGGAAAGATGAACCCGCCCTGTGGTAAATGATATGGTCGACTGACTTTCGGCTTCAGCAATATGCCGTCAAAAGATGTCCTCCTGGACGTTGTCAATGCCTATTTTCAATATTGTCATATGCAACCCCTATGGCTCTTTGATCGAGAAGACTTCTCTTCCATTGAAAACTGCCGCGAGGAGACCCTATTCTCTCTGTTGGCCCTCTCCTTGTGTCACTCGAAGCACCCTTTCTTCAGAGGTCGGTCAGACGAATTGAGCCAAAGGTACGCTCAGCTGGCAAGAGAGCACATCATGCGGCGAATCGTTGAGGGGAAAGTCTCCCTTTCCACCATCCAGAGTCTCTGCATGCTGGTACTCGCCAACTTTCAAGGTGATCACCATCCCCTGCCACAGTACGTTTGATCACGGTACTGACTTAGTGTAAGCCAATAATCTACACCTGGTGTGTTTACATGTGGGCATCGCAACAACACTTTCGAGATGTGCTGGCCTTGATTTCGAGACTTGCGCGACCGAAGTCAGCTTGCGTGCAGAATCGCGCCGAAGGGTCTTCTGGAGCTTATACCTATTGCAACAGGTGTACGGGCAGCAAGGCTCCGCAACTGATATCCTGGAAAACATCGCAAACCCACAATATGTTGCGACACATTCAGACCTAAGGAAGAAGTCAAATCATCTGCCTCCGTCGATGCCCCAAGAAACGGTTCAAGGCGGCATGAGTCAGCATAGTGGAATATGGGCGTACATGATCCAGCTGTCCAGTTTATGGAAAGAGGTGCGGACGTATGTCATGCAATGGGCTCAGATAAACGGCGAGCCACCGTGGTCCATTGAATCCGGTTACGCTGTCATCAGCGCCCATCTTATGGACCTGGAGACGAAATTGCCCACATATCATCGCTTCGATCTTGCACGCTTCCCGGATCACGCAAATGAGCAGCTTCAACGTAATCGAGGATACTGGAGTCCTTGGCTTTATTTGCAATTCACCTACCACACCATCCACAGCATGCTAAATCATCCATTTCTATATTCCTCGCGGCCACAGCAGTCCGCTCAATTGGCCGTTCCAAATACCTTCTGGAAGACGTCCTCAGAGCTAGCATTCATCCACGGCACCTGGATTGCACGTCTCATTGACATGATCACAGATAAGGCCTACCGCATTTCAGATCCGTTCATTGGCCACTGCACGGCAATTGCAGCAACGATCCATATCTACTTCTGCCGAGCCGCGGATAACCGAATCAGAGAGGCTGCGCAGGTCAGACTTGCGACGTGTGTTGCCTTTCTAGGAGAGCTGGCATTACTGTGGCCTTCCTGTCGATTGATGGTGAGTCCTCTTCCCCCAAAACAACACACTTGACAAGGCTTGTCATCAGATGCTGAGTCCTCACCAGCATGAAAAGCTCCAAGCTTTAGTTCAGTCTGCGTTCACATTCGATCAGCCTATTGGGGAACATGATTCGCCTCGCAGGACGATCTCGATCAACACGCGTATGATGTGGAAGATCCTCTTGTACGATTTCGCCGGCAAAGACACCCCATTGCCACAGTTTGGGCTTTTCGACGATTCTTTCTTTCCCGAGGAGGACGACACCGATGAAGGAGAGGAGACTGTCGAGATGGAGATGTTCCACAATCCTACTGTAGATGTGGATATGTCTAACGGACAGGCATTGCCGCCACTGTCAGGCCAGCCAAGAAAACGGCATGTTCAAGATAGCAGAGGACGTGCCAGAAGAGACCAGCTGCTTCCTTCCTCAATTGCGGCGGCTACGCCCGTGCTTGATGCACCTTTCCCAGAAGCCGCCGCTGCGCCGTGGCAAATGCCAGGCAACACCTCCGTCATGGACATGACCTACGATCCTTTTTTCCAGTTCCAAGATCCTGGCAGCCCATTTTTTGGAACATGGGAAGTCGGTAACCTGTAGTTTCTGCGCCATAGAGAATCGAAGTAAGACAGGGGGAGATTTTATCATTCTTCGCGAATCTCATGATAGTCCAGGTTTGTGGAATTGGGTGCCCAGAGGCGCAATAAAGGCCCCTCAGCTCCATTGACAGGATCCTGCGTGGGCATTGCGACGGCCATGATCTCATCACGGAGAGCTACCACGTCTATGGGATCTTTCCCAAGTTCGTTTCTCCACCGGGGGCATTCCTATCACCAATGTCAGCTCGCGAACAAGACTGCTCCAAAGAAGGAGAAAGGGATTATTCCTATCGGTGGTCTTTGACAGATGAGTAGGGAGGGACTTTCCATACCTTTGGATAGACGCCAATGTATCTGTAATCGGTGCTACTCTCAACACAACAGTGCCCCGTTCCTGCTGGAAGCACGATAACATCTCCTGCATACACGTCTACGTGCAGCCCGCCTGTAGTGTCACTTGACCCACAGCCGAGGAGTAATGTCGAGCAGCCTTGGAATATCCCTGGAGAGCAATTCAGCGTCAGTTCCACGGTTGGTTAGGTGTAAAATGTGGTCAAGGTAAGGTGAACACGGTCGCAACTGCTTCAACATACCGTAGCATTCGTGGGAGTTTGGGTGAAAATGTCTGACGGGGATATGTCCCCAAACACCTCTCTTCTCCCAGCCATGAGACTCCAGAAAGGCCGTAGTGCTGTCTTCGGACAAAGGTAAAGGCAGGACGTCACGGTAGATGAGGACTGGGAGTCGACTGTTGGGCGCGTACTCATTTGGCGGAATGCGGTATTGTTCCGGTTCGAGGGCCATGATTCATTACTGAACCACTTGATGACAGCCGGTGGTAGAGGTCTCTAGGTGTTGATGGTAAACGGCGATGATAGAGTCCCAGCCTTGGCACCCGTGGCGGACTGCGCCCCCCGCCACTTTACTAAGTTAGGTATTCTGAATCAGGGCTCAGCTTCAGCGGATAGGTGGTCATTCTGCTAGAGATTCTTACTTAGCGTTGACACCGCTGGCCAACGCGGTCACGAGTTGTTGTGGGCTTGTGCCGTGCTGTAATAACAACCATCTCCGAAACCATTACCCTTTATTCACCTACTCTCAAAAGCTCTCCTCGACTGGCAACGTAGCCCGAGCTATCTCTTCACCCGCACAGACCTATTTTCTATATGGTGTACGCTTAGCTACCGCAAATAATTGTCTCGCTATCTTCGTCAAAAAGTCATCCTTAGCTCATCAGCTGCTGTGACATTAGAAGGAAGTCTTCCAACTCATCAGCGATGCATGCGTGACATGTCTTCAAGACGCTCATATGATACGAGGTGATATTGTCCTCCACCAAGGGATAATGAACCCAAAATTGGAGCAGCGGTCCCCACGTAGATATAGAAAAGGTGAGAGGTGCCTCTTTCATGTGTGGAGAATCGGGCACGCACCGATCGTGGACGTCAGTCAGCTGTTGTAGAAGGTTGACCATACAGCTTCCGGCTACGGCAGCTTGATTCTCGGCTTCGAAAACAGTCTTTCCAGTAGCGTATGCCTTTCCTTCAACCACCAGGACGGGGAACCGACCATTCATAGAGTTCTCGGTCGGATCCGAGTAAAGGATGTGTTCGCGTTGCAATCCCCTCAGGAATCCGTCCGCCTGCGACGTTTTTAGCACACGTTCCGATAACGCGTGAGCTAACGTGGAGTGTGAAAGACCAATAGTACAATCAGGACGAGGAGTCTTGACACCTTTGTGCTGTCCGCGCTCGGATGCAGGTGCATCAGGCCGTGATTGGTCCGAGGATGGGTTGGAGGACCATTCTCTCCGTTGTCGCTTTGTAGGCCTTTCGGCAGTATAATCGGCCTCATTGTTGGCATGACCCAGGTGTTTGAAGTTAAATAGTTGCGGAGGATCAGGGTTTAGGTTCGGGTCCCAATCTATCTCAAGGGTTAGCACGCGGCGACGTACACCATTAGAGTTAAAGGGAGTAATACCAGCCTTTCTAACAAAAGCGAAGACCTTCTCCTTATCCATTGTCTCGAGAGCCGTAATGACCACCTCGACGCAGTCATCTTCTCGACGGTTTGCTTGGGTGATAGCAATAAACTCGTTGCACATGCCCTTCGCAATGCTGGAGATTTCACTCCTCCTCTCTTTGGATATCCTACGATTGAAGATGGCATTCACCTGGGATTGGATATCCTTTGGGGGTGTGACATGGTGAACAATAATCTTGGCATTGTTGAGAATGTCGTAGCGATAACGAGCAGGCGATGTCAATGATGCAGTCACCGTCGTAGAATCTTGGGGCAGGTCCGACCAGGTCGACACAGCTCTCATCCGCTTTGCACCTCCGTTTCCACCTCGCTTTTCAGTTCGAGTCGTGGAAACAACGCCCACACCGGTAGACGTACTATCCAGTTGGCTTTGGAGCTTCTCTAAGTTTTCTTCGGAGAGTCTGAGCCCTGGCACATCTGGCCACCGGTGCTTCTTGGAGCGCCGGTCTGGATAACAGTGTGATTGCTGGTCTCCCCCTCTCTGTGAGGTGTCAATCTGCTCTCCAGAGGACGCAGAGGGTATGAATGCGGGTGGTGAATCTCTCCGTGGTCGCTCTTGCGGATCTTGGCTTTAATGATGTGTTTCGTCTTCTGGGCTCTGGTCACTGGACAGGTGATCAACGCTCGGGGGTGTGCACGAGGGTCCTGGACGGCCTTGAACAGCGTAGATTTTGCGGAAGCTGTAATTGAAGAGCGTATTTGTTGCGGCGGAAAATTTCGGGAAGGAGAAGTCAAGTTTTCGTTCTTCTGCGCACTCTTTGAACGGCTTCCTTGGAGCTGTTAATATGGGTTGTTTGTTCAAAATTGGGGAAAAGGGAAGCACACCTCTGGCGCATTCTCGCCGAGTCTTATAGATGTGCCTAGGAGCCATTTGCGAGAGACGGATAGAGGACACAGAAGCACTCGTGGTGATAATGGTGCTGAGTCTGTCGCGGGAGGAACGAGGATGTTTGAGATATCAGGCACAAGCGAGGTTGCGTTCGCAACTGGGAATCAAGGCGGTTTTGGCGGGTTTCTATTTCTTCAAACATCTCGATATCTGGGAGCTTCGAAGGGTGGTCGCAAGACTAATTAATGTTTCGGATGGGCTCAGATTCGGAGTTCTTTGTTGTCTCGCGACCGATGGCATTCTTTGTCGTCTCTCGGTCAACCCAAATGTTTCATGGAAACCAAAATGGAAAAGTCGCCGCCAACGTCCTTTTTCATGGACTCCAGTCATTGTGTCCCCTAAGCTGACCTCGTCAATGCGGCCGTCGCAAATATGGACATGAGCTCAGTTTCGATAATTGTATGGTTCAGTATGTGAGCGTCCATGTTATGCAACGCCAAAGAACAAATACTAATAGTACTGTTATGCGTATCATGACTGCCAAGGCGGTATAGAACCGAGTGATCGAACTGGGAGTGTCGAGGGTGTTAACCAAAGGCCAAGGCGCTAGTAACGTGTATAAAAGCAGCCTTTGGCAAGCCCTCAGTACGATTTTCCCTCATTATTTTATAGCGGCATTGAGAAGAGAAATATCCTTATCAATGGACAGAACAACCGAACCAGGAGAGTACGGAACTGGGCCGTTTCGAGGCTTCGAAGCACCTGAAACTGGAGACCTTGGAGAGGTTAAGATTCGCCGCTGAATATTGATCGCATGTCCTCTCGAAGAGTAGGGAAAGCGGGGAAAGGATGAGAAGCCGAACGTCCAACCCAGAATGAGACGCTTCCAGGACCATGGTTGCTCTCGGTGCAGCCTCTCAAAAGCAGAGGGAATAGGATCCCAGAGCATGATGGCGCCTTGATCTTCCTCCCATGCATGCCTTTCCAGCAATGCAATCCCCTTGGGAAGACTAGAGGGGTAGATCGCATTATCGCAGTCGTGGATGGCACTGTAACCCTCCCACACCCTCCTGGGACTAATCATTGTGCCAATTCCTTGAAGGTGCCTTCGATTACAGAGCTCCGTCGGCTCCTTAGGCGAAGCATCCGGCCGTTGACGTCGGGCACGCTGCTTCAGCCGGTCATGTGATTGCTACAAGGACTTGTAGCGTAGGTGCGAAGACCACGGCGAGCACGGATAACACCACTCCCGCTCACATCATTGCCAGTAGACTCCATGCCTTCATGCTTTCAAGCCTGTAGCTGCTGTGAGGGACAATCTCCGTTGAATATCCGGGTGATTGAGCCATTCCATTTAAGTAGAAGGCTTCAGTAAATGCCTGACAGCTGGTCTGTTTCCTCTGGCCTGATCGGCGATGCGAGACAACTCTCTCGTGGCGGAGTTGCATGAGTTGCGACGAGACCACACCCAATCTGCTTCCACGGTCTGGAATGGAGTGCTGTAAACAACACTGGACGAGTCTCGGTCCGCTGTCGAAATGGCTTCTTCAGCGAGCAAGCAATGTCACGAAACGCTAGTGGACTGGAAACAGCGAAACACGTGAGCAGAAGGGAAGGAAAACCACCCAGTCCAAGGTCATCGATTGCATTGACTGGTCAAGACCGTCTAGCTGCAATTCTGCCTTGAACAGACGAGCCCTCGAATCGAGCTCAAGCACTTGTTTTGTTGTTTCATTCAAGCTTGCATGATAACCAAACCCAGGTCCGTTATGCCTCGAAATAGCGTAGTGAATCAGATGCAAGCCATCGTAGCTGGACCCTTGATATCCTTGACTCGTCACCAGGAACCCGCTGACCATGTGCAACCTCCAGATTTCTTCCGCCTTGCTTTGCATCATTGACCTAATCATTTCTGTTCCACATCCCCTCGACTCCACGAAGAACCCCTCTCACCAGATTGGTATCCAGGATGATTGACGTTTGTAGTCAGTTGAGATGGAATAATTCCAGTGGATCCTCAAACGCATGTCGTCGAGAGCGAGAACAAACTTTTGTCACTCAATTTTGACGTGACCATGTATGTTGTGAAACGGACGAGAAAGGAAAAGAAGGATTTCGGCAGGCAGGCTTGCAAGGCGTCTAAGCCGGACAAGCAGACTGAACGTGGCCAGGTTGCTTGCCTAAAGTCCGATGTTAGACTATGTTTGGATCTCAGACCGGAGAAACTCACATTTGTAGCAGATGCGTTCAGAGCTTGGCTCAGAAGGGCAGTCGCGAGACAGATGGCCTTGCTCACCACAGTTCTGCAGGATGTCAGTATGAGGTGGGCCAACATGAAGAAGGGTACTCACGTAGCACTTCTGCGAACGACCTTGAGTGCAGTCACTATCAGGATTAGTTGGATGAACAAGCGCGAGATACTTGTGTACCATACCGAGACATGTGGCCGATGCCGCCGCAGGACTGCAATACGTCAGTAATCCCAACATTGCCGCAGACTGCGCAAACTCACGTAGCAGGTTTGGCCGCCGCCGCCGCCACCACCACCACCACGACTGTAGCCACCATAGCCGCCTTGGGGACCACCGGAGGTGCAATCACTAGATTCATCAGTAGGTGCAGTGCATCGTCTGGCGAACAGATCTTACCGCGCTATGTGACCTTGACCGCCGCAACGATAGCACTCACGACCACCGCCGCCACCTCCACCGCCGTAGGCATTCCCGCCGGTACTGCCCCAGCCAGAACCACCATTACCGCCAGCACTACCCCAGCCAGAACCACCGCCGCCAACGGGGCCGGCTTCAGTGCAGTCACGAGCAAGGTGAGTTTGGCTTCCACCTGATATCATCAGTTTGTATTCAATTACATCTTTCGCAGGTCGAACCAACATTTGTAGCAGGACTTTGGCTTAGGAGCTGCAGTGCATTCGCGACTGACGTGTCCTTCGGCTGCGAGGAGAGTCAGTAAGAGTCGAGCGGGTAGATTGAGTGCGTGTTGGTACCTCCGCAGTTGTAGCTGGTTGAGAAATTCAATTAGCTGCGCACTTTCGAAGTTGTGGTACGTTCTTACCAAGTTGGAGTTCCCTTCTTAGGACAGTCGCGAGCCTAACGTAAAGTAAGAGGTTGTAAGAGCAGTCATAGCGATCGTAAGCACCTGGTGAGAAGAATCACCGCAGTTGTAGCAGCCGCGATCCATGATTGCGAGCTGAAACTGAGTTCACTGAGTCGGTCTGTCAGTATCTGCTCCAAGGCGCAGCGAATGCAGCATTGGAAGACGCACCAATAGAGAAATAGATATCTGAAAGAGGGATTGTTGTTGAGTTGCGTCTGTCGAAAATGGGAAGATTGATTTGTGAGACGATTGGTGAAAGTTGAGGGCTGAGAAAAATTGAAGTGAATGTACGGAGTCTACCTAGGACAAGGGTTTCGATGGTTAGTGTGGACACTGTGGAGGCAAAACGTCACTTTTTGTTTGATCCTCCAGGCGTGGCTTGTTAGGTGCTTTACTGGTGCTTGTGGGCAGCTCCCTGCGTCTGCGTTTGTGCCAGGCGTGACTTGTCAATGGCTTCACTAGGCTGGGACCAGTTACGGCGAGTCGGCTCGTTTATCACCTCATCCACTTGTGACCCTCGATCTTTGTGCTTAGCCATCTTGCCATCTGCCAATTGATCCACCTGTTTGGTCGATGACGGTTCTGGACGCATCTGAGGCAACTCGACCGTTGCGACGTGCAGCACTGGTCCAGAACTTGAACAATTGGTCATGTATCATTCGTCAAGATCTATATCTTAAGCCCTCGGGCTCTACGTGAAGTCATACAACGCCATTATCTGCTTCTGATCTCTCTCTCCGAGCACCACGACTTGCTCATCGTCGAAACCGACCCATCTTCTGGTCAGGCTGATCTCTTGCTTCATTTCGGGGAGAGCAAGTCCCAGCCCGGTGCCTCTTCGTGCCAACGCCGCAGCGACTCCGGACAAAGCGTCTACTGCCTTGATCCGCGTGCTTGTCCTGGCTTGACTGTTGGCAGTCATCACCGGTTCTAATTCCCATACCCGAATTTCATCTCCTCGGCAGCTAATAGATACTGCTTTGCCACGATTGTTTACTTCTGCTCCGGACACCCCCGAAGTGTGACCCCAGAGGCGTCTGCCAGCGCTGATCTCCAGTTTGCTTTCGTTTGAGGTCACCAGAAATGACATAATGGTGTTGTCTGCAAGGGTGCAGAGCAAGAAAGGATGCTCGTAAGAAAGTGAGGTAGGTGGACTCATCAGCTGGGGATGTAAAGGAAATGGTAGCGAACTAGTCGAACGTGTCGACACCTCCCATCTGTCTCTTCCCTGATATCTTGCATCAAATGGTGTCTCGATGGTCGAGGTTAATCTGCTGTCCAACAGAATTCCGTTCGTGGACAGCATGATTTCCTGTAATCCCATGCACCAACCAGAATGTAGCCGATTAAATGCATATGCAACGGTCGCGATAATTCTCGATGGCGTCCTTCGAAGAGCCAGAGAAACTGGAGAGAACGAAGCATCTGACTGAAGTCGAGTAATGGGTTCAAGGCTGGCTTCCGACCCATCGGCCTCCTTTTTTCCCGCCAGGTTATACAACGACAGAAACTTTGTCTTAGAAACAGACATTGCATAAGGCATTGCAAGGGCAACCGCCATCAGTGGCCCATCAGCAGTACGATGGCTCGACACTTGCTCAAAACCTCCCCCGTCTTGGAACAAATAGGTTGAAAACGTGCCGTCATCGAAGCCCAGTAGTACGTGAACCGCTCCATTCAGAGCGTCAACGGCCATACAGGTCGCAGCAGTCGTAGCTTCAAGGCGCAACTGGGCTTTGAGCGTTCTTGTGCCCTCCGATGCCAGCCATGCTCGTAGCCCCGACAACCGGTCGAATGTGAATATTATGCCCTTGTAGACTTTCGCGATAACGGGCGGCGTTGGGGGATGCGCAACCTCGACTTCATGAACTTTGGCCGTGCCCGCTGCCCAATTGCTCCTGACCTTGAATTGACGCTTCCAGTCCACTGCAGGGCCATCCCGCAGTTTCTGTCCATGCTCTAGCCATCTTGCTATCTTGGTTCTTTGTTTTGATTCTTCTTCAGTCTTCACCGCAGGCAAACGACGGGCTCGAGGATCGATCCAGGTGTCATAGTAGTTCGCCTTCCAGATCTCTTTATCAATCGCAAGGGAGCGGAATCGGCGCGACACCCTATAGAAAATTGTCAGTTGCGATCTGAAGCAGAAAGGCACTACTTACGATTCAGTGCGCAGTAAGTCCTTTATCGGGAGGAAGGACAAGACACGAAGGAGAATCTCATCACTGATATCCAACAGATTGCGCCTTGAGCCTGTCCGAGATTTCTTGACAGAGCGTCCCACCACATCATCGTCATCTGGTCTCCTTCGCTTGCCCATCTTGCACTTTTTCTTCTGTGACGGCACCCGAGAAAGAACGGAATAAAGAGGCGACCACGGTGCCACAGTCCCTGCGGCGGCAACGAGACATTCGTGACATTCATATAATTCCGAAGTTCTACCAGATATCCCCAGTGGGGTCCTCGGGTCCTCGCGGGCTGGACAACTCATCCCGTTCATTCTGTCCTCGACGCGTAACTACTTCCATCACCATCACCAACACAATGAACGCGACACCACAATCACTTACCAGTACCCTCATATCAGCATTGGGCCAAAGCGAGACCCTCATACGTCAATTGGATGAGAGTACAAAAACTATAGAACGACTGAAACGCGAGAACGAGAAGTTCAAGAACGAATTAAACGACTTCCGGAGCAAGCAGGATACTGTTCCTCATGTATCTGCTCCTCCTGATCAACAACTCAAGCGTGAAAATGAGCTGCTGAGGAAGGAAATTGACGAATTCCGAATTAAACAGAATGAGGCTCCCGGTCTCTCCGATCAGAATGCTCACTCTTTGGAACGGGAGCATGAGAAGCTCAAGCAGGAACTTGAGGAACTTCGGCGTAAGCACGAGGATGCTCCAGGTCTATCTGCTCAATTTGAACAATTGTTCAGAAGGGACGTGGAAAAGCAAGCGGAGATAGATCAACTGAAATCCAAACTCCGCCTACTTCAAACAAAGGAACGAAGATGGCGACTACAGAACCCTGGCGTTTCTTCTCCAACCATCTCTTCTGATGAGGTGGAAGTCAGCACCACTCCTGTAAACACCAAGCGGAAGCGACCTCGAAGCAAGAGTCCAGAGGTACTGAAGGAGATATCAGGAAACGTTCCTGCTGGGGTTGTTCAAGCGTCAAAAGCACGTCCAAAATTCAAAAGACTCAGCGATAGGGGAGCTGATGCAATTCCGGCGGTAGCTGAGGACGGTGACGACTACGATGAAACGCGGCCTGGCTCAGCAGCGGGCAAGGGCAGTAAAGGAAAAAATGGCAGCTCACCTCATCAGCGTCTTCAGGCATTGCTTGCAGCTCCTGCAGCCACAACTCCCATGCTATTTCCTCACCTAGACGCAAGTCCGGCAAGCCCAAAGACAGCCTCCCCCGCCGAGCAACCGAAATTCCAGGCGCCGACACCTGCGATGGATACAGCTGCCCCAAAGACCAGTTCGTTGAGGAAGCCTCCTTTTCTTCCATCAAAAGCGGCTCGAACAGTACCAGAACCTGAAGATGAGGAACCTTTCCGTTCGAGGCCGGTGAATCGTCTCAGCCTTGCCCACTTCAAGATCAACCCTTCGTACACTGGTGGTTTAGACTATGCCTACGACGATATCGTCCGGGGCAATGCCAGAAAATGCTTGCCGGGCTGCACTCGACCGGAGTGCTGTGGTGGCAAATTCAGAGTACTGGCAGACACTCTCCCCACTGATGAGGACGTGTCGGACGACGATTTGCTCCGCGACTTTCTAGGTCCTGGCTCAGAAGAGAAGATCCGTACTTTGACACCGCTTGCACGAGCAAATCTTGTGCATGAAGCACGTGCGAAGAGGTTGGCGAATCTATATGGGAAGATGCATCGAGAGACGTTCGAACGAGCGCAGAGCCCGCCAGGGTTTTGGAACACAGAATTTCCATCAACACAGGAGGACAAGGATAACCGTGAGCAGGCAAGACTGAGAGAACGTGAGGAGGTTGAAAAGAGATGCCAGGAAGCGAAAAGAGGGAACGGACGGTGGCTGTTTGCTGATGAATGATGATAACGAAATGAGACATGAGTATAGTCGGGCAATGCCTTATATTGCTCCCATGGGACGGACTGAGCGGCGACAGCAACCTCCTAAGCATCCAAGAGTACAAGCAACCTGAGGAATTTCTCCATTTAACGATGTCTCCCTTCACTTGGGAGTCCTTTCTGCTGTTAACCACTGGATCATTTACCAATTCTCGCTGACCCTCCGAAGGGATTCTCTCTTGGCGTAAACGTCTGCGAGATGCCACTATGCCTTTATATCACAAAGTCCTCAGCTTGCTTAACGCGCTTCATCGATTTCTCGGTTCGGCTCTCTTTTCTCACCTCGTTCCTTCATTTGTCGGGTTTCGGATCTGAAGTCGAACGCGATACTCAATTCCTAAATGATTTTCCCCTTGTCCACCATGAACCCGACCGGTGTCGACGCCGTCAGTGGCACTTCTACGTCCAGACCATCTGCGAATTCTGCTCTGATGTTGCGCTTGCGCATCGGAACGGGCGTTGACGCTCTAGACTTCAAGATGTTTTCTAACAACCCTCACTTGAGTCGTTACTACATCCAACAAATTAATGGACTCATTCCAAGTCGTTATCGCCTTCCGAAAAAGACTTTTCGCACGGCCATCGGACGCGCAATTGCAGGAGCTCTCACATATGTAAACGAAACATGTCCACCCGCGCTCAGACTGGATAGACTACCACATAGTTGCGATTGGCCGGGTAAATGTCGAATCATCGCATCTTTAATACCTGTCAGTTACTTCCCAAGTTTGGGAGAAGTCACTCATCGCTTCTACCACGGATTGATCCGATACCTTCAAGACACACAGGCCAAAGGTCACAACCTACATCCAAACACCCCCTCAACAAACCCTCCTCCGGGGTCTGACCAAACATCCGCCATCAAAATTGAAAGTGAGGACGAAGGGCAGTCCGCTCGGTCTCCAGGCAAAACCAAGGGCAGGAGGAAGTCAAACAAGAGGAAGAGACATTCGGAAGTGTCCGCGAACGCCGCGCCCCAGAATGAGCGGAACGCTGCTCACCACAACAAACGAACGAAGCCACCGTCTATGGGACAAAACGGCCCCATCATCCCAGATCCGGTTGTCGAGGTGACGGCGAGACGACCGGACGTCGATGCGATCACAGAACAACTTCGCGAGGGACTGGAGGTCTCTCCAGCAATGGGCCGAACACCAGAGACATCCGGACATGAGAGCTCTGAGGAAGAGTCGCAGACTGAAAGTGAGACTAGTTCAGAAGAGGAATCAGAATATGAAGATATCAGACCATCGACCGAATCTGCAACAGAAGTCTCTGAACCCAGGCGTCCAAAGCCAAAGAAGAAGCCACTCAACGTATATCAAGCAATGTTCGAAGAAGCCCAGGAGGAGATCCGCTTCTTAACGGATCTTCTAACAAAAGGTGCTGGCCTCACCGAGGCGGATCTCAAAGCTGCAAAAGTCCGCGTGAAAAATAAAATGGGGTTTAAGTACGCGTTTGAATCCGTCTTCAACAAAGAGCAAGAAAAGGAACAGCCTACGAGGGCAAGGAAACCTCCAAGGAAGAAGAAACGAGTCACTATTTGAGACCACGGCGGATCTGGATATTCTGCAGAAGAATGCGTACCAGGAAAAGTCGATGATGCAGTGCAGCCGAACAGTGGCATCTGGGATGCGTGATGCAGCATGATCGAGTTTGCATGGCCAAGCTCAGGCTGAGGATATCGGGTGAGAGAGATAGAGCGTAGAGGGGACGATGGATCCCATTGTGTGTGCTTACTCTCTTTGGATTGTGTTCATGTTTGGAGATGTGATATCAGGGAAGTCAGTCTAGACGTCTCATGCTTGGGCATTGAGTTTTGTCGGTTGCTGAAGCGATACCTTTCCATAAGCGGCATCATGCAGGCTCACCGTTGAGTGTACCTAAGAAGTAGCACAGCAAGCAAACAGCATTGGAGATGATCGACCTTGCTTTCGTTCCTTTGCCTGTTCCGCGACCAGTACGCCCATTTGGTTCATGGTATCATCTCGGTACCGAAGTTCATGAAGGAGACCGGAGGCAGCAGATATGGGGAAACGTGTGCGGACCAACAGTCGAGTCAAGCAAAAGGGTCCTCGATATTCATGTCGAAGCGTGTTTGCAGAGGGAAGAAAATGGCCATAAAGCATGTACAGGGGTGCTGCTCCTTTGCTCGGCGGATGGATATGTCGTTCTTGGATCACTGTAAATCACGGTCATATCATACATCGAGCTAGCTACAGTGTGCTGCTGTGACCTGCTGAGGGGATAATGTGATGCGTACCATACCATGTCATGTCGGTCTCCGACTCTCTTTCATAGGTCATATACTTCGTACAATGCCACAAATACATGATACTGGCGATGCAGCCGGCGTTAATGCTGCAATTTGACAAGCACAGCTCAAAAAAGGAAAAGGCAATCAGGTAACCCCGAACTTCGCAATGTGAAATTTGTCGTCGCTCAAGACCGCCTCACCATCATGATATCGTCCTCGTTACGAATAGAAGACACATCGAACAACCATTGAAACCGAAACCCAACCCATATGTGCAGATACCACCGTATCCAGCTTTTCTTACGGGCTCATTCTATCAGGCTTTTTGCCGCTGCGATGAGCTCGATTGTTCAAGAGTCGAAAATTGGCGCGAATATTGGAACGCCGCGCGACTCCAACGCGTAGACCACTCGCCTTGTGACTTTCGGATTGGAGATGATAAAGCAAGCTTCTGCACCCGATGACACGTACAGATCATAAGTGTATCTGACCAGATCTGGGCGTCCAGTGACGGTAGTGTTGATAATGATGGCCTCTTGGTCAGCCCTACGGACAGCCTCAAGGACTAATGACTTGTAGGTGCGTTCTGGATCTGGAGTTGACCACAATATGCGACAGTCTATGTTTCTGCTTGCTAGCAGGGACAAGACTGGACCGATGCCTGAACCTGTGGCGACAAGAATCACTCTCTTGAAAATAGGAGCAACGTGTAGAACTCCCATGGTTGGAATGCCGCGAACCCAGAGTTTGGTTGGTGGTGATCTGATGAGACGCGACGTCCAGTCACCTGCCTTTGATACAAGCACAGAGAAGCCGTGGCCATCCTCTGCTGGGATACCTGCAAATGCGTGCCATTCCAGAAGCGGACTGTCCGAAAGTCGTGGTGCTGCACACAGTGGAAGGTTCGTGTAGGTGAAATGCAGACGGATCGCATGGTCCGACAGAGGCTCCGCATGCACAGCAACCTTTCGCAGCCATATCCAGGGCAGTGCGATGGAGATTGTGGTGACCATGAGTGTCCAGAAGACCGGACTGTATGCAATTGCCTCTGCTATGGTGAGGTTGGCGTCTGTGTCCTGAACTGCCGCATCTGACAGAAGCCCAAAGAGCACCCAGATTAAGATTATCGAAGTCCATCCTGCGAAGCGATGAATGACCTCGAATAAATTGTGGATTCTTGCTCGAACGCCTGGATGAGCTGTGACGAGGATGGATATGAGGAGTATGTTGAGGACCACGGTGATGGCCGGTATCGCAGTCTGATGTGCATGAACTATTTTCTGTCGATAGACTCTGACAATAGCAGCGTTGAAGAAGCCAAACCAGAGAGTGGCCGACATTCCGGCCCCACTGTGCACACCTCCTAGATGATATATTTTGGCTGCCATGCGGCGAATTCGTAATGGAAACCATCGAGGACATTTGCCGAACGACCAGAAAAGAGCGTTGATAACCAGCTCTTGTCGGACCAAAACTCCCACGAGGATGTTGATGGACACGGCAGTCGCAGCCTTCTGGGGTGACATGTTGACCAGCTTATGCTGTGTAGCCAGGCCTATCATGGCTGCAATGTTTGCGGCAAGGACGAGGATGTTGAGCCGTCGGTAGACCGACAAAACCGTCCATCGTAGGTTACGCAGAAAACGGTCGTACTTCTTTTCCGGCATCATTGTTGAAGGCATTGGATGCTTCTCGAGGGCCGTGATAGACGCTGATTTTGAGGAGGAGTGATCGCGTGGCGCGTCGTATTTTGGTAAGACAACCTGTGAATTGACAGGAGAAAAGGCTGTGGCTTCTGAGGATTCGGTCTGGGATCTTGGATAATGAGGTTCACTTGGGGAGGTCTGTTCCGGAGCATGGTTCTGCTGAAGTTGGGTTGTATCGTGCTCGAGGGAAGCATAATCTAGCTCTGCTTGTGGAGGACGATGAGAGTCAAGAGGATCTGGAAGAACTGTCGAGGCCATTCCGAGATGACTAGAGGTAAGGTGAGACGTCAGTAAATTGGACTATGGCCAAATGGCGTGGTGCAATTCAAACTGAAGACGAGAAGACTGATGAAGCCGTCGCTCGAATCTCTTTTGTGTGGTCGAAGACGAGCAAACGTACAAAGACCATGGTTCCTAGCTAGGGCCAGTATGCCGCAGCATTGAAGGATGGCAGAGGATCATTCAGAGGTGAAGAGCAGAGGAAGAAGGAAGACGGATGGTTGGAGGGAGTCCAGGTATCTTGTCGGCAGAAAAGTACTTGTGCAAGGCGGGAACCACAGCACCAGAGGCAACAGGGGCAGGATCACTCACGACAAGATAGCTCCGCACAGAGTCTGCTTCTTCGAAAAAAGGTAGCCCTGTTGTGATGAGATTGTTCTGGATTATCGTTATCGGCATCTGATAAGAGGAGGATCTCGAGATTTTATACGAGTGGCATACGAGTGAATGGCGGTGGAAGGGCGGCCCTGCGAGACTTTTTCGACGGGGTAGGTGGCCTCGGACAAGAACAACGTGTTGCGGATCCTACAAGATGGTACCAGGTGATGGTCCGGATAGATGAGGCAGAGGAGGCGAGGTGTGTCCAAGTGGGTGGCGACCAAGTGGTCGAGGCAAGGCAATGAATGCGGATGGAGGTACCTGGGGTGACTCGAAAACGTGGGCAATGAGAAATCATGCAACCGAAGCCGAAGAATGACAGAAAGCCAAAACAAAGGTATCCGACCCGAATGTAAGCGAGGAAGATTCATACTGATGGTGATATACCACAGTGTGCGCTTTCCGGTCCTTGAAACTTGAATGGTGGTAGCAGGCTAGCAGACTAGCAGTGATGGTCTGAAGAACTATTGATGTCAAATCAACTGTGCTGAGGAAAGAAGGATCCATGGATTTGGGATTGATGCCCTGTCCAGCTCGTTTTGCGTTTCGGTAGCCAATTGATAGTCTTCCCATATATTGAATGCAACTGTATATGCTCCATCCACTGTGCAGGAAAGAATGGTGGAGGCAGAGATGGAAAGCATCAAAACACCACTCGTCCTGCAGAGCGTAGCCAGATACAGCCTTGGACAGCCCAGGTGGACGACTTTGACTAATGATGCCGCTGTCAGAATCCAAGAGACAGAGATAGAGACCAGACAATGCCCGCCAAGTCGACTTTGTTGTTGTTCTGTGGCCAAATGCGAAACCAAACGAGCAGGAGCAGAAGTAGAAGCAGAAGCAGAAGCAGTTGTCTTGCATTGCGTTGACCTGTAGAGCCAGTCATCAGTCGTCCGCTGCTTCATTCATTCTGCTTCGGCCCAGTCCTGCCAACAGCCATCAGCTATTAGCAAGTAAATCTTACCTCTTTCACTGCCTTTCACCGAATGTACTGGCTTTTCACTTCCAACTCAGCCATCGTAATCCTTTTCTCGCCTCTTTACTGTTCTCCCCAGATCTGTATCATCTCAGACACCGATACTTGATCCGTTTCTTGCATCCCACAGCCTTTGCACAAAGAGCATGCTCTCTTGCATACCTCGTGCTACCTGACCTGCAACTGTCCATGCCATCTACGCACGCATGGTGACACCTGTCTCTGTCTGCAAGCCACAGTTACACAATGTCTTTGTCGACCGACTCATCCACAGGACATTTCTGGACCTCATCCAAATCCCTCTCCGGCGCGGCGGAAGAAATCTTGACCACAGACGTCTTGACCTTCACTTTCGCTAATCTCAGTCGATATGACAACGACAAGCCGGTAAGCTGCTTGAACCTCGAAACTCTCCGAAGCAGAAATGGAGCTAACAAGGACTTGATCCAGATCTTCATCGACGCAAAGAACCCATCCCACTTCGTGTCAGCCTCTCAAGCCTCCGAAATCGTCGCTCGACTTGTCAAAGGTTTCGAGAGAATTGGTATCAAAGAGGGGGACTGTGTGTGCCTGCATGCCTATAACAACGTGAGATTCCTCTGTTGCTCAAAACGGCTGTTTCCGCCGCCCTTCTGCTTCACAATCTGTCGTGTGACTGTACTGACCGGGTCGATCTGGGGATACGATAGATCTGGTATCCCCTGATTTGGCTTGCAATAATCGGATCCAAGGCGATTGCCTCCCCCATCAACCCTGCATACACTTCTACCGAGCTCGACCGACATCTTAACCTCACAAACCCCAAGTTCATCTTCACTCAACCAACGTGCATTGAGCCAATTATTCAGGCTGCCTCCAAATGTAGCATTCCGACCTCTCGCATCTTCTTCATTGGTGGTCTGCATGATGCCCCTCTTTGTGGATGTCGTAATTGGCAGACACTGTTGGTTGAAGGTGGGAAGGATACCCTGGGGCCGTCTTTCGAACATGGCAGATCCCTCCAGGACCGGGTGGCGGTGTACGCCATGACCAGTGGCACGACTGGACTACCAAAAGCGGCCATGATTCCACATCGATATATTGTCGCACAAGCGGCAGCGCTGGAAGATCAGTTCAAAGCCAGAAGTTACCAGGTATTGTCACCTTCGGCGTCTGCAGCTCCGGAACAAATCGCAACTCTGACATCCATCACAGCCATCGCAACTCATCTGTCTGCCTGTCTTTCATGCATTTGCATCACCTCTGGCTCTTGTCCTACCACTACGTCTCGGGGTGCCGACCTATTTTCTCCCCAAGTTTAACCTGCCGGACTTCCTGCAGGCTGTGCACAAGTTCAACATCACGGACTCCCCAGTGGTCCCTCCAATTGTCGGTACACTAGCCCATTTGTCAGGGGGGGAAGGCCAGCAGCTTCGGAGCTTGCGATACGTCATTTGCGCCGGAGCGACACTCAACTCGAGGGCACAGACAAGACTGAGCGAGCGATTGCATCCCGAGGCGAACGTTGCTCAATGCTGGGGAACCACCGAGGCTGGCTGGCACACTCTGTTCGATTGGAACGAGAAGGATACTTCTGGAAGCGTCGGACGGCTGCTACCCAATGTCGACATAAAGTTGCTTGACGACAAGCAGAACAATATCAAGAGCGAGGACGAAGTCGGCGAAGCCTTGATTCGGTCGGCCGGTATGTTCCATCGTTACGTTGGGGACCATCAGGCAAGCAGTGAAGCATTCGATCGTGACGGATTTTATCGAACTGGTGATTTTGCTTTCGTCCGAGACGGCAAAGTGTTCTATACGGGAAGGCGAAAGGAGATCATGAAAGTTAACGGTTGGCAAGTGTCGCCCATCGAAGTCGAGACAGTTCTTCTCGAAGATCCTCGGATCGCCGATGCTGCTGTGTACGGTGTCAGCTGCGATAATGGCCAAGGTATTTGGCAGACGACGCTTTGTGCATATGTCGTGCGGAATTTTCTGGAATCTGTCAACGCTAATGATCGGTTGTCGGACGAACCCAACGAAGAAGCTGTACACAAGTTGAGCGAAGAAGATGTCAAGAAATTTGTGGCATCCAAACTGATTTCATACAAACATCTGAAACGAGTCTCGTTTGTGAAGAGGATTCCTCGCTCACCGACCGGCAAGATCTTGCGTTCGAGACTCCATGAGGTGGAATTGGACGAATGAGATGGCCGATGCTGGAATGACGGGCCTGACCAAGTCAGTCTCAAGCCTAGACTCGTCACGACCAGCAACGAGGTGGTGTGTTGACAGAAAAAACGCAGAAAAGAGCTCTTTGAATACTCGAAAGGCTGCCGGGACTGCATGGTGCAAATCCATGAAGACTCCTGCTGAGGAAAGGAGGGTTCAATGCTTAGTGGCTGGTGGAAGATCGTTCATCATTGGCTACTTTCGCTCAACCGCAGTAAATACGTGCTTGTCCAAGATGACCGAGCTCAGGGGCGATGTAGATATTTGATAGACTCGAAAGTGAAATACTGGCAAAGAAGCGCAGAAGAATGACAAACGATATTGCTAGTTGTTGTAACAATTCTTGGGAGGCTCGGAACAGTTTCCTTTCGTGACAACTTCCTGAACTCTTGAATCCTTAGAAAACATCCAGACTGTGCATCATTGTCGACGAGTAGAAAGAATCAGTCTCGAGCAACAGGGTTACTCTCGCATCATTTGTCGACAGGTGCAAATCGACTAGGAGTCAAGAGATGGCAGGCACTCAACCAGACATCGCCGTACAAATAATTGTCCCAAATGACACCAACCCGTCCGCGGCACCACTTCTGTCCGCCGAACGACGAATCACTCCGTCATGGACGATCTCACAGCTCAAGTCTAAATTGGAGCCGGTGACTGGAATCCCGGCGTCTGCTCAGTCTCTACGAACACGCAGTCTCAATGGCACTTTTGTCCATCTTTCCGACGAGTCGAGCCTTGTTGGGGACGCACATTACGGACTTCACCGGGGCAGTGAGATCGAAATCATCGACACGCGGCCCGCAGGCGCTCGACAGACATTCAACTTCGCCGACCTGAGCTCCGTGGAGAAGTACCAGATGCCGGAGAGCCAGTATGAGAAACTCGACGATTCCGTGTTGGCGTGGAAGAAGCGCGCCAAACTCGGTCGGTTTGATCCGAGTAGTCAGAAGAGCAAGCCGGTCTCGGAGATGGCAGAGGAGAGAAGACGGGCGGATAAAGAGGTGATTGAACGGCGCGGGATCGAGGTCGGAATGAGGTGTAGGGTCGGACGGGACGACATGAGGAGGGGTGTTGTCCGGTTCGTGGGCGAGATTGATGGCTTGGGTGGTGCGAGGGAGAGCGGGTGTGTCTGGGTCGGGGTCGAGTTGGATGAGCCGGTGGGACGAAATGATGGGAGTGTGCTCGTCGAGATTGCTGCAGATGATGCTGATGATGACGATGACGAGAAAGAGGAAGGGAAAGGAGAACGCGTCGGCAAGAAGGAGAAGATGGTGAGGGTGTTTGAGTGTCGGGATAAGTTTGGCGTCTTTGTGCGCCCGGAGAAGGTCGAGGTCGGCGAGCAGTGGACCATGCTCGGGCTGGATGATCTGGGCGACGAGGATATGGAGGAAGTTTGAGCCAGTGAGCCGAGAAGGCGCGAGAATAGAGCGTGCGCACATCAGGTCGAGAAGGGATATGACGAAGATGTTGTTGAATCGCTCAAGTGGATCATCATTATCATCATCACGACGGTCTCTTACTACATTACGAGTGATGAGACACAGATGGTGGGAATGGTCCTATCCCAGGCTGTTTGTTCCATGAGGCGAAGCAACCCTGGCAGACTTGACGGCCTCCTTTGGAATCGAAATGGAAAAGAATGTCAACGGTATCAGACCTTGCAGGATGCTGTCACCCAGGTGCGAGGGTCGACGAGAGACGGAAATTTCGTGCCACGGTACAGAGGTAGTCGGCGCATGAAGGAGACTCCAAGCACCAAGTCGAAGATCGACCGGATCTGCTTGAGGACCAACTAATCGATGGGTTTCTCAAGAAGTCATTGCACGTCTCTAATGGAAATTCTTCCTTAATGCGGAGATGGGGCTTCTTCTAAGGCGCTATACATAATGTGCCTGGAAGATCCAACTTCCTCCCAAGCATTCTCATTAACGTTGCAGCCTACTGTACACGCGCAGCATGGCTGCACAGCAGCTCTATGATCGCCAGGCCTCATTTCATTCACAAGGTTCAAGCATTCACAGTTCAGTGAGTGTTTGCCTCATCAACCCGAAGATGGCAATCAGACATTATGGGCATAGATGACCAAGATCCTGGTACATTCGGGTCTGATCTTGACAAACACTCATTCCTCATCCGCGGCAGACGAGGTTTCGCAACCCTGACTGAAAAATATCCGCGCCGGCTTGTCGAGTTCATTCTCAATTGAATATTGGTTTCCTGCAATTGCACGAGTTAGCTCCGTCTTCCGCACGAGATGGTTCAATGGCAGTACTCACCCCTCGGGACCTGCCAATAGCCCCCTTTCCCAATACTGAACCGGTTCATGCTTCCAGTCTCATCGGCCCCCATAGGGCCGACACTGACCGTTACACGTCCCTTCACCACGAAAAAGCTCATATGCATTTTCCGGCTGTTCTTGGGCCGCTTGATGCCACCAGGAGGCAGATCCACCAGTCCTGTACCGAAGAATTTCGTGCTGAGCAGTTTCGCATATCTGAATGTTGGACCCTCATGAAGACTAGAAGCCTTGACTTCGCGCGTCTTAATAGCTGCCGGGGCATGTGCGATTTCAATTTCCTCCTCTTCTCCCAGCGGTGCTTGTTCTGACGGGTCCCATATCGACACAGTACCACGCAGCGTACCGGTTTCGGTTTCCCAGGGTTCAGCATGGGCGTCTCCTTTCGGCGCATCGTCCATATCCCAATCAGAGCCAGAAGGGTCCGAATCCTCGGCTGATATGGTACGTGATCTGCTCTTGCCTCTGCCAGTTTTCTTCTTTTTGACCTTTTTCGGCATACTCGGTTCGACCTCTTCTGTTCGGACAACCTCCTTTATGCTGTTAAGGGGAAAGCGAGCGCCGTCCGCCAGACCGCCACTCCTAGGGCTGCCACCATAAACGCACCGCTCGTTGCGCCAGTATGCCAATGGCTTGATGCTTACGCGACCGCTTCTGGTATGAGTTACTGTGTCATCGGCGGGCGTTTCTCGGTGTAGAATGTATAACGATCTGGGTGGACCAGGCCTTGCTTTCACTTTCTCTATGATATCGTCGAGTTGTTTTTGCTGCCGTGAAGACATCTTGATGTTGGCGTCTTTGTTTCTCAGCGGTTTTTTGCCTTTCGCTTTCGATGACAACTGTTCTTGGGCAGCGTGAGACGGTTCCGGCGCGGGTTTTGGTCCCTGTCTTTGAGTTTTACGAGCTTTTTGAAGTACAGGAGAAAGGGCCGCTTCTTCATCGTGCTCGAAAACGTCCGATTTTCGCTTCTTCCGAGAATTGGCCTGATTGTGTACTACAGGGCCCACCGAGGGTTCAGGCTCAAATGTCCGATCGACCTCTTCGTCGTCGAATTGTTTGGAAGGGCTGCCCAGCTCTTCAGATGCTCCTCGCTCCTCGTTGTCGAATACCGCGACATCCCCATCGTCGCCATAAACGGGTGTGTGAGCTTCAGTCACATGTGAAGTCACTGCCGCCTCTTGCACGTCCTCGGCGTAAGTATCTTGCTCGTCTTCCTCAATGGAAGGCGCATTTTCACTCGTTCTTTCTATTTCCACCATACTAAGCCTGGCTCTACCATTTGTGTAGCTGCCATTCATGGTAATATCCCGTAAAGGTGACTTTTCCGGACTGGGTGTGGGTGTGAACTGTTGTATAAGCCGGGTGGTGGTACCGGTCGGGGTGTTCTCACGGTCTTCAGGATCTTCCGGCTGCAGGCTTTTTCTCGTCGAGAATATATCAACGTTCTGGCTTCGCCGAGCAGTGCCGCTGATACCGCTTTTTTTGGGCGACGATGACCGGGGAGGCCGCATTGGCGTAGCGCGAGTCGATCTTCGAGTGCTTGACGGAGCCTGCGCAGGAGTCAAGGCGGATTCTACTTCGATGTCAGGTTTTTTCAGGCCCGTGATAGCGCATTAAAGGTAAGGCTGGGTGTATTCCTGCCACCAGACATGCGTGCCGGGCTTCGCGACGTACCTGCTTCTTCCACACTCTCCATAACTATCATATTCTTCAAGGGAGATGGCTTGCGCGGGGATGAGAAGATGCCAGTGATTTCCTCCATTCCGTTAGCATCGAGAGGTCTTTGCTCGAGCGTGACTCCGGTGCGTCTGTATTGGATCAGTCGGGCACTTCATGCTGTGCTCGCAAAGTCTCACCTTCCCAGCTTTCCAACCGCGGAGTAGTTGACATCTTCGCGTCCGACGCGAACAGACGAACGAGGAGCCATAGTGGGCGTTAAGGGGCGTGAAAGAGAGTGACCGGGCGATGATACCGACTGCAAGCACTTGCGACAGGCCTGTAGAAGTTTGCGCAGACCAGTCGCCAATGTACAATGTTGATTGACTGCGCTGTGTTTACATAGTGAAAGTGGGCTTAGTTGGGTTAGCGCAGAAACTGCAGAGTGAACGCGGGAAGAAATTCTGCCGCTATTACGGTGCGAGGCTCGACGCGTCCTTAGTCTAAAGGGCTACGCGTCTCGACGTCTCAAATAGGACTTCGAAGTTGTTTGACGAAAGGCAGCATATCGAGAGCCGACCTGTATATTCCATAAAACAACACAGGACTCTCTATGATGGACGAAGAAACTACAGCAGCCGAGACTCCTGCGTCGGCAGTTTTTGTTCCTCCGTCGGTCCAGGACCATCAAGACTCACTACTATCCGGAAGGACATATGCACATTACAGCACAGTCCCTGAAAGAGTAACGAGGAATTCCGAGTCAGACCTTGGGACACCATGTGTGTTAGGCGTGGACGAGGCTGGACGGGGGCCCGTGATCGGTCCTATGATCTATGGTGTCTACTATCTTCCGATAGAAATCCAGCACTCACTCCTGGCTACGACGTACCATTTTGACGACTCCAAAGTCCTAACACCCGTTGTCCGTGCAAATCTCATGAAAGCCGTCTGCCAAGCAGACACAGACCTGTTCCAATCGTCCGGCTGGGCCATCAAATCCCTCAGTGCCCAAGACATTGGTGCTGGCATGATGAAAAATGGCGGCTCTTACAACCTCAATGCACAGGCCATGGACGCGACAGTCGACTTGATCAGAGGAGTGATCGACCGGGGCGTAAATGTCAGAGAGATCTACGTCGATACCATTGGCAAGCCATCGATTTATCAGAAGAAGCTGCAGCTGATCTTCCCAACAATCAAGATCACGGTCGAGAAGAAAGCCGATAGCCTGTTTCCTTGTGTTAGCGCAGCCAGTGTTGTTGCCAAAGTGACCAGGGATGTCAGCTGTGAGACTCTTCTTGAGGCTTACGTCCGGACAGTTGATACTTCCGACGAGGCTGCGGTCAATTGGGGTTCGGGTTATCCCTCAGACGCGAGGTGTGTAAGTTGGATGAAATCGGCCATAGATCCCGTCTGGGGATTCGGGAATGAATGCAGGTTCAGTTGGGGGACGGTAAAGGACATGTTTGAACAGAAAGGCGGACCTGCGAAGAGGACAGATTGGCCAGAGGATGGTGACGACGATAACATGCGACTTTCTCATTATTTCGGCGCCAACGGAACACCCGTACCAAGAACGGAAACAGATGAATTGAGAGCCTGGTTCGGAACAGGCGTTGGACTGGAAGCATTTTAAACCTTCGAGGCCATAGCGTGGCCGCCCATATCGATCCCGAATTGCTGACTTGCATCTGCCCAAGTCTACGCAAGTCTACCCGAGACACATCCTCGCCAGATACCAACAAGGGAACGCCATGCATATGCCCAACAAGACCCAAAGGAAGCTGGAAACGTTGCCGTTCACAACTTCGACTTCACCCACAGACCCTTCATGGCTCCCTGGATGCCCGGCAGATTGGCAGGACCATCATATATATCTCTCTCAACTGCTCTGGTGTTGATGTGTAGGGGACCAAGGTCCGACAGTTTCTCCACGCCCAGCAGACGACCCGCTGTAGCCGTCTCATCGCGCAAGATCTCAAGTACCCTTTCAACACCTTCGATGCCACCAGCTGCCAGACCATACAGAGCACCACGACCGATGCCGACGGCCTTTGCTCCTAGAGCCAATGCTTTGACCACATCGGTACCTCTTTTGATACCTCCGTCCACCACAACGTCCAGTTTGGTCAGCACTTCGGGGCAGTATTTTCGAATCTCGAGTAACGTGTGGATTGCAGGTGGTGCGGTGTCGGCCGCCCGGCCCCCGTGGTTGGATAAGATGATCCCCTTGATCTGATCTGCATGTTGGGCAGCATAGTAGGCGTCTTCATGACACTGTAGACCCTTGAGAATGATCGGCTTATTCGTATGCTTCTTCAACCAGGGCAGGGTCTTCGTCCAGGTCAATGTGGGATCAGTACCGAAGAACAATGACTGTCCGATCCCACCGCCGCCTTTTAATTCCGTGCCGCCTGCATCTTTAATGGCCGCCCTCTGATCTTCGACGATAAACTTTCCCCGTTCGTCCTCCTCTCTTTTCCCTGGCACCGGAGCGTCGAGGGTTAAGCAAACAAATTTAATAGCATCCAGCTTGTTGATTCTTGCCAGCATGTCTTCGGACTTCTTCCGGTCCCTCTGGACGTAGAGCTGCCACCCGAATACCTGACCCGGACCAGCGTCCCTGACAATCTGCTCCGGCGTCTGACTTGCGTTATTCGAGATCATCTGGATGGTCCCGAATTTCTTGCACGCCTGCGCGATTCCCCATTCTCCATCTGGATGTGCCAACCTCGCCATGGCCGCCGGCGACACGAAAATGGGTATTTCCATTTTGTGACCCAGAAAACTGGTGCTCAGGTCGCAATTCTCGCAGTCCACAAATACGCGTGGCCGCAGCAGGATCTGCCGGTATACAGTATTGTTGAAATATTTGCTTGCCAGATCGTCTGCAGCAGAGTGATAATATGCCCATCCCTTCTTGGACATCTTCTTCTTCGCCGCAGCCTCAACCTCATCCAGATTCAACAGCGAAGCCAGCGGAAGTGCAATCTCGGGACTCGGTTCTGGCCCTATATCTGTGGCTGCCTTCACTGGCTCAGGAAGCGTCTTGGGATCGATGGTCCCGATCTTCGCGGACTCGGGTAGATTCTCTTCGAGGGTGCCCGGAGGATGGATGGGGTCGTATTCTTCAGTCGCATCTTGACCGGCGAGCTTGAGGATGATGTTCGCGCCTCCTGGATGGGAAGACAAAAAGTCCGTCACATCCCATACGTTGCCGTAAAGGATGACCCAACAGGACGACTTCGACTTGTGCTTCTGCACTGTTGTCCAGATTAGCAAGCTGGTGGTGGGGGCGCCGCAGGGAAAGCCATATCATAGAAACACTCACCTTCTGCGAAGTCGATGAGCTTCGACATCTTGCCGGCTCACCACTCACTCACTCACTCTCTCTCTCTTTCCCTGCAACACTTGCCTAAGGTGACCACGCCGCTTCTATAGCGCAGCAAACGTCCAAGAAATAGGAAACAGGTTCCGAGTTGATGGATCGACATCGGATCTATATATCGGCGCCGCCATTGGGTCCCAGGCCCGCTGAGATTCCCGCTGAGATTCACCCCCACCTTCATGGCGACCCCAACCACCCCAACTTCTCGGGCTTCTCTCATACTTCACACGAGCACTGCAAGAGGCAATTGTCGGCGTCAGATAGACCGAATCGCTTTGGCGCAAGAGATTGGCCCAAGGCTTCTTCTACCGCCGGGTAGAAATGCGACACAGCGAGACGTGCTTCCTATTACGACCAACGTCTCTTGGGGGCACTCAAGCCAACAGCACACGGTCGACAGGTGTAGTGACTCGACCACGAGAAAATGGTCGGCTATTGACTACCAATCTGTCCGGCAATGCAATGTGGTTGTGATTGTCTTGCAACCCTCCAGAGGGACTACACGGCCTCTCCTGCGAATATATCATGTGCCGAGGAAGTACCCTGACATAGAAACATGTAGCGAGATACAAAGGTATCGGAAAGCTCGATACCTAAACTTCAGGCTTGCTAGGAATTGGTGCGGGAAATCATACACAAGTCTCAGAGTAGGAGGTGTCACATTGACCCGCCTACTCAGTGAGACTCGCCTTTGGAATATCTAGCGACCACGAAATACCAGCAGTCCTCCCACTGTGCCTCCAGATGATCTGTGGTGCAGAATTGTCGAACCATGTGTCTGACATCGCTCCAACTTCTGGGGTGTGTTTCTGATGCGACCACATGATCGAGCAGCATCCACCGCGTCGTAGGGGCGAGGCCAAAACACACGGACATCGAGGCCATCATCAGCGCGACCCAAAGTGTGCAGTCTTCTTGGGCAATGCTTCCACTTAAGGCCTGAAATCCGGAGACGTATCTGCTCAGTGTGCGAGAGTACTGCTCTGACATATAGACAGGCGGCAGGGTCAGGACGAGCACAAGCAACCCTACACACACCAGGCGTTCTCTGTCGCTGATGGCTCCTTTCTGCAATAGCCTGTGCAAACGCTCGGTGAGACTATTGCGCGATCCGAGTCCTTCTTGCGGACTTCTTCCTCCGTTGGTGGCGCATGTTTGAGCATGGTACCATTTCAGCGTGGAATCAATCATCGTCATGGTTTCGCAGTGGAATGGATGTTGCTCGATCATTTGCACGAAACCCGGTGAATGGCGGCGGACAAAAGGCACTAAATCCTCCAATGGCGCTTCGAAGACGGCAGGTATCGGCGTCGTCGAAACTTGTTCAGACTCTTCTTGAGTGATGAGGTCTTCGCGATTAGAACAGCAGGACTCCGCCCACAGATAGAACTTGAACGATCGACCACAAGAGGCTTTGAGCGCCTTCACGCCTCCGCGGATCTGGACGATTCGTCGGATCCCGTCGAGATTGACCGCATAGCTGTGCCAGTCTTCGCGCTCTTGGTCACTGACGAGGAGCGCGATGACGGCCCAGTATATAGCGTCGTCGAAGGCGGCTGATGCTTCGGACACGCGCCGCTGGAGGAGCGAGATGGCTTTGTTGTAGTGCTGCATCGAGCTGAGCGGCGATTCTGTCTCGGATTGTGCCTCAAAGGCCACTTGGCGGCGCGCCGCTGCGAAGACTGCTTCGGAGAGTGCGGGTTCGCGAAGGAGCCACTGCACAAAGTTGCGCGAGAACATGTTCTGTTCCGATGGGCCCGAGTCCGGACGCCATATGTATGTTGGCCCGTAGTGTAGCATTGCTGAGTCGAATTCAGGAATTCAATTTCGAGGTCCATAGAGAGGGAACTGAGTAGGACTTACTGAATTCAGACAGGTTCGAGATATATGCGGCGCGATGGGCAAGGTATGTCCGTTTCAGGTGGCTGGTGTAGTTGGGCGAGAAGACGGACAGGCCTGGCAACGAAGACCGACTCGAGCTCGCCGTAGGAGAAGTTGCATTGTCAAGTGGAAGTGGATTGGGAGGAGGTTGCCATGAAAGCGAGCGTTCAACAGCCTGTTGCGAATCTGGCTTATGAGCCTCACTTTGCGACTCGAAGAGCCATGCGTGTGGAAGATTGTAGCCGCCGCATGTTTTCTTGGACCTCGTACATCTTATGCACACTGGTTTTGTCTCATCGCATCTTATACGCCGGGCTTTGCAGGTCACACAACCAGATCGGACTTTGTGGTGGTGGACTTTGAAGCGTTTCCGAGATCGAGATCTTGTCGCAACATTATACTGCACATATTCTGCGAGTGGGACAGCTGGACAAGAGTGATTGAGCATTCTCGAAGAAGCGAGCGACATGGTTCAGAAGTGAAACCAGTTGGGCGAAGATAGTATTACATAGTAGTAGAGGAAGTCTTACTGCGGCCGGTGACGAGGGGGAAAGAACGAGATGGGGGGCCTGAGACTGGGACAGGTCTTACGGATCTCCCTCCACGTAGACGCACTAAACGTCTAATGGACAGTCATGGCCGTTACCGGATCACTCAGCCAGTGGTTTGCTCTGTCCATGCTTTGTAATTTCAATTAAGGACACCTAGATCATTCTTGATGAGGTACTACAACACTATCAGCTGCCAACGCCATCAAAGCAGTACGCAGGATCTGCCGAGAAAAGAACCATCATCTAAGTAGCCACTGTGATACAAGCTCAGATTCCTTCTTAAGGAGAGTGTTAGGCATTGTGACTGGACCTGGAAGCCTTTCACAAGGGCACGCCCCATCTCGGGGCGTTGATGATAATGCCCATCTGCGAACTGTTAGCGTGCCGTATGCATTCAGAGATATGCAAGACAAAAGCTCTTGCGAGAATTGTGCGAACATCCATGGGAATCTCGGGAATCAAGACTTACCAAGCAGCCAGCAATGATACCAGTGACTGGGAGGGTGATCATCCAGCCAAAGTAAATCCAGGCCACCATACGCCAGTTGATGGTCCTCCAGGTCCCGGAGCAAAGCCCAACTCCAACTGTGGCACCAGAGATGCACTGCGTAGTAGAGACGGGAAGCTCTGTGTCATGGGTCAGTCAAACCGCCGAACATGATGCCTGCAATGGTAGGTGATAAGTTAGAAGATCTTGAAGGTGCTTACTCAATCTGGTAGCAAGGACAACTGTCGTAGCTGAGCCTAATTCCATGGAGAAACCTCTTGAAGGAGAGTGAAGCGTAATGCGGTTGCCCAGGTTGCGCATGATATTGTATCCGTAGGTCCAAAGACCAATGATGATTGCCCCACCACCAAAGCCCCTGCAAAGTTGTCAGCGGTCGCAGAACGCTCGCAAGAGGAACAAGAACATACAAGATCCAATATGGGACCGGAGTCTTCGATTTCAGCTCGTTATTAGACCAGATGTAGTAGATTGTCGTGTAGGGCCCGATTGCGCTTTTCCTCTGTCAGTCAGAAACACATCAATGAAGGGCCGACATACTTGGACACGTCATTGGCTCCGTGAGTGAACGATGCTGTTGCCGCAGTCATGGCCTGAAGAAATGAGTACATGTATTCGGCACGGTTATCGTAATGTGAGGCATGGGCATGGACTGTCTCGATATCACCGGTGAGGATGTTTCGTCTGTTTTGCAAACTAATGACATCCTTTTCAATGCCGTGGAAGAAAGCCCGCTTGAATTGCCAGAACAGAACCGGAAGGCTGAAGTTGCCACCGTCTGGCCGTGGCCCAATGATGGAGGATTTGGTGGGAGCAGGCTCGGGCGCAGTGACTGGCGCCTTCGGACGATTGCCCAAGTCACTGCTTTCTGAATGTATCTCGTCGTCATTGTGCTGGCTACCTTCGGTAAGGGCTTTGGACGAATCGCCGCCGATACCGTTAACATTAGCCTTTTCGACATCATGTATTTTGCCGTTTTGCGCAGCACGCTGAGCCAGTAGCTGTTCCATAGTAAGGTGACCCCGGTAGTAATCTTGGACGGGTTTGTGGTCTGCTTGTGGCGGTGGGACATCTTTGCGGTACAAGAGCAAAGGTCCCAAGAGAAGGTGGTAGTACTTCAATTGCCAATCATCCTTTATCAATCGGCGGTAAAGCCACGGAAGGAAAAAGACAGCGACAAGCAACGCAACGGCAGCACCAACGCCAACAATGACACCAGCAGCGGTGGCACCATCGATGTGGATTCTTGAAGAGCCCCCTTTCCACACAATGAGCACTAAGACGTGTGTTAGATCAGCCGGAGGTATGACAGCTTCATCCTACTTACTGGTGAGAAGGGCCGATGTTACACCAAAGTAAATCGGAATGGTCACGAAGGCCCTCCTGACTGGATTCTTGCGAAGCATTACTCCATACTTGGTGATGAGGAAGATGATTGATCCGAAGCCAGCAGCAATGCAAGGAGCGAGCACCCAGCTGAGGAAAACTTGGACGACTCCGGAGTTGATAGACCCTCCCCACCAATTGATCCCGTCAGTCCCGACAGCCGCTATGCCCATGCCAATTACACCTCCCATGATACTGTGCGTAGTCGAGACAGGCATACCCAGCCTTGTGGCCAACGTGAGATACGTGGAGGACGCTACAACCGCACAAGCCATACCCAGCATCAAAAGAGCAGGATTGTCTTCGAACAGATCGACGTCCACGATTTTCGTCCGGATCGTCTCGGCCACCCTGGCGCCAACTGCAATACTGTGTGGCATTAGCACAATCCTCACATCGGAGAGGCTTAGTCTATGCCATACCTGCCAGTACACTCCATGACCGACGCAATACACATCGCTTGGAGATAGGTCAACGACCTGGAGGAAACCGATGTAGCAAAGGAGTTCGCAACATCGTTGGCACCGATGTTCCAGGCGTCCAGGAAGGCAAACATAGTGCCTATGGCAAAAATATAATCGAACTGATGAAGATACATCCTTCTAACAGAATAGTAGTTTTCGTAGTCGCAAATAGTATACACTCTGGAGGGTTGGCATGGATGCAGAATACATGCGAGCACAGCTTCTGTCCTTTTATGCCTGGGCTGGGAGAGATGTTTAACGACTCGGTCGCCACCTCCCACGAGCCACGGTCGTCTGATCCATTGCAAGACGCCGTCGAATTCCTCTTCACGCGGGTCCTGCCTCGGTCCTCTGCGGCCACGAGCTGACAAGACATGAGACGTCTGCCATACAATCCTAGCATTTACCATTCAAGCTCTCAGAAGCATGATGCCAAGTCCCGCAAGTTATAAGCCATGAGGAGACGGTCTTCTAGGCAATTTGGCGACTGCAATATAAGCAAGGGAAGAGTCAGACCACGCCCGCCTTATATACTTCCAGCCTGATCAAGCTTCATTGGATGGGTGCGCCGGGGGTAGCCCTCTGCCAAGTCCTCTGAACGCGGAGAGCTTAGTGAAACCAGGCGGAAACTAATCAGATGCGTAGATTCAGCCACGTGAAAGAAAGATGTTCGGAAGTGCCTTCTCAGTGTGGCATCTTGCCCGCACTCAAGGATCGTCGATGGCGACCTCACATGTCTTGCCGCGACAACCTCAGAAGTTGCGGCTTTTGTCAACCGCGGTCAATAGCATGAGCGTGGTGTGCAGCTTCGCCCGCTAGAAGATAATGCGAAAACAGCTTGGGGTAAGAGCATCTTCATGGATTCAAACAAATTTGCCATCCTCAATGTTGCTGGAGACACGTGCGGAGCACACAAGGCATGATTTGACCAGGTCGAGCGTCCAGATCTCAAGGCAAGGGGGTTTCACATGAGAATCGAACCAGGACAGCCCACTTGGCAATACGGGTCCGACTCTCTGCAGCATTTGGCGCCTCATGCGCGAGTCTTCGAGTCAAGGTAGGCGACGCGCAAGAGTAGGTTGAAGATAATCACCGGCACACTCCTCTGGAGGGAAGCAGGATGTTATTAAGTGTTCCCGGCAGACCTTCCCTAAACTCAGCATTGCTTACTAAGGTAAGTTGAAGCCCACGAAGCCTTCCTCTCCAGGGTCACGTGTACGGCTGTGAGGCCACAAGGCTGCGGTTTCTCCGCATTTCATCATCTGAACTATGTCCCACCTGCAACTCCCCGTCGGACTCTCATTTAGAAAGTCAATGCAGGACCAGTCACAGCGACCGTTTCGGATGCTCTATGGAGGTTCTCCTTGACAGGACGTTGTAAATACCTGCTCCGACTAAGCTCACCCCTCCACTAGTGACCAGATCGCAATGTTTACAGTGAGCCCTTCCTAGGCCGTCGCCAGTAACCCTTCTTCCGAAGCAGGAGGATGACATTGACATCTTCTACCATAGTCTCGCCATGCCGAGGACCAATTCCGCCTGCGCATGCACCGTGCTCGCAGCGTCGAATTGACGAACGAAGAACTGGTCGAAGTCCGCGCCGCCCAACGTACCTTCGAGGGTGCATATATACGAACCTCGCTGTCCCAATTTTCTTTTGCGCTCGTTGTACTCAAGATCTTCACCTCCGAATTCTACAGCATAGGAGCTTTATTCGCAGTGTATGGTGCGGGAGTTCTGCTGGTCAGCGCGTACCGCAGGCAACAAGGGAACAAACAATTCTTCAACGAGATTGGAGATGACGGATTGGGCAGAAAGAGATTCAGGACCAGTGGAAACGTGGTGGTTGTCCTGACAGCGCTGAGTATTGGGGCGTATATCACGTTATTGGTTCTGACGTTGAGGTTGGAAAATTGACAGGCAAGAAATCCGGGGACATGAAGATACCAAACTTGCCCAGCTACCATATGAAGATACATGTCTTTGGTTGTGTGTGATACCCGAGCTAAGGCGCGTCGGAAACTCACATTCCTTCATCAGGGTGACTCATGCACCACATTGTGAGGGATTGCTTGTATGATGTGCATCAGCAAGAACATATGTATGGACAACCATGTCTCTACCGGCGGGCACATATTACGGATATGGATACTCTACTTGAACTCCCAGAGGACAGCTTCGCTTACCAACCTGGAAGTCAAAACATCGGTTTACTGATGCGCACTATCCAAATCGTGACAGGCTGGGAGATCCCTTCCAGACGCCTGATGCGAATCACAGGACGAAAAGGAGTACGCCAAAAGGACTCGACGACCCAAATCCTCCTTTTGCAGCGGCGCTGCTAGTCCGAGAAGTCATTGGAAGAGCCCACGGGTAGCATTCACTCATACCCACATCCACTGGTCAAGACTGCCTTGGAAAGCAACACTCAGAGAGACACTACGAGATTATGAAGGACTCAGAGCAGGCGTCCAAACAACCCTGACCCAACAAATGGGAGCACCGCTCTGCTTTACCAATTTTTCTGGAAAGAGACCAACAAAAGTACAGCTTCATCAAGCATCAGGCTACATGGACCTAGGGAAAGGACGACGGCTGATGGACGTATTCTGGGGTTGACAGCTCTCGTTTCTGACCCTGTCGTAATGGCACGATCAATAACGAGGAAAGGGGCTATTCTGCGACGTATTGTATTTGTATCTCATTCTTCATATGATTGTAACCTCTCAACCACTGATAACGTCTTCTTTCGAGCTCGCTTAACGGTGTGCCTCCGAAAAGGTATGAATTCACCATCATACAGCTTGACTTCGACAAGAGCATTTCCGCCGTGGCATCGCCATAATCAACAAGGACTCCTCGCCCTGCTTCATTCAGGGCGCGGGCTCGGGAATCCACCAAAAGTCTTTGTTGATTTGGGAAAGTCGTTTGTCGCGAGATAATTGACTTCCTTTCTGGGCAAAGATCCGGTCTAATGTCCGGATAATCCAAGTGTGCGAAAACATCGGAAGTGATTTGCGTTCCACGATCCTGCCATATTCACGACCTGACATGGCACGCGACCAGCGTCCTTGACACCCGGAGGGCGAATTCCAGCACAGGATTGCATTTGATTCCCCAGGAGGAGTCCAGCCTCAGTCTCACCTGCCCTGCAATCTCGATGCCAATATCCCGGTGCAATCCATCCACGGCCTCTCAATCAAGTAGACGACAATGGCTTCTTTGAGTCACACGGTCGCCGACCCAGCAAGCTCCAATGTCCGACCTCCTCGAAGTCCTTCCTGATTTCGACCCCAAGGCGTACATCCATCTCCTACACTCGCTTGAGAAGAATGACATTACCGTGGCCGACCTGGTCAGCCTCGATCCCATAGATATCGCTCGACGATGTCCTCTTCCCGCCGCCGATGTTCAGCGATTGGTGTCGGACGTTGTCAGAGCTCTTCAAGAAGACGTGCAGGCTAGAGCAGACAAGAGGTGGGCGGTCAAATCTCGCTGGCCACAGCAAGCCACAATCTCAATTGACGAGGAGACACATGCGGCCTCTTCGCATAATGAAGCGAGAATCAGCACGCTCGTTCCTGACATCGACCACGCGTTAGGAGGTGGCCTTGTACCCGGACATATCATTGAAGTGGTTGGAGAGAGTGCTGTGGGCAAGACTCAATTTGTTCTCGGCCTGCTCCTCTCTGCCCAACTCCCCCCTCCGCGTGGACTGGGGAAAGGTTCAATTTATGTTTCTACTGAGGCACCACTCAACACTGCTCGCCTGAAACAAATGCTAATATCCCACCCTGAATACGAAAGGCTCGAGCCAGCAGATCGCCCGTCACTAGATCATGTGCACGCAATCGGAACCAATGATCTTGAAGCACAAGAACATATCCTTCGGTATCAGCTACCTGTTGCAATTCAACGGCTCGATGTCGGCCTGATTGTCTTGGATTCAGTTGCTGCGAATTTCCGGGCTGAGCACGAAAGCCGTACCGCAGCTGGACTGGCAGAAAGAGCCACCGCGCTTGGTAAATTGGGGATTACGCTGAGGCGCGTTGCTATTGAGAACAATGCCGTGGTTGTCGTCACAAACCAAGTGTCAGACCGATTCGATGAAGTCAGAAGCATCCTTCGGTCTTCATCCCCCGCAACTTCTTCACCATCAATGTCAACGCCGAATCCAACCATGACAGTAGCTGAGCTACGAAGAGAAACTCAGAGCCTCGATCATCAACAACGCTTCTTCACAGGCTGGGGTGACGACAGAGATGAAAAGCGTAATCAACTGAAGAATCCGGCATTAGGTTTAGCCTGGGCAAACCAGATTTCTGCTCGCATTGTCCTTAAGATGGAAAGTGAACGACAGGAATATCTGGGAGGCAATATTTGGAAGGACAAGAAGAAAGCTCGGACGTTGCGGGTTGTATTCGCACCGTGGGCGAGGACGACAAGGTCTCCTATTCGTTACGAGATAGGACTGCAAGGCATTGTATCTGTCGTCGAGGACGAATTGCCTGGACAAGCACAAGGACCGCCAGATGGGGAGCATACGGAACTGCTCGACGAGGAGTTTTGGCCTACAGATGAGGACGAAGAATTCCCATGAAAGTGAGGCTCTTCACCAGATGCACTGCTTCTTGGGTAGCCAGTTCCTGTCTAGACATAATGAGAACCTGAATTTCCATAATTTCCTCCGCCAGCAGGGTGTTGTGATCAAGATGTTGCCACAGTGGTAAGTGCCGCATGTTCTTGATGATGCAGTCGGAAGTCCTCGAGCTCCCTTCAGCGGACATTCTAGCGGCAGAGGATAGCGAACCCTAACCTCGAGATCACAGCTTTAGGAAGAGTAAGATCGTCTGCTTTAGGCATGTATATGCGATGCCATTCGCCTCGAGTCTCGGATTGGATGAGATGATTCAGTTCTGGACATTAACCGCTGCTACACATGGCTTCGTCCGCGTCCTCTTGCTCGATTGTATCTCGTAAAATGACAACGGCTCAAATGCTAGTACCTAGTGGATTGCTCTTCGCCAGGCCGTATCGCTTCAATTCGTCTGGAATGATATTCCAGAAACGGCCGCCATGCAAATCTTCGGTCCCGCCGTCAGGACAAGTCCGCACCACGCAGCTTCTTACCTGGGTAGGCATGCTTGCTTCATTATTTGTTGATATTCATCTGCCTGTTTCATTCTCCAGTCTACTGTCCCTCCTAGTTTTCACTGAATCACACTTGCTATTTCAACGCTATTTGTCGCCGTTACTGCGTCGTCAGGATCAAGATGGCTGGCGCCAATGGAAGTGTGGTCCCCCAGCTGAACCATCGTCATCCCTTGGACCAACTCAGTGGCGAAGAGGTAAAAATCGCTCGACAAGCAGTACTCGATGCACGTAAAGCTGCCATTCTGTTCCGCAACATCTACGCCGTCGAGCCAGTGAAAGCCGATCTGGTCAAGTTCCTCAATGCTGAACATGCCGGGACACTTACAACGGACACATCCCGGCCACCTCGTCAAGCTCGCGCCCAATACGATGTAGTCTACGAGGACCGGAGCCACGAATATATGGAGTCGGTCATCGACATCGCCTCGGGAAAGGAAGTCCGCCTGAGAAAGCCGGAAAAAGGCTCCCAGCAATCACTAACCGTGGATGAGTTCATGGAATTCAACCGTGTCTGCGTCGCATCGGAAAGGTTCAGAAAGGCTATCAAGGAGCTCAATCTGGATGCGGAAAAGTTCGAAGTTGCCATTGACCCATGGCCATATGGTGGTCCAGACCCGGGAGAATCTACCCCTAGGTATACCCAAGGTCTTTGCTTTGCGAAATTGCGCAACGGCAATCCAGACAGCAACCATTACGGTTTTCCTCTGCCCATCATCCCTGTCATGGACACGTACAAGAAGGAAATCATCCGCATTGACCGGCTGGCCACCGGCGGCTCCGAGGATGGCCTGGAATACGGCACTGCAGCCCAAAACGTCCTTGAGCATTGCCGGCCTGCCGAATACGTCCCAGAGTTATTGGACACTCCTTTGCGCCAGGACTTGAAACCGTTGAACGTCTTACAGCCGGAGGGGCCATCTTTCACAGTCAGTGACGACTCACTGATTGAGTGGCAAAAATGGAGATTCCGCGTTGGGTATGTCGACGTTCCACGAACCACTGACTGCTCCATACTGATCGGGTTGCCGTTAGATTTACCCCACGGGAATGCGCAGTCCTACACGACGTCCATTACGATGGACGAAGCGTGCTCTATCGATTGAGTTTGTCTGAGATGACTGTGCCCTACGGCGATCCTCGGCCTCCATTCCAACGCAAGCAGGCTTTTGACTTTGGTGATGCTGGTGCTGGCCGAGCTGCCAACAATCTGGCCCTGGGATGCGACTGCCTGGGTGTGATCAAGTATATTGATGCCATGCTTGTGGACTCGCAAGGCCAACCGTCGGTTTCAAAGAATGTGGTCTGTGTCCATGAGCAAGATAATGGCATCGGCTGGAAACATACCAATTTCCGAACCAATCGAGCTGTGGTGACGAGGAACCGTGAATTGGTTGTCCAGTTCATCATTACTCTGGCGAACTATGAGTATATTTTCGCCTACAAATTCGACCAAGCCGGGGGGTGAGTGTCTGTCAGTGTCGAATAACCTCGCCCAGACTGACATTGGCAACAGTATAACCGTGGAAACACGAGCTACCGGCATTGTGTCAGTCGTCAATATCGATCCGGGAAAGACAAGCCCGTATGGTAATGTTGTGTCTCCTGGAGCGCTCGCCCAAAATCATCAGCACATATTTGCGGTTCGCATCGACCCTGCCATCGACGGACAAGCCAATACCATCTTCACGGAGGAGTCTATACCCATACCCATGAACTCTAAAACAAACCCATTTGGCAACGGCTATGAAGTCGTCCGCAAGGCTGTCACAAAATCATCTTGGATTCATGCTTCTCCGTTTACCAATCTCACTATCAAGATGGCCAATTCCAACAAGATTAATGCTGTCTCTCAACGGCCAGTTTCCTACAAATTTATCCCATCGCCGAGTCAATTGATACTTGCGGATCCCGAATCGATAGTCGCCAAGCGGGCCGCATTTGCGCAACACCACGTCTGGGTAACGAAATACAGAGACGAAGAGCTTTTTGCGGCTGGGGAGTTCACAAATCAGTCCCAGATCGAGCAAGGTGGTGTTGCGGATGCTGTGGCGAGGAACGAAGATGTCGAGGACGATGATGTGGTTGTGTGGAATGTTTTCGGCCTCACCCACAACCCTCGCGTGGAAGATTGGCCTGTTATGCCAGTGGAAATTCACGAGCTGCAATTGAAACCGGCCGACTTCTTCGAGAGAAACCCAGCTTTGGATGTGCCTGGGAATAAAAATCACAGTTCTGTCGAAATCGGCAGAGACACAAATGGTGCATGTTGCCAAAGCGCTGGGACAGTCAACGGTAACGGCTCAGTGCAGTCTGCTCCCACAACCCATCTCCAGGGGACGGATAGCATCCCTGTGTCCGAGGTCAACGGTCATTGACAGTTGACCCACGTAGTCAACATATAAATATCTCAGGTACACTGAACAATGCTGATGGCAAGACTAATTCTGATTTGACACCGGCAGTGGGTGGCAGTTCCTACTGCTTGTGGCTGCAACCGTTCGACTTGGTCCAGTACTATTTGTCAAGAAACGTAATAGGAATAGATCTTGACGTGGGACCAAGCTTCATCGACTGGTCGCTCTTTTTTTGTCCGGGGTACAGCGAACGGTACAGCAAACACACAAGGCCAGTGTCGAATAGGTGGCACCACTACTCCGTAACTGGGGAGGGATGCATTTTTAGGGCTAGTGAAGGCTTGCAGCCGGGCTTAGTTAGAGCGTCGGTTCGACCCGCAGCTGGCGCCAGTGCCAGCGCATGATTGATCGATCGGTGTGCGTCATGGTTAATGTCGCCTGGCATCGCTGATTAATCCCGAAGCCCTTCGAACGGCGAGGAACCAGCTGCATCTTGCAATATTTCCTTTCGAATGCGCCGAGTTCCTTCTGCGCCAGCTACATCCGCTGACACTGACTACTGTTGCATTCCGATGAAGATTCAATATCGTAATGATGGCCTCGAACTCGAGGATGTTGCAGACGAAACGGTGGCTGAGTTGGCTACAAGATGTGCCGAACGGATTGGAGCCGATGTCGAACGAGTGTCCCTCTTCTTCATGCCTAAGCCTGGCTTCATGAAGCATCCCTTCTCCGATAGAAAACTCAGCGACTTCCTCACCCCTACTACGCGGATAAAACTCGTCGGTACGCCCAATGCGGAGGTCAAGAAAATGGATGATATGGGCGCAGCCAGTCGAAGAATCATGCGGCCGAGCACTTTCAAACCAGTCAAGGCGAACAAGGTGCGTGATTGGAAAAAGGTCCAAGAGGAAAGCACGTACACTTTCCACGCGATAGAACCTCTGCCGTATTTGCCGAATCCTGAAAAGAGCAGACGGTACCTGGAGCGGCTGGCGAACGATCCCGGCATCAAGGCGTCGATGCGTAAGAACAAATTCAGTGTTGGCCTTTTGACGGAGATGAACCCTGCCGAGCATACTACACACGAATCTAAAACGCTGGGTTTGAACAGAAATCGAGGCGAAGTCATCGAATTGAGATTGAGGACGGACTCATATGATGGGTACCGAGACTACAAAGTCATCCGAAAGACGCTTTGCCACGAGTTGTCCCACAATGTTTGGGGCGAACATGACCGCAACTTCTGGGATTTGACAAAGCAGATCGAACAAGAGGTGGAGCGCAATGATACACTGCATGGTGGCCATCGTCTATCGAGTGAGGAGTTCTACAACCCGAACGACTTGTACGAGGATGCGGATCACGCTGATTCCGGAGGCTGGACAGGAGGTGATTTTGTGCTTGGAAGATCGAAGGACGGCTCGAACGAGGAAGGTCTCAGTAGGCGCGAGATCATTGCTAGAGCGGCAATGGCCAGGCAGCAGAAGGCGAAGCAGACCAGGGGTCAGCAGGAACAGGAAACATCGCCACCGTCGTGAAAATGGATGAAGTCGCATGACGTTGATGAGGTGTTTGATACACATTTGGGATAGGGTCAACCGGATGATGGGTTTTTGTTATAGCGGGGCGCTGGTGGCATGTTTTGGATGATAAGGCTTTGTAAATCTATAGGTAGCCGTGGCTAATAGTTTCCTCCGTAAGTCGGAAATTTGCGCCAATCACAAGTGATAGGGCCAAACCACGCGCGCCAGCGCGTGGCCGCGAGCAAAACGCGTTTTCATAGCAAAATGCCATTTTATAAAATAGCCATTGCAATGCGACATGATACAACACCAACTAAACGTGTTTACTTGTAAGTATCTAGGCAGTCGGTAGAATAGCGTTATACTTCCCTACTAGCGGGTTTTGGTGTAATTCTAGCCTATAGCTATTTAGTTATCTACAATAGTACCTCGGGGTAAATAAATTAGGCACTACCCGCATAACTCTTTATATATTGCGCTCTTTTAATAGACGTCGATTCCTTTATAATTTTCTATTGATAGAGGCTTAGAATAGTCTCTCTAACTAGCGTAATAGATATTTTAGTTATTTAGTGTATCTCTATTAGTTACGCGCCCTTTAAATCATTATTGTCGCTATCCTTATATTGTATAGGCTTACGCTATAGGGTCTTTATCTATCTCTATTATCTCTTTATCTCGCTACCGTTACGCGCGCTCTATTTTTAATAGTTCTCTCTCGATTTATTTGATTCTATACTATCGATTCTTCTCTTTCTTATTTATCTAACGCTCTTATATCTTATACCTAGTATTATTAACTATAATTAAGTCGCCTTTAAAGATATAACGCTTAGATTAAGGCCGCTTTACTTTTCTTTTTTACGCGGCTTAAATTAATATAAGATTAGTAATAGCTTATTATTTCTTAAGTACTAAAATTTTACTCTCTTTAAAAAATATTTAAAACTTATATTTTAGAGGATTTATTATTTATATTTTATTTATCTCTTTTTATAGTTTATTACTTATATCTATTAATCTATTAACTTAATTTAGTATTCGATATATCTTATTTTTAGATTTAGGGGTAAAAGTACAAAGTTTCTTTATAATTTTTTATATTTAATTAATAATAATATTAAAGTTATAAAGAACTAAATTTATTAGTCGCTAAGTTAATTTAATAGTATTTAATTTAAAAATTTATTAACAAATTAATTAAATAACTATAAAAAAATTAAATCGATTAAATCTATCTATAAAATTTTTAATAGTTTTATTAATTACCTTAGAATACTAATATTTATAAAGTTAAAAATAAGCGATATCGAGCGGCTATAAGATATATATAGAATATAAAGGAAAACTAAATAATAGAATATTATTATCAATCGTAAACTTAATAAAATCGAATTTTAAGTTACTCTTCTATTTATTAAGAATAAGTAAGCGCTAGACTTCTTCTTTAGCCTTTTTACTATACTCGTTAAAGTATTTAAACTAATTAATAGCTTTATTATCGTTAAAATAATTTAACTCTATCGCTACGAGTAAAATAGAGTTAGAAAGCTCTAGTATAAGATATTTCTCTAGGATAATCTATCTTTTTATTATAATCTATAGTAAAAGAATAAAGCTATCGACGTTAATAATCTCTTAGACTATAACGAAGTCTTAATTATTAAAGTTATTGTAGTAATTTTTTATTATTTTATCTATATTAATAATAACTTTTTTAGTTTTATTAATATTAATATAAAAGTCTATTTAATTTATATTCTAAATATCCTTCTTATTAATATTATATTATTTAATAACTTAATAGAATTCTAAGTATTACTCTTAAAGATAACGAGGATCGTAAAATATCTTACGCTTAATAGTAAGAGATTTACTCTTTTTAATAATAATTTAATTATCCTAGTATTATAGAAATTAAGTTCTCTAGCGCTTATTAATAATAGAAGGTTTTTTATTTATATCTATAATTTTAGCTATTTATAAGTTAGCTAGTAATTTATTTACGAAACTATTAACTATAGAAGACTTAGCGAGGATTCTCTATCTCTTATATCTCTTTAGAATATTATAAAGAGTCTTCTTTTACTTTTTAAAAAGAGTTTTATTATATTTACTATATAAATATCTATTATTTTATTCTTTTCTATAATTTTAAAGTCTATTATAATTAATATTAAATTATCGAGTCACTAACTTAATTTTTTTATCTTTATAAGTATTTAAATATACTAGGGCTTACTTTATATAAGCTTTCTAGTTATTATAGTTGTTAGGTATTGTAGTGGTGGTGGTGGATAGAGATTAAGTTGGTGACTATTAAAATAGTATTTTGCTATGAAAACGCGTTTTGCTCGCGGCCACGCACTGGCGCGCGTGGTTTGGCCCTATCACTTGTGATTGACGCAAATTTCCGACTTACGGAGGAAACTATTAGCCACGGCTACTCCGTATAGGACTACCACATACACTATATCTGCTACGGTCGAGAAGATGTTGAGCAAGGCATCAGCGTGATAAGAAGTAGTGGGAGTGTCTCGCACCGTTGAATCAACTTCGGAGTATCAGCCCTCGTGTAGAAAGACTCTGGGACTATTGGCGCATCTCGGGCACCGAGCAAGCACGGCTCACTAACTTAGGCTGTTCAAGAAGCAGCTTATAGGCTATTGGCACGCCCACACGGAGTACAATAGTCGGAGGAGCTCAACCATTAGGCGTCAGCTGTAGCGTGAGGCTTACCAAGGCGCCACCCGGATATGCGGATTCGATCCCCGAATGGCCTAGAATGAAACACTCAGTGAACAGTGAAGATGCCTGCTCGCATATCGGGGGCTGAGATATCACGGCGACACAAGCCTGAGCACTACACGGCCTTGGCCCCCTGCAGACGAAGCCAGTCTGGGGTTCACACGCATGACGGTTTGCTGCAGGATGCCGTGGATGCCTGAGGTCTTGGGGGTAGCTCCTTAAAACTTCGAGGTAGCCCTACAAAAGAAAGTCCTCAGCTTCTTCGTCCATCGTATGCCAATCGATACTTCCACGCCTCCATCGCAATCAGCATATCTATACGGAATCGTAGGTACTAGCCGTGGCTAATAGTTTCCTCCGTAAGTCGGAAATTTGCGCCAATCACAAGTGATAGGGCCAAACCACGCGCGCCAGCGCGTGGCCGCGAGCAAAACGCGTTTTTATAGTAAAATACCATTTTGATAGCCACTAACTTAATCTCTACCTACTACTATCACTACAATATCTAATAACTATAACAACTAGAAGGCTTATATAGAGTAAGCCCTAGTATATTTAGATACTTATAAAGATAAAAAAATTAAGTTAATAGCTCAATAATTTAACGTTAGTTATAATAGACTTCGAAATTATAAAAAAGAACGAAATAATAGATACTTATATAGTAGATATAATAAGGCTCTTTTTAAAGAGTAAAAGAAAACTCTTTATAATATTCTAAAAAGATATAAAAGATAGAGAATCCTCGCTAAACCTTCTATAATTAATAGTTTCGTAAATAAATTACTAACTAATTTATAAATAGCTAAAACTATAGATATAGATAAAAAATCTTTTATTATTAGCGAGCGCTAGGGGACTCGATTCCTATAATACTAGAATAATTAGATTATTATTAAAAAAAATAAATCTTTTACTATTAAGCGTAAGATATTCTACAATCCTTATTGTCTTTAAGAGTAATACTTAAAATTCTATCGAGTTATCGAATAATATAGTATTAGTAAGAAAAATATTTAGAATATAGATTAAATAAGCTTTCGCGTTAATATCGATAAAACTAAAAAAGTTATTATTAATATAGATAAGATAGTAAAAAATTACTATAATAACTTCGATAATCGAGATTTTATTATAATTTAAGAGACTATTAATATCGATGGCTCTATTCTTCTATTATAGATTATAATAAAAGAATAGATTATCCTAAAGAAATATCTTATATTAGAGCTTTCTAACTCTATCTTATTTATAGCGATAGAGTTAGATTATTCTAACGACGATAAAGCCGTCGATTAGCTTAAATACTTCGACGAGTATAGTAAAAAGGCTAAAGAAGGAGTCTAACGTTTACTCGTCCTTAATGAATAGAAAAGTAATCTAGAATTCGATTTTATTAAGTTTACGATCGATAATAATATCCTATTATTTAGTTTTCCTCTATATTCTATATATATCTTATAGCTACTTAATATCGTTTACTTTTAACTTTATAAATATTAGTATTCTAAAGTAGTTAATAAAACTATTAGAAATTTCGTAGATAGATTTAATCAATTTAATTTTTTCGCGATTATCTAGTTAATTTATTAATAAATCTTTAAATTAAATATTATTAAATTAGTTTAATAACTAATAGATTTAGTTCTTTATAACTTTAATATTATTATTAATTAAATATAGAAAATTATAAAGAGACTCTATACTTTTACCCTTAAGCCTAAAAATAAGATATATCGAATATTAAATTAAATTAATAAATTAATAGATATAAGTAATAAGCTATAAAAAAAAAAATAAAATATAAATAATAAGTCCTCTAAAATATAAGTTTTAGGTATTTCTTAAAAAGAGTAAAATTTTAGTACTTAAGGGATAATAAGCTATTACTAATCTTATATTAATTTAAGTCGCGTAAGAGAGAAAAGTAAAGCGACCCTAATCTAAGCGTTATATCTTTAAAGGTAGCTTAATTATAGTTAACAATACTAGATATAAGGTATAAAAGCGTTAAATAAATAAAAAAAAAAAAGATCGATAGTATAAAATTAAATAAATCAAGAGAGAATTATTAAAAGTAGAGCGCGCGCAATAGTAGCGAGATAAAGAGATAGTAGAGATAGATAAAGACTCTATAGCGTAAGCCCGCGTAATATAAGGACAGTAACGATAACGATTTAAAGGGCACGTAACTAATAGAGATATATCGAATAGCTAAAACACCTATTACATTAGTTAGGGAGACTATTCTAAGTCTCTATCAATAGAAGATTACAAAGAAATCGACGTCTATTAAAAGAGCGCAATATATAAAGAGTTATACGGGTAGTACCTAATTTATTTACCTTAAGGTACCATTGTAGATAGCTAAATAGCTATAGGCTAGAATTGTACCAAAACCCGCTGGCAGGGAAGCATAACGCTATTCTACCGGCTACCTAGATACTTGCAAGTGAACACGTTTAGTTGGTGTTGCATCATGTCGCATTGCAATGGCTATTTTATAAAATGACATTTTGCTATGAAAACGCGTTTTGCTCGCGGCCACGCGCTGGCGCGCGTGGTTTGGCCCTATCACTTGTGATTGGCGCAAATTTCCGACTTACGGAGGAAACTATTAGCCACGGCTAGTACTACATACCTAGGTATAGCTAGCGCCGCCAGCTGCAAGGTTATCTCTCGCCCTCGCTTCTTCACGCCTTCCCGCTCGTGGCACCAGGAACGGGCAACCAGTTACAACGGTCTTAGGTTACTTCTACCGCTTTTACGCTCCACTTACTGCTGGCAAAGGCAGCCGTCGACGTCAGGCACCTCCAGGGTCACAGAGCTTCAGGTGCATTGAACAGGACTGTCACTGCCTTTGGTAACAGGGTTGCGGCCGCTTCCCGCTCAATTCCACTTTCGCAAGTTCGTGTCCGCTAAAAGATTTGACAGTGAGTCACAAAATTAATTCACTCATGTTTCGACAATATCACTTTGTTCCTTGTTGCTCCCCTCCAGGCATTTCAAGTACCTTGTATCAATACTGAATGTCTGTGCTAGAAGGCTCTAGGCATCCCTCGCCACCCGAGAGCCCGGGTCCTCCAGGCCAGAACCAAACCTTCAACCGTCGCAACACCAAAACACAGTACTCCGATCTCGCTCGCGCTGCCATTATGACAAGCGCCTCATCTACTCCCAAGGCCGAAGCTGAATCCTCTCACAACCATGCCGCTTATCACTCATCTCTCATGCCTCCTCCCAAGTCCGCCTTTGGGCGAATCCCTTCCAACCTGGCACCCACCAAGCCTCCACCACATGCTACGAATTCGATGGGAAGAGCCTTGACAGATACACCTTTGCCGAGTGCACCTGGAAGCCCTCAGATGTGAGCAGACTCATCTGGATATGACTCTTGACTTCAGTAACACTGACAAGAAATCCCAGATCGGCTCGCGGTAGCACCGCAGTCTCCGGATCAGCCACACCCAAACTACGAGCCACTACCCTCGATATCCCTGGACTGACTCGATCGAGAGTGTCGCCGAACGGTCAGATCTCGGAGAGAGATGTGGGAGCCAAACTTATCATCATCATGGTCGGTTTGCCTGCAAGAGGGAAGAGTTACATTGTGAAAAAGATTGCACGATACCTGAACTGGTTACAACATCCTACAAGAATATTCAATGTTGGAGATCGTCGAAGAGTCGCTGCTGGTGTAGGGAAGCCCATCCCAGACAGGACCACAGAAGCGCTCCGCGAATCGGTGCGACGAATGAGCATCACCAGCACCACCACGACCGAGCCGCAAGGTATAGTCGACCACGAACTCCTCCCTCCGCCTGCAGTCAAGACCGATATCCTCGTTAATGGCGAGGCCGCGAGACCAGACTCGCCATCTCCCCTCAGTCCGTTACAAATGAATGGCATAAGACCTGAGGACAAACATGAGCCTATCCAGCTCCCTGCCCCTGAACATTTGGATCAGTCCGCCGCTTTCTTCGACCCTCAAAATGTCAGAGGCAAGCAGCTTCGTGAGCAAGTGGCTCATGAAACATTGGATGAGTTGCTGAAGTATGTCTTGGAGGACGGCGGATCGGTCGGGATTCTAGACGCCACGAATCATACTCAAGAACGACGGTTGTCCCTGGTAAGACACATTCGGGAGCGGGACGAGAACATCAATCTGCTTTTCCTCGAGTCTCGGTGTCAAGACAAGAATCTGCTTCAAGCCAACATGCGACTCAAACTGTCCGGGCCGGACTATAAAGGCAAGGATCCAGTCGCCGCACTGAGGGATTTTCAAGAACGCGTTGGTCAATATGAGAAGTCGTACCAGAAGCTGGATGACTTCGAAGAAGAACACAACATGCCATATTGTTCAATGATCGACGTTGGCAGGAAGATGATCAGTTATCAGGTCAAGGGATTTTTGTCCATCCAGACTGTGACGTATTTGATGAACTTCAATCTGGCACCCAGGATGATCTGGATTACTCGGCATGGTGAATCCATGGACAATGTCGCCGGCAAGATTGGCGGGGACAGCTCTCTGAGTGCGAATGGACTGAGATATGCGAAGGCTTTGGAGAAGTTCATTGGTGAGCAGTGGAGGTCGTGGGAAGATCACCAAGCGCAGAAGCAAGCCAACACTCACTTCCCTCCTCTTCCTGGAGATACGACGCCTCCCAACCCGGAATACACTGCTCAGACGCTACAAGAAAAAAATTTCTGCGTCTGGACGAGCATGCTGAAGAGAAGTATCGAAACCAGTCAGTTCTTCAACGAGGATCAGTACGATATCAAGCAGATGCGGATGCTCGACGAATTGAACGCCGGATATATGGAGGGAATGACTTATTCAGAGATTCGAGACAAATTCCAGCACGAATACGAGCTGCGGAAGCGAGACAAGCTGTCTTACCGATATCCAGGACCTGGTGGAGAAGGATACCTCGACATCATCAACCGACTGGGCAAAGTGATTCTCGAGATCGAAAGGATGACGGACCATGCCTTGATTATTGGACACCGAAGTATTGCTCGAGTTCTTCTGGCATATTTCATGGGTCTCAAGCAGGAGGATATTAGCGACCTTGATGTTCCCCTAGGTGTGGTGTATATGTTGGAACCGGTAAGCACAGTCAAATCAAAGTAACAGGGGGGATGCTGACCAGACCACCAGAGACCTTACGGCGTTGAATTCAAAGCGTTCCGTTGGGACCCAGCCACGGATGAGTTTCGATACGAACCTGATTATCGAATGAGGCGAGCTATGGACCCCCAAGCCTGATTTTCCTTTTTGTTTCGCATGATACCCATGGTGTTACTGTATATATACTTCATATGGTTATATAAATTGTCATTGGCTGATTTCCCTGTCATTGTCCTTTACATACATGGGCGTTGCTACGACTGGACTAATACTCTTTGCATTTCCGGCAGGCAAGACAGTTATTGTCATCAACGTTCGGAGGCGTTCGCGTTAATCAACCCGTGGGTGGACTGCTAAACCTGTTGAGAGCGATCTCTGGGATTCCTGGGGATGTCTTTGCTTGTTAGCGCTGGCGTTGCGGGAGGAAATTATTGAAGCAAATACATTGATCGACTGGGAGTGTTTGGAATGATTAACGGGCGGAATGGAAGGCTTTGCTCTAAGATTCAAGGCTGGCGAAGGCAGCGAGTAAATAGTACTGAATCATTGTGAGCCTTGAAAAAGCTCAGTGGGGAGTCACAAATGATACTTCACTGATTACTGCTTCCTTTTTTTCCTGAGTCATCGTCTAGCAATGAGTCTTTTCTTCCCTCCTTGTGCTTATCGGGATCAGGCAAGACTGAAGATTCCACCAGATACCTCGAGCTTGGATAGAAGGCCTTCGAACGGGCCCAGGCCGGCTCGCCGGTAAGCGAGGGGCGGATCAAATCATCACGCAAGATCTGAACAGGGGTATGGACAGGGCTAATAGTGGCTAATTAATATCTTGTTCCGTCTTGGCCTGCAGCCGAGCACCATTGTGCCAATCTCGCTCTTATTATTGGATGGAGATGGTGGCTCCAACCTTTTCAGCCTTTATCATCACCCAAAAAGCGACGTCAGGGAGGCTCTTTGAAAGACAATGTCTTTCCATTATTGAAGCATTATCCTTGTGAGCGAACGGTTTTTCCTTTTCATTGCAGTGAAAGCTTTCTTTTGTGCGGAACTGACCCTTGACTCTTAAGGCGGTCTGTCTGTTACTTGTACCGCTCGGTCAAATGATTGGGAAATCGTCCTATCCTGCAATCTGGACGAGCCGCCTTAAGACAACTTTCAAGTTATTTCCTTTTTCCTGTATGCCTGGACAAGGCTCTCGCAGCAATACCAGGTACTGGTAGCATGCTTTTGAGGTTTCTACGCGCACATGCCCAAGTATCAGAGCGTTCGCAAGCTTGAGAACATCAGTTCCGTCTTGCCGGGCCCAAAACCCTGCAATCGGGTCAAACGGAAAGCAGTTCGATCCACCTCCCAAGAAGTTCCAAGACACGTTCCGAACAGACTAAGACTCGACCAAGACTTTCTTCCTGGTGGTGCAAACCGCAGAAGCTTTTCATTTCGTCATGCTTGACGAGCTTGAATGATTTTGGCGGAACAAGATCTCAAAGAAGCATTTGAGCTTGTCTGGGAGGACCAGTCTTGATCTCTCCACCGTTGTGTCACTGTCGCGAAGAGAAGATGCCGACTTTGGTCGTCACCAACTTCAACATTGTGTGCTCGGTCTTGGGCGGGTTCATCACATTATTCGGCCTGGTCAGCTATCTTCTGAAAGAGCGGTTCTACCTGTCTGAAGCTTTGATATCCCTGGTCGCAGGGATCATCTTCTCGCCTCATGCAACGAATTTCATCAAGCCGCTGGACTATGCCGACGGCATCGAGGAGAATTTGGACACGATCACGCTCTGCTTCTCGCGGCTGGTGCTCGGAGTCCAGCTTGTCCTGGCCGGTGTACAATTGCCAAGCAGATACCTCTACACGGAATGGAAGTCCCTCGCTCTCCTTCTTGGTCCGGGTATGACATTGATGTGGATCAGTGCCAGTCTCCTGGTCTGGGCGATGGTGCCTCACCTGAGCTTTCTTCACGCGCTGGCTATTGGTGCATGTGTCACACCCACGGACCCTGTCCTATCAAATTCGATTGTCAAGGGGAAATTCGCCGATAAGAATATCCCTAAACCGCTTCAGAAAATCATTATCGCCGAGTCCGGAGCGAATGATGGGCTGGGGTATCCGTTTCTGTTCCTGGCGCTGTACCTGATCAGGTACACTCAGGAAGGCGGCGCAGGACAGCCCGGCGGAGCAAGCAAAGCGATGGGGTACTGGTTCGGAGAAACCTGGGGTTATACGATCGTGTTAAGTGTCGTCTATGGAATTGCCGTCGGCTGGCTTGCCAAAGAGATGCTACATTTTGCGGAGGAGCGGAAGTTCATCGACCGGGAGAGTTTCCTCGTCTTTGCCATCACTCTTGCGCTTTTCATCACAGGTACTTGTGGGATGATTGGATCGGATGACGTCCTGGCTTGCTTCGTGGCGGGAAATGCTTTCACCTGGGATGATTGGTTCCGCCTCGAAACCGCGGATGATTCTCTTCAGCCTACCATCGACATGCTGCTGAATATTTCGGTATTCCTATGGTTTGGCGCTGTTTGTCCGTGGGCGTCTTTTCGATCGAACGATGTCATACCGGTATATCGACTAATCTTCCTTGGTATCCTGATCCTCCTATTCCGGCGAATTCCAATGATCTTTGCAATGCACAAGAAGATACACGAGATCGAGGAGTTTCAGCAAGCTGCTTTTGTGGGATTCTTCGGGCCCATTGGCGTTTCGGCAATCTTCTATCTCTACGTCAGCCTGGATTTCTTGAATCAGGTTACTGTGGATGGAGAAGTTCGACAAGACGCAGCACACCTGCAGGAGGTGATGAGAGTTGTTATATGGTTCTTGGCCATATGCAGTATTGTCGTTCACGGTCTCTCGGTCCCCCTGGGCAAGCTGGGGTACCATTTTCCCAGGACGATCTCTCAGGCCCTCAGCAGCGACAGAGAGGATGAGGAACCTGATTTGCATTTTCGACGAGCTCCACAACTCAGCCAGCCCTTCCGGCGGAGGAGAGTAAAGAATAACGGTGCTAAGGGCGCATCGGAGCACCAGCCGAGTCCGGCGGTATTCTGGATTGGGAAGCAGGGGAGACCAGCGGAGGAAGCGGACGGTGGATTGCATCGACAGGTACATTACCCTGACGATACACCAACGGGAGCGCAATCGCCCAGAGAGCCAAATCGACCCATCCATTATCCCATTGACACACCACCAGATGAGACCCGAACGCCCGCTGAACGTGATGTAGGGGAAAGAGGCCAGGATATGGAGATGAGCAAGATGGATAGGCCGGTCAATCCCAGCGCGGGTCAGGGAGTCACTTGGAAGGATGAGAGCACAAAGGAGCCATAGCCCTCCATTCTCACAGTGATGCCTCGACTTTTTGTAGATACATGAGGGCTTTCATCGATTGACATGAGTGTGTTAATGCCACTGTAATGATAAATGAAGACCCGAAATAGAAGGCGGCGGAGCGGAAAAGTATTCGAGTTGACGTGGTCAAGAAAAGCCACGTCTTCATGTCATATCCTGTACCTTGTGTTCCAAATCACAAGACAGCGTCGTGTTGGAAGCCCTTTAGCTACCTGTCCTTACGGAGTACTGAAAGACAGTCCTTGCGTGGCAAGCTTTCTGTGCCCTTTGAAGTGGTGGGTGACTTGTCACTGACGCCCTGCCTTTTTGTACCCCGCCTATGAGTACAAGGCTGGTGAGGCACAAGGCGCGCCTGCAACTCCGCGCCGCAGTTGCTGCCAACACCGAGACACCCTTCCCACCCTGGTCCCTCCCTGGTCCCTCCCTTGTCCCTCCCTTGGCTACTTCCAGGAGTTGAGGACCCGTTGCCTCATTCACCGCTGTTCTCCCTCTTCCATTCCTTTCTAGGTGTTAATATGGGTGACCTCGTAGCACCTCCCCTCGATTAACTTCCGTCTAACACTGCCGGACGCACTGCGTCTCGGCTTTCCTTGCATTATCCACGACTGCTCTGCTCTTTCACGACTGGAAAAGCGTGCTCGTTCACGCACTGCTCCCCTCTCCTATTCAATCTGCCTCGTCTTCGAAGACTAGGCCTTGCCCTTCGTCCTCTCTACTCCCGTATGACCATGGCGCAACCTGCACTCTCTGCCCCGATCGACGATGCCGGTCGCTTAAGCCCTGGCCTAGCCGCCACAAACACGGCAGCTGGACAGAAGAGGAAGAGAACCACTGAGCGCAAATTCTACGCAGTGAGAGAAGGAAAGGAGCCTGGCATCTACGACACATGGCCTGAATGCCTGAGTCAGGTGAAGGGCTTCAAGGGCGCAGTGTGTATGAAATATTCTGAGCCTGGAGTTCTAGAATTGGATCCTAACATGACGCAGTCAAAGCTTTTCACAATCTTCACGAGGCTCAAGCTTGGATGGAAGGCAAACCGTTGACCGAGTCCAGACTGAATCTAGCAGATCAGAAATTCTATGCAGTTCAGAGTGGAAAAGTGCCGGGAGTATACACGGACTGGACACAAGCCCAAGCCCAAATACGCGGATTCAGTAAACCCAAACACAAAAAGTTTAATACAAGAGCAGAAGCAGAGGCGTTTGTTGCAGCCGGAAGAAGACCGAAGGGCCTCGAACCGGCACAGCATCTTACACCTGAAGAGGAAATCCGCAGACTGATCGTCCGCAATTCTGCGCCCGGCCTACAAACGAACGGCACGTATGCCCCCACAGACAAAGATGGGAATCCTTACACCGCGGCGAGACGACCTCTTCCGCCTGGTGCAGAGGATGGCTATGATCCGAATGTCAAGCTTGCACCTGATGGGACGATTATCGATCGGACCGAAGAAGAGAAGGTGCGAACGAAGATGATGATCAGAGAAATGAATCCTCCAGGTATGCTACGGATATACACGGATGGATCGAGCTTGAAGAATGGTCAAGCAGGAGCCAGGGCTGGAGTGGGAGTGTTTTTCGGACCACAAGATCCCAAGTATGATAACTCCAAATCCAAATCCAAGCGTCCTAAGACTCAGCGCGTTTATACCATGGACTGGGCGGCGCGGCAGCAAAGTCCAGAATCTCCAGACTCGACACAGCGACGGAAAGAAGACGAGTCCGAAGAAGAAAAAAAGCTAACGAATTGGCGTTACAGAAATGTCTCCGAGGCACTCAAGGGCAGTAAACAGACCAATCAACGGGCCGAGTTGACTGCGATTTTGCGAGCCTTGAATATTGCGCCATTGCATCGAGAGGTCACCATCTACACGGATAGCAAGTATTCGATTGATTGTGTGACGAATTGGTACAAGAATTGGAGAAAGAACAACTGGACGAATGCCAAAGGCAAACCGGTGGAAAACAAAGATCTGGTTGTGGAGATTCGAGAAAAGATCGAGGAGAGAGAGCAGTTCGCCAAAGGAACGTACTTTGTCTGGGTCAAAGGGCATAACGACAATGCGGGTAATGTTGCTGCTGATCGGCTGGCCGTGGCAGGTGCAATGAGTGGGAGGGGAGTCCCGGATGAGGGCGATGGTGAGGATACGGCTCCTACGGACGTAGGTGACCATAGAAATGGTGACGACCATGATGACGAAGATGATGAGACCAAAGAAGCTTTTGGGGCTATGAACCAGGCCATGAAGGACCATGGCGAGGACGAAGTCAAGTGAAAGGTCAGGATAGACCAGCTTGCTAGGACTTGGACCTATCGAAGCCAGCATCATTGGAGCATTTGGGAGCTGGGCATGTACGACTAAGGTGGTATGAGAATGCCGGATACGCGGCTGGAAGCTGCTTTCGTGTCGGCCGGATGAGCAGCTTCTTCGGCTTGATGTGCAAATACCTAGACGTTGCTCTACCCTTCAAACAGTCCGCTATATTGGGATGACGACGTCTCTTTGGCTGCTGCCCAGATCATACTAGTCCCCCGTACTGATCAGTGAATTGAATTCATGCTCGCGGGATCCCGACGCTGCCTTTGCCAAAGGTCCAACCATCAACATGAACTGGTGCGACCAGCTCACAGTTGAGTTTGAGTCCCTTTGTATTTGGAGTTCTTTGCGAGATAGCATACGACGACCGGGATCTGGAACGTCAGACTCGTGACAAGCCAGCTTCGTCTTGAGGTGCAGTAAGTGGCAGCCTTGCAGTGACGAGGCTGACGAATAGAAGTCGGCCCTTTTCTTCGTGCCTCTGTTTCCCCAAATGCCTAAGCTGTTGATCTCATCAGCTACACTGCATGTGCATCTTCCATAACCCCTGAGCTACCGGTTACATTGTTACGAGACAATTTGAGTAGCGTACTATAGTTGGCAGCCCTGAATTATGGCCTCCATTGCTCAGCCGTGGTTGATCTCCAAGTAAGCTCCCAAGATGCACCTCGTTGTCTCTAGGAGCTGAGCCGCAAAGAGCATTCTTTCTTTTGAGAGGCACCGGCTGATCTACATGGTTTACAGATTCGTCGATCCCATTTTCGCCATCGGTGTCGGCCTCTCAGCGGCGTACGTGCGTATCCGTCGCGAAGAGCGCGAAAAGTACCCCGATCAAGACTCGAGTGCGTCGGCCTTATGGCAGAAGGGTGTGAGGATGAGTAGGAGCTACTTTATGCACGAGGTCGCAGAGGAGAAGTGATCGAGGATTGGGAGCACATTGACCCACGCATCGAGCTCCCAAAGGAGGTTGGTTCAATGGGAACCAGCAGCGCAGCTGAGCTGAGCTGAGCTGAGCTGAGCTGAGCTGAGCTGAGCTGAGCTGCAGCAGATGGAATGCCAGTCAGGCACATGCTCGTCCGAGGAATTCTGGAGCAAGGCGGTAAATCAAGGATTGAGAACAAGTCACAACTCAGATGCGGTTGCGGTGCTGAGTGCTGGCTGAGCCTGAATACCTTCACGTATCCCCTCTGGACAACGCAGGCGCAACTTCAATTCTGCTCAAGATGAACGAAGAGGTTTGCTTATCGAGGAGCAATACAATGCAGCGGCTTCAGCAGAGTCACAACGCAGACCAAAGGATGTACCGATACACTTGAGCGAGCTCTGCACTGTCAAGAAGAGGACGACTGGGTAGGGGGCTATTCGAAATTCCGGCCTCGACTCTAAATGCGAGCTCTTGTTCCTGTACAAGTCATTCTAGCGACAGCTTATATGCTAAATTCTGTGGCTGTCCTCCTGCACCCGAATGCTGGGAGTTGCTGCGCGCCATCTATCAGCTTGTGGTAGTTGACACGGTCCTTGACATAGCACTCAACCTGCATTCCACCGATATCAGGGTGATCCAGCCGCCCGTGCCCGCCCTGGACAAAATCAGGGCACAGCAAATCGAGCCGGCAGAAGACGGACGTACTTGATGCAAGTCCTATTAAGCATGACTTCAAGCTCGCAATACAGGGAGGAGCCACAAGTTCCACAGAAGAAGTGTCTTTTGAGCTTTCCGCTGCCCCCGACAAGGTCGAATGTCTTTGGTTGGCCTGGGCCGACGTCAGCCTGTACGTTCTGAAGACAAGTCAGCCAGGCTTACCTGCTTGACATCGTCGAAAGGTATCTGAACTGGAGAATGGGCCGCCGTCCAAGCCAATGCAGAAAGTGAATGAACAGTTATAAAAGGCATCAATGTACGAGAAGGAACAGTGGCTGTGAGATAGATGGCGGAAAGGGATCGCTAGAAGCCATACAGCGCGCTCAAGTCAGCTCGTATCATACTACCTACGCTTTTGATGTTCGTACAAGATCCAAGATCAGGCATTACCAGTCAAGAGTTGTTTACTACAAAGGGGTGCCTTCCAGACTCATCATGCATTGATTGAAGATCCCTCGCCTTCCTCGGAGCTGCAAACAGCCGTCGAGCTACTCGTACCGTCCTTTGCCTTGACATCTGCGTCATGACCAATCTGTTGGCGACAGGGCAGTTGCCCAGTCACGTGAGTGTTGCCTGGATGGCTGCCTAGCCTCACTCTTGGCGCTACCCACCAATCGGCTGCCTAGTTGGATTTCTGTCATTGTTTCATAGATTTCTCTCTCTCTAGCCATGATATGACAATTAATCAGTTCTCTACGCATTAGAGTCCTATAGGTTATAAGTTCCTTGCGCGACTAATTGCAGTGTTGCTAACATTAATTTATCGCTTTTACAGAGGTTTCGAGGCCGACGAGGCGTCCAGAGAAGGCGCGGCGCTCAAGAAACGCTTGAATTGGGCCGTGACCCCGGTTAGAGGCTAAATCCTAAAACCTCGCTTGTACAGAGACGGTAGCGGGTACAACCTTATCCTACCCTATCAATTACGCAAGATCTACTTAACGGCGTATCCTCCTTACCTTCTCGACTAATTCCTTTACTAGCGATTAGTTAAGAAAAGGTGGAAACGCAATACTACGAGCTATCATTAGTTCTACGGTAAGTTAGAGTAGTTAGTCTCAGTGGATATTCTTCGCTTATTAGTCTAGGGTTCGAGTAGTAATTCTCCACTATTAGATAGGTATTTAGCCTAGTAGTATTAACAATAATATATTATAACTAACGTAGTTATAGAGAGATTATCGAAGAAAGATAAAGCGCGGACTATCCTAAAGGGTAAGAGTAACTATACTACCTAGATATCGGCGGCTAAGATAGAACTACGTACTAAAGAATGCTTAAGTAGTATTCTTAACGACGAGCTATTAAATCCCAACGAGCTAAACATTAAGAAGAGAAAGGCTTATATTACGTAATAGCTTATCGACAAAGGAGAATAGCTTAATAGGGATAATACTTTCTCTTCTTAAAAGATAAATAGCGCGAGAGTTAAATAGAGAAAAGTAGCTTTTACAGTATAAAAGAAATATTAGAAAGCTAGCGAGAAGGCCCTAGATATTATCTATAATCTCTATAACACCTATATATAGACTATTATTAATAAAAAAGAGAATACTAGAGATTATTGGAAATATCTCGAGTAAATGTATAAGTAATAGGGATTCGCATTAATCTATAAGTAGATAGAACTAATTAATATCATTATCTATTAAAGTTGTAATAGCCTTAAGGAATATATTAATAAGATAAAGTAGATCTAGTCTAACCTTATTATACTTGGATATTCCTTAGACGACGATATTTAGTCGGCAATCTTTATTAATAGGATTAAGAATTCCTTTAAGATTTTAATCTTATAGCTTCTATCTATAGATAAGGGTACGAGATTATTCGATAAGGTTATTTAGTTGATATTCTCTAAAGAACTTCGAAAGAAGATAAATATAGAGACGAGAGTTACCTTTAAGGCTTAAAATAAGCGTAACAACGATAACTTATCTTCTAATAAAAAGAATAAGAATAAGGACTCGTCTAGCGATAAGTATAACGACGACGATAAAGATATAAAGCTTAAGAGAGAATAATATCGAGAAGGGTATACTACTTATAAAACCTTTAACTATAAATAGGCTAATTATCGCTTAAATCTATAAAATATAGTATAGAGTAGTAAGATAAAGGGTAGTTTATAGAAGGCTTCGAAGAGTAAGAATCGCAATAAAGATATAGATGAAACTACTAACGTAACGATATAAATAAGTTTCGACGACGTAGTTAAAGCTATTAGAAAATCTCTATAATATTAACCTTAAGATAACGAGATTAAAACTATAAAGACGACTTATAGATATAATTATATTATAATTGTAAAAGCCGATCCTCGTAACTAAGAGAGTCTTAAGGATAGAGAGTAAGTCTATATACTAGATAGCGGGGCTTCTTATTATATAATATACCGACGAGATAACTATATTAATTATAGAGTTATAACAATAGCTATTAATGTTATAAATAGCGAGAGAGTTTATACGGAGGGCTATAGAGATATTATCCTTAATTGCTTAAAAGACGACGACGTCGTAAGTATTCGATTCAATAAGGTCTAGTATATACCGGATCTTAACTACAATCTCCTTAGCATTATATCCCTAAAAGAATAAGATATAGGGGTAATATTCGAAGGTATCGGTGGTATACTTAATAGCCTATATAAGAATAACGATAAGGTATTATCGATTTTATAGATTAGTAGGGTCTACTTATTGAAGATAACTAGTGTATAATCGCGACTTTATTAGAAACTGCGCGATATAACTACGGCTCTAGCGATAAGGGGTAAGGATATAGCGTATATTTAGTATCGTTGAATAGGCTATCTAGGAATAGACAATATTGAGAAGTTACGCGACGTCGCTAACGGCGTAAATTTTAAAGGTTCTATAAATTGTAAATATAACTATTGTCTCCTTATAAATTAGACGCGATCTCTATATAATAGAGTAACGTTTAGTGGAGTAACCGTTAGAGAAGGCCTAATCTATATTAACTTATTTAGTCTATAGGATATTATTAGTCTATAGGGTAATCGTTATACTATAGTTATCGTCGATAATTTTATATATTAGGTATAAGTTTACTTTCTAAAGATAAAAGATAAGGCTATTTATTATATAAAAGAGTACTAATAGCGATAGTCTAACGCTAGTTATTCAATTAAGATAGTCCGTAACAATAAAAGAGGAAAGTACCTAGGTATTGCTTTATAGGGATACCTAAAGGATTAGGGTATCTCTAGCGAGCTAATAGTTAGCTATAGCCTTAAGTCTAATAATGTTGCGGAGCGTATAAATCGGACTCTTATAAGTAAGGTACGCGCTATAATAAAAGACGCCTATCTACCGAAGTTCTTATGAAAGAAGTTAACGGCGATAGTAATATACCTTTAAAATCGTAGCTCGTTAAGACTATTAGAAGAGAAGACTCTATTTAAGAAGATTAATGGCGTTAAATCTAACTTATCTTACTTATAGATTATTAGATTAAAGGTATTTATTTATATACTAAAGGAAAAATATAAAGATAAGTTTATCGATAAAGAAAAGTCTTGTATCTTAGTTAGATATAGATAAGAATAGTATATCTATTATATTTACGATTTTATAAAGCGATAGATCTTAGAGACGCGGGATATTGTAATAGATAAGATAAATAGTAAGAGTTATTCTAAGGAATCTATCGTAGAGATTAAGGATTTCGATAAGGATAAAGATATTACGAATACTTCTAAAGTACTATACTCATTATTTTATAGGGAAGAAAACCTTGAAATTAATGTAATAGAGGTAGAATAAACTTCGCTATCTTCGAAGCTAGAACTGCGTCGTAGAGAGCGTTAGCGACGTCCTACTCGAAAAGTAGTTGAGAATGTAACTATAAGCGCGGTTCTCAATACTAGCGTAGTTATAGGTCCGAGAAATCTCTCTTATAAAGATACTATTAATGGTTCTAATGGAGAGGAATAGCGTCGGGTAATTACGATATAAATTAAGGAATACGTCGCTATTAATACTTAGTAAGAAGTTTAATACTATCCTAGTATAAATATATTGTTAGGGCATTAGGTTCTAGTTAAAAAGCTAGATCGTAAGAAAGCGAGATAGGTTATCCATGGCAACAAATAAATTAAAGGATAGGACTATAACAACGTCTATACCGCGGCGGCTAGATCTAGTTTTATCTAATTGTTGTTAGCTATTATAGCGATTAAAGATCTCGAGATAGGATAAATAGATGTAATCGACGCTTTTCTTAATGCCGAATTAGTAGAGGAGATCTATATAAGACTCCTATATAGCTATAGTAAGAAGAGCATTATCTATCAAGTTCTTAAAGCTATATTTAGTCTTTATCAATCTTCGCGAGAGTAGTGGTAGGATATTTCGAAGAAACTTAAGGAACTAGGTTTTAAGCAATACTAGGGAGATTATTCCGTTTATATTAATACGGAGGGTATAATTATTCTTCTCTACGTGGATAATCTAGCGTTATTTACTTAATTAAAGATAGCGATAGCGTAGGCTAAACAATAGCTATTGAGCGTTTATAAGATACGAGATATTGGCGACCTAAAGATATTTATAGGCATTTAAGTGTTACGGCTACTAGAATAACACGTTTTTATCTATTAAGAAGACTATACGAACAATATTCTCGAAAAATATAGATTCCTGAACGATAAGGCTATTAAGGTATCGTTTAACGATAAAGTGATATTGAAACTACGCGATCCTAAAGATCCTTACTCTAAAGCGATGGTTAGACAATTCTAGGAATAGATAGGATCATTTAGATAGTTAACGCTAGAAATACGTCCTAATATAGCCTATACCGTCTCGAAATTAGTACAATACAATGCTAATCTATCGTTGGTTGCGGTGGAATGTGTAAAACACCTATTCCGCTATCTAAGAGGAACCGCCGACTAGGGCATTCTCTACTAAAAAGGTAACGGGATAGTGTAAGTTAAGGGCTATTCTAATAGCAATTAGGGAGATCCCAACTTAATAGATAAACGATCGACGTTAGGCTATACTTTTAAGCTAGCTAGCGGTATAATCTTATAGACGTCGCGAAAGTAGAGAACAACTATAACATCGACGGCTAAAGCTGAGTATATTGTAAAGTACGTAGCGATAAAAGAAGCTATCTATTTACGATAATTTATACTCGAATTAAGTAGATCCTAGAAGGGCTATCCGACGCTTATCTATAGGGATAGTATTAGTGCTATTGCGATAGCGTAGGGTTTAATATAGCTAAAGACTCGTTATATCGAGTTTTAGTACCACTATATAAGAGAGAAGGTCGCTAACGGAACAGTCGCTTTTAAGTATATCCGAATAGACGACATAGTGGCTGATGGCATAACGAAACCACTGGTATAGCCTAAGTTCGAGAGATTTCGACGATAACTGGGAATACGACGACTACAAGATATCCTAAGAGGATAAAGGAATAGCGCTCCCACGGACCAAGAATTATAGGCTTTTACGCGTATACCGCCGCCATCCTTATAAAGGAAGAGGGCGTAGGTAAGAGGGCGTAGTCTATATAGAAGCGCAACTAGGGCTGAAAAGACTAAATCCGACGAGTTTTTCAAAACTATATACTAATTTTCTTGACCAATCAGAGCGCTTGAAATTGGTATTAGAGAGAGTGTTTTTGCGAGCGCCAGACGGCGTTGCAATGTTTAATGTTTTTAAGGGAAATTGGCAAAAAGTGTGCAAAGGTGCAAAAAGTTACTGGGCTGACAGGCCAAATTAATATAGGAAACGGCAGAATTTGTTTACAGCGTTGAACCAACAGGGATTGGATGTTTGCGCGCCAGAGCGATGGGGGGGTGTTGGCGACAGGGCAGTTGCCCAGTCACGTGAGTGTTGCCTGGATGGCTGCCTAGCCTCACTCTTGGCGCTACCCACCAATCGGCTGCCTAGTTGGATTTCTGTCATTGTTTCATAGATTTCTCTCTCTCTAGCCATGACATGACAATCAATCAGTTCTCTACGCATTAGAGTCCTACACAATCTAAGTCAGCTACCAAGCTTCCTGCCTAGGTTAGGTATCGTTGAATTCCCCAGGCTCTTACGAATTAATGCCCAGTCGCCTCTCGGATCCAATCCAGTCTCTACCGGATCAGGAAGGTGAATAAGAAATCTGCACTTGGAAAGGCTAAGGCAAAACGCCTCACCGATGCCTTTCGCTCCCAAAACACTGTGCTGCGTCTTGACGGCGTGAGAATGACCGGACCGCATATGATGGCACCTTCCTTGAACGAGCAAGATTGGCGCGACTCGGATTACAGTCTGTGAGACGGTAGGTCAATATCTCTCCTTGTCTCTCATATACCGGTGTCACCATCCTTTTTATCTTCTGCCTTTCGTAGTCTAACCACAGCTACTCGTCCGACGGAACACCTCGGCGCCAACAAATTTCCAGAACCAAGCACAAACTCGAAACGGAAGAAGAATGACAAAGACCAAAATCACTACCGGCACCGTCGCCTTTAAACACCCGTCACTGCCCAAGCCCTGTGAGACATGGTACAAGGTCTACGGCGACCTGACGTCGTCGGGCAGCGGACGCCCTCTCGTGACTCTGCACGGCGGGCCTGGAATGGCGCACAACTATCTGCTGAATCTCTCTCGGCTGACGACCAACCCGGACACTGCGATCCCGGTCGTGCTCTACGACCAGATCGGATCGGGCCTGAGCACGCATATCCCCGAAAAGAGACTAGACACCTCATTTTGGGTGCCCGAGCTGTTCATGGCCGAACTGGACAACCTCCTCCGCCACCTGGGCATCGAATCGGATTTCGACCTGCTCGGGCAATCTTGGGGCGGCATGCTTGGGGCAATGTTCGCCGTTCGCGGGCACCCAGGGCTCAAGAGGCTGATCATATCGAACAGCCCCGCCAGTATGCCGCTGTGGGTTGAGAGCTGCAATGTCTGGCGGCAGCAGTTGCCTAGGGAGATTGACGACACCATCACACGACACGAGAAAAATGGCACGTACGATGATCCCGAGTATCTGAAGGCCGTCGAGTTCTTTTACAGGAGGCATCTGTGCAGGATTTGGCCGTTCCCAAAGGACATTCAGGACACGTTCGCGTGGGTCGAGAAGGATGATACGGTATACCGCACGATGAACGGACCAAGCGAGTTCACCGTTGTGGGCAGTTTGAAGACGTGGAGCATTGTGGATGAGTTACATAAGATCCACGTGCCGACATTGGTGTTGAATGCGGATTATGATGAAGCGAGGGATAGGTACGTCTTCCTGCCTTTCGTTTCCTTTCGTTTCCTCGTCCTCGTCCTTGTCGTGCTTTGATCCATGCTCGCTGGTCTTTTCGCCAGCTGGACGATTTTGCGGTGAATGCGTCGGTGAGGAGTGAGGGAAAGAGTGGATGCAATGAAGATGTCAAGCTAACATTTGTGCCTGCCCAAGCTGTGTATACCCTTATTTCAGCGGCATCCCAAAGGTCAAATGGTACACCTTCCCCAACGCGAGCCATTGTACCAGCGTCGAGATCCCGGACAAATACTGTGCTGTTGTGGCGGAGTTCTTGCTCAATTCCGTCGGCAATGGGAAGGGGAAAGGGAAGGGTACGAGATTGTGACAACGCAGTGAGCGGTCACGCGGCGTGATGTCCGTTCGACGTTGCAAGACCACAGGTATGGAATCTGACGGAGGGGTGGGCTCTTTACAAATGCAGCAGGGACACAGCCCAGCCTTTTCAAGCCAAGAAAGAAAGGGCCGCAGAAGTGAATTGGGGTACTTTGGCTCATAAGAGAAAGGAGGTCGAAGTACTAGTAGTGCTTACGGGACGAGCTCGAATATAATTGCCCTTGAAGGCTGGGGGGCAGGCAGCAAGCTTGGTGGCATGCATGCCCTTTGGATGGCGTGGAGGGATGTGAGAAACGATACAGGGGTGTCGATGAGGATTCGATCCGTGAGGGTGCATGGTGTACGAGCTACAGTGAGAACAAGGACAGCGCCTGATGTTGTGAGAGACATTGACTCCCATCCTAATTAATAAGACACGAGTCCTCGAGTGCCCGGAAAAATGCCAAATGTACGGAGTCTGTGTTGAAGAAGTGAAGATTTTATTCCGCATATCTCTGAGCAGAGCATGTCCCCCCGTACTACATTCCTGCGTGGCACAAAGTCTCAAGCCCATGGATATCCTTCTTTACAAATGCGCTGTCCCGATCTGACCCAGAATCAATACCAAAGATATTAGCCCTGTAGCTAGTAACAACAAAACAGAGACCATCCCATGGTCTCGATAGCTTCTATCGCTATCTACGATGGCAGGTATGTTTGAGAGAACGCCTCGTTACGCCTTCGCATCTAGGGGGGGAAAGAACCTTGGAACATAACACATGAACCCCACCAATGGCACAGGTGATGGGCCTCTCTAAAAGCCACTCCGAGCTTCGAGTGCTTTCGCCGCTCTCGCGAATCGCCGGTTGATAGTAGTAGCCAACAAACGACAGCAGCTGCGAAGCGTCGACCAAACATAGAAACTCGAGTGGCTGTGACCCCTTTTCCATCCGACATGTTTGGGGAGGGGGGTTTGTATTGAAGAAATGCGGGATTGCCATGGGTCTAATCGGGACAAAAGACTTGGTCTCAGAGACAATCGCAGAGGTGAGGGAGGTTTTACCGGATTTACTATCGTAGTATGTCGACATGGGAGGTATGTATCCGTGGAGCTAGCTCTTTTCTCGAAGATTCGAAATCGAAGTGGTTTGTCAGTTGAAGAATCCAATCTCCATCTAGACGACTTTTCCAAAGGCCGGGATCAACGTTTGTGCCAGCCAGAAGCTGAAGACTAGCTTGGGTCCGGTCATGAGCATCTTGGGGACTAGACCCTTGAAGAAACTCGTGATGCCTTCGTTCCTCATCATGCTGCCGACGATTCGGAACCCGGATTCGGGGTTGTCGAAGTTTCGGTTCTGGATACGAGTCTTGATCACATCCAGAGGCGCCGAGACAATAAGACTTGCTGATGCGCCGGCCACGGAGGCGACAAAGTTCTGGCCCCAGGTGGCTTTGTTGTAGTCCTCCAGCTTGAACAGCTTCTCTTTCGCCCACGCCGAGCCGCCAAACAATGCGAACGAACCGGGAGCGTTTCGTGCAGCTGTCCAACCTGCGCCGCGGTACAGGCCCATTCCTTCGTCGGCGACGATGCGGAAGAATCCTCGCGATCGGAATGCTTCGGGGTTGGTTTGTCTCTTGATCTTGAGGACGTCGAGGGGCAGCAGCACGATTTCACCGATACCGATCAAGGAGCCCGCCGTCGCATTGAGAATGGCCTTTCCCGTGCCTTTGCCGAACGCCTTGTCGAAGTCGGTGGCATAATGCTGTGTGAGGTAGTCTCGGACAAAGGGCTGCCCGCCGTACTTGTATATTCTCTGTAAAACTTTGTACCCTGCCGCATACCCTAGGCCAGGGAATAGAGAGGTGAATTTGGACAATGCCGGAGCAGAGGCGTAGTCTTTGAAGATGACGGTGTTGAAGGCCGAGACGGACGTTACCTGCGAGATGTCAGTCGAGTGTAATCAGATCCGGGCAAGGTTGGCTGCATTCTCACTCTACTGGAATTGCTCATCAGTCGTTTGGCGATTGTGTCGACAGGGTGGAAGACCATCAGCTCGGCGATACCGGCGGAGCCTGTAGGGGTAGAGATATTAGTCCTTGCTGCTGCGCGAAGACGATCACTGGTTCATGGAAGTATCGCTAACCTGATCCTAGTAGTCTTGCGGTGCCTGACTCCCTTTTATATTCTTTTCCCGCTGAGCCGAGCGCGGCTGGTGCCACCGCAGGAGGAGACATGATGGGTATTTATCGCGCAGCTGCTTGTGCGCTTGTGCGAATGAAGGTTGAGACGATGTCGAGGAAAATCAGTGGAGAGAAGAGGAGAAGCTGCGACGAGGGTATCGGAGGTGTTCTATCAGTCCCGTCTGGTTCGAGTTGTATCGTCAATTTATGTACAAGTGGTCTAGCGAGAATAGTACAATATGACCAGCTGCTGGGAAGAACGAGAAAATAAAAAGTCGCCGGTCGATAAGAGGTCGCGCGGAAAAGAAGCAATTCAAAAAGTTGAGGGAAATGGAAAAAAGTTGTGGTGGAGCTTCTCGCGTGCTTCGTGCTTGGTCCGACTTGGACTTTGGGACTTCTCTAAGGTACGCTCGAAGGGCTTATGTCCGAGACTTATACAACTGCTGTGTACTGTGGTGACTGTGATATACCTGATGGTATTGGTAGTGGTTACTTGTAGTAATTTTTGACGCATGTCATCTTTCTACCAGCACACAATGCTCGCTCGGAACCAACCCATCATAACCCAATGATCTAGTAAGACCCCTTCGCTCGCAATGCAACTGCCTAGTATCTCGTTATATGTCTGTAGATGCCGCTCTCGTGAAACACCATTCAACGCTTCTTGACTGCTTCAAACTTCACACTGGCTGCACCCTTTCCAGTTTGATTCTGGACTTGGTCTCATTTGATACATCCTGCTTTCCGGTCAACTTCAACTCTGTCATGACGCAGACAGAAATCATCATACCTCGGCCTTTCGCTTTCCCAATACCGAGTCGGGAGTCGCCACCCTCCTGCTTCCGCCGACAGGAGTCGAGACACCCTCCTTCTCTCGACCTTTTGTTACTTCGGCATAACAGCTGGCGTGGTAATAGCGGCCACCGACATGGACGGCATCCTTCCAGATAAAATCCTGTACCTCCTCGCTCCACTCACTCTTGAACGGTTCCTGATCGATCGGACATGGCAACGATCGCAGCACAGGATCCGCCGGTACCCGGACAAAGTCTTGAGTCTTCTTCTTCTCAGCCGCTGCAGCACCATTGGCATTTGCATCTGTTGGTCCTGCGTCGTCCTCGTACTCTTTACTCGCGATCCATTCTCGTTCATCGACATACCAACTCCGATTTTGACCACGTTTCTCGGCTTCGAGCATTCTTGCTTTGGTCTTGAAATGCCAATCAAGATGTCGCGCCTTTTTCTCCTTCCCTATATCGTCTAAAGTGAATCTCTTGCCGCATGTGCTACACTGATTCGGCCGAGCGTTGAGAAAGGCGGAAATCAAGTGCGGGCGTGATATCTTGATCGACGCAGAGGTCAAGGTGACTTCGGACATTTTATCCATTCCAAAAGCGAGCGTGGGCAAAGGTGGTGTCGGCGCGGCGGACAGAAGCCCTGAAGCACGTAGTTGCGCAAGAAACGGATTTTCCGAGGCTGGTGGAGGGGCTTGTGGACCGCCTTGAGGAGCGCTGATACTAGGTTGGGGCGCATAGTAATTCGGCGGTGTTGCGGCTTGTTGCGGCTGACCGACAGTGGCCCGTAGTAGTTCAGCCAAGTTGGTACTGTTGAACAGAGCGTTTGGAGCCGATGGCGGGACAGGGGGTTGTGGCGGCATATATGTGCTCGATAGAGGGTTAGCCGGCAGTACTGGAAATGGTGGTTGGGCTGGGGCGGCTTGAGCAGCTGCTAATTTCTCGGCCATCTTCTGCATAATGGTGTTCCGGATATCGACCAAGTCGCTTTCAGACGCGTTCCCACTGTCGAGGATCTCTTTCAAGGTTTGTAGGCTGGCCAACTTTCTCTGTGCCGCTTGATCCATAGGGTGAGTGGCACATTCGATCTTCGCGTCAGTCGTCAGGTCGTCAATGTCGGCATGCAATTTCTGGAGGTCTACAGATCCGGCAGAGACAGGTCGAGGTTGCGGAGTGGGCGCCGGGAATTGCGAAGTCTGAGGGAGCTGAGGGTAGAACGGGTTCATCTGAGCTGGATATGGCTGAGCGTAAGAGGTAGGCGGAGTCTGTTGGTATGCTTGCTGGGGTGTTGCTGCTTGGGGTTGCGGACTTCTGATGTGCGAAGGGATAACTGGATTGAAAGGTGGTAGACTCTGAGGAGGTGTGGGCGTATGACGGTAAGGCTGGGCAGACGCTACTCTTGCTGGAGCGGCATGCACTGGAGTAGACTGATAGCGGCTAGCTGATGGCGTGGGACCCCGAAACTTGTTCAGGCTATCGACTATCGTCTGCGTGCTAGGGTGAGGAAAAACAGGTGTCGTGGATAGGGAGCCGGGAACGGGTTCTCGCCATGTTTTCAGCATCTCCTCCAGCTTCCGCCGAACATTGCCATCGACCTGGGAATAGGCAAGCATGAAAATCTGGTGAAGATTGCGGCCGAAATATACGGTATAAGGCGATCCCACATTTTTGGCAATCGAGTCCAGCACATACAGCGCTGGCAGTTTCCGTGCTGGAGGAGCCTATATAGGAGTTAGTACTGATTTAGAGCAGGCATTTGTATGCTTCCGCGGGAAGACAAGTAGAGCATGAGACGAGGGACGTGGGACGTACTCGATTAATGTGATTTTGTAGAACTCGCGAGATCGCTTCAGCGTGTTCAATATTCTCTTTTGCGATCAACGTGAGGTTGGAGATTTGATATCTGTCGTTGGTCACAAGATCTTCCAGAGAACCTTTGTAGTCTTCAGCAACCTCGTCAGAGGGCAACCCAGACATGATGATGGAGTAAAAGAGATCAGACCGCAGACGGAGATTGAGAAAAGTGGGAGTAGATCAGAACCCGACCGAGGCTCAAATCAGTCAAACGGGCTGGTAGCATGTAGACGAACTGAGGGTTCTCAGTGTCACGTCGGTGAGCCAGCGAAAGCTCTTCAAATTTGCTGTCGGACAGAAGTGCCTGGGAGACAACGAAAAGAGGAATGTCCTGGTATCTTTTGGCTATCTAAACCCTCGCGCAATGCAATGATTTTCTGGAGATTTTTCTGGAGATTCCACATAATCCCAATGCTGCTAGAAACCCTGTGTTTCGATCCACCAAGCTCTTTCGATTGTTCCAAGTCATGAATGGGAGTAACCAAAGCAGAACAATAGGGTGGCACCAGTCTGCCTGACTCAGTCGGACGGATCTGCCGCAGCGGGGATCATCAGGATTTTCAATAGTACTCGAACCGGTGATGAATAGAATAGTGGGTCGACTTATTCGGTGAATGTGTCTATTCAAATCATTGGGATGGTTTAAAAGGAAGGGTGAGGCAGATGAATTAAAGTTGATCGGTGAATGATGGTGAAGACTGAAGAGGGAGATCGCGAGCAACACGACGAGGGTAAGCGCAAGGATTGTGCCAAGAGGTTATACACGTGACCAGCTCTCGGCCACGGGCTGCTACATGTCTCCCTTCGTAAGGTACGTGATCAAATGCCCACATTAATGGGTGATTGAGGAAAGCGGTTAATACTAAGGTGCGGTTAAAGGGAGGTGCATAGAAATATTAAATTTATCTTTATAAATCGACACTGGAACGCTCGAGCAATGGGTGGTCTACTCGTACCTAGGTAGACATTAACTCCAGCTTCGAATTAATTCTGGCAATAGAAACATCAGTGATGACGTCATTTCTGCGGCTGCGCTCCAATTGTTTCGAGGATATCGCAGTCAAACGAAATCCCATGTTTCTTCGTTCATCGCCAATACCTTGAAGTGAGAGACTTGGGTCGTTGAGACACTGAGCCATTGGAGAAATATTGATGCAGTTGCAACAACACACCTCCCATCTCACGCGTAAATTCAGCCTGTGGAACGGCCTTCGTGCCAGAGTCATCCAGACACCGTTGTTTCGGGGCGCAGGGAAGACTCCTCTCCCTCCGCATCCATCGCCGTCTCCTCAGGTACAAGAGATCCAAAAGGAAGAAAAGATGTCCGGACCGCTGAACGGTACCTCCAAAAGGCTTCTGATCGCCATGTCTCCACTGACGTAGACGCGCAGTATTCAAGCAACCGCTTGCGTTCTTCTCCAACCGTCCTGTTACTGGTTTCCACCGAGACGGCTATTGTAGAACCGGAGCGGCAGACTTTGGCAACCATGCTGTTGCTGGTGTCGTCACAGATGAGTTCTTGAACTTCTCAGCGTCGCAGGGGAACGATCTCCGAGGCGCAGGGTTGACCGAAGGCTGCAAGTGGTGTCTGTGCACTTCACGGTGGTTGGAAGCGTTTCAAGCATACAAGGACGGAAGGATCGGTAAGAATGGCGTTCCGAGTGTACATCTGGAGGCAACGGAGGACAGTGCTTTGAGGAAAGTGGACTTGGACACATTCAGGGAATTTTCAGCGAGACCAGAGACGAATGGCGTCAATGGTGTGAACGGACACTAGAGGGACGGCGAAGCAAGATACTCAGCGGTATCGAATTGTTAGTAGCATCCCATACTTTTGAACATGGGAGTTCCTCTCACCTGGAAAAAAGGAAAAGGTGATGCGCCGCTCCCCAGAGTAATCGGAATCGAATTGAAAGCTTGCCCATTTCTGGAAATGGGTAGACTTCCGCTGCGATTGCACTAAAGTAAGTGCGCTCTCACCGGGGAGACACGCCATACAATCTTCGCAACGGCTCTTCCATAGGGAATCCTTCAGGGCTGCGACGCGAGTGACAAGTCACACACGGTCAGCCTGAAGCCCTGTAAATTTCTGATGCCAATTGCGGGCACGAAATCGTGCTGGACCCTCGCGGGCAGTCCTGAGGTCTCGGTCAAGGTGACTCAAAGACACAGGTGAAGATTTGAAGATTACTCCGAATTTCTCATCTGCAAGTGGAAACATCATCTCAACTGCTGGTAAGAGCAGGAGAAGTCGTTGTTTGTAGCAGAGAACGCAGCGGATGGGGAGCGGCGCATGACTTTTAGAAAGAAAGAGTATTGTGTGTGTACAGGAAATTTATATTCGACTCGTAAGATTCTGCCGGTTTCACCGCCTTTGAAAAGTATATCACGTGATCTGCAACTGTCCGCTCCTTTTGTGTCTGGAGAACTGCATTGCAGGTCCACAAAGAGCCCTCCGATGGTTATGGTTGGTCAAACACTGAGCGCGAGGAAGCTTGATAAGATTCGGGAAATGCAGTAAAGGTCCCCAGACCAGCCATTAACACATTATGTCATCCAAGCCTCGAACGCCAGCGATGCTACTCCTCTCATGGGGTTCAGAGCCCAATTGGCTTCCTATTGAGCTAGGACATTGAGTCGACATCCCCGCTGCTCGTGACCTTGTTAGGATTACATCCCAAAGCCACCCATGTCACCTGTGGTAGAAGGGAGCCGTGTTCTTAGAATGTTGGTAGACGCCTTCATCAACGCCACCACTGTCTCCGAAGACATGCATTTCCGAGAACGATTATCTTGCATCGCTTGTCCTCGGCATTAAACACTTGCGCTCGCTTAACATGTTGTGATCTGAGGTTCAGGAAACAGCCTCGTAGAGCAAGGCCGGGGTTCGAGACAGTAAAGAAGATCTCCAAACTGATATCCTGGTTGACGAAGTCGAAGTCCCTTCATTAAGAATAGACATGCAGCAGATTCATGTTGATGGCATAAGTCGTTGCCTTGGTTAATGTAGATACGAACAGTTCGACCGCTGCGCGATACCGAAGGAGTCGAAGTGGAATCGGTGTGATGGGAGACGTCGTGTATTCCAAGCCAATCAACTCTTTCGTCCCAGTATATCACTGATACCGCATCTGTTGTTGTCCCGGAGGTCCTCCCCAGCCCTGAGGAGGACCTTGTTGTTGAGGATGTGGCGTTGGTCCTTGGCCATGTTGCGACTGTACGTCTGGTCGATTCCTAGCCATTATGTCAGATCCTGAAGATAACATGTTGTTCTCGGACACTGTCCTTACCGTAGATCTTGACGAAACCGGCAGATGGAACAAACAAGCTACAAGAGCCATCAGCCAAGGTAAGCTTCAGAATGCGCCTGCGAAACATACGTCCTTGTGTTTGCCTCCCAGCGGTATGACAGGCACGAAGCAGAAGGTAAACCAGTCCCAAGATTGAATGGGATGCGCTGACCAGTTTCCGCAGTTGTGACACTGAGCAGTTATTCCTTCATAGCCTTTCAACTGGCTCGTGAAGTCTTTAAAGGGCAATTAGCTGTGTATTATTGGCAAAAGCGCCTTTCGCTCACCTTTACTGCCGACAACGAAGCAAAAAGCCATGATGGAGAAAGCGTGCGGTTCGAGAGGTTCGAGTGATAGTCGGATGGTAAATACTCGACAATAGGATTACAAGAAGGAAGCTGGCGGCGTCGACAGCGGAGGTGGAATGCTTTGCGCAACACTAAGAGAGAGGAGAAGGCGCAGTCTGAGGCGAAATGAAATGACAAGCCATGACGATGACGCGCCTCGTCACTTGGCTCTCTTGGCGAATCACGGGCGTCCATCGTCGGAGAAAATGGTGGCGCCCACTAACACGAGAGGCCCATGTCAACAAATGTCGCAGCCTCGTCAGTCATAAGGCTACAACGCTGATACCTGGTATCCATGACACCGAAGGTACCTTAAGGTACGTGGACCGTACTGTAAGGTAGCCATCGGCTTTGATATGTCCATTGAGAGCTTCGACGGCATAGCACCCAATTATACCCTCCTCTGTTCATAACATTTACTTCAAGACTCCGGCAGAATTCGATCGTCATTGGCAGCACTCTCCAATGAATAAAGTACGATATCAAGAGTAATGACCCCGATTCATTTGTTTTCCCTGAGACGCCCATATCGCTAATTTTGCTGCAATCATTGAGTCTTGAACAGTAGAATAGCAACATGGCCAAGATAAAAATAGATGAAGTGCTTCGTTTCTGTATCCGTTTGTTCAGCAACCCAATCCGACAGCCACTTCGGAGCTGAGGTGAGTAACGCGTACCATGTGTTACGAAGCTTCCAAAGTTCCTGCCCACTATGCAATGCCATGTAGCACCCTTTTTTGAATCGAACTGCATGGTACCATTAGCGGCCGCATCATATGAGTGCCTCTAACAAGGATCTACCTCTCGCTTGATATGTTGTGCGATGTCCTGTATCCGGTCAGCGTGCCGTTCCAGGTGACAAATCGGTTGCGAGTCGTACCTTCTCGACAGTGAATTTCTCCATCGCCTCTTGTGCTATTGGAAGCGTCAACGGACCTGTCCGGACACACCTCGGAATCATCAGCCCCTACCGACTTCGATGGCCTCTTGTTGCATGTCCTCGCTCTTCAGTATGTCAGCGTCGGCTGTTACAGCACTTATCTCGGCGGTCTCACCATATCGACGGACTTGATTTGTGCTGGAACCTGGTTAGTCGTGGCTTTGTACGGAGTTGGGTAAACTGACGCTCCAACTTGACCTTCTTTTCGGGCATAGGGTCCGCCATAATTGCTGCTGTACGACTGGAGAGGCTTTTGAGGCTTCTGAAGAATCAATCCGTGAAGGGGTTTACTTCAAGACTGCAAGAGTAATGACCAAGAGAAAGGTTGGAACACGGAGTTCTGTTTGTTGCGTAAGTGCCGCATGAGGGATTCCGCCGCAATTACAACCTAGACTCTGGTCTGACAGAATCCTTGGCAGCTCGCCGCGTAGTCTCCAACTTTTTTTCTGCGCTCGAAGAACTTGCAGTCTTAGAGACCAGTAATTACTCTTCATCCTCAATGTTCTAGCATAGCAGCTGAATCTCATAGATCCGCCATGACGGCGACAGAGACCGAGGAACCGCCCGTCACGAGGGTTTATGTCTCAGGACTGCCGCCTTCCATGACCAGTGAACAACTGCGTTTACATTTTCAAGGAGAGTATCCGGTCACAGACGCTCATGTTATAGCAGACCGCAGAATAGGTTTTGTCGGATTCTCTTCTCATGAGGATGCGAAGAATGCTGTACGATACTTCAATAAATCCTTCATTCGGATGTCAAAGATCTCTGTCACTTTAGCCAGACCTATTGAAGTCAAACGCGACGGTCGAGGACAAGCCGCCCCAGTATCACAACGCTCCTTGCGGCAGCGGCCAGAAAACGGAGAGAGCCAAGACGACACATCTAGGAAGAGAAAGCGTGAGACAGATGACAGTGGCCGTGAGAATGTCGATTTCCAACGGAGCAACGGTGTTCAGAAGCCTCGCACGCAGGGAGAGTCAAAGGAGGATGGCGATTCTCCACAGAGGGTAGAGAAGGACCAAAAGACAGGCGAAGCATCAGTCGAGGCCACGGAAGAAACAACGGCTGAAGTTGTAACCCAGTCTGACACGGATTGGCTTCGTGGCAAGACAAGCAGAGTCCTGGATCTAATTGAAGATGATAGTGCTGCAAGACAACGGCCCGCTAGGGAAGCAGTCAGAATAAGCCCCGTCGCTGATGTTTCTGCAAAGGCCCCAGAAGGGGAGGGTGCGACAGATGTTGAACGTCAGGAACTCTCAGAACAAACTGCACGAGTCTCGGTACCAAATGCTCGGTTGTTTGTCAGAAATCTGCCCTTTGACACAAGAGAAGAAGACTTGAGGGCTGCATTTTCTTCGTATGGACGAATATCTGAGGTATGTCATGCTATCGTTACGTTTCCTCCTCTCATTTTCATGATGAATTCCTGATAGGGACAACTTATGCAATGCATTTGATGTGAACCGGGAGAGATTATTTTAGTAGATGCTTCTCATTTCTGATATTGGATGATGCACCATTATCTTTCCTCAAGTCTTTTTTGTGCGTCTACTGATAACGAGACAGATTCATCTAGTGACGGATACCAGAAAGTCAATCGGAAAGGGTCTCGGTTACGTTCAATATGTCGAGCCGCAAGATGCTGAGACAGCACTTTTCGAGCTTGATGGCAAAGATTTTCGGGGTCGGCTGATGCATGTCCTACCTGCATCGGACAAGAAAACCCAGAACTTGAGTGAATTCGAGCTTTCCAAGCTGCCGCTTAAGAAGCAAAAAGCCATCAAGCGAAAAACCGAAGCGTCCAAGGCCACATTCAGCTGGAACTCACTTTACATGAATCCTGACGCCGTCCTTGCTTCGGTAGCTGGCCGCCTCGGAGTGTCAAAAGCAGACTTGCTCGATCCTGCTTCGGCTGATGCGGCTGTCAAGCAAGCGCATGCAGAAACCAGTGTGATCAAAGAGACCAAAGATTATCTGAGATCCCATGGCGTGAATATTGACGCCTTCAAAACACAGTCCCGCGACGACAGAACAATCCTGTTAAAGAACTTTTCTTTCGGCACCACTGCGGAAGAACTGTCTGAGATGCTGAGGCAGTATGGTACGGTTGAGCGATTGGTTTTTCCAACTACGGGAACAATGGCTGTTGCCCAATACTCGGAGCCCAACTCCGCAACACTGGCCTTGAAACAACTAGCATACCGAAATCTGAGAGGCTCTGTGCTCTACCTTGAAAAGGCACCTCGAGGACTATGGGAAGGTGGCAAGGATGTCGCAAACTCGGATAACCCCGTCTTTGTTGAGGACACAAACGGTGATGCGCCCGGCACCACGGCGACAGTGTTCGTCCGGAATCTGAATTTTGCCACCACGACGGCCCGATTAGTTGAAGCATTCGCACCCCTCCCTGGTTTCCTCTCTGCAAGAGTCAAGACAAGGACTGATACCAAACGACCGGGTGAAGTTCTGAGTATGGGCTTCGGGTTTGTCGAGTTCCGTTCGAAGGCTCAAGCTGAAGCTGCCGCTTCCACTATGAATGGTCGCCGTCTTGACGGACACGAACTTCTCGCACAGTTGTCACAAAAGTCCACAGACTTGGCCGAAGAGCGGCGCAAGGAAGATATTGCCAAGAAGGTCCATGCCAACAAGACGAAGATCATCGTCAAGAATTTGCCATTCGAAGCTACGAAGAAGGACGTACGCGCTCTTTTTGGAGCTTATGGTCAGCTTCGCACCATTCGTATGCCGAAAAAGTTCGATAGCACTGCCCGTGGGTTTGCATTTGCGGAATTTGTCACCGCCAAAGAAGCCGAGAACGCAATCGAGGCACTCTCCAACACTCATTTACTCGGCCGCAGGCTCGTTCTCGATTTTGCCGAAGGCGAGATCGTTGATCCTGAGGCTGAGATCAGAGCCATGGAGAAGAAGGTCCAGGGCCATCAGATTTCATTAACTCATCATAAAATGACAGGATCAGCCCGGAAGAAATTCAATGTCGATGCTCGAGACGATGTTGAACCTCTTTGAAGCATCGAAGGTGGTGAGGCCCACTTCGCCCCTTGCAGCACCAGCCTCTCCGGACATCTATGGACTAACACCCTCCTCAAACCCTTGGTATTGTCGATCAATATAGCAATGTCGCTCGTGATCAGGTTGTCTAGTATTATTTTCTTGTGCCGGCTGACTTGCCCGAGTCCAGGGCGGCAGTATTCGTACTGTCTCGTTTGAGAGTCGTTGTCGGAGCTACCTGGTTCGTTAACAGATTATCAGACTTGGAAAGGAAAGCTGCCCTGTGCACGAGCGATCTATCTGGTCCAAGTGCCGGACATGTCCAGTTCACGAATTCTCCTGGGGTGCTGCTCACTGGCCGAAGCCATTTGCATCGAGACTCGATCGGGCTTGAAGTCGACCTTACCACATCCCTTGCATTGCCCTTTTCGCGGCATTCTGCGTCTGTGCGGCAAGGATGGCACAGAGACCTTTACGCTGCGAAATTGCTTGTCTTGCTTGATCGTCATTTCTTGGACAGCAACGAAAACAGAGCTTCTGAATGTGTACTCCTGTCCAACCAAAGTCCGGAAGGGTTGTAGCTGGAGTAAATCGCGAGGTCTACGAAGAGATTGCATCGCTCGTGCAGTGCCTTGTCTAGAATGACCATTATAACACCATGATATACTGGTCACCTCCCAGCATTCCCTGTCTTTTTCTCATTCCTGAGTCTTTTTGTTTGCAGACTGTTGCATTTTTTCCTTCCAGAGCAAGAGCATAGCCCACGCATACTCGCCGCTATGGATATGCTGCATTCCGGGACTTATCCACAAGAGCAGGAATCGGTGCTGGGCTTGGACCCTTTGTCCATCTCGTCAGGCAACATCCAGTCGTCGATTGTCAAGCCAGGAGAAGGGATCGAGAACCAGCGGCCTCATTCATCAGCAGACTTGAAAGATGAGTTGACAACGAAGCCATCTCTGCACCAGCTTCCTCTCCCCACAGCATCATTATTTTCGAACGATGTCCCAATCCACCCATTTGAACAGAAGCCACAGATCCAAGACCAACTCCACCCTTTCAAGCGCCGTCGTCATGTCCCCGGTCATGTTCGGTCGTTCGAGTACCTTAAGAATGAAAAATACCAGAGCTATCGAAGACGTCCGAGGCAGGATTTCGGTCGCGATGACAAACCCATATGGCCCTTGCACATTGAGGATGCTTTTCAAGAGGGTAACTTCACGGTTTTCATCTTCCCCGTTATTATTCTGACCGCGATAGCAATCCAATGCATCAAACCAATGGGTCGCAAGAAATGGTCCCAGGGCGGAAGACTAAACGGCCGCAATATGCTCATTTCAGAATATATCTGGCACAGGACGGGCGAAAGACGCACCCGAAAACAAGTCTCAAGCCACATCCAAGTGCTTGATAGGTTTCTGAGGTATGAACCAGAATGTACGGACCCGACTCTCACACATCTCATACCTCCTTGCGCCGTCAGTACTGACCTCGTCCAGGGGTCCGCCTGAACAAGGTCCCTGGCGATCAGAAGAATGGCTCCCAATCTCAAGCAAAGGGACATAAATTCCATCATCATTCCCTAGAGCACATGGACACAAACCCCCACAAAATGATGGGAGGATTTAACCAGTTGCCGCGGCACCATCAAGGATTCGTCAAAGAGGAACCTTGGGATGACAATGACACGTTCTCCGACAGCAGCGTCCCCGTCTTTTTCCTGGCGAGCTACTTCGTGCAACAGATGCATTTCGAAGCGCGGGTCCTCCCGCCACCCAACGATTCGAATCAGAATCGTACGCTACACCAATATACTCAACTATCATCCCGCAGGACCAGACCAAAATCACTCCCTCTCGACACACTCGATAACTGGCGTGAATCGTTTCCAAGGCTGCACATGACAATAGAAGAACTCTGCACGTCGAACCCGTGCGAGATCATCCTGCTGAATTCTGCGTTTCACTTGATGGACGACTTCCCCCCCAGACACTCCAAACTCGGAATCACCCTAGACCTTGATTTCCAGTGCCACGACTGGCCGGAAATGCAACATGACCGAGAAGCCAAGCGCTGGACAGTTGCCACGCATATATACCAGAAGGGTGCGCTCCTGGTCCCGCCTAGTCACGAGGAATGCTATGGCTCGGCAGAAGGCCTGGTTAAGCCTTTCTTCCAATCGGCCTGGTGGGCGTCCACGCTCACGGCGCTGACGGACGAGAAGAAGATGGCCAAAGACTCCAAGGACTCTGCGGCGATAAAGCTGGCAAATGACCGCTCTCGCGAGTTCTTCGCCGGTCTGACGATCATGCAGGAAATCTTTGCATTGAGGTACACCATTGGCGAGAACTTGAATACAAAAAAGCAGAAGCCTCGAAGAGCGGCGATATTGCTGTGGAAGTTCACGCAGGCGGCGCCCTCTTCGGCGGCGAGTACGACGTGGCAGCCTCTCACGCTACCAGAACCTGTAGGTGAGCCGAATGGTAATAGTCCGAAGATGTCTGCGTCCGCTATGGAATTACCTGCCCTGCCGATGGATACCATGGTCGATTACGTTGAATCTATCGAGGACGACAGTGCCTCGCACCTTCACCAAGAATTTACTTTCGACATGCTCCCATTGGCAATGGACCAGGAGCTCTGCCAAGATGGTCATATGGCATTCCATTATCCGCACACGACACAAGTCGACCAAACGGAATCTTCCTTCCATATCCCGATGGCGCACGAATACATGGCGAACAATAACTTCAGTCCTGCACAGGGTATCTTCGGCTTCTCACATGCTGACCACCATCCAATGACGGCATCCCATGCCGTCGAATCTGGGAATATCTTTGAACTTCCTCAGCTATCCGGACAGGACGGAGGAGACCACAGCCTGAAGTATGCCAACCAAGGCTCACTGGACGCAGACTGTTGCAGTACCGGCCAGATTCTGCAAACGCATCAAGCACTGCAGGATCACCTAGGCCAAGATGAATCCCTGAACACAGCATCGTCCCAATCATCGTTTCTCAAGCCAGAGGCAGACAGCCAGTCTGACAAGCCAGAGCTCCAGCATTGGGATCATTTGAGTCAGGAGGATATCCACGTTCTGCAGTTTCTTGCCGATGATCAGCAGCGGAAGAGGAAGAGGAGCATGGATAAGCCCTGGCCACAGCTAGCAGAGGACGAGGAAGTTTTAAAGATCGCATTGCTCGCTGCTTCGGGGGATTCTGAACGTCGCCTGCAAGCACCTGGTGGACTCGGCTATCGCCATCAGGCGCAAGAGCGTCACGAAGCTGAACCTCACTGGATGTCCCCACTGGCCATTCGTCCACCTATCCAGACACATCACAGCTTTCATGTGCTGAGCCGTACGGTATCAGACTCCGAGGCCGGTCATACTGACACCTTCCAGCACACCCACGACATGGCAGATGAGGCGTCATGCGTGGACACTTACATTGCAGGACAAGATGAGCACCCGTTCTCTGCGAACTTTCTGGCAGGCAATCCGGAACTTGAGGGTAATTTTGGCGGTCGAGGGTTGCCACGCGCACACAGCGAGTCTGATTTATATGTTCACGTTGGCGGTTTTTTATTGCCAGGCACGGTACCTCCGCTCCCCACATACACTCTCGGCGCGGAAGAGTCAACGCCTAGTCTGCATGCGCTTGCTGGCGACGGGAACGATGGTGAGGTTTCGGTAGTAGCAATGTCTGCGGACCTGAATATTCCCGTACGATCCCAGCCCCAGCCTATCGAGGAGAACGGTCTGGGAGGTAGCTTCGTCGATGTGTTTGGAAACGAGGCACAAGAATAGACGTTCCGGGCTGATGTCGCCGGTGTGATAGTAGGGGTTGCAGTGAAGCCGGCGACTTTATGTGATGCGAGGATGGAACGTTCTGCTTTGATATCGAGGCAAATGGTACCAATAAGGCGTCTTGGGGGTTTCTTTGATACTTTTCTTAGTATTCAATCGCTTCATATTTCCCATAGTCGAAGTGCACTAGGTAGTAGGGGCAGGCTGTAGCTGAAGACAGCAATCAATCAAAAGTGTCCGAAGTACCACAGATCTGGCGAGGGTAGGAAGAATGGGTCTCTGATATTTTTTTTCTCGATGTGCAACGCTCTGTTGGAGGCTACAAGTCGTCCTCTGCTAGTTCAGGATCGAGTAACCGCAACGAGAACTCCGAAGGATCTTCCGGACGTCGCTTATTCTTGTACAGCCAAACTTTCAAACGTGACACGATACTGCCCGATTGTTTCTCGTCCCTTTCTCTGGCCAAGCGGCTCCTTACAGCAGGCGCCAACCTCCTGATAATGAATATGACCAAGAAAGTGGTCGCCGCCAGGGAAAGGAGTAGAGCAATTATCACGATCCATGGGTTTATCCCTTTCAGACAGCACCCGTACATGGACATATATATCTCGACCGCAGTCCTCATAAGACTGCCTTTGGGCTTCTCGTCCGGCTGCAGCCCTTTGCGGAGCAGGTGCTTGAACTTGGGACCCGTAGGGCCATTGTTGTACTTTTTCAGCCCGAAGTATGGCACAGTTGATTGCCGTGGATCTTTGTCGGAGTATTGCTTGTCACCCCAGCCGCCAGTGAAGTGGAACCAGTCAGTCGGCGCGTTGCTGGGTTCTAGTGCAGTAAGGACATCTGTTGCAGCATTATAGGAGTAGATCCAGGCAGGCTGAACGGGGTCCCAGACGCGGCCTTTATTCGCAACATCAACGAGCGCCGAGTCATGAACGTGGCTCCTATTTTGTCGGTAAGCAACAGAAACTCGCTTGACCCAGTGTGCGGGAGCTCACCCTGCACTAGGATAGTTCGCATGTGAGCCTCGGGCACTGTAGACAACTGGCTGCGAAAGAGGTTAGCAGAGACCAAAAGACAGAATACGAGCAGCAAGCTGACCCTATCTCCTTGCTTTGATAGGCAAGTCGTGTCTTCCCATAGACAAACCTCACCACTTCCGTGCTGGCTGAACCACATACCATACGGCACTTCGTCTATGAATCGGATCATGTTATGTTCCCTCGAATATAGGCGTTAATAGACTCAAATAGAGGCCAAAGGTGGGTATGAAGGCTCACCAGTCTCCGACATGATTGCCATAATGATCACCGGGTTTACTGTTCGGTAAGAGCCTGTTCAAAGGTGGTAATACCTGAGTTATATCCGCGCCCTCGTCGTAGGAATAAAAGTAGAAATAGAAAGCATCAAGGATCGAGTCCGACTTGTTGATAAGCACGACGGCACATGCCGTAGAATTGTGTAAGGCGCCCGTAGCATCTGGCGTCTCTCCTCGCAGCCAGGCAGGATGAGACGTGACGTTCTCGATCGAGGTTAAAAAGATCTGTTTGCCATAGTCGTTTAGTGATGACAAGTTGTCCAGATCCAAGTCCGGAACGTCTGGTACGGGTTGGAACTTTTTGTACGGCGTCGTGTGTAGCACATGGCTCAATATGTCACTCGGCATAAAAGGATCATCGGAATGTAGCCAGATAATCGGGGCTGGACACAAAACACGATCAGCACCACAGGCATCGAATCATCTGAGGGACTTGGAATTGGCCGTTGTCAGGGTGTACCTACCGTTCTCCTTCACATAGCTTGGAACTTCTGAGCTCGCCGCAAAATGCAGAAAGTCAAGCAAGAATAAGACGGCGAATAGGTGTACATGCCGGAATACCTCCTGCACACCCATTACTGAAGTAGATCAATTGTCGGCTCGAGACACAGCAAGCGGTAGTCAAGCAACGACATGACCAAAGAAACGATCCTCATCAGAACGTGACAGCCATCGACCAAGCTCAAGTCCGAGCTGTCAGCACGTCTCCGTACAGATGAAATCCATTTCCAACCCCTTCCCGGGTGAGCCGGCATCCTGCAAGGCTGACAGCCAAACATTTTCAGGCCAATGGTATTGAGTCTTGGCTTACGAGGCTCTACCTAACCATTCTAGATCTAGCGCAATATTTTCTCCATTAAGCTCCAAATTTCAAAGAAAAAGTATCACCAGAATTTCGCAGTCTGCATATTACGACGACCACTTATTGTCGCTCATCCCATACAGCGTCTAACTCATACCTTATCACCTCTCATCCTTATCGGACTCCACGTCCTCCCATTCTTCGAAAACTCCAGCAGAATAACAGAGTCACATAACACAAATGGCGTTCGGAGGCCCGCCCCGAGGCCGCGGCGGTGGTAGAGGAGGTGCACCAAGAGGCGGCTCAAGAGGCGGCTTTGGCGGTGGCGGTCGCGGTGGCGGCTTTGGCGGTGGAAGAGGTGAGGTCCTGCTTTGACACGGAATCCTCGGGTGTCTTAAATGGAAACCGATCTGGACATGACTGACAAGCATTTCCCGTTGCAGGCGCACCACGAGGAGGTGGCAGAGGCGGTGGTCGAGGAGCACCCCGCGGTGGCCGAGGAGGCGATCGTGGTGGACGGGGCGGTGGCAGACCCGGCATCAAAGGAGGAGCGAGAGTCATCATTGTACGTTTCCATCCTACCTGGGGACTAAACTAAAGTACTAACTGCCCTGCGCAGGAACCTCACCGACACGCCGGCGTATTCGTTGCACGCGGCGGCAAAGAAGACCTCCTGGTGACCAAGAACCTCACGCCTGGCGAGTCCGTGTACGGCGAGAAGCGCATCTCCGTCGACGCACCATCCACGCCCGCTGTTGACGGCGAAGTCGCCCCGCAGCTCAAGGTAGAATACAGAGTATGGAATCCTTTCCGCTCGAAGCTGGCGGCCGGTATCCTCGGCGGTTTGGACGACATTTACATCAAGCCCGGCGCGAGTGTACTCTATCTGGGCGCTGCCTCAGGAACTTCTGTCTCGCACGTTGCCGATATTGTCGGTCCAACCGGACGTGTGTACGCTGTCGAGTTCTCCCACCGGTCTGGTCGTGACCTGATCACCATGGCGACGCACCGCACGAATGTCATCCCGATCATCGAGGACGCCAGACACCCGCTGCGATACCGCATGCTGGTCGGCATGGTGGATGTGATTTTCGCGGACGTTGCTCAGCCCGATCAAGCACGTATCGTGGGCCTTAATGCACATTTGTTCTTGAAAGCCGGTGGCGGCGTGCTGGTCAGTATCAAGGCCAATTGTATCGACTCGACGGCCAAGCCGGAGGTGGTATTTGCGTCCGAGGTCAAGAAGATGCGCGAAGAGCGGATTAAGCCAAAGGAGCAATTGACGCTTGGTATGTTCTCTTCTGGGCGTTGTTTCTCTGGGCAAATTCTAACGACTTGTTTACAGAGCCTTTCGAGCGTGATCACTGTATCGTGGCTGGTATCTACAACCACAGCGCTCAGTAGACGCCTCTTCTGCTGCGTTAAGTTCACCCGTCGACCACAACTGGTTTGCGCAAGTCTAATCTGCCTGTCCACCAAAGACAGCATGGTGATATGCTGCCCCAAGGAACATGTGAAGTCTGACGTGTAGCATCTTGGCCAACGAGATACCTGGTTCGATGAGGAATCACGTGGAAAATTCAGAGCTGGTGAAGCGGAAATGCTTCTGCAGTGCGAGCGGATGGAGTGCAATGATGATTATTGGAGCTATGCTGAGCCTGAGAATTTGTAGGCATATGGTCTTTGCGTACGGTCGGCGTTCTCGGCGTGATGAAGCTACGGATCATGGGGGGCAATGGATAGTCGTCGGGCCGGCTTCTGTCGACTGACCGTCAACATGTACACCTTGGTTTGTGTAAGAGACATTTTCAAAACGGGGCAATGGAATCAACTTCAGTGGATCTGTGCTATCTTTCCGTGAAACAGAAGAGAGAATGAGTTTCTGACGGTGATGTGGAAGCGAGTATTTTTGCACCCATGTTGCTCACATTAGCTTATTAGAGCTTTTCAAGCCCACCACCTCCGTCTACCTGAAAAGGTTCTTGATCACCAGCGATCACCCTTGCAGGATGCCCTTCGTACATCGACGGTCCATATGTGCTTGGTTTCTCGCAGACCCCCTGCTTCTCCATCACCCGGGGTGTTGCGATCCCCCTAGAAGCCACAGAAATCTCTCGCGAGAGTGTCCTCTTGCGCTGATAACGCTGGTACTGGTCTGGATGAAAGCCTCGATTTTCGATCCGATCATGCTATGAAAATGCTCACTGGTCCCTCCATCATGCAATGTCCCCGATCTATTGTCTGGTACATTAATTCATCGGCGCAGGAGTGGTAGCGGATGGTCACGCAGTTTGACGCGATCCTGAAGGCTCGAGCAGACCCTGATTTCTTGACGACCATCCTCGCTCGAGTCTGTCCCGAAAAGAAATGAGATCAGAGACTCTCTGCAGCCGCCTCCGTGGGTAGTTTGGGATGGAAAGGACAGGCAGACGCGATTCTCGCACAAGGCAGAAGGCGCTTTGAAATGAAAGAAGGTTCCTCGAGTATCATATCTAGACCTTGACAAAGCCTGGAGTAGAATGTTAGCCTGCTTCTGCAGAATTCGACACCTCATTCTTGGTGGAATGGCATCTCCGAAGGAGAGAAAGTGATCCAGAGCACACTTACTTGCGTCAATCTGCTTGACCTGCGGCAGAGCAAGTCGCACTTTATTCCTGTACACAGCCGGACCCGTCAATTGCAGAGGATTCATTTCGAAGTACACGGTTTCCAGATTCTCTTTGTCGGCCAGCTCTCGTTCGACCTCTCGAAAATCAGCCAATTTATTGCTGCTGGCCCACAGCTCCTCGAGCCCCTTCAGATGTCCTATATTCTCGAGATGCGAGATCTGATTGCTCGAGATATCTAGAACGCGTAGTTTTGTATTGTTCGCCAATGCAGACGGTGTGATCTCAGTGATGCCATTGTGCGAGACATATAGCTCCTCCAGGTTCGTCAGATTTTCGAGGCCACTGATTGATGTCAAACGATTTGACTTGATGTCCAAGAGTCGCAGATTCGTGAGAGGGGATAGGTTCTTTATCTCGGTGATCTTGTTCTTTCCAAGCCATAGTTCTTGTAGTTGTTTGAGAGGCTCCAGATTCTCGATTTCCCGGATTCTGTTCGCACCCAGTTCAATCATCGTCAGATTCTCCAGGCCCTCGAGATTCTCAATCTTGGATATCCGATTCTGAACGAAGAACAGGTGCGTCAATTTGTGCAGATGCTTGACACTCTTGATGTGTTTGATCTTGTTGAAACTCAGGTCCAGACTCGTCAGGTTTTTCAAGGCTTCCAGCCCTTTAATGTGACTTATCAGATTGTCGTAGAGATCCAACTCCTCCAAGGTCTCCCCGAGATGCTCTGGTAGTGATATAGATGTGATTGCATTCTGACGTAGGCATATTCTTTTGACTTTTGTGAAGCGTTCGAGTTTGAGCGCAGGGATGGAGGAGATGCGGCAGTGAATGAGGTCAATGTCTTCGGAATCTAGAGGATAGTCGTCCAAGAGATCTTCGTCCGCTTCGATCTGTTCAACTGGAGGGGCGTCAGGGTCAGAGTACTCGGGGTCGGAAAGGGCTTCTGGGTTGTCGAGAACTGCGTGTCGTGGAGGCATACGCAGTTTTCCGTCCCACCCATTGCTGTTGACCAGAGGCGCGGAGTGGTGTTCGTGGGAGGAATTTGAGGGAGGTAGTTCTATTTGTGCATGAGGATGTTCTTGTTCATCTTCGTGGCCGTCAAGCTGGGTGTTGTCTTTGGGCGCCTGTTCTGCCATGACGTGGGGAAGTAAGATGCCTACGAACAAGGACTTCGAGTGCGTCGGTCTCTGCTTCTAACCTCTGACCTTCAAAAGAATATGTGCCGAACGGCAGGGTGAAGATTGCGGGAGAGGTCAGCTTAGCATTTCAAGTTGGAGGATGGGGATGTTGGAGTTATGCTACACAAAAGATTGGCCACGCGATCATGTCGAAAGATGGTGAGATCTTCACTTGCAAAGGTACGAAGTACATTCCCAATGCTACGGTCCCTCTACCCAAACCCTGGTCCTTCACTTGGCATTCAGGATGATGCAGATTGTTGCACTGCGGAAAGGTTCTCGCGAACAAGAGCAAGAGTGAGTCGAGCTTTGCGGTGTCCGAGCATGCACTCTTTCAAGGCTTATTCAGGTGTCCCCCTGCAGTCTCGTCTTGAAGCCTCCGAGTCATCACGGGCTGATATGCAATTGTCGAGTGCTCATGTCGGGCCCTGGAAATCTAGGATAGCCCTGTTGCTTCAATCGCAACCACTTATTGGTATTATACAAGATATGCCTGCGACCACGCTTTTGTTTTTCCCATGCAATAGTCCACCTGTAAGTTCGCCCAAGAAGTCTAAGAGAATCTCTTTGTGACCTTTGCAATGACTGATGAAGGATCAGTTTACGTTCCAAGGTAGAATCGGCATCCTGAAAGTTGGCATGGTACTTACGATGCAGAGCTACGACGCTGAAAATGAATCCTAAGCTCAGGAAAAGAATGACCATAGGATCGACCTTCAGACCAGGACTCTCGTCGGTGTATAGTCTTAGCATAGTCCCTGAAGAACCTCCTGCACCGGCTGCACGTGTTGAGGCTGGTCGAGCATTCTTGACGGATTCTTTGTGATCGGCAGCTGCGCGTCGACGGATGGCAGAGCGAGGGCCACCGGGAGGTGAGCCAGCGCGTGCGATGGAGGACGACCCGCTGGATTTGGCGGCAGAAGGAGTAGAGTCGGGCCCGGAATCAGGACCAGAGGTCAGAGGAGAGGAAGGTCTAGGAGAAGCCTGAGGACGAGTTCGTTAGTATTAGTGTCGCTTCGCATATTTTGACTAGCCATGAGGCCGACAACGAAGCAGTACTCTAAAACAAAACACAAGATTTGCTGCAAGCGAAGAAGACTCGTACCATGGCTGCTCAACTTCGACTGCGGACTGCGATCGTTTGCAGGAACTTCGGGGGAACGGACGGCGCTCCAACGGCCACAACGTATCTGATGGCCGACAGGAAATGCGAGGCAAAACAATATGGGACGATGCACCGCGAGAGTGAGTTACAGAGGAGAGGGTCTTGAGTTGTAACTGGTGATGGAAGGTGGATGTGGACACTTCTACGAAATGCGATCAATTCTGGGGAAATTCGCAACTGGTGCCAGTTGGTGCCAGTTGGTGCCAGCCTTGCAGTACCACCGTGGCTAAGCACCCCTGAACTTCTTGGCATGCCATCCCTATCATTCATTTATCGTCACCTACACGTTCATTACTCCTGGAAGATCGTTGTCGTCTGGGCCATCAGGGTTATCAATGTCCATGTCCAGCTCGTACCCTACTAGGAAGATGCTGACTAACCGCTCTCTGGTTGTCCATGCTTCAAATCTGTGTCTTCCCACGTGCTGATCAGGCTCTCGTTGATGGCCAACCACGGTCCATTTGGCCCATTATGCCCAAACCACACCCAGTGATAGGTCCAATGCCTTCCTCAGGGTCACTTCTCGGCCTCGCCAGCAACTCTCATGTCATAATGCCTAGATCCCAATATCACGAGCTGGTCAATCAATATGGAGTCTTGTACACTGGAGAACGAGCCAAGACGCAACATCAATACGCCCACTATTCTTTCTCAGTCATAATACAGCACAATGGAGTGGCAGACCGCCAGCAAATCCGAGACCCCTGAGCAGCAGCAGTATGAGAAGGAAATACTCCATGCACATTACCCCAAAGAGCGCGTCGAGCATGATGTTCGACACCTAGCCGATCATGTCGAGCCCAACAAGGATGAAGCGACTGGCAACACGTCAGACCATGGCTCCCGTTCTCGTATCAGCGACAAGTTCAAGTCCTTCTGGGATAATACTGTTGTTCCAGCATTCCCAGAGGCTATAGGCGACGTCTCAATTATCAAGTCTGCTCTGAAGGTCGAAGCCATGATCACGAAAGATCTTAGGGACGCGACCAAACATCCAGAGGTCGAGAAAGTGGGGTCCGTGAGAAGAGGCTTCGAGCTGTCGCCGGAAGAAATGACATTTCGTGAATCCAGAAAGCACAAAGCCAGAGATGCATTCTGTCGATACATTGAGCTTGACCCGTCGGAGGTGCACGTCGACGATGTACCCGTCGTTGCATTTGGTGGCTCGGGGGGAGGGTACAGAGCAATGCTGGGTATGCTGGGGTACTGCCAAGGCATGAAGCAGTCGGGCCTGTGGGATCTACTAACCTACGTGAGTGGTGTCAGTGGTAGTTGCTGGAGCCTAGCTGCATACTACACTTGGGCAGATGCCAGTATGGAAAGGGTGATCGACCATTGCAAGAGCAGACTGAGTCCATACCACCCTCTGTCGCCGGAAGCCATCAGAAACGTCTTGCATTCGCCTGGAGGCCCAACGAAAACCCTCGGCCCAATCGTACAGAAACATCGCTCTGGCCTACATACAGTGGCAATGGATCTCTACTCAGTATTTACTACTGGTCACCTGTTTTTGCCAAATGATCCAAGTATGAACCCTGCGGGAATGCATACGAAGAAAGAGGTGGCAGGCTATCATGACCAATGGTACAAGTGGACGTCAGCTAAGAGATATATCGAAGATGGAAGTGAGCCTCTGCCGATTCTGACGGCCATCCGGCACGAGAGGCCATGGAAAGACTGGGTAGATAAGGAACACCCATTCAGGGATGCAGACCCGCACACAAAAGAGCAAGAGGAGGCCGAAGATGCATGGTTCAACTGGTTCGAGATTTCACCCATCGAAGTTGGATGTGACGAACTCGAGGCTTTCGTGCCGACCTGGGCATTTGGCAGACCTTTCGAGCACGGCCAAGATGTCATGCACCTTCCTGAACAGTCTCTTGCATTGCTGCTTGGGCTGTGTACGAGTGCGCCTGCGGGACCGTTGACATCCTACCTTGCCACCATAAAGAGAATGCTCCCTCCCACCTTCATAGGCAATTCCATCCGGGACATGGCTAAGGGCGTTTCCAGGTTGTGGGGACCAAAGGGGACTGAAGAGTTCCAAGCACATCATCCTCTCCATGCCGTCAATGAACACAATTTCATGTACCACTTGACGAATTCCAACGACAGCAACCAAGCGTCACCGCCAATTGAGAACTCGCCGCGTATTCACTTGATTGACTCTGGCATGGACAACAATTGTCCCACATACGTCATGTTACACCCTCGTCGATACATCGATGTGGTGATAAACATGGACGCATCAAGTGATGTGTTGAAAGACAGTTTCCAGGAGCGCGTGGACCAGATCGCCAGCCGTAGGAGCTTGAAATTCACCAAAAGACATCCAGAGCTGAAACAGGACCCGAACCGCAGCAAGCCAGACCAGTTCAAAGGCTTATATGCGCAGATCTTCGATGGCAAGGTCCTTCTCGACAGACCAAAGGAGGTCGTCGACTCATACGGTCATACGGTCACAAATCCTCCTGCGCCTCCATGCCTCCACGAGTCGACCATGATATATATGCCGCTTCTGCCGAATGATGGCGCCGTGCAAGACTTCGATCCTTCGACTGCTAAATTTTCTGGATCGTACAATCTTGTTTGGACTCCTGAGCAGGTCGAGATGCTTATCAAGGTCTGCCTAGCAAACTTCGCGGCCAGTGAAGATACCATCAAGACCGTTCTGCGGGAAGCCTGGCTGAAGAAGAGGACCCAAAGAGAGGAAAACTGACCACTCCATACCTTCCTGAGCTGGATGTCAGCCGTAGACCGTCTAAGGAAGCATCAATATTGACCGTCACCCAACTTTAGAGAACACCTGATTTCAATTGAGGCTTACAGTCGATAATTGGCTGCTCATTTCGACCAGGTGCATTCACTTAGAATGCCTAAGTCAATGCGGCTGAGGGCCCCGATGCTACCCTCCTAACTTACAGCTGACTCCCTGCTGACCCGCAGTATATATATGTACTTCACTACATCGTCACTGCCTCTGGAAAACAAGTCGAGGATGCCACCTATCTTGGATCTCTTTCACAAATCTCCTGTCTAGGATGTATCTTGTCAACTCCTTTATTAAGACAGGACAGCAGTGGTTTTCTTCTCCAGACGACTCTGAAACGATCAACATGGGCGCCGCTAAGATCATGCAAGCGATCACCTCGGCTACTGCTATACTGGGCACCGCGACCCCTGCACTGGGCAGCTTAGTAGTTGACACAGCACCCAACAAACCACAACCTTACGTCCTTCCCAACCTGAAAGGTGCCGCCGTGGACTTCGGAGGCCTCATTATTCGAACCCTTGTTCCCAACGTCACTTCATCCGGCAGTCTTTCGATCGTCAGCGTCAACTCTGGCCCAGCACCTCTCAACCTCATCCACTACCACAAAGAAGTAGAGGCATTCTACGCTCTCAAGGGTGGTGTTCAAGTCTTCCATAATTCTGACCAAGGTCGTCAGGTCCAAGCCAACGATTTTGTCTTTCTCGCCCCAGGCAACAACCATACTTACCGCCCAAATGATCTCGATTTCCAACTAAGTCTGTGCATGGCCCCCGGTGGGATCGATGAATTCTTTGCAGCCGCCGGCACCCCGTATAACTCTGTCTCGCCGTATGACCCTGAAGATCAATCTCAGCTGAACGTCACCAAGGTGTTGGGCTTGATGCCGAAGTACAATATAGCACCTCAGCCATACAACACTATCAATCTGGATTGGGTCAATGGTACTACAGCGGATGGCTTGGATACCTGGCATGTCGCCGACCAAACTCTACCAAGCGATGCTTCTAAGCCATATTTTATCTCCAGCAATCGCGGACCGAAGTATTTGCACCGAAGCTCAGGCAAGATAATTGCTCAGCTCGCTTCCACGAACCAAACCGGCAACAAGCTCAGCATTGCGACTATCGCTATGAAGCCGTGCAAGAAAACACGACCGATCAAGTTCAACGTGGATCAAGCCTTGCAGGTCACAGAGGGTCAACTGCACATTGAGATCAACAAAGAAACAGCACAAATGATATTCGGCGACCTGATTTTCATCCCCAGAGGAACATACTTCACTTATTGGTCCACGGTCGGCTTCACCAAGTTAATCAATTGGTCGGCAGGTCCAGGACTATCAGACAGCCTCATCCAGGCTTCAGAGCAATGGGATCACGCGGTTTGGCCCGCATGATGGCCTTGGTGGCACGGCGAGTATGCAATTCTGTCTAGGTTTTCGCATCCACTGCTCTCCTGTAAATATCTTAGATTCTTCGGGCGGCTGTCATCGATGAGTGATTGATCTCTGAATTACGATGCAACACAGGGAATTGCGAAAGGCTCCCCATCGAAACACTGCCTTATTCCACAACACCTCCCGCACCCGGAGCTGATACAAACAGCTAATGAGTAGCGTCGTACAAACAGTCCCGAAGGCGGCTTCGGTCTCCGTCAAGCAGACTACACCAGTTATGAAGGTCCGAGTTGATGGCAGTCGCTACAGGGATGCTTTCGGTCCTTCAATCAAATAAGACATAGAAATAGAGAGCGAAGCAAGTATGGGCTTTGACAAGAACTGGCCTTTTTGAGAACAGTCAAAAGATTGCCGTTGCCTTCATATTTCCTATTCACCTTCCACTCCCGATAGCCGTTCATCCCTTCTGCTGAGACCAGCGCATCGGATGTCACGTCCACCTAGCCCCTATAGCTTAGCAATCCGTCTTGATGGACGTAAGACTGCTGCTCCCGGGCGCGCTTTCCTCTCGTACCGACCTCGACTCCACCCAAGTCCTTCAGCTCTTCGATCCCTCGGCTCGACTGGGCCACCCACAAATCGCTGCTGAAGACCGTCAGAATAATCAACTCGACCTCATTGATATTCACTCCGTTCAGGCGTATTCTGGCAAACATAGCTGCCAAACAAGCTGTTGAGTCCTAGCTCGCACAGGTCAGGATTTCCTGGATACGAGAGTTGAACATGTCCGCCATCGCTAGTTGTCCACACAGGTTCATTGCAATGATCGTCGCTGATAGTGACTTTAAGCATGATATCTCGGATGGAGAAGATATGCCGGCGTTCCCACGGCGTTGACGTACCTGAAGAATACACAATACGTCCCTTCATCGGGGCCTATCGAGGCGATGGAATGATTCTATCACGCCAGCAAGGTCAGCATTTCGCGATGTGCGGTCTTGAACTGCATGAAGCTGCTTGAACGCCCTGGTCCAGGTAGTGGGTACTTACCCATTTGCCAGTTAACTCGATGCATATGTTTGATGGTAACACGTCATGTGCACAGGCTCCTCGGAAACCCGTCTCGAGGCAATAAAATAGCTGGCAACATCAGTATCAATCTGTAGCGAGTGAATGATTTTCGGCAGGTCAGACATACGCCGCAGGTGTCTTCCAGAGTTGGTACCGGGTTGCAGGTACCTGCAACACAAAGGGTTGCCGCGAGTAATGCAGCAAGTCCGCAAACACTTATCATTCTGTGCGTCCATACTGGCAGGGCGGCCCATGCGGACAATCAGGGGCTGCAATTAATTTGTACAATGCATTTGCTGCAAGGCTCGTTTGTGCACCCAGCGGTTTGCAACACTTCCCCGCAGATGGACAACATTCCAATTCCATCGAGCCGTTGTCGTTCCCGACATTGCCAGTGATACTCGCCCACATCATCCCTGACAAATTTTCGCGAGCGGTTTAGGCAAATCTGAATGTTGAGGACGTTCTTGTTTCAGTCTCGGAAGCGAGCAAACAGCCGGTTCCAGCCCTGACATGGAACGAAAATTCGTTGAGAGGCCGTCTCTTGATGCCCAAGCCTCTCACATCACCCATCAGAACCTGGCAGAATAGTCCTCAAGGGACGTTGATTGCGTCGACCCCAGGCCACCGCCAGCATCGGACCGAATTTCAGTCTCGTCTTGATTGATGAGATTGCCGCCAAATATTTTGTCTATCCGCTTATCCCTGTCCCAGACGATTTCCTGCCCGCCAGTCTCGATGGTCCGCTTGAAATATTTGATACGATGCTGAGGAATCCATTCTTCCTCAGTGAAGTCGGAGATCCAATGGGCGGCCGGTATTTCCTTGATGCCGCTGAAGCGTTCCAGATAACCAATGGTGTGGCTCGAAAGATCGAGCGCTCGATCCCATCGGAGGCGGTCAAGGACGTCTGAAGAGCTTCAATGGCCTGCCCTATGTCTGTAGCAGGAGGACGGGACAACTTACCTTGAGCTGACCTCATCTTGGGCGTGGTTGTCGCACCCACCGGCACTAGGGTGCTCATTTTGTCCCGTCGCCGTTGTTTGGTATAACGCTCGAGCTCCTGATTTCGTCGCGCTTGGTCTTTTTCCTCCTGTAAATTCTCCTCGCCTATTTCCCGGAGATGGTTCTCTGCAATACTTCTCAATCGACATATCGTATCCGACAGGGCAGCAGATCCTGGGGAGGATGGTTGCGCCATGGGAAATGCTAACAATGCCGATTTTGGATGGGTTTTCTGTGGACATAATTCGACATCGTGAAGGGTTGTCTTATTTTAATCCAACGCGGCTCCATGGGGTACGGCTTGTAGCATGGGCGGCGGCTGATCTCACAGCCTACTTCGAATGACTCACCGTCGAGCCAGGCTTCGTCCTTGGTCTAGATTGCGGTTTTGAAATTGCGAAGTGAAGTGCTATCCATTGGGGCGAAGACACAGGGTCCTGGGAGGAATAGGCTTGCTTCACTTGGAGTCATCATTTTCGGAATGTTGTAGCGTCCAGGCTGTTGGTGAGTCATGCCCTCGATTACTAGGTAGTCTGCAAGCACGCGCCGATGAGTGAGTAGAATCACCGTGACAGCCATCCACAATCGCTGTCGCAGGCCTTCAGCGTCATTTCGCCGTATTGATGAAGCGCATTGTCACCTGCGCCTAAAGAGATTGTATCTATTCATAGAGCAGCATGAGGATGGCAAGGATGCTGCCGAGGAGGACGGCTTCATGCTTTGCACTATTGCATCACCGTACACAGTATCCTAGGCGAACATGACGCCGACCTCGGCCACGAACATCAGGGATTACCTTGCCTTCCCACGCGTCTTTTGTTGCCCAGTACCTAGATGGAGGCTTGAGAGAAGGATGTAGCGGCAGGAAAGACATTGTTGCTTTTTGTAAGAAGAGGCCGGCGCGAGGATGGTGCTGAGCCTGGGTCTGAGAAGTGTGCATCGTAAGGTGCATGGGTCAGGAAGGCCACCGAGCCTCCTTCGGTCGAGGGCGTTGTCTCACTTTCGAGTAACTGAGCATATACCCCCGACGCAACATACAAGGCATTGGCCGAGGGGCACTGAAGTTGGCTACGAGAATGCCTTGAAGCTTGCCGTCAAGCAATATGTGCCTTTGACCAATCTAGACCCTCAACCTGGCGATGTTACTTTTGTTGCAGCACATGCCAATGGCTTCCCCAAGGTTGGTATTCCGTACGCTCAATGCATATCCTTGGACGTATCTAAACCGGGACATCTAGGAGATGTACGAGCCTATGTTCGACGACCTGTTCGAGAAGTTGAGTCGCCTTGGCCGGAGAATCCGTGCCGTCTGGATTGCGGATATCGCTCATCAGGGCCAGAGCGGTATCCTCAATGAAGACGCTCTGGGCAATGATCGTACGTCTGGCATCGAGTATATTTGTGATTCTTAATCACTGATGGAATAGCGAATTGGTGGGATTTTGCACGGGATCTCCTCTTCTTGATCAACCAGAAGCAACAGGAGATGCCTCAGCCACTCGTTGGGATTGGCCATAGTATGGGCGGGTCACAGCTGTATGACCACCCTCTGTGATGGCAGTGGCAAGGCTGACAGGCTCACAGGGCTCAACTTGCACTGCTACATCCTCAACTACTGCAGGCTCTTATCTTGATTGACCCTGTCATTCAGACCGAGAATCCCAGCAAGACATTTGCCAAAGCATCGACGTATCGACGTGACCTCTGGCCTTCGCGAGAGAACGCCGCTCAGAATTTTGCTTGCAGTAAGTTCTACCAGGCATGGGACCCTCGGGTGCTTGCGCAATGGGTCCAATATGGCCTGAGAGATCTACCAACCGCGCTCTATCCTGACCGTGGAACTGGGGAGGAACCTCCAGTGACGTTGGCGACGCCTAAAGCTCAAGAGGTCTTTTCATACTTGAGGCCAAAGTATTATGGCTTTTGTGGCATCGAGCCTACACGGGACCGCAGTGTTTATGGAGATATGCATCCAGATGACGTCGAGGAAGACTATCCATTCTACCGGCCTGAACCTGCAGAGATATTCCGCCGGCTGCCAGAATTGAAAGCGCCGGTGCTATACATCTTTGGGAAATCCTCCGAACTTGCAACGCCCGAACTACGGAGGAAGAAAATCGAAAACACTGGAATTGGGATTGGGGGAAGTGGTGGAAAAGACGAGGGTCGAGTACAAGAGATGATCCTCGATTGTGGTCATTTGGTACCGATGGAAAGAGTCACGGAATGTGCAGATGCGGCTGCTTCATTTGCCAGCGCAGAAGTGTCTCGTTGGGAGGAAATGACCGGGAAATGGCAACGGCGTTGGCTTGAGAAGCCCAGGAGGGAGCGAGTGGGCATTGATGACCAATGGCGGGAAATGATAGCGCCAAAGGCACAAAGATAGACTTCAAGCGCAGAACTTGCAATCCAATGTACTGGCATTCAATGCAACGGAATCCTTAGAATGATATGTTGTATCTCAATAACATGACAGACGTGATTGAAGAGTGACCACCGAGTAGCCAAGATGTGAATTGCAGGCAGCCATAAACGGAAAGTCAGCCGAGAGATCACGTGATTCTGAAATTGCAGTTGACGACAATCTGCGCGACTTTAGTAAATTTCTCCGTCACAGCATCCAACATCCTCGAAACGCGGTTTGTGTACGGTCGAGCAACGCGTAGGTCATCATGGTGAGTAGTCCATATCGCAAGCAAACATGCATCTCTCACACCTCTAGGTCTACAACTGGGAACCGCACAAAGATGCATTGTACAAACTCTACATCGAAGAGCGCAAGGTATGTTGGATGTTTTCTGCCTTCTTCATCTGGTCCTCACTAACGCATAACAGTCGCTCGAGGAAATCATGCAGTACATGCGTGACACCACGAACTTCGCTCCTTCGAAGCGTGCCTTCCAAACTCAGTTCAAGCGTTGGGGATTTCCCTCGAAGCGAAAGCCTGCTCACCGTGATGAAGACTTGGTGGAACGCGTGAGGCAATTATGGGAAGCCAACTACAGCCAAAGAAACATGCTTGCTGTGCTTCATGCAGAAGGCCACGATATCAAGGAGCGGGAGTTGATGAGATTGCGTGCCAAACACCGCTGGTTGATGCGCATACCCAACGGTGCTAAGCAGACACCTGCCGATGAAGAGGAGGCTTCACTCGAGGCACAATTGATCCGGGCTGCTCAAGAAGAGGGTGCACTCATTGAATCGGCTCCGCCACCTCAACCTGGTACTGCTGACGAACCACCTGAGGAGTTTGTTCAAAAACAAAAGGAGAGACTCGAACAACTCAAGGCGATCAGTGACGAGAGACGTCAGAAGAAGAAGCGTCGTCGCAGAACCAAAGGGTACGCCGGACTCCCAGCCGACCCTCCCGGCCCACCTCGATTTCCCTCCGAGACCACGCTCGAGGAAAGCAGAGAGATACTGTCTCTCAGCACGAAGCAGTATCGCGCAATCCGTGATCAGTTCCAGGCTATGTGCGAAGCTGAGGGACTTCTTCAGAAGACTGTGGCCGGAGCCGAGAAGTGGCACGCCATCAAAACTCGACTGATCAGTGAGAACGATCTCCTGCAGGCCAGATTCTATACTGCTTCTGCGGATCCTCAAGAAACCCAGACAAAAGAGCTCGCGTTGGATGTTATTTGCACAGATGTGACGAAACGTCTTCGAACCATGGGCCGTCGCCTGACCATCCTCGAGTCGAAAAATGTTCTCGGCCTGAATCCCGAGCAGAGTCGACAGATCCGTAGTGGCTTCTACGACATCCTGTTGGCAGAGCACTACACCAGTAAGATTGAAATGGGACCCGACAAATGGCAGGAACTCAAGGACCGCTGGATCGCCACTACTCCTTTGTTGCAGCAGATACTGGCCCCCGGCGAGGAAGATCCCGAGCACGAGAAGAAGAAGGCTGCTCTAGAGCTGCTGTGCCGCGATGTGATGAAACGGGTCCGAGACGATCGAGCAAAGAAGAACGGCACCTTCAGGCAGAAGCCCGCCCAGTCTTCAACTCGGCCCGAAATCGAGGAGACCGGTCAGGCTACTACAGACGGCGCCTACGCACCCTTGCAGCCAGTCAATCCGTACAGTGAAGTCTCAAATCCAGTACAGAATACTGATTTATCGGATCTTCAAATCGACCCCAATCTGCTGCAAGCCGCCGATGATGGAGCTCCACCGATCTCTGCCATGACACCTGTTTATATCCGTCCACATCCGAAGTCGACCTTGTACAGCAATACCAAGATGTGGCTAGGTTCGTTGTCCGCTCGTACAGTGCAAGAACTCCAGGCGATCCTCGCGATTAAATATCCGAATGCCAAACCTGCTCGCATTGATGGGATTGAGAAAGATGCTGCCGGCAATGAGATATCCTACCTGATTGAAGAAGACGACGAGCTCGACGCTTATCTTGATCATGTTCAGGGCCGCAAGGCGACATTTGTTGTCTTACTGCAGAACGCTTGATCACTCACGTCTTGAATGGCTTCATGCTGAATAGTCCACGGGAGAATCACTTGACACTGTGGCTTCGAAGGATGTGGTGTCCATCGCTATGGCGTTCTATGGCTTATCAATGGTGAGAGGTGGATTGGGAGGCGTAATGGAGATACCCCTGGAGCTCATGTGCTCGCTTCTTTTTCGGTCATTCTGGAGTGGCAAGCGTCGCCGAAGAGCATGTTTACGAAGCGTGCGATTATGATCAAGCATCGTTACCGCCCATGACAAGATGAAGGCAGCTCTGCTGTGCGTAACTGACAATGGACAAGTTGTGAAGGCACGGTTGCCGCTCAATTTCTGTTCAGTCCGAGGGACACCACGAACAATTATCCACCACGCTGGCATTATCTCACAGCAATGTACGAAGTATGGATATGGATTCATCGTAGCAGGCAAAAAAGCCGTCACGACAGCCTAATCGCTGTCGATCTGACTTGCCACCTAAAACTCTCTGGCACACCAGACTTGGCGACGTAGATACTATCGAACCAGCTCGCCAGTAAGGTCGTTCTTCCCAAGAAGGCCACTCCCAACTACCCAAGGTGTCATTGTCACTGACAGCCCATTGTGCACGGAGCAATCTCCCCTGAAGTACTGGTGATTCCACAGTAAAGCCTTCTACATAGTAGCCTACAGGCTCACTAGGCCGTGGTTCGAGACTGCCACATTCGAGTCTTTCACACACTGAGGTTTTCTGCTGCGAATGGATCCGTGGGCCCAAATAACGACTACAAGGCTCACGCTCAATACTAGTTAGCCCCTTTATGGCCAGAGAAGAGCAGCCCAGAAATGTGATCTCCACGATGAATACCAGGTAGCCATGATGAGTCCAAAAATGACATATGGAGTATTCACTACGCCATTCGAAGGGCACTGGTGGGTGACTGGTGCTTCTTGCGCACGGATTTTTGAAGACCAAGTGTTCTACAGCCAGTTGTTCCTCGCACGGGCAGCGAATTGCCTTCAACAGGATCCATGTGTCCTCCCTACGGTGTACAAACAAAGGTCAATGCGCTTCGTTTCGTAGTCAATTTGAACGTCCATCATCAGTTCACTTTGAGGGTAACTCAGTGAGCCCTATCTTGAGCCCAGGATCGGTCCTGATGCCGGAGGATGCCTGACTATCTGATTAAGCCCACCATTCCGACGGCCCAGTTCACATGTGGGGTTCATCATGGGCTCATGGGCTCTTGGGCTTCACCAGCTGGGCCTCTTTGCTTGGCTTTGGGGCCGTCAGGGCACCTCCAGTCACCTCGTCAGCACGAAACTGATGCCTGAAAATGGCCAGGCGAATCCCCCCTCCAACGCTGACCGGTCTGGACTCCAGTCCGAAGGTTCAGATGTACTAGTAAGATGCTTTCTCTCTTTCCACATGCCATGTCCCCAGCATCTGTTTGGACTGACGAGAACACTGACGGCGCTGGAGGGCCACATGAGATCCTTTTACAATGGATGATGAAGACGACCATGCGGCATGCACTCATCTCAGAGCAGGACCCGGCAAGGTTACGCGATTGTACAGTAAAAACGCGCTTCAGGAGCCCCCTGGATCTCAGTTTCAGCCCAGTGTGGCGCTCCATGGACTTGGATCCTTCTTTGTCTGCTTGCCCACTTCGGGGCCTGAAACGGAGCCACTCGCCTACATTGCTACAAGCTACAGGCTACAGCCATCGATATCGGCACAAGTGCATCGCTAATCTTTGCTTGCGAAGCCTGGTGAGCCCTTGCTTTTGCTTACTGGCCCGTCTCCAATTCGGCATCACAGCAGGGATCACACAAATCTCTTTATCTGTTGACAAGGCAACGTTAGGATTCAGCCACCTGTTTGATGCATCTGCTCCTCCAGCCCTGCAAATTCCGGCCTTATACTCCCTTCTATACTTCATGGAAGTGCTGGAGGGCTGTACAGTCTTATTTTGGCCTATCAGTCCCATGGAGAGGTAGATCCATGCCACGCCATGCCATGCCCAGGTGCCGATTTAGATCTTGCGTTCTGCAACGATCCTGAGTAATCTTGATTGACTCCGTGGCTCACCGGACAGGTTGTGAACGACGTTGGCACTCGTCCAATGCATCCTGCTGGCGCTATCATGCCATGCGTCAGTTTCAGAACCCCTATTCGTCAATCTCGGAGTGGCATGGTTGCCTGTCCTGACGTATGTGTCCAATGGAGCTCTCGAGCCTGACAGCCCACACAAGGCACCACGTAAACATCCGGCTAGGCGAACATCATCTACACATGACCGTCATAAGCAACGCAATGCCAACTTTCAGCAGAGGAGGTACCTACCTCGTCAGAAAATAGTATACATTCCTTTCTATTGGTGGTGTTGGCTTCAGGCAAGTCTCCCACCGTCCATACCTTTTACCAGTTTTGCATCATGCATGTTTGGACTCTTTCCGTGCTGCTCTTGACGAGCCTCGCAGGCGGCAGGGCATCGCCGCTGCAGAAACGGTATTTCGACTTCGATGGCAATGGTCTCCCGGATCTTTGTTACCAAATCTGTGAGCTCTCAATTCGTTGCTTGCTGGTCGACGGGACATGGACAACCATTCCTAGCTCTCAACAACTACATTCTGCCACGGACGCCGGTCCTTTATCCTTCATAACCGCACCCGGGCAGACACAAACTACATCAGATATCGCTACGGCCTCGAGCCTGGCTGAGGTCCTAAAATCCATCACAACATCGACCTCTTCGACGACGGCATCTGCTGCTGTCTCATCATCAATTACCTCGTCGTCAGCGGCCTCATCTAGCTTTTCGACGACGGTCAGCACGACTCCATTATCATCACCAACATCTGCCTTCTCCACCTCGTTTACAGTCGGATCAGATGCTTTATTAGTTCAGAGAACAACCGGAAAGTCAAGTTCATCAACTAAAGCAAGCACCACCAGCACCCACAGTTCGCTGCCGACCGGGAAACTGCCTTCACCCTCGCAATTCAAAGCAGACAAAGGTGACAAATGGACCCTGGATTATATGGGCGACCTCAAGTTCACCGACGTTCTTCAGAAGAGAGGTCTTAGAGGCGATAACTGTCGAACGGGTAAAATTGGGGACAAGGTCATTTGGAACTGCGGCGACATGATGTGTGGTGATGACTTGGCCTTATGCGGCTTCTCCATGTCACCAGCATTCTATGGTACGGACGACGTCATGCTCGTGAACACCACCGGAATCAAGAACGTCGCTGAAAACAACTTCGTCCAACCGTGGTCTGGCGACCAAAAGTTTTCGCAGCCCTGGAAAAACTGGGGGATGTACACATCGAATGTGGCGCCAATCAACTCGACGCACGGCGTGGTCTATGGCTGGGAACACTGGCGAAACGGACCTGGGGCCAGTTATCTCAACAGAGGAAACTCGGTGTCAGCGGTGACCCTAGGCGACGACAGGCCCGTTGCTACTCGAGTCGGCCCTCTTTTAACCGGACCACACGCCATTATGCTGGGACTTCTTGCGATTCTGCGGGTTGATGACTATATTTATGTCTATTCGGGTGGCGGGCCGTCCCATACCACCGTTGGCCGTGTCAACGCCTCTGACGACGTGTTCGATGCTGACAAGTACGAATTTTTGAAGTTTGGCACCAACGATACGTGGATCTCAGGCATTCCCTCCAACACCACCAAGGAAGTCGGCGCAATGATTGAGAACAATGAAGAGGCCGACTTGTGTGGCGTCTGGGGCTCCGTCGTCTACAACAACTATCTGAACAAATATATCATGCTGTGCGGTCATTATTCCGAGACCGTTGACATGTACACCTCGAACACCCCCTGGGGACCCTGGAGAGGTTCATATCAGATTGCAGGTGGTGGCAACTTCTCCGGAAGTTACGGTATGATGATGCATCCCGAGTATTCTCCCAGTGGGAAGAGTCACAAGTCCTGGTACTTCTCTCTGGGTCCGAATTGGGAGTTCAACATGTACAAAGTCACGTTTGATTATTGAGAATGCCACGCACGACGTCCTCTGTCTGGCGTTGTAGGTATAGAGATAGATAGGATATACCATGGGAGCCATAGTTTTCTGAAATCAGCCAGGTCTGATATGATTGCTGATCAACCATGCGGGCCAGAGTTTGCGTTGTACTAGTCAGCCCCAATTTCTTACATCTCCTCCTTGTTCCATTATTGACTCCGGCAAGTAGTCGACGACCCGTCCTTGATGGAGCCTCGCTGACATTTTAGAGCACAGTACTCTTCCGTCGCCGAGCGGACATACGGGATCATCATATTCAAATCTTCCAGAGGGATGTCCAGCATGCCGGACAGCCAGCGGTTCCCGTACCAAAACTGTGTATCGTCTCATAGCAGACCTTTGACTCATCAGGCCCAAGATTCTCGGCACCAGCAGGTGCGACTGGTCTTGATACCATTGACAAACACCAGCCACCTTCCATGAGGCTTGACATGACCGATCATCTGGACTCCGAAGGAGGGAAAAGGGAGCTTGCCCTCCGACAGTGACACGGAAACGTGTGCAAGGCCTGCACATGTGGTACACTCTCTGACCAGGGGAAATTCAGGTGCGAAATAGTCGGATCCAATCTAGGCCTTCACATTCGGCAGCTACTGCACAACCCTTGCGGCATAGTAGGCTTTTCGTTGCTCGACATATTTGCCTCGTGCCTCTCATATCGGAGGCAGCACTTCGCCATGACCGACTGCTCTGCCGATCTGCTCGAGGGTCATATACTTCCCGGTGATGGCTGGATATTGGCTCTCATACTCGGTTGAGCCGTTGAGGATTCGACGCATATTCAGCCGGGTAGAGAAGACGGTCCGCTCAGACCCTGGCTTTTTCCGGACTTCTCCTCCCTTGTCGAGGCCGGAGAGGATGTCACTACCACGGCTGAGAGGGCCTGCTGGCTTCGAGATGCCCACGACGGCTGGAAAGGGTGCAATGCAGGTGAGGTTGGACTTGTGCTCGGCGCATAATTTACCCATGCCAGAGTCGATCGGATCGTTGAAAGGATTGAGGCTCAGCTCGTAGAGGACCTTTTCCGCGCCCGCCAGGGTGAGTGCCCAGGCCGAACTGCCATACCCAAGACCCGAAACAAAGTAAATGCGCGTCTGTGTGTCGGGAGCAGGGCCGACCTCCCAAGTCTCCATCTTGGGCTCGAACCATGTCGTTCTGGTCTTGGGTGGGGTGACGGTAGGATCCCTCGCGACGACCCAACGGCGTCTCTCTGTTTCTATGCTGGTTACCCCGGAATGGCCGAGCCAGAGAACATCCCATCCGTCACCGTATGGCGAGTGAGATGGCTTGTCCTCGGTGTCGTCAAGCAGCCAACGAGCCCCACGAGCGGCCTGGAACAGCTGTGCTTTGAGGGCGACCTCCCAGTCGGCGTCGTCCTCGAAGATCAATGCCGTTTGAATGCGATGTTGCACCATGTACTGCATTATATTGAGATGTGACCGCCAGCACCCGACCTCTGCCGGTTCTCGGTGCATGCCCCACGGCTGCGCCTTTGTAGGGACGTTCTTTCCGAGGACGGCATTCGTGAAGGTGTAGGATATATCGGTCACGGACGCTTGAAGCCGGAATGCGTCTCTACGGTCACTGCGTTCGGGCAGAGACACCACAAAAATCTCTTGAAAGCCGAGGGTTCGATTGTAGACGTCGTTCAGATTGCCCGCTGCTTTGCTACTCGTGGGAGGGACATAGCTGGTTGCTGTGTTCGACGATGATCGACCAGCTTCGAGCTTCGAAGTGCCCGCAATTCGCCCCGTGGACAATGCGAAGAAAAGATGTAGAACAACGCCGGCCGCAAAGATGGTCGCGAAGGTCGTTGCGTACTTCATGACTCCCCCCAGTGTCCTACGCAAAAGGAATAACGGCCACGTCGGACCACGGTTGGTGTGCGAGTTCACTCAGATGGATGAGGATACAGTACTGCGTCGGGTCGAAGAGGGCGTGGGAGGTAGTACTGTAAGTCTTCAGAGATCGGCCAACCAACCAATCACTCAATCAGTCAATCAAGCTGAGGCAGACCGTGAGCTCGTGATGTTGCAAAACCGCCGGCTGGTACTATGGTAGAACAGTCCGGAAACAACCACCAAATTTGTTCCGGCCTGCGCGCAGCTGGGCTTTCGCGTATGGCAACGTACTATGGTATACGGCTGAAACCGTAATAGAACCAACTCCTGAAAAGAATCAAAGGATGCAGATACATCTCGCTGTGGTTCTTTGGGAAATCTTGTGGCGCTCTATTGATTGCTAATTCAGTATCAAACACCTTGGCCCCAGGGATTCACCGAAAACGTTTGCAACCTGAAAGGGTCAAAGGGTCACCACCCCTGCAGGTTCACATGCCCCTGGAGATAATTACCTCGTACAGAGTACGATACCGAGGACCACCAGCGATATTAACCTTTACTGGGCTCCGGACCTGCATATTAGCTAATCTTTTCCAGGCCTCCACTGCCTCCACAGGACCCGACCGGAGCACAGGTCATCTCCACCCCAAGCATCTGGAATTGACAGGGGCCGTGCAGGGGACACGAGGGTGAAGAAGCCCACCCCTGCCAAGCTACGTAGCACATTCAGGTACCATGAGCCGTGCATGAGCCTAAAATGTTGGACCACATCAGACAGCCACCAATTGCGGAAAAGCCGGTATTTCGAATTTTGGACGGCCGCCGACGGCTTGCAGCGACCTCGGTCTCAACACATTGCATTGGGACTTCCTCCTCATGGCGTGCTGAATGATGTTTCTTTGAGGCCGCTGTTTCATTTTCCTTCAGGAGCATTCGGCAAGGCTGTCAACCGGTCCGCACTATTGTATGAGGCCTTTGTCTGGAAGGCCTGCTCCCGCCCGTAACTTCGGAGCAAGAAGTGCGTCCTAGATACATCCGAAGTGATACCACTAGAAATGAAGAGAAATGAAGAGTTACTGTAGTTGCCTGAGTTTGCTATGCTATGCACTCTGTGGGAACAAGCCAAGGTCTACACTGCCGTGGAAAGTTGCATTATATGGAACAGAATTTGGCCCCCAGTTTCCGCACTTCAGGTCTTCTCGATGAGCTCCATGTCCCGCTGCAGGAGAGACCGCTCATCGCCATCACTTGAGCGGCCATCCAAGTACTCTTCGACGGTGACCTTGGCCGTCTCTAGGTCGCTTTCAGTAGTCGTACTCATAGTTGAGCTTTCACGCGCAAACCTTTCCACAGATGCGTCCGGAAGGCCGTAGATGTATGTCGCCACAAAAACCAGGGCGGCGCCTTCGAGGAAGTAAGCGGAAACCACGAATTCGAAGAAGTAGACGCTTGCAACCGTCGAGACAATGGTCGACAGACTCGTTGCAAAGCCTTTCAGGATGTTGTCTGCATATTTCACCACCACTGCCACGACGAGCCCTCCAGCAGCTTGCATCAGAATAGTGCTCACTACGACTAGGTCGTAGCCCTGGAAGAAGCCTTGCTCCCGGATGGCGGCTTTGTCGTAGACCAAGCTGCCGAATAGTGCAATGGCTAGACTAGCGGCACTCAACTGGATGTTGCGAATCCAGAGGGACGTTGCTGTCCGCTTGAGAATCAACTCGAAAGAAACCCCTGCAAGTCCTGAGAGGAAGCAAGCTGCGACCACGGAACTCATGCCAATGGCCCAAGAGCCCTGGGATGCCGAAGAGTTCGACGATGACCCCGATGGGGAGATCTGGACGGCCGCCACTCCAATGGTGAGGTACAGAAGAGAGAGCCATTTCCTCCTCGAAAGTTTCGTGCGGAGTAACACCACGGACAGGAGGGCTGTCGTAAGAATCTTGCCTTGATAGCTGACCTGGAAGGTTGCGGCGTCCAGGTGAGATGCAGCAATGATCTGGAGATTGTTCTGCAAGGTATACAGGAAGGCAGGTATGCATATTCCGAAGAAACCAGAGTTAATGGAAAAGACCTCCTTGAAGAAACGTGATGTTCCGTGCACGACGCCGGACTCGACCTTTGCATTGTCCGATGTCAATGGCAATGATGAAGAGGTCTCTGAGAATTCCTGGCGCCGCTGATAGAGGTGGATGGTCGTGCAAATGATCAACTTGGTGAGCTCCGAGGTGACCACGGCCGTCGACGTGAGATACTTGGTCCCCGGTCGAATGCGGGAGTACCGCAGCAGCAGTACATAGGACGAGTTTTGAACCACGAGCGTGAGCAAAGAGAGGTACTTGATCGGAAAGCCATAGAATGTCAAGTTCTCTTGGTGTCCCATAGTGCCTGGATTGATTGTGTGCCGTGAACCTCGATGTTTTTGGGCGAAGCGACAGAACTGATATCTGGGACAAAGCGGTCCTTACAGTATTTCGGGCAAAGCCAGTCAGATCCAATGAAACCTAAGTAGGGAGCATCAGTCTGCCGGTGGCGGCTGCAGTGGTATAACTCAACGAGACGTTGAGTGGTAATGGACAAGGCTGTACGTAGTCCTCCCAATGTTCCACATGTGCAAGTAAGCGCAGCTACCCCCCCCCTCAAAATGGTGGCCAAACAACGTTTGAGACAGGCCATAGATCCGCGAGCCCTGAGATTTGACGACCGGCCAGAAACGGACATGAGATGGCCTCGACCTCGAATGGCGACTATCCAATATTCGCCTCGTCAGGTCCGAAAGGACCGATACTGCATGCCCGGCTCAAGCCCCAAGAAATCTTTTTCCAACTCTTCAGCCAGCCAAGGGCCACGCCCGTAATCTCTGGTAGTGATCCACCCCTTATCGGGTGTGCTCTCCACATCCCTGCAGAACATTTCGATACACCCGGACTAACGAAATTCTCGCTTCGTGGCGCTGCATCTCTCGAAGCTAGTTTTGTACAGTATTATGCTGTCAGGGGTAAAATCGCCATAGCATTATTGTCATGAATACAAGTACCATAGTACAGCAGTACGCCGTACAGGGGTTGGGACTCAGGAATTGCATTAGTCAGATTGATAACTCCGTACTCGCTGCTTTCGACCCCCCAATTCCAACATTGCAGACAAGGATGGCGCAGATACGATCAAAATAGCCCCCATAACTCTCGAGCACCAGCAATTCATGTAATTCGTAGCCGAGCGTGCTCGTTCGAGAGGCTCTGAGGCAGCTGGTTGTTGAGCGCCACTGTACTTGCTGCTAATCGCTCGAAATAATTCATGGACATTGGACATCCTACCAACGCCTAGCTGTGCAGCTCTAGACAAACGACCGGCCCCGTTGGTACCAGTCTTTCGCTGCATCCACAGCTTCTCTGACGCTTTGTGCCATGGACACTCGATTGCCACATCCAGAGAGCCAAGTCTCGTGGTAAGATCTCAGTTTGGCGTATGACCCCTCTTCCACCGTGATGTGGTCAATGTTCCAGACAGTGCTCAGGATGTGAACATGCAACCTATCGCTGATGACCAGATCGTATGAGCTCAAGAAATCATAAGTCCAGTCCAGCCTGAGCCGGGCCTTCGCCTCGTACGTGGCGTCTTGAAGTCCAGCAGGTTCAGAGTCCAACCAGTCCATCATCGTGATGTCCACGCTGACCTGCTTGCCGTCACCATCAGTGAGTTGTCGCAGTTCTTCAAACAACGCCTTGTCTTTGTAATGGTCCTGCGAACCCTCGTGGTCCACCCTACCCAGAAAGAGGATGTTGAGTCCATCACCCTTTGGGACTCTTGCGGGGACTGGACGGGCCACCAGCATAGTTGCGATGTCCGGGAGCAGCAAGATCTTATGCTTCTTGCCGAAGTCCGTTTGCATTTTCATATAGGATTTCACGTCTCGTGCGGCAAGCTGGAGATCAGGATGTTGACCATATGCCTCCTGCGCCTGCAACAGGTTCTTCTCGTCCTTGAACTTATAGGACTGAGGGAAGGAGCGGATGCGGTAGTCCGGGAAGTCTTTGGCGATGTTCTCGCGGTTGGTTTGTATCATGTGGTATAAATCGCCGAAACTACCACCGCCAACGAACATGATGGCCGTCTTTTCCGGTCCGCCATGGGCCTCTAGTGCCTTGCGAATTTCACTCTTGTCGTAGAAACCATTATCAACGGTTAGGGCCACGGTTTGGATGCCCAGGGATTCGAGGAGTACTTCCTCGGCAACCCAAATCGCGGAGTCTCCCTTGTTGCTAATTGGAATGTCAGTCGGCATCTCCTCACAGCAGCGTCTTGATATCTTACCCATGATCTGGGAATCCTATCCTGGCCACATGTGTCACACCCTCCAACAATTTTGAATACTCCCTCTGGAGCAACTCGACATGAGAAGCTAAGGTATCCGAACAAGCATCGCCGTCACTGTAGAATCCTCCGGTCACTGATTGCCGTAGACTGGTTGGTGCGGAATGAGAGAGGAAAAGGACGGCAGTGACGAAGATGACGCATATTGAGATCAGCCAGTGTCTCGAACAGATGGTCCTGTTGAACACAGGATGCATGGCGAAGCGTTGTGAGAGAAAGACTGTCGACTGCTTGGGATTTCGTGATGGACTGGGAGATGGCCACAGTATTGAAACGATACAATGTGATGACATCGAACGCTACCATCCGGATATGGATGTGGAGCTCTCCCCATTTACAGGGTCTAAGTCGTTGCAGGTATGGGTTGTGGCTAGACTTAGGCATGGTGGACTAACTAGTACTGTATACCCGCGACTGTGGTAATGAGCCTGGCCGCTATCGTGTTTCGAAGGGGTCTGTGGGCCCCGGTCCGGTCACAAAAGGGGCTCGGAGTCGACGAGGGCTGGCTCCACATACGCGGATCCCTTCAGCCTCGTGGTTGAACTAATGCACGTTTATCACCAATTCATCAGCATCTCGTGGACATCCTTTAATTTGGCAATCCTGCGGAGTACTACCATAGTATTATTACTCGTACTGCATATCCCCGTTATGCGTGACGACTTTTTACAAGTGTTCGGTATCAATACCACATACTACGTACCCTCCGCTACAGGAGCAGCCTTATTCGGTCGATAGGTTAATCAATCTTTTTGAATTCCAAGTCTTCGGAGTCGTCCATGTGCTCAGAATCACCAAGAGACAATTGACGTGCTTCCTCCCATTGATCCCATTCTCGTCTTTCCATCACATCAACATGGCGGAAAGATCGCCTTCCAGGCTCTCCGTCATGCTGACGGTTGGCTTCCACATCAGTACCGCACTGGCAGTCACCATAATCAACAAGACCGTGCTGAACACACTGCCTGTGCCAGTGATGCTACTTCTGTGCCAATCAATCATGTCAATCGGTTTTGTAATGGTTGCTTCTGCATTGAAGCTGTACACACTTCCGAAACTGGATCGCAAATTCATCCGAGGCGTTTCGCCTCTCCTGGCGATGAAGGTCATTGCTCAAGTATCCAAGACCTATTGTCTTCTTGTACGGCGCCTTATCCCCAGTGTCACTCCATCCGACGATCTAAAGCTAACCCGGGCTCCAGAATGTGAATGCATCTTTCTACCAGATAGCAAGAGGACTGCTCTTACCGTTTACCATCTTGCTCTCGTTCGTCTTTCTTTCGAAAACACGGCCTACCGGATGGGCGCTCATTGCTTGCGCGATAACGACATTTGGGTTCGTCCTCGGCGTCTCTGGCGAGGCTATGGGCAGAACATCAAATGTCGGGATCATGTGGGGGGTCTGGTCGTCTATGACGACGGCTCTCGAGACGGTACTCGTGAAATATCTTGCTCTTGAAGCAGGAGTGCTCGACTTGGTCTTTGTTACTTCATTGGCCACGACCCCGGTCTATGCGATAATGGTGGTCCTGAATGGCGAACTCTGGCAAACCGCAGCTCTCGGTCTCACGCATCCTGTAATGATGACATTCGAGAAGCAAACGTTCCTTGCCGGCATCGTCAACTTTGCTCTGAGCGCGGCCGCATACCTGCAGATCAGGGTCACGTCCCCAACAACGTAAGTGGAAAACGTGCTCATGTTTTACTGCATTAGAGGCACCAGCTGACTGATTGCGACTGGCTAGGCATATGATATCCACCGCCGCAAGGGGTGTGTTACAGTCTTTGCTCGCGGTCGCATTTTTGGGTGCCGAGCGCCTCACTCGTTCCCGTGTGAGCAGCATTGCCGTTATTCTGACCGGCACCATGTTATACGTACGTGCCTGCGTCCACCGGTGACGGTCCAGAAGTTAAACTGACGCACTCACCAGACGTTTGCAAAGGAAATGGAGAAGAGGAGCGGCTCTGTGCGGGGCTCCCTGCCATTGCACAATGTCACCGAACCACGACGCGATGTGGCATCGCCATATCTTGAAAAGGACGGATCTTCCGAAGCCAAAATCCCGAGCAAAGACGACCCGCACTTAGTGTGATGACTGATCAAGGATGCTTTCGTTGTCCATAATCGTGTTTTCACTAGTAGTCCGGCGTGATGATACACCACGGGTATTCCCAGTACGGGAAGCTTTTACCGGAGGAGCAAGATGGGAGGGAGCCTGGTCGTCTCAAAAGCCATTTCTGCACGCCGAGGTCAGGATCTCATAGAACGGATCGAGACAACGTGCCCAGCCGGAATCATGCAGATCTCAAATGCTGGTGGACGTCCTGCTGATATCAGAAGCGACCAATGCTATCAGGGGACAATGTTTTGACTTTGCCAGAAGTATGTGATACTTCGAAACGTTGAACAGCCGCTGGCAGGAACATGCAATGGCTGAAGGTCGTGGGAGAATGGTGCAGGACATACTCTAGCTAGCAGCAAGCTGGGCCGGCTCGACGACTGTCATTGAATGCTTATAGCATCATGTTGATCGTAAAATCCGACAAGATGACTGAAGTCTATAGAGAAAAGCTACTAGTATCCCCTGAAATAAATGGCTCTAGACTAGCTGAATAGATGAGCGACACGTCTCTGAACGGTGAAGAATGAATCCAAACTCCGTCCAACAGCTAGCAGGCCTAGAAATACTTGCGCCGACCCAACAGTGGCCCTTGAGAGTGTTGAAGTGGCACGTTCGGTTCCGGGACAAGCCCACAGACATCAAATTGGACGCACCACGGAGGCCGTGAAAAGGGCAGAAGTGTCTCGTTCGAATTGCCTGCCCTTGATTGCGTACTCATCGCATAGATACCATCGGGCTCGGTTTTGGCGTCCTTCTCGAGTCCTGTGTCACGCGAGCCTGTATCATTCGGTAATCCAGGACGTAGGCCTTGCTGTCTGGGTCCAAACTTCCGAAAAGCGGTCTCGCGCTGGAATTATGGCGACAGGTCTGAGAGGTTCGTCTTTGAAGTATTTATGTGGGCTCCGGTTCATGCCTAGGGTTCAGTGCGGGCCCTCCTGGAGACACATGTAGATAGCCGTCGTTTAGTGTCACATTACCCGCGCACCGTAGCTGCTAACAGGATCTGTGACAACGACGAACCGTTCTTGGGAGCCTCTTTTGGTTACGGACGATAATCACCAATACTGAGCATACTTGGACGTGCCGTTGAGTACCTCCACGAAATTCTTCGCAATGATCCGATCGGTCTGCTCGCTGGGGTGGAGATTGTCGTGCCACAGGAAACTATCTGGGCTCTTTCGAGTCTCTTTTGAATGAGTGATATAACTTGTGACGTTGGCCGGGGCTGTTCCGTTGAGGTAAGTTTCGGGATCGAAGTAGATATCGTGGAACAAGCTCCACACGTCGAATAGTGCGACTTGTGCTCCCGGGTAGCGGCGCGAGACCGTAAATTCATATGGTGTCTGATATCTGAATATATTGTTGGCAGAAGTTGTGAGTTCCTTCATCTTCTCGGCTCTGCCGTTGTTATCTCCTTTGCCTTCGCCATGCAGCGTCCTGTTTGCATATGCCGGGGCCAGATGCAGGGGTGCGGTATTCATAAGAACGAATGTTCTCGCCCCAGCAGCGTATAATCCATCGAGGGCAGTATAGACGCAGTCGGTGTAATCAGTGAGCGTTTTCCCGCGCACTTGATCGTCGGTTAGGAAAGCAAACATGCCCAGATCGTTCGTACCTATCCACACCGAGAAGACGGAGTTGGATGGTGTGAGGTCTGGTTTAAATAATGGCTCCGACGTTTCGTTCGTGTCCTGGTCCGCCACGAATGCTGGTACGGCGTACTCGAGGAGGGTGGGGTGCACTCTAGGTACAATCTCTTTTGTGCAGAAAGAGCCACCAACTGCATAGTTGTACAGGTTCATCTGCGGCGTCCACTGCCCGTTGTCAGACGACCCAGTGTATTGAACAACATAGCGAGCCCAAATTCGACCACCGGAAGTGGTGTGGAAGGATTCGCCTAGAAGGGTGCCGGGTGGAGGTGGTGTGTTATTATGTAGCGAGATGTATGCCATCCGCCGTTCGTCGGTGTAGCTGTCACCAAAGGCGATAAAAGATTTGAAGTTTTTGACATTCCAGCGGGACTCATCGCGGTGTCCATGCACAAGCCCCTTAGGAGCGACAAGTATCCCGACGGCAATGGTAAGGAGCAGGCACAGCAGCGATAAGAGGATCAAAGCCGACAGCAAAGTCTTGCGCCTCGACTTGTATTGGTTGTAAATGGGGTCTTCGAAGGATCTCTCGGATTCAGCAAGAAGTGGTTCCTCTGCGGATTTGTTCTGAACAGGTTGAAGGGCTATTTCGCCATCTGCGTCTGTTACAGACGAGCGCAGTGGTCCAGCTGCGCTATGTGATGACTCGGAGGACTGGCGGTCCGCCATATTTGGCTTGGAAAGGACGAAGATCAAGCAATTGACTTCTCCTCAGCCGGCAAGCTTAAGAAACGGGAGACAGTTCTGAGCGGTGCCAAACGTCAAGCATGTGAAGGCTACGGTCATGGGGTATTGACATCTGCGGCACCAGACTCAAAAGCCACTCACTTGTTGGACTAGTCCTGGCGATGGCGAGTAATCAGCTACCCGTAGAAGCCTGTGTGAAACGACTGCGCATGCGATTCCAAGCCATTATTGAACTTCGCTGACCGTACGCGTACTAGCAGCATGCATAATGCCCGCCACGGGGACCGTGAAACCCTTCGCTGTACAGTGGCGGAATAGTCGTGGCAATAGACTTTGTTGGGCATCTGTCCTCCCAGGACAGGCCGCGGGCCATGAGTCCGATGTGCAGTGTCCACCGACCTACTAAAGATTGGACAAAAGGCTAGATGGCTTGAGCTGAGCACGGTTCTCTTGTTGGTGTTCGCGGGTCCGACCCGGGCGAGGACAGGCGCCATTTGTCCAGGGCATCTCTTGCGATTCTTGCGACCCCTGGAGTAGCATTGTACTCGTAGTTGGTTGGCACGCCCAGTGGCCACAACGCCCTCTTGGATCGATTGTCAACTGAGGGCCTATCAGGGGTCGGGTATTGCTGTCCCAGACTGCTGTACGTAACTCGCTCCGCTCAATGTTGATGGTGGAAATGAGCTGCCGCTGAAAGATCCGCCATAGCTGTCCTGACCAGATCCAGGACATTGTCTGGTAGCTGGCCACATGGAGACTGTAAGGCCAAACGTACAATATTGCGATACACAACCACACAACCACACAACCTAAGTGATGCGAAGTCGGCTGAGGCCGAAAGTAGAGCCTATTCTCGGCATGACTGGGGTCCCTTAAGCGTAACCCGCCTATAGGCTCCCCGCAATCGGGGTTCGAATGGACTCCTTTGCTGCCCTTAGTTGCTCGTAAGCTCGGCGTAGTTCGCCTAAGAACTTGAGTCTTAACCCTACATAGGTCGTGGAGTAACTTAGACCTTATGATGATCTCGTGCCCACTGATAGATCGGTCGTGCCTCGTCCGGAATACGCGGAAAAATTCAAGGAGGCAGAACATCTGCCATGGTCTGGCCACCTTAGTGTACGGATACTGGACTCGACGTAGTCTCCAATCGTTGAGATCATCGGTTCGTATAGTGCGAGCATGGCTGCCTGCAAAGAAACCAAGGACGTCTTCGTGCTGAGAGTACTTACTAGTCTTTTCCAAAAATCCGCACAGGTTGGCCACCTCGAATTGCGATGCATAGTACCATGGCGATAGTCGACCACGCTATTTCACCACCGGATGCGTGCAGTGCTCTTTCGTTACTTGCACAAGCAAAGGCCAAGGAGGGACGACTGACTGATCGATGATTCAAGTGCAGAAGTTGTTGGCCTGAGAAGTTGTTGGCCTGTCCGTCGATCGAGAAAATCGGGCATTATTCCCGCGGCTGAGGAGGCTCATTGAGGACAGCCAAAACGTCCCTTGCTTGGGCGTGGTGGCGGCTGTGGCAATTCCCAAATGAGATTGCAACACCCGGGAACACCCTCACACCCACCTGGTAGGTACCTAGCCAATACGAGGCTTGGTGCCCCTGAAAATCCCCATCGCCGTAACTAACTTAGTAGTTTGACCTCCTTGATGATTTAAATCGTCAATACCGGCGCCGGCAGTGGCTTCAATGGTGTCGGCCTTGGTAAAACCACAGTCTGGCCAGAATGAGACGTGACACCCCGTAGACATGATAATGTCAGTGATTTTCGTCCTCTTGCTGGCGACAAAGTCCAGCTGCTCTTGATGCTCCAATTCTGCCCTTCTAGCTTTTCAGCACTGATCTGCCCAAGGATGTTCAACACCGCCCTAGCGAAAGCAAGCATCGTCGTGGCCTTGTTGGTCTTTGGACTGGCCGTCAATGTCTACCACAGTAGCCCAATTCTCTTCGAAACCGTTACCCATCCGCTTTCCCCTGAACAGGACCACGACGACTCACCGTACTTCAACTCTTCCATCCACAGAAAGCTGTTTTCGCTGTCAACACCTGACCGCGAGTATTTCGACATCGACTTTGGAGATTATGGCGCGTACAATCCCAACATCATTCCTCACCCTACCAGATCAGACGCCTACCTTGTTTTCGCCTCTGGACAGACTAATCAGGACAATACGAAACACACAGCAGTAGTCTGCACTGCTTCATTCGTTGATGGTTCACTCAGATGCGAGAACAAACCTAGCGTAGTGCCTGTTAAAAGGACGGATGGTCACTGCGAGGGCGACCTCACGTATTTCAACTGGAAGCCCGGACCACGTGATTCCCGTGTCCTTTGGGGCCCTGACAGGCCATACATCGTGTACAACACCCTGGCCACTCACAGCTGCTTGGGGTTGTATGTTCAGGACCTGGGCGCATTGATTCCTGAATTCTCCGTGGACGGCCAAGAGGACCAAATCTTCCACAATGGCACCGAAATGCAACGACCACCCCCGACCGAGGTGATGCAAAAGAACTGGTTCTTGTTTTGGGATGCTCAAAACCAGATCCATGTCCACCAAGACACCTATCCCAACCGGACGTATACCCGGCTTGCTCCTGATGGATCCGTTGGGCCTGATCTGTCCACAGAAGCTCGGCAGTCTGACACGGCCTGTCTGGCCAAGTATGTGCCAGAACTTCATGTTGAGGGTTGGGAACACATACACCAGGCGACCAACTCACTTATGGTAACGCTGTGCAAGCGATCCGACCCAAGCTGTTCCCCGAGCGACGAGAATACCTTCATCATGACCATCTTCCAGCACAAGACATACTTTGAGTACCATCCGGAATACTATCCGTACGTGATGCTCTTCCGACGTGGTTCGCCTTTCGCTGTGCACGCCATTTCCGAGAAGTCGCTCTGGATACATGGGAAGACCCCGATCACAAACGAGACTGCGGCTGCCTCCTTGATCCTCAACGGCAAGGTCCTGCCCCAGGATCTGATGTTTTATGTGACCAGCATGAGCTGGAAAACCCACGGCCAGCGATATCACGGTTATATCGACGATCCTCTTTTTCTCGGCATTGGGATCGAGGACACCACGTCGGCGGGGATGGACGTCCTGGCTGGCGACTTGCTGAGGGACCTGGGGTATTGTGCAAGCGCCGACGCCTGAACAGCCACGTTGCTTGATAGCACAAGACAAGTCCGTCTACCTAGCGTGGTATTGGTCGACCAATCTCTTGCCGTCTTGGGCAGGCGACTTCTCAAGAGTAGCCCGCTCTTGATCGTCCAGAAGTTATCTGTCCGGTTGTTGTGGCTGTAACTACGGTCGACTCCAGCCTCGTCAACAAAGGCTACTCCGCATCGTCTTTCCGGCTTCCAGTCATTCTCTTACGAGCCTTGACAAGGACACACATTGCGTCGGCCTTTCCGTGTTTGAGGAAAGTATGGAAGCAATGTCATCACCATCAAGTCCAGTGCCACGGAGCCATATTAACACGTCGAAATCGATGAAGGGCCGAGCGAGTAGTCTCACGGGAGCAACGACTGCGGCTGTAAAGGAGCCGTCGCCATCCGACGCGGAAGGTAGGACTGTACGCGAGACCAACGCCCAAGACTGTGCTGCTCCACTATCTTGTAACCTGGTCTAGATCGCAATAAGTCTAACGCCGAGTGGCTTCGTGGGCTTTAGAACTGGTTGAGAACTGGAGCATTGCAACATGCTGCGAGTTACAATAACTGTTGTCAGACGCACCAGTGCATAAGCGGTTTGCGGCTTCGGGTGGTGGAGGTGCAAATACGATCGTGGAGTGTTTGGAAACCTTGGGTGAGCAACTCAAGTCCAGTCACCGTGCTCAGAGCAGGGTCGGCGTTAATTGCAGCTTTACGCGTCGATGAAACGCTCCTGGCCTGCTTCGTTTGTGCAGATATGATATGCTCAATTATGCCCTACCAGGACGAAGAGGCTGAGTATGTTGAAGTACAATTGAACTGCAGTGACTACCACTGGTTCTGAACTATCATGTGTTGACGAGATGGCCAATCAATAAGGAGACCTTTTCTTTTCCCAGCCTCAAGCATCACCCTCTAATATTGTATCCTAGTCCGCTTCAACAAGCTTTGCATACCAGGATCTGATGCAATGCAGGTACGTCCTATGGAGTAGAGCCGCAGGATCTCATCCACGCTCATCGCATTCAAGAGCTGAACATTGTCAGCCACGGCTCCATCCCTGTTCCGCCGTCGTGGTGACGGTTGTTGTCAACCTGCACAGGACGTGATACCATTTTCCGTGAACCCGTGCATTGGAAACATTTTCGAAAGACCCGTCCAGCTGAAGTTGACGCCAAACACAATGCGTCACTCGACACGATTACTCGCACAACGCCAGTGCCTCGTGAGCGCCCCCACGACAGCTTACGGTGATGAGTAAGAGTATCGCCCCCAAAGCGGCGACCTTGATGTCCCAACTTGGACTTGGCCACGAATGTAGTATGTAAGCTCTCCAGCCTCGTCGCCGATGCTAGCCACCGATTCCACCCCTTGTCCGGTGGAAAGAAAGGAACATGGTCACTCCATGAGTCCGGAGTCACTCGTCGTCAAGATTACCACCATTGCCGGACTCTGTTACTGGATACTGCCACTATACCGACACCAAATCTCGATGTTGGGTTCCTAGATTTACTCGGCGGTGCACTTATAGGTCTATGTGGGTATTCGAACTTAACATAAACATTACTCGACCGGAGTCAAGCCCGAAAGCAATTTGCAGGTCCCACTGCCTCCGACCAGCCTTTGGCCCCTTTCACAGCCCCCTTTCAACATCGTCGTCAGCTCCGACGGTGGTATATAGTACCTTGTTGCCTATCATCAGTCAACCAAAACGGAGGGAGCGGTCGTCAGTCCTCGCGGCGTTTCCATCTAACCTACGATCGACACTAGAAAGCCCATGCGGTCTTGATGGTCGAGCGAGTGCTCTTCATCTTTTGACCTCGAGCCGGATGTCGGCATATGCTTGCGACAGATGAGTCCTCCGAAAGCGAGTCTCAGCAAAGAATTCGACTTCAGACATCTTGCGCCTACTTGAAGTCTCTAGCACACTAGGGCCCGCGGTCTCGATTCGATTTGGCTCAAGCTGCCTTGACCAAGACCCCTCCGACGTGCCTTACAGCTCAGTCTTCAGATGGAGTCTGCATGCCTTCAAGGCCAGATGCCTGCTTCGGGTTGAAGGAAGCTCACGATACCAGGCCCGAGTCGTGATCATTATATCAATGGCACACTCAAGCGCAACGTCGGATGCACACGAGGGACGTCGGATTGCGGACTAGCGATGATATGCCCGAAGGCTTCGTGCACTATTACGGTCACGCAACCAAGCTCGGCGGAATGTGATGCAGAAGAGCACGGGACTCGATGACTGAGAGTCAACTGCTTCTTTCGTGGGCGCTGGCACTCCCCTTCATCTCCTACACGATCTCGATTGAGCGGTGCCTACGGTCTGGACTCTCATCAACTAGTGCCTCTCCAGTCCTCGCTCTTGCTGGCATCCACTGGTTCGCTATGTCCCCTCCATCGGGGGTACGCCATGGCCTCCTGCGGAAATACATGCAACTGCTCCTCCAATCCACTGCTGCATACAACAACTTCTCAAATCTGCAAATGGCATGCCAATTCAGCTTTAGAGCTCTGCAAGTTCGGTCGCTGTGATCAACATTCCAGAGCATGTCTGTCAGGACGCAACTCAAACAGGCACTACAAACATCGACTACAGGATAGGACTATACCGGGCCAGTCAACGATAATGACAGGCATCGACCAACGCTCCGAATGGTGCTTTCTCAACCGCCCTGGTCTCGGCTAGAAGAGTGTCTCAGTTCAGCAGCAAGCCAAGGCCATCGTTAAGCCTCTGTCGAAGCAAACACAGCAAGCCAGCTGGCCGATTCTATCGCAACTCCATGCGTCTTGCAATGCATGCATGTCTTGCACTCTATACGAATGAAGCCTGCCGGAGCCTCGAACGTCATGCAAGCTCGGATCATTGGTGCTCCGGCCACCTTCATGTCATCTGCAAGCTCGGGCCTGGCAGGGCCTTTTTCATGCTAGAAAACTGTTCCGATGTCAAGCTTGGACCACTGGAAGTCTAATCGACCACAGCTCCGGACGTTCGCGAAAACCGTCAATGCGCGATCCGATGGGAAGGGTCAAAAGGGACGTGCTGCTTTACCACGTGGTGGAAACTGATACTAACTAGTACCCCTGTCACCAGGCCGCCACGGCATCTTGTTCTGCTCACGCGATCTGCACGACCGGCAGCCTGGTTCAGGTACCATTCTGGAAGTGGGGCTCCGGTTCGGCAGTGGACGATTCTGAATATCTTTCCAACCACGCTTACAACATAGCGTCATTTCCAGATACCTGCCGGATCCAGACCACTGCCCGATTGCGAGCTAACCTTTTGAGACTTGCTCTCGATAAGATCGACCTGGGAAAATGACACCACATGAAATCACTTTGGAAGATTCTGGCCGATCGACGATGGTATACCCCCAACAAAGCAACAAAGCCGTTACAATGTATGTACTGGAAGAAGCAGCTCCTTCGCGGCCATTGCCAAAGCTCCCGACGTTTTGTTGGGACAAACTGGCTCGCCCATGCCTGGCTGGCCTGAACTGACTGTGACAGAGACATTCGCACTGGGTCCTCCCCCATTCATGCCCATCCGCCCAACTACTAACTGCTCAATTGCGTCCATCTCCAGAGCTTGCTTCCACCCTCCAGGGCGGGAGTTCTCCAGCTTGTCACACCCCGAGCGGCCTAAGCACCACCCCAGCACGTGCTGCTTGGTCGACAATGCTACTGCTGACAACGTCGCCCATGAAGGTTTGCTGTCTTGCCAACCGTTCCTAGCGACCACAAGCATGCCTCTCGCAAATGATATAGCCGGTAAGTATACCGAAATTGCTGAGGTAATCATAAGCTGCCATGCTTCAGGCGCGTAGCTTGCCCACCGACACGGGCTCAGAGGTACTCATCAGTACTTAAGGCCCTCGTCCGTACGTTGGCGCTCGTCATTAGTTGCCTATGCGCCCGTGGCCGTCTCCTGCAAGTCTGGTGGGACACCTGTAACTCTGTACTATGGAGCTTTGAAAGCGGTGGCGGCTTCAGATTGCTTGAGAGAGGTTTGTTCTGTCTGCGTTTCGTTTTGGCGGACATGTGGATGTAAACCTTGCTGCCGGCGATTTCTGGGCACTGAGGACTTCCCAGATGGTCCCCGGCAGCCGTCGGCGCGCTTGTAGGCCTTGCCCCTCTTGCAAGTGGGAGTCCCATCGAGGCGATGAGCCTAAACAATATGATGGCGCCCGTAGGCCGCCCGATCTAAAGCGGCGGTTTCAGAATTTTCAAGTTGTGCCCTAATCACCGGACTCATGGCGCCCTGAGTTAAATAGACCAGGAAGGATCGAAGTGGAAAAAGTCGGGGCCGTTGTGATAGTTGGGGAAGACTTCGCTGCCGTCGCTGGATGCTATAGCTAAACCCAAATACGGTCCGGTCGACTGTGGACGCTGGATAGGCGAATTGCGCATCGGCCATACCCCGTCCATCGCGGTGACGGACTCAATTAGGTTCCGCGACCCCATGGGGCCAGGAGTGGCCCAAGGCTGCTCCTGATGCGTAGTGTTCCACGAGGCCGACTTAGGCTGCTGTCTCATGGCCGCTTGCAATTTCGCTAGAATGTTCTCCCCGTAGACCCGGGCGCTGTGCTTGTTGTCGATGCCCAGATCGACCATGAGCTCCGCCAGCCCCTGGACTACATTCAGGTCATTAGGCTTGACGCAATCCAAGCTCGAACAGAACCTTTGGGCCCGGATGATCCACTTGCAGGCGAACGCGACCATGGCGAAGGTGGACTCCGGCGCGAACCGGATGGATGACTTGACCAGCGGGGTCAATCCTACAAAAAGGCGGCAGAAGGTCGAAGCTCGCTCGACCGACTGCGTGATCAGGTTTGCAGCCGGCAGTGGCGGCGTGTCGGCCATGGCCGAGGACTGCAATAGCTTGGTGGCGTGGGTGCTGATGCAGAAGCGAGTGAAGCGCTGGTAGAAGTCGATCCAGCTGCTCGTGGCCGGGTCGGAAGCGAATTCTGTGCTGGGCTGTCGTTGCTGATGTCGGAGCCACCTTCTTTGCCAGTGGTTGAGACGATCGTCCAAGCTATTGAGTACGCCCAACGAGAAGTTGGCGTCGGTTTCATTTGAGATAGAACACCACCATTCGCCAATGTCGGGCTCACTGGCGCTGCTGCGAGACCAGAGCAGACTCAGGCTCACATCCGCCAAGATACGGCGGACGTTTTCATCATTCATCACATACTGCTCAAGGTGTTGATTGGCCCATCTGATGCTTGCATCTTCACGAAGAGTTGGAGGCGTGCGTGACAGCAGTGACTGAAAATGAGCACTGCTGAAGAGCCACAGCCAGTAGCAGTATTTGCGCAAGGCGAAGCTCTGGCGGATATCGTTGGGATCATGATGGAGCAGACGGACAACATCCTCGCCAGCTCTGTGCACCGAATAGCGTAGGGCAAGCATCTCCATCGAGGATCTCAGGACATCCCGTCTCAGCTCGAAATCCGTATCGTCAGTGTTCATGTCTACCTCGACGTCCTGCGGCGTTGCCCAAGTGTACAGGATGGCAAAAGATTGCAGGAGCATCAATCGCTCATCGTCGTTCCGGTCTGGAGCAGCGAAACGAAGTTTCAACATGGACAGAATTTGTGGAGTCAGCTTAGCCCGTATTGACCGGCAACCAGGGACGAAGCGTGCGGCGACATACGCCATGCAGTTTGCCAGCGGTCTTTTGTTCTTCTCCACCATATCCTGGTAGTCACCGACATCTGCCTCAGTGACGACGGGAATGTGGATCAACAAATTTATGATGAAGCTATTTCGATCAGTCAGACAACCCAAGTACCACCATGGAAGCGCAGTGAGACGGATGACTTACAATCGACATAGGTGCGATAATTCTTCATCACTGGGGAGCCTTCGTGATTTTGGTGATCCGGACGATGTGCGACCATGCGAAAGCGGCGTCGCTGGCACGCTAACACTCGAGATATTGACCTCGCTCGCTGAAAGGGGAGGCTGCATATATTGGCCATTGGCACCTGCAACGTCCAGTGATGTGAGCGAGCTGTGGCTATAGCTGTGAGGAATGGCCGACATAGGAGGCCGTTGAGGAGCAGTCCACACCGGCTTTGAGCTAGCAATATTCATGAAGGGCATGTCCAGACTGCTGGTTTGCTGAAGAGGCGTGACAGTGTTAGGCACGAACTTCGAATAAGCATGATTCTGACCCCAAGGCTGCTGTTGAACATCTTCCCGGCGGGAATCGAGAATTGGTGTAAGAGGATATACCGTTGGCCTTGGCTCTTGTTGATTTGCCAAAGCTATCATGTCGTCTGTCGAGTTGTAAGGTGTGATTGTCTGCTGATGTATCATCACCGGCGGCACAACACATTTGCGCCCGACTTTCGCGCATCGTGCACACGGAGGGTTCTGTGCTCCCACGCATTTCATCTACACAATTAAATGAGCCGACCATAGAACAACAAGGATGAGGCATGACCAACCTTAAGACGTCGACACGCCACACATGCTGTCTTTGCCAACGTACCGACACGGCTGCTCGCCGCCTTAGGATTCGTTGTCATGTCTGTCTCAGGCGTACAAGTTGAGGGATCTGGCTTGGGTAAGGAGACTAATATGACAACCGTCGCATCGAAGCTGTTGTATCACGACGACAGCAGAAGCGAGAGCGCCAGACTTCAAAGTAAAAGACGTGTGGAGCTGTATGATGCATTCGGGTTTGGGGGCAGGTTCGAAAAGGTCGAGTCGCGAGCACCGAGGACCATCCTAGGTCAGATTAGGCGAAGGGAAAGCGCCTCCTGTGTCGTGATGCTGCGCGCGAATGCAGCACGGTGCAGCTACCAGTATCCCCCTGGAACCATGTAGCTGGGTGGCTTCGGGCGGCTCAAGGAACCCCGGCAGAATGGACGAATGTTTGTTGAATAACACGGGTGACCCGAGCAGAAACCTCAGCTTTGGAGGAAATCTTTTGAGGCGACTCCATTGCTCTAGTGGAGTAGGGCTTAGCCGTGCCTGAAGAACAGAGCGGTCCACGGGAGGATCCAGCCAAGGAACGACGAAATCTGAACACAGCAGAGATAGCAAGAGCATTCTAATCCGCATGTGCAGATGGAATAAGTCACGAAGTTGAAGGCAGAGGCTGTTTGACCGCGCATTGGTTCATCAAAACCCATGCCCCGAACTCCTAACGGTCTCGTCAACAATAATGTGCGAAAGGGTTTGTCCTCCTGTAAGCGAAGCGGTTTGGATGCAGATGCGGCGCCGACTCTCATTGGGAATAGCGACATCGAGACCTACGAGGGTCCTTGGAAATTGTCGGTGCGGTCTCGATCTATGGGCAAAGTCGGAGGTAGCTCGTAGCCCAGCTCCCGAGGTACTATTTATGACGTTGCCGAGAAATTCTGTAAATTTGTTGGTCAGTCACGTCAGTGCTTTCAGGGCCTTCAGGTCTACCACAGTATGCTTTCAGTGGCTTTCCCACGACTTCCAAAGACTCCTGTGCACCTCGCATTCCACGTGGTGGAGCACAGACATATCACAGGAAAACTCAACGCACAGATGCTGCAAAGAGGAGCAGCAGGAGGAGAAGAAGACCCAGGGAGGAGAGGAGACCCACTCGTCGAGCTATTTGATGATGCGAGCGTTTTCGGCGGTTGTTTTAAGCTTGCAGCTTTCGATTTTTCGGCGGCATCAGTGGCATGGGTAAAATTCGTGGGAATCCTAGGAGCTCGTTCTGTATGTGACTGAGCAGCCCACGCATTTCCGCAAAATGCCAGGGGCAAGCGCGTTAGCCGGAAGGGGCGACATCTGCAAGCGATGTCTCATACCCATGCCAATCACACCGGAATGCAACCAATAGTGGCGGCTAATGCATCCGAAGTCGTTATAGTATAAAAGCGTATGAGGTCCAAGGTTGAGGCTGGCCCATATGTTCAGTCAGCCACGGGCACGACATAAAGATCGTCCTCGCGCCGAGTCGGATTGTCCTCAATCTTCTGGATCATTGGCTGTGCTCTCAACGACGACCTTTGCCGATTTCCAATCCGTGTCAGCGTTGCATCACACCAGAGCCCATCGCTGCTCGTACACGCACAGGTTGTTGCTCTTGTCTATCGTCTTGCGTGCCTCCGGCTGCGGTCGATGTCGCTCATGCTTGATGTCTACAATAGTTGGTGCTCGTCTGGACGAGGTAGCCACGACAAAAGCGTTTCGGGCCCAGTGTTCCAACGAGTGGTGATCAGGACCGCCCGTGTCTCCACAAAAGAAGGACAACCTAAGCTGGGGATCGCTCCTAGAAAAGTCTGATAATATTGCGATGTCGCTCACACCCCAATCTTGCATGCTGTTGTTGATAGTTCAAAGCGAAATGTGAATTGCCGACTTTGCACCCGTCGAGCTGCCGCCTTGAGCCGCCTGCAAACGGCAAGCTGCATTCAACAAAAGTCCCGATTCAACGTATGGTACGCAATATCAGTCGTCATTGCAAACGAGCTACCTCAAACCATGACACTGTCGCCAGCCAGTCTCATCTTTTCTTCGTCTTAGCACACTTTAGGGACGAGGGTGAAACCCCTGTAGACTCTTGCTGCAGACCCACTACTCTTCCATACAAATAGATAAGTACATTCAATCACTGATTGCGCAGATAGGGAAGAAGCTTAGCGATCCCGTGCGAGTGATTATGTCTGGATTCCTGCATCCCACTAAAAGCCGCTGGATACGGAATATGGTGGCAGTAACTAGTTGCACCAAAGCCCTCTCGTGAGCGAACTCCTCCCTGTCGCTGGCCAAGCGACAAGACAAGAATCTTGTAAATTGAGCACATTACATGATAAGATTAGATGGCTATCTGGGTTGCTGAGTAGCCCCTGAATATGTAAGAACATACTACGTAGTAGTCAGCTGATGGAGATGGTCATACCCTGTTGTGCTCGTTGGAGCTTTGCGCTGAGTGGGGTTCTGCCCCTGGCACCGTTCACACGCCCGTTGGATCTACCAGCGAATCCCAGTGGCAGGTGTACATGCACAAACAATGGCAAGACATGTATTGGACTGATCAACATCGCAGGAGGTGAATTGGCTTTTGAGGTGCCCAGGATTGAATGTGATAGTATGGTCCGCTCCCCATATGGTCAAAGATTCTTTCGCTGGGCGCCTGCCCCACGCCAGAAGTACCCGGAGCGCAACCTGTGCTTTCGGTCGGCCAAAATGTACACGCAAGGTGCAGATTTGCAGATGCAAGCATGAAATGAGATTGCATTGTTGACCTCCGGATGTGGCTTGAACTGAAAGACCGAATCCTCCATGTTGCAAAAACACCCGATACGCCTCGTGATGCGCCGTCATACTACCCAGTCTGAGGGAAATAATTTGGACAATCGCACAAGGTCGTTTTGACCCTGGTGCTTATACAGGTCAGTCCTGCATAAGAGTGATGCCAACACACACCTCATGGGACTCGGGTCAAAAAGTCCGTCGAGGTCATGTGTCCCAACGCGAAACGACCGAAAGATGATTCTGCTTGCGAACGCCGTGAAAGGACTTCTAAGCTGGAGCATTTTGGACTGTGCAACTGTAGGCGCAATATCATGTGTCGGTCGTAGTATTCCAGGGCGTTGAGCTTGTTCCATTGCCCGAGGCGACATGCTCTCGCTGTCGAATATGCAACCACCCTGCCGAAGCTGCAGCAACTTCTGCCTCGTTCGGCCTCTACTGGGATTTGTCGTTCTTCTTGGGCGGCTCCACGTAGTCAGGGTATCCTTTGACGTTGGTGATTTGTTCCATGGTAAGTTCATCGCCGGAAGGATTGGGGAAGAAGCTCTTGAATGTCGTCTCGCCCTTTAGGAGTCTTTGGATGTTCTGGCGGACAGAAAACATGACGTTTTCAGACTGAGACTCTTTCTGAACTTTGTCGGCATCGTAGTCACCTATGTCGCTGCCTCTGTTTTTGCTACCCGCGGGGGTGGCCTTGCCAATGGTTCGAGGGAACGGCGCGATGCAGGTAAAGTCGTGAAACTCCGACCGTCCGCACATATTGCCCATGCCGCCATCTATGGACCAGTTGTATGGTATCATGCTTGAATACCACAGAATCCTCTGTGCGGCGCGAAGGGTCACAGCATAGCCGGATGTGCACCACCCATAAATCTGTTTGTAGATCACTCGGGGCTGAGGGTCGGGTTCCGTGCCGTTCTCCCACCGCAGCATACTTGGTCCCTCGAAATACCACCGCGACCCTCGCGGTGCGACGGTGGGATCGTGGGGGATAACCCAGTACCGGCCATCTTTAGTATCAGGCTTACTGTAGCAATGCCCGTACCATAGAATGTCCCACCCGTCACCGTAGGGGGAAAAAGGGGTGCGATCGCCTTGGTCGAGCAAATAGCGAGAGCCCCGTGCAAATTCGGTCATCTGGGCTTTGAGACTCACGTCCCAGTCGGCGTCGTCCTCCAATATCAACGCGCTTTGAATGTTTTCATCAATCATCCTGGACAACAGTCAGTGTCTTCTAACGATCAGGTGGGCTTCACAAACTTGTTGAAAATATCAAGATGCGCTCTCCAGCACCCTATAGTGCCATTATCTTGCTTCATGGTCTGTCCAGGTCAGTCGGATAAGTAGAGCGTAAAGGTCCTGCAAAACTGACATAAGGGAGTGCTTTGGGAGAAACTTTCGAGCCCACGACGCCATCGACCATCTCTAACGTGAAATTCGTGAGTTGCGCCTGAAGTAGCATGGTATCGCGCTTGTCGGTGCGCTCTGGCAGGTTGATAGCGTAGACCTTTTGGAACTATTGCAGTGTAAATTTCTGGCAATGCACCAAGCCATGTTTCCAGGACTTACCCCAAGAGTGTCGTTGAATATGTCGCCCAAGTTGTCGCTTTTGCCCATAGGAATAAATCCTGGCCTCCGAGAAAGAGATGTGATATTCCTGGTAATGGGCTCATGGTAGAAGTAAGTGAAAAAGACGCCGGACAAGGTGATGAGAAAACAAGCAAAGAAAAGGTTCTTTTTGGCGACCGTCGCTGCCATCCACGGCCCGCGAGCAGGTAGTCGATATGATGAGCCCATCCTGTGTACTGTACTGCTCAGAACCAACAGCAGCGTGACTACAAGAGTCTGAAAGGGATAATGGCGTTACAGTACGAAGTGATCTTGAAGTGTGAGGAGGTTTGAATTGCAGCAGTCGTCGTCTGAGATCTGACCCTCGTGTGAATGGATTGGTCCAGACACGAGCCCAGCACCCGAGGTCTTCCCCACTTCCTTAGGTGGCCCCTAGTCTAAAGAGAAAGATTGTTGTGCAGCTCAGGTGCATGTCCCAACCCACTTTTTTACCACAAGCTGCATCTCGCTTGAATCATCCCTGTCCCGCCGGCGCGGGCGTGGAAAAGTGCGATAGTGCCGGGGTTCACCGGCCCTTGGTAAGCGAATTTTACCGGGTCACCCAGTAAACTCGCGGTATCAGGCTGTATGGTCGCAGATCCGGGCTACAGTGCATAGTAGATCCTGGTCCCTGTCTAGAGTTGGAATTAGTCAGGGGCACGGGTTCCGCAGAGTACTACGAGTACGAGTAGCCGTTCTCGCTTGCAACGTTTTTGATAAGACTTCTCGCGACTTTAAGACGTACTGTCCATGTTACGATCTTACAGATGCTCCTCTAACGGGTTACCGACGATGAGTCCAGGGCGGTACATACTACGTAGTATGCATTGTTATTCTATAAATCTCCCCAATAAATCATCCATGACCTGAGAAGGCAATTCCCCGTTGGGCGTAATTATCAGCCCCCGAACGCCGCTGTGGTTCGCTTCCAATGCCCTGAGGCGCTGCTGATGTGAGCCAAAAACCTCCGAGTTAATCCTGGGCCAGGAGGAGCGCCAAGCTGACCGGTTGAGCATATCTGATTCACTCTGGCTGCAGCTGTCAGGAGATTGACCAGGACTACGTCTTGGTTGAGTTCAATGTCCTGAACGATCATAAATGTCGTCTATGTGAATTATCCGCTTCACCACTGGGTAGTCCTCAAAATCCATTCGATGCAGGAATGGCATTTGACAAACCACTTCCAAGCACATGCCTGATCCAATGACATTTACTCTGTAAACGACTCGTTTTGTAAGAAGCTGTGATAGGGCAGCAGCCCTGGGATCCTGCCCGTAGCACTTAAAAGCGTAGAAGCTTGTGCACGAGCCCCAGGGTGACCACCTTGGAAGATGCTCGGTTGTCCCAACTTCATGGAAAAACTTTGCCGCCGTGCACGGTTCTGAGATTGAACCGGCCGTGATCGTTTTCTTCTGGAAGCACGACTCCGGTAACATCGACGGGTTCAGAAGTGCGATCTCGGCGCGTGATGTAGGAACACAACAGGCAACTTCATCCGTGACAGGCAAAGTGATGATGAAGATGCGATCCCAGGCAATCCGATTTGCGCTAGCCCCTCGGATCACTCGAGGATTGTGGTGGTCGTCGATGCCAGAGCCCGAGGTAAAAAGTTGCGATGGAGGACAAGGCAATATTTCGCGATGGTCTTCAAATTTCAGTCTGTGCCGGGCCTTTGACGTCTGTACAGGAGCCCATATCGCGTAACAGATCGCCTGCCAGCACGTCCATCACGGCTGGTCTTGAGTCTTCAATTCCAAAAGCCAGAAATAGTACATCATCAATGTAACCATGATATCTCTGTCCGTGAGCCTTCCAGCTCATGCTAGTGATGTAGAACATTTCCGAGTGGCCAGGCGGTAGCTGCCGGCCCTCCCACTTGATGGCACCCGTCATTTCGGTCAGGACATCGCGGCCGTGAATCCATAAGGGCTTTTTAGCAATGGCGTGCATAGCGAAGGGTGCTTGTTGCTGGAAAAGCACGACGTAAGGCTCATAGACGCTGTGCCAATCGTAGAAGGACTTGAAGTGAAAGATGTGCATGATGAATGTGTTTTCTGCATTGGGCTTGCAGGCGGGATCGGCGCGCTTGCAAAGAGTGATGGAGAGCGAGTTCGTGGCTTGATGGTTGGATTCTTGGTCGGATGATAGTACAGGCATGTACCTCGCCATACAGGCATCGTCGGTCGTCGCCGCCCTCGGTGCAAGATCCGGCCCAACGCTGCCGTCGAACTCGAGTTGGGCAAAGACACGCTTGGGCGAGATATCGTGGTGCACATACATCTTGTTGTCAAAGTCCCAGAAGACGAAAAAATTCTTCTCCAGGTCCTTTACTGGCGGTGGCCGCTGCAGTTCTTTCGGTCCCGTAAACAGTGTCGATATTGCCGACTCAACGACGTAGTCCACAAGCAGAGTCCGCAGATCCTGCATATACACCCCAAGGCACGTCTGCTGGGAGTGCGCGCCGTACAAGATATAGGGTGCATCCGGGCCATGCACTACTCGGGCATCACGGGAGCCAGTAGCGAAATTGAAATAGGCCAGGTCGCCCTTGCAATGAGGTTCGTGAACTGTCAATGGCACGGCCACTGGCCTGTCCGCGCAAGTGAGTACTCCGTTCAGAAAGCCCGCATTGCAGGTCAACTCGGTCAGTGGGCCATTGTCGTGCTTGCGACTTTCCTCCTGATAGGCAATGATGATCCAGAGGTCGTGCTTCCTGGGATGAGGGATGATGCTCGGGTTATAAGCTGCAATGCCGCCGAAGTGAATCTTGATGTACTCTCCATTCGCTGATGTAAGCGAATAGAGCTCATTGTATACCGAGCTGTAGACGATAGGTTTGCCGTCATCGTCCACTTCGACCACCGGACCAGGTGGTATAGGCAGGTGGATGACGTCCTTGCTGGCAGCCAACGCCGCTTGCCCGTCGTTGTTGTCCCCAACAAGAGGCTCTTCTTGCCTCAGCCAGTGTTGGAGCTGCCGTCCGGCATGATTCTGTGAAGACACACGGCGGCTGATGAACCATGCAAGATAGAGGAGCGGGCAGATGAACAAAACCAATTTCGAAGACGTCCGAATCAACATGGTGATGGTCGGGGGCTCCCTCAAAGTCACCAAACAATGAGCGTTTGTACAGATCTGCTCGCTACAGCAACAAATTCAGCATCAGCCCTTTCTGAGAAAATGTTGTATGGCTACCAGAGGCACAAACGACAAGAAGACTTGGCTGCCAGACGTTCGGTCGACCCAACTCCGATGGGATCAGCAGAAAATGCCTAGCCAGAAAACTAGTCGCCTTTGCAATAAGTACAAGAGATAAGACGCAGTCTAGCCAGGGTCTAGCTTGCCTTGGGAGGCGGTTGGTAAACCCCTGGAGGTATTTTGATACTATGTATTGGAGGTAATATTCGGTATGCTACAAAAGGTCCAGGAGTTGCTACCCGAAGCTATTCGAAAGCCATCCTCCGCTATACGATATGCATCCGTGGAGATCGGAAAGTCAACGCGCCAGAACGGTGAGCGAAAAGCTGTAAATTGCAGGTGAAGATGAGCAGTGGTACTGCAGGTGGATCCAAATTCTCTTCACCTGGGACGGAAGTCGAATCTTAGCTTGCATCGCAAGGGATTGCCGTGGTGCGAAGCTGAATGCAGATTTACACAGAGTTGTCAGGGATCTTCTAACAAGCACGCCTTCGGCTTCTTTTGGGTCATGGTCCTGGAATAGGTTTAGTATGTATGTGGTATGCAGGACAGTTCTCCACCGCGTCACATCTTGAATCTCCGGGTGGGTCCCAAGTACCTCCACTGAATAGCCGATATCCAAACCATATGGAGGTGTGTGGACTACCAACATACTACTATGGCCGTAAGTTTTTCTAGTCCAGCGCTTCGTGTCCAATTTTATTGCTTATCAAAGTTATCACGCCAGATACCAACTCCATCACACGAGAGTTGCGGTTCTAGATGTCTCGGACCTTCTGTCGCACTAGCACCTCCCAATACTGTACCCCCAACACCCCGGCAGGGACAATCTGCATGTTGCTGATCAGTCTGCAGCGCTGCGGCTTAGCTGAGCTGAGACTGGCCTCGATTACAATCAACTCCCTGAACTGACTTCGTACTCGCAGATTGCCGGTTTTATAGGCCCACAAGCCAACTTACCATCGTGACGGAGCTGAAATTTCTGTATTCCCACCAAATCCATCAGCAAGCCTCAAAGACCTCGAAAGGGATTTCATTGCAGATAGCTGATATGACGGGATGATGAGTTCTGAACCAAGGGGACGGATCAATTGGTCTGTGCCCGAAAGGCACCTACATGTGCCCGGGCCACATTATAACATTTCCACGTGCTTATCGTACAATAGTACTATCTATCGATTACAATGTCACTGTCAACGTCAATGTCCATGCAGAGGATCACATCGATGACACACTGCAGACGCCGATCTGAATCCTGTCACATCGGCGAGTAAGCACAGACGCTCTTGCATTTGACAAGTCCAAAATGACGAGACCACTTCTGAACATCAACCACAACTTCAACCATCAGTGGCAGCGTTGCTATTCATTGTAGTCTTTGAACTCTTGAGGAAGTTTGCAAATGACCTGTTCCGTACCCGTCGTCCCATGGGTCTACTTAGTACCTACGGCTCCATCAAGCTGGCGGCTGGAGTATGCTGGGCAGAAATGACGGGCGCCGTGCATAGCTGCGAATGCTGTGGCCTTCAGGTAATGCCCGTCTTTCTGTGCAGGTGCGATATACGTTGCGTGAACATTGATCGAGTGAACGGTGCCGTAAGCATTCACTCTGTTCTCCCGTCATTTCCATAGGTTGGTTCATGTGACTCCCTCATGTCAAAGACCGCTCAAGCCATTTCTTGTCGATGTTTTCCCCCGAGACCTTGAGCACATTCGCTCCACAGCAGGACACGATGTGTTGGCGTGGAATATATCCTGTATTGTAATTTGATTGTGGATTCCTCATGACTATGATTTCTTGTCGTCCTTGCCTTTAGCATTTGGATCCTTGTCTTTCACATCTTCATTCTTTTTCAAGTCTTTGCTCGGCGAGTCTTTGTCTTTTGATTCCTTGCTCTTGGCGTCCTTGTCACTAACATCTTTACCAGGAGTATCTTTGCCAGAAGCAATTTCTGCATTTGTGTCTTCGACTTGCGAGTCCTCGTCGTCGACATCTTCGGCAGATGAGGTTGGCTCGTCGACTGGTGCTGCTCCTGGAGGAGGCAGCTTGCCAAGGGGAACCTCTTCCTCGTCAACTAGAGGCTCTTCGATGCCAGCCAGCTCTGCAACAGGCACAGGAGGCATACCAGGCGCAGGGACCTCAGCCAAAGGAGCTGGAGGCATGCCGACAGCAGGGCCCATGCCGCCCACCGGACCTTGCGCATCCATCATGAGTGGCCGTTTCTTATCTTCAATCTCTTTCATATGGACCAATTTGAGTTGTTCTTCTTCGGGCAGCGAGTTGAAGAAAGCTGTGTTGGAATCCCACAACTTTACACATTCCGCGTCCCAGTTGCACCTTTCGACCTCGCCGTAGACAGGATGCTTGAAGCGTGGGTGGTTCGTAGGCCAGGATGATGCGTGGAAGTGGTGCTTGATAAGTGCGCTCTTCCCATCATGATTTCCGGAAGCCGAGTGGCCGGTGCCAGCAGCAAAGGACTCGGAAGGTAGCACCAGAACGCCGGCGACGACCTTAGAGTCCAGCATTCCAGAAAACTCCTCCCAACCAACGGTTTTACCGGTTTGCGCGGACATCTCTGCAAGAACAGCAGAGGTGAAAGCTGAAGGCCCAGTACCAATAAGAACTTCGTCAAAGTCAAGCTCGATTTGTGAAATGGGTCTGTCCTGCTTCTTCGCGACGCCGTTCAGCCATGCCATGATGTTTTCGATCAGCCTCATCATAACTGGGAGACGAGCTTTTCCCATGAAGGTCCATTGACAGAACGATTGCGACTTTTGTCCCAGGACCGGATGATCTTTGAAATCTGGCATGTCCGTTTCGATGCCGATCACCATATCTATGTCCTTCTCGTCATATCGATTAGGAATAAAGTGTTCGATTGGCTTCAAACATTCCACATCGATGTCGGCGTACAGGCCGCCCTCTATATACATGACGAGGTATCGGAGAAGGTCTGCCTTGATAATTTTGGCGTTCAAGGTCTCAAAGACATGGACAATATCAGGTCGGTTGATGCCAGCAGGGCCGTAATGGTGCTTGACGTAGCTGAGGGCATTGTCATCGGTCAGCAGCTCGTAACGATACTTCGGATTCTTGGTCGTCCATGTCCTGACCCTGACCGCATCCTTAGCATCAAGGCCGGCTGCGTCGATTTTCCAGGTTTGCCAGACCTTCTGCGGAAAGGTTCCTCCAATTGCACGATATGAACTGCTGCCAATCAAGCCGTGGAAGAGAAGAAATAAAGTACCGGCAATGAGCACTGGAAGGAACATTCGAAATTGTTTGTTGAACATCCCTCTCACGGGTCGCTCGTAGCCTTCCGCCCCCATGGCTTTTTCTTGATAGACAAGTATTGGCAGAAGAGTAGGACTGTCTGGGGAAGATCGAATCGTCTCTGGCAAGGTAGCCGTGTAGTGTGAAGATGATGAAAACGTCCACGCGACAGAATGAAAGTCGTCGACTCAATGGCTCACAGCGCTGTCAATGTAGATCTCAGGGACGAAAAGATTACCCCTCGGAAGAGCGCAGTGCTCAATTTGCCAGTGTTGACAGGACGGGGCCGGATCACGTTTTGGTGTAAGCCCGTGGGATGTCAATAGTAAGCGGTCCAGAAGTCTATCGAGTCATAGCATCCCTGTTACGGATATTGGAAAGCTAATCCTCGATCCTTCTGATATCTCGACAATTTCTTTCAGGAAGTCCCTAAGTTCGGATAGGTAAGGGGAAGTTGCACCGGCGTAACGCCCAACGCTCGGCTTCCCACAGAGGTATAACTCGACGTTTTCAAAATTCACACCAGTTCTGCATCAGCCTGCCTCGGCAAGCCACACGATCCTTGCTGAAGAATAATTGTCCCTGAGGGGCTCCGGACCTGCATTAGCGTATGAACCGGGGGGTGAGTGGACCCGGCCCTGACTTTCACGTGGATGAGCGGCTCCACCGGTCACAGAAACAAGCTACGTAGTACTGTACAGTGCTTGTATCCTAGCATATTGTGACTAGAGGATCTGCACAAGCTGATAACGCATCCTGGTTCACCAAACAAACTCTTTGCACTGTCCCACGCTGTGACAGCCCCTAAACTACCCGAGGTGTTTTCAGAAGCCTAAGCAATCTTGGTCGTCCCACGTAACTGCCCTCCTGCCAGACACTTCTGTTCAGGTCCCAAACACCAGCATTCCCAAGCTGACGGGCACCTTATCTCTTCACTGAGTCAAGACAACCTTCTCTCCATCTCATACTCCAGGCCCCGAGAAAACCCACAAAAAAAATGCTCGGGATGTATCCTGCTGCTGGGAATGCGATGCTGGAAAAGGGCCTTCTTGAAGAGGACAAATTCAAACCCAACACTGGCATACTCGGGCGAGCAACGAGCCTTCTACGACCTTCCTTGGGATGGGTAGGACGTCAACGAAGCAACTCTGGCAAGAAGCTCCATAAGACTGCCTATCTAGATGGTTTGAGAGGATTTGCGGCCTTCATGGTCTACTGCCTCCACCACCAAGTTTGGGGTCACGCTGGCATCAAAGGAGAATTCATTCTCGAGAATGCCTGGGGCTGGGACAATCAATACTATTTCATCTGCTTGCCGGGCATCCGCCTCTTCTTTTCAGGAGGGCACTTTGCTGTGGCCATATTCTTCGTCATTTCAGGCTATGTCTTATCAGCGAAACCTCTGAGCTTGATCAGTGCCGGCGACACGACGCAACTTGCCAACAACCTCGGTTCAGCCTTGTTCAGGCGATGGATGCGGCTCTTCATCCCCGTCTTTGCCACCACCTTCGTCTGGATGTCCACATGGCATATCTTTGGCATATATTCCAGCAACCCCATAGCTCAGAAACCGGAGAAAAACTGGAGGGATGAGGTCTGGATGTGGTATTGCGCTGTGAAGAACTTCAGCTTTGTCTTCCAGGGTGAACCATGGCTTGTTTACAACGACCATACATGGTCGATCCCCATGGAATTTCGGGGCTCGATCGTCGTGTACACCTCACTGCTCGCTTTTGCTCGTTGCAGCAGAAACTGCCGACTCTGGTGCGAAGCAGGCTTGATCCTCTACTTCATCTACATTGTCGACGGCTGGTTTTGCGGGCTCTTTGTCATGGGGATGTTACTCTGCGACCTGGACTTGCTGGCACAAAAGAATCAACTGCCGGGAGTCATATCCAGCTTGAAACCTGCAAAGACCTACATTTTCTATACCTTATTTGCAATCAGCCTCTATCTCGGCGGCATTCCTTCGATCACCAACGACCTGCCACATCTTCGGAACTCGCCGGGCTGGTACTACTTGTCTTTTCTGAAGCCTCAAGCATTCTGGGACTTCAGGTGGTTCTATCGATTCTGGGCTGCCACGTTCCTGGTGGCTTCACTCCCACATATACATTGGCTACGGGGCATCTTCGAAACGAGGATATGTCAATACCTCGGCAAAGTCTCATTCGGCTTCTATCTAGTCCACGGTCCTGTCCTATGGTCCCTGGGAGACAGGGTCTATGCCATGGTGGGAAGGGTTCGAGATGAGCATTCTACTGTTTGCCCTCAATGGGTCAACCGCTTTGCATTTCCGAGCTGGGGGCCGTTTGGCCTTGAGATGAACTACCTTCTTGCCCATTTGATCTTACTGCCGGTGACTCTCTGGCTTGCGGAGCTCGTCACCGTTCTCTTTGATGAACCCAGTGTGAAGTTTGCACAATGGGCATACAAGAGGACTCTGGAACCCGGGGAGCCATGCGATTCCAAATCGCGATCAGACGTCTGGGGAAAGGCTTGATTTTTGCGCTTCATTCAAACAAAGTGAGAGAAAAGATACCCCAAGGGTTCCAGCTACTTGGGTCCGTGGGCATCATCGTCAACGTCAAACGTCACATGAAGCTCTGACAGTCAGACAAAGTCGAGCTCGGGCCCAAGTACCCTTCAAAAAATGCTATGACCACCCGAGATCTGCGACGTCATGGGAACTTTTTTATATCGACATGTAGGAAACGTGAAAACCTTTGCAACCGCAATCAAACTGTTTATAGGGTTAGGGACTTCGCCTGTCGATCCGAGCGGCACGTTGCAAGCCGCTTCAGCGAGGTTGGTCGGAGGGAGATTTCTCGCCCGCAGATCGATCATCTCGAGGAACTCTGTGCTCCTCCAGAGGTCGCTTGCGCTGAGTGGCTAAATCCTTGGTAGCATTCAAACCTCGTTGGCGTCGTAGCGGTACGCCCGGCTCTGTCAAGCATCTTGGGTTCCTGCCACAGCACGAACGCCTCAACTGCAAGCTTTCAGCAACAATAATTCCACCTTCCCAGAATAGCCCCCACTGTAATAATGAGTCTGGCAGCACCGGAGTATTGTGACAAGCTAAGCACCAGTACTGTATCTTCCAAAATAGGTTGGAGCAATCTGCAGAAGGCCAGAAACATGAGCACACATGGGCTACTCCGTAGAAGATTGGAGGACCACACCTCGATAGCCAAGCGAGACAGGGGCACTATTGCATTGTTTTCGCAATTTTGCTGTAGGGGATAAGGTTTCGGCGAGTCCAGGAGGCTTGTTGGCCATGCAGACTTTTGTGGGAGTCGAATTCTGCCCAATAAGGCTGCGGCCGATGCTCCGGCCAAGGCTCCGGAACCCTAGCAAGTATTCGGAGTCTGTGGATCCTTCAGATTAGCAGACCGTACCTGAGTAACACCAGCAGTAAGGTAAAGGATCCAGTGTATGTTGTGGGCGCTTGGTGTGGCGTTAACTCTGCTTTGTTCCTGGCGACGCTGTCGCAGACTAGTGTGCCATGGCTGCTTTGGCTTGCCTCTATGAGTGTGAAGGCTTCGAGATCATGCTTCTGGCTAGAACGAGTACATTGAGATTGCATCCCAATCTAGCGCTCCGGTGTAAGACATGCATGGTTGTTCGGATGAAGAGGTGTTGTCTGATGGTAACTGGCCCTTGCCGAAGCCCCGCTCCTATCTCGATCACTTACCCTCGCCGAAGAAGATTGAGAGCCAGGGAAGAAGACCCGCCTCTACACCGGGTGTTTTCAGCCCTCAACCAAACTCAGCTCTCCAGCATGGCGCCATGGATTCGAAAAATATGCAGTCGTGATTTCGCAGTGTCAAGCTGATTTCCTCCGGTCCCTTATATGCTGCCGCTTCCCAACTCTCGCTAACATTTTCTTTCTCGATACCTGACGCATCAGCCAGTCCACCCACACTCGTTAACTTCTTTCGTTCACCGGTTCCTACCATGAAAGGTACCAGTTTTTTTGTTCTTGCTGGGCTTGCCGCCTTCGCACAGGCAGGCCGGCTTCCCCTTTGCTCGGTAAGTACATCTTTCCTGGACACTGGTTGGACCTCATCGCTGACGCTTCTGCAAGGCAATTTGTTTGACCGATGCCATCGCCACCACAGGCTGCAAAGCCAGCAACACACAATGTATCTGCGCGTCAGAGACTTTCATGTCGGCCGTTGCTGAGTGTGTCGAGCAAAGCTGCACCGGAGACGACAAAGCTTGTGAGTCTCAACACCATCATGGTCCATGGCCGGGACCATCATGCTAACTGACCTAGCCACTCTCGAGACTGCCGAGCAATTCTGCTCAGCTGCTGGTGTCCATAGCCAGCTAAAAAAGCGTGAAGCCGACCCTGAGCCTGCGCCATGGGGACGACCAGGAAAGGGTTTGGCCAGTAGTCGCTTCAGGGGAAGGCCGTTTGGCCACAATGGCTGGAGCTGGGGCTGGTGGGCAAAGGGCTCATCCAACAAGCCCAAGGCGTCCACTCCAGTTGAATGGGTCCCTAACTTTGAATCCCATGGTAATGAGTGGTGGAAGGAGCAGAGTGCCAAGTGGTGGAAGGCCAACGGCGCCAATTGGTGGAAGGCCAACGGTCATCACTTCCAGGGTCCCGAATGGTGGAAGGGCAAGAGTGCTCACTGGTGGCACGAGAACGCTGGCCACTGGTACAAAGGTCCGTCCTCAAGTGGAGGAAGCTCAAAGGGAGGAAACAACTGGTGGCCAAAACCCTCTCCACCAAAGGCACAGCCAACGTGGTCACCTTCACCATCACCAACGCCAACAGAGGCTCAGCACACCAAGCCAACTCACCACCCTCACAAACCAACTGATCACCCATCCAAGCCAACGCATACTGCACCCCCAACAAGCACTGAGACTTGGACCCCTTACAAGCCCACAACACAGCCTGTGCACACAGTACTCCCTGATCTTCCTTGGCAAGATTGGTGATTTCGTCGACCACATCGACGGGGAGTTAGGACTGATGGATTATGGCCACACTTCGAAATTCTTTCTGGAGGCATATTAGGCAGCATGTTCTGCATTTAATTTCTCGTATTGATCGTGCTCGTTGCACGTGAATGAAACCAGTTTATTGACGCTTACTTCGTCGTCATGATTATGTTGTCTGCCCGAATCAGCTGCTGAAAGTCCCAGGTCGTAGCCCGGTTGAAAGGTGACTGCAGCAGTATGCCTTTTGCATTCATCCTAAGGTTGTTGAGCTGTCCTTCCCCGTGATCTTGACGCCGGCATCATTGAAGATTCAACGAGTGAGTAATCCGTGCTCGCAACGTATTCGTCTTCTAGCTGGCATTGAATGGTTGTGACCAGCTCTGCAATGGCACATCATGGATGAGTATAGCTGGAGATAAGAGGGACGGTGGGACATCAGCTGCGATCAGCTGAACACGAGCCAAGCTTGCCATCAGGGCCTGGCAAACATGTGGTCAGAATTTGCTTGGCATTCACGTGACACAGTGATCGGTTAGGCAGTCACGTGGCAGTGCTTCATTTGAGGTATCAACAGGCTGGCTGGGGCAGCAGTGAAAGGCTTTGCTTTGAGGATGGTTGTGGTGCTATGGCTTTGATTTGGGGTGATTTGTTCGACTGTCTTTTCGAAGATACAGCAGACTCTTTACAAGACAGGACAAGAAGATCGGAAGCAGTCTATTCTGTATCCATTTGATCTTCAGCACCACCTTCTTTTCGAACGGCGTCCTTCACACCTTGCAGAAAGACTTCCACAGCCTCGACACCACCCAAGGGCACACCGCCTCGCCTCATGTAGCCACCATTGCGGACGTTAATATTGAGTGCTTCACTGATACTCGGCAGACCACCATCCCTCAATGCAATGGTGAGACTGGCCAGGCTTTGTGAAAACTGAGGTGACCGTAAAACCCTCCGCAAAATATCTTTCTTCTGGTTTAAACTCAGAGCTTGTTCAGCAGCTTCTACTGATGCGTGATCTGTATTCAAGGCTGCCATATCGTCTGCTTCTTGCGCCAAAGTCACCAAGGCTGGTGGAAGATATTGCAGTAAGCGGTCAACAAGCTCTTCGCTGGCCGAGTCAATCCATGGTATTGTCGATGCTGGTGTGAGCAGTTCGGCGAGCGTGGTAAATACTCTGTCTGGAGCAGCAGCCTGCTGGCTTTGATTTGGATTGCCACCAGTTGATCGGATGAAGTTCTGGATTATAGTGTTTACATCCATTGCAGCAGCTCTGAGAGACGGTCAGACAACAGAACTGAACTCACGACCGTAGCCCACAGCACGGGTGCATTACCTACGCTCTTCCGCCGTCTGCACCACCCTCCCTAGATTCCTCTCCTTCCTCACGGAAGTCGCCGCCAGTAGCGTCCGGACCAGCTCCTGGACCGCTGTGAGATGGTCGTCTGTTGACGTCGTGATCCGTCCCCTCCACGTCTTCCATCGGCTCGTCATCATCATCAGGTTCATGCTGATCATCAGGTAGTTCTGCCATCTGTTGTTGAACATCCACCTCTTCACCCTGCAATAAGTTGTTCACAATCTGTCCCAGCTTGAGATCCCGAGCACTGAACCAGGCAAGATCGCCTTGCGGGTGTTGACTCTTTGATTGGAGCCAGAAGAGGTGTCGTTGTGAACTGGACGAGAATTTGAGAACATAGATCCTTCCATTGGTTGCCTTTCGAGGGTTCTCGGGGTTCTCTGCGCTCGTAGGATGATATGGAGTAAATGTGCCGTCGGTCGGTAGCATCAGTAGGTCCAGCTCTGGGCTGTCCAATGGAGCAGTCCGCGGCCGCCAACACAGGTGTAAAAGCTCATCTTCAGCATAGAGGTAGATGTATCCAGGTGTGGGCAGAGGCTTGACTCGGGGTGGCGAGGTGCTGGACTTGACAGGCGTCAGTACTGAACCCATGCTTCATCCGTACCGGTTGAGTACTTACATCGAGTTCACAGAGCCCGGCCTTGAAAGTGATGATTGGTTGAATCGACATTGGAACGATCTGGACTACTGGAAATGCGTCGATCAAATCACCGGAACAGTAGAGTCACCTCTCACCGATAGAGAGCCAATTAAGTAGGAAGAGTCGCAGTGGTTCAATATGAGCAGATATACCAAAAGTGTCGCTTTCTGAATCCTTGCAACAACGCAAGAAGCATGGAGCCTAACGTGCAAACGCGGCAAACATTGAGCCTCGCGCTAGTCACGTGATAAGCGACTCCGGAAAACCTACCTGATTCGCGTCGGCCCCGGTCCTCTGCCAAGCCTGTGGACATTTTGCGCACAGTGAGTCCGCATCCGCAATTGGGACTCTTCGCAGGACACCAACTACTCAACAACGCTCCCTGCGAACAAGTCCTCCCTCCATTCTCGACATCTCTCGACACCATCGCCAACATGAGCTCGACCGAAGCGAACCCGGCTGTTGGCAAGGCTTCAAGATGGTATCCGGCTGAAGATACACCTCAGCGCAAGAAGGTGAGTGCGCTCGCATGTGATGACGGCGAGATGCTTGTCAACCATGATGGCTTTGACGCCGTCATCCCGAACCTGTTTACATATAACTAACATCGTTCTAATAACAAGGCCCGGAAATCGATCAAACCCCATCAAACCCGAGCCTCGCTACAACCCGGAGCCGTCCTGATACTGTTGGCTGGACGCTTCAGAGGACGCCGAGTGATCCTGCTCAAGCACTTGAAAGAAGGAACACTCTTGGTTACCGGTCCTTTTAAGATCAAGTAAGCCTCGTCGTGCTCGATGATTCGATTTGTCAGTGCTAACGATACGAACAGTGGTGTCCCAATCCGCCGAGTCAACGCTCGCTATGTCATCAGCACCAGCACCAAAGTCGACATTAGCGGACTTGACCAGTCGACCCTAGACAAGATCGCCAAGCCCGAATACTTCGCCCGGGAAAAGAAAAGCAAGAAGGAGAAGGGTGAGGATGCTTTCATGAAGCAGGGAGAAAAGCCAGAGGTGGGAATCACACACTGAGAGTCTAATGAGCGAGAAACTGACGGTCTTGCAGAAGAAGCAACCCGCATCCGAGCGCGCGTCCGACCAGAAGGCCATCGACAAGCCTCTCCTTTCCGCAATCAAGAACGAGGAATTCCTTGCCAGCTACCTGCGATCCAGCTTCAGCCTGAGACACGGCCAACGACCACACGAGATGGTTTTTTAAACAACTCAATACGAAACCGGGGCCATGCGATGAGTGGCCGTGAACTGGAGAGTCACGGGGTAGAATGAAGGTAGATGGGCGTTGTCTGTGTGCTTGCGTGGTGGTCTTCAAGCAATGACTCTATTCCGAGAAAACAGACAAACACAATGTGATGGGCCACGGCATGATTGACCATGAGGGTAAATTCCATGGACCATGCTACGCTGAGCTGTTCATGTGCCAAAAAAGCCAGAACCAAAGAAAGAATGATTCTGCAGAGCCGATGCCTTGAATCAAGTTTCAGGATTCTTGCCAAATGATAAGCGACATGAAATCTATTCCTCCATCATTGACTTACATCTATGTGAATTTCAATTGGCTTTTGCAGGAGCAGGAGCAGGAGCACTATTTGTGGCAGGCACCTTCGCAGCCTTAGCAGCTCTCCGTTCGTCCCTCAACTTCTTTCGGATGGTCCTTAGATCCGGCGGCTGCTCGACCCCAAGCCTCTTGCGCAAGTCAGCAACGTCTGTTTCCAGCTCTTCCTCCCAGTATACGCTGATTAGATCCTTACTGCGCCAACCGTTCGAAAATGCCCATGGCAGGAAGATCTGGAACATTCGCTGGCGCTCGGCAGGCTTGAGGCGCACTATGGCGGCCAGGCTGAGCCCGGTCATCGGCAGGCCAGTATTTGCGAATTCGAACGCCTTCAGCCCGAGTTCTCCTTCGACCCAGACGGGTAGGCCCGTTACGGCGTGATAGAAATCATGGCACTCGCGATACCGCTGCATCACGTACGCCTCTTCTTCGTCGTCAATGTAGCGGACTGCATCTCGAGTGTCTGGCGTGACTCCTTCGCGATCTAGCCAGGCTGCGTATGCTCTTCCCACGCTGTTCTCCGGCAGCTTTCGTAGCATCTCCAATGGCATGCTCTTGGATGTAATTCTCGGCCGGTCTCTCAGTATTCTTCTGCCTGTAGGATCAGAAAGCATTCTCTTCCGTAACCAGGAGATGAAGAACGGCTGCGCTGTCGCCTCACCCAGTGCCGCCACCATATCATGGCGGTAGGGATCTATCAGCGATGTGATTGCGCTACCGACTGCTAGGCCAATACGCTCCACGGACGTGAGCGGTACATGGCCGGGGTAGTTTGGCGGAGGGCGGTTGAGGACGGAGAAAGGTCGTCGATGTGAGGAAGATTGTTGATTGCTGTCACTCAGTCGGTGTAGTGGACGGGTACAGTTCGCGCATGTTGGCTGGGAGAGTCGTAGGATCGAAGAGAAGATTGCGAGATCTCGTTGTCTGCTCGAGAGTGGAAGCTTCATGCTGTAGAGTAATACAGGTGCACCCTCTTCGTTCGAGCAGAGTTGCTCCTCGCAGAGTCTTTGTAGTACGTAGGACAAGATTCCAAGGTCACGTAAGGTATCCTTGTACCAGTATTCTTGTCAAAGGTGCTCAGTACCTATGCTCTAGTGGGTTTCACTGAGACTCTGGTACTTTCTCTTCTGCGACAGAATAATACCTACATCAAGCCATTGGTAGATGTGTCGTAGAAACATTGCACAGGGTCGGAGAAGATCTCCTGTCACTCCACCTTGCATTGGAGATCGCCTACCAAGCGGACCGCAATGCTAATTAGCCGCTCTCCCACCTCTCGCGTCGTGTGCTTGAACAGCATATGTAGCTGCATATGGGCAATGTCTGTGCAGATGCGTGACGTTATAGGAAGTCAGCAATCGTCTTCACAGACTCAATCTCGAAGTTTGGTCTAGGCTTGTCGAGCAGACAGGGCATATGGGATCACCTGGAAACTAGGTAGACCTCATATCTATTAAAACGTCTATCAGATGTTGATCTTGTATGATCCCTGGTCCTGGGCAGACCCAAGGGACAAGTCAAGCTTCTGCTCATGGACTTCCATTCAATACCTCGCCCAATTAGGACTCTATATTCAGCATCGCAACCTTCTGTCAACAACTCGACCGAACTCGAGAGGCTTACCAGGTCCAGGCCAAGCACGCGATTGTACCCTCCTCAGGTCTTTGATTTGGTGGGCAAAGGCCTTCACCCGGTGTTGACAGCGTAAGATGGCTTCGATCCCACAAGTGGAGCCTTCTTGCAAGAATGTACAATAAAGGCCATAGTTGTATCAGTAGGGCTTGCCAACGTTTTTGTAGGTTGCTGGATTGTGGCTTGTCGTAGTTGCATTGGTGACATCTGCGCTCAGCGAAGGGTGAGCTAGAACTCGAGGTCAGCTTGGCAGCATTCTGTCATGTTAGATCCTCTCATCTCTCCATGGCGACTGAGAATAGAGATGCGAAGGGATATTGGGAAATGCGCCTTGATATGGACGAAGCAACGCTTCCAGGCAGCAAAGTCAACAAAACAAGCGATCTTAACGGAAGCGGATGGTCATGATGGATTCGCTCCCATTCCCTAGATATGTACAATTCTGCGCAGCTTTCTTAGCCACTCGCCGCGACCTTCTCTTTTAATGTGGGGTGCTACAGCCCATCCATGAAAGATGTAAGTTGCTTAATATCCCTCTTTTCCCCACTTGTTCAGCTTGTCGTGGATGTCCTAGGCAGAACAGTTAGACCGGAATCAACTCGAAAAGAAACCAAACCCACCTTTGGCAACGTAACACTAGGGACAATAACTGTGTTCAATGCGCTTGGAGCATTCCTAGGAGCTTGTGACCGATCTCCTTTGGGGTGGTACTGATATTTGAACTGCTTGGATTCATCATCATCGACATGGTCGACCTGCCACGGCATCGAACTGTTGGCAACGGAGACTTCGGCTTCTGAGGTAGCGGAGGTAGGCTTGCGGCCAAAGTAGAAACCTGCCAACCCAAAGGCGCCACACATGACACCTAGAAGGACCTATTCATGATCAATGCCTGATCAATCAAGCGAGCTGGGCTGCTGGACGTACATAAAGCTCCGGGTCTCGTTTTGGTGCCTTTCTCAAATTCTGCTCCTGTCCAGCATGTTTGGGAGCTCGTCGAGCCAGGGTAGGAGCAAAAGCTGCTCGCCGAGCGAGGGTAGGGACGAAGGACATCTTGGACGTATCGACAGTGGACTTCGGAGGGGAGAGTGTGGTTGTCAAGGTGGTTTGGACGCAAGGCAAGGTGAGTGGTGTGAGCCAGCCGTTGAAAGATACAGTGATCGCAGTTGCAGCTCCGAATCCAGTTTAGCTCCTCAGTCAATCTTTCACGTGACCATTCGTCGTAGTCAGCCAGCGAGCCAGGAACAAGCCGGAAATGACAGGCCGCTACGAGGATTTGTCTGGGTTGCTTGTACCCCTAAACTCCGGAATTGCGTAGGTCGGTCTCTTCATTTCATTTCTCGTTTCTTGTGCAGCCTCACTTTAACTGCCCATCCTGCGCTTCACCTTCACCCTCACCTTCACCTCCATCATCATGGCCAATCCCCTCGTTTTGCGACCAACAGCGCGCTCTACATAGCGACGACATCACAACAGTCATTCCTTCTCAGCCATCGACTACTCTTCGACTTTCGCCTACTTCTCGTTGTGGACCTCAATCTACCTTCCCCGGGTTCAGCAGCGTCACCCTGGTACTACCTAGACGATATGCGCTCAATGTCACACCGGTGACGCGACAGCTCTACCCATAATACTCCCTCAAACCCAAACAGATGGCTGGAAGACCCTCTACCGCAAGGAGTGAAATCTCTTCTGCCATTTCCGACGATGGATTCGGTTCGCGACCGCAGTCGGGCGTCAATCCCTTACCTTCCTTGCCAAACCCTCCTGCTTCTCAACATGGCTACGCTCATTTAAGGGGCATCACTCAGCCCACAAATCGCTCTGTAAGGAGCAATCCTGCACCTTCGAGTACGGCCGGGTCCAGCAGACCACAAAGCCCTGTCAGTCAGGCCAGTCGCACCCATGTCCCATCACTGACGGCACAAGGCTTCTTCAAGCCCATGAGCTCGCAAAGATTGCAGGCGCAAAGATTGAAAAGACCTCTGGGAACCAGGACCATGCAACCTCCTGTTCCAATACCAGATGGGGAAGGCGATGATGATGCTCGGAGTCTGGCGTCTAGCAGACAGGGACCGTTTCATGCAATGCCGAAGAACCATCGACCAGCGCCCTCAATCACGACCGAAGACACTCAATCAGAAGCGCCCGAGACTGTCGATGCGCCGTTTCCCGACTATTCTTCTCATAATGATGGGGACACAGTGCTGGTTGGCGGAGCCATCCCAGAGAAACAACAACACCGTCCTTCTCGACTCAACATAGCAAGCACTCACAAAGTTGGTGACCCACCTCAACGGTCGCCGCTTTCATTCCGATCTGGTCTCAGTTTGGGAAGTAAACATCGTTTGGAAGCCGGCCATCAACATCTTCCGTCAACCACCACTTCCCCTCGGTATGCACCGGAGACAAATGCAGAGGTGGCACGCCGAAGCGCGTTGGGCAAGAACTATGAGTACTTCGAGGGTAACACCATCTTCTGGTGGGGTGGACGTCTTCAAAACGCCCGTGATCGACCTATCAATGTGCTCACTGGGGTAGTCGTGGTCCTCCCAGCAGTTCTCTTTTTCGTTTTCTCGTGAGTAATTGAGGATTGCGGCGTTTCGGAAGTTGACTGACCATCCTGTAGAGCTCCTTGGCTGTGGCATCACGTTTCGCCAGCGATCCCTATTATTTTCGCATATCTCTTTTTCGTTTGTTTGTCTTCGTTTCTCCACGCGTCACTCGTTGACCCCGGGGTGAGTAATTGATCTGGTTCGGGTTCCGATGCGTGCTGACAATGTCAGATATTTCCTCGAAATATTCACCCTTTTCCACCAGAGGAAATCGACGACCCATTAGCCCTCGGACCGCCGACTAACGACTGGGTCATGGTCCGACTGGCAACTTCTACTACAGCAGCGATGGACGTGCCAGTCAAGTATTGCAAGACATGCAATATTTGGCGGCCGCCTCGTTGCTATCATTGCCGTGTTTGCGACAACTGTGTCGAAACTCTGGACCACCATTGTGTCTGGATCAATAACTGCGTAGGGCGACGCAACTACCGTTACTTTTTCGCCTTTGTCAGCACAGCGACTCTTACAGGTCTTTTCCTGGCGTTTGCGTCTCTGGGTCAGGTCATCGCCTATCACAATCAGAGACACGTTTCAATCGGGACAGCAATAGACAAAAACCGAGTCCCGTTCGCCATGTTCATCTATGGTCTTCTTGGCTTCCTGTACCCGTTGTCGTTGTGGATTTACCATTTATTGCTTACAGCGAAAGGCGAGACAACGCGAGAATATCTTGCATCTCGAAGATTCCCTAAAGCTGAACGACATCGTCCGTTCACACAAGGCAATTTTATCAAGAACTGGATCTCGGTTCTGGCTAGACCGAAGCCTCCAACTTATGTTCATTTTAAGAAGCAGTATGAAGAGGGAGACCAGCGGTTTGGGTCACGGAGGGGCCAGCGTCAAGCCAAATTGAATGGCGAGGCACAGAATGGAGGGATGGAAATGAAGCCAGTGCAAGGAGCACCGAAGACTTTTGAAGGTCCCACAGGAAGAATCCCCAAGAAGTGAGCGAGATGAATCTGTACAGTAATTGGCTCTTGAGCAAGTGTATATCAATTCGAGAGAGAACCCATCCATTATGCACCCGAGGTCTGATAATGAGGTGAAACAGTTTCGCCAGCGCTTGGAACACCCTGACCAACAGAGTGTCAGTGTGACACCGAGTTGCTAGGCATGCAGTGGATGCTTGATGTTTGAAAATAGTTCGAAAGGGGAATGTTGTCGTCTTGGGTCGCTTCGTGGTCTGTTCCCTTGCGATTGGCGGATACCCCTACAGTTTTGGCGTCGTTCATACTATGGTACAACAGCAACTATTTCGCCGTTTCTCAACACCAGCCTCATAATCGCACTTCACTCTTCGCTTTCACGCGTTTGTCTTACGGCAGCGTCTTGTGAAAGTCAACGTACCGTTTTCTTAGCAGATGCACCCTTCCTTCTCGGCCCCTTGACGCGTTCACACTTGGGTACCCCTCCCAGCCTCACTCACAATGCCTCTACGCCAAAGCCTCTTAAATTTCTACAAGTCTCGAACTGAGAATCTCAAGTCCAAACCTGCAGAGCCTTCTATCACGCGTCCCAACATGACCCGAAGTGCCAGCTCGACCTCTTCAGACACAGATCCTGATACCATCGTGGTGTCATCCCATCCGCCAGCTCAATTACCTACTCCCTCCGAGAGCTCGTGTGACGTGTCTATCTTGGATGCTGAGGTCCTCAAGATGAAACAGGTGCCTAAAGGACGGGCACGACGCGTCAGTTCACGACTGACAAAGAGCGGTAGCCAGGATGGTCTGGTAGCAAACATTGAGGATGACGATGTCAAGAACAGAAACGTTAGCGGCAAGACCTTGGTCGACTTGGATAATGCAAGCCAGTCAACGCTGGTCAAGGATGGTATTGCCGCCTTGGACATTCCCTGGAACATGAGCGAGGTGTTTGCACAAGGAGGCAAGAAAGACTTGTTGGACAGCAAACATGACACGACAATGGAAGACGCAGATTCTACAATGGGCCTTGAAGACGAGGATGACGAAGTGCGAAAGGAAAAGGCTGCAGCAAAGAAGGCAAAGATAGAAGAGAATAACAGGATATGGGAAGAAAAACGCCGGGCTGCAGAGAAACAAGCCACCAGACGATCTTCGCGTGTGCCAGTTCTTGACAAAGCAGGAGAACTGGTCGCCAACATTGCAAGCAGTGTTCTTGGAAAAAGGAAAGACAGAGCTGGGAGAAGAAGCATGGCCAACCTACCGTCCGAGGCTGCTCAAGAGCCTGATTCGAAGAGACGACGTGTTAGCCACGGTGATGCTCTGACGCTTGAGGAACCTGTTCACAAGAAGCTGCCAGCTCGACGACAAGAGAAGAAATGGCTATCATCAGGTCTCTACGCCGGTCAACCGAGGATTTTTGACGGTCGTCTTACCGAGAGCAAGAACCGACGCAAGAGCACGCAAGCCGCTGAGCCGATCAAGGAGAACAAGGTGCTCCCGCTCCCTATGTTTGCTGGTGAACGCCTTCTCAAGCAGGGCCGCGACTTCAAGTTGCCTTTCGATATCTTCTCACCGCTTCCTCCTGGTCAGCCCAAGCCTGATGAATGGAAGAAAGTGAACAAGAATGTCTTTGTCGGCGACGCAGCTCAATCGTGGCGAGTGTCGAAATTTGAAGAACACTCCAGCTGCTTGTGCAAGCCGGAGAATGGCTGTGACCACAATTGCCTTAATCGCTACATGTTCTACGAATGTGATGAGCGGAATTGCAACCTGACTCCTGAGCAATGTGGAAATCGCTCCTTCGAAAAGCTACGACAACGAGTCAAAAAGGGTGGAAAGTACAATATCGGTGTGGAAGTGATCAAGACTGACAACAGAGGATATGGAGTTCGAAGCAACCGAACATTCGAGCCGAATCAGATCATTGTTGAGTACACTGGAGAAATCATCACACAAGAAGAGTGCGAAAAGAGAATGAAGACAATGTATAAAAATAACGAGGTAAGACGGTCAGTTGGGTTCAGGTGTGCTTGACTAACATGATATAGTGTTACTATCTCATGCTGTTCGATCAGAACATGATTATCGATGCTACCCGTGGGTCAATTGCACGATTTGTCAACCACTCATGCGCTCCCAACTGCAGAATGGAGAAGTGGACGGTCAATGGAAAACCACGAATGGCCCTCTTCGCTGGTGATCGTGGCGTCATGACGGGGGAAGAACTGACCTACGACTATAACTTCGACCCTTACTCCCAGAAGAATGTGCAAGCATGCAGATGTGGTGCCGAAAATTGCCGTGGTGTTCTTGGACCGCGAACGAAGGAGGACCGAAAGCAGAAAACCCCTGAGGGGGATAACAAGAAGATCGGAAAATTGGCTGGAGCCAAGAGGAAGATCGCGGAAGCAATTGAAGAAACTACGAGCCGTGTCACGAAGAAGGCCAAGCTTTCCCAACCCAAGGCGAAGGTCTACAGGTCCAGCGGTCTGGGTAGCCCTCTCAACGTACGAAAGGTGAAGCTCATGAAGAAGGCTGTTTCTCGAAAGACCAGCGCCACTGCTATTGGATTTGCAAGACGGCCATCGAAGCTTAAGAAGTTGGTCGAAAGTGCGAAGAGCAAGACGGTCAAGCAACGAGTTGTCTCCACATCATCATCGACGGCGTTGATTGTGAAAGAGAATCCCAAGGAAACAGCGAAGCCGCTTTCGAGATCTTCTAGCTTGCGAGACAAGGCTTCCAGCGTCAGGAGTCGAGTTGTTAGGACTGTTCGTGGGAGTCAAAGTGGAAGGAGCAGAACTATTCGAGCCGTTGCTGATGAGGCAGAGGAATTGTGAACGGTGAAACATGGCTGTCGGCGTTTGTGACGGGGACTATTCTATGATGAGGTTGGTCGAAAGTATGAAGGACTTTATACATCATGAAGAAGGTGGGAGTGGTAAGGTGGACGCACGAATCATTGGTGTCGGCTCGGCTCGTCGGGTCCAGCAATATTGGGAAGTTCAACGAAGGTGGTTGAATGACGAAAGGATCCTCATCGGCGGACTTCTCCTGTGCGGAGAAATTCAGCAGTGATACAGTGATTCTACAAGACTTCGAGGCAGCAACGAACAAGAGGAGCTGTTTATTCTTTCTACTTCAAAGCTCCTCCAGCTCATACAGGCCCTGTAGCACTTGTTACCCACTAAGCACGACAACTAAGCACGTTCGATTTTGAACAACTGGTAAGAAACATGGCATCTAAACCATCCCCTTTCGCCTCCATTATCAACAAACACCGCCCGGCCCTTGCCTCCTACGAGGACCTATATAAACACTGCCATGCAAATGGCGAGCTCTCCACCCAGGAGCGCGAGACGGCCGCGCTGGTCACTTCGCATCTCAAGAAACTCCTCGGGGGTGGTGATCTGGACATACGCCCCAACATAGGCGGACATGGACAGATCGCCATCCTCCGAAATGGTGAGGGCAAGACTCTACTTCTGCGTGCCGACATCGACGCTCTGCCCGTGCAGGAGAAGACCGGGCTGCCCTACGCCAGTACCAAGACCATGACCGACACAGATGGGCAAGTGAAGCCTGTTATGCATGCGTGCGGTCACGATTTCCATGTAAGTCTGTCCCTCCTCGTTCTCGAAGGATCGTGGTTCCTGACACATGATAGATCACGGCAATGCTCGCTGCCGCGGAGACACTACTGGCGAGTCGAAGCCACTGGTCCGGCACCATCGTCTTCCTCTTCCAGCCTGCCGAGGAAAGAGGCAGCGGGGCGCGTGCCATGATCGACGATGGACTCTATGATCAGTCTAAGCACGCATGTCCGATTCCTGACGTCGTGCTAGGTCAGCATGTGTTCCCCTTGCAAGCGGGCAAGACAGCCACGCGCGTGGGGAGTGTCATGAGCGCGGCGGATAGTTTCAAGATCACGATCTACGGATCGGGCGGGCACGGGAGCATGCCACACAAGACGATCGACCCGGTGGTTATTGCCAGCTATATCGTCGTGCGGCTACAATCTATCGTGAGCAGGGAAGTCCCGCCAGATGAGACGGCCGTTGTCACAGTCGGAGCACTGCAGGCCGGGAGCACGGAGAACATCATCAGTGACGAAGCGGTGATAAAGATCAATATTCGGACTGTGAGCACCGAGTGGAGAGACCGCATACTAGCGAGTGTGAAGAGGATTGTAGACGCAGAGTGTATGGCGGGACGGTGTCCAAAGCCTGCACTGATCGAACCGACGAGTCGGTTCCCGCTGACTGTGAACGATGAGAGTGTTACAAAGGTGGTGAGTGGGGGCTTGAGTGCGTATTTTGGAGACGAGCATGATCCGAATGTGAAGAATGTGTTGGGAAGTGAGGATTTTGGACTCCTGGGAAGTAGTATCGACAGGCCGTATTGCTTTTGGTTCTTTGGCGGGCATGGCAGAGAGTACTACGACAGCATGGTGAAGGAAGGCAAGGAGCATGAAATCCCGGTCAATCATAGTCCCTTCTTTGCGCCGGTGGTGCAGCCGACGTTGAAGACGGGAGTTGATGCCATGGTGGTGGCCGCGTTGAGCTTCCTGGGGAAGTGAACGGCAGCTATGGCACGAGAGGTAGAAAGGAAAAGGCGCACGCTGTGTGTTCGGGTCGAAGTCTACACGAGACTGGTAGTAGAAGAAGTCCATAGGTACCTATCACCCAGGTGAGAGATGGTGTTGAACATCCCGATCCCAGGTTGGATCCTCGGACGATGTTGGCTCAATTACTACCTTGGTTATTAGTTAGTACTCGTATCTATCCCCTGCACGCCGCTGCTTTCTATCGTCCTTGGAATCTTCTTTGGGCACTACTTCACTTTGGAAATCTGTTCTGACTCGAGAAGATACGGGATCAATGAATCACATTTGTCATCACCAAGGCCCTGAGCAGCAAAGTGTGAGGTCTGCCGGCATCGGCAAAGGCACGCCATCGACCTCCTGCGGAGAATGGCCGATCAACGACATGGCTTCTTGGATGTGATATAAACAGCTTTCTTCCCCAGAGAGTCATCGACCCCACCTGGAATCCTGTAGCTCAGCTTCATATGCCATAGGACGGACCCCTCGACCATATATACTGCTATCTCCTTGCTCCCTACATGAGACCTTGGATGCACACACCCACCCGACGTCTTCACTCGCTAGCCCTCAACCTCTCCCGCCCGAGCACCATATCACAACAACAGCAACTCTCGGCCTCAAGCTCGAGATCAACATCAACCATGTCCAACGCTGACAAGATCAAACTCGCCATTCTCGACGACTACGCCTCCATCGCCCCAGCCCATTTCTCTTCCATCACATCCCACGTCGAAATCCACAGCTTCCCGGAAACCCTGAACGCACGCATCACATCGGAGCATGACGCCCTCATCAAACGTCTCGAGCCGTTCACAATAATATCATCCATGCGCGAACGGACACAGTTCCCACGCTCCGTGCTCTCGTCTCTGCCAAACTTGAAACTCCTATTAACAACAGGCATGAAGAACGCGGCCATCGACATCTCCGCGTGCACGGAGCTCGGTATTACAGTTGTCGGGACCGGCCCCAAGCCAAATGCCGTCAAGGGCTACGACGCCACGAACGAAATGACGTGGGCGCTTATCTTGGGCTTGACGAAGGACTTGGTTGGTGGCGACGCGGTCGTCAAGGGTAGCCCCAACGGGTGGCAGAGCAGTCTTGTATCCGGCCTCTCTGGGAAAACGTTGGGCTTGCTCGGCCTCGGCAGACTGGGCACCCAAGCCGCCGCGACGGGCATGCTGGGCTTCGGCATGGACGTGCTCGCGTGGAGTAGCAGCCTCACGCAGGACAAGGCCGACGAAGCGGCAAAGTCGCGCGGTCTGCCGGCGGGGAGTTTCAAAGTCGCGGGTTCCAAGACCGAGCTGTTCGAGAAGGCGGATGTGTTGAGCGTGCATTACGTGCTCAGCGACCGGTCAAGGGCCATCGTTGGAAGTGAGGAGCTAGGTGCCATGAAACCCAGCGCGATACTGGTGAATACATCGAGAGGCCCGCTCGTCGATGAAAGCAGCTTGGTCCAGGTGCTGGAGGCCGGCAAGATCAGGGGTGCGGGATTGGATGTCTTTGATACGGAGCCACTACCGGGAGACAGCCCGTGGCGCAGGGATGGGTATTGGGGGAGTAACGGGAGGAGCAAGCTATTGCTCAGTCCGCATATGGGGTACGTCGAGGAGGAGACGATGCACGCTTGGTATGAGCAGCAGGTGGCGGCGGTCAAGGCGTGGTTGAAGGGGGAGGGTATCAAGGGAGTGATCTGTTAAGGGTAGGAAAATGCTTCCCTCATGTCTTGAAATCTCAATGCATTATCAATTGTCTAGCTATGCGATGATGGTGACGATGCTTCACGAGTGGTCGGTCGAGGTGACTACCATTCCAACTATAAACTATCATCGTTTTTGAGCTGCACCTTAATAGCGCCACTCTTGGGGTCACTCGCCGTCTTGAACGCGGCGATGGCATCACTCATGTTGAAGCGATGAGTGACCAATTTATCCAGGTTGATCACACCGTTCTCCACCAGTCGAATGGCCTTGGGCCACGTATTGCAGTAACGGTACTGGTACTGCAGGTCGATCTCCATCACACTCAGTCTCATGAACGGCACCTTCATCTCGTTCTTGCCCACCCCAATGATGAAGACCTTGCCGCCAAACCTGACGCTCCAAATGGCACTGGCGACACTCGATTCGACGCCTGTGCATTCCATCGCCACTCGAGGTCTGGCGCCACCCATGGCTGAAATGATGCCTTCGGCGCATTCTTCAGGCGACTTGCCCATGGGGATCTTGAACGTAGAAACCCGCGGAACGAGCGATTTGGCAAACTTCAATCTGCCCTCATCGATATCCGTGATGACAATCGGGCACGCGCCGGCTGCCTCGCAACACAGCAGCGTCACAAGACCGATTGGGCCGGCGCCGCATATCAGGACGGGATCACCGAGACGGACTCCTGCGCGGTCCATTCCTGCTAATGCGACCGAGAGGGGTTCCAATAGACTGCCATTTTCGTAGCTCATGTCCCCGATCTTGTGGCACCATACAGCCGGGTGTTTGACGTATCGTCTCAGCAGACCGTCGATGGGAGGCGTGCTCAGGAACTCGACGCTCTCGCAGCCGTTGTATCGTCCCGTCAGGCACGGCTCGCATTTGAAACACGGGATGTTGGGCTCGATGGCCACTCTGTCGCCGGGCTTTAAGGACGTGACCGAAGGGTGCACCGAGAGGATGATGCCTGCTGACTCGTGACCGAGAATATGGTCGCCCCCCACGATCATGGGTCCTATACATCCTGCGTGCCAGAAGTGCACGTCTGAACCGCAGATCCCGGTCGATTTGACCGCAAGGTATACTTCTCCCTCTTTCAGATGTTTGCCCGCTTGCACATCGGAGAGGGTGGGTGTGGTCTCGGCTACCCAGAGGTCATGTTTGGGGTTTGTGAAGACGCCGATGTTCGACTTGGTGGGCTGCAGTTCGGTGGTGCTCATCGTGTCGGTTGGTGTGCCGGTGGTTGTGGTGGTGGTTGTTGCGGTTGCGGTTGCTGGTGCTGGTGCTTGGACTGCGTGATGGACACACCAAGACACACGATGTGATGATGGACAATGGCGTGCGGGAATCCTATTCCAATGAGGAGCGCAGACACAAAGATATCACAACCTGCTTCAACAAGGGCAGGGAGGGCGTAGGAGGGTCGAGGGGGAGGAAATGGGATGTGGCCCGGTAGATGTGGCCAGGTTGAGCATCTTATACCTACCTAGGTACTACTGTGCAGGTGGCCAACAACTGGTACAAGGCCAGTTGACCACGACCAGCGAAAGCAGATGTACTCCGTACCACAGTACGAGTATCCAGTCACCAGTTTCCTCGCTGTCTGGGTGGCTGTGGCATTGGAGAAAAAGCAGAAGGCGGGCCGTGTATGTCTCTATCACAATCCCCCACCCCCACCCAAGTGCCACCCAAACATCCCTCCACCGGCGCACCTCTCCCCCCCCTGACCGCCGCGGCATTGCCCTTTTCGTCAGCTTTTCTCTGGCGGGCCATATCGCACCGGACACCCAAGGAGGTTTTCAAGCACCGCAGCCTCGTTCAGGCTTTCATCGACCCAGACGACTCGGGACTGTGCTTGGTGCTCCAGGTCAAGTCTCCGCATCATGACTGTTTGGCTCGAGCTCAAGCTTGACTACGGAGGCCTTCTGACCTGGTCACGGGCAGCCATTTGCTTGGCCAGCATTCACCCAACGGTGCGATACCGTGACAGCGAAAGCCACGCGGACAGAGCCGTGTCGCTGAGGCCTCGACATGTCAACAAGTGGTGAAAATGTCCTGCTTCTCTACAAGGTCAGCAAGGAGGACCCTGTTGGAGCAAACTGAACTCTTCGGATATTCACGCAGGGTGCTCGGGAATATGCATCCAGTAAGAAGGTGATCAAGCAAATATGAGAAGCTGCACCTTGCAAGATCTGCAGCCATGCACTATCTTGACACGGTTGAATGTGTATCTGTCTTTGAAGCCCATTAAGCAATACAGTATTAACCCTTGAGCTGGTCAAGGCTATGAGCAGTGAAAGTGAGCTTACCGAATTGGCAGTGACAATGAATCACAAGATGAGATTCACTGCTTGACAACGAACACCTGCCCACCTGGTGTCACACTCACATGGATGGTGTTACTACGTTGCTGGACGGTTTATCTAGAGTCGTAGGTACAAACGGACGTTCTCTTTTCTCTCTTCCGCCGGCGCCTATAAAAGGCTCTCTTGCACCTGGCGATGTCGAGACCACTAAAACCACAAATCCAACACCCCCCAGCACTGGCAACATGGACTACACCGCTTACGCCGGTGTCTCAGATCCGAACCCAGGACATCCAGCGAGAAGCAGAGGCCCATTCAAGGCCAAAGTACTCGCAGAATTCTGTAGCCCGTATTGCTCCATCGGTCAGCAGCAACCCTACGGCCCTTGCTTGCTGGACGTGACCATCAAGCATGATGGGAGCCGTCTTGTCATGATCAACAAAGCGAGACCAATCATCGATCTGCAAGGAGCATACGAGAAAGGTGTACCGATCGGATTACCACAAATCTCCATACAAGACCTAAGCCATCCAGGTCAGGAACCCGCATTTTCTCTCCAGCTCGATCTCTTCTTCGCGGAAGATCTTTTTCGCCGTATTGACATTTCACAATATGGCTTCGACCCGCTGCAGGCTGTGTACATCGATCCAAAGGAAGGCTTCAAGTTCACGTACACTCTGAATCAGCCGCTCGAGTATGTCCATTCGAGAGCATTATGTGGCATGATGTCACTGCGAAGCCATTACAAATTGGAAGTCGGTCCTCCTGGAAAGCCAAAGTATGAAGAGCGCCAGTATCCATATGAGGCGGCTCATTTCGAGACGGTGCCTATCGAGCTGGAGGCGACTACCAGAGGACGATTTGAGTTGGTGGATTGAAGGCTGGCTTGTTGTTGGGGGTTCTTTTCGACAGCACAATCAATCAACGACTAGACTTGCTACACTAGCGACATGGCAACACCAGGTTGGGAGGCCGGGGAGGCATTTGCCGCCGCCATGCTTGGTCGATAGATTCTCTTGGGCGCCCGTGAGTCTTCTGTCATGCGGCAAAATGTCCATAAAACACTCGATTTCGTCCTCTCTCTTGTCGAGCCCAAGGGGTCTAGATGGGAGGAACCAAGCATTCCGTGCCAAGCTCAGGGAAGTTTGACACATCCAGGCAATGCGACCTTGGTCTCAGTCGTCTTCATCCTCATTGGAGCCTTGAGAAGGTGGCAATGAGGCATTGGTGGCTTTCTTTCGAGGCCCACCAGGCCGTACTCCTCCTCTACCACCTCCTCTGTGTGGATCCGGCCGCCATTGACTTCGCGGCAGCGGGTTTGCTGGTACTGGTGTTTGTGGAGGAACAGCTCGCTCGGTGATGGTGTTGGCGGTGGTGGTCCTCTTCCGGAAGACTAACCAGGGTGACTTGGCACGTTTGTTATGCCTAGGCTCATGGTCTGGCACAGAGAATGGCACTGGGTGATTCATTGGAGGAATCACAGGAGTATACCCAGGTTGTTTCTCGAGTTCTTTGGTCTTGGCTCTCCATTCCTTCTTGACGGCCAGGAACTTCCGGGACATTGCCAGTCTGTTATCTTCGGTTTCGAAAGTCAATTCAACCTGTACGAACTCGGACACGAAGCCTGATTGCTGCTCCATTGAGCGGAGGATTTCAGGGCAAAGTGGTACACCAGGGTATGTACCCTGCTCCCGGAAATCTGGCTGTCGGAAAAAAGAGGCCGTAAATGAAGGGTCTCGACTCGCTGTCCGTGGAACGAATCGCATTGCAGTAGGGGATAAATCTGTCCGGTCTGGATCTTCAAACCAGTTCTTGTCCACTGGGCGCTCTTCGTCAGCTGCATCGCAGGAAAGTAATAGGGCCGGCTCTTGCTCATACCTAAGATAGTAATGAAAGCCTTTAATTTGCGAATGAATATCACAAGACGACGAGGTGGGACGATGCGATAATCGGCTCGTTGATGAGGTTGGATTCTCACAGGACGCGTGGGAGTCGTGGCCGGAAGCAGGCTCTTCTGTCGAGCCTTGTTTGCAAGTCAATTGAAGAGTCTAAAGTCAATAAGAAGATGGTGGTGATCTACTGACCTCAAAGTCCGAACCAGACTGTTCAACCCAGAGTTGCACCCGGCCCATACCAAGGTCCAAATCATCTTCTTCATCTTCAAGTCGGCGGATAAAGTGCGCGAATTGCTGGGAAAGGGACTTGTGTCTTCGATATCTTATATTCTTCACTGCGAAGCTGGCCGAAGTCAGTATTTGCAAGGGTTGTCCGATTTGTTGACCTACTTGGCCTCGATTGTGTGTCCAGTCAGCTGCTCCTGCATGGTAAGGGCGCCTTCAGGATCATCAGCTTCCAAGCACAATCCGACGTGGGACGGGGGACAACCTTTTTCTTCGGTGAAGCCGAATATTGATCCGACGTACTTGGAAATACCGGAGTGATCGAGGTCAGAGAAGTAGATGGCCTCTTGGGAGCTCCATGGAGCAAAGGGGTCGTAGAAAGCATATGCCGGGACCAGTCGAACTCTTGCCCTTTTGACTGGGTCATGTCAGCAACGGCGAGCAGTCAATGCTTCAAATGTTGAACTCACGATATTCTTCACTGACGACATGGCTTGTCACAGTACATATCCTAAGATTTGACTGAGCGTCTTCAAACACTCCAATCTTGGCCCGTTTCCACTGCTGATGTCTCCAGTGCCACGGTCTAGACAAGCGTCAGCGGCTGCTATTCTGGGCGGTTGGACCGAAGTGAGTTCTGTCTGTCATCACTCACCGTATGCATTGCAGCTCAGGCTCTCCGATTGAGGTTTCTCCTGACTCAGCAACAATTTGCTGTCCCTGTGCGTCGTCGTTCGATTCTTCTATGACTGATTCCAGTAATCGAATAACTTCACCGATGTCGATCCGGTCATCGGCTTTCGGTTTCAGCATTTTCTTGATCACATCCACGATCCGGCTCACGAAAGAAAGACTGCTTGACCGTTGTTGCAAAGACTCGGTTGCCTCCAAGAACCGCATGAAATCAAAAACCGCCGGCTTGACTCCATATTCACCTCTGTCACCTTCTCGATACCATAATGCATCGTCCTCTTGACCGCCGGAAGAAGAGCTGGTGCGCCGTATCTGGTCCAAGCCTGGGTAGTCATCGCGGCCATTCAAGCCGCGGGGGCCAAGGAGAGCAAAGGCAAGAACTTCCAGAGCGATGCAGCCAAGCGACCAGATATCGTAGCGACGACTGGATTTCGCGTCAATGTTATCCATTTCTGGAGGTGCATATGCCAGGGTGCCCCCTTGGTTGACCACACGAGAGGAGCTGTCGCTCGTTGGTCGGAAGACTGTTTGCCCGAAGTCAGATATCATCCACACATTCTTGTCATTAATCAAGATATTTGATGGTTTGAGGTCGAAGTGAACGCCACGATGTTCCGGACGGGGATGCTGAGGGAAAAGAGAATCGGTTCCTTGGGGGCCACCGATTTTATGAAGGGCTTTCGCGATTCCCAACAACTGTTTCCACACATGCCGGGACTCGACGGGTCCCGGAACAGCCTCGACAAGATCTGACTGTCGGTCTCGAAGGAGGTCATCCAGATTTGCCTTCGCATACGGGAAGATGAGGTTGAAGGTATCACCGTGCTTGTATGCTTTGATCATTCTAACAATGTGGTCATCCTGCAAAAGGTTTGCCACGTTCAGGTTCTTGTTTTCCAGGTGGAAGGCCAGTTCGCTGTCTTTGTTGAGCTCTTTCCTGGCGAATTTAGTCACGTCAATCGCGTCCTACATGTCATCAACGTCAAGATCACCACGTCGTGCCAGGCGACTTACGGCAAACTTGCGATACTCTTCGTATATCTCAAAGGCATAGACACGGCTGTGTGCTCCTTGCGATTTAACCTTCTGCAGTTTGAGAAAAGGCAGGATGGTGTCCTCTTCATACACAGAGTAGGCGCCCGAGTTCATCATCGGGACTGCAAAATGCCGGAGGGTTGTGCTGAACTGATGTTCAAATTGTTGAAACGTCGCCGGTCCTTCCTTTGTGAGAAACTCACGGCACATTGACCTGAGCGAGTCCGCTGGAAATGTGACCGGTAGGAGGTGAATATCGTACCATTCTCTCATCATGAAACCGATGATGAGCATTGGATGTTCGATGTAGGTAAGAAGGCCGAAAAGAGAGTATGCGGTTCTCGCAGGATCGTTTATGGCTCCGCTGTCGCTTTCTGGGCCAACGATTCGGTCGATAAACTCGGTAGGGGCATGGTTCCTTCCAAAGCTTGCGTAGTGGCGTCTGCAGTTGCGACAGGGACATTGCAAGATCCAACCGACCTTGCTTCGGGTGAGGTAGCCACGGAGTTTGTCTCGAGGATAGAAGTATTGGGAGGGGCTGTCACCGGCCTTCACATACAACCTGCCTATGTCTTGCCGGGCGAGGCGGCACCGAGGCTCCTCAGTGACGGCGCTTGACATGATAACACACGTGCTGCATTGTAACCGTCGTGACTGTCAACTTATTCTCTGTGGCCATGGGAAGCATCTAGAATAAGAAGACCGCAGGCCGAGAATGTCTGGCAAGTTCAGGTACGAGCGACTGAAAGGTGTGAGAGGAGCCACTGACGTCGTTTGTCACAAGGCAAGCGTGCAAGGCGAGGCAGGGGCGGTGCAATGAGCCTCAAGCACCGGGGTATCAAGGTGGCAAGTCACACAGAATGGCAACCATCGTCTCACTCGCGCGAAAGGCTGTGGGTTGATGAGAGTTTGCGGCAGGGAGCCAGACACTCGCTGCATTTGGCAGGCGACAGGCTCACCAGGCTGGTGCCACCAGGCCGCTGGCGGGATGATGCAGGTGTGGAGTAAGTTAGTTGGGTGCTCGTATTGCCCCTTGTTGTGCGGGAGAGATAAGGAGATGGAGGCAAAAATAGCATTCAGGGAGGTATGTTTGAGGCACGCTGCCTCTCCCCGAAATGCAGCCACCACAGTCACTGCACCTCGAGAGTGAGACATGCTATCGTCTGTGCTCAGTAGCCTCTTTTCGAGCAACGCGATGGGATGCGCAAGGGGAGAACTATCAGCATTCGTCTTCCGGGTCTGCAGCAACACGATCCGAGTTATTGGTCCGCGAACGCGACCAAAGACTGTCGCGTTGCCTTCGACGCCTTTCGACCCAGAGCCAAGATCCAACTGTCAAACCGAGAAGAAGGACGGTAAGGACGCAAAAGATCCACATTTCCCCTGCAAAATGCAGGCTTATGCTGTGCGGAGCGTAACGAACGTCGAGGTAGCCCATGCTAAGGAACTGCTATGTTTAACCTCAGTACATGTCAGCCGCAGCCGCCTGATGATTGACTTACCGAAACGAAAGCTGCTGGGAGGTAGATCATGGTCAGAATTGTGATCGTCTTCAAAGTGCGCGCATCGTCTCGTGACTTGGTAGCGAGATCGATCATCATCTTATTGTCACTCTGCGCGAGACGGGCTATCTCAGTAGACATTGAGCTACTTGTCTTGAGCGCAGCAAGAGCGCGGAATGCAATGATTTTCTGCATCTAATGTCAGGGTCAGCGTCGGGGAAGGGCCGGGAGCGTAACAGGAGGACTACCAGATCAGACACTGCTTCAGTTCTTTGCTTGAGCGTGAGCACACGTTCCAGCTGCTCTTCCATCTCTCTAACAAAGTTGGTAGTCGCCGATCCTAAGGAGCTTGGCTGCACTGTAGCTGGATGCTGAAAGAGCTCGTTGTTGCCGAAAAGGTCGCCGACTTCTTTGCATATTTTTAGGTTCACGTTCAAGATGTGACGGATCTTGTATAGCTTGTCTTCAAGGACTTTGACGTCTTGAGTGTCCTCGAATTCGATCCTCACGACGGGCGAGGAAGTTGTTGGTTCTTTCTCCGAGACGCTCGATAAGTGTGCTCTAGTTTTCTGGACCGACAGTGCAGCTGTCAGTATAATGTCTAAGACCTCGCACGAAGGAATGGGTTGAGGCGGCAGACGCTGTTCCAGGTTGCTCGGGAAAGAGTGATAGTGACAAACATACCAATTGGGTCATCTGTGACTCTAAATGACTGACATATGCCTTCCATGGAAGTGTTGAACATGACAGCGCAAGTCTGTGGATTTCGCGCCATCCTGGCACACCCCCTGTATCGTTCTGGGCGGCTTTCAGGCGATGTAGAAAGCTTCGCAAGGGGTTGATGACAATGAGCGTGCTGGTATCTCGTTGACTATCGTGCTGAAAGTAGACGCCCATCTGACGGATCGACCAGGGATCCTCGACATCGTCACGACCATGCTCTTCAGCAGTCTTGACCAGATAAGTGCACTCTAGGAAACGCGTCAGTGTCGTTCAACTTGAGTTTTGCCGGGGCCCCATGATTTGGGCCCCGATAGCTCACTATGACACTTACCGAAGGCTTGGCCACGGGTATAAGAACGATGGCTGCCAACCGAATCACTGTCGGACGAGGTCCGCTCGCCGAACGCCTGCAAAAGGTCGAGGAAGGGCGGGAAGATGTCGAGATGGTGCGCAAGTCTCCGCAAAGCACAACCAGAGATCATGAGACGATCCCAGGAAAACCTCTGAGGTACCAGTCTGTCATGGATCAATCTTCATCGTTGATACTCATCTGGTTGTTACAACCCACATGATGCGCAAGCCACTGAATTGCGACGAAGCCAAGTAGTTTTCGAGTTGTTCGAGGGTGCTGATTATCAACTCTGGATGGAGTAAGCAATCTATCCAACGCTCCGAGAGGCTGTTGTCCACCTTGCAGCCCAACTTCGATAATCTTTATGCGCATCTCCTCCTCTGCCACGAACAGGCGGCTGGAGTTCTCCTCGAGAAGTCTTCCATATTGCACCAAATCGTACGTATATGGATCACAGATTGAAGGCGACAATGATTGCGGATAAAGCGCCCAGCTAGGTACGTCTTTGAACATTTTCCAGTGTGGGATTTGCGCAAGCTCTGTTTTCAATACCCAAGGGGAGGAGAGAGAAGTATCTTAGCTGGTATCCGGAGACTGGCATAGCCCTCACACACAACACGATGAAGCCATGCAGTAGGTGTCACAAACACCTCGACTAGTTAAAACACTGCGGTTTCCAATACCGAGGCTGAAGATCTTGTACGCCGATTTGATATGGTGCAGCTGAAGTCCTGATACGGAGTACTACCATCACTACGCTATTGTGATAGGAAGAGAAGGCGCCCTTGATTCCCTTGTTGTGCCTTGCCTGTGCGTTCCGGGGCTACTTAGCATTCTGCGCCCAGGCTCACTAGGCTAATGTTCTCCCAGGCGTCCATAACAGTCGAGACAGTGGCGGCCAAGCCTAGCAAGGCCCGGAGCGCACCTGGAAATATCCGCCAACCAGCCTAGTGGCCCCCACTACGCCTACGGAATACTGTACCACCTCGTTGAGATTGGCGAGGCTCACCAGGCTCCTCAAAGGGGTCGCGGTACTTTTCCGGATAGCTTTGCTTCTGCAGATCCAGAATCTCTGTCTTTTCACCCGTAAGTCAGGCAACAAGCAGGGAAGCAGTCGACACCCTCATTCCATAAGGACTTACCTCCGTCAATGCCCTCAGAACCGAAACAGTGATTTTGTTATCGCGATCAACCTAACCTCGTGTCAGTCAATGCCACTCTGCTAGCGAGAGCCACCCACCCACACCCACCTTTACGAAGCGCAGAGGACCAAAAGTAGTCGCATTCTCATCGAGAAAATTTTTCAAGACCGCAGGTTTGATATACCTAGCGTTATAGCAATGTGAGAAGTGTACTCGCTGGAGCTGTGGTTCTTCTTTACCTTCCCTCCAGCACCTGAGTAATATAACGAGAGGTGGTCTGAGCCGACATAGCATCTATCTGCCAGAAGCCTGCTCTGCAACGGGAAACTGAGACATTGGACGACCTTGGACGACCACCAGACCGACTTTATCTTTGCAAGATGGCTGAACGCGAGCTGAAAGGGCAAATCAGGGTGCATGGGGCTTGGATTAGCCGGTTTGCCTTTCGTGGCCACGCACAGTATTCGACTGCAAGGCATACCGAAGGCGTCTGGATCCAAGACAGATGCATGAGCCAAGGCTTCGTGGCTCACCGGTTACCCTTGAACGTGCCTTGAGTCACTTACTCCTTGTTGCAGGAGACCCCTGTCCTGGTCGATCTCTAGCCGTGGTGGCTTTCCAAGTCAAGTTCAGCCTGATTGTCCACGCGGACGACTTCCCGGGGCGCCTCAGCGATTGTTCACGTAGGCCACTCAGATTATGACCCTCCTGTCCCTCGGGGCGTCGAGCTTCTACTCCTGCAAGCACCACTCATCCCAAGATCTAGTCTTCGCACGCGGGTGATTCACACGCCTGAGATGTCGAAACGGTTTTCGGATCTGCTATTTCCACCTGGCCATGAGCTGCGCCGATTGCGGCGACCCAAATCCGACTCCTCAGTGAGATCAAGATCCGTCCCTGACATTCGTGGTGGCGTCCGCAACCACGACGATGTTCGAGCAAGCCCCTTGATCTGTGCCCAAGACTACGAGGACTCAAACGCAGTGGTTCCTGTCCAAATTGATGACCCGGAGGAAATTTCACAACTGGACGGCATTGGGCATGACGCTGCAACAGCAGAGGAGAAAACTTGCGACAAACTTGCAGGAACCGCCCACTCGAGCGATGCCACCGAAGGGGATGCGATCCTGCTTTCCATGCAGAGGTCTCACAGCAGGCGGGGTTCCGATGGGCAAAGCGACGCCGAGACGATCGTTCCAAGGAGAAATCTCACAGTTCTTGACGTCGCTTCTCTAATACTTAACAAGATGGTGGGAACTTCTCCCTCTATTGGCGTGCGCATCCGCTGACAACAATCCGGCAGGTTGGCACCGGTATTTTTACAACTCCGGGGGCCGTGTTAGCATACACACGATCAAAGCCTATCAGCCTGGTGCTTTGGCTCGTTGGAGGTATATTCACGCTGCTGTTGTGAGCACACCGATCTCCGTTCTCGCTCGTTGGCCTGACGAGAAACATAGCATCCTGGTTTACCTCGAGTTTGGCAGCGCCTTGCCTTTCAATGGAGGTGAATTGATCTATGTGAGTACCGAGGACACATCGTGTTCGGCTACTGAGTGCCTGCCAGCTTGACGAGGTTTACCCTACTCCCGAACTCCTGTCGACTATACTTTTTGCTGCATTCTTCTTGTGCTTGGGGAACTCATACGGAAACGCCGTCACATTTTCCAAACAAACCATTCTGGCAAGCGACCCCTCCGCTACCAAAATGAGTGATCTCGACACCAGACTCGTGAGGTTCATTGCTGTCGCCGTGCTTTCGGTGGTCTGCCTTCTCCACTACTTCTCCAACCGGTTTGGGTTGTTCATGAACAAGTTGTTTGCGATATTCAAGACGGTCCTATTGCTTACAGTGTTTATCGCTGGGATGAAGGCGTCAACCAAAGATGAATCTGGCCTGGCAGACTTTGGCAAAACCCATGGTAAAAGAAGTGCGGGAGATGGCCTCTCTGCTATGGTGCTCATCTTCTACGCATATCAAGGATGGGAAAATGCAAATTACGTAAGGACTACCTACCCAAAGCAGCATATTGGAACCATGCACAGCTGCCACAGATCCAGATGACGCTCAGCTAACACTCGGTAGGTTGCTGGGGAAATCAGGGCTCCTTCAAAGACATTGAGAAGAGGCGCTCTTCTGGCTGTCGGCTTGGTTACCTGCTTATACCTCCTAGTGACTGCGGCATATGTACGGACTCCATCCCGCCCAAGTCTTGCGTCTAGCTGACAATTAATAGTTTGTTGCTTGCGACTATGCGACAATCACAGACAATGATACCGATCTTGGTATCGCAATTCTATTCGCTCCAAGGGTACGAAAGAGCGGAACAACGCCCCATGAAACACTCTGACGATATATCCAGGCATTCGGTTCTTCTCTAGGCTTGAAGGTTTGCATTGCGCTTTCAGCTTTTGGGAATCTTCTTGCAGTCACCTTCACTAGTTCCAAAGGTAGATCATCCTGCTTCGTGCATTCTCTTCGACGAACTGACATGTTGCAGTCAAGCAAGCCATCGCGGTGCAGAGAATCATACCATTTTACAAGTTCTTTCAGAAAGACATCAACACGCCCAAGGGTGCACTTGTCCTGCATTGGCTATCTTCCACACTTCTCATCATCTTCTGCCCGGTCAGTGCTGATGGCTACACGTTCGCAGTTGGCCTCTTCACGTACGGCCATATCATCGTTGGAAGTGAGTGAAGCATTTTTGGTCCCACAGAGATTACTTGCGCTGATGCCTTATTCTTAGCAACGGTCGCACTGGGTCTGTATCGACTCAAGGCACGAATGCGGCAGACTTGGCCCGGATGGCAACCCACGATATTCACGAACAAGCTCGTTCGCTGGACATTGCCCCTGCTTTTCCTGGTGGGCAACCTCATGATTCTGATCTTGGGAGCGAAGCCACGCAGCCCTGGAAAGATATCTCGTTTCTGGTGGCCAGCGACCTTCTTTCTGATTATCGCAGGCGGCGTACTATACTGGGCTTGCTTGGTCGCCACGCAGATTAAGATCAGACATCTCGGGAAAGAGACAACGATAGGAGAAGTCATCGGCTTCGAGGTCAAAATCTACAATGAAACGGACGAAAGGGTGCCTGCAAACATGCAAGAAGCCATCGTGCAATCCCGACTCGACGGGTCAAGGCGAAGAGTCGGTTATCAGGTGCGGCCACCTCAGCCCCATACGTGGGCGTGGACTTCTTATTAAGCTGACTTTTGGCAGTTCTCTGGGATCTTCGCGAAGGCGGGCAAATGGTACAGGCGGACGGCGGATAACATCAGCAGGTTCTTGTTTTGAGCAGGCTCACAGCGAAGGACATGATCGTACGAACGAGGAGTGTGAGTCTATCGGCAACTGAAGATGAGGATGAAGATGAAGATGAAGAAGGAGAAATATCAGCCATCCGGTAGCCCATTCAATAGCCCCCGTGCACGTGTCAACTGGCTTCACGACAGTCCCCGACTGGTGCAGTAACCACCCCACAGTACCTATGTTGCACCTACCTTATGTAGATGGCCATGATCAGGCCCTGGGTCAGGGCTTCAATGCATCGCTTCCTTATGAAAATGGAATCATTCGAGTACATGGACAGCAGAGCAACAACATGCATATCGAGAAAAGTGCTCATCAGCCCAAGTCCTGGACAGTATACGACAACCCCCAACGTCGGGCCCCAAAGTTCTATTTATAGCCATCCGAATACAACGTGCACGGTCACATCAAACTCTTTATTCTGCTCTTGCGGCCAGGCAAAAACAACGTCTGGTCTGGGCTTGCGTCTACCCGGAAACCCCAGCGCCACACGAGGAACTGGAACTGGATCGTTGCCAAAATCAGACCCGATAATGCGCGAAACTCCCAACAAGCTGATGATGAATCAGGATCCCTCGGACAGTAGGTGCTTTTACTTTTCTTTCGTCGACCCGTCGCTTGTTTTAGAGACATGATATCACGTCGGCTCGATCGAGTCTCACGTTCCTTTCCACCGTGATTACGAGAGCGCCGCGTAAGTCAGGATCCGATATTTCTAGAGGATCATTGCACTCGCCCATTCAACTACCCGATGCGAATATATCTGTCTCTCCCTTCTGGAAGGAAGTCGTGCATGGTCGGAGGCCTCTTGAAACGCGGCCGTCACTGTCATCGCGGATAGGCATTCTCGAAAACCGATGATATGAGATGGAGGAACACAACAATACTTCATGGCCGTTACCTTCCAGCGACATGAGACGAGACATCACAGTGGACAGCACGGCCGCTAAAGTGACGAACGAAAACACAACAGCCCTACCATCACCTCATGATGTAAAACCGCAGGATGAGACGAGCAAGACTCACAGCTCGCCGGAGCCCGTCATGAACGAAAAGATGGATTCCTCATCCCATCCAGGTCTCATGATACCTGAGGCACATACCAATACCAACTTCAACGCCGGCACCAACAGCGACACCTTCATGACATCCAACGCACCGCTAACGTTCCTCCGACGCAAATCCAGATTCACGGGCCGATATCGATACACTCTCCTCTCGCAGACAAGTTTGCGCAACAGTCTACTCCCACTAGCCGGTTTTCTCGAACTGGCCAATGCAGGCGACTTTGCGGCCAACGTGTTCAACGACGTCCCCGTGCCCGCTTTCGCCGCCGCCTTGATGGGCATAGGAGGCTGCGTCGCGCTGTTCTTCGCCGTTGTCGCCATCTACGATGCCCACCTAGCCTGGCAGAATGTATGCATACTCCGTCGCGAGCGACGAACCCTCCACTCCTTGTCATCTCGTCCACAATACCGCCAGCAATCCGGCACCACCGATGCGAACGCGGACGCAGAAAAGGAAGATCTCAGTACTTCTACCGACGTGAGAACCACTGCCCGGCCCCGGCCACCACCTCCAAACGCAGGCCTCGACCAGGCCCAACCCCACGCCTTCGCGCTGCGCGTCTACATTGACGTCAACACCTTCGAACTCGGCACCGAAATCATTGACCGCCTCATGATGGACGTGACCATGGGCTTCGGCGCCGTGCTCGTCGGCGTGGGCACGCTCATGGCCATCGGCGGCGCGAACCACGACGTCTTCCTCGCGAGCAACCTGCTGTCCGGATACATTGGCAACGGACCCGCCGCGCTGGCCGGCCTCCTGCGCGCCGTCTGGTCGGCTTACGTGTACCAGCGCGCCAGTCGACACCAGCGCACCGCGCGCATGGCATTTGCTGCGAAGCAAACCAAGGTCGACGTCAACCTCAACGGCAACCGCGGCTCTGGCTTGTCCGAATCCAAGTCTGACGCTTTACCCCCTCAAAGAGCCTCCGGTATTAGGCAGGAGTCGGCGCTGCGCTCGTACAACAGACGGTATCGAATGGTCAAAATCTACGCCGTCTTAGCTGGACCGACGAGTCTCGTCGCCGGCGCGGCCTCAACCATCACGGCGACCCGCTGGTGGGGTTACACCATGCTCGCGCCCTGCGTGGCTCTGTCGTGGTTGTGCAATTGGCTTTTCAGGCGCTACATCGGCTATACGAGGCCCATTCCCATCCCCATCTCTATCTCCGGCAGTGATAACGATGATGAGGAACAACAACGCCAGTCCGGCCCTGTGCCTGAAATTCTCGCTCAAATAGACGAGGACCAATTGATCGGCCACTTGACCGATGCCATTGAGACCAGAAAAAGTCTCGAGGCTGCCAAGACGCAGACGAAGAAGGGGACGACGACGACGAGTCGAAAGACAGAGACAAAGACCTGTACCAACGACATGCCCGCAACTGCGACTCGCACGTCCATCTTCACATTTCTCACCAAACTCAACCTGCTCGAACCCTTCTACCTCGCCCTCCTCACGTCGCCCACATTCGGCCGCGAGAAACTGCAAGCCGCGACTGTGGGTCTGGATCTGGATCTCGATCTCCGCAAAGACACAGATGTCGTTCAAATAGAACGAGAACGAGATCAAAAAGAACAACAACAAATTCCTCTCACTACTCAAAACGGCACCAAGTCGAACTCGAACTCGACCTCAAACTCCAACTCCAGCTCCAGCCCGACCATCATCATCGACGACCCTGAATACTTACTCTCAAATCTGCTCGGTATTGCAACTTCATCCACATCCACATCCACACCCTCAACATCACACTCACCCTCATCCTCCGAAACCGCCCACGACGGCGTTGCTCCTGTTCCGGCTCAGGTTCATAACGAGAATGAAAACGAGAATGAAAACGAGAATGAAAGCGAAAATAAAAATGATATCGACTTTGACGGCATTACGACAACCGCCCGCTCAGTCCTCTCATCTCACGGCATCCTCCACGCTCGGCATCGAGAACGGTTTATCATTGAATTTCTGGGATGCTGGATCCATCACCTGCATCACCAGCGTCACCAGCCTCAGCAGGCTCAGCATGACCAGCCATTCCCAAAGACGACTCAGAAGGCATAACATAAAGACGCATGGCATGAATAACATAGATGAAAGGCCTCGCGGCCAAAAGAAAAGCTAACGGAAATCAATCGTAATGTTGGAAACTATTATATTTGGTGCCATCCAGTGTCCCATACCCTGTACCCCAAGTTTCAATCGCTATGCTACGGACATGCGAGTCTCTTTTATAACATGTTGATCACATAGGCTTACCCTTTAACATCATCCCAAGATGGTGTAGGCCACCCACAGTCAAGTCGAGTTGATATCAATTCGGATTGACAACTGAATGGCTTCTACTCCTCGAAGCGGAACGAACATATGATTCTCCCCTGGGTGTGGTAGCTAGATTGAACATGGTCCGCGGGTTCCCCATCGGCCCTTGAGTGAAGAGTTCGGCAGGTATGATAGCTCGAGCCCAAGTCTCTGGTGCTAATCGAATATTATCGCTAGGGTTGAAGGCTGGAGCAGTAGCTTGTTTGGGTCTTCAAGGTCCGTCGTGCTGTTCGTGAGGAATTAACCACTCCTGGCCCAAGCATAACATCCGCGGCCAAGTCCGAGTCGGCGGCTTCCAGTTTCTTGCGATAGCAATGGTCGGCTAGATATTCATCGACGTCAAACCAACTCAGAGGCTCGTCATCCCTGATCCTGAGGCCCCTCCAACCCCATCGCGTCTTGGTCTCCCAGCCCAGCATCGACTGCCGTCTTCGAGAGCTTGGCAAGACACACGGTCTAGCGGACGTCGTCCCCTTCCCCCTTCTCTAACACGACCAAGAACCGAATAAGTTGCGTTCTAGAATATGTTCAAACAAAGAAACCTTTCATGGTTCTTCCTCGTCCTTGACGGGCTGGTATCTTCCGCCCTTTTGCCTCTCCAATCTATCGCCTGTCGTAGGCACCGGCTTCTCGACCCTCAATATCCAACATAATACATCCTCGGCAGGAAGCAGGAACATCCAGACTTTATTGCACAAGAGCGACAGAGTGGTCGTCAACATGGCCACCACGGCATCTAGCCAGTAGTGGTTTGCCGTCGCCACGATGACGGTCAACACCAGCAGCGGGTAAGAAATCCCGGCCACCAAAAAGAAGATTTGCGAGAAAACAGATTTTCGTGGCTCGTTACGTTGCGTGCGTCGGAACACGCCGGAATGATACAAAAGCGTACATCCAATGACAAAAGCGTAGGTGAAATGTAGACTGGGCATTGCAGCCAGTTGATTGACGTAGTTCCCCCCAACCCAGACAGACTCGGCATTGGCCTGTCGGACAGTGTCGTGGAAACCGAACTCCTTGGGAAGTAATCGAGGCGGCATGGTCGGAAAGACGGTGAAGATGGCAAAAGCGGCAAAGTTTCCAAGAGTCATTGTGCGGCGGACAGTGGCGAATGTCGCGTGATTAGGAGCGGCGAAGTAATACCATGATAGAAAGCTGGACACCGAGGTCAGTATGAGCAAGGCATAGAGAAAGGACAGGACATACGTAACAGTGCCAGGAATGTGTACAAGAGAATAGATTCGATTCAAGAAAGTAATGGTCGACAGATGATTGTTCATAAACCAAGCTTGGAATGCTGATTCTTGGATGGGGAACAAGAAGCTTAACCAGGACTTGTGTTCGATGTCCAAGATCAAGACGCCGTGGTCTTGGGCCAGTTCACGAAGGCCGTCGTAATTAGAAAAGAATAGTTGAGCAATGGCCTTGGTCAAGGTGTAGAACAGCAAGTTGAGAACCCAGTAAAACATTTCGATGAGGAAGGGGAATTTCTGCAAGATGCGGCTGTGGATGTGGTCGGCGAACCGGGATGAGTTGGGGGTACGGACGACCGTGCCGCAGCAGTTTCGTTTCTTGGGGGGATATTTGGCCGACGTGAAAACATCAGACTCGCCAGAAAGGTAAGAATCCGAGTCAATAGAGCTGTCGGGAGAGACTTCCTGGCTGTCATGTGGCAGGAGAGACCGCGTGGGTGAGCGGCCTCGGCTGGATTCCAGAATGCGGAAGTTTCGTTTTCGATTGACCGTGAGTGACGTGATCATTATAGAAACGACAATCTGGATGGATTAGAAAAATCACATGGTGGAACGGAATTCGACGTACAATCGGTTCCAGCCAAGTATGGGAGGCGAACTGGGCGCCGCCCATGTTGGGCTGTGCAGCCACGGCGGCCTCGGTGACGTTCAGAGCGGTAGTGGCCATGGTATATAATATCTGGGTTTACAATGTTGAATGCGAGATCAGGGGTCTGGGTGGTTGACCTTGGGCAAGGCTTGCCGTTCCAAATAGGTGTCGCGCGTCTGTTGCTGACAGGTCACGTGGGGATGAGGGAGAGGCGGGATCCCAAGCCGTGAAGTTCAATGTCGACTGGATGAATTACGAAAGGAATGACAGCATGTCTTGTCCAATTGCTGAGAAACAGAAGCTGCAAACTCCAATGGATTCCGGATGATGCGGTCGCTGGGAAATGGTGAGGTGGTGGGATGATGAGATGGCGTAGATGCCACGAACGCGCTGGATCTTGTTCGAGGCAGGACCACCGTGAAAAAGGCCTCTCCACTGCTTGATGATCGAGCAAAGACGGTCGAATGAATGCGGCAACGAAGATCAAATGAAGAAGGAATCAGGAAGAATGGACAGGGCAAGAGGAAGTGAGTGAATTGAGCTGAAGGGTTGCGAGTGTAGGGAAGGAAGAAGGGAGGTTCAGGTGCGGGCAATTTAGCCTCTGTGCCTCTGGTACGTATCCGGATGATTCGTAGCTCGTATGAAAGAAAGGCGAGACGAGGCGGAGCACGAGACAAGGCCTGCAGCAGTGGACGGTGGGTGCCCAGGTGGTTTTTTCGTTGCAGATTAAAACCGGGGCCTGAAAGAAACCAGCCAGATAGAGAATCACTTGCGACCGACGATGTGGGAGTGGGTGAGAGGGTCGTGAGAGGGTCGTGAGAGGGTCACAGCTGGTCAACGTCAGCAATTCAAAGAAACAAGCTCGCGGCTGTGGCTTCAGGCCCGCAGCAGATCGAGACTCGCAAGCAATCATTACCTAGGTAATCATAATTTGCCCCCATCAGCCCCTAAGTGGTGCCTAGTGAGCCCCTATTAATTACAGTACAGACTGCATTATTACAGTAATTCGCTGCACAGTCAGCCGCACCCATTACTCCTTTCGCCGGCCTGTGCAAGGCACCCATATGAAAGCCATACGGACGACCTAACCTGGAAGCTTGCCATACGGGTTCGGTGTACTGTGATCCAATGTGGTGTACTGTATAACTCGGTGGTCAGTGTGTACTAGGTCATAACGTTTTGAAAATCCCGCGAGACTTTTGAGGCTTTACCTGCGGCGCGGCCACCAGTGACTTGTTTGATGTGCTCGGACCTGAACCGTACCTTAAGATACCTACGTAGTAAAGGTTATGGCGTGTAAGGCGCAGGTCTAGCTCCGGTACTCGATCAGCCACTGACGAAATTTTACATCTCACCACGTGATTTTGTCAACGCCAAAAACAATACCTCGATTTCGGCGGGTATTTGTTCCGGAGCCGAACCGGTTAGCCATCAACGCCATCTTCTAGTGTGATAGTGAGCACCCGCCAGTACTCTGTACCAGTACGGATAATGACATTGTAATCTAAAGTATCTGTCTCTGCCAACTTGGAATGAATGCATCGAGATACCTAACGTATCAATAAATCTTGGACGTGTACTCCGTACGGCGATGCAAAATGATCTGATATGAAGCAAGCATGCACCATCACCCTCACCTTCACCTTCACCCCCACCCCGACCATCATGGCGATAACAGTTCGCCCGAGATGAATCGTCGACTGTCCCGATACCGTCCTTTGGTCGCTTTTGTACCCATGCCTCTTCGGGGGCTACGCATGCCCTCTTCTCCTGTGGCCCGCATGATCATTGGCAAAGCATCGAGGACTTGTTTGTTGCCTTCAAAGTAGTGATTGACGAACCCGCCTCCCAAGAGTCTTCGAATTGCATTCAGCCGCATCAACTTCCACCATTTGTCCACTCTCATCTCTCCTTCGCGATGCACACGAACCACCATTTTCGACGCATTGTTGGTCTGCAAGCCCAGTTTCGGGTTCTCCACAGTCGACACCACGCACGCAAACGTTTGGTGAAGTAACTTCTTGTCCCGTCGGTTCATGGATTTGGTGCTTAGCGATGCCAGTGCCTTGACATGCTCCAGAACTTCGCGAGGGTTGTGGTACGCGTTGTATCGTTTGACCAGACCGGATGTATCAGGCTCCCCATCCGATGATGTCGTCTCTTCGTCTTCATCCGAGCTGGATTCATCGTCTTCTCGCGGCGTGTAACTCTTCTCAAAGAGCAGGGCAATAGCCTCGCCTGCGGCAACTTGAACTCGTACATCATGCGCGTCCAGCTGCTCGAGGAATGCAGCCACTGCATCTTCCGATTCGTGCTCGAGGTCCTCCACTTGCGTCGCTAGAAATGCGTACGTATTCATTGCTGCTGCCACAACTTCAGGACTGTCATCCGCTTCAATAAATCTTCCATCGCTGGATGCGATTTCAAGCAAAAAAGTCATGACCTGTGCGATTTCGTCCTCCCCAGCCCCTCCAAATGACAGGCAAATCCCTAACGAGTGGATGGCCGCAGCTTTGATCGGCATGGATTGCGAGTCGGAGATGCTTCGCTTCAATACCGGGGCCACCGTCTCATAGACTCGCTCGTGCTCAAACGTGATGGCAGTAAGAGCAGCTGCTCGAAGGGCGAGCGTGGTTTCGGTTTCGCTGGACTCTGCCTTGATGCTCCGCTCCAACGCATTCAACACCTCAGGCACTCGCCCGTAGAGGACTTCGGCGAGGTAGTGACAAGTCAAGCATCGTACGTATGTGGTCAGGTTCGCTTCCCGGCTCTTGTTGCTGCTGCCCTTTCGCTCCAACAGATGATCGATTGCGTCGGTCACTTGTGATCGCATGACATCCGTGGTTTGTTCATTGAAGTCATCGCTTTCGAGAAGGGCGTCAATCGAGTTGATGCTATGAAGGGAATCCAGTCAGTCACGTCAGAAGCGGTCAGGGGATCAGGCTGCAACTCGCCTTTGGGTGGTTTCATCGCTGAGATTGCCGTTGCCATCATCTTCATCGTCCGACACGTCTCGACTGGCCACACGGGATGCGGCTCGCGAGTTTGCAGCCGAATTGGCCTTGGAACTTTCGCGCGACGATTGCTTCGATCTAGCTTTGCCCGACACCGTCTTGCCACTCTCCAGAGCGCGTCTTCGCAGATCTTCGTGCATGGTGTGATGTGTATCTCTACTTCTGGCGATAGAAAATGGATAAACGCAGAAAAAAGTCTAAATGTTGAGTCTGCCTGATGGATGCAGGCAGAGAATGCCGCTGAGTTCTGTCACCCTTTGGGTAGCGAGGCGCGATACGATAGATGATGAGGTGGAAGTCGTAGAATTTCCATAAGGAAGGACAGCTTCGCTCGGGTTTAAATAGCTGGCGAAGAGAAAGGCAAGTAGGCAGAAACAGGCACTGCACAATAGTAGGTCCTCAATAAGACTGAATGGCACGGGGAGGGCGGTGAGGACATGCGGAATTATATTCGTAGGTCCTCAACCAAGAGTCCCCGGAATTTGGTGGTGGCCAGCACATGCCTTCAAGCATCGCCCGCCTATTCGTCACCACCAAGACCAACTGAGTCAGACCCATCATGACCCAAAAACCTGGAGGATGACCTCCGTTTGAGCGCCCCCAGATCATGCCCGGTTCTATGACGACAAGCCTCCCTCGATGATCCCCAATTCTACTCCAATCACACCACCACAGTCTCGAATGACAGGAAGCAAATTCCACGCACACCAAAGGCTCACTAGGCTCCCGTTAATACCGACTACGAAGTCGCCAGTACTCTTGTCTACTAAGAATGAAAGCATAGGTTTCATGCTGTTATTGATCAACGGAGCAAGATAGCGTGTCAGTGATATGTCAAGTCCAACAATAAAAGGAGAAAGGCATTCCATGTCCCTAGCACGCCCCTATTCCATCCCGATCCCGACCCAAAAGCACGCTCGCCCTGCTCCATGTCATTGTCGTTTGCTTGGTTTCATTCTGATGATTCTGGCATCGCGAGCCATGTTGCCAAAACTGCTGCAGTGTAGCCACACTGATGTTCCTTACATTTGCGCCAGTGGTCGATCAAGGTTGGAACTTTTACTTGCTGGCCTCTGTTTGTGCTTCCAAATAATCCTCGTCACTTGCATCAAGGATGTCGTACTCCTCATCTGTCAAGAAGCCGGCTTCATCACTGTCAGATTCTTCGAGTTCGAGGCTTTCCACATCCTCGAGCAGCTCTTGTCCGTCAGTCTTTGTGGTGGGCTCCATTGTAGGAACAGGTGCTTCGGCATGTGTCTCGCTAACATCGTGGATGCTCGAGACTGGAGACTCTTTTTCAAGCTTGGGAAAGATCATAGTGGAGCTGCTCTGCGAGCTGTCTCCTGGTTCTTGTTGTGGCCCCGTCTTGATCTCAACAGTGGAAGGAATAGTAGGTGTAGGAGCAGAGCGAATTGGCAACTCAACAGGAGTAGACTGAACTTCAATGTCGACCCAGAGCTTGTGACCAAATGGAAGTCCTTCGGGAGTTTTGAGACGCCAGTAAGAGATAGCTCGTCCTTCACGAGCAGGAGCCTTGAGCAAAACCGTAAAGACCGCAGTCTTTCCTGGTTCCAGACTGGTTGCAAGCACGTTGCTACGATTGGCACAAGTCATGGTGCTCACACTGGAGGGGTGAAGAGAATCCAGGTTGCGCATGTCATCTCCACCAATGTAGTAGACAGCACAACCGGCTGGCCAAGTTTGAGGGCCCGGGTTGCGCAGGGTCCAGGATTGCATAACGAGATGGCTGGGTGCAACACGAGTCCCATCTGGAGTCAAGTCGGTGACATACCACGCTTGCAGCTCATTAGCCGTAGTCTTGCCGGAGAGGACATCACTGGCCTTGGGAGTCTCCTCTGTAGTGGCAGTGTTCTCGATAGGCTTTACCTCGGCCACAGTCTGAACTTGAGTGGCAGCATTGGCAGAGGTAGAACGTGTGGTTTCCGTCGCGGCGTGCTTGGCCAATGGTCGGTCTCCCAACTGTCCAAGCTGCTCTCCAAACGTTGTCTCGTGTACCGTGGTGATGGAGGCATGTTCGACTGGAGTCTTGAACTTGATCAAGGGATGAGTTGCATTGTGGTCATTGTTGGGTGAAGCTTCGCAACTGGCACAGAAGTCGGTGTCATGGCACACCGTACACTTGTATCGGTCGCCTACAATGTAGCGCTTCTGGTTGATGCAAAGAGGGCCGTCACAGTAGACACCTCGATGGTATTGCTTGACGGCGCGCACATTTTCAAGAGGAGCATAGATAGGTGCAAAGCGATGGCCTGTATGCTTCTCGCCAGCAGAAACTACACAGGTAGAGCAGAAGTCAAAATCTGGGCATGACAAGCACTTGTGACGAACGCCGAAGATGCTCTGTACAAAAGTCAGTCGCTAAAGCCTATTATTCCGGCCAAATTATGACTCACCTCGTCGCAGCCATCGCAGATAGCATCGTGACGAACATTGCGGCCTGGAGCACAGAGAGCTTCAAGCTCAGGCAGATGCTCCGGACTGCCCTGTGGCTCAAAGGTGTGAGAAGGATGATGACCATGTTCGTCGTCCATGAAACAGCAGAGGCACAGGTCGAAGTCTGGGCAATTCTGGCAAGTGACAAATTCGCGTTTCGGCATTTCTGAACAATCGTGAGTGAGGTCCAAGTAAATTGTCTTCGAGCACTTACGGCAGACGCAAGAGTTGCAGGTGCGATCACCATCGTCTTGTTCGGGGCTAAACGGGGTAGCCAGCTCTTCAGACGAAATAGTCACAGTCTTGGACGACTTCTTCGCTGGGAAGGTAGTTGTCTCGCTTGGAATAACGACTCCATTGCGAATGTGCCTCTTGACCAGCCAATGCTCGTCACCGTCACATGTGATACCAGAATCGACGCAGCTCTTGCACAGATCGAAGTCACCGTTCTCGCAAATTCCACAGTGGTAGTGCTCGTCAGGCACAGACTTGCCACAGTGGTTGCAGTCAATAGAATACGAAGTTGACGGAAAGTCGTTGAGGGAAGGGAGGGTTGGGAGACTGAAGAGATCGGTGTGACAGTCTCGAGGAGCATTAGGAACTGGATCCATGCCAGACGGTCTAGTGTCAAAAGCCCCCGGGATAGTACAGGTCGTTGGAGAGTATGGGAAGTTCTTCTGAAGAGACTTGAAGGGTGTTGCAGCAGGCTGAGAGAGGACGGTATCGAGGAAGCTGTGCCTCGGCACTGCTTGGGAGACTGAAGGTGCGGCCCAGTAAGTGTTGGTTTCAGGCTTGCTATCCTCCTTCGCCTCCTTCTTTGCAGTCTTCACCACAGTAGCCTTGAGTCGCAGCTTGAGTTTCGCCTTGGCCGCTCGATACAATTGTTTGTAGACACCTGGATTGTTGCTGTCGAGGGTAACGTAGGCTCCGGCGGAATCGGAGAATCGGTCGAACTTGACCTCGTGTTCATCAGGGATGGCAAGCAGGAAGCGAAGCTAGAGAATCAGATTAGCTTATGTCGGACGTGAGATCGACCTCGCATGCCTTGCTGGATGAAGAGCACGACCGAGGCTGACAAACGACTGCGTACGCACCTTCTGTGGGAGAGTATTGGCACCGAGATCCCGAAGAGCAAGTTTGAATCGTCTGTTCGTGCCATCGATGATAACTTTGACAGTGATCAACGTGTCAGGACCAACAGGTCCGGCGTGATGATGAGTTGTAGCCATGATGGAGATAAGGAACCTGGGTTAGGCGGTGTCGAGCAGGCTGGGCTACCGAACTGCGGGCAGGCGGTAAAGAGTAGGATAGATTCGATGAGAGACTTCAGGATTGGAACAGCATGGATACTGGAGGCACCCCCAACACTTCTGCTTGATTTCTAGCAGGTAAAGAGTGGTAGAGGTGAAGGGGAAGAGATGGGAGGTCGTGATGATGGTCGGGGTGAGGAAGAGGAAGGGTAGATGACGGCAGGCAGGCCGCAGCCTAACTTAAAACGCAGTGAAGACGTGCGGGCGGGGAAGGCAAAGTGAAGCTTCACGTGAGCAAGGCAGCACCCATGCCACCCAATGCAATCGTGGCGACGAGAACACCCGGGTATTGTCGCTCGTATCGAATCGCTCACCGGTCCACGGCACGCTCTATCCTTTTGCAGAGGACAGATGATGGCGGTGTACTCCAGTCTATAGAATTCATGCGTGCGGACTTATTGATTTTTGTCATAATTGGACCTTAAGGAGTCGCTCCTCGACATTTGCTCCTTGCTTGACCGGTCGATACAGCTGCAAACCATACATTGAAACAGACCAGGGTACGCCAATCATTATGTGATCCGTCAATCAGCCTTGTACTTGTGGTTGTTGCCTCAAACTCCACGTTTGCCTTTCTCCAGCCGCATTGCCCTGGGAGCATGCCCACCTTCGACAAATCTCTTTTTGAGTCAACAATAAATACTGTACACGAATGACAATATGAAAGGTTTCGCCATGATGAGTAGCAACAGATGAAACGAAGTCGACACTTTTTACATCCGGTCCGCCTCAGATAAACCCGCTGGCCCGCAAAATGCCAAAGTAACTCCACATCCCGCTAATCAAATCCAGGTCAAAATTTGTTGAAAAGAGTGTAGCCGGCAGTCGAGATCAACCTGTCTGCGCCGGATAGTACATTCCATTAGGTACTCCAGAGTAGTAAAAAGGTTGAGAGGGAGGTCCATTCGGCATCGTCATGACATTGCCGTTCGTAAGCGGATATTGCTGGGCTCCACCTTGGGCATCCGGTGTGAACGCTGGCGGGTTGTAATAGTAGACCATACCGTTCGATTCATGCGCCATCATGTTGTTAGGGACGCTACCTTCCATACGTCCTGGAGCATGCATGTAGTTGACTGGATGTGACTGTGAGCCCGGTATGAAGCTTGGGGCTAGGCCAGGACCGGTCATAGGAAGAGTAAACGAGCTGCTATCAGCAATGCCTGGATAGAAGACCGGTCCACTTTGATATGGCCCTCCGAAGAAGGCCGGTCCACCCATGACAGGATAGGACTGAAAGCCCTGCGCAAATACTGCACCCTCGGGGATTTGAGAAAGTGGTGTTGTTCCAGCCATCACAGGCAAAATCTGTTCGGCAGGCTGGGAGGCTTTTTCTTCGCCATAAGACGAAGGTATATGGGCCGGCACTTGTTGATGAAATGGTTGTTCTTGCTGCTGCAGAGGAGCCTTGACTGGAAAAGAGGCAGGAGATTCAATGTCTGCAACTGAGACAGTTTTCTGTGGTCTGGGCTGATGCATGGGTATGGTAGTGATGTGGCTACCGTAGAAAGCAGGCGTCTGAATAATTGCAGGAAGAACATTGCCCCCCATCTGCCCATTCACGATCGGAAATCCAGTCCTCGAAATAGAAGGCGTAGGAACTCCCGAGGGCATTCGCACAATAGGCCGAGTAGGGTCCATACCAGGACCAGTTGCACGAGACATGACCGATTCTGCAGGAGACCTGATGCCATCCCTCATGGTGGATGCTCCGAAGGAAGACTTCCGGCTCATGGCAATGCTTGGGGTGTATGCACTGCCATAGATGCTTGGTCTTCGGCTCCCGTGGAAGCTTCCTCTACCACGGCCACGGAAGTAGGCTTGTTTGTTGGGTCGCATGGCGCGGGGGATGAAGATGAATGATCTTTCAGTGCTGGGAAAGATATACCTGGGTGGCTCACCAGGAATGGAGACACGCACCGGTTTGTCGCGTCTCAAAGGCGGGCGGTGCTGAGGGAGTAGAGTGTGTTGCTTCTTGACCACATTCGGAACAGACTTTTTATGTTCCATACCTGGAAACGATATCTGTACGGCAACATTTCCTAGTACAGTCGTAAAGGAGAAAACCCTATTTGGTGCTGTCGTCCCACGAGGGTTCTCAGTTTGACTTGTGCGCGATTCAGCAACCGGTTGTGTCCTTGGTAACTCCGAGCTCTGTCCCTTCTCATGGCCCTCATGTAGATCATGAGCCCATGGCCTCTCTGTGGGTTCGTTGAAGCCGACCCCTCTTCTGCTAGCAATTAGCTCCTGAATGTACAGCTGATGGTTAGACGTACCCAGAATTCATGGCAGGACCATGGCCTCGGGCCCGGCCCCGGCCAAGTACGAACGGTCTGGCGGTCGCTCCATTCGATGACGAATTGCGGTCATCATGCAGGAAGAATTTACCTCTGTTGGGCACAAACGCAGGGTCTACATTCCGTTGACTGATGTATTCTTGGTGCTCCCTCAGGCTCCGCTCCGCCGGTGTCTCGTGTCGAGGTGCTCGGGGAATAGCAACTTCTGTGTCCGTGGCTGACCCTCCCACAGTACTTAGATCATCGAAGTGAATTTCTTCCGTCTCTTCGGGTCGTTGACCTCGGCTTACCCCGTGTAACATGGCGTGTGTCTCAGCAGTGGTTGTGAAGGCGCCGTTCGCCGTGGAAGCTTCTTCGGGGGTCGCAGGGACTATCTCTTGGGTGGCTGATTCAGTAGTACCTCTTCCCTTCGTGCTTGTGTGCTTTGCAGGCCCATGCTCATCATCACTGGAACCACTCCCTTCGACTTCCGCCTCGTCATCTCCATCGCTTACAGAAGAGCCTTCACTCATAGAGTCGTCAAAGTCTCCTGCAACTGATTCCTCATCCTCTCCCTCAACTGGTCGTCGCCGTCTGCGAGACAGTAGGTCTTTTCTTCCGGGCGCAGGCATAGCTTCGTGGAGCAGGGGGGGTGCGTAGGAGCCGAACAAAACGGGTTGCAAGCCAAGCGCACAGCAATTCAGACGACACAGGCTTTGATCATTGTTGATGGTCGACGACTTGAGTCCCGATTCGAAAGTGTAAGGTGATGTGCAGAAAATCAAACTATTGGCACATCTTGGAGGGAAAAAGAAAAGGAGACCAAGTAACTGCAGTCTGTCCAGCTGAGTAGCAATAGTTGATAATCAAAAAAGCAGGCAGATAGGTGCCCTTGCATACAGCAGCAGCGGGCTTTTCGACAGCATTCGGTTGAATCGAGTCTCGAAGGATTCGCCCATTTAGAAATGCCCCAGATTTTGCGTCACGCGGTCACGCTAAACGACTTCTACCTTAGCCAAAAAGTAGCAGGTTCGAACATCATGACCATAGCACCACCACTATTCATATCTCGTGCTTCATAGACCATTACCTTTCTCCATGCATCTACGAGTATGCTGCCGACGCAGGGTATTAATGTGACAAAATGAGACTTGAGATGCTTTCGACTTCAATCAAACACTACTCGTTGACCTTTGCTCTCAACAATGGCTCCGGTCAACCTTTGCACTGTGTCCTCGGTATATTTGCCATGTGGCTCCTTCTTCCTGCTTGCCTTCTTGACCTCACGCTTTTTATGCACCGGCTCGGAATTGTCATTGACTTCTTGGATCGGGTCGTCGAACGATTCGTCTTCGACGGCGGCAGATTGAAGAGACTTTGCATTCTTGCCGAACCTCTTCTGATAGCGAGTCGCTTTGTCTTCAGCATACTCCATCCTCAACTTCCTGCCATTGATCTTGCCGAGCCATATCCTGTGTTTCGCCGACCTCGATTCGGAGGAGCGTCTGTCGTGAGGACCGTTTGCTTCCACCCAGCCTCGCATCGCAGCCTGAGCAGAGGTCAACTGCTCGAATTCCACCCAAGCATAGCCCTTGCATTTCCCACTGTCCTCGAACGTAGCCATATGGGTATGTATAATGGGGCCACATACTCCAAAATGCGCTTCTAAATCCTCGGCTGTGGTGTCGAATTCGAGGTTACCGACGAATATGCGCTTGCTTGGAGCCTTAGTCTGTGTTTCCTCTTGGCCCTTTTTCTGCTCCGGTCTTCCCTCGAAGCTTTTTGCATTCTTGATCAGTACTCGCCGTCCGCCTAAAAGACCTTCGCTCAGCTGTAGCGCCGCATTGAGTGACTCTTCTGTCGAGAAATCCACGTAGCTAAAGCCTTTGTTCATGGCCTTCCCATGCTTCGGCGGGTTTTGAGGCAAATTGACCCTCGTGATGTGCTCTTCCGAAATAGAACCCTGTGATTGTTCGGTCAAAAACTTGACGAGGTCGTCTCGAGTTGTGGTGAATGACAGATTTCCAATCCATATCCCATACGGAGACCTATTTTGATTCTCCTGAGATGCCTTTGGTTGCGCTGAAGATGTCTCCAAGACACGTTCAGTTGCTTTGGAGTCATCTGCCGCCGTCGACTTTGCCCGCTTGGCTTTGCGGAGAGACTTCTTAGATGGTGGCTCTGGTGCGTCTACATCGATCTCGATTTCTGCGGTTTCAACATTGCGCTTACGACCTCTGGTATCTTGTTGCTCGCTTCCAGTTTCAGTCACACTCATGATGTTGTTGTTTGATCAGGAATACCCTGAGTTGGTCTGCTGTATAGGGATTGTCAAAAATGCCGATGGCTTCACGAATTTTACTTCCAGAGATAAAGTCCAGAATTTATCGACGGAAATCAAATCCGTGTTTTGAAATGCCGAAGAATACCCATTGCTCGCAGGGATTCATGTCACTCTTCTCGGCCCTGATCAGAACAGCTTGGATAGACCTCATCAGTTTAGACCCTCGTGGCATTCTTCCAACACGTATCCTCGCACCTTTAACGCGCGGTGATGTCTTCAGAAATACCAGATATGCCTTTGTCAGACCCTCCGGAAGCCCCTGTGGCTGAACAGACAACTCCTCCTGACCATCCCGTCGCGTCTAGAAAGTCTTACAGGTGAGTTGCGAGTCAACATGGAATGTGCTCTTGCTCTTTACTGACGGACTTTCGGCAGACGCAAGTATCGCAAGATCATGGTCACGTTTGAGGAGAAAACGAGGGAAAGCACCGCTCTCTTCAAAGAAGAGCACAGAATTCTTGACATATCTCAACGACTAGCAGAGCAGACCGAGTAAGGGAGCATCAGCAAAATGTACCTACGACGCTGACCGTAACCTGTAGTCAACTACTTCAGCTGCTTGTGGACTTGAATTCATGCCCGCAAGTCCCTTCACGCCTACGCTACGATCTCCAGTCTCCCTCCGAGCACAACTCATCAGATGAGCCCACAACCCAAGCGAACACCGAGGAGGAGGGTCATCTGGTACTTCGGAAAGCAAGATATCAATTGCAAACAGGAGAGATCGACGTGGGAACCTACAGAGAAATTGAAGCATCTCTACTCAAAACCTCAGCATTCGCTCCACAGCGCTCATACTCTTCGTTACTGTCAGATGCATCGCTACCTCATCCTACGTCGAAGGCGACGTCTGGTCAAGGCGCCACGGAGGCTTTCCTGTCGACAAGACACGAAGAAGAATACCTACAATCCCTGGATGCGTTCCTCGACGGTACTACAACCAACCCTCGAGCGCACGCTACCAGCAGTCTTGGAACCCGAATTGCGGAAAGGAGTACCGAACGAGAACGAGAGATGCAGCTAAAGAATCCTGTCTCGGTCTACAACTGGCTTCGCAAGCATCAGCCACAGGTGTTTCTACAGGACAATGAGCCGGCGACTGAGAAGGCACCCCGCCCAGCCGGATCAAGAAGCTCTGCGCGAAAGTCTGCTAGCAAGGAAGCACTCAAGCAGGAGCAAGATCTATATGATGACGATGGGATTGCCATGGACGTGGGCGCCTCGGCAAGGGGAAAGCGCAAGAGAGATAATGACGGTGGTTATCGCCCCAAAGGAGGTAACTCACGAGGAACCAAGCGCAGGAAGGAGAGCAAAGAAGAATCCGGTGGTCGCAACAAGCGGGCGAAGAAACTGTCGGTGGACGCGAGATAGACAAACCTGGAGAAGCTCGACTGAGGCATTTTGCATGATGGATAGGAGCGGCGGGAATGGCGTTCACCATGTGGCACAAATTGCGCTTTTTCTCTGCAGGAGTATTCTTGCTCAGGCCGTCGGATACCCAGGTAGCATGACAAACACCAGAGAAAGCTGGAATGCTGAATCTCAAGGAGATGAGCAGACCAGGAGATTATGTCAGGTGCCAGAATGCCAATCCTCGCCCGCCGGTTTCATAAAACCATCCGTGCTTTAAATGCTTTTGCGTGTGGCCCTCTCGGCGTGTTTAGTACACTCCTCCGACCGATCCTACCCACTGCCAATGTGTGCATAGTGCGTACCTCCTTGTCTCCTTAACTTGGATTCTGCAGAAATCCGGGCAGCCTGGGAACAAATTATCTTGGAAGCTCCCCTCGTCCTCCGAGTACCAGCGACGCGCCTCTACACCTTTCTTCGTTGCTGCTTCTCTCTCTAAGAATGCCCGGGAAGCCCTGATATTGTCGTAGGTCAGAATGGCCGGACTTGAACAGATTGAGGTTCACTCTCGGGTGCGCTGATTTCGCCGTGGTTTGAACGCATGGGACGACTTGCGCTGACGCCAGTCTACACAGAACTACCTCGTACGCTGGATTAACGTGAAGCAAGAACACACCATCTCGTGGACTATCCTACCTCACAAGAAATCCATCAACTTTGGCTTATTCAAACACCCCGGACCGCTGTCCAACCTACATTCCTCCTCTGCCTCCCTCGCTCCTCCCTCCCCAAATCCTTCCGCAGTCGACGAAGACAAGTCAGAGACAGGCTCAAGCGCCATTGAGAAGCTCACCGGGATTGGGCTCAAGCAGATCAAATGGGTGGGCAAGTGTGAAGCTGACAGGGTCAGCCATGGTAGGCACGACGTGCGCTTGGGAGAAGCCGGAAACTATGCGCTGGTCTTTGATAACACGTTCTCGAAGAGCATCTCCAAGACAGCTACCGTGTTCCTGCTCACTTATCCGACAGCATGCCAGTCCCAAATCCAATTTGGTGCTCAGCCGCAACAAGGCCAGTCAATGGCAACTGCAATGGCCATAGCCTCTTCGTCTGCGCCATTGTTCAAAAGAAGCCCCAAGCTGAAGGCCAAAGACAAGGAGTCGGTGGACTCGCTTCGACAAGCGTCGATCAACCACTCAATTGCAGGCAGCATTGCGCCTGTCTCGGAAGGACTACGATTGGATTCGCCGTCGATCCACACCGGAGTCCTCCAGAAGCGCAGGCGTAAGAAGCACCAAGGCTATGCTAGGAGGTTCTTCTGCCTAGACTATACGTCCTCGACACTGTCTTACTATCGCGACCGGAACTCATCTGCGCTTCGAGGCGCCATCCCACTGTCCCTCGCGGCCATCACGGCCAACACCAAATCGCGAGAAATCACAATTGATTCCGGAGCTGAGATTTGGCACCTGAAGGCCAGCAACGAAGCGGACTTTCAGGCTTGGAAGAACGCATTGGAGACAGCGGCGCGACTCATGCTGCATTCTCACCCGCCAGGCGAGAACTCACAAATTGACATTGCCAAGGACGCCAGAAGCGACGGAGCCAGCGTTTTTGACGGCCAAGAATGGGCGAGATTGGAGACTCTCTTGAGCAGAATATCAGGTACACGCGATGCTGTGCGTAGACTCTGTCTAGATACCCTAGCTCAAGGACTACCTCCCCCATCGCCCAGGTTGGGCTCGACTTCGCCAGGTTCCACGCCTACCGAGGCTCCCATGGACGACTATTTCAAGCAAGACGATAAGCGACCTTTTTGGAAGAGGAAACCCAGTACGAATAATAGTCAGACGAACATCTTCAAGCGCAGTGTTTCTGCTCAATTAGCTGTTCCCGTTCCTGGCGTCGAACCACTCCTAAGAAACGGCATACCAGTCCCCCAAGTGCCGCCGGACGGACAGAATAGGCCACATCTTCGTCACGAGGAAAGCATGCATGATCACTGCAAAGCCGTGCTGCATGATCTGGATTCCGTAGTTGGCGAATTCGCTATCCTCATATCGGAGAGCAAAATCCGAAGAACAACCCCTCCGAAATCTACAGTGTCTCGGCTAAGCATGCAGTCGGTCGAGTCGCAAGAGTACTTTGACGCCGAAGACACGTCTCGCGTCTGGGACATTCACTCTGATACAGATCATGAAGGTACGGATGAAGGTACGGGTGAAGATGAAGACTCGGTAACAAGCAGTGACATTGGGGAGGATTCGCTGGACGTGGCGAAAAGGCGATCTGGGAGTGTTTCGACATTTCTCCCTCCACGCTCCAAGTCCTTGACGCCGTTACCACTGGGTCCCATTCCGCGACGAAATCAAATTGCTCCTCCGACCATCATGCCCCCCAGTCTGATTGGCTTTCTCCGAAAAAATGTGGGCAAAGATTTGTCCACAATCTCCATGCCGGTGTCTGCGAATGAGCCTCTGTCGCTGCTTCAGCGGGCGGCTGAACAGCTGGAGTATTCACCGTTGCTCGACAGTGCGGACAAGAGCCACGACGTCTTCGAACGGTTGATGTATGTCACGGCCTTTGCAGTGTCATCCCTGTCCAATGCACGAGTTAAGGAGCGATCGATTCGGAAGCCATTCAATCCAATGCTCGGGGAGACGTATGAGCTTATTCGGGAAGACAGGGGGTTCCGATTCATTGGCGAGAAGGTGTCACATCGTCCAGTTCAGCTCGCGATCCATGCAGAGTCGAGTCAATGGACGTTTACTCAATCTCCCTTACCGTCGCAGAAATTCTGGGGCAAATCGTCTGAGATCATCACGGAAGGCAAAGCGCGATTAGTCCTCCATAGTACGGGTGAGAGCTACAGTTGGTCTGCAGCGACATGTTTCCTGCGAAACATCATCGCTGGAGAGAAATATGTGGAGCCCGTTGGTACTATGACGATCTTCAACGAGAGCTCTGGGCACAAGGCTGTCGTATCCTTCAAAGCCAAGGGTATGTTTTCGGGCCGGAGCGAGGAAGTTGAAGTGCAGACGTTCGACGCCAACGGACAAGACTTGGCTATTGGACTCAACGGTACCTGGACTAATGCGCTCCAGCTTAAAGAGCCCGGGAAAATCGGTCGCTCGACCATCTGGTCTGTGGGACCACTTGTCGACGAAGCACCCAAACATTATGGAATGACCTTGTTTGCAGTCCAACTCAATGAAATCACTGAGCTCGAGCATGGGAAGCTACCACCTACGGATAGTCGACTTCGACCAGATCAACAGGCGCTGGAACGGGGCGATCATGACGGCGCAGAGACACTGAAGAATCGGCTCGAAGAAGGGCAGCGAGCCCGACGAAGAGAGATCGAGGGCAATGGCGACGAGTGGAAAGCCAGGTGGTTTTCCAAAGTCGAACTGGATGACGAGGTTGTTTGGAAGCTGAAGACAGGCAAAGAAGGGTATTGGGAAGCACGAACACGGGGTGAGTGGACTGGTGTTGTGCCTGTGCTACAAGTGTAATGTTGATGGCAAGACCTCTATACAAGGAGCAGAGATGAAGGAGAATGCTCACATCTAACCCGCTTTTTGGAACTGATACTGATCCAATACGAGTATTATCCGCGAACATGGGACTCTCGCACTCTCTTCTGTTATAAATGTGGCCACCACAGCATTCTAGTTCTCGGTCTCGTCCTCGATCAATTCCTGGACTTCACCCTTCACACATCCTTGTACCTACACAATACTGCACCCCCTGCAGCTGAAAGGTCCGTGACCGTGTGAGCGTGACAATTGCTTTTTCGTGGCTTTGATTCGTGTCGACGCTCAGACCTCCGGAGTCTGTCTCGTACTCCATTGAAGAATCCTCAGTGCCTCCGTACAACCAATCGTGATCCAATCGCATTCCTGTTCGCCCCACGTTCCATTTTTGCGCGCTTCTTCTCGATCCAATCGTCCGACGTGACCGGCCCGTTAGCGAGTGAGAGAGTGGATGGTGGTGGGCAGCATCTCTGGGAACTTGATAAGCGACTTCGAAGCTTCTGCAAGGTCGTAACCAAGGGAGTTGATGTCATGGGGAGGGCTACTCGCAGCTGTGGTAGAGAAAATTGTCTCTGCCATCTTGTTACTCGTGATTGTCTCGTCATTTCTTACTCCTGGCTGTCGCCTGTCACTCCTTTGATTAACACGCCAGCCATTTACGGGTAACGACCTGTAGTCTTTAAGAAACCTTTTGCCGCGTCCCCAACCTCCTCGACCATTCTCATACCCTACGTGTCTCCCTTCCAAATTCCTGCTCGATCCTCGACCCCGATTCGGATCCTCCGCGTTACATCAACCCAGAGCCTCTTCCACGTCCGTGCACCGTGTTTCACTTGGACCGAGCGACCACGTTTTTGCGCGATATCGCAGCACTTTTCTACACCCAAACCTCTTGCCTGCCGGAGGGACTATCGACGGGTAGCAGATCAGCTTCTCGAAAGGCCCCATTCCGGAACCCAAGGTCCCCAGTTGATTGCGCGACCGGTGAGGCCTGAGCTCTTGAACCAAATCCATGGAATTGCCATGTTAGAACCCACAGTCTGGACTTGAGTCATTTCTCTTCATCAGTATGGCTTTGGCTTTTCTTCAAGCACGCACCCTCAGACGATCAACCTCAACATTCATCGACGCCTTTCTATGACAGTGAGACCGCTGGCTGGAAAGAAAAGCAAAAGCAAAGCAAAGCAAAGCAAAGCGAAGCGCAACCGCCTCTACGAGACTCAAGACTCAAAATCCAAGCGCAAGCACGAAGGAAACCACGACTTCAAACCCGAATAGTAAGAACGATCCGAGACGAATGGCCTTTCTCGTCGACATGGCGACTCCTCGTCGCCCTTCGTCACTGCTGAACCGCACTTTGAGCACCCCTCCCACCACACCAATCACGCCCACCACGACATCGAACAAGACCTCGAAACCTCAGCCTGTCCAGTATCCAGCCTCGATCCTGACTCCCCCAACTTCACCATGGCAAAGTAACTCGTCACCGGACATCGCCACTGTCGCGGAGTCCCGCAAACCACCACAACCACAGAGAATGGCAGAGCAGCCTGAGACACCCGGCGAATCACCGACACCGGCAAGTCCGTCCGTCTTCGAATGCCCCTTCGACGTGGAAATCGTTAAAGACGACTACGACCGCGACGACACTTACGGCACCGGTGCTTGGTCCATCGTGTACAAAGCCACCACGCACGCCCGAACCGATGCCACCGCGGACACCTCATGTACACCACCATCACCACCCACGACGAGCATGCCCCCCCTGGTCGCCGTCAAAAAGCCCACCCGACGCGACGCCACCGCGATCTTGCACTCCGAGGCCAAAATTCTGGCTTATATCCGCACAGTTCCTTTCTCGGAAAAGTATGTCGTCGGCTTCCACGGCACCGCCAGAGGCGACCCTGACCAGGCGACTCTCGTGCTCGACGGCCTCCCCTGCAGTCTAGAAGCGCATCTGTGCAAACGGTCATATCGATCGTCCCAGAATTTCGGCATCGGCACCATGCGCGAGCCCGTGATTGGGAGCGTCGACGCGTGGCTGACGCTCGCCAACCAATTGGTCTCGGCGCTCGCATGGCTGCACAACATCGCCGGCGTGGTGCACGGGGACATCAAACCCGCTAACATACTGCTCTCCAACGTGGTCCACTCAGCGTCCTCCGGGGAGGTGGTCGAATTCATGCCGGTGTTGGCGGATTTCTCGAGCGCGCAGAGGATGCACGTGGATGAGGTGACGCCCAACACGCTGGCGGCTATGACGAGAGAGTATACGGCGCCGGAACTCTTGTCGTCGAAATTCCTGCGCAACCCGAACTCGAGAGCGACGGCCGCGAGCGACGTGTTCAGTCTCGCGGTGACGTTGTTGGTTGCCGCGACGGGAGATTTGCTGGTGTACACTGGCACTGTGTTCCAGAGGCAGGCCATGGCCACGCAGGGCTGGCAGGTTCTGGAGCACGTGCGTTCGGGCGATCGGGGGAGCAGGGTGCCGCGGCACGGGGTTGTGGAGAGGGTGTTGGAAAAAGCCGTGCTGAAGAAGGACATGGGTCGGGTGAGTGCGTTGGCCTGGCTGGATATTGTGGAGAGGGTGAAGCGTGGGGAGCCGATGCCGTGGAATTGACGTTGGACGGACTTGAAAATGAAGCAAGTCGGCGTCTTGAGAACAGTCGATGAGCTAACTCAATGATATTCGGTCGTTGTAGACGCAGCCAGGGACCAAGGTCTGGCATGTATACAACACGGCGGCCACCACCTGCCAGTATGAGGCAGGACTTCTTTGGTGCGATACATCCCGGTTCGGAAATTAACAGATAGCCACCCTACGATTGAGACGCATCTCTTCGATATATTTGTTTTGGTGTGGAATGGAATGGGAGGGACGGATAAACACAAACACGACAGTCCTGTTCTCGTTTTATTTCTTCCGGGGCTTTTTTATTCATTATTCATGAAGTCCAAACGGCAGCACTATCACCATCACCACAGGAAATGAGGTTGAGGTTGAGGTTGGGATTGAGATTGAGACTGAATGTACAAGTATTGGCTCTCGCATAGCAATGCATGCGTTATTGAGCATTGGATCACGGAGTTCTGTCTGATTGAAGACATAGACAGGCATCCATAGGAGCGATGGGCATGATGGCTTTCTCTGCCCAGGAAAAGGAATGGCCAGAAACGCTTGTATTATTATGATGCTATTCGATTGAACACGATATTTGAGACTTTGACAAAGTTGTCCGTTGCATCATCATATTCAAAGTCATTAGATTGGCATATGACAACTTTCATCCTCTCCTGTTGACATCGCCTTTCCCGTCGTTATCCCTCGCCTAGATTGGTATACCGGGCTTTGTAAAAACGCTTCCTCACCCACCAACTCTGCCACGCCTTCATCCTCGCCGTCGCCGTCGCTGTACTTTAGTCCCCTAAATGTCAATTCACACTGAAATCTCTCCTCTCCACCGCCCCTCCCATACTCTCGCAAAAGTCACCGAGCCGCTTTCCCCATTCGACCATCCGTTCCTCAATATACTTTGCATAATCCTTCTTGACCTTCTTGGCCAGCAGACCTCGTTGCGCTTCCCAGTCCCAGTACTCACACATCTCCGACCCGTCGCCGCTGACAATCGGCCTGATCTCGTGCACCCGCTGCGCCTGCAGGAGGAATTTCGGAAACGCTTTCGGCGGGTTATACGCGTTCTCCACGGCCCAGACCAGTCTATACACGCCGGACTTGGAGACCGTGTGCGTCTGTGTGCGGGCAATGTCGCCCGGCGTAGGATCGTCGGATGGATCGTCTGGCCGCGACACCTCGCTGACCACAAAGTTCATCTGGCGCATCTCCTGGCTTTTGGGGAGCTTCATCTTCACGTGGAACGTCATCTTCGTGCCGACTTGGATACGCACGCTCGGTTCGCCATATAGGGCGTTGATGTTCAGTTGGCGGCGGTGAGACGAGCTCTTGCGTCGGGAGGCGTCCTTGTTGTGTGAGACGGCGAGTGCGGTGGACGCGGTGTTGGGTGGTGCGGGCATGAGAATGGATGGGTTGTTGGGAGCTTCGAGCATGATGGCGTTGTTGGTTGGCGGAGGAGTCTCGCCGGCTGCTAGAGATGCTTTGCGCGCTTCTTGTGCGGCTTGGTATTTTTGGGCGCCGGATAGTCCATTTGTCGAACCGGGGCGAGCGGCTTCTGAGCTCATACGATTCGACTGCTCCGACATACGTCTGCTTGCGTTGCTGGCGAGTCGTTGGCGAGTCACCGGTGGTAAGAGGTGGCCCTGGGAGCTCCTCCTGCCTTGCCCATCTTGATCTTGGGACTCCTCGATGACGTCGCGCGCCATGCTACCTCGTCTGGAGGCTTGTTGGGAGGGTATGGCGGCACCGTCGGTGATTTCGGAGTCGTAGCTGACGGCTATAGAGGTGTTGCGTACGAGTTCCTCAACCTCGGCCAGTGTGGCGTCGTCTTCTTCGTCGGGCTGATAGGTAATCGTGACACGAGGGATCCAGCGGTTCCAGTCTTTCCACGTCTCGGTGTTACGTAGAGTTCGGAAGACAAGTGAAGCTGGCGCGTTGATGCGTGTACATGCTGAGCAGTAGAATGTCGCTTCGGACATGGGGATGTCCGGGGTTGAGAAGTCGGTCTTTGTGGCCATTTTGATTCAGGTTTGTGGTACCCCCGTGAAACGGCACCCAGTATTGTTATGCTCGTGTGCTTTGAACGTGTGCAGTGGTCAGCCTGTCGTAGTGGCAACTGGCAACGTCTGGGTGGTAGCGACAGCCTTTCCAGCTGTTCTCGCTGGCTGGGTGCTGTTGAGCCTGAGCAAGGCCACCTTGACTGCTTATCGGTTTTTTTCAGTCCAGCAGCTGATACTGATGGTTCATCGCAGGTCCGGGTCGCTGCCTTCCACCATGGTTATTCAACCTTTGGTTCAATAACACACTATTTCCTTGCGACTGTAAAAAACAGGCAGAAATTTGTGCGGCTGAAGCGAGCAGCAAAAAATCGTAGTTAGGCAAGCAAAGAGAGTGTGATAGGCTGGAAGCTACAGCTCGGGTTTCCTCCACAGAGAATACGATTCAAGTCAGATCGAGCACATGACGCATGTCAGTTATTAGTCATATACGCTGGTGTTGCTGTGCGCGCTTGACCAGCGTATGGATGTATTCGAAGTCGAGTAAGATGGACAAGAAGATCCGGGATGCCTTGTGACGCAGCTTGCGGTTTGTCTCTGGCACGGGTTATGAGACCCAAGGAGTCGGTGAGTAGCTAAGTGGAGGATGAGGAGGAACAGAGTATGTACCTGGTAGTAACTTAAGAAGAAATCCACGTTGTCGGCATGTGGATAGTGTGGATAGTGTGGGGGAGGACAACTCGCGAAGACGCCATTGATAGGAGCTCCAAATGGGAAATTGCTGCCGACATCAAGCTATATTTGCCAGGTACAAAGATGAGTACAGGCGGACAAGTTCCCAGACTTGTCGAAAAGGTCGAACTATCTTGATTTGCGACCGAGATACTGAGTAGTGGTCGACTCTCTGCTAAGGATTTGGAGCCTTTTGGTTCTTTCCAAGCCATGTTTCTGGAAGGACTGACAATCCTCTGGAAGCCCGCTGATATCTGACAGAGCGATCAGGGCCTTGGATCTTGGTATTGATGATGAATGCCTACCATCATGAGTATACCTCTCACCTGGCGAGAGATAGGAAGGGCGCAACATATGGAGAGCGAATCACACTCTACTAGACGGAGTGAGGAGCAACGACTTTTCGGATCGTTCAATCTATGATTGTAGCTGACTAGCTTTTGACGTCCTTCAAGCGAAAGGTCCAGCTTGAATACAATATTCCCGACGACCATCCACTTCCACTGTGACGATGTCGTAGTGTTTCTCCATAGTAACAGGATGTGATCTTCCTTGCCTTCTCCCCAGGTCGTGCAGAGGAACCTTGTAATGTCCAGCGACGGTATGCCGATTTGTAATGGTTTCCAATTTCAGACTGTTTGTTGTGAGGCCCATTGATGGCAAAGGACAAGCCAGCGCAGACACTATGGCGAGCATGGCGTGACTGATAATATCCGAGTCGATGTCTTGCGCATGTTCTGGCTCAACCTCTTCACACGACGTTCTTCTCCACTTCCATTCCCAGCATGTAATCGATGTATGGGTTGTGATGGTGATTGCGAATTGGACGTTGCTTCCTCGTTTCTCTCATACATTCATAGCAGCCGTGGATCATATCGTGTGTAACGCAGACACGGGTGAACGGAAAGCCACGCAGACGCCACTCCAACCTCATTGCCGCTGCGCAGAGAATCCATCCTATGCTGCCACCTAACACAATGTAGCCAAGTGGACTGACGGCCGCACTGTCCATGCTGCTCTGTTTCCTCGCCGAAGTGTGAAAATGGGATGTAGTCGTTATTGGTGTTTGGGCTGCTTGAAGGCAATTAATTCGCAGCGATTGCTCAGTTGGAATTCATTGCAGCTTCAGGTAACTGTCACCGCTCGCAGTTGTGAAGATTTCTCGCCAAGCGTCGCAAGAATATTCCCATATAGGGTGACAGTATTTTTAGCATCCGGTCGGCTCCTCAGCCATCGAGGCACATATGCCTAATATTCTGATTGCAATGGGTGTGGTATCAAGGGGAAATTTGAAAGCGAGATTTACTTTCGTGCTTGCTCTCTCTCCACCTCGTACATGAAGTCGAAATAAGCCTTGTCGAAGTTGTGCATACGCACGTAACCGTCCTCACCACCACTTGCGTATGCAGTACCCTGGGGATGAACCGCGATAGTGTTAAGGGGACCGAAGTGGCCCCTGACACGGCCGATTTCGTCTTCGAAGATTTTGTGGTAGAAACGAGCCTCAAACTTGCCTTGACGAGCCGAGGTTGTCGTGACTTCCATTGCCGCTTGACCACCACCGAGGATAACATTGTCCTTCTTGGTTGTAATGGCAGCCGTGTTGAGAGGGGTGTCGGCCACGTAGGTCTTGAGGACGCTCAAGTCTCTCGACGACAAGATCTATAAACAAATTAGTACACGTTGGAGGTAAGCGAGAAGGGACCAACCTTTGCAGACTTGTCTTTGCCAGCGGTGATGAAGTAGGTCCGGTCGGGAGACATTTGCAGGTCATTGATGGTAGTGTCGAACTCATGTGCTTCCATAGTCATCAAGCTTTCTCCTGTCTGTGCAATGTGTTAGTCAAATACCACGATCTCTTGCGAGATACCATGTACCTTTGCGTCCCATTGGGTGACTGAACCATCCTCATGGCCAGAAATGATATATTTGTCCAAATAGCTCCAGCCTGCAACCGTAGCCTTGCTGTCTTCACAAGTGATTCTCAAGCTGTGTTCGTTGGTTTGATCTGTCAGGTCGTCTCCGTACCGAATGTCGTATACCACGATAGTGCCCAGGTAGCCCATTCTTTTTTCTGTGACCCCAAGCAATTGTTTTCCATCCTCACTGAACTCGACCCTCTTGACGGCAGTGGGAAATTCCCAAGTCTTGACATTTTCACCGGTCCGCACATTCCACAGTCTTATCGTGTTGTCGGCGGATCCAGAGGCAAGTAGCTCGCAGTTGGGCGAGACATCCACCGTCCAGATGGCACCTTGATGGCCGTTGTATGTTCCCAACCGTTCTCCGTTACTGGTGTACCACGCGCAGATCACCTTATCTTTGGCGACTGAGAATAAGAGATCGCCATCCTTGTTGTACTTGATCTGAGTGAGGGCACGTTCCTGAGCTTCAGGTCAGCGGAAATTCTGGAACGAAATTTGATTTCAGGGCGACGTACGTGACCCTGCAAAAGGGTAGGCCTCATGATGGTGCAAGGGTTCTTTCTGCAAAGTACTGGCTTCAAATAGTCGGAGGTGTGTTATTCCGCAAGTGTTGGGCCAGGAAAGGTGTGAAATAGGTGGCTGCGTGCTGAATTATCGACTTCCTGCCTGCGGTGCGAGTCAGAGGCGATGTGGGAGTTTCTGATAGCCAAGCCTTAGCGAGTCATGAGATTTTTCCAATAACCAGCCAGACACCCTTATTAGTGCGGGACAACTGACTCGCGTAATAAAATTGTGGTGACTACCCGTCCGCATTGAGCACCAAAACTACGTCTTCAAGCTTCGAGGGGCTTTCCAGTGACTGCGATTTGTGAGGGCCGAGAATAGCGAGTCTCCTCGGTCATTGCACGTCGTAGCCACGGATTAGGACGAACCCATGGCCAGCAGAGCCCTTGGTGCACGAAATTTGTATACTTCTGTTGCAAAACATTCCTCCAAAACTATTCTCCGCGCTCCGATATCATCCTACCGACATACCATTTTCTTCGTCCCGACCCTGTCCGCAAAGACTGCTGTCAGGTACAATCTGCCTGAGAGGGGCATAAAGCACCGTCAGTCGAGCGCCCGCCAAACAAGACTCTTCTCCACCACGCCTGCCATGGGAGCCACCAAGATAGATGGAAAGGCAATTGCCCAGAAAATCAGAGAGCGTTTGGCCAGCGAGATCAAGGAGAAACAACAGGCCAATCCACGCTACAAGCCATGTCTGAAAATCATACAGGTGGGCGAGAGACCAGACTCAACCACCTATGTGCGAATGAAGTTGAAGGCGGCCGAGGAAGCTGGGATCGATTGCACTCTATCACACCTTTCCTCCGACATTTCAGAGCCTGAGCTACTACAACAGATCACGGACTTCAACAACGACCCAGCGGTCCACGGTATACTCGTCCAATTACCTCTCCCTAAGCATATCTCCGAGCATGCTATCACCTCCGCTGTGTCGGATGAGAAAGATGTGGATGGGTTTGGTACCTACAACATTGGAGAGCTCGCAAAACGAGGTGGAAAGCCCTTCTTTGTTCCCTGCACGCCGAAGGGTGTCATGGTCTTGTTGCAAGAAAGTGGTGTTGACGTCAAAGGGCAAAGAGCTGTGGTACTCGGCCGCAGCGATATTGTGGGCAGCCCAGTCAGCTATCTCTTGAAGAACGCAGATGCTACCGTAACAGTATGCCACTCAAAGACCCAGAATCTCAAGGAAGTCGTCAAACAAGCTGATGTGCTGGTTGCTGCAATCGGTCAACCCAATTTTGTCAAAGGAGATTGGTTGAAGCCTGGTGTGGTGGTCATCGATGTCGGCACAAACTACATTCCGGACTCTTCAAAGGCATCAGGTCAACGCCTAGTTGGAGATGTGGACTTCGAGGCTGCGGCTGAGGTAGCCTCCCAAATCACTCCGGTTCCTGGCGGTGTTGGTCCAATGACGGTTGCAATGCTCATGCAAAATGTCGTCGAGTCAGCTTCTGGGTACTTTGAGAGGCTGAAAGCTCGACATGTCACGCCTCTTCCCATTAAACTTCAGTCACCAGTACCATCCGATATTGCCATATCGAGATCCCAGCATCCAAGGCATATTACACATATCGCTGCCGATGTCGGGATTGCTCCTCATGAATTGGAGCCTTATGGGGCTTACAAAGCCAAGGTCGACCTTTCGCTACTGACACGCCTGCAACATCGCAAGAACGGGAAGTACATCCTAGTCAGTGGTATCACCCCAACTCCCCTGGGAGAAGGAAAGTCCACAACTACCATGGGTCTTACCCAGGCTCTCGGTGCACATCTAGGCAAAGTGACGTTTGCCAATGTCCGACAGCCAAGCATGGGCCCAACATTTGGTATCAAGGGTGGTGCAGCTGGTGGAGGTTACAGCCAAGTGATCCCCATGGATGAGTTCAACCTTCATCTGACGGGTGACATTCACGCTATCACCGCCGCAAACAACCTCCTAGCTGCGGCTATTGACACACGTATGTTTCACGAGTCGACCCAGAAGGACGGGGCGCTCTACAAGCGCTTGGTGCCAAGCAAGAAAGGCAAACGAGAATTTGCTCCTGTCATGCTCCGAAGACTGAAGAAACTTGGTATCGAGAAGACAAATCCCGATGACCTGACAGAAGACGAAATCCATCGTTTTGCCAGACTGGATATCGATCCTGAAACAATCACATGGAGAAGAGTCCTCGATGTGAACGACAGGCATCTGAGGGGTATTACCATTGGCGAAGCACCCACGGAAAAAGGTCACACCAGACATACTGCGTTTGATATATCCGTTGCAAGTGAGTGCATGGCTATCCTGGCGCTGAGCAACGATCTCAAGGATCTCCGCGAGCGTCTTGGCAGGATGGTGATTGGGTTTTCAAAGTCTGGTGACCCGGTCACTTGCGACGATATTGGCGCAGGTGGTGCACTTACTGCTCTCATGAGAGACACCATCAAGCCGAACCTCATGCAAAGCTTGGAGGGTACTCCCGTCTTTGTCCATGCTGGCCCATTTGCGAACATAAGCATTGGTAACAGCTCGGTGCTAGCTGACAAGTTGGCCTTGAAGCTGGCTGGAACCGAGCCTGACGAGGATCATAAAGCCAAGGCTGGATATGTTGTTACGGAGGCAGGATTCGACTTCACCATGGGCGGCGAACGATTTTTCAACATCAAGTGCAGATCATCTGGTCTTGTGCCTGACGTTGTGGTTGTCGTTGCTACGATTCGTGCCCTGAAAGTGCACGGAGGTGGGCCGGAGATATCTGCAGGAGCATCTTTGCCGGAAGCGTATCGCACAGAAAATGTCGAGATGCTGAGGGCTGGTTGCGTTAACCTCAAGAAACATATCGCCAACGCCAGATCCTATGGTGTGCCCGTTGTCGTCGCCATCAACAAGTTTGAAACAGATACCGAGGCTGAACTCAAAGTCATTGAGGAGGAGGCTCTTTCTGCAGGAGCGGAAGCGGCTGTGCCTGCCAATCATTGGGCAGAAGGTGGCGCTGGCGCGGTAGATTTAGCCAAAGCAGTCATTGAAGCCTCGTCGAAACCAAAGGACTTCAAACTCCTGTATGATCTGGAAGGAAGTGTGCAGGAGCGCATCGAAAAGATTGGAAAGGAAATGTATGGTGCTGCCGCGGTCGAATTCAGTGAAGTGGCACAGAAAAAGGTGGACATGTACAACAAGACCGGCTTCGGAAATCTGCCAATCTGTATTGCGAAGACGCAATACAGTCTGAGTCATGATCCAGCATTGAAGGGCGCTCCGACAGGCTTCACCGTTCCTATCCGCGATGTCAGATTGGCTGCCGGAGCCTCGTACTTATGTGAGTCTTCAAGACACTGCACCATTCACCAATGCACTCCCATGCTTTCTTCCTGTCTTCCCTGTTATACGCTGCTGACCTATGACCAGATGCCCTTGCTGCAGATATTCAAACGATACCCGGCCTCCCAAGTAAGTTCTTCCATGTCCGGAAAGCAGGGTATTTGCCCATTGGGCTTCATGCTCTGTTTATCTCTTTACTGGTACAGTCTTCTAACAATTGGCAGCGGCGCCTGGATACCTCAACGTAGACGTGGATCTCGAAACAGGCGAGATCGACGGTTTGTTTTAGACGGATGGGCTCACGCATGGTTTTTAACGACTTTCAACAAAACAGTGATACCCAACATTCACCATTTTGGTAATCAAAATTCACAAGTGTTCAATGTCTTCGAACTTCTTTGTCTTCGCTATGCCTTATCTCCCTTTGCGAAATGCTACTGGCATACATATAATAACAGGGTTCGCAATGGCCCCTTCGTGCTGATCTAGCCCTCGTCTTCGTACGAATATCCCTCTCAATCAACCTCAATTGCCAGTTAACTCAACCAAACATCTTGCCAGTGTATGTTTGACCCAAGCCCCTGAATATACTCGCCGTGCATGATGCCATGGATATAAGCTTCTCCAAGAAACTTATACTCGTGCGACCCGTGGATGCGACGCAGCAAAAATGGCGTCCTGCCGCCTTCGAGCAACCACACCTCGTCATTACCCGGTTTCACGGACTTGTTGACGATTCCCAAGGTCTTCAAATTGTCCAGATAGCAGAGGACCCCCATGTATTTGATCCAGCGCCGCTCGAATTGGCGGGAAACGCGCTAGTAGCTGGTCTTGTTCCGGGCCTGTCACAAGCATCTCCAAGCTACCTACAGGTACTTGTGCAGGGTCCGGGTCCGGAGCCTTCTCGCTCTCCAACAGCGTCCTCCAGAGGTCCCAAGTGCTTCTCAGCAACTGGAGAGCACTCCGGTCATGTGCAGCTTCTGCTGAGAGTTGTAAAGTATTCAACTTGTGCTCCAGCCAAGATCTGAACACTTCCCGATAGCTTGCCTGGGCCGGATAGGCATCACCGACATTCGCAATCATGGTGCGCCATAGTCGATCAAAGACAACAGGCTCAGCGCCATAGCTACCTGTTGAAGCTTGGCAAAGTCGCATCGCGTCCTTCAGGAATGAAGCCATGCTATGCAGCTCGTCTGGATCACAGGTATGTGCTGAAGTATCGGCAACTGCATCGACTCTGAGACCGCGCAGACAGAGTTTCAACCCTTGGCGGTCGAACTTTCGATGTTGCTGATAGTCTTTACCCAGGTGTCCTGTCGCTGCGGCAGCATCGTATAGGCATTGGCCGTTGATTTCAAAGGACTGTAGAGACACGAGCGTTTGGGAAACGCAGGTCCGGGATCCATGTTCGACTAAGCCGGTCATGGCCAGATGCTGCATCGGGAGATGTCAGGGAGAGAATAGCCAGATGTGGGACCTTCAGCAGGATCTGTGCCGTGAAATGTGCGTAGAGCCGATCTAGATCCATGGTATAGTGGATGTCAAACAAGTCTTTGGTGTGAGTCTCCTTTCCTCCCTGCATTTGCGTGATGTACGGTACCATGCCGATAAAGCCAAAAATGATGTCTTTCGGATTCCTGACCTCCTTTCTGGACGATTTAGCAAGATATATCACGTAGGCAATCCAAGCTTCGGCCGACGTCGTGCCGTAGACGAGACTCATCCATCGGGATGCCTGTTCGTCGAAAGGAGTCCCGTCCCTTTGCATCGCGCTGCGAATGTTGAGGCATACAATCATACCTTTGCGGAGACCCGTCACGTCGAGGCCTAAAGTGACGCTGAGATAGTGCGCCCAGTTATACTTACTGTCGAAGACCAGACAGTTGTTTAGAACGCGGAATGTAGCGTTCCGGGAACGTTAGATGTCCGCATAAGATGGTCATTCTGGATGCGAATGCGAATTCTTGGACCACCCACACTCGCCAGAACCATGACCGCCGGTGGAAATTGATGTGCGCTTGCCAGGACCTCTTTGCCGGGTCTAGCGGCGCAGAGCGCAGCAAACTCCATAATCGAGCATCGCCTGGATCGAGGTCCGTTACCTGAGCCGGTGGTTTGCGCCCGGCGAGTTCTTCATCGTCGCTCAGCTGCAGAATAGGCCTGGCGAGACGCTCATACAGCGCGCGGCACATAAGAGCATCTTCGTCAGCGGGTCCAAGCCAGACAATTACTTCCTGAGCACGACGGTAGATTTCGGCCATGACGTGTATTTGCGAGTTTAGCTCTTGGGCATTGCCTTGATCGATGCAGGTCGCGTCGTTCCACAGATACGCACTGGGATATCTTCTCACCAGCTCGGTCAATGCCTCATGTAGGCTGCTGCCTACATGGATTCGGTGGCTATTGACAGTGACCTAGATTTGCTACTTTCGCCATCGTAGAGCACCGTGCTCGGGTGATCTGCAGGGAAAGGACTACCCCAAGTATATGATAGTGCAAGGTACGGTGGTGCATACTCTAGCTCGAACACGCGTAAGTCAAGCGCAATATCGCCTTCCGGTCCCAGTGCGGATGGAAGTGTGAGAAGGCGTATGTATGCCGAGTAGCTCGGCAATGGACATGGGTAAAGATTGTTCCTGGTTTTGAGAGACATCCACGTTGTAGATTCTCCTGTCCGTTTAGATGACCAAGCAAAAAGCTAAGAAGTAATAAGCGCGCTGGCCATAGTCGAGCCTTGAGGCCCTGGCAGTGAATCAAAAGAGTATGATGGAGTTAGCGTTTGCCGAGTCGCGTCGCGCTTCTGGGGGTCCACACACTAGACGGAGTATTGGTGATGAGAATTGTCCCCAGGCTTAGCAGCGGACTGGTCAGCCTGAAGAGGTGATGCACAAGTCAGTAGAGCGCCAAGGGCGCGAGATAAAGCACAGTTCGGGTACAGCGAGTCGCGGTGACTGTTCGTCCTGATCCTACCAATACCATTGTATACTCAGCCCGACCTGCTCCCTTTCGATCTGCTTTTCCTCTTCCAGGGCGAAAGATGCTTGACATTATATCCCTTCCAATTGGCACATTTTCTCCAAAGCCCAAGCTTCTTGAAATCAATTGTCATCACCTTCGCAATGTAGAAAAGCACAAACGCCAAAATGGTGTTGAAAGCCACATATCCCGCCACGATGCCTAGATTCCTCCAGCGGTACTTGTAGTCCAGATTACGTGTCTTCAAATATTGGTCTCCATTCGCGTAACGACAGTATTGACAGTCCGAAATGGAGTCCGGGTTGAGGACGTATCCCGTCAATTTCAGAAATGGTCCGGCATACTGGCCACACGTCTGTCCAGGCGGCGGTTGGAACACGTTGATCTCTCTCGCCTTGCACACGATGGGGTTATCGTGGATTGCGGTCGAGATAATGCCGCCTAGCAGGTACGTGTATGGGGAAAGATGGTACATCCAATGCCAGAATTGCGGAAGCTGGCTCAAAGGCTGTAGCACGCCGTTGAAGCCCACCACGAAGAAGGCGAAGAATGTGACCAACGTAGCTGCGGTCTGCGGATTCGGCGCCAAGGAGGAGACCGCCACGCCGAATGAGGTCAACCATAGCTCGAAGATCATGATCATGAGCCAGATGTAGACGCCTCGTTCTCCGTCGCCGGGCTGGGGCCAGCCGCGCCAGAAGCCGATGGCGAAGTACCAGGGTAAGAAGAACAGGGTTCCTGTCACCAGGTTGAAGCAGGTCTCGGTGACCAGAGTGGACAGGACGAAAATGGTCCAGTGGTACATCTTGGACGGTTTTTCGCGTGCCTCGAAAAGCTGGACTAGGCTGTCGAAGTGAGGCTGGAATTGGTGCATCACGGGCATGGCTAGGATTACCGAAGTAAAAGCCGCGAAGAGCTGTAACGCCATTGTCAGCACGTGGACTCGTAGAAGCCCAAAGAAAAGTGGTACTCACTTTATTCTGAAGACCTTGGACCGAGGAATCGGCCTTGTAGAAAGTGAAACCCAGGAACAGGCCCGCCACGACGTTGAGCATGATCTTGCTCACAACGAACGGAACAGTCCTCCAGTAGTGCAAGAAGAGTCGGTATTGGAAAGCGCGATATTGAACCCACCAAGGCTCTGCGTAGTTTGTGCCTGAATTAGCATTATGATCCTGGTTGTGAGCTTTCTCGGCGTCGTGCTGGACGTTGAGCATTTTGATCTCTTCAGCTGCTTCCCGGTGGAGTTCGGATTTTGTCCATATATCATTCCAGTCATTTGTGGTGGCAGCGTTGGATCCAGCGCCTATCACGTCCAGCATCCACTCTGGGGGATTGTTGCCCGGAGTGATTGAGGGAGCGCCGTGAGACTCAAAGTAGTCAATGACTGTCCGGGAATGATGAGCAATGTCTCCGAAGTAGACTGGTTTGCCGCCTTTGGCAAGTAAGAGCAGCCGATCGAACTGCTCGAAGATCAGGGATGATGGTTGATGAATTGTGCAAAGTATGGCCTGGCCGGAGTCAGCAAGTTTTCTCAGCAGCCGGACGATGGACCAAGCAGATAGCGAGTCCAGTCCACTTGTTGGCTCATCCAAAAATAGTAAGATTTCAGGCTTCGCGACAAGTTCGACGGCAATAGTGGTACGTTTCCGCTGCTCGTTGTCCAGCCCGCGCCCGGGAATTCCAATGATTGCTTCAGCAAAGTCCTGCATTTCGAGCAGGTCAATGACCTTTTCGACGTACGCCAGCTTCTCGACCAGCGGCGTCTCCTTGGGCTGCCTGAGCTTCGCTGAAAATTGTAGCGCTTCTCGCACAGTGGAGCTTGGGAGGTGAACATCTTGTTGTTGCACATATCCGGTCATTCTGCGAAATGCGTGACCAGGAGGTGAACCGTTCACCAGGGTTCTGCCACTCACAATCCCCGTCTTCATTCGCTGGGCAACCACTTGCAGCAAAGTTGTCTTTCCAGCGCCTGACTCCCCCATCAAGGCTGTAAGAGTGCCGGGTCTGACGTACCCGGATACGTTGTCGAGCAGGCGCCGACGGGAATGGTCGGACAAGGCAATATCGTAGGATATATCTTCCCAAGTAAAGACACTTGTGCTTTTCACGAAGCCACTGAATTGGGAGAGGTGAGATTTCACCTCTCTGAGAGTGGTCTCCGAGATTTGTGCTTCGCAGTCGTTCATGAACTTCGTTCTTTGGCCGATGTCTTTGCCAACGTCTGGTTCGTGGCCTCTGCGGTAATCCAAGCGATTTTGAGCCTGTGTCGTGGCAGATTTGGTTCTGAGCTCTGTAATTGTGGTAGACATGACAAGAAAAGCCGCCCAGAAGACGAATAATATCCCAATGTTCCTCCAGACGTGACTGTAGGAATAGTCGAAACTAAGATTGATGTAGTCGTCTCCGCTGACAAGTCTCTCTCCGGTCTTTGCTCCTGTAACCGAACAGACCTGGTACTGCAGGGAGGTGTTCGCATAGTCACTGCCTGATGGAACCAGGCTCGCGCAAGGTGCCATGGTTCCGTGGAATTCGTTGGCGACTAACACCTCAAAAGCGTACTGGACGGGGTTGAGGTAGGTGATCCACTCTGCATGTCGTCAGCACACTGTTTGTCATTCCAACGCGAAGTTCGTGGCTAGGCGGCGTGGTTGTTTGGGGTCGAGACTTACTGAACCACGGATGCATACTCGGTTTCGGAATAAGATAACCAGTGTAGATCGTAAAAGGCAGCATACAAATGCCTGCTATGCCAATCACGGCCTCGGCGCTGTTGCTGACTGCCGCAAGGGAGCGGAAAAAGCCAGACATGGTAAGGGTAATGAGGTCTGTAGGGGAGAAGCGAATCAGCACAAGAAGCCAGACGATCGACGAGTAAACGTATAAAGACTTACAGGTAGTGAGCCACAGAATGAAGAAGGCACCGGCGGTCTGCTTGAGCCCGACCATGAAGTACATGACGATATCGAAGACCGTGGTGTTGAGAAGTTTGTAGGGGTATTCGACCAAGGCGCCGGCCAAAGCTTCAATGGCTGGATGATACATGGCATAAGTTCGCTGACGTTGCACAATTGGCCTTTGTGCGAATTGAGTGTTTAACTCGCTGAAGCACAAAAAGACGTTGAACAGGACGGCGAAGAACAAGGCACCTCCTTTGGAAAAGAAGCCGTCAGTCGAATTCGGTACGTCGTAGAACATGGAGCCGGTTATCAAAGACATGAAGAGTGTGGTGAATGCCATTGCGCCGATAAACACTTTGTCACCGATGAGGCGGTAAAAAGCTCGCTTGCAGTTTGCATGAAACTGAGTGGCGGCGCCGACAGAGTAAATGCTTTTCCGTCTCTGATGCTTTAATCTGAGTTTTGAGTGATAAGCCGCATATTTCTGGAGTTCCCGTTCGGTGTGGCTGAAGTCCATAGCATACTGCTGCAGATCTTGTCGTAGCTGATGGTACTGTGCGCTGTTTTTCCAGAGCCTCACAAAATCTTCGGGCGATCTTGGAACTTGCGACTCGCAGCCAGCTTTGACCCGTCTGGCGGAAGGGTCGGTGATAGCTGTCAGGAAGTCCGCTGTTGTTTGTTGTGGAGTACACTTGAATCCCATGTCTTCGAAGTACTTCTTTGCTTCCGTTGTCTTACCAAAGAAAATCTGACGGCCGAGATAGAGGAGAGTAACTTTGTCAAATTCATTGAACAGGTTCTCCCCTGCCTGATACAATGCTACGACCACTGTCTTCCGTGAAGTTGTCGTCATGTTTCGGATCATACGTATGAAGTCAAGAGCGGTCGAAGAATCGAGCCCATGAGTCGGACTGTCTAGCATCATGACCGACGCGCGGGTTGCGAGCTAGTTGATGTCAGCTGTGCAAGAAAGAGGAGACTTAATAGCTGTTGAATGATACTGACTGCTTCTGCTAGGGTCACTCGCTTGCGTTCACCGCCGGAAATCCCGTGAACGTATTCATTGCCGACCTTGGTGCGCAGGGTGTGTTGCAGGCCCAGCAATTGAGCGTATCCTTCGGTCATGGACCGCATGAACCGTGCTCGGGTTTCGCCCTCAACTTTCCTCCAAGGTAATTTTGTCTCATTGGCAAAATCTAGTGTGTTACCAACGTTTATATGTGGGAAGTGGATATCAACTTCATCCCGTTAGAATACAATGCTTTCGTATTCCAGAGCAACGTACCGTCGGGTGCGTATATTGAATCGCCTTCGAAGTGAGCCTTGAAGGTTTGAATGTCGACTCCGTTGTACTTAATGTTCCCGGTGACAGACGTGCCACCCGGACTCTGGCATCCCAGAATCTTGAGAAGAAGGCTAGATGTGCTCGGCGGCCGTCCGAGCACTAGCAACATTTCGCCAGCTCTTACCACCCCGTCGATGGAGTCGAGGGCTATGGTTTCCCGTGTGGGCTTGCGGGACAGCAGGCGATGTACGGCCGTCACTGGCATCCGCAGTATGTTAGAAAAAGTCCTGTGGGTGCCGACGCCTGTCCCGGACTGCCGGACGGATAGGTTAAAGAACACGATGGACGATTCGGATGAGGTTTCAGGAATGTGTTGTCGCAAAAGCGATGCCTCCATCTTGTGAAGTTCGGAGTCCAGGGAGTCCCTATGGATGGCGTCAACTGTGAATTGTCAGTCTCTGAGCCATCTTCGGTGCCCGCGCAGAGGAACGTGCCATTGTAATTACCCTCAACAACATTTTCGATACCGGATTCACGGGACTGCTCGTCCGCTGAACCCATGGCTCCTTCATTTTCGATGGGCATCCCCGTGGTTTGGCAACAGCAAGTCAATGTGTCCCGACTCAATCAAGTTTTAGTCTGTATACCTTCCTAGATAGTAGGAATAGTACAATCATTGTTAAAGAGCGACCACACGGAGGGGGCTTACTTGTTATATCCATGCAGGATGAGATGCGGGTATGCAGGGAACGACGGGCAGCAGATATAATCCCTGGTCAATGCAGCAAGGCAGTCTCACCACTGACTGAAGGCAGCAAGGAAGCCTCCAGATCCGAAGACCGAGACATCGTGTAGCATAGCAGCCTGGAAAGCACAACTACTCTTTCCGGCTCATCAAGCGCAGAGTCGTGGAAGGCATGGCAGGATAGGCACAATATTGCCACAGGACAGCACGGAGATTACGAGTCATGCAGCATTGTGCCTGGTTGTCCTGCATGAGTTGTACTGTGTAGTTGAAGCCAGACACTTCTCGCGAGGAGGTGAATCTTGTTGTAACGGACGAGGGACTCCGATACTTGATGATGTTCGACCTGCACACCACGCGTCGGCCATGGCCAATCATCGTACTCGAGGAGGACTGCCACTGGTGTGGGAGCCTGACAGGTCTGACGGTTGATTCTCTCTGGTCAACGAAATATTTCCCTGGCTGTGACATGCAAGATTGGCGTGGTCAGTACTCTTTTAATCGGTCAGACACGAGATATTTTGGCTGTTCCCTCGTCAGTCCAGTCACGCTAATAACTTGGCACCATCACCGGGTCTCTTACCAACTCGTACTCGTATCAAACCAGCTCTTGTAACACGCGTGATATATGCGTGACAAAGTCGACTTCTCCTCGTAAAAATCTGGCTTTGGTTAACTCCGCTCTCCCCTCCATTACCATACCACTGCGAACAAAGGTGCTGCCGATTTATCTGTTGAGCACGGAATCGGCACTCGATTCCTAGCGGATGCAGCAAGTGGAACGAGCCACCGGATTCTCCCACTCATTCAGGATGATGCCCACCGACGCTCACCGGGCGGATATGAGGAAGCCCCGAGGCAGGCAGAGCTGTGACCTGTGCCGGAAAATGAAGGTTAGTGGTACTCGCAAAGATGAATGCCAGAATGCTGTTGCAAAGTGGCTTATCCTGTGGGAACTTGTCTACCCTGATGGGAAGCCCTTTCGTCCGCTTCGACACTAGTTTTGTCTTTATACTCCAAAAGCAGAGTCTTGACCAAGATAACTACTTGCAAGCCAGTGATGCTTTGATTCAATGCGCACTCACTCTGTTCTGTCTTACAAAACTGGTACGTTACTCACAATGCGCAGATACGTTGCGATAGGCAAGGTGACCACCCCTGCTCCAATTGCAGACCTCGAGGCCTGGCCTGCGTTATTACCCCGGTGACTCGAAGAACAAAGGAGAAAAGGTAACAATACATCGACTTACGCTCCTAGTTGGGCTGATCACCGAATGTCTCTGAAACTGGCAGGGCACAATTTCTTCATTCAATTGAAAGTCGCATCGAAAGGATGGAGGCTCTTCTCCAATCAGGCCTAGCAGCTAAAGCCGGTATTCCAGATGCGCAGGACATTTCAACACCTGCGCAGCAACCTTCTACGGCAACCCTTGAGAAAGACATGGCAAATCTCGTCATAAACGCAGCGGGCGAGCAGAAATATATTGGTGGGTGGACAACACAAACTTATGAGGAAGGGATCAACTTACTCACGTATTCTCGTGGCCAGGTCCGTCCTCTGGCCTCAGTCTGTTTTCGCCACGAGGGCTAGCATGGGTAAGCTCGCTTTCTGTTCCAGGGCCCCTTACCCTCCAGCAACTATTCTGCATTTCCACTCCTGCAATATGGTCAAGAATTTTCTAATCAAGATTTCAGATGAGCCGAAAGCTTCACTCGAATGAAATGGCCAATATGTTTAGACAATTCCAGCAAACCGGAGCCATGTGGCCGTCATTTAGATTCGATGGTAGATGGGATGGCCAACCGAGGAGAAGTGATCTCCCGTCAAAAGAAGCCGCTGTATATCTTGTGGACCGTAGGTTGGCATTGACCTGAGAGATGTTTTTGATCCTGATGTGAGAATGCGCAGGCTACTTGAAAACCTTCAACAGTTTATATCCCCTCTTCCGCCGAGACGCCGTCTGGGATCTTTTGGAACGGCAATACGGCAACAATCCACCACCAGCAGGGCCCGCCTTTGCTGCGTTGAATGCGATTCTTGCCATCGGCTGTTGTCTGGCCACGGATGCTGTGCGCGCAAACCTGCAAAGAGTCGACCCTTCCTGCACGGAAAGTCTGTACGATATGTCTTGGAAGTTCTTCCAAAACGCCTATTCGATGTTTTTCAGTATTTTATTTGTCCAGTTTGATCTGCTAGCGGTACAAACATTGGTCGCAATGGTAATCCAATCCATGTGCGTCCTTTGTGGGTTACTGACCATTTCAAGGCATTTTTCCAGTCATCAACGTTGAATCCAGAGGGCGCATTCCTGTTAATAGGGGCTGCCGCACGGGTCGCCACTGCCTTAGGACTCCATCGAAACCTCGAAGGCTTTGGGCTTCCGCAGTCCGAAATTGACCAGCGACAGCGAGTGTTTTGGATCATGTATGCTGTGGAAAAAGATCTGTCAATCCGGATTGGTCGACCCTCGGCCATTGACGATTGTGACATCGGCGTCAGCATTCTGTCGCGACCATGCGACGAGGAGATTGCTATATCGGTCGGCTCCCGCGAGCGAGTCACCTTCCACCCATTTCAAAGCATGTGCGCTCTCGCAGTCATTCAGGGAAGAGTCTACCGAGAATTGTACGCTGCCAATGCACGTGTCAGCACGACCGCCGAAAGACTTGAATCGATCAGTAAACTCGACGCCGAGCTTCAAGGCTGGATGGAGCAGATACCGTTGGAGGTCAGGCCGGAGCATGCAATTCGGTGTGACGCGGAGAGCCAGTTTCCGATCGTTGTCCTTCACTTTGGTTACTATCATTGCTTGACAGGAATTCACCGTGTGAATGCACATCATGAGCTGTGGGCTGCTGCTGGAGACGCAGCAGCTGAAGACTCCCAAAAAGGCTCTCCAGATTCCCCCTCGCTACCTGATCACGCACACTCCACGGCACGTCCTGAATCCTCATACGAATTATGCTTGGCCGCGGCGAGGTCCATCCTCTACCTCTCATCAACGTACCTGGATGGCAACGATCCCAATCACAAACTTCTGTGGCTCGCAACCTATTTCCCTGTATCAGCTTTTCTGGCTCTATTCACGCACATCCTGCAGTATCCTTTGGAGGCCAAGGTCGACTCCGACCTGGGTCTCATGGGTGTTGCCTACGATTGTCTGACCAAGTTGGTTGGCTCTCTGGAGCCATCACTGTTTCAGTTCATGGGCGGGGTTCTCGGAGAAACTCTGAAAACTGCGCAGCAATATGTCAATAATTCGCGTGCCCGCTCTGTTTGGTCTACGCCTCATCCCGCTAATGTCGGGAAACCCACGTCAGCAGCAGAATCTCGAGGCACTCCCTCTCACCAAGGTCAGCTTGCTTTCACTCAACAATCTGTCTATGCTCCGACAGCCACTAATTCACCCGGTGATATGCTACCATCCAATCTTTTCAGCACCAACATACTCCCCATGGGGCCCAATGTAGGCAACGGGATGGAGTCTTTCGCCTACCCATCGGCTTCCCAAAGCTCCCATCAGCCCAATTTCGACCCCGAGGATTTCGTCACACAGTTTGCTTCAGACCCGAATCAACTTGACAGTCAAGGCATGATGTCGATGGACGACCCATTCCTACTCTTGGAATATGGCGATTGGGACTGGACTCACTGACGACAGGCATTGAGAGCATGAGTTCAAAGGAAACGGATGGCATCACAGCTTTCCAAAGACATCCTTTACCCGTGGCCGACCAAATTGGATTGCTGCAAGTATAGTCCGGCACAAGCACGCCTCAACCAGCATCAACACTATCTAGCTGATATCGAGGACGAAGGACGGGAAGTGCGAATACACTCCACCCATACCACATCTTCGAGACCGGACGCCATAGCCACCTGAGATATGCGGGTCACCATGTGTTCGTGGTCACATTCAATTGGCTTTGCACCTGCCGACAACCCTGTTCGCCTCCTCGCATGGGTTGGAGAAAAGAAGTACGACAAAGCTGCTTTCCCAGACAGGCTCAATGATTGGTGACTAGTAAGAAAATGAAGGCGAGTGGACATTACAAGAATACTGAACGATTGATTGAAACCGTGCCTGATGAAACACTTGCCTAGATCCTAGAATCCAGATCATTTCATCAAGATCAATAGATTGAGCCCCATTCCTGACTGCGGAGTGCCATTCCATACAACGAAAGATCTTTGACCCGAGCATCCTAGGTGGGAGCAGCACTACCAAAGCAATGAAGGTGAATGTGAACTCACGCTCTGGGGAAACGTCCAGAGGACCTGACGCCCAAGCAACCGTGTGATCCTCCACCAGAGCACTTCGAGCATTCCATGAGCACTACGGGAAGTAAAGCCTTGTCCAAAGACGCTGCTCTGTTGATTCAGGCGCCGGCAAGTCCTTGCCTGTCAGCCATCAAACGTCAACCACAAAGCACATCTCCGTCCCAGCTCAATTGCAACGACACCGACCACTCGACTCCTTCCAATATACGACGAATAGAGCTGAAATGTCCCTCCGAAGCTTCCACGTGCTTCATCCACTCTCAGCGGACCTGCTCAACACTAGTAACAGTTATCTGCGAGACTTTTTGGAAGTGCAAGTTCGCAAAGTCCGAGGACAAGGTGACTTGGGACGGCGGCGTAAGCATTTGCTTTTCTGCCAAAGCGATACTAGTACGCATGGATGGCCGTGTCCTGGTCCGTTTGAACAGGTCTATGAATCTAACCGATCGACTCCTGCCTGCATTTTTCCTAACGACGGGGCCAGTTGTGGTGAATGGATGAGCGTCCATGAACGCCTGCGCATGCGACTTATAGTGGTCTCGTAGGTCGTCCTTATCTGCGCGTTCTTGTGCACACCATGACACAGCGCATGTTGTCGCTTCGGGTGAAAGAGCGGGGTCTTGTGGCCGATAATGTGCCAATACACACTGGCAGCCGAGCTGTTCGGACAACCAGGTGTTGACTGCTGGGTTGTCGTAGATGTCATAGATACGTTTCACTGGTGTGCTCAGCCGCTTGTCGGGGGCTTCAGGCACATCCCACAGGCTGAGAGCTAGGCGACGTTCGAGGTGGCTCAAGATCAGCTCTTCTGTGTGGACATCGATCTCGGCCTTCAGATGCTCGAGCTCCTTAACCGGAGTGCCAGACCTTTCTTCAATGACGCACCAACGCCGGTCCCAAACTTGGTAAGCGGCCTGTTCGGATGGACGCACGGGAAAGACAGGGCAGCCTTCCACTGCTGAAATGCTTGTGCTTGCTGGAGGACTGCTCGGCGAGGACTGAGCGCCTTTGTCAACAAAGAACATTTTGACGAACGCTGCAAATCGTCTCACATCCCCTTGAGTAGACATTGGACCCAGGCTGACTCGAATGATCCCCGTCGGCTTGGCGCCGATGGTATCGAACCCATCTCCACAACGGGCACCTTCTTCGAAGTTTCGCCTCATCTCCCAATTCTTCAACTGCAACATGGAGCCGATGCCCCCGGGATTACACACTCCGCCTGTTCTGAGCTGAAGGCCACATTCGATCGCCAACTCCTCGAAATGGCTTCTCCCAAGGATATTCCCATCAGGATGCTTGACACTGAAGGCAATGATTGGTCCTTGTGTTGCCGGGTCTCCGTAGGTAGCTTGTGGGTCTTTGTACACTTCAATCACCGATTGGCCATTTGCGTGTCTGAGCTGGCTCAGCTCATCGTATACCAACTTGGAAAGGTATGCCGTGTGCTTGGATATGTTGTTCCCGCTCCCAAAAAGCCGGCTATGGAAGCTAATCGCATGCCTCAGAGCGACAATGTTGTGAAAGGGGACTGTCCCATCCTCGAGAAAGTCATGGAGGTTTGACCTTTTGAATGCATGGAAAGCACCACCGATGACAGTGACCATATCGACTGTCCCTCCGGCGAAGTATTTCCTTTGAGCAAGTACAGATCGCGCAGTTCTTTTTACCAGTAAAGCTCCCAGATCAGGATATCCAAAAATCTTATAGAAAGACATGGCCACAAAGTCCGGGGCATGGTCGGCGTTGCTGAGGTCCAGGCGACCGGAGGTCAGGTAAGAAGCAGCATCGAGCAGCACAAAGGTGGATTGCTGGCTATTCTTGTCCCCACCACGGACCTGTCGACACCAGTGGTATGGAGGCCTGTAGCCTGTCATATTGGATTGGGCTGGATAAGCAAAAAGTTTCAGTCCCTGTGAGCTTGAGGATGGTCCCTGCTCGATCCACTCTTCGACCTCCGCGCTGGAAGTGAAGCACTGCGATCCTGCGGTCGCAACCTCTCGCACTCCAACGACACTGTTGTGACAGTCTTTGTGATATCCGTACCAAAAGCCTTGGTCTCTGAAGCAATCGGACACAACTTTGATTGCAGCCGTAGCATTGGCAGTAAAGACAACATCGAAGTCGTCGGGATTGGCGTTAAAGTATTCAAGCACAGCAAGTCGTGCGTCTTCGACTCGTTTGGTCGCAAGCCATGAGGCAGGGGATTCGGAATGAGGGTTGCCATAGAGGTTCGAGGTCAAATCTTGGTGGTATGCGTCAATCACCGACTTGGCGTAAATGGTTGTGCCAGCATGATCCAGGTAGGTGGTCTCTGTACGTCTTCAGTAATACTTCACTGCAGGTGAAAGGTGGATGGTACTCAGTAAAGAAGGGTATTGAATGGGTCGAATCTCCTCTATAAGGGCGTTATATCTTTGGGTCGAGAAGGCCATGACCCTGCTTCGTCAATCTGGGCCTGACTCTGAACGAAGACAAGGGGATCAAGGGAATACTAGGTGCAGGTTCTGGAGGTAAAGATGATTGAAGAATGTAGTCACGGGTACGTTGCTGGGGTTAAGTATTTCACCACAAGAGCCATGGCAAGTGCGATGGGAGCCCCCTTTGATCAGAAGCTGAGTATCCAGCTCTTAACATGAGCGCCCATTCCTCGTATCCCAGGCAAACCAAAGTCCAGAACCATGATGGACATGACTCTGTTGTTATATCCACATTGCCAAACTTGATTCGGCGACCGCTCAGGTGAGGCAGCGCTGGGGGTGAACGTGGCGGTCTGAGGGTAGGCAGCGTCTTGAAGCCAAATGTCGGTGACCTTTCACCTATGTACTTTTAATTCCCGGAGCGGACAGGAGTGCAAAGCCTGAGGTTGCGCCAGATGATGAGCCTATTGGCCGAAGGATGTGGACTCGACAACAGCTGCAGCAGAACGCAGCGCCTCAAAGATTCTGGGCCTTCCAATTTCGATAGTCGAGGCGTTCGTGCAGCGAAGCCAATGCAAACGGCTTCCTATTTGGGCCTAGGTATGTTGGTCTTCTTTCAGCCTCACTATTATTGCTTGCGGCTTGTGTTGTTCATATTCCTCGGCGCATGCTCCTGCCTGAATGAGCGACGCGCGCTGTGCCGAGCTCCTGTAATGAGTGGAAGCCAGGCTGGAGGGAGGGTGGACAGTCAATCAAAAGCCAGTACTATTTGGGCCATGGTAGGCTTATGCCGCCAGCATCTCCGACTCCCTATCGCACGATAGACAGTCCGAAGCTTTCCACTTTACAGACTGCAGCATGCTGGCGATTTCGCTCCCTCTCACCTTTGAGCTTACAGTCAATTTCCCAGGCCCGGAAGGATCTGCTAGAACACGTATTCAATATGGCAGTGGCGTGTGGCCGCGTGGGCTCGCGTCGAACAGTAAGGTCGCAGACTCGAACCTGCGTAGCGTTCTAGCAAGACTCTCATCTGATGACAGCCCAACTTGGAGTGTGAAATGATTCTGGGCTTGCACTTACCATGGAATGGGGTCAAACGAAATCCAGGGAGGCGAGGGCACACGAGCTCCCAAGTTAGGCTATCTCGGCTATTGCGGTAAGCTTAATCTTGAGCTTAACTTAAAGGTTGCTCTCCTCTATGCCTTACGACCAGATAGTCCCAGCTCTAGCATCCTACGTGGCTTTACCGTCCTTACTGTAGAGGGGATCCAACGAGGACAGGAAATATTTTAGTCTACTTTACCAATGGCTGTTTAAACCCCACGAACCAGGAAGCGTTTTGCCGAGCGAAGTGAAAAGATGCGTGCGACAATTGGGGCCAAGCCAGCTCCCGCCAGTGGTATACGACGTTCTCAAGGACCCATGTAGAGGTTCTAGCCTGCCTAGACAAGCCGAACCCTGGCGAGACTGAGAGCCGGAAGACTTAGTTTTCACGTTGACCATTTTCTTCCGGGCTGGCCTCCTGCGGATGTAGTACCGCAACAGAAAGGACCTTGATTGAGATTGTTGGGACGAAGGCTTCCCTTCCCTGAAAGGCTAGAGCCAGATAAGTTTGGTGGGATAGGATTGGGGTTCCTCATAACGCAGGGGAATCTTGTGAGCCGGGCTCTATCTTTGTATATCATGGCCGTTCTTCATCCCAGCTTCTCAGCATCTCAAGTCGTCATCATGCTCCTCTACCCCCTTCCAAAAACCAACATGGCCTTCCTATCACGGTTTTGGCACGTGGAGAGTCTTGCTTATCTGCAAACTGCCCAGAACAAACCACATGGCAGCAACTGGATGGAACTCCAGCGCAGTTCCTGTCAGGACTGTTCCAAGAGGTATGGAGTTATGGATCAGACCCATAGAAGCGAAGGTGGCCATGATTGCCGAACCGGTCAAACAGGCGAATGGTATAGGAGTGCCTCGTGAGTGTCAGCAAACCCTTACAACGGTCTTGATTTGTCCTCACCTTCAAAGTACTTCGACTTCCCAGTCTTGTCTTTAGGTAGCATGGCCACAGTCACGTTGAAGCGTGCCAGTCTTGTCAAACCGCCTGGGTTGTTAGAAGCAAACACCAAAAGGGCCACTACGAAGGTCAAAACATACAGAGTACGTAGTATGAGAGGAACAGAGTGTCAACCGTTGACCGGAACCCAATGGCAAAGCCTAGAGCAGCAGGGGCCACACCGAAGGAGACCTTTTTCTGTCAACATCAGGTGTCTTTTAATAGCTTTGAACATGCATACCAGATCCGCCAGCGAGTCCAACTCTTGCCCCATGAGTGATGACTTCTTTCTCCATCGTGCAACCTTGCCGTCAAAGAAGTCGAAGAACAGACCAAACGGCATGAAGAAGAATGCAAACCACAGGTTCGTCAGGTCTTGAGGATCGGAGAGGCAGTAACGCATTGACGATAGTACGGACATGACTAGAAGGACAAGTATTAGGCATAGATCACGGTAGGAAGGGCACGAGTCGCACAGCCACAGAAGCCTAATACCATGTCAGTGAGGTAAACCCAATTTGCAGCTGCTCGTGCTTACCATTCATTTCAGTGATGAGATCCGCCAGATGCAGGGCCCTATAGAGTCAGCTTGTTGGACTCTCCCAGCGACATGGAGAACATACCTAATCATGCTGAAATGTCCAGTGTCTTGAGCCAGCAACATCACCTGCTTCTGCTGGCTGTTGTCTTGGGGCTTGACGTTGGTCTCGTCTTGACCTGCATTGGTCGCACCGGCTCTTCGAGACATGGCAGCAAGTCTTGGGACAGATAGAGGATAATACGAGGTATTTGAGTGATCAATAGACTGTAACGAAGTGTGATAGAGGCGAGCAATAGGTCTGCAGCAGGGCAAGGATGGCAGTTTTGGAGATCTGCTTTTCGAGGAAACAAGGCGCAGCCACAACCGCCAGGGAATTGTGTCGTCATCCTGCAGCCAGTGACGATCTCAGCATTGTTGTCACAAAAAAGTGCGAAGGGGAGGTCACGTGCAAGCCTAGCCCGCAAGTACCAAAAGGGTGCCAGGTACATAGTACCTGAAGTTAATGAACGAAATGATAACACAATACAGTTTGTTGTAGACCATCACTATCGCCTATTTCCCGACAGGAGATAGGTCTACTGTTGCAGCAAACCCCCTGGATCCCATCATAGTAGCCACATTTTTGCCATGGGTATTTCCCCCAACGCCGAAATCATGCTGTAAAATTTGGAACATCCAACAGGGACAAGTAGAGACGACCATGGCCTAGAATCTGCCACGACCTCTTGGTGCTCCTCTTCCACCACCTCGTCCGCCAGAGAAGCCTCCTCGAGCTCCACCTCTTGGTGCACCACGTCCGAAGCCACCGCCGCCAAAACTACCGCCCCGGCCTCTTGGTGCTCCCCGGCCTCGAGGGGCTCCTCTACCACCTCTCATACCACCTCGTCCGGCGCCAGCTGGTTTCTTGACCCTTGCTGAACCTAGCGAATTGTCAGTTGATGCAGTGCGATCCTTTCCTAACCATGACATACCTGGTGGTGGTTTCGGCTTCGGTAAGAATCTGTGTGACACTCAGTATAGGATTCTTCTGCATCAATGTCGATACACTCACTTTTCCAGCGGTAATAGCTTGTCACCACCAATATAGAATTTATCTCCGGCCTTGAAAGATGTAGCTTGGATTCCTTCTTGTGGTTTGATGGTGAAGTAGACCTGGTTGATCGGTCCTAGAATCTCGTCCACTTTTCCTATCGAAGTCTACTCTTGTCAGACAATGTCCTTCAATCATACCATCATTCGCTGTACCTTGTTCTCGAGATAGATCGGTGCGTTGAAGTAGGGAATCTTGGGGTTGACCGATTCGCAGACCATTTCACCCTCGGAGGCATGCAAGAACGTGCCCAATTCTGCCAAAAATCAGTCCGGAATACATCGAACGGCACAGTCAGACTCACCAAACACCTGGGCAGGCGGACCAAAGCTCTGTTGCTGGAAACCACCTCGTCCTGCGCAGCCACCAAGTCAGTTCTCATTTCGGCGCAGGGAAATTTCTTGTGCGCAGCGCGCGGAGACTTGTAAATTACCTCCGCCTCTTCCTCCAAATCCAAACGATCCTCTTCCTCTATCACCACCTCGAAAGCCGCCACGACCTCGCGAATCACCTCGGAACGCCATTGTTGTTGTGGAAGGGCGACGTTGTGTTGCGACGGTATTTGCAGATTCTGGGGGAAAAATAAATTTCTATGTTCTCCGTTCAAGGTGCATGCGGGCAACTGAATTTCACCTCACACGTGATTGGCGCCTCAATTATTCGACACTTGGGACACGGTTACCGTGCTCCCCACAAGTCGATATTGCACAACATTCAATATCCCACGACCTCGACCCGATCTTTTATTATGACCCACCAGAAGAAGGTCAGCCTCAACCCTCACGATCTTTGGGGTGTCTTGAAAGGCGCCAATATGAGTCAAAATGGCACGGCAGCGGGCCCTGGGCCTGACTCATCCACCCCTGGTTCCAACGCTTCAAAAAGACCAGTGAGCCCAACATCAAACAAGAAAGTCCCAAACAGACCAAAAGAGATGTCTTCCAAGGCAGCCCCGCCGGCAAACCAGCCACCCAAGCAACTCCCGGATTTCATCATTCAGAGAAACGAATTTTTTGATCAGCTAAAAAAGCAATATGACGATGACCTCGCCGCGAGAGAAAAGTCGCCCATACAGATCAAACTCATCCCAGCCTCCGGCCAAGAACTCTCCGTCGAAGGCAAAGCCTGGGAGACGACACCAGGTCAGCTGTTGAAGAACGTCCCGAAGGAACGCGCGGGCCAGATCGTCGTTGCAAAAGTCGACGACAAAGTATGGGATCTCGACCGCCCGCTCGAAAAGGACAGCAAGGTCTCATATCTCACCTTTAACGACCCCGAAGGCCGCGATGTCTTCTGGCACTCATCTGCCCACGTGCTAGGTGAATGTGCGGAACATGAGTACGGTTGCCGTCTCTCCCACGGCCCGCCCACAGCCATGGGCTTCTTCTACGACATGGCCCTCGAGCCCGGCCAGGCCGTCCGCGAAGCCGACTGGGCATCCCTGGAGTCTCGCGCGAAGAGATACTTCAAGGACAAACAGCCATTTGAAAGGCTTGAAGTCTCCAAAGACAACCTCCGCAAAATGTTCGGCTACAGCAAGTACAAGATGCACTATATCGAGAAATTCGTTCCTGACGGCGAATCGTCCACAGTCTACCGCAACGGCTCTCTCGTCGACCTGTGCCAGGGCCCACACATCCAGAACACGAAGAGAATCGAATCCTTCAAGATCATGAAGAACAGCTCCGCCTATTTCCTCGGCGACCAGAACAACGACTCTCTCCAGCGCATTCACGGCGTCGCCTTTCCTACCAAGCAGCAACTCAAAGACTGGGAGCACTTCCTCGAAGAGGCCAAGAAGCGTGACCACCAAGCCATTGGCCAACAACAAAAACTCTTCATGTTCAGCCGTTTCTCCCCCGGCTCACCCTTCCTCCTCCCGCACGGCACACGCATCTTCAACGCCCTCCAACAAATGCTGCGCGAACAATACTGGGAGCGCGGCTACCAAGAAGTCCAGTCCCCCAACATGTACGACGTCGAGCTCTGGAAGATCTCGGGCCACTGGCAGCACTACCAAGACGACATGTTCCGCGTGCAAGTCAAAGAGGACTCGACCGACCCGATGCCCCTGTCCGACCAAAAGCCCGACGGCAAGCCCGTCGCCCCGCCCCAAGCGCACGACAAGGACAAGGGCGTCTTCGCGCTCAAACCCATGAACTGTCCCGGCCACTGCATCATGTTCCGCGACGAGGAGCGCAGCTACCGCGAACTGCCGTGGCGCGTGGCCGACTTTGGCGTGCTACACCGCAACGAAGCCTCCGGCGCCTTGTCGGGCCTCACCCGCGTGCGCAAGTTCCAACAAGACGACACGCACATTTTCTGCACCAACGAGCAAGTCCAGACCGAGATCGAAGCCCTCTTCGACTTCATGGAGCACGTGTACGGCCTGTTCGGTTTCCCGTTCAAGCTGAAATTCTCCACCCGCCCCGAAGGATACATGGGCAGCCTGGAGGACTGGGACGCGGCCGAGGCGCGCCTCAAGCAAGCGCTGGTCAACTTCCGCGGCGACGACTGGGAGATGAACGAGGGCGACGGCGCGTTCTACGGGCCCAAAATCGACATCACCATCTCCGACGCCCTGATGCGCGAGTACCAGTGCGCCACGATCCAGCTGGACTTCCAGGGCCCGCAGAACTTCAAGCTCGAGTATCGCACCGGCGAGAGCGCCGAGGCCGCGCAGCAATCCGATGGTCGTGATGCCAAGGGTCTGACCCCCGGTATGGCTCGGCCTGTCATGATCCATCGTGCCATCATCGGCTCATTTGAACGGTTCATTGCCATCCTGTGCGAGCATTTCGCAGGCAAGTGGCCCTTCTGGTTGTCGCCCCGGCAAATCTTGGTCATTCCAGTCATGAAAGGTGCAGAGGACTATGTTCGCGAGATCCAGTCGATTTTCCATAAGGCGAGAATGTACGTCGACATTGATGTCAGTGGGAATACTCTGCAGAAGAAGATTCGCTCAGGGCAGTTGGCTCAGTATAACTTTATCTTCGGTAAGTCTTCCTTTCGTTTGCGCGATCCTTCCCTTCTCCCAGCGGTACCGGAGCCCAAAGACCGCGAGTGCTTGCCAGCTGCGTTTCTTGCAGGAGGGTGAAACCGGCGGCCTTGCCATGACAGAAGGGAGGAGGTTGGATTGATCACCTCTGTGACTCTTTTGCTAACCATTTCACGTTCCCCATAGTCGTCGGCGCCAAAGAACAAGAAACCCGCACCGTGAACATCCGCAATCGCGACGACCCAGAAACCCAAAAAATGGGTGAACTCATCCCGCTGCAGAACGCGCTCGAACGGCTCACGGAGCTGCGCGACCAGCGACGTCTCAAGAACAAGATTGACATGTCCAACTAGCACTCTGCTCTTGCCAAGCAACAAGCGACAAGTCTGATATGTCGGACTAATTTAGCTTCATGGTTTTGGGGTCTCGTCATACAACAAGCTTCTGCAACCTGCCGCAACAGATCGAACTTGGGTTCCGTCTACGTGTGTACCTCTACACAAACGGTGCCACATCCCTGTGGCTAGACTAGAAGAGAGGGTGAAAGCAACAGGGATATAGCAATTGAGGGTCGCGGTGTGTTAGAAAGGTGGAAATCGGACAGAAGGACAAAAGACTTGCCACGAGAGCATAGCCGCTATGACGAAGCACGTTATCATTGCAATCTTGTTTGTTCCCACCTCAAGCAATAGGTGAACCCTTCGTAGATCAAACGGATCAAGAGCTACTCGAAATCAAACACACGAAACAACGATCAAGATCGTATACTTGGCCAGCGCATGTCAGATTGCCTGGAACCAATGTCACTCCTGGTTTTGTGCGGATCGTCAGGCACACATGACCGGATATCGAAAAGTAGGAAAATGGTATAATTCAACAACTCCATACCTCATGCAGCCTGCTCGGGAGTCTCACCCTCAGCAACTACAGGTACAGGAAGGCCTCGACTCGGGCTCTGCAAAACCAACTGTTCATGCCGTCTGGCTCGTAAAAAGTCCGAGACAGCCCTGATAAGGATAAACCAGCCAACAATCATCAAAACGTACGATATCCAATCCGCGCTCGTGAATCCTCCCATGCCGTGCCTTCCTGAAGCTTGATTTCCTGATCCATCGACAGTATTGGGGTCGAAATCATGGCTGTTCGGATCCGGTGGTGATGAATTCGAGAACTGTCCAGGATTGCCTGTATCTTGACCACCATCACTAGAGCCAGTCATATAAAAGCCGTATTGAACCAGAGTTAATCCCAACCCGGCTCGACTGCCATGTTTTGCTGCATGTGTAGTGTGAAGAAGATAGGTAAGGAGAAAGCCGACAAGTTGGAAAGACATGGAAATCATGCCATTCCATACGAAGGAGAAAACGGATCCGACAGGAAGACCATCAACGTAGACCTCGTCAGATGACATGCCGGGAGCTAGTATCGTGGTCTCCCAGTATGGAGGAGTCGCATCGGCGGCAGCTTGTTCATATGTCTAGAATCATGTTAGTAGTTTATATTGTTATCAATCCGGTGCATCACTTACGGGTGGTTTGTCATCGAGTTGTTCACCTCTTTCTGGCTTTGCCGACAAATTTGCGAAAACACCATCTGTCGCTCGAGCAGACGTCGGCATTGGCCTGAAAGCCGGAAGCTCCGTCACCCTACGCTCAATTGTAGGCACCGGTGGTGCGTCGACAGCCGGGATTCGTGGGGACATCGCATCATGTCTTGCGGTTGGTGGTTCGGCTCTCATCAATCGCTGTCTGTCGTCACCATCGTTTTCTTCATCGGACGCTTCTCCATCGTCAAAGGTGTCTTCAAGGTCTCGATCGGCTTCCGTAGAGAGGGGATCTTGGTTCAACAGGCGGCGGCCTGTGGGTGAAGATGCTCTAGAGTGGAAGGATGGAGGAGGTGAGGAAGGAACGCCATGGTGAGCGTCTGGAGAAAGAGGAGAATAGTTTTCATTGTCGTGTGTGTTCACCTGAAGAGCAGTCAGTATTGATTCAAGTTGTGGCTGACAGGATTCGGCATGAGGGTGGTCCTTACCGCTTCATATCGCTGAGGGGCCATCGCAGGCCTGCGCTTCACCAGATGTGTCGCAGTCGCAGCGTAGTCGAGAAATCAGTCACCGATGACCGGCTGCGACAAAGGTAGAGAGGGATTTAGGAGATGAGTAGTCGTAGGACGAGGACTGGAAGGGAGTGGAAGATGGTGGTTGTTAGGCGAGAGAATACCACTGTAGGGTGAGTTTCAGAGGATGATTTGGTCTGCGCCACTGCGGAAGCGACTGGCAACTGGCAACTGCACAGCCAGGCAACCCGGTCCTTCCCTAAAACAGGCTAGCCAGAAAGTTGTTGGAGAGCATCCATCGTACGAGTTCTGTGTAGTCGTCGGCGTCATTTATTGTTGCTCGCACTTCGAGATTCAGGTCAATGCGCATGGTATCTCTGACAACCATCCTTCCTTTTCTCAAAGCTCGCCATACGTGCCCATCAAGATGGCAGCTCAGCAATCCGTGAGTCTAACAACACCCAGTGGTTCTCGTCAGCTCATTTCTTTGTCTAGGTCGCCCTCAAGCACTGGGCGCGCATCATCAAACAATGGCCTGTCGACAAGGTCCGCCCCGAACATGTCGCCTTTCAAAAGGTCATGCAACACCGTTTGAAGGAGTTGACTTCTCCCACTGCAGCCGCGGACAACGTTAAAGCGGATGGAGCACTGGTCACACCTGCCAACCCTACGCAACCGAATCAAGAAAACGAGATGCGACAAATCAATGCTCTCTACAGCCTTCTCGAAGATCGCTATCTCAAAGAATACCCCATGCCAAGCAAGGTTCGCCATCCTGCGAGCCGGCCTACGTACTACGAAGATCTCGTCAAGGAGATGGGTGAAGCACCTACTCGCACGTGGGCTGCCTCGATGTGGAATAGAATTAGCGGCATGCTGCGATTTTCTTGAGCACTGTCTGAGAAGCTACATAAAGTACCTACATTCTCTGGCTAACAGCATCTACAGCATGCTGTGAGACGGGTACGTCAGGCATAAAGTGTTGGAAGCGATATACAGACTCGAGTCATCCGGGAGAATTCCATGAATGCTTTCATGGTAGCGAATAGCCATCTCTCCGGAACCGCTGAAGACGCCATGAGGTCAATCGCCGGTACAGCTGAGACAGAGCACGCTGCTGGGCGGTTGCGAAGGTAGCTCTTGTCACTCCGAGTTGACAATCGACGGGCTTCCGAGTACTGCGCTGTAGCTATTGCACAAGCCACTGTATAAGTCACGACTTTGCAGCACATGGGAGTAGAGCTCTTTCGAGAGCTTTATCTCCAGCGATCATAGCTTTGGGGATCGAGTCTCGCCATGACTCCCAACGGCAGCATGTCTTTCCAAGTTCTTGCGGACCTTTATTGGCAGTGGAAGCTGCAGATTCTCATCATTTGCACCAGGCTATGGGTTTCGCTTCCTGAACAAGCGCGGTGGTCAGAAATTGTCTGAGCAAGCAAACCAAGGGGAACACTCGAGGATTGTATATATATATATATTACTATCTTTCCGACAAGGCGACCACCGAAGCAGACTACGATGTGGAGAATATCTTCCAATGACTGATTTCAGTGCTGTATAATAGGACTCCTAATGAGTTGAGACTGTCATTTCCTCGTTCGCCTGCAGATACTATGCCCTTGCCCCTGTCCATGGCCTCCACGCCAACCCCAGAGTCATTATTCCAAAACCCATCAAACACCCCCCAAGCTGAGCTGAAATTCCAAAACCATTCCTTACAGCCCATAAAGTATATTCCATATCTCGTGTTGCCCGCCGTTTCATTCATTCTCTTCAGGTAGCCTAAGCCCTCCGATTGCCAGTCGTAACGCCATATATTGGTTCCGGTTGCCCAGCGCCATGTATCCATATTGCTGTCCAGATCCATAATGCATTCAACCGTTCTCGTATTTCCAGCAGCCACCAGACGTTCATTTTACGGCATCATTGCCTCCGCCTCCTCATCTGTGACGAAGATTTCAGCCACAGGACAGTGATCCTCGTCTCCAAAGTCACCATCATATTGCTTTTTGCGTCCTCGCTCCCCGTACCGTCCAAGCATGTAACTCGGCAGGAACAGCTCGTCATTCCATGTAAAGCCTTGGCTGTGCTTGGTGTACGTGATCAACCGAGGAGGTTCATCAGGGTCATCGTGCATTGAGTTCAGATTGATCGACTTGTACGAGCTAGACGCCAGCATCGATGGGCCGAGAGGAGACGAGGACTGCCCAAACAAGGTGGAGATCGCACTTGGAGCAGGAGCAGGATAGCCGGCTCTGTGCTTGTCCTTGCGCTCGGATGCGTGGATAACCACATCGACATTACCGGTCGGCGTCGAGGTGAGAGGTAATTGGTTTCCTAGACCTGGAGAAGCTACACTTCGGAAGTGATCGGTCCGTGCGGGCGGCGAGTTGTATGACCAGGCAGAGGTAGACTCTTGATCGGAGCCTAGCGAGGAGGGGCCAGCGTCCGAGGACTCGGCTCGTTCAGCGTTCTTGATGTAGCGTGCGCTGCGGCGTCGGCGGTTGAGCGGTCTGTAGTCTGTGTTGTTGTTCACGTGGACCGGTATCTTGATGGCCCTCGAGCCCGGAGGTGGAGGTCCAGCAGGATCAGCCATTGTGATGCGGATGTTGGAGTTGGATGAGACTCGATCAACGCCGTCCCCAGCTCCGTAATGTTAGCCGTAAAGGAAACCGAACTAATTCTTGAGAGAGTTTACATGAGTGTATGAAGAAAAGAAGAAGAAGAAGAAGTGGTTGGAGTCGGATACAGAAGGCGTCACGTTTCACTTGAGTCATCTGCAGGTGAATTGGCGCAGATTCCAGATTCCCCGCATCATTCTCGTGATAGCGATAAGACATTCCACGCTAAAACAAAACGAGGCGGCACTGTCCGATTGGCTGAGACTTTCATTTCATTGTCTGCTTGGCTTCTACCACAGCAGAGCTATCAACATTTCCTTGAATACTGAAGGTAGCTTTGCTTCAGGTTGATGTTTCATGCATAATACCATGGCTCGTCAAAGACATGGTATCTATGACCGCGAACCCCCTCGCCCCGGAACAAGGCTGGGAATCGGCGTCCCGGTGGAACCTGCTCTTCAGGAATCCTCTCGTCTGTGTATGAGGCTGGTTCTCCCACGACAAATTTCCCGACCTACAATGTGTTAGTCAACAGGTCACAAAAGATGGTCGGTCGGCTCACCTGGATCTCGGTATCTGTAATGGTACCTCGGCTGACACGGGCATAACCCACTCTCTTGATATCCTTGTAGAGGATATACTCGCACCATCGATCCCAATCGCTCCTATCAATGTCGTGCATACCACTGACCTCGCCTACGTACGTGTTGTAGTTGCCTTCTTTTGGTTTGACCACAAGGTAGCTGAGCAGAATAGATGGCCGAGAGCTGGCACCCATCAGTTTGGCAAGATACTCCGACTGTAGCCGTCGGTCTTCTGGGTCTTCTTCCTGTCCGGAGTGGAACACGAAAACATCCACCAGCGTGTCGTACACGTCCAAAGTAGCTTCGATTGCAGGTGCAAGTTCACCAACCGGCGAGGGCAGAAGATGATGAGTCGAATTGACAATGGGGAATTTCGAGAGCAACGCTGATCCCCAGGTATGTTTGTTGGGTCCCGGACCGAAGTCCACATACATGCCCAGATCTTCGGCTAGATATTGCGTAGTATCGCGGTTGCCCATGATAATCCGTTGCAGATCTGACTCAAGCAGCCCGACCACATCAAGCTCGAGTTCCTTGATAGCATCCCGCATCCGTCTCTCAGAGGACCACATATCATTATCAAGTGAAAAGTGGATCGTCCAGATACCAGCCGTGATGAGTTTCTCATCCTTGTGGTAGGGCACATAATCGTTCGTTGGAAATCGTAGATACGCGATAGAGCCCGTCAGCAGCTGTAACGCAAGTAGGATGTGGAGATAGTAAGCTGATTGTTTTCGTTCGCGGGGGCTCGACGTTGTCTTTTGTTTGTGGCTGCCATTCGTAATTAGCGCTGAAAAGACTCCAGCACCGATCATCAGCATAGTCGTAATCATAACCCAGTCGGTGTGCTCTCTGACAAGTGGTCCGCCGGGTACGAAAGCATAGGCTACAACCCAGACATGGAACAGGACCATCACGTTGTAGAAGAGGAAGCCAAGTCCGAAAGTGATGGCTGGGTTGTGTTGGACAGCCGAGGAAATAAGGACAGGAGCAACTCCCATAGTATAGAAGGCCAAAACAAGGCCACCGTAGAAGCCAGTCCAGTTACCGTAGAGGGTAAGCAAGGCAGCACCGACAGATCCCAGTCCAAATGCAGTCCATGATCCAAAGAAACCTGGTAAGGCGATGCCGAAAAACAGACCCGCACTCATGACGAGCAACGTTACAGCTCCTTGAGGTACTGCCAATGGTCCTCGCACAGGATAGCCTTCCCAGACCCATAAAATCATCGTGCTGGAGTCGGAGAGCAGAGAGTGCATAGCGAATACGAGTCCACCAAAGCCGAGTCCAGCCAAAAGACTTGATCCTTTTCTCGCATTTGGTGGAACATAATCGCCCCCGCTAGTAGAAACTTGTCGCGTCGATCGCCAGACGGCGAAAATAGCAACTACCAAGGCAGTTTTGTTCCAGCCACCAATGCCGGGATGCAGGATGGGCCAGACAGGATTGTTTGTGTGGTTGGCGAATTTGGAAATGCTCGATAGAACAAGTCCGATACTCCAAGCCAGTATCCGGCTCTGGAGGCGCGCGGAATTTCGTCTTTCAGCATACCATGCGGCTGACCAGCCCAGACATCCCATCCACACCGCGAAGCCAACGGTAAACAGTCGATGGGCGGGATCCTTGACAAGCCAGGCAGCAAGTCCCACCAAAGACGACATATGGACCCATCGGTTGTGTTTGATTGCCAGAGACCGGAGGAATGGAACACCGAGCAAGAAAGGCGAAACAGTAGACATGACCATGACTTCATAGCCTGATATACCCATATGCCATAGCGGAAAATACCAGACGAGAACGCCTAGGGACGTGAGAACAGACCAAAAAAAGTAGCCATGGAGGATTTCAGCCAGGGCGTCGAGCATGGCGGGCCAGTAGTAGGGACCGTCGAAGGTGGAGGTATGAATTAGAGCACTGTCGCGACTAGAAACCTGTTAAGTTGGCGAGATCGATTGAGGTTTATATGACTTACTCTTTCTCCTTCACTGATTCCTTGAGGAGCTTGGCGTCACTAGTTAATAATTAGCCACCAACCAATCCATTGTTCGAATTGGTCGTACTTTTGAGTATCTTGGGAGTAACTGCACGTACCCTCTGCTGAGACCGTTGATATCTTTCACAACAAGCTCAAATGTTTGGAAATCAAGTGCTGTCACGGCATCAAAGGCCACGTCGAACAGGATAAGTGCCCATTCAAAGAAGGCGTAAATCGTATATGCTGAGAAGCGTCAGATTGGCTTTTCTTCCAATGAAGTATGGAGGCATACCGCCGGCCACTTTATGGACCTTGTGCTGAATGAAGAAATAAACTAGAGGGACAAGGGTTCCGAAGAAAAGACCAGCCAGGACTTTTCGATATTTAATTGAGGCAGGATTGGGAGGACTTAGTGCAAGACAGCCCAACGTCCAAGGTAGGGTAGCAACAAGATAGGATATCATGAAGATATCGTGCCAATCATGGTCATCGGTAGATGTCACGTATGTCCATCCTCCGCATGTAAGAGTCCTGAACAGTCCTGTTGCTGCAACGATACCTGGCAGGCTGGACTTCGGTCTTCTTGTGAGGAGGTAGAACAGCCCAACCAGGACAAAGCGAGGCCCAGAGGTGATGGCAATGAAGACCATAAAGACAGATCGTTCAGGGTATCGGTCGCCGATGGTGGCAGAGACGGAGGGAAACCACTCTTCAGGATAGCCATAGTGTTCGTTTTGTACAATTTTGTGGTAATGGAGCGAGACACCGACTATGAAAGCTCCAATAAACGCAGCATATGCGACGACTGTATGAGCCCAAGAAACGTATTTTCCGTTGAACTGGATGGTGTTAGCTGCAGCAACGGCAGGTGCTGGGAGGATCAGATCACGCACAGAGAACACCACGTCGCCCTCCTTCTTGGGCGCCATTGCAGGGGAACGCAGGCTGTCAAACAATAACCTGCATCCACCGGAGAAACGAAGAACAAGAGATAAATGAATGACAAGAAGAAGTGACAAACAAATGTTTTCTGATTCAAGCTGCGCCCTGAGAAAACAGGTGGAAGTACATACGAAGTACGATCTCGAAGTGGCCCCTGATCGGCTGCTACGGTTCTTTTAGCTGCAGCCGCGGCAACGCCAAAAAACTTTGGGGGCCGAACTTCTTTCACGACATCATCTCCAACTGGAGCGAAAAAAAAGTTCCCACCTCCACGTTCGACGATCAGCGCAGCGTTGAGTCCTGCAACATAGACGAGAAATCACAACTGGTAGAATGGCAGCCGCTAGCGACAAGGCTCGCTTCTTTCTTGAGCAGTCAATACCGGAGCTCAAAGAGTACGAACGCAAGAACATCTTCAGCGCCGAGGAAATCAGCAGCATCGCCCGCAAACGATCCGACTTTGAACACAAAATTAATGCAAGAGGTTCAACACCCTCAGACTACGCCCGATATGCCGAGTTCGAAATCAATGTCGATGCCTTGAGGCGGAAGAGAGTCAAGAGACTAGGCATAAAGTCAACCGCGCACAGCGGGAAGAGGCGCATTTTCTTCGTCTTCGACCGGGGCACGAGAAAGCATCCTGGAGACGTGGACTTGTGGCTGCAGGCAATCGATTTTGCCAGGAAACAAAAGGCCTACAAGAAGCTGCAAGAGTTATTCGCCAACGTTCTTCGCCTACATCCTCGAAAATCGGATCTATGGATATATGCAGCGCAGTTTGCAATTGACGAGAATGGGGACATGACTGAGGCCAGGAGTTATATGCAGAGAGGACTGCGCTTTTGCAAAAGCTCACGAGCTATGTGGCTGGAGTACGGAAGGCTAGAGATGTCACACATTGCCAAAATCCAAGCCCGCCGAGAAGTCCTAGGCATTGCGGACAGTCAGAGAGGTCAGACCACGAATGTCGCGGAGGACGAGAATGTCATGCGCCTGCCCAGATTGACAGCAATGGATGTCAACCCTGAAGGTGAAGGAGAGGAAAACGACAACGCAGCCTTACAAAATCTGGAATCGACGCCTGCCTTGAGCGGTGATATCCCGATTGCGATATTTGACGCCGCCATGGCTCATTTCAGGGATCCTTCCTTCGGCCTGGACTTCTTCCATATGGTACTCGAGTACGATGATCTTTCGGCTTGTCGGAGGATTGCAACTCATGTCGAAACCGAACTGATGAAGGACACCCCGCAGAATTGGCACAGTCAAGTGTGTCATATTCTGCTGCCAATTGTATCAGTGCAAACTGATGCGCCAGAATTTCCTGCTGCTTTCAGACAGTTCCTATTACGTCTCAAAGAGGCCAGAACAGGGACGAGCAGTGCAGAACTTGTCACTTGGGTAAAAGATTGGTTACAGAAACTTATGGAGACTCCGAACCTTGACGAAGGAATCAAGACTGTGGGATATTCGGTACTGAGTTCCATGGAAGGTTCTGGGGAGTAGCTCAACAAAATCTGCGCATAGCAGCAGCTTTTGGAGGTATTAATCTGTGTCACCTTTTGACCTTGCCTGCTTCTTGCTCGAATGCAGATGCTTCCTTTTCAGTCTTGCTTCGTTCTCTGCCTTTTGAAGTTGCTGAACCTTCTCCTTCTGTTGCTTTGTTGTTTCGCCTGGTACATTGTGCTTGTATACGTCCACAATCAGCTCATTGAGCTTACGATAACAGGCCTCCTTGTTGGCTTGCTGCTTGCGACTGTCGTCGGCTTGAACCACGAGACTGGAAGAGTTCTCAGCATAGTATCTGGATGCAAGGAGGCCTTTGTGCAAGACAGGAGGAAGTATTGCGAAGAGGCGGTCAACAGGAATGCGTAGTTGTGCTTTAGAGTTGACTCTGCTACAGTGAGATCAAGACATGAGATAGGACGCTCTTCAATCATACTTGTTCACATTCTGACCACCAGGGCCACTGGATCGACTGTAAGTCACTTCTCCAAGCCCGTGAAGAGACTCGGTAGCCTTGTAATTCTTGAACCATTCTCTTGCTGCGTTGTAGTCATACTCAGGAAGCTCGACCTTGGCAGAGTAGTACCTAGGGGCTAGCTGTGGCAACTGACGATGACATAATGACCATGGGGTCAGATAGCGCGCAGATCTACACCATGGCAGCATTGGCGACACCAAAGGATCCTTTGTATCGATCGCGACGACCACCTTGAGCAAGGTCGACGACCGACAGCTTTTATCACATTCAGACGACTCTATCTACACAGGTAAGTTTGCCGAAGGGCTTGACATAGAAAAGGGCAGGTTTTCCGAATTTCTCCGGCTGCAGCTTTCCTCTGCGCCTTCTTCTCAAGCAAACACTCACGTCAAATTGCTTCGGTTCATACAACAATTCACCATCTTGTTCCAGCCTCTCGTCCCCTTTTCTTCCGTCAGTCTTACTGTGTGGGTGCCTTGGTGTTGATGAAGCTCGGTTGAGACCTCCCAACTTTTTCTTCATCTTCTTCCCCGGTCTACAAGCCTTACAGCATTGAAATCGCCCTCCATGCATCGCACCGCCTCAAAATGAGTGAAACAAACCCTCCACCAGAAGCCCTAGGCTTTGGTAGATCCCAGACTCCAGAGAGCCCACGGCCCGTCCACATACCCGAGCCTTCAAATATCCCCGTGTTGCTGAACCAGATGGACCCAGTCTTTAATGACACTGCGACTTACAATATTCCACACAACCAAAACTTTTCTCCTTATTCAGACCCTGCGCGCAATATGACTGAGACAAATTCTGACGAACAAGACGCTGTTCAAAATTTTCTGCGTGGTGCCGAGGAAGAAAACGTGCGCTTTGACAGCGCCCCAGACACAAATGGCCAAAATACCCAGAATGATGCTACAGGCGATTCCACACTTTTTTCAGCCCTTGCGAACAACTCTACATACCACCACGCGTCTGCGCAGCAGCAAAATGACCCACCAACTGCCTCCAGTCAGTCACAAGCTGGCCCGCATTTCGGTGATGATGCCGGTGTTGAGACTACTACTGCCCACACCAATGCCAATGAAGCCAGTGTGGTCCATCTCGGTGGTGCTGATAACATTTCCAACCCAGTGAACTCTGATGCTCAGCCTGCTCGAGGTGGAGTTGATTATCAGTCACTTTTGGAAACTATCGCCCAGTCTGCTTCTACTGCACCCGCACCAGAGCCTGTTTCTGCTCCGACTACTGCCGCATCGTTCATCGATTCAGGCACCCAAATACTGCCACTTGTTCCAGGCTTGCCCCCAAAACCGCCGGCCAACCTGGAACTATCAGATACTCCCAGCTACCAGACATTTCCTACTTCTACTGCCGAGACACAAACACCGTATCAGCACGTGAACAACGATGCTGCCCAAGCCAACAGTGCAGAATCGTTCGTACCAGGATCAGCCCACTCCATGATCCAGGATCTTGCATCCCATTTTCCACCTGGCTGGCCCCAAGCTGTAAGCCAATTGCCACCCCAGACCGCGCCACCTCCTTTGCACGGACAGACTTTCCAACCTCCTGAGCCGACAAAATCAACGGACCCAAGTGATCGACCGTGGACTCCCCGGACACAAAGTTTGTATGATCAATTCCTTGAAGATGAGCGTCGATATGTGACTGAGGGTATCTGGGACAAGTTTCCAAATGGCTCCCGGCTTTTTGTGGGTAATTTGCCCAGCGAAAAAGTGACCAAACGTGATCTGTTCCATACTTTCCACAAACACGGTCGCTTAGCCCAGATCTCGATCAAGCAGGCCTATGGCTTTGTACAGTTTCTGGAGGCCTCGTCGTGTCAAGCCGCACTCCAGGCAGAACAAGGAGTGGAGATTCGAGGAAGAAAAGTTCATCTGGAGATCTCTAAGCCACAGAAGAACACTCGAGGGCAGGGACAAGGAAACAAAAGACGTCGATCAAGATCCCCAGACCGTGGAGTCCAACGTCAAGGTGATCGCTCGGGACGAAACTACAGTGATTTCAGAGAAGAAAGGCACAGACGTGATGATTATCGTGGACGCTCGCCATCCCCCAGGGGCTATCGCTCGAGAGATGATTACCGTTCTGTCGTGCAAAGTCCCAGATTTGGCCCAGACGGCAGACCAAGATCACCTTATGGTAGCTTCCCACCGCCAGTCCCCGCTGGTTACGATGAAGAAGCGACCTTACCTTTGCCTCGAAGAGAACCCCGCGACATCCCTGACGTGCAACTGTTGATTCTTGAGCCTACAGTCGCGCAGGGCTTTATTAATTGGATAGAGCAGGGTTTTCGTTCCAAAGGCCTACGAGCTTCGACCATATGGCTCAGCCCTCGACTACCACTCAACGGCGTGGTGAAAAGGCAGATCATCGAAGGTGTTCAGGCTGTGGTCAAATTGACTCAGGGTGCTCAGTACAACAGCAAGATTCCTCTTCAGGTATTCGACCGGTCGGCAGGTGCTTCGAATGTCAACTTCAATGAGTATGCCGATCTTGATGTTTCAGTTGCAGCGGCTATTGTCCTTCACGCTCGGCAAAAGGAACGAGGCTACACTCAGACTCCACAATTTCCTGCTCCCCCTCCTCCTCCCGCCCCTCAAGGATATGCTCAAGGACAGTACGGCCAACCCGCTCCTCCACAGTATCCACCTCAAATGCCCTCGTCATTCCCGCAGCAGCAGCAAGGTCAATATCACTACGGTCAGCCGACTTCATATCAGGGTCAAGCACAGACACCTGTGACGCCGACTTCTTCCGCCAACCTCCAGCAACTGCTGGCAAATCTACGACAGCCTGGAGAACAGCAGAGTGCTGCAAGCGCAGTTCCGACGTCTGATCTTGCAGGTCTACTCAGCAACGTTGCTCGACAGAATCAGGGTGGACAGTTTCCTCAGTCGCCGTCCGGACAACAGCCTCAGCAAGGATATGGTGGTGCACCAGTTTATGGGCCTGGACAGCAGTCACAGCAGAACGTCCAGAATATTATGGATACTTTGGCACGTTACGGTCGATGATTGAGACGGCTCGAGCACTAGAAGATGTTGAGATCCGCTGCTCTTTGGAGTGACGGCTTCAGACGCAGCATGAGATTATGTGAAACTTCCTGAGATAGCAGCATTAGAGAAATAGAGCAGCTGAAATATGGGTGACGTAGCTGACAACGACAATTGACACTGTACATGATACACCTCTCGTTCCTCGCCGGTTATGAATATGATGCTTCTCCACGCGTGTATTCGGCATGCGATGCTGGAAAGGCTCTTCGCATAGCAGTTTGATATCGAGCGAGCGAGACAAAGAAATTCGAAGTTGGAGAACAAGAACGAGAGATTCCCCGCATATCGGAACGTTGACGCATGAACATGAACGAGCCGCGGTTCAAGATTCAAGTATCAATTGTCACTTTCTTTCTTCTACGCTTTCGCCTTGTTCTTCCTCTTATACCCTCCCGGCACCGTCTCGTCATCATCGCCCACTATGTCCAAGAAACCCGCTACGCCCAACCCTGTAGAATACACCTACGCCGCCCCCAGCACGCCCAACACCGGCTCTACCGCGCATTCAATCCCACACCCGGAACCCATTTCCTCGACGACGTACCATATCGCGGGCATCCTTACCACCGTGTTTGGCCTGTCCGAACTAGACCCTTCGACCACAGATGTCGCCGTCCTGTGGCTTCTGCACCCGCGCCTCCAGACGCAGAAATGCATGGCCCCGTTCGCCGCGCATATCATAACGGACTGGAACAGCCGAGCAAAGGCCAAAGCCAAGGGGAAAGGCAAAGGGCAAGGGAAAACAAAGGGGCTGATTGCCGTGTCATTCGATCAGCGCAACCACGGCACACGTCTGGTCGACCCGCTGTCGAACGAGGCCTGGCGGTCGGGAAACGAGCGTCACGCTCAGGATATGTTCTCATGCTATGCGGGCACGGCCCAGGACACGAGTTTGTTGCTGGACTATTTGTCCGCGTACGTCTTCCCGCACGGCGAGAGACGGATCGTGCAGAACCTGGTGCTCGGCATCTCCCTCGGCGGGCATGCGGGGTGGCATGTCCTCATGCACGATGCGCGGGTCAGTGCCGCGGTCGTCACCATCGGTTGTCCCGACTACGCGCGGCTGATGAGCGATCGGGCGAGGCTGTCCAAGCGGAAGACGTGGCTCGAGACCGGCGGCAGGGAGTTTCTGGGCAGTTCGGACTTTCCGGGCGCTTTGGTCGATGCCGTGCGACGACTTGACCCCGCGGGACTACTATGGTCGGGATCTGGTCTGACCAAGACGCCTGGCCAGGAACATGGCGAGAATCTGAGTCACGAGGACAAGGAGAAGGTCATGCCGCTAATGGCAAGGTGTTTCGGGAACAAGAGGATCCTGAATCTCTCGGGCGGGAGTGATAAATTGGTCAACTATGCGCACAGTAAGCCCTTTATGGACTGGCTGAAGAAGGCCGCCGGGAAGGGAGGCTGGTTTGAAGGTGGAGGCTTGTATGTGGAGGATATTGTCTACCCGGGCGTCGGGCATGAGGTCCCGCCGGCCATGGTGGATGCGATGGTGAGGTTTGTCAATGAGACGCTGGAAGATGAGAGGCAGATGGATGTGGGGAAGCTGGGGAGTAAGATATGAATATCAGGCATAAAGTAGATATAAAAATTAGATCTCAACGGGAGGGGACGGACGAAAAGCGAGGGTCATCATGGTGGTAGACTTAAAGGCGACTCACTCGTCGTTCAGCAGGGCCGCCCATCAAGTGCGCCGCGATGGCTTGAATGTTGCTGATGAGGCGATGAGGAGCTCTTTTGCATGGACAACTTGTCCAAGGTCATCATAGCATTTGCGCCCTGTATAGGACATGTTCGGCCTCAAAGCTCGTAGTGTCCAGTGAACACATCCCCTGATTCCATGTAACCATCGTAGCTGACTATCTTCTTCCACCCATGCTTGCAGCGGTCTGCATGTTTTGGAAGATCAATTTGAACCCATTGCATAGATCCCTCATCGTAGGATATGGTGTCTTCATAAGCTCAAACCCCTGCGGGATCACTCTCACACTCCAATCCATGAGCTTCGCCTTTTGACCAGCTTTGAAGATAAGGTGAAACTGTCCGGGTCGTTCTCTATTGATGCAAAATTGATACATCGACCGCTTGGGGTTTGCGTTGGTGTATGTGGTTAGCCACTCCTCTGCTCAACAGTCAGTACTCTTCGCTCCATATTGATACGGTCTCGCATACCTAATTGAGCCTTGGACTTGTCCTGGAACTTTTCATTGCCACACATCTCGTCCACTTTTCGTGCCATGGCCTTGACGTGCAGCACGATAAGCTCGTCCAAGTCTGAATAATTATAGCGCCCACCGATTCTCAGAGTTCTCCCCAGGGAGAATTCGTTCTCTTTGTCAAGCTCCAGAACATCAATGTGCTGGAAGATGCCGTCAGCCACTTTCCAAGTCACGGCAAGATGGTCATTTCCTTTTGATGACGGGCGAATAACCACGTCACCACGGTTTTGACTGCCCAGATACTCTTCTGCCTGCTTCGCGTTAAACGGCCGGAAAAGAGGGTGTTTGATGACTCGAGTGACACGACCTCCAGAGTCGGCCTTTTCCTCGAGCAACTTCTTATCTGCAGCTTCCTCACGATCGTCCCATTCGTTGTAATTGCGGTCGCTATGGTTGTATCTCTTGAAGGATCTTTTTGTCTGATCTTCTCTCAAGCTGACAGTCACCACAAAATCCTTGCGATTGATCGAGGTGATGTGTGCTTGCACAGTCTGATGGATGGTGTAAAGTTGTTTCGGCGAGACTCCGCTGTCCGACCACTGACCGTCTTCAACGATAGCGTCCAGGCCACAATCTAGTTTACCTTCGATGTGAGTATCACTGACCCGCTTCAAAGAGATAGGCACATTCATGCCCTTCTGTAATGATTCTCTGGTCTCGCCAGTCAGCATTGTGAAGACTTCTGACTCGCCTAATGTACTGCGGAATGGATTTCGCAGTTCTTCGTAAGGCTCGTTGAGTTCTGCACGGATATTCTCCAGAGTGGTTCGCTTCTTCGAGTTAAGATTCTTCTCCAGTTGCTCGGCGTACTCCTCAAGGACGAGATCGTTGACACGCTCTTGCGCCTCTTCCCGAATCAATCGTCGAACGATAGCGCCAGGTCCGCCTTCTTGTCGCTCGGCCTCAATATCCTCTTCATCGAGTTCAAGAGCGTCAGCAGCCATTTTGCGAGCAATGTCGTAGTCTTCGGGGTGCACACGTGTTGCGTCTAGGTATTCGGCCTGTGGCTCCTGCATGTCGAAGTGTATATGCAATGTTGATGCGGCGTTGCTCCATACTTTGAATCCCATCGCAGGATGATTCTCGTTCACACCGAGGAGGTCCTCACGAGTACTGACATACCCGCCATTGAGATGTATGACCTTGAGGACATGCGCTGCCTTTCGCGGGCCCAAGCCAGCAACGTACGGGAGAAGATTTGCGACAGACATATCACTGGCAGCTTCATTGATGTCGACTCCAACCATGTTAACAACGTCAACCAATGCCATGTCCAGCTTGCTTAGAAGCTTTTCCTGAGGAAGAAGGTTCTGAGCTGGATGGAAGCTGAGTGAGACAAGGTCCCTACCCAGGGCAGCATACTCTTTGAGAGGGTCTTGCATGTACTTAGCCAGGGCCACGCAGTACAGCGCTAAGGGTGGGAGTCCAGGATGGTCTGTCTTGCCTCGGTCGCTTGTCTGATACATCCGTGCCACCTCATCGTTGACCAAGATGACTTCCAACAATTCGCTGCGATCTCGGTCATCCTCATCTGCAAATGTGGGACCACGCAGATCATGGTTTTGGATAAGGGTCGTAATGTTCGCAAGAAGTTTCCGTGTGTCCGGAGTCCACCCAGAAACCCCAACGACTTCTGGCTCCCTCCGACGAATAACGTCTATCAGGGCCTCCACGTCTTTACCATCCGGAATGCTGCGTTCCCGATCGCCAGGACCTAGTTCCTTAAACCGGCCATGCTCAAGAACCCTGCCATCATCCGACACATACGCCCAATAAATTGGATCACGGCCAGGAACACCTCCTCCACTGGACAGAGTCAGCACCCGAGGGGTCGTGCCTTTTTTCATTCCACGTGGTTGATATGGTGCTTGGTCAAGACGTGTGGTAAATTCTTCTCGGCATTCGGTGCCAATGACGTTTTCGCATTGCTCTTTGAGGTTTTCTTTGACAAGGCGCCCCATGAGCTTCATTACCTTATCTACCGCAATGGACACCACGTCGCGGCGTTCAGCATTCCACGCATCCGCAACAGTGGAGTAATTGTCGGTTTCAATGTGCTTGCACAGTTGCTTTTTGAATGATTCGGGATTCTTCAGACGGACCTGAATGTTCACCAGACCCTCTTCTTCGGCCTTCAGCATCTTGAGGAAAAGATCAGGCCTCTGGAAGAACGCTGCAAAGTCCTGGTTCTTCAGGTATTTGAACTCATAGTACGGATGCTGCTCGTCGATTTTGCGAAGACCCTTTTCAGTCCGATGGCAGTCAATGGCCCCATCGGTGTAGACGGATTTCCTGATATAACCCCTAAACCTCGGGCTCATCACAAATTCTTCAATGAACATGGACTTGGCCGCTTTGAGTACTCGGGAGGATGTAGGAAACTCATCGTCGATCAGTGTGTCTGCAAGATGTTCCGGACTGTCACTGGGGTCTTCCGTATATGTTCGAACACCTTCTCTGGCAGCATTCTGCGCGAAAGCGTTTGCGGATATGCCGAAGGCACGAACAAGACCGAAGGCTTTGGAAGCGCGTATTTCCTCGTAGACGGTTTTTGTGGAGGCTTTTTTCTGAGACATGTTGACACCATTCGTGTCGCCATTCGAGGTCAGAGCCAGGTCCTTCAGCTGCGAAGCATACTCGAAGTAGAGGTAGTCCTGGAGGTCTTGCAGCTCCTCCATCGTGGCAGCTAAAGGAAGCATTTGCTGAAAAGTCTCATCCTCGGGGACGTTGGCCGATTTCAGGTCTTGATATGTTTTCTGTAATGCTTGTCTTTTTTCGGTAAGGGCGCGGTATTTTAGGTCATGCTCGAAAATTTGCCATAAGTCGCGCTGAACAAGAAGCCTGGTGGCATCCGCGACTGTCCGTGGAGTGCCATCTTCCTCCCTGCCCACGACTTTCTGGACGACATGAAGCAGATAATCTTTCCGGTTTTGAAATATGAACGGTACTTCGTAGTCGTCTCGCACTAGAAATTCGAGAACATGGGCGACAGCCCGTCTGAAAGGTTCATGAAGTTCCGAGGGGAAGTTTTTGGTGGGAAGCATAAGTTTGGATATCCAGCCAGCCTCATCTTTGAACTCATCCTCTGTAAGTTCAACATGGCGATACGCTTTTCTGGCGAGCTGATGCCGTTCAGGTTCGTCGGCGTATTTAATGGCGTTGTCTTCGTCTGTCAACATCTTCTCGGCGAGTTGCGAAGGCTCAAAGACATCCTTGAGATCAAGGTGCTTGTCCTTGGCAGCTTCCTCTTCGTCGGCTTCCTCTTCCTTCTCAAGCGCGAAGTCGTAGTCGGTGCCATCACCGAAAGCTGCACGGAAGTCTTCTAACGCAGCTTCATCGAGCCCCGCGACGTCTGCAATACCAAGGTCTGGAAGGCCTCGGCGATTGGGCCGAGCCACTTCTTCATCTTCTCGTTGTCGCTGTTGTTCCTCATCTGAGAAGACATCCTCTTCAATAAAGTCATCGAACTCATCCTGCAAACCGCGACGATCTGGCCGGCTTCGGCGATTGTAGTCAACAGCCTCTTCCTCTTCATCCGAGTGGCCAAAGATATCATTGACGCCATAGGATTGCTGTGCATCTCGGTCTTCGCGAGGGCCACGCTTTAGACGCTTGAATTTGGGTTCGGGGGCTTCTTCCGTAGGTTTCAGGCCGATCAGCTCCAGATCTTCTTCGTCGAGGCCTTCATCTTCGCGCTCTTCACGGCGACGTTTCTTGCGTTCGCGTCTTCGTTCTCGGCGGGCTTCCTCTTCTTCTTCGTCTTCATCCACGATGAAGCCTTTCGCAACCTAGAAAAGAATGTCAACGCGTATCACCAAACATGCGCAAGTGAGAAGGAGGCCTACCTCCGCTGCGGCTTCTTCGTCGTCATCGTCTTCCTCGTCCTCAGAAGAATCGTCAAAGCGACCATTGGCTCCATTTTGCCGGTTCCTCACTTCACCGGTCTCCTCATCAATAGATTCATCCTCTTCTTCATCGTCAAGGACTGCGCGATCGTCGATGAGATCCATGCTGATGGCGGTTCGAGTCGAGGAATGAGGGAATAGGATTGTCGAATGTAAGATGGGGAGGAGAAACAGGTAGCAGGGAGTAGCGCCACAGTCAGTCGCACCTCAAAGACAGCACCGGTTCAGGATAAAGTGCTGTCAAGCACATCTAAAGGACAAAAGTCACAGGCATTCGCCTAAGTTTCTCTTTGAGGGATTCTCCAAACAGCACCGTTATGGCCCTCCGTAGAGCCCACGAGTATTACGGAGAAGTACTTGCAAGGGCCAGAACTTCCAATGTGCAGATCCCACAAGCCCACTCCTCATTACTCGTACAAGGTTGTGCAGACTGCGGTACAAGCCTCAAAGGAAATAGGCGCCTTCGCTTGATCTACAACTAACCAGATTATTGGCGAACCATCACGAACTACAATCTTCTTATGTGTCGAACTATTTGACCAGTATCTCGCCTGCTTCTGCTTTAAGACGTCAACGTACGTGGTCATTGTCCCAGATCCTCACTGGACCGTTTGCATAGCCCCTATCTTCAGTTTCACCATTTCGATCTACGAACTTCAAGAATCAACTTACTCCCACCTACTCCGTCAACTTCAGCTGTTTCTCTGCAGCATTGTGATCTGTCTTGGGGTTATCGATGCATGCTGGTCTTTGTTTACAATTCAACGGCCTTACATAGCCGGAGAAAGTCTGCTCTTACTGGCCCTATTGTCGTCTTGTTAAGCGCCTCATGGATCAGATTGTCCTTGCGTTCTGGGTCTGAATAGCCGCCCATTTCACTGTCCTGCCCATATCCGCTCCTACAGCCTCGACTGCACATTCTGTACCTCCTTCTACCACCTCACCCTCCTTATATCGGACCCGCTGCGAACTCGGCATCACGGAACCTTTCTCGACGGCTTCCAGAGACAGCCAGCATCATGTCCGACCAGTTCAAGGCCAGGACGCTGAAGAGAAAGAATGTCAAGGGTTTGGCGCTGAGTGCTCCGCCGCCGAGGACCGCCAATCCGTCCGAGGGAGACTCACAAATACCGGGTGCTTTGGGAAATTCTGAGAGTGACCGGACAGACACACTGGAGATTGGCTTAGAGTTCAAACTTGACCTCAGGAGCGAAGATCTGATAGTCCTCAAAGAGCTGGGTGCTGGCAATGGAGGTACCGTCAGTAAGGTCATGCATGCCTCGACCAAAGTGGTCATGGCAAGAAAGGTGGGCACAAGACCTCGTTGAAATATCTCCCAAGTGCTAAGTAGGCTGCAGATTATTAGGGTCGACGCAAAAGAAAACGTCCGCAAGCAGATCGTGAGGGAGTTACAAGTCGGCCATGACTGCAGCTCCCCATATGTCATCACATTCTACGGCGCTTTTCAGAACGAAGCTCGAGATATTGTGCTCTGCATGGAATACATGGATTGCGGGTACGTGCTGTCATATATACCTCATCAAGCCATCACTGACATTTGGCCAGATCTTTGGACCGTATATCCAAAGACTTCGGTCCGATCCGTGTCGATGTGCTTGGTAAGATCACCGAATCTATCCTTGGAGGCCTTGTATACCTTTACGAAGCACATCGTATAATGCACCGTGACATCAAGCCATCAAATGTCCTGGTAAACTCCCGTGGCATGATCAAGCTATGTGACTTTGGTGTTGCCACCGAAACGGTCAATTCAGTTGCAAATACCTTTGTCGGCACCTCAACATACATGGCACCGGAACGAATTCAGGGAGGGGCATACACCATAAAATCAGACGTGTGGAGTGTGGGGTTGACAGTAATGGAACTGGCCATCGGCAGGTTTCCCTTTGATTCCAGCGACTCTGCCGCAGGCGACAGAGCCAGTGCCGGACCGATGGGCATCCTCGACCTCTTGCAGACCATTGTCCATGAGCCAGCACCGAAACTCCCCAAGAGTGAAGCCTTTCCCGCCATCCTGGAGGATTTTGTGGCCAAGTGTCTTCTGAAGAACGCGGACGAGAGGCCGACACCCAGGGAGCTATACGACCGGGACAACTTTGTGCAGGCTGCTAAACGGACCCCAGTCGATTTGCAAGAATGGGCCGTGTCAATGATGGAAAGACACAATCGGAAATCATACTTGGCACCTCCAGCACCAAAATCACTGAAAAGCGACGGTACGAGCTCCGACACTTCATACACGAACTCGGCCGCTTCAACTTCATCCTTCGCTAGCGACATCAGAGGTACCCCGGTAACTGCAAGACGGTATGCAAGTCCTACCTCTGGCAATATTACAGTTGCCGCTCCACAGTTCGCTTCTCAACCAAGTCAACATACTCCGACAGGAATCGCGGAGAGATCACCTCCTCCTCCTCTATCACTACAGCACTTGTCACTGGAAACACGAGATCCTCTCAGCGGGTTTCCCAATCGTGCTAACCGGCTAGCTTTCAATGAACGCGACAACATTCCGGAACCTGCTTCAGCGATTGAGCCTTCGCAACGACCTATGTTTCCACCAAGAACCAGCAGCAGCAACTCTTTGGTAAACAACAGAAATCCTCTTGCGAGCCCACCACTGTCTGTACGGCCACCACCACCGAGCGGTCCTTTACCGCCACCTCCAATGAAGGATCTACCAGCGCCTCCATCTTTGAAAACTGCGGAGATAGCCAGTCCACGCCGGCTTAGGTGATTGGCAACAGGCGACGTCTTCTGAATTTGTTTAGGCATGAGCGTGAAGCATAACTCCGGGCGAATTGGGAGACATAGCATCGGCTGTAGCATTTGTGCAGGCGTACATCATGGATCTTCGCAACTTCAAATTCAATGTAGAGCCGCAACAGACTTTTTAGACTCGAATTAACACGGTGTCTACTCGTACAAAGTATCCTACCTAGGTATCTGGGTGTTTGCAAATATTGGTCGGCAGGCCCTACGCGAGGCTGTAACCACCCCTCGTTGTTTCCCACTTTGTTAAGCCTGATTATCAGCTGGCGCCGCCAAGAATCGCGAAGTTCATTGGAGGCTGCTGCGGCAGCGAGCCATGGTCAGAGTCGGCAGACAGAGCGCAGTCGTACCAACAGAGATCACACGTTGTCCGATCACGCGAATTGTGTGTATATGATGGAAGCAACTTCTGCCAGAATGGCTTCCAGGAACCAGTACCAGTTCGACGGCTTTTCTCCCCCTCGATCGACCCTACAACGCTACATATACAATGCCTGCGACCCGGTCGCCAACCTCGAACCCAATCTAGCTTTGAACCTCGAGATTGTCGACCTGGTCAACTCGAAGAAAGGCAATGCACCTCGTGAGGCTGCCGTCACCATTGTCCAACTCATCAATCACCGCAACCCCAACGTCTCCCTGTTAGCACTTTCCTTGCTCGATATATGTGTCAAGAACTGTGGATACCCGTTCCATTTACAAATCAGTACCAAAGAATTCCTCAATGAACTCGTCCGGCGGTTTCCTGAAAGACCTCCTGTGCGGCCGAGCCGGGTCCAGAGCAAGATCTTGGAAGCGATTGAAGAATGGCGGCAAACGATATGTCAGACGTCGAGGTACAAGGACGATCTGGGGTTCATAAGAGATATGCATAGGCTGTTGCTGTACAAAGGCTATATGTTTCCAGAGGTCCGGAGAGAGGATGCTGCCGTACTCAACCCAAGCGATGTAGGTACGATGTGATGAGTGCCGGCGATTAGTGCTGATAACATACAGAACCTCCGCTCTGCTGAAGAGATGGAAGAGGAAGACCGAGCAGCCCAATCCGCGAAGCTACAGGAGTTGATCCGACGAGGGAGGCCACAAGATTTACAAGAAGCCAATCGTCTTATGAAGGTGATGGCCGGCTATGATACAAGAAACAAGACAAATTACCGGGCAAAGGCAGCCGAAGAGGTCGCAAAAGTACAACAGAAAGCAAGGATCCTGGAGGAGATGCTACAAAACCACAAGGAAGGTGACATTATGGGGGATGGAGACGTCTTCGAAGTACGACCCCAGCCAGGGCGACTGATTTTGAGTTGCTGACCATCGACAGGAGCTCGCTGCGGCACTTCAGAGTGCACATCCAAAGATCCAGAAAATGTGCGAAGAGGAATCGGACGATGCAGAAGCAGTTGCCAAACTCCTCGAAATCAACGACAGCATTCATCGGACCATTGAGCGATACAAATTGATGAAGGCAGGGCAAGTCGAGGCCGCCAACAAGATTGCCAAAGGTACACTGGGGACCACGACTGGCGTGGGCAAGAATGCTGCAAACGAGTTGTCCTTGATTGATTTCGACCCGGAACCTTCAGATGCACCGACGGCGTCGGATACGAACGGGTCTCTTTCACTCCTCGACGCTGGAACAACGGCACCTGCGCAAACACAATCCAAACCACATACTGTTGAGGATGACCTGTTAGGTCTGTCTCTAGGAGACAGCAGTTCTGGACCAGGATCTCTAGGAGCCATCTCACTTGGACAAAGCACAACATTTTCAGCACCGTCTGGATCTATTTTCTCCAGCGGCCCGAATCCTCCTCCGAGTCAACAGCCCCTGCCTCAAGCCTCGCCTAAACCGAACTATGACGCCTTCGCATCTCTCACCAGTGCTCTGCCGTTGTCGAAGCCAGCGACTCCTGTACCTATGGCGCAACAGCAAAGGCCGGCAAGCCAGGCACCTGTCGACCCCTTTGCGTCGTTAGTGTCTTCGAGCTCGAGGCCTTCAACACCGGCCCGACAGGCAAACACTCAGCAATCAATGCCTCAGTCGATGGCGCCGAAACCAGCTAATGTGGCGGCACAGGCGGAGGAAGAATGGAACTTTGAATCTTCCTTACCTGAAAGTTCCCTGGTCAAGGTGTTGGCGTCCTCCATTGAAATTGATTTTGAACCACGACGACCCGCAGGTGCTGCACACATTCAGATAACCGCGAGGTTCTCCAACACGACCCACCAGCGCATTACTGGCTTGCATTTCCAGGTGGCAGTAGAAAAGAGCTATTCGCTTCAACTCAAACCACAAACCGGGCGCGAGATGGCACCAAAAGCACGCAATGCAATCCAGCAAGAGATTCTTCTCAATGGTGTTCCTGTAGGCAGAGGAAACGGGGTCAAGATGCGATTCAAGGTATCCTACGAACTGAACGGGCAGCCACAAGAACAACAAGGAAATGTGCCGCCATTAGGCATCAATTAGCGCGGAGAAGCGTTCCGGAGATTGTAGGGAAGCATTACGCGCCGGCTTGAAAGGCTGCGGGCCTCGAGAGAGATTGGGACTTGACACATCCGTAGCCATGGTCCAAGCACCCAACTATGAAATGTTGGATCTTTCGTCAATATGCAATTTTGTCACCGCCGCATCGCTTCTTAATTAAGGTGTGATGGTGACAACCATCACTCAGAGTGGCTTCGTGACTCGTAAACTTGGACTGGAAAGGCGGGAGGACCGTCATGGGCCTGGAGACCTGAATGAACTTTTTCCTCGACCCGTGGAGACGGAGAAGACCAGACACGAGGTCGGACCATGGTGGTACACTGCTAGTGGTGCTACAGATGCTAAAGGACGACGGTCGAAGCCAGCTGATTCGCAATGATCAACCGATCAACGCGCGGGTAACAGATCCAACTACAGATCCGATCTTGCAGATGCCAGGAACCTAGGTCTGGGATGGGATCGAGGGAGAAGGAAAAGGCTGTCCGGGGCGTCATAGTGGGTTGGAGGATTGGAGGACCGACGCCCAGTGGAGCAGCCGCATCTGCGAAGATAGGGGAGATCAGTGAGATATAGAGAGAATCGGCGATCTGAACGCAGTTCCCAATGGTGGGTGACTGGCTGTGGTTTCAGGATTTTTATCGCACCTCGCCGGCCACCCAAGATGTACCGCAGTATTTCAAATCTATCACACTATGACACTATGTCAACTTAACGTTCCCGAAGGGATGGAGCCGGTGACATGGGCACGGACACGCCTGGGGAACTTCCCTTGAGGAGGCACAGAGGCCACCCTCACCGCGTCGTAGCTTGCACAACAATATAGAGTAATATAACATCAGTCGCTCTGCATTTTCCAGAACGGTGCAGGCTGTCGCGTCATCTATCGGCTCATGCAAGATCCGGAAGACCCTGCGATCGACGAGGTAGAGATGGTGGTCACAGTCAATTACTCTCCCTCCTCCCGGCATGGCTGCTTCTGCCGTGCCAGCCGAGGCTCAACGTTCTGCACGGGCCAGGATGACGGCAGAAGGAGGCGAAGTCGTTAAGGTTGTGCTTGTGGTTGCTGGCAGTTCTGTAGACGGCGTGAAGTCACACTAAGTTGAGTAGCGACGAAAGATGTCTTGACTCTTCCTGCACTCGCAGAACGTGGCCAGCATGCCGTCTCTCCCTAGGTATGCTGGGCAAGCCAAATCCCTGAACAGATCTCAGGTTGGCTAGCATCTTGCCGCCATCACCGCTCTGACTGACAAGACACCCCTACCCTGGCATACGAGAGACAACCCCTATGGTTAGGATATTAGTTTGTGATGGGAAAAATACAGTCACTCGTGTCCTGCTGTGCTAGGTAGCATCACATCGTCGGAGCTGTCAGGACTTACCTAGGTAAGATTCAGCGGTATGTGGCCGTTGGGTCCTCGACACGATACCCGAAGCCACGCTAAGATCTGGGCTACCCCATACCTGGTCAAGATGAGCATTCGTCCGAGATCTCCAGTGCTGACATTGCTGAGAGGGCTTTCAACTAACGATTGCCTTGATCGCGGGATGTCGAACTGGGGCTCCGATGAACTCACATCCACAAGTGCCTTACCTTTTGTTCGGAATCCAATAATGGGTGGTGGATGTCATCAGACGGGAGGATGTGTGAGGATCGGGGACATATGCACCACTGCACCTACCTAGGTAGGTGATCTGGAGGCCAAGTCTTCTGTCCGCAGTGTCCGGCTTATTGCGCCGCCGGAAATGGTTTACGAACGAGCGAGGAGGTTACGATCGCCGCCTATGATCGCCTCCTATGATCGCCTGGGCTCCAGCACGTCCCGTCCAACTCTTTTTACCAGACAGGTGCCAGGGACCTTCCAATCCGGGCCTGGTCTCCTCTGTCAAGATCTTGTCGATACACGAACCCTGGTCCGGTAGGGCGAATGGGTTGTTCGCATCGACACCATGCCATTTGGAATCCCCCATCTTGGTCCCTTTTTGCTCTTTTTGCCTTTGCTTCGACATTTCTGCTCTGCCGCTGCAGTTCATTTCAGCCAACCACAAGTCCACAATGGACGGCCCAGCATGAATTCCTCCTGCAAATTCGTTCTGGAGACAACCAGCGCACGGCAGGGGAGGTCCCCTCAGCCACAACTGGCTCGCGATCTTCGCTACAATGCTTGCTCCGTGATCCTCCTCCCTTTCCTGAAGCATGGCCGTTGTTGCTATCGACGCTAACAGTGTCGCTTGCTCAAGCGTGTCCACCTGTCCAGCGACAATCGCTCGTAACTATGTGTTCTAACTCCGCTTGGAAACTTTCTCATATGCACCTCCTCCCTTGGCCGTAAGTCGTCAATCCCAGCAGCTTTTTACTTCCTGCCGACATATCTACTTCCTGCTCTTTGCCACTTTGCATCTCACATATCTGTGCTCTTCATCCTCCAAACATCCTTGATCGTATTGTCTACACTCAATCGTTGTGTTGTTTTGGGGATTTCACTCTTAGCAGGTAAAGTCATCAAGCTTCGGGAATAATATCGCCTCTCGCGACCAACAACAACCATCTCGGATACGTCGGTATCTCTCAGCATCTCTTTGCCGACACCCACAGTCCGGAAAGCTACCACCACTGAAGCTGTGGCTGACATCCTCGGACTAATAGTCAGAGTTTACCACAGTATGCCGCCTTTGAGGACTACAACGCCAGCCAAGGCCATCAAGACCGAAAGAACGCATGAGGAGAACCAGGAAAGGTTAGCAGATCCCCGTCCCCTGTGTTGCTACGTAGCTAACCCAATGCCAGAGCATACATTGCTGCGTCAAGGAGAAGCGATCGAAGTCTAGAGGCTCGAGTAGAATCAGCACGAAGAGCTTCCGAGATACACAAACACCGCACTGGTCGCTCACTGCGTGTCACTGAACAAGATGTCATCAACGAGGAGATGTACGAAGAGGAGGATGACGATCTGCCAATGCAGTACCGTCGGCTTACAGCACATCTTCAGACTGGTTCAGCCGACTTCAATCGAAGGCTAGCAGCATACCTCACCAACCAAGTGGCAATGCGGACCGCAATGGGGCAGATGGTGCACAACTCCTATGGACAATACCCCAATGCACCATACCAACAGAATTCGAATGTGTTTCCATCCCCTATGCTACCTCCCCAGAACATAGTGCAGTCACCACAATCTAACTATCGCTCCTCGCCTTATCCGAATCCTCACCATGCCAACTTCAGGTCGAATCACGGCAGAGCACATTCCATGGCATCAGTACCGAACCAGAACCAAGGCTCAACGTCGCCACCGACGACCTCCGAAACTACCATGGTCGATCAACGGCGGATGTCGACTCCAGCTGCCATCAATCACAGCGATGCCAAATCAGACTCGGAGTACATGAGACAAACTCAGTCCGCCACCAACTTTCCGCCACTCTGGCAAGACATGGGTCCGTTCACCACGTCTCTTCCACCTGAGTCACAGCAGATGCTTGCCCACGCGCCAGGCTTCGACTCCAATGACCCCAGCTACGCCATGCTGATGCAAGGTTCGGACCAGTACATCTCGGACCCGTACTACCCATGGCACGACATGCAAGGTGGCATCAAGGGCATGCCTGTCCACCCATCACACTACCCGGGCATGTCAGCGACGCTGGCACCTGCGGCCCTCGAGCATGGCGTTCGCGATAGCAAAGTGGATAACACCACAGCCACGACTACAAGCTCGACGCCTGTGGCCATCAACCAGCCGCTCACACCTAGCGCGCCCTCAGCCGGGCTGGACTTCAACTTCAGCCAAGATAGCAGAGGGTTCGGTTTCGGCGGCGCCGGTCTGGGTTCGGGACAGGCGACGCCCGCAGGAGAGGGTTTCTGGGACCACTTCGTCATGGATGGGTCCTGGGAGGATGGAGTCGACAGCACCACTCATGCAAACACACCGCTCGAGGGCGTAGGAGGGTGAAGTTGATCGCGCTAGCATCCCCAGCTTCTGTCCCATATTACCGACATCCACTTCGGTACTCCGGGTTCACTACTGGCCATCCGAGGCGCTTTTCAATCTTTCCCACAAAGTCATCATATTTATATCGACATTTTTATCAGTATGAGGATGCATGAGCACGAAACACGAACTTGATAGTGGGTTTTCCTTGGCGGTCCAGGCGTTTCTACGTTGCCTTTGACTTACCGATCCGGTGTGGCTCTCTCTCTCTCTCTCTCTGACTTCGCGTCATGATCGAGTGCTTGCAAGGTGTACTTTATAATTCGACCTCGACCAACGTCCCTATCATCTTCTTTAGGGTTCAAAACTCCAACTTCCTGTCCCATGGTAATCTACCCGGGGTGGGACATGTTCTTAGGGGACGGGGTTCTGCGGCGGCCTTTTTCCGAAGTGGTGTCGTCTTACGGCTTTTTATGGACTATGTTATGTCAATGCCAGAGCAGCGTCGTGGCGCTTTCATGTACTCAGGTGGGCATATTTGGCACCAATTTTAGGGTGGTTAATCTGAAATGATGGCAATGGTATGATGATAGGTAATCTGAATGGTACTGGCAAGGGTATGGCGAGACGAGTAGAGGAGGACATAGTCAGAAAAGACAATCGGTCTCGAGTGGTGGAAGGACATGGGTGGCTTAATTTTTTGGGCGTTGGGGGGTTGGGTGCCATCGGGAAGATGAAGCCAACAGACAACAGACAACAACGAAATTGAACAGCGGATTCGCATGGTGAAGGAAGCATGGAGAAACAAAAGTAAGGAAATTTAGAAAAGAAAATATTCTTCTCTCCCAATCTGCTTCCCCTTCTCTTATGGTCCTTTTTCGGAGTCAAAGAGTACCGTTGGGCAAAACGCTCGCCATCGTCGTCCACCGTAAGTTAGATCCGGTCCCTACCTTAGGTATTCGCATCAGGCACTGTTGTCATTCATTCGAATGTATAGTATTCACAAGTGTGAGTAAGTAGAGAAGAACGGAAAGACTTCAGGACTGCAGCGTTTCAGACTTGACACTTCAGACTCAAACTTCAAGACCAGGTCAAAATATGAGTACAGCACCGTTAGCCTCGAAAATCCAACAAGGCTCGTCCAAAGGAGCACTACTTATACTTGCACTTGCACCTGTACTTGCACTGTACTTGTAGATAGCGTGATAGCGTGATCTGGGTAAAAATCAAATAAAGTCTCAAAGACCGAAGGGAGAGTGGATCGAACAAGGAAATTCTTGATCTAAGGTAACTTGGTCGACGTCTTTTGTCCACGAATTTCCTAGGTACGACGTACAGTAACCTGGAGTAAAAAGGGGTATCTAAAGGCTATGTATTGGACAGCCGTGTTCCTTCGATGGCCCATATGGCGAGTCAAGTGTCCGAATTCGAATTCCCCGGACGCCAAACTATTGAAATATCAATTGTCAGGCTTTCTTGCTAAGAAAAAAGAAGATCTGAATCACGATCGCCCAGGGGTTGACTCTATGCCTCGCGCACCAGCCAGTTCAGTCGACACAGACCCCGAAAGAATGTCCGCCACGACGGTTGCGAGCTCCAGTCTGGGGTAATTCGTGGAACCCACCTCGTGCTGTCTCCTAGCCATTCTTGTCTCCAAGTAACAAGTGCCATACGATATCTTCGGTCGTGCCATCTTTCCTGTTCAACCTGTAGGCTTCCTTGACGAGTCGCCTGAGGGCTATGGCCTCAAGTTGGAGCCTTGCATCGGTCTAGAACCATTGTCGAAACTCTTGCGCACACTGCTGGAACTGCTCCGTCTTCGTCGCATGCGCAGCTCATTCGGGTCCACCGCGGAGGTCAAACCACCCGCGCGAGCAAACAAAACCAGGATATCCGTCAAACTCACCACACCGACGAGACGTCCTGAGATGCGTGCGCCTGGCAATGATGAAGCCGAGACGCTGGGCCCTGAAGGGGCGATGAAAGGTGTCTTTGGCGAGGAGTCAACAACCGTGGTTCCAGAAGGGTCGGAGGGTGTAGATGTGGCGGATGGAGTTGTGGCATATGATGAGGACACTGAAGAAGAGTGGCTCGATGTTGGAACAAGTGTCGCAGATTGTAGGGATGGCGTTGGCGGACCCGAAGAGCTAGGTGACACAGGCTCGGTGATCCACATGCGGTGAGATTTCGTGGCCACAAGTTTGGCGACGGTATGTGCAAGTGTAGAAAGAGGAGTGACGTGGAAGACCGGGAAAGAGTCTTTGCCCTCGTACATACCGCGGGTGGACAGGATGACGGAGATGAAGTGGATGCAAGTGTTCTTCAGCAGAGGTAGAGAGGAGGACTTGGTGAGTAGTCGGACGTCGACGTTGGAGATGTTGCCGATAACATTTTGGTTGTGGTCGATGACGGGTAAAGAAGACACGCCCTCGTTCAAGAGAAGCGTGAGAGCTGCCGCGAGAGGTTGATCGCCGCTGGAGACTGTCAGTTGACTGCAACAGATCGAAAAGTGTTGGAGAATACTCACTTGATAGCTACGACATCGTTGGACCCGATCTTGAGATCGCGAAGATGCTGAGTAAACAACTGATCAAGGACGGGGAAGCTTCTGCCATTCTCCCATAGGAATCTGATCAGCATGCTCTGGCTCAGTACTCCCGTGGCTTCTTGTGTAGATTCGTCGATTACCACCACTCGATGGACACCCTTGCCAAATGTCTCAATAGCCTGAAGTAGATTTGCCTCCTTGCTCAAGAAGGTCAACGGCTCTTTCTTGCTGATGTCTTTGATGTCTCGTAGATGAATGGCTTTGCCTTCTCGTGCCCGCTGCGCCACCTGTTCAAAATCCTCGGCGTGTTCATCATCTGGGTGAGCCAGTCCGACGACTAGCAACAGGTAGGCATTGAGGTCTCGGTAATCATAGGTTCCGATCACAGGAGAACCCGCCTTCTCGCGGATGAGGACAACAGGGACACCGGACTCAACGAGGACCTATCGACATTAGATTCGAACCTTAAGAATCAGGGACGGCCTTCGTCGTACCTTTGTAGCTGCTTCCACGCCCGTGTCAATGTCCACAAACCTCAGGTCGTCGGCATTGACCAGCTCGTTGACTTTAATTGTTGTCCATTCGCGTCCAGCAAACCTAGGGTCTGGCTGTCTCGCTGGAGGGTTGTCTATTAGATCTTGCACAGCCGATGACGACATGGAAGATTGTCTCGACGAGCGAGGCGAAGGAGGATGTCCTCTGAGTTCATTGAAGCTCTGACGGTGTTGAGCAGCTGCGCTGGACATGGAGGGTGGAATGCGCAATGACGGAGTTCTACTGGCCGGTGATACCGTGTCCATACTCGATCGCGGAGACACGGCGGAAGAGGGAGGAGAGGTGGCAGGAAGATCACGGTTCGGCGTCGTCATTTTGGGCGGCTTCTGTATCGTGAACGGTGACTGTGGGACTTGTAGGTCGGGGAGGAATAGTAAAAGGTACTTCGCAGTTAGAGGCGGGACGGAGAGTCGCGGATCAATTGGCGGCGAAGATCATTTTTGTATGCACTGCAGGCCGCTAGTCCAAGATTCAAGGGTGCTTGAAGAGTGGCTATATCGTGACTATGATTGAGAAGAGTGAATTATTAAGTAACGTGGTTTGCGTGTCTGTTGCTCATGTGAGCATTGGATCTAGACCTGGGTGAGAGTATGTTCTAGAGACTCTCCAACAACTGCCCATTGAGCCGTTTCTGCCCGCTGCCGCTGACGTCGGAGCGGAAAGGACAAGGCTGGGCACTTGACGCCACGGAAATCTCGTCCCGTTCAGCCTCGTGACGAACCGGGATCAATAACACCAGAAGTCCCTCTCTCTCTCTCTCTCTCTCTCTCTCTCTCTCTTTATCGTACTTTTTACAGTCTACAGAGTCTGGAACTCTCCCAATAGATCACTGACGCTCTTCCCGCTTTGTTTCGGCACATAGCCAACCCGGGTATTCCTCTTCGGTGCCGTTCCCTGAGGTGCCATGTCCTGGTTTCTTGCTCTCTTGGTTTGTTCACGGCTGCTGGCTTGCGCCGCCATGGACCTCTCTTCGTCCCAAGTTCGCCTCTTTATGTTCTCGAAGAAAATCGTTCGTGTCGAAGGAAAGTCATCAACAATGTGCCTCCAAGGACGGGGCGTTCCCACTTCAACCTCGAGCAATGGTAGTCTTTCAACCAGATCTGGACGCCCTGAGTGTGTCAGGTCTTTGAAGAGCTCCATGCTCTCGTCATAGAAGCCGGGAATGTACCCCAGCCCAGGCTTTGCGCTTTCAACAATGGGACGCAAATCCTTCACACTCCTCTTAGCACGTCTTGCTTCCCAACCCGCAGCAGTTGAGAGAGGTTCCCAATCGCGTCTGTTCCTTTGATGCATCTTCGGACAGTCTGTGACAACAATATAGCACAGCGACGGGAAAGCATGAACGTATTTGAAGATCCACTCAGAAAGAAACTCCTGCCATCCGAACAGAATGACACGGAGATGCTGAAATGCCTGGCCGGCTACAGCAAGTTCTGCCCAGGATCGCATTACTCGTTCATCAAACGTCGAGGAACGATTGTCAATGCTAATCTGCCCGTCAGACAGGTCCAAGACTGCCAAGTTCGTAACTTTGTGAATGGCCACAAGTTCTGTAGTGCCTATCTGCTTCGTGTTCGGGGAGACTCGAAGACACGTCAACCAGCTCAGGTCATTGGACGTGATGCCGGCGAAATACTCGACGTATGGCAAGACTGGCGTGGGGATGTCTACACGGAACCTATAATCTGGCTTGCCAAATTCTACAGAGCTGGGATATGCCGTGGCAAAAGTCCGCCAGGCATACAAACTTTCAGCTCTCCTGAACAATTCGTCAATGGTCAACACGAATTCATCTCATCAGAATTTCATACCTGGATACTAGCTGCTGCCAGACTCGCATTGCCATCGGCCACGGCACAGACGCCAGATGATCCGGTGTGAGATCTTCAAAGTGCCTGGCGACTGTGATTATGGCCGTCTCGGCCAGGGAACGGGCGCCTTTCTCATGACGCGACTTCCTGTTGGAGACTATTTGGTTCCTCGGGCCCTTGACCCAATCGACATGTCTCTTGCTGTTAAAGCGGACTTCTACTTCTGAAAAGACCTGCCCTGAGTCTGGATCGTATTTGTGCTCGGTTCCTGGCTTCGTTGTCGATACAGCCGGTCTTGGTCGGCCGCTGACATAGTAGGGCTTTCGTGTTGCTGTAGACTTCATAGTGATTATTCGAAATCCCACGATTTCAATTCCCGAAGGCGACTAGATCATATACACCGCCGCAAGTCACAAGCAAGAAGCCCTTATAGGCCTGAGATGACGGACCTCAGCAACTTGGTCATCGCAAGAAGAGACTCCTTTTTCATGTTGCTTGAAGACACAGATTGAAAGCGTAAGTAGACAAAGTTGCCGATGATCGGTATCTTCTGGACTTTCACCTCCACTCCGACATGCCAATGGTCATCGAGAAAGCGAGGAAAGTTGAGTGTACCGAGAGAAATAGAGGATAGAACAGTGATTTTTCCGTGAAATTGCCACACTCTAGCAGTCAGGCAAAGATACTAAGAGGAAGGAAATTCACATCCGGCTCAGCCCTCTTTAGGACGAGGAACATGCCGCCCTATCCGATGTCTAAAATAGGTTAGTAGCGACAGTGACATCTCATCAACCCTCAGACCAATGAGATAGTCAGTAATCTGTACGAGGCTCGACAAGGCTACTGGAAGCCCTACCGAAAAATTGTATTCCATTGCCGCCCGTTCTTCTCAGACAAGTATTGAGCGAACCAAGGTACAGCTACATAGGTAAGAACTGCAGATCAACAGATTCAGACGAGCCAAGGAGGCCTACAGCTTTCCGTTCACGGTTCGGACATCGATCCCCGGCACACATGAAACATGAAATACGGTGAGACAGTACGTGGATAGCACATAACCAATTCAGCGGCCACTTCATTCAAGACGTTCCATCAGGCCTAACAAAAGACGGTCCACTGGGGAGGTTGGCACCGTGCCTTATGCGGGTGGACCGAGGTCCGGCCTTACTGGATGCATCAAGTCTTTTCCCAAGACAATCTGATTACTCATCAGCCATAGAGAAATAACAGATTCCTATGGCATGGTGACCGCAGCTGAGCACTTCAGCATGGTCCATGTGCGCGTGAGCAGCTCGAACTCCTCGGTAAATTCAACTGCGCATTCGTATCGAGAGTCATCTCTGCATTTACTGGGTGGACGCCTAAAGCACCGAGACATAAAAGTGAGCACACACCTAGCCCTCGGCTTCGAAGGTACCATCGTGGTCCTCCATTTGACACTTCGGCCAAAACGAGCATACCTTTCAACCTTGTTCATTCAGAATATCGACAATGTCCTTAATCATAATCAACCCTGAGAGGATCGCTCAAGTGCAAACAACTGTTCACAAATTCGTCACGGACTTCTCGAAACCACAGTCGACTGATGAAGATGTACAGTCATTCCTCTCGGTCTACCATCCAGACATCCATTGGTCGGACCATGCATTCCTCGTGACCCGTGTTGGACACGAGGCTGTCTTGGGACTCTACCGCGCCTGGAACCATTGTAATCAGCCCTTTCGAACCGAGGTAAAGGTACAGATCAATCTCTTTCCTCTGGGGCTGAATGTTTCTTCGCTAATGGGGCTGCAAAGGCCATAATCCCTACTGCCTCGGGTGCTATTCTCGAACTGATCTGGATTGGCCGCTGCGCAAACGACATTGTCCGTCCCAGCGGCGAGGTGGCTGTCAAGGCTAGCGGGAAGGACTATGTCTGCCATGTGTGCCTGATTGCGGAGATCGATGAGCAGGGCCGCATCACCAAGATGGATGAGTATTATAACCGCCGATGGGATGACGGTATCCCACAAGAGAAGTACGCAGTGCTGAAAGGTGCCAGTCTCAAGACTGAATAAGTAAAAGGGCTTGGTGTGGGTGGGGCCGATATATGTAATGCACAATCACAGGCCTCATGCCACACGCTTCGTGCGCCCTCAATGCGTTTCGTGCGCTGGACAGTTGTTTCGCAGATTGTGCGAGTTGCGGTTGACTGAAAGATCGATCGTCCCGACGGCTATCGCGGCGTCGGAGCGTAACGTGACATCTGCCGTAGTCGTCGTCCATACTTGTAGAATAGGATAGGAGCGGGCACGAGAAGGACACATAAGAAACCAAGGACGCTCGTAGCCCACGGCACGCCCATATGTCTGTACATTCTTGGTGCTGCGAGAGGAAAACCAGCCGCAACCAAACTCCTGCAACAGGTGTTTACAGCCAGAGCGCTAGCGGCAGACTCGAGGTAGATGTCGACAATATACGCGACGCCGTTGGTAAATATCAGCATGATCCCACTACCAATAAGTAGACCTGCAATGATCTGAGGGACAGGGGATATATGGCTGCTGGAACACCACCCGAACCAAAACAGCCCAGCCGGCAATAGGACACTGCCGAGCATGATTGGTGGGAGACGGTCTTCGGGGAGCACTGATCCGCGAGCTCGTAGCCGTGGTCGATAATATTCCCGCGAGTACCACGCCACTCCGACGGAGGCCACCAGTACGCTGACGAGAATGCTGAGGAATGGCAGAGAAGCCACGCGAGGATCCCATCCTCGACCTTCAGCGAAGCTATAAGGGAAAGCGTAGAACGTAAGGTACAAAATGCCGTAGACGATGGATATGTACAGCGTCATGACGATCAACTACAGGAGTCAGCCACGGTACGAAGGGAAAGAACGAGGTTCCTTACCATAGGCTCAAAGCAGAGCATTTTTATCGGCTTGACCATATACTTGCGGACAAAGATTTGAAAAGTTGGAGACTGCTCATTGCCGTCCTCATGCGGAAAGCCACCATCGTTGGCTAAACGTGCCTTTCTATTCGCTCGTGCCTGCAAGACAGGCCCATAGGTCTCAGGGACGAACAAGAAGGCCGGTATGCCTGCGCCAGCACCCATAATAAGGGTAAGCCATGCGGTCCAATGCCAACCCAGACTACTCTCTGTGAGGAGACTGCCAAATATAGGGCCTAGCGTAGGGCCGATGTAGACTGCTGCGGAATAGACTGCAGTAGCAGTGCCGCGTTCAGCTGGCATCCAGAAGTCGGCGTACACTGCGCTGATGAGTGCCATAGGTGCTGCGCCGAAACACCCTGCTAGCAGTCGACAGACCAGAATGGTTGGCAAATTGTTCGCAACGCCTACAGGAATCTGCAGCAGTGCCCATATGAAGAATCCGGAGAACATAGGAAGTCGGCGACCCTTGAGCTCAGATAGAGGGCCTGTGTAGTTGCTCGATCGTCAGTACATTTTCCTCGGAGTCCAGAAGAAGTACCAGAAAGAGAACGGACAACATACCCCAAACAATCGGTCCAAAGGCAAAGCCCAGGACATAGAGTGATACTCCCAGTACTGCGACACTTTCACTGACATCAAATTGTTTCGTCGTTACAGGAATGGTCGACGACCAGACTGAACTGCCGAACGTGACAGCTGCAGCCATGCCGCCTAATAGCGTCGTCATTGTCCATTTCCGCCACGCTGGAAAATCGAAAGGACTCTCGAAGGCAGCAACACTTTCGAGGTTGCTGTCGTTGTGGCTTTCGTGCTTTTCATGCCGCGCTTCATCTTCCCCACCGCCACTGACCTGCCTCTCAGCGTCACTCGACATTATTCTGCGTCGTATCGGCCGCCGCAAGATGATCCAAGGACCACTTCAACGACATGGTGTGAATTTTGACATGTCGGAGGAAGATCTGAAGTTGAAGCAGTAGTCCATTTCAAGCCTGTGGGATCACGTCTCGGCTGTGATGGACTATTTCAACATTAGTGGGTGGAAGATGCCGTCTTAACCGCAGACCGCGGCAATAGTGAGCGGCAATGACAGAGCGTGATCTTGACTCCATTTTTCCTCAGTCTTCTAGGGAATGACAGGGCTATCGAAACGTTAGACGGTGGCTTCAATCTCGAGATCTTGAGTCGTTAGCAGCCGCCTATATTCAATGGTACAGTCTGAAGAGCTGGTCTTAATGCCATCTGAGAATGGGGATTGTTTTGCGAGGCGTGCGTGAGCATGGTATCTCACTACTCGTGGAGAGGGCGGGCTGATGGGCTTTGTACTATGGCGGAACGCGCTATAGTCAAACGCCAGTAGGCGCGATCCAACGCGCCAATGCTTCAACACTCGCTCTACATTCATTCTATACTCGTACGTCGACATGCTAATCTTGCCGTTATTGCCACATTCGGAGGCCCTCTTCGCGAACGACTCAGCATGGAGGCCCAATCGAGATCGACCGTTGTGCAGTTCCTACCTCGCGTGGTGTTCCGATGTGCGAATCATCCGCACCAACCCTACCTCGAGGAGACGGATGGTATTCCAAGCGGTCCCCCGAGTTCATGTGAAGCTTCGGTGGCATTACAAGCCTCCTCTTTGTGTCTCTTCATTCAGGTTTGAGGCCTCTTTGGTGACGTGTACTTGTTAGTCGTTTAATGAGGGGCGTATCGATGCTGGACGATCGTTAGTACAGTCACCATCAAGAAAGTAACTGGGCTTTGACACCAATTCCTCCAGCGCACCCAGGATGAGCTGAGAGCCGACCTTTCCCGGCTCCAAGCATTTGGTTGTCGGCTAGTTCCAGGTCGTCCTGATAGCTGTGCAAGAGCTCTGGCGCGATTTCGAAGACCTCCACTCATTCCGCATCAGAACACGCTCTCCCAGTGTCACAATGATTATGTGGAAGCGCCCAGTCGTCCATCACAAGCTCGTGCTCAAGGTAGCAAGCTAGCCTTGAGCCTGACTGTCTCCCCGACTCCTACCGGGTCTCATTCGTTGTGTCTTTCGATGCAGTCCGGTCATGACGACTGTTCTATGATGTCTACCTCTCGCTCCCAAGCACGAGATGCTCGTGAAACGGACCTGCAGCCGGCCAATAATCAAAGGCTGGGGAGGCCTCGAGGGAGGCCTAAATACCCCGAAATGTAGTCCCCATCGTCCCCGCTCCTCAGGAATCGGGCGCAAACAGGAGACGGAGCTTGCGGAACGTTCGTTGACCTGATCGATATCTGACATCTCCAGCATTCTTCATTTGGTTCGACATTCAACCCCATTGTGAACAAAAGCTCACTATCCGCTTTCTGCGCACAAGGTATTGACAGCTCAAGGACTGGTTCTGGTACACCGCGATGTCGAATCGCCTCGGCCTCACGCCGCCCACGAAGTTGACTGACGAGCAGAAACCAGTCCACGAGTTGTTCGGGGACTACACGAACGCACGATATGACGGTGCACCTCAGACATCTCTTGAAGATGGCACATTAATTGGGCCCTTTGGAATCTTGCTACATCACCCACAACTCGGTGAGCCTTTCTATCGTCTAGCGCAGGGTCTACGAATGATCCCTGGCCTGTCGTCGTACGGCCGCGAAGTGGTGATTGCTGTAGCTGGAGCGCGATCACAGGCCGCTTATGAGAACTACGCGCACGCCATCATCGCCAACGGAGAGGGGATCTCGGAGGCTGAGCTACATGAGATCCACGCTGGCAGGTGTCCAGAGACACTCACTGAGGAAGGAAAGGTTGCCTTCGAGTTGGCAACAGCTCTTGGCAGGCCCGGAATACTCGAGCAAGCAATTTGGGACAAGGCCGTCAAAGTGCTGGGCAGAGACGGTGCCGCCGCCGCGGTCCACTATACAGGGTTCTACAGCTACGTGGGAATCGTCCTGAAGTAAGTCTTGCCAGCTACCCGCAGCAGTGTTACAGGGGTGTCCAGAGCTTCCATCTCTCCAGATACGGCTTCTCAGTGCTAACGACCCGAGTAGCGGATTTGACGCCAAAGTACCGGGAGAGGAGAGCTCACATAACTAGTCGTCAGCTATGAATATGGCTGACACGTCACCACCCATTCTCTTGTATCTCAAGTACTTTGCATTATTGGGTGGATATGGTGCGGTGCAGAGAGATACGTTGGCTTTCTGATCCTGGTCTTCTCTAGACCGCCACGCGGACGCACATTCAACCGTTCATCAACGCCATCTTCTTTGGCGGAGCGTTCATGTCCTTTATGGCGGTCGCATACGTGCCTGCCTTCGTGGAAGACCGGGCAACCTTCGCCAATGAACGCGCCAACGGCTTAGTCGGACCTCTGACCTTCGCTATCGCCAATTTCCTCATCGGCTTGCCGTTTCTTGTTTTTGATTACACTGACCTTCTCCGTCGTCATCTACTGGTTGTCCAACTTTCGGCCCGACGGCGGCGCCTACTGGATGTGGGTGCTGTGGTTGTTCCTTGACCTTGTGGCTGCTGAGTCACTATTGGTTCTGGTATCATCCATCTTCCCTGTAATCGTCGTGGCGCTCGCTGTGACGGCCTTTGCCAATGGGCTGTGGATGTGCATCGATGGCTTGCTTGTGCCCATGAATATTCTCAAACCTTTCTGGAAGTACGTGTTCCACTACATCGACTACCAAGCCTACGTGTTCCAAGGCATGATGGTCAATGAGTTCAAGCACCGCGGCTATTCGTGCTCCCGCAATGCCGACGGCTCGTTCTACTGCAATTACCAAAGTCCCTCGAATTCTGAGGGCAAGATCGACGGTGCTGCCGTCCTAGAGAGTTTCAACATTGCCATCGACCAAACGGGCACCTGGGGTGGCATTATCGTTGGCATCATTGCCGGATATCGTGTGCTTGGCTCCATTGCCTTGCGTCTCAGGAAAGACTGAGTGTCCACCATGCAAAATAGCTGCGCCTATTCAGTCTGTCTATTTGATCTCCTTTGTTTTTGGTGTGTGGACAACATGTCTGTATTCTTCTTCTGCACTTCCGAGAGTCCACAGGATCTGATCTCAGTACGAAAAGCGAAGAACATTATTTATAAAGACACGAAATAATTATCATAATCATACGCACTACACCGTAATCTCTGCACCCAAAAGAACTGATGGTTTCACTTCCATCTTCTACCTGACTTCAACCCGGCTCAAACGGCCGAGCAGATCTCTCACCAGAGATACAAGGGGTCCCCGAGGCTCAGACCTCCCTTACCGTAAGACTGCCAAGCACCACTCCGTAGATGCGCGATGTGGACAGTCCCGAGATCCCCGGCATCGCCACAACTCCGAGTCCTTTGGGAAACGAAATTTACCACATGGGGTTCGGGGACCTGAACTTGAACACAACCGGCCGCCACTAAAATTCGAGGTAGAGTCTAGCAAACATTCTGGAACCGTGGTACAGGATGTGCTTGGGCATTCGGCGAATGATGTCAGCAGCAAACCGACTTCATCGGCCTCCACTGCTGGATCAATCCACAAACGGTATGCTTGCGACCAGGTGGGATGAGATCGATGGGCCCGCCCAGTCGATAAAATGTATATTATGCAGAGTAACGAACCGTTAGAACACTGTGCAGTGAACCTAAACCAACTCCAGTTCTGGTGAACCAACATCTATCTTCCTCAGCATTCTCTGTACCACAGTTCGTTGTCTTCAATCGCAGCAGTATATCCCCCGTCCACAAGCCCAGCCTTGCAAAAGTTTCCAACCTGCATAGCACACAGAGATCCATCAGCACGCTCACCATGGCTTCAAATGCAGCATCCCTCGCGTCAGGCGTCATCTTCGGCTCAGCCCTCACGCTGTCTAACGTTGCGGCACCGTCAGTCATCATCAATCAGCTCAAGTTTACCGATTACCACATGCTTCTCACCTTCTTGACAGCTTCGGCTTGTAGCACTGTGGTCTTCGCGGCAGCCAAGCGCGCCGGGCTCGTCCATATTGCTTGCAAGAAGGACAACTCATATGGCTGGCTGGGCAGGTACGATGGCAACATCGTCGGTGGTGCGCTGATGGGCGCCGGCATGGGGCTCACCGGAGCCTGCCCAGGAACCGTGCTCGTGCAGGCTGCTCTGGGCGTCAGCGGCAGCAGAGCCTTGTTACTGAGCGGTCTGCTTGGCGGGATTGCCTTTGTCAAATGGAACCAACGCAATAAGCAGCTCGCCGCCGACAAGAGTGCGAAGCACAGCGTGTCGGAAGCGACCGGATTGCGCGATTCAAACACAATGCTGGTCCTCGAGGCGGCACTGTGGTCTATGATTTTGGCTGCCAACGCCTTTGCGCCGCGGGGTCACTACCTGGTTCATCCTGTGGTCGGTGGCGTGTTGATCGGGCTGGCACAAGTCTCCTCGGTGGCCTTTGTGAAAAGACCGATCGGGGTCAGCACCGCCTATGAAGATCTGGGCAAGTTCTTCTGGTCTTGCGTAGAAGGTAAACCACCGGCTCCCGGGGTTGAGAATATGATCTTCGTCGGCGGCCTGGTCGCCGGTGCGAAGCTCGTGGCGTATGCAGTGCCTGAGATATTGGAGAGCTTTTCCCCAGAAAGGAGCATTTCGTTTCCAGCGGCGCTGGTGGGTGGATTCGCTCTGATATTTGGTGCGAGATTGGCTGGCGGATGCACCAGTGGACATGGCCTAAGTGGAATGGCATCGATGGGGATTAGTTCCTTCATCTCGGTGCCTTCCATGTTTGCAGGCGGGATTCTCGCAGCAATGCTGTCGAGAGCATGAAGAGGTAGCAGCGTTTATGTTCATATTCATGGCTGTTGCTTTGAGCCCAAAATCCCTCTGTTGTGATGAATTGTTGTCTTGTTAAACTGGCCCAATATTCGATGGTACTGTAGTATTCACATCGCATGTATCCATACACTGATGGATTTTTGCCAAGAAAGTCCAGACTGATCTTCCATTCTTATAGTGTATCATTTCCAAGACCAAATCGGTGTCCATTTCACGTCCTTGATGGTGTTGCGTGTTGTTCACCTGCATGTAACGGTACTTTCTCGATCGCATTGATATCGTTGCATACCAATCCCGTTTTGTGACCTTGTGATCGCCTGTAACAACTCTCCTTGATGTTCTAAATTTAGATATGCAAAGGATGAATATGCAAGGCATCAAAAAGGGTTTCCAAGGCATCAATCAAGGGATGATTGGGTGCCAGCTCTACTTTACTAAGGGCCTTCTAGGCGAAGTTGTCAGGTAAGTGCCCAGTAGGAATGGAAATGCCAACCTAGGTAGCCATCACAAGTGACGAGTCCTAGACAGCACTGACTGGTAGGAAGGCCACCCATGCAAGAGATTCAGGCGCTTCGTGACTTCGCCTATGCTCTGGCCAGTTTGTATTACCGCTGGGACTCAGCCTGACCGCCGTTCTTCAACATGCTTCTCCTTTATTCAGCTCTGGTGCCTGCATAGCGTGCTCCTGGAATACACCTGCCGGGGCGTTGCTTGAGAACATTCTAATGAAAGACTTTCTGGCAAGATTCCACAATAGGGGCTGAACTTCAGATCTCCTTTACCTCTCTCATCTCAATGTCTGGGGCGGAAGTGATCGGTGGTATCTCCGGAGTCATTGCGATCATCGAGGCCTCGATCAAGGCCTACGGTAGCGCCCGGAAAGACTTGAAGCTAGGCGACGCCTTTGAAGCTGTCGGACGTCGATTACCCATCATTCTCGATACTCTCGAGACATGCAAGAATCATTTGGCACCGACGGAAGACTCGATGCCTACAGATGTCTGCGAAGCCTTGGAGAAGATTCTTGATACGTTTGATGTGAAAGCTGGAAGATTGCGAGAGATATTTGAAAAAGTCATCCCTGGTCAAGATGATGGATGGAAGAAACAATATCTGAAGATCCTCAAGAGACTTGGAAAAGGGAACAAGGTCGAAAAGTTGATGAAATCCATTACTGAAGACGTCTAACTCATTGTCAACCACCGTTCAGTTTAATCGGCCAAGTCAGATCAAAAGGCTGCCCTGGACAATATTATCGAGGAAATGAAGTCTGTGAAATCCTCAGTGCCCGATGAAGAAATTGCAGGCTTCACATTCAACAGTGGTGGCGGTGCACAGACAAACAATGTCAATACTGGCAGTGGTAAACAAATTGACAACAATGGCCCGGTCAACACTCAGAACTTTGGATCTGGTAAGTAATAGATCCTATACGTTGATGGCAATTTGCTCGGCAGTATCAATTGGATACATGGTACGAGTAGGCTCAGGGAGCTGGGCTAGCAACTCCCATGACAGTGCAATAAACTTCATATCAGACCTCAGTTACTGTATTCACGATTGAATCCTCCATAACCTTTGGTTTCGGAGTTTCAACATCCAGAACTTAGCCCTATACGTCCTCAATCAATACCACCTTCACGAACTTGGTGGAATAAGCTGACCGTTGCCGCTAGTTACTAGTACAAGCCTAAGGCCGATTTCAGCTTTCGGAAAACTGTAAGCGGTGGGCTTAGCCAGGCGCCGTATGTCGACCCGAGCCTCTTTGTAGGGCGGACGTCTGAGATCGATGCAATCAGGGACATTCTAAAGCCGGGTGACACGTGTGAAGAGCACCGCCGGCTCGTTCTTGGTGGTGTGGGAGGCATTGGTAAGACGCAGCTTGCCATAGCTTATGCTCGCCGCCAGCGCCAATTCTATCAATCGGTCTTCTGGCTGAATGCTGCATCTGAAGCCGCACTCAAAGACAGCTTCCGATCCATCGCGGAGCTCATCTTTGATGTACAAGAACCAGGACTCCTGGATGATGAACGGATTTACGCTCAAGTACATCGGTGGTTATCTGCCAACGCCAACACACAGTGGCTGCTGATCTTCGACAACTATGACGACCCAGCTCAGTTTTCGATTGAAAAGTACTATCCGCCGGCCTCTCACGGTACCATCATCGTCACTACACGGCGGCCCGATCAGGTCGCCGGCTCGGCTTTGCGGATAGGACCGCTCCAGAACGAGATAGATGACGGCCTCGAAATTCTACAAAGCAGATCACGACGAGAAAATGTCGCGTCCGGTATGCCATCCATGAAAGAATTGACCGTTCGCTAACCAGTCTCACTAGACCTTGATGCAAGGCGTCTAGTAGCACGGCTTGCAGGTTTCCCACTCGCTTTAGCCACAGCTGGAGCATATCTTCACCAGAATATCCTTACGTTTGAACGCTACTTACGGGAATATGAAAAGCGGTTTGATGTTAATTCGCAACGGCCTCCCCCGCTCCAGGATTATCGGGACCGCACACTCTCTACAACATGGGATATATCATACTCACAACTACAAAAAGAAGATCAAATCGCGGCCAGGCTCCTGAGATCGTTGGCTTACTTCGACAATCAGAGTCTTTGGTATGAACTCTTTTCCGCTGGATTCAGCCCTGACTCACCACAGTGGCTGCATGAGGTCATCAAAGACGACTTGAAATTCGCCAGTGTGATGAGAAGACTAGCAGATTATTGCTTTATTGAAGTTCAAGTGGCAACGAAATCGTGGAGCATGCATAACTGCATACACGACTGGACGCTAGCAGTTCTCAACAAGGACCTCGATGGCCGGCAGCTCTGGTATGCTTTCGACTGCGTTGCTGCGTCGATTACACGCGACGACTGGGACTCTTTTGAACGTCTCAGTTACAATCGTCTCGCCGCTCATGCGACTCGACTAGTACGAGTCGGTTTTCAAGGAGGCAATTCTATGGATCATATTCCCCCCAGTCGCCTGGAGGATGCTGGATCTGTTGCACTATTACTTGCCTCACAAATGCGGCTTGAAGCTTCGGAGCAAATGTACCGATATGTGCTGGCAGGGAAGGGCCAGGCGCTAGGCCCGATGCACAAGTCGACGCTAGATACGGTCAACAACCTAGGGAGCATATACCGCGAGCAGGGCAAGCTGGTGCAGGCGGAGGAGTACTACCTACGAGCGCTGACAGGCAAGGAGAAGACGCTAGGCCCGACGCATCTATCGACGCTACAGACGGTCAACAACTTAGGGATCCTGTACTACGCCCAAGGCAAGCTGACTCTACGAAGGAGTACTACCTACGAGCGCTAGCGGGGCGCGAGCAGGCGCTAGGCCCGGCACACACGTCGACACTAGAGACGGTCAACAACCTGGGGGTCCTGTACAAAAACCAGGGCAACCTGGCACAGGCGGAGAAGTACTACCTACGAGCGCTGGCAGGTAAGGAACAGGCGCTGGGCCCGGCACACTCGTCGACGTTACAGACTGTCAGCAACCTGGGTGGCTTGTACTATGACCAGGGGAGACTGGCGCAGGCGGAGGAGATGTGTCGACGGGCGCTGGCGGGTTACGAGAAGAACTTCCTATCCAAGACAATTCCGGCTCTCCATGTAATCCGCAACCTTGGATTGCTGTTTCGTGACCAGGGCAAGGCCGAAGAAGCCCGAGCAATGTTTGAACGTGCATTATTAGGGAGACAAGAAGTTCTGGGCCCTAACCATTCTCACACTCTACAAGTCGCCAGCCTTTTGGAGAAATTGAGGCTAGAACAGGAAGAGAGAAGAAAGGAGGTTCAAAATATTAATGCTGGTCACAAGTCAACCGCCGAGAGAAAAAAGTATCGCTGGAAACATTTTTTGCCGCTGAGAAGTTCGAAAACTACCGTAATACTCATTCTGGAGGAGAACTCAGTCGCGGTCCGGAGTGAAATAGCCAGCTGTGGCCTAATGCCAACTTGATATTCATGGGGAAGGCGGGTGAATGCCACGCATCGGGCTTGACTATACAAAAGATTGAAATGCTGCTTACCTACAGTGTTTGCACCTTCGAGGTACCATTCCTCGACTCGGGCGCGATATGCTGTCTTGAGTGGATCAGACACTGTGACGTCGCATGGCCGAAGCTGATGGGACGTGTGAGAGGGAAGTCGACAGAGAATAACATGGTTCTCATGGCAGCATTGCAAGACCTCGAGGGATTTATGGGCCCAAACCCATCCATGGTCAGAAGTCGCGGCCGGCCATTTGCTTCTGACTTAGTCTGAGGATCGAAGACTCGATGAGACCAGTCCAACATAATGTGGCTGATTGCCATAACCAATTGGAGAATGGATGAAATGCCAGCTGGGGTCGGATGGATAGTCCAATCGACCTGTAGGGATGAATGTGGGCCAGATGATGGGAGGGTCAACAGACCTACAATCGGCGCGATATACATTCGATTGCTGTCTCCAGCACCTCGTATTCTTTGGGTACGGCAGTTGCGAGAAGATGCAAGGAACAGAAAATGATGCGGGGACACTCTGCAATGCTGATCGTGTTAATCATTTGGTGCAGTGGTTGGTGTGATTCACTCGAGGTGTAAGTATTTCGACTTTTCGGTACACAAGAAACGTTTCGGTATATAGGGATGCGGATTGCATCTGTTGACAGCAAGCAGCTCCTCGATACGGGATCTGAGAGTCCAATGTGGAAGGAAAAAGGCGCATTGCCATCTTGTCGGGGATGTTATCGGGTCAATGCTGGGTCCCCGATCGGGGTTTCCGGAGGTGGTCGCATATGCTGGTGGTTCCTTGCTTCCGACCGTACGGCGCCTCAGAAATCCTCTGCCATGAGGAAGTATAATTGAGAGGATGAACAAAATCGATCGTGTTCCAAGCCCTTAAGCCAAGCGACAGAATCGAAAATCCGCTGCCATTGTTGCAGTATGTTCTCGTCTCCCGATCCTTACGGTCCTACTGACGAAGAACTGTCGCAAGTCAAGTCTTCGCCTCCTGCGGCCAAGTTGCAGAGATATCTTGTGGCTCCTCTTCGAGTCGATTGGCTCATCGAAGTTCAACTCCTCCTTCTCACATTCAGCACCGGTATTCAAGATGCCATCAGCTTTCCGGACTTCCATTGTTTTGCGTCTAATCAGACGGGCAACTCTGTGGTCCTGGCAGTCGGGTTAGCGGGAATGGGCGGCGACCTGTTCAATGTCCCCAATATTGGAACAAGTCTCGGATCCTTCATCGCAGGTGCCATCATCACGGGACAGATTGGCAACATCGTTGGGCCACGGCGGCGGGCATGGCTGTTCCTGTCGAACCTATCTCAGACGGTGATGGTCTTTGCAGCGGCCGCAATTCAATTCTCTACCGGGGTCCGCGTTTCTGGAGGTTATGCCCTCGGGGCTATGACCCTCCTCGCCTTTTCATCCGGGGCTCAAGTCGCATGCATGCGCCCTATGCGGATACCGGAGATTACCACTGCCATGGCGACCGCTGCGTGGGTTGACCTTGTCGTCGATCCGCAGCTCGTCGCCATTCATAATCACCCGAGAGACCGACGAGCACTGTTTTTGGCAGCTTTGGTCGCCGGCAGTTTCGCCGGCGCTTTCATGCATCGTGGAATTGGCTCCGCAAACGCCCTCGTCATCTCAGCAGTCGGCAAGCTTGTGGTCACCCTTAGCTTGCTGTTCAACCGAGAACAGCCGCGAGACGAAGAAGGCGGACAGATGCCCTGAGAAGTCCAGAGCGATTGTGTCTTCTCGGGAACTTACTCGAAGGCCTCGAAGGGCATTCACCGGCACTCCAATGGAGGCTTGATAGATAGAATCAATGACGTTAGTGCTGGCTGTCGCTTGGTCGGCCCCAGCACAACTCCCAACTCCAACTGTTTTACGTGACTTACTTTGTATGCATCAACTTGACCGTACAAGTATCCTCGCAGAAAGAAGAATAGCGAGAGAACGACCCAAAAACCTGGCAGGCCATTATCCGGTATTACGTAGATCAGGTACGCCACCAATCCGGACTCCGCAATAGCGCATGTCGTGGCGCCCGAGAGAAGCGAATGTAGATCCAATTTTCCTTTTGAAGGTGAAGATCAACAATTGACTTGCTTGAATCCAGCTGTCTGGTGAAACTGTGGTTCAGTCGGAAGGAAATGATCAGCAACTCTTGACAGGACACGTCTGCACATGTACCCGGAGATCACTCTCCTGATTAAAGTACTTGAGTATGCGGTAGGTCCGACGCGCCCACAACGATCCAAAGTCTTTTCCTTGTTGCTATCCGGATCCATACTCTGCAGACATACCCATACTTCAACACCTTGCACACAACATCCTCTCCTCCAACAGAATGCACTTGAAAACCCTCTTCCTTGCCCTCGTGGCAGCCACCACAGCACTCGCCCTGCCGCTTGCCAAGGCTAATCCAGGCGACGATGACAACCTTTGTCTAGGCTCCTCATTCAGCCCGACGAACTGCAACAGCCCCGGGGCAGACAGCATCAACCTGGATCCAACCATTGATATCTCCCCTACAATCGTGGCTCGAGCTCCTGAGCCAGCACCAGCACGAGAACTCAACGGACGCGATGACTGCATTGGCTCATCCTTCAGCCCTACCAACTGCGACAGCCCCGGAGCGGATAGCATCAACATCAGTCCTGACATCGATGTCTCGCCGACTGTGGATGTTTCTGGAGTTACTGATGCCGTGACGGATATTGTGTCGGATATCACGGCATGACCGTGATGGCCTGAAGCCACCTTTGCCTGAATGAATGGGCTCCTGCGATCAAGCGGTATCGGGAAGATGCGAAAGAATAGATACTGGACGACTCTCTGGCGCTATTGTCGGCGTTGATTATCATTTTGTTGCTTAATGATTGTTCAAAATCCTTTCACCTGCGTTTCATACATGGATGGAGCAATGATTTAGGTCTCCGATTTTGGGACGGAGTCATCTTACACTTTCTATGGCTCGAATATTGCAATGACGCCGCTCCGAGCAGACACATGGACTTCTTCCTCAAAACATTGTTGACCTGCTTCTGAATCAAGGGTTTGGCTGAACGCTCAGAGAGATATCCCCAAGGATAGGTCCTCGGGCATTAGTCGACAAACATGTATATAATCAGGACTTGAGATCACTTCCCGCAATTGTATCGGGCGTGAGGAGTTTCCGAGTGTCTGTTACCGTACCACATAGCTCCAGCATTGATCAGAGGCCAGGAAAGAGTGACGAGGCTGACGAGGCTGAGTTCTGAGTAACTTGCTACAAGTAATATGCACCGGTCTTGGCACTCGTCATGGCCTTGTCACGTCAAGATGACAAGCACAGTACCCAAGTATGTATTCATCATCTATGCAAATCAGATCTTGATTTTCGAGGCCAGACGAGAAATCAGAGGGTCGAATCAACCTTGTAACACAGTTTCAGAGACCGAAGGCCAAGATGCCTTCTCTATCAGACTTCAGCCTCAAACCTCGGACATCCAGTCCCAAGCGGACCGCTCAAAATGACCAATCAGAAGACCATTCCCTGGCGACTCTCCTCACACTCGAGCAACGCGCAGAGCTCAGCGTCTTGATGGCCAATGTCACAGAGGCCATGCGGACCGATCTCATCAAGTGCTTTGACGAGCGACCACGACCATCCACCACCAAAGAGACTGCCAACCCAGACAGTACAGAGACTGCCAACCCGGATACTAAAGAGGTTGACCTATCGAAACTCAACCTCGATGACCCCGGCGTGGCCAGCCAAGATGCCGAAATCCAAGCCCTGCAACAAGAGCAGAGAGAAGCGGCGAAACGTGAAGAAGAAGCCACCCTATCCGCCACTCCACAATCCCAAGCCCTCAAGAAATCAGCCCTCGAGTTCTTCGACACATGGTCCGAAAGCGTCATCCTGAGAGTAGGCGAGGTGGTCAATTCTCGTGACGAACGCCAGCAGCAGCAACAGCAGCAGTCTCGCAAACCACCTCCCCAACCTGCTGCACAACAATACACCCCTAACGAGCGCGAAAAGGCGGCAGACGCTCGGTTCGCCGTCATCTATCCTCCCATTCCAACACCGTTGGCGAACCTAAGCCACATCGAACGTTCGACCATCCTCAACGCCATCTTGCTTCTCCTTCTCAGTCTAGAGACATACCGCGCTCACTCACGCACGCTGATGCTGCGTCTGGCTTCGTCGTTGCACATCTCAGTCGGCGAAGTGAGCAAAATGGAAAAGGACACCGCGTACGGCCTTCTTGTCGCCGCGAGTAAGATGGACGCCGGTGACTCCGCGTCCGCGGCACAAAAGGCCAGCGCCACTGCACGGAAGTGGAAAGTCGGACTGGCCAGCGTCGCGGGCGCTGCACTTATCGGCGTCACGGGCGGCTTGGCGGCACCTCTTGTTGCAGCCGGCGTGGGCGGATTGTTGGGCGGTCTGGGTCTCGGCGCGACGGCAGCAGCGGGGTATCTGGGCGCACTGGCGAGCAGCGGCGTTCTCGTGGGCGGCCTGTTCGGCGCGTACGGAGGTCGCATGACGGGCCAGATGATGGACAAGTATGCGAGAGAGATTGAAGATTTCGCATTTCTCCCCGTGCGCTGTTCGGTCGGTGACAGCGAGGAGAAGCAGCAAGAAAGACGGCGGCTGAGAGTCACGATCGGCATCACGGGCTGGTTGACCAAGGAGGAAGAGGTCAAATCGCCCTGGCGCGTCCTAGGTGACGCCGGCGAAGCCTTCGCCTTGCGGTGGGAATTACAAGCGCTGCAGAATTTGGGCAATGCATTGCTGAACTTCGTCACGAGTAAGGCGTGGTCATATCTGAAGAAAGAAATCATCAAGAAGACCGTGCTGGCCGGGCTGTATTCCGCGCTGATGGCGCCGCTGGGTATCTTGAAAGTGGCAAAGCTGGTCGACAGCCCGTTCGGGATCGCCAAGTTGAGAGCGATGAAGGCCGGCGAAGTGCTGGCCGATGCGCTGATCAACAAGGCCCAGGGCGAGCGACCGGTCAGTCTCGTCGGCCATTCTCTCGGCGCCAGAGTGATATATTCCTGTCTGCTGGCGCTCGCGCGGCGACAAGCGTTCGGCCTGATCGACAGTGTGGTGCTCATGGGCGCGCCCGTCCCGAGCGACGATGAGGTCTGGCGCTCGATGAGGAGCGTCGTCAGTGGGCGCTTGGTCAACGTCTATTCCACGAACGACTACATTCTGGCTTTCTTGTACCGTACGAGCAGTGTGCAGCTCGGCATCGCCGGCTTACAGGAGATCAGTAGCGTCTATGGAGTGGAAAACTACGACATGAGCCGAGACGTCACGGGCCATTTGAAGTACCAGAACATGGTGGGCAAGATTCTGGCCGAAGTAGGCTGGACCGATATCGACGAGGATGCCCTACAACGTGAACAGATTCTTCTGCAACAGATGGAAGCACAAGAGATGGAGCAGGAAAAGCAAAACGACAAAGAAGATGTTGATGAGAAAAAGCCTGCTCTTCCACCTAGGTGAAGAACGAGGTTTTCGATAGGTTATGACTGATGAGAAGCTACAACATGACCAGATTCTTCTGCAACAGATGGAAGCACAACAGATGGAGCAGGAATAGCAAGACGACAGAGAAGACGGTGAAGATAGAAAGCCTGCTCCTCCACCTAGATAAAGAAGGAGCTTTTCGACGGGTTATGAGGTTATGACTGTCATGAAAACGCGAAAGCGAGGCTCCGAGTTCTTCCACTATGAAGCACAATTGCGCACAGCTGAGCTGAGCTGAGCTGTCAATATGCTACTACTTCATGTTTACACCAAGGTCCAAGTCAAAGGCGGCTGTAGCCACGACGAGATCTATCCTCACAGCGCGCTCGAACCTTCCAATCCTCTGAGAGAGTATACCAGCACCCGATCATAGATCCATATCCATATCCAGAGTCCAGCACTGCCAGTTGTGCTGCCGTTGACCAAGACCACCCCGGTCGAATGACAGGCGCAAGGAGAGAGGGCAATGCACGACAAATACCCATAGAACACTGTCCTTTTCGTCACGAACATTCTTTATCTTTACTAAACCACCTCGTCATCCCAATACACAACGTGACGAGAAACCTATTGTCTCCTGGCACATTATCAATCATGATTATATTCGGCACGCTCCCGACCTTCTGCGCCCAGCTTACCGGGCCCGTATAGGGTACCGTACCCCCAGTCTGCGCGAGGAAGCCATTGAAATAAGTGGCCGAATCGAGCACCGAAGACCCCGACCCTCCAATCCCAATCGCATCGATCACATTCTGCGTGAACGTCCAGCTCAAAAGGAACAATTGGTCGGGATTATCGGGCTTCTTCGTCTGCGCGGCGAATTTGGCGTACTGATCCTGTCGCATTGTATTCAGTTCCGTGGTGTCGGCGTAGTTGTTGTACACGGGGAGCTGGCCTGGACCGTAGAAGCCTTTGTTCAGAAATTTGTTGGCCTTGAGCCAGTTCTTGTCGCGCTCGTCACAGATGACCACCACCGCGGGGCCGGAAGAGATGAAGTCTGACAGAGGGACTTTGGTAAGCAGGTCGGAGCCGTGGCGGGTGTGTAAGTGCTTCAGATTCTCGGATATTTGTGTGAGGAGGTTGCTGTACTGTGTGTCGTCGAAGGCGTCGTAGTCATTGTCGGTATCGAGGCTGTGGCTGAGTTCGAGGATGATGAGTTCGTTAAACCCCTTTGCCGTGAAGCGGTTGATGTCAGAAATAATGTCTGCTATGGATTCGCCATTGGCGCCAAGTTGATCGGTATAGTGGCCAGTGTAGAACTGGCCGTGGGAGATGGAGGGGCGGATGTCGAAGTAGCGAATGCCCGCTTGAAGTTGTCCTTCGATGTTGAGGGACTGCGTTTGTGTGTTGTCTGCATTTCCGCCATGAGCATAGTTGATTTCTGATATCCCGGCGTCGTGAGAGCCTGGTAAAACAATGTCCTGGAGGGTGAGACATCCGATGGTCGGCAAGTTTTGCTCCATCCAGTCGAGCGGAGGATTGTTGCCCTCGAGGCTGGTATTGCTGCCGACGAGGATGAATGGAGACCATGCTTGGTCAGTCAAAGGGATGCCGATGGTCGAGCCTTTGGGATTTCTCATTGTGCCATATTGGCCGAGCTCAGCGCTGATAGCATAGTCATACCCATCCTGACTGTCGCCAGACACGGCGAGTTTGAGGTCGGCAATTGGATGAGCTTGATCGATCCATGAGAATGGCCAATCTGCTTGGGCTGCTGTTGGAGTGCTGCCGTGCGAGGCATCGACTACGATTGCAGCCTCATATGTTTGCCCTATTTCATCTTCGTTAGTGGCATTGTCATGAAGGTAAAAATATGTCGCCTACCTGAAGCAAGGGTCTTGGGGAAGTCCCATTCGATTAGACCAGTTGTTTCCGAAAGCACATATCCAGTCCAGTCATACGGAGTGAAGTTAATGATTGATAGGTTGGTTTGCATCGACATCATGCTTTGCACCGTCCACGCAGGATATCGACTTAGGCTTGCAGACTTATCGTGATATGGCAAGCTCTTCGTTCATATTTCAGTCGTGGTCCGATTTCTGTGCTCCAGACGGGGGAGATCTTCTCGAACAACAGTTTTAAGATATCTGCAGGCCCTCAATGAGCTTGTGGGCGAGCTTATGGCGAAGGTCTCGTATGATCACGGCGCTTCAAGACGAGACCCACGGCATCCGGCATCGTTACTGATCCAAGGGACAATTCTGCTTGTCCAAGCAAGTCTGGGCTAATTTTGAAGTGCTTGGAAGCTCACTGTGGCAAATGTGCCGGCCAGGATCAATCCGACGAGTCGGGGCCATCAGAGGCCCAAAACAAGGCTCGGACCCATCGACCTAAAATTGACGAGGCTCGCCACCCACCCAGGTTGGAAGAATTGGCTATCGCCACTTGCAGAGCAGACCAGGGGTCCTGGAACTGGAAGGGTGGCGTAGATCCGTTCCTGTCAAGGGTATTCTCCAAACCGCATGGTCAAGTCCAACATCTTCTTTAGATCTGACGTGAATATCAGCTTGACTGGCTGCTAATTAATGCTTGTGCGGCGCTTGCGTTTCGCTTTACGTGTTGGGGACCGGAAAAGAGGACGGAAGACACCACTGATGAGCCTTTCTAGCAGCGCCTTAGGGAAGCCCAGTCAGTCGCCAGAAAAGGACTTCGCTCTCGGGGTCGGGGAAAGAATGCAGTCTAGAATTGGGAGAAGAGCTGCAGTTGTTGCGAGTTAACTTAGCTTGCCGAAGAGGGTTTTCTGCTGTCCTTGGGGCTTTGTTTGGTCGAGACCGTCCAAGAGTCCGTTGGTGCCGGTGATCATTCTTGTTTGACCCTTGTATTCAGGCACCACAGGTGTGGCAGTGCCCGGGAGATGGATGATCGACCCCAAAGACTGGGCACCGAATGAAGAACGAATGATGACGACTATCTCCAGCGAAAACATTTGCTTCAAACTCAACTCCGTACGGAGTATGGATACCCTTCCACCCTCCCCAAAAATCCTCACCGAGGTTGGAATGCACCGGCTAACCATTGGCAGCATATGCTGGATAGATCGACAAACATGTGCGTCTTTCTTGCATGCCATAAAGAGGAGAGGGGATACAGTATCACCGCATCGGCGATGGGAGCAGCTCCCCTGTCGTAGTATTCGCCAAATGCATCAAGAGCTCTATCAATCAACAATCTACAAGTATCACATACCGGAAAAGCGAAGACCAATGTCAACAATACCAAGGTAGGACCCGAAGAAAAGAGAACAGTTGACTCGGGATGGTGTGCATGAAATGCAAACGAACAGAAGGCAAGGCCAAGCAAACCATCGCTCCCGCCCATGAAAGCCTCGCGTGTGCTCGCGCTAACTTGCTCATACTCTGCTTTATTGGACTCGGAACGTTGCTGATAGAGTAAATCGACATCTTCCTAGCCCGGAGTTCATCGTCCTGTATACTTGATCTCCAGATATCTGACAGGGACATATGCAATCACCGAGAAGACACCACTAAAGATCCAACCGAGCTCTGCACCAGTCGCCTTCGCAACCACGCCGACATACCAGGTCTGGTACATCGAGAGCACCGCGCCAACGAACCCCATCGCGATAGCCAGAAACCCAGCAATCCCGTACGGCAGAGTTTTCATATTATTCCAGTCTTCGAGAGGGAGTTTCTTCTTCCTGAAATGCAGGAACTCAATCGTCACGCAGCACAAGAACGGCGTAATGACGTATCCAATGACCGACAAGAACGACTCAAGGACTTCCGCGAACGAGTCCTCCGCTGCGATGGCGATAGCGATGAACACCGCTGACCCGATGATGTTCCACACAAAGCGCGGAACTTTCATCATGACGGGGTGGAAGTTTTGGCATGTGAATGCCAGACTGTAATTGTTTACAAGATTACAGCCGACGATGGACAATGCTGATAAGACGAGCAGGAACTTGCCAAACCCATGGAGAGGCTCGAGCGCTTGCCCCATTACACCGCCGATGCCGCGGTCGTTGTAAGCGTCTTCGAATTTCGGGTCCGCAGCAACAGCAGTCATGAATGCCGCACCCAGGATTTCAGGTATCGCACATCCCAAAAAGTTACCTGCCCAGATCGACAGGCTGAGCTTGACTTTGCTCGTGTTGACTGGCATGCGCACGTTGTAGTCTGCGGCAGACTGGGCCCAGCCAGCGACGAATCCGTAGATGACAGCGATAAACGACATGACACTGCCTGCCTCGGCGGATCCGTGACCCATGGGCAGGGCAGCCGCGTCGAAGTGTTTGGCGCCATATCCAGCCAGGAAAATGAAGATCAACACCTGCGGGATCCAGCACCAGCGTTCGAAGAAGTGGACGGCGAAATAGCCGAAGAACGAGATGACAGCCGTGCAGACGCCGATGATCAGGTTACCAGCCCACAACGGACAATTGCCGTCGGAGAGTTCGTTCATAACTTGAGCACCGGCGATGGAGTTGACGCTCGACCAGCCGATCATGCCGCAAATATTCAAGATGACTATGGCTCTCGTGCCCCAGATGCCGAATGCGTAGCGGCCGACGGACATCATCCTGAGTCCTGTCATTGGCCCGAAGCATCCAAACAGTCCCACGACAATGCTGGTGAAGAAGTTGACACAGAAGATCACCGCGAAAGCATCCCAGAATCCCAAACCGAAGATAGGACCCAAGGCACCGGTAGCGAACGTAGCTGGACTGCACCCACGAGATCAGCTGGGCTGTGTCACGCTTCGACACGAGGTTCAACAGCAGACTCACGTGAAATTGGCTGATGCCCACATGGTATATCCATCAAACACGGACTGCTTGACTCTGTCCTCTGCCCTCACTCTCTCGATACCTCGTTCTTCTGCGCGCAGAAAGCTGGCATATTTGAGCAAAGAGCCAAACCATCCTCTCGAGGCTTCGACCTCGGCAAGGTCGTCAACTTTGTCTGTCACACGGTGCTTCTCGACAACAGTCCCTTCATCAGTGATTGGGGTCAAGGCAAGGATGCGTGGGTCATTTTTCTCAGCGTCGATGTTGTAATCCGCCATTGTGGAAGATCGACAAGCTGTTTTTCGAAGCTTGAGAAGTATTCATGAACGGTCAGGCCGAGACAGCTCGTGGGACCTTGAGCCCTTCTTAACCGTGACACAAAGAGACGAAGCCCGAGGCAGAGAGTGCCTCACTCGAATCCCGGGAGGCACCGTCCCATCTTATCATCTTCATATGATCTTCGGGAAAGTGCGTTATCAATGTTGACGCCAGGTCGTCTAGCCGCGTCAAGCGGGCTCGACACTAATCGACCCTGAGCATCTGGTAGCTCGTCGTCTGACTCGAGGAACTAAAATGCCGTGGACAAGCCGATAAGCTTAGAACATGGGCGAGCAGGCGGAGAGGCACGTGGAATAGTGCATTTTTTGCGCCGTATTCGAGCCCTAGCGAAAGTGAGGTGTAGGTCGCATGGCGCGCGGGTGGACTGGATTGGATGCTGTTATCTCGCTTCGATATAGGTCTAGGTCGTTTGTGTCCGAGGATGCACGAGATCAACATTGCTTCAAGAAGCGGTTGCCTACCTAGGTATCTTGGGTCGCTGTGTGACCAATGGAGCTGGTGTTTGATGCTTCCTTGTTCCCTCTTGTCCCCCAGTGCAGGCGACTACAGTCGCTTCCTCGAGTAACGTCGAGCCGTCTGATATATGGATCCAATAAGAGGCATGTTCGATATCAGGAGCTTAAACATGGGGTTGATACGAGGGGTGGGGAATCGGGGACCTCCGGTTGTGTCGCTTGCAGGGGGGAGGGGGGCCAAGTGATGTTGAGCCTTGCACGGCCTTGCTCGTGCAATATCTTTACTGCGGTACAGTCGCAGCAAGTCATTGGAAGGTGAAGACTTGTTGATCATTCGCCGGATAGATTGACCCTTCGTGTTGGCAAAGCATGGCTTCCCCTACTTTGAACACGCCGCTACTCTTCCATGGGACTTTCATACATTCAGTCAGCCCTGAGCAAGTCGAGATCATCTTGAACGGACTTCTTGTGGTGTCTCATGAGGGGAAGATAATCTTCTTGCGAGCGAATGTGCCAGCTCCAGATGTCAAAAAGTTGCTGGGCTTTCTTCCCGGCCTGCCCAACGTGTCAGACTTACCAATTCGATTCCTCACCCGGGGCGAATTCCTGGTGCCAGGGTTCATCGACACGCACAATCATGCACCTCAATGGACTCAGCGAGGCACAGGGCGGGGACTTCAGATCATGGACTGGTTGAACAAGGTGACCTTTCCGCACGAAGCGAAATTCGAGGATCCGGAATATGCTCGCAGAACGTATGCGAGCTGCGTCGAGGGCTTCATCAAGCAGGGCGTGACGACGGCCTCGTATTACGGCAGCTTGCATGGCGAGGCCACCAAGATTTTGGCTGATACCTGTCTTGAGAAAGGTCAGCGGGCACTGGTGGGCAAATGCAACATGGCCCGCAATGCGCCCAGCTTCTACTGCGACAAAAGTAACAAAGAGTCCATTGATGTGACGGAGGACTTCATCGCGCACGTCGAGAAGATCGACCCGACAGGACAATTGGTGCAGCCCATCTTGACCCCACGATTCGCGATATGCTGCGACGAAGAGCTGCTCGCGGGGATTGGCAACATCGCACGCAAAAACCCTAGCATGATGATTCAGACCCATTTCAACGAGACGAAGCAGGAGGTTGCCGTGACCAAGGAGTTGTTTCCTCAATTCGACAACGAGGCCGACCTCTATGAGCATTTCGGATTGTTTAGCCAACGGACGATCATGGCACATTGCATATACCCGAATGAGTATGAGATTGGAAAGATCAAAGCCAACGACGTCGGGGTAGCACACTGTCCCGTCAGCAATACAACAGGTGGTGAATGGGGTGCCGCACCGATCAAGGAGTATCTGGAGATGGGCATCAAAGTCGGATTGGGCACGGACTCGGGCGGCGGTTTCAGCAGTAGTATTCTGGACGCCACCAGACAAGCATTCATAACCAGCCTTGGTCGGGAGCTGATGACCGACGGTAAAGACCCGGCCTTGACCCTCAACGAGTGCTTTTATCTTGCCACGCTGGGCGGAGCCAAAGTGTGCTGTATGGCGGACAAGATTGGGACGTTCGAGGTCGGGAAGGAGTTCGATGCTCTCGAGATAAGCACCGTAGTGGAAGATGGGCAGAGTACAGTCGTGGAGGACGACGACTCGGCGGAAGTGATGTTTGAAAAGTTCTTGATGACGGGAGACGATAGAAACATTGTCAAAGTCTTTGTTAAAGGGAGGTCGATCAAGAAATAATACTCATCGACCATCTTTGTCGGTCTGTAAGGATCAATAGAGCTCTTTTCAACAGAGAAGTTTTCGACGTTTTGCTGCTGATGATTGTCAGTCCTCAGGTTCGACAGAAGGACCGTGGAATCAAGCTTCGAGGCTGTTCTTGGCAGCTTGGAAGGGTCAAGCACGTTCAACAACCTGGAATATACCAGGTACCTACTTGTAGGCAGTCTCGTGGTGGTGAAATGTCCATACAAGAATGCTGAATAACTTTGCAGCACGCAGCCCAAGCACTCGTGTCGAAGTCAGCACCTGTTCATCCAGTAGGCATAGCCTGTCCGTCACACATCATGAACCCTGGACTCCTTCATCCATACCGCCGTCCTTAGTAGTGATGACCTCTAAAAGCACGACTTTTCCCGCTACCAAAACCCGTTGGTCCGAACAAACCTCTCTTGATGCTGTTTCAGACTTGCCCAGTACACTAGTTCTTCCTCTTCAATTTCCTCGGGTGTCCTCAACAAACTCCCGGTATTGCCGTCGGCGACACCTCTATACCGTCCAGGACCTAATCGCTCAAGCTTTGAGAGAATGTCAAGGAAGTCGCGAAGGTAACTGTTGACACTCTCGGAATCTAACGTCGGCATTACGCTCATGCGAGCCCGCTTTGTCTCGAGTAAAGTAGAAGCGACTGTTCGAATCTTGTTGCACTAGAAGTCGTTAGCCGTGATTGAGGATGGGGGATCTGCTGACTTACAAAGCTCATACCATTCGGTTCCATGTTAACCTGATTGATGCTCTTGAGGAGCAGAGCCATGTCACGGACGATATCTTCACGTTCAACGGCCATCATCTGTTCTCCAGCATCCATCAGACTATCGCTGGGTGTTCGACCAGCAGCCTGTCTGTAGCCGTGTTCCATGCCAGTCGTCACAATCCCTGCCGTCGGGGAAGCGCTGGCCATTGACTTGTCGGAAGGGAAAGCCAGCTTGTCTCGCTCCACGATTTCGTACAGATTCCAGAATCGCTCTACCAGGTAAGACCTGGATGACAGTTGCGTGGCGTATATGTTAGCCTTCTGGATCTCAAATTGAATGGTTCGTTTCGAGTGGGTTTGAGGGACCGAGAAAGACCCTCGAGTACTTGCAGAATCGAGACCAGGATCGGCCTCGACACCTTCGCGGTCGTTGAAAAGCTGTGAGTATGCAGAGATATCGGATTGGGTAGGCGGCCACTCTCCGAACCCATTTGATGGATTCAGTTGCAGCTCTTTCGGGGCGTCCCGTGTTGCATCCTTGACCGTTTGTAGGGCACGGCGGATGATTTGACGTTGGCGGTCCCAGTCGTAGACAGTATTAGCACCAAAGGCCATCTCCAGGGCGGCCAGGAAGTGAAAAGCTCTGAAGACCTTAACATTCAGGTTAAATCCCACCATCTCTGACACAACTCCTCGCGGCTGTGGGAAAATCTGACTCTCGGTGATGTATTCGTCGTCGACTTCCACAGGAAGCGGAGGGAGCATTTCAGCATGTGAAACTGGTGGGATCAGTAGGTCACCATCGGCTTCATCCAGCTGGCGAGCCGACATGGCACCTACGAACAGCAACCAGAACAGCCGACGACCTGACTCCTGATAGACATGGTCGGTAATTTGGGGCCGCTGCACATCAGCCGATGAATACGACCCCCCATCCGCCGCTGATCCTGGCCGGTAGATCTCGGGCCGATGGAAACCCAGTTCTCGTGTAATGAGTGTGCATTCGCCCAGATACAGGCGCAAGCGTGGTAGATCGAGGATGTAGCCAGCAGCAAGGCCGGTCAAATAGCTTGCAATCGCATCGTAAAGACCCAATGGCCGGTCAATATAGCCGATACCGCGGGCCTCGATAAAGACTTGATGGCATCTGTCGATCAAAGACCCAGCATTGGGGAACTGTGACCTCGCGGCCTCCGTTGAGAAGAGCTGTCGTGGTCGGCGTGGAAATGAAGCCACCAAACACTCAACCATGGCTGCGATGAGAGCCAGGAATGTGTGATTGGTCCGGTCTTCTCTAGCCTCGAAGGATCTGCGAAATGTCGGTTCATGCGGTAGGGGAATCAACGGGTGAATGTATATGAAATAGTCATCCAAGAGAGTCTGCAAGGTGGGCAGGTCGCATATGGACTCGGCCGAAAGAGGTGCTGGCGCAGAGAGCGCTGCCAGACTGTAGGCGGCATCGTGTGTTGGGGAGCCTCGGGAACCTTCATAGCCTCCTCCTTCAAGTTTTTGTCTCTTGATGGCTTCTGCATGCCGGTTGGGAGGTCCGCGACGACGACTGGGGCGGTCGAAGGTGCAAGGGATGTCGAGGGCAGCGCATGATTTGCATGGAGGGCCAGACTCGTCGCACTATTTGGAATAGTCAGCTTTCTGGGTCAACACTACAACGAGAGTCTACGTCGTTACCTTGACTTTTCGCACACTACAACTATCGCATGCCTTTCTCAAGCGGACTTTGGGCTCGGAGGATTTTGTTCCAGATCTTTGCAATTCTTGCCCTTGCCCTACTTGCTCAGCATCTGGGCGCGGGACTGGCAGAGCAACCTCGAATTGATTGGGGAAGGCGGATTGTAGTTGGTATGCTGTCGGGTCTTCATATTTGTAGGCGTTGCTGGTATCCTGGCCCTGTGAGGAGGCATAAGGACCCGGTGGCGAGATTGACGACATGATGGATCGTCGTGCTATCTCAGCGACTGAGTCTGCGAGCATCGAGAATGTACGGGTGAACGTCGGCACATGCCTACAAAGTGGGAGACGCAGGTGGTTCGGTGGCACTGGTGGTAAATATCGGATACCGGGGAATAAAGAGAAAAAGGTGGAGGTGGAGAGAGAGAGGAGTAGATTCGAGGAGACGTGAGAATATCCGAGTGGCTGGTGAGTGCTGGTGTCGATGAGAATTTTAATAGACTAGCCGATGTCAAGGGCCCTGGTTTGTGACACCTACCATAGTAGGTACCTTATGTCTTGTGAAAGAGCAATGTATGTAACTGCATTTGGACGAAGCATTCAAAGAAAGTTGTCTAGATGGGAACAGTCCGGCGGAACGAGAGCGAAAGCACACCTTCAGATTTAGTTCGCTACTACGGAGGCTGTAGGGAGAGTCTAGCAGCCTACTACCCAAAGAGGTCACCGCTGCTGGGGTAAACCTAGGTAGTAAAAGAGCCCGGTCTAACTGAAAATATCTCTCCCATCATTATTACGAAGTGAGTAGGTACGGAGTACTGTATGTGCAGCCATGAATATTTCCAAAACCTCCACAATCCAGTCAACTCGATGAGAAGCTCAGCAGAAGGTTCCGGGGTAAGTTGGCAACTGGAAATCGTTTCTATCCTTCTGATTTCCCCTCCAGCAATCATTGTAACCACTTGCAAGCAGCGTTCATTGATAGAGTGAATACAGAGGAATTCAGTTTTGAAGAAAAAGAAAGGAAGAGTTGGAAAATCCCAATGAGGCCGAAATATTTCTCTGGCTCACAGCTGACTAAGCAGATCTCGGCCAACCTCCCTAATCGGATTGGCTGCGCTGCGTCACCAGCATCATCCAGTAAATTTGGACTCGGGACTTCAATTGCAGCCTGCACTTCTGATACACAGTACTTGCACCTTCTATGGCTTTACAAAGGACCAGGACTCATGCGAGATAGGATAAGATGATGAACACCTGGGTAGACCCCATCTGGCTCTACCCTTTCAAGGTGACAACCCTTCAGTGCATTCTTGTGCCTCTACTAACGGACCTGCACAGGGAATTTACTACTTCATCCGTCACCCATATTTCTGGCCTCTTTTCAAGGCCCGAATGATTCCCATCTTGCTCCTTTCAGCCTTCATATACACCAATCTGTTCGTATGGACCTACTTGCCTCAGGTCGCCTTTCTCGCACTATTTCAAGGGCCCGGAGCATGGCTGAACGCCACCTTCCTGGTGCTGGGAGAAGGAGCCGCAATTGTCGCATTACTCTTTGAAGCCTTCTTTGTCGACGAAACACTTGTTGACACCTTCGATGCCGTTCTCATTGACCAAGGCCTCGCCGACCTAGTCAAGGAAGCCCGTCTCCTCGACCAATCCGCCGAGAACTCAGTCCAGATGCTTGGGAAGCCGACCAATTCCTCAGTTTACAGTCCCTTCAGTCTTCGCCAAATTCTGGAGTTTGTAATCCTCCTGCCGGTCAATTTCATTCCATTCGTGGGCGTTCCAATATTTTTATTCCTTACTGGATACAGAGCTGGACCCTTCCACCATTGGAGGTATTTTAAATTACTTGGATTTTCAAAGAAGGATCGTACAGACTATATCAGAAAGAGACAGCTGAAGTATACCTGGTTCGGTACTGTTGCATTGGCTCTCCAGCTGATTCCAGTCCTGAGCATGTTCTTTCTGCTCACCTCGGCTGCTGGGAGTGCTTTGTGGGTGGCATCCATGGAGAAGGCTCGCAGGAGTCGAGAGGCTATGACGCCTTCAGCTACGGAACAGTATCAGGACGATCCTGCCTAGCTTAGCAACATGCCTCACATTTTATTGTGCATTCCCCGCATGCTTCTCAACAGCGTCAGCCGCCTCTTCCAGACTCGTCACTACCACTGTTGGTCCCAAACCGAGCTTGTCCTGCCAGCCGTTTCCTGCTCGGTCCACCCAAGCTGCTTGCATACCCACCGTTCGAGCTCCAGTGACATCGAATGGGTTACCGGATACGAGCCACATAGTGTCCATCTCTCCTACCTTGCCGACCTTTTCAGCAAGGTGATGGTATACTTCAGGTGCAGGTTTGTATCTTTGGACTGATTCAACCGTGACCATGTCCTTGAACACCGAAGAACTAAGATCTTCGGACCCGTTAACCGAATTCGAGACCATCTTATCGGTCCCGTTTGAAAAGACCACACAATCAATGCTGGAGTTCTTCTCCAATCGTTTCAAAGCCGCATTGACGTCCGGAAATGTGGACAAAGAGTCATAGGCTTGCATCAACTTGTTGAGGTCTTGATCGTTCAGACTAACGTTGTGTTCCGCCAAAGCATGGAGCAGCGCTTTGCGAGTCACTGCCGAGAAGTCTTCATACTTTTCTGTGGGTGGTCAGTCGGGAAATCTGCTACTGTTATCCTTTCCATCGAGGCTTACTCATGCTGTTTAATCTCCATGTATATTCTAGCTGGTACTTCCTCCATACTGCTGCGATCGACGTAGCTTTGTCCTGACCGAAAAGTGAGGCTAGTTCCTTCGCAATGCTTTCTGTTGACAACAAAGTGCCGTACAGGTCGAAGGCAACCACGATTTTACCCATGTCTGCGATTGCCTTTGTTGATGATGAGGGCTCTAGCGTTATGATATGCTGATCCCCTGCACATATATATGCGCTGCTATCGACCTGACGTATATGGGTAAGACGTAGTGACCTAGTCAGATTCCAAGTCAACTCCACAAGTGACCATCATGACATCACATTGCAAACCTCTTCTCCGTGAGTTCCTTGAGGCAGTGGGGCAGTTCGGTCCGGGGCATTCGGTCTACTTTCCCATTTGTGACGTCTACGACCAGGAAGCAAAGGAAGCTAACTCCAGCCTTCTGCTGTCCACCTTGCCTTCAATATTGCCCATCTTCCAACCGCATACCAATGGTCGAGGCCCACAATGACAACTTCGACGCATTCCGAGACTGTCTATTCTCGGCTGTCGTGGACAAGTCCGCAGGGAGCACTCGAAGAGTGTCCAAGCGTGCCTCCGTAGGGAAGAAGACCGCCACCCCAAAGCAACCAACTACAGAGAGCGATCCATCTGAGCTCGCCGAATTCTCCGACTACTTGGCCGCCGAGATCTTCAGTAGTCTTCCACAAGAGCTGCAGGATCTGTCGTACCATGGCCTCCAGGACAATATTGAACTGTCCGAGAAATGGTCACTGCCCTTGACACTGTCAGTATTCGAGGAAGTATCAAGCCACGTTCCGGGAGGCATCACCGACAGCTTGACAGCTTATGGACTTATCGAGCCTCCCAAATCAGATCTCCAGTCATTCATAGCCCCTGTGCTGTCTGCATATGTCGGTGCTGTGACGACGCCGCCGCCGAAATGGACAGAAACGAGGACCAATGCTTGCGAGATCTGTGAGAGAGACTGGGTGCCCATGACTTACCACCATCTCATACCTAAGCAAATACACGTCAAAGTCTTGAAAAGAGGCTGGCACGAAGAACATCAGTTGAACAGCGTGGCTTGGCTGTGTCGTGCCTGTCACAGCTTTATCCACAGGATGGCTTCGAACGAAGAATTGGCTCGTGAATGGTATACTGTCGACAAAATCTGTGAAAGGGAAGATGTTCAAAAATGGGCACAGTGGGTTCGGCGGGTTCGCTGGAAGAAATCCTAAGCTTGGGACAGACATGGTAGCTGTTACAGACGTCCAAGTCCAATCCACTTGGTCTAATCATGGGCACCAGATTCTCGTCATTTAGGAGAGGACGCTCCTCTGTGGTTTGTCCCTGGGAGGGCACTGACTGATGTTCATGGTCTCCTTGCCGAAAGTCAATCGCAGATGCCACTCTTTTGAGCCACCCTGCCTTGAAGTTCAGCATCTTTTTGACGCCATTTGTCTTCCCTGCATTGTGGCCGCACTAGCAGCAATCCAGGAGCAAACAGGTCTGCATCTTGCGCTTGCACAACCAGAGCAATTCATGACAAGCACAAAGCTTCACAGATATGCCTTGTGAGGACTGAGCAGCTGTAAGAAGGCTACATATACTTACCACTCCCCAGGAATCCTAGATCGTCATTCTTTCCCCATCATATCTCCATTGAAAACAAGAACAATTATATATACACCCAGCCATGGCGGTGTGTGAAAGTGCTACCTTTGGAGGCACGCGGCACCGCCCATCACTCACCTTCGCCATGCTCACATTACCGCCGCACCGGCGCCCCCCGTATGAATATCAAGGCATGTCCTGTGTGTTACCTTTTCCTGTTTCTCTCCTCTGAGGACAGGCCCAGCAACCACACGCGCATTTCTGGCAATCCATTTGTCCACTCGTCTCACACCATACACAATCACACACTCAACACACCTTCACCTTGTCATCATCCACAGCTCGTCTGCTCCTCCGCCTCCTCGATGCGGCCCTTGACACCGCCCTGCGCAATTACATGCGGCTCACCACCACCACTCCATCGACTGCAGATGCTATAGCAGCATATAAGTCCGGGGTGTCCGGCCTCCTTACCTCTGCCCTCGACAACGATGTGCTTCTCGATTGTACGCCGTGCCGATTTCGACGCCGCGCTCATTGCTCGTCTGGACAACGCCCTGGATGACAGGATGCGTTGGGCGTTCGCGTTCGACGAAAATCAACGCGAGAGAGTGCGCTTGCTGAGGGAGACACTCAACACGCACGTCGAGCACTACAGGGCGATGTGGCGGCGGGAGATGATCAGGAACATTGTCCAGATCCGGTCGGATGCGTGGCTGGCGCGTGCTAGGGTCATCATCGAGGCTGCCGACAGCGACGATGACAATGCCGCAGAAGGTGCTGAGCCAGACGGCGCTGTTATGGCCGAGGGGAGGCGGAAACGCAAGCGCGAAGACAGTGAGAATGAGAGCGAGGTTGGCAACGAAGAGGAAGCCGACGAGGAGAGCGAGGATGTGGATGAGGTTGAGGATGAAGATCAGGATGAGGAGGATGAGGCCAAGGAGGTCGACGACCCATATGACGAGTCAGATGATGACGAAGATTGTATCATGGTCGGCATGTACAACGGCGGTCAAGGGGTCTCGCGTCGCTGGGTGTGCCTTTTGTGCCCCAACCATCGTGGAACGCAGCACAAGACCTCGTTCCTTCGACATCTGCGAATGAGCCATGGGTTTAGGAATGTGCTTTCGGCAATGACGAATTTGGCGTGATGCTGATGCCATGCTGGGAGCTTGGGGGGGTTAAGGGCTTGGGATTTGGGGACTGGGGGCTTTGATGCGGACTCATATTCAACCATGCAATCAACAGGAGACAAGAATCTCGATCTCAATGGTCATGCACACACAACGAGAGACGGGCAGAGAAAGAGCGTTGAGAGAGAGCCTTTGTGACCAGGCAGACAGGCAGACAGGCAAGGCAGTGACTCGGACCAGGTTGAGAGCAAGGTACGAGCACTAGCAGCCGCAGTGCCTCAGACGACCAGAGCCATGTAGATCTTACTGGCGACGACGACGGGCCCGGCTGCAGCTGCAGGCTCCAGATTCAGCCAAACCCAACACCGGCTGAAGCCTATACAGCCCTTACTTCGGCTCCAGCTCCAGCTCCAACATACTGTTCGCCGAAGGGGATGTGCCCCAAGAGGAGTAAAAATCATAGTACATTCCACAAGCACAAGCACACAATCAGAAATAGCAAATGCCAGAGGAATCCAGCGTCTAGCATGCTACTGCTATTCAGAAGGTCATCGCTTGTCAATTGCCTATTCATACATTTCGTAAGCTCATTCTACAAGTGGTATCATTCTCAGAAACGAACAAGTTCTTCCCCAGAAGCCCGCCCATCCGTGTTGTTATCGTTGTTCTCATCGCCAGCGACATTGAACACTCTGCTCGTTCCCTCAAAGGCAGTAATGTGCCCATTTAGTGCCTTTGCGTCTCCATAGTACTTGAAGCGGTACATGCCAGCCTGCGTACCGGACTCGATCTCCCATTCGATACTGACTTCGCTGGTACCTAGGGCTGTACTCGTTCGATTCCATTTATACACGAGAAACCAGTCTCGATCAGAGCGGACTTGGACCCATCGGCCCTGCGCGGGGTCGAATTTTTCTACAGCGGCAAATGTCCCTTCGAGGCGGAAATTGTTGCGTGGATTGGCACCAACGAAGCTAGCTTTGACTGTTGAGCCTGGAGTGTGGTGCTTTTCTGGGTCGGGAGACGACAACGTTGCTCCGAATTTCCGGAAGAAGCCTGGATTGTCCACGACGACCGGCGTGATGAACGAAAGTGACACGTTGACGTTAATAGGTGGGCTAGGACCATCGGGGAGACGGCGCAGATGCGAGGTTTCGTTCTCGGAACCCAAATACGGAAGGTATGTGAGGGTGAGGTTGATGTAGGCTTCAAGCGTATGTGGGCCATATAGAGTGCTTGCGCCTTCGTATCGTTGTACGCCGTATTCTTCCTCTGTTGCTATATAGTGGGCGTAGGTGTTGGCGGGGCCGCCAATGACGACTCGGGGTTTGTCAATACCCAACATGGATGGAGCCGCGTCTGCCAGGGCATTGCGCCAGCGCCGGCCTGACATTGTTGTGGCTTCACCTGGAGACACGATAATGATGAGTGGGCCGATACGCAGGAGTTGGATGTCGACGATATTGGGTGTCCAGGCATAAGGATCATCTGCTTGACCTACATCGAGCAGGATGGGTTTGGGTTTCTGGCAGGCAATTTGCTCGTCTGTTGGTTCGTGAACGAAGCCTCTTGCAAACTTCCAAAGAGGATTCTTGAGTGACGGCGAGTCGTCCGAGTCATTTGTGCCCTGGGAGAAATCAAAAGCGCCAGGACCATCTGTAGTCCCTCCTGCAAACCCGTATCCCAGTGCTGCGGAGCACGTCTTCAGCTGCCGAGATCGATTGAACGGCGAAGTAAAGACGAACGACGAGAAATTGGCGTATGTATGGAAGAATGACACTGTTGATGCTGGGATTCGTTCTAGACTGTCGCTAACTAGGAGGTCTCTGGATGCTGTCATTTGACGGCTGCCAATTTCGAGGCAGGATTTGGTGCCTTGATCCAGACTCGAGAACATAGGGCCACGTCCATGACACGGCTGAGTGCGGCCGCCGCATGTACTATCGTTGAAAGAACATGAGAGGCCAGTGTCTTCGCAGAACGCACCCAAGGTGTTGGGAGATGTATCGCCAACGTTTGCTTGAGAGAAGCCAGCAACGAAGGCAGGATTCTGCTCTTGCATATATTGTTCAAGAAGGTACGCCGCCACACCCTTGTTGTCCCCAGTGATAAGAGTGTTGTTTTGGTAAAGCGAAGTGCCATGGACTGGGAACCAAGATAAAACACCCATTGACAAGCCATCTGATGCCCTCTCGAACTTCATGAGGGTCATGGTTGTGTCAACATCTTCAGTGTACTGACTTCGTTCCGTCTTTGGATTCTGCAGATATGCATATGGGCTCCGATTGACATTGGCGTTTTCAACTTTCTGCTGGCCCAAACTCAGATGACCTGGTGCAAGACTGGCATGGGCCCTTTTTATCGCAAGGACCGAGCCCGTGACAATAGCTCCGTAGCTTCTCTTGTCAAATCCTTTGCTTGTGATTTGTGGCAGGAGATAGTTCAGCCAGGCTCCTGGCCCGCTGTGGCTATGTGTGCCTGTAACAGCAAGAGTATCCTTGTTGTACACTTCATACTCAGGGCCCAACTTCTTTAGCTCTTCCAATATTCCGTGTCGGACAGCTATATCTCCAGACTGGGTATCGAGGACAAGGTAGGCAATTCGGGAGGAGTTGTTCGTCAGGCTGCCCACTATGAAGGCTCTGCAGTAGATGCGTTGTCTCAGCCCGGTTCCTGATTGATCTGAGTCGGCGTATCCCATCAAGTTGATCTCGACAACGGGACTAAACGAGTCAGCACTTTGCACAACCCGTTCTTGTCTCGTTCGTACCCTGTGATATCTGCCTTCCCAACCCCCAGTAAGTACTCCCCTGGCGCAGCCACATCAGGACGACCACGTTCATCCTGAGACGTGGCAGGAAGCAAATGTACTTGAGCAGGGCTTTCAACAAAGAAGCATAGCCATAGGAAAGCGGTAAGAAGCATCAAGCAGAAGGCATAACTAGCAAGGGCAATAGATCTCCGTGCCATTTTCTAGTGCTGTTGGACGGTGATGCGCTGCCGCTTACGACTGGAGGCTTGAGGATATACCCTAGTCCCTTGTCGGGGGCAGAGAATGGGAGATTTCGGAAGCAGTCATTATCTCAGGACTCTCATGATGCTTGAATGAGTCAAGTACTAATGATTCAAAAAGAGGTCATGGAACAGGAACTTGTTCGACTCACCTGGTGTCTGCGCCTGACGCTGTCATGCAGCCTGGAACAAGAATGTCGTCATATTATCTCAGCATCTCAGGCTAATCACGTGTCTGCTATCCAAAAAGTCCAGGTAGGCCCTCAATCCAACAATTCGAAATACCTGGGTAGGACATCTGCGTCTTGGTGTTGTCGGGGATCGGATGCCATGGCGAATCCGATGGAGATTCTCACAGTTCACAGTCAAGAAAACAAATTCATAACAAGCATCTCTTGATCCTCCGTCCAACCCAAAGGGACCAGCCCGGTGCCAGGTGTGTCATCGATCCCAACAAAGCCTCCCCTTGCCGATAACTCTGAGCACATCTGCTTGTAGATTCTCCATGCTTTATATGCAGACAACGACTGGTCGGTGAAACGATATAGACATGCCATTGCAGCATTAACTGTGGGGACAATTTCCTTTGCACCATTAGGCATGTGTTGACCGTCGAGGCACAATTCCAGGACAAGGACGGCGGTGGCTTGACTCAAATAGTGCAGCAAAACCCACCAAGGCAGGAGCCGAGACGCCTCGTGGCCTGCAGGCCCATATGGGATAAGAGCCACAAGGTTGCCGGCTGCCTGAACACAGGACCGCGCGCACTCTCGATCCCACTCGACAGAAGTGTGGCTTTCTTGCTGGATATGTATATCACAAAGACCAGGTCGGAGCAGGATCATAGATACGCTGTGGTAGTACATATTCAGTTCAAGCCTCTGCCGTGAAAGGTCGCCTGACGGGAGTAATGTCGCAATCTTCAACTCGGCCGGGAGGTTATTGGCCCATTGGGCTAGTTCTTTGCGGAACTCATCAACTTGTCGTTGGAACTGCGACCAAGGTTTATCCTGTTTACCGGCGTAAAGATGGACCGCAATACGATCGCTGATACGGTTGAGGAGAAGGCGATGAAAAGCATACTGTAGATATGTATGCTGTTCTTCGTCTCGCGTGGACGGCTGCATCACAGCACGTTCGGACGTTTCGTGGAACATGTAGCCGTACTTACTGATAAAATCCAGCCATACGCCGCGAGAATATAAGTATAAAGGGTCTTCCCGTCTTAAGGAAGGTGGCGACGCTCCCAGATCTTGCAAAAGATCCACGTTAATAGGGATGGTAACATCGGCAATCGTGATTGATTTCGGTCGGCCGGTGATTTCTGCTAGAAGAACTTCTAGCGCGTAAAGTGCGTACCAGGTCCTGGCCCTTTCCTCCCGTTGGACGCCCCCCATGGAAGCGTCCGTGACTGCCAGATGCAATCCAAGTGACACGGCATGCCGTATTACACTGCCAGATAGTGTCCACGCTCTAGTATCGTAAGCTACACGCCAACAAGGAAAGGAATCCTCTACCCACCGAGATATGGAGTTGTTCATGAGTAAAAAGAATGCAAGCAGTCCCATAGCCTGGGTTTGTTGGAGGTCCGGATGGTCGAAGACTACCCTGTGATCGAGGCCAAGTGCTCTCGACCTGGCGTAGTAAACCAGATGGTTGTCAACGGGGATATTAGTGGGTAAGCTTGGGAGGATCATAGCGGACCATCGGGTGCCAACCGCCCAGACCAAGTTGGCGACCGCGAGCCACCGTCGTTCTTTCCATGATGGCAAGGTATTCGACCGTGGGAAATGTATCAAGGTTTGAAGAAATTGTTCGCGATCCAGAAAGCCAAACACACCAGACATGGCGTCAAAAGCTGCCTCCGTCAGGATCAGCGCAACATCGAAGTCCGGCCATGCTAGAAAGTCGACTACGTCTTCATTGATGGACAAGAGCGCAGCTTCGTCAACGTAATAGGCCATAGCCGCTGTTACAGGGTCATCGGCCTCGTCGTCTTCCTCAAGGAGTGGTCCATGTGCGCGCAATGACGGTTGCTTTAGATACTTATACGCTCTGCGCATCCATGATATTTCAGACGCTTTCCCCAAATAACCGGCGACCCCGTTTCCCTGCGCCAAGCCGACTCTATGCGAGAGTTCGCCCTGGCGGCCTGGAGATGCCAGCCGTGAGGTACCTTTGTGGGTTTCGCCTCTACTTGCAGAATTCCGCTCGCCGCCGGAGAGTCCATCGTCAGACTCGACAATGACCGTCTCTTGACCCCTAGGTGAATACTCAAACGGATTATCAGCGACCCGCAGACCGGTCCAAGTGGAGGGAGATCCGTACCTTTGCCAATATTTCGTCTACCTCTGAGCGGCGCTCTGGGTTCATGGGTGGTTCGAGGGCTAGCTCTTGAAGGGTGCGAGAGAGCTCCTGAACGGCCTCCTTGAGTAGTCTGCGCTCGTTCTCATGATCCACCTGCATGGATCGCAGGAAAGATCTGCTGCGGCGGTCTGTGTCTGGGGGAGCGAAAATGCATTCGACCTTGAGGTCTACACACTTCCGGCAAGGGAATTGTCCACTGCACTGTAGGGAGATCAATCGATCGTCACCGACCGAGCCATAGTATCCAGACTCACCTTGCTCCTCCTCCGCCGGCACGATAAGCATGCGCTGTGTGCATTAGAACGAGCCTTCAGAGGCGTTTGGGTCTGTGGCTGAGGCGGCCCAGGTACCATACCGGCTCGTGTCGACGAAGGCAGAATCCGTCTGCTGGTCATATCTTTACAGAGGTCTACTTCTGCGCAGTCGGAAAGCAGTGAGCAGGTACGGTATCCGAAGCCGGTTAATCTTGGATTTCTTCCCAAGGTACAAAGTCAGGGTTGTTTTCCGCTGTGTCCGGACCCTGACCAGAGCCACTTATCATCTAAGATGTAGTCGTGAGTAGAAATTGTGTAACCCTTTTGTACATATCAGCGCGTGGTTAGTATCGGTAGACCTAGGTCGTGCGTCGTGCGTCGGTAGATAATATCTATATCATGATTTGGGATTCAAGTACGGAGTAGTACGGCATGTACTAGCGAATTTGGCTAATCCAATATGGGCAAAGCGTATCGTTTTCTCAAATCATTTTCCAAGTTTCAGTAGATGCCCCGCTACCGACTGTACGGAGTAAGCCCCCAAGAACATCATGACTTACACGGTAGTGGCGAGGTGGCCAGGTGTATTCGAGGGCGCCTAACCTTACGGTGTGGCAGCATGCGCAGATCCAGTTCATATCTGCACCCAATTACTCTTCATGCGGCACAAATCTCTTTGAACGCGGGCGGAAGCCTTGCACTGGGTGAGTGTGTACACAACGTGATCCCCTATGGACCGCACTTGTCGGCTTCGATGTCTTTGAAGTATCTCACCGTCGATATTCTCAGCTCGACAGTGGCGGCTTCATCAACGACAATCATGCCGTTCGGATGCATCTGTAAGCTGGAGACGGGGCACATGTGGCTGACGCCGCCCTCGACACATCTTTGGAGAGCGAGGGCTTTGTTGGAACCGGTGGCGATGATAACGACTTCGCGGGCCTAAAAGGTCAAACGCGTTGTCAGTTATATGTGGGACCTTGGTTACCGCGGGAAATCCTCAAGATTAAGCCAATGGAGTAGGGATGGAAGAATGGCGCTGGGTATCCGAATCCGTACCTCCATCACTGTTTGGACGCCGACCGTCAACGCGGCCTCAGGCACGCAGGCTGCGTCGCCGCCGAAGAATCGGGAATTGGCGACGCGAGTCTCGTGCGCCAAAGTCACGACCCTCGTTCTCGACGCGAAGCTCGACCCCGGCTCGTTGAAGGCGAGGTGGCCATTCGGTCCAACGCCGCCAAGGAACAAGTCAGTGCCGCCCGCGCGACGGATCTTGTCTTCGTACTCGAGGCATTCGGCTGCGGGATCCGAGGCTTCACCACGCAGCATATTGATATTGGCAGGGTCGATGTCGATATGCGAGAAGAAGTGATCATGCATGAAAGTGTGGTAGCTCTCCGGATGGTGCTTGGGGATGTCCATATACTCGTCCTAGAGACCCCCGGATTTTGCCCAAACCAGTACTAATATCGATGCCAGGCCAAATTGCTTCGACGCGGACTGGAGAGCCAGAAAAGGTGCGTACCATGTTGAAAGTCGTGACATTCTTGAAGGAAAGATCGCCGACCTTATAAAGCTGCACAAGAAGTCTGTAGATAATCTTTGGACTACCACCCGTTGGCAATCCGAGGACGAAGAAAGGCTTGGAGGGTGTCGATTTGAAGTTGTTGATGCTGTCTGAGGAGAAGGAAAACCCTGGTTAGATGATTTGATACTATTTGACGCCCTCGTGGTCCATTGCGGACACGAGGCAGTTGAACACTTACGGGCGATGTGGTCCGCAATGTATTGTGACGCCGCCGTCGGATCTTCTCTGACGATAAGTCTCATGGTGAGTAATCCAGGCTGTCATGGCGAAAGGGTATAGAGGGTGTCAAACGGCGCTGCTTCATCTTAAAGCGAAGTCAGTGATGTTGGTTGGCTGACGGGAGAATCCAGCCCTCGCCATGGGTCTCATCGGTCTTGCGTTTACCGTGGGATACTACTACCATTGCGTTAAGTCGCTCGGTCCTGGATCTCGAGGGATCAACCCTACTAGGTAGAGAACAACACGGTGGATGGAGCCAAACGGTGTCCGAGCGACTGCAGTGGCAGATTGGTTGGTACAGGTCAGGAAGAGACTGGATTTGGACGAGGCTCTGGCACGTTACAAGGTCGACGGTGTCATCATTCTGAGAACTCGAGCCTCGCCCTGCAAAACCTTCGCGGATAGCTATCTCCTCCGCCATAATCACTGTAATTAGTAACCCAGTTTGCGGCGTCACATTTAAGAGCACGTGGAGCTTTCTCATGAGCTCTGGCATCGTGGATGGACCCCTAAAGCCACGAGAGAAACTGCTGACTAGTCAGGTACCATCGAGGACCGGCTCTCAACAGGTGTCTGCAACACTGGTCGTTACGGTTGCTCCACTCGCAACGTTACTAGTATGCATCCCAATTGGGAAAAGCTCTGTTCCTCGACCGACGGGAATACTAGCAGGAGGCAAGGGAGCAAAGAATCTTCCAAATGCTGAAGGTCAAGCCGACCGCTGAACCTACGAGTTCAAGTTGTTTGGTATGAACCCGAGCGTTGACCTTTGCCCTTTGCGCATCTCTTGAATGCCAACACGCGACGCAGGCTCGCCGCCCACAGGTTCTATGGTTCCAGAGACCATGGGACACGGACGGATTACAAAGTTCATCAATGGCAGAATCGTCCAGGACGGCCAGCTGGCGACGGCCGATATCCTGGTGTCAGCAGACAGTGGCCGGATTTTGTCCGTTGAACAGGCGTCGCCGTCATCCTGCCAAAACCACCCCGGACTGATCGATGTCGTCGACCTGGACGGGCGCATTCTGGCTCCCGGCTTGATCGACGTGCAGCTCAACGGTGCCTTTGGCTTCAACTTCTCCGTGCTCCTCGACAATCACCTCTCCTACGTCAAAGAGCTGAATCGCGTCAACAAGGCCCTGGTGCAGACCGGGCTGACCTCGTACCTGCCGACGTTGACCAGCCAGCCCGCCAATGTCTATCGCCAGGTTCTGCCCTATCTGGGACCAACGGGTGGACTACGGCTGGCCGAGACAGGGTGTGAGTCCCTAGGCGCGCACTGCGAAGGTCCCTTCCTCAGCAGAGGCAAGAACGGGATCCATAACCTCGACAACCTCCAGGAACCCCAGAATGGCTTTGAAGATTTCGAGGCCTGCTACGGTTCTTCCAACCTCTCTGTCTCCCCCGACGGTCGCCCCCCTCGGATCAAGATGATCACCGCGGCGCCAGAAGTGGGCAAGGTCACCACGGCCTGCATTCCGGAACTACAGAAACGAAACATCATCTTCTCCATCGGTCACTCCGAGGCGACGTATGAACAAGCATGTGCCGCCGTCGAGCGCGGTGCCAGCATGGTCACCCATCTGTTCAACGCCATGCCGCCGCTGCACCACCGCAACCCGGGCGTCCTAGGGCTCCTGGGACACTCGGAGACGATTCGAAGACCCTATATTGGGGTCATCGCAGATGGGATCCATCTGCACCCCAGTGTCGTCAACGTGGCGTCCCAGGCCCATCCGGACGGCTTTATCTTGGTCACGGATGCGATGCACCTAGTCGGCCTCCCAGACGGGACGTATCAATGGAGCACAGACGGTCACCGCCTGATCAAGAAAAAGAGCCGTCTGACGCTGGAAGGCAACCCTGACAAGATCGCTGGCAGCGCCGTGACCCTCCTTGAGTGCGTCAACAATTTCCTATCATGGTCCGACACGGATATTCCGACCGCCCTCAAAGCCGTCACCGCCACGCCGGCCAGAATGCTCGGTCTGCATGGCGTCAAGGGATCATTGACTCCCGGGGCCGACGCGGATCTCGTGGTGCTCTCCGAGATCAAGAGTGGGGGAAGATCGCAGTTGGTCCTGGAGCAGACCTGGAAGTTTGGAATCAAGGTCTACGATGGCCAGGAATGTTGATATGCAAGTTGCAACCTCTTTGCATGAATACTGGTAACCAGAGGTGAATCAATACAGAGACGCTGAGCGTGCCCTCCCTTGACGGAGACGCGCCTCGCAAGTACATATATGGATTAAAGCCAGCATGTGCTTCGGCTCGGCTGTAAAGGGGGTCTGAGCGCAAGGAGACTTGGGATTACTAAATATGCGTCCAGCCAGTCGGCCAAAAAAGCGCCATGCCCGTAGCATTCAGTAAATCAACAGACGAACCGACGTTCAAGTTGCTGTACATCTATAGTATTGTAGGTGAATTCTATGCAAGTGCACCAAAAGTAGGAGGACCAGACCGCCCCAGCACAATGCCGCCCTAGGGATACCTCCCCTTCCGCGCATCCGAGGGCCCTTACTGTCTCTTCCAGTCTCTTTCCCGGGGGATCTCAACAGACTCAGCCTCCGAACCACCACGACGTCCCCAAGGCCCGCAAGTGTGATCATCAAAGCTCACGAAGCTCTCTTTCCATATGGTTCGAAGGGGAACAGGAACGCACACAGGGCCAACGCGCCGTAGAGTGCAGCGCAAATGAACACTGGCGCAGATGTGTTGGTGTTTGCTGCTGTCGCAATCACAGCCGACATGGCCCCCATCAGGCGACAAAAGGCAACCGCTATGCCGTTGCCCGTAGCCCGGTGAGCCGATGGCAGCACCTCGGCCGTGAAGCCATAAAGGACCGCATAGTAGATCTCCAAGGTGAAGGAGATGATGCAGCTGTATGCGACATTTTGAGCCTGCGAAGTGACTTGAGAGTAGGCGAAGAAGAAGGCCACTAGACGAGAAAAGACGACACTTGTTAGTCTTGAGAAGATCCTCGCAAATGGCAGAGAAATGGGAAGACGGGGGGTGTCCACTCACTGGTGAGCAGGGCCCCAATCACCATAGTGTATCGACGACCCAACACGCGTACATTGGACATGTACCCTCCCAGAATAGGGCCAAAGATACCACACACTTGGACCAGGGCATAGTTTCGCCACGTCTCGTAGGCGCTCGTCACGCCAAAGCTGACCCCGCGGCTCTGCAGATAGTAAGGCAGGAAGACGTTGAAGAGCGGGTAGGCAAGGCCAATCATGGCCCAAGACAACCAGACCAGGCCGGTGGTGTATGCCACCTTGACCGTGGAAAACAGGCTACTGACGTGGAGCCAGAGTTCCCCGAAGGAGAAGGTCTTGCTCGAGTGGGCGGTGCGAATGGTTCCGCACGCCTCGAGCTGCTCCAGCGTGAGGGAGCAAGGCCGGCCATACTTTGCGGCGAGAGATCGGAGGTTGTCGACGAGTTCAGCATCGTGACCTTGACCCAGCAGGAACTTGGGCGTCTCCTTGAGACGGATCACGGTAACTCGCAAGAGACTCATGACAAAGATCAGGGCTCCCATGGTGTACATCAAGTACCTCCAGCCCATGTTGCTGGACTTCGTGCACGTGGTAAAGGGAGCCAGGCTTGGGTCGGCACAGCTGTAGTTTGCTGCAACACAAAGGACTCGTTAGCCCAGATGCTCATGTACTGGACGCGAGAGGAGAATGGGGAAGATATTGCAGTAAACAAAACACCGCTAGACAGCACTCACTCATGAAAGCCCACGCAACCAATCCAGCAATGGTACATCCGATCCCCCACCAGGCCGCCAAACAGCTCACAAGGTACTGTTTGTAAGATGGCAAGTACTCCAAGAACACCGTAGTGTCCAGGATGAGATTCCCTCCGGCGCCAAAGGCGGCCATTGCTATGAAGAAGCCGAGAGAGTCCCAGTCGGGGGCTGCGCCTGCGACGATGGTGAAAATCGAGCAGATGAATAATGACACGTTGAATGCGACCTTGCGGCCGATGATGTCGGCGGTGGTTCCCCAGAACAGAGCACCCACCAGCATGCCCACGTACACCGCAATGGTGAGTCCCTTTGTGTAAGACGGCTGAAACTCATAGACCGCCTGCACGGCAATGATTCCCTGCAAAGAGAGCTGCAGGGCGTCGACGGCGTACCTGATGTATTGGTTAGTCTGGTCTCGATTGCCTCTCTTTCTATGAGGTAATAGAATTATGACAGGTCGTACCCGAATCCGGTCAAAGAGAACAACTTCCAGTGATATGGTGTCCACCCGATTTCGTCCAAGGCCTGTGTTGATGGCACGAGACGTTAGCAAAATTCAAAGCAAAAAGCAGAGGTCTCGAAGATAGGACTGGGAGTCTGGAGGTCCTAGACTGTTTGGATATGGGAGCCCGGACAGAGGTCCAGAAGGATAATAGTCCAGACAAAACACCAGAAACAGAGGTTGCAGATAGGATGAGACAGGGACGACATACATTGTTGACGAGATGCATTTTGCTGTTGAGGGCAGGATCCAGATCCAACACCCCCAGGATTTCTTGTTGCAGCTGCCCTGGCTCTACTGCGTTCACAGGGGCTTCCTCGTCGACCTGTTTCTTGTCGTCAAAGGGGCCATCGGCCATTGACAACGGAGCCTTAGTCGCCATGTTCGATATTTGCTTGATATACGATGTTAGTAAGAGCCATGTTTCAAGCCAGACCAAGATGTGCTTACCTAGTGGGATGATGCAGACGGTGTAGTGAGAAGGTCGCCAGGTAAAATTCTCGGGAGGAGCGGTGTTGAGATCGTTACAAGAACTTGTCTCAAAAACAGGTCCCTTCAGGGAATGAGCTTGATATAGGCGACTATGGCTGGTACTGTCAAGAAACAAGGCACTGAAAACAGTCGCAGGCCATGTTATGCGCCGAGAGATGGTTTCAATGAACGAACAGCCTCTCATGATCTCGTACCAGTGCGAAAATGTGTAACGTAAATAGCTTCCCATGAGGTACACTCGATCAGTTCCAGGCCGGCCCACTTGTGTGTCTTGTTGCTGACGGACTGGTAACTAATGATAAGGGACAATGTTAGTCTCGACGTCAAAAAGGCTACGACGCTACGTTACAATCCATGAGCAGAGCCGGTGTGTCGCACATTGCCGCTTATCACAGAGAGGGTCCTGCTGGGCCGCTTTTCCCGTTATGTGGGACCCATTCCTCTTCACATTAGGTTATTATGCCACAGTCACCACGATGTTTGAAAGTGATATGCTTGCGGTGACCATTGAAACGACCAAAATGAGACGGTCTTAAAAGCTCTCGAAATGGTCCAACCAACATTGCCTCATGTCGACGGAGCGCCTGGGATAGGGAATGGTGAACCCAGGCGCCAAGAGGGCTTTGACGGGCCGCTACTGGATCTCACTGTGCTGGGATTAAATAGTGGCACATCCATGGTAAGAGTATTACCAGCACTTTGTCGAGTATGGTGTGTTGACAACGAGCCGGTGACAGGACGGGATCGATTGTGCATTATGTCGCTTCAAGCAGCTGGATGCATCAGCGCCCGTCGAGTTCGAGTTGTTACAGTACGGCGAGACGCCTTTGGACCCGAAAGTCAAGGCCCGTGTGATGAAAATGATCTTGAACAACTCGACGTCGCCAGAGGAGATTGCAGAAGTCAACATCATCCTGGGAGAAGCCTTTGTCAGGGCTGTGGAGGAGTTCACCACCAAACATGGCATCAACAAGTCTACCATCGACGCCATCGGATCGCACGGCCTAACGATATGGCATCTGCCTGAGCCTCGCGACGGACAAGTGAGGACGACGCTCAGTATGGCCGAAGGCGCGATCATTGCTGCGCGGACCTCAATCACCACCGTCTCCGATTTCCGAATCAGTGAAGTCGCAGTTGGTCGCCAGGGAGCACCGCTCGTCGCCTTCTTCGACGCCTTGCTGCTTCACCACCCCACAAAGCTGCGGGCTTGTCAGAATATCGGCGGGATCGCCAACGTCTGCTTCATCCCTGCCGACGTGCAAGGGGGTCTTGACCAATGTTATGACTTCGACACGGGTCCTGGGAACGTCTACATTGATGCGGCTGTCCGCTACTTTACCAAAGGAGCGCGGGAATACGACAAGGACGGCGAAATGGGTAAAAGAGGCCAGGTCGACCAGGACCTGGTGGACGAGTTCCTTCGACACCCATACTTCGGCCGCGAGCTTCCGAAGACGACCGGCCGGGAAGATTTTCGCGACACCTTGGCCCTGGACCTGATTGCCAGAGGCGAGCAAAAGGGCCTCAGTCCCGACGACATCGTCGCCACCATCACTCGCATCACAGCCCAATCCATCGTCGACCATTACCGTCGGTTTGCGCCATCCCAGGACATTGACGAGATCTTTCTCTGCGGTGGCGGGGCCAATAATCCAAACATCATCGACTTCATTCGGGACAGCTATCCCAAAACCAGGATCCTGATGCTCGAGGAGGCCGGCATTCCTGGAGGTGCCAAAGAAGCTATCACATTTGCCTGGCTGGGCATGGAAGCTGTCGTCGGCAGACCTGTCCCGGTTCCGACGCGCGTTGAAAACAGGAAGGAACAAGTTCTGGGGAAGGTGTCCCCGGGTCAAAACTACAGGAGTGTGATGCTTAAGGGCATGCTCTTTGGGAGGGGCAGCGGAGGAGAAGGAGGAAGATTGCCCGCCGTCACGGAAATGGTGAACATCATCCAGGGAAAGGAATTCAGCAATAAATGGTGATGGTCCGTCACCCAAAAATAGATATAGAATAATCAAAAGAAGGTTTGCTAGAGATAACATTACAAGTAGTGTCAGTCGAGCACTCGATTGTCAAACAGAGCTTGTAGGTCGGGTACCAGGAGGGTGTTATGTGCAATGTGAGGTCTGTAGACTGCGTCCACGGGAGGCATCCATCCTTCCAGACCCAGTGGGAAGTATTCGTACAACGGGTCTGCCTCTGGCTCTGGCTCCAGCCTCTCAACGCCTGGAGTCGACGTCGACGTCCCGGGCATGCTTCGGTTACCATCGGTATCGCCATATAAAGCGCGTTTGTTACTGTTGTTGACGTTACTGGTGGCAGCTCCATCTTCTAGCCTATGAGCAGTGGCATCGGTCACAAGAGGGACGCTCCCGGGTGTGCGCTCCAAACTAGTTCGCTTACGATCTGACACATTCTGTGGCATTGAATCCGTCTTGTTGAACCTGAGCTCCAAGGTCCTGTTCGTGGAGAGTGCTTCCACTCGCGACCACGGCAGGAGTGGCGTTGAATGAGCTTGTACTGGTGTGTTTGTGTTTGTATTTCTTGCCAAGACGTAGCTCCTGGAATCAGGAGCAAGATCAGGCGTCGCCGCAACGCTGGCCGGGAACTGGACCGCAGGGGACGACTTTCGACTTGATTGCTCAGGATTCTCTCGATTCGTGAAAAGTCCCGCACTCCTTCCACGGACGATTATGGCACTAGACTCGGTCTCCGCGAAGCAAATCTCCTTACCTGTCGCTAGGACGGCTTTCATAGTCAACTTCAGGAGATATTTCTGCTGAACACCATTGCGTCGACCATCTGCCCTTGGATTTAGCACGATATATTCAAATTCATCATGAAACACAGATAAATAACCTACTGTTAGCGGTCGAGCTCCTGAATTGCAGTCTCTTCCACATGAATGAGAGCGCCTTTTCCTCCCCAGGACTTCCGGCTCCGGTGGTAAGACCCAACCGAATGGGAACAGGAGCACGAGGCGAAGAGTCCTCCGCAGCCGATGAGAGTGCGGGAACCGTTGTCTTGGACGACGACACCTGGATGACCTCAACTCTTCTGCCTTCGATCGATTCCGTAGCGGTCAGACACACGTTGACACTGGCGAGGGCCGTGAGATTGCCCAGCTCGTCAACCACACAGCATGACTTTGAACTCGTCGAAATCATACCCGAGATGCGAAACAGGTTGCGCCGATGAATCGTCAGTTCCGGATCACCATCCGGCTGCGAATTGGCCAGGAAGAAATTGCCCTGCAATTGCGCAGTGATCGACATTGGCACAGACTTCCCGTTGCAATCAACTACACGATGTTCGGGTGACAAGCTCTTGAATTGGAGGAGTTGGTCGTCTTGATCGATTGCAGGATTCTGGAAAACATTTGGCCTTTGGCTGGCCTTCCTGGGCCTGGAATCCGTCGAGAAAAATGGTGAATTGTCCAGCCCTGAGGTCTGGGGCTCGTGAGATCGCTTTTGGTCGCTCCATTCCGAACGAAATTGGTTTAAGGGTGAAGTTTCGGGGGTGGCATGGAGGGATTGATGGTTTGAAACATCACTCACGAACCAGTCGTATGAAGCGGTGTTGTCGAAGACGTCGTCGAAGGATGCAAAAAGGCTGTCATCTTCAATGGTGCCCAACGGTAAGCCAAGCGAGGCGTCGTGGATCGCATCCCTATCGAGCGTCAATTCAACCTAATTTGCGTGCATGATTGTAGAATCGGGTGTGGTATGGCATACCCTCTGGTGGCCCCTCGGGACCTTTCCTCACCTGGGACTTCATCAGGCGAGGGCACGCTTGCTAACATTGCATTCCAGGACTTGCTACCTGCCATGCGTCATGCCACAGAAGCAGTGAGCAGCAGTGTTAGAGGCGGAGATAGATGGAAGGTGAAGTCTACACCACAGTCGCTTAACGTTCCAATGCCAGACTGAAAAGGTAATTCCCCAACAACCAAGCGTCGACCGTCGACACGCCACAGGGTAGAGAGAGGGTCTGAACATGTACGATGCACGTACATGCCACCGGCGGCCATTGTTGCATATCCACCCAAGAATCCGACAACTCGGGCCAGTGAGGCTGCAACGATTGCCCACTTCTTGACTGGTCAGTGCTGGTCTTATCAAACAGCAGCTCCACAGGCAACGTTCCATAGACCGGCCCGTCGGGCTTGGAAGCGCCATTCACTACTTCGACCATCACGGACCATTTGTCACAGTGGATCCGTCGGGACAAGAGCAAAGGACTCTAGGACCGTCACTGACTTGTGTAGCGCACTTGCAGACCACAAAAAAAGAGCGCTGCTCTCCCCTGCGTCTCGAGAGCTTTTCCTTCGGATTGAGGCTGCGAGGTGCGGCAAGGATGGTCGCAAGCGATGTGACAATCGAGGTCACAGATCCGCCATGGCAGGATCTTAATCGGTTGGTGGTCTTCTCCGGTGGTCTCGTCCCACTCAAGTACCTAACAAGTCTTGCAGCGCCATCGGCCAACTGTTCATGATGGGATGGAATGGCACTACGGTTACCCCGGCCATTCGAACGTTGATAGAAGATCATCATCTCGGGTCCATACTGTTGACCGCGCACAACCTCAGATGTATTATCAGCCTCGTCCTGTATTGAACCAGCCTGGTAATGAGCGCTCGCTGACTAGACCACCGCCCAGCGGCTGCAGAAACGAATAGACTGATCTACGAGCTTCAGAGCATTGCATACCAAGCCGGCCACCCAGTACCGCTGACAATCGCCCTGGATCAAGAAAATGGCGCGGTCAATAGTCTCACTGACGATGCTCACATCCGGCAATTCCCAAGTGCGATGGGAGTCGCGGCGACAGGTTCGTCCCGGGTTGCCTTCGATGTCGCAAGAGCTACGGCCCTAGAGATTGCTGCAGTTGGCGTCAACTTGATCCTGGGCCCGGTGCTGGATGTACTGACGAACGCGAGGAGTCAGCCCCTGGGGGTTCGCACGTTCGGCGACGATCCTCAGGACGTGTCACGCCTTGGGACCACCTATGTAAGTGGATATAAGAGTGCGGGAATAGCGACGTGCGGCAAACATTTCCCATCCTATGGGAATCTGCAGTTCCTGGGCGTTGGGGGCCAGGAGATTCCTGTCATCACAGACACGTTGGAGCAACTGAGTTCCAGTGCCTTGTCGCCTTTCCGTACTGCAATCGCTGGAGGGTTAGATGCTATGATGGTCGGCGGATGCGCCCTGGTGGGCTCCGGGGCACATGTGATGCATGCGTGCTTGTCACACCAAGTGGTGACGGAGCTTCTCAAGCGAGAATTGGAATTTGACGGAGTGGTTGTTTCAGCCTGCCTAGGCATGGAATCGGTGATGCGACATATCGGAGTGGGTGGAGGGACAGCCATGGCCATCAACGCCGGATGTGACATCGTCGTGGTCTGCCGCTCGTTTCCGGTCCAGCTTGATGCCATCTCGGGGCTGAAGCTCGCAGTCCAGAACGGCACACTGTCCAAGAATAGGGTCTATGAATCCCTGGCAAAGGTCTTGAAGATGAAGTCGAAATGCACGTCGTGGGAGAAGGCGCTGAACCCGATGAGCATGGATGCACTTTCCGACCTTCAATTATCACACTCACAACTCTCCCGAACCGCCTACCAACGTTCCATCACTCTGCTTCGTGACAAAAGCCACTTTATCCCGCTCGCGGATTCCTCTCGAGACGCCGACGAGATCCTTCTACTGACTCCCCTACTGAAGCCACCTCCCGCATCTGCCGCGAAACAAGAGGATGTGGACGGTCCGGTCAAAGCCTTTCCGGAAAATATGTTTCAATGCAGCCTAGCGGTCATGCAAGGAGAAGAAACGTTCACTGAATTCGGGCGGCTTCTCGCTCATCGCCTTGGGCGCAAGCTTTTACATGCTTCTTATACCGCACAGGGGGTCCGTCCCGTGCACCAGAACCTGATCAGCCGGGCTAGCACGGTCGTCATCGTGGCAGCAGACGCCCACCGCAATCATTACCAGTCGGGGTTCACCAAACACGTGGCGATGCTGTGCAACTCGCAGTTCTGCGCAAGCAACGAAAGAAGAGAAAAGCCTCTGGTTGTGGTCTCGGTCGGTTCCCCCTACGACTTTTCCATGGAAAGGTGCGTTGGGACGCACATCTGCACATTTGACTTCACGCGAGGCGCACTCGAGTCTCTGGTGGACGTCCTCGTAGGCGCTCAAGCCCCAAGTGGGACCCTTCCAGGGGTCGGCAAGAGGCAGCAACTGCTCTCCAAGGCAGCACAGGCACAGCACTGGCTAGTGGAACATTGGTCTCAGGACAGAGATGGGAAGGCGCTGGACGACCTGATCAGGGCAGTGGTCAAGGCCACACCGTCCCAACGACGGTCGTCGCTCGCCGGGACCACGTCGGACTCGTTCTGTCTGCGTAAAGAGCATATTGAAGAGGCGCATTTCGTGGTGCGAAACAGCAGCACTCAAGCACTCTATGGCTTCTGCTCGACCTATTTTTACCGAGACTCCGGCACCGGAGTGATCGGGGCCTTGTTCGTTGACCCAACCAGACGCAATCTCTCGATTGGCAATTCCCTCCACAAGAGGGCCAAACAGGCACTCCTCGGGCGACCGGGCGTCAAGTCGATCCAGCTCGGATCCGGATTTTCCACCGTTTTCTCAGGGCTGCCAGCGGATGACCCGGGAGAAAGACAGCGACTACGAGAATGGTTCGGCAAACGAGACTGGCATATTTCCAACCCGGTCCTCGCACACAGGATGAGACTTGGACACCTTTCGAAGTGGGCGCCGCCCATGGGTATGCTAGGCGCCGTTAGAGATCTCGCAATCGGTTATGACACTGTCTCCGATCCTGGAAGTGCAGCCGACATTCTCAGTTACGTCGAAAGTCATGCGACCCCAGGCGAGGTGGAATTGTACAAGATGGGCTTGGCCGAGTACAAGGCCTATCCGGTTGTTCGTGCTCGGAGCCTTGGGGATGGCTCTGTTGTTGGGTGCGCCATCATGTGCGACGGTCGTTCGCTCCTGGCGCGGTTGTTACCCGTCCTACAGGATCCGAATGACACTGCTGGAGGGTTTCTGTCCCCGATCGTCTCCCCCATCGGCCGCGAAGTCGTCCTGGTACTGCAGGGGCTGCTGCTCTACGGAATCCGGCGTCTCAAAGCCCAAGGGTTGACAACCTGCATCGTAGACATGGTAGGTCCTTGAGAGGTCGAATTGTGCCATATTGCTGACCGCCGCCCCGCAGGTATCAGGGGAATCCAGGATCCAGGCCGTCGCCGCCATGGGCTTCGAGGTCCTCCATAGCTTTGAGGGAGGCATCCGGCTTTGCCCAAAATCTGTGAGATTCTTCATTGCCCTTTTGCTTTTTCCGATTCGTGAGAACACTGCTGATGCTTGCTCCATAGTAATGGTGGTATAACCATACTTCACTCAATAACGTCAAGCATGTAAACGAGGTTTGTCAAGGCTGTCCATGCTACTTGGGGTCTGTGACGATATCTGTGACTCCGATGGCGGACCGTGGACTGTACTGACAGAGAGAGCGCGTGGGGAACAGTGCACGCTGTGCTCATCGTCAAGCCAACTGGTCAGCTGCTCGGCTGGTTTTCAAGTCGTAATCGTCATTCTGCAGTAAGCAATTCCAAGTGATCATGGAGAATAGAATGTGACGTCGACCCAGAACCGAGAACATCGAAGGATCTACACTTCCACCAACCTGGTTGTTTGTACATTACTACGCTGCGCCTTCCGCTCAGATGTACAATGGATCATCCTTCCTGCCACTATTGCATCTGGAGCCCAGGAACGTCTGCTCCTCCCCAAGGTCACCATGTACGCTGAGTTCTCCCGAGGTCGAATGTTGAAAGCTTCAGTCGGCACTGCGTCCGCAGATACTCAGCAATTCATATGTTAGTCGCGCTGCGCCGTGCTGTGGAAAGAGAGGTTGACGGTCGATAAGATCAATCATCCAAGGCGCATCTGCATTAGTGGGTGCCCTCGCGGATAACTTCGAACTTTCGATGGACTGTTATCTGGATGAACAAAATAATTGGCAGCCTTGGAAGGAGAGGACGGGGACACTGTGCCGCCTGGTTGCTTTCAATTTGTAGGACTTCCCTGGTTATCATTCCCAGGGCTCGCCAATCAGCTCAAGGGGGGCGCCAGTGGTGGAGGGTGGGAGTCACTGCATAGTCACTGGCCCGAGGCTCTTGTATACATGATGAAGTTGATTATTTTGACTCTATTTCGACTTGGATATATGTCGAAGTTGAACAGACTTTTCTCACCACTCTGTAACCACGAGGTTTGTGAAGGATATATTTTAGGCCTCAATATCATCTCGAAGTTCGGCATAACCAGTTCACCACTCGGGTTCAAAGCGAAAGCTCGTCGCATCTGTTGTCAACAAGGATTGTGCAAACAATGCCATGATGGAAACCGCCGGCAGAGGAGGAAGAGCGAAGAGAGTGGCTTCGTATTTGATACGAATGTGCGGGTCGACGTGAAGCTCATTGTGCTGCTATGCACGTTAAAGGCCCACGCGCACCTCTTAACGCGTTGTTGAGGTCGACGAGCGAACCGGGGTGAGTACAGGGCGGCGTCATCATCTTTCCATAACGGGCCACCATGGCTTGGCACGACTTTTTTTGTTTTGATAGAGCGATGAATGTTTGACTGCGCTCGTCGAGCATAACGTCAATCAAGACACAACAGTGAGCAGCCTACGACAGCCTCAGGCAAGATGTCTTTGTTAATCGGGTCTCATGACTCCCTACCATGTGAGTTTTCTGTCTCACTTTTCCTGCACCTACTAACCTGCAGCAGACATTGACCGTGAACCCACCGATGCTGAGAAGGACAGAGTCCGAGCATTGATCAACAGAGAGCTACCTGCCGACTACCTCACCACTCCGCATTCATCTCTTGGCCCTCTCTCTGAAACCAAATTCTCCGAGTTATTCTCCAAGGAAATCGAACGAGTCGCTGCAGGTCAGCCTATGGAGGGAGGGATTGACATGGCGAGATATGAAGCACCTGAGAACGAAGACCTCGATACTACCGACCCAAAGGCAAACCGATTCGCGCTACGGCAGGCGTACATCGCAAGCACGTTCCTTTCGGGCAGAACAACCAACCTCCAACTCCTGGACGAATTTGGCAAGAACGCTTGGCTTGTCAGCAATTCCCAGGCCGAAGAAATTCTGCAGGATCTAGAGCGAGCGCTTGCCAGGGTCAAAGCCGAAACAGACGAACTCAACAAAGCTCGAAAAGCTGCTCAAGAGGCACACAAGGGGGAGCTTCTCGGTTTGCAAGACACCTGGAAGCGAGGGGTAGGCCAGATTCTCGAAATCCAAGTCGCGACAGACGAGCTACGGCAATTGATCTATGACCGGCAGCATCAACTGCCTGCGCATTGAATGTCTCGGAGCCAACAAAAGCAACACATCTCAGGACAGGAACACCGGCCTGCATGACTCTAGCTCCGAAAAGGATCAGGATTCAGATGCAATGTCCTCAATCAGATGCGGAGAATGCCCGTCGATGGATTCTCGGGTTAGACGTGGGCGAGCCGCCTCCGCCTATGCGAACCATGTCTTCTGGCCTTCCCAACCACACATTTCCAAAATCGTAATCCGGCAATTCCCAACAAGTCACATTCGAAAATTAGCAGAACCTTCCCCGAAGTCTTCTATCCGTATGCGTGGCTCAAAAAGAAAGGCCCATCGTTGAATGAACAGAAATGGCGCGGACTAGGGCAATCCGAGAGAAGTGGATATCGGCCTAAGAATATCTTTAGATACCGGATGTGCCGACAGCATCTACTCTGAGAGAGGGGCCATATCAGGTGAGCCAATCCTGCAGCAGGTTGTGAGGTGAGCACCGCATAGCCTTCGTCTGGAGATGGATCAATTCTGATCCCGGGGCTTATGTGGAGAGGTCTGTCCCACTGGGATGTCCTCTGCAGTCTGAGGTTACTTGCATGGCCTGCCTTACCGGATGGAGCAGCCAATGCACGAATCTTGCGAGGTCCATCCCTGCTCCATCTACCTACTGTCTCGTCCTGACAGGCTACGAAGCTGAACCGCATTATTTACTCCAATATCACTTCTCGAGATGCGGAACGAGACTAGTTCGATATTCCCCCGCAATTTCAACCCCAATTTTACCGTCTCGCGGCTTGATCAACGGCCACTATCGCTTCTTTCGGCACTTCATCTTTCATTTTTCATCCAGGACTTTATCCATTTGAACCACGACACGCAACGACCATGCTTACCATGCTGTGCCGCAGGACACCTTTGCCTGCTGGCTCTCCCCCGCATTTCCTGCATTACCGCTCGCACTGGCGGACGGGTGGGGCGTCATAGCCGTTCAATCCGTCGGTCCCGTTGGCTTAGTTCACAAATGTACGCTCGACTTGTGCCACCATCACAGCTCTCCTCGACCTCCTCTCTGTGCCATGGTCAGCAAGGTAATGATCTCCAGAGGTGACTTTCCTTTCGAGCCGGGAGCCACGGCAGGGGTTTTCGGCGCTCTTCTGCAACTTCGAATGACTCGAGACCCTCGATGTCGGCTGGACACGCAACACTGTGCATTGCTCGCTGGAGCTAGCTTATTTGCCTTGCCGCAGTCGCTGGCGCTAGCTGTCTACAGATCCATGCAAGGACCGCCTGCTGCTGCCGCCGTCTTACCAGGATCTTGAGCTGCAGCTCCATCACCTTTTCTCATACCGTGTTGGTGGCATGAAAGTATCCCGACTCATGTACCTCTCTCGTTACGACGCCCCTCGGCCTATCTCACAGCATTCTGCCAATATACCTCCTCTCCCAGCCCGCATTCACACCCCAGCAGTTGTGGTCTTATGGCTCAAACCCCGCATCTCGGTCGAATCAGCGCCCGGTTAGAGGTGCATCGAGGTGATCAGCTTACAAGGATTCCAGGTGCACAGCCCAGACCTCTCCTCACTTGAGCGACGCGTCGTGCATGAGACCCCTCCCCTCCTCTCTACCGAGAGGTGGAGAGGATTGTACTTCGAGAGACTTATATCTTGAGATGTTGTCCTCTCTTCCTCCTGTTCCTCTCCTCCTCCAGCCTGCTCCTGGTAGAGCAAAACAGACCTTCTTCCATCTCTGAAATATCGTTCATTCATCTCACCGCAATCATGACTGTCCCCGACGAGGTTGATATCATCGTGTGTGGAGGTGGCAGTTCAGGATGTGTTCCTGCTGGACGTCTTGCCAACCTGGACCACAAACTCCAGGTCCTCCTGGTTGAGGCCGGAGAGAGCAACCTCAACAACCCCTGGGTCTATCGTCCTGGCATCTACCCAAAGAATATGAAGTTGGACTCCAAGACAGCTACTTTCTATTACTCCCGCCCCTCTGAGTACCTGGATGGACGTCGAGCTGTTGTTCCCTGCGCCCATATCCTCGGTGGAGGCAGTTCGATCAACTTTATGATGTACACCCGGGCGTCAGCAAGTGATTATGACGACTTCAAAATGAAGGGATGGACGACCAAGGAGCTGATTCCGTTGATGAAGAAGCACGAGACATACCAGCGTGCTTGTAACAACCGGGATCTCCACGGGTTCGAAGGCCCGATCAAGGTCTCGTTCGGCAACTACACCTACCCCATCATGCAAGACTTCCTCCGAGCAGCTGAGAGCTTGGGCTTCCCAGTCACAGATGACCTTCAGGACCTCGTTACCGGCCATGGTGCTGAGCATTGGCTGAAGTGGATCAACCGAGACACTGGTCGACGTTCTGATGCCGCCCATGCGTACATCCACGCTACTCGTGCCAAGTACCAGAACCTCCATCTTCAATGCAACACAAAGGTCGACAGAGTCGTGATCGAAAATGGCACAGCTGTCGGTGTCATCACCGTGCCTACCAAACCTATTGGTGGTAAAGATGTTCCTCGCAGGTTCTTCAAGGCCCGCAAGCTGGTCATTGTCAGCTGCGGTACTCTGAGCTCACCTCTTGTGCTCCAGCGATCTGGTATTGGTGACCCAGAGAAGCTCAAAAAGGCTGGTGTCAAGCCTATTGTTGAGCTCCCAGGGGTGGGTCTCAACTTCCAGGACCATTACCTCACGTTTGCCACCTACCGAGCTACTCCAGACACCGAGTCTTTCGATGACTTTGCTCGAGGTGTTCCCGAGGTCCAAAAGGCCGTCTTTGATGAATGGAACCTCAAGGGTACGGGTCCACTGGCCACCAACGGCATCGAAGCTGGTGTCAAGTCACGCCCTACTGAGGAAGAACTTGAGGAGATGAAGAGCTGGCCAACACCAGACTTCAGCCCAAGCGGATGGGAGAGCTACTTCAAGAACAAGCCAGACAAGCCAGTCATGCACTACAGTGTCATTGCTGGTTGGTTCGGTGACCACTTGGACATGCCCGCCGGCAAGTTCTTCACCATGTTCCACTTCTTGGAGTATCCCTTCTCTCGTGGCTTCACGCACATTACCTCTCCAGATCCATACGAGGCTCCTGACTTCGATGCTGGGTTCATGAATGACAAGCGTGACATGGCACCGATGGTTTGGGGCTACATCCAATCTCGTGAGACTGCTCGGCGCATGCGAGCCTATGCTGGTGAGGTCACCGCGATGCACCCTCACTTCAAGTTCGATTCACCTGCTCGTGCACTGGATATGGACTTGGCTACGCGCAATGCCTATGCTGGTCCCAACCACATCACTGCCAACATTCAACATGGTAGCTGGACCGCCCCACTTGCGTCAGGCAAGGCCACAGAGCCCAACTGGCTCAACTCCAACTGCCAGGAAGACCGCTCTGGCAAGCTCAAATACACCAAGGAGGACAGTAAGTAGCATTCGAGCATGAGGTTGTCACTTTGCTAACCCAGTCCCAGTCGCGCTGATCGAGAAATGGGTCCAACGCCACTGCGAGACTACCTGGCACTCTCTTGGAACTTGTAGCATGGGTCCAAAGGATGGCAATGACGTCGTCAAGCATGGTGTCTTGGACGAGAGATTGAACGTCCACGGCGTCAAGAACCTGAAAGTGTCTGATCTCAGTGTCTGTCCCGACAACGTTGGCTGCAACACTTTCTCGGTAAGTGCAAAATTGTACTTTTGTTGATACCATACTGACATGCTCATAGACTGCCCTACTCATCGGTGAGAAGTGTGCTGTCCTTGCTGCTGAGGATCTTGGCTACAGCGGAGCTGCTTTGGACATGAAGATCCCAACATACCACGCACCTGGCGAGTCTGTTGGCCTTGCTCGGTTGTAGATGGATGAAAAGTGTTCGGGGATGGGTGGACGACGCCACTGCTCCCCCAGCGCCGTGATCATGACTTTGAAGAATTGATCGCTCGTTCCAAATAGCTGTGCGTTGAGGATCATGAATTTACGCCATGTATGACCACGCAACATAGTCAATGAAACCCCGTCATTCAGGAAGACTAGCGCTGTGTGAGTCTCTCGACTTAAATTATGCTGCTAAAACCAACTACGATGGCCTGTATGGTAAGTGACAGAGGCCAGGCACACCTAGGCATCCCACATCACCAACCCCTGCCAGCTATGCCGGGGTTCCCCTCGGACCTGGATCTACATAGTAGCGATTTTGGGCTCACTGAGGTAGGCTTCCCAACTTTCTATTCACAAGGGTTCCGAGGAGTCAGAGGGAGTCGTTGAGACAAGGTGAAATGACTGAAACATGTCGCAGTCGAGTTAAGGGGGGAAGAGGATGAAGTTCTGTGTACATTGAACCAGTTGGGAGGAATCAATTGGAAGACAGTTGTGAAGCTGAGACGTACCTTCACGATCCTACACTTCTCTTTCCTCTCTGCTCAACCCATAAGTACCTCCTGCCCATCTGCTTCCCCCCTCCAAACCCCCTCCTCAAAACAGATACTGACTTCGGAAGCCTGTTACCTCTCCTGTGGACAGGAAAAGTGCCCTGGCCACCACGGCCTTGTCTACACTGGGTCTTCAAGGTGGACGCCCACGTCACAGAAGTACTATTCTGAAATATATATATCCATACGAGCATCACCGTCGGTCAACGAGTCGCACAATGAGCTCACAACCCCGACCCATGCCACTGTTCGATGAGTGCCATGTCGATAGGGCGTCCACGAAACGGCAGCGCAGGATACAGCTCACAACATCCGAGCAAGTGACTCATTTGTGGACAGACCTTGCTTCCTTGCTTTGTCCGAGTTCTGCGTGCAAAAATGGCTTGTGAAGATGCCTCAAAGACCTGCCTATATCGGCAAGAGCCCTTTTTTCCAGGCATCATTCCCCCAGGGCTTCGTTTCTACAACGGTATTTCACGAGAGCTCTGTTTGTACTAGATTGGTCGACTTGACGCTCGAGCGGATCGATGACCAACTGCAAATCGCACAACCTCTCTAGCTTATCATCACATCCAACACCTAACGGTTCTGCAACGGCCCTTTCATGCTTGAATGAAAGGGATCCTATCCAGGTTGCAAGAGTTCCTCAACAATCTCAACAACCTCGAGACCTTGAGACCAATCTTGATCGGTTTATCTGGCTATGGAAGTTTGCCGACCGGGTGGCCAACGTGTCAGTTGGTTTCAAGGACGGCTGCTGAGAGTAAGAAGCAATGGGTGCCAGTGGAGTACAGGTACACGAATCACCCACGCCTCGACTCGTCCACCGACCGTAAGTCTACTTCTTTGTCCGCTGAGTTGAGCCCATTTGTATGTGTACAGTTCCCGAGGATCGCTCTCATATTCCAGATGTACTTGTCGAAGGAGCCTTGAAATGGCGTCCTCGGCACATGCGAGACAAAGCCGATCAGCTACTTTACGAGGTTGCGGATCCCGAAATCAGGTAATTCAGGCCTACCGGCCAGAAAACGTGGGACACAATCCGCAACAAGCAAACACTTTGATCCTCACAGCATTGGCAAACCAGAAAAGCACATGGCAGGAGTGTCGGTATAACTGACGCAAGGCTGCTTGGGATATCCATCCAGTCGCTTCGGTGATTCACCTCCCCATTTCGCGGTTGCGAGAGGTTTCGATGCGTCCCGGGGTTTTGTACTGACTCACGCTAGACGGGACAACGACGCCTATCTTCCTCCCTCTCGCAACCATTCGCACTCTCCCTCGTCCATGTTTCCCACCCTTGGCCCGCGTCTTCTCGTAACCATGCCGCGTCTTGGCAACTATCAACGATGGTCCAGCCACCTTTGTACGCTTCTCGGCGGCGTACGATTCCCAACCCTTCTTGGTGCTGAGCATTGCTAACGGTTACGAAGCTTCCGGGCGACGATGACGACGAAGAACCGTAGCAGCCTGACTGGAGAGATAGTAGCGACCAACTCCGGTTTGAGGCGGTCACGTCCTACACCCTGTGACTTCTCTTCCTCATCTATTGACTCACTTCACAAATGTCTCGGGACGATTCTTCTGCGGAATGGCGCGAAGCGTCTGTGTCACATTCGATCATCTACCCTCTGAAGACTGGTCCCAGTCGCGGACGCCAGATATTCTCACAACGATATGGATGTGGCCAGCAACTGTACATCACCGAAGTTCATGGTCTTTTCGGTATCTCACCTCCTGAATTCATCCAAGGTCGCTCGGAGCTGGCCTCCTAATTACGAAGAGCAGCGTGTCCTCGGTCTAATTCCAGTGGGGCACGGCGAGGAGAAGATGAAAAGTAAGAACCCGTCGTTAACGTTCGTAACCTCGCTAACTGTTCTCGCGTAGTGCCGCGGCCATCGGAAGACGAAGCTTACTGGATCCAGATTCACGGGGTTGAGAATGCAGAACGCGAGTTGATCCCTTTCGTAACTGACTTTTGCAGCATGCAGCAAGTGTAAGCTGGCAAGGTCTTTGCGTGCGGCAAGTGAGCTGCCGGCCTCACATTTCTCGATGACAACTTCTGAGACCAGCTATCTCTGTTTCTATAGCATTGTCCACGGACTGGCTGTACATACTCGAGTTAGCGACGTGAGCTCCACCTCCTCTTCCCGACCCTATCGACGTTTCCCTCCGGCAGGAGGATAGAGATCACTTGGCTGCTGTGATCAATAGCGGCGTGCAGGCGTTGGTTCTCAGGCACGCGGAGGAGTGTAGATTACTGCGAGAGCAGAATGACCTCCTCCGTTGGCTCGGTGAGCTCGTTCGCTCTCATGCGGTTAGTTGTAAAGGTCTGAAGCAGAACAAGATTGTTGTGAACCATTTGAAATTGCACAGGGTGAGTCGCTGGCAATACAAGCCGGAGACAGGCAGCAAGTGGTCTTTTCTCCAGCTCTGTCGGCACCATCGGAACTGGGAGACTTTCAGTTGCTCGCAGGCACTTGTCGAGCGTCTATTGCAGCAAGCTTTCATTTTACGGATCGAGGGAAATGCTACAGTGCAGCCGTTCCAGCTGAGTCTCTGAGACAGACACTGTCATAAGGTACGAAACCTTTCAAGAAGAGCCGTGGAAGGGCAGAATAGGCTTCTGAACCTCGTGCGCAGTTTGTAGATTTTTTTCTGTACGGAAATGGCAATGACGGCAAAATGGCCGCATGATGCCAGAACCCGTAGACTACTCCTGGAGGATTTGCAGGAACAGATGAGACATATAAGGAGTGCAGGTCTTCAAATGAGCAACTTTGTCGTCAGTCCGAGACACATACCCAGCCGTCAACAAGGGCACACGCAAGCCTGACGGCAAGACGCAAGAAAGCCGCATCGGCCAGAAGGGGTCCGAAATCTACCTCCGAGTGTTGACAGTCTTTGATGCCGCCTCGATGGCTTGCTCAGCGAGCTGTGCCATACAATTTTGCTTCGGACATGGGAGGATCGCCCGGGCAAGAACTTGAGTCCATCTTGTATCGACACCATACGAGCGGCAACGCCACAGGACGTGGCTGAGAAGAAGTTTAGGGGGGAGACAAGGGCAAATGGAGGAAGTGAGGATAGCGCGGTTTAACTAGAGATATGGCAATTGCAGGTCGTCGGAATTGTACAGCATAATCGAGGTAGACTTGTCCATATTTCGACTGATGGGGATAATATAAGCTGGGAGTAAAGTTGGGCACTGTTTGGATAGCCACGATAGCTTACCACTCACTTTCTTCCTGATCGTCCCATTGAGATGAACCCCTCATTATTGTCCTTATTGACCGTCCACCATGCTTATGCCATGCGTTGTCCACAATTCAATACAGTTGTCGAAGTACAGTAGGTGAGCAGTCACGAGTGAGCATGGCCGGCTGTGGCATCCAGGCTTGCCGGGGTGGTGATGAGGAGAAGATGAGGATCGAGACCCAACGTTTGTTTGACTGGAGTGACACCGAAGATCATGCAAGCTCCCCTGTCACTCCTCTCCTTCTCACCAACCCGCATCGAGCTCCATGGCAATCTCACCTCCACTGGGTGTTTTCCATGCGGACTTCCCGTCTTCAGGGATCCCAATCATCCCAGCAGCGTCCAGCAATCAGTGGGGGCAGCTTCGCCTGTGGAATGGCATCGACGCCTCCGATGTCATCGGTTTTGTATCTCCTGGCGAGTCACGTTCTTTCTGCAAGTCTGAGACCTTGTCCATCGAGGATTCCTTTCCCTGGATCGAACCACCTCCCGTGCCACCGCCAGGACCTCCACTGACCTCCCTGTTCTCCTAACGCAGAAGGGCACTGCCCCCGGCCTCAAGGATCTCCGAACCACAAATATCCAACGTCTCGATTGGACAACGAAGACAAGAAGGACTGTTGGCCTGTCTTAACCATGTTCCCTTGAGGTCATTGTTTGTCCCTGGCGCCGGCCATCAGTTACTCGCTATGTGCCTTGATTTTCCCAGAGGTCATATTGTTGTATCATATTGCTATCTGCGCTCTACAATCTCGTGCTTTGTTTGGGTTCAAAAGTCCATACTCTGTACTGTTATACTTGCATACCGTCCAAGTCTATCTGACATTAATGTATTTTTGATTTTTCGTGGTGTTTGGCTCGTGTTGTTGAATCCGCCACCGCGCATGGCCTGTCTCACTTGCTAAAGACACAGCCACCCTGATTATATACCTACCAGACACACCTATATTTCCCGAATGGCATCGCCAGAACCGCAAATTTCCGGCGAAACCTCAGGTTATTCCACAACACCGGCTCTTGTGCCTACATACTCTTCGAATCATTCTGGTCGACGAAGCCCCGATCCAGACAGAGCACGAACGGACCAAGACATTATTCCCTCGCGCAACGACGACGACGAACACGAACACGGAGCTCAACCTCTGCGAAGAAACTCTGCTTTTCTCGAAGTCGGACTCGGTGGCAACGATGCGATCGTGGACGCGAAGCTGAAAGACGGCCCGCGACCGAGACTGCAGGTTCGCTTTCGAAGTAAAGTCGACGTTGTCGAGCCTGATCCTGCCGACTGTGTAGACTCCTTTCCGGCAAACAGGCGAGCGACGGAGCAGATGCCTTTCTTCGTCCCTACCCTACCGAGGCTGCTCTTCCTGGCCTTAGTGATCGTCCTGATCATCCCGAGTCTACATACCACACCTTTATTCAAAGTCGATGCCAATCCTGTCGGGACAAGGCCTGGACCGTTGGAAAATGTGCAGGTGCCACGCAGCAAGAGAGAGCTACCTGCTCCCAATAATGTGAAGAGAGAAGATAGTCCTACCGACGTGTGCAAAAGGTGGGCAGGACAAAGTGCCGTGGTCAATGGCACGTTATACTATTACGGAGGCAGATCGACCACGTCTACCGACCAGACGACGAACGAATGGAGTATGTTATTTCCCACTCACACCCTGAATATTGAATATGAGCTTCATTGACTGACGAACAATGGCGCACAGCTAATGATTTCCTCGCTGTCAACTTGACAAAATCATGGCAGATCTCGACGCCATCACTGACGGGCCTGCCAGTCCCAAGCGGACCACCCGCAGTTTCGCTAGGTTACTTGTGGAATTCATTCGACGCTCTATATTTGTACGGCGGTGAATTCTCAGACAGCCCTGCCGAGTCACCCGTGCCCTTTTCCACGTGGTCTTACGACATCTCCTCTTCCTCCTGGACGGAATTGTCGAACCCGAAAACGAGCTCTGGCGACAACTCGGAGCCCGCAAACCAACCGGTCCAACGCGCAGCCGAAGGCGCAGGCGTGTCTGTCCCCAGCATCGGCCGCGGCTTCTACTTCGGCGGCCATCTCGACGGCTACACCACGCCCGGCTGGTCGCAGTCGATCGCGCGCGTCTACATCAAAGGCCTCCTCGAATACACGTTCCCAGGCTACACCAACGACGCCGTGTCGAATACCGGCACGGCGGGCTCGGCTGGGATCTACCGCAACATCACAGAAGGCGGGGTGCAGGACTCGAGCGGGTTCCCGGAACGTGCCGACGGCGTGCTCGTCTACGCGCCGGGCTACTCGAAGCAGGGCATCATCATCGGGCTGGCGGGCGGGACAAACGCGACATTCACGCAGATGAACGTGATCGACGTGTACGACATCGCGAGCTCGACGTGGTACAAGCAGGCCACGAGCGGGCCCACGCCCGAGATCCGAGTCAACCCGTGCGCCATCGCCGTGTCCGCGGCCGACGGCACCTCGACGCAGGTGCACATGTACGGCGGTCAGAACCTGGTGCCCTACGGCGAACAGGTCCAGTACGACGACATGTGGATCCTGACGGTCCCGAGCTTCACGTGGATCAAAGTCGACACGAGCGACCAGGCCACTCCCGGTCCCCGTGCCGGACATACCTGCAACGTGTGGAACGCGCAGATGGTCGTCGTGGGGGGCTACGTCGGGCAGGGCTTGTCCTGTGACAGTCCCGGTATCTACGTGTTCAACACGAGCAGTCTGACGTGGCAGAACGGCTACTACGCGCTGAACAGCGACGATGATTTGAATCGTCAAAAGAGCCAGCAGGACGACGCTTCGGCGTTGCAGGGCAGCTACGGGTACGAAGTCCCTCTTTTGGTGCAGAGCGTGATCGGCGGCAACGGCGTCGGCAAAGCAACAGTCACGGCGCCCGCGCAGACAGCGACCCAGGGCCCCCTCGCGACGGGCCAGCCGCTCACGTACAGCGTCACAGCGACCCCCGGGGCAAGCGGGACGAGCAGTCCGAGCAGTGGCAACGGCGGGAGTGGATCTGGCAGCGGCGGTGGCAGTAGTGGCGAAGGCAGCAGTGGCGGTGGTGGGACCAATACCGGCGCCATCGCCGCGGGCGTTATTGCGGGCTTGTTCGCCGTGCTGGCCGCGTACCTGGGCTTCTGCGTCTGGCTGTACCGCAAGCAGCTCAAGATCTACAAGAACCATGTGTTTATGGCGCAGCGCCAGCATCTGTCCGACGATCCACGGTACATTGGCGGCCACGCCGGAGCAGCCGGAGCAGCCGGTGCAGCAGGCGGCCTCGCGAGCAGCCAGAAGTACAGCGACAAGAGCCAGACGGACAGCCGGAACAGCGCGGACAATCGCTCCGGCAATGGCAGTAGCAGGTCCGCCCGCGCGAACCAGTTGAACAGTAATAATCCCTACAGAAACGTGCCGGGCGGGGCGGGCAGCGCGACGGCCGCGAGCAGTACCGAGGACTTGATGGCAGGGCAGGAGCCGAGTTTCTTAGGTGTCGTGTTGAATCCCAGACGCAGTCTCAGGGTTGTTAATAGGGACTAATGTCTTAGCCTGCGTGCCTGCGAAGGGAAAACCCACGGGTATGATGTTTATGAATTTTTGCTTCTGGTAGGATGGAAGAAGGTTGCTGTGTATTGAATAGGATAGGACACAACCTGGAATCTACCACACGGTATATACGCAAATGGCAATGCACATGCATGGAAAAGAAAGCATTTCAGGTGAACCATCAAGCTGTGGAATTCGAGCTCGTTCCTATCAATTCTAGACTTGTGCCGCCATGTGTGAGTAGGACTCTGATAGTATGCCTCACAATCTCTCCCCATTTTCGCATCTGGAGCTTGTCTTCAGCCAAAATCGACACCACCTGTCTCGATGCTGCTCCGCTTCCGCCCTTTCTGTGCGTCCGTTCTTTTGTCCTTGTCTCTAGTCACGCCCACTTTCGGTGAGCCACTCCCCTTTGAGAGCCAGGAGAGGCCACGTCTGGCTTGATCCTTATTTCCTAATGGTCACATGCATTCGGCTTTTTCTTCTAGAAATGGTCCTTGAGCTTCTTCGCAATGTATGGTGGCAGTCCATGACCAGTCAGGCCGATCACGATGGGTGCTGTCTGGCTCCACTTGTCTCTTGACTCTGTCGACACATTTCTCCAACATTCCGACGACGTCGGCGAGCCACGGGTCGAACATTCGCTGCATCATGCTTCCGCTAATAGTGATCCTGTCGTCGCTTGTCGACAAATCGACGTCCCCACGATGCCTCCGACAATAAGCCTTGTTGAAGTGAGGACGAAAGCTGGATTCGTGATGCTCGTAATCATAGAGCTGCTTTGCTGCATCAAAACCCTTTACAAATGCCTCCAAAACATCATTTTCACTTCCTTGCAAGCCGTCACACAACTCCGACACACCGCGTTGTTGATTCAATTCTTGCTTGAATCTTTCAGTGAGCTTCTGTGAACCTCCAGAAGTCTCAATGCCAAGGATCGTTTCTGTCAGCCTCGGAAGGCAATGGTGTTTGTCATCGGCGACGAAGCGAAAGGTATGGCAGGAGATGTCTGTGGCGCCACCTCCAAGGTCTGCAATAATGGCGAGTTGTTGTCTGGTGATCTCCTCGATGTTTTCCGAAGTTGTGTAATCGAAGAACGGAGGCGGGACATCCAGCATATCCTCATCATCTTGATCGTACGGATCCGTGATTGAAAGGCAACGGAGAAGTCATGTTTGTGTTGTCGACTCGCGAGAGAAGCAAGGACGAGTCTAGATATCGGTGGGATGATGGTGGAAGTTTGCAAGAAGAAGCTCTTTGTTTTGAGGAAAACAAACGGATTGAAAGACAAACAGGCGATAAGGCAGTGAAAACTCTGCATGGTGGTGAGGGAGTAAATTTCGTCGGCAGTGAATGGCAGTGAATGCTCATTGTTATAGTTGGTGCCCTCTTGGTATGAGGCTCTAGTGTAATGGCGGTTGTGGTCGGCGGTCTTCCTCGGCTGAAGGAGGAGAGGCATTTCGTTGAAGACAGCGTAGTCGATGGTTGTAGATGATGTGATCAGCATTGTGTATATACAGCCTGTATTTTCAGGTATTCGAGGCTCTGCTGTTAGTAAGATTGATAATGATTCCCTCCTGGAGTATAAGTGAGATAGGCTATCCTCGGTTTTAAGTGTCATCCTCGTTGTAGAAGACTTTTAGAGTATTCCAAACAAACCACCTATATTTCTAGACACTTGTGGCTCTACTGTTTGTCAGAATGGTGATAGGGATCTCACCGAACCTAATCTCAATGTTGAGCTGCCTGGTATAGACGAGATCCTGAGTGATATAAAGGGCTCCAAAGCGCTTAGAATCCTACCTATATTCTCGACTGTTGAAGCTCTACTATTGCGAGAATGATCAGAGAGTCCTGGTCGGTCGTAGTCGCGACCGCTGAGTCCTTTTGCTAGGAGGCTTTCCAAAGAGCAAGAGACCGAAAGGAGAAGGCAGACGCCAGAAGGGTGAAAGGAGGTCAAGCTAAGGTACCTGCGTATAGGTAGTGTGTACATACCTAGGTATGCAGCTTCAGCTAAGCTTTTGAGTGTTCCTGTCCTCGAGTCCCTGACCAGATCCATAAGCTAAGCCTAGTGCAGCCTAGTGCAGCCCAACTACCGAGGCCCAGGCTAACAGGCATTATGCACGTGACCATGCCAGGCCTAGATTGATCAATTGCCGACAAACACGACCTTTTTTCAACCCCACCATCACCATTTACCACTGTTCTCATCAATTTCGACCGGTGGAGGGGAAGCAGAAAGGAGGAAGCTGGTCTGATCATTTTGATCTGTTGTCCCACTAACTGCACGTCCGCACCGTCCGCCCACCGTCTTTTTCTCCGTCTCTTCTTCCCAAATGCCGTGTGTGACCGACTGACTGTGTGTCCATGTCCATGCGTGCCGTACTGAATCGGCCCGCTCAGCAAACTTGATGCTTCTATCTTACTGGTCTGCACGGCACCTTTGCCGAAAACCCCTCGACTTCGAAAGCCTCTGCACGCCTTCGACGCCTCTGCCAACCGTCAATGTCAGTCGACGCCCTGGTGCAGGCCGGAAGGCGTGGTAGGGTCCAGGGGACACACCGCAAATCTGTCGTGAAAGTTGACTTTCTACTAACGTAGGTCGGTCGGTCTGTTCGTTTTTGTTCTCATGCTCGTGCTCGTGCTCGTGCTCGTGCTCATCCCCAATCCTCATCCTCAACTATCATCCTCGATATCCGCTGCGTTTTTCTCTCTCTATGCCCTTCGCTCTTCATGCTAGTCAGTATAGACTCTTAAAGACAGTCCAGTCCACGGACCTTCTCTCTTCCCTCTCATGAAGACGGTTCTTCCCAGTCTTCAAGATGGCACACCCTGAAAAGTCCATACCTCCCGTCATCGCCATATCCCAATATGACTCTCCTACCCAGTCGCACTCCAGTTCAATCCCCTCCGAAAGGGAATTCTCCTCATCCGCCGACCGCTCCCCTACCTCATCCGAATCAGACCACGACGACGAGCGAGCACTCACATTAACCGCCACCCAGACCTCTCGCCGCTCACAATCCCAATCCATCGCCCTCGGCCGGACAGTCACTCGAATAACGACCCGCGGCACCGCATTTACCTCCGATCCCAGGTATGAAGTCGACTTCAGCGTCGATGACCCGGACGATCCTCGCAACTGGCCGCTATGGTACAAAGCACTGGCCCTCTTCGCAGTCTCGTTTGGCACCCTCGGCGTCGTCATGTACTCGACCTCATACACAAGTGGCATGCGCCAGATGATGCAGGATTTCGGCGTCGAATCAGAAGCCATTGCCACACTTGGTGTCACACTGTATCTGTTCGGCCTGGCCATTGGCTGTCTGATTGTGGCCCCCATGGCGGAAACATATGGCCGGAAACCGGTCTACACGATATGCGCGGCCATGTTTACCATTCTTGTTATACCGGCGGGACTGGCCAAGGACATCACGAGCATCATTGTCGCCCGTTTCTTTGGCGCCATGTTTGCCAGTGCGTTGATCGCCAACGCGCCTGGTACGATTGCAGACTTGATCAGCGACGAGTACCGCAGTACGGCATTCAGTATATGGAGCATCGGTCCGATGAACGGTCCTGTCGTAGGTCCTGTGATCGGCGGGTTTGTCACGCAGACTCTGGGCTGGCGATGGACGAACTGGATCGTCATGATATGGGCGGGTCTAGCGTTTGCCTTGCTTTTTGTGATCAAGGAGACGTATGCGCCCGTTCTGTTGCAGCGGAAGGCGAAGAAACTGCGCCGTGCTGAGAACGACGAACGGTATTGGTCGCGGTACGATATTCGGGTAGGGTTTGTCGAGCTGATGAAGATCAACCTAAGTCGCCCGTTCGTTATGGCCGTCAAGGAGCCGATTTGCATTTTTTGGAATGTATACATTTCGCTCGTTTATGGTACGTCTCTCCCGGTCGCATATCCAAGGTCGTGCTATGTCGTTGACTAACCCGTTACAGGAATCTTGTACCTCTGTTTCGTCGCGTACCCGATCGTCTTCACCGAAGGTCGTGGATGGTCCGTTGGCTTGAGCGGCCTCTCATTCTTGGGCATTGGTATCGGCACGATGATTATTATAGCTTGCGCCTCGCCGATCCGGAAGATGATCAACTCGCACAAGCCGGATGCAGACGGCAATGTCCCACCCGAGGCCATGTTGAGCATCGTTTGCGTTGCTGCAATCCTGGTACCCGTGGGCCAATTGTGGTTCGCGTGGACTTGCTCACCCAACAGCATTCATTGGGCGTTGCCCATTGCGGCAGGTATTCCCTTCGGGTTCGGCAATGGTGCCGTCTTCATCTACTCGGGCAACTATCTTGCATACAGCTACGGGATCTACGCGGCCAGTGCGATGGCTGGCAATGCGGTGATGAGATCACTCATGGGTGGCACTTTACCGCTCGCTGGCCCGCCGATGTATCGAGCCTTGGGGCCGAATTGGGCGGGGACGCTGCTGGGTCTGCTGGAGGTGTTGATCATTCCGATCCCGTTTTTGTTTTACAGATACGGCGGGCGGATTCGCGAGAAGTCCACTATGATCCGCGAAATGCGCGAGAACGAGGAGCGACAAGAGGCAAAGAAGAGAAAGGCCGAGGAGAGACTGAGGAAGGCCGAGGAGAATGGTGATGAAGAAGAAAAGCAAGAGGCCCAAGTGAATTTGTGTCGTGTCAGGAGCCGCATAGATGAAGAGGCGGACATTGAAGGTTTGGGACTCGAGGGGTTGAATAGTATACAGGGTCTGAACAGGGAGACACTGGAGGACCAATTCCAGGAGAAAAATGTTATAAGGGAGAGGTCAAGAGAAAGGTCGAGAGTGAGAGAAGAAGCGGTACCAGCCGGCCGGGAGAAGAGATGACGAAAGACTACGGGGTTATTCGATCGAGCGGACGGATATGTGAACGAAGATTACATGATTGACGAAGGCCACTTGGAGCCATACGACATCGACCCAGCGTTGCTTGGACACCGAAAAATGGGTACCGGAAAAGATGGGTTTCGCATAGAGGAATTGACTATGGCGTTTTGAGGGCTTGAACAAGGACTGCGAACTAACGTGAACCATGAAGGTTTATAATGTCGATTTGGAGGGCTTCATTTCAAGCATGGCGTTTTTGGGCCGGGAAAGATCAATCACGTTAATCCGTTATGTAGACATTTGGGTTTTTGTTATAGCTTTTTGGAAAAGCCATAATTGGAGTAATTAGGATTCGAGATGGACGGGTTGGGAGAAATGGTAAGGAAGAAATGAAAACACGACCGGTGGGATAGACTGACAAGATGGAAGATAGCAAGGTAGATGGAAATAATAATAAGGTATAAAGTGGACAAAATAAAGTCCGAGAATCATTCCATTTCGTCGTTGAACATTTGTCCGCATTATGATTATCAGGGAGATATAGCCACGACCATCTTCAGCACGCGCAGAACATGGCTACTGTGTAAGGTATATCAGTATCTGATACCCGCCTCAGCCTTGCCAATGCTGGGTATACCACAGTAGTCGATGTTTCCTTGAGTCCCATGTTGGAGCTCGCTCGGGTCTGGGTTGTTTCTCTCGCGAGGGGATCAAACCCTAAACAGGGGTTCCCATGGGGTCTGGCTGTACAGAGAAGAGAGGGCGATCCAGTCTGGGGTATATTTATCGCCATACATTGGTGGTGTTCACAGAGGTGGTGGCCAGCCTGGTGCCGTGGAGGAGAGAAGACGGTGGCCAAGACAGAGGTGAGCAGGCGGCTTCGTCGGATATTCCCTTAAATTTCCGTGAATGACATTCGGAAGGCTTCAAATCGATGCTCATTTCTTCCAAACTCCATGCTCATCCTTGGTATATCTTCCTCCAATCGGTGTATGTCTTCGCACCGGTTTTGGTCGCAAATTGAGCGCCTTGTCCGCCACGGCCAGTAATCTCACGCCTTCCCGCTCGACAACCTTTGACGGCGGAACTGTCACCAATTCGATCTCTCGCGACTGCGGCGTCGAAGTGCCCGAAGAACTCCCACTCTCAAGACCCTCGCCTTCGATGACTTGCAGCATCTGCACGTCGGGGATCGTGCTCTCCTTCCACTCGTCGCGCATGCGCTCCCATTGGTCTGCCTCGTCGGCTTCGTCGCCGCTGACGATGCGAGCGAGGACAGGCATGTCCACTTTGTCGCCCGCTGCAGACAGTGCGGGCGGACCGGAATGAGGATGCCTCAATTCCTGCTGTTCGGCGGTGAGGTGCTGAGTACTCAGTATCCCCACGACTCTGGGTGTGGTTTTCTTGTCTTTGTTCGCTACTGCCTTTCTGTATTTGTCGAATCTGGAGTCGCGGGCCAATTTCGCCCGCACGGCTGCGGCGTGTTGGGATGTGATGACGACTCTCTCTGTGTCTTTTTTGTCTTTCTTGCTCTTGAAGAATTTGCTGAATGCGCCGGATGAGCCGGATTTGTTCGAGGTTTGGCTGCTCGTAGAGGTGGCGCGACTGCGGTCGACGCCGTTCATGCTGGTCATCCAACCGGGCTCGGACCGCAAGGACTGCAAGGAATCGATGGACGTCGTGCTGTTGTTCCGCGAGGTTGGAAGGGATACACTGGGTCTGACTGGGATGCCTTGCTTGTTTCGCTCTGAGGGCAGACCACGATCGACGGTGTCTAGGAATTCGAACATCTTGCTTGTAGTCTTAAAAGTCTGCGAAAGCTGGTCGGGCACCAGAAGACTGCAGGTTTGGGCCGAGGGGCGAGACAGGAGATGGATGGGCTGGAGAGGAAAGGAAAGGAAGGAAAAAGACACGAAAGAAGTCTTCAAGCAGACAAACACCCTTTACCTTGTCCTACCATACGTAATACCATAATTGTTCTTCAGCACATCCTGAGCTTTTATCGCACGCGTCTTCCGAGTTCTGGACCCAATTGGATAAGCGGTGAAAGCATGTGGCAACTGTCGAGATACGCAGTTGGCTGGGGAGGAGAAAAAGTATGCTGTGGTTATCTGAAGGGCCTGTGCCACAAGCTCGGTGTCATTGTCGCGAGCGATTTTCCAACGTAGCAGACCTGCTGGATACATTCTGGAGTTGATGTCACGCTCTGATATGGGAAAAATGGAGATTGTTATCCATGGCATTGATGGCATTGACGAATGGGTACCGAGAATATGATGTTGGGAAAGCAAAAATTTCTGGTGGCTGTAGCAGGCAAGGCACGGTGGCACGGTACTCCGTCCAACTGTGGATTATGCACGCTAGCGGATGGCGAACCAGAAGTAGCACATTCTTCACAGTCGGGACCACCGAGCATTCATATATTGAAGTCATGGCTTCGACACAGATCTGGCAAACCTCTTTTTGGCCCTCTCTACAGAGTTACCTACCTATGCTTGAAGCAAGCCGGGAAGGGAGTTGGTTGGTTGAGAAACCGTCCGTCCACCTTTCCCCAGGTTCGGAGATGGAAGCCTGCTCGACGACATTATGAAGTAAGTGTCTATCACGGGGTGGATGGAACTGTTGCAGATGCCAATGTGCAATCCTCGGCCGGAACAGACAAGACTTCGATCCGAAGTTGCGGACGCCTATCAATCATCATCATCCTCCTCCTCCTCCGACTCTTCTTCCGGAGGCGGCTCTCTGAAAACAATGCATTGAACGGGCTCCTCCCCATCCACAGCCTCGAGCACATCCTCAACCATATCCTCACTGAAAGCGTGACGAACGTCCTGCTCGTTTGCCGCACTCGCTTCCACCGCCTTCTTTCCACTTTCAGCCTCGGTTTTGTCCTCGCTCAGGAAGGCGGCCTTGGACTTGTAGACTCCAATAGCGGCCTGGTCCTGCCGCCAGCCTTTGTGCGCAATGACGTGAAGCTGGTATGCGAAGACAATGTCCTCGGTCGAGCGAAAGGATTGCTCCGCCGATCGAGAGCGCGTCACATCGACGTCGGCGCCGAGTCCGACTTCAGGTGTGACTGGTGCTGCTGCGCCTACACCTGCACTTCTTGACGCCGATACCCCGCTGGCCACCCGGAACCCCCTGGCTATCTTGAGTGCCGAGACCATGTAGACGGGCTTTTTGCGAACGAGGCCTGAATTGATGGCAGCCGCTACCCTTGGCTCCAGGACCCATTGCGCTGCCTGATCGTCGGTCGGTTGCTTCTTGTAGTAGATCGTTTCGAGGCGGTCAATCGTGTATTTTGTCGTGGCGTCGTTCTTCACTTCCCCATGGAGTTTGACTGAGGCTGTCTGCAGGAATGTGGCCCAGATACTACCGCCAAACAAGGTCGACGTGGTCTTGTTAAGCTCCGCATCATAATCCATATGCGTCACAGCCTCGAGGTCTGCCCTCGATAGGCTGCTCAGGGGCTTCGTTGGATCGCTGGGATCCGCGATGATGTCGCCCATACATATCGATGTATCCGGATGGTACGTAAAATTCGGTGCTAGTATGAATGTTTTCATTGTGGCCGTGATGCCTGACGACTGGTGTCACCATCCAGGTTGAAATAGTGCTATCAATACAGAGAGGTCTGCCTAGTGTAAAGCGAGCTGAGGGCTCTTATTGGGTACGTACACGTGGCGCCCGCCGCATTGCAGACGTGCTTACACCTCAGTGATATAAGAGTCCGGCACCTGCCGCTCAATGTCCGCTACCGATGGACTATTCGCATATACGCACCATATAGCATACTATCAGGATGATCGCCCGTGGGGATATCGGAAAAACTGTTCATCAAATATTCATTGGAGATGATATGCCAATTGTCAACGGACGGCATCTTGCGACAACGACCACTTGATCATGGTTAACCTATGATCGTGGCTACCGAAAATGAACTTGTTGGGCGACAGATAGTAACATTTCTCTGTCATTCGAGTCGACATGCTCTGAAACATGGAGCAAATCCCTGCCATCGAGTGCAATTTGGCCAACTTCTCGGCGGCCAAAGCTGTCCTCAGCTCAGCCTCGTGAACACGTGCATAGCCCAGCAAGAGGGCCGCAATCCCTGCGGCAATCGGAGTTGCCGTCGATGTACCCGACCTGGGCACAGTATCACCGCCGACAAGACTGAGTGCTGCACCAGGCACATCCTTACCTAGCGTCATGAAGCAGTCAAGCCCAGAGAAGCTTGGGGGAGGATTGAAGTCTTGCAGATACCCCTTCTCGTTGCTGCCTCGGATAGCAATTACATGCACATCCTTGGCCGGGAACATTTCCGGTAGGTTGCCACCCTCGTTTGCTGCGCCTGCAAAGAACAGTATACGGCCTTCTTTGGTCAATTGGGCATTGAGGATAGCTTTCGTGATCTGAGGCTGTTCTTCGGGGAAACCGAACGACATTACAATGATGTCGACATCCCATTTCTCCACGGCATGTTTGATTGCCTGGCAACTTGGTTAACTTGACGTGGCCCCGAGCTTAGGGTGAGAGCAAGGAACGCACCTTTGCAATTCTGTCACTGGCGCTCGAGAGGTCTCCTGCAGCTCGGCCTTTAGCTATTCGTGCCACATACAAATCTGCAATCGGTGCCACTGTCATCACCAAGGAGAGCACATGGGTGCCATGTCCATCAACGTCTTGGCGTTCTTTGGAGGTTTCTTCGACAAAGTCCTTCCACCTCCGAATGCGGCTTTTGCGGTCTGGGTCAGTAAAGAATATACTACCCGGATCATAACCAGTATCTAGAACGGCGACTTTGATCCTGGGAGTATTTCGGAATCTTGCAACCATTTCCACGTTGAAATCTGAAAATTGGATATCGTTCAACCATTTTCTCGACTCCGCACTGGATATGGTCAGCAGTCTAGACAATGAAGAAAACGACGTTTGGAAGTTAACATACCCAGCCACTTCTCCACTGGACGTGGACGCGCCAGAGGGAGCTGTCTTCGCCACAGTATGTATATATAACAAAGTCGCCGGGGAGTTGCCTTTATTTAACGTCTCACTCTTTTGTTGGCCGGGTATGTTTCCAGCATCGACACGATGGATCTGGCCATCATCAAGCCATAGCCACCCCATGGCTGCGGCCAACCTGGCTAGTGGGTAAACAGCAACTTTCCACAAGATTTCCCGACGGTTGGGTATGTCAGATTCGCCCGTCTGCTTGAAGGTCTCGTGGTTCAGACAAGCTTTGACTACACTCTTGTAGGTCTTCTTTGCCTGGACATTGAGATCCAGGTCTGGCCATGATTCATTCTCAAGAAGATCTTGACCATAGAAGAAGTCTGTATTCACCTGTGTCTCTAAAGCTTCATCATGGCGTGGGGTGTTCAGAGGTTGGTTCTGACAGATTCGAATGAGCAGGACTCCCAGCGCAAGTATCAACGGATATCGATGGTAGACGCTATGTTTGCTGCAATACTCGATTGAGCTATCGCCTGCAGATTCATCGATGGTGCATGCCAAGTAAGGATATCCTGGATCTACCGCCCGCTGGTTTGTGTTGGATGTTTGCTCCCACATAAAATGGATGCAATCGGGCGACCACTGCGCTTTCATCCAATCAGAATTGTAAAATTGCCAAACAGACCGGGCCAGGACGTATGCCAGTAGGATTTTGTTCTTGGAAGTCATCCGATAGTTCTGCAACATCTCTGCTAGAGATATGCTTGGTAAGTGTGCAACGCGCTTTGCATGCTCATCAAGCTTTCTATCCGGTTCCGAGAGGTGTATCAACGTCTCATTCTGAATTTTCAATCGTATGCGGCCACGTCCATAGTCCATGCCGAGCAAGGAACAGAAGCGTCCCCGGTCGATCGTCGTCGAGGGCTCGTGGTCTCCTGAGGTGCGGCGTTCAATGTCATTGTCGACCGACCTTTCTTGAAATTTCACGGTGCGCCTAAGTAATGGATTAGTCTGTCGCTGAAAAGACAGTCAGAGCACAGGAGCAAATGAGAGCTACCTTGGAACATTGAACTGCAATTTCTGCCACGGAAACTCTTCATTGTCATCGGCATAGGTAATAGGTTTTCTGGACACCAGCGTGTTGAAGGTGATATCGTTTCCAATCGCGGGTAGATTACATGTTAGTTGCAATCGAGTTTGATGCCTCTTGTGCAACGTGGGAGGAGAATCGACTGGAGCGCACGCGCAAAGGGCATGTTGTTGCAAAACAGTGTACAGGCTCTTGTTCACCCGCGCTGGATAGTCTTGGGAGCCGTATGAGAGTTCCAGAGGCGTTATATTGTGTTCAATTTCATCTTCAATGTTTGGAGCAAAACGTTTCAAGTCATCTATTTGCGTGATCGTAATGTGGACGGGCTGTGCCGCAAACTTCTTGAGGCTGCGTTTCAGAAGGGCATGTCCTTCATCCGAAGGCGAGAGGAGGCAGCGTAGGGTGTGGAAGCGCTGCCTGATGTCGCCGAGAGGTGGCTGATTCGGAAACTGCGAATGCAAACGTTAGCGAATCTCACGGGCTCAAGTCGAGTCAGGCCCCGTGTCCGGCAAAAAATGACATGGGCTCTAGTAAAACGCACGAGGCAAATGGCCTCCAGATGGGATAGAAGGCTATCGAGCTTTTGCGACAACTTCTCTTCGTACACGGGCAAGGGCGCCGACAAGCCGCTCGAAATGGTGAAGAGAGTGCCCGCCAGGACACTAAGGTTCACATCTCGCTTCGTCGGGTTCCTCTGGTGGATCAAGGTGTGGACTAGGAGCGATAATTTGAGGGTAAAGTCTTGAGCGAGGTTCCACAAGTCATTCTGTATCATAATGGTTACCTCTGACGATGCCGGTATCCTATTTCGAGGATGCGTCAAAGCGCTGGCAGGATGGAGACTCGAGAGATGAGGTGGTGAGGAATGGAGTCTGCGGTTGACGCCGCTGCCACTTGCCTGTAGCCGCAGCCGCAGCTAGAGCCTAGCATCAGCTACTAAGCCACCAAAATAAAAGGATTCGTCTGACGAAGGTCTGCGGCTCTGCTGCGTCCACGAGATGGGGCGACTTCCGTCGTGCCAAGCCCTCTTCTGGTTCAAATGCTCATTGTCAGACAGAGTTACTTTTTCTGCACCAGCGCCTGTTGCCTTCGCTCCTCTCCGTGGGGCAGCTTTCCCTCAAAACTTCAGCTTCAGCCTTGGAATCAGCCGTCTAGGATCAAATCAGTTATGTAACATTGGCCTCTCTACCTGGATACTCCTAGGCCGCCAACAACCCGGGTTGACATGTCCATTCACGATGATGCCTGACAAGGATGGCTGCCTCCGACATCATCCCTCAAGAACTCTCCAGAGCCGCGAATGCTTGTCGGCAGAGCTTCACCGAATGTCTCTCCATCAGCCGTCTGATGGAAGATGAGTGGGCCGAGAACCGTCTAGCCGATTTCAATCTATGGGATGCTGGTGTCGGCGCTTCTGCGCATCCTCTGGCCTCCCTTGACAGGCGGCTCATGTCCCACCCTGAAGCCTATGCTATTGTCCAGGGTCTCCTGAAAACACTGCGCACCCTTGTTGATCGTTGCAGAGATTCAAGTCAGCGATGCGTCATGCCCGTAGCGCGCCCTGCATAACTAACCCTCGCAGGTGCACAGACAGAAGCCGCCCAGGAACATGACGCTACATCCCTGGGTGATGCTACCGACAACGATAGTGAGAACAGCTCTACACAGAGTAGCTCTTCATCGACATCGTCGGACAGACTTTCGTCTCAGCGGGAAAGGAACTCGTCCCGACGCGTCCCCCTAACTGATGCTATCGAGAACGTGGAGTCAGTACTGGATCAGTTAATCAGAGTTGGGTTCGCCATTCGGAAGTTCGGTACGAATGCAAGATTGCAAAAAGCGGATGCATCTTTCAATCCTGACGATTATGACGACTTTCGACACCACTTGTCTCTCATGTTACTAATCGACCAAGCGCTTAGGCAGCTTGCAAATGTTAGTGATGACAAGATGAAGGATGGCAGTTTGAGGAGCTTTATCCAGACACTAGTCCTGAACGTTGATGCGCTCGACGACCAACAACGGAGTTCTATCAATCATTCAGGACCAAATCCTCACCTTCTGATTTTCCAGGTGTCGAAGGAACAAGAGAATCTAATTCATGCAAACCTGCGACGACGCCATCGTTTTGTCTCTGCCCGTAAACACGGGAAGAAGCTAGCGTACAGGACTATACCCCAACCTCCTGACATCGATGTCGAGCAACCTGAGGCCCAGCCGACCAGGCCATCCGGTTCAGCCCGCTCTGGGAACACAGTGGCGCCAGAAGGAAACGCCTTGAAGCACTCCCGCGACCTAGCCTCAATGGCGGCAACTTCTGTATCTGCCGGCACAGTTCGACTCAATCAGGAGGCTCTCCAAACGCCTCGTCCTGCTCCACAGACGGCTACCGTCATCTCAACGACAGCGCAAAAACTAGAGTATCCCCGACCTCCTCCCGTGATCGGGTTGATGGGCTTTACGTGTCCCTGCTGCCTACAGACACTGCCGGCGGCGCTGGCTGAACGCAATCGATGGAGGTATTGGCAACCACCCAGATAGGCCGCTTGATACTCACACAGCTAACCCTGGTAGGAAGCATGTATCCGAAGATTTGGCTCCCTATACCTGTCCGTTCCCATCCTGCCCGACTCCGGTTGTTTTCTACAAGACCAAAGACGCCTGGAAATCCCACCTATTCCAGAATCATTGCGCAGCCGAGTATTGGGATTGCATGGCATGCAGCAAAGCTGGTCAATCCTTGACATTCCCGTCCGTTACCGAGTTTGAGCTCCACACAGTGCAAGAGCATGGAGACGCGGTTTCTGCTACCCAGCTGGCCACCTTGCGAAGGATTAGCCACCGAACCTCGCCACCCCCGCTTGAATTTTGCCCTTTATGCTATTTTCGGCCCGAGGACAAGAATGGGGCCATATTGGTGGATGACCTTATTGACCACGTTGGTGATCACATTCATGACTTCTCTTTGGAATCCCTCCCATGGGCGCAGGATCAGTCTAGGCCATTGCAAGGTAACTCTGTCGAGAGCTGGTTCGAAAGGCTCGACCGCACCGTCACAACAGACGAGGGCGAAGAGCTGGACCTAAAGTCGCCTGATGACAGGGATATAGCGTATTTGAACATATCACTCGGATCTGCAGAACCGGAAACAGAGCCTGGAGAGTTGTTCATTCGAAATGAGTATTTCGATGAAGCTGGCTCTCAGAAGACATCTAATGCTCAAATGGGTCATAATACTTCCAACACTGCAACCGCCTCCAGCTCCAGCTCCACAGACCAGCCTGTCGGATCAGCTGCCTTGTCAGATATTGACATCCGGCGAGACGAAGAGCATCCTCACCTTGCATCTGACGACTTCGATTCCGCGCGAGGCTCTGACGTTGCAGAAGCTTCCTCATTAATCGATGCCGATGAATTAAGTATGCGTCGACATTCGCCAGTCTCTCAGGACTCATCCCGTCGCCCCAGTATGGATGTGAGTTGACGACTGACATGAATGTGCTGGTTTTCAGGCTGATGATGCAGTTCGATCAGGACCAGTCTACACCATCCTTAATACCGCCTCCACCAGCGCCCCTTAATATTCCGCCATCGCGTGCACGGCGGGCATTAGCTGCTCGCTTAGCGCGGAACAGCCAAACTGCTAGACTTGAGCAAGACGAGGCGGATTCGGAGTCCGAAACTGACAATATCAACGCAACTGAAGACAATGATCAGGACGGATCCGGGGCAGACGAAGCAGAACAGCATCCACCTCCCACGTTCGTAAAATTATGGTCCGCCTGCTATGACTGGAAAGGTATATAACTTGCAACCTCGTTCTGGAGTGGTTGAACTGACTTTTGACAGCTCACGGACACCAATGGTCTTCAGTGAGACGAAGTATTCTGCAGAAGTGGTTGAACATGGCCCCAACCAACATGCGCCTGGATCCGATAGACTACGTGCCGAGCAACAATGTGCATGCCTTGGACCACCAACTCACTATAACGCGAGCAGCGGCCAATGATACCGCCGATGAGACCTTCCGCTCACTATATCTGCTCAACCTCAGCGGCATACTTGACTGGCGAGCGCTGTTTAATGATGACTGGACAGATCTTGAAGAAGCAGTCAGAGTAGCGAGGATGGCGATAGATATGGCAGCAGGTCAAAAGGAGCTCAGAGCGGTACTGCTTATTGACCATATAAGCAGACTTCGAAGGTTATCTCCGCACGACCTTCATGGTGAAGCTATCGAAGCAACCGAACTAGCTGTTCTCGCAATTACAGAGGAAGACCTCCTGAGAGCTATGTGGGTGGATTTACGTGACAGGATTCTTTCCGAATTTCCTCCTGACAGAGTAGCACCACTTGTCGGCCGCCTGGAAGTTGGTGTGAGGATGGCCCAGAGTCAGGCACCTGCGTCCGACTCCGCCAGAGAGAATAGATCGTAAGGACAATTGACACCATGAACTTCACTTCATTCTGCTAATGCGACTAGGAGCCATCCCTCAGCTGCCGATGCCACAGATTTCAACGTCCAACAGAATGAGGCTGTCCCCGACCGATATGAAAAGGATAGAGCCGGCTCAAAGACCCCCGGCAGATGTGAGTATTTTTCCAATTCTCTCGAACTCACATTACTCGAATCTAAGCCCGCGGGTGGAAAGCGATCTCTAACTCGGACCAAGTGTCCGTTAGAACGATTTCCTTTTATTTGCCCTTCATTTGGCTTTGACATTCGTGGCGTTAGTTGAGAAGATGAAGACTGATCCATGTTGCTTATCTTCAGGGCGAAAGTTTGTGCACAGAGTATTTGGCACAACCGTATACCCCAAGCAGGTTGTTAACCAGAAGGTCGAGTATGTGGAAAATGTTGACAAGAGTTCGGCATTGCTCGAGAAAGTCAAGTCTTCCTTGGCCCATTCGACTTTGGTCTTTGTCCAGACCGAAGGTGCAGCTGATTCACTGTCTGATTTTCTCAGAGCCCAGGGCTGCTCGGCAATCGCTTATCATGGTGGTATATTTCCAGGTTTCAGGCCGGGCTCAATTGTGGTCGTTTGCGACAACACTACTTCAACTGTTCATCTCCCTAAGGTATCCGAAGTTATCAGCTACGATCTTTCCGACGACATTGACAACTATGCCTCTCGTGTTAGCCACGTCGATCCCACACAGAGACCGGCTGTGGCAACCACTTTTTTCAATCGCGACAACGTCAGCATCGCGCGTGAACTTGCAAACATACTCATCGACGCTCGGCAGGAGGTTCCTGGGTTCCTGGAGACCATTGCTCGGGAGAGCGAACAAAAGAACGACACTATACCTCCCACGAATGCCAAACCAACCTTATCTACTATTTTTCAACCCGATTCCTACGCAAAGAAGTCGCAGTACACTTTTGGCAAGACCATCGGCGCAGGTTCGTCTGCAATCGTTCGGGAGGCAGAGATCAACGGCACCAAGGTTGCGGTGAAGATCATTCTCAAGAAAAGTGTAAAGGGCAAGGAAGATGAAGTTTACCAGCGCATACGACTGCTACGTACTCTGCGTCATCCGAACATTGCAGAACTCATAGACTGGTTCGAGTCCCGTGTGAGTATGGTCCAGACCCGGGAGACGCTCAATGCTGATCTTATGAGCAGGACAAGTTCTACATGGTGATCCAGCTGGGGACTGGTGGAGAACTCTTTGACCGAATCTGTGACATGGGCAAATTGACTGAGGGAGACGCTATACGAACGATGAAACAAGCACTCGACGTTATAAACTATCTTCACGGACGTGAAATAGTCCACCGCTGTATGTTGCGTTCGAAGGTTCCTCTGTTTACACAGCTGACGCATTGTAGGTCTGTGCCCGGAAAATTTTGTTTACGAAAGCAGAGGGGAGGATTCTAAGCTCCTACTAGTCGGGTTCAACAGCGTCAAGTTTGTCCCGGGTCACGAAAAGCTGAATGATATGGCCGGACTTTTCGGCTACGCTTCGCCCGAGGTCATGCTCAAGCAGGGCCATGGCAAACCCGCTGATATGTGGTCTCTGGGCGTCATCACCTACACCCTGCTCTGCGGCTACTCTCCCTGGCGGTCGGAAAATCTTGCAGACATGGTCGAGGAATGTAGAAGTGGCCGAGTCGTTTTCCATGACCGATACTGGAAGGATGTTTCCCAGTCGAGCAAGGATTTCATACTGACGCTGCTCCAGCCGGATCCTGAGAGAAGAGCTTCGGCTCAAGAAGCCCTTGAACATCCGTGGATCACAGGAAAATGTGGAATCAGTGACCAAAATCTGATACCAGAGGTCAGAGCTTACATTGCGAAGGAGAAATTCAAAAGAGGCATCAGACTTATCATGCTTGCAATCAGGATTGAAGCCCTCAAAGACCAAGGCGACTTTCACGAATCGGTCTTTCGGGAAGTCGTTTGGGCCAAGATGCGCGAACACGAAGCAACAGAGAAATCCCTGGGGCTTACAATATCAGGTGTGTCTCAACTTCGGAAAGACTGAAACCAGGTAGGACATCGATGGCCAACTTCCTACCTCCTCCGAATACCAACCCACCCTACCAAGAATGTCGTGTCTTGTGATTGTCACACACGCAGACTGAGCCCAAAGTCACCAACACACGGTGCGATGGACTTGCTTCCATGTTCCTGTCGGCCAAACCCGCAATGACGAGCGTCCCTCGCCTCGCACGCTTGATGCTCTGGCACTGTCCCAAAGCCCACGAACAGACCAGTTCAGTGCCCTCCATTGACGCTCGAAGTGCATCAGGTACCTGGTGCGCTGCATGGAGCTACCCATCACGGGGGCACTTGGATATTTGCTCGATGCTCATATGACGGTTTTGGTGAGGTTTTTGGTTAAGCGCCTACCGTGTACGGTGTCAGCGTTTCAACGTGCATATCGTGCATTCGCCACCAATGGGCAGATATTTGTAAACGGCCACCTTGCCGACCACATGTCGAAACATACTAGTTTCTTCCATATGGTCATTGTGGCTGATGCTATGGACGTCTAATTTGAAGCTATAGATATGGGTCACTCGCACACAAGTCACAGCAGCAACAATGGCGAGCCACAGGGATCAAGTACATATTGACAACATCGTCCGCCCACCAAATCCATTCATACGACAATCTCGAAGGTCATCTTTGCTGAATTTTTCCACACCCTCGCGACATCGCCGCGTGGGCACTTTGAAATTCGAAGAACTCGATCATACCCAACCACGATATGGCTCGAACAAAGAGGGTCCGCTGACAAGAGAGTTATCATATGATTCAGTAACATCAACAAGAGCTGTGAACCGGTTCTCGAATATTGGCCTATTCTGGACGTCCTCGATAGTAGGATTGCCAATTCTTGCATTTACGGGCGCTCTTTTGGCGTTGGCCTTTATGCATAGGGTCTCCAATGACAGTACTTTCCTGTTCGGAACCCAGCAGTCGTTGCCATCGGACCCTTCGTCCATCCTCGTCAACTTCCCAGCTACCAGACTGGTGTTCATTGCGTCATGGAGCAGCACGCTTGCGCCAATGTTGCTCGGAAGCTTGATGGCACTCTGGCACGTCCCCACAGCCTGCATGCTCGCATCAACCACGACTCAAGACAATGTCAGACAACTTCCCACCCCTCATCAGCTAAGCATGTTGGTCGGTCTTTCCACAGGGTCCTTTGACGAGCTTCGCAAGTACATCATGTATCGTCTGAGCAACGTCAAGGCGAATCAACCTCGCCTTCTGACCCGGTCTGCTTTGGTTATGGTCATCAGTTCTGTCCTATCAGCCCTGATATTCGGCGCCGACACTGCAATACATACATTCACCTCGACGACACCTTACAGCAAAGTGTCCATCGAATCGATACCCGGCTTCGGCTTTGGTCGTGGTCTGGTCAATGATTGCGTTGGCTTCGATAGAAGCACGAACCAGGGTTTGCCCTGCACAGTCATCGCGGACGCCAGTGTTGGAGCCAACGTCAATGCCCGGAACTCTGGAGAGATCATTGCACTCCAGCATAATGTATCTTCGCGCAATGCCATATGGACGTTGCAGGATCAGCGCCTCGGGAACGGTGATCTCCTCGTATTGATGCCGCAGACCACCGAGATACCTCCAGACGTGGACTACCAGGCTACAACTGTTGGTGTCTCCACTCAGTGTTCGCCATCTACAGGGCAATGCCATGTAAGGATGTCTGAGGGGCCCACTTCAGCCGACAGCTTTGTTATGTTCAATTGTACCAACAACTTCCGCGGTGTCCTCGGAGCATCGCCAAATATCTCAAGCGATACTGTCCTCTGAGCGCATACCGACTCAATCACCCCGGATTTCAACGTCAAGAGTGATAGGAATTTCCAATATGCATACTTCTCTGATCCTACCTTGGACAAATTTATAATTCAATCGGGGGCACTGTGAGCAACGGTGGTGCGCCCGGTCAACTCGCCCTCCCAGATGACAAACTGCTCAATCCTATTTATCTCGCCACTGCAGGGCTTGTCCCAGTGCAGACCGGCTCCACAGGCAAAAGTCTTGCCAGTGATGGCGACATGTTTTCGGTTAGGGGTGGTTTTTTGGCATACACTCTCAATTGTTCGGTCACCTCCTATAATGTCTCTTACACATGGATCAACGGCACGATCAAGTCGTTCGACTATACTGCCACGCGGAACGGCAGCATCACCGAGCTGTCTCATGGCATGCAAGCGGTCGGCATCCCCAGCCTGTCTCAAGCTCAAAGTGTCGCTAGCCTGTCATCCACCGCGGCTGGCCTTGCTCGGAGCTTCGCAAACTCGCATTCTGCGGACTCGTTGACTTTAATTGGCAGCGTGATGTCCCCGAGGACGAACATGGCCGAAGCTACACGCAAGGATATGCTCATCACGAAGATGAGCACGGCTGCCTTTGGGTTTCTTGTTGGCAGTAACTTGCTGTACGTCGTATTTGGCTTGGTGCTGCTCGTCCGTGCATGGCGGCACAATTCTCCCGTTGCAAGGGATATGGTGGCGCGGTTGAGCGTCGAGGGTATCTCAGCCATGGCATTCGAGGATACCATTGAGAAGAGAGTCCGCAGAGTAGACGATGCCAAGGATATGTTTGAAGAGAGTCGCATTGGCGATTCCAGCAGGAAGGTCGGATTGAAAGCGTTCCCCGGTGGTGGACATGTTATGTTTATCGACCAACCTCGACTTTGACGATATTATGTTGTTAGTGAGGTCTGTATAGATTGTACTATTATGGCCTTCAGACAGGTCTTCCCAGCCTGTGGGACAACTCCTCCTGCTTACTGTCGCCGAAAGTACACCAGATGGGAATGGATTGGCGCAAGCAAGGGCCGATCGACGTACGCGGCATCAGCGGCTCCATACAGTGCACTCAATGCAGATTTCGCAACCGGCACAAGGAGGTGCTGAAGCGCCCAAGCAGATGATTGTGGGCGACGCGCCCATCATCGCGCTGCGGTGTGGCCGGCCTGGACGCGCTTGATCTGATTGGACGACGTGGAGACCCAAGTCCTGCAGAGACGCGCTTTCTTTCCACTACCATCCACAGAGTCCTTCCTCTTCCCCTGGGATAGACTCGATCTCGCCCTTCCAAAGTGTCACTGCTACGTTCGAGGTGGGAGCCTTGGCATGCAGCCGCTTTCTGGCCATAGACATCATTCTCCTGGCATGAATACTTGTACTATCACGGTCAAAGTGACCGGGTAGGCGGTCTCGCTCTTTATTAGGGGTCTTGGAAACGAATCAGAATGGCTCATGTCAACGACCTCGTCGTTCACAGTCTGGATGCAAGCGCTTCCAAAGGCACCATTGAACCCATTCTTTCCCTCTCCAATAAGATCTTCAACACAGCATCCTCATCACCAACTCACCACTCGTCTCTGGACGAATGGCACAAGCGTCTATCCCAGCCGACCTCTGTCTTGCTCTATGCCAGAGACTCTAACCCTTCGTCCACAGAGGGAAGGCCGGTTGGCTTCATATTCTTGCATCCCAAGTCCGACAGTTCTCTACCTAGTCAGACACTACGCATCTGGCTTGCCGGCGTGGCTGAACAAGCACGCGGCACGGGCATATTTGCCGCTCTAATGATGGCTATCGAGCAACACGCGCGAAGACACGGTGTCCACGAACTGAGCGTATGCACGTATCCTGGGAAATTCGGCAAGATGTTCACCATCCTCCAAAAGACGGGATGGAAGGAGCGCGCGTGGTTAGAAGATGGAGAGAAAGTGCTCATGAGCAAGTCCCTACTGTAGATGAGACCCACTACTCAGCTATGCGCGGAAAGGAGCTCAATATCAGGCTGTTCAGCTGCCGTGCCTCGGCCAGACTGGCATGACCGGCACTTTCCTAAGTGGTTATGCCGGTCGCCATTCGATCTCAGGTCCGAATTGCCCTTATCAAGTCTCGATACCTGACAAGCTTTGACCAAGGTAAAAGAAGCCACAAAGACCATCGATCACTCCAGAAATTCAATCCTCAAGCTCCTCGTGAGCACTTTCAACTTCACTCGCATACTCCTCCTGGGCCTGTCTCAAGTCCTCGACATCACTACTACTCGGATCTGAATCCTCGGCGACTTCGGCTCTGGCTTCTTCAAGATCTTCGCGGGCATCTTGCAAGGACGACCGCTGGCTCGAAGAGAGTTCCGGGTTGTACTCGAGTGGCGGCTCGGTGGGTGGAGCGGCAGCAGGATATCCGCCAGTCGGTGGTGGTGCGTACGGTGCTCCTCCTGCTGCGGTAGCGCGTGCTCCTATACACACATTGTTCGTCAGCTGGTCCATCTGTTTCCCTCGCAAACGACAATTGCCAGCACAAAGCAGAAGTGATGTCGGAAGGGAATAACATACCGTCATCGCTATCCGAGTCCCCCAGCGCATGCCCAGCGATAGCACCGATAGCCGCCCCGCCAAGTCCTGCAGCGACCATGCCTCCCGTTCCCGAACCCTTTTTCTGTCCACCGGAGCCGGTGTAGTACTCTCTCGAATGCTCGCCGTGTCCTTGCATATACGGAACAGCGGGCATTGCATGGCCAGACCCTTGCTGAAACCCAGGTACGCCTGCCAGAGGCCCGTTCCAGCTTGGCAGTTCCCACTGTGTTCGACCAGTGGCTTGCTCCAGATAGTACCATCGCTGGGAGTTGGCGTCCCACTGGGCAATCCAGCCGGGAGGGAGCTGCGGACCGGGTTGAGGTTGACCATATCCGGATGGCGGAGGAGGTGGGCTGTGTGCGTACTGAGGACCAGGTTGTTGGCCGTACGGTGGGTATTGATTGTATATGTTGGAGTTCTGATTGAAGTCTCTATGCTGATCGGTAGGAGGGTCTGCAAGGTGAGAAAATGTGTCAGTCACCTCACAGCCGGGGTTGTTCTCGACTGGAGAAACGGCGATGCTTACAGTCCATTTTCTGACTCTGTTTCTTCTGTTTGTCCTTGTCATCATCATCATGCAGCATCTCCTTGATTTCGTCTTTGAGTTTCTTGAAGAAAGACATGTTGATGTTGGGCTTGGATGTCTAGGAGGCGTAAATTGACCTGGACCAAAAGCTATGAAGAGAGAAAGGAGACGAGACGGAACTTGGGAGACTTCATGCTAAAATGGGCATATTCAAGAAAAAAAAAATCGAGGTGCAGGGGCCTACGTTAACCCACAAGTTCATGCATGTCATGAAGCCAACACATCAGATCACTTCACCTTGGCCGGGTGAAATCGACGTGGAGTGAATGGCTTGTCCGACCACGACCATACTGGCACGCGTCTTGGCTGCATAGCCCATCAGACTAGGTACCTACCTAGGTAGGTATTTCACTCGATGCGAAGAGTCCTTGTTGACTTGGCAGTGGATAGCCACCTCCATGCAAGACACGCCAGACAATCAAGTGTCGAAGCGCCGGTCTGTTAGAGGCAACAGGGTGTTTACGATACTGAGGATGAGGTTCGCAAGAACGTGCCCACACTTTGATGGGACTCCATGGTACCTGCATGGGCCGGTCCGGCTTCTGACGCGAAGTCTGTCCTGAATTGACTTCCTTGATAAAGGACAGAATCGCTGGCTGGTGAGTCGGATAGCACATTGGAATCAGGCCTGTCAAAGGATCGCCTTCATTTCGGATGTCGTCCCGGTCCAGGACAAACAGACAAGTTACAACAGAGGTACTTGACACAGATGCAGGTTGACTGGTGAAAATGGAGAGAATCACTGAGAGCATTGTAAATTTCAACAAGGCGTGAGATTGAGTGCTGCTTCGATCGGGAAGACACGTTGGAAACAATGTACAGACGATATCACCCCAGCGCCGACACCAAGGCAATCAGAGCATTTTGACCTATTTGCCGCCAAACCAGCTGCTGATTCCGCTCTTTGCTTTGGCTGCCTTGTCTTCCACCGTCTTGTCAAACTTGTCAATGGCACTGTTGATTTGAGTACCCGTCTTTTGGCCCACTTCCTTTGCTCTGGCTTCGGCTTCGGCGAGTTTGGCTTTGGCTTCAGCAGTCTGTGCATAATTGTCAGTATAAGTCCAGCGAGCCATTATTCAGGCGAGGCTATGGCTATACTTACAGCTTTGTCGATCTCTCGGCCAGCTTGTGATGTAAAAACTTCGCCCTTCTTCTCGGCTTCTTTTCCTCTGCCCGGAAGATCGTGCTTCACCTCGGCAGACAGCTTGTGCGCATCGGCTATACCAGGGTCAGTAAGTCGGCAACAAGATCCAGGGTTGACACCGACCTTCCATCTTCTTTTGGGCAACCTTGGGATCACCACCCGCCGAGTACAGGTAGTAACCTGCACCACCCGCGAGGGCCAATCCGGCAATGGTAAGTCCGCGTCTTGACATGATGGATGACTTGGTGGTGTGGAAGTGGTTCAGAAAGGGCGGATTTCCGGAGGAGAATCGCTCAATAGCTGCTTGATTGTAGTGGAGGATTGGGGATCTGGTTGGTGTGGTATGATGAAGCTGAAGCTGCAGAGAAAGCGCGAGAAGAGAGCAAGAGGCATGGCGGTTGACACTGACATCATTGGTGGGTGGATGCTGCCTTCTGCTTCTGTTGGTTGTTGGTTCTGTCTGTGGCTGGTCAATGATGATGATGCGGGGGAGCTTTTTCACCTGCGCCTTGGGTGCCACTGGAGTGCACTGGCCACCTAACATAGGTGCTGGCCTCGGTGGGTAGTTGACAGGTGCACTCCCAAAAACTTGCTGTGCCTGCGCCTCGAAAGACGTCAACCAACCTGTATCAACTCCCCAGGCCTGCGTGGCCACCAAATCTTCTTCCTGACCTTCTTTTAAGTCTAGTTGTTGCCTAATACTGTACCGAGCACCATACTCGACTCTATTCGATTATGAACCGACCCTGACACAATCCCTTACAGAAAATCGTCGAGGAATGTCCGACAATGTCTCCAAATTCGCAACCCGCGTCGCGACCCTCGACGGCACCTCCAGAGACCCTTACGATCACGAAATATCCTTGATCGACTCTACCGGGCCCACAGATCAAGATGCACCTCAACCGAGCTCAGTGAGTGCGACTTCCAGCAAGCTCTCAAGAATACCAAGCAGGACTGCAGTCCGAGAGCATCTTGCTCGGAGGAAGTATGCGAAGTGGCAACAGCGTCAGCTCAGCACGACAGGAGATAGTGTCGACACCACAGAGACACCAGAGTCAAGACCTAACACCGTAGATGAGGACGAACGAGAACATGGCCAGGCAACGGAAACTGTTGACTTCGCACACAATGAGCCGACGGACCTAGGGCAAAAGAGCGCAGAGAAGAGGAGGCGAGAGTCTAAGTGGCTCAAGCACCAGGTTCATGAGATTGACATCCTCTACGAGAATCAGCGCGGTTCCTTCTTCTGTGGCATTCCCCTATACTCGCATTCCTCCCTGCTCCCTACCGATCCAGGTCCATGGGTGAACAAGGACTTTCATGATTCACCTGTAAACATCACCAACGCGCAGGTCCCGGACCCCAGCTGGGAGTGGGCTTGGAAGACATGGTATGTCGACATGAGCTACGATGTTGACGAAGAAGGTTGGCAGTACTCGTTCACCTTTGGGCGCAGCTTCTCCTGGCACGGTACACACCCTTGGTTTCATTCCTTTGTCCGGCGAAGACGATGGTTGAGGAAACGAGTTAAGAAGGATGACATGTTGGGCCGCGACAAACCCGGAAGCTTGGGTGCTGCTCATCATCTGACCGGTGACTACTTCACAATTCATTCCAAACGCGACCGTAGTCCGGTCAGTGCTGTTGACGGCGCCGGTAAAACCGCTAGACCTGCTAGTTACATGAGCTATCCAAGCACAATCGATGTGGAACAGCCTCCCGAAGATGTCAAAGACATCGCCAGTCTGCTGAAAGCCCTGAGGTTTGCCACAGTCGACCGGGAGAAGATTGAGGTCGTGAAAAGATTTGTCACTCAGGCAGGGGATGAGCTGTATTATCTCAGGGACCATATTCCGGACATCATGTCATTCCTGGTTTTTCAGAACTCAAGGACGCAGCTGCTTGCATATCTTAAGAAGTCTGCCGATGAAGCGCGCCGCCACCGGCAGACCCATGAGGACGAACAGAAACCAGAAGGGGCTGCAGAGAGTCGCAGGATTGACAATCTTATGGCGGCTGTTGATTCTGCAAATGCTCAGATAGTTGGACTTGAATTCTGGAGTGACAGAAAACATGTCCTCAAGACCGCCGACGACGCGGCGCTTGAGACCCGAGCCATTGCAACCATTTTCGACGAACCAGCTCCCAAGCCGAAGGTGGACGAAGATCCTGTCAAAGAAATTAAAGGTATTTCAGACAAAGCGGATCTCAATGGAGAGAAGACAGCTTCGATGTTTCGACCCCAGGTGCCAGATGAGCCAAAAGAGGAGCTGGAAGGGAAAAAGGACAAAGGGAAGGGCAGAGCAACGGATCGCGATAGTGAGGACGATCAAGTTGAGGCAGATTCCAATTCTACCCCAAGACTTCGGCCAGATGAGGTTCTGGTTCCCGACGACGAGGATTAGGAGACTGCTCCGCCGGGAAATGGATGTACTGTTTGTTAGCGCAGGCGTTGGTTGGCATTTGTTATTCATCAGCAGGAGCATTGATTATGAGATAGCGGCTTACGTGCCACAGTACTCGTAACTTGTTATTGACGAGGCTGGGAAAATCAATTTAACCCATTGGGACTAGTGTGGGCGCGACCGCGTCAAAAACGCGTTTTCTCAGGGAGGCCGGGCATTGACCAGTGCGAGCTATTAGCACAATCAAAGGACAGCTTCCAGCTTGTTTGATTACCTTCGTGATCACCGTCGATTGCTGTTGAGACTTCATTCTTGCTTCTCCTCCATCTGGCACCTTCTTGCGCCAAAAACACTATCACTGGGTCGCTCCTTCCGTTTCTGCCAACTCACTATGGCCCCTTCCCTCCGCGGCGCCCACCGAGTCAGCAAACGACAAACACCACTTGAGAGCTATACCAAAGTCTCCAAGTCAACAAGGTCCCAAGCTCAGCTTGAAGCAGCTGCAAAAGAGGCGGCACTCATTCCTGTCGTCGAGCAGAAAAAGACGGTCAAGAGCACACCGAAGCGGAAACGCGACATTGAAGATGGCGAGTCCGAGGCTGAGACCTCTTGCATTGCTGCTGCCACATCGAAGAAGGTATAACACGTTGGCTCTCGGAAAAGAAATGTGTCTGATCGTAAATAGGCGAGATTGCAGCTGGCAACACCGCCCGACTCTGAACGCGAAGACTCGATAGGTCTCGACCCCTGCATTGACTTTCGCCAGCTATCCCTCGGGACCAGGACTGCTTTTCAACAAGAACCAGTCGATGAGCTTCCTGATGTCCTCCAAGTTTTCGTCTCGCTGCACGACGCCTTTCTCAGAGCATTTTCTCTCCACATGGTTCACAATGGCAGTACCTCCCCAGCAAATCTCCACAACTTGATGGCTTCAGTCACTAGATTATGGAAGAAACACACCGTCACAGCGGAGGACATTCAACGGATGCTGGCAATTTACGAACTTGGTTCATCGGAAGATCATATGTCAAACCAGCTCTTGAAACATAAGGAAGGTCCATTCAAGTTGAACCTGACAGGAGGTGATAGTTTTCAGCACAGCGTTGAGTACGTTGGTGGGGCCCGTGGAAACCAAGGATATGACGAGAAGAAGCTTCAAAAGTCCTACGAAATTGAGGTGGAAGCCGCGTTCATCTCTCAACGAAAGAACCCTGCCAGCTGGCTACAAAAGGATGTGCGTTTCTTTCCTCGACTCGAATTCTCGGTTGGGCTGCAAACACAGGCACGCAGGGGGAAGGCTTTCGCAGCACGAGCAGAGATTCTCGGTCTATCTTCCCAGGCCCAGAGTCGAGTTGGATCGCAATTCTCTGCTCAAGCAAGTACGTCCAGCGAGTCGAATGAGGTCCAAACACCTCAAATCGTCAAGGACCGAACCTTGTCGCTATTGGATCGTGTCAGGACCAAAGCACTTGCCAACTCCGCAGCCGCCCCTCAAAGTACGGAAACAATTCTTCGTCGCCGAGCCATGGGGCGGATTGGGGAAGTTGTTGATATTCTGCGGCTGAAACAGCAACAGAAATTGGGTTCCAACTTTGTTTCTTCGGTTCATTCCAGTCCAGGCAGGGTCCGAGGCAAAGTATCCTTCAGTCTCAAGCAACTCATCAGTGATATAAAGGGAAGCTTGGCCGTACCAATGGCCGATGCCGAAGTCAGAAAATGTTTTGAAATACTCGCGAACGATATTCCGGGGATGTGGTTGTCCATTCATACTGTTGGAATACTTCAGAGTATAGTTCTCAATGGGCCCGGCCCGAGTGGAACGGAGGTCAGGAAGATTCTCGAAGAAAATGAGAAAACCAGACGGTGACCTTGAAAGGGCGCTCCAGACCTTTTCTTGTTCAGAACGTATGGACGTAGTTGTCCTGTACATACTGGCGAAGTTGTTTGGGATTCAGGTTATGCAAGATAGACGTGTGCCTGACCTCGAGCACTGTGCTGGGCATGTTCAGCGTTTCCTTCTTTTTTCGACTGGCCTGTCTGCCAGTCCTGCACGTATCATTCATTTAGACAGCATTCAAGCGCTCAAGGACTGTTGACCGTGCGGAAACCGAGGCGAGGATCAGAATGAAGAGAGATTTCTGCTTGAAAATGGGCACGTTGCTGTGAGATATTTGCATCGTCCCTCAACTTGATTTCCTTGGGTATATACTGCGGTCGTGGTTGCCATTATGATCCAACAAAATTGCGCCTTCCCTCTCCAGTGTTGGGTATCTACTTTCTCCTTGAAGCTCGTCAAAATTCAGATCCATGATCCATTTCTTCCTCGCTGAGCCCCTCCGCCAACTCAGTCGCGCCTAGTAAGCGACACGAGCCGGACGCTCGAATCTCGATATCACCCACCAGGCATCTGCCCATGAAGTCAGCGATTGTCACATTGAAACTTTGGTATCTAGAGCAGAGATGACTCACGGATACATCCTGGGATCCAACCAAGGATGGTGAGAAGTATATTGATGAAGAAGTTTGAATCGCAACCCGTCTTCAAGAAGACTGCCACAGGCGGGAGAAAGATGGCGAGGAAGTACAGAAGGACATCACTCTGTCATCTGGTGAGCATAGCATCCTTTCTTCGCAAAGCTTTGAATCGGGACATACAGTTGAAGACGCTGGACGAGCCATATTGAGAAGGTTTGATGGAGTATATTTGGGTTAATTGACGGTACTGACTTGAGATTTTGTAGGTACAAACAAGCACGAAATCTTGATTCGGGAGCAGTCCGACTTATTATATAACTTGCTTTCTCAGCGTGACTTGATCAGCCACACAGGCTTGGAGTCTTCTCGGTTACACCGGGTCCAACAGGAACGGTTGTCCCCTGTGTTCATGAGCAGATCAGGTGAGTTTGGCATTATACTACTTTCACTCTCGCAGGAGGCTTCACTAAACCAATGCGACCCAGTGCTTCAAGGCTTACGGCCCTGGATCTACGCCATCAATGATACGTGTGCCACAATGAATATTTGAAGCCTTGGAAGAAAACAATGGGCTCTTATGACGTTGCTAGGTGAACATTAGGCTCATTATGGCTTAAGCTCTGGCCTGGCAATGCTTGAAGTCATTAGGTACCATAATGGACCCATTTCTTACGTTTGTGCCCATCATTGCCCATCAGAAAGCTTGGTAGCTGATCTCCAGGTGCTCATGGCGGTCACTAGCCTCGGTCGCCAGGGCCCGGATCTCTTTCATCATTACGCTGTCACAAGTACTGACTGTGACGTGGACTCGCTTTGAGCCGCATCTACGCGGCCAGCTTCGGTGGCGGGTAGTTCTTCTGGAAGCTCTTCAGCCACGAAGATCCACAGTGCAGTGCCATTCCGTGCATGCATCTAATCCCGACCCTGAATATCAGGCACGGCATCGCAGGCCAAGCGAGCTGTCGTCTGCAACTGGTCAAACTGGGCCATTTTTTGAGCACGCCTTATTGTCTACATGCTTGCCGAAATTTCAAAGAAGCTGTTGCCTTCCGTCAATGGCATCTCAGGGCACGAAGACCAGTGCCTCCTGCCAATTCAGTGATGATGTTTTCATTGGACGATAAGAAACATCTCCAATGTCTCCTCTCGGTAAGCAATGTCAGAGAAAGGGCGCGCGCATCTCCAACACGATTTAAAAGCTTCATGGGCTCCATATGGACGTCCGGAGGAGATGATATTCCTACCATCTGATCCAGTGAAACTACTTCCGGGCTGAGAATACCTGCCCGTGATTGGCCACCGCTCGTCTTTGACATACCTCTAACCATCAACACCTGTACTGTCAATCCGCAAAAGCCTTCGACAATGTCTGGCGGCGCACCAGTCCCTGTCCCCGTCAAGGGCGAAGACGCAGTAGTCCTGTGCATGGAAGATATCAAAGAACGAGCGGACGCCAACCTGCCTGAAGTCGCAAGAGGTACGTTCAAGTTCGATCCTGACCATCACCACACCCGGCGGCGGTCCTTTCATATACACCTCTTCGCCGCTAGCAGCCCAACTTAACGGCTTCATCTCGATTGTATAGATTTCTACAACTCTGGCTCAACATACCAAACCACCATCGCCGAGAACTCATCTACCTTCAACAAATACCGCCTCCGGTCCCGCGTGCTGATCGACGTCTCCCAGCTCTCGACCTCAACAACTTGTCTCGACCGGACAATCAAGTTCCCGCTAGGTATATCGCCGGCCGGCCTCCAAGCCATGGCTCATCCCGGAGGTGAACTTGCCACGTCCCGCGCCTGCGCCAACATGGGCATTAACATGGCCATATCGAGCTTTGCCAACTATCCCGTCAGGGACATCACTTCCACCGGGAACAGAGGGGTGCACTACGCGATGCAGCTGTACATGATGAAAGACCGCGGTCTGCAAGAATCTATTATAAAAGCCGCGGAAGAAGCAGGCTGCAAAGCCATCTTTCTCACGGCGGACTCTCCCGTTCTCGGGGTCCGCTATAACGAATGGCGCAACGACTTCCGGACCCCCGACGGCCTGGCCTATCCGATGTTGGGACTAACGAGCGAGATGATCCGCCGGCAGACGCACGACGCCGGGTTTATGGCGCTCAACGATGACAGCCATAACTGGGAACGAGACATTGCATGGCTGAGAGCACGGACTAAGATGCAGATCTGGATCAAGGGCGTCATGACGGCCGAGGATGCCGAGTTGGCAATCAAACACGGGTGCGATGGAATCATTGTAAGCAATCACGGCGGAAGACAACTCGACGGCGTAGCGGCCACGCTTGATGCGCTGGTGGAATGCGTCGACGCAGCGAAGGGTAGAATTCACGTGCACATGGACGGCGGGATCCGACGAGGGAGTGATATTTTCATTGCGCTGGCGCTGGGGGCGCAGTGTGTTTGGGTTGGACGTCCTGCCATCTGGGGTTTGGCGTATAATGGGCAAGCGGGGGTTGAGAAGATGCTGAGTATCTTGTACGAGGACTTTAGACGGTGTATGGCTTTGTGTGGGTGTAAGAGTGTTGAGGAGATTGGAAGGGGTTGCCTGAGGAGGATGGGATACGATGGGGTGTTGCGGAGAGTGGAGTAATTGACTGTAGTGATGGTTCAGCACTGGTTCAGCATCTGTGTTACTATGTAACGGTATGCAGTTAGAGGCTGAGTCGAGACTTGAATCCTCACAAGGACTTGCTGCAGTCAGTTTGGGAGGTCAATTCTTTCCGTCTGCTACGGTTACTTGAACGATTGTTCTCCCTTTTTCTTTGCCACATAACCAGTGTTGTGGTATAGGTGTCACACGTAGGTAAAGGATCAGGTCTGTCTTAATACCAAGGGCGGGACCAGACCTAGACTTCTGTCAAGCGCGTTGCCATTGCATCCGCCCAGAACACTTGTCCCTCGCCGTCACAGTCATCGCTCTCAAACCATAGGAACTTCGCACAGACGTCCTTGGTTGCAGCCCAGCTTGCACGGAGAGCGGGCCTGTCGGTCGAGATTGTTTGGACGAAGAATTCCTCGAACCAAGATCTCATGAAAGAAGTCGGGTCGGAAAGGACGCCACCGATCACGGTGACCCAAAGCAATAGGTCTGGACAGCACTGCTGCTGGTGCTGGTGCTGATGTTGATACTGGTGTTGTTGCTGCTGATACTGGTGCTGCTGGTGCTGTTGCTGGTGCTGATACAGGCCTTGATCATTACTAGTAGTGGTGGTCACATAGTCCTCCACGGCTTGACTGATGCGTTGGGCCAGCTTCAAATGTAGGCCGGAGACGCGCGGATACGGGAACAGCACGAGCAACATGTACCCCAACGTGCCCAGGCGGCACAGCTCATACTGGCAGGAGTCCGCGGTGAGTCCTAGTAACTCAGGAGCCCGAGGAGATGCTGCCACTGCCGCCCCCGCAGACCTGGACCTGCCACTCATGTCCGGAAGGGACAGACATTCGTGGATCAGACAGTTCCTGCCCCACATGATGAAGGGGAACGGAGGTGCCGAGTCGTCCTTGCGTAGGTAGAGGTCGTAGCTGATCGAGAGTTTGCGGATCATGGGTATGACTTGGAAAAAGGCCTCGTACAGTGCGTGCATACTAGTGTTCGAGGAGGTTGAGGTCGAGGATGATGATGATGAGAACGAAGAGGATGATTGGGATCGTTGTAATTGTAATGGGCTACCTAGCGGTAATGGTAAGCTGTCGAACCCGGTGGCCAAGTCGCGCAGGAACGGACGGAGGGTTTGTTCGTCGGGTTTTCCGGGCGGCCACATGGCTTGCAAGACCGAGGTCGGGATACGCATTGGATAAGTCGGAGCGGAAAGGCGTCTGAAGGCCACGATGCAATCGGCTCTAAGGGTGAGGGTCAGTCAATGCTCTTAGTCTGGTCGGGTCTGGTCGGGGTCCAGGACGACAAGTTCAAACTACAACAGCCGGGGGGTCAGGAAGGGCGGTGGTGGGGGGTTGGATGGTAGGGGAAACGAAGGGCGGGCGGTACTGCCGTACATTGCAATGAAATTGGACAGGAAATCGATCTGCAACGTCAGAAAGCCTCCTCTCTTCTCGATCAACGCGCGAATGGCGTCGAGGTGTGCCATTTCAAAGTCCATGGTGCCGTAGAAGTGGAAATTCTGCGCCGTCAAGAGAGTCGAGTCTTCTCTTTCGGTCGCGGCCACGTCCGACCGAGGCGCCAATGTGTCGCCCAAATCATGGGCCGCCAGGATGGCCATGCTGAGCAACAACTCGTCCGTGACGTTGTTGATGTTGGCACCGACAGACGCGATTTCTTGCCGCACGGCCTTGATCGCGAGGGACTTGTACGTCAGTCGGAGGACTCTGTTCTCCTGCATGACCGGCATCCCGGTGTGGAGGAAGGCGTTGTGCGCGGCGCTGGCAAAGACGATCGTGTAGTAGGCCGCGGGTGATCGCATGGTGCTGGCGAGCACGGCGTGCTTCATTTCGCCCACCGTGCCGGGGATCGTGGAGCAGCAAAACGACGGCCATTGGTATGTGAGCGCTGTTTTTTTGACCCAAAAGAGTCAGTAAGGTATATCAGTTTTTGGTTTTCCCACGTTTTCACACAAGGAGTTGAGTGTAAGCAACCTAGCCCGGCCCCTTGGGGGAGCAGGACCCGGTTTTACACCTGCGACCAATCGAGGTGGGAAAGAGAAAGGGGAGGGAACGATAGATAGATGACCTTACCATGATCTAGCATCTCCTGGACGTACCGAGGCTTGTCCCCAAGCACGAGCACGTTGAAAGGGTCCATCTGGCCAACGCCTACGTCTCGTAAAGACGGATAGTTGTTGATCACGCGGCTTCCGCGCATTCGGAAAGCGTTCGTGTTCCTGCCTGGCAGGTTCCGGCGAGCGGACGCACTGGCGTGAGAGTTGGATTCAGACCCTGCATTTTCAGCCTCGCCATGGGATGCTTGCTTCGATGGCATGCAACCTTGACGTTGTGGCGCCGCGTGGGAAAGCGCTTTCGCAAGTCTTTCCAGTTTGGCTTTCCTATGATACTCCCGGGCTGCATGCTTCTGCAGCGATACGTCGGCATCGGTCGTGGAGAAATGGTGTTTGACAGTGGCAGAGCGCGAGGGCCGATAGGGGACGAACAAGAGCCTCGTATCAGTTTTGGTTGCCATTGCCAGTTAACAGTAACAGCGACAGCGACCACAGTACTTTGTACGAACTGGCAGTCTGTGAAAGACGCACGAAGGATCCCCTTTCCCCAGGTGCGGGTTTCCAAGAAGCATGGGGCTTGTCCGGACACTTCAAGATAACGACGGGGATCTAGACTTCAGGACAGCCTTGGTGGACTTACGTAAAATTGCCGTCGGTCGACTTCAGCCAGCCACATTCATAAAGGCGTCTCTTTTCGGGTTGACTGCTCCCTTAGGGTCTCTTGGCTGAGGCGTTCAGAAGTGCTGATAAAGGCCCCTGGTATGATCGTTGTCGAGATGCACGGATATCCTTGAGTGAGAATAACAAGAAGAAATGCGCCTGTTTCTCTAGCAACACTCACGTCAGTAAATAGGTAAGAGGAGGAAGAAGACGACGACGACGACGAGACGACTCGACAAATCTTCGTGGAGCACCATGATTGTCAAAGCAGTACGTCAAGGTACCAGATCAGGAAGAAGGTGTCGTTCCAACGTCCCAGAAACATGGCTGTGCATGTCAGGGAGTAACGTAGATATAGATCTCTCGCCGAACATCTCGAGAGTTGTCGAAGCTAAGTTAGGCGAGATATCATCTTCATAGAGCCTGTTCGAGCTCACGCTTGATACTGTAACTTCGTACCTTATCCGAAGGTCCGATGTGCTCCACGGGGTCCATCCTTGTCCTTCTCCATTCCACCCCAGGCGTCCAAGCATTTGCGACACACCTGAAACCACCAGTGCTTCAACACCTTGGTCTCCTCAATCGGCTGCTCTAGCAAACTTTCCATTCCGATGTGTGGGAGCCTACGATAGTATTGTACTATAGTAGACCGTTTGCAGAGAAACGTAGACGTAGTGGTGCAGCGATACGTACATAGGACTGGAGACTTCAAAAGACGTGAGTTGTTCAAAGTTCATTAGATATTATTGTATTAGATTATTTCTCGTCGATCGAACAGCTTCGTCGATCGCTCGAGGCTTGAGCCGTACTGCCTTGTCCAGTGGGCTCGACCAGGAATGCAGGCGGAAATGCTCAGCCTCGTTGATGACTCCAATCACCCAGTCAGCCTCGTCTTCCACACAACAGTCACACAGCATCTCAGTGCATGCGTAAGCCATGCGTAAGCGCCCGTACTCTGGCCTCCTGCAAACGGCCGAATTGTTCTGTACAAGTCAGGCGTGCATCATGGTTGTGCTCAAAACTCCATGCATGACCGTTAGACTTTGTGACCTGTTGGGGGCTGAACCCCTGTTGTGACCAGGCACGGAGAAACCTTGAAAGGCCGTAAGCCGTTGACTGGGGGAGGTCATCGTCGGACTGTACTGCATCCATCGTGTATCCTGGCTGCGTTTGACATTCCTGCTTCGGTCCACAACACAAAAAAGCCGTTTCCTCTGCTCAGAGCAAAGCTGACTCAAACAAGCCCAAAACTCCCGGCTCTTTCTTCCTCTCTGTTGAAACCAAGCGAATGGCATATCGGTCATAAACACCATGTCTCGATATCTTTTGTACAAAGTGTAAGCGAATGAGGTATCTCAATTCAGTCGGTAAACAGTAGCCGCTGAACGGATGGAAAACCGCTCTCCTCTCGATGAAAACGCCGCCCTCTCTCCTTGGCAACAAATGCAAGGCGTAATAGAGTCAACCTTGTCCGTACCCAATCCAATCACCAATACATGCAATAAGTCCGGCTAAACACGATGGTGCTGCTGTGCAAGGTGACAACATCATACCAAGTAAAAACATTCCCGACAAAATATGGGCGCGAGAACAAAAACGTAGATGGTGAATCCTTGCAGCCGTCCGAGCCGCCTGATTAAGAGCCTGCAAGGATGTAGCGATCGGTTGGGGAATCCCCGGACATAATGATCGTCGGCTCGCAGTCATTGAACTTCGCATCGCGTCTATTTGCAAAGTCATAAAAAAGTGTCGCTCATATGCAAGTTCCCAACCGTAAAGCATGGCATGGACTCGTACGGAAAACGCCCTGCCGAAAGTGCTGAAACTAAAGGAGAAGTCGAAATGGAGAAATAGTCTCATCTTTCGTGGTTGGAATAGGCTTCGGTCCAGACATTTTGGGTTTCCTCAACTGGACTCAACGAACCGGAGGAGATGGAGGACGAAGAGCCGATCGTCCATTCGTCGCTGTCGGGATGACTGCCACCAATACCAGCAAGACCGTAGCCATAATCACTCTGCTCTCCAATTTCGACAAAGTCGTAATCCCACCGATAGTTCTTGTCTGGTTGGAGACGAGGAAGGAACTTGGCCTTTGCAAAGTAGAAGATGACACCAGCCAGCATGCTGCCCGCAACCAGGTCCACAGCGTAGTGATGTGACAGGTACATGGTAGCCCACCACAGCCACATGGCGTAGAATGCGAATAGAGGGGTGAGTTTCGGGAAGACGTGGCTCATGAAAAGTGCTTCGAGGGTCGAGGTAGCGGCGTGAAGTGATGGGAATGCTCCAAAAACCATGGGAGACGCCGTGAAACCAGAAGTGTACATATCGAATCCTAGAAGTGCGTCGATACGCGCCAGACCGGCTGGCGAGCCTTTCATCGAGTAGTTTGCTGGAGCTAAGCCGTACATGTTCTCGTACCATGGCGCGGAACAAGGAAGCACGACCTGAGTAATGACCCCAATGAGATTTAGGTAGCCGAATGCGAACCCGAAAACCGGTACTGTCGTTGGTGGTGCATAGATGAACATGATTGCGGAGCACACAAATGGAGCTCCAAAGTGTCCCAGGCCGTAGGGAAACCACGCCAGCAGATCGAGTATAGTGTTCTTGTGGGCGGAAAGGATATTGCTTAGGTTTGCGCCATAGAGGATATTTTCGAGCGCAGGTAGGACTTTGACCCAGATGGGAGGTCTCCATTCGGCTGGGATAAACCTGAAGAGTACGTCAGCCTGAACACAGACGTGTCTCCCAGAACGACTCACCTGCAAGCGTAGAAGAGGATAAGGTAAGCGGCTATGGGCATGAAAGGACGGAAGAATTGTCGAGTGATTGGGAATACCAAGGACGTGAGTAGCAGTGTAGCGACCGCCGTCTTGACCAGGGGACCCGGAGACTCAATTATGCTCAAAGAGAAAATCCCAATGAAGGCCAGGAAAAGCCATTGTGCATCGTAGATTGACCATTTGTGGTTCTGTAGGGCTCGTAATGTGTCTGCAGGAGAGAAAGAGGTCTGGAGATTTGCGAAGGTCGAGGCAGGAGATTGTCGGTTTCGTAGCTTTGATCTCAGCTTGCGCCGTAGTCTATGAGGGACGAGGATCTGTATTGACCGCCATGGTATCTGAATGTGCTTCTTGGAAAGAGCGGTGTCCTTCCAGGACGGAAGGGAGGCCTGCATCGCAGCGTCGCAGCGTCGAGCTGGCTGGGTGCGCAGAGTTGTCAAGCCGTTTCTTGAGGCGTGTGAGGGGTGTCTGTGTTCTCGAGGAAGAGGACTGTGGGAGCGACGGCGACCAGGAGAGCGGTAGGAAGCGAGGAGGTGAGGAGAGAGGTCGACCGAGAAGAGATTCCGGGCAATCCGAAGTGATAGAGAAGAAACGGAGAGGTCAAGGGCTTAGGTGAGCAACAAAGAGACGATGTGGATGTTGGCGGATACTGATGCAAGATGAGAAGCAATAATAATGCCTAGAATTGTGCAGACTCAGACGAACCGGAGCAGCCGCAGGAAAAGAGAAGAGGTGAAGAGGCCACTACCTTAGGCTTGGGGGCCGTCAGGGCCATTCATGGGCCCTTCTGGAGGATGGCAGGGATTGACTGCCCAGTGGACCAGTAGTTACCTGAGCTGAGCCGAGCGAAAAGCTAGCCCATTAGGGACTCAAATCTGGGCTATCGATGGCCCACTCCTCAGGCTCCCAGGCTCCTCAGGCTCACTACCTGGTAGGCTAGGTGGTAGGTATTATTCGCTCGCCCCTGGAAATCGAACAGCAGCAACCGCAGACGCACAGAGTCCACCCGTTGCCGTCCCGAAAAACTCTTTTCTTTTCCATCTCGACGTCACCACGAAGGAATTGTAGGTGTTGGCATGATGCAACTTTGCAGATGAAGCACCATCATCGACGAAGCCATAGTGGCGCATGCGCATGCCGGTGTTTCTGAATTCTGTGAATGGTTCTATCGTCCAGCCTCGTGTACTTCTACTGTGGTACTGCTCCATGGAGGGCCTGAGTAATGAAAGTAGCTCGTATTACGGATACGAGATGGTTAGTGGCACGCGAACAGACTTCCAGGTCTGGGTGGTTTATTAGCGATGCTGACTGTGATTGCGACCAATTTCCTTTCGGATATTCAGGACTGTGTGCAGGACTGTGTGCATGACTGTCATTTGACCTCATCGCCCACTATCGCCCACGGATCGTAGTGATCGCACCACAATCTTGGATGTGTCAGATACTGACTTTCCAATCGTGCCACTGAGTCCAGAATCAGTCTTTTCCAATCAATCATCCTTCCTTGCATTCCTTCGTTTCACCCTCAAAATTTCCTTGCCTAAACAATTTCTTACTTCTCCCACGAACCCCGCTGATTTCCCTTTTTTTGGCCTTTTCTCAACAGGCTCCAGCAATACATAGTAACTCGATTTGATCGGCAGCTCTGATCTTCCCGTCGCGTCCGTGTATCCATGTCAAGCACGTGAGTCGTTGCTCTACAGAGTATGCATACGATAGTGTCACACGCTCGGGGTGTTTCTGCTTCCGGCCGAGTCCGCACCAGTCACAGTACCGAGCCAGACAAATGCCATTGTTGGCAGCTGAAAATAGCTTCGACCTACTGTATTATGAAGGTCATCATGCATTGAAAAGGCCCCTGCCTTGAGCTGATTGGATCGCTTGACCTCATCCTCTGCCTTGCCTCGGCCTGTCTGTCCATTCGCCGATGACTTTCAGCTGACAACTTCCCCGATCGACTGAATCCTATTCCTTGACAGCATGCCAGCTATCTCATAATAATCAGCATGCGGCACGGATTGACCCGCAACGCTGAGGCTGACCGATATCAGAATCTGACTTGCCTGTCCAGAATCGTTGTCGATTTCCGGAGCGGATGAGTAGCCGTGGCGTAATAAGGCTACATCCACTCAACGAAGAAGAACTGGTTACAGTATCTGCATGGGACGTCACGGGTACATGATCACTCATGTCCATAGGGAGTATGAATTCCGTAATCGTCTCTCTAGGTTGCCCTGACCACCCCAACCCGACTCTCCTCGAGTCATGTCCGGCACAGACTGCTATCATAAGCTACTCGCAATATCCCCGCTTCTGGAACAGTCTGTCCTGATATGTCACTTCGTCCTGCTGGTAACATAATTGTTGCCCACGAGGTTCGCCATCGATCATGATACAATTCAAGACCCTTCGTTGCTGTCCTTCCGTTTCAGGTGCTGGCTCGTGCGGTCAGACAACCTGTCCACAATGCTTGAGCTCGCTCATAAGACAACGCATGCGCTTCGTCACCAATCCTTCAGGACATTCACGCTCGCTCTCATGTTAAGTCCACGCAACTATCTCTGCCCAGCTGTTGCCGATGTCGTCTTCGACAGATTCGCCTGACCCGACCCGTGCCTCGACAACGACGGAGCACTTTGTGCCGAACTTGATCGTGAGTACCTATTGTGTCTCCCATTAGTCACGTGCCTTCGCCTTCCTCAAGTTCGTGTTATGATGCACTTACGGATTCCGCTTTTCAGCCGTCGGGGTCGAAGTCGGTGTCGATATTTTACCGCTTTGACCCCAGCCCAACCGCGACTTATACTCCGGCCACGATGCATTGTTCCAGATCTTGGTGATTACACTAGAAGACCCTCACTGTCAGCCTTGGCTTCCTGGAAGTGGTTCGGCATCATTGGAAGCCATGTAAGGCATACCTTTGTGCTGCATCCTCCTCGTGCTGTAGGGTTCTCTCTTTCACGCCGACCTTCATTCCGTCGCGACTAAAAGATACATTTTTCTTCTCCAGCTTCTGTTTCGTGTTATGTCCGACGTCATGAGCGATCTGGTATGCGACGAGTCCAACGACAGCAACGAGACCGATGACGATCACCAGAATGATGAAGGATATGATGTGGCCCGCCTGAGACATTGTGTCTGATCCACGAGAAACGCCGCAGGTAGATTTGTTTCGGAGAGGAGGTTCAACGACGATGAGGATGTCGTGCGAAGGGGGTGACTGTTCTTTTGTAGCCGCTGGTCAGATGCACTGTTGTTTCGCAGTCCACGAGGGCGAAGACGATGACAATGACAAGTCGTCAGATAAATCGTAGAGTAGACCACGCTTCGGAGCTGTCCTTGTGTACACTCTAGTCGAATCGAGTGTAAGCCCTAAATCATGCGGCTGAGGATCCTCTTTGCGTTGTGTGCTTGAACAACTCGAGGTTCCTGAAGAACGCAAATGAATGCGCCACAGTTGAATCCGTTGTCCCTGTGGCTTGGGAAATCCTCTAGACCAGAAAGAGAATGGTGAGACGGCCAAGCCCACGTCAAGAAATCATGTGGCGCGGATCACCATGGTGCGCAGATGCATGTGAGAGTCACATCATGACATCGTAGGAACCAGCTGCATTAAATGTCCACGAAGCGCCAAAGCCAGACAACACTGCAAACATATGCACCGCTGAGCTCGTTCTGGCCTCATCTATTTGCAAGTAAATCATTTCTCATAGTCCTGAACAGGTGCTCATTGCCAATCCGAACTCTATTGGGTATCATGCTGTGAGTGTAGACCACAATCCAAAACGCCGCGCCATGTCAACGTACATTAACTTACTCGTATGCCCTGTATACCTGGTAGTCATGGGTTCCTCACTCGTCATCGAATATTTGCACCTTCTCGCTGATCTCCCATATCCTGCTTTCATACCTTTCCTCGATCTCGTGTCCTCTGCCACCAGCAACCCTCAGAATCAAATCGTTTAAGCTGCTTCGGCCGAGGATATCAACATGGTCGCCTGTATTCGGACCACCTCGAGGACTAAACCGATCAGGTTCATGAGGCATTTCGTAGGTGGTGACTTTGACACCAGCAGGATTGTACCGCCTGATCTTCTTCCACCCCTTTGCACACATGTAACCCGTCGAAAGGAGATTCACTGTACCGTCTCCTTCGCCAAAGACGACTCCATGGTCAATCACGCCTGGCTGTTGGGTACGGCCATTTGGCGAACTCACTGACGTGTCGATCGATACATTGACATTCCCATGTAATGGATTTTCGTTGTCCTTGTAGAAATAAGATCGCTCTGTCGGCTTGCCAATCCCGTAGAAGCAGTAGATCTTCATGTCCGGTGCAATTGGCAGACGCGCTTCAAGCGGATTCAGCCACGTCTGGGGGACGTTCTCATTACGCTCCACCTCGGCCTTCGTGTGAGCCACGCCGTGAGAGTACGCGTGTTTGATTTGTTCCTGATACCATGGCTCCGTGTTGTTCATAAGATAGTCAAATGACTCAGCCATGGTCAAATTCTTGCGAGCAGGTCCGGTTGAGTTAAATTTCGGCCTGAAGGAGAGAAAGACACCGTGAGTGCTGTTCTGCTGGGGATACGGCAAGTCATCGGGCGCCCAGGTACTGTTACCCCAAACTGCTTCGCCACCCTTGGGCAGCATCGACGATATACCGGGCATGGCGCGAAAGATTTCTGCGCGATCTTCCCGGGACAGGAATTTCTCGAGCCCGTATACAGCGAAGGCGTTGAGTTGAGCTGTGTCTTTCATCTCGCCAGATAGAAGGGCAGGGATGTCCTTTGCTGTGCCGAGCATGCAACCTGATATATTGATCCAGGAGTCAATATAAGTGTTCACCCAATGAGGGCCGCCTTTGCCGTGATTTTTATGCTCGGCCCATTTCATAAAGTACAAAACAACTTGGCTGCCCATTGAGTGGCTGACGAGTACGACCTTACGCCCTGACGTGGCATAGGCTACTTCGATATAGCTCTTCAGCCTCGTGAAGTACTGGTCGCGGACTTCTAGATTAGCGTACGACAAGCGCCAGTCGTATGCTGCCGTGAAGGCATTCGTCGGGTCGTAACCGATCGTAGCGAGGTTCTCTAAGATCTTGTTCCATATCCAGTACCCCGTGATAAAGAAGTCTGTTGCATCGAAGCCTTGAGCTGCACGAAGCTTGATGCCCGGAGGGTCTAGCCCCGTCTCCTTGTCTAGCATTATATGCTTCTTCCACGCCGCTTGGTCCAGCACAAGCGCTCTCATCATTGACCACGAGCCCCAGAGGCGTTTCCGGAAATACTGGCGTGACTTCTCGCCGGTGGACCATGACTCCAGGCCTGTGGAAATGACCCCAGGAACCATGATCACGGGATGATCCGCCGATATGCCTTGCGACTGTAGGTGCAGACCCACAGCAAAGGAGTCGTAGTTGACCACATCCCGTTCTGCTTTGGACAAGTCCTTCACATCTTTCACAATGCCGGCAGGGATAGCGTCCATCAAACTGTCCAAATTGACTTCGAGCAGTCCTTCCAGCTTGATAACATCTTGCGACTGGGCGAAAAGCAGGGCTAGCACCAGTCCCAGAAGACTCCCCAATCCAAAGATGACCCCGGACCTCCTCTTTGTGTGTCTTTGCTTTTTGAGATTCTCTAGCTTCTTGGTCGAAACGACTTTGACTTCTTCGCTAGGATCGGGCGTGCTTTCTCGACTGGGGGATGGAGATGGTGTTGACAGGGCATTGGCAATGCGCCGCCGCAGGGCTGACATGGTTTCTAAAGAGGCTTCTCGAACGAGTACAAAATGGACGAGGAGCACACGACCACAGACAAGAAGTCTTGCCGGGTCGGCCGGAGAGATTTCTCTGAGGTACCCACGTACCTTAGGTGGCTTAGGTAGACGGGCTCGACGGATTGATGAGTGTGCAGTTTCACATGCAGGGGAAACTTGAATGCTTCTCCAATTTCGTCATGAATTTCGATCCATGTTTTGAAGCGTCGGGGAAATTCGCTTTCACATCCACCACACCTTTCAGGCGCACGATCTGATTTTCAGCCGGGATCTCAGGCTTGCTTCGTTCAATTCACATGATGGCACGACGGAGACCTCGGTAACACGATTGAATCTACAATGAGCAGCGATGTGTCCTCTGCACCAATATCCGAGGGCCAGACGGGTTCGACAGCTGCGCGTTACCAGAGCAATCCTCCCGGCATAAGTTATGTTCAGTATTCTCTCGAGAAAGAGCCGGAGTACCTACCTCAGATTCGCGAAATGATATCAAAGGACCTTTCCGAGCCTTACAGCATCTACGTGTACAGGTATTTTCTTTACCAGTGGCCGGAGTTATGCTTCCTGGCGCTAGATACGACGGACCACGACAAACTGGCTGGGGTGGTCATTTGCAAGTTGGAGCCGCATAGAGGAGGACCCCTCCGAGGGTACATTGCTATGCTCGCAACTAAAGACACTTTTCGCGGGAAAGGGATCGCGACGACTCTAGTCAGCAAAGCAATCGACCTGATGATCGAAAAAGACGCCGACGAAATTGCGCTTGAGACAGAGGAGACAAATACTGCAGCAATGAAATTGTACGAGCGGTTAGGTTTCTTGAGAAGCAAGAAACTTCACCGATACTATCTGAACGGCAACAGCGCATATCGACTATTGCTGTATCTCAAAGAAGGAGTCGGGAGCATTCCCGTCGACATGGGACCCGAGAATTATAATGACCTTCCGGGAGCCGTACAGGATGAGTTTCGAAATCGACCTCGGGATCCAGACGACCCTTTCGGCCAAGGGATCATATGAGGTTTCTTTCCGGGTATGCCACCGAGATCTCAGCAATCTGGCGCAGAGGCCGCAACGCTGATCAACCGCAAAGGTTGCCAGCAGGATCGAGGAAGGACGACAGATGGCGAATTGTTCGGCATCGGAATGTCTCCTTCACCCAGACATCAGTCAAGTCTTGGGATAGCAAGCTCTCCGACGGATCGGTTGCCAAAGGGGCCCTCGACAGACTCGTCTTATTTTAGCCAGATGAGGGATCGATCTGAATCGTGGTTCGAACAATCATAAGCAGCCTCCAATCCATTGCTCCCATCTTCTCACACCTTTCCCTGCCTCTTCGCCTTTGACTGCGCCTCCGAGAACATCAACGCGAATATTGTACTCGTCCTCCATCAACTTGAACGTGAACTGATCCTCCCCCCCTCCGCCAAGAACATCTCCTTCTGTGTCTGCATCTGACTCTTGTCCCACTGTTGTCAGCCCTTTGCTCTTCGAGACTCTCACTCTCTCAATCTCTGCTTGTAGTCGTTCTCTCACCGCCCCAGCAGGCAGAGCAGTAAATAAGTCCTGCTTGTTTGCCGCAATAAGGACAGGTATCTCTGTATTTGTCTTTGTCTTTCCTGTGACTCGTCGCTGTAGGGCTAGCAGTGTATCGTGCAGGTACACTGCAGTATCACGAGATGCAGCTGAATCACCCGAGTCGAGGACACTGCTGTCAACGACGAAGATAATCCCACGCAATGCAGGATTTTGTATTTGAGACAGAGCTTGTTCGGTCCTCAGTTTTCCATGCCCAGGTGTATCTATCATGACATATCGAGTCGGTTGCTTGCTTTTGAGGGAGACATCGTTTTCGGAGCGATATTTATTGGATCCCAAGGGCACCGAGGCAGGCAAAAGTAAGCTGAAATTGGAGGATACTTGGGATATACGGGTAGCGGACGGGTCCCATTCTTCTGGATTCTCGGATCGTTTTTGCAGCTATTGACGTTAGGTTTTCTAGACCGAACAGGAGTTTCAAGTCCTTACTAGAGAGACAAGAGAAGTCTTGCCAGCGCCGCTTGGTCCCAGAAGGAGAAAAGTAGGCACAACTTTGGCACGCGCAGTCTGGGTGTAGAAATAGAGGTGTAGGAGCAATGGGAGGGATATTGTGACCAGGAAAGCAATCAAGATGGCAAGAGGGTCGCCGGAGAAGAGCCTTGTAGGCCAACTATCCGGCGAAGACCAGCCCATGTTGAGCGGTAGAAAGGATCGTGGTTGTTGTAATATACCAATGGCATGATTCTTCTATCAAGTGGGATGAAGGGACTCGGAGACGAAGGTGACGTGCGCAAGTGAGGCTGTGGAGTTGATCGGCCGCCAATCTTTATTTATCCCTTTTGCGGGCTGCCAGGCGTTTCGTGTCTCACGGCATGTCGAACTGCGACCATCGACCTTCCATGGACTCTTTCATGCAACCCTAAGCATTCTTCTGGTCTGTCTGTCTGTGTACTTCTACCCCTTCGACGACACATCCCTTTCGATCGCTCACGTAACGAACCGCCGCCATGATATTACGGAGTCTCCTCCTTCTCGCGACCTCCCTCCTCTCCTTCACCCTCGCCGATGTCTTGGTCACCACACCCGCCGCAGGAGCCTCGATTGCAAGTCTCACACTCAACGTGGCATGGAAAGATTCGGGGAGTACGCCCAAAATCGCGGATCTCGCTTCATACCAACTTTTTCTCTGCGCAGGAGGAAACGACGAGGATAACTATGTAAAATGGACATTCCATGATTAAATTAGATGCAGGCTAACACGCGAAGATACAACTGGCGACCCTAGTAACAACCGGCGATTTTGCAGATGGCAATTCAGTCTCAGTCACCCTGACTACTGGTCTAGGCGGGAACGTGCAAAATGCATACTTCCTGAAATTCATCTCCGCGGCCACAGGAGGCACAGTCGTCAACTTCTCCGACCGCTTTTCCCTCACTGGCATGACAGGAACGTTCCCTGCAGCGGTCACAGCAGGTTTGAAGACCGTCACGGGGACAGCCGGGCCAGCAACACAAAATAATGTTCAGTCCTCTCAAAATAACGCCGCCGCCGCTGGGGCAGATGCCATTCCAGCCAACGGAGCGTCCGAGTACAGTGTTCCTTATACCATGCAGACTGCCAGTATTCGTTATGCACCGATGCCACCAATTGCTCAGACCAAAATCACTGCGAAGAACGCGTCGCCTCAGTGGCCGACGAGCGCATATACTGTATACAAGTCGAACGTTGGGGCGCCCAACGCTGTCACTACCCATACTGAGGTTTTCACATTCAGTGTTTCGAGTAGAGAAGCGACGGTAAGCCTCCGGGCCTCCCTCCTCAAGATCCTTGCTGACATGTACAGGTCGCTGCGGCTGGTCAACCCACCGATGCAGCAATGCAAAAGTACCTGAATCGATGGAAGGATTAGTTTGGCCTTTTATAGCATTAACGAAATTGTATGGACGGCGTCAAGGTGCATAATTCCTGGTGCAGAATGGAGTTCTTTCTCTTGTCAATATGAATCATACCTTTAAAAGGCAAGGATGGTGGTACGCCTCCAACGCCATGCTCGTCATGATCAATCAAAACCCACTAGAACAATGTCCTGCCTTGACCATGAAATGTCACCGATAGATCTCATCAAAAGGCCTGGTATCCCGGAAACAGCTGTCCCACACTTCGTTCACCACCTTATCAGCATGTGCCTCGTCCTTACAATTCGGCCTCGCCATGACTGATCTGATCACTCGCCGCCGCACACAATCTTGATGATGATTTGTAAAACTTAAGATCTTGTTCCTAAAGAACTCGTTCGCCCACCGACACTCGCCGCTGAGGTTGCTTGCTCGGATCTGCCGCCTCGTTAGTGAGCACACTGTGACCTCCGGTCTTTTTATTATCTCTGAGTAGGGCCCGGCTATGTTCAGAATACGTACCTCCGAGCAGGCCGCATGCCTGAGGTCCGAATCGAGATCCGTCTTGAACCGCAAATGGTCATATGCATGCACCATCTCGTGCGCTACGACATCTTCCATCATACTCTTGCTCTGGACCCAGTTCGCGCAGACTTTGATTCCGTACTGGCGGTCAAACCCGGCCAGCATCCCTTCCTTGCACGTCCGGCAGCGGATGTTGTGTGGCCCGATATCCCCACCCAACTTGCGGATGTTGTCATTCATGTATCGTATAACGGGCGACGTACGGAGGAGGTCGTCGCGCCAGGTCTCGCAGCGCTTGCAGTCAAAGTCAGAGTACCGCTCGTCCGAGTCATCCCAGTATGCTTTCTGACCCTCGGGAGACATGGAGCCTGTGGCCATGCGGTAGAAGTTCTTGAAGCGGTTGACAAGGGTGTTGCTGGGGAGGAAGTCGGAGCCCGACTGGGGAGGCGTGGAAGTGGAGGAGAGTGATGGTGATTGTGATTGTGAGTCGGCGGAAGACATGACGGACGGAGTGAAGCAAAAGAAGGCAAGGAATGTAAGCCCAGAACCAGACACGTAGAAGTGCTGTGATTTGGAAGCTGTGCTCTGCTCACTTTTTTGCGAAGGCCAAGTTCATGCGCTGCCAGAAACAAATGCGAGTTGGAGAGAAACGAATGATGATGCTCTCCGATTCGCTGCTGCCACACGGTCCATTTCTACCTCTTCCTTCCTTCAGACTATTTCTCACTTCTTGTGCTAGGAGACAAGCAGTATCAAGTGTATCCAACAATATGCTGAGGATGACAGACCATCTTCTAAAAACTCATTCCTAGTTGCACTGTATCGAACACATGCTTCTAGAATGCACCAGCTTCCATTCCGACATCTACAACAGCGAGAAACCCATCTTCAAAATCCAATAAGGTCCTGGATCACCAGAGGCGTCCTAGGTCTTACAAGCAATCCGTTCGAAGCCTGTCGTCCACAACAGGCTGCCATTGATAACGACCAGCAGAGCTAATCCCACCAGCAAACTCGAGAACCCGTAAATATATGCATGTCTTCTCTGCAACGTTTCCAGCTCCCCAACCCAGGTGCTCACGGTGGTGGCGCAACCACAGTATCCTTCTATCACACCCTCCAGAATCTGACATGAAAGTACGCTTATGTTTCCAGACCGTTGCAAGCTATAGCACATTCCCAAGACCGCGGTGCCGAACACATTGGCGGTGAATGTTCCGGTGGGAAACATTGGAAGCCGCCCATTCAGATGCTTGGACACATAGAAGCGAAAGAGGCATCCAATTGGGGCAAATATGAGCGCAAATAGGACCTGACCTCTCCAGTGATTACGTGGAGGCCATGCCGCGAGGAAAATTGCACCCAGCCAGCAACCGGGCCCGAGTACGACCAAGGCTGGATCCACGAAGCCTCGAATGAGACGAAATGGCAGCACCGGCGTGATTCCTTCGATAGCCAAAGCGGTATGAGCCCCTAGCTTTAGGGCACCAACGGAACACGCCACGTGTATGATCATGATCCCGATCACAGCCTCGAAGTCATATCCACGATGCCGTGGCGCTCCCACACTAGTCTGTGCCGTTTGTCCAGACTGATCGCTCAGAGCCAAAAAGGCGTCAAGCATGAAGGTCGCAAAGGAGGTGAATGAACCACAGAACCCAGTAGCAAGCCCGATATAGAGGGGTATCGTTGTCTTGGAGTGGCGATGTCTTTTGCTGGCTTCGGAAAGGAGCTCTTTGTCATGAGGATCATGTTGCAAATGTTTGAACGACCATTGCTCAGAGTGCGTGCCCCATTCCTCTCGGAACAAACGGCGGTCTTCGACCAGAAAGCCAAAGACTAAGGAACCGCCCACGTTTGCCCACAACACAGGCGAAGATACTGGCGCTCGGGGATAGCGAGTGATGGCCGTCACACCAAGCCGACTTAATGTGCCCAATATGGCAAAGAATATGAGGTGTGATATGATGTATAAGTGAGTGAGTGACGCCGAGTTCCATTTGGTCTGTGGCTGTTGCAGCTGTTTTTCTTCACCTCCACCCCCACAAACAATATCATCCTGCTCGTGCTCAGGTGCTCTTCTACTGCTGATGTTGCTGCCAAATGAAGGCATCACCAATTCAGTTAGAGTCCCGCGGTGTCGATTTCTTCGACTTGGCTCCAGCTGTTCTTGCTCGCTCAACGCTCTTGTTTCCTCTTGCTCCAGGGAGTCTTGTCTGCAGCTGTCAGGCTCTGCAGGTTCTGGCATAGCCATCTCAGTCAATGCGGCATTGTCGTCATAGACATCAGACGTTCGTGATCGAGAAGGAGCTGAAGACTCCCGCTCGGACTGCTGGCTCATGGGGTTTTTCTCGACATCTACAACCCTCCGTCGCCCTCGTGGGGAAGACATTTTTGGACCTGGTGTCTGAAGGGATTGTCGCAGTAGCAGAAGGCAGTTTCGGTTTCGAAGCGTAGTACAAAGATTCTAGCACTGCTACTAAATACCATGCAACGCGCCGCTAGCGTTAACCGGGACAGGCGGTAACAACGACCACTTCCCGTACCCGGTGGACACTTGCCAGGTCTAGGATTTCTATTACTTATGACTTCTGTTCATCCAACCGGTTTTCCCCCATGCCACATGAGTTGAAGCAATTCATCGTGCCTCTGCCTTGGAGATCAGTTTCATCCTTCGTCTCCTACGACCAACAGTTGAGCCGCCGAGGCGTAGCATTCACAAGGCATCACTGGAGTCAAGGTCGACGTCAAACGAACTTCAATCTAGCATGATTACCCCCACAGAAAGCCCAGCAATAACACCAATTCCGGTTTAGCCATGCTCGAGCCACGCACCCACGAGATCCAGGATTTTAATTCGCTGGGCATCGGAACACCCGGATCTGGCGAAACGAACGGAGAAGCAAAGACGACAACGGGAAGCCAGAATATCTGTCAATTGTCCATCGTGACGTGGTCCCTTGCAGGTGCTCTGTTGCTTGGAAGATATAGGTCGCTCGGTGCCAAAGTCTCGCAGCCGTCGCATCCATCATCCGGACCTGTACCCGTCAGAATGAGTGACACCCCCGCATTGAAGCGCCGCCGCGTTACGCGTGCTTGTGAGAGTTGTCGGAGTCTGAAAGCGAAGGTAATGCAAAGCACTACGGTCTCATAGGTAAATCGTGTACTTTGGCGCTATGGTTCCATTCAACGACAAACAGCAGCGAGGACAATTTGTGTGGCAGGAGAGCCTCCTGTTAAATGCAAGGTCTGACTGCTGCTTCGGCGGTTCAAGCGGCAGCTGTTTTGCATCCCGGTGAAGCCAGTTTAATTACACGATTTACCCATGAGACCATAGTACCTCTTCTCCGATACCGCGTTGGGTACAGATTAAGCTGACATCCATGTCACCAGTGTGATGGTAACCATCCTATTTGTGGTCGATGTGCAGGCTATGGATATGCCTGCTACTGGAAAGATAATGGTCAACGGAAAGGTGTTTCTCAATGCGACCATACGCAGCTAGGCTTCCTGTCCGTGGACGACGAGATGCAGAAACTGAGAGATTCCATCGCGGTGTACGACAGCCTCCTTAGGGGTCTTCGCGATAAACTCTCCGAAAACGATCGGAAAACGGTGAATCTGGGCCTGGCATCACTTCAGATCCCGGTCTCTGATTCAACGTGTACCCAAGGTACGACGATGACTCCGTCCTTGACTGAGCAGGGCGTGGTGAAGACTAGCGAGAAATCTCCGTCACAACGCTACCTCGGGGAGGCGAGCGACATCCGATTCTTCCACGATATGGAATTGGCATACTGTCGGCCACCTGAGCCAGATCGACAGCAAGGTCATCCCGAGGCACGGGTTGACAGCTATGAACAAGAAGGCCCAATTGCCCAAGATCCTGGAGATAAAAGCCATGTTCTACTTCCAGAAAGGGCAAGTGCCGACCGTCTCGTGTATATATATTTTTCGACAATTCATATTGCCTATCCTTTCATTTCGGAGCCCGACTTCAGGCAGACATACGAATCGTTCTGGCAGTCAGATTCACTGGAGGGCTTCCGCGGGCCATGGCTATCCCTACTGTGTAAGTTCACTGAACATCAACCCAGTATATTTGGACGGAGGCCTTACATGAGAGAGCTGAGAGCGATCCTTCTCTGTCCTTGTCGTCCAACAGTATCCAAGACAGGTTCCTATCTATTCTTCTACCAAGTGTTCTCAATGAAGAATGTACATCGTGGCCATATACTAACTCCACTTTAGTGACCGTCTTTGCTATCGGTTCCTGCTATGAGGGTATTGCTGAGTCTGAAGCTGAGCATCCTATCCAGGCGCAGACGTCTGGTCAACATCAACGCTATTTCGATCACGCAGTCACTATAGCACGAAATTACGCGTCGAAGCATACGGTCGACCATGTTAGCGCACTCCTTGCTCAATGCTTTTACCTACTCGCTACTTGCCAGACGGACCGATGCTGGACAACCCTGGGAATGGCAGTCCGCATTGCCCAAAGCATTGGCCTCCACGTCGAAGAGGGTCACCGAGCATCTTGTGAAGATGCCCTGGCGCCGAGGGAAATGTGTCGTCGAGTTTGGTACTCCATCTTTGTGCTCGACCGTCTTCTAGCTTTGCAATTAGGGCGTCCGCCAGCTATTAGCGAAGAGGGCTTTTACGTGGACCTGCCGTCTAGGGGGTCTAATGTTGATCTTTCAAGCCAAAATGATCAGCCCGAGGTCAATCAGAAGGTTTGGATTGGGGACTATTTCCTTGCAATGATAAAGTTTTCCACAATCATTGGGAGAGTCTTCGACAATTTGTATGGCCCGAAGAAAGCCACGGACGTCGCTTTGATCCTGTCAGTGATTGATCGATTGGATTCTGAGATGTTGCAATGGAGATCGCAGTTGCCGCGGCATCTGAGATTCGACCTCTCTCACACCTTTGAGAACTCTATGACGTTCAAGAGACAAGTACGTATTCACAGGGTCGTTATACTCACCTGTCTGACATGAGCGGTAGCGGAACATGCTGGCCATAAAATTCTACAACCTCCAAGCTCTGATTCATCGGTCGCTTCTGTCACCTGCCAAATTGCTCGAATCAAGTCCTAGCTCCAGGCCGGTTTGCCAAGCAGAATACGGTCGTATCTCTCTGTCGAAAAGAAAGTGCATCTTAGCCGCTCAACATACCGCGAGGCTCCTTCACAACATCGAAGACAAGAAGAGCCTGGTTTACGGTTTCCCCTGGTGGCAGATGATATCTTGTCTGATTTGCGCAAGTTCGATCCTGCTGGTTGCAGGAATCTGTGTGGATCTGAACCTGGAGGGAGATGTGTTCAGCGACATAGACTGGGAAGCTGTTGATGAAGATGCTGAAGTTTGCCTGACAGTGTTCCAGGCCCTGAGTTCGAACTCGAACGCAGCAAAACTCGCCAGAGACATGATGCAACGGCTCAAAAAGACCCGAATGATGTCCAGAGGTGAGCTATTGTCTTCCCTATCAGTGCCTATCCAAGTATTCTAGAGGACTGGTGATCACAGGTGGCTTGTCATTCCTCTCAATTCGAGCGCTATAGCGACCTGGCTGACATGCATTTACTCGTCCCTTAGGAAAAGTACCGAATCTCCCTGAAGACGGACTGGTGAATCCAGTCGAGAACGCAACCGACAATTCCCGAAACATCATGCCATCTACCGAAGCCTTCGAACTTACTATGCCGTCACCTTTCGACCCATTCGGCCCTGGCCAGGACTCATTTAACCTCATGTATCAGACCATGCCCTATGAGGTCTCAGAGCCGGTAATGTGTAAGTTACCTTCCTGTTGTTTTCCTCTACCCCCATATCTCGAGTTGAGTTCGAGTTAGTTGAGCATTTTGAGCTTGGCGGGTCTGATGTTTCTCGCACCGTTGAGAAGGGACAGGGGCCATCCTTTTGAATTGATGCCTGATACTTTTCGCAGGGTCGGCGCAATTCGTCAATGCAGCTTACAATCCGTTCATTGCCCGGAGTAACACAGAATATGATGGTAGATGAGCATCAGGGCCCCTCGATTGGATTCGACATCCCTTTGGAGGGGAAGCGGTGAAGGGCGACCACCCACTATTGTTTCCTCTGCTTCTCAAGAGCTCGAATATCTGCAAGACGACCTGTACATAATGGACTTCTTTGTGGCTAGCTTGACAATGCAGGTTTACACAGATCTGGGTTCCTTCGTCCTTGTGTGAAGAGCGGGCATGGTGCTGGTGGCAAGCTTCAACTAACGATCCTACTGTGCAGTTTCTGCAGCCTACTTCAGTCTGTGTTGGCTCGATTGTCACCTCGTCCGTTACAGCCGGCCTCCTATCCTGACGTGTCTATCAAAGATTGTAATCGAAAGCATGTCCCATGAAGTCCGGGTTCACGGGTAGACTATACCATGCTTATGGGAGATGTTGAGAAGAATCTCCGCAAGGAACTTCTGCACCTGGGAAACCCCCACGTATCGTACGATGGCTGAATTTCCCGTCCGAGCCGGACGCAACGACTAGAGGCCAGGCAGCTCTCGGATGCCCCCATTCTCAGCAAAGCGAGAGGACACCTGCAGTGAATGCACGAATTCGTTGTCCCCTAAGCTAAACGAGTCCTTGCAGAACCGAAAAAAGCAACTGATTGCTGAAATGTGCATGTGTTCTTCCGATCAGCCACGCACCGAATTTCTTCTTGCGTCGTCCGAGGTGTCTGATTTTGACATGATCTCCATGTGCACATGACAGATGCCCGTTGAGTGAGGTCTTGAAGTGTCTGTCGAAGCTATATCACGATGCCTCAGGCTATGTTCCAACGAACGATGAAATCCGACATGACCGAGTGAGCTGGGTAACTCCAACAGCTTTACAACCATACTTGGTACGCAAACAATCGGGACAGTTGGTCATGGCACACCCTGCTACGATGAGGCTTTCTATCAGCCTTTCCAACGATGACGGCAAGCCATTCACGCCTGGCTCTATGATTCTAGGAGTGGTCAAGTTCATCACCTATGAGCCCCGGATAGTCGACTCCTTATGTGTGGACTTTAGAGGTCACACGAGCGTCTTCTTGAACCAGAATTACGGCGATATGATGGTTTGCAGACATGACTATGATTCTAAGAGCTACCTTTTCAGCCGGCATCAAGATCTGTACAATGGCGGATGCGTACAGCATGAGGGGACATATGCATGGCCCTTTGCCTTTCGAATCCCTCTGTTTGCGGCTCCCCGGCTTCTACCTCGTGGTTCGAAAGAACTCTTCCAACAGAAACACCCATGGAAAGGAGACACGGCACCCGAACCACATCCTCTGCCACCAAGCATGACACAGAGCGGAAGATTTGTTTGCTCTGTTCGGTACGTGCTGGAAGCGACACTCGTGCAGCGCGCCCCAAACATGAGCAAGGGCAAGAAAGTGCAATCCTCTAAGACGGTATCTGTGGAAAATTTGGACATCTGTCCAGATATCCTCCCAGCTTCCGGCTCCGATTGGCCGTATGTCGTCCACCGCCATACCATGCACTGTCCTATTCGTGATCCTTCACGGCGCATGGTGCACCGGCTCTTTCCAATTCCCTGTATCATCCCTCAAAGGCAAAGATCCAAGATCGAACTGCGCTTCTCTGTCCTTCTACCAAAGAGGTTGGAGATCAAAGATCAGTCAACATCAGCACTTTCTGTCCCAATTTCTGGCAGCGTATATAGCGACACCGCTTCCCCATTGCCGCTGCAGATGGAAAGAGAGCCAGAGCCAGAGCCAGATCTTGTCATTCGATGCTTCAAGCTGTCCTTACTTCAGCACACCAAAGTTAGAGCAGGGTGCCACTCGGACTGCTCGGTCAGACGTATCTTCACCCGTAAAGGGTCATGTCGAGTACCTGTCCGCAGAATGTGTCGATCAATGTCTGAATCAAGTACGCCAGCAACTTTTGTCAACCTGTCCGACACTGTAGACCTGTCTGTACCCACTGTACTACTGGTCTCCGACTTCTCAACGTACAACATCGCACGTTTCTACACCCTCGAGATATCTTTCTCCCTGCAGTTCGAAAGCAAGAGATGCAGGTTCAGTCTGAGTGATGTCCCTATCCGGGTGGTATCACAGTCCGGAGAAGAGTTGGAAAGGAGGCTGATCGAGGGTCTGGAGACGGACGACGAGTATGGCTGTGAACTGGCTGGTATTCAGTGGCGCGACTACAGGCACAGGTCCAGTGATGACTGGGGAGACCTCCAGGTAGTCCCCGAAACTGGCATAGGAGGTTGGCTTGAAGAGGATGGATTGATTCCAGATATACCACCGCCGCCATACACCGACAATCAATAGTTCTTCCTTGTGTGCTGCTTCAATTCATAGCTCGCGGCAGACACTGCAAGAGTGTCATGAGTTCACACAACTGCTGCCGAATCCAGTCGATCTCGAATGTTACGGCTTGGCGAATTCAAATTCGCGTGTCCGATGAGAAGCCAGCAGACCCTCCTTGAGGTTGTCTGACTTCTGTGCAATGCTGCATTATCTTCCTCTTCGTTGTTCCTGTTACATACTGCTGCTCAGCCTCGCCCCTAGCACTGCCCAGCCTTGCCCGCCAACTCCTTGCACTGTATATTTCTTGGCGACGCTGCTTTTAGAAGCAGACTTGGCACTGTGGGGCTGCATCGTGACTCGAAGATTGGAACAATTAAATTTAGCAGGATGCATCTGATTGAACACCTCGGACTTGTTGTCTGTCGACGAAGGGCGTGCGACCTTCGACTTCGCTCCTTTCCTCTGCCATTCTTTGTCAAAATGTTAGACTTGTCTCAAGAGAGCTCACGGTCGGACATCCTCTATGATATTTACCGCAACCATGAAACCCGGCAGGCATTTGACGATAGTCATTAAAATTGGTGAAGACCATGCCATATTTCAAAAGAGCATCGGCCAGAAAACTCACCATCGTTATAGGAACGTCTTCGATTGTCGATGAGACCACACATGAACCGATCCTGTCAATATTATCCCTGATCGTTGAAACCGCGATCAAATTGCGGCGAGATGGACACCGAGTCATCATCGTCTCCTCGGGCGCCATTGGTGTTGGCCTGCAAAGGATGAATATGCCCAAGAGGCCGAAACACCTCGCTCAGGTCCAAGTGAGCTTCACCAACCCTCTTGTCTCTCTCTTGCTTCTCGTTCCTACCCATGGACCCCTGCTCACGATGACGTTGTTGTTACTCAGGCTCTTGCCGCCATTGGCCAATCCAGGTTGATGTCCATCTGGGATTCACTCTTCGCACACATGAATCAGCCAGTTGCCCAGATACTCCTTACGCGCAACGACATAGCCGACCGGGTTCAGTATCTCAATGCTCAAAACACGCTGGCCGAAACGCTGTCGTTCGGCGTGATCCCTATCGTCAACGAAAACGACACGCTTGCAGTGTCCGAGATCAAATTCGGCGACAACGACACGCTCTCTGCCATCACGGCGGCAATGGTGCACGCAGATTATCTCTTCCTGATGACCGACGTCGAAGCCCTGTACGACAAGAATCCACGGAAATTCCCCGACGCCCAACCCATACTGGTGGTCGACGACATCGATGCGCTCCAGGTCGACGTCTCGTCGGCCGGCTCCGCGCTGGGCACCGGCGGCATGGCGACGAAGATCGTCGCAGCCCGACTCGCAACCGCGGCAGGCACGTCGACGATCATCACAAAGTCCTCGAAACCGGGCAACATCGCAGCCATTATTCGCCACCTCCATCCCCCGATCGACCCGGAGACAGGTGGCGGTGGCGTCTTGAGCGTGCCCGTCCCACCCCTACACACCCGCTTCGTTCCCAGCAGTAGTCCGATCAGAAACCGGGCGTTCTGGATTCTGCATGGTCTCGCGCCTCACGGGACGATATTCATCGACCGCGGTGCGAGTAACGCGCTCGCCAATAAGGCCGGACTACTACCCGTCGGTGTGGTTGCGGTCGAGGGCAATTTCGCGCAACAAGAAGCCGTCAGGCTCGTTGTGGTCGACAAGCAGCCACTGGGGAGTCTCTCGCCGATGGGCGACTCGAGCGCGACGTCGATGCATCTCGTCCAGAAGGGTGAGGAGATCGGCCGTGCCGTGGTGAATTATTCGGCCGGCGAGGTTGCGAGGATCAAAGGCATGAGGAGCAGCGAGATCGTGGGCGTACTGGGGTATGCGGATAGTGAGTACGTCGCGTACAGGGAAAATGTCAGTCTGCATAGTAATGCGACGGACAAGAGCCGGCCGGAGACGCCGAGTGGATGGCGCACGCCGGTCAAGGAGAGTACCCCGGAGAGTAGTATTGCTGATTTGAGAATTGCACAGTAACTAAAGCCCCCAATGGGAATGGGGTACCTAAAACATGATGGTCGACCGGACGTCAGCGGGAACACGGCGGATAATCAAGAGAGATCCTTGTACAGAGTCTTGAGGCGAAACACGATTCCTTTTCCCATGGAAGCCATAGAATAAAGGTACTTCCACATAGCCATATAGAGCGGTGCAAAACATGGTAATGAATTGGTTTTCTCCCACAGCGAATGACAGGTACAAAAAGCATAGCACATCCATCCACCTCGCAAAAGTGGGTGGATGATTCCCACAACCCGGTTCAAGACAGTGCAGGATCCGTGATCAAGGGCCAAAAGATACCCCAAGAATGGCCATGACAAGACAGAAAGAAGCATCCACTTCAGCGTAACAAAGAACACGAGCTATACCCCCCCCCCGAAATGAATGAATGAAGAAAGAGGATAGGGGAGATAGCGTAACATGCCCTATTTCCTCCTTTCTCACATTCTGACAACCGGTCCCATCGATGCGTACCCAGTCGCAGAGAGTCCACACTTCTGCAAACACGCCTCAAACCCCTGCTGACTACCTGTCCCAACGGCGGGAATCGACTCGCCCGTCGCGGCCCAGCTGTCCTTTGTGAGATTGATGAACGGCATGACCGTCATCCCGATGTCCTGCGGCATCATGAAGAACGCCTGCGCAACGTTGATTGTCGATGCATCCGCGTCGTTGAGGAACGAGTAGAGTTGGTTGTTCTCGCAGCCTAGCCCACAATCAAGCACGTCAGCACATGTCATAAAGTCTCAAATTGACTCGAATTCGATCCCTCAAATGTGGAAGGGGACGTCTGTAACATACCCATGTTATACATCGAATGCACGCTGGCCGGCGGGAAAATAGTCATCATGCCCGGCGTGAGGGTCTGTTCGACCAATCGTGCGCCATTCTCCTGGTACATGTACGTACGTGTTGATCCGGACACTGCAACGACAAGGTTATTGGCGCGATGGAAATGCGGCGCCAGCATCGCGCAGGGGCCCAGGTTGAGCTGCGACACGGTGACCCCGGCGGTCGACAGAATCGGCCATGTTGCAGCGTTGGCGTTGCACACGCTGCCTGGCGCCCAGGAGTACTTGGGGTTGGAGGAGAAATTGTACACGAGCTGATCGTCGGAGAGCATGTCGAGCCGGTCGAGCATGGTGGCAGCAGATTTGAGCTTGGCCACGAGCTCTGGGTCGGAGGTCTTGTCGACAGCCAGGGCCGGCTGGATGGTGGCGAACAGGGTGATTAGCGCGGCAAGCCCGACGCAGGCGGAGACGAGCATTATCGGTCGGCGCCGGCGGATGCAGATATAGCTTACGTTGAACGTTGCGATGGTGGTCAAGACGGCGGCGAGGAGGAGTCCTGGATGTGGCAGATCGAGGTCTTCGAAGTTTTTGAATGCCAGTGCTTTGCTCCAGCTTGGGCTTATACAGTCTGGGTTGGTCGAGCAGAACCAGAAACTTGGATCGGAAGATGACACAGACATGGGTTGGAATACCGAATTTAAGGACTTTTTCGCTATCAGCACTTACCGCCCTCCTAGGTCGTAGATACTGCGTGGTTTTGGGTACGGGGATCTCTCTGTGTGCATGAAGCGAAGTCAGAGGCGACCAAAGTGGCGTCTCGAGGCATTTCTAGTATGGTGGTGAAGGACCACGAGGATCCATTGGTAGCGGCTGACCCATTTTCCTTGCGTTATGAGAAACTTGATTTGTTACCGAACCCAGGTTTGGTTGCTATTCGCGCAACATCCTCGCGGATCGTGTTTCGCCCCCGAATTTGTGCGATGAAAGCGATGAGATCTGGTGTGAGCGATCAATGACAAAGACCTCTGTTCTCGTAGCGCACGAGTCCTGGAAGGAGTGGTGTTGCCGAAGTCATGTGGATGTACCTCGGGTTTCCAACCCTCGGGTAGCGACCTCATAGGGCATCATTCGTATGCTCTTTGAGGAGATCGGCTCGCTTCATATAGACGGGATGACTCCGTGGCCGTGAGACGTAGAGTTGAATGTTGGAGTTGCTTCATCCAAGAAGCGCGTGATAACGTAAGCATATTGAATGTTAGGGAGCCGCCGACGTTACTGTTGTCGAAGAGCTGACTTGTTCGGTGCATGAAGATGTCTCGACCAAGTATGAAAGAGAACTGAAATTGTGAGGTACTTTGAATGATTTTAAATCTTACCTCGAGTATTCTTCCGGCGATTAGCCCTTTGTAAACAGTTTCGCGCTCAGCATTGCACGATGAAAGAAGCGGCTTGAACTTGTACATTTTCCTTCGCTGTTGAGCCTTGATTTCCTGTGTAGCAATGACCTGTATTGTGGTAATATTAATAGGGGGACGACGGTCACTCGTCAATGGCTCGCTGGTGTTGCACTCTGGCTCCTTGAAGGATGTGGTAGATGATAGCCAAGCAAGTCGGTGAGGCTGTCAATCGTGCGTGCAGGCAGACTTGAGTAGGAATGCTGCCGTGGACAATCCAATGGAATACTGCTGAAACCTTGTACCTACAGATTGGGTGATTGGAGGTGTGGCAACACCGAAAAGCAGTTGAACCCTTCGATTTTCATTGCGGACCATAAGACACCCAGGATCAGTTGCACGGATAGATCTTTGCGCCACCGGAGCATGGAAGTTCCAGAAGACCGACCCCGGTTGGCATGGAAAGTAATTGTCATTGAATCTGGACAGCCGCATAAAACACGTTAGGCGGCACGGATTGTTGCAGGAAAGGCGAGGTTGGTCGCGAATTTGAGGTGGAAGAGCGGCCCTCCTCGGTGTCCTTTACCGTCATATGCACTGTTACTTACTCCGTAGTAGTAGACAGTGAAAGGATCCAAAGTTCACCAGTAAGGGGTAGATGGACGAAAAAGGACGCGGAAGTCTCGTTATCTCAAGCCTCCAAATTGGTGGGTGTGCTTGGTTGCTCAATCCAGCATTGGAGGTGCATAACCTCGACACCATTGACACCAAATGCCGTCGTCTGGTGGAATCATTCGAGCGCGTCGTTATTCACCACAAGCCAATCTCTTTTGCCACCGTTGTCGCCGATTCACGTTGCGTGCATGGAGTTCTGTGCTGGAAGGGATTGTCTGGTAACAAATCGTAGCAACTCCCTTTAAAAAAATATGTTGAAGCCTCCGGAGCATTACCTAACCATGACTCGGAAGAGGCTGCGGGGTGACATCGGACTAAGCAGGGATACGGAACTCAAGACTGAGGTAGGAATGGGTATGGTGAGCATGGCAGCTCCCGCAAGGACCGATGGGGTTTTCGAAGTTCTTTGTGTTGGTGGTGGTGGTGATAAGGCAGATTTGGTCGTCTGAAAAGAGTCTGGGAGGTTGTTTTGCACTCCTGACATCCCACAACGCGTTCACCGTCGTGACCACGGCAATGATGATGCCGTCGATGAAGCCTCTTTTGATGGCGCTAGAAGGAGATGAAATGGTGAATGGTTGGACATGTGTCTGGTGGATCGAAATCAGGGGGTTGGCTTGTTGGCTTGACTTGTTGACCACTCGAATCGAGTCTAGGGCGCGTGTTACCAAATGCCTGCAGCCAGTGTCTCCTCTTTTCCCACCATGATCCATCCAACTCCTGGCCTGCAAGGATCCAGTCGAGCCAGTGAGCCACGGTCTAGGGAGCCCAGCAGTCAGGGATACGTTACTCGCCAGTGCTTGCCCTTTCTCAAAAAAGTCCTGTACAGAAGACTCAAGAGATCCTGGCTCAAGCTGTTGCGAATCAGAAACACTGTACGGACTGTCTCATCCTCACTACTGTTTCTGCCCTCGAAGCGACTCACACCTGTTTGCACCCTGCGAAACTGGTCCTAATCCTGTTACCCTTGATCCCCCGTTGGCCAACTTGCCTTGTCGCTGCACCTGTCAACCGCCAGAACTGCGGACTGCCCCTTTGGGCCCCTCGAAAGACCGACTCAGCGCACCTGAACTTCGTTTTCAGTCTTCTTTCGCCAAAAGACCACATTGATACCTGCGTTCGACGACAGCATCGCTCCCGTTATACGCCTGGGAGATTGAATCACTCGCCGATTCGTCCATCACACCACCCGCCGCCCCCTTGCGAACCTCCAATAGACACCAGAAGCCTACAGTCTTCAGTCACAGACGTACCCATTCTACCACGTTTAGACGCGACATATACATTGCGCAGAGGCAATCTTCAAAGGGACAAAAACAAAGAAAGAGACGTTGCTCCAAATCATGGCTGGTTGATAAGCGCCATGTTCTGGTCCGAAGCGAAACCCAGAGTTATAGACTGTTCAGAACAGGCGTTTCGGCCCTTTCGCGAAAGTCCATATACACGACACTACGACATCTCTTGAGGCAGTTCTACATTGGAGCTTAAAGGGCGATTATCCTGTTCAAGAGGTGGAATTAGCAGGCACGACGAACTGCGGAACAAACACTACACCGAGGCGATTTTATTCTCATCCGGGCCAACTCTGCATCTTGTCCACAGCCCCTTGATTCGTCCATCTCCTGTTCAGCTGGACACGGGACAGCTGCAGGTACAAGCTGCATGCCTTGCATTGTCGGCAAGACTGCAGACCGTTAGAAGATTATCTGTGCAGCTGCAGTGTATCCCCCAAACACCAAAACTCGACAACGGCCGTGGATCGCCCACATTTGACATCCATGTACAGCCTGGGCGACAAGCATCACCCCAGTATCTGATCGGTGTCATACAATCAGTATACTGTCAAAGATAATGAGCTCAGCCGCGGCACCTGCCACGTATTACAGGAGAACCTCGAGGTCTGATTCAGCGTCCTCCTCGTCGCAAACCATCAGAAAGTCCGCCTCCGTCTCTGTAAGACCGGGCCGAAATGCCCAGTTGAAAGGAAGGTCGAAAAGCCCGGATCGCATACTGCCTAGTACGACATACTTTCGCTTCGAGAGGAGTCGGTCGCAAAGTCGACCTGAGAACAAATTTGACCCCAAATCTTTGGGGCCGAATCTGAACATCAACCGCTGGTCACATTCGACTTCATCTAGTGTCTCTGCCATTGATACTGAAGCTGTTCGTGTAAAAGCAAACACTTCGCGACGAAGGAGTATAGAACCGTCGCTGATGTCTTCGATTGTGGCAGCGGGAAGGCTAGAACCTCCGCAAATATCGATGAGATCTTACAGCCAAAGTCCTCATAGGAAACAGGATTCAGGACATCTTCAGGTCGACCGCATCTATGCTACTCGAGATGTGAGTCCCGGTGCGGCTTCTCCTCTCACACCCACTTCTATGTTCAATCCAAGCGCCAGTGAATTCTTCGGAGAGACTTGGCAGAGTAAAAGAATTGGCAAACCTGGAGAGCCCGTCGCAATGTCTGTACATTATCTGAAGACCGGGACCCCGGGCGCCAAACCCATGGACAATATCGCCTCACAGTATATCGCGCAACCTGTCCGGCCCAGTACGCAAGAGAGAAGTCTCGAAGCCATTGCACAGGATGAAACGAACGAGGCTGCAGCATCCAGTGGACCGGCACGTGGACGAAGTCATCGGAGTCCTACCCAGAAGACCATGCTGTCCAAAGCGCTTGCAAAAGCAAACACTGCCGTGCTTCTGGACAACGCTCAGAACATAGAAGGCGCCCTAGAGGCATACGCCGAGGCTTGTGACCTTTTGCAGCAAGTCTTGGTTCGGAGTTCAGACCTGGATGACAGAAAGAAGCTATCAGCCATCAGAAGTACCTATTCCAATCGGATAGCGGAACTTCATGATTTGGACGACTCCTTCTCGGGCCTGATGGAGAAAGCACTGCCCGAAGATCCTCCATTGGACGACGGCAACCATTCATTTTTCACAAGCGACGGTAACGAACCAGATACAACTGGGGTGTTGGAATCGGTGCAAATACCTCCTCGGGGGGAATCGTTGCTACCTGAAATCTTTGGTGGAGAAACCTACCTCAGTGAAGCGTCCCGCAAAAGGCTACAAGTCCCCAGTCTTGCTGTTCCCATGGACACTCAATATATGCCACCTCCACTTTCTCCTAGGAGGCCACTGTCTTTGTCTTCTGATAGAGATACGAGTACCCCGCTGGCGACCATGAGACCTGATGATGTGGTGAAAAGCATCCTCCACGCACGAGAGGGGAGTACGGAATCTACTTCGTGGTTGGACACTTTTGAGGACGGCGACTCTTCGTCTAGGTCTTCTCGGTTGTCGTCAATTGATCTTGGAATCGATCAGAATCAGAATCTTGTCGACGAGATTGAAGCAGAATTTGATGCCGCTCTCAATGCCGCTGTCGATGCAGCTTACGACGACGACATCGCTGAAGATGCCACGCCTAAGCCAGATAGGATTGGGCAGGAGTCGTTCAATGCGACACTTCCGCCGTTGCAATCAACATCGCAGAGGCGACTATCTCAACAATTGAACTTGAATCTGACAAGTGAATATGACGAGGGTACCTCGTCCGACGAAGAAGAGAGAATCCTGGAAGAGATGACGAAAGGGTACGTCTTTGATGATTTCTCATTCGACAACAAATCCAAATCTGCTCTTCCTCGACAATCAGACTCAAGCACGATTTCTGGTCGAACTTGGGCGAGTTCAATCCCCTCCACGACCGCAACGAATGCTACAGCCTTGAGTACGCTCAAAGAAACCCAGGAACCTATCTCTGAACTGTCACCAAGACCTACTCCTCCTGCAAAAGACACTCCTCCATTGACGTCGCCTCCAAAGACAGCACTGCCTCCTGCTCCTGTGTTACCGTTCCCTAAGCCAAGTAGCAGACCCCTTAGTCTTGAGAAGCCTGGTGGGCTTGGTATTCGGGAGAGGAGATTTTCAGGTCGAACTGGTGAGCAGCTCAAGATTGAGACTTTTGCACGACGCAGCTCTTCAACCCAGCCACCAAAACCAGTGAACGCAGCATCATCTGTCACAGAGGCTTCCTCTACCGCCCCAAGGGCTCCTCATACAGCACCATTAGAGCCTACAACCTCATCGGTGGTAGGCGCACCTCTTCTGCCAATAGCAACTGTGCCATCAATAGAGTCCTTCCAAAGTGATTCTCCTGCTACACCTGCTCTGACTCAGGGTGGGTCTCAGGGAAGCATTGATGATGCTATGATACCTCCCTCGCCCTCTAAGTTGGGTAAGATGGTGTCATCTCAAGGAGATATTAAGAAGAATCATTCGTCAACTAGTCTGAGAATGAGGAACCTGTCAGTCGCCACCAGCGAAACAAACAACGAGTCCCCAATCACACCGGGCAGCAGCAGTTTCAACAGTGAAATGAAGAAGGTCCCACCTCCTCTGCCTTCTGCAGCCTTGCCAACTCCCTCAACTGCTGCATTCGGCCCGCATCTCCTCCATTCGGGGGGGTTGTACCTGTTTGACGATCATACTGGCATTCCTACCTCGCCCAAAACTCCCAGGACTCCTAGTGCTTCACTGGATCCTCCTTACCCTCTCGAACCTTGCCCCGAGTCTTCCTTACTTCGACCCTTCTGGTTGATGCGGTGTCTGTACCAGACTCTTGCCCATCCAAGAGGCGGTTATCTGACTACAAAACTGTTCATCCCTCGAGATATCTGGCGAGTACGGAATGTCAAACTAAAGGCTCTCGAAGACAAAGTCTTCCAGTGTGATCTGCTGACCGCCGCGTTACTAAAACTGGCCAAGGTGGATACATTGGACGCTGATGCAATGCTTGAAGAGTTGCAATCTTTCGAGACTGTCCTAGACCAAGTTCGGGTGACGTTGCTTAAGAAGATTGGCAGCGACGTGGGCTTTGGTGGGTCTTCAAACATGTTCAAACCAGGAAAAGAAGAACAAGAAGGCAAGAACAACAATGCAGCTGCAAAAGGATTTGCCTCGAGCTGGCGGAAGCTTCGGTCCAAGTCCAGCGCTCCTGCAATTGGACCAAATGGGTCAAAGGACCCTTCGGCTCCTGGCTTGACCATGGCCTCGCTACCTATGACATCGTCCAACTCGGTGCATTCATCACGCTCACATCACAACCGAAAGATGGTTCCACCTCCAACTCCGACGGCGCTGTCCAATATCCAGCCCATCCATGCCATGTACATGTCGAGCTTGGCCCGTCTGTTTGATGCTGCCCAAGTACTCGATGGGATCGCACGGCAAGTCGAAGATCCAGGGCTGAAGTGCAGCAACAAGACGCAAGTCGGATTGGAACTTGGAGTCAAAAATGCAGCGGAGTTTTTCGCCTTTTACATCATCCGCTTCGTGATGGCAGATCTGATGTTGATGATTGACAAGTTCATCAAAAGGGGCACAGAGTGGGTGTTGACATGAATAACGTCCCGATCCCGTCACAGCGTGCAAGTCAGCGCCGCTACTTATTTTGCTTATGCTATGCATTTTTGAGGTGTTTGTTGTGCTTTTTATCTGATGTCTTTTATGATACCAACTACCGGCTGTCGCTATTTTCAATTTATGGGGGGAACAGGTGCAGGCTGGGTTCACAACAATGGACGTAGCTGTGAGCACTGGGAAGTCTGGGCTGTCCAGGCAGGCGTAGTAGAGTATAAATTACAGTCAGTTATGGTCTGGTGTATATACAACAGGAGCTACGACGTAGGAAAGCTACAAGATAGTGTGATATGAGATACCAAGGTAGCAGAGACGATCTGAGACATACAGTTGATAATCCGTCGAATACTCTGTATAGTGTTCCGAGGCTCACACAGGACAGCGTTACTAGTTAGCTCGTCCCTCGTCAGCCGCATCTCGTTCTAGGTTTCACAAAGGTGCCAGTGTTCCGACTGTGGCTTCTTCCTTGTCCCCAACCTTCTCCTGGGGTTCCTGTGCATGGATTGATGAGTGAGGGAGGATGCTTTGGCTCGGATAGAGATCTGAAATGTGCGAATATCAATTCAGCTTCGACCCGTCTAGATCTGCGTGAGTATGGCACACGGCACACCGCACGCCTACCGCTCCCTCATTCCCTAGGCCCGTCACTAGCGAAGTGAACTGGAATGTTTGAATGCTGTTGTTCTTGTTCTGCGTTTCGCCAGCCCAAAGGCAATGAAGATCCATGAGCCTCGTTGTCACCGTAAGACAGGTAGAACTTAGGCTTTTCTCGCAGTGGGGTGGTCTCATCCAGTACCTAACGCGGGCGGTCCCCTTTTCGTCTGGAGACGTGCGGTTCGAAGTTGCGTCTATGGGAACTCGACTTCAAACCCAGCCGAGCCGGGTTGCATGCTTTATAAGCTCGGACTGGTAATTGCCTCAATTAGACTGGCAGGCCTCCCAACACCTTATAGCTGGTGGCTTTCCCTGTCACGCGAGACTTCATATTCTCGGAAGGCGGGAGGTGGTTGACGGTGGATGATGCGAAACCGACGATCGTGTCCGTTCTTTAGCAGGGCCCCTCTCGTTCTTCTTTTATCTTCCCTTGAAGACAGGTTTTCTTTTCTCCGCAAAGGCCTTGAGGGCCTCCACTCGATCCTCCGTGTGCAGAATGACTTCGTACGCCTCGTTCTCTGCTACCTCACCTCGCTGCCAGCCGTTGATCGCGCGCATTGCTTGAGTCAGCGCAATGGGACCGCCTTCGCAGATGTCGTTGGCAAGCTGTATACTCGCGTCGAGCACTTTTTGTCTCGCCTTGCCCTCCTCTTTCTGTTCTTCCGGCGTGGTTTCGACCAGCCGATTGCACAAGCCGAGAAAATACGCCTCGGTACCACCGACTCGTCGACCTGTCAGGATCAAGTCGCGGGCCTTGTTCACGCCTATGAGCGCGGGGAGTCGGTATGTCCCGCCTGCGCCGGGGATGATGGCGAGTTTTGTCTCTGGCTGGCCGACGATGGCGGAAGATGCGAAGACGCGGAGAGTGGTGCAGAGGGCGATTTCGAGACCGCCACCCAGTGCGACGGAGGAGATGGCGCTGATGGTGGGGATGGGCAGGTTGGATAGGTCGGTGAATGTGTTGCGCATGGTTGTCAAAAAGTCACGGGTTTCTTCTTGGGTCATGCCCTTGCGCTCGCGGAGGTCTGCGCCTGCGCAGAATGCCTTGTCCGTGTTGGAGGCGAGGATGAGGGCGCGTGTTGAGCCGGTGCCCTTTTCAGCTTGGATCTCGGTAACGTGTTGGCGCAAGTCAGATATGAGGCGGCGGGAGAGAGCATTGCGAGCTTCAGGGCGGTCGAGGAGGAGGATGCGAATCTGGCCGGAGTGAGGAGCATCGCGATATTGGACTTTGATGGGGGAGTCTGCGGCGGACGAGGCATAGGTTCGGTAGGAGGAGTGAAAGGTACGAAGGACGAAGCGTGTCCGCCATAGCATTGTGCTGTTCATGGTGAGCTGTTGTAATGCTTGAGAGTCCCATCGGGAAGTGGACTGGTGCATTGAGCTCAAATTGTATGAGGGGGACAAGCCGAGGTTGGCTCGTTGGAGAGCATCGAGCCGCGAGTGGCCGGATTTAGCCGTCATGATGCTGGAGCCCGAGATTCCTTTGGCGACTGGGATGGAGCCTTGGCTGTCGGGCATATCAGGCCATGCCTGTTACTCGTATCACCTTCATATACCAACTCTGAACGCTGGTGGATGTGCCGATCATCGGATTACCTATCTTCGAAGTGAAAGCCGACGTACCAAACATCGGAATAGGACTTTGAAAGGTCGACAACCGCGGGAGGAAGTCTTCGCATACGGGCTTCTGTATGCGACAACAACATCGAATATGGATCCATCAATGTTGACCGACATGATCCTCGATCTGGAAGACAAGACATGGCGAGCGTTGATGGACACCGGGACCGCACTCCTACCATTCCTCAGTCCCGAGTGCATCATGCTGTTTCCCATGGGATTGAAGATTTCAGCGAAGACGGAGCCGAGTATTGAGGATGTCATGAAGTCTGAGGCGTTCGTTCCTTGGCGACGGTACCGATTGAGCGAAGTCGAGGTCAGGCCTTTGGGCCCTGAAGCAGCAATCATCACATATCGAGCCAAAGCGACAAGGCAGCATATTACGCACGACGACGACGAGAGACAAGATGAATTCAGCGCATTGATCTCGAGTACGTGGCAGAAAGACCCAGAGGCAGGGAAGTGGTTGATGTGTGTGCATCAGCAGACGCCTTATGAGCTCGAGGTTTGAAGGACCTGAGCGACGGATGGTTGCGATGTCCAGAGTACCTTAGTTATGGGGGTAAGCGATATACTTGTATAATCACAGCCATTTCAATTCCATTCTACAAGGTATTGTAGTGTGTAAGGTACCTAAGAGGTAACACAGTAATTTGCATGTGAAGCTGATACCAAGTACGAGGTGTTGGAGGTGTTGGCCATGAGACTGCACTGTGACATCAGCCTCCATAACCCCCCCGGAAAAATCTGCCGGGCGAGTCATTGGCGTCCGTGTGGGGGTTTCTGTGGGTCTCTTTGGGTTCCATACAAACAGTTGCAGCAGTGACGTCGATGTGAGGAGGGAGCCTCAAAAAGCGCCATTTGCTTCATCCTGACTTCACTTCATTTCCTGCACACCGCAGGCTTTACTCGAACAAGACCCATCGAATCAAAAGACCTCACGAGTCCCTCATCCGAAAATACCATCCAAAACCTAAGCAAAATGTCTTTCCTCTACTCAACAACACCTGCTCTTCGCGCCGCAGTCCGATCCTCTGCTCTTCGACAATCACCTCGCCTGTTCTCCACCACCCTCGTCCAGCAGAAAAGCCCGGTCGATGCTGCCAAAGAAGGTCTGAAAAAGGTCGACCGAGCTGTCTCTGATGCTGCTGTTGCCGGCATCGACAAAGGAGGTATGTATACGTCTTTCTCGGGCCAAGCTCGACCCCGCTAACCCAGTCGCCAGTCGAGATCAAAGACAAAGCTGCCTCAGTCGCAGGCATGGAGACCAACAAAGCCGAGGGCAAGGCCGCAGAAGTCGCCGGTGAAGCCAAAGGAAAGGCCCACGAGCTCACAGGCCAGGCAAAGGGCAAAGCAGAAGAAGTCAAGGGCAAGATGTCGTCATGAGAGCCGGTCGCGACCAAGTTGGCATCACTGAGTCCAAGTCAACCATGGGATTTAAAAGCTGGCGTTACTGTACAATAATCATGATCATCACGTCAATGAGAGCGTCGCCCGAACAGATGGGCTAAGAATACCTTATGTATATTTCCAGAATATGCGCCACTGTGTTTCTGGCCCAACCGTGTTACCCTGCATCAGGTTCATCCAGGCGAGGCATAGGCTGCATCACCCCTGAGTTTGAGAAGTGTTTTCGATATGCCTCTCCTTCTTCGTCCTTCAGCCCGTACTTGGAAGGATCTCGCTTCTCCAAGAAATGCTTGATTCGTCCTTCCATGCCAATTTGATTTTGCTGGTAATGGTTTTCCCTTGTGTCCAGGAAACTCCTCGTTTCGGCCGTCATTTCTTTGACCTTTTCCTCCAAACGACCAGAGTACTGGCCGGCTCTTGTTGCCTGGAAAACGCCTGAAATCACGGCCAACAATATAATGAACGACGCAAATGAGTTGGGATGGACAAATGTCCCCGAATATTCCTGCTTTTTAGGGTTGTCGTGCCGCCGGTACCAGCGCTCCCAATCCTCCCATGTCGCGTTTTGGAATATCGACGAGTCGTCATCAGGTCCGTAGCCATACCTTTGGCCGTGCGCATTCGTGAAGCCTCGCGAATGCCGGGTGGCGCTCCGACCGGATCCCCATCCTGCGCCAGATGCATCGTACGCTCGTCTCTTGACTGGGTCCGATAATATCTCATGCGCTTGCACAACGAGTCTGTATCTTTCTATCCTTTCATGATGCGTGATACTCTCCAAGAATGCATGCCCGCTCCTGTCGGGATGGTATATCTTCACCAACTCATAGAACTTGTGCTTCGTATATACTGCTTTTTTTTCAATGTCGAAGATCTCGTACGGCGAGGGTGTCCATGGTGAGCTTTTCCGGCACGGCCAGTTCATGTTATCGCGAAACTCGTAGCCATGTTTGACATCAGCGTAGGTCCTTTTCGCTGTGGACTTGAATCGTGGATCTATCGGATCGGGCTTTAACTTTTTGCGGGGCGACGACGGCGATGTCGTGCTACAGCAGCATGGTAGGGAGTAATTGTATAAGGCTGGAAAGTTTGTCTTTTTCAGCAGTGAGGAAGGCATTTTGACCTGCAACCTGCAAAAGGACCTGGTGATGTTCCCACGAGGAAGGGGAAGGGGTCAGACGAGCAATCACGATGACAGCGGGGACGATAAAGTCGAGGATGTCATTCTCGGCTTCTCCTCGGGCTCTAAGTCTATCTTGGATTCTTGTGCCGATGGCTGCGGGCCACTTTTTTCAGATCACGTTTGAACCAAACTCGACTTCCGTTCCCTGCAGCGTCTGCACTCGGGCAAGCAATGGCTCGCTCCGATTCGGGTTCGCCCCCGAGGCGACAGCGTGATTCACGTTACGAGTCCCATCGCGTTGAGAAGAGGGATAAAGACCGGAGAAGATCGAGAAGCCGGGAAAGAGACAGACGGAAGAGGGAGAGAAGTGTAGAGGGTAGCGACCGAAGAGATCGAGACAGAAGAAGGTCCACAAGTCGAGAAGAAGCACACAGGAAAGACAAATACCGAAGGAGTCGAGAGGACAAGAACAAGGACAAGAACGATAGAGACAGGAAGAGATCTCGGTCCCCACGAAGACACTCCCCAGAAGCAGGACCCTTACAACGAAAAGGGCCTCTCCCGTCGCAGGTTGACGCGTTCAAAGGCGACAAAGACACGCCGCCTCCCGGTCCTGAGAAGCAGAAGCCAAATTTCCAGCCGTCTGGTCTGCTTGCTGCGGCGTCCAACACAGTTGCGACGTCAAACGGCAATATTGTTCTGAAATACCATGAACCACCCGAAGCTCGAAAACCGCCTTCTTCACAACATTGGAGATTGTATATTTTCAAAGGGGACGAAATCCTGGACACACTGGACTTGTATACTCAGTCATGCTGGCTCTTTGGCAGAGAAGTGTCAGTCTGTGACTACGCTTTAGAGCATCCCAGCTGCTCCAAACAACATGCTGTTATCCAGTTTCGGTATATTGAGAGAAGAAACGAATTCGGAGACAAGGTGGGCAAAGTGAAGCCATACATCATCGACCTCGAAAGTGGGAACGGGACCAAACTCAACGAGGAGCCGCTGCCGGAGGGCAGGTATATGGAGCTAAGGGACAAGGATGTGGTCAAATTTGGACACTCGACAAGGGAATATGTTGTTCAATTGCCTCCTCCGGGATGAGCCAGCGATGACTTTGATTTCTGCTCCAACTCAGTGCTTTGGGCATGGAAAGCGACAACGTACGAGCGTTGCCACGGCAGATGGTAACAGTGATGAATTCGCTGCCACGGTCCCGGATTACGCACTGCTTGTTGGTTTCAATATCACGTTTGAAGGCGATTGAAGGCGCAGCCTGACACCGAAGGACACTGTCCGTATCCGTGCGACCTACAAGATCAGGCGCAAGTCGAGCACCCGTGGACGAACCAAGAGCACCCGAAGAGGAACCAGGCAATGCGACAGAAGAGGCACAGCTTCATCCTGACGATGTCAAGCCTGATCGCAAAGAGCTTCAAGGGACGGAAGGTTCGCGAGAGATGCTGGGGAAGCGACCCACTGAGGTAGCGGAAATGGCTGCGAATGAAGAGGTGGTGGGAAACAACCTGAAAGAACTGCCATTCAATGAAACACCGGGTCACGAGTTGGAAACGACCGAGAATGAGTTGGCAGCGCTCGACAGACTGGCGAGGCTGACAGACTCGACAACTCTGGTTCACAGCAGTGCGAAGACCGACGATTCGACTGAAGCTTGAGGGAAGAGAAAACTCGCGCAAGGCTCGAACCGTCAGATGGTCAGGTGTAAGGTCGTTCGGCGCGCCCAGCCTGTGAGTCCAACACGTCCTCTGTACACTTAGCGAATGTTGCCATCGACAGTATCAACTTGGGTTTTGACGGCGACTCTATCTTTTCAGCCTCACGGCCACCTGTGAGTGCCAGTGGATAGATTGTAGCCAAAGGTCTTCATAATACTTGAATGCAACGCAACATCGAGATTGAGTCTGCGTTAGGACTTCTTCGGCTTTCTGCCATCTTTGTAGATTGCAGGCAGGTAGCCACCAGAGCTTCGACTCTGAAGACTCGAACGCGCGGAGTGAAGGAGGCCTGATGAGGCTCCAACAATTAACGTTAAAGTTAAGGTAATAAGCTATTGCCTTGACGCTAGAAATGCCAAGCCGGACAGCCAGCCCGACTTCTTCAAATATCGGTCTCTCTCTCACTTTCTCTCTTCTTTTCCTTTCTCTCGTCACGTCTTCAGGTGTCGGCGTTGACCATGCGAGTTTCTCTTTCGAGTACACTCTAGTCCTTCGGGATAGACCCCTATGGCACCTCCTGTGAAAAGGAAGGATTGTCAGTGAGGATGCCCTGTTTCACTGAATTGAGTTGGAACTGTCGAAGCTCCCATGACAGGCCAGTCTGAGGTTGGGATGAGATATTACTCTCTCTCTCTCTCTCTCTCTCTCTCTCTCATGACACATCCTGCAGCAACAGACCTACAAAAATGTAGCGGTTACACTGAGGTGAAGTCAATATGACGAATGACCCAGTGACATCCGGATGAATATCATCTCTGGTTGTGCGAAGGTTGTGATCACACAAAAGTCTTACTCCTTCAATTCGTAATCAAGTTCAGTCTTCTCAACAATGTTGAGATCGAGATATTGAGTGCATGGAAGTTCAATCTTACCAACGCTCAGAACCCTGTGGCTTTCACAAGTTCACAGAGTTAAAGGACATGAGATCAGGCATAACGTGAAAGCGAGACCCAAGAGCCTTGCTATTCACGTCATGCCTCCTGGATACCTGCCAGCAATTTCGGGAGCGACCGGTGCATAAAACAAAGGACCCAGGGCCAAAAGGGCCGAAATCCAAAAAGAACAAATGCTACAAAATTGCTGGTACGGTCTTCCAATCTCAAAGACGAGGCGTAACAAACCTCACCCCCAAGATCACGAGGTCACTACCAGTGCCGGCAATCTTGGAGCGACCGATGCACAAACCAAAGGACTCGAGGGTCAAAAAGACCAAACTCCAAAAAGAACAAATGCTCCAAGATTGTTAGTACAGGTTTCGAACTTCAAAGAACGAGGCGTAACAAACCTCCAAGAACATGAGGCGTAACAAACCTCACCAAGACAATGAGATCGCTCTCCCTTACCAGTATCTTGGAGCGACTTCTGCACAAACCAAAGGACTCAGGGTCAAAAAGGCCGAAACTCCAAAAAGAACAAATGCTCCAAGATTGCTGGTACAGGTTTTCGAGCTCCAAGACCGAGGAACGTCACCTCACAAGACATCAAGAACGAGGAACACCACCTCACAAGACATCAAGACCGAGTTGACGGACACATCCATGCTGCCCCTTACACATTGATTGGCCCAGGAGGCTTCGCGAAAATGGTGCAGGTGGACATTGCTGGCTGTTACTTTCCCGATCTCGACAAGACATGTACCCTGCGAGTGACTGTACCAGCATAGCATTAGCAATGCTGCGAATCACTTGCTCCCAACGCAATATTCTTCTCTTTTGCAGCGGAGGACAAAAACCCTTCTCGCTCAAAAGAGATAGTATATCATACCGATGTACGACCCATTAGCTTGGGAGACATTGATGACCTGGACTGGGTACGTCCGGGGGGTTGTTTACGGCATGTCGAAATCGACCGCTGCCGTGCTTCGAGTAGGCACCGAAAAGGATTTCCTATCTCGAAGCGCCCCAGAAATGGGGGTCAAACACCTCATTGCACAGGCAGCTGGACTGCCGGTGCAGAGAGGTGCGCTTGGATTGTGGACTGTGGATGTCAGAGACTATGGTGCAGGCTCGATGCAAATAACGAGGGCAGTGCTGCAAGAGAGACGACCCTCGAGAGGTGAAGGCTGTGTCTCCCTCCAGATGTGGACGCGAGTACTGCCTTAAGGTGGTCACACAGAGCGCAGGCTACGTCCTGGAATTGATGACCGCTCCGAGTCTTCAGAAGCACGACTTCACACACGGAGGGATGGCATCTAGGAACACGTCCAGTCCGGCTCGGCTGCTCAGATATCACAGTTCAGCTTCCCATCGCTCTCTTACAGCTGCTGACCGCGAAGTCAACTCTTAGCTAGGCTCCTCTTCGACATACCCTCCACTGTTGCATCGACCGCGCATCGACCACATTGGCCGTCGAATATTCCTCGTGTGGACCTACAGCTGGGCACTTCCTCATAACCTCACGCTGGCCTTTTTTTTTCCACCTCGCCTGCCTTCCCTTCGCACACCTTCACTCGCTCGCCCTTGCACTCGACCCTCCGCCGCTCGAGGGCATTCACTTCAAGGATCATTGTCAAACCATATACATTGCACACAGCGGACAAGGCCTAACAATCGAGACAAAAAAGATAGTATGGTGCAGTGGTAGCACATCCGCGGTCTACGGAACCCCGGAGATGACGATGGTGTCTCTCTCGGGGGCCTCCCTTCAGCCTCGAATGAGGTCGTATGCGTGAGTTGGTTTAGCCACGACCGCTATATACCTGGAGGGGTTCTGGTGCGCCTGTGTGAAGACTCCGGTTCGAACCCGGATACTATCGATCTTTTTTTCCCTGGGGTTTCTTTCACCCTCATTTTTCGGGTCGAGTCCTCCTCTGGGCGGGAGATGTATCTTAGGTATGGAATCACGGCCTTCCTGAAGGTTGTGCACAAATCTAGCCATGGGTCGGGGACTACATGTTCTTTTGGATGCAGGGAAGTGCACTAGAGCTGGAAAGAGAATGGGACAAAAGGAGGTCAAGTTGAGACTTTGCTCGTCTAGGCTCGAGATTCATTCGAGAGTGTGTCGATATCTCCAGGTCGTTTCACACAGTATGTAGGACCTGGCCGTTCGTAGACAATACAACCGCCTTTCCAACGTCGTCGAACCACAATCTGATGTTCATGCCCCATAGCTCTTTCATTTCAGCATCGAGTCATCATACCTCCTTTTCCATATTTTAAGTACCGCCAGCGCCTCCGAATCCACCACTCAAGTGCATTGCTCCCATCCTGGCCGGGTGCGCTGCGTTGGACATCGATGCTCCCATGGTAGAATCTGCGAAAGCTTTGCCAGGCCTATGTATTCCGCAGGTCTACAGTATCTACAAGTAGATCAGGGGTGGTTCAACTGCAGATCGATATGATGCTTCACCTCCTGAATGTCGGGCCAGGCGAAAACATGGATCCCTGCTCGCTGGCGGAAAACTGGTGGCACAACAAGAGGCATGAACCGCATTGGAGCACGAAAGAGTTCTCCCATCGAGAAGGACTGGGCCACAAGCGGAATGTCGGCAATAACTTCCTGCACATGAACAGCCATAAGATCTTGCTTGGCTTGCTGGGTGTCGGCAAAGTCGTGCATCTCGGAGGTGAACTGTTTGAAAGCTGCCACATCAAGTCGCGGCATGTCATTCCATCGTCGTTGACCCAACGCGCACGCGATAGCATAATGACTAGGCATCATGCCCTCTTTGAATAGCCATTCGCCTCGCACCACCATCTGTCCTATCATGTAGATCTCAAATGTCTCTGATCGTGCGCGGTGGATGTGGTTCAGCAGCTTGCAGAGAAGCGAATGCGTGTTGTAGATGGCTTCTGCCATGATCTTGTCCCATTTGTCAAGATCTTGTTGGGCCGACTTTCTTGCCATGATCGATCTGACTTGCTTGAGCAGGTCATCGCGAAGGAGGACGAATTTCCGGGCGCGCGTGACACCAGCGTAGAGCTTGACGAAATGTGCCATGGCCTCCATGACAGTGTCTGGCATCGGGTCGCGAGTGAGATAAGCAATCCACTCGTCGCTCTTGTCCCAGTGTAGCTGCATGGACGGTATGGTGAGACTTGTTCTGGAATCTGGTTGATCGCAATCATGTCCCTCCCAGTGTCCCAGAGCATGATGTTTCAAGCAATATGAGATTCCTTTTGTGCCTTGGTCGTCCTGAGCATTGAGATTCTCGACCAGTTCGCGATCGATGGGGGTTGTAGGACTGACAGGTGGCGCATCGTCATTGTTAGCAGCGGCTGATCGCTTGCTAGACTTGGTGAGTCTATGGTCGCAGCGCGGGCATTTCCTCACGGAAGACTTTCGAAAGTGCAGTCGGCACACGACACAGAAATTGGCCGCCATTTTGGACCGTGAAAAAGAGTGCTCAAATTGACCGCGTCTATGCGTTCGAGGCCGAGCAACGATAGGGACTGGAGCATGCCAGGTATTCGCTGGCAGATGGCAGTGTGTACTGAATCGCAGTCTTGCCAAGCAAGGACGCCGCGCAGTTTGAGGTGGAAGTCAGGCATACCTCAATTCAATGATCATGGTTCACCTCACCACTTTGACAGAGTGGTCGCTGAGCGCAGATTCCTAGTGTACTGATGGTGTAAGAATGTGATCTTTCAAGTCGGACACCGATACGTTGACTGAGCTCTGTTTGGGCACTCAGCCACCTTCAATGCACATTTCGAGGACTGGAGAGCAATGCGAAGAGCTGGAAAGCCGGGTTCTACCAAGTTTGACAGACTCGCGTAGCATAGTCAGGCATTGACGAGAACGAACCAAGCAGTGTACATCCAGACCTCGAGCCAGAGGCACCCTCCGAACGATCGTTGAGCTTGACGTTGCTGTGAAGAGATGCACCAGTATCATGGGTGTCAGGACTACCCGTATTCAGTGCTCATTCCTGCTGCAGCCATCCTCTGGTAGAGCACGTTGATCGGAGGAAGGTCGACGTTTGGCATACATCGTTGGAACTCCCTGACACATCGATCACCTTGTGACAGAACAGATTTCTAGCCCAATGCTTTTGCAGCTTCCGCTGAATTGGCCAGGCAACAACGGAAGAAAGACTGAGTATGGAAAGGTATTGACCCAGATATCTTGAAAAGGCATCCTGCGGAGTAGCGTTTGTAACGCCAGGCTTGTTTTGGTCATCACTGCATTGCGTTATCTGGATCTGGGACCTGTGCGATGCTCGCATGTAGGACACCTGGCTTCTTCAGCTCGCGATGGACGACGCCGTTTCAGTATGCTGACAACTGGACATGCTCATGGCCATCTTCCGTCTGCGTCATTCAGAATCCTCCTCTTGACGAACATGCTCATGGATTCCTGCGGTCCGGAAGGAGTTTCGAGTGAGGATGAGGAGACGAGACAAAGCGATCAACGTTGGTGATTTTGCACTAGCAATCCGGCTGCGTGTGCTACAGCAAAGTACATGAGTACGACAAGTCGGATGCAGTGAGGAACATAAAGTTGACAGCGAGGTGCAATTCTGGCAAGCGCAACGGTGGCTCGGTTCTTGGTATCAGCCTCGCCTAATTTTAGAGTCAATGTCAGGCCTTCAGCTTATCGGCCTTCTTATTAATGCAGTTGATGTTTCTAGACAGTCACTCTGTCTCTGCAATACCTTGAATTATATATCTGTACATTCTCGATGATCTGTGGCGGCATATTTGATACGATTACGTTCAAGCTACGACCTTGAGAAATTCACGAACACCAACTCCTTGGAGCCAGTTACACCAACCCATATCAGCACAGCACAGTACCAGTTACCATGGCTTCGCCAGATCCGACACTGAACTTGCCTCGTATTCTGTGCCTACATGGAGGCGGTGTGAATGCGGCAATATTCAAAGCCCAATTCAGGGCTTTCCTGAACCACGACAAACTCAAAAATCGATTTAGATTCGTGTTCGTTGACGCTCCCTTCTTTTGCGACGAGGGTGTGGGCGTGTACCCGGTTTACTCGGACTGGGGTCCTTTCCGCAGATGGTTTCGGTGGCTCGATTCTCATCCAGAAATCGACCCAGCTGCTTGTTCTTACGAGCTTGAGTATACCATCGAACGATGCATGGAGAGTGATGAAGGGACGGGAGAATGGGTTGGAGTATTGGGCTTCAGTCAAGGAGCCAAATTGGCGGCAAGCTTGCTGTACGAACAACAGATCAAAGGCAAACCCGGCCCCTGGAGGTTCGCGGTTATCCTGGCCGGACGAGCTCCAATGGTCAGCCTCAGCGAAGAGGCCGAAGAGTTTCCGTGGATGCAGTCGGCTGGAGATCTGGCTGATGCAGCAGACCTAGACAGCATTTTTGAACGGCCAGACATGAAGCTCAAAGTTCCAACTCTACATGTCCATGGGCTGAAAGACGAGGGTCTGCATCTGCACAAAAGATTGGTTGAAGATTACTGTGCGCCAGGGACAGCTACCCTGGTTGAATGGGATGGACCTCATCGCATTCCAATCAAGAAAAGTGACGTCGACCGGGTTGTTGATGCTTGGGTAGAGCTGGCCGACGAATACGGTGTTTGAGACATACATCACATGCGCCTCAGCTCAATATCGGATGCAAATACTCCTTTATGGGAAAACAGCAGCGCAAGTGGAAGACGAAGCTGCTGATTCAACTCCGCGGTACTTCGAACGAGGTGGACTTGTCGCTAAGGAAGTTGAGATTGCGAGATCTAGACCTCCGCGAACCTCCCAGACATGAGCGGTTTGCTTCTTTCAGCACTCTGCATCTCCTGCAGCCGCCAATGGAGGACCCTTGCCAATACTCCATTGACCCGCAATTCAGGATGGGCACGTTTGCGCTTCCAAAAGATCTCCTTCCGTTGAACCGCCATTCAACAGACGACTGTACGGTCCAAGACATTGTGCCTCTCGTGTAACGTGCTTCGTATTTGTTCAGCTGACACCTTTGGCCCGCCAATCACCTCGCTCGATCTTCCAGAACGACGCCCATGGCGATCTTGGATCTCAGCTTGATCTACACGATTAAGCTCCCATCGAACCGAAAACTCTCAGCCCGGACGCGGGGTAGACACGGCACGGTCGAGGATATTAGCTGGAGATCACTCCCCCAAACGGCTCTCATGTTCACAGCTCGAGACAGGCGCCTATCCAAGGAGGTTACGGAAACACCATCACGCGCGATCTTGGCCATCAAACCCTCAATATGCTTGAAGTCTACTTGGATCCCTGCACAATCAACAGCAGGAAGGTTGTCGCAGGCCTTGAGCTGCTTGGGACCAAACATCATTTCAATCACGTCGATTACTTCAAGGGGGAGCAAAAGAGTCCAGAGTTCGTCAAGATCAATCCACATGCGACCGTACCAGCTGCCGTGGATGGAGACTTGACCATCACCGAGTCCAATGCCATCCTTCAATACATTGCAGAGGACAGCGGTTCTGTCTATCCCAAAGACGCGAAGAAACGTTGTGCCGTCAACCGCTGGCTTCTCTGGGAAGCCTCAGTCTGGTTCCAGACTTGCTACGTCTACCTGGTACAATATGTTGTGCAGCCACTCCTTGGAGCCGAACCCGACCAATCAGTCATTGATGCTGAAGCCCCCAAATGGCACAAGGGCGCCGGCATCCTCGATGCTCAGCTTGCAAAGACTAAGTGGCTCACTGGCGACGACGTTACCATTGCTGACCTGGCCGTTGCTGCACCAATGCATCTTCACGAGGCTTCACGACTGCCTCTTGACCAGTACCCAAACCTCAAGCGTTGGATGACCGAACAAGTCGAACAACTACCTTGTTGGCAAAAGACCCAAGGAGCGGTCGACAAAGCACTGCTGCCAGGTAAGGCCGCTATCAATGGCACGGCTGGCGAGAAGCAAGTCCAGGCTAATTTCAACTATACGAAGAACGTGGATCAGCTCACTGAGCTGTACTTCTACGATGACGAGAAGGCCAATCACATCCACGAACCGGGGGATGATCCACATGAGATGGCAGTCACGGATGGATGGTCTCGAGCAGACGAGTTCTCGGTCGATAAGGAAGGCTTCTCGCTGCACAAGCTGGAGACGGCTTTTGGGAAGTGGGATGACGATGAGCTGGTGCGGGAAAAGCTCTACTCCGAGGTGGTCGAGTTCCTCAAGCGGACCACTGGCGCCAAGCGAGTCCATGTATTTGACCATACCATACGCACAAAGCGCAATGAGCAGAAGAAATTGACCCAAGAGACCAACACTTCTCAACGGGCACCGGTCATGCTGGTGCATTGTGACTATACCGCCGAATCTGGCCCCGTCCGCGTCCGGCAGCTGATGAAGGACGAGGCCGAAGACCTGCTGTCTCGCCGGGTTGCGTTCTTCAATGTTTGGAAACCGCTCAATGTGGTCGAAGAGCGTCCCCTGGCAATGTGCGATGTCACCACGTCTCCCAAGGAGGATTTCTTCAAGTTGTACCTGCGCTACCGCGACCGCACGGGCGAGAACTACGTGATGCGCCATTCTCCGGAGCACAAGTGGTACTACTTCCCCAAGATGACACCCGATCAGGTCATTCTCTTGAAGACGTATGACTCTGAGACGGATGGAAGGGCTCGATTTGTGGGACATAGCGCTTTCGAGGATCCTAACTCGCCGCCCGATGCGCCGTTGCGTGAAAGTGTGGAGATCAGGACAATTGCTTTCTTCTGAGTTGTTTTGTGCCTTTGGTGGTAGCTTGTGAGGCGGATCCAGATATTGGAACAAGAAGGCGTAGTATGCATCCGGCAATACACTTATGGGGTGTTGCTATCAACGAGGCCGATGGCGAGCTCGACACAGTAGTCAGTAACTACAATACTCGCTTTTCGGCCGTAACCTGAGGAAAGGCATACTGGCATTAAGTGTCCGAAGTTCGATTGGGGGGCGTCCCGTCACTCCAATTCAGAGTTGGCCTTTATCTGGGAGGGATCAGGCCAGCCTTTGTGAGGCCCGTGACCCTTGTTGGCTTATGGCGTATGGCTTATGGCTTATGGCTTATGGCTTATGCATGAGACTAACCACATTTGTCAAACAATATTTGCTGTCGTGCCTCTCTCACAATTGTCCCTTTCAGATCCAGCCCAGTCTATTCCAGCACAAGTGAACAATGATTCTACTCTAGCCAGCCACGTCCTTCCACTGTCAAGATACTCCGCCGAGATGAGACGATTGCGGAACAAATGGCTTATGGCTTAGTAGAACAGCATCCTTGCACCATGGAGGTAAGTATTTAACGCAAGCCACATTTCCTCATTCCCCAGTAGCGCTCGATAACCCAACTCTTACTATTCTTCGCCTCACAACACCAAGCACTACTAGTAGCATCTCCCTCCTGAGTTATAGTACTGTCAATTCCTTCAACCCACCATGGCCCCAATTGAGATCCATCTCGTCGACCTCGGCGTCGCTGAGAAATCAATCCCCGAAAACACCCCCGTCGTCATGATCAACCTCATCAAATTCAAGCCTCAAACGACATACCCCAAGGGCTCCCCTCACTCCACGCTGTCCGGCCAGGAAGCCTATCTGACGCGGTATGGCGGCGCATTCTTTCAACTCTCTGCGTCGATGAGCTCGGACTCCGAGCAGCCCACGGTCAAGCCGTTGTTCCTGGGCAAGCCTCAGGCGAATCTCATCGCCGAGCCGTACGGCGGGAAGGACATCTGGGATATGGTCGGGATCATCTGGTATCCCAATTTCGCGGCGTTCAGAAAATTGCTGGAGAGCAAGGACTACCAGGAGCAGGCGCTGCCGCATCGGCTTGCTAGCATTGAGGAATATAGATTGTATGCCGCGACGGAGCTGAGTCTGTGAAGCAGGGGTCGACGTGGATAGCAGACGAAGACGATGTGTGGGTTCCGTGAAGCAAGGTGATGGTGCCGTGCGATCTGTTCTGAATCCGAGTTCGAAAGTGGCTAAACCTTTTAGAAGACCGAGTGAGGATCGAGCGCTTGAGCCAAATTCCCTTGGTGCTTTTGCCGTTCTGACGGGGCATTCGTCGATGGCTTTTGCAGCATGCTGAATACTACTTAATACTAGTAGTCTGCTATTCCCAATCCCAAGTCGTCAATCCAGCTGCCAAAGTCCATATCGTTCATGAAATCGCTTCGGCCTAAGAGTATGTCATCTGCTGGCTCGCCGTCGGTGCTATGCCAGTGTAGCGACTCATTCTGATCCGCCATATCGATCGTGTTTCCCAGCGGTCGCTGCACGTCTGGTAATGCCAGATTCGCACCAATGCTGCCTGAAGCAGACATGGCAGCAGGATCTTCGGAATGCTCGTTGCTGGACGCCAGGAGATCCCGTTATTTACACAGCTCTGGACCGAAATCGTCCAAGAACGACATGAAGTCTGCCGAGACAGGAGATGGAGCTTGGCCGAGACTTGGGCTCTGAAGCGTGAGCCTTTTCATCGCGGCTAGCGCTGCTGATGCACCGTCTGCGGAACCCCATTTCTTGCTGAGGTCCTTGAGCGACAACTGGATAATGTTCAGTGATTCTTCTGAGGTTACCATAAGCGACGTATAGCGAAGTCCTGGTAGTTGAGCCAGTCCAGCGGCAAGAGCATAGAACGTGGATACTGGCCCGCAATGGCAAAGCTCGTCCCTGTTCAGAAAGTCCTCGAATATCCCAACTACAAAGGAAGATGCGAGCAGAGACGCACTATCCGATCGACTTTGTGCACCTGACCGTCGAGACAATATCACAAGTGTCACGAAGTAAGGGACGGGTAGTTGTCTAGCTTCGAAGTTATAGGGCATCAGACATTTTGGTGCTCTGCCGAATAGGTGAAACTCAACGGGTAGTTGTTTGACCCACCGATAGACGGCGTTTTCGAGGTTGATGCGCGGTGTTGTGGAAAGGGCTTTCCTCCGTATGCTCTCGGTCAGATCTGCTAGCAGCCGCAGGATACTCGAGAAGGACACAAACAGACGAGCACTGCTATCTTGAGCTGGAAAATCCTGTACAGAAATCGGTGCGATGTCGCAGTCACAAAGGTTGATAGTCCTTGGTCGTCCGGTTCCCACAGAAATGATATCGTCACGGCACCAGATGTCGTGGGTCAATCTTTGATGTGCTGCATGGATTGAGGCACCATACCACGAATGTCCACCACATCCTGCGTCGAAGTCCTTTGTCCTGTTGCTTGCTCGGCTCCTTATGCAGCCCGACCTGATATGCCAATCCAGCTGCGATCCGGACCCAGAATCCACTCGTACTCGTGGACATGTGCTCTGGACCCAAGGGGTTGAACCATTGAAGTAATGTCACAGCCATGATTGACCGTAGTAAGTCTCTCCCGTGACCGAGCATGAACAATAGCTTAGCTTTGCGATAGAAATCTTCAGCTGCTGCAGCGACGAGGCTGTTTGATGACACACGACTACCAGCAAGGAATACAGCATTCAGCAGCAACGGGGATGAGCCATTGCTTTGAAGGTCATCCACAAGCGATTTATCGACAATGGGCGTCCAGGGAGAGCAATACTTGAAGAAGCCGTCGATCAAGCTGGCTCCCACAGACCTTGGTGGCAGATCGAACGCCCTTTGTAAGGTTAGGATTTCGATGTCTGTAACGGATAAGCCAGAAGAGCGTTCCCCTGGCTGAGTCATTTCCTCGCGGAAACGAACTTCGTCGTCTCCGAGGTAGTCGCTTCTGCCCACATGGCTCTCGTTGCTGCCACATATTCAGGAGATTGGAGCTGTGCTCTCTTGGAGTTCTGCTCTGGACGCTCCGCGGTTGATCTGTCAACTGGCAGGTAACTATTCAAAGCCACTAGCGATGGCCCTTCATCTGGCCCGTTGCCAACACGATGAACTGGCCGTGATTGTGTGCCATTGTCGACGCGATCATTGCCATACCCCGGTTGCCGCCCGGGAGTTGGTTCAGGGTTAGTACCAGTATGGCATTGAGAGCCTGTAACGCTGGTGAGGAGATATTTCGGCCGCTTCCTCTCGTGCAGCTTACAGGCGCAGCCGCTCAGTCGACAATTGGAGCCTTGTTGCGACCTGGCGGTGAGATCGCACTTGATCTTGAATTCACTGCTTCAGCTGTTTGCACACGAAATGCCGGCTCTGTAGAAGCGTACCTTCCTTCGATGACAGAGATCACATGCTTTCCTGCTTGAGTCCACGTCGACATTTTCTGTCCACGAAGGAAGAGAAAGGCTCCAAGAAATGAAGGCCAGTCAGTTCCTAGGCATACTCGGGACCCTGCTTAAACCGTCCCCCGCGCTGCCTAACGTCTTCATCTGTTAGTTGAGGGGTAGCCGCATTTCATGCCTAAGTTAGTGTCCTGCACCAATTAAGTAGCCTATGGTGGGTGAGTGGAAGATCTTGCAGGATATCATGAGGCGAATTACATGGTTACTTCCTTACCACACCTCGGCGGTCTCAATTTGGCTCTAGCTTCTGTCTCCAGGCTGTAAAACCTGCGATACTCCTCCAGACAACCCGGGTTGGCTACTGTAGAGCTGATTGTCTTGGGAAGTTCTCCCGTCGAGATTACCTGCTTAACCAGTGTTTCGACTTTCTTCCCATTGACAGTCATTGGAACCTCTTTCACCTCTACCACAAATCGTGGAACATGTCTTGAGCTCAGACCCTGGCGAATGAACTCCTTCAACGTCTGCTGCAAGGCAAAGCTGAACAGATGCCCTGGGCGCATAACAACGAAGAGGAAGACTGATTCGTCCGTGTCGAGACCTTGCCTCTTCCGACTAGCACACAATGTGCTAGTGATCTGGCTTGGGAACGGAGCAGCCTCTGTGATGGAATAGATCTCTGCTGAACCGAACCGGATGCCCTGAGGGTTCAATACTCCGTCACTGTCACGGTCAGTACGAAGGCGTGAAGGACTCAACACAACACGTACCTTCTTCCATGCACCGTCCAGCCCTTGGTTCTAGGGTTAATGCTCGCCCAATCATGCTGGGCCCAACAAGGGAATGGATAGCGGCTGAAATATGATGCACGATACCTCTCACCTGTGGAATCTCCCCACATGAAGACAGGCATTGATGGGAACGGCTTCCGGCACACAAATTCACCAGCCTCCCCAGTCTCCCTCATGGAACGACCGTCAATGGGGTCCGCGATATCCACATCATGTCCTAGAATGGCCATCTGGATCTCTCCGGGATAAATAGGACCCGCTGGATCCGTGCCACACCAGGAGGTCACCAAGTCAGTACCGCCGGTAACACTCGTCAGATGGACAGTGGGAGGAAATACTTTATAAAACCAGTGGTACTGATCCGCAGCAAGGTGTGATCCTCCTGTTTGCACCATTCTGAGACTCGAAAGGTCGTAGTCCTCCTTGGGTGTGCACCTAGTCGATTCGAGCTCTTTGAGGTACTTGGGTGAAGCACCCCAGTAATTGACCTTGAACTTCTCGACGATTCGGAGCATGCTCTGCGGCTGAGGCCAAGTCGGAGATCCATCGTACATGATCAGAGTTGTGCCCATGGAAAGATGCCCGATCATGATGTTCCAAAGGACCCAACTCGTGCTCGAGTACTGGAATACGACATCTCCGGGCTTCAGCGAGTTATGGAGCATGCTGATCTTCTTGTGCTGCAGAATGGCAGCATGGCTATGAACGAGAGCTTTGGGTGGCCCTGACGTCCCACTCGAGTAAAGGATGTAAAGTGGCGCTGTGAAGGGCAGCCTGGCAAACTCCAGCGTGTCACAGGCTCTGGACCTCTCCAGATACGCCGAGAGCGTTGCAAATTCCTGTGTCGCCGCTATCTCAATAACAAAAATCTCAGGCTTTGACTTTAGTGCTCGCGCGATCTGCGAGATTTTGGTTGCATTGGATTGTTGTCGGCCTTTGTAGGTACAATGGCTGTCGGCAAACAGAATCACCGGCTGGACTTGTTGCAATCTTGAGATGCATCCCTACTGTTATCAGCGGGTTTCTCACATCAGCCGACATTACTCCTACCTCGAGCCCGAGATCCGGTGCAATGGAAATGAAGATGGCGCCGATGCTGGCTGATTCCAAGAACAAAGCGACTGACCAGACTGATGTAGATACCAAGGCAGCCACCCTGTCACCCTGCTTGATTCCACTTCTCAACAATGCACTCCTGACTCTGCGAACGTTCTCCCGAAGTACTGACCACGTCCATAGCTCACCATCAGGGCTCCGACCCTCTCTCAAGCCGACCAACGCCGTGGCATGATCTTTAACATCGGGCTGGGTCAACACGTTCTCAGCGTAGTTGACTGTCGCACTTTCAAAGAATGGTGGGACCTGGGATATCGGGATCTCTGGGTCGTAAGCCCGAGTCACTCCTGGAGGTAATCTTGGTATCAAGCCAACGTAGTCCCAGAGGTCAACCCAGAAGGCTTGAGGGTCGGAGACACTCCAATGCTGAAGCTCGTGTGAGTCTTTGAGTCGGAGATCGAACTTGTCGTTGATGTGGTTCCTGTAGATATTGATCGGTATCTGATCTGCTGGCTGGCTGGGTGACCAGACTGCTGCAGGCATCCCTGGAGGTGAAGAGGACCACTTGTGCCCAGGTGCAGGGGATCTCGACGTTACCGATGCCATTGCACCAAATCAGTAAGACAAGGTGTTTCTGAGCCACACGACGACTTCCTACCATGGCTAATATATGCTTTAGCAAGTTTGTCCTACGCGGAGGTGCATATGGGGACTTGTAGTCAACTAAGCGTCTTGTCATCGCCGTGTAAAGCCGAGGCTGTTGCTTCTGTCAACTTCCTCGAACACCCTTCAACTGCGCTGCATAACCGACACTACTCAGGTCTTTTCAATTCAATATTGTGTTCTCCAGGCGGTACATCTTACAGCCCGAGGTTCAAAAAGAAGTCACTAGTTAGGCGATCGACGGCACCGCGCGGCTGCTCATGCCATCCTCCGGCATTTCAGTGAGGAGAAGGATCATATTTAGACCTCCTGCTTCTCGCAGTTCCAATGCATTTGGCATGGCATAGATATGGATGACTATCATCATGTCCGCCAAAGCGCCACTCAGACCATCCACAGCCGACAGCGGGTTCATCCTGCACCTGCCACCACTGGACAATCCATACACAAGCGACGAGTCGTATCAACGGGTTCTGGCATGGTATCTTCCAAGGCATGTCCTTGAGGTGGTCAAGCCTCGCCTCGTCAAATTTGCGGATGAGGCTGTCTCGGACGAAACCAACGAATTGATTGCTAATGCCGAAACTCAGCAGCCGTATGTCAAGTCAAGGAATGTGTGGGGCGCCCGGTACCCATATGATCGACTGGTGACGAGCCATGGGTGGAAGGAACTGGGTAGATGGGGAGCCAAGAATGGTGTTATAGCACTCGGCTACGAAGAAGAATTCAAACAGTACAGGAGGATAGTTCAGCATGCATTCAACTACACATATTCGGCATCCTCAGCGGTATATTCTTGCCCGGTGTCGATGACGAGCGGTGCAGCACGGTTGGTATCCAAACAGCTTGCGTCCGTGCCATCAGAACACCCCTTCCATGAAATATATCGCATCCTCACTGCGCGAGAGAACAACTGGATTTCGTCACAATGGATGACCGAGAGACCAGGTGGCAGTGATGTGCAGAACTCGGAGACCGTTGCTGTATACTCTCCTTTGCGCCAGAAGAGCGGGTCGCACGGGACGATTGAGGAGGGAGACTATCTCGTATCAGGCTTCAAATTCTTCTCATCCGCAACGGACTGTAACATGGCGCTTATGTTGGCCAAGACTGGATCTGGACAGCTCAGCCTTTTCATCGCGCCCAGCAGAAAGAGTGTCGTTATCGATGGCAAGAAGCAGCAAGTTACGAACGGCATCCGGATACATCGCCTGAAGAACAAGATGGGGACCAAAGAACTGCCAACGGCCGAAGTCGAGTTGAAGGACGTGAGGGCATGGCTTATTGGCCCGCTCAATCGCGGCATAGCCACCATTGCACTCCTTCTCAACGTCACCAGAACCCACAACTTCATCACAGCCTTGTCGTGCTGGCGACGGGGCATGGCCATTGCAAAATCATTCGCAAAAGCCCGAAGCACCATTGACCAGCCACTCTGGACATTCCCGATGCATCTGCGACTTCTGGCAAATTTGGAAGTGAAGCATCGAGGGGCACTTCAACTTGCCTTCTTCACCACCTCACTCCTCAGTTTTGTTGACAACGGCTTCCCGGATCGACATGTCCAACGCAGCGGATACGTACCTTTACCGGAATCAGGGGAACAGACGGAAATTATCCTACGAACCTTGACTGCCACAGCAAAGGCCGTCATTTGTAAGACGGCAACCCTGTCTTTGCAAGAATGTCAAGAAGCAATGGGTGGCGTGGGATATATGGACGAGCCAGACGAGCCAGAATACAACATCTCCCGACTGATGCGTGATACGGCGGCCAACATGACATGGGAGGGTACCACGAACGTCTTGAGTAGCGAAGTCGTCAGGCACCTTCTGAACAAGGATGGAAAACATCTTCGTGCGTTTGGTGACTGGGTGAGAAAGGCGGCTTCACACGTCAAGGACACAGAATTGAAGCGGGCGTTGGTTCGTGCTTGGGCGGAATTCTCTCGAACGATGGAGGACAAATGTGGCGATCTAATGGCCGTGCTGGCTATGGGACGGCAACTCATGTTCACTCTAGCCTGGATCGTGGCTGGAGTCCTCCTGGCGCTCGACGCTCAGCGAGATGGGAATGCCGTGGCCATGGAGATTGCACGAAGGTGGGTCCTGGAAGGGGAGGGAAACATCGGCGAATTCCATCTGCCAAACGTCGTACGGGTTTCTGAGAGAGTCGTGTTCGTGGCGGATAAGGAGAGGATCAACTGGGACTGTCGACTGGTGTGGGGCGTTGATCTGCCCAAGGATGCTGCTAGGGGATACCGAGCGCAGACGGCTGATACGATGCGGCCAAGATTGTGACAAAAAGTCAAGAATAGCCTCACTCTTGTGATGACGACCCCTTCTTGATGTAAGTACAACGCTGGACTGATCCCGCATTCCACCCGTCAGATCCCAGCTGCACACGGGCTATTGTCTCCATCCGTGCAAGGTCATTGCGTTGCCGAGTCTTCCTCCTATAATCCGGCAATCATGGCGTATATCAGCACCCCTTCACCATCCTCTTGAAGCCATCCCTCAGAGTTGACATCCCCCTTTCCTATCCTGAATTCTTCCACGACCGAAAAGCCCAGATGGGCATAAACGTCTCTGGCGTGCTCATTCGTCGCCTCTAGCCACACTGGGAGTCCTTCTTCGCGAGCCCTGTCCAAGAACGGGCTGACCAAGGCGCGAACCGCTCCTGTGAAGCAAGAAGAATCAGAAGAAGAGGACATGTCAGAAACCACACTTTGGAAACCGCATTGTTAATACTGTAAAGGGCAGGAATTGCGGGTTCGGTTTCGGTTTGTATGCCATACAAGTGGTTGTTAGGTACTTGCCCTTGTCTGGCCTATCCGGCGCCCGCCCGATCAGATTGAGACTCCAATGCAATCTGTCGCCCAGGTACTTCTTCTTCAATCGGTCGACGCTCGTCGCATACTCGTCGACACCGTCCGGTTCGGTGGTATTCGGGAACGCGGGCTTTTCTATGCCGGGAGGAATCCTGTAGAAGCGGTGCAGGCCCTGGTCAGCTCATTCAGCACGGCTGCACCAGGCTTAGGTCGTGGCGTGACTATGGATGGGGCCAATGAGCCCCCAAAAGGGGGAAGGGGAAGTTGAGTTATTCTAACTAGTAAAGGGGCGTGGAAGGGGTTCACCATAGCGCAACGGCAGCCCAATTCGAACTTTGGACCAAGACCGAGCCCTTTTCAAAACGCTTCCGAGTCCCCGGCAGCCAGTACTCGAGTTTCTCGTCGGCGTCGTCGGCGAGCTTGGGATGATCGGGCCTCGACTCGCGGCCAAGGAACAAATAGCGGTTCAATGCGTCGTTGGAGAATGCTGAACACAGGACCTGCGCGAACCGGACGACTTCGTCTGGCTTGGTCACCCTGGCAAACGGTGCAACGACAGATTGTTCACCGTTCATGGTTGTTTACTAGTATCCTTTATCTTCGTTGGCTCGTAAAGATTCAGGTTCAGGTCCGGTCTTGATTGACTGACGGGCGTCATTATGCATGAATGCGAATTAATTTTTTGGGGGGATGAGTCATAACACTACTACCCACTTAGGTGCTACTATCTATGGCTCAAGCGACAGTTATTCTAACTAGAGGTGAAACCAAGTTGGCAGGGAAAGCCGTATATCCGTGACAAGGCTGAACAAGTGACTCCCCTATAGGAGGACATCGTCGTCCCTACAATGCTGGACTACAATGCTGGACATACAAGGCTGGACATACAATGCTGGACATACAACGCTGGACATACAATGCTGCGACTCCTTATCGATCTACAGTGCCGGCCGCAGAAGAGTGTCTATCCCATACAGTGCTCACCGTGGTGTTTCTTTACAACTTCGCCTCCCGGCCCGACTCAGCCTTCGCCATCTCTCTCAGGATCCGCTTCAATGGCTTCCCGGTTGCATTTCGTGGGACCGCATCGACGAAGCGCACTCCGCCAGAAAGCTCCTTGTACTTTGCCAACCTTTCCTTACAATACGACTTGACCTCGTCTTCTGTCAAGTTCTTCGCATCCCCTGTCGGTTTGCGCGCAACATATGCTCGGGGCATCTCGACTTCCGGCTCATCCTTCTTCTGGATTCCAATGACGGCAGCATCTTGGATGTGCGGATGCGCGAGCAGGACACCTTCAATCTCGGCCGGTGCCACCTGGAAGCCTCGGACCTTGATCAATTCCTTCTTGCGATCGATGATGTACCATTTCTTGGTCTTTGAGTCACAGTACATGACGTCTCCGGTCTTGAAGTATCCTTCGTCGTCGAATGAGTCCTTTGTCGCCGTTTCATTGCCAAAGTAGCTTGTTATGATGGTCGGACCTCGGATGCAGAGTTCACCAGGCACGTTGTAAGCGGTGATGTCTTTGCCATTGTCGTCAATGAGTCTTGTTCGGGGTCAGCACGACAGGTGAGAGGGACTTCACATAGAGACTGCTTACTTGACGTCCAAATTTGGCATCATTCGCCCCACGCTGCCGGTGTCGTCCCTCTCGGGGTAATAGAACTTGGAGGCCACGCAGCTGGTCTCGGTCATTCCCCAGACTTGAGTAAAGGCGGCTCCGGGGCCTATGATTTTCTGAAGCGCGTTTTGGTGCTCCTTGTCCAAAGGTCCGGCTCCGCACAAGATGACTTTGAGCGTGTGCATGTTGTACTCGTGAATCGCCGGATATTTCAGCATCGCAACGGCAACGGGAGGAACGAGGACCAATTCCGTGAGCTGATACTTGGGTATTGACGCGCAGACAGGTTGAAGCTCAAATCGACGGAGTATGTAGGTGGCATGACCCGCTCGTAAGGGAGCGATATGGGCTGTCGGTACCATTGCTGCGTGGAAGAGCGGGAGGTAAAGGCAGCGGCGTGGCTATATCAACGGTATGTTAGTCTCCCAATTGTCTTGCGCTCTGACGAGGACATCGCCAGACTCACTTCGTATGAAGGCGGGTTGACTTCATGGACCATCGTATGCTGGGCAATCAAGTTGTAATGAGAGATCGCAGCAGCCTTCGGCAAACCTGTTGTTCCACTGCTGTACAGTCTGGCTGCTGTTGTTTTCCGGGATATCTGTTCGTCGGCGAAGCGCACCCAGTCCCTCTCTCCATGATCGAATAGACTCTTCCAAGAGACGTAGCCGGAGGGGATTTCTTCATTCTGGGTATCAAATATCAAGATGTTGGATTTTGCTACGTCGCAATCCTTTGCAGCAGCAAGTACGGCTGGCAGAAGTTCAGGCTCCGCAATCACGAATTTTGCGTAGGAAGTCTTGAAGTGGTGAGTCAGCTCATATTGGGTGTAGGCTGGATTGGTGCCCGCAAAAACACCACCGGCGGCGACAATGCCCAGGAAGAGCATTGAATAGTGTATCTGAGTAGGTCAGTCGTTTTCATCAAAGGTGTCCGAGTCTGACGCACACTGTTGAAGCCATGAAGGCAGACGCAATCCCCAGGCGTAACCCCAATTGCGTGGAAGCCCGCGGCCAGTTGTCGTATAATCCTTCGAGCCTGATTTCCCGAGATCGACTTCGACGGATCAAGGGCATCGATATAGACCTGGCGAGGAGAAGACCGTGGTTAGGACTTCGGACGTGATCTGTGGTGGTGATGGATGGGTCTCCTCAATGTCACACTTACTGGCTTGTCTTGGTCGAATCTTGGTTCATCAAACATCCATGAAAGAATGTCTTTGTTGGGTATCGGCACAAATTCTTGTGCGAGGAATGGCATGTTGAATTAATCCAAACAGGCCACAGGAGATTTGTAGTCGATTGTCAGCGTTCTTTGACCTGTACGGGTCGTTCTGATGTAGTCTGGAGCGTGGCTGATGGTAGTATGGTACCTCGGACTCGATAGATTTGCATTGCCGAGCTCGGTGCCCTGATCAAATTAATTCGGGAAGTAGCATTGACCTGAGTAAGTCGGTTGTCAGGAGATGGTTGTTGGGTAGCCTAGTTATAAGTCCAGCAGTGAGAGCTGCCGCTGCTGGAAGCTCATAACATGATACGCACACGTCGTACTCCCTACGGGGGCCAGAATCCTGAAGCTGAGTCAGGCCTCGAGTGTCAGCGCCACTATAATCGACTTCACATAGAGTGACAGGAGATCCCTACATTCTCCAATATGCATCGGCTGGAGCAACTTTTTAGCGATTCTTAAGCTGTAACGACTGCCTGGGTAGTGATAGTGCAGGCTCACTAGGCCGAGGTTCCATTCGGCAACACTCGTCCTGGTTAGAGCTTCCCCAAGACTCCAGGCACTTCCCGCCTGTTAGTCTCTCCCCCAATGATGCCCAGCTCCCCTCAGTCTGTCGCGGGGGTTTGGGCACTAAAGCTGCTTATGGTTAGAGGTTCTAGGGGCCACGCTGCGCTATACCAGGCGTGACTAGTGAGGGAATTAGGCTATGGAGACCTCAAGCACGCGGGAGTTCTGGTTTTGGTCCGATTCACCGATTTCACCTTGGACTTGGACCAAAAGTCGACCTCTTTGTATCAATCCGATCAATTTTCCATGTCATCCTGGAGATATGATCCTACTCTGAAGGATGTAGTCCCTACAGTGTTGGAACTGCCCAACCTCAATGTGCGTCAAGTGGCAAGACACCATGGCGACCCACTATCATCAATGGCCCATCGCCAGAAGGGCAGGAAAGGCTTGTCTCAGCTGCAGAGCACGCAAGGTCAAATGCGATGTAGAAGCGCACGGTCAACCATGTACAAACTGTGTCACAGACGATACTGATTGTCGAGTCCAAAAGAGCAGAAGGGGCAGGTACGTCCAATGTCGAGTCACTCTTCCGTTTAACGGGATGCTGAGTGGCTTGATGTCAGAAAGCCATCAAAAGGCGACGCTCCCGCCAGAGCGCCGCAAGAGGACCACGAGTTTGAGTCTGTCAGCGTGCAAATGTCCTTTACTGATAGCGATTCGACTGCCCTGGGGCCCCCTCAGCCGATGAGGAGGCATACAACAGAGTGGCTGCCTGAGTACGAAAAGCACATGCCTTCTTGGGCGCCAGACAATGCAACACCTGCCAACAGCGGTGAGTTGAAGCGGGCCTCTCCTAAGGACTCTGTGCGCTCTAATACCGTGCAGATGGGCAGGCGCACTGGCTGTTTCAAAAAACCAACCATAACGCTCTTGAGCGACTCCATCACGAAGTGACCTGGGCATCTCTGATCGACCCAAATCGTGCCACCAACTTCGCATCGAGTACAGCTGATATTTCCGAGACTCCGACCACTTCTTCCAGTCTGTCGGTCGAAACCACCAATGACCAGCTTCCAGATTTCATCAAGCCGATTTCTCCCAACCTCAGCCCAGACGACATCGATTATCTCTCCAGGAAAGGCGCGTTTTGTATTCCCTCGCCATCCTTTCTCGATGCCTTGGTCCGGAGTTACATCAGATACTTCCACCCGTTCATGCCCCTTCTGGACCTGCCAACACTTTTTCATTGCATCAGCGGAAATCGTTCTCATGACGACCCCAAGGTCAGTATTCTGCTCTTCCAAGCAGTCATGTTCGCTGGTGCAACGTTCGTCGACCTCGATAAAATTTGGGGTGCAGGGTTCTCGACCAGGAGGGAGGCTAGAAAAGCATTCTATGACAGAGCCCGAGTTAGCTTCTTCCTTCAACAAGGACTTAGCTTCACCCTGCTAATTCTTCAAGCAGGTACTCTACGATCTTGACGTTGACTGCGACCGGATCCCCGTAATTCAAGCTGCGCTTTTACTAAGCTACTGGTCCGAAACCCCTGGTGATAACAAGGGTGGCTGGCATTGGACCGGGATCTGCTATTCTTTGGCACTCACGCTTGGACTTCATATAAAAGCCGACTCCGTCGTGCCTAACCGACACGTTCATCTTCGCAGAAGGATATGGTGGTCATTCTTTATGAGGGACAGACTACTAGCTCTTGCAATGTCGAGACCCCTCAGAATAAGAGAGAGTGAATTCAATACGCCAATGTTGACTTTGGACGACTTTGACCTTGGTGACTACGCAGCAGGACAACTAAACGACCCTGTTTTGACCACGGATTGCCAGACAGCTCTAGCTGAACTGTGCATCGAAATGGCCCGACTTTGTATGGAGATCGGAGCTGTGGTCGACCTGCACTTCTCTCTCCTACCGAGCAACGACCAAATGCAAGCTACTAAAGACCACACCGGAAGAACCACGACAATACTGTTTCCAAAATTCGATGCAGGCAAATTGAAATCAGTCTTGTTTCACGACCAAAAGCTGCGAGATTGGTTTGACAGCCGGTGTCCATCAGCAATGTTTCAATCACCAGTACCGACCGACAATCGAAGTTCATCTTCAGCACTATCTGTACACCAGGCTTTCCTGCACATCTGCTTTTGTTCAGCGATGTCGGCCTTGCATCGACCTTTGGTCGACCGCCGCAGTAATTCAGCGAACGATGCTGGATTTTCCGAATATCGCACATTATCCGTCATGAGAATCGAAGAGGCTGGGATTGAGATGGCTGCAATGAATCGTGGGTTACACGACCTCGACCTAGCCGGCTTCCTACCACCCACTGCTGCAACACTGGAGCTGCCTATTATCATCACACATGTTAAGAGGCTCCAGAAGAGTAGCCGGGTTGTCCTCCAGTCGCTTGAGTCGATATTTTACTGCCTGAAAGTGCTGGAGAAGATACAAGAACTCTATATTGGTGTCGACATGGTGATGGCGTTCGTTATGGACATTCTGAGAAGGGGAGATATTGTGCTGGAAACGGGAAGTAATGGAGAAATGACCACACTCGGCTATCAAGGCGACAGCTACAGTATCACAAATGCGATGTCGAAGTCTGCCACTGGACAACCAGATCCTCCGGCTGAGCAGAACCGCAGCGATTCAGAACCATGGTGGTTATCTAGGGAGAGCAATGCGAGAGATGGTCCCGCCATATCCAATGGACAACCGGGAGGTCTTTCCGATTCGAGTCTGGGATCGGCTCACACACCTTGTGATGCTCTTGATCTACCGCAGGCTCAATGGAACTCTTATGACGACATATTCCTCACCGAAGGAATGGACCCTGATTCTACATTCCGCCTGATGGTGGACTTTGAGAGCTTGAACGAGTTCGATCTGGCGGAGTTCGAGCCCGTGGCAGACACTGAAGTATAGCTTCGCTTACGCAGTCTATATGAACAATTTCGAAACAGATTGTTCACCCTATGACCTCCACATACTTGAAAGCGCGACAACGACTGGGATGTGTCGCAACTTTGGAACAGAATTGGGCCCTCTACCGGGCAGATGCTTCCCCGTGCCTGTCCACTGCGCCCTGATTGTTGCGTGTGTCTCTCGTTGAGAGATATAAGAATTACATGCATGTGCGGAGCAAAACCATACGGCCATAAGTTCGGGTTCTTCAGTCGTACAATATTACTTTGGCCAGGCGCCGTAGATACGTGGGCGTAGTTGTGGCACGTGACGTCGCAGGCCAACATCTCTTTGAGATTTGGTGACCCTTGCCCTGGTAAAACCGCTCCCGACTACTCCAGTTCGGTACAAGATGAGGCCGCATTAGACGCGAACGGTCAGGAACCACACCCATGGATGGCTTTTGTGTTGTGTGGCGTCATCAGCAGGCATTCATGGCGGGGGTGTTTTCTGAAGAGGCAAGCTTCAGAGCGATCATAAAATGTATTAAGTACTACTGAGAGACTTGTTCAGCTGACCTTCGGCCGCCAAACTCTTCAAGATGGCCACCGTTCTATACCTCTACTTTTTAGTAGGTCTTTGCGTTCATCTTGCTTTTACAGTTTCGCCTTACTCGACATACATCTATACTCCTGAGAAACGAACAATTCTTCCAGTCAGTGTTCACAACATCAACGGTACTTGTGACGGAGCAGCCAGCTTGACTTCTCCCCCAGGAGCTGCCCAATTTGGCCCAGCATCTGCTGTCACCTATGATTTCGGAAAGAATGTTGCTGGGATTGTTTCCTTCAACGTCACCTCGGTCGCCGGTACCGATGAATATATCGGCATCAGCTTCTCGGAGAGTTCTCTCTGGATCAACAGCGAGGGCTGCGACGCTACAGCAGACGCCGGCCTTGACGTAGCGCTATGGTGGAAGGTCGCAGCAAATAGCCTGTATACTGCAGCCAAGGAATTCCAGCGAGGCGGTTTCCGCTACCTCAACGTTTATCACAACACCAGCGGAACAGTCACGTTGGAGGGCCTCTCAATCTTCTTTACCGCTATTCCCCAGAAGCCAGAGTCCGAAATGAGGTCGTATACTGGCTACTTTCACAGCAATGACGAACAATTGAATCGAGTTTGGTATGCAGGGGCTTACACCAACCAAATGTGTACCATTGACGCCCAAGCGGGCGATTCTTTAGTCCATCTTGGTACGGTGATGTCAAATGAAAGTATATCCGGAGCTACGATCACATGGTATAACAACTACACAGTCGCCAATGGCACCAGCGTCCTCGTTGACGGTGCAAAGCGGGACAGATTGGTATGGCCAGGCGACATTGCGATTTCTGGCCCCTCAACATTTGTCTCAACCAATGATATGGACGCAATCAAGAATGGCTTAGATTCTTTACTGTTGCTACAGAACTCCTCGGGTGCTCTCCCATATGCTGGAGTGCCCTTCGCCGAACTAGGTCTTGGCTTCAGCTTCACCTACCACCTGTACTCCCTCATCGACATCCACGACTACTACCTCTACACAGGCGACATCGACTACCTCTCCAGAAACTGGGCCGCCTTCAAGCTTGCTCTTGAGTACTCGCTCAGCTTTATTGACTCAACCGGCCTTCAATACGTTACGAAACCCAACGACTGGCTCCGCTTCGGGATGGGTGGTCACAACATCGAAGCCAATGCAATCCTCTACTACACTCTCAACCTTGGTATCAAGCTCGCACGGATCCTCAACGACAACAGCGTACCATCGAAGTACTCTTCAGCTGCATCCGGCATCAAGACGGCCGCGAACAGACTCCTCTGGGACCCGAAGATGAATCTCTACCGCGACAACGACACCGAACCCCTCACCTCGCTCCACCCTCAAGACGGCAACTCCTGGGCCATCGTCGCCGGGCTCACCGAGTCTACGGCACAGAGCATCAACATCTCCGACGCCCTGAAAGCCCGCTGGGGTCCATACGGTGCGCCTGCGCCTGAAGCAGGTGCTACCGTGTCCCCTTTCATCTCTGGCTTTGAGCTGCAAGCACACTACCTTGCCGGCCGGCCGCAATACGCTGTCCAGTTGATGAAGACGATGTGGGCGGACTTCATGCTCGACGATCCGCGCATGACCAACAGCACCTTCATCGAGGGATACTCCACTAACGGCGACTTGCACTACGCGCCATACACCAACGACCCGCGTATCTCCCACGCCCACGGCTGGGCGACGGGCCCAACTTCCACCCTCACCTTCCACGCCGCCGGCCTGCAGATCACCGGCGCAGCCGGAAGCAGCTGGTCCATATCGCCCAACCTCGGCGGACTGATAGAAGTGGAGGCCGGCTACCAGACGACGCTCGGCTCCTTCTCCGTGAAGGTGAATAGTGGCAAGAACGGGGGGATGAGCATTGAGTTCAACACGCCGGCAAATACGAGTGGCGTTCTGTCCGTTGCGTATCCCGCTGCTGGTGGGACCTTGACGATCAAGAACAAATCCAGCAAGGCCAAGGACATTGTCGTGAGCATGGAACCTGGCGGTTCAGGCAGAGTCGAAGTGGATGGACTGGCTGGTGGGGAGTACACGGCTACTTTGAGTGTTGATTGAAAACGACTGCATAGCCATCCTCATGGGCAAACTGAATAGTCTATTACTATATCCCAAAAAAATAGGGGAGGTAGTTTTTACCCTTCGTGAGCACGCGGAGCGCTGGTGTGTGGCCAGTGGGACGATGGATTCACACCTTCTCGTGGTGTCCGGTGTAAGTAGCTATGTAGACAGCGAAACCAAGATGAATCCGCGGTGAATCGCGGGTCAGCAGCCTTACGCTTGCGAAGCGTCGTATGTATTACCCGGTAGTTCGTGATGTACTGAGTGAGAACCGAAATGAACTCGAGGGTTTATAAATCCCCTTCCTCGGGGTCGTTTGCACAATGCGCCAGACATCATTGCTCCCCAGATCTTCATATTTCTCGATGCTATCCTCATTGGAAGCTGAGCTTGATCTTCAAATGTCTCGCGGACAACATCATGCTGGAAGATTTCAGGACCGAGCTCACGAGAATACAAGAAGGCCACTCCGTTGGTGAATAGTACGACGCCGAGGAAGAGGCGCCAAACGACGGGGTGTGCCACAGACCGAGAATGACAAAGGGTTTAATCTAGAAGCGGGCGCTCTATTACCAATGGGAAATTCCCACTGGTTGTCACTTACAGAATTCGATACTTAAATGCTGCGGCTGTGGTGAAGACTGATGTGAACACAAATCCACTATGGTTGCCTTATATCAATATTTTCTCTTTTTCTCGAGCGAGTTCATTAGCAATATCTTTGGAACCAGAAGGCAATTTCCAGGGAATTAATAGCTGATACTTGGTATCTTCAGGTGTTTCACCAACAAGTGGATTTGGCCAGAAGCCAGAATGCCAGTGAGTGAATTGTTTCCTGTGCTAGATGAAGTGACGGTAAGCACATTTCGCCCGCCTTTGCGACATCATTGCACTGACGATTCTATGCGCGTGATCGCCTTTAAGATATCCCGATGCTCACAAGAGTGTCGGGTGCCCCGCTCTTTATGTCTTGATTATTCTAGAATAAGAAGTCTAAAGAGTAATATATCGCTAATAGTTAAGAGGACGTAAGACTCTTATAAGTTTCCGTTATATACTGTTAGTGAATTTCATTCTACTATTATTGCTATAGTATCCTATTTATACGACGTTCAGTCGTTTTCCTAAGCTAGGATTAGCGGCACGAATACTTCGATCTCTTAAGGATTCGAACCCTATATTTTATAACTATACTAACTAGTATTATAGATACTAACTAGTATTATAGGGTAGGTTTTAGATTCTCACTCTATGTAGGGGTTTTATTTTCTTTTTATTGCTACGGTTTATAGAGAGGATGTCCGTATCCAGTGATTCCTAGGGCGCTTATAACTCACTCGTAGATCATTCAGCGTATTTTTAATAAAAACGTTTGAGTTAGTCGAGACTAATCAGATTACGTGGTCAGACGCTACCGGAGGACCTTGTTGTTAGTAAAGCTGATCGCATTTCTGATTACCACTAGCGACGGAACCTGTTGTCCTACGGTGAACCACGACACATTTCCTCCCTACTTCCACAGTTTTACGTGGAAAAATGTCCTTGGCCCTCCCGCGGCAAGGTGTGCGGGTCTTGGCTATGGAAGAGAAATAGCGACACGTAAAAACTCGACTGCAGCTTAGCTTTATGGAGCATCGTGGAGCTTGTTGGACTCGGACAACGCCACCAGGGCACGGTTTCAGGTCTTGGATTCGGCGCCGCCGCGGTTACTTCACCAGCTCGCTCTATTCCTCCTGGGATACCCAGTTCTACCCGGAAGGAGTGGGATCTTGGATGGTCAAGGTCAACATCAATCCTGAAGGCGGTATGAAGCTCGATCCAGACTTCTACATCCGGGGAGACATGATTTCAGCGGTCTTAGTGTCCATCAAATAAGGCTCCAGGGCGGCGATGCCTCCACTGATTCATATTGCTGACGGCATCGCGGGCGCGCAAATAGTGTCAGACTCGTTGGTCTCATCTTTGATGTACAGTTTCTGTGCAAGGCTGAGTAGGATCCTAGTTTCAGCATTCATAAATGCGCCTTTATATTTGAGTCATTAATGCGATTCTTTGTGATAACTAGTACTGGCTTGAGTACCTACTTCGCTTTCATGCCCAGGGATTCGAAGCATGACAGGGGCAATGCCTGAGATGAATCTGGGTCTCCGTCTCGAGACTTTGTGACGAGCTAGTACGTATGGTTCGTGATGGGTGTGCTGCGCTGCGGTAAACAGCGCAACGAAAGACGCGGGCTACACAGCCCTGGGACATCTCCACCACTGTCACCTACGGCATGGGTTTTTAAGCGTTCAACCACTGGTCGCGTACAAATTGGCGGCTTCGACCTCTCGCACCCATAATCCCCAAGCCCGCGCCCATCCAGTCAACGCGATCCCCGTCGCCCCCTTGATCTCGTCGTCACGCAGATAGTGGATCTCTGTGGGCGGTTCTCCTGTGCCACGGTATGCAGCGCTGAGACCGAGGCTCGCTGTCTGAATAGCCGCATTCTCTCTTGTGTATATGGCGCGGAACACGCATTCCTCGATGCTCCGTGCAGCTACTGTATACCCGTGACCGCGCATGAGGACGACAGAATGGTCTGGCTCATCCTTGCCGGTCTGTGTGCTTGCATCTGCGGCACGGAAGCAGGCGGCAAGCGATTCTCCCAAGTGGAGACTGCGAATCAAGAGGTCACGAGTCGTGCCGGGCTCGTAATGCTTTGCGACATCATAAACAGGGGTTGAGGGTCCTGGTGCTTGTAAGTACGGCGTCTCGCTTGCAGAAGCAGGACCAAGGCTTACCTAGGAACCCGGCCATATGAAGGCATGGCTTCAAGGGTACTCCTGTGCCTAAAGTTCAATGTCGATCTCTGGGGGACCTCGAAATGAGGAGAAACTTCGTACCGGAGATAGTGTAAGGAACAACTGCGCTAGCATGGCTGTGGATGACGCTGTTGACGCCCGGATACCTTTTGTATATCTCGCTGTGGATGTACCTTTCGATGTAGCCTGCGGGAGCGTTGCTGTCAACCGGAGTTGCATCAGACACATTGTACTCCACCAGGTCTTGTGGGGAAGCGATGTTTGCGGGGGCCATATTGCGAGGCATGATAAAGATGCTTGGTGTTGACGGATGTCGGAACGACAGATGCCCGTAGGCATCCAGAATCCTGTTCATCGTCAGCTGCTCATGGCCTCCTGCTGTATCATTCTCCTTTTACCCGTGGTAGTGAAGGACGTGACTGCCGGTGATGCAGTTCTGGTACAGTCTGCGAAGTTGCTGCTGGGTTTCCATATTGTCGGGCGGTGTTGAAGACAACCGAGGAAAGCCAAGCTGCTGCATTGATAACCCTGCCTGTCCTGTCCGGATCTTGGTGGGACCAATGTGACCTGAAGGTGGATCTGTAAGCGGTGATGGCGGCAAGCACCAAGCAGCCAAGCAGGTATGTGTTCCCAACAACGATACCTTCACGTGTGAGCTTCGTATAGGGACGTTCCTCCAGAGTTCAAGAGGAGGGGGCGTCCGGCCACTTTGCGTGCCGATTCCGAGTCGGACTCCTGAGTTCGTGGGACCAAACATGATGCATCCGATTCGACATTCCCCCGCTTTGGTACACCAGGGCAAAAGTGGTCCCTGTTCAGACCTGGCAGGAGGGTAGGTGTATGGTGCGTTGAGACGATAAAAGACTTCGAATGCTGTCCAGAGAAAAAGTATCTTGAAAGAAGGACTACTTACTTCGATTTAGGAAGTGTTGGCCCCCCCCACCCCAGCCATTAGTTTTCCAGCCTGGACTCGACATCATGATCACGAAACTTGCAGCAAACATCCCAAACGTCGAAACAGACGAGACTGGGGAGCCGCGGCTCCCTCGATCATACACCTTGAAATTCGTTGGTGACTGGGGCGGCGCCAACTTTCACCGCATATGCAGCTGGCTAACCCAACAGTTCTGCGACCGTGCAGGCCCAGGAAGCCGGACGTCGATCTGGAGTCTGCGCGACGGAGGACTAGATGGCCTCATGCAGGTCCACGACGGAGAAGTGGACCTGGCCATCAGCACGCCAGCAGCTCTCATGGGCAAGGCTTTGACAGGCGATGCTCCATTTTCCAAGGCGATGCCACACCTGCGAGCCATAGGCACATTACCACAGAACGACAGGCTGGTCCTCGCCGTCCACCCAAAGCACAACATCCAATCCTTTGAAGACCTCAGAAGACAGAGGCCAGCCCTGCGTATAGCAACGTCCGTGAATGACGGGACCAATTTCATCGGCTACGTCGCCGAGGAGTTCTTGCATGCCCATGGAATCTCGAAAGCCACCCTCGAGAGCTGGGGTGGAGCTCTGCTGACTGCACAGAGGCCCGAGCAATGTACCGCTCTCGTCGAAGACGGACAGGCGGACGCCCTCCTCCAAGAGGCCATCATGACAGTGTGGTGGAGGCGGCTCGTCGAGGAGGACTTGTTGGTTCCACTCCCGGCCGAAGCAGGCGCCTTGGAGAGCCTGCGGAAATCCGTCGGCCTGGGCACGAATCCGCTACCGGCAGGCTGGTGGAACAATCTGTCCACGGATCTGCCGGCGTTGGATTTCTCGGATTTTGTCATTTTCGTCCGCGACGACATGCCAATGGAAGTCGCATATCTGCTGACGTGGTGTCTGGTCGAGACAAGGCACATGCTCGAAGGACAGTACAAACATATCCCTCCAGAGAAGAGCCCCTTGTCGTATCCTCTCGACCCGGGGAGGATGGCGCAGACGCCGATACCACTCCATGAGGGCGCAAATGTGTACTATTCGGAAATGAAAGACCGATCGAAAGATGATAGCAAGCGGAAGAAAGTTATCTCGCCGTTCTGACCGCTGATGAAGAAGTCAAGATGCTGCCGAAAAGCGAAGCGATTTACTACAGAGAAAAAGTGTCCATAATAAGCTCGATGTCTCGTTATTATCATTAACAAAATCTATACCACTGATATAGTTGCCTGACACGAGACCAATAAGTCGCGTTGGAGGCGCTGAGGACACCACAAAGTACCGACATAGAAGTGAAAAAGTCCTCAACACAGCCATAATGTCCTTTCTTTTTCTTTTTCTTTCCGTTCACCCTCCAGCAACCCCGAAGCTGATGCTAAGAAGATCGCAGCATCGCTGTTCGAAGAGCCTGCGAACTCACGCTCTGCACGATCCCGTCCTTGTCAAAGCCGATGACAAACGCATCTGTGGCCAAGTTGTTATATATTGCCTGGTCAACCTGCAGCCAGTAGTCGTTGTACTCCGACCATGGATCTCCTGTGGCGGGCTCGCCGTTAGGATTGATCAACGTGTCGAGGTGATACTTGTAGTACGTGAGACCGTCAGCCTGGGTGCTCAGGTCTGTCGGAAAGAGGCGGAAGTCGGCGTAGGACGCCAGATATTCCTGGGTCAGGAAATTCGTGCCGTTGCTGATCCACTGTTCGACCTTGATGCCTGGACCGCCGTCGACAGCCAATGTGATGGATGAGTTGCGATCAGTCGATTTGAAAGTGCCGGTAAAAGCGTTCTTGGCTTGCTCTTTGGCTGCTGCTTCTGCGGCTTTGTACTAGATTATCCCAGTTAGTGCTCCGCTCCTGTATCATACGCCACTTTATTCGACTTACGAATATATCAACCAAAGTCCCTCGAATGGGAGGTACTTGTCGATTGGGGCTGTCGCCAGCTGCCAGGACGGTGATACCGATGTTGTAGTCTGGCACCAACCCGAAGTATGTCGAGTATACGCCGATGTCGCCAGACTTGGTGTATGTATCGACGATTCGGCTGGCATTGATGATTGTATTGGTAGGCACTGTAATCCTGTAGATTTCCCAAGGAGCCTGTCAAGCAGAGAGATTAGTGACACATCACAGGAGCGTCGACTCTCAGACTTACACCAACCGCCGATTCCCACTGAGAGGTAAATGATGTTGGTTTCATCCACCTCCGCGTAACAAAGCCCGGCAACATCTTGTAGCTCAGAATGGCTTGGCCCCAAGTTCGGAGGTCTTTGGTGGAAGTGTATTGATTGCCGGCCCTAATTCAAGACAATCAGTGTTGCAATCCCAAGGTCAGACTTGACGTCAAACTCACGGCCCCTGAATGCCTATGTCGTATGAGAATAGTGCGAAGCTGTCGTTCCGTGGGATGATAGCATCGGCGTCTGGGCCAGGCACTGTGGGCGTTGTTGAGGCCATTCCGAGCTTGTTGATGAAGGTATCACGTTGACCATCCAAGATGGACCGTCCGGTGATATTCTCATAGGCAAGTCCGAGTATAGCATATGCGAGGTTTGAATAAGTAGGAGTTGTATAAGACGGATAGACTGGAGGGTGTTCGATGACACCCTTGAGAAATTCTAGGAGAATGAGAAGCAAGCTCAATTCACTCGAGGATGGACTTCACTTACGCGCTCGGCTGCATGTTGGTAGTGTGTCGCCATAGGAGTTGCATTCTATAATGGTTTCATTTCCAAGCGGAGGGTATCCGTCGACGTCAACCGTATCGGATACAGGTGGAGACTGGAAGGACTGAATAGCCAGGTCGCCTAGATGGACTGCAGCAATAGTAAGCAAACCATTTGATATCTCTCGGATGCTAGGGCACTTACAATCACGTCCAATGCCCGAGATCTGGGAGGCCAGAGATCCGACGGTGACTTCACTCCAATTGGTCGATAGGAGCGGGTTCGTATAAGACTGGGCAGCTGCCGCCAATTCGGGCTATAGCTGTCAGTGGTGTTATCTTGAGTCTGTCAAAGAGGAGCATCACTCTACTCACAACGTATTTGGTGATTGGGTCTAGGTAGACTTGGTCTCCAATGTCAACCAACCAAGTATATATCGTTAGAAGCTTCCCCAGACTTCCAGTCCTGTAGATCGTGTTCTCGGAGAGCTTGCCCTTGGTGTACGAGCCGTTCAGCTGAGGTGCTTCAAAATGGAACTCGAAGAGAGGCTCGTTGCTTGTTAGACTGAACACCGATGCTGAGAAAGAGGTCGCCTGGTTGTCCAGCGGTCCATAGGTACTGTTCCCAGCAGCAATGATCTGGTTGATCGCGTTTGCTGCTTGCGTTTTGGCATTGGTAAAAGCTTCGAAGGAGTCATTGGCCGCTGGCTGATAGACTGGACCGAGAACAGCCAAGTCGATCTTTGGGTCCGTCTGGGCAAATGCAGAGAGGACGAAGCCTGCCCACAGAAGCAGAACCACGGCTTGGCCCGTCATTGTGTTCCTAGACAAAGCTGGTGTTAATCTGGCTTCTCACGTAACGGTATTGATAACGATTGTAATGGTGTGCTCCCCGAGCATCCGTACGAGATAAATGCCAGCCACAGCCAATAAGCACAGCTTCAAGCTGGCAGTGGCGAGTGTGCCGCCTTCACTTATATGACTGACCTTGCATGCTATCTCCAGGGAGGGCGAATGTTCCTCCGCATCTCGTTCGACGATAATTTCGTCTACAGAGACGCAATGTAACCATGATTGCCTGGCCGCGCGTGTAATTCCGTGCAGAAAGTGGTTAGGTGAAGATATGGGATGATTTTTCTCCGCGTCTCGTTCAATATGGAAGACGATGGACGCCAAGACAGTCGGCCATATTCGTTTCCTCTAACCACTCCGGAGTTGCACGAATAGCTGTCCATTCTTTTGCTTTGACCTCGTTTGTCGTCGGTTACTGCATCTCGCACGAGTCAATGTGGTGGCGCTACGATAGAAGGTGAGACGAGCACGGCGCCTCTGCCTTGGAACATGCTCTGTCTGTATCGGTGGAAAAGATAAATGATGGCCGGGAGTTGATCCAGGACATTGCCTCCAGATAGGAGGAGGATACTCTAGACCAACCCATGGGCTAACTAGGCCAAGGTCGACATCCGATAGCTGTTCACATATGCAGACGCTTATCTGCGGACTTGCTAAGGTAGGGGACGAGTACTAAATCCTCAGTGGTCCCGCATCGAGTGCCTTTCCCATTGTCCCCTCTTCTCATATCGCAAGCCAGCGCATCGCGTTGAGGCACGATTGCAAGTTGCCTCGAGAAGAAAGGAGTCACATAATTTGGTCCATCATGGCGCCCAATCCGGATATTGGTCATGTCTCCAGTGTCGAGGAGGACAGCATAGTCGAAGACAAGGAGCAGCTCAAGATTGCGGCCGATGGCACTGTCGTCGACCATGGTCTGCACCGAGCGTTGAAACAGCGCCATCTACAGATGATCGCTCTCGGTGGGGTGATCGGGTAAGCTTTTTCTTGTTCCACTGAAGATATCATGCTTATACTTTATATCCAGGGCCAGCATCTGGTATGGTACCGGGCTAGCCATTACAGAGTCAGGTCCGGTGAGTTACTCCACGTGGTGACTGACTGACTCCACGAGCTCACTGTGCTACAGGTTGGTGCATTTATCTGCTTCATTATTATCGGCATCGACGTTTTCTTCGTCATGCAAAGTCTCGGGGAGCTGTCAACAATGTATCCGACCACGGGTGCCTTCACCGAACTCGCTGGGCGTTTCATTGACCCTGCCGTCGCCGTGGGGCTGGGGTGGAATTACTGGTACTTAGTACGTGGGAGGTCGAATGTGTACACGGCAGACGGCCAGATGCTGATGTGACAAATATAGTGGGCTTCGAACATCGCCGCCGAGTACAACCTCATCAGCATAGTGATGAGTTACTGGACGGACAAAGTCCCCTCCTATGGCTGGATCTTGATCGCCTGGGCCTTCTACCAATGCATATCCTTCTTCGGCGTCATCGTATACGGCGAAATGGAGTTCTGGCTGGCCCTCTGGAAAATAATATGCGTGCTGGTCACCTTCCTCCTCACCATTCTCTGCAACACAGGCGCAATCGGTGGAGACTACATAGGTTTCCGGTATTGGAAGGAGCCTGGGCCTATCGTGAACGGCATCAATGGGTTTGGGCAATCCTTCGTCCTTGCTGCCGTTTACTACTGTGGCACTGAACTGGTTGCCATCACGGCTGGAGAAAGCCGTCGGCCCAACAAGGATGTGCCAAAGGTAAGTGGGATCACCGGATATACCAAGGAGGCATGGCTGACATTTCGACCGCAGGCCATCAAAGCAACCCTGTTCAGAGTCGTGTTCATATACTGGGGTCTGATCTTTTTCGCCGGGATCAGCGTGGCTTCGGACGATCCAGCCATCCTGACTGCCACAAGCCGTACTGGTATGTCGCCGTTTAGCATTGCGCTTCAGCATGCGGGCTGGTCGCACGGGCCGGACCTAATCAATGCCTTCATCTTCACAGCCACATTCTCCGCAGTCAACTCGTCCATCTACATTGCCTCACGCACATTGTACTCTCTTGCAGACTCCGGTCTTGCACCGAGATTCCTGGCCAAGACTGGGTACAGGGGAGTCCCAATCTACGCAGCCATTGTGTCCAACGCCGTAGGCCTATTGGCCCTGATCAACGTGGCCAGTGGGGCAGGGAAGGTCTTCAATTACATGATCGAGCTCTCTGGTGCCGCGACGTTCATCGCGTGGGCCTGCATTGGCATCACACACATCCGATTCCGCCGCGCCTGGAAACTTCAGGGCCACACGGTTGACGAGCTACCATTCCACGCGTTTTTGTATCCGTGGGGTGCATATTTCATCAGCGCACTGAACGTTTTCTTGCTCTTCATCCAAGGGTACGGGACACTGCTTACTCCCTTCAAGCCCGTCGACTTTGTCTTCTCGTACATTGTCATTGCCCTCTTCATCATCCTCCTGGCATTCTGGAAAGTCTACAAGAGGACAAAAGTGGTCAACCTGGCCGAAGTTGATTTGCAGTACGGCCGCAGGACTTACTTGGCCGGCGCGGATGAGTCTGAGGAGAAACCATCGATCCTCACCCGGGCAGCAAGGTCAATTGGGAGACGCTTTCACGCTTGAAATCGCGCTGAGCCATGGCTGTGTGTTCGACGGCATACAGAGATCTAGGCTGAATGGAGTAGAATTGATTGGTCGCAAGGATGTCGGTCAGCCTTGGTTAACGTGTCCTATGCCGTTGAAGAGATGATAAGACCAAGAACAAGATCAGAGGAAGAGCGGCCTGTAGATGATTTATCTCTCGAGCCTGTACACTTTCGACATTCGACATGCGACATGTCTGCCTGGATAGTCGCGAGCTCCTGTTCAATACGAGTCTTGCAGTTGCAGATAAAATAACCTCCTCATCAGTCTGGCTCAATTTCTTTACGATTTCTGGTGGACTTTTGTGTAGATTCATAAACAGAGGGGAACATACAAGTCATCTACGGTACTAAGTTAGTACAGTAGTACAGCAGTAGAGGCCGTTCTCATCTGGCAATACTACCAAGGTAGGTCCCCCATTTCTGCTGGCGCGTTATTCGGTGTCATCAATGCTTAGCTACTGTAGGCAACGGCGTCATTTTTTAGGCTACTGCAGGCTTATCAGCGTACCTTAGAGGCGGCCGCTTCTCCCCTCCACTCCAGGCTTCGTTGGTGGACACTGTAAAAGGTCACCCGAAAATCAATGTCCACACTGGCCATGATGGGCCTCGCTAGCCCTCGTTCAACGGACATGCACGCCCCCGTCGCTTATCCACGGATGGTGGAATTGAACCTGCTCGTTCAATCCACACACCGAACTAACTATTTTACAGTAGTACTCCATCCAACTCGGCGAGAGCTGCCGTGACGGTACGCTCTCTTTCCACTTTGTCCGGGCGACGAAGGATAACGATGGTCCCCGGGTTCGCTAGGGCCCTTCATCCCAGATTCAGAACTCACGGCTTTCATCTCCAGTCGTAACCAGTACTTACTAGTACAGTATTTGTTTGTGACATTCGAATGTTAGCCTGGCCTCGATCTCTTTCTTGCCGGACACAACATCATCCTAGCACAGGATAAGCTGGACTTGATCTGCTAGCAGCCCAAGCACCTGAACGTTAGAGGCACCCAAGAGGTAGCTGACCACCAGAATGGCCGGTCATTCAACCTCAACAAAATTGAAACCACAACCGGCATCAACATGGCCAACCTACATGCTCGGAACTGCTATCCTGGCAGCCATAATAGCCCTTGTCGCCCTCGGTGACCCTCTCAATCTGCAACTGACGCTTCTAGACTGGACATCGGCGTCGACGTTCACGTCAATTGCACAACGCATGAGCCCGATCGAGCCGACGGACTACATGGCCCGGGCAAAGCGTCTGCTTCAAGGTACGCCGTTGATCGACGGTCACAACGACTTCCCTTATCTTCTGAGACAGCAGCTGCACAACCAGATCTACGACCACGACTTCGACAGCGAGCGCATCGGAAGCCACAGCGACTTCCAGAAGATGAAAGACGGCATGATGGGCGGGCAGTTCTGGTCCGTCTACGTGCCATGCCCGGAAGATCTGGTCCCCGGCGTCGACCTGAGTGACCCGAACAAGCGTGTTCCAGACCTCAATGAACCAAATGTATGTATACACACACTTCTCCCGATCCCCGATGCCACTTGCGCAATGAACAAGATTGATGTTTCCGCGTGCTAGTGGGCGGTCCGAGACACGCTCGAGCAAATCGACATCACCAAGCGTCTGGTGGCTCACTACCCGGCTCTCCTCGAACTCTGCGTCGAACCTTCATGTGTCCGTCGCGCCCACAGAAAAGGCAAGATAGCCAGCATGATCGGTGTGGAGGGAGGCCACCAAACGGGCAATTCACTCGGTTCTCTGAGGCTGTTCTTCGAAAGCGGCGTCCGATACATGACGATAACTCATAATTGCGACAACGCCTTTGCGACATCCTGGGTCAGCGTGGATTTGGAAAGTGGCAAAGACGCTGGGCTCACCAAGTTCGGCGCCGACGTCATTCGCGAAATGAATCGCCTCGGCATGCTGGTCGATTTGAGCCATGTCTCGCCAAACACGATGCGAGATGCGCTGAAAGTGGCCCGGGCACCTGTCATTTTCTCACATTCTGGTGCTTACAGCGTGAACAAGCATCTGCGCAACGTTCCCGACGATGTCCTTGCGGCCGTCAAACGCAACGGAGGGATAGTCATGGTGCCCGCGATCACCTTCTTCATGAATTGGGAGCATCCAGAAGAAGCGACACTGGAAGATCTGATTGACCATATCCTCTGGATTGCCGATAAAGCCGGATGGGAGCACGTTGGCTTGGGATCTGATTTCGATGGCTCGGCTTCTGTTGTGAAGGGTCTTGAGGTATGTTCTTGTTGAGATGCTGTTGGTTGTCTGCACATGACTGAATGAAGCTGACATATCGGTTCCCTTTTATTTTTATAGGATACATCGCAGTGGCCGAACCTGATCGCAAGCCTTCTGGCTCGTGGTAATGTTACTGATGCGCAGGTGAAGATGTTGCTCGGCGACAATCTATTGCGCGTCTGGGAAGAAGCCGAACGGTTGGCGAAGAAGTTTCAGAGCCAGGGAGAGCTGCCCTGCGAGGAAAACTGGGAAGGAAGAGTGTGGGAAACTGTAAACCATGACCCCCCGAAACTGTTTCCGGGGAAATGAAGACTGTTTCTTGCTGAGAGGAGGTAGCCGGCTGCTGGTGGATGAAGGTCCTTAAGAGGCCCTGGTACCTACCAAAAGGAGTGTCTGGTCGTAAAGAGCGGTGGCCAGCAACTTGTGAAGTCGACGTTGCCCCCCAATGACAGTACTCTACCCTCTAGCCAAATTGTGCGTGTACAGTCGATGTTCCTTGGACAATTCAGCTCGCGAGTGGTGGCCAAACAGGACACATGAAAATGTCGAGGTTTCAAGCATGCATGCATGCGGCTCAAGTCATGCAGCTGCTGACTTCACCACGTCATGATCTTGTGGAAACTTCCTCGCTCCCCTCTGTCAACCTCTTCCACAGTCTTCAATCGCACCGTGGCAACTCGAGGCCCAGCCATACGCAGATCCACATCTCTGACTCTGCACGAAACCGGAATATCTGCGGCGGTCTGAAGTTCGAAGTTCTTACTATTTTGATCGCGTTGCTGCCATTCCCGAGCCAGTCCTTCCTCCAAGTTCATAATCTCCCATCCCATCCTGCCTGCGCTAAAACTGTCCCAAAGCCCTTCTCGTCTCGGGTACCGCAGGAGTAAACTTATCGCTTCACGACGAAGCATTGGATCGCGACACTGCGCGACGACAGTATAAAGAGGCCCGACCACGCCTTGGCTGAAAGCAAAGACCGGCCGGTGATGCTTTACATTTTGTTTCAGAATCGATGTAGCGTCCGCTATCGGTTCAAGCATACCGTTTTTGCCATTTGGCGGGCTGTGATCGGCGTTGCTTCCTTTTCTGGGTGGTGATGGTGGTGGCGACAACAGCATCGACGACGAATCGTCGTCGTCACAGCCCAAGATCTGACGGCTCAGATCGATAATCGTCCTATAATTGGCTTCAAAGTAGTCCCATACCAGATCTCCGTAATGCGGGGATAGCTGGAAGATCTGGAGGTAAATGTCCATCAGGCAGCCGTGCAGCTTTATGACCAGCACGGTCTTTTGATCTCGGTCGTCCAGCTTCGTCTGTCGTTTCAGGAGAAGCTCGAATGCTATGTCCCCAGCGACCTTTCTTCGTAAAAGGGCCTGATATCGATCCACGGTGGATTGGCGTGGCCGTGCGCCCGTCAGAGTCCATTCGTCTTGCACGTAACAGTCCTGAACTAGGCATTGCAGGTCGCTCAGCAGGGTATCGAAGTAGTATCGAGCGTTGGCTAGAGTCTTGAAGTCTATACTGCTGGTTGAACGGAGCTGGTCCGATGCATGAGATTGTATCATTGAAGCAGGCAGAATCTCATCGCACTCATCATCGTAGATTAAAGTGCGCGCCTGAATCTCAAGAGTGGTCAGTGCCATGACGAATGCATTGTACAGCTCGTCATATTGGCTTCCCGCGTTGCCGGCAGTGTCCATTGAACGCTGGAGACTGTCAAGCAACTTGAGACCGTTCCGAAAGTGCATGATGCTGTGCGTCTGATGACCCTGTAGAGAGGCGTAGCAGGTGAAAAGGATGCAGGTCATCAGCGTGGCGACTTTATGCATCGGTTCCTGAGCGGCAGCAGAAGTATCCGAGAGCGCATTAATGGCTCGATTGCATTGCCGCAAGGCGAATTGTACCTGGGTATCTCTCGTATCGTCAGGGATGACTGTTTGATGTCCGACGGAGAACTTCTGATGCAATGCCCCTAGTCCAGTGACGGCGTATCGAACAGCCGGCTGAGTCATGGAGAGTTGAAGGATAGAGAGGTGCCAGAAATCCTCATCGACACGAAACAATTGCGTCAGCTCTGGGACGGAATACGAGCGGAAAAACTCGAAAGACTGTCCTTCCACCTTGCTGTCGAAGACCAGTAATTGAGGGTATGGCATGATTCGAGTCCCGTTCGTTGGGCGTACTGGAGCAGCGACCACTGCTAGAGGTGTCCAGGAATGTTGCCATGAGTGCTCCTCCCAGCACGATCCTATTTCAGGTGGTTTGGTTTGGTGCTGGTAGTAGCCGCCGCACTTTCGCCCTGATGAAGAACACCGCGCGCAGGTCGGTTTGCCTTCATCGCACTTGATCCGACGTGTCCTGTGGTCAAGATTGAGCGTCCAGTCCAAGGGTGAGAAGGTGCTTGTCCAGAACTTACCTGCAAGTAATGCACCCAGTCTTGACCTTGGGCTTCCAGACTTTCTGGCGGGGCTTGCCAGGAGCTCGACGGCCCACTTCCATCTTACCTCAGCTCCGAGTCATTGCAATACGGTCTATGGAGAAGGTAGCTCGGTCATAAAGCAATGATGCGCATCAAGCTGGGCTGCTCGCAGGTGTGGTGACATTTGCAGGAGGAATATTCGTAGCAGACGCTCAAGGAGCAGTACTTAGCCGGGGTCCTTCGTACGATAGGAGGTTTCGAGGTCGTCCATGATTTCTGAGCATGGGGGCGGCCGAGATCCTTTGAGGAAGCATCCTTGGCGAAGTACTACGTTAGTACCCAAACATCGCACTAGCCTAAGTCTAGTTAGTTTATCATGGCCAAGCCTAGAATATGGGTGGCCTTAAAGATAAGGTTGTAGACTAATGGACTAGAGGTCAGCTAAGTCACTAGCGTGCGAGCCCAGAACCTATAACCACTGCCGGGCAGACATCCCAAGACCACCTTTGAAAGCGACGCCGGATCCAACGCCCACAAAAGCCATGGCTTATATAGGAACCTGCATCTGATATGTACTTTGTGGAAGGGGTCACCATAGGGAATTCTTTTCGCCCCATGGATCGATCTGCGCCTAGCAACGCGCTAAATCATGACGTCTGATATCATCTCACGAACGCTCTATCCACCAAGGCGTGCCCTTCCAATTCATCATCGTGCGCAGGATTTTCTGCCAAAACGCTCCCTTTGATTCGACATCTATGGTGACTCCTGAATGCAGCATCCGCGTAAAAGCAACGGTAGGGGCCGACATCAAACGATGCTTCAAGGCTTCCATTCAACACCAATCCGTGCAGTCGTCGGACCCGCCCACAAACGTCGGCCCACCGATGATCAAGTTGAGGCAGAACGCCGCATAGCGCGGAATGCACATGCATCGTGCCAGAAACGATAGCATCTTCCTTCGTGTTCGACACCTGGCAGTAGAAAGGACGGCAAATCTCGGTAGGAAGAGTCCCAGCTGTCGCCAGTGACTACGCAGCAAGTACTACTCAACTGTGCCACGTACCAGGAATATAAGGGTGTTTCGCTGGCGGCAGCCCCACCCAGTATGGTCGCCCATGTCAAAGCCTCAGGATGTTCGTGCTCGAGTTCCAGAACAGAGGTTTCGTCCAAGGCAAGCATGAGTCTCTCGGCCAATTTTTGATGAATGCCAATGTGTCGTGGCTTAGGGTGGATGGTTTCAACCAAGAATATCAGCAGAGCATATCGGCAAACACGATAGCGACAGTCGTCCGAAGCCGCCGGGCAGAGGAGATCATATTGAATGGAACGCCTTGCTCCAATCGTATGCATCAGGTCTGGACCATGGGTCTTGTCTCGGCGGAAACAATCGTACGTGACGACCAGCTTACGCATGTCGTCGAGAATTTGCAAGACGAAGTCTTTGCCTTCAACGCCATCCAGGAGCCTTAGCTTCCGTGCAGACAATTTTTCGTAAAGCCTGATGCCCTTCTCGTCCCATCTTGACTGACAAAGCGCTACGTAATGCTGAGCCGTGTAACGCACTTGGATCCGTGGCGGTTCTAGGGTGAGGAGCGCGTCATTCAGCGCGGTACTGTGTCTTTGTCAGCGTTTACCGTGCAAAGTCTGGGGGTCAACTTACGATTCGAGGGCTTCTGCTAAGCCATGCATTTTGAGTGACTGTAAGCCCCCGAGTTGTTTCACCATGGCGTATACCATGTCAAGATGCTTGGGTTGCCATCTCATGCTCGAATAGAATTCATTGTCTTTATATAGGCGTAGAGGTGGATCCATTGGCTTTCGCGGCGCCACAATCATATCCCCACCGTCGTGAACTCCTAAGAGATTGATTGATAGGAGGAGATCTTCTGAAATCGAGCCTTGAGATTGTGCAAGCTCCTTTCGCAGACAACTCAGGGCCTCAGACTTGTAGGAAATTCGGAGTAGAATACTTTTCTTGCTGGCGTTCGAAGAGGTGTGGAGAAGCCACGCATTATGGCAGGCACCGGCATACACGATGGAATAGAAGGCGACGGGACTTCTCAACGCGGCGCCCATGATATCGGCTTGCGTATGCTTCACTTCGTTTCGCGAAGCACCATACAAGGCCCATTGGAACCTTATTGCTGGACGTCACGTCAGAGGGATTGAAGACAAAATATCGAATGAGTAGCTGGAGGTCATACCATGATCAAGCATTTCCTGGACATAATCTGGTACATGCACGTCGCGAAGAGCGTTGAAAGGATCCAATCGCCATTTCCCCAGAACTCCTGGTTGCGGATGCCATGTGACTTCCGTCTCGGACTCCTCTGACGTGGATGTGGAAGGAGATGTACCTGAATCTGGAGGTGTGCTGTGACCTGGAAGTCTAGCACGATTCGTTTGGACACCATGGTTGATGGAAGACCGCGGAAGGACTTTCGAGAGTCTGCGCTTTCTGTGGTATTCCAGTGCGGTGTGCTTTTGACGGGATTGGTTGTTATCGTGCTCGGATGAGTTCTCCCTGTTATAAGGCAGGAAAAGCAGACCGGTGGATGTCATGGTTGCCATCGTCTCTTCTCCCGTCAATCATTTTCCAACGCCAGCGGTTTCAGACAAAGTCTGTCGTTGTCACAGTACTCTGCGTTGGGGACTTGAAAGCCGACCCAAGAGCGAAACGGCCAAGTGTGCCAGTCAAAGTAGTAGATTTCGCTAACGGAAATGGTCGTTATTCTGGACCTTCGACCCCGCTTCGGCAAGGCGCATATCAGCGATGCCCTGATACGGTCTCTGAGAAGCAGGAAGCACCAGCAAGGCGACTAGGCGTGGGACTTGATGCCCATGTTTTCCGATTCGCGAATCTTGAGAGTTGGCGCCTGTAATTGCCCAACGTGAAAAGGCGAGCCCTGTGCAGGAACAAGGAGGACACTGTGCTGACGCGAAACGTCGAATGCGAAATATTTGTAAGGCCAGGCTAGGCACATTGGGCGAGTGAGCATTGATTTCCGCTAGTAGGGTTGAGGGGGACTTCCATGCATCGCATCCATGAATGACAACAAAGCCACTGGCCAAGTCAAGCGCCCTGATAGTGAGTTCCCGCAACATTTACGGCTTACAGGGCTTAGAGCGTCGTGGAGCCCCAACTCATCAGGTTCACTAGGCGCGTGGTTGGTCTTGTTGGCCACAGACCCCGGTCCCGGTTATGCACTCCTCATGCAAGAAGCCCCCTCTCAAGCCGAAATGGTCAACGGAATGGTCAGCCCATGGCCCTCGCTTCCAGAGAGTGCACTACCACGTGGTAGTCGATCAGCACCCAACCGAAATGACACCCACGAACCAGCAGTACGATGGTTGACTCGATTTTGCATGAGATACTAAATAGTATGTGCAACGACTAAGTGTCTGTGGCATGGTAAAGGAGGGCGATATCTCACCTCGTCGCCGGGTTGAAACTCGAATCATGTTCTGATTCGACTTGACCCGTTCAGACTCGGTTGCATGCATGGTCTTTGTCGCATCTTTGATTGGAACGAGGCCGTTGTGCTGGACTTTGACAAATCGTCTCGTCTTGTCCCGTGTCGAATAGAACAGGATCAGGACGATTCTGTTTGCCTGACCTGCCGTAGAGCCTCACCAGGAGCATATATTGCTGACACTCTTATGTAGGAGCCTTTCAGCTTAGTGTCCAGTCAGAGAGATGTTAATGGTGGAGAATGATGACCCGATTGGTCCTCTATCAGGACCCAGAGAGCCTCATTGCAAACCACCTTTGACAGTGATTCGATAGGCAGGTTCACCTGCTTCCTAGTACAAGGCGCAGAGCAGAGGTCGATTGCATTGTCAGAACATGTGTTCAAATTGCGACCAAGTGGCATCAGTGCAATCCCCCATCCATCCCTTCCACGCCCGCTCCAAAACCCGTCCACTCGTTGAACTCGGAGACGAATTTGACTGCGGCTTTCAAATACCACCCATCTTTCTCCCCGTACAAGTCGGCACCAAACTTGAGAGCACGAACAACCTTGACGTAGTGCGAATCAAGCGACCACTGACTCGTCAACGCCTTCTCCTGCACCCATTGCCAGTCACGACCATCCAAATCTACCGCATCGATTGATCCTGCATAGATCCGTCGCCTCAGTTGAGCGCAGTACACGATAACCACCCACATAGCAAACTGCTTGAGGATAGGGTTACGATGCTCCTCCGGCGCATACGGTAGAATGACACGCAACGCGTGTGCAACGGTGAGTACGTGGATCAGGAAGAAATCATACTGAACTCGGGCGCTGGCGGTCTGGACTGCAACACGGACAGCAAAGTCGAATACCTCCTCGAATTGTTGACTGTAATCGTCCAGCAACCACCCGTTCCAGTGTTCAAGAATTGCATCTTCACATTTCTCATGCAGAGTGAACGTGTTGAGGAAGCCGGGTAGTTCGAAACGACCGTCAAAACGCTTGTCTTGCCGCACCTTCCCTAGCACTTCCTGAAGGTGCTTCGTTTTGTAGGTAGACGTGTCTGGGACAGGCTCGTCGAAGTAGCGATGAACGAAGTCATATTCAGTGCAACCGAGGCTGAGTGCCTCAGACGCCACCTCTTTGCTGTCGAATTCGTAAGCGTAGTGGAGGTGGATGAACGGGTGTCCGACTGCCGTAGCGTGGTTAGAATTTTAAGAACAGGAACATATGCTTGCTAGAGCTGACTCACGTCCGCCACAAAATCCATTGATTAAGGGCGTCTTCGAAGAGTACAGGTACCCTTGCATGACTTGCTTCCAGTCACCTTGGTTCTTGTCGATTTGATCGTCGAAAAATTTCACGAAGGAGACAGTATAACTGCGGCCACATCAGCATGCCGGATAACGAGATGACGACTCGATGGACGAGGTAAGAGAGCCTACGATTTGTCGCCAAGGTGCTCCCTCCAAGTCTCCTCGGTCAGCTGCTCGCGCAATGGGACCGTGCCAACAGGCCTCAAAGATTGACCTTCAGCTTCACAAATCTCTTCGAGTTTGTCCGGAGTCGCACCCAGATAATAAGCTGAACCAAGAATCTGAGAGACCACAAGCTTAGTAGACGAGCGATAACGTCAGAATTTGCCTTACATGTGGCATATGGTTGTGGAACAGGAGTTGAGGGTCACGTAGAGCGGAAAATGTGGTATGGTTTTTCTGTAGGCATTTGGCGAGGCTCTGCGTAGTTGGATCCTTTAACGAGCGGGTGCTGTAGGTTCGAATCTCCGGAAACGAGACATTGTGGTGATTCGTAGTGGCCTGAGCGTGCTCCTGAGTCAGTATCTTGGACATGTTGCTATTGCCTGTAGGTCGCGATCCGTGATGCTGATTAGTTTGGCACCAAGTGGAACGACGCAGCGGAAGAGGTGTTATCACGACCTCTTTATGTTTTGCGCCCCAAGGTTGAACCAATTTCCTGTCTCCAGGTACCGAAAGTGATGTGCACTCGGAAACTGGAGTATTCGTGGGGAAGGATGGCGTTGTTCGTGAAGTGAGGGTTGACGGCCTTGTCAAAGGCGTAGGGGCCTCGGAGTCGGCATGAGATCGTACCGACTATCGCATTTGGCCACTGGTATGATCCGTGACCCATGTACTAGTGTTTGGAACAAGCTGTAAGGTGCCATCGAAGTTCGTGGGGATCTTGTGGGACCTTCTCAAGGTCACAGCGATGCTGGCTGATATGTTCGCGGAGGAAGTCCTCCTGAATGGTTGTCCATTGTTGCAGGACTTCCCCACAGGCAAGCACCCATCTCCCAGCAAAAACTGCCTTGTACTCGATTTCATAGCAAACATGAGGACCCGAACCAGCTAGCTCTTCAGAAGAAGAATGGTAGGCTAAAGAAGCATGGACTTCTTCATCATGCTTCTCAACGCTTGTGCAATATAAAGTACTGTGAGCAGAAACCGTTGCGGCATGCCTCAAGCCATCCGACTGCATTTGCCAAAGAGACCTGCTTGCCGCGCGAGACCATTTGCTACTGGGACGAAAACCCATAGTGTTGTAGCGACAGCCACTTAGCCAGCTTTGGCAATGAATGGCAGGCTCGAGATGGCCGCACTAACAAGCTTGTTCATTGTCCAAAACCCCGGGATATACGAGCACAACCCTCTAACGATCCGATACCCCAAAATTGGGCCATACTTCAGTCCATTGTCACCATTCGTGCTTGACACGCCGACTGCAGGGAGTGCATCCCAATCCGCACTACATGTCAAGTCCACAAACGCAGCACCCAAGTCGCCGTACGTGACACTGAGGCTTGCCCATTCAACGCTGATATGATGGCCGTTGGGCTCATCTTCGACAAGGCCGTTAGGCTGGACAAGGAGGACGTCCACCAGGGAAGAAGCGGCAAGGAAAAGTGCTTGCCCACGACGCAGATCGGCGTACGGATAAAAGAAGGCTGTCTTGATAGCCCAATGAACCAAGCCTGGCCTGGTGGCAGCCAAGGTCGGATTCCACGTTGCCGAAGACAATAAAAGAAGTCGTGGTCGCCGCCAATCTTTCTGATCCCGTCGCAAGGCAGCAAGGGCAGCAAGAACTGTCTTCGCCCCATCCTCGATGACACTGACGCCTGGCAAGTTGTCGTTCTCTCCAAGCGTGAATATGATCCTTTGGACACCGCCGAGACACTTGATCATATTGCCCACATCGCTCAGAGGCCCCTCGAAGATCGAAATGCTCGGAGATGATGACAGACTTGGAAACATATCGACGAGCTTCGAACGTGACCGCACATAGATATTGATCTTAACATCTTCTTTTGCTAGGAGTAGTCGCAGTACCTCACGTCCTGTCTTCCCGGTCGCCCCAAGAATCGATACGGTGTTCGCCATGAGGTCAAGCAGACCGAGATCGTGGAAAACTCGTCGGCTAGTTTTTGGGGAAAGATCGGTTTGAAGCTTCAAGTGAGATTGACTGGCACCTCCAAGTGCTGCTCAACCGACTCCTATAGGACACAAAGCCTTGATGAAGCCCCATATCTGAGTCTCGCCTGGCCAACTGAGCCGATGCGCGGTGAGGCAGTCCTCCATGGTATATCACACGTCCCGCTGCCAGCAAGACATTGAGAAGTAGGACTCGGAGTCAGTACGGACCGAGTCCCCCATGTCCCACAATGAGTTGTCTAATGAGTGGTTCTCATTGTCGTTGTGACACAGGCTATGTGTGCGAGCAAGGGCGGAGGAGGAAAGCCCCAACTTGACGAATCGGTGAGCGGGGTGGTTTTGGCCCAGAAGTCCGCTGTCATCCATGGTCAACAGCTTTGTAGGATGTCTTGGGCCGATGGCCTAGATCATGTCGTGGTGTTCGCATGATGTTCCCCAGAAGTCGAGGTGTAGGGTGTGAGACTGCTCCGACCGCTGCTTGCAAGGGAAGAGTCAGAGAATAATAGTAAGAGAAGCCGCACACGTGATTTCGTGAAAATATTATAGCGGCAACGTGGGCAAAGTTGGAAGTACAAAAGCGGCGACAACTCAATCCAATTACTAGTACGGAGTGTAGGGACACGAGGTGACGAGGCAGTAGGGAGGGAACCACGTAGCTTGTTAGATAGAGCACCCTCATACGAAGAAAGATTGCTTCAACTCGACAAGTTCTGGAATCTCTCGCTCTCTTGTTCATCTCTTGCCAGAAACTCCACGGTCCACTGCCAAAGCTCTTGCTGCTTCTTCTCATCATAGCTGTCAACACTGGACTTGATCGGCTTCCTAACCTCATAGTACACACCACTTGTCTCGGTATCCTCGGTCGCAACCCAAGCAAGATTTGCCCCCGATTCCTGTGGACGATGGATATTATGGTGGACCACTCGCCGCAAAAGGGGCACCAAAGTTGGCAGGACACGCAGCCAGAGAAACCGAAGCAATGGTCCCGCCTCCCTCGCCAACCCTGTCCCAGGCATGAGACCCGGGTCGAAGGCCACGACGGTCCACTTCTTGTTCAGTGCCAATATCCGTCGATGCAACGCGTACGTCCACAGGACATTGCACAATTTGGTCGTGGCGTAACGCTGGCGACCGGGGTCGTTGAGAGTGCCTGCCGCGGTAGGATGGGCCAGTTCTTCCGCCGTGTCATACTTTGCATCGGGGAGTCCGCTCTTCTGTGCCGGATCGTGAGTGCCGCTCGAAGTCACCACGATGCGAGCGTCGTCTGCCAGGTAGGGTTGGAGCAGGTGGAACAGCAATGCGTGGCCGACGTGACTGATTCCAAAAGTCGCCTCGATACCGTCCGCTGTGTACTTGATGCCATCTGGAAACTGCAGGGCTGCATTCAACAGCAGTAATGAGAGAGGTGGTAAGTTCTTTTCGCCCCAGCTCTTGACGAAGGCGCGGACGTTGCTCAGATCGCCCAGATCCAGAGGCATGAACTCGACATTGCTCTGGCCCAGTCTGCCGTTGATGGCTTCGGCGCTCTTATCGGCATCTTTTCGTGCGGCTATGACAACACGATAATCTGGATGGCTTCTGGCAATCTCTGTGGCTGTATGGAAGCCCAGCCCTGTTGTACCGCCAGTGATGAGCACCGACTTTGAAAATTCAGGCATTTTGAGAGTGAGTAGACTGAGAACTGTTAGATTACTGGAATCAACAGCATGAGAGAAATAGACTGAGAGTTATGAAACCACTGAAATCAACAGCAAGGCGACAATCTTTATATCGCAATCACAATGGTGATCGGACGATTAATCTGCCGCCGTTGGACGCACTACACCTCTCGGGCATGACTTTATTTAAGCCCGGTAAGTCCTGTCTACCTGCGCCTATCAGACATCATCACCATTATAACGATGGAGTCGAACATTCTCTTCCATGTGTTCAGAGCAAGTTGGGAGAAATAGCCTCAATGATGAGTCTACTCGATCCGCAAGCCGCGTCGATCTGCATACGCCGTACACAATTGTGATTGGGAACGGCACTTCGACGGTCTAACTATATAAGTGCAAGCGTGACGTGAACGAGACTTGAGACATTTCAGCGCTGGCGGAAGTAAGTCAGGCCGCCCGTGCGCATTGCCGACCTCAATTCTAAGTCCTAGCCTAGGCGTCCGTCGGGCCGTCTTGTCTCGAGCGGACATCTACCTCACTCTCATCTTCCTGTGGCACATCGGGCACCACAGGCATCCAAGGTCTCAACCCCGCAGATACCTTTTGAGAGTTAGGAATTGCATCGAGATGATAAACACTCATCAATGGCTCCCAGACAACAACCGGTGTATGGCCTCAATGCGACGGAGTTGTTTCATTACTCCCGGAAATATCGTGTTGTGATTTGCACAATCTGCCAGTATGCCGTGCCTCGACCAGGCATTGCATGGCATTTAAAGGAGATTCACCACGTCAACCCAGGTGATCGCAGGCCGTATCTTGACTTCGTGGCCAAACTTGATCTGTGCGAACCCGACCGAGTGGTCTGTCCGCATGAGGATGACTTCCCTGTCCCAGAACTGCCCGTCTACGATGGCTTGCAGTGCGGAGTCAAAGGCTGCTCTTACCTTTGCACAAGCGAAAAGCGCTTGAAGAGCCATTGGGCGACCGCTCACAAATGCGTCCCTCCGCAAGATCTCACTAGCCATCGTGTCCCCGTCCAAACATTCTTCCGAGGCAACAAGCTTTCATATTTCAGTGGTCCGCTGGAAACTACACCCTCATTACACCCAAAGCCCACTGTGAATCCAATACCCTTCTTGAAACCAGCACTCATCCCGAAGAAGGCGTCTTCTTTTCACTCAACACCCTCGTCCTCCACGTTACCCTGCGGGAGGGCGGTAACCGTTTTGGATGCATCAGCCAACTTGGATGGAGAATCCACAAACACACAGCCTGAAACTGTTTCCAGCTGTGATACATTATCACTTCTTCGACACTACCAGGCCTCGACGTGCAAGACCATAGACCCCGGTACTCCGAATGATGAGAGGCTCTGGGGAGAAGTCATCTTCCAGATAGCGCATGAGCACGAATTCCTATTCCACGGTATACTGGCGCTCACTTCCCTCCATCTTGCATATCTCAACCCTCAGACGCGAAACAAGTACCTGATCAAAGCCAGTGAGCACCAAGGCAAAGCCATGCCGCTGTTTCGGAAAGCCTTAGCAAAACCCAACAACGACAATTGTCACGCCGTCCTTGTCTTCGCTTGTCTTCTTATCCCTTACAGCTTTGCTTCTGAGCAACAGGATGAGCTGTTTCTTGCATCGGGGAATGGGAATGAAACTGACGTTGTCCCGACCTGGTTGTACTTTATCCGCAGTGGCTGTGTCATGCTGTCCGAATATTGGGACCTGGTCGAAGACGGACCGTGCGGATCCTTGGCCAAATGCTGGGATGCCGCTTTCGAGACAGGCACTCCCCAACAAACAGCTTACTTGAACTCCTTGCATGCAATTATGGCAGCAGCCCCAGCCGAGCATCCTTGGTCTCAACAGGTTTGTGCTGCCTACCTGAAATCAGCGGAAGAACTGGCCCAGGCTTTTGCTTGTTCCCGATCCGATCCTCAGAACTACACCACCTGGGATGCGTTGAGAATATGGCCCACAGGGATGTCGATGGATTTCACAAAACTCCTCCAAGATCTGCATCCGGCCGCATTGATCCTGCTCGCCCACTACGCTGTCCTGCTGAAACCCATCGAGGAGAAATGGTTTTTTGAGGGCCGAGCTACCAAACTGCTAAAGACAATATCCCAGAAGCTGGACCCTTATTGGCATTTCGCCTTGCCCAGCTTGTGAAGCTGAAGGCTGTTATTTCTGAGTGATCGATCTTCAACCGGATGAAGAACCGCCGACGGAAGCGGAAACGCCACGAACCCTAATGGCCACCACCAAGTCCACCATCCGCCCGGCCATAAAGGTAGAATGGAACCAGAACTGGGAATCGGCCAAGCACTTTTCCAACTTGGAGTCCGGCCTGGAAGAGAACTCTCACAACACATAGCCCACCCAGCGAAGATCTCGGTCATCACACAGATGTGTACCGGCAAGATCAGCCTGCCAGCGCTACCTCCACAGCATCAACAAAGCCGAACACCGTCCAATGTCCATGTTGCTATTGATGACAAACCCGTACGTCACGTCCTCTTGGGATGTCGAAAGTGATGTGAGGAACGACAACGAATGTGGGCAGGCAAAGCTCCATGGATGGAAATCAAGAGCATTCGCATTCTCTGTAGCTCGTCAATGACGATACAATCAGCCACATGATGTTAAGGACGGGACTCCTCGAGCAATTCCGGGCGGTGCCGTCCACGGTACTCCAATTCTCATATCTTGCCTGCATGTAAGAATGTATAAGTGTGGGAATACGTACAATAGCAATGCGAACTTTTCAATAGTACCTAAAGCAGGACGCGGCAACCTGGGTCAGATCCTGCCCGGCACGCTTCAGAGCTGTTTCGCACTACACTTCACTGTCCACCCAGATCCACACTAACTGAGAGGAGCGTCCCAAAGCTCTGGTCTAGTTCACTGAAAGTTATCTTTCACAAACGATAAGACCATCGTTACTGTCTTTTCCTTGACGTCTGCAGTGACGCCTGTGACTTCCATAGAGGCAAGGCCTCCTGCAACGAGGGAGGCGGCAGCTATTTCGGCGGGAGCTGCAAGACCTCCAGTAACCACGATCAGAGCCACGCCAGCGGTGACAAGCACGGCAGAACCGACTAACGTTAGGACCTTTGCCCGGTCTCGTCTCCCATGCTTTCCATCGCCAAGGAGCTTTGACAGGTCGACGGGCTTTCCGGTGGGCACGTCGATGATTTCGCAGCTATCGACAGCTGCGCATGCCTGTATCATGGCCGCCCATGCATCAAGATCGAAATCGCTGGCTGTGGCCCAGGACCCTAGAACCGGTTGCAGCTCGTTGGCAGCATCTATCGCTTTGGCGTAGTCATCGTCAACTTGGCCTATTCCGGCAGTGCTGAGAACTTGATGAATGGCGTCGATACTTTCTGCCAAATCTTCTTGGAGAGATGGTGTATCGATGGTGCTGTTATTGTCCCGCCGATGAGTTTGCGATGCTGTCGTTAAACCATTTGGTAGACCGTCGGCTGTGACCAGCGTAGAGACAGCCAGTAAGGTAGCTGTGAAACTTTGAAGGCATAACCTCATGATCGGTGACAAGACTATATGGACGTCCGTTATGGCTGACTAAGAGCACTTCGGATGATTCAACTGGGAAAAGCTGGTCTACTTCCAACGATAGAGATCGAGCCAGATATATATGCAAACCATCTCGACGACGAGTATATAGACATTGTGCGGATCCTGATGCGCCCAACGTGCCTTTCAGAAGTGCTTCGTAAAGCGAGCCAGTCAAACTAGTGCACGGCCTGCCTGAGCTAAATAAAGCCTGGCACTGAAGCAATGACCTGCTGCTGGCCAAATTGTGAGGCTTTAAGCTCAATAGTTGGGGAAATAATCCCGCGCCTGGAGCCCGGCCCTCGATGTTGCATTGCGACAGTCCGTGCGTGAGCAGAAGGGTATCATCCTGGGACACCCAGGAACCAGGACTCCGCGTCAACATTGGTACCCATCAAGAACTCGTCGAGAAAGTTTTCTCCCACATCAGGGGACGAAAACAGTGTCAGACCAGGGAAGTCCCATTCGAAAACAAATTGTTCCGGTATGAATGATTCAAGCTCATTCTGGGCGCTTTGGTTGTCCGAAGTCCAAAAGAAGTTCAGCGGCGATTGCATGTCTTGGATGATAACCGGTTCATCCGCCAGAAGACTCTGTTGGTTCAGCCGATCGCCTTGAACTGCTCGTGCGTACTTCTGGATGCTCAATTGAAGTACCTGCAAATACATCTTGCTGGTCTGACTCCTGCCCCCACCACTGGACGATCCACCACCTGCTTTGTTGAGTTCACTTAGCAGGACATAGCCGTCGTGCAGCAGCTGTTGATTGAATGTGGTGTCCTCCTCGGGTAACAAGCGCGTCAACTTTAGGAGCAGTAGGAAACAAAATGCAGCCTTGGCCCAAACAAAGTCCATTGCATATCGAAAATGCGCCAGGTAGTTCTGTGGCTGGTCGAGAATGATTCGAAGATGTCTTTCCAGCGCCGTTTTCGCCGTTGTTAGCAGGTGTCGCTGACTGACCGACATCTCGGAAATGTTTTCATTCCCAAGTGCACGCACTGCTCGACATAAGATCACTGCCTGAGACCAATATTTCTGCACTTCCAAATTGAGCAAAAGTACTGGAGTCTCTGCAGTCGACGATCGCTTCATTATGCTCTGCCAATCGTCATACCAAATGTCGATGTCAATTTGAGCATCTCGGACTATTGCCATGACTTCGTCCGCGTCGTCTTTGTCACATGTCGAAAGAGAGTCATGAATCTTCTCCCGTAGAGCGTTTAACTCTACTTGTGACAGAAGGCGAAGATCAAGGATTGTCGAGAAAGGTTGATTCAGCAGTATGCGACATCTCCGCGCTTTGCCTCGGAGCTGAAAAGCCCTTAGGTTGCCCGCATCCACGCGGAGGATCTGCTCGAGTACCATCAACTGAAACCAGGCTCTGGCACGCCTCATCAGTTCCGCTTCAGTCAGGTTGGAGTCACCCCGTACGCCCGCTGTCGCGCCATCCACGAGTCTTTTTGTCAACTCCTCGTATGCATCTGGCAGTCCGATGTCCACGGCCATCCTTGTTGCGAACGCCAGTATCAATGACCGCTCTGCGGAGTAGCTGGCTATGATCAGGAGCGCCTGCACGGTTTCCAGACAGGCATATTCCGGGCTAACGATGGCGAGGTTGATCATCTTCTTGAGTTGAAAGTTGAGCATATTGGACACTTGTGAGCTGTCATCCCCGAGGACACCGCTCCCAATCGCCACGATGGCGTCGAATAGCAATGAACTCCTGGCCCTGATGGACTGGAATGAATCGTGGAGAGGGTCAAAGATAGGCACATAGCGATCGCATCCCTGAAAAAAAGCATTGAAGAAGAGCTCAGCTTGCTCCATGGTGACGATCCCTCGAGCAACGAAGTTGGGAACGGAACCGACCTCTACTTCGACCCGAGTCCTTGCTCGTTTACGTGATGGCGAGCTTGGATGTCGTTGCATGGCTGGGCTTTGTCCGTGAGGCAGGGTTGTCAGATCTTGGATACTTAAAGGAGAGGTATTCGTGGCAGGCGCTGTGGAAAGGTGGGAAGCTACATGACCTCCATGTTGCTGGTTATCGAGCCTGTTCTTCAGCAGTTGCACTTCTGTTTGTAGACTTTGAATTCTCCTGCCGCGGTCGTCAGCCATGTATGCCCTTCACAAGCAAGATCGTCTCCGCACAATTCATTAGGGTCTTGAGGTCTTTCGGCAAAGATGCAGATTTTCCTCAGGTGTTGACAACTGTGCAGCTATCAGTACTACACGACATACGATAGAATTCAAGAGTACAACGGTCTCATAGGTAAATCGTGTAATACAGCGCTTGGGTGCCATTCGACGACAAACAGCAGCAAGGACAGTTTGTGTGGCAGGTATGCCTCCTGTTCAATACGGTGCCAGTTTCATTACACGACTTACCCATGAGACCGCAGGTAGTAAGTCTTGCTCACCGGGAACAAGGTCTTTGCCCATCGCACCTGACCTTGGAAGCACGGCAGGAGCCGCACGCTTTCTACCAACGAACCCGTCAGCGAGTACCGCTTCCATAGAGTCGCGTGCTTACTGGGATTCGTTTCTTGCCAGTTGCGACAAGACTAGCTGCTGGCATTTCATCCGCCATCGTGGCGCGTCGGTTTAGGGATCATGTCCAACGCATCGACAACTGCCTCTGAAGCGAAGCGCACGAGTAGGACGGTAAGTTGGAACGATTTTGAAGGAATGGTTGGCAAATCTGGCAGTTGGTCATCGAAAACCGAAGGTTGTGGGGTGCAATGCATGGTGAGTTAGGGCTGGAGACCCCCAAGAGCCAGGCTCACAGGGGTACGCTTTAGGCAGTCTGGGTAGCCTGGGGCATTCTGTGGGTATCCAAGCTGCCTAAAGTAGGGGCTAGTAGGCACAAATCACGGGGCCCATTAGCCCCCATTATCCCCACAATGACGGCGATCGCTTAGATCGGTGAATGTCAACACCTAACTTGGGTAAATCATTCACTATCATTACAATTTTCCAACTCCTCCACCCCTCCCTTGGACGTCCTGCAAACACACAGCCTCTCAGTACACGAAGATAAAGTCCTCATTCTCCCAATCAGTCTTGTCGTCGAATGCATGCTCTCCGACCGTCGCATCTTCCGCTTCGTCGTCAGCGACGGTCGCCCCGGTCTTAATCCTATTCATTGATTTGTCCACCAGAACTGCCTTCTTACCCATGCCCTCTCTGGTCCTTGCATGTTTCTTATTGAGCACCATGAGGTAGAAGACCTGAGCGGCGTAAAGTCCGATCAAGACGACAAACATAGCGAGACTGGGACATGTCAGCGAATTACAATGAAAAGCAGGGAGACTCCTCATACTTGGACAGCAGACCGCGATGGTATAGTGGTGCTTCGCCCGTTGTGTACAAATTTGGCCCAAGCACGTTGCCAGCACATTGAGCGATGAAGAGAGCGCCAGTTGTAACCTGGACTAACGTCAGATTCGAAGAGACGAACGGCAGCAATGGAAACGTACCTTCTTTTTCGTCTCTCCAGCGGTGTTTCCCGCGCTCCAGGAATATATCAGGGGCGCTGTGCACTGTTAGGCATGGAGGTCAACATCAATGCTTGACTAAGACTACTTACTAATTCCAGGATATACTGATATCTATGACAATTAGTTCTTGTTACAAGACGCAGATGTACCCGGACCTTACCAGATAGTATGCCACGAGCAAAGGTCCCTTCGCAGATGCAGTACGAGGCAGATGAAGTAACATCACGCATCCCGCGATTGGTGGCAGGCTGAGGAATGCCAGAACAGGAGATTTCCACTTGAGCTTGGTGGCCACCCACGCTCCACCCATTGTGGCTATCAGCTGAACTGCCCCAAATGGCATGTTGAGAAGGATCGTCTGGAACTTATCGAACCCGAAGTTCTTGATGATCAATGGTCCAAAGGTCGAGATACCACCACTAGGGACGCTGTGGGATTTTTCAGCAAAGATATGAGTGACCGCTTCCACGCTCAAACACTCACGAGATGGAGAACATCATGGCAGCCCATAGCCAGGTCTTGATGTCTAAAGCGGCTTCTTTCACGTGTGACCACTTCCATTCATTGCCTTCGACACCTTGGTTGTTTGCGCGCAATCTGCTTGTGTCAGCGACCGGGTCCGTTGTCAATCCTTCCTCCTACCTCTCAATGGCTACAAGTCGGTCATCGCCTTTGAGGAACCGCGCCGTGACGGGCGAATCAGGCAGGAATAGCCAGACCAGGGCCGAGTAAGCGACCGTGATCAGTCCAAAGAACAAAAAAATAATCTGCATCCTTGTCAGACGTTACTATCGGCTTCCGAGCGAAGAGACCACAAACCTGGTATGGCTTGAGATGCGGAGAGTCGATATGCCCGATGCCATACGTCAAGAGGGACCCGAAGATGTTGGTTATGCCATTCATAGCATACCACGCCCCCAGTCGGACTGGCTGCTCTCGTCGTCGCCACCACATCTGGGTTAAAGCGATAAAAGCCGGAGCTGTCGAAGGACGCAGGTCAGCGAATACGCCTTAAAGTTATGGAGCGGTTTCCCTTACCAACGCCGGCCTCAAACAACCCAAGAAACAGGCGGCAGACCAACAAGCCTGCAAAATTGTGCGCTGCAGGCATTGCAGAAAGAGTCACGCCCCACAAGAGGACTATGATAGCCAAGAATTTCCCCAGCGGCAACTTGACCAGCATATATGCGATTAGTGGTTGTGAGACAAGCTGAGCGAGATACACAACCGAACCCAACCATGAGTATTGCTGTCCGTGGAGGTTGGCGTCCTCGACGAGACCAAAAACCGAGGCATAGGCCAGGGTCGCCTTGTCCAGAGCCTGCAGGAAGTATACTCCAAGGACGACCGGCAGGATAAAGAGGTCAATTTTCTTCAAGACTCTTGAATTGTTCTCGGGCGTCAGGACGATGCGCTGCCCCGCCTCGATCAAGACCTGGTTGGCCTTGTCGCTTCTGGTGTTGGCCCTGGCATGTTCAGCCTTGGACTCCACGTGGTCGATTGGTGCTTTGGCAGCTTGTTCGTCCATGTTTTACGTGTTCTTCAGTGGATAGTGTCGATAAAAGACGAGATCATCCAGGATATGAGGAAGAGCAGCTTCCAAACATGATTTCAATCCTGCGGAACGAGCCCATGATAAATACTTTGAAGCGAAGGGTTGCAATGCACTAGGATCGGGACCCTCAGCCGGGGACTGCTATGGCCCCGTTGAGCAAGGTGTCGTATGCCTTTGCCCGCATACGAAATCAACAGGAGACACTAGGTGGTATGTTGCTGTTGGGGAGGAGAGTCCGGGGTCAATACCAGGGCGGGGTCGAAAGGCAATTGATCCGCTTTCGGCTCATAACAGCGAAGGTGTACGGCAATCAATCTATACCATTGGTGTGTTGCAGGACTTCCCCACAGGCAAGCGCTCATCTTCAGCAAAAACTGCCTTGATGTGAGCAAGGATCGCACTTGGCAGCCGATGTCCGTTGCATCTTGTCATATGGGCACAGCACGGAGTATCCCTCAAATGTCTTGATGCTCTTCGGTTTGCGTTTACCGAAACAAAGGTTGAGGGATGGGAGACAAATCCCGAGGTCATTCTTACCAACGTGCGTGCTTCAATGGATCCGGACTGATCCAAGACTCTCCCCTTATAAGTCAAGTGTCACAGTCATCGTGGGCGGATCATCTTGTTATCTCGACAGTCGACTTGACATTGTGTTGATGCAAACAGTAAGAGACTCAACACCTGCTTCCTCAACAACAAGATGCCTCAACTAGAAGCCATCCCAAAGTCCTACGAGGCTGTCTCCCTGAGCAAAGACGAGAGCCCGGCATCAATCTACCTCAAGTCCAACGACAACGACCTCGATGCACCGGTTCATTTCACATTCGAAGCAATACGGTCCAACATCTTCCGCACTACCTTTACATCAACAACCCATCCTCTGCCACCATATCCATCCATACCACAGCCTGCCAAAAACCTCAAAAACACTCAAATCAACACCACCTCCAAATCTACTGACTTCCACGCCTTCACAATCAACGACATCCAAGCCTCCCTTACTTGGACCCACGCCCCAGTTGTCTCCCTCTCCTGGCTCGACTCTTCATCACCACTCCACTCCGACCTCGCCTTCCGTTCCTACGCCCTCGACGGCCCCGGAATAGCACATTACACCGCGCACGACCGGTCTGCCATGCACGTCGGCCTCGGCGAAAAGTCCGCTCCCATGGACTTGACGGCGCGATACTTCCAAATCTCCGCGACAGACTGCTTCGGCTATGAAGCCCACGCCACGGATCCCATGTACAAGCACATGCCCTTGCTCATCAAAGCAACGCCTCACGGCTGCGTTGCCGTGGTCTCTTCATCCCACAGCCGCGGATCATGGAGCGTCGGTTCCGAAATCGACGGCCTCTGGGGCCACTTCAAAGTCTACCGCCAGGACTACGGTGGCCTGGAAGAATACATCATCATCGGCCGGACGCTCAAAGACGTGGTGCGGTCCTACGCCGACCTGATCGGATTCCCTTTGCTCGCGCCCCGCTGGGCGTACGGCTACCTCTCCGGCGGATACAAGTACACTATGGGCGACGACCCACCGGCGTACGCACAACTGCTCGAATTTGCCGACAAACTGAGGGAACACGACATTCCATGTTCGGCACATCAGATGAGCAGCGGCTACTCGATTGCCGAGACCGAGCCCAGGGTCAGGAACGTGTTCCGATGGAACAAGCACCGCTTCCCGGACCCCGAGGGGTGGATCAAAAAGTATCATGCTCTGGGTATTCGGCTGTTGACGAATATCAAGCCATTCGTGCTCGCCTCTCATCCAGACTATGCGTATCTGGTCGAGAACAAGGGGCTGTTCACGGACCACAGGACGAAAAGCACGGCTGAGATGCGTCTCTGGAGTGCTGGAGGTGGCGAAAGCGGCCTCGGCGGCCATGTTGATTTTACGTCGTCTGCGGCATATGAATGGTGGGCACGCGGCGTGCAGAAACTCAAGGAACAGGGTATCGATGCGATGTGGAACGACAATAACGAGTATACCTTGCCTAATGATGACTGGCAGATGGCTCTCGAAACAATCCCACGGACCTCGAACAGGGCGGACTCGAACAAGGTGGGCCTTTGGGGCCGCGCGATGCACACCGAGCTCATGGCAAAAGCATCGTACGACGGACTCTTGCGCGCAGAGCCTGGAGTACGCCCATTCGTTCTCACCCGGAGCGCGAGCATCGGCACTCTTCGGTACGCATGCAGTTCGTGGAGCGGCGACAACATGACCTGTTGGGAGAGCATGAAAGCTGCGAATGCCATATCCCTGAATGCGGGAGTCAGCCTGATGCACTGCTACGGCCATGACATTGGAGGTTTCGAGGGTCCTCAGCCATCTCCTGAACTCTTGCTTCGCTGGGTGCAGCTCGGATGTCATCAGATTCGTTTCGCGATCAATTGTTTCAAGACATCACCACAAGATAACCAAGCCGGGGAAGTCATTGAGCCATGGATGTATCCAGAGATCACGCCAATGATCCGGAAAGCCATCAAGAGGAGGTATGGGATGATGCCGTATATATACTCGCTTGGACTGGAAAGCGCTTTGACCGCCACTCCTCCACAGAGATGGATTGGATGGGGATATGAGTCAGATCCTGAGGTCTGGACCAAAGCACTCAAAGCCGGCGAAGAACAGTACTGGTTCGGAGATACGCTGCTAGTTGGAGGCGTGTATCAGCCTGGACTTGACGCCGCGAGACTTTACCTCCCGCGCCAATCTTCTGCTGACGGGTTCGATTACGGATATGTCAATCTCAGCGCACCATATGACCATCTCGCATCTGGTCAGTGGGTGACGATATCGTCGCCATGGAGGGAGAGTATACCGCTGTTGGCCAAGATTGGCGGGGCAATTCCCGTCGGCAAGAGTGTGCAGACTCGAATGCCTGGAGACGAGAGCGCAGAGTCAAAGGCGTTGCCGGTGGATGATTATCGTGGGATCGAGATCTTCCCACCGAAAGGCAGCTCACACGGCCAGACGTTCTCCACAACCTGGTATGAAGATGACGGGCTCTCACTCACACCTGACATCTCGAAGTTCACGATAACGTACAGTGCCAATGAGGAGAAGGTGATTATTGACCTGACTCCATCGCCGGATAACGTCTTTGTTCCGCCATGGAGGGACGTTGTGATCATTCTGCCAGTGGGAGACGAAAGATATGTAGAATCGGCCAACGGTCATGCCACCGAAAGACTGGCAACACAAAGTTGTGAGCGGGTCCGATACAAGATGGCGGTGCCTGTACCGCGCAGTCAGAGTGTGTGCAATGGATATCATTGAATGCGTTGATAGAAAATGTTAGTGTTGCAGCAGGGTGCAGCCCATTTCACAGCACTCGGCGAGCCTCGTCGGCATGATCTTCAAAAAGATTAAAGCAGCAGGGTATGCTTTTTGCGGGGCCATCGCGTGCCCGTCGAGGCCGTCACGCGAGGAATCCTTTTAGCGAAAAAGCGGCAACCACTTCTTCCTACTCCGGATTGCTTCCGCCAATTGACATCATCGACTTTTCTCAGCCTCGTGCCGCGGCCGTGTCTGGCATGCGACGAGTTAATCATGCCTCTCACTCTCTGTGTCCACACAGTGTTCTGTCTCTCCTTTCCCTACAAAATACACCCTCCCTCTTATACCTAGGTATACAATGGCGACCGAAGCCTGCTGCACCTGCGCGACTCTCCTCGCCGAATCCAAAGTCCCCTACGACCCCTCGTCCGAGAAACCGCTCCTCTACAACCGGCGTCTGTCCTGCTGCTCCCGCGAAATCTGCGCCTTGTGCCAGTACAAGAATCCACGCTTCCAATCCTACTGCCCCTTCTGCCAGATCTCCTCGGGCCCGTCGGCCTTACCCAAGGAAGGTCTACGATTACCACCATCCTATACCAAAACTGCCACTGCCTCCTCTACCCTCGGCGGCGCCCGAGGCCCTCCCTCGCCGCCACCACCATACGAAGACCACACATATCAAACGAGAACATCCTCACCTGGGCTGACGGGAGACACCAACACCAACCCCAACAATGACAACACATCCCCACCCGAAACCACCGAAACAGACGACACAATCCACCACATCAGCCCAGACGACTCCCTCCCGTCGCTCTCCCTGGCATACAAAGTCCCCGTCCCCGTGCTCCGCCAGCACAACAATTTGTACTCCGACGGCCTCCTCGCCGCGCGGAAATGGGTCCTCATCCCTCGAACCCACTACGACGGCCCGCCGTTATCCACACCGCCCGACCCCGTTGAGGAAGCACGCAAGACGAAACTGCGCCGGTGGATGGTGGCGACCAAATGTGCCGACTACAGCGTCGCCACGCTCTACCTCAAGGGCAGCGACTACAATCTGGACCTTGCCGTCGAAGCCTTCAAAGCCGATGAGGAGTGGGAAAAGAGTCACCCTCTCGAGGACAAGGACAAGGGCAAGGGCTCCCGGACAACAAGTCGCCCATACGCGCGAGGGCCTCGGGGAGGGAGTATATCGGGCCAATTATCGTGAATGATGACCTGACCAGTACCCGATACGGCGATACGGCGATACGACTGGCACAGTATACATTATGCCTGCATAGACGCCAGTTTTCGAGTAGGGGGAGTCCTCATATGACTCCCCCATGCGGACTTAGCTACGTTTCGTAGCGGTGATGACGACATGATGAGACGAAACCCACAAAGTGAGGGACATTCGAGGACGAGAGTATACGCAACAAGGCGCCGCGGACGGCCCAACGAGCAAGTCGAAGAAACCACAGACACAGCCGCCCGAGATGCACAGCGAAATGGCATCTCCCCGCTCCAGGATACCGACCAAGGCTCTCAACGGGGATCTGTACGATATAGATAGACGTGAAAGGGTCGGTCCGTTTTGTTTCTCGAACAGGGCCTTCTGAACGGCCAGCGGGCGGTTAGGTCAATGATGTACAACTCTTAGCAACTATAGACCTTGTATAGTACGTGTATCACAAATTTTAGGCACAATGTCGAAATATAGTATCGTCACTCTATCAAGCCATCAAACTGAAGACCTGTCTGCCCAGCCTGAAAACTGTGGTCCAAGTGTGGTAGTACATTCATGAGGTAAGAGATTCCTGTATGCCATTCCCAAGATTATCAGACCGTCCGGTTCCTCAATTCCCCAGCCTCGCCAACCGCATCTCGCACTTGCACAGAAGTCGAGGTGCTCGGCTCCTCAGGTCTATCAACTTTCACCTCGGAGCCGACACCAGCAACGACCTGATCCGCATTCTCATGAGCCTGATTACTGCCCTCATCGGTGGCTTGCAGTTGCGCGGCAGCCTCCGCCGCACGTCGTCTCTCTTCTTCCTGTCGTTGCGCTTCCCTCCTGGCCTCCTCGCGTGCCATGACATGTCTTTCGCCTACACCAGGGATCAGACTGGCCAGAAAAAGCGCCATACTCTGCTCGACCCGGTAGAAGATATCTCGCCAGAACCCGCGATTGCGCTCTTGATTGTTACGAAGCAAGCGAGCCGCAGCCTCTTCAGGAGTAATCTGCACAGCTCCGCGGACATTGGCAGGGCGATGAGTCGTCTGATTGATAGCATTTTCTGCAGGCCGCGGCTGTCTCTGTGCGGCGGGCTCAGGTTGTCTTTGTGGTGCTGGCGGGCCGATCAAGTTGTCGAGATGTCGACGTGCAGCCTGCATTGCACGGACGAAAGGACCATCTCTAGGCTGTAGGCAGACAATGACCGCAATGATGATCATTGCCCATCTCTTCCAGGTTCCAGGTTCAGAAAATACGAACATGAAGAGGTAGAGTCTTAGGAAGAGCCAGCCTCGTTGGATCAGGAATCCGAAGAGGTCATTATCTTCTGCATTCTGCTGGACTTGCACGAGTGGCGGTTGAGCGGGTCCCTGATTTCCTCTAACTAGGGCACCGTCTGGGTTGCCATCACCGGCACCGTCCATCTGAGCCCGTGGTTGCTGTTGTGTTGGTTCTGCTACAGGTGCTAGACCTGGCATTTCTACAGGTGCTACTTGAGGCGTAATGGATTGCTGTTGGACAGAAGACTGCGTGGTGGAGAAATAGCCATGACCAGGAGAGAACAAGAAACCCTGAGGGCCAGCGGGTGAAGACAGGATCCAAGCTGTTGGATTAGAAGTAGAAGGCTGTGGTTGAAATTGTCTGTTCTGGGAAAATGGGGTGGGTAAGTGAGTTGGAAATCCAGAGAATGGCAAGGGAGGCGGTTGAGGGCGTGTTGCTGTTGGATTAGAAGGAGCAGGGTGTGGTGTATGTGATGGCTGTGGTGTTTGTGATGGCTGTGGTGCCGCCGCAGGTCCTCGAGAAGCAGGCTGACCGGGTGCAGAAGCGGGTCGCGGGAGAGTCATTGGTATAGTCATTGAACTCGTCATGACCGTAACGTGCTCTCCATTCGGCCCTCGAAATTCCTGCACACTGGGCTGAGACACTTGCCCGTTCGGATGTGATGGGTCGTGTGGGCTCACACTCACGTTGAGGGTCTGTTGTGTTCGAGTATTGTTGTTTGCGGTATTTTGTGTTCTTGGGTGCCACCCGAAGTGGCCAGGCGGAATTGCAGCAAATTGTGATGGTTGAGGTCGGAGATTTTGGAAGTTCACGGGCAATGGCACTGGCAGGGCAGGGGCGTTACCAGCTGGATGTATTGTTGGCGAACGTACAGCACCGTTCACGGGGATTCCCAGGTTGTTATGTTGCATGCCGATTCTCTGTTGCACAGCAAGGAGATCAGCTCTGTTGACCTCAATCTGTTGTTGGATGCGAGCCAGTGATTCTTGGAGTCTTGTTGCAGAATTTTCAACTGCTCTTATGTGATTCATACGCGAGTGGTCCGGGTTAGCTGGAGGGGGTTGAATGGGATCTGCGGATGGGGCAGAGATCCAATTATCTGTTGTTGCGGCCGCGTTCTGGCGAGGTTGAACGACGATATGAAGGGTGTATGGTAGAGGACCCGGTGAGTTGCCAGGCTGCGACGTATTAGCAATGCACAGAGATAGTGAGAGCTCTCGACTTACCTCAATCCTGAGCACTTCCCGCAAAGTGGCATCGTTTCGCAGCAGTGGTCTCCCCTGGTAAATGAGACGCTGTTCCGACGGAGACGGGTGTTCTGGTAGCTCGGCTTGTATCTTGTCCTTCAAAGTCGATATCGAGGTAGTCAAGGGCAGGACTCCGAGAGGATGAGGCGGTCTAGGGTTGCCAGTCACAAGGTACGTGACTCTCAGGCTGACATGGTCTGGTGGAAGTGAGACGGCGTCGGAGGGAGGCTGACTGGATGGACCAGAAGCATTCTCACCCGTGTTGTCCATGTCGAAGGTGGTCGTGGCCTTGTAGCATTCTCACAGGGAGAATAGAGAGAATGATTGATAGAGGTGGAAGAGTACGAGTACGAGTAGTAGACAGCGTGGTTGGTTTGAATGCAAGGACATTTGTACGAGCTAGAACTCCGCAAAGTCGCAGTTTGGGGGATGCTTAGATGCTGCAGGAAGATACAAAGATGCCACCAATCAGTCAGCTTCTACAACATTTTTGGCGTCGTCAACGTCGTCATTGTGCAGCAGCAAAAAACACATTTCATTTCCGTCATAGCGATTGATCAATCGACAGCGACAAGACTATCATTGCTCTGACTCTCAAGTCACGCTTCGACAGGAATCCTCTTTTGCTCATCTATGGCCCTCTAGCAACAATGGCTACTGCAACACGAGTAGGCAGAGCATGCCTCTACCGCCGGTCACCCACGACTCCCAGCATTCCCTGGCACCTGACCCGTCCTCTCTTCGAACCCGTTCCCTCATATCGCCAACCTCAATTCCACATACAACTCCGCGTCCACCAACGGCGACCATTTACCTGCACTTCTCGACGATGCAAAGAAGACCGACAAAACCACGAAGAGAGCTTCTCCTCACGCCTAGGCAAAGCATGGCGAGCCACGCGTATCGAATGGAAACCCATACCCATCGGCCTGGGCATTGGCTTCCTAGGCCTTGTCCAGTTCATGCGCATTCGCAACCGAGAAGGCGGCGCACAAGAGGGTCCTGGAGAGACAGACGGCAAACGGCCGCCCAAACGTGAAAGAATATACCCAACTGGGGGCGGCTGGCAGGTTCAAATCATGTCGACACTACCCTTGAAAGCCATATCGAGGGTCTGGGGCCGCTTCAATGAACTTACCATACCCTACTACCTCCGTGTCCCCGGCTTCAAGCTGTACGGCTGGATCTTTGGCGTCAACTTCTCCGAGATTGGCGAACCAGACCTCCACGCCTACCCGAATCTCGCATCTTTCTTCTACCGCGAGCTCAAGCCGGGCCTGCGCCCTCTCGACCCGAACCCCAACGCCGTCCTCTCACCAGCGGATGCTACAGTCCTGCAATTCGGCAACATCGAGAATGGCAAAGTCGAACAAGTCAAGGGCATGACATACAGCGTCGACGCTCTGCTCGGGAAAATCGCACCAACTACCCCCAACCCCCAATCACCGTCTTCTATCTTTGCAGCTCCCAAGGACCAACAATCCCGCCCTGAAGATGATCCGGATCTCGAAGCAAAATCCATTCGTGCAGACGAAGAATTCGCCAACATGAACGGCATTTCTTACACTCTGCCCAACCTGTTCTCAGGCACCCAATCATCCCCCAAATCCCAATCCAAGCAAGACGCATCCACCAAATCACTTCCCTCGTCCGAGGCCGCCGTGTCCGCTGACTTGGCCTCAACCCAGCCCTGGTGGTCCCCCTTCTCCTCTCCCTCCACCAACACCAAACTACACTACTGTGTCGTCTACCTCGCTCCCGGTGATTACCACCGGTTTCACAGCCCCGTCAGCTGGGTGTGCTCTGCTCGTCGGCATTTCGCAGGCGAACTATACTCCGTCAGTCCCTATGTCCAGCGCATGCTGCCCGGTCTGTTCACTCTGAACGAGCGCGTCGTTCTCCTGGGGCGCTGGAAGTACGGCTTCTTCAGTTACACCGCTGTTGGGGCCACCAACGTCGGATCCATAGTAATCAACTTCGACAAGGAGCTTCGCACGAACTCCCTGACCACAGACACTGAGGCGGACAGACAAGCTGCTGCAGCCGCGGAGCGGGGTGAACCGTACTCAGGTTTCAGCGAAGCAACGTACGATAACGCGAGTAAAGTCCTCAAGGGACATGCGCTGCGTAGGGGCGAAGAGATGGGCGGGTTCAAGCTCGGTTCGAGTATTGTCTTGGTCTTTGAGACTCCAGCGGGACGCAAGAAGGACAGCCTAGATGAAGGCGCAACTGTCGACGCAGAGAGCTCCAGTGGATTCAGATGGAATGTTGAGCGCGGACAAAAAGTCAAAGTCGGTCAGGCTCTGGGATATGTGCTTGATGAAGAATAAGAACAGCCACGGCCTACGGCTACAATTCACCACGGTCCTACTCAGCCACCCACCCATGTATCATCATCAAAACGAACATACCATACCGACATGTGAAATCTCGCCCGTGAGGCGGGACGTCATGGTACGGCTGTGGAAGACCGTTGATGCCGTCGACCCACCACAGGACCATCTGACCTGTACACTATACCAATGCAATATACAATTGACCACAACGCCATTTCGCCTTTTCACGTTCCATTCTCCTCTTCCAGTTGCGCAATCGGACCTCCATGCCGGATCGTGAAATGACTCCCTTCACGCCGAAACAGCAATGTCTCAGGCAAACACCGATGGTAAATATGACACCATGTTTGAAACAAGGATTTACTGCCTGCTTCTCATTTGCGTCAAGGTCATAAAAGACAAATTATGCCCATCAGTCGATGCGCCGTTCTGCACTATACATAAACGCTTTTCAGTTTCAGACAGCCGCAAGGCCCGGAGGGCGTTATATTTATATCCACGCACTATTGACGTTATTTCGTCGACGTCGGTGTGATGTGGCTGGATGGGAGAAAGACCGACAGCAAGTATCTAATGGTCCAAATCTGGGCAACTAAACCCCAAACGTCCTGTCCATCGGAGCAAGACCAGTACCGCAGGGTACATAGCCGCATGGCCACATACCCAGTAAGTTGCCCTCACTCAGTTGTCCTCGCTCTCTCTTCCGAGACGCGATTACGGGAGAACTCCACGGCCTCCAACTCCCGTCCGCGTTCCTCATCCTCTTCGCATGCCGACCGTCATAGCATCTCACCTCGCAACCTCTCGCTAGCCTCATGAGACTGGCTTCTCTGAGTCGGGTGATGACGCACGCGATTAGCCTGCGGGTCACCACAAATGGGTGGTTGGTTGGGCGGAGGTTGGCATGATCTTGGGTCACGTACGAATAACAGGGGTACCGCTTGCATTTACGCTGGCTGTGCGCCTTGTTCTGTTTGGCCCTGGTGTGGATTGGTTCTTGCGGTTTATTACCAGGGATGGCCAAACATCGATCAAGTCATGAATTCGTCGACTGCGCCAACACAATGCTGTTACCGAATCTCTGGCCCAGGTCCTGACTATTGACCCGACCAATGAATCAACGCGGACCTCAGTATAGTGGGGCCGGGCTTCTGGACGAACAAACTCTGGGTATCGACCATATCATGGTCGTATGTCAACGATTCTCTTCTTCTGTGACTACGGACCATCAACAGTCTTGTGATGCAGCAAGTGCACTCGTCGGCGCTCGGATTCATGAAAGTATCAGACATCTCGGACGTCCCCTCGAAGGTAGGACGTTGATTATACCTTTTAAGTATAAGGGAATCGAAGCTAACTACGATCCCGACGACGGTCCCGACGGCGACGTGGAAGCAACAGAGTCAATGCGCGATGATCACGCGATGCTACCACTACGACCGATGATGCGTGGACCAGCATCGTCGAAGCGAGAGAAAGGGGTCTGTGAAGCGCATGGCCGTCGTGAGCTTACAAATGTTAGCGGCGAGAGAAGTGATAAGGCTCAAGAGATGGCAAACAACCCTGGTAGATAGCCCAGTTGACTCGGTTGCCGTAAGTTTAGGATTCGACATGACTCGGGTTTCAAACATCGGCGGGGCTCTCTATGCAGATTCGCTTCCGAAATGGAAGAATTCTGGAAACATGCTCGTCGAGTGGCTGCAAAAGGTCTACGCTGCGGAAGCAGCAAGGGAGAGGCGTCTTCTGGGGATGCCCTGACTACTGCCGTGGTGGCTACGACAATACCTACCCCAGAAACCGGAACCAAGGCAATTTCAATCCACACGCTAATGTGCAAAGCTCCAATTGCGAGCGGCTTACCTGAAGAACTTCCAAAGAGGCACGAACTACACTGAGGCAGCTAAATACAGAGACCAGAAGCGCTCCACAGGGAAGAAACCCCCGTCACCCAGGTTTCGATATCGGAACGGGAATTCAAAGGACCAAAATGAAAAGCGGACCTCAATCCCTCCGTATGCGAATATGGGCATCTCTACCCCAGTTGCCAGAGTGCCAGACCACTACCTGAATATCAGCAACGGGCGCTACGAGATGACTATGCACAGAAAATGGAGGCCCGACGCAACGGGAATCAGGGTGGAAAATTTGGAAGAGGAAACAATCCAGCAGGGGCTAACGTTGGAGGTCAGACTTCAGCGGTGTCGCTGGCACAGGTGTTTGAAGAGCATCCGGGCCAGGTGGGACAAGGTTATGGTTACGATCAAGATGACCTGGCGACCATATCGAGCAGATACGGGTCGTGCGTCTGGCTGCCCCAAAGGTTAGAGATTGCAATGCCAGCCTGTACCTAGGTAATCACCTCTCAATTGACACTATTAGCCACGGCAATGAAGACAACGGTCACCTCAACTTCATCCAATGACAACTAGGTCTCGACCAGGACATGTCTTGCATAGAATAAGATATCATAAAAGCACGTAACTAGGGCTTTCGCCCGCTCTATCTACCACCTAGTTGGTGGCCGACCACACCAAAACACCCACACAGGCCGCCAGCACACAACACACCACCACAAGACCACCCTTCTCGATGGCTTGCGCCAATCGAATGTCCACTGGGTGGACGCGAGAAACAGACCCGCCGGTCAACGCAGCCATTGCTGCCGATGACAAGACACCTCCCTTGCCCATATCATGAGCCAACACAAAACCACCCACCACGTATGTGGCCACGGAGACCACCAACAGGAACCGACCAGCCTCGCGCTGGATCTCAACGGCACCAGCAGCAACAACCCCAGCCTTCCTCTCAACGAGGCTCGCATGACTAAACTCTACCCTGTGGTGGACAAAACACCATGCCTTCTCCAGCCAATCGCCGTTCTCCAGCACTTGTAGGCGCTCGAATGGCACCCTGCCAAATCCCTCTAGCCTGATGATTGACAATTGGGCAGGCGTCAGAGGGAAGGACGGACAGTGGTCCATGTCGATAGGCACGTCTTGAGGTGTAAAACGAGCGTTGAGCTCGGCAGACAACATCGAGGCAGTTGGACTGATACTGGTAAACCGAGAGGAGATGGTACGATCGCTGGTGTGTGAGGAGTCACGGCCACTCTTCCTTGCACACAAGAGATCACCAGCTTGCCAGGAGTCGTCATCATTGATTCGTGTACCGGTAAGAGCAGCTTGATCATTGTTTTCGGTTCTGTGGAGGGGAAGACCATCGGATGAGTAGTTTGCGAGGCTGCTTCCCGTTGTTTTGACACCTGCATGGTTGTAGAGAGTATTCTCAACTTCGTCTTCAAGTGGTCCTTGTCGAAGGTCTCGACTGTCTCTGAGGAATCGAGAGATATCGCCATCGCTTGTGGTATAGCCACCATGACTGAGTCGCCAACGCAAGAGAACCTCGTTGTTTGAATCAGAGTGTGTTTGTGTTTTGTAGGTGTGGGATCCGCTTGGTGGTGTGTCTTCCATTGCAGAGGTAATCATGTCGATAAGTCCGCTGACTGTAGGTCTAGTCCGTCTGGATGTGAAATGTGTAGAAGAACCGTTGCCGTTCGAGGGCTCGTTTCCGAAGTGAGTTGCGCCAGTGTCTGTATCTGAGGCGAGACCAGGCATGTTTGGCGGTAAGTAGCTGGCAGTCGTTTCGGAAAGGGCTCCAGGAGATAAGGGAGTGAAGACAGAGGTTTCATCCAGGCCTTTTGGCAATAAGGAGCTTGATGGAAGAGTTCTGTCGTTGATGTGAGAGGACAAAGAGGTTGATGGATAATTTGAATTGCCTTTCAGGGTGCGTCGTTGTGTGAAATCTGGCGAGGAGGAGCGCATGACCAGTTGTGAACTTTGTCGACTGTGATCATGAGCGCTGGCAGAATTCAAGCGATAGATTGGTCGAGCCCTCCATAGATCATCCTGCGCGGTTGTCGAAAAGCTTTGCCTCTGGACCGTCTGAAGACATCCTTCTTTCATCAACTCATCCCGGCTTGAAGGTTGCGTCGGAGAGAGATGGTCTTGATGGTACGAACGACTGTCACGCCGCAGACCAGGTCGGTATGTTGTTTGTTTTGGCGCGTTTGTAAGCGGATCCCATGGCGTTTGGGGAGTTTTTCTGCTAATCGTACTCGAGTGAGATGTATCGCCAGTTTCTCTCTTAGTCAAACGAAAGCGGAGAGCAGAAGGGTTCAGGAATCCCGTCCGGCTGTTGTCTGGCAACGACTCCCACTCGCCTTCGTCCACCACTCCCTCGAAGTCTCCTAGCGAATCAAGAGTCGGAACTTGCCGTTGGTGGTGATATACTTCGGAGAGGGATTTCTCTCGCGCAAAAGAATCCTGCTCGGTGTGAGGTTCTATCCCACCGCGACTTATTGGCTTTGTATCGACCCTTGTCACAGCGAGGTTCCTAGAATCCCAAGCCGGAAGACCTGGTGTGACTGGGCCAAAATCACCGCGGCTAGAACAATAATGCGTAAATGGTGAGTCGTCCGGTGTGAGGTCGGCATACTGAGAGACGATGTCATCAACAGTACAGGAGCGACGCCCAGCCAAACCGAGTGCTGAAACATCATCAGAGCTTTCAAGAATGGCGCTGGACTCGTGATGAGTTTCAGCCGTGTGAATAACGCCCAACGCAGAGGGCACGCGCCGACAAGGTAAGTCACGCAATGGTATGGCATCATTTGCAAGTGACGATGCCTTGCCGAAATAGTCGTCTTCGTCTGAAGAGCTCGATGGACTCAGCGGAAAGCGGGTTTCGGCTCCACTCGACCGAGTCTGGCTCGCAACCCTGCGGCCCTGGATCTGAGCATATGCAGAACGCAAGTCCGGATACAGAGTTCGCGAAGTATGTGATCGAAAACTTGATAAGTTCTCCAAGCTATCCATCTTGTACCTCTGGAGCAGGTAGGAATCAGAATGATGTCTTGATTCAATCGAGAGTCTAAGGATGCTTGGTGACAGCGAACGGCATCGGCTGGACCGGCAAGACTTGTATGAGCGATCCGGACGTTCTTGGACGGTGGCATTGACTTCTTGTATGTCGAAATGGAGGCCAAAACTTGGAGACGCAGGAAAGTTGAAGAGGTCAGGCACATCAACATCAAGCTGATATCCCTACGGTGCCCGGGTTAGCTGTCTCATCCCTGACACCAGTGTAGATACTTACACACAAAGTCTGCCCAAGTGGTGTTGCAGGCTGTTGCTTGACTGCTTTGTGTAGGGGACCTGCAGAAACGCGTCGTCCTAACAAAGGAAGTGAATCTGTGCCGTGGTTGAGACGCGTTTTCGCAGGTGATACACTGTTAAAAGGTGGGAACTCTTGTCGGGCAACGCTATAAGCTAATGTATGTTAGCACTTGAAGAACGATATGAACACTTATCGACCGACCTTGTGAAAAGGAAGAGTCCCTTCGATGGAGCCTGATCCGGCGGGAAGCGGATGGGCTGGCCGGCCGGGAAGAGGCACGAATTGGAGTCTGAAGGTCGTGAGATGAATATCTTGAGCCTTCTGGGAGCTTGTTGTTGTCTGTGACGCTTGTGCCTTCGACTCCTGCGTTCGGTACGTATGGTGCAAGTTCGAGAAGAGGTGTTGTTGAGCAGATTGAATTCGTTGGTGAGAAGGCGGAGACATTTGGGTCCGGTCGTATTTTGTCGGCTGACAACAACGGCGACAAGACCGATGAGATCTGGCTGATATATACTTGTGGGTTATCCTGGTGCGCATTTCGACTCCATGGAGCAGTGTGAGAACGAAAGCGACCTGTGTTGCATGGTGTGCCGATGTCATTTGGTGGCTTGTGACCGTGACTGTGTATGGTTTTATTGTTTCTGTCGAAGAAACTCTCCTGCAAGCCAACATCTTGACGCCATCTCAGTTCCGCGAGCTTCCAAGACATGGTGATTACGCTGATTCTGTTACAGTGATCTCCTGGCTGATGGACAGAGACTTGATGCAGGTTCCAAGGTGAATCAGTGGAAAGGCGTGCTGCCGCACAAAGATGCGAGTAGCTTTGCAGAGCGTCCAAAAAGCGAGCAATGACCTCCAAACGTCCAACGGTGCATGTGAGTCAAAGAAGTCCAAAACTGCCACCAAGAAGCTGGAGGAGAGATTCAAAGAAAGAATTGAAAGAAACGAAAAGGGCAGGATTCAAGGATTGTTTTTCGAGACATGCCACATGAGATGGAAACAACAACCACGGCTTGAGAAATACAACTTGATGGCAGCGGCGACGGCCTGACGCAAGAAGCAGGCAACATCTTTCTCGCAGAGTCCGCAGGTGTAGAGGCATTGACAGCAAGACGCCTGCCGCAGTTGCGATCCTGCTCAAATTTCTGGCTACGGGCGATGCTTCATCACAACATCGCAACTGCAATCGAACTCCAGCAGCAAACTGAAATTGCTTGGTTGAGAACAAGGATATCCATCGTGCGTCTCCTGTTGTTTAGCCTTTGAAAGAGCACTTGAAGCCTGTGCAGCTGGGAGGAATGGTGATGGCGATGGGTCTGACCATCAAGTTCCAATATCAGCTTCTACAGGGATGCGACGAGGTTCATGCTCTTCCTGTGCCGGTCGTTTTCTTTTTTCAAACGAGAGCTGGTGATGTGAGCCAGCCATGACTGGGCGAGGCAGAAGTTGCTGGGAGTAACTTGAGTAACTCGGTAGTACTACTATGAAGGGATGAGAGTGATGAGTTGGATGAGGTTGGAAGCAAGAAGCAAGAAGCAAAAGGCGAGTGAGTTGACGGAGAAATGTTCAGCCATCAGCCGATGCTTTTTGTTCCCACTGGATGCCACTGGCTCGACTGGCTCGACTGGATACCTACTGCCCACCACATCCCCATCCACATCCACATATCAAGCTACACATCGACCGCAGTCACCGCACTCTTTCTTGGTGCTGCTGTGAGCTTCTAACCTCTCTCGGACGCCTTATGATGGGCCCACTTGCCGCACACAGAATCAGACGAGGTCGAACCGTTCTTCCGCGTATATGCGCGCGACGATTCTTCTGAGACTCTAGTCGTTACTTGGAATGCCCCATTCTTGACAGTACATCAACGTCTGAGCCCTACTTTACTGGTGGTCAGAAGGGTTCACAGTCTCTCATATCTGTGCGGCTATCATCATCCAGCCATTTGGCAACATCTCTCATAAGTTCCTGTCACTGGCCGTCAAAATGCGAGAAAAGGTTGCGGTCGTTGGGGCCGGTATTATCGGCCTTGCATCTGCCCTCCTACTCGCAGAGGAAGGTCTAAGTGTCTCCCTCATCGCCAGAGAGTTTCCGGGAGACGGTGGTATTGGATGGGCAAGCCCATATGCAGGTGCTACCCTGATTCCTCCGCCAGAGATGGGTCAGAAAGAAATGGCCAAGGAGTCGATCGCCTGGTATCAAAGGCTTGCGAAAGAAGATCCTAGCAGCGGTGTCCGCGTAAGTCTTGGTCTTGTGCTGACTTGGAAAGAGATGACTGATATCAAGTCGCTTTAGACCGTCAAAGCGACAGAATACTTCACCGACCGAGATAATGATGATTCGATATGGTACAAAGACATTATGCCAGATTACAAACTACTTCCGCAAGGTGTGCTGCCACCTGGCTGCAAAGTCGGATATTCGTTCCAGACCTGCCTGGCGAATCCAGAAGTGTTCCTCCCCTGGCTGAAGACGAAGCTAGAAGGCCTGGGGGTCAAATTCATTCGCACCGAGATCGGATCATTGATTGAAGCCGAAGAATTGACCGGTGCATCCATCGTTGTCAATGCTTCTGGACTTGGAGCGAAATCCCTCGCTAATGATGCAGCCGTGGCGGGCTACAGGGGGCAAACCATGTTCGTCAAGAGCGATTACGATGAAGTCAGGCTGATCAATGGCGCTGAATACACCTATGTCATTCCACGCATGTTCTCCGGCGGCGTTGTTCTCGGAGGTATTAGCCAGGAGAATAACTTTGATGACACTGTTGATACCAGTCTACGGCAGGATATCTTGCAGCGGGTGAACAGAATGACCGGCAATGCCTTTGCGCACATCAACTTGGAGACAGATGTGGTCAAAGACCTCGTGGGCGTGCGGCCTGGCCGCAAGGGCGGTATCAGAGTCGAGCTTGACGGCAGCACAGTCCATGCATACGGCTTCAAAGGGGCAGGCTACGTTTATTCATTCGGAGCGGCTGCGAAAGTGAAGCGTCTAGTTCTGGCAACCCTCCAGTCTCCTCGCACTGGACTCGCAAAGCTCTGATACTATCGTCCTTCCCCCGAGGCTTTCGTCATCATCATCATCAAGACTTATCTTCTACTCAGACTTGTTGTGTTGTGGCCAGTTCGAGCCCTTGTTCTACGGCTCAATGTGCCCGACGTGCTGGGTCAGGTCGTTGTGGAGCTTTGTGTATTGGCACGCATCTTCGAGCTGAAGACCAGAACAAGACACAGGAATGTTGTCTGTCAATCGAGGCGAGAAGTCTCCCAAGATAAGAATGCCTGATAAGCGTGCATTTTCGGTCCAGATTGAAGGCAATGTGGTCAGTCCACCGAGCCAGCTCTCGCAACGCTCATCTCCGTGTTCTGATAACCAGCCCACGCATGGACTGGCACGACTGGCAACTCACGGCGTCAACTGCCTTTTTCAAGAAAGGGCACTCCAGTCGCACGACGATCTAACTACTGTGTGTCAGCTAATCCACCAAAGGGCGCACGCTCGCTTACAGCCGCCAGCCTTATCAACCACGGAACTGAATTAGGCTCCGCAAGATGGAGACGTCAAGTTCTCACCGAGATCGCTTGGCCGATTCAAAGTGTCTCGGAGAGGTCAGTCATGTGGTGAGGATGGTATAGCCAAGTTTGGATTGCTCGAGCCGGATTTGCAACCCTCATTCAGGCTGTATCATTACTGCACATCCTGGTGGACGACAACCTACCCGCAACTCGTCAAGATGATCTCCCAACCAACAAAGGCAAATGTTCTGCTTGTCGGGAGCGGTGGTGTGGGCACGATGGGTGCATATGCCCTGGAGACTGGAGGCAAGGCCGAGGTCACAGCCGTGCTCAGATCCAACTATGAGGTGGTGACGAAGCAAGGCTTCTTCATCGATTCTATTGAGCACGGCAACGGCATCGAAGGCTGGAAGCCAACGACGCGTGAGTCCTGCACCATCAAAGGACCAGGGTGAGAACACCAAAGTTGATTAATCCACTCCAGTATGTAACAAAGTGCCAAATGTTGCGGAAGAAGGTCTCAAACCATTCGACTTTATCGTGGTTACCACGAAAAACGTCGCCGACGTCAAACCCACCGCTGACGAGGTCATTGAACCTGCAGTAACTCCAGGCCACAGTGTTATTGTCTTGGTGCAAAACGGGTTGAACATTGAAAAGCCTATCCTCGCCAAGTTTCCAAGCAACATCGTGTTATCAGGTGTTTCATTGATCGGAGCAACCGAAACCGCCCACGGCAAGATTCGACATGACGACAACGACTCGGTCAAGATTGGACCGTACAAATCCCCCAACGTGTCTCAAGAAGACTCTGAAGCAGCTGCCAAGAAATTCGTCGAAATCTATAATGCCTGTGGGAAAGTCGATGCCCAATTCGACGCCAACGTGCCGTACACTCGGTGGCGGAAGCTGATCTACAATTCCTCGTTCAACTCGGTGGCTACGATACTGCGAATGGACACCACTCGGATGAGGATCTCGGAGCACGTCATCGACAACTTGATCCGGCCTGCTATGTTGGAGATCAAGGCCACTGCCAAAGCTGCGGGTATTGAGTTACCCGAGGACATTGCAGAGGTTATGATCCGAGTCGACCCGAAGGACACTTTCTTCAAGCCCAGTATGTGCCAGGATATTGAAAAGGTATGTCAAGGACCTCGCCCTCACACTGGGGTTTTAAAAGGTTGAGGCTGCAACCCGAGACTAAAGTCATGCAGGGGAATTATATCGAGTTCGAGAATATCGTGGGAGAGCCCATGCGGGAAGCAGAGAGGCTTGGAGTTTCTACGCCCGTGCTGAAGACCATGTATGGCATTCTCAAGGGATTGCAATGGAAGACGATGGAGGCCAAGGGATTGGTGGTGCCGAAATGGCATGAGGAAAGCTTGTATGGCTAAGTCAGGACTGCCAGAACTACCATTCCAATCGGCCAGATCAAATCGGAAGAATAAAATCCTGAACTTGTCTAAATCACGCTTGCTTGCAATGGCATCAACTCCCTCCAATTCCACTTGGACTCTATGTTCTAATGTTTCCGACACCTTGAACGACCTATTATAACTTGGACAGAATGCCGTTCGTCTCTAAGATGGACAGGTGACCACGGTTGATCTCAGATACGCTCTTGCACCTGTTTAGAAGAGTCAGTCGTCACGGTCGCTAAGGTCATGAGATGGACCACTGACCCCGCAAGTCCCATTGCCAATTTGAACTCGTCGTAAAGTAAGTTGATGGCCAATTCCACGCCCTTGGAGCCATTGTACTGCGGCGTACGGGTCAGCAAGACATTGCAAAGGCTCCTCACCCTGTTGGAAAGTGTGGGATGACAACTCACGGCCAGTCCCCAGATCGGTATCCTCCCGGCGAAGCAGAAATCCGCGCCCAATGCCAGGGCCTTGAAGATGTCTGTGCCTCGTCGAATGCCTCCATCAATGGCGATGGGGATCTTCCCCTTAGCGACGGGAGCACACTCGCGCAGGGCATCGAGGGTGGCGGGGACACTGTCGAGTTGTCTTCCACCGTGGTTCGAGATGACCACCCCATCGAGGCCGTAGGAGATAGCGGTCGCAACATCCTCGGCAGTGTAGACTGGTTGTGGTTACAGTAAGTTGTGGGTTCAGCGAAAAAGCGGTGACGGGTAACCGGTAGAAGAAGAAAAAAACCACCGGCAGGCAAAAAAGGAGAAGGGATCTCGATGATACCAGATCTGTGAGATCAGTGAGTGTGTGGTGGGAAAAACTTACGGCCCTTGATCCAGATTTGGAGGCTGGTGTTGCTCTTGATGAACGAGATCGCTTCGTCCCAGTTCACGCCATTCTCTTTCAAGTCCATGTAAGTACGGTAATCGTTGCGATGTACGGATACTGGACCGTGGACACGGGATTGGGATTGGGATTGGGATTGGGATTGGGATTGTTTCGTCGAGGAGGAGGAGGAGGAGGAGGAGGAGGAGGAAGGGGGCTGATGGGGCTGCTCACCGTATGCGAGCTCATTGTCCCCTCCTTCCAGGTTGCTGGCGTCCATGTCGGGGGCGATGTTCGGGTATGTCATTCCCTTGGGCATGCCGAAGCCGTTGCGGAACTCGTTCAGCCGACGGCCCAGCAAGGGGGCGTCGACCGTTAGTAAGATGGCTTTGAAGCCGGCTTCTACACGGATTAGAGGGTCGGATTAGCGAATGGAAACCCCTTGGAAGATGTCCCGGATAGGCTGCTAGCAATCTTCCGTGTGAGACCGGGATGAGATCAGTCATGACTTACTTTCCGCCCGCTTTAACAGTTGCAAAGTCAGCTTCTTCTCTTTCAACAGGCTGACTTGCATGGCGTAGGGATTCGCCTTTCCTTCGCCCTGCTTGATGACATCCTCGAGCGAATCGGTAGAGTATGCGGAAAGGCCCATGGCAACGTTCAAGGCCGCGCAGGCTCTCGATGTGCCGACTTCTCCGTCTGGATGGGCTAGTCGATGCATTGCAGCCGGCGAGAAGCCAAAGGGGAACAGGACTTTGCTTCCCCAGATAGTGGTGGATGTGTCGATGTGGGAGATGTTTCTCAGGATCCGAGGTCGGAGGCGGTAGCGGTCAAAAGCAGCTTCATTGTCGTGAAGGCTATGGATTCCTCCGTATTAGCAGACCTTGTGATTGTGTATATCGAGATTGGGTCTGGCAAGACTGACGTTATCATGTCCATGGCTCCCTCATTGAAGTATTCTGCTCTCGTTCAGCCTTGAGATTTCTTGTGAGCTACCGTTGTCAAGCCGGGTACCTACCCCTGTACATCTTTGGCATCTTCTTGGACGCTTTTTCCTTCAGGTCCTTGATGCAAAAGACCTCAGAGTCCAGTGTTCTCCCTCGGTTTGCCATGTTGGTAGTCGGTAGTCGGTAGTCGCGGTCTTCCTGAACGGTAACCGAAATAAAGAGTCAAATAATTCACCACTTGTCCCCAAGCAGAGTCAAATCGACATATAAATGACTCTCAGGCTGCTGAAGCCTCCATAAGGTCACCGTGATATAAGATCCCATTCACGCCCTTTGCCTGACCAACAGAACCCTATCAGAAGGCTACTGGATATCAGCGCCATTGGCCGACTAGCGCACCGAGTCGTCTATGCAAGCACCCGCGGGCTCTCCGCTTCAAGGGACAAGTCCGTGGGCATTCTGATAGGGGGAACGGCCTCGACAGGACCTCGCGCCCTTCGAGAATTTGTGACACCTGTGAGCTGGCAGCTTGCTTGTCGACGGTTATTCCGGGTACGCTTAACACCCGATGGCCAGGTGTCTGACCTGCCTGTAGCTCGGTCGATTAACCACCTATTCACCAAAATACGGAGACCAACTGCTGATCTCTAACCCCGGCCGCTGCAGAGTCCTGGCCAGATCTCACTGGCAACAATATTAAATACATTGCGTCTCCACGTGACATTGACCGAAAGATAGTAGGAGTGACCGCCTGACCAGAACAATGCTTCGGCATAGAAGAGCCTGAGGCTCCTGTTTAATGTCGTCAGCGGAGTTGTCCTGATGTTTGATGAGAAAGCGAATCCGGGGAAGACTTGCAGCTTATCGAGGACAAAGTCGCCTTGGACGAGGAAGGCAGCAGCGAAGCCAATGGAAATGCTCCTCCCCGGCAATGGTGTGCTAGCGAGGCTGGACCTTGAAGCCTGCATCATCCTCTGACGAGTAGCCCACGTACTCCCACGGCGGTAGAAACCCCACTGCTGTTCCCTTGCAATTGACTCTCTTATCTCTCGAGTTGTACCTCGATGCTTTACCCGTCCAGAGCCGAGGATCTCAGTTGGGGCCAGTCAGTTACCGTTATGGACTGTCAGTGCTCGTTCGGACCGTTGCCGATCGTACGGCACTGGAACGCCTGCAAGCCTACTGCGTAGCCCCCATGGCTAGCATGTGCGTTCGATAAGCCTGCCCCACCGTTGACCCACGAGAAACGGCAACAAGCAATAACTTCCCCAACCTCATCAGAACCGATTCTGGACCTCGATTCATGCATGGATAGAAAGCTTTGCCAGTCAGGGAACCATCGCCATCAGTTTCCTACCATATTTCAACACTGATCGCTCCTCCATGACATCGCCAGCGGGGCCTGTGTCTTGCTACAGGAAACGCACCAAGACATTCACAGGCTGCTGGACATGCAGAGGTCGCAAGCTGAAATGCTCTGAAGAGAGACCTACATGTCGACAATGTGCAAACAAGGGTCTCGAATGCGGTGGATACGGTGCCAGGCTTCAATGGTTGGCTCCTGAGACAGGCGTGCCTGATCCCAATGCCAGTCCGGCTCTGGTCCGAGCTACCGGGTTTTCGAGGCGTCAGATACTGGCAGGCAAGAGCCACTCGTCTCGTGTGCGTTTCCAGAGTGCTCATGTTTGAAATACAGCGCCCACAACATTCGTCCTCGGAAGTAGGGAGATCGATCGGATCTTGTTCGATATTGATGCTGACCAGCCGTGTGCGGACGACGAGGCTGAGACCACGATAGTCCGAGGTCCTTTTGCCGTCTTCGCAGCATGTTCGTCATACGCCGCTTTCCCAAAGTCACCAGCGACGGTTGCACCATGCCGCAGTATTGAACAAGACTTGAGCATTGAGAAAGCTGAGCATATCGACCCTTCGCTACTAGACGATCAATCTTTCCCTCCTTTTCAGTCACATAACCTATCCCAGGATTGGCTTTTAGGCCACGGTAATCAAAATACAACACTTCAGAATATTACAGACTCGCCTTATGATGCTCGGACGGCCTCTCAGAGCCCTGCCTCGCAACTAAAATTTCAATTTCAGTGCAAGAGCCCGTATTCGATAAGTAGCTCGCTCCAGCAAACCTTGAATTGGTCACCGACCAAAGACACGGCGTTTCACGAGGACAGTGAGACCGAGACAACGGCGTCACTGTTGTTGTCGAAACCGCGCTCGACTTTCTTGTCTCACGAAGACTGCTTTCTTTTACATCACTATATCCACAAGGTGGTGAGGATATTCTGCGTTGTCGACAACCCCAAGAGCCCTTGGAGATCTTTGCACCTGCCTCGGGCGCTGCAGAGCTGCGGTGAGCTGGGCGCTCTTGGGGCCACATCCAACACACGCAATTGCCTGCTGCATGCCATACTGTCAATAAGCGCCTACAGTTTGGCCAACAATTTGAGACTCGAGGGACACACGGCCGACGTTGACAAATGGCAGAGGAAGGCACTGCAACTTCGATATAAGGCTATTGGCCTGCTGCGGGACTCAGTGGAATACGACCTCCATGCCAAAACAAGGCCAAAGTACAAAGAGCTCCTGGCAACTATGCTGTCTATGATAACAATTGACGTAGGTGAAGGCCTCTTGACTTGGTCTACTGAGGGTGTGAGGCTAACAGCGCTTGCAGGTTGCTTCCGGTGATACAGGCACATGCGGCGTACATCTGAAAGGCTGCGAACAGCTCATTCGTAGCGCAAGGAAGAACAAGAAGAAATACTCGGCCAAAGCTCGAGCACTCCATCGCATTTTCTTCTACCTCAGAACGATCCACGCGAGCACGACACTCGACAAAGATACTCCATGCCAGAGTCCTTCCCAAGAGTACATCGGTTCCGAACAAGCCGTGGTAGAACAAGATGACTTCTTGAGAGATCTGGCAATTGATGATGACTCTTGGCTTGATATGCGAGAGAGTGATCCCAAGGACATGACTTCATGTGATCACATCTATGGTGTGCCTCAAAGTCTTTTGGTCCTCATGAGGAAAGCCGTTCGTGTCGTCCAGCTTGTGTTGCGATTCCGCCGGAGCAACCCTGGGTTGCTCTATTCGACCAGCCTTGCCAACAAGTGCGACGAGGTTGATGAAGAAATTCTGGATTGGCCCATTGACCAGGAGCTTTCTCATTGTCCGACCATGACCCGCGGAGCTGAAACTGCAAAAATCGTCGAACATCAAACCCGTGCTTTTCACGATGCTCTCGTACTCTACTTCTCTCAGCACGTACGATTGATGCATCATCGGCATCTGAAGCCGTACGTTGAGAGAGTTGTGTACCACCTGGAGGAAATTGAAAGAATCAAGGACGGTTCCAACGTTTTTGCTGGAGCACTGTTCTGGCCAGCCTTCATCGCTGCATCGGAGGCTTTCGACCCGACCTTGCAAGCACGGTTCATGGCCTGGTTCGAGAGAGCGAAGATCTATGGCTTGCATTCGCTTTGGGGAGGTAATGCCCTTGCGCTTGAGGTCTGGAACAAGGACGGTACGAACAAGGCTCGAGTTACGAGTCAGTGGCGAGCGATCGCCGAGGAGAGACAAGTCGAGCTTATGCTCACCTGAGCTGTCTGGAGGACTCTTAAATCTTACATGTTTGACACGTTCCAAGTACGGCCAACGTTCAAGCAACCCACATGGGACTGGCATTGTCTTTCGGTGTTTCTTGTGCCGGATGCAGGTATCCCCCATCCACCGATTTGATCGGCCTTTGCACTCGAAGCGCAACAATCCAGGTTAGTACGAATAGGCTATTGATCAGCTTGGGAGCCACCTATTCGGTCCGACACCATGGCTGCATGCCACCTCAACCAACCACCTCTCAAGCATTACTATCCTGGCACTGATCGAGTCTGTTATCTAGACACCATAGGTCAATTCGGATAACTCCGCAGTCAGGGTTTCAGCCTTGCATCCATGGGGTCTAGTTACTAGTTAGTCCCCTGCCAGTCCAGCGAAGGCCCTTGCTGGCCGTTATCTCTACGAACCCGTCGACTCGCCCTTGAAGATGGCAGCTCACAGCGGACCAGTCGTATCCAACGGAGCCACCCTCACTCCTGGAGAGCACCAGTATTGTTGTGGGGTCTCGAGCGTTCCTTGCCTTATCGCACATGTCGTCGCCTGCGAAGGACGGTCTTGGTATAGGTGCGCTTGCGCGATCCCGAGGCCATCGGTCGCCACGCTCACAAGAGCCGGTAAAGCATGATCTTGCACTACCTTGAGCTTGATAGTGGTTTTCAAGGTCGAGGCACATTCAGCGGTTTTTAAAACCTGATAATCGTCCTATCTCACAATCCAGGGACATTGTCTTACTCCTTCTCCATACCTCTTGACGACCTCTTTCGCTATTCCAACAATGGACGACAAGACCGTCTTCAAGTCGTCGACTGCCTTCGACAAGGAGGCTTCGAGCGACGATGTCGGTGCCGGACAGGTCCTCGACTACTCCGGAGAGCCGACCAGCACGCATCGCGGCGAGCTCCATCGTACCTTCAAAGCCAGACACATCCAGATGATCACGCTCGGCGGCTGCATCGGCAGTGGATTGTTTATCAGTACCGGCAAGGCACTCCACAACGGCGGCGCTGCAGCAATGTTGATCGGATATACATTGATTTGCAGCATGGCTCTCGCCACGATGAACCTCATATCCGAGTCAACCTGCATCTGGCCTACCTCTGGTGGTTTCATTGAGCATGCCAACCGATTCGTTGATCCTGCCATGGCCTTCGCGTGCGGCTTCACTGAGTGGCTTGCCTGGGTCACCGTCGTTGCCGCAGAGGGAGCCATAGTTCGAGTCATCCTCACGTACGTGTGATGATCCGAGTTCTTGCCCTTGCCATCGCTAACATGTTGCTAAACAGATACTGGACTGAGGCTATCCCGACGGCTGCCGCCATGACGGTCTATCTTGTCCTTGTCTTCGGCATCCACGCCTTGCCCAATCGGTGGTTCGCCGAGTTCGAGTTTGGCACAGCCGCTTTGAAAGTGATGTGCATGATCATCATTTTGATTACCTGTATCGCCTTGCTCGCAGGCGCTGGCCACGACACCACTCCCCACGGCTACAACTACAACACAGCCCCTGCGTTCCCCAACGGTATCAAGGGAGTGTGCACCACATTCCTGCTCGCCGCGTGGGCAACTGGAGGTCAAGAAATCATGTCCTTGTCTGCAGCGGAGGCCTCGCGACCTCGCTACGATATGCCCCGGGCCTGCAAGAATCTCTTTTTCCGGATTCTGATCTTCTACGAGCTCTCGATCATCTTCCTCACGATTCTGGTGCCATATAATTCCGAGAAACTCCTTGGCACAGGCACCGTGGCAAGCTCGCCTTTCGTAATTGCCATGGTCAACGCCGGCATCAAGGGTCTTCCCGACCTGATGAACGCAGTCATCCTCCTCGGTCTGGCGGCCATCGGCGCCGAGTCGATGTACGTCTCGTCCCGCGCCATGGTCGCCATGGCCCAGATGGGCATGTTCCCACGGTTCCTGGGCAACATTGACAAGAAAGGCCGCCCGCGTTGGGCCTTGCTCGTGACAGCCGCCTTCTCCACGGTCTTCACATACATCAACTGCTCCAGCACGGGCGGGATCATATTCACATGGTTCTCTTCTGTTTCGGCAACCGTGTACTTCATGTCGTGGATGAGCATTAGCATCAGCAACATCCAAATGCACAGGGCCATCAAGGCTCAAAATGATCCGGTCTGGACCTTGCCCTACGCATGGAGACTCAGAGGATTTCCTGTTAGTGCGATCTACTTGTTCGTCACGTCGTTCCTCGTCCTCTTTGGCACGGCGTATGTCTCGCTGTTCCCGATCGGAGGCGCGCCGCCCAACGCCGAGACCTTCTTCGAAACGTTCCTGGGCGTGCCGATCTGGATCGCGTGCTATCTTGGGTACAAGCTCGTTTACCGGACCAAGTTCGTCAAGCCGGCCGAGGCGGATCTGAAGACCGGACGACGGCCACTGACGGAGGAGGACGTTGCGTTCTTCGATAGGTATTTTGCTCAGCCCATGTGGAAGAGAGTTTTGTCTTATGTCAGATTCTGAGCGATACTGGTACTGGTACTGGTAATGCTGGTGCTAGCAGTAGTAGTATTAGTAGGTTCCAAGGGCGGACAACGATGTACATTTGGGGGATTATCTGGCTGTTCTTTTCACTCTTTTATGGCAGTGGTGGGAGGTGTGGTGGCTATGTCTATGTCTATACGGAGTACTTTGAGAACAAATACTACGTACCAGTACTACGTTGTACGTGTTTATAAGCGTGTTCATACTACGTGGAGGATATCCACCATATGAATTATGAAAGCCACTTGGGAGGTGTTGATGACTGCCACTTGTTTTTCTTCTCTTGTTGCCGACGTGGAAAAGGGAAAATACTGGCTTCAGGTTGGTTCTAAGCTTCATCGAGGACCTGCTTAGGAACACTAGTAGATGTTGCATCATTGGCATGACATAGACATATACTGTTATTGAGAGATTCTTATCATCAATGTTGCCTCATCGGCAGACATATACCATTACTGAGAGCCTACTCAGTGTAGATGTCTTATCGTTGGTATGTCATGACATGAGGATTTCCTGGGGGAGCTCTGGGAGAAATTCCTAGCAAGACGCGTCGCTATGTAATCCAAGCCGTGCGGATTTTTTTTGGGGCAGACATAACCATCGTTGTTAAGAAATCCGCCAGCACGGCCTGTCGCTATTCAGAATCCACGCCGACAAACACCGCTCGCTCGTTCAAGAACTCGTCCACGGCATCCACAAATGTCTGCAATTCCTCCCTCGACGTGATGGTCATGAGACTGATCATGAGCCGTCTGGCCAGGAAGAACCCCTTGCGGAGCATGTCGAAAAAGAACAACTCTTTCAAAACCTCATCTTCCGCTGAATGTCCTTGCTTACTAGTATTGCCATATTTATGCCCGTCTTTGTTCTCGTCCTCGTCCTTGTCCTTGTCCTTAGGACCACTGGTAGCAGTGGTGAAATGGACGGCCATCAAACTCCCCGTGCCCGTGACGTACATTCGAGCCCTGTGCCGGGCGGCGAGCTTGTTTAACTCGTCACGCAGCCAGACACCCTTGTCAAATAAGTCAGTCGCCTCGTCTTCCGTCGTCCAGAGCTGCTCGAGCACGGCCGTCGCGGTCGCCATGGTCGTGACGTTGTTGTTGAACGTGCCGCTGTGGTACACGCCGCCGCCGCAACCGCCGCGGGGACTGTTATAGCCCGGTTCCAGCATATTCATGATGTCGGCTTTGCCGCCGAAGGCACCGAAGTTCTGCCCGCCTCCGGCGAAGTACTTGCCCAGACTGGTCATGTCGGGATAGACGGCCAGGAGGTGCTGGTAGCCGTGGATGGACATGCGGCTGGTCATGACTTCGTCGAAGAACAGGACTGCGCCGGCGGTGGTCGCAAGGGAGCGGCAGGCCTTGACGAAGTCGGGGTTGGCCGGCGTGCAGCCCGAGGAGCCTTGCATGAGTTCGAGGAAGATGCAGGCTAGGTCTGGGGAGTGCTGTGCCACGGCGGCTTCCAGGGCCGGGATGTCGTTGTAGGGCACGACGATCCAGTCGTGCGGCGCATTCATGGTCTTTTGTCCGTTGGATTTCATGTTCATCGAGCTTTGGCTGGAGAATGCCGCGAGGCCGCCGTGGTAGCCGCCCCTGGAAACAGGCAGACACGTGCGAGGTTAGTAGCAGTGGAGAGGGGGTCCATACCAGGGGAGATGCGAGAGGAGGCAGGCAGGGGCACAAGAAGGGGGCGTTGAGTGGATTGTGGGGTAGGGAACATACTCAAAGACGATGATCTTGCTTCGTCCAGTGTACGCCTTGACGAGCGCGAGGGCCGTCATATTCGTCTCGGTGCCTGAGTTGGAGAACCGCACTTTATCCATTGTCTTGAACCGTTCGCAGAAGAGTCGGGCGAGTCGGCCTTCGTACTGGTTGACGGCTCCTAGGGCGAAGCCCGTGTCGACGGCGTCGTGGATGGCTTTCTTGATGGTCGGATGAGAGTGGCCGAACATGCAGGCGCTGTACTCGGCGCATAGGTCGAGATACTTGTGCCCGTCGACGTCAGTGAGATATGAGCCGTCGCCGCGGGCCTGGACGACGGGAAACGGTCTCATGTGGATCACATTGCGAGTTGTGCCTAGGAACGGTATGGTCAGCGGCGGAAGAAAGAAAAGTCGAAATAACAGAGGAGGGAAGAGAAAGGGTTATGAGCGTACCTCCAGGCAATGAAGCCAAGGACTCATCGTTGATGGTCTTGCTCTTGGGATGCGAGGCCGTGAAGTGCTTGACCGCCTCGTCGAGGACGGTGGACAAGTTTGGCAGTGCAATTGGCATCGTTACCCTCGACTCTCGATTGCGTGAGTGTTGGTTCTGGAGATGGCCTCACATGTCCAATGCGCGCAATACTAGTACCCTTGATTCTGCATGAATACTATATCCCGTCTTCCAGCGCCGCTCTCCATCAAATTGTTGTGGACTGCTGGAGCCAATCAGATTTCCACCCTGCTTATCGCGGTCTCTGTTGCCTCTTTGGTATTGTGGTATGCCCTCGGCCGCCATCACCTGCCATATGACTTTTGTACTTGTTGGGGACAGACTGATGCTTCAACAAGGTTTGCACGAGATTGAATACCACTTGATATAGTACCTTTGCCTCAGATTGAGACGTGGATGGCACCATGACTCTGTTTAGTGCCTCTTTCTCACAAAAAGTCGGGGATGTCAGATGCGTGCAGTATGGATACAGGGTATATATGCTGCATGAATGGAGAACCAGCTCTACTCGACCTTCTTAGCCAAGCGTGAGCGGGAGGATGAAGGAGATGGTAAGCTTGGATATTAAATGTGACAACACCCTTCAACGGAGTGGGATACTCGTACGGCCAGCAGGGCGCATTCCACCAGTCAGGAGTGCTGCATCACGGAGCCTCGTGAGGTGACGAGGCTGTCGCTCTTTTGCCGATCCTCAGGCCCTAGCTGAGACAAGGATGACCTAACACAGACAAACAATAATCTCAGGGAGTGGTACTCGTATGGGTACTCGTATGGGTATATCTACGTCATGGCGATGAGAAGAACACTGTGTACCACAGTAAGGCCATCCTCGCTATTCCTGCGCCCATCTTGGTCGTGGCGGACCGACGACCACTTTTTGTTCCTGGTAGATGTCATTATTCTGGAGACCATGACATCAATGATCAACACACAAATCTTACCACCGTATTTATTGACTGGAGCGTGTTGGAGTCAACATCCATGTCTCTTCTTCTGCCGCGGTACTATCGCTATCTTACTCGTTCGATATCCGTCAGACTTTCAAGGCCATTCGAACACTAGCAGTACCGTCGAGATGTCAACGAAAACTCCTGGAGGTACCGGACCTAGTGAGAAATTCATGAAGAAGGATGCCGCCGGTAAGTCCCCACTGCGTCCTGCATCAGTTCTGGAGCAATGCCGCTCCCTGATTACATTGATCTGACGCGTGTATATACAATACAGCCAAAGGCCTTGGTGCGGACAATGCCCCAGCCCACAAGGAAGGCCATGTTCCCGGCGAGGCACCGGTAGCGAGCGACTCGTACACCGCAAGTCAACCTGGTACGAAAGTGGGCGAGAAGGGCAACGTCGGACAAATTGTGGGCGAGAAACCCAGCGACACGATCAATCAAGGAAACATGCGTTAATTTAGAGCCGATATGCACTCGGTTGTCCCGTCGAGGGCATGCCTGGGGGCGCGAGGAAGTAGGCATGAGCAAGCTAGGAAGTCCCCTGCTGAGAGAGGTTGCCTCGTATCGAGTCATTGTCGGTCACAACGAGACTGAGGAATGCCCGGAAGCGACACTACTCGGATCGCCCGTGTGGTCGAGTTTCGTCAACCTTGGTACAAGACTGATGGGCGCCGCGGTTCTCACTGGGTGACAATCTGCAGGGACGGAGGCAGGCAACTTCATTTTTGGCCTCACCAATAGCCAGATAGCTCGAAGAGTCTAGACGAATAGATCAGGCTGCTGCCCGTCCCGTGTACCAAATTTTAGATCTTCCTAGTCCTGGAAAGTGTTGCCTGCGAAATCTCGATGGTCAAAGGCTGATGTGGTGTCTGTTCTCATCCCCGTAGGTCACCCTTGAAGCTAAGCATATTTTCGAATAAGAAGCGGTTGCAGAATCCAGCCTGAGGTGGAAACAATTCTGCCAAAGGCTTCAGCTCGGCTGTGGTATCTGCGTAGCCTGGCCCATCGTGTTCAGTACTAAGCGATGCTAGTATGTCGGATGTCTTGATGCTCTCTGGTGGCCAGGCGAGACTCGATGTAAGGCGCTCCCTTTCTGTAAGCAGAGCGGTCAAGAGTCTAGCCCCTCGGACCGCAACAACACTTGTGTCGAACTTGCGGAGCAACTCGATGCACTCAGTGACAAGGTCTTTGTGCGTTTTGAACTCGGGGTCGGACGCCGAACGATGGAAGATATCCAGGCAAAGAATGATCGCAGCAGCGACGCAGAACGCTTTGTCAACCCAAATGATCGGCCCGTCGAGGTCTTTCGTCTGCTTCGCCTCGTTCAGTATTGTCTTTGCCGCAGCTAGGCATGTCATGCGTGTGATCGAATACGCCGGGTTGACGAAGCTCGCTCTGATGTACGTGCGATGTATCATGATGATTTTGTGGGCAAAGCAAATGGTCAGGCTTCTCCTTGCCGCCGGGACCCATTCAGGCCACGCGGGGTCGATCGGCTCAACGACGTGGAAGAAACGAGGCATCCCTTTCGTAGCCAAAGTTCGCATCCTGGAATCGTACTCCAAGACGTACTCATACTTGGTAAATTGCGTAGTTGCGTGTAGCATAGCCTCGTGATGGTCCACCATCAGCTTGGCGATCTCAAACAGATAGTTCCCGTAACTGATATAAGTGGGAAATGTTGTCGGTATTGGATCCATGTTTAGGTGGTTCCGGCTCGAAGGCTTAGTCGTGGTGAAATGTAACGGGTGGATATTGTGGCTCTCGTTAAATGGGAGAGACATCCAATCTTGGACGCAGAGTTGCGACCACAGTCTTCGGCCGATCTCCCGCTTGATCAATTTGTGTCGTTGCTCTTCAGTAGATGAACTGGTGATCTTTTCAGATGCTGGGTCATGATCAAGTCTATCCAACCCCAAGCTTTGTGCAATCTTTAAAGCACCACCAAGAAGTACCGAGAGTTCGCTGGATTGACCCAGGAAATGAGCAGACATGGTCAACGTTGCAATCGCATGGACAGAGTAGATACTGTGATTAGAGGTGTATTCGGCTTGGTTCAGACACGAAATGGTCGCCTTATACCATTGCATCGACAATTTCGAGGCTTCAGCCTTGTGGAAACCCCACTGAATCTGTCTTCGTTCCGGTGCACATGTCAAGCTGCCTGCCATGATAGAAAAGAGGAGTGCAAGCCATTGGAGGTCCAAGTTGGTGATGGCTAAGATCTCCGACTGGTCTTGATCAGCGAGAACGCTCTGCAATTCCCATCTGAAGAGCGGGCCGAAATAGCAGCCATGATACCACAGAAGAGAAAGCTCATGATAGTTGACTAGATCCCAGATGTGGTCAACGCTGGGCACCAACATCTGCAGGAATGCTGTCTGCGCATCCGCCGTGGAGTTGAATCCAATACCTGTCGAGGCTAACCAGGAGCTGCTGACCTTCTGGGCATTTGAAGTGGGCTTTCGTAACTGTGGAGGGAAGAATGGCTTGAATGCATATTGTAATCTCGGTTCGTTCGCCCATCTTGCCTCCCGAGGTAGGCAGTCGCTCAATCCTCCAAGCAATGCTGGTCTTGCAGTCTGTTCGAGAGCTTGCTGCGCATTATTATCAGAAGCCGGATCCGATTCCGAGACTCGACTGGCTGTCGAGCGTGTCCGTTTGTACACCCGATGAACAGATGGATCGTACTTGGTTGGCCAATTACGCGTGCACTTTTCTGGAATGCCTCTCTTGACGCATCTACCACAAGGAGCCTGTCTATCACATTTCTGCCGACGCATGGAACATTCCGTGCAAGTCTCTCGCGGTCGTTCGACGGCCATAATATATATATATATATATATATATATATATATATATATATATATATATATATATATATATATATATATTGTAACGTGCCGGTTCATCTTCACGAAGTCGTGAACTGAGGTGTCGGGCTGGAGACTGAAAGTGGGAGAAAGAATTCGTACTCCGTACACCTATCAGGCCGGTACGATAAGGCGATTTGACAGGCCACCCGAGAACTTCGCGAGCCGTAAGCGCTGGCACCTGCTGGAGTGCTGGCCGTAATCCTGTGACCCCCGGATCTCGGAGACGTCCGCATGCGTGAGATAACGAAGACCGATCAAGAAGCCCATGAATGTGCTTTTATATTGCTGACCTTCACAGATCAGCCTCCGGATTGGAGTGCTAGATCGCACCTAACATTGGGGTCATCAATCTCCAGTATCATACGTACTGTCAACCGTCAACCGTCAGTTGTTGCCCCCTCCTACACAGGGATACTGAACTCAAGATGGCCATCTCCTACGAGACCCCGGCCTTCACCGTCCCCGTCGTGGATATCTCCCCATACCTTAGCAATCCACAGTCTGTCGTAGCCGAACAAGTGGTTGATCAGATTCGAGCTGCTTGTGTGACTAGCGGGTTTTTCCAAATCACAGGTCATGGCATCTCAAAAGCTTTGCAAGACCAGATATTTTCCGCCGCAAAGGCATTATTTGCTCTTCCAGAGGACGTCAAGCGCAAGCTGGCCGGCAAGCCAGGCAGAGGGTATGAGATCATTGGTTCGCAGATACTTGAGGCGGGCAAAAAGCCAGACCTCAAAGAGGTGAGCTCTCCCATCGTTCGTGGACAAGACTTTGCCGAGCTAAGAGAGTCCAGGGATTCATGATCGGTCGAGAGATTCCTGACAACAAACCACCCTTCCGACCATTTCAAGATCCCAACATATGGCCTGATTCGACTCAGATACCGGAGCCGCAGTTCAAGCAACCATTGCTGGAATATCATCAAGCCCTATCAGACTTGTCCGTCCAGCTGATGCACATTTTGGCCCGAGGCTTGAAGGGATTCGACACCAGTGTCTTCGACGAGTATTGCAAAGACCCGATTGCCAACGTCAGACTCTTGCACTATCCCCCGCATCCGCAAACAGACGACAAGGAACTGGTTGGTGCAGGTGCACACACGGATTTCGGGGCAATCACACTTCTGCTGCAGGACGGCCACTCGGGGTTGCAAGTACTTAATCAGCACACAAGACAGTTCGTTGACGTGCCACCCCGAGAGCATGCTTATGTGGTCAATGTTGGTGATATGCTGGAGACTTGGACCAGCGGACAGTATAAGTCCAACATACATCGAGTTGTACGTTTTCCTGACCCAGAAAGTTGCAAAACATATCTCTGACAACATCCAGATCAACACGAGCGGCACGGATCGGTACAGCATACCCTTCTTCTATGACGGGGCGTCAGACTGCGTAATCAAACCGCTGGACGGGTCCAAAGGGAAGGCATTCACAGTGGAAGAGCATATGCTTTCGAGGTATAAAGCCACTTATGGTTGACGAACTTGATTATCTGACTCTATTTCTCCGGTCGCGGGCTCTCCATTGCTTTGGGCTTGGTGTTGTCGTAGTTGCTTCTTGGTCCGTGGGAATGTCGTCTGGAGAACCTATGGTACTTTTTGAATGTTTCACCCGTGAGACGATCCATCTGGTCTTGTGTCGCCACTCCCCTTCTTTCTGGCCGTGCCAGTCATTCGACTCTGGTCCACTCCCTGAACCAGATAGCGATTTGTGGCGATTCTCGGGATACTCATCAAAATCTTCTGCCTCCTCTCCGTGTCCGTCCGGTCTCCGCTTCTTCTTCAGAATATGGGCCAGCACCTGTCGTCAGCCTCTGCTGAATTGAATCGTCGAGTGGAAGCGCGATCAGGGGAGGATCGACCTTACCGGCGACGGCGATAGTGCAACCTGCACTATCGCCACCCAAGTATAGTGATGTATCTGACAATCGTAGGACGCAAGACCGTCATCGTCCTCGTCCTCGACTTCGAATCTCACGGCTCCCAATCACAATCCTCTAACATCGCCTGTCCTACCATCCACGTCTGCGTGCAAACCAGGAACTTCCCATAGCCACCTCCTCCCTCCGGAGGCCGATCACCTCCCACAATATCCTCCACACCCGAAAAGCTAACTTGGCTTCAAAGGAGCCCATGAAAAAAGTCGCCACCTAACTGGGCGATACACCATAAACGCTTCATCGCGGTGTAGCCATGTAGAGCCCAGACGCCGTCGACTCGGTAGTGAGAGACTAGCCCTCTTTGCACCACGGCGCCGAAGACTTCGATCCGGCGGCGATAACACAATGACTGGCCTCTTGGTAGCGGCTCACTCTTTAGACAGCACTAACCCCGGCGACGACGGCGCCAGAAATATCTCCTTGTACGGTGCCCAATGAGGGTTTTGAAAGACGCGGGTTCGTGCGAAATCTCTCGAGCGCCATTCGCGACAGAGCAGTCACGGTATCCCGTTGATCTCTCGGGGGTGAGAGTCGTGGGGAAACGGAGCGCAAGGGTACCTCATTCAGTACTCTGTGCGCTCCTCCGAAGGCGAAGCGGCCACAGCAACACTCGATCGTCACTTTCAAGACTGCTAGGACAAGACCTCATGAAACACTCCTGGACAGGTACGCGTGTCTTCACAGCCACAGAAGCGACATTGGCCACAGGAGAGCCAGCAATTCGATTAGATCTGAACCGGGCCGCAAAAGGCCAGCAGACACATGCCGCCGCCTCTTCATCTCAGCGACTCACCCATCACACTCGCCCGGTGAAGGAAGATCTTGCTTTTGACCACATGTGAGCGACGACGTCCCAACGGGCGAAAAATATTCTTTGTGGGACAGAGAGGAAATGTCCAGGCGCAGGCTTCCGAGATGCGTCGTACGGCTGCTGCATAGTCTCTGCCTTGTTTTCATCTTGGACACCTGTTCCAGCCGCACCGTATCCTTGACACTGGTTTATTCGTACCTAATCCGAATGAAGAGCCAGACTCAAGGCGCTGCCATCTCAGTCCTGTATTAAATGTCAAGGAAGCCTGCCCCATTCTCGGTTGATTTTCATCGTGAAGTACCACTCTGAGATGCTGGTGGGAGTTCATGTTGCAAGCGAACTTAGCTCTCATCTGGAACAAGAGGTGTGCATCATCAGTCCGTCCAGTGATCAGATCACGGCCACGATGATGTGGTACCCAGGGTACCTCCGTTCAAGAAGTCGGCGCTGACTCTTTCGAGCCCATAATTGGCTTTCACGAAACTGCACAAAAGGGCACGTCTCCGAGCCGTAAACAATCCACAGCCAACCCTCCTGTGAAATCTTGGAGCCGGAAACGGCCTTGATGAGTACGCTGCTGGTCCATAACAAATTGTGCTAAGTAGATCAGACTGCGTTCTTGCCAGTTTCTCGGAATGATGCAGTGGAGACGCCAATGAGATTTTTCCAGACCGCTAGCGCACATGAACCTGTGCCATCATGTTTGTTTCAAGTTCTCCCGATTACATGGCGGCAGTAGAAAGTCTCGTCTTCTTCTGATGCATGTCCTTTGGTTTTGTATCCTAAAAGATTATGTGTCGCTGTCTCGGAGAAAATTTTGGAACCGGAACAGAGAAACAGGAATGGCGGATGTTTCAAGCTGCAGTTATAGATAATCGTATGGGACAAGTTCAGCGATATCCTCGGGCGTAATGGTGGCCATTGTGCGCTGTTCAAGAGGACGCAGCGTATTGTGGACATCAACGCTTCTGCGAAGCTCTTCTTTGGCTTCTCGGTCTTTCCCCATAGCTTTCAGAGATGTCGCATACAAGTATGAGCTTCTGGCGATGTCGGCGTAGTACGTGGGCTTGTTGATCAGATGCGACTGGATCTCCTCAAGTTGTTGGCTGAATGAATTAACGTCAGCGGCTTCCATTCAGCCAGTGTGAAACTCACCAGGCACTGGTATACTCCGCACGCTTTGCGTATACTCTTGCTAATTGATACTGACAAAGAAGTGTTGACCGATTCTTTTGGCCGGCAGCTCGCGCCGCTCGTGATACGGCTTCCATATGGTCATGCAAGCTATGGTTAATATCTCGACGAGACTCATCTGCACGGGCCAGTCTGATATTACCGCGAGCATAGAATAGAGCGGCACTCCTGGTGCACGTTGTCAGTATGCTTCCTACTTGAGGACCGTGACTGAAATCTCACCGGACCGAGCTCGCATCATCGACTCCAAAGGTCGCTTCTCGATCTTGTATGGCTTCATTGACGACATCTTCAGCCTCGTCGTAGTTGCCCTGGTGCTGCAACACCAAAGCTTTGTGGTACAGAGGCGAAAAGAGTTTGTCCCTAGAGAAATCTGGGAGTAATTCTCGGATGCGTCTTGATTCTTTCAGTAGGTCGAGAGCTCTGTCCCATTCACGGTGACATGCCCACGCTTGACCTAGGTCGTTGTATGCCACCGCCAGGATGGAAGATGTGGTATTCCCCGCTTTTCGGTGCCGTTCGACCTCAATGTCCCAAGCTTTGCGAGCGTACGTCAGCAGTTCCCGGATATTTCTTGCAGAAACTGCCAGTCCAATTCTGCCTCGGAAGTATTTTGCAAGATCCTCTGCCGAGGCAGAAGGGCAGCTGTGGTCTGGTCTGTAAATGCTTTTGACGGTGTCAAGGAGCAGGATAGCTTCGTGGCCAAGGCCGGTCTCGAGTCTGTATCTACCTCAGTCAGTAGGACACGATTCATGTTTTTAAACATAGGTCACTTACTGTACTGCTTCCAATAGCAACTCAGCAAGTTCAAAACTTGCCAGCTCGGCCACAGACAACTGCTTTAGTTCGGCATGCACTTCCATCAAGCGAAGGATATGGATATAAGCTAGACGACACTCGTCCCAACGATTGACCAAGGTGGCTTTTCCCGTCACGTACTTTCTGTTCAAGAACGGCCATTGATGGGCAATCCGACTGACAGCTTGTCTGAAGACCGTTGCCGCCAAACCATAGCGAACGGCAACCTCAATAGTCACATCCTGCACCAGTCTGTGAACTCGAACTTCTTGATTGTCGCGGTTGACATGAATTAGCGAAGTTTTAGAAAGGCGGTTGCGATAACCACGGAATTCTGACTGAGTCATCAAGGATCCTGAGCTGTTCAAAGTATTTTGCCGTGGTTCCAGTGTGCGATTCTCGACGCCTTCCGGGTCCAGCATGGACACCAAGCTCAATAGTACGAAGGTATCTGGCTGGGACTTGTAAAGCCTATCCAACGCCCACGAAGTGACCAAATTCGGACCATCCTTTTTCTCACCATGCAAATAGGCGTAGAGGGCGTTTTTGTAGGGAAAGAGCTTCTTGAACCCCGAGATTGTGAGCTCGTCGTCATATATGGCTCGCCCCAGTTGCTCGATTGCCAATGGCACACCTTGACACCACTCCACAATGTCCATTGCATCGGCTTCAGTTTGGGTATCGTTAGGCTTTTCATCATCAGCAAGATGGCGCAGTAGCAGCGCTGCGTCGGCTGTTTCCAGGCCCGACAAAGATAGCTTGCCCGTATATGGTCGATCGTTGTTGTTGAGACGCGGATTACGGGTTGTGACCAGAATGCTGCCGTGGGAGCCTGGGGGCCAGAACTTCTTGATCGTTTCTGGATCCTCTGCATTGTCAAATACCAGCAACCATCTGACAAGAGTCTTGGTTTCTTGACTCTGCGGGGCACCGCGCACGGGGTCTCCTAACCATGTTCGAAACGTCTCGCAAGAATGTTCTCGAGTCATGCTGTCAGATGGGCCGACTAGACCGAGTTCAGCCGCAATGTTAGAGTAGTTTTCTGTCAATCGGGCCTCGGAGTCTGCTGTCAACCAGAACAGAGCATCGAATTCGGCGCCGTACAGGCTCGCGAACCTCACAGCCAATTGGGACTTGCCCACTCCGCCCATGCCCACAATGAGAAAGCTGCGATGCTCAGGCGTCGACGCGTCTAGCGGTCGTGAGTCCAGCAAAGAAGACTTTATCTGCAAGATCTCCTTGCCTCGGGACTGAAAGTACTCTTTCTTTTTCGTTTCAAACCATGTGGGCACCATTTTTATGGGCAGGGGAATAACTTTCTCGTTGACAATGAACCTGCCACCAGGTGGAAGTTTTACGAAGCCAGAACTCCCGGAGGACGAAGCCGGGGAGGGAGTACGGACTTCACTGGTGCCAGTGTGCATGGACCCCTCGGCATTCATAGTTGAGTTTGCATTCACAGGGCGAGACAATCCTGGCCGAGCCGTAAACACATCGATGCTTGATGGTTGATCTGGGAAAAAGTGCGTCAGATGCGTCAGAAAGCGTGCAGCAACAATACTATTGCGGTGGACAAACTTCCTTGAATATTAGTAAGAGAACGCAGAAAGCGTAGCAGAGTGCGTGTGACCAAGATATATCCGGTTTCTTCACTTTTACCGAACTTTGTCATGTTCCGGTGGTCACTGTGTATTCCTATAGGAACATTGCCCGCTAAAGTGGCAGACTGGTAGTTCACGATCTGCTTGTCGTCAGCTTAAGCTCGCACCTCGAATATTTTCAACCCCATACGGTGCCGACGCCCGTAACAGGCCTCTCTTCAAAAAAACACTGAATTTGGAGAGCAGGATGGTCGCTGGCCGCTCTGGATCTCAACAGGATATCGAATTCTTCCTGAATTCGCTCTAGATCAGCGGAGTTTGCCTCGAGCTGTTTGAGCAGTTGGGGATTCGTTTGCTTTACTATGCCAACCACTTGCCAGACGACTAAACCAACCAGCCAATCCTGCACCTTTATGGGGTGTCCCAAGGAATATGATTGCCCGTGTGCAACCATAGAGGGTATGCAAATGCTGTTCCGAACCCCATTGCTTGGACCGCACCAGTGCCTGTCATGGGAAGCGTCAGTTTCCAGGGAAAAGCGGTGAAGGACACGCACGCATGCCACCCTTACATATTTGCAAACAATGCCTCCCAAACTATGACAGACGAAGAAAATTGGGCGCTATTGAGTCATCAGTTGAGGTTCCACAGTTTATGATGGCGGATAGCTACCACATGCGACTCCACTTCTGACCTATACAAAGCCAGCGTCTGTAAGAGGTTTTCCGCATGCTGCTTGATTTTATTGACTGAAACTTTGCCCAGGAACTGTTTCATGTTGACGACCGCCGCATCATACCCATACGCCATAATCCGAGCATTGCCGATGTCTCTCGGTAGCAGCGTCTCGGGCCAGCATTTGAACTGGCCCTCTGCTCGCCATGTATCCACCTGATGACCATTTAAGCCATGTACGAATACTATGCTGGACATAGGTAAGCAGACACCATGTGTATAGCCAAAGGAATGATTACTCACTCAAGGACGGGGTCTGCTGGATCGTTTAATATTTTGATCCCTGTCGGTGGGATTTCTCTGTCGTGCTTTGGCTGCTTCACCCACGCTTTAATCCGGTCAAACATGTCTGCTTCCCCTTGGGCGCTCTTCACAACTTGACAACCAGGCCGATAGCTCCGGGTCTCGGGTATCTACCCGAATGCATTGAAATCAACGGGAAGGGGGTTGTCAATTGAGCTGGCGAGAGGCGGTTAATGAGACTGAGGACCGGCTGCCACCGCAGCACCGCTCTCCATCCCACTGGCTGCACATGGCAAGGTCTCGGTATTCCGGAGCGGGCGGTGGCATCCTTGCGAAGCGCTGCTCCGACGACATCCCATTCGCTCGCGCAGTTGACTGCTACTGCATGTCTACCCCGCCGCCCGCCGCCCGCAAGCCTTCCAATCTATACACCAGTGTTGGCTGCAGAGGTACTGAACCCGCTGCTGAACAAGGTCGTCGACATGTAATCTGCCGATGGCTCATGGAATCGTCGATGACGAGTCATGCCTGCAGGTTGCACAGCATCCACTATAGCCGATACGGCCTAGGCTCGCCTAAACCCGGCAGGGGGGCCGGGCGGTACGGCCCAGTAGGCAACCTTCTACTCCGTACGCCGCAAGTCTATCTACCGGGGTGCTGATGTGAAGGTGTTGATGGTGGGTTGTTTGCGCCTCCCATCGCGGGCGCGATGGCCCTTCAAAACGGGCAACCGTCTCTTCCCCTCCCGCAGACGAATTTCCCAGAGCCTGCTTCCACCTCGATGTGTTCGGCCTCCGTCTTCTTGCATACGCTGCAACAATAAACCAGAACGACCACAGAACAAGTCCCCATCATGACGTGCCTTGAGGCTCCTATTTCTCTGTTGTCACCTTACTCCCCAGCGGACCCTAAGGCGGCACAGCAACGCCTGGTCACACCCGCGTTTCCAGGAATCGAGGCCGAATTTTCCCTGGACAAGTACCTATGCAGGGAGGCTTTGCTGGCGGCCACAAACACATGGCGAACCAAATTGCCGACCGGCTTTCCACTGCGTATTGATTCGCCAGCAGTGTGGTCGTCGAGCACGCTCACGGTGGCAAATGTTACCTACCGGGTTAGTCAAGCGGATGCCAGTGAGTTGAAAAGTGCTTTAGAGCATTTTATCGGTACAAATCATCACTTGACTTCATCGCACACCATCTGACCAAAGCAAACGCAGAATCTGGGTTAGACCTGAATCGCATCGCTCCGGACACTTTCCATTTGCCATCGTTCGGTCCAAAACTACGCGATATGTCGCGCGCAATCCATTCTGGAACTGGCGTATTCATCATCAAGGGACTCCAACCCGACAAGTACGACTTAAGGAGCAATGTCATCATTTTCGCCGGGATTTCGAGCTATATTGGAGACCAAAGAGGCAGACAGAGTGCGCAAAACGATGTCTTGAGTAGGTGCTTGGGTAGGCTTAAGACGCGAGCCAATCTACTGACAAGTATCAGCTCATCTATACCCTACTCGTGATAAGACAATAAACGATCCTCGTCCTGGTCTTTCGAATCACGGTCTGGTAAGCCACCCGCGCGCCGGATGTTGTCGTGCCTAATCTGGATATCAAGCCATTCCACAACGATCACTGCGATATTCTCGCACTGTACGTACTTGAAACAGCTCGAGCAGGAGGCGCAACTAGGTGGGCGTCGTTCGCCCAGATGTACAACGAAATGGTCAGGGAGAAGCCACAAGTGCTAGAAGTCCTCGCACGCAACGACTGGCCACACGAAACGTAAGAAAACATCACACCCTCTTCACAACCATGAGGCTGACCTAAGCTATCGTAGCCCGAGTAGAGCAGTCAAGCATCTGCCTTTGATGTTCATTGAAGGTGGAAATCCATTCGTAAGCTTTACCCGCTTCGCGCTGACAGGCTTACCATCCTATCCACGCGGTCCAAACGCCCCTCAGCTGTCTCCTGAGCAAGCCGATGCACTCGATACTCTCCAATTTGTGGCTGGGAAGTACGCCGTCGAAGTGGAACAGGAGAAAGGTGACATCCTCTTGATCAATAACAGAGCTGTGCTTCATGCGCGGGACAAAATCAGAGACACATCGGATGACTCCCGGCGTCACCTAATGCGTCTTTGCCTCAGGGACACCGAGTTTGGCCGTCCTATTCCTGATGACCTGAAGCGCCGGTGGGGCGATATCTTCGACGGGAACGACTGTAAGAACGGCAAGTGGATGTTGGCCAAGGAGCACGATGCCTCCTTTGTTTCGAACAGCAGGTTCGACTCTGCCTTTACCAACGACGAGACTACTGGCAGCCATGGTTGATGCCGTGGGCGGTTGTTTTTGGTCGGGAATCTCTTCTATGCCAACTACTTCTGTCGGCATATATGTTCTTGCAACATTTCGGAAACGCCTTCCGGGAAGGGCAATGGAGCCTAATCTTCTTGGTACCATAACGATAGTATCCGTGAAGCATCTGTACGTTTGTTACTGTTTGGCCGGTGCTTAAACTGATCAATTCTGTAGCTGAATGCTCTGATCAATTGCGTTCAGCACTTTGGGATCGCTTTTCTTCACGAATATGGCAAGTGCGGTGAATATCATGCTGCAGGTCAGCTGTGGCAAAGATCATGCTCAACTCATGATTAATGAGTGTGGTCACATCGGGTTCCACAACCGCCCGGACCGCCACTGACAATTCATGCTCGTCTCAAGGCACACTCGTCCGGCCTGGGTGCGGCCTGGGTGAACCAGATATTATCGCATTTCTTCTGCCCACCAATAACTTCTCATAGAAACACCAACCCCACAATCCGATCCCTGCCAACAGCTCTCCAGGCGGTACATAAGAGTACTGGTTGATTGAAAGTGCATGATGGTGCCTCCTCCAGCCAGCAGCGTGGCCGGAAAAGTGGCGTCATGTGGTAACAATGGCCAAGAGGGAGCCCGGGAGTTGTCCCTTCCAAACATGCACAACACCAAAATTGGGAGCGTAGTGAGCCTAGTAGCCTCACCAGCCCAGGCACATGTCCAGGGGACCCTTATTAGGGACACTACCATGGTTCAGGCTGGGCTGGCCTGCACTTTTGAATTGAGAATATTCCTACGCACTCACACTCCGTGGTCGTGCAATATCTTCTGAGTGCCTGTTACGCTCATCCGTCAACGCCCAAACGGCCGGCAACTACACTCAGAAGTCCTGAATCCGTTGTTGGTTCTTTGATTATCTTACCCGCAAAAGCAAACCGTGTCACGACCCTTCAAAGGCATGGATTGAGCGTTCTCCAGATGAAATGCCGCCAACGATTGATAAGTGGTCTCGAAATGCCGGCGCGGCGAGCCAGCTGTGCTTCTTGACAGATGATGGAGACCCAGCCCCTCACACCGTTGACGGTGATAACCAGGTGAACTGCCAGGCTCACCAGGCCAAAGATCGCGCAATGAAATCCAGTGGGTCACACGTTGTCCGACGAGCGCGACAAGAGGTGAGCATCGCGCAGCCATAAGATTCCCAACAACACCAAGTTCAACAGATGTTCCTCTTCAACCTCGAGCGCACACCAGCTTGATCCCGCAGACGCCTGATTGTGCCTCGGGCAGCCTCCTTGATCTGCCGCTCATCCGCACATATCAGCTTTCGATCCTCCACTACCATCTGCCCGTCGATCACGACCATCTCTACATCGCTCCCACTGCAGGAGTAAACGACGGTCGTGACAGGGTCAAGCCCACCATCAGACACCTGATCCTGATCAAAAGGTGTGCAATGCAGGCCTGAGACATCGAGCACAATGAAGTCTGCTTTCTTCCCAACCTCAAGACTCCCAATCTCCTTATCGAGTCCCAACGCTTTGGCTCCGTTTATCGTGGCCATGGCAAGAACCTCTTCCGCATCCATGACTGCCGCGTCTCTCCAGGTGCCTTTGTGGATCAATGCCGCCAGCCGCATCTCTTGCAACATGTCGTATGTGTTGGAGCATGGTGCGCCGTCAGTTCCCAGGCAGACATTGACCTCGGAAGTCATCATATCCGGAACCGGTGCAATTCCCGACGCGAGCTTGCAATTGCTGCTTGGGTTGTGTGCAATGCTAGTACCTGCGTCTCGGAGTAGCGGTAGATCCTTGTCGAGGTCGAGATTGACCATGTGCGCAAGGACCGTGTTCCTGCCCTTTCCGATGAGGTGATTGCGGGCACAAAACTCGACGGGAGTGCAGCCATAGCTCTCGCGGTATATTGAGAGGTCCTTCGGTGCTTCGGCACAGTGCATTGTCAGTCCAATACCATGCTGGGCGCATGTATCCCCAATAGCCTTGTGCGCAGACTCAGAGGACCCTCTTGGAGTACCAGCAGCCATCCAGACCTGCAACCTGCCCCCTGAAGACCCATGAAAATTCTCATGTGCTACAAGAGCACTGGCAATGGACATGCTGGTGACGTCGCGATCTCTTGGGTCTGTGATTCCAAGTCTGGTGTTTGTTTCCTCGACCTTGACAAGCTTGCCCTGGACATGGATGGTCAGCTGTATCCGGGAAAACAATGTTTGGGGTTGCGTACTAAGCAGCCTCGGATACCCATCTCATCGACGGCGCGCACCACGTTGTCGAAGCCGCTCCGGTAAGTCAACATTGCTTCCAAGAAGCAGGTCGTCCCACTTCGAAGCATTTCGGCAATAGTCAGCCTTGCAGCAACGTAGCCATCCTCTCCCTCGTAGTTCGCCTCCAACGGCCAGATCGAATCGCAGAGCCAAGAATGCAGGGGCACGTCTTCGGCAAGACCTCGTAAGAGTGACTGGGCAAGATGCGCATGGGTGTTCACCATCCCTGGGAGGATGATACGCCCTGTGCAGTCCACAATTCTGGTCTCTGCGGGAAGATCAGGATTTCTCAGCAATGAGGCAGTCTTGTCGATGGCAACGATGCGATTCAACGTGACCAGAACAGCGCCATCCAACCATATCCTCCGGTCACCATCGACAGTGATGACCGTAGCATGAATAAACAATGTCGATATGTTCTTCATCCTCAGCACAGATGAGTGCGGAAATGCTCGAGTACACGATCTGCTTGTGTGCCGCGGACAGAAGTCGAGATTTATTCAGAGCAGAACAAGCATACCCACTGCGAAGCATTCGCTGAACCTGTGTCGATGATACACATGTCGTACAGGATGTGGCACCTCGTGCGCTCGAGCCAATCATCTGAGCGCTTCCCGTACGAGACTCTTCTATCACAGATAAGGTCGAAACGGACTATCACGCCCCATTGCGTCTCTGACAGGCTGGACGACAGATGTATCTGGACATCGCATCTCGCACAAGGACATATCAATATATCTCCTCAATATCTTTGATAACTGACCATCTAGACATGTCCTCCTGCTATCAGCTTGACTGCGAGGACGTCGAGCATATAAGGACGGTGGCCACCCGAGCTTAAGATACTAAGGTATCACTCACGTACATCTTTGACTTTCGGACACACCTCCCTCGGCTACTTTGAACTACAGCGTTCCTGTCAATGGAACTTCCCTCGAAGACAATGGACGACAAGATAGTGTCAGCGGAAGGCTCAGCAATCTCATCGTATGAGCCTGCTCCCGGAGCCTCGACGCCACTTACCTTGGGCCAGAAAGTAAGTCAATTCAAGACGTACCTCACTTCGAAAGAAGCATGGTTCGGAGACTACGACTATTGGTACCTTGTCACCCCGAACATTCCGCCTTTCAATCGGAAGTACAAGGACAAGGCAATCCCCTTCTACGGCCTCCATGACCGAGTCCCCATCTTCCTCACGATCGTCTTGGGCCTTCAACACGCTCTCACCATGATCGGATCGGTCGTTTCACCACCCTTGGCCATTGCGTCTGGAGCTTTCAATCTTCCTTCGGCACAAGTGTCTTACCTGGTCTCGGCAGCCTTCATCACCACCGGGCTGGCGACAGCTCTGCAGGTCACTCGGGTGCACCTGAAAGGCACGCCTTTCTTCATCGGCACAGGGCTTTTGTCAGTCGTCGGGCCCACCTTCGATATCCTCCCCATCGCCTTTTCCTACACCAGCATGAGGTACAACAACGGCACCTGCCCAGTCGCTGATGACGGCACACAGCTTCCTTGCCCCGATGCTTGGGGTGCGATCCTCGGTACCATGCTGGTCACTGTTCTGGTGCAGGTTCTCATGTCCCTGGTGCCACCGAGACTGCTGAACAAGATTTTCCCCAAGATCGTCACCGGCTCCTTGCTGCTTCTGGTCGGCGTCTACCTCGTCGGGAATGGCATGCAGAACTGGGGTGGATCGGTGAACTGCAACGGTGGCACCGGCTTCTATGCTTTGTGTCCCAACATCGCTGCTCCGAAGCCATTGGCCTGGGCGCATCCCAAACTGATCGGCCTAGGCTTCAGCGTCTTCGTCAGCATTGTGATTGTTGAGCAATTTGGCTCGCCACTCATGAAATCGGCAGCAGTCTTGATTGGTCTTGCGGTCGGCTGCACGATATCTGGGGCCACGGGATACTGGTCGCGTGAAAACATTGATTCGGCTCCGGTCGTGACGTTCCTGTGGGTTCACACGTTCAAATTGTCGGTGGATGGAGCCTTGGTGCTCCCACTGCTAATTATGTTCGTGTGTGAAGGAGTGTCTTGCATGCCTGAGTAAGTGTTCTTCCCCTCCAAAAGACGCTGCCATTCAGGCACGAGTATAGCTTTGTTGGTGTCTCTGCTGGGTAGAACTTACTAACGCACTGCAGCATACTCGCGACCGCCGAAATCTCGGGAGTTGAGGTCGAGGGCACGCAGTTCAACAGTCGTATCCAAGGAGGAATCCTTTGCGACGGTCTGGGCAGTTTGATAAGTGCACTTGGGACAGGCCTCCCTATGGTCTCTCAAGCTGGCAACAACGGCACGATTGTGCTCACTGGCTGCGCGGTAAGTCTGGTGCTACCGTACTGGAACTCTGCTCTAGCACAGTACTGACACATGATCATAGTCCCGGCGTGCAGGCTGGGCGGCCTCGGCTTTCCTTGTTCTGATGGGCTTCTTCGCCAAGTTTGGAGCCGTCTTCAGTGCCATGCCTCCATCGGTGCTCGGAGGAATGCAGGTTTTCCTTTATAGTACGATCGCCGTGGCCGGTATCCGGGTCCTCAGTCTGATCTGCTTTACTCGACGCAACCGCTTCATCTTGACGGTATCGCTGGGCATCGGGTTCATCGACATTGTGGCTCCGACGTGGTTTGACCAGATCTTGGACTACAATGGTAGCAATGTACACTTGCAGGGGTTCGAACAAGGAATCAACCTTGTCGTCAAGACTCCGTTCATCATTGCTGCGGTCATAGGGGTCTTTTTGAACCTCGTTCTGCCGAACGATAGAAGCATGATGGATGATATGATGGAGGCTCATCAGAATTCAAAAGGCCAAGTCATCAGTCTGCCGACGAGGGAAGGATAGAGAGTTAGGGGGCAACAGCTCACCCACGGCAGCGTTTCAGTCTCAACCCTGGTTGCTGGTGCTGGTTCGGCAATTCTCGTAAACGAAATTTTATCACGCAAGATGTGTATGGCGATTCTTCTCTTACCATACTGTAGTAGTCTCACAAGTCCCCCATACTGTAGTAGATTGGCTGGTATCACGAAAAGTACGAGTAGCACATGCTTTACCGAAAACCTGGTCTTGCGTAGCAGTGGATGTGGGGTGGGAGGCGACGTCGGTGGAGTTTTCCAGGCTGTCTTACGGTTTCAGAAGAAAAGAATTTTTCCTTGTCCGAATAATAACTGTGACACAGATAAACAAAAGAAGACGACCTCGAGAAAGACAGATCACACTACTGTAGTCTGAAAGCGCATCTTGACTGCCCATCGTTGTGGACGAGAGTCGCAGTACGAGTAATGAGAGTCGACAAACACCCGGTTAGCTTGGAACTCCGGCCAAGCAACCTCCATTGGGCATGGGCGGCGATAAGCGCGGCGTTTCTGCGAAGAATGGCGAACAGACTCGGCAAATGCTTAGGTACCTGACGAGCTGGTACATGGCAAGGATGGCAAGCTCGACAAGAAGCGCCGGGAGCAACTGCTCGAACCGTTCAGGTCCCCGATGCAGGGGGTTGGACGGTGGACCACAAAATGATCTGCAGTCTTGCCTCTTCTTAGCGAAATGGAAGCCAATCTCGAAGTTTCGGCACCGCTTGACATGTTGAGCATGTTTCTACACGGTCACCTAACGGTAGGACATACACGGTGGTGACTGTGGTACACTATACTCGTAGTGGACAATGCTCACAAGGACACCCCTCCCTCAAACATCGCAAAAAAGAAAAGTCGGTACTGTGCATCACTGCATGAGCTCCTGTTCCAGATTTTGACTACGCAGTACGGTCTTCTGCGAGCCTTTGCGATTCTTCTGACAGTACAGAATACAGTGTAGGTACTCGAATCCTCCTCAGGAGAAGAGCCACCGACGAGGGATGGGTCCGTCACTGATTCCTCCTTCGGGAGGTATACTATGTACGCTGCGCACAGTACGGAGTAAATCTTGCACCGTGTCCATACAAACCATGTCCTCTTTCTCAGGCCTCGCTCACAGCATCTACAAGTACAATTATTACTGTGCGCATGTGCTACTGTAAGCGACCCAGGATCTTGCCTGTCTCCCGAAGCAAACCCACAGCGGCCCCATTAACCGTTGGGTAGTCGTGCTGGAAAAGCCTCACCATTCCAACAGCGGAAGCAACAATATCCACTTCTCCACAACGAAAACGAACCCAGATAACGGGTCGCGGCGCTGGACGATGATCCTGGACTGTCACGAACACCTGAAGACTATTACTGTACCTGTCCTGCCACAATCCACTCCTCTCAGATGACAGGAAGTGGCATGCAGAGGGATCAGACTTTGACTTTGACACTTCGCAAGTCTTTTCTCAAACCACATACATTCTACGGAGTATCTTCCAGACATTCCTATTCCTGTTCTACGAATACACCTGGTTGTCGCGCCTTGAATTCTTCAGCATGGCTGCGGGACAGTCAGCAGCACAGGCGCTATTGTCTGCACTACCTCGCTGTGCGGTACGGATCTTTCGAAATCTCGACTCTCCTATCAATCTGATGGCCAACAACTAACGTGCTCGATGGGCAATAGGCTGCCTGCGCCGAGGAGTTTGTTGTAACGTCAACATGCGCCCCTACCAACCTCACATGCATATGCACCGACGCACCTCTCCTCGCTCGCATAACGCAATGCACCACCGCAAACTGCACCGTCATTGAAGCATTGAGTGAGTTCACCCATTCCGGATGGCGGCGGAGACCAGTATTCACTGACAACGTCCTTCAGGTGCCGCCAATGTGACCGATGCAGCATGCGGCGTCACGCCGACTGACTCGTCTCAAACCTATATCATCGTCACGTCCATCTTCCTGGCAATTGCAGTCCTCTTCTACCTGATGCGGCTTTATGTTCGTCCACCATTTACGCCAGGCTTTCGCATCGACGATGGCATCATGTTGGTTGCGACCGTACGTATTCCTTACCACATGCGCAGCGTCCTCCAAGTTGACCAAGCTAACAAATTTCAAAGATCGCTGTTGTCGTCTTCACAGCCATCAATTTGCAAGGTAACAAAATCTCTCTCCCTGCATCATAAGACTAGTAAGTTTCTGACTCTGGGGGACGCAGCCGCGCACTTGGGCCTTGGTAAAGACATCTGGAATGTCCCACCAGACAACATCGACATCGTTCTAAAGGTACGCTCCTCCCCGCTTTCTTTTGGGTGCCTTTAGCCTGTTGGAGTGCCTCTACGCAATGCCCGACACGACACGACACGACACTAATGTGCGCTCCGCTCAGGACTTCTACATCGGCGAATATCTGTACTTTTTCATCATCGTCTTGACGAAATTGGCGGTGCTGGCTTTCTACCTGAAGGTCTTCCCACAGCCATACTTCCAGAAGGCCGTCTATCTCGTCATCGGCCTGTGCATCTGTTACTTTGTCTCGTTCATGTTCGTCCTCGGCTTTGAATGCCAGCCCTTGCCATTCTTCTGGGAGCAGTGGCGCGATCCAAGCGCGGGGACGTGCATCAACATCAATGCGGGAGGATGGGCGGCCGCAGCAATCAATATCATACTCGATGTTTCCATCCTCACCATGCCGGTCCCCGTCATCCTCAAGCTGCAGATCTCCAGACAGCAGAAGCTTCAAGTTTTGAGCATGTTCGGCGTCGGATCATTGTAAGTGTCCTGCCCCTGTCACCTCCAGCCAGGTGGCGAGGCTGGTCACCGATCACCAGTCACCGACATCGAATTCATTTCAACTAATTACGTCCTGTTTTTTCTAGCATTACCGTCGTCAGCATCATCCGACTTCAGTCGCTGATCAGTTTTGCCAAGGATTCAAATCTCACCTGTAAGTAACCCCGTCTCTACGTGGTCAGTTGTCCTTGCGTTGCATGTCCATCCGGTGGACACCTGTGGACTTGAAGGCCACTGCTTGCGCATTTCCCCGTCCTTGCCCTTGGTTGCTTGAAGGCACCGGCCTGCCCATCTCGTTTCTCTCTGGGGGATTATCGCTGATCAAGTCACGTCGCATGTTTGCTTTGCAGACCACCTCCTCTCCATCTCGATCTGGAGCTCCATCGAACTATACATCAGCATCGTCTGCGCATGCATGCCGGCAACGCGGCTCTTCCTGCAACGATGCTGGCCCTCACGATTCGGCACCTCCTCCAAGTCCCATCAAGGCTCGTACGTCCGCCAATCGAGCACGTCGTTTCAGCCTCAACCTCATCCGCCAGGGCCACAACATCATGCGGTGGCAGGACCAGGATGGCCGATGCACAATAGCAACAACAATAATCATATAGTCAAGTCCATCGACGTTAGCGTGTCCCAGGCCGGGCGTGAGGGCGACGAGATGGAGCTGATCGACTCTGACGGGTGGCGGGGCGCGTCCCAGCGTGGGAATCAATATGTTTCGTCGACGGGCGAACGAAGGCCGTGATGTAGGCCCGTGATACGCCATGAGTTTATTGCGACCGGTTATACTCGTACCTTGTGGGAGTTTCAAGAGTTGGGGGCATGTACGACGACACGACGACTCGACGAGTTGTGGTCAAGGTACCTACCTGGTGACATTGGACGGGAAGGGAAAAAAAGGCTATAGATGTGTATGTGTACAATATAGTGTAGAAGTATATTCCATCCACCCATTGTTCTCCTCCACACTTCTACTTCGTATGCCTGATGTTGCTGTATGTACTAGTACGCTTCGTGATTGTCTAGGTGACCGCCAAGTTACTGATGACACTCGGGCGATAGATCGAGTCGAGAGTCGAGATGCCCGGATTACTGTAAGGATAAGCGAGGCTGAAGCGCAAAGGGGAGGCGTGCCCTCTCTCCGTTGAGGTAGATGGCTTCGCGTGGGGCTTGGGGCAAGTTTTCGTCTTGAGCCAATGCACTGCGTAAGCGTCAAAGTGTTTTTGAAGACATTCAAGTTCGTCCCGCAGAGAAAAGAAACGAGTACTAGTAGACCAGGTAAGTAGTACTAGTACTTCTCAAAGCTCGACCGCACATCGTCCGACTTCAACTCTTGCTCACGACGTCAAAGCTCGACTGCACATCGTCCGACAAACACCACTGTATCGACTGGACAGTAAGTTCATCCCACTTGTTCGTGGACCAGAGCTGCTGGAACCTGCGAAACCCGTGCGGCAGGCCTGGAAAGACGTATGTCCTCGTCGGGATTCTAGAAAGATAGTTCGAGAGTCAGTCAGTCAGGTCAAGTCAAAATCAATTCCACTCGGTCGGTCAGTCGGTCAGTCACGTTCTCATCTCGTCTCTTATCAGGCCCTTTTTCTTGCTATTGTAGTCTCCGGTCCCATCCCCAATGTGAGTTGATAGATAGCGAGCTCTTGTTCCCAATTCCCAATTTCCCCCCCGGGAGGGTGCTAGTGAGTCCAGCCGGGGTCTTGAACAGTGAACTTACCCATTCGCCTTCAATCTCTCAGCATAGTACAAGCCCTCGTCCCGCAGGAGATCCTGCCCTGCAATCAGGCTGCTCGTCTTGGGCAGACCCCTTAGGTACTCGTCCGTGGCCAGTGCGACGTTGAAAGACGGATCGCTCACCGCCGCGGGACCCAGCAGGTCCGCGAACACTTTCAGAATCGACCAGGGCAGCACAGGCGCGTCTTGATTCTGGTTGAAACTCGACAGCGGTTGTTGACTTGAAAGCGGATTCGGATTCGCCAGGGGATGCAACAGCCACGGACTGCCTAGAACCTGACCTCTGACCGTGATATTTGCTGCAAATGTCGTCGGATGTCCGGCGGCAGCAGCCTGGAGCACCTGATGGCGATGGTGATGGTGACGCTGCACGACGGACGCCGCGAGACCGCCGCCCGCAGAGATGCCACCGATCACGACTCGGCTGGGATCGCCGCCGATCGTGGACATGTGCTGCGAGAGCCAAACGAACGAATCCCATGCATCGTTGAGCTGAGTCGGCCAGACGAATTCGGGCGTGTGCCGATAATTGACGTTGACCACTATGACGCCAGGCGCGGGTGACTCGGCCACGATGCGCGAGCAGCTGGCGTCCTCGCCGTCGACGTTGCCGTACAGGTGTCCACCGCCGTGGAAGTAGAGGTACACTGGGAGTGGTGCAGTCACGTGTGAAGTGTCCAGCGACGAGGTCTCCGCCTCGGGTTTGGGTTTGGGCTTGGGTTTATACACTCGGGCGATGATGTTCTGCGAGTCCTGCGTCAGGATCGAATAGTCCTGCCACATGACTTTCTCGAGGAGACCTGTTTGTTTCTCACCAGTCAGTCAGCCGAGTCCTTGCCCGCACAGACAAAACATCCGCGTTCGCAAATGGTGAAGAGGAACCTTGAGCTTTGACCTGAGCTTGCGCGGTCGCCGTGCGTCCAGCGTTAACTTGAGAGCGCATCTCTAGAACTGGGAGGTGCAATGCTGGTGGTGGCGGAATGCCCGCGCTTTGGACGAATTCCTCCCATTCTGCGACAGGACCTTGAAAGTCTGCATAATTGTTCATCTTGGATGAGGTTATCAGGGACGACGGAGGCAGGTAGGGTCTTGTACAAGTACAGGACGGTTTATAGGAGCCACGAAGAGCCCATCAAAGGAGCCGCGAATGTTTGTTGGAGTTGCTCACGATACACTTCAAGGACTTAACCGAAAATGCCGATTGAACCGATCTGCCGGCTATTTATGGACTCGTACTTTACTCACGGGGGTAGGACGATCTAGGACAAGTCTATGATACCCAACTATTCTCGCCCACTCGTCTACTGGCTGTTCGAAGCGACCAACCCAATGACATGCTCGGCAGCATCATCGACCTCAACAGTCGTCTCCGTGAATGGCCTGTACAACTCCTCTTCCACCTCCGCCAGCCTCGAGTGCTCGAGCTTGCCAGGTCTCAGACCATAAAGGTCACAGAACATCATGATCATGGGCTTCCACCTGTCGGCATCCACGCGGTTCCGAGAACCCTCCAATCTCAGATGGTCATGAATGCTGACCCGTAGAATCCTAACCTCGATGGCAAGTATCAGCCCTTCGATAGCCCTGCCTGGGAACATTTCGTGCGACGCCACCAGCTCGGCCTCCATGATGACAGGGCACTCTTTGATCCCCGGACATGGCACGACACGGGACGGATGAGGTGTCAGGCCAGCGTGCCCGAACTTGTCCTTGACGAATTGGTATCCGCGAGGCACTTTGCCTTCGGGGACCGGATCTGTGCCAGTGGTTCGAGCCAGCGCGTTGACGGCATCGGCCATGTCGTCCGACGCCAGGTTGAGAACGCATTGTTTCGTGCGGAGGATGTTCTGCGTCGTCTGGGAGGATGCGTCCAGACCGAGCATGCAACCACGACCGAGCCAGAATGCCGAGGACATTGGGCCGATGTTCGTGGTGCCATCTGGGTTGGTACTTGAGACCAGGACAACTGGCGTGCCCCAGTACAATATGGCTGGTGAGATCTCTTGGTGGTCCATTGCAAATGCTGGCCTTTGTAGGTGTTGCCTTTGTAGGTGTTTTGGCCTAAGGGAGAAAGGCGTTCTTAAAGGTGGTGATTGTCGGTCTGATGCCAGACAGAATATCCCTGGGGCAGAGGCATGGTACTTATACCCTTGAGATTTCTTGACTCTGAGAGCCTATGAGTGACATACGAAGCCGAAGTGGAATCACCACTTATCCACCTCAACTGAAGTATCTCCGTGGCCCTCGTCAATGTCAACTGTTCTCCCTTCTTCGCAAGTAGCAAGTACGTACTCGAGGGCGGATCTCACATCCTAGCAGAAAGCCTTCCGCAATTTCATTGGTCACTTCGAGAGCACAGCAAGCCTTAGCCTGGTGGCCTACTTCAACCCACCGTGTCAGCTAGTTGTACCGAGTACCACACTCGTTTTACGAGGACAAGCAAGCTGTTCATTGTCGCAAAAGGTGGACTATGAACAAAATGCACAGCTGCTGGCGTATGTGCTTTCAGTATGCCTCTGCAAGGGAACCTCTACCTTTGGGGACTCTGGAATACTAGTAGTACTTCCAGCACGTTGCAGGGCAGGGTCACCTCAAGCGCAATGTCACAGCTCGATGCTGGATAAGTGACCAATCGGTAGGCGAGGCTTCTATCTATGCCGCAGAAGGATACAGCTCCTGGTAGTTGCGCGGCTCTTGTTCCTGTCTCACAAAGTAACGGCGTCCCGTCCGCCTCAGCATATCATTGACCACATTCACGCGTACCAACCACTCCACCCAACCTACGAGCCGCTCAATCCAAATGTAGCCAGACCTTGAACCAACTAATCGCCGCCTCCCTCGCGCGGTTCATAGCCTTATACTCCATGACATCCTTCTCGTCCCCCCTCGTGGCAAACCCATGCTCCACGCCCGGAAGGTACTGATAATCGTACGGCACACCCAATGTCGGGATCACTTTGTTCGCATACTCCTTCATGTCCGGCGTGAACATGACATCGTTCTCGGGCGCCAGAATTTGCACGGGCACACCGACGGCATCGATCTCACCCTTCTCAAGCAGCGACGGGTGCGCGGTCGAAATACAATCGACCAAGCCCTCTTTGTCTTTAGCACCGAGCCGGAACACCGCCCACCCTCCGAAACAAAAGCCAATCACGCCGACGCGCTTATACTGAGACCGCAAGGCGCGGGCGCACGCGAAAATCTCCGGTTCACGGATCTCTTTGGTGTTGCGGCCCATGAAGCCGGGGATGTCGAGTTTGTGCCATTGCGAGGTGTCGCGGAGGATGTCGGATGGCAGGACTTCGCCGCCAAAGCTGCCAGTCACTTCCAGTTAGCCACAGAAGTATATTACGGGCATGAGGCAGTGTGCAGAAGAGAAGAGAGGATAGAGGAACTCCATCGTGCGCTGGACTTCTCGAAAAGGACGACAGGTACCCAAATTGTATAAGAGTCAATGCAGGCCAGGGTTTGCGCCGGTGCAGGAATATGAAATGATTACCTATAAGATAATCATAAGGGCAACATCGTGGAACTTACAAGTCGGGCATATAAACCGTGGCATCAGCCTCCTTCGCATAACTGTCCGCAAGAATCCTGGTATTTGGAAATGTCCAGCCAAAAGCGTCGTGAATGATCATGATGGCAACATTAGGATTGGTTCCAGTCACATAGGTCTTGTTGTTCGCAAGAATCTTTTCTTCGCCGGCAGGCTTGCCGTCCCACAGGGAACCCTTGACGCAGCATTCAGAATAGGCCATCTTCGGGCGTATGGTAATTGCAAGTCACAAACAAGACGCGAGCAGTAAAATCTCTGAAGCTTGATACTGAGGTCTCAAAATCCCAACTCGAACAACTGTAGTCCGTAGATCACCGAGAATGTTCGGAACTCCGAGGACATCAATTCACGGAGTGACCGAGGGGCATCTGATCAAAAGTTATGCTGATGAACTGTTCACGACTGTCCGTGATCTTGGTGATGTAGTAACGTGAAGTGTCATACTTTCATGCGATCACCTCGAGGTAGGAGTGTTGAGGGGTTGCAGGGGGCCTTACTGTAAGACACTGCTCAATCAGCTCCGATGCCGAAGTGCGATTTGACAATATGGCGAAGGCCGAAATCGACGGCGATGCAGCCCCACCACGTCGACATTTCCTTTAAGCCAAGGTGGTGAGGTCGACCGACTACTACAAGACATATATAGTAGATATGGAGAGGACAAGACGAAGTTATGTGGACATGAACCTTCGAAGCAACGAGATCCAGGTTATTACGAGGTTTCACCCTCCCCAGAGGCAACTTTCTTCTCGACTGCCGGCCCTTGCTTCACCTTCCGCAGACCTCTACCACCAAGAGAACCCAATAATTCTCGTTGCAGAAGGCCTCTGACCTTGATGTTGGCAATATGCAGGGTGGCCATTGCATGCTGTATGCTGGGTGCTCCTTCTGGATAGATGAGGTAAAGGCCAGACTCCAGCACTGGATCAGGACGGAATTTGTCATGGTAAGCTTTCTTGCCTCCAATCGGGAGATGCTTGAAAGCGCGGCGATAGAAGGACTTCGTGATTGCGGTTGTTGGCCGCGACAAGGCAGTAACCTCTCCAAGCTCAATTTCGGGTTCGAAACCCAAGCTCAGATAGCCAATTCCAGCGCGCTGAAGAAGCGACATGGCGGAAAAGATAAGCAAATCTGTGACACCCTTAGGTGCGGTGGGCAATGCACAATATGGGTCAATGTGATAGCCCTTGCTTGCGCCAATCTTGCGCAGGGCTGCAAATCCGTTGCATTGGCCGTCCCGATTCATGGTGTAGATGTATGTCATCAACCCAGGAATGGCAAAGGGATCAAAAACCGTCATGTAGGCTTGCGGCTGAGGTGACTGGTTGCGATGATCTCGCCACGAGTCGTAGATATGACGAAGTTGTTGTTCCAGAAGGTCGTCACGCCCTTGAGCCGGCACATAAACATGGACAGAGAGGCCGCCTCGATCAGGATTGAGTAATTGCTTGGTCTGGGTGATGATCCTCTTTCCTTCCCTTTCCTGCGCAACAGGATTATTCAGAGGATTGAGGACTCTTTCAGTTCCGAAGCGCATTGTTACCCACTTCTTTCCCTTTGCGTATGGTAGAAAACTGTCTGTCGCACCAAGAAAAGCGATGCCCCAACCATGTTGTCTGCGAAGCTGTCGGAATTCCTTGAGGATGCTATCGTATCGCTCCAAAGAACAGAGAGGGTCACCGCCGACAATCGCGGTGTAGTTCTTCACTTTGTAGTACAGCGCTGCTTGACGATCTTTGCTCAGGAAGAAAGTGTAGGAAGGATCTAGGATGCCCATGTGCGAAACTCGACCGTATCTTTCGACAAGGCAATTCAAGGCCGAGACCGCAGCAATATCGTGGAGCGTGAAGGTGTGGAGGTCTTTGTGCTTTTTAGTCGGGACTGATTTCTCTCTATCATGAATTGCCTCCACGATTTCGCTGGAGTCGGTTGCCATCGTTACAGCTTGTATTGTTACAGACGCTGTAAGAGTGGTGGCCTTGCCCTGGGTTCCCAGAGCCATTGCTTGGGCGCCGCCAGCCTGGTGTTTTAGTCGTTCGAGAATGTCCATTGTCTCGAAGTCTTTCGTTGATGACATGAGAGAGGTCGTCATCTGGTCCCCTATTATATCGGAAAGCAAGGCCTTCTTTACTTGAGGTTTGGTGTCTCTTTGAGCAACCGTGTCCCGCTGAGCTTGTCTGCTTGAGGCTGCTCTCCTTTTTGATTGTTTTGAAGAAGGAGTGTGTGCTGTGGGCTTTTCTCTTGCTGATTGTTTCGACACCGAGGTGGACTCACTGTCGTACGGAGTCGAGCTGGAAAAGCCTTCGGACGTCCCAGTCAGGTCGAGAAGATCATGAGACTCCATTTTGCCCTGCCGATAGAACGGAGTGATCAGCTCGTCGAATTCCATTCATTCAAAGAGCAAACGATCCCCCAATCTTGGGCGGTTTGCGGTTTGAAAGGGCGAGGGGTATTGATTGCCGGTCAAGGAATGTTTTTGAGGTGAGTGAGGTTTGTAGTCGAAGGTCCTTACTCAGGCCAGTACAGGAGAGCCTTTTATGTCCCATGACTTCTGTGAGGTAACCCAGCAAGCCCGTGCAGTCCATGTCGCATAATGTGTCCAATTGAGTATAAGTGTTGGATCACAAAAGTGGTTCCTGCATCTGGTTAGCCGCTACGAAGACTTTGGAAGCCGAGTCCGCGCGATTTCTCGACGATGCCTCAAAACATACCGAACACAGCCTCCGGAATGTCTCCAAATGATTTGTCGCTCGATTCTCACGGTCGATGTTGTATGCAATAATTGCCTGACGAGCCACGCAATCTCAACCAAAGTCCACGGCTGTCATGAGTCGCCGCGTAAGCAAGCGAAGCGCAGGCAGGCAGAAGCTTTCCATTGGATCAGGCTGAGTTGGAGAGAACACTTCGAGCCTACAGGAATCCGAGAGTGACGATAGACCACCACTACGCCTCGTATAACTCTCGTCCTCTGGCGACTGCACTTTCCGCTTACCATGTCTGGCCTGCCTGAAGTTTACGGTTTGACATGTCTTCCCCACCGTCTGGTCTTCATCGGGCCATAGCCTGTTATTCTTACCATACTGATCTGTGCGTCGACCTCGTTTGCCGCAGTGCTAGGCTGTGCAAGGCCGGACTATGAAGAAAAGACACCCCACCAATTTGTCGACCCTTCATTTCTTGATCGTCAAGCTATGACTCGGTACAACGGACATCGACGGCTGTCAAAAACTGAGGGTGATCTGGATCGAATGAGTGGTGGATCTGCCGGAAAGATTCTGGAGAGTGTGTCAATATTAAATTGAGTTCGAGAGGAGAAAATGCTCGTTGAAGGGAAGCAAACTGAGGAGAACTGAGGGTCGGAAGGAACCATCATCTGACTGACTTACCCTCAGTACGTGGAAGCACCTTCTTCGAAGTGAATGCGCTCCATGGTTGGAATCAGGAAACCCCAGGACATCTCGTGTCAATCTCCTCTTAACTCAATCTTCGAATGCCTCCCAGTCTGGATCGATTTCTCGCTGTCTTGCCCAGAGCCTCCTCACCTCTTCACGCTGAGCTTCATCTTCGGCTTCTTGACCTTCCTTCTCCTTGCGCACCTTCAACCTGAGCCTCCCCTGGGAGCCGCGCCCATTGAAGTCCAAAGTCCACTCTAAGGGCAACTTGCCCTTTGGCCCTCCATCAGGTGCATCTTCAGCCTCGGAGCTGACCCAGCTATAGCCTGCCTTCAGAACGATGTTGGCAGCAATGGTGAAGTAACCCCAGCCAAGGCGGCGTATCTCATATGGCGGATATTGCAGTATCACTCTCGGGTTGCGGAATGTTGGGTGCTATGGAAGCGTCAACGGGATCTGACTAGACAAAATGACCGGAGACTCACCAGGAATATCTGCACTTCCTCGATGAGATCTGTCCGCGAAGGCCTCACGAAGAACTTCCAATCATGCCGGTTGTTGGATTCGTCGTAGGCCCTGATCAGCCTGTGTTCGTTCCCGATGTAAACGGTCAGAGTCTCGATGCTTGAAGTCGAGGCATCTTCCTCATCCAACCTGCTCTCGGTTGCACGCTCCTCATAGGTCACCGGGTACTGCTGCCGTATACTGTTTTCCCGCCCAGAATCTAGGGTGGCAGTTGTTGAAGTACGGCACATTGGACACCTAGTCTCGATCTCATGAGGTAAAAGGACAACTGCTTGATCGTCCAGTCCTACCCTGGCCATCTGGGAAGTGATGGAGACATCAGCCCATTGAGCCATGCAATGTTCACACATTGTGTGGTTGCATGTCGTCCGAACAGGTCGGTAGAGAAGCAGCGCGCAAATAGCACAAAGATCATCATCATCGATGTCTTCTATTGCTGGACGTGCATTGTCATCCTGTTCGATATCACTCTTGGAGTCGATTGATTCTAGTCTGTTCAATTTTCGTTTCATCGTGATCATTCTCCCGAATTGACGACGGATAGAAATGACGGATAATGCCTGGCAGGTATTCCATCATCTCTCGTCATCATGTGTGATCTTGCTCGACCGTATAACTGCAGGACGCCGCTTTACAGTACTCCGTACTTGACACTTGAGAAACTTATCACGTGATCTGGGCACTCGTCCGTCATCTAATCTAATCTCGCCTGCGAAATCTTTACTGCACGACTGGACATTTTATTGTGGACTGACCGTCTTTCACAGTAGCGGAAGTGTCGGGAAATTGGATCCTTGCGGAAGACACGCCACGCGCCCCTGCAGAATCAGAGCCTCGATCGCCTGCGTTGCATGACATTACAGTATTTCATTGATTTGCTTAAGGGAGGCAAAATCCCATAAGTATCCAACAAACACCTCATGTCAGCACCTCCTTATCCACTCAGCAGCGACCATTGACGCTCCCTAGTTCATCCATTCATTGCCTGGGTCGACTGCTTCCATTCTCTCGCAGCGATTTCCTGTCCGTTGATCCTCTCCTCCAGTACACCGTCAACGATGCCTGGCCGAACCCTTCCCACGATCCCGCAAGCCGAAGTCGAGTCCCACAACACCAAAGAGTCATGCTGGGTGACGATTGGCGAGCGCATCTTTGATGTGACAGACTTTGTCGAAGACCATCCCGGTGGCGGCGAATTGATCCTCGAATATGCCGGCAAGGACGTCAAGAACATCATGGAAGATGAAGTCTCCCATTTCCACACCGAGACTGCCTACGAGATCCTGGAAGAAAGCCTCATCGGCTTCATGCCGACCGAGCCTGTCCTCAAAGCTGCAACCGCCTCCTCTCATCCCGAGCAAGTCGTGCCACTGCCCGCGACCGCCAACGGCAATGCCGAGTTGAGAAAGCAAGGAGTACAAACGGGCGACTTGCCCACCAGGCCACTGTTCGAATCAACGGGCATGTCGAGCGCCGAAGACCTCTCCAAGGACACAGACCTAGACCAAGACTGGAAGACGCACAAATTCCTTGACCTGAACAGACCTCTCTTCCCGCAGATGCTCTTCAGCAAATTCTCCAAGGACTTCTACCTCGAACAAATCCACAGACCGCGACACTACCGAGGCGGCGATTCTGCACCGTTGTTCGGCAACTTCCTCGAGCCACTCAGCAAGACGGCATGGTACGTTGTGCCGTCACTATGGCTCCCACCAGTCTTGTACGGCTCGTATCTGGGCATGAGCCATCTACCCGTGTCGCAGGGGCCGGCATACTGGTTCCTGGGTCTTTTCCTCTGGACTCTCGTCGAGTACCTTCTCCACCGCTTCGTCTTCCACCTCGACTACTACCTCCCTGATCATCCCGTCTTTCTGACTCTGCACTTCGTCCTCCACGGGATCCACCACTACCTCCCCATGGACAAGTACCGGCTGGTCATGCCTCCCACGCTCTTCCTCATCCTCGCCACGCCGTTCTACCATCTCGCCCACACGGTCTTCTGGTACAACTGGTATGCCGCCATCACCGTCTTCTCAGGTGGCATTTTCGGCTACATCTGCTACGACTGCACACATTACTGGTTGCACCATCACCAGTTACCCAGCTACGTGAGGGAGTTGAAAAAGTATCATCTGGCCCATCACTACCAGAACTTTGAACTTGGGTGAGTTATCTTTTCTTGCACGTTAATAAATCGAAGCCTACTAACCACCGCTGCTACAGTTTCGGTGTGACATCCAAATTCTGGGACTACGTCTGGGGCACGCAGCTCGAGTACACGAAGCCCATCAAAACAACCTAGACCGGGTGTACTCCGTAGGCTGCTTGAGAACAGCCATCCAGATGAGTATCCAACTCTGGACATGTACAACATCAGTTCGGCATCGTAAGGTAAAACGTTCAATAGAATCCTGGAAGCATTGAGCGGACTCGTCTTATTTGGGTATAATACAAATGCTTCCATCATCATTCGGGGTCTTTGTTGCCTGCTCATTACTGTATGACTTATAAAGCACCCAATTTAGCTCTTAATCCTAATGAATGACGAGGCTACAAGTACAAACATAGCTTGTCCAAGATCCAGACTCGGAAGACCTGTCCCTGGGTGCATTGAACTGCTATCAACATCTGTTTGGATTTATGCATGCCTATTAGAGATCTCCTTTCCAGAAGTACAATGATCGTATGATAGGAAGACCTAGAATACCTACGTGGCTTCATTTTCCCCTTTGGTATCGTATTAGTAGAGTGAAACCAAGCATCTCACCTGTTATCATAATTCATATTTTCCACTACTCTACCCTGTCTGTTCACAGGGAGTGTCATTTATTTCCCGGAATCCAATGTCCAATGTCCAATATCAATGCCAATGCCAATGCCAATGCCAATGCCAATATCAATATCACGCAAAGGTAACATATCGTATCATAAAATATTCCCTATGTGACATGGTCGTTCGGCACTCGTATGTTTTCTCCACATATGCACACCCTATCCCATTGTAAACTTGGTAAACTTGTTTCACCGTGGTGACCGTGCCACCCAGAAATCCTCATCATCTAAGCGTCCCCCCCGCCCCCCCCCAAAATGAAGATGCCCCTTGCCAGTAGATACGCTATGAATATGGCACAAACCACGACACGACACCAACTTCGCCACCCACTCACCCGAACCCAAGCCCACATGACCAAGTTCAAACCCCCCGTGCACACTTGCGGAAGCAATAACCGCCTGAATGGGTCGATCGGAGGAGAAATCATGAAGACGGTGTCGGTGTAGCCTCAGCAGAAGTCGACCCCCAGATCCAGACGAACGGATTTCTCGCCCGAAGTTTGAAGGCAGCATGCGCAGTCGACGCCGGTGCCGGTGCAGCTGTGGCCTCTGGAACTGGAAGAACGGTTAGCGGCTGCTCGACGCTCGCAGAAGAACTCATGCTCGATAATGACGGTGTTGGAAGTATAGATGGGGACAATGGCAGGGGCGGGAATGCAGCCACGGAATCGCCAGAGCCATCGGTAGTCGTGATCGGAATCGCATTGGCATTGACTGTGTCAGTGGCAGTCACAGTTGCAACCACGACATCAGTCGTGATCATGCCGGAGAAGACCGTGGTGCTAGTAGTGGTCGGCCCGGAGCTGTCAACAGGCATTGTCATAATACTCCCATCCGGCATGGTCATGATCGAACCGCCCGGAGTAGGCATGGTAAGGATGACCCCATTTGGCAACGTCAAGATTGGGCCCATTGTGGTTGGTAAGCCGTTGGTGCCAGAGTTGTTGAAACCGCGCCAAAAACCAGGATGTGTCTCATTGCGATGAGTGCCATAGGTGCCATTGTGTGGACCATGTGAATGATTGCCACGAGGATGGTCCCAGAGGAAGACGGAATGTGACTCGCCAGGTGCAAATGTCGGTTGTGGTCGGCCACCGGTGCGATGCGGCCCTGTGGATGCAATGGAAGAGAAAGGTGGGAAGGCTGAATCTCCATCTGCACGTCCAGACTCGTTGAATCGATGCAGTGGAAAGCCGCCATCTCCGCATCCATGTCCAGACCGGCTGAATTTTTGTGGTGGGAATGGTGCAGAAGTAGGAGAAGCTTGAGAAGCATAGGACTCACCATCACGTTTGGTGTACTTGGTCATGTACACAGTTTGAAGTATCGTCTGAGTTACCGACTCATACTCGGTGGCCGTAGCGACGACAACATTGGCGTTTGCATTACCATTTCCTCCACGACCGTTTCCATTGCCGCCACGTCCGCCTGAGTTTCCGGTTGGAGCCGCTTGCGGAGCATCGGTGATAGCGATTGGAATGACGCTGAAAGTCTGGGTTTCAAGACCGGGACCAGCAGTGGAGCCAGTGTGAACGGACAAGAAGCCTGGGATACCTGTGCTGGTTTCGGTAGCAGCGGAGACACTAGCTTCACTGGCACCGCCAGCCACAGGACCGGTGGCAGAGGCGGAGAAGGGGATAGTAGAGCCTGTGATATTCAATGTTAGCGGCCGTCGAACGAGGGTTGTTGGTACAACCACCAATGAAGATGAAGTGAGAGCACTGATGAAGGGAATGGTCTGACCTGTAACAGCAGTTGGGTTGGCAATGTCAGCAAGTTCAGCAGAAACGGCAGCGTTATCGAGGGGTTGACCGGCAGCATAGCTGACTGAAGCTTGGGAGAAACTTTCGACGCCAATGTCGTCAACAATGTCAACGTCCATGCAGGTTGTGTAGATTTCTTGTTTGCCGTCGGGGAAGCCAGCTGTCCCTGGCATGGTTGGCCAGTCCCACACCCAGTAGAGAGTGTAAGGTTTGCCGCTTGGAGCATCCGACGGGAGCTGAATGTCTTGTTGACACCACAGATCATTGCCCATGAGATCGTCGAATGTATGGCCATACTGTGCTTGTCGTTGTGTAGAGATGGTGCCACCGTTGGTTTGGTAACATTGTCCATCATCAAAATTTTGAGTAGATAGCAGAACACCACGACCGTCACCGCCCGTGCCATCGGCGTTCCAGACACGATGAATGGCGAGGAAGGAGTCATCGGGACTGGGGTTGGTAGTTCCATAGACGTAGACTGTACCACGGTTTTGAGGTTTGCCAGGTTGGTTGTCTGGAAGAGTGACGTGGCCATTCTCTTGATATCTCAGTGCGACGGCGGATCCTGGAGCTGCCTGCAGTCTTGGACTACCATCGGTTTGAGTCTGAGAGGTCTGGGTGGATTTGCACATCAAGTCGGAAGGTAGGATCTGGTTGACAGTGCGACCATCTGGAGGGATGAGGTTGACCATGGTAGGATCGCCGAAGCCAGGACTGCTCCGCAGAACGTTTCCACGAGCAAACCCCGGCATGCCCGCCAGAGTGCCGTTCGGAGCAATGACCATCATCTGTTCAACCCAGCTATGCGCGGAGGCAAGAGGAGCCGCAGCAAGCAACCCAAGGAGGGTGTTGCGGAGAGAGAGCTTCGATAGAGACATGATGTTGGCGACAGGGGTAGAGTTTGCAGGTGTCGATATTTCGTCCGGCGAAAGAAGATATGTTTGATCGGATCAAACAAGCAGGAAAGTTGGTGGTGTTGTAGAAGTTCGCTTCTCTTGCGTTGGCGCCTAGGATTGTTTGTGGAAAAGATTGTGTATACTCTCGGAGTATAATGCTGTGATTGTTTGAAAGAGCGGTTCTCGAACTGTCGAAGTTCAAGCAGAAGGTATGGTCTGATAGGCAGCGGTGAGGCAGCGGCGCAGGTGACAAAGGAGTGGACAAGTACAAACGAAGGAGTGACGAGGTCAAAGGAGCGGCAATGCAAGCATTGAAGGGTAGTAGAACAAAGGAATGTAGACAATGCCTCACGCAAGCATTGTCCTGCCTTGGATGGAAGTACAATACAAAGAATGGTAGGCGATAAGCGAGACGTCGGGATCAGGCAGTGTTCACGTCGACAAGAACTCTTGACCATCAGAGTGGAAAGTGGAGCATGGTTATGGGATTTTTTCGATCGGCATCTAAGCGCAAGGAGTCGCATGGGAGTGTTTTGGAGCTTGCAGCATGATCCATGCTTGATAGACCCCTTTCTCACGGATAGACAGGAAAAGCTGCCGTCGATAGGTGTGAGGGTGTATGGGGTGGACAAGCATCCGGAAAAGCAAGGCAGGACGCAGCCAATGCTTGAGCTGCAAGCTGGCAGTGATGAAAGCCTGGACCCAGAGGTGGTTGGTGTTTCAAGACTCGGACTCGGACGATCTCGTGGCGGACCGGGGTGGTCGCTCAGAACTTGGTTGGTGCGGAACATTCTGAAGGTGCGGCATCGATAATGAGATGCGAAATTGCGGAGATGAGATCCTGGTTGTCAGTGTTCAGCAGTTGTCGGCCTTTGTAAGTATTGTTTCTTTGTGATTGTTCAAGCAGACAATACCCTCGACGGGTGAGGCAGAAGGCTCAGTGAATACGAGGACTGAGGAGGGACTTGATGACTTCAGCTTCCCGTCACATTCTGCAAGAATGGCGCCATTTGACAGCTTTGCAGACGCACTGACTCCTTCAACCACCCCTTTCATCTCTTCTCACGAGGTCGTGTGACGATTGGCAGCACAGATTCGACGGCCGGCAACATGGGAGATGGCGAAAAGAAGGAGAAAGGAGTGGAGGGGGATAAGGGGCAATGAACCAGGTGCCAGGTTTGACGGACGAGGAAACGAGGTCACTTCAAACATTAGCTCGTGTTTCAAATCGGTCTTAGTGCCAGTTATCACCTCAACTAGTACTAATATAGTATAGTAGATCTGCTAGGGCAATGATCTCAGCCAATCGTTACCTGTAAGGCTCAGCTTTATGCATCTCCTCACTTGCCGCTTGACTGGCAATGACCTGCAGTGACCTGGCCTTTTCTACCACTCCTCTGAGATGGAAACGTCTTGTTCTATGTCCTACATGTTGGAAGAATCCTGCGCTGTAGTGACCTCCATCAGTGCTGTGCTCAGTCTGGAACGCACGGTTCGGCATAAGGCGAATGCACGAGGCTGGAAGTCCGCGCTTAACATGACAGGCACCCACAGGCCTGGCTATCAGCCTTGGTGTGACACTGGTATTACTTGCAGGAAAATGCTTGACTCATGGGATTCTCCAGGCCAGTTCCTTGCCGTGCTGCCGTGCAGGAACTGGCTAGATCACAACTCGTGATATCAAATTACCCCAGCAATGGCGTGAATCTCTCGGCTATTGACGCAGGAATAGATCCAGATGGGATCTTGCTTCTCGGCGGGATGCCCTGCAGAAATCCAAATATACATGGTCATGGGCCCGATTGACCAACTCCAAACGCCGTGCTCGGATCCTTCAATTATATACAATCCACCCAAGTATGTGTCGCTCTTCGCTGACGAAACCACCAAGCGGGCGCAGGTAGGTATGAATGAGAAGAGAGACGTGTCATGGATGGTCTGGTCAGTCCACGACCATCATACGATCCTCCACCTTTACCGTTTGAACCCGCTTTCCTGGATGAGCCAGCTTTCAAAATTCAGCATATCCTTGTTCAACTTTCGACACTGGACCTCGTCAGCTCCATAACCGTGTTCGACGAACCAGCGGAACATGGTCCCTAATTCGGGCACCATCCATTGCAGAGCATCAGCCATGAATCCGTAGGAACGTGGCATCGGCCGGCCAAGTGCTCGCCAAAAGATTTCGTTGGCCTGCGCTTGTGTGAGGGTGTCACCTGCCAGGCTGATCGAGTTGTTCTTGTATTCATCCGTCTCTGAGGCCGAAAATGCTTGCGCGGCGAAAACGCCAATATCTCTTGTAGCCACAATCTGTAGTGCCTTGTCACCCATGTTTGCCCACATTGCTGCGAAGACCCTCCCCGGGAAATTTGGTGTCAGGTTTTCCATGAAAGCGACGGGTCGCAGGATGGTGTAAGTCATGCTTGTGCCTCGGGTTTTCTCAATTAGGTGTTTCTCGACCCAATACTAGCACTTGTTAGCCTTTCCTTGACGCGTGTACATGGGCGGATAATGAAGCTTGCCTTGGAAACAAAGTGTGGGACGTCCGTAGCATTAAAATCGGATTTGTTGGGCCCTCCTCGATCGACGGAAGAGTAGACAAAGTGATTTACGTCGTGTGCTATGGCTGCATCAATCAGGTCCTTGCCCTGCTTCATCTCCATGTTCTCGACATCCTTTTTCATTGAGGGTATTGTAACACAAAACACGCCCCAGACTGCTCCAACGCCTCCAGCTTTGGTAAAGATGGCACCTGGATGGTGTAGGTCGCCTTCGATGACTTCGATCTTGGGATTCGCAGCAAGGGCTTTGGCGGACTTGGAGGTGCTGCTGCGCGTGAGAGCTAGGATGCGGAACTCGAACGGAGGAGGATGAGCGAGGAGAGCTTTGATGGCGCCACCACCTTGCTTACCGGTAGCGCCTGTAATGAGGATGTTACGAGTAGTCATATTGATGATGAGGGTGCCGAAACTCAAAGCAGCACAGAATGAGGTATAAAGATACTGTGCCTGGGATGGAAAGTAGATGCCCAGCAAGCCCTGTTATCACACTCGTAGAAAGCCGGAAATGGTTGACGTCAGTTTAACGACATTCACAAAATCAGTCACAATTTGCACCACTTACCGCATCTCCTACCAAGACCGATTTACCGACTGATCTCTGACAATGAAAGACTCAGTGCGACAAAGAGTGAATTGGACATTATGTTGGGAAGGTATCCAGTCTTTCCAAGGACGTAAGAAGAGTGTCAGAAAGGGCTGCCGGGCGCGCTGCAGGTCGCCTGAAAAGCAAGGGGAATTCACGCATTCAATACCGACGACAGCGACAGCAACAGCGTTTACGGTATGCGCATGAACTTCGACCGCAGTCATGAGGAGCCATAACCCACCACATGATACTCATTAGTACTACGAAGTAATGACCACCTTCACCGGCACTCGGCCTTCATCCTCCCCGTCCTTCGCCTGGTTTGCTGCCAGCCTGAATGCTTTCTCTCCATCTGCCAGTGCAACGCGGTGAGTGACAAGATCCTCTGCGACACCGTCCAGCTTCCCACTTGCAAAAAGTGCAATTGCAGGAGGATAACAATTGGCGTATCTGAAGACCCCAATGATATCCACCTCTCTTAATGCTGCAGCTCCCAATGGTAATGTCTGCGTCGGTGTGCCCATCCCCACGAGGACCAGCTTCCCCCCAGCCATGGCAGCAAAGATACCCATTTGCACACAGGAAGGTACACCAGTACACTCGAAGACCCGATCAAACCCTGCCTCCAGACCAGCCGACTTGCACACCTCTGCAGCCAGGTCTTGTGCGCCAGCCAATGTCTCCTCGATCGTAGGGGCAGGTGCTTTTCGAGGAAGAAGGAAAGTCTTGAGTTTGAATTTGCCACCACCAAGTGCCCCTGCAATTTTCAGCCTTGGAGCATCAATATCGGCAATGACGATATCTGTGACACCAGCAACCGCCAGAACAGCAGCAGTCAGCATCCCTACCGCACCAGCCCCAAGAACCAAAGCGCTCGAGCCCGTCAAGGGTACTCCGGCTCCTGATCCGGCCGTCTGGCTTCGGTTGAGAGCATGTAATGAGACGGCTAGAGGCTCGACGAGGGCACCCTGCTCAAAAGTGACATTGTCTGGGAGCTTATGGCACATGTTGGCAGGCTGTGAAATGATCGTCTGCAGCGTTCCATCGGCGTGTGGGAAGGTTTTGGCTGATGATCTAAAGGATAACTTGGGGCACAAGTTATAGCGTCCTGTAGTGCATAAAGAGCATGACCGACATGGGAATCCCACTTCCACAGCTACTCTGTCGCCCACCTTGAGCGCTGATGAAGGCACCACTCCATTTGTGGCACCATTCGAGGACTCTGGTACAGCCGTGACAACCCCCGATGCTTCATGACCCAGCACCAGAGGTGCTTTCAGCACGAAGTTACCGTTCCGGCCATGATGGTAGTAATGTAGATCGGAGCCGCAAAGACCAGTTGCCCTGACTGCTATTCGGACTTCTCCTGGTTGGAGAGCGGATTGTGGTCGACTTTCCTAGACAAAGCAGGGCGTCAGTGTCTATGGTAGGATGCACGATTCCGATGATAGAGTGGGATCACTTACCAATCTCAAGTCTTTGGCGCCATGCAAAACCAATGCTTGTACGTTTTCGGTCGAAGACATGTTTTATAACAATATTATTCTGCACAAAAACGATGCTTTGCCTCGAGTCTGCTGAAATGGTCTTTTCTCTCTCTCTCTCTCTCTCTGAGATTTAGAAATCTGGTCCGATTCTAACTAGATCGAAGGAAGGGCTCAAGTATGAGACAGGGCGACAAGACACCTGTCTCGAGCAAGGTTACCTATATCAATCTTTCGTTTGCCCAAGTTCCGAGGCGGTAGACATCAAACCATGTTGCGGCTGGTCGGTTAATGACAGGCACGGTTTCAGTAGTTTTCGGCGACTGATCAGCCCGATGGCGCCTAGTGAGCCCGTGTGCCCGTGTGAGCCCCAAATCGAGTTCCCGTTTAACTGCCCCGCGGGATGGATATGGGTGCCACCGGTGCCACAATTTGCCTATGCACGCCTATGGTGGCCTATGGTTGTCATTGTGGGGGTCGCACTGGGTCGCCAAAATCGGCGGCATTTGGTGGTGCGGGGGACAAACATCGGTTCAAATGCCGGCTCGCCGGTCAAAGAATTGTCTCTTTCGTAATTCAGGGAAAGACAGTAAATACTGCGAGGGTTTGATTGAGTGCTTCTCAGAAGATTTGTATAAATCGCAGGCACACGGAATACAGACGTAAATAGGAGGGTCATTTCGACCGGGCACAATTCCTGCCAGCCTCTCATAGAGCATTTCTTCCTGTGCCGTCCGTCCACATGGCTAAACCTACCATCCTTCTGATCGGCGACCTGACGCATGCGAATAAAGAGTGGGAAGAATATGGATCAAAATATAACCTGAAAGAGTTCCGGCAAGGGACGAGGCAACAATTTCTCTCCAATTGCAGGAATGGTGAATACGATGGGGTGGTTGCGCTGTACCGTTCAAACACGTCGACCTCAGAAACTGGCCCTTTCAACCAAGAGCTGATCTCGGTCCTGCCCAAGTCCTTGAAATTCATATGCCATAACGGTGCCGGGTACGACAACATTGACGTAGATGCCTGCACCCAGAGGGGGTTGAAAGTGTCCAGTACACCAATTGCCGTCGACAACGCTACTGCTGATGTCGGTATCTTCCTTTTGCTGGGAGCATTGAGACAAGCCTGGGTTCCCTTGAAGGCCATCAAGGAAGGAAAATGGAAGGGAGACGCACAACTAGGACATGATCCCAAAGGCAAGCTGCTGGGGATCCTGGGTATGGGGGGTATTGGGAGGGTAAGATTGAAAGTCTGTATGTTGAGAGTGGAAGCAGCTGACAGGAATATAGGCCATGGCAGACCGAGCACGAGCATTTGGCATGAAGATTGCCTATCACAACCGATCCAAGCTTCCCAGTCAACTTGAAGGCGATGCGACATATCTTAGCTTTGACGAACTACTGGCGCAGTCCGATGTGCTCAGTCTCAACCTGTCGCTGAACGCGAAGACGCGGCATATCATCTCTGCCCCAGAATTCGAAAAGATGAAGGATGGGGTTATCATTGTGAACACCGCTCGAGGCGCGCTGATCAACGAGAAGGACTTGGTATCAGCACTTGACAGCGGAAAGGTCTCGTCGGTCGGACTCGATGTGTTCGAAGACGAGCCCAAGATCGAAGAAGGGCTTTTGAGGAACGACCGAGCCTTCATTGTTCCTCACATTGGCACGATGACTTGGGAGACGCAAAGAGAGATGGAGCTATTGGTGCTGCACAATTTGGAGAATGCAGTTGACAAAGGGTCATTATTGACCCCGATACCCGAACAGAAAGGCAAGCTGAATGGCAACTTATGATAGTACCTATGCCGATTGCATGGAGTCTAGAGTAGATGATACAATACAGTAGAATGGGCACTGGATACCTAGGTAAGGTACAAATGGGTCATGTGGGGTCCATCCTCCCGTACTGTTCTCTAACAATTAGACAGAGCAAACCACTCGTCCTTGCCGCCAAACATCTATCGCAAGCTGCCACAGTTGTATAGTCCACCCCTGGGACGCGGGCCAGGGAGGACAAGACGATGGACGTCAAAACGAGGCAAATCAGAGGCCGCGGAGGACAGCGACAGACCAGTTGGGCTTATCAGTGGACCCGCGATAAGAGTACATACAGGTAGTGAGGTAGGTACCTGATCCTGGATACCTAGGTAGCCTTGCGAGCTATCTCGACTCGAATGAAAGATTCAGGCATACTCGTACTTCCGTGGTCAGTCACGCGCTGCTATGTCTCTTCCTTACTCGGACATTCGTAGATCGACTCCTCCAACTTTCACGGTGATGCACCAGGTATAGCGAATCACTCGGGGTAAGGTGACCACGTTGACCAAAACTCTCCCATCTGGTCAAGTGCAGAAAAGAATGCCGAGGAAGACGACAGGCTGTTGGACTTGCAGAGTGCGCAAGAAAAAGTGCGACGATGGCCGGCCTTGTTGCTCGTCCTGCACCCTGCGCGGAATCACATGTTACGGCTACGCCGCGAAACCGCACTGGATGGAGGGCGGCGAGACGGAGAGGAGAATCATGCAAGACATCAGACATCAAGTCAAAGAGAGCTACAGACGTCGACGCTCTCGGGGCTCTGGTGCTGCGCGCTTGCAAACATCGACGTCGCAGCGAGATGGGCACGAGTCCAACGCAAGCACCTTCATCCCGTCGCCCTCACACGTTCCTACGACCTTCGCTCCGTCGTTGTCGCCGGCTTCGGCATGGCCTCAGGAAGATCCGGGGACATCAGACGATAGTACGGGGCGCCCTTATCCCCAGCACAACAGGCCCTGGGAGAACGAGGATCGAATGGATGGTTTCGACGCATACTGTGTGGTAGACGACGCACGTTCTGGGACGCAGAATCCACATGCCTACGCGCGGCGCCCGGATTGCAAGTGTTCGGACGACCCAGGAACCGCAGAGGGTGAGCACTCCTGCGCACGGGATCCTACCCGGTCTTGCCGGGTTTCCTTTGATTTTGACGAAAGAGGCATCGACTCGGTCATGTACTACCTGGATCATATCTGGCCCAGGCTGGTCCCGTACCTGGAGCTATCCGCAGGGGGCAGCGGCAGAGGTTGGCTTCTCAATCTATTCCTCCGCACCAAACCCCTGTACACGGCCGCCGTCTGCCTGAGTGCGTGCGACAAGGCACAATTTGTCCTGGGACCTCTGAGCGACATTCCACAACCGAACCACGACTTGGAAATGCAGCATCTGCAAAGCGTCGCCGACCTACGCGGCCACCTGTACCAGTTGTCCAAGAAGGCGGGCGCAAGCCAGATGGCAGCCGGGGTGGAAGCACTGGCCTGTATCATGCATTTGATTCTCTTCGAGGTTCGTATCCCGACCACTACGAATCGACCATTGGGTGACAGTTGGGTGACACATGCTGATTCGAGAGTTTTTTTTGTCGCAGCTCTGGATCCCACGCAAAGGGCTCATGAACGACTGGGTAATGCACCTCGACGCGGCCAGTGCTCTGCTGTCATCCCTCGACCAGGCTGCGGCTGCGTCGCCACGGGTATCTTCAGGAAGCTCGGCCGATTCTACTGCGTCAATGTCAGACATGATCGAACTCGAGGTCGATGTTAAATGCAACATCCCCATCCATCTTCTTTCCGATGGGGAAAGGTCGGCCTTTGAATTCTTCCTCGGCATGTACACCTACTGCTTCATCAACGCCACCGCCAGCCTAGGCCTAACCCCCCAGTCTGCGCAATCGATCGCTCGACTTCGCGCCTTGTACCACCAGGGGCAGAACAAACTGAGCACCGCGCTCGGATGCGAAGACTGGGTCATGCTCACCCTCCTCGACATTGCTGTCCTCAAGGATTGGAAGCAGACTAAATCCAAAGCCGGCACGCTGAGTCTGAGAGACTTGAATCATCGCGCCGACATCATCGAAGGTCGCCTTCTGGACGGCCTGGCAAAGGTCGCCCATCCGCTGCCTGCTTCGGCATCTTTCATACAGGAAGGGAAACGGATGGTCACGAATACCTATATCAACGCCGCCCTGGTCTACCTCCACGTCGTCGTTTCGGGATTTTACCCGCACATCCCTGAGATACAGCAGAGTGTTTTGCGGACGCTACAAGCGCTGGAATACATGCGCGAGCATTCGAGGATTAATTTCCCCTCCTGGCCCTACTGTGTTGCTGGCTGCTTAGCTTTGGAGTCGGAATACCCTCGCTTCCGTGCGCTGGTGCCTCCTTTTGAAAAGGGTAAACATCCTCTAGTTCTGTCCAGATGGACGCTGGAAATAATAGAGGAATGTTGGAACACTCGAGCTTCGCAGCCGCCAGGTGAAGAAACGTGTAGTTGGGTCACAGCTATGAATCACTTGGGGACTAGACTATTGCTCCTGTAACTACCGACACCAAAATCAAATCAACGACATGGGCTCATGAGCTCTTCTTCTGGACGGCGAGGGCCGTCGAAAGCAGCTCTACCAATCCGAGAATCTTTTCTTCTTGATGTCTTCGTCCGACCAGTTGCAAGCCCACTGGCGTGCCTTGCTGGACTTCAGGATCGTCTTTGCAATTGATGGTTAGCCAAATTTGATCACCACTCGATCAAGGTCGACTCACATTGCTCCCAGTTGGTCTTGTCCTGCTCACTCCAGGGCTGATAATCCTTGTCGTACAAGTCAAGCGTCTTGTCCACTTGGGTGACAGGGAACACAACGGATGTATAATCGAGTGTATTGACCCATGGAGTGTATCCTGTGCATGTCAGTCCCCTGAACCCGCAAAGTACAATTGGAGAGATGCGAACTCCTACCGATGTGGAAAGTGTTGCCAAATTGAAGTGCCGCAAATGGTGCAACAGGCGTCAGTATTGCGTCAACTGGCTTTCCAGACTTTGTTTGCCTCGCAGTGCCATTCCAGTATTCCATATATTCCTTCTGATACTCTCTAAGTCGAAGATTTATCTCCCAGATCTTGTCAGCGGTCTTGGGCGCGCCTAGTGAGCCCGCCGCTGTGCCATAAGTCCGCTGGATATGGTCCTGCAGGGGCTCTCCCGACAAACCAATGTGATGCCAGATATCCATGCCGGCATCCGCGGTGAACGCTTCAAACTGTCATGGTCAGGGGCTGATTTTTCAAAGACGGTTCAGTGAATTTGACTTACAGCGAGTGCAATGGCCTTTTCGTGGGACGGTGGATCCCAGTCCACCACATCATGACCCATGTCTATGATCAGCTTTTTCACTGTCTCAAAGGCTCTTCGGACTGCAGGTTGTGGGTTCACGAGTTTGTCATTTGGCATCAGGCCAAACGTCAACTTGCTGCCGTCAGCGGGCAGGGGCGTGCACAACTCCTCCCTCCAGGGCAAGTCAACCACCGCCGGATCGTGTAGCCATGGTTGCTGGCTGAGAACATACCGAAACATCAATTTCAACGCTCCTAGAGACGTCGCCAGCGGCCCACAAACCGAAGGGATGGTGTTTTGACCGGCCATGCTGTTGGCGGCGCCGACATATGGTAGACGGCCGAATGAAGGCCTGATGCCATAGAGCCCATTGAAAGCAGAGGGGATCCTGGAGATGAGATGAGTAGACATTCTGACCCGGATGGACAGACGACTCACCTGATACTTCCACCTATATCTGTACCAAAGCCAATGGGGCTTCCTCGCATGCCAATGAGGGTTCCCTCGCCACCAGAGCTACCACCGCAGGTCATGAGACGATTGTGCGAATTCAGTGTGAAGCCGACAATATGATTCCATGTTATCCCGCTCATCACCGTATGCGGCAGACTTGTCTTGCAAAAAGGCACACCTCCGAGTGCTTTGACTTCCTGGACCAGTTCGCTGTCCACGTTTCTCTCCTTCCCGGTCCCCTTCACGCCCTCGAAAGTGTCGATCCACCCAACATAACCCATAGTTGTCTCCACTCCCTTGACGTGGAATTGGTCTTTGAAGCTGATAGGTAGCCCATGGAGAGGGCCGGTAGGACCATTCTGAGCCGCAAAGGTGGAATCGAGCTCTTTCGCACGCTCAATCGCCTGGTCAAAGAAGACTTCGTGCAGGCAATTAGTCTGTCAAAGCACAATTTAGCAAAGACCCAGACGCAGGTAAAGGTGTGCTACCGACCAATTGATGAGCCAGAGCTGCTCGATGGCAGAAGGCTGTCACTACCTCTGTGGCGGTCCACTTGCCAGTTGTAGTATGTTCTGTTATCTTGACTGCATCGCTCTCGGTAATTTCGATCTCCCTGGGAGTGAGGAATTGTTGCACATATGACCCAGTGACATCTTTCTGATCTTCAGGCGAAGGGAGGGGTTCTGGGAGTCGCCATTCTTGAGGGATAGCAGCGAAGATAGACTCACGCTTCTTTTGAGCACGTTCTTGCCAGGTCAAAGACATGTTGAACAAGTTGGTAATGGCAACCACGGCTTGCAGAGAGGACTATTTGAAAGGCCGTTATTCCAACCTGCTTGTTCCGGAGTCTTATAACCAAGACCTTCGTACAAATATGGAATACATGCGGAAACTTCAGGAGTTTAAGACTGCCCTTCGGTTCCTTCGTCTAACATCGAAATGCGAGTGCGGCAAACGACTCGCGTGCTTGGGATGCATGAGAAGGCGCACCAGCTGCTCTTCTCCACTGATAACACCGATATCTGTAGCGTTCCCTACACGGCTGATTAATATCACATTCTGGATCTGGAATGTTTAGTGCTCTAAATCATGTTCAAGAGTGCCGTTGTGGATTCTCCTCTGCAATCTCACAAAGGCGATAAAAGGCAACAGAGCGACAACGGCGGCAACATCTCCGTATTGCCCTGTAGATAACGTTTCGCTGTACTCCGTAGGGACAGGCTGGTTCTGGGGGCATAAGGAAATATTTGTTCCTGATTGGTCCATTTGTGTACGAATTCCGTACAGCTGTGGAGCCAGAGATTTCATACCTGCCTATTCAATCGCGCGAAAAAAGCGTAGGCGCAGTTGATTCAACGGCGGCAACGTCTACAGACACTACCCGTCCAACCGTCTTGCCGTCTTTACATCAAGTGCTAGCAAGAGCAAATCATCACCTCTCTCTCTCTCGAGAGAAAGAGATAACCGTGGCATCGAATTCCAGTTCCGGTATGGAACAGCTATATCTCTTATCTTGAACAATCCACCGGGAGGCAAGGTGAGTCCAATCCCCAGGACACGGATCCTCTCTTCTGCTTCCTTATCTCTCGACTCATCCTGAAGACGAATATATAAAAGTGGACGAGATCGAGGTCAATCATGCCAGGCACTCATCCTGCTCGAGGAACAGCGCAAACCTCCTGCTGACCCGCCGAACCGACAAGATTCAAGTTGCCCGTCGCTTCTATCCAGTTGTTGGCTGCCGTTCCCTTCATCGATCATGTCGACATATTCCGTTGGACCAGAGCTGAAGGTGCTCAGCCCCGGTATTGGCTATGGCATCATTGCTGGGATTGGTGCAGTGTTTAGCGTGATTATGATCTTGACGACAAAGTTCCAGAACCGGTATTTCGCCTTCTCGACCAAGCAATCCGAAGAGTTCAACACTGCGTCTCGAAATGTTAAGCCTGGCCTCATTGTCGCAGGCATTGTTTCTGCTTGGACATGGTCCGCTACATTGCTCACCAGTTCCACTTTTGCATACATTTTCGGCATCTCAGGTCCAATGTGGTACGCTGCCCTGGGCTCGTCGCAAGTCATCATGTTCGCCATGCTCTCGCTTCGGGTGAAAAGAGATGTACCAGGGGCCCATACATTTCCGGAGATCGTTCTCGCTCGCCATGGTCATGGTTAGTCAGTTATTGCATAGCGCCCCAATCAATGGACTAACAAGGTTGCAGTGGCCCACGGCATTTATACCTTCTTTGGATGGGTCGTCAATATGTGTGAGTCTCACTCAACATGGCACAAGAAGACTATGGTACTGACCTGTTGGTCTACAGTTGTCGGCGCAACACTAGTGCTGGGCGGTTCGCAGGTACTGGCTGGCTTGTCGGGAGTCAACGTCTATGCTGCTTGTTTCATTGTAAGCAACCGACCAACCGAGGTGGAGTGTACGCTTACATGTCTCGCATACAGGTTCCAATAGCCGTTGCCGCATATGTTCTCCAAGGTGGACTTCGAAGCACCTTTGTGGCCGACTATCTTCACACCGTGATCCTCTTTGTGGCCATCTTCATCTTTGCCTTCACCTTGTACACCGCCGATGACTATGCCGGAAGTCCTGGCAGGGTCTACGATCTCTTGGTCGAAGCTGGGAACAAGACTCCGCTCGCGGGAAACCGTCATGGCTCATGGCTCACGTTCCAGTCAAGTACCGGTATCAAGTACGCTGCCGTGATCTTCCTCGGCAGCTTCTCGACGGTCTGGCTCGACCAAGCGTACTGGCAACGTGCCATTGCATCCAAACCTGAAACAAGCGTCAAGGCATATCTGCTAGGCGGAGTAAGTACCGAGCGCCCTTCTGCGCCATCTCGACCGTCATCCGATCGATTTGTTCCTGAGAGTCTCATTTGCTGACTTGAAGACAGCTGGCATGGTACGGGATCCCATATGGGTTCGCCACGACGATGGGTTTAGGCGCCGTGGCATTGACCGGCTCCTCAAAGTTTCCCACTTACCCTGACCCTCTCAATGCAGCACAAGTCGGTGGGGGATTCTCAGCACCTGCTACTGCGATTGCTCTGATGGGCAGAAATGGGGCCGCGTTGATGCTTTTGGTGCTGTTCATGGCAGTCACTTCGTCAGTATCTGCAGAACTCATCGCTGTGTCCTCCCTATGGACATTTGACGTCTACAAGCTCTACATCAACCCCTCAGCGTCGTCCTCCACCTTGGTCAAGCAGGCACATTACGGCATTATCGCATACTCTCTGATATTGGCAGCCTTTTGTTGCGGGATGAGTGCCGGCGGCGTCGACATCACCTGGCTTCTCACAGTGGGTGGTGTTATTGTAGGAGGAGGCGGTATTCCCTTGGGATTTATTGTCTTGTTCCCTTCTAGAATGTCAACTGTCGCTGCTATCGGGGCTCCTCTGGTTGCCTCACCGCTCGGCCTCACCGCTTGGTTTGTCACCACAAAACTTCGTTCCGGCGCCATCACTGCGGTTTCCACAGGCGACCTCCCCAATACCCTGGCGGGAAGTGCCACCGCCTGCGGCACGGGATTGATTGTGGCAATTGTCTTCTCTATTCTCTTTCCATACAAATACGCCTCCACAGATCCCGCACACCTGGCTCGCGTGGAAAAGATCCTAGGTACCGCTCCGCTTCAGGGACGCGAGGTGGCCACCGAATCGGCTTCCATGGACGAACCAGTGACAAGCGAAACGAAATCTGGTATCCCTCAAGAATCCAAAGATGCAGACACAGCCACAGCCACAGAGACTCCCTCGACTCCGGGCGCAGCGGGCACCGCAGCCCCCACAGGCAATGATGTCGTCGACTATCTCTTGACCAACCATATCGAACCGCTGGACTTCAAGTCCTACCGCAAAGCTCGCCGTCTGGCCTATTCGGCTTGCGCCGTGTTCTTCGTCGTGGCCATGGTGCTGTTTCCATTCACCTTTTACGGCACTGGGTACATCTTCACTAAAGCCGCATTCACGGGCTGGGTCGTTGTCAGCATCATGTGGGTCTTCTTCAGCGCCCTGGCATGCATCATCTGGCCTCTCGTGGAGAGCTACCCGACATTGAAGGACATGACGAGGATGCTGATCAATGAAACCTTCCACAAGAAGCCCGACATGGACGTGGGACGCGTTGAACCTCAACCTTCGCCATCAATCGAGCGCAAGTGACCTACTCTGGTCCAGACAACGGTAGATCAGAAGAAAATCTTCCTCGCCTGTACCAACCGTCGGGCTGATACAGTCGGAGACATCCAGTCTTCCCAGGAGTTGACAAGTAGATCGGAGGATACATATATGTACACGAATATAAATTACCTATGGCCGAGGACTCTTATATTGTCTAACGTGATAGAGCTTATACGATATATATTTGGACAGATCAAGGTTGAACAACAATGGCTAGATCAATATAGTAAAACGGGTGGTGATGGACCGTCATGCTGTAGATCGTCCAGAGGAAGTTTCACTGCTTGCGGCTCATGCCCTCCATCATCCCCTTTGATCATATGGTAACGCCACCCTATACTTACCCCCGGCTCGCGCGAGTTAGGCTAAGTGGCACCCGAGACTTAGTCGTACAGTATGCTGCCACGGCTGCCTAAGTTACCTAGTCAGGTTGCCTTGCACTACCCCATACGGAGGCAATAATTCGCGAGTACGGATCTAACTTGGGGCGTGTCTCAAGTGGATAGCAATGGCTAACTTGGTCGCTGTAGGTATTGCCATATACTGTAAACGTGCGAAGCAGTAAGGAAGTACTTCGTAACAGTGCTGCAATTACAAACTTCCTCTTGATCACTCTCCTCTGTACCTCCGTACGGTTTGCCTCCCTAGGTAATATGGCGGACCAATCTTCCAGCTCACCCCTCAGATCAATCTGCCATTGCGGTGCGATCGAAGTGATTGTCCCTTATCGGCCGAAGGAGATCAATGAATGCCAATGCACTCTCTGTCGTCGCTACGCAGCTGCATGGATATACTACAAACCAGAAGAGGTCACCATTAACAAGCACAAAACTGGCGATGTAAAGAAGTACGTCTGGGGCGATCGAGACATCTCCTTCAATTTTTGCGATAACTGTGGCTGCATGTAAGACCTTCTTAGTTATTACCGCCTCTATGCGTGAGCTTTTTAAGCGGGAGAATGATTCTGTCTGATTTCCCAAGCCTGACTGGGTTCGTAGGTGTTTCTGGTACCCCGAGACAGACAGCATACACGAGATTGGCGTCAATAGCCGCAACATGGATCCCGAAGCTCTCAGATATATAACGCGGAAAATCGACTTCGACGTCGTCGGTACGCCGCTTAGAGATCAGGCCACGGCTCATCCACAGGACAGGGCGCGTTACTGAACTCCTCCGCACAGACAGGAGAAGTGTGTATTTGAAGTCAGCGAAATCTACTACTTGCGCTCAGCAGGATAAGAGGATAGATCAAGGTTAGACAAGTAGCACGGTTGGTGATGGTCAATGCTGTAGAATGAATCTTGAGCCTCGGCAGAACTTCACATGCCAGTACTAGTCACCTACCGTCGTTGCGTCAACCTCAACCACAACCACAACCACAACCAACTTGTCCGCCTACTTCTGCTTTGGACCATTCACTACTTATGTAAAGGTAAAGGCTTGCACCGAGAATCAATTGCACGAGACCCGTGAGACACTTGCTCATACAATGACCACCCGCGTCTGGCCTAGATGAAGGCGCAGGCGAATTCAACCACAAATCCCGTTGCACAACAATGCCGGTCCAGTCGAAGGAGGACCCGTTGATGGTCCTCTACCACTACTATACTACTCTCCTTCGCTCTCGGATCAAGCGGACACCCCGATCCGTCAGACTCGCGGCTACCGCTGCCCTCCTCATCTCGATTCTCTCGAGCAGTTATGGCGGCTACAAATGGTGGCAGGAAAGATCAAAAGAGAAGGCTCAAGGACAAAGACTGGTCAGGAGAAACAGTGGTCTTAGAGGCAAAGGCGGCGAGCGCATCATCTATGTCCCAAAAGGGAACACTACCTCCAAAGTCATCATCCATCCCACTCGTCCGACCACCTTCGACGCGCATCGGCGGCTGTTCCTCACTCCGCCACGGGTCACACGAATTGGCAGTGGTGCTTCTACTCCAGCCTACGGCCATGGACCGCCTCCTCAGACAAAGCCGGGTCTCAACCTGGCTTTCTTGCATCAATTCCTGAGTCTGTTGAATATAATGATACCCCGATTTCGAAGCAAAGAGACCGCATTATTGGTGAGCCATGGAGTCTTTCTTGTTCTCCGAACCTACCTGTCGTTGGTGGTTGCAAGGCTAGACGGAGCCATTGTGCGAGACCTAGTGGCAGGCCAGGGCAAGTCGTTCATGTTGGGAATACTAAGATGGCTGTCTGTCGGCACCTTGGCTTCTTACACAAACGCCATGATCAAATTCCTGCAGTCCAAGATCTCAATTGCTTTCCGGACAAGACTAACAAGATACATTCACGACTTGTACCTGAATTCGAATCTCAACTACTATAAACTGACCAATCTAGACGGCGGAGTCGGTCAGGGCGCAGACCAATTCATCACCCAAGATCTCACCTTGTTCTGTACATCAGCAGCATCACTGTATTCATCATTAGGCAAGCCCCTCGTCGACATATTTGTTTTCAACTACCAGCTATACCGGTCCCTTGGTCCCTTGGCCCTCACCGGACTTTTGTCTAATTATTTCGCAACCGCAACACTTCTCCGCAGACTGTCTCCGCCCTTCGGAAAATTGAAGGCTGTCGAGGGTAAGAAGGAGGGCGATTTCCGTGGTCTACATGCTCGGTTGATCGCAAACGCCGAGGAAATCGCTTTCTACGGGGGCGCTGATGTTGAGAAGGTCTATTTGAATAGATCCTTCAGAGAACTCCGAAGCTGGATGGAAGGAATATACAACGTCAAAGTCCGGTATAACATGCTCGAAGACTTTATTCTGAAATATTCCTGGTCTGCTTTTGGGTACATCATCACTTCCATCCCAGTATATCTCCCTGCATGGGCAGGCTTGAATTACCTGCTTGAGTCATCGGTTTCTGCTGCTGGCGCCGAGATTTCGGAGTCCTCACGAGAGAGGTCTCACATGAAAGACTTCATCACGAACAAGAGACTGATGCTCTCCCTAGCGGACGCCGGTGGGAGGATGATGTACAGCATCAAGGACCTATCTGAGCTGGCTGGCTACACTTCTAGAGTGTACCAACTCATCTCGACCCTTCACCGTGTCCATGCAAACGCTTACGGTCAAAACCACCGGCGGCATTCCGGCAGGATCGAGCTGTACTCTATGGCTGATGTTCAAGGGACCGTCTACGCAGGGTTCGATGGTGTTCGTCTTGAGGACGTTCCCATTGTCGCTCCAGCACTTTACCCGTATGGCGGCGACGAGCTGATTGAATCGCTGTCTTTTGTGGTACACAGCGGCGAGCATCTTCTCATCTCAGGCAGCAACGGCGTGGGTAAGTCTGCTATTGCCAGGATTGTCGCCGGTCTGTGGCCTGTCTTCCGTGGTCTCGTCTCCCGTCCTCGCAACACTGGTCAGGATGGAATAATGTTCATTCCTCAACGGCCCTATCTCAGCGTGGGCACGTTGCGGGACCAAGTCATCTATCCTCACACAGAGATCGACATGCGCGAGCATGAACGTCGGGACAGTGAGCTGGAGAGGATACTGGAGGAAGCCAAACTTGGTCATTTGCTTGCACGCGAAGGTGGCTGGGACACGAGAAAGGAGTGGAAAGACGTGCTTTCCGGCGGAGAGAAGCAACGAATGGCCTTTGCCCGGCTCTTTTACCATGAGCCCAAGTATGCATTCCTGGACGAGGGCACTAGTGCAGTCTCGTCGGACGTGGAGGGGCTGCTGTACGAGCGGTGCAAAGACAGAGGCATTACGCTCCTCACTCTCTCTACACGTGCCAGTCTGCGGAAATACCATAAGTCGAATCTGATACTCGGCTTGGGCGATGAAGGATACGATTGGGAACTCGTCAAGATCGGCACTGACGCCGAGAAATTCAGTCTGGACAAGGAGATCAACGAGCTGAGGGAGAAGCTTGCCATGGTGCCTGAGTGGGAGAAGAGGAAGAAAGCGATCGACGAGGAACTCAGTCATGTCCAGGTTGTTGATGAAGAAGGAGCAGGATCAGCCAAGCTGGAGAAACCCAGTTATGTGGCCCATGAGGAAGAGGATGGTCAGTATGGCCAGGAGTAAGCAGACTTGGCCGTGCCCGCCATGGCACATGGCCGATCAATATACCACCCTTTTCTTGCGATCGGTCTTAAAGTCCCCTACTTCGCCGTTTTCTCTGTTCTACTGGGTCCTTGCTTCTGGTATGATCGCGCTCACGATTTAGCCAGCCTACAGTTCTTCAACAAGCAAAGTCGCCCTCTTTCCTTGCGCTTCCTCATCCGAGCCTTGTACTATCATGGGGCTATCAGAACCCGTAAGAGCACCAGGCGAACACGAATCTGAAAACATCTTGGATCCGCCCAATATATATTCTTCTTTGCTTTCCTTTTCATTTTTCAAAAAATCGAGCAAGCTCATGTGACTACAGTAAGAACGACCGCCCTGGGCAATTCCAACTTATGTCCCCTTACCTTTTACCAACCAGAGTACAGTACGTATCAAGAACTCCCAACTCCGACGTCTAAAGTCAGAGGCACCGTGCAACTTTTCCAAACTCCAGGAACTCCGTTTTTTCTCTCACAGTCACCTGGCCTGGTAGTGCCGCACTTCGTTAATCAAAGACAATCTCCCCGTGTCCTGCTCCAAGTCCGTTGCTAACTTACCTGGTCCTTACCTCTTTGCTTTCAAATGGATTTGGACTTCTCGACACCCGCACCCTCTAGGCATCGTCGCGTAGAGACTCCTGAAGGGTGGTCCATCTTCATGGCCCGAACTTCGACGAGAGTAGTCGTGAGATGTTGCCACGGATCTTTCGAGTGGACTTGGACTTGGACCTGGATTTGGTCTTGGTGTCAGCACGCCGACTCTCACTCTCAGGCACCCGTTGTACCTTTTCACTGACAAGACCGGGCGCCTTCTCAGCATGGTCAGCCTTGCGTGGTTTCTGCAACTTGACCGGCTTCTTCGTGGTGCCCATGACTCTCGCCGGCGCACTGGGTCTCGTAAGACTGACGCGCTTGACGCTGGCGGTCTCGAACGATGCGAACGACGACGGCGACGACGACGACGACCGTGAGACGGGAGTAGCATCCGATGTGCTGTCTGAGGTTGGGGTAGGGGATGGTGATGATCGTCGTGACGAGCCCGAGCCCAAGTCTGAGGCTGACGCTGAAGCTGTGACAGATCCTGCCGCTGAGGATGATTGACCTGAGGACGAGGATGGTGCACTTGTACTCACATATTCCTTCTCGCCGGCGCCGGCGCCGGCTTGCTTACGTGGGACGTTGTTGTCGACGCTGACGGTGTCGTTGATGACGAGGCCTTGTCTCTTGACCGATTCCTGTGCCAATGTATTCGACCGTCCGCGGGTTCGTGGAGTCGGTTCAATGATCTGTGCCGGAATGATCTCTCCCTCTCTTCCCTGATGGAGCCAGCTATTGCCTGCAAATGCAATTCCTTCGGAGGTGTCAGCAGGAACTTGACTTACCGAGCGCTTCTTGCCTGTTGGGGCCGTCGACGGTTGTCGCAGTCCGAATCCGGCAGCCACTCTCTTCAACGTCACTGAAGCTCTCTTCGCGATCGCTTTAATCTGTCTCATTTTCGATCCTCGCTGTGGGCGTCGTCCTGGAGAGCTGTCATTCTTTGGCTCTTCGCGTCGTCCAGCAAACACAATACCCACCGGTTCAAACGCCGACGAAAACCGCGCGTTGTTTGGCGCATTCCGCTTTTCGACAAAACTCGACTTCCGTGGTTGGGATTGGAATCGGTGGCCGCCTGCCCGTCGTGGTCCTGCCATTTTAGGGTCGTGTCTCGACTTACCACCACCGAGTTTCTCACTCTTGTCGCTGTTCTTCAAGTTCGCCTTCGCCGTCGCAGCTGACTTCGCCCCATCAGCGTCGTCGTCCTTGTAATAAAGACCCGGAAGACTCTGCCTCAACATTTCCAGCGCCACTCGGACCTCTTCTCTGGTGACTCCAGGTGGCCGTCTGGCAGCACGTCTCGCCCTCGACCTACCTGTTCTTCTCTCTCGACTTCCACTTCCACCTCCACTCACAGCACCGTACAGGTAAGCATTGCTGCTCTCGCTCTGATGATCAAGGAAGCTCCAAGCGAATTCCTGTTCCCACCGCAAGGCCATCTCCATCCCCTGTCTGACACTCCTCTTCAGCTTATGCCTCAACACATCTTTCGGCTCCGGATCCCGAGCGCTACTCGCACCTCGACCCGAACCACGCAGACTGACCGGCGCCTTCGCTTTATTCCCACCGGCACGTTGTGCGCGTAGGGCTTCTCCAGCTTGCAAGATGTCGGCAACCGAACTCCGTTCGCGTGTCAGATCCTGTTGTTCGCGTAAATATCCCGTGCCCGGCACAATGCGCGAAAACACCGCTTCGAACGGTCGACCCTGGAGTGGTCTTGACGCATGCTCCGGAGAAGTCGCGCGGAAATGCAACTTGTCCAGCAGCAGAGTGCGTGCAATGATGAGGTTGTTGGCTGGATCGATGTATTCTGGGAAGGATTCGACCTCGTCATCGTCAGCATTCTCAATATGCTCACCATCATCGCTGTCGACACACCGGCCAGAAGAGCGTGCAGAAGAGATTGAAGAAGAGAGATGTTGTGTCGGAGCTGGGGCTGCTTGCGTTGAAGGGAATCGTGGCGGAGGAACATACAGCTGTGGTGGATCCCATGTAACATATGAGAATTCGTCGTACTGCAGTGGCAGAATAGCTTGTTCAGATGGTTCATATGGCTGGATTTGCTGCTTGTCCTGCTCAAATTCTTCCAGGATGGTGTTGGAACTGGAGTCGGAATTGGAGTCGGGGAAGATGGTAAAGGACCGTAACGAGGACGTGCGTGGAGGGAACTTCCCTATGCTCGAACCCACGTCCTCACGTATGGAGAAAATCGGGGAGGAGCATCGCAAGACTTCTGAAGGGACGGCCATGACGAACACTGGAATTGATTGTTTTGGACTTACCGGCCGCGCTATCGTCATACGTCAATGCAGAGTCCGGCTCTGAAGAGAAATAACAACGATAATGGCACTTGACGGATGGACGAACTGTGCTGAGAGCGAAAGTCGAACAATCGGAGAGTCTCGCACAGTGCGTGAGCAAGGATCAAGGACTTCGATGCAACTGAATGGGTGGAAAATAGTGACGCTCCATCCAAGCAGGCGACATACAAGGCAATTATATCAAGTGATCGAGACGGAACAGACGGCGGTTAGTGGGACTGGACGGAGTGACAAAGGAAGGGACTTGCCTGGATAAAGAAGTCGATCATTGTTCAAGTGCCTTGTTATCTTTGTCCTCGCTCCGCCGTGATAGTCGGCAAGCATCGAATCTTTCAATGCGCATAAATAACACCTGCAAATCTTTGTTTGTCAAAGCACGTGCAACAAGAAAGGCAAAAAAAGGGGAATGTGTACAACTTGTATTGCAATTATCTGTGGACCTGCCATCTGTTGTGATGGTTCTGGGTCGTAAACATGCTTTTCGAGTCTGAGATACTTGAGCTCATTGTTTCTTTCAAGCTCATGTGACAGCGGCTTTATGTTCTGCAGCCATAAAGCGACATTCTGAACGGATGCGAAGAGACGAAATAAACAGTCCGGGGGAAAACACAACTCCTCAGGGGTAAGCTCGTCGGGAGCAATATCTCGATCTATCGGGGTATCATAATGTTGTACACGTAATTCATGGTGTTAGAGAATCGTAGCCCGTACTGTTGATGCTCTCAGCTCGAGGGTGAAGGGGTGACAGCAATCATGCTTCAAGCAGAGTGCTGATGCCCTGGTGATTTCGATTTCAACACGTCGAGGTCTTCGGGAGACCATATTCTCGCTCTGGAGACCGGTCCACAGCAAGAATATGGTCTACCAATGACTTCGCAGCATTGAGGTGTCGAGTTTTCCTTCTCGCACTGCAACCACGACCGCCTTTCTGTATTAGTAATTCTTAATCATAACTGGTTGAGCCCGAACAAATAGCCCAACTCTCTCACACCAAGTCTTGCCACATCTCTTCCAGCTGTTTCGTCAAGGGCAGTCTCAACCAGTCGACGTTTTCTCTCCTGTAGCGCCAGAATGCGATCTTCAACAGTGAAACCTTTCGATTCAGGGTCAGGCGCAGCTTCATCCGGTTCACCTATAAGTACCCGGTGAACAGTCACTTCTCGCTTCTGTCCGATTCTGTAACAACGGTCTGCTGCTTGATATTCCACGAACGGATTCCAGAAGGGATCCAGCATAACGACGTGGTTCGCCGCGGTCAAGTTGAGTCCTGAGTTGCCAGCCTTGAGACTAACAAGGATGACAGTGCAATTGACATTGTCGGTAAACTCGAGCACAGCGTTGTTCCGGTCGACTGACGACATCGATCCATCATATCGTACATAGTGACGGAACCCTATGTGATCGGATAGAGGAACCTCGAGCAGGTCAAGAAACGAGGTGAAGGTGGAAAAGATGATGGTCTTCTCGTTCTCACCTCGACTCTTGATTTCTTCTAGTAGCTGCATAGTCCGATCAATTTTGGCCGAAGTCACAAAGTTCTTTCGAAGCCGTCTCAGGTATTTGCGTTTGGCGTGTTTGTTTCGTAGCCCTTCTTTGCGTAATTGAGCAAGTGACTTGAACGCATCGCGAGACTTCATCATGTCCTGGGGTTTAGATCGTTTCTTGCGTGTGGCTCGCTTGGCTGGTTTCTTGCCCTTGGAGTCGAAGTCGGACAAGTCTTCAAAATCGTCAGGTACGATGAAGCCGTTGAGATCCTGGCCCGCATCTGAGTCGTCGTCATCATCATCTTCAGAGTCGCTGTCGGAGTCAAAATCAAACCCATTATCTTGCCCAAGGGGTTCCACACCCTCTCGATCAGGACAATGTACTCGATGGAAACTGACAACATCCGTGATCTTGTTCGCATCAATGTGAGCTCGACAATGAGGACATTTCGGCGGTCCTTCTGTATCATTCGTTGCTTGATCCACTAAGCGACTAAGACAGTCACTGCACAACGTATGACCACAAGGGAAAAGAGCTGGATTCTCGTCGACATCCATGCAAATGGGACACTCAAAGGAGTTGACCTCTTTTAGGCGATGAACAACCTTCTGATCGAGTTGAACTGCATTGGTGATGAGATCATTTGTGTCAAGATTGCCTGCCGCCTGAATGAAGTCCTTGCTCTGGGTAACAAGGTGAGGGTGACAACAAGCTTGTCGAAGTCGCAACAGCAACACAAGTGCATGAGAGTAATTTTGGCCCATGCTACCTTTCTGGATGTATTTGTTGATTTGAATCTGCGCTTTGGCCTCAAGTGCTTTGTAGAAGGTCAACTCATCCTCGTTGAAGGTGACACGCTCTTCAGTCGTATTCTTATCGGGCAGCTGGAGTATCGGTTGACCATCAATCTTGGACTGTTTAGTCCGTCGTAACAGGATCGCTCGAAGTAAGGCCTGAAGAGTCCTCATCCCTTTGTCCTTGCTGTCTCCCCAACGAGCTTTAAGCGGGCCAGAGATATCCTTTCTAAAGCGTTCCCACTCACAGTATGGGCGGATGCGACAGAATTTGACCAAGCTGAACATTTCCTCGACGTTGTTTTGCATCGGAGTGCCAGTCAAAGCCCAGCGATGATCGGCCTTGATACGACAAGCGGCCAAAGCCTGCTTGGCACGGTGATTCTTGATGTTCTGGGCTTCGTCCAAGATGACGCGGTGGAAGTGAGAACGCTCACCCAGGACTGGACACTCCTCGCGAGCATCAGGCACGAGCTTCAATTTCTCTTCCCAGGCCGCTTTTCTTTTCAGCTCTGACGCTAGCAGACCATATGTGGTAAGGACAACATCATAGGCTCTTAGAGCAGACCAAGTGGTTGTTCTCGTCTGCCCATGGAGGACAAAAACATTAAGCTGATGTCGAGGTTTGACCATCTTTTCGAGCTCGCGCTTCCATTGGTGCATCAAAGCCACAGGGGCGACTACAAGGGTTGGTCGATGTTGGTTTTCGGCAGGGGGCCGGCTGAGTATCAAGGCAATGCTCTGAATAGTCTTGCCCAATCCCATGTCGTCGGCCAGAATTCCGCCTTTGTTGGTCCCTTCCTCCATCTTCTGCATCCAGGTCAAGCCATACATTTGATGCGGCATCATAATAGCACTAAGGGCTCCGGGTTGGTCAGACACTTGCTCTGACGAGAATTCCTCGTCAGGTCTGATATGCTTGAGCAGCTCCTCAATTTCCTCTTTCGTCTTGGTTGGATCGGTGAACTGATCGCGCAGATGGGCGTAAGGATCAGCCATCAAAGAGGCACCAAAGGGGCGAAAGGATTGGAGAGAGGAAGAGCCGCCATAGGATTTTGTGAGATCGTACGGGTGTGTCGAAGTACCCAAGGCTGAAGTACTACTGTTGTACGATGTCAGGTCGTAGACTGATGCTCCGCCGGTACTGACAAGGGGCTGTGATCCTGGGAAGCTTCCTGGCATGACCGGTGAAGCCAGATGCCCAGATGGTTGAGGCCCGACGATACGATGGGGAATGGTTGGTGTAAACTCATCCTTGACCAATTTGCGAAATGCTGGAGTACATGGCTGGGACTGCGTATGGTGGGAAGCGGCTTGAAGTCGAGACATCGGGGTAGAGGCCTGGTTGGTTGAGCTGGAAGAACTTTCTCCGTTGTCGATTGAGGATGTAGCTCGGCGTCGATTAATTGTGCCATCAGTTGTGAGGAAGCGCTGAGTGTATTCGGAAGGGCGAGCAAAACTCGACTCCTGAGTAGCCCCGCCGGTATCATCTTGACTCCATTGTTGAGATAGCTTTCTTGCAAGCTCTGCATCTGCTTCTTCTTGTCTCTTGCGTTCTTCGTGCTGTGACCAGAACTCTCGGGCACGTTTGGCTTCCTCCGTTGAACTGAATAGAGAGTTGAACTCGGGGAGGCTGTCCAAGCTGCCATTGGAGTCTGCAGGCGAGGGCGCAGCTGTCAAGACAGAACTCGGGGTAGTTCGACGTGATTTGTAAGAACTCTCGTTCAGATCTTCGTCAGATCCAAAGTCACCTCTCTGACGCTTTCGACTGAAGTGGTCGTGGCCGCGATGAGGTAATTGGTCTTCTGAAGCCCAAGAATGGCTGCTCCCCGGTCGGTCGGTCACGGGCGCCATACTCATTCTTTGCATGTCTCGGCTAGCCGTCGGGTTGTTGTTGTTGTTGGTTTGTGAAGCTAAAGCTGGCTGAAGAGCACGGAGACGCTTTTTCTGGGATCTGATTTGGGCTCGATGTTCTTGAATGTCATTCTCAGCCTCATCAGCACCCATCTCTTCGAGACTTGCGATAAGGCCTTCTCTAAAAGCAATATCGTCTCGAATGTCTTCGATGTCGCCGATGAGAGCAGGGTCGGTATCTTCGGCCATGTTGAAGGAGTAAAAGGAGGAGAGGGATGAAGTGGTGACCGGAGGGTGGGAGAGGCTGGCAGGTCAGGCAAACACAGGGCTGCAAGGCAGCGGCGTGTGAATGCTTGTCAGTGAAAAGGTCAGGCAGAATGAGAAGCCATGAGCAAATAAGGATCGACTGAGGTGAGGCGGTGGCAGGGTTCAGGGCGCAGGATGAGGCTGATTGTAGAGACAATTGAAAGAGTGGAGTGGCAGAAGGGTGGCAAGTAAATCTACAAGAATCCGGGGTGAAGACAGAAAATTTTGTTGATTCACTCGGTGAGCAGCATGAAAAGTAGAGAAGGCCGACATCTCACACGATAATGGTCTTGACAATGGCATTACAGGCGGCTCAAGACAATCAACACTGCTCAGATGTATTTCATTATCCTGCAAGTAGCCTCGGATGCCTCTCTTTATGATCCATCTCACTTTCAATTTCTGGGGGTGACGCGTGAGAAGCGCGTCAATGACGGAAAGCCACATGTGGCTTGTACGGATATGCAATTTCCTCCACAACTTGATCCAGATCCAAACCAGGCTTGGGAAGCCGTCAGAGCGAGAGCAATCACAAATGCTTCTGGTCTCTTCAGCGTTATTCGGCCGTTGTTGTAGCGGTGTCTCAATGTTGCCTACTATTATGTCGACACCTTTGTCATGTTGTTGCTAGGAGCATATTCACAATACCACAGTAGAACAGCGAGATACGAGTGCTCCATGAGAGGCACATATCCCTGGTACTGTGTACAGTAGGTGGTAGGTGATGATTTAGGTAAGGACAGGTGGAGGGGAGAGTGTTATGGACAACTGTAGGCACAAACAAATGAGCACCAAGCCTAAGTCAGTCAGCCCGAAACTGCACCCTGGCCGGGACGAATTGTCGGCTCCATGAAAAAGGACCTGCGGCTAACTGGTTCTCCATACTCCATACCTGCAAGCAATTCCTCCACCCCATCACCCATCAACTCATGGCAGACCCGAGTCCTTCTGCGCCCATGAAGCGCGTCTCAAGAGCCTGCATCTTCTGCCGTGCTCGCAAAAGTCGCTGTGACCTGTAAGTTGACTCGATCAAGTTCGGTTTCACATCTCCCACAGACTGCGTTCACTGCGCTTCCGCTGTCGCATGGGTTGGTGGACCCCAAGTTGTCCAGTCGCCTCACATTTCCTTCCTCGAGCATTCTCCCCCAAGCCCGGCTATTCACTGCAATAGCCGCGAGTCGGCAATTTCGAAATGCTTCGCCATGATCACTGACTGGCAGCTACAGAGACGCTTCAGGCGGTCAACCTCCGTGTGGTCGATGCAAAAGAGAAAACCGCGAATGTGTCCTAGGCACATCCAACCGTGGTGGTAGTCGGGTGAGGAAGAAGAATCTCTCCAATACAACCTCCGCAGGCTTATCCCATCCTCCTGCCTTGACACCTCTGCTCGAAATCACAGCAGGACCTCAGTCCGACTCGTTCCTTCAATCTTCTCCTACCCAAGATACTCCTCAGGCAGCAGCTGCTAGAGTGTCGCAAGATGGGATCCCCTCCGGTAACCTGGCAGAAGACGATGACTCGGCGTCCACCGCCGACAGTACCCTAGGGCATACAATACCCAGGAATCCGTCAGATGCATGGCAGCTATTGAAAGATGTGGCCAACCGAGAGGCTGACCACCTACAAGCAACCTCTGGAATGTACAAGGATGGAAATACCTCAAATCAGAAAACGCGAGACGGTCCCGGACTAGAGCCTCGCGGTTCAATCAATGGTATCCATGCCGGTATTTCTACCTACCGCTTGGTAAGAGAAGGCTATCTCGCTCCCGAGCTCATTCAGATGCTGGTCAGACGTTACGCGGAGCATTATCATGCATATCTTCCTCTGGTGCCACGGAAGTATTTCGACCCGGCGCAATTGGATATATTCGCTACCAACGACAAGCATCTGTTGACCGCGGTCCTCACCATCGCATCCAAAGATCTGGTTGAGCAGCCGAATGTGCATGTATGTTGTTCCAGATACATGCATGACCTGATATCAGGGATTGCTGCTGGGCATGATTGCGACGTCGAAGCTGTTGAAGCGCTGCTTCTCCTCGCCGAATGGGAACCCCAAGGGCTGCGCAATCGTATCGTAGCCATAGGGCGAGGGGAGGAGGACCGAAGCGCATGGATGCACGTCGGTATCGCTCTTCGTACAGGGTACTTTCTCGGCCTGGACAGGACTGCTTTTCGACAAGAATCCGCCGAGGAAGCCAGAATCGACGGCCGCAAACGTCTCGCATGGGCCAATTGCTATGTCTCAGACCGTCTCATTTCAGTAAGGATTGGCAAGGCTTTTTGGTCTCGGGGACCCGGACCCATGACTGGGCTCTCTTCTCAAGACTTTCCGTCACTCCAGCCGTTCAGTCCAGGTGACGAGGACTATGCCAAAATCATGCAAGCCACCCTTGACCTCACTCAGCTGTATTCCAACGTGCACGATGTTCTCTACTCGGGCATGAGGACAAGTGGCCAGATGATGCTCATGGGGGATTATGTCAAATATGTGGACGATTTCCGAAACGCCATTGCCCGTTGGAATACCACATGGGGAAAGCTGGAATGCTCACCACACATCAAGGTCACCCTCCAGTTGTCATACGAGTACTTGTGCCTCTACACAAATGCTTTTGTCTTCCAAGCTGCAATATCTCAAGCGATTGCAAACAAGCCCAAGACTGAAGCGCACTCGTTACGGGATCATCTTCGCAAAGCGTTCAGTAATGTTGGGGCCATGCCTGATGCACGCTTCATCTGGGCTAGTGTTGCCGCAGCGAAGGCCTACCTGACTCTGCTGAGTACACAGATCGACCCTGGCAAGTACTTGCGTTATATGCCGCTACGGTATTATCTATACTGCATTTATTCGGCCGTTTTTCTGTACAAGGCGAGGTCATTCGGCGTGATGACGGAGATAGAAGAACGTCAGGTTCGTCACTTGGTCATTCAAGCCATGGATGTACTCAAAAGGGCTTCGGTCTCTGCACAGGATCCAGGCTCGCGCTATGCCCGACTATTGGAGCTGTTGTGGGTGAAGCCCCCCAAAGGTGGGATCCAAGTGCAACAGCCAGTCCAGTCGCCCGCAGCGTCCGACACTCAACTGTCTTCTAGCGGCAGTGTTCGAGTCGATGCGCAAGGATATGTCCTTTACAGCCCGGCAAACGATTTCTCCTGGCTCGATCTCGAGGCTGTGGGCGATTATGTATCTGGTGATCAACTCTCAGGCAACGGCGTCAACCTACTCGCACCTATGGCGGGCTTTGATCCTCCGCCTTCGTTTATGCCACCGACCCAAGGAATGCAATGGCAGCAGCCAAACAACGGCATGAATTGGGACTGGACCGGAAATTTGTTTTTCTAAGCGCAAAGTGCTTTTGGAACCGTCTCGACACCTACACAGTACAGCATATTTTCCTTGCTCTTCTGCCCGCCGGCTTACGTGAAGACGGTATCTCAGCATTGCAATTGTCGGCGATTGTCAATAGCCGACGAAAGCACTTGGCTTCCCCGCATTATCCACCAACCGCGGCGCAGTTTCCGCTGTCGCAACCGTAAGCAACACCATGGGTGGTGTCTTTGGAACAGATCCATGAATACGCGGATGTCGTCTGGTACGGTGTCACACACAAATCAGAGACTGTCCCAACTACAGTCGCATAGTACTCGACCATCACGACGACCGACTAGTGCTTCTTCTTCGTCAACCATGTCTGTTGATAACGAGATCAGGGGGCGATTAGCCCTGATTACTGGTGCATCCGGAGGGTAAGTCGAATCTCTGTCAGGAGAGTATGCGACTGACAGGTGCAGTATCGGTGCAGGATGCGCCCGAGACCTGTACAAACAAGGGTGCCATCTGGCGTTGACGTACTCCAAGAACAAGGCAAGCGTCGACACGCTACTCTCCGAACTACAATCCTCTCCTTCCGATCAGATCATCTCAACACATCAAGCAGATATGGCATCGACACAACAGATGGAGGACCTATACAAGGAGATTGAGGCACAGCATGGTCACGGTCCGGATATTCTGATTGCCAACGCTGGCTATGGAAAGAGAATACCGCAGATCGGTGACATTACGTACGAAGAGTGGGACTATACAATTCAGATCAATCTGCGGGCACCTTTCATCCTTGCCAAATTGGCCGTTCCTTATATGGCTCAACAAGGATGGGGACGCATCGTCATGATTTCGTCCATCGCTGGCTATGGGGGTGGCGTCAACGGCTGCCATTACGCGGCCTCCAAAGCAGGTCTCCTCGGGATGGTCAAGAACTTGGCTTCGAAGCTGGGTAAAGATGGTATTACGGTCAACGATGTGGCACCTGCGATGATTGGAGAGACTGGTATGATTCCCAATGCCAAGTTTCTTGAAGGGACTCCTGGAGATGTCAGAAACATACCTGTGGGTAGGCTGGGCACTCCACAAGAATGTGCAAACGTTGTGACCATGCTATGCAAGACAGGATATCTTACTGGACAGAGTATACTCTTGGCGGGAGGATTAAAGTAGGAACGTCAAAATACAATGTTCCTGCATTCATCCCAGAAGTAATGTCTCCATGGCCTTCACATGCGGCGGGAGCCATGGTCGCGAAACCCATGTCAGTGTGAGGCTTCTCTTCCGTACAGAGGAGACGTGGATGTACCACGATAAGTAGTCACTTTTACGTCTAAATGTACGGAGTATGCCTTTCCTAAGCAGCAAAAAAGATGATGTTCCAAAGAATGATATATCTTTCGACATCTAACTCCTATCGACATCGACCGCAAGTTAGATAGTACGGGAAGATCACAGCCAACCGAGGCAGAGCAAATTCTTGCTCTAATTCAACCACCTAATGGTGGAGAGTAACTTCTTACTCTTTTGATCCTGGGCTTGGGTCTGGCTTCGGACGAATTCTCACGAGCCAGCCAACTAGGCATTGCACCCATTTGAAAGGTGACAACAAATTGATGACTTTAATATATAAATAAACTATGTATATTCATTCACTCACGATACTATCTAGTAGGTCTGGCGCTAAGGTGACACGTAGAGGCGTCGGTTGTATGATTTTATGCTGCCACGTCTATGCTTCGCCGTATCCTGCTGGCGAGCTGGCTTGGCACGCTTGGCTGATGTCGACAATGGGAAGAAGCACAGGGCTGCAACAACTGTGAGCAACCCACATGGTTGCCTGCATTCTTGGGCGATACGATCAATCCAGTTTTATACTCCATAATAGCATCGTCCTCATCATCGTAGTTTTAATGATTCTGACATCTGTTTTGATCATACCGGAGCGCCGATGACATCGTCACAAGACTGAAGTACACCGCCTCTACCTCAATTCCACTAATATCCAGCTATTCCATACTGTGCACCTGTTCTACAATGGACAACCCTCCAACTCCTACCTCAGAGCGCTTCATGGAGCTCACGCAGAACCCTCAGCATCGGATTCCTGACATTCCTCACCATCTGGTCCCCACCGCCAAACTGCTCCATGGTGAGGCGAAGACATCCGCCATCCAGGGCGAGGACATGGTCTCCCGCCACCGGACTCCCTCTACCTTCGACACCGAGAGCCAGTCTCCCTTTCACGCCTCCTCCACAGACCCTCTAGACCTTTCCCGGCGCCTGAAGACTAGGTCCGAGCTTGACCACATCACCGCGAACACGGCTCGCAAACGTAATGCCTGCAACCCTCTGGTCATCACAGGCCGGTCCCCACAGTCAAAGATCACAGAATTTTATGAATCGCAAAACGAACAGATACAGAGGCTCTTGAAGCCAGTGGACGAGCATGTCAGGGAAGCAAGAGACACACATACTGCGAACAACCTACGCTATCAAATTGCTGTATATGGTAGTTTCGTGGCCAACATTATCCTGGCTGTTCTACAGCTTTACGGTGCCATATCATCACGATCCTTGTCGCTCTTCACGACCATGGCCGATGCAATCTTCGATCCCATGTCCAATGTCACGCTGATCGTATCGAATAAGGCGGTGAAGAAAGTCGATGCACGAAAGTTCCCGGCCGGAAGATCACGCATTGAAACAGCTGGCAATATTGTTTTTTGCTTCCTTATGACATCCGTCAGTTTTATTCTGATTGCGTTTTCCGTTCAGGAACTCGTCCGCGGAAACGACAGCACTACTAAGAATTTTCATCTTCCCTCGGTGATTGCTGTCACAGTGGCTTTCTGCACCAAGTTGGGCTTATTCTTGTATTGCTGGGCCTTGAGGAACCAGTACTCCCAGGTTCGCATCTTGTGGGAAGATCACCGCAACGATCTTTTCATCAATGGCTTCGGTGTGCTTACTTCCGTTGGTGGTAGTAAGTTGCGGTGGTGGCTGGATCCGGCCGGTGCGATTGTGCTCTCAGTCCTTATATCGGTTCTGTGGCTGCAAACGGCGTACTCGGAGTTCCAGCTCTTGATTGGTATCACGGCCGACACTGAGACACAGCAGCTTATTACGTATGTGAGCATGACGCACAGTGATCGGATCCGGCAGATTGACACGGTGCGGGCGTGGCATTCGGGTCCTCGACTCGTTGTTGAGGTGGATGTGGTCATGGATCCCGAGGAGACTCTGCGCGTCTGTCATGATATAGCAGAGGAGCTGCAGATGAAGCTGGAAAGGCTTCCGGATGTTGAGAGGGCATATGTTCATATTGACTTCGAAACAGACCACCGGCCAGAACACTTCTTGAAAAAGGAGCTGTGAGCTGGGATGAATGCAAATGGTAGGGCCAATTCCAGTGACGGCCGTTTATGACCTAGTCTACCTTATCAGGCGGTCTCTCAATCTATCATACTTATCTTTGCGCAAACTTCCCTTCTACCAGCTTGGGAGCTACTCGGTCCACTACACAAAATTCCAGTCACGGGTACCGGGACCTTTTGGCTCATGACACAAAGTCCACAAAGCCGTAGGCAAGATCTGGATTAGATCATCGCCAACGGGCATATTCATGGCTTGTGGCAACCTCTGATCGGCTCATTGCTCAGCCTCACAGCCAGGTTGAATCAGGCTGTCGACACTGCCCTAAGGGAGCCCTTTTGCAACTCGCAAACAGCGAGTTCCGTCACCACAGATCTCAGTTATCAGGTCACCTCTGGCTCCGTGCAATGCTTTCCTCCATCCAGTTGCGAAAATCTTTTCTTCCCATCCGGACTTTTATCGTCGCGACGAGAAGATCCCGGTGCTACCTCAGTGATACAGGCCTCTAGTATTACTTAAGACGTGAGTCTGGATATTCCTATAGCTCGATAAGAGCCCACATACAGCCGAAATGAAACGCAACTACATTGAGTTCACCGAGAATAACGAGCTTACTCTATCTCGCGAATCAACGCCCCCACGACGAGATCGCGAAAGATCCAGGGCCGTGAACGATGATACCATCTCCCTCTCATTAGACAGAAGGCCGCTACGCTCCGATACGCTCTGCGCCGCCTGTGCTCGAGTTGACCTCGACAATATCTTCTCTCTCATCGAAGCAGGGTATCTCTTTTATGATGATCGACCTGTCTCATCTCACCGAATGTTTTTCACACCAAATTGTGCCTTCTGTGATATGGCTAGATCCTTATTCAAGGTTGACCTAGGCGACACAGAATCTCTACCGGAAGATGGTCCGAGCTCCTTGGAATCTTTAGTTCAGGATTAGCTGGGTGATGAAGCACGTTTCCGTGGCTGGCATTTCAGAGCGTTCCTGAGTATAGGGACTACCAGTCTTCTCGAAAACCACAATTACCGACCGACTTTCTTTCTTGCAACGGCACGGGGCAGATCGACCGGCCCTTTGGAGTACAGGGAATTCCACAAATCCACGTTGAGAGGCTTCGTTTCTGTGCAAGACTCGAGACTACCTGAGAACGGCATTCGGACAGTCCCATTCCCATGCGTCGAGGTCAACCAGCACGAGGCGGATTTCTGTCTGATGCATAAATGGCTCGAACAAAAGTGCCAATCGCAAGTACCGATTACGTCAGATTTTCAGTGCCGAGTCATTGATTGTGAGGACCAAGTGGTGTGCAACATGACCCTTCGATGAAGTATCTGGCGCTCAGCTACGTTTGGGGGAAGTCAGGGCTGGCTCATAGGGGGGAGACGCTGATCAATGCTCCACAAACAGTCAAAGATGCGATGTATGCGACCAAGCGCCTCGGCCAGCGCTATCTTTGGGTGGACAGATATCGTATCCCTCAGGAAGGCAACGAAAGGCATGTCCATATCGCGAACATGAATTCAATATATGAAGCAGCCTATGTCACCAATCGTTGCTGCCAATCCGGGCCCAAAAGATTCCGCACATTCTGGCTTGTACGGAGTGTCGAAGCCGCGCAACTTCCAGACCAAATTCAATCACCATGGCAGAGTTTTCGTGTTAACGCCCCCGCATATATCATACTGGTTGTCACAATCGGTCTGGGCGACCCGAGGCTGGACTTACCAGGAAGCAGTCTTGTCAAGCCGATGTTTGTTTTTCACACCAGATCAAGTCTACTATGCCGACACCTCTAGCTATCAGGCTGAGAGTTTTCGACATCCGCTCCCGGACCTTCCTATACTTTCCCATCAGACTCTAGGTCCTGCATTATTCGAATCTGACTGTCGAGTCCTCCAAGGCATATTTTTACTGCAATGTCGCCATTTCTTACGATCATCATTTACTGGAGTATACGAAAAGGAGCTTAACGTTTCCTTCGGATGCACTGAATGCCTTTCGTGAGATTCTAGCAAAGACTGAAGGCGCGAGCATATGGGGCATACCATTCATGCCCTTTCAGAACGGCTTTGCCCCTAAACCGCTACCCAATGACCTCTACTTTGCCAAGAACTTGTATTGGACTGGTGAGTCCAACTGCGAAGAGCGCCAGGAGCGACTAATACACTTTCCGTCATGGTCATGAGCTAGCGTGAGTAAGATCAGAAGCGTGGTAGGTTTTGACGACTGGGAGCCGGTCAAGAATCATTCCCGCGCTCGTTTTGCTGTTGAGCGAGCCGATGGCAGCGTTGTGGCGCTGTGCCGTTTGATATTGGATTGCGCAAAATCGCACCAGATCATCCTGGGAGAGACGTATTTTTTGCATGTCACCAGTTGGATTTTCCGCGCGACTGTCAAGCTGGACGAACGAAGTCAAGAATGCCATGTCACACGACTGCAAGCCCCGGGCGGCCAAGATCTGATACTGAACCCTGAGACTCTAGTGAGAATCCATTTCGACGTACCGGGTAGCAGCTCGGCAATATTTAAAGTCAAGCCTTCTGTTGTCGTTTCTGCTGTCCTCATGGAGATGTCTCATTTCTTGGAGAGAGCGTATTTCCTGTTGCTCGAACGTGGAAACGACTTTTCCAGGCGCGTTGGCTTGCTTGAGATGATCTCTCCTCGTGAGACGGTTCTAGATCAGCGGTTTCTGGACCGAATCAACGAGGCTGCGAAATTATATTCACCTGTCACAATCCGTTTGAGATGATAACAGACCCTGGTGGCATGTCAATGGTGCCGTGCTGGGAAAGCGAGACGAGGTCGGGTCCGAAGTGATCAATGTTGAGACCAGACACTTTTCTTAAGGATGATTGGCCGTCAATTCAAAACTATCGCAGTCAAGGAGCTATGATCAAGAGGAGATATTCGACTCAGGTAGATATGATGAGTGGTGGTCACCACGCCGCAATAGCCGTCCAACTGGGACGCGTCCATCACCAACAGCGTCTGCTCCAGTTCCGGCTGCTTCAAGCAAAGCTCGCGCCCGAAGACAAGTCCTCATGCAGTTAACCTGCCATTTACTACCCTGATATGGTATCCTGGAACGGGACTGGGGCTCCATGGCAAGTCGTGTTGACTTTGGGCAAGGTTCCAGAGAGATACGACACAATGTTTCCCGCGAGGCATTCTGATATGCTTATGCTGGCAGTATGCTGGTCTACCTGTTAGACGGCGTTCATCAGCGAATGGTGAATACGTACGCCAACTGATTCCTGCATCAGGATAACCGACCCAGGAAAATATTGAGACATTTTGTAGGCCCTGGGAAGTCAGTATTCAGATTTCAAGGTCGTCTTACTTTTCCAATGACTGGTACTTACCCTCTGGGAGGATTCCGGGAAGTCGGTGTGACAGGGTCAATTGTGCTGGCGACGTATAGAATGGGAAAGGAAGTGTTGTATGTGGTCGGGTGCGAAAAGCCTGCTTTTGTTCGTGAGCAATCTTGAAGTATTTCCCTATCAAACACGATCACCACAACGTACCAGAAAAGCTCCGCGTCTTGGACGTGGTAAGGTTCAAAGATCTGCAGAGGACATTGTTGGAATTTGTCGGCCATGCATCCCCAAAATAGTGGCTCTGATTCTCGAGGACGCCGACATAATCCTGGTACGCTCTCAGAGTAGACAAATCGGTTGCACGATAGCCGTCAACGCACTTGACAATGCTTTCGACATCCTTGGCTTCGACGACGTTTTCGAGGCCACTCATCACCTGGGAGCCGTCCCCGTTCTCGAGAGCAACGAGAGCATCCGCAAGAAGGGGGAATCTTTGGACAGGAGCGTACACGGTCCACAGCAGCAGCTGTTTCAGATCTGTGTACGTTGCAAGTCCCGGTTCGCTTTGGCCATCGAGACCCGTCACAGGCACAGGATGGCTCTGGAGCGTGGACAAAATGTCGTCCAACCGTGCGGTGATGTTCTGCGGTGACGGGCCCCAAAACGAACAGTTCTTCGGACCTGCAAGATGGCAGTATGTCGAAAAAGTACCAAGAGCTTGGTCCGACTGGTAAAGACTCGACTTCCACGCGCCATTGAAGTAATCCTGGCCGTCCAAGACTCCGTCGAGCACCATGCGTCCCACGTTCTGAGGATAAAGGGCAGCGAAAGTCGAACCCAGCACGGTCCCATAGCTGAGTGCATAGTACCACACTTTGGCTTCCTCTTCGGGCTTCCCGGCCGCTTTCTGCTCGGCTTTGGCATATGAAAGCATGTCTGTGGCGACTGCCGGTGTGCTCACATATTCACCACTGGCATTCTTCTGGAACGTCGTACTGCACCATTGTCCGAAGAGGTCGGCGGAGTAGAACTGCTGATCGAGGGAGGTTGAAGACGAATTGGCCGTCACAGTGAAGAACAGGTCCTTGTATGCGGCTCTTGCATCAGGGTCGTTGGGAAAGCAGTCCACGACAGGTCCGCTGTTGTTGACTCCCCGTGGGTCGAAGCCAACGATGTTGTAGTTGGGTCCGAAAACTTCGACCAGCTGCGACCCTGTCGATAGAAGAAAATCAACTCCCGACCCTCCTGGGCCACCTGTAGAGACTTTAGCCTGTGGGACATTGTCTGCTCTTTCATGCAGGTATACCTTGGTTTATCAGAATGTTAGGAGCTGTGTCGGAGTTGTTCTGAGCGGCCAACTTGATGAATGCTATGGAGGTGCTTCCGACGGACGGGTCCTTGTAGTCGAGAGGGACTTGAAGTCTCGTGCATGTGTAGTTCTCAAAGCATGATGTCCAGTTCAAGGATGTTGATGGAGTCAGCTGGCGTGAGTTAGTACACAAGGGTCGGTTGTTGATCACGTCCTCCAGGATAGTACTTACTTTGTTCCAGTCGAAGCTCGCTTGCGTTCCAGCAACAGGACTGGCGCTCGTGTAGACCGTTCCTGGATGGTAAAGAGACAAGGTGTACGCAAAGGCCCAGAGGAAGAGGCCAATGCTCGAATATGTGCTCATGTTTATCTTGAATCACCAACACCCGTTGGAAGATACCATGCGAATATTAGTCTGACTTCAGAATCGCTCTTCTTATGCCAGCTGTCTCTCAGGGAAAACCTGAAGATCGTGAGTATAGAAAGCGAGGTCTTGGAGCTACTCACCGCACAGATATATATATATATATATATATATAATCCCCGAACACTCGTCGCCCTCGACTCTTTCGCTGACTCATCACTCGCTGCTTTGCTCTCCCGCTAACGACTATTTAGTCGAATCGCTCCCTCGTCCGCTCTCTTCCACTCCCTTCGTCTCTTTCGTCCTCCCCCTTCACTCCCTTCTGCTCCCTCACGGCTCTGGCCCGCTCCTGCCGTACTCCCTCACGTGCCGGTGAGGCTCCCGTTTGGGCTCCAGTCTCACAGGCGCCAACGTCGTGCACATCCAGCCTTGTGGTAACTTTACCCGATCACATCTATGAGGGCCCGTTTCGGCTCTGATGAAAGGTGGGATCTCTGAGAGCATGCCCTGCTACGTTGCTGGACGGGGTCAACTGAATCCCCCCGTTCTGCACCGCAGGACAGGCCAATGTTGCCCTTCTTCTTTCCCTTTCACTGTCCTCTATTCCTTTCCCTCTCCCTCTGTCTGTCCTCACATTTTCCCCTGCCCTCCCTCTGCTTATCGTGTGAATCACTCCTTCTATCCAGTCTTCTGACTACCTTAACGCACCTTACTGGCGTTTCGTCGTACTTTGCCCCTCCATCCCCAGTCGTCTGCTTTTCCTTTCCTCTCGGCGCTCGTCTTTCCTTGGGCGCTGCCCGCCCTGCTCGCTGCTTCCCAATGCCGAAGAGAAAGAAAACCGCGGCGGAAGTCTTTGATGAAGCGGAGGAGAACGGCTGGGAGCCGATTGCGAACGCCGATGTGAATGGCGATCCGGTCAGCAAACCTATTGAATCTGGGACTGAGCTGAACTACGATCGAATGACCGTCCTCTGGGACGAGTAAGTTCTTCGCCCCACCCGGGGTCGTGCTGGGCTTTACTAACAAAGGTGGACTTTGGTATATAGGTATGCAAGGCGGAATCCTGGTGTTACCCCCTACGATTTACGGTCTGCGAAGCATTTCATGGAGGGTATTGTAAAGGGGAGCAAGACTGGCCTGAGTCTGTGCTACATGAAGCAAAAGTGGACCGACTTTGGCGCCGCTTGGAAGCGACGACCTGCCAACCGAAAGATCCCCCACGAGGTGTCGGAGTCGGTGTACTATGTTCGTATCCTCTCTCTTCTATCCCACTTCACTTCCGTTTCTGTCGACGAAGCTGAAATTTCGTATTAGTACATCGAAACGGTGTTGAAGAAAAGGTATAACCTCTCAACCGAACGACGGCAGCCGCATTTTATGACGGTGCCCCATTTTATCGTTCTGATTAAACATGAGTGGCAAAAGGATTGGCACCAGTATACACATCCGAGAAGCCTGGTTCAGAACCACGCGGCTTGTACCCTCTTCGTTTACACGCCGTCGAGGGTGGGAGAAATCTTCGAATCCAACATGCGCCGCGGCTCCGGACGAGGGTTACTATATAAGGTAAGAACACCGTGCCATCTAAACTGGGATGGGCCTGTACTGACCATTCGGACGTAGGATATCGTCTTCGTCGTCTTCAAGAATGAGAAAGGAGAGGCGGAACTCGCCGTGCGGGCCACGCGCGACGCGAAAGGCTTCACCAATAAGCCACACAAAAGGTCAATCGACCAAAAACTTCCTTTGCTTCGCTTTCAACGGGCATCCTTCTGACATTGAACTTCCACCAGGCCACAGCATGGCATGTACGAGGATATGCAGCCGCTATACGCGAACCCGGTCCTGCCTCTACTGGCCGTCGCCCTCGCCGATGACGCCTTCCAAGATTACCTCACCTTCGAGGAAATCGAGGCGATCCCGCCCCCGGTCGATGGGTCCTTACACCATCTTCGAATTCGGAAAGAGCTGCACCAGGTGCCCTTTTTCCGAACTATGTCCCCCGAGGGCCCGACGGGAAAGATTCAACCTGCAGTTTCCTTCAGCACTGGGCTGGTCGGCTTGGGCCATCGAGCCGGGTATGAAGAAAATATCCGGGTTCACGATTTTAGGAGGGAGGTCCTGGTTAAGGCCGACGGTAGGTTCTGCTCAACGAGGCCGCTGGAACGGAAAGTGCTGACTTCGGGCGCAGACAACGGCTACTCGATCGCCGAGAGGATGAAGTTTGCCGGCCACGAAAATTCCGACACCTTCTTCGGCTCGTACATGCCTCAAATCAGCACCGTCGACGGGCAATCCAGCTACTGGGGAAAAGCGCGCCGCACTATCTACCTCGAGGGCTTCCGGGGCCTCTCGCTGCAGCACCACCCGCAGATGCTGCAATCGCTGCCGGCCAAAGTGGAGGCGAATCTGAAGGAGCGCGCCGACTTTCTCGCACTCAACGAGGAGATCGAGTCCCTCGGAGAAAGAATCCGACGCCTTCCAGTCGGGCACGATTGTCAGCGAGAACGGACCCGCCGGGAGGAACTGTACTGGCAGAAACGCCAGATGGTGTCGGAAGAACTCAGCAGGTGGCAGAAGATCCAACCCCGGAAGGTCAACCAGGACACCAAAACCGAGGCCTCGCCTGTCGCATCGTTACCCAGCTTCTTCAGCCGCGTCCGGCGGCTGGATCCGCCTCGTGACCGTCTGGCCTCCTCTCTTTTTCTCGACGTGCCTCTCCGGAGCCCCGAGGGGCGGGCGGCTCTCCAAGATATGATTACCCTGTGTCAAGAGAACCCCAAGGTGGCCTACCGCCCGAGTCTGCGTCCAGAGAGCGGCCGTTGCCCCGTATCGGCGTGCGCGGTAGAGATGGAAAGGTGGGTGACTCCTCTAACCTCCCCCGGGGATTTCTTCGATTCCCGTTCCGCGAACGGCGCCTAGCTGACTATGTTAACTTCGACAGCCTCCGTCTCGCGGCCCGATGGGATCACATTTATCGATGCCATGAAGCCAGTCTCGCAGCCAGACACGGCTCTGCCGAGCTGTGCTTCCACTGTGACGAATGGATCACTGGCAAGGAGGGCTGGCGCGAGCATTGCCGGCGCCATCTGAACGACCTCGAGTCACTCCCAGTCCAGTGGAATCCCCTGATCTTCCGTCAAACCTTGGCCGCAGCTGGTCACTGCCCTTTCTGCCTGTTCAGCACGCTTCTCCCGCCCGACGAGCGGTTCCGGCAGTTCACGAAAAAGCTGCCCTGGCAGCAGCATCTGGACAGACATTTTGACGGGCTCGAGAAGAAGGACGGGCTCGCTCTATCGGACGAGGTAAAGGCGATGCCGTGTCCTGACCCGCGATGCGCCCTCTCCTTCGACACCGTCGTAGATCTCCAATATCACGCCCAAGACACCCACTGTTATAAGCGGACCAAAGCCAGCACAAACAAGCGACGTTGCCGTCCCAATCGACCGCGGTCGAAAGCCGAGGATAGCTTCAACGCCTTCAGCGAGTCCGTCTACTCTTCTGACTTTCCAGAGCGTAATCACGGCCAATCCGACTTTGTCGAGGAAGCCGTAGCGATGTCCAATTCCGAGACCACCGACCCTGCTGTCTCCCTGAAAAAGTACTTCGACGCTCAGCTGTCCTCAACCGACCCGCAGCTGAGTGAGGCAAATACTTCCATCGACTCCTGCAGCGGCCCACGCCCAGACCTACCGATCGACCGAAGTCTTTCCGATCTGGAGATGACGAATTCCGCCTCGCCGATGGCACTTGGGACTTCCGACCCCTCCTCTGAACGCAAGTACAGTTCGACCAGTCACAGTCCACCGGGATCGGAACCTTGCACGTCAGAGGCGGTGGAAGCGCTATGGCCCGTCGAGCTGCCAATCCTGCCGAGCTGGGCGGTCACGGATGCGACGGCTCCAACTCCCTCGTCGGCGGGATCCCAGCAAATGATTGGTATCACAGTCAGCAAGGTGCCGGACGCTGCCACGATGCAAACAGTCCTAGAGCCTCGCCCTGCAGTAGGTCAGTGGCTAGATCTGAAGGCGGGAAATCTTCTGCCCACGGGAGCAAACAAAGTGGACGTTCGAACAGCGGAGGATGCTCTGGCGTTCAGCGGCGACAAATGTGCTGACCTCGACTGTGATTTACTCCCATCCTATTGCGCAACCCCTAATGACGCGATCGATTCCCTCGAGCCAGGAGACGTCGATGTCGACGCCATGTTTGGTCAGTATTTATGCTCGCCTTCGCCCTCGCCCTCACCTTCGCCAACGCCCACACCGACACCCACCCCTTCGCCGGACGACACGGCCAGCGAATTGAGCGGAGCAACGTTGTTCAATGCCAGCCGCGATCTGTCTAGTAGTTGCTCGAAGTCATACACGGAGACATCACGGAGCCCAGCTTCAGAAATCTCGCCAGAGAATGAGACAGCTCGAGATCAAGAAGACCCTTGCCGCTCCGCGAAAAATGGGTCTCGCATCCATCTGCAAGTCAGCCAGCCTGAAATCACGCTCCGCCTTAACTTTCAGAACAGAGGCCTGTCTAGAAAGGAAAAAAAAGGAAAGGGCAGGATGAGGGGAAGGGGGAAATCCAGGAACTAAGAGGGACAGATCCGTTGAACGTATCGGTCTAATTATGGACTTGAACACGGCAACTTCTTTAGCGTCCTCCCCATTACTTATGCTGTACATTGGGATGACAGCTTCACTGCTGCTGAATGTATCACGGGATGTGGAGGAGTCCAAGGCTGCTATTCACACTATCGTAGCAGAAACATCTGAGAAGGATCAACGGTATTACGTCAGACGTCCACCGTAGCCAGGTGGAGAAAGAGTCGGTCGGGAGCTAGGAGGATGAATTTTGGTCCAATATTGAAGGATACATCGTGATAGTCGAGGTTCATGAGTTGGAACAGCAGGGTTTCAAAACCGTTCTAAGGGTAGGCTCAAGTGGATCTTGAGCTTTACGTACTGTACAAACAGCATTACAGTAGTGTTACAAGCAGATTCAGACTCGCTGAGCTGTTCGAACTGCTGTCCCTATGTCAAAATGTTGTAGAAGCCATGGTCTCTCATACGCTGTTTTTGAGCCTGTCCTCCCCGTGTGTACAGAGCCGATAACAGTAGATCCAGCGTAACCTTGCACAAGAATCTTCGTAAAATGCCATTATTCGAGTGAGGTGAGAGAGTTGTACGTGAAGATGCAGAACGCCAGCTGGTGACCTCGCATTTCTGCCTTGAAATTCCATTGCTCAATCGTCCTCCATGCAGCCATTCCTGAATGGCGCGCTTCTGATGACGCGGAAGAACCATTCCAAGTCCAGTGGAGGCATGAACGCGTGAAGGGGAACGGATAGCATTCCTAATGCTGCAAGATGTACGACGTCTAACTAGCGGTGGGATCTCTGGAATAGAGGGTAATACCTTCAGTATTGCTGCCTGTCAACATCAGGATTCTCTCAGTCGAGAAATTCTTCGACGGGACCATCTCGCCGAGTGCCTGCCTCTGAGATCAATTTCCTACTCTTTTTGTCTACTAGAAGACTGTCGAACTAGTTTGCGGGGAGAAGGGCGATTAAGCCTCAAATAGAGTTGTCGAGACGGAACCAGATGTTCTTAGAGGGGGTAATTTCCCGCTATGTTGGCATCATGTCCTCGAGTTACTTCTACCATTGCGATGGCAATCACAGCGGAAGAGATTGGTTTGAGTGACGTGGCATTTTGATACGAACAGTACCTCAAAAATTATGTACTACTGCGCAGTCTGCACTCATGTGGCGAAGAAGCTGAGTTTAAGCCTGTCGTACTAGGCACGTCTACAGAAGAGGACCGAAGGGCTCACAAAAACTTCCAAGAGGGGTTAACTGTGCACTCGTAACTGGCCAGCCTCATTCACATTGTCATTCTGATGCATTCTGAACCCGCTGCTTAATGTATCTCCTCAATTTCTCTAGTATGCCACTATAAGTTGCAGCACATGCCTCAGTCTCGATGTGTTGAAGCAATCCACTGACTTTTGGGAAGCTGTAATCGCAGCTGGGACACCGGTATCTGAGCTCTTCGTTCCAGCCATTAGTATAGACGTAGCTTTGGTGGCACTCGAAAGCCCATCGATCAATCTCGATTTGCGTAACTTCTGAATCACAGCGCGTCGACTCGAGGTGGATGAGAATTCCGGAGGGGCTTTTGAAATTGCGGTCGCAACCAAAGCACTTCTCCAGACGAGGAGCGTGGAATTTCGCGTGCTTTGCAAGTGTTAGTAAAGTACGTCTCGCTACGAGATACCTTTCCTGCCAACGTACCATTAAGAGTTCATTTTCATTCTGGAATTCTTCGTTGCATATTGAGCATCGATTATGCCGCTGAACGCGATGCTTCCCTAAATTGGCAAAGTCTGATTGACAGTCGTAGCAGAACGAGTGCTTGGTTCCCATATGAGTTCGAAGGTCGGTTTCTTCAGGCTCGTCGACGCTGCATTTTGAACAGACCCAATGATTATGCGAGTCACGGATATGTTGCTCGTATGCCTTTGAAGAGATAAACAGCCATTGACACCTTTCGCACCATTCGCTTTTATGACATCGCGCGTTTCGACAATGCTGAAGCAATGCTTCTTCGGTATCAAATTCACGCTCGTCACATGACATGCAGACGAATTCATTCTCCTCGGCGCTGATTAGGGCCTGGTTCTGCCGCGCCATTTCTCGGGCTCAATCGCGTGTGAAGTGAAAGGCGGACGGAGGAGGAGGAGCTCAGATATGGCATTGATCAGGTAGGAGTCATATGACAATCCATCAGACACTGTGGAGAACGAAATTGTGATAACTTAGGTGATTCGTCCAGCGAAGCACTATTCTTGCAGAGGGGTACTTTAGTCAGTTCTCATTGCATGAACCAGCGGACGAAGCATTCTTTATCACACCGGTTATGAAATACACCAATAGTCGTTTGCCACATAATTTCGAGTTCTAGGTTTATCACATGCTCTAGCTACAGTAATGACATTCTTGCTCGGACATCGACAATCAGAAACTTCCTTTCCAGGCTGGGATCTACCTTATATACCCCTGCGCAGGCTGCCCCGTCGTCTTACTGCGCTTTTTCCAAAACCTACTCACAGGTCGCTTGGAAAATTCTCAGTAGAAACATAATCCAAAGATATACCCACAGCCTCTCCAAACCGCCATGGTCCAAGACGGCCAGTTCAGAGATGGGGAGTCGTTCTGCCGCTGTGATTTGCCCGCGAAACGGCTGACATCTCAGAAGGATGCTACGAAAGGGCAAACATGTGTGTCACTCTCATCCGCCCCTTCGCAACAGCTAACCGGCACAATCAAGTCTTGTGATGCCCGCGATCTTTCCAGGACCAGTGCCGATTCTTTCTTTGGGAAAGGGATGAACCTGCTGCCAGAGAGAAAAGCACCTCACATAACCCACAAGTTCCCCGAACCCCCACAAAGGTTGTGTCTGTCAACAATGAATCAATCCCTCGGCCTTCGATGCTTGCAACACCGCCAGGCCAACCTTCCGCAGGCAAGGAGAGGATTGCACCTCTTCACTTGCCAACCCCGAACTCCAATGGTGACACTTCTCGAGAAACGTTCCTGAGGTCGCTTGATATGTCACCCACGCCACGGAGGTTCAATAGCGCAGAAAGGCATGGCTGATGATGACGTTGACCTGAGCACATCTGTACTAGAAGTGTTAAGGTCAAACAATGTGGATATTAGAGCCTCTGTCGAAGTACTTCTTCGACATACAATTAATTCAACAATCGGAGTATATGAGAGCAAGTTGCAAACATCTAAACAAATGATCTCCGAGCTCTGCAACAGATTGAATGGCCTGGAATATCCTGAAACGAGAGTCCACGCTTAAGACAGGGGAAACAGGCTAGGATTGTACGATATGGCGGAGTTCCGTTGTTGTGTAAAACTTCTCGGCCTATCCGAGGGCGACAATGACATGACAGTTGTTAACATGGCCAAGGTACGGCAAGATAACGCAATGAGGTAGAGTGCAGAGAACGGGAGCAGCAGGAGAGACCAATGAGTAAGCAATGAAAATTGACCACCCCATATACGGATCAACGACAGTAGGATCTAGTTTATCTTGCCAGTTGCAACAGAATGAAGCACAGAGGACACTATTGTACATGTAGCAAGCCCTCGTCCAGAGAGCACGGTATAGTAAAGTCATAGAACGACAGACAGATCAATGCAAGCATTCCTCGGATAGCTCAAGATACCCAAGGTTCCCTTTACTTCTTTGTAACGTAGTCCGGGACATCTCTGGGTAGATGAATATGGGTGGGTTTGGGGAGTGGCTGATTTCTTCGGTCCAAGTACCGGACAGTTATGTGTGGCCTGGGATCTGATCTGCTACTATGTGGTCCGGTCCTTTCATTGATTAGCACCTGGTTTTCGACTAGCAATAGTCCGACATCGTCTTACAGAATAATTGCTTTGGCAGCACTACTGGGTGTGTCGCCATAAGTTTTGACGAGGTCGACGATATATGCCCTGGCATCAGGCTTATTCCTGTACAGCGTGGCGTTCCCCCATTCCACTGTTAGATTCGGATTCGCAGGCATGATAAACAACACAGGAGACAAAAATTAACAGCAAAGTATGACTCGCTTGGAATTACTCAAGTTCGATTAACAGAAAAGTCTTGATTCGCCCTTTCTTTGTAGATGCGGCACTCTGAAGAGGTATCTAAGGTTCTTATAGACTATCGAAAGGTCTGATGCGCGGCCCTTCCTGGCGCTGTGGTCTGAGGTAGGGTGTCTAATGAAAAACGATAATAGTGGTTGTTCAATAGACTTGGACTGCACCCATTGATTTGACACCGCAACCGCGCGAGAAGTTCAAAAAAGTTCTGCAAATGCAAATTCAGCCTACAAGGCGACCGCGACGATGTCTCACCTACTCTCATTTCGCTGTACAATAACAGCAGCGATAGGCCTTGCCCCGTATTGTGACCTGATAGCTGTTTCAAGTTATTCGAATTTAGCCTCAGGGCGGTTAGGCACCGGGATATGCCCTATATTTCTACCTAATAATAGAAGTTGGACAAGGACCAATGAGCATCGTGCTGTGCAGAAGGACGGGAAAAACTGCCGCCGCCTAGGTACCGGTGCGGGCAACAAGGAGTAGGGCCGAGCACTTCTACTACGATTGGCTGGTACATATATCCAGCTTTGCTCGCCTGGCAATTTTTCTCACTTCTTAAAGCTGACCAGGTTTTCGGATGATTGATATATTACATCCGAAGGTGGACTTTCCTTTCGGCTGGATGCTTCATCTAATATCTTTGCAGCATTTCCGGCCACCTTCGTACCCAGACAATGACCTCGATGCCGTCAACCCCTTCGGCAACTTTGCCGCAATGCGAAAACGAATGGCGATTCCACGACACTGGCTATCCAAGTGAATGGGCAGAGACATATCGACCTGGCGGGTTCCATCCCGTTAACTTGGGTGACACTTTCAAGGATGGACAGTACCGGGTCATCCGAAAACTAGGCTATGGTTCATTTTCAACCGTCTGGCTGGCAAGAGACACAATGTCGGTGACGACCGATGACCTCGAGAGTTGGAGAACACTAATTCTAATGTTGCTTGTAGGAACTCACGTTATGTGGCTTTAAAGGTGATAGGTGCTCAGGCTTCTCTTAAAGCTAAAACTGAGCTCTCGATTCTAAAGAGAATCAACGAGTGCCGCTCGAAAGATCCGCTAACTCAGTACATTCTGATTAACCTGGATACATTCCAACACTTGGGACCTAATGGCGCTCATCTCTGCCTAGTGACTGAGCCCATGGGACCTACCGTTGCTTCTTTGGCGGAAGAACTCACACCTTTGGAAGAGTGGAAAGTTAACATTCCCTATCCGAAGCTTATAGCGAGGCGGATTCTAAAACATACGTTGCTTGGGCTTAAGTTTCTGCATAAGAACGGCATTGTTCACGCTGATTTGCAGCCTGGGAATCTCCTTTCTACCATTTCAAATATTGATCAACTGAGTGAAGGGGACTTACGACAAGATCTGTCAGGTCAAGGAAGAAATCCCGCACCTGAGGCCGTTCGACGACTTGACGGGCTAGAGGATAAATGGGCTCCTCGTTACCTATTTCTAGGCCAGTCACTTATCAAATACGCCAAACTTGGTCAAGAGATGCAAGTTAAGATATCAGATTTCGGCGCTGGTAAGGACTTTCTTTGTCTGCTTTTTTTTTGTTTTTTGAATATTTCGGAAGGCTAATTTTTGTATAGCATTTTGGGCTCAAGAACCTCCCGATTCAACCGTCATCCCCACTGCCCTTAGATCTCCAGAGTTGATTTTGGGTGGAAAGATCGATTCAAGTATTGACATCTGGAGTTTTGGCTGTCTCATCTTTGAACTGCTGACAGGAGTTCCATTATTTTCCGTTATGGTGCTCTTTGAAGACGACCGAAAGACGACCGATGATGAACATCTTCTCCAGATGAACGACATCCTAGAGCCCCTTCCAGATACCTGGCTTCAGGAAAAGTGGCCGCGAGCTAAAACCTATTTCGGCCCTGGGCGGCAAAGGCTGGGCCCACGTCCTGACGATCAAGACGAACCCTATATCGATGACCCTTTGGAGGTGCGATTCGAGGAGCATAAGCCGAACGATATTGATGATGCGGAGGCAGGAGTCATTACGTCACTCCTTCGAAGTATTCTGAAGTATGAGCCAATGCAAAGACCGACTGCGGAGGAACTGTTGAAGCACCCTTGGTTTCAAGAGTGATACTATCCTCTTCCGAGTTCGAATTGACCTCATATATTTGCGAGACACACGGACAGACTGCCACGTTGGAGGGCACTGCGAATCGTGGAAGCACTTAGTGACGATACCACGCGTACGATGGGCGCTGCAGTTGAGCTTCCGCCGCTGCTTTCACTTACATGCACGAAAGCTATCGCCGTCGTCAATAGGCCTAAGTATGGTATCTCCATACTTACAACCCTCTCTCCTTCGCACGTCAACAATCTCATTGTATCGAGATCGACCTCGTCGGATCGAGATCCTCGTACAACCCGGGAACAACATGAGTGCTACAATGACCAGGGCACGGGAGAGAGTGATCGACTTTTCCAACGACAAGGGGCCGTCCTATACGCTCGGCCAGACATTGCAAATTTGTTAGCACGCTATTTCCGTCCTTCGCCTTCTCATCTTCTCATTCCCGGAGCACGTCGAGAAAGAGACAAAGGCGTTGCGCAAACCACTTCACGAACTCATCGAGCTTAGACTCCCTGACCTCCGGGCTTCGGAGCAAAAGCCACCAGGGCGTGATGTACGCAAACTCAGCAGGAGCCACCTAAGGAAATTCCCAATCGACGACACCCATGATATGAAGATTTTGCAGATCAACAAGGACCATAACACCAAGGCTGATGTATATTTGCGACCCCACCAACATTTCCTTTTGGAAGGAGCCCGTTACGGAAGCCCTCCTTTTTCGTGTTAACTTAGGAAGGGTACAGTAATAAAACGGTCTACTGAGTTCTCGGCGGGTCGACTAAGTTCGAAGGGGCCGCTTTGGGGCTTCAAATGTTGAACTTGAGCTGGGGGGCTGAAAGGGGTAGATGATTGAAAAGGGAACCCGAAAAGTTCCCATTTTATCCTGAAGCAGTGTTAATATTTACTGCTCGCAGAGCTGGCTTCTTATTTTTCGGCATACTGTAGACCTTCCTGAATCCACGTACTGGGAAATAATCTCTTCAAAGGGAAGGAAGACACAAATAGGGATTGTGTTCCGCAAATGGCAAACCGTCCGTCTAAGAACCAAAAGCGAACCCAGTGGAATCGGAAATGTCGAGAAAAGTTAGCGGCAAATATCCGTAAGATCCACCAACATCTGGTCGGTCCTTCTGGTAACGTCTCTCTAGACAGCAGGCTTGGAATTACGGTCAAGCCCTCGCAGATACGGCTCAAAACAAGCGACGACGACCCATATACATGGGAAAAAACCGAAGCAATAAGTTACCTCTTTACAAAGAACCTGAGTGAATTTTCCATTAAGTCTCTCCAAAAACTGTGTGAATGTATCGACGATAACTGCGTCGCCGCAACTTGGAAGCCTTCTAGTAAGGCGTCTCGGACAGCCCTCATAGGAACTACGCAGGTAGAAACACCCATTGTGGAGGCTTTTCACCTAGGCTATCGAGCTGACTGAATACGTGAAAAGCAGGGACATTTCGTGAAATCAGACGTGAGTTTCACGGCAAGGATTAATGAGCTTGAGAAAACCGAGGAGAGTTTAGCCCGCGAGCTGAACGAGTGGAAAGCACAAGCCAGCCTAGAGTCAGAAGTGAGACAGAAGGCAGAAGAGGAGGCGGCTCGAATGAAGATCACCGTTAAAGAGGCCCAAGAGGATAGTCGAAAGCTCGAAGGGTATATCCAGAAATGGAAAACAGAGGCAAAGGAATCCAGCGATGATGCTGTTAAGTGTAGGGAAGTCATAGGCACGATCTTTGCATTGCTCAAGGACTTCGGTTCGAGCATTCAGTAGGAGCCCCTTGGCCTCGAACCAAGTCCTCCAACATAGAAATTCAGCAGCTTCATACATTATATTTTGCACTATTTCGAACCGGAAAATCTGTGGGTCGGGAACCTTCTTGCGTTCCAGGTGATAATCTACAAGGCCCCCGTTGGCGTCGTCCTCGGAGAGCACGCACCATGTCGCGGTGAACACTCTCTGCAAAGCTCAGCGACTTGAAAACGGAACCATTTCGGGCGCCCTGCTTGATGTGGCTCCCTCGATCTTCCGTATACTCCCATTTCTCAGGGGCCGTTTCTGGACGCTGTCAACCTCAATGATCTCATGATCACCAAAGGCTGGTGTCATACTAGACACTCTACTTCTTCTATGTTTAAAGACACCGTACAGCACCGTATCTCTATCAAATAGACTCGGCATTTTTAGCAGGTTCTCAGGAAGATCACAGCCTCCAACATGGCTGGTGTGAGACGACTCGTCCTTGCCGTGGCATTCTTCTGCATCTCTTCCGTTGCTTGCCTCGGGACCGCTGTCATCGAGAATCAGTGTGATGTCGAGGTCTATGTCTGGAGTATTGCAAATGTCCCTAACGACACAATTAATTATCTCGAGCCGATTATTGGCAGCTACAACGAGACCTATCGAGTGAATCCGAACGGTGGAGGCATCTCATTGAAGATTGCCACGGTTCCTGAGGATTCTTTCATCACCCAGTTCGAATACACTTATCACCCTGACAATCCGATACTTTCGTATGACATCTCGAACATAAATGGATATCCCTTCGAAAATTGGGGCCTCTACCTCTCACCCTCTTCCGGGTACTGCTCCAACATCACCTGCGACCCCGGTGTGGCTCTCTGCCCAGAAGTTTACAATCACCCAAATGATGATTTTGCCGTCAAACCTTGTGATGTGTCGGCCAACTTGACTCTTACTTTGTGTCCTCAATTTCTGTCATCAGAGACCGTTACAGCAACTGTGATGACGACCGACTATGCCAGCAGCGTTACCCTGCCTACTCCGACGACGATCATCACGTCGATTGGGCCCGCGTCCAGCCCTCAATGCACACTCTCAGAGACCGACACTACGACTTCAGACAGCTCCTCCACGACCGTGACGACGACAATCTCAGATCCGGTTGCTGTGACTGTAATGACAACCGACGATGCCGGGGACACTACCTTGACTACTCTGACGACGGCCATCACATCGGTTGGGTCGGTGGTCATCTCTCAAGGCACACTCTCACAAACTGTCACTACGACTTCAGGAAGCGCATCTACGACCGTAACGATGACAAACTCGGAACCCGTCATTGAGACTGTGAATACTATCAGTTCTGAAACCATTCTCAGAGCGTCGGAGACGACAGACGCTGCTGGTCAGCTTTCCTTGACTACACTGACTACCGTAGTTGCAGCAACTACCCTAGATTGATGGGAATCTCAATAGATCATCTTCAAGGTTGTAATTTTGAACAGATGTTATTGGTGGAGCATAGGCGCAAAGATGAGAACTGTCACGAATGCTAAGGCCACTGGCTCGGGTTGGAGGGGTTAGGGGTATAGCTGCTGCACGCGTTCGATTGTGTTGCGTTCCCGCATACACTGAGCCTTTGTCGGCACAGTTGGTAGCTATACACAGATATTTGCTAGGTCGCAATACTTTTTCCAATCATTGTGGCACCTCAGTTCCTGACAGGGACCGCGAGCCTAATGCTCCGATATAAATAGTGTCACCCAGATAGATGACGCAGACAGGCTTTCCCGGCCCCAGTGGATTACAGCGTGTAAAGATGAGAATGGAGAGTCCATGTGTCGCTCAGATATTTTTCTGCCCTAGGGATCTTTTTCGTAGCTCTTCATGGTTTGAAGTTTCAGGTCTAGCCATTAATTATCAGGGCCGGTTTTGTCGTCTGAATAAATCGAAGATAGCGTCTATATGTAGCTCTTGAAGAATGGTAAGAACCAGATCCGACACCCCTAGGAGCCACATCTGGACCCTCTATCGGTATTTGAGCCTCAGAAAATTCGAGAATATATAGCACTTCTTTCCAATTCAGTGTCTAAAGTACTGAAAGCAAATACTGCAAGGAAAACAAAAACCTTCTTATACCCATCGCCTCCGCTCATGGAGTTTCCGAAGCAATCTCTGTCTCTAACAACCGTTCCCAAGGTGAAAGGAACTGCTGGATCCCAAGAGCAGGTGCAGCAAGCAACGTATTCTCAAAAGCGATATGTGACCGTCCTTGATCCGAAGTCGACGGGACAACCGTCTCAGCCAGACTCTAAGTTGCCAACGCCACCTCTACCACTGCGTTCCTTACAGAGAAATGAGACCCGTCTCCCAAGGCCGCTTTCCACGACTCCGCCGCGCTCTCAATCTCGATATATGACAATGCTCTTAGAGCTAGATGAGATTCCACGTCGCCACAACTTCTATGCCAGCGTATACACGTGGTTAATCTTGGCTGGATACATTGTTTTCCCGGGCACGTTTACCTCTCTCAAAAGTTCCGATTCGGTGCAAGAAGCGGCAAGCAGGACTCACACAGGAAAAGTCATTTTAGACACGGTTCAGAATGCCCCGCTCCTCTGGGTTGCAGGAGCTTGTTGTCTCTTTGGAGTCGTTGGGATTTCTTTGCTCTGGAGAAGATGGAAAACAAACTATATTTGGTTGGTAAATCGAATATTCTTGTAATGATTACCTTCTTGGCAGCAAAACGCGGATACTGACCTTGCAAAATCAGGCCAACTTTGCTCAACGCCATTATCGGTCTCGTCAATACACTGATCAATGTATACACAGCCAAGGACGGGCATTGGTCTGTGACTGCGACCATCACGGTCACAATGACTAGTGCGTGTGCAGGGATAAGCTTGATTTTGTTTCTGGTCTATAACAATTGGTTATTGTATCAAGTCAAGAAGAACCACGATGCTCGGATGCTTGGTGAGGGGGCGCCATCACGACCGGGATAATTGGATCGGAACCTCTGTTGACTTAAAGTGTTGCAACACGGCGGAGAAAAGACTGCCTTTGATTTTTGGCGTGTTTTTTCAAAAACCTGAGACTTATGTGTTGTTTCATTGACATAGATCGTTGAAGTGCTCATGGCAATATAGTTTGTAAGGGAACAAGCCAGACTTGGCCCTCATAACCCTGAGCTTCGTAGGCATCACTCAAAAACTATTCTACGCAATCTTTAATACAATAGTCTACCCACGTGTCAAGTCTCTCGTAGGTTTCGGTAAATATTCCCGTTGGCTCGCATCTCATTATACCTAAGCTGATATTTACGTACCCACTGGAGATGGCTATGAAACCGGGGAAGACATTGCACGTACAACTCTAGCACGTAAAACCACCAAAACTCACGAGCCTTTCCTTAAACCGAGTATTTTTCTCCACGTAAACGTCGTGCGAGCTGGATGTCTTTTGATTCTGAAGACATTAGCCGCGAATTCTCTCTCATCAGAAGCACAAACTGGCTCACGAATGGTAACTCGTTTTGCGTGGATGGCGCAGAGATTAGCATCTTCGAACAGGCTCGCAAGATATAATTCGAGTGCCTCTTGTAGAGCTTCGATTGCCGTCGACTGAAACCGAAACCCGTCGCCTTGCCGTGTCATTTGGGGAGTTCTCAGATCGTCTGCAATTTCACGAACAAGCCGTTGAAAGGGACGTTTGCGAATGAGCAACTCTGTGGATTTCTGATAGCGGCGGATCTCTCTCAGAGCAACCGTTCCTAGTCTCCGTCAATCCGAATCTCACTTACTCGAACAGAAGACAATGGAGGAGAAGAAGGCCAGAGGAGAAACCTGCCTGGCCTATATCGATGCGGTTTCTTTACACGACCTGTGGTGCCAGGGAGTCGTTTTCCTGAGAGCCGACCTTCTGCAAGCCTTCCTAAGTTCTTCCTCGCGGCAACACCTCCAGTGGATTTTCCTGTATGTCATCGTGAGTGCAAATGAGGGAAACTGGAATGAAGGGAAAGCTTACGTGCAGTCTGTTTCGTCCTCGCCATGGCTGAACGCTCTATGGACGACCACAAGCAATCTGCCGGATGAACGTTCATTTAACCCTTATCGAAGGATCCTGAACTGGTCCCTCCTGCGACTTTAGTTTTTTTGTTCCTTTTTACCGTTAGGACCGAATGAGGCTCTAAGAGCCCCTCTGCGACTAATGAATGGTTTACGGCAAACCCGTAACATAATGGTGAACAGCTTCTCTCTGACGTCTGACCTAAGGTGAATGATCATTCAGCTTTCGTTAGCAAGAGTGTCAGCCCAAATCAAAGTCCCTCGTATCTCGTCCTATCGTAGCTCTCCTTCTACGGATCTCTTCTCTTCGAAGATCTTCTTTTCTATTGCTATCATGCTCTTCGACACTATTGGCAAAGACCGCCGTGGTTCTTTGGTTGCTACAAATTTCCGCTTGGACGATCTACCCCACATACCCGACAGCCACAAATTGGCGACGAACAATACTGCAACAGCTCCTAAATCTCAATGGAGGAGTGAAGACTGGCCATTGGATGCCGTGTTTACCACTGGCACGGGGGCTCTTGGACTTGAGCTCCACGAGGTGGATAGGTTCACGACTTAGGCTCCATCGAATGTCTGGCTATTCTTTCGTACTCTATCGGCGACTGCAACGATATTAGTGTCTCCCAAATTGGTTTCACGTTAGGAGCAGCACTAGGCACATTTGTGCACGTCGATCGGTTTACCACTACAGTCACTGCTGATGACAAAGGTTATATGGACGTTGCTTCCCCGCAGAGTGTGAGCTTCGGTTCTTGTGGTTAAATTATAGAGGGCTCCTCCGTGACAGGAAGACGATTCGACTCTCCTAGAGAGGGAAGGAAGTTGAAAGCGCCGACACTTATAACGAGGAGAAGCGTTGAGCAGATTCTGGAAACATTGAATGTGGTGATTACTTAAGGTCAAGGAAGCCTCTTTCGGCATTGCTCTAAATTAATGTAGCCCAAGGCCGCAGGAACAACAGACAGCGTCGAAGTGCAATTACAGTACTGCTCACGAAGGCCTTTCTCCCCCTTCTTGTCATTTCTTTACCCTCTTGTCCTTCGCCCGTAGGAGCCCATATGGATAGTCCGATGCTCATTCCAATTTAGGCTCCCACTGGATACCTCGTCCGGCTCCAAAGTAGTACCTCTATGGAGAGTGTCGGAATATAAATGTGTGGGCAAATGATGCAGAGTTGTGCTCGCCCGTGAGCTGTCGGCACAAATCAATCTTCCCAAAACCCTCCTTGAAGATTGGATTTCCCCTGCCATCGGTGCTTCGGTTTGATCAAGTACGAGCCATGCATGTCCCTCCAAGAGCGAAAAATCCAACCGCAGAGGACTTTGAATACTGTCGTGGGGAATTCAAGAAATTAAGTCGTAAGCTTGCGAAGGGCGACTTCAACAGTTCAGACCGTGAGGAAATGCTCTTTGACGCTCTGGAATATGGAAAGACCGTGGTACAGTACGCCATTGAACTTCAAAACAAACACGTTTCGGAGAGTCACCAAAATGAGACGGACTCTAGTAGCGACGGCAAGTGTTCGCCACAATAGTCCATACTCGGAAGCTAATTAGTCTCAGATGGGGGTGTACCCCTGCCGTCGAAGATAGCACGTGTATCAGTCAGCAAGAAACGTGCACGAAGTGATGACACCAGCAGTGAAGGTATGAGACATTCAGTATCAGATATTCTCTAGTCTAACTGCGCTTCAGACGAGGATGACTCAAAATCTTTGAAAAAAGTGCGAATGACCACGACCAAAAAACGTACTCGAGATGCGGTGGAAGACTCTAGTGACGGTAAGCTTACGGCTGTACCATTCCCAACATTACTCTGACTAGTTCTAGACGGACAAACATCGAGGTCCTCTAAGAAAGCTCGGCTGGGAGGAGAGAAGGTGGAAGCTGCCAGAGTATTTAAAGAACTCGATGCTCTACTAAAGACTTCCGTCAAAGGATCAAAGTAGGGTCGGTTCTATATTCGGCGACACAGAATGCGACAGGAGAATGTTCAGGCAGAAATGCTGCCAATAGGAAATGGGAAATTCACACGCCTGAAGGTTAGAGAGAGGGAAGAAGAGGAGGTGAAATTGAAAAGAGCGAATAGAAAGAGGGGAAGGGAGGAGCAACCAATATACACTCTTTTCGTTGTATTCTGCCCGCGAAGAATGGTTGTCAGTTGATCTGACCCATCAAACCTTATACAGTTTTCGAATAGTATTGAACGAATATTCTGCGTAGGTTCAAAGAACCTGGTTGAGGAGTAGAGGCATGCTGAGAGATGATCCAAGGGAAGAACGATTTATAGTTCTAGCTAGGGCGAATATACAGTGGAAATCGTCTGATCATCAATCTTTGGTTCGAAAGTTCCTGTTGATTTCCCTAACGATGTAAAAAAATTTGTCTACAGACACCAACACGAACAACTCTCTCCAAACCCACCTTGAGGACTGGGACTCTCCTATCGCTGGTACCAGCTATTCAGCTATGAGTGGCGTTCATAGTGTTGAAGATCTGACAGCAGAGGATTTCGAAGACTGTCGTCACAAACCTTTAGGTCGAAAGAAGTTCCGTAATCTAAGCTAGGGAGGATCGTCCTTTCAACCAAGTGACGCCGGAAAACACTGTCCTAGAGTACATGCAGGCTGGAGTTAGAAGTGTTGGGATGGACGTCTGTCCTAACCAATCACTGATCATGCTTCTGAGAGAAAGGTGTAAAGGAGCAATGTCCTCAGCGGCGGGCAGCACAGATCATCACAGGTGCCTTCCGAACGACAGCAGGAGCTGTGGTGGATGTCGAGGCACAATTACTGCCAGCTATACAGCAACTCAAACAAAAAGCCCTTGAGGCTACCATGCGAATCCGCACCACGCCACTCCATGCGGAAATAACGCTCTGTGAGAACAACAATAAAGTCTCGAGGCCCCTCGATCGATTCTCAGGCATCCTAGAAAGTAAGTACGACATCCAGCTCAACCAGCTAGACAAGCGCCAACTGCACATTGTGCCTCTATAGTGGACACCACCATTCACCTAGATTGCAGAATCTCCTGAGGCTGCCGTCTAGGAGCACAATGCGACAGATTCTGCAACGCTGTGCGTATGCACCGATGGTAGTGACATCGATGGCCATGTCGGTGCCGCGGCTGTCGCACTATCCCTATAATTCCAGGGGATCCAGGCGAATAGAATAGCATATATAGGCATATTAACCACCTCCACTATATACGCTGTACGCTATAGAGCTTAGAGATATCGAAATAACGTTCTAGATCGCACTTAACGTCCACGCCACAACAAGCACGCCAGGCAAGTACACCGTCTTTACCGATAATCAAGCCGCCATTCAAGCGACGGCCAACCCTAAATGCCCCTCAGGATAGTATATCTTAAACGGGATTATTCGAACCCTCGACTAACTCCAAGATCTAGGATAAGATATTCAGCTTCCCTAGATCCCAGCGCACATTAGAGGACCTGGCAACAAAGCGGCCAACCGGGCCGCCAAAGAGGCTGCTGGCCACAGCCCACATACACGAACGAGCGCCGAACCACCACGGGAACTGGAAACACTTCGGACACTCATGGCCACGGCTAAGTCCACCATCTACCAGGCCATGAAGGTCGAATGGAACCAGAGCTGGGAGACAGCCAAATATGGTAGGGACCTTTTCCAGCTGGGGGGGTTTTCCGGCCCGGACAAGGGACTCTGACCAAACATATGAGCAGTCACCGAGCGATCAGCTCGATTATCACGCAGCCAACCAATATGAATGCGGCCACGGGCGCTTGACTGTACATCACGTCCTCTTGGAATATCGGAAGTGGTGTGAAGAACGACAACGAATGTGGCCAGGCAAAACTCCATGCGTGGACATCAAACGCATTCTCTATAGCTCGTCAATGGCGACCCAATCAGCCAAGATGATGAGAAGGACGGGACTGCTCAAGCAATTTCGGGCAGTGCCGTCCACAGTACTTCAATTTCCACAAGCGTGGACGAGTAATTGTTATCATACAGAAGTCGAGGAGGACCAGAAAGGTCTGACAAGTGCATAAACATAGAACCACTATGAGGGCTGTGAGGATAGGTGGCGGCTGCGTGGAGCAGAAGGTGGAAGCAATTTCGTGCGAGAGAATGGCTTTGTTTCTGGAAGCAAAATGTGGGAAACACCTGTATTTATAGTCGCGTGCTGCATACCTGCCCTAGGGCGGTTGGGACAGCCTATGACAAGAAGAATAAGAAGAAGGCTAGGACAATATCTTGGTAGGTTGTGCTGGGGACAGGCTCTACTAGGACAGGCTATGGTTGGGGACAGGCTCTACTAGGACAGGTTGTGTCTAGGGACAGGTTGTGTCTGGGGACAGGATGTGCGAGGACAGGATGTGTCTGGGGACAGGTTGTGCTGAGGACAGGTTGCGTCAGCTGAGGAGGCGCCTGGAGCTTCAATGCATGGTCTCGAGTGGGAGCCCATTGAAGAGCCTCAGTGGAGGATCCATTTTGGGAACCCTACAGAGATATTTAAGAGAGGATGAACCTCTAGGCATCTTCATGCACAGTATCGTCACCAATATGCGACGGGCTCGACTTCTGGGGAAAGAACGCAGCATCGTAACGGAAAAAGCTCTCAAGTGTAAGGGCATGGTCAGTGTCCGACTTGAGGTGCTGTCGTTTCCAGAGATTAAGACGAAAGATCCCACGAAGCTGAAGAACAATGTGGAGAGGCTAAAGAAAGCATTTTGGGATGAAGGTTGCTGGCGGCTGCCGTTACCGAATCACATTCCAGCTCAAATCGACAAGCAGAGTCTCGATGCCGCCATCCGACATTCACAGCGCTCGAGCGAAGAACTTTTTGTGGGCCCTCGAGACGAATATCCCGAGCTCGAGTTTCCACCGGGTTACCAGCTCATGTGTCTGGATGGACAGAGCCGCGCTCTCGCTGCCGCAAAGGTTCTTCCTCTCGCGGACCGGAGGTGGATCGTAGATTTATATGCTGCAGGTATGAGACGCTTACTCTCGTATAGCGAAAAATTGCATTGATACATGGTTATTAGACCTCACAGAAGAGCTCAGGACCATTCTGGTGGAGGAATACTCAAATGAAGACCGTCCGCATCCCGGAGAGATCTACCGAAAACTTCGGCTGTATCACCTCCAAAGGGACTTGCGAATCGACAACTGGTGGTTTGAAAAACGGTGCTGGGCACGTTTGTCACCTCATGGACGCCGCAATGTCAAGCAGCTCCTGCGCCACCGTGAAATAACGGCGGCCTGTGATGCCCTGCTGGACGTTGTCGGGCTTTGGAGCGGTTGGAGAACAAGTACCTGGCACAAGATACTTGCAATGGGGGTTGACGAGGTAAGTTCCAACTTGCGGACCATGTCGGTTCTCACCAATTATTGTAGTGCGTCCTATGCTACCTCGACTTTATGAAAGATTTTTGGTACGAGAGCGTCGGGGAAGAACGGAATGCGATGCAGAAAGTCGACGAAAACAGCGTCAAAGACCTTGAGTGTACCGCCCCTGGGGCGTGCAGAGCGGATGCTCGGAATCTATATGGGAAGTTGAAGGCCGGAAAAATCTTCGGAGCTTTCAATGACCAAGATCGCGAAAAGATCTGGGCCGAAGTGTGTCGTCGGACGAAAGATCGCTTGATCCCCTCATTTTTCACCTTCTTCGAGGATTTGAACTGGCTGACGGGCCCAGCGAACTGCGTCAAACGGTTGATACCTATATCATCCGATGACACGATCCTCTATGCACTGGAACAGCACGTTTTCACCGGTGCTAACCAGCGAACCGGCCAGTGCTTGATCCAGAAACCTGATCATACTTTCGTTTCCAAGTCAGGAACAGAGGCCGATCAAATGAACCTGGGAGTTCTACAGCTATTTCTCATCGCCATGCGCAATCACCTTGACATGCCGGCCGAACCTAAGAAGAAGAATTTACTCGCAAAGCCACGACCAAAGAGAGCAAACCCCGAGGTTCTACACGAATTTGCCGCCCATGCCCACAAGCTGGGCTTTGAGTCCGATGAGATTCGTGAACTGATGGAACTCAGAACGTCATCGCGAGCACCGCAACAGGAGTCAGTGTCATCGGGTCCTGAAGAGTCTGATCCACCTATCAGGCGATGCGGCATCCCTTTGAGTTGTCATCATGAACAAGACAAACCATGCCTCTTTCTGGAACCTTTGTACGCCGTACGTAGTGAGGAGTTTGAAGAGATGACATCTTCATTTGTGCGGCGGTCTGTCATTCTCGCCTTTTTTGAGAAGCCGACAAGCCTCTGCTTAAGCGAGGTGACGTCTCACCCTTCCGAACCTACAGCAGACCGAGGGACGATTGGTCAAGAACCTTCAGCGAGGCGTGCACAGCCAAATCGGCAGGGTCTAGAGCAGCGTCATATCGATCAACACTCAGGTCCTCGCAATACTCAGGATCCTTTGCAGCAGGGGTTGCAAGCTGGTAACACCGTGGGGGAGGCTGAAAACCTTTCCGCGACCCAGCTTGATCAGCAAATAGTTACAAGGGAGGGACAAGTCGAGTCGGAATGGGTATCCGACATAGAGATGCTTGATGAAACAGAAGCAGTCCAACATAATGCGAGGCGGGACCGTCAGGAAAATGGGCGGATACAGAAGAAGAACGCACGGCGGTCAAATAAGCAAAGAAAGACTTCTAAGAAGAAAGGAGCAGTCAGTGCGAGAAAGAGGCAAGACATATCAGACGTGGGAGCAATGCTGTTGAAGGTCGCTGAAGAGAGTAGTCTTCTGTCAAAACAACAGGAGGTGCAGAAGCAACTGGAAAGTCCGAGCCGAACCACGCAGATCAACCCTGAAGGGCTCACAGAAGGCAACATCCCTATGCCATTGCAGAATCAATCTTCAACCCCGGATCATAACGAGATCATGGAATTGGGGCAGCCCACAGCGACGGAGCGACAAAGCGAGGATCAAGATATGGTGCAGACAGTGACAGAGAACGTTGTTCACGAAATCACCACATCAGATATTCCAACACTCCAGGGAGAGGTAACTACGCGAAAGACCGGGTCCCCAGCAGAAGTAGAGGGTCGTCGCGAAGCACAAGAGCAACAAACGACCGCGCAAACCTTCAGGGAGCCAGATGAGCGACAGTTGATGGAGAGAACCCAAGACGGAAGAGAGGGACGCGAAGGGCAGCATGTCGACCAGGGAGAGCAGCGTGCCACTGAGAAAGAGCAGGGACAAGAGGCTACATCAGAGAGGATTAATGAGGCGCAGACCACACCACCACGAGAGATGGCCCACACCGAGGATTCAGCCGCTACAGATCAGATCCTTCTGGACGAAGCGGAACAGGCATGGGCCGATGATCAGATGAGGCGTGATCGAGAAGAGTCTTTATTTTGTTCCGAGTCACTGTCGCCAATCGATGAACTCACGAACGTGGAGTTGACAGCACCAAAACGAGGGATCGAAACGGGGCCACCGGAATGGACGCCAGGGGGATATGGGTCGGTGAACGATTTGGAAGAGGCTCTACCAAGGTCCACCACAGATCAGCAGCACGAGCCGATGCCGACCCAACAGGCGAATGTCAGAACAGAGGAAGTGGAACGAATCTCCAGAGCCGAAATGAGGGACTCAGCGGGACGAGAAACGATCCCAGTGTTTCCGCAGCCCGAGACACTCGAGAGAGGGCAGGAGAAGCTCGAAGAGCTGCGAGGATGTGTGAGCCATGACCACGAAATTTACGGAGGGGAGGTCGAACCGCAGCAGGGAAGCCAAAAAAGACCAAGCCTGGATCCTGGACGTGCGATCGAAGACCCCAGCCTCTTACAGGATCTGAGCTCATCATCGGGAATGCGAGAGGTGGACCTAAAACGCGACACTCGGATCGATTTTGGCAGGGTAGAGGAATTAGAAGACCTCCAACGAGCGTGGGATGGAGTTCGTGATGTGGAAGAGCCGGTTGCTCTAGAAGCTGAGGGGTTTCAAGAAGTGCAGGAAGAGTTAGGAAGCGATGAGCAAGCGCGATACGAGCCGCTCCCGAACGAGGGCGACCGAGCAAGATTGGAGAACACCGAAAGGAATATGCTAGACGATCGACTAAGAGAGCAAGAAAATGAAGAGAGGCTGGAGAGTCAGCGACGAAAACAGGCCGCGAAGGAAGAAGGTCAGAGATGGGAGAGACTGGCAAGGCAAGAGAGGGCAAGGCAGCTCAAGAGCGAGAAGACCGAGTTGAGCGTGGAGCAAAAGATGGCCAAAAACCTGGCAAGGGACAGGCAAGAGAGAAGTGTAAAGGAAGACGAAGGAATGCGTCGAAAACGGACGACACAGATCGACTTCGGGAGGCTCGGGGAAGTTGATGAACGACCCAGGCCCAGAGAGAGCGCCGGTAAGCATCCAATCAGGGAAACCGAAACCGTGCGCGGACTAGGCGAGATTATTATGCTTGATTCTGATGTCATCGCGACGACCAGTCAACAACCACCAGACCCTCCTCACTTGTCCACGGAAACACCCGACCTTCAGAAGATTCGTATTCATCTTAAAATGTCTGATGGGAGGCTTGCTGGTGGGGACTGGAAAAGTTTGCCCTCACACGATGTTGACCCTTCCGAGCCGGCAGACTTCATGCGATTCTTGAGGAAATTCACCAGAAAAGACGCCGAAAATCCGTGGAATGTGTTCGCCGGGTCCCACATGATAACCCCGTTGACGAAGTTTGAAGACATCGTCAAAGGCGGAAACAACACCTTATACATCACTCGGGAGGGGGTTATCGACACCAGTCTCCATCCTGATTCTCCTGCTGGCAAAAGGGTTCGATCCTGAGTGTATAGAAAAGAATTGTTCGCACTGAGCCCTGGTTTTATCTTCATTTTTCGAGAGATCTCCGCTAAATAAACCACGTTAATACCTAGTACACTCGTCCTATCCACTTCCTATACGGCGTCTATGAGAGAATCATTGTGAGGGACGGTCTGGCTGACTCGGTAGGGTCAGTTGGCTAACAAGAGACGTGGTCTCCGGTGCAGGAGCACGAGCCCCTAGTAGAAGTGGTTAACCTTCTAATCACCGGGCTGATATTCTAGTTCCTCCAAGCAGACTTTCTTATCTGCCAAGGGACGGACTAGACTTCGCAACCGATCTCGAAGGTTGTTGCTTCCAGACACTGGATCAATCAGCGGGGACTCGGAGTCAGTCAAGTGACCTTACCCATTACCAACATCTCTCCCCTCTCGCCTGATTCTTCCTGTACCCTTTTGATATGTTTTCCTGCCGCCTCTTCTTGGACAATCGTTTCTAAATCTGCCAGGCCACTGTACGCGATCGCGCGTTTCCCAAAAGGCACTCTATCCTGGCTTGCCCAGTGGATATAGACCGAAATGCTGAGAATCTGCGTGCCGAGTTAGGACGAATTGTCGTGATATGGTTAGTTGTAACTTACCTTCCCCTTGGCCGGCTTCTCGTCGCTCGGCTCGCCCTGGCTGTCATCCAGACTAAGCGTGTCGCCGACGAGCGCATCATTCAACAGGTCTGCTGCGGCATACCCCAGATCTACTGCGGTTGAGCGTTGTCGTGCATTTCAAAAGGGCAATCTGATAGGTCTTCGTACCTTTGGTTTCCAACTGCCACACTAAATGGATTCGACGAGTGCGAATCTTGCAGGCATTATACCCATGAATGAGCTGCTTTAGGTAAGGAAGGTGCGAGACGATACCAAAGCCATCCGCCATCATGAGCACCGTCTCATAGGTTCCGGCTGGGACACTGGTGCCATGGGGTCCGCTGAACGAAGCTCGATATGATGTGCCGCCCTCGCGGCTGGACTCGGCATAGCGCAAAAGCGCTCGGGTCAGGCCCTCACGTGGTTCGATGAAAATGTCGAGAGACCGCAAACCTTCGTCCGACCAGGAGGTTATCATGAAAGGATGGCTCTGCAGGAAGCCAAACCAGGGAATCCACAAGCAGATGTATTGCCCGGGCTTCACCTGGAGTGGTGACACGAAGCTTACGTGAAGCCTCATCACTTCTGAGCCGATGATAACATGCTCTCTGCTCAACATCTCTTTGATATTGGTGACCTTGACCCTGGCGAACCCATTCCCGACCATTCCGGTTTGGTACATGATGACTCCGCATTGGACCAGAACCGTTAGCAAGAACGTACCGATCGTGGTGTAAATATACTTTTGCGAGAGAGAAGGACCCTTCCTCAAGTGGCTCCATATGCTGTATGTCGCAGTGATAGCCAGTATCTGATGCAAGCGCAGGAAGAACTCGTAGAAAGGACGGCGAAGTAATGGGAGTGAGAGCGACACCAGGAAGGCCCACGAGATAGTCCCCTGATCTCTGTCAATACTGTCGACCGGGTGTGGGAAAACTTTAGATAGCATACAATCAATCCAAAGAGGTTTTCTGAGATCCTCAAGGGAAATGGTTTCTTCTCCACGATCACGATGAGAACGTGGAAGCCCAACAGGATCGACGACATCAGCCCGAAGGAGCGGTGGAATCGCCGGTACGTACGTAAGGTGATGCCCAAGAGATCCGCTGGGAAGCTAAGGTGAGGGCCCGCCATGAGAGGGATCAGGTTGATGAGCGAGAGATTCGCCGCTCGCAGACCGGCCATCCAGACCGAGTGCACTTTGAAACAGATGCAGAAGACGTTGACGCCGCTGTAGAGAAGCCCCGCAATGACACCGGCCGGGTTCCATGCACCAGTCAACCGGTGACGAAGTTGTGGATACACGAAATACTTGAGTGAGAGAGGAGCGACCTTCTTCCAACCGAGCAAAAGCCACCAGCGGAAGTTCATAAGAATGAGGAATAACAACAAGCCACCCACGCCGATCGCGTAGGCTTGGGTAACATCCATATTCAACGCCAGATAAGGTGTAAAGCGGAATAAAACAGTACACGAAGAAGAAGGCAGTTTTCACTGGGTTGGGAAGCCCGTTAAAAAGGGGAGAGGAGGAGTATCGAAATATAATGAGCTACAGGACCAAGACCGGGCCTGCAGGAATGGAACCAAGAATGGAACGAGATCCGTCACAAGCGCGGCCAATCTTGTAATAAAGGAACACTGTCGGAGCCAGAATGGGATTCTCTATACGAAGGATTCACCCTCGTCTAACTTGGCGGCAACCTGTAACCCCTGAATGGGGCAATCGAAGTGATGTCTGCCAGTCCTTGCAGATTTCTCTTTCCCCATGGCCGGCTGAACAGTGGATTCTAACTAGGTCAGGATCAAATCCACTAGAAAACCTGAGGTGCTTTGCTTGCCTTCAACAGCCTTTCTGCCGAAGTGACAGACGTCGTTTCAGAGAGGAATCCAACCGCTAGAGAATCGGAGGGCCATCGGCGGAGGTCATCCACTCCGACGGCACCGTCGGCTTTGGCATACTTTTGCATCAGCTCCATTGTGATGAAGCTTAGAGCCCGAATATCTCTCGATCCTGGATTGCTCTGACGGCAAGGTCGACAGAGTTCTTGGTGTGCTGTGATCTCCAGGTCAGCTCAACGTCGACAATCACGGAGGGATTACCTCCCTATCTTCACCTCACCAGCAACATTGATGAGGATATTCGAGGTGGTCAGGGAACCGTGTTCTAGCCCTTTTGTCGCAAGGTACACCAGCCCGTTGAGGATCTGCCACAAGTTAGACGGCCTACCCAACAGAGACGTAATTCAGAACCCCCCTGTCCCAATATCGACGCTAGTTGGTCCTCGTCGAGATGTTTCGGAAAGCCAGTGAAAAGGCTCAGAGACATCGGCATATGCTCGGAGACAACGTAGAATGAGTCGTCATAAAGGAAGATGTCTCTCACGGCCACGATATTCTCATGTTTAACCTGTTGCAATATACGACAATTTTCTTCGCCGTGGTATGTAGAGAAATTCCTCACGGCGACGACGTACGGTGTTGGGCCCTCCTTTTTGGGAGGGACAATAATGTCGTCAGACCACGGGTCTCTGACTTCGGCCACGTCCACCATGTCGTCTTCTTCCTCGCCAAGTCGTATGCCGTGGCTTCTTTTATACTTTTCCCATGGGGACTGGTGCTTCACGAGCAGGCTGGGCTCTGTTCCAGATCCGGGTGCTGCTGGGGGGTTCAGACGCCTCGAGCCAGTTGCGGAGTTGGTACGATGGGCTCCGGGCGAGAGTGTCCTCAGAGATCCTGTAGCGGGATTAAAGCCAGTGACACGGCCACTGGGTTTCTCAACACCTGTGAGGTGCTCACCCTGGCGTTTCGTGCTTTGAGAAGACCCCCTGAACCCCCTGATCGCATCAAAGTCGATGCGCGTTCGGCGGTTTGGAGTGTTGGAAGACATCTCCACAATCTGAACGGGTACCTTACTGTATAGGGAATACGATGGCAAAGGTACACTCTCTTAAATACCGGTATGTGAGGGTTAGCAAGATGGTGGCCCGGCCGCGGCCAGCCCGAAGAGACTAGACGCAATGGACTGGACTCCCGATTGCCACAGAACGGGTCAGCAGCGAAGAGGCCAGAGCCAGCAGCAGTAGCAATCTCACACTCATGTCGGAGCTGTCCCTTCCTCCCGGGGCCCATTTTGGTCCCCGGGGCCGGTTCAAGTTTGATGCTGAATTCAACGAATGAGATCAAACAGGACGAAGGACCATTTCTGGATCCTAACGCTGAACCACCTTGTCACTCGGAAAGGAGAGTCTGGTTGGAAGGAAGGCACTGTTATATACTGTACAGTACTGTACTTAACGGATGTCGCCAAATTTCCGGGAGCCGCTGAAAACGGCCAAAACAGATTCATTCCACCTGAGGAGTATCTACTTCATTTCTTCATTTGGGTTCCCTCTTGTCCTGAGTCTTCCGCCGCTCCGATTCCGTTTTACTTCGCTCTGCCTCTTGAAAGCCAGTTTTGAAAAGCGTCCACCGTACAGTACAATACTCTTTTGTCATCGTCGAAGAAAAATGAGCTTCCAACCTCAGCTTCCACCCGAAACATGGACGGAGATCTTCAAGACGCTGTCTGAGACGCGACATTGGTTTCAAGAAAACGACATTAAGAGTGTGCGGCTCACTTGTCGACTTTTTGACCAGCTTGCGACCCCTTTTCTCACGTCCGAGATATTTTGTGCGCCTTTGTCTTTCACCTTGACGAAACTTACAGCCGTTTCGCATCATCCTATTCTCAGTAGATCAATCAAGACAGTTGTCTATGCTTCTACACGATATCAAGCAATGGGATTTCTGGACTACCAACGAGCAGTGGAAGAATCATCAGGGCCCAGAGTGTCTTCAGATTTGGAGACGATGTTTTCGCAATATGTCCAACATTATCAAGACCAAACCATGATGGAGAGGTCTGGGGAGCTTACGGCGCGTCTTTGTTCAGCCCTTACGCGGTTGCCAAATGTGGAGAGAGTCATCATATCACCCAATATCTATTGCTACCTCGACAATGCTCTCTCTTCAGATTGTCTTCTGGATCCTGAATCAGCTTGCGATGAAGCATTTCTCCATGTCTGCCGCATCTTGTCGCTCACAGATACCAAAATACGAGAACTTAGGGTTGAAGATGCTCAGACTGAAGATCAAGAATTTAGTGGGCTAACTGCAGAGGCCTTCCGAGACATGTCACTTCTGGATTCCAGCCATTGTCGTAACGTCTTCCGAGGCGTTCGAACCCTGGAACTCACAGCTGAAGATGAGGGAGAAGGTGGTTGGATCGTAGGCCAATTGGCAGACTTTCTGCCTTACGCCACCGGCCTGGAGAACTTATTAATTAACGGTTGCTTTTACCGTCCCCTTCGCGCAGAACATTTTCTGAGCAATACGATGTGGTGCTGTTTAACTACACTGAGCCTCACTCACACAATTTTTCGTCAAGAAGAACTGTTAGCCTTCCTGAGAAGACACTCAACCACGCTGAAGAACCTTTCGCTCTTTGACGTCGAGGTGAGAAATGGTTCGTGGAAGGCGGTCCTGACAGAGATGAAGTCTTCGCTGTCCCTACAAAGCATCGAAGTTTATGATTTGCATGAGTCAAAGGACGACGGATATGAAACAGATGTGTTTGTACCAGTAGCTGCGGTACAAGGTTACCTCTTAGGAGATAGTTATCATCCACTCTTATTGGGAGAACAGCTTGGCCCAGAGTAGCCACCGAAAAGAAAGTTGTCGGTAGGTCAAAAAGAGCTGCTGGCGGCCGTCGAGTGGTGAGAAGTATAGGTCTAGTTGTAAACTGAGTTCTTAGTCGACATCCCGGCGTGGTGAAACGCCCTGCGTGATGAAATAAGCCGCTGGCACTTCGAGCGCAATTGCTACAGGCTCACCACATCGGACACTGATCAAGCATTTGAGTTTGCTCCCGTATTCAGAAGCCATTCTTTTGTTTCAATTATAAGACTTGTTCATAAATACGATAAACTGACCCTTCCCAGGCCCGACTTCTTCAACCCACCGAAAAAGAGTGGAAACTGTTTCGTCCCTCTGGAGGCTGTAACACCTTCTCCACTGGCTTCTCTGCATGATAGAAACGGAATATCAACGCACAGATATCGTAGAACGAATTATCACATCAGTAACTATAGCTGTCTCCTGCCCGTGCTGCCATTTCGCGTCACGAAGTACCCCTGGCTGGTACTTCAACGTACGTTCACAAACAGCCGAGGCCCCGACCAGAGTACGGTGTCCTGTAAATGACAAGTAACATGACAGCCTCCAATCCATCACCAGCCACAGCTACGTGGCTCCACGATCTCGCCGCTTTAATGCTCGCTAAAGTCATGCACGTGATAGCAGAAATCGCTTTCCCCGCCGTAGAGACAGCCTGAGAGTCAGCCTGCTGCCATCTTCCATAGATTCCAGGCCTGCCACCCGCCCTAAGCGCCTGCTGCTGAAAGACTCGAGACAATCGCGATGTCTGCCCGAAGCACAATCGAACCTCGACACCAGTCAATTTCCCATTGATGCTGATTGCGACATCCAGGATGAGTACTGCTTGGTTGTGGATGGTGTCTACGACAGGAGGAAAAGGTTTCTTCAGTATTAGGGTAGACGTGATAGTTACAGACAGAACTACTAGTCCACATCCTGTCTGTGGATAGCGACAGCGATCAAAGGAGGGCTAAAATTAATTACACATCTTTTGCAGAACGAGGCAACAAATCGTTCGTGACCTCTCACTACTAAACTATTAGGATTTTTCTGCACATTCATTTTCGTCTCCATATACTTGAATTGATCACCTAGGTTTTTTTCGATAGTCCCGACCATGTTGTAGGAAAGCTGCTTCGGTGTCCCGCCACCTGTCCTCGCGGAAGATGTCAGGTCCCCAAGGCTTCTCGGCAATCTCTCTCCGCGTTTCTTTGGCGCAGTCAAGGGCGCTCTTCCCAAACGCGTCCAAGGAAGCTATGTTCAGATGCAATGACTCACTCAAATAAGACAACAGCTCAACCGTCACAGAGCCGGATATTGCTGCGTGATGCAAGATGCCTCGACCGTCGTGATCGACGGATAGAGCATCCACACCGTATTTGAGCAGCATCAGTAAGACATCTAAGTCGAATTCGACATCACATTGCATGACAAGGTGAGCAAGGTTTCGGCCACTCTGGTCTTTGTAGTTCAAGTCGGCGCCATGAGTGATCAATAGCTCCATGATCTCCACTTCAGCATTCAGAAAAAGGTTGCTTGCGTACCAAGCCAGAGTATCTAGTCCATCGTGGTCTTGATGATTGGCGTTTACCCCTGCCTGGAGTAATACTCGAACCAATTCTGGGGTTGGGTGTAGGAAAAAGTCATTCTCATCATAGAAGCAATGATGCAACGCATTGCGCCCCAGGTGATCAGCAGATAGGTAGATAGAGCTGTCTGCGCACATATCGACGACGAATTGAACAACATCGTCAAACCCACTCCTGGCTGCGCAGAGTAGTGAATTGCAACCTCTATTGTCCTCTATCATGACATCACCTGGACTTTCCACGAGAACTTCAAGGGATAATAGGTCTCCAGCTCGAGCAGCAAGGTGGAGTGGAGTCACACCGTCGTCATCCTGGGCTAACCGATCTGCTCCGTGTTCGATCAGGTGTTGCGTCGCGTGCACTTCTGATCCGTCTCTATTATACCGCACCATATGCAACGCTGTTTGTCCGTAATTGTCCTTTATGGAAATGTCGATATTAGGGTGGTCGCATAACATGTGCAAAATGGACTGGCGTGCTTCATGTGCCTGGGAATCCGTCTCAACATAATCTTCATCATCGTAATCCCAAATGTGGTCAACCATGTATACAGCGTCGTCCCATATGTCGTACAGTCTGCGACCTCCTAGTGACAAACCAAGGACAAGATGTAAGGCAGTCCGACGGGTCTCATTTTGGACATTCACCTCGGCCCCTTCGTTAAGAAGCAATCGCAGGTTATCTGGCCTCCCGAAAAAGGCTGCTGCGTGAAGAGCCGTAAGACCTAGCTTGCTTACAGAATTCCTTTGGACCTTCGATCCGACCGAAGCAGCCTCAAATCCTGTGGGATTGCCTCGGATCACGCGGGCATTGACATTGAATCCTGCTTCAATCAGGATTGGAATCACACCGTGCTCGCGCCGCAAGGCGGCGTAATGCATACAGGTCATATTTTCCCGGTCAGCACTTTGAACCAAACCCCCGTGAGAGAGTACCAGGCGAACGTGCTCAAGGTTTATCTCTGCCACGTTCAAAGTCTGATGTAAAAGCGTTCTTCCGTCAGCGTCTACCAGTTGCATGTCGAGTCCCCAGCCGATCATTTTCTGAATAAACTGTCCTTGCCCACTTTCCCGTACCAACCCCCATGCCTCAAGGACATGATATGCCCAATTTTGATGAGCGTAATTGAGAAAGGCAGAAAATGGTGCAAGACGAGGACGGTTTCTCATCTTCATGAATGTGACACAGGTCAAAGCTAGATTGGAGTGGGAAGTAGCTAGACCAATACTGGATTTCCAAGACCTCGTGCCGTATCTATTGGGGCTAAGGCGGACACGCCTCAGTAAGAATTCTCTTGCGGTTTCGTGTAACAGGTATATTTTGCCGTCGACGACCCTGACAAAGAGTCCGCATGTATACCGAACAGTATCCAATACTCCTTCGCAGCCTTGAAGGTCGAGGTCGTGACATGAGCGTCCATTGTCTTGGAATGATAGTATAACGTCGATTTCCTCCAGGCTCAAAGGTCTCCGTGCGGCGACGATAAGTGACAAGACTTCCTTTGCTTTGCGGTGGTTTTTACACCGACTTAAGATCCTCTCATATTGTTCTTCCATGCTCTTTGGCAGCTGGTCTAGCACTGCAAGAAGCTGCTTCATTGTTCCTGGTGGCTGTTCGAATAAAGATTCAGTCAACAGGAAAGCGCAGAGAAAATTGTGCTGGTGGGCAAGCATCAGTTTCTCCTCAACCACGCAAATTTGCTGAGGGGATATATTGGATACGCTCAAATCATTCAAACGTTGTCGAACGTATAGTTGCACATCGCTAGTGAGTGATGCATTCTCTTTTTCTGCGGCTATATGATATAGATGTCGATGACGTGCGTTGCGGTGAAACCCTTGAACGACCTCAAAGTATGGTCGACTGGTGACGAGAATTTTCAATCGCCCTCGTCGCGTCGTAGAAGAAGAGGGTGATATCTGGGCGTAGAACCTCCCAAGCATGTCAATCAGCCGCTGCCGATCGGGTAGTCGACATTCGTCCAGCGCATCCAAAACGCACGTCACATCGTGGGCCTCATGACCCATTGCCGCTGCAAGTAACGTGCGCCATAGCTCCGGTACCTCCTTCACCACGTTGTCGCCGGTTTTCTCCCACGCCGAAATTGCATATTGGACTAGCTGAGGCTGGTGGGAGAACAACTGATGGAGGAGGGCGCAAAGAGCAGTAGTTAACTTATCCTGCTGCTCGTTGTCTTTGAAGAAGAAATAGCATACGGTATGATCGATAGTGGTTCGGAGCTCATTATCAACGAGCGATTTAGCGAGGACTGACTTGCCACAGCCAGGATCGGCCGAAATCCAGAGAAAGTTATCTTCGTCGCTTGTGGCCCACTGGAGATACTGAGGGTGAGAAAGCACCCAACGACAAGTGCCTTCCACTCTGTCAGGATTAACGTCCTTGAATTGTTCGTATGTGCTCGTTTTGAAGGCTTGATGACACTTCCGAGCTTGATTGATCTGATAACGTTGTTCTTGTTTCTTATTTTCTCGTTTGACCTCGTGGAGATGCTCTTCCATCATATGGCATCGCTTATCGAGAGAATCTATAAAGACCAATTTGAAAATTAGTGACAGTCAAAGGAACCTAATATAAAATTGACTAATAATAGGTTCCACTTACCAACAATTTCCTGAATAGGCTATTCACGGCTGGTCTGCTCAGGTGATATGTAAGCTAGAAGTTCTTTTGCATACGCTGCCGCCGTCAGAGCCGCGTACTTCTGCCATGCATCATTCTTATGAGAATCCGCATAATCACAGATACCTCGGATGGCGATGCAAGGGAAATCATTCATCAGGCCTGCCGCCTCCATTTCCACGCACAGCGCCCCCAGCTCACGACCCATTGTGTCTCTCGCAGCGACATCTCTAACTAACTCATTCCCCGACGCAATCACACCGTACCAAAATACAGGATTCGGATCGTCGCGCGTCGGTCTCTCGATCTTTCCATCTGTGCACGAACGGCATGAGCTGGAAGAGCTTGAGCCACCACACTGAGAGCAATACAAATTGTCATTTTCCCGCCCGGGAAACTCATACCCGTTCTTCACTAAATTAGGATGTTTCGTGACGATGTCCGCCAGTATATCGGGAACCATACTGTCGTCGAGACCATGTTCCGCCCGCAGAGTGGAAAGTGCAGCCAGCAGTATGGTCGGTGGTGATTTCAAAAATCCTTTACGTTCAAATCGCTCCTTTCCCACATTCTTTTTCAAATCGTACTGAACCACTCCTCCGAACGTTCTGTGAGGCTGGCTGATCACCACGTCTCCGAGACGGATGTCCAGACCTTTTGGTAGGTTAGGGATTCCGCCTCCAATCCCCACCATCAGTCCAAACCGCAGTCCGCTGAACGTCCTCAGCATGTCATTGGCCACTCTTGCCGCCGCATTCGTGCCGTAGATGCCCGCCGGCAAGCAGGCAATGACCACGTTGTGTTCGTGAACTCGGCCCACCACATAGTTATTGGGATCGAGTTTGTCTTGACCCGTGATCGGCTGATGCCGCTCATCCAGAGTGGCGATTGCCGCCGTCATCTCATGACGAAGAGCACAGATGACGCCCACTTCGTATTTCTCGATCGACAGAGAACGTTTTGTGGTCATTGTGGTGGGTCTCGAACGAGAGGTAAACTGTGCGAGGGATCGAATGAGAGGTAATGCGGCTGTAGGGAGATACGGAGGCTCAAGAGATGACCATCAGGCTGAGAACAGGCTGAGAAGGAGACTGGAGGGCGTGGTCGCGACGAGGTTTAATCACCAAGGTGGGCAACTCTGAACGAACTGTCAGTAAGGCCGGGACCGCGATAGGAAGGGAATCGTTCAGGAAGCAGAGGAAGAAGAACGTTGGGCGACGGCGAAATGGTGTTCACGTCGGGAATATGTAGTCTACCGCCCCGGTGGGACATCTCGTCCGCTTTGGTGGCCGCCGAGCTGAAATGGCCCAGCTGATGGTCGCACGGCGCTTAGGCAGGTGCCAGGTTGGGCCTGTGTAACGTGGACAGAATGCAGACTCTCAGGCTGAATCCGTACGAGCCCATTACTGGCATTGAGGCGGCAAGATCGCTAAGCCACGTTATTGTGGCTGGTGGTTGGGTTGGGTGGCTGTCATGTTACTTGTCATTTACGTGCCACCGTACTCGGTCCGGTCCTCGGCTGTTTGTGGATCTGCGAGGCAGTACCGCACAGGGTTCGTATACAAAACGAGATGGCAGCACCGAGGGTGGACAGCTATATTTATTGATAGGATAATTGGTTCTACGATGCATGTGCATTGATACTCCATTCGTGCCGTATGGAATAGTGAGCAGAACCGGTGTTGTCGCCACTGGAGGGATGAAACGGTTTGTGTGCTTTGACGGTGGGCCGAAGAAATTAAGCCTTGAGAGAGTCAACTCCTTGTAATCATGAACAAGAATTGTGAAGAAGGCAAGTCAGTGCCTTCAAAACATAGATATTCATTCATATTATCTATCAGTGGTATGTGTGGTGAGTACGACGTGAAGGAAGTCAAAGGACCAGCGGCTTCTTTCATTATGGAGGGCGTTTCACCACGCGGGGATGTCGATTAATTGTTAGTGGGTTTTTTTTACTCACCTGCCTTCAATCCTGGGACTCCTTTGGGGCGCTGCTAGCCAATCTGTCCTGATTAGTTACTGTAGGAGTGTGTCTGCAAAGCCAAGTCGGTACGAAAAGGGAAGGCTTCCTAATGGGGCCCCGTGCAGCAATCACACACTCTTGTCGAAAGTGTCCCTTGCTCCCGAGACCCATTTTGGTCCCTTGGGGTTGTTCGACTTTGATACTGAATTCAACGGAATGAGATCAAACAGGGGGAGGGACCAGTTTTGGATCCGAACCCTGGATCGCCCTGTCACCCGAGAAGAGAGCCCGGTGGGAAGTAAGGCAGCTTCATTAAAAGATAGCCACACTCCGGCTTAGCGAGCGTACTGTACCGTATCCCTCTTCCCCAGGATTGAATCATTCAAGCCCACACCACCATGCTGCGTGAGAAACCTTGGATTAAAGTCGGCGCGTCGCTGGTATTCGCCGCCGCACTAGTCTGCTGCACGGTGTTGAGCTTTGAAGTGCTATACAACAAGCACGACATGAAGACTGGCATCATTACCTTCACCGTGAGCGCATTTTACTTTTTAGGATTCGGGGCGTGCAGATCGCTGATAAATTCTTCCGCAGTTTGGGGCGACCCGCACTCAGCTCCCACTCCTTGCGAGGGCCCTCATCCCAACAGCCGCGAGCGAAGTCGGGAGCGTCGCAAGCAATGCGGCAACAGCCGCCTCCGGGGCTCTTAGCCAAGCCAACAGCATCGCAAGCGCCGCCACGACGGCGGTCAACAGCGCCAGCACCGCGATCCCCCGGAATTTCTCCGTCGGCACAGAGCAATACTGCGTGGGTTTCAGCGATCATGTTGAATGCCATCGATTGCCGGTGAACGTTTCCGAGATCATACTCCAGGTTGGTATGAACGTTCTGAGTGACCAAATGGAAGATTTGGGTCATCTGCGCAGCATCTTGGCGAAAGCTAGCCCTGGATGGATCCGTGATCCTTTCATTATCGGCATAGTGACGGCCGTGGTGGTCGCTGTGGCCTTTTTCACGGCTATGTTCAGCTGGCCCTTCGGCGCCGGTATTCTCATGCGGGATCTGACGTTGCAGTTAGTGCCGAGATTGATTATTGGGCTGATTTGTTGCATCTCTTACCTCGTCCCCACGATCGTTCTTTACCTTCTCTACTCCAAGTCCAAAGAACTCTCCTCGGAGATCAATGCTGATCAGGGCCCGGTCGGCGGGTACTGCTGGGGCACTTTATTTTCGGCTCTGCTCATGACGACAATGACGACGTTTGTTCACATCTTCGTCTGATACCACCTCACGACAGTTCGTTTCTTCCGTGGTGGCTCGGTTACGCAGTATATCATTCTCGACGCCCTATTATACACTAAGAGTGGACAACTTTGGACCATACAATTGGGTTGTAAGGGTATATGGTTGGACGGCGTGCACAAGCTCACGTCCCAGACTCGTGTAGAGCTTTTGAGTATTAGCAGGATACCAATTCGGTCAGATAGCCAAGGCAACAGAAAGGTTTCTCTTGAGCCTTCCAATAATAGTGACGGCCTTCTTGCTATTCCCAATCCGGTCTTCTGGGCCCTTTACGATGTTCAGACCAGGGAAATAGCAGGATATACTGGAGCGTGAGCCAACAACGTGATCCGTAACCTCTATCCTGCTCAAAGAGGGCTTCCCGGCGCGGCCTACGTATACAGTCGTTCCCGACAATCGAACCCCTTCCTGCAAAATGGGTTTGACTGTGGTTTCGACATTTATCCACGTCTGAACCAACTACCAAAAATAAACAGGCTTACCGACGATTCCTTGTTGAAATCATAAACACATATGATATCGTCTACGATAATAAAGGGTGACGCGCGGGTGGTAAAGTTCCGGAAAACCAGAAAATTCGACCAATCCAACATCGCTTTCATTCGGTTTATGGTTGGCGAGTGTCCGTGTATACCTAGTACTGTAATCCCGACAGATGTGACTACTTCCTCCGCTTTAGCTCGAAGATTAGCGGACGCCTGACGACCCCGCTGAACCGTATATCAGAAACGTGTATGTTGGCAGCAGAGTACACTTCTGGCATGAGATGAATGAGACCGAGGACGAACGACAATGAGGCTGTTACAATTGGCATGAAGTGCACGATGCGAGTGAGGTGCTTAGAGAACTGGCGAAACAGGACAAACTCTCCTCAGCATAGCAAATACATGTGCACCACGGTACTGTAACATCTCAACCTCTAGGGAAGCCGGAATAAGAGTATACCCCGGCCTATCTCGGACAGCACTTTATCAATGCCTGTCAGTCAGGTGATTTTCTGCTCCCTCGATCAGTCAGCAGCACCGGTCGCACGGTGACTGCTGGAGAGCCCAGCCGCATTGGTCCATTTGGGGTATCCCGGTATCCTTGGCGGCACGGCGGGACATGACGGGCAGCCGTACCAAACATTAAGCTGTGCGAATTTATTGTTCGATGGTTTTGTGCATCATGAATCCTCGAACAGCCACTGCACAAGAATCAATCTGGCGGCCGTCAGAAGAAATCCAGTTCCATAAGACCATCAGAGCGCTATGGAAGAGGACGAAAGGAAGGCCTAAAGACCCCCAGACATACCCTATTCCAACCTCAGAGATTCCAGACGGCGATATTTTCCCACTGGTGGTTGAGCTAGAGGTTGCTAACGGCGTTGCTTTCATCGCCGCAACCAAAAAGGGGGTGAAACAGGTCTCAGCGACTGCGATTGAGAGACCACGGTGGCCGTCTGATGGGCTGAGATTGAATCTAGCTGCAAATGAAGAAATTCAGCAAATTGTGAGAGATAAGATGGACAGGGTGGTCGCGATTTTGCGAAAGGCCGCTAAAGGAGGTAAAGTGACGTTCTCGCCAGCGTACTGCCGGTCACTTACGACGAAGCAGAGATTACTTTGAGTCAGTCCAACGATGACATTCTGAACTTAATCATACAACTCAACCATACTCGGATCGATACCCGTCTCAAAAATAATAGATCCCGTTACGTAGTTTGGACAGGGTTGTCGGGCATATTGCACAGCTTGACTAAAAGGCCAGACTCGGACCAACAAGCCGTTCTCCTTGACCGTCTTCGAAAACTGTGTCGGTCCTTGAAAGATTATTGTGAGCGCGCTCAAAGATTGAGGACAGCCGAGGATATCAAAACACTCGTCGTTGCATGCTATGACTTCTTTGATAAGACCTCCACCGGGGGAACTATGAAGAATATGCTGCAACAGGTCGGCATCAATGTTGACGAGTCGCGAGGAGATCCATCCCTTCGACAGATCGGGAAGATTGCAAGCTACTGTCACATTGCTAGGAGATTAAGTACGATCGCCGCGCACCGAGAGTTTCGATCCTTCTTTACCAATATTAGTATCCGATATCTACCGGCGTATCCAACGACCAAGTTACCCATTCCTGCAGCTGACGGAGGAAGTCGAGATTGTCGCGTGCATGCAGAAGTGCAACTTGTGGCTAACCTAGACGTCACAAGACCTTCGAAGTGGATGGGTCCTCGGGGAATTGGTTCTAGCAAAGCAGCATGCTTCCTTTGTGAATTGTTCATCAATAAGCACGGAGGATATTTCGTTCCCCGAACTCACGGCAAACTGACTCCGCGCTGGACGATTCCGGATCTGGATCAGTTCAGTCGTAGTCAACTAAGTCAATATCGGAACATCATTGGGGCGATGAACCACGAGCTCCAAAGTCTAGTGGATCTTCCTCATCCACGCCGACTGGATCCCGCCATGAGTTGGCAGGCTTTCTCGCAGTTTGACCTCGTCCCGATCTGGCCGATGGGTGTCGATAACATCACCTCTCGGCTTTCAGTCGAAAACACCGCTTCCAGGGCTTCAGGGTTTCTAGAATGTAAGAACGCAAAGCTGGTGGCAGTGAAGTCGACAAAATCAGACTCGGGTGCGATCGGCAGTGAGGTTCACCTCCGACACGACACAACTGTCTTGCCAATTAGTGCCGTCTCAGTGAGAGGACCGAGCCCAACCAGCATATGCTTAGAGAAATCGAGCGATCGTTCATTACTGAGAGATACTTGGGGACCGCAAACCGCTTCTTCGAGCAGTGAGCGGATTCACAAATTACAACACTTACCGAACTGGGAAACCCAGCGGCAGGTTCGACCTCTCACGAATCTCGATTACGAACAGCATCCCCGAGCTGCACGAGTCATAGAAGATCATGAGAGTCGAACCTGCGACATGCCGTTCGAATGCGACATGATGGATGATCGACTGCTAAGTCAGAGCAACAAGCCACATTCGGACGGCATGTGTCGAAGAATCGACTTTCATGACATGGAGCTCTTCCTTGAGATTGAGTATCCAGCGACTGCACAGGTTGGTATTATTCAATGCTTAAAGCCTGACGCATCAGAATCCCCAAAAGTAATTGAGGTTGAGAAGATTGAGCCTGGAGCGAAGCTTGAGATTGATATAGGGGAAGATTTGGCTAGTCCACGATCTATCTTCCTGCTCAAGAGGGACAACAAAGGAATGGATAAATGGTGGGAGTGCCGTTGGCAGAATTGTCGCGAGGGTAAAAAGCAAGCTACGAGGTGAAAATAAGTCTCGAATATGTGTGCAAACCCTTCATGCCAAGCCGGAATTGAGATCCCTCACAAAAAGTCTACGATCCGCACGTGACCAAAATCCCCAACCCACTGTTCGAAGGTATGATCAGCTCGTTCTTATGTCCTAGAGGGTGTCGGCTTTACAGCTAGGTCAAATCTGATTCGAAAAAACACACGTGTCCACCCAGATTTAATGGTCGGCTTGAATGTCAGAACATGTCCTTGCGCAAACACTGTCGATGAATGATCAGCTAAAGTCATTTATTGCACCTACTCATCGGCTACGGTGCCAGCCATTCTCCTAAAATCCCCAACTTTCGATCTTGAAACATCCCATGTCCTCGAAAGGACATAGCCCCAGAGTCATTGTACAATCTGAAGGGTGTGGATCATCATCATGATCGTGGAATCGACACGAGCCCCCTTCACGAAGATAATTCTTTCCATGCCGCCGCGATTGTGCCTCAAACAAATCCAATGCAATCGCAGGCATCTCAGACGCCACAAGCCGCCATTCAGCCATCTGATCGTCCGTACAATTTTGTAAACCTTCTGCAACTGTGGCTAATGCCGCACGATACAGCTGGAACAGCCAGCTATCGGACTGGAGGTATTTGTATTTCGAAGATACAGTCTGGGGCCTCAACTGCCATAATCCAGAACAAAGTTGCTGGCGAATGCGATCTGACGCTTGCCAACCCAGCGCACGGATTTTATATTTCTCAGCAAGCTCTGCTAGCGCATCCACCTCCTCAAAGCAAGCATCGTACCGAATATGCGGATTCTCCATCATCGACCAGCGGTAGAATTCTCGGATTGTAGAGAAGGGGACGTTTTCGAGAATGAGAGGACTCTGCTCTTCCCGATCGTGGTTTTCGGACAGCTCGAAGTGGAAGGTAGGAGACCGCCGGGCCAGAAAGTCGCCAGGAAACCACAACAGTTCTTCTTGCACCGAATTTGTGACAGCTACCCGCTCACTCTGGCTCCATCTCCAACTCGTTAGTCTGATCGTATGGGAGGTGTGTCCTTACCGCAACCAGCGACGGAGATTTTCGTCTGCCCCAATGACAACGCCAACCTTCGATTCTAGAATCTTTCGACGTCCCCGTCCCATATTGAATGTAACTGCAAGTGTCTAAATTTACTGTACTGAATAGCACTGTACAGTACTGTCAAGCAGACCATTATGGGCAAGGGGTCATTCAGGCTCCAACTTTGCTTTGCTGTCGAATCCCAAACCACGTGGCACCCTCAGGCGCGTTTCCCGATGCTGACAAAAGTTTACCCTCGCACTACCTTCTGTCTTTAGACTGTGCCTGGTTGTCACGCATTTTAGCGAGCAGCGGAATCTCTTTTCTCCCGTCCTGCAGGCTCTTTCCGGATCTTCACAGTATCAGAAATGGTTGAGCTGTGCTTTCTAGATCCTGCCGACACGGATGACGCTAAGTATGCTATCTGTCAATGACCGCAATTAATCCACATCCCGGTGTGATGAAACGCCCTGCGTAGTGAAGTACCCACTAAGTACTTCGAATGCTCCACTTCATGGCAGGGAGCTTGTATTGGTCAAATAAAGATTTGTAGTCTCGACGGACGAAATCATTGTAGGCTTTTTCGGAGGGCTGACAAAATCGGGCCTTGGATAGACCAATCCATCGTATCCGTGCACGAGAGTGGATTAAGGCTACGTGTGGCGAGTACGACGTGAAGGAAGTCAAGGTACCGGTGGCTCATTTCATCGTGCAGAGCGTTTCACTACGCCGGGACGTGGATTAATACAAGACCAAGCTATCCTGTCGTAGGAAAAATCTCTGCCATGTTTCCGGAACGCTGCGCATAGAACCGGTCGTCTTCTTCCGCTGTTCCCCTCCTTGCGGCTATCGCAATTTCGATGACGTGTTGGTGTCACATTGTGAATAGCAAAGCGGCCAAGCCACGCGCAAAGCAGTAGACACCGTCGGCATGATGCCCCCTTTCCAGGACGCTTTCAAAGCTCCTTTCCGTAAAAATCTCCTCGTCCAACTCGGATGGTGGAAGACTGATACCGGCCATTAGCGGTGCAGCTTGCTGCAGAATATGACCGTACGACTGCATGAGAGTCGGATAATCGAAGTCTGACCAATCTTGCAATCCCGTGATACAGTATACTCGCCGAGCATGGGTTTGCAATGAGCTGTGATCCAGAGTTAGGGAGATGATCCTGCCGCGGTCTGCTTATGTCCGTAGTTCCAGAACCGTCGCGTGTGATTCAAGGCCACGATTTGCTCCAGTGCAGCCACATCGATTAAATGTTCTTGCTCGCGCTAGGACCTCGCAGCTGCAACATCTACGTCTATTGTGCTTTGAATTTAGTTATCGACATTTGCGACGGACGCCAGGCGGTTTTCATACAGTAATTGATTAGGACCCCGGCGCATGACGACAACAAGTGGAAGAGGATCGCCAAGGATAGGGCACAAAAGGCCACCGGTTCGAAGGCCCGACAGCCGACACAAAGACCAGGGATGAAGTCTACCATGCTCAACGCGGCACGAGCCAAACGAAGCACCACCAGAAGCCTACCGGAACAGGTCGGATCACATTCTAAGAGAGTTGACACGGCATTACCAGGCAAGCACACGAGGCGGCTGTACGATCATCTCCCATGGAGGGAGGCGAACGTGCTGGCTCAACTCAGGACAGGCATGGCGAGACTGAATAGTTATCTTCACCGCATTAACGCCGCTCCGACAGATCTATGCGCATGCGGGCAAGCGAGAGAGACCGTCGAACACTTTCTCTTCCGATGTACTAAATGGACGGCGTTCCGAACGGAGATGCTCCAGTGTACAGAAACTCACAGAAGCAGCATATCTTTCTACCTAGGCGGAAAATCACCGACCGATGACAGGTCCTGGGCTCCAGACCTGACGGCAGTCCGGGCGACAATCCGGTTTGCAATGGCCACAGGACGACTGGTTAACACCGCCTGACGAAACCACCATCCCCCTCTCATCATCATTTCCGACCCCCTCTGTCTCAACTCGTGGCCATACAAGCAGGCGCGCTTCAGCTGCCGAAGATAGGATGTTGAACACTTGAAGAATAGCCTTCAAGCCAGACTGCTACGGTAAGTTTACTAACACGAGACTCCGCAAAGACACAGCGAGCGAGTGGAGCTACACGGCGAAGAGGAGATTTAATTTTGTATGGGCTTCAAGGAGACTAGGGCATATCTTGAGAAATGTATCAGTAGATCAGCTTTAGCTTGCCCTTTCGGCTTTGCCGCCGGGCGTAATAAATTGTGTGTGTGTGTGTAATTGATTAAAAGATTAACGAACATTCTTGACTGTCTATGGATCAATGATATTCGAACACGATCGCTCAATACATAGCTAAGGGAGTGACAACGCAACCGGGCCCGCTAAGGTTGCGAGGGCTAGGTCATAGTCATTGTCAGGCAATTGACTCGTTACCGCTGCAAACACCGCGCCAGTGAGTCCTTGCGGTACATCCGCAACTCCCCTGCCTTGACCAACGATCGATAATACCGTATATACCGGCACATTCAGCTGATTAGTCCAGCCCACAAACAACTGTTTCCCCTGCTCGACAACGAACGGCGTCTGCATCGGATCCCAAGAGAACGCCATTTCTGACGGGGCCGTGGTGGTGTTCGCGGTGGTAGCCGGGCTCGTGGTGGTATTTTGATATGGCGCGATGCTCGAAGCTATCCCCGTGGCCGCTGAAGATCTGTTGTCAGCTGCAGTCGGGGTCGACACCGTCAACGTAGGCAGGATTGGTAGTGGGAGTTCTGTTGGACATGATCCAGGCACGATAAATGACAGAGCCAGGTTGTACGCCCAGGTGCTGCTGATCCCGGTGTCGAATGGAGTTGGACTGGGGACTCCGCCACCCACGTGGCGGAAGAAGGCGTCATGGCGGGACTCGACCGTCACGATCGACGACAGCGTATTGACAATCCAAGGATCGGTGTACGAGGCTCGACCGACCAGCCCGATAAGGGCGCTGATGCCCACCGAGGTGATGATCTCGCCCAGACCGATGAACTCGTCAATGGATGTCACTGGGAACGAATATTGGCATGGAGCAATCACAGGGGCACCATAGCCATTGAGCAGGTCCGTAATGGTTGCTACGTGTACTTCTTCCTGCTGCACAAGGCACAAAGAGGTTAGACGGACAGGGAGCCGTGATGGTGAACTCACCGCCGCGATTTTGCTGAGCACTTCGGTCGTGTCATTTGGATAGCCGGCCGTTCCCCAGCTGGAGATATTTTGTAGTCCGCTTTGAAGATAGGATGATTCCAGGTTCTCGAGAAAGAGGGCTAGTTGGAATTCCTTTACCGCTTCCGCCGACACCATGGCAGGCTCACCGCTGTCCGGAATGCCGCCTCCTGCGGTGCTGATGGTGTCCGAGCAGAGTGGTGCAGCGGCCGTAGTCGCCATTCTTGACAAGATAGGTAGGAAGAAACAGAAAATTGTGGAACACAAGGGGGATGACATGACCGCCCTGAACGTCGAGAAACGTAAGTTAATACTAGTAGTAGTACTTTGTGGTAGACGAATTCCTCACATCCTCCCAGCTTCCGAATTTCATGGAATATATATCGATTCACGTCAGGCTTCCACTGGATATGTTCGGCCCCTCGTATCCAAGGGTCCAATTCCTGTCCCCTCCGTACTATTCTTGTCTCGCACCTCTCCCCAGAGGATCCTAAGTATAGCGGTGGAGCTTCGAACTGTGCGCCAATAATGAAGAAGGAAGATGGGTAAGAAGTAGATTGTCATTGCCGACAAAGGACTTACTGGAAAACAAAGGTCAACACTCAGAACTAGCGAAGTGAAAAAATGATACCAAAGATGATGATTTCGACTAGGCGAGTCCAACTCTGCGCTGGATGTTCCACCCACAAAGTTAAGCGCCGAACAAGATCTGTACGTCAATAAGAACGTTCAAACTAAATGAATGAGTGTCGGTACAGGCGTGTCGAATACAGGTGCAAGGGTTGTAAAGGGGTGGAAAAAAGGGCAACAGTATTCGCAATGCACGCTCCGACGAGGCTCCGTAAGCCGAGATCTCTGATTGGCGGCCTAGTAATCGACAGCCTTGTCGGATTGATATTTGTCCAACTAGAAAATCGTGACAGGTATGGATGATATGGGTGTGGTTGATTGTAGATACCTTCCCTGCCGTCCTCTAGGCTTGAAGAGCAGTCAACGTATGTCTTCGGTACCGACCCGAGACGAGAGGTCGAGTCACCTTCAGCTAATCCTTTCACTCATTACCATCGATGACTAAAAGCATGTATCCCCCTATCCATATTGCCATCTGCCAGACAGAGACGGTAACTTTGCCAAAGCCGCAAGATTACTACTCCGTGGTGCATGCCAATCCGATGGCGCTCTCCCTTTGCCAGGCTTGCCTGGCAGCTAATAACCCTGCTCGATACAAAAGTGCCCCCCACACGGCCATGATGTGCATGATCTGGTGGCTAGCGCCCAAGACGTCGAAAGCATCCCAACAGAACCTTTCTGGAATTTGCATGCAGTGAAGAATGCCTCCCACAGAATTCAGGATGATCAGGTTCCTGTAGGAGGCCAGGAGGATAGTTTGACAGTGAGTCGCTTCCCAGTGATGAACGACAAGTGACATCGCCGGTAAGGTCGCCGAAAATCCGAGCGCGAAGAAGGTTAATGTACGTGTGGCGCGGCTTTCGGGATGTCGGAATATTGGCTGAGAGACACACAACGTTGCGAGCAGGGCCGCGGCCGTTATAACGCCGAAGTGATATACCTGCAATTGACGGTCGTAATAGAATGCGAAATAGATAAAGGAAACCGCCGTGCTCCAGATGACAACCACGATGCCGAAGTGATCTAGTCGCTGTGCCAAAATCATGACTTTTCGGCTGTGGTTGGAGAGGAGATGGTGGAGGAATGACAGAGTGAAGCAGACAATGACCCCCAGGAAGAATGTGACGACTGCCACCACATCCAGGGTCAGAGTTCCTGACTGGGCAAGGAACTGGATGAGGAACAATGAGAAAGTGATGGCCCCAAACAGATGTGACCAGATGTTGACGGTCTCGTTATGCCAGCCAGCGATGTCTTTCGCGGACCGATAGTAGGAGTAAGAGGCCTTTCTGTAACCAGACCGGATATACTTGTTCTGCTTTTGCCATCTTGGCAGGCTTTTCCAGCGTAGGGACATGATTTCATACTGTAACGGATGTGGAAGAGTCATGCACGCAGCCGGATATGCGGGATTATATGACTTATATGGTGAAAATGGATTTGCTCGTAAGTTGAGGCCACTTTCGGCCCCCGCTTGATTGTCATCTTCCCCGACTCTACTGGTCTAATAGCCATTTTAGGCTCTTTCAGGTCGAATTGAGGTCGATTACGCCCTGGTGGGCAGTCGTGTTTATCGGCAAGATGAGCGGACGCAGGCCGTTACTGTTGCACATCCCGCACGCGTCCAACCCTGGCAAAGACACGCAGGAAGCGTGCAAAGACTGTTGACGAGCAGAGAGTCGCGGCAGAGAATCGTCGTCCACGAGCCGAGCCGCACTCTCGAAGCGTCTCAGCAGGAAATGAGAGGTCCACCAGATTCATCGAAAGACTGAGCGCAGGAATTTCCTGAAGGATTAGGATACGCGGCTGTCAAACAAATGATGACTTGAGAGGGGGCCCTCAGTGAAACCAAAGGTCATTGTTATCCCTTTACGCCTGGGGTACCGAGTTCCATTCGCCCACGGTCTGCCGAACTTCCTGACAGAAAACTTCGTGTAAGGAGATTCAGTCACCATCGTCTGATAAGTTGAGAAAGTAAAATACATCTTCACGGCTGGTATCGCGAGACTCCATTTCAATGTGAATCGCGGCGCTGTCTGGATAATCGTAGTCTGAACAATTCACCGTCGTAGATGCTTGATGTGACGCCTCAGCGCTGGGCATGTTCGGGACCAGGGGCTGTGCCAGGGGAGGCTCGGCGAGCAATGCGTCGGCATCAACCCCCAAATTGTCTGCCCCTTCGTTCGGAGGTAGGAGAGAGCCGCCGTGACTGGACATGAAGGCGGAACAGAGGTCAGGCGACAGATCCGTCTCTCCAGCGACATGTGACAGGAAGGTGGTGTAAGGGGCCTCCCGAAACCTTTCGTGGGGAGCTAGAGCGAATTGCGAAGATGACTCAGCTGTGTATAGGCCCGGCTCAACCGCATCCATGGGCAGGTCGAAGGCAAAACCAGAGTCGGCACATTGGGGTGGGTCGACATTATTTGATTGGTCCCAACGATCCCATGATGTTGAGCCTCCGTCGCAAACCGCGGATGGCGAATGCGGGTCGGTCTTCCATACTTGTAGGTTGGTAATTCTCTTCTCCAACAGCGCCGAAGAGCAGCCTTCGGAGAGCCAGTTGTGAGGTAGGGCGTGGTTGACGCAGATAGTGTCCACCAAGGACGACAGTGTTGACAACCAATTTGCCCAGTCCGCCACTCGTAGCTCAACGCGATCCAGAAAAGCTGATAGAGCGGCCTTTGACATGGTTCGCATGCTGTTTCATTCTGCTAAGCATGGGACCCCAAAAAGAAGGGTCATCTTCACGTGGGAGAACTTACTATTCGTCCGATACTTCGTCCGGTATGAGCAGTAGCATTCCTTTACCAAAGCGCGTGATGATGTTTGCCCACGGCAGCCCCGTCGCCCTCCAGTTCTGAATCTTCCTGGCGGCGGCGTATCTGGTCACCGTACCCCCCTTCCGCGTCGCTCTCTTCGTCTTGCCGCTCGGTAATGAGCCGGGGAATAGAAGGTCCACGAAATGATCCATGGCCGCTCGTTTGTGTTGTGCATTGCGAGCTTCACGGCCCATCGGCGTCTTAGAGACCCGTTGGCCCGGTCTCGACCGCGGGCGCTGGGGGCTGCTCATATTTTCCATGTATTGCAGTGCGCACGAGTCGTAGGCATAAGAGAACTCCGCCAAAGTCAATCTTTTCCGTAGTCGATATATCCGCTCATTCTTCTCAGTGAGGTTAAGTTCTTCTTTTAAAAGCCACAATTGTCGCATCGAGTCGGGTTGACCCGCCAGATGTTTCGGAATCCCTTGACCGCATCGTTCGTTGAAACTTTGTCTGTCCTTCTGAGCCCGGACATTCAGCTCGGCGATCGTGTCTCTCAGCCCTTCCAGCACCTGTATTCCACCTATGCGGTCGATGGTCTGCAACATAGCTGCAGTCAGAAGACCATCGCGGTCCACCACTCGGTTCGATTTTGGCCCTTTGAGACCGGAGCTCGCCATTTTCCGCAATGTCTTCTTTCTCGGCCGTTCGGTATCTGAGCTTTCCGCCCTTGCAACCGTTGGTGGTTCCCAGCTCAAAATTATTGGGAAGTAATCTTGATTTAACTGTAGCTGGGCCTCTTTCGGCACCGTCGTACATTCTTTTCTTTCATCGTTTCCACGACCGTTTTCAACGGTCGCCCACTTCACCACCGTTGGATCTTTTAGATGTAGAGCTCGTACACTCTCTGGAGGTGTCGGAAGTCCATGGGGGAATTGCCGGTGAGCCTCAGTGCTTGAACACTCGTCTGCGTCGTAATTTAGCTGTTGATCGTGGTCACACTTGGTAGTCCAATCTTTAGCACAATCTTGGGTGAGAACACTGTGCAGCACAGACAGCATCGCATTATGGTGGCTGGGGTTAGATTCCAACCAAAGGCGAAGGTATAAATGGAACTAGACGGTACCCGTGGGTTAGCACAATTGGTCGACAAGAGGACAGGTGGATTCACCTCATCCAGGCTGAAGAACAGATCTAACTGCGGATGGCTTGCCTGCGGGAGAGAGCCGATTCGAATTTTCAGCGCCATTAATTCCAGGACGTCAGCTGCCGTAAAGTCAAGGATTCTGGGATGTCCAGAGGGAGTTGGGGGCTTAGTTCGTCTTGTGAATCAGCAGATACACGGTTTCGTTTCGGCTGGAAGAGACTGGACTGAGGCGTCTGCTTGCAAATCAGAAGGAGTGTAATCAAGAATGCAGCGCAGACTTAGCCTTCATGACCCCCGAAAAGCGTATGCAGGTTGACTGTCTTTATCAACTTGGGCCAAGTTGATACGAAAAGGGAAGGCTTCCATAATGGGCCCCGCTCCCAACCCCAGCCAGGTCTCCATACTAAAATGGCCCTTTCAAAGCCTACTTACTCTATTCATAGCATGATCAGCGTCCCACTTTTTCCCCATAGCACAGCGAGCGCAAAAGCAGAGAAGATCGATCGCCGGGGGTTTGACGAAGGATGTTGTTGAGTTATGCATTGCATTAGCTAACGACGGGTGTTCCTGCGCCGCCGGCGCCATTCCCTTTTCGTTACCAGGGCGTTTAATGAGTCCAACTGTGGGTCTGGCAGCCTCCACGCATAGCCCCCCGGGCTAAGAGCAAGTTTGCCCACTTTGACACTTGCTCACCATGTTGGCCTGTCTCTCGACGATTCCACTGTCAAAGTCCCCTCCTCCCTCCACCGGCAATGACAGTCCTACCCCAAGACCTCGGTTTGGTACACCCAGATACGCTCGAACAGCTCTAGGGTGACCTCCTTGACCTCCGATGTATGCATGAATGACTTGAAGCGAGTGGAATCTATTATTCTTCGCTACCTGTAACTATTGGAAGTCTGCGAAGGCCAAGGAGTGACCAACGTAGACTACCTTTGACAAAGGCACTTATCAAAAGAGCGCATTCAACCCATAAACCAAAAGAGCGTGTGCTTGTGAATCAGAGCCTCTTATCGTTGGCCCCTCTCATGGTAATCGGTGCCAGCCGAGCACCGACAAGCAAACCCGGAAAAAGATAACCAGAAGATAGATTGTCCGGAAGAAGTGACGGCGGTGAAAAGAGCGACAGGACCGTTGACGGTCAGTGTGACAAACCATCACCCACTCCAGGTGAGCGAAAGAACGGAGGCAGCGATCCACCCATTGAACGACGAGGTGGTCCATTTCCACAGGACCTCCAGGTTCGTCCCAGCTTTCGTCCCCCCCCTACCGGGCTCTTCGCCGCGGTTTTGCCCTTTTGGCGCCCGACGAACCTCTGCGTCTCGCTGTTCCCTCCTCCAACCTTTTCATCTCCTCCCTGAGATATTGCATTCTAGTTTCTTTGTCTTCTCTTTCCTCATCATAATCACTTTCTTCGGCTTCGTCCTCATCTATGACCGCTCGAGGGAGTTGCCCTGCCTTCCTCCTGAAGGTGTTCAGCTTTTCGTCCACAGCATCTATTCCAAATTCTTCGCCCAGGTACGACCGCCAGTACCAGGTCGGTTCCCTATCGGGAAACGCCACCCAAGCCATCAACATCGCCTCATCATCGAAGTCGGTTCTGACTGGAGCGACGCCAAAAATGGCCACCTTGTTCCAGCTCATTCCCCGTAATGAGGCTTTGGTCCCGGCCTTGATGTCTGTCCCGCCCAACACGTGCTGGTTCCTCTCGACAAAGCTTTTCCCGAATTTGCTCGCCCTGACGAACTCGAAGATATCGTACCCGTTTCGTCCATCTTGTCGAAGCAGGACTCGATGGCCGTATCCCGCCTTCATGTAACCGTACAATTCCTTCTCGATCCCTCCTTCGAGGACGCATCCATCCCTTTCGTTGAAGGCTAGAGATTTTGGCAACCTCCCCGACCGAGGTCGAGTTGTGGTTGTTGCGGGTGTCGGCGGGATTGGACCTGAAGTGGGCTGATCGGGCGGCTTCGGTATGGCTATGACCCAGCCGGGTGGGTAACCGCGCTCCTGATTGAATTGTTGAATCCAATCGTTCATCAATTTAAGCTCATGCCTGGCGTTTTGGTCGGGGCGTTGTTTCAATTGCTCGCGAAACGGCAACGCCCTCTTGAAGAAGTTGACCCATGTTTCGACGTCGACGACGAATCGGTCCGAACCGGTGAATCCATTCGCGGCATTGATCTCCATGATCTTTCTATTTGCCCCTTGTAGGCCGGCGATCGCTTGCTCATTCTCCGGGTCGTCGGTAAGTATCCCTAGCAGCCCCTCGCATACTCTGTACACGTCGCGGTGAGCGTCGGTCAGTTGTGGGGTCGTGGGCTGGTTGGAGTTTCCCATGTCCATGTCTCGTCTCGTCGATGGTGCCTCACCGGAGCTTTCGTGGCTGGTGTCATTTTCCGGCAAGGTGAGATTGTCCTCTACGCCATCCCAATCTCTCATCTTCGCTATGGCAGCTTCGTTGATGCCTAGGTGCTTGGCCGCATCGTTGACTCCTACATCCAAGGCGCGCCATTGTCAGTTTACAATTTTCGACGTCCTCGAGAACTCAGGAGCTCGCACTTACTGTGAAATGCCTGCGCCGCATGATTCACCTTGTTATATTTTTCATGCGTCAAGCATCCAAGCTTCTTGAAGGCCGCCATCACCTCTCTTGACTCCTCTTCTCGATTTGGATTTTCATCTCCGAGGCCAAGGATCTGTCGGTAATCCGTACTCGAGCATTTCATCACTCTCTCCACGGCATCAATCTGCTCCGGGACCGCGCCATTGTTCCCTCCCGTGTCACCACCGGATCTTTCTCCAGAAGACTGAGGGTCCCCAGTAGTTGACCCTTGTCCTTCGGCCGTGCTATTTTGACTGTTGGCCTGACGCCTCTTCTCGTCCTCCTCCAGCCGGGCAATTTCAGGTTCTGGGGTCTGTTCTGGCGTGGTCAGACCATGGGCTAGTCGGGTCCTGGCATTCTTGTCATCGGCAACAGGGTCAGAGGAAGAGTCGCTCGCTGTCGTCATGTTTGGACACAAACTTGGGCCACGACCGGAATTGTGCAACGCAGATGTCTCAGAGAAAAGGACTTCACCGACCAGTTCGCCGTGTAGACTGTATACCGCTCGAACGCTGATGTTGAGGCTCTGGGACCGGACCGACGTCTAAAAAGGCATTCAGAATTGAGACTCCCCGGGCTGTGGATGGTTATATAGGACGCAGCCTTGGAAGTGTCGGAATTGAGCTTCTCTGACACGCCTCGGCCACTGCCCGTTGGCAGACTGTTTAGGTGACTTCCTGCCCGCTCTCTCAAGTGCAGAAGCCGAAAAGGGCTCCGCGGCGCCCTAACGCGCGACGCCTGAGATCCCAATTTGGCTTTCTAGATGGGAGGCACGATGCAATCGCGACCACACGTCCGTAGATGGTTTCGAAGTCCCCTTGAGGGTCCGTCACAACTCTCCCCTTGCTCTGAAATCTCACATCTGCAATCCGGTAGCAGCACTTCCACGATGGAGGATCTGGAGAACAGCCCGTTCCGAGCATCGGACATGAGATTTAGTCAATTCCTGATAATCCTTTTCTTTGCGCATGCTGCATGTCGAGCCATTTGCTATATCATCGACGTCACGATTCTCGTCTTTCGAACGGGGATATTTTTCTACCTCCTGAGCTTCGTCATGTATGGCCATGTGGGACGACGTTTATAAAGGACGGACAGGCGAGGGGTTTGCGGTCAGATCTTCAAGCTATCAGCTGCTTCTGGGTACAAGAACACGGCACGAGGAGAGTCAAGGTTGAATGTTTTGTGGGGGGTGTTAGTGAAAAGAGTTGGGACATTACCCACGTCAGGACGTCCGCCGTCTTCCTCCTTCCAATCTCGATCTTGCCCGACCTGTGACGTACACTTTCAACACACCAATGACACGACAGACGCCGGATTAAACGACTACTTCCATCCCGTAGCCACTGAACGGCCACGAAGTCCCCTTCCTTCCTGCTGTTTTTGCAGCCCGAATGAGTTGCCTTGGGTCCGTCTTGGGCTCTGTCGATTGCTTGGCTGTGCTTTTTGGTCCTTAGGATGCTGATCCCATCTCCCCTCCGAAAGTTCGAGGTTTAGCGTATCCATTATGTACTGTACTGTGATGTATCATATCATGCTGCGCAAAAGAAATGAAGTGGTACAGTAACTCAATTCAAGAGGTAGAGTCTGAAATGGAAATGACTTGGCATGCCTTGCGGTTAAGTTAAGATTACCGGATTCACGTGGATGGATGGCTCTGTGTTGTCGGGAATTGAATGGCGAATCTTATGGGCCAAGAAATGACTACTCTGATTGGTTATGCAAATTCGGTAGCTCGTAGCATCCGGCATCCGAGCTCATACGTCACGGCTCTGCATGCCAACCTTAATGCTAGCCGTGTCCACGCCTTGTTCAGAGTTCGTGTTGAAATCGTCGTCAATCTGCCTCTGAGCTCTTCTCCACTCGAATACCGCCTGCTGGAGTCGGTCTAAAACCTGCTTCATCTCTTCTTTAAAAGCCCGATTGGCGCTTTCCTGTCTCTGATATTTGGCGAGCTCTTTTTGTAATGCTGTCTTCTCCCCGGTGAGTTGTTCAATTCTCTGCAGTGGAGTAGGACGTATAGCGCGTTTGGAGGCCTCAAGTCGAGACCTAGACGCTTCGAGCGCCACGGATGAGCCTTGATTGTGATCGATCAACTTGTCCATTGGGCTCGGCGCAGGAGGCTGATTCGATGAGGATGGACTGTGGACTTTGCGTTGACGTGGCGTGTTCATGATCGCATGGAGGTTATGATACACTTCTAAGGATTCGACTGTGGAAGCGATGATGGTGGCTTTCAGTGACGACCTCGGTAGATATATTCTACGAGAGCCAGGAATAGGGATCCGTTACATCTTTTTTTAGGATCCTCAACCACGGTAAGCTTTGAGGGTTCTAGAAAAGGATTGGTGAGAGAGGGGACCGGAAGGAGATCCTTCTAGACGAGTTGAAGAAGATTGTCCCAGTGTTGACATGCACAAAAGAGGAAACATGAAAGTGGCTGCCAATCCCGCACCAGCACTGTCCAGGGGAACCACTGCTGGAATGGGAACAAGCTGATGACCCGTCCATCTTGCCCGCCGGGATTACAGATCCCCATTTACAACGTTCTGAAGCTCCGACATGGTGCCAGAATAACGGGATTCCCTGAAATTTCTCCTGAGGACTTTATAAAACGGTGCTGGCACTGAAGATGGAACAAAGACGATGTGTATTACTAACAAAATAGCATAGACGAATCAAATCCCTCAACTTCGCCTTCACTCCCTTCCAGGCAATTCAGTAGCATACTACTCTCAACTCCGAATTTTTCGGCTCCAACTTTCGGCCCCTTCGAGCTCTCTTCGGCTGCCTTCGACCTCCTCGCCCAGTAACCTCGTTATCTTCCGTTTTGATGTTTTCATCGTGGCCTGAAGACGGTGGCTCCCTTTTGATGGCCGGTGAGACGATCAAATCTGTAGAACGGGTCCTGGCGGTGGTCTGTTCACACCGCTCCAATTTCTGATCTGCTAGCGACAGACGTGCTTCAAGGCTGGATAGTGTGTTCTTGTAGCCTCCCACCATATGTTCGTACTCTTGCTCCATTTCCTTAATCCTGGCCTGAAGCTCCAGGATCCTCACAGTGGTCATTCCATTTTCGCTCGAATCCAGCTCGTGAACTACCGCGTCCTTCGGATGGTCCGCAGTGTCGATCGTGCGTTCTTGCACGGCAACACCATTTTCCAAGACACGGATCCTCTCACGAGCTTGATTTAGGTCGCCTTGCAAGAACGTCTGCTGCTCGGCAAGGTTCATGCACCGGGCTTCAGACTCTGCGGCCATACGACGAGCCGCCTCGGTCTCCTGTTGGGCTATATTGAGTTCTTCCTTCAGAATGACACTGTTTTCGGCCAGTACATCTAATTCGTCGGTCTTGGAACTGTATGCCGTATGGATGTCCCACCACGACCTCTCCAAAGAGGTTTTCTGCGCCAGCAATGTGTGGATGTTGGTCCACAGAATGCGCTGGATGTCACAAGACTCTTTTTGAAACCCGGCGCACTGCTGGGTTACATAATGGAGGCGTGTCCAAGTAGCATTCAGGCTGTGGACATCCACCGGGGCAGAGCCAGTGGGCGCCCGCAGTCCCCTCGCAGTGTTAGGAGTGCCCTACAAGATGGATGAGAATTTGAATGGAAAATAATGGGTAACACGTACTCTGGCGGCGTCTAATCCTACGCTGTTCCTTCCGCTCGTTTGAGAAGCCATGTTTTGTGTCGAATTTTTGGAACCGTCGTTATTCGTCAGACTATGCCGTCCGATGCGGCTCCTTTTAAAGTAGACGACACGAAGTCCCCGTTCGTGCGATAGCAACAGCGACGATAACGACAACGACAAGGAGCCAAAATTAGTCCACAGCGAGCGCACCACGTCCCAAATCTTGAAATAGAAGCATAGCCATTCTCTCGATTCATAAATAGCTGGGAGTGGAGACACCATTTATTGTGGCCCGCGGTCGACTTCGACTACAGTACAGTATGATCACCTCATGCGAAGAAGTCGCTCTGCCGTCGCAGGTCTCTTGCCAGGTGCATTGAGTGAGGCTAGGGACCGCAGGCGGGGATGGGAATGATCTGCCGCTCTGATCACTCCACCTAAACGGTGGGGACCCAAACAGGCTCAGAGGCCCCTGCCGTGGCGTTGCCTCCTGCGGAATCCCACTTCCGGAGAGCCTATTGTAGGAGGCCCCGGCATGGATACACCTGCGATGCGAAGGGAGTTGATTGCGCCATCCCCCGGGTGGGCAATTCCGGCCCCCTCGTAAGCGCCAGCGTTTATCCTTTTGGGGGTCGCAGGGCAATCACGTCCTCTGTTGGCGGTGGGGCTGGGTATAGCATAGTAAAGCATATACCTCCAGAGTATATTTCCCACTGGATGTTGGTTGGGTGAATCTACATGGCATATGACATTCGAGAGAGTGAAATGTACAGTTGACCCACGTTTTGTAACATACTCATGGCCTTTCAGCACAATACCCAGAACGCCGGCGGCGGGATCTCCTACCAAGACGCGCTCCAAATTCTCTTTTCCAAACAGCCCACCACCAACGAGTATGTCCAAGACACCACGAACTACCTGCCACAGCAATCATCCACTGCTTTCCCATTTCGACAGGACAATACAAGCATCTGTCCGCACATGTACACCGAAGCTGCGTTTACACAACCGACTCCGGACCCGGACGTTGGTCAAGCAAAGGTGCCTGCCGAGCTTGTAGCCACGTTGGAGGAGATCAAGCAGGGAATGTCCTCCCTTCTTACCCGGAGCGATCAGATTGAATCTCTCCAGACTCAATGCAACCAACTGGAAATTCATTTTTCCGAGTTTCAAGATTGGTATAATCTCCCTAATGGACCCAACTCTCTGTGACTGACCACGGGAACAGGGTGAGAGCTTCTATGGACACGATGAAGAAATATATTGAACATCATAGACAGTGGTCTCTGATCTTCAAGAGAACGGTGGAAAGCCAGATCAAGGATCGAAATTCTAATCACGAAGGGCGGGCCGAGTCTGAGGGATCGACGGTAGAAACGCAGGATGCTTGAGAATGGTGCATGCCTGTATCTAAACTTTGCATGCACTTTTTCAATCTGACACGATAGAGGTTACCGTCCGAGGGCGTTTTGTGTAACCAGCAGGCCAATACATTCACCATTTTCAAAGAGTTTTGGGAACTTCATTCGAAAAAGCGACCCCGAGGCACCTTAGATATTAGTATAGCAAAAGAAGAAATTATTTACGCTTAGACCATGAAAACCATATTGTCCTCGAACTAAGATCTTATCGTCGGCAGCGTGGTGAATTTTGGGAGGCTGTGGGTACGTTTCAAACCCGGCACTTCACACTGATCTCTGTGCATCGGGAACGTCCCGGACACACCTTCGACCAGGCTCTTTTGTAGCTAGATCCATTCTTGAGGCCACTCCATCGGTCGATACTCCAGAGCTGACCGTGGCTCGATATAGATTCCCCAGAAAGCCAGCCAATCTGCATTGGCCATTTCTTCTTCCTCATCACATGCCTGGAGAGCCGTCTTGATGAGGACGGCCGCATCAAACCCCTCTTGCAGCAAATCTAAGGTGACGCGCAGACTTCTCTGGTGGCATGAAATCTGACATTTCAATGTCGATATTTCTTTCTCCAAACTCTCGATCGTGCTCAATTCCTCCCTTTTCTGGAAGTCGTCTATTCTTTTCAGCAACGCCTCCATGGACAAGTCGTCGTCATAATTGGAAAGGCTGCGCGTGTCTGGTTGCTCTTTGTCCATGTTTGTTCGTTGAGGCCTGAAGCAGGCGATTTTAGGAAGATTTTGGTGGAATACTCTTGGTACAGTAGGGAATGCTATATGACCGATCTTTAAAAGCCAGCCAGGTAAGATGCTCATCTTTATGTTCAACGGCTGAAATAGGCCATCGGTCGATCCTTGAAGAGGATCCTGGAGCTCGATTCGGCTCCCCTATAGTGGTCCACACGACTATAAAAACTGGAAGCCGGATCGCTCAAGTGCCTTTATGGCATCAAGTGCGTCTGTCCACTTACACAATCCCTTGACGCTGCTACCGTATCAGGAGTAACAACAGTCCAGCTTGCCGTCTGTAATTTCTTTTCCCCTTTTTGTTGTCGCACGAACACTGCACCACTTTCCAAAAATCATTTCAGTTTTGACAAATACAAAATTATTATACGCAATACGATGCTGTGCGGCTGTGGTATTATCATCAAGCTACCTCAATGGTTCCGTCGAAAGGAAAGCGAGAAGAAGGACGAGGAGGCCGACGAAGTAACAGCGAGACCTCCAACATACATCAGTGCGATTGAAGCAGTTCCCTCTCACGTCGACGAGGATAGTCCGATGGAAGGCATCGCTGACGGTCCTGATTTTTTGAGATCCCAGACTCCATCACCCGAATCCTTGGGAAAAACTCAACGAGCAGACGAAAGAGAGGGTTAGAAGAGCATCGAAATCATTGATGCTCTTATGTGACCGGGCTAATTAGATAGAAACGAACTGTATTCAGATGTATCTCACCAATAAGGATTAATTATCGAGGAAATCTGTGAATACAAAACGTTCCACTTGTGCTTTATGAAGGGCCACACCGATTTGCGTATTGAGAGAATGGTATGCATTCTATGATAAGCTACACTACCTAAACTATCTAAGACTCTTTCAACTTGCCAGTGACGGATGGAAGGCAGAAAGGACGAGAATCCGTCGTCAATGCATGTGGTGTTAGAAATCGTCGCTCCAGACAAAAAAGGTCGGGATCAGGGCCAGGAGAAGCCATATCAGCATGGTAGCTAGGGATACTCTCGATCGCCCTCCAAGGCCGGTGAAGAGGCCGATGTCGACCGACGTGCTAGTGGTAGAGGGTATACCCAGGCTGGTGCTCTGACTGGAGCTAAGAGACCCGTCGCCTGTGGTAGACGGTGACGACAGCGACGACGGCGACGTGAATGGTTCGTCAGACGGGACCAGAGGCGTATTAGTCGAAGGGAGGTTCGTGACCGGGACGCTGTTGGCAGATGCCGGAGGAATGGTCGCTCCGGAAGTGACATTGGCGGTGAATGGATTCTGAGAGGAGCAAGAGGTGCCAGAGGTGCTGGCGGCTGTCAGATTGACGACGGTAAAGCCGTAATTGCTGGTTAAGTTTATGACACCAGAGCCGACCAGGCCGTCAAATTGAATCTCAACGGTCGCCTCTGGTGGAGCGCTGGAAGTGTTTGTCCAGACAAAGTTCCTCGACATACTGGCGGTTGGCGTGATCGCCCCAAGGTCATTCTGAAAGGTGTCCATAGAGACCGCCATCAGAGAGAAGGCAAGAGCGACGAAGACAGAAGCCTGGGTGGCTGTGCGTAACAGGACCATTGGGGTGGTCAGTGGGAGAACGAGCAACGGGAGGGGACATGGTCCACCGCGACCTATATAGACAAGCCAGAATAGGATCCTCAAAAGGCAGCGCGATTATTAATAGAATGACCTCAAAGGCAACCGTGAACAGAAGGAGCCACAACGGGCTTCTCATATTATGCCGTGCTGTGAAATATAAAACGGCCATCGATATAGAGACTTCGCAACAAGTCAATTTCACGCTGGAAATAGAGATGGTTAAACAAAAGGAAGAGCAAACCCGAAAGGAGAGAACGACACAGCGACGAAAGAGGAAGCGAGGCTGGCTTAACAAAACATTTGAACTCTGGCATTTATGCGGGTTCGAGTTCACGGCATGTCTTCGTAATCCCGACAGCGGGCAAGTGACGTTCTTTCAGACGCCCGATGGAGGATCGTTGCCACGTAGCGTCCAAGAGCTTGTAAGCCGAAGACCTGATCTACCGTTGGCTAATCGGCGCTAAATCTCGTTCAGAAATCGACCGATCCGCAAGCGGAGATACTCTTCCCGAAGGATTTTGAGCATACGAGGGGAAAGGGAGGTCCTCGGACGAAGCCAAGACGAAGTGCAAAGTCGAGGCGAAGCCAACATGTGCAGGGCCACACCCAAGACAGACCCTCAGCAAGGGAAAGAAGAAAGAGAGTTCCCCTCCACAACTTGCCATTGCCGGACCCGCCAGTCTTCGGAGCTCCCGGTCAAAGCGATAGCAGGTTCCTGTTCAACAACGAACAGAGCGAGTTGAATCTTGTGGAATCCCGGCTTTTAGAGGAGCTGAATCTAAACATAGTCCCATAGACGTCAACGTGATCGCCGCTTTCTCGAACGACTCTCTGCAGATGTTCCACTCTCCTGTCCCGCTTGAGAGCCGTCAATGATTTCCTCGCCCACAAACTGCATACTGTAATCTTTATTTGGGTGGTGATGTTATATTGATAGCCAGATTTGAAGGGTCCGGCCCGCTAGAGACAGTATAGTATTCGTTCAGCAATCAGCAGGAGACTCAGTGGACATCTTTGTCAATAGTTGTAAGGGCCAAAGTTGATTGCGGATGGGGGCCAAAAGCGGTAGAGAGCTATTTGGGCTCTACGTCCATGGGCTACCGTGTTCTACAGCAACACTGCGAAGTGAAGAAATATTGATCGAGTCGCCCGTCGAAGCGATTTGCAGGATCCGGTAAGAGCGCCCGCGATGAGCCTCTGCTCCGTTCGCCCTGGGTTGCCAGGATTGGTTGGCAGTCCGCAGACTGTGGAGTATCAAGATTGACTTTGGAGGCACTGGGCGCTTGAACATGTGATAATTCAACCAGGGTTCAAACGAAAGTTTTCCACACACGAGATCAAGGGACCTGGTCGATAAGCATCGAGGGGCAACGCCACGATGCTTAATTTCTCCACACCCTTCTTCAACTTCTGGCCGAACTTCGTTAATGACCTTATAAAGCACAAGCAGGCAGTCTTGGGCGGCTGGGGTCACGATTCCACGCACGCTCGACTCCCGCGTCCTCTGGTCCCCAGGAGAATCTCTTAATTAGCTCGTGCTAACTACATATCGCCCAGTAATCCACTCATCTCCACTCTTCGATTTCTGTTTCTAAATACGTCAAAAGGCCAACAGGAGCGGGAGTTCCAACCATAGCCTCTCATCTGCATTCTGGCTAGAATGCATACGTAAAAAATACCTCGGACGTTCAATCTGAACCATACTCGTCGGGACAACGATCAGACGGATAGGGCGTAGAATGTCTGGCAGTACACTCCCATGGTGGCTACCGGCCGAATGTAGGGAGGTGGAATGTGACTGATCATGTTCGATACTCAATTGACCTTTGGTGTCTACAGCTCCCTGACCTCGACTAAAGGAGCGCAACCGGAGAAAGATCTAGCCAGGCGTGGAACCTGTACCGTCCTCCCGTGCTCTTATTGGAGTATTTCTAGAAATGGCAGAGATGTGCAAAATATCTGAAATCTACCCGGCGTTACAAAACCTGCCATGAGTTCAACTCATATAACCGGCCGGCGGTTCCAGAGCAAATTCCATCAGTAAATTGAGCCTTCGCCTCAACTCATCCTCCCAGACAGATATCACGATGAGAAACGTTCTGCAACACCCAACCTCAACGATGACGTGGATAAGAAAGCGACGTGGGCTCATAACAAAAGTCTCGCTGTTTAGCGAGGTATAAAAGTTGGTTTGGTCGTGGGAGTGACCCGTGGCGGCGCTTTTGGCATATCGTTAAACGCGCTTGGGGTCTTTTGCGTCCAGGTCGACTTCCAGTAATCTCCATGGGGTAGCTCCTTTCGCCAGCCCTTCTCTTCTCCAGGCAGCTCGACCGTGAGTGGCGCATCAGTAGACTGATCAGGGCAATCATAGTTGTAAATGTAACAGTGCATCTCCACGACCATCACCTGTGAAGGCTTCTTTGATGCATCCCATGCTCTCTTCCTGGCGCTGCATGCTGGTCGCGAACAGACCCCAGGAATTGGCTCTTCTCCCGGAGCGATAGGATGATCTCTCTGGTAAGCCGTGGACCGGAGTTTGCGGCACAGAACACATCTGTGCCCCAATGCGGGTGGTTCAGAGTATCTCTTCGGATCTGGTGTTGATCTCGGATCTTCAAGCTCGACTGGTTGTCGAATTGTAGAACGACGCTGATTAGTAGAAGACATCCTGCTGATGGAGTATTTTTCCGTTCTGGCCCTCGACGTTCCTGCCACGACCATAATGACTATCATGTATTCAGACGCGTAGTTTCTGGAAGAGAGACCATGCAGCCTGGATCCCAAGAAGAAATAGATTGCGAGAAACGTCGATCGCTCCTGAGAATCTTGTCCGGAGCCCGAAACGTAACCCAGGTCCGTGGTAGATCAAAATTGGACGTCAAAGGGCCACGTCTGGGGCCTTTTTGAGTCGCTTCGTTTGCTCCTCACCAGCAATTCAAGGGATCTAGATTGAGGTCTTCTCACAGAATGATGCTCACTAGTGATCTCTTAAGAGCATTGTGCCCCGCGCCCCTGGTAATGGCGACAACTTCGCATTCACATTTCGGCCTTCGTGATGGCACGCTGCTGCCACAGTGATTGGCTTACCCTCCGTATCGAACGTAACGAAGTCATCGTGTTCATCTCGGATCGGCTTCAAGCGCTTATCAACGACATTCCCCGTTCTGACCTTCAGCAGCCCAGCTTGGTGGTTTTGATCGGCCATACCGCCAAATCATCAGCCCTTCGGTCGCTCGGTGTGGACAAGAACAGGGAGAAGTCGGCAGGGAGAGGGAAACGTGGCGGCGAGGTGCATCTCCAACTGGGAAATCCCGACGTGTTTCAGGACGTTCCAGTGCTTCTTGCAGACGGCGACCTTCCATACCGGGACGTCAGAAAAAGGTCCTCGGCCCAATGCCACGAGACGAGACAGGTGATGCTTCCTCGCATTCGGGGAGGCGTCCAAGATCTAGCTTTGGAAGATGCTGCTGATTATCTCTACTCCCGTCTCTTAGGCGCCTTTGCTGATGTCTTTTGCTTCTTTTCCACCGACGTCGACGGCTTTGGTCCCATCGTCCGCCGACTCGCATTGTGGCTCGAGAATGGCAAGCCGACAACACTGCCGAAGACGACGTATCCACGGATGGTCGTGGTGATGGAAGCCACAGACCCTGGCGACGAAAGCGACCAGGAGGCCGCGGAGGTCCTCCTGCACGAACTGAGAGACGAGACGACCAAAAATCCCCTGGAGATGTTGTCGGCTCTCGAGGTGGTAACCGTACCCCGCGGAGGGAACTGCTACCAGCGCCTGGAGGAATACCTGATCCGGGCACTGAACCAGGGTCGAAGGCACAAGGTCGAAGCAAGGATGCTTTTCTCTGGGAGGCACTTGGCTGCTTTCTTCGAATATGCGAGTGACCACTTTGGCAGAACCACAAGGGAGCCATTCGATTTTGTGAAAGCGTCGCGTGTGCCAAATCCTGTCGCGCCGGACTTAGACATGCACCTGTCTAACTTCCTGAAGCATATCAAATCGCCTGAAGAGCTGACGGACTTCGCGGCGCCAACGATTGCGTCGAGCTTCCTGCTAGATCACTACCCGCCCGGGATGCACGGTAAGTCAGAGCTCCTTTCTGCACGTGGCGAGACCAATCTGACGGCCCCGTGGCCTTCGACCCCGGAGATGTGTTCCAGACTCTATACAAAGACGCATGCTATCGTGTGGGCAGGAGCGGTGTGCTTGTGTATGACGGCTCGATAAACTTGCTTCTTCCGTCCGGCTTCGTCCAAGCCGTCTCGGAGCAGCTGCAAAAATGTTTTCGGGACTTTATCGCCGGCACACCGTCTATGACGGTCCATCGCAACAATCTGAAGAGGTTCAAGCTTCGCTGGAAGCGGATGCGAAGCGACGACACCTGTCTCATATGCTTGCGCCGCACCCTAGAGAACAACAACTTGCCCTGTGGCCACGCGGTCTGCGAAAATTGCGTACGAGTCTTCGGACAGGCCGATGAGAATGATCGGTGGGCGTTCGGCATTCAGCGCTGTTTCCTCTGTGACAAGGCACTTCGAGAGGTGACGGTAAAGGTAAAGCCTGATACCGCCGGGGTCAACGTATTGACCATCGACGGGGGCGGCATTAAGGGAGTCGTGCCATTGTTGTTTCTGCAAATCCTGCAGGACAGGATGGGCCTACCGATCCCAGTTCAGGATAATTTCGAGATTGGGTTTGGCACCAGTTCCGGTAGGTGGACGCGATCCGCTGAACGGGCCCTCGCTGACGTTGACCAGGCGGGCTTATCATCCTCGCATTATTCATCAGTGGGTGGACGGTGGAGGATTGTGCGAATCTTTTCGAATCTTTTGCGAAAAGGGCATTTAGACCGCGCTGGATCTCTCACGTACCCGTTGTGTCCCGCATTCCGGTCCTATCGCACATTCTCGAGTTTTTCGTGTCGTGTTTGGCCGATGGTCTGTACCCAGCTGACAATTTGGAAGCTGCGCTAAAAGAAGTTTTCGGCAGCGACATGGGTATCCTGGATAACTCCCATGCAACCGCTATAGGCACGAAAGTGGGGATACCGGTGACCACGGTTCTGGAAACGGACCCGTGTATCTTCACCAACTATAACGGGGCGGGGCCGAGGCCGCAGGACTGCGGTACGTTGAGATTCGAATTGGCAATATAAGGGCGATCTCTGATGGATGAGCAGGATACCGTATTATCCGGTCACAAGACGGGCGAAGAAGGATTCGCCTGTGGGAGATGTAAGTGTCCATTTGCTATTTCTTTTCTGTTATGGTTAGCATGGAAAGATGACTGAAATTGTACACCAGAGCGATGAGCGGAGCTGCAGCACCTTGGTATGTTCCCTCCCGCCTCTTTCAGGCTTTCGGCCAGCTCACAGGGCCACAAGGTACTTTCCAGCAAAGCGCATTCCTGGGGTAGGAACCTTTCAAGATGGAGCCCTCTGGAGGAACAATCCCGTCGACCTCCCCCTGTGGGAAATCCCTGTGGTGTGGCCACTGATTCGAAGGCCCAATGTAGTCGTCTCCCTCGGTACCGGGTCCTCAGGACCACGCGTACAAATGTCGCACTCCAGCAGACTACGTGCGTTCTGGAGAGAGGGATTCCTGCCACGATCGTACAGAGCCTTCATGGAATTGATCAACGGCAAAAAAATTGCCCAGGCGTTCAAGAATGGAAGACGGGCAGAGTTGAATGGGCGGTACTTCCGGTTTGACGTTGAACTGGACAGAGAGGTCGACTTGGACGATACAGGTCGGATGCGCGAGCTAGCAACGAAAGCTCGGGAACAGTTCTGTCGGTCGGAAGATGTCGATGTCGTCGCCCGTTGCCTCGTTGCGACACGTTTCTACTTCGAACTCGAGTCAAAGCCAAAGAAGATCAAGGGGAAGTATTCTGGATCGGGCCATATCTTCTGTTGTTTGCCTCGAAACAGTCCCGAGCTGGAGGTGCTGCTGGGACAGTTGTCTAAACGGGCCGCGAGGTTTACCGTGAACGGCCATCGGACTCCTGGATCGGTCGGCGATCGGTCATTCATCGACCACGATGGAAACTTTCGCAAAAGAGTTGAATTTGAAACCAAAGACACATTATCTGTTCTCCTCCAAGAAGGGCCAGCTGATCCGCAGCATATCAGTGGATCTCCATACGTAATCCACGATCTTATGGAGATGCAAGGCCTCAACAACGATTTCGGTACTCCTGATCATAGGAAGCGAAAAGACCGCGAGGACAAGGAGTACGAGGGAGGAAAGAGGGCAGACGAGCCGGCCACGAAGCGTCGTCGAGCTCGGTAAAACGTCATTAGGGCTCGTCGAGGTATCCCGCTCGAGCAGGGACAGATTGGAGAAGGTTGTGAACTGGTGCAGTCTTCACAGGAACCTGGTACGACGTCTCCATCCACAGTACAAAGACAGTTGCTGATGGCCGTGCTACGCAGCTGGAAAGAAATAGTGGAATTTGAGCCTGTTCTGGCCCGACGAGAAGGATGATAAAGGGATGATGATATTGAGGCCGTTGAAGGAGAGAATAGGTCGCTTTAAGCTTCACGCTAGCCCGCGGCAATAACTCCCGCCGAACGTTGTGAGGTACTGGCCGCTGTTGGAATGAGAGAGATGATCTGTAATGTGGGGGTTTGCATGCATGGTATCCTGTAAGTCAGATGGAGCGTCTGACCGACCTATGTAGGAAGGCTGCCAAGCCAAGTCTAAATAGGAAGGCGGTCTGCAGGTAAGGCGGCAATAGCCCAACACCGCCGAGCTTTGTTATTCAGCTTCAAATTCTTGAAGCCGCCCGACATTCCTACGGCAAAACAGTCGAGGTCCCCTCTGCCAAACCATCATCAGTTCTCTTTCGAAAGGATTCGAAAGGAGAATTAGTTCCGGTAATGTTCAACCAAATCTTCTCATCCGAGTCGATTAATCTATCAGAGTCTATTTATTTACATCAGCTGGAGGGAGCACTTAAAGGGACCACTACTCGTACAGCCACACTTGACCATGTTGAGCCCAGCATTCCTCGACAAATTTATGAGAGTGATGCTAATTCGACAGCGATCCTTATTTGATTCTCTTCCTTTGCCGCATAGGAGTAAAATCGTCCTAGGATGGTTCCACAGCTCCCACTGAGGCGGCAGGACTCGATGTACGTGCTTCACTGGCCCTTCCCGATTTGCGTTTCAACCCCAGTGAGATAATAACAGCCGTGGTCGAAATTCAGGGCGTCTCGTGCCCGAGATTTTTGCCATCACTCATACAATCGGCCCAAAGCAGATACAGCGCCACTACTACTCACCAAGTTGCCGTCCCCCGCGGCACACATGAACCAAGCATAGCCGGAGACGTTGTTGTTCCCGTCGAGCCACGGCAGGACTGTTCCCAAAAACTGCAATTGTTGGTCTATGTCTCCATTGCCGCGTAACTCCGTAATCCAAAGAGCTCTCACGCCGTTTTGCGCTGCCAATGCCGAAGCGTTCGATACGAACGCTTGGAAATCCGACGGTTCGATTGCCGAGCCATACCAGTGGATGTTGACGACGTCGACTAAACACCTCCCTGCACAGGCGTCGAAGAATGAGGACAACCAGTCAAGGCCGAGTGAGTCGCCGAGTCCATTCGTCACCGACGGAGCGGCCAACTCGGCTTGGTCGTGGAAGGGATTCATATACTGTATGAACCCATCGGCCGCCTCGGAGGCAGTGAGATTTGCTTGTGTCGCGATATCTGGCTCATTAAAAGAGAAGAGATGTTTTGATCCATAGCTGATGGCGGAGGAGGCCTGCGTAAACCACGAAGACGTCGCGTCTTCATTAAGACCCCAGAGCGTCGGGATAAATTCAAGGTTCGAGGCAAGAGAGCCGTTGGCGAATGGAGCCCAGTTATAACCCCAGCTCACAGAGGACTGGTTTGCGAAGAGGTAGGTGAGGGTGGCGTCGTTATAGGCGAGACCTCTTTTACCCCGTATTGGACTTCCTGTTGTCTCTGGTGAAGGACTTGCAACAGTGCTCCCTGGAGGGGTGTCAGCCACTTGAGGAATTGATACGCAGCTATCACTTGGGAAATTGGTATTTGCCGACGCTGTAAGGCAGCTGGTTTGATGACGCAGAACAATGAGCAGGAAGCCCATGAGATACCTGAGGCAGTTCAGGAGGAACATGTTGATATTGTCGATGAGTATTCAGCTGCGGCATCGAAATTCTGAGTGTGAGGTTCAAGGTGAAATTCGCCACGGAACGACAAAAGGGACCTGCAGAGAGTAAGTATGTTCCCTATACTGTAGTATTGTACCGTTTCCAAAGAGACTAAACTAGGGAGTAGGAAGGGAATTGACAGATCCCGAATGAAACGTCGAGAAAATCCATTCAAGGAATACCATGCCTGCAAATGTGAGCTCCCTTTTTGGCTCCTCAAAGTTTTCCTTGGGACGCAAAAGAGACTTGAAAGGGCACCTCTCTTACCTAGGAGAATGCCAGCATATCTCGATTATGATCCTTCTTAATGCCGACAGGACAGAGTCGCGAAATTTTCAAAAGTGTTCATGGCCATTTATCCCTGCGTGTTGTCTTGGGAGGCTTGAGCCCTACAGTCGATCAATCTCCTCCAGGAGATGCGCAACGATGTCGGAGTGGGAGCATCCTTTCTTCGGCTCGTCTTTTGTCGATGAGACATGTATGGCCCGATAATCCGTGTTGTAGATGAACCAGTTGATTTTAACGGCGAGTATAGGTGTGCTTGGATGGCTACTGCCCTGTGTCCTCTATGGAAAGACGCAAGCACGTCTTCTGGACCGAAGACTCTCAGATTTTAACTGGCTCAACCGCGAAGTGAGACGGTGTTCCTTTATCGGGAATATTTGACTAATATCTCCTTCTTCAGTGCTGCACTTGGGCTTTTCTTGCCTGGTGTGGTTTTTCACCGTGTCTCCAAAGCAGGAGTCGTCATAACATCAGGAAGAGGTTTGGACTGCCAGGCAACATTTGCTTCGATTTTTGCGCTTCACTCTACTGTCCATACTTCGCCTTAGTCCAGGAAGAAAGAGAAGTAGCAAAGAGAACACGCAAATACGATAAAGGCTATGAAGATCTTGAGCGAATGATCTACGCAAGAGATGACTATTTAAACAAGGGGTTGGAGCTGGAAAAATTAGGGTAGAGAAGGGCAGGAAGCTTGATTTGTCGGAATTCACTTTTGGTTTTTTGACACTTCTATGTTCGCTGATGTGGTGGTCCCATTTTTGTAATTTCTGCCCTTGGACCCTGGCGTAGAAATACCTTTACGCCACATACTATCGAGACAGGCTAAAGCTGGATTCTCTTGGAAGCTGAAAAGCTGCAGAGCACGGACGTAAGGATCGTGCAGGTTATCCTGTGTACTGCTACCAGAAGAGCGTCTAAGGCGTTGATGAGTTTTGGCAAAGGCCAGAACGGGAACCCCTTGGTGGAAACGACCATCCTCGATTTCTTCTCTAGCAGGACCGGTGGAGATACCTGAACTGTGGGATCAATCCTTCCAGGCCCGGATTGTTGCAACGGAGCCAGAAAAGGCTCTGAAAGTCCATTCCAAGACGAAATTTTCGTACGTACGGTCGTTCAACAAACATAAACGAGCGAGCTCGAGTCTGCTGAGCTCCAGAAGTCTACTATTGTCCCTTGTTCAGGCAGTCGAGTAATTGTGATTTGTTGACAGCAGAAAATTGATTCCAGGAAGTTATGAGAATTATCAATAAATTTCCCCTCTTTCGGTTGTTTCCATTGAGTTGGAGAGGTATGTAAGCGGAAATGAACTCGAACTTGGGTCATCTGCTCATGTATAGTACTTACTGCAGAATGTCGCCACCAGAGAAAGGGTGACCAGGGAAAACAAGCCCGACAATTGTTCAGCTCTCCAACACGACGGGCTCTGGGAAAAAGAACTCCTCTTGAGAAAAGAATATTCGACAAGACGTGGAACATGAAAACAAGCTGGCAGTGGATGGATACTGGCAATGGCAGGGTATTCTATAACAGGACGACTCGGATTGAAGAGAAAGAATTGTCGAAAATGAGGTTAGAAACCTTTGGCGACGCTGGACCGTGGAGGGATTTTACCAAAGAAGTTGAAGCGATCTTTCAAGAGATGAAAGAGCCCAGCCGCAGCTTTCAATCGAATCAACAAGGCCTGCAAGTAGCTCTTGACCATAGTCACACTACCGCCCATTCGATTACTAGCGCCTGGGGGACTCCTTTTGATCCTGACCGGGTCCGTATTTGGTCCCTAGGATATAAAAAGATCCATGTATAATGGTCTGCTTCGATCGGTCAAATTGTAGCTCGGTCAAGTATAAGAAGGTTCAAGCCTGCGACACCTTCCTCCAGCTTGATCACTTCTCTACTACCGTTGCTGTAACAATTTCCACCGAAACACCTTCCTTAGTCTTTACCACCCTATTCGCTCTTTCGTCGAAGGGCACTACGAACCTGCCCTCTATTTTCACTTGTCATTTTGTTTTTCTGACCGTCGAAAATGTACTCTCAAACAATTTTCTGGGTCATTGTTAGTGCGACACTAGCATTCGCCTTTCCGCTCTCACAGGAACAAAGCACCTCAGCAACAGGAGACGGCTTTTTCTCTGGCGAGCCTGCTCAAAGCTGTGCCATAAATCCACCCAATGTCGAAGGAGACAATGTTTGCGTTTCGAATGGCAATGATAACACATCGATCTGCTGCCCAGCTGGTAGCGCATGCGCCCCGAGTGCAGTAAGTCTTATCCCTCCATCAATGTTGGCTAGTTCAAGCGAACTTATGAGCATAATCGTTGACATTTTTCATGCAAAGGATGATCAATTTCAGTTCTTCTGCTTCTAATCGATCTACTTTCATTTTCAACACGAAATCCGTGTCTCACTGCACAGACTGATTTCGACCACCTTAATCTGAAGTCAGTCACTTTGAAAGTCGCAGCAACACTCCTTAAAAGCCGCTACATTCTTTATATATAATCCTATCTTTGTTGGGTATATTATACCTCAGTACTTGACTTGGGTACACCTTCGTTGCCGAGTTTCTATCACCTCAGTCGGGCGAATCAGCATGCTAGCAGCACGTTAAATTACGGAGGAGTCAATTATACAAGGTCTTGAAATCTAGGATTTCATCGCAGACGGGTCAAGACGAGTGGTGACTCGCAATGAGTACAACTTCGATATACCTAGTGCATGGGGCCCCAGGGATTAAAGTAGCATTGTAGTTGGACGTGCTTAAAAATTAGGGCACCCTCACTCATTGACCTTCTAGAAGGATCGTGGTTTTCATACCTGAACCCTTTACATGCTACTTCCTTCAGGCTTTTTAGAGTCGAACCTTGATCCTCACCAATAGACGGTCTATGACGGTCTATGTCCCGGTGATCCCTATACTCGGCTTCTTCAGTAACCTAAAGACGATCCCTATCCGTATCTCATAATAGGTTTGAAGATGATTGTATATATATGAAGCCTTAACTCCTAGTCTATAGATGCTCTGTAAGTGAGTCTCCATCGAGCAATGTTTTGCTAATGTACAAACATCGGCGGCTGCGGCCGCTGATACTATAAGTCCCAACAACTCTATAATTAGAAACCATTCTAGTAGTCCCGTCTCTATGTAAACTTCCAGACCGAAAAAAGCTGTACCACACGTATGTTTGTAATGATGCCCTTCGGGCTGACTGCAGCCAGGCAGATTGAGGTCTTGGCGTGCACGGGCCACAACCAGAATCGATTCTGGTTGTGGCCCGTGCACGCCAAGACCTCAATCTGCCTTGGTGAGCCCCTGGAATTTGAATGTGTCAATCCAGAGTCCAAGACGAACAAAGGCGTAGCACTATTGTCTTTCCACGATGGCAGACCTCGCGACGGTGATGCAAAGCATCAGAAAGATAGATGCCACCCTCGGTGTGATTAGGACCACCCTGCAGCGCCATGTCCCCGCTGCCAGTCGACTCTCAGGCAAATCGCGTAAGCGGGCACAGCCGCACTGGACGGAGGCACTTTCTCTTCAATTGTCCAACCTATCCAATGAACTCGATGACGTTAAGAAAGAAATGCAGAGAGGCTCGGCCATCAGCGACACCCACTGCCACAACGTCAATTCTGCCGAACTAGACGCAGCACAGGACGGTCGAACACGGATATCCAAACAGCCACAAGACAAAGACGAGCAGCTGGCTCAGAGGGCTCCAACTCTTCCGCCGAGTTCCCCAACTAACGCATCGTCTGTTCCAGCTCCGGATATGGAAGTTAGGCAGCAGGCAGCAGACGGCGTTCCATGGAACAATACGCAGACCACTGCTCCGGAAATAGCATCTTCGCTGGGATTCGGCCAATCCGGGCCTGCCGGACCTGGGCGTGAGGTAGCCAAAGACATGACTCCAAGTCAACTTGTGTCGTGTAGAGCCTCGCCTTTAGGAGGCCAGTTGGACTTTAGTCTGTCGGTCGAGGACATGGGGGAGAAGCTCGTCCCAAATATTATGCGGCTTATCAATGACGACAGATTCACTGGCATTCTTTCAGTCCAAGGTATAGGGGAGATTGACTGGACAAATTTGATGAGATCGATTCGACCCCCTGAGAAGACTCATGAGATTCTGGGGGTCAAATACTCTAAACCACATCCCATCAAAGGAGTTGCAGAGTTAAGATTGTCTACGCCGAGGAACTTTGCATTTCCGGACTTCTCCCAAACAATCAAGGAGCCTTCGCGAGAGGCTTGTTTGGACTATCTTCGTCAAGTCATCAATAATCCCCCAGAGTCCACGATTCCTTACTATATCGGACTCCCACTCACGCCTACGTTTGACCACCTTCTTCACCCAGGCGAGCCACTTCTAAACATTTCTCTCATTGACGGCCTGAATAAAGTATACTGGTATGCCGGCGAAGAAGGGTCAGGATCTCCATTCCATTGTGAGGATTGGAAACTCTACTCTTACAACCTTGTCTTGTACGGCTGGAAGCTCTGGATTATGATCCGACTCAGTCATACTAAAAAATTTGAAGCCTTCATCAGAAAGTGCTGTCCGAGTAACAGTTGCGATCAATTTGTTCGCCACAACTCTTTATTGGTTAGTCCGGAGACACTTCAAAAGCACGGCATCGAATTTGATATCCACGTCGCTGGACCCGGCCAAATGGTCGTGACAAGACCGGAGCAATACCACGCGGTCGTGAACATCACTAGAAATATGGCTATAGCCATTAATTTCGCCCCTCCAGATAGAGCAGTCCGGCCTGATGATCTATGTGTATGTTCAAAGTGCGGGTTATATGCACTACAGTGTGAAGGTATCAGAAAGGTCCCCTCTGAACCGACATTGCCGGCAAGCACAAATCTTGCTGGGAAGCGCCAAGGTAGTGGAGATGCTTCGCATTTGCGAGAGAAACGACAGAGGCGTGAAGACCCTATCCAGCCTCGAAAGAAGCGACGAATCGGTGGGAACGCTGCAAAGTCCCAAACATCAATGGGATCACTCAAGACGACACAAAGCTCCCAAGCCTTGAGAAAGACAGTGGAGCAAATAAAAGAGATTGACAAGCTCTGCCACTTGCCATCACTAAGGGAGAAGCCGCCCGTCCACGTTTTGAAACTAATAGCAGCAATCGGGAGCCGAGTTGCCATCCAACAGTTCATCACCCTTGTCGCTGACAGAAGGGACCTAAGCAATACTACACGAATGGATACTAGCGGAGATCCATCTTCGCGCGCCATGCAATATGCGCACCGAATCAAGATTTCTGAGCGGAAATCGATGCTCGAAAGATTCCTAATCCGAGTCAACCAAGTCTCTTTTGTGCAGGAGCTCGATAGGTCAAAAAATGGCAGGATAAGGGTGGATGAGAAGCTGCTGCGGGTGATCGAAAAAAGAACTGGGTGGTCAACACCAACTCTAGAGCATCATCGCAAGATGGGCAATAAGTGGAAGCGTATTTGTGGTGACTTCGATGGTCTCTTATGCTTCATCTTTCTCGATCCGAAAAACCCGTTCAGTGTACTACCAGAACAGTACCAGAACATGAACGATGAAGACCTCGAGATATTTCATCGGCTATTGAAGGACGATTATTTTGATTCAATACGCTCTGCCGGAAAAGCTTTTCAGAAGTCTCTCAACAGTGCGGTGGCGGACATCGAGTTTTGCTGGGAATCAAGGAAGGCTCCTCTGGGCCGTCTTTCCGAGGCTGAATTACTCTTATACCTCAATCCATTTCCCACGGTTTCGGAAAATATTTATGACGAAGGCAAATTTTCAAAACGGCCCAGGCCTCCCGCGTGGCCCGAAGACTGGCAATGGCCCGAAGATCCAACATGGTTACATCCTGACTCGCGACAGTGCGACCTATGTCTACAGACGAAGTGCGACTGTATAAAGACTAAGATCGCTTCAAAGCTCATGCCCCGAATTAAGGATTATGGGCCTAAGGGGCGAGGACTTCAAGCGGTGGCGCATGCACCCGGATATCACGCATATAAGAAGGGTGATATTCTTGGAGAGCTTACGGGAGTTCTCGAACCTTTGGGCAGGTATAGGAGCGATACATGGACCCTGGAAATGGTGAGGGAGGACCTAGATGACCAAAATCACCACCAGCATGACCTAAGGGTCTGTCAAATCCGTTGCGCCGACAAAAGCAGTTACTTCAGGCTAGCGAATCATGCTTGCAGGCCATCTGTAAGATTGGTGGGAAAGCCTATCTCTGGGAGGTATAGATGGGTATTCATCGCCGCGAGACACATTTTACATGGCGACGAGATCACCGGTAACTTTGGGAAAAGGTCGCTGAGGGGCACAAATTGTCTTTGTATTGATTGTGCAGCTGAATAGCTAGACGACATGTCTACTCAGAAATATCTAAGGGTATGCAGATCCTGTCGGGCCCCAGCGTACGAAGCAGATACAACTCATTTCCAATTACCAAAGGGAGGTTCGTAAGTTGACGTACCAGGGGAGTGTGATAGGTTTCGTGAAAACAATCCGGCAGAAAGAGTCAAGATAAAGAGGCCGATGGACGGCACTAAGCACTGAGAATCCTAGCTTACGCAGAAACAAAAGATGGTCGATTTGGCTCTCCTTAAGGTCAAGAAGAAGGTAGCTATCGCAAAGCAGATGGAAAAGGAGTCCGTGGCCTAGAAAGGCGACGCTTTGGCCAAGGCCTTTCGAAGCCTCGTTTCACACAAAGTTGCACGACTCGAGCTAGCCAAGGAAATTGTGGACGCTGTCTACGCAGGCCTTGGAGACATCGACTAGTCTAAAAAAGGTATGTAGTCAGTCGCCATAATTCTCAGTATTGATGGAATCTACTTGCTGCATTATAATCAAAGTAACTTAGTCTAGCCTTTGAATATTATCTTAGTAACACTAAGAGATTTTTACGGTTGCCGGCGCATTGCCAGATCAGCACGAAGCGAGCCTTACCGAAGTAAGGCGCAATGAGCGCCTTCACCGGTTTGAGAGCATATACTAGTCGTTGCCGAACTTCCCTCTCAGCCGCACAAGTAAACCTTACCTTCGATTATGCTCTGTGATTATTTAATTAAGTGCTGCTCCGCTACTTATCTGCCTGCCTTCTCAACATCTAGGCCCTCCTCCAAGAATCGCTAGTTTCGAACTAAATATGGTCGCCATGAAGACGCTCACGTACCTATTCGTGAAGGTAAAAGAGATACTATCCAAATTCCACTCGAGCATTCAGACTCGAAAGCGTTGGCCCGACGCTCCTGTTCGTGTTAGGCTGGACTCCAGTCAAGAATGTAAAACGAGACGGCCGACGATCATCCACCATACATCCATGAAGGCGGTATCTCCTTGTTATGCGCGAGCAAACGGCGTCATCAAAACTTCCTCACCTCGACGCGAAGAAGAACATCACATAGAGTAATTCCTTACTCCGTACGAAACTGTCTCGACATTACGGAATTTCTGGTTGTATTCAGAAGAGGTCTTCAGAAAGGCTGTGGGAAGATGATTGCAGACAATGACGCCGAATTACTTTACCACCCGATCCAGGATATGGTTTCTCGGAGCGGTCAGCGAACTGTTCAAGCTCATGAAAAGCGGGAAAGGGCTACATCGGCAGTTTCTTGCCTACCTCGCACAACAACTGTGGGATTGATGGGCATAATTGAGGACAAAAAGACCACTGCCTATCATCATCCAAGCCGTGACTTCAGCTCTACTGCTGAATTGGGAGGGAAAGAGAAATGGACGGCATACAAGGTTACCAAAAGTGTCTATGATATCTAGATGCCTGTCCACTTTGGACGACTCTGCCCGGTAATCAATGCAACACCACCAAAATATACATTTCAAAGGATCGGATCCATAGCTCCCTTCCTTATCTAGACTTTCACAAGGATTGGAAAGCTAAAGTCTGTCAGGGTTACTTGCTACAGATGATGACGAACGGAGGCCTCTCGAACCCTAGAAAGAGATCCCATACATATCCGTAACCCAAACATCATACAGTAATAGCCCAACATAAAGTCCAAAAGAGATGAGAAAAGCTAGAGATTGTAGAAGGGGGCTTATTCGAATTGTTCATGTTATTTCATTCACAAGGACTATCTCACTGCCCGCTACGCATCGTCCGTGGATGACAAGGGGAAAATGGAGACGTAAATTTGAGACCAGCATTAGGAAGTGTCAAGGCTATTGAACAATTTCTTTCCCAGGATATAAGCTGTGACGTGCTAGCGTGAGTAGTTGAGCGAGGTTCGCTACATCTTGGTCCTAATCTCCTTCACGCAGCAAAGTAACGGACAAAATTAGGTATATCTTCATGCACACGGACGCCTTGTCGGAGCTGCGAACTGCACCGTCGTAAAGACCCTTTACACCACTCTGTGCCCAGACTAGTGCATGAGCACAACTTGGGACCTTATGGTTTGCTTTCCTCTACGGGACCTTCTGAAGCAGGAAGTACAAAGGGTAATGTTAGCCGAGAACGGGATGCAGTAAGGAGACCCATAGAGACGAGAGTGTGAGCTCTGTACCCGTCAGCCAGTCTCACCGACTATTCGATCACGTGAGGCTCCTTCCAGAGCCTATAAAGGATAAAAGTTTTCTTGAAATAAATGTGATCCCCACACTTCCCTCCAACATCGTGTCTTGTCTACGCTGGCTGTTTGTTTGCCCTCCTAAAATCCATTTACGTCAAGTGTTCAGAACTTTCCACTCTATCAGTATGGTCGAAGCGAAGACATCTCCCTTCAAAACCTACTTCGACGAGGTAGCAGAGACGGATGGTGACGAGGAGTGTAAGGCATGGTTGGCAAGGATTTTGGACTCGAAACAGGACTTGACCGACTTTGTCAGTCGTTGCCGGGGAGGAGAAGAAACCGGCACCTACGTCGGATTTCTCAAAGGCTCATTCAATTTCAGCTTCCACGTCAGCTTCAGCGATGGTCAAGACGTGATCATTCGGTTCCCAAAACCTGGCCACACAGCTTTTCGAGAGGAGAAAGTAACGAACGAGGTCCGCGCCATGGACTACTTACGGCAGAACACCACCATTCCTGTTCCTCGTATACACAGCTGGGGGTTGACGAAAGAAAGCCCACAACAATTGGGACCGTTTATCGTAATGGATTTCATTGATGGAACACTTTTATCAACTATCTTAAAGCAGGCCGATGGACAAGATTTGGTTCTCGACCCGAACATCGACAACGCTCTGTTGGACAAGGTCTATCGTCAGATTGCTGGATACATCCTCCAACTTTCTCAACTTACATTCACTCAGATTGGTGCCATTTCGAAGGATCGCAATTCCAATACCTGGCGTGTAGCGGCAAGACCTCTTACGTACAACATGAACGAACTGGCTACCGTAGCAGGTTACCCTGACGACCAGTTTCCGACCGAGCCATTCGACCGCACAAGCGACTACCTTACGTCAGTTGCCAAAGAGCATTTGACCCATCTGTGGACCCAGCGCAACATCGCCGACAACCCGGAAATCGCTCGAGGTCGATTCATAGCCCGTCATCGACTGCTCCATCTCATTCCAAAATATTGCATCGACGATACAGGTCCCTTTATCCCATTCTGTGACGATATGCGACCTTCCAACATGCTTGTTGATCCGGAAACATTTCGAATCACTGCAATTGTCGATTTTGAGTTTACAAATGCGATGCCAGCGCAGTTTACATACGATCCTCCCTGGTGGCTACTATTGTCCGGGCCTGAGATGTGGTTTGATCGTTGCTCTGCGCAAGAATTCTTGGCTCTTTATGAGCCTAGAATGAAGCAGTTTCTACAAGCACTGGACCAAGTTCAAGAAGAGTTCGGAGCAGCAGTCGCGCAGCCAAAGGGCCCAAGCCTTGCTACGCGAATGCGTGACTCTTGGGAGACGGGGCGTTTCTGGTTTGACTATGCAATCAGAAAGAGTTTCGACTTGGACGTTGTCTACTGGACAGCCTTGAGACGGCATGATGATGATGACAAAGTCGTATCTCTAGAGGATGAAATGCGTTCAGAGTTGGAGTCATTCCTAGAAACGAAGATGGAGCAGCTCAGGGCATATAAGGAGGAGTGTCACGTACGTTTTCATCAAGGTGAAGATCGATGACTACTACTTTTGAACTCGCTGAAGGGACGAATGGATGGAATTGAGGAATACATTGGGCAACTCTTGGACTGTGGACAGTCAATTACTCTTTGGTATTATCGACATACTTCCTCCATCAAAACTCGCAAACCAAAGTGTGTTGATAGTAAGGAATGTTTGTCATTTCCATCTGGTTCCCGAAAGTAGACGTCGTTCTATTTCTCCCATCACGAAACCTCGATCACTCGCACGTACTATGCTTTGGCCTCTCGTAGCTCCGCTAGTTCCTGGTTAGACTCTTGTGCCTCTTAGACGAATAAGGAACAGAAACTCACTTGGTAAAAGTTCGGGTCAAGCACCAGCAGCACCTCCTCCGCGTCTGCGCTGTTGAGAGCTTTCCCCTGCCTTTCTCATGGCTTCCTCCATCTCCCGCTTCTTTTTAGCCTCTTCACGCCTTTTTTGAGAGTCTTCGGCAGCTTTCCGCATGCTTTCTTCCTCATCTGAATTTGGAACTTTGATGAAGCTACCACTATCGGTCATGGTGTTGCCTCGGACTGGAAGGGTTTGGAGAGACGGCAGTGATGAAAAGAATGGTCCTATCAACAATGTCGTCGCTATTGATATATATCGATTGACTTCATTAAGACCACGGCAGCATCTAGCGATGCGTTCGCTAGATTTATAAACTCGCAACAGAATATTGCAATCCCACTACACCAAGGAGAATCTAGCCATTGACCAGCAATTAACCCAGATTATGCCAGCACATAGGTTGACGTGTACAAGCAGGAGGGGACTTTAGTGATTCCAGACTAAAACCCGGCAGAACTGCCCGATCCCTGCTCACATACCCCCCTGCTGTACTAAAAGGCGGCGAGTCTGCGCGACCCCAGCTGTACGCCAAATCGTGCTAGTGCCCAACGCCGAATCTGCATGATCCCTACTAGAGACTATGTTACACGGTGCTAAAATACGGGGCATCTATAGCCTTGTCACAAATAATGCTAAACATGGTCAATTTGGCTGGGTATTTGCCAAAGAAAAGTACCTTCACCTTCGTGTTTTTGAGTCATATGATTGGTCTGGACCTCACTCGACCTCTTCCATTGCTACTTGATGACATCCAAGCACTAGGGACGATCGTGTCTATCGCCTTCGCTACTTCCTCACCCAGATAGCCAGCTTCTCGATCGCGTTGGAAGTAGCAGTTCGTTGTCCCCCAAACGAGTATTCAATCATCAAGAGAACCAAATACTCACGGATTCTAAGGCCAAATATTCATTGAAACGTGGACGAGCTATCTTACTTGCTTGCTCATCAAGACCCGAATCCAACTGATAAGGATACGTACGACATAAGATGCTTCCTCGCCCCTTATTTGTGTGAGATCCCCTTGCTTATCCAAAACTTCCTTTGGAAGCGACCTTGATTTCTCTTCTGGCGCTTTTGCCACTTGATGTGAACAATTTTAAAGCCGCTAGTATCCGTCTCCATTTTCCTAGTACCACGTTTGTTGCGGAGTCGACGAAGCCATGGTGGCTTGCACGCTTCCCAGCATCGAGATCTCGTGAGGGTCGAAGGGTAATGGGCGCCGCGTACTACCTTGAAGCAGTATGATCTTCTCTTGTCCAACAGTCAATCTATATTTCTTTGAATCGGTGGTTGAAAGGAAGTCGATGGAGGTGGGAAATATTGACTCCCACGGCGGCCATGCGTAGACCACGCCCTGATGTAGAACCCCAGCCAGCATCACTGTCATTTGATCGCAAAGCGTACCCAGAAGGAGGATGCAGAGATCGTACTGGCGCTGATCTCCGGCAATCCGTCTGCTCAAAGCTGTATGTATCACGCCATGTCTTGACTCTCTCCAGCTTTGAGATAGAATCTCTTTTGTAAGTGAACGATGCTCCCTGAGAGAAGGGGACTGCCTTAAAGCGGAGGTAAAGAGTATGCAGGCCGGGAATGCTTTCATTTCTTCTTCGCACCGAAATCCCAGGGCTGACATGATGTTTACAACAGAGGGCTGAATTTGGATCATGATTGTCTCTTGCATTGGAAGCTTGAACCATGACGCTGGTGGGAAACTTGTTTCAAGGGCATTCTGTCCAGGAGGGCCAAAATCCTCGATTGTGTCGACCGGCTGAGGAGAATATCCATCGGTGAAATCCAGCCATTGTAAGGGCGTTTCGTGTTCCATCGGACTGTGAGTTTGCTGATTGGATTGATAAACTATTAGTCACAATGTCAGACTGTCTTTGTGTTCCTTGAGCAACTTGTCGCAGGTTGGTGCAGTGACGATAAAATATGAAAACTCGATTAACGATCTTCTGAGATTGTTTCGTCCTTATATGTGCAAATGAGATTCTCTATGCTGCGGCTGTCTCATTTGAGAGCCGGCGTTATGAGGATCATATCCGCTTACAGGACCCTGACCTAGTCCCTGACTAGGATTAATACTGCACCGGCAGTGGCTTGGATGAACTCCCGACGGAAAATTTCTCGCGAAGCTGCGTTCGGGGAGGACTGTTCGCAGCCGCTATGTGCAAGAAAAAGCAACAACAGCGGCACCCTGGAGATATTCGCATGACCCTCCTTTGTAGTCCATGGGCCGTTAGATATATTAGGATAACTAGTCTATCTGAGATGTATCTGGAATGGAAATGGATCCAAAAAGTAGAGGCCCTTGATAGAGAGGTGAGCAGTCTCAAACATGCTGATAGCTCGACATGACAAGTTGAGAGGAGCCCATTCTTCTGCTTTGCCAAGATATGGTCACTAAATAGGCATTTGCCCAGGACATCCTAATGACGAATAATCAAACTAGCGTACTTTCCGCAGACTTTCTGCGGGTTGCGGACTCTGTCGGTTGTCCACTTAAGCTTCTTCTCACAGCATTTGCTGACGCATATCCGCCACATAGGCGACTCGTTTCTCGCGAGCTCCCGACATCTTTCGACTCCAAGTTTCATTAGGTGGAGATACCTTGACTGAAGGTCGCTTCTGGCTTTTTGCCATAGACGACGTACCTGGTTGAATGTCAGTGAAAGAGAGTCGAACAACTTCTTCGTACCTACACTGGCCAATATGCATGGATTTTTGCGTTCTTAATGTCAGATCTCGTGTCTGCCAAAAGAACTTGGACGTGCTCCACAGACCACCTCAGGTGTCTGGTGAAGGGTCGCATGGATAAGCCTTCAATGCCATTCAATATGTTGACGGCGTTCCAAAATCCAAGCTTCTTATAATGTCGACCCTTCGCCCAGCAGTTTTGAGGCACTTTATACTCCCTAACGTTCACATTGATGAAACCCGCTTCTCGCAGTAAATCCCCGTATTTAGCAGCAAGAAAAGGATCACGCCCTCCTCTTGTCAATGCGTCACACCATGCATCAACCCATTGACGATATGCACTATGGAGAGGGATAGTGCTGTCGTCAGATCTTGGTGGGCAAGCATCCTGGAATTCAAGCCAGCCACCAGGTTTGAGACTTTCGTACGCGTGCTGAATAAGTTGTCTCGGGTTCGAGATTGAGCCGATGAGTAATCGGCCGTGAATAAGGTCAAATTGACGCTTAAAGTCCCAGGGATCTTCGAAGTCAGAGATCTGAAAGTGACAGTTAGGAGGGACCAATTCCGGCTGAATTGGACTCAGATCGATCCCTGTAACCCTGGCCGATTCATGTTCATCTGCGACATCGATAGCCCATACGCCTGTTCCAGTACCTATATCAAGAATCTCGCTAGGGTTCTTGACTGGAGAGAGATATAATTTACCCTGTCCGACGTGAAGGCTGAGCTGGTGCTGGAAGTCCAATCTGTTCTGCTCCGGTTTGTCGTTTGGGAAAAGATATGTACCGTCCTTATAGGCATGGTACTGCCGACCGTTTTCTTCTGGATACTTGAAAATACTGGACGCGATAGTCTCGTCGTCCGAGTACTCGTCTTCACCGAGCGTCGAGTCGCTTTCGTCCACTGTAAGTGGAAATTCATGTTGCTCTGCCATTGACAGAACGTCGTAACGCCTGAGTGTTCAGTGGGTTGGGGAAGCGTTTCACACCACACGAATCAGTCTGTTGAACCTTCAGTAGTTGCCTCGGTCACTATGAAGGTCAGTGGCATTTTGGCTGGAGATTCGATGAATAGCGTACCGTAACGGAGATAGACGAGTCCCAATGATCAGATAGAACACACGGCTGTAGTAGACAACCAGAAAAATAATCATAAGCCGCATTAACAGTCCCATCACGTTATGCGGTAGATAAGAGAACTGAAAATGAGGACAACAAGGTCGTAGAAAGAAGGGGGAGATTGCGGAAGGTAGTTATAACAATGCTGAAGAGATTTGTCCGTCAATGCTCGAGGACGCTTAAGTAAGGAGAAAGGTTGTGAGTCCAATCCTGAGTGAGAAGAAGACCAGGAATGTCGGGGTCTAGGTCTTCCCTTTCCTTCTCCCTTTTCCTTTCCTTTCCACCCGTCATGCGGTTCAAGTCGCACATTTGACGGCAACGTCAGGAGATCTTGCAGATCTGATCAATCAATCCCATGGCCCATTATCCACGTGTATTTGTGCCAGACATGTTTCTTGTCCTCTTCATCTGTAGTGTGGTAATCGTAGCGTGCCCATACAAACAAGCATCTTTCCTCGTGTTAGCAGGTTACAAATGTTGGTTCGCGGCCTTACGTACAATGCCATGACACAAACGCTGCCAGCACAGATAAAGTAAAGTGAGCCGGCAGAGGCAACCGCGCTGAATGACGACATCCCTCTTAGCTGCTCGTTCGGTGAAGGTCGGTCCAGAATTCGCAGAAACTCCCCTAATGAGGCTCCCGATGAATGCTCCGAATAAATGGATGGATGGATGAGAACGGCAGCGATATAGGTAGAATCTAGCTGGAGTTTTTGAAGTCTTAGACTTACAATTCAATGGCTGGCTTTGAGGTCTTCCGCATTAACCGTATCTCCCAGCAAGGCGCTTCCATGAATGCAGGCTTGAAATGTCGGCGTGGAACGGCGTACCTAGTCTCGCGCAATGTATGCACTGGCATATCCTAGGAGCGAGGTAACGAGAGCCTTACCGAGCATCACGCACACTTCCTGCAACATAACGCCACCCCATCCACATTCAGCTTGAACAACTCGTCCCATGAGCCACCCGCAGCACCTGTGCCCCAAGTGTTCCGACCTTCACATGCTAATCAGCGAAAGGCTGGAGACGAAGCTCTCCCCTTGACAATTAAGGATCGGGGATGCAGGAGAGTGGGTCCTCAGAGCTCAAACACACCCCCGGGCGAGTAGAGCCAATGACCACCACAGCCAGCTAGACCCAAGTTCTAGAGTCGACAACGCGCTGTCCCTCCTTTCCTTTCTCGTATATAGGGTAGAACGCAGTATAGAATATACCCATAATACGGTCCGATAGTATACCGCTCGCCATGAATAGCTCGTAGTGCGCGTCCCCGAAACCACTCATGGCATAACTTTCTGGCCCGCACCAGTCCGAAATATTCCACATCCTCGGGATCAGGATCCCAGGGGTATTGGTCGACTTCTAAAAAAGAGCCGGGGTACCGTTGGCAGAGGTTACCCTTCAATTCAGTAATGCACCCTTTCCACACGAGCAGTTCCCAACGTCCATTGTTTAGCTGCATAATATGGGCCACGGAGGAGAGGCTCTTGGCCACTTGGTCAAGGTCCCGCAGCGCCACTGGGTGATGTCTGGCATTGAAGCGTACGACGGTGTACTGATCGTAGATGGTCCGGGCCACGACTGGGCTGTAAAGGTTAGATCGCAGGAAGACACAAGATGTAGAATCGAGGCCATACGAGAACCATGATGGCGTGGGGGGCCCACGCCTGCCGGAAGGGCATAAGCTATCATCGGTGATCGTCTCGCCCCATGAGTCCGGGAAGTAACGGACGACACGTTCGACTGTGATAGTGATAGCGATATCGACCGGGGTTTCGTTTTCGCCGTCGCAACCAGAGGTGGGTTCGCGCTTCAATTGGCGGCTAAAGCCCCCATGACGAGGTGAAGGCAAGGGCTGTGTTAAGTTGTCCCGTGGCCGGAAGGCGGTCGGTATGACGGGATGCATAGGCCCAGGAGGGGCAGCGGTAACAGTTGGGCTGAGACCATGCAGAAGGGGAGACGCTGTCCCCTGGTTGGGGAAAGAGATCCAAGGGCCGTGACAGCGCATCAAAGATCGAATCAGAGAGCACAAGGCCACAGAACCGGTGAGAGAATTCATACAAACCGGGCGTAAAAGATTGCATGATTATATGCCAATAAGTCAATAGATCGTGTTAGGAGTGCCTGTAGAGCCAACGCTATATTTACGCCATCAATGTGAAGTAGGTGCGAAGAATATTGAAAGGCCGAAGAGCTCCAACTGGAGACCATGAGCGCCCGGCCCCGCCTTTTGAGGTGAAGTCACGACTTCACCTAAAAAAGCGGGGCCGGGCGCTTACGGCTAGGAAACCTCACCCCGAGGGAGATTTACATCTCATTTTCTTCCTCTCCTCTCACACGGCTCTAGAGGACGGGATGAAACCATGCACGTAGAGCTAGGTGCATTGTCAGAACTTCATCTCGAGGTCTCTCGGGGCGACCTGGTCCACGAGCTGTCGCCCGCCGACGTCCACAACGCCTCTGGTTTGGCGCGGTACGGCTACCAGCAACTTCGGCCGATCTTGGAGCCGGGAAGGACCCTTTTCGATATCACTCTGCCCTTCGACGAACATAGAGGGAAGGCGGTGATTCAGGTCTTGACCGCGGTCCATCAAGAATCAGGACACTCGAAGAGCGATGTCGTTGGCGCCTATCGGCTTTGTTGTGACCGAGTCCTCGACGAGAGGATCAGGTCAGATATCGCGTTAGTGTACAATTGTTATATTCGAGCCAACCGACAGACATTTAACGATGCTTGGTGCGGTCTACCATCGTTGCGAATTTGCCTTCGCCGAAGCTGACGGAGATAGCCTCGAGAAATTTCCCCCGAGAACCAATTCTCTATCTTGCAGGGGATCGTGCCTCTCGCCGAGTAAGCTACTCAGTTGCCACCAGTCTCCTAGCCCCGGGAAGCCCGCATCACCACAGACGCTGGGCATTCCTCGGAGGGACGAGATAGATTATGACGATGACAACGATGACAACGATAACAACGATGACGACCGAGAATCCACTTCGATCGAGAACTCCAATGTCACCGACCTTTCTCCCCAGAAGGAAACCGAAAAGGAAGGCGAGGAAACCAGCAAAAAGAATGACGAGATTGTCAAGCTGTTGGTTCGCCAGGTTAAAGTCGGAATGAAGAAGATGACGAAGAGGAAGGAAGCGTTTGACCCTTGGACCATTGATGCGTCATACTTTCTAGGACAGTCAGAGGAGATTCGTGCGCTGTTTGATAGTATTTTCGCGAAAATCAAGCAAATCCAAGCTCAAAATTTACAACGTGAGCGCGGGGCGACTGAAGATGTGTGCGGTCTCGCCAAGCTCTTCGAGAATGGGGAAGACCGAGGCAAAACCAACGAACGAAAGGCACATGTGTGGAAGATGTGGCGGTGGTGGTTTTGGTATTTCCACTCGTGCTTACGCATAATTCATTTCAATTGGCGACGGATAGAGAGAGATCGCAAGGCCAATGGAGCATACGTGATGCATTTGATCGTGAATGATCTTCTGGCGACGGAAGGAATCAGCGCACTGGCCGTGATCGCGGCCCTGGCAGGTAAGGCACGAAAGATCTTGATCGCAACTAGGGAAGCTCACCGGGCGCAGAACAATCCCATTACCTATACCAAGCTACTCATCTATCGTCCAAGAGGCAGTTGGAGATTAGCATGGCGGTAGCGAAAAGTCTTCGGGGCAAGCTGACTCCTCCACCACAAGACTACCTCATACCCATGGTAGTAGGTTGGGTCAGCGCGGTCACCAAACTGAGGTACAGTCCCATATCTCGAAAATCGCCAAGGGCGGTCTGCTAATCGCGAACAAAGCCATAGGGCGGTGTATCACGACCTCGGTTGCCCCAATCTCGCCCTGTTGCAGTTGGACATGGTTGGGAGACCCGAAGACGGTCTCAAGTTTTCTCGGGAGTATTCCTTCCTGTCCGACAAATTGAAGCCCTTTGCGTCGATGCAAGAACAGTTGAGCCGGACAATTCAAATGCGCCATCCGGATATGTGGGTGTCTGCATCGGAGATACAGAGATTCTCGATGGTGGTCGAGGAGTGGTGGAATCAGCCACCACTTTCACATCACAGTCAGCCACGGTCACTGAACGATCCAGAGGCACACTTCTTCATACGCTCCCCATCCGAGTCATCTGAGCGAACCAGAAATGGCTCAGAAGAATCCGAGAACGAAGAAATTTCCCCTCCGCTCGCTCCCTCATCCAATTCCGCCGAAGCCAGGGTGGATGTCAATGGGATCATGCAAGGTGCGACGATGACTGGCGACCTTCGCATGGGAAGAGCAGACGAGACAGACGAGATAGACGAGATACTGGCTGCAGCTACTTTACACAGGATGCAGCATCCGAAGACCATTCCGGATGCCTCGCAGAACAGCTTCGCGAGACCTTCTACAGAGAGTGCTGGCCGAGGGCCCGTTCTGGGAAATGTTTCGCAAAGGAATCAGATCACTCTTGGGTCTGAAGAGATCTCTGGCCTATCTCACGTAATGGGGTTGACCAGCACCTTCGGCTCCACATGGATCCCCAGCCCCTGGGATCAGGCCCAACTTCAATCCGAAAACAATCTACGGCGCCGGTATGTACCAGATGCTAGTTCGGAAGGCATGGAGCCGCCGCACAAGCATTCTCGCTTGGATCAGCAAATCAATACAGACGCTGCCGTGCCGATGCAGAACTACGGGGACCAGACAGCCATAACGACAAGTCTCCCAACGACCATGATATCTTTGCAGCAGAATGAGGCCTTAGGAGCAGAGACGACACAAGAGGTCGATCCCTGGGATTCTCTAAGGGATCCTGACATTTGGATCGATTGGGACGCACTGGCCATTACTTCTGCCGGCCACACCGACCTTTGGGTTACAGGTTTACCCCAACCCGTCAACAACGATCCAGCTTCATTTTCGATATCTTGATCCTCTCCAAGGATATCATATCCAATTATACGAAATCCACATCGCCCCAGCAGGACCAGCCTTCGGGTGGAGGTACTCCGACGTATCAAGCTCAAGGATGTCACCTTCTTCCCATTCTACAGGCTCGTCACCCCGATCCATCAACGTCGAGACCGCGATCTCTGCTTCTCCCCTTAGCTTCTCGACGAAAGCCTGCCACTGTGGCGATAATTCTGCTGGTGCCTCGGTGGTTGCGGCAGCGGTAGCATCGGTGGTTCTGTTAACCTTCTTCTGTTCCACGTTTGTGGCGGCAGGTTCCGTGTCATTGTCTTGACCAGTCTTTTGATGAGGCTTCAGAACATTTTCATGAGAAGATGAATTCTCGGACCGCCTCGGCAACGTCCCTAGTTCAGTCCTGATTTCATCTCCCTCATGACGTCTCTTGAGCGTTGGAGAGGTCATGTCTTGTTGTATGGAGGGTTTTTCGAGCGCTATCGCTACAACAAATTGGTTCTCTCGCACAGGTGGGGTATCTTTCAAAAAGTATACAATATCCGGACCATGACGGCGAGTGATGCGCTTGGCTGGTTGGTCTACACGTCGGCGTTGAATGATTCCGTTAAGCTGATGTAGTTAATAAACATGGTTCAACCCAGAAATAAGTCTTTTCTAGTGTACCTTTGTCTTCTCGAATTGAACGTACAATCGTGTTATCGCTGGTGAAGCTGCGAGTTGATCAAGCGGCAAACACCAGGAATCTGATTGTCCTTCCCAGGGAATCATATCTTCAGCACGGAGGCGGACAGCCTTGGCCATCTTGCGGAATTCCGGGTCATCAGTGGCGCGTGTCATGTGCATATTGTGAACGAGAGAAAAGATGGAAGTTGTAGCTTGGGCTCAGTGGAACGGGTTGAGAGAAAACTCTTGTGTTTAAATATTTGAGATACAGTGGTTTGCAGAAGGCGTAAGATGTTCGATTAATATGCAAAATGGTCGTTTTTGTTCATTTGGCTGCAAAGGGTCGACGTGGTATAGCGCAGCAACAAAGATGACTCGGTCTCGTGGGGCGGTTATGATTGAAATCCCACGTGACACTTCCAAGCTCGACGTCAGTTGACGTAGAGAAACGGCTCGACCCGGTGAGGCGAGCACCACGACCTCCAGTCGAACAATGTTACTCTTCCAACCCGACAAAAGGAAGCTCTTTCTCATACAAATGAACTCGAATACTGGGTGTTGAGTTTTGCATAGTTGGACCCCGGACCCGGTTACAGTCCACTGATAATTTAGCCCAAATCTGGGCCTATTGCTACTGTTTAGCAATCCCGAAGGAGAGACTGAGGCGATACAGAATAGGACCTTAATCATAATCCCACTTTCGAACTTGGCAAAAAGCTAGAGAGTCACGAGGAGTATCCGTCCTGGAACAGTGAAAGCATTCTTCAGCAGACTCTAAAGAGAATGTCGCCTCGACAAGCAAAGACTACCCACATTACAATCGGCCAGCCATCACTAGAATCAACCCATCCAGGTCCGCAATGGTAAGGTAACAAGCCTCTCCAAACAGGCGGATTTCGCCAAGTATTCTCTTTCGAGAATCATCCTTCTACGGCATCTTGCTTTTGTTAGAACTGAACATACACCAGGAAAATACGAAGGATATGCAGAACTTCCAACGCTGTAGGGGGCGTGTTTCAGGGGCAGGACATATCACACCTTCATTCTTTGCTCTTAGAGCCCCCGACATCCTCTTTCTTATCTAGCTCTGGATCCCGAAGAGAATCCCAACCCTTGGAAGGATGTCCAACTCCGTTTTGAGCAGGAGGCTTCTTCGGCTTTCCGGTGCCGCCCGCTTGAGGAGGGTTCGTCGTGGGGAGGGGCTTAGGGGTTCCTCTTGAAGGTCCTGAGGGATTGTCCGACATGATGGGCGAAGTCTCAAAAGAGGTAGAGAATGGCAAGAGTTCCTTTGAAAATGAGCTGCTCGAGATATACCGAGGACAGGTGTGGTGAACTGGCAAATATAAAATGATGGCAATAGGGCGATCTGCTGAAAGAGCCCAGTGGTCTCCAGGTAAGTTGGAGTGGGCAATTCTTATACCCGATGGTCCTCTTTGCCAACGGTATATCCAGCACATTGCCTATCCCTAACTATTCTCCCACTCGACGAAGTCGGACAGCTCAATGAACAAATCATTACCCAGACACTCCACTTTCTGGCAGGTAAATTGTGTACCCTGGTTCACCTACTAACCAGAAGAGGTTTTGTGGAAGGCCCCGAAGCCGCCGTCATGCATGTTCGCGGTATGCATGTATCTCTTGCCATACGCAAAAAAGGATTTGCTGCCAACTAGTATCTTTGCTCCTATGAGATAATGTATGCACTATTATTCAACCATGGGGGATTCATGCCTGATAGCCTCAAACCCAGGTGGCACAATTATGACAGTGCATACCAAAAAGGCCTTGTAGAAGATGACCAAGGCGTCGTCGTGCATGTTCACGGTACTTCTCGTCCTACGAGTCCCTGAATGGGATTGCTGGACTGAGACACCTTGTCCTCTGCCAGAATCAGGACAAACCGGGGCGGTTCGAAGCTGAATGTTCGACCAACAGGATGCTTTCCTGGTGACTTCGACCACAGGTCGTAAGAACTGATTGTAATGTCGCAGGTATGCATCCTGGAGGCACACGTCTTTTACGCGAATGTGCTCGCGTCCACATAATGCAGCTAAATGATGTGGCTAGATGATACCTCAAAGTGCAAGAAACCTTACTTAGAATATGCCGCACTTTGATCTTGAGATGAAAAGTACGTTGTTAAGCCCTACTTTGGCTTCCGAGATGGGGGTAATAGGGATGCCGAAATCAGGTTTTTTTTCGCTAGGCGTATATTGGCCTAATTTCGACCTTGGAGAGTGGGCTTCTGAAATCACACAAGTTCAGGTGATAATTTTTAATTTTGGACAAGGCCCCTCCGGAACCTGTCTTGCGCTGATCCGAGGTGATATGGTGAGTGACGCTCAGGGGAAGAAGCTCTACGGGACAAAAGTTTTCGCGCCCCGGAAATAGCCAGGGTCGTTGGGCATCGTTGGAGAAACAACTGACCATCCTATCTGCCCCGCCTAACAATTCATTGTTCGTGCCCGCCTCACCAGTCCTACCGCCTTTATTGCTCGACAGAAAATCTATCGACTGCTTGTTCTTAACATATTTGCATTCATCGATTCGCTTCAATCTGGCATCTCGTCCGTAGTATCACTTCACCACGGGCCCATTATGCGCATTGATATCTGCAAGGTGTGAAGAGGTCAGACACTGAGTGATGGACCAGCCGATTCTTTTGTCGAAAAATTCGACAGATGCACAACTCTTGGAAGCAAGTTCGGGTGGCGTATGTTTTATCTCTGATCTTTCTTTGCGCTTTCGATGAAAACTAATTTTTTGGCAGAAATCCATTGAATGGTCTACCGCGCAGCCTAACGTCCGAACCTGGCCACCCGAAACGACCGTGATGGTAGCCGTCGACATAAAACAAGGAGAAAAGGGGGCAGTCAATATATACGAAACACCCCGCGACAAATATGTTGGTGGGATTGGTGAAAAGGACAAGGCGCGCATTGTCATGGTGAGATGGAACAGCAATTGGTGGTATTACTACATTGGATCTGTTCGGATCGCATACATAAAGGGCGAAACATAACAGCGTTGATTTGGCGTAACGGTATTGCATTCACATTTGCTGGGGTCTCTGAGTTGCATAAATACCGCCGAGTTCCCTCGAAATCTGAACAGTGACAAACGGAAAATTGTTCACATCGTATGGATCTGTCAACCATGGGCCCCCGCGGACATTGTCGGATACCCCCACAAGCTGGAGATCTGGGATCGAGAGATTGTAAACTCTACCATGAAGGAGTTCTGCGAAACATTAGGATGGTGCACCACTGCTTTGACGGTTACTTTTACCTGAACCAACTTGTACCGGCCGCGTTCCCGTATTATTACTGTCCAAGGGCAATGGGAGTCCAAAATCTGTTTGTGCATGAATTGCTGCGGGAGCATGTATCGCAGATCTCCTTACCTGTAGATGATTGAGCAAGTCGATATGCCGCAGCGTGAAAAGCTAGACCGCCACTTAGTAACGCTTAGAGCCTCGAATGAATCTTTCTCACCTTGAGTGAAATTGCGATATTCTTCACATGAGTCAAGCGGTCCTTCAGACGCGAAAGCGCACAGATTATCATGGTCTGAATGCAAGGCTTGAACTCTCTGGGAACTCATTTTGTCCACAAGATAATCGAACGTGCGATCAGACATCTGGCTTACTTCCCACACAGACGTAGGATATGCTTTGACCCACCACAAGACAACCTCAGGTTCCATATTGCGGATTGTATTACAACGTTCTGTGAGACGAAGCTTCCTCGCTTTTGCTTTGTCGGAGTCGAAACTGGACGTCTCTGGACCTTTGAAGATTAAAATGAGACGTTTTCTCAGTGCACTTAGGACCACTTGATTGTTCTCCAGAGATAACCGAGCCTGGTCATAGAGCTTCGCTTCATTCTCCGTAGGTTGGTAGTTTGGGATTGTTTGAAATAGGTGGTGAGCAGCTCGGACAAGTTCTATCGCTTGACGTTGGTATGCTTTCGTTTGACTTATTGTAAGGCGCTTGTCGAGGGTTTGAAATCTATCTCCTATAGATTCTATGGTTCTGGTAATAGCAACGAGATCGTTCAAGTCCCTAGCCATATTTCTCAGCACCATGAATGAGAGATCGAAGAATGAAATATTAAGAGAGCGAAGCTCCCTTCACCGGAAGTAGGCCTTGTCCGTTAATCCTGCCAATCTGCCGGAATTTGGTTTGAAATTTTGATGACGTGATTGCATGTTATTGGCTAGAAGGTTTGTCACCTCAAGTCAGTCAGTGGGTCTGACATCAAAGCATTTAGGTTGACACATGATGCATAGCCCCCATTCGATACGGAGGCGTGCACCAAATGTAGTTGCCGCGCTAAAGTTGAATGACGAGGACGTCAAAAGACCATCCATTTCTTTTCCGTTGCTCCGGACAACGGTCCCCGGAGCTATCGGAGCTCGCTCGTATTCCCCTAACATTCGCCTATTCTCTAGCACTAAGCTACCTAAAGTAGGTCATCTTTAGTTAAGACTTCAGTTAAAGCTGCCTAGAACAAGAGAGAATCAATTGTCAGGTTGTGATCCTTCGTCATTTAACTTTAGCGCGGCAACTACATTTGGTGCACGCCTCCGTTCTTGAAATCGACATGCATCTGCTCCCCCATGACTCCGGTTAGGGGTACCACCATATATTGATCTGAAAACCACTCTTCAAAGCGCCGAGCCGCCAATCTCAGGTTTCTGTTGACACTGAAACTCTGTCCAAATAAGTCAAACCCAGTCAAGCAATTCAGTCAACCGGACGTCTTAAACAACTTTCTCATAAATCGCTTTCTCATTTATCTTCAAGATGCCCCCGCAGCGGCCCGTGTGTACACAGTATCAGATTCGATACACTTGCGGACATAGCCTTAATAGCGAGTTTGTCAAATGCCCAAAACATGAAGGGAGTCCAGATAACAAGTGCGGCATGGGCGCTTGGAAGTACGAAGAGGAGAAGACATCGGGTCACAAGTGTCGGACGTGCTCAACGAGCGCTTAAGGTATTTTACAAGCTTTCAAAGTCGCGGACAAGTTGCATTCATTGACGGGTTGACGCCATTATCAGGTCTTCGAGGTTGCTAGTCCCAAGGCCGACCCTTGCCTGAAGAATCCAGGAGAGCCGCTTCTAGGCCGTAAAGTTCTTGATCTTTCATGGCATTCCAGCGTTCGAGGTCGTTACCTGGTTGTGGAGATGAGTGCTCGAAATCAATAAATTTCGGCCCTTTGCTTGTGATCAATATATTATCCTTGACCAAGTCGCCGTGAAGAAGACCTGAGGCATGTAGCTCTCGGAGTGCTCTCTTACAATCCTCCATGTCTGAAATACGAGCCGGCCTACCAGAGATTGCCTTTGTAAGGAATCCAATAACTCGGTGTCGTGATCCTTCAAAGGCATATCCCACCAATTCAGGTCCTAGCTGTGATTTTCTTTCTGCCAGAGTGTAAATAGCCTCTAGTTCCGTCAGCATCCGGCGGAGTTCGAAATTGAACCTCGCGACCTTCAAATAGCATAACTCCGATCCGTTGTCAACGTATGTAACTCGAGATTTCTTTTGAGATACAACACGAAGATTCAAAATATCGAAGAATGGGTAGCCTTCCACAACTTTCTCCGGAGGTAATGCATGAGCCTTGAAACGATTTGGGAGACAACGAACTCCATCACCGAGCCTTGAAACCGTCAACGTATCCCACTTATCGTACCATCCGCTGAGTTTCGACAACGCACGAATAAGCTCATCATTCGACGTTCTCGAGTCCTCTGGTAAGATACTGATATCAGTTATGTGAACATAGATAACTCTCTTCCCATCGTTGTCATCACGTCGAAGCCGGTAGTAGCAGTCAACCGGGCTGAGGTCCAGATCCAACAAAGTATCGCATATATTCATTTGAAGAGGATTACTGCCTTCCATGTACTTTTTGAACACAGCCTCGAACGCTGTCTCAACACTTGCCACAATCCAAAGAATTGTTTGGCGGAAATGACGAAGCCCAACATAGAAAGTATTAAGCTCCAGCTTAAGGGCACTGTCCATGTCTTGCCGGTTTTCGGAGGAGTTCTCGGAGCCGCTCGTGTGGTGAAGCCACGGAGTGTATTGGAAGTGTGAAGGTATCGGTCGAGAAGGCGGGGTGGATTCGGTGATGGCGTTGTAGACTTGATCCCAGATAAGAGTATTTTCCGGCTTGTGGCTAAGAGCTACATTTAAGAGAGGTTTGATACGTCCGAAGTCGAATTCGCTAGAGGCAACTGCAGAAATGAGCTTGAGGAGATCGCTTCGGAGGGAGCCAGGGCCTGTCTCCGAAAGGAGTAGGCCTGAGACTGGAAGGCATTTAATGGAGGAAAGAAAAGGTAGCGCGAGATTCCGCAGATCTATGAATGCGTCAATTGGAAGGATACTCAACAATGCTGGAATATCTTACCCTCTTGTCCTAGCTGATCTAGTGCATCTGATGTGCAAGAGAGGCTCCTGTCTTCACAGAGCGACATAAAACACGTATGGAGGTCATTAAGGGCTTTCCCAATAGAATTGTCTTTGATAATCTCTTTGATGATCTTCGACTGTGGTTGATTTTTCATGGCGACAGGCCCAAGAAGGTCGTGATGTACTTTTGAGATGGGATCTATGTACAGGTGGTCACACAACAGTCGCGTTTCGTGTCGAATTCTCCGCCACCTAGTCACTAGCCACTCAGCCACTGCCAAATTTATTTCGTTGCCTATGACATCATAAAGCAAGAGGATAAGGTGTTGGCCACTATACCCGAGCTTAGCAGAGGTATAGCCTTGGCATCCCGTGACATAGACTCTAAACCCGCAAACACTTTCCCAGTGCATTGAAGACCTGCCCATATATGAGCGGTCACAAAAAGTCTCCGTTTCGTCCAGATTTTGCGCAGCCAATGCGATGGCATTAGCTAACCATGTGAATGATTTAACTAGCCGGAAATTCTCAATACCTTCTAGTCTCCATATTCGTTGATCACTCCCACAAAGGGAGAGCATGTCGTGGGAAGTTCGACAACGCTGCTGCCTATTTCTGCCTGCTATAAATTGGTGACTATACTAGGGCTCTGAGATGCCGCTTTCTTGACGAACGCATTTATACAATCGGTGAGAATTGTGAAACTGAGGCATCGAAGCATTGAAGAGGACAGGAAAACTCATCTCGATCCCAGCATCCGGTTGATGATGATCTATTTCGGCACCCTCTGAGTCCCAAACGAGCCCCGTAGGATTCTTGAATCTCTCTCTGTCAGATCAGCACAGCCCACACGTCCGCCACTTTCCGCAAGGAAATCTAGGCAGCATTGCAAGGGCAGGGAATCTGCCAGGTTCCTGACGCTCGTCTGAAACGGATACCTAACCGAGAGGCAAGTATAGCCGATCGGAAGGGGCCAGATTAGGCCCCTAGTGTATCTGGTCTTGGGCAGTGCTTCCTGCGGCTTCCCCGTGCTCGGGGGACTCTGCCGTGGCTCCCACGATGCTCTCCCTTGCTCGGCCGGGTCTCCTCAATGCTCCGTCACGTGCCCGAGTAAAGCGGCGCCGCTCCCTTTCCTGAACGAAAATGGTAAGGGACAAAGCACAGTTCGGGGCATATATAATATATATATATATATATCGACTAATGCTCGCGGCATGCTATCACTTTACCATTAGCCTGGCGACACCACCGTCATTAGGCCGCCAGCAGTAAATTTGGACATTCCATGGACAGAAGAGCTAGCTGTTTGCTCGAGTCGGCTTGGGGAGAGCGACCCGTCGATAGTAGCGAGACCGATCAGGGGACGCGCCATCCGAATCCCGCAATCCCCAGCTTGGGCGAAGCTGCGTCGGTCACAGGCTGAGTACAGCGTCGCATGGCCAGTACAGATTTGGATACTTCCTGCATTGCGTTAGGTCTTGCCAGTACCGAGTAGAGCGGTGGGGAAGCTTGGAGCTTCGTTTACTGCCTACTGTAGCTGTCCACAGTACAGACGAGGCTGTGCAGAATCGGGGGCTAATTCAACTAGTGTTTTCATCTTTGAGATTCCTCAGCCGAACAACCATTATGTAACGCACATACACGGTACACGCGGCTCTACGATCGAACCAATCAGCAGAGATCAGGAACTGGCGGACAATATATTGCACCGAGAAGCTTGTCATTCTCGTTGATCCCTCGGCTGGTGTGGTGGCCTTAACGAACTACTTCGAGAGTTCTCGGCTTAATAAGGCTCGAGGATTTTATGCTCGCTATGCTGTTGCTTCTGCTAATTTGTTGTACGTCACCCGCTACGAACCGTGCAATGAGCCGCACGCATACGCATCATGGAATAAGGCGGACGCCATGACAGGCAACAACAGTAAGAACCACGCTTGGAGAAAACGGCCGAGAGCATACAAGCCCAAGAGCAAGACGGGTTGTAAAACATGCAAGTACGCCAGTTCCCGGAGGCGACATCTGCGAGGGAGACGGTTGCACAACTAATACTGCAAAGAATGATCGCTGACCGAGTTTTACAGAATTCGGCGTATCAAGTGCTCTGAAGAGAAGCCCGCCTGTCTCAAATGTCTCTCGACAGGGCGACACTGCGATGGGTACGACGAGGCCGAAACGAGGAGAACGACACCTCAGACAGATGAAGGAACTTGCCCTAGTATCCCCCTGGGCTCACTAGGCTCTTCTTTGCGCACACCTTGTCCCACTGGGGATGAATCTCCCAACTCCTCCGAACTGGATGCCCTCCGGTTCTTTCAAACCCGTACAATTGCCCGACTGTCCGGCTATTTCCCATCTGACATGTGGAACCGCTACGTCCTGCAACTCTCCCTGCTCGAACCGAGTATATACTACGCGACCAGTGCGCTCGGCAGATTGCACCGATGGTATGCGTACGAGGAGGACGAGGAACCTGCTTCATCTCTGGGGAGTCCTAACCCAGATGCTTTCATCTTTCGCCAATACAACAAAGCCATCCACCATCTCGTGCATCCGACAACAAGGCCACCGTCCAAGTGCGTTGTTCTGGTCGCATGCTATGTCCTCAGCTCGGTTGAAGCCCTCTATGGGGACTACAGATCATCTTTCCAGCATGTATCCAACGGCATCAGGCTCCTCTGTGAGCACGACAGCACTACTACTAGTACCACCTCCCACTCCCGTACATATCCTCCTCCTCCTCCTCCTCCTCCTCCTCCTCCTCCTCCTCCTCCTCCTCCTCCTCCTCCTCCTCGTCCTCCTCCTCCTCCTCCTCCTCCTCCTCCTCCAACATACAGATCGACGGGCAGCCTGCGTCATTCCTCCGAGGAGACATCGATCGAAGAAAGTCTGCTCATCCATTTTTCTCACCTCGATCTTCAAGCCTCGACTTTTCACCCGGAATGGGTCCCCTCGATGCAGAGGCAGGACCCTTCTGGCCTTTCCCCCGTCGATGATGACCTGACCGACTCCATCACAATCTCAATCTCAAGCCTGGAGGAAGCTAGAACACTCCTAACGTCAGCGCTTTTGCGGGTGATGGCTTACAAGAGACATGGGGAGAAAATACTAGCAAAGAACCAACAGACCGCAGATCATGTCGACATTGTTGATGTCCGGAGCAGACTTGGTCGGTATCTGCGCCAGTGGTCGAATGCGGTAGAGACCTGGCTGGCGGCCCAGCAAACAAAGTCGGAGCCGGAGTCAGAAGGCTCACCTGGCGTTTTATGCCTCCGGATTCTCCATCTGACGGCCTGCATCATATTGGCGGTTCCCCGATCTGCCGACGAGATCATGTATGACTCTCTCCTCGACCAGTTCCAAAGGATCGTCGACCTTGCCTCGGCGCTGGTCTCGCTGCAGCAAAAGAAGAACGACGACGACGACCACGGCGACGACCACCCGAGGCATCACATGGAGTATTCCCATGAAGTCGGCATCATACCGGCTCTCTACCTGACGGGGACCAAATGTCGTGATCCGACCATCCGGCGTCGCGCCCTGTCGCTCCTGACTTCATGCCGAAGAAAAGAGGGTGTTTGGGACAGCCGAGCGGCGGCGAAAATAGTTTCGCGCGTCATTGCCCTTGAAGAAAAAGAAGAAGAAGGAGACGGCCGACCTGCTGCTGCTGTACATACCTGTGCCGACGTCCCCGAGGAGAGTCGATTGCGAGATACTTGGCTCCAGGCACCGTCCAATGCCGACAGACACGCACCGCTTGTGCACACTCGCAGAAGGGCTGCACGACGAGATGATGTCCAGTTGGAAGTGATTGTGGACCATATCCAATGGTGATTGTTGCGACTCAAGAGAGGTATTGAATAGAATATTACAATTTCATGCAAGACTAGATTGGCCACAGGTGGGAGACTCTCCCGTAGACGGACTCCTTTGATATACCCAATTTGCAGTGCGGACAAGAAACAGGAACCCGGCGATTGAGAAAAGGCAATCATGACTTTTCTGAGGCCCTATCATACACGCCCTCGCCCTGTCCCGATCTTCAAACTATGCAATATCTCCCAACCCATTCGCTGGTAACTGAGCGGTACGCTTCGCTGGGATAATCTTTTCCTGGAATCACTCTCCCACATCCTTGCGTCGACCGAGCTTCCAATATCAAGCTTCCAGAAACCCCCAAGCACGGCCACCCTGGGAAACTCGTGCGGGCATATCATCACTATCAAAACCCCAGACGGGACATTAAAAACTCCAAATTATGCCGCCCAATCCGATTGATTCATGTCATGTCGTAGGTCGCCTTCGCCATATCACAAGACGCCTCGAAAACCAGCAACGCAGTTAACCCCCCAACTTAACCCAACGTCTTCCTGCCTTTGCCCGCCTTAACCCAACATCTTCCTGAACCTAATTGCAACTTAGGCTGGTCGGCGTCTACGAATCCATCGCGTCCAATCTTCAGCCCCTCCGGGGTATACAGGGTCACCGTCCAAGGAACATCTTCATCCGAGTCATCACTCGGACAGGAGGTAGGACTCTATCCTCGCTGGTGCTGGAACTGCATGCCCTGCTGCTGCTGATGTTGCTGCTGCTGTTGCTGTTGTGCCATCATTTGTTGCGCATGCTGCATCTGCATCTGCTGCATTTGTTGAGCTTGCTGCTGCTGCAACGCCGCCGCCATGTTCGGATTGACGTTCATGCCCATCGCCATGCCGTTCATATTCATCCCACCACCACCGCCTTGCTGAGCCTGCTGCCTCATTTGCGCCTGCTGCATTTGGACCTGGTTCATGTCAGCCTGCCGCTTGCGCACGGCGGCCATGGCAGCCTGCTTCGCTTGGTTCTGAACCTGCTGGAGTTCGCCAGCCTGGAGCATATTCGTGTTTCCGCCGTACTTGGCGGCTGCTTGACCAAGGAAGCGTTGTGTATACGCGTTCAGAGTCGTCTGATATAGCTGTTGTAATTGCGGGTTCATCTGTTGTCGTTGCTGAGGGTGGGGCACGCCACCCATCATCTGGCCTTGTGCCTGGGCCTGCGCAGCTTGGGCCGCCATCATGCGCTGCTGTTGTTGGGCGTGAGCTAGCTGTGCCGCTTGCTGCTGTGGAGTCATCTGGTTTGGAGCAGGGGAGCTCTGGCCAGACTGAAGGCTTTGCATCTGCGCTTTGACGTGCTCGGCCACAGATTGATTGTATGCTTTCTGACTCTGTTGCGGCGCTGGAGACATATGCTGGCTCTGGGGAGTCCCTTGCTGCATGGCCTGTTGCTGGGCTTGTTGGCGTTGCATGGCCGCTTGTCGGTCCATCTGGGCGTGATGTTGAGCTTGCATATGTGCCATTTGAGCCTGGGCCATCTGCGGCGTGCCGTTCATCATTTGTTGTTGCATAGCGGCTTGTTGCGCTGCAGCTTGTTGTTGCATGGCGTGTCGCCGTTGCATCTCCGCAAGTTGTTGCGGATTTGGTTGCCTCGGGACCCCGTTGGGCATCTGACCTTGCATGCCTTGCATCATCCCGGCTGGCATCATCTGTGGAGTGGGAGCAACCATGCTGCTATGGGGACTGGCTTGGCTCATGTGCTGTCCTGGAGTACCTTGTCGCATGATTGGCGTCGCATTTCCAGCTGCAGGTGTGCCGTGCGGCAGCTGTGGAGTGCCATTACGGCTCGGTGCCTGCGCACTACCGACTCTCGCCATCGGTGCACTGGGATGAGCATGCTGTATAGCGGAGCCAGGTCGAGCTGGAGAGCCGTGGCCTTGTTGAGAGCCCGAGATGGCCATGGGGTGGCCACCTTGTGCGGGCGCACTGGTTACCACGGGAGATGATGCAGCATGTGGAGTGCCTTGTCGAAGTATGGGCGAGCCACGTTGCTGCGCAGCCATGATCTGATTCTGCATGTTCGGGGGTATGCCATTAACTTGTTGGGAAGGTGGTCTCTGAGCAGCTTGTGCCGCTTGTTGCTGCTGCTGGGCTGCTAGAGCTGCTTGCATTTCTTGCTGACGTGCACGGATGGCGCGAGCCTCTTGTGCTCGTTGCATCATTATGCGTTTCTTCTCTTCCTCCTGCATGCGTTCTTGCTGGCCTCTTCTGTTCTCGTCTTCTTGTAGCTGTCGGTCCTTTTCGCGCTGTTTCCGCTCTGCGATTTCTCTCTTAATGTTATCCAAAGCGTTGAATTTCTCGAAGCGTGGTTGGAACAGAGCGGCGGCAGCTTGGCCATCCACAGCGCCAGCATTCGGAGCACCTGTTGCACCAGAAGTACGCTCATCCATAATAAGCATAAATTTCTCCTGTTGCTTGGCATGGGCATCCTCAGCTGCAAGTTCGGCAACTGTCCGTTTCCGACTCTTCGGTGACGGAGGTCGGGCATCATGATAAGGATCCTTCAGCATATCCAAGACTGTCTCTGCTTCTTCTAGACTATCGACAGGATCCAGAAACAACGGAGGAGCAGTCGCATTCACGACTCGACTCTCATAATCGATCACATCCTTGGGGTCGATTTTTAGCTTCTGCTTTTTCAATGGTGGACCTTTCTCTGCTGAAGGTGTGGGAGGTACTCCGGACATTGGTGTCTGAGGAGCTGCAGATCCCAGTGCTCGACTATTTGCGTTGGCTTGTGACTGCTTCCGATTGACCGACTTCGGATCTGGTGTCATGGCATCTATCACCAGATCCATATGCTTCGACAGAATGGTGGGTCGCAGCGCCACATGATAGACCTTTGGTTGCGGCTTTGTTGACTTCGGTCCCACGTCAATGGTGTCGTCTGAGTTCAGGGGACCATGAACCTCTCCCGATACCGAGTCTCGATGTTCCCTTTTGGTTGGCGGTGATCTTGCCACAGATTGCTCTTTCGTCGGATACGCTACGTACGGTGAAGGAGTGATGTACTGGTTGTAGTTGTGTATACTGAAAGGCTTCTCGTCGGCGGAGGCGGCGTCATGTGCAGCGTCTTTCGCAACAGACTTGTAATCGACGACCCGTACTATCAGCCAACCGTCGTAGTATTTGACCTCGGACTTTCGAAACTCTTCCACCATGTCATGCGGTATTGTACCTTGCGCCAGATGTTCGATGAAGATGCGCATTTCGGAGTGATAGCTGAAACTGCCTTCTTGCTGATCAAATCGGAAATGTGTAGGATGTAGGTGTACAATGAGGGAAGGCGGACATCCTTTGAATTTGCGTAAGATGTGGGACTCTTTGGGCACTGTAGTTCGGATAGTGTTAGTAACCGATCTAGATCTTGTTGGAGCAGCGGAGTACAAACCATATGGCTCCGGGAACTTCTTGATGGCTCGCTTGTCCACAGCTGAGGCATCACTGGTGCTATTCCTCGTGTTCAGCCGTTGTAGTCGTCGGTTCGGTCTCGGTACGCCGTTTACCCCAGCGCTGTTACTGGCAGCAGAAGTTGGGGTCTGGTTCTGGCCCGGAAGAGTCTTTCTGGCGCTGGAGGGGGAGGATGAAGGTGCAGAGGGCCTCATTCCGTTGACATTTGTCTGAAGCGTCGGCGCGGGCGGTTTCTTCATCTTTGTCGCAGTGCCCATCGGCTTTGCCACGACAGCAGCCATGCCGGGCTATGCGACTGTATTTGATTCCCCAGCTCTTGTGTAGTTCTCAACACCTACTGTAGACTGGTGCAGACCTCTTCAAAAAGTGCTCGGCCAGTTTGCGACGCTACTGTCCAAACACGCTTCATGAGGGGCAGATCGAGGCGCCGCGACCGAGTTCGAGGGTCTGTAGGCGGTATTTTTATTCGGATCCCTGATACTTCCGAGATGTGTAGAACCGGTGCGATGGTGATGTATAATAGAAGAGGCTTGTTGGATGGAAACGGGTGGATGACGGTTGTCTGTGATTGTTGCTCATGCGCAGTCTTGAAGAGATCGGCCGTATGATTAAGGTCGGCTATATTCTTGGCATCGATCTATGAAGAATGGTCACGTGCTACCTCGGCCCCCCTGGCCCCTGCCCCTATTCATGCCATGGACTTTTCACTCGGTGTCAACGAGGTCATCACATCTGCTACTCCCACTGATCAGGTGCGGCATCTTGCCTATGATCCTCCGATGTCTCAGTTTTCGAGTGCTGTTCACCGCAATGAGTGTTCGTCTGAACGTCGCCGAGGGAGGTTGTTGACAGTTCGGTTGCCACCAACCACGCTTGAGCACCTCAAGGGAATGTGCTACATTATTTCAGAGAATTTGTTTTACACGGCTTCTTCATTTACCTTTACCCGGTGAGAGGCTTTCCCCAGCTGGGATTGTCTAGAGCTGTTGACGCCTTCTTACATTTCGTCACGTGCAAGGCTGGACTCCTATTGATTTTCAGCCTCGCTGGGGGTAACGAACTGCTCAAAAAGGCGACATTGGGGGTCTTCACTGAAGGTATATCGAATCAGCCCCTCTAGCTGAGTTGCATTTGGTCAAGAAGACGTGGAGGTGTACATTTTGCAAGTCCATCAGAAGTCTACTAAAAGGCTTGTTCCTTCAACAGATCCTCGTGGACTATTGAAGGGCCAGGAACGACAACCTGAAGAGCAAAGAATGCGTAGATCATTCATGCTATCTACCGCTTCCTCGACGGCGTCCATGTTGGGATTCCCTTCTGAAACGACACTACAAACTCGGGCATGGCTCCAGGTCTCTTCACTTCTTCGCCACAACATCCCCAAACCAATCGAAGACGCGCTGATTCATCAAAACGCCTGCACCGACATGACAATGATGTCCTGCCCCATCGTCCATCGTCAACTTGACATACGTCGCCCTCGCCCCCAACGCGTCCCGGACCATCTCGGGCTGACCCTGGAAGAACTCATCATCTCCGGCACAACCAACCCAGACCGGACACTGAATCCCACCCGAGATCCCCTCCAATGTCATAGTCTTTGTCCGATCCAGAAAATCTGCCGGACTCGAGGTCTTGAAACTCCATAGACCCTGCTCAACGCCCCAACGCAGCCCAGTGGGCGCTTTCCCACTTTGTAAGAGATTCGTAACCATCGCGTCCACTTCTTCTCCGTTCGCACTCTTCCATGGCGGCGGCAACATACTCATGTACGCCCCATGCACATCGAATATGCCGTCAATTGCGATCGCCGCAGCGAGTCGCCCTTCGAACGCGGCGGCGCGGAGAGCAAGAAACCCTCCCATCGAGAAACCAATCAACCCGATTTTCGCGCCGTCCACGTCCTCACGCGTGCGCAGATAATCAACCACAGGCGAGACCACCTTTTCCCATTGCGTGATGAATCCCAGACCCTGGTTTCGTAGAACAGTCGGTTGCCCAGGGCCCTCGTACGTGACGACGTTGTATCCTCTCTCCAGCGCCGCGAAGCCGCACGAATGGAGCATTTCCTCCTGCGCTCCGTCGTACCCGTTGCCCATGATCAGAGTTGGTCTCGGATTCGACGCATCAGCAACATCGGTCCGGAAGAATATCGCAGGAACATCAAAGCCATCCGCTTTCAATGTGATGCGTTCGCCGGGGTTTGGCAGAAGGGCGATGGCCCGGTCAAACGCAATGGTCTGCTTTTGCCAGAAATCGTTGATGCGTGAATCCTCGGGATTGCCGTGCAGATAAAAGTCGGCTGCACGGAAGTATGTTGCTGCTCGAAAATACGCATCACGAGCGGAGACAGGCCTCGTGGTCTTGTCAATCTGCTGGGCCTGTTCGTAGACACGGTTGGCGAGGCTTTCGAATACCTTGGCGAAGCTCTCAAAGTTGCCAGCTTCGATTTGGCTGGCCGCCTCAAGCACCTCGCCTACGTCTGCGCCAAAGTAGCGCGCATGGGCGAGAGTGCGGAGGAGTTCGAAATGAAAGCTTGGGTCGGAGCTGAGTTGAAGCATCGTCACGGGTGCGGTACGAAAGGTTTGATCAATACTTGAGGTCTATGCGGACGGGGTACGAACGAGGACTTTGCGAGCATTGCAGCAAAAGAGGGAATACTTGTACAATTTTACTGTCCATCCTGGTTCGAGATCTTGTCCCTGCAGACTGCCTACGTGTGCAGGTACGGGCGTAGGGACAAGCGAGTGGTGTGAGAAACTTCGGAGCAGGGCGACGTTCTGCAGCCAGCAAATATACAGCTGACCCCTTGTCACGGGCTTGTACGAGGTTTGTACTACTTAGTACTCGTTGAGAAGGCGGGAAGTGGAAAGTTCATCTAACCGATCTAAGTATTTTTTACGAGTAAGAGCGGGCTGGAAATGAACTTACAAGGTAGACTCCCTTCGTGCATTAACCAGGGAATGTGTGTGGCTCAGTGGTGCGAGTGGCTGCGGCCGTAGAAGCTCTAGGTCCGTTCTCAAGTGTCATGCAGTTGTCGGCCTGATATGTTATGACATAGTAGGGAGTACAGCCCCAGTACCCCAACCGCAGGAGCCCACCAAGCAGTACGAAGTACATTGCGATCTACATGGTTTTGACGACTTGGTCCCAAGCCACAAGACCGCTATAGATGAACAAGACCGTTCAACCCTTCAGCTATCGACGCAAGAAAGGTTTTGCAGGACTCGCTTGCATAACCAGGGCTACATATCGCAGAGGATAAGTAGATCACCTCATTAACATAACATAGGTACATCATCTTCAATCACGATCATTAACCCGTCTTTGCCAGTCCTCCCCTATTTTCAGACTTTCCACAACAGCCACCCGTTTTCCCAGCCCAGTCCGCTCCTCTTTCTGCCACCATGTCTCGGGCTTCTGAGTGACCGACTCATCGTCGGTATCGATCAAACCACCGTGGCCACCTTCATCACCAATAACAACGACAGTCTGCCGGACCCAGCCCGACAATTCAGATATAATCTCTCCATCTTGGCCGCATAGGGACTCTTGGATATACACGAGTTCTGGCGCGAGACTTCGGAGAATGTGCTTGTGTCCTCTTGAAGAAATGAAAGGCAGTATCATCGTCTCCTTGTCAACGATCGCTAGGGCCTGGTCGTGAAGAGTCCTGTAAGAAGACGCCGTATCCTCTACTGGCTTGGGATCAACGTGCGCCAAGATTCCATCGTCGGTTGTCCCTGAAGGGAAGTCGCCGGGGGTCTGAGCTGGTGTATGTGCATCTGTCTGGCTGATATTCGAGAACGACGATGTCATGGACTGTGAAGCTCTCCTTTGGCTGACCGGGTGCGTTTTGAGTTCTGGCGCGTAGATCAATACGAACACTCTTGTCGTGTCTGAGTCCACGTATTCAGGAAGATGTGACAGAATTGACTGCATCTTGATGTCAGCTTCATCGATCACAGGATATAGCAAGGCAGGGGAAACTTACAGCATGATCTGATTCACCGGCAACCCCAAGGCCAACAGCTGAGACAACCACAGCTACATTTTTCCTTCTCTGGCGGGCGATGGACGACTCTCTGGGAACTTCAATACTTCCAGAGAAGAACTCGTCGGCTGTTCCCCGTCTTTTGATTCCCTGCTTGACCTCTCTTTCGTTATCTCGTTGCTCGGCTTCCTCACTCCATCTTTCGTGGTCCTCATAGCCTTCACCACCATCACTTCTGAGCGAGCTGATGGCTGCACCGACCATTGCGCCTGCCGCTGCCACACCAGAGGCAAATGGCCTGTTCGCCCAGTCATAAGATTGATTGGCCTCCACCTTCGCGGGGCCTTGGGATGGTGTGGTTGATCGACCAAGGCCTAGAGCGCTAGACATTCTGGCTACTAGACCAGCCTCCTCCTGCTGCTCTACCGCCACCGAGCGACTGGACTGGAATTCCTCGCCGGCCTCCCGGTAGTCCCCAGCTCCCGGACCTTGAAAACCGCCAGGCGGAGGAGGTCCCTGAAACCCTCCAGGTTGATTCGGACCAGGCATCATACTGGGGCCTTGAAAGCCTTCCGGACCAGGACCTGGAGGGCCCTGGAAGCTACCAGGCGGCGGTGGTCCAGCAGGTAGAGCACCGCTCATGCTTGCATATCCCGGAGGCGGGACTCCTCCACTAGGGGAGGGTTCGTCTTCACTCGACTGCTCTTCGTCATCACGACGCTCGCTCCATACCCATGCGGCAATGCCAATGGCTGCCGCTGTGACGGTTACTGCTAATGGCACCCAGTAGCCGAATGTTGATCTTTGTCCTGTGTAGCCAGGGCCACCAGTGTTGGCCGTCCTCCGCCTGCGCTCCGTGACACTGTATTGGTAGGACATGTTTTCGGTCTAGTGTCGCAAGGTTCGAAGACTTAGGTATGCATCAAGGCAGGGCTCTGGAAGCCTCGGAGTCGAGGGGATGTAAAGCGTCTTCTGAGGAAGGCTGAGGAACAAATGGTATGATCGGCGGTCCTTTGTTTACTTGCTCGGCCGAGGCTTGATAGGCGGGTGACAACGATATGTTTCTGACTCGAGGCCGCAACAATGCGACCAAGAATTATATCACTCGGTCAATGCGCAAAGGATGATGGAACAGAAGAAATCAAGGAGGGACGAGCGCCTGGGGAAAGAGTGGTTGTGCTTTGAGCAGTCGAATCCGTGTGGCTGGTTCACTAGGTCGCCGCCTTCGAGTGTTTCCCAGCCCTGCACCTGCGCCTGCGCTTTCCCCACATCTCACCAGACGAATTGTTGTCAGGCCGCCCACTGATATGTGCTGCGATGACACTACTACGTAGGTATTATGCTTGTAATAATATAGCAAACCCTGTTCTATCCCGCCGCCTTGTCGATGTCCAGAGACCGATGACTATGGCAGACTCGTCCGTACGCCAACGGTTACAGAAGACCAAGTCTCCCTCAAGTCCACAACAATTATCCTCGCAGCCCGACGGGGTCGAAGACCAATCCTCACGCGTGATCTCTCTCCTTGATGTTCTTCGAGTAATCATCACACTCATCGGCGTCTCCTGCGCACTGTCATACTATCTGACCTCCGGGGCCTCTCTTTTCTGGAATTACCAACCCTGGTTCGCGAATACCGCACAGATTGTACAATGGTGGGCGGGACCATTGCAGCTGACGCCGGATCAACTGGCCCTTTACAACGGTACAGATCCCAAGAAGCCAATATACCTTGCCATCAACGGAACGATCTTCGACGTGACAGAAGGAAGACATACGTACGGTCCGGGTGGAAGTTATGAGGTGTTTGCAGGAAGAGACGCCACCAGAGCATTTGTGACTGGATGTTTTCTGGAAGATCGAACGGGAGATCTAAGAGGAGCCGAAGACATCTACATACCCATAGACGATCCCGCCGAGGATATTTCAAGCGGTGCTAGAAAGACAAGAGCTGAGAAGGAGCGGAGAGAGGCAAGGAAGCGCGTGCTGCAGGAAGTGAACAAGTGGGAGGCATTCTACCGAAATCACAAGAAATATTTCGAAGTAGGGAAACTGGTGGGTGTGCCAGAGTATACCGGAGATCCTCCGAAATTATGCGATTCGGCTCAGAAGGGTCGGCCCAAGAGGAAGAATATGAAGAAAGCACGAGATGCGGATGAGGCGCCGGGAAAGCCAGTTCACTAGTAACGCCAAAAGCAAAGTATGAGGCCACGATCTTGGGTAGATAACACATAGACGGAGGCAGCACTAAGCCTGAGCTTCTTCTTCTGGCTGGTAAACGTTTCAAGATGGTAGGATTGTGCTGAGTCCGGTTTCGGCACAACGCTGGAAACAGTATTGACCATTGAATTCAGTCATGTTGACCAGTGCTTCGTTTTGCAGAATACTTGCATTATGCAACTGTCTCGGTATCCTTCCGTAGTCATCTTTGACCGTATTCGAACCATCCGAGATGCATGTTTGTGACCATTGTTCAGCGCCGTAGATACTGTTGTCGCATTCCAATCGAGCAAAGCGATGACTGAATGAGTTGTCTTGTCGATTTGGCCTTCACTTCATCCTCTAGTCACCACCAGCAGCCGCTCTCGTGTAGATGCCACCGCTGTGATGTGCCACGACCTTGCGAATCACTCCCCGATCCTCGAGGTCGGCAAGCGCCTTCCGTGCTAGCGAGCCATTGATCTTCAGTCTGTCGACCAGGACGGCAACCGTGATGAGTCGGTATGATTGCACGTCTTTGTTGAGTTTATCGGAGGTGGCTTTGTCCAAGACCACGGCGTGGTTGGCCTTGTCCTTGACTGCAGAGATTGTTAGTTTCGAATTGCGACAATTCCATCGAGGTGCAAAACGCGCCTTTCCCTTTCGACCACTTCTTTTTCTGCTTCTTACCACCTGAGGATGCTGCAGGTGCCTAGGGACCATCAGTATAAGAGCCTTCAAGTTGGATGGAGATTATCTACCATGGTTGCGGTGGTGATTGAATGATGAAGACGGTGTTGAGAAAATCGCAACTGCACGAGACTTAGATGTGGGAAGGAGCCAAGATGCCAAGACCTTAGGCCTATTTTGGAGTGCGTCGCCTCTAGTGGCCACTATTATCATGACATAGTAATGTATCTAATAGACCACAACGCTGGTACTTACCTTAAGTACCTAGGTAGGTATATACCTCCGGACGGCAAAGGATCCTCATCATTTCCTGTATTCCTAACTCTCTTTCTTGGGTTTGCCGCTACACTGAAAATGGACCCCATGGTTTGCATCATGCCTGGGATCAGTTTACTGCGTGTACTTTGCCTAGGTAGCATTGTACTCATTTACTGCGTGTTTGCATACCAGGCATCTGTTCGCCGCGTGTGTGTCATACTTGAAACCTGTTTACTACATGTCTCACTGGTCAAGTGTATGTTGTGACTGTCATAACAGGTATCTGCTTGCTTCCCGAAGTTCTACGGTCTCGTGGGTAATCGTGTAATCTGGCGCTAGGATGCCATTCGACGACAAACAGCAGCGAGGACAATTTATGTGGCAGGAGGGCCTCCTATTCGATGCGAGGTCCGACTGCTGCTTCGCTGGTTCAAGCGGCAGCTGTGTTGCAATCCGGTTATGCGAGTTTCATTACACGATTTACCCACAGGACCGTACTACAAAACTTCATACCCTGATCGGACTAATTGCTTTGTAGCTCAGGGTTCTCAATGAAAGCCCAGACTAGTTTGGCATGAGCGAGCCAGCACCTGTGCATTCAAGACACCAAAAGGTTTGACCAGTGGATGGAAGCATGCATCTTTCGAAGAATGACAGTTCCGCACCATGGAAAAGGACTGAGGATCCTGCTATTTTATAGCAGTAATCCTGGCGCTTTGGTAGGTGAACTTGTCGTTTGTAACAGTCAAGGTGCTTGGTCGAAGAAGAAGAGCGGCTCTGAAAAACCGGCTCTGAAACACAGTGCCAGAGGAAGCAGCACTGTATTGAACAGGAGGCCCTCCTGCCACATAAATTGTCCTCGCTGCTGTTTGTCGTCGAATGGCATCCTAGCGCCAGATTACACGATTACCCATGAGACCGTAGTATGAACCGTGTTGAACACGGCGAGGAGGCGTCGTCTTTACATGCCTTAGACGCCTTGGTAATAACAAGGTTTTCCCAGCTGACATCGAAAGGTGCGCTGGAGCATATCTGCTCAATCATGCAGTGTTCACATCAGCAAGGATTATGAGAACATGTAAAACGAAGAACTCGGAGTCCTAGTTTTGACAGATCATTTCATTTGACGACTTCTGCCTCCATATCTACCTAAGGCGGCACGTTGTCCAAGCTCTTAGAAGGGCTGGAAATTCAAGTCAACTTTTCGGGTATCATTCCCACGCTCATGCCATCATGCAGAACATATCACAAGATGCAATGTCTAGTAGAAGAAGCCAATGACCTTTCCAGCAACATGCTTTCGTCGAGCCTCCTCGTGGTCCATAATACCAGCGCTGGTCGTAAGGACAATGTAGCCAAATTGACGAGAAGGCAACAGCTTGACAACCCACTTCTCGAGATCTCGAAGTTGAACGTTGTAGCGGGGAGAGATGACACCGGTCTTGTTGAGACGTCCGTTGAGCTGGATGACAATCTTGCCATTGCGATGGTCGTCAACTTCCTCGAATTCGCCAATGTAGCCTGCAATGAGTCTGTCAGCAGAAATTCGAAAGAATGTTGCGGTCGATTAAACATATAACAAACACGATGAAAGAAAGCAAATGTGTAAGATCGACCGCCGAGATCTCCATCTCTCGGGCACTTAAAGGGCAAAGGTCGTTGAGCAAACCGAAACCACCGCCTAGTTATCAGCCCGACAACAATGTTGTGCACAAATCCTCCTCTTTCCGAAGAAATTGCTGTTATGAGAATCTTGACGTACCGTGCTTTTGCATGACAGACAAGAATTTGATGATGACCTTGGAGCTGGGTCGAATCATGACTTGACGCTTGCCGGCCTTCTCGGCATTGTTGATGCTCTTGAGGGCATCGTTAAGGACGGAGGTTCGGACCATTTTGGCGGTATTGAAGGTTCGAGATTCTCAAGTCGTGAAAACGAGGACTTGAGGTGTCTGTCAAGGAAGCTGTTAGTCTCCAGTAGCCTCGAGCAGGAAGAGTGCCCATTCAAGGGTTCTTCAGCTCGTGTCGCAAAAGATGAGCGTATCCGAATTGCGCGGCCCGAAAATGCTACAATCCAGGCACGCATTCGGATTGCTCATCTAAGGCCAGCTGAAGAGCGCATGAAGGTCGACATACCTCTTGGGAATTGGTGAGATTGACGATGAAGAATTGTCGTTGCGTGGACAAATCTGAAATTCCGCAAAGCGCAGTTTCACATTCTTTCGAAAGTGTGCCAAGCACGACTAAAGGACTAGCCTCTTCCAGGAGGAGCGGGGAATTTTGGGGCCAACCATCATCACCCAACCAAAACATGCAAGGCTGACAGCCTCGTCACGTCTCTCACCCGCTGATGGCATGATGATCGCAGGGCAGAGACACCTCACTGTTCTCTGCTTACAGATCAGGATTGACGATTATGGTGAAGATGAACAGGACAAGGAGTAGCTGGTCAAGTCAGAGACGCAACTAAAGCAAGAAGAGGGCTTTTGAAGCTTACAAGAGACGTTGCAGCGATGAATATTACAACCACCAAGCCACTTCCAATCGCTCTCCCCCGGATCATTGCATTTTGGCAGATGAAGAACCTTGCGGCACCGATGAGCGCTACAGAAGTGCCGATCACTAAAGTAGCCGTAGCAAATGGAATGCCCAGGTCAAAGTCGCTTAATCTGTCCGCTGGTGCTGAGCTTCGGTTCAGCCTGTACAGCTGCAGAATCACCACCGCAAAGTTTGCGAATGCGCTTGATGTCCTGATGTAACCGAGGAAGACGCGCTCATTTGCCAGATGATCTCGAGCCGAGGAGGGTGGTATGTAGACCGACCGTGGAAGCGAAGAGAGCTTGAAGCCGGTGCCGCTGGGGACTGGTACAGCCGCATCTGGTCCATCGGCTGCATTATCTGTCTCGTCGGCCTCCAGCGGCTCTACTGCATTTGCTAAGCGATCCATTTCGTGTTGCTCCGGGGCCTCGCCATCCCGGTTGCTATGTTCGCCTATTTGCCAGGAGGTCGTCATCACCTCGAAGCGTGACAGACACGGAACGTGCGATTCTAGCAAAGCAGGATCGAAAGCAATAGTCGTTGTCTTATGGCACCCTGGACTCGACGTGTGTACCTCCCGAAGAACAACGTAGGCCGTGTCAAAAGGAATTGTTCAGTAATTTTCGAGAACCAATGGGAACCGACGAATTTACGGTTCTTCCTTGAACTAAGCTCGTTTAGGGAGCATTGCAGCCTCCTTGTACCTAGAGACAACCTATGGACACGGGATCAGCAAGCGGATAGTAACCTGGCGACTTTCCAGCCAGTATAATAGCTTCGCGAGACTTCTTGAGCCTGCTTGGTATTTGCCGACGGAACGAAGCCTCGTTGTAGGAGAGAGAACGTGCGGAGCAGTGAGACCAGTATTCACTGGAAAGCATTGATTGGATTCGTGCAACAGCTAGAGAGATCTCTGCAGATTCCTACATTGGCAGAACGATGGCAAGCACATGTTTGGTCGCTGTCGTTGAGAAGTTAAGGGTTTCGAAAACCTTGAGGTAGAAGTGAACGCAAGGTGAATATATGCCTAGGTCGGCTTCCATTTCGAGGAGGATAAGGCCCAAGGCAATGACAGAGTTGATGTGATTTAGCTCTCCATCGGAGATCTTGCAGGAATGCATGGAAGGGCTGGAGCTAGGCACTCAGCAAGCGGTGAATGCAGCAAAGCGAGGTTCTTCGACGCAAGCAGCCGTGGAAAATCAGTCACCCAGGTCAAGCATTCCGTTGCCGGAGGAGTGTTCTCGACTCAGTGAACCTGGGAAGACATAACCAAGAGCGGTCATCTCAGTCTCATTGCGTGGGAAAGAGATGTTTGCCGCCTTCGAACTGCCTCACCTCAGGATGAGTGAACACGCGTCTTTTGCCTTGATGATGACTCTGCGAATTCCGTCAACAACAACAAACCGCTTGCACTCTTCCAGACGCGGTCGCCAAGATGCCTCTGCCACTGCCTGAAATCCCCGTCGTGACCCCAACTGATCTCTATATGAGGAGTCGTGACGGAGACTGGATTTACATGTGCGAGAATGCGTCGCAGAGCAGCTACTCTGGATGTGTTGATACTGACTCTGAAATGACGGAATCGCAAATAGTGAAATTCATCCAATGGTCCAATCCAGAGCTGTTTGTAAAGCTGGGTGGAATGCGACTGGCCAGTTCACATCTGCCCGAGGATGGCGACGAGAACATGGATGTCGCTGTGATCAGTCGGGCAGATGAGGGCATCGAAGCGGACGCCGAGCAGCCCACAACAACGGTTGAGCAGAACAGAGTCCAGACAGCTGCTGACCCAGACTCCGAGTCTTCGCCGCTCAACGATGATCATGTGCTAAAGCAGGAGGCTTCCGATGGCGACCACGACATGCAATTGAAGTCGTTTGTGCTAGGTAAGAGCCTGGAGGGGAGTCCACGATGCCTGACTTTGACGAGTGCTAGATTGCCAGTATGTCTTCACCTTGCATGAGAATACAGACCCGAGCGACACCTACTTTTGCTCCCACACAACCTGTCAACATCCAATGTGCATCATCCCCTATGGGGAGCTGTTCGCAAGTATGACTGATGAGGGTAGGAATGGAAATGACTTGCCCCGAGGATCCCCCAAAACTGTCCACTTCTGCTTCGATTGCTTGCAGGAAGCTTTGAGGAAAGAGCTCGGAGACGGAAGAGACCGCCAGACGGCGGATTGCCTTGCAGATGGCTCATGCGACAGGGAATCGGTGCTTGGTGCCGCTCAAAAAATCCACCCAACCTTAAAGCCGAAACAGCAGGTCTTCATCTATCCTCCTGAAGGACCAACCCTCGATCCTGGTGCGGGATCGAATTCAACAAAAGGTCTCCGCCGGCGCCGCCAGAAGCAATATGAGATTATTAGGATATTGCAGGCTATTCAAGTTGAGCATAAAGTCAGAACATCGAGGCTACACGACCAGGAAGAAGCAGACCTCCACATTCGACCCCTGTCCAATCTTGAGCCCTTCAGGGAGCGGTACAAAAAACAAGGACTTGAGTGGAATGATATGGATCATTTGAGGGGTCAGAGACGGGCGCACGTCTCGACGATTGATGCTCGGTCGTCCCCCAAGGTCACTGAAATACAAGTTGAAGACTGCCACGTCTCTACTTGTCACTGTCAAGAAGTCCTCCTCAAAGAGAAAATGGTCAGTTGTAGTTCCAAGTCGTGCATGTTCGGATGGATCCATCTTCGATGTTCCGGCCTTACGGAGATGCCTCGAGCATCTGAGGTCTTTTTCTGTCAGGATTGCAGGAAACGAGAAGCCTTTCACTCCAATGAAGGAAGTTCGTGTGATGGATCGGACAGCAAAGCAGGAGCAAGCCACAGAAGCTCAGGCGTTCAGACCTCGGAGGGGTATGCAGCCAGCGTTAGCGGGAACGAATTGTCGTCTGATGATGAAGAGGAGGTTGAGAATTATAACGAAACGTCTGACACCAAGCCGAAAGGTTCTGGATGGGTCGCCGTCAACGTTTCGATATAAGGTTCAATCTGCTGAGCGACATGTCCCCCGAATTGTGTTGCATACCATCCGGAAGACTAGGTGGATTCAGCATTATTGTTGAGAGAATATTGGCTCGAGCATCAAGAACGAATGTACCCATGACGAAGGTGGTTGAAAAGATCGAAAACCTGTTGGAATTAGCATGCAGCGAGTGAGAGCACAAGCAGATACATGTATGCTTCCGTATCAGATGGATACAATGCACAGGCAAGTGTGCTCGATGACCATAATTGATGGAATTAACAAGTGATCTCGATCCTGAAAGCGCCTGTTTGTAGTATGTCGTCGTGGTCATCTAACTTGGATTTCTTACATAAGCACGCCAAGGCCCAATAGGCGCCGAAATCAAACTGCGACTTCTTTTCCTGCCTTCTGCCTTCGATTTTGTTCCTGGACGAAAAGACCATCACGCTATTCTCACCCTTTCTATGTCTATCGTTGCCTGGGAGTAACTCGCACTTTTCTGAGTGATCCCTGCGACGAGAAAAGGATATTGGGCCGTACTGCCGACCGAAGGAACACAATTCATTTGGAAGCCGCATCATACTACAGCTGTATTGCAAGGGTTCGCTTGCGCACGCCTTGCTCCATTTCCCGACTCTGACCACGTCCCAAGTGAATCTTTACTGCATTCAACTTCAGTTTTTGAGAAAACCACCGACGATTGCTCAAAATGTCAGGACTCGATGTCGAGGCTCTCCTTGAGTCCACAGCCGCCACCGATGTCAAAGAATCTCCTCGCGAACCCGATGACCGCCATCGCAGCGACCGTAGTGAGCGTCGTGACAGAGACAAATACCGCGATGGTTCCCGTGATCGAGACAAAGACCGCAAAAGACGGGACAGAAGCCGGGAACACCGACGAGATCGAGACCGCGACCGAGATGATGACATGAGAAGCCCCAGAAGCGAACATGGCTCTGCTAACGGCAGTCACAGAAGTAGGAGGAGGAGTCGCAGTCGCGATGACGACAGAAGACGTTCCAGACGTGACGAAGGCCATCACCGTCGACGATCCAGGTCTCCCGAATATGATCGCTACTACCGACCCGAAGGACGACCTCGACGTGATGACGATGATAGACGCGACCGTGACAAAGACCGCCGTCGTTCGGAAAGCCCCAAAAAGGGTGTAAAGACCAAAACACCTGAACCACAACTTACTGAGGATGAGCGTGACAGGAGAACCGTTTTCGTACAACAACTTGCCGCGCGCCTCCGCACAAAAGAGTTGATCCAGTTCTTCGAGAAAGTGGGACCTGTCAAAGAGGCTCAGATTGTCAAAGATCGGGTCAGCGGTCGCTCTAAAGGGTAAGACGTCTTCCGGAATGTTCTTGCATCTGCTAACCATCTGTAGTGTCGGCTACGTCGAGTTCAAGGATGAAGAGTCGGTGCCCCTTGCCATCCAAATGACCGGACAGAAACTCCTCGGGATCCCCATTATTGCTCAACTCACAGAAGCAGAAAAGAATCGACAAGCCCGCAACCCCGAAGCTAGCAGCAGCAATCACAACTCTGTCCCCTTTCATCGTCTCTACGTTGGAAACATTCATTTCAGTATCACTGAGCAAGACTTGCAGAATGTTTTTGAGCCTTTTGGAGAGCTGGAATTCGTTCAGCTTCAGAAGGACGAAACAGGGCGCAGTCGTGGTTATGGTTTTGTCCAGTCAGTCAAATGCTTCATGATGCCAATGCAGAACTAACGCTATTATAGGTTTCGTGATCCCAATCAAGCTCGTGAGGCTCTTGAGAAAATGAACGGCTTTGACCTTGCAGGACGTCCCATCCGAGTCGGTCTAGGCAACGACAAATTTACGCCTGAATCAACAGCCAATCTGCTTCAGCGCTTTCAAGGTCAGAACCAGCCCGGCTACCAGGGCTCGGCCTTTTCCGGTTCCGGCGGGCGAGGATCTCACGCTGGTGGCACCGGCGGCACTTTCGATCGTGCAGGCGGCCGTGATAACGACAAGGGTACTGGCGGGGCCAGTGCTCTGGATGATACCGATGTCGCTGGCGTGAACTTCAACAACTACAGCCGAGATGCATTGATGCGCAAACTTGCTAGGACAGATGATTCCACCACCGTGCCCGAGAAACGCAGTGTCGTTCCAAAGAAGGAGAGCAAGCCTCTGCCAGTCAATGTCAGCCAAGCGAGTCGCTGCGTTTTGTTGCGGAATATGTTTGATCCTACGGAGTAAGTGGCTTCCATCGAGCCCGTTCCAAGTTAATGCTGATATATTTGAAACAGGGAAGAAGGCGAAAGCTGGATTAAGGAGCTCGAGGACGACGTCCGTGCCGAATGCGAGGAGAAATATGGCCACGTTGTGCACATATCACTCGATCCGAACACCCAAGGTGACATTTATTTGAAGTTCGAACGCGTGTCTGGTGGCGAGAACGCTATCAAAGGCCTCAACGGCCGTTACTTCGGCGGTAGGCAGATCAGCGCGCAGCCAGTCGTTGACGCCGTCTACAGCAGTTTGTTCTCTAGGACCAAGGCTCTATGAGCAGCTTTTTACGATAGGCGCGGATCGACTTGTTTGCGGCTCAAAGTCGCAATCCGGCAAATGACTAAATCAGCCAGATGCCTCTCATCACTCAAACCAGTACCAGAAGAGATCAGGCCACGAAACAAGTTCTTATTGCGGGAGCTGGAAGTACGGAGCTGGACTCGCGAATGGTGTGTCGTGATTCAGAATTTGATGTTGTTGACGAGCCTTAGTACCTTTCTCCTGTTGCTGCCAGTGACCAGACAAGACCTGAGCACATCATATTGTGGCCATTCAGCTGCTCTGGTAGGTCGGCGTTGCACATTATCTGCGCTTACGGAGTTGAACATGGATTTGAAATAAAAGCAATTGACCTGTTGATAGGACAATATTCTACGTGCATTCCTATACGAGTTTGTTTTCACATAACCGCTGTGAGCTTCCGGAGCATTCCTGTTTTTCTCGAAGCCCATTAACACACATTCCCTATGTCGTTGCTGCTGTGACCTTCTTATTGAGTTTTCTAACAACCGCAAGGAAACTTGCCAATGAACTTGCTGCTGCGACCGTCGTGTGCAAGCAATATGAGCGGCGCCTACACATGGTACCTGACCTGTATCGATGACACATTCTCAAACGCATAACAAGGGGCTCGTTGTCCGCTATGCTCACCTCTGCCTTGCGCTTCACCACTCATCATTTGTCCAGAATAGCTAGATGCAGGCAGGCCGTTCAGCTTTCTCAGGATCAGGTATGGACTGCCCAGCTTGTCCAACAACCAGAACTATGGTCGCGGATGGACGTGCGATCGGAAAGGAGGTGACAACTTGAACCAGCCAGGGACATTCCGAATCTGATCTCTAGTATGTTTGGTTGCTTGGCAGCACGGCGAGTCTCAAAAGATTCCTTCGGAGCCGGCCTCCTTCCAGCGTGTGATGGCAGTGAGCGCTCTCTGAGAGACTGTGCGGAAATTTGCAGGACGATCATCCTAACTTAGCCTCGATCCAGATCACGACCAATAGTATGCCAATGGAAATGACAACATTTCTTCATACTTTAGTTAGGCCACATACTCAATTTCACTGTGGTCCACAGATACCCGCATCGTTCGATTATCTCGTTCGATTATCTCGTTCGATTTTCCGGTCTGCTGACCAGCCACCACCGAAGGAAGTCCAATTATGCCTATCTCAAGGCATCTTCAATTGAAGAGCCGACACTTTCCGTCTAGCCGTCACAGCATCCCAACACGGCATACAGTACCCATCCCAGGCACTTCGACTCTGACCATCTTCGTCATATACGGCAGTCTTGGCGGGTCCAAAGGTTGGAGATTTGAAAATGACCAAGTCTGCTCAGTCCATGCTGGAGTAGTGACAGGAAGAGTGGCGGCAGTCTCATTGGTGTTGCGTGGTTGCATACTCCAAGTAGATGTTGTTCTAGGGAAATCCCAACTGACGAAGAAGATTCGCAGCGGTAGCGAGGTCTTGAAGGTCGAGTTTCCTTGTATACCAGTGGCCCTTAACACTGGAGACGTACCGTTGACAAGGGGGAGATCATGGTGAGAAGATTGCTAGAGCCATCACCAAGTGTGGAAGATGTTTCAATGCGATCATTTTGTGAAGTGTCTGATGTGGTACCGTTGACCAGGTGGAATGTTGTGACCAACATGCCCGGCCCCCCTGCTCTTCACCCCCTCATCTTGAGCTTGGGCTTGAGCTTGAGCTCCTTCGTTTTGGAAGTTTTGAACTTCTTCGTGACAGTTGGAGTGGCTTTCAATATCAGCAACTCTTGCTTCCGCGCTGGGAGAGATAAGACATACCTGCATCAGCAGCTTTGCGTTTCTTGGCGCGACCATTCTCGGGCGCCGCAAGCGCTGTTCCAGCTTCGAAACTTTGTTATCCTCCTGAAGCCCGGAACACCATCAAGGGTGTCAAAAGTGGCTGGACACTAAGCAAAGGCTCGGGATGATCCCAGCCTTTCCAAGCTTGTCTCCTTGAGACACAAGGGTTTGCAAAGTATGTCGGATAGACAGGGTCTGGTCATCGTCGGGCATGTTGATCTCATTCTTGACGCCCTCTTCGAAATGAACACTCTGCAAGACATTTGGCGAAATACTCGCATTTTGTCAAGAAAGATTTGTGGGCTTTGATCGGGGTAGCGTCCGGCCCGACAAAAATGGTGACCATGATAGACGCGAGTAGACACCCGGCCCTGATAGCTTGTCGACAGTGAGCCCGGGATCGAGTAGGAAGACTCTTCGGATGACGGATTTTTGCTGCTAGTGACACCCCAGTATCAAGCAGTGCCGGCTGGATCGTCAATTCATTCCCCATTCAGGTTTTTGAAGTGCCAGAACATTGCGGATGTTGTCTTTGGTCTCTTGGCCGCGGGACTGACACTTCTGCTTCCAGCTGCAAGAAACCGTCTCCCAACGCACCAACTACCGATATCATATATATAGGGGTTCGCTGTGCAGCCTGCACGCACGCCCGCATAATGGTTGCACCACTCCAAATTGCAACCATGGCGCAGGTCCCCTCTTGTGTTGACATGTACGGCCATCTTGCAGGCCTTGCCGAGTTCAGTGTGGACGTGTCCTTCCTTTCAAGACTCGTTTCGACTCCTTCAGATGTGCCGCTTGGTCCGACTGGTCCATAGTAATGATTGTAGCGGTATTCTGACCGATGAGGAAGTCGGTGCTGAAGGTGTGATACTTTGGGAAATTGGTCTTATGAAGAGCCTTTCCTTGAATTTATCATCATATCCTGATGAATTTATGGCTTGTTGGTAAGCCGTAGCTTGGGTGTACGCCAGGATAGAAAACAGCTGGTGGTGGCGGGATCTGGCCAGGATGCTGTCGTTCCCGGCTGTGGGAGAGACGGAAGGATCCCTTCTGCAAGGCCAGGTGTCTGAGGAAGAATAGCATGAAGAAAGCCAGGTATTTGTGATGTGGCCATATCAAAGATATCTTTGAATGTAGCGGTCTCTTCTGTTCTTCTGACGGGTCTGTTGCCCATTCGTAACCACGGGTATGTCTGCCTTGTGCGTGCCCCGGATAATTGATGCGGATTCCCTCACACACTCTCTCGAGCTTTTCATCCTTCCCGCCATCGGAAAGAATGACTCGGACTGCGCCGAGCACAATGTCACGCGGCTCGCCGCAGGAAACGGTGAATACGTCGACCGTTGGGCCGTCGTCTTCCACGACAGCCAAATAGATCCGTAACTTTGGGAAAAGGATTGGCTTTAAGGCACGGGCTCCACAGTGCAGGTTGCTTGTGCCAGCCTGCCTCACTGTCATGGCCTCCTGTTTACAGCCAAATCCTAGCATCACAGGCTTCGACATGATGCGAAGACGAGATGATCTTCAAGACAAGGAGCCCAACAGCCAAAATCTGATGTGTTTCCCAAGTTGCATGTACAAGGAGGCTACAGCCAGCTCTTGTTTTTGACGGGAGGTCAATCCATCGCGGCTGCAGGCTTGCGCCCTTCTGTTTTCTGATGTCTGACTCTTTGGAGTGCTTCGTTCAGCATCTTTCCTTGTACGGCGTCACTGTACGGACATGTACAGAGGCTGTTGGTATTCGCTGAAGTCCGGTCTGACTTGTCTGTGTTTCGAGGTCATCTTTGACAAATGTCCTCTGATCCTACCTCTAAGGTTGCTTTTGATCCTGAGAGCTGCGGCGAAGGCGTGGTCTGTCGCTGGTGATCAATTTGGCAGGATCAAAGGTGAAGATGATGAACAGGCCGACGGCCGCTCACGAGGATTTTTGGGAATATTCTTGTGTTTTCAATAGCTGTTTAGCACTCTCGCCATTCTTGACATGAAGACCCATTTGTGACCAGACTGCTCTCCATACTCCAGCCTGGTCGAAATGTTCCTGAAAGAAGTAACTTTTCTTTTCAAGTATCATCAGAGGCATCAATCCCTTTTCTGAGCCGTGAGAAGTCCACTGCCTTGGATAGATGTGAAGGAGGATCCTCTGAGCCGTGGAAGCCTCTGGCGATAAGATACTTTGCACAGTATTGTGTAGGTCATTTTTCTCTTCTTTTTGATGGTAATGAGGGCTGTTATGGAGGTGGCAGGACAGACTCGACAGGTAGCCTGATGCGAAGCAGTTGTTTCTGTAAGGCAAAATTTGGGTCTCGAAGGCTGGTGATGATGATGATGATGATGATGATGATGATGAGAAGGATGTAGGGATGTAGGGACGCAGGAGTCTGATGAGGGGAGGAAGCTGTTTGATCAAGGAGAGAAAAGCAGCATCTGGACTGCTGACTCTGCACAGATCTGAGTGATTGCTGGCATCAAACAAGCGGTTGCGTGTCCCAATGGAGGAAAAGAGCAGACCTTGTTGCTGCATTCCGTCGACCGGAGAAAGAGATACAATCAAGCAGACATTGCAGATGTTTGAAAGGCTTCTTAAGCATCCTCTTTTGTGTGCTTGATGAAAACTGAAAAACAATGCTTGGACGCAAACCAGACAGCCACAGGACCCCCTCGTTCTGCGCCGTCGAGCCCAGCCTAGCCGCTCCTCCTCAGCCGCTCTTCTTCAGCCGCGATTGCTGCTTGGCTTGCTGTCTAAACCATTCATGGGCGCGGCTGGTGTGGTGTTGTAGTCTTAGCCCACGATCCAGGATACAAAAACCCGTCCTGTCCTCATCCCAAACCTTCCCTTCTTCTCTTCCGCAGTGCAGAGAAGCACCACAACCCTTTCCATCACAACACCATCCAGCAACCTTTCTTCTCTGCTTAAACAACACAGCAGCATCCTCTCTTGGGCACGGGGATGGTTCCTGCTTGTAAGGGTCATCCCCGTGCCGAGAGACCTTACGGCTCTTTTCAAAGTGAGTAGATCCACTGACGATACCCTCATGTCCATGCAGCTGACCAGCTTTCCACAGAAAAATATATATGATTAGCAGTCTGCTCTCCCCTGCCTGGCTGGCACTCGGTGCCTGTGGTACGTACTCTTCTGTAATACTTGCCTTGCCATACTTGCCGCACTGGACAATGTCAACAAGAGGAGGAATGGATGCAACATACTGGAAAAGGATCCCTGGGGGGCTCAAAATATGGACTCGAGTCATCCTCTTGCTGGAGTTTCTAGTCTGAGATCCACTGGAGCACAATGCCCTGGCCATCCTGATTGTGGTGGCCTACCTGGTTCAGAGGTCAACCATGACAGGAGACTAAACATGGTTGGGACAAATAACGACTGTCTGGTGGAAGACTGAGATCAATACACCCTCCCATGTGAAAGACAAACGACAAACAAACAACAACAAACATCAGCACATCTCATTCACCTTGACATGACTCAGGGGGCAGCGCCTTGTGGAAGACAAGTGACAACAAAGAACAACAAACAACAGCACATCTCATTCACCTAGACTTGAACTCAGGGGTCAGCGCCTTGTCAACACCTCACGTGACTTGGGCTTCGCATATGTCGCTTGAGTCACTCTGCATTGAAGCAAGCACATCAATCACATTGCTATCCACGGCCATTGGCGGCAACAGCAATGTGAAAGAGTGAATGATTCACAACCAATTTGAGGGTGCATGTGCCTCCTGAAGCAGGGTACAAATACCCCCTTCTCTCCCTCCCATTCTTCCTCTTTCTCCCTCATACCAACCACCATCCGATCTGGTCTTTCAAGCAACAATCCTACCTTTGGAAACAGTCAAGAAGTCATCCTGACGACTCTGCTTCTTCATCAAACAAACACACAACAACATCCACCAGAATCGCAGCATCGCCCGGCTCTTACTTCATCCAACACACCGTCGACACAAACATCTTGCTTCAGTGCCATCTGATTCTTGTTATTCAGGCTGATCAACAAACACACAACAACACCATCATCATCACCATTCCAGGGACATTCTTCTTTCAGGCACTTGAGTCTAGTACCAGACTTTGAGCCTGTCCAGTGTGTGGTCATTGGCATTGTCCAGTGCGCCTTGGCCTTCAACTTTTGCTACTAGGACATTCACTGACTCTCTTCCTTACAGCATCGAGACTTTTTCTTCCTGGTACGCTCGTCGTCTTTCCTCCCCCGCCATCACTTGGCACGACCGGCCGTCTTTATCACCTCCTGGGCATTTCGACCATCTTGGACTTGTCCTGTCAAGCACATTCAAGATCATCCACTTCATCTCCTGTCGCTAGCAGAGAATTCCTCTCCCGCCGATCTGAGATCCAGTGCGTGACCGAAGACAAGAGACTCATTGCTTGCAACACCACTCAAAGAGATCCAACTTGAAAACTACGCTCTGAGACGCGAAACACCTCGCTCAGAGAATTCAGCAACCGATCTGTCCTCCCTGCCTTGACCCGGCTGCCCACTTTCACACTTCACCTTTTCCTCTTCAACATTTTTCACCACTTCGACGAGCACTACTTACACATTAAGACACCAGGAAGATGGCTGGCTATTTTGGAAACAGGGACATGCCCTTTGGGGCCCCTGTCACATCGCCTGTGCTTGATCAGGCACAAAGCCAACTCAACACAGCGCAGATGAGCCACGCCCAGATCCAGCAGGAGCTGCAAAACCTGATGCAGTATCGAGCCACGACACCGATGTCGGTGATTGAAGGCCAACAGAGAGACCAGGAGATGTCGGATCTTCAGGTGCGATTGACACAGATGGAGGATGAGATGAGGGGGTTGCGAGATACAATTACTCGCCAACAAGCCACCATAAGAAACCAGAGCGCGGCCATTTCAAACCCGAGGCAATTCTACCCTGCACCAAATACCACACCAGGTGGTTTTGTAGATATTCAATCACAGGGACCAATGCACGGTCACCATGCCAGCATGCAGATGCCTCCGCCGCCGCCACCGTTCTTCAACCACGGCACCCCGATCCATGTTCAACAAACGAACCAACCTCCTCCACATATGAGATCAATCCACGATCAGAATCCGCACACTGGCAATACTCAAAGCCAGCAGTGGAATACACCAATGAACCAACAACCAGGCGTACAAGGTCAGCCACTGCACCAGACGCCGTTCCATCCACATGGCCCAACAAGTGTCAATCAATTTGGGTCTCCTGAAGCGAGACCACCATTCAACACGAACATTGGACCATACGGAACGCCGAACGACCGCAGCCAAGGTTCAAGCAACCCGACATCGGGACAGAGAAGTGGCCAAGGCACACCAGGCCACGCACTTATGCAGCAGCCAGACAATTCCATGGCTCTTGTCCCAGCACCCGCAGTCATAGAGAATCCCACCACGGTCAAGGACCAGTGTGAACTCGTCTTCGGGATGGCAGAGAAGTTTGGATGGTCACATGTCAATTTCCCAAGCTCACACAAGGATAAACTCATCCCACAAGCCATCAAAGACCGACTGCTCCAGACTGCGGCACCGGCACAAGCATTTCCGCTCATGACTTCCCCAGCGACTCGCTTCCTGTTGGTAGCCAAGGTCATCAATCAGTGGGTTCAGCGGAACGTTCTCAAGGCAGACAGCTTCCGAGGCTTCGACACCGAATGCGACACCAACATCGACCGGAACCGGAACCAGATCTACCAGTCAACGCCGGCACAAGTCAAGTACCAACTGCTCAACAACATTGCAGCACAAATGCAAGTGATGAAGCAGAAGCCCGGCTTTGGAACCTTTGTCGACAATCTGGCACGAAGCCGTGGCAATGAACTCTGGAAGATCGTGCAGCCACTGATGCATGTCAAGACCAGCCGGGACTGGGAAGACATGCACTGGCTCATGAACGAAGCACACAACCTGGCCATCATGATGTACTCGGGCCCAGACCAATACCGCTTCGAGACACCACAGGCTGGTCAATTCTTCAAGAGCGGAGATATGGTACCGAAAGATCCATATCCCAACATTGCCACACATGAGCAACTGGAAGCAAGAGGGGTCAGGGTCAAGCTTGGAATTTCACCTCATGTCATTGTCAAGACTAGCACGCCTTTAGGGCTAGTCAGCGAGAGCACAGTCGTGCGAGCGGTTGTGTTGCTGGACGCAACATGGAAATAGATTTGGGGTATTTCCATGGGAAGTAATCAGGAGGCATGGAGGGGTAGGGGGCATAAATGAGGCATTGTGAATGTATTTTAGCCAGAGAGCTCAAATCAAAAGTTCTTCTTTTCTCCAAAAATTCAAATTCGCTAAGGTCCTTTTGTACTCACCGGTGTTCCGTCGAGCCGTATATCGCGCTCTATCCTCGCTATGGGGTACTCCGGCACAGCATCCGCCCCTTCTCGCGCAGGGCTTTTGTGGTCTGTATGAGCCCCCATTTTACCTCTGTTCGACATGTTACTTAGCAAGGTGTGCGCTCCGTCCCTGTACCCATGCTTCACTACTGTAGAGGCTTGCCTTTACTTGCCCCTTCAATACTGGTATTCCTCGGCCATTCTGCCCCTTACTACGCCTCAGGCGACCGCTCTGAGACTTCAACATTGCGTCCTGGATCCTCACCATCAGGACGCCCGGAATAACCAGCAACTTGATGCTGACGACCATCAGGATCAACACGTTATCATTCTCTCACTATAACTCCCAGGTGCATGCTATAACCTGTCAACTCCCCCCAAACACAACCTTGCAGCCTGTATTTTCCTTCTAGCTAACCCGTCTGCTTACAAGGTATATCGGTAGAACGGACTCCTGTCACCCAAGTCCAACAGCTCCTGCTCAGTGTACCTGGCCTTGATCGCCGCCTCGCCCTCTTGCGCGACATACTCGTCTCGCCTCTTGTTCTCGCGACGGTATGCCACACGCAAGATGTACGCGGAGATGATGGATAGCACGCAGATGGCCAGGCACACGCCAAAGCCGGTGGGATAGTCCGGCGCCTCGGCGGAGAAGTAGATGTTTGAGCCGCAGATTCCGCCCATCTGCACGTCAAAGTCAGCATCGTTTGCTCGCATGGAGTCCAAAGACAAGAATTTTAACTCACATTGCCGACACTGATCAACAAGGCCATGCCGACCGCTCGCTTACTGGACGGCGCAAGGTTATTCGCAACCAGCGTGACCACGCACGTGAACGGACAATACAGCCCGATCGCAACGAGGAACAAGAAGAAGTACGTCACGCCGGGCATCTTGGGATGCGCGATCGCCAGTTCGGCAATGAAGCCCACGACCGCGATCGCGAAGCCGCCCATGAGGAATGGCGTGCGCTGCTGGACCCGATCGGACCAGAAGGCGACGATCACAGTGGCCAGCAACGCGGCAACGTAGATGGGGATGGTCATCAGCTGCGCATTGGCAGAGGAATAGCCGAGATCCTTGACCACGGTCGGCACCGTCGCAGTGAATCCGTACGTTCCGATGCTGCAGCCCCAGAAAGGGATGATGGACAGCCATACACGCCAGTCCTTGAACCCGGCCTTGATGTGAGGCAAGCCGATCTTGTCGGCGTTCGTGACCCGGCCAGACCCTGAACCGGTGTGCAGTGCGATGCGGTTGACAACGAACTCGCGCTCGCGCTTGGTCAAGAACTTGGCGGTCTCGGGCTTGTCGGGAAGCAGGAAGTAAAGGGTGAACGAGACGGCGACAGGAGCCAGACCTTCGAGAATGAAGATCCATTTCCAGCCAGCCAGGCCGGATATGCCGTCCATTTTCTCGATGGCGTAGGCCAAGAGGCCCGAGAAGGCGCCCGAGAGCGAGGCCGCAGCGTAGAAGACGGCCATGCGGCGTTGGACTTCGTAGCGCTGATACCAGATGGTGAGAAGCTGGTAGTATTGTTAGTATGTAGGTTCAGAAGTGCAAGATGTCGAGTAAGAGGTGGTTCGACGGCTCCATGGGAAGTCGCCGGTGCTCAGTAGGCGTAGGAAACGGTGGCAGACAACGAGTGAGTGTGGATGATATGCCAGCACCCCTGCTACGACAGTCAAGGAACTTTGAGATACTTACAAAAGTAGCAGCAGGAAAGAAGCCGGCTTCCGTCACACCGAGGAAGAAACGGGCCGCTATAAGTCCGCTATATGAGTTGACAAGTCCCATGAGAGTCATGACCAGACCCCACGCAAAGCAAAGCACTGAGATCCAAATTGACGGCCGGATAATCTTCAGCACAATGTTGCTAGGCACTTCGAACAGGGCGTATGGAACGAAGAAGACCGTCAAGGCGGTATTGTATTTCATGCCGTACAGCTCGAGGTCGTCGTACATGCCGGCGATTTTGGCGTTACCCAAATTGCTTCGGTCGATGTATGCAAGTCTAGCAGTCATCCTGCGTCAGAATTGAAAGCTGTGAGCGCAGTTGAGGGGTGGCTTACAGGTACAAAACGGAAAGGAGAGGAATGATTCTGTAGTCGATCTTTTTCATGATACGGCGAGCTTCTGCCTGGCTGACCTCGTCTTCAGTGACGACCTGATCAGGTGGGAGGCCGGCGTCAACGGTGCGCAGGCCATCTTTGGTAGGCTCGACGGTGGGAGAGGGTTCGGATGAGAGGCCGATGGCTTTCTCCTCGCTGCCGTATTCCATGCGTTTCTCGTCTTCGATCTTGTCCGCCATGCTGGGTTGTCAAAGGGCTTGGGAATCTGAAGCACTGAGAAGAGTGAAAGAAAAGGACAGCCGTCTGCCTGCAGGGATGAGGTATCTGGAGAATGTTCCGGGGATATAAAAGTATAAAAGGGCCACTGTCGACAGACCCTTCCCACTCGGCGGGGCATGGGCATGACAACGTGGAGGCTGAAGAGCCGGGGTCGCATCTCGTCGACCTAGGGTCTTGTCAGGCTTCTAAGCTCGTTGCGGCATGATAATCAGGTATACCTGGTACGGTTCAGACCATAAAGAGTAAGGCTGCCTCGGTATGCATGAGAAAGTCCACCGAATATGCATTAGTGGTGGCAGCAGTGCAAGGATAGCGCTGTTGATCTGCCGGCGGAAGGCTGCAGTGGAACATTCCACCTCTTCGGTCGTGATTACATGTCGTATGACAAGCCGCGGTTTTGTTCTGGGCGCCGCTTGGCCACTCCAGTGGCAGCGCGGAGGATGCAGAGTCGAAAGCAAATGGGTTTGCGGAGTTGGGGATGAAGGAAGCTAGGCAAGTCGGAGGCTGGTCTTGATGGGTGATCTGGTGTGGGGCTTATGCATTATTCCGTCTCTTGATATGCTGGCTGGCAGATACGTTACATTCTTGAATGGTATGTCCACCGGGACAACCGGTGGAAGCCAAGCATAGCCTTGTACTGTAGGCTTTAGAATCAAGGCATATCTGTATTCGGCGCGGAGTGTGCATTGCTAGGTCGACAGTCACCCCTGGCGATGCCACGTCTTCCCCCACAGTTCGCTTACATGCAAAGCCGAAAAGTCGGCTCCTTCAGGCAGACAGGATCCCTTGGTCCGTTGTGTGTCTGTTTTGCAACTTCCGACATAGTGTTGGGGGCATTGCAAGGAAGAGCAGCTACCGAGCCTCCAAGGATACCTGTAGAAGCTGTCTCCCAAGCTGACTGCATTGCCCATTGGAATGGCCGGGAAGGCTGGAGGAACAACGTACGAGGTTTGACGCTTGGCCTAGAGAGCCGAAGGTGCAGAGAAGGCTTCCGATCATTCAGATGGGAACTCTTGCTGTGTCTACGGCATTTGAGTGCTCATGAACGGCCTGCGCAAACGCTGTGCTGTTGAGACACTGTGTGAGGAATGTGGCTCCATTGGTGCTCAGAACTCAGACCCTATTCAATGAAGGATGATGATACAAGCGTGAAGATATGGTCTACCCATTGATACAGGTGCCATCATTGTTCAATTCCAGAGCGGGAACCATCCTTTCGTAGCCTGGTCACTGACCAAACCATCTGATGTATTGATATGTAGAGAGGAAGTAACCTGCTTTGTAGCTGAACTTTCGGTGAGCGCCAGACGCCAAGATTTTTACCTTTAGATGAACGTTTAGATTCCTTTAGTTTCTTGACCTTAAACTTAACTTTAAACGTAAATGGTTCCGAGCACTTCGCCTGGGAGAGAATAGCGAGGATCATGTCGCATCTCAGAAACAACAGCAATGCTCGAAGCGTGATGGATCAAATAAATCGAGTCTGACCCCAAAATGCTACAAGGTGTAGGGCTCTTCTGCGCCACCAAATGATGCGTGAGGCGCTCAAGGCAGCCTAAATGAGAAGTTGATGCTTTGTTGAATTGAATATTGGATATTAGCATCATGCTGGCTAGAGCGCAATCTCTGCAGAGCGCTCTCGACTCAAAGTACTGCTGCTGTCGTGATAGCACAACTCATCCTTTGCAGAATGCTGGACGCACTGCTCAGTTTCCCCAGAACCATTTCCAATCGCGGAATATCAGAATCACCCCGCTAGCAACGACGCTTGCTGCCATGCTCAAATCTCGTCCCCTGTCGCCCGCTGCATCGCTCCAGATTCGTTTCGACCGAGTCTGCAGGTGACTATATCAGCAAGCAAGACTGAAGCATCGATCGTCGGCCAAGCTGATCAGCTATCATCACCTCGCGCGTGGTACATGTCTTCGCCAATTTGCTCCAGATCCGGCACGTTCTCCTTCTCCTTGAAGTCTTGCACCTTTTGTTCCAGCTTTTGGATCACCTGCGGCATGTCATCGATCTTTGACCAAACCACATGTTGTTCAATGGCCTGCGGCGGATCCTTATGTGGTTTGCCGTGAAGAATCGAGGACGGTTGAGCGCAAGATACCGACGCAATGTAACGTGCGGCTAAACTCATGGAAGCGTTTGTCGAAGTGACCATGGAGACACGACCTCGACGGCTCTTTTTGTGGCCGAGCTTTTGTTTCTTTTGTGGCGGCTCCTTCTCTTCATGTTGCAGCTTTTCGCACGCACTCCTCTTTCTCTTCAACAAGCGTCTTCTTGCGGAGATATTCGTGTTCCAGATATGGCATGCGGCTCCGACAGTGTCGACCCCTTCTGCTCGGAATGGCCGGCCCCTCTCTGCCTCATCCTGCGCACCCAGAGACGCTTTCACCTTCTTCTTCGGATGGGTCACTTCCGCCGACATCTTGACTTCGGCATCTGAACTAGCAGCTTCCACGTCGTTGACATCCTGCTTCTTCCGCGGGGACTTCTCATCTACGCCGCCTTGCGCCTCACAAATCTCCTTTTCCTTCAAGTCCAAGCCGTCCACTTGCGCAGAGAGCGTGGTTGTGCCATGGCGACTTCCCCCTTCCGAGTTGTCCATCTTCTGCTTCTCGGAATTCGCTCCTTCTCTGCTATCAGCCTCCCCCTGCTTAGTCGTCTTCCTCTTCTTGTCATCTGCGCCCTGGTTCGCCTGCGGTCCCCTCTTCTCTGGATCATACTCTCGCAGTCTATACCGTTTCTGGAGCACCCTCATCTTCTCCACTGCTCTCTCGCTCTCATCTTCCTGCCCCTTCGTAACTAAGTCCGCATTCCACATGCTAACGAGCTGGTACCTGCCCAGGCAATATTGCGGATTATGCTCCTTCTTTGTCTCCCTTCTGCTTGATTTGAGCTTCTGCTTCTGGATCGCGGCCGCATCTGTCAAGGCATTTCGAGAGATACCCGGGGGTAATGGCTGTATAAGTTGACCTCTTGTCTCAGGGACCACGCGGCCATTGAAGCTGTAGCTTGGCGGCACCGAGTCGAGCAGTTGTTGTCTCTTCTCATTGAAGAAATGTTGGATCGAACGATATCGTGCATATTCGGGTTTCTTCTTCCCACCCTTACTGACAACACCACCATCTAGCGGAAGAGCCGAACAAGATTTTGTGGTCCGGGCCATCGTACCGATGTTGAAAAATAATCGAAAGTTGAGATACAGTGCAGATTGATGGGTTGAAGAGAAGGTGCCAGTGACTACTGTGGACGCCGCTCCCGGGAATTGGCAACTTCACTGGTGAAGTCAGATCGATTTCTTCTGCCTCAACCGAGTCTGCACTAAAGGCATCGCAAGTGATTTCGGCGCTTGAAATTTGAAAAGTCGAAATGAAGTGATTTGATAGTCTTCTGTAAGTTAGAATCTGCATTGAGATTTGAATGGACTCACCTGTTCCGTTTTGGAAGACAAAGAGGGCCATGCTACAATGGGCCGTCGTGCGAATATCAGTCTGATCATGCGCGGGATCGTAACGATGTCATGCTCTGCTTGGAGATGCGCCTGTCCAGGATCAACTGATTCACGACTCAGGAATGATCTGGTCGCCACGGACGCACGATGAGATCGACTCAGCAATGATCTAGTCGTCGCGGACGACGGTGAGATCAACCAGGACCTGGTCGCCGCGGACAACTCTTCTGTTAAATATCAAGATTGATCAACGATCTCTCACTCCTCTCACTTCATTTCCCGTTATCATCACATAGCTGTGAGTTGAGTCTCCTCATTGTTTGTATGGTCTCAAGTCCATTGTTGAACACTCTCACGCTCACAATTGCAATATTTTTATCCTTCTTGAAAGGAGCACTAGCATACCTTTATCAAAACCACAAACAGCACTATCCTTAGACAATCATGCCACCGGTTAGTGACTCTGACATTGCCGACCTCGAAGCCGGAATGGCGACGATCGACCTGCAAACTCAGGGAAACCAAGAGATACATCGAATCCGGCAACAAGATGGCATTTCTATCGAGCGACGAGGCCTTCATCACAAGTGGATGCCCACGGCTGAGAGACAACAAGGACTGAAAGAGGACAGTCAGGAATACTTGAAGACGGCAAGAGTGGATCTCCTCCACAAGACAATCGATCGCCATCCTCAGTACCGTCCATGGACAAAATACGTCGAGAGACACATGTCTTCTGATGGCACCATATTCCCGCCTCGACCGGATTTCTTCTCCAAAGCCGGCCAGCCTGATCCATTGGGCAAGTCCAAGACACTCCAAGAGGCTCCCGGTCCAGCTGCGAATTTACGCCAAGAGGAAGCTCGACAGGCTTCGGAGTTCAGAGGAAATTGGAAAAAAGCAAGTCAGTCAACCTCGTCTGCGACCGAGATATGGAAGACGAACATGGAAAACCAGATGCAACTCAAGATTACACCTCAGGGGCCGGTGACCAGTGCCATACCCGTCAGAAAAAGCCCTCAGAAGTCGGTGGACAGTGCCATGACACGCAAAGGTACACCTCCGAGGGCGGTGAGCGGTACGCTACCAGTCAAAGCGACTGCTCAGAAGTCGGTCAGCAGTGGCATGCCGGTCAAAGAAACCCCTCAGAAGCTGGTGAACAATGCCGTGCCGGTTGGAGGAACTGGTCAGAAGCCTGTGAGCCGTGCCACGCCAGCCAAAGAAACCCCTCGGAAGCCGGTGCTGCCAGTCAAAGCAAGCCCTGAGAAACCTGTGAACAATGCCGTGCCAATCAAAGGAACTGCTCAGAAGCCTGTCAACAGTACCATACCAGCCAAAGCAAGCCCTGAGAAAGCTGCGAACAATGCATTGCAATTCACAGGTAATCCTCCGGTGCGGGTGCCTCCTGAAGAGCTTCTCTACGGAAGCCCTCAGATGATCGTGCGTCCTGAGTGGCGAGGTGTCGGACCCCCTCGATTTTCTGTACCTCCTGAGTGGATAGTCAATGGAACACTTCAGGATCCTGTGGACAGAGTCGAGCAGCACCAGGAGTACGAGCAGTACGGAAACCCTCAGACGAGTGTTCCTCCTGAAGAGCGAAGCCCTGTGATGTTTATGCCTCCTGATTGGCGATTTGTCCAATCCCTTCAACTCTTTGAGAGACTCGACCAGTTCGAGGAGAAGTACTTTAACGGAATCCCTCAGCTGTATTTGCCGTTTGAGTGGCGACGATTCCTCCAACCTGGAATCCCCCAAATGACTGTGCCTGCTGAGTGGCCAGTAGACAGAACCCACCAGGATCGTGTGAACAGAGTCAACCGGTACGAGCGGGATGGAACGCCTCAGATAAATGTGACTCCTGACTGGCTAATCGACCCAATCCTTCGGGATCCTGTGGACAGAGTCGATCAGTACCAGGAATACGGAGCCCCTCAGATGATAGTGCCTCCTGAGAGACCAGTCAACCCAACCGTTCGGCGGGCTTTGAGCAAAGTCGAGCAGCACGAGGAGAAACTTCGAGCCAGAGCCTGGAAGTGGGTCAGATGTACCGACGGAGTTGTTCGACACCGGCTTGTCTAAAGCAGATGAAATGGACCTTGTCGATGGCTATTCTTCATGTGCATCGCATGGGAATTGTTTTGGAATGTTGAAATTGGACATGTTCAAATACTTGGATACCCACTCAAGGATCGAAAGTTGAGAACCTATGTGTCGTGGCGGCGTGCCTGGTATGTTTTGTGAGAATCATTCTGGAAATGAAAGCACCAATGACGTGCAAGAGTGTATGAGTCATGAAAGTCAGATTGCGGCCTCAGTTTTGAAGGTCAAATGCAAATGTCCTGAGGTGGCAGATTAGCATGGAAGAACAGATGAGCTTGCGGTTGTGTACAAAAAGGATGACAGGGTGACAAAAAAAGACACGGTGTAGATTTGCTGATGAGGTAGATAGAACGAAAAACCAGATAGACAGAATTGAACGTTAGAAATGCTCTTTTCACATTCCAGGCGGGAAGACCATGCTACAAGTTCGAGAAGCACCTCTTCCCCTGACCTCTCCGGTGATCTGCAGCGGCAAGTGCAGTCAGGATAATACTTCGAGACCGATCCATGCAAGCCGGCGATGTTGTCTCTTTGATGACGCCTCCGCATGCCAGTTGAGTCACAGCCGCTGTGACCGTCTTCGCCGAAGATTTTGTTTTTCATCTCAATGCATCGAAACCCTCTAGGAGAATTTTTTTTACGACGAAGCAATGGCCTTCCGTCTCTGTTGACCTCTTTGTCTGGCATTCAGTCTCGCGCCCTTAGCAACACCCAACTCCTCAGACTTGGTAACCGCCTCTTCACCTTCCGTCAAGATCAATTCGATGTGGCATGGGTTGGACATGTATGGGTTGATACGACCGTGGGCACGGTATGTTCGGCGGCGCTGCTTGGGTGCTTGGTTCACTTGGATGCGCTTGACAATCAGGTTGGAGGTATCGAGACCCTTGGTATCGGCGTTGGCTTCGGCGTTCTTGAGCAGGCCGAGAAGGAACTCGGCGGACTTGACTGGGTGACGCGCCTTGGAAACACCGAATTGCTTGCCTGTAAGAAAATAGACGTTAGCCATCGTACCGAAAACTGCAAGCCAGGTCTCTGTAAGGTATATGCGGCCTGGAAGTTGTCTCCTCAGTCCTTCCTCGCATTGCAAAAGGCTCTTTCCTAGGACAAAGCGGGTTTCCAGCATGCTCGAGATAGACAGATTTCAGACCCCATCATCCTTTGCCGCGATTTTCTTTCGGGTTTATCGTACCTTGAGCGCTTCGGCCAGTGCTTCCAGCATATCTTCTCATCGGGACAGCTGCCTTCAATTCCTGGACATTCTCGAGGTACTTGACGGCGCGTTCTAGTTTCCAGCCGTTGATGGCCTGGGCAGTCTCGCGGGTGTTCTTGAAGCTGACTCGGAGGTAGCTGCCACGGCTCTTGGCCGATTTGGCGCTGGGAATGCGGTCGGCAGTGGCGTAGCGGACCTGTTGGCCATTTGTGAGCAATCTCTATGCTTTCAACATGTTGATCCGGGGGGATGTATCATACCATCTTGACTGTTTGTGCGGGTTGGGAGATGGTCCTTTCGTTCGACGTTGTCAATTGCCCTTGATTGAAAAGGCGCAACTTGGAATTTTGGATGTGCGGGAGGCCAAGACTGCGATTTGCCGACGAGTTGGTGGAGGGAAGGTGTACCGAATTATTTTGGTAGAGTCACGTGGCAGTGCGAGCTGGTGTCATCTGCCAAGCCTCGGATGTATTGATCGAGATGTCAACTTCTGCAAGGCCCATGAGAGAGAGGACTGTTACGACTGGTGCACCCCATATCATTTCTCTCCTGTGCTGTGTGCAAACTTACAACTAGGGTTCATAGGAAACAACTCGGGTTTGTGTTCAATATTTTTGGGGAATTTTGATATGAAAGCTGGCTTTGCTTCGCCGCCAGTCAAGCCTTGATGTTTCGCTGCTCGGTAGCAAGCTGCCTCCCTAGTCGCCAACGGAGACGCAGTGAGACTCCCAATGGTTATCGTACAAGTCGTGTCGTCGTTCAGTCACCACAATGACCTGCCTCACTGGTCGCCAGTGCAGACGGCACTGAGACTATCCAATGGTAATCATACAAAACGTGTCGTCCTCAATCACCACAATTCATCTGAACCTTCACGGACCAACCATCGTTGCTTCATTCCTTCATTGGCAATATCCAGCACGGTCTGGCTACGTGCTTTCTGTCAATTAGCCCATGTCTTCTATCAAGTTTCAATCATCATCTGCAACAGGACGATAATCACCACCTTCGGATTCCTCTGTGCCTCCTCTTGCTGGAGGGATGTCCAAATACCACGCTTCTTCGTCGTCGTCTTTGTCGATGTCATCCTCGATATCATCCGGATTGGCCATGATCTGCGCCTTCGAATGAACATGGACCTTCTTCTGTTGACCAGTTGGACTTTCGCGCCGCATGGCCTCATCCATCGAAGGTCTTTCAACTGACGGGAAAACTTGCTCGTTGTCTTCAACGGCGTCCTCCTCGTCTTCGTCTTCTTCATCTGTTGACACCAATGCGGCTCCAGCAAGTTGACTGCTCTTGTGCCTCGGTGTAGAATGAGGTTCGGCGAGAGCTTTGTTGCCTGCCTCCTCGTATCCTGGATCTCCTGGCATCACAACTTTGCCGTTGATAAGCTTCGAGCCAGGCTTTCGTCCTCTTCGGCCTGTTCCTGGGAGGGACGGAAGATCTGATGGGAAGTTCGAGGTGTACTTGAACAGGTCTGGTGTTGCGGTGTGGCCATTGATAAGCTTCATATACTCTCGCCATTGGTCAAGAGTACGTGGGTCTCTGACACCGTGGTACTTTCCAACCTCATGTCCATTGATGGTTTGGATATCCAATGCCTCCGCTCTGGTGTCGGCCCAGAACCAGTTGACCTGGCCCTCTTCTGGTTCTTCCAATCGTTCATCAGTCTTTGACGCGTATCTGCGCCCTTCCTCGATAGCTTTCATGTCGAAATCCAACTCTGGTCTAAGCTCAACCTTTTGGGCATTCTTAGGCTTGAACTGCAATTGACCTGTCCAGAGACGCACCGCGCCAGCTTCGTACAATCTGCCAAGCACGCGATCGTAGGAGACTAGATATCGTTTGTTAGGATCGTGCAGATAGTACCACGAACCGTAGTCTCCTGTGCCAACAGGCCGGAAGATGGTCTTGACTTCCTCGTCTGGCACGGGGGATGGCAGTACAGTCTGGGCGGCATCGGGATCGCGGCCTTGCATCTGGTAGTGGCGCCGTATGTCGAGTGTATACGCTCGTCCCACAAGGATGATTGAAGACGAAGGCGCAAGTAGTGGTGTATCTGGTAAGACATCTTCTGGTCGGATGTTGAGCAGGTTCAGTCTGATCGAATCCACCACCATGACATCTGTACATCTTCGGACCTTGCCGGCTGGGGTCGGAGCTGGAGTCAGTCGAACTGTATCGCCAGTCACGATGAATTCGGACCCAATATAGAGGCCCTTGAAGAAGATACTTCCATTTGGCCATTCACCCTTGAACCAGAACTTCTCGTAAAGTGAGAGGCTTGTCATACAGGTCAATGCGAATTCAATTGACTGATGCCATTCTTTGCGTGGAATGCCCCGAAGGAGTATTTGCCAATGACTCAACGGTCGTATGTTTCGTAGAGGGACATATCGATATTGTTTGGACGCTGTCTTATCAATCTCATTGTTGGGATCAGGAAAGGTCTCGACACGGAAGCCCGAAGTGTTGAGGGAGGTTTGTTTGTCCGTCAGATTTTGAATGTCTGGAAAGTCGACCGGCCCATCCAGCGCAGTTGCACAAGGGACCTGGGTGACGAGGCCGGCTCTCCACTTTGGAAATCCGTGAAAGCATTTCTGCTCAAACGAGTAGAATTTGTATTCATCCTTCTCGGGATCGATCATGAGAAAGTGTTCGTCAAGAAACTGCGGAGTCCAGAGCACGAGTTCGCTAATCCGCGGAGAAAACGAATGCTGCTGTGAGACCAAGGTCAGGTTTTGTTGGATCAAGCCCTTCCCATAATTCTCAAACTCGTGCTCGGCTCTCCAATCGATCGAATTCTCCTCCCGAATGTTGTCTTCAATTCCCGCCTTGTCGTTCTTGCTAATCTCAAGCTTTCTGAGCAAGTCCTTGACGACATCTTCATTTCCTTCCTCGTCCACCGCGTATGGAGCTCCAGCGGCCTTCATTTGTCGTTGTGGTCTTCTCGAAGTGAAGCCCGAAGCACCGCCTGCGGCCGAAGTAGACCGTGATGAAACGTCGGAGTCGGAATGAATGGGAGCTCTTCTCCGGTCGGTCAGAAGTCTTTCGAACTCTGTAGGGCGAGGCTTTCTGGGGATGGCAGTTTTGACTTGCGGCTTTCCACAATGTACACAATCGCATTGGCCTTGCTTGCCAGACATAAGCCATAAGAAGTGAACTTCGAACTTCACGATGGAGTCGTAGTATTTTCCGCTGGGATGGCCAAATAAGCGCTTGAAGACTTGACTGCCGGTAAGCTGGTCCGTTTCGAACAGCGCGTAGCCGTCTGGAAGCTTGTCGAGGTAATATTCAACGCCAATGTGCTCTTGTCCTCGTTGCTTCATCCACGCCTTTGCCAAATGAATCAAGTGTCGCTCTTCGGAGCTTCGTCGATATCTGGCTTTCCAAACAGGATTGTTGACCGGCCACTGGCTGGGTTGACCATCAGTGAAAGAATTGATGTCGACTTTTTCCCAAGGGCCGCCCTTCCTGCCAATGATCTCCCACCGACGCGGGCCTGCTGCCGTCGTAGCCATCGCGACAACCCTAAAGCACAGTAGTGAAGGCGAATCTAGGCTCCGCACGACATCATAAATAAAAGAGACGACATCACAGACGACATCACAGACGACATCACAGTCCGGACACGTTTTGATCGATCGAAATTATTGGTTGGTTGTCACACGGTGGACAGAAACAAACAGGGCTGTTGAGTTGAGTTCGCATGGGATTGACAGATTTCGGTGTCAGAGTGAATGTACTCTTCTGAGCGACCAGTGAAGGCAGAACTGACATGCCAGTGAGGTGAGACTGAAAGTCCGGGCTATGGTAGCACCACCTAAATGTGATTCTTGGATTGCGAGGACCATCTTCAAGCCATGTTTTTTGGTGATTACAGTCATTTTCAACACTTCTGTGTAAATCTAGAAACTTAACCGACACGCTCACAGTTGTACCCACATTGCATCGTCGCCCATGCCCGCCCAAACTATAATGGGAAGCTACCGTCATTACAACATATAAGTATACATCAATACAAGCATTCACGCTCCTGGCACGTTGGCGCCAGACAATAACGTCCTCTGTAAGCTGACCAGTATCATCCGTCTTCCCTTTGGCACGAACCTGCTGAGTCCATCGTTGTCCATGTCGTAATAGATCTGCCATCTTCGAGTTTTAGGATCTTGAACAGCAGTGAAAGCTTTCGACTCATCAAAGGTGATAGTTTTCTCGTCCTCTGTCCAATCCCATGGTCCAATATGATGTTCTATGCTTGCGCTTTTGTTTCCATATTTCAATTCCATAGTATCCTTGTCCATATACAACCAGTTCAGCAAGGGAGGATCGTCTCGAACCTGGCTCACGAGGCCAATCGGTATTGGAACTCGCTTGAGATTAGGACCTGCATTAGCATTTTACTCCATGAAAGCGCGACCAAACCAGTCTCGGATCGCTCACTTCGTTGTCCGGATATTCAATGTAGAAGCACTCGGCCACGTAGCCTTCTGGGCACGGATTGCTAGCTTCATGCGGACCTATCCATACCCGGTCGTCTTTGAGGACTAGCCGCTTGCCATGTATCCCTATTGTGCCAGCACTATCGGCTTCGCAATGGATGTCGATATGGAATTTCTTCATGCGATTTTCATCCTTCTGACGCTCCTCGCGGGTTCTTTGTCCAGAGATGGCTTGCGACACGCCGGTCACTGTAGGAATCGCGGTCAATATGAGCAGTCCGATGACCATATCTGGTATTTCATGGACACCTGTATATCGGCGCAAACTGCTCAACTGAAGTATAGCCGGTCTTGTATAAGCGTATCGCCATGTCTGGAGCGTCGCCCTTCTGAATCAAATGAATGGAAGTAGTTGGCACGAGTTGGCAGACTGCAAAATGGAAAGTCAGCAAACACGCCAAGGACACTGACATAATTTCCCGACGTCCGGCAGGTCTGACAGGTCGTGTATTAAATATCTTGGGACATTGCAAGATTCACGTCGTGCACTTCTATTAGAGGTGTAAGCCGAGCATAGAGGAGCAACAGAATGTGCTTGAAGCAGATGGACAATGCTGCTGTAGTTTTGGAGGTCGACGAGATCTAGGCACATTCTCCTGTCACAGCGTCAACCACTCTGAGAAGGAATGAATTGGTAAGTACTCCGTATTGCCTCTGCTATCTATGGAGCAGAAGAAGTGTCGACTTTACTCAGGTCTGGATAACGACACTGATCCGTGCGGTGGCAAGTATGCACCCAACGATCTTGATGGCATAGTACTGCTCTGCTTCTCATGACAATGATGCCCGGCATATGGTGCTGATGATGCGGCCAGCCTTCGACCTGTCTATTGCAGGTTTTGGTATCGGTGCTGATGCATCAGGTAGCGCCAAAGAAGCCCAGCAGGACAAGTGCTGACGCCGTTTTCCGTCGCCAATCCATGTAGCAAATCGATTGCCATTTCAGAATCGAAAGCAAGTCCATCGTCCAACATCGCCTTCAGGTTCACGGCAAAGCTCGGGTAGACCAGCTCAGATACCACTTTCATCTTGAGCATTTCCCACAAAGGAGAACCTCGCATGCCTGCTTCCTCGATCTGCTGGAAGTGGCGCCAAGCTAGGTGTTCAGCAGAAAAGCCCTTGTCAAGAAGAGCCTCCACGTGTGTACAAATCTCTTCAATGCAGTATTTGTTGGCTATGGCGTGCACACTGATCAGTTTGGAGATAGAAGCTGAAGTACAACAGGGCTGGCGCGCGAGTAGCTTGATGTCCTTGTCATCTCCGTCGTAGAGTTTGCCGGTGTACAGAAATTGAATGATCTTGACGAAAGTATCTACGTCAGCGTCGCGCATATTGATCTCATTCTTGTCGCCCTCTTCGAAATGACCACTCTGGAGACATTTGGCGAAATACTCGCATTTGGTCAGGATGGATTTGTGGGCTTTGATAGGGGTGGCCTCCGGCCCGACAAAAATGGTGACCATGGGAGACGCAAAGGAGGGTTCTTGGGCGAGGTCGAACACGTTGGCGGTCCTGTAGGGCTGTCAGTCTTAGGACATGGTGCATCCTATAACAAACTCACAAAGGCGTGGGAACATCCGCGATGGCGTTTTCGCCTGGTGCGCTACCGGGGTAGGCCATGTCAACTGATGAACTACTCAAGACGATCCAATGATTAGAACTATGGTTGCGAATTGGTCGCGCGAGATGCGGAGCGACAACATCCCTCTTTCAGTCAAAGGATTGTCGCCAAGTATCATTGTTATTTTCTGGAAGCGGTGTGGTGAATTAACTGCGACCTGGTCATCCAAGGCATCCACCAGCAGGTAGTGAAGCAAATGAACATTCGCTTCACTCCAAAGACGCGCGGCCGACCATCGCGTCACAGTTTATGTTGCTAAGATGGTTGCCAGCCGTAGTACCGCTAGGACGGCATTGAAGGATACGTCCCAGGTAGCCGCCATGTTGTCCTGTCATATATTCCACAACCACCCAAGATATCTTCGATCAACTCCAGAATCCATAAGGATATAACTGGACGAAATGTCATTCATGTCAGAAACGGCGGTTGTCCTCTCGTATAGGGGAGGTGTGACACTCTGTCCCATCCTCAACACCTGGTAGTCTCACGTAGCCGTTGACAGGGAAGACTGTACAGCATAGATGCGCTCACCACGACTGAGAGGTGCGTCTCAATAGGGAAGAGGCCAGTCCGGAAAATTCAGTGAAGCCAGAAAGCTCATTGGTTCGGAGAAATATTTCACCGATTTCGATTGGCATCAAAACCACACCGGAACTCTTTGAGTGCTTCGTGTTCCACAGCGACAACCGTGATCTGTGAAGGCTGGCAGCCTTTTTGAAGACTGCAATAGGTGCTGGCAGCATCAGGGTGTCTGTTGTGAAGCAGCTGAGATGGATGCGCTCAGATTGCTTTCTCGCTCTGCGGGCTTGAAATCGAGAAGCGCAAAATCTTCGCTTCAAAATTTGCCATCAGCCTCTGGACACTCAACGAACGATGGCAACTCAGATCCAGCCGCTACCCGGAAACGAAAGCGACACGTGGATGCGACGGAAGATACTAGCAATGTGGTTGTCCCATCTGCAACACTTTCCGAGGAAGACGTCCGGCAGATCCAAAAGAAGCAAAAGATCAAGATTGTGGATTTAAATCGTTTTCGAGCAGCCAGCGCAAACTCAGAGTCACGGAAAGCACAGAAAGAACAGTCGCGCATTTTCTCACAGCCGCTTACTTCATTCAGTCACCTTCGTCAATTTAATGTCAATAAGGCCTTGACTCGCAATGTTTCAGATCAGGCATATTTTCAGCCTACAGAGGTGCAAATGGCGACCATTCCACTGCTCCTCCGAGGCTCCTCCGAAGAAGCCAGCGAACCCGACCTTTTGACCATCGCGCCAACGGGCAGTGGAAAGACCCTGGCGTTCCTGATACCGCTGATCGAGAAGGTGTCGAGAAGTCACAAGACCAGCGATGGCCATCCAGAGAGACATATCAGTGCGATCATCCTTGCACCAACAAAAGAACTTGTGTCTCAGATTGTCACTGAAGGACGAAAATTATGCTTGAAGACAGGCGTGCGCATAACAGCCATGAGGAAAGGGATGACATTGTTCGAAGGACATGCGCCGACGAACGAGGACGGGACTGAGGACGATGAGTCTGAAAAAGACGACGAGGATCAAATATCGACTACCAGTGCGCCAGTCACGAAAACTGACATCCTCGTCTCAACGCCCCTGAGCCTCGTTCACGCGATTTGTCCATCGTGGGAAGAGGACGAATCTATAGCACCTCATCCTCTTCCGAACATCGAAACATTAATACTCGATGAAGCAGATGTTCTTCTAGATCCAATATTCCGTGCGCAGACTCTGGCTGTGTGGTCAGCATGCACCTCTCCTTCGCTGCGAATAAGCATGTGGTCGGCAACGATCGGGTCCAACGTCGAAGAACTTGCAGTGCAGACCATTTCGAGGCGTCACAAAAGCCTCAAGATTCGCCGCAGTCAACGAACACCCTTACTGCGGACAATTATTGGGTTGAAGGACACCAGCTTACCGACAATATCGCATCGACTAATATTTACAGCAACCGAATCTGGGAAGTTGCTGGGTATGCGTCAGCTATTACATCCATCACGCTCCTTCACATCGGGGAAGGAAGACACGACAGTGCCTCTTCGTCCGCCATTCCTCGTCTTCACCCAAACGATAGAGCGTGCGCAATCACTCTACAATGAGCTCCGATACGATATCCCCGCTCCAGCAGGAGGGTCGTCACGCATTGCGGTGCTGCATTCGTCACTCCCCACCCACACCCGCTCCAGCATCATGCAGAACTTCCGACTCGGCAAAATATGGATCCTGATCACAACGGACCTTTTGTCACGGGGTGTGGACTTCAGGGGTGTGAATGTGGTTGTGAATTACGATATCCCGAACACGGTAGCCGGATATGTGCATCGTGCAGGTCGGACGGGAAGAGCAGGTCGGGAGGGTGGTGTCTGTGTCAGCTTTTACACCAAGGAAGACATCCAATACGTAAAGGGCATTGCCAATGTGATTGCTGCAAGCGAGAAGTCCCAGACCCCTTCGGACAGGACCGCCGGAGTTGTGAAAGGCAACAGCACGACGGCATCTGATCCGGCAAAGACCGGTGGAATTCAGCCGTGGCTGCTGCATGCACTACCTTCCGTATCCAAGTCAGCAAGGAAGAATCTCAAACTTCACGGTGTCGAATCACGACGGGCGGTCCATGCCGACGACGACGAGAAGACGAAGCGGATGAAACGAAAGGCGAGGATTGGGACACAGAGCGGCTTCGAGAGACGCGAAATGAACCGGAAACGTGGTGCTATAGAACACAGTCTGCAGGGCAAGGGGAAAGAGCTAGTCGATGAGGACGGAAATGGGAACGAGGAATGGGAAGGCTTCGGCTCAGCTTGACGTCGCGATGTCACAGAAGGCATAACCACCACGTTTAATCATACAGCAGGAACCTTGACCGTGCCTTTTTTTTGCTCTCTCCTCTTGCGGTCCCGATCTGACTTAGGACTTCGCGCATCGCTGGAGGTCAGCAAGCCAGTCACGAGTTGCAGCGGTACAAAGCTATTGACTTCAGGCTACAGCTGCATTGGACGCGTCAATGCGCCAGATCTCGGTAATCTGTTGACCGAGGTACTTGGGGTAGGGCGCCCCTGGCGCGCGCTGAGTTGCCGTGTCCCTTGAAGCCAGGCACTGGACACGACAGCTTGCAAGCTTTTGCGCCGGACAAGACCCAACCAACGCTGCGCGGTTGGATACGTCGAGCCGTGTTCGAGACTGGCCGATGCCAGTCGTGGCTATCGTTTGTGGCTTGGTGTTTTGGGTTTGCGCAAGGACCGCGATGGTTCTAGACCCTCGTACCCTAATTAGCCAAGGATGGAAGATGAGTCGATTGGAACGTGGGCGTGCCGTTATTACTCGCATTGCTTCGTTCCGTGACCTACTGTTCATCTGGGTGGAACGGTGGTTCTTAGCGAGTCATGTTCAATCGTGCCCTAATCCCTACAGTACTCGTAACAGTGGCAAGTGCATCTCTTCTCTCCCATCTCCTCATGAACTGATCCGGGCGGATGGTCCCGAGCCTGGTGGCCCTTAGTCAGGACCCAAGGGACAAGTCGGGACTTTTGCCAAACTGCCTAAAAGAGTTCGGAGTACCTACGAGTAGGTGGTAGTAGGTACCAAGCTGTCCGGCTCTGGCCCTCTGGGATACGAGTACAGTACCAGTGGTTCATTCCTTCGTCCCGCCCGGAGCTGGAGGGAAGAGGGCGGAATTGTGCCATTATTTTCGTTCTTCGCTGGGTGGTCCATCTCACGGCTTCATCACCAGACGTCCGGGAGGTCGGAGTCCAACGCCGGACAAGCCAGGAGTACTCCGTACTGTGATATACTTGTATTCTCGATTGAGAAACAACATCAAACGACCAGTCCTTGTACCACTTCGGATTGCTCCCACCTTCTCTGCACCGTGACCTCCCGAACTAACACCATGCGAATAGGGACAACACCACAAATCTGCCGGGGTAAAGGCCAGCTGTCACATGCAAATCTCCATGTGCATCCGTTGCCGCGAGCAATAAACCGCTGACTTGATTTTCGCGGGATCTTGTGCGGTGTCACTGCAAGACCGCCAAAACGCCGCCAGACGGCAAACCTAATTCAGCCGACAATCAGGCATGGTATAGCCCAAAAAGACGATCCCGCCGGCGGCCGCCTCCGGCGCGCAATAACTAATGCGGCGGCACTCCGCTAAGACGGCATGTGTACAGGTGTGACAATAGCATTACTACGCAGATAAGATCTTTCATTACAGATTACTGTGGCACCGCACCGGTCCCGCCGCCTGCTTAACCCGAACGGACATCCCCACGACTACGGTACGCGCTGGAAGCTGTTCTCCCTCTCCGGTCGGGTATATGAAGCAGGCACTGCAGGGAAAACACGGTCTAGGATACCTTGCTTGGTCTGGCAACTGTCTGGTGAGTCTGCGGAACAACTTCTCACACGGGCTACAGTACCGGTCCCATCCGTTCCCAACTGCCCATCAGCCATGCTGCAACGAACGACCGAGTCAGATACCTATCAAAATCCCAACACGCATTATTCAAACGTTGACACCGACGTGCTGCAGGGACCACAGGGACTCATGCACGCTCACGTTGCCCACTTGGCGATGGAGCTTTCGTGGAACCTTGTCTCGCCACCCACGTTTTTTGTTTTGCCTGACATCCGTCGAGCCCGTTATGCATACCATTCCCACGTGAGCCAGGTCCAGAGTATCACAGCACTCGGAGCCGCTCCAAGTCCCCCGTGCGTCACCGTGTATGCAGACGGCACCGCTCGGGCGAAACAGTCGAGATACTTATCGAAACTTGCTTGAATAATGACGCATATACTGTTTAGACGGATATGGGTGCATGCCTACACGCGAATCTGGCGTGGGAAACCCGCTAGTTCCCGAAAAGTTGTAGGGCAGGATGAGCAAGAGAGAGAGAGAGTGAGTGTGTGTGTTGTGTCTCTTAAAACCATCAACGTTCCGGCCCATTGATATGTTGGAATTCATATTACAATACTCCGTATAATTTCATTCCATTCCATTCCATAAGCATAGCTGCATTGACGGGCAAGAAATCCCATATAGCTACTGGGTATCATCATGTTCGCACAACAACGTTTCCATAACCCTTGGTTCCCTCGATAGCCATCCCCCAGGGTGTAAAATTCCGTTCCACTCATATCATGTTTCGTGGACTGTCTGCAGCGGCTTTGATCTCTGCCTTGTTATCTCTTGCCCTGTCCCAGGTCGAACCAGTAGTGTATCATGGCCCATCAGTGAATTGCCGTCGTGTCGCATATGGTCTGCCATGATTGACTGTTTCACATCCCGGTTCGCCTCCCGGAGTATGATGCCGACCGTCTCGCCCTGTTTCTCCGCTGCGATCTCCAACGGCATTTCTCCCCGGGTAATACGAGTATGATGATAGCTCGTACACCATGTTGTGGCACCATACGACATGCACGATGACGAAATTGCGCCGATATTAGGAACCGATTGACAGGCCTGACAGCTTCGACAGCGGCACGCTGATTTCGGGGAGTCTCGACGCGAGATTGATCGAGGGGATCTGGACTTCTGAAACCACTTCTGAGGCCACGTAAATTTCGCCGAGCGTTTCTGAGCTCGGAATAATGTATCACAGGTCCTTCTCGTCAAACGTCATCAGGTGAGTGTTGCCATGGCGGAATGCCATTTTTGTCAAGATGTTGGTCGCCAGGTGATACGCACATCGTCGTGAGAGCTCGAACAGAGTACTGGCCCAATCTTGTGACATTCGGAAACTCTTCGTATTGTTCATAGTGAATCGTGCGTGATGGCTTGGAGGAGTTCCATTTCATGAATGCCCCCGCATCGCGCAGATAGTTCTCTATGATCGGATTCTCTTCCTCATTCTTGGACTTCTCCTGACTGTAGTGATCGAGCCATTTCGACTTTTTTCTATCCGTCCAGTATTCGCGCTTTCAGTCGACGCCAACCCTGAAGCCCCGCATGTTGACTCGCTTTTGACTTTTGAGATTCTCGATGGATCGTTCCCAAATGGCAAAGAACTTGGGTGGCACTCTTCGATAAGCATGGCCAAATCCGGGGCTCTAGATACAAGACATTGTAGCCGCACTAGTGCCTGTCGTTGCCTTCGTCGCATCGTGTATGATGAGAGCGCTTGTGCTTCGAGAGATAATGAGGGTCGAGGAGATGATGTGGCTACCATGACATCGGACATGCTCAAGTCCCACAATGTTGGGTCGACATCATCCAGGTCATAGGGGTCGGATACAGTGGTTGCGGGTGTGTCGGGACCGTCATAGAATCCTTCATCAACATCGCTCGCACTGGCCGAATCTGTAGGAGAGCCTGGATCGCTTGGATGTAACGAGGGGGAGTGCATTTCGGTGTCATCCAGCGCGTGTGACTGTAATTGCGCCGTCAGGGCAGTGATGGAAGGATGTCGAGGTGCACCAGCGAATCGGTATGCATCGAATCGAGAATCGCGCCGTGGAGAGGCTGTTCGGCAATTTCGTGGTGAGGAGCACCTTGAATTGCACGGAGAGATATCTGAGGAGGCGCACTGTTCGGTCTTGAGTGAGAGCGAGTGCTCGTGCGGAGGAGATCCGAAAGAGAAATTCTCGTTGAACATCTTGGAAGATGTTCCCCTCCCCGGAGGTGCTGGTAGTCGAGTAATAGTATAGACCAATGGTCACCCGTCGAACGAAATGGAGCGTTCGTGACGGGAGGACTATAAGACGAGTTGGACGGCCGTTGGTGACTGACTGCCCGCTTAAGCAGCGAAATCCTTTCGGTTTGTTTGTCGTTCGTCGTAGAGTCGGAGCAAGAGGGTGAATCTGGCAAGACCGATTTCAAGGTCACATTAAAGAGACGGTTCCTTCTCACCAGCTGGGACCGGATTCGGGTAAGTATAAGCAGTCGCTCGTGATGGCGTAAGGCGAGGGATCGGTTTTCGTCGGACACGGGCTTCTGGAAAAGGTGGATCGAGGTGGCGGAACAAAGGAAAAGAGCATGGGTGGTGGCTTAGAGTTATCGTTCCATCGTCGCATCGTGGGCGCACAGGCCGCATAGGCGAGCGAAAATGCGAGCGAAACCTCGATAAGGTGGATGCGGGTGATCCATGACAGGCGATCGGGTGAGCGAAGCTGTGTCTGGCAAGTATTTGCACGCCGAAGCCCAAGGGAGGCTAGGCTCAGACCCGTGTTGACCTCCCGACTGTCGCCAGAGTGATGGTGAGTATGCCGAGCAAGCCCAAGAAGGTCCAGCTAGGCGCCACCAGGTCTCCCCTACAAGCCACTCACCAACTCCGCCTGGAAGAATTTGCATGGTTTCAATTGCGACGCTGCTCCATGTTCTCGGCCCTTCCTTTTGATCGTCCGAGCAGCTCATCCTTTCTTCTTTCGGGCTTCTCCTCACCTCAGCCCAGATGGCCCCCTCGTTGCCCCTGTAGCCGATCGATGTATCCCTACTTGCTGGGTGCTTGCAAGAAGAATGTTCCGTCAGTTGAAATCTTATTGGCAGCTCTATGACCGGGAATCACACGCTCGTATTTTCGCCACTTTCGAAGACCGGGGAAGGAGGCAATGTTACTCGTATTTTGAAGACAAGGGCTTTCTTCGTTTTCACGTACCGTCCATCGTGCCCACCACTGTGACGCGGCAGAGATTCGGTGGTCGGAAACGCTGCGGTCATTACCACAACGACGGCATGCGATCATCCACCAGAAAACATATCCACGTGGTAGAGTTCTGCCCATAGAGTGGGCTACAGTACACATATTTATCAATCCCTTTCGGACCCCATTTTACTTTCATGGAAAATGCAGAACCTCGCGCGAGTCCTTCGCTCATTGCAACAATGCCTTGCTGTCCAGTATGGGAAAGATGTCCGTTGATGTAATCCCTTGCTGCGTATATAGTGGGTGATACGTTGCAGATCTCGTAGTAGGTGTCATCAAGCGGAGATTTGCCCAAAAGGTAAAAGTCTGAATACAACTCTTGTAGGTTGCCCATGAATTCTTCCAGAACTTCGTCCACTGTGCTACTGTTAGTAGACGGTGGTGACGACGATTTCGATGCCTTAGATCTTCCATCGACTTTTGGTGGTATTGATCCGGGTGTATCACTTCTGGTTGACGATCTGCTCTTTGTTTCATGCGCCAGGTTCAACCAGACGTCCTCTTGATATGCAGCGCGGAATCCTCGGTCTTCGCGCAGAACGCAACCTCCTAAAAGGTCTTCAGCCGAGAGTTCAGACGTCGAAGCAACCCAAGAAGGCGGCATGCGATCATGCAACGGTGTCTGCAGGTCAAACTCCATGATTGAACTGTCGGCAGACTTGTCGAGTTCTGGCAATGAAGCTGCGCCGTGAATGAATCGAGTAACATCGACTAAACTTGCAAGCATATACCTGCTGCGGCCACTGCTGGGAATGATCAACGGACTAAACAGCACGAGGTGAGTGACTGGATCTCCAGCAGCATCCTGACCCGTCACGATGTCCATGGAAGCTCCTTCACACTCGCAACTATTGAGAAAGAAATGCTCGCCAATTTCAAAGATATAACGGAGCTCATGAGAAGTAGCGACCACCGGGAAACCCGGAGCAGCTGTGTCGAGCACACAAAATGATTTGAAGTGCTCTACAAGGGGCATGCTTCCGAGACCATCTTCATCTGTCCCAAATCTTGGCGTCTCCGAAGAACTCTCGTGGACGGACGCGGAACTGAGTGACGGAGATTGCAACCATGATACCTGCTTTCTCCGATTGTGGTTCGCCAACGCAGAGGGTGGCGGAGTTTCGATCTCAGAAGCCTGCGGGTGCCGGCCGACGAGATTCTTACGAGACTCTCGCAGTTTCAGAGTTGATGCGCTAGAGAAGGAAGAAAGAGTCGATATACTCGCTTCTCGACTAACGACAGATGTGCAGCTTGTTGAGACGGCCTGATTGACTACTCTGGATGGCACCATCGATCGATGAAGGTAGGCATGACGAAGGTCGAATTGACTGAGGCTCGTCGCCGGAAGCAGAGTCTGTCGAGCTTGAGATTTGACATCTGCTCGGCGAGGCGAGGATTGAAACCGGTTCGGAATCGATCGAGATATGGCCCATTCCTCAAGACTGACTTGGCTGTTGGTCACGTCTGGGAAAGAGGTGAAGGTGGTGACAGATGAGAGGACAAAACTTGAAGGATCTGCCCGTCGCAGTATTCCTGATCCCACGGTTTCAGGCGCCGAATTCGATTGTTTTCGCAATCTGCGCAGGAAAACGTCCTTGAGTGATTGTCTTAATGATCTTCGAGGCGCCTGGCGGGGCTTGGCGGCCATTTTGAGATTGTACTGGGTACTGGAATCAAATCCCTGGTCTCCTTTTCATTCACAACTCACATCATGCCTTCCAGAATTTTCGTGACCGCGAGAAAGGTGAGCGTCGAAGATTGATGATAAGACAGATTGACACGATTTCCAACGCCAGAGAAAGTTTGTGGCTAAATGCAAGCAACCGCAACGAGGATCAAGAGATCGAAAGACAAAGAACGCCGCCCCAAAAGACGAAACCAACCCAGTGTGCGACAAAACGAAGGTGTCGTAAGAAGTTCTTCTACATAGAAGGTGGTGCTTTGGGAGAAAAAATGGTTATAATTCTGGCCATTGCCTTCATCGACATTAAGCAAGATCGGATGGATTTGCTGCAGGGGCTTGGGGGCTGGCACTGGCATGGGCACTGGCACCGGGGAATCGGATTAGGACTCTTCTGGGTCGGTTGTAGCCTCACGGAATGTTTCAGGTCTTTACGACAACCACAAGGTTGGGTATAAGTTGCATGGGCCGATGAAAAGGAGAATGAAGATGATTGAGATGCAAAGAGAATGGATCTGATTGAGCAGGTACACAATGAACTGTAGGTGATTGCTGCAGGCGTACATGTGGCTGGCACTCACGTAGAGTAGAAATGCGCATCCACGCTTCATTCTGGTTCAGAGTACGAGTCACAATAGAGCTTTGAAGAAAAAGCTGTGCTATATCTTCAATGAGCATCACAACAACACACAGTCAGTCTCTCCATATATGATGTAGTTATCGCATGGTGTCTCATAATTCTCATTCTTTTCGTGCTTTTTATGCCGCCAGGTACCGGAGAATATTCAGACCAATCAGGAGCATTTCTGGTCTGGGCGCAGTTTCTGGTCTTCCTTTAATATTCCTCGATTGATCGGAAGAATTTGGGGAGCTGCTTTCGCTGGTTTTCACTTCCCGTTGAAAGTCTTCAGCATTCAACATCTGTCATCAAGACCACCATTGTCGGTGTCTGACCACACGGCATCCTCCTCACGTTTTCTCCCCGTCCTCTGCGCTCCCTGCGGAGCTCCAGCAGCCATGTCTGCAGCTCCGGCCTCTCGCGCCGTCCTACGTCAAACCAGACTTGTCCTGCGCCGAAACAATTTTAGACAAGCTTCCACCGCCTCAGAAGCCGCCTCGAAAGCTCAAGACTCTGGCAAGCAAGCTGTGTCGAAGGCTTCAGAGGGCCTCAGCAGAGTTCAAAGCTCCGCCAGCTCCACCATCTCCAGAGTAGGGTCCTCGGCATACAATGCAGTGAGCAAGATTGGCGGAAGGACAGGGAGAGTGATTTCTTTCGTCGAATGTAGGCAGACACACACGACTTGGGACCCGAGAAAGTAGTGTTGACTTTGAACAGCGTTAATACCTCCTACCGTCTACTACTCTCGCGTCGGATTAGAGCTTGCGAGAATTGTTTTCAAAGGTCAAAGCATGGCACCACCGTGAGTATCACCGGACCAGCCGGCCCTGCAGGAATAATTGACACAGTCCAGGTCCACGGCACAATTCCAGTCATACTTCCAGCCTCTGATCAACGTGTTCCGGAACCCACGATCCATCGGTTCTACCATGAGCTCCATGACTAGCTCTGTCAACCCTGAATCGCTCCTCAGTACCGTCCGCAACGTCAACTCCCAACAACTGACTACGGCCGGGATCGTCTTTGCTCAGGTTTTGGGATTTTTCACTGTGGGTGAGATGATCGGTAGATTCAAGGTGGTCGGATATCACGGTGAACCACACCACGAGCACTAGAAGAGGAGGCCGGACATTCGCGTTGGCTGGCCTTGTAATCTTAGGAGTCGATCACGTACGAAAAACAGGAGAATACACATATTCGCGGGTTACAGAAGATCCATGTTGCCCTTATGCAGTCTGCAGATCGCACCTCGTCAATCAAACGAGTATTTCGAGGAGCTGTTTACAAAAGCTAACGGGCCTTCAAGATGTTGATTGTACTTTTATGTTTCAAGTGCCTGTGTATCGCGGTGCGTTGATAGAGAAAATCGGCCGGATGACATACAATCGGGGACAGAGCAGCACCGAGACCTGGCTCTTTTTCACGTCGATATTTGTCTCCCGATGTGATTCTTTTCTGACGCCACCAGCTTTCCGTACAAGCGAATGATGTCGCGCCCGCGAGCTTGATGTGTTCGATTTCAAACCGCAATTGCGGATTGCGGGGAGTAATAGCCGGAGCTTGATGCAGACTTCCATATACTTGGCCGACTGCACATGGAGACACCTTCCTCAACGCAAGGTTCTCGACAATACAAACCATGCCAGCTGAGTACGCTACAAACGATAGCACTCAGCGTCGTCTGTGATAGAGGAAGCAGCCATGATCAAGGTAGGCAACTCCTTCCTTTTGGTGCCGCGCTCCTGATGCATCCAGTGGCGCACAAGCGAGGTCGGTGTCGACGAGTAGCCTTTGATAGAACCCATGAACCAGAACTTGCTTCTTTTTGCCGCACCTTCAGCTGCCCACTGGATATCGTCTCGTAGTCTGCATTGTAGGCGGATGTGGCTGGGCTGGACTGATCTAAGAGCATACCTTTATCATGTAGACAGGCCACGTCTCCAAACTGGCCCAGAGCAAAAGAACTTCTCATTTCGAAACGGGCAGCGTCACTGGTTCGCAAGGAACATTCACGGCAGCGCAGACCTATCTTCTCAATGCTGACAGCCAGTTGAAAGGCGAATCTGCATGCTTGATTCGCAAGACTCGAATTGATCTCGTATTGTTATCAACCATGAGATCCCAGATACGCACCTGGACATGTTCGCTTGGCCTCGCGGCCTTGACTGACTGCAGGTGAACGGTATTAGAGCCTGATATCGGCGGAAGCAGGTGCCGCAGTTCCGTTTGACCCGATCAAGTGTCAGGTGAAGCCTTCCTCTTTGACACTCCGCTCTGAAATGCGGTCGGGCGAAGTCGCGAAGTGGTGAAGCCGTGAGAAAGGCGCCGACAGCGTTTCGGGCGGTCATCAGAGAATTCTGTGTACGCAGCCAACGAGACCTTATCGGCAGTCAGAATTATTTTCTGCTGCTCTCCTCAATGTCGACCCCACGCATCCTCTTTTCATCGGGGCGTTGAATGATTGCGACTCGACTACTGGTACTCGGTGTACCAAAAGCAACCATGACAGGCTCTCTAGTGTAGGCGAGTGGACCACCTTCCGTTCTCGAGTCGAGGCAGTGAATGGACACGATAGGGCCGAGCCTTGAGGAAGATCATGATAGCGCCATCATGCGCGATATGCGGAATCTGGTCTGGGGATTGGCTTAGCAAACCATTCAAGTAAGAAGAGGCAGCCTCGAACGATGTCCTGGTACTGCGTACTGGTCGGCCAATGAGACGAGACTTTCTTGGCCTGATAAGCAAGTCGTTTGTTTGTGATCTCCATTGAATGCATGTCACTTTTATCACATCCCGCATCACTTCACAGATGATCTATCTTGCCAACCTCCTCGCTCGCCTATGACGATTGGCACATTGCTTGCTTATCAGTGCTCTCCATTGTGTACCCTGCATCTTGCATCACAAGCCTCTCAGGGGTTGGAGTCATGACCCGATCCAAGCCTCGTCCAACCACAAACGTGCTTTTTTCGTCGTACAGGCAATGAACATGCTCGCATCTTGTCGGACCTCCCGTTATCGGCGAACAAAGAGGACCTTTCTTGAGCTCTAAGATCGCGTGCCTCGCATGCGAGAGCTAAAAGAAGGTGAATACCCGCTCTGCTACTCCAGCTTCACCAGCTTCAGACCTTTTTGTTGTTTCCTTTTGTCAACGAAGCCCCGTGAAGCTGGTTTGGGATCAGGAGCCCCTACCGCTATATAACTAGCAGACTAACCCACACGTGCCCACGACAAACTGTTCTGTCGATCGTTCTTGGACCGGCTCACGTCGATAGAATCTCGCTACAGCTTACAGCCACGAACATCATGACGGACACCGCTGGTTCCGCGTATGTGGCCCTTTCTCAGGGCTTCGGATATGGCATTATCTTAGGTTTAGGGTTCGCTTTTGCCCTGGGCATGATAGGAACAACATGGGCGTTGAAGCGATATCATGGAGAGGTTCGTCGCTTCGCCTGTCACTAACACCAGACCCTAACCTGTCTTTAAAGGTCCAAACCTCCGAAGCTTTCTCAACCGCCGGCAGGACTGTCAAATCTGGTCTCGTCGCTGCCGCTGTCGTTTCTAGCTGGACATGGGCTGCTACATTGCTCCAGTCTTCTGGTGTGGCTTATTCGTACGGTGTCTCTGGACCATTCTGGTACGCGTCCGGAGCTACAGTCCAGATCTTGCTTTTTGCTACCTTGGCCATCGAGTATGTTAACCTCTCTGGGCGCACCCTAGAGCTCCGCTGGGGTGTCACTGACCTCACGCTAGACTCAAACGACGTGCTCCCAATGCGCACACTTTTCTGGAGGTCATCAAGGCAAGATATGGCGTCGTCACGCATATTGTCTTCTTGATCTTTGGCCTCATGACAAACATCCTCGTAACGGCTATGCTGTTGACCGGTGGCAGCGCAGTGGCGAGCTCTCTTTGCGGTGTCCCTACCGCTGCAGCTTGTTTTCTTCTTCCTGTCGGTGTCGTTCTATACGTAAGTACTGTCACGTCATCTATTGCCCCTTGCGTTGCAGACAATTCAAATGCATCTGCCTTACCACCCCCGGCTTGCCGCGTTGTGCGGCGATTTGTCCATCGTGTGCTTTGTCCATGTGCAATATCCTTTCTTGATCCATTTACTAACTTGGGCTCTTCCAGACCATGTTCGGCGGGATCAAGGCGACATTTTTAACCGACTATGTCCACACCGTGATCATTTTGGTCATTATCTTCGTCTTCGCTTTCTCTGCCTACGCGACAAATTCAGTCGCGGGCTCACCAGGCAAAGTCTGGGAGCTCCTCGTCGACGCCGCCAAACGACATCCCGTCAAGGGCAACCATGAAGGCAGCTACCTGACCATGCGTAGTCAGGAAGGAGCAATCTTTTTCGTAATCAACATTGTTGGTAACTTCGGAACGGTTTTCTTAGACAACGGTCCGGTGCTCCGAAACATCACATTTATTTGTTGCTAACATGCTCTAGGCTATTATAACAAAGCCATCGCCGCCTCTCCCGTCGATGCTCTGCCCGGCTACGTTATGGGCGGCTTGTCCTGGTTCGCCATTCCCTGGCTATGCGCCACGACGATGGGTCTCGCGGCCCTCGCGCTCGAAAATAATCCCGTTTTCCCAACTTACCCGAACCGCATGGCCCACGCAGACGTCTCGGCCGGCCTTGTCCTCCCATACGCTGCGGTAGCCTTGCTCGGCAAAGGCGGAGCCAGCGCCACGCTCCTCCTGATTTTCATGGCCGTCACGTCCGCTTCGTCCGCCGAACTCATCGCCGTCTCGTCCATCTGGACATACGACATCTACCAGACGTACATCAACCCGAAAGCCAATGGCAAATTCCTGATTCGCATGTCCCACGTCTCGTGCATTGTCTACGCGATCCTCCTAGCAAGTTTCTCCACCGGTCTCTTCTACGCGGGTATATCCATGGGATACTTGTATCTGATGATGGGCTGCATCATCTCCAGCGCGGTCATCCCCGCCACGCTCGCGTTGATGTGGAAGGACCAGAATTGGCAGGCTGCCGCTGGCGCGCCGGTACTGGGTCTTGCTTGCGCACTGATCGCATGGCTTGTGACGGCCAAGAAGGAATGCGGCGTGCTCAATGTGGATTGTACAGGCTCGAACAATCCGATGTTGGCAGGCAACGTGACAGCGCTGCTGAGCCCGCTGCTCTTTGTGCCGATCCTGACTTACGGCTTTGGCCGCCAGAATTACGACTGGCAGAGCATGAAGGCCATTCGCAGGGGCGATGATAGCGACATTATCCGCCGTGCCAGCGTGAGTGTCGAGTCGGATGTCGTGCCCACGGTGACGAGCCAGAGCGCGGAGCAGGAGGCTGCAGAGCAGAAGAAGCTGAAGAAGGCGGCGATCATTTCGAGGAGCTTGACGGCCTTCATGACCATCGCCTTGCTCGTACTCTGGCCGATGCCGATGTACGGGAGTGGATATGTGTTTAGCAAGAAGTTCTTTACCGGTGAGTTTGTTGGGTCCCGAAAAAGCTGTGTGCAAGTCTTTTGTCCCTCTTGCTAACATGCTGTGCTTGCAGGCTGGGTCGTCGTCGGTATTCTCTGGCTATTCTTCAGCACCCTCTGCGTGGGCGTCTTCCCGCTCTGGCAAGGCCGCAAGACGATGGCTCATACGGTCAAGTCCATCCTTCTGGATATTTCGGGCAAGAAGCACCCTGCTATTCATGGTCGTGCCAGCGCAGTCGGTGACGAGGAGACAAGTGGTGTCGCCACGCCAGATGAGAAGACTGCTGTCAAGGGCGAATAAGGATTTCCCAAAGGGCTGGGACGGTTCACCATTCCTTCCCTGGCGTCAAACGACCCACTCGTCCACCTCAACAGATGGCACAATCATGATACCTAAGGAGAAGGCCTGGCAGGCGCACGTGGATGAGGAACTTAGAATATACAAGGTATGGACCGTAGAGTGGTGCATTCCTGGAAGAAGGCTACTGCCATAGAATGAAGACCGCGACAATTGAGAAGACTGCAATCATTGGAATTCAACATAACGCCTCGTTATTTTACACCTGGACAACTCCCGTTTCGTTTTCTGGTATCATTCCCTTCGTTTGCAATTTGTTCACATTCGCTTCTTGCTCGCCAACCACGCATCATCGCGTGACCTGGCATGCTTGGGCACTCCGTCACGTATGCATTGTGTAATCTGCTCCATCTCACTTCTTCTCTGCAGGCTTGTTCACCAAGCCACTGAAAAGCCCGCCAAAGCCACCGGGCGACTTCATATCTTCCCAGCTCTGTCGGCGTTGATCGTAGTTTTCCTTACTGCTGCGGTTGGACATCAGACCACTGAAGACACCTTGGTTCGAGGCCGAGGACTGCAATTTCATTTTTGAGGGTTAGTACAGCAACGGGACACAACCACCACCCGCTTTGGATTTTGCGGGAGGGAGGGAGGGAGGGAGGGAGGGGAGGGGTGCAAGTGTTTTGCCAGCCACATACGCGTCTTCTTCCCGCGATGGCCGCAGCGATCCCACCACCAGGCGAGGTAGGCGGCGATGCCGAGCTCTTGATAGGACCACCACTAGCACCTGCAGCGCCTGCACTCTTCTCGCTGGACTGGGAGCCTCGTCGAGCAGGGCCCTGGTGGATCTCCTTGGGCGTGGTGCCCATGAAGCGTCGGTCTCCGTCCCACGAGGGCAGAATCTTGCCGATCATGGTAGGGGCCTCGGTGTCTGCCGGAGTAGGGGGAGGAGCGGTGGTCGTGGGTGTGGTCATGGTGCTGGGTGAGGTTGCAAGGCTTGCTGGGTCGGCGGATTCCTTGCTGCCGCTGTAGCGCCGGCTGCCCTGGTGCACCTCGCGGCCGGCGGGGAACATGAAGCGGCGGTCTTGCCAGGAGGAGGAGGAAGAGGACATTGTGGTAGGAAAGTGCGGAGATGCTTTGATGGGAAACGGAATGGAATGGAATGGATAGGAGCGAGTAGTCGGTGGGTTTGGTGAGTTGGTTCGATATATCGTGTCGTTGATGGGAGGGTGCGTGGAGTTGGAAAGAGATTAGATCAGGAGGAAAAGATGGGATACTTGTAGGTAGAGAATAGGCTGGCTCGGGCATGCGGTGATAAGGACATAAGAAGAGCAGGAGAGACAGGCTCACAGGCCAAGGAGAGTCTATGATGGTCCCTTCCCCGCCCGTGCCCACTGGTGGCATGTCTCGAGCCCCTCCTCCAGATTTCTGGGGTAAATGTAAGCAGCAATGACGTGACTGGTCGAATCGGACTTACACTGCTAAGACCACTCTGTGGCTGATTTGCTTGCCCAGGACATCGCCCGGCTCAAGAGGCGGTCATCTACTTGTTTGAGCGGCTCAACAACTGGCCGAAGCTGTGGGAAAGAACTCCTTGAGCGGACGTATTACAGATATTGCTGGTCGATGTTTGGAGATTTGTTTACTTGGACAGAGAGTACGGAGTACTGCTGGCTCATATGTACTTAACCACGATTTGGTACAACGTACTGTGCGCAAATAGCGAATAACATGCTGCATGGTACAACGCAGTACCTCACGCCTCTTTGACGCTGCCGTTAGCTGCCTCCATCTGCGCCTCCACACCCGACTTTGTAATTGGCGTCAGGATAGCTTCCTCTTCCGCTTCTAGAATTCGCTGATAGCGGGCGGTTAGTCAGTCGCAATCCGCAGTTTCACCACAAGCATATGGAAGCAGGAAGAGGGGGTGGGACGCACATCGATAGCGTTCGTCGCCGTTAACCAGCTGGCAACCAACATACTCCTCAGCACCCAGCTGGAGGCGAACACACCACTCCGAAACCGATTGGGCGGCCACGTTTCGAAGCCACGGTGCGGGAAATTCGCGTCGAGATGCAGCTGCAACAGCCGCGGATACCGGTCCAGACTGCGTAGAGACTTGCGCACGGCATCGCGGTAGAAGCCCACGGCTCCGAGGACGAAGCCTGTGCATGCGGAGAAGACGAACGGGACGGTCGCGGTGTCAAACATAAGGGCGCCGATGCTGGCGCCGGTCATGCCCATGAACACGGAAGCGATGCTGCCGGAGATGATGACGCGTAGCATGCTTGAACAGAGAGACGACGGTGTTAGTTTTGAGTGAATACTGGGCCGCTGGAGGAGCGTTCTGGCCAAGCCGTAACACATCAAACGAGGCGAACTTACAACAGTCCGGGCCCGCTGGAGGAGGCATTTCAGGTCAGTACTAGTACAAGGATCCTGCAGCACGGAAATCACGAATGGCAGGAAGGGATGCTCTCAACTTCTACGTAGCGAAGCGATTCCTGGAAGCAGTAAGGGAAGGGTATCAAAGTGCTTTGAATTTACCTGACTGTTCCCCAGCCTCCTCCAACGCGCAATATCGTCTTGAAAGCATCGGTGTAGCCGCTGTTGGCGATGATCTCGTTGCCAGGGCTGTTACCGCGAAACGAGGACATCCTGCCCACCAGGATTGGGGTTCGATGAGCGAACTATCGCCCTGTACGGGGTGTAGGGATTGGCTGCAAAAGTACAGGATCTGGAGGAGCTTGGTCCAAGGACGATGCAAGCAACATCGGTTCAGGTGTCGGATGAGAGATTCGACCTTCACGTTTGCAGATGCAGATTCAGATAGACGCTGCTTTAGCATCGCCTTGGCCAAACAGCACGTGACCAGACCATGTCTTGATGGGGACCCGGGCTCCACCAGTCATCACAGCTTTCGTGGTGCCACCAGGGGAGACCATATCCCGACATTATTCACATTTCTGAATCTCCTATGCAATATTCCTGCTTGTTTCTGTAGAACCTATGGCAGTCGAAGGGATAATACAGGTCGAGAAAAAATGCGCTCAAAGCGCCTGTTGTTCGGCGCGCTGCTCTTGCCAGTCTTTTACTTGCTTGACCAGTACATCCATACGCAGTACATATTCGGCCCCTTGAGACTGCAGCAGATTTCACAGAGGGCTATCGAGATCCACGGCAATGACACCCTGCCATTGCTTCAGCAGATCACGGCCGATCTGAAAGCAGAGTACGGTGCCGCAATCACAGAGTGGTCCAAGGACGACTGGTTCTTCAACAATGCTGGTGGCGCTATGGTTTGTCTCTCTGCTCCTGTCTTTGACTTGGGTTGCTCCGCCTGTGGTCGTCCTCTGGGCAGGGATTTCGTATTGATAATTGGTGGATCAGGGTTCCATGGTCATCCTACACGCTTCGATCAGCGAGTATCTCATCTTCTTCGGCACCGCACTGCAGACCGAAGGCCACTCCGGTGTGCACTTGGCTGACGACTACTTCACTATTCTGGTTGGCGAGCAGCATGTCGCTGCCCCGGGAGACTTGATCCCCACAATATACCGGCCGGGCGATCAAAATCATATGCACCGTGGTGTTAGCACGCAGTACGCCATGCCGGGTGCGTGTTTCGCGCTAGAGCTCGCGCAAGGCTGGATTCCTGCTATGTTGCCTTTTGGTATGATGCTCCCCGCGGCTGCATCGCTTGGGTGAATTCTATGGTGCTGACAACTTGGACAGGCTTTGCGGATACGTTCAGCAGTACTTTGGACTTTGCGAATCTGTGGAAGACGATCAGATTGACTGCCGTGCATATGGGTTATCAGGCGCTCAGAGGTAAATTCTAACGTCTGGAGGAAGCTATTTTAACAGCGATTGTTTCGAAAATTGAATATGGCAATTGTGGAACGGAGTTCAAGTCTTGTCAAGGACTGTCAGTTGAGGCGCCACGCATCCCTTTGGCAGGCTACAATTGCCTACCTCAATCTGTCAATACGAGAGATTAAAATTGACATGTACTATAGTACCTTAGATTGTGGCTGTGTAGTGCAGCATGCGACCTGAGTCACCCAGAGCATGTCTGCAACATAGCCGGAACAAAAGTTTGCTCCAGGATTTAAGCCCACCAAGGCTCAGCAGATGCCCGTACAGCTAAGTCAGCCTAGCTAAAAACCCTTGGCACCACCCCGGGAAGCCTGGCACTTTGGCTCCCTTGGCTCGAACCTGAGTCAGGCTGGCGCAATCCCAGGCGCGGACATCGGCTGCGCGCCGCTCTCCGTGCATTTTGAAGCTTGGGTACAGGTAGTTCTGGCCTCAGCCACGGTACGTCGATTTGCCTCATCAATCTGAAGCATTCCCCTTCCCAGACTACTAGTAAAAGACACCTCGTCCCTAGTTAATCTGATTCAAAGAAGTATAACCCGTCAGCGAGTTATCTTGCATCCTCCTGATCTCAGTGAGCGACCAGGATCCTCTTCAGCTCAAATGCATTGGATTGACATATAATCTGCTTCCCTGAAATTCACCCCGTTTCTCTCTCGTCGATGCCCGCAAGGCTGGCATACCGACAGCCGACATCACCTGGATAGCCTGGTTCGATGACAATATTAGATGTAGTCGCTTATTTCAGTAAGAACAACACCCCTGCTTGTCTAGAATGTTTCGTGCTGACGCTACAAGACGATGGAAGACGTCGACATCGTCAGATTGATCCCGTCTACGAATCAAGGCGGACTAAGTCCAGAAAGCAGCTCAGAAAGAAACTAGCAGTCGATAACTTGACAACAGAAGAACGGTCTGATCAAGGACTAAGTGCAGAGGTAGGCAACTTAGGAAGTCTTGGAGGCCAGCATCAATGCTGAGTGATTTCCCGCCCTTGAAAGTCATAAGTAGCCTTTCCTACCCAGAGTTAAGTCACAACAACATTGGCCTTGAGAAGAGCAAACGCACATTCTCTCCTTGGAATGCTTCCTACAGATACACTCCTCTGCCTCCTGGCCATATCCGATTGTTGCGATTCAAGACAAATCCGATATATTCCGCGTGGAAGTTGTCGTTCGACCTCATACTTGTTTCACTTGATGACCATCCACCCTACGAAGCCCTATCGTATCGGTGGTCGTCCAAAGGCGGCAACGACAAGGTCGCTTGTGACCGAGGGACTCTTCAAGTTTCTGCCAACTGCAAAGCCGCACTCAAGCATCTGAACAAGGAGCACAGATTGTTGTGGGTCGATGCTATCTCTATCAATCAGAATGACAACATGGAAAATAATCATCAAGTCGCCTTGATGTCGCAAATTTACAGCCATGCTGAGAGAACTATAGCATGGCTCGGCGGAGACGCGGACGACGCAGCATCGTGTGTGGCAGATATCAATGAGGCGCAGCGCTATCTTGACGGCTTAGAGGATGCATCGACACTTAAACGAAAAGGTAAGAACTCCCTGTTTCTGTCATTCAGAGTCTTAGGTATGGGCGCCACTCGAGCATTACTAGGGTAGACATTCCCGAGATCGAGTTGACAAGGGTACCTCGCCTGAACCAACGGTAGCTTTTGTGCTCAAGGGCACGGTTCACTGACGCTCTTGCATAATTCAATAGTCGCCATGCTGCAGGACGGGTGGTCTCAAGGAGCGTTTTACAAACTTCTATGCAGAGATTGGTTCAGCCGGGTCTGGATTCTGCAAGAGGTTGCGCTGGCAAAAGAAATCTGGGTCAGCTGTGGAGACCAGACGACGACATGGTCCTCTTTTATAGGCGCGCTTGGAAAGCTCAAGACGAAGTACAGACTTCCCAAGGAACATTGGGCGGCATGGAACCTGGAGACCTTCAGGAAGGATTATCAACGAAATGAACGTCGAGGCGTGAGCATTCACGCCGCAATGGCGCAGTCGCGTCAGTGCGAAGCCTCTGATCCACGCGACAAGGTATACGCCCTGCTTGGTGTCTGTCCCGAGCTTGCCCAAGAGATAGGTGAGCCGGATTACAGCCTTTCCCCTGCCGTTGTAGGGGCTCGGGCGCAAAGGGCATGCTTCAATGGCCGCTTGGGGGTCAATGCGCTCTACCTAGTCTCGGTGGGAGAGCGTCTGGAGAAGAATATACCGTCCTGGGTTCCTGATTTGAGCACTGGGCTCAAGACATGGCCACGACGTCCGCCTCTTTCAACCCCAAGCGATGGGCTCGCTACTATATTACCGTGTCCTTCTGGTCAAGACTCCCAGTGTCTGCACATCAAAGGCACATTTGTTGACACACTCACGTCGCCTTTCGAATATACCCACTACGACATTTGAAGACCTTGTCGCACAGTGGCGCACATGGCGGACGCGCTACGAGGAATTGGATATGTACAACTCCGAGAGTAAGATGAATAGGGTTTTCGCTTACTGGAGCACTCTTTACTGCGACTACGAAAGTCATATCCCGGCCGGGGGAACCCTCTTGACTTGGCACAGGCGCGTTGTTCCCAATTCCAGCTGGTACACAGCCCAACCCCTGGACAGCAAAACGAAGGCTTTCCGCGATGTGAAGGCGTCCGATTTCGTCGAATGCACAGTCGAGCGCATATTCGGGTTGACCAATCTACGCAGAATAGGACTGTTTCCCAGTCATGCTCGAGTTGGAGATCGCATTGTGCTTTTCAATGGTGGATCCACACCTTACCTTGTTCGCCCGGCATATCATGATCCAGGCAGGTATTACCAGACGAGAATGCGATGCCGAACCAGGTCCGAGTTGGGATTCGAGTTGGTTGGCCCGTGCTATGTTCATGACTTGGGCGGTAGCTACGCCAGGGCAGAAGCTGTAATGAAAAGCGAGGAAATGGTGATTTTCTAGCGCAACGATGAGGTGTAAGACCAAGAAGAGTGATCCGAGAGTTGGGACACGAAAGCAGAGATCAGAATGCTGCCATGTTTGAAGTTGGCTGTCGAGTACACCAAAGGCTCAGAGGAAGACTGCCGCCGAACCCAAATATCAGGACTTGACCACAAAAAGGTGAAGTTTGAAGGTGCAAATCCTGACAAAGGCTTGACTCCTGGTCCCAGCTTGGGGCACATCAGTGTATCGCCACATCTTTGCAACCTATAGTCTTGCTTTTGCCGGCAGTGGTGGCAAGTTGGCGAAAGCTTTATATTCCTCCAGACACTCCGGGTTGACAGCCGTGCCTCCAATCTTTGGTACCCGACCAGAAACCACATCTTTGACAACGTTCTCAATCTTCTTGCCGTTGGCAGTATAAGGGATGTCCGCGACTTCAAGAATGTATGACGGCACATGTCTGGCGCTCAACTCGGTCCTGATAGCTGTCCGGATCCTTTGCTCCAGCTCTTTGCTCATAGGTTTCTGTGCAAGCTTCAAAAACAATAGAACCCGTTCGTCACTATCGTGTTCCCTTCGCTGACCCACGGCGATGCAGTCTTCAACCTCTTTGAACTTGTCTACCACGCCATAGAGCTCGGCGGTGCCGAAGCGTATCCCTGTCAAGATTTAGCCACCTAGCCAAAGAGACCCCGCAAGGCCACATATGGGTGGCTACTGGAACTTACCTCCAGGATTGAGCACTCCATCGCTCCGACCAAGGATGGTGAAGCCCTTTGTAGCGGGGTTCTTGCTGATGAAGTCGCCATGACACCATACACCGGGGAACTGGTCGAAATATGCTTTTCGGTACTTCTCCATGCCATTCTCCCCCCAGAACGTTACCGGCATGCTGAAGAACGGCTTCGTAATCACGAGATCTCCCTTTTCTCCAGTATCTTCGATGTTCTTCCCGGAGGCGTCCCAGATCTCTACGGCCATGCCGAGACATTTCGTCGCAAGTTCCCCGGCATAGAAAGGTCTCAGCATTGACCCGTTCACGACTGAGCTGTCAGCAAGACTGCTCAAAACCGAGGCTTGGGTTCCCAAAACTTACTGGCGCTCACCAGATCTGTTCCACCGGAGCTGCTGAAGGTAGCAACATGGCGGGGGAACTTCTGATAGAACCACTCTGACAGCTCGACAGAGAGCGGTGAACCCGTCACCAAGGTAAGGGCAAGGTTCTCCAGGTTTGGCATGGCCCCAAGGCCGTGCTGCTTCAGAGCTGCGAGGAACTTGGGACTTGTGCCCCATTCGGTCACACTACGGCCTTTGTTAACACCACTACCCCCCAAAACTCATCGGACAAGTCTTACCCTTGCTCTGAGAGTAGTTGTACTTGGTACGCGGGACTAGGGTGTGATGGACTGCCGTCGTACATCACAATTCGAGCACCTGTGCTGAGTCCCGCCACGAGATAGTTCCACATCATCCAACCAGTCTTGTGTTCGTCAGCGTGGAGACCAGAAAGCGCTGTTTTGAGGCTTACTGTAGTGTATTGGTAGTATACGGAGTTCGGACCCATATCTTTGATCAACATGAGGTCTTTCTTCTGCTGCAACAACGCCGCCCCACCCGCGTGACATATGCCTGCGGCCGGTTAGCGTTGGAATATTGCTTCTCTGGAGACGAAGAGTTTACCAACATTTCGGTGGGCCGGTCGTGCCGGATCTGAGTACATTTAGCATAGATTCAAGAGTACCCCATTGCATCAACTCACGAATACAGGATATAGACAGGATGATCGAACTCAACTTGCTCAAAGATCAATTCCTGGCGCGGCGCCTGCAGAAAAGTTTCGAGAGACATTCTATGGTTGTCAGTATCACAGAGTATGGCCCGAAAGTCAGTGATTGATGGCTCACGAGTTGGTCCCACTCCATAGATGACCCCTAGTAACGACCACCTTCTCCAGCTCACTAACCGATGCCTGGAGACTCCGGACGACTGAGCTAACTTTCTGTCGTAAATCCTTCTCGCCGCCACCGTAGAGCACTTCCGTGTCCACGAAGAGCACCTTCGGCCGAATCTGCAAATACCGCTCCGTGATACCTTTCTGTCCCATATCAGGGGCGGTCGACGAAAAGATAGCACCGACAGCAGCCGAAGCCAACAGCACAAGCAATGCCTCCGGTGAATTTGTCATTACCGCTTTGGACAGGTCAGCTTTCCTCTTCTCCTCCCTACAGAGCCTATGAGGGTCACAACTCACCAGCGACTCGGTCTCCCTTAGAGATTCCTGCCTGCTTGAACGCGCTGACGTACCTCTCGACTTCCGCTCTCAACTGCATCCAAGACAGATGTCGCCATTCTGTCCCGCCCTCGCGACACGCCGATATGGCGATGGCATCAGGATGCACTGCTAACCCGGTGGCCAGCATGTTCTCGGCATAGTTCAACCGCGCTCCGGGGAACCATTGAGGTCGAGGCCACATTGACTCAAGTCCAACGGCTGTCGCGGTTGGTGGTTTGCTGTAAACCATGCCACAGAACGTCCAGACCTCCACGGAAAAGGTTTCGAGCTCATCGACAGACCAACGATGGAGGTCATCATATGTCTCCAACTTGAGGCCGTACTTTCGGTTTATCAGCCGTCGAAAACCGTCCGCCTGGCTGAATTGTGGCGCAGGATGCACCCACAACGGTTTCTGTGTCGCCGACATATCGTCTTTCCACACCTCGTCGTCAATACAAGTCAATCACCAACTTGGAATGTTGTTTTACACTTGTCGAGAAGTTGAGGATTGGGAATGGTATACCGCCCAATAAAGTGGGCCTGGGGTTCCGGATCCATGTACCTTATGCAAGGCCGAGGCTGATCCGGAAAAGGCTGGATTTGTTCGATGCCGGGAAGGCATGGGGAAAGCCACGGGGGACTGACAGCGCTAGGAGACTTACAGAGCATGAAATAGAGGTGGCTTTCCCCTCCGCAATAAATGTTCTCGTCGCAACCATTGCAACGAGGCAGAGCTGAGCACCGGGCACAAAACTTCAACCTACCGGGCATTGAAGGCCTACCAGGAAGGACTTCCTAGGCTGCACCAACCGGCGACCAGACGTAGAAACTCGAATTAGAGCTCCATTTGCGGAAGGGCCGGCAAGAGAGACAGATAAGTCACTAGGGAATCATGACGTGCCAGTTGTCATAGTGTTGAGGAAGATAGGGCTGAAGAAATCGAAGAACTCGAACAACTCGAACAACTCGAACAACTCGAACACAGAAAACACCATCCTTGTTCCAGAAGTGGCAGCAGCAGCAGAGTGAGCGATCGTGCTTTGATTCATGGCCGAGGAGTATGTTAATAATTCCTTGTAATCCCCAGACAACATCTTCGTGCCTCATCAAACCAAGGTTTGTCCCGTGATATTCCACTCGACTTTACTGATCCCATAATTGCCCATGAGCCAAAGGGTAGTCAGATTCTCGCCTGTCCAGGCAAAATTTTGGACAGTGTAATTAGTCTGGATGCGAATGAGAAGCTGTCCGACGTCGTCTAGCACGTCGACGCCATGCCCGGAGCCAGTGAGCACGAGACCTTCTCGGCTGACCTTCAATCCATCAGGGACCCAGTCTTGAGCAAGATAGAAAGCACGCTTATTTGAAACTCGTGTGCCGTTATTGGCAACATCGAACGCGTAAATGGTTCGCTTGCCCGTGGTATTGAACGTTGTACCCTGACCTCGGTAGCCAGGAGCGATGGCGCCGTAGACAGCGCCAGTATCCGAGATGTACAACGTGCTCCCATCAGGACTGAAGGCGATACCATTGGGTTGTTGAATCGTATCATCAATGAGGAATACCGCACCGCTTTCTGGATCAAATCGATAGCTTGCGGCGGGCAATTGCGGCGCAGTGTCTGTCAGTCCATTGAAATAGCTGTAGTCAGGATCCGTGAAGAAGATATCTCTTGATGTTGGATGGACCACTACATCGTCCATATTGTTGAAGTAGAAACCGAAGTAATTGTTCAACAGCACTGTCGACTGATTTGTAGCAGGGTCCACTGTACGCAGCGAGACTCTTTGCTCGATTCCTCCCAGACTATCATTGCCTCCACTAGCCGCAAAGAGAAGCTGGCCGTTGCGGAAAGTGCCGCCATTTGGCGCGTAGATCGGAGGGTTAGGAGTGTAGTTGCTCAAGGTTGGAGGGTCTTGGTTAAGATCAACTAGGAGCTGAGGCAAGACGCCTGTGGGTGGTGCCAGCTGAGAGATGAAAAGGAGGTTCTGCTTTGGAGCATATATTGGCGCCTCGTGGACGGCACTGGAAACCGAGAACATAAACTCATAGCTTGGATTATCGCCTAGGTATTGCAAGCCTCGTTGACGATCAAAGACAACAAAATCAGCGGTCTTGAGGAGGTCGAAGGTTGACGCGTTGCCAACACTAGTATTACGGTAGTCGTAGTCAGCTTGGTTATTCGAGATTGACCGGTTGAAGTGATACGGCAACACTGCGCTCTATCGGATGTCAGTGTTTACCAACGACATTCTTTGTTGAAACCGTACATATTTGTTGACACAGACAACGCCCCCATTGGAACCGCAATGTTCCACTATTGGCCTAGTCACACCAGCTGGTTGGACCTGGGCCGCCACTGCAGCCGCCAGAATCGCGGCGAGGATACTTGTAGATGGCTTCATGGTGATTATCTGGTCACTTCCTGAGAGACGGCAAGTCTGGGAGGAGATACCAGACCCGATGGCGGGCGCGAGCTTTTCAACCGAATCCTCTGCTGCGGGGTTGGCACTTTTTCTCTCTTAGCTACCAGGGCATGATGAGGAGTAGCTGCATGGTTGCGCGTCATACCTCGCACCGGTGAGTTCTTCGTGGAATAACCCGGGCACGGTGAAAAAGACCTGTCGATCTTTGGCTGGCGTACCTGAGTTGGGGAAGAGGCGTGGAAAAAGCGCGGCCGATCTGCAGTGCATACCTCCGACTGGGTGTATGACGGTAGTGGTGTTCCTGATGTTGTGGGGTTGAGCAGAAGATTTGCGGAGAAGCTTGTCGAGTAGCAATTGCCGGGTCGGCACTCAGGTCCGTATAAAACCGTACGGTTGCCGACTGTACAACTTTTGGTGGAGGTCTCAAACCCCCAATCAGCATGCATGCAGGAAACAGATCAAGGTCAACGTCTTGCTTGAAGTCCTGTTGCGTCTTCGATCCCGACGTTTGTAACAGCAGCAGGATTTAGCGATTCGCCAACGATATTGGCAATCACCTTGGCTTTGGCACTAGCCTTCGCAATTCGGTCATCAAAGTCCGTTACTGCTTCGTCCGAGTTGTCTTTGGCCACTGTGATGCCATCAGACGCAGATTGTAGGCTATCGACATGTTTCCGAAGTCGCGTATTGTCTGGAAGGTGGGGGAGCGCCACCACGTTTTCGTCCAATTTTCCTGATGCGATGGACCTCGGCGTTGCGAAAGGACTTTGTTGATGGCTTGTTCCCGTTTGGACTTCTCGTTGCGACGGCCGGAATCTGCTTTGCCAAACAAGGCCTCGTCCATGCATTCTGCCGAGTTCGATGGCCTTTTCGTAGCCTTTCTCAATCCCAAAGACCTTACCTTCGATCATGCCAGCATATTTGCTGTCGGCCACTCCGGACTCATGTCCTTGTTGATAGAAATCATTCTCGAGCTCCAGCAGATCGTCGAAGAGATCTGGTGCCATGTTACCGTGCCCAAGATATCAGGCAGTTTGACCGTGATCTTGACAGCAGAGCGGGAAGCCAGGGGTCCTGCTAGTCAAAAATCCCTTTTGCTTTTCAAGGCTGTTGTCGACAGTCTGCACAGATTGCTAGCCCTCTCGCGTGACTTCTAGATGCAGCTGGACGCCTGTATGACAAATTTGAGGAAGAGAGGCGTGAAAGCCGGTGTTGGGTTTAGCGCCTGGGCAACGATTAGATTAAGGAACTCGCCGCCACAAGTGCCTGCGGGGGCAATTTGACTCATTCAATATGACACAACCCGGCGCCGCCTTTAGCAATCACTTTGTACCATATGCGCGAGGCTGTTTCCCTCAAACCAACAGCTTCTAGACATTGAAGACTCCTAATCTCTATCTACCTTGCGAGCTGTTCTCCGGTCACCTGCCAAGGGAGTTCAAAGTCGGCCTCATGCCAACCACGCCCGTTATGGGCTCCGAAAAGATCCTCCCACAAGAGGGCCAAAGAAATATTCTGATTACTTCTGCGCTACCATATGTGAACAACGTATGTCTTCTGCACCTCTCTGAGGACTCGTGACTGACCAGTGTCATAGGTACCACACTTGGGCAACATCGTGGGCAGCGTACTGAGTGCCGACGTCTTTTCCAGATACAACAAGGCTCGCGGCCGACCAACCCTCTTCGTATGCGGAACCGACGAGTATGGAACAGCTACCGAAACGAAGGCCTTGGAAGAGGGAGTAACACCGGAAGAGCTGTGTGCAAAGTACAACAAAATCCACGCCGAGATTTATGAGTGGTTCGAGCTCAATTTCGACATCTTTGGTCGGACGCCCACGAAACAACATACGCAAATCGCGCAAGAGATCTTCCTACAGCTCCACGCCAATGGCCACTTGACGGAACATGTCAACAGACAACCCTTTTGCGAGAAGCACGGGAAATTCCTGGCAGATCGCTTCGTCGAAGGCACGTGTCCAAAGTGCGGCTACGACGACGCTCGTGGAGACCAGTGCGATAAGTGTGGCAGTCTACTCGATCCTCTGGACTTGATAAACCCTCGTTGCAAAGTCGACGGTGCGACCCCTGTTACAAAAGAGACGAAGCACACATACCTCCGGTTGGATGAGCTTCAAGCAAGAATCGAGGAGTGGTCACAACGTTCAATTGAAAAGGGCGGATGGTCAAGAAGTGCGAAGGTCATTACCGAAGCATGGTTGAAGCAAGGTCTGAAAGAAAGAGGCATTACTCGGGACTTAGCCTGGGGAGTACCTGTTCCACTTCCAAGTTACGAGCACAAAGTCTTGTATGTGTGGTTCGAGGCATGCATTGGCTATCCCTCCATCACCGCCAATTATACCGAAGAATGGCAGAAGTGGTGGAAAAATCCCTCGAATGTGCAATTGTATCAATTCATGGGCAAAGACAACGTTCCATTCCACTCCGTCATCTTCCCTGGATGTCAGATGGGCACTGGCGAGGAATGGACTCAACTACACCACTTGTCGTCGACCGAATACCTCAACTACGAAAATGGAAAGTTCAGCAAGAGTCGTGGCATAGGGGTCTTCGGTAACAATGCAAAGGACACTGGGGTGCCTCCCGATGTATGGAGATATTACCTGCTTAAGAATCGACCCGAGTCAGGCGATACCCAGTTTGAGTGGCGCTCATTCATCGACGGCAACAACTCCGAGCTCCTGGCCAAGCTGGGGAACTTTGTCAACAGAGTCATCAAGCTTGTCAATTCTCCCAAAGCCTACGCAGGGGTCATCCCGGATTTCGACCAGCATAATCTACCTTCCTCTTTCAAGGAGCATCTGGATGAAATCACGGAGCTAACGAAACAGTATCTGGCTGAGATGGAAGCCGTTCACCTCCGCAATGGCCTCCTTGTTGCCATGAAAATTGCAGAGGCGGGCAACGGCCTGATTCAGGCACACCGACTCGACAATTCGTTAATAGCGAGCGACCCAGCTCTTGCTGCCGCCGTGGTAGGGACGGTAATTAACTTGATCTACCTCTGCTCAGCGATCTTCGAACCTTATCTCCCAGCGACATGTGCGTCGATACGCAAACAGCTAGATGCCGGTTTCCTACAAATTCCGTCCGAAGAAGACCTTGCAACAGGGTGGTTGCCGACATATATCAAGCCTGGCCACAAAATCGGAAAGGCAGAGTACTTGTTCACCAGGATCGACGAGAAGAAGGCAGATGAGTGGAGGGAGTTGTTTGGCGGTAATCAGGCTGAGCGTGAGAAAAAGAAGAAGGAAGAAGCCGAGCTTGCGGCCAAGAAAGCAGAGCAGAAGCAGAAGGCTAAGGCGAAGAAAGCTGCTCAAAAAGCTGCTAAGGCTGCAGGAGGGGAGACTGTGGAAAAGACTGCCAAAGGTGGTTCTAAGGGTAAGGAGTTGGCCAACGGTGTGCTCGAGGTCGGGGAAGATGCTGCCGTACAAAAGGTGACAGATGGAGTCGCCCAGGTGACTTTACCAACATCCTGAACTGTTCTGACGCCATGTGACACTCGCAAGAAGTGTAGGCTAGATATCGGGGGAGACGGATTATGCGACATGAAAGAAAAGCTTTGGGTTCGGACGGAGTCCTTTTTGTTCGTCATGAGGCCCTCAACGGTCTAAGGGAGCTTGGTCAGGAAACTTCTCTGCTACAAGCAGAGCAAAAGAAGATACCCGGGTGGCAGGCATCAGATGAAAGACGACGCAGTAGATGTAGAAGACTCGCCAAATAGTATTGAGAGAGGTTATCATATCCGAAGTTCTGGTCGTCTCCTCAAATTATTTCCTACGAGGCATGTCTAAATCAGTTTCCTCCATTGCATAGAGACACTGGTCGGTCTTGGTCTCCTGCGATTTCGACCCTCTTTAATATATGAATACTCGAATACTTGCGAGACTGAAAGCCCTCTTGCTGGCCTGCGAGCCTGATAGACCGAACAGACCCGGAACAAGTGCTTCGCCGTATTGCCACTTTAGCGTCACTTGCGTCGCCGTACATAAGGCTTGGCAACTTCAAGTTCGACTTTCGCGATTCCTCCGCAGGCAAGTGAATCGCGTGAACTGTCGCGTCTGCCTTCAACAGCTCCTGCCTAACATAGGGACTCTTATTAATATCGAAAAGTTTGCACATCTCGAGGATAGTCAGACCGGAGCCATAACATCTTGCAAGTCGCATCTGAAAGCGGTCGATACCCGGCAAGATGTCAGGCCTGTTTGGAAGCGCGGCCTCAACCACTGCTGCCTCAAGCACAACTGGAGATGTCTCGAAAGATGTCGCTTTAGTACAACCACCCGAGGACAGTATATCGGGCCTTGCATTCTCTCCACAAGCCGACTTCCTCGCAGTCTCATCATGGGACAAGAAAGTCAGAATATACCAGGTAAACGAACAAGGCCAGAGTGAGGGCAAGGCGGCAATGGACTTTGACGCTCCAGTGCTAGGTTGTGCTTGGTCTGAGGTATCCACCATCGAGACAGCTTGGGCAAGATTTCTTGCTAACAGTAGTCCTAGGACGGTCAGAAGGTCGCAGGCTGCGGCGCCGACAAGACCTTCCGACTCCTCGACCTCGCCTCCGGCAGCATGACCCCTCAGACCCTCGTCGCCCATGAACAGCCCATCCGATCATGCTGTTTCGCAACCATAAACAACTCGCCCATCCTCATCACCGGCTCGTGGGACAAGACTGTGAAGTATTGGGACTTTCGATCACAAAACCCTGTCGCAACGTTGCAATGTCAAGAACGAGTCTACACGATGGATGTCAAGAACAAATTACTAGTCGTCGGCACAGCAGACCGATACATCAACATCATCGACCTCAATTCTCCCGAGAAGTTCTACAAATCCATGCAATCACCCTTGAAATTCCAGACTAGAGTCGTCAGCTGCTTCACAGACGCTACAGGCTTCGCCGTGGGTAGTATCGAAGGACGATGTGCGATTCAGTATGTCGAAGAAAAAGATTCGGCCAACAATTTCAGCTTTAAATGCCACCGAGACAATCCGAATACGACAGGACCAAATAGGGATGTCGCCAACGTTTATGCGGTCAATGCTATTTCCTTCCACCCTGTGCATGGCACGTTCTCGACGGCCGGTAGTGATGGCACATTCCACTTCTGGGACGGCAATGCGAAGCACAGGTTGAAGGGCTATCCCAATGTTGGCGCCCCAATTACCGCGACGGCATTCAATAGGCAGGGGACCGTCTTTGCGTATGCGGTGTGCTACGATTGGAGTCAAGGTTATCAGAAGAACACGCCTCAGATCCCGAATAAGATCATGTTACACGGGGTGCAGCCGGAGGAGGTCAAGCCCAGACCTGGAGGGAAAAAGCGATAGTCTCGCCGCGACTAGGTGAATTGACGAACATGATTATTGTTACCTTGGTTGGCTTTCCGCTCGAACGAACGAATAAACTCCTCACCTTCGAATGCGCCTGGCAAGTTAGCTTGTCTCAGACAGGCGACAAGATCAACTAGCCGGTAATACTCGCAGACCAAATGCAGATACTGCATCATGAGTCCCAAGACACGGGAGACCTGCGAGAACTTGCAGCTCGCCCGTCAAGCGAAGAACCACGCTCCTACCCAAACTGTGTACGAGCGCGGAACAGCTCAGTTACAGTTATGGGAGTAGTCGAGCCGACACGAGCACCGGACTGAGGATGAGAGTTGACTATCAGTACAAGGCTGGACAGACTGGCCCACCATGCATTTCGCACTGGCATTGTAACCTTAGATAGATGCACGAAATGAGCTCGACAACGAGATTCTCGTCGGAATCCATCTGCTGCATTCCATGGCGATACAGTACTCGTGAATGTTCGCGCCAATTCTATTAGCATCCATCTACGGGAACTTTTGAAGTGCAATTTCGAGCTCATTTGTGCCGTTCGTTACTCTACAGTTCTACAAAAGTCCATACAATCCAGACGGACCAGCGCCCAGCTTAAACCATTGATGCTTACCTCTCTTGTGGAAAAGCAGCAGCACCGTAAACTCCATAGCTTATGCCGATCTCATTCGAATGCATGCCCAGTCCTTTCCATATTACAAGTCCTTGACAGAGCCATGATGTTCCATTTTTCTCCCTGCTGGACACCGAACTCCAAGCCAAGCCAAGCCAAGTACAACACAGCACAGCACAGCACAGCACAGCACAAGACGATCTGGTCGCCCCGAAACCCCAATTTGCTCTGATTCCATCTTTTGCCGGATTCTCAATTCATATCCATGCCGTCCTCATCATCACCCTCGGTCTCTTCGGCGGTCTCGCTGGGCCGATGACTTCGACGTCGATACCTGTACCCACCACCAACACCGAACCCATCTATGCCGGCATCGTCGAGCTCTTCGCCACCAACGACTCTGCCCTCGGTGTCCACAACTTCACACAGCTCCATAAGACTCTGTCGACTGAGACTTCTGAACCCTTCGGTCCGCACGATGCGGCCCCAATTCATTAGGCAGAATCGTGCAGCTCTTGCTTTCAACCACTCCTCTTCAGTCCGGCCAGCGCGCTCCCAGATCACTGCGGCGTGCTCGATGTCGATCTCGCGGGAGAGTCGGTTGACGCATAGGAGACGAAGCTTCGGCATGTCGTACAGGTTTGCCATGACCAACATGCCGGCAACATCCGTTAGATCACGGCAGAAGATAGGATGAGGCGCAATGCTGTCCGTGTACAAGTAATAGAGGAATGCGCGGACGACGGAGTACGGCTCCGGGATGTGCAGGCGAGACGTCTGGTATTCGATCATTTTTGACGCGTAGAGGCGCTTGAAGTGTGGCCAGCGGGCTTGGAGAATCATCTTATGTACGTGTATCGGTTGGGAGACATTGCTCCCTTCGGACACAAGCATGTGACTGCTAGTCGAGTTGATTGAGAATCTGGCCTGAGAGCCGGTCTCAGATACGTCGTCGTCGTCGGTCGGTTCTGTGTTGGCGGTGATGATGAAATCACTCATACTGTTCTCGGGAGGTTGGTCGAAGATCGCCGCAAGGTCAGAACCAAGACCGGTGCCACCGCTGAGGGAGCTGGAATGGACGGTTTGTCGTTCGGAGGCGAGAATGCGGTTCTGCTCAGATGAGAGTGTCGAGTCCTGGGTGCCGAGAAGGCCGTACCTCTTGAGGTCGACAGCTAGGACTTCGCTCAGCTGCAAGTCTTGCCCTGTGGCAGAAGCATCTTCAGCAGCAGACCCGAGCAGCCAGACCTTGGTGCCGTCCTCGTTGATGGTGCAGTAATGCCACTTGTAGCCAGGTTGGAAGAGGTCAGGCCCTTCAACCAGGCGTTGCCATCTTAGAGAGTCCAGCTCGAGGGATGATAGGTTGCAGTCGCTGTGGCGGATGGTTGACGATGGTGTTACAAAGTCAAGTAAGGTGCCTGAAGAGCAGACATGGAAATGTGTGCCTGAAGACTGCAGCGGTACGTGAGGACCCGAGACGAATTTCAGCGACGATATCGCCCCTGGGGCTGTCGGTTTTTCTCTGCGGGATGACCGAATATGGACACTACCTGAGTTAGCCGCGTAGGTGTCAACGCGATCGGCTCTGGTGGGGTGCAAGAAAGGGTCCGATCGACTGCTTGGTATCCGGCCCATTGTAGGGTATTGCCTTGCGGAACCAGACAAAGCAGGGCATCCTTTTAGATCCAGCCACCATATCTCAGATGGACGTTCCATATCGGCGCCCAAACCACCCAGAACCCATAGCCGACCACCCCATATCCAGGCACTGTGGTCGAATCTTTGGACGAAACTCCATGTCTTTGACCATGTCCATGTTTTGAGATCCAAATAGCAAATGTCGTCGAGGATGTAGTTAGCTTCGCCCGTCAGACCGCCAATGACGAACAATTTGTCCTCATAGACAACGGCGGCATGCCTGGCACGACCTTTCGGCACAGGTCCCTGGACTTCTGGCTGAGTCCAGTGATGATCCTTGAGGTTCAGAATGACAACATCGGATAGGTATTCCCGGTGTTCATTCTCTCCACCATAGACAAGGAGTTTGTCACCCTCGTAGAGCGAGGCTGAGTGTCCCATACGAACTCCCGGAATGTCTCCATAGTTGTCCACTAGCGCCCAATTTAGCGTCTTCAGATTCAGCTTCAGCACGTGATTGTAGACTTCGTCCGTAAACTGGTCGAAGCCTCCAAACGCGTAGATCTGCTCGTTGCCGCAGTATGTCACGGATGCATTAACCAAGCAAGCCGGCTTCTGACCGGTCGTCTTGACAATTTTTGGTTTGAGGCCATCCTTAGATGACAGGGCGTTCTTGGCGGGGCTGGTCGGCATCAGGTAAGTGGAGCCAGTTGGGGTGTTCGAGCCTGATGCCGTTCTAGAGCCAGAGGACAGGTTGTTGAAAAAGACAGAAGTTGCGGGCAGGGGAGTTGGTTGGAAAATATGAGGATGTGGTGTCGAGGGTTGTGCCATCATACGAAAGGGAGTCAGGAGCGGCTGCGGAAGAGGGATGTGGTGTCAGTGGCCATCCACTCCAGAATGAAGCAGGTCGGCCCAAGGGCTGAAGCCCGAGAATATGTCTGCGAAAAGTCGACAGCTGGAGGATCGATCATGCGTGTAATCTCGGAGACAGAGAGGTGGCCTTGAATGGACCAAGTTGAAGAAAGTTAGGACAAAAGGGCTGAAGTTGATGTTCGGGTCGGAACAATATTTCGCCTTTACACAAGCTTGGCGATGACATACTACGTAGTAACGTGGATCTGACACGTGACCGTCTCACCAGCTCGCCGGCAACGGCTGCGGTTGCCCTGTGCGACTTGGATTTGCGATAAATATGCTGCTCGCTTCTTGCTGAACGCTTCCTTTTCTTCTCTTACCACAACCTCCTCTACGTTCCTCAATCCCATATCTTCCTCTGCCACATACATCATTGCTCGCGCATAGCATACGGTCCATTAGATCATACTTGCATCTGCTAGAATTGGTCGACCCCCCGACTGCATCGCCTTGCCGTGCAAAGCTCGGTTATTCAATCATCCAACAATTACAGCGAGACACAGAGACACATACTAACCAACATCACGACAATAGCGTCTCAGGATCCATTCAGTTGAGCATCTTGGGATATCACTGAATTGCTGGACTCAGGCACAGACTTCCACGACAAGTTCTGGTTGCTTAATCGACAACATTACTAACCCTTCGAGATCTTGATTGATTCTCGAGACTTCGATCGAAACATTAGATTGTCCATTCGATCATTAACAGATCACACATCATGGCAACTACAGCCGTATCAACCCCTCTGAAGAGCCATCATGGCATCTTCTCCACAAAGACTGCAGGTGGCAGAATGCCTCTCACCCCTTCACCGAGAAGCAGGACAACCAGCATGCCCACCAATGTCTCCGCAAAATCATCCCCCTCTACTCCTCTGCGCAAAGACCAATCCATCCACAAGTCGGATCCCTCTAGCTTCTTCTCTCGATCCACCTCGCGATCGGTTTCCAAATTTGCCTACGCAAGCTCCCCAAAGTCCAACATCGCCAAAGTTAGACACTCACCGAAGCAACTCGAGCTTGGTGTGTCAGAATGGACCTTGACTGGCACTGGGCCAAACACCTCCACGCCATCGAGGGAGAAGTCTAGAAAAGAGACTGCTTTGAGATCAAGAGTAGGAAAGACCACCATCAGACTTCCACACAACACTGCAGACCGTTTCATCCCGAATCGCACTGCGAGTGCCGGTCTTGCCACCGCAGGTGCAGCCAAGCATGATGAGAACACTCGTCCTCGCACTGCTGACGGATCTATTGTCCTAGCGAATGCTGCCAGTGCTTTTGATATCTCTGCCCGAGGAGCTGATGCAGACATCACTACTGCTCTTGAAAGCCTCGGTCTAGAGGACGACAACACAACTTCATCTTACACCCGCACAAACCCAGAATCAACCGCATACGAATCAACTTTAGCTTCTGCCTGCGGCATTTCGACCAGTCAGCGGATCCTCGAATTCAAGCCTGCTCCTCCTGAGTCATCCAAGCCTATTGATCTCCGATCCCAATACAACCGACCACTGAAGCAAGCTAATGCTCAGTCTGCACAGTTCCGCCGACGCATTCAATCTGCTCCAGAACGTGTGCTTGATGCACCCGGACTTGTCGACGACTACTACCTCAACTTGCTCGACTGGAGCGCAGGCAACCAAGTTGCTATTGGGCTCGAACGCAATGTCTATGTCTGGTCGGCTGAAAGTGGCACAGTGAGCTGCTTGCTGGAGACTTCTCCAGATACTTACATCAGCAGTGTGAAATGGTCTGGCGACGGCGCTTATGTTGGTGTGGGCCTCGGTTCCGGGGAAGTCCAAATCTGGGACGTCGAAGAAGGTACCAAGCTTCGAAGCATGTTCGGTCACGAAACCCGCGTTGGTGTGATGGGATGGAACAAGCACACTTTGTCGACCGGTGCCCGCAGTGGCCTCGTCTTCAACCATGACGTCCGTGTCGCTCAACACAAGGTTGCCGAGCTCGTATCCCATACTTCGGAAGTATGCGGCCTTGAATGGCGTTCCGACGGTGCTCAACTTGCGACCGGAGGCAACGACAACTTGGTGTCAATCTGGGATGCTCGATCACTCGCAGCTCCTAAGTTTGCCAAGAAGAATCACCGTGCCGCAGTCAAGGCTCTTAGTTGGTGTCCATGGCAATTGAACCTTCTGGCAACTGGCGGTGGCTCTAATGACCGACATATCCACTTCTGGAACACGACTACCGGAGCCCGCGTCAACAGCATCGACACTGGATCACAAGTGACCAGCCTGAAGTGGAGCAACCATTACCGCGAGTTGGTGAGCTCTAGCGGCTTCCCTGATAACTCATTGAGCATCTGGAGCTATCCTACCTTGGTGCGCAATGTGGAGATCCCTGCACACGAAACTCGAGTCCTTCACAGCTGTCTGAGCCCAGATGGCCAAATGTTGGCAACAGCGGGTAAGTTACTCTGATGTGGGATGTTGGTCTTAACGAAATAGGCTAACCTTCTTGTACAGCGGCTGATGAGAGCTTGAAATTTTGGAAAGTATTCGAGCGGAAAGCGGGAGTCACTGCTTCAGCATCCAGAGAAGGCGGCGTCGGCAAAGGCGGGGCAATGGCAAAGCAAATGACTATTCGGTAATGCTGGTCTTTGAGACTACGACCTTGACCTCCGTCGACCAGAAATGGACTGGTACTTCTTCTTTTCATGCAAGGTGTTGGGGGCGGATTGGGGCCATAATTTGGAGAACGATGATAATGAGGCTCTTCTTCTTGAGGACCATGACATGGATGGTTCGGTTATGATGATTTTGTACTGTACGACTTGATTCCTGCTTGTTGGATTTGATGATGAGTCAAACATACAACCTCGCACTGGGTCTATCCAGGTCCAATACTGCGAGTTAGCTAGCCAGTTGACACAGTACTCCGTATGTCAGCTTGTTTGACCAAAAGTTCCCCGGCTTCAAGGACGTTTACCATAGCACAATTGTTCATGAAGGCGGCAGCTCAGCCAAGGCGTCCTCGGCCCAACGAGCATTCAAGTCCATGTATGATCCGGCGCTTACTTGCAGCAAGGAGAAGCCTCTCTATTACCATTGGCAGAATCGTTCAATTCGTCCTTGATGGTGTTGGCTCCGCTGGCGATGCCTCTTTTTCCCTATTCGTTGCTTTCTTTCTATCCTGCATCTACCCCTGGTCCTCCAGCCGCACCCTCTTTTCCTCTCCGTCGGCGCTTAAATCTGTCTCATGCCTGGCTAAGCTGCAGCCATCTCGTCCTAGTTGTCGCTCCCTCAAATCACATCGTCTGGCGACCGGTGATCCTCTGCACCTTTGGGCACTTTGAATGCACCTCCTCTCCCGTCTATCACCGTCAAAGCTTCAGCTTGAAGCCTCCACCAGCTCGTGGCAGCTCAGGGTTTTTGATCGTCCCCGTCTCCGAACTGCTGGTTCCCAAATTCCCCGGTGACCTGGACATGCGTCCCTGCCCCTCCATACGGAGTACTGTTGCAGCATTTCGACCAACAGCTATTGGCGCCTTCCAGCCTGCCCACCACTCACATCTTCTTCTCGACGCGCTGCTCCTCCTGAAACTACCGGACTCACATGCCACTGAGCTTAGCATCACATCCCTTCGAAAGCTAGGCGCGGCGCGAGTCTGACTTCGCAAGTGTGAAGCATGCTGGTACCTCCCACTATTGCCTTCCGCCTTCGTGCGCAATGCTAGCACATCCATAAAATGCCAACAGCGCAAACCCATGGCGAGCTCCATTAGCTCTAGCAATGCACCCGAGCCGAATCATATGCTAGGGTATTGATATCTTAGCTCGACCACTATCCGTGCTTCTTACCTTAACACCAAAGATCAGGCCTCCACCAAGAAAAAGGTATCGCCTACCATCCATTATTCGAGCCTCTCCATTGACAGCTGCTCTGATGGTATCTTCCAATTACTTTCAACCACGTCCTTCGAAGTTCTGTCTGAGGCACGCATACCTTCGCCGGCCTATGTGCTCTCCCAGCCCTCCTGGTCATGCTCTGGCACATGCATTTGGCCCCATTGATTTATTCCCACACCCTCCAACAACAATTTCTGTGCTAACCCGCATCGCCGCACGCGACCTGTTCAGCGACCATAACAAGCCCGTACTGCTCTGACCGGTCTCTGTCGACATCCAGCAGTCAATTTTTTTGGCAGCGGAATAGTCACCCTTGTCGTCCGCCGACCATTGTGCCGGACACACCTGCACGCAAAAGAGCCAACCTCTTTCGCCTAGGCGCAGTCAACCTCGAGATCCAGGTTGATTGTGCCGCAGGCCGAAAGAGCGCACAGAGATGATGGCTGTGAGAGCTCCCTTAGGGTTCAGTCCTTCGACGAATCCCCTGATATCACCATTTTCACCGTTTGGCGAGCATTCGCACTCCCCTCGACCACGAAGTGCCGCGCCTCCAGAGCAACCGATGTAGGCTCAACCCACACGATGCTTGGAATTACTGCTGATGTTGACAGGTCCGCGACCGAGAAAGATGTCTCCGCGAGCGATAATCATCTCAAAGCCCCGCTAGCTAACTACATTACCTCTCCCCAAGATCCCATTGCTCCGTCTCCTGTCAACTCGGATGTCACAAATTTCGAAGACGTAGACGAAGAGGTTGAAGAGGAGGGGACAGAACCAAGCTCTATGACAGAGGTGCCTTTCAGTCCCAATGCCACCCAGGGAACGGAAGTGACGTCTCCGCGTAGGGAGGGAATACATCACATCGCAACCCCACTGAGAGTATGTGTGATATTCGAGTTGTTGCTTTCTTTTCGAATGACTTACTGATGCTGTTTACAGGTCGCGACCGGACCGACACTGGAACAACAATTTCGACAAAGACTAGACGAGGAGAAGGAACCGCAATCAGTCATTCACATCCCGACAGGGTTTGGCAAATTTGTATGTCTACTGCAGGGACGCTGGGTCGACCCTAACTTACGCTTCTTAAGCCCAGTGATCAAGCATCGCAATCCCAAAGTGAGGAGGACTTCAAGTCAGTGGATGAAGAGCCGGAACAACCAATGGACGCAGAGACGACGACCAAGTCATCGACCCAGCAGAAGGACGGTGAAAGGGCACGAGCCGACTCTACCGATTCACAGGCTTCGGACTCCACTATCAAGTCGACGGTTCCTGAGTCCAAACCACCTGCTAAAGTCTGCTGTTCCTGTGCAAGCTCCGTAATCTTGAAAGCTGATTACCGCAGGCTCACGATGTCCCCATGCCTCCTACACCTCTTCAAACGTCCCTCCCTGCTCTTCCTTTGCACGATTGGTCAAGGACGCCGAGAGCACAGACTAGGCAAGATCTCAGCTCACTGAGTCGTCCCGGCTCAAGCCTGGCCAGTAAGCATTGCTCACCAGGATCTCGTCCAATTTGACTGACAGGCATCTAGGTATCATGGAAGGCGACGATACTGACCATCCAAGTACTGACGAAACAGGCGACGAAAGCCATATTGGCACTAATATCCTGCGTGACGCGGAAGCTGAAATCAACGCACTGCGTAATGCGCTGTCCGAATGTTGGACGTTGTGTAATACCCTGGCCAGCCTGAGCCATATTCACCGTGAGAGGATATTCAACTTTTCTGGAAGAGGTGATATGCAAGAACAAGCATGGAAGTCGTGTTGGAAACTGTGTCAGAACCTCTACAACACTCGAGACGAGAATGCTCCAGGCTCATTCTCACATGGTTCATCACGACCAACACTGGACCTTTGTCGAGATTTCTGTCAAACACTGTTCGAAGTTAGAGTGCGCGACAACGAAACTGCGGATTCGGTGTTGAGGGTCAGCTTCGAGCTGAACAATCACCTGTACAACACTCATGATCGGAGTCTACCAGAAGCATTTCGCGAAAGGACACTCGATTTCTACATCACTCTATGTCACCGACTAATGAAGCAAAAGACGAAAATGGCGGAAGAGACGGATTCCTTATTGAAAGCTTGCTGGTCGTTGGCCGAGATGCTGTTCAGTCTACGCCAGAGCCGGAGAGAAGGCAAGAAGCCAGATGAAGAACTTCTTGGATCAGCCATACAAGCCTGTTGGGAGCTGTGTGATTTGTTCAGAGAGGGCTGGACGCAGATTCGTCCTGAAAGAGGCACCCCGCGACCGAGTCAAACAACATTCACGCAGGCTTTCAATCAGGCCAAGCGGTCTGGCTTTGCCCCTTTGGACGAGAACGGAAATCCTAAAATGCTCCCCGAAACGCCAACAACCATCTTCGAAGACACAATCACCACGATCTCGCCTGATGAAGCGCCCATACCCAATATCCTTGTCCTTGGTGCGGAAGAAGCCTCAAGGGTGTCCAGCTCATCTGCTTCATCAACCTCTGCCCCTGTTCAACGACAGGTCTCACCAAACCCGCCTACCCGACATCCTCACTCTGCCAAACCAGCACCTAATACCGCAACTCACAGGTGGTCGTCGAACTCCTCAGTCCTATCTCTTCCAGCATCAGCTGTTTCCGAAGGTGGCATGAATCCAACCTCTGCAACCACGGTTTCTACTGTTCGCACCCCAGCCGAAGATCCGACTCTAATCCTTTTGAAAGCCTTGTTTGTGAAGGCTGCTCTCGCTACTGGTCGAGGTTATACACGAGCATCACCTGATCCTAACCTCAATTCTCTGCCAAATTTTGTTAAGAATCTGCCCGATGACGCATTTGGCAATCAAGCTTGGCAAGTGACTTTGCTAGAGAGCTACCGCAAAGCTGTCATGAATGACTCTGGATTCCGAAACCTGGGCGTTGCCGGCACATTAGGCGAACGGGGAAGAATCAGTGCTGTGGAGGTCGCTCGAGCAGTTCGGGGCATGACCATCTGCGTGTACGGGTTCGGTTGGCTGCGAGACCTCTATCGCCATGTCTTCGGCTTCTATGTCGAGGAGGCTCTCAAGGCAGGTGAGGCTCATGCTGGTAGCCAGCGGAGAGCACATCGCCAGGCAGCGCCCGCTGCAAGTCTCGTTGCTGCTGTTATGCATAACATTACAGGAACGCCTTCCAGTGCGGGTGGTGGCAACGCAGGTGGCGGTGGCAGTACTAATAGAAGTTCAAGTACCAATGGACACGGGCGAAGGACGGTGAGCCAGTGAAGAGGCTCCATGGTGGCGCATGATGCCCATATGTCCTACCTGGTCTCCCGGAATCGTACCCTGATATGGCCCCGTCACGAACAAGGCTTGCTAGCAGGCACCAGCCACCTATACCTCGGGGTTCGCGGTCTTGGAACATTTCCTCTTAAATCTCGAATACCCCGTGCACTGCCATCTCTTGTATATATACTTGGCACCCAGCTGGCGTCGGCAACCACTGAATTGGACTCGAACATCCTAACGAAGATACCACGAGAACAGCACCTGCGGAAAATGGGCCTCACATAGATATTTTACATAATAGCATATACTCAAGCGTAATGCGCACATTTTGCACGATTACTCTATTGCTCTTGAGGATCATAATCATGGGAAGGCCTGCGAGACTCTGTCGTCTCAGACAGTAACACGCTTACGTGGCAATGCAACGGGCAACTAGAATCGTTGCAAACTCGAGGGAGTGAATTTGATGAATCCCGACGACAATTGTGATGTCAAACAAAGCCGCGTGTGGTCCTCAAAACGTTTCGTCGCATTTATCGGTAGTTGATCCACGCGGCTCGTTTGATTGAGGTCCTTTGACACCACCATCACCACCATCGATACGCCTCGATCGGCGTGGTCACTCTACTTTGGCATCATATTCGAGAAGTGGATGTATACGACGAATTCGATCGCACGATTACTGCAGAGGAAGTCGAGGATTTCGTGCGATGCCACGCAGATCCACACTAAATTCTCCGTTCCAGCAGACTCTCCCATGGTCCTCAATTTTCATGCTTGTCCTCAATTCTGGACGGCTGACTTGTGACATAAGAGTCATAAAAGGATCGTTGATGGAAGGACATATTTATTACATACGGGCCTGTCGTTCACGGAATCTGCGTGTGCGTGTGGTGTGCATACCATTTCCGGTTCATACTAAGTATCTCTTTTCTTGGGGTTTGCTTTTGCTTTTGCCCGTCTTGCCCTTTGGCATTATCGGAGACAATGGCAGCCGGCCTCAATCCATTGAACGTCGACCTGACTACCGCCGACCCTCGGGACGTGGTATGTGCCCTCGCACAGTCCGGCAACGAGTATAACGGACACATGGGGGCGAGGATCTCGTCTATATTCGTGCTTCTGATTGTCTCTTCGGCTGCGACAATTTTCCCAATCCTGGCGAAATGGTCGCCTCGACTACGTTTGCCGCTGTATGTGTATTTGTTTGCGCGGTACTTCGGCGCAGGGGTGATCGTCTCCACGGCCTTTGTGAGTTTCTCCGTGGTTTTTGGAAGCCGCGCACCCCCCCTGGCGCAAGCTTCTTATCTGTTGCTGTGCCGTACCGGTTCAGCCTCCTGACGATATCCAGATCCACCTACTTGACCCAGCATACGCTGAGATCGGACCAAACACTTGCGTTGGCATGACCGGTGGCTGGGCAACTTACGCCTGGTGTCCGGCTATAGTGCTGACTTCGGTCGTATGTGTCCTCCTTTCCGAAAGACAGTCGCATCCAACCACGCCTCTCATGATTTGTTCCCACGCACCATGGTACATGCTCCTGACAACTCGCAGATGGTGATTTTTCTGATGGACTTTGCGGCGGAGTGGTACGTCGAAATGAGATTTGGCATTGGAAACCCGCATCCAGATATCCAAGAGGCTATCACGAGGGAAGGAGAGCAACCCATGACAGCATCGACATCCGGTGGAGTAGGTATGGCTGGCGGCTTACCTGTGCAAAGAATTTCGGCCTATGAGAAACGATTTATTGAAGATACCGTTGATCTCGAGAACGCGGATGCCGACTCTGTGGCGGTACAGATGGCGTTCCGACAACAGATTGCTGGATTCCTGATTCTCGAGTTCGGCATCATTTTCCACTCGGTAATCATCGGGATGAATCTGGGTGTTTCTGGTGACGAATTCAGTACGCTCTATCCCGTGCTGGTATTTCACCAGTCATTTGAAGGATTGGGGATTGGTGCGCGAATGTCCTCGATTCCTTTTCGAAAAACGAGTTGGCTTCCATGGATTCTATGCGCGATGTACGGACTCACAACACCGATTGCGATCGCGATCGGGCTCGGGCTACGGACGACATATGACCCGAATAGTTACACGGCGAATGTTGTGAGCGGTGTGTTTGATGCGGTGTCGGCTGGGATCTTGATATACTCGGGACTGGTGGAGCTGTTGGCGCGAGATTTCATTTTCATTCCGCAAAGGACTAGGGACGGGAAAAGAATTGTGTTTATGTTAGTGAGCGTATATCTGGGGGTGGGGATTATGTCGCTGTTGGGACATTGGGTCTGATCAAAGCTGGCGTTGGTGGGCGACGAGGGCAGACGAGTTTGAGACTCTCCAGCAAACTCTGAGTCCCGCGGAATTATCGAGGACATCAACAGTCTTATTCAAAAACCACATGCCCTCGGAATCATTCTCGTGAGGAGAAGTCCATAGCATTTCGAATTGGCCTTGACATGCCTCGGCAAAGGGAACGTGGTCTGCTGAGATTGCGACGGTGAGACGCCATTTCGAAAGTGGTCGAGGTGAGGAAACAAAAAGTCACGTGAATTAACACGCTAGTGACTTTATGAGCAAGCGCAGTCTTGGCACTTCTGCGTCCTCGACTGGGTCCGCCCGCTTTTCACCTGCGACTTTTCGGTCTCACCTTGTCGCCCTTTACTATCAGACTGGTGTTGATTGTCAGACGGTTTTGACGGAGGCTGGAAGTCGTTGGAAAGGTCGAGTGGGAAGTTGCGCCATCTGTATGTCTTCACTGCCCTCTTTATTTCCCTTGTCATATCTGCCCCTCCTTTACACCCTCGGGTCGCTCATCCCCCTCTGCATCTATCCGCAAACGTCGCAGCTTGGCGGCTAACGTTCCCTAGAGGTCGCGGGCAATTGGGATATCCTTTCGAGCTTCAGTCTGAGCAGGTATGCCGGTCGCCTTTGACGCGCTTGCACGAATTCCCTCCCCTGTCGCTTATCGATCTGATAACTGGCCGAATCCATGACTGCCCTCCTTAAAGTTCCCTATCTTTCGCGCGTGCGATATGTTCAAGAGCGGGATCTGACATACATACTGTGTAGGAATTGAGGAAGAGCACCGATCTACACCATCAAAATGTCGTCTCTTTCGCGTCGTGCATGCTACAAGTGTGGCAATGTTGGGCACTATGCAGAAGTCTGCACATCGTCCGAGAGACTGTGCTACAACTGCAAGCAACCAGGTCATGAATCCAACCAGTGCCCAATGCCTCGCACTACTGAGAGTGAGTCAGACATCCAAGGCGAAGCGGTTCTCGTTGGCTAATTAGTGCTTCCAGCAAAACAATGTTATCATTGCCAGGGTCTAGGCCATGTTCAAGCTGACTGTCCTACCTTGCGCATTAGCGGTGGCCCTGCCGGCGGTCGCTGCTACTCTTGCGGTCAAATTGGCCATTTGGCTCGCAACTGCCCGACCCCTGGCGCTGCACCTGTACCTCGCCCTGGTCGTGGCGGCTTTGCTAACTTCCGAGGCGGTTTTAATGTCGTCAACAACCGGGCTGCCACATGCTACAAGTGTGGCGGCCCCAACCATTATGCTCGCGATTGTCAAGCTCAAGCCATGAAGTGCTATGCTTGCGGCAAGCTTGTGCGTCTGCCGTCCCCTGGGTTCTCGATCCCAAGCTAACAACTTGTAGGGCCACATCTCAAGGGACTGTACTGCTCCAAACGGCGGTCCTTTGAACGCTGCTGGAAAGACCTGCTATAAGTGCGGTCAACCAGGGCACATCAGCAAAGACTGCACTTCTGCTGAAACCAATGGTTCGGCTGCCGGTGTACCAAACGGGACATCTGCTGATGCTCCTGCAGCTCCTCCTGCAGCAGATACCTCAGATATTAATGCTACCGCTGCTGCCACTGCGGCGGTTGCATAGAGCACTGTTTCATCAGTGCTCGACCCTTGAGGCATTGCAGAGTCAGTTATTTTCCTCTTACCGACATCATTCTCCTTCTCTGCAAGTGCGATACCCTAAACCATGACAGTCTCTTCCGATTACAACCCTCCTCGAAATTTTGGTTTTCAGTTTTTGCAACTTTTTGAATTTTCAGCATCACGTCGCAAGTTCCCCGAGGCTGTCATGCCTTGACTCTTTATTCGGCGATACACATTGAACCGGCGACGCCTCTAACGTGTGTTCACGACCCCAACATGACACTATGGAAAAGTTCTTCACGAAACCATCGGCAGATTAAGGCTAGGGACCATCAAGTCAATGATCAATGAATTTCAGTACGGCCATGGCAGCCCAGGACTCTTTAGGATTCATCACGAGCACCCAGGTTTATGGCTTTTCCCGCGCAATTACCTTTGCTTTCCGCAACACCCCACGACCCATATCCACGAATTTACTTGCTTTCTGCTTTATCGGACGGCAGCATGTTCACGAACGAAGGATCTGACCCATGGAACGACACGCTTTTATTTGATGACGCAACCGGAGCAACGCCAATCATGAGACGAAGGAAGCGGGCGACAGCGAGCGGTAGACAAAGGCAGAGGAAAGGAACGAAGTGAAGCACAAGGCACCCGCGTTGAGAAAAGTTGTGCGAGTGACGACTTGACGGGGCGAGAGATAAGCAGAGTGAGTGAGCAAGCGATAGATTGGTTGATACCCTAGGCAGGCAGTCAAAGCAGAGAGAAAAGAATCAAGGTTGGCATCTGATCTCGTTTCATCGCCGATTCCCAATTGCCAATTGCTTCACCGTGCATTCAAAATCATGCCTTGGTGGTTTCTTACTCCATATCCGTATTCGCTATCACGCCGACCTACCGATACTAATTAGACCTGACGATTAGCCCTTTGCGGTCACCCCTTTGTTGAACAACACTCATACTTGTACCATGTCCTCGTTTCCTCGTTACCTTCCTACACTCACTCCTCGTTGCCCTCAGCCCTCTCAATGACAGCTGGTGCCTTGATTTCTCGACCTTTGAGGTACTCCAGGCCCTCGCCACCCTGTCAAACGGTTAGAATTCTTCCATCATGGACTTCAAATGCATGAGACTTACGTAGCTGATGAAAGGAGAAATCTCGACGCCCGCACTGTCCCCCTCGGAGACGACGAACGCACCTGCAGCGCGGAGCCATCGAGCGCCTTGATCCATTATATCTCTCTTGCTGGTTTCTGCATTGTCTTCGGACGAGCCCTTGCCGTTCTTCAATGGCGAGAACTCCTCCTTGCGCTCGACCTCCAAGCACGCGAACTTGTCCATGGATATGAAGGGAAAGACATCGAATACGAACTGCTCCAACTTGATACCATTCGGCTTGTCAGGCTTGACGGACTCGCCACTCTCCGTGTCCATGTACGGTATCTTCTTTTTCGCGACGTGATGGGGGAGCTTGTACGCCCATTCCTCCATGGTCTCGAGGAAGCGGAATGAATAGTAATGGTTGACGATGTTTGCGGCGCGGAATTTGAGTAGCCCTGTGCCGTCGGTGGCTTCGGCCATGGACTGGTCGATCTCGGAGTACTCGACGACATCGGGCTTGCCATTCTTTTGGACGATGAGGCCGACGGACTCGTTGGCAGCTCGCTTCCTGACAACTTTCGTAGCAATGTCAACGTCCTTGGAGGAGGAGAAGCCGATGAATACGGGATCCGCGACTTTGACCAGGCAGTTGTCAACGCAGTAGGCGTGGACGTGCTCAATGCCTCGTTTGCGCATGTCGGAGCGCGCTTCGGAGAGCATGAGTGCTTGATAGATACCGCCGTTACCGTCAGGTGCGACGGCGACTCTTGACTTGGATTCCATGAGGATCTTGCCTTCGTTGGATATGCAGGGGAGGACCCCCTGTTCGAATATGATCACATTCTCCTTTGCAAGGCCGAAGTACTTGTGTTCTTGGAAGAACTTCTCGGTAGGGCCGCGAGTAGGGCCACTAGTCATGACGTACCATGGTACAACAGGGTCTGTAGAGGAGGAGGCATGGTGTTTGGCAAGTTGTTGGACTTTCCAGATTCGCTCTGCTTGCATTTGAAACAGCGACTTGTGGCTTGGAAGACCGATATCGAAGCAGCCTTTGGGGTCTGAACTGCCTAGTCTTGTGCCCTGACCACCAGCCATGAGAACCACGGCAACTTTGTTGTTTGCAATGTGACCCAGCCCGGCCTTGTACCATTCATCTTGCTGGTCCTGGGAAGCATCGAGGAGAGAGGCGGTCGCGGAGGATGGGAGTGGTTCAATGGAGGGTTGTTCCTCGTCTGCGGAGGGTTTCGGAGGGTGAAGGGCTTTGTCTGCGAGGATATTGATGCGGTCTGGGTCAATGGACGAGAGCTGGTCGAAGAGGGAGGCTTTGCCTTGGACATCGAGACTGTCGTAGAAGGCGAAGACGTGGCCTTGGTTTGCTTTTTCGTACTTTTGTCGTAGTTCTTTGAGATCTTCTTCGCTGGGCGCCTGGGCTGGGGCTCCACGATCGGGCGACGTGAGATGGAGCTTCTCGAGGAGAGTGTTCATCATGTTTGCTGCCATTCTGCCTTCGGTTGTGGTGGCAGTCAATTGCGTGAAACAAGGGGGAGAGGAGAGGTTGGTGTTGTGCAAGAGGAAGATGAAAGTGATGAAAGTGAGGACAGGAATGGACAGGAATGGACAAGAGCTGGCTTGCCCACTCGTCAAAACAGCAGATGCGTTGCCCTGGATCGCCCGCTTCCTTCTTGCCCAGCTCGTTTCAGCTGTGTTCTAGCGCTGTAAGACAACAGAATCAGGCCAGGCGAGAGATCTCTCTGGATCACTCCGCAAGAATTCTCCGCAAACAGAGCGCAGCCTCAGCCTCGTGCTGACGTATGACAAGGCATTGGTCAAAGCAACGACCACCACTCACGGAGACAAGTAGATACGTACTGCTACACACGATGAAGGAAATACCAGATCCGGAGAAGTCAAGGTCATCACGGTACTACTCGAGGGACATCGAGTGACTTTTCTGGTATCACTAAGCTATGTTATACACATCACAAGTACAAATCGGTGGGAAGTTCATCTGCGCCCGTCCCGCCAGCGACCCGACCGGGGTGCATCTAGCCCACTTCTATCCCGGTTCCTGTCCCTATCTCCATCTCTGTCTCGATCCGACTTCTTGTACATTCTCTCGCGATCTCGGTCTCTATCATCATACCTGTCCCTCTCTCTGGTCCCCCGGTCGTCCCGGTACCTCCTGTCATTGTCCCTTGATGTTTCTCCTCGAGCATATTGTGGACTTTGGCTCCTAGAATGGCGGGCATCTCTTTTCCGACGGATATCGTCCTTGTCAAAGACCATTCGATAGTCTCGTCCATCTCGATTCGCCCCAGTTTGCTCTCGATAATGCCGCTTCTTTTCCAGGCTGGCAATGCCACCAAATCCGCCCGATTGGTTTGCTCTCTTCGAATTCGTAGCATCTCTCCACACATCTGAGAGCTTGGATACGCTTTGTGAAAAGTCCACATGAATGCGATGGTCATCGATCAGGACGCCTTGCATTTTGAAGTATGCTTGTTCACAGTCCTTCTGGTTCTCAAACTCAATGAACGCGTACTGGAGGCTATCTCCAGTGCGTTTGTCTCTGATGACTTCGCACGAAAGTATCTTCCCAAAACGACTGAAGATCAACTCCAGGTCTTCATCATGCGTAACCGGATTCAGCTTGCAAACAAACAGGACATTTTCAGGAGGTTTGACCTCCGCAAAAGGTAGGTCTCCTACCATTTCCAGAGTCAGCGCCTGAGCTCGTGCTTCACGTTCTCTCCGTAAGTTTTCCATGGCCGCCTCATCCATGTCCTCACTCAGTTCCTCGTCGTCGGCAATCCGAATGGTAGCGAGCTGCGCTTTTGTGGGAGCAGGACTTTCGTCTGGAACAGCCAAGCCTGGTGGATCATCATACGGGTCTTCAAGGATGATCGTATGTCGAATGCGTATATCCTTTAGAGGCCTGCCATTGGAGTCTGTGAAAGCATCATTGATCTTTTCGAGAGTGTCGAACCCTTCTACAACGATGCCGAAGGGAGCAGCTTTGCCATCAAGATAGTCGATATCTTCACCCAGGGTAATGATGAATTGACTGCCGGCGAGTCGCTCATCAGCATCTTTGGACGACGGCACTGTGGCCATACTGACCGTGCCACGCTGTGTATGCTTCAACTTCGGGTCGATGTCGGCGACGAAGCTTTTCTTCGAAGGTCCAGAGAGCAGACCCCATATCGAGCTTCCACCATCGCTATCAGGAGAGTCGGGCCCCAGCGGGTCTCCCGTCTGACAAGAGAAGCCTTTCTGGACCGTGTGAATTGGACAAAAATTGTAGTACTTGACTTTGCATAGTTTCAAGAAGCTAGAGTTTCGGTTAGTCTCCAGTTTGACATCGGGTGTTGTATGCTCACTTTTCACAGCACTTGGGGGCATTGTCTACGAGAAGGTCTATGACAATCTCTCCCAGCGATGTCTCGAGTAGAACGCTCATGACGAATCAAGCTTGGAAAACCGGCCCTGTTCTGCCTTCATAACCGGCTCATGTATCGACTGTTAAATCTTGTCTGATCGAATCCCTAGCCAGTAGTGCCACCACACATTGAAGCAGAAATCAATAGGCGTGAATACGTTGTCGGACCTGATACCTGGTCTAATGGTGTTGCCGTCCAACGTAAAGTACTTCGCAGCAGGCAGCGTCAATCTCGACCAGATGCCAAGAAATGGGCATATACGCTAGCTCTATTATGGACTAGCTCTTTTTCCGTCCACCGACCTTCAACATCGTTCAGCTCGCCGGCTTCTCCTTGGATCATCCAACATATCAGAAATTCTACCCTGCGTCTGTTTCGAAAAAGGTGCAACGCCGCAACACCTTTCTGCTGCATCGTGCAGATCACTGGGTGCCTTGAAAAACGCGCGTCACCTTCCACTCCGTGTTACCCGGGAAAGTTCAGACGCAAGACGACTGCATTGTATTGTCGTGGAAGGAAGTTGTCGACAGCGACGTGGCACCGCTCGATGGCGAGGGCTCCCATGCCACGACGATAAGCTTCAACCTTATCTAAGACGGCAGACTCCGGACTATGGAGGGGCTGAGCGTCCGCTTTGATCCATGAGGCTAGTTTACCCTTTTGGATCTCGGACTGGTACCTGCAACGACCGACCTCGTTGAGATGGGGGTTCTGTAACCTCACTCACGCTGTGCCAGTCCTATTCCTGTTGTCCATGAGCTGGAGACCAAGAGGAGTCTTCAGCTAGTCCAATTGGCTTTGGCTACCTGTCTTTTGCATGCTGTTCTATGCCAGAACTTGCCCCCAACGAATTGGTCCACATCTGCATATGCAACCATCCACGTCCTCTCTACTCACCTCTTCACAGTCATACAAAAATCCCCCGATTCTGTCACGAACCGCCTTCTTTGTCGGCTTCCACCCGCTTCGATGACAGGTCCAGCCACCCAGCCCTGGTCGGGCTGTTGACCTCCTTTCTGCTGCATCGTCCACTTTCTCGCACAACCTAAGCAAGGTGCAGAGGAGGCTTCGATCGGATATGGTCTAATTTTGAACTGGAGTTCCTAGATTTGTGCACGTGGACTGCAAATAACCTTGAAAATTCTCCTTGATCATCCGACGCCAGATTACAATCATGCTGCTGGTGTTCACCCATTTCTGCTTCCGCAGCCCGCCTCGACAAACGTTGCCACGTAAGTGTGTGTGTATGTGAGTGTGTGATGTGAGGCTTTGCTCAGTGAATGGGTGAAGCCCTCCCAGCACCCATTCGGACCTAGCATGACAAGTCTCCACCATCGTGCGTTTCTCTGGCAAAGCCTTCCACCAGGGTGTTGCGACACTGTTGGCCTTGCCGGGGCTCTCACCTAGGTCGTTGCGCTTCTGTACAACGTTTTCAGACTGAAAACTCAGACTCTGATTTGTCAAGGCTGCTGGGTGGTTAGCTTGTGGTAAATGGGGTCAATCTTTGACATCTCTGTGTTACGAGCAGGCCCTGCAATGTTCCGCAGGCACTTTGCAGCTGCTGTTCAGGGGCTTCCCTTGTGGCAGCAGTGCCAGCAACTCGATCCTACCTCAAACAAGCGGCATACTTCACTGCTGATGTCTGTCATGTGCTTGGATGGAGCTGGCAGCTTCTTGCATGAAATCTTCCGCAAATGCTTGTTTGTATTTCCGCCACCCACCCAAACGGGGCCGTTGAGCTACGTACCGGTCAGCAACTCCATACATTATCAGGCTCTGACGACTACCGGAAAAGCTCAGAGAGTTTGAGTACAAAGCCTGGAATAAGCACCCACCATTCGAAAATGGTTGTGCAGGCCGAAGATCAGATTAGGAGCTATCAGAATTTGGAAGTCTCCTGGATCATATCCATCCTCAAGCCTACGTCGAATTCCATTGTCTGATATCGTCCACTGACAAGTTTGCTCGAAAGGACAAGTGGTACAGTTGCCACGTTGATACCAGAAATTTCCGACCAATCAGCCGACCCACCTAACTCGTAGCAAACGGAAAATGCTCCTTAGGCTTGGTTGCTGATGAGCAATGCCAATTACAGGACAACTCAAGTCACACTCTTTGCAGGCTATGCTGGTCAGAATGTACGTCATGCTTCATGCCTACTCATACGGTTAGAAAAGGGTTGGATGGCTTGTTTGTCTCCCCACATGGAACCTATCGACAATACATCCACAACCAATGCCACCTACACCTTATGCTGAAATACGATTTACGGTTGGTGGTCTGGGATAACGAGGAGTTGCAATTGGTGGGACTGAGCCCGATTCGTTTCACAACTGATATGGTAGGCATGGCTTGTTCATGTCAATGACTGGTCAGTCCATATTCTGCCTGCTGAATCAGGTTGTCGAAGTGGATCAAGCATCATCGTGACACCGACGGAAACCTGCAGCAAGCCCGTTACAAAGAAATCTTACGATCAAGTTTCAAGGACAACTCCGACAGCATGACTTACGTGCAGGCAATGACTCTGCGGGAGCGATGGGTATTCCACGTCTAACACAAATGAGGATATGACATATTTCACGATCTGATCCAGGCTGCCTTACAAAGACGGAGCGCCTCCCCTCCTATTGGAGTATCCTTGAAGAACGCCAGCATGCACCTGATCCTGGCTCATTCTTGCTTGCTCTGCCAACTCTCATTGCTCAGAATTTCTTCTTGAACTATTGCCTGCATCGAAATATCTTTCCAGAACATTGATCCACGAGCTGAACGTCATTTGGTAACCAGATCTCGGTCGACAGGACACTACCATATGCTCGGGGGTCAATGTTTGCTTGTCTCAGCTAAGGTCTCGGACTTACACTATGGTAAACAACAGTTCTCCAGTGCTCTTGTTTTCTATTTGCTGACAGGTGAACCAGATTTCGACACGACAGATATATAATTCAGACCTAGAATTCTTCAGACGAAATGACCGAGGCACTCATATGCCATTGAGCCAAACCCGTCATATTCCGGATCATTATGAGACACCCGGTCATCTCAGCAGCCGCACCACACCATCTTCAGAGCCAGATAGCCGGTCGGCGAGTGGGTCAAGAAAGCGTGTTCCAGTTGCAGTATGTGTGGAATGCTTCTACAATGTCACTCTGGTAATCAGACTGATGATGTATAGTGTGAAAGATGTCGAAAGCGCAAGATCAAATGCAGCGGTAATGAAGGGGACAATCAGAGTTGTGCGAACTGCCGGAACGCTGGCCATGGAGACTCTTGTCGCTTTCTACGAGTAAGGTCTTCCGCCCCCGCGAGGAACTCACCCATCCTAACCTTACAGGTTGCGTCGATTGATGCAGGCTCGTTCGGTTTTCGAGGCTGGCACTCACCACATCGATATTCACCTTATTCGCTGCCCTCAAATCATCGCTTAAACTACGTGCCATTATCCTCAAGATACACCCCCCAGAGTTCGGTCCAATATCCTGCTGTCCATCCAGGCATCGATTATGCCGGATACGCCACGCCTAGCCCGAGTGTCGACTGGGCCAGAGCATCTTATGTCGGCTCATATTCCCCATATCCTGATGATGAAGAGACGAGCCCCTACAGCGCTCATCCGCCTCCTTACATCCTTCCAAACACAGATCCGATGTCGACAGCAAATGGCTACTATGTGCATGCACAGAATGTGCGACCACATCCTGGTGCACTCTGGACAGAGCAGCAACACTGTATTTCACAGCAGGGCTCTCATTTGCCCACATCCGCTTATTCAGTCGTCACGGAACCTCAACAATCATATCATGCGTCCGGAGTTGCTGGGAACCTTCCATCCGACCGAATTCTGCCAACACCAGTCACTGCTCGCAGCATTATTTCGACACAACAAAATTCTCTGGACTGTATTCCCAATTCTGTATCAACCCCGCGAAGCTCTGGGTACTGGCCTTCTGACTCTGCTACCTCAGCACAACATATTCCTGATCAAGTTGACAGCAATGCAAGTCAAGAACAGTCAGACGAGAGGAGATGTGCAGCCTACAACATTCAAGATATGACCTACAATCACCTGACAATGGGAAATGGTCTTCCAACCAGCTCTGTACCAGCTGGGCTTCGACTCAATGTCGATGAGACTCATACCTCTCCAGTAACCGCCCATACCGGAAGTATCCAGGCTCAGCATTGCGATTCCAGGAAATCTTCTCGTGAGAGTCCCCAGGCCAACCCAGACAACACATCTATCGCATATGGGTACACGGGATTGATGGCAGGCCACAGCTCACAGATGAGGAGCACTTCAGGTCAACTCTCGAACGGATCCTTGTATCGCCGCACCCAACCAATGGTGACACGAAGAGAGCCAGTCCCGGAAGAATGCAGTCCCGACTGTTCAGGATGTCCCACGGATTCAAGTCGAGGCTCGGTCGCATCCATCAGCAATACGTCGTCCGGATATTGACGACAGGCGATGTCGAATATGTGAACATACTTTGGTGCACTGCCTTTACCTGCTACTCTACAACACCGTGTTCTATACCCCATTACACTTGCTTGACTGTCAACTCAGTCACACTTGCTATTTCTGTTTCGACATTGCGCCTTGAATGCAATCCAACATCGACTCATAGGTCTAATGATACATGGCCAATGCTACAGGTCAAGGAGCTCAGGACTGCAACGACCGTGGCACACGAGGGACTTTTTTGGGCTCGTCAATTGCCGAGGAAACTAATTCGGCTTCATCACTGCTATTTTCGCTATGCTTGACTGTACTGGAGTGGCCTGGATGTGTGGATGTGGTGCCTTTTCTTACAGGGGCGTCATCGGTTGCGAGATCGGACAAAAGCATTTCTTACGAGGCTCGGAAAGCTACTCGCTAATTGTGACTTGAAACGCAGTGGTGCGATGTGTACTGGATGGTTCCTGTGCAAATAATGAGACTGAAGTTCAGTAATCGAATGAAGAGACTTTGTACCAAACACTCTTCGTCTGCAGCTTGCAAAAGCTGAGGACTTGCAATTTGCTGTTGGCCATAGAGAGCATTAGCTCGGTGGAGAGAAATTGTCCTTTGCACGCATTGGAAAGCAGAAGCAGATAAGAGGCTGCAAGGTACGCGGGACACCAAAGTTTTTAGAGGCTCTTCTTGATTCACAATTGATTTCAATTCAATGCATATGGATCTCATGCGCCGGTAGCCCATCGTTGAAACTTTCAAAGCACAATAGCTGGCCTTCTGTAGACTGGTGCCGAATCCCAACGGCTGGACCATTCAAACTCTGACCGGCCGTATTTGATCTCATCGATGACCTCGGCCTTCTCAGAGCAAAGGAGAAGGAGGCGAGTGCCTTGCAGCATAGACCATTCTCGCCTCGCCTCGTCTCGCTGTGCCGGCGCCAGAAGCACAACCATCACCTCCGCAGCTTCACGTTTATTTCTTGTCCTTCTTCGCGGCACCCTTGGTCTTAGCTGTGCCTCGGAACTCCTTGGACCGGTTCTTGCGCTGTTTCCGCTGTTGTCTGCTGGCCTTCTCGATCTTGGTGGCGTGGCCGACCCGGACAAGTCGGTAGTGGGGCTCGAATTTCTTCATGGCCTCGACGCTGTCGTAGATCAGGGCGAAACCCGTGGATTTGCCGCCACCGTACTGCGTCCGCATGCCGAAGACGTTGATCTGGTCTTTGTTGGATTTGTAAACTTCGGCGAGCTTCGCGCGCAGGTCATCCTTGGACACGTTCGGGCGGTTGGGGTGCAGGACGTCACTATTGGTGTCGATCAAGGTCAGCAATCATCGTCTTCTTTGAAGGGTTTCAGTTCCCACTCGGGTGAGTGTTCTTTCAAAAGGTAGATGGGGGTAGTGCTTACACGACCATCTGCTTGCGCGAGAGAAGTCGGTTGGTGATGAACTTGCGGGTTCGGATGGTAACTGGAGAGTCGGCCATAGTTGCGGTGTTGATCTGTCGATGAGAGAGACACTCGCAATCGAGGAAGAATGAAGGACCGTGGAAGAGGGCGTTGAGGTTCGTGTGATTGTCTGCACCTGGAGATCTCGAAGGCTGTTTGATGTCGATGCCGGCCAAAATTCTTGTGGGATGTCTTGGCGCTGGTGCAATCTTGGCGGGACACGGCGCTAGTCTGGATTCGGCCACATCGAATCATTCTCTTATGAAGAATCCTCACCTCACAAGACCAATGACCACCGACGACCACAGTACTGTAGCATCCTCGCAAAGTGCTTTGGGACATCGAGCGCGTGGCCATACAGCTCACCAAGGGAGAACAGAACCAGCTCCTCTCTTGTCGTCTTTTCCTTCTGCCCAAGCATTGAGTCGGCTCCTTGTCTGCACCATGGACATCACAAAAGCTGCCACCGAACCTATACTGGCCAAGTTCTATCGACAATACTTGCAGGTGATTGATGATGTTACATACCCACCTGGACCCCTCTTGGTCAAGCAGGATGTGCAAAACTGCCTGTACAAGTATTTCTTCGACGCATCTCAGAATAAATTCTTGCCGCCTGCCAGGTACCAAGCTAGAATATTGAAACACATTATCCAAGAGATTGAAAAAGCATGCAAAGACCCCGAGGAAGACGTAGGCAATGACTCCAAACAACGATATGTGCTTCCACCGTGTCCTCCCCTCGTGGCCAAAAACCCCATCGGCAAAAAGGTCCTCGTTGAGCTACTAACTTTCTAATCTTTCCTACAGCAAGTCTCAGATCAGCTCATGGAGCACATGGCGTACCTGTCGACGATCCCACAACAATCTCTAACGGACGAAGCTCAGCAACTCTATGTCCATTCTTACTTTCCGCCACTGCCACTCGACAAGTCCGGCGTCCAGCCAGTGCTCATCAAGGAAGCTCGCAATCTGCTCTCCAAAGGCAACAACGTCGGCCTCCGAACCTGGGAAGCCGCTCTGCATTTGGCATGGTTCTTGACTGTCCAGCGACCCGACCTCGTCAAAGAGCGCAACGTCCTCGAGCTAGGCGCAGGCACTGGCTTTTTGTCATTGCTCTGCGCCGGATACCTTCAAGCTTCGCTCGTCCTGGCCACCGACGGTCTCGGCCATGTTTGTGAGGGTCTGCAAGCAAACCTCGATCTGAATGTCGACAACGATACTCTGCCTGGCCACAGGCCTCCTGTAGTCCGCCAACTAGACTGGACCGATCGACCTGAGATCGACCAATTACTTGCTGAGGCCAAACAATCTAGAACGAGCTATGATCTGATCATAGGTGCCGATATTACATATCACCCTGACATCCTACGTCCTCTAGCAGAACTGCTCAGCCTGCTCAAGGACGCGTTTCCAGAGGTGGCAATCCTCATTTCGGCCACGATCCGCAGCGACACGTTTGCCAACTTCGTGGCGATTTGCCAGGAATTAAAGTTCCAAGTCACAGAAATGCCCTGTAAGATCCCCGAGGGCTTGCGGAATTGCGGTTTCTTCCATTCGGTAGCTACAGAGATCAAGATCGTCTCTCTGGAGCGTTGACGACGAATCGGGGGAGCGCACTGCCAGAAAAGATTGAGAGGTAATGCTGGACCCTGATCATGAGAGTCACTGGTTTTCCGCCCTGGTTTCTGGTCAAGCCTACCATGGATCTAGGCACTAGAGGGGTTCGCTAGAGCGAAATTATTGATTATATTCAGCCGGAGAGCTATAACTCGCATCGGCACGATACAGAGTATATGTTGTGGCATATTAGGTTGCCGGGGTATCATTTCAGTAATAGGGCAAGAAGCCGCCCAAATCTCGACCCTTCTAGGCCAATGAATATTCCAGGAGCTGAAAAATGAAGGGCTGGTATTTCGTTAGTCATTCGCGTAGATGATGTCCACCCGACATATAAACGGCTTGTAGGGTGCAAGAGAAGGATATTAGTGAGTGATCTTCATCCAGCGAGACTCTCCTGCAGACCATCCTCATCCACCATGCTCATCTGCACGCCTGAGCTTGGTACTCGTCGGAATTTAAAACCAGGTATTGCACCTTTCTGATTGATACCCGGCATTCTTCCACCTGGAAATAATGAGATTGGCGGAGGCTGGACTTCCAGGGAAGTGGTTGATCCTGACATCAAAGGCTTTAGATCTGAGGTAGACTTCATCGGTGCCATTCCCCATTTTCCTCTCACCCATCCTCCCACGAAACGCCCGAATCCGCTGGACTGCTCTTGTGGCGCAGGCTTCGGAATGCCGGCAAGGCCGCTTAGTGCTTCAATACTTTGGCTGGGCGCGGTGTTTGCGGAGGGAATGCTGTCCGTGCTGACAGATCTAGGTGAACTGAGAGCCGTAAACTCAGTCACTGTTGTCAATGGCTGTGCAGCTGGCAGTCTGCGCGCTACAGAAGGAGACAGCGCGAAATAGGCTCGGTTCCCTTTCAACAAGCTCGATGACTGGGAACTTGCGGTCGTTGGGCGTTGTGCAATGTGTATATCCATACCAGATATGGACACCAATGACTCGTGCGAGTTCGTACGACGATGGCTCATTTGCACCTGAATGTCTGGTGTCTCGTGCAACTCACGGGCTGCCGTGGTTGGCGTGACATCTCCGGAGGTCCTCTTGCTTGTCTCTGCCGGAGATCCTATTTTAGAGCCCTCGAATACCGCATTCGAAGCCACTGGTGTCGCGGTGGTGTCATCTAACTCAGCCTCTTCATCAGCAGTGTCAGAGGGTCCCGGATCATCTTCTGGAGTGATACGACCGACCGTGACAAGCATCTGAGAAGGCTTAGGTGTCAGGTCCTGCGCTGGGTCCTGACTCTTGCTTCCCTCTGATAGCAGGCTTGTTTGGTGGTGCAAGTCGGATGCACCATCTGGTCCAAGCTCGGGTTCGTCGACGAAGTCCTCTTCTTCCAAAGGATCTGGCGAAGCTTCTGCGAATCGCGACTGGAAGCTTTTGTACCTGGGCTCCGAAAAGCCAGCGGCCGACTCTGGACTCGTTGGTCTGGATGACTCTTCCTCCGCTTCGAGCCGATCAAATATCGAACTACTGGGTTCATAATATGACCTCGGGGAGCTTGGGAAACTGGACAGCATTGTGGAACCTGTAGCAGCTGATTGTACAGACCATCGATTGTATCTTGGTTGGGGATAGTGGAGCGCCAGAGGTAGAACAGGACTGGAGACATGACGATGAGGACCGGATAGAGGTGTTGTAGGCGCGGAAGATTCTGGTGTCGCTGGCAGTGTTCCGAGTCCGAATATGGGTCGTTTGCGAGAAGACTTGCGTAAGGTAGGAGTCCGATCTCGTCGGCCAGCAATCTTTGCATGGTAGTGGTGATGTACATGAACTTCTTGCTGTACTTGTTTCGGAGAAGGCTCCGTCCAGCCAAGTTCCTCGCTCAGTGGTGTAGACTTGAGCGGCTCTTCCATCGTATCGTCATAGTCAATAGCTTGATGTTGTAAGACCTGTTCCCGTAAATTCTGCACTTCCTCGTTGGAGTTCTGCAACAACTCTCGCAACTCGGCAATTCCAGCTTGAAGATTGGCATTGTCCTGAAGAATGTCCCGCACAAAGTGGCTGACAACGTTGCTCTTTGCTGCAGCTTTCCCGATCAGAGTTTGAAGGGCAGCTGCGCCTTTCAGCCTGCCTTCTGCGCCGCCCAGCTCACGTTCTATTGCTCGTTCTCGTTCAAGCCTGGCTATGATTTCTTCGTGTCGCTGTCTGTCTTGCTTGGCTTCCCATTCGATTCTCTGGACTTCGTACTCAAGCTGTCTGACCTTGAGCACGCTCTCCTTCCATCGCTGAATAGTGCTTCGGGTCTCTTCCTCGGATTCTTCGACCTTTTCCGAAAGTGTGATCCGTTCCCTCTCCATGTCCAGTACCTTCAGCTCCAACTCTTCAGTCCGCCGGCTGAGACCATTCAACCTCCGAACTTCCACCTCACAATCCCGGAGCAGCGCTTCAAGACTTTTGACATGGTTGTCACTCTCTTTGAGTGAGTTATTGGCAGATTCGAGCTGGTCAAGAAGTCCGCGATTCTCTTCTACAATCTTCTCGTTGGCCGCTTGCAAAGTGTTTCTCTCATTCTCTATTTCGTTGATATAGGCTGTGAGCCTTTCATGCTCGAGTTGGGATTCGTTCACATAGGATTCATGGCGATTTAGGAGGGCCTGGAGAGCAAACGTTAGCCCAGTGCCTGTCTGCCGTTTCTCTTTTGCAGCAGTGCTAGTTGTCAGGAGCTGGTTTATCTCCATTTCATCGCATGTTGCAGGTACGGCAGTAGTTGAGGGTCGCGCAACAGCACACGGAAAAGAAGCCCAGAGAGGATCGGTCTTCGTTTGCTCCCGATCACGACCCTTTTGCAAACGACGTGATGAGATTGCAGAGATCCAAGCGCAGACTCATTTTTACCGAGTGTTTCCTGGCCGAGATCCGAAATCTCTGAAGGTGTGCACGTACCTGGCCGAGTTTTGCAGCGGTCTCTAGATCTCTCTCAATTCCACCCAGAAGAGTGTTGTTGTTCTCCAAGTAAGCGCATTCTGGCCTACCACAACAACATTGCAATTTCGCATCAATGTTCGAATTGCGGCTTTCATTGGTCCGACTCATAATGGTGTCAAAGTCGTCCGGAATGTGGCCAGAGCGCGAGTCAATGCTCGGCGGGGATGACATGTCATTGTTTGTATGGCAGAAGGTTCTGAAGCGAAGAGAGGTCGTGTTGAAGGGAACGTCCATGTCGTGGACATCTCGAATGGTCGGCAAGCAGGGAATCTAGAGGCAGAGGAGTGGTTGAGAGGCGTGGTGGGACTGGATGGAGGAGACGGAGGAGATGGAGGAGCGCGTTGGAGGGTTGGCTAGATTGCAACCTTGACGGAGATGATTGGTGATGCGTGTAGTTGGTGCCAAGGTCACTGCAGGTCCCCAGAAGGCCGCATACGCAATCGGACATTTATTGGTCCAGCCTTGTCAACTTAGACTGTCGACAGCACGGCCAGTGACTGGCAGATTGTAGCCCACCACTTTAGACGAACACTGACGAATCATGCGAAGGTCTGGCAAGAGACAGCGATCATCCTTCCAGTAATGCTGCCTTACCAATAGGAGTGACCTACGCGTGCCTGGGGCATATGATCTCAAGCAAGCGAAGGCGATGGTCAAAGCAACGAGCCTAAGAATATGAATGATTTAACCATGAGAAAGATCTTTTGACACATGCATCGAGCTGACCGGTCCAGATCCGAAGCTCTCGGACTACAAGAGCGACTGTCAATCTGCCTCTTGCACTACCGGGCCATGTCTCCTTCTGTCTAGCACCCTCTGCACCGCTTCCCTCACTTCAGGGTTGTTCCGCAAAGCCGATGAGAGCAGGGACTCCTTCATTCCTGTCCTCAACATCTCTGACTTCTCAGCGTCTCCCCGGAATGGACTCAGACCAAGCTGAAGCAACTCGGCCGACTCTGTATCCAATCTGCTTGCAGTTTGCGCTAGATGTGCAACCTGCTGCTGCATCTGCAGATCTTTCAACGCTGGATTCCTTGCCATCGGAGGTGCTAACTGCGAGATGAAAATGTTTAGAGACATGGACATCCGCCTTGCCAGTCCCAGGATCTGGAATGGAAGAAGATGTGGCGGCAGTAGTTGGGGCGTCAGCTTATACGCCGTGGAAACCCAGAGCGTGACCAACGTTGGAGGATCCCATGTGTGAGTCAGGAAATACAACTCGAGTAAGGCCATACAGGCTACAGCAAAATATCGCCAGAACTGTCCCCATCTCGGCAGCCAGATATAGTTCAAGATTATCAGCATCGCCGCACTGGAAAGATATTCTGGTACCTTTGAGCGTAAACCAGCATACACGTAGTCCCGGATCGTCTTCAAGCCAGGCTGATGGACCTGGACAATGCCAGGGCCGAACCGATCATAGCCGAACCGTTTGGCTGGGTCGAGAATAGTATCATGGGCGAGCTTGAACTTAACAAAAACGACGTCCGCACCTGGAAATGCCTGCCCATTCTCGTGTAGTTTGTCCGGGTGGTACCTTGCTGCCAGTTTTCTGAACCGACTCTTGATCTCCCTTTCCGTCGACCAGGGGTTTACTCCTAGAAGAGTGTAGAAATCACCAGCCAGTTTGATATCGTAAACAGCTTGGGTAAGGGTATAGACTAGATAGAGCGAGAGTACAAAGACGCGAATCCGGCGATTATGGTAGGCAAAAAGAGGCTCTCCTGGTTGAGGATGTCGTTGTCCGGCGCGAATAGTCAGCCGATAATAGAGAGACTGTAAGAATGCGGTGGCATACTATTACAGTGTCAGCAAGTGGCCGTTGGGACTTTAGAGTACTAGGACAACTCGTTCACATACTGCAGGGAGAAATGTCCACCCGACCAGAGAGAAGGCTTGCGACACAACGCTATCGGCCATGATGGATTGTGGAGATGTCGTGAAATGGCATCGTCCAGTACATATGAAGCATGTAGAGGGAGACGAATGCACCTGCGCAAAGGAATGAGGAGGAAGGGAATGAGGAGAGAGTGTTTACTCGAGACGGACGACTATGGTGGAATACCATCCTGCAGAGGGACCGAGAAACTCCTTGTCTGACAAAAGATATTTATACAGATCATGGGTGGAAATGAATTCCTGATGGGTGGGTATGGACCAGCATTTTATAGCTTCTTTCGTCAGACTCGACTGAATTTAACATGGCTTTCGACCATAAGGAAACCCATGAATCTTGATTGTACCTCTGCCTCTTCACGCATCTGTGTAGCTGAAAGCAAATTCGTTCACGGTGGCTTTTCCGGCATACCTATTTGCCTCAAGGAAAGCCAGCAACCACTCTCTAAGCTCCAATTGCCGAGAATCAGGCAAATACTTGATAATGTTAGCAATTGCACAAGCCCGCCACTGACAACCCGCAATGTCGAGACCCTTGAGTGCTTGCATCGCCGCTGCATTCGCGCTGCGTGGCTGCATGTCTCGATAATTTTGCAACATGATCCAAAGCAAGTCTGCACCTGAATTTTCCTTCGCAAGATCATGCTCGACAAGCTTGTCCTCGATCCAGTCACCGTAGGCGCGAATGGCACCGAATATTGCCAGCGCCTTCGTGCTCTGTCTCAAAATAATGTTCCCTTCCAATTGCTCATACAGGCCTGTGATTATACAGACGAGGATCAGTATGCACCTCTGCTGCGCTATGCTGTCGTTGATATCACCATACACGCTGATCAGTCTGCTTTGCATTCGGCGAAAGAGGAACTCGTGCAGTCTGGAATTGCCAGTCACAAAAGGAACCCTCTGCTTCGATGGCAGCAATTGTCGGTCGCGCCATATGCGATCGACGTCTCTCAATACGGACTTCAACCATCCGAAGCGTGCTGTGGCATCTTCTTTTCCCCAGAGGAATGAAGCCTGCGGATCTCTATAGATCCCTTCGAACCACAGCGCCTGCTCTTCTCTCAGCCGGTCGTGCAACCCCTCTCGGAACCCAAGTTGTTTGATGATATCTCTTGCCACCTTGAAATGCAAGTATGATGTCTCGCGGTTGCCATACCGCTGCTCGAATGTGGCGAGGCTGATGCAAGACGTGAGGATCTCCTTTCTATCGCCTTGTGGTCCGAGAGCTACTTGTTTCCTAAGCACGGTCAAAGCATTGCCCTGGTGTTTTAGTGCTGCAACTTCCAGGTTCTTGCGAGTTGCCGTCGCAAGGTACTTGTTCAGACGCAGCTGATGTAGAGCAGATCGTGCCATCAAGATGTGGAAGTGAGTGAGTGATAGTCCGGTCTGGTACTCCCAAGAACCCTTGATGCTGGGTCTTATGTTATCTGACAGTGCATATGCAGTCTGCCAGTACATGTCTTGACCATAGAAATGTAGCAATTGGTTGGTCACTTCGTCGATCTTCACAGGAAGCTGTCCGAAAGGGTCTACCATGCAGGCCGAAATCGATCTCTGCCACCCTGTCTGAGGACTATATATCCGCTCAACAGAATGCCGCCGTGTCGAATTGTCCTTTGGTTTCTTAGGCCGCAACTCCAGCAGCGTTGCAGGCGAGGATTCATCGTCTGCGGACTCGGAATCAGTAGTAAATGTTTCTGGCGTGGAGGAGTCAGGGATCTCATGGATGTCAGGGCCTTCGCAGCCCGCATTTCCTGTCACATCAGATAGCATTCCGTCGCCGTCTCCGAGAGGCAGGTGCCATCATGTTGTCAACGTACTACGTAGTAACACTCTCGGTGTGACAAAGGAAGACGGACGTCCAAATTGAGCGCTTATTAGCCGGCAACTAACTTAGTCCTCAACAGCGCGAAGAGAAACATTGGTCTGCCTACCGAGCGTTTCGGAGCTACAAGGAGAAGACTTCCCAAGGTTGGCCTGAGGAAGAAGCCGGGCACGCAATATGCTGCCATCATCTGCTCATTGGGCAATAGACTCAGCTGGATGCAGTTGCTAGTCGGCGAGGGATTCTGCTTAACCAGATAAAGGTAAGGCCATCCAGATTTGACGAACATCTTCGCGGAGTTACTGTCAATGTCCCATGTCGATTGTTTAGTGTCATGAAGGAATCTGTCTTGCTGATACTGATTTGCTGCAAGCAGAAAGTGACAGGCGAACTCAAAGGAGATTGAGCCCTTAGGCAGTGAGTCGCACGATGCCCTTGATGGTCATAGATATTTGTTGCGAAGCCACCACCCACCACGGCTCCATGACACCGAGCGACAGTACGTCCTTTACTCTCGACGACAGTGATCTTTTGACGCCGATGAACAAGGCCAATTCCATGCAACTGTCGGTCGAGATCTGACAAACACAATGTCCCAGCCTCGGATGTGACTGTTCGGTGGTGAACCTGCACCCAAGATGCCGTACTGACAGACCAATTCTGCTAGGTGTACCGGTTCGTTCTCTACCACGGTATCCACGGATAATCGTGTAATTTGGCGCTACGGTGCCATTCGACGACAAACAGTAGCGCGGACAGTACATGTGGCAGGAGGGCCTCTGTTCAATACGAGGCCCAAATGCTGCTTCGATTCGAGCGGCAGCTGTTTTGCGCCCGGATGAAACGAGTTCCAATCCACGATTTACCTATGAGACCATATCAGACGCCTGCTCGATTAACCTCATCGTGTTCTTCGATATCCATGCTGACAACTTGCAGGCGCGAGCTTGTCAACCTGTCATATCAGCATTTGCGCAGATACCACGTTGTTGCAACTTACTGCCACTACCGCGGCCATCCAGGAAGTCAATGAGCCGCACCTCGCCCCTTGCGATCCATGCAAAAGCCGGGGCTTTCCAGATCGACCATGTTCAAGTGCTTCCGATAAAACGCCTCGGTGCTACTCCCGCGATCCGCTATCAAAATCATCCCTCTCAGATGCGGCATCGAGTTGAAGACTTCGTCAATGCATTTCATGATCCACACTCCAAGCCGCTTATTTCTGTACTCAGGGAAGATATACACATCTGTCAGGTAATTGACCGTCACCATATCCGTGATCCATCTGGCGAAGCCAATCAGCCTGCGCTCGCCTGAACCTTGCGACTGGTTAATCAGACCTGGAGGACTTGAGATGTCGTATAGCGCGAAGCACAATGATCTGCGTATGATCATCTGCAGATGCTCGAGCGGTAGCGATCTGCCCCAGTGGAAATCATCTGATGCGAAGATATCGTTGAGAGCGTCGAGTGGGATGAGGGAGGAGTCTGTAGATAAGAAGTAGTTGTCCTTGGTCCAGCTTCGGATTGGTATGTCGAGAGCCATGTTTATGGAATGTAATCAATCTCGCTTCTGAGCGGACGTCTCTCGATGGGGACGTTACAAGATATAGCATCGAAGCTTGAAAGATTCCAACCTATATGGGAAGACTCTAGCCCTGGATGACTCACCTACCATCACATTGATCCCAGTACCCCATGTGGTCGGCATTCTGGAGCGGTTGAACACATAGTGGCGATGCCCTTCATTGATATGTCACAATCATGAAGGTCACAATTATTATGATGCTGGATGAAAGCGAAGATTCTGAGGCAAACAAATTGCGCAACGACTACTCCGTACTCGTTTAGAAATACGAGATTGTGGGGATTTTTCCAGTCTACTACCCTGGCAGGTGCCTGGTACAAATACAGCAATAAGCATTCATCGCTCTTGCATTATTCTGACACTGCACAAGCTTACTACTCCCCATAGCGATCGGAAAGGCTTCAACTCTTCATAGAGGTCTGCCTGAGTTAGCCATGGAGGGTCACTGCCAGTGCGGCCTGATAAAATTCATCACGCCTGTGCCGGCCCCTCTGGCGCTCTACATTTGCCATTGCACAGAGTGCCGACACCAGTCCTCATCGACGTACGGCATGACCGCTCTGTTTCCGGCATTCGAAATTCCCGAACCATATCCCGGCGCCATAGCGGTCTATAGCAGACCCAACGCCCACGGCCGCACGGATGGGTACTTCTGCACAAAGTGCGGGTCAAGGCTGATTCATCGGGATGTCCCGCATGTAGGCGAACCCTCGAAGGTCATCAGTGTGAAATCCGGATGCCTGGACGGCATGACGAAGGAGATGATGCGCAAAGCAGTGCATATTTGGACGAGGAGCGCGGTCGTGGATATTCCGGAGGGTGTCGAGGCGTATGAGGAGGAGCCTCCTGGGGGCAGTTTCGGTGAGGGATGAAGATTTGTATGGGGACGAGCTTTACGGGACATCGCGCTCGAGCACGGTCATTGCTTGTTCAACGTTCCAGGTTCGTGAAACACTGGAACACGATCATGGTATCATGATACGCGCCAGATGATTCACTGCTAAGGCGAAAGACTCTGAACCCCATAGGAGATCAGACCATGAATTACCATTATACTGGTTTTATGCTGCATGCCGAAGAATATCTAACCCCAAAATATATACCATGTGAAGAGGATCAGCGCAAACCAAAAGCCAAATTCATGTCTCATACGTAGATATAGCACAGCGGGCCACCCGTCGTGCTCATCACGTCTTGGTTCTGGACTGTTTTGGACAAGCTGCCCATGATGATTGGATCGGTCAACTTTCCAGCTGGGCTGCCGGTGGGGTCGAGAGTAGAGGTGCCGCCCCCGAATGCGTTCTTGCGGTTCTTCAGATCCATGTTCTGCCACATCCACCATGTCCGATCAATTTGAGCGTGATGGAGGAAGAAAGTAGGTTCAGCTGGGGACGCGAAGAGATCGCCACCAGGGTCGCCACCAGTGGTGAAATGACCGCCCGTATGCACGCCGAAGAAGCCTGTGGCGAAGTCACCCTGCATGCGGTTCTGGAAGGACAAGATGTCGTTGTAGTTGGTGACCAGGTCGTAAACATCAGAGTCTTTGGTCCAGTTGGACGAGACCCATGAAGAAATGTCACGTCGCAGACAACGAGGGTTGTAGGCCAGGGGGTTGGAGCTATTGTAGTTGATGATACCTGGGATGTCAAGAGTGGGAGACACCGGTCCCAGGTTGACGGTGTAGTCCTTGAACGGGCCGGTGTTGACGCAGCCTCCGCCTGAGCCTGCAGGAATGCAGTTCAAACCGGTTGGAAGCGCGTTGGTGCAACCATGCTGCTGGTACTGTCCGTTGCCGGACATGCTATAGTCCGATCCATCGAAGAGAGGGCTGTTGAGCGGGTCGAAAGCGTACTTGCCCCAGTTCCAGTACGGTTGATAGCCGGTGTAGCCGCACTCATTCCTCAGTGCTTGCTCAAACGACCACGTAAAATATCTATGCCACGACAGGAAGTTGGCTGTTCCGTGGATGGACAGGGTTTGGTTGATGTGGACGGCCACAAAATCGTCGTACCGCGTCTTCGCGCCTGCTGCGAATGATGGATCTTTGGATGGTTTCGACATCAAACAGAGCTCGGCGTCAATATATGCTCGTCGTTCTTGTTTCGAGAGCGTTGACCACTCTCTCCGGATAGCGGCGTTCAAAATGTTGCAGCTTCCTGAAGGATTCGTGACTTGGTAGAATGCGAGATTGACCAACGCCTTTGCAGCTAGCATATCAGTCTGAAGAGTTGAAGCAGGCAAATAAAACGAACTAGCAGCTGCTGTTGTGGTGTCTCGTTCAGCAAAGCTGTGCGTGAAGTCCTCGACCGAGGCTGGTGCAGCCTGGATCCCACAAACAGCCAAAAAGGCCGGTACAATATGACGGAGCTGCATTATGCTGAATTGAAGATCAAATAGCAGGACGATTTGAAGAGTAGTGAGTGGACGGCTAGAACCCAAGGCGAGGTCCAACCAAATAATACGCTCGTAGCGGAGGCAGTTTTCCCTGGAAACAGAAATCGCTAATCTTGAGGGGATGTCCAAGATTTATATCTCTTGAGAGATCTCTTTTCACTGCCACGTGGTGGTCAGCTTGCCACGCGAGATAGGAAGAAAGTGGAAAGCTTCCAAAGAATAGTTTCTTGGGAGCCGCGTGAACATTGAGGGTTTAAGAACTAAACGATGTCCGCCTCTGCGCGGAGCACAAAGCTAACGAGGATCTATTGAATATCCTAACCATGTCTGATCGAGAAACCTGCAAATGGGTATGAGGGTACACTCACGGCAGATAGTTAAGGTCTGGGACGTGCGATGTGGTGCCACAGAGCCATACGAAAACACCGGGATTCGTACACCTTGGAGCGGGACCCTGCAGCTTGATGGAGTATTGCCACAGCTGATCATTTCGCTTCTGGAAGGTTGCCAGAACCCAGACCATTTCGGCAGCTGTCACGCTGTATCCTATGGTGCTAATGGTCTAGTGAGTGCGAAATGAATTGAGGGTCAGGACTCAGGAGGACTGTCTCGGCCATGGTGGTCGGAAACGGAACGCCAGGCAGTAAGGAGGCTGCACGACCGTTGAACCGGGCCTGCTTCGGAGAGCTGGTACAGATTCGGGCGAGGATGGGCGGAATCATGGCACCCATGGCGCCCTTGTTATGCAGGGTGAGAGTCTGACGAGAATCGAGACACAAGACTGTTCGGGGACCAGGACAAGGGACATGAAGAATCGAAGATGGTGGATGGGATGAGCGAAAGCGAGGAGTGAGAGATGCCACAAGATGCGCACTAGGAAATGCAGCTAAGTGGACGCGTTAGTCCCATGATAGCCAAGCTTGCAGTGGCGTCACAGGCTAGCGCGGCTAATATCAACCTCGTATCGAGGTCTCCACCAAGCCTCTATTTTTTCTGTGTCTCTTTCCAGGAGTCGAACGGATACTGCAGATCTTTGCAGCGACAGCAACTCGAAGGAGGCAGCTTCGTCTACATAGTGCGAACAGTACTGCACTCTACAGCAATCTTGTGAGATCACAGTCGGAAGTCGCAAATTGCACATTGATGGGAGATCGGTCTCCGTCTGGAGCCTGTACTCATGAATCCCCTGCCTAACTTTGGGACAGTGGTACTGACATTATTTCTGCATCATTACATATTATTCACAAGTCTCCATGGCCCCGCAAGATAGCCCTGGCATCTTCCAGTTGCGAGGGTCACGCTAAACAAGGAACGCCATTATTATTCTCTCTTCACGCTTTGAGTTAAAGGGCCGGAAATGGAGCAAAGACGTGCCAGGGGCCGGTGCATCTTCCGCTTCACCCGTTTCCGCCACAGTCCTTGCTGCTCTCGAGAGTGACATGAACAACCTCAAGCTGCAGAGCTTTCTTGGCCCCACTTGCCTTAGATATGTGGTAATCCTAACAATTGGTGTCATAGAAAATGGCATGGTAGCCGACTACTGCCCAGACGTGGCGCAACAAGTCTCGTACTTGTACAACCTGCGACACTCACTAAGCCCACACCAAGGGTTTTGTTCCTGCAAAAGAGTCTAGCGATCGATCAAGCGTATGGATTCAAGTGCAGACTCGGTGTGCATGTCTTGGTCAAGAATCCTCATTTTGGGCCATGCTGATATCTCTATGGCGGAATTGGAAGCGACAAGCTCGAACGTCTCCATGTTGAACTGAAGATACCTTGATTTTAAGGAACCGTCCCGCGAGCTCTTAAACTTCGCCTGCGCGCACGCATTGTCAAAGTTCTGCTATTCTATCGCTTTGGCGGTCGGGTTCATGAACTTTGCGGACGCCTATCTTTCAAACTCTCCCGTGTCAGCTTGACCATTCCTCTCCCAACTGTCACCATGGTCATTTCAGGGCTGGGTTCGCTCCTGGTGGAGCGGCAGACGACAGCTACCCCTCAATACAAGGACGAGTCCAATGCCTCTAATCTGCTCGCCATCCATGGGACTTTCTGTGGCCTCGCCATCCTCTCCGTCTTGTTACGGCTTTATGTGAGGATATTCATGCTCAAAAGTATTGGGATCGATGACTACATCATTGTCGCTGCAGCGGTGAGTGCGCCTGGTTACCAGCTGCCTCTGACGTTGATTCCAACTGGTTCACGACTGACACTGATTGTCTTTAGGTCCTTTCGGTCTCGGTCGTCGTCTGTTTTGCGGGGGAATCTGCGGCCGGTGGTTTGGGTAGGCATCCCAGCCTCGTCGCCCTACCCGACTGGGAAAATTTCATGCACTGGCGGTTCTTCCATTCCCTGATTATCATGTTCGGCATATCACTCGTCAAGATATCCATCGCCTTCTTTCTCAAGCGGTTTGTGCCCAACAAGAACTACCGGCGTTTCTTGATAGGGGCAATCGTCTTCCTGGTTGCATTCACGATATCCTGCGCTGGCACCCTGATCTTCAATTGCGGAAGCAAACCGCAAGCCAATTGGGATTTCGCGTTGCGCACGAATGGACAAGCCAAGTGCTTCTCGAATACGACATTCACCAACATTGGTATATTCAACAGCAGCATCAACATCGCAACCGATGTCATCTTCGCCTTGCTTCCTATTCCTATCGTCTGGAACCTGCAAACCAACATGCGTACCAAGGTTACCCTGGTCTTCATTCTCAGTCTGGGTCTTTTCGCCTGTGCGGCCAGTATCATCAAAGCAGTCTACCAGGCAGGGGCACTCATGGATCCTGACTGGACTTATCACGACAGCTTCTTTATGTGGAACAACATTGAGTTCAACATTGGTATTCTTGCGGCTTCTCTACCTTCTCTGCGCCCGCTTTTTGCCAAGATACTCGGAGCCACTCAGAAGTTCACCTCGAGCGCCAGTCGTAACCGACAGAATTACGGTGGTTACGATGCCGATGGTCTTGCCTATGCCAAAAGCGACAAAAGGGTATCGCGGAATCCTGCCCGGCATTACTATCAGTTTGGGTCGCGCCAGTCGACCGAGCTGAGTGAACTCCACAGAGGCGCCAGCAAACGTGCGTTCGACGATGGCAGCGGCAAAGCGCCTGGAGTAACCAGCACAGTTACAGCTGGCGACGATGAAAGTGACAAGGTCATGCTAGACAACCAGGATGATTGCCACGCCATTGGTACCGATAAAGACTGGAACAACCAATCGAGCCACGGGATAACAAAAACCACGACGGTGCAAATCACGAGATACTGAATCTGCAACGACGGGCAGAACAAACATGAGGGCTATCTCGGCCCTTTTGTAAGAACCCAACAATGCCATCACGATAACTCCAGTCATCCTCGACTATTCATACATGATGCCGGCACGCCTATATCACCATGAACAACTTTTAGCAGGTGGATGACGCACTTGACGAGGGCTTCGAAGAGCCTGAATATACCCCATTGTGCTTCTGATGCACTTAGAAAAGGAACACGGCACATGCATGATGAAATTGCTCTATGTATATATCGACACGCTTCTTCACATCTGGTCGTCGCATCAAGCACAACATCTGTATAACATCTGTACATAGCTGGATCATTCTTTGAATTGTATATCGCGACACTCCTGAACTCTCTCGCGAATGAGGCCCCCAATTCTTTCAGAGCATTTCAAAGTCGCGCTTGGCACCTTCGACGATGACACCGCAAAGCTGCTGTTCCCTGATCATTGCGACGTTCCCCATGCTACGTCTTTCACCCCGTCTAGCCATCCTTGCCATGTGCATCCAAGCGAAGGGTTCGTGCAGCCATGCAGGAACAGGTGCAATCGGATCCAGCACCTAAGATTGCAATGGCTAGCAGGTTAAGCCCAAGAAGGTGGAAAATTCGGCGATCAAGGAACGAACCCTGCCAGAAACATGAAACCAGCCGTGGTGCCCGACACCCCCGGGGCCATTCTTCACTTGTCCTCATGGCCTAGTACGAGTATCCAAGGTTGTCGACTTGCACAACATTGGGACACTGTTTCGTCGCCGGGGCGGGTGGTGAAATGGTGCCCCTGATGTCAATCCGGCCGCGGCCGCAGCCGATGCAACCACTTTTTACCTTTGATGACAAGCGATGGGAATCTCCCAGACTCCGTACCACAATGGCCATATCCCACTGCTATATAGTACCGTCACAGGGTTTGTGCCGTCTTCTTGCTTGTTCGCGACACACACTCTACAGGCGCAACTGGACATGAGAGTTCGGCGGCCCCCTAGCAGTCGATACCAAAAACCTCATCGCTCTCTGACACTACTCGTACAATATGCAGAGCTCCACCGTTCGCCGGGTCCACGGGTCTCCTCTGCGGGCCCAACAAGTCCTGTGGACTCGGAATCTTTGTCCAATCAAGCGGCAAAATGCGAAAAATGGCCTGGGAACAGCACTACGTACCCACCACGAGGGTTTCCGACCTCGGTATCGGCACCAACTTCAAGTTTGTCTGTAACGTCGCACGTCTGGGCATGGTACTGTAGTAGAGCTCCAGTCGCGTCTGCAGGACCTTCGCAATCAAAACGGGTTATTGATCTGAGCCCTTTCCGAAACATGTCACGGAGCCTGAACGTTGCATTATCGTGGTAAAGATCCTCAGTTTTCAAGTTTGTGTTGCGCAGTTTCGCATATGATGGCCTTGAAGTGCATCAACGATCCTAACTAGCGAGAGAGGCCCCTGAGAGACGAGAAATCTGCAGGTTTGCTGCAACCCTCTAGCCGAAGGTATGCCCTGGATTAAAGCTGCAGCTTGCTCGTACCGGTGCACGGAGATTATTTGACTCAATTTCTTCGTGTGTTTGAGCGGTTATTTTTTATTTTCCGAGGGGAACAAGGCGCCTGCAGCTCTCGGCTAGTTGGATGAATCTTTAAGATCTGGAACACCCTCTAATATTCACTGTGCCAGTGTCGTTCGTCGACTCCATTTTGGATGGAATTTCGCCTATGAAATCTTGGAATCATCCCACCGTTCAGGTCACTACGGAGCAATCGATAGTTTAACTATTGTTCTCCTGGTTTGCAGGTGCCGGTGCCTAGTGATGGTAAGTATGCTGCGGGTATGTCCCCGCCCATGCAGCTACAAGTAGCTAATGTGGCCATGTCAAGTACCAGTCCACAATGACTAGTCAAATGCTCGCTTCCACTTGAGAATAATGCACAATTTTTCGCGAGGTTGTATGTAAGTTGGTCTTTGTATGTACAGAGTACGGATACTGTGGTAGGTTTGCTTGCAGAGAACATGTGCCGGCCTCCTACCGGCGGACAATGTCGGCCTGCTCTCTTTACGGGAACCTTGGGTCATGAATACTAGCAGTCTTTGGGGTTTCCTGTCCTCACCATGGGCGTGCATGGGCCCAGTTCATGAAGAAGAGCATCCGCGATTCTTTTTGGAATGATAAACGGGTCCAGTCTGCATCTCACACATCTCGAGCTCCTAATCGTCAATCTTCACGTACATAGTTACTTCTGTCCCGGGATCGACATGACGAAGAATATGTTCACAGGATCCAGAGCCAACCTGTGACGAGCAGCAACCGCAACCAGATCCTGTCGTCGGCTCCTCCTCCTTGTCCTTACTAGGCCAAAAATCGTATATCGATGTCGACCCAAGCACGTGAGAGGAAGGCAAGGCTTGATCGAGTGTTACTATGTTCATCACCACTAATACATTCCTGTCTTCACAGGCTTGCCTGTAAGACATCCTGTCCGCTTTGAATGTCCTTCTTCGACAGCATCTTACCGTGCCTCATCAACTCCGCGCACTTGGTCATGATCGGATCCATCATCATACTGGCCACAGCCACGACCGTGTCATCTTTGCAATAGTATGCAGCAAACTTGCTATTCTCCGGTTCGCCCTTGAGCACAAGATCATCCCATCCATTTGGCGTTGCCCCACAGTATCTCAATTGGCCACCCAACGCTGACCAGAAGATCGGGATGAAAGGCTTAGGCTTGCTGCCTGGTTGAGCGATGAGTTGGCCCACTGTCCGTCCCATGTTCTGCGCAACGTTCCAGTGCTCGATGCGCACAGGCGTGTGGTTACCTCCAGGTCCATTGTACGGATAGGTCGCGATATCGCCAATCGCATAGACGTCTGTGAGACCTTTGACCGCGAAATTCTCGTCCACAGATACACTACTGTCCTTCTCTAGCTTTATTTTGGGGTTGTTCTCCAAGTACTCTGTTGCAGGCTTGACGCCAATTCCAAGGATGACGAGATCCGCCTCCAGTTCGGTGCCATCCTTCAGCTTCACTGCCCTGACGGAGCTGAGGCCGACAGCATTGGCGAGTTTTGAAGCTGGCACAGCCGAATCGACACTGGCTTTCATGTAGAATTTGCCGCCGTTCTTCTCGAGATTCTTCTGAAAGATCTTGCCGACCTCTGCGCCCATGACACGCTCCATGGGAGCAGACTCCATACCCACAATGCTGACTGAGTTGTTCTTGGCTAGAGCGTTGGCCACCTCCATACCGATGAAGCTCGAGCCAATAATGACGATCTTCTTGTTCCCATCACCGACAGCGTCCATGATGGCTTGCGTGTCGCTGATCTGCCGCAAGAGGAAGATGTTCGACAAATCCTGGAACCCGGGGAGCGGCAAGTTTCGTGGGGTACCGCCAGTGGCGAGGATGAGCTTAGTATATGGGAAGGCTTTGCCAGTCTTCGTCTTGACTTCTTTGGAGTCGAAGTCCACACCTGTGACTGTGTCTGGGTAGAATTCGATTGAACCATCCTTGTAAAATTGTTCAGGTTGAAGGTAGATTTTCGAGGCGTCGGTTATGAGGGCTTTAGACAGTTTCGTCCGGTCGATGGGAAGACCTTCGCCAGTGATGACGGTGACATGTCCTTGGAAACCGAGTTCGCGAAGTTTTAGGATTGCACCGAATGTGCCTGAGCCCCTGCGATCTCGTCAATATTCATGTGCTGGAATGTACAGCTGGCAACTAACCCTCCCACAATGACCACTTTCTCGTCCGTGCTAGGCGTGGTCTTGACGTTGACTTGCCGTTTGCCGCCCTTGATGTCTGCTTCTTTTCCTGTAATATAGACTCCTCCATCTTTCTCAATGACATTAAACTTGTTCAGGGCAAGAGGTGCAGGAGAGTCTTCCACGTCGCCGGTCTTGGTGTTGAAGCATGCTATCATCATATCAGCATGGCTTCTGAACCGATGACAGATATACTACTTGCCTCCGTGCCATGGACATGTTAAACGTCCTTCGGGCGTCAGTACACCGTTCTTCAAGGGAGCACCGTAATGTGTACAGTTGGCGTTGAGAGCCGAAATCTGATCGCCCACTTTGACGAGCAGGACTTTTCCTCCTTCAATGCCTTCGACTTCAACCTCGACTTTGTCAAGGTCTTTAAGGTCTATCTTCGGTAGGTCCTTGAGTTTCCACTCTTGAGCCATGTTGGATGTATGGAGAGAGAACGATCTGGTGAGAAAGTGGGGTGACAAACGAACTGCCGGTGTTGGATTCGGTGACAACAGTGATTTATAGATGGAGGCAACAACTGAGCGGGAGGTAGGCCTGGCAAACATGAATACAAATCAGAAAAGTAGAGAGGCTGACCCAGATTCAAGGCGTACACGTAGACGAGCACCAGAGAGGCATGGTGTTTGTTGGAGGGAATGGTGATGCATGCACTGGCACTTGTCCACGCACCTCCTCGTCCACATGTTTCGAGCGTGTCTCTCCAAATTGCGTCACCGTTGGTCTTTAGAGTGCCTCATCTCCACCAATCACACACTGGCAATTGTTAACCAGCCCAAGCAGCTCTGACACATGTCAAATATAGCAGAAACGGTGCTTTTCCTGTCAGATCAAGACCAAGCACACCAAGTCCACGTCTTTCATCTCAGTCGTAGCAAACACGAGTATCAATATGCCCTCCGATGCCGAACAGGCGCCTGTACAGACAGGCCCGAAGCAACACTGTCTTCTCGACTCAAACCCAAAGCTCCTGCCATGAATGCGTCTCCTCCTGGTGTCTGCGACCGACTGCGCTGCTGAGTCCGCTCAAACTTGGCGCGCTCTTCTGCCAGGACTTCTTGCTCAGTCTCCTCATCAAGTAATGTTCCATCAATCTGCAGAGACCATTTCGTCCTGTCATGTGCCGGTACCACTTCGGTGTCAACCACCCGGAATTCCAGTGTTGATGGCATCTTTGAGCCACTGGCGTCTGCAAAATATCCACTGTCATCTTGGATCCGGGTTTGATATGGTGCAGCCACAGTATCTCCGTCCTCAGGCCCTTCGCTATCCTGTCTATGGTCCACCTCGTCACGCAATTTGCCCTTCTTGCCCTTCTTTTTGTTTTTGGTCGTTTCTTCTTTGGTCGGACCATTCCATTTCCATGCCGCAGGTATTCTGGATTTCTCTACGGCTGTCTGGAAGTAGTTGTAGCTCACCAACCCCACAAACCCTTCGGATGTCACATTGGTCCATCCGTATAAATCATCGCCTGTTTCTGGTCGGAATACCAGCAACGTCGCAGTAAGCCACACCCAGCATACACCATATTCATCCGCTGTTTTCGCAAGTACCTCGGCTTGAGGCGGAACTTTGTCGTCCCGCGGAGGTACGAGAGGTAGGTTTATGCCGCTGTTGGCCTTCGCAGAGAGAACAGGATCGGAGAAGCCGAGAACTATGCCTCGAGCGGGAGGAAAGTAAGTGAGGAGTAACGGTGCTAGATGGGTTGCGAGTAGAGAGGAGCCGCCTGACTCTAGTGAGATGGCAGGTATCGAAAGATAGAGAGATATTCGAGTCGAGTAGAAGGACGAAGGATCTTCCGACTCGAGCAGATTCAGAGACTCTTCAAGTTCCACGTCTGCTCTATCGCCACCTTCAACAGCCGTCGCGGATTCGTATGGCGGAACTTCTGTAGATGGTGCCTCTTCATGGTCCGGCGCATCAGGTAGCACGAGGTCTTGCTGTGCCGTCGACGCTTGTGTGTCTTTATCCTTAGACTTTTTCTTTTTCTTTTTTGTCACTTCTGGTGTAGGGGGTTCCTGTGTCGTTGTCGCGTCCTCTGCCTCTTCCGTCCGCCGTCTTTTCTTCTTTGTCGAGGCTTCTTTGTCCTCGGAAGTGTGTTTTCTTTTCTTGGTTTTCTTGCTCGGAGTTATATCCTCGACATCTCTTGATGGGGCGACATGGTCGCCATTTGCACGTACTGACATGGTCGAGGAATGTCGGCAGCTATCAGGAACTGTTACAATTTGTCGCAGTCGAACAAAATTTCTCGAGGCGTCGGCATCGGCATGCGGAGGTTAATTCCCCGACACCGAGTCTTGGCGTTCGATACCAAGGTCCCGTCACAGTTCTCAGCCTTGTCTTGCGATACTATGAGGATCTAGTATAGTGTAGCTGCTCCTTACAGAGTGACTGTCTGATAAACCTTTCTTAAATATCATAGTCTGAGTACTGCACGAGCACAAAGCAGTGCACCATGACTGGCGTAGCTGAAAGTGGGAAAAGGCTACCAGCGATTCTGTGTCTATCGATGACCGACAACTAGAGGGACGTCCTCAAGAAAGAGTATGCTACATAACAAGCTGGTTTGAAGCTTGTGTAAAGAGAGCTGCTATCCGCCCGTCCGCACTCTCAACACTCACGGCTTTCTTCACGCAGACCAGATATCAAGCGAAATTGCACAAAAGTGTTCGCAGCAAAGCTGTGCCCGCCTTCTAAGCCGTGACTCTGGGCTAATAAAGTCGTCGACACTGTTTGACCCCGATGGCTTTCGGAATGCTTCAATCTTTTTATCCCCAAAGCAAGGAGATCTTCTTCAATATACCTCCTTTGCCGGTGTGCTCCTTCTTTGCAATATCCATTCTTATCCACATTTCCGCATCAGCTTCGACTTCCCTCAAGCCAGTTGTCAAATCGACGTTGTGAGGCTTGAACATCCACGGGTCGTTTCTCCCCGCCATCAATTTGTGCCCAATCCAGAGCAGAAGAAAGATCGGGATGCCCAAGTAAGTGGTCAAGAAGCCGCTGGCCGTACGTCTCCCTGGGTAGAAGTGGAGCCATTCATCAAGAGAAGAAACGTGAAAAAATACAAGCAGATCTATGAGGCGTATGGCTGAATGCGTGAGCTGTACGGGACAGTGATGCCTTGTGCCACACACGCTTTTCGGAATCGGATGAGGACAATAGAGCAGACAACCCAGGAAGTGAAACCCGCGGTGTTGGTCAGGTTGATGAGCCAGTTGAAAACACTACTCCAGCATGAGAGCCGCAGCTTAGGTAGGCAAGGAAGGTAAAGCAGCTGCTGGCCGCCACCGCGTAGATAGGCCTTCCGTAACGGGTACATCTGGTGAATACCTTTGGCGCGCTCCCTGCAACCGCGAGGGAGTACAACGCTCGGCTCGACATGAAGAGGTAGGAATTGCCGGAGGACCACGCACTGGTGAGGATGCCTGCGTTGATAATGGATGGCAATGACCCATGGAGAAGCGTTAGCGTTGCCAGTACCGGAGACCAGACCATCGGAATCAGAGTTGGTAATGATGCCGATTGCCAGGGCTCCAAGAACATAGAATACCACCAGCCGGATGAAGAAGCGGCGGGCAGTGCTAGGGAGATTCTTGCGAGGGTTCCGCATCTCGCCGGTGGAGAAGACGATGAGCTCCGGGCCGAAGTAGAAGGAGAATCAAGAGTAGACCATTGTCCACAGAAAGGCGGTGAAACGGCCCCCAGCACCTCCAACAATGTATTCTTTAACCGCACCCGGGTTATTCCAGTAGCGGAAGCCAAGTCGATCATGGCTGGGACCTCCACCGAGCATGAGGATAAATGAAAGTAGCAGGAGACCGATAATCATGACGACCTTGATGCCTGCAAACCAGAACTCCGTTTCAGCGCAGATACCAACAGGGCAGAACTGCAGGTCGTCAGCAAGCTGTATGTAGAATAGAAGACTCGCGTATCAACCACAGAGCCTTTCCCTGGGAAGAGTACTTACGTTGAGGCCGACAATGACCACGAGCATAACGGTGATGAAGACGGCGATATGCACGTTGTTAGGCCAAAAGTCGATGACAATGTTTGCGGCGGTGATCTCGTAGGCGACGATAATGCCAAATGAGTAGAAGTAGAGCCAGCCCAAGGCGAATCCCAGCGAGGGCGAGACGTAGCGGGTGGCAAAATAAGCCATGGAGCAGCCAGACACGGGCATGAAGGTTGCGATCTCGGCCACTGCAGTGACCACGCCATAGACCAAAGCAGAGATTAAGCAGTAGGCTACCAGCAGGAACGCTGGACCGCCTCTTGCAAGAGCTTGACCAGATCCAACAAACAGACCAGTGCCAATGGTACCACCAATAGCTATCATCTGGGCATGTCGGGATTTGATGTTTCTTGTTGGTGCCGGCCACTTCAAGGAATTGCAACTGGTCGCCATTCGAGCATGTCTCGATCTTGGACAGGTCAGGGTCAGACATAGTCTTGCTGGGACTCGTGTCCTTTTCGAAGATGGCATCGGCAGCCATTTTAAGAAGCAGTAGATACCACAAACGAACAACAGAGAACAGACAGACGCGGACTCGAGGGCGAGTTGACGATTGAATGAGTTCTTTTCAGAGAGGAAGCATGACGATATCTATGTTCGTGTCGCGGGCGCTTCCCCCTAGGGGAGAGAGCAGTACTCCCATGCCTCCAGCGGGTCCACAGTGATTGCGGTTTGATAAGACTGTCGTCTCGTATCTGGGGGAGCTCCACCTCACTAGGAGCTATAATAATGAATGTCAAAGATTGTGCATCTCGGAAGCCTTCCTCAAATATCAAGTCCAGACTCCACCCCCGGACTATTTGTGACGGGAGAAGGGGGGCTGACTGGGGAGCCATAACGTCCAAGGAGACCCAAGGGCAAGTATCAACACTGTGGTGTGATTGAGATTCGGACTTGCCACAAAGCGGAAGCCATATCAACTCAGGAGTATAAGAATCCGTGCATGTTGAACTTTGGCACTTCTACCCAGTCAAATTGGCTATCAGCCCATTGGAACATAGCGTCACTTATTGAACAGCTCGCTCTTCAGCTATGGGTTCTATCGGCATTCAACAGGAACAAGTTTACGACGTCCTCATCATAGGGGCTGGCCTCTCGGGCATCTGCAGTCTGCACCATGTCCAACAACGTTTCCCGTCGTGGCGTATCCAGGTACTTGAAGCTGGTTCCGATGTTGGGGAGCACATGGTTCTTCAACAAATACCCTGGCGCCCGCTTTGACTGTGAATCCGTCTCGTATGGTTTCTCTTGGGACAAGGAATTGTTGCAGGAATGGCACTGGAGAGAAGCCTTCTCTCCGCAGCCGGAGACGCTGAAATACATTCAACGGGTGGCCGATAAAAACGACCTTCGTAAAGACATCCAATTCAACACGCGGATCACATCGGCCGTTAGGCACGATGACAGCCATACCTGGCATTTTGTGGACCAATCTGGTGTGACCTACAGGGCGACATTTTTCATCAGCTGTCTCGGCTTTCTCTCTGAGCCGACCCTGCCCAACATCCAAGGCATCGCGAACTTCCAGGGGGAAAAGTTCCACACCTCGCGGTGGCCCGAAGATTTTGTCCTGAGCCGCGATTTCGTCAAGGAACGTATTGGCGTAATTGGCACGGGCGCCACTGCCATCCAGGCTATCACCGAAATTGCCAAAGAACCCAGCGTCAAGTCTCTCGAAGTCTTTCAGAGGACGGCGAACTGGTCTGCGCCACTGCGGAATACACCGATCACGCCAGAGCAGATGGAGCGACTTAGGGCCGAATATGACGCTGTATTTGAACGCTGCGCGTCCACACCGATGGGTTTCCTCCACCAAGCCGATCCACGAAATTCAACGGATGTCACAGATGAAGAGCGACTGGCGTTGTGGGAGGCAATCTATGCTAAGCCGGGCTTCGCGAAGTGGTTGGGAGCATTCAGCGACACCTACACCGATCGAGCGGCCAATCAGCTATATTCCGATTTCATGGCAAATAAGATCAGGAAAAGAGTGCACGATCCTGCAGTGGCAGAGAAGCTCATCCCAAAGAATCACGGTTTTGGCACACGACGAGTGCCCCTGGAAAGTGGGTATTTTGAATCATACAATCAGCCCAACGTCCACTTGGTCGATCTGCAAGAAACGCCCATCGAACGCATAACGTCCCGGGGAATAGTGACTTCTGATGGCCAGGAGCACGAATTAGATGTTTTGATCTTCGCCACTGGATTCAACGCCATCACTGGAGCGTTCAGTGCCATTGAATGGAGTGCGAAAGACGGCCGACCTCTCCTTGGCAGTAGCGACACTGAGAAAGGACGACGAGCAATATGGGTTGACCATAGACCAAAGACATTTCTCGGTATTACCGCGCCCGCCATGCCGAACATCTTCATGGTTCTCGGGCCGCACCAACCATTCGGGAACGCTACACGTAGCATTGAGCACGCTGTTCAGGTAACGTCTGACTTACTGCAGTACTGCAAGGACAATAATTACACTCGTGTCGAACCTACGGAGGAAGCTGTCGAACAATGGACTGAACACGTCATTGAGGTCAGTAAGGGGGCATTGTCCCACGAGGTTGACAGCTGGATGACGGGAGTCAATACAAACGTTGCCGGAAAGCAGACTCGGATTGTGGCAAGGTAGACTGGCAGTGCCATCGAATTCCGCCGACGGTGCGAAGCTTCGAAATCAGCTGGTTGGGAGGGTTTGCAGTTTGCCTGAGCAGAGATTCTACCAATTGCTATGGTCGTCGTGTTTGGTAGAACGTGCATCATGTCCTCCTCCGCTCCACGATGATGTCCGCGTCATGTAGAGCTGCATTGTTTGGCGCCAGTCCTAAGAAAATACGACTTAATTTTGTCTATGAGAAGGTTCACCAGCTACCAATGAGACTATTCTAGCCAGTTCCGTCGATGCAGGGTGGCACGAGTCCTCATGCTTGTATGGGTAGAAAACCACTCCGATAAAGGGGAGTGGTCTTCGGACCTTCGGAGAGCCTTTAGGGTGTGCCGAGGGAAGTGCCAAGATTCCAGACGCTGACCACCTTCATTCCACTCCCTGGCCAGCATTTGGTCGCAGGTTTCATCATCAATAACTACTATGTAGCGACCTTCCACACCTTCCACACCTTCCACACCTGAAACAATTAGTCTCGGATTCGACGCAGCACTTATTAGCCGCCTCCCAGACTGGTTGAGGTCTCGAACTATAATTAGTAGGTGATTGCTGCGTCGGGTGGCGTCTGCTGAGGCTTCGCACGATGGGGGCCAGGCGGCGCCTAGTAAAACAGGGGAGCAAACCACTCTTGCATGCCATGCATGGATGCTGGAGCAATTGCCTAGTACTTGGCTCGCCCGTTATACTTTCACCCTCGCTGTCTTGATTAGCTCGGATTCTATCTTGCCTTATCATCTGCACAGTGTCGACTTTACAACGATTGACGAGATGAGATCAGGAGAATCTTATCACCAAGAGCCCTTCTTGTTCCGCGTGGATACCACCAAATCTCTTGCCGTCCCATCAAGGACCACAAAGACGACAATGTACTCCTCGGAGCACCTCCTAATGGAACCATGTGGAAAACCAGGCCGCAAGCACCGCGTGCCAATGAAAGACATCTTTCTCTTGTCTATCGAGGTCCTCTGTCTCGTTGCAGGGTTTCTTACCGTCTTCTGTTCCCGACTGGCGATTTTCCTCGGGCAGATCAATCAGTTGATCGTTGTTGGCTTCCTACTGGCTGTAATGTCGGTGTGCCTCGAAGGTCTAATCCTGCGGACGGCCCTCATTCACACGGCCAGTCGGAGTGGCCCAACAATTCAAGATCTCGACGCTTTGCTGCGCAAGGACATTTTCGCGTCCAAGGTCAACATAGCATACCGCATGCTTCTGTTTTGCCTACTAGTCCTCCCGATGTTGTTAGGTATTGGATATAAAAAGTTCGTTGGAGGAGAGAGCACGATAATAGTTGACAACGGTAACGGTTTCTTTGGCTTCTCGTCCACTCCGGGAAAGCAGAGAATTGGTGATGGCCTTTCCATCCTCCCCGATGTCTATGTCCCGTTTTGGATAGACCCAGCTCTCAATCAAACCTATGGCTTCAACATGTATATAGCTGCTGACAACAAGACCGCGGCAATCCTTGATTCTCCGTTTCCGTCGTACCTGAGTGGCCTCCAATCCAGGCTTTCTGATGGGGAGACTTTGTCGTTAACCGCTACTGTCAATGCGACCGTGTCGGAAATGGTCAACCCAACGGAAGCCGAGCGCAACAGTGAAGATTACTGGACCGCCGTGCAAGACGAGTTTGGGCATGATCTCGCAGTCAACGGCGGGGATGTTCGAGGGGCTAACAATGCTCTTTGGGCAGGAATGACGGGAAACTTCTTGACCAACTTTTCCGTGATGTACTTCTCGGCGTGGAACACAACGATGAACGAGACTTTCTTTTCCGAAGCTATCCGAACGGAGCAGACCCGTCGAATGGCGCAAGCCACATGGTTGATTTCTTCATCGAACATAACCCTAGTCGAAGCGGAGCTCATCGACAACAGCATCCTAGCAAACCAGAGCCTCCTGCAGAACAATGCCATCGGCCTGCAGGAGATGTTCAGCACAATGCTGGGAGAATACGACTGGCACAATCGAGCTGGGGATTTTGACTACCCTTACCCGGCTCCGACAAATGGCGAACTAAGATATTTTCAGCCTGTCAATACAGTACCAGCCTTGGCCGCAGCCATGGCTTGGGCGCGAATCACCAGCTTGGACACCATTGCTCGGCCACAAGGAATTCAAAGCGGAGAGATGAGGGCACTCACTGGATACGAAAAGGCCGCGCAGCACATTGTGACCGTCAAAACTGTGCCGACCCTCCGAAGACTGCCCATGCTTGGGGTGATTCTGTTAGTCAATCCCTTGTTGGCGGTGACTTGCATTGTAGCCAAGGCCTTGTTCCTCTATAAAAGTCCGATTGGGGATGACTTCAATTTAATTTCATTATTCGCAGCAGCAGATGGCAGCGACTTGAGTGCTGTGAAAGGAGCGTCTTTAACAGGCGAATTGACACGCAGGGTGCCAGTGAGGTTCAACGTCGAACGAGGTGGGCAACGGAACAGTCGAGGCGGAGCTGATCACATTGTCATGACTTTGGACCCGGTCGGCCAAAGGATGGAGACTATCCAACATGGGATTGTGTACTCGTAAGAGGGCATCTCTATTGAACATAAGTGTGGTTATGTTGCCTTGGGGCCCAGTGCTAAATGGATCGCCTCGGAAGAGGTTCACTTGCGAGTCTTGAATAGCTTCCGAGTCCGTGGGACTTTTCGTGATCAGCTTGCAGACTGGAAACTTGCACTAGCACATCCAGTCACCATCCACGTTATATACAGCTCCCGTCACGAAGGACGCCTCGTCACTCAACAGAAAAGCAATAACATTGGCTATTTCGATTGGCTCCGCTCTTCGCTTTTGTGCCGTTTGCTGGAGACCGCGCTTGACATCCTCAGGATATTCGCCAGCAGACATTGGAGTATTGACAGAGCCTGTGGCGTGAACATCAGCTCGACTTCATCTTGCTGCTTCCTCATGGCGACATGGCCTTGAACAATGCCTTTTTACCAGCACAATGCTATATAATCGGAACTTACCTGGAGCCACACAGTTGATCCGTATGTGTGGGTTTTCCTTTGCGGCCGTTCTGGAAAGACCAATGACGGCCGCTTTACTGGCGCAATAAGGGGAAACACCCGGGGATCCCATCTGGCCAAAGGTGCTGGCAGCAGACACCTGTACAAGGCATGTTCAGCGAACGCATGGACATTTATTAAATCAACAAGGAGACTTACAATGCTCCCTCCAGCTGTCATGGCCCGAATCTGAGCCCTTATACAGCAGAAGACACCCCGAGCATTGACGGCAAAGTTGAAATCCCACGTTTCGTCGGTCTCTTCGGCAACAGGTTTCGCCGGGGTGATGATGCCGGCCATGTTGACAGCTCCATCGAGCTTACCGAACCTCTGCAATGTCGCTTCGATCCAGGCATCAACTGACGGGCTGCTGCGGACATCGATGACCCTGCACATGTGCCTGTTGCTGGTTGGTAGCGACTCACATGCTGCTTCGACGGCGGCTTCGTTTATGTCTGCAAGAGAGATGAAAGCCCCTCGGGAGGCCAGTAGTTTTGCTGTTGCCAGACCCATGCCTGACGCTGCGCCGGTAATGGCGACCTAGAGGTGGGTGTGATTTAAAACCAGGCACAGCTTATTGATTGAGGTAGGCCAACGCACCACCTTGCCATCGAAGGCTGAGATGATTGTTTGTTGAGGTTGGTTGGCTTCTTTGGAGCGCTGCTAACGATGACCTTGACGCGGCTATCACGACAAAGTTGCTTTGTAAGTGAATCCGAAGCAGCTCTAGCTTGAGAAGGGAAGCATTGCCAGCGCCCTGAAGTCTAGCATCGAGCCCTATCTGGCAAGGCTGGGTGCATATCTCCTTAGCCCATCCCTGCAAGAAATCTATGCGCATATTGGCCAATTGGCCCTATTGATGTCGCCGCTCGGGCCCATATGGCCTAGGGGTCTTCGCCAAAGAGGAAGGCTATCCCTGGTGGAGCGTCTGATTTCTATTGAGAAAGTGACCCCACGACATTATCATACAGGTTGGGGCAAAACTTATCAACTCAATCACAACCTTCCTCTTTTCTTGCGCCAATGCCAGAGCCATGTGATGGTCTACCTGACTGCAAGATCCAAAAGCAGAAGGGGTCTTGATAGTCTCAGTACATCCAATGTCTACCCAGGCCGATGACTTGCAAGTTCCAGAAGCGGAGAGTCTGCGAAATCGATCCTTTGGTGGATGCGCCACGGTCCGCTGACCGCTCCGATCTCAAGCGTCAAGGGTGATTAACTGACGACGGATAGTGTCGCATTCGTCATGTCAAATGCGACGAAGGCCGACCCACCTGCTCTATGTGCAAGTATGCTAGGCTAGATTGTGCAGGATACGAAAAGGGCATCTTTTTCGATTTCGACCACGCCACCAATGCCCCTGGGGAAGGTATTGCCCGCTTCCGACGGTCGTTATTGACGGAGGAAGAGCGTAGACGCATGAGCCAATGGCTTCTGTCGAGCGTGCCTCCTCGATCGGTATTGCGTGTCCTGGCTCAAATTGACGACAATTCGACTGCTTCTCAACACGAAGAAATCCGCCGAGGTCCATTCGGGGCATTCAAGGTGAATTGCGTCCCCAATACCACTTCAAGCCCCACCGACTCTGTCCAAGAGGGAGAGGAAGGACCCTCTGAGCTGGATCTGGTGCGATTGACCAACGACTTCCTCGGTCCCTCAGACTCGGACTTATCGCCCTGGACTCAAGGGCTAGTCCAGGCCAATTTCAATCAATCCGACCAGATCTCGCTCCCGACCTCTCCAGATTTCTGGAACATGGCTGGGATCCGGGTTGTGTCCATGAAGTCTTCGATGACCACCTCTCAATACCTGAAAGCCAGGAGATGATCAACACTGCGTTCCCGCTGCACGATTACTCCTTCCCACATTACATACAAACGGCCGGCCCGAATCAGGCGACAATCAACCCCCAGGTCTCAGCGCTCACGGCCACCCACGAAAGTATCCCACAGGATGCAGTGACACTGCTCAAGCACTACGCGACCACAGTCATCACCCTCCTGACGCCACTTCGACACAACAAAACGCCATGGCACATTCTCTTTATTCCGCACATCAAGAACTGCCTCGCTGCTGTCACGTTGGGCGAACAACTCGACCATGCTAGTCTGACGGCATTCTATGCGTCCTTGGCCATCAGCGCTTTCAGTCTCGGAGGCGTGTCACAGTCTCAGATGTGGCGTGACCAGGGCAAGTTGTATAAACAACAGGCTCGGGTGCACGCCAGACTGATGCTCAAAACTGCCTACGTTGTTCCCAAAACGTCCAAATACAAGGCCATCCTGATGGCTCTCCTCACCATGGTGCAACTTTCGATGTGTGCCGGCACCCGTGAACAAACAGACTGTTATCTTGTCGAAGCAGAGAAGTTTATCAGGCTCAGGGGTCTCAACCGCAAGAAATCTCGAAAGTTTCGCTTGCTGCACCACTGTTACGTCTTCGAGAGACTTTTTCAAGAGAGCATATACATCGACAGCACAGATTCGCAGCAACGCCACCACGTTCGAAAAGCAATCGAATCAAGCGGCATGGCGGTCCACAGCAGCGACCGTCTGTCGTTCCGACCCCCTCAATTCGTCAATTTGGATGAGGAGATGTCAGAGGTGAAGAGTCTAGAAGTAGGCGAGAACGACCTCCACCTTGAATGTCTGAGGGAATTTCCACCTACCTTATACCCGGAGATCTTTGGCGTACCAGAATCTTGGATGCTCCTATTGTCACTGACCATTCGGCTTGCTAAGGAGAAAGACTCTGCCGACTCTGCTGACTCTGTGAGGCGGACAATACTTCAAACAATCCCAATCTGAAGAACTTCATGAGCCGAGCGAAAGCTATCGAAAGACGTATTCGTCGGTTGCAACGGTCTAACACTCAAGCTACGTTTGCTTCTAGCGATCTGCACATTTTGGATAGCATGCTCGATGCAGTCCAGCAGGCGTTGGCGATATATTTCTACCGGAGGATCTACGATGTGGACGCATCCTTGTTGCAGCAGAAGGTAATCGGCGCACGCGATTGTCTGCTCCGGTGCGAATACGCCGATCCGGGGGTGGTGCATGGCTCTGCCGGGTTTATCTGGCCTGCTTTTATGGCAGCATGCGAGGCCGAAGACCTGGGAGTGCAAGTCTCCTTCTCGCACTGGTTCAGGACGTCGGCGCAACGCAGTGGGCTTTCATGCTTCACGGCCACGCTCGAAATCATCGAGCAGATTTGGCACGAAAAGCGCACTTCAGGCCGCACGAGTGTCTCGTGGCGCGACATTATAAAGAAGCAGGTCCTGATGGAGCATGACCATTGACAGGGCGCCGGACAAAGGCAAGGGAGTAGTGTGGGATCTCTGCTGTAGCATACTATATTCTTCCAAGTAAGGATTCTAAACTGTATGATGATCATAATGTACAGTCCAATGTTGATCTCACTCACCGCTTCGACGCACGTGCAGGAGCCGAAAGAAGTGGAGAAGCAACCCATTGAAGGCTATGAGACTGATAGAATCTCCCCGACCGACCCAATTTCATGGGCCACGCCTACCGCTCGGTATAGCCGCCATCCACGAAAAGCGTTGTTCCAGTGACGAAAGAATTGCATCCCCCGGACAGGTACACCACCCCATCTGCAATCTCGTTGGGATTGCCCATCCTCTGCATGGGCACAGCAGTATTGACGCGCTCCATCATTGCTTGTAAGACCAGCGGCGACTTTGTCGTCATTGGCGTCTCCGTACAGCCCGGACAGATGGCATTGATCCGCAGTCCGTCTTTGGCATAATCCTCCGACGCCGTCTTGGTCAGGCCGACGACTCCGTGTTTTGCAGCCGTGTAGGCCGTTGACAGGGGGATTCCGACCGCTGCCTGAATTGATCCGAAAGTGACGATGGAGCCACGTTGTAAGGGTCGCCCGTCGATGCTGGAGAGGATGGGCTCCTGCTTCAGCATGACCCTGGCCGCTGCCCTCAAGACGAAGAATGTACCGGTAAGGTTGACGTCCAGGATGCGCTTCCAATCCTGAGTCTCGGCAAACGCAGCGCCGCCTGGGTGTTTCATAGCGATCCCAGCAGCGTTGACCACGTAGTCGAGACGGCCGAACTTCGTCGCTACGTCGTTGACCACCTGGTTGACCTGGTCTTCATTCGTCACGTCCACCACGTACACATCGACTTGGCAGGGGATGTCAGATTGGCGATTCTTCGTGGCTTCCACCTCGGCCTTGACGGCCATCAACGCATCGTGGTTGAGATCTAGCAGTGCCAGACCAGCGACGCCGTCCTTTGCGAAGGTCTTCGCGCATGCTCTACCGATCCCGGATGCGGCTCCAGTTATCAAAGCGAAGCCCGGAACGTCCATGTTCGTTTTTTTCTTTTGCCACGAATGCGATTGATTCTCGACGCTACTAGTAGCATCTTACAATCCGCCATCAAGAAGGTTTTATAAACCACTGCGAAAGACACAGGGCACGTGTCCAGCGTCTGCACAAAGGACACAATTCATGGGACTGCGTGGGTCCGGGGATACTTTCCTCTTCAACTGGGAGCTGGCACTGTTTTTGATTAGGTCGGCAACTCAGGTCAACTCACACACTGATTGCGGGTGGAGCTTATCTTGCAGCATCACCAGCCTAATGACTGATTCAACCGTCCACCCCTGCCTCGAAATTTGACGCATAGCCAAGGGAGATCAGATTTGTCGAGAGCGTCGAACGTCTTGCCGGGTAGATTGCTGACAAAGGGAGACTCACGTGAGTGGGGAGGAGCATAGAACGACATCACGCATTTTCCCAGATTGCGTGAAGTCGCGAGACATTTCATTCTGATCTTCAGCCTCGTGCACAGGATAACATGTTCCTATACCTGCGCTATCGTAACAATCATACCGAGTCCGGCGACGACAAAGATAAGGCACGACGCCATACGAGTACCGGCCATACTCTTCGATGGCAGTCGGTCCTTTTGACACTGGCCATGTCAAACGCTCCCAATTTACAAACGCTGATATCATCGCATCTGTATTGCGTCACGTCACACTTACGAGTCACTGGCCGAGGCCAGAAAAGTTCCAAGGTAAGAATGTATCAATGGAAACGGCTTTCGGATTTCTCGGATTACCCGGGATCTGTCAGTAATGGTAAGTATTGTTTATCTGCTACTATACAAATCAGTTTCCGTCCTCCTGTTCTAGGCGACCTTCTCTCAAGCCTGACCACCTCACTTGACTCCCACCCACGACAATACACTACAGCATGACCTCGCACAACCATCACCGGCCGAACATGGCCAAACATGGCGACCCCGATCCGATAGCCTACGAGAAAGAAATCTACCAAAAGGGCCTCTCGTACTCGCGCCCACCGTTCACATTCAATGCACTAGATTGGGAATCCCTCGCCTCCGAACGTATGTCCGCCGACTCTCGCGGCTACTGCATCGGCTCCGCTGGCACAGGCGAAACGGGCCGTAAAAACCGCGAGGCTTTTGCAAAATGGTCGATCCAGCCGTCTCGTCTCACTGGGTCAACATCGTTTCCAGACCTCTCGGTATCAGTGCTGGGCAAGAAATTGCCCTTCCCGATCGCCATAGCACCGGTCGGTGTGCAGAAGATCTTCAATCCGGACGGTGAACTCGCGTCTGCTCGTGCGGCGGCGAAGGAGGACGTGCCGTACATCATGAGCACAGCGAGCAGCGCATCGATCGAAGAGGTTGCCGAGGCCAATGGTGATGGCGAGCGGTGGTTCCAACTATATTGGCCGTCGAGAGAGAACGACAATATCACGATCTCCTTGCTTGAACGTGCGAAGAAGGCCGGGTTTTCAGCATTGATAGTCACTTTGGATACATATGTTTGTTCATTTCCACCCGTGCCAGGCCCCCTTACCTGTTCTTGACAAAATGATGTCTTCTTCAATCCAAGCGTCATGGGATATCACTTCAACTTCCCTACTGACACACAGCGTGCTCGTATAGATACTCGGTTGGCGCCCATCCGACATGAACAATGGGTACAACCCATTCCTCCGCTCCGACCAAATCGGCGTAGAAATAGGCTTCTCCGACCCCGTATTCCGCTCGAAATTTCAGTCCAAACACAACGTCTCCCTTGACGAGAATCTCGGCCTCGCCGCCGCCGAATGGACGCGGACGATCTTCCCCGGCACACCGCACTCCTGGACCGACATCGCCTTTCTGCGCGCCCACTGGTCCGGCCCCATCATACTAAAAGGCATCCAGACACCCTCGGACGCCCGCCGCGCCGCGTCGCTCGACATCCAAGGCATCATTGTCTCCAACCACGGCGGCCGCCAAGTCGACGGCGGCGTATCCTCGCTTGGCGTGCTACCTAGGATCGTCGACGCCGTGGGCGACGAGCTAGAAGTCTGGTTCGACTCGGGAATCCGGTGCGGCGCCGATATCGTCAAGGCGCTCGCGCTGGGAGCCAAGATGTGCTTGATTGGCAGGCCGTACGTGTACGGCCTGGTGCTGGGCGGAGAGGATGGCGTCGCTCATGTCCTGAAAGCGTTACTGGGGGATACGGAGTTGACTATGCATTTGGCGGGGATCAAGTCGGTGAGAAAGGACGATTTGGATCGCGATGTGCTGATAAGGGAGTCTGACTTGTGATGTCTGGAATGATTTCAACCCTGATCGCAGGGCCTCTTTCCCCTTTCAAGCATGCTCTCAGACAATGGACGTGGATGCAATGGAATGGCCGCCGTGGGACCGCGACCCACATGGTAGGACGATAGACGTGGATATGATGAGCTGCTGGGGGACATGCTGTTCTCATTTGATCACTTGCACAGGTTGCGCTCCTGGGGTAACACGGAGTCAAATGCGGATATCAAGAGGTAAACTCGTTCATCGTCCTCTTCCACCGCTTTCCGCACGCAAAGGTGGAAGATGAAAAGGGAGGATCCAACTTCTATATCGCTACCTATATGCTGAGATGCCTTTCGAGTGCCCGCCATACCGTAGTTAAAGCCCCTTCAATTGCCCGTGATCTGAACACCGCGACTTGCTAGAGCGCCAGAATATGTAGCGCAGGCGGAAACCATCCCTGGTCTCGATAACCCAAGTACTCCAAAAGTGCACCATCTCCTCTTCATGTCAACGCGGCACGGTCCCTTGCAAAAGTAATCAAGAGTCAGAGTCAAACTGCGCTTGCAGATTGACGAAGGCCGCAGGCCCGCCCTCCACCTCAAGCATGTCAATCAACGTCTCGGTCTGTTTCCAAGTCCTCTCCAAGGCAGCAGAAGGCGATCGTCCTAATGATACTATCGCATGTCAGTAACGTCCTCGATGCCTGTGTGACAGTCACTTACCCAGTATTGCAGAGTTGAGCTCCTCTGCAACCGTCACTCTACCTGAAGGATCAAGAAGATGACCATGAACACTGTCTTTTGGATCATTGTAAGCAACCAAGCTGAATATATCTTCAAGTGTTTTCGCATAATCTCCTTGTTCGTCTCGGTATTCTCTCATTAATTCCTGGCCGTATTGCATGGCTTCGATGAGCAGTTGATCGTGCTGGAGCATGGTCTCGTCTGCCGCTGATTTGCCCAGACCATTACTCGTGGTTTGGGCGTGAGGCTGGTCGTCAAGCTCCATATCCTGAGCGAAGTCGTCATCGGTAGCTGATGTCCTGCCAAAGCCATTGCTAGCTTTACGCTCGTTCAACGGCTTTCGAGTGTTCATCTCGGTTGTCTTGCTAATTAATTCAACCCACTTTCGGCACTTCAGTCGAAAGACAATGTCAGGATTTTGTGCAAGGACAGTTGGGAACTGCGCATGAGTGCATTCGAGAGCTCGATCGATTTCTCCAGATAGGATGGCGCGTCGAATTCCTGTGTGCTGGTTAGTGCCGAGTCTTTCGACAGGAAGCAGCCACTCACTCTGTCGATGTACAGCATCTGTGTCATCACGTTCTGGCTCAGCTGCACTGCTTGGAATGGCATTGCTTAGAGATTCCTTCTCTTTTTGGATCTCTTCCGCAAACGCCTTTGCAGTCTCAACGTAGCCGTCATGAGCGAGGAACTGCATGACTAGTTCTTGAATGAGGCTACTCTCATCTCGTTGCTCTTGTAAAGAAGAAGGTTTCGCCTTCGCAATGTCCTTTGCCACGTTGCTCTTCTCCGTCTCCATCTTGTCGTCAATGTCGAATACAAAGGGGTGTTGTCCGAAGTTCACCGTGACCAATGCGCCCGAGTGCTTTTTCATACCAATTGTAGGGAATGGCCGAACATCCTTTTTCAATTCTCTGAAGCAGATGCCAAGATCCTGTCCGTTCTTCGTGAAGAAAGCGTAGCCTGCGTTGAAATTGACACCGCAACCTATGATATCGCCGGCTCCGAAGGTAGGACCATAATTCCTGCCGGAATGTTCACCAAAGAACATCTTCCCGTCATCGCCATGATAACCCCATGAATGCGTCTCCCAACCTGGTAGCCTTTCCAGCGATGCCTCTGCCGTAGAAAATCCAATCGCGATAGCTGTGTCTTTGCTCTTGTGCTTGATTTCCACCTCGAAGTAATATATCCCACAAGCAGGTGACATGGGATAGTCTGCGCGTACAGATGCTGCCTCGATTTCCGCTTTGCTCACAGTCCCACTGTACTTCAGATCGAGACCATCATTCATGACGTCCAAGCCCGGGTATCTGTCCTGTTCACTCCATCGAGACGGTAAGGGCATCAACTGCTCCTCCTCTTTAGGTGGGTTGCTTTCTATGATATCGTACGTCATGCCACGATGCGAAGGAGCTATCCTGTGGACGTTTGTGTTTCCAGCACTGGTAGACAACGAATTGATCGCCGAAGATCCTCCTGTCGGGTGCTCTCTTTTTTTCCTCGCCTTCGCTTTATGTGCGGCTTCCAACTTCGCGACATATCTTGATGCTCGGAGGTAGGACGGTATGAAGAACTGACTGGCAGGCATGTGGCCGGTACCTAAAGCTGGGATGTTTGCAAACTTCCTTGAGTATGCGGGCAAGGACGGTGCCTTTCGCCAATGTGAGTTGTTGGGCGAATCGTGCTCCTGAGAGTACCGTCTTTGATGCGGATGTTCTGATTGGTAAAGAGGGGGATAAGGGCTGCTCGGAGTGGAAGTTGCAAGATGAGAAAAGACACCTGATCGAGTGGGAGCAGGTAGGTTCTGAGAAGTCGCGCCTGAGGCCACAGAAGCATACGACAGGCGTCTGGGGACGTTGCCACCGTACTGGCCCGGTCTACTGCCACTGCTGGCGCCTGCACCGTCTGCCATGTCGAAAGATTCGTTCAAGGCCGTAGTGTCAAAGGAGAGGCAAGGAAGAACTCGCTCAAGTCGACGAGAGGTTTGGTGCAGTGGTCACGAGGGAGTGGTTGGGTCAAATGGAGGTCCTGTGGTGGTTGGGCTGGCAAGTCGACGAAGGTCGCAGGAGGATAGGCTACGGCTTCGGACTCTGGTCGATATCCATTGTTTCGGCTTGCGAAAGGGAAGGATGACTTATTAGCAGGTTGCAATGTCTGGTGAAGCATATCAAGTGCTTATCATGCCGATATGGCGATGTTTGATGCAATACTAGTGTCATTTATTGGGCGGCAGCCGGTGGCAAGTCGTGCACTTGCGGGGGTCCGGAACTGAGGCGCTGCGGTCCAGCCCCAGCGTCATCTACAGCCTACCAAGTGCTCGTGCTCGCCGTGCTTTTACAGAGAGCGGCCAAGTTAGTAACTAGTTCTCACCGCCTACTCAATATCCTGCTTAGGGAGCATAAGGCCGGTGATGGGGCTGGAATCAAGACCTACTGACGCCGAGACGGCCACTAGAGAAGCAATGTGTGAAATGCTAATACGAAGCTTGCATGGCCAGCAAACCTTCATTCGCTTTCTATTGATACAGTAACCAGAAGGAAATGCCTCAAAGTCTCATCTCTCTACTCGACAAAGGCTCTTCGAAGACTGATGACAAGTCTTCACCGAACTTTGCCCCGTTGATGCCCGTTACATTTCCAGACCCGTCATGAGACCGTTGCCCACCTGCATGACAACCCGAGATACCCAAATGAGACTTTGTTCCTAGAACGCCATGCTGAGATAGGGATAATCCATAACCATGAAAAACTCCGTCGAATATGCTTGTTCTTTTCGAACCCTGGCACCCATCTGACGTGCAATATGCTGGGGTCAAAGTACACATGCAGGTTTGTATCTCCGAACACGACAGGCTCCCATAGGTGGTAGAGGGCGTCATGCAGAAACACTGCGCCAACATGTGGCAGATAGATGAATAGAAAAGTGCCCGTAGATCAGCCCTGGGCGGCAATAGCAGCTGGTGGTGGTGGCATCGGTACTGGGGAGCTGGGTGCTGGAGTAGACATAACCATAGGATCAAGCTGTTCGCCGGCATTACTGTCAATGGCAGTGTCGCTTTCGTTGGGTTTGATGTCACTGCTGCTCTGTTGGGAGATGTCTTTGGCATCACTTGATTCATCACCATTGAGCATGGCGGGCCTCTCGTTGCCTTTCCAGGAGGGTACCTCCCAAACGACACCAGTAAAGCTCTTCACGCTGAAAGCCTTCTTGATCCATTTGCGGCATGGTTTTCCAGATCGATCCAGGGCTCGAAGACCGGCGTTGATAGCGCCTTGATTCGCCTTGGGACCTAATCGGTGCCCACCAAGCATGGCGGGGAGTGACGGTCTGCCGCCAGCGTGGTCAATAGTACCATCGTCCCTGTACGACAAAGTCAGTATGCTATTATGTATGGAAGCGGACGACATGGTGAGTCGACATACAATCTTGGTTTCTTCTTTGGACCAGGCTTGCCTCGTGGTTTGGGCGTCCCATTAGACTCGGCTGCCATTTGGCCTAGACTTCTCTTGCTTCCTGCAGAAGGGTTCTTTCGCTTCTTCGAGGCGTCAGCACTCGATGCGTCGCCGTTTGGTGCCGGTGTTGAATTCGACTCAGAAGCATTGTCATTGACGTCAGGAACCTTCAATGTAGGAAGGTCATCGGCCGCAGGGGCAGGTGAGGATGCTGAGGAGGTTGTTGATTGTTCTTCTGTCTTGGGTGCAGGCTCTTCAAAGCGGCGTAGTAACTTGGGAGACAGCTTAAGTATGACTGTTTTTCCTTGCTTCTTGCTCTTGTCAGGTCGGGCTGAAGGTGATCGACCGGGTGTACTCGACGACGAGACAGCCATCATGAAGACTTGTGGTGTTGTGAGGTCAACGTGGTGAGGCTGTAAGGTGGATGAAGTCGACTTGAGCGGCAATTGGCCTCCTGGATGGTTTGCTTGTTGGATTTGGCAGGCGGCTGAAATTATTTTCGTTTGTGGAGTTTTGAGGTAATTATTATTGCCAGGCGTAGCTGGTGTTTTTGGTGTTTGTGACGATTAGCAGCGGTAATGGTGGTGAGGTGTCATGATGGATGAAGGTGATGGTAGGAGAGGAAAAGATGGGAGGGAGGAAATGATGATGATGAGACAGTGCTCATGGCTGGGGGCGTGTGAAGCATGGAATCCTCGGGATGGGCTTGGTTTGATTTGGCTCAGATCAGATGCGGACGCAGACAGAGTCTCAGTCAGTGAAGGAGCAGCGAAGTGTTACCGGAGACGAGGCGTCAAGCTGTGATTTTTCCTCGCAAGCGGAAAGGACCAATGGATTGCCTTGAAGCAGCGTGGTCCACTGACGCGCAACGACCAATCACCGCGCGCCCTCGGTGGCTGGAAAAGCTCCTTGCCTGTCGCTGCTTCTGCCCAGATTTTAGTCAGGAGCAAAGAGTGTCGCTAGCAGGAGCGTAAGCCTCCGTGGCCTCCATGATTGCCCATTCTCAGGCTTGTTGCTGTTGTCACATTGACCCAAAAACGAATCCCTGACGCAAGCACTTGACAGATTGATGGTAGGCATCGCCTGATTCCTCCCGTCCTGCCATCATCCAGGCCAGCCGCCTACTGAGCCATTCATGAATGAACCACTCAAGGAATCTCCATCCGCCTATCACTGCTAATGATTCCGCACCTTGATGAATGAGCAGACCACCATATGATGCATCCGGCTAAGAGGAGACGCCTGGATCAATCCACTGCATCTCTAACAAAGCCTTTCCGCTCACCGCTACGAAAAGATCCTAGTGATCCTTCCCACAAACCAAACATTACCAGCCCGGATACGAAGCTTCATCTGGACACTAAATTATCGCCACTCGTGACTACTTCGATTGATTCAGCCGAAACAACCAAAAAGCCTCACGGCTCCGCTTCCACAGGATTCGCTGGAACAGCCAATGCCGAGCACAGAGAATTACAAAAAGAACATGTTGCTTTGACGCTTCATCTGAAGAAACTATGCCAGTCGCTTGATGTTGCTCAGCAAGCCCTACAGATTGAGACATCAAACCAGATCGTGCAGTTACAAGTCTTGATCTCCAAGTGGAAGGCTGTTGCCCGGGATGTTGCTGAACAGCTATTTGATGAAGCCAAGGAACGAATCGACCACATGGGTGGATTCAAGGCATGGCAACATCGTGCTCAAGATGATGCACGTCTCTGGAACAAAGATGAGAAGACAACTCACCACTATCCCGATGATAGAAGGGACGAGAACGACAGCCAGCCCGAGATTGCGACCGCTGACAAAGATAATTTCGACGCAGCAAACCACTCGAGTAACGAAGAAGAAGAGCCGGATGTAAGTCTCATATTTTCGTTCCCTAGCTCCTCTGGGCGCACTAATGTACAGGGCAGACGTTCACGATGGAGACGATGCTTCGCGAAATGAACATCGACCTGCAGCTGATCGGGTATGACAAGGAGTCCGAAGGCTGGCTTGTCTGAAATCTCGAAGATGACCGCCCACCCACTGGAAAGCCAACTTCAAGGAGGAGGCTCTCACGGCACGAACTGTGGCTCTGTGGGTAGGACAGCCGACTCAACTCTCTGTCGGCATGCAGTGCTAGCGGCCCAGACTGGGTGAGTCGCAGCTGATATTACCAGGGAAACCAAGGTGAAGGTTCTTCTTCTCTCCCGGGTTCGCCATCATGACGCACAGGACCTGAAACCATCAAGGACAGACAGTCATTGCCAGGTTGCTGATGCTGGTATGAGGCATGAAGGACGAATCCCTCGGCTCTGAAGAGACTGAGTGGTGAATGCCGACTGCTCTTTTGAAGGCCGAATATCTGAACATATAGCCCGATGCTGTTGCTGAGAGCGGTAGATGGTTCTATTTGGTGGATGCAAACATCCCTCGCAATAGCGAACTTTCCGATGGATGGCAGTTGTGCAATGTCATCTCATGACGGGAGGTCGACTTTGTTTATTCCAGACCACTCGACTCTTGACCCATTCGACAGCCTCCTTGACCCCAGTTCCTCGAAGAGCACTGATTGGCAGGACTCGACTGTCGCGCACCATGCCTCCCTTTTCGCCTTCGAAGACCTTTCTGACAAAGCCTTCTTTGATTCGCACGACCTCCAGGCTGTCTTCGCGATCTTGTTTGTTGGCCAACACCAGGATCGGAATGCCTACGGCGTCCTCGTTCTCGAGCACACTCTCCAGGACCGCTCTGCACTCGTCTAGTCGTCCTTGAGATTGCCCAAGTGATAGCATACCTGGGGTCACTGGAGTCATTGGCGTCCATGGTGTCTGCGGCTCTTCATCGTCCGTCTTGCTAATGAAACTCTTCTTTCGTGTGTGCCATCCAGGTGTTCTAGGCGCTTCGTCGAGTTCACCGTTGCCTAAATCCGTGCTATCGACCACAAATACGATAGCATGTGCGCTTTTGTAGTAGCTTGTCCAAAGTCTCCTCAAACTCATTTGTCCTCCTACATCCCAGATCTTCACATACATGTCGGGGAGATCGATGGTTGCGACATTCTGTCCCACGGTAGGGACGGTGTTTCCTGCTGTGTCCGATGGTTCTGCGTCACCTGTTTGACCGGCGGGGTCGGTGGTAGTGTTGAAGAGTGCTTTAATCTGAGATAGAAGGGTCGTCTTGCCGGCATTGTCAAGACCAAGCAGAATTATGGAGTACTCTGATGGTTCGTCAGCTTCAACTGCGTGGTGCCGCGGCAGTTTCTGGATTGAGTGCTCACCTGGCTTACTGGTCGCGTAGAGATAAAGAGACCGTACCAGGTGGTACATATTGCGGGAGGCAGATGGGCAGGATGAAATCTATCGGCAATGCATTCAAAGTAAACAAAGACAATGTTGACAAGGACGCGATTGCAGCCACGTATATCATTGTTACAGATACCTTCACGGCAAGGATTGACGGTCGCAATCGCGAGGCATAACAAATGCACCAGGGTTATTGCAAAGAATTGCGACTTTCTTGTAACCTCATGTTGCTGCTGCTGATGCTGGGCAAAGGTTATCAATCCGTCGTTTATCGCAGATGCAAAGTTCACAGTCTTGGATTTGTCAGACAGCACTATTTCTCATTTTTTGGCTCAGATATCGGGGAAGGTGTTTTCGTCAGACTGCATGTGTCTTCTTTTGGGTGCAGCAGTCTAGGTGGCAGTGAGTCCAAAGGTCATTCCACTCGCCTACGCTTGTTGCGCACAGGAAAATGCGAGTTTCAACTGGCTAGGTGCGGTTTTGGGTTATACAATCATCATCAACAGCCTCTACCTTGGATAGTCAATTTCCCGCAGACAGGCTCGTGATGAAGGCTATCAGCCATTCAGTCAAGAACTACAAATGCTGTGATAATCATGCAAGTACAATATCCATCTTCAGATCCTTCAAAACGTCCTGCCACTGTATGTCCATGTCTGGCGGTGCAGCACTTCTTCTCCGCCACAGCTCCTCGGCTATGTCCTTAGAGAAATCGAGGTTTCTAAACCCATGCCTCCGCTTGACCATGTACCACGCCCTCATGCGCTGCTGCAAATCTGTGCTGAGACACTCACAAGCCACGATGAACGGCGGCCACACCAGCGTGCATCCAATGGCATCACCACCGAGAGCTTCGATGTCTTCGAGGTGACCAACAGCAATTTCAACAATATCCTGGACATCGTCTGGAGGCCGCCTTCGCAGCGTGCGCTGAAAGTATATGAGACTCGCGTAGTAGAACACGTATGCATGGTTCCGGGTCAATGCTTGCGCCACGGGGTCGAGGTTCTCTAGATCCAGCGTATCCGGCGACTGCATGTACAGTTGCATCTCAAAATCGTCGAGCATTTCAGCGCTCGCGTCCGGATCAGCTGTAGAGACGCGGTTGATCAGCGAATTCATCATAACAATGTGTTTGAGAATCGGGCGCGTCAGGCCGAAGAAGCGATCCAGCACGTAGTGTCGCTCGTCAAGGAAATCTTCGGATTCGACGTCGACGGTGGACGGCAGATTGATGTTACATAACGCCGCAATGGCGAGGTAGCCTTGATATACCATTGACGAGGACTTGTCGCGGTCCCAGACGTTGCCCTCGATTGTAGATAACCAGGAGGCGCCGCCTTGGAGGTGCGTGCGCCATTCGGAGGAGCGGCCTGTGATCATGTCCATGGCGGAAAACATGGTGATGGTGGCAAGGATGGATCCACGCTGGACGTCGACCTCGGGGTTCGACTTGAGGTTCGCAAGGCTGTGGCGTAAGTGCATTATTGCTAGGTTGTAGTGTTTCATGGCGAGAGTGAGGGCTTGGGAATCACCGTTCAGGAGCTGACTACGGCTGAATGCGGCCGTGGCGCAAAGGGCGTGGAAGAGCGCGATTTGTCCATTGGAATGGCTCGACGGGGAGGCGAGGCCTGCGAGAGCCATGGGCGTGAAGACGCTGCGGAAGGGGTTGTCTGGGCGGTCAACTGGGACGAGATGCCATGTGACGAAAGTCGTCCAATGGTGGATTAATTCGCGCTGTTCAGTAGGACGGGGAAGGAGGTCGAGATGGCGCGGGATTAGGAGGTTTGTTGACGAGGCCAAGTCTTGAATCGAGTGGAAGGGAATAATGGTTGAGTTAGATTCGTCGTGGTATGTGGATGGGCTTGTGATCGAAGGAGAGAAGATGGTCTCGATATCGTCTTCCTCATCAAGTCGATCGAATGACAGTGTCTGCGACCCGTGGACAGGAAAATCATCTTGACTTTGCTGTGCATTCTCACACGTAGTCTCGTGGTAGGGAACGTCTCTTGGATCGTATCCTTCCACAGGGAAAACTGAAAATGGACCTGCGGATAGTCCTGTCGCGCTCGTCGAAAGGTTTTCTATCGCATCAAGTGCCTCAATGACATTGACTTGCATAAACCCAGAATCTTCATCGTAGATAGCCGGGGCACCAATCACCCGTCTGATATTCTGCTCGCGTTCCTGGGTATTGGGATCAACCCAGACAAGTCGGATGCCATAACCCTGGCATGTGAAGCCACCCTTCAGACAACGCGCACATTCAGGACGCCCTTCATCGCACTTAACATGCCTGTTGCGACACGTCCAGCAGGCAGTAAAGGTTTTGGTGTGCTTCACAGGCTGGCGGGGTTTGGCTGCTCGACCGCCAGTGGTTGGTTGTTTCATCAGGCATAGAAAGACATGCCGTACTGCGAGCTGCCTGTACCTGAGCGGTGTGTCGAGGTCTTCGCCCACACAATCGCCCACAAGTATGAGTCTCTTGCCCTATTATTTCCGATCAATATCAAATTTGCGACAAAAGGTGTTGAACATGTACTGGCACGACTGGGTGGCACCGGTGGACTGGGCATTGGCGGAAGATAGTTTTTCCGAGTCAACCCCGCCAAACTTGTACTTTATTCCGTTTCGGCTTCGTTACGCGACGTCAGTTCCGATCCTCCGCTGCAGCGTTTCTGCTCAGCCTCGCCAGGCGCACCACACTATTCCTCCGCAAAGGCATTGATACAATCTATTGTCTCTCCGTGATCTCCCATTCTTGATTGCTTGGAAAGCAGTCGCTCTAATGTCGACTTCGATCCGGATCGATGTCGGTCCATATCCAGTTTGATCAGCCCGAGTCCAGATGCTACACCAATCTCGATTTTGTCAACGGCAGAGTTATCCTTGTCCTCCCCCTTGATGCCGCCATCAGCGCTGTCACCGTGAAGCTTGAGGGCGAAAGTCGCACTCGGCTGTCCGGACCTAAATTTCCGGGGAATGAACGCTCAGATAAGAGAAGATATGAGCTCGAGGTACATAAGGTGCGCAAGAAGACCTTCCGCATCGTGGCACGCGCTCACCCAAGGCCACAGCTTTTGTACAAGGTCCTCACTGTTTTTCCCACACCTGAATTCCAGGAGAAGAGCAGCGGAGCCGCTTATACACTCCTGGCTGGGCAATATGTGTATCCTTTCAGTTTCAAGGTCCGAGGTCATCGGCCCCGCCAGCACATTGCGCCCTCTGACTAGCCATCTAGTTCCCTTTCAACACCGACTGTCAAAAGAAGAATCCTATGGCGATGAAGGACCTCAAGCTCGGTCAACTGAACGTCCAATTTGCGCCAGACATGAACAAGCATGTAAAGAAGACTCTGCCGCCATCTTTGAGCGGCTTCCCAGGTGAAGCAGAAATTAAATATTATGTCAAGGCGACCGTCGTGCGGCCCAAGTTCTTTCAGGGGAACATCCGGACGGTATCGCACCGCACTCCACCGTCTCATACCACAACAGAATCGCTAACAAATTTCAGATATGTGACATAAAGTTCCTCCCTATCGAGCCTCCACGGCCACTAGATCGGCACGAAGAGACGTTTGCCCGCCGTAAACGACAATTTCAACCATACCCTGGCGCTTCGCAGAAGAAAGGACTGTTCAAGAAGTCGTCGACTCCGCAGTCTGCAGAGGAAGAACCACCGGCTTTTCAAGTCGATGCACGCCTCCCGAATCCGGCCGTGCTCACCTGCAATGAGCGTCTTCCACTACGTATCCTGGTCGAGAGACTCAACGACAGCTCAGCCAGTGTATACCTCAGTATGTTGCAGATTGAGTTGATTGGTTACACCCATGTCAGGGCGCATGATTTGGAGAGGATAGAGAATGGGAGCTGGATCTTGATGTCGCAAGCTAACATGAATATGCCTCTGGGAAGCCCTACTGATAAGAATCGCAAGGAATGGAAGTTGCCCTCTAGGTTGTGGGATGATTTCCCCATACCCAACACGGTCTGTCCTTCCTTCGAAACGTGTAACATCTCTCGTCGGTATGAGCTCGAAGTTCGAGTCGGTATAGCTCATGGAGTGGCGAGTAGTATGCGGCCGGAACTTATCGTTCTGCCGCTGCGTCTGCCAGTGATGGTATACTCGGGCATTGCACCCCCACCACAATTACTACGAGCAATGGCCAACAACCAACGACCCCAAGCTACAGGGTCACCTCTTTTTCCTCGACCAAACCAGAGCAATGGAACGTCCGTGCAATCACAGACGCCGACAGACACGCCGACTACTCCACTTTCTGAGATTCACTCGCACCCGGCCCAAGGAGTGTCCTATAATCATGATCAGCAGTCAGATATCCCCGATGAAGCTCCACCAAGCTATGAGGATGCGATGGCAGATGAAATAGCACCTGTGGATGGCCCGAGGCGGGAGTACCATGTACCATCACAGCCGGACCAGGAGCACGTTTTTAATACCGAGAAAAGCGGACTGGGGCGAAGGGTGAGCGAAAGGCTGTTCCCAAGCAACGGGCCTTCGAGCAACAGGCCGTCTAGTCCGACCCGGACGGTGTCTATGCCACATGCACTGCATGCAGAGCCCATAATAGAGGATGATGGAGATGTTAACTCTAGTTCACCCACGAAAGCAACTTCTGGTGGGCCGTCGTCTTGGAAACGGAGCTTGACTGGGAAGAAGGAGTGATCGGTCAGCCTTGGGCTTTGAGCGAAGCAAGCGTGGCGTTAAACTCGGATTTACCTGCCCATATAATGAATCGGCTCGTTAATGAAGCAAGGCAGAAAAACCCCAGGACTGTGAGCTCACGATATCCACCTATTTTCCAGCATCGACTGCAAGTCTTGAGGGACCCAAATTTAGCCACGTGATATGACGTCCGACGGGTGATGCTCAAATACTAGTAAAGAACTTCTGCCTGTTTGTCCTGTGCTCAACCTCGTTATACGCTTTATGCGGCCAACAGAAAACTCTCCCTACCAGCTGTACCTACCTAGGAAGGCAATGGTGACCCTCGTTCTGATCTTGATGTCACATTTGGTCTAAGCATTTCACAAGATACAAGAGCGATTCACCTGAGCGCATGGTCGCGAGATGGAGAGCATGAAGGACAAGGTAAGAGATCCAGCTGCACTAAAAGAAGCAGACACGGTGGTGATGTCGCAAACGCTTTGTCACTAACGAGGGGAATGTCTTCGTGATGAGTTGGTGCTTGACCAGATCAACTCCGAACCGTCGATCTGGTGTGCAAGAGAAGCACAGCTAATTTGTTAGACACCAGGTACGGGCGGGCATCGAGGCTCGGGCTCGACATCCTTTGCCGCCCTAGGGGCTGCCCTTATCCCGACAGCCATCACCGCTGTCATATTCCTGCTTGCCTTCCTGCTACTTCGACCCAGGTACAAGAACATCTATGCACCGCGGACATATTTTCGCACCATTGATCGCAAGTAAGTATTGCCAATTGACTGTCAGTCCATGCCAACCATGTTCAGGGATCGCACTCCGTCATCAAGCCACAGTTCTGTATCCTGGTACCACGACTTTCGAGCCCTCGACGACAAGTTCATCTTGCGTCATTCCTCGCTGGAGGCATACCTCTTCCTACGCTACCTTCGCATGCTTGTCCTTATCTGTGTGGTTGGATGTTGTTTGGCTTGGCCGGTCCTTTTCCCAATAAATGCTACCGGAGGCGGTGACTCGACTCAGTTGGACAAGATTTCATTCAGTAACGTCTACGATCGCCGACGGTTGTACGCCCATGCTGTGATTGCCTGGGTCTTCTTCGGTATGTTCTCACCCGTCAACGATGGCATGCATATTGACGCGTGTAGCGTTTATTGTCCTTCTTATAACCCGCGAAAGACTTTTTGTGGTTGGTCTTCGTCAAGCATACCAAACCACCCCTCTCAATGCAACTAGATTGTCGTCTCGAGTGGTGTTGTTTCTATCCGTCCCCCCTGTAGGCCTCCGGGAGGAAAACTTACAACGATTCTTCGGGAAAGATGCTGTTAAGTCTTGGGTCGTATCGAACTTGAGTCACCTTGAAAGCCTTGTTGGCAAGAGAAACAGCAAAGTCGACAGACTCGAAGGTCTAGAATTGCAATACATACAAAAAGTCAACCTGAAAGGAGATAACGTCCGGAACGGGCATGACGGGACCGCCGTTGCCACTGGTGGACAGCAGCACCGACCCAAACATCGATCGCAATACCTAGGCGGAGATAAGATTGCTAGCATTTCTCAGCTACGAGAAGAGATCACTGGCATCGTTTCTGATGTGGATCGAGTGCGACAAGCTGACTCCAGCCGACCAGAAACCAGCAAAGGTGCCATCTTTGTCGAATTCAAAGACCAAGCCAGCGCTCACCAAGCATTCCAACAAGTGCGACATCCATCACCTCTTTCACTGCAGCCCAAGTATATTGGTGTCCAGCCAAGAGAAATAATCTGGCAAAACCTGAACCTTGATCCATCACTACGAATTGCCTATTCGTACATGGCAATAGCTCTCGCCCTCGCCACTATCATCCTGTGGTCTATACCCGTTGGCATCATTGGTACCATTTCCAACATAAACTACCTGACGGACAAATTTCACTGGCTTCGCTTTATCAACAAGCTCCCTGAACCAGTGTTGGGACTATTGACGGGTCTGGTACCGCCACTGCTACTGAGTAGCGTGGTCTCCTACGTGCCATATTTCTTCAAATATGTGGCGACACTATCTGGGCAGCCCACCAGCATCGAAGTCAACAAATGGGCTCAAACATGGTATTTCGTGTTTCAAGTCGTCCAGGTCTTCCTCATCACAACCTTTTCATCTGGGGCTGCTGCTGTAGCCAACAAGGTCGCTAATGAGCCGACAAAAGTACCAACATTACTCGCAAAAAACCTGCCGAAAGCATCCAATTTTTACCTGACATACTTCATCATTCAGGGCCTGGGCACAGCGTCCAAGAACATCATCAATTACTCCGATCTTTTGTCGTACTTGTTCTTCTACCACGTCATGAGCAAAACACCTCGACAAAAATTCACTGCCTATTCCCAGATGAAAGGAATCAGCTGGTTCAATGTCTATCCCAAATTTACCAACCTCGCGGTGATTGCGATAGCATATTCATGCATTGCCCCTCTTGTTCTGGGATTTGCTGCAATCGGAATATTCCTTTTCTACTTGAGCTATCGGTACAACCTGCTTTACGTTGTTCGAGTGAAGTCGGAGACGCGAGGCGAGAGCTATACGAGGGCTCTTCAGCACTTGATGACCGGAGTCTACCTGGCAGAACTCTGTTTGATCGGTTTGTTCGGCATCAAGAAAGCCACAGGGCCTTCGACTCTTGTGTCATTACTCTTAGTTCTCACGGCTCTTTATCATTTGACCGTCAACAAATACCTCACACCTCTTGAGACTTATCTGCCAGTGGATGTTTTGTTAGGCGATGATGAAGAAGAAGAGCCGCTTCTGGGTGCCGAGAGAGATGTGACGCAGCGTTCTCGCGTCTACAAAGTCGGTGCCGGCAAGGTGCCACCTACGCTGCTCGACCCCCTGGCCGCCTTTCTAGAGCCGCATATCTTCGCCTCACAAGAAGCTCTCCGACCGTGGCTGTATGATCCCGAAGGGGAGTTCGAAGAGTCCAATTCCTACACCGACGAACAACTGAAGAATGCGTACTTGAACCCCGCATTGACGTCAAAGACGCCTAAAGTCTGGATTCCAAAAGACCCAAAGGGGGTTTCAAAACAGGAAGTCGAAGAGAACGAGAAAGCAGGGCTGCCGAGCACCGACGAAGGCGCGGAGCTGGGCCCATCGAATGAAATATTGTGGAACCAGACCGATTTCACAACCGTGCCTATCTTCAAGGAGGTAACAAGGTATTAGCGTTGAGGGTGCGATCGTTGCTGGTGCTATTTCAATAGGGTTCCTGTCTGTACCATGCTGCCACGGCTCACCCTTATCTTGCTATCTATTCCGCGGGATAATGTTCCAGCATTGATGGCAGTTCTTCCGGTCCTGCAAGGAGCAGATGAGGACTGAAGAAGAACAGATGCCAAAATAGGAAAGGTGGACATGCAGAGTGGTGGTGATTTGGGTTATCAGCCCGCCAACCCCAAGCCACAAAAACCCAGTTAAGCACAGTGCATGCATCAAGTTCGGTAAGTATACGGCGACTTGCCAACCTCACCCTGCTTGCTCAGCCCGCACTGCCGCTCCGTCGCAAGCGCTTGCTGCATTCGCATACCGCGTTGGCCAGGCATTCCGCTGACAACGCTACCGTCCATATGCACTGGCCAATATATTCCGTTATGGCGCTCACGGCCCCAGTCTTCCAACTCCCTGTACTTTTGTCGATGCTTCGGTAGGATCGTATTCTCCTATGGCTGGCTGGACCCCTGCCGTTTCTCTTTGCCCCCTTCCCTACGACGCGAACTCCCCTGGCTAATACAGTTGAAAGCTGACGCAGAACCAGCCAATTGTCGGACAGTACCAAGTAGTGACACTGCATCACTCAGTCTCGGATTGGGTGTTTTTCCAGCTCCGGATAAGCCGGCCACACAGCCTCATGGCTACCGCCAGAGCTCATCTCGGTGGTTGCAACCACCTTTCATCGTTACCGACCAGTATACAGCAGCACCAGGGGTCATGGTCTCATTGAGACGGCAAGACCTTACCCTGAAATGGCGCCCGTGAATCAGACACAAAGTCAAAGTTTCGAGACATATAAGACACCGCTGGTGCTGGTCCCTCCTCACAATTCCCACGAAAGAACGCATTATCGACGACTCCAGCACAATACATAGACCCTTATCAATCCACGTCCTAGACAGAGAGGCCGTCTTCTTCAAGCAGAATGTCTTCATCAGTCCGCCCGTCAATCCTCAGCCGCCTCACACACAGCTCCTCCTCCATCCGGTCCACCTCATCCTCGTCCTCCTCATCATCATATGCGTCAACATCATCTTCCACACCAAGTGGCTGCCGAGACTTCCAACGTACTAGGTACGCTAAAGATGGCAAAGGTTTCGACTTCACCTCGACATACCCGTACAGTACGCCCGCCGCCGTAGTAGGGGCTGCCAGCACAGCAATGCCCGTCGGCTGCCGCGACTTCAAGCTCCGCTATGCAAAGGACGGCAAGGGCCATGACTTCAATCCCTCCTACAGCTATCCACCGTCCACCGAGACTCTACCTCTTGTTGCCACGGCCGCTGTCCCTAGAGGATGTCAAGACTTCAAGGCACTGCGCTATGCCAAGGACGGGAAGGGGTACGACTTCTCAGCATCGTATCCTTATGATAAGAACTAAGGCATGTCATGGTCATGGCCATGGTCGGGCAATGATGTTGCTTTCATAGCGAAGGCGTCCAGTCAGATTGGCGTGATAGGTTCTTGGGGCCGCAGGCGTTCGCTGACTCAGTCTTATTTTGCCAAGGGCAACAGACAGTGGCTGGACTCGGCATATTTCACGATTCCATCGGTCACCGACGATGTGGATGCTGGCGAAGAGGACTTCATGCCTGTCGAAGACAGTGCGAAGAAGGTACTCGTCAGGCAGCCGTCATCAGCTTTGCAATGGTTATGCTTTCTTGTTGAAGGCCGTTTGGCTGTCATCTTATGTACGAGCATCGAAGCACGAATCGAATCAGGATTTACGATTTCATAGCATTGGGTCCAGGTCACGCCTGGGGATCCATTTTATCAGTTTGAGAGGAATCATATTTGCATGTGAAGTCTATAAATTCGCTCGTCTAGTCCTGTCCATGCTGCGTAGGCTTGATGCCCTTCGAGACCTTATCGTATCTACACGGAATTGCTTAGAAGAGGCGTCTTCTCCGAACCCACTGCCTTGACCACGCCTGCATTCGCATGCAGCCACTCCTGCACCACGCCCTTGTAGTCCGATGCGCGATAGCTCCAAAACAACTCGGCGAACAGATTTGGCTTCCTCCAGTACGGCAACTTAAGATCCTGCAGCAAGAGATCGAAGTAGGGAACCTGATCGAACACCAGATCCGGGAAGAACCGACCGTGGCCGAACGGGGCCCGGAAGTGGGCGAACCGAGCCATGAGCGCCGTCTCGTCGAACACGGTCCGCGTGTCGATGTCGAGCTTGTGGTTTAGATAGGCGTATGCCCAGAGACATTGGAGTTCGCAGCGTGGCGTGTTCGCCAGGTTGCTGAACATGCTCACGAACGCCAATGAGTGGTCGCCGTGCGTGGTGGGCCCAGGAGGCGCGATGCCACGGTACAAGCGAAACGGGGAGTAATCCATCTCTTTGTCGACGCCCGGGTTGTACTGCTTGATTGTGCTGCTGCTGGGCGAGAGGAAGGGGCCGCTGAGCAGGCGCGGGAACTGGGTGGCGATGCGCAGGTCGGCTTTTTCGTTCATGTCAGCCCAGAATGCTTGCTGCGCGTGGGTGAGGTGCGTCGAGGGGACGCCGAGGTCGGAACGGCTGCTGATGGGTGTGAATGACAGTGTGGGATGGGCGGAGAAGCCGGTGGCCGTGATGAGTGCGTCGACTTGGATCGAGGTGCCGTTGGTGAAATTGATGTGGCCGGGGGAGAGGTGCGAGATGTCTTCGCGGTGCACGCGCACTTGGCCGGTCTTGATCATCGTGTAGATGTCCTTCTCGAAGTTGTACACGCCTGAGGCGGTGCCGTACCAGAAGGGACTATCGGCATGGTGGTCAGTATGGTGAGGAAGCTGGGAAATGCAGAAGGGTTCAAGGAGGAAGGAGATGTGCTTACCTTGTCTCGGGCTCCAAGACGCTGGTTTTTTCGTGGTTGCGCATGCCGCAGTCCGTTATCGTTGCTGCGTGCAGGTTTGCCCAAAATTTCTGTGCAATCATCTTGCCCAGGGTGGTGGAGTGCAGGAAGTCTCTGATCATGCTGAATCCGTCGTTCCAAAGACATGGGCTAAAGAACGAGACGATTCGTCGCGATGGCAGAAATTCCCGTGGGATCGTGAAGGGACCGATCTTGGTGCGGCTGGGGAAGATCCATTCAGGACCTTTGCCGGACTTGCGGATGATCCATTCGACCTGGCGACCTGCCTTGCCTGCGACTTGGACAGAATCGTATGCTGATTTTCCACCACCGAGGACGGCGACGGTTTTGACGGAAGGATTTTCGAAGAGGAAGGATCCCTTAAGTCCTAGCTCTGCCGAGTGGATAATTGGGCCGCCGAAGTCTTCTGCGCCTTGCAGGACCGGTCGATGAGGAAGGTTCGTGATGCCGGTGGCAATGAGCAGTTTTTTGGTTTGGAATTCGTTGGAGCCAGTTTCGGTTTTCAATCTCCAGCCTTGCGAACCCTCGAGTCGTGAGATGTCGCAGACTTTGGTGTCAAATTCAATCAATCTCAAGAGGTCGGACCGCTCAGCGTAGGCTTGATAGTACTCGTGCATGACTTCGCCTGTTGGATGTTGGCCGTCAGGGATGCCGAAGCCATCGTGCATAGGAAAGTCGGAGAAGTCGATGCCACCACGCAGATTGTTCGTCTTGAGACCTGGGTAGATGTTTTCCTTGGACCATACGCCGCCGATAGTTTTGTTCTGGATTGCATAATATTTAGTCCAGATAGCCTTCCAGGAATATTGTGGTCTTAGACGTACCGCGTCGAGAATCTTCACTTTGGCGTCAGGCTCACATTCGAGTATGGTTTTCGCAGCGCACAAGCCCGACGGGCCTATCGACAGTCAGTGGTCAGATCAGATAGAGACGCGGACAGGCGAACGTACCAGCACCGACTATGAGATAGTCAAACATCTTGAGCTCGCTGTCAATCTGTCACGCAGGTTTGTGTTGCACAAGGCTGAAACGACAGGGATGCGACACAAAAGAGATGGATAAACAACCCATCTCTGCCTGAAGTGACATTCACGCAATGAAGAGCCTCAGATCAGCTGTACCGCACCTCTCATAGCTCGTATGAGGCGGTGGAAGTGAATATCTGCTCCAATCAGCGACGCCCGTGGACAGTGACTTATCACTTGTTACTGGTCATTCTCGTATTGCCTCAGCTTGACCTGAGTAAGCCCAAGGATCTGGACCTGTAAGCTGACCGACCCTTGGTCCTTATCATTCAGCCCAACGCACGATTGGCGTCTACACGTGGGCAGGAAGCATCCGCCTCGTTTACTGCCGCGGGTAGAATATCATTGATGATAACCGAACATCAGTCTACTGCTTGGTTTCTGGATTCGTGGTTGACGTTGGCTTAGTGCCAGGAAGAGCGAGGATTTGATATCCTTCCCCACCTTCTGGAGCAGCATTTCCCAGCCTTACCAACCGGTTAGTGATGTGCAGTACGCACGGATTTGGAGTAGCACGTCTCAATGGATGGATAATGTCGAGCCTATCTTGACTTGTCGCCTCTTGCAGTTGGAGCAGCCGGTTCTTGTCTTCGTGTGGAATTGTCGCGATGCCATAAGCAGCCAAGGAAGTCGGAGTAGCAGAGCTAGAGATGTCTGGAGAACAACAGAAGGTGAGATTCGATATTTCGCAGAGTAGCGTTGATTCAGGTCTCCTACCTTAGGTAAGTAGGTAGCCCAGCATTAGCGTTTCGGGGCAGCGGTTTTAGCCCGGTACAGCCTACAGGTCCTAAGCCTAGGCTATTGACCTACCCGTGGGGCCCATCAAAGCACGATAGGTATCCGTACTTGGTACGCCGTTCACTTGCAAGTATCTCTAGCCCGACTTTGTGCAGCGACCTGGATGGCTTCCATCCGAGCAGCATAAGAGCATTGCTGACTCCCACGACATCCGAATGTCCCAAACGTGGCTTATCTCACAGCTCCTCGAATCATGGCGACATCAGCGTTTAAATGCCATCCTATTTCGACACGGAAGAACCATTTCATTTCTTCCACCAGAACAGATCCCATCGAACTCGTGGCCATTATATACCTTGATACGCCTCGAGATCGTCCTAGTCCTCTCACCCTCTTCCATCTACCGGACATAGAACTCTTTGTTTTTTGACGGTGTTCTCAACTTGTCACCGCGAACCTTAGGTTTGCTGATCATCACTGGCAAACAATGGCTCTTCTCACGTTCGCACGCGTCATCATCCCCGGCTTCATCCTTCTGGGCGTCCAGTGTCTGCACATCTTTGGTGAAGCAAATGGAACATTTCCCCAGATCATATCGTTTCGAGACAAGCGACAACTACCAACTCCTACAAGTAGTGGCACAAACACTAGTACCTTCCCTGAGAGCTTCACAGGATTCGATCCCCCCGACGGACTATTGTCGACGTTGGTCGTGTTCTTCTGGCCGTTGGTGGATGGGAGCAGCCCTGATGCAAGTCTGATAAGTTTCCTCTTCGCCGGCCAGGCTGTGGCGCTTTTGACGGCCATCGCTTTGGAGGCTTCGAGGACCGCAAACCATTCCCGGATTGTCAGCTTGTAAGTTGTTGCCTCGACCCCGTTCTATTCCTGGCTGGCTGGCTGGCTGTGATTGCTATCTATGCTCCCATGCCTCACAGCGAGCTTTGCACTCTGTAAGACGATTGCAGCCCACCCAAAAGTTCGGCACAATGAGTGTCTTCCTAGTAGTCTGCTGACCCCCCTCGATCAACACACAGCACCACAGTCTACGGAATCTTGTTCCAGTCGATCGGCGCCGGCGTGATTGCCCCATCGTACCTGACAATCTATCTATTCACCTCACCTCTAGTCACTTCAACCGCCGCGCTGACGCCTCTCGCGTTGTCCATTAATGAAGGCATTCTGGCCGCCCACCCCTTTGGCGTATTGATCGGGTATATCGTTCCCACAATCCTCATGGCACTCCCCGCCCCGGAGATCATATCGCAAAACTCCAAAGTCACGGCGATTGTCGTCTGGCAATTCTTTCCCGTGTGGACCAGCATTTGTACGTTCATGGGGAAAGTGGCTTTCGCATCCACCAAGCCATATGCGAGCCAGTCGGACGCCCTCCGCCGACAAATAGCATGCCTGAGGACTGTCTACAAGCTCGCGCTGGCCATCAGTGTCCCTGCTCACATCGCCACATGGACGCTTTCCTTCTCTACGGTGCTGTTCCCGGGTTTGTTCGAGGCGCATACTGTGGAAGCCTTCCATCCATCGAACGTAATCATACCGCCGAATCCATTTGGAGCCATCAAGGCCGAAAGTGTGGCGCAGGGTGCACACTGGTTCCTGCAGTACGACTACCTTATCACTTCGCTGGTTTACTTGATTTGGGCGATGGTGTCTAGGTATGGTCAGAATGTGAAGTGCGTGAGGAGCGAGACGCGCAGATTCGGAATCGGAAGTATCCTCGACGTCACTGCGAGATGCGTGGTCCTAGGTCCGATGGCCACGGCATTGACCCTGCTGTGGGATCGCGACGAGATCGGCTTCGCTTCTGTAGACACGAAGGCGATCAAGAAGACAGCATGAGTTGCTACTGCGACAGGTAATGCGCACATATGGACTCAGAGCTGCTGCCACTGGACTTTGTAATGGACGTCAAAATACGCCGTGTCTCAAAATTTGTACTTCAAACATTATCACTCATCATCCCTCCTCCTCCTCATCGTCGTCATCGTCGTCGGCCTCGCTGTCTTCTGGGCCGAACAGCTCTATCTAGGCCAACCCAAATCCAGCTCCGTTAACAAGATCCGTTCAATCAATTGTGGCCGCCAGTCATCAAGCCTTTCAGCCTGGAAGGTTCTAGCGGACTGGTGTCCGGTTTCCAATTTCCAATCTCGAGCTTAGAGATTTCCACCGCTCAACTGATGGCCACGGCAGCCTCTGCGGCGGCTTTCTCGTTCGACCAGACTACCTCGTCATGACTGACTCTGGTGTTGTGATGTGGCTTCTCACTTGCACCCTCCTTCTCCTCCGCAGCAGCTGCAGCCGCAGCCACTGATCCAATGCACTGGTACTGTCGGAATTTGCGTGCTGGCACACGTGCGGCGAACTATAGTACACTGTCAGTACGTGGTCTACTTTGCAGAGTCTCGAAAAAATCGAGTGGTAACATACCATCTCATCAATCTCCTCAAATGTGCGGCCATGAGTCTCTGGAAGGAACCACCATGTCCACAGGGCAGCGATGAAGCATGACGGCGTCCAAATGTAGCCGTACTTGGGCCCCCAGTTCAAAGAATCAGGATTGATAAAGTACGGCGCGGTGAAAGTAGCGAGCCAAGCGCCGAGGAAACCGATGGAAGTGGCCAGTCCGAACGTGTAGCTTCGGAGACGTTGAGATGGGAACTCGCCACCACAGAGCCAGGCGTAAGACGCAACCATGCCGTTATAGCCGATGAGGTAGACAACCGACACACCGACGATGACCTAGCCTTGATGTTAGAGATTCCGCAGACAAGTGTGGCTATTGAGTCCCACCTTTCCAGTAGATTCGCCTGCGCCTTGCTTATCATAAACAATTGCCACAATAAGTTGCGCGACACCGCAGAGAATCATGCCAGTGACGAGGAACAGTCTTCTGCGTCCCCAGCGGGTGATAACAGCACTGTTGATCATTATCGCAATGACGCCGACTCCAGTAAGAATGCAAGCGTTCTCGAAGGGTGATCCAACGGCGGCCATTTCGAAGAAGTATGTGCCATAGGCTGCGAAGGCGTTAGGATTAGTCTCAGGAAAATTGTTCCAGGTACTTACAAATCATGTACATAGCTCCAGAAGCAGCTTGCAGGGAGATGGCCGCACAAGCAAGGTATGTTCGTCGTCGGTCAATCGGGTTACGGAACATGTCAAGAACATCAGCGCTCTTAGCCAGAGCCCGTTCGGCTTCGATCGCTTGCTGCATGTCTGCGAGCTCGGCGTCAACAGTGTCGGGGAATGGTCTCAGCCATTTGAGTGCTTTGCGAGCCTTCTCATGCTTGTTCTGAAGGAGATACCACCGTGGAGACTCGGGGATGAACAGCACGCCAATTGCCAGAATTCCTGGGATGATGTAGATAATACCAAGAGGCACAATATATTGCTGCTTTCCCACAAGCTTGACCGTGAAGTTGTCGACGATGGTGCCCACCAGGGAACCGATGGAGGTCCATGTCTGGAATAAGCTGATCATCATACCTCGGTACCGAGCAGGAGAGCATTCTTGGAGGTAGAGCTGGCCGAATGTGAGAAACATGCCGTTGGCAAGGCCAATGAACAGACGCGCAAAGTAGAGAGCTCCAATGCTTGTCGTGGTCATCATGACGACGTTGGCAATGACACAAACCACGCATGCAGCCCACAGAGACCCTTTTCGACCAACAAATGCGGCAATTGGACCGCCGCACATGGAGCTGATGAATGCTCCCAAGATCATAAGCGAGGAGATGAGCTGTTGCCGAGTATGGGAGATATTGTAGCCTATCGGGGAGGTTGGGTCCTTCTCGCCAAAAATCTAGTTGACGTTAGAGCTCTGGACGGCCATGGTGCAAAACAAGCGGCCAAAGCAACGCACATGGAGAAATCCAGGCATTGCCTGAAGACCACCAATGATACCGAAGTCTGTGCCATATTGAAATGGACACATGCTAACCAAGGTACAGGCGGCAAGACATTTCCAGTGGGACAATACGTTCTCCTTCCTTGGGGAAGACATGTTGACAGTACTGCCTTGTTTGCTGAAGAACACTGAAGGATGGAGGTATCAGGTGAGGTTGATCGTGTAGCTGTCCCTCAGCCAGACAAGCATATGATATATCAATGCGCCAGACCAGGAGCCAAGACTGCTAGCAAGTGATTGGCCTCAACTGCCGGAGCTCCGTGACCGTTTTGGGAATGAGAAAGAAGTAGTCTTGGGCGCCCCACGCGGAAACCAACTGGGATCTGCAGTGATTGATAGGAAGAATGCTGGTCAGTCTTGCTAAGGGTCGGCAGAATCCTGGGCGTGCCTGGGTAGGTATTGGAGACGTCCGGGGTAATGCGGGAGCGAGCTATACCTAAAGTCGCCAATGACCCACCGACAACTGCTTTCGTGGCAACCGTCTTCGCCTCGCCTCGCCTCGCCTGGCTGTAGCTTCCTCAATTCCGGTGAACAAAGTCAGAGCTTGAGAGGTAGCCACAAAGGACACCACAGGAAAAATGTCACTCTGGCGTAGTGTAGATGATTGGCAATCCAAAAGGTATACCATTGTACATGTCCTTGCTTGGAAAGCATCGAGCAGCGCTAGAACCGATTGTCAGAACGTCCAGCGATCATGGCTCCCAGAACGACGACAGATCGAAGAGCCGCATGCATTAGTAGACACCAGGAAGAAGCTCCGATGTAATAAGGCGTAGCTTGAGAGCCATCCAGGCAGTGAAGTGAGAAACCCACGTCGGTACCCATGCGGTGGACGCAGCCTCGAGAATGCCCTGGATATTCACAGATCTGCATGTATGCGAGCCATTCTTCCAGTCCTGCAAGATCAGGATGCCGAAAGGAGATATTGCATCGTTAACAACTGTTTTGTCTGTATCCGTAGCTTGACAACACCAGAGGATGTTTACTCCATGGGGGAGCCCCCAATTTGCTCTGGGCTTTCGGTCTTTTGTTTGAAGCCGAGATGCGGGGGGGAGAGGAAGGTCATATGATGATTGTTATCAAGTCCAAGCCTATGAGTGTTCAAACAGCGTGTCTGTCCTGCTGTCTTGACACAACCGAAGGTAGCTAAGGCGATCTGGGCTTTGAAGCCGATTCATTGTCCAAATATGGCAACTGCGAACCTTGAAGTCCCCAGCCACTGCCATTGTTGAGGCAATGACCGTTGTCCAGCTCTAAGCGGCTTCCTCAGATTGGACGCCATGTGCATCCCTGGAGAAGAGGGCTCCCAAGCCCTTAAGCGCAAGTGATGATGGAACGCGTGCTTGACCTCATGTAAGGTCAGTGTAACGGCGGCGGCGACAGACATCGAACCCATAGGGTATACACCAACTCCGGGTCTTCATCTTGAACTTCGAAGTGGGATAGTGTCTAGAACGTGCAAGGTTAGCCTGGAATTCCTACGTGTGGCGTTTGGCAATCCTGGACGTGTCCTTCGGACCAACGTCGAGCAGTAGTTGCCATCTGCGTACTTCGAGTATCTCGTCCTCTCGTTTTGGAACAGAGTATTCCCGCTCGGTCAACGACCGGCATGCTGTACCCCTCCAACGTCGAGCGATCCATGCCATGATATTACTTCAAGCCAAAAGTGAAGGCTGCGTCCGTACTCGGCTGTGCAGATCCACGAAAAGGAGAAGTCAGCCTCTCTGGGAGAACCTTATAGCTAGCACCACCTTGAAGGATAAAACTCTAGTCGATGGCAACGGGTAGCCTTGCCACTCTCAGCCGACCACTCCGCATCCAAGGGACTGCTCCAATCGGCCTGCGCCAATAAGTGAAGACCAGAATAGTGACAGCAGTTTCAATCGTCCGGCATGAGGCGGCTCCGACGGAAGAGTCTGGGTTGGACTGCTGCGAGGACGGATCGAGGGCAGGGCGACGGAAGCTTGTGAACGCCACCGTTCGGATGCTCCTTGCTTATTCCCCAGGTTTGCACGCGTTGGGCCACATAAGTAGTTAACAACCGCGACAGGATTCCAGGCGCGATGATCGCGGATCCCACTGAGTGGAGTTTCATTTTGAGAGAAGGAAAGTATTAGACCCCGAACCGCGAGCCGATGTCTTGCATTTTCCCATTGAAATGCCCCTGAGCTGGGTTCACCAGGTCTCAGGATTTTCGCAATCGTGAGAACAACTTTTGGAGTCCTGTAGCAGGTGACTGCCTTGATCCGCAAGTTGAGAATGGGGCGACGGGCCAGTTGATAGCGATCATGGGTTCACAAGTGCCTTCTCCCGGAATCCGGAACCCTGTTCTGGACCAGAAGCATCTGGAAGAAATTCCCTTTACCGAGAGAGGTACTAAAACAGAATGGGCGCTGGTTCTCGACAGTGGTTGGCGGAGAGGAGACACAGAACCTCCTGAACCACCAGATGGATGCTTCTGAGTTTCCTCGCCATCGTAAAGTGTGGGCAGTCTCAAACTGAGCACAGGTCCTGGACCCTTGGCTGGCCTTGCCCTAAGGTCGCCTCGTAGCGCAATGCACAACCAGCAACAAAAGATGTAGATGATCGAGGGCTTTCTGTACGGGGTCATGCAGAATCATAGGCCAAGACCATATCCTGCTTTTGGTATGCCTTAGCCCGGGACGTGGGCACACGTCCCCGATTAGGTCCCATGTCCTTCGCAGCTACTCTTGACCAGAAGGATGACAAGGTCGAGTGACGGTTCGAGACCCCGAAGATCGTCTCGAAATGGGTGACCGCAGGCGTCCGTGGCCATGATCGTCCTTATGTTCGAATCAAGTGTAGGAAACGTTGGGCCATGGCCACCCTCGGAAGCGTGCAACCTGACCTTCACGGCCTCACGCATCCGCCGCGATAGCTTCTCTTTGCGATTCTTGCGTAGCTAATCACCCGGATTGGAGGTTCCGAAGCCCCAAGCTCCATGCCGAGAGGGAATGGTACCGCATCTCGAGCATCCATTGTCCGACTTGGAGCAGTCGCCAGTTGTTGAGCCGGTCACTCGGAGCGTGGTGAGTCATTGACGAATTTCGACGTCGCCTTCGCGTACTCGTCGACATTTCCAAAGTCGCATCATTTGCGGAGGAGCTCCATCATCACTTGCCCACCTTCTTACCGGGAATTCAAGGAATGAAGACCAGAAGTCAGGACTTGCCAGCTGAACGCAAAGATTTGAAGATGGGCTTTGGGATCAATCGCATGAGCCTTGAACCAGGTCTCGCCAAGCCCGCGAACGCGGCTCTCATGCGACATGACGCGAGCCTTCACATATCTGGCCGATTCAATGTTCATCCAATTCTTGACTCGTTCTTTCTGTTTAACGCGTCGTTAGCAGTACAGAATAAAATGCCGCAGAGTTCGAGGGGTACTGAAGCTCTTGAAATAAAGGGGACATCTTCCTGGCCCCGATATCTTTCGAGATCATCCGCTGATTCAGGTCGTCTCCGACCGAACCTCAACAACAGGCGCGTCAGCCTGTATGTTGAGGAGCTATCTGTCTCTCACAGTATTCAGCGTCAGGAATAGCACTGCTCTCTGGCCGGGTATAACCATTCTTGCGTCACAGGAGTTGACGCCTACGCATGCTTGTGCAGTTGGGGGATGGTGTCTCCGCATGGCTGATCAGAAATCCAGATACTCGTCGATCCCAAGCTGCAGGTAAGCAGAGGATGTCGAACCACGGAACCAGAGAAAGATGGGCAATGTAGCAGATGATCGAGGTGGAGTCTCAGTGAGTATCGCAGGACACTCGATTCAGATCCCAGACCTTTGACGCAGTTGTCCCCAGTTCACCTCGCCAGGTAACGGTATCGACCATCAATACCTCCACATCCATCATGGTGCTTCATGTGCTGATAAGGCAGCGAGCTAGGTAACTCATACATGTCCAGACATTTTAGTGACAACCCATCGACACACAGAACTCGGCCAAAACGGGCAGCGTCATCATGGGTTCGTCATTGAGCCTTCAGACGTCCGGCCTCGTTACGAACAGGGGGCTGACTGTGATGGCGGCAACAAAGTTGAAGTTACATAATTACGAGTATGGACATGCTCTGCGCCGACAGGTAGGGCACCGCTTGTTAGTACGGCCGAGACAATGAGACTCTTCACCTTTGACAGGCTCCAACAAGCGGAGTCGCTGTCCGCCTTGCTCTGTTCACAGTACTATCTTTTCGTCAACTCAACTTCCTAAACAGGTCAGACGGGGCTGTCGCCGGATCATTTTGCTCGCGATACGAGTAACCTCCCCTGGCCGCAAATGCCGTAATGTCGATCTGTGGAGAGCCCCCATGATGGCTGTATTACTGGTACTCGGATAAATGCTTGATCAAGGTCGATGATCGTTGTCCCAGCACGTTGTACACCAGATAGAGTCCGCCACCGTCATAGTGCGTGTCCAGGTGCGTGGTAACACGCTGACCACGGTCACAGAATGTACGATTTCACATGCGGTCATCCTAGAGCCGTGGCCGCTGAGGTGAAAAGGGGGGACAAGATTGTAGAGACTTCTTGCATGAAAAGACCGAACGGGGCAGACGTTTCGTAGATATTCAGGATAGTAATCTAGATGCACTGCCTAAAACCAGAATGATAGTATAAACACCACCGTTGTGTAGAGGGTTATGAAGCTGTTTTGTGCCTCAAACGCCCATGCGGCCCAAGTCACCTTGGTTTTCTTAGACTCCTCAGAGGGATATGCTACGCCGGTAACTGGATCTCGTACCAGCAAGTCCTGTCTGTCCGGCTCCGATGGTGGGAAGAGCGCGTAGTTGATGGGTACCCAGCACGACAAAATGCACGTCAGCCAGATGATCGGTGGCCAGAAGGCGTGAGTGAGGAGCGCAATGAGGGTTTTCTTGACCGTGTCATTCTTCGTGTCGGTGATGTTCCAATATATACTGACGCCGACAGCAGCCAGGGCGAATGAGATGTAAATGAGATGCAGGTAGCACTGGCAGTCCCAAATGGTGACTTTAAGACGGCGCCAGACTGGGGCGCGGAGCTCACGATTTCTTTCGTTCAAGTCGGCTTTCTGTGAGCCGGACGATGTGAAGACCGCCACTTTTCCGCCGAGCCACTTTGGCAACAAGAATGTGCGGATGACGGACATGGAATGAACTGCGGCGATCGATTAGTAGCTGTTGCAAAGAGTCTTATATTTAACATTCGGACTTACAAGGTGCCATCCACATCATCGCGCGGGCATCCCTTTGACCGGTGGCATAACCCGAGGGCAGGTAAGAAATGAATTCGTTGATGCGATTCAGGACGGTCGTGAGGAAGTTGGATCGAACAAGCCACTTTAGTTGGTTTATTGTCGTAAATGGAACCAGGTTTCCGTGTGAAACAAGCACGATAGGTGCAGTAAACATAGAAGCCACTAGGAAGACCGTGAACAGCGATGAAACGGTGTACACAAATCCACATAGTCGTTGAGGGAATGTCATGTGCTTCACCAAGGGACCGAACACACTGAATCGCAATTTCAATGACGTCTGGACCGTCCCGATCGTCTGCAAACCGTCAGCATATTTCCTTTCATCGTGAGACATCTCATGAAGACTCACCCATCGAGTTCGTTGTTTCAAGTGGCTGGTCAGTGAATCCGGAACAGTACCGAACTGCAAAGGTTCATGGACGAAAGCCGTGTTCCAGCCAGAGCCCAATAGCATGCTAGAGCAACAAACGTCTTCTGCGAGAGAACCGACAGGGAAGCCTCCAATAGACTGCAAAGCAGCTCGTCTGAGTACGTAGCCGGATCCGGTACACCACGCTACGCCCATCGAATCTTTGATTGGCTCTGAGATGTGGACAAATGTGTCCAGGCTCTGGCAGAGAGGATCATCTTTGGGAACGTTATAGAACAGCTGGAAACTCGTTAGCGTCATTCATGAGCAGAGACCGTACGTAACATACTTGGGGAGGGCAAGCCATTGAGCATTTCGGGTCTTGCAGCATATGGGGCAGCAGGGCCCTCAGCCAGTCTCTCATCGGAATCATGTCGGCATCAAGAGCAGCGATGAAGTTCGCGGGACCTCCTGGCAGGGTTGCGGTGTATTCCATTGCATCGTTGAGATTGCCAGCCTTGAAGTGATGTGGTACCCCGGGGTATTTAGGTCTCGAACGATAGTAGAGGTTGTCGAACTGTGTCTGAGCTGTCCTCTCGGCCATTTCTTGCAGACTCTTGGATTGACCGTCGTCACAAATTATGACCCGAAAACGTTCCCGAGGATAGTCGACGTTGCAAGCTGCTTTCGCTGTGTCAAGCACCAAGTCGTCGTCTTCACCACAGCAGGTGATAATCACATCCACCGACGGCACGTTATCTCCAATAACTCGTAGCCTAGGCCGCTTTCTCAAACCGACAACATGCCAACCCCACAAACGATGCAGCAGCATAGGGATCGAGACAAACAGTTCGACGAGAATGAATGCCCAAGCCATCCAGTAGGTCTTGCGTGCGGAACTCTCTGCGTCTCGTGTGAATTTCACGCGAAGCGCGAAGTAGATCCAGTATGCTGCTATGGTAACGACCACAAGAAGAGGGCATAGTCTGTAAAGAATCCGCTTAGTTGGGGAGAGCAAGTCAACATCGTCATGGGCGGCCAATCTCTGGATCTCATAGTCCTCGACTTTCTCGCTCATACCGCCTCGAACGACGGGTAACGTTTCGGCCGATTCCTCCTTGATCTGAGCGTCTTCGGGTTTCTTCAACTCATCTACATGAGATGCCTGTCGCGAGAACCGGCGTGCATTGAAACCGGTTTGGGAATAGCCTGCCGAAGAAACTCGACGTATTTCATTGACCTCGAGGCCGAGTGGGTTACCCGCGGTCACCGTGAGAGGATCAAGCTTCTGAACAGCATCTACAACGGCCGTAGAAGCTCGTCTGACGCTCTGAGACATTCGACGTCGCATTTCCACTGCATGGGATGGGCGACGGGCCGACATCATCATGCTTGGATCGTGTCCCGTCTGTGGCTTGAATGGATGGTTCCATTGGACATGATGTTGTCGCCTCTGAATTGGTCAGAACATTCTATGTTACCTCAAAAAGCATTCATACCTGAGACCTCGTCGATTTCTCAGAGCCGCCTTCCTGCGATGATGTCTCGACATCCTGGACCGGAGAAAGATCCCTGGGTCGCTCAAACGAGCGTCCACCGCCGCTGGCTGTCCCAGCGGTGGACGATTTTTCCAAACTTAGAGGATCCATGGCGGCAGATGGATTTGGTCAGCATGCAGCGTGTTGAGAAAGAGGCTCTCCGCGCGAGGACAACAATATATGGAAGTCCGCAGCATAGACTCGACGTGATGATTGCCCGAGGCCTCCATAGCCGAAAGTATATTGAGCCCTGATCACCTTGATCATGGGAGTTGGTCATGAAAAATTCAATATCCAGTGCTAAAGCACGGGCCAGATCAGTGGTTCTTGACGTGATAACTGGAGTCTCGAGCCGCCACACCATGGTTCAATCCGCATGACGAGCCGAAAGAAGCAAGAGCACGATGCAAGACTGGCCTTGTCCAAGATAGTTTCGGATGCAAGATAGCGGAGCCGAAATGATCTGCACGAGGGATAGTGAGGCTCGCATCCTCTAGTGGAACTGCCCTTCGTTGCAAACGACTCTGGCCTGAGGAGGCAAGATGATCGAGCGGCTTTCCCCCAAGGATATGTTACGTTCAAGGAGAAGTGTGCAAAGAGAACAACGTTCAGGGCATGATAGTCTGCATCCATCATTGGCGTGGGACAGAAATAGCTCGAAAATGGGAACGTCCAGAGTATCCTCGCGTCCCACCAAGGAAAACCACACCGCTTAGAAACGCGGCCTGAAAAAAGCATCTTCAGCGTTCAAAAGGGCCCAGATCCAAGCAAACCGTGGTCTTGATAGATCCAAAGCAGTAATGTGTAGATACTCAGCTCGCAGCTGGATAAAGTGGATTTGACATACTGGAACCATTGGACGATTAATGTAGACTGAAGCAATAGTCGGTGCCAAATTGTGGTGAGGTCTTCCTCTTGAAAGAAGCACAGACCATGGCGTTGGCACAGACCATGGCGTTGCCGGGAGGATCGATATTCGAGAAGGGCAACAATACTATTGAATTGTTTCCTCGCAATGGTGGGAAGCTTTGAAGAAGTTCTCGAACTTTATTCTTGCGTCGCCGAGATATCCATTGTGTCTGTGCACAAGCGAGGTCAAGATCTGGTTCGATGAGTTCGATATGAAGATCCCCGTATTTCTCGTCCGATCCGATTTTTGGTCCGCCATGGCGCGCTTCGCTTCAGGCACCACGTGACCATGAGGCTACCACGTGCATGCCTCGCTTCACGCAAGGACTATGAACGTAGCCAGCCTTGCCAGACCATGCTACTTTCAATGCTTCGACTGTCGACGATTCCACACTTCGCGTCACTCAACCAGCAACACCAACAAAAAAGCGGGAATGGTCTTCCATCTCAACCGGAAGCAGCCGCGAGGCCAAGAGGCTCATGGCGTAATTGGCGCCGAATGTCAGGCAGAAGGGCCCGCTCCTGTACTCTCTTCGCGTCCACATTACCTAGGTAGGTATGCAGTATGCAGTCCTCGACCCTTCATTCTATCTGGACCAAAGCCAAAGGTCCACCACAGTCGTTCGACACTTCATGACCTGTCCGTCCAAGAGCCCAAAAACCCAGCGCGCCTCCTCCCGTGGGCGCCTTTGGATCAAGTAATGGAACTTCCGCAACGGCTGTCCCACGAGTTCCATCTCGAGTGTAATACCCACCATGATCCAGGGACACGTTATGTTTGGCGAACCGATGGATGAGGTCTGAGACCCTGACCATCGGATCCCCTCGATCGAAACATGACGAGCAGATCTGCAAGCAGCTTGCTTACCATCGATCAATATGCCCGGCCCATGGTGTATCGCCACCCACTGGTCAAAGGGATATCGTTACGTATGTGGGTGGTACCAGCATGGAAGTTGGATGGCTTAACTCGGTCCTAGCAGAAGCCAGGAGTTCTTGTTTGCAAGAGCATATTCGTGCCATGAGATGACCTAGGAATTTGTTCCCTCTTCTCTGGTTCTCCAATACTGTAGTGCATTAAGAGCTGGTCTGGTGGCTGTACTGCTTGGCACATTCAGTAGTTGCGAAACTTGAGAGGCTATTTCAACTCAGCATGAGGAGTCACCTCCAACAACGTCGAGGTGGTTCGGTGGACCTAAATCGTCAACTGACCATGTTAGTCTTCGAGTCTCTTGCTTGTCGAGGCAAGATACACAACACCTTGTTCATCAATCAAGAAAGGGAAATTCATCCTTCCGCTAGGCAGCTCCGTCTTGGAGGTACTAAGACCCCTACTTTTATTACATTTGCCACATTCACTCTTCGACTTCAAGGCAAGTCGTTGCGGGGTTTCATGGGGTAAGATGTCTTCCCATCATCATGGGAGATGCGCAACGAATACGCAGCACCCAAGTGACAGCCAAGGGATTGGGTGGGGATTTCAAAAGTCTCAAAGGAATGGACCAAAAGAGAAAGAATATACCGCACACCTGGTCTGCTGAATGAATTGAGATGCGGCCGAGCTACACGTGTACGATTAAGATGCATGGCCATATAGAGGAGATTGAAGTAGGGCATCGATGCAGAAAAGAGGCGTAGACGTGATTGAGAGCCTCAAATGCATGAGCCGTCACTTTTACTTCGCCGTGCAAAATGTTTTACATGATCTCCGCTCCGCCGAACTGGCGCCATCATGCACCAAATTTCAAGTCTTGCATTGCGGCATCCAGATCTGCCATCTCCTTGCCCTGTATCTGAACAGCTCAATAAGATCTCAACTCGCATCGCCCAGAATCATATCGAGTTCTTAACCGGAATCTCCACCCTCTGCCTACTCTTCTTCATCTCTACCACCCGAAGCATATCACCACCTCGAAAATGCCTCCCAAAAGAGTCGCAATCCAGCCTGCGCGCCGAACCCAGCCCCAGGGTTACCTCGGCTCCATCTACCACACCTTAACATCAGAAGAGAATGCCAGTGTGGTCCTCAGCGTTGCTATGTTTGGGGTATGTACGAATTTCGCACCGGGCATGTTATATCAGGTTCAGCACGAGCACGAGCACAAGAGCCCTTTCCGTATGAGCGACTGAGGAAACAAGAACAGAATCGAAACGAGTGTGAAAACTCGGTGTCGGTTTCTGCTGTTCCCATAGCAATTGATAACTTGATCCCAAAAGTCCTTCTTGGAGAGAGACGCTAACAACACCTCGTCCAGGCTGCCGTCGCTTTCTTCAACTCTGAATGGAGTGAGATGCTCCTGCCCGGCTTCTAAACCCTCCTTGTACCACTTATCCATGTACGACACCGACTACTCTACTCTTGTCATGATTCAGGTCAGCTCGGCGGGCACCTTGTAGACGCCAGGTGGAGGATATACGGCAAAAAAAGAAAGCGCTTAAATTATGGCGTTCCAGCTGGTGCGCAACCACGGCCACCTCGAGAGACACAAACACAAACGTTAAGGAATGGTGGAAGGGCTGTGGTTGGCCTTTGCAGGGAGTAATCTCCAGAAAGACTGCCACACGCGGCAGTACCGGTTCTAGAAGATCGAGGAAGAGCTGCTTGACAAGTGTCGCAAACGAAGGACCTTGCACAGGTCATTATATTGCTGAAGGGAGGTCCTTTGGCTTGTACAAATATTTAATGCAACCCGTCAAGTTTGGAATCAAAGTATTACTCTTCCACCGCATCCAGTAGGCGATTTTTATTCTCGACTATATACAGTACTCATCGTCAATGCTCCTGCTTTGGTCTGATCTTATCCGATAGGGGCGCCAACGACCCGGCCAAATCTTCTCGCGAAAACAAACACCCAGATATCAATTTCAGAGTCCCAACACAGCCTTGTAAATGCAGCGCCATGCTCAAAAGACACAAACAAAATATTGCGAACGAGATATAGAGCAATAGCAAATAAGCATCCAATTTTTGACCAGCATCTCGGACCATAAGGCCACGGCAGCATATTCATCACGTCACTGTCCTTGAGTGCCGTAGCCGTTGCCGTTAGCACTTGGCATTAGCGTCTCAGTGGCACCCTCAGCCTCGTCCTCCAGATGCTCGCGCTTCATGTTTCGGCTCTTAACGTAGGTGTAGGTAACTAAGGCGATGCCAACAACCACCGCAAGGCCCATAAGGATGACGTTCACCGGGATAGGGTTTAGGTTGAAAATAACATGCGTCGCAGCATCGAGAGGCGATTGAAGGAAATTGAAGAGGCCAGCCAGACAGATGATCAGTCCGTACACCTTGCCGAAGGTTTGAAAACCGAAAACCTTGGCTGAGTAATCAGATACCGTGGTGTAATAGAACGGCCGATAAACGACGAAGAGGCAGACGTTGGCAATGGCAGCCCACATGTAGGGCAGGCATCCCAAAATCCCAATTATTGTAGCCGTGACGACGAGGAAGCCAAGCGCGAAAGGCGTGGAGGTATGGTCGAGCAGCGTGCCGATGAACGGAATGCTAAGCACACCGCCGAGTGGCAAAGCGACATCGAAGAAGTCGTTGACAAGCTTTGCTTTGCGTTCGGAACCAAGAAGATATCGCTCTTGCGGGCGGATAGTTGCCACAAAGTAGTTGATCCGGGTCATTTGTACAACCGTAAACAGAGTAATGAGCCAGAACCACGGAGTCTTGATCTGCTCGAAGGCAGAGTAACCGTGCAAGGCACCCCAAACACCTGACTTGTTGTTCTTGGTGTCTTCGCGCTTCTGCCGTTTTGTGTTGGTGCTCTTGTCAAGCAAAAGGTTGACTTCGGCGATTGTACTCTCCCTGCGCTCGCGGTAGATTTGAACCTCATCTTCGGAAGCTTCTGGCGGTGTCGGAGCATTGATCTCTTCTTCTGCGTCTTTGACGACCTCACTCACAGTCTTGTATGAATCTTTAGGCATGATGAAGACCTGAACGAAGAAGATGAAAACAGGCACGACTAAGTAGACGAGGAATAGGCGATGCGTGTTGAGCTTGCCGCCTGTAGCTTCGTACGCGAGGCGGAAGACAAGGAAGAGCGCAGAAGAGGAGTCGAAGGCGCCAGTGAGAAGAGCTAGGATCAACCCTGAGTTCTGAGGAAAGGTGTTTGACAACTGAAAGGAGGAGATGAAGACGAAAGGACCGCCCAATGCCAGGAAGAAGTAGCCGGGAGTGAACAAGTCACCGTTGACCTTTGTCGCAAAAGAGAAGAGCAAAGCGCCCACACCGAGGAGGATACTCCCGATGATTCCGCACACTCGAGGGCCGTACTTGTCCAGGATGGTCCCGATGGGCAATGCTGCGACATTGGTTGATACAGCTGCGACTGTGAACATCAAATTCAACCGGATCTCTTGTTGGTAGCATGGCGACGTGTGCTTCTCCACCTCTTCTGGTGTGCAAAGGTCCGAAAAGACACCTTCATCGATGAGGACTGGTTTAATGGCAGCGTAGCCAAAGACGATACCGGCAGCGAAAAGACAGTATACGATTGCGATTATTACCTGCACTGTCCAGAAAGGTCAGCATCGTGTCGGCTGCCTTTGACATGTCTGGCCACGACTCCGCATGGTCCACTTACGCAATCGCTTTTGCTTTGAGACTTCTTCGAACTGGAGAGCCACAGAGACCACACTGGGTTTCCTGTGCAGCGCAGGTGGAGCCTGGTCGCTGAAGGGATTGAAACTCATCCTTCGCCGAGAAGAAACGCTGGAGCCTCTCCTCTCTCGCTCGAACCCATCGACGGAGGACACTCGCGTCAGAGACATGATGACCGGCGCTTGGAGGCGCAATCAGGGAGTGTTCCACTCGAGACGAGAAAACAGTCCGTGACAGTCTTTTTCGAATACGTAGGCGGGGAAGTGCCTTCGAGTAAAATGCGGAGTGCTAGACTCGGTCGTCCAATCGAGCCCCGTCAGATCTGAGTAACGAATAGTGGATGCAGATGGCCCAAGGAATCTGCGATGTGTGTGCGGAGTAGGTGGTATCACCGCGTGATGGCTCAAACGGAAAGTAAGTGAAAGCTGAAGATGGTTGACAGAGAGGCAAGGCGTGAAGAAGCTCTCTCTCGAGCTCTTCTAGGGCTCTGCCCTTGTGAGATAAGGGTCGAAGCTGTGAAAATTTCAGCTGTTCGCTCAAGGAACGAGGAAGCCACCAAACTGATAACGATAACGTCGACTGGAAATTTTGCAAGGCAACGATTGGCGGGCAGGGCGACAATTGGTTGGAGCCAGCCGATCAGCGCTCTAGGCGCATCGCGAGTGGCCGACTCCGAGAGAGAAAGAGAACGAGAACAGGATCCTCGTCCGTCGGCTGCCTCCTCCACGCTCCTCCCATCCCCTTCACTAGATTTGCTGCCGCCAACCGCATGCACGAATTACTCGCATTACTTCGACAAATGAAAGCTGCACACACCACCGAGTAAGCATGGGTTGACGACTTGGCGATGGAAGACTGCCTGCCGAGGTGTGGCTTTTGTGGCCTAAACCAGTCATACCAGTGTCTCTCCCAATCCTCAACAGCTCCACCTGTTACAAAAGAATTTTTCTCGAATCTTAAAGCCTGTGAAACCTTTGACTTTAGACCCACAATGGACAGCCTTGTTCGATGATGCGCTCAAAGAGCAAATGAGGCTGTTGAAACAGGTCGACCGTTGTTTGGCTGGCGGCTGCGGAACAACTTCAGTCGTAGCCGCCAGCTCGGAATAGGTCACCAACCTTGGCGCGACTCTCGAAACACGGTCGTCTTTCAGAGGAAGAAACAACCACCATCCATCTGTGAAGGTGTACAACTGCCCTCAGACACCTGAGAGACAACTGCGCCAGTTCTCCACAGTCTTGAGAGCACACATTGAAAGTTGCATGCCTGGCATAGGATGGCAGACTCAGCTCGTTGAAACAGCTCGAAATACTTAAGCCGACAGAATTTCCATTTCCCAGAGCCATGTATTGTCTTCTTCCATCAGTCAAATCCAAGAAACATCTTTCCAGTACAGCACCTTTCCAACTGTGACCAGTCTTTTCCTTCAAGAAATTGCCCAGTATCGACACTCCTTGCCTGTTTTTGCACCAGTCAAGTCTTCACACACTTGACAGAGCGGTCCCTACCTTTTCCACTTATTCGTACCAACACTCTTTTGCAACAAGAAGTCCATCATTTCCCCGTTCCTCAAGTCAACATGGGTCCTAATCATGGCGTCCTCGGAGCAACTTTCAAGGCCACCAGAGCTTTGGAAATGGCTTCCATGATCGCCATCATAGGCATTACTGCCAACTTTATTTCTGAAATGGTCAGCGCTGGTGCCACTCCACCGCCTGTCCTTGTGGCGCTCTTGAGCATTGTAGGTCGAGACAATCGAGGAAGGGTTTCCGTATTGACTTGTCCAGGTCTGCATTGCGGTGCTGTATTGCGCCATTACACTCATTCTCTATTTCGACAGCATCCTTCCTTTTGTCATCAGCACCGGCATCGACTCTCTTTTCTTGATTGCTCTTATCGTGGTTGCGGTGGTGGTCGGTAAACCTTTGTCGTATCTCAACTGCCAGGTCCTCGACCAAATCTCCAATGCCACATCCAGCGCCTATGACTTCACGTCAGCTTTGGGCAACAGTCTCAACAAGGATGGCAATGTCAACTATTCACAATGGATTGGGACTTCCAAATCCACCTGTCTCGAAATGAAGTCAATCTGGGGACTGAGCATTGCCCTGTGGTAAGTCGTCCTAGCAAATATACCCACGCTTAGCGAATACGAAGCTGACCGTGCGCCTTGTATTAGCATTCTCTTCACCTTCTCATCGGTGAGCACCATCTGTCTCTGGAAGAGAACCAAGCAAGCTCCCGCCGACAAGGGCGAGGCATGAACTGAAAGGCAGAAAGGCAACTTGCGAGTGGGTCGATATCTTGGTGCAAAAAAGCTGGACACGCAAAGGTCAATATGCTTGGAAACCCCTCCCGGGAGGAGGCATACTAGTTAGGATAATCTGAATGGGCGAGGGAGTACAGGGCACCACAGGTTGGGCTCATGGTCATGCAGCAAAAGTCGCCCGACCTCAGTGTGACTTCAACGCCCCAACATATGCATTAGGAGTTGGAATACTCGTATCTGGATATGCGGCTAGGCTGGTGCAGGCACAAACGTTTAACTGAGGATGTGCGCGGAGTTTGTGACTGTCATCCCGGGAACATGTGGCAGATAATGATAGGTTGAAAGCTTTGAAAAGTAAACTCGGCGCTTTGATCGCAAGATGACGCCTCTGCTGGCCAGCGCGACACCAGCAGGGGATGATTACCCAGGCATGCAGATGTGACATGCAGATCTGCTGTGCCAGGGAGGTCTTCGGGCGAGTCGCTGTCAACCAGAGGCGAATTAATCCCAGGCGGTCGGGACAGGGTAAGTCGTGAGAGGGACGAGTAAAACCTGCGTCCACTTTGTCCCTGCTGACCCCCGGGGTCGTGCTGACGACGTGCATGGACATACTGTAGCCGGCAAGCTGGATCATGATTCTGGTGCTTGGGACTGACGAGTTTTTCTCGCCACTTGTAAATTGACCTGTTCTGCGCTGCATCATCCTGGGCACCATGCAGCAAGGCAAAGTAGGAAATCGGGCGGCTTCTTCCTGTGCACCTCGTATACTGTATGGACGTGCGGAAATTTTGAGCAAATCAGGGTTGGTCTGGCGCGTGGTCCCAGGAGCACGATAGGTCACATTGAAAACCCGCGGGAACATGTGGCCGCCAGCACAGGGTATCCAGCGCATGAGAGGAGAATTGGTGCACCGAGGATCCGAGGACAGCAAGCCACCAACATGGCAGAAAGAATGGTTACACAGCATGACAGCTGGTCCAGACGATCCAGGCGGTGGGATAGGTGGAAAATGGACACGAATGGGTAAAAGCCAGGCCACTGCAACCAGACTGCCGGGTCCAGCAACAATTTGTCCAGTGTAACGGCGCGAGCATATGGAGTACCAGGTAGTATTATTTGCCCCCGCGTGCCCAAGGTCCAAGGTCCAAAGCCCGAGGCCCGGCACTGCGGGAAGCGGCAGAAGGCTAACGCAAGACCTACCTACCTTACCAAGCCGCTAGTAAGGATTTCAGCGGCATGATGGGGCATGATGGGCTATGATGGGGCCTGGTGAGCCCCAGTGATGCCCCCAGGGATGTTTTGTTGCCAGTGATGCCCATTGCCGGTGGCTGCACCAGGCCGGAGGAGGCGTCTAGATGCCATTCGGATTAGTTTCGGAGCCTGAGTCGAACCGAGATACCCTGCCTGCGAGGGATGGAGGGATGACCCAAACCCTTGGAACCGACATGGAAACAAGTCCAGCCAGTGCAAGCCATAACCAGAAACTGCGATGCGATCTTTCCAGATGGTCGGTTCAGGTGTTCTGGTCTTTTTCCATTATCGGTTTTTTGCCCGCGAAAAGATCCGGTTTTCAAAGAAAAGGACCGGTCCATCAGGCCAAGTCTTTATAATATAATATTAATTTTTCCTTCGCCTCTTCCATCCATGCCACTGGCAGATCGCGCGAACATGGAGACCTGCCACTGAAGTGATAGCCGTTCCCTTCGCACTCATCAATTCATCATACTTTTTTCCCTCCCGTCCATTCAGAACGTCCGTCGGTTCTACCACCACTTCTATCCGACCTGCTCGTATTCCGACCAACAACCCAAAATCCTTCTCTCTGCCCCTCTTCCTAATCCACTCAAGAAGCACAGCTGCTCTTCTGGCCTCGACATCCGAAACCTTTCTCTGACTCTCCTCTCTCCAAATAAATCTCCTCTCGAGCCGAGAATTTTTGAAGCCCATCAGTCGTTCTCTGGCCCACGACCGTTCATCTGCTTCTCACTGACGATATCCCTCTTATGCCCTCACAGATATATATACATATCCACTCCTTGGGGAACTGTGGCCAGGTCACCGACCGGCTGGCTCGCTTGTCCCAGACTAAAACTTAACCCTACCCACCCGTGCCAGTCCTGCAAGTCCGGATACTCCTTCTTCGGATTGGCGCCGAAGCTTTGGGTTCAACCTGGTCCCATTCGACATATTGCTCACGCGGTCTACGATATCCACCATCGTTTCCTCTGTCAGTCAACGGCGTCTCAGTTATCGAAATCCTTCCCCACCGGCACTACTCGCAGAATGAGATTCCCTTAAGATGATTACTACCCACTATTGACGGCCGTTGTCCCATTTTGCCGCCCCTCCAGTCTTTCACACGATACCTCGTCCTTTGGTTCTTGGGCCACCTTCGATTTCCTTTCAGTCCTCTCTTTCCTTTTCTACGCTGGTCCTTTGCTATCACGAATCGTGCTGCGGCAAGTGCCCTGGCTTTTTGTGGTTCTCAACACGTACGACCAAGTACGAACATGTGTGGCAGTCATGACTTACTCTGACAAGGACAACATGGACGACTTGAACATACCGAGCGTGATCCCCGTCGATGAATCCTACGGTCGGTTTTCCGGCCTTGAAGAAGAGGATCGAGACGCCAGCTCGGCATATTCGGTAGCATCGTCAGCATACAATTTTCGGATGGAAAATGGTCGTCGGTACCATGACTACCGGGACGGGCACCCCTTTCCTCACGACGAGGTCTCGGAGGAGAACGAAATGGCCATGCACGAAATGTGTCTACTCCTGCTCGATGACCGATATTATTTGTCGCCTATCGATGAATCTTCTCTCCGCTGCATCGCCGATATAGGAACCGGTCACGGTTTATGGGCGGAGGGGGTCGCTGAGAAGTATCCTGATGCTCAAGTGGTGGGCATGGACTTGACGCCGCACGCACGGAACGTTCATCCAAATTGTTCCTTCATTCTGGCTGATGCCACCGAAGAATGGGTTTTGGATGACCCAAACATGAAGTTTGATCTGGTCCACATTAGATCTTTGTTCGGTGGTGTCAGGGATTGGCCTGCTCTATACAAGAATTGCTTCGAGTAAGTAAGATGTCGTGCCCGGAGAATCTTGTCTATTGCTGGCATCTGAGCACTTCAATCACCTTGTATCATTGATTGAATGTGTTGGATTGGAGTTCAGTACCTGCAGTTTGTTACGAGCTGAATCAGAGCCAAATATTTGGGCCTCGTCCTTCAGTAACACCTGTCGATGTTATTGTCTTCTCTCTCATCATCTAAAGTGGCCTTGGAGCTGACGATCGATAGCAACATGAGGTCCGGCGGATGTATTGAACAAATGGAGGTGGAGATCGATGCTCAGACCGATGACCCGGAGGTGCTACCAGGAAGCCAGATCAGGGCCCTGTGCGAATACACGAGAACACACCTGTCCGCCGCTGCTGGCAGGGATTTTGATATCTCTTTGGGGATGAAGAAAATGATTGAAGATGCGGGCTTCGTGGATGTACAAGAAAAGAGACTCAATCTACCACTTGGGCCATGGGCGTCAGACCCAAAGCTCAAAGACATTGGCAGATTCTACGAGCGCTTCTACAAGACTGGTCTGCAAGGCTGGCTGTTGCAAGTTTGCACGCGGAGACTTGGTGTGAGTGTCGAGCGTCGATAACGAAGATCAACGACTGACAAAGTAATCTAGTGGACAGTAGACCAGGTCAACGAGGCCTGCATCAATGCATTCCAGGAGATTAACGCTCGCAAGCAGCATTGGTATTATCCGATGTAAGTTTTATATGCCGTTAATTGGTCCTGGCTCTCCATGCTAACAATCTCGCCCAGGGTCATTGTCATCGGACGGAAACCTTGAACAGGTGCTTTCACGACTCTTGCATGAATGATTACGACCTTATGCCTGTATGCATCGCATCCCAGCTGCTCGTGCCAGCACAGCAGACCCTGCTGATACCACGAAATCTCACGATCCGTTCACGTTGCTACGATTTGTATAAGAGCTTGGGTCCACACGTGTAAGGAGCGCATGCAACGGCAAACGAGCATAGGGGGAATACCATGGTCACAGGTGAACAGCTATGCCCGGGCTAGCTTTTTGGCAGCTGCGAATCTGCCGACCAGTGAGTCTCCGGCCAGGGCTTTTGTGGATTGAATGCCTTCCTTTCTCGCAGGGAAGATGATCAGATTCTGCCACCAAGGACCAGACTTGCGGTTGAATGCACAGCATGGCAGCCGAAGATGGATCCCTGCCGGAATCCCCCCTGCAGGCGGGTTGGCCATTTGATTGGTGCTGGTCAAGGCTCTTTCGCCTCCTGGCAACAGCGCCCATGTCGACGCAGACTGGGGAAATGCCCGAAGGGTAGCTAAAGGGATTTGCAGTAGAGACAGGACTTTTCGGATCCAGAAGGGGCACACGAAGGCCTGTGTCGGCCTGTCTGCTTGGTCGGAAGGGATGGGAGGACTGTATTAGTAGGTGAAGTTCGGCGTCGCGACAGCATGTCTGACGAGTCAAGGGCACCAGTCCTAGTGATCACTCTATGCTTCCCATTTATTTTGGACCGAACAGGCATTCCGGACAGGTTGCTGGTCATCATTCGGCGTAGCAGTGTAATTGCTGCTTAGCGGCTTCCTGCCATGGGGTTTGTTGATGCGTCTATCTACAAGCCATACTATTCGTGACAGACATGATTGTAAATATCAGCATCAGCTCCTCTGGTGGTACAGTTCTTCAAGTACATCTTGTGCTACGTCGTTCCTACATTTTGGGTTGTCGTGAGAAGCATTTCACCTCAAACCTGCTCACAGACGCTGGCTTTCGGTGTTGGGAGTGGACATTCCACGGAGATTCCAGCGGAACCCTGGGAGCCCCCCAAAGCCCAACGATCTACTCGGAGATGGTCAGCCTAGATACATCTACAAACATCTACAACATTTCTCGTCACAGAGAGAAGGACACTCTGCTGGTCTTGTCAAGGGCCTTGTCCTCTACTAGGGTCGTCCATGATTACTCGCCGGCAGGAGTGCTGCGCCAAGGGGGAGTCGAGGAAGCAGCGCGAAACCCCCTCCAGGCGCGCTTGAACTTACATCAAGACTTCAAAGAATGGGGCGCCAGGTCCCCCATTAAGGAGAAACGTCTAGTAAGGGTACTCACTGGGTACTGTGGTTCCGTCGAAGTCTGCGCTCATTTTCCCCCCAGCACCTAGGGTTCGTTAACGCGGGCTGGTGAAGCTTAAAGTACTACCGAATCATCACCCTACTCTCGATGTGGTTTCGAGTGCTGACGCTGTGCATCCGCTCCAGCTCTGAACACAAATACTAACTCACTCATAACCCCTCCCTGGATTGAAGGCATGATGACGGAAAGAATGCGCCCTGATGGGCCATATTCCCAAGGTGAGGATGAATACTGACCTACTCTACGCAAATACTGTGGTACGATACTTGGTACCTAGGTAAGCAAACCCTTGAGCATCTGTGGGGAGCCCATGCAAGTACATTCCAAATAACACACCCCGAAGAAGGACTATCTTGATCTTGACCTCAGCAGGTGATGGCCGTGACTTATGTGCCCATGTCCATGTCCATGTCCATCCTCACAAAGTATTAGAACGCAGCAGGTCGCCCACTGTATCTTTTCGCATGCGACTTCTTCATCCTCAATCAGCTACAGTACCAGAATCACTCTTCGTCGGGCCAAGCAGACTTTACTAACGTTCAGTGCACTGCCACTACTACGACTACACAACACAACTGTTCCTTCGCTCTCCATCCCGTACAAGAAAGCATATCCCCTCAACCGCCTCACGATCAACTCTAACTTAACTTACTGCCCCCGCAACATCTCCCAATACGAAGGTCAATGCCACTGCAGCCAAACCGCCTGGACAGCCGAGATCCCTGAGGAGCGCCACGTCCTGTGCCACTGTGCCGCGTGCAAGTCGATGGGCGGCGGCGAGTTCACTCTCAACCAGATCATTCCCAAGCAGGACTTCACCTTGACAAAGGGCCATCTCAAGGTGTACAGCTACGAGGGAGACTCTGGTACGATTTGTGCCCCGGGCGCGTGCTCCGCTCCCCCTGAGGCTCTCCGTGCTCTTGAGAGCCCGGCAAGCCCAATTCCTTTTTTGTCCACCTCCCGTTTTCAGGTATGGCCTGGCTGAGTCAATGCATGATTTGCGCTACACAGGAAACTCGGTCGACTGCTACATGTGCAGTCCATATCATCATAAAATTCTCTTTGTGCCTCTCTCTCTCTCTCTCTCCCCTCCCGAAAGCAGTGGATATTGCACACGTCACCCAAGGGTCACCCGTACAGCCGAGACAAGAGATTTGAACAGGGGGCGGACTAGATGCTAATCGTCGATCTTTTGTATTCTTTGCAGGGCCCGACACAATCGACATTCGGACGGGATTGCTCAAGGGAAGTGAGAAATGGGGCAAGCCGGCCGCCGAGATCTATGACAAGTTCCGAGCTGCGTGGCTACCTCAGACAGGAGATGCGAGCTTCGAACTTGGTCCTCCTTCGTGAACGGCGTGCTCTTGGACGAAAACTGTCCACCACTCAGCACCGGGTTGATAGGGGAAATCATTTGGGCACTCGGCACGAAAGGCATTGTGGCTCAAGGGATATAGAGCGAGTGAGAGGTTGTGTTCCCAGTCAAGGAGAAGTGCAATCAAGGAGAAATTGCTGTGATAGACAGGATCCGAGAGTGAGTATCGATCGTCCAACCTCGACCTCATTGACACCTCTATATCAGCATACCTCCATGCTCTGCCAGATTTCACTCGACCTTTGAGGTATCATTCCCCTCCTGCACAGCAGCCCTACGCAGAAGTATGAGTTCGTGCAGCTTCATTCGTTCCACTTCCACCTGCCAAAATAAATGCCTCGACCTGCATATTCCTGATCAACGTGGACTTCTCCCTGATGCGGCCGCCGTATCGGTAGAAGACAAAGGGTATCGGAGCGAGAACCACCATGAGCAGACCGAGTAATGTGCCTGCCCAGTTCGGCCCAAGAGTCGCGTACATGGGCTTCCCGACCAATGGCATGACAGCACCCATGAGACTCCGAGCCACGGCGTTCGTCGCGAGCGCGCTGGCCGCATACATACCGTAGCATTGCGCCATGTAGTTGCAGGAATAGATGTTGGCCCACGTGTTGCCGGCGCCGAAGGGCACGCCGGCCAGGATGGGCCATATCCAGTGAATCGAAGACGGGGCGCAGGTCCACGCGAACCAGATTTGCCCAAGTGGCGTGACGAGAGCGGCTATGCACAGCACAGACACCATTGCCTCGGGAGCGACGCGACCGGTGTCGGGCTCGGGTCTGTGACTGTTAATGAGGCGCCGCAGAAGCGGTTCCGATATGATGGCCACGATTGTGCCGACCGAGACGCCTGTGAAGGCGGCGCCGGAAGCGCCAGGTTTCCAGCCTCGGATGTCGGAGAATATGATGGGGTATGCGACGAAGCTGAGATAGAGGATGCCGTAGATTGTTGCCGTGTATAGATTCCAAAAGATCCTGAAACTGTCATATCAGCTCCCCGTCTTGCCAGTTATTTTTTTCTGAAATTCGGGGCCGTCATGGCAACGTACAGAATAGGCTCGGTGATGGCGAGCCTCAGGGGTCGGCTCAGGTTGGTCTTCAAGATCTGCCATGGTGTCGATGTTGTCTCGTCATAATGACTGTGCCACCGGCCATCGCCAGTGGCTTTTCTCTTCTCTGCGGCTTTGTTGCGGAGCAAACCCGGTTGGTAAGTCTCTCTTACCAGGAGCATGAGCAAGAGACCAGCGCCGGCAAAAATGACAATGATCCATTCCGTCCACCGCCAGCCAAGGTACTGAAAGACAAAGCCACCGATAATGGGTCCAGTCGCCGGGCCATTAAGAGGGCCCAGACTCCAGCAACTGTAGGCCGCTGCTCGATACCGTTCCGGAACGATGTCATTGACTGTCCCGGGAGAGTTGGATAGCATGGCCGACCCGAAAAGTGCCCTGCAGAAAGGTCAGCAGACAAGTCGGTGTCTTCCTCACGGCTGGGAAGAGTCCCGGTCCGAGGTAACCCACGCAAAGAATCTAGCAACCAGTACCTCCTTCATTGAAGTAGCCAGTGCGCAGGGTAGCGTCAAGAGAGTGAAGAAGAGCATGCTGCATAAGAAAATAGGCCTTCGTCCGTACACCTCGCTCATTGGAGCCAAAACCAGACATCCACATGCAAGTCCAAGAAGGTACACGGTGACGCCGAGCGTGATGCGCTCTTCCTGTTGGATGTGAAATGCTCGCTTCATGCCGGGCAACCCGCTCAGAAAAGAAGTCGACGCGTAGATCCTTTGTTTGTGAGTTATGGCGTGCGACGGGACTGGCAAGACACGTACACTACCCATGTGTTGAACGAGACGACCGCTATTACCAAGGACTTGTATGGCAGCGTCCAGTTCATTGGATTTGCTGGATCATTCTTGCCCTCCCAGGTGATCAGAAACCCGTCATCGTCATGCGTCTCCGTATCTGCGGCCATGGTAAATGTTGCAATCGTTCAGCAGCATACGGACTTCATTTCTATCTCACCCCAAGGTCTGGTGGGCAGGAAGTTGATCAATCGCTCATCGTGCTTGATTTCCTCACACGACATCGAAACAGTATGGACGTCAATTCTCTGAGATCTGCTTGCATCCGGCGGTCCAGCCGCCTTCCGACTCGAAGTTACTCGGTACATGAAGGAAATATCCCAGCATGGCGGAACCTATTCCATCCCCAATGTGGAGCAGGTAGCTGGCGAGCTGGCGAGCTGGGCTGCCGACTGCGGCGGAACTTAGAGGCCAATACTGCACATATTGCTCGGCCTCCTCCATGAGCGGCCATACTGCACAGTTTGAATGGTAGGTGCAGGGGTCAGGGGTAATCTCAGACGTTCAATGATCGGCCAATAAATAGCCCAGCGGCAAAGGCCAACCTGCAAAGACACCTCTAGCACTGTTCCCCGCCTGGAACACGACCGTCACGGTCTACCAATTGTTGAACACCGAGAGCCAAACACGACTCAACCGCTACTCACAGGCGGTATGATCCCGACCTCATCACCCTGCCTGATCACGGTATCCAGTCCCTCGCCGTCTTCACCTTGCCTTCTCAACTCTTCCTTTCCCAGATCTTCCGGCTCGAATGAATCGACATACTCCAAATTTACCGTCACCGCAGAGCTCTTGAGGACTTTATCTGTGATTCCCGGGAATTTGCCCTCGAGAAGTCTGAACAATTCTCGCAGCGTCGTGGGTGCAGGCAGCGTGAGCGTTTCTATGCCGGTATATGTTGAGGCCGAGGCAAAGAGGAGGAGCGTGAATGTCCCCGTCCCATCATTTGCTGAGAAAACTTTGGCAGAACCGGCCATTTTCGGACCACCCTATCTCGTTGCTAGTGCTGTCTGATGCACAATATTCGCGTCGAACGGGTGCCTACGCGCTTTTCTTGAGTAGTTGTTCTCGTGCTGTGCTGTGCTGTGCTGTGCTGAGCAGTGAAAGTGTTTGTTGAATGGCAGAAATATAAATCTCGGTACGGCACTTTTCTCCTTCCACGCTTCAATGCAACAAGAGGTGTTTGATCCACCTTTCAACAAGCTCGAAGCAAACAAGATTACTCTTCAGAGCCTATCGGAATGTTGACTGCGTCCTGATTCAGCCAAAAGGTACCTAAGGTAGGTAGACTCCAGCCTTTGGATCACAAAGTCCTGAATGGACACGAATGGGTTCAACGAGTCGGCCTTATCGGTAGCTTCGGAACAAGAATGATCCGAAATGACATCATCCAGTGTTGACATCCAAGGTTCGGAGCTCCACGAGACTTTGTACAGGGCACCTACTGGGTGCGTGATGGTGCTGAAACGTACCTAAGATACGGGCACTCACGGGTCTTGGGGTCACGGGTCGCCAACAAGGAACCGGAATGGGGGTCAAGTTCGTTTTATTTGTGGCACAAACGCCATATTAACACTGTATGTATGCATGAGCTAAGTCGGTATTCTTACGGCCCTGTAGCCCAGCTCTGAGTTTCTCTCCGTCCACATTGGTAATACCTGGAAGTATGGTACCATCCTGGTTCTAAGAAGTCGCCCCTAAGTGATTGATCATTATGCAGGAAGATCCACCAGTTCTTAATGTTCAAGGAGTCTCAAGCTTCCTTGAACCACAACATTCTCCAGAATGGATCCAGGTGGAATGTCGATGGTGCTGTTCTCTGTCGCAACAATGATGACGGTGCCTGGAATAGTTATTAGCGTGAGATGGGAAGATGAACAAGAACACTCACCTTTCAGGACAATACCACGACCAAAGTTGACATCACCAGTGACTGTCAAATGATCCAGCTCAACAATGTTGGGAATGCTGCCGATGCGTTTCTGGAATTGAGCAACCTTCTTGAAGTCACCGCCCAACTTGATCAAAGGAGCCGGGCCGAATCGGTTGGGATCCATAATTAGTTGACCATGGCTCAAAGTGTAGAGATTGGACTTGACAAGCATGAGATCTGAGCAGGTCTTCACGGGCAAGAATCGTCGTCGGGGAACATTGACACCGTGGGCATTCTTGAAGTGTTTGATGGCGGCACCCACGGCAGTCTCGAGCTGGATGATGCTGATGTCGGCTTCACCCTTCTTGTCGGCTGGAATGGACTTCTCATTGGGGATGATTTCCATCTCAAGCTCGCTGTTCTCTACAACTCGCTTGATAGCACGCAGGTTCATCCATATGTTGTTGGTGTTGAAGTACTTGAACTTCTTGATCGACTTGAATTCGTTGACGTATTGCTTTGGGACCTGAGCAATTTCCAGGAGTCTCGCCTTGCCCTCATAGTCAATGATGGTACCACCCTTGACATCAGCCTTGGTCTTGTCGGTCAATTCCATGATGTATTCTGCCTTGGTCTCGACCATGTGTTGCAGAATTCGGAGATCAACCACGGCACCCAGGTTGTCAGCGTTGGACAAGAAGATGATCTCGATGCCACGTTCAAGTAGTTGGTCGAGAATACCGCTGTTGTAGAGTGACTCAAAAACGTCACCGTGACCAGGAGGATACCAGTCTGACAGCTGAGAGTGGTAGTTCTTTGGTGCGGGGAGAAGAGAGTCCTTGAGGACACGAGGATATCTGGATTGGTTGAAGGTGAGGATGTCAATATTATGGCCTTCGTACTTCTTGATGATGGAAGCAGTGTCTTCATCGGTGTTGAAGCTGTTCATCAGGACGAAGGGGACATTAACATCATAAGTGCGGTTGAGGTATTCAATCTGTCGAACGGACAAGTCTAAGAAGGACATGCCGTCTCTGACTTCAATGACTGACTTGGGACCGACACAACCCATGGATGTACCCAGGCCGCCGTTGAGTTTGACAACTGCGAGCTTGTTCAAGAACTCAACAGCATCACTGTTTGGCAGATCATCATAGGCAACGACTTGATCCGGGTTGGGAGGGTTGATCTTGGCCCAATCAATTGTGTTCCCCTTGGCTCTGTCATTCAAGTATCTTCTGAAAAGCGCAAAGAAGTTGTCCATTTCCGCCTCGAATCTCTTCTTTTCTGCAGGGTCATTGACCGTGTCTGCGAGGTTGTTGAGGGCATTTCGCATCTGGCTGGCAGCCACGTTGGTGGAGGTATTTTCAAAGGCCTGCATGGCGGGAGATTTGATTAGCGGTTGGGAACGATCAGACTTGGAGGGAATAGTGTGTATGTCGAGAAGAGATGGAGGCTGAAGTAGCGGCATTTTTAAGGTCAAGATGGTTGTAGGCAGAACAAAGAAAATGGGCAGTGGCAATGCGAGTAGCAGAGGCAGGAGCAGAGAATAAACATGAAGGCCAAGGTCAGGGTGAGGCAGACGACGCTGAGTACGAGGCCAAGGTGTTTGACAAGCTCATTTCATGCACAACTGGGTTTGTCGCAGGTGGAAATGAAGGCTGTACCGCAGACAGACGCTCGCGGGACTTTCTTAGACCGGGTCCGTGCGTGTACCAGAAATGATGGACTCAATATTGGGTGCCGGATTGAGAAGGGAACATGTAAATCTGGTGCTTACCACATGAGATTGTGATTTGCCATGGTGTCGCTGTTGAGGAGAGCCGTTGCTGCCATTGCCGCTGGCGGCTTGAGGCCGGAGATGAGAGGGAATAGCTTTGGAGGCCATGATGCGGAGGCTCGAGCTAGTAACAGGAGCTGTCGAGGTGCGGAATAGAGGAGCCGAAATGAATCTGCGACACGCGCAGTTGAGTTAGCGACAAGTTGGTTTATGATTGTGAGATTCAAGGGAAAGTGGAGGAAGTGAGGGTGAAGTCAAGATGGAAAAAATGTGAAAATCGGTGTGCAAGGAACAAGGTGGGAAGGGACGAGAGGAAGGTATGATGAAAGAGGTGTCGACAAATTAGCGAGATGAAAGATGAAGCAAGCAACGCAACCACATGCAGATGGCAGATGCAGCATCAACGGGCCATGATGTCGTGTTTGCAGCTCGGTCCCCAGGCCCTCGCCAATTGCAGTAGGTGATAGGACGGGGCCTGATTCAATCGAGACTAGGACCCGAGGGACCTGGAACAACCAAACCGGGAAAGCAAATGGGCCACAAGCGGCGGTCTGTACTCACTGGAATGATTCTCTCTTTTGGTAGGCCTTGACGACTTCGAGTTGTTCAGGGGAGAATGCCAGATGGTCAGATGGTCAGATGGTCAGGGAGAATGCTGGTAAGGAGTAGAAAAAGAACAACTCTTCCTACCAGGTATTTATTCTTGAGATCGTCTACTGTGCCATACGCCAGAATATCTGTTGGGCAATAAAAATTCCCTTCAAGGTTGTATTTCAAGCTGCTCGTCAGTCTCCATGACGATCTGGCCGTGGCTGTCCCTCTTTACCTCTCACGCCTCTGCAAATCCCCCACCAAACTTTCCGACTTTCCACTGCGGTGCCCCTCGTTTGCTGACTCTGCTGCTGTGATACACTAGGCTCTTTTGCCTCTTTGACACCTGTCGCAACCGCGGCTTCGCCCTCCCAAATCTTCCCATCCATGCGGAAAAAACACCTCATCCGAGCCTCGCTCGTTGATTTTCGTGTCCTCCCAAACTCTTCTGGGCTTAGAGGGACCACCAGATTCGTGGTTTCATGTCACCGAATTGTCCTTCGCCGCCACCATCGCCCAAACCCTTTTGCCTTCTCTTCGAGTGGTGCTTCGCCATGCATCGATATGATGGCAGATCAGATCAGATCTAGGGCTGCACGAGCCGCGAGTCGACCTGGTCTGACACCCGGACTGGCCTCTGCCATCTACCTCCCGATCGATAGTTTCGTAGCTTCGTATGGGTGCCGTTAGCATATAAAAGTGCTACTCGTATGGCTTTAGTCTTATCAAAGTCAATGCAGGATAAGCCAACCAAGAGAGCAGGAGATACTGATATGCAGGTCGCCAGCCTCGTCTCCAACTACTTCTTACTATGTATGCACGTTGCAAAAGAGACTGGTCAAGTGGTAGCCCTTGACCCGCCATCATTCCACGGTTTCCGCTCACCAAATCTTCTCTGCCATTGACCGCTCTCGATACGAGTACCCCTATCGTGGTTCTGCTACCAGCATCCTATCATTTCGTCCGACCTTCACCGCCCATACCTGGTCCTGGTTCCTGGTCCTGGTTCCTGGTCCCCGGTTTTGTTCGAAAACGATATGCTGCTTTTCGACATCCGCTCCATTAACCCCATGAGCATCTCTAAAAGCAATATATGGAATCTCTGCAATTAAGTACAATAATAAGTAGTGCCGAAGTCGGGAAAGCCACGTGGATGGTCATCCGCACAAGTTCCTCCTGTCCTCCATTAAAGACGCCGTCGCTGAAAGTCGCATCGAATCTTCCTTGCTTCTCGTTGTCTGTCGCTCATTGAGCCTCGTGCCTGCCGCTCACCTCCCGCCGCCCAAAGAAGCTTCGTCGTCCGTCGCGCTTCGAGTCCGGGCTGTCCCGTCCGCTGGTAACCGGTCTAAGCCCGTCGCTGGACGCCTCGGCATTGGCTGTGAAGCTACTACGGATAGTCACAGTGCCCGATCCGGCCTTGACGGTTTGCTCGGACCCTCCACCCTGGTCCGACACGAACAGGAGCCCTTCGCCCAAGTCCTTGGAGCGGAAGGTGTCATGGTCTTTGACAACCACCTGAAATTGCGTGTCCGCGTTGCAAGGAACCTTGAAATTCTCGTGATTGGTGTCATATTCCACAGCTCCCGAAGATGATTTGATGGCCTTCGTCTTAAAGAGCTCCTTGGCTCCTCTGGCTCCCAACATTCTCACGTGTACCCGGACATCTGCTCCTGGAGGATAGCCGCTGGCTGACACTATGATGAAATTGGCTGTTCCAGTCTCGGCACCCTTCGGCGTGTTGGTGAACGTTGAGTGATTGCTCTTGCTGCGGTTATGCAGCATGGTGGGAGTGGCCGGCGACGTTGTTCCGTCGATTGGGGGTGTGGCTTTGGAAGGGGTGCCCACCGGGGTAGATATTGTAGGGGTTGCAAGACCTTGTTCGGTGGAAGAGGTTCCATTGACCTCGTGCTCTGTCTCGTCTTTGCTGCCGCCTCGGCCAATGAGTCCCCGTTTGATAAATGAGGCTCCTTTCACAACACCTCCACCAACCTTGCCAACGCCTTTCACGGGCGCTCCAATCACTTTACCTGCCGGCGCAAAAGTGCCTTGGAAGGTGGAAGTACCCTGTCGAGCTCGTGTCACGTAGTCTGGTTTGAACAACATCTTAAGTCGGAGAGTACCAGACTTGCCGTCCAGAGCATAAGTCATTTCTTGTGCCTTGAGAGGCTCGAGAACTTGCAGATTCAGAACTGCCGAACCCAGCAAGTCAGCTTTGTCGCCAAAGTCCCAGTCGTACACGTCAACCCTGAAGTCCGCTGCAGTACGCGACGAGACGGGTACTTCAAAAAACTCGTTCCAAGCTGGGTGAAGTGTCTTCTTCTGGGTCTTCGTCTTGAACACCTCTTTGCCGTTGAGCTTGAATTTGCAATACGGGTCACTATAGCCATTTCGGTCGGCCGATGGAAGGTCCTGCGCATCGAGCACGTCCACTCTCAACGTTCCCATGTTGTTGATACTTTCGCTAGGGTCAAGTTGCATTTTCACTGGCAAATACTTCAAAAGCACTGTCACTTTATTGGCGGCGCCGTTGTTGCCGCGCATGGTCAACTCGGTCGGTTTGTACAAGCACTGTTGCAGAGTCGTGAGTGTCGGACCGGTAAGCTTGGCCACAATATCGTCCTCGTCCTGTTTTCCAGATTTGTCGGTCTTCTCCACCAGGCGAAGAGTGATTCGAGACATGTCGATCTCACGAACCATGGCATCACCAGTTTCGCCAAAATGGAAGTCCTTTTGTCGGATCTTTGCAGAAGTGTACGCAGGGAAGGCATGATCATCCATCAGCACTTCAAGCTGCACGTTCGTCTCGGAAAAGTGGCCTTCGATGAGATTGAACACGATCAGGCCCGATTCTAGATCATGTTAGCACTGGGCCTGTACGTACTCCGCTCGGACTTACCATATTTGCTGAGGTCTTCGGCAGTGATTTTGACCTTGGGAGCCTGCTTCTTGGTCGAGAGAACCGAGTCATTGATTGAGGGCGGTGCTCTATTGGCGGTTGGGCTCCCAATGCGGCCAACTGACTCTATACTCATGCGGCCATCCACACTTGGTCGTGCCATCTCGAGCGAAGACTTGACATCAACGGAGGATTTCTTGCTGTGTGATGGTGTCCCATTCGTAGTAGCTGTAGTCTCCATTGCTGCCTGCGCTTTGCGTTCTTCTTCTTCCTCTTCCGGGTCGAGCACATTCAATGTCGGATAAAAGGCGCAAGTGTAGTTGACGATACCCTTCTCACCACCCGTGCCGCCCAGGCGTAAACCTTCAGAATGTAAATTTTTGGAATCGTGCACTTCGTATCCGCCCTCGTCGCTTTCCTTGATATAGTCCGATGCTGCAATCTGAACCAAGCCCAATGAGCGATCCTTGCCAAGTTTCTCTTCGTCCATGATTTCAAGAACTAACCGTTCCGACGGGGTGTGCATAGGAACATATATGACTTCATCCCAATCAGGGTTGAGGTCGTTCTTGAAAGTAACCGTGCGGCCCTTGGGAATGCCTGACAACAGGACTCTGGCGTAAGGATCGGATTTGCCGACCGTCTCGAAATTTCGAAGGTTCTTTGCACTTTGAACGTGGATTCGCATAACGCCAATCGGAGTGATATAGCCACCAGCTCCGGTTGCACCCTTCAATGCCACAGGTTTCCAGTCCAATAGTAACTTGGCCTTTCCGGATTTTGTCCCGTGCAAATTGTACCATTCTTGGCCCTTTTCGGCAAGTTTCATCATATCGTCCAATTTGATCTGGTACGTCCCCAGAATGGGATCGCTAGAGAGGTCACGACTGTCCTTGATCACCAAGCCAATCCTAGCTTTCCGACGATCCGTGATAAGGACCGACTTGGTGTTGTCCGAGAAAACAGGATTGTTGGTATGCTTGAGTTTGTTGGTCATGTGGACTTCCTTGCCATTAAGAAGCAGCACGGCGTAAGGATCCAGAGCCCCGACCAAGCTCTTGCTCCCGTCCAACTCTTTCGCTTGTTCAATGGTGATCCGTGCGATACCTGTGTTGGACTCTGGTGGGGGCAGAATTTCTCCATTTGGCAATTTCTCGGATTCAATGACGGGGAAGAAGCGGATATCAGCCTGGATCACTCCACGGTGTTTGCCGCCCGAGAGGACATCAAGGCTTAGACCTTCGTGGTCAGTAGCAGCCTCCAGCTGATCCAATGCAAATGTGGCAGTCCCAAGTTGCTTGTCCTTCCGGACATCATTGTAATCAAAGACTTGCAAGGTGAGGGAGTCGGTGAAATTTGTGATGATGACATATATGGTCTCGTTCCAGCGCGGATTGGCGTTTTCGTGGATGGTCTTGGTGCGTCCTAGCTCTTTGGTACTGTTCAAAGACACGACTACATACGGGTCTGGTGTGCCTGAGAATTTGTCGGGGTTCTTGAGCCCATGCGCATTGTAGATGGTGACCGCCACGACTCCAACCGCCAAATCGATGGGATTGCCAGACAGCATCTTGGCCACTTCGATGGGAAAGACATTCGGATTATACATGATCGGCGCCAAGTTTCCGTGGATCTGTTCTTTAATAAAGTTCTCCAGTCCAGGGATAAAGTTGATGTCGAAGCCAAACGTGTCTCCCCCCAGCGGTTTGCAGACATAGTCGATTGTCGGACGACCAAGGAAACAAATGTCGACTCTGTCGATATGAGGGAATGCGATCTGCAACTTCATCTTGACGCGCATCAAGCCCGAGAACTCGAAGTCTTCAACAATGACCTTCATTGACTTGCTCACCACGCCTTTGCCGATCCGAATCTCGAGGACCACTTTCGGATTGATCTTGGTCTTGAGCTGACGAGCCGTCATGTCCATGGTGTCGGTTGGAGTGAAGCTGAATTTCCAGTCCATCATGACAATATCATCTTCCGATTTCGGATAGGTCTTGACATGTTCCATACGCGGAGGCTTAGTACCCAGAATAAAAGTCTCCATTCTCATGCTGTCCAAAAATGCCGGGGTGGAAGTGCTCAAGACCTGGTCGACAGACTGCACAATACCTTTGGCAAGCTGAGGAGCATAGATAGGCCAGAACTTTACGAGGAAGCTGTTCATCCATTCGAGGCTTTCTGTGTCCGTCTCCAAACGAGCCTTTGCCAGTTCTCGAGTGATGTCGTCTCTGAAGTTCCGCCTAACCCGTCGGACTGAGGTTCTGTAGTAGGTGCCGCAGGTGGCCATGATAATGAAGATCCAAGCCAGACCCCCGCCGAGTGTTGCAACGAGCCACGAGGCAAGGCATGAAAAGACGATGACAGCGGCATTGTGGTACCAATCTGGATGTATCAGCTTCACCTCCCCGAAATTGGTGTAGAAGCATACGCACCGCCAAAGAATTTATCATCTAGCTTTGATTCCAACAGGGTCTGATGGTCAAGGAGATTGCCCACCTCTTCGTCCTCTTCCGTCTCACCGGAGCCGAATCGTGGAGCCCAGCCAACCTTAGACCATTCTTCTTTCTCTTCAGGAGGCGCGCCATTCGCACCTTGGGCTCCGGCCGTGGGTGCATTGGCTGTTTCGGCAATGGCAGCGGATTCGGGGGGAGGAAGGTCATATTGGTCCGGACCACCGTCCTGCACACGTCGATTAGAGGGAGCAGAGTAGCAGACACTGAAGTGACTCACCAGATCCGTCGCTATGCCAACTCCTTTGGGTGGACGTTTGGTGTCGTTCTGCCGCTAGATGCATGTGAGAAAGGAAACGAAGCGTGGTGCAGTCATCTTACAGATCTAGCTTGCGCGGCCTTTTCTTCTGGCGAGGCATTGGGGTCGAAGTGCAAAGCAGTCGCACCGGCTTTCTGGCTCTCGTTGAGCAGGACACGCTCAGCATCGTCGCCGGTGACGGAGGAGTTGGGGTCTTGAGCTGCCTCGACGGCGCCCTGGGACTTGAGCTCATTCTTAAATCCGGAAGCCATGGTGATCTGTGGAGAATCGTCCACCGACGCTGGTCCGGTGCTTTAAGACATCAACCGGGAGGAGCAAAAGGGAAAAGGCAGGAACAAGGAAGGAAAGAGTGACTGTGACTCCGTGTATGGTCAGGGAAAGAGAAGATATAACAACCACAGTAGCTTGGATACAGCTGTTTGAGGCCGCGCCGAACCTTGGACTTGGGCTTGGGCTTGGGCTTGGTAGGACCTCATTGAAAGTTGCCAGGCGCAGGCGGCTGGAGATGAAAGCGGAGAAGATGCGCGGGACCGAACCAACTCGCAACTAGCCTGGCCCGGGCTGGTGGGCATGGGGTGTCAAGTTCACAGGCGTGATGGGGACCCATCATGGGCACTCATCCCAGCTGAAGGTGCAACTTCAATACAGCCACCGCCAGCGTCAATTCGTCAGCTTACACAGCTTGACCAGCCGGGCGATCGATCTTCACCTTCAGGCCTGATGGTGATCCGATTTATGCACGACCGAGTCGGTCACTGAATTAGTCACTTGTAGAGCTCTCTTACTCGTTACCAACCTCCATTCTGATTGCTCAAGAGCTACGGAACCTTCCACCCAAACCCAAACTACGCCTATATTCCTCGTTGATCCCACGTGAAAAGACTCCTCCTCGGCTGGACGGCATACTGTGTACGTACACTACTCCCTCAGCACGACAGGGTTTTGGGCAGCTTTTGGCGTTTTCCTGTTCAGAGCCTGTCCTGATCAGCCACCAGCCACGCATCGCTTTTGCTGGCACTGTGGCACAAGTGACGCTTGAAGTCTGTCAAATCCTGATAAATTGTATTGCTCAATAGCTCACGACTGCTCTGTGGATAGTGAGCAACTCCAATGCCCAAAGCTCCCAGGCTCGTACCCGCGCTGACAGGGATCGACCGGCGCGTTGGTCTCCATCCACGTCCATCCCAAGCTTCCTCCCGAGCTCCCTTGACCCTTGACTTTATTGTGCAGGACGGGAAACAGAGATTAGAAAGAGTTGTGGGACGGATCGACCTCTCCTCAGCCAGATATTCCAGATATCGTGGAAGAGGATAGGACGCACTTAGCAAATTCTACTGGTCTAAGTTATGCTGTTCAATGAATACTGTCATTGAGTTGTTGCAAGTCGCAGTGTGAAACTGAAACTCCTACTTCCGTCCAACTTTCTTCGTGAGTTTGACCTTCTCAATGATCTCCGGTTTCTCTCGGCATGTTGGACAATACCATTCTTCATCCTCGTCCGGCACCTTCTTCATGTTCAAGCAGCCCGTATGGAACCACTGATAAGGACAATCATCGTTCTCGCAAGCCACCATTTCTCCGTAAGAGCGTTGGTCGCAGAAACAGTACCTCTTGTCATCCTCGCCTTCTTCGTCTTCCATTTCTTCGTCCTCGCCCACCTCGACTTCCTCCTGAGCTTGCCTCTTCGTGCCTCGTCTTCCCCTAGTGGTTGAAGCGTCTGTCTCTGACGCGTCGGCGGAAGACAAGACTGAGTCTTCTTCTGAAGCTGCGGTCCCTCCACGGCCTCCTCGCATAGAGGGAGATTGTCCTTTCTTGCGTCCAGCAGACATTCTGCCTTTTATTATGCCTTTTTGCTTGAGCTTGTTGACTTGCTGGTGTGGAATCACCTTCTTTGACAAGCCTGATTTCTTCGGAGGTCCCGTGGCTGCCTGAGGTCCGGTAGTCCGAGGAAGGCTGCCTGCTCGACTGGTCGCTGTGGCTGTGGGAGTTGAGGCTTTGGGTGTGCCAGGACCGAGAGATGACTGTCTCAGGCCTGATGGCTGAGCTGGTAGATTGGAGCCGGATGCCAATTTACGTCTCTTTGTGTCAGCACCAGCGGAGTGTTCCCGCTCTCGCTGTCGTTGTTGCTGGACCGCGGAGGCAGGAGTGGCTGGGGCTGAACTTCGCTGAGTAGGTACGCTGGCTGTCGCTAGTTGCGGCAATTGTCGCGGTTGTGCTTGCTGCAAGGCCGCGGAAACGTGCGCATTCACGCGGTGCGCGGTCGAATTAAGAGCACTGATGGAAGCATTTTGGAGAGGTAGATTGGATGGTAGATCAATGAAGGACTTCTGAGCCTCAGCTTTACGATTGAATATGCTTGGCAAGGGCGGACCATCCACAAGCTGACCGTCGTTCTGCAACTCTTTGATCTTCATGTCCAACCTTTTCAGCTGGCGCTCTAAGATGTTGCAAGCTCTTTCAGCCAAGTGGACTTTCTGATCCTGCAGATGAGCGGACGCATCATAATTCTTCTTGACCAACTCCGCATACTCATTTTCCTTGGGATGGGGTGCGAGGACTCCATTTACCTTGAGATGCTTTTGAATGTTCATGTCCTTCTGATTTATTACGGAGAGGAACTTGTGCAGATCCTTGTCTTTGGCTTGTATCTCTTCCATCATGTGGTTGATTTCGGCCGGTAAATTGGCAGCATCGTGGATGAATTGCTCCAACACGGAAGCACAATCTTCGTTGCCCGCCATCTTGAAATCCGAGAGAGAAAAAATTTGTCCGGTCTATCACTGACCTTGTGATGATTTGAAGTGGTCTTAATTCTGCCCGTTCTCGTCCATCTGATGGGTCACAATTCAACAAAGTCACCCAGTCGCGATTGTGTAGTCACGCTGCGGATATTTTGATGGCTTTTATGATGAGAAATGAAGGTGTCTTTGAGGATGTGATGAAACAAAGCCAAGGAGGCAACTGCAAGAGACAGATTCGCGCAAATGTCGCAAACTTGGATGTTACAAAACAAAAGGAGGCTAAACCGCTTCTGACCAAGTGGCGCCATCACTAGTACTATCTTAGTTTGACGCCCTCAGCCTTGCACACCTAGAACTTTCAACTTCGCCTCTCAATCACTTGAACCACTTTCCGACGCCAACAAAAACAGTACACATTGAAGACTTCGACCCCGTGATATCACTATATTAACTATGGCGATAGTCACTAAGAGATAGTACCATTGCGCATCAGCCCACGTGCGCAACTATCAAATCAAAATACCCGGGGGGACCAACATGGTATTCCCACCCTTCAAATTTCGAAGCCTCGTATCAACCATCACCCATTCCGTTCAATCAATACCAACAACGACTGCCATATCGCCACCTCGGGCAACTCGATAATCGATCTCGACAATGGCAATCGTCGAAGAATACTCTGCGCCCTCTGACCCGGGCCCCTCGTCAACTTTCACCCTCTCATCCAAAATTCAACGCGAAATCGAAACCAATGGCATTGCCCGGCCCAAAGGCTACCGGGTGTCATGGCATTACAATCCCGCTGTAGAAAACCACCACTTCGGCCAGACTCACCCCATGAAACCATGGCGCCTAACACTTACGAAGTCACTGGTCCTCTCCTACGGCATGCACACCGCTATGGACACGTACATCCCGCGCGCCGCGACCAAAGACGAACTCGCCGAATTCCACAAGGACTCGTATGTCGACTTTCTCTCCGTCGCCACTCCACAGAACATCTACGAAATGTATCCTGAGCTCGCGGCGGGCCCCACAGGCTACAGCTCCGCGATCTTTGGCGTCGGCGACGACTGCCCCATCTTCGACGGCCTGTTCGCCTTCTGCTCGACGTACACCGGCGCGAGCATTGACGCGGCGCGCAAACTCTGCAACAAACAGTCCGACATTGCGATCAACTGGTCCGGCGGCCTTCATCATGCAAAAAAAGCCGAAGCGAGCGGATTCTGCTACGTGAACGACATCGTCCTTGCCATCTTGCAACTCCTGCGCTACCACCCGCGCGTGCTCTATATCGACATCGACGTGCACCACGGCGACGGCGTCGAGCAGGCGTTCTGGAGCACCGACCGCGTCATGTGCGTGTCCTTCCACAAGTACGACAAGGAAGTCTTCTTCCCGGGCACGGGACCCTTGGAGTCAACAGGACCCATCCACCCGGATAATCCGGGCAAGAACTACACGATCAATGTACCTCTCAACGACGGCATCGACGACGAAGGCTACGCATATCTGTTCCAGAATGTCGTCGAACCCACGATTAAAATCTACCGGCCCACTGCGGTCGTGCTGCAGTGCGGCGCTGACAGTCTCGGGCACGACCGACTCGGGTGCTTCAACCTCAACATCCGCGGGCACGGCAGCTGCGTGAGTTTCGTCAAAAGTTTTGGGTTACCGCTGCTCGTTGTTGGTGGGGGAGGGTACACGCCGCGCAATGTCGCGAGGGCGTGGGCGCACGAGACGTCGATATTGATTGGAGCCGATAAAACGCTGGACCCTGTCCTACCGGACTTCATGCCCCATCGTGAGGCGTTCCGGAGAGAAGGGTTCACGTTGTTCCCAAATTTGGGCGGGTGGAGGAGAGAAAACATGAATTCCAGGGCGGATGTTGAGAAAATAATCCGTCATGTGAGGGATCAGTTGGCTTATATTCGCGCTGCGCCGAGCGTGCAGATGCAGCATATCCCGCCGGATCTCCAGGGATGGAGGGATGAAGTCGAACAAGAACTGAAAGCCAAGCGGATAGAGAAGGATGAATTCAAGGAAGAACGAGATGGTGCCGGAGGCCTGTTGGCGAAAGCGAGTCGGAGGAGGGAGCTGGAAAGAAATGGCTTCTCTGCAGGAAATGCGTTTTTAACTTGAAGGAGATGAACCGTTGTAGGGCAATACGGGCGCAATAGATGGCACTTATTGCACTTGGTGTAATATTGGATGGATATTGGCGTGGTGCCAGAGCCGAATGTAAGATTCTTCTCATTTGTTTGTTCTGGTCTTTTGCTGATGAACCTGTAAATCAGGCCTAGCTAGCTAAATACATGGTGAACAGAGTCGTCTGCACTCCAATGCAGAGAAATGTCTCGCTCCTCTTTCCTTGAGAACCTTCATACCATGAAGGCATGCCTTGCCTTTTCATGAATACAGCCCATATCATCTCTTCCACCATTGAGAGATTGTGGACACCGCACCCTTGGTCAGGGGCGGATAGGACAAAATGACAATGTAACGCCGTCGCCATGCTTGATAAGAAAGTTGCACAAACAGCTGCTTCCGCCTTGACAAGTAGTCGTCAGGTTATTTCATCTCCGTCTTGCTGCAAAGAATCCAATTCAATCTCGACTTTGACAGGGTCCCGGCCGCAACTCTTTTCTTTCTGCCTCGCCGAGTCCTTCCCCTTGTCTTTGTCTCGAGAAGCAGATCTTCCACCGCCAACTTCTCGATCTGCTTCCTCTATCTGGCTGTACCAATCATCGAAATACTTGCAGGTCGCAACATTGACCGGCCCGCCGTCTCCGCAGATATCAAAAACAGGGCAACGCAGGCACGGAACTTCGCTAGATCCGCCCTGACCAATCTCTTCCAACTCTGCTTTTCGGTAAGCAGCCTTGCGGGCTCTTTCATGGCTGCTAGTCTTGTCTTTAGTCAGCTTGTGTTGCGCCTGCAGATCTGCAGGTGTTTTGAAAGATCGATACATGGTGACCATGTTATTGTTATAGTCGTCAGGGAATTCATCATCGTTCGCACTGCGGTACAGCTTGACCAAAAGGCCATCATAGACCATGACTTCGAGGAGTTGAGAAATGGCATTCTGAGGTAGTACCGTTGTCGTGTATTTCTTGACCAGAAGGTGATTGGTGACACTTCGCGCTGTGGGATAGCCCGTGTACCCGACTTCGAAGGGCTCATACTTTTGGGTGTTCTGCCTGGTACCCTTGACCTTGTGTACATCGTCTGTCTTAGCGGCTTTTGCTCTCTCGTCGCCGACATCTTCGAACCCGGCAGTGGGTACCTTACGTTTCTGACCTGGAGAGGTCGGTTCAGTGTCTGCTTCATCGGGCTCGACTGTCTGCCAACTTTCTGCGGCCACATGTTGCTCGACGACCGCAGACATGACGGTCAATAGACCTGTGTCAAGTTGGCCGTCGGAGAACCAAGCACCGCCCGTCGCATCTTGCGAAGGTTCTAGCCCAGCAAGGATGTACATCTTTCGCCCCGGATTCTTGACATGTTTCATGGGCTTGATCAGACCTTTTGCCTCCAACTGTTTGTAAACCCGTTCGAGGATTCTCGCATGGAGCTGGGACTTGTATTTGATCGTTTTTGTCCATATTCCAGAGGAGCCGGCGCCATCGATAACGAGCAGTACCATGCGTTCATCGCGTGAGAGGTTTTGGTAACTGTACAGACGCATGTTAGGGCTGTAGTTCAACTTAATGGGAGTAATCTTGTATACTTTTTGGCCTTCTCTTGATCGACCAACTCCCAGCCTATGGTCCCACCTGTCCTATCATGCAATTTGAAGAGGTGATTGGCGACAAGATGTTGGACGGAGGAGAGGAGAACCGTGATGTCTCGGTTTGGAATGATGTTGGTGTCCAAGAGTTCTTCCTGCGAGAAGACATGTCCGAGATCACGGTTTTTGCGACACCAGTCGTAAAGCGAATCGGCGACACGATTTCTAGGACCTCTGCCCAGAGGCCCTGGAGCAGGAGAAGCGGAAGCCTTTGGAGGTGCCATTTTTGGTTAATGGCGAACAAGATGTGCTACCGATGAGGGTAGAAATAGCAGAACATGATGGTCCAGCAGGAAATGCCGACCTGAAATAAAAGATTAAAATGGCAGGACAGTGTCACCGCGACATAGCAAGTAGGAAAATTTAGTTGTCAGTGAATTTATTTTGCTTGAAAAATGAATCACAGTCAAAAGGTGAAACTCTGGTACAGATAAATTTTGCGACGGGGCCGTTGGCTGGAAAATAATTAAATGGTTGACAGTGGGGGAGAATTAATCACTACAGGCACAATAGGCTGAGCCGGCAATGAATAGCATACCTAGGTAGGCATTCAAGCTCTTGATGAATGCTTTGCGGATTGGAATGTACATGTACGCATTATGGCAATCATACGCAGTTGCCTATAAGGCAGTTTAACAAGGCTTCCTAGGCAGACACTACAGGCGTTATCATCTGTACGGATATCACAGAAGCACAGTGCGCCCATATGTCACCTCACCTCCCTTTGGTGCGTCTGTACCCCAGTTCTTCAGGTGGTCCGTGCACAGAATTTTCTAGCAATCAATGGGCTTCGCACGGCTTTGGTTGCCCGCAGCCTGATCATGCATTGCATATAGCCCTCTCCAGTTCATTCTGTTCTTGTGTACAGTAGCCAGCTTTAAAATACTCGTACAATCCTCACTCCACTTCTTCCTCGTTTTCCTAGAGTCCTATATCCAGTTCATATCTTCTGAATTCCTTGTGTCAGCTCAAAAGTCACCCTACATCGGCAATATTCGCCATGGCAGACGCTCTCAAGGCCGAGGGCAACAAGGCCTTCGCTGCGAAAGACTTTACCACTGCAGTGTAAGTACGCCCCCTCTCCTTGCTTGAGGTTTGCACTGACTTGGTCGACAGTGAGAAGTTCTCACAAGCCATTGAACTAGATCCTTCGAACCATGTCCTCTACTCCAATCGCTCCGGCGCATATGCGTCGCTTAAGGACTACCAACATGCCCTCGAAGATGCAAACAAGACAACAGAAATCAAGCCGGACTGGGCAAAAGGATGGGGACGCAAAGGTGCTGCTCTGCACGGTCTAGGTGATCTTGTCGGTGCAAAAGACTCCTTCGAAGAGGCCTTGAAGCTGGAACCTTCCAATGCTCAAGCCAAATCTGGCCTCGAAGCTGTCAACAGAGCCATTGAAGCCGAGGCTGAAGGAGACGGCGCCGGCTTAGGTGGCCTTGGTAACATGTTCAATGACCCTCAAATGATACAGAAACTGGCTAGCAATCCCAAAACGGCTCCTTACCTTGCAGACCCGCAGTTCATGAACAAGCTACAGCGCTTGGCCAAGAACCCTCAAGAGATGGGACAAGAGCTGGGTGATCCAAGATTCCTACAAGTCATGGGCGTCCTTCTAGGTGTGGACATGCAGATGGGAATGCCACCAGAGGGTGCACCGGCGGGATCCAACCAACCCACTGAAGCAGAAGAAGACGTCCCAATGCCCGATGCACGCCCACAGTCAAACCCTCCTCCACAGGCAAAGGAGCCCGAACCCGAGCCGGAGCCGGAGGACGAAGATGCCATTGCTGCAAAGAAAGCCAAAGAGGAGGCCGAGGAAGAAAAGAAGCTTGGTACAGAGAACTACAAGAAGAGGCAGTTTGACGAGGCGATCTCGCATTACAGCAAAGCCTGGGATCTCCACAAGGACATCACCTACCTGACGAACCTTGGTGCTGCGAAATTTGAGAAGGGCGATTACCAGGGCTGCGTAGAGGCATGCACGACGGCTGTCGAAGAAGGCCGACAGATGCTTGCAGACTTCAAGCTGATTGCCAAAGCCTATGGTCGAATTGGCTCAGCTTATGAGAAGATGGGCGACCTGCCCAAGGCTCTCGAGAACTATCAGAAGTCCCTGACCGAGCACCGGACACCAGATATCCTCGCCAAATTCAAGGCCGCCGAGAAAGCACAAATCCAAGCCGAAAAGAGTTCCTACGTTGACCCCGACAAGGCTGAAGAGGCTCGTCTTCTAGGCGCCGAGAAGTTTAAGAATGCCGACTGGCCAGGAGCTGTGGAAGCATACACAGAGCTCACCAAGCGCGCTCCCGATGACCCACGAGGCTACAGCAACCGTGCCGCTGCTCTGATCAAGCTGCTAGCTTTCCCGACTGCCATTCAGGACTGCGACGAGGCTATCAGGCGAGACCCCAAGTTCATTAAGGCATACCTCCGGAAAGCTCAGGCTTTGTTCGGCATGAAAGAGTACAACAGGTGTCTCGATGTGTGCACCGAGGCGATGGAACACGATGAAGGCGGCAAGAATACCCGCGAGATTGAGGCGCAGCAGCAGAAGGCCCTCGAAGCAATGTACGCTGCTCGTGCCGGCGAGACGGAGGAGGAGACCAGTGCGAGAATCCAGCGCGATCCGGAAATCAGTAAGTCACCATATATGTGCCTCTTGATGATGACCCTGCTAACGTGTTTGTGCAGTGCAAATCCTCTCAGATCCAGTCATGCAATCAATTCTGCAACAAGCCAAGGGCGACCCCATGGCCTTGAACGAGCACATGAAGAACCCTGGCGTCCGAGGCAAGATCCAGAAGCTCATTGCTTCCGGTGTGATCCGTGTTGGAAGGTAGATGTATGGAGCAATACTCTGTCGCTTTCCACCGGACGACTTGTTATTTGAGGCCAGGACGCGTTGAACAGTCTAAATGGCATTTTCTTGCGGCCATGGGATATCTACTTCGGGACCAACTAAAGCTTGAGGTGTAGGTGCAAGTCTTCATCTCCTTATCTTACTCGCTGGTTGCGCCCCTTAGCATGCCATGTCGGTTTGTGGAGGAAGCAAATAGGTTGGCTGGTCATTGTTCTCGTAGGAGTGATTGATAGCATTTAGCGAAGGCTCTCCAGTGCTGTTCCCAATACTCAAAATCGATAGTAATGCTCACACAGAATCATCGCTCTCGTTAGCTTTGATGCAGTGCGTTCGAAATACCTCACCTGGCGGTAAGACGGGACGCCCTCATAAAGGGAGACACATAGTATGTACCTTAGATGAGCTGTGCAACATCTGTAGCCCACCCAGTGAGCCAATGAAGCGAGCAAGAGCATCTCTCCTTGATGCTGTGTGTTAGGATGGAGGAAAGGCTTTTTTTGACTGCCGTCTTTCCTCCTTCAACCCATCATGGGAACCTGCTCAGTCTTGTGCCAACAAATGTGGCTGCACACCCAATTGACTGCCCGCAGAGTCCAGACTTTCAGTTCCTGGCTCGAGCCTGGAGCCCCGGCCTCTACCAGGTCCGTGATAGGCGTGTTTCGGCTGACGTGAAGGATGGAGGGGCGCCCAGGAAGTATGGGAAAAGCGATCCTCAGGCAACCAAGAATTCCATATGCATGTGAACATAAAATGTCGCCGTCGAATTCCTCCTGACCAACGCAATACCCTCTACCCTTGTGAGCCAAGGTCTTTGTCAGGATCTAGCCTGCATGGGAACTCACCGACAATATTGGCATGCCATGTCATGCTCTTTCTACTACTGGTCTCCCTTAACTCTTCAGCGGACATCATCTGAGGCATCTGGGCGGACCATCTGACAGCCGGTCAACACCCTCGTCCTTCGACAATCACTGTTGTGCTGTTTCTGACTGCTCTATATTCTTCCTTCTTTTCCGCCAACCTGGGTGCTGGCATCTGTGGCCGGTCTACTGATTATTGCCCAACATGGCGACGGCTACGGTCACCGAGTTCATCACCCAAACTGTCAATGCGACGAGTGCGACGAGTACCAGCACCAACAGAGCAACACCTCAAGGGGGTATCTTTGAGCACGTCAATCCGACGGTTTACGATCCCAAAAACCCCATTATCCTGTTCATCATCCAGGCCGCTATTGTTATCATCCTCACCCGGATCATTCACTTTCCGCTGGCTTACCTTCGCCAGCCCCGAGTCATCGCGGAAGTCCTCACTGGAATCATATTGGGTCCTTCAATCATGGGCAGAATACCTGGCTTCACCCAGCACATCTTTCCCACCTCTTCAATGCCTGCATTCTCCCTGGCAGCAAACTTGGGCTTGGTTCTGTTCCTGTTCCTCGTCGGACTGGAGGTCGACCTGCGCTTTCTTGCCAGCAACTGGCGAATCGCCTTGGGCGTCGGAGCTGCCGGCATGGCTCTTCCTTTTGGCCTCGGCTGTGGGATTGCATATGGCTTGTACCACGAGTTTCGAGACGATCCTAGCCTTGCTCGTATCAGCTTTGGTGTCTATATGCTTTTCATCGGTGTGGCTATGGCAATTACCGTAAGAAATTGTACTCTCTCCAGCCTTGTCTTTACTAACACCCCCAGGCCTTTCCCGTCCTTTGCCGTATCTTGACCTCACTGAAATTACTCAGCACTCCTGTTGGGGTTATCGTCCTCTCGGCTGGTGTAGGCAACGACGTAGTCGGCTGGATCCTCCTCGCTCTATGCGTCGCTCTTGTCAATTCTGGCGCTGGTCTCACCGCGCTCTGGATCCTCTTGGTGGGGGTCGGCTATTCTCTGTTCATCGTCTTTGCCGTCAGACCGTGCTTCATGTATATGCTGAGAAGGACTGGCAGTCTCGCTAATGGCCCGACACAGACTGTGGTTGCGGTGACCGTCCTACTCGTCTTGGCTTCATCGTTCTTCACCGGTATCATCGGCATCCATCCTATCTTTGGCGCTTTCATGATCGGTCTCATGGCTCCTCACGAAGGAGGCTTCGCGGTCAAATTGACTGAAAAACTGGAAGATCTCGTCAGTGTTCTCTTCCTACCTCTGTACTTCGCCCTATCTGGACTAAGCACCAACTTGGGCCTTCTCAACACCGGGATAACATGGGCCTACGTCGTTGGAGTATGTGCCGTCGCGTGGTTTGGAAAGATCATTGGCGGCACTCTGGCATCGCGATTAAGCGGGCTAGTCTGGCGGGAATCATTCACGATCGGCTGTCTCATGTCATGCAAGGGCTTGGTAGAATTGATCGTGCTGAACATTGGATTGCAAGCGAAGATCCTCAGTCAACGTACATTCACCATCTTCGTCGTCATGGCGCTGCTTACCACCTTCGCTACGACGCCGTTGACAGTCTGGCTGTATCCACCATGGTACCAGCGCAAACTTGAGCTCTGGAAACAAGGCAAGATAGACTGGGACGGTAACCCAATTCCCCATGACGACGATGCGGACGAGGACCACGAAGCCGAGATCCTCAGCCAAACGGACGTCGCAAGACGAGTCCTAGTGTATCTCCGGCTCGATGGTCTCCCCAGCCTGTTCACCATGGTGTCCATGTTCGCACACCAGCATGACGAGCTATGCATACAACATCGCAGACCCACAACGAACGATAACCAGCCGCAGCAGACCATCATGAACGACGGGGAAGCCTTGGCCTCGGTCGCTACGATGCGCCGACCGTCGCAGATCCACGCTTTGCGCCTGATGGAGTTGACAGAGAGAGACTCCAGCGTGATGCGCGTTTCCGAGATCGAAGAATTTGCTGGTCGCGATCCTGTCATCAAAGCATTCGGGACGTTTGGCCAGTCCCGGGCGCTCGCCGTGGCTGGACAAATCGCCGTTGTGCCCGAGCATTCGTTCGCTGGCACTCTGATGTCGCGCGCCCGAGAGCTCAGGTCCGACCTCGTGTTGATTCCTTGGTCGGAGACGGGTACCATGTCCGAATACCCAGGTCTCTTCGACACGAAGCCCGGCGACCCGCTGGCCAATCGTGCTTTTGCAAGCCTGACGAGTGAACTGTTCGACAAGGCCCAAGAGACCTGTCACGTTGGTGTCGTGCTCGATAAGACCGTGCTGTGCAGACCTGACCCGGCTCATTTTGAGTCAACGTCGCCAACCGCCGAGCGGCCGACTCGCCAGCTGAGTCGCACGATGACGGGGATCAGCATGATTGATCAGGCCAACTCAACAGTTCACTTCAACCAGGTGCATGGCGACACAGGCCGGTATAGACTGCTTGTTGTGTACGAAGGCATGGGTCAGGATGATCTGTTCGCAGTTCGCTTCGGGCTGCAGCTCGCAAAGAACACGATGGTTGATTTGAAGGTACTTGTCGTGCCAACTGCTCACGGTAATGGCGACGAGTTTGAGATATCCAGGAAAGGCGGAAACAAGACCAAACAGAATGTGGGTGATGAATTTGAGATGCTGCGCTCGAGCGTTCCCGATGTCACCGCCGACAGAGTAAGCTTCGTCGATCTTGCTGCCGGCATTTCAAGCCTCGACGCCGTCACGACAGCCATCGCCGAGCCCAGTGCCGCCGAGACGGTCGTTCTTCTAGGTCGAAATGCAAACGCGCGGACGCCCATGCTGGCTGCGGCATCGAGTAGCCGTGAGGAGTCGCGCGCCTTGGGATCACTGGCCACGAGCTTGGTCAACGTCATCAGCGAAAGGACGTTGAGCGCTGGGCTGCTGGTCATGCAGGCGAAGCGAGATGTCGAGGATTCCGCAGCTGTTGGGGTTGCGGGAGGAAAAGCAGTGCAGCAGCTGACGAGGAAGGCTAGTACGATGAGCGATGACTAGGCGTCATGCAACGTCATGTCTTGCTTGTGGTATATGTTGACCCAAAGCCGCAAACGCAGGAAAATTAAGACTATTCTCACGTGTCAATGGTCCGATGCGGAGCTTGAGCATGCTATTCATCATCATTCTTACGTGGCTGGTCATAATTGAAGAGGAGCAACAAGCACTTGATCTGCGTTGTGCTTGATCCCAACGGAAAATCCTATGGCATGCGGGATGATCGCGGTGTCCTCGACAACAACGTTGCCAATATTCCACGGTGTGGCTCCGGCGTGCGAAGCCAGGGCACGTATTAGATCTTCTGGACATTACCTCTTACACTTTTACACATCACTACCGAGCATCAGCCACGGGTCTTACTGCTAAGCGTTCACGTATAGCTCCTTGCATCGGAAAAATACTGTGCATTCAGAAGCATCCTCACAGGAGGGTCGTTCTATCCAATTGAGTGGATAAAGAAGAAGCAAACAGAGAAAGGAAGCGTCGTTCTTGGGTAACCTTCAATTGCCATTGCGGTAGATATTATCCAGCATCTGTTTCGATGGAAACCTCCTATGCCTCGCTAACGCGAATCCGGCTCCAAGCAGAACAAGCAATCCGTCCAACGGATGAACAATCAATGTCTGAAAAGACAGTACTATTATGACACGCAATGTCACAAGTATATATAATAAATAGGCTGCACAATTAGCAAATCGCCTAGACCGATCATCTACGTGTACAAATCCGTCAACAATACATCTACCTTGTCGATTGGTTGGTAGAATGGTGTACAGAATATCGCTCAATGCGTTCGACAAAGTAAAATATGGAATGGAGTGGCGACAACTCCAACTTGGGGGGTTGATCCTCAGCGATTGCGCTTTGACTTATGTGCCAAAGGACTGGCGGTCGGATACACCGTCAACGGCCGCAGGGGAGTGGCACCCTGCCGCAAAGGTGTTTGTACGCAAAAGAGGCACATATAGACCTGGGGGATGCGTCGACTGTCGACGCCTACGCAGGAAGTGTGAAGCCATTTCGAGCATGAGTCGCTGTGAAATGTCATGTTAGAGAATCTGAGACTTGTATGGGTGGCAATAACAAGGGCTGAGATACACTGGTTGGACTTACCATTGGACCATCGGCACGGAGCCGTCGAGCATGGAAGAATTGCAAACGCATCTTGTGCTCATATTGCTGGCAAGGCTGTCCCTATCAGTGCTTGGTGTGGCTAATTCCGGATCAGTGATGGTAGTGGGCGAGGCACCGTACGTAGCGTATTGACTTTGCTGCAACGGTGGCGAAGAATGCAGCTGCAACACGTTATAATGATGTCCCTGTGCCGAAGTCGACCGTGATCGATCTTCGATAATGGCTCTGAGCGCATGTTGCGCATTCCCACGAGGTTGGTCTTCCATCACAATGTCCATCTCTTGGGTGCTCGTGAGCGGTCGCTTTCGCCGGGCACGTTGGCCGTCAGAGCTCCTGGTGTTGGAAGCGGAGCTATGCCATGACGACTGCTTGGCTGAATTTACCGAGGCCACAGTAGAGTGAGAGCTCGTTTTGGTGTGACCATATGGTCGATGGCCTTGTCCTAACAAGTCTGCAGTATCCGAAAAAGCAAAGGAATTGCTTTGGCTGTGAAGTATTTGGAAATCAGTGTCGTCAAAAGATTCAGCTTCACTGCCAGATATTCCGTCCATGTCCGCATCGTAAGGGTGACCAGTGACTATGGTTTTAGCAACGCCATTTTCATCGATCGCCAACGACAGCGAGGCACGCGTGGAATTTCGACTAGCAGTAAGCGTGCGAGATATGGGATCGGCGACTTGTTTTAGAGGAGACGAACGACCTGGAAGATGCTGTCTGCTCGCGTCCAATTGTGCTGGAGGATTCTGCTTTGCGTTGGCGACAGATGTTTGGACTTTTAGTGTTCGGTCCCCTCGCACCCCTGTATGCGTAAGACTCCTCTTCAGGCCAGGTCTGCTCTCCTTCCTAGGAGAGACTGGACGTCTCAAAGCCTCCATCACGGATCTTGTGATGGATGGTTGTTTTATGTCGCTCCTTCGCATTCGTTTCGTTTCTTGCTCCCGCCGAGATTCTTCAAGCTGATGTGCATATGCCGGCCTCTCGGGGACAGGATTGTGTATAAATCGATTGGGCATCTGGTCGGCAGCACCAAATCTTCGGGCTGGCGAACTCAGAAACATACTTGGATTCTCGGCTTGTGGCGGTAGGATTCGAGGGGACGTCGTAAATGGGGCTGGGAAGACTGATGCGTCGAGGTGAGAATAACTTGATGATCGTTGAAGCATTGGCAGGTCGTAAGATTGTTCTTCTGGCATCTGAAAAGGTCCCTGGGGTGTGAAACTTGGTACGACTGTGGTCGAAGACGCAAACGACGTGCTCATGCTCACCGGACTGAACTGTAAATGGTCCTGGTATTGCTGAGGGAGGCCTGGATCGTCGAAGGTCATACTCGACGGATCCCAGAATAACCTCTGGTTAGGATACGCAGGCGCCGTAGCTGGGCCAGTGAACTGATGTGCGTACATGTCAGGCGAGAGTTGAAGACTCGGAAAGAGACGCGGAGACTGCTGGATAAGCCTGCTTGGTGTTTCTGGCGGACCCATGACGGGTCGGTGATGTGAAGCCATATGCGTGGCGACCCAGAGGTGGTGACAGGAGAGTCCAACCTCAGAACACGCAGGCACTCGAATCGCCACACGAGCCTCCCTTAAGATACTTTCCCCTCGTTCCAAGGGCCAAGCTCACGGAGCCGTAGGTCGATATATTTCAACGCAGACAGTTGATACATGGGAGATCTGGCTGGGTCGGATGTAATATTGTTCAGCCCTTCACTTTCACTGGAGCATGGAATGTCGACCAGTACAGTCTTCACAATATTCTCCTTGCTGTTGTATGCCACCTCTTCTTTTTGTTTTGATTTGAGCTCGAGGAGATCGGTTGTTCGTGGTACATGGGAAAGGAAATTCGTCTCGTCGTCGGGTGTTGGACCGCACCCGGTATCATACAGCACTTCGCCTGAACCGACGATTTCTAGACGTCGTCAGCATAGTTCCATCGGTAGACATAGCAACACAATAATTTTTGCGTCGGGGGACCTTTACGACTGTTGAAGCAGGATCCACTGTACCTGTCCCACTAGAGAAGTGACAGCATCCAGATTCCACAAATGCACGCTCCCACCAGCGACTCGATGCTCCCAGAAAGGGTGTTGACAGGAGTCAAGGCCGAACTCGGTTCAGCTGGATGCTTCAGCATGTGTCTATTAGCAGGGTCAATCGCCGACTGACCTGTGCCTAGGGTCTGGTATGGACGAGGCCTGTTCTCTTCGGGGTGGAATGCCACAGCCAGAAAACAATGCTGGAAAGGGACGGCTACCTGATAACAAAAAGAGGGATGATTGTTTCTTCACAAACTCCTAAACTGCGGTTCTCCCTTGTACATGTGCAAGTCATTTCTCAGCTTCAGCTTGCCGGAGACCACGATTGGCCAGGCACAGTCTAGGACGGAGTCTATGAGTGGCAGAGTGGTTAAGTGGTCGCATGGGGAGCCTGAGTTTCTGGCATGCACCTAGCATGGGATGCGAGACCAGGACCGGGAGGGTACAAAGTAGGTTTCGATAGAACGACGGACCAACACATAGGCAGGGCAATCCACGTTGTGGATGTTATTTTACGAGAAAAATGGCGGCATCCTGCCGGCCTCAGCAGATGGATTGTCGTTCATTGGCACGCGAGATGCAGAAAAAGGCAGGCGAACAAGCAGTCAGGGTGGAGTTGGAAAGAGACTCCCGAGGCATCAGCATGAGCTACTATGGTACGGCTGCCAGGTACAGGCTCAACATGATGGCCCCTTCTTTTCTGTGCCTGGCACGGAATGGCCATGGATGGAGTGTCAAAGTCAGAGACGAAGACATCCTCCACCTTCATCATGCATCTCTTTAACCTCGTATCGTTGCTGGCCACAATTTCGTGCTTGCTGGGCTCGCTAAAATCTCCCCAACTTTTTCTATTTTTCCGTCGCTGTGGCTTCGTCCCTAATTTCCACGTTGTGGGGGTTCGTCGCCGCCGATCTCAGGACACCCAGGGTATGATGGGGCTATCGATATGCCTGGAGCTCACTAATAATGTCCATCTTCAAAAGGACCTGGAAATGGCATCCGACAGGATTGGAGTCTTTCGTGTAGTTGCTGTAGGGTATTAGCATTCAGCATGAATAACTGAAGAAGAAGATGAGAGACATGAGGACCCTTTCTCGGAGGCCCTTCGTTGATAAACTTAGGTACCTAGGTAGTCGTACACAGACGTTTCCTGGTCCCGGAACGACGGCAAAGATGTCTTGAGAGTTTGGCCTTTATCTTGTCGTCGCACATGTGCATGTGAGATTAGCGATTTCAGCTCCACCATGATACCGCCATCATGCCGCTCACGGCTTTTCTCAGCACCGTCGTGGCTTGACCGGCCAGGGACTGGAGGACGGCCTTGGTCACCTCCGGATTGTGACATACGACTCCCCACATTTTGATCGATAGCAGGGACAAGTGGCCAGCTTTCTCCTCTTTCAAGGAGGCCTTCATTTGGACGTATCTCATGTCGCCGAGTTCGCGAGCACGTCTTACTGAAGTCAGATGTCACCAGCAATAAGGATAGGCGATGGCAGCCTTTTATTTACGTACATACGCCGTCTTGGGGACTTCTCTTGAGCCAGGGACCTGAGAAAGGGCTCCACAGGAGAACTGCTGAGCTCTTACGGAGCACCTCCCTCGGCTCTGCCATTCGGATCACCTTGTAGACAATGTAGTGGAGCTGTACATGACCGAGCCGCCTTTTGCCGTGTGCTGCAGGACGAGAAGCAGTTACCTGACCCCAGTCCGGTGGTGTGAGAGCCTCCAAAAGATCAAGAAACAAGCACTGGATTGGAACGGCTGGTCGACAGCAGTCTACTGAAGGACGTGCATCTGTAAGGGGGCACGTGTGGCTTCATTTCTCTCTCTACTGCAGGGATGATTGTTGGATCACCAAGGTCTACTGTCGTGACTGTATATTGCACCATGGTCACGGCTTCAGCCCACTATGTCATGGATTGGAACTTGCATGCCCCTGACATATATGAACCTGCAGGCCAGCACTAGGTCTTGTCCGCTAATCTCCATACTATCAGCTCATGGTCTCACTCTTCACCTGTGCCTTCACCATCTTCCTCTATGGGTTCCACAATCAGATTTGCTCCCCTTCCTATCCTTTCTCCTATTGAACCTCCGTTATGCAACTCAAACACCGCTCTGGGCATAGGCGACACTAATCGAAAGCCATACTCATGGACGTAATTTGCCGGCTCGTCGACACTTTTGTCAGACCCTTCCTCGCCTTCTCTGCTCTTTACAATGTCGTGGCAGTCAACAAAAGCATAAAGCTCGTCAAGGTCCGCTTCTGCCCGGAACTTGCGGATCACTCTTTCACCTGATGGCATGCGGATGCTGACTCTGATAGAGTCCTTTACCTCTGCTCCAGGCTCGGCCGCCAGCGTTTGTGCACGCCACTGCTTCCACTGTGTGACCTTTTGTTTTCTCTCCTCGGCAAGGCGTGCTTGTTCTTGAGCCTCACGCTCTGCTCGTTCTGCTGCTTCCTGCTCTTCTCGTCTTCGTCGTGCTCGTTCCCGGTCTTGTGCCAGGGATCGCTCATAAGCAGAATCCTGCTCTTCCCGGAGGTTGCGGGAGGCTTCCTGTTCCGCCCTCTGAGCCCGAGTAGCGCCCAGTTGCGCTTGGTGCGCGGTCAACGCTGTCCCAAGTTTCGCCACGAGCTCGGATGCCGGCATCGGACCGGCTGCTCGCATGATCACGCTCATGGCCGAAGATCCAGACTCTGTGGTCTGGCAGATCAATGCGACAAACGGGAATTTGGTACATTGTATACTAGCAGATACCTGGTATGCCTCCGAGTCACGAACGTTTCCGCCCCAAAGTATCAGCTCATCTTTGTGAGAATCCAGGAAGGACTTGATCTGGTTTGAGAGTAATGTTTCTTGCACCCACGCGTGGTTCTCGTCGTGACTCGGTGAAAGTAGCACAAGAAGTAGAAACTTCAGATCCTTCTTCGCATTGTCAAGTGTCAAATTGAATCCTGCCTCTTGGAAAGGCAATGTGTTTTCCCCGTACTCTTCACTAAATTCCCGAATAAACCGTCTCGCATTTTCTGCTGGAGGTAGTGCTCGTCGGATAGGTCTCGACTGCTGGTATAGTAGACGATTGAATAGGCGCGAGAGGAAAGTAGGAACAAGGAATCCCAATGGCGAGAATACTGTGGTGAACACTCGGTATATGATGTTGACCGGAGTAAAGATAAGTGAGAACAAGAAGGATGGCCGGTACTGTGTTTCCGCTGCAGCGCTGGTGTCGACTCTTTCAACGACGTCTTCGAGATTTTGCCGTGTTGTAGAGGGCCGAGTTGAAGAGAGTAAGGACTCATATTGTAGGTTTGCGGTTTCTCGAACGGAGGTTGCAGGCAGCGCAGAACGAGCTTCGGCTACTGGGTCTATTGCAGGCTCGCCATCGAAAAATCGTGCAATGGCGATTTGTACGTTCCACTCGCATCTTTGCAACAAGGGTATGGCAGCTATCGGGTCTTGATCGGTCACTGCAGTATACGTCTGTAGTGCCTCTTGCTGCGCAGGATTCAGCTGCGAGATATCGGGAGTCGACATTTCGAGGTAGACTGGAATAGGACGTCGGGGGGATTCATGAGGTGGAGGCTGTGTCCTTGGTCGTCATGTCGACAAATGCAAGAGACTCGCTAGGTACTTGTATCTTCGAAGGAAAGAAAATGAACAACAAGAGCGAGTGCTGCCTCCACAAATGCACCGATCCACTGGCGACGTCAGTTTCGGCTGGCTTGGTACAGGTGGACGCGACCGACACGCGGGAAAACCGAAGCGGATGAGACTGCGCCATTCAATCCGCTTGGGTCCCCGTTCGTATCCTCATCTGCGAGTGTCCCGCCAATCTTTATATCACCCCCGACTGCACTGCACCTTTCCACCTTCTCGTTGACCTGACCTGCGATGCATTGATCTGTCCGCGGCGCCAGTAGCGCTCGAGTCCTGTCCACGATTCAATTGTCGGCATTGCTGCCATATTCTTCTATTGTATTCTCCTTTTGGATATCCATCAACCAGCATATGCATACCTTCGCTTTTCACCATTTCGTAATATCTAACACCACCTCGAGTCCGTCGTCCCTAGAGTCCGCTACCCATAAGAAACCCATAAGATGCGTTGGTCTACGACCGAACCTACGGCCCTGATTGGAAGCTAATGGCGTCTGATGCCATGTACGAGACCTATCAGTGAACAATTATGGCTGCAACTCTCAAGAACAATGTCGATGATACAAAGCAGGCTGCTTTGTCTCCTCGACTAAAGGGTCGAGGTATGTTACCGCTCAGTTGCTTGCTCCTGGATCTCGATCCATGCTGCTCTTAGTACGCTATTCAAGAGAGGGGACCGGTGCTGACACAGGACATGTGGTAGAAAATGCGAAGGATACCCTCTGTCGCAATGTCACCATTTACGGAAAATGCCGCTATGAGGACAAAGGTAAGATATGACAAGACAACCGTCGAGGACGGGACTCTCTGCTGACCTGGTCCAGGATGCGCTTTTAGTCACAGTATAGAGAAGCCAGTCTCCGATAGTGGACATAATGACAGGTACCGCTCAACGCTCCCTGTTCACACCACTTCCTAACCGTCGGGATCAGCCAGTCAAGAAAGACGTTAAATGTCGAATCGCCGAGCTTCACTCCGTCCTTCTTGTCGCCGAACGGTGCCAATGCAGCTGGTAAGAAAGGCGCTGGAATATCACCGAAGGCGGCGAGCGCTGCTCCCTTCATGCCAAAAGCCATCATTTCTCGTGAGACAACTTCCAGCTCTACAACTGCGAGGAATGTTTATGCTTACGAGAAACACCCAGGGTCGTCGAATGCTACACCTCTGCGTCAAGACGCGAGTACCCCGGATTGGGCGGTGGCTAATGTTCAAGAATTTGTACCTCGAGGCGCTGACGATCAGCATCTTGTAAGTATCAGTTTTCGGCCTCATCCTGTCCGTTCTGGCATAAAGCCAATCTTCCCGATATACTGGCACTGACTCGCCCTGTAGACAAATGAAAATGAGATTCCTGTCGCCCATACTTTCCAAACGTTTCAAGCCAGCCATCCACCAAATCCGTACCTCGACCATAGCATCAATGGCACCGCCTTCTATCCCAGTGCTGCTGGCTTCCAGCAGCCAGTGAGTTGATATCTATCCAAATGAACCACGATTCCACTGACAGATCAAGGTCCAATATCATCAATACGCCCCAATCGGGCCCTTCAATGCAAACCTCGCACCATATCAGCGTACTGTCCACGATCTGTTCATACCGAACGACCTCCGCGAGGAAATTCAAAAGAAATCTGCCGCTACGCTTCAGACCTTACCAAGTACGTAAACAGTGGCAGCGGAGCTTTGAGCTCAGCTGACGCTACATAGATTCACAATTACCAAGCCACATCGAGAATTATCATTCTTTGGTGCCGCTAGACACCAATCACAAGAGTTCTACGATCTTCGGGGGTTACACATCCTGGGTCTACAAGGCTCAATCAAGCGCCAACGGGCATTTCTTTGCCCTGAGGAGGATTGAAGGTAATTGATGATGCCTAGGGGGACAGAAGACAGCTGACATGGCCTAGGTTTTCGCCTGACTAATGAATTAGCCGTCCGTGCCGGTCAGGCCTGGAAGAACTTGGATAGCCCCAACGTTGTACGGATCGTCGATGTTTTTACGAACCGTGGTTTTGGTGACAGCTCTCTTTTCTTCGCAACGGACTATCATCCGCTATCAAAAACACTACTGGAACATCACCATATAGGGCCGAACTGGACGCGACCCACACGAAACACCAAAGACCAGGTCATGGAACCCATACTTTGGACTTATGTCGTTCAGATTGCCGCCGCGTTGAAGACGATTCACGGCAGCGGCCTGGCGGCTCGCATTTTAGATCCAAGCAAGGTTCTGGTCACTGGCAAGAATCGAATCAGGCTCAGTGGCTGCGGCATTCTCGACGTTGTCCAATTTGACAGTGGCGTTGTGCCTCTTGCACAGCTACAGCGGCAAGACCTGGTGAATTTTGCACTTTTGATCCTCTCCATTGGCTCCGGTACCGCAGATGCGGGTGCGAATTTTGCCCGCAGCATGGACATGTTTAAACGCTTCTATAAACCGGAATTGCAGACTGCCGTTGTATGGTTGTATTCAGCAGTTCAGAACCAGGAGAAAACCATTGACCAATTTGTCACCATGATCTCTAACCAGATGGTGACGGCATTCGATGCAGCGCTCCACAACGACGATGCGCTGTACTCGGAACTGAGCCGTGAGGTCGAGAACGCACGACTTGTGCGCCTCATGGCCAAATTGAACTTTATCAACGAGCGGCCTGAGTTCGAACATGACCGCGCTTGGTCCGAGAATGGCGAACGGTATTTCTTGAAGCTTTTCCGAGATTATGTCTTCCACCAGGTTGATGGACAGAATCGACCGGTGATTGATCTTGGACATGTTTTGACGTGCCTGAACAAAGTGGATGCAGGCACCGAAGAAAAGGTCACGCTAATCAGTCGCGATGAGCAGAGTTGTTTTGTCGTCACTTACCGGGAGTTGAAGAAGGGCATTGAATCAGCATTCCAAGAATTGATGAAGAGAGGTGGGCCAATGCGCTAGATTCGTGAGAATGGACGTTCGATGCGCTGGAACGATAACGCGGACGTGATGAGGATGACGAGGCATGGCAGCAGAAGATCTGATGTTTGGTAGTTCAGCCGACTTAACCAAAATCCCTAACGTTTAAGTGACTGGCTGTTCCTGGTGAGAGGAAGCCAGAATCTAAACATGTTGAATATAGAGAGCAGAGACGGAAGAGCAAAAAAATCATAATCTCCATTGCACTCGGTTTCCAAGCTTCTGATTCTATCACAGGACGGTGCTGCATCCGAGACGTACTGTCTAAAGGGCCCGGATGCCTTGCCATTCGGCGCGGCCGCGGATTCGATTCCTGTCATCAGAATGCTGAAAGACCCACGGAGCTTCTTCTAGAGATTTTCTCGGAGTTCTCCCATCTTCATAGCGTGGCGAGGCGAGGCGAGGCGAGGATCGTTGTGAATGGGTTTCATTCCTCTGTTGGCTGTTGAAAAGGATTTTCGATTTCTTCGCTCCCATCCGTAGGTGAAACCATGACGAGCAATGTGCCACGGGCTACTATCAAGCCCAGAGATCGAGTAGTCTCGTTACCTTCATCATCTGGACATACAGGTCAGTCAGGTTGAACCAGTGTTCAAGGGCAGCCACTTGCCTCTCATAGTCTCTTTGACGTCGTCCAAGACAAGATTCATCAACTGGTCGTAGCCTTTGAGGGTGCCGACAACTTTTCGCTCAATCAGAAAACTTGGGAATTGCCAATGAAGGGGGAATAACGTACTCTCTCTTCCTCCGTTGAACTTGACGTTGATCTGTTTGTCGATATACTTTGTCAAATCGAGGATGTTTTCCTTCTTGGGCTTTTCGTGAGGCTGATTGGTCTGTTGAGATGCAGCACCACCTCCTCTTCCTCCGCCCCTACCACCACGACCTCCACCGCCTCCTCGGCCGCCGCCTCCACGGAAATGGCCTCTTTCGGACATGGCGGTTGTAGAGATGCTGATCTGGTGATGGGGCTGGGATATGATGTTTGACGAGCGCCCACCAAGTTTTTGATGCGGATCTCGGGAAACCTTCCGAAGTCCGGAGAAGTCAGTAGGACGGAATATGAATGTTTGTGAGGGTTTGTCTTTGTCGGCCCAGTGGCGTTAGTCTGTGTGCGCGGCCTAAGTTAGAAGCGTTTTGTGTGGGAGGGATTCTGCCTGGTGACCTACTGAAAGTGCCGAACAAGCGAAAAGGCCAGTGGACTGGATGTGGATGGGTTGAAAGTTGACTGGTTCGTGGTGCTTCCAACGATTTTCCGCCGGGACACAAATGTTGCCTTCGGGCTAGTGAAGCTTTTCATTGGGCGGAGCGGGCGCCCTGGACACTCCACCATTTCGGCCACCATCCTGTTCTTTCTTTACCAAGTGCTAGGGTAGGTGCCAACGGCAGCATGACTGACAGTGAAGGGCGTGCGTCGAGGAGCCAGAGGAACAAGAGCTTAGACGGAGGACAGCGTCTGCTCCTATCGCTACGAGCCACTGCTAATGCAGACAATCCGTCGCCTTCGCTGCAAGTCTACTGTATCAAGAGTCCTTCCGCCAAATGTAACTCGACCACCATCCTCCGTACCTACCTACGAAAAGGAACAAGTGCAGGAATACTAAATACTACTCGTAGTATTACTCGTAGTAGTAAGGTACTCGTAGGGTGACGGGATGTTCTGATCTTCGATCGGTTGCAGCAAACGCGGCTTACAGTCGCGATCCCGCGTCCCGCGCAACTGTTCGTTCGTTGACTGTTCCGAGCCTACGAGTCGGCGGTGTTTTAGGTGCCTGCTATTGTCCTCCGCACGCCCCAAAATTGCACAAGTTCTCCCTCCTTCCATGCCTATGATTAGCTGGAGGCTCAGCGAGCTATACCAAGACGGCATCATACGGCCACGCCCCCAGGTGTCAGTTCGGCCATCTCACTGCCGCACCTTGGAACCTCAACCCTCAAGCCCGCACCTTCGTCTCGCCCTCCCATTTCTCTCCCCTTCTTACCTTTGATCAGGTACCGTACCTTAATGCTTCAAATGCTCCTTCCACTGGGCGCTTCACCATCGTCGAGTCACCTGTCGTAATTTCCGCCCTCTTGAGCTGCCGCCTCCTTTGCCTGTTCCTGTTCCGCCTCCCGAGCAGCTTGCCTGTCTCGGCACAGCGCAACCCGCCTGCAACATCTACCCGAGCTCCTGTTGCTTTGTCTCCTCGACCCAACCTCACTGAGCACACCTCGTATCCTACTTCCGCTCCAGGCGCTGCAGCTTCGACATAGTTCTGCCCATCGAGAGGTCCAACTATACGAAGCTGATCCAGCAACCCCTCCCTCGACGCTCTCCTCCGCCCGCCTCTACGAAAAAGAGTTTCGCGCCTTACCTAAGCACCACCGCAGCCCGAGGGCAGCACAGCGCCTCGGGCCACTCCTCTCGCACCCCCTTCATGTCGACAGTATGGAACAATCTCCTGCGATGACCTCGGAGCAATCTTCCTCCCTCAAGCGACCTCGTTCACCAACCGAACAGCATCCTCACCCCGCATCCAAGATACCGCGAACTGCGACGAATCACCTGCAGATCAATTACCTTGCCCGGCAACATAAAGAGACCATACCTCTCGTGACTGTCAACGACAAGCTCCCGGAAATAGCGCGCCTGTTGAATGAATATGATGGAGTCATACTACGCCACGAGAGCATGGCAGGCAATCTTGGAGCTTGTCCACTCGGTCCAATATTGCTGAAGAGGTTCGAGAGGCTCTTCGAAGGCCCACCGAAAGTGCTCAAATCTCATGGCAAAGACGCTAGTATCAGTTGGTTGGATGTCGTGGAATTCGCCCAGAACAGTCCCAAGCAGTTCAACTTGGAAAGAATGCGCAACGGCGTAAGAGTCTGTCAGTTTTACACCAAGCAATGTCGGGTTGAGATCTCAGAGGAAGACTATGTGCTTATTGCAAGTGGAATGCCACAGAAACTCATACCACCGCAACCCATTCTGGAGGATGAAGAGAAGGAGCTGGGAGTCATGGACCTCTTAGATCGGAACCTCGGCCAGGTCATTCAACTTGCAGATCAAGGTATGCCGTCTGCTCTTACATCTGATATCTATCGCTAACCAGTGTGCAGTGTCTGGCCGAGCTCGCCAATTGATCCATAAAATGAAGAATCGTCGTACTGCCATCTTGAGCAGACGCGAGCAAGAGGCAGAGGCTGCGAAAAGGAATACTGTCAGATCAGATGGCTCACCCATGTCCACGCTTGACACGAATGGAATCAACAATGCTCAGCCGGTTAGAAGCATTGAAGTGTCCCAGTCCCCTCCAGTGGGATTCACCGCCGTCAATCTAAGGCAAAGTGTTGGTGGAGAAGGGCATCAGCGTCTGCCATTGCCCAGCGAGGCACTGAGAAATCAGCCGGATGAGGTATACTCGTCAAATGTCACCATCATCAACGGCAAGTCGATCAAGGATGCTTCACCTTCTGTGCGAGCCGAGATGATGAAGAAATTCCTGACCCCGAGCGAGCGAGAAGCTGGAATGCCTGAGGACACCTTTCGGCGATCTTCGATGGGTACTGCCAGAACCGATGCTGTGCGAGAATCGCCGGCGGAAAAGGCTCGTTCGGGCTCGGTGGAATTAGCTGGTACCAACGCTAGCAAGCAAAATCAACCTACGGTGGCTATTCCCAGCACTCCGGCCTCTTTGATGCCTCACTCGAAACCGTCGACTCTGGATCGAGATGATGGCGGTCCCTTTAAGGCGGAAATGGTACGACGAATGGACAACATGTGGAAAGGAGATCGAGTGATTCCGCCATGCGACCGATGCCGACGGCTTCATATGGACTGCTTGAAAAACCTTACCGCTTGCATGGGTTGTACAAAAAAGCATGCAAAGTGCTCATGGAAGGAAGTCCGGGCAGATGAATTACAGCTGAATGCGCCGGGAACTGAAGCGATGTCCGAGACAGCCCCCACGATATCCGCTCCGGAGAATCTGCCACCCTTATCTGCTGGCTCGACGATTGAAGTCAATCCTCCGTCAGAGGCTGCAATACGATCCGCGAGCATTGCTCGGGCCTCGTTAGATCTGACCGAGGGTCAACTGGACACCCCTACCAAAGAAGCGACTGCTCAAGTGGCCGAGTCGAGAAGAAGTGAACCCACACTAAGCGGCAGTTCGCCAGCACGGTTCGATGTACGACCTCCTCCGCTCACTCAACAGCTGCAAGATGCTTCAAAGTACCGGTCAGCAGAGTCGAGATCATTTAGCGGAATGCTCTCTCCACGTGAGAAAGAACGAGCAAAGGACGATGAGGACGACGAGGGCGATCGATTGCAAGCACTTGCAGCACGGGTCTATCGGACAGCTTCACAGAGCGGTCATCGACCTTGAAGCGAAACTTATGTGTTACTCTTTCCACGAGGATTTGCTGCAGTTGAGCTTGGATGTGCCACCAGGATTGTGGGGTAGATGCGAACAATAGACTGACTGATGTTATTTGGGAACAGCGATGGCTTGCATCAGTGACGGATGGAGCATCAGATCTGAGAAAAGCACTGAACAGCTGCAGTTGGGGCTTAGTTCGTTGTCTGGGCGGTTGTATTGATACTTCTGCATATGCAAGTACTAGTACTCGTACCGGGTGTAAGTACCTTTCTCGTAGCTGGCGGAATAGATTCCATTTAAGACGTCCAATGTACGAAGCCTGGTTTGTCATCTGCCGTGCCATTAATACCTAGGTGGTGATCTCACTCCCCTCCGTCCCTCTTTTTTTCTGCATGTGCCCCTCTATCCTCGCCCTCCTCTCCACAATCCCAGAAGAAGCACAGAAAGTGGGAGTGCGATTGCCGATGCGCTTCGGATAGACCCCCTGATCACCCAACCTGTGACTGCGCAATCGATCTCTGCAGCTATCGTGTGCTCGGTCAGGAGACATCCATGATGATCAGCTGTTCAAGCCTCTAGAACAAAGGCCCAGTCGAAAGTCCGCTCGAAGTCCCCATTATTGCCGGGGATCTTTACTGTTCCTTGCATTGGACGCACTGTTCTCCATCGGATAAGTCCATTCCCAGGACAGGCCAGGACTAATACTTGGGTGACACTTGCTTCGTAGAGACCCCACGAAGTTGGGGATTTCCCATCTTTAATCTGTGAAAGATTGTCTAGAACCTTACTCCGTAGTTTGCTATTTCTTTGCTGTTTGGCTCTGCTTCTCGCTGGGAAATCCTTTTGTGACTTTGTGCTTGCTTGAAGTGTTTGTGATTTTTGAGGTGCATGACAGAAAGAGTGACCAGTCGAGTCGACATAATCGATCCAAGATGGACCCGACCCAAGTCAAAATCCCACCCTTGATGGACCTCACCATCGACAACATCACCGAGAACGTGATCCGGATCAACAGTAACAATCCGGACGCGCGGATGCAATATGTTCTGGAGAGGCTCGTCGTGCATTTACATGACTTTGCGCGCGAGACGAGATTGAGTACTGCGGAATGGATGGCGGGGATTCAGTTTCTTACGAAGACGGGCCAGATTTGTACGGATGTCAGGCAGGTATGTTCTCTCTTCTTGGTTTCCCTGTTCGCGCACGGTTCGAGGGGACTTTGTAAAGGATTGGGAAAAGAGGGCGACTTGCAGCTGCTAACCGAGAAATGTATGTTTGCGAACAGGAGTTCATCCTCCTCTCCGACATCTTCGGCCTGTCTCTCCTGGTGGATAGCATCGACCACCCCAAACCCGCGAAGTCGACCGAAGGAACCGTGCTGGGCCCCTTCCACACGCACGAAGCCGAACACATGGCGAACGGCGAGTTGATGTCCCACGACGCGAATGGCGAGCCTCTGCTCGTGCTGTGCCACGTGAAAGATGTCGAGGGGAAACCGATACAGGGGGTCAAGATCGACATCTGGGAGACGGACTCTTCGGGACATTATGATGTGCAGCACGCGGACAGGACGGGGCCGGACGGGCGCTGCGTCATGACCAGTGATGACCAGGGCGTGTTCTGGTTCAAGGCCATTGTCCCTGTGCCGTACCCGATTCCGCACGATGGACCTGTTGGGCAGTTGCTCAAGAAGTTGGGCCGGCACCCGATGAGGCCGGCGCACATGCATTTCATGTTCGAGAAGGAGGGGTTTGACCATTTGATTACGTGAGTACCTCCGGGCAGTTACTTCGTTCTTTGCAGCAGCGTCCTCTTTTTCCGCACCGCGCCGGGTTGTGCGATGAGAAGGCAACCATGGGATGGACGCGCGCGTGTGCATGTGTGCGTATGTTTGTGTGACACTGAGACTGACACATTCAAAAATCTAGGGCATTATATCTCAAGAACGACCCGTACGAGAACTCGGATGCCGTGTTTGGCGTCAAGAGTCCGCTTATCGTGGATCTGGGCAAAGTGGACAAGGCTACGGCAGAGAAGTACGGCGTGGAAGAAGGGACGGCGTTGATGACTTATGATTTCGTGCTGGTGTCGGAGAAGGAGAGCGCCGAGTTGAGAGCGGAGAATTCAAGGAAGGCCCTCGAGAAGTTGGGCCGGAGAGTAAAGCTGGTGCAGGGGCTGCCGGTGCCGGATCTTGATTGATTAAAGCAGGGGCATACGAAGGTTAAGTGAAGTGAAGTGAAGATGGGAGGGAGATTTCCTCGCGCTATATTGATAAAAGCCACGTCTCCTGCAAATTCCAAAATGGTGAAATGCCCTCTTCTATACAGGACAAGCGGTTGCTCTAGTCATCGCCATATATCTTTTGGATCCAAAGGACGATTGGAAACTGGGGTATAAATCGACCATGTCGCTGGACCAGTGAGAACGCCGTTCAAAATGCATAGAAGTTCATATCCGTATCAGGAGCATTTGCCAGCAGGTCATACTCAGTCCCCACCATGTTCCACAGCATATCGTCGTCGAGTTGCCAGTCGGACCTCGTCGTTCCGACTTGGGATGACAAGCCACCAAATGACGCGTCAAACGCGCTCGCGTGGCCGTTGATATGCTGTTGCTGTGCCGAGGTCACGAAATCCAAAGACCCAGACCCAGACCCAGACCTGTGGGCATGGCCATTCGCCACGGCAGCCAATGCAGCCAGCGAGTCTGGAAACTCCTGTCCGGCCAGCCGCTGTGCGGCAAACGAGGACCTGTCGTTGTTGGTAGGCTCGGGCTTTGCCCCGGTGGCGGCGGCGGAGGCGGAGGCGTTCCCGTTCCGCTGGAGAAGACGTTGAAAGCCGGTCGCCATCTTGTAAAGGATATGATTCCCACCGGCCTTGCACTCGCGCATGGTGGCGATGATGCCCTCGATGAGCGGTTTCGTGCGCATATGCGCGTCGGTGCTCACGCCAATCACGTCCCATATCGAGGACATCTTGATCAGGAAGACGACGGCGAACGCGATCATTGCGTGCAGGAACAGCGGCATGCCGACCAGGGCGCGACGCAGGTCCGGCTCGCCCAGCACGATTTCGAGGATCTGGTGTGCAGACTCGATGGCGTGGAAGGCCAGCGGCCGCAATCGGTGCGGGAGCGAACCGATCGAGTTCATCGACCGGCCTCGCAGGGCTAGCGAGTTGAGCAGCATACTGCAGAAATGGTAGTGCAGGTCCAGTCCGAGGACCGAGTACCCGCCGACGTATTCGTCCATGGGCAGGAGCGCGCGGAAGTGTTCGCGGTATCTGCCCAGGTCGTCGAGGAAGCGAGCGTGGATGATGAGGGTCTCGTCGTCGTCGCCAAGGGCGCGGCCGGCTTCGAGGCCAAAGGCGTCGTATGCGCGGCTTAAGATCCGGAACAAGGCGACTTGCGAGATGACTCGCCGGTCGGACATGGTGCATTCTTTTGTCTGGAGGAATAGATCCGTCTCGCGGATGGCTTGCATCTCGGTGGTCACCGGCGGTCGGCCATAGGCGATGCTGAAATGGTGGTCGAGCACGTACAGGAGGTACCAAAGTCGGGCGCGTTCGAGGGTTGCTTCGCGATTGTCTTCCGGGGCTGAGGGGGAGTGGAAGGCTTTGAAGAATGCTTGGTGTAGGTTGAGTTCGGTGGCCATCCTCACGCAGTGGCCGGATAGCTTCCAGGACAGGTCGGGGAGCCAGAAGGCCGCGATACATAGGGCGCGGATGTCTTCGAGTGTGTGCGAGCGGTCAAACATGCTTGACGCGATCAGCTCGCGGAGCTGGCGATGGCTGCGGTTGTAGATGTCCTCCATACCGGGAATGTGGAGAGAGGATACTGCCATGATGGACGTGAACAGCAAGGAAGATGATGAACGAATGCTGTGAAGTGTGCGCTCGGGAGATATCGCGGCGTTGAAGAGATACCGTGACAGCGAGGTTTTGAACCTGACAATAGTCAGATAAGTGCGTACTCAAACACTTTGAGGAAGCGTGAGCAAAGATGGCAGAACATACAAACTTAGCATCCTTTCGGCTTCGTCGACGGCAATGACACCTTGGGCGATAAGGTCAGATTCGATGTTCTTGCGCAACCGTCGTTCTGTTGGCGGGCCACCGGTGCGGGACCGCAATGCGCTGAGATGGGTCGCCTCGTAGAGTCCCTCCATCGGGGCGCTGGCGATATCGTTCTTGGAGTCTGGGTGTGGTGAGTTCTCACGCGAGTTTTCTCGCGTCGTCTTCGCGGTTCCGCTGGTCCCTGGCGGTATCGACCCAGGTCCAAACGAATCGAGCGAAGGCATGTCCAGTTTGGCCAGTATGGCGCGCACCGATCGATCAAGTCGGGCAATGGATGGATCCGTTTGTCTGGCCGATGGTCAGTTCAGTTAGGAGCCACTTTGAATGGCGAAGACGTCTAAAGCTCGGGGCACGTTTAGTGTCGTATACATACCCTTCATCCGCCATGCTCACGCGTAACCTCTTCACCATCTTGCACTCAAGTCCTAGTCTCTGGCATCGCTGGCACCCAAAGCCATCTCCGCTCTCAGGGCCTCCGCATTTGACCTTGAGTTTCCTGCATGTCATGCATGCTCGGCCTTTCCGGGTCACTTGCCGCGGAGTGTCAGAGCTTGGTTTTTCGCCGGTAGATTTGGAGGACAACACTGGTGACGGGCCATTTGTATCCTGCGGCTGTTGTCCGTTGGCCTCGACATCCTGATAATATGGACTTGCATTGTTGGATTGTTGCATTCTCGAAGATGGTATTGAGGTGGGCGGTTGGAAGAGGGAGAATAGAGGATGGAGGATTTAATGATGGACCTCACGGGCCGAAAACCCGGGGAATTGAATTTTAGAAGAATCCCCGGTCTGTGGCTTGATTGGCTGATCAACGACCCCCGCCTCACGCATAGCAGATGGTCCGGATTATTCCAGGTGAGTACTTACCTAGGTTAGTACTATAACTTGATGGAATGTCTCAAAGGTGGCAGAAAGAGGTGTTGCAGTATTGTTCAAGTCTTGTTTTACTGACTTTGAAGCTCTGAAGGACTTATAGGTAGTGCTTGAATGTTTATTCTTCTTTCCCGAAAGTTCTTCGGCCTTACATTTGGATGATCGTCGAGATCCTATCTAAAGCATACCTGAAAGACGGTGTATAGTAGGTGTTTAACATTCCTTCATAGACAACATCCATGGGCGATGTGTTGGAGTGTCGTTGACCCAGTCACACTTTAGCAGTCTCATCGTGGATCGGGGCCATCTTGATACCAGCGTCGCCCTCTTGGTCAGCCCGTTCGATCAAAGTCGCCATGATAGTGTCTTTGAATTCCTGGTTCCTAGAGTTCCGAACAGCCTGCATGAAGCTCGGACGCTGCTCTCCCGGACGGCCAGTGAACAGCAAATCTATCGCCTCGAGCGGAAGTTTGAGTGTTTCCGGCTGTGTCAAGCGTGTCAGTCATGAAAAGCAGACAAAGCCAGGGTCGAAAACCTACATAGAAGAAATACACGCAAGGGATCGTGGCGAAATTGACCACTGCGAAGACAATGTAGCTCCTGTAGTTGATGTTCGTGATCATCCTGCGGGTTGTCAGCTCTTCCTTCCGGTGCAGAGAGAAGCTCGAAGGACATACGGAGGCGTGATCTGGACAACCACAAAGGTGAACAGCCACTGGGACACAACCGCAAGCGCACCTCCACGAAGCCGAAGCTTCAGCGGTAGGATCTCGCTGGGGTAGATCCACATATTCGACTGCCATCCAAGGGTGAAGAAAGTGTGGAAGATGTAGAGAACCACCGCTGCAGCATATCCAAGGCCCTGGCTGCCGACGCCGACAAAGATGGCAGACAGAAGCATACAAACGCCCATACCGGCCGATCCAATCATGAAGAGCTTTCTGCGACCGACGTTGTTCGTGGTGTACCATGGGATCAAGGAGCTGAGGAAGTAGTAGACTTGAAGACCACCAGAGACCAGAAGAGCATTGCGACTGCTCATGCCAATTGAAGTCTGAAAGATGTATGGACCAAGAGACGACATGACGTTGACCCCGGACAGTTGCTGGAAGAAGTTGGCGGAGAAAGCGATAGCCACTCGCTGCCAGCCGTAGATACCGCCGTCCTTGAAGCAATCCGACCATGTTCCAACTTCTTCAGCTTCGACTTCGAGAATATACTGGATCTCTTTGATCTCCAGTTGGACGTCCGGGTTATCTCGGGTAGTGCCACGCAGTGCAGCCATCGAGGTCATACCGCGTTCAACTTGGCCGGAGCGGAAGAGATAGCGGGGAGACTCTGGCAAGAACGGCATCAGGCAACAGACGATAATGCAGAAGATGATCTGGAAGGCACAAGGGAAACGCCAGGAGACGCTGGACGAGTAGTCGGCCATGCCATAGTCGAGCCAGTTGGAAAGAATGAGTCCGATGATCAGGTTTGATAGCTGCATCGCCATCATACGACCTTGATGGTGTCAACCCTGGATTCATGGGAGTTAAAACATGGACATGGAGACCAACCTCGATTGGCCCGAGTAGCGCACTCAGTCAGCCAGATGGGAATGACGGTGGTCATACAGCCAAGGCCAAACCCTCCAACGACTCGACCAACAAGAAATTGGGCAAGTGTAGTGGTTGAAGCCTGTAAGACGGCTCCAATGATGACCAAGATCGCACCACCAAGGTTGTTTGTCTTACGACCGTATCGGTCACCAAGGGCAAATTGGAAGAGAGCTCCAAAGAGAGCTCCCACTTCGTAGCTGGCGACGATGAAGCCCAAAAGGGCAGATCCCGGATTGCCGAAGACGTTCAGGAAGGTCGTCGACGTCGTTAATCCGCCCATAAAGCCCAGATCGTACCCAAACAAAAGGAATCCGATTGAGCTCGTGAAGGTGACAGCATAGATGAGAGGTTGGCCACGGAGACCCAGGAAGGTTGGAGCTGTATCCATCGTGAAGATGAGTTGTTGGAGGTACTGAGCAGCAGACAGTACTGGTGTGAAAGGAGGAAGGATGTTGAAGAGGACCAGGAGGAAGGGCGTCGATGAGGACCTTGAGAAGGGTGGGCCTGTTCTGCCAGGGGAGTCATTCTTTTATACTTCGATGGTGATCGTCCGCCACTCCATCTGGAGACCCAGTCCCGGGGATTCTGGGGCCTCCGCTGGCCTTGCTTTGTCCTCGACATGCTTCAAGTGCGATAACATATTTGCGCACCATACGTGAGGATGGATCCGTCCATCAATGAGGTGGACCGTTTAACCGTTTAATTTGTTGTACCAGTAGTGGGTTGACTAACCTGATCCGCGACTCAAGCTTCCTGCGCGAACACAAGTACTGGTACGAGCAAGCCTCGCTAAGAATTTGGAGACCTTGAGAAATCTGGATGCAGTGGTACACGGCGAACTGCCCATGGGCTCTGTTATCAAAGCTCTTTCCCGGCATGTTCACCGGCGTGGCCTCTCTCGAGAGGAGATGATGGGAGCCTCGATGGGCCTTTGCTGTCAAATCATGTTGTGAACTCCGTATGGGTCGTGCTTAAGCCCTATCGGAGGCGTCGTTAGGCAAAAGTCTCGTCGGCAAGAAACTGGGATATAAAGAGGCATCGAGAGGTTGGCGTGCGGCTTCCAGCCGGTAGTTTTGCCGAGTCGTCACTGTAGGTGGCATGATAGTGGTATTTCCTCGACTTGTACCTCCGCACAGGGTAGGATGTAGGGTGTACACTGGTGTACATGAGGCCTAGTAGCCCCACGAGGCCAGGAAGGAAAGATCAAGCGTGGAGAAAGCTCGGTGAAGACCCCGGAAACATGCCAGCCGCAATTGTACAGTAAGGGGCGATGGTGGGCGGTTGTAAGTATCCGTCGGTGTCATTGGCTCTTGTCCTCATGGCTGAGCTGAACGGACATCTGAAAACTGATAGGAATGAAGCCAAGTTCGGACATTCTCTTCGTTCCAGAGTGAGGACAAGGACAACCAACCTGGTAGAAGAATTTCTCCATCTTGGCCCTCCGCACGCAGAGAGGCAGAGAGCGTCCAGTAATTCCAATTGGCCTTGAGCAACTTGTATTCCTCCAGCATTTTCGACATCATCATGACAGGCGAATCCTTTACCGATATAGTGCGGGTAGACCACGGCCGTGCTGTCAAGGACTCCTCGTTTGCTCGCTCCTACAGTAAGAATCCTGGCTTCTGTGTCTACGCCGAAAGCTTCACGGAAGACGTCCTGGGATACTCACCAAAACTTACCCTCATCGAAAAGCGAGACTATCAATTCGCACATGAAGCAGGGGTCTATGTACGCCCGACCAATAGCATCTACTTCACTGCGAACTTCCAGACCTGCGATCCTGTCCACCTCTATGCAATCGATGCAGCCACCCACAAAGTCACCCAGCTCGACTTTCCCGAGGTCGTTCAAGCGAACGGCGCTTGCAACTATAAAGACGGTGTCCTGTACTGCTCGCAAGGCGATAGAACAACACCGTCGGGCCTTGTTCATGTCGATCCTGTCACCGAAAAGTCAGAAACACTCATCAACAACTTCTACGGTCGCGAGTTCAATTCCGTCAACGATGTCGTCGTTCACCATGAGACAGGGGAGATTTGGTTCACCGATCCGAACTATGGCTATCATCAGGGTTTTCGGCCGGCCTCTATGCTGCCCCCTCAAGTCTATCGGTTCAATCCGAAGAGTAAAGAGTGCTGGATGGTAGCCGATGGCTTTGTTGAATGTAACGGGCTGTGCTTCAGTCCGGACTATAAGCGCCTGTATGTCACAGACACCGGGGCGGTCCAGGCACATGCAGGTCCAGGTGATGGGCATCAGTTCTCAATGAACCCCAAGTTGCCTGGGACCATCTACGTTTATGATGTTGTCAATGGACGGGAGTTGCATAACAGGCGCGTCTTTGCTTTTTGTGCAATCGGTATCCCTGACGGGATAAAGTGCGACGAAAAAGGTTACGTATATTCTGGATGTGGTAAGCTCTTCTTCCTTTCAGACAGTCATTCAAGGACAGTCGCTGAGTATATGATTAGGTGATGGTGTACACTGCTGGGCACCAGATGGCACCCTAGTCGGTAAGATTGTTACCGGAGGGTTCACGGCCAACTTCTGCTTTGCGAAAGAGGGTATGTGGCTGTTCGCTGAGCGCGACCTCTTCTTCTGTCAGCTCAAGGCCAAGGGTTGTCTCGTCAAGATAGAATGTGAATAATGGAGGGTTTTGCAATACCGCTACTACGACACTGCCAGAGATGGCGAAACCTCCAATTCGGCTGGTGACATCAAGAGATCTGAAGAGGTAACGATTACATGACTTACCGGCCCGTCGGAGAGCCTCACTAGCCATTGATGGACGCTGATGGTGCCCTTATTAGCCAGGTTAGGGAGCATGATGGGGTGATGTCAAGCTTAGCAGGCGGGGATTGTGCCTCGAGTGTGCTTGTGGCTCCCCGGAGGACAGAGCCGCGGAGCTGTGGTTGTTGGTGGTGGATGCCATCATATGCCCTGGTTCGCTACGTCATTTTTCACCACTTATGCCACCCTCAAACCAATATTGGAATGCTCTCGAGCCGTGGTTCCGTGCAAAGTTACTATACGTATGTGACCTGTCCTGAAGCATGAACTTTCCTCCTCGTCATCCCCTTGTGTCTGATGTACGAGACTGGCACAATGGCAGCTCTGAAACCGAATCTGAAGACATGGTTTAGTGCGAATGACTGGAGGGAGGTACGTCTACCATCTGCGACATCCAGACAAGGTCAACACGGTTGACTTCTGTTTCCAGCGCATCATAACAGCCGATCCGTCATGGTTCACAGTGCCCATGGGAACCGGTAAGCTCCAATACCAGCATCGGTAGCCCTGCAGTGGGCCTTTCAGCTGGACTGACAAGCACTCCCCAGGCGTATGTACGCAACTCCTTACCCATTTCCCCTATCCGGCGGGATGGTTGAAGACGATAGCATATATCTTCTGGGTACGTACCACGCTATACATGCCCAAGCCGTAAGCTTATACGTGCATAGATTGCTGATATCTGCATCTTCGCCTTCTTCATGACTTTGGGCCTCCTCCGGGTGATGATGTACCCACAAGTCGCCAAAAATGTTGTCGACGACTTCTCGCAGACCAGCTACTTAGGCGCTGTCGCAGTCGCATTCGAGACCATCATACTGGGCATAGTCAACTTCTACTCTGACCACCAGGCAGCAATGTACGTTGCAGAAGTCATGTACTGGATTGCAGCAGCGATGAGCCTCTTCGTTGCATTCGGCGGGGTCTTCTTTATGTATCGGCGCCAGAAGCAGCACTGTTTTTCGGATGTCAATGGCGCTTGGTTTTTGACCTTCATCCCACTCATCGTCGACTCGACGGTTGGTGGAGCCATTTCTCCTTATCTTGCCTACAAGAACAGCGTTACACTGCTCGTGACATCGTTCCTCATGTGGTCCCTTGGGGTTGGCATGTCGCTGGTTATCCTATCTCTATATTTCTGGCGCCTTATGAGCTGCCAACTACCACCGCGAGAGGCAATAATCAGCACCTTTGTCCCAGTCGGACCTTTCGGAATGGGAGCATATTCGATCCAGCAGATGGCGGTTGGTCTGGCGAGTCAGATCAGGAAGCACAGATTCACCCTGGAGCGTCCTCCACAGCCTCCTAACGATCCAGCAACCATGGCAACCATCGCTGAAGGGATCCATTGGGCCGGGATCATCGTTGCTCTCCTGCAACTTGGTATAGCGTCGTTTCTTCTTGTTGAGGCTTGTTTTTCGGTATACGCGAAGGTGCCCAAGACGTTCAACGTTGGTAAGTCATGAATTCACACATTCCTTTGTTCCTGCTAACTCTGCTGGCTAGGCTTTTGGAGCTTCGTCTTCCCATGCGGAGTGTACAGCAATGCTTGGAATGCAATGAGCCAAGACATTCGCAACAACGGTATGAGAGGATGGGCTGCCTTTTGTTCCGTTGCCACCATCGCTTTATGGTTGTTCTGCGCTTTGTTGAGCTTCTACAAAGGTACGAGAAAGCCGCAGAGCCTTCCCTTGTCCAAGTACTCACGAGCCACAGGCGTTTGGCAGGGAAAGCTGTTTTTCGCACCAGGCCTACAAGGCTGGGTCGAGCACAAGGAACTCGAAAGGCGGGATGGAAACGAGAACGATAAAGATGCCAATCTTCGCGGAGTGCCGACAGGAATAGATACTGGCAATGCCACGCAGCGGCATCCCCAACCAGATGGCAGTTACAAGCAGGAGCGGACTTTGACGAATCGTGACAAGGTCTAGGATTTTAATCGATTATTCAATTGAGAAGTCATTTGTACAAAGATGAAAGATCAGCTCTGCTCTGAGAATGCAACTTTACTTGGACGTGGTTGGGGCTACAAGGCTGTGCCTCAGCCGGTTGTTTAGCGTCATCATCGCAAGTGTTGATTATGGCATCAATCAGCCATCCAAGCCACACCATCTCACCAAGCGAACAACCCGATGAGATGAGGTTGCCGCGGCGTATAAAGAAGGAGTCGTCTGGTATGAATTGCATTCGCGTCTGCAACCGTGCCATCGATTTTTTGTGTTACGAGCAACCTGGGTGTTCGCCGCGTAATCGGAGCCCTGGACAAACCACTTGACCGAGAAGACCTAAACACAAGCAGTCACTTTTGAGAACGACATACGCAGTACGTGGCAGTATCAGCGCCGCGACTTCAACTCTTCAGCGCCTGTCATGTCATCGATATTCAAGTCGATCCGCACACGTATTGAAGGCCTTCATGATGGCGACTCCCATCACAGCAGCATAGCACCACCAATCCACAACGGCCCATACCGCGAGCTCAACGACACCAAACACCTGTTGCGCCAATCCCACTCAACACCTGCCAACAGACCCAAAAAGCCCATGACACTAATCGAACTGTTCCAGTCGCAAGGGTGCAACTCCTGCCCCCCCACGAACAGCAACCTGATCTCTCTTGCCCAAGACCAGGAACACAACCCCGACCCAGGCAATGACTACCTTCTCCTCACCTATCACGTCACGTACTGGGACTATCTCGGCTGGGCCGACGTGTTCGGTTTGTCTGCCAATGACGCCCGTCAGCGCGAGTATGTCCGCAAGTTGGGCTTAGAGAGCGCGTACACGCCCATGGTCGTGGTCAACGGGCTGGGTGTAGGTGTGGGAAACACCCGTGCGGACCTGCAGAGGGTGCTGAGTGAGGGCCAGAAGAAGGCAGATCAAAGGGTCAAAATCAGTGTCGTCCAGCAGACGGGCAATGGCGGTGTGGTTGTCGAGGTGGATACTAGTACTTTGTCGATGCCCAAGCTGCCAACAAGTTCAAATGCTTCCGCGCTGGAGGTTCTGCACGTCCGGTATCTGCCAGCCTTGCACTCTGTGAGGATCGATCGTGGTGAGAACGCTGGTCGGATACTGCCGCATGTCAACGTCGTGACGGGCGTGGAGAAGATGGGGTACGTGGCTGGAAATGAGAGAACTAGATTTAACGTCGGCAGGCGAGGAGAGGCCCGCGAAAATGAGGCATCGGTTCTGATCGTGCAGGATGGACGAGGTGGTGAAGTCTTGGGCGTGCTGAGACTCGTGTGATGCAAAGCTGTCGATATGTGATGAGCCTTGTAGTTGGGTCTGGATTGAGTATCAAATACACCAGATTTGCTGCGATTCTTGATGCAATCAGTCGCCGTTCTGGTGTTCTGTCCCAGCATTTCCGCACGCTTGAGTCACTGTTGGCTTTCAGGTCGGACCCGACGGCCTCGCCTCCGACTTGCATAGAAAGACGTAGTAAGTATCTTGTGAATCATCACACACTTTCTGTTGATACCACCCTCGCTTGCTTACTTCCGGCAGACCACCTCTCCTTGCATGACCGAATACCAAGCTTCAGGGCTGTCTCCCCACGCCCTCAGCGCAGCCTTCATATCCTCGATCTCGTGTTGACTCTGGACAATCTTGTCCCTCAGCCACCTTTCGCCGATCTCGCCGTCAAGCCGACCAATGTGCACGCCAGCCCACCACTTGGCCTCATCCGGCGCCGTGTAGACGGTCGCGCCGGCGCCGATCTGCATCTTCGAGCGCTCAAAGCCCGCCTCCTGAGCCCATAGGTGCAGTCGCCGACCCGTGCCCTCGCCCTGAGCGCCCATGGCCCGAGCGGACGCGAAGATACTTTGCCAGTACTGCTCGAGGGGAGGCGTGGTCGGTTCATTGGCCGCGTGGTCCGCTTCGCGCATCGCGAGAATGCCGCCGGGCTTGAGGATCCGAAGGGCTTCCCTGATGACCCTGATGGGCGACGGGATGTGGATGAGCGTTTGGTGCGTGTAGACCACGTCGACTGAATCGTCGTCGAAGGGTAAAGGGGCGGCGGTGATGTCGCCGACGCGAAATTGCAGGTTGGCATAGGACCCTTTGAGGCCTTCTGCGGCACTACTAGCCCCCGACTCAGACTCCCCCGATGCGAGGCCGACGGCGAGGGAGCGCGCTTGCTCAATGACGGCGGCTGAAGAGTCGATCCCAATCACGGAGCCGTCCGGGACGAACGCGCAGAATCCCCGCGTGATGGTCCCAGGGCCGCAGCCAAGGTCCACGATGGTGAAGTCGGGCTTGAGATGTGGTGTCAGGAAGGATGCCGAGTTTTCGACGGTGCGGGAGACGTGCGAGGCGACCACGCTGGCGCTGTGGCCTTGTGAATACGTCGGTTGCGGTGTGTCTGTCGAGCTCATGCTGATGAAGACCCGTCTGTATTGTATTATTTGTATTGTACTGCGTTGTCAAGTGGGAGGGGCAAAGAGTAGATTGGTGTTGTCTAGAGAGATCGTTGCGAAGTTTGGACCTGTTTGATCGATCGATAAGTAGAGCAAGCAATGGTGTGACTGGCCTTCTTTTTTATGCTGATCGGTGCCTTTGGTGTGTGCTACTGCTTAAGATGAGGATGCTGGAACTCCGTCCGGAAGTCCGAGATCTCAGACCGAAAAGCGTAGCAACCGCAGCGCCAGCGCCCCCTACTCTGCTCCTCTAAAGTCCAGTTTTCTGTGACCTCGTGAATGGCAGTTCCCATTGCAACCGTGTCAAATTTGTGCTGGGAAGAATACTGTGAATCGTAAGGAAAGTCGCTAAAGACTGAATTGAGGACAACCTCTTAGGACTGTGTAACGACCTTGAAAGCCTGAGGACTTGGGAACTTGGCCGCCTTTCAAGGTTACTAGTACGTTAGACGCGAAACGATCCAAAGAGGCAGCAGTGACAGCTTGATCGACGTCTGTCTGCAAAAATGACACTCCGAGATGGCCCCTGTGCGACCCACAGAACTGTTGCCAGCTTGCCTGGGCTGCGTTGCAGGTACCGGACGAACGCTGATATAAGACCACTGCTTGGGGGGACTAATAGATTTGGAGGATCAAAGGACGACACTCAAAGGTACATGAAGGTGATGCCATGACATTCATTAGTCCGTCAAGAGTTCTGCATTACCGAATGATTAGATTGAAGTCTTCCATAACGTTTCATCCAACTCATTCTTTGAGGCCTTCCGAAAAAGAAAGAAGCAGAACATTTTTTTGATACATGAAATGAACAAACATTCCCCCCCAAATATTCCTTGCCTATGCTGATGCCCCTTTAGAATGTTGCATGCAAAAAATAATGACGACGTCCGGGCGTGTAACGTCCATTATTAACACTTCATGGCCAAAGGCCCTCTACACTGTGATAGTGCGGGAGTAGCTTAGTTCTGGAAGCCACGGGCGCGGAGCAGAGTGTTGTCAACGGCCCATCGCTTGGTGGCAGCAGGGCTGGTGACGGTGACGTTCTGGGTGGCACACTGTTGGCCAAAGGACTGGAGCCAGGCACCGTTGTCGAATTCGGCGTAGTTCTTCTGGATCTTGCCGTCCTTGTCAATGATCATGTAGTTGATTCCGTTGACTGGGTATGCTGAAGGGTTGGCAGTGAGTCTCCATCTCCAGGTGATGCTGTTGCAGTCGTGCCAGACGTTGAGGGTGGACACACTGGCTTCGGGTTGGAGCTTGCCCTGGCCGTAGTCAAAGGCTTGCTTGCTGGCGAAAGTCACGGAGCCGAGCTGGAAAATTTCGGTTAGCACATGATATTACATGTGATTGAGGGAAGATTAACTTACAGGGAAGCCAGCCATGAAGTTGATCGAGTCTGAAATGTCGCTGAAGTCGGCGGCAAGTGTGGCATCAGAGACATCCTGCTTGTAGCCTCGGCCAGCTGGGATGTATGGGTTGGATTGACCAGCGTAGGAAGTGTACTCGAGCAGGAGAGTGAAGTTGGCAGCGATGGCGCTGGCCAACGCATCAGTGACGATGCATGAAGATGGTGTGGCCGAGGCGGTGGTGGTGGTGGCCGCAGAAGTGGATGGTCCGCCCTTGGTGACGGTGACAGTTGTGGTTGAGCCAGCCTTGCATGATGAGGAGCCCCATTCGCTGGCGGTGACAGTGGTGGTGCTGCCAGCCGGGCAGGTGGTGCCAGAGACAACAGTGGCGGTCTTGGTAACAGTGGCGGAGCAAGAGCCAGAGCCAGAGCCAGAGCCTGAACCCCAGCCAGAGCCGGAGTCGGAACCACCGGTGGCAGTAGATCCGCCAGTGGCAGCGACGTAGACGGTCTTGGTGGTGGTGGTGGGAGCAATTGTGGTGGTCTTAACCTCGGTGAAGCCGAAGCATGAGCAGGCGCTGGTATAGGCAGCCTCGTCACAAGCACTGGCGTAGTTGGGGACCTCGTTGGGGCAGACGGTCACGCTGGCACGCTTGGCCTTGGCCTTCCAGTCGGACCATTCCCCAGTAACAGACTCGGTGACGGTGACGGCAGGAGGAGTGACGGTGGTGGCCAAGAAGCTGGCGCAGTGAGCACCTCGGAGGTGGTCGTCACCAAGAGCGGCCTTGCCAGTGACAGCGGCCAAGCAGGAGTTTTCCTGGCAAGATGACCATCCTCGGGCTTCGAGCGGGTTGGCAAAGGCGCCGCTGGCCAAGGCAGCCAGCGGCAGGGCGTAGGACAGGTATTGCATGTTTGGTGGATTAGGTGGTTGTAGTTGTTGTTGAACTAAAGAATGGCTAAGGTCAACGACCTTGAAAATCAGAACGAGCTCAAAAAGAGTGGATGATTGAAAGGTCAATCGAGACTGCGGTCAAGTGTTGCGAGCTGAGGGAGAGGTCCAGTACGAAGAGAGACGGGGACAGGTAGTACTTATGTCGGCTCCAGTGTTGGAACAGGGTGTGTGGGTGGTGATGGCCATCATGGCAGCGGACTCGACCCGGACATGGTTCAGGCAGCCACGCGGGCGGCCTCAGAGTTTGGAGAAGCTTGAAAAGAGGTAGGCTAATCTCGCAAACGAGACGTTGGTCCTCTGAGACTGGGTGCTTGGGTGGGTGTGGGACATGGCATTACCGGAAATGGTGTTGGTCACCATGGGTCACTAATTCGGATGGAGCAGCCGACCGATCAAGGGTGGATTTCAGCGATTGAAGCTGCGGAGTGGCACAGGTCAAGGTCGATTGATTATGGAGTAGATGTGTTGGTGTAGATTTGATGTCTGATGGCTGGCAGCTGAAGGGTAGTTCACTGTTCAGCCGTACCGCGCCTGGTCCCGGCGTCGACATCGATAACGGCAACGTGGGAAGAAGCTTGATAGTAGATACTGCCGAGACTGCTGCAGGTACGCTGCAAGGTACCGTACCTGACAGACGTCAGACCTGGTCGACCCGGAATATGGGGATTGTCAATCATCGCCCTGTGGTAGCATTCAGATCCCAGCCGTGGCTTACAGTATTACACCTTGAACGTTCGAATAGCTTCCAGGTTACTTACAGCAAGCGGACAGACATGGTTCCGTGGACTCGATCAGGAGATGCGGCGGGGACAGGACAAACCAACAAAACCTTGCTGGCTCTCTCGGACTCTCAGGGGTAGGAGAGTCACAGTCACAGCCACAACCTCTGGGTGGCCTCAGGAGAACTGTACTATGGGTAGGAGAATCACGGGAGAATAAATCAAAGGAGATCACAGAAAGTGGACGCCTCACACGCCTCGACGCATCACAACGCATCTCGTACATTTTGGCTTCGACCAGAGACGCGCCATATCCAAATGGGTATCCACCATACTCAAATAGGGAACGATGCCGACCGTTATCGGCCAATCAAGATCCACCGAGGCTGTTTGAGGCGGGACGCCCCTCGACGCCCCAAACGCCTGTTGAAATTTCCCAAAACACAAAACACAAAACACCAGAAATAAGAAATAAGAAATAATGCATTTTTCTACTTCTGCTTGACCCAAACACACCCGAGCCATGAAAGAGAGGGTAAGTCTGCACCAAAGTACAAGTACAACCTGCTGGAAGACTCGACTTTGTCTAGATGCCTGTCAGGCAGGCTTGCACCATCTTTTATCTGCTGTGCTCGGTATCGCCGTCGCGTGGCTTGACCACTACCAAGGTAACTTGACTTGACGTAGGCCCCATCCGACGACGTGCATACTGGAAACTTCCACAAAAGAACACGGCCTGTCCTATGCATATTCCCATGGACGATGAATAATAATACTAATCGACGGCCTTGCAATTTCATGTGTCATCTTTTTCTAGGTGTTTTACAACACGAACATCGTCATTCATTGGGTTGGGGAGTCGGTAGTCTGGATCAGGGGCGGGGGAAATTGGGCCCCGCGGCCTTACATACAGTAGGTCAAGGTAGGTGTGGTTCGTAACGGGCAGTTCGTTTAGTAGACTCAGACATGCTGTTCCAACTATGTCCTCCGTACTTACGTAGTAAGTAATAAATAATATCTCAAGTAAGCAGATAATAATTTCGGCGCTTGCCCGACGCGAATAATGACAGAGCAGACCATGTTCATGCAAAAAGACGAGCATGAGCAGGGTGTTGTACCTCGCACAAAAAGCATGCTGTGCACTGTGCAGAAGGGGTCGGACCATTATTCTCTCAGATCTGTGCGTCTGTTTCAGGCATAGTGAACGATTGCGAGGCTGCCTCTGTGAACCAATCAATCATTTTGTCCATGGACATTTTCTCTCATTCAATTTCCACAAACTTCGACCCAGGGGAGAAAATTGTTTTCCCACCACCTTCTACGGAGTATCCGTACCTACCAGCCGACCCTTGTCACGTCTAGAACGCGCAGAATACGCATCTGAAATTGAGGCGCTTCCAAATCGGACAATACCACACTATATCACGTAATCCACGCTCTTTCTGCCGACCTTCACACCTGGGCGTGACAAGTACATTCCCAAACCGCATGTTGGGCGGTCAGGCTCCTTCATCAGAGTCCAAAGGTCCATGGTCGCCTCCGGAAGAACCTATAGTACTGCATGGTAGGTTCAACATCCAACGTGTTATCACCACTCTGGATTCTTTCACATTTCATTGTTTCATTTCCAACCAGATGATTAGTGCATGATCTTCCCCAGCTCTATCAGAAGCCCACAGCGGCTACTCTGCTGGAAGCTCTAGGTCTCCTGTCTTTCGAGCCGCCCACGTTCACACTCCAGAATCATGTCGTTTGCCGTAGAGTCGACGAACAAGGAGTCCCAACTTACTTGACTTCGATCGTCTCTTCAAATCTCCATTGGATCGAAGATGATGACACAAGAGAGGGAATATGGAACGCCGCAAGCGCTCGACTAAGTGAACGCTCGGGCAGGAATGCTATGCCTGCAATGACACGGACTTTCATCGTCAATGGTGAACTGTCTATCAACCTCCACGAGCCTTCGCTCACAGAGGATAATCTGGGACTGAAGACGTGGACGTCGTCACTTTTGCTAGCGCAACGACTCGCCAAGTGCCGAGGGTATATTCCCGGTGCCTGTTCCCGAGTCTTGGAATTGGGGGCCGGTACAGGGCTTGTCGGCATCGCGGCGGCTTGTGTCTGGAACACGCAGGTCCTGTTGACTGACTTGCCTGAGATCCTTCCTAATCTTGAACAGAATCTCGCACACAATCGGGAATTGGTTGCAAGAAATCGTGGCCAAGTCCAGGCAAGAGCACTCGATTGGGCCGATGAGACCGATGTCCCAGGGCACGAAGAAGAAAAATACATGGTCATTCTGGCAGCGGATCCTATCTACTCCTCCGAACACCCAAAGCTCCTTGTGAGCACTGTTCGCAGATGGATCAGCTGGGATGCAGGTGCCAGATTCATCGTCGAGCTTCCAATACGAGACCGCTATGATGGTGAAAGAGAAGACTTGCGGTATAACTTGCACCAGTCCGGATTCGAAATCGTGGTCGAGGGTACTGACTCCGGATATGATGATTGGCATGGGCGAGATGGATATCCCGCTGACGTGACATGCTGGTGGAGCATATGGAAGCCATCTGGAAGATGTTGAAGCATCAAGACACCAGCTTCTGCTTCACACTTGCCGGGTTGGTTCAGAACCGCCACTGTGCCCATAGAACGCTCTCCAACGTCCCAATATTCATCTCCTCTTGATCAAGACGGCGGCTTCCTGAACTCCATGTAATACAACACGCCTTCCTTGGACCTTGTGCTTCCTGTTGCTCTTTTCTGATACACATTTTGTCCATGTTCTTTTTCTCCGACTCCAGCGGGACCGCGTGTAGAATCAAAAGAATTACCACCAACGCCTTGCTGATGGACGATGCGTGACCCAAGAAATTCAACCACTAAAGCGTTCGGACCAATGCTCGCCAATATGTTCCCATCGTTTCCTCCTCGTTTGAAGCGATCGTTGTGCGATCATGCAGATGGAAGGTGGTCTATTGAGGCTTTATTGAGCCTTCAGTCTTCGTTCCGCAGGGTCGTATCTATTCGTCGCAAAAGCCTGTTAGCCAAATCATCGTCCGGGCCCAAGCGCTTCTTGTACTGCAAAGAGGTAATCGACGTACTGTAGTAACTTCTCGATTAGATCCACGTGTGTCATCAACATGCGCCGGCAGCAGTATCTTTTCGCGCCAACTTGGTCCATGGCCTCACTATGGAAATGATGAAGTGTCAGAAGTCGTGTAAGTCTGCGCATATAAATCGTGTATTCTAGACGAACCCATCAGACATGCCACCTTCGAGTAGCTTCATGTATCGCTCCCAGATGTCGGCGATGACCTACAAATTCAGGTGGTTAGTCGAGGGCGCAAACTGCGGCGAAGAACAACCGGCTACCTTTCCACATGAGAAACAGCGAATGGGGATGATCATCTTGTCGGATGTTGCAGAATAAACTCTTGAGAGCGAACGAGTTGAACAGGATGAGGCGTTGCGAAAGTTGTTGCAGATTTCGTCGACTTGTCCGCCTCGAGTTCTGGGAGAAAATCCGCCTGCAGAGGCAAGGCTGAGGCGAGGCTGCGCCTTGGCAAACGGTCCGGCAAACCTTCCGCCTTTTCCTCGTGCGGAGAAAAAAGTTCTGCTTCGTACGAGTACGCAGACGAGTGCTATTGCCCATTGCCGTCTTCATGTGAGGCTACATCTGTGCGAGACGAATACCAATGGCCCAATTAGCCAAGCGAGATGCAGGCGTTGCATTTGACGGCGCTGCCAGCGATAGCCCTCATGCTAGCAAGCGGCAGAGAAAGAGAAACAGTCGCAAAAGCGCAGACGAAAGTGCTTTTCTATCAGCCCGCGCAACATCAGAACAGACGCCGCTGAAGAAAGGGACGGTTCGATCTTCCGATGTCGCGGAGTTGGGTCCCTACGAAGTCACAACCCCAGTATCTCGGCACGAGCATGAGAAGACGCAGAAGTCGCCGTATTCCCAGGCAAAATCAACACGAGCTCTGGAAGGACCATCTAAAGAGAAGGAACGGAAGATAGACATGAGTATGTGGGAGGACCTCAGCACGGACAACACTAAGGCATTGGCGGTGAAAGGCAAACCTAACAAGTCGTCGGAAACTGGATCGAAACTAAGAAAAGCACAACCTAGTGTCACCGACTGGTGGCTCTCGAGAGGCCATGGCGGCACCTTCATAGAACAAGATCCCATCTTCACGAGCGACAACCAGTACTTGATCGTGCCGACCCATTCTGATGTCAAGATCTTCTCCACAAAAACCTCGCTTTTGGTCAGAAGTTTCCAAGTCGACAGCAAATCCGACATAACCAATTGCGCTCTTTCGACCGCAGATCCGAGCAGAATATATGTATCCAACTCGAGGGGCCTCCTTTCGATATGGGACTGTGCGTCGGGCACAAGCCTGTGCAAACAGGACCTGGGCAGAGGACTGCAACAGGTTTTGCCAATACATTCGGAAGACAAGAAGGAGGTAGTTCTTGTCCTCCAGCAGAGTGAAGGAAAGGGCACATCTGTGGTTGCATTTGCAGTGGATAATGCTACCAACCAGTTCAAACAGCTTCAATTGGTGCTGCAAAGGAATTTACGACTCTCGAGCATACAAGCGCATGCTCAAGGAAGCATTCTAGTGGCCTGTACCCGTGACAGGATCCTAGTTGGTCAGTCGCAACTCACGGCTGAGGGAGGCTTAGATTTGACTTATACATGGCGAGAGATCTCCGTTCCTGGCTCCATCATTTCCTTTGACGCTCAAATCAATATTGGAAAATCCAAGACGTCGAGGAAGGTTCCGTTCCTGGACGTGGCTGTCGGTCTACAAAACGGAGTCATTATCAACTACGAAGATGTTCTTTTCAAGCTCATTGGAAAGGAGAAAAAGAACTCGAATCAGGACATCACCGGCCGTAAACTCCACTGGCATAGGACAAGCGTTAACACGTTGAAGTGGTCCCGTGACCGCAACTACCTCATCTCCGGAGGTGACGAGACAGTGCTAGTGATCTGGCAGCTGGATACGAACCAGAAGCAATTCTTGCCTCATCTTTCCACGTCTATTCTTGGTCTGAGGGTATCTGCCTCAGGATCATCATACGCACTACGGTTGGGCGACAATTCAATTATGGTCTTGTCAACAGCAGATCTGCTCCCGTCAACGAACATCAATGGGCTCGCTCTGGGCGATATCCAACACCATCGAGCTCCAGTGGTCCTTCATCCCACGGCTGAGAATCGACTATTTGCTGCGATCCCAGCTAATGCTGTCACCAAAGGCTTACTGCGGGGGAAAAGCTCGACCCTTCTGCAATCGTATGACCTGGAGTCAGACCTGCAGATAGGCCGGCAAGCTCTAACAAGAAACATGACGACGGCCTTGAATGTTGCACCCACGGGCCAGTCCGTGCAAGAACCAAATGTTACGCATATTGCCGTCAGTCACGATGGAAAGTGGCTGGCAACTGTTGATGAATGGCAGCCAAATGATCAAGATCTCGATGCCCTGTATATCGAGGCTGACGCTTCCAGAGACCGCGGGTCAGCCACGGAGACAAGCCTCAGATTGTGGACACTGAATGACAACGACAACACATGGGAACTCGTAACACGTATCGATGAACCACACAAGCCGGGTCCGCAGTCCATCCTTGGTCTGGCTGTGAGTCCCAACAAACTCGAGATGGCGACAATTGGCTCCGATGCGAATATCCGACTCTGGTCACCCAAGGCTAGACATCGGAACGGTGTCGCTGTGAGGAACAATTCAAACGAGCAACTCTACACCTGGACATGCTCGAGGACAATTCCATGCGAACAGGATGCTCCTGGACAGTCCGAAGCAGCAACATGGGCGACCTTGGCCTACTCCGACGATGGCTCTGTGCTTGCTGGATCTTGGTCCTGGCAGACTGCTTCTACCCGCTTCGTCCACCTTATCGACCCTCGAACAGGTCAAATCAGTCTTTCGCAGCCAGACCTCTTGCACCAAGGTGATGGCAAGATGGAATTTTCGGGACGTTACCTCATCTGCTTGTCCCAGATGCTCACAGTCTATGATTCCCTGACGAGCCAACTTACCTCCACCATAAGCCTGGATCCAGCATTTGTTTCCCCACAGACCCAGGCCCCATACTTCCTGGCGGTTAACAAGCTCGATGGGACCGTCGCCGTCAGTATTTCGAGGTCTCATAAGCCAAAGTCCACAAAGGTCCTCGTCCTCAATATCAGCGGCGGCGATATCAAGCCACTACACGAGCTCTCTTTCCCAGGCACGATCAGAAGCTTACTTGCTTCGACGACCGCACCGGGGTTTCTGATTGTTGACGATAGGAACGTGGTCCGGTCGCTCAAACCTTCGGGAAGCCAAACCACAACGGCGGTGATTCCTCGATCACTCACGAGACACGAGCCTGAGCAAGTCACCAGGGGTCTGGACAGCATCTTTGGTCGTGCTGCTGTTAATACCGTAGTGGGCACCGATGGAGTTGTTGAAGATGAACATGTCGGTGGCGATGTGAAGCAGTCTTCAACAAATGAGGATGCTACGTCGTCTAGAGATCTAAACTCTGTGTTGAGGATCGTGTCATCCACACAGGCGCCGAGTCCGGCCGAGTTGTTCCAAAGAGTTGTTGGCGTGTTGGCGAAGGGGTAGAGAGAGAGGGTGGTCCTGATCGTCGTAGTGGGAGAATATGAGAACGTGTACGGAGTAAGGTCTGGGAAAATGAGAGGCTTACTATCTTTGGAAAGGATGCGAGAGTCGGTAAAACCACCAAGTGTGGCCGTGTTGATAGGGTTGTTAATACCTAAACTTGGCTTGTGCATCGAACAAGATATACCACAGTACTTGACAATGCTCATCATATCAAATAAGTACCTACCTTAGGTACGCAAGTCCTCACTGGGTATACGGATACCTCCACATGTCAATGGACGTGGTGAGCTCAGTGACCAACATTGAGAGGATCTATTGAGGACGCCTTAGCTGGGCTGGACATATCACCGTCCTCCACGATTCACAACATGTCGGTTGTGTGGAACAACTTGAACTACTTTACTTCATTGGCCAAGCACGACGGACCGAATTCGAGTTCGACTTTCTGGTTCTACTATGGTCGTAAGCATCATCCTGCATCTGCCTCTAGAGCCTATGGGATGCCGTTCGGTGGGGGGTTTTCTCGACAGTACCTACCAGGTAAGTATGTCACAGCTGCACCGTTCCCTGCATCGTGTGCGTTGGGTCAAAGGAAGCGGGGGAAACCCAACATCGAGGACTCGTAGAAGACAATGGAACAGAGCCCCCTCCACGCCCCTCATCTGTCGATTCAACGGACGCAGTTAGTTGTTACCTAGGTACTCAGCTGCCGTGGGTCCGAAGTGACAGATCAAATATTTATACAAGTATGAAACGCCGGTACGGTACGAGCTACCACTTCCCCTCTTCCCCCTCTTTTCCTGTTGGACGTTGCCCTTCTTACAACTACAACTACAAGTACCCGTACGGGAATGCTTTGAACCTCTGAAGAGATTCTTTTTACCAGTCATTCTGCCAGCCGAGAGCTTCCTCCACATCCATCACCGGGCCTATTTTACCTAAGGTATTTTATTCTGGGGCATCCACCAAAAAGAAACGAATCAAAGCAAAAACAAAACAAACGACAATAGCTCGTAGCGATCATGACTCAAGGCTGTTCAGCAATGGTCGTCTACCCGGCGGGCCCAGACGCGAAATTCGACATGTCGTACTACCTAAAGAAGCACATGCCGCTCGTGGCGGAGCACTGGACGACGTTCGGCCTGCGCGACTGGAAAGTGGTCGAGCTGGGCAATTGCCCCGACGGGAGCAAGCCGTACAGCGTCGCGGCGCTTTTGACCTGGGACTCGGTCGAGGGCGTCAAGAAGGCGTTGGAGAGCGACTCGGCCAAGATCGTGCTGGGAGATGTCGAGAATTTCAGCAACAAGTCGCCCACGTTCTTGATGGGTGATATTGTGGGTTCTTCGTGAGTAACCAAGGTTACATGGTCCAACCAGACAAGTCGAAGCTGTGCAGAGAGAGGGGAGAGACGGACAGAGAGTGAGGGAGGCATGGGGTTTAGTGATCCGATCCTTTTTCCCTTTTTTCGGTCCTGTGTGATGGTACATTGAAGGAATCGAAGCCGGCTTTGAGGGGGGGATGAAGATGAAGGAGGAGCATGCCGGACGACGACCGGATAGTCTCGCTGGATAGTCATGCTGGATACGAAGTACCGTTGTAAGTAACTAGTTGCTCGATATGAGAGCCCGCTGTTTTTGATTGTCATTGTCTCCTGGCTTTTCGTTCAGAGTCTGCTCGGTAACGTTAGTCTCCGTCCTGGAAGGCTCGACATGTTCCCATCACTCCCATCATCGTGTGCCACTTGTCAGTTAAACCCCCCTTAGGGCTTACTCTACCACCGACACGCACTCTCTCTTGCCGACTCCTGATATGTCCGCGAGCTCGTACTCGTACTCGTCCTCTTCCGCCTCACCTCCGTTGAAGAAAAGGTCTCATGTACTCCTGCGGCTCGCTGCCCCCGTCGTTCCACATACTGGCAAACTCCTCAATGCCAGCTTCGACACCAGTGTCAAGGTCCGTTTCCTCCCAGAGCTTGACCAGGCGCTTCTGAGCCCTCATCGCCTGCGGGCCATTGTTGGCGATGGTCTTGGTCGTCAATTCAACTCGAGCGGCATCCATGTCCTCTCGAGTGTCGTAAACATGGTCAACCAGGCCCCAGTCCGCCGCGGTCTGTGCGTCGATCCTCTTCGCGAAATAGACCATTTCTTTCGTCCTCTGCCAGCCGATGATGTTCGCCAGCAACCGTGCCTGCACCACGGACGGGATGCCCAGAGCCACTTCAGGCATGCTGAATGCAGATATCTTGGTGGCGTACCGGAAATCACAGGATGCTGCGAGCTCGACGCCGGCACCCAGCGTCAGGCCGTGGATACTCGCGACCGTCAGGACCGGCATGTCTCGAAGAGCCTTGCAAGCGTCGTGCACAGCCGTGATGAATCGACGGGCGTCTGCGGACGACCGTATGGCACCCATCTCGCGGACATTGGCCCCGCCGCAGAACGTGGGAGTCGCAGTCGCACTGGCGGCGGTCTCGCTGCTGAGCACAACGACACGCAATCCGTCCCTCGAGGCGAGCTGGCGTAGGACCTTTGTGAGCGACCTGAGTAAGTCTGAACCGACAGAATTCGCACGTCTGGCATTGCTGATCCAGACTTGAGCTATCTCGGCGCCGTCGCCCGGTCTGCGTTTGAGGGACCACCCAATTCGCCCAAACCCTTGATCGTCTTCGACCGGCTCGTATGACGTCTCCTCGTGGGAGAAGTCATGCGACGGTCCCGTACTGTGATGGCGGCCTGTTGATGTGAAGAGCCGTCGGCTGAGCTGGAATCTGGGTGCCAGTGGTTGTAACTTCGAGCTCCAAAAGGTCGATATCGCAGGACGAGCCAACCAAGATATATTCCTGTAGATGCGGCACGGACTCATATTCGTATCCTAAGGTAATCTCTGGTGGAAGAAGCAAACGCGGCTATAAACAAGAAGCCTAGGAACATACACCGTATATCAGAGCGAGAAGCGAATACTTCCAGTAGGATACCATAGAGCAGTCGATGAAGCATCGAAACAAAGGTCACTTGGGGAAATTCTATAGCCGAGGTACTATTAACTTAGCCGTCCTCGCCGTCCTGATCACTATTGACCATGGAGACCACCATGAGACCTGTGATGTCGTGTTTGGGATTACTGGCTGATGAAACGCATGAATTGTACATCTTGAGCACCGCGGACTCAAGTACTGTTTGAACGCCTTAATTCATGAGCGAGGCCGCTTGAGCGGAGTAAAATGGGAGCCTGAAAGATATCTGAAACGACCCGCCTCGTCGACATTACCTCAGGGATTATTGAGCAGGAATTCAATCGCCCCATTCACACTGCCACCGGTCCTCCGCAGTGCCTGAATGTTCCGGTCAAAGTCGTAGAAGCCCATGTCATTCAACTGCTGTAATTGTGTGGCATATCGCTCCTCGGGTGGTCTGTTATCGGGTGCAGATGCTTGATCTACGCCTGCTCCTCCTCCACCAAAGAAGTCAAAGGGATTCCCAAAGTTGGCTCCTCCGTTTCCAGCGCCGGCCCCAAGTGCTTGCAGCAGCTGGTTAAACGCTTCTGGGTTCGGTGCTCCAAACGGGTTGGCAGGGGGTGGTGAAGTTGTGCCGGTGTTGCCACCTGGCGGTTGTTGACGAAACATTGCCGGATCCATCAGGGCAGCGAAAGGGTTCTGTTGCTGCTGGTTTTGCGGATTCGGTCTTCCAGCTTCATTTGCTGTGCCAGCGGCATTTGTAGAGCCTGGCGTTGATGCATTCTGATTGGGAGAGGGAACATGGGGCATGAATGGATTTGCAAATGGATTGATACCTATTCCTCCCATTCCTCCCGTTCCTCCCATTCCTCCCATTCCCGCACCGCCGAGAAAAGATGCGAACGGGTCCCGTCGTGGCTGTTGTTGTTGTCGTTGCTGTTGCTGTTGCTGTGTCTGGTTGTTTGTCTGATCTCCAGCGTTTTCAGTCGTGTTAGTAACTCCGGGGGCTGGGAACGCTCCTTGTGCACCACCACCGAAAGGGCCCATTGGTGAGCCTCCTTGCAACTGAAGCATTGCGCGAATGGCTTGGGGATCTGTCATCATCCTCCGGAAATAGTCTGATTGTAGGATCTGCCTGACACCTGGCATGTTTCTCAATTGCGGGTTCTGATTGATCATCATGTCTATGACTTGCGGGTTGTTCATGGCTTCTCGCATCATCTGCTGGAAGTTTGGATCTTCGAGTTGGCGGATAAAATCTTCGGGGCTCTGAGGGTTTGTGAACATGCTGGCGTTCGGCAACTGAGCGAAGCCAGCGTATCTCGCGCCAGTCAGACCAGCCAAGGGATCGTTGCCGGTGCCTGATGCAAGGTTCTGTGGTACTCCAGCTGCTGCAGGTGGGCCTGATGAGGTGGTCGAGCCAGACGACTGCGCCGCGGGGTTCTGCCGCTGATTGCTTGGGGCGCTCTTGACAAGATGCATGGTGTTTCCTTCTTTTACATTGTGTGTCGCTAGTGTATCACCATCTTTCAGCACTTTGCCACTGTAAATCAGTCGTTGGGCGGAGGCTGGGACGTTTGCATATTCTTCGCCTGCGAGTTTGTTCTTCAGGTCGGCCGTGGTCGTCGAGAGTGGCAGGGTGACGGTGAACTTCTGGCCGCCGGACGACTTGACATGAAAGGTGACTGTGGCGTCTTCAACACCGGCTGTGTCGGCCATTGTTGCGACGGCGCCGGACAGGCGTGTAAGGGATGGGTGGTTAAAGTGTGATGACTGGGAAGATTACAGATCAGATCCAGAAGGTAGGAGGCCAAGTGCTGCGATAGGCTAAATGAGATGACGGCAACGATTCTAGAGCTGTCTGAAGAGGGATTGATGTCGCGAGGAAGAGGTTAAAGGACGAAGATAAGTAATTAATGGTTGAGAGGGAGATGGCAGTTGAGTGAATGAGAAATGAATCCAGGTGTCTCTTTGCTCGGCATTTGCCAAACCACAAACCAACTCCCTGGAGTGATCAGTGAGTACCTATGGTGTGCCTACGTAGGTGTGGTAGTAGGCGATAGGTAGCTTATGACTTAGTTATTCAAGGCTCCATCATGCTCCAAAAATGACCATGAACTTCTATTCCGTCATCGTCCCGCGCCCATCATGGCCTCTGCTCCTCTGCTGCTTTGCTGCTTTGCTCCCTCTGCGAGCCTTGCCGATGGTCAGCCACTTAAAGCGGCAACACAGAATTGCTTGGCGCCATCATGTGTCCCCACCTGCAGACAGGGCCACGGACTTCATCACATTCATTTCTGCATAACATCACACCCATATTTCTTGATAATCATTGAGCGACTAAAACTACCTAGGTCTTCGCGGCACTATCCCGCACCTTTCTCGGTGAAACCAATACCTTCACCAGATAAAGTACATGATGTTGAGGAAAGGTCTCGATATCTTGGAAGGCACAAACTAGGTTTGTATATCTCTGAAATGCTGATCCGAGCTTCCGGGTCACCACTTCTTCCACTGCTGCCACAGGCTCGTCGACATGAGGGAATGATCTCTTCCATATCCCAACCCAGCAAGAGGCACGCGAGGTATCAAGCATAGCGCCGTCTGTCCCGTGTCCGGCGACCTTTTAACAATGCCATTACAGAGCCCGTCTTTTCCCGTCTGCACACCTTAACACAAGACCTCAATCGGCCCTTTCAATCATTTCAACCACTAACTGACGACATTGGTCAAATCAATGGGATCTGCTCCGGGCTCGTCACCAGTGTTGGCCACCGCAGCTGCGAAATCAATCTCGATGGCTTGATCTTTGCCATTGTCTGTGAAAACCTCGAGGACTTCGATTTCTGGGATGAGGTAGAGCCACTGCTCAAAGCGGACTGGGCTCTTTTGAGATCTGCGACGCCGTGGACGCCGATGAGACCGTCGTCGAGGAGGTGGTCCGTTTCAGACGGAACTTTCTTGACTTGCCGGATGATCTGCTTGTGGTTGTTGACGTTGTCATTTCGGTGTCGGTGCGCTTTGGACGAGGCTGAGAGCTTTCGTTGGCGGGGATGTAGACTGGAGCCACCGTAGGGAAAGCAATACCATTGACCGCGAGGCCATGAAGAAACGCCTGCAGGATAGAAGACCATGACTCCATTGCAAGGTGGGTAAGGGTAGGGGCTTCTTCGAGCAGCTGGGCAGCTGGTGACAACCCGTCGCGGTGATTGTGGTAGGATGTGACAGATACTGCCTCTGCTCCAGAGATGGGAATATTCCTCTGCTTATATGTCATGTTGGTACTTTGTAAGCTTACCTTATCTGCTCCCGATACGAGGCGGGTCAGCACTTATTGGAGGAGGCAAGACACCCCTGGGATGGGATTCTTGAATCTCAATCAATCCCAGTATCAGTGCCCAGCCAGACACGCCCTAGTAGTGAAAGTCAAAGTTGCAATGGTTGCTCGCCTTACGTTGGACACAACAGCCACGTGTAGAAGCATATATTGGTGTTTCACGTGATATGGTTGGGGGCCATAAACCCCATAGGCACACGTTGCAGAGGTGTCAGCTCTGGGCACAAGGGCGGGGATTTCAATTGGACAGATCTTGACGAGTGCTCGTGAAGTGGTAGACGATGTTGATCAAAGGATGCAGGATTTCCAATCCATGCGCACAGAAAGCTGACATTGCTGATCTTTCTGGCTGGGCAACAGCTGAGGGGTGGTATCGCAGACAAATACGGGCTGGAAGTTGCTAGTGAGGGATTCGAGGATTCTGCGTGATGATGGGTGATTTGATCAATTATTAGCATTAGTAAATATGTTTGATGGTGACATGAGAGGAAAGTAGAGGTTCGGTGAGCGCTTTACATGGTGACTTCTGTGAGACCACACTGCCCACCTGACGTGGCTATCAAAGCGCTGCAAAGAGACCACGTACTCAACAAGAAGCAATTTGACAGTCCTCTGGCTACCAATGCTGAGATTTGGTATGAACTTCGTGCATGGGCTGAAGAAGATGGACGTGGAGAGCGAGAGAGTGAAGGATCTCCCTCATTTTTATCTGGCTCTTTTAGGGGGATTAAGTCAAGGAAGCTTCATTCTCGAGCTACTCCTATTTAGGACTACCTAGTGATCTAACGGACATTTCTTGGGCAGATAGTGGTGGTTAGGGGCAAGAGGGACATGGTCGACCCTTTGGGCTCTTGGGCACCCGCATGTTGGGCTATCTGTGTGGCGTGTCCACGGGGATTCTGGCAGCAGTCGTGGGGAGTCTTAGAAAAGGTTCATGATAGCAGCTTCCATACCATGGTAAGAAGTCCTACATAATGATATCCGTTTCGCTAATATGGCCAGCTATCACGACATCGTACTTGAAGGAGACTCTGTCTCCAGCAAGCCGACATGGCTCGCCGTCCCACCGCCAGATGACATCGAACAGGCACCGGCTTCCTTTGGACCTGCTTGGCTCCACGAAATTCTTGCTCACTGTGGTTTTCCGCACTCTGGGATTTGGAACACGTTCGAAGGTGAGCTCGGGACTTTCCGAGGAGTAGTAATCCGGTCGAGAACCCCGTGAAAGGGTCCCCAGTGGATTACTCCCGCAAAGGTGAGTCGTCTGACACGACTTCCTCCTTGTCCCTTGACTGTAATCTCCAAACAGTTATTTAGACACTTCGAGTCTCTCACGTCATTCCGCTCTGGAACGAGACGAATTAAACGATGAACGTCCCGGTTGATGTTGCTCTTCGATAAGATGCAAGGTAAAGGGCATCGACCCTATCAACATTTTCTTTGAACAACTGAAGGAGTGAAGAAACCATGCCTGAATTCTTATGCCACATTGCTGTCATCGGCGCCGGACTGGGTGGCTTGGCTGCAGGCATCGGTATCTTGCAAGCTGGGCATCGCGTCTCCATAATTGAACGAGCACCAGCTTTGGCAGAGGTATTCTACAGATCCCTGGGCCGAGAAGCCACTTTCCTGCAAGCCAATCAAGGGTTACTAACGAACTGGCTTTGCAGATCGGCGCTGGAATCCAGGTTCCTCCCAACACAACCAGGATCCTGAAGAGATGGGGTGTCCTCGAACAGTTGATCAAGGTATCTGATAGGCCCAAAGAATCGGTCCTGCGCTCATATCGCGATGGAAGAATACTCTCAAGTCTTGATCTACAAAAATGCTCGGAAGAATTGTACGATCATCCTTATCTTCATGTCCATCGTGCCGACTACCATACTGTGCTGGCTGAGGAATTCCGACGGCTTGGAGGCAGCATCGCAACGAACTCGGAGGTCACCAGCGTCAACTTTAATGATTCGACGGTTCAAATCAAAGGAGGCCCAGATATCAAAGCCGACTTGATCATCGGAGCAGATGGCGTAAAGTCCATCTCTCGCGAACTGTTGCTAGGCCGCGCCGACCCCCCTCGGTCCAGTGGTGATATGGCTTATCGCCTTGTGATTCGCGAAAAGGATATTAGAAAGCACCCAAATCTTGTAGACTTGGTGAACTCGGGTCGCATCAACAATTGGATAGGGCCGGATCAACATGTGATGGGATACAAATTGCGGGACGGGGACTTGTTCAACATCGTGATCGCCTGTACGGATACTTTACCGGAGACAACCAATATGGCGCTTGCCGGCGCCCAGGAGCTCAGGGACAGGGTCATGGGATGGGATCCCGATCTGGAAGCACTCGTCGCTCTGGCATACGAAGGTAGCAAAGGCCGCTTGATGCGAGTTGATGAGATGGAATCCTGGGTGCACCCCTTAGGGAGGTTTGTGCTCCTGGGAGACTCCTGTCACGCGACGCTGCCATATCTGTAAGTTCACACGGCCTAAGTTGCCTACAGTCCCTTCATCTGGGCGGTTAGTTTGCATACTGGCTAACAATTTCTGTCCCAGAGCACAAGGGGCCGCCCAAGCAATCGAGGACGGTGCCGTCCTTGGCCACCTTTTCGAGAAGGTCAGCCATGCCAGTCAACTACCCGACATTCTTACCATCTACGAAGCTCTGCGGAAGCCGCGTACCAGCCGAGTCGTCAGGGACTCCACCCGGGGCAGACGGATTCTTCATCTTCCCGACGGACCTGCCCAGGAAGAGCGAGATCGCCAGCTGCAAGAGGAACGGCCTTTCGAAGGCTTCGCTCATGCGTGGGCCGATCCGGCGATGCAGGAATTCTTATATGGCTATGATGCTCGCAAGGAGGTGAATCGTGCTTGGGACGTTTATCTGTCGGGCCAGTTTCCTCTCACCACAAATGCTTGGAAATTATAGGGAGTCTAGAAGTCAGCAGGCGAGGCGGGCTGTTGACGATTTTGTTGAAGTCATCCTTGCGCCAATTGAAGTCCTGACATCTAAGTGAGCATACTAGTAAAAATATGAATATTGACAGGCAGGGGCTCTCCCCCTTTCAATAAAAGCATAACCTCCGAGCCTCCACTTTGACCCCCTTGGAAAAGAGACTATCTTCTCTACCCATCCTGTTGTAAGTCACTGACTTGCGCCTCGATCGAGGGAAAACATCTGGCATCATCAATTGCTCTCTATTCGACCAGCTAACCTTTTCCTCTGTTATCCAATTCATCCAATGATGCGGTATCTATCCTGTAAGGGCTTTTTCTCCTTTGGCCCAGGGCGCTCACCAACAGGCTTGCCAATGACCATCTGAGATATGAGCTTCCAATGCGACGGGATTGTGGCCGACCAAGTTTCTTTCACCTTGTCATCGATCAATGGGTTGTAGTGCTGCACATTGGCGCCCATGCCTTCGGAATTCAACGCTGTCCAAAGAAGGACCTGATGCATGCCGTTGGTCTGATCCCGCCAGCTTTCGAACTTGTCGCTGTACAGCTTGAAGGCTTGTAAGTGGTTGAATGCGGTGGGGTCTTCGAAGAATATGATAGTGCCGTAAGACCCTTGGAAAGAGGCAAGCTTGGCCTCGGTGGCCTGGGCTTGTTCGCCAGAGACAAATGGTTTCACTGCTGCTCGGACAATGTCCCACAACTTCCTGTGTTCGTTTCCAATAAGGAGCACTATCCGTGTACTCTGGGTGTTGAAGGCGGATGGGGTGGATAGGAGAACCTTCTGGATGAGTTCCTCAATGCGCTCTTTGGAGATGGTGGTCTCGTTCGAAAGCTTGTAGATCGAACGTCGTTCAGCGACTGCTGACATGAGGGCGTCTGCGCTGGTCGACGACATTGTGACTGAAGAAGCCGGTATATTTCCAAAGCTGGCGTACAAGACTAGTAAAAGGCTGACCTTTTCCGTACAGGTCTCTTGTGACTTCCAACGACATGGTACTTATGCACACAATGTTAGCCCTGGAAATACTGTGTTCTCCCGACAGGGGCTTGATACGTCGCAGATCCCGCATCCTCCACAGTCCCGGGCTACTACCGTTTCTTGTTTGGTTTCCGAGGTGCTACTGCTAGTAGTACTTACTAATCGTGGTTGTAAGCGAAAGGGCGGAATGAATGCTTTGCCTCGGATGAAGCGAATCGTCTCACGATTTCGGAATCTTCCGATACAACTTCGTTCAAATACATTGGAGAATGGTTCGTAATCTTGGCTTTCACTGAAGCTGGATGATTTTGAGTAGAACGTGAGGAGTAAGCTGGAACCATCCTCCAAAGTGCCGCCGGAGAATGTAACGCATAGATCATGTGAAGCGCTGGAAGCAAACCTGGTTGTAAGCCCATTCTTTGGCTGTGCTTATGGACTGTCGTAATCATCACGATCCAATTGTCCTATTTTTGTTTGCAAGTCACCACCTTCCCTTCTATATGCTCAGTCACAAGGGTTCAAGCTACTAAGGGTTATGGACATCGCTGTCAACACGTTGGAAGTTGACCACCTCATCGTCGGCGCAGGCCCGGCAGGGGCATCACTGGCGTGTTTTCTAGGCAGACACGGTAATTCTGCCAATCCAGCATTATCGATGCATATCTGCCTTTTGAGATTCTGACTCCAAGGGTGGCATTTTGACAGGACTGAATGGGTTGATAATTAGCTCCGCGCCTTCTACGGCAAACACACCACGAGCTCATATCATCAATCAACCTGCAATGGGTAAGTAAGCAATAGCATCGTTCTCAGAGACAGGCGTTCCCGACTAAGCGATTATGTATTCAAGAATGCATACGAGATTTGGATATGGATCTGGAAAGGGAGTTTCAAAAACTTGGTTATGCCGGGCCTGAAAAGGGCCATACGCGCTGGTGCAGTACCATGAGCGGAAGAGAATATGGTCGAATCCATTCCTGGGGTTTCGGTCCAAAGCGAGGAGTAAGTTTAACCTCCGGTTCTCAATTCCCAGGGTCTCCCATGGAGAAAATGGTTCGAGATGTACTAATCGAACAACATCATGATAGGGAGATTTCGAGCTCCATAGCCCGTGCTCCCACCTCGAATTGCCACAAACCATTGTGGAACCAATTTTGCTTAGATACGCGACCCAGCATGGATTTCCATGTCGATTCGGCTCTCGACTCGTACGGTTTGACGATTCCGCGGTCGACCATGTCATGGTGGAAGTCGAAGATCGAATCTATGGGACCATCCAGAAAATCAAGTGCAAATATCTCTTTGGTGCAGACGGTGCAAAGAGTCGCATTGTTCAGCAGTTGGGCTTGCCTCTAAACGTCCAACCTAGCCAAGGCATTGCCCTGAACGTCCTTCTTCGAGCTGATCTGTCCGATATAATGAAGACTCGAGTGGGGAACTTGCATTATGTCATTCAACCTGATGTGGAAATGCCCGATTTTGCTGGATGGTCTATCATGCGAATGGTGAAGCCGTGGTATGAATGGCTTGTCATTATGATGTACAAACCAGACTGCCCAGCAGATTTCACGCCCACGCAGGAACAGGTTCAAGAGCAGGTCAAGCGCGTTATAGGAGGCCCTACTATCCCGGCAGAGATTCTGCGCATTGATAAATGGATTATCAACGAGATCGTTGCGGAGAGCTACAGCAAAGGTCGAGTGTAAGTAATCACTCGCCTGGCTGAAAAGCCCTGAGATCACTGATGCAGCTCAGATATTGCCTGGGAGATGCCGTACATCGTCACCCACCCATGAATGGACTTGGGGCGAATACCTGCATTCAAGATGCCGCAAACCTTGCTTGGAAGGTAGCGATGGTGGAAAAAGGTATGTAGCAAGGCTTTGCAAGGGCCCAAAATAAGTCCAACAGGCATGGCGGCAACTGGTACTGATTCCAAGTTCTAGGAATTGCGGGAGCGTCACTCCTGGACACCTATAGTGTTGAACGTCAACCCGTTGGAGCCGGGGTTGTCCAAAGGTAAATCTCAATGCTTGAGTTTCGGGAAAGAGAGTTGTGTCTGATCGGATTTCATGATGACAGAGCTAATGCTTCATTACGAGAGCATATTCCTATTTTCGACACCCTCGGATTCCTTGATCCGTCCCTGGAGGGGCGAAAAGCACAGCTCGCGATTCTGGATGAGGAATCCGACCGTGGCCGAGTTCGACGCCGCAGACTCATGGACGTGATCGATGAAACAAGTCATGAATTTCAAGCACAAGGTTCAGATATGGGCCAGCAATATGAGTCCTCAGCTGTCTTTCTCGATGGCGCTGGGCAACCTCCGAAATTACCGTCAGATCCAGTACTTTTCTATGAGCCGCGTACGTTTCCAGGCAGGCGACTACCACATGCCTGGCTGAATACCAGTGTACCATCGAGACAGGTTTCGACTTTGGATCTCAGTGGCAAAGGCAGATTTACAATCTTCACTGGGCACGGAGGCGAGCCCTGGCTCAAGGCTGCCGCTCAGACGAGAGAGAGTTTAGGCGTCGAGGTGACGGCACACGCAGTTGGCTTCGGTCTTGAGTACGAAGCCGTGTACAATGACTGGTATCGCTTGCGTGAGGTTGAGGAGGACGGATGTGTCCTTGTTCGACCTGATAACTTCGTGGCCTGGAGGAGTCAGGGGATGGTAGAGGACTGCTCAGCGACCTTGGAAAGTGTGTTGAAGAAGATCCTGAGTCTCTAAGACTCACCTTCATAGGTGAACAAGGTCTGTCAACGACGACCATACAGAATAGTGGGCTTACTACTAGTAGTTGCCAGGCATCTTGACGTGAGTGAGCACCACTGCACAGATTATTGATGCTGCTGTAGGTGTGGCAAGCCCAAAGCACGCGAGGCTGAAGGTCAAGGGGCTGTTAACTAACCCTTTTCCCCACAGCCCACAACCATCGGCAACATTCCGCCAGCGGGGATCCTGATTTGTCAAGGCGGGTGATGGCGGCTACTGGGGGATGAGTGGGACATGTCCAGCTGCTGTAAGCCTACGAGCTTGAAGTGTACATAGCCCATATGATATCCTTCTCATCTTTTTCACCTCTAGCTATGATCTTCCTACCGAGCCGTACCACGATCGAATGCTACCACAAAATGCCAAGGACTCGCCATGTTTCTATCGAGCGCCCTCCGGCAGTAGAGGGAACGACGAGAAGCGCCGAAGTTGGAAAATCTTCATCAAAGCCTGCTCGCAAGCGGAACCGATATACACCCCATGCTTGTAATCGATGCAAGACAGCGAAGGTTCGCTGTGATGGCCGTCTTCCCTGCGGTTACTGCTCCGCCCGAGATGCTACCACTTGCTACTACGCTGCATTGCCCTTGCCCAGTTTTCAGCTCAGTGGAAGGCAGTCAGAGTATGAAGTCACAAATTTCAGCACATTGCAATCTGACCTGGTATGTAGGGATGAGGATAACGGATCTCAGATGGACACGGCATCACTCCTTCGTCTCCAGAATGAGAAACTGGACCTCCTGATCCGTAGGACAGCCGTCATGGATCTTGCATACAAGCTGCCTGTGCACGAAGATCTTAGGAGAGAGATTTTCACCTCATTACCCAGACAGCCCTTGCCTTTGTTTCAAGGCTCGACTAGTGCCTTCTTCTGTATCAATTACATCGATGTCGGTGCCGGAAAACTTGGACAGCCATTCTTTGAGGGTTCCTTCATCCCGTTGGCAGCCACGCCCTCACCAATGCCAGCCTCCCTCTCCATTGTTCAGGGGCAAATCATCGAGGGCGAAGCGAGTGACATCAGCGGAAATTATCTGATTGATAACGACGCTCCGATAGAAGGCAGCCCTGGCGCGAAATTCCCTTTTCCGTCAGTTGCTTTGCCGTCACACTGTCCGCTCGCCGAATTAGATGGCCACTTTGTCATTCGGATGGTCCAGGTCTACGGACGCCTTGGAGGAGCAATGTATCCTATCGTGGACATTGCCGAGCTCACCCAGAAAGCGAGATGCTTCTTCGATGCTAAGGCTGATCTTCAATCATCCCGAGGCAGGCATGATTCAGTCTTCATGGAAATTGCCCGGGACGACTTGGCCATACTGAAGTTCGTGGTCGCAATTGCTCTTCTAGCACAAGGCGATATGCATGCTGAGATGGCATCGAGGCTGTTTCAAACTCTTCGACCAACGATAGAAGCCATGGTCTGGAACGTCGCGGTGGATTTGAAAGACTTGGTTTTGATGACGCTAGCGGTATTACTCTTGGCTCCCCATTCTCTATCACGATTATGCAGTGACCCAACTGATATTATTCCATAGGCACTCTATCACCTCCACTGGGGCAAATGGCGTCTGGCCTGGCGCTTGGTTGGTGATCTCACGCGAATGGTGCTCGAGCTGGGCTTGAATCGCGAGATTGTGCTTTCCCGTGCGTTTCCCGACCCGAAAACTCGTGTTCGAGCAATCAACACGATATGGACAATCTACGTTCTGGAACAACACCTCAGTCATGCGTTAGGCTTTTCCAACGCCATGCACGGACTCAGCCTTGAGCTCAACTTCCCCCTGCCTGTTAGTTTTGACTTTCACTCTCGCTGAGTATTTCCTGTTCTCATTCACCTTTCGAGCCTGTAACCTACTGACCGCATGCATTCAGGTCGAAGCCCCTTTCTTAACACTGATGATTGAATATGCACGTATCGGGAAGCAAGCCTGCGACACGCTCTTGAGCGACAAAGACTTTAATCAGCAGCAAGTGAGCAACTGGCAGGAGGACTACGCCTTTTTTCAATACCGACTTGAGCGATGGACAGTCCTCATGTCGAACACCTTTGAAACCTCTGACATGGACCAAGACATCCGCCCAGACTTTCGAATCGTTCGCACAATCCTCGACCTCCGTGCAAACCATCTTCGAATCCTCGTTGCTCGTGCCTTCCTTTGTACCGGCCTCCGGAACGCAGCGCCTTCGGACATCTGGACGACATCTGTCAACATTGCAGTTGATTCAGTTCAAGTTTTCGCGCAGATGGATACCTCGACGCAGGAATACCGGTTCCACCAGGTCCAATTCAACCACTTTCTCATCGTTGCCTTGGACATGTTACTCTTCATTACAACCCACCGATCTTCGATTTGCGGTTCTCCCTCGGCAAACGGAGAACAGCTCCCTGTGCCTGAAGATGTAGTCCCGAAAGCTCAACAGAGCTCGGTCGTTGCACTAAATATCCTCCGCAATCTGGCCGAAACCTCCAATCATTCCAAACACCTGTGGGAGCGGGTTCGAGGAGTGGCCTCTCGTCTCAATTTATCAAGCTATTTGTTCCCCACTGCTGCGGACCACGAGATATATCCTCCTGCCATGCATTCTGGGAGCGGACACTCCGGTGTTGAAGAGACAGCTGGCGATGCTGGTCTAGCAAAACACCACACGAACGTTGATCATCATGAACCCCAGAATTTTCCATTTACCTTCCCAACAGGAGACATGGGGACCTGGGAGTTCCACGGCCTACTTTCCTCGCCAGTGTTTGATCATTTGCAAGATTTGGGCAGCCTAGCGGACAATACGTGGATTCGGTAACACGATCGAATAAGATGCAAAGTTGAGATCCTGGAGGCGAAATCCACCATTGACTAGCTCGTCGGTTCGTTGGGAAATTTATCCAGGTGGTTGGTGCCATGAGCAAGCCTCGCCAGTGCTCACCGAACAATGTTTTCCCCTTCATTTCGGGAAATTTATCAGACATATCCCTTTCATTCTCTGCTTGCAAATCTTATCAACGGACCTTCTCGACCGGCGGCCAGATGATCGAGGAGCTTATACTCCACGATCTCAGGGTCATGCGCAAATCGATCTTCCTTCCCACCACTAACGTATCCAACATCATATTTCCAAAGGGCCTTCGCAAGCAACAGACAGATCTCGATTTGGGCCAGCCTCTTGCCAATGCATTGTCTCGAACCGTATGAGAACGGAGTTAGAGTCTCAGTGCACCACTTGACGGACTCTTCATCATTGTGCCCGGGTAGCCACCGCTCAGGCATGAATCGGTGTGGTTCAGGGTAGACTTCTTCGAGATGGTGGAGAGTGTATATTGGCACGGAGAGCTCAACTCCAGCAGGGAATATCTCGCCAACAACGCCCAACCCTCCCTTCAAAACCTCCCGAGGCAAAACTCCTGGGAGACTTGGGCTAAGCCGAAGGGTCTCGTTGACCACAGCATGCAGGTAGCGGCAGCTGTCGAGCACCTTGCCGAGGCCGATGTCTTCCGCCGACTTGAAACTTGTACGGATTTCGTCAGTGAGTCGAGTCAGGGTAAGAGGGTTGTTCGTCAGGTAAAAGAAGTTGGCTGCAATCTGCGTCGCTGTAGTGTCGGAACCTATATCGCCAAAGTCAGAACAACTGAAAGAAGCTCGTCAACACGAAACGACATACCTCCAATAATCAGCGTTCGGGCCTCGGAAAACACCTCCCTCGGATCATCATACGCCTTGGACCCGTCTTTGTTCTCGCCATTGGCAATATACCAGAAGAAGTCTTTGCGACTTTGATCAGCCTCTATCCGCATCTGGGCCTGCTGCCTGGCATAGAGGAGTAATTGGGAACCTCGATGGACGAGGTTGCGGAAGAGAAGTCTGTCGAGTTTCCACCTATGCATGAACGGGCTGCAACCGGACTGATTTGGCCGAGTCTGTCAGAAGTCTTCTCCTTTCGCGGCTGTGGTCGTTCGCTGGGGACGGAGGCATTCACTCACAAGAAGCTGCCGATGCAACGCCGCATCGATCACACTGGGAAGTTCTCGACTCTCTCTGCCGGTCTTCATACCAAAATCCTTGCCAAATACTAGATCGCCCATGATATCAAACGTCACATAATTTGCCCACTTCGCCATGTCGGCGGTCCAGCCCTTTTCACCTCCATTGGTGTTGTCTTCGGCCGGCGCCACGCGGAAGAATTCGTCCAGGTGTGGGAGAATGTACTGTTGCATGGAAGCGAGGCTGGCTTCGGTGAATGCTGGTGCCATGATTCGGCGTTTGCGGGCGTGCAACTCACGGTCGCGGGCGTTGAAGAGGTTCTGGAGCCCCGCGTGGGCGATGGCCGGGTCGTAGAAGGCCGATTTGCGGACATTCTGGTTGACACCGTAGATCTCTAGCGAGGAATTGTAAGACGATATCGGTGGATGATGTTGGATTAATCTTTTGATGTAGAAACCATACCTTTGATGGCGGCTGGGTCGTTGATTGTCACGAGGTTGGGAGCAATGCGAACAAATTTGCCTGTAATGAGACGATTTCGAATTGGTCAGCCCCTCTTCTGCATGACTAGGTTTCCCTGCTCTTTCGGAAGGAGGTACACCTGATGACCTGACTTAGACGTACCGTATTTCTGATGAGCCCAGTAGGTCTGCAAATGCCTATCACCGATATAGGAATGATAGACCGAGTACCAATTCGTGAGCTTGGCAAAGAACGGACCCGGATACTTGGCGAGGGGATGAAAATAGAGGCGATAAATGGCCAAACCGAACAGCTGAAATCATGGTCAGTAGTTGTTATCATAAATCAAAGGCAGGAAGGAAAGCCAGAGCTGGTTCTCCGGCCCTTGATCCCAGACTAACATATACAAGCCCCGTCACGAATGGTACGGCGATGAGGACTTGAAGAAGGAACCCTCCCCTCTCTCCAACGATATCGACAAACTGCACCATGAAGGACATTGTGATGGTTGTGTAGCAGTTCGAGTTTGCTCAAGCTCAGCTCTCAAAATGCACGCACGTGTTGCTTTCAAAGTACAGGGCCAAAGACTGATTCAGAAAGTTTTTGTGCAAGATAGGACATCGGTCTCTCAAGAAGAAATCTAGGTGACCAGCCTCTCACGAGAGATTCAGTTCTTCCTACAGTGATGAGGTCCTTTCATTTCCGAGGAATTTCGCTGATCGCCATTCTCAACTCCGCTACTCCTCTCCTCGGGGCCGGCATCCCAGCATGGATAAAGAAAAGCCCTAATTCCGAAGGACGTCAGATTTGCCTACGCAGCCTTCCCCATGGAGCGAGCACATCCTGGGCTGTGGAGAAAGATGGAGTATAGTGTCTGACGTTGGCGCCTCGGTCAATCCCACCCCGTCCGTATTATCGACAAGAGATTCCGCCTTATAAATACCATGACAGGGGTCTAATGTCGAGGCTGAGGAGAGCTCGGAATGTTCCGAAATGGCCAAAGTCGAATTGACAAATTTTGATGGGCAGATACAATGGTGCCCGAAGCAGTCCTCCCCCTTTGCGGAGACACTTGTGTAGGCAGTGGTCTCAATTAACGATCCTTTCCACTTTCACTCCCACTCCCGCATCTACTCCGCTTTGGGAGAGTCATGATCCAACTCCTATTTCGATGCCTCGCAGAGGACTTTCCTAAGTACGCTATTACATAAAGGACTACATACACGGGAGCAAAAAGGAAGTGCAAGCAAGAGGCAGCAACACACGCAATTGCATCAAACAGCGATATAAATCAACCGAACCCGTAAACTCAATTCAACCGCACGCAGATCGACGAGGCGTCTGTCCCGTCATTTTCTGATACATATCAGCGCTTCCACCTTCTCGTTGCCGAGAGTGTAGCGGACGATGGCATGGTGCTGAGAGAATGTGGAAAGGGGTACACAATGGAGGATGTGAAGACTGACAAACTGAGGTATTATAGTCCGCTTTATCCTCCCCCCTGGCATCGGCATTGAACACAAAATACTCTGCCAACACCGGGCCCATCCACAGACTTTGAGCGCAAGTAAGCCAAAGAATCGAATCGCGGACAAACCCCAGGAAGCGGAAGCGAGAATTGCCCGGATTGACAAGCTAGGAGTTGCTAGTTGAGGTCCGTGGACGGTCCATCGCCCATCTTCATGTGCTGAACGTCTTGTCTTGCTCCCCACTCTTGCCTGTCGGCTAGCTATCTCTTGTCGCTGCTACGAGAGCCGCATCTACAAGTGTGTACAGCATTACTCGTATCGGGACGAAAGACTCGGAGGAAGACGCTCTCGATAAGGTCGAAATGGCCTCCAGTGTCTCCCCACCTTTGCAGATAAGCTTTATGTAAGCCAGTCCCTGCCGTTGATGCTGCTTCGAGTGGAGCACCTCCACGGCCGTCACTCGGTGGGCTCGAGTAACGTCGCCCGCATTTATAATATTGATACCAGGTGCGAGGAGGAATGTCCTCAAGCCTGCTACACTTGTTGTCCTGTTCATACATAACCAAAAATGTTTTCAATGATTGATACTAGTGCACGAGGACTCGGCGCCTACGGCCTGATACTACTCGTGCTAGCATTCGCAGGCTATGTCGTGCGCCAGGTGTTCTTCCACCCCCTCAGCGACATTCCAGGGCCCCTACCGGCCAAGCTGACTCGCTGGTGGCAAGCTTATGAGGTCTGGTCAGGAGCCGCCGAGAAGACAGAAATTGCTCTTCACGAAAAATATGGTGAGGACGGCTCCCTCTCATCAGCTGGCGAAGGAACAGGACTCGTTAATCATGAATCAACATTTGTAGGATCCCTGGTGCGTGTAGCTCCGAATCAGGTCAGCATCTCGGACCCGGAAGCTATCAAATTGATTTATGGGCCAAATTCTCGTTTCCCAAAGGTTTGTTGCGAAGGGTGGCTTGATTTGATGAATGGTTCACTCATGTCGAACAGACCGATATGTATGCCGCTTGGAAACATGGATACGACAACATGTTCACTTACCGAGATGAGAAAGAACACGCAAAGCACCGCCGAGCCGTCGGGAACGCCTATACGATGAGCTCCGTCCTGGATTCCGAAGTATACATTGATCAATGCTCGGATCTATTCGTGCAAAGACTGGGGGAGATGGCTCAAGCCGGGCAGACAGTCGACCTGGGTCACTGGTTGCAGATGTACGCGTTTGACGTCGTGACCGAGTTGTTCTATGGCAAGGCCTTCGGTCTGATGGAGGGCCGACAGGACTTTGGATGGTTTGAGCTGCTCGAAGGCGTCGTTCAAGCCGTTGCTATTGTAATCCATCGCTCGGTTCAGGATCCCCTAGCGCAATGCTAACATTGGTATGCAGATGGGGATGATACCTTACGTCGTGTCGTTCTATCATATGCCGTTGTGGCAGAAGATATTTCCTGGAGTCAAGGAGGCCAATGAAAAGCAATTCAAGATGATCTCGGTCGCACAAGAAAGAGTGGCAGAGCGGATGAAGGCCAAAGGCGGACGGAGAGACATGATGGAAAAGTTCATTGAGCGACATCGAGAGAGCCCAAACGATATGACAGTCCAGTGGATCGAGATGGAAGCTGTCGTGGCTTTATTTGCAGGTAAATTGGCATCCCATTTACCATGAAACTTAGCTGGAGAAAGCTGACGTCCACACCTCGACAGGGTCCGACACAACGGCCTCCGCACTGCGAAGTGTATTCTACTATCTGCTGAAGAATCCGTCAACCTATGAGACTCTGCGAAAGGAAATCGACGACATGGATGCTCAGCGTGAATTGTCCCCCAGAGTCTCTTTTGCCGACAGCAACAAAATGCCATACCTTCTCGCGGTCTGCAAAGAAGCCATGCGACTGAATCCTTCCGTTGGCCTTGGTCTCCCTCGCTATGTCCCACAAGGAGGAAGAGAGATTTGTGGACGGTATTTCCCGGAAGGGGTAAGTATTGATTCAAACCCGAACGCGGAATAATTAGTGCTGAGACCATCCCAGACTCGTGTAGCCATCAACGCCTGGGTAGTCCACCTCGATGAGAAAGTCTTCGGTCGCGACCCCAAAGCATTCCGTCCAGAGCGTTGGTTGGAAGGTGACGCAAAGGTCATGGACCGGTACATGTTCCAGGTATGTCATCTATTTCGTGAGACCAGGATCAAAGCTAACGATGGTTTCTCTTCTGCTAGTTTGGCTCCGGTAGTCGCACGTGTACCGGCAAAAACATTGCCATTCTACAGCTGCAGAAGGTCGTTCCGGAGATCCTCCGCCGGTTTGATATTTCGCTGGTGGAGCCGAACAAATCCTGGAAGACGATCAATCATTTCTTTGTGAAGCAGGAAGGCTTGAATGTCAATCTTCGAGAGCGAGTGAAGAAGTGAACAAGAATATTAGCACTTTCAGTAGTAGCTTCTATGCACTTGTCATTGCACACCGCAACAATGTGTACTGTAGGTTGTAGACTAGGAGGCATGGTAACCAAGGACGTTGACCTCCATCCCAATTTTCAAGGGTTTGGCGGCAATTCCAGCATTTGGCACTGTAATCCCCTCTAGGAGCCACTCGAAGAACTCTCCTGCAATAGATTTTTGTGCTTCATATATTATGAAACACCATTTCCTTTCGCAATCCACCATAGGACTCGGAAAACAGGGCTTCCCGTTCGCTCAGCCGTACTTAAGCCGAGTGCCGGTGAGTTAGTAGTTGCGTCGGTGACGAGCAGCGAATCCTCACTGTGGATTGTGTTTTTGTGTTTTTGCGTTTTTGCGTTTTTGCATCTCTCTCGAGAGGGAGATCGCATGATTCTTTTCTCGCTTAAAGATCTCAGCCTTGCATTAGGCCTACAAGGATAATTGCGACGGGCGTAGACGTGCTGTTCCCATTGGTAGAAGGTGTGACCAAAATTGTGATGTAGCCAAGCTCCACTCCCAAATCACGTGACCGAGTACTCTCAAAACCGTTGACCGTCTCCTCCACAAAATATCCGTACTCTTTCCAAAGGTGGACATACCCTGAGTTTCTTCAAGAAAATCCTTCTGGGAGAAGGCGCGGGGATTCGCTCTATCGAGTCTTCGCCAGCAAAATGTACCTAGTATTGGCCATCTCGAACCATCGCCGAGATCTGTCCCTTCGAGGAGCTGCCCAGTGATTATGGTTTAGATCCGCTCACATACAGGATTTGGTTTTTTTTAAGAATCTATGTCCCTGCATAATCACGAGTCGGCTCTCCATAGTAACATTTGCGGATGTGGACGTTAAAGCAAAGAAGCACGTCGAGCCCGCAACCCCTCCTCCAGTCGTGGGGATAACCTTATGCTAGGCCATTTGCGGAGAAGCTGGGGGACGATAGCCGGAGTTCGTGTAACGCAGGTCAAGACGGCCATTCTACGTGGAGGTCTTCTCCCCTAGAATGGGGAGGTCCTCTCCACTTGAGGGGACTTGCAGTATGGGTTTGAGGCTGACGGCAATTTCAAGTTGGACAACACGTTATTGCGCTGAGCTGAGCACGTTGAGCTAGTCCGACGTCGACATCATCATAACCCAACTCGCGGAACGTAACATTGTCGTGCGGATGGAGTCGGCGTACCCTCCTTTTGCAGGCATTTACGAGCCGCAAGGGTTGAAGAAGTTGATTTACGGATCCGGCGTGGTGAACGAGCAGCTCGGCTCGTGCCTTCCTGGGCCATCCTCAAAGGCCTTCGTAGTTACTGGCACTTCCCTGGCAACGAAGACACCACTCATCGAAGAGATAGAGGAGCTCTTGACTCCCGAGCGCCATGCAGGGACTTTTGCCGGTATACAGGAGCACAACCCTGAAGGGCCCTTGCAGAAAGCTCTCGCCCAAGTCAAAGGAGACGCCACAATTGACACCATCATCAGCGTTGGAGGAGGGAGCCCCATAGACGCAGCCAAGTCTATCATATTCAACATTGGCACGGAGGATGGAAGATGGTTAACTCACATCGCGATACCAACGACACTCGGTGCAGCGGAGTGTACAGATCTTGGAGGCACAACGATGGCAGACGGAATGAAAAAAGGGATCCGAAATCCGAATGTTATCCCTCATTATATTCTATATGATCCCCATTTCGGTCTGTATACGCCACCACAGTTGTTCATGAGCACTGCTATCCGCGCCTTGGATCACGCCGTGGAACTACAATACCATCCATCTGCGACCTGGCATTGTCGAGTTATGTGCTTGAGAGCCATATCAGCCTTGTTCGACCTACTACCTAAATACAAGGCAAATCCAAAGGATGAAGATACCATCGTCCGGTTGTTTCTTGCAGCATATGCGAGTCTAGGGTTCGTCGGGCGGAATTTGCAAGGTTCGCTCGGTCTCAGCCATACTGTGGGCTACTCAGTGGGCAGTCCATACGGCATCCCCCACGGCATCACCAGCTGCATGACCCTAGGCCCAATTGTAAAGCTGAAGGCTAGATTCGAGAAGGAAGATGCAAAGCAGATAGCGGCCATTCTGCCAGTCATCGGTGGATCCGAGTCTAACGATCCGGTCCACGACTGCGAGCTTGTTGGCGACAAAATCATCAGGCTGGTTTCTGACTTGGGTTTGTCAACCACACTGACACAGTGGAAGGTGGATCGCGATCAGGTGGACATAATTTGTGCCCGCGCCACTGGCGCCTGGATGCCAGGAGAGAGCAAGCAGGAAAAGGAGCCCGGATACGATTTAGCAGTCCGGGAGGTTATTGAGAGCTTGTATTGATATAACCAAAGCATTGAACTTGATGAGTGGACCGGTGATAGCCCATAGTAGAAAGGCCAGAGACAAAGAGAGTCTAAGACGTTGCTTGAGCAAAGTGGTCGATTGGAATGCACCACTGAGTCAGTGCCGAGGTTCATCGCCAGTCACGCTAAGTCACGTCCACAGCTTCCCCTCCGCTTACTTCTGAAGCTCGCTCATCGGAAGGCATGACCTGGGCGTATGAAACATTGACTCGCGTAGCTACACGGTATATCTTAGTACCTCCAGCTAACGACACAGATCCCCCTGCCTACAAAACGAGGATCCAGCCTCCCGCGAACCCGAGCAAAATGCCCCAACGCCTCACCATTGGCCTCTCCCAATCTCACACCCTCTCCTCACTCCACCTCACGCTCTCCGCGCTGCGCGAAACGACAAAAGAGGCCGCGCAGAAGGGAATATCCATCCTCCTCTTCCCCGAAGCCTACCTAGGCGGCTACCCACGGACCTGCTCCTTCGGTGCTGCTGTCGGCTCCCGCTCAGACGCTGGCCGCGACCAGTTCCTCGAATACACCAAGTCGGCCGTCGACCTTGGCGACACGCCCAATGGCGCCGGAGATGCCTGGATCGAGAAGAAGCTCCCCCTAAACAAAGAGACGGGCCGGCGCGGAGATGGCACACGAGAGTACCTCGAAGAAGTCGCCCGGGAGACTGGGGTCTTCATCATCACCGGCGTCGTGGAGAAGGCAGGAGGGTCTCTCTACTGCGCCGCGGTCTACGTCGACCCAACCCGCGGTGTGATAGGCAAGAGGAGGAAAGTCATGCCCACGGGCTCGGAGAGACTGGTGTGGGCGCAAGGTTCAGCATCCACCCTCGAGGCCGTGACTGCGACGATCAAAGGCGTCAGAGTTGTCATGGGCTGCGCGATCTGCTGGGAGAATTACATGCCCCTGCTAAGGTATAGTATCTACAGCCAGGGTGTGAACTTGTGGTTGGCGCCCACGGCAGATCCCAGAGATACGTGGGAAGCTCTGATGCGCACGATAGCGTGTGAAGGGCGATGTTTCGTACTCAGCGCCAACCAGTGCATCAAGAAGAAGAATTTGCCTGGTTGGATCACGGGTGCCAAACACGACTCGGGTTCTGCCTCAGGAGTCAGGGTCCATGAGACGTTGGCGAACGGCATTCCACCTAACGTATTCAAGGGACGAAGACTGTCAATGACAAGGACAGAGGAGAACCATGAGATTGCGTGGACGTGCGATAATGACGCGATTGACGAATCTAAACCTCTTGAAGCTCCCAAGCAGAGCAGAGATGCTTCAGGCGAAGGCGAGCAGTTCGTGTCGATTGGAGGTTCCTGCATTGTCAATCCTATGGGAAAGACAATAGCTGGCCCGGTATGGGAGCAGGAAAATGACTTGCTATTCGCCGAAGTCGACTTCGACGACTGCGATCGAGGACATTTGGACTTTGACGCATCAGGGCATTACTCACGGCCTGACGCCTTCAAATTGACCGTCGAAGGATTAGACCTTAACCCGCCGCCGTAGGTCCTGACTTTGTAGTGCACAACACCTCAACGTTGGGAATAAAATTCATGTCATGCCGTATAAATTACGATGATCCACCATCTGAGAGATGGACTCGTACTCAAAAATCGGCAAGTCTTGGTGCGATTGTTCTTGTCTCATGCTCGACTGTTATGAATATAACGGTCAGCATCCAGCTCAAGATCGATCGACTGAAAAACGTTCGATCGAGCGAGGCAAGAGACGTTAGGAATAGTAACTGAATTCAAACGGAGAGAGTGGGTAGGATCATCTTCGAGGATGGACAAGGGTGCCCAGGCCGCATATCATTACTGTAAAAACAATGCCACCAGCATAACCCGGGTATCATTCAGTCGCTTTTCATGCCCTGTTCAGATCAATTACACGTTTGGCACCATCATGCCGTGTTAATATGCCACTCTCGTCCTCATGTCCGAGATCTTTCGCTCGATCTCACGGACCGAGCGATCCAGTTCGCCCGCAATCATTAGCTTCTTATCATTCGGCAGGAGGAAATACGTCTCGCAAAGATCACCGTCAATAATCCCTTTCGATGGCGCATAATATGACCGGTAAATGAGATGGTCGCGGCCGAGAAGCGGCGGGTTGCCATTTGTTGAAGCAAGTTGCATTTCGAGAGATTGGAAGAAATCGACATCTTCACGACCAACGAATGGCACGAGCATTCCCAGTGTGCCTTGCAAGCCTGTCCAAAACACGACATCTCGACCGCCAGCCACTAGATTGGTTTTCTGAACACTGGTAGGAATGTCGCCCGGGAAGAAGTGCGCCATTAGACTGAGCCTATTCGGCGCGCCGCTGAGGTATTGTCTTTCGTGCGTCAAGTGCGCCCCGGAGCCGTCCTCGTCGGCTTCTTCCGACGCCTTGGGCGGACACCGCAGAAGCCAGAGATTACCAAACTTGTCACCCCCTGCGACGGTCTCGTAGTCCACCATAGTGGCACATGTTGTCCAACGAGCAATAACATCGTCCGCAAAGGGGATGAGCTTGTTTTCTTGGAACTTGTACACGACGTAGGTAACGCTTTCTTGCACGTTGCTGACGATGATCCTGCTTCCCTGGGTCTGAAGGCCGACAATAACGTTGGAGGTTTGTACTTGACACTTGCGCAGCATTTGCTTCATGCCTAGGTCGTAGATCCTAAGGTCCGAGCCAATACCGGCAAGAAGCCGTCCTTGGAATGCAAGAAGAGCTGTCGGAGGCTGCTCAACCTTCGTCTTGTGGATGAATTCCAGCTCCTTGCCATCCTCGTGGAAGCGGTACACGTGGAGGAACCCGGCGGAGAAGGATCTTGGGCTTACAACCAGGTCTTTAGCAGTACCAACGACTAAAAATGTCTCGCCGTCCTGGCCTGCGAAGGGCGCCGCGGTGATACTTGTGGCACACTCATTGTCTTCCAGCTCCAGTGTAAAGACAACCGATTTCGTCGTAACCGGGTCGACAATCTGTATGCAAGAGGACCAATGACCGGTCCCCCGGGGATATCCGAACTCTTCAGGTGGCAGAACAACAGCATCACCGTTCACTGCAGTGGATTCAGTAAGCAGTTTTTGCCGCGTTGTTGGTGCAAGTACGTTGTTGTCGGCCTCGATTACGTAGAACAGGGGCTGATCGGGATGCTTGACGAATTTTCGGGGAGTGTATGGAAGTGGGATGTTTTCTTGCAGCAAGTTTCGGGACAGATCTTCAATGGTGAATATCCTGAGGTATGCTATTAGCAAGGGATCCCAAAAAGGTTTGGAATGAAAATGTGACGGGAGATGCAGTGTCAGAAGGAACAATTGGTTAAGTTTTGAAGTCCGCAGAAAAGGTCTCGGAAAGAGCATAGTTATGGGTTCATCATGTGTAAAACAACGCGAGGAGGAATAGACTTTACCTGAGGTTTTGACCTTGAATTCCAACCATCCCCTCCGGACACTGCTCGCTGGTGAAATTCCAGACATACTGGAGGCCAATATAATCCAGAGGCGTCAGCATGAAGCCGTTCGTTTGCGTGTCGGTATAGCCAAGCCATGACCGAGAACTCAACGCCATTACAGCATTCTGCCCCTTGACCGAGACGCGGAAAAGCTTGGCTGGCTTTAGCCCTAGGAATCGTGTCCTGGTATCCGACAGCTCTCCAGTGATTTCGTCCAGGACCGTCCGGAGATAGACGCCAGAATACAGCCCAATGTGAAGGTATAATGTCGTCCCACCCGACGTAGAATCGGCCATGGCCATTATGGACAAGGCTGAAGGAGCTGAAGTCAGTGCCTGCACTGACTTATTCTCTAGTGTCGAGTCCGGATCCAAGCTGAGGATTCTGACGGTCGAGTCGTCGCAGCCAACGGCTAGAAACGAGCTCCGCACACGGCCCTCGGGTACGTCGCCCAAGCTAAGACAAGTTACTGTCCCAGTCATTTCTCTTCGCTCGTCATACTCGGCCAGAGAACCGTCTGTGTCCATTTCGAAATAGACAATTTCACCAGAACTCAGAGCAACAGCAACTTGTCGTTCATTCGTGGTCGCAGCAACAATCGACCGATGTTGAGGTGCAGGCCATTCGTTGACCCGTTTATCCGCTCGAATATGTCGAATACCCTTCGGATGTACTTGGACCAACGCGTCCTCACCAAGTTGTTGTACCGCAAGGGTAGGAGCAGTTGACAAAAAGCCGGTATCAGTGACCTCCTCGACAGTTTCTCCTATGCTGAGAACAAGAGTACCTGTTTTAAAAGACAAGATAATGTAAGCGTCGTATTCGTCCTCCCTTGTCACCTTTGTAGTCCAGACAGCTTCGGGCCTATCAGGGAGCTCTGACTCCACGATCTCGGAAACGGACAAGCCATGCTTCAGAGTCTTGAAACTACTTCGTGCTCCCGCACCGCATATCGAGTAGATCTGAGGGGCATCTTCGTCCAACAAATTCGCCACCTTGCAATCCATTAGAGGATTTGCTGAATCAATGCTTTGGACGAGGTTGAGGTTGGCCAAGGGGCGTACATGGAAATATGCTGGCGTGTAATCTTCTGTGGGATCTGAAGGGAAATCGTCACTCGTAAATTCGGTCTCTTCGTCATCGTCTCCGAGCTTCTCAAACTGGTAGAACTCGTTATTCCCTGCCTCAACGCAGACGAAAAGGAAGCCACTTTTCAAGATGTGCAGACTATTGGCAACAGGCACTGTGTCGAAGTACTTGATCTTCAGAGCCTTGACTTCGCCTGTAGGTTGACCGTTGTCATCCTCAACCATATCTATCGTCACCTTGAATAGATCACCGTCTTCGGTTTGTAGTAGGAGGAAAAACTGGCCCTTCATCTTGTGCATGACGCCAGCCACGATGTGCCGTTTTCGCTCTGGATTCTCCAAGATCCCTCTTCGTCGGGGAATTGGCACGCGGAAAGCTTCCTGATTTGAGTGTCGGTACGTGATGTTATCCTCCGCGCACACAAGAACACCACTGGGACCATCCGAGCCACCAGGGACCTGGAATAATTTTGAAGCATCTCGAGCGACGGGTTCGGCCCATCTGCGGACGACATGGTTCAGACCTAAATCGAGCTCGTAGAAGACCAGAAGCTTCTCCACCTCTTGGAATGCTTGACCACTCGGATCTTGGTCGACCTCCGTGTAATCTACCTCCAATGCTGCAAAGATGGGATTCTCGTAGCCAACGTCGAGTGCTATACAGTCGAAGACCAGAGTCTGTGGCTTATGGGCTTCCAAAGGCGATGATATGGTGAGCTCAGCTTGTGCATTTCTGTTCAAGACGTAGACCAATTTGTTCTTTTCCACCGACGCAATGAGGCATGCTCTCCCTTTCGGATCGACGGCTAGATATTGACCGGGTATGACTCGACGAATGCCCGACTTTCCGTAGGTTTCGAGGTGTACGCGGTTGAAGCGATTTTGTTCGCGGACATACTCGAGGATGGTGATGCGTCCGGAATCAGATCCAACTATCAGATAGTCTAGGCGCCGGTCAGTCATTGGAGAGCTGTGTGGCACAGGATCATCTCACCTTTGCTGCCACCAGCCAACCGGAATGAAGCTAGTGTTCTGATGATGCCGAAGCAGTCTTGAGTGAATAACGGGGAGATTTTACCCTGAGTAGGGTCAGGTCTGTGTATGGTGAGCTTCGAGCCAGATGCTGTGATGATCTGTTGCTCTTTTGTACCGGCAAATTGACCCAAGACTGCTGAAGTAATAGCTGACGGTGGTTGTATCGTCAAACTATACATAAACATGGAGCTTGTCGTCGCCATGGCGGCTGAGGTTCAGACCGCGAAGGTCGAAGGTGGGTCGACGGCTTCGTCGCAGCTGCGCAGGTAGGGTTCAGGAGGTCACCAACGGTCGCATTGCGTTCACCGTGAGATCGTGGACGGTGAGAAAGAAGATAGAAATCGAAAGAGTGGTAGCAAGACAACAACACGTCCTCAAAATGACTTCTTCGTCAAACACCAAACGCCTGTGAACGACTGTTTTGGAAAAATGTTCGGGATGCCAAGAATAAAACCGAGCTTACCGTGTTCAGGAATATGGCCATGCCGCCTTATGCCGGACCTCTATCCGTCAAGCACCATCAAGCCGTACACCATGTCGACATGCAAATTTCCCTTGCTTCCTTGCACCTTATGGCTTTAAGGGGGCAGAATTCGTGTTTCTCTCCAGCTTTGATGTTTATTGAACGAATCATCGCCCGGCCACCTCTAGGGCGCAATGAACTTCTCTCGACCTTGCCATTCAAACTCACGGTCTGTACACACTGAGGAGTGAAAACCCCTTGAAAGTTTTATCTTGCATGCAGGCAATGACTTTGTTCGGATAAATGTGAAAGGTGTTTAATTCTATCTATCGTTGAGCAACATTGTACCACTGCTCCAGATATTTCGGTATCGCAGCCCAGTCCTCCGGCACACAAGATACCCCGACGTACAGATCAGGTCTGACAAGAACCAGACGGCCTTCTGGACCGATTTCATAAAGCTTCGCGACCGCACCTTGTTCATCTCGAGCCCTGTGATCGAAATCGAAGCCAGAGTCACGATTACTCGAGATCATATGGGACGATACAAGGCCTGGAAATTTTGTCTCGAGGGCATCTCTTGCTTTGATTCCAATTTTGATGTGGTTTTCATCATCGTCAGCGCCTGGGACGATGAGGAGCGTAAATTGTGGTCGGCGATAAATGTCATAAAGACGACGCTGTGGCGACTTTGTCAAAAGACAGTCAGGCGCACGCGCTCCCGCACGAGGACCGGCCACAGCTTTGAGGCCGCTGGGGAGCTGGACGACGTCGCAATAGTTATGGGAGAGGCCAGAGACCAACTTGATGGTATTCTGCTCCCATCCCGGAGCCTTGGTCAGCGGAAGCCGTTCAGCAGGCTCAATACCAAAGCCCATAACAATATGGTGAGTTGCCATTGCACCGTTGCTGATCTGCTCGCCGATGGGCTTCCGCTCGCGCTCATATGTGTCGAGGATGGAGTCGTCAGCCTCACCTTTGAATACAGCAGCAAGCTTCCAACCCAGGTTGAAGGCGTCCTGCATGCAACCGTTCATGCCCTGTCCACCAGAAGGTGAATGTACGTGCGAAGCATCGCCACAGATGAGCATTCGACCAGTCCGGTATCGCTCGGCAATGTTGTTTCGAATTTCCCATGATGTCGCCCATTCAGGGACACCGACTTTGAAACCGATGCCGATGCGATCCGCTACCTCCTGGAACGCTTGCCGTATGTCCTTGGCGTAGACGAATTCCCCGGTCTCTTCGCTCATGTAGATGCGCCAAACATCACCAGGCATCTTTGTACAGTTCATGAAAAGATCTTTGTTGAAGTAATAGTTCATCCAACGGTCGTCGAATGTGACGTTCTCCAGTGGGACGTCCATCATTGCCATCGCCGCAATTACTTCACCGTTGAATTTGATCCCGGCAGCGTCTCTGACAAAGCTTCGGACCCCGTCGCAACCAACCACATAAGGATAGGAGCATTCCTCCTCTTGCCCGTCTGGCAAGCGGATGGTGGCGACCACGCGATCTCCGTCCTGGACCAGCTTTACGAGTTCTGTGCGATATTCTGGTAACATGCTGTACTGTGCGTACAAGAACTCGCGCAGGACTTGCTCGAAATCGTTTTGGCTGATTTTGTAATAGAAAGGAAAGCTAGTTGGCAGGACACGGTAGTCGGTACGGGGGCATTCGTCGTCCGGTACGCCTGGAAAGTGGTAGATATTGCCCGGGCATTCAAGACATACTTCTTCAAGTCTCGATGCTACACCCATATGATGGAACATCTCCATCGACCGAGCGTGTACCGTCATGGCTCGAGCGGTATGAGAGGGCCCCTTCCTCTTCTCGAGGATCCGTACCGGGACCTTGCGACGAAGAAGTTCAATTGCCATGATCAGGCCGGCCGGGCCCCCACCGACGATCAATATCATGTCCTTTTCCATCTTGTACCTCAGTCAACTTTCAGAATTGTACTCCAAGTCCTCTCTTCCTAGAATCAACAATCAATATATACTTCGTGACCACATGGCGATCTAGGACAAAACCCGCATGAGAGCTGCTTGCCGACGCGAAAAGCCCACACGGTTTGTGCGCTTGCATCTGGAAACTTTTCCTTGCCCAGACGCGGAGCACGGCCCCTTGATTGGGCCAGATCACTTAGCCCCTGGTTTCGTCAGTGGTGTCCCCGCTGCTGTCCTATGGGGCTGCGGAGGCGAGCCACCATCCCTGGATGTTAAGTCGGATTGCTGGCGGGGTTGAAGTTAGGATGTGGCACTCGTGACTGAGGGGAAATGGTGGTTGCGGGCTTTTTCCTTTATAAAACCCACAAACATTCCCGATGTCGCGCACTGTGTCCACTTCAAGCCTCCAACAACGTCCAGAATGCCGCACACATACCAGTGTCAGCACTGCCAGAGGACGTATTCTAGCAGCAGCCACCTTCGTCGGCATGAAAAGAGTCGTAAGTGTCCGGCAACGATTGCGGGACATAACTGACCTCCCGTGAACCGACAGACAGTGGACTTCGCACGTTTTCGTGCGCTTTTTGCCATCGCCATTTCGGGCGGAGGTGGGCCTCTTGGGAAATCAGCCAGCGTACTGTTCTGACTTGCTCACCAGGGATATTGCTCATCGGCATGCAAAGTCCTGTCCGGAGAAAAGGACAACTTCGGAAGTCAGCCGTGGAACTCCTGGGCGGAGGAAGAAGGCCTGTGTCGCGTGCGCATTAGCCAGGTCGGCATGCGACCAGAATGTTCCTTGCGGTCGATGCTTCACGAAGGGTGTAGTCTGCTCCTACCGACGAGGGGTGGACATCGCTCCTTCTCTGACGGTTCGGACACCTAGCCGACGCCCTGCAGAGAGCCTCGTACTGAAGCTCGTCACTCATGGCCATCTACGGTGCCAGTCCACCTTCCGGTCCATAAAGATCCCAATGCCATTCCTTCTGAACTTCACGAGCCCCTCAACAGATTCAATATCAGCAAGATACCAACGATGTCTGCCATTTACCGAGGATAATCAGCAATCTAGTGCAGAGCTAGTGTCTGTATCCGCCAACCATGTCGGTGGCTGCATCCAGGATGTTTCAACAGCGCAGACGTGGCTGGAAGATGAAACGACTGGATGGCTTAGTGATCAGTTTCTGCTGGGAGATGATGACGAGTTATGGTGGGATGATGTTCTTGGTTCAAATGTTTCCAGTCAGTCGGAAGTCGTCGAATCCAGTGGTCTCGAAGCAAGGATGCAGCAGCTGCTCATGGAGTTGAAAGCCCTGACCAATTGTTCTACAGGGCAGTACCGAGTTGCTCCTGCTTTCGATGAGATGGCTGCTGCAAGGCTGTTCTCCAGCCACAACTTGCTCGAATTCTCCAATGTCTACTTCGACTACTGGAGTTCTCATTGCCCCATCTTACATCGTCCGACCTTTGACCTAACAAAGATCCATCTGCCTCTCCTGCTGGCCGTATTCTTGATTGGAGAGTCCTATTCAACCGAGTCGTACTGTTCTCGAGGACAGTGTTATTACGACCTTGCAGAGGATTATGCCTTCAGCCATCCATGCTTCAGAAATTTCTCAATGCAAGATCAGCCGACCACTGATTGTGCTTCGTCCGACTTGGAGCCTCTTCAGGCAGTGTATCTGATGGTATTGTTGCAGATGTCGGGGAATAACATCCCAGCGCGCCGGAGGGTCAGAGATCAACGCTACCATGAAATTATTGTAGCAGCACGTCGATTGCGTCTGTTTGACAGTCGCAATGAGTATCTTCACCGCGAATGGGTAAATACTACCGGATTTGATTGGGAAAAGTTTGCACTGCGCGAGTCAAGAATTAGGTTTGTGACTCTCAAGCTTTCACATTAGCATCCATACTGACGGCTATAGATTGGCTTACCTTATATTTGGCATCGAATGCAATTTCTCAATGTTCCATTCGACTTACCCCAGAATCCCAATTTCCGAGATGACGGGGGATCCTATGTGCAGCGAGAGCTGCTTCTCGGCCACCACGTGCGCCGAATGCGAGCGATATGCTAGGATGGAGCTGAGGTCTAGATCACTTTCGATTTCGGCTTGTGTAAACGCGCTGCTGCAGAGTGCGGTACCGATTTCGGTAAAATCTGGGCTTGAAGATCTCTTCCCCATGAGCTTTTTCTTCGTGCTTTGTGGTATGCTCATTTGATTACACTGAAATCGGAAAGCTGACAATCGAGGTAGGTCTGCACTGTGTCATCAATGCCGCCCGGGCGAATAATATTGGGAGTTCGATGGGGCCTGTCTTTCTTAAGGCTCTTGACCAGTGGATTGAGATTTGGAAAATTCAACTTGATAATGTGTCGGCTGAGGAGTCGAGCAAGCTTGGCTTCATGAAAGACGCTGGGGTCGAGTTCTGGCAATTAGCCACAATCTTCGTGCAAGCTGAAGCTCTGGGCATGTTCGACAGCGACGAGTTGCGAAGCATGAGTGCGGAAAGCATGGAAGGTGTCAGCTGTCTTTTGGAGGTGTTCTACCTCGCAGACACCAACACCAGCCGTCGTTACATTTCCGGTAAGGTACTAGAAGCTCTGGATTGAGAGATAGTACCAAGCCAACATCGCTCTGACATACCATCGACCTCTTGCGACGGTCTTCTCTGTGGCGGTACGCTTAAAGTGTTGCTGGCAGCCCTCAGCACTTCAAGCTAACAGGACGAATTTGCACTGGGCCGTAATACCGCCGGACCTGTTGAGAGCCAAGAAACCTCGGTCAAGGGCTGCGGTGCGTGCCCGACGGCCATAGGTTCAGATCAACAACCCATGTACATAAAAGCCCGTCCTTGCGTGCCAAAGTGCTTAAATATGCCTAATATAACTCTCAAATCTGGAAAGGGCTCTGAGATTAGGAAGGGGCTAGCCTGTTCCAGCCCCCAACTGGCGATAGCCTATTGATGTGGAGTCTGCCTTGCTATTAGCGAGCTTGATGCTCTGGGCCAAGTCGGTCAGCTACGGTTGGCCTAATAGTCCGTGATGGTCCGTAAGCAAGCCCAGTTCTCGGTATGTTCTACCTAAGACGGGGTTTGCCAATCATTACTCCACGCAATAAGCCGAACGTGGCAAGTGGTTTGTCCTTTTTGCACTGCTGGCCTAATATCACCTTCTCACAGCCACAAGGCATGTCGGAGGACATCAGGAAATAGCATACAGACATGTTGTGCGCGCGCTATAACTGAGCCCCGCTCATGTAAAAGGGAGAACTGTCATTCCTGCGAGGCTGACCAATGCTTGGCGCCAAAATTGAGCATTGCCAAAGTAGACCCATTTTTGGCCGAGAGGACTTTCTTGATAAGACCTAGCTGCCTCTGGAGCGAAGTGGGTTTGGCTCGACAATTCTACCACAATTACTACCCTCCATGAAAGTGTGAACTTCGACGATGGACTACAATTACGGCCAGGATCCCTCTGCAGAACAATACCAAGGAGAAGAACACGACGGCTACGACGAGTTTGATGAGCAAGGTATAGACAGCCACGACCACGACCACACCCAGATGGGCCATGACATGGGCCACGATATGAGCCATGATGACCAAATGGGCCACGATATGGGTGACATGGGCGAGCATGATCCCAATGGTCATATGAACGACGACCACCCTGTCGGGGAAGCCAACAAGCCGCTGATAGAGCTCATTGTCAAATTGCTCGTTGGCGACTTGGGCCAGAGAACACCACATCGACCGAAGCCAAAGCATGCTCATTCAAGGTTTGCACAAGATCCACACCACTCAAAGCTCATGAATGTTCTGTCTAGAATTGCAAGTGAGTAGTACACTGTGTGACATCTCGATTTGGCACCGCAAACTAATAGCTCCACCGCAGCGGAGGACATTCACGAAGCACACATAGAGAGCTTCATCCATATCGGTATCTTACTGATGGCCCGTGCTGCGAAGGAAATCGGTATGACGGCAGGCCATCACGATGACGAAGACGAGACGCATCATGATCAGGGAGACCCGCATGCAGACCCTCATGGTCAGGCTCCAGCTCTGGATTAGGCTCAAAAGCACGCCCAGATTGACGCACTTGATAGACTCAGAGAGACGATATATCAGGGCAAACTGGTTTCGGCGAGATGGACTCGTACTATCAGACTTACGAATCTCGGGGGGTATGTAGTAGGTTTGAGAGGGCCGCAATTACGCTCGTTTTCGCCGGGACAGTATGCATCGCTATAACACAGACAATACTACACTTTCATTGCTCCTTTCGCTGCTAGAGCTAAGTATCTCGATGGAGCTCAGGCCCACTTCAGAAGCTTCACAAGAGCCTATAGTCCCTCCATATCCGCAAAATCTTCACATCCTGTCACACAAGATGCTCCCTCAAAGGAGGAAAGGCCTAATGTCGGTTAAAGCCATAGCATAGTCAATGCGTCTACCTTATAAGCGTAGTAGCAGCTCCCGGCTTCTGAACCATAAAACGAAGCAGACATCTCAGTAGGGTCTCCCCATCGGTGGAGTCATCTCCATACAGAGTCCATCTAACTTGGGACAGTTGCAAATATCGGGCGGCAGCCCAGTTGTCTGGGCCAGATATAATGCATCCAACCGGAGTTCATGAGCTGAAAATTTAGCCTCACCAGATTTGCAGCGTTAACCCCCACCCAGTATTCACATTGACCTGTAAGGGGCGGATATAGAAGTCTGCCATTGCGCTGAATATCGGTAAGGCCTACCCCAACTTCATTCGTGCTTCGAGCTAAAGAAAGGAATGCGCCTCGCTTTTGGGGCAATGCTAAATGGGGGCATAGGTCAGCAACAATGCCCATAATATAGTTATCCAGTCAACTGATTTATATGGAATATTGGGCGCCTTGGTATTCTTGCTTTCGTGACCAACAAAAAAAGCTCTTCAACCAGAGTAATCTTGTACCTGGCGGTTAGCGTATATAACATATAGGAGAGCGGTCACAAAGATGGTACCTCAATACTGAGATAATATTCAACATTGTCATCGATTCGAAGAATACCATTGTCTATCCACACTTGTGCTTTTCCACTTCAGCAGTGCCATCATCTTCATCAGCCGGCAAATTCAACTCAGCGTTAGCTCTTACTTCGCCACGACAATGGCTGGAGTGGCAGTCGAGGTCGCGATCCAATTCGTTGACGTGGCAATCCAAATCGGCACCGTTATAGCTGGCATCTTCAACGGCGACAAAGAAGATAAAGACTACCGCAGTGGCTGGACGCAGCAAGCAGTCGGCGAGCTCTCGGCAGACAATCCGGGCAAGAACATCATGGTGATTTACACGGATCACGACGCAAGCAAGCTCACCGGCTGCGAGAGGAAGGTCGCAGCTTGCCAATGTCCTAGCGGGGCTTCTTTGGCTTACGGCTGTTACATATTCGACGATGGACCCTTTGAACTGAAAGGAGATGGGTTCGTGTTTTCTTCCAGCTTTCTACACAACATTGTTAAGCATATATAGTGGCTACCTGAACTGGTGTTTCTCCGGCAAGTTCAACAGAGATGGCAATCATGTAGGTGTGCCTGTCATACTCCTTGGAAGCGAGTCTAACTCGTCACAGGTTGACTTTTCGAAAACTTGATAGTGGCATGTAGCTGTTAGCTGACCATGAGCCATTGCATCAGAGTAGACCAGGTGATTGGCAATTTGGCGGATTTTCGTGGGCTGCATCTCACTAGGCATTGATATTTCGTAGACAGGGCTAGAACCCAGCTCGAAAGAGTGTGGGGATGCTGGAAGGGTACTGAATCAAAGTGCAAAGACTGCTCCTTCTCGAGATAAGCACACCCTCACTGTCGCGCTGAATTTCTGGTAGACATGGAGTGGTACATCGGCAATAACACGTCGATCACTGAGGGAGCATGGCGTATTGGCCAGGAATTCCTCTCCTATCTCTGCATAGTACAGGTGAAGACTTGAAGTACTATTGATCGAATATAATATCAATGTGTTGGCATTCAGAATTCGATTTTATGCCCTTCTCCATGTGTGAGCAGAAGTAGCACCATAGAATAATGCATAATGCGCACTCTAAATTCTATGGCCTTATCTAGGCTTACCACGAAACCTTTTCGCCCTGAAGGAATGTGTGCTTCTATGTAAATCAATGAGACATGACCATATGTAGCTAATAAAGGCAACACAGTAACAACAAACGGGCCAAAATCTAAGTAGCAAAACCCTAACATCGTTCCCACTGCCTGACATTGGTGCTCGGTTTCTACGCATGTGCGGGTCCAGCATACGCCTGCTGACCGAAATACCCAGTAGCGGGATCCTGCTCATATGCTTCATCTTCTTCATCTGCCTGGAATCCACCTTGCTCCCACTCAGCTTGCTGCATGTCCGGATCTTGCCCGTGATACTGCTGTGCATCCTGGTCGTGGTACTGGTCTGGTTGCTCGTCTGGATAACCTTCATGATAGTCTTCGGGATCTTCCTCGTGATACGCTTCTGGGTGCTGCTCTGGATGCTGCTGTGAATGCTGCTGTGGGTGCTGCACCACGGGCCCGTGGCCTAGGGACAATTTCTGGGCAGGTAAATGCGTCCCTTGACTATCGTATTGTTGGGAGTTAGCCTGCTGGCCTTGAGGATCCTGCGTGTTCGGATCCTGTGCATACTGGTCTTGCCCAACTGGGCCGTGGCCCGATAGTTGGTTGCCATTCATATCGAGGTCTTGCCCAGAAGCTCCTAAATACTCTCCCTGTTGATCATCATAAGAAAGCTCCGGTTGTTGAGCAGTCTCGTCTTGTTCATCAGGGTACTGAGAATAAGGGTCCTGCTGTTGTCCCAGCTGTTGAGCAGTCTGATCTTGGGCACCAGGATACTGAGAATTAGGGTCCTGCTGTTGTCCCAGCTGTTGAGCAGTCTGATCTTGTACATCCGGATATTGAGAGTAAGGGTCCTGTTGCTGCTCGGGATACAGTTCTTGGGTATCATCATATTGACTTGGGTCCATATATTGCTGACTGTAGAGATCTCTATTTCCTTGCCCCAAGTACTGAGGAATATTCTGCCCATACTGAGCAAATTCTTGCGCATATTGAGCAACGTCCAGAGCATTCGGGCCGGAATGATTGGGGTATTGTTGCTCATTTGGCTGCGGTGGTGGGTAATTCGGATCTTGATTGCCAGGAGCTTGCTGGTTAGGATGACTGGGATCGGGATCTGGACGAGTAGGATTTGGATGATTGGGATCTTGACGACTGGGATCTGGGTGACTGGGATCTGGATACTTTGGATCTGGGTGGGTAGGATCTGGATGATTGGGATCTGGATGATTGGGATCTGAATGATTGGGATCTGGATGATTGGGATCTGGATGATTGGGATCTG